ACACCCTAAACACCCTAAACACCCTAAACACCCTAAAATCTGCGCACTGCGCCCCGGAAACCCCCGCTCAAGAGTGACCAGTTGGGGTCTCAGATTCAAGATCTGCAAGTGCATCATGGAATATGATCCACCTCAAGCACTTGAGGAAGGGGGGGGGGAAACAAAGTACGCCCAACAATTCAATCGCGACCGAGGTCAATGAACACCCATAGCTCAAACTTTAGGGCGATTAGAATAAATAGGTAAAATGGCCCATCGTTTTTTCCCCATCCAAAACCAACTTGGTTCAACAAGAAAGAATTTCGAAATGCTGATTCTACCTGCAGTTTTTCTAGCGGCCACGGTCGCAGCGTTGCAAAGTCCCCATCACAAGGCCGCATCATTTCACCACACCGAAAAATCTATACACAAAAGAGAAAATACGCGTCAAGATCCCGCAAAACTGCAGTATCTGAATGATTTAACGGAGAAATTCATTGTGAACAGCACACATTTCCCACAAGTCCCATTCGATATAGGCGAGAGCTACGCTGGTCTCCTATCCAACACCCCCCATGGCAACTCCAGTTTGTTCTTTTGGTTTTTTCCTTCGACAAATCCTTCTGCCGATCGAGAGGTATGTGAAAACATCCGCCTTTGCAGTGGAGATGCTCACTTTCCAATTTAGATCACAATTTGGTTGAATGGCGGCCCGGGCTGCAGCTCTTTGGACGGACTGCTTCAAGAGAATGGTCCCTTTCTGTGGCAATCTGGAACTTTCGAGCCTGTCAAAAATCCGTATGCTTGGTCCAACTTAACGAACATTGTGTATGTTGATCAGCCAGCTGGTACTGGACTGTCGCCGGGACCTGCTACCGTCCAAAATGAGGTTGATGTGTCGAACCAATTCAACGATTTCTGGAAAAGATTTATCGAAACATTTAGCATGCAGGGCTACAAGGTCTATATCACGGGGGAAAGCTATGCGGGACAATACATTCCTTACCTCGCGGCTGGAATGTTGGATCAAAATGACACTTCGCATTTCAACCTCAAAGGCATTCAAATCAACGACCCATCTATCAATGAAGATGACGTTATGATTTATGGTATGTTACAAGACAAGATGAATTGCTTCAGTGGCTGACAGGGTCGTATGCTACTACAGCTCCCGCAGTGGCGGCATTGAATTACTTTGATCGTGTCTTTGGATTGAACGATACATTCATGGCAGATATCAACAAGAAGGCCGAATCCTGTGGATATAATAAGTTCCTTGATGAAGCTTTGACTTTTCCTCCGCCAAAAGATTTCCCCGTTGCCCCGGATTCCTCCAATGCGGGCTGCGATGTGTGGGACCAAATTGTCAAGGCAGCAACCTACGTGAACCCGTGCTTCAACATGTATCATTTGACGGACTTTTGCCCGTTCCTTTGGGATCAGATGGGTTTCCCTTCATTGGCTGGTGGTCCAAACAATTATTTCAACCAGACCGATGTTCAAAATGCGCTTCATGTTCCGCCCACTGACTACTCTGTATGCGGAGGCGATATTTTCCCTGCTGGTGACGGATCCTTACCCAGCGCCCTTGGCCCCCTTCCTTCTGTCATTGATCGTACCCAAAATGTCATTATAGGTCATGGGTGGTTTGACTATCTATTGTTCTTAAATGGCAGCTTGGCCACAATCCAGAATATGGTAAGTCGAGCCATTTGTTGGAAGATGATATTTTCACTGCGTTCTAACTTTGAAAGACATGGGGAGGAAAGCAAGGCTTTCAGACAGCTCCCATCGAGCCTCTTTTCGTGCCATACACCAACGCCTTGAATGCGGACGCAAATGGCGATGCCGAGGCGCCTTATACTTCCGATGCCGGCGCCGGGATATTAGGAACAGCCCATACGGAGCGTGGCCTCACATTCTCAACTGTATATGGATCGGGACATGAGATTCCCCAGTATGTCCCAGGTGCCTCTTATCGTCAACTTGAGTTTTTACTGGGAAGAATCAAGAATCTCCAGGAAAGGGGCTCATTTACAACCCGATAATCCCTTCGAAGGTGAGACTCTCACAGCAGGTTCCCCACATATTGCAGCCCGCACATGCTAACTCAGCGGTATTCTAATACAGTAGCCGCTCATCAACCCAGATCTTTGGTCAAGTAGTCTCAAATTTACATCCTTCGGTATATTTGTGTTCTAATCTGTGCTTCAAGCACAGCGAGGTGCCGTGGATACTCCGCGAAATGTGAGGGCTGATTGCATATGAGTAAGACCTCGAGGTAGGAGGAAAGATTGTCCATAGTACACAAGGCACATATTACGGCAAATATGTCTTCATTCCAAGCCGCTTAAGCATATAACAATAGTAACTGTACCCACAATCAAATGTTTCCAACGTGCGCTTAACACTTGACCATCGGAACCGCCTCAATAATTGACTCCATGGCCGGGTTGGAGTTCCAGATGCCATTGATCTTTAAACCAACGCTAGCCAACAGGTCAGACCACTGTGTTTTGGATCGCTCAACACCCGCTCCAATACTCATCATCTGGATATCCATCGCAGATTGCATTCGTGGGACATTTGTGTCTGGAAGCACAAAGTCAACGATAATGATGCGCGAGTATTGAGCATGCATGGCAGAGATGGTATTTAGCAGAATTCTCTTGCATATCCGGTCAGGCCAGTCGTGGAAGATAGCTCTGAAATAGTATGCCCGGGCGTCTTAGAGAATATTCAGTCAGTTAGAAATACTATCGAGGAGGAATTGAGGCAACTTACGTTTTACCGGCTGTGGGTCCAAAAAGCTGTAGGCCATGGTTTCTATTCCATTTCTGTCGACCTTGCTGACCATCGTTGGAAGGTCTTGCAGAATGAGTCGTCCTGGTGGGTCCGAGAATCTGGTAAGGAACCGTGATAGCTCATACCCTTCGTTTCCTCCTATATCCAACAGGAATGGAGCTTCCGGTGTGCATATCGCGCCGTCGAATAGCCTTGAAACAGGGTATACATCAAACCAATTCGGCTTCCCTTCACGGCGACTAGACATGTATGAATTGAAAAGCAGCTGTTGGTTCTTGTTCTCAGAAAGCCATTCAAACTGGCTTTTCCCGACGGCCCATTGCATAGGTGATTTGGAGTATTCCTCTGGGTTGATATACTTATTCAGACGAAGGTATTCGGGAAGCTTGGATAGGGCAGGAAGGGTCAAATCATATCTGGCGATGTCAGTTTAGAGAAGACCAAAGTTGAACTATGGCGGTCAAATTACATGCATGGGACTCCATCGCGTCCGATCGGCTTGGTCATTGCGAGAGTCTTGTCGGTTTTTTTGTAAATCTCTGCCTCCGAGCTTGAACACAGTCCTAGAGAGGTCATCACCCTCATGAGGCGAACTTCATGACATTTCAGTTAGCGTATGGAGAGTCGTTTGCGTGGTTTTTTTTTTTCGCGATGAGTGCTCACTGATTAACCCTCTATCGGCGCCCGTACGAACAGCGATTTCCGATGCTGAGATTCCTTCGTTCTTGGATATGTTCATTAGCAGAGAGAAAATTTCAAGGTCCACCACTGTTCTCAGCGCAGCATTCTCTGGGGGCTAATGGTACATTTATGAAGGTTAATGCTTTGATTATGTAATTCTGAACTGGCGACAGATTCACATACTTGATAAATCAACCGCAGGATTGTCTCCGTTGGTGTCTCAACGACTAGCTTGAGTTCATCAACGAGTTGAAGAAGGCGAGCATGGCCATTACCCGAGGTGGATGATTCCTGTGCAGCTTCTATCTTGATTTGCTCTGCCAATGATTGTATCGAAGCAGTGGACATGTTGAGAGGTATGCGTATGGAGATGACCAACTGGCTTTACCTTCAAATGTTGGAATTGCTGTGCGATAGATGGTATGGAGACTCAGGACTGCGACCTGGGGACTTGAATTGATGGAAGCTTTGACCTTGAAACTTTCAATGTTCCAACCCTGCAACATTGAACTTTTGTGCTTGGGGCCTGGGTTCAAGAGTGCAGAATTGAGAGAGAACATCGTTGTATTTATATCACAATCAATGATCGAGTTAAAGCGATCACCCATCCCCATGTCATTCAAACAATATCTCTAGAAGCTTGTTCCGATCTCGCTGTTCAGACGTGTGGAAGTCAAAACGCGACATACATTTCACTTGGAAATAATGCCGTAATGATATTGCCGATCGTCCAGATGCCCTTCAATGTTGTTTTTTCATCAGTTGATCTAGCTCAAACGAGAACCCGCTTATACATGCTTCTATATTCTTGCAGTCTTGCTTCACGGGATAGATTCTCCACTTTTCTACCCTTGACGAGGAATCTGATAAGAATCCGGCTTATCTGATTGCGGCTGTGGCGCGACTAAACCTTGGCATGAAATGATGATCTTCATGACATGATGACTAGCCCGAGCCTTCCGTATTTTGAGCCATAGAAAACAGAAATTTGAACCCACTCAGGCCGTGTTGAACCTAAAAATCATTCGTGCTCCGTTATGCGGAGAATTTTGAATGAGTGGACATCTGGAATGATGTAAGCCCATGTACGAGATCATCCCTGCATGAATATATATGTTCTATCGCGGCTCAAGGGTCCAGAAAAAATTCCGTTATCGGAGAGAGTGGACGATTCGAGTTCAACATTCAATGTTTGAAATCAATATCTTGCGTCAAAGAACCAGCACAGCCCCCCTCAAAGACCGCCCCACTTGAAAGCTTGTCTTACACGGCACTCTTTCTCCATATCTGCGAGGTTTCTGGGTTTATCCTATGTGGCTTTCTGCGTTTTCAAAGTCCATGACATCGCGATGGCCGCAAACATTCAAAGAAGAAATCTGTCCCGGGCCAGCAATGCCCCATTAGCTGATTTAAATGCCTCACACATCTTGGGATGATCTTAATTTCATTCCCAGTCGGGAATCAGAAGCAATTTCACTTTCCATTTGAAACTCGTATGTACATATCTCAGCACTTAAGGTTTGAGAGCCGTAGCCTGCTAGAATGAAGCCTATTCAATGTTTTAGATTCTATATAGCTTCAAATGTTTTCGATACATAACTCTTACACATGTCATGCAATGTGCAGATTGGGATAGACTACATGCACACATGTGCACATGTGCATGTGGCTCAAACATTTGAAACATTTGAAACATTTGAAGCATATATGTAGTCTGTATTCGGCCGCAGGCGCTCAAGTGCTCGTAGCATTTGAGAGTCAGATAACAGTAAAGTTATTCAAACCTTGGAACCTTGGACCCTCAAGTGCTTGGAACATTTGAAGCCATGCAAATTCATACATATCACAATGTAAACATTAATTGCTTCTACACGGAGGGTCGTCGAATTTTGTGAAATAAGTGCAAGGGCAGTTTATGTATTGAATAAAAATGTAGGTACAGATTTATGTCCCAGAAAAGAAGGGTGAAAAACGAAAAATAAAACGACCGATACAGCCAATTGAGATGGCGAGCCAAAGACGAGCGAGCTCAGCCCATTGAACTGGGGAAAGGGACCCTTACTTGAGTGATTCATTGTACATATATGTACGAGGTTTCCATGTACTAGGCTTCCAAGGTCACTTGTGAGAAGCACTGGGAGCTTAGATAAGGGATCCCAGGGCAACACAGGGAATGGCGACGCCAATGAGATCTCCGTCCTGTTGATGAATTTCGTCAGATTATGGCCGTGGAGGCTTTTTGAAATGTTCAAATTAAGACTAACGGCGTTGGATTCAGTGTTCTGGCAGCAAGCTATGTTCTGCTTGCATTTCTGATTTATGAGCTGATCGACACCACCGCCGACGACATTGAGAACTGGAACTATAAAATTGTAAGTGCATCTCCAAAAAGGTGCTACTCGTGAGAGGGGGACGTACTGTTGAGGCTGAGATCATTGCATTGGCCGAAAAGGCCGAGGCCATCGCCACCGGGTCCTCCACCCAGGGCAGATTGCAGAACTCCTGCAAGTGGGCCGTTGTTGCTTGTGGTGATATCCTTGGTGTAGGTTGTCTTTTTGCAGCAGCTGACCGTGGAATTATTTCCACACTTAGCCTGAGCCTGCTCCACGGTCATCCCGTTGCTAACAGGGAAGATGTTGCCGTCGCTTCCAGACTGAGGCAGAGCCACGGCGGTAGCAGCGAAGATGAGAGCAGTGGTGATGAACTTCATTTTCATGGTTGAAAGACTGTATCGAGCGTGGAGTATATACTAAAGAGCGAATGAAAGGCGAAAAGGGAGTTTTTGAGGATGCTTGGGTTGATTGTGTTTGAAGAGAACCAGCGGGATAATGAGCAAAGTGGAAATTTGGGAACCTTTATACACCTACTGACTTCTTATCAGCTTTCAAACTTCCGACTTCCCTCCTTGATTATGCTTTGTTTTCCTCTTCCCGTGTTAGTTCAACCCAACTCCTCACCCCGCACCCAGTCATTACAGCGTCCAAGTAGTAAGATAGACCCTCGAATGGCTTGATTTGCCGACTCAGCTGATTTCAATCTTCGAATATTGATTATTGGCAAGCCACTTGTCCTACCTGATAGAGATTTCAAGCTTGATGCGAGCAACATAGTGGGGGGGGGGGGGGGGGGGTTCTGTAGAGTTCCGCGCGCTCTCGACATGAGGTCTTATGTTGTACAACCTCAAGTGAAATCGCAGCTGTCCCTGTGCACCGATTATTGTACAATCTTCGAAGAGGTTTTGGTCAATGCATTTTCGATTTGTCGTTAAGACCACACGAACATTCAAGGCAATTCGGTTTCACAGCACTGCAGAGCAGCAATTGAAGAAAAAGAAAAATACCGATGTACATATACTAGTACCTACTAGTTAATGAATGGTGGACTAGGTCTTCCTTGATTGTGATCGGCATTTGCATACATATGAAGGGGCTCTATTTGCTTCTTTCGGATATAATGTAGCCCGAGGATCTGAGCTCAGCGGATGCATATAATTAAATGGTAGGAAGCTTGGAAAAGTATGAGTGGCAATTGGGCAGGCAACATGCAATCAGGAAAGCAGAGTACATAAGTAGCAAGTCTTGCAAAAGTCCAAAATTGTTCAGGACAAAATTAAATGTTCAAAAGAAAGGCCCCCCTTCAAAAGTTCCAACATTGAAGGTTGTCGAGCCAGAACTTGTGCATACTTTCCAAGGTTTTTTCATGGGTAATGGAATCACAAGACTTTCTCAGCCGAAGTACTTAGATACGTGATGTGATAAAATTGTCGATCTTATTAATTCACGGACTCCTCCCGGGGTACAGGGCTCTGGCGCCTACCTAGTAGGTAGCAGCTGCGCATTGGGCTACTATTGTGGCAAGGAATCCATCGATTCAAATGATCAGCATGCACATGTAAAACTGCGTTATGGACCCGTGGAACGCACGTGCGAGCCAACAATCAGTAACATTATTCACTACTACAACAACTCATCAGAGTATGAGAAAGTTGGCTAGATTGCACATGTGGCAACGTGCTACCTACTTACTACCCGTGGGTTTAAATATGCCATAACTAGCCCCCCTCCAGTGCCTGGATTGCCACAATCGAGCAAAATGGACCTCATTCTGGTATTAAGAAAACACCTTTCCACCAATAATGTCGCTGCGTGAACCTAGGTGGAAGACAGGGATGTGTTCAATCGGCGCTTGAACCTTCACAGTCTGGCCACCTGCGTATGTCTGATTTGTCCACCAATAGGTCCAGGGCAGCGCAGAAGTTGCAGTCGAATTCCCAGCCACATCCGGAAGATATACAGACCATTCCGAAACATTGGAGACAGTAACGGGGCTGATCAAAAGTCGTGGCCCAAACATGTACTGCTGGGTTGTGACATTATTGTTCTTCTGCGTCAACTCGGCAATCCGTGAATCCGATGACTGGAAGTCCATATACAAAGGGCGCATGATCATGCGACCAGTGAGGTGAAACTGAGCGAAAACCTCCTGGATGTAAGAGGCCAACTGGTAACGAAGGTGAATGTAGGAGACGATAATAGGAGTATTTTGTTCACCATACGACCATGGCTCATTGGCGCAGGTATAAGCGCCCTGTACATAGCATGCCCGAGATCCATGCGTCCTCATAAATGGCAAAAATGTGGTCCATTGAAACCAGCGAAGATACAGTTCTCGATATTCAGGTGTATCGATGTTCGCAGACCACCAAACGGTGGGGTCAGCCTGGAAACCACCTGCATCCACAGTCCACCAGCCCCAGCCGGTTGCAGCAGCAGAAAGGCCACTTGCAATTTGTGCGCTGAGAGTCTCCCAGACTGCAGTCGTGTCCCCAGACCAGATAACGCTGCAAAATCTCTGGGAGCCAATGTAACCCGAGCGACTTAGGGAAATATACTCACAGGGGGTTCCTATCTCACTTGATGTAGCATTTCGGTATCCCTCTTCAATAGCTTGCTGATGCGCCCAGGGGTATAGCTTGCCGACACTTCGCTGGGTGCCAGCAGCATACATAACATCAGGCATTGGGAATGGAACAGATTGAATGTATGAGCTCTGGCCATTGTTTTCGTACGCCTCACCCAGTGCCCCTCCGTCTGCCTGGTCTATCCAGAAATTCTTGATCCCCTTGTCGAAGTAGTTGCGCTTCAGAGTTTCCCACAGAAATTGCCGAGCTTCGGGGTTAGTGGCGTCATAATTCCTAATGTACGATCCATTCCAAGAATCGGTAGTCCCGGGACCAGAGCGCGTAGCTGTGAGATACCCTTGAGTCATCATCTCAAGGTAGTTCAGACTATCATCAGCCACGCTAGGCCACAAAGAAGCCATAATCTCCGCGTTGGTGAAGTTCCTCACTTGAGCCGCCATCTCGGTAACATTGCTCCATAAACGTGGATCCAGAGCCCAGTCTCCTTGGTGAGCCCATGATTGATAATCAATGACAATCATGGACACCGGGATGTTGCGCTTGTTGAATTCCTCTGCCAGTAAAACAACTTCAGACTGATTTTCATAACGAAGTTTGCTCTGGATATAGCCGAGAGACCAGGGTGGGGGACGAGGGGATCGACCGGTAAGCGCGGATAGACGTTGTTGCAGTACATCATAATTTCCCGGCGTCGAGCTCACGATGAAATAGTCGACAACACTGGCAGCGTCGGAGGTAAATCGATTTCTCAGGGTGGAGAATTCCATTCGACCCGTCGACGGCATGTTCCAGATGAATCCATATCCTCTGTTGCTCATGAACACCGGGGTCGGAATGTGTGTATTGAAATTGATGAGATCAATTGTTGAACCCTTTTTGTTGACTTGATGGTCTTGTTGGGTGCCAGTTCCGTATATCTGCTCATCGGGGGTCGTGCTGAACGAAAACTCGGCAGCGAATTCGCTCCCTGGGCCAGTCCAAGAGTAATAGCGAGGATTAACCGACTTGAGAGGTGCATACTCGTTGGTGAGCAGAGTTTCGGTGCCATCGGCCTCTACCCGATAGAAGGCTAAACGATACCCCCCCGGGTTTCCCGCCCCGCCGGAAGTACGAACAATCATATTCCCATTGCGTAGCTCTTCGGAATTGTTTCCAGTGAACGCAGTATCGAAACTCATGCCATGGGCCTTTCCGTCCTCTGGGCCTTCAAGCGGAGGATCGTAAACAAAGCCAATTTCCTGGCCGGTTGGCGGGCGGAAAGGCCATGCACGTACACGGAAGCCGTCATAGCCAAAGGGCTGGACTAATATGGTCTCAAAGCCATGTTGCATGCGAAACCCCTTGGAGGTTGGTTGATGGTAGCTCTGTGGTGAAGAAGCCGTTGTACCAATGGCCAATATGGCGCTCAAGGCCGCAGCAAAGAATATCATGATATCTGTTGAAACAAATCATTCACGATTTCACCTTCAACAATTTGTTCTTGCCCGTTGCCAACTGACCATCGTCCCTTCTTTAGATCCCCAATGGCCCACATTTAGGCTGAAATCAAGTGAGACCATCGCATTTCATCCCCCAGGCATGGTAATGAGTTACAGATCGTCACTGCCGGTGCCCTTGGCGGCAGATATGAATGGTGGAGGAATAGACCGGGGGTTGAATACACAAAATGTGCAGGATTCGGGGCAGAATACCCCGACAACATTGACATGCACCGATCGCGATTCTATCCGAATCTGGGATGCGTCAGTTTTCTTTAAATGAATTTGGGGGTATAGAGTGGGGTGATGTAGCATTGACTTTCAAGGAGCACTGTTGATCACTGACAGTGACATCACGATCATCGAGTCTGCAGTGACAAGTCCCATGATCTGCTTTGATTGGTAATGACAAACAAGTTGTCAACTATTTAGTCGACTGAAGAATTTCAGATCGCGAGTGAACTCAAGGTATACCGCAGGAGCTGGAGAAGGCGACAGAAAGATAGGAATTTCTGGAAAGTGCTCCAAAATGGAGTAATAACATCAAAGTCGCAAGGTCGGGCTGTTGCTGTCAAAGGTGGTCAGACACTAAGGGTTTCTGCCAGGTTTCCCCGCCTCATATCATACTAGCATTAGTACAGTGCCTAGTACGCCCAGGTAGTGTATCCAGCTATACTGTACTCCAATATATCTAATAGATAACATGTATGTCCTCCAGCCTACAGGTTACTAACTCAGAATTTTCTCGCAGGTAGTTAGAACTTACTAGTAGTTACTATTACTAGTAGTCAGTAGTAAATTTACGGCCAGCATTTTAGGCTATAACTACTAGTACTAGGCAGAATATCTGGCGGTGAGGTGATGTCACACATATAATTATTTTATTGTTTCCCCGCATCATGACGCAAAGTCCTGTTAGGTCTATACCATCTTCAGCATGGGCGGTGGAAAGAACCCCCCATCCCATCACAGCTTGAAAATGGCGGAAAAGTTGGCCCATAGCCTCAATGTTCATTTACATGCCGTGGTAGACCTGGGAAGGTAATCGCTGAGCCGCATCCCCTTGGTTCATGAATCGAAAACCTTAGTTGACAACCACAGCAACGGCATTCGATGTTCCATTTCAGACCTTTCAAGTCCCACTACTCGCGTCATTCCTACTGTTCACTTTCACCGCGTCAATGTCTCTTTGTACGAGGCGCAGATGGACTCTGACACGGGACGCCGCGTCCCAATCCCCCAATCGGTGATCGACAGGGTCGTCAGCGCCATTGTGAGATTTCAGATAATCTGTACAGAAATAGGCGTCCCGCCCAACAATATTCGTCTTATTGCCACGGAGGCGACTCGAACTGCTATTAACTCTGCGGCGTTTACCGATGCGATACGCAAAACGACCGGCGTTGTCGTGGAGATGCTTCCAAAGGAGGAGGAAGGTATCGTCGGGGCGTGGGGCATCGCAAGCAGCTTTTCGGATGTGGAAGGTCTGGCCTTGGATCTGGGAGGGGGCAGCATGCAAATGACCTGGATCAGCTCCCACGCCGGGAATGTTCGCATTAGCCCCCGGGGCTCAGTCAGTTTTCCTTACGGAGCAGCAGCGTTGACTCAGAAGTTGGCGGACTTGAAGCGGGGCAAAAGCAAGGACGAAGCGGGAAAGGCCAAGGAGCAATTCCGTCAAGAGATGGCTGAGAACTTCCGGGCCGCCTTTGACCGTCTCGAAGTACCTGAAAGTATGATTGATAAGGCCCGATCCCAAGGAGGATTCCCACTATATCTATCCGGTGGAGGCTTCCGTGGATGGGGCTATCTTCTCTTATACCTGCACCAGACAAGGGGTCAGGATTATCCCATCTCGATTATCAACGGGTATTCGGCGCTCAAGCAGGACTTTGAAAACACAAAGGCCCTGGAGGAAGTGGCCCGCACCGCACACGAGATTTTCCGAGTCTCAGATCGGCGGCGCAAACAAGTCCCCTCTGTTGCATTCCTGGTGAATGTGTTGGCCGAATCATTACCGCACGGGATCAAGGAGGCACATTTCTGCCAGGGGGGCGTCAGAGAAGGAATACTCTTCCGTGATATGCTCCCAGTAGTCCGTCAACAAGATCCGCTCGAGGTTGCAACTGCCCGTTACGCCACTTCATCAGCCCACGAAATCGCTGAGTTGATGCTGTCCGCCCTTCCCCGGCCTGTGGAAGGCCGCTCTGTTCCATCTTCTGTCACTGTACATCTGGTTCAAGCCTTTGCCAACTCTCTCTTTGTTCATGCAACCATGCCTAAGGAGCTATCTTCAAGTGCTGCCATGTATAGCACAAGCACTGGAATTCTCGCATCCACCCATGGAATTCCTCACTCACATCGCGCTCTTCTGGCATTGATGCTTCAAGAACGGTATGGCGGAGAATTACCACCGCGTGATGTCGAGTTAAAAACTCATCTGCAAGGAATTCTCACCCCAGAAGAGGTCTGGTGGACACGTTATATTGGTAAATTAGGACTTGTTCTCGGTCAGTTGTATCCTACTGGATTCATCGACTCCTCCAAACCACGTATTGTTCCATCTGCCCGGTGGGTGCATGGACTTGGCAAAAAGGGAAACAAGGATGGATTGGAGTTGGAAATTTCTCTTCAGAAAGCCGCATATGACCCTACTCATCTTAAAGAGGAACTTAACCATGACGTGCAGAAGATTGTGAAAGTTGGGAAACGGAAGCACTGGATTGGAGGAAAGGACGGTTGGGGCGTCAAAGTGGTTGTTTTGGTACGAGAAGAGGAGTTGTTGCAATGACCTCGGGACTCGCAGAAGGATCCATGCACAGTGACATTGAAGGTTTATGCCTAGCTGTATAGGGCTGTTATTCTCAGCAGTACCCCCCGTGAACGGGTCTTCCAAGGTTCTAGAAATCCAGATACCCAGTACATACTAAACAAGTCAAAAATTTGCATCTTTCAGGTCGTTGAGTTTGATTTTGTTTCCCAGAACTTTCCAAATCGACACTGGAAACCCTTTCGGGTCATGTCACATACATGAACCCTGGAAAGAGTGGCAAAGGTTTAGCCAGTCCCGAGATGCTATCTTTTTATACATGTCCCAGCTGGCAATAGTCAAAGCATTGTGACATGTATGGGGTTCCAATGGGTCATATTGCGTGTCGCGGCCCTCCAGAGTCTCGCCTCCCGAGGCGCAACCTGCCCGGAACTGGAAGTACAAGAAGCGTGAAGAATCTTCTAAATCTGTGAGTTGTTTTTTCAGCGGAGCCAAACTCAGGTATGATTTCTCTTGCCTGAGAGGAAAAGTGTAATTGATGCAGCAACCTTGGAAATTTCAAACGTCACTTTGAACGACACACTCGTTCCGTTCCCCTCTAGGACTAGTGCTGTCGTCGACATCTGGAAGTATTTATTGGTGTTTCTCGGCTATCAGGCTCTTCTATTCTTCTTCCCTTTTTCCCTTCTCCACTGGTCTGGTCATTGTTGTCTCTCCACTCTTCCTCTTCTCCTTCACAGTGCTTGATCAATACTCGAATTTGACTCTTGTTCTCCAATTTGTCCCACTCACTTTGGCGACCTTACCAACAGCGACCCAACAACAGTTAAAGCGATCGTGTATGTCAGTCCTACGCATGTCATACGTGACTTTGGAAGTATCACTAATCTTCTTAGAAAACCCGATTCCCAAACAAAGGATTTCGCGAAAATGCCGAATCCCCACCCTATTCAAGAATCATCCCGAGAAGCTAGTAGTTTATTTCTTTTCCATCATATCTTTCTCCCGCCCAGGCTTCCACAATCGAGTGACTTCAACCCCGAAAACGATATTCTCCTCCTCAAAGCCGTGATCGATGCCCTCGATGGCTTCCGGGTTGACTTCCATGATGAAGAACTTGCTGCCTTAAAAACCATACACACAATGATTGTCCGTCTGAAGCAAACTTGCAGTTCTGACGGCAATTTGCTCGAAAGTGAGCTTTACAAGCAATTTGACAGTCTGAAGAAACAGGGTGAGTATCTTTGCCATCAATTCAAATAGATGATGTCTCACACTCGCAGGTGGCCTTCTCCCTATCTATGTGCGTGAACAGAATGCAGGGGTACTTTTCACAACTCATGAAGATACGATACATGTGGAGTCCTTTGAACTGTCTCCTCGTAATTCACCTGTGACAATGACCACAGGCCGGCTGATACGTACTTTTCCGGGCCCCGCAATTTCAATTGATCAGGCGATTTTCAATGATCCCGCTCTACAGATGATGGTCGCACAGACTCTCACCAAAATGAGTTATCAGGCAGCCCCAGGAACCAAAGCAAAAGTGAAAAAGGCTCAGCAAACGCATGATGAGGACAGAGATACTACGGATCCCAAAATGGTGACGGAGTTCCTCATGGCAATGCTTCATCCTCTAGGCTCTAGCCTGGACACCCTGCAACTCCAAAAGCTTACACGAGAAGAGGTTATGTGGTGTAATAGTCGATCTCCGTGGCGGAGATCCTCTCTATGGCTTTTTATCAGAGTGCTCATTCAACTGGTGCTCATGAGATTGTCTGTGGAAGAGAACACGTTCGATCTTTACAAACAGTTCATCATTTATTTCATGTGCTCTACCCTTCGGACTTCATTGGAATTCACGGGAACACCCAGCGAAGAGATTTATCTCATGAATGCAAAGATTTCCCGTCGACTGATGAAGCTGGATTTGCCTAAGGAGCCGACCTGGTTCGCCTCGGCTCAGCGGACACTGAGCCAAGCGACGCAAATAATCAATTTTCGATGGAAGAACATCATTGAAAAGAGGCAGCCCGGTCCCGATGAACTGCCATTGACGACCTTGAACTTTGACGAAGACACCCAGTGCAAATTCCCCACTCTTGACCGGTTTGTTCAGTGTATCAGGAATCGAAAATCTGGCCGACCACCTGTCATTCCCTTCCAGCCCGAACTCCAACTACTCAAAACACAGCCCTCAATCCTTCCCACACTCTTTCACTCTGTTGATGGTGATTACCATCCATACAATCTTGCCATCTTTGAAAACTGGGTAGCTTTAAACCTAGATGCCTGGATGGACACCTACCAGCAGGATCAAGCAACATGCAGCCGTCTGAGTGCATTGATCATGGAATATTCCCGTGCGGTAAAAGCATGCAACCAAGAAAATCCAGAAAGCTCGTCTGTCATGCTTCTCACTATCCTAGAGCTGTGGGTTGCTTGCGATAAATCTGCAGTTCTTGCACACAACATTTTGAGAGAATACGACCCATGTCTGCCTGCCGATATATTTCAACCACTTTTACTGCCGTTTAAATCACAAATGCTGAGGTTATCTCGGGCCGAGGAATATCTCAGGGAGCGACAGAAATTGGTTCAATATCGCGGGCCGGGCATATTTTCGGACTTTGGGACGTCGGACTGTTTCTCTGTTAGATACTTCGATCAGTCAGAGGAGCATCGGCTTTTATACGAAAGAATTGAACAAAAGGCACAGCGCGACAGAATGTGTAAGCAGCGAGAGCTTCCTCGCTCGATCGAAGTGTTTGAACAAAAGGCTGGTCGCTTCCCCAGGATACGTTTGCTCAGTCGCGACGCCGAAGAACGACTCTTTAATCTGGTCCTCACATATATATGTGATAATGGCCTTGACTCTCTGCCGATATCTCGACAGCCCGTGAAAGTCAGAAATGCCGTGCGTGCCTATGTCCTGAATCCGACTCCTACAGATTATGAAGTGGCAATTGTTGAAGACGACGGTCCAGCCGGGATCTGGACAGAGAGTAACAGGAGCCCTCTTCTCTTACTACGCGGGTTATTTGCAGAGGGTGTTTTGAGCTTCTGCTTGGGCCAAAAGCGGTGGCGTGTCAACTATGGACCAGACTCTAATCGAACACCCCAAACCAAGCTTTGTGTGCCATATCGTGCGAAGGACAACCCTTCCCCGCGGTCCGAGTTCAGCCACCCAGACGTCATTGTCATCTTGACATGTCTGGCCTACTACTATGCTGGACTTGATGATGAAGATATGTTCCTTGTCTTCAACCATCTTGTTCAATCAGACCAAGCTTGTATAGTGTACCAACTGTGGGTGGACGACTCACCGATGCTTCCACGTGAGTACCATCAATTGCTAAGCTTGAATCTTGATGACCGCAATCACTGCACAAGCCAAATATTTCCCGCATTTCGATTCTCCAAGGCCACTATCGACTATTTCCTGGAGAAGTTTGTTTTTCCAAGGGAGATGAAAGAGTTTCCTAGTAAATTATCCGCCTCTGGGTGGGACCTTGGAAAACTCAAGCAAATGCCAACTGTGGGTTTTAGCGGTACAAACGACTCACGCAAAACTTTACCTCTGAGCGTCAAGCAACTGGATCTTCCAAGGCAGAATCATACAAACGCTCTCGTTCTTGAATATTTGTTACGACCGGAGAACGGTGTGGCTCTGATATCATGTCAAAGCGACCCATGCAAGACGGATGCTCAAGAATTGTTGGAATTTGTCATGAGCTTGAGTCCTCCCGCTCAAGTCATTCTTGATGTGGGTGCCCAGATTTTGGAACTTAGTAATTCTGAAGTTGCAACGCAGTGGCTTGAAATGATCTCAAAGGACAGTCCAGTTCAGGCTGTAGTATTTGTTAATGACCAAGATGTGATTTGCGTAATCGACCGCAAAGGACGCGTGGAAAGCCTGCAGACCTCACCGTTCGCACGACAGTTGGAAGTGTGTTTCATTTTTCTCGATGAAGCGCATACGAGGGGAATTGACTTAAAACTTCCCATAACCTATCGCGCGGCAGTTACCCTCGGCCCTCGTATTACAAAGGACAAGTTAGTTCAAGGTGAGACTTTCACAATATTCTCCCCCCACATGCGACAATGGCCAAAGATTGACTGAAACACTAGCATGTATGAGGATGAGGGAGTTAGGCCGCGGTCAGTCTGTGGTCTTTTGTATTCCTGATGAGATCAATGCCAAAATTCTAGCGTTGAGTGGCAAAGAGACCGAGCGAGAACTCGACGCTTCGGATGTCGTCATTTGGGCAGTCTCCGAGACTTGGGCTGACATGCAGCGAACCATCCCTCTTTGGGCGGTTCAAGGATCGCGTTTTTACCGTCAAGATGATTTATGGGAGCGTAATCGACACGCTGGACTCACACCCATAGATTTGAACGACACTGACAAGTTTCTTGAGCCGGAAAGCCAAACTTTGGAGCGTCGATATCGACCTGGCTGCCAGCAGACTGGTTTGATCGATTCAACTTCGGTTTCCAATTCGAACTTGCGTCTCATAATGGATCGCTGCGATGAATTTCAATGTGTGAACTTTTCCTCGTCGACTCTCCAAGAAGAGCAAGAACGGGAGCTCGCGCCTGAGATTGAATGCGAACACGAGATTGAAAGACCTCCACAGGCTTCCCCAGCTGTACATCGAATCCATCCACATCTACGTACTTTTATTAGAACAGGTGCTCTCGAGGCATCGTCTGACTCTTTCAAGCCGGCCTTTCATGTCCTGCAAAATACGTCTGCAGCTTCCTTGCTAGGCACGGTTGAATTTCCCACCGATCTACTTGTGACAACGGATTTTGCCACTACTGTAGATTTCCCTGCAAAACCCAAATTTGTTGCGGATGCATTCCAAAGACCAGTTAGATGGATATTGACGGCCAAGGAAAGCGTGCATCCTATCAGTGGAAACACCGGGACAGTTATGCTCATTATCAGTCCCTTCGAGGCCAATAGCCTGATGATGGACATACGCAAATCGACCGTTACTACCTTGCACTCGTACAGCCCACGTCAAAATCGGGAATTCCCTCCATTGGATCATCTGACGTTACACATCGTCCCCAGGCAGGTTGGAAGCATATTCGCTTTTGATTCCCTCCTCCAGGTTCAACTAAACCTCTTTTCCGGGCAATTGTATCTTGAATCGTATTCGCAGTACCAATATCTTTGTGAATTTCTAGGTGTGGCGTCCGTGAAAACTCCAGAAGGTCTTGTTGTTGCTGCGGATGGGTTTATCGAGCAAGGTGGAGTGGATGGAAAATCCTCTTTCCGCAAAAGTCCTCTGGGGTTTCTGCAAATCCTAATGTCCCAAATCAGGAAGGACTGCCAAGATATCGGAAAGACCCATATTGGCAAGATCCTACGAGGGCAACTGCTAACTGCTTCTGATTTCCCGGACACGGGGGCATTGTTGGCGGGGTAAACAAACGAAGCGCTGGATGATTGTTCCGTCTTATTGAGTCATAGACTCATAGTCCATGGACTTATTAACTGTGGGAGTGTCGAAGTGACTGCGAACCTCAATAATGTGATAGTCTTAAAACGCAATTGCTAAAATTAAATCGCTTCATGGATCATAAAGGCATACTCTTATGGAGCGCACTAGTAGTACCGTCTGTAGTCTACTTTACTTATTATGGTGAGTACCTAACATTTGAATGTTGCATGTGGAAGTTGAAAGTTGATACCAAAACCCAATTTGGAATGTGTACACTTCTTCTGCTCTCACCGCTTACTCTAAGAACTTTCTGCCAATTTCCCCCTGTAACCTACCTGTTCATTACTATTCGCAAAGGCTTAGGCCTAAACATATGAATCATGATATATCTGCGAACATGATATCGCATGGAGTCGGAGCTTCAAATATGCATAGCGCATTGTATCGGCACTTGGAAAGCTGGGATGATTGCGTAAACGTTGGAATGGGCAATCGCGAACTCCATATATCAAGTGCTCGCTGTCCTGAGTCCTGCCGCCCCCCTGAGCGTACGGGTTAACTGAGCATTGTGTGGCACCAGGGAAGCGCATTCGAATTAGTGAAATAATAGCCATGTGACTGTGGGATCGACGCAAAATGAAGAAAAAGACGCGTCAGAGAACTACTAATTACGGGAAAGGGCACCAAGCTTTCTGATCGAGGCATCGAAATAGAACTGCTGAACAAATCCCATTACCGGAAAGGTTCGCCCAAGCTCTGTGCTTAGTACTGATGTAGGCGCGGACATGAGGCAGACCAGAGAGCTTTAGGGGTATGTTATTCTCCGTACCTTTCAACCTATTGTCGTTCTCATAAGAATGAACGGCAAGACTGGGCTCGTGCAGTTGATTTTAGACAAGGTCAAGACCTCAGGAATATTGTCGAACTTATTCTAATGTTGGTAGTAATCTAAAATACCACTGTACATAGTACTTCACAGTCTAGATCTATTCCACGGCGATTGATACCTAAGCGGCAGGACTTTGTAAAAAAAAAAACACAATAATGCCCCCGGAAATCCATTAGAAACGCCACTCGAAAAGCCCCAATCACGCAATTTATCGTTATGACTGAGGAATGTATAAACAATGGCAGTAGAGACCACAAAAAAAAAGAAAAAAGGTCAAATATGGGGGAAAGAACAGAAAATATAAAATATGTGAACGAATTGGATGGCAAAAAGGAAGGGGGGAATAGGAGAAGCCTAGAAGGGTATCGCAAGATGGAAATGTCGAGATGAGAAAATTAAACATGGAGCACTGTACGCCGTCCCACACGATCCACCCGCAGTCCCAATTTCTCCAGCTCCATCACGTCCAGCAGACCCCGTCCGTCAAACACCCATTTGGGCTCAATCATGCTGTATGCGATACGTGGCCACTCAATAGCTTCACTGGTATTGTGCCGGGTGGGAGTGGGCTGGTAGTCTGTGCTATCAGAGACAAACGAATGCTGTGTCGATGTCGATGTCGATGTCGATGTCGATTGATCTGAGATGCTCCAATTGGGTTTCTTCATCGGGCTGTAGCGGAACTGATCACAATCCGTGACCAGCAAGATGGCATGGGCTTGTGAACAGGCCAGATATGGGTCACTGTGGACTTTTACGATCCCCATCTCCGCGATTCCTGGCCCTAGCTCCCGCATGATATCTTCTTGGCGACAATAGGGGTCAAAAATGGTAATCTCGGCCGGTCGCTCTTTTAAGACATGACAAACTTGTAAGTAGACTGGCATAACCAAGGGGGGAGGGGCAGGGGGAGTGGAGTCTCACCTTCTAGCAGCGATCGAATAATTTCCACGGCCAACGACTCGCGAGTATCACCCGTATTCTTCTTGAAAGCAAACCCAAGAATCGCGAGCTTATGACCCACCAAGTTCCCTTCAAATCGCTCAATTATCTTCCGCGAAAATCGGTCCCGCTGGCGCTCATTCATAATATTGACTTGTTGCCAGTACAAGGCCACGTCATCCAACCCCAGCGAGGCAGCCAAATATGACAGACTGGCAATGTCCTTTCGAAAGCAGGAGCCCCCAAACCCTAGTCCCGCCTTGAGGAATTGAGGTCCAATGCGAGCATCCATGCCAATGCCCTTGGCTACCTGATCCACGTCTGCACCGGTGCGCTCGCATATGGCACTGATGGAGTTAATGCTACTGATCCGTTGGGCCAACATCGCATTAGCAACAAGCTTCGTGAGCTCCGAGGACCACGTATTCGTTTCCAAGATTCGGTCTGCAGGAATCCAGGCTTTGTATAGATTGGCCAATGTGCGAGCGGCCTGGCGTCCGGCGGGAGTTGCGGCGGATCCGATCAAGACACGGTCGGGTGTTGTGAGATTCTTAATGGCAGTGCCTTCGGCGAGAAACTCTGGGTTAGAAAGCACCTCAAAAGAGGCCCCAGGCCGGTGAGCAGCAAGCTATACTCATGTCAGAGACTTCAATGGATCAATCGACAAAAGGAGAGGCTTGAAAGAACATGCGCACCATTTTTCGCACTCGCTCCGCTGTGCCCCCGGGTACCGTGCTCTTCTCAACGATTATTGCCCCAGACTTCGCATGAGCTGCAACATCTCTCAAGGCACCATCAAACGCAACCATGTTAGTCGCAGACCCAGCGCCGACGCCGAACATCTTCGTGGGTGTATTGACTGCCATGAAGATAATGTCCGCCTTCGCGATCGCGCGCGCAGATTCACATGTGAAATACAGGTTCCGTTGACGTCGAGAGATCTCACTCTGGTCACTCTCCACGCCGTCACGAACCACTCTCACGAGGCTATCCAATCCAGGCTCATGGACAGGCAAATGCGGGGATTTCCATTGTTTGATACGTTGTGGGTCACGATCCAATACTTCCACTACCACGTCAGGGTTGTGCAGGGCCAAGACGGCGGCCGTGGGACCTCCTATATAAGACGTTAGTCGAAGATTTGGATTTGAACAGTATTCAAATGCTTACCAACGTATCCGGCACCAACTACACACACATTCTTGACAGGATGGGCTCGGTGGTGTTCTTCAGTAGGTGGGGTTGACTCAGGCAGCGCTAACTTGGGATCATCAACGTCTGAAGGGCGAAACAGAGGACTTGCGCTGGGACTGGTGGGAGCTGTAGAGCATGACTCTCCGCTCTCTGAGAACAGGATATCCATGGGGATCTCGTCGCATGACATGATGTTCTTTTTTGTTTTTTTTTTCTTCTATTCTGACCGTGATTCAAAGAACGAAGACTTGACCGCTTATATCGGTCATTCAATAAAGAATCAAGAAGACAGTGGCGCTGGAGAGGGGGGAAAGGTCAGTTGAGGATGTTATTTAAAAAAAAAAATAAGAATAAGAACATCGAAACCAATAGAGGAATCGATCTTCTTGAAACCTTGTTTCTCCTTTTTTTTCCCTCGTTCTTCGGAATGCATTTTGTGAATGACAACCCCTCATGACTTGAAGGGTTGATGAGATGTGGTTATCGGGGGGTGGTTGTGCCTATAGTTGGGGTAGAATGATACATGCGGAGGAGAGGATAAGAACGATTGGCTCAAGCCGCTCATCATCAGTTCTCATAGTTACATGTATTGTAAGCACCTCTCAGCGGGCAGCTTCGGCACGTGCCATCCGCGGAGTTACTAGTGAAATCGTGATCTCATTTACGCTTTTTGATACTTGCATTCATTTACTTCTTATCTCCCCTTTTTTCTCTTTCATGGGTGGGAGAAGAAAATAGAGAGAGGGAAAGAGGGAATGTCGCCACATCATGTCTGAATCCGCCCCGTTGCTCTCCTCATTCCAGACGAGTGATGAGTTCCCTAGTATCTTGCAGGGCAAGAAGATCTTGTTGGCAACAGAATCATGGGGCCCAGTCAATGGAGTTAGTCGCACCACTCGCAGTCTCGTCGAGTACTTGCAAGATCATGGTGTGAATCTTATTCTAGTCGCGCCCGATTTCAAAGGCGATACTACTAAGCAAACACAACCATGGGAACGACGACTCCCAGGATGCGCCCTGCCTTATAACCCGGATTTGACTGTCGTTTATCCATTCCATATTGGCCATGTATATCGACAAGCCTTCAAACCCGATATCATCTACCTGGCCAGTCCCGCATCGTTGGGTTTCCAGATGTTGTTACAGATTCGCCAGTTACGCTCGTCACCCCCCGTGCTTCTCAACTTCCAGACAGATCTATCCGCCTATTCTGAGATCATGCTTCCTGCACCGCTGGACCAGTTTGGGGTCTGGTTGCTGGGGGTGGTGCAGGGCTTCCTGTTTCGCTCCCGTGCCGTCCATACCATCTTTTACCCGTGTTCGGCCATTCGTGGCTACCTCAAGCACGTCGGGGCCCCCGTTGACCGAATGGTCCAGCTAGGTCGTGGAGTTGATACCGCTCTCTTCACACCGGATCAGCGAGACGAATCCTATCGCCAGGAGATCGCCCCGGATGGTGAAATCATTCTCATCTGCGTGTGTCGCATTGCACCAGAGAAAGGGTTTGAATTCCTCGCCCAAGTCGCCAGGCGTTTGGCCGTGGAGAAAGTCCCTTTTAAATTACTCATTGTTGGGGGAAATCGCAACCCAGTCGTTGAAAATAAGGTCAAACGGCTATTTGCCGAAGTTTCGAACCACATCGTCTTTACGGGCTTTCTCACTGGAGTCTCTTTGGCTCGGGCCTACGCCTCGGCTGACCTCTTCCTCCATTGTTCTGTCACTGAGACCTTTGGACTAGTCGTTCTCGAGGCTATGGCCAGTGGGATCCCCGTTATTGCCCGTGATCAGGGTGGACCATCCGATATTATTCGACATGGTCAGACCGGATTTCTTGTTCCACCGCAGGATCTCGACCAATTTACCCTTTTGACACGAAAGGTCACAGAAAACGCAGCTCACCGGAAGAATCTCGCGATCGCGGCCCGGCGACAAGCAGAGGACACCACCTGGGAGAAGATCAACCGTCGTGCAGCCTGGCAGATAGCTGAGGCGCTGACACATGCCGACCAAGAGTCGCACGGCCCTTCGCCCCGGGTCGGATCGGGAATCATCGCATGGGTCATCGAGCAAGTCTGCTTGGTGCTGGCCGTCGCGGTGGTCTATGGCATGTGGCTAATCGCCGTGGTACCCTTGATAGTTCACGGGCACCGTTTCGTTCCACGCGTATGGCAAGCGTTGCGGAATCAATTCCAGTGGAGTCGCCCACAGCCCCGGAGTTGATACTTCCTAGTACATGTATGAGACATAATCATGAGTCTATAGAGTAAGATGTACTTCATCTAATCTGCAGTGAGTTGCCTTTTTCTTGGGTGCTGCCATGATTATACGACTCTTACGATTAATACGATTATATTATCCACGAATTTATCATTTTATCTATGTATACCTAAGTACCTTGAAACAATGTATCTGTATCATGGGGTTTATATACGGCCCTTTGAGGTGCAGGTTTGGCGGGTTGGGCCAAGCCAAGCATGTAAAGGACGGTGATTAGATTCGCAGTGATATTACAACCGAACTGGGGCAGTGTCTGCAGGGACGAGGACATGCCCCTCTGTGACGAGGGAATTGGGACATGACAGACCGTCTACAAAGGCAGAAAAGTTTGTCAACGTGACCTCGGCAATCTCGGTCAGGGCTTCGTTGGTGAAGAATGCTTGGTGCCCACAGACCAGAACGTTGTGAAATGTCAATAAGCGCATCAACACATCGTCATCAATTATCTCGCCTTCATGATTGTTGTAAAACAGTTCCCCTTCTGCCTCGTACACATCGAGTGCGACGGCCCCTAGATGACGGGTCTTCAAAGCATGAATGATGGCCTTGGTATCAATCAATCCTCCCCTTGATGTATTGACCAGCATCGCCCCGGGTCTCATTTGTCCCAGGGTGGTTTCGTTGATCAGATGCCGCGTGCCTTCGGTCAGTGGACAATGAAGACTGACAATGTGGCTTTCCTGCAACAATGTGTCCAGGTCAACAAGGGTCCCGTACTGACCAAACTCATCTCCCGCGAATGGATCATGAGCGAGCATTTTACAACCGAAGCCGTGGAAGATACGTGCCGTGGCAAGACCTATCCTTCCCACACCAACGATACCGACGGTCTTGCCGTGCAAAGTGGTGCCTAGAAGTCCCTCAATATTGAAGTTCCCCTCTCGCACTCGATTGTAGGCTCTATGGGTTTTGCGATTCAGTGTCTGCACCAAGGCGACTGCAAACTCCGCCACCGCTTCCGGCGAATAGGCAGGAACGTTGGCGACGAAGAGGCCTAACTTTTCTGCGGTCGGGAGATCCACGTGGTTGAAACCTGCACATCTTAGCAAGATGGCTCGCACCCCCTGGGTGGTGAGGCTAGTTAGGACGCGGCTGTCCAATGTGTCGTTTACGAAGACGCAAACCGCATCACACCCGTTGGCCAAGGGTACGGTCTCCTCAGACAATGCAAACGCGTGATACTCAATTTGACACAGGTGTGGAAATCGCTGAGTGCGTACCTCCTCCAGATAGGTGCGATCATAGGATTTGGCGCTGAAGACGGCCAACTTCATGATTGGAGAGGTTTAATTTTTCTTTCTTTGGTACTATATCGGTTGTTTGACCAATATTTGGGAGGATATTCACCAGGACCAGAATGAATGAAGATATGCTTGGGCCCTTTGAGCAATGATTGAAAGTCATGACGCCATCATATCCATGTGTGAGTTTTCCCGAGACCATGGCTGCAAGCGTCGAGAGGGGAGACTTAGATCTCAACACTTCCCCGGATATCAGATCGGGGTAGGTCGATCGGAGGGAACATGGAACATTCCTCCCGTCTCAAGTTAATTTAATCCATGGGGAAGTACATTTGACGACCCCAGATTTCGGAGGGTGTCTTGGACAGGTTCAACCAAGGTCAGCATCTAGGTAGGATTGGGAATCGGTGTAGAGCTACAGGATGTAGTCAATAAGTGTGGAGTGAGGTGATAGGACTTCTGATAAGGATTGTATATTGTACGGTGTGTACTAGGTACATAAGTCGGGATACTGTACGTGCATGGCAGCGTGGCGGAGATGCATGGGGGTGGAAGATGCATCTGTACCAGTTGACTGTACTTGATCGTTTTCCCGGGACCGGCTGCTAAGTCCGGTCAAAAGTCATGTCGTACCGTGCGGGGGATTGCGGTGAGAGAGAAGAAATATACATACTAGTAAGCTCTGGGATTCTGCTATTTGAGTTCCTGTACAATATACTAGGTTTTCCAAACGGAAATGATCCCATTTGCCAAGAGAAGAGTGATGATCAAACATTCGAATCCCCCGTTGACCTCTCTATGGAGCATGTCATCAATATGCACCAAGTCAGTTACAGTACGGAGTATGCAGCTAAGGGAAATGGGGCTGGGAAGCTCGGACGAGGACCGAAACATTCCTTTTTCTTCTGCAGAATTACTTCATCTAGGAATGCTATTGGAAAGCGGTGATCTTGATTGGGTGAAAAGGGAGGGAACTCCGCACTGCTCCGAGTCCGTGAGTAAAGAGGAAGCTGTTTACTGTACCGTTCTGATGTGGATTTTGTGGGTTTTGTGGTTTGCATTATTCATGGCCCGACTGGTTGGAACCGAGGTCTGTTTTCCACCAATCAACGAGCTCTGATAAGCCTGCAACGCCACCTCCTTCCTGATTGGCTATCCTCAAGCCACTAGTAAACCTTGGAGCTGGATCGGGACTAGCGTGATTAAGTCCCCAGTGAAAACGGACAAACGGGAAATCAAAAGGGAAATAATCAGAAATAATCAGAACATTTGGACATTTGCAAGGGCGGGAATCGAGGGTCAAGATCATGATGCATCAACTTGTATTCCACATTCTTGACATTTTCTCTTATCTTCAAGGTTTGGCCAATGCATACAATATTTTGAAACTTTAGATCGTATACATCATAATGAACAAAGGTGTAAGTGATCAATCCCGATCATCTCTCTGATGGGTCAACCTCCGCGAAACATAGCGGGGGCTTTTCTTTTTGGTTTTTGGACTTGGGTGGACTTGAGTGGAGAGAAAAATGGAGAGAAAATTGGAGAGGAATGCAATACGGCAACTCAATGCGGAAACCCATCATGCGTTCGGGATATGTACTTGCATGTGTAGTATTCTTACTTTCTACCTCCAAAACCAGACGAATAAGATCGGATTTTCCTTTTGCTACTAGCAATCTACAAAAAAAAAAAAGGAAAGAAAGAAGCGGTCAATCTGTACTTTTGGACTTGTATAGGGATTTATCAGATTTGCATTTAAAAAAGAAAATGTGGAAATATCGGTGAGTCCCAAATTTCCCCAAAGTTAAGTTGGCGGGTAAAAGGATTCGGGCTTGGACGGGAAAACGAACTCGCGTCGTACCCGATCGTAGTATTACTAGTCTTCTAGTTCAAGGTACCTAGTATAGAGTAATAGAGTAATATAGTACTAATATATCCAATATTCATTTATATCTTACTTTCTTTTCCCTTGAACCCTTGATATCTTTTTTCTTTCCCATAGTATCTCACTTTCTATGTATTCTATCCTCCCTTGATGATCTTCAAGTGATTCAAGTCAAAACTTCGCCTCCTGATCCTCGTCAATCTCATGATTGATTTACTCCAATCTCATTAAATCCAAATCTCTCTCCACCTTTAACCCGCCCCAGTTCTCTCTAGCCTCAACGCTCCTCCCGTGCTCCACCGCCATCTCGGCCATTCACCGTTTCCATATTGCCTTGGCCTCGTGTGCTCTTTACTTTGCCCCTCGACATCACCACTTTTTAATGGCACTTTGCCTCCCCTTTACCCGTCCCCATAACAATCACCTTTCTTCCTGACTTCTTCGCCTCATTTATTTTATTACTTCCTCTCCCTCATATCTTCTACTCTTTTCTTTCCCTCACTTTTTCCTACACACACACATACACACACAACCACTCACATATCGTCATACCCACCCCCAATGTCTACTCACGTTATGACCGCCACCGCCCCCGGCACCGCCAACCAGATCTCAGTCTATGGTCACCCATCGCCCACAAACTCCAATACAACTACTCCCTCAAACAATTCTCCTACCTCCCCTCACCTTAATACCGCCACTCTGCACCAACTGCCTTTGCAGTCGCGTCAGCTCCGCCCTCCCAAGGGCCCGCTGTACGTCCCCGCGGCTTTGCGACCGACCGAGCGTCCTCAAAAGTCCTCTCCCATTACCCCACCGCGCAGCGTGCATGGTTCCCTCGACAGTCTGAACGAGGACTCGGACGAACCCATCAGTCGCCGCTCCACTATGGAGAGCAAGTATAGTGGCATCAGCAAGTCAGCTGAGCATGAGTGGATGAAGACCGAACAACTGGGCCTTGTGACTGGCCTTCCCACTCGGGATCACTGGAAAGTAAGTTCTGAAAAATGAAAGAAGAAGAAGAAGAAACAAAGCATCACGGTGATGAAAGATTCCCTCTTCATCTTATAAATGCCCAGTGGTGATGAATGGCGTATGCATCCTCGGAAATGTCGTGTGCAAGCACGCCATCTGTTGAACGTGACAAGCGCACATATCCCATACTTTGACCCTAATCACCATTTCACATTGTTTTCTTGGGAGCTTCTCACATTTTCTCTTCGGTCGCGAAACCTGCTTGCTGACATTCCTCCCTCAGGCGGACTCTGCTTCCCCCAACTGTGACTCTCCGACTTGTCGCTCCTCTTTTGGCATCTTCCTGCGTCGCCACCACTGCCGCCACTGCGGTCATGTCTTCTGCTCCTCCCACACCCCTCACATTGTCCCTCTCGACCAGGATGCCCGCTTCCACCCGGATGGTGTCCCTTCCAGAGCCTGCGATCTGTGCTGGAGTGCTCACCAGCGCTGGGAAGAGACTCGCACCGATCGACTCAATAAGATTCAAAACAACATGGATTGCAAGAGCATTCACGATGATGCCACCCAAGATCTCGAGAACAGCCAGGAGTCCGGTCGTGCCCTGCAAGCCAACCTAGGACAGACTGCCGACGTGGCGGCCAGTGTTCCCCGTGACTGGAACTGGAGCACCTTCTGATCTCCATCGCCGGTGATATACTGCGGCTCAGCAGGTCTAGTTGCAGTCCATTCTTCACTTCTATCTACTCATCATTTTACTCTTATCTTTTCGACGATCTTGATTTGCGACCATGGTTTACGGAGTTCAATTGGCGACACTGAGAGGGAACTGCCTTTCCCTACGACCTACTATTGTGTTTTATGTTTTGTTTTGTTTTCTTTTGATTTCTCGCTCGACATTTTGCCTAGATGTGTTTGATTTTCGCCAGCTGTCAGTCAGCAGCTTTGGCATATTGTTTTATTTTCTCATTCTTGATACCCAGCTATTTTTATCGAGTGACGATCTCGATTTATGTTTCTTTCCATTTCATACATCAATTTCATACATCATCTGGTTTCCTGTTTTCGGATCCGCAACCCTTCAAAATGAGGCGGTGCGGATTCAAAACAAATCGCCCGATGCTGTCCCAACAAGTCCACAATTTAAATGAATTTATTATCATGGTATCCATGTTGTACACTCCGGTGCAAATCTTAGCACCATTGGACTTTCAATGTTCTCAACAGCGGGCCACCGAGTAGTTTCAAAGCCTTCTGATGCTATTACTACCTAATGTTAGTTCTCACCTGCACCTGGGCATTCCGAATGTATACAAATCCCGAGGTCGTCAAACTAGAGCTTCGGCCCTTTCGGAACGGTCACTTCCCGGGTAATATCGACCTCTGACCACCATGGATAATATGGAGCTCCCAACAACTCCGACTCGAAGCGAGGCCGGCGCTTCTCCAAGAAGGAACGAACCCCCTCTTTGTAATCCCTAGTGTGACGTCAGCAGTGTCTAATAACCAAACAACCTTGATAAGTTGATATCATAGAAAGCTCATACCGTTGTCCAATCATATGGTGAAACACCCTCGACTCCAACAAATGAGCCGCTTCGGGCGTACCAGGGCCTTCCCACATCAGGGCACGGCTCATGGAGGAAGCTAGCGGGCTAACATTCTCCGCAATCTCTTGAGCCAGTTCTAGACCTCGCGGTAGCACTTTCCCCGCATCGGGAAGGACCTCTGTGAAAAGATCGCCGAAATGCTCAGATGTAGGGGGGTAGACGCCACCAGTAGTGATCAAGTACATGGCACGCGAGAACCCGACAAGCCGTGGCAGGAAATATGACGCACAGGACTCTATGGTCAAGCCGCGTCTAGTGAAGACGAATCCGTATTTGCTCTTTTCATGGCAAATCCTACATGTCCATTTGAGGCAGATTAGCACTCCCGAATATGATAGATCCATCACATCCATATACCTCTATAGTTAGGCATCCAGATAATCCAGATAATCCAATACCTCTTAGGTAGTATGACAGGTATATTAGGATATGCATACCGAACAGCAGCTGGCAGGGTCATTGTCATGCCAACCCCGACAGCAGACCCATTTAGAGCCACAATAGTAGGCTTATGGCATCGATGCATCGCCAACGCGACCCGGCCGCCACTAAGGTGCACACGAACATAAGCAATTGATTTACATGGATTTTCCGTCAAAGCATGTGAATTTAATACAGATGGGGGCTTCCAGCCTTGGAAAGAGGGTCATCACATACATATCCCGAAAGTCCACTGCTCTTCCTTCCCCGCTTCCGAATCCAACATCAAGATCCGATCCAGCACAAAACATCCTCCCTGCCCCAGTCAATACAACCGCCTTCACGCGTGGGTCGAGATGGACTATTCGATATGCCTGGGTGAGGCTTTCTGCCATCTCTGGGGTAAATGCATTGTGCTTTTCTGCTCTATCCAAAATGAAGGTAACCACGGGAGTTGCCTTTGGAGCTCCAGAAGGGTGATGTGAGATCTTCAAGTGTGTGAGCTTGAGAGTCTCGTACGATGTGGGGATATCAATGCATGTAGATGCCATTGATGATCAAATCTTCAAATGAATAGCTAGAATTGCATTAATAACAGAATTTCAAAGGTTCCAAGCAAGGATATCAGTTGACTACTTCGGTAACAGATATTTATATACACGTGCATCCATACCTACTAGTATGTATCGGTCAACTGGTAGCACTCCACATGTCAAGCGAGTACCTAAAAATATTTCAAATGTTTGAACTGATCCATTTTCAAATGTTCAAATCTTCTTATGCACACACGTGCATGCATCGGAGACTGCACATGTGAATATCTGGATACACATGTGGTACATAGTACATAGGTGTGTATGCCGTATTTACCTCGGCTCACGACATCTGGAGCACTGGGATCGGCCCGGTAAAACTTGGAATATCAGCCTTAGCTAGTACATGTACATTGTGCATGTGTTTACAAGATGACCAGCACTCCCTGGAGGTGCATGTGTATACTGGTACATAGGGCGGGGTTCAATGTTGGATTCATTTGAATTGATCAATAGGTACATACAACATTGAACATTGAACCTAATACACACATGTGCATGTGAAATTCGAGCATCCAAATCAAACAAATACCCTATCAATTGATCATAAAAACATTGTAGACTCCGGACAATTGATGCATACTATCAATCAATCATCGCTCTCACCCGAGAGTCACACCTGGGCAGCCCCGGTACCAGTGTTAAAATAAATCTGCGCCCACGCTATCGACATCACGAATAAGCCGGTAGGGGTGTCCCAAATCATACCATCCACAGAAAGGTGCACTAGCCTTCCACCCTAGTAAGTCCTGCACTTCAGGATCTAATTTCCTAGCCTGCTTCTGTGAGACTGCGAGGAACTGATTCTCTTCCGACCGATAAACACCCTTGCAAAACAATGTAACAATCACGCTTCGAAATGAGTCGGTCGTGGCATTGGCACCAGCTCCATGGTAGCAATTGCCCAGCATCAAAAGGGCATCGCCAGTGTCCATTTCGCCATAGCTGACTTCATCCACGGAGGGTTTCCGTACATCATCCCAAATATGTGAACCCAAGACAATCTCCGTTGCACCGTTCTCTTTGGTGACTTTAGAAGCTATTCATTTGGGTGTCATTAGGAAATAATAATTACACACAACAAAAGGGGGGGGTATCTTACTTGCAACAAAACATCCCAGCTTGGTGGTCTCTTTGGGGTCACTGTGGGTGTGTGTAGCATGGTGATCCTGGTCATCACGGTGAAGGCCTTGTCGGGCGCTGCCAGGTCCCACGCGAACCGTGAAGAACGAGCTCAACAGCGGAGGAGAAACACACTTGTTGCGAGCCTCGCCCCACCAGCTCTCGGTGGTCACACTGAGTACATCATTGACAACGGTCTTTACAGATGGGTTCTGCAAGATGGCCCTGACAGCAGAAGGCGACTTGCCTGCCAGTCCGCAGACAGTCTTGGTTTGCTTTGCAAAGACCTCGAGTCCGCTATTATAGTCGGCATCCATGTATGGCTTAATCTCGCCGTTGATATCACTGATAAGATCCAGCGACAGGAGATTTTTGACGACAACGGCACCATCCCGGTAAAGGATATCCAGGAGATTTTCTGGTGGTGAAGTGGCCGGGAGTGCTTTGACCGGACGGGGAGAGATGGAGCCCATATTGAATGAATATGGGATGATCAGAACTTGATGGACGGAGATCAACAACTTGAAGTGCTTCCAAACGACCAAATTGGTGGCCTTTGAACCTTTAAATAGCATTGATCTCGGATGGAAAATGATCAACCACCACTTGACCGCATTTCTCCGGGTTGAAACTTGGATCGCATGCGCATATTTTCGTAATTTTCTCCCCTCTTCAACCTAATTTGGTGAGTGTGATGGGAAGAAGAGTTCATTGAGATTGATTCCTCGTTCAGGTAAACAATGAGATGGAGATCATCTGATTTCGAGGTGACTGAGCAGATGCAAGGAGATTCAAGTTGGTCCGTGCGATGATCAAATATTCGATTCTTGAATCTTTGAGTGTTTTAAGACTCAAGAGAATCAAAAAGGTCCATCTTATCGAGTTGCCTAATCGGGATGGAGCGCACAGACCAGAGGCCACATATTGAACGCTTGAATCATGAATGGAATGAAATTCAAGTCTCTGTCACTTACCAATAACAGCGAAGTTAGTCCATCATGAGTCTGAATGTTGTATTCGAGATGGTCAGGTTAATAATCCATTTGGCTCATTCGTTGACCAAATAAGGAATCAATCAGCAACCTTGGAAATGGATATACCGCCCAAATTGATCAATAACAAACAGATGGAAGAATTACAACGTTCATAAGACCCTTGGAATTCGAAAACCACCAGAGCTACCACCAGATGTCTTTGTGATTCTTTCTTCCGGTGTTTGAATTTCCCAAAAATCCAAAATATGAATTCCAGAAACCCGCCTATTCTTGATGGCAGTACTTTTGACTATATTATCATCGGAGGCGGCACCGCAGGCTGTGTACTGGCAGCGGAGCTCTCCACCGGGATACCAGATGCCTCTGTACTCCTGGTGGAAGCCGGTCGAGACTCAGATCTTCAAGCCGATGTTCTTGTTCCCGGCAAGTATGTCAAACAGCTACAGGAAGACAAAGAAGGGTTATGGGAGCTGGAAACAGTTCCTCAGCGTGAGTTGAACGACAGGCGACTGACCTTTCTGCGAGGAAGACAACTGGGAGGCAGCTCGTACGTTTTTTTCACCGGCCAACTTTTGAATCGAGCCACGCTGACTCCTCAGAGCGGTGAATTATATGGCGTTGGCACGAGGCCCTAAAGATGATTACGATCAGTGGAGTCAGTTGACTGATGATGAAAGTTGGAGGTGGGAGAACATATTACCGTTGATGAAGAAGGTACAGCATTCTTCCAGCGTTCATCTCTTTGATTCATGGATGATCCACAATCTCACATACTATATCCATACTAGTTGGAAGACTTTGACTTTGCCTTGCCCGCCGGTATGAACAAGTTTGCAAGTCCACTGCCGTCAAATCATGGCACCTCTGGGTGAGTAAGGCTATGCTTATTCTATCATGTTCCACGTACCCGCTCAACCCTCAAAGTCGGTTCCTAACAAAAGAATAATAGACCGATCAAGCTGGGCTTTGGGAAAGAAATGGTCCCGGGTGTTGCGACATACATTGAGGCATGCTTAGAAGCCAGTATTCCCCTATGCCTGGACAACAATGCTGGTAACCCAATCGGGGTTGGGTTGGCCCAGTTCAATGTACGTGATGGCGAGAGGGTTTATGCAGCTAATGGGTTTCTTCCTGCATCCACGCGGAAGAGTCTCAAGAACCTGGTTATTTTGACAAGCACCGAGTGTGACATGGTCCATACGACCAATGGACTTGCCACCCACGTGGATCTATACAATACCTCCACAAGGCGAACAGGTTAGTATATCAGTTGATCAGATGTTCGATCTTTCTTACGCGTTGCTAATTAATTCTTTCTTTCCATCCCCACTAGTCATCGTTCACTGTCGAAAGGAAGTCATTTTGTCTGCTGGCACTTTTGGGTCTCCAAAGATTCTAATGCTGTCCGGCATTGGCCCAAGAAAAGATTTGGAGCAACATGGAATTCCCGTCAAAGTTGACTTGGCGGGTGTTGGTCAGAATATGCTAGATCATTCCATCATCACCTGTGAATACAAAGTGGATGACCGCCTTCCAGCACACAACAAGATCTTCCTTGATCCAAAAATTCTTGCCAAGGCCGAAGCTGAGTATGCGCACAGCCGGACTGGTCCCCTTGCCATGTACGGATCCAGTGGGTCTGTGGCATTCCCCAAAATCCAGCTGCTCTTTGAATCCAAAGAGTTTAATGATCTTGACTCTCAAACCAAGCAATTTTTGTTGGAACCAACGAGACCTTCGGCCGAGATCTGGCTTGGATCCGGACCATCAGTCTATAAGGGGAACGTTCAACCAGAAGAAAGCTACATCACCCACGAATTGCTATTGCAAAACAACCTGTCAAAGGGTGTGATAAGTATCCGCTCAAGAAACCCACGAGACCACCCAATTATTGATCCCAAATTCCTCTCCCATCCATTTGATCGTCGGATCGCCATTGAAACCGTCCGGAAGGCTATGCAAATTTCCCGCTCCAGGGCATATGAAGGAGTGATAGAGACGATGGTACATGGTCCTATTGATGACACTGACGATGGGATATTGGACTTTATTCGGAAAAATCTTGACCAAGGATACCATTCCATGTCGACTTGCCGCATGGGTATAGACGATACAGCCGTCGTCGACTCATGTTTCCGAGTTTCTGATGGGAGCCCTGGTGGGCCCCTTAGAGGGACGTTCAACAATCTCCGGGTCGCTGATCTTAGCGTCTGTCCCATTCTCACATGGCAAGCCTTCCGCAGTCTTCCCTTGTCTTGCCTGTCGCGTCCAAATCTAACTCTGAAACAGCAATCATACCCAGATCAATGCCTATTTGATCGGCCTTCAGTGTGCGCACAAGATCATTGACCAGCACAGGCAATCTATCCAGCGTGCCAGGCTCTAAACTTTGAAACTAGTATGGAGAGAATTCCAAGTCAACGTACAGTATCAAGAACTAGAGAAACAATTTCATGCTATTTTTGTCATATAAGAAGCACTGTTCCATGGCCCCAGCCCACCATCAAGTCCAAATATTCAGTAGGTCGGCTCCCGATCCACACTTTTTCTAAGATTTTCAGTGCACTTTGCACATTTCCAAAGCCTCCGGAGTACTGCATACACTGAGCTCGTTCACGAATCCATTCTTGTTGTTTTACATCCCGTATCTCCACGGCTGCGTGGAATAATGGCCATAGCAGCTGATCGGACCAGCCAGACGCAGGTGGAGTAGACTTCACATGATATAAAACACTGCTGACGAGCCAATTTAATTCGTAGTCATCCACGTCACAGCAGAATAGACGAAGCAAATACAGAATTATGGCGAATCGATAGGCTTCGGTCAAGTGAAACCAGTTCTGGCCTCTCTGTGAATGGATTGGACCACGCAGCAGTCTATGTTTGATACTTTGGATCCGATTCAGTGTTTCTGTTGAATTAATGACAGAGCTCGATGATTCCTTGTGTAAAGTGCCGATCTCGTGAATAAGCTTAAACTGATCTAGTGGACAAGGAATCGCGTCGAACCCCCAGAAGTCCCCGCATTCACCAAGCAAGTTCTGGATATCCTGTGCCGCAAAGATTGTTGAACGAGAATGGGATGCGGCAGCCATTACATCCAACCTACAATAGTTCGTTAGCTACTATCTTGTATTGGCCAAGAGTCAGCAGCTGGTGGGATGTTCTTACCAAACCAAGTACTGTTCCATAAAGCATCCTAGCGTGCGCTCTTGACGTAACTCTATTAGTCTTTTGGCACCCTGGAAATGGGATTCGAAATCCGAGGCACCTCCATGGCAGATATCGCAGAGACAGAGCATAAGTATTGTAGCAAGAGTTCCGGGATGGATGGCTCGAGCTTGGGAGTATAGATCTTCTTGGAGTCGTTTCATTGCCTTGCCCTTGAACTTGTAAAATTCCCGCTGGTATTGATTTGTTGACAACCTGACATCGTAATGACATGCTGCTAGTGCGGCACATGCATACATCAAAGAGGGTATCTCGATAGCGAGAGGGAAAATATAATCTCGGTATGGATTTTGAACGTTGTCGACGCAAAGCTTCGGTATTACTTCGCAAAGATCTGGAATTCATTTTCATTAGCGTACGCAATGCTTGTTTTCAATTTAAGAGAAAAGGTACGAACGATATTCCATGATAAATCTCAGCTCGGTCGGAATATTCAACGCATCAATTGTTGGATACAAGTGGTTATTCATTTCCATGTGAGTTCCAATATCCAGGGTTGGCGGCTTGATAGAAGTATCCACCTCAACGATAGATTGAAAACCCACTAAGCTGTCAAAAAGAAGTAGATTATCTTCGAGTGATAATTGTGGATCAATTGGTATGTCTTCATCGGGAAAGACTTGAGGGTCCAGAATATCCAGCTGGACGATATGGCCTTCCCTTTCTTGTTCGGAGGGTGACTGCAGAGACGAAGTAGGATTTGAAGCAGGGGAAGTAGAAGGAAGCGCAATCGGAGTTGAAGGGACGGTATGCTGCTGGCTCCCAGTCCGACGTGATTTTCTTGTTTCCTCTCCATTTGTTGTCTTTGCTTCTTTCGCTTCTTTCGCCCCTTTCGCCCCTTTGGCTGCTTTGGCTCCTTTTGTTACTTTCCCTCCTTGTCTTTTGCTGGTGCTCACGGGAATACTCTTGCCAACAAATTTCCCGCGGCTGGCGAGTCCTGGCCATTGTAATAAATAGCCCTCGCAGGCAAGTCCATTGGATTCACAGGTATTGCATGTCGGTAGTCGTCGATCACATCCTCGCCCACGACGCCGACATGTTTTGCAGGCCCTACCAAAATATCCTTCGGTGGACATTTGGGGGATTTTGGAGAGAGAAAAAAAAACAAGGCGAAGAACCAAAAGAAAACCAAGTGAATGGCCTAGACTTTGGAAGGCGAGAAAGCAATTCAAAGGGGAAACACCGTTATCTCTCTCCGCTAGCGGGAAGCGGGGGAAAAGCATGATAACAGGCGATAACGTTAGTATCTACGGTCTACCAGTACTAGTAACTTACTAGTACTAGTAAGAATACAAGCTGAGACTCATAACCTCGTACTGATGAATCTGATGAATCTGATGAATCTGATGACACTGATGACACCTTGATAAGTTTCCCCTCTCCAAAATTTGAGCAATTATTAATATCTCACTGTCGATGCTACCAGCAGAGTACTTACTACTGACTGCCGGTCCCAAGTGGGGCTCCGGGATCACGATTCACCAGCACCTTCCCTTTTCGGTATCAATCTGAGCTGCTGAATGAGGTTAGGCCTTAATTTTTGTACTTTTTGACTATAGAGCCATGATATCAGCATATGTCTGGCTCAAAGGTCTCGACTTTGGCCATCTACTCCACCACATCTGTTACTAAACATCGCTTATTTACTGTGCAGTTCCCAATCAATCGAAACACTATAGTGGCTTCATACCTACTTGAACCCCCCCCCTTCCCCCAGAAAAGAAGTGCAGTTCAAGAATTCTCATTGCCAAAATATATCCACCAGTCATGGTAAAACGCGTTTTGGTCGGGTATGGCATCGACGTGGATGCCGTCAGTGGTTGGTAAGAAAAGAATATCGAGTCCCAGAGTACATCAAGACCTCCGGTTGATTTGGGTCAACGGCTCTAACTATTAGGCTTAGGATCAACACCGAAGACGGCCATTCACCAGATCCAACCGATGTCTCGCGCGGTATATTCGGGGCAACGGTTGGCATTGACCGACTTCTCAACCTATGGGAAAAATACAACATCAAAACCTCCTGGTTTGTCCCGGCTCATTCCATCGAGTCCTTTCCAACCCAGATCAAAAAGATCAAAGATTCTGGTCACGAGATGTGAGCATCTTTAAAATTCCGTCTTTCGTGACATTTCTTCCATTTGATCCTGACTCAACTTTCTAGTGGCTTGCACGGCTATTCGCATGAGCATGTTGATGCCCTTACGGAGCAACAAGAGCGTGATGTTTTGGCTCGATCCATTGAAGTGGTTACCGCATGCACGGGCGAACACCCAACGGGATGGACGGCCCCATCTTGGAGGACCTCTAGTCGGAGTATCAAGCTATTGGAAGAATTTGGAATCGTAACTATCTCCACTCACTGCGAGCCTCGAAAATCACTCACCCCTTGAATAGCAATATGACCATTCCTTCATGCACCATGACTCCCAGCTCTATTATGTGCCGTATGCTCCCGAGAAACTCACAGTGACCGATATCTCAAAACCCGCCAGCCAGTGGATGAAGCCAATGGGTAAACTTGTGCCCAGCAGTATTGTCGAGGTGCCTGCCAATTGGCACTTGGATGATTGGCCTCCATTCCAGCTCGTTGATGGTCCATCCCATGGGTATGTGGACCCTGACACAATTGAGAGGCTATGGAAAGCGCAATTTGACTTTTTCTATCGTGAGTATGACACCTTTGTCTTCCCCATTTCGATTCATCCACAGGTTAGCGGAAAACCACAAGTGATTATGTTGCATGAGCGTCTGATTGAGTATATCAACTCCCACCAAGGAGTAGAATGGTGCACATTTGCTCAGATGGTGGAAGAGTTCAAGTCTGGGAGAATTGGAGGTGCGCAGGTGGAAGCGGGTGTTGACTTGTGAAACGACATGAGTCTCTTTTTTTTGGCTTTTTGAACACTTGATATTTGAACCAATCTATGTCGGCGAGGTCTACTATATTCAATGTTCAATACAATATGTTTGTTTAATGATGTCATGCAAAGTACGAACATGGCCTATGGATGAGATTCTGGGCTGCCACATACGTACACTAGGCTATTTGTAGTGCATACTACATTCAAATGTTGGAAATTCAAATGTTGAGGCGAACATTGAAATACATGATGAGCAGGAAATCTGGATACGTGCATATACATTGATAGCAGAGACTGGGCATTTCAATCACATACTATCCAACCAGCACTTCAATGTTGGTCATCTCCCCTTCAAGTCAAAGCATTCATCTGAAGCAAGTCAGTTCTCAGCCTTTGTTTTCCTCCGAATACGCAGCTTGCACCTGCACCTCCACCAAAGCCTCCGGTGGAAACAAGGCCATCACACAGATAGCCGCCCAGGCCGGCTTATTCTTTCCAAAATACTTCCGGGCAATTTCGGCGATCTGCAGTTGCTCTTCTCGCGAAAGAACACCAACGTGGAATGAAGTCACGTAAAAGACGCCCTCCCATAACCGTGCAGGATTGGTGATGTGAGGTGAGGCAGCGGCCAGTGATTTTTGGATATTGAACATGGATTTTTCGAATTGTTCGGCGTGCTTTCCCCAGAGAGGATCGTGATTGTCAGCAATCTGACCGGAACATGCCACAATGCGAGCACTGGCAGGAATGGAAGCGGCAGCGGAAATATTGAAAATATTTCCAAGTTGTTCATATCCAGGATAGTCAAAGCAGTTGACGGTCGGCATCTTTCAACAATGTTGGGAGTTTGAACCTTCAAATGTTACAAATTTTTGTGGTTTTGAAGATTTTCCCAGGTTCTCAGGTAGGATGTAGACAGATCACAGTAGTATGGACTCGGAGCACTTGAGGGCAGCGAATGGTTGGATTCGAGAATGATAGCTGAAATTAGTGCTATGTCCATATGAAATACCTCAGGTCTTATATAAAATTCAATATTCCATGACAGATAAACCTCGATTGGCAGTCTTCAATGTTGGAATCTTCATTCTTGGTCCAACATTGAGACTTGCGCTTCCTACTTCCTACTTGGGCATCTATTAGGTACTAGGTGAGCGAGAAAACATTGGCTTCCAACCCCCGCCAGTCCGTTTTGGGTATAAATTTGAGATACTCCACTGTGCAGTTTCAACTTCATAGTAGTTGGTATACCGAGTCCCAAATTTCACCACTCAGGTCTACTATATTCATCCCTTAAAGGTTTGATTTTAGACGGAACATTGAAGAAAGGGGGGTTCAGGCCATCTTCCAAAGTTCATCTTTTGCAATATGGCGATGCCTAAAAGGAGAGCGTCGAAACCTCTAGGAAGTCAGGATGATATTGATCTTGGACTCGTAACCTACTACCCAGGAAAGCGTGGGCAAACAAATATCCTATGGTAATTTTTTTTCTCTACTCGAGGCCAAATGTCACAAATCCGTACTGGTCGATGTAGTTGTTGACTATGGGATCACATTGATAATTGTCAAATGATGATTTTATCCCTCACGTGATTGGATGAGGGAAATGCAGGTCAGGTGACTCTCCACTCCACTTCCCTCGATCCGTTGCTGCACAGCCAAAGCGACGTCTCTGTGCCTTCGCCTCAAGATCTATCGCAACCATGGCTGGCCCCAGCAAGTGTAAGACCTGCTGAGATCTCCAACTTACAAGACCGTGGATTTTGCTAACCAATTGATTCTAGCCTTGATCCTTGATCCGGCCTTCCAGAAATACTACGGTACATCAAACCCACTCCCCCGTCTTCCTCCACCCCACGCTTCAAGAGATATGCACCCGGAGCGACGCTTGTTGTGTTGCTTAGAGGATAAAATTGTGCCCCGGCAGATGGGAAGCGCGCCGGTCGCGCATCTAGCCATCGATTGAACCCCCCAGCGGCGCTGTTCATAGACATGGACTGACAATAATTACGACAGAGCTCAACGCCAACCGCTACAAGTACTTCCGCTGGACCCCGCGCCATGCTTGGATGTCCATTCTGTACATGGGTGTAATTCCTGGTATCCTGACCTACGTTACCTACCAGACCGAGGTAAGACTTGCCTCTAAAGTCGCCAGTATATAGGCGCAAGACCGATAAGAATGAACTGACAATGCGCAGGGCAAGTTCGAACTCCGTGGCAAGCGCAAGGGAGACACAATCTCCGAGTGGTAAAGAACGATGCGGGATGTCAATTCTTTCAATGATAGTCACCGTACAACTATGATGATGGAGAGTTATGGGTGTGAAAATGCCCTCCAGTGATCGCGAGGTCAATCTTTGAGCAAAACTGCTTTTTTTCTTTTACTGTGCCTGCTTCAACCAGGCTATGTACGTTACTGCAAGCATATACCGCATGGACTTTTTTTGTTTCTCTTTTCTTGTTCATAACTGGCCCTCATCGTCGAACGCACGCAAGAGGCTTCGCGCATACACCATCCGTATCCTATTGTTCTAGGTCTGAAGTGTGAAGCTTAACTCGAATTTCGCTCAAAAATGCCACTCATTGCAATCGACAACTCGCATAATATCGGTTCATCAACGGGGACATATTGATTTATCAACTCCATACATATTAATCATACATGCTGCAAAGTTGGGTATTCCTGTAGCTCCGGTCGGCCCATAACCACAGCTCCCATAGAACAGCTCTCAAGGCTATATCATTATTTTTTGGGGCGGTTTTGAGGTGAGGTCTTTTTTTTCAATAGGGGTTCCATCCTCGTCGACCGCCACCTCGCGTACCTCCCTCGGGAAGCCTCTCTCCCCTCCTCCAGTCACCCATGGGAAGGTTAGGACCCCCACGGTCTCGATCCCCACGACCGCCGCGACCCGACCGTCCCGATCCATTTTGTCCGAAAGCGCGCATGCCACCTCCTATCTGAGGAGGGCCGAGGCCAGCGCGTGGAGGTGGTGCGATAGATCCATCATCAAGCGGCGGCAATACCGCGCATTCAACATAGTCCCCAATTATAAATCGTGCGTCCTGCAAAGATTTGTCGGCCTCCCCACCTTGGAAACGGAGAGGTCCTGGGCGAGGTGTTGATTCTCCTAGATCATGCGCATCTTTCTCTGTCCGATACGTGCTATCCCTTGGAGCAACGACCACACTGCCCAGTTCCCTGGTGACATAGCGACCGGCGCGGACATCAGGGCCAGCCATTGCCGCGGCCCGCGCGTCGGGGTAGATTAGACGGAAACAAAGTCGAGTACCGACGGGCGAGTTAGGCAGTAATGATGGCAAAGCAGAGGTGAGAAGCTGTGAAAGCTCTCGAAGTGTGCATGACTGCCAAGTGTAGATCTCAAGGTGGTGAGGGAGTGGTGCAGCAGCTGGAGGAGAAGGCGCTCGAATGGCATTGGGCCCACTGAGGGGGCCACCGCGATGGCGGGAAGGGGCAGGGATTTTGTAGTCGGACAGGGAGTGGAAGTTGCCGACGCGATAAAAAAGCTTGAGGTGGAAAGGTGTAGTTGTCTGGCGATTGATCGGAGGCTTGGGGCCATCTCGGGATGGAGCGGCCATATTGGGCAGAGTGAGATGTCGCGTGTAGGATCAGTCGAACAAGAAGAATGTGGGATTGAATGGTGCGAATTCAAAAAGAGAATTACAGGCTCTTTTGGTGGCTCAAGTAGGTTTCACGGGCTAGCCACAAAGTTGGTGAAGAAGTTGGAGGGAGAAGGTTGAAGTTAATTCGAAGTCTGATTGCGGCTTGGAAGCTTAGGTCCACATTAAACATTCTCTCTCTTCCCTCTTAGCTTTCCGCACACCCTTCATCCATTCAACATCACCGTTACGCCTACAAAGAATCGAAATTGAATCCACCCAAACCACATGTAGGTGAAACTTGACATCTGATTCACTGCCTTTGCTGAAGAAGAAGAAGAAGAAGAAGAAGAAGAAGAAGAAGAAGAAGAAGAAGCCTGTTGAGGCAAGAACTGCGCCATCATGGATTTCGCCGCGCTGATGTCTAAGGAGATCTCCAAGGCCAAGAGCACTGGCTCCGCCAAATCCTCCGGTACCCAAAAGGAGAAAGAGACCTCAACAGCGCCTTCAAAGAAATATATGCGCCGAGGAGAGGTCGAGGCGGCGCGCCTGACGGCATACGAGGAGGAGCAAGAACGTCTTCAAAAAGAACGCGAAGAGAAGCAAGCCAAAAAGCGCAAATTCGAGGAGGAAGAGGCAGATCGACAACGTGAACGAGAAGAGAAGAAGGCCAAGCTTGCGGAGGAATCCAAGAGGAGAAGGGAGGAAGAGGAAGACACCAAGGAGCGCGAACGGCGGCGAAGACTCGGACTACCCGACCTACCCATCAAAAGCGACGGTGACGAAATACCTGGCGATGGAGACGACAAGGTGGAGATGGATGAAGATGAACTAATTAAAAAGCTTCGAGAGTTGAACGAGCCTGTGCGGTTGTTTGGAGAGAACCACCGCTCCCGGCTCCGCCGTTACCACCGAATCGTCAAACGAGCTGCTACATTACAGAAGTTGACCGATGGACCCATCCCCACGACCCTAGAACCTGTGCCTGGTGGTCAAATGCTGATCCCCGCTAAGATTCCGACGGGAGATGCCGATCGACTGTTCCTCTTCCGACAATTGGCGTCCTACTTCAACATGATGCTTTCGGAGTGGGAGCTGGCTTTGGCCAAACGGGATGTGTCAGTTCGGGAGAGTCATCAGGGAAAGCAAGCCTATAATGCCATGGTCCAGTCTCGAGAAAATATGAATCCGCTGTTTCGGCGCTTCGAAAAGGCGGACTTGGAGGATGGACTGTTGGAGCCAATTGTGGAGATCGTGCACAAGGTTCAGCAGCGGAAATATGTTGATGCCAACGATGCCTATCTGCGCGTCAGCATTGGAAAAGCGTATGTTGGATTCTCCCCCTGTCCTTATCTTTTCTAAATGCTGTATACTAATCATTCATTTAGTGCATGGCCTATCGGTGTGACCATGGTTGGTATTCACGAGCGATCGGCGCGAGAAAAACTACACCAGAGCGATCAGCAGGCACATATTCTGAGTGATGAGATCACTCGAAAGTATTTGCAAAGTATCAAGCGTTTCTTGAGTTTCGCCCAGGTGCGTTGGCCTCCGGAGGACCAACTACAGATCATGGGATAAGAAGGTAAAAAAGTGGCGATGATATGATAGTTATACCCATTATTCTGGATTTTTTTTTACATAAAATAACATTTGAATTTCTTGCAAGGGCCATCCTATCACACTGTACAATTGTAATCCACGTGCAGCACCTACCTGGCTCACGGAAATGTCGGCCCAAGGCCCAGTCTAGATCACCTGGCAAGTTGAAAGCCTTGGAGGCCGTATACGCACGACGCAATGAATCAAAGAATACCTCAATTTTTCTCCGTCAACTTGGAAAGGGGTTCATTATTCAGTGCCACTGGCCGAGCCTTGCTAATCGAACAAGCTAGATGCATATTTCAGTAGATCCACCGTGACTGACACAGATACTGCCTTGATGGCTGCAGCGAAGTACGGAATGGCCTCGCCATTATAGTGACAGCTATAGCCCTTTATATCAATGGTCACTGTACCAAAATCACCATTACCCAGCAGTGCCTCCTTAACAAGCATGGACTCGTCGACCTGGCCCAAGACCACGGTGCCGCTAGCATCTTGATCGAGTGTCAGATTGGGCATGTCAACGTAGCCTAGTGACGATCCTCCCATGCTCAGATTGAATACCACATGCCCCTGCAAACAGATACGTTAGCCTGTGTATTGTAGCCGGGGCAAGTATATTTACCAGTTCTACCGTCAATGGTGTTGGATTTCGAATAGAAACAGTGGCATTGAAGTTGTATCCATCCACCTCCGGGCTCAAGAGATCTACCTTGGTGATATTGAACGCCCCGCTGCTATTGACGAATTCTGTCTTAAGGTTAGATCAATTGAGCCCTGGCACCAGATGTTCGCGTCTATTGGTACTCGACTTACCGGTTATATTGTAACCTGGTTGTTCCAAGGTATTCACAAGTGAGTCTTTATTCAACGTATTGAAACTCTTCTCTTTGGAATTGAAGAAGACCTACCATTCATACTCATCGTCTTGTCAATATCTAAATGGGCCGTGGGTAACCCACTGAGCTTCAACTTGGGATGTCCCTTAATCAGCATCGATATGCTGTGATTGGTCGCTAGTTGAGTGACCAAATTGGATAAGCACTCGACGCAGGATAATTCGAGGTCTTGGTCAATATCCAACTGAGCGCCGTTGCTAATTTTCATTTCAGGCAGCGGAAAGACTGCAAAGTCTTGGCCGTCGGTCGTACTGATCGTCGCATTGAATTGTGACAGATATCCGCTTTCACTCAAACCACCGCCTAACCCAATCTTCTGAGACTGGCTGAGATGGAAGGCAGTGGGTCGAGGGTTTGTGATGGCCAGGCCGGTTTCATCGTATTGATATTTATTGATGTACTCGTCAGCCAAGTGCGGGATTCCGACGTAAATTCTAGATGGAAAATTAATGTTGATCATGGATATTTTTCTCATCCATCAATGCATGGGGAAATTACAATGGCAGGAAAATCACCAAAAATATGCAAATAATTGCAATCAAGTATACCCACCACCATTTCTTCATGTGTGCCTGGAAGCGTTGCCATACTGTGGGTTTGACCACCGTGTTTTTCTCATAGGCACCCCAGCTCTGTTCGGGGTCAGATGTCGACATGGTAGGATTTGCCATGAGACAAGCATGTTTAAAAGGAGGAGATTGCGCTCTTTTTAATCAATCGTTGACCTTCTTTGGGTTTAAAGTCCGATCGGCTTACTCCTGACCGAGTGCTTTGTTCTAGTATCGATCGTCAACAGGGAGATCTCACATGAGATGTGACACGGACCAAATGGAAAAGGGCCCGGTCAGCTCAGCCGCGGTCAGTGGGTGGCAGGTGCATATACTCCGTTCAAGTGATAGTGGTTTCAGCCTCGGTTCAGTTTAGTTTCGTATCTGATCACCAAATACGTTGGTGATCTGCATGAGGGGGCGTTCAAAAATTTGAATGTTAAGCGATTCCTCTTGATGTTTCTGGCTTGCTGATCATTGATTCAATGTTGACGAGAACATTTGAAACCTGGAATCATTTGAACCTTGGAACCTAGGCGACTTCACCAGATGGGAAATACATACATGTAACTAACCTGACATTCTCGTCTTTGACAAACATTCGATACATACATACATGTACACATGTGCATATATCACATGTAGATTAGTGGAACTAATGCTGCCTAGGAGATGATATCACACCACGGTGTGCATATACTTGTACATATATATATATAGTATCAATTGATGTATATATAGCAATGTATATACCGTATGCACATAGTAAATGTGCATACTACACCATGTACTTTGGATGTACATATGTATAGATAAGTGTATACATACATACATAATATGTATATACACACCCACTAACTATTGATGTACCAGTTACATAACATTCAATGTTGTTTGAACTATCAGTACAGTATTATTTTATATACATAAGCAGTACTTGTACATAGCATCTAATCGACAGGTGTGCTGATGTATAGTTATATGCATATGTGTGCAATGAGATAAGCCATGCTCGGATACTGGGACATCGTTCACCGACTTTAAACATGTGTGATCTTCAAATGAGAGGTTCTGTAGGTACATATGCTCTACATGTAAGGTTGATATTTATAGTCCTAACATTCAAATGTTTGAATAAGGCTAACAACATTGAAAGCTTTATGCACATCAATTGATGTGTGGAGACAGTCCCATTGGAACCTTGGAAAGCGGGTCCCCCCGAGGTCAAGAAATCCCAGGTGGAGCATGCACAGCACCTGGGCATATCTTAGTAGGTACTGGGTACTGCAAACATCGAAGAGACCACCCTGTTCAAACTTTCCACCATGCTCCAGGGCTTATTGTCAACTTGCTGCTTTCTTTTCCCCCTGTATCTTATTTACAAACCTCCGGCTGTCCTCATCCGTTACCTCCAAAATCGCTGGCCCGATGTTCTGTTCCACCACCCAGTTGCCAAAAAAATTGTCGCCCTGACTATCGATGACGCCCCATCAGCACATACAGTGGGGATTCTCAACCTACTCAAGATCCATGATGCAACGGCAACCTTTTTCGTGATTGGATCCCAAGTGTCCGGGCACGAACAGGTCCTCGCCGACCTCATCCAGGCCCGGAGTGAGTTGGCCAATCACGCAATGTACGATGAGCCCTCGCGCGCCTTAAGCGACGCGGAGCTGACGGAGCAGATTCTGGCCGTTCAAACCATGATAGAAGAAGCATACAATGCGGCCAGCCAAAATCAAGGCCCCGAGGGCTGGTACTTTCGCCCGGGGTCTGGCTTCTTCAGCTCGAGAATGCGGCGCTTAGTCGGAGCATTGGGGTATAGGCTCATCTTGGGAGACACATATCCTCACGACCCACAAATTCCTTATTATAGCTTGAATGCGAAGCATATCCTAAGCATGGTTCGACCAGGCAGTATCATAATCTGCCACGACCGCAGGGAGTGGACGGTGCCGATGCTTCAAGTGGTCTTGCCGGAACTAAGACGAAGGGGCTATGGTGTTGTCACAGTATCTGACCTCTTACGAGAACCATTGTATAATAAGCGTGCTTCCGCAAAGCATCAGTCCATGCGCCGCAAGGAACATTGAAATTGATTGAAATTGAAATCATCATCGGCTAAAATGCGTCTAAGATGCAATACTTACAACAGCATACATACATACATACAACTATATACAGAATACTCACACCTCATCTTATCGTATCAGATCTTTCCACATACGCGAAACCGTCCTCCACCAACTTGAAGATGAAATTACCCCGGCCGTTGATACTTTGCTCAAGGTATCATCTCGGGTTACCACGGCCATGTCGTTGGGGAAGATGTCATGGCCGTCCATCCCGTTCATCACGGGGAGTGATGAAGACTGGGGTCGGGTCGACACTCTGCTGCTACACATACTGCGTGTCTCCCGCTCACTCTCTCGTTCTCCGATGAGGTGTCCTGCGGTATAAACGCAGCCCCCGTACGCAAATCGCACCAGCGAGTCACCAGTTAAGCTTCCAATGATATACACCCCCGGGGCAACTTCCAAGTCTTCGGCTGCCTTGGCACGGAGAGTCTGTGCTGAAACAATAGTGTCGTCTGAACGGTCAGCTCCAAGTACTTCGGAGCGAAGCTCGCTATCTAGATAACCCAAGGTACCACGCCGCCCAGCGGCATACACGAGACCCCGCACGGGTCTCGAAAATGTGGACCCATCAGCTCGGCGAAATGTGACTTGCGCCAGTCCATCTTCTATCTCGACAGAGGTGATGTCCACATTGGCAACCCCCTCGTAGATGTCCTCCCAGCTGCGGCTTTCTATAAATGCGGTCGATGTGCCGCGACGGTACTTGGGTCGCTGGTTGGTGGCCCCGGCCAGAGCCGCTTTCTTCATTAGTCGATAAACACTGGCATATTCCGGGTAGGCATGTTGATGACAGCCACGGAGGGGTGATGGCCGGTCCTCAGGGGCCCATTTGAAGACATGGATGATCTTTTGATCTGGCGCGGCAGAGATGATTGCATCGGCAGCAGAGAAGCCGGAGCCAATGACAAGAAGCGGGACGGGTGGGGTTATTTGAGTTTGGAGAAGAGGCTGAAGGGCAGGGACTGGCGGTAGAATCTCGGTAAAGATACCGCTTGCAAGTACTAACCGCTTGCAGTGTAGATTATGCGATTTCACGTAGAAGCCGTTGGGAGTGCGGGTGATGTTACTCAAATCCTCCCCACATCGAAAGACCTGGTCGATGTGGACCGCAGCTGGGTAAAGACGAAAGTAATCGGCAATCTCGCGCCTCGTCGGTCGGGTGAAAGGCGGCAGATCTTGACCTGTTCGCTGTTTGTGATGCTCGGCAAACGAGTAGCCAGGTAGTGACAGCATGGCGGCATAACTCAAGGTCTGGATGTCCCAGCTTGCCCCGCGGGGATGTTCGGTCCATTGGCCTCCGGACTCGGAGGGCTTGCCAAAGACAAGATGTGAGACAGCCTTTTCAGGTATATAGCGCCACTCAACATTGGAAATGTTACCTGACTCTTCGATATCGAGGCTGGGTCGGACCAAGGTATCCAAGAGAACGTTCACGGGCAAGGCCTGGGTGGAATAGGACAGGCGAGAGGCGGCAAAATGGGCCGTCAAGACGTCGACGTTGACATTCAAGAGGTTGGGGGCATGTTTCAACTTGGCGTCCAGTAATGGATCTGGATGTGGGGGGTCGGACGAGTAGAATGGGATATAACCGTGAAGCATATACGAGAGGATCATGGCCGACGGCCCATTGCCTATTGAGAGATTGCCCCAAGTCTTAGCATTGAACCCATTGAAAATTAATTTTTTTAAATGGAGGGAGGTGTTGTAAAAGGGATCTGTACCGACGATGATCGTATCTGTTTCCATTGTAGAGGGATTGATCCCACGAGCATTCTGGGTTGGGTGAAATGAGGAATCCAACTCCTCATCTGAGGACATGAGAGCGAACCAGGAACAAGGCCATGGGAGGAATGCGGCGCATAATGCGGAGAAGAGGGAAAAAAGTTTAAATGCAATTCATATTCAATTTTTTTTTCTCTCTCTCTCTCTCTCTCTCTGGGACGATTCCACGGTCAAGTCCAATGTAGATATGTAATCAAGCTGACAAAAGAAAAAGCCATGTGGGGACAAGAAGAGCGGAAGAGCGGGAATTGGTTGGAAAAGTTGAAAAAGAGAATGGATATGAAGTGTGAAGGACCTACTAGAGTAGTACTAGGGGTAATAAAACAATACGGATCACAGATAGTACGGATCAAATACGAAGTCAACGCAATCATCACGTCAAAGAACATGGGTCCACGGGTATGACCTTGTATTTACATCTTTACATATAAAGACAGTACTCTGTTGGTTTTCTAGAAACATTTAAAACATCAAAGCATTAAAATATCAAAGCATTCAAGCATTGAAACATTGGAAACATTGGAAATCTTAAAACACATTCAATTCTCTCCCAAATCTGAATTCTGCCCTAAGCCCTAGTTACCTAATATGGATTGGGGGGGCTGGAAAGGCGGGATGAGCAAATCAAGCAGTTTAAGATTAGAGAGAGATGGAGAGAGAAAGAGAGAGAGAGAGACAGCCGAAGCCTCGTTATCATTCCCATGACATGCTTCATCCATTCCCGTGGACTCATACAAGTTGATCGCGTTAGCTTGACAAAGCTCCGCGATCATGTATCATCTGGCTAAGTCGGTATATCTTTATGCGACTAGCAAAGAGGGTAAGCCCAGATTTCCTTCCCCGGGAAACTTCCCCGAATTCCCCCAAGACGTGAATCTACTAGGAATCAATACCGAGGAATCAATATTTTCATATATATTTTTTCTTTTTCTTTCTTTTTTTTTCGCTCACGCATTGGAAATTTTTCTTTAGAATATTCTGTCCTATTACTAGGCTTGGACAATGCCGGAAAAACAACCCTGTTGACACAAATCAAATCCCTCTATCAACCCCGAGCAGATGGCGCTCCTGCGCCAAACCCCAGCAAGACCGTCCCTACCGTCGGTCAGAATGTCACCACCATCTCCTTACCCGAAATGAATCTCAAGATCTGGGACGTTGGGGGTCAAATCTCCATGCGGGGTCTGTGGCAGAGCTATTACTCTAGCTGCCACGCCATCATCTTCGTGGTCGACAGTGCCGACGTAGGCCAAGACTCCGACATCACAAGGCTTCCCTCCGCTTCCGCACGACGGCCCAGCTCCGTATCAGGCCCGACCCGTGCTAGTACAAGTACTAGCGATCTTTTCTCCGAGCAGAACGTCGGCACCAACGCTGGAGGAAGTGAATTTGGACGTCTGGACGAGTGTCGTCAGGTGCTCGAATCCGTCCTGCAGAGTGCCGATGTGGCGGGAGTCCCCATACTGGTACTGGCCAACAAACAAGATCGTGAGGATTGTGTCGAGGTGGTCCGCATCAAGGAAGGTTTTGTCCGCAAGGTCTTTGAAGGCGACACGGGCACCGGGGTTCGAGACAGCCGCGTACTGCCGGTCAGCGCGCTACTAGGGTCCGGGGTGCAAGCAGCTGTGGAGTGGGTACAGAGCCGTGTCAAATGGAATAAAGAGGGTCGACCGCCAGTGATGCGCTAATTACTACTGACTGGACCGAGGAGCGTAACACATGCATTCGTGGATATGCATCCTGGCGTTTAATTCCTAATTTCTTTCTAATTTTACCATCATTTCGTTTTTTTTTTGAACAGCTAATAAAGTGGACTCAATTTGGACCCTAACAGATCGGAGTATCACATCAATTCATTCATATTGTCTAATCAATATGTACTAAGTACTAGGATGTACTTAGTATATAGGTGCCAGTACAATTGACGGATTTATATCTGTTTAGCTACGTACCTAAACAGACCTCCCGAGCATCAGCCAGCAAGGCAGACGATGTCACGATAACAACCTGGAAGCGATATGCACATGGAATTCAACCAAGATAGGTGAATCTGCAGGTGGATTACAATTATGCAATGATGCATGTATAAGTAGTAGTTACTAGTATGTACAATTCGTATCTCGTATCAATCGGTAGGTTGAAATGGCCCGAAGAGAGTTGCCCAAAGAAAATTCCCAGGAAGACTTGGAAATCTCATCCATGTCTCCGGGCCGTAGTAGATGGACGGGCCTTTCCTTCTGGTTGCTTCCTCGGCCAACTTCTGGCAATATCGATATTTGCCCGAGGAAACCACATCTCCAGGAAAACATAGATCAGAAAATCAATCACAACACAGAGACAAAACAGTTTGCCTGCCCAGACACCGCAGCCGTAATATCGTTTAAGTCGATCAATGAGGGCAAAGCTGCGTACTCGGTCACCGCTAGCTTCCCACCCTTGGCCTGGATAGTAGCCATAAAATTCCTCAGGGCTGATATCACCCGTGATGCCTTCGTAAACTCGTTCGGTACGTTCGGCAACATCCCGCCATGAATACATCATCTTCACTTGATCGTGAAATCGGTCCGTTCTTACTTTGTTCGATCGCAGAGCAGTGATTGCTTTGCTGGTTGCAACCACCAAATCGTCCTCCTCGGGTTTGGCAAAAGTGGTCATATGTTGGGGAAGAACCTCGGGGATACCTCCCACTCGGGTGCAAACGACGTACAACCCACAACTTGCGGCTTCAACAATGACTGTTCCGAACGCCTCCGTCAAGCTTGGGTGGAGGTAAATGTGTCCTCGAACCATGACATCTCTCACTTCCTCATGTCGCACCGAGCCAAGCATCTCAACCTTATCCTGTAGGACATTCCGCTCCAGCATTTGCTCCAGATCGATAGCTTTAGGTCCCGAGCCAGCAATGATAAACCGGGTGTTTGGATTCAAGGCCAAGATCCGTGGGATCGCAGCGATCAAGAGATCCGTACCCTTATTGTAAAAAAGACGAGAAATCACAACGATTGTGATTGTGTCATTGGGTCCGATTGGCGTTGGTGACGGTTGTGGGTCCGCTGGAGATAGTGGCATTTGATCCGGCCCACGAGAGGTAGATGAGAGGGGACAGAAGTTTTCTGCGACGACAGCATTGGGAATTACGGAAACCATTAGGGGATCTAACGAGGCTCGGAGCACGGTGTTCTCCTTACTAAGACATGTTAGTTCTGGGCCATTCCCATCTCTCCACAAACAACTTACCAAGTATGGCTGACGCAGATTGCATGATCAACATCACTTAATGTAAATTTGAGAAGTTTGTTTGTCAGGATTGAGGCAGCGTCGGCGAATCCAAAGAGAGAGTGATCGGTAAAGACAGTGCGAAGGCCCATGGTACGCGCATGGAGGATAGCTTCGCCACAGAAGCTACTAAGACTCGCATGACCATGAACGATTTCAATTTGTTCCCGAATGACAATATTTCGGAATATGGGGAAAAAAGAAAATACGGTTGGGAAGGTGGTTTCGCGGTAGATGACGAAGAAAGGAACGTGGTAGATCTTGAGTCCATTGGTAAGGTATCGGACCCCAGTTCGGCCCTTGTATGCATGAGTGATGATAATGACTTTGTGTCCGCGATCGATCAGTTTCTAAGAAGATGTTAGAGCATGACTAGATGGAGGGAACGTTGGTCTGTATAGCTTACAGAGGACAACTGGTAGATGTGACTCTCGATCCCCCCTGGATGCAGTTAGCAACAGAAGCACAACGTAGACTACATTTCAATGATGAAAGCATACCTGACTGGGGGAAGAAGAAGTCACTGACCATACTATGATTCGACGTTCCATATTAGCCTTTGTATGGTTTCCTCTCGCGCGCGCGTGCGAGAAAGATATAAGGTCAATAGGACTCACGCAATATTATATGGCATGATGGCGGTGGTTCTCGGGCAAGTTGTTCCGAATGAATGAAATTGATGAGATCAGTGTCCTATCCATGGCGAGTAAATCATTCCATTGTCAAGAACAACAAGCCCAATTAATTCCCAACTCTCCTTAGTACTTGTAATCGAACTTGAGAGTGCTGCGCTCCGCATATATGACGGCGGTGAATTACAGGCGGTGGGTACCATGTCCGTTCTGCCGGCACAAAAAAAACGTCAACGAAATTGGAATTTGCTCCGCACCCAAAGCCTTTGAGGAATGCAAGCGCACTGAAAAATGGCCGGATCCAAAGCGCCCGAGTTGTCCACCAAGATGATCACAACTCCCAATTCAGCCAAGCCTGCCAAACGGAAGCGTGACTTGGATGCACCTCGAACACAAACCCCAACCCCAACAAAGAAGCCCAAGAAGCGTAGTAGTCTTCCCGCTTCATCAGCCACAGACGATGGCAGCAGCACCAAGAAACGCAAGCGAGTCAAAGATGCGCTTCAGGGTGAAAATACCCCGAAACCGAGCGCACAAGAAAGTTCTGTCTCGCCAGACAGCAGCAAAAAAGCTACTGCAGACCCGGACCTCCTCAGCACTAAGGAAAGAAAGAAATCAAAAGAGAGCAAGGGAAAAATCTCTAAGGAGCGCGACACAACTTCTGATGAACCTTCAGCTGTGACAGCAAAGTCCCCCGATTTCCAGGAGATGGGTGTCTCTTCGGATAATATGGACGAGGAGAAATCATCCAAAGCCAAGCACGCAGGAATTTATTCCAAGTTTGAACGGACAAAAGCAGTTGCCAGCAAAATGACGAAGAAGCATAAACCCGAAGAAGTGGAAGCAGCCGAGAATGCCATTGAACCGGTGATTGCACAAGGCCTAGAACCCCTACCTCAGCCCGAAAATCCGCCCGAGCTAGAGGTAGTCCCGACTTATTCTTCTTTGCCAGCCTGGCTAGCGGAACCTGTGCGAACATCAGCAAATGAGCGATCTAAGTTTTCCGAACTAGGCATCAAACCCGATCTCTTGCGCATTCTCGACCAGCACAATTACAAGGAGGCATTCGCTGTCCAGTCTACAGTCATTCCTCTTCTCCTGGATGGAAGCAAGAATCACCCCGGTGATTTGTGCATTTCGGCCGCCACTGGATCCGGAAAAACGCTCTCCTACGTACTTCCGCTTGTCACCTCTTTGAAACCCAGACCCGCATCAAGACTTAGAGGACTTATTGTGGTCCCTACGAGAGAACTTGTCAAACAGGCTCGCGAAGCTTGCGAACTTTGCGCCTCTGGATCACGTCTTCATATCGGAAGCGCAGTCGGCAATGTAGCTATCAAAGAGGAACAAAAGCTTCTTATGAGAGTAGACCATGTGCACAACCCTTCAACTGTTGCGCAGCGCCAAAAGACCGGCCTGCAAGGCAATGACTGGATGAACTTCAGCCTTGAGGATTGTGTGACCGAGGCCGTTGAGTCCACCGGATTTCTTCCAGGTTATATCCAGCGGTCAGAGCCCAACGTTGATATTCTTATCTGTACGCCCGGTCGTTTGGTGGATCATATTCGCTACACGAAAGGCTTCTCCCTCAAGCACCTTGAGTGGCTAGTGATTGATGAAGCTGATCGGTTGCTAAATGAGAGCTTTCAAGAATGGGTGGATGTGGTCATGAGATCTTTGGACGCACGTCAAGTCCCTGAAACTTTTGGGCCTGGCGGTAAACTATTGTCTGACCTTGGTCTTTCAATTGAAACCAAGCCTCCCAGGAAGGTTGTATTGAGTGCCACCATGACCCGCGATATCTCGAAATTAAACTCTTTGCGTCTGACCAACCCGAAGATGGTTATCATTGGTGCTGAGAATACAATGGATTCCGAGGATCCATATGCTGCCAACACCGATGCCCATTTCACTTTGCCTCCTACCTTGCATGAGCGCATGGTTGCTGTCGGAGATGAAGGCCAAAAGCCATTGTATCTCCTGCGTTTGCTCCTTTCACATATCAAAATTGGTGTGGACACCTCTGTGTCTGATACCTCCGACGATAGCTCTAGTTCTGATGACACAAGCTCAGATGAGTCTTCTGATGATGATTCCGATAATGACACATCTTCTGGCTCAGACTCTGATTCCGATTCCGATTCCGATTCCGATTCCAGCTCTGGTTCATCGAGCGATTCTGAGGATTCCGAGGATTCTATCTCTGATTCTGTTGATCTTGTCCCCGATTCCAAGGTTTCACCTACAACTGTTTTGATCTTCACCAAGTCTTCTGAATCCGCATCGCGACTGTCTCGTCTCATCTCCCTTTTCCACCCTTCGCTTGCCAGCCGCATGGGAACAATTATCAAGTCAAGCAATTCTGCCGCATCCCGCAAAACCCTGACAGCCTTTCGACAAGGCCGTATCTCCGTCATTGTGGCCACAGATCGAGCCTCGCGCGGATTAGATCTGTCTTCTTTGACGCATGTTGTGAACTATGACGTTCCTACCAGTGTTACCACCTATGTCCATCGTGTTGGAAGAACCGCCCGTGCTGGCCGAGAGGGATATGCATGGACTCTTGTCGCTCACCGTGAGGGGCGATGGTTCGCCAACGAAATCTCGACCAACACCGACGGCCGTATCACGCGTAAGGCTTCAATCGACCGAGTCCAAGTCAAGCTTGATACGCTGAAGTCTCTTGAAGCCAATTATGCTGCAGCACTCGACGAGCTTGAGAAGCAAGTCAAATCACGACCGTCGAGCAAGAAGTAAAGTCTTCTTAGCATGTGTATTATTTACATGATTTTCTGTATGCATAGCGTTTGTATCTTACTGTAATATACAAGATTGAATGATCTCGCTCAAGCCTCAGAAGTACTAGCATATGCAGCAATATCTTATAACGATCTCGTCGACTGATATGTGCATGGGTAGTGTATGCACATTGATGTGTGGACCTCGCAAGTCTCGGCCAATGCTGCATGTATTCATGGGGAGGCTAGATTTTTGATCTCGGTAGATATTGATCGAATATCTACCCGAAAATTGGAACATTGGATAAAAGAGGGGGTGAAAGAGCCCTCAAGTAAGTCCGATACTCTATTTCCTTTCAGGGTACCCTGGAAAATTACAACACTAAAGTAGGTACCTGAGTCCATCCCCAGACCCTCCAGTCCTCACAATGGAGAAGTGGAGACAACTCTGGGGAAGGTCATCTTGGAATCCGGGGCTTTGAAGATGAGTCGGAGAAACTCCGAACAACCAGCAGAAGACGAGTAATAAGATTGAAAAATCCCATGACCCTTAAAGCTTGCTGGCTTCTACTTCTAATGAAACATTAAGGCTTTCTCCCCACATCTTGGCAATTTGGCATATAACACTTGAAATGGAGAAGCAAACCACCACACAGGGAGGCAATTACATCCCCCATGATCAGTCAATCTTCCGATGTTTGTATACCCATCGAAATACCATTGTATGAACTTCTACTAATCGAACGAAGATTTGAAAGCGGAACCCCAATACGCACGTTACATACCTGGTGGATTCTCCCCGTCAAGATGCATGAGCCTTCAGGGAAAGGCTATGACCTATGCCATCTTCCTTTTTTCCGGCTGTGCTATTCTATTTTTCGGATACGACACGGCGGTTATGAGCCAGGTGAATGATAACAATGACTATTTGCAAATGATGGGCATCGCGGGGGGGAATGGACGTGACGCCGCAGCTGTAGGTGGCCTTGTCTCTCTCTGGTTTGGAGGGTTTGCTCTCGGTATGTACTACCTCCAAGGTTAGGCTTTGCCTAGTAATTTCTACCTAACTGAAATTGTTTGAGGCGCTTTGATTGTTGGATATATTGCCGATTCGATAGGCCGGTTGAAAACGATTCAAATAGGATGTCTCTGGGGTATTCTGGGTGCTGCATTGCTAGCCACGGCACAAGACATGTCTTGGTTCGCCTTTGCAAGAGTCATTAGTGGGATTGGATGTGGCCATCTTAACACAATCGTTCCCGTGTGGACTTCGGAGTTGGCCGATCCTCATTTACGGGGTGCATTTGTCGCTGTTCAGTTTACATTGGCCATGGTTGGGTCTAGGGTGGCATACTGGATGGAGTTTGGATGTACTAAAACGCAGTCACTGTCATTCTCATGGCGCTTTCCTCTTGGTTTCCAGATTGTTTTCCTCATTTTTATTCTTCTTGCCGCCCCATTTTATCCGGAGTCACCACGACACTTGGCTAAAATTGGTGATCTTGAAGGAGCACGGTCAGTTCTAGAGAAATGTCGAGTGGAAGCTGATGAGCAACAAATCGAGACTGAGATGCAAGAGATTATCTCCGCAATCCGTGCCGAGGCAACATCCACTTCACACAGCTTTTACAGCATGCTGTTCACAAAGGACAAAAAGCACACCCGTCGCCGGGTGATCATTGGAGCGGGTGTGCAGGTCATGCAAAAATTGACGGGGATAGATTTTATTGCGGTCTATGCACCCGACATTTTCTCGTTATCTGGATTCAAAGGTGACAAGCCCGCCCTGTTAGCCGGCGGAAACTGGTTTGGGTATATTGTGAGCCTGGCTCTCTCAATCTTTCTGTGTGACCGAGTTGGTCGGCGCAAGCTGATGCTAATCGGCTGTTTATTGATGGGGATCGTGTTGATTATCGGTGGTGTGCTTTCGCATGAGACTATATCTCATACCGACAACGACCCAGTGCTGGCAAACAAGTTTGGCTCAGGAGTCGCTGCTATTCTATACATCTACACTTTTATTTACGGCAGTACTTGGCTTACTACGTGGTAAGAGCTCCGGGTTTTCCTTCCTCTTGATGTGTTGCTGACTTTACCAAGTTGGGTCTATCCAACAGAAGTCTTTCCACTGGCTAGCCGAAGTAAAGGCGCCGCGTTAGCCACCTTCGCATTCTCCATCGCTGGGGGGACGATTAACATCATTATCCTGTACCTCATCGATGCGATCAGCTTTTGGGTATTTATTCTCTTTGCATTGATCAACCTTGCTTTGCTAGTACCCATATATCTCTTCTATGTCGGTGAGTACTGAATGAATGACTTCATCACGTCACATTTTGAATTGAAACTAAACAATCCTCCCAAGAAACCGCCAATCGGCACCTGGAGCAGTTGGATATCCTTTTCTCTAGCGACAGCTGTCTTTCATGGAGAGCAGAGAGACACTTTACCCAGAAAATGACCAAGCAAAGAGGGACCTTCGGTGAAGACCAGGAGAAAGGCTCTTTAGAGCATGTGGAATGAAAGTTTTAGCACAAACACCTATACTAGGTATTAGGCACAAGATGCGATTTTTGATTGGATCTTGTCACATATCCAGGACCTTAAATGATCAGGTAGAATCTTACATATAGATGTAGCCTGAATTTTCATGTGCATATACAACAGCATCACCTGATTCTCGGTGCGCTATATTGCCCTTGGAAGCTACTATATCGCGCCTCTCGGTTCATTTCTCCCCCATCGATTATCTTACCTTCAAACTTACCTTCAAACCATGATAGATTATTATTCCTGCTTTCCCTCTATCCGGACTGCTGTTCTCAACTGATTGTTTCACGTCGACACTACCTTGTCAAGCTGGAATAGCTTCGGCGAAAAGGCCGACATCTCCGCCCGCCGATCAGATAGCCAACGTTACAGAATCATTTGCCGCTACCTCCGTATCTGCGGGGAAATGGCACCGTTACTACCAGGCAGCGCCCGATGACATTTTCAAAGGCTGTTATATTGACATTCAACACCACATAATTGATTGCCAATCGACACTCGTGGACCTGTGGACAGCATTGTCGCCACGATGTGGAAACTGAACGGACTCTACATATTTCTTGCTTGTGCAACCTCTTGCCATTCAGCATTTTTCAAGCCTCAGAATGACTTCCAAGAATTATCTGGACTGAACGTCACTTTCCCAATTGATTTACCATTCAACAACCGGGCCTTTGGTCTCAGTCCAGGCGATGCCGATTTCGATGGTGCTTCAAGTGAGTGGAACTCCTAACCTTGGAACTATCGCACACGAACAAAGGATTTCGGGAGCACTCCGATTAATTGAACTTTTTAGACTCATATCCTGCAACACAAATACCCCCAGAGCGTTTTTCGTACGGCGGCTTCAACTACCAATTCGCGAATTATAATGCCACCGGAGGCTATGACAATGTTCTCACTCAGGGACAGGAAATAAAGGTACCGCAATCAAAATATTTCAGCTATCAGATGCTTGCCGCATCGGAATCTGGCATGGCTTCTGGCAAAGTGCTTGCCAAGTATGCAGATGGTAGCACAACAAGCGGATCACTGCTAGTCCCGGCTTGGTGGAGCTGGCCATATCCTGAAGGTGGTGATTTGATCTTCACTTGCTATCTTACCGAAAATGGTACCAACTGGAATCGCAGCAATATCTTCCAGACAACTAACTGGTTGGACTCGTCCAAAGAGCTTGTCTCATTGACCTTTCCCAATGCCTCAACTGGATCATCCACAAGCCCTGGTGGAGCGGCTATTAGCACCAAGCTGCACATATTTGCTTTATCTATGCTGCCATTATCCAGCGATACTGCTGGAATGGTTCAGTTGGAAACTCAATACGCGCGCTCAACCAAGAAATGGATCGAAGGTACTGACAAAGTTCAAATTGTGGAGGTACTTGTAAACAACGTCGGGTCTTCCGCGGCGTTGAGAAATAATAATGTCCGAGTGAGAGTTGAATCGCCCGGTTTAGAGACCGTAAACGAAGGTATAGTCAATCGCTTGGGACCTGGAGATCAAGCAATTGTTGAAGGTACGTATTGAGAATTTTACTTTGATCAATGTCTACACAGTCTTCCGATCAAGCTCAAGTGGACGGAGATAACTAACATTAGCAGTGGGCGTTCGAAATCGCCATGAGGTGAATGTAGGAGATTCTGGCCCTGCTCATATTGTGATACAAGGTCAAAATGTGATGTCTACCAGGTATGCATTCCAGGCAACATATGGGATTGGCCTTTATGAGGCTACCTATGAGTCAGTGTATACTCATGAATCTCCAAACTGGTACAACAATGCCAAATATGGCATTTTCATCCACTGGGGCATTTATTCTGTGCCGGGATGGGGTAACTCAGGAACGAAAGAAGATTATGCAGAATGGTATGTCACCATATATCGAATTTTCGGCCTTCCAAGTTGATCCTCAAGTGCTTACATATATGTATACTTCAGGTACTGGTGGTGGCTGAATGAAGGTCCAAGTGGTTCTGTAGGCGTTTATAACTACCACCTGGACAAATACGGACCAAACGTCGTGTACGATGATTTCGTCCAAAATTTCACCGCCAGTGAATGGGATCCTAAGGGATGGGTTGATTTATTTGCTGATGCAGGTGCAAATTACATCATACAGGTATCTGCCCATTCGAACCTTGAGCGAACCTTCAGTATTATATAGGTATCTTGCTAATGCCTATTTTCATGAAAATCAAACAGGTAACCAAACATCATGAAGGTTTCGATCTGTTCGATGTTCCAGAAAATGTGACGAAGAGAACCTCTGTGGCGATGACTCCCCACCGCAATTTGTTACAGGTATGAATACTTCTGGATAGAGGCTTCAATATTGAATTCAATTATCTCGACAAAAGAGATCTAACTCAAAAACTAAATGGGCAGGAATTATTTGATGCAGCCAAAAAATACCAGCCTCATCTACATCGTGCAACGTATGTGGTTGCGGTCTAATGCCTATTTGGATATCTCGTTCTTGTTCACTGCTAATGAGCCATCCTCTAAAAGATACTATAGCCTCCCCGAGTGGTTTAATCCAGACTACAAGGAGTATGGGTTCGGTGATTGGCCCGGAGGTAGGAGTCAGAGTAACGAAATTATTACCTTTGGATAAAGACTAACTAAGGGAAATCGGACTAATTAGGCAATGCTACCAATCCATTCACAAACCATACTCTACCATACACAGGCTGGGTCCCAGTCAATGATTACATTACAGATAAGATGCTGCCTGAAATGAATATTCTGGCTGATATGGGAACCGAGATAATGTGGTGCGACATTGGAGGCAAGTCCTCGACCGCGTCAGTTTCTTTTCTCTCTCCGCCACTAACAAGGTGTTGAACAGGACCCAATCGAACAGCTGAGTGGGCATCAGAATGGTTTAATAAGGCAGCAACCGAAAATCGTCAAGTCGTTATGAACGCCCGATGTGGACTTCCAGGAGACTTTGACACGCCAGAATATGCAACCTACTCTGCCGTTCAAAGACGAAAGTGGGAGAGTAACCTTGGAATGGACCCATACAGCTACGGATACAATCGTGCTACTCCACTTGCAAGTTACATGAACGCCAGTACTATCGTGACCAGCCTGGTTGATATCGTGAGCAAGAATGGCAATTTCTTACTTGATGTCGGGCCAACGGCCAATGGAACCATATTGGATATTGAGCAACTGCACCTTCGACAAGCTGGTAAATGGATCAAGACCCATGAAGAGGCAATCTTCAATACGACATATTGGTTTGTTACACCCGAAGAGGGCGACGTAAGATTCACTATCTCTCAAGAGGCATTTTATATCCATACGATTACAAAGCCCAACAACACTCTTTCGTTATCCAGTCCAGTTCCGTGGGTAGAGGGGGATCAAGTCACGGTGGTTGGTGGCAACATGCATGGTACAGTGGTCCCGAGTCATAAATCAAGCGATGGGTCTCTTGTGATTTCTGTGAGCAAGGAAGTAGCGGCAGCTGATCAATATGCTTGGGTATTTAAGATTCCATATTGAGAATTGACAGTCTCCAGGGTTAGGACCTCCACTCCCGCTTGGGGCTCGGGAAATGAATAAGTACATTTGAATTATATTTGACCTTATGGATTCAAATATTGTTTAGTGCATATGGTACTCACCTGGTGCCTATTTCTATACTCTAATTGCTTCCAATCAAAGGCTCTCGATCCCTCAAGTGCTTAGAACCAGCCCTGGAGATTCCATGATTTGTGGTAGTCTTATCTCGACCGAAAAAAAAAGAAAAAAAAAAGGAAAAAAAGGTTTAAAAAAAGGAAAAGAAGAAGAACAGAAGAACAGAAGCTTTAATTTCCTGAATAAACGAATTTCGATCATAGTTATTTTAGAGCACTTGAAGGTCACATACTCTGCACGGTATTTAGGCTTATCTAGGCAAGGCTTGGTACGTAAGCGGTGTGGTGAATCTTCTGCATATATGCATAATGGCCTGAGGTTGACAAGTGAGATCGGTCTTCTACCCGACTCTCTTAGAACTCGGAACATCTCTTAGCCTATCAATTTACTTGCTTCGCTTCTCTACCGCATGGCTTCATTCCACCTATTACGATCTTCTCACACTTGCGAAAGCGCCTGCATTGATGGGTTATCCCCAGATTACGATTAACGTCACTCGGCATAACACTTTGAACTCAGGCTAAATCAATAAGGTGTTTGAATTTCCCTGCAATGTAAGAAGTTCCCATGGCAAATAACTACTAGTAACGACTCCACTACTATTAATGAGCAATCAAGTCACCCTGTCCCTGAATTTACCTTGATTAGTCCGCTTGATTTGTCTTTCTCATTAACACTTCAGGCTAAATAGGTCTGACCTTGCATTTCATTCTACAGTGTTGGGGGTTCCCCGCATACGATCGACTGCGGAATTGCCCTGTTGAGCAAGTTGTGGAGACAACGTTTATACCCATGGCCCTTTACAACATTTGAATAGCCGAAGTGCAGCCGACCCTCCTCTCTGGGTATAAATACCTGGAACTAAACAAGGGATGATGCTCAATAAGTCAAAACATCTCCAATGCCGGTATCATTAGCCATATTGGCGGCTTTGCTGCCACTAGCTCTTGCCCAAGCTAATACATCCTATATCGATTATTCCACTGAACCTCAACCAAGTCTCGATGCATGGACACTCGCGACAATAAATTTAGGATTTCCAGACTGTGAAAATGGGCCCCTCAGCAAAACCCTTGTGTGCGACACGACGCAGTCCGCTCATGACCGAGCACAAACTCTCATCTCCTTCCTGACATTGGAAGAGTTGGTGAACTCTACCGGAAACAATATCCCCGCAATCCCTCGCCTCGGATTGCCCCCATACCAAGTCTGGAGTGAAGCTCTCCACGGGTTAGATCGTGCCAACTTCACTGATTCTGGCGAATACCATTACGCCACCTCTTTCCCCTCGCCCATCCTAACTGCAGCGGCATTGAACAAAACCCTCGTCAATCAAGTTGCATCCATTATCAGTACTCAAGGTCGAGCCTTTAACAACGTCGGTCGATATGGTCTCGACGCCTATGCGCCTAATATAAATGCCTTCCGTCACCCTGTCTGGGGCCGTGGACAGGAGACACCAGGCGAGGATGCCTACTGTCTATGCGGGACATATGCATATGAATATATCACTGGGATGCAAGGAGGTGTGGATCCAGAACATCTCAAGATCGTCGCCACCGCGAAGCATTTTGCCGGGTATGATATTGAGAACTGGCACAATCATTCTCGCCTGGGGAACGATTTGAATATCACCCAGCAAGATCTGGCCGAATATTTCATGCCTCAATTTCTTACAGCTGTTCGAGACGCCAGAGTCCACAGTGTCATGTCCTCATACAACTCTGTCAATGGTGTGCCGAGCTCGGCCAATTCATTCTTCCTCCAAACCATTCTCCGGGATAGCTGGGGCTTTGTGGATGATGGATATGTTTCATCCGATTGTGATGCTGTCTACAATGTTTGGAACCCGCATGAGTATGCGCATAACATCACGGCGGCCTCGGCAGATTCGATGAGAGCCGGCACTGATATTGATTGTGGCACCTCTTATCAATATTATCTCAACGAATCATTCGTACAAGGAGAGATTTCCCGAAGTGAGATTGAGCGTGGTGTGATCAGACTTTACTCAAACCTCGTCCGTTTGGGCTACTTCGACGGCAATAGTAGCATGTATCGTGATCTTCGCTGGTCTGATGTTTCTACCACAGATTCATGGAACATCTCATACGAAGCTGCAGTGGAGGGTATTGTTCTCCTCAAGAATGATGAGACTCTGCCTTTGTCCAAGAATATCAAAAGCATTGCTCTTATTGGTCCATGGGCAAACGCCACAACCCAACTTCAAGGAAATTACTACGGCAAGGCTCCTTATCTGATCAGTCCTCTAGACGCTTTTAAAGCATCAGATCTGACTGTCAACTATGCCCTGGGCACGAACATTACTTCACAGTCGACTGAGGATTTCGCTGCTGCAATTTCCGCAGCCAAGAAGTCAGATGCTATCATCTTCGCTGGTGGTATTGACAACACAATTGAAGCCGAGGGACTGGACAGAGAAAACATCACTTGGCCAGGCAACCAGCTTGAGTTGATCAAGGAGCTTAGCGGTGTTGGAAAACCCCTTATTGTTCTACAAATGGGTGGAGGCCAGGTAGACAGTTCCTCTTTGAAGGAGAACAAGGGCGTCAATTCGCTTATATGGGGAGGTTACCCTGGTCAATCTGGTGGACAGGCTCTCTTGGATATCATCAAGGGTACACGCGCCCCTGCTGGGCGACTGACTACCACCCAGTATCCAGCAGAGTATGCTTTACAGTTCTCTGCAGTTGATATGAACCTACGTCCCAGTGGAGACAATCCTGGCCAGACGTATATGTGGTACACCGGCAAGCCTGTTTATGAGTTTGGACACGGACTGTTCTATACTACCTTCAAAACATCGCTCGCTTCTTCCAAGACAGTCACCAACGGGCCTTCTTTTGATATTGTGGACCTTTTATCACGATCGCATGTCGGCTATAACACAGCGGAACAAGTTCCCTTCCTCAACTTCACCACTAGTGTCACCAACACTGGCAGTGTGGTCTCCGATTACACAGCTATGGCCTTTTTGAACACTACTGCCGGTCCACAACCTGCACCTAATAAGTGGCTTGTTGGGTTTGATCGTCTAGGATCGATCAAGCCACGCACAAGTCAGTCACTCGTCATACCTATCTCGCTAGACAACGTGGCCCGCACAGATTCGCTTGGAAACCGCATTGTTTATCCTGGGCAATATGAGCTAGCCTTGAATAACGAAAGATCTGCGGTCTTGTCATTTAGCTTGACTGGAGAGGAGGCCACCATTTTCAAATGGCCATTAGATGAGCAGCAAATACCCGCCGCCTGATCTAAAGCTGGAGGTTTGGAAATTGACACGAATAGCTGCTATTCAATAATCAATTGATGGATACATAGTAATTGATCTTGAAATTTTCGAGTTATACTCTCAATCTCACTCAAGCTTTTTCCTTTCAAATGTTCAAAGTTATGGGGGAATTATTTGATTGATCAATTGATTGATTTTTAGGTAGTATATGTGTAGCGTACAGCAGCTAATTGACATCATGTTCAAATGTTGGAGATTTACACAAAAGTCTGAGAGGCTACACCAATGTTGGACTTGAGTCATGTGCATGCAATATTGAACATTTGAATCAAACATTTATTGTGTCTCGGAGTAATATATGTGCATTGAATCAATATGTATGTACATAATGATAGCTGATGTGAACTCTCAAGTGCTGTGACATCTGGAGATATCATGTGTAGTATGTAGCACTTGAGGTATTCGTTTGAACGGATGTTCTCAGGCCAGCACTACCTCCTAGGACCTAAGTTATCATCGTATAGACAGCGGCCAGTACCAGACAAATCACCATTGCCGTCGCTATTGAAGCTCCTGCAATATCACCCGTAGTTATTTTGGAGTAATATATTTCGGTGTCTGTCTCATCTGAGCCAGTCCCTGCGGCACTATTGCCCTTACTCGTTCCGCCTGTGGTAGATGTGACTGGCGCACTGACATTAGCTGCGAGGAGTCCCTGAAGAACCTCAAGCACACCCATTTGTTGACCAACGCCAGTGGTTCCATCGTAGCTACCACTTGACCAGCGAAAGCCACAGTATGTACCTGTACTTCCTCCTTGGCACTGAGCAACCGCAGCTTGTGCAGTAGCTCGCAGTTTTGTCATTATGGTGTCGTATGTGTAAGGCGCAAGTTGAGTGACATCAGCCATCCATCGAGCGAGGTATGCTTTGAAGGACAATTGATCTGTGTCACAGATACCTTTGAGCTCGCATGGAGGCTCGTACATTACATTCATACTGCTTTCATTTGTCGAGAAAAGAAAATCAGTTTTGGATAGTAGCGCATTCAGTCGAGTTTTCCACGTGGAGGATAAAGATGAGTTGGTTGAAAGTGAAGAGGTCTCATAATGACAAGGTTTAGTTAGTAGGATCGAAATTATCGAGCAAGAAAAGGAATCTCACATAATTGTACATCACGGAGGTGCCATGAAGATAAATTCCAGCAGTATATGACCAACGAGTTCTATCATAGGAGGTACAGTTGCTGACATCCGTCGTTCCATCATATACCTGGTAGTCGGGGGTGATCAGCCCAACATCCTTGGCCCAGTTCCAAGACTTGGTGGCCCATTCGGCGTAAGTATCATTTCCTGTATATCGAGCCAAACGTGCTGCAATGTCAAAGAAACAGCCATTTGCAATTGTATTCTTGTAATCATATCCAGCATTCCAGGTATATATTTGCCAACGCAAACCTCCGGAACAGCTCGATGTATCCCAGCGGCTTGCCTGCTCGTTGAAGACAGCTTGAACCATCGAAAGCCAGCTCGGTGACGAGGAACTTGGGTTTGGAAAGTTTCGCTCCGCGGCCATCATCGCACTGAGGGCCCAGAAACACTGGTCGTCATTACCCTCGGTATATGTCTGGTTACTCGGCATAAAATCCCCCTTGTCACCAGCTTGATGCTCCATTGCCTCCAGAGTAATGTTGTTATAGGTTTTATCCCCAGTAAATATCGAGTAGTTGATGAGAGATCCAAAAAATGCACCTGCTTCCCACCAATAGTATGGTGAAGGTAAATTACCTGCCTAAAAGGTTAGTCAATGGTCTTTGAATGTATTCAAACATTGACCCTGCGTGTGCAACTTTATACATTTCATATGATACATACCTACCTATCTAGGTACATATGTATCAATCGCTATGCTGTGTATCCATGCATACAATATGGACTACATACCTGGAACGTCGCCACTTCTGTTTCCTGAATAGAAACTCACAAGGTCATATGCAATCGTGCTTGCGGCGGATCGAATCGAGTCTACGTGATATTCCAGTCAATTTAAGGGACTCAAGAACTGTGTATGAATCCAGGATCTTTTTGGAAGTCCGGTTAATTCGTGAGGTCTCTAAGATCTCTGGATTGATACACTCACCTTGACTATCAATATCAAGGGGTATACCAGTAGTGGCAGCTCCAACTGCAAAGAAAAGTCCGAGTCCTATCAAAAGCAATGCCATATTTGGGAACCAGTGCTTGGAAGCAAGAAATCCCGCCAAAATTGGATATAGAGTCTCCCGACAAAGACGGAATGAATATCTCAATCTTGTTCAACGAGACCAAACAAGGGGTGGTGAAGGAAAATATATCAGGAGAGAGGAGGAAAGATAATTCAAACCAAAGGCGTAAACTTCGGAAGTCTAAGGGAAATAAATCTCCCTTTCATATCCATTGTGTATCTTGGCGCCGAGGAGGCCAATCCCTCTTGCAGTTGCCAGTACTCGGTAAACCATTGGCATGGTCCATGTTCAAAGACAGATCTCCGAACGAGGACCAATAAGCTTAGGCAATAGACTGCCGAGACTTGGCTGATGAAGACCTCTCCTACAAACGCCAAGATGCTAAACCTTGGCGGCTGTGCTGGGAGATTTGTTGTGAATGGTTTCCTCTTGGCTGCGCTTGGCAGACGACCGGAGAGGACTAGGCGCCTAATAGTATAGCGCTCGTCCCACTAGACCGCGAATTATCAAAATACGGCTTATTATAAACAATACGAAATTGATGGTTCAACCGTCAGATATGGGAAAAGGGTTGTCCAGGTATAGGTTCAAATATTTGTTGAAATAGTATTTCAAGGGGCCACATGTGCTGCGCTGGAGTCCAGGCCCGCTGGGGGTCACGTTTTTTCCCTGGAAGCCAACTGGTCAGCATATTCTGATCAATGCCATTGGTTCCTTGAATAATACCCCCCGCTCCCCGCAATTCCGCCATCCGCATCAGAGTCATACGCATTCTCGTTCGTTTCATTTCGATCTGACAGCGTCGCCAGTGCTGACGATGGACTCTAGTCCCCCAAATTCAGCTCGGGGACCGTTGGCTGGTGGGAAACAGATAACCCGAAACAGAGTCAGCCTTTCATGTCACGTATGTCGCAAAAGGAAGGTTCGCTGTTCAAAGGTAAAAATGCCCCCCCCCCCCCCCCCCCCCAGCGACTCGTCACCGAGAGTCGCCACACCAACGCCCTTATCGTGGGATAGCTTTGACTAATTGCAAAATACTCCAGGTTCATCCAATCTGTGATAACTGCGCGAAAACCGGAGCGGAATGTGTTTACGATGTATCGTCGCAAAGACGCGACGAGGGACGCGATGGGGCCGGGCAAGGTAGTAGACATGGAGTGAAACGGAGGAGAGAGACACCGCAAACTTGGGAGGAAGATGTGGACGAGTTGCAAACAATCTATGGGCAAATGAGACAGGCCGAGGCATCTGCCGGCCAAAAGTCTGACCCGCGCGCTATTGAGTATCGGCTAGACAAGTTGATGTCCATGATCGCGCGATTGGGTGGCACCGCTCAAGCACTTGAAGCGGCCGAGAGACATGCAGCAGCCCCTAGCGCTGCAGTAGAATCGGCTCTTTTGGAGGAATTGCGACAAACTCATGCTCGAAATGGAAGGGCGACATCTTCACGGCCCTCGAGTCCACGTCGCACTGCTGCGGAGTCGAGCGGGGATGAATTTCCCATCCCATCAGGTCAAGCGACCGACCTAGTTGACCCAGTTGGAAGTCTGAATTTGGGGCACTTGAGCTTGGATGATGGTGGAAGGTCAAGGTCAGTGAAGATCCATGTAAATCACACGATCTCAAAATTCCAAGCTTGCTTACAAAGGATCAGGTATGTCGGGACAACATATTGGGCTTACATCTCCCATGAGGTATTTATGACCCTATCGCATTCTTATATACCGTACAGGCTGACCTAAATCCATCCCTATCAGATCAATGATTTAAACCAGTTGCTGAGAGACCAAAATCGATCCCATGACCTATCTCCATCCGCCAATCCCAATGAAGAGCACACTGATATCATGGACGACGGTCGCAGTGAGTGGAAAAAGTCATTTGGCAGCCCTATTTATTCAATTGCCTCTGAAGCTCGGCGGTCGTTTCAGCCATCTGTTCTTTTTCCATCCGGTGAATCTCCAACTGGCACTGAGAGGCTTGTGGAACCTGAGATGCTCAAACATGTTCCAACAAGACGTCAGAGTCAAATACTCTACAAGGGTTTCATGTCTGGTGTTCACGCAATCAGTCCAGTCATACATCCTCCCACTGTTTTGAAGCTTTATAATGCTTTTTGGAACTGGTATGACTACAGTAGCTACTCGGGAGAATCGTGCCCAAGTCCGTCATTTATTCCTCTTCTCTACGCCATCTGGTATGGCGGCTCTGTCACTATTTCAATTCGAACGATCAAAGCAGAGTTCAATGCAGCATCCCGGTTCTCACTGTCCTCCATGTATAACGAAGAAGTGACTCACTGGTTGGCAAAAATATCCTTTCCTCGAAGCCCCTCTCTCCAAGGGCTGTCAGCCTATCTTATCGTTCAAACTATTTTGTCCAAAGAGGAAGAGCCTCTCACAAGTAGTCTGTTTGTCAGTCTCGCAATGAGAGTGGCGCAGACCATGGGCCTACATCGGGACCCAGCAAAATTTGGCATTGAATCATGTGAAGCGGAGTATCGACGACGATTATGGTGGCACATTATGCATATGGATGGCGTTGTGGCGATGTCGAGTGGTCTTCCTCCTCTGGTTAGTGATGAGAATTATTGGGACGTACGCGAAACTAGCGAATTGAAGGACACCATGCTGGGTTCTCCAGAGGCAGAACGATATGAGCAACTAGTCGCGGCACAGCAGCGGCTCCCTGAAAACCCAGATGAGCCTTCTGTCTGCGGTGGACCATCAATGGTGAACGTATTTTATTTGACTGCGAGGGGGAAATACACAATGGCCCGTAAGTTTTGCATCGCAAAAAGAAGAGGCCAAGGGAGCATCACTGACCTCTGAAACAAGGTGCTGTTCGTCGAATATTGCGCATTCAACTGGGTACCAAACCTGTCACTCGAAGAGATATGGAAGAGCTCCGTGCAATTCTTCTCGACCTCCAGTTGAAGTTGAACTCAATTATCAAACGGATCCCCGAGGATAAATCAGAACAAACTCCAGGCTCAGCGGGCCGAGCTCTTTCTATGTCAAAGTCGCCTGTAGAGATGCAGTCAACAGAAACAGAGCTGCCAGGTGAAGGGCCCAATGGGTGTACTGAGCAATATCATTCCCCTGTTTTGGTCTCCTTTCATAAGTGGGCCAAAATCATCCTATCTCTATATATAGATAAGGCGAGTGATATGCATTCTCGGATAATGACTTTTAGGCTAATAAGTGATAGGCATTCTGTGTGGCGTATCAGCCCTTTTTGAAGAATGCCCGCAGTCGAATATGGCCTGCTGCTAGGCAGAGGTGAGCAGCCTACCGATCCGAGTGAAATATAACATATCTGATATTTATAGCGCACTTCGCCACTGCCATGGATTTATGGAAAAGTTCATTCAGCTGGCGACAGACCCAGACTTCCAACCGTTTCATTGGAGCTGGCCAGGGTGAGTAACTCCTATGACCATTAGCAATTTCAGCATCTAATACTAACCAATTTCAAGTAACCACCAACCTATGCACGCAACGATGTAGGCATTTTCTCCTTTGTTTATCATTTTCGCAGAATTTGAGTGATTCTAACCAATCACAGGATTATGCTCATTGATCTGTATGAGCGACCATACAGTCCAGAGGCTTCAAGATCTCGCGCCTTCATCGACCGAATTCTCGCACTCTCTGGACCTGATGGAGGTGTTGTTGGTGGTGAAGATGGCATCTCAACGCAACGACCGCTCAAAGACGGTGGTCGTGAAGCCTGGGACATGATTCGTCGTCTTCGTCAGAAGGCCTGGCAAAAGGCCGGGCTGAACCCCAAGATGCTTTGGACGGAACAGGATCAAATCCACGCCGGTATTGCCTCTCCAGCAGGAGAGCCCCATAATTCACGTAGCCCATACCATTTGGGAACATCACCAGCGCCCGTGTCTCCCGCAGCCTCGACAGGATATCAGGCTGTTGGGTCAGGTCGCCCACTTAACGACTTCAACAGGATGTTTTATAACATGACACGGTCTCAAATTCTTCCTAACCCTACGTCTTCCTCGGGGGCAGTCAGACCTAGCCCCCTGAGATATTCCGCTCATCCTCCTAGACAAGCGTCCCACCCCTCTTCCATTCCCTTACACAATACCACTCCAGCAGCTATCAATATGCCTTCTCCGGCCACATTGACATCACCGTCCGCCATGTCATCTTCTCCCGGTGCGACATCCTCGCTGGGGACGCCCCAATCCATCCACTCCTCTACTGCCTCTCAACCCCAAGTACCTGCGGCTCTTCAACCCCTCCCCGGCACCACCCACTCTTCAAATATGTCATTTATGGATCCTATTTCACCAAACCCACCCCCATTGGGAGTACCCACACCGCCATCAATGGTGGATCCGAACCTAAATTTCGATTGGGACCAATGGGATGCAGTCTTTGGACAGCATTTACCTGTGGCGGACGAGCTTATGGAACTAGACCCTGTCTCCGGATTGGAATTTGCGAATTTCGGGATCCCTCCTGCTGATGGTGGCATCAATGCCAATGGCATGTCTACAGAGACTTTTCCAACAGCCTGGGCGGACAATCCATCAGGCAATAGTGTTTCCTCCAGTGAGTGGACAGGATATCGTTGATCACAGGTAGTGGGTGGACTTGATATGAATAATGTCCGTAATATAATTAGCGAATAAGGCTGGGTTTCATTGATACAGATGTTAGGGAAACGGAAGGAATTGTATCTACAGCCTTTCAATCTTGCATATCAAGCGATTATTTAAATTTTGGCTACGTGAACGAAGACCTGGGTACTATATTGATAGGGGATCAATGTGGAAAAGAAGACATAACGGGTTATTGATTCGTGAGGCGTAAACTCTTGACGATCAAAGAGATCGGCCAATTATGATACGAAGATGCGACATGTAAAAGCCAGAACAGACAAAAGGCCCGGCTCGATGGGAGAGAATAAATGCCATCTCCACATCCAATCTAGACATGGATGCAGAGGGCTCGCGTTTCGTAACTTTTTAATTTCTTCAAGTCAAGTGCAATGCATTATCGCCAGCTATGGCCAAAGCGCTTAAACCTTCATCGAGGCAAAGCCGTGCTTGAAGACGGTGGCGTAGGGGGTGACACCATCCTCACGGAAATCAATCAGAACGTACCTGTATGGAGTCAGTAACTGTAGATTAATGGTTTAGACGGAGGCCACATACATAGAGTCGGGGTTCATGCTCTGGCCCATGAGGACATCGTAGTTGTCGTAGTTGGCAATGAGCTTCTTCATGGCCTTGGGGGCGTTGGCCTTGAACTCAGCAATCTCCTCGGCGGGAGTGCCAATCTCCTCAAGCTTCTTCATGAGTTTTCGGAGGTAGCCTAGAAAAGTCAACAAATTAGCCAAAATGCATGGGACATTGTGACTGGGAGAAACATACTCTTAATCCAGGCCTTGAAGTCATCCTTGGAGGGCTTGGCACCATCCTCAACCTTCAACCAGTTGAGACGGAACTGGTCCTCAATGTCGTGGACCATGATGAACTCTCCCTCGCCTTGCTCCTCGGCGGCATCCTCAGCGGAGGGGTTGGCACCGGCAAGCTCGAAGTCCTCGCCGACCTTCTTGGTGTACTTGCGGCAGTCGGTCTCCCAGAGGATGGGGCAGTCCGCAGCAACGTTGATGTCGTAGGTGTCCGAGAGCATCTCATCACCGGAGAAGAGGTCCTGAAGGATCGTCAGTTTGTCGATCATGTATAATGCAGTGGCTTGAAAAGATTCGAGGGGGGCTCGACCCCAAAAGGACTCGAAAGATATTTGAATGTAATGATATGGGGATCACATACAGTGTAGATAATCATGGTTGCGGTGTGGGAGAGTGATTAATGGTTTCACAAAGGGGAATTGAGTTGGAGTGGAGGGGGAAGAGGAAAACAAAAAAAAGGAGGGGAAGAAGTTTTTTTTTTTTTGAAGTGGCGCGCTCTGGTTGGTGGGGGAGTTTGCTCTGTTTGTCCTCAGATCACGGGGCTCTCAATAGCCTGAGGAGCCCAATGAAGGTAATGAAGGTAGATGAGATGGAAGATGATTACGATTCGGTAATTAATGGAATTTCAAAGGAACAACATGAGATAATCTATTAGGTTATTTAGAAGTGATAGGATATGTATACTACTAGTATTCGTACCTAATTTCACTCATGAGTACTACTAGTAGATTATACATACATAGTTGCCGGTACTAAATCAAAGTTCCGGATCGCTATAGTTTCCGTGCTGCTACTACTCACTGTTACTTAGTAGAGAGAGAGAGAGAGAGAGTCTTCCATGGCTTTCATAATAGTTTATTCCTAGCCCTTCCAATCTTTCTCTATCAAATAAAAATTCTGAATATTCATTTCTACTCTACATTACCTGTTTGTATAAAGGTAAAACTGTTAAAAATAAAGTACTACCGAGAGTATACTGCTTATAATCACTGGGATTATACTACAAGTCAAATCAAAAGTGATATTAGTAGATAGCAGCAGAAGTAGATACTAGTACAAGTTCACCCAATTCATACCTGTGGAGATCAATCAGAGATATGATGCTACTGTGACCACATCAGGCAACTTACCAGGTATCTCTATTGCAGTACTTAGTTAATACTCCGTTGTGTAGTAAACCTGCTTGGGAGTAAACAATTCGCCGCATCGGGATTTCAATACCGCAGGAATACAATAAAGGTACCATAGAATACATTAATTACCCTCTTCCAACCAATCGGAGACATCTGGCCAGACACTCCGTCGTCACCCGTGCTGTCCGCATCCGACTGGCGCCACTTCTTACTTCGGTTTCTTCTTCAATCCCCCATTTCGCCTCCTGATCATCTTTCCTTTTTATCTTTTCAACTGCCAAAAAAAAAAATTCATTAAAAAATTGGTATTCTTATCAGATCCTCTGCTGGGGGCTCGGTCTAGGAAAGATCAGTGCATTGCACTTCCTCCGAATATTGTCCCTAGAAAAAAAAAAGAAAGAAAGAAAAAAAAAACCAAGATACAAGATACAACTACAGTCCTTCGGGTAGTGACTGTCAAAAGTTCCTTCGTTCCTGATTTCCAAGCTTATCGCGCGACCCCATCGAAAAACATCCACATCCACATCCGCATCCACATCCACATTTTTTTCCCTCTGTTACTCTTCTCCTTATCTTCGAACTCGAACCACTCAAGCCTTGCCCACAGACACTGAAACGTCAATCTCGCCATTATGGCTGCCAACGCGTCGGTCGCCTGGGACCTCCCTCCCCTCCCGAGTTACACCCTCTCCGTGCGGCAACCCGTGCTCGCCCCCATCCCCGACAATGTCTTAGCCCTTACCCTGCCCATCATCGCGTACTGGGGCTTGTCTATGGTCTATCACTTTCTAGATGTTTACGGATACTTCGAACAATATCGCCTACACACCCCCGCCGAGGTATTGAAACGGAACCGCGTTACCCGATGGGAAGTCGTGCGCGATGTCATACTGCAGCAAATAGTTCAGACAATCGCCGGCATGTCCGTGGCCTATTTTGACCCCGTGGAAACCGTTGGTAGGGAGGATTACGACGTGGCCGTGTGGGCGCAACGGTTAAGGCTTGCCCAACGAGCCATACCCCCCATGTTTGCCCTGGTCGGCGTGGACGCGGCCGGTCTAGCCAAGTCAATGTCTCAAAATGGTCACACCCTACTAGCTGGAGCTTTGGCTGGAGGCTCTTACCCGAATTTGATGCAGTCGCTTATTCTTGACGGCGGTGCCGAGGTATCCGCGCCCGCTTTTACCCATTGGGAGATGGCTTTGGCAAGCTTCATCTACTGGTACTTTGTTCCGGCTCTTCAGTTTATGCTAGCAGTCTCCATTGTCGATACTTGGCAATACTTCCTTCATCGGGCAATGCATCTCAATAGGTGGCTCTATGGTGAGTCATGTCCATTTCCATCCCCCCAATTCCAAAGGGAGAGTTCCCCCAACTGACTTTTCCCCCAGTAACTTTCCACTCCCGTCACCACCGACTGTACGTTCCTTACGCATTCGGTGCTCTGTATAATCACCCCGTGGAAGGCTTTCTTCTAGACACATTTGGTACCGGAATCGGTTTCTTGGTTTCGGGAATGACCAACCGACAAGGCATGTGGTTCTTTACCTTGTCCACCATCAAGACCGTGGATGATCATTGCGGCTACGAATTCCCTTGGGACCCGCTGCAGCACTTCACTTCGAACAATGCTGCCTATCATGACATTCATCATCAGAGTTGGGGCATCAAGACCAATTTCTCCCAGCCCTTCTTTATCTTCTGGGATCGATTACTTGGCACACAATGGACAGGGGACGTCACGTCTCGCTACGAGCGTTCCCGAGAAACTGCTCAAAAGCAAGTGGATTTGGACGCCGTCAAGGCTGCTGAGCTGGCCGAGGAAACCGAGCATGAACCAGCCGTGGTCTCATCTGATGGCCCGGCCAGTAGGACCCGTCTACGCCGTAAGACTGTTGACAGTTTAAAAGGGCCGGGTCATGGTGTCCCCGGCAGTGTTCTCCACAATTAAGACCCCTTGATGAACCCATATGCATAGTATTCCCCAGGGGGCCTTGAAGATGCTGGTCATCTCATTGCGGCTAACGAGGTCATTGTCTTTTTTTTTTCCCTTTTCTCTTGCTTCATGTATTTGGGATGTGAGCTCCTTCAAAGTCTGGCTCCGTTGTATTAATAATTCGAGAATGCTCTAGTCAATTCTTTGTACATTGGTTTTTCCCACGTTTCACCGTGACTTACTGTCAATAATGTCTATTTACTTACATTCATTTGATCATCATCCACTCGGCCTGTTCCAAGGTTGGCAAAGATTCAACCGTTGAATATTTGAAGTTTTCGGATACACTTATGTGCAAAGTTTCTGGGATACCATAGGCTGATCTCGATATTGGCCAATATCATGATTCATGATTTAGGTGCAATATCACTATCTTTTGCTGTGTTGTCTTAGCCTAGCCTCGGCGTGATAAGTGCTGGGTCCGAGCACTGTGACGTGTTGAATTGCAAAAAATCCCCCGCATGTTGAACCCAACGATCAAAAACATAAACAATAATCACATGGCAGAAAGTGCGATCCGCTTGTTTTCTTTTTTCTTCTTTTTTTCCCCGGCAGCTTTTCCTTCGAATCGGCATTTTACAGCATCAAGTGTGACTTACGTTATTACCCATTGTCTTGAACAGATGGTACCTCTTCGTTTGGCCCATAGGCCTCCAAATGCGACACCATTGCCATATACTGCATCCCCACTCAAACTCCTATGGGCTGACCTTTCCCTTGTTATCAAATATGCCTGGGCTCTACCTCTCTTGTTCTTTCCCCTACGGCTGACCAAAACCAATCGACTGGATGAACTCTACCCATCACCTCTGAGCGGCGTATCATTTGGAACTCAAGTGTTCCTTACACTCTTTCAAGTTTTTTTTCTCCTTTCCATACCCGTCGCCGTGGTATTGATGATTCCTACTGTGTGGATTTTTGTGTACATCGCTGTCGCAGTGACCTCGAACTACATGGTCTGCATGCTCATGTTGAACGGCTTCCGCAGGGTTCTTGTGTCACAAGTCCCGGTCCCCGAGTCACACATCCATGTCCGCGAACGTTGGTTCTTCATAAATGGCATCGCTGGCAGGTAAGCTGCCACTTGTTGCACCACACTTGCTTTTCATTCCATCTCATGCTATATAGCCAGTATTGGGTGCAGAACAATCTGGACCAACTTTCCTATACCTTTGGTCGAAAAATCACAGGAATTCATAATCGCACGTAAGTTCTACCGGGGATGACCCTGGGTAATCGGGGCTAATTTGAACTGGCTCTAGAGCGGGGATCGTCTTTGACCTGATTGAATGTTTGATTCAGCGCTGTTTTTCTTATGCCACTAATGATATACGGAGGGCATACCCACTAATTAAAGAGGCACTGCTCAATCCCGACTGTGACAAAGTGGTCCTGATACTTCACAGTCAAGGGGGAATTGAGGGTGGCTTGGTTATCGATTGGCTGTTGGATGCACTTCCACGGGACATTCTTCACCACCTGGAGGTCTATACTTTTGCGAATGCGGCCAACCACTTCAACAACCCTCGTCGAGCTTGCAAGACCAACCCAGATGCTGCTGGATCCGGTAACTTTCCTTCGCGCTATGACTGGTCTATTGGGTACATTGAACACTATGCCAATTCAGGCGACGTGGTTTCATGGATTGGCGTTTTACATTTCATCACCTTTCCCAATCGATACATGGGACGTCTTTTCATCCGATCAGGCTCGGGTCACTTACTAGATCAACATTATCTGGACACTATGTTTACTTTGGGACCTGATCACAAAGTTCTGGAAAACAACCAATTCATGGATATGGAAGTTGAGACAAACTCAGACTGCAAGCCCAATGAGGATTGCGAGGAGACCTTACTTCCTACTACTTTTCCCTCCGAAGAATACCAACAAGATAAAGACATCGTGACGCAACGGGTTAAGGACTATAGTCGCCTCTGGCAATATCGGAATGGACGCATTCCATCGGACAAACCCAAATACGTGGGATAAAACTAGCGCTAGAGACGACTAGTCCGAACCCCAGGTCTATGTATCTTTCATGCATTATACGCATATCCCATTACTGAAAACTTTGTATTTTAGAAGGAGTTTAATCTAAACACACCCCCTTCTCATGCAGTCATGCTAACACACCCCCATGTGACCCACTAAGCCTAATCAGGACAGGTTATTTTTTTCTGCCGAAGCATGGCTGGCAGAAAAAAAAGTCAAATGTTTGAAAATGTACTAGTATAACTACTAGTATACTAGTATTCTTACAAAAAAGAATTCAGGCCATAATCAGGCATCATTTTATTATTTTCTGCCAAAAAGCTGCTGAGTCAGCCCCACGCCCGCACACCCCATGCCGCTGCCGTTTCCCCCCCACCCATCGATCTAGAATAGACTCGAGAGTGGACTTGAGAGTGGACTTGAGAATGGACTTAAGAATAGACTTGAGAAGGTTTTGGTACCTGATTTTTATTTGTAATGATATGTACATTTTTTTGAAGTCAATTTTTTACTTCTGGCCTAAGAATTAAGGCATTAAGTTTTTGAAGGCGGTAAGATGATAGTAAAAGGCGGCGAAAGAAGCGGTCGGAATTATTACTGCCTAAGGCATAACTAGGAAAATCCAGGCATCAATCTATCCTGATTAGGCTTAGTAGGTCATGTGGGGGTGTGTTAGCATAAGAAGGGGGTGTGTTTAGATTAAACTCCTTTTAGAAACAGCATGAGATCGGTACCAATAGAATTTAGCTTTTTTATCTTTATTAATTGCCAATAACCTACAACATTTCAAGTCGGAACGGACTCGACTCCGCTAAGAACCCCATCGACATTGAGTCAGGGATCCGAGAGAGGGTCACGCCAAATCCAGCTGGAGCCAATCGGATTGTCGGCTTTCTCAGATCGGCATGCCGAATCCACTCTGCCCCCACGGGCAATTGCCTCGGGTAATAAATGACTGCGACATATAAAGAATAAGAGGATGCCAATTTCCAATTTCTCTTTCACAAACTTCATCTCAAGGTTATGTAATACTCTGATAGGTATAACCATCTTTACTTGAACCTGCTGGTTTTTATTTTCGAGATGGCCAAGTCTGGTATGGAGTATTCAATTCCCCCATACACATGTGCGCCCTACTTGTCAATGTTCGCCGTCGTACTGACATTTTGCCAACTTTGGAAAAGCTGCCCATGCTACATGTAGACTGCGCAGTGCGGTTCTGCACCGGGATAGCCATTATGTTCCAAAGAAAGCTGTTGGCGGTAAAGGAAGCTATATATTCCTTGAAGATGGAACGGAATTCCTTGACTCGACTGGCGGTGCTGCCGTCGCATGCCTAGGCCATGGCAATGAAAGGGTCAAACAGGCTATCAAAGACCAAATGGATCAGATATCCTACTGCCACTCTGGACTGTTTGGAACCGGTGCTGCTGAGGAATTAGCCCATCTTCTGGTTGACTCGACGGGAGGTAAACTGTCCAAACTATTTGTGGTTAGCTCAGGTTAGTATTTTTTTTTCTGGAAATTTCACTTACCAGGTCCAAGCCACTGAACCAACTCACTCCCGTCTGGTCTACTAGGATCCGAGGCAGTTGAAGGTGCACTCAAACTTGCTCGCCAGTATTTCCTTGAATTGCCCGACCCGCAGCCCCATCGTACGCGGTTTATCGCTCGTCTGCCTTCTTACCACGGTACAACCCTGGGTGCGTTGGGCGTGGGCGGCCATGTACTTCGGAGGGAGCCATTTGAGCCTTTGCTAGCAAAGAACACATCGCATGTATCACCTTGCAACGCCTATCGCGACAAAAGGCAAAGTGAGTCTGATGCTAGTTATGTGGCCCGCCTGGCAGCCGAACTAGAAGCCGAATTCCAGCGAGTTGGTCCGGAGACCGTGTGCGCATTTATTGCGGAGCCTGTAGTTGGAGCTGTATGATTGTCAACCCTCTGAACTTGCGGAAATCAGCTGACGAATAACACAACAAGGCTCTTGGCTGTGTCCCAGCTGTTCCTGGTTACTTTCCCGCCATGAAACTCATTTGCGAGAAATATGGCGCTCTATTGATTCTTGACGAGATCATGAGTGGTATGGGTAGGTGCGGGACTCTTCATGCGTGGGAGCAAGAAGATGTTATCCCTGATATCCAAACCATAGGTAAAGGGCTCGGTGGGGGCTATGCTCCAGTTTCCGGAATATTGATCAACGACTCCATTGTGCAGGTTCTTGACAAAGGAACTGGTGTGTTCCGGCATGGACAAACCTACCAGGGACATCCTGTCTCTTGTGCTGCTGCTTTGGCAGTTCAAAGAACAGTCCAAGAACAAAGTCTCTTGGAGAATGTGCGAAATATGGGGGCTTATCTGGAAAGACAGCTTCGCTATCGTCTTGGGGATCATCCGCATGTTGGAGATATTCGAGGCAAGGGGTTATTCTGGGGGGTAAGATGATGCCATTTCAATCGCCATGGCCCCGACGCTCTCCAAAATTATATTATACGTACTGATCAAATTTTTTTTTTTAAAAATAGATCGAGTTCGTCAAAGACAAGAGTACTAAGGAGCCGTTTGATTCCATAACTCGGTTTTCTTTTCTCATACAGGAAAAAGGTCTTTCCTCGGAACATGCGCTCTCACTTTATGGCAGCCCGGGCACTGTGGATGGTGTTCGTGGTGACCATGTCATAATATCTCCTCCTTTTACAGTTTCAAAGGAGGAAATTGACTTGATCGTTGACGGCGCTGCGAATGTCCTGGCAGAGGTTCTTAATGATTTGGGTTTATGATGTTTGAATAAGTCTACATAGCCATCATGATACATGGAGAGGATAAGAAAAATCATTCCAGCCCTCAATGGAGAACGAAGCAATACTGATTATCAAGAGGAGCGCTATGAAATTCATTTCCATTGATTCCAACCATTCCCATTATTGTACATTCCAGCGGTATCAACCTTGTGACTCGATAGCAGCTGCTTTGGTCCTAGCAGCAAGCTCAATTTCTGTCTTGGTCTTAATAGGAGCATCGGACACCAGAGATTCATTGGGCATGGAGCTAGCTGCCCATAGACCAGCAATTGTTTCAACGGCCCTCTCGACGACAATGCGGACTCGGTCACGCAGAACAGCGTTGGCGCATTCGACTTCCAGGCTCTCTAACCAAACACGAGCAACGTGCTTGTCCACCTTGATTTCAATCCCAGGAACGGGAATTCCCAAAGCCTGCAAACGCTCTAGTTCAGCTGACTCAATATCAGCAATACGCTCCTCCTTGCTTCTGGCTTGGTCACCGTTGGCGGTGCCAATTGCAAGATCGGTCGGTATGCGTGGACGTTCAATAGGGGCAATGTCAGAGCCAAATTGCACCTCCAGCATCATGAGAAGACGAGCCAGTCGCTCGTCAGCCTCAAGGTGTGAATGAGGATTGAGAAGGTCATCAAATTCATCATTATTGTGGTGGTGGTGATGATGTTTATGCTTGGCAGATTCTGTAGAAACGTATCTTGTTAGTCCGAGTAAATGAAGGATGAAATAAGAATCCTTACGCTTGACGGAGGCTGGGCTACTCTCGACTGTGAGGAGGACGGCCATGACGGCATCAGCAACCCCGTCGTTCATCATGTTGCCCTCCCACTCAATCTCGACCTCACGGCTTCTTGGGTGGTATCGCAAAAGCACACAGCCCATTATTAGGAAAGTCTGAGCTCTATCCATGAGAATCTCCTCGTCTGCAGCTTCACCGTTAACATGTGCCCCCAAATCGCTGATAGTCCCTTTCTTTTCGTTGCTTTCGGTACCAATCTCCTCAATAGCGCCAAAGGTGCTCTCGAGGGCCCATTTGATTAGTTCCATACTCGCGGAACTGAGAGTTAGATGTTGTTTGCAGGTGATTATAGATGTTGTCAAACCTGCATACTCTCGTAGGTCTTCCGGGGCCATTAATGACAGGTCAAATCCATTCTGTACCAGGACTCCCGCCATGAGTTGACTGTCGTCTTGCTCCGAGGGCGGGGCAATCTGTGCCAGTTTGCCGACCACCTTGGCTATTTTGTCTTTCCTGAAGGGAATGCGCACTTCATCGCAGTTTGCTGGTGTGTAAACTTTGACCTTGACGCTCTTGTCAGCGTTAAGGCTGAGCAGTTTCGACTTGAGTCTCATCATTTGGTGCTTTTCACCGTGAACCAGAATCTAGCAATATATCAGTCACTAATAAAATCAGAGAAAAATTAGATCAACTTACGACTACCGGTGCAGCAACTTCTTCGATAAAGTTGCGGTTTTCCACACCGTCGACATGAGCAGCAAAACTAATCTCATCAACAGTACAACGGCGTGGAATCATCACTTTCTGGTCTTCGTCGTTGCCTCCAGGAACACGTCCACGGCCTTGCATAGCTGCGCCCTTGGACATGACTGCGGGAATCTGATCTGGCTCATTGAGTAGCTGCTTAGCCATAGTGCCTTCGACACTATAACCAGTCATAACAACGCCATTGCGCTCGCTCGGGGCCCATCTCTCAAGTAACTCTCGGCTGGTTCCTGTTTGAAGCATACCAGGTGAAGCAATCATCACGCAGCCCCCGACATCATCAAACCGTTCAAGACTCCGAAGACTTCTAACGAAGCGGAAATCCCATGGCCCTGCCGTGATACTCTTATCTCCGCTTGCCTCAGCTTCAGCCATACGTTGCCTGAAGAGCCGCTTGATGTTGTCGTTCATAGCACCAATATATGTCTGGTATACAACCATACAACGGCGGGCCATGTTGCCGATGTAATAAATAGGAACTTTCTGTAATTCCGGGTGGCGCTCCCAATATTCTTCGAGGATAAGAAGGAGTTCTTGTGCACGACCGAGAGCGAAAACCGGCATCAAAACACGACCTCCACGGTTTAAGACACCAGTGATTGACTTCATCAGGGCAGCTTCACGTTCCAACCTTGGTGGATTGGACGAAATGCCAAATGTGGATTCTGTGATCAAAACATCAATCTTAATCCCCCTAGGAACAGTAGCCGGGATCAAGTGCCGGTCTTCCTCACGCGAGTAATCTCCCGTGAACAATATGTTCAAGCCAGCAATAGACACCAAGAACATGGCGGCTCCAAGGACGTGACCAGCGGGGAAAGGAGTGATGCGTATGCTGTTAATGGTATGAGTTGTATTGAAGTCGATGGTCTCAATGAGAGGGAGAGTTGAGAGGTGGTCGCGCTCGGTATATAGAGTTGTGCGTTGATCCGAAGAAGAGGACGTATTACTGACTCGGACATTATCCTGAATCAGCCATTTGTAGATGGCCTTTGTAGCGTGTGTCATGAAAACGCGGCCTTTGAAATTTGTTTTGCTGAGAACATAGGGAAGAGCTGAAGAATGATCGACGTGGAAACTATATTCATGAGATGCACCGTTAGTCACGGACGAGCAATGTGGTTGAATGAAGTGATGGCGAGGAGACAATGACGGGTGCAGGATTGTATTTTTGGACTTCAAAAGGCAGTGTAGCACAAGCTACAGTGAACCGCCCTGATGCGCAAATCACCAAGGTCCCCAATTCTGGCGCTCAAGGGTAGAGGAATCCACATACTGGCTGATCAAGAGTATATCCACTGTACTTAAATCAAACTCATCGAAGAAAGGAAGCGCGGAGAATCCTTCTTTGGCCGGGTGCATGCCTGCATCAAGCTGGTAATGATTGAAAACCCAGAATTAGCTAAACCCAGTTCACCAGAATTTCCAAAAGTCAAAGCTTACCATGACCGTCTTTCCTTTGTATTGGATGATGTGACATGATCGTCCAACTTCATTGCCTCCACCGAGGCAATAGAACGCCAACTCATCTGAAGGATCCACCGGCTCATCATCCACGGATGAACCCATTGCGGAAGCCTTGCGCTTGCTTGCCATTGTTCCCGAGTTCTAACACCTCAACTGGATCAAAAAAAAGCGTTTCGTAGTCGCAAAGTGATTTGATTACCGGCAGAATCGTTTGGTTGCAGGGCACCGTTAGCCCCTTCGCAGCTGATCTGGAATCAAACAATCAATGTGCGGTGCAGGTCATTTTCATGGCCGAGGCGATATTGGAAACCGAAATAAGAACTTGAAACAAGGCGGGGGGGGACAGGTAGTAACGGTAGTGGAATTTAATGAAATAGTAGAATTAAGTCGCGAATCAAGTCAACCGCGTTCACCGCCTTAGGTTCCCCAGACGGTTACCGGTAACTAAGCAGCACGTGACCAACGCGATCCGCGGAGCAAAACCTCGAGAAATGCAAAGCTCCCTGTTCCCCTCGTCCCGCATCACCTGCGTCCATACAGCCTATCACCTCCGCTGACTCGTCCTATATACTTAAAGACAATCCTCTGCGCATCAACTCTATGGTTTTGCCGGTGCTCTGAGATGGTCCCATCTGGTGGTATCTGGTGGTGTGAGCAAGCCGCTCACTTGAACGCCCACGCGTGGACGTCTCTTTCTCCCGCGCTGTAGTCTGGCTCCAATTCATCCGTCTCGACATTCACTTCCAACTTATCTTTCACCATCGAAATATCTCCCATCATGGCGCAAACAAGACACCCCCAACAGCAGCAACAGCCGCCCCCTCAGTTCACTTCTCAACCTTTCTCTCCTCCAGTCTCCTCTCCCTCACCTCACTCCGTCTCCTCGCCTGTCAACGGAGGTGCTGCACCTCCTCCATCAAAGCGACCTCGGTTGTCCCCTCTTCCTCCACCTCAGTCCCAGTCGCCCTATGCTTCGCCAAGCTTTGGAGCGATGCAGCTACCTCAAACCCAAACTCAACACCAACCTCAACATCCACCTATTGTAAACGGAACTGCTCCGAACAATATGTCTCCAGCGCCTCCTGGTACTATGGGGCCGCCTTCGCGCCCCGTGGACAAAACTACTGATGCGGCGGAGTTGACGGATGTTCTGGCATCATCTGGTATTGACGTGCGAGAGGAAGAGGCATTTCTTACGCGCAGCTTCTCGGGGCCTAACGCGCAGGCGCAGCCGGCTTCTCGAGGGCAAACACCTCATCACCCCCCACACATCAACACCTCGTTTGCATCCCAAGGCTCGGGAGGAACCCTTTCGGCATCCAGCAGCTTTGGTGAATTGCCGCACATTAAGCCGGTGATATCGCAACAGTCATACTCCGACCCCGCATCTCAAGCCCAGGCTCCGTTCAAAGATCCTAACGAGCCAACTCGTGAGGATACAGAAGCGGCAAGACGGTCACAATATCATCTGCAAGAGCCGTTCCTATTCGCCAAATTGCTCGAACAGAAAATCCAGAAACGAGGCTTCGACCTGGGTGTTCGTATTCCCTCTGAGGGCCTTTTCCATCCCGTTCCCGGTAGGCCACAGCCTATTGAAGTGACTGGACCTGATGGGTCGTCCGTTATTCGCACCGGTCAAACTATTCTGAATCAGGAGGGGGCACCGCTGGTGGATATTCTGAATCTGATGTCTCTTTCTTGCGAAGAGCGACTACGGGGCATCATTGACTATTCCTCGTCACTCTCTCGCAGCAGGCAAGCACATTCACATGGTGTAGTTCCCGATGAATGGCAGGATGTCGCCCAGCCTTTGAATCCCGTGGCTGGCAATACAGCAACTCCTTCTAAGCGTATGTGCATTATTTGAGGCTTATCAAGTTAACTGCTAGCGACTAACCCTATGCTTACTAGGTCCTCGCCCTGGTAGCGAAACATCTGTCACGAGACCTGTTGCCGAGAAATACCGCGCTTTTGTGAATAAAGAGTCATCCCAGGAAAATAAACGAGAAGCAAGACGCGTGAAACGCAATGCTGATGCGACTGTGGATGAGATTACTGGCAATCGGTCCGACTCTGTTGACGTCACTGGATCCGCTCCCTCGACACCCATCGCTGAACGAACCCCCAGTTTCGATAAGAAGTCCATTACCAAAAAAGAAGCGAGGAAGATGGTGGATTCCAAAGCAAGTGAAGCACAGCAACACCAACAGTCTGTCGAAACAGCCCGTTTGGCTACCAATAGCATGCTTTCTGGTCGGATGTTTGGAACCAAGAAGTCATATTCGTGGTTGAAGCCCGGAGGCTCTTCCAGTGGATTCTCGTCTCCCTCACGTCCTACTCCTTCCACCCCTACTGCCACTCCCGATAAGGCCGGTCGCTCTGGTGATACAGCCCCTGGCCAGCCAAAGCGGCGAATTGGAACATGGCGCGAGGACAAGGAAAAGGGGGCAGGCATTCAAGTGCGAGATCTCTTGTTCATGCTTGAGGCAGATGGACGCGGAATCAAACATGTGCAGCGAGGCTACTCGAAGGATCCCAAGGAGGATCGCTCAACCTGAATGAACCAGACCATTGTAATCTTATTCTTTATGTTTTTTTTTTTTTTTTTTTCCACCCTTTCTCTATCTTCCGGTCTAATTTGGGTCTACGGGGGGTCAAGTTGCAGCCAGGGATTGGTCAACCCTGACCCCCTGCTACAAGAGTTCTTGCATCTGCGTGAGTCTGGTTCGTGGCGTTCTGGGTACTTTTTGCTTGTTCTTTTCACGGAGATGCCGGGGTTCTTTATTACTGAAACTTTTTTTTCCCCGAAATAATGGTTTACCATGCGCGCGGATAGAGATAATTTCGCATATGATTCGTCCGATCCTTCAAGCTTATCAACTGGGCCAGCAGGTCTTTCTATGCATGGAGTATTCAAGTACAGCAATGGAAAAATAAAACGTGACTTTGATGTAAACATTTTCGCGACATACGTGTTATCTCCTAGGAACTCAATGAATCTGCAACATACAAGATTCTTATTCAACCTTCAACTTGGTGGGCCGAGTTCCGTCGTGGCATAAGTAACATTATGTGAAAAGTATTCACATTAAGTATCAAACCATCTGTCGTACTGCCTCGTGTGCTCGGTTCATCTCATCTTCCGATGGCATGTTGACAATGGCCAAGTAAAGCACTTTCTATATCGAGAAGTCAGTATATAAGATTCGACCTGAAAACCTGCACGGTGAATCTTTACCTTTTTCATAAGTTTGGCAACGGGACTTAAAAGACCCTTGTTATCTCCCTGGCCCGTTAGGGATCCTCTTGCAGAGAAATTCCGGTCTGCAGGATATGGGTCATTACTTGATGAGAACTGCGCAGCATTTTGTGGATTTCGAAAGTCCCTCGCTTGCGCAATAGCATCTCTCAAACCGAAGGATCGACCATACGGTGCATGTGGTGCCGCATTTGAAGCAGATTGTGACTGCATATGATCATCATCCCGGTATTCATTTGAGACACCTCGCCCACCACGGGATTGCTCGGATTTCAATCTCTGGAGTTTTTCCATCGTGAATTTCCCGCCACTTATCAGAGCAAGAGGGTCCCCTGTGCTAGCAGGATGGTTTGGATCGGCATATCGTGAGGTGAAAGTAGGCTTGGGGCCCTGTGTCAAATGACTGTCCGGATTTTTGGCCATCTAATGACCCCAGACATATTAGAGGATATCACCCCCATAGTTGAAAAATAAGAAGACTCACAAATTTGGCTTGGGCTCTCTTGTCCATATAGCCGCTCACAAATTGACTCTTTTTCTTCATTTTGGATAGTTTTTTCTCGGCGTTCGAATCCGATGCCAGTTGATCTATTTGGGGGAAAATGAGAGGTGCTACCTCTGGGAAAATATTTCCATAGCCTTTTCCGTCGGAAGACTTGAGCTTATGTCGAAGCCGTCCGACCATATTGGGGTTGTGATCCCCGGCAGCTTGAGAGATCAATGAATTCAGATCGACCTTTGTGGAAGGTGCATCCGTCATATCAGGGTTCCATGTCATGATAAGACAAAAAAGCCCACGGGGTTGGAAGAACTCTTTATTTATTTGGTCAAAAAAAGAGTTTGTTCTGGGGAGTCGCTGTTAGTATACTCAAGTATAGGCAGTAATCAACTATGGTTGCAGATCTCCATACTTACTTTCGACGGCCATCTACCGCAATGGCGATGTCCGTAGCAATCTGAATGGCAATGGAAACGGCAATTCCAGTGACCGAGGGTAACCAAATGGTTCCGATGGAAGCCAAATTGATCGCTTGAAGCCAAGGGGCCGCTTGACAAGCCTTCTCGGCAGTGTTGAGAAAGTCGATGAACATGGTCTGGTCGATTCCACATTCGGCAAGAGCAGGAGCATATGCTCGGATAAAGCCGCGATCCCGGGTTCTGGGCCTGCGCTGGGGGAGCACAACTGGTGCCGATAGTCGTGACTGTGACAGATTCTCATTCATTATGTACGGTGGCGGTGCTGGATTTGCATCCGCAAATTGATGGGCAAGGCTGGCCTCATCCATATCCATTCCTTCGTCCACCTCAGTGTATTTTGGGGGGGAAGGGGAGGAGTCCCTCTCGAACTCATGTCGAAGGTCATCTTGGGCTTCATCCAGAGCCCATTGCTCTTCTAGAATTCTGGTCGAGTGCTCAGAGCTGCCATTTTCCCGTATTTCAAGCTCATGCACGATGGGAAATTCCTGTTCCTCGGGATTGATCTCCCCCTCTATACTGGGTTCTGGGGAGTTGAGGGCTAGTGAGCTCTGTTTTTTGGCCTTGTGAGCCGATATGCTCTCCGACACGAGACCAATGCCAGCTGCAATACTCTGAAAAGCTTTCCGACCGATGATGTGAGAGTTTGTCATTATTTCCACGGGTCAAAGCTTCAGGTGATGTTTCAAGGCTAGAAAGTATTTCAAATGTTTGAAATTGGATTGGGAAAATGATTCAAATATCCGTGGATAGACAAGGGTGATTTGAATGGATGCTGAGGGGAAATGGGAATATTTTCAAAGTTGGCGAGAGGGGACTTGAAGGTATATTGCTATGCCTTATATAGCATTATCCAGGTGGGACCTTGGGAGGTCTAAGCCACTCTATCAGTTGACCTTGGAATGACAATTGCATGTATAGTATGCTACTGTATGCATATATTTCTTCCAAATTTTGATCCTTGGACGGAATTAGCAAGTGGAACAAGTGGAGATGGTCTCTTGATTGACAATGTGATTGGCCCATTACGGTATTGGGTTTTCGCAACCTAAACCCGATCGGGTGAGTAGTTCGGTGGCTTAAAAAGTTCACAGTTGATCAATTACCTCGAGTGCTATGTACTAGTACGTGCATAGTTGATGACTTTTTTTTATGTCCTCCGTACTATTCAATGTTTCAATATTCCGAACTGTCTTCCTACCTAATCCCCTGACTATGATAGCTATCCTCCTATCCTCCTATCCTCCTAACTCTCTTCCTAACTATATTCCTGGCTGTCTTTCTTTTGAACGATTTTCCTGGCTATGGTTCCCAGTGAAGAGGAGAGCTATGATATAAGAGCCATTGAGCTGTAAAATAGGTATATAGGAATTCCCTATGGTAGGAAGGACTATTGTGTGTAAGTAATAGTATATTTAGTGAAAATTGAGAAAGTTTATTAATATCCAAGAAACCCCGACCTGTAGGATCCAGATGACCTGCTTCTGTATTAAACTCCAAAAAAAACCCCCATTCCAAGGTCGGTTCCTTAATACCGAGGTACTGGTAGATGGAAGATCAAGATTGAACATTGTAACATTGGAATGTTTAAATGCTGGATGTATTTATGTCGAGATGAGGGAATCTCACAATATTGAAGTTCCCTGTATGAAACAGATCTTTGGGTAAATTTACATCATCTTCAAACATTTGAAGTTGGAAATCTTCCAACGATAGAAGGAAAGAAGGGAAAGAAGTCGGTTATATGATCACGGTCCTACTGTTCATCCGTAGGTCAGGTGATCGCCAAGGTCTTTGAAGAGAGACACCAGTTGACTGGAAAGTGATGAAGATTTTGAATGTTATAAGAACTTTAGAAATCACTGGTAGAGTAAGGTTGAATCCTTTTTTTTTTTAAGATAGCCCGCAATAAACCCTATAAAACATTTGAAAATAGCTTTTCCCATTTTTCCTGCAATATATATGACTTGAAATTTGCAGGCGTGTGGGCTGGATCGGCTAAGGGCAGGTGGCGTGGAGTGGGCCAGAGTCAATGGAATGAGGGCGTAATCGGGATTTCCCTTCATTCCCATTGATCTCGCATACAAAAGTTTCATCTTCATGCGCATGGGCCCTAAATATCCCCCGGTGGCGGCAAATGGCTTAATCAACACGGGAAAAAAAGGCCCCAGAAGCGAGAGGTGAAGGGTAATCTCTTTAGAGATTTAAAGACATGTATCAAAAAGGCGTAGAGAGTGGAGAGATTGAATTCTTATAACGGAACACTAATAAATTGGGAGAACGTTCGAAAGCCAACGGAATACATACTACATACTAGTAGGTATACTATATACTCAAATATTCAAAAATAAATCACCAGATACATAGAATAAAAGAGAAGAGGAATGTAGTATATACTACTACTTACCTTTGGAGTATATATATATAAAAAAAAAAAAATTGCAGACAAAACCGCCCGAGTCCTAAGAGAATGAATTGATCGGCACCTGTTACGTTCCCCCCCCCCCAACTCTGGCTCCGGTTCCATCATCAACCTCACTCACCCTCTCTCTCTCTCTCCTCTTCCCCCTCCTATTCTCTAAATGTCTTGCTTCTTATATTCCAATCAGTCGCAGTTTTTATCCTGCTTGATCGTGATATTCTGAATATAGCCCCCGAGGTGGAAAAATCCCCCCAAAAATTCCCACGCACCCATTTTTACTAGAAGATGCATCGGATCTGATCTCATCCCATTTTCCGACCGCCTCGTCATTGTCACGTTCCAAATCCCTGCCGACTCTCCCTAACCAACCTTACGGCTCGGTCGACTCGATATTTACCAGATAGTCAATCCGGTCGCGTGAATTTATTCTTCCGCAAACACATTCATCTCCCCTCACCACCAAACAATCGGTCGTGAACGCCTTCTCCGCGTCCTGGAAACCCCGTTCGTGTGACGGACGAGACTGATCCGTACACAATGTCCACGCCATCCACAGCTACTGCAACCCATCCCTCTCACCAGCGCTACGGATACCCCCATTCTTCATACCAAGCGACGACTTCTTACTCAACCCCGACTACCGCCGCAGGGGCTCGCTTGACAAATCCCTACAACTACTCGGTCCCCTCGCCGACCACCGCTCCTACCACCCTTCCCTACAACCCATCGGCTCGAGTCGCGCCAGCGACGTCGACTCCCTCGGGCATGGCCTCCCACCAAAGTGGATCCAGCGCCGCCCCTTCGCAAACTGGCCGGAGAAAGAAGCCCGATTGGGGCGAATTCTACAAGAATGGTATCCCCAAGGAGGTCATCGTAATCGATGACAGTCCAGGTCCTGACGCTTCCAAACCCGCGCCAGCACCTCCGGTTAACGGCGCCCCCGCTGGTCAACCCGCTGGCCAACCCGCTACGTCTCAACCTGCCGGCAAGCGGCGACGCACCGGAATCGAAACTGCCTATGATTTGGGCTACTATGACCGTCCCTCCTTTTCCATCAACCCCCAGCAGTATGGAGAGAAATCCTCAAACTCGCTATCAACCGACCGAACCACCTCGCTACACACTACAGCCCCGACCTCACTGGGCTCTCAGGGCAGTTCGGGCGCCAGCAATGGGGTCTACTACGAAGATGCCGCAGCTGGCCAAAAGCGCAAGCGGACTACTCGGAAATCAACTCGTGATGAACAAAAGCGGCGAGAACTGGAGACTGTCGGTGACGCGTTCCTCGAATATGTCCCACCACCGCAGCCGGTCATCAAGGCCAAAGATGTACCCGTGCCTGTTGTTCGTGACGTACGTGATCCCTTCTTTCTCCTCTTAACGCTTTGCGTGAAATCGAAATTAATCCCAAGTCCCCATTTTAGTATACTAGTTCACGAAATGAAAAGTTCGACGACGAAGACGGCCATTATATTGTGACTCCTGATACACTGTTGACTGATCGATGTGAGTTCAATTTACTCTTACCATCACCCCTGGTCCCTACTTGACGACTGACTGACCTTTCTTCTTTTTGCTAGACTCTGTGATCAAACTTCTAGGACAGGGCACATTCGGAAAAGTAGTGGAAGCCTATGACAAGCGACAAAAGACCCGTTGCGCTATCAAGATCATTCGCTCTATTCAAAAGTACAGAGACGCCTCCCGGATCGAATTACGAGTATTATCAACTCTCGCGTCGAATGACAAAAGCAACCGCAATAAGTGTATACATTTACGAGAGTGCTTTGATTTCCGGAATCATATCTGCATCGTTACCGACTTGCTGGGTCAGAGTGTATTCGATTTCCTGAAAGGCAACGGCTTTGTCCCATTCCCCAGCAGTCAGATTCAAAACTTTGCCCGACAATTATTCACAAGTGTGGCTTGTAAGTCGAATTTTCTGACTTGAACATGTGCATGTCCTTCGACACTAACCTCATTATTACAGTCCTTCACGACCTCAATCTCATTCACACCGATCTCAAACCCGAAAACATTCTCCTCGTCAGCAACGCCTACCAAACCTTCACATATAATCGAACTATTCCCTCATCCTCACATGCCAACCCTCGGAATGCTCGGCAGCGACGTGTTCTTCTTGATAGCGAGATTCGGTTAATCGATTTTGGCTCAGCCACTTTTGATGATGAATACCATTCTTCGGTCGTTTCAACAAGGCACTACAGGGCACCTGAAATCATCCTCAACCTAGGGTGGAGTTTCCCTTGTGATATCTGGAGTATTGGATGCATTCTAGTGGAGTTTTTCACAGGGGATGCCTTATTCCAGACCCATGACAACCTTGAACATTTGGCGATGATGGAGGCAGTCATCGGTAGCAAGATCGATCAAAAATTGGTTCGGCAAGTCATGCAAGGACGTAGTGGAGGCAACCACAATTCAGCTGCCAAGTAGGTCACCTCTCGAGCAGCACCAACATGAATCACAGTTACTGACCCCATTTCTAGATACTTCAACCGCAGCAAACTCGACTATCCGAATACCGAAACAACCCGGGCATCTCGGAAGTATGTTCGTGCAATGAAACCATTGAATGTATGTCTTCTTTCGATGTTCCATTAAGAGACACGCTTCTTACTGACTTTTTTTTTTCAACCAGGACTTTATTCCGACCAACACCCCCTTCAACCGACAATTCCTAGACTTGTTACGCTTGATATTCGTTTACGATCCGAAAGCACGCATAACTGCCAAGGAAGCATTGAAACACGCATGGTTCAAAGAGAGCATCATTGATGATGGCACAGAGGCATTCAGGATTGGCATGGGATTGAATCGAGCTGCTGCTCCTCGCTAGTCCCGTCTCTGCTTGTGATATTTTACGCCTCATCAGGCTTTCGCGTCTCGTATCTTCAGGGGATCCACCGGCGTCTCTCGGATCCGTTATGGATAGATGGTTGGTTCACATGTTCTGGGTAATTCTTATTACGGGTGGGAATGGGACGGTGTTTTCACATTGGGAAAATGATGCTTACGATGTGTTTTGTTTCTTGTTTTGTCTTTCGTTTCCCCCCTTGGTTGTTCTTCTCTTCTCTTCTCTTCTCTTCCTCCTCTTTCCTCTTCCTCCTACCTCCGGCGTCGGCGTATGTGTGTGTTTTCTTAGGGTTGTTTTGATGAACATGCACAATCCTGGTTTGTCCCTGAACCCTGTACCACCTGGGCAGTCAGGGCACAGTTCTCATCACCTACTATTTTTGATCCTTGTCCCTTGTTCGGCGCCGGGCCCCCGGTTTAGCATTCTGCACGATGGTGCCCCAATCGTGATATCTTATCTCATATATCATTTTGCCATTCTCTTCTAGCGCTGGTTGATGCCACTTGATGTCCGCGATCTGTGCATCTCCCTACCTCCTTTTGACCAGAAATATTTTTTACCTCCTTTTGTTTTGAATTACTCATGGTGGGGGTTGGATATTCTTTTTAGTCCGCGTTTTTTCTTATACCATGTTGAATTTCTTTTTTTTTCTGGCGTATTGCACTGGAGTGGAGAGCAGTGTATATAGGCATTGGCCAGGTGCTATTTAGCCCGACTCCATTTATTCTTGGAAATTGGGGTTTGTTTTGTTGTGCAAAACCACGTATGAATACATTTCATGAGCATGTTGTGCATATCAAGTATCAAATGGTTTAAAACCGAGGGAACATTGAAGTACTAGTAGTATACAACTTGAATATTTGAAGTATACAAGCCATATTATGTATAGTAGGTACATGCTTAAGTAACATTCAATGTTACTATGTATACTATGTACTTATTACTTTAATAAGATACTTCAATCTTACATTAAACTGTACTTTACTCACCAGTCTGTTCAGTGCCTACTTTCATCTCCTACTTTTCAACCACCAACTGGGAAATCATGTGATGAAAAAAATCATAGTCAAGGGGGAGTTGACAAGTATTATTTTGTAGACCATTCCTATTATACTAATGTATATGATCCAAACATCCGACTTTGAGCCGAACTTAGGATGTGTTAGAGGCATATTCAGTAACAGTCCGTCATGGGAAATAAAAGGTGGAAGATTAGGAAGATCAAAAAAAAAAAAAAAAAAAACCACCAAGTATGACCCAAGTACATAAACCGCTCTCGGATCGTCAGACCAATGATAACCCACTTCACCACCTCACATTCTAAGACTACATCACTGTCACACCAACAATGAGTCCATTACAGCAGCCTGACAAATTACCAGAACTCACCATATCAAGTTATCATGCCTTACTCAATCAAGGTGAAATCAGCTGCAGCCAAGTAGTGAGCATATACCTCGCCCGGATCGCACAACACGACCCCATGATCAAAGCACTCATCAACATCAACCCCAACGCCCAAAACATCGCAGTAAAAAAGGACCAAGAAATAAGACACTACCTCAAAAACAAACTTCCCCTAAAACCGCTCCATGGAGTCCCTGTCATCCTGAAGGACAACTACACGACTTCAGATCTACCCACAACCGCGGGGAGCAAGGCTCTCCAATCTCTCCGCAGCCAAGATAGCGAAGTAGTCACACACCTACTCAACGCCGGCAGTATTATCCTTGCCAAGGCTAATCTCCATGAATTCGCACTCCATGGAACAACGACATCTTCCCTTGGCGGTCAGACTCTGAATCCCTACGACCTAACCCGCACCCCCGGTGGTTCATCTGGCGGCACCGCGGCAGCATTAGCAGCGAACCTGGGACTAGTGGGGTGTGGGACTGATACAATGAACTCCCTCCGATCGCCGGCGTCGGCATGTGGGATTGTGGGGTTTCGGCCGTCGACGGGGCGGGTCTCATGTGCGGGGATTGTGCCCGTTTCTGAGACGCAAGATATGGCAGGACCAATGGGGCGGACGGTGGGGGATGTTAGGATTTTGTATGAGGTTATGAAAAGGGATTGGAATGAATCGGTGAGCTTGGGTTCTGGGTCCGTTGCTCAAGAGGCATCACGTCCCTTGCGACTTGGAGTTCTGAATGCTTATTTTGAGCTCGAGGACATTGGAGCGTGTTCCCAAGAGGTTGTCGACGAGAATATCACTGTTCAGCGAGTTGTCCGCAATGCGCTAGATTCTATTCAGAGTGGGCTGGATGTCACTCTGATCCCCGTAAACGCGGATCGAGACTGGACTCTAGCGAATCTTCTCGCCAATGCAGATACTCAACCGTTTGAATTCAAGGATTGTCTCGATAACTTTCTTCAGTCCCCGCACGTATTGTCGGCACCTTATCGTTCACTTCAGTCTCTATCCCGGAGCGAAGAATATGATAAACAGGCCGTGACAGACGTCTTCTATGCTGCTCTTCGGGACTCCGAGGTATACTCGCGCACAAGCATGGAGTACCGCTCTCGTCTCGATATGATCACAGACCTGAAGAACTCTGTGCGACGATGCTTTGAAAAGTATAAGATCGATGCCTTGGTATATCCGCACCAGAGACAGCTCGTCGTCAATGTTGGGGTTACGAGACAGCCAAATCGCAATGGTGTGTTGGCTGCCGTGACTGGGAATCCTGCGATCTGCATTCCAGGTAAGTCTAAGATACTCAAAAGGCGCACAAAAGTAGTACTATTCGGACTAACTGATACGAAGCCGGCTTCAGTCCAGCTACTACATCAGCTCCCCGGGGTGTTCCAATTGGCATAGAGTTGATGAGCTATGCTGGCAATGATGATGACTTATTGAATGTTGCAGCACAGTTAGAAGATGTCCTTCAGGCAAGAAGGACACCCATTTTCGACTGATACAGAATATAAATGATGAAATTGCAATGCTAGACTTGGAAATCCACAAACATATGTACCTAAGAAAATCCAAGCCCTAAAATAAATAATAAAAGAACCAAAAAAAGGCATATGCATCCCAGAAGAAAGGGAAAAAAAATAACCAGCTGCATGAAAATGCAGACGCTGCAACGCCAGTGCTAAGGTAAAGCAAATTTTTACATTCCACGGTTGAACTCAACCATGCCGTCACGGCCACCGCGGCTGTGGAACTCCTCCTCGAGGCTGCTGGCACTGATAGCCTGGCGCTGGGGGAAAGCGGCCAGAGCCAGAGGCAGGGCAAAGAGGGAAGTGGTGAGAACAAGACCCAAATTAACGGGCATGATCATGCGAGGGCGAGAGCGGAGCCACTGAGTCTTCTCCAAACGGACAAGGATCAGAGGGGGAAGCACCATGATGGGGGTGGCATTCAAGACACGGCTGATCGCAGTCTCACCAACAGCGATGGTGGCAGCCTTCTTGCTCTTGCCCAGGCTCTGCAAAGGCTCAGCATCCTCAGACTCTTCACGCTTGGCACGCTCTTCGTCCGACAGAACAGGGTAGACGTCAATACCCTGGCGGATTTCCTCACCACGCATGAGGAACACGTTCAGGGCACTCGCACTGGCGACAGCAGCGAAGGGAACAAGCCGGGAGAGGATGAGACGGGTGTTAGGAGAGATGCTCTTCAGACGGGGGACTAATGCATTGAGACCCAGGGCGACAGAGCAAGAAGCAGTAACAGCCATGCAATAGGACTTGGCGATCTGGGAGTAAGATAGAGGGGTAGACTTGTTGGCGTTGGCATTGTTGATCGCAACATTGAGTGACTGATTGCCGATTTGCCATAGAAGGGTTCCAGTGGTCTAGAGATAAAATGGACACGTTAGATTCCTTACAGGGTAGATTTCTGGAAGATGAGAGATCGGTTGACTCACCTGAAGACCCGGGGTAAGCATACCCGCTGTCACAATCAAATTAGAGAGGACATAGCTGGACATGCGGAATGGAAGAAAGACCGGTTCACCGGTATCTACAGCAAATTATATCAGCGACCAAAATTCCTTTGTTTGCCATCTAGGTTTCAGCCCATACCTGGGTGCAAGGTGGAGTCGACAATCTTCTTTGCGCTCCACAAATCCGGTGTCATGAAAGGGATCTTGTTCTGCTTGTATTGAGAGATAACACCCTTGGCTTGCTCCAAGCCAGCAGGGCCTGTGAGCAGCGTGCTAAAAACCCCCAACAAATTCAAAAATCAGCAAATGTTTTTTTTTTTTTTTATTGGTGGCGAGGAACCAGCAGGACTCACCGCGGGTCTGAAATGTCTGCAGCATGACGAACGCGTCCCCAGTAGGTAGTCAAGTCATACTGAGAGACCGGGAGGTCACGGGAGCCAGGGATTGAGGCCGACATGGTGCAAACGAAACGAGTGATTTGCACACGAGTAAAAGAGGGAATATGACTCCGTTTTCAATTTTGCGGGGAGTTGAGATTCTTTCTTCAGGAACCGATAAAAGGGCGGTGAGAGGGATAAGCTTTAGCGACCAATCAGACTCGAAAGATAAGCCCGAATCGGGACCGCGTCCCGATAAGCTACCAGGGGGCGATCGGGCACGTGACATTTGTAGATGTTGGAATTTGTTGATCCCGGTCCGGTCTACTGTTATCCCGGTCCGGGTTCTGGGTTTTGTAGGGCAGTTTAAAGAGGCTTTAGAGTGGAGAAAGAGTAGACAGATATATCTGAAATCATGCATGGATTGGGTTTATATCGAAATTCCAACCCTTGGAAAACTCTCCCAAAAGGCAAAGGGGTCATATAAGTCAAAAGAGATATGTTGGTAGTAGTACACAAAAGTACATAGGTATCATCGAGAAAGGGAACAAAAAAAAAAGATCATAGGGAATACAAGGGTAGACGGGGGAACAGCCCGGCTGATGCAAAATGAAACAAAAGAGAAAAGGAAGTCGTCAGAGTACATCAACATACAGTTCAACGGGAGCTTTGCCGGAACTGAAATGACTTGTGCGCTAAAGGTGAGGGGGGACCGCCACCGGGCCCGTAGCCCGATCGAACACGGTTTTGTCGGGATGGGGTTTGGTCACAGAACATGCACACGTAAAAAGAGGGGAGGTTGGCTCGTTCCAACCCGACGCATTTGGTGTGGAGCCAGTGGGTACATGATTCACTAAAGAGCATGGAAAAAAAAAAAAATTAGTTGATGGTCAGAAAGAAGAAAAAGTAAAAGAAAGGCGGAAATAGGGGAGAAGAAGTAATAGGAAGAACTAACCATTGAATCATGAGATGCCCGCCGTTATCCATGGAATTACATATACAGCGCGTAGCATTGCTAGGATTGCTATGATTGCCATGCCGCTCTGTGTGGGGAGTGGCTAGGTCAGGGTCTGTAACCGTAGTAGACGAGCCATTGGAATGTCGCGATTGAATATCAAAATCATTATGCATGCGAGGGGGAGATGATTGGAGATGAGCGAATGAATGTGATGATCGTGCGAGACGAGCTCCGTAACCACCGGTAGAGGGCCTTGGACGGCCACGTTCCTTCAAGACCTGTCGGAGCGCAGCCTGCGCATCACCGTTATCATCTTCATCCCCCGGCAAGGACTCCGATACAACGCTACCCCGCGTATACGATGCATCGGAATGAAGCAATGAAGAATGCCGCTTGGGGGTTCGCTTGATAGCCTCCGGAGACCCACGGTAGGTAGATCGACCAGAGACATTCCGAGTGGATCCAGACCAAGGCGACATACGCCCAGAGTGAGAGGAGCCAATAGAGGCATAGGATCCTTTGGATGGGGGTCGGGATCCAGAATCACTTTGGGCCAGATTGGCGCAATGGTTATCCAACAGAGAGAAGGACGTTTGAGAGCGAGGCAATACAGGATATTCCGAGTACTCAGCAGGGTCAACTTCACTCTCGGTGGCAGAACCATCAAGATCCATACCCGTCAGTGGATCGGTCAGCCCTGAAGGGCCATTGTCGACTGGCTGCATCTCCGCCTTTGCCCGGCCATCTCGTCCAATGCGAAGGATGACAGATTGAGCGCGGGTGGGAAATGTAGCGATCGAGGCCGAGCGTGCCAGAGGGGCAGGACGCATCCCCTTTACTGGAGATACTCGTCCTTTCGAAGGGCTTTTACGAATCCCGTTTGCGGACGACATTCCTGCTTGACTGAGCGGGCGATGCGACGAGCTTGTCAGCGCAGTATGCGTGACGCTTCTAGTCAACCCGGGTCGTACCCTCGGTGTATAGTCATCATCATCTGATGCACTCGACAAGGATCCGAGGGTGTGAGGGTCTTGACTATGTGTCCGTAGGAGCTCTTCCCGTTTTGATTCCTCGATTTGGTGGTGATAGGGTTGCCGTAGTCCTCGCAGGGGCTTTTGGTTGGGGGTGATCTGAGAGGCACCAAATCGGCGCGCAGGTGAGCTCAAGAACATAGCTGGGTCCTCCACCTTGGTCACAGGACGACGAGGAGATGTTGAGAAGGGAGCAGGGAACAATGCTGCATCCGTAGGCTGAGCTGAGAATGGGAACCCGCTGAATTCTGGTAAGTCAATGGTGCCATCGATAGTTGGCAGTTGTGGGATGTGATGATTTATAGCGGCATTGGGTGCAGGTTTTGGTGGGTGTTCAACGTTGCTAGGCAAGGCTGGTAGAGGGATATCGTGTGTTGATTGCTCCCGTTCCTGGTCCCAGAACAGTCGCTGTTGTGGAAAAAGGGGAGAGCCTGTCGGATCCAACGAGGCCAGTTGAAAGAAATCCGGGGAGGATTGCAGATTGCCAAACATTCGAGGGGACTCCCCCAGTAGTCGACTGGGGGTCTCCAGGTGATTTCCTATCCTGGGGGTGGCGCCTCTCCCCACACTGGCCAGCGGATCAAAGTCGGGGATCTTCCGCCGTGATGCACTGGTGGGTGGTGGTGTCTGCATGGAAGCCGCGGACTTGGCCGAATCCCCCATCCGCGGGCCATTCTCGCTCCTGTCCGACAATGGCTTCATCGGTCGAATCCGCCTCGCGGTATCAGTCTGTTCCAAAATCCTGCCATCCTTGAAGTCCTCTATACGTTGATCGAGGGAGTCTGATTTGAAAGGATTGGAGGGGGTGCCGAGGGCGAACTTTTGCGGGGAGCGTAAAAACTCGGGACTGGAGGCATAGGGGTCGGCGGTATCCCAGGTGACCCGAGGGTCAAAGAAACTGGATTCAAGTTTGGGAGTGGTAAAGGAGTCGAAAGCGGAAGTGGTAGGGGTCCTTGTTGGAGTTTGCGGTTCGCCGTTAGGGTAGCTGAAGCTGAACATGGCCGGGTGGATTAGCATGGTTGAAGAATGGGCATGATCCGGGGGGAGTTGGAAAGAGCGATATGGACCAAAAGCCAGAGTGAAGTCAAGATTGCTGGTCTGTAGTAGTTTGTCCTTGGATGCTTTCCAACTTGAATGTTCCAGGGGAGCAAGCACCCCGCACGAGGAAAGGGAGGGAAGAAGGGGGGGAAAGAAAGCATACCTGTGGACAGGATGATCCCAACTCATGTCAGCAACTGAGTCCCAGCAACCATTGAAGGTTCAATCTGCCAGGCAACCTTATTGTAGAGGAATGCTAGCAAGAAAATCAAGTAGAGCAACAGATAATCGATTTGGAGTGCAAAAAAAAAAGGGTTTTTTAAGGTTGTAGAAGAGAAGTCACGATCATTTAGATCTACTAGTAGATCCAAAGGGAAAAGGGATGTAACTTTTGGGGTCCAATTGTGATCTTTCAATGTTGGCTCTTCAACTTGTAAGTCTTGGGGGGGGTTTTTTTATCTCCCCCTTGAAGAATGAGTTTCAGTTTCGCTTTTGTTTGGAGGGATCTCTTCTTTTGTTGTTTTTGACAGTTCCAAGATTCAAGTAGAGAAAACGGAAGAAAAGTGTTTTTCTTTTTCTCTGTTTGTCAACTTTTTTTTTTTTCACGTGGAGACTTGCTTTTTTTTCTCTGGGAGAGAAAATGAGCCTCCACCGATTGTATCCACTATAGAAATCCGATACTGATTGCATTTATGTTTACATGTTAGTAGAGTCTAGAATGCCATTTAAAATCAACTTGTCTAGGGTTTGATCAACTACGATGCATATTGGGTTGTACTCGATGGAGTAGAAGTGCATGTAGAGTCTATATCGCCGTACGGAGTAAACTTCAGCTAAGGTACTTGGGGAGAGCATAGCCCAGCTGAAAAAAAAAAAAAAAAAAGAAATTGAAAAAGCCCCCCCCAAAAAAGGGTTATCAAGGAGTAATCTCATCTTGGGGAAAAGACTGCCGATCTAGAACCAGATGAGATCGAATGTTCGGAGGAGCCGGCGTTCCAAGCTTTCTGAAGGAATCAACCAGTTGGAGGTCTTGAAGCTCGCTTTGTCCGCCTTAGTGAGCCCCAGAGCGGGTCAATCTGACCGATGACGACGTCTCCCCTGAAAGTGGAGAGAAAAGAGAGGCAGAATGGACGTAGTTCTTCCATGTTGAAAGGAAATTGCTAAGAGTACTACTGTACTAGTTAACTCCGATTTGAATGATCCGAGCGGGGTTCTCAATTGTCTAATGTACAAAGTCCGGAGGAAATGCTTTCTCGTTGGTTCCTGCATACTCATTCGAGGATCACCCACAGCTAATTCGCGGCCCCTGGCATATTGAGGTGATTCCCACTGGGCAAACCTGGATTCTGCACATGTGGTCCTGCGCTAGCGCTCACTTCACCCTTACTCGTGATTCGCGGTCGGCTCATATCCGCCAATTGCTCTCGCAAAACTCGGCATAATTTCGATTGTAGTTAATCCCTCCTGAGTCCGGCTGACTCCTGCATCCTGATTCCTCAAGTGCTGGCCCACACGAGCTGTTTCCCGGCCTACGGAAGTAAAACAATCCAGTTCCAGAGTCCATCGGCAGCTTTTCGGTAGTCCTCTTTTTCTTCTCTCTATATCAGTCTACAATTATAGGAAGTACAGGTGAAAATCCGTCAATTCATTGAAAAAGCAGAAAACATTCAATGTTCCAAGTCGCATTCGTAAATAGCTTTGGTACATACTACTATGTACATGATCATCTATGGATCCTCCCGGATAGATATTCCAACCAGTTGACCAATTTTTTCTCTATTCATGCCTTATATATCAGGCGTGTATCCTGCCCCCACAGCCTCAGGTTACAGCCACAGCGCCACATTCCACGGGCTTTGACAAACAGCAACCTTGAAAGTTGAAAGAAATTAAACCTCAAAAGCTCCATTAAAACAAAGAGGAAAAACCCAAGAATAGGGCTGAAAAGGAAAAAGGAAAAAAAAAAAACACATAAAACACTCAGTTCGTGGGACAAACAAGTGCCCACATGTGCAGGTGGAAGCAAGGCATTAGACGGCTACAAACTTGCTTTGTTGATTCAAACTCTTACCGTTTACTACCAGTTAACACTTATTCCAACGTGCCTCAATACCTACAACTAATAGGCACATAATTCTACCATGGTATCACGCACCAAGTCAAAAGCTCCCCGCCGAAAGAAATCTGCTGGTCGACGCCATGGACGAGTCCACAAGCACTCTACAGATTCAACCTCGTCTCCAAAGGCCTCCAGATCCAAACCTCCCAGATCCAAAGCCGCGTCAAAATCCGGCATCCTCCCGGATTCAAATGATCCACTGGAACAAGTATGTATCTGTCAAATGTTTTGATTAAAAAAAATTAGAATATCTCAAGTATTCATTCGTGAGATAGAACATCTTCGAGCGGGAGGCCATGCCAGAAGGCTATGTATTCGTGCCCAAGGGTGACGTGTACATTACCAGACACTGTCGGAGCGATACCCAAACTTCCGACCAAATAGTCTATCTAGTCTATGTGAGTCCCCTCCAGTCCCACTATAAGCAAATACCAGGGTTTCCATGGAAATTCAATCAACTCAATGTCTAACCAAACCCACAGGACAAAGCTGCCAAACGGACCTTGGGCATCCGAGTTCCAGAAGAGGTCCACAAAAATGTATCCAAGCTCGCAACTTCAACGGCAGCTACACGTGCCAGCGCTGTCAAAGCTCGCGATGGAAACTTCATCACACGTGGCAGGGAACTACTCCGCACCGAGTTCCCGTCAATGCCTCGCGAATCACTGGAAGTCATCCTGAATCATGCATTCCTCAAGGGTTCCGGGCGGGTAGGACGTACCTCGATGACCACAGATAAACGTAAGGCCACACTTGCTGTTGAAGCTCATATTCGGCATGTACATACCCCGTATGAAACGCTACTCGAGTCTGGAGTGGAGCGGTGCGAAGCGCGAGAGAAGGTGTGGCCTACTGTCAAAAGCATCAAGAAGGCTTGGGAGGGAGGCACGGATATGCAAAAAATCGAGGGTCTAGTATTGCGCCGGGCACCTATTGACGATAACGATATCATTGTGTTGGATTAAGGTATTGGGGTACATATGGAGATCAGGGGACCTCGGGATCTTTCCAATTTGCATGGATGGCGTCAGCTTGTTTCAAATATTCATCGGCAGGTGTTCGCGGTTCAAGATTTGTTTGATATTACAAGAAACTCTTTTGTTTTCAAGTATGAATTATGAAATGTTGTTTAATAGCGAAAATGAACTCACCTAAGTCTACCCCTCTACTACGCGCGAACCTGTGTTTTTTTGCAGCACCTGATTGGCTGAGAGGCCCAAAGTGGGTTCAAAGACAATGCTACAGCTGGGGACTCTGATTGACCTTAGGTGCAGATCAATCGCCGCGCGCAGCGCGGCGACGATACTTGTCTTGTGGCTTTACTACTACAGGAGCTCTAAGTAATTTCTACTAGTAGTAGTAGCTGTTATGAAATTTCCCAATCCGGAACATAGGGCTGGCCCTATCGCGCTATTCCCGATACGTGACCAAAAGTTCTGCAACCACGCAACAACCTCACCTCACCACGTTACAATGGATCGCCCAGAAGTTATTGAGCCGCCGCAGAAGCGGCAAAAGACCCAGGAGGTTACTGAGGTTGATGCCGTCATTGATGCGCTGCCCCAGGCTGATGTTGTTGAAGATGCGCAGACTGCAAAGGAACGCGGTGTCGGCATCACGGAGCTTGTCACCGCCAACATTGATGGATTCTCTGGCACCTTAAAGAAAAGGTGCGCAATCGAAGTTCCGAATATTAAAACATGAATTTCTGTACTAACAAAACACAATTCAGATACACCGACTTCCTAGTCAATGAGATCACGCCCTCCGGCCAAGTCCTCCATCTCCGAAACCCTGCCGTACCTGAGTCCCTCGGTGAGAAGAAGGATGAGACGCAGCAGCCTGAAGCGCAAGCGCCAGCGCCAGCAGCAGTCGTCAAAGAGGAGGCCCCGGATGCTGTGTTTAGTGTGTCTGAGGAAGACAATGCTTTGCTATGTGAATGCCTTGGCGACCAGAATGCTGCAGACACCATCAAGCTTCATGCGCGCGCGATGTCTGACCGCAAAGCGAGACCAGCTGAGTTCGGGAAAGTCACTCTCAAGGTGACTGATCGTGACCAGCGCACCAAAATCCACATGTCTATTCGTCGCATCTTCAAGTCTCAGCTGGAGTCTACCACCGACAACGATGGCAATCTTGACATAATGGCAGCGGCCAACCGCTTCAAGCGCAATATTCAGCAACAGACCGGTCGTGGTGGTGGCCGTACTGGTGGCGGTCGAGTCAGCTGGGATGAGTTGGGCGGCCAATACCTTCATTTCACGATTTATAAAGAGAATAAGGATACCATGGAGGTCATCTCGTTCTTGGCCCGCCAGATGAAGATGAACGCCAAATTGTTCCAATTCGCCGGTACCAAGGATCGCCGTGGTGTCACTGCGCAGCGGGCCTGTGTTGTTCGCGTTCACGCCCACCGACTGGCGAAGATGAACGATACTCTTCGTAATGCTCGTCTAGGTGATTTCGAATACCACAAGCACGGCTTGGAGCTTGGGGACCTCTATGGAAATGAGTTTGTCATCACCCTTCGGGATTGTCAAGTTCCCGGTGTGGGCCTGGAAGACCCTCAAGCCGCTGTTGCAAAGGCCACTGAGATTGTCCGATCCTCGTTGAAGAACCTCCACGACCGTGGTTACTTCAACTACTATGGTCTGCAGCGATTTGGAACGTTCTCGACCCGCACCGACACAGTTGGCGTGAAGATCCTTCAGGATGATTTTGAGGGTGCGTGCAATGCAATTTTGCACTTCCCCCCTCACGTCCTCGCCGCCGCAGAGGAAGGCGAAGCCTCCACTGCTCTTATCAGCAGTGATGACAAGGCCCGGGCCAAGGCAATCCACATATTCAAGACCACAGGAAATGTTAATGACGCCTTGAGCGAGCTCCCGCGGAAGTTTTCCGCAGAAGCCAGTATCATTCGTCAACAGGGCTGGGGTAAGAATGATTACCTTGGGGCTTTGCAGGCCATTCCTCGGAACCTGCGACTTATGTACGTGCATGCATACCAGTCTCTTGTGTGGAACTTTGCTGCTAGTGAGCGCTGGCGTCTTTACGGCGACAAAGTTGTCGAGGGTGATCTTGTCATTGTGCAGGAGCATCGAGAGAAAGAAGGAGATAACGCCGAGAACAATGAAACCATCGATGCCGATGGAGAGATCATCGTGGTGCCCCAAGGCGGAGATAGTGCTAATTCTACGGACGACTTGTTCACACGGGCACGGGCTCTAACGGCTGAGGAGGTTGCCAGTGGCAAGTACTCTCTGTTCGACATTGTTCTCCCCCTGCCTGGTTTCGATGTCATCTACCCTCCTAATAAGATGACCGACTTCTACCGCGAGTTCATGGCCAGCGAGCGAGGTGGTGGTCTGGATCCATTCAATATGCGGCGGAAGTGGAAGGATGCCAGTCTGAGTGGCAGTTACCGTAAGATTTTCAGCCGCATGGGCACTGACTACTCATTTGACATCAAGCTGTATTCCCAAGAGGACCAGCAATTTGTCAAGACGGATTTGGAGAATCTGCAATCGGACTCCCAGGCTCCTGTTGCCACCCCTGCTAGCCCCGCTGGTGACAAATTGGCCATTGTGCTGAAGTTCCAGTTGGGATCCAGCCAGTATGCCACCATGGCCCTCCGGGAACTGTCCAAGGGCCTGGTCCACGAGTGGAAGCCTGACCTTGGAGGTGGCCGGTAAGCTTGCTGGTCAATTATGGGTATATTCTTTTTTTTTATATAACACTTTATCTTATTATTTGGATCTAAAAACAAAATAAGTATCTCACTTACAATGATTACCTCAGATCTCTTCAAGTTGGATACGATTCTTGACCATCCGCACCCTGCAGCAGAGCTTGGACTATTTGAAAGGGACAACCAACGACCTTGTACAAGTGGAGAATTCGAGTGCGGGCCTCGCCATGAGAAACTGTGCATGCTGTATGGAGTGTCAATATCAATATGAAACAAAAAACTCAGCGCTATGGCTTGAATACAACAGAAGAAAATTCAAATGAACATAAAAGCGTATAATTCAAATCCTTTCCTGGTTCATCGAAACGGATGACGCGCATCATTTGTCCTCGGGCTATCCCCGTCAAAGGACGACACCGAAGACATATCATCATAATCATGCCCATGTACCATTTGCTCATTTGAAACAACCGAAACCTCATCATCCTCCACTGCCTCTCGATTTTCAAAAGGCAACCTTATCTGGGACTCCACCGCATTCACTGGCGACGCCGATCGACTAATACCGCGGAGATCCTCTGACGTCGTATTCGGTCTTTGATCCCTCGAAACTGCCATCCCGAAGCTGGACCCCGTTGGAGTTTCTTGCTGTGTCGACATTTGTCCTGCCAAGCCACCTGAGCTGACTTCACTTTCTCGACTTCCTGGAACATCTATGATCGGGAAACGGGGTAGACCTGCAGCGACTGGTTTACGAACCGGGGCAGTCAGAATTTGGGTGGTTGAGGTGACTTTGCCGTCCTTTGTGTGATAGGTGGGTGATGAAGGAACTGCATCATGCTGCTGTCGGCGACGACGACGACGAATGAAGAAGTATATTGCAGCCATGATTGCTAGGGCGCCGACGATGGCTATAGGAAGGGCGATGGCTAGTTTTGTGGTTGTTGACTCGCCACCTGAGTGACTACTAGCTACTGCAGTATTGGTCGAGGTAGAGATGGAGGTAGCTGTGGGACTTGTTGTCGCAGCTGTAGATGTTGGCGTTTTGCTTGTTGTTATTGTAGATGCAACGGCAGGACTCGTGTTGGCCGAGTGGACATCGGTTTGCGTTATTGTATCCGTTTGAACAGTTTCTGTCCCATAGTAGGTACTAGGCTTTGTTTCACTTGAGGCCCGATCTCCATCCGAACCTTGGCCCTCGTTTCCGGCACCACTTCCATTTGGAACAACATCTAACATAGACCTTCTCAATAATTCCAACATCGGCATATTAGTTGAAGATCGTTGTCGACAGAGACTCTTTGAGTTTCCAACTGCTTAAGAGAGAGAGAGAGAGAGAAGAAAAAAAAAAGATCAAACAAAGGAAGAAAGAAAGAAAGCGGGATAAAGGACGATCGGGGGCCAAAATAGACGCTACATAGTGGGATACGAACTAAAACGCTCGGCGTAACAGCAGGGACTAAGTTCAATCGTTTTAGGCCGAGTCCGTTTATTCCCGAGTTTCTCCAAAGGGGAAAAGGATATGAGTAATGGTACCAAAGAGGAAATATCAGCATAGAAAGTAGAAATCCAGCACTTGAGTGCAGTTGGGACCGCGTAATCAGTTAAACGCCCGTGTTTTTGAAATCTATAATTAAAATGCAGGCTCGCCTTTTCAAGGTTTGGGGGCGGCACGTAAGATCAGCGGCAAGTCTAACTCCTTTGCGTTTAGGGGAGAAGCATCGTGAGGCTCCATACATCAGTTCGAACTTTTAATGATTGGCTCGCATTGATCCACAACCAGAGTAGGATCGTCGGCGTCAACTCAGAGCTACTAGGGCTCTTCCTGGTGATTGATCTCTCCGACTGTTGATTCTATGTGAAAAAAAAAAAAAAAAAAAAAAAAAAACAGGTTCGTGTGACATGGTCAACTGCATTGGCTGCCACATGACCAGTTTGATATAATCTCTCCTTTTATAGAAAACTTTCTATTTCCAAGTACAAGTCCAAACGATCTCGAGTCCAATATCCTACTTTAATATACGAAACATATGCTATACGTTTACAACATTATATCTTAGGTATCGGGATTCGGAGCTGCTAGCCAAGTCTATAATATTGAGTAAATTGTTCTCAAGACTTGTCGAATTTTTGTACTCTACAGCCTGAGTATTATGTATATAGATATCAGGGTCAATAATATCAATTGATACTTGTTAACAATCAGTCAGCTCATCGGCAGTCGGCTATTCTTTAGTACATATGCTTGATGTGCATTATGGCATATGATTTCAAATGTTCCAGCACGCCTAGCCCTTAAGGCCAACCCTTGAATATTGCATATGTGAACATTTGAGCCCGGTCTTTTCAGATATCCCACTTCCGGACTGGTCAATAGCCCCTCGTCGCATGTCTGACTTTATCTAAGATACATTCAGACATGTTTATACTGGCTCGCTTATATTTTACTTGGAGCACGGATTCATTCCTTAACTGTCACTCAAGAATAGAAGACTATGTAGCTTTCCCGGAATGGAAATGGGGAAACTCACATATTGGCGATGTCCAGATGTCATCAATTAATCATTGATACAAACAGCTTCGAATGTTTAATTGATGTTGGCTCGGAGAATTCACCCGGGTCCACCAACTCCGAATCTGGCCTGGGGCAACTTCAATACAAATTCCCACATGTGCAGTATAGTATGTACAGTTCGTGTGTTAAGCAAGTCCAAATGAAGTGCTGGTATTTTTCCATATTTTTTTTCTCTTTCTCCTTTTCTCTCAAGATATAATCATTATGTACTCGAATGTTGTTCTCATCTGCTGCAGCCTTATTTTCATAATTCATCATACATTTATCCGGAGAACACGTGATTGTGGAGTAAGCGGGGTTTACCAATAACTAGTTAACTAGTAGGCCGTTTGCCGAATGTTTCTAGAAGCATCATCTACCCTGTCAATCATGAGTGGACTTAGCAATATGGTTAAAGGGGGCTGGCACCCCAAGGGGAAAGAAGGAGGCAAAGAGAGCTGGCGTGGAGATTTCAAGGGAATCAATCAAGTGGTCAGTTTTCTTTTACGTGGCCAATACTTTCCATTACTTAACATAACGTCTAGGCCGGATGGATGGGCAAGGGCAAGGACCCCAGCTCTGACCGAAGTGAACATGTTTCCCAACCGCTGTCATCTCTCAAGGATCCGGCATCCTTTGCACCACCCCCGAAGCACATTAACTACCATGGTGCGGCCGCGGTGAACGAAACCACCCCGGATCGACGGGGTCTAGGGGCTCCCATGTCCCACGAACAAATCGAGCAACAAGACAGACATCAAAAACAACTGGCTGAGGCAGAAGAAGAGGCAGCCCAAAAGCCCCGGCCACCTCCGGTGCCGTATCGTGTGGACACAACTGGATTATCTACGAACAACTTGCCTCCTCCCCCGTCGCGAAGACTCGACTCACCTGGTCCTCCTCCCACGGGCGCAAGACCGCCCGTCATGAAGCCAAAGCCACAACTACCTCCCCGACTTCCTCCGCGGACCGATTCGCCTTCCCAGAGACCGTCTCCCCCGCCGGCATACTCTGCCGATCTACCATCACCTTCCCAGGGATACGTGAACCAGGAGGCGGCATCTCGCCTTGCCAATGCTGGCGTCTCTGTTCCTGCCTTTGGCATCGGGGGGACGACCGACACTTCTGAGACCACCCAGGTCAATGATGATTTGCCATCTCGCTTTTCCCAGATGCGTACCGACTCAGGCTCCTCGTCCAAGGCACCTCCTCCAGCGGTTCCAGCCCCGCGTCCGGCCAATTCGAGGGACTTTCTTCCACCAACTCCTGGGTTTCGGGATCGCCATGCTGATACCATCGACGCAGGAATGAAGAAATGGGGTGGCGTGACGTCGCGTTTTAATACTTTTGTTGAAGATCGTAAGTTTTCGGCCAATGCGAACAAACGGGTCCCTCGACCACCTGGGGCAAATTCACCGGTTGCAAGGCCGGTTGTGAGGTCTCCAGCGGCTTCCATCTCGAATCCGACCCCACCACCGATCTCTTCGTCTCCATTGGACACGCAGTTGGAGACCCAGGCGCGGAAAAAGCCACCCCCACCTCCTCCCAAGCGGGCAGAGATGCGTGCTCCCTCAACGATGCCAGGTGCTTTCCCTGAGGAGTCGTCAGCGTCTGCGCCGGTGCCAACGCCACCGCCTGTTCCCCATAACACTAAACCCCGCTGAGCGGGGAAAGGGGGGGGGGATTGTAGAAACTGTAACTTGTACGACCTTATTTGTGCCCAATTAGTGGAGTTTTAGGATTGGGAAGCAGAATAGAGAATAGAAGCCGGGTTTCTATTATCATTCCAAGGTTTCGCATGTTGTGTTACCACACTTTCGGACATGCTCCCATTCAGGAATTGGGTGCTTATTACAGTAATTTGGTAGTCTATTTTCATCCTATTATGTATCCCACTCGCTCAATTAGTTCCCCCGCATGTGTTGCAATTTGTCTTGTGTATGCGCTCTGGCCTCGGCCGCATGTGAAGGCCGATCTCATCAATTGATCGCACGGAGATGTTGGGAAGTGCCAATCTTTTGCCCCCTCTGTCTTGATGTGTGTTCTTACTTCCCAACAGTACTGATCTTTTTCCCGGAGTAGTATTTGAGGCATATGCATGCTATCATCTTGCATGATCCTTGACAAGTTTGAACATGAACACTTACCAAGTAAGTACTAGCCCAATTCCGTGAATAATACCGTATGTAATGCTATGTAATACTATGTAATCTAAGTATGTCCCAAGGGCCAAAACATAAATGTATTCTTGTATTGCTTGTGACATGTTATCCCAGAGAACGGATGAGTCAGCACATCAAGAACAAACTTGAAACGTGGGTTTTTTTTTTTCCCCACAAGAAAGAAAAGCTGCATGTGGAGAAGATTTGAAAGAATCAATTTGGGAGATAAGCTTGGAAGTGGAGGACTGGATTCTCTCAAATGCAATTCTTCCATTTTTCAAGGTTGTATGGTTGAATGAAGTCTTACTACCAGTTGACTGTAACAATCGGGGGCTTAAGTTGACAGTACATGTACATTCTATTCAAATACTGGATACGGCTAGTGTAGTGCTAGATGTTCCAAAAGCTTCTATTCGTAAATGCATACTGGTAGAATGGAATTTTCACTCACATGTACTCCATGCTTAGTACATACATGTACAATTGACACGTACCAGCGGACATTAATCTAGGTAATTGTGTCTATTCCGATTCAAATGTTTTCATGGAAATGTTTGAAATCAATTCCACTCTCAAATTCCCACATAAATCCATCAATGACCTCCAATCAAGTCCTTTGAGTCAACCTCGGTTCCCCAATTCCCAACAAACGTAGTCTCCAACAGATAAGGCCCTTTTTTCCCTTTATCGCCCAAGTGGAGTCCCGTTTCTTTTGACTATCACGAATTTGGTGAGAGCCTACTTTTTTTTTTTCTTTTTCTTTTCTTTTCTTATTTCAAAGCTTTGCATTTCCACTCTTTGGACTGGGCCTTGTATCAATTAATCTCCGAGTCATCAAATACATTTGCATCCTTGGAACCCTTTTAAAGGTTTATAATACAAGGAGAAAGAGTGTGTGAGAGAGAGAGAAAGAGAAAGAGAGCGCGCGCAATGTATGACCTCAACGTGCCCACTCAATTTGGCCCGGCCACCATCCGGATCGGCTTTCCTCGCTCCTCGCTCCTCAGCTTCCCTCCAGCAGAGCTTCCGGTGACCATCCCTGCGCCTCATGTTTCGGAATTCTCTTGGAAGCAACCATTCAATATCCCCAATGACCTCTTCAACCAAGTGCTGGATGTGCGCGTCCCCATCACCATTGCCACTGTCTACGCCTTGACCGTGGTATTGATCAGTCGCATCAACAAGAGTCGCGGCTACAAACCCTATGCCTTCAGCCACTCGCGCCTCTTTAAACTGTTCGTGGTCCTTCATAATGTTTTCCTGGCCATCTACTCCGCCTGGACGTTCGCCGGTATGGTCCAGGCCTTTGGCAATTCCTGGCCGGATCGCACCGATGCCAACGGTATCGTCGGCGTCGTGGATTCGCTGTGCAAAATCAATGGCCCCCGTGGATACGGTAACGCCGCTGTCTATAGTACCATCACCGACGAATGGTCAATTCCCAACCCGGCCTATAACCTGAGCAACGGTCTCCCCGATTCGACCGACGTGGGCCGCCTCTGGAACCAGGGTCTGGCCTACTTTGGCTGGCTCTTCTACCTGTCCAAGTTCTACGAGGTCGTGGATACCGCAATCATTCTGGCCAAGGGTAAGAAGAGCTCGACTCTGCAGACATACCACCACGCTGGTGCTATGATGTGCATGTGGGCTGGTATTCGTTACATGGCAGCTCCTATCTGGATCTTTGCCCTCGTGAATTCGGCTATCCATGCCATGATGGTATGTCATTCCTTTCTAATTGAACCTCATGGAACGCGGGGATGAATGGTGACTTGACATTGTATACTTATTTAGTACACCTATTACACCTTCACGGCATTGCGCATTCGCGTCCCCGGTGTGATCAAGCGCAGCTTGACCACCATGCAAATCACCCAATTTGTCCTCGGAACAAACATGGCCGCTGCCTACCTCTTTGTCGAGTACACCCTCCCATACCCCGCCGGTAGCACCGCCCTGCGCCACCTGTCCAAGGTTGCGCCCGCCGTAGCCAGTGTGGCCAGTGCCACCGCCGAAGCTGGTGCCATTCCCTGGCTCAAGAAGCTTGCTCTCCGCGCCGCTGGTGCCGAGGGACTCGCAGAGAATGTCGGTAGTACCGGCGCCGCCCCCGTCGCCAGCTCCGGATACACCCAGGAGATGGTAACCTGCATGGACACCACCGGCCAGGCGTTCGCGATCTGGCTTAATGTCTGCTACCTCCTTCCCCTTACCTATCTGTTTGCCCGCTTCTTCGTGCGCTCGTATCTGAAGCGCAAGGACACCGGTATTAAGCAGTCAACACACATGGAAGCCGCCGAAAAGGCCGGTATCGACGCTCTCAAGGGCCTCAGCCGTGAGATCCAGAGGGCAGCTATTGAGGGTGAGAACAGCGAGGCCACTGACGAGGAGGTCATCAAGGCGCACGTGCAAAAGATTGTGCAGCAGAAGGCCACACCAGATTCGCCAATCCGCACTCGTGCCTCGGCTGCTAACAAGGCCAAGGCCGCAGCTACCCACCAGTCTAGTTCTGATGATGGATTCTCTACCGTGCCCGTGAAGAAGGGTGCCAAGAAGCAACGAGGAGGCCAAGATTCCCCTACTAGTGTGCCCGACACTAAGGGACAAAACCCTTTCGGAGTCCTTGATAACAATGCATGATCATGGAACAGCTGATCCTGATTATGTCGCATTATCTTGGAGTATTGGAATCAAAGCTAGAATCAAAGCAAGAAAAAGAAAGAGAAAGAAAGAGAAAAACATTTTCGTGACACGAGCGAGAATGTGCCATGATTGCCACGCGACTTTTCCTCATCCCGCAGTTGATGGGTAGTGGTGTGCGACTTGTGTTTGCCGGGCTAGTACATTAGCACTGGGTTCTAACTTCTCCCCCGTCACCAGCCAGAAAGCAGGGCATCCACATTCTATACCATTTTGATGGGATAGCACTGTTGGTTGCCGAGAACATTTTTGCTTATTGATGGATTTTGAAGAAGGTTATGAGCAATTCAAAAAAAATTTGGCCGACTTTTGCAATTTGGGATTTGCTTGCATGTACATAGCCGTTGTCACAGTGCAGTCGAACAAAACGACTGGAATGTATATTATAATTGAAACATGAAAAGAACGAGTTCACAACGATGCCTACCGGAGTTTCATTCACCATCGGAACTGTCAGAACCAGCGAGCTCCTTCGTAAACCGTCTGGGCATCATCATCGACAGGCCAAACAAAGTCAGTAAAATGCTCGGTGTATGTAGAGGCCGAGCCGCATCTGGATTATTAATCGTTTCCACGTAACAGAACAACACATAACTAGGTAAGCTTAGACTATCAAAAAAAAAAAAAAAAAAAAAAAAAAGAACAGATCAGTTGAGAAAGATAAGCTCAGATGCACACGCACATGTCACAAAAGAAAATGAGAAGATTGAAAAAATGGCGTCAGGTATACTAGTATTGATATACGGAGCTAACGATCTTACTCCCGATCCGGAGATAAGAAAGATCAATGACTCTTAACATTTGAACCCGTGGAAAAGGATCTCGTGAAAAAAAAACCGGAATTGAAAGATCCGATTCCAATCAGCTATAAGCTATAGCTGAGTAATATCTCGTATTGCCAATCTCAGATCTCCAGCTATAGTAAGCATAGATCTGTTGTTCATTGGTTCGAGGTTCTCGGGATCGGGGGGATTACTTGCCCATAAGTGGGTCTGACGTGCTTGAAAGACGCGAGAGATCTATCAAGCCGAGTTGATTTATAACATACACATGTGCAGAGGAATAAATCATGATGATTGGTCAAAATGGAATACTTTCGAAGCCAATGGGATCTGTATGGCCTTAATTCCTAATTCCGTTTTGAGTCATCTCTATAAGCAAGGCCGAGATGATTCATATATACTAAGTAATACCTACTAGGTCTAAAATATTTATATGTGTGTGGTTTTCCTGGCTTTTTTCAATGTTGTCTTTTCCTCAAAATTCAACCTGCTGCGTCTAGCAACTCCGAACTTGCGCTGGATTTACCTACTATACAAATACTACCTTTCGCTACATTCTCGCCTTTGGTCACTGATCGCCGATAAGATCCGAAGATATCATACCTACGTGCTCCGAACCTATAACAATACTGGTATACACTCATACACTTCCAAACTTGGAAGTGCTAAACATTTGAACATTGAAGGACAACCCAATTCGAAAACCCTTCAGATCTTCCCAGTAAACCACTTTACCGTGCACACACTTGAGAATGGAGGCTGTTATTCGAGAAGCCCCGATAGGGCAATTGATCAGATTCTTATCCAACAACAAATACTTTCAATACCCAGAGGAAAAGCCCGACTTCAAGCTCCCCGAGACATGGATTCAAATGATGCAGAGCCTTGAAGCTTCCAACAAACAGGCTGGAAATCCCGAGTCCAAAGAGGAAAGACAAAATTCAGACCAAAGCGACGTTATCAGCCACACTTCGACTTTGCAAGAGGACCGCGAAACAAACTTGAATGCTGCAGATCTCGAAAAAGTCAAGTCTATCCCGATTACCCCGAAGAAGACAAAGGATGGTGCGATTCTGGTGGATTGGTACTATACCGATGACGCCGAAAATCCCCATAATTGGTCCAATATGAAGCGCGCATTGCTCGCGACCATCATCTGCCTTTATACATTTGTTGTATATACAACATCGGCAATTTACACGGCCTCGGAACAAGGAATCATGAAGGAGTTTGGTGTCAGTGAGGTGGTTGTAACATTGGGTCTCTCACTATATGTGCTTGGATATGGCACTGGTCCTCTAATATTCTCCCCGTTGAGTGAGATCCCTATAATTGGACGAAACCCAGTCTATATTGTTACCATGTTCCTTTTTGTCATCATCTCTATCCCAACAGCCCTGGTCGGCAACTTTCCGGGTCTGATGGTGCTGCGTTTCCTTCAAGGATTCTTTGGCTCGCCTTGCCTTGCATCGGGAGGTGCCTCGATTGGTGATATGTACAGTCTTAATGCTTTGCCATATGCTATGATGGCATGGGTCGCTGCTGCATACTGTGGCCGTAAGTCCCTTTTCTCGTGCCTTGAGCATTCAAATGTTTGTAGCCTTATGAATGCATGTGCTGACTTGAATCTTATTTATAGCTGCCCTTGGTCCCCTTCTCAGCGGGTTTGCAGTTCCTGCTGAGTCTTGGCGTTGGTCTCTCTTTGAGTCAATCTGGGCCTCAGCCCCGGTCTTCATCATCATGCTCATTTTTCTCCCCGAGACCAGCACTCCGACTATCCTCCTTCGACGCGCTCAGCGCCTTCGAAAAATTCACAATAACGCGCGCTTCATGTCTCAATCTGAGATCGACCAGCGAAACATGCATGTCTCTGATGTCGTTGTGGATGCACTCATCAAGCCCATGGAGATTACAATCAAAGACCCCGCTGTCCTTTTTGTTCAGATCTACACCGCGATCATCTACGGCATTTACTATTCATTCTTCGAAGTCTTCCCTCTGGTTTACCCTGTTGATTACCACATGAACCTGGGACAAGTCGGTCTAGTATTCCTTTGCATCCTGGTATCGTGCATCATAGGTGTCGGGACCTATTTCTCCTACCTATACTTCTGGATGAACCCCCGCATTGAGCGCTTCGGCTGGCCAGTCCAAGAATCCCGCTTAATACCGGCTCTCCCAGCCTCCTTCGGCCCCACAATCGGTCTTTTCCTTTTTGCCTGGACGGCCCGAGCCTCTATCCATTGGATTGTACCGACAATCGGTATTACCATCTACGGAGCAACGGTATTCGTTGTCATGCAGTGTATCTTTGTCTATATTCCTTTGTCTTACCCAAAGTACGCAGCTAGTCTATTTGCGGCTAATGATTTCTTCCGAAGTGCACTGGCCTGTGGCAGTGTCATGTTTGCGCATCCGCTATTCGGTAATTTGGGTGTTGCCAGGGGTACGAGCCTCCTAGGTGGACTGAGTGTGATTGGAATCATTGGAATCTGGCTACTCTATTTCTATGGCTCGAGGCTTCGGGCTTTGAGTAAGTTTGCTGAGTCTGTGGAGGAATGAGCGACTTCTCCGGTGGGTTTTTTAACCTCGCTTATGTCGCCACACCAAGTGTTATAACCTTGTATATTGGATTGATGAGTTAATTAGCACTTTGACACTTAATAACCCTTTTTTTTTCTCTCTCTCACCGTAACATTTGACGTTAATCAACATATGGGAATTGAAACCGAGACTAGGCTATAAGTGAATAAACCCTGGAAGGATGGACAAGCATTCCGAGACCGTTTTACGAGGCCAAACTCGGTAGCGATTGGATAGTAACCAACTAGATCTGACCATATGAGTGCCACCTCCAGGGATTCAATCTCGGTGTCGTTGATCGGACAATTCTAAGAAATGTGAATGGAGGAAAAATATGACCGTGGTCTCCACACCATGCGGGGGGGAAATTGAGGGGATGGAGTGCGGAGCTTCGCTTAACTTCCCTGATAATTGCACTTACATTCAACTAGACTGAATGCGATGATGGCGGCTCCACCACCCCGGGATTATACCTAGAATGACCAAAATCAACAATGGAAAACCCTTTGATCATGTATAAATGGAAAAGGGTTTCCAATACGATCCAATGATCAATCGTCCAAACTTAAAAGGGTCAACTTTGAACCTCATCTTCCCTGGTTCAGGCGAAGTCGTTTCAAGATGGTTCGTCTGGGGCATTTTCTCCACAGTCTATCGATCGCGACTACCTTTCTAGCTTCACCTTCTATTGCCAAGGACTCCAAAGAATCCGAAGTCACGCAATGGCCAGTCCACAATGATGGATACAATAAGGTGGTTGAGTGGGATCACTACAGCTTCCAAATCGACGACCAGAGAATCTTCATTTTCTCTGGTGAGTTCCATTACTGGCGTATCCCGGTCCCTGGTCTGTGGAAAGATATTCTAGAGAAAGTCAAAGCAGCAGGCTTTACGGCTTTCTCCTTTTACGCCAATTGGGCATACCATGCACCAAACAACCAGACCCTGGATTTCACCACGGGCGCTCACGACTTCTCCTTGCTCTTCGAAATTGCCAAGGAAGTGGGATTATATGTCTTGGTGCGCCCAGGACCCTATATCAATGCTGAGACCACTGCCGGTGGATTCCCCTTGTGGGCAACTACGGGTGACTATGGTAGCCTTCGAAACAATGACACACGGTACACCAACGCCTGGAAACCCTACATGTCAGAGATGGCCAAAATTACCAGTCGGTACCAAGTGACTGATGGGCACATGGCCATTGGCTATCAAATCGAGAATGAGTACGGTGACCAGTGGGTTTCGACATCGGAAAAGATTCCTAACAACACCGCTATTGCGTACATGGAGCTCCTTGAAGCCAATGCTCGTGAGAACGGCATCACCATTCCATTGACAGCCAATGATCCTAACATGGACTCGCTCTCATGGGGAACTGACTACATCAACGGCGAAGGAAATGTTGATATCGCCGGCGTCGACTCATACCCATCCGTAAGTATCGCTTCCTGTCCCCCGTTCGGACCGAGGAATGAAACTGACCCAGCAAATAGTGCTGGACCTGCGATATCAGCCAATGTGACTCAACAAATGGAGAGTATGTGGCATTCCAGGTGGTTGACTACTACGACTATTTCCAGGACTACCAACCCACACTGCCGGAGTTCATGCCTGAGTTCCAGGGAGGTTCTTACAATCCTTGGGGTGGACCCGAGGGAGGTTGTCCCAACGACTTGAATGAAGATTTCGCCAATCTGTTCTACAGATGGAACATCGGTCAACGTGTCACCGCAATGAGCTTATACATGATCTTCGGCGGCACGAACTGGGGTGGTATTGCTGCACCCGTGACAGGAACCAGTTATGACTACTCATCGCCGATTTCTGAGGATCGTTCGATTGGATCCAAGTACTACGAGACAAAGCTGCTCGCCTTGTTCACTCGCAGCGCAAAAGATCTTACAAAGACCGATTTGATTGGAAATGGTACACAGTACACTGATAACGCCGATGTTCGCGCATATGAACTTCGCAACCCAGACACCAATGCCGGGTTCTATGCTACTTTCCACGTCAACACTTCAACTTCTACGAACGAGGCATTCCATCTGAAGGTCGATACTTCGGTTGGAAAGTTGACCATCCCCCAGAATGGAGCCGTTATTCGCCTAAATGGACACCAGTCTAAGATCGTCGTTACCGATTTTACTTTTGGATCCAAGACCCTTCTATACTCGACTGCGGAAGTCTTGACGTACGCTGTCTTTGACGGTGTGCCAACCTTGGCTCTGTGGGTTCCGGCTGGAGAATCTGGAGAGTTCAACATCAAGGGAGCAAAGAAAGGATCGATTGAGTCGTGCCAAGGATGCTCGCAAGTCAAGTTCCTCAAGCAGAATGGAGGATTGACGGCTAGCTTCACGCAGTCATATGGCATCAGTGTCTTGAATATCGATGGAGTTAGAGTTATCGTTCTTGATCGGACTTATGCTTACAAATTCTGGGCTCCTGCTCTCACGGGTAATCCATTGGTCCCGGAGACAGAAAGTGGTATGCTCTCTTTTTCTTCTTCTCCTTAACCCCCCCCCCCCCATATGACCACCTGCTAACGGATCCATAGTACTTGTGCAAGGCCCGTATCTCGTTCGCAGTGCCAGTATCTCAAAATCTACTCTTGCGGTGACCGGTGATAATGTCAACGCTACGACAATTGAAGTCTTTGCTCCTAAGGCTGTGGAATCTATCACCTGGAATGGAAAGACTGTTAAGACAAGCCGGACAGCATCCGGCAGCTTGAAGGGTTCAATCTCTGCTCCTAATGCTATTACTCTACCAGAGCTCACCTCGTGGAAATCGAAGGACAGCTTGCCAGAGCGCCTTGCTACCTATGATGACTCTGGTGCCGCTTGGGTTGGTACGTATAATCCGTGGCACCGTGCTGAAAATTTATACGGCAACATTGGAGCTAACACAAAGTTTAAGCTGCCGACCATATGACAACTTTGAACCCTAGAACACCTACCACCCTCCCAGTCCTCTATGCCGATGAATATGGTAAGCTTATCCTATATCAAATGATCAAAGCTTGGATTAACAAGTCCAGGTTTCCACAACGGTATCCGTCTTTGGCGTGGATATTTCAATGGAAGTGCATCCGGCGTTTACCTCAATGTACAAGGAGGAACAGCCTTGTAAGTCTTACCCAGTTCTTTGCACCACAAACAGACATTGACATGAGATTTAGTGGTTGGTCAGCTTGGTTGAACGGCGAGATTCTTGGATCCTACTTTGGTGATGCAACAGACGAGCAGGCCAACCTCACCCTATCCTTCTCCAACGTAACCCTTAGCACCAGCACCCCCAACGTTCTGCTGGTCGTCCACGATGACACAGGTCACGATGAGACTACCGGGGCGCTAAACCCCCGGGGTATTCTTGATGCCAAGCTTGTTGGCTCGTCAACAGGATTCACTCACTGGCGCGTAGCCGGAACAGCAGGCGGCGAGTCCAACCTCGACCCCGTGCGCGGCACCTACAATGAGGATGGTCTTTACGCCGAGCGAGTTGGCTGGCATCTTCCAGGGTTTGATGATTCAACCTGGACGAGTGTCAGTGACGACTCGAGTCTGAGCTTCGATGGTGCGACAGTTCAATTCTTCCGTACTGTTGTTTCCTTGGATCTCCCATCTGAGCATGATATCTCCATCTCATTCATTTTGGGTACGCCCTCTACCTCGGCACTTACCTACCGATCCCAGCTGTTTGTGAACGGATACCAGTATGGAAGATTCAATCCGTATATTGGAAACCAGGTAGAGTTCCCTGTTCCACTTGGCGTTCTGAACTACAATGGTGAAAACACCATTGGCGTGGCTGTCTGGGCGCAATCGGATGAGGGGGCTAGCATCTCGGTCGATTGGCAGATCAATTACGTGGCTGGTAGCTCGTTGGATACTGCTGAGATTAATGATGCCAGTCTGCGACCCTCTTGGACAGAGTCGAGACTCAAGTACGCGTAAATAGTGATAGGGGATTTTTTTTTGGACAATTGGGTGGGGGCATTTGGAGAGAAGATAGTATCTTAATAGTTTTAAGTCAAACAAGATTTAGCTGAGCAGCTACTTGCAAGGTTCAACACAACGAGAGAAATCCTTAATTGTTCGATGTAATAACTACTATAAAGTGGCAGGAAAACAGAGAATCGTGATTGATTGGTCAGCCCAAGGCAAGTCACGGGTTCAGATCGCTTAGTCAGCGGCTTCGGAATCACAGCCGTGTACTTTATGGCCTAAGAAATGTGGCTGCAACGGAGAACATTCATCTACTCCGCAGTGAGATCGGCTTTGCATAAGCTGCAAGCACTTGAGCATATTTCAACCAGAAGGCAGCAAGCTCGATGGCTACTCTACGTAAGAACGGTCTACAGTCCTCATGCGAGCCTTGTCGCAAATCCAAAATTCGTTGCGATCATGAATTTCCGATTTGTGGTCGATGCGCCCGAATGAACAAGTCGAACCAATGTCTCTATCGACGCTCTCCGACAAGAACAGTCACTGGATCAGTGACAGCAAATTCTACACCAACCCAGCCGCAAAGACACGATGCATCTTGGGAGCGAACTAGTGAAAGCTCACCCGTTCACAAAAGAAGACGGTTGTCACAATCTGAATACCTCGGAATGACAAGCCATTTTGCGCTCTTCCAAGAAAGTACAGATAACTTGGCCATTTCACTTCCCCAGGGGGTGCAAGAGGCCAGAAGCAACACCCATGGCTCCATTCCCAATACCATTCCCATCGAAAGTGAAGCGGTACGCCGAGGTGCGCACATTCTTCAATTATTAAGGAATCTCCCAGTGTATCAAAGAATAGCAGAATCCTCAGTCAGAACAACGCAAGAGAGCGGATTTTTGAGCAAGCAACTCGTTGAGCTCACTTTCAAGTCCCTACAAGAATTTTCCGGCCCGGAGTCGCCTAGTGACTCTTCATCCTTGTTTGCCCGCTCAAGACAAATCTTTGGTCTATTTTCTGCACCAATTCCCATCCACTCATCGCTCACTTTAAATGAATTCATGTCATCAATGTCTTGCAGGTGGGAGATCATCGGCTTGGCTTTCTCTTGCCTAGGTGTAGGCACCGCCTTGCCCTGTGATTGGGATGCAATATTTCAGATCGAAGGCAAGCCGGTTGATTCTAGAAATGATTTGGCCGAGTTGGCATTATCAGCAACAGAGACATGCCTGTCATTTTGTAACGAAGCCGGTGTATTAAATGATGCTGTCAGCTGGCTTATTTCCCAATATCTCTTTCTAACCACTCTGGTTCACGGAGACAGGGGTCAGTAAATTGAGTCCTGATAGATAAGACATCCATTCATTGACTAATGCACTATCCAGACTACAGATCATGGAGAGCTTTAGGAGATCTCTCAACGATTATATTTAGCCTGGGCCTCAACCAGCCTCCCCCCGATCAGAACACGCCATTTTGGCTTCTGGAGACGCGAAAGCGACTTATGGGCAGTGCATTCAGCTCGGACAAGCAACTTGCCACGTTTTTAGGGAGACCTCCGCGTATCAGCTGGCGCTTCTGTGATATTGCGCTGCCTCTGGATCTTAGTTTTGCGGAAATCATTGCGGAACCAGAGGTCCGAGACAGGGCGATTAGCAGACTGGATACTGATGGTTGGAACACAGAAGAGAGTGATACACAAGCTGTCTGGCTGAGGGTGTCCTTGATTATGGGCCCAGTTCGAGAAAGCATTCTGGAATTATCACTCAACCAGCAGGGTGACAATCTCCCAGGGCGAATTGAGTAAAGACATCTACTAAACAATGCCTGATAATGACAGCTAACCTCAATTCTCAACTCCCAGGGAACTCTTACAACAGTCTCATGAGGCCTGGTCGGGTTTACCTTCTTTCCTCCACCAAACGCAAGATGAGATTTTAGATTTCAAACATAGCATCTTTCTCCAGCTACATTTGGATTATCTATATGATCAATTTCTGCTTTTTCGAATTCTCTCCAAGCGACAGAACACCTGGGCCCCCGAACTCGTTAAGGTATCCCATGAGATTCTCAGTGAAGTGCTCCTACTTGTGGACGGCCGAATTCGGACCATGAGACTTACTCCCGAACTTTCATGGGTGGTGAGCTTTTCTCGTCAAACTCCAGCTCTTCAAAGGCTTAACTGACGAGTTTTGAACGCACAAAGATATCTTTCTTCGGTCTCCCATCAGCCGGTGTTCTTTCAATTGAACTCGTCCGTCGCGCTTCTCATCAGTCCACCGATTCTTCTAGCTCTCCCTCTATTGCCGTTCCATCATTTTCACGTTCACGAGTCATACAGGATCTCAGCATCTTTGCATCTTATTTGCGATCGATTGTCCAATCCCATGAAGGAAATTATGATATATGTCGACAGGCCCAAGAGACGATTGGACGCGTTCTAGATTTTGTTTTGTCCTCGGAAGCCGTTCAGCCCGCTGTGCCTCTAGATATACACAATATGGTATCCAACCCCGACTCGCCCGATACCACCGATATGGCCACTATTCTGGATTATAACTATTGTATCACCAACCTCGATAATTGGCAATTCGAGTTGCAAGATACTTTGCATATGTTTTGATTGTAGAAATTGCCAAGGGTTGCGCCGTGCACATGTGGAATGTGTACAGTCACTACAGTGTACTGTGTACGGTACTAGGTACTAGGTACTAGTAGTACCTATGAAAAGTGGGGACTCCGATACGGATCTCGGGGTCGGAGTCGGAGCCGGGGTCGGGCATTGAGTCATTGATGCAGTGATGCTCATCCAACATTGAACGTTTGACTCTTTGAATCCGCTCAAATGACAAATCCATTCCAGGATTCCAACCTACTCGGAGTCGGAGTAGCATCAATTGATGCTTTGCAATCATGATTCCTCATATGTTGGAAATACTTAATATAAATGTAAACATTGAACCAGTCTTGAAGGTTCCGATGCCCAGTTTTTGAACATTGAAGGCTTTTTACTTATATACCTACCTAGCAGTTAGTACCTAGTAGGTGCTTCTCTAGCAATTCAACCTTGCAAAGTCGTTGTCCCAAGAACAAAGCCTGGAACAATTCACCGCTCACCGTGTCCTGAGCTCTACACCTTCTATCAATCGATCTTCGAAACGATGGCGTCCTTGATATCCCTCCAACGACCATCCTCGGCACCTCTACCACGCACTGATATCCAACTTGCGATCGACGCGTGGAAATATCTCCATCGGCAGATCCAGAAGCATCGCCAACGACGACGGTCAAAGGCAGAGGCAAAACATGATTATTATGATTCGGGCTCGGAGGAATCGATCATGAGCAAGGCAGATACTCTTGTGGCGTCAAAATAATCCAGCAAAGAGAAAATTGAATTGATCTCTTTTCTTGTTGTGCTTTCAATAACAGGGGAATAAAAGCTTGTGGTTCGAATCTCGGGTTCACGCATCCGAAAACTTCACATGTGCATGTCTGGGAAAAGAGGGCCTTGGGCATGGCGGGCGATAAGGGCCACACCCTCACGACACAATAGCCTAGCTATTTCGGAAATGAACTACTTTCCCTACTACTACTACTAGGTAATACATACATGCCAGCGGTTCCTTCAAAGATTCCAAGATCGAACTCATTAATTCAAATCTTCAATGTTACATCTTACCCAAACGCTAATCTTCAAAATTCGTGTACTGTAAAAGATCAAACCTGGGGTAGCCTCTCCTTAATAATTGGCCGCAACGCATTCAATCGTGCGGGCTTCGTCAAAAATGCATCCATACCAGACCCGATGGCATCTCGTTCCGTTTCAGCTTGTGCGACACCGGTCAGCGCGAGAATCATAGTACGCTTCTTGTTTTCAAGGGTCTTTTCAAACTCGCGGATGCGTCGAGTGGCTTCAATACCATCCATGATGGGCATTGAAATGTCTGCAAAGAAAAAAAAATAGAAAAAAAGAACCAATTAGATCTTCGGATGAATGTTAATTCTCGGGAATGTTAGAACTCACCCATTAGAATAATTTCAATGTTGTGTGCGCTTTTCTTAAAAATATCCAGAGCTTCTAGTCCGTTGTGTGCAATCGCGTAATTATACCCCAGTTTCTTCATAAATGCCATCAGGATCTTGAGGTTGATCTCATTGTCGTCCGCAAGGAGGATAGTCCCGGGGGATATGGTTTGTGACTGGACCGCCAAATAATCCTCCGGTTGAAACTCCAAGTCCAAGTCTGCAGGAACAGACAGAGCAGGTGTCACCATAGGTTCAGTAGAGAATTCTGGAGGCATTTTCAGCGGCCCAGGTGGTCGAATGGGCCTAGTGCTGCGTATTGATATTGAGTCATTCTTGAGTCGCCCATTCACTGAATTTTCGAGCCCATTGGGCTTTTGGCCTGTTGATCGTCTTCGTTTGCCAATTAAGGCGTCACGACGTAGCTGTTGGCGTTGCAGACAGCTTTCAAGTGATTTTGCTAACTTGTACGGTCCACATGGCTGGCTGATAAACTCAAAGACCCCTGGTTCCCGTCGATCCTGCGATGCTAGTGTATGCGCAATTCTTGGAGAAGAACATATGATTATCAAAGGGGGAGCCAATCGCTCATTTGAACAAAGACAGTCAGGCAAGATTTCATGAATGCCTCCAGCCAAGGTTTGATGGAGGGTAATATAAAAGTCACAACCGCCAGATTTCATGTTCGATGGCTCAACTAGTTCGACTTTCATTTGGAACCAGTCTTGACATAGTTTGTGTATGGATGAGAGCAAAGCCGCGTCTCCATCGGAAGACGTGTGAAGCAAGATCCCAATAGTCTTGTTCTTGACCAGGTTTCTCATCGACAAAGGAAACGAGGCACCATTGAGGCTACCGTTGGAAACCCGCTCCACAACATGTTCAAGGGTCACTGTTGTGACAACTTCTGTACCGACACCTTTCTGGGAGCTAATCTCAATCTCACCACCGAGCGAGGATACTATTCGGTTCACTATGTTGATTCCTAAGCCATTCCCTGGTGACAGTCTGTCTTCTTTGGAAAAAGCAGTGAATAATTCGCTCCTCAGAAACTCTTCTTCCATGCCACATCCAGTATCCTTGATGCACAGAGTGACCTTTGAATGCGTCACCTGGCCGTCCGTGTTGAACCTCACTGGAGTCGCCTTCAAAGAAACATAGATAAACCCCTCGTCAGTAAACTTCAGGGCGTTTCCGAAGAAATTTGTCAAAATCACATGCCAGGCACCGGGACGGGTGGCAAATTTGAGGTTTTGGGCACGATCAATATCAAGGATGACTTTGACTCCGCCTTTGAAGTCGAATGGATTGGATATATGGGCAGTAGTCCATAGCGGGGTAGTCGGGCTCTTAAAAAATGAATATCCTGCAAAGACAGTTTCAATTGCATCCTCCACGGCAGCGTCCAACTGAACGGCAGAATCTTTATCCACTGTTCCAAGCTGTGAGCCATTTGCGGCATCTTGAGGTTGGAATTTAGCAGGCCTCGAACGGACATCGTTGATGCTGGCATATTCCAGGAGTTGGTCTATTGAGCCGAGTAAGGTAAATGCACAAGATGAGATTGTATGCACCAATCCACGCTGCAAGACATCCATTACGGTGTCGTTTAGAATATCAACTGTACCAAAAATTCCATGAAGAGGGGAGCGAAGCTCGTGGCTGATTCCAGCCAATAAATCCGATTTCGCTCGTTCTGTCAACAAGGCGCCGAGCCGGTGGACTTCGGCCATAACGCTATGCCCCACAGCAAATAAGAACGCTAGCTCATCTTCAGAGGTCAAAGCACGGTGGGGCGCTCTTGTCCAGGTCAGGCAGCCTGAGTACCACCTTCCTTTGTGTGAGTCCCATAGAGGTGAAAAGACAATGCTTCGAGCATTGGGAGCGACCTGCAAAAGGGTCACGGCATCCTGGCGCAGTATTGCCTTCCTAGTCTTCTTGAATTTTTTGCCGTCACTGGACGGGGAGCCACCATCACTGTTCTCGTCGGATGAGAGGGTTCCATCTTCACCAAAATTGAAGATTTTGCCCCGGGGATATCGGCGCGAAAGCTGCCCAAGGTAATTTTCGGACACCGCAACCTTTTTATCCAGCATATACTCTTTGCTTACGCTAGCTACATCCGAGGTTGCGAAGCCAAGCATCTTGCATGGATTCACCGTTAATGGTCCACAATGTTCAGGTTGCGGGTCGCTGGAGACATCCCGCTCTCTTGGGGATCTGCAGCGTTTCGCTTCCTCTTCGCTGGAAGAGTTACTTTCCATACAGCTACCACCACTCTCTGAATCAACATTGGAAGTATTGACCAAGGCGTCTGGGGAGCCAAAATTGGCATCGAAGAAAACGACAGCCTCAACCTCAATGCTCTCGCGAACAATGTTTGCCGCTCGAGAAAACGTTTCCTTGACTTTGTTGGCATAGCTGTCCCTTGGAGCTTTCTTCAAAGAATCCCTGTGCGTTGGTGCCATGGTTGTATGAGATGCACGTCTATTCCGGGGCCGAGCGTAGAAATAATTCCTTTTGCTGATCTCCGGGCTAGCCATTTTCCGCTCTTGGCTTGGTTGCGATGGTGGGTTCCCAGTCTGATTGGTGTTGAAATTTTGTGGGCGGAATGGTCTGAGACCTTGGCCATCGTTATACTTTGCGGTCGGCGCCACATATTCGGACATTTGCTTCTGCTGTTGTTCTTGATTGACATGGCCTTCCAACTCAATATCTTCACCGCGTGCAGGTGGAGTCCGAACCGTCTCATTTGCATTAATCCAAGAATTGCGTAATGAGCCTTTGCCCTCCAAAAAGCTTCCCAGTCCAACTATCATGCGCTCGCCTCGAAGATGTTCATGTCGAGATCGAGTTGCATCCAGATGATCCATGACCGTGTGGGCAATGTCTGCCAGGAACTTCATAGCTTTATCATCCAATGGGTCGTGAGGTCTGTCATCCAAAACCGTATAAGCGCCAATAACAATACCTTTGGGGCTTATAATAGGGCTGCATGCCATGAAGCGTATATGGGGGCTGTGCGCCACGTAAGGATGGGTTTTGAACTCTTCGTTTTGAGTCATGTCGGTCACCACCAGCGGTTGAGGGGTGTTCTCTGTAGCCTGAGATTGATTGATCGACAGTTTGCAGAGACTTAGCTCGTAGGACATTGTGCAGCATCCAATCCACAATCCATCGCGAGAATTGTGGCTCCCGTCATCGTGAATGTTTAAGGACTGGGTGGCCTCGGTAAGGACGACCTGTTCGTTTCGACCAAATAGTGAAATCAAAGCCCGTTTGGCATCCAAGCGTAGCGTGCCCAACTGGGCGAAGGAGGTCAAAGCGGGGTCCCAAGATGACCGTGGAGCGAACGAGGTAGGCTGAGTGTCTCGATCGACATGAGGTATAGGATGGGCTTGTAGATGATACGGAGGAAGATATCTTAGATATTCAGCGTCTGGTCAGCCTTTTTAATGATCATGACGATATGGATATACTCATGAGGTTTCGAAATACCTAAGAAACTCTCGTTCCCTGAAGGTCCCAAATGTACTAGCTTGTTGCTGACGCTGTGTCCCTCGAGATGTTGAATAGGTCATGTTTGTAATGCCCCAAGTCCCACGAATGGGTTAGGACTTTAAATAACATCGGTGGGCAGTATACAGCCTGAAGCCCATAAAGAAGTTTTAAGGAGAAGAAATTCAAAAATGGAGGGATCGGATCGGGAGGGGTGATCAAGAGTCAAGTACCAATTATAGTGGATCGTTCCCGATTTGGGGAAATCCGATCCATGGCCCTGTGATTGGTCAGAGCGAACATTGAAGCTCTGAACAAATCCGAATGAGGAGAAAATAGGATATCGGGAAAAAAACAAAGTATGCAAAGAGATCAAACAAATCAAACAGATCAAACATGGCAAGCAGATCAAACATGTCAAACATGGCAAACAGGTCAAACAGCCCCAAAAGAACGTTTTATCGATAAGGATTTTAAGTGGCTCCCAATCCCCGATAACACAATTTTTCTAGCGTCTTTCTTCGCCTTTTCTCCTTGACACCTTTCTCTTTCTCTCCATAATCCTTCCCCACTACACTCGTTCATTCTCTTGGTGCCTACGGTTCCTTTCAATCTCTCTCCATCACCCCCTATCTCTGACTCTTTCTCTCCATTCCCAACCCCCTCATAACAGTTCATCATGGGTAACGTAAGACAACCCCAACCCCGCCTTGCGGATACCGCAAGCCCCTCTTACGCTCCACCTGCCATGAACGGAAAACTGATGATCTTCTTACTTTCAGGGTGCCAAGGCCAATCAGAAGCGTGAGCGCAACCTGAAGCAAGGAAAGGCTGCTCCTAAGTCTCAGAACAAGACTGTACGTTATGGCACCGGAACCAAGATGCCTGGGAGTCGCCTCCCTCGACCAACCTTTTTTTCTTCCATCTTTTTCTTTTCTTTCCTGGGAACTACGCGCTGACTTTTTTTTTTTTGAATCACTTCAGAACGAGCAAGCTATGAGCATTCAATGCCAAACTTGCAAACAGACTTTCCTCCAGACCACCAAGGCCCCTGCGTACGTCTTGATCTTCCTCTTATCTTGCTTCCTGTTGCCTTCCGACTGATACTAATCTGGATTCTTGTGTTAAGTCTCCTCGAGCATGCCTCCAACAAGCACAACAAAGGCCTGGCTGATTGCTTCCCTGGTGTTACCGCTTAAGTCACCAAGCCGGACCTCTACGCAATCTGAACGGATTACGGTGTCACGCAACTGCCATGAATAAAGGAGTTCTGAATGGAACTGCACATACTACACACCAAGACTGGCTTGAGGCAGGGGAGAAAGTCGGTATCGACAACTGCGCAGGCGTAGTGGACGTAGTGAGGACATTGGGAGTGCGAGTTATGGGTTGTGGCCTATGATGAATCTTACTCAACTGATCCATTGGATCCTATCCGACCTGGCTCTTTGCTCACTTTTTTATTTACAGTATATTTCATACTAAATACCCTCTTATGCGCCGCATGGGGCTGAATGGCCAAGAACAGATTTCTAATCCAACTATTCTTCAGCTACATATGTATCCTTATATGGAATTCCAATCTCTATTTTCGTCCACAAGTCAGACCTGTTCATTTCAAAGTTGCAACCTTCCAATCAATGCATAGTAGCTTTCAAATAAATTTAACATTTGAATATCATTCTGGAAATTGAATGTTAGCCAGGTCTTCAAAGGTTCCTATTATACATAGCATACCACTAGTAGATACGTTATACTCGGCTCTTTTCTTTTCTTTTCTTTTTTTATATAAAAACAACCCTGGAGATTGCGGCTCTTTTGTCGATGTGGGGCCTCGTATCCATGGGACCGGTGTCAATTCTTCGCAACCTTGGTTGGAATGATTGATAAGGAAACCTTGGAAATTTCTACCATCATAATCTAGAATATAATTACTTTCAATACGTATTGACCGTCAAAGCATAAAGGGAACATTGAAGAGCTGGAATCCCATTATTTGTGCTACATCCGTGCATCGGATAACGGGAGGGTAACTATTCTTACGTGGAACATTTAAATGACTTCCAAAATTTGGGGGTCAGTATCGCTGCTCAGAATGGTTAGATCTATAGGCTGCTTTACAAAGTTGCAAGTTGACATACGATGCATGGAAAAGCAAGCTGTGTCATGTGGCCAAGCATCCATGCGCCTGTCGGTAATGATCGGAAAGTAGTAAGCACAGCTGGCTAAGCTCTACTTGACTAATATAATCATTTCCCACAAGAGTTGTTAGTATGCAGGTTTATGGATGCCTATTGATTGCACATTGACTAGGTAAGCACCTGAGCAGGCATGTCAACTTTATACTAGCTGTACACATGCACATGGTGGTCCCCTTCTCTGGAAACCTGGGCCGATGAATCAATTCCAACCTTGCACAGAAGGTTTTAATATGTTTACATACGCGTCAAATCTCCATGAACCAAAGAGATATCTACAAAAGTATAGGCTTTGCGTAGATGCACGTACAACATCTGTCCACAACCTTGGAACCACATACTGGCAAATGGAGAAAAGATGTAAAATTCAACAAATATAATGTCAATAGGATGAAAATGCAAAGGCTCGATTGATTTTTTGACGAGCGGAATGATGATGAGAAAATATGGGTCAACGACATGACCGTGGAAAAATGATGTGCTAGAAAACAAAATGAAAGAACAGCCCAGTGCCCACGCTCCTAATACTTAATGACAATGATTCGAATGCATACGGAAATGACAGAAGATGAGAAAGAAATCAACCAGCAACAGGGAATGCCGAACCCGCTGCAGGTAAAGGGAGAGGGAGGGGGAAACATTCATTAGATCAACGCCCACGGTAGGATCCGCAGGAAAACAGCCGAAGCATTGGCACGAGAAAAATCGCCAAGATTTGAAACGAGCCGCACCGTTTTGATAAACATGTGCCCTCAAAAAACGAGGACAGCAAGGAAAAGAGACCGGAACGAGAGTCGGCATTGATGGCCGCATAACAGAAAACGAAGACACGAGGTCTTATAGGACCAAGTGGACCTTAGACGTGTCGAGTTTCGCCGTGACGAGAAACTTAACGGAAAAACAAAGCAGAAACAAAACAGAAAACAACCCCAGTCGCCGAAGTTTATGCATATCTATGGACAAGGATGCAAGTCTAGCCAGAGAGAAAAAGGCAAGCCATGCAATGAATTCCCGACCTAACTTAAATGAAGTGTGTGTAGATTTTGGAGTTTTCATGAACTTCCATCTCCTATGCATTTGTTAGTATGTGTATGTTAGGAACGGAGAGGTAATCAAGACGAACCATTTTGAAGTTGTTGATCTCCTCGCGAATTTGTTGGGCCAGGAGAGGAGTCAAGCGGTTGCAAGTCGCAATTTCTCCACGACGATCGTACTCGCCACTGGGCCAAGTCTCATGAAACTGTATGCGAGGGCTGAAAACGATGTTTCGGCCACCCGCCTGCGGAGTGTTGGGAGCACTTTTCGCGTCGGTGCCTGAGTACCGAGAACCACCAGAAAGGAAATAGTCCTCGCCAGCGATGGTTATTTGCTCTGTCGGGCGAGGGCTGGCTCGAGACGACTCGTCTGGGGTAGGTGGGGCACTGGAATGCGGGGAGTCATTGCCGTTTAGTGCATTTGCCGAAGAGGAGGCCCCATAGTCGGAATGGGTTTTCTTCAAAATGCCCTTGCGGACAGCCGCTAGAATTTCAGCGCGTTCTCGGTCGCCTCCAACAATGCTTTTTCGCGACTGAGAGGAATCTGAAACGACTCTCTCACGATCCCGAATAGAAGCAGACCTACGGACATCGGAGCCAGCAGGTTCCACCTTGGGGAACACAGTGCCACCCCGAGGCATTTCCATCGGGTCAGGGTTGACCACAATCTCCCGCTGCGCCTCCACGTTCACCACAGAGATCTGGGGTAGAGACATCGGCTCAGCGGCCCCCTCAATCGAGTGGATACTGGCGACAGACTTGGGCCGGAACAGTCCCACTAATGACCGAGTAGACTTCTTCATACCTTTACCCATTTTACGAAGCATCATGGATGCTGATGAAGCAGTCGATGAAATGGAAAGTGCATCTGTTGACCCAGAAAAGAAACCACCTTGGTGGGAATAGATGCTTTCACCCAGTCCCATGGCCTCCTGCTGTTCGGCAATCGCGGCTTGTTCGTCTCCCAACTCCTCTCGCAAGGCCTCCCGGCGCGCTTTTTCGGCAGCAATTGCTTCACGCTTGGTCTGCGAGGATGCCTTTAGAAGTTCCGATGCGCTGCCGAAGGAGAAAGCACGCCTCAGGCGTGACTTCCCAGGACGCTTGTCATTCTTCAGCTCAGCAAGACGCTTCGCCGCAGGGGACTCTGTTGGCGGGGATGAGGCAGCCAGTGGGGCCTTGGAAACTGATTTGGGCGCCGGAGGGTTGGGTAACGTTGACGCTGGCTGGGAGAGCGGAGAGGGCTTGCTCGCTCGCTTTTCTTCCGGCTTGACGACGGAGGTGGGATCCGAGGCTGCCCCTTCTCGTGTCTGGAACGGCCAAGTTAGTTCATTTCAATATTTTAATTTCAAGGTGTGGGACTGGAAAAGCCTACCGAAGATACAGATGACTTCGCCGAATGCGAGCTGCCATTCTGTGAATGAGACGATTGTGGTCGTGATTGATTCGCATCAAAGGCAATAAAGTCATAAGAACTCGACTGCGGCGAAGCTGGTATCGGCAGCTGCAGTTGAAGGTTCGGGTATGAGCCTGGGTCCATCGTTCCCATACTTCTCCGGCGGTACCGCTTTGCAGGTTCGAGTTGTGGCCTTTCTGCATGGGACGAATCATCTACACTAGAATAGCGGTTATGTCCGTTGGACCTTCGAACCGGCCGGGGAACCGGAGCTGCGGTTTTCTGGTCGTCGACAATTATCGCTGAGGTTGATGACGGTGGTGAAGGTGATGGTGCTGGGGCTGGAGATTGGGGACGTTGATTGGAACGGCGGTACCGATTCGGAGAAGGCTTCACAGAGCTGACGGGGGAAGAGATGGTCATAACGGGGGGAGGAAGGTTGGCGGTGGACAAGGGACGAAGAGGCTGGTCCGGTCTCGGTTGTCGAGAGGGGATAGCGCTGTCATCCTTTGAGACGTATGAGTTGAATGAAGAGTTGGAAGAAGTCGATACAGAACCAGCTGCAGGATTGGCGACTCGGGGGTTGGCTCCGGATTGGGCCATATGGGACGCGCCTTGAATGGTAGGGGCAGAGAAGGTGCGGTGCTCAGGACGAAGATGAGGGGACCAAGATTGGCGATGTTGTTGAGGATTGGTGGTGTGGGCCGGGTTAGGAGCAAAAGCGTAGGGGGCCACAACCGGTTGACCTGCTCGATAGCTGCCCGAATTTCCAGCATTGAAGGAACTCCACGACATATTCTGGAACCGAGTGGGATGCTGTGTAGAGGATGAGGCAAATGTGCCCGAGGAAGAAGAGGGACGTGTCTGCAGCACAGGAACCGTGCCAGTCTGTTGCGGGATCGTTTGAACCAACGCAGCCATGTTGCTTCTCTCAGCCAGGGCGTTGGAACTATTTCAATCACGAGTGTCCGGGTCGATCGGAATGTCGACAAGGCAACTCGCAGATCGGATTTATGGACAAGAGAGATCCAGAAAGGCGTTCGTGTCAGGACGGAAGATGAACAAAACGGAGGAGTGCTACCCGGGAGATGTTAGTCTGGTGGCCCATTCAGGAGCATGTTGTGTATGATCAATTTCGTCCCCCGTCGGTTTCCTTTTGACGTCAAGGGATAAAGCAACAGTGGTATTGATTGAATACTTCGATCAGAGCGACGCAGGGAAGGGGGTTGATAAGGGAAAATTGGCGTTGTGGATGGTGATTTTTTTTTTTTAATGGGGGTTGTTGGGGGTGGATCGAAAAGCAACGCGTCAGCCAGGGGGAACCATACCTGTTCTAAGTAACGTGGACATAAAACTATAGTGGTACAACGATTAAGAGAGCGAAGTGTAGCAAAAAGGAAAGACGCTGAATGCCAACAAAATGCAACAACTCGAAACCAGGCGAGTTGAAAGGAAACGAAAGGTGGTCTGAAGGTTCCCGAAGAGATTGGGATCTAGGACATGTACAAGGAAAGGAGAAGGCGTAGAAGAAATAAGAAAAGAAAAAAAAAGTTGAAATGTACCCCAAAAGAAAAGAGAGAAAAAAAAGAAGAAGAAGAAACACCAGGACCTGCTAGAATGGCACCTTGTCAAGAGGACAAAGAATGTGCCGTTCGCCTGGAGGGTGGAGGGTTGAGGAGGTTGAAGGAGAGAAGGGGAAGGGGGGAGAGCGGAGACAAGATTAGGGAGAGGAAAATAGGAGGGGCTTTTTTTCTCTCTCTTCACTATGGAACCAAATCTACGATTACTTTTCATCCTTTTTTTTCTTCTTCTATTATTGTTTATAAATCAAGGGTAAAGAGTATCAAAAGAATCAAAACGAGCATCATATGGGTGGAATCTCTTAAAACATGAGGAATTAGGAATCCTTTTCTCAACCTTTTGATCTTTCTCTGTTAGCTGGTCTCCTTTTCAAGGGGGAAGTTGACGCAAGAACCAATGGGCTTGAGCATTGGCCCCCTTTAACTCCAGTATTTTAGCTCTGCATGTCAGAAAAGAAAAGAAAAAAAAAAGAAAAAGAAAAGAAAAAAAGAAAGTGCCAATGACATCAAAAGGTAAATGCAAATGCAAATGCAAAAGCAAATGCAAAATGTCAAAATTTCCAGGTACCTGGCGCAGTTTTCTCAGCTTTAAATGTTATTTTGTTATATAAGATCAACTTGAACTTTCCATTGATCTTTAAAAGGACAATGTTCTACTATTTCTCATAAAATAGACATCTGGAAAGAAAAAACCACAAAAGGTCCAAGTGTCTACAAGTGCAACGCTATCCCTCGAACGGGTTCCCCAGCGAATCCACACGCGCTCGGCGAGACATTTGCCTTCCGTGTACCACCGCACGTGTCAAGATACAAAAAAGAAATCTATATGTTAGTTCAATGTTAGATATGTATCATCTATGGAAACGGATCTAATGGATAAAAAACAAGGACATGTTCAAGTCAAATGATTTATATATTTTTCGACTTGTATTTATTTTTCTTATTTTTCTTATCTCATGTCTCTTATGTCTCTCATGTCTGTAGCTTACTGTTACTGGACCCGCACGGGGATTTTCCTGCGAGCTGGTTCCATGGATCCTCGGTGGGTTGTCACTCCCCACAACTCGGTGAAAACTGGGAAAATCGGGGAGAGAAGAAAATGAGAAAATAATCAGAAAAGAATCAGAAAAGAATGCATTACGGAGACCGTTTAAAAGGGAAGGGGGGGGGGGGGGGGGGGAGTTAAGAGAAAAAAAAGAAAAAAGGACGAATCGTCTCTCTTCATGTGGATGAGGCTGAAGTCATCTGTGCGAGGTCAGAACGTGTAGGAACTTTGGGCAACGCCATGTTAGCGCTGCTGATAATGTGTATCAACCTTGGAAGCGAGAAACTGTGTGTACACCAGATCAGATCCTCTTATCTCAATCTTGTCCCCTTTACTCTCTACTCTGTTTTTTTTTTTTTTTTTTTTTAATACTTGTATGTCTCCAGGGCTCCACGTTCGCTGTACCTTGATCCGCGCCATTTCCACTTTCCTTTCTCTCTTTTCTCTTTTTCCCGCGTGATCGACATTACTCTTAAAAACACTGGAATCGCATGCACCAACCCTGAACCGGCTTCAGCTCCAGAATTCCGTCTTCCCTGCCGCGCAGAATACAGGCCCACGAGGGGGTAAAACCCGTCAACTAATCTCCTCTATTGGCCCCGCTCGGGTCTACAGTGATTTGCCTGCATTAGCTCCTACTCCATCCGGTCTGGCACCGCTTATAACTCTGCTCGGGACCTGCGCAGTACTCTGTACCTCCGGTGGTACCTCTAGCTCCTTATGTAGTAATAACCGAGAGGGGGGGCTCTATACTCCCTACTGCATAAAATCATCAAAATCAATTGCGCCTTTCTCTGAGAATGCAGCGGATTGGTTGTGCAGGAACTAGCGCGTGGTCCACGGGTTGTCTTATACACTCAATCCTCTCAATCCTCTCAATCTGACCATGATTGGTCTGCCGGTGCGGCAAGAAGAGGCGATGGCGTACTAATTGATTAGGCCTGTCAGCATGGTTGGATCAGCTTTCCGTTCCCATATCCACCTCAAACTTACAACGGAGTACCGTCCATTTCTCCAGCCATCACGAACGACTCGGATGGTTTAATCTTTGTTCACTATTTTTGGGATTGGATTTTTCTTCTTCTCCATTTGCTGCACTAGCAATATTAAAACAAGTCATCTCCAAGGCCCATCTATACATCTTTAATCCCCCCCCCCCCCCCCCCCCACATTGAAGACTTCATCTCAAACACGGGAACAAAAGTCCCAAACTAGCAGAATCCTGGACAAAATGAACACATCAATCTAACAAACCTTAGCCGACTGACATCCGGGGAAGTACAAATGTGGAGGTCAAGGATGATCATGGCGCCGTTGTGCGCCTCAAGCTCCGGTCGCGGACCCAGGACCGTGCACTTTCTCCGTGTCGCAACTCCACAGCCGTGCAATTAATTTAATTCATTTCTACCGATGCCTCTGATTCGATGATGGGTATGGACTTTTCCAAATTGGATTCACTTTGGAGCTAAATCATTCTGAGATATTATTTTTTGAGAAATTGAAGAAGAATAAAAAAAATCTCGTGGTAATCTCGTGTCAAGCACGATACTAAACCCACGGGTTGAAGTTTTTATATCAAGGATGCTAGGATTTCCCTCTCTCTCTCTCTCTCTCTCTCTCTCCATGACCCATTTATGATCCAATCGGACCCTTCACGCCAAGAAAACTATAGCCCCTGTAATGACCCTGATCTACAGCCGGTTTCATGTAATGAATCTAGTACATTTGGGAGACTAGTCACCTGTACCTACTACTTCAATGTTAGATCGATAATGAACACCTGACCTTCAAATGTTGTAATCGAAGCCTCCCTCCCTATTCAATGTTCCGAGGTTTCCGTGCATAATTTCGCAAAATTGAATCATATTAGCATATATGTAATAACATATTTCCCTCCTTTGCCCGATTCCAAGTTTAATGTCATACGACTGGAAACAGTGTAAAAGTATTTGACCCACCTAGTGGGCTATTCAACGTAATATACCCCACCTTCAACATTCTATTAAGACGGAGATAGCAATTGCTCCGGGGACTACGAGTACCCGGTCCTGGAGGTATCTTGCAAAATACTGCAAACAGGCAGAGGTCTTGGAATACACAGGTACTAAGCACTTAGTATGCTCCCGAGGTCTCAAAGGCACTAAATTCAATGTTAATTAATGTTAGATCAATAAATTCAAGCATTCAAATACGATTTGACGCATTGATGTGGATTGATCAGTCACATGTGCAAGCAACCAATGTTCCACTGGAGGTTAGATCGGAACATTTGAAGTGTGTTCAAATGGTCAAATGTTCCAACATTGATGGTTCTAACATTTGAAGTGCATACATATGTAACCTCAATTGGAAATCATGCAAAAGATGTATGTATATAATGGTAGGTACTATGCACTAATAATCTACATAACTAGGCTTCCTTGGAACATTTGAAGGTTGGGTTTGGTGGCACGACAGCCCTGGAGGAAATTTTGGGCAAGCATCAAACATTTGAAGTCCAAACATTGAAGTCTATGTAAAAAAAGAACCAGACGTTGACAATCAATTGATAGAAATAGAAGTTTGTACTCCACTCATATCTCAGTAATGTGCACAGCTTGACCTAGGTGGATAAAGCAACCTCAATGTTACATACTAGTAGGTAGGCACTTGGAACCCGGAAGGATTAAGCAAAATGTCAACCTAAAGTGGGAACGAAATGGATTCAAAGGCGAAGCCACGAGACAGCTCAAATATCCTCCCAACATTTGAACCCTTGAGGCGGTGGGAACATTGAAGCTGAAATTGGGGGGGGGGGGTAGTACTAGGTGCATAGTAGTCGTGTAGATCTAGTCCTACAATGTTTGAAGATTCGTACACCAGTCCTCCATATTGATCCGAGTCACATGGGGCATCGCCTGTCAAGTTTCACGACAGACCGATTGCATCCATTGCAGAGATGGCGGAACACTGAACACGCTTCTACCATGTACAGATCCGGCAAGGTGCACGTCCGGTGGGGACTGGATCTGGACTCGTTGGGAATTTCCGTATAATACACACGTGCAGGATCCGGGGAGGGGGTTGTTCACGAATTTTGATCACGGCTATGAGGCTGCAGGGCTGAGGTCATCCATTGTTCCGATCCCCGAAGGCCTTGCTATTCTCACTCATGGATCTACTTTGTAAGATATTGGTTGAACTCGAAGTGAATGCTGCCTAAATTGGCGTGATAACCTCTTTGGGTTTGTCATTGGGTACTTTTTTAAGAACATGATTTCTATCTCGTCAAGACGTAGCGGTATTATGGAACAGAACGACACCAGGCAGAGAACGCCAGGATATCACAGCTCATCTTCATCGTCTTCCTCGTCAAAGTCTTCCATACCTTCTTCCTCGTCCAGGCCTTCAAAAACCATGAACTTTTCATTCTTGGCATCAGCCTCGTCTTCGACAACGTTGCCATCCTGAACCTCGCAGTCCTTAAGCTGGGCCTCACGACCGATCTTTGCTCGTTTACCAATTACACAACCACTAAGAACAGCGCGAGGGCCAACAACCGCGCCATCCATCAAAAGACAGCGTGTCAACCGTGCACCTGTCGAAATGTGGCAGTTGGCTCCAATGACGGATTCTTTGATGACACATTTTTCTTCCACTGTGACGTTTTCTCCGAGAAGACAGTCACTCTTTGTAACGGTAGATCGTTGGGCCACACCAGCAGGGTGCGCAATCTTCTGGTTATGCGCAAAAGGCGAAGCCTTATCACCGGCTTCCTCGATTGATTCTAGCTTAGCTAGACGAAGGGACGTAGACAAGAGAATCGAAGTGCTGTCAACCCGACGGACAAATGGTGAAGATCCTCGTTGTACATAGGCAAGGATGGAGGGCACATCGCTTGGCTCGGAGGACGCCTTGGCATGGGACGAATACACAGAGGATTGGGAATCATCAAAGTTTGAGCCAACCTTGGTGGTACTCAGGCTTCGAAGGTCGATTTCGTCCTCCAAGGACTCGCCATCTTGACTTCCACTCTCACTCTGGATATGGTTCTCTTGCGGAAAGAACTGTTGCATTTCAAGCTTGTCGGAAAGGCCTTTCTGCCACCCAGCTTTGGCCCAGTAGCCTAGAAGATCTTCGCTGATGGATTCAAGCTTTTCGTGGCGAGCAAAATCCTTGACCCAGTACGGGAAGATATAGAGGTGGGCATCACGGTATGTAGTCAGCATCTTCACGTTAGGGTGTTGCTCGACAAGAGAATGGCGGGTGAGGTAGCCCTTGTCAAGCTCCATGTTTTCCTTGAGGGTATCCATTGGCATCGAGAGGACCAGTTTCGACAAATTCGACCGCACAGATTCCGGCCCATCGATTAGATGCGATACAGCAGGGCGCTCATCGTTATGCTGATCCAAGGGTGCAACCGCCACGAAGTCTGTAGATTCACCCTTGACACTCTCCTCTCGACCTTGTGTTTGATAGAACACACTGAGACCACCACGGCGGCCACCCTGCTCTCCACCAGGTCCTGATGAGACCGGGCCGTGTGCGTTTTTACCCTCTGTCAATGTGCTGCCACCGAGGGCACCCTGAGATACCATCCATGCCTCTATCAGTGATTCACCAGGGATGTCGCAAACTAGATCACAGGGGAGAAGAACGAAATCGGTTTTGATGCAGGCTTGCACTTCGGGTAGACGTAGAAGCTCAGCAGTTCCCATTGTCATCTCGAGGCCCTTCGGAGCAATCACGCGGGGAGAAGGAAGGGCCGTGAGATGCGGAATTTGTTGCAAGGCGGCTTGGATAGGAGCGAGAGAGGAAGGAGGTGTGATCAATGTGATATCTAGATTCTATTAAAACCGGCCCACAAGACTTGCAAAAATATAACCCGAGTTTTGTGGCATACCTGTGATTCCTGCACGTAGTGCATAGGTCATTGGATAATAGAGCATCACTCTGTTCCCCACTGGAATGAGACATTTTGGATATTCCTCCGGATTCGCAGTGAATGTATTCAAGGAGGCACCAGGTCCACACAGAATGAGAGCCTGGAACCCACTTTGGGGCACAGAAATAGGCTGTGGTGCCATCTTAACAAAGTCCGTAAAACCCCCGCGGGGCAGAGAAATAAAGTCGGAGGGGTGGTGGAGTGGATGGGGACGTGGGCTGCTTGATAAGCTCGTGCTAACTTGAAGAAAAGATTGAAGATGTTGAATGATATTCCTGAGCCTCGCGAAAGCCTTTTACCGTCTTGCGAAAGCTATAGGCCTGTGCTGCAACTGTATGACTCGCCGGCTTTGACTGCTTTTTTCCCAATTGAACCTGATCACGTGCCGATAATGGAAGAATGAGTCAGCTGCGACCCGCCTCCAGATTTAATCAGGTCAAACAGTGCAAACAAAGCGTAAACACCGCGGTTACTAGTAGATTCACCAGCCACATGTTTCCGTGCCCCGAGGCTCGAGGGCCTCCCCCCAACTCACTTCCTTTTCCTCTTATCTTTTCCGCCAACCTCCCCGTTTCTCCTGCATGAGTGAAATGTGAATTGTGAATTGTGGGCCTCGCGACACCGATTGTTTCTCTAAATGCGCCTTCTCTAAACAACAACCCCCGCGATCGCAATGTCTTTCCCCCAGGATGGCCGAGGCCGTCGCGGCGGAGCTGGCGCCGGTTTCAGCTCAACAGGCCGACGAACCGCCTTGGGCTATTACATTCCCTTGGCTCTGACAGTGGGAGTTGCGGCAGTGAGCATTGCTGCGTGGGTCTGGAGTGAACGACACGACGATGACGATGATCACCTTGATGACGGACAAGGCCACCACCACCCGCCGCCCCCCGGTGCCGCTGGGGGTGATTTCCCTCCACCAGCATACGGCGCAGGAGACTACTCAAGAGAAATCGGGACGGATGTAACACCTGGTGATGCTCAATACGATCCAAGCTTGATGGCTCGCATGCAGGGCGCTTTGCGCCGAACCCCTAGCCCCCAACAGATATTCGATGGCGCAAGTCGCAAAGTTGTCGCAGGTGTGGCGGCCGCGGGCCAATTTGTTGGCGGTGCACTCACATCTATTCGCGAAGAGAACCGCGGGGACTTTGAAGACCACACAAGATGGTCCGAGGAGGCCCAATCACGAGCTGATGAGAAAAGCCAGCAAACGACTTCTGCTCCCATCATGAGTGGCGGACTACCGGGCCGCACATCTGGTCAACATTTCAAGAAGAAGAAGACAGTTGTCATTGTTGTATCCTCCCTTACTCCCCCTGACTCGGATGATTTTGCCTCGGAGGCGCACGCCGTAAGAGCCCCCGCCCTGAAGACGCTGAAACGTTTCCTTCGCTAAAACATGCATATTTAGTCCATTCTTTCTCACCTTCCTGAGCACGTGGAACTCGAAACAAGCCGAATCTTTGTCCTGATTTATGCCCCCAGTTTGAAACATGCCATTGGCCAGGGAACCTCGTCGCGTGCTACACAATCAATTGCCTCGTCCTACTCGAATATTGCTACCGAAGAAGCTGCATCTTCTGGTGAATTGGTCGGCGGTGAACTTACTCGGGTAGAACCCTCCCAAGAGGATGATGTCGATGGACAAACGCCCTTCTTTCGAACCTTGTACACCCAGGCCCAGGCGCTGGTTGAAAGGGAGAACATGATTATGCCATTCAGTACACCCACTGGCTATGTTCATCTCGTCCGTCATCTGGCTCCGGATCTTGTTTATGCCCAGGAGTCATTGACTGGAGAGACGGGTGATGCGGTTCAGCACATCTCCGGTTGGGTCCGGCAAGTCATTGTTGTGGTTGGCGACGAAGGCGGTCGTGGGGGTCTGATTGATAGCGATGATGAGTCCGCTCTTGCTGACAAGGGAGAGAAATGGTGGCAAAAAGAAGGCACCACTGGTCTCGGCAAGCGAGTTGACATTGTCGACGTCCTCCGCGTTGGAGATGATTGGCGACGCCGAGTGCGTGGCCTGGACTAAGCAAGGCTCATTCACCTGCCACCGTTCAATGATGTTGATGTTGATATTTATTCATTTGTTCATACTTGTTTTTCCTCACTTCCCCCTCCCATTGATGATTGCGCTTTCGATTCCCCTTGTCTATTTTTTGTTTTTGTTTTTTCTTTTCACTTTGTTGCGAGCTATCTCACTACAGCAGAAACGTTGCTCTCTGCTTTTTTCAGGACCTCGGCTCGGTATCAATACGCCAATCTGATGGCATTGATAATGAAACTATAGTCAATTTGCTCTCACTCAAACCCAGGCCTGTAGGATCTGTTCCGAACATGACTGGCTGATACTACGAGTACTACTAGTAAATACTGTATATTAGTGCCTTAGGCCACAAACAGGCAGCTTCTCTATGACTAGTCCTAATTCGTGGGTCATGTGACAGTGTCACGTCTCGCCCGCGGCTTGGCATCATCACCTCCTCTGCACGACTCCCGCCTTCAGAGCCTCCTCGGACCCTTCCTCCTCTCAGCGACATCGTTCGATGGCCGCCTCCGCTCTCTTAACATAGCCCTTGCGGATTGCCGTCAATATCGCTACACCAAATTCGCCGTGCTGGTGACCAGGGCCGACCGACCGATCCCCACATGTCTCGCGCGCATCGGTCATCCCATTCTTTCTCGGTCACCAGCTTTCTTTCTCCATCCTCTATTCGGTTTCCTGATACCTCACAATTTCTGTGATATTTCATCGTGGTCGCATCCAAGAGCGCTACCAGCATGGCTACTGCCATTTCCAAACCAACCTCTCATACTCCAAAAATGAAGCGACCGCCCCCGCCTTTCACTCAACCTGGGGTCAATGGAGTCAAGCCTCAACCATCCTCATCTTCTCCCCCCACCACCAACAAACGCCTTCCTGGGAACACTTCCGTCCGTACGAGCCCAAATCTTGCCAACGGAGTAATCAACATGGCAAATTCAGCAAAAGGACCCCTCAACCGGGCTCGAGCCAACCCGTCGCAAAAGTCCGGGGAACAGTCGCGCATGGGTCGACCAATAACAAGGACAACTACAGGTGGGAATGACAATCGGGTTTCCAAGAGGTCTCCCGAGCCATATGGTAAGGACCTGCACGAATTCCATCTTTCAATGGCTCTCAAGGGTTATCATAAGATTGCTGACCTTGACCTCGGTTATTCTTCAGTGAAAACAACGCCATACATTCTCAACAAATATCGCAAATGCCCTCCGTCCCTGATCGTTCATCTCCACCCTACGCATTTTCGGTTCGAACAGCAAGATGGCAGTTTCCCGTATAACTCAGAGATGAAGATCATTATCGAGCATATTCGCGCCGGGACCATTCCGCACGACTTGATTGAAGAGCTTCTCCGCGCCAACGTGCGGTTCTACGAAGGTGGGTTTTAAGTTTTGAAAACAAAGCGATTTGTAGAGCCCTTACTCATTATTTCCTTCAGGTTGCCTCATTGTTCGAGTGATAGACCACAAGTCAGTCTCCGCGCAAACTAGAAAAACATCTACCACAGCACCTACCGAGAGCAACACCCCGTTTTCCTTGCACAACTACAACGAGCACATCACGCCATCGGCTTATGTTCCGTATCCGAAACAGAATCAGCTTACCGATGTTCAGAGTTCAAAACCGACCGACACACTTGTTGCTGATCAAAGTCAGTCGGACAAGGACAAAAATGGCGAGACCCCGAATATTCAGGAATTGGCTAAAGAAGCTGCGAACAAGACCGTCGATTCCAAACCTCGGGTATTTACTACTGTGCTCCACCCCACTGCTCGGGCACTGCACGCCGAATTGACTCTGCTTGTTACAACACCTGATCCCAAAGCTTTAAAGGCATCCAACCCCGGCCAATTGTCCCGCACTCAATCCTCGTCAGCGGTGCCTCAGTCACCAGCAACTGCAGGACCTCAAGCCGATCGTGGCTATCCAGCAAAGAGGCAGAAGACCCTCGTCGAGCCGCAAGATCTCCCAGCTTGTGAAGCACTTATCGTGAAGGCACTAGCGCCTCCGCTTTACTTGGAACCTGTGAATAACTTTGATGCTGCGCAGAAGTTGCTGAAGTTTATGCAAAGCCCGCTTCACAGCGATCCTCCACCATCACCTAAGCGTCGCAAGAGAACTATTGCTGAACTTGCCGCGGATGAGGCTCTTGCCGCCGAAGAAGAGAGATTTATGCTAATAATGGACGAGCGCCTGGAGCCCGCATCATCCAGTGCCGCAGGTGGCGCTAAGGCTGCAGCTGCTGATGATACAACTGGTGTATCGGCCTTTGAACCGCGCTTTTCTCGATTCAAGACTTTGGAGACAATCCGAATGCAACACGAGGAGAAGGCGAAGCAGGAACACGAGCTGAAGATGAAATCGGAGCTAGCCAAGAGACAACAGTCAGAGCAGGAGAGGGAACGACGCCGGGCAATCGAGCTGCGGCAGGCTGAGGAGCACACCAAGGAGGAAGCACGACGGCAGCAAATTGCAGCACAGCAGGCTCAAGCCCAGATCGCGGCTCAGCAGAACCGACATGTCATGGCTCAGGCCAACGGTGTCAGTCAAGGGCAGCAGTCCTCGCCTGTTGTACGCAATCAAACCCCACACAGCACTTCATCGCCATTGGTTGGTAACATCATGACAACACAGGCTGTCCCAATGAGCATCAGTGCCTCTCAGCAGTCTGGAAGTCCACCACGGCCCCCATCTTCTTTGCAGCATGCACACCCGAATATCATGAGTCACCCAATGGCGCCGTCCAGGAGTCAACAAGGACCCAGTCGACACGGAACTCCTCAGATGACACAGGGAACGCCAGCGATGTCACATGCTACACCGATCATGCGAAATGTTACCCCAACCCAACGGATGAGTCATGGAAGTCCAAATCACTCGACAATGGCTCAAACCCCGATGATGAGTCAGGCTATATCCGGCGCGCCGCAAATGAATGGAATGGGCCATACCCCGCAAGGGCTTACTCCTCAGCAACAAATGATGATCCAGCAAAGACAACAGCAGATTCTCGCCCAACAGCACCAGCAGCAGCAGCAAGCACAGGGACATGTGGCATCGAATCAGTTTACGCCACAGCAGCTTGCCCAAATGCAGGCGAGTGCCCATGCCCAGCAAAATATCCAGTCTCATCAACAGCAGCAAATGTTGCAAGCACAGAAGCAGCAGCAGCAGCAGCAGCAACAGCAGCAGCAAACGCACCCAAATATGCAGAATATGCCTCAGCAAGGTCATCAAGCTTACCAAGCGCAGCTTATGCGGGCTCAATTTGCTCAAATGCAGATGGTCAAGCAGCAAGGCGGGATTCCCCAGGGTCAACAGGCCCATGGCAGCCCCCAGCAAACAATGGCACAGGGCATGACACCTCAACAGCAGCAGCAGCAACAACAACAGCAGCAATTGATGATGGCTGCGGCTCAAGCCAATGGTGGTCAGATACCGAATATGCAGGCCAATATGGCAGCACGATACAGCCGTCTCTGTCAGCAGCGGCTCTTCCACTTGCGAAACGAAATGTCCCAACGTTTCATGCAACAATATGGACCACCTACGCAATATCCGCCGCAAATTGCGCAGCAATATGGTGCTGGGTTGGAGAAGAATGCCAAAGCATGGGTCCAAGATCTCATGCGACGCGAGCGTGAAGTTGCTCAGCAGCAACGAGCAACCCAGCAGGCCGCGGCCATGCAAGCTCAGCAGATGCAGCAGCAAAACATGATGCACAACGGTATGGGCAATTGATCCCGGTGCAAGAGTGAAATTCCCAACCTCGTCAGACGCCATGTTCTCTTTCCTGGTTGAGTCAAAATCTTTATGAATCTAGGGGACAGCATCATCCAAAACGACCATTTCAGCATTCATCATGATGGCTTCAACCTCTATATTATGCCCAACTGCAAACTTTCCTCTTTCCTGCCACCTTTCATCTTTATCTTTGGTATTATAGTGTTTCCAGTTTCGTCCGTTTTATGGGGGTTGTACAGGATCCAGGTACCGCGGATCATCAAGAGGCTGGCGTTTTCAATTTTTCTGCCATGGGTTTTTCTTTTCCACCACCCTCCCATACTTGACGATCTCTTTCATCTTTTTCTTTTTATTTCCACTTTCAGCCTTGTAAGTGTATTATGGCAACGGGATTTTTCTTATATTTTTTTTTTCCACGGGAGCGAACGATTCCGATTCCAATTCGATACCATTTTGCACGGGAGTTTATTGATTATGGGGTTGGGTTTTTGGGGGATGGGAAATAGTGGAATTTAATTCAAATGCACATTGATATCATTCAAATTGTTTACAATCTTCCAAGGTTATAGTGTAGTCAACTGTCGCGATAGCAAAGACATCTTATGTAACTGCTTGGAAGTATAGAATCCACAGTCTCAATTTCCCAGCTTAGTCCATAGTACTGTCAACATTTAGTGGGATCTCTCGCTCAGACTGTTGAGCTTGAGTTATTATTGGAACACCCATGGGACATGGTCGTTTGAAAAGTAGATGTCATCATTGTGAGAAGGGTGCTTAGATCGTACCAACTTAATACTTCTTCTTTAAACGCTACAATTATGCCACAAGGCAACCTCGAAGACTGCCTATGAGAACATTTTATTCCTTGAATATCCCCATGGAAGGTCTGAAACCAGAAAGGAGAAATGAGGGGGGAAGCATTGAATGAGGTCTACATCAGTTCTGAACCCGTGACATTACTCGAGTCTCGTGACTTTTGTTTACCGTTTCATCGAGATGACATAATACAGCCCTATAGGCTATGACTACGTAACTAACACTTCTCAAGGTAATCCAGACAATTTCCACATCTGTGCCTCTACATGGAATATGGGTATGTATATGGATCAAAGAAGACAGCTGCATGAGGTATGTGAACTTTTCCTCAATCATCCCTTTTTGTTTTTCTTTTTTTTTCACCGCTGAAACGCCGAATCCATTGAAAGTCGAGAGGACTGATTGGGACTCACCGACAAAATGAACTGCATCAATTAATCCCATTTTACACGGGATTGCCCAAATTGAATTGGAAACTGTTGAATACTACCTAGGTCAAATCTTCTCAAATTCCGGTTGTCGTCAACTAAAGAACATTCCATTCGATAGTTTGCGTTTCCACTTCCACTCTGCCTATATGTACAATGCAAAGACAATCCGTGCTCCATGCACATATGCTCCATCCAACCTTGGAAGGCTCAAGCGAGGGATAACGGCCGTAAGAAAATCCCCAGGCACGCTGAGCTAAAATGGTAATCCATCAATTGATTCCGAGGTAATGACCAATATCTCTATTCACTCATCTCCTGGCATTTCTCAAAAAGAATCTCTGTGCATATAGAGTACATGGTACATGATCCATAATTCGGGTTTCGAAAAATGTCAAGGTCGAATCTTGAAAACCCGAATATCACATTCCAATGCATGTAGCCCAACGCACAGATGAAGCCAATGCGAGAGAATTCGTCATGCAAATGTTGCATCGAGCCTGGTGAAATGATTATTATGGCCTGAATTTCAAAAAGAAAAGTAAAAAGAGATGATTGAAAATGGTCGATGATATTTTTTTCTTGGGGGTGGGGGGAGGGGTTTATGAGAAACTCCGAACTTGGAAAAAAAATAAAATTTTGAAACAAAGATTTTCTCTAGAGGATAGATCCTGGTAATGACCTGAAGTATAGACCGCAGGAGAATGACACGTTGGCAACCCTTCTCTCTCCAGGATAGGCCTCTATGAGCGCACAGACATACCAATGCAGCACGCGGGAAGTTGTTCAACTGGTGTCCGAGTCTTTCAAGAATGCTGGGAAGAGGAAATGATGCTCGGGACGACGTGCATATTCCCTATTTCATATTTCATATTCCATTGCATCAAGTCACAGACTTTTGACCGGAGGAAGTTTTCCATGTCAGGCACGAGGACACCGTACCTTTTGCAAATTCCAATGATAAGTATTTATAGATAGAATTTCAGCGGCATCTGATATCCAAGATCCGTAGCGACTAAATGACAAATGGGGTGTCGACCGGCGCCAGCAGAAAAAGAAATTGCCAATAGTGCCGCCGGGTGGGGCCTTCCGAGGAGTTTCAAATTGCAGAAAGCTCATGATTCATTCCGGTCGGAGTGAGGCCAAAGTACGTCGATAAATTATGAGCGCATAGAGGTTATCGTGCAGAAAAGTGCGTCCTGTGTAACTGTGGATGGAAATCTCGTTGATCTAACGTTATTTTGTTTTTGGGTCCTGAGAATCCGGATTGGGGATTTGGAATATGTACTAGTAAACACCGAGAGGGAAGAAGAATTCATTTTCCATCGAGTTCGAGGCCTGGCTGAGAATGAATGCAACAAACCCGATCTAGCGGCGAGCACCGCCAACACGCTCGCATGCGCGGCTCTTGGAAAGTGTCGTCCAAGCGGCGTTCCCGAATCCTTGGCGAATGCACGTCTCTTCATTAGGGTAGGGGGACAAATGGATGGAGAGAATAGGGCATTCATCTTCGTTTGGAGGGTAACATGGGCTCCACATGTCTGTTCTTTTCTTTTTTTTTTTTTTTCAGCCACATGGATCATCAGTTCATCCTACATGAGTTCCGATTGTGGCCAACAAATCTGTGAATCAGTGGGCCGTAGTATGGAGTCCAAAGTTGAAAGATCTGCAGGTTCCAGTGAAGGGAGAGTATTCATTCGCAGTAGTGTGCTGTGCGTGCTTCGAGTGCACGGTAAATGAGCAACGAGGCGAAAGAAAGGAATCTTTCAATAATCGATGATGGCACGAGCGGGGCAGAGATTGGGGTACGTTACGAATAGGAAGTCGACCCGTTGGACTGGAATGTGGAGGAAAAGAAGGTCGCAGGGACATTCGCGATCATTGGGCTTCGAATCTCACTGTTCGAGCGGTCTAAAACCAGGACCCACAGTTAAGGGAAAGAGATAGATCGGTTGGAGAGATCCAGGAAGAAAAAAGAAAAAAGAAAAAAAGTCCCAACGTATGTATCAATCGAGTTTGGTGGGACGCTTGTGATGTGTAACATTTGAGCGTTCGGGGATTCAGGAACCGTGGAACAAAGGCAAACAAGATTCAATGGTTTTTTTTTTTAAGATTAAGTGTCGAGTGCCAAGATCTATAGAACTTTTGATGCCAAAAAAAAAAAAAAAAAAAAAGAGACTGGGAATCAAAGGGGAATTATTCAAGGACTCGGAAGAGGAGAGCGGGAGCGGAGTGGAGATGGAGCTAAAAGAACGGCAAGTGGAGTTTTGGAAACAATGACATCTCAAGTTTGTGTTTGTGTTTGGATTTTGTATTATAGGGAATTATTGTTTTTGTTGATACACGCAAAGAACAAAACAAAGGAAAAAAGAGAAAAACACTGATTGTACAGGATCGCAAGTTCCTCCCAAGATGATTAGCGCGCCACCGGCGACCCATAAGAAAAACCAAGTAAATAATATGCAAACGCCTGAATTCAAAGATCCACTCCAAGCCCTTTTCACCGGACAAATTATGCAAGAAAAAAGAAAAAAGAAAAAATAATCACAAAACAGTCTCCGAGTCTAGCCCAAGAGACATGTACAACGCCGCAACGGCCAGCTCTCGCTGACCAGTATATGTCTATGCCAGTCCATTGGCAGCCGATCCAAAAAGGGTATCATATATTCGGGCCTGGGTGCTTTAGCTTCGTTGTGAGCCTCGATCTTTGTGTGTAAATAGGAAGGCTGTTTTTTTGTCGTATTTGATGGGTTTGTAAGAGGGGGTTTTTTTGGTTTCTTTTGCAGAATTGTTTTGTATGTGATGTTGTTTTGATGGGATGATCTGCTTAGTCGTCCCACCCATCAACACTGATGTCACCACAATCCATGATCGGATCCTCCAACTTAGATCCGTAGATAGGTCGACCATCAGGTGTGAGCTGGCCTCGGAATTCAGGATTGAAATCAGCACTTTGATCATCAAGGGTGGCCACGTAGCGATTACGTCCACCACGCTTGCTGTGTGTTTTTGTGTAGTGAGCATTCAGGTTATCACTGCGAGAGAAGGCCCGGTGACAGCCCGGAACCCAGCAAACGTGGGGCTTCTCCTTGGAGTGACTCTTCATGTGGCGCTTGAGGTGCTCCTGGCGCTTGAATCGGCCCTTGCAACCCGGTTCCTTGCACTTGAACTGAACCTGCTTAATGATAGGAGGGAGGTTCTCCAAACTCAGGTTGGAACGGGTCAATTGCTTTTTCGAGGATTTGCGGGAAGGCTGGCGATGAGTGTGGCTGCGCATCAATCCATCCCGGTAGCCAGGAGAGACAGGGAAGTCATCTTGGTAGTCATTGTGACCTGACAGTCGGCTCATGGGGGTGTCGGATCCAGGTGTTCCAGAGTAAGAACGAACGGGAGTGGAAGGGGTGTGGGGCTTGTAACTGTGCAGGTTGGTAGGAAATTCAGAGTAGGTGGATGGGGGCGGCGTTGCAGGGCCTTGGTGATGAGGGAAAGCCTGACGAGGCGCGATTGTTTGTGCAGCTAGAGACTCATTGGATGGCATCCAGTGGAGCATGTTGGACATGGAAGCGGAGTTTGGCATTCCCTCGGGCTGGTTGAAGATGGGACGGGACAGACAGGGGTTGGATGCAGACTCGGGCAAGAAATTGGTCTGCTGCGGGCGATAGTGGTAGTTGCGGCCCATGGTGTTATACTGCGGCATTGGCGCATGGTAAGGGAAAGTGGGTTGCTCAAAAGTCTTGGGCATATTGTCCGGGATGAGAAATTGTTCGACGTTCTCGTCGTAGCCTGGGAAGTAGTCGGCAATTGGGAGTTGATCCGGACGATCCATTGGTCCACATGGCATGCCCATCTCACCGGAGGTCAAATCGGCCATTCTGAAAGCACTGCGCAGAGGAGTGGCCGATGTCCGACGTTCCATGGGCAGGCTGTTATAGTGACTTGCCTCGTGCCAAGTGGGTGAGGCCATGGATTGATGACTGTAAAGACTGGTCGGGGTCGGGGTCGGAGATTCCAGAGGAGAAAAGCTCGAGGTCATCGAGGGGCAATCATTTGGGCCCATGGAGTGACAATCCACTTCAACAGTTAAACGATCGGAGATGTGCTGGCCTTGGACTCTCATGTCGTCAAGATCTTCAGTCTTGAGGTTGCGAGGAGCGATAGGGTCGATAATACTGTCACCTAAAAGCCGGGGAAAGATTGATTTAGTCCAGACTTCTGGAGTGATGTAGGAAGCGAGTGTGATGAGAGCAAAGGCAGGTTTGAAGGAGACTGGAGATGACACAAGCAGAAAAAAGAAAGACAGAATGGAATGAATCCAAATAGACCAAAAAAAAAAAAATATAAAATAAAATAAAATAAAAATTTGAGGAAAAAGCAAATCCGATGATGCAAAGGAAAAGAAAGGAAAGAACGAATATCTCTGAATGCCCCCGAAGAGAGAAAGAATGTGGGATAGGGAGGAAAAAAGGACCAGGAAGAAGGGGACAAACGAACAGAAATAAACAAAATCGGTCGAGCATAGAATCCATTCGGGTGGGGAATCGGACTTACAGCTATACGCCATGATTCGGATCAGATCCAAGCGCGTCGCGTTATCTGGACCCTAAGCAAGGCCAAGAATGCAGACAGAATCAGTTACCGTGGCAGGATATGCTCACGGGCCAAATGAGGAGGGAGATCGACCCTTAATTCCCGGTTGGAAGTGGGATGGTTTGGCGGGGGGACGCGTTTTGGTGGTATCGAAGGCCGGGTTGACACGACCGGGGCTGGGACAGGACCGTGTTGGGAGACTGGATTTCCCCTTGGTCTTTTTTTTTCTTCTTCTTCTTGACTGTACACTATCTGGTGTATAGTGTAGGTATAAGCTGGACAGGGGGGGGGGGGGTCTCTGATTGTAAGACCGAAGGGGCGTTTGACGGTTGGTTAATTTGGGAGAGAAAGGGAGGGCAGGGGAGAGATATAAGAAGGGAAAGTGTACAGGTAAGGGAGAGTTTATATGAAGTGCAAGTTGTCTCTGATACTCGAGTTCCCTGGAAGCTTATTCCACTGAGTAGATCGTCCAACTACATTGCCCCATCCCTAACTCCCTTTCCTCTTATGGATTATTTCCCCCAAATTTCTTCATTCTCTTCATTTTGTTTTTTTCTTTTTTTCTTTCTTTTTTTTTTTTTCTTTTTCTTTTTTTCTTTTTTTCTCTTTTCAAATTTATGACTGATTAGGATTTTTATGATTCGAGCTGCATGATCGAATAAGACCTCGAATGCCCACCAATCTGCACCTCTTTGGAATGTCCGGCTGTACCTGATGCATCCCGCGCAATGTGAGTAGAGTCTAAAAAAGGTGCTCGTTGACTTGCAGCCTCCACTTAGGGCACTTGGCCTAAATGAGCCATGCGGATCCCCCAGAGTTCTGTCGATCTTTGATTTTCATTTTCGTTTCGGTCTTTGCACCCATACCCACGGTAATCTGTGTACTTTTGGCTCTTTTTATTTTTGTGATTACTATTCCCGGAAGCTATACAAACTACACTGGTGTCCCTGATCACCCCTGGGATGGTCTCATTTCACTTTTACCCTACGATCATGGATTTTCCAAGACATGTGAAATGAAGATGTTCACACCATTGAAAATTGAATTCATCATAGCCTTTTTTTAATAAGGAGAACTTAAATGAACCAAAAGGTCGAAAATAAATAGCTAACATTTGAAGAGAAGATGGTCTGTGGCTGAGAGTGGGGGTCACGATCGATCGGTTATGCGACACGTCCAATGTTAAGTACCAACGAACCGTGCGGATCATCCATAGGTAACACCGGGAATTCCACTGGTTCATTCTGTCCCCGATTTCCCGATTTCCCTGTTTCTTGCTTTCCTGTTTCTATCTTCTATTTTTTATATCTATATATTTTTGGCTTATTTTTCGTTTGGGCTTTCCCGAGGCATTGATCTTCCTGCGGCTTGGGTCCCGGTATGCCCTTAATATTTGAACTGTACGTGACAAATTACCAAACGTCATCCGGCATCAGTGGAATGTGTAAACTCCCAACTTCTAAAATCAACATTTGAACATCTGAAGATGAAAGAAATAGAAAAACAATAGGCCCGTTACTTTTGATCATTCCCGGTCAAATGGTAAACCAGCGCCTCAACGGCCAGCATGATCCTGCTTGTTTTCTTTCTTTCTTTCTTTCTTTCTTTCTTTCCTTTTTTTTTTTTCTTTTTTCTTCTTATGGTAAAGTGGCTTTTGGTTCCCAGTAAATCCCAACGCTAGCTGGACCTGCGTTGAAGTTACAGGGGACCTTTCTGATCTATCACGCGTCAGTCCAGTCCCGAATCTAAGGATCCCACTATGCCTGTAAAAAGCCCAGTCCAGTTAAGATTGATTTCCAGTCCGTTGGGTTTTACTGCGTGGCTCATGGTGAATTCGGCCACATTTCCTTTCGTGCATTCTTCACGCGTGAAAAGCAGAAAGCGCCCAATCAGCCCAATCAGCCACCGAGTCGGTGGCAATCTACTCCTGATCTTTGTTATGCGGGTTCCTCATTCCGACCTCCCCGTGGAGGTTCATAGACCGTGGATTCCATACTTGCCCCAGAATTTGCCTCTGTATACCTCTTCTGGCCTTTATTACGACAGATGTAGTATCATGTTACCACTTACTGGACGTGTACGGTATCTATATCGTAAACTGTAAATTCAGAGGCCATCGCTGAACTGAGAATTAAAAAAAAAAAAAAACAACCTTTGGAACCCGATGAAATCCACTTGGTACGATAGCCGAGCGCTTGAACCCGAGTGAAGTCCAACTTCTGACAGCTCTCACTAGCTTAGTCCCGAGGCTTCTGATTTGCAGTCCCGAGTCCATGGTCCCAAACTCTAATCCCGAAATAGCCGAAATAGCGATCATGAATGCAATTCCAATGCAATTCCAATGCAATAAATCCTTAGCGTTCCCACGTCGGAAATGATTCTAAATTATGAAATTACGAATAGTAATCATGAATTTAATCAGAATAAGAGCAAAGACGAGAAAAAAAAAAACGAAAAAAGAAAGACTCTACTATACTACTACAGTACTACCTAATACGGGTTTCAAAGGGTTTTCAAGGTTCTGAATGTGGAGCGTCGATCAGATCCGGTAATCCCCCATCAATCTCCCAATTCCTCTTGCTTCCATAATCAATCTGGAACAGTCAGGCACGCAATATATTCATGTTTCATGCATGATTCTTCAAAACCCCCCCCCCAAAAAAAAACAGGTTTCTTGTGCTATGAAGATGAATAATAGGCAATAGTCTCCATCAAATGCCGGCACTTGATCAAAGTCCCGTACTATTCTACTATTGCTCTCTGATTTGATACTCCAAACTTGAAAGCTCTAGACTCTACAATTCGGGATGCCAAGAACCAATCGGCTTTCTCCCACCAATTTGTTTACAGTTGCCCGAGTTGGTAAGATCAACATTCGATTTCCAAGTTGACTCGTTACACCTCCACATTCTCGAATTTCTTTGCCTTCAAAATCTTCCCAAACTTCAATGTTCCAGTCTACAAATCCGATCCTCTTGCCAGAGTTTCATAGCCGATATCTAATCTAAGACCAGCACAGACCTGAAGCCGCCGCAAGGGCCAGATCAGAGAAACCTTGAAAGCCGGTTTTCCCCAGATTATTTAAGAAACCCCTGCATCTCAAGGGATGACTTGCCTCGATCGCCAACCTCAACATGATGCCAAGACTTTCTCAAGAGTCTCATCCAAAGCACCCTTCACCATCAACACAATGACTCAGATGATCCAGATGGATCTGCTAAAGGACTTCCCGTACGCACAGATCAAGCAGTGGCAATGGTCTCGATACGTAGGTTTGAATAGTGGGGGCTTTCTCTCGAAAAGAGAAGAAAAATAGAAAGAAAAAAAAAAAAAAAAAAAAGTCTCGACTCTCATTTACGCAAATCTGAGCTCTGCTGTTGCAATGGGCCATACCATCAGTAGCCTTATCGGATAGGCCAAATTTGAAGTCCCTGGTGGCGATCCACTGTGGCTGATCTGAAGATGTACATGTAGGCATCCACGTATCTATTATCGCCCACATACCGTGGCTAGTATCTCCGGTGGCTTCATCCATGCCTCGAGCTGACTCTCCCACTCTTGACTCGCCACCACGATCATCCGGAATTTTCTCCCTCCACAGATCTTATCGTTGGTGCCGAATATCGACGAAAGAAATGACACACATGCCCGAATATGAATCTCTAGAGGTCAATCTGATTGACGCGTCGATCCCATTCCAAATGAACTAGCTCAACGCTTTGACAAGTGTTCTCTTCCGTCAAAAAAACAAAAATCCAATTCCTTGACATCTCATATCCAACGCTCAGGTACAGACCGACCGCCATTCGACCATCACAACCCAACAAACCCTGATCACCAGGGACCAAACACCAAAAAAAAAAAAATTAAAAAAAAAAGAATTAAAAAAAACACCCTAAACAGATTCAACTCCTATTTCCAAGGCTCTTCTTCAAACCCCGAATACCAAAACCTGGAACCCTAATCAAATAATACATGCATGAGCACGATTCCAATTTAGGAATTCAAAACAAGGTCTGGAAGCACGCTATCGATGATAGGCCTTCTCTAATCCCTGTCTAACCCCCAATACCGACGAGCTCCGTGCCGTCTCCTCAAAATTAATACAAGATTTTTTCCCACATTGATCTACCTGCAATGCAAGCCTCTTTAGCGCCATGAACTACCACCCGGCAGAGCTGGTCAATAAATTTTGCGGGGAAGGTCCAGAATGGCTGGCCCCATGCAGTTGGCCAATAGAGGACACGGTTGAGCATACCGTGTGGTGCGGCACTATTGCATCTGCTTCACATTCTCCGGGTGTCAACATGCAGGTCCGAATGCAAGAGGTCAATTGATGGGTTTTTGTGGTACGTGCGTTTATCCACTTGCCCAATGACGTCGATAAATGCCATTGTTCAGGACTCTATACTACGCTGCCCTCTATTTGCATCTTACATGTAGGTCCTGAACTATTCTTGTCTTATGAAAGGCTGATAAGCCGCATACTCATGGGCCATGGTAAGGTCTGTGTTTCAGATGACGGAGTCGGTGATTAACTTTGTCTATCTCCTCACAAATGTGAGTTTTTCCCCCCTCTTTTATAATGATCGTCAAATCCGAAAATTTCCATTACATATATTCGTAAATGGCACATTACTTTTCGTGAAAATCCGGCACTCCCCCTCCCGCTTGGTATACCCAGAGGAAAGGTCCAGAATCAAGCCCTGCAGCATCGTAGTAGATTTTGTGTACTATTGTACCATGGTGGCATTTCGGATTATTCAAAATCACCGGAAGTTTATTCCATCCTATAGGAAAAATCAGAGCTCAGAGACGGCCAATATCAATAGTAATTTGGGCGATCCAAAGATACCCATAGGATGAGGATTAGGGCTTCTAGCTCCCCCTTCTTTCAAAAGTCCCACCCCCTTGCATATGTACCTATTTTCTTTTGCCAACGGCCAAAATATCTGATCTCCAGAGTAAAACATTTAGGAAAGAAATTCATAATTGGGTCATATCTTATTCTTCGCCCGTTTCTACTATTCTTAATTTTGGATAGTAATCAGGTGCTCCAAATGGCACCCATAATTCACTGACTTGCATTGCAGCACATCGCCTTGCGTCCTTGATCCCGACTTCCTGGATACAGTCTCTTGTGGCAAAAGTTTATGTTCTTCAAAGCCCTATGATCAGCTTCCTAGGCGACAAAGCTTTGCGGGGTCGCATTCTTTACAGTTTCATCGGAGTGAGGATCTAAGATTACCCTCGTGTAAAACCCAGTATAGGGCCATGATAATTGGCGAACCTATTATAATCAATGACTTTAAAGCTACCCACCGGAGGACTACACTTTAGACCCTGAAGATCATAAAGTTCTATTCTGAGTTGTTATGGTATCTGAGCACCTCATACGCAATCAGTGTCAAAGCGTCGGCCCTAATGCGCATGCCAGACAACCAACCTATGTACATACATACTAGCTCATTAATTTCTAGCTATGCGGATACTTCAATAGAACCGCCACCAAAGGGGGGGGGAAACCAAACGGCGAGCTCGGACATGGATCGAAGAGTCTGATCGCCCACCCTGATCGACCGTGCATCGCGTTATGCCAAACATTCTCGGCAAAAGCAGATCTGAGCTCGGGGTTAGAGAAGCTAGGCTACCTACACAGTACAACTCTGAAAAGTAATCTCCATGCAACACACACACCAGCGTGTCTTTGGGGGCGCGGGGGGGGGAGAACAGACTGGTACTTGGTCCCCCTCGGGGAAATTTGGGTGACATCATATTATTGGGCCCTTACTCCAAGGCAGACCTTGGTGCCTCTTTTGTCCACCAACATAACACTACTTGATATGGTTTCATACTTGACAAAAGAAAAATCGTGCCTGGACTGTGTTCAATAGATTGTCTTGGATAAAAATGAGAATCAAAGTTCCAGAGTGCCATTTTTTACTTCCATTGATGCGAATCTGTCATTGTTCAAAGGTTGTACCTCGGTATTCACGTTATCTATATTGAACCCTGGGTTATTGGTTGTATCTGAGATTCAAGTGTTGATTGGCAGTTTTTTGCTCGGCTCCGACAACCTTGTAGATGCACGTAGTGCGGTCACTTGACGAGGCATTATGTTGCCCGGGTACCTGTGCCAAGATGATAATATTTTCTCGATGTTACTTCAGGTGAGATAAACCTTGAATAAAAAGGCAAGGACTGAGCAGATACTGAGCAGATTCTAGCAATGTTCAACTTTGGAAATCTCCAGGGCTACGTACGTACTCCACACATACTTCGGTGTTACCTACGAACAGCCCTGGAGATGCCCAGAAATCAATCTTGGGAGCAGCGAGCATGCATATGTAGATGCGTACTATTAGTTAGGTATTAGGGCTTGAACAGTCTAGCTTCCAATCTGGTCAGCGCGTGCGGGCAGGTTTTATTTTATATTATCACATAGATGCCTTCAAATGTTCCAAGGTTCGGGGACACTTTCCTTTGAACATTTGACCGTCAACTGGTTCAATGTTCGTTAAAAGTTAACTTCACAACATTGAATACTATATTAACTGATACCCAAACTAAATGCTCAGATTACTTGAGCTGAGTTTAATGGACCAGTTGACATTTTCCCAGAACATTCAAATATTGAAGAAATTTCAAGAGAAGTGGTTCCAAATAAACATATATATACACATGCATATGTCTGCGCATCCTCGATGGATTTGAACCACATGCAGTGGTAACATTCAAATGTTTCAATGCATGTGTTGAATTGATGTTAAATGTTGGACACACGTTAAGTTGAAATCTACATGTGTAGCGGGATGCCCAGGTTTCGGTTCATTACATATATAACATTTCTTATCATGCCCACATGTGCATGCCTGGGCAGCCGTGGACATCTGGATTTAGCGCTGTGTCCATCCATAATGTTCGATTTTGACCTGCACGAGAACATTGAAATCGGGCCCTCACCGGCCCAGTCATGTGAACTGGCAGCTACCAGCTACTACTAGTATATATGTAAATACAAGGTATTCAGATCCGTTGACAATATTCGCTGGTTGTTCCAAGGTTGGGGGACCGCGCGCAGCTTGCAACCCTGAAATCTCACGGTCGCTAAGGTCAACTGGTCGATGGCACAGTGGAGAGTCGAGACTGGTATTACACTGGGAAAGTCCCATAACGAAGCAAACACATGCACATGTGTTTAATATGTACATTTTATAATTATATTTCCCAAGATATCACTAATCGAGCAATAACCTGTCTTGGACACGATTTTGATGTTTTATGGGCAGACTTCCAGAGTCGGTATTCCATACTCCGTACAGACTTGGACAGCGTGGCCAGTGGAGCAATTGCCACTCAAGAACAGCAAACATTTATCACGAAACTAAAGATTTAGTCCCGAACAAAGTGTGGATGAATCCACATATCATTATGCGAGTCAGACGAGTGAAAATGATCCATGTTCAATGTTCCCAGAACGCGCTCGCTGGTTTATGAGGAGTTTTTTTTAAAAGAATTCTCAGCCACATGGCACTTTAACTTGAAATCGGATGTATCATTTGAGATTGGAGGAACTTTGCAATCCACGGATTTATTGTTCCAGAGGCAAAAGAAATTAAGTAACAGGGTGTCTGATGAAAATACTTCAAAAATTCATACATAGCCTAGCCTCAACATGTCGGCAACATCGTGACTCATGTCACATGTGCAATAATCATCATACGACTCCATGAAGAAGATAAAAAAAAAAAACAAACAAAGAGCTCATATTTGAATTTCGACCACACCATGCTGGTAAAGCGTGGACGCTCTCTGGCCAGTGTACCATGTGATCATCGTAAAGGTCCAAGGAAAAAGAAAGAAAGAACATTTGAACCAGGATCGTGCGGGAAATCCCCCGAGGCACCGGTGATCCCGAGGTTAGATCGGAGACCAGGCGATCTCCAAAGCGCTTCAAGGCTAGCCCGGTGGGTTTTAAATGATCCTAGAAGCCGCTTCCCACGCGGATTCTTGCATGTCCCCAAAATCGACGTGTTGAACAGGATAAAGGTCAAGCTTGGATGATAGTGAATTTGAATACGAGATCTTAGTTCGTCTGTATCGATGACTTGATTTGAATTGATTGAAACCGTCCAAAGAAGGATGTGAGAAATAGTTACTTCAAATGTTTGGAATCGCTCTTATGTACATATAGGTGGTCAAGTTGAACATCTTCAAGGTACCAATGGTATACATATATGTATAATATATTCAAATGTTCAAATGTTGGAGAAAATAAATTTGCCGACCCCGTTCACCGCCGTAATTATAGTGCCCGTATCGCGCCAACATCCCCCAAATCAAAGTCAGACATATAATACAACCGGAGCAGAGGGAACAAAAACAAAAAATGTCCGACTTATCTTCAGCAGAGCGCAAACGTATCCGCGACAGAAGATCCCAGAAGACCTTGCGCGAGAAAAAGGAGAGCTACACAGCTCATTTGGAGGCCAAGGTAGCTCACTGCGAGCAACATCACGCCGACCAAGGCACCCAGCAGCTTCTTAAAATTATCAAAAGTCTTCGCAAGCAGAATGAAACTCTTGTGAACCGTCAAGAGGTATTGAAATCAATGGTCAACTCGTGGGATGAGAGAGTTGAAGACACAGGCCTCTTCAATGTGTGGTTGACCCAAGGTGCGAATGAAAAAGTTTTTGAAGCTCCTGTTCCCCCGAAGCAGTCCAACCTGGAAAAGTCTCAGTCTCACAGCGCGGACGAAAATTACTCCGGTATTAACGTGCCGTCGATGGCAACAAGCTCACCACTGCTGCGACCTTCTGAAGCCCGTCCGCTATGGAATCAACTCCCCCTTTACTCTGACGATTTTTCCAATCTCCGAACTGTCTCCTGTCCGTGGTTTTTCCATATTGAACAGATCATGGATTGCCCAGATACACCTGCATCACCTCTTGAAATTTTATACGGCAGCAAGACCAACCCATTAGCAAATATGATCCACATGGCACTAGAAAGGCGGCCGATTCGCGAGCCGGAAAGGCTAGCCATGGGCTGGATAGTATATCACTTCTCAAAATGGATCATTGCCCCCAGTCCGAAGACGTTTGCAGCTTTGCCTGTTTTCCTGCGACCCGTTGAAGAGCAGTTTCAGATCGAGCACCCTCTCGCAGTAAGCGGTATTCCGTGGCCGAAACTGAGATGCAACATGATCCGACAATGGCGAATATTTGACAAAGATCGTGAGGGATTGTTTGGCATGTTTGCTTGTTGTATTAAGCTTCGGTGGCCGTGGGGCATGAAGACCGTGGAGCGCAATGAACACGATGAGCTTTGTATAAAGCCTGCTTTTTATGATATTTTCATGAGTGAGGAGGGATGGGGGATTACGCCGGAGTTTTTGAGCAATTACCCGAGTCTTGCGGATGGTATAGATGTCAATTCACTTGTGTTCAATATGGCATGAGTGTATTTCTACCGTCGAGATCAAAGAACGGGAATAATGGGAATAACCAAGGATTTTGCAATGTACAATGAATGAGTCTATTAATGAATGGTCTTAAGTCTAATATGTGATGATTTTCCCCCCTGTACAATTGGCGCCGTATGTGCAGATCATGCGTGGGTTTTGACAACATTGTCAAAAAGAGAGAGAGAGAGAGAGAGAGAGAGAGAGAGAGAGAAAGAGAACGATAACAGTATCGTTTATCGGAAACTGGCACCGCAGTGAAACACGACCCCTATTTTATCCAAGGTTGACAACGTGTCTCTCACGGATTTGCTGACCATACTTGGTGAAGATAATGGGAATGGGAACAAAGGCCAGAGCAAGGAATCCGAGCAGCGAGTTTCCCCAACCGAGTCCCAGTGAGTCGAACATGGATGGACCAGCAAGGGGAAGGAGGGCCCCAACGAGGGATCGGGTTGCCGTCAGGGTAGCATTGGCGGATGCCGCATAGGCTGGGTAACTGCAAGAATTTAGTAAATAAGAGCTTGGGTGTGAGGGTTGTGAGGGTTGTGAAGATTTACCAGTCGATGATGTAGGTCTGAATGGGCATGAAGACACCCATCATGCCCACACCAAAGGGGAACATGCCAATAATAGGCACAATCCAGAAGATATGCTTATCAGCAGTCCAGCCATACCAGAAGAAACTGATAGGCAAGATACAAGCAAAGATGATCATTGTCGGCAGTCTCATCTCCGGCTCGAACTTTCCACCATTTTGAGCTGTAAGCCTTGACACCATACGGTCATTTGTTAAACCCATGATGAAAAGACCGACAAAGAAACCGATACCGATACCCAGGTATGCGAGGCCTGATAAGCCGACCGAGAAACCATATGTGCTCGTGAAGACATCGGAGATGGTTGTGAAGAAAAGATAGAGCAAGCCATAGACCAAAGACTAAATTCAAAATTAGTAAAAGAAAACAGGCCGTATGAAAAGATGGGGATCGGCCTCACCATGTAGAGAGCAAGAAGTGCCACGATAGGAGACTTGGTCAACAGCAAAGCCGGTCTGATAAGGTTACGCTTCAAGATCTGACCAGTTGTGAGCTGCTCACGGCCGACTTCATAGGCACTGACCAAGTCAGAGCGGTTGAGCTCCTTTGCCAGCTTGGCGGTCTTCCATTTGATCAGAACTGGTGCAAAGGTTTCCTTGTTGAAAACCTCAATACCAGCTTGCATGGTTCCGCCGACAATTAACAGAAGCCAGAAGATCCATTGCCAGCTGACCTGCTCGCCGAGGAAACCCCCAGCAATTGGTCCCACGACAGGACCAATCAGAGGACCCATACTCCAGATAGATGTAGCCATACCGCGAGTTTCTCTTGGGAACATGTCTGCGACAACACCAGCTCCAAGGGTGATGCATGCACTTCCTCCAATACCAGCAAATAAGCGGCAAACAATCAAGGTCTGAATGTTCTTTGAAAGGGCGCAACCAATCTGCCATACGACGAAGAACCAGTTGGCACTGGAAAGAACGACCCGACGACCATATATCTCACTGAGGGGGGCAAGGAAAAGAGGACCGAACTAGGAAAAGCCAAGAATTTAGGTTAGAACTGTGATGATCTCGTATGTATGACCATGTGGTAGGGTTTTGCGGGGAAGCTTACCGTATATCCGATCAAAAAGATACTGACACTAAAGGAAAGGATCGTCTCGTTTGTCTCTTTGAATTCATCGGCCATATAGACGACTGCAGGCGAAAACATGCTGGACGCAAGTGGGGAAACCAAAGTGAATCCGCTGATAAGTGCGAGAAGGGTCCATTTCTTACTGCTGGGAAAGTTCTGGGGATGTTCGGGATCATCTTGACTTTCCCAGCCAACTATACCCTGACTCAGATCCATTTCAGGGTATTCTGTTGGTGGTATAGGTGCAGGTTCCTCAGAGGTGGTCTTTGTGGGCTGTTTTTCGAGATCCGGGTGGTCCTGTGCTATCTCTGGATCAAGAGTTGAGTGGCCCGAGCCTGATTTGAGGCTCAAACCGGACATGATGAGGGTAGAGGAATAAAGGATGTGTGTGCGTGTGTGTGTGTGCGTGTGTGTGCGTGTGTGCGCGTGTGTGTGTGTGTGTGTATATATGTGCATGTGAGTATAGAGGTATCCCCTGTGAGAGTGTATGAATGAAAGTTGAAGGGGGAAAGAGGACTCGGATCTATTCCAAGTTTAAAAGAGTGTGAGAAAGAAGAAAAAAATATGAGAGGAGTTATTAAATTGCATAAGGCTCAGTCTTTTATGAACCGAGTCAAAGATTTAGACTAGAGCAAAGTCAAATTAGTCAAACACATAACTTGGGTCATATATACCCTTAAATGGACATAAGTGATGGTGAATAATTTTGTTAAGTGACCCAGAAATAAGTACTAGAGACGAACAGGCATGTGGAGGAGATGATTCAGTGCATCCACATTGAAATGCTCTAGACCAATAAAATACTCGAGACCTGAATCGTAGTGGGTCACTAACTTGACACTGACTCAGTGCCAGCATTGAATAACTTAAGCCCACTTTTATGCCCACTTTATACTTGAACTTGAAAGGTTTTATGCTTTCTTTTATGTTTTGCATAATCCGAAACCAACACAAATCGAATACATTTTTATGTTCGAAAGGGACTAATCTACAGCCACTTTCGATCAATGATAGATCGGATCAGCGGTATATGAATTCAAATGTTAGATCTTGTGAATAACCAAATTGGTTCTGCGTAGCCGAACATGCACAAAACATTACAATCGTGATAACTGACCAGTTGATGATTACTAGTATGGAAAACAGGTAGTACATTCCATGGATTTAATGTTCAATGTTAGATGCCCGGATTTGGTATCCATGGCCGTAAGCTAACAAACCAGTTGACGTACGTTTTCAATGTTTCCAGGACTTCCTTCCGATTGTCACGACTCACGATTCAACCTTAAATCCTTGATCCGCAGTGGAGAACAACCAGTTGACGTGTACCTAACAGCATATGTATTGGTAGTCTACGAAACACCTTTTTTTTATTGCCAAGTAGCACAACTTCTCTAGTCCAACGAGATTCCTCCTTTCCGCCTCATCTTACCTAGCCTTGAGAAGGGACTTGAAATTGGCCATCATTTTTGCTTTATCTATACTGCTTCATCTATACCTTGGAAGCGTTTCAAGTCCGAAGTTGCACGGAGCTCGGAGTTCGGAGCTCGGAGCTCGGAGCTCGGAGTTCGGAATCATGTTTGCCATACACCTTGCAATTGCGTTATGGGTAAACACTGCCATCATCAACTCAAGTTGTCACCGTCCGCCATTCACGTTGATTCCAGATACCAAGTCATAGATTTACCTTGTTCTCTCTCTCTCTCCCGCAATTACCCATGAAGAAAGAAATCCACCGAGTTCAAAAGGAATCAAGACAAAGACAAACCCCGCTTGAGTCCACTTGGCTTTGTCGGGACAGGGGCCAATTGGATCAATTAACAATCGCACCCCACTTCTCACCGTTTCTCACCGTTGCGATCCATCTTAAATCCGATAAGCCTATCTATTGGGGGCCGGCGCTAAGGGTAGGCATCTTTGTTCAATGCCCAACATTCCAGCAAGGAAAGAGACCTGTCATTCCTTGCCGGCTTTTGCTTTTTTTTTTTTTTTTTTTTTTTTTTGATTTCTTCCAATCACCTTCATAATGGCTGTGGATTCTGATGACCGGACTGGTGATCACGAAGCGCATCCTTTATTGTCGGAAATTCCTGTCAACGTGCCGATAGGGAACGGAGCAAAGAAGCTGTTGGTTCTCACCGTGTGTTCATTGATTTGCCTCGCCGCAGATTTTGGAATGTACCTCTCTTTAGCCCCTCAGACCGCGATATTTGAACAGATTATCTGCCGAAACTATTCGGAATTCCAGGGTGTGGGCAACAATGTGACCCGGGGGGAGGACCCGTGTAAATCGGAAGCGGTCCAGGGCAAGTACACCAATCCAGATATAATATGACCTGAATACTAATCATTAACCATTCGCACAGGGGAATTGGCCTTGATTCTTGGCTATAAGAGTGGTTTCGAGGTTCTACCCAGTAAATCAACCCAGATGACCAGCTGTGTGTGTTTTGACTGCTGACCTATCTCAAGCTATATTCCTTTCCCTGGGTTATGGTTTCTTATCTGACCACTGGGGGCGGAAGCCGGTGCTATATCTTGCCGCGCTGGGAATTACTTTGAGCGAGCTCTGGACTCGAATTGTCTGTAAGTCAGGTCGTCGTGATTCATTCCAAAACATCTCTGATTATCTTCAGGCGCTTGGCCAGGTATCTTTCCCCTTCGCTCCGTCTGGCTGTCATCAGTATGGCTCCTGATAGGTGGTGGTGATCAAACCATGTCTTTTGTCGCAATTAATATGGTTGCCGATGTTGTCTCTGAAGAAGAAAGGTATGTTCGCTCACAGTCCCTCAGTCATTCCCGAAAGCGGATCTGACGACTTAGATCAAACGCTCTCTTTCGTCTCTCGTCGTTTGTAGTTCTCTCCGAGGTTCTGGCGGGCCCGGCAAGTGCATACCTGATGAGAATTGATCTTTGGACCCCCTATATTCTGGGCTTTGCCATTGCCACTGCTGGGCTTACGCTTATAGTCTTTCTTCCCGAAACGCTCGAAGATGCCAAAGCAAAAAGAGTCATTCAAGGAACAGCGAGTGGAATCTCAGCTGAATTTACTCTACAGCCAGGCAAGCAATTCACTGTCCAAGCACTCCGTCATGGAGTTCACGAGTTCAAAGAGTCTATCCATTTCATGTGGACTGATAGTAATATCTCATGGATTATTGCTGTCGGCTTTGTCTCCATGATGAGCCGCGAAAGCACCAATATCCTTCTACAATACACCTCCAAGAAATTCAACTGGAGTATTGCCCAAGTAAGCCATCCACACCACTCACTATATAAATTCAAACTCAACTAACTATGAAATAGGCGGGTCTTCTCATTTCAATCCGTGGTATGGTTGGCATCTTCTGCTTCTCAATTTTGATGCCCGGAGTCACCTTCCTGGCCGTCCGGTACTTTGATCTGCATGGAAAGTTCAGAGATTACCGACTGAGCCAGCTGATGGGCCTTTTTGGGGTCATCGGTTTCACTGTAGTAGGGTTCGCCCCGACTGCCGGTATCTTGATCACCGGTTTAGTGATTGTTTCGTCGAGTGCAGCTTTCATGGTCACCACACGCAGTTTAGCAACATCATTAGTCCTACCAGACCACGTTGGAACTTTGTATTCAGCACTCGCAATCTCCCAGTCGATCGGAACGTTTGTCGCAGGCCCGCTGTTCGCCTACCTTTTCCGATTGGGGATGCACCTCGGCAGTGCGTGGATGGGTCTCCCATTCCTGCAAGCCGCTGTGTGTTTTGGATTTGCCACCGCAGCGCTTTGGCGGATTCGATTGAATCGATCCCTGCAAAGTGACGAGGAGGGTGGGGCGGAAGAATCATTGGTTTCATGATTTGTGTTTTCTTCTCTCAGGGGGGAGGGTTTGACCGTCTTATTCATCTCAACTTACTTGCTGAAGATACTAGCGTTGCCTTATCGCTTGAGTGTGAATTCTCGCACGTAAAAAACGGGAATAGACGACGATCTCATCAGGGTTTGTAGGTCTCTACCTACCTAGATCTACCTAGGGTCCACAGTCCAACCACCCAACCTTATCCGACGACCCGTGAAAGGAAATGGGGCTGTCGATCCTGAGGGAACATCCGTCCATCGCGTTTGGTTCGCCGAACCGCGACCGACTAAGCGGGGGCTCATCTCCGGGATGAATCAATCAGCACCGGAGATCCGCAGGAATTTGGAAGAATGCAACATCAAGTCGGTAATAAGAAGGGGACGTCCGACGGGTGGTTTGAAGAAGACAAGACCCTACATGGAATTTAGGCGATAATTGGTCAAACCATCTTGACCCCATATCTCTCCCCCTTTGAGTGATCGGCATCTGAAATTGATCTCACGGCGATTTCCGATGTGAATCGCGAATCGAGACGCTCTTATCAGTGCATGTGTTACTCAAATGTACACATGATATAGCGTTACTACTGCACTGATCGACAATTTACGTCCCTGGCAACATCCGTGTCATTTACTGTACAGCCTAGTACATAATGGCGGGGTATTATCTTTAATTCTCCTAGATTCTCCATCTCATTTTCGTTAATTTACTCAATTGTTAGTACTATCTAAGAAACCCTCGAAAATGTCTTTCTCGCGGTTGATTACTCTGACTACAATCACCGCCGGCGCTTTGGCCCAACTGAAAACCTGTTCGAACAATGGCACGCTGAGCTGCCAGAGCTCATCCAAGGCTCCAACCTGCTGCTACAATTACCCGGGCGGAGCTCTCCTGCAGACTCAATTCTGGGATACGGACCCCACAACTGGCCCAAGTGATTCATGGACAATCCACGGACTGTGGTAAGCATCCATCTACAGGAACGCAAAGCCAGGACCAAGCAAGAGCAACTGATCTGATTTTAATGTCAATGTATAGGCCTGATAACTGCGATGGGACCTACCAGTCAAGCTGTGACTCCTCACGCGCATACACCAATATTTCTGATATCCTAAGTGCGCAGGATCGCACCGACCTGCTCTCTTATATGCAAACATATTGGGTCAATGATGACGGCAGCAACGAGGAGTTCTGGGAACATGAGTGGAGCAAGCATGGTACCTGTATCAACACTATCAAGCCGAGCTGTTACACCAACTACTCTCCACAGGAGGAAGTTGGAGAATTCTTCCAGAAGGTGGTTGATCTGTTCAAGGGGTTGGACACTTATCAGGTAAGCCTTTTCCAAAAAATTGAACTGAGCAAGTGCAATACTCATGGTAATGGAAGGCACTGTCCTCGGCCGGTATCACCCCGGACGACTCAAAGACATACGAGCTCAGCGATATCCAGGCCGCTCTGTCCAAGCTACATGGCGGGTCAGCACCGTATGTTGGCTGCGAGGATGGCGCACTGAACCAAATGTACTACTTTTTCAATGTGGCTGGCAATGCTATTGATGGCCAGTATTATCCTACTGCTCCGCGTAAGTGTCCCTGTCAATTCTCGGTCATTGCTCATCTTGAATCCACCACCGAGACTGACAATTCTTAGTTGAGAAATCAAACTGTCCAAGCAGTGGCGTCAAGTACTTGCCCAAGGGTAACTAAATTTCCGGCGCAGAGGCTTCCATAAAGGTCGTTGGATAAACATATAAATCCGATGCATTGCATTGATGTTTTTGAAGGTGCGGAGGGAATAGGGATGAAATTGGGTATCTGATTAGTACGATTTGGAAATTAGAGTACATGACTGCCTGGAAATGGCAGCGCTGAATATCATGATATGACAGTTAAAGCCATTATGACGCTTGTGTCACTTGAAAAATGGCCAATCCAAGGCCGGCCCTTGAAGACTACAGCGTAGGATCATGCCTGTCCTAGGCGCTAGGGGCCTTTTTGGGCTAGTTGTGAATTGGTAAGCCCACTGAAGATCTGTCCCTGAAGATCGAATGTGTTGCATTATCAGGTTGTAGCCAGTCGATTCAATGGTGGATCTCAGCGATCTTTGACGATAAACGAGTTCAGCCTTTCTGCAGAGCTTACAATCAATTGTACTCTGTAGAAAACCGCCGAATGTGGTCAGGGTCGGGACTAGGATGAGGATGGGGACAAGGATAAGGATGAACTGGCAGCTTGGTCGAAGGAGCGCATTCTCACCCGAGACCCATTGTTCCTACGAGTCATCGGAGGTGAGAATCGAGCACGGGAATCCAAAAACAAGATCCTTTCACGCATGTTTCTGGGGCAAAACAGCGGACTGGCCTCTTCTGCCGATTAATGAAGGTGAATGATGGTTGTAAACCTTGCTCGGTCGTCTAAAGAGGGCGACACAGTAGGGTAGAATCTTTACACGCGCTTGATACGAGCCTGTCGAGCTTCTTCGTCTTTCCTAGCTTCTGTGCGACCCAGGAAGTCCATACGGCCCATATAGCCCTCTTTGGCTTTGCTGTGGACACGCAGTTCGTCGCTAATCCCGGCATGGTCCACATATTGCGCCCAGTCGAGTCGGGACTTCTCCACGGTGTTGATTTTCGGTCCGCTCGCAGCTTGATCACCAGCCTCTGCAGCCTGTTTCTCCCAGCTCTTCTTGATCGCTCCCGTTGGATTGGGATCGAATCGGGACATTTTGCGCAAGGGGCGACGTAGGTTGCGATTTGACACTGTGACATCCTCGATAGAATTTTCGATGGTCTCTCCACTAGACAAAAATGCCTTGGCTTCCGCCGAGTCCTTGGGCACAGTCTTCTCCTCCGTGATCATCTCGCCTGCGAACTTGTAGGTGCGTTTTATCTTGATCATCTGTGGGGTGTGGGTACTGCCTGGTTTGTTCTCCGGTTCGAGGGCAATTTGGTCTTTCATATTCGTGTCACCGGCGTGGTCATGTTCTGTAGCCGGCTCACTATCACGTTTGATCTGGTTTGGTCTTAAGCCTAGTTCACTGCCAGGGGTGTTCATTTTCTTCCATAGAGCGTCCACGTCGATTGTTGCACCATCGATCTTGGCCAGTGGTTTACGCTCCTCCTGTCTGTGGAAAGAAAAAAGTTAGAATCCGAAATAGATAGAAGTATTAATATAATCCAACGAGTAGGGCCTACATCTGCATCTTCATGGCTCGAGTCCGTACAAAGCCCCCAGTGCCGCCTTCCTCATCATCCAAGTCAATATCGTCGTCGCCTGCATTCTTGCCCTTGGATTTCTTGCCCTTCCGCCTTGTCTCTCGTTTTTCGCGTGCTTTTCGAATTGTGACTTCGTCACCGGAGTCAAGTTCCTCTTCTGGAATATCGGTTATCTTCGTGGTCTTTCGCTTCTTTTTCGCGGGCTCGGCCGCATCGTCGTCAGAGGATAAGTCGGACTCTTCGTGGGCGCCTTCAAGCTGGAAATCCTCATCCTCGGCAGAGTCATATGGTTCATCATCTAGGTCAACAGTTGCAGAGACTGTAAGATCGGTCGACATGTTGGAAATTAGTGCAGGAAATCGCCAGAGAGTTGGAGACAAGCTGAGCGCGATCTGGAACTGCCGAAAGGCGGTGCTGATAAGGATTATGTAATACAGCGCTTTAATCGCGCTTCAAGCTTCTTCGTCTTCAAAAATCATAAAATTTGGCCTCCTAGTACTTTGTTTTATCATTTCATTCCAAGATACTCCTCATCTACCCACGTCTTGTATCTATCATTCAGTATGTCCGCAATGGCCACTGGTGAAGCCAGGTGCGTTGCGAAACTCGCTCGAAGACCCTCACTACCAGCCCCGCTGTTCTCATACTCTCCAAACAGGACATGAGCTGTGTTGGGTCGACTCGGAGACCACTCGCTCCAACCAGCAGTATTTACAATATTGCTCATATATGTCTTTTGGAATACAACACGCGCATAGGAAGCTAACGGGTGTCCTAGATAAGTATCAACACCAACTCGACCATTCTCCACATCGTACAGAAGATGAAAGACCGTGAGACCTACCGAGGAAGGAAGAATTTGGTTTAAAAAATCCATCTATTGCTTCGACGGTCGAATTGTTGATCACATAATAGGATGGGTCATTGGTCGAATTGCGGCCGTTGGCAGTGATATCTCCGCTCTTTGTAGATGGACGGACTTTGATTTCCACCTTCTCGAACCACACGCGCGCATACCGACCGAAGATAAGATCGCTAGAGCTGAGTGTCAATGTAGTAGACTCAGTGGATGACTCTCAAACATCAATGGATCTTACGTGGTGCCAGAAATCAGACTTTGAGCAAACAGCGATGTGCCACCGACCTGTACGCGGATGGTTCCTACAGCCAATGAGCAATTTACATCGCTTCCAAGAGAATTCTGGCTCACCATTGTGGCCAGTGAACTTGCACCCATAGTATCCTTGCTGGGTGCCCGTGGAACTGAGACAAACGGCTTGTTGGCCCATGCCATAGGTGTTGGCCACATTGATGTTGTAGATCTTTGAAGCGGCCGCCGAGTTTCTGATTGTAGCTAGTGCGTTCTCAAAATCAGACCAGATCTGCAGGGTTTTTCTTTTTCTTGAAAAGCTATAAATCACCTGTCTTGTCCCCATCGCCTGGCGCTGCCCTTTTGCTATGGGTGACGGTGACTGTATTGGCGGAGTACGAGGAGGTGCTGCATTTCAAAGCTCCAAAATACCTACTCGCTTGTCTCGCCATATATCGTCAGACGGCCTCGAAATGTTGGTATCACCACTTGCTCATTATAGACACCGGCTTTGATGAAGATGGTTTGGTTCACTGAACGGCCGGCGTCCAATGCCATGATTGCTTTCCCTATCTAATCGTAATCAGAAGTCAACAAAGAAACCGCCAATTTACGTCTGATCTTGATTTTCACTGTATCGTAGTCACCACCTGATTTGGCCACGACGATGGCCCCGTCCGGTGGCATGTTTCGAGCCGCTGCCCATACAGCCGTTGAGAAGGAAAGGCCGAAGATGAATTTCATGGCGTTGCTTTTTTTTGAGATCAAAAATGATGGAGAAAGCTATAATGATTCAGGGTTCTTTTTATACATGTACCTTAAAGGTACTACCTACTGTACCTTGGCGTAGTGAAGATTCCCAGTTTCAAGTTTCAAAGAGCCATTGGAAAGGTCAAATTATCGAAAGGAGGGTTCCTCGGATATCTCCGTTTAGTATGTAGTACTAAGCTGCAAGGGTATTCTGAACGCCGGTCATTTCTAAAAGTAACCGGGATTCCATCAGACAAGAAACAGTGTGACTTGGCTTCTCGTGTCTTGAGCACTACAAACAAAGTGTTGTGGATATTCTAGTGAGGTGTTTCCTGTCGTACTAGTGGTAGGAGGTGAAGTTCAGAAAAGGGGATTTCTAGCTCATATAACAATGTAGTAAAATCCCAGGTGCCTAAAATGTAGTCCTAGCCTGGTGCTTCATGTCAAGCTTATTTGCCCTGCTTCTTCCCTTCCTCGGCGATCTTCTCGACCTGTTCCTTTCTCTTTTTCAACACACCCTGTAACTCTTCAAGGGTATCCTTGAGCACATTCTCTGCCTCGCTACCTTTCTTCTGCACAATGGTCTGTAGTGATTGCAATTGCGAGATCATGTTGGAACCACCGGGGATCATATCCAGCCCCTTGCCTAAACTGTCCGAGTCGGTTTTTTTGGCTTGGTCGACTTTATCCTTGACGTATTTTTCCACGTCCTCTGTCTTTCCTGAAGAAGCACTTTCCTTGACCATGCCCCATAGATTCTCGAAGTTTCCCTTTTTCAAGGTGGGGGCGTTATCTTCGATCAGTTGTTTGAGCTTGGGGCTCTTTTCGAGATATTGCTTGGACTCTTCATATCCCTTCTGCCATGCCTCATCCCCAAATTTCTGGAGCTTTTTGGTCTTTTCTTGAATCAAATTCTTAATCTCTTCTGCTGACTCGGCACTAGCACCGCGCTGCACGATACTGGAGATCTGCTCCCAGGTTTGATTAACCTCCTCCTTCGCTCGTGGACCGTAGGCATCGCCCATCTTCTTTAGCTCATCATAGCTACCCCCGATCTTCTCTTTCACTTGAGGGTGTTTATCGAGTAAAGTCTCAGCGGCGTCGCCGGCCAAATCGAAAAGGCGCTTAGAATGCTGTTGCAGGATTTCCAAAGCTTTGTATGCGGAAGCGGTATTGATTTCCTCCTTTGTCGTAAGATCACGTAACTCGCTGTATGCGTCACTGACTATTTTGTCAAATTCATCTCCGTGGTCGGTTCGTATCTTTTCAAGGTCGTCGAATGCGGTGTCGACGTAACCGCGTGCACCAGGGATAAAGACGGCGTAGCTTTTGACGGTATCCCTCAAGAATCGGAAGGCCTCGTTTGGTTCAGGTGCCTTTTGGATGATTTTTTGCTTGGCTTGCTCGAAGTAGGCTTTTGTCTGCTGGCTAGTATCGACGACTTTCTTGATCCCAGAGTATTGGTACCAGATGTATCCAGTCAGGCCAGCGACAGTGCCGCCAGCAAGACCGCCAATCAAGGCAGCACTGGTGCCATTAGAAGTGCTTTGAGATGCAGTAGATTGAAAGCGGAAGTTGATGGAGGGAGCTTTAGAGTGCAGTTGCTGCTTGGCTGCTCGTGCGACTGGTCTGAAATTCTGGCGGAGCATCACTGGATATTTCTTTGTATGGAGAATAAGAGAGGCGGACCTCTGGAGGAAAGGAAATACGTAAGGTTGTCAATGTTAGGTACCGATAGTAGGAAATTCTGAGTAGCTTAATACTAGAATGTTGAAGGAATAATCTTGGGATGTACAGGCTTTTAAAAGGCGGGAGATTTGCAATCTCTTCCAAGGTTAACCAAATGAAGCTTGAGGGGTTGGAATCATGGCAGACGGTTGGGATTGAAATCAGGGTACAAGTGGATCTGGGATAGAACTCTTTAGTTACTACATCATCATCTAAATATGACGGTGGCTTCCTGCATAAACATATTCCAAGGATCCAAGTTAAACCAAAGTTGAGGAACCTCACCCCCGGATTACCCCAAATCTTTAGTCTTAGACGTCATGTAAAAGTACTAGTGAATAAACAGTACTCGTGAGTCCTGTTCATAAGCCGTAGAAATACTAGTAGCTTTGTAGTAAGTACTGGGTATCTTACGGTATTGTACAGTAATTTAACCATAAATACTAGAAATACTATCGTGACGTCACCAGCTGTGGCATCTCCCCTCATCTCCCCTCACTATGTACTTGAATACTCGTTTACAATACTTGAGATTACTAGTTTAGTACCTATACCTACTAGTAATTACCAAAATTCCAAGTATCTTTCTTGTCTTCTGGTCTCTGACATCAACATCTCTATACGGCAGACAAACAACTTTGTAAAGTGGATTGGTCAATACTATCAAACTGTCACGCTGTTATTCAATTCAAATCCCCATATTGTATAGAAAGTAAACATTTGAATCATAATCATATCCGTATCTCACAGACCAGCAACGTCATACAATATCAGGTGGTGTGTAGCAGTACTCCTACCTAATAGTCTCAAATCTTGGTGACAGTGTCCCTCCAGGGCTCCTCTCCTACCGCTTTGCAAGACCCAACACCACATATTCTTCGCATTTAGAACAAGAAATCGGCTCTCAATTCTTATACACTTGCTTCGTAGCAATCTCCAGCTTCTCCAGCTGAACCTGCTCTTCACGCCGACGACCAACATCCCTTTGGAACCAGGTTCCTACAGCCGCAGCAATCCCCATGAAGATCTCCAACCCGAGTGTCAAGCACAGCAACCCGAAGCCTGCGCGTGTGGCACGACAGTCGCGCGAAAAATGAATAGGTGTAGTCTCACCGCTAGCACTTTCCCTCCATTTGCAGGTCCAGCTGTGCAAGGTTTGGCTATCGGTGAAGCCGGTTGGGTATGTCGAGGATGGACGGTAGATAATGAAGACAAGACCTATCAGTGCAGTAAGAAAGCCCGCAGTCGCCGAGACAGAAGAGTAAGAGTTCAGGAATTTAATCCGAGAGTATGGCTGGTTAAATCATGCTTAGTTAGTGGCCTAATTAAACCCAGCCAGTACCAAGCGGGGCTACTTACCAATGGAAGAAGAGCCGCGACAACGTATGCCAAGTGGAAGAAGCCAATAATGCAGCCACAGGAGATAGCAGCTACCGTGGGCCGAATATCGAGGTTCAAAGGCCAGAGTGCAAGGCCCGAAGATGCCCATTTAACTGTATTTTTGTAATGGTGGAATGGGACTGCTTCGCAGGAAACGATCGCGACGGCAGCGATGAAGATCAAGAGTGATAACCCTAGTCTTGCCCAATGCAACACGCGATTTCTTTTCAAGAACTTCGATTCATCCATTTCGGAAGAAAAGGTGTTAGAGCCGGTGATCGAGGATTCCGAGCCCATGTTTAAAGAATATATGTGAAGAAATAAAGAGGGCAAGGGTTGTGTTGGAAAAAGAGATCAGAAGGTGATACCTTGCCGGCAAGGATTTGTTTTCTTCAATTGTGTACTGAGGAAAGAGAGAACAGAAAAAGACCTTGCGGAGAGGTGGTTGAGAACGAAAGACCGGGATGATCCTAGTAAAGAACGGGGTCAAGGAGAGAAGGGTAGGACCTCAAGTCTCCAAAAACATACTCAAAGAGGGATGACAGCCCGAATATGTAGGACCAATCGAGGAGAAACAGAGTAAGCCGTAAACCATTTCACAGGCCAGCCTTGGCGAGCACTCTACCCTCAAAAATGCCAATTTCGGACTGGGCGCGTATCCAGGCTGATGGATAGGGGTCTTCAGCAAGGGCATCCAATAATGGTGGGGGGTATCACTTTATCTTCGAAGAGAATGATTGGTGTATTCAAACAGATTACATTTCAGGGTAGAGCGCTCAGGTATCACAACCTGGGGTTTATGATTTGAGGGTGTAGTTCTGGGAGGCCCTAGCATACGGGCGGGCGCCTGCAGACTTGGCAGTAAGAGAACTGGACAAAGCGCTCCGCAGGACTATAATTAGGCCTTGTCAAACAAGAAGTGGTCAACAAAAAAATACAGACCACGGCCTTTCATTCGTGCCCTTGAGCATGGTTGTTTTTCTGTGGCAGCGCAAGCTCGCACCTGATAGGTGGCGGCGAAGCGCCCGGGATTGCAACATGTTACATGAGGACCCTAGCGGCTACAGACCCCACTCACCGATGGTTAGAGTTAGTCTTGTTCCTGCATGTAGCTGGACAAAGATCATTTCTGAAGAAACCCTGAATTCTGGACGAATCGATTATGGGCGATGAAGTATGTAAGTTTGTACATCCCCCTAAAGCTGATATGCTGTGGCTTGCATGTGTCTCGAGTAGAAGAGTTGGGCTGTGGCAAGGGTAACAGTAACTGATAAAGCAAGATTCGTGGGCTGGCTCGAAACCCAAGTCCGACCTTCTTCAACATACTCACACCATGAACATTTCTTACAAAATAGAACACACACACACCGATTCTATCCCAAGTTCCGCTTCGCGAAATCCACATCAATCCACATGCCTGGCGGAGATTGCAAGGGGAGTACTCTTTTTCTGTTCGATTGTCTTTTGACGCGATGATCGCGTGTTATCAGCTGGGGGGCCGGAGGACATGCGATCGCTTGCCGGTATAAATTGTATTGTGTATGTAGTAGTCTAGTGTACCGCTCTTGACGACGGCGCCAGATATCGATCTGGGCATTCGAAAAACGCTAGAGAAGGGAGAAGACAAAAACAATGTTGGAATTTCTTGATTAGTATGTATTTGAACTTGGAGTTTGAACTTTGGGTTGACCCGATAGATAGAAATGAGAAGAAGAAGGAGAAGAAAAAGAAAGATATTCAGTGAAGCACTTGTATAGATCACTATGTCTGGATCCGCGGGGAAAGCCGGGGAGAGTCCACCGCCTGGCAGAAACCCAGAAAATTCCAAGGTTTGGCGGGGCAAAACTTGCGACTTCGAGATTCTATCCTGATCAATTTCCAATTGAAGCTTGAGGCTCAAATTAATTTGATAATGCCGTTGTCCAAGCTGCGCGGAATCAGGCTACCTGCCTCAGCCGACTTCCATGGTACGTCCCGTGAGACTTTGGAAGGGAACCACACATAGAACTGACCGTGATCACAGTCCACCTACGCGATGGTCCTATGATGGAGCTGGTGACTCCTACCATCCGCAAGGGTGGTGTGAACACTGTCTTTGTCATGGTAAGATGAGAAATTATATTACATACTCATCTGGCTTGATTCAGCTATCTAACATATTGTATAGCCAAACCTGGTACCCCCAATCACCACTGTCGACCACGCCCTCGACTACAAGAAGCGCCTGCAAGCCATTGAGCCCAATGTCAGCTACCTGATGTCGCTTTACTTACACGAGACCATCACCCCCGCTACCATCATTGATGCCAAGAAGCGCGGCATCACTGGTGTCAAGAGCTACCCCGCTGGAGTCACCACCAACTCGAGCTCCGGCGTCATCGACTATGCCGCGTTCTACCCCGTCTTTGCCGAAATGGAGCGCCAGGGCCTCGTTCTCAACCTGCACGGAGAGGTCCCCTCCAAGGGTGATGTGACAGTGTTGTCAGCTGAGGAGAAGTTCTTGCCTACGCTGCTGGAGCTCCACGCCCAGTTCCCCAAGCTCCGTATCATCCTCGAGCACTGCACAACAGCTGCAGCCATTGAAGCCGTCAAGAAGTGCGGACCCACAGTGGCCGGTACCATCACGGCTCACCATCTGTCTATCATTGTTGACCACTGGGCCGGTGATCCATTCTGCTTCTGCAAGCCTGTTGCGAAGACCCCAGCCGATCGTGATGCCCTCCTTCGTGCCGCTATCTCGGGTAACCCCAAGTTCTTCTTTGGTTCTGACAGCGCCCCCCACCCAGCTGCCTCCAAGCGCGGCGGTGAGAAGATTGCCGCCGGTGTCTTCACCCAGCCGTACACCACCCAGGTTGTGCTGGACTCTTTCGAGCAAGCCTGTGAGAACGGAGTCCTCAAGGAGGAGGATATCACCCCGGAGATCTTGGAAGGTTTCATGAGCAAGTTTGGTCGTGCATTCTATGAAATCGGCGATGAGAAGAAGGAATTCATCATCATCGATAAGAAGGGTGAGAAGATCGTAGACATTCTGCAGTCGGATGCAACTGATGTTGTCCCTTTCCGCAAGACCCAGGACACATGGACTGTAACCTGGTCTTCTTAAAAAATAATATCCTTCGGGTAGAATACCAATATGTTTCAAGTTCCATAGAACCAGTCCCATCCTAAAAGGCCAAACTCTACACAGACTTCTTCTGAGAAAGCATGTTAGCCACGCTTTCCAGAGCATGAGCTTCCGAAATGTCAATCCGGCGACCAGCAACCACTGGATTTCCATCTCCACCCATGGCAAGTTGCCCAGCTCGCTCAAGGTGTAGCCTAATCCGACCTTCAATGTATTCTTTCCGCTCGTCGCGCTTAGACTTAGTCTCGACCTCATTGATTGAGCCGGGGAGAGAGGCCAGCCTCGGCCGGAGATTTTCGAGTGTTGCCTGTAGTGCCGGAAGTTGTGAAAGAATGAAAGTGGTATTGGTTGTAAGAGGCGTGTGCTGGGTATTTGAGCCGATGTCTACCCCAACGCGAAGCTGTTGCGCAGCAGAGCTTGATGTCAAGAACGATAGATCTAACGGCAGACTTGGCTTGGAATCTTCAGTGGAGCCATCGTTCTTGGCAGTTTTGACCGTCGATAGTATCGCATTCAATTGAGCAATCACGGCTGCATTACGTGCGCATTCGCCCTTCAAGGAGCGGTTGAGCTTCCTGGTTTCAAGTAACTTTTTGCGTTGGGTAGCGATAGTCTCCGGTGTTGGGGTGTCGGATGATGGTTTGAAAGAGAGACCCTGTAACGCAAGGCCGTTAGCTCATTCTCGAAGTCAGACACAAGCCACTCCTACCTCGTAATGCTTCAGTCTCACATGGGAGAGCAAATCCACCGGTACAGTAAGGATGTTTCTAAGCACGTAGATCTCAAACTTATCAAATGCCTTATCGACATTGGTCTCAAGCAGCGTCTCTAATTGGTGCAATCCGTTTTCGAGTTCTAATTTTGCTTCCGGGTAAACAATGTTGCCATCATCGTCCGTGTCCGCGATGGTGGGGCCATTGGTGGCATGCGAAAATCCCAGACGCTCCGGCGGTGTAGCAATCAATCCTGACTCCAAGCTTGAGATCGCTTGGTAGATCAAATTGTTGATTGAATTGATAATGTCATCGATCAGCGACTAGGAAGTCAAGTTAGTAGGGTGCGCAAGGTGTGAGGGGTCGCGCCGGGGGTCACGATAAGCAAGATCAGGACAACTTACTAATGGTGTGTAGCTGAAATGCTCAGCGAGCAGAGAAGTGGTTGCATCGTTCATGGTGAAATTGGGTTCGTCGTGCTAAGAAGACGCGTTTGGGAATGAGCAAAGACGCGAGGATGGCGGTCGCAACAGACCGCCTTAGGCTTTATCAATCGTGACAACATTCCATCGGACTTTGGACAGGCTGGATTTACAAGATTGACATTACTGGTCTTATTCTCTCTTTTTTTTCAAAAAAAAGAAAAGAAAAGAAAAGTGAAATATACAATATGACATTGTTGCTGGCAAAAGTTTTTATGCTTATCTCTTCCTTTACGCCTTGCTATCGTACATGATTCGTAGCTCAACCGGACCATCCGTGTCTGCCCGACAGCACTTAAGGTAGCTGACAGTTAAAACCGGCGTCTAATTCCGCCTCTTATATTATGTACATGCATGATGAATTGCATCCAACTTCTGATCGTGAGTGGCATTTGGGATCGCCTTGTACTTGGTATTATTCACATGCACGAGTCTCCATCAAATATCATCAGTAATCGGTAATCATAAATTATAATAGAACAAGGACCCCTCAGAGTACTGGTGCTCGTCTGTTTCACAACGCAGCTCCCTGATCATAAAAGCTCGCCAGTCACCTCAGAATCTCCTTCCACTAGCCCACCAAATTTTCAAGTAGAATGGATTTCCCAGGAATCGAGCAGCACCTGTTGAAACTCGACTTGTTGCCGTTCAACAATGGCGCATCCGTGTTTTCTTAGTGTTCGACATTGCACATACAGATTACAACGTGAAGCTTGGCCATCTCCCTGAACATAACAAGTCCCAGTTGTCGTCGCTCATTTATGTAAGAAAAAAAAAATGCCTATACTGCGAGCTGGCTGCCGCATCGGGTCAACCACGATATCGCCATGCTTCACAACACCAACGGCTTTGAAGCAGTGCCACCTTTTGTGGAGGATCACTCATCGGGAAGACCACCGTCATATCATAATCCACGGGATATCACCATGCCAGGAGTCACATATGCCTGAACTCTGTCATGACGAGCAGTAATTTGCTGCGGGTGGGGAGGGGGGGTTGTTTTTGTATCTCAGGACATCATGGAAAGAGGGGGGGAGAGCGAGGGGGAGAGAGAAAGAGATAACACAATCCAACCCTGCGCCCTTCCAAGGACGTTCCCATGATATACTGCAATCTCGCTTGGTTTCTAGAAATCCATGACAAGCCATGGTGCCAATGTTTCAAGGTCCTCGACCTGTTAGAAGTGGCCATATCAGTATTTCTGCATGACACGACCAAAGCGATCAACTAGCGGGGTTGGAAATACCTACCTCAATGAAGTTATCCGCCGGGCCCGTCCTCCCCTTGCTCTCGTTGACCAAATCTCTCTCCAGTTTCCCACGCGCAATAGCCTCTCGTACAAAGAGATCCATATACTTTGCCATCAGAGCATCGGCGTCCTTTGATATGCGAGTCTTATCGTGCTTGAAGAAATGATGAAAGAGTGCTGTCAATAGCTTAGGGTGTATCTGTGGAGTCCCCATCGCGATATTCTCCTGCGGCGTCCGATGTGTGATTTCTGCGAGCATATAATCCGGCTCTTCGGAAAAAGGGCGCTGGCGTTCGCTACCTTGTGTTTCGGAGTCGGAGTCGGACGCGAAGTCAGAGGGAGTTGCGGGTAGAGCATTAAAGGCATCATCACGGGGTCGTTTGCTGGAAGTGGGGTTGGAGGTTGCGGGCCGAGTTTTAAGATTTGATGCTGGTGTGGCTTTTGATGAGGATTCGGCGGTGATTTCCTTGGCTTTGGCTTTGCCGTTGTCCTTGGCGACGGTTGGTGGCATCGCGGATGGTCCAGCACTGGAGGTGCGACCAGGAGGCTTGAAAGGGAGTCGGCGACGTTTTTGTTGAGGTTCGCCTGCCATTATTGGGTAGTTTAGTAGTACTGTAGTAGTATGCTCCTGGTGTTGTAATAGGTTTCATTCACTCTGTAGATAAGGAAGGTGGAGTAACTGGAGTTGTTGTCGCGGGTCGCGACTCGCGATGAGGAGACGCGCCATCAGGTGACAACAGCCGTACAGTGAGTACTTAGTACTGTACACAACTTCTTACTAGCACTGGGACCTGCTCCCCAAATTCCCCAATTGCAATATTTTTTAAAAAAAAATAAAAATAAAAATTGGAAAACAGGAAGCATTGCGTTGGTATTTTTCTTTTTCGAATTGGATCGAAGGATTTTATCTCATTACTACTAGGCAATAATCATGTACCATTCTCGACCAAATTTCGTTCTTCCACAGCGAGGATCTAAGCTTGCTCTTCCTCTGGCGGATAAACAATGGTCAAAGGCAAACCCAAGGGCACTTTGTCTACCAACTGTCTTGTCTTGGCCCATGGAACACCAAAAAGACCCGAATTAAAGCGACATGAGTAAAGACGATCAACAGTGGGAAATCCAAACTGTCTCCCTCCTTCCATAGTAACGAGTTGGTGTTGCAGGTCAAGCAGGGCAGCATTGGTGTTATTGAGGATCATTTGAGGCGAGTCGACACGCTTGCCATAGTCGAAAGATGTGAACAGACAGATAATCCAGGGATTTGCGCCAGAGGGAAAGGCCAAACTTTCGGGATAAATGATGAGCGCTGTGCCAACCGGCCAACGCACCGAGACAGTCTTTGTCCCGTCCCCAGTGGCGTAGAGATCAGGAATATCGTAAACGTCATTCTCATCTTTCTTTCTCAAACAGTGTTGACGGTATTTTCTGTACGCCCAGGGATACTTTGAATGTCTTCATCAGTGCGTGTCAAATCGTAATGAGATTGCAGCGTACCTTTCGGGCGAAATCTAATGCGATCCCTTTGCCCCAAGAACCCCGAGCATTACACGCATCTATGATCCATATAAGTCAGATTTCACAAATCAAGGGAGTGTATCACAAACGGATTAAAGCTGATCGTGGTGGAGCTTCGAAAAGATCACCAGGCTCCTCGCTAACTGAATTCATATTCTCGGGCCTGGTATTATGGAATGTCACCGTGGGGGGAGAAATTCAAAAAAAGGGAGGGAAGCAGAGAAAAAACCAATGACACAACATACAACCTCGGAAACATCCAGCAATAAAAGAAAGCATCAATGAAATCTACCTCAGATGGATGCCTAGTAGCAAATACCACTAGTAAATACACGAAGGTGTACCATCATGATGATGCCTTGATTCTTCACTTCGAGACTTTTTGGTGATAAAATATACAGGATACGCATACGCACATGTGCATAAACATAAAAGAATCCAACACCCAAATAGCCACTTCACTTCAAAGAAGGCAACAGGAACTTGAACCTGCACAGGATAAAGTCATACACTCTCATTCTCCATTGGAATGCCCTACGATTCCAGCGTCTTCTCCACAGCCTGGCTTTTAGCCTTTCCCTCCTTGCACTCGTCGCCGTTTGAGTCATCCCCCTTAGCTACCTCTTTCGTCCTGTCCTGGCCGTCTTTATCCCTGCTAGACGTTTTCTCCATAAAACGCCGGGGAACAAGACCCCGGAGTGAGATGCGCTTTCGAATACCGCGTCTTTTCTCTTCGGGGGACATCAGTGTATCATCGACAACGATCGGCGAATGATGAATCTCAGTCTGCATTGATGGGGAAGCAGTGGAGGTTCCAACCGTCGATGGCAACGAGATGGGCGCAGTCTGGTCACTACTGCTTTTCAGACGGCGAGACATTGTCCGGGAGATAGTTTTGAAGATGTTCGGGCTTTCATCCTGGTCATTCTGTATCAGCCGAGATATCTCGCTCCCAGCAGTAAGTCCATTTGTGGCAAGATTTTCTTCTGGGACCGGTATGAAAACGATGATTCCTTGGTTCATGGGGATATGTAAGAGGTCATGCATGGCTGTCTGGATTAAGTTGGTGTTGCGGAGATTGGTGACAGGAGCAATAAAGGACGAGAGGGCGTATATCTTGAGCAAGTAAGACAACTCAGTGGTATTTCCAAAGAACACCCCGGTGTCTTGTTGAACGGTAAGCATAATGCATGTCTCTGAGCGTTGGTAGATTTGAGCCAGGCGAAAAATCAAATCAGCGACGAGCATCCGTTCTTCATCTTGGATCTAGCATGCAAGTTAGAAAGGCATCGTACTAGGACAGGGATGAGGGGAGGGGGAGCAGATATAACCATCAACACACCTTGCAGTTTGTTTTGAGCTCGGCAACAACCATGGAGTTCTGAAAGAGCCGGCCTTGAAAACAGTTGGGAGAGCCACGGGGCGAAAAGGCTTCCTCATAGTAATGCGATTTTTTCAAGTCCCTTTTCCACGTTGTCTCTTTCAAATCTTTGACTGAACAGATAACTTTAGGCCCAGGAGCAGTGTAATCAATGGGAGAAAGATTCTCATCTGTGAATGTAGAGGGGAAGGTCACCGGTCGTTCGCGTTTGGGTCGGACTTTGGTTTCCATGACATTCGACAGCAGTGGTAGCAGGGGGGTTGACTGGGACTCCATTGGGATATTCGTGGACAAACGGGGTAGCGAGGGCCGTTTCTGATTGAAGTTCATGACGAACAAGTTTATTTCAATGGACTAGGAAGTAAGAGGGAAGCTTGGAATATTTCGATGAAGGAAATTTGATGTTGTTACAATGTGGGTTTCTCATGTGTTCAAGTTGTGTTGTGTTGAAAGTAGGAGGAAGGTACGACACCCAATGGCTACTACTAGTACTGTCAGTGTCTTCGAAAATTACAAGATTAGTACTACTTTCAATGTTCATGAAAATGGCTTGGATTATTATAGTATGTGCTTTTTTTTTTTTTTTTCTTCACTTCAAATGTTCAAATTTTGGGACTCGACTGGATCCAATCAATTACCTACATGTAGATACCATGCACTAGTAGTAGTTTCAATACCTTCGCATTCTTATAATCAAGCAGCCCAGGCCCCATTAAGCAAGAAATGCAAGCTCACTGAATGCCGAGTTCCCACTTTTGAAGATTAGATCGACCCGCCTGCGTCGGTCCCAAACAATCTTACCATCGATCTGCTTAATGCACAGAACACGATGTTGGGGAATGAATTCCTCATCCGTCGACTCCTTCTTCCAACTCTCAAAGGATATCTCCAGCTCGCCTTGGAACCGATCGAGGAATACAATGGTATAATTATCGGAACTGTAGCTCGAATCCCAAATTATGCGATTGATGATATCTGCCACAATTGTTATTTATATCATTCTCTTCAAGTTCCAACATTTGGAAGAGAAAATCATATCTCACCTGAAGCGGGTCGTAACCTATTCTGGCCCAGTTTGGCCACCGGGCATGAATAATCAATTCGCATGTCGATGGAATCACAGCTGGGAGATTGTTGGGTTGAATCATGTACATGCTCCGTACAGATTGATTCATCCATAGGGGCAGACAACGCCATGATGGTATTTTGCAACATTTGAAGAGATTCCTTTTCAAGGCTGATTGGATTATGGTCCAAGTTTCAATGCTACAATGATAGAAATGTGGTGAAGTTTATAACTTATACTCTATCATGTTTATGTCCGTCTCGTATTGCGCACTGCCAATGAATTCCCGAATGACTCCTAAAGTCCGATTCAAGGGGAGATGGACCTGGAAGGAGAGCAATCGTCGATAACATACTACTAGTAGATCAGAAAGATGACTTTCTGACTCAAAAAGTGGGCTCAATGGGGCAACAAGGGTGGAGCACTAGTCGGAGTTAATGCTACTTTGATTTATGACTCACAAGGAGTCATACTTCTTCCTCGGAATACCCCATCAACTTGCATTTTGATGATAGACCTGCCAATGAGGTCCTATATTATTCGTAAGCTCACCAAAGCAACCCGACTATAATAGATGAATCTTGGTAATAAAATAAATTATTATATGCAACATCTGGAGAATTTCAAAGGTTGTTTTTGAAACATTCCTTATGTAGTATGTAGGGTTAGTTTCTACTACTACATAACGTTCTTGACTATTGATTGTAAGTATTCCTTGAGAGATCTCGTTTCACCTCTGGTTCCAAGTAGCAGGTGGACCGTGAATGCATCTATTGCGCTAGTCCTAATTGGGTAGATGCATGAAACCATGTTGAAATTGACTAAGCCTAACTAAGCCTAACTAAGCCTAACTAAGCCTAACTAAGCCTAACTTTGCATTCGGGATCGGGCCAGAGAGTCAGAGCTGGGCGTCGGAACTCATCAATCCATTGATAAATCTCACTTCTCTTTGCTTCCATCTTCTTTCTTCTTCTTCTTCTTCTTCTTCATTATTCTTTCTTCTTCATCATGCAATCTCAAGTCAGCATCCTAGTACCACCAAGCAACATGAACCAAGATCGCTCCCGAGAGGAGTCCAAAACCCCACTTTTCGCCCAACTCGGCGAATTTTCAAAGCTACCACCAGAGCTACGCTTTCAGATATGGAACTATCTCTTCGACGATTTCTTCAAGAACATGAGCGTACCCCATGGTCTGTCCATCCTTTCTTGCAATCGAAACCTCAACAAGGAGACAACTCGTATCCTATACGAACATCGCGTCCTCTCTCTTACTATCGCGATTGATTGCTCGCCTGAACGAATACTGGAATTCTACGCTATCGTGGATGCAGCAAAGGGCGCGGGAAATCTAATTAGTGTCAAGCAGATAGAATTGAGCTGCCTTGATGATATCCTTCGACTTATCCGATATTTTCCAAGCTGGAGATTCCAGAAATGTGGGCCGTGGATTAACGTCGGCTACCTATATTCGCGATCGCCCAGCGAAGAGTTGGAGCTGTGGGAGTGTGTTTTCAGGATCGTCGAAACTTTGAAACTCATACCGAACGGCAAAAACATCACATACAATACTTTCCATCCCTACTTTCTAACCCTAAAGAGACGACTGGAACTAACAAATAGCGGCGTGATGAAGGACTGGTTTAATGAAAGATTCCCGGGGCAGCCTTTACCACCTCGGTCCTGCCATCGTCCAGACACTCTTGATCACGATTATAGCCCCGGTCCATACCTAATCATTCCGGTCCACTACTATACGGTATTGCGGGCCATGCATTCTGTCGAGCTAAAGCAACAGGAACGAGATAAGCCAGAGGCTGAGTTATGAACTGTGAGATTCGGAGTCTGCGGCCTATTGAAACTGAACCCATGGGCCTATCAAGGCTGCATCTTGGAACATCTTCTCCCAACTACCAAGTCCTTTCACACCCTGCTGCCGCCCTGTCTACCGGCGAACACAGGCTGTACCTGGCATCTATCTACCAAGAGCTGCTGCTTGTGGTAGGCTATCTTCTGTGGTCACACGTTTTAATACAGACCTAAACCTATTACTTGACACGCCACCAGGCTCTTTTGGGCTCACATTAATGAGTCTTTAGAAGGGGCTGCAGGACCGGGGGATCTGTTTCCCAGGCTTGCGTCGGTCCTAAAACAACAAGCTCGGCGGCGAGTCAAAGAGAGATAGGCGCTCCTATGGGAAAAGGAGAAAACGGGCAGACTGAATTAGAAGCTGGTTCCAAATCCGCAAAAGAGGACATTATAGTTGTTTACGGGACTCCCGAAGCACTACACTTCAATCCTGGTGCAAATGAGAAGTATGCGCATTGCGCTCAAACACTTCTTATTTAAAGTCAACGAGGTCGACTCCGACTTATGTGATTGTCTCGAGGGGTCGCAAACACCACAGAATATCCTGCTACGATACCCGCGATTTGTGGATGAACGCAAAGACATTATGGGTAAGATCTGTGCACGGCCAGATCTCAGTGCGAATTTGCCCGATTATGAGGCACTTGTGTCTCACCCGCATGCGACTCGCTACGTCGTATAATGTATGTAGTTTAAGGACATTTCAAAATAGAAGGAAGTACACATGCAGAGATTCACATGACGTATAACGCACGGATTCAATATATAATGATGTGCACATGTGTGCATAATGGAATTCAAAAACAAATATGAATTTGGAATTACTCGTAATTTACTTTCGGCCGGTAGGAAAGTTGAAATTGGGATGTGACCCTTGGGTGGCCTCTGTCGGCCGCTATAGTTCCTCCAGTGCTCCCAGATTGGAAGCGGAAGGGGGAAATTAGGTGACAACATTTGAATGACAGGCATATATTCAATGCTCTTCAATGTTAGTGATTGCTGAGGAGGGAACTCCCTCTTCTATCATAAACATATCCTTTCCTTCTCTTCTATCCCTTCTCTGATGTCTATCCCTTTGAACCCTCTTCTATCCTGAACATATTCTTTCCTTCCAGACTCTTCTATCCCAAACACATTCTTTGCGAAGATTCAAGGCTCTTGTAATTCATATCTTTCTACTTTGGACCTCCGGAGTCGGACGGACATCCTTGCGTCGCTATGACCTCTTGCGATTGTACTACGCATACCCTTTCCAGCTCTGAAAAGAGCGACGAGCTACCGGACCCCAAGATGCTATCTTTACCGGGGGACAAAACACCAGAAGAGGCTCATCTAGAGCGAGAAGGATGTATCAGGGATCTCCAAGTGTTTCGATACAACCTCTACAAAAAAGAGTCAAAGGTCAATAAGTTCGACTCCTTTTCCAACCTCCTCCACTACGAAGAGCAGCTGCGAAGGAATTGTCAAGCGGAGATTGTTTTACGGCACAAAATGAAGAATAATCCGAGTTTCGGGGGCACTGGCATTCCAAGCTTTGAAAAGGAGATGACCGCACTCTACCAGGACAATTGGTTGGAGACACGGGCCTGGTGGTATGCCCGTGGTTGGATCATTGGTAATTCCGGGCCCTTAAAACGGGCATTTGAGTTATGGAGATCCAATTCTTTGTGGTATATGCATCCAATTCTTGTTGAAGACTGCAAGTCTAGAGGCGGGTGTTGTGGTCGTGATTGTGGATGTTGTCTTGATGTTCAACGTGCAAAAAGTTCAGCCGGGGTGTTTGGTGTGGGACACTGTACTCTAGAATGCGGATGTTGTGCGAGATCGCGTGGCTTTAAACTGACTGGGAAAAGGGAAGAATTCCATGTTTGTCGCTTCTCATTTGATGATAAGGTGGATAATATGAAGCATCATCTCGATCCTTATCAGCGCCGAATTGCTCTTGTCTCTATTTTGGGTTTGAGTGTGGATGATTAGCTAGCTCATCCAGAATGAGGCTCGTCCATGGATTGCTGAATGCCTGTCATAGGACATATCCGACTATATCAATATCAAATACATTATCTCAAAAATAACGACGTTACAAAATCGTTCCTTCTGATATTAGTTGCGTTCGTTTAGAAGTCAATGACGATTACGCTCTTTTCTTCGCGATGGTCAACGCCTGGTGCCACGGCGGCGTTGACGATATGACTTTCCCTCCGGCCATCAATATTCCTTCCTATGGCAATCTTGCTCCATAGAGTCTGTTTTAGAGCTCGTAACAGGCCATAGACTTTCCATGCCATTTGTAGTCCATCCATGGCGTCTTCAATATCATCGTGTTGGATAGCCGCGAGGCCATATGCCCCGTGAATATGACCACAGACAACCATCCTAGGCTTCACCCTGCGTATTTCGCACAGTAGATAGCCATCGCCCTTCACCTTGACTTGGCCAGTCGGTCTTTTCTCGCCATCATTATCTCCATATAGAGCGGGGGGACCGTGAACCACCAGGATATCAGTATCGTCCGGAATGCGTCCGGTCCACACGTCGCGGATTGGAGGATATTGAAATGCCCAGAGACCAAACTCCGGTGTCAATGGAGACCCATATATCTTCACCCTGCGCACTTGTTGCTTTCCCAGACCGGGAACTGGCAGTTTCAAAGTGATTGCTTCATCTTGCAAATATTCGACCCCGCTCCAATCTAACTGTTTTCGCTCGGTGGCACTATCTCCCGCGCGTGTGAGAAATTTCGCGTCGCTTTTTTCGTCTAGGAGAATATCATGATTTCCCGCAATCACGATTTTGTATGTATGCGGCTGTGACGATAACCATTTGAGCTGTGCTTGCATTTCAGCGAAGGTGCCATGTGTGGTCAGGTCGCCTGCGTGAATCAGGATGTCACCAGGTGGAAGGATAGGTGTTGAGTTGTGCGTATCTGAGATGCATACAATGCGTATTGGAGGGACACCGTCCTGATCATTTTGAAGGTTGATCGGTGTTGTCGATGGCTGCTGCGGTGTAGTGTGTCTGGGGCTTCCACACAGAATGTCTGATAGCGGCTGAATTAGGCGGCCCAGCCACGTTGGTGGCCGTGACTGATTATATGAAAATGGGAGTAAGTGGTTGTTCATTTCCAGTGTTTGCAGACCGCAGCCTTCTAGATAATATTCGCTCAAATGCTTGCTGCCGCTTTCTTTGGAAACATTTGAAGGCCAGGATATTGATTAGAAGGGGGCGCGCTCTACTTCCTGAGGTCTGAGTCGTCTGACCGATGCCATTAAAGCGGCGCTCAGTCTATCCCCAATCGGACATACAGAGAGGTTATGTAATTGGCAACAGTGAATCTAGACTAAAGCGTCAATTTATGCAGTCATTACAAGGGACGGATTACGGGAGCGGATAGTGGCGTGGACACGCTTTTTTTATACATACATATTTGCTTTCAGACATCTGTTAATCTTATGCACAGGTAAAAGTACAGTAGAAAAAGGGAAAACTCAAGGCACCTGGGTGATGAAGACTCCAGATGTCAGTAGACCCCATTTTCCGTAGATAGGCTCAAGGGTATTGAAACATTGATTTGTTTACATTTCTGTCCTCAGCATAGAAAACACTCAACGTTTGAGTCTTATTGAATTCATTCATTCATGCGTCCGGGAGAGACAGACAGAGTACCTCTTAGCAAATCTCTAATATTTGAGTCGACCTTCCTACATAACTCAACATTGAAGAGCCTGGGCGTATTGCTCCGTGGTATGGTCAAAGAGATTGTTCAACGCCGTCAGCGTGAATTATTTCCGGTGTCTTCAAACTTGCGAGCACTTAACATTGAAATACCCTTCGAGCTAAAGATAGAGCAGTAGTAAATTTCTTTTCACATCAACGTGGATAGTTTCTTGCCAGCGAGGAGGACGGCTCCATAAGATAGACAGTTGACGTCAATGGAGCATCGCCGGTCAATTTCAAGGTATTCCATAAGCTAAGAACGATGTCTGAGTCTTGCTTCAGCAGTTTAATTGACCCATTCTTCTGCATATAGTCGATGTAGAATAGTATCAATTGATCTTAAAGGCCCTTGAGTGCTTGTGAGTGCCACCACATCGCTGCCGAGTTTGAATTGTCAGTAATAATGGAAGACATAGAAAGGTCATTTTTAGAATCATGGGCTCTGTGAGCATCCATGTAGATTGTTACATAATATCTACATAGTGAAGAGGGGAACAGTCTGCGAGCCTGCTAGCCACTACGGACTACTAAGTTCGTCACTGCATGTGGGAGTAGTACATATGTAGTGGAAGATAAGGTAGGAAGACCTAGGGGGTGGCTTGCACATGTGTGGAAGGAAAGATGGCCGAATTGTTTATCCCTGCGCTGACGCGCTTCAAATGTTAACTAGTACGTATTATATAACTAACTAGTCAGTTAACTAACATTTGAACCATCACATTTGCCTTATCAGGTACATACACCGCTCTTCCCTACTACAATAGGTAGATACCTGATGATCATACTATGTCCAGGCTTCTCCAGGGCTCGAGAGTTAGCTCATTCAAGTGGAATTCATTGCAAGATTTATAGCCTAGATACATTCATGGATTGTGAAAACATCCTAGGAAAATCATCACCTAGGCAGGAATTCATTTGCAAGCCTCAGGTCTCTTTGGCGGTTTTAGTCTTTCTTCTGCGCTTGGCTTCAAGACCCGAGGACGACAGTTGAGCTATTGTAACTGGGTCTACGAGACCTCGTGTTACATCTGCACGATCTCTGCGTATTCGCTCTTCCTCGACAGCTCTAGCTGCTGCCGCTTCTGCTGCTGCCTGTGTATATGTGCAGCCGCCTGCTCTGCCCCTTTTTGCTGTTCTTGGTTACTTCCGGAGGGTATGCTGATTAATATTTCTATTATTTTTGTTAGAGATAGAAAGACCGAATTAGAAAATTATTAACCTTAAGAACCTTTAAGTTCAAATGTTAGAAGTAGGTTTCGAGTTACTGATACCCAGGTAGGTACCCAGGGGATTAAGATCTGTGATTTGCCTATCAGGATTTATGAGGAGGCACTGTGTACCAACATTAGTAGATTCGAATGTTAAAAGTGATAAATACTATTGTATGGAATTTTGGAACCTTGGAATCAAAAGGATATAGTATGGTTGTAGTGGTGGATTGAGAGGAGACCTTAGGAGCTTTATATAATATAGTGGAAGCGGGGTAACCCCTGTCTTAAGCTAACACATAATGCAATAACATTTGAATAGTGTGAATGGGTAAATTATTTGATCAGGACTTTAGGCTACTATGAATCGCTAGCGGCGTTCTTAAACCGCTGACACAAAGTTGTTTTATAATCTTTCTTGTCCCTAAGCTTCGAGGCAATCACTTCTTCTATATCTGTGGACTAATATTTTGATATAACACCAGGGAAATCGGGATTAATATTATATGTTGATGTGAATAGGGGGTTGATATGCTATTCGAATAGATTGTAGAGCCCCTTTGGACTATCTAACGCCTAAAAATACTAGAAGTTATTGGTCCGGAAACCTCTTCTTATAAGCCCTGTGTAGTATGAATAGGAAGAACTGATGGGCGGGAATGACTTCTCCTCTTCCTGAAAAATATCCAAGAATTCGTTAAATGTTGCTTTAAATGTTTCGAGATGCTTATCTATTATATTATCGATAGAGAGGCCGGTCAACCAATAAGGGGCACGTAAGGTCTTGGTTGGTAGTGAAGATGCCTATTCTAGATCAATCAAGTGTTTGATATTCTAATCATTATTAACGAAGATATTGCTTGGATGGAGATCTGTTAAACTATAGAAGAAAGGCCCTTGGCGAAGGTTATAATTAGTGAAAGAAGATAGGAGAGTATATATAATAGTTAGCCTTGCCATTTAATCCTTGCCATCCTCCTCATCGATCAGTAAGTTTGGTTGGTGTTGTATGCGGCTGTCATGATAAGATAATTGATTAAGATAGTAAGTATTGGTTGTTTGATAGGTTTGATGCTGACTGATATTGGTTGGGATTTGTTTATTTTCTAACTGATGAAGTCGAAGTGTTAATAGGCGATTAGAAAGTTGCAAGACGCCATCTGAGTCAAGCGTCCATGATCCTATCTTGGGAAGCGGTACTCGGCTTAAAGAGAGTATAACCCGAGATAGTCCCCTAAAAAGATTTATTCTTTTGTGCTGGAGGTGGCGGTCTTTATCCTATGTGCTTGATAGCATCTGGATTTCTGAGTTACTGATATAGTCCATGACTAAATATCTATCTTTAAGTATAACTGAGCGATGATGATGTATATAGTTATAAGGTAGCGTATAGCTAAAGAGCTAGGAAATATAGTGTTTGAGATATTAGTGAATTCTGGTTTGCAGAGGAATATTCCGAGGTGTTGTGAACTATAAGAAGCTTGTGTTAGATTCTAAATAAGTAAGTCAGACAGAAACATGTTCAATATATACTTTGGCCACCGACAAGGCCGAATCCCCATAAGTGAGGTATTGGGACCTCAGGGTAATTCTCCTGTAACCATATGAAAGTTGCTACTTTGCAACGCAGTTTTTCATCGACGTTTCCAGGATACGCAGATTCCCCTAATTTATATGGCAAAGGGAACCTAATAATAGCCTGTTTTTCACGAGGCTGGCCTTTTTTTCCGACATACAGCGGGATGCAAATATTGAAACTGCCGTGAAGCCACTTATTTACTTCGCCAAGTTGGCAGGTATCTAAACCAAGGCCAAGATGATATGAAGCAACCTTCTCGATCTCTTCGCGGTTGCTGTAAATTGATGTGAAGAAATCTATCCGTTGCTTAGGATAGTCTAGGTAGAGGAGCATGTTTTCTTCCTCTTCAAGGGCAGCTTTGTACGTGATAGGGCCTCCTCGCAGAAGAGGAAGAGTAACCTCCGGTGTAGCTTCTCGAAATTCCATCATGAAGATCTAGCAGTTTATGCTGGTAGCTGAGTAACACTGAATTTAGCCAGTGATGCACGCAATGAACGTTCTGTGTACGGGGAATGGAAGGGGCACCCCTGATCGCCTGTGGATCAATGCTTCCAGAATCCAGATGTCAGCAGGCTCGCGGATATATGTTAGTCCGCGCCGAGATTCTTACACTGCACTTGAGGACCGTAGAATGCACTTTCAACCGATTCACTTATTTAGTCGGAATTTACGAGAGAACATTGAATTATTTATTTGAAGAGACACGGTTATCTGATATGTACTTGCCAGTGGTATTCAATTTTATGAGCGGCTGCATCAATTTTGACATCATATTCCAGACACAAGATCAGCGCCACTGCTGCGTGTGCGGCGTGCCTGTGCGTGGTCTTGACTCTTGACTCATATTTACCACCAACAGTCACTTTACCAGTCAATATTACTTCCCATCCGAGGATTGATGAATTCTAAGATTCTATATGCACATTTATACTCACTTTGCCTATGGAATGACGGGCACCGGATATTAGGCACTCCATTCCCATTTCCAGTCCCATTCCCAGGCAATTTGCCTGACCATGGCAACATTGCTTCCTTTCCATTCCTCGATCATGTTCAGTGCACTCTCTTCCAGCGGCTCGTTCCATTTATTCACAGCTTGCAAAAGGTTCACTGCCAACTTCACCCTGACCCATTCCGCGACGATCTCGTGTGGATTGTTTTCGTCTTTGAGATTTTCTCCCAGAAGTAAAGCGCAAGCTACTCTATCCTCTTGTCTGACCTCTAGTAGGATCGGTGTAAGGACATCAATTTGCATAAGCAATACAGGATCTGCCGCGTATTTGGAGATTAATCCAATGATACATGACACAAACTCATCCAACGCCGGCCTAGACGACTCCGGTTTCCAGGATGGCGACGGAAGCATCTCAACCTCATATTCAAATTTGCTTGGGAGAGTCATGGGATGAGTAGTCAACTTCGGCGACCATCCTTCTTTTCGGACGTTTTCGGTGGTGTCGAAAATACTGCTCATAAGATTTGTGGCAAAGGCATAAAGCGATCTCAGATCGTTATTGAGCTCATCTCTTGCCTTCCTCACCCCCCGCAAGATCTTCAATGTAGACCCCGGATGAACAGTAAACATTCTCAACGTGGAATTGTATTCAACCGGAGACCTGCTGAACACTTCGATGCGGGATGCGAAGTCCTCGAGGAAAATCTCGTCAGTGATAGCGTTCGGTTCCTTGCCGCCTAGCAGAGAGGGGAATTGGTAGGCATAGTTGAAAGATAATCGACTGTTCTGGGAATTTAAAAATTCTTGCCAGTGGTCTTGAACATTGGCAACATTTGTCGTCGGGTCTGTGCACGCAGCAAGCGCCTTGGTAATTCGATTGAAAGAGTCGCGGTGCAGATAAGCAAGGCCCCAGTTGCGGTGATACTGCAGATACGTGCTTGGAAGGTACCGTGCCCAGTTCCGAAGGACTTGGTCAACTAGATCAAATGAGAATGGACCTATATCTCCATCGGTCAATGCTAGATCCGACAAAGAGAGACCGAGCCGTGCGAGCAAGAGTGTCATCCATCGAGCATGTTGGCGAATAGACTCCATCACCAAAGGCAACACTATCTTTTGAACGTAATTCGAATGAAGTTCTTTCGGTATCTCTCGGGCAGCATTTGAGACAAGCAAATCCAATATCGGACGCTGAGAGCCCAGGATAGAAGGCAGTGAGCCCCCGGCTTCCGCGATACGCCAGTCATTGTCAGTGGTAGCTTTTCTTTCACTCGGTCCTGCAGCAGATGAAGAAATCTTGGCTAGGACATTGAATAAGCCAGCTGCCTTATTTTGACTTATCAGCGTGAATAAAGATTTTATTATCTCCACGCGGATATCAATGTGGTTTGTAGCGTCGCACATACTGCCGAGAAGCTGCACTCGAGTAAACGGTGCAAGAAAGTCCGCCTCGGCAAGACTTTGAACGAGCATCTTCACTGTTGTGACCTTGATAAACGGCTTTTCTGGGCTGTCGCTCGGTGTTTGTTGGCTTTGGAGAGTTTCACATGCATATGTTACAAGGCTCTGCATTAGGTGGCGGGCTTGCTCCGGTGTAAGAGATCTTCCGATCTTCACAAGGCTCACCTTGCGGTGGCTTGAAGAATCTCGAACAAGCTCTTTCCATATTCTGACTGCAACTCCCACCACGAGTTGCGGTTGACTGCTGTTCAACAAGATCTCGGTTAATTGCAACGTACCATTCAGAATCGTTGGATAGTTTGAAGCACTTGGTAAAGCTTTCAGTGTATCAAGGAAAGAGCAAATGAGATCTCGCAGTAATTCAGCTGACACATTTTGAGTATTCCACTTCAAAACTTCAATTGCCTTGTTTATTGGGCTTTGATCTGCGGCTCTGGTCACCCGGGTGATAAACTCGTCGGCCAGGTATGTTGAACCGTAGCGGGGATAATCACTACCCGGGAAGCTTTTCTGCAAGAGCCGTGACTGTGGGGTCAAGGTATCTAGGAAAAGCAGAGCAGACAATATTGCTGCTTCTTGATGGCTGTCAGAGTAATTATTGTCTTTGGTAACGAACAATGAAGCATTTTTCAACCAAATTGCGACAGGATTAGACATCTGTTTAGGCTTTATCTCTCTGGTTCGTATAACCCCATCTGCAAATTTATTCGAGCATTGCATGCGGTAATTGAGAAAGATGCAAGGTATCTCTTTCAGCCTTTCCTTGTCAATATCAGGTGTGTAAGCGACCAATTTATCTTGCAATGGTTCTTCTGGGTCCCATTCTGTCACTTCTGGTCCGGTTGGAACTTTCGATATCAACAGAATGGGCGGTTGAAGTACAGAAGGATGCACAAGGTTGATGATCTCGTGCAAATCGACTTCTCTGTTGTAGTGAATTTTTCGTAGGAGACCAACAAGCCAGTCCTGGAAAATCTCCAGTTGCAATGTGTTGGCTTCCAAAATTGACGAATAGTGCTCCCAAATACGTGTGACCCACTTTACCTTGTGTGCCTGCTCTCCATTTTCGATAATAGCATGGATTATGAAGGCTAGATTATCCGCAAACTTGCCCACGGTTTCAACTTCCCGTGGTACTGAGGCAAGGATAATATGTCCTGGGCTGAACAAAAGTTCGTGAGCCCTTGAAGATAGAAATGGTGCTTCTTCAGGGCGCTGCAATGCATGATACAACCATGACTTAGTGGCTAACGATTGGATTGGAAGACCGCGAGACCAGCAGGGTCTTAATGAGAGAACTTCCGGGTTATCACGAGCACGTAATCCTTTCCAAAGCTCATTGCGGGCTTTCTGGAGTCGATCAATAAATGAAAGACTAACTTGACAAGGACTGCCAGAATAATAAATATCCGAAACAAGTCCTGATGGACCACTCCAAGCAAATACTACCTGGTCTTCCGTATTTCCTTCACGTTCATAGTCGATGATGATGGGCAGTAAGGAGTCAAGCATCATTTCAGCCAACTTGAACTCAGTGGCTATTCCTTCGATGGCGTAGGATTTCACTGCATCGATCCTCAGGCGGATTATTTGAGAGAACATCAAGGAACCAACACAGCTTGTCACACTTTTCATTCGAGCCCAAGGTTCACGGATTAAAAGCAGATAGCTCTCAAGCAAGCTTTTCAGAGTCACATTTACTTTCTCCAACTCGGCTCTGAGAACAGATTCTGACGCAATTTTTTTGGATCGAATATCCGGTCCACATGCAAGAATTTTTCCCGCTTCCGCATGGATAAGCGCCAGTATGCTGGGAAAGACTTGCTGTGAGCATCATAACAAGTCAGCAAGATGAACCTTCGAGTTTTCTTTGTTTGGTCAGACGCACCTGGTCTCGTAGGAACCGTTTGCTCCATTCTATTGACTCGCAGACAATATACACTGACTTTGTATCAAAAGCAAGTTTTATAGCCGAGCGTGCCCAGTTCAGCCGCTGAGCGCCATCTCGCTCACATGTTGCTTGCTGCTTCATCTCGAGGAGTGCTACTTATTGTTAGTCAGTTCGCTACTTATCATATTATGGGACACTCAAATACCTTTGCGAGTGACTACAAAATCGTCACTTGTAGCGGCAATCAAGAACTCCCAACTTGCCCAGAGTGAGCATTGTTGTTCCCATGACAGGAGCCAAGCATTTTGCTCCACCAGGTTTTTGGTTAAAAATGTGTCGCAATTATGGATATACAGTGATCGTTGAAATAGAATCTTGGAGCTGGGCCCTGGCAACATGGACAAAAGACGATTCTCCCATATAGGGACCAGCTTCTTTTCTTCTTCCGACGGAGGCCAAGCTGTGAGATCAAAGTTCAGACTGGGCGAATGCCTGCAAATGAGTTGAAGAAACTCGAGTCTTCCGTCCATGTGTACATTTGATATCAGATGTGTTAATTGGCGGGTAAATTCTTGCTGCCCTGACTGTGTCGAGAGCCGATCTTCTCTCACTTGCAAAACATTTTCTATCAGACAAATTTGTAATTCGGCTTGGTTCACAGGCCTTGGTTGGGAGGGAGAAGATGCTCCGGATTTTTTCATGGCCGCATGGAATGGTTTCGTAGATCCATATCTGCCAAACCGTGCCATCGACCAGCATCGAATGACATCTTTTGGTAAATCCCGAGATAACCAATCAGATGAGTCCGCAGCTTGACACATTTCTAGGCTGAGGTTGATGATAGGCAGAATAGACGCAAATGGCAGTCTTCGACGAATGGCAATGCTCAGGATCAGCTCAGTACATTGACGCATCAGGCTCGGAGATGTCCGTAAGTCAGGCTCGCCGGCTCTAATTTGCAACAATAGATCCACACCGAATTTTAGGCCAGGGAAATTTCCGGAATAGATGTCTGTGGCATGAATCGGATCATACGGCTCATTCGATTTCAGTAACATTTCAGTACATGTTTCCAAGATATGCCGACGCACGTCGGATGGTATCTTTACCACACCAATAGCTATCTGCCGTAAGAGATGTGAATGCAATCGACTGACATCGCGGGTAAAAGTAAGAGAGCTGGGGATTCCGGAACTCAAAATCTCCATCACTTTTGTTAGACTGCAACGTGCATACAATAGAGCCACATGTCTTGACAATGATCTTGTAGTCCAGGGGTCTGATTCTTCGATGAGGGTCACGAGTTCATCAAAAAATGTGGCGAATAATTCTCTGTCCGACTCCTGGCCAGTTTGAGAAATGGCGCTGATGAATAAACGCACTTGGACCAGGGGGAGTTCATCAAGAACAGCCTTTATTCCCTGAGAGCCTCCAAGTCGGTCCCACCCAAGGGCTTTCCGAGAGGGTTTGCGGAAGATGTGCTGGACAAGTTTGATACCCGCTTTGCGAATCCCAGCGGACGTCTGGTCTCGGAGTGCAGCCAAAAGGATACGGCCATTGGGCAAGTGTTTCCAGGAGGTGAATAACCAAACTCGATAGACATAAGATGGAATGGCCTCCGCGTGGGCCAGATTCAAGAGGTGTGAATCAATCGAGTTGAGGTTCTCGTGCGAAGGGTCCTTCTTGACCATGTTTTGCAGGTGCTTGGCGAGTGCGGCTGGATGGACCAGCAACGCCTGGGGCTGCAAGCCAACTGGAGTTCCCATCTCGTGTGTTGGTGTTTGTTGTGAGAATTTCTGCTTGAATTGTAGACATCGGGGGGCAGTTACAGCTTAAATATCTTCGAGCTGTTGAAAATCGAGTCATCGGTTTGGACTCCGATGGAGCGGAAGACGCGGGGACCCAATCGGGAAAGGTCAGGCTGAAGCTCAGGGCAACAACATAAAAGGCCTTAGAAGTTAGGCTGCCTAGCAGAGTCAACAGACTTTCAACAGATCAATTGATGCATTATACAACCCTCAGTTTACTACCATTATCCCAAGTATGTACATAGAAAATGCCATAATTTAAGTCGTGTTAATTAAGGGGCACGCCCACAATAACAGCGTGTTTCAGCATTATGTAGGAAGGCGGCAATCTCATGCGGTTGATTAGCGGTGACACGGGAACACCAATTCGCCGGGGGGATCTCGGCATCCTCATTCCTCACTTTATTGGTAGCCTTAGCTCCACTGCCGCTTGAAACTAAGCCTTGAACGATATTTTTAATGCAAAATGCCCTCCGCTTGCACCATTCCAGGCCCATTTGAGCCTTGGACCTTTTATCTGTCGCCTCTCCTATGTGGAGAACCAAAACCCCACAGGCCAACCATAGCCCGATGTGATAATCCCAAAAGCAAAGCCCGTGCCAATCAGCTTATCCACTAAAGAACCTGAGCTGGCTGTGAAATGAGACCCTCTAAATGATTTTCAACTGATGTCTCCGTACTTCCTCCGTGCGACTGAGATTGCCGCAAGTAGGGAACTTTCTTATTTCTCTTCCAACTCGACGCCAAAGTTACTCCCATGCGCGACTGAGCTCCCCACTACTTGTCTACGGAGCTCGGTGAACTTGAGTACCCCGGCCTCATCTGGACCCTCGAAATGATCCACACATCCTCCTAGCCCATCATAACACCACAATCGGACATGGCTTTATCCTCAACCCAGCTGCGCTGGGGCCGAATTCTGATCATTCCGTTTGGGGCTCTCGTTCTCCTATGGCGTCTCTGGCCACTGTCACCTAGCCAAGTACCAATTACACCATCCCAGCGGGACTGGGCCTGGGACGGGATACATGCCATAGAAAACCAAACAATGGGCGTAAGTTCCAACCCATTCTCAAACCACAACATACTTCAATTGACCACGCTATAGTTTGGGAAAATTTTCGCCATCAACTTGCCCAATCGACCAGATAAGCGCGACAATATTGTTCTGGGGTCATCAGTCTGCAATTTTCAGGTTGAATTCGTCGACGGTGTCTCTCCAGATGCTATTCCGCCGAAAACATATCCATACGTATGGCACACAATCAATTGGTATTGCAATTTAGGTGCTAAGCCACTTCTAGAATTGGAATCCCGACCATAGCGCGAGCGAATACGCTGCTCGCCGAGCACATCTAAATGGCATACGACGGTACGCACCAGATTATATCGCTTCATGTGCCGGGGGCCTTCAATCTGATTTTATATAGAATTGTCGAACAAGGGCTAGACAGTGGACTCATTGTCGAAGACGACGCCGATTGGGATTTGAATATCAAATCTCAACTCCAAAGCTTCGCCCTCGCGATCCGTGGACTCCAAGGAACAACCAACATACCAACCACGTCGCCGTACGGGGATGACTGGGATATTCTCTGGCTAGGTCACTGCGGCTTGGAATGCAAGACTAATCTCCCATATTACGAAAGCGCAGACGACCCTACCGTTCCTCAGCCTCAGCATTTTCTTCCATACTGGCGCGACTCGCCCGCAATTGAACGGCCCGACCGGTCCCGATTGGTATGCACCGCCCAGGATGCCGTTTGTTCGAGCTTTTACGCTGTAAGCTACCACGGTGCTCAAAAGCTTCTCGCCGCATTGTCTGTGAACCCATCCGGTCTTGCCGAGGAGATTGACACGGGTGCACAAATGGACGTAGCAGTAGGCCGCATGTGCGGTCATGGATACTTACGATGCTTTGCTCCGTATCCCGCTATCACGGGTGCTTTCCGCTCCGCGGGAGCCGCAGAGAAAGGCTCGGACATTCACCAAGAAGGTGAAGGCAACACCGTTGGCTTTGCTAGCTGGGGAATGTTATATAGCACGATGTTAAACGTGCAGCGAATCCTCAGAGGTCAGCCTGTCAAGGCAACATGGGGTGATGTTGAAAAGCCCATAATGGTTCCGGAAGACATTGGAGTTCGAGAAGGAAAGCTCTACAGGAAGGATGAGAATGGACCACAGATTGTTGAGACTGTGGCAGTGGATGAACAATATCGAAGGACTGTCCATCTGTATAAATAGAATGACAAGGTTACGCTAGATTTCCATTTTTTTCTGACCAAAATATGAATATATTTACAAATATTCATGAATTGCAGCCCTTCAAATGTTGTCGATTTGAACATAGGGTTCCAAATCTAGGCCAGGCCATCTCATACCTTCTAGTACCTCTGGGTACCAAGATTTTAGCCGCGCAATGGGATTTGTAGGGACCCCAGCCGAGGCTGAAGCTTTGAAAGTGGAGAAATAATTGAAACCTTGATCAGCATCTATTTGAATAGATCAATCTTGGACGTACTATCAGCCTGGACTTATTCCACATGTGCAGCTTGACGTAATTCCATATCTACTAGTATCAGGCATCATCATCATCCAGGTATGAACAATGCTGATCTCATGTTCAATGTTCACAACAAAGCACCTGAGAGGTTCCAGATGTCGCTTTGACCGTTTTGTGAACCTTTGCGCATTAGCTCAACACGCCGAAGCATAATTCTCCCATCTAAGCGCTCTGGCCCATTAGCGTGTTCCTAGTTATGCACTTAGATCTTGATCAAGCCCCCTTTAATTCTTAATCAATATGTGCTGTGTAAATATTATATGGTTTTCCTACCCCGTGTTAGTACTGCATTTGGAGAAACCTAGTAGTATATCGGTATGAAAATACAACCTTGAAAGTCAAGCTTGGAAGAAAGAGAGCTTGAACAGATGAACTTATTCAATTAGTAGTAAGTGCTGGCCAGTCTGATTTTTTTCCTGATTGACCAGCGGGGGAAATATTTGGAAATCGGGCGGTATCCTAAGATAATACAGCCCCATGCCCCTGGGGCCTAGCGCAGCCACGACGAACCATACACGATCTCCTGTTAACCCTTCTCTTCCTTCTGCCCTCGTCCTATTGCTCAGATCTTCTACCGAAAATGCGCCTCGGGATGCACACCCTGACAACATAGTACATGATAATTTCTCTCGCGAGGCTCTTTCTGGCGGCTAACAAAAGCACGAACGGCATACGCTGGGGGTCATGATGGATGTCACTTATTGTTGTAAAAGGTACAGACATCCGCATCGTCTCCGTCCGTTCCATGAGTAAATTCATCGAATCCCGAGGCCTAAAGGAACTCTTTTTACTTTGAACTAAAAGAATATTACCAGTATTCTCTTTTGTGATGTACTTGGCACATGCCCTAGTTCCAATCATCTTGGGAAGTAGTCTTGTCGCTGCCGACAACAAAAACTACTTTACAAGTCCTGTTTCCAACACTGCAGCCAGGCCCAGCTTCACGCTCGGGGACCAAGTTCAAGTATCATGGGTCACTGAGCTAGGTGAGTTCAATGTCACATTTTGGCAAGAAAGTCTTGTCCAGGAAAGCGCTGCAAGCCAGGGAAATATCTACTGTATGTCCACCACACGAACCATGAAATGCTCAGGAACTCAGAGCTGGAGACTAACACCATGCAGCCAAGATCCATGCCAGCGACCAAGTCACAAACTTCACGTGGACCGTTCAACTTCTCGGTTTCGACTTATCATACTCGAATCAATTTTTCCTCTGGGTAAACCCAGATGGTCCCGATGGATTTGTCTCTACATACTTCAATATCACGGAACCCACCACAACCACCACCACTGCTATGACCGCAACAGCGACCACAATAAATACCTCGAACCTTGCCACGCAACTGCCATCGACGGGGACAGAGGCAGTTGCAGTTGCTACCCGCTTCTGCGAGCTCTACTGCCTCGGTCGGCTTAACAACCACAAACAAAATCGCACTTGGCGTCGGCGTCGGTGTTGGAGTTCCGATCATCTGTGCTCTTGGGATCCTTCTCTTTCTGAGACCTCGACAAGATAGAGGCAATAAGATCAACAATAATGACAATCACAATCACAATCACCACAAAATAAGGGGCATCAGTATCTCAGCGCCGATGACGGCACCCTCATCGGAAGCAGTGGCACCTTGGCCAGGTACTGAGATACGACAACAACCCAGTCGTTCGTTCCCGCTCCGAGATATGGATGCGAAGGAATTGCCAGATTACCGCTATGATTCGAGCCTCCGTTTTGAGCTGCCTAACTCACCTTACCGATGATGTCTGTACCTCCTAGGTATATATCATGTGTGGATATATGTCTACGATTAGAGACAAAAAAAATATGTGTCAATTCGCTGATACGTGGGAAATGGGCGGATATTTTGTGAATGACTTTTGCTTCAAATGTTCAATAATTCTGCATGTGATTGGTATTCAAATGTTTGGAAGAAATAAAAAGAACATTCAAATGTTTGAAACAACTCAACATTCAATCCACCGGACAGACATCTAGTAGTGTTGGCGATAATATTTACGGAAATAAAAAAGTTATCCGGACACGCGGAATCGAACCGCGGACTTTCTGATGAACTGAAATTCTATTACAGTCAGATGCGATAGCCAACTACACCATGTCCGGATTTGTTATGATTTGGCCGGTTGTTTTACAATATAGCTAAGTAGCCAAATAGCCATAAAGTCCACTGCGCCTGAGCTTGAACAGCGGATAACATCAATCGAGCACATGCATTTCAACACCCGTCCACTGGACCAATACTTCAATGTTTGCATACCTACTAGTACTACTAGTGCATAGCTTCAGATTTCTTATTTTCAACATGCATGGATACCGGTATGTATCCATGTTACCTCATATTGAAACATTCTCTGCCATGTTGGAACCAGTGCTTGGAAGATGATTGCCCCGGGAAGATGGATTTACTACTACTAGCTACTAGTATGTACTAGGTAGGTACTAGGTACTACTATCATAGAATATCGCAACTCCTGGTTGATGCTAGGCTAGAGTAGATACCAGCCCTGGAAGTGGACACAGGCAGGCAGCCGAGGTAGCAGCTCCCTCCAGATTGCAAAATTCCATGTGCTGGACTACATAAGGTCCCCAGTAACTCAACAACATTGAAAGTGTACCTAGTCAACCTTCCAAGGTTGCAAGACCTCACAGAAGCTCTGAAAATCATCATTGAAAAGACGGATTTTAATTTCAGTGTCCGCACCAGTGGCACCACTTCTCATAAACTAATTCCAAGCCTTGGTAGGTATCGGATTCAAGTTCACGAAAAATATACCCATAGGGGGAGCACCACGTGCATTCCTAGCTAGAATAGCACATGTTCCAGACAAAGTTGTCAGAAATTGATGGTCATTCTTGAGGTCGAGGCCAATAGGAAGTTTGAGTTAAGCGCAAACTTCTTCCAATTGCCTTCCCTCGAGATACTCAAATCGGATAGTTCGTGTACATGATTGACTACATGGCTACTAGTAGTGGGCTAAGAAAGAGTCACACCTGAGATTGCTATTTTATTCAATTTTCACTTCCTATGCGAGCGCGAGCCTATTTCGAGTGACATAAATCCTGCACCCCGGAACCTTCTCTCACTCTTACCACCCGGGCAACCACTTCCAAACACTGTTCTCATCCAACCACCAGCTCGATACTACCATTTACCTACTTCTTCACCGATCCAAACCAACATTAAAGCTAAAGAAAACCCCCACGTCATCAAAATGGTGAAAGTCTTCGAGTGGTCCAACTTCTCGATTGAGAGTCCCCGACTCCACCTCATCCATCTCGACTACAACAATCTCCTACACGCTGTTTTTATGACCGATCTAATCAACACCCCTGCGTGCATCAATGCATTTGGAAATCTTTCCATCAATACGCCAGAGAGATTCTCCCGCTACGTACGAACACAAGTCCACCCCCACTACGTCCGATACGGCTATGGCCTTTTCATGGTCTTACACAAGCCAGATCAGTACGCGGATGTGGATGAAAGCAAACCCATCGGCATGGTGTCCTTGAATCGAAGCGATTCGCATGATGCCTGTGTAGCACCCCAACTTCAATTCGCTATCATGTCCTCAGAAACTCTCCATGGGTACGCCACGGAAGCGGCGAAAACATTGCTGGATTACGCGAAGCGCGAACTTGGGATGGATTCGGCGTGTGCATTCTCTTCTGTAAGAAATGCTCATGGCGCGAGCGTGTTGAAGAAGGTCGGACTTGAGTTTCGAGGAATTGTAGATTTGACGGGCTCAGGTTCCGACGAGGGTAAAGTGTCTGTGTGGACGCTTCCTGGTATGAGTCAGGATTTGTCGATTTACCGCTTATCTTTACCTCTAACCTGCCTGTGAATGAGGGAAATCAGATATGCGATTATCTTTGGTTTGTTGCTTTTTGACCCCGCATGATTGCATCAATTAGTGCCAGCAAGCATTGTTAGTTATTTTTGATCGGAGGACAGAGCGGGATTTAGCATAGCATGTTATTACAATACCACTATTGTTCAGTATTGCTAGTACTAAGTACTAATAGCACGTTTTGTGAGGATTGGTGAGGGATCTCAGATGTAAGATTGCGGGACCATGGCCGTTAATAGCAGAGTGGGTCTGGCTGATGTGGATATTTAGTGGCGTAAGTTGGCCAACCAGTTTCGCTGATTAACAAGATTCAACAGATAACTAACTAGTTATGCAATGTTCATACTACAAAGCATTTGCTGTGAGCTGTCAGGAACGGGGAACTCCAGAGAGCCCAATCGGATACTAAAAGCAGATGCTGATTTGCTCTATTGTATGAATTCTACTATAAATCTACCTGAATCTACCTGAATCTCCTTTCGCCCTTGACCGCCCTCGGGGAGATGGTGGCAAACCCCGCCAAACCTTAAGCCGATAACGTAATCATAGATAAAGTGACTAAAGTGACTCACCCCTCCGACGTCGGGAGAGGGGCAGAAAAACCTTTCCTTTTCTTGATGACTTTTGCCTCGAAACATTCGCTTTAATCCGTTAAATTCGATCAATTTCAATATGGCAGCTGATCTGGCAGGCGCGGCTCCTACTGAGTCCCAAAAATTCCTTTCTACTCGAGGTGGCGACTACGGCGTGAGTCTCATAGATGGCCGTTTCAATGACAATTGGCTAATCATATGAAAGCTCTCCTTTGAGACTGTTGTCCTGAAGGGTCTTGCCGCCGACGGTGGTCTCTTCCTGCCCCATGAAGTACCCAAGGCAACAAACTGGGTAAGTGGTAGTCTGCGCAGGCAGAATTCTTCTTGGAACATCTCACCCGATCTCGAACTATCTCCCTTGTCAGACTCGGTCGCTAACATCAATTGTAGGAGAGCTGGAAAGACCTTTCATACCCCGACCTTGCCTTCCAGATTATGCGCCTTTACATCTCGAGCTCCGAAATCCCGTCCGAAGACCTGAAATCGATCATCGACCGAAGCTACTCGACATTCCGTACCGAGGAGGTTGTTCCGTTGGTGAAGCTTCAGGATAACCTGCATCTTCTGGAGCTTTTCCACGGCCCCAGCTACTCATTCAAGGATTGCGCCTTGCAGTTCCTTGGAAACCTCTTCGAATACCTCCTTGTGCGAAAGAATGAAGGAAAGGTCGGTAAAGACCGACACCACCTGTCGGTTGTTGGAGCGACAAGTGGCGACACTGGATCGGCAGCCATTTACGGCCTCCGGGGCAAGAAGGATGTGTCAGTCAGCATCTTGCACCCCAAGGGCCGTGTTAGCCCCATTCAGGAGGCACAGATGACAACCTGCATTGACCGGAACGTACACAACCTTGCCGTGAAGGGCACATTCGATGATTGCCAGGATATCGTCAAGGCTCTGTTCGGTGATGCCGAGACGAACAAGACTCTGAAGCTTGGTGCTGTCAACTCGATCAATTTCTCGAGAATTCTTGCCCAGATTGTTTTCTACTTCTACTCTTACTTTTCCCTTGCGAGACAGTCATCCTCTTTCAAGGTTGGGGACAAGGTCCGATTTGTTACTCCCACTGGAAACTTTGGAAACATTCTTGCTGGTTACTTTGCCACTAAGATGGGACTGCCGGTGGACAAACTGGTTGTTGCCACTAATGAGAACGATATTCTGCACCGATTCTGGCAGACCGGACGCTATGAGAAGCACCCTGTGCAGGATGCGAATAAGGCCGATGCTTGCAAAGAGACTTACAGCCCTGCAATGGATATCTTGGTCTCTAGTAACTTTGAGAGAGTGATGTGGTTCCTAGCAAGAGGTGTGTTGATGGCGCGTCCCTTTTTTCATGTTCTCAGCTAACAAGTTGATAGATTCCGCCCTCGCCTCTGGCAAGGACCAAGCCGCCAGCAACAAGAAGGCCGGTGAAGATGTTAAGGCCTGGTACCAGGCGCTTAAGTCCACTGGCGGATTCGGGCCCGTGCCTGAGGATATCATGGCAAATGGACGCCAAACCTTTGAGAGCGACCGTGTCAGCGATTCCGAGACAGCTGGAACTATCAAGAGCTGCTACCAACAAACTAAATACGTTCTTGACCCCCACACTGCCGTGGGTATTACCGCATCACACAGGTCGATTGCTCGGTCTAGCGCACCTCACATCTCGCTCTCGACCGCTCACCCCGCAAAGTTCTCAGAGGTTGTCACGTTGGCCTTGAAGGACGAGGCTGGTTTTGACTTTGAGACTCAAGTCCTCCCTGACGAACTCAAGGCTCTCTCGACCAAAGAATCCCGTGTCACTGATGTTAGCAATTCATGGGAACAGGTTGGGGAGATTGTGAAGGGATTTGCCGAGGCTGATATGAAGGCCGAGGCAAGTACTTAAAAAATAAGCCTCTTCAATCCTTATCAAATCTGCATCCCATTTTATATAAAGAATACTTGAGTGTCGAGAACAATTAGATAGTTTAATCAAAACTGAATTACATATCCATTGTTTCAAATGTTCACCTCTTGGAAATCAGATCTTTCAATTCTTGGTTTATGCTAGTTCTCCCGAGGTCTCCCTAGACCTGAGTTGCTAGCTAAACCGAGTCTACATCTCAGCCTTTCATAAAACGAACAGAATGATTTTTCTCTGGGTCTGGTGCAAAAAGGAAATTGTTGAACGAGCTTGTTACATTGTTGTTAATTGATTGTCATTCTACATTGAGACCTAAAACTTGAGCTTTCGTCGCGTCTCTTTCTTTGATCTCGGAACGGGTGTATAATTCTCCAGGCCGCCTTATCAGACGCGCATATAGTGATTCGTGAACACCGAACAGTCGCGAATTGGAAGTGGGCAGACAGTGTCTACTGTGTATAAAACCACTGGAATTGAAGCTGCCAGTGTATTCGGCGAGGCTAAGTTATCTCAACTTGCTGTTGTGGGAGGTTTTTATTAGCATATAATTATTCCTCCCTACGCGACTTCCTGTTGACCTCAACAATGGATGCTTCAACCGGAGGAGGAGCTGGAGGTATGTCCCGTGAATTCATATCATTTCGATCCATTCTGATTTGAAAAGCTCCTTTGTCGCTAGTGACGTCTGATGATGGACTTTTCGCCACCCACCTCAGTGGAAAAGATCTGGTTGTCTACTCAAGCACCACTTCAGAGCACAAAGATGTGCAAACAGCAAGAATCAAGGAAACCAACGTCAAATCTCTCAAATTCTGCCCCTCGGTATCTTCAAATAACAATCAGAGTCGTCATTTGCTCATCACAAATGAATCGCGCATCTCGGTCTGGCTCTTGGAACCCTTGCAATTAATCGCCGAAATTGAAAATATCGAACCCGGCAGTTTGAATGTCGAATTCGGCGGAGATGAAAATGAGCTACTGGTTTTTCATGCCTGGAATAACAAAATGGCAATACACTCAATAGGCAATGGTCGAAGTTCCGTGATAAAGACGCCCAAGTTCCCTCATTCGCTTGGATTCGGGTACCGCCCACGCACTAGACAGCACTTTGCCATCATCCTGAAGCCTGATGCTTCCGATTTAATCACGATTCACGAGCTACCATCCTACAATCTCCTGAATCGTACGGTTCTGCCGACCATCGATGCCCAAGGGTTAAAATGGAGTCCAGATGGGAAATGGATCGCAGTGTGGGACGTCGCCAGCTCTGGCACCAAGGTGCTAATATTAACGGCAGACGGTCAGATCTTCAGAACATACAGCGGGCCAGCGGGCGTGGATGATGCATTTGACCTTGGCGTGAAGAATATTGAATGGAGCCCTACAGCTGGCAACAGTAGCGTTTCGGAGACTCTCGCTGTAGGAAAGGTTAACGGCAACATCGACCTTCTACGGACTCGCACGGTGGGCACCCTTCAAATGAGAACAGATCGAGGATCTAGCTGACAAGTACAGTTCTCATCTTCAACTACACTCTCACATGTCTTTCCAATGGACACAAGCCCCCCTAGCATCTGGCGTGAGCGATATACAACCGCCATGGGAGATGCTGAATACGCCGAAGCAACAAGCTCTTCGGCCTTCAACATGAGCCCCGAGTCGCCCGGTCCATCCCGAGGCGTAGCTATCATGACGTTCAGTCCAGATGGTACACTTCTGGCAACTGTGGATACTATTCGATCAAACGTGGTCTGGATTTGGGCTTTGGACGGGACGCCTAGGTTGGCTTCTGTCCTGGTTCATGAGAATGCCGTGCGACAGCTCGTCTGGCACCCTTCCACGCCACAACTACTCATCAATGCCGTCGCCAATAATCTACCCGTGGTGCGATGGTGGTCTCCTCAAAGTCATCCCGTGATTGCTCGGGTTCCTACTCAGAAGAGCGAGAGTGGGAAATATGAAGTTAAATGGTTGATCGGGTCGGATCATGATTCGGCGTTTTGGTTTGGCTCATCGGAAGAGTATCTGGTAGGATATCTGTCTGCCGATGAAACATCTGTTCAATTTGAAGTATTGAACTCCGTGACCAATCGAGGCTACCCTGCTGCAAGTGCAAGTCGTTGATCTTGTCATATGTAGTAGTCACTAGCTAAACAATGACAATCATGAATGAACGCCACAATTCGGTTATTTTATTTTTAGTCTTTGAAAGCCAAGATACCTTTGTCCAGCATACAATGACTGATTATTTACAATGGCTTTTATGCCCCTTTCAGTTTATTTCCAAGGTTCAAAACTTGGTATTGATTCAAGAACAAAGAAATGAAAACTTGTCTTTGAGTATAAAGTCGCTGGTTCTGCCCAGCCATCACCACCCTTCAAGACGTCAGACCAGCCAGTCTTTCAATCATCTCAAAAATCATCAGTTCCGACATTCACATTCTAACATTTGAATGGCCAAACTACAGGAATTACATGCTGACAACTCCAGAGTCTATTTATCGGAGCCATACAAAAGACCCTATACTAACCCAAACCAAAAAGATCAAAAGTCATACAAGCTCCCTGTCTTAGAACCGGCAGGCCAGCTCCAGCCAACCTCACTTTTCTACTGTGTAAAACTTCCGATGAGCGTCCACCATTTGCTTCAACGACGGTACATTCCATTCAAAGGCTTCTCTCCAAAGTACTCAGAACTTGAAGAAAAAGTGCTATGGATTGGTGTGGACATGGACTTATTTTATATTGCACCCCGGACGGGAGAAGAGTTCATTGCATGCCTCACCAATAGGATTGATAACCATGAGTTCTACATAGATGAGGACCCGGAAGAGTCATCTTGCGTTGACCGTGGCTTTTGGATGCAGATTCGGGGATACTTTCCTGGTCCTGGTTTTGATTGTAATGTGAAAGCTACGAAGAGGCATGTGGATTTATTAGGACAGCTTATTGAAACCAAGTATGTAAGCCTTGATTGGTTTTGTACTACCTAGGTATTTCAAAAGATGTCTTGAAAGCTTCTTAATTTAAAACAACATACCAGTTGACAGAGAAAAAGATTGAAGAGAGAGAGAGAAAAAGACATCTGGATGTAAGGCTCACTTCCAAGGTTGTAAATTGAGTCAATAATTATGTATCAAAATTCATTCGGGAGTTTCTCAGGTGCTTGGATGAATTAATGTAGATATTCAACATTTGAAGACTCGATATTCAATAATTCAAGATACGCTTTGGACTTTAGAAGACCGAGGATTTCTGAAAGTTCCAAGGTTTGAAGAGATCAATTGTGTGCATGCAAGTACGCTGTATACTAGCAGCGCAACATGACCTTGTAAGCAGGAATACCTAGAGGGTTGTCAGGTTTTTCAATGCGAGGATTTATCGACAGCTGCATTGAAATGTCAACTGGTAGCACTTGAGTGCACATGTGGATGAGGCTGGGGATGTAATGATGTTATCAATGTTGGAAATCGAAAGTGGATTCTCCCTAGTATATTGACCTCAAGTGCTTATGTAGTATTTACATTCTAAGTAAATATTATAAGTACTAGTATATATATATATCAATACGTTATGCCTAGCCTCTTCAAGTAGCACTGTGGCCCATAGGCCGGGCTTCACAAATTTTATTCCCCATAAAGATGCTATCAGGCCAGTTGGACAGAGATTGAGAGAAGTAAGTTTTTCTTACTGCGTGATGAAGAGAAGATAGAAGAAGAGATTGTCAAGGTGTATAGGATCAAACGTTGGAAATAGATGAACAGAAGGAAGGAGATCGGGAAGAATGAGAAAAGAGAGTATGATAAGTAGAAATGAGGCTTGGTTGGTGAGACGAAAAAGAACAACCCACATGTGCATGCATGTGGATGGAGAATCTTGCAATCTGGGAAGAGTCAACTGATGGAGAGTAAAAGAACAGTCCAAGAGAACATTCGAAGCACTTACTGGAACTTACAACATCGAAGGATCTCAATGCGCCACTGGGATGTCTGACTACTATACATATTCCCACTTGTGCCCGGTTCTCTTTTGATCTAACATCCAGCCAGACTAGACCAACGTACTGGTAGTTACTCCTGTTTTAAATCAACATGGTATGAACAAATTATCATTATGTAGTATGAGTTGTACTTATATCAATCGTGAACGACTCGGAAGGTGTACTTGATTGATCTCCAAAAAATGAGCATGCCTTGATGATTTGCCGGTCAAATCCATGCCTCATCCATGCCTAACTGTCTCAATTAGTAAGAAGGCTGTGATTCAGTAGCACAAAGAAAAATGCATGAAGCTGATGCTATATTTCGAAGTACTTCCATAGAAAACTACTACTTAGTCACTATTTATGTAGTAGATCTAGAAGGGCTAGTTAGTTAGTTAACTAGTAGTTATGACATAACTTAACTATCCAATGCTGACATAAGCAGTGTATTCCAGCCAATAACAGCAGGTTGACTAACCGAGTGGTATCACATGATCTGGGGCTTAGGGCTTCCCTTGCTGAGTCAGGCCCCACGGCCCATTTCGCACTTGAGATCGGGCCTGCGCTACTCTTTCCTTTGAACCATCCACCCCAACAGACAAAATGGTGAGCGCCCATCCCACCCCCGACTCAAAATCGACAGTGATTAACATGATTTCGTGAAACAGGCGCCCGCAGCAGCTACCGGTGGCAAGAAGCAAAAGAAGAAGTGGTCCAAGGGCAAGGGTACGCTATCTCCATCTCCCAATACCAACTCCGCAAATCCGACCGTGACAACGACTTTCGACTTTCCTCGAACTTCCCCGAAACAACGAGAGAGACTTCGGAATCGTTGAAGCGATCACACACCCCTTCTGTCAACATCTTGCGAAATATCATACGATCGAATGCGAATGAGAACGTTGGACTAACCGGTTCTTTTTTCACTTTATAGTCAAGGACAAGGCCCAGCACGCCGTTGTTCTCGACAAGGCCGTTGCCGAGAAGCTCAACAAGGATGTGCAGACCTACCGTCTGATCACCGTCGCCACCCTCGTCGATCGTCTTAAGATCAACGGCAGCCTTGCCCGCCAGGCTCTCGCTGACCTCGAGGAGCGCGGCCAGATCAAGAAGATTGTCGGCCACAACAGCCTGAACATCTACAGTGCGTTCATCAAATAAACCCCGTGCGACCAACACCAGACTAACCCATTTTACAGCCCGTGCCGTTACCGCTGATGAGGAATAAATGTAACGTTTTATCGTTCATTTCTCGTGGTTCTTTTTTTCCCTTGTCTATGATATCATAAGGAAGCTTGGGCTGGGCGTGATGTATGGAGTGCAGCGCCCGGGACACTCGGAAGTGTGGAACAGTTTGACCTTCTGGACTAGCGTCTAGCAGAACGAATGAAATAAAAAAGTTACAAAACTTCCCATCTTTCCCGACTTTACATCTCGTGTCCCTGTGTCCCGTGATCCGAGTTATATGACGGAACTCGAATGGATCAAGCGTAGTAGATGGTTTAATTTGTGCAAAACCAAACCAAAAAAACTGTCTTCCGAAACGACTATGAATTATACATTTGAGAAGTAAAATCAGAACTAGACCACCTCATCCATCTCGCTCCTCTTGGGTCTCTGGTTCTGCGCCGCACCGCAAAGCACCCGCTTTCCATCCTCAGGATCAGCTTTAACCCCAACCACCTTGCCAGCCCGGAAATACTTCTTAGAATTCCCAAAGAATCCTTCCCACCGGGCAACCGTCTTCGCAATCTCCGCCTTCGCATGCCTCATCTCCCGCTCTCGCCGTACCTTCTTCTCGGCTGACGTCAGAGTCTCATGTTCCACATCCTCCACGGGCAAGAACATCTCTTCGACCCCGCTCAGATCAGGCGTCAGATCGTCTTTGAAACAACCTGTGACGAACGCACGCGTCGCGTCTCGACCCGCGAAGAAATGATAGCCTCCGCCGGGACCGTACATACCCGGGTTCGCTGAAACGTCGAAGATAGAGCCATTAACGGCTACGTAGATGGGTCGGGACTCGTCGCTTCCATCGTAGAGAGAAAGTTGGGCAGGGGTAAGGCTAACAGGGCCATTCTGTAATGGGAATTATCAATCGCATTAGTTGTGTGATTCTTAGTCTCTTCTTTGAACCTCTCCTGGAGTACAGAGCGTGACGTGAGTGGGGGAGATCAAATGCTGCTTACAATAAACTGCTTCACAACTGGCCATCGTGTAAACCATGGTCGAGAGCCGAAAAGTACCGACTCGCCATTTGTAATGTAGTAGGAGATGCCAAATGTCGCAAGGGCCACTGTAGCGAGGACGCGAACAATGTCTAGGACGCTGATGCCGCGGTCCTCTTCGGTGTGTTTCGATCGCGGCGGCGTAGCTTCTTTACGGGTGGAGGTGGCTTTACCAGCCTGGCGTTGGCGGAGTTCCGACATGATATTGATTTTCGAGAGTTGTGGGATCGATCGGGAGAAGGCTAGGTGGCCATTGAATTTGAAGGTGTATGCCAATAGCGTTGAATGTGTGTGACGGAAGTTTGCACGGTCGGAAGGTACGATCTGGGGAAGAAAATGTCGAGCTAGGTAGGGGACGATCCACAATGTAGTACATGTCATGTACTAGTCTCATAACGCATTATTTGAAGTAATCCACCTTGACTACCAAGTCCATAGTACTAACGCCCAATATTTAGACAAGCTTGAAAGTTCAAGATTGTCATCGCAAACAATCCCCCAGCATTTGACGCTGGTAATTCATATTTTGACTATATAATCATACCTTCACCAACACTAGTGTCAACTGGTAGCTAAGACCCAGCCTTAAATATAATGTGGACATGGGCAAACAAAGGACAACCTTCAGGAATCACCATGATACATTAGAGGCCTTTCTTCTCAAGGTGCAAGAGTACATCTCGTTCAGAGCCTCCTGTACATGCAAAACCGTGGAAAGTACAGTTCATATCGTTTAAGCCAAGGTACTGCCTTCAATTTGATCATCGACTCGACCATGTTCCTCCAGCTGTTCCCAGCTGCGCGAGAACACGTCGTTCAGAGCGTCTTGAAATGTGCGGCAGTTCATATCAATCAGGCCCCGTTTCTCCTTAGCTTCGGGATTGCGGATGACCGAAACGAGACATAAGTACCTGGTAGGTGTAGTCAGTCATTTATTGTCTTCAGAAGCGTAGAAACGTAGAAACGTAGAAACAGGGGAGAGTGGGAGGGGGGGGGGGGGGGTCTTACTTGTTCATCTCCATCAAGTGAATCATGGTCTCATCATGCAACACGACATGGCTTTCCGCCTCCTGAATCTGTTCCCCCTTAGGACGACGTTCAGGGTGGTCCCACGAGTAGAGCTCCGAGATGTCAACAATCACGTCAATATAGTCGGAACACATCTCGTAGCAGGCCATGTCGACGGGACGAGTGTCAGAAGCAATGTAAATCTTGCTGAGTACATCAAAGAGATAAGTCTTTTCAAAGCCGCAGTTGTTACCTAGCGTATTGATCAAATTCTCAAGGGTAGACAGATTAGGGATTAACTTCTGAATCACTTTGCTGAAGGCTTCGAAGACGGAGTAGTCGTAGATGGAGGTGAGGTAGTAATGCACGGGTGCGTTCTCGTACCCAGCGTCGCTCAGTTCGTCTGAGATGCGCTGCACAATGTCTTGGTAGGTATCGGTGCGGTACTCATCCGAAAGTCCGTCGACCTTGTGGATAAAAACTTCGATGTTAATACCCGGGTAGTACTGTTGTACAGTCAAGATGGTACGGTTTAACCGTGCGACAGAGTCTAGATAGTCATCCTGGGCATCGATGACCCATACCAAGGCCCCCAGGCTGCCGAAGATGTCTTCCAGGTCAAACGATGGTTCAAGATATTCCAGTTGACCAGGGAAATCCCACACTTGAAAATCCATAAAAGAGCTGTGCCAAGGTCAGCAATGGATCATAATGAGATCTTTGGTGAGCTCACTGGATAGAGTCCTTTTGGATACGAGTTGTGGATTCTAAGAAGAGGGTCTCATTGGGAGGCATTTTGTGGAAAACTACACTAGCAATAGAAGACTTGCCACTCCTAGAAACCATGTTAGCTTCTCTCCAGTTCCAAGCACTTCCGATAAGAAACATACCTGCGAAGCCCCATGAGAAGAAGGCGGGGTTTGGCATCGCGAGCTTGGTTGTTGGGGATCAGAGCAGATCTGGGCTGCGTCGACCCACTGACATGGTTGGTCCCCTGTAGTAAAATCTCTAGGCTTAGCTGGGCGTCGCTCTTGTAGGTAGAAGTATATAGCAGGCATGAATTTGACGGCTGATGCTCAATGTCAAGGCCCATAGAACGCGACCTGTGGGCAGAGGGGAAGGGCATGTTGAGTCATTGGTACCGGCGTTTGCTTTTGGGGGGAAACCAAATAAAAAGGCCTGGGAATACCAAAAGGGGCAATTTATCACATCACATGCAGATGACAACGGACACTTTGCTTTTAAAGGCACCCTTGAAGGGCCTAAAAGGGGAAGGGCCCGGGGGTTGACATGGTAATATCTCGTTCACAGTTCAATCTCGCAGATCAACATGATTGTGGTCACTTGGCGCTTGTAGACAAGCCCTAGACCTGCATAGAAGGAAGCTAGAGGCCTTCCATTACCGCCAGATGCAAGTGTCTGTCTCACCATTGGTGTAGGGCAGCACACCAAATCACAAGCGGCTGACATCAATGGCGATCACCCACATCACGTATAAGATCGGGAGATCGGGAGATCCAAAGGGGGTGGAATGGGATATGACAAAGCATGAAACATGAGGCAAACATTTCATTTCTTACCTCCATCGAATCAGAAGCTCCACTCACGGGTAGCTAGGTAAGCGGGGAACTGCTGAGGGGCAAGTCAGCATGGCGCGCAGGGACATCACGATTGGGTGAAAACATACAGGAGTTAATGGAAAACAAAGTCCCCGGATAAGTCCGCTTCAAGGTAGGATATTGTGTTGAAATTAATTGCATGCGAACATCCGTTACCTGGGCTAGGCCAGGATGGATGTAGCACAAGGATCGGGCAGCGGCAGTCACTGCAGCATTCTCCCCCTCGATTATGCAGGGTTGGGGGAGATGATCTGCAACAGCAGATATTTTTATCTTGGGATTTGGAAAAGGAAAAAAAGAAAAGACGAATCAATGGCAAGGATAAGTTGAGGTGAGTAACGGAGAGACACAAGAGGAAAAGGCGGAGGCCGCTTAGCGCGTCTGCTATCGTTATCGTTATCGTTATCGTTATCGTTATCGTTATCGTTATCTCTATCACTATCACTATCACTATCGTTATCGGCATATTTATCGTCATCGAGCACCGATAAGCTCCCAGCGATGGGACTTGACACTTGAGCATGTACTGCCAAGGTTGGAAGTTGGATGTTAGTACTATATGTGGTTATAATAGTAGTATGAAGTGGTGTGTACTGGTAGTGTATAGTATATACTAGTAGACTTTCCAAGGTTACGAGACCAGTTGGAAGCCTAAGTTTGCTAACAAACACAGAACTTTTGAACAAGGTAGTAAGCGTGTATAAGTAGTACCCGTTGGATATGTATCAAACAACTGAATGCTTGTATGAAATGTCAGATACAGATTTTCCTATATAACCTTCAAAGCTGCAAAGGTTCTATCGATGACCATGTTTATGACCCTTATGATCCTGCTGATGACCTAAGTAATCGCTAATGTGATGCTTACCAACAGCAACTTCGTCTTCGTCTTCAATCTCAAAAGCAGGCCACTCCTCCCATCCATCCTCCCAAATACTGGCAATCTTTTTGCACTTGGCCTCCCGGCTAAGTTTCTTGTTCTTCATGATCTTCTCCCACTGCTTCATATCTTTGTCATCAAACAGACATTCATCCAAGATAGATGAAATCTGTGCCTCATCAACGCCTTCACCAATAAAGACAATCTCTTGCCGTCGATCTCCCCACTGGCCTCGGAAATCATTTTCGATCGACTCACGAACATCCTTGTCTTCGGGCCACGCCTCGTCGGGAACTTCCGCGAACCAGGGTCCTCCACAGCCGATCGTCAGCATGCCGCCCGCTTGGCTCCACTCACCAAACTGGTAAGGTCGGGTCGGTAGCCAGAAGAATCCTTTGGAGCGCAGAATGGGACCAAAGGCGGGATGTTTGCGCTTGTTACTCAAAATGTCCTTGGGATCAGGTTGATCAAAGTCTTCAAGTGACTCGTCATCTGTATCCATATCATCTCCCGTGTCCTCTCCTTCCTCGTCCTCATCCTCGTCCTCTCCATCTTCTTCAAGCTCATTGCTCTGAAGAATGATAAATTTGTCATGCAGAAGTGAGAACAAGCGGCGAGGATGGAAAGGCCGGCGAGCTGTGTAGACAAAGTTGTTGATTCCATACTCCAATGTCTCCGGCTGAGGCGCCATTCGCTCTCCATTACCGGTGTTCTGGATGGTCATCTCATGCAGGCTGCGAAGCCACCCAGCACCTGAGGCAGCGCGGACAAAGTCGAATTTCCCAGTCGCAAGAAGCTCACGCACATCCACCTGCGAGTAACTAGACATCAAGACCTTAGCATCAGGATTAAGCAACTTGAGAAGTTGCATAATCTTTTCACGGGTTTGTTGATCGATGGTCTCGATCTTGTTGACAATGAGCACATCGGCAAATTCAATCTGATCAACCATCAAATCAGAGATGGTTCTCTCATCCTCGGGGACGATCTCATCCCGCCCGTATCTGTCTGAAAGGAACTCGGTGGTATCAAAGTTTGAGAGAAGGTTGAAGGCATCGATGACAGTCACCGTTGTGTCAAGACGAGCCATTGTGTGCAATCCACCCATCTGAACACTGTATGGTGGTTAGAGAAACATTCCAGCGGTAAATATACGGGGCATTTGAGAGGTCTTACATTTCGTTGAGGAGCCTCTTTGTATCCTCGTCATTGTCTGCAATCTGATCTTCGGCTTCCAGCATGGCGGTGCTAAACTCCGCCGTGAAGGTTTCGGCAACCTGCATAGGCTCGCTGATGCCAGTACTCTCTATGATGACATACTGAATTTCATCTAACTTGGTAAGGCGGGCAAGTTCGGAAAGCAGGTCACCACGGAGAGTGCAGCATATGCAACCATTTTGAAGCTGAATCATTTTCTCCTGCGTCTGAGAGACCTTGTGGTTCCTGATAAGGGCGGCATCGATATTGAGTCTAGATAAAGAACGGGTTAGTACTAGTCAATTTGAGATTTACAATAGCCCGATGCTCTGTCTAGATACTGACTGGCTCATGTCATTAACAATGACTGCGATGCGCATGCCATGATCCGGGGATTTGAGAATGTGCTGTAACAACGTAGTCTTTCCACTTCCCTATGAAAAAGATAAATTGAAAAAAAAAATAAGTATTGATTCTTTGAGATAGACAAGAAGAGACTAACCAGAAATCCAGATAGTAGAGTGACTGGCAATTGTCGTGTTTTAGGAGTCTCTGCCCTGGGAACTTGGACACGATAAGCCAGCGACTCATACCCATTATCAATAACCATAATGGTCGCTTTTCTTTTTCGATAATCACAAGGTAGAATTGTGAAGAAGTCAACAGAGAGGAATGAAATTGATGATTATAGACCCCAAGCACCTTGCGGGCCACTCTTTCTTATTATTTCCATGAATCGTCTCCAAGTTCCTCACCGTCGCTACATTGCAGTTGCAGTTGCAGTTCCCGATGGGTTTAAACGTCTAGTATGTATGTACCGGGCATGGTGTGGAGTAAAATCAAACCCAATAGAGGGTTAGTTGCCCCATAATAATGGTAATTGGAAGATTGTGTTTGGCTAGTCAGGTCAGTCCCCAAGGTACCTGGTGGACGACTAACAACCTCCACGGTCCTCAATCGACGACATCGGGATTGTAATACTGAAATGAAAGAAATATTAGTGGATGAATCTCTTATGGGGGTTTAGATTGGCAATTTGATCAATCTCATAGGTGGGTCATTTACTTGAGAGCGTAAGAGCAAGGGGCTGGCTGAATAGACGCCGAAACAAGACAAGTGGGCTGAAGGGTAGTTGAATTGGAAACCAGACCGGAAAACATCTCAAATTGATAGAATGAAAATGCTTTGATATACTTGTTAGTCGTATTATACAGGATAGATAATTCAATTTCTTCGAATGTTATAAATACTTCAAATGAATCAACAATCTCTCCTCCTACCACCTTCCACGCTACAATTCCCCATAGCAGATAAATGAAGAAATCCATGATCTGGGATACAACATACGACATCAGATTTCAAACCCCAGCTCAGATTCATCATGATCTACTTGATTGCGAATTGCAACCTAAGCACAATAAAAGTAACCGATGTTTGGCAGAGGAACTTGAAAGGTGTGGGGAATATGGTGAAAATGACTGGTCTTGTGACTCTTCTCAGTCACGACTTGGACCTACAATACTGACCACTGACAACGGTCGGACTACAGAGGGTCGAGTAAGGGCTAAGATTGATCCAAAGTTGGTTGTCTTAGCCTTGAACAAGAGAGTTGGATAAAAAAACAGTAACTAACACTAGACTACTATAGGCGACTTTTGAGAAGGGCTACCCAAAAAATGGACATGGAGCTTAAGGCCTAATTCAAATATTAATATTGAGTTATGTTCTCTATAAATCAGTTGAATCTAGTCTCACTGTCTATTTACTACTAAATACTACATACTAATATAAGCTTGTAAACATCGGGATTCGGCGTCCGTATCGGACCGAAGCCTCGATATCGGGCCGTGAGGTGCAAGTGGAACATTGAAGAGGTGGAACATTGAAATTCAATATGAAAATAGAAAAACAGACAAAGAGACAAAGAGACAAAAATTTACATATAAAAAGCATTTCCCCATCTATACACCGTGACATCAATTTATACTGTTTCAATCTATATGTATACCAGTACCTAATCAATTGGGAGCCGTGCAACCATCGGTGATATCATCACGGACAGAAAGTGGATACCAATCATTGAACCTTCATTCACCCCCGAAAACAACAACTCCAACTTCAACCCTGGAAAAATCTCAAGTCCATAGATCCAACCAATCGCCTTACTTTGATAATCATGTCCTCGGCAGATTGGCCCAATCCATTGGCCTATATCGGCCTCGCAGCCCTGTCCTACACAACCTTCAAATTCACCCGCCAAGCAACAGTCTACCTCCTTCCCTCGGCACTGACCAAAACCCACAACCCCAACGGCAAGAACTGGGCCCTAGTCACGGGCGCTACGGACGGAATCGGCTTCGGTTTCTGCCAGGAACTCTGCGCACGCGGATTCAATGTTATACTACACGGCCGGAACGCTGAGAAGCTAGAACGGCGCGCCCGCGAGCTGGAGGTCGAGTTCCCGACTTGCAAGACTGGGGTTGTGGCTTTGGATGTTGTGGGGGTGACAGCCGCTGCGATTGATGAAGTTGCGAGTCAAGTGCGAATGATCACAGAACAGCATGGGGGTGATCTGACTGTCTTGGTTAACAACGTTGGTGGGGAGTTAAAGCCAAATACGATTTTGGAGGATTATACGTTTGAGGAGGCGTCGATGACAGTGGACATGAATGCGATATTCATGTTGCAGATCACGCGGGCTTTGTTGCCCTTGCTACGGGATGGCACTAGGGGGGTTGTGTTGAATGTTTCGTCGATCTCGTCGTTTGGCATGCCCTATCTTAGTGTTTATGCCGCGTCAAAGGGGTTTGTCAATACCTTCACCCGAGCGCTTGAGGCCGAGGCCCATGCCGAGGGACAAAATTTTGACGTCCTCGGATTGCTCGTTGGACAGGTGCGCACAGCTTCATTTGGTGTAAAGAGAAGTCTATTTGTCCCCGATGGACGTGGACTGGCATCGGCAGCGTTGAATCGCGTTGGTTGTGGCCAGGTGATGGTATGGGCATATTTCTGGCACTGGCTGCAGGGCATCTCCTTTGATGTGCTCCCACGCTCACTGTTGATGAAGATCACGGCGGATAAGATCAAGGCATTGGGACGAGAAATGGAATGGAAATCGAAAAACACATAGCTGCTGATAGTCTAGTCTAGGGCCTTTGATATAATAATTACAAACCCAGGAATACCCAATTTATCTGCAGAGAAATCGAACGGAACGCAAGTGAAGTTCAAATAACAGAACAATAGAAAATAAAATAGAAAAGGCTGTGTAGTAAAATTATCTAGAATCCGGCGGGGCTGCGTTCCACGTCATTAACACCATGCAAGCCCTCACCCAAGTTCTGTGTACACTCCACAGTCCAGCTCTTGGGAGTGAACTTATCCACAATGTTCTTGAAGGCATCGAGGGTGCAGAAGGTTTCATCTCCAGGAAGGTGATTCTCTGGTTTGGCTGCGCACCCTGGGATGGTCACGGGGCGGTCATTGTAACGAATACGAACGTAGTGTTTGCGTAGAGACTCGCGAGTTTCATCGGGGAAAGACTCGAGTGATGCACGTGCGGTCGCGGATGGCGCAAGCTTCTGGGTCACAGACTTACCACCGAACATCGACGAGAAGACACTGCCCTTCTTAGAGGCAACCGCAGGGTTGGAGAATTCCTCTAGGAAAGTGCCAGCATCGGTACGATTGCTTGGGGCCTGGGAAAACAGCTCAACGGCGATAGATGAGGTAAAAGGCGGCCATGATTCATCTTGGAAACCTCCAATACTGGTCAAAATTGCCGCAAGGGTGGTGTCATGACATCCGCTCATTGCAAACTTGATCGACTTGCCAGTCTCAGGGTTACCAGACCCAGAAGCAGAAGTGTTGCTACGCCAGCCACCATCCACAGCGGTGCTGACCATGCGATCAACAACGTCTCCCATCAGACCACCAATTCCCAGCTTTCGGTACTCGGTGCTTTCGTTGTACCCAGCAAACCACTCCTCGACTGCGATTCGGTCCAGAACAGCACGAGCCTTCTTGTCATAAAATTCGGAGGGGAGCCTGGTGGCCGGTCCATGGGCGTCGGTGGCATTAATGGTGTCCATGATACCAGAAAGACGGGGATGAGCATCGACAGCGACCTTGGGAGACGACTCGGGCATGTACTTGGACCACAGTCTGTTTAGGTAGTCCATTTGTTCGGATTCATTCCCTATATTCAAGTATTAGACGTTGTCATTGAAAAACAAAAATCCATGTCTTACATCGGGCGGCGGCACGGTCAGCAAAAAGACGAGCCAGCTGTCGGAATCGCCGGCAGTTACCCTCATTTGGGAATAGAGTCTCCTCATTCACAGGACGAGCGACAATAACCGGTGGTGGAAAGTCTTGGGTCCGAGCACTGGTAGGGTACATGCCCCAGAAGGCTTGCTGCATGGATTCCAAAGCGCGGGGAATTGATGTAGCTCTCAAGTACATATCCTCTGTATCTTCCTTGATCTTAGGCATGAACCCAAGTTGGTCAACATAGAGATGACGCAGGCGCTGGCCGAGAGCATAGGTCGTTTCGCGGCCCTTGTCTGTGAGTTCACCATGCTGGCTTTTGGAATTGTTAGCCGCATCCCACACATATCAGAAAATGCAGAGCTAACCAAATCGAGTTGATATCACCACCCGGGCCTGACGCAACTCTAGCTTCGTCGTTGTGACCAAAGGTCTCGATCTTCCGGCGCCATTGGAACCCGTCCCAACTGGAGAGGTCGTGCTTGCTCGCCGCAATCTGAACCATGTTTCGTGCAACATTACAATACGGCCAGTCTACCACCAGTCAGTATATCGGTAATCGTGGGCGAACGAGAGGATGGGAGGATAAGTTACATGGACTCAAGCCTGTCTGCACTGTAAATTAGCCATCAAGTGCTCGGAGGACTACATACGCGGAGTAAACGTACATTTTGGAAACGCGAGGAAACAGGCGTGCGTTCACCTATGGCCAATCAGCACTGTGTGGTAGGGCATAAGTACAAGCTTATGAGCTCTTACCATGGCGGAGGAACTGGCGGAGTTAGCTACTTCAGTGTATAATTGCGGTTTCATTGACTTACCACCTGAACCAGTTGTAGCTTCAATGCTTTCGGATAGAGCCGATCTAGCTCCTCCGGGGAGTACGGCTCATGCGGAATGAGAGTCGTCATTGCTGGCGACGGGCGATGAGTCGAAACGTTGGATCTCTGGGGAGTTGAATGACATCTGATCCCGGGGTGGGGCGGTGAGAGGGGGTGACGCCAATCACCGTCAAGAAGATCTACTACAACAAGTCAAATAGACCAACCAAAGGCAATTTAAAGTATGTAGTTCTTAAAAGGCTTCGGAATTGTGATTCATCTACGATAGTTCGTATCTATGTAGGATTATGGGGCTTCTAATTGAAAAGTTGAGCCATGTTATCATTATGCCGAGGTTAGCCGGCTTCAAATGTTTACTAGTAGTTGAACTGGACTTGGGCTAGACTTGGAAAGACCGAATGTGTCAAAGCGCCTTCAATCATTGATGTTGACTCAGGAGTCAGTACAGTAGACTACCTACTAGGTAGGTACACACTACCTACATGTCAACTGGTAGTAGTAGTATGTAGGTATTCATTTATTACGCATGCCCAGGTGTTTTCATAATGAAAATGTAATTACTGGGCACCAGTTGACATGAACTCATGGAATCCGTTGAGAGGTGAATTTCGATGTATTTATATAGATTTTCATGAGTAGTATGTACAAGCCCCTCTAAGGAGACTTTAGCCCTCATAGTCACTTGTCTCCCATCCACTTTCACTTTCACTGGCACTAAATAGAGAGTGCGCAGGGGCCTTTTGCCCTTCGGGTTTCTGCTCCTCAGCCTCCTCAATCACCGCAGCCGTAGAAGCCACAGCTGCTGCTGCTACGGCCTTCTTGCCGCCGAACTTCTTTTTGTTCTTAGCTTTGCGAGATTCCTCCAATTCTTGTGCCTTTTGCTTCAAAAATGCAGACTTCTCAGCAGAGTGTCGCTCCATGACTTCGATAAGCTTCTCCAGAGCCGGTGCATAAGCCTGGGCGAGAGCAAGATCTCGGACCTTGATACGCATATAATCCATCGCTGCAGCAACGGGAGTATTCTGACGAGGCACCTGAGACTCGCTGCGAGCGAGAGGAGGACGACTTTTTGTAGGGAATCGAATGTCATCTAGGAGCTTGGCACCGGACCCGGGAGCAGCCGGCTCATCGAAGGGATCATCGAAGGGAATGTCCGCGCTGCTATTCAACTTTTTCTTTGCAGCGGCCGCAGCCTGCTTGGTCGACGCAATATCCTCATGGGCCATAGTGCCAGCTCGCTGATCCACGTGGGCAATCTTTTGGTACCGCTGGCTGAAATGCGTGAGTAGAATGGAGCGAGCACCCATTCGGCGGCCAACCTCCAAAGCCTCGCCAGCAGTCGAATGGCGCTTTGCGATAGCAGAGCCTACCATGTCATCCTGGAAGGTAGCCTCGTGAATGAGGACTGTGGAACCTTGACCAATGGAAGCAAACTTATCCGACGGTCTGCAATCACCGGAGTATGAGACCTTGAACCCATCGGGGAATACAAGGGACATGGCAAGTGCACCACGGCAATGCTTCACGTGGGTGGTCAAGAGGTCACTCAGCCCAGTAGATGACTTGAGAAGAGGTGTAAGAGGTGACGAATTATCGTTAAAATCGAGGATTGTTTTGCCAGGCGCATCCCGGCCGAATGGTGGTCCGCCATGCTGAGCATGTCTGTATGAAAACTTTGTAGTGATGGAGTCTTCAGATACTTCAGGATGAGCGCTGAGAGGAAGCACCTTATCAAAGCCGAAATTCTCAACTGAAGCGTACTCCTCCAACCAGGTGATCATCATTTCATCGGAAGCTAAGAATAGGCGTTTTTCTTGCATTATTTTAGCCAAGTCTGTTTCAGGGTTGCTTGAAGGTTTGGCGTTAGGCCCATAATTCACATGGTACCATGCCCTGATAACAGAGGCGGTACCCAGGTGGTGGTCAGCATGCAAGTGACTGATCCAGATCATGCGAAGATTTTTGAAAACCTCTCGCAGCTCCTCGGGAGTAAAAACTCGCTCTAGTTGGCCCAGTGTGTTCTCACCACAGTCCAGGAGGTAGTAGCCTGCGCCAGGAGCATACACCAAAGTGGCAGAGACATTTCGGTACTTTGATGGGGACGATGAACCCGTGCCAAGCGCAATAATCTCAGCATCTCCGCCAGGGAGATCTTTTCGAATAGATTCTAAATGTTCCTGGAATTTGGGTTTCGCAACACGATTGCGAATGACTGACATTCGTTGCTCAACGGCCTTGGGGATCTGAAAAATTGTCTTGGCTGTATTCACGTGAGGAATGATCGCTTCTCTGTTAAATTTGAATTCTGGCTCCATATCAATGACAAGTCCAGGTTCAAGGCGCTGGAAAGGAGAATTTTGAAGTTCAGTAGGGGCAGAGGCAGGCTTGGGAATGAAAGCCCGCTGCTGTGGGAGAGTCACGTTGTCGTGGACAGGAATAGAGTAGCTATCACCCTTCAGTCTAGCCAATCGAATAGCAGCTTCGCCGGTGCTTGCAAGAGCCAAGTAGTTTGGACAATAGTCTGTGCTAGACACGGTGTGCTCACAGTGAGGCATACTCGCCACAAACTCACGGAGCTTGGGGTGATCACCCACTCCAGGACCCAGTATCCAAATAAACGATTGAAGTTCAGTGGTGACTGCAGGAGATTTCCACTCCGGTCGATTTACCAAAGACTCCACGTAGTCAACTGACGGTACATCCATGATGGCAAGACCTTTGCCTAGACGGTTCGGGCCCAGGACCATATCCGGAGTGATCGTTTTACCATCCTCTGACTGCACGCTTTCTCCCCTTGTCAAGGCAGCGTAAGAGGGTCCCTTAGGAACTCGCAGCGCCTCCGCCTTAAGCCGCTCAAATTTACCGCGGATATCATGGTTACGAACAATGTAGCAGAGCGCATCATTTGAGGGGGAGGTGGCTGGCAAGCTTTCTACCTTCGCTCCCGGCCAGGGCTGCCGGACCAGTACTCTGATATCAGGTAACGGCAAATCCTCGCCAGGCTTCGGGCCATTGTAGGGCTCCAAGTCCTTTGTCTCGGGATTGCGCACAAACATCGCCGCGGGCATCTTTACCTCCGCTAGTGGAGTCTCAATGAGTGCATCCATCTTCCAGGTCGAATTGAACATATCCGTTACAACCGACTGTCGCACCATGGTATCAGCAACACGCTGGTCAAGGCCTGTTCTAGGTTGGCCAGACTCTTGAAATTCATCCAAGCTCCGCTTCCGTGGACTTTTCGGTCGTGCTTGGGGAGGCATATCAAAGGTAGTAGTTGGCGAGCCAGGCTTGAGTGGCAGTGCCCAAACCTTGATGTTCGCGTCGGACCATGTAGGCGTTTCAAAGGGATCTTCCAATCCATTACGGGCCTGCTTTGCAACTGAATCGGTGTCATACTCCTTCGTATAAACGGGGGTCCCCTTTCTAAACACAAATCGTCGAGCAGTGGCCAAAGTGTGAGTTAGATTTGTTGTACCATGAATTGTCAAATGACTTTTGTCAATGACCACATCTTCCGCTATAGGGGCCGAAAGGCCGTCTGTATTTTTCAGGGATTGGTTAGCCGCTCGTCGAGTGGCCTTTTTACGGTTTTCCTCCTCAACGGCCGCATTGCCAGATGCAATGGCATCCGCAAGAGTCAGGATGATTCCAATCAAGCCACCTGTGTTTGCCCACTCTGTCCGTCCCGTGATAAAGACATCACTCAAAGAGGCGATCTTGACTCCACGTTCCGTGCATGCGCGTTGTGTGCCCTCTGATAGTTGACCAAAGAAATATCGTTTATCGGGGTAGTGCAGAGAGAGGGCCGTGCCGGGCGTGTCGGCGGTCGGCGTTGTGATAACCTCGTAGTAGACCTTCATTGGTTTGGATTGCACCGTGTCAGACGGGAGTCTTTCTTCGGCGGGTCCTATGAGCTTTGGATTGCAAAGCACGTATTTTGTAGCGCCACTGGGGTCGGTTGTTGGAAGAATGACAAACTTGTCTAGTGTTGCTCTTTGCCTTCGCGGTCGGGTTTGGTGTTTTGTGGGTACTGCGCTCGGTAGACTTTGGGTTTCTGTGTGAATTCCTGATATGCGCTTCAAGCCTGAAATAGGACTACCGAAGCCAGGGATTCGATGTTGGGCGACGCGGGGATTGGCACCAAAAACAAGAAACGGGGAGCTTGCGGTTCGCAAGTAAGCGCGGGCGAATGCGCCTGGAGAAGCGGTCAAACGAGTACCGCGGGCACAAAGGGAAGCCAACTTGGCTGTAAAATACAAGAAAAGAAGAGCAAATTCCACGGAGAATTGATGTGGCGAGGGTGAAAGGGGAATGAATCACCAAAATGTCGCGGAACTTTTTTTTTTGGAGATTTTGCGTCACGGGAGCCTATCAGATAACACTACTATCTATGCAGAGTCGCCACGATTACAATGATGACAACAATTACAACAATTACAAAGATGACAGTGATTCATGAATTGATTGACTCATCTTGTTCACTCTCTACTTTTCTCAGATACTAAGTACTAGTATATCTAGTCAGTAAGGTATGCTCCATCCATCTAGTCCATAACATTGAATTCTCTACCATCTAATCCCACAGCTATACCATAGACATCAATCCCATTTACTATCCACCAACCGGGCAGCTCGTGCCGTTCTTCCAAGCAATGGTAGCATATCTTGGAATGAAGCTATTTGTCGTGAAATCTTGCGGAAGGTAAAGTGCGGTGTCATCCAACGTATAGTTAATTGTTGGGTGTCCATCATTCAACGCTGCAATGATACTTCCAGCAAGAAAGTCCGAGAAAACCACGTCTGTCACATTTGGTTGACCATTCTCGGGGAAAGCAGCAGTCGCCTGTATATAATATGGTTGGTCGAATTCAGGAATCTCAGAGTGTTGACTGTCATCGCCATCATCTCCAAGGTCATCACATGTGGTGTATCCCGGGGTGGGTGTTGTTGAGTCGTCAAGTACACGACGGAACAAGGTTTTCGGCTTAGCAAGGCTGATTGTTCCGTTCAAGTCATGAAGGGAGGGATTTTCGCATTCATCATAACCAAGCATTTGACTTGATATGACATCCAAAACGGTCATGGATCGTTTGGAGTTTGCTTTCTTCTTTGCTTCAGTGATGTAGTCAAGGACTTTGGATGCCAAGGAGTAAGGAACGTCGGGAATATACTTGAAATTGTTCGTATATGGGCAGACGATGTAAGAATCGTCTACGGTGAATGGGCCTTGTACCAAATCGTATCGAATGGCTCCTTGATTGACGATGATCATTCTTGACTTCGTGTCGCGATCCGGATTTATCACCGTGGCTGCTGCGGCCTTTTGCACCAGTGTGTAGATATTTCCTTCGTCACCAAATGGCTTACAGGAAATACAATATGACTGTGGTGCACAACCATATACGAATGTTAGGTTGAGGTTTTTTCGATCGGTTGCAATTCCTTGGCTAACTATGAGTCCTTCGGAGGTGGTGAATACGTCTTGGGACCCTGTCGCGTGGAAGGCAAATGTGAGTCGATTCCAATCCAAGTACCGTCGTGTTAATTTCATATCGAACGCTTTTGTCTGGGTGCAAGAATTGTTGGTTGCTTGCACCATGTCGCCTTCGTTGGTAGCAAGAGTACCCTTGACTTCAATGCTTGACACTTTATCAACCGGTTGAGATTCAATCCCATCCAAGGAGATCCAACCTACAGTGTCACAATATTTGCCGGACTCCAGAGCTGAAGACATGTTGTCATAGATGTGGAAGTCCCGTCGATGTGTGTGACCTCCGAATCCCTGGACCGGAATTTCGGGACGCTTCGACCGAAGAGTTTGCATTAAAAGAGGAAATGTACTCTCTGATTTCGGAATTCCAGATTTGACAGGATTATGCCCAGTGAGCAAGAAGAGATCAATATCCGTACGATTGATGGCCTTTTGGAACCAGTCTTCCTTGACCATGTCCGCAGCTGTCTGGATTCTAGTCATGCTTTTGTTGTTGTTTGTCAGATCAAGGATCACTCCGAATGCCATAATTCGAAGACCCTGTTTTGTGGTAAAGTATCGATATCTGTTGGCAAAGGGGGCCCAATCCTGCGTGCTCGGCTTGCTGTCCTGGCAATTTGTGCAAATATCAACATTACTGGCCAGGTACTTGTCACCATACACTTTGGTGAAGTTGGCAAATGTGTCATACGCAACCTCAGCAACGCCCAGTTCATGGTTCCCCGGGGTGAGAAGGTCATAGTCTATATTCTCAAAGATTGGGTTCGTGATTTTGCCATTAGGCTCGGTTGCGTCACTGGGGCCGTTTCCATCATGCAGATCCCCTTAATTTCCATCAAGGTCAGCAAACAGGCTACTAGTATGTTCTTTGTATCTTTAATGGACATACCAGTGTCAATGACTAGCAGGTCAACCTTATCGTTTGATGCTTTGTCTCTCATGTGTTTCACAAAGGAGACGAAATCACCCCAGTCTGCCCCATAGTTGCCCTCTTTGATATGTCCTTCCAGCCACCCATGGGAGTCACTCGTGTGGATAAAGTTGATTTGTCCCCAGTGCAAAGGAATCATTGGCTGCGTTGTCGCGTTCACCGAGTCAGGCTGCATGCGACGTGTAAATCGAGGATAAAAGGACGGTTCTTCTCCTCCCTCACAGGAGGGACAGGCAGAGACTGCCGATATGATGAGGGCACTAGTTAGTTTGAGGAAAAGCGATAAAACCACCATGATTGGTAGCACTTGAGGCAAAGTCACACACCGGCCACTTGGGTTATAATTGACTCTTATCACCAGGCTTTTAATATGTAGGTGCAGATTAACTTGAATTCTTATTCGACTGTCGATCAGGTAAAACTCCCTACTGGGTAGTATAGTGTATCACCTAGGCAAATTCCTGGCTCATTCTTCTATTTACCAGCGAGGCAAGGTTCATCGGACGGAATGTGGTGTACCAACGTTCCATTTTCAGATCTTCAGACCTTTCAACCGGATGGGTGTGCGTTCTACTTGAGTACTTACAAGGTACATTCTAAGATGAGTTTATCGGTAGTAGCCTAGCCCTGGAATGAACATTTTGGGAATGCTCTAAAATTTCAAATGTTCCAGTGATTGTTGCAGTGGTACCTGAAGTGTACAAACTACGTACTTAGTAGTAATAACTGGGATCAGTACTTGGAGTTTGAAGAGTACTCTACTGTACTACTCCGTAGATTAGGCCGCACTTGGGCCTCTTAGTGGAGACTCTCCTGATGCATGTGAGGTAAACCCCCAGCCTATCGTCTAATTAGTCTCAAACTGCCTTGCGGCCTTTAACCAATTTTGGATATGGCTTTCCAACCTTTGAATCCCGCAGGTCCTCGTGCAGCAAGCTGAACTGCTACGGAGCACAGTACATGTACACCGCTGGTGTGGAACTCAGTGATCCCTGGGGTTAATAGTCCCAAGTCATGCATGTGTGTTTTGATCATGATTTATGATCAAGCCGCAGCTGAAGTGATGCGGGGCTTCTTTCTGGAAATATTGTTTTCCCATAAATGTTGTACCGAAAATATGCTTCCTGCTCCTTTTTCTATTCCGTCGTGATAACTTCCCTGGTCGCCCCCGATGACATCTGAAATTCCACAACCGCCTGGCATTCCCTTCTTGGGAAACATTCTGGACGTCAACCCCAGGGAGACTTGGTGCTCTCTGATCAATCTCTCGGAAAAATACGGTAATAGAAGACCCTAGTTTATCTAACTGCCAACTTCTACCTACTAACAAAACTTCTTTTAGGCCCAATCTTCAAAATAAACGTACTGGGTAAACAACTCGTCTTCATCAGTAATGTCGCCCTGCTGGAAGAGATCTGCGACGAGAAACGATTCCGAAAATGCGTCACCGGTCCAGTCGTAGAAATGCGACGGCTTGCACGCAACTGCCTCTTCACTGCTTACGAGGATGAATCCATTTGGGGTATTACCCACCGTATCATGGCCCCATACGTCACCGGAGCAGCAACAGATAAATGCTTCAGCGACATGGCAAATGTGATCCCGGATTTGACTCAGAAATGGACATTGGGAAACAAAAAACAAGTAATCCTCACAAGTGATCTCGACCGTCTTCTCATGACATCCTGCATGCAATGCTTCTTCAACCAGCGAATCGATATCCTTGAAGGACCTGAGCACCCTCTCATCCATGCCTGGGAATCTATTACATGGGAAGCTATGAAGCGGCCCACCCGACCAAAGATACTGAACTGGATGTATCAGGGCGATTTCCTGAATAACATCAAGTACATGCGTGATTACGCGACCGAGATCGTCAAGAGCCGGAAGGAGAATCCCGCCCAGGCTCGTAATGACCTTCTTAACGGACTGCTACATGATGCGGATCCGCAAACCGGGGAAAAACTCGCCGATTCTCAAGTCATCGATGAAGTGGTGACTATCTTCATCGGCGCCGCGACCTCGCCAAATCTTGTCGCCTTCGCCTTGTACTACCTGGTCAAGAACCCCGAGACGGTCGTCAAAGCGAGAGCGGAGATTGACTTAATTGTCGGACCTAATGAACAGATCCAGCTGGAAGACATCAAGAAGTTGGAATACTGCGAGGCCATCATCCGTGAATCCCTTCGCCTATCTGCCACTGCACCGGGATTCAACATCGAGCCAATCCCGACAGATGATAAGAGCCCTGTCTTACTTGCTGAAGGAAAATACCAGATCCCGTATAACCAAACCATGATCTCGATTCTGCACACCGTGAACCGCGATCCCGAGGTCTTTGAAGACCCGGAGGCTTTCATCCCGGAGCGAGTTCTCGGCGACAAATGGGATAATCTTCCCAAAGGTGCCAAGAGAAACTTTGGCAATGGCAAACGTCAGTGCTATGGTATGATGTGGGCGTGGCGTTGGTCTATCTTTACCCTTGCTAGCATTCTCAAGGAAGTTGACTTGGAGTTTGCGAATCCGGATTACGAGCTCACCTTTAATGGAGCTTTCAGTGTGAAGCCTTTGGAGTTTAATGGTCTAGTCAGTCCCCGCAGGAGATGAAAGTGCATCTCAGCTGACACTGGTACCATTTCCAATGCGCCTTTTTGTCTAGTTCTTGGCTTCTCCCCCTCCACCCCCATTGTTCTAATGCTGACTACTTGACGTATTATGAAATTCTAGCTGGTTTGGACGAATAACATGTATTATGCTATAAAAATATCTAATATAAACAGTGTAAAACGCACATATGCCAAGTCAATCTCAAAAAAACCAGCCTTGGAGATTAAGCCCGAAAGATATCATGGTCCTCTTCATCTTGTTCAGCAACAGGCTGGGGAGCCATTTCAACATCAGTGCGCTCTTTCTCACCATTCGCCGACCTCACACCCTCACCCCGATCCCGTCTCTCCCTTGTAAGCTTCTTCCGAGTAACAAAACTCCACAGATAAGCGCCATTAACAACTTCATGCCCACCATCCTTCTTAATCCACACATTTCCAAGGAAAGTAGTCAAGACCACAGAGATCCACATAAAAGGCATCATAGCAATAAATGCCCACATAATCCCTTTCTTAGGATCTGACTCGTCCATTCCACTTTTATTTGTGAAAACCGTAGACATGATTGTCAATCCCACGAGACCACCAAAAGGAAGAGCAAAGGACACCAAACATGAAATCTGAGCTGTCATAGCTGGAAAGTAGGCAAGACCGTGTAAAGATCCTGGGTTCATGCGACTTCCGATGCCGAAGCCTACTACGGCCATCATGCCGTATATGGTGTTTGTTTGGGCGGCTTTGACTGCCCAGGCCAGAACAGTGATTCCGACTGCCGAGGCCAGACTACCGAGCATAAGAGCCGGGAGAGTTTGGCGAGGCCAAATGTTGGATGAGAACATTGCCATGTAGACGCCAGCTGTTTTTAATATTAGTTAAAAAAACACCTAGTAGATACTTCCGGGGCTTCGAATTACTCACCACCTAAGCCTGGCAAGAAATATAGGAGAGAGGTTCCGGCTTTGCTGGAGCTGTTCCCTTCCACAAGTGCAAAGTACAAGTCCATAAAATACATGACGGCAAACATCGACACTCCCATAGAGAAGTTGATAAGGAATAGCAAGCCGATATCACGCTGTGAGATCAGTATCCATGGCATCATAGCCTTTTGGCGGGGTAAAGCACGCGCAATCAAAGCACCAGGAGCCATGAGACGCTCATAGATGACCCAACTGATCGATAAAATGGCGCCTATAATAATCGGAGCGAGGACGGCAGCAGAGTTCCATGCATAGTTTCCACCGGCCCACGTCAACGCCAGAATGAGAAGTCCAAATCCCCAGAGGAAAAGCATCTGGCCACCGAAGTCGATGGTTGCAATCCGCGCCACGAAACGTCGAGGAGCGGTGGAGAGGTCCCTACCTTCCAATTGTGGAAGAGGTTGTGGACCCTGAAGATCTTTGCGAAGAACAAAGACAACCAGAACCATGGCCACCACGCCAATCGGTAAATTGATAGCAAAACACCACCGCCATGATGCGGTAGTCAAGTATCCTCCAATGACTGGGCCGATACTGAAACCGATGCCTGACACGAGCGCAAAGATCGTCCAGTTGACAGCGAACTCCGAGAGGGAGACACCATCTGCTAGAATTGTGCGGACGGAGATATTCACTCCAGCGGCACCGACACCCTGTAATGCACGACCGAGGAGAAGAACACTGAACGTCGAGGTTGGAGAGCCGGTGCATATCGCTGAGCCAACCACCATGGTGAATATAGCGGCCTGTAGGGTGTTATGTCTGCCAAATAAATCTGAAAGTTGAGCCCAAAAGAACAGGGATGCGGCGGAGGTCAAATTAAAAGCCGAGATAATCCAGTTTAGCTGACTGACTTGGCCTGAGTTATTTGATGCATCATTAGTAAGTAATCTTTACCCTTTGCGGTTCTAAATTTCAGATCACATCTCCAAGAAACTTACCAAAGTCTTCGGCGATATATGGCAACGCAGAGGCAATGATGGTAGTATCCAGCGATTGGAGACAGAAAGGGCCAAAGAGACCAAGAATGAGTTTCCAACGGTAGACTCGTCTTCTTTTTTTTTCGATCTTTTCCTCTGGTGAGGGTTCTTGTTGTGTCTCGGGTGCTATATCGGATGTTGCTTTCAACGGGCCCTCGTTGACGATAATAGACGCTTCATGATGCCCTGCTTGAGACTGCCGTGCCTCTAGCTTCTTCTTTTCATTGCGCTTCTTAATCTTCTTGTAAATTAAGATCATGATTGCGCTCGTAAAGCCAAGAATTTGCCAGAGACCGAGTCGAATGGCAGACGGTACTGTATAAGACCTTTCTTCTCTTTTCTTTCCCGGGTGTGTTTTTCAAAAAGAATACCGGGCCTGGCATTTCTTTATATAGCAGAATCCAATACCCCCATGGCCATAAAAGGTATTTAATTTGCAACTGAATCAAGGGTCGCGAAAGGCCTGTTTCCGTTGTCCCGTTGGATATAGTGGAGTCTAGTGTAGAAGAGTGGAGCTCAGCCGTCGCGAAATCTGACCCAACCGGGTTTAGCTCATATTTCCATGTTCGCACGGCTTACCATCTTTGATGGCTTTCCAAGGTCAAAAATTTCTCGAGGTCTGTGCTCGTGGTGACTCTGGACTCGTGTCCCAGAAATCTGGACATGGCTTACTGCTAAGCCTTGCTATGGTAGATACACCTGTGGACGTAATATTAAAACCCAAGATTCTAGGCAGCGATATGAAGAAAATCATATTAAAAATAAGACAGCCTTACAGAATTAAATGTGTAAAGAATCAATAAAGATCCAAACTCAGCGTAATATCGAAACTAAACCGGCGCTGCGTCCGTGCCACTAACTCGTTGACCCAAGCAATTTCCCGACTTAATCCCTCGTTCCGCAACACAGCCACACTGATCAGTGCGGGCTTGCACCCCCGGAGTGGCGCAATTATAGCTAGCAGACCTGAGCCGCCCATTCGGGGTTGAGTCATATACTCGACAGACTGGCAGATATTCTTCACCATGGTGTATACTGTACTGGCAGCATCTTGCGCCCGGGGTAAGAATATGAGAGTGTCGGGTGTAGCCATTTGGTGGTAAATTGATGCCAGTTCACGATGAAGTAAGATCATGCTTGACCAGTAGGTGACTAAGAACTGAGCAACCATGAAATTGGAGAAGTGAAAAGAGACGGGAAATATCTGGGCCTCCTGATCATCGATGAGAATATCGGATGATTCCAGCGTGGAAAGCTCTGGCCAGAATAGTGGACCGGAGATGGTCTGTTCAAACTCCTCATACAGATCACGCAGAGCGGCACGAATATCCAGGCATTCGAGATGAACTTTTTCGAGTGCCACTTGAAGAAGAGTCTCGTTTTGTTTAAATTCCTCGATTGCTTTGTCGACCTTGGAATTTACACCTACTATATCAGCAAGAAGGTCCCACAATCTATCAGCTGGGGACTTGGGTATCGTGCGCCAAGGCTTTTCCAACCACTCCGGATTCGAAAGAAATGAAGGTTGACGATAATCTAAACTTGTGAGAATCTGAAAGATGTCAAGTAAGTACGTAAATTGACAACCGAAAAAAAAAAAGATCAAATGCTTACTATCTGTACTCGCAAAGCCAAAAACAGCGCATGGCCCAGAGTCGAGTCCCCAGATGCTTCAGGGCCACGCATCTGTAGAAGGTTTATAGCGCCCCTCGCATGAGTCCCGTAAGCATTCTCTGATCCCGGAGGCCCCTCGCTAATTTCATAAAATGATAGAGCGATGCAAGCTGCCAGTGTTTCATCAGATAACCGGCATGACGGATTCCTGAGTGCCTGCTGAAGCTGATGAAGGCCATCGGTGTATATAGAGCGACTCCTGTAAACCAAATCGCGATCCCCATAAATGCGACCTACTCTAGCCGCGAATAAGGCCGTTGTAGAGATTTCTAATGCTGGAGATTCGATTGTCCTTCCCTGGAGCAGAAGCAGCCAATTGCTCACCGAGTAGCGGGGGCGGGCATCCCATATCTCTTCGGGCATATGTCTGTTTAAGAAGAGATAGTGGAATTGCTCTCTTAGCACCGCATGTGTGGGGACTTGGATGCAGTTTAGTGGGTTAGAGGGGGATAATCGGTGACCGGTCGCCCATATTTCTGGAGCAGGCTTCTCGATCTGCCGCTGGGGTTCAGCCCTACGCCACCTCCCTTGGTGGGTGACGGATGATTCCCCATGGAACTTCGGCGTATTGGCTAAGATGACATTCTTTGAAAACACGTAACCCTGCCTGCGTTGATAGCCTGTGCAGAGGCGCTTCGAAGATCGGCATTGCTTGCATGGCACGGGACCTTGATCACACTAGAGCACTTGGATTAGCGCCGAGGCTGGCACAGCGGAGTGAGTATCCCACATACCTTAATCTTTCTTTGAAGGCACGTATTGCATGCTTTTGATCTACCTGGAACGCCAACCATGCTTGATGATTTTGCGGGGGAGATGCACTGTACACATGAGATCGTGAAACACAAAGATCCAAGCGCCCAGCACCAAGGTCGAAACGATCACTAGCCAACCATAGGGCATATCAGAATCTAACATAAGCCACTTTTCAAGCTGAAATATGAGTGATCAGCGGGGTTAACGAATACAGAAAGGAAAAAGGTCAAGCTAACGCTGACTGGGTCCAATGTGGGCCTGACCTAACCTTTCTAAGTCAGATTCGGCGAATACAAGTGGGGAAATCAGGATGCATGGTGATGGCGAATTGGCGCCAGAGATGGACAAATATGATCTCGCTACAGGGTTGTGTACTCGTATGGGTTACTTACAGTAGCAGAAGACCTACTTCGTAAGTACTTCGTGTATGTAGTATCCATGTACCAAGCCTCCACAGCCTTGGGGGATCTACCAAAACTCTGCTGCGTTAGGTTTCCCCGCCCCCAAAGAATGCAGGTGCCTAAGTGGTCATATAAGACACACAATCAGGAACGAATAATATCAATAGTTGTAAATAGAATCAATTTTGAGCTTATATCGCTGATCCTTCACGTGCGCCAAGTAACCGCTAAAAAATTTCCACCCAGAAAGCCCAACCTGGGAGGTACACAATATGATGACAAGATATAAGCGCCGTAAAAACTCCCGGAGGACTGACCAGACCACTAACAGGAGATGACTAGTAATTGCAGTGCGCTTGGGTAGTCACTCTATGACATATAAAAAAAAGAGGAAAGAAAAGAGAGGAAAGAAAAATGCCCGTGGGGTGAACAGATGTACATAGAAAAAAAAGAAGAAAAAGGGAAAAAGGGAAAAAAAGTCAGGTCGAAAAGATGGACGCTAATGGGGGAATCACTGGAGGTAGGAGGTGACATGAGACACCCGGTCAAAGGCGGCTTCGATACTGGAGCAGAGGGTATTGAAGCGGGCTTGAGCGATGGCGGAGGCCTGAGCGGCGTCCACAACAAGCTCGGTCTGAACACCGTCAGAAGAGATATCAGAAGGAGCAAAGGACGCAGGAGAGTCGATAAAGAGAGCAAAGGCAGGGTCGGACTCGTCAATCTCAATATCGGAGTTAGCAACACCGATGTCTGACTTGGGAGTCGCAACATCCCCCTGGGGGTGGTCGAAGACAGGTGCCTCATCCTTGGCAGGCTCGGATGAACCCAGCGAAGACTTGCCGGACAGAACCTCGGCATCAAAACAAGGACCTTGGGGAACGTCGAGCACAGCAAAGACAGGAGTGTTTCCGTAGTTCATGTCGATTCCAGAGTTCCAGCCACTGTTAAGCATAGAGGCATCCATGCCCTGGTTCGGGACCATAACCATGTTAGGCTGGGGGTGTTGCTGCATCTGGAATTCTTGGGGGCGGGGAGCACTGGGCTCCTTGGGCGCTTGCTGGGGTTGCTGCTGGGGTTGCTGGTGGGCCGGGACCTGAGCCGGCACGCTGTCGGGCATCTCGTTCAAGAAGTTGGCGAAATGAGGGGATCCCAAAAGCATGCGAGCAAGGTCGTTCAAGCGAGCGTTCTCCTCGTAAAGGGCACGGTTCTGCAGGCGGGCCTCGTGGGCCTCGTTGGTGCGAGCAGCGACTTCACTCTCGAGCTGGCCGATGTATTCTGCGAAAAAGAAAATAAAAAATTAGTTCATGTGAACGGAAATCAGATGGACATTCGTATACGTATACATACCCTTGCGACGGGACCGGAAAGCGCGAGCAGACACCTTGTTGCGCAATTGACGGCGCTCCTTGCTGCTCAGCTTCTTGCCCTCTTCACTAGCCAGAAGACGCTCATCCTCATCCATGTCGGCCTCGTCCTTACGGGCCTTGGCCATCTGGGGAAGGCCGGACGAAGGAGAAGGAGAAGCCTCACCGGCAGCGACGGCATTGGCACGCATCTGTTGCAAAAGACGAGAGATACGCTCCTCGACAACGGGGTCGGGGTTGCGAGGACCACGGGTTTGCATGGGAGTGGCGGCCTCCTCGACACGGCGCTGCTGCATCTGGTGACGGACCATCTCATTGTGCTTCTGTTGTTGGGCGGCCTTGGCCATCGCAGCCTGCTGCTGATGCATACCAGGGTACATACGACCCACTTGTGTAGAAGGACCAGCCTGAGCCAGCTCATGGCCTCCGAGAGCGTTGGGGTCGACGAATTGGCTCTTGTTGCCGGGATTCGCCGAGAAGTAGTAAGGAGTGGAGTTCATGCCATCAGACTCAATGTCCATCTCAGATGGGTTTCGGGTCGGGGCAGCGCTGAAGTCGAAGGGAGCCTCCTCCCGCTTCATCTGAGCATACATGTCTCCATTTACCTGGAAGCCTTGGTTTCCGTTGAAGCCCATGGGGTGTGCCACCTGTTGCTGCTGCTGTTGCTGTTGTTGGTTGTAGGTCATAGATAAGGCACCGGGAGGCAGACCAGTTTGCTGGCGGTGCTCTTCGTAGTGATGGCTTGGGGCTTGGAAGGCGATTGGTGACTGTCCACTGGAAGCGAAACTGGCACTCCGGGTATCACTGGCGCTGAAATCGGTGCTTGCGACCGAGGGTTGGCTGGTCAAGGCGACCTTGGCCCGAGCGGCGTCGGCGGAGGAGTAGGCGAGCTGATCGAAGTTGATAAAGGAGTCGAGTTCTTGGTCGTAGCTAGTGGGCATGGTCGGCATAGGGGAAGCGTGGTGTGACGGGTGTTCAGCGAGGGTCGCCATGGTGGTATATGTGGTGGACTCTTTCAAGCGTGTTTATTCTTTTTTTTTCCCTTCGGATAAGATCGCAGAAGTGGGATTAGATTGCGTGTTTGATGGGGGGGAGCAAAGCGGAGTATTTAAATGGGATTAACGAAAGAAAACGAGTGAAAGTCTAGAAGGGGAGTTGGATCATAAAAGATAAAGGTAGTTTGGGTGGATGGAGAAGGGGGGGACTGGATCATTAGAACAGGGGAAAGGGAGCGATCCGGGATAGCCAGAAAGGCTTGCGCGTCCTTCTGGATGACTCAGCGGGGACTTGGATCGAGATGCCGTGATTGGCCACAAGTCAACTTAGCGCTGAAACGGTTGTTGTTTACTCCGCTGCCCTAACGAAAATGGACGAAAATGGGATTGAAAATGGGATTGAAAATAGAATAAACATGGACCAAAGTTGTTGCCATGGTTCACGTTAAGAAACTGGCATCTTGCCTGGTTTTTGGGGCTTGTTTTACCCTTTTTTCTTATGACTCCCATTGTGTCTTCTCTTTCTTTCTACTCTGTACCGAGTCTTGTCTAATACACCGAATAAGATCCCATATACATACAATTCTGCTTCTTCTCCCCCACACGCCTTGGGTAATTAACCCCGACTCAAGTGGGGGCAAATTGTAATTGGTCTGTATATTGAACAGAATCAGGGTGTTTGTGGGAAAAATATATATATATATAAAATAAAATAAAAAGTGTAATCAATAAATCAAAAGAATTAATTATTATTTTGGGTTAACCAAGGCATGACTGAATACTTGGCCAAAATGCCAAAGTCTCATGACGCCGGTGGCTGTGCTCTTACCTTTACCCTTTATTGCCGCATTGGACCAAGTGGCATTCTTCGCGTTATTGACAGCCTCGAAGATCATGCACAATTGATCAAGATCAAAATATACTGATCTAAACACGCCACAACAGAAGAATTGAAAAATACTTTTGAAAATGGTATTTAAATTAAAATAAAAAAAAAAGATCGCTGCACCAAAGCTCACTAGCCTTTTGGTCTAGACACGTTCCCGTGTCTAATAAAAAACAAAAAAAAAAAAAAAAAAAAAAGAAAAAAAAGAAAAAAAAGAAAAAAAAAAAAAAAAAGGGCTGCTCGAGCTATTTGGGTAGTAGCAAGTGGAAGGCTTGATTTTTTTCCCTCTAAACAACAGATCATGAAGCATAATCAAGATAGCGTGGCGAATAGCGCCTCCTAAGAGACCCCTTTCATACCCTAGTCACCAGGCTAGACTCTAGCTTATACTTGGTATCACTTCTTTCTCGGTATGAGACATTCATGCATGTGCTTTTGTGGCTTCTTTTTCTCTTTCATTTTTATGGCCCGAGTATGTTTCACAAATGTACTATACAAAACTAATGGCCAGAACTATAGAGACTTTTCCAGAGAGTAATACATATTCTCGTCTCAGAAAAACAATAAGGTTTTTTCCCTCTCCTTCTAGAAGCGGCGGATACACGGAGTATCCGTCCATGATCCTCTTTTCTGATTGGACCGGAGGACTTCCGTGGCGGATTTCAATGATTGGGGAGTGCTATATAAGGGTAGCTCGGCCGAAATGAGCAAATTAACTCTCGATCTCCGACATTTTGTCTTTTTATTTTTTTTCTTTTTTCTTTTTTCTTTTCTTCAATCTTACAATTATGTAGTAACTGAGCCTCCGTCCGAGTCCGCCAAATATGATTCCCCTGAAAACTCAATTGCAAGCTATGTATGTTGTATCACAATCTGGCACGGGTGAAATCATAGCCGCGTGGCCTTGCAGTGGATCGGAAACTTTCTTCTTTTTGCTCTGGTTCTATCGGCATCTCCCCTTGTTTGAGAAACGATCAACTTATACAGCTTTTAAGGCTGAAACTCCCGCGAACTGGAGGCTTAGGCCTGACGAAAGCCTGCGCCTCTCTCGGGCTCGATCCGTTGAGGTGCACCAAAAATAACCTGAGAGAGTCCTAGATTGCTGGTCGCAATAACCTTTCTCTGTGGCGCTGGCGACAATTCAATAATTCAGACGATCATTGACTACCCTAAATGATCCCTTCAATCCTCAAAGTGTGGGTTTCCCATACTCTCGCTTCCTTTTCTCCTCGAACCAGACAATCCAATATTTAACCAGGGGGCAAAGAATGGTTCATAGGGCGGATTTCCCTAAACCAGTCCCGTCTCTCGGCAGATAAGTCTTGGCAATAGCTTGGCCTCGATCTGTGGCACCGCAGGCCTTTCACTCTCTCTTCGGAATCACATCCCGGTTTCTTACACCGTACGGGGCTACGCAGTATGTACACATGTTCTAGTGCTGTCGATTATGCACCCGTGCCCAAGGAACACAACTCAATAGACCCGGATCATTTCCGCAGTCTAGCTTTTTTTTTTTCAGACACTAACATTCCATGGCTGCATCAAAAACCTGGTGCATACAGGTCCTGGCCAAATTGCAAACCCGCACAGGGTCCTCACAACCAGGATTCCGGCCCTAAAACCCAGTCTTATTGACCCTGTCCTCGATCTTGGTTGTCTGACGACGACTGTGCACGCCCCGCTGGCCCTGATCAACCAGCTTTTTTTCAGACTGCCCCGTTGACCCTTGATCGAGCCCACTTTGAAATCCAATGTGGCCTCGATGCCCTAACTGTTTGGTTCTCTGACGAATTCTTCAATTTGTTTTGCATGTAGATCTGAAGGACTGGTCGAACTTCAGGAACCGTTTGATTGCGTTCCCGTATATCGATCGAGCATCCGAAATCTAGATCTTCACACCTGCCATCTATGGACTAGATCGACTTTTTAAAAAAAAAAATCAAAAATCAAAAATCAAAAAATCGAAATCAAACTCTTTTTGTGCCGTGTGGAAATATTTGTGCAATTCTGCACTCACCACAGACTAATCTCGACTGATTAACAAGGATTCTCAGACTAGGGATTTCAAGGATTTTCACTCCAGGATTCTGTTGCCCACTGCCGAAAATCCGGGACCCACCAGCTGAAATCTCAAAAGACAACCCACGTGGGCCGTGAGACGATGATGCCGGGGAGATAGGAGACAGCCGGTTGAAAGCTCACCTCATGCACATGTGGTCTGAAGACGATCATTTTAGTGCACGCCCCTGATCCGTCAACATTCGAAGCTACTGTTTTCTATCGATCAAATGACGGGTATGAGGATCAATAGTATAGTAACCCGGATGGAGATCACCTAGGTAAATATGTAAATGATTGCCACTAGTGGGTAGAACGGTGGGTAGCACAACCGGGGTTCAATTTTCCCACGTCTCGGCGATGAACATTGAAGGTCAACTGGTACTAGTTGATGCCCACATACAGGCACCTGGGTGCATATGTGCCTTATATGGATGCTTCAAATGTTTGGTCAACAGTTGGAATCCGGGTACCCTCTCCATAACATGTGTACATATAATTAGTGCTGGCACAGTTTGGATTGATTCAAAAGCACTTGAGTTAATCAATTGATTGATATAATTATTATGAGCGCCTGGTCGAGAATAGCACTCTTACATACACAACCACTCAGTGCATGTGCTTCAAATGTTGCATCAATTATGTAGCCTTGCACATGCATGTGGGATTGATTGATGCATACACCTGTCCAGACGAGTCGACTCGCTGCTCAATTAGACTTAAAAGTTGAGATATTCAAATGTTGTCTTCACATCTGGGGGTGACATTCAAATGAATCAATTGATCTGTATATTGCTTAAATAAAATACAGTGCTATATACCAGTACATCAATCAATGTTGATAATTTGAAACATTTGAATACATATTATGCCCCAGTGGTATCTACCTAGATATGTATACATTATGTATACTATATATATGCACATGTGTCGTCAAGAATTGGCAATATTTGAAGTGCTGTCACTGGTAGATACTTCAAATGTTATGTAGCTAGTAGTGCTCAAGCTGTTGACGCAATGTGTATGCCCAGGTCCAAGGGTGTATATATATCTACAAAGGTGTCCAAGCAGGTGCGCGAAAAAAAAAAAGATTTGAAACAACCTTGGAACATCCCTTGGAGCTCCCGACATCGGAAGATCCATTCACGATTGAGTGCATCCTTAAGTAGAAGTTCTTTAATTCAGGGCTAGAATTAAAAGTCCAGTCATGTTTTCCGTGTCAACATTCGTTTGTCGTTAACCAGGATGTACATACACGGGTGTGGAGTCGCGACAATCGCCTGGACGCGGATCATTTCCCAAAATAGCAACGAGCACAACAAGAACTTTGAACTCTCATGTTCCCTTCACACTAGGAAGGCTCCTCCATTGCTAGTAACAACGGAACCAGTCACGAAAAAATCCTTCATGAGATACAAATATGCCTCAGCAGTGTCTTCCGGGTATCCGATGTCTTGCGTCAGTGATTGTTGTGCCGATCTCTCAACCAGACCTCCTCTTATCGTCTCCGGCAGACGATCCATCAGCTCCGTTAGGACAAACCCCGGAGAAACAGCATTGACGCGTAAAGGCGACAGCGTCACGGCTAGGCCTTTCATCAACCCTTCGACCGCGCCAGCGATAACAGGCGGCAGCCAAAAAGACGGTTTCTTGCTCTGAGTCCCGGATGTCAAGGTAATCGAGGAAGTCTTGCTAAGGTTCATATATTTAGGAGCGTATTTGGCCACCGCCACAGCACCAAAGAAGCGAACTGTCAAGAAAGCCTCGACGTCGTCGAAAGATGCTTCCGCTAGAGGGACGAGTGGGGGCACATTCCCGGCCGTGAAAACAATATGATCGATGGGCGAAGCTTCAGCACCGAACCTAAGGAGACTCTCGATGGTTGTCTCGAGCTGGTCTCGGATGGAGAGGTCTGCGACCTGGCTGCGGATAGCTGATGCTTTGGTTGGGTGGATATTTCGTAGGCGTTTGACAGCATTGGATACTTTCTCTTCGGAGGAGGAACTGATGGTTATATTTGCGCCATCTGCTAGTGCTTGCCTGGCGACTGCAAAACCAATGCCCGAGGTTCCCCCGATTAACAAGATGTTTTTATTCTCGAGTTTGCTGACGGTGGCCATTTGATAGTCTTTCCACCAAGTTTGAGGGTTACAAAATATCTTAACCTCTGCAAAGTACTAGCAACGTTGAAGAGGGCCTTAGGTCCCACTTTATGACATTTCTCACTCATTTATACAGCTCCAAACATTGAATGTTTGAATCGCGACTCTTCCTCGGACCAGTTCGTCCGTCCGGAAATTCAGCCGAATAGGTATGCCATGATAGCAGCCCTGACACCGAATTTACAGATGACAAATTCACACGTGTTTATTATTAATTGAATCGATAATAAATCAGAATCAATGACTTCCGCTCTTCATGAAGAGCTCCCTTAAACGTGGAACATCTATGGATTGTTTTTCTTACCTACTATGTTAGTAGTATATCTGCCCTCTGACAAGTACTACTACGTCCGACAAAATATAGTCATGCCTGAAATACCAGGCGTCAACAAATTCACTTTCTCTTGCCACTTTCCTCAGGTGTCAGTTACCTCATCACATACACCTGCCAGTATTATTCCAAGCTGGCTGCGCCTGGTATGACTGCATATTACCTACTGTGACTCATATTCACCCAGCCATCTCCCGCCTAGATGAATTTTGGTGTCGCTACTGCCCGCCGATGCCGCCATATGATACAAGACGCACGGTCTTTGGCAATGGGCTAAACCGCTTTGGGAGCCCGACCCCAGGGTTTGACCCTTGGCAACGACTCTTTACACGACTCTTTACACGACTCTTTACACGAGAGGAATCACAAGCGGCAAGAGCGATACACATAGATCTCAAGACTTAATAATCATGGTCCCCCTTCCCGCCCGGACGACTGTTGCATAGAGCTTGTGTAAACGTGCCCCTGCCACAGTGCTTTAAATACACTCAACGGAACTTTAGTGACCATTTGAACGTCTGTTTTGATCAGGATTCAGGCCGTTCTTATGATGACATCTGCTCTCACAATTCTTGCAACGTGCAAGCAAACTCGGTTTCATCTTCTAGATGACAAACCTTCGTCTGAGGTAAAGGAATCAAGCTCGACTTTGAGATCGCCACTTACACCAAAAAGATAGATGTGGAGGGACTAGGCATCGTGGTCACATCGTCGACTCCTAACACCTCCGAGGATGCTTCCAAACCAAAAAACAAGGGAAGACCTAAAACCAAGGCATCCGGCCAAGAACTTATTACCGATGCTCACCTCCGACTTAAGGGAGGTGTCCATTATGGGTTGATAGGACGCAATGGAACCGGAAAGTCAAGTAAGTCAAAGTCATGTTTGCAAAATTGAGTGCCAAGTCTCTTGATAGAAATCTGATTGACGGTTGGTTTAGCACTCCTGAGAGCGATGGCTGAAAAGCTTATTCCTGGGATTACACACCCGACTCGCATTGCAATTCTACAGCAGACCGACGACCAAGATGAATCGGGGAGTACATACGGACTGAAACTGGATAAATCTGTTCTAGAGTCAGTTCTTGGTAGTGATGAAACCAGGAATGAAGCAGCTCGACTGGCAGTCTGTAAGCAACCCCTTCTAGGTGAGGTTTGATTGCAGCATTTGACTCTGTACTAGGCCTGTCTAAGAGCTTCGAGAGTGAGGACCCACTGAAGCCGGTCCAGGCTATTCGGAAGATTCGACATGAGCAAGCGGAGAAGAAATTATTTCTTGCGCATAAGAATGCCCATTTGAAAAGTGGATCGAGGGGTCTACAAGCAAGGAAAGACTTGAAGGCTGCTGAATCAAAACTTGAATCAACAGAGGGGCTGTAAGAAAGCCACATATATGATCATTTTACATTTATCTGACCGTCAAAGACTTGCCCAGGAACTCGATAGTATCGATGCTGAGGCAGTCCAAATAGATACACAAGCCGCTGTTGACATGCTTCAGAATTTGCAATCCCAACTTGAAGATGCGAGTACCACGGACCAACATGACCCAAACAACTTCAACTAACTTTCACCAGATGAAAATGGCCGATATGGAAAAGGAAGCCCGGCGGATTCTGCTGGGATTAGGATTCAAAGAAGGAAACTTGGAAAATAAAATCTCAACGTTATCAGGAGGATGGCGAATGCGTTGCATGCTTGCCTCCGTTCTCGTCCAAAATCCCGACATCATGATTCTTGATGAGCCAACCAACTTTCTTGATCTTCTAGGAGTAGTCTGGCTTGAAAATTACCTCCAAAGGCTACGCGATAATTCCCAAACCACGATAGTTCTAGTCTCACACGACCGAGATTTTATCAATGCCGTTTGTGAAGAGATCGTGATCTTGCGGGATCAAAAACTGCACTATTTTCGCGGGAACCTCGCGGCCTACGAGCAAGATTTCGAGGCGCAGAAGCTATACCTTGGTCGTATGAAAGAAGCACAAGAGCGACAGATTGCCCATATGGAGGCCAGCATCCGTGAAAACATGAAAATAGGCAAGAAGACCAACGACGAGAATAAGCTTCGACAGGCCAAGTCACGACAAAAGAAAGTTGATGATCGAATGGGACTTCAGGTCAGTGCAACTGGAGGTCGGTTCAAACTGAATCGGGATATGGCAGGATGGCATGCCCATAATCGGGCAGAGATTGAAGTACCGATGGACGAGAGAGGCGCGATGATGAGCCTGCCCGATGCGACAGAGTTGCGATTTCCAGGACCGCTTGTATCTCTAGAGGGTGTTAACTTCAGATACAAGAATAATCGCGTCATTCTAGATGATATCAATTTGGTCATTTACATTGGCGATCGCGTTGGAATCATGGGCCTGAATGGCTCAGGAAAAACCACGCTGATTCGTATAATGACAGGGCAATTGGCTCCGTCAAAGGGCAAAGTGACGACCCATGCCCGATTGAAAGTGGGTTATTACGGCCAGCACTCTGTGGAGGAATTACAGGAACTTGGTCGAGGCGAGCCCGGGCTCACTGCACTCGGTTTATTGATGGCAGAAACGGGCGACGCACTCAACGAGGGAGCCGTGAGAGGGCTCCTATCATCGATGGGTCTACAAGGCCGTATTGTGTCCGATGTACCTGTGGCCAAACTGTCTGGTGGGCAGCTAGTAAGTTTCCTCATTTCCTTTCGCTGGTATATCGACAGTAACTCATCCCTTTGCATAGGTTCGGCTCGCTTTGGCTCGAATTGTTTGGAGTGCACCACAACTTCTGATCCTTGATGAGATTACCACTCATCTAGACTTTCATACTGTCGCAGCACTCGCCACGGCGCTCTCCTCCTTTAACGGGGCCATCCTCCTTGTCTCTCATGACCGATTCTTAATTCGGTCCGTGATTGAAGGAAAACGCGATACCGAGAACAAGCTCGATGATGATTTTGAGGGATTAGAAGAAGAGGAAGAAACGCACGAAAAAAGCACTCGACGCCGATCGGTCTATGTGGTCAAGATGGGTAAGTTGAACGAGCAAGCAAGCGGGGTAGAACAATTCGAGCGGAGTCTGGTTAAGCGAGTAGAAAAGATGTTGGCGATTTGAGGCATGGAGCTAGCCAATCACAGATGAATGAAAAATTTTCCTTTCCAGCCCATCTATACATAACTACATGATACACTGTTGGAACTTGGACCGTTGGTGGATTTCTAACTGGGCCAGCGGCAGCCCTACGCCACGTGACGCGACGATCATTCAACGACCCACCAACGAAACTCTCCGACTTGACCGTTTCACTTACCCCCTTTTTCTTGTATTGCATGCTCGGGATATGCATTCCTTTTATTTACAGAAATCGCCGTATCCCTGAATGGTCCAAGCACCTTTTTTCCCCTTGACTTATGATCTTTGTCATTTGTAAGGAAGTCCTGAGGCGAAACAAGGCTAGGAGTGGGGCTCCCGTTCATCCTTGAAGGGAGGAAAATTTCTTATACCCCGTAAAAAGCCCACAATATGCCTACTTTACGCCAACACCCGAGAAAAAAACCCCCCAGACCAATTCTCTCCTTTAATATGAATAATTCTCTTCAACTCTTCATGACTCTGGTCTAAACTATCTGTAGTGGTTGAGAGCTGAGGCTTTTGAACATCTACTGCAAAACCGGATCGTGAGAAACAAAACATACAGGTCAACTGGCCATCTTGCACACCGACTATCCCCCTCCACGAGGTTGAGCCATCAATTTCAATTGGCCTTTCTGGCCTTGCTTATCTCGCATCTTTTTTTCCTTTGTTCTTGGCTTGCAGGATGAAGACGAGAATGGGAATCTGTGCGAGGTTGAGTCGTACGTTTTCTCTTCACTATGTAACTTTTCCTACCGTAACTAATCCAAGGTTGGCGTCCCGCAGCGTTATGGCTATCAATGGGCCAAGCCATGTCCGCAGTTTTACCACCAGCCAATTTTCTAACATTACATCATGCCTACTTCATTGTGACATGTCTGGTCAGCAGTATCATTTTCTACCTGATTTCGACACCATGGAAGAGCGTTGCTTATGTCGATGCTATCTTCTTGTGCGTGAGCGCGATGACTGGCGCGGGATTGAACACGGTACAAATAAACCCTCTCCAAAACCTATAGACTCATAACAAAGAAAAACGTTTCTAATGTATTCTCCAGGTGGACTTGTCAACTCTCAACACTTGTCAACAGGTGATTCTGTTCATTTTGCTGATCCTGGGTTCCGTCATCTTCGTCTCAGTCGCCGTGTTGATGGTCCGCAAGCGAGCATTTGAAATAAAACTTCAAGTCGTCTCAAATGAGCGCGAAGCCTCACGTCGAGCATCCGCTCTGGAATCACAGGAAGAACCATGTGCCGAGGCATCCGGCCACGAGCAGGGGGCTAAATGCCAACCCCGGCCACTGACTGTCACTGTCCACGAAGCCCGTGGGGCGAGTTCCAGTCACGACCAGCCTGCATGGGATGATGACGATCAGATCACAATCGCGGATACACTCGCTCGTCAGCATCACCACCACCGCGTCTTCCCCATGATGGGCGTTGGCGCTAGGCCTGATTTGAATAACCACCCCCGTGACGTGGCACCAGTGCCTCTGTACCCAGTCGAATCGCCCAAGTCAAAAGCAGAAAATGTGATTCGAGGCACCCAGAAGTATTTCTGGTCCAAGGCATTGGTGTCACGCAACTCACAATTCCACGGGCTGACATCAGCGGAACGGGAGAAACTTGGCGGCGTCGAGTACAGGGCCGTTTCTTTCCTGTCGGTCATCGTCTCGCTGTACCTAATTGGATTCCTTGGTTTAGGAATAGTCGGCATGGGCACCTGGCTGCAGGTAAACCACCCGGAGAAGGCAACCGAGAATGGCCTCTCACCATTCTGGACAGGTGCTTTCTTTGCCGTGTCAGCGTTTGTGAACAGCGGTATGGCCCTTTTGGATGCGAACATGACCGCCTTTCAATTGAAGTATGTATCTTCTCCGTAATGTCAGCCAGAAGATACAAGGGTTTACTAACGTCTTTATAGTGCATACCCGCTTCTGACCATGGCAATGCTAATTCTTGGCGGAAATACCCTCTTCCCCTGCTTTTTGCGGTTCATAATATGGTCTATGAGGCTTGTCCTACCGGATCGCCCGGCGTGGAGATCGTGGCGGATGACTTTGGATTTTATTTTGGATCACCCGCGAAGAGTATACACCAATCTTTTCCCAGCTCGCCATACTTGGTATTTGCTAGGAACAATCATTGTTCTCAACGCTATAGATTGGGCTGGTTTTGAGATCTTGTCGATTGGGAACAAGGAAATCGAGTATCTTCCATCCAAGTATCGAGTTCTGGATGGTCTTTTCCAGGCTGTTGGTTCGTATTACCAATGAGAAATCTTTCATGAAACATGATCTAATAATGTACAGCGGTCCGTTCGGGAGGATTCTACGTGGTGACCATTTCGGACCTGCGACAGGGTCTGCTTGTTCTATATGGTAAGTCTTTCGGTATATCCCAGGTCATTTGGATTGCCAGCTAACCTCTAATATAGTTCTCATGATGGTAAGATCTATCAGTGTTGTATCAGTCTCAATACCTAGAAGCGTCCAGAACTAACAGAAGAACAGTATGTCTCCGCATTTCCAGTGCTGGTGACCATGCGGTATGTCTGAACTCTTTAATCCTACTATATCAAATTTACCTAACAATTCCATCCAGCAACACGAACGTCTATGAAGAACGCTCCCTCGGAATTTACGCCAATGACGACTCCCCTGAATCTCCCGCAAACACTAGCCGCAGCAATGTCCTTGTCGACTTAGTCCGGCACCACCTAGGGCGACCCAGCGGCTCAGAGACCTCGCGCGGCTACTTCGTACACCAACAACTCCGCTCTCAACTAAGCCATGACCTATGGTGGATTGCTTTAGCCGTTGTTTTCATCGCCATCGCGGAGTCAGACCACTTTAATACCCAGCCTGTCGCGTTTGCGACCTTCAATATCATCTTCGAAGTTGTTTCCGCATACGGCTGTGTCGGAGTTAGCGTGGGCTACCCTGGGAAGAACTATTCCTTCTGTGGCGCGTGGCATCCTATCAGCAAGCTTATTCTTGCTGCTGTTGCCTTGAGGGGTAGACACCGAGGGTTACCGGTTGCGATTGACAAAGCGATTATGCTACCTACAGAGTCGCTGGCGTGGGCAGAGGAAGAGGATGCTGCATTGAGGAGAGAGAAGACGAAGAATTGGGGCCAGGATCGGATGCCTGTTGGAGCGGTTTAGATTTCCCCTTGCTTTTTTTGAGCATAGCATTTATGAATACCCACTTAGCATTGCATAGAAAATAGCACTTGAGACCATGAGAGGGACTAGCGTGTACAAAATGAACTTCTTTTTTTTGAAATGGCTGTAATGAAAACGAAAAAAAACGCCTGATTCTTTTGATGCGGAATATCCCGGTAGTAATAATAGATCGACATGAAAGATATACACAAGAGTAGTATGGAAATAATAGGACAGGTATCTATTCTTCTTCAAGCTCCAACTCGTCCTCGTCCTCTTCCTCTTCTTCCTCTTCGATCTCGTCCTCGCTCTCCATCTCTTCCTCATCTTCGTCACTACCTTCATCACTGCCAGCATCCCCCATGGTCTCATCACCACCGCCTTGCTTCTTGGCCTCGGCGCGGCGCTTCTCCTCTTCGATGCGACCCTCCTCGAGAATAGCAGCACGCTCCTCTCTCAGTTTGCGCTGGGTCTTCACGAATGCACCGAGAGGTGTAGTCTCCCAGTCGACATCCTTCAGGAAGTTCTCGACTTCAGTGCGGTTGCGGGGAGTGAAAGACACGTTCAAGCGACGCTCCTCAATCCAGCGGGCATTAGTCTCGACCTTCTGCACGAGCAAAAGGATCATCTGGTTGATCTTGGCATTCTTGTTGCCGCCATTGCGGGCAGAGACCTGCTTCAGCCAGCGCTTAAGGGAGACAACAACCGGGACAGAGAGTTCGGGGAAGGCAATGTGCTTGGACCAAAGAACGAAGAACTCAGATAGGAGCTCGGCGACCTGCTCACCGACACCGTCCTGGTAAATACGAGAGCGGAGGTAAGACTTCGGGGCACGGATAGCAGTATCGAAGTCGAGAGGCTTAATGGTGCTAGATCTGGGCGACTTGCGCATCTCAGCAGAGGTGAGGACCTCCAACAGAGCAGAGGCAAGAGGTATGTAGGTTCCTGTGGCGCGAGAAATGCGAAGCAGGGCACGGGCCATCTGGAAACGGAGTGGGAAATACTGCGCGGTCGGGATAAGGCGCATAGCACCCAGGGTGATCTGGACAACCGGGTAAATAAGTGGACGCAGAGCAGACTGCTTGCCAGCCTGGGCCTCGACAAGTCCATCGCAGTGTTGTGAGAGCACACGGGACCAGAAGTCGAGCGAGTGAACGTATTGCCAGTTGTAAATGGTTTTGTATGACTCCTTGGAGGTGTGGCGGGTGCTGTTGCGAAGGTGCATGGCCAATTGGCGGATGAAGGTGAATCCGGTGGTGTATGAGACGTTCTGATCGATGCCCCAAATCTCGGCGGCCGAGTTCTTCATCAGGTTCACGGCAGAGAGAGTGTGGACGGTGGTGTTGCGGCTTCCCTTAACCACACCCTCGTATGTGGCCTTGAGCACAGTCTCCTTGATACCGGCGTCGCCCATAATCATAAGACGACGGAGCAAGAGGAATGCGGTGATCCGTGTAGCATCAGCGGTAGACACATCGGCCCAAATGCCGACAACAGTCTTGATAAGAGTCTTCAAAACCTTGCGGAACTGGAGAAGATAAGGGAGCATGGGCTCCATGGAAGAGATGGTCAACTTCAGAGTTTGAGCATCGGTCAGGTTCATCAGAAGCTGGTGAACTGAGGAAGTGTGGGATTTGATCAAAGGAGTAAGGGTCTTGAACTTCTTCGAATCGAGGGAAACCTTGACCTTGCCACCTGCGGTCTCTTTGACAGGGAGGTGGTGTGCAAGAGTCTTGGGGACAACATTCAGTGCCGTTACCAGCACCTGGTGGTAGACATTGGGGTCGGAGATGGTGTACCTCTGCTCGCCAGCATCGGGGTCGTTGACATTGGCTGCGGCACGGAATGCCAAAACGGTCTGGCGCATGGCGCGGACTGAGTTTTGCTCCTCCATCAATTTCTGCCACTTCTTCACCATAGGGATAGTCAAGGTGTTGTCAACCAGCTTCTCATCTTCCTCCTCTGCTTCCTCTTGCTTCTTGGACTTCTTCTTCTTCTTCGCTGGACCCTCCTCCTCGCCGGCCTCACTCTCGCTCAACTCGTCGATCTCAGCCATGTCCCCTTGGTCACCGAAATCAAGTAGCTCTGCGTCGTTCTCCTTCAGGTATTTATAGAACTCGGGATCCTTCTCTTTCAATGATTCAAGCTGGTCCTTGTGCTCATCATAATCATTGGCATCCTCCTCATCACTACCCTCAGCCTCGGAGCCTGAGACTTCCTCATCCTGTGCCTGATCTGTCGAGCGCTTGCGCTTGCCAATCTTGGGTGTAACGTCCTTCTTGCTGGCCTTCTTCTTGTCGCTCTTGGGGTCGGCAATATCGAAGCCACCGGCAAAGAAGTCGTCCACATTCATGTCGGCGAAATCATTTTGCTTCTTCACTTGCTCGGGATCCGGGATGTTGGCTTCTTCTTCGGCTTCGCGGCGACTGGCACTCTTTTCTCTGCGCTTGTCTTTCAATACATGGCGTTGCTTGACTTTGGCGAATTCCTTTCGGCGCTCAAGTGTTTCTTTCAGATGTTTCGTGTTGAACTTCTTCGTCGACTTTTTCCCGCCGGCGGCCATGATGGACAATTGGTTCTGCGGTTTTCTAGCTTGTAGAGCAGATTAGATCCAGCGCTGAGAGAAAAAAAAATTTGGCTCGGGGAAAATCAGCGACTCCGCCTTCCCGACCGCCTTTGGCAGCTGGCCGATAAGCATCAAAGCTTCCTATCTCTCAGCCATCTGAACCCCCCACGAATATCCTGGCCTCTTTGTAATTCGGAATTATCTTCTTCTTTTTCTTCTTTGAGTGATTTCAAAATGTACTCCCAGCGTCCTCTATCATATGCGCCAACACCCTATAGCTATACTCCAGACCCGGCAAGGTCGGCCTCGATCAACCTCGATGAAGTATGTTCCCCCTCTCTCCATGGAATACAACGTACAGTCGAGCTCACCTGCCTGTAGGAAGTCAAATTGGTTTCCAGCTCAGGAGAACGCGATCTCTACGAATCTCTCGCTGAGATTTACAGCATTATTGTCACCCTCGATGGGCTCGAAAAGGCTTACATCAAAGATGTAGTGACAGAGGCGGAGTATACCGAGACATGCACGCGACTACTGAAACAATACAAGTCAAGTCTGGGTGATGAGACTGTTGCGCGAGAATTTAAGGACTTGGAATCATTCAAACAAACATGGGGTGTAAGCATGATCTTCAATCAACCCTGTACTTGAACTTGAGGCTCCTCTAACAATATCATCAGCTAGAATGCCCCCGAGCCACAGAGCGATTACGAATTGGTCTCCCCGCGACTGTCGAACAAGCTTCCCATAATGTACCCACATCCGGCGGTGGTGCTCAAGGAGGATCGGGAGCCGGTGCATCGGCCAGTTTGATCATGGCCGCGACAGAGAACTTCATTACCTTCCTCGACGCATTGAAGCTGAACATGGTGTCAAAGGATGCACTACATCCCTTGCTCTCAGAAGTCATCCAATCGGTGAACAAAGTCACTGATGGGGAGTTTGAAAACCGAGGAAAGATTATTCAATGGCTGATTACTCTCAATCAAATGCGGGCCACGGAAGAGTTAAGCGATGACCAGGCAAGGGAATTGGCCTTTGATATCGAGCAGGCTTATCAAGGCTTCAAATCAACTTTGAATTAACATATAAAAGCATTGATCAAGGCGTTCAGGTTGAGATGATTACACGACTGACGATTGATTAATCCTCTCCTCTATACGTTTTCCAGCAAACACTACTAGGTACATACTGCAAACCTAGGGGCGCTGCGCATACGCGCATCGCAATACCTGGTACCCAGATTCATCGAACCTCGGAATGTCATTAAAGATGACCTCGGGAGCGGTGGGAAAAGATGGTTGCTTAAGCGGATTCCAGAGAACTAGGGAGAGCCCTCTTGGATTTCGTACTTGGTTAGATTAATAAACCTATTTAATAAGTACATACCAGTTATGGTCACGGTAAATTTAGTGTTCTTCCGAAGCTGAGAAAGTTTGGTGATTCGAAGGGGTCGGATGGTTTGAAAGTACTGACCTGAGGCAGAGACTAAATAGCCTTCTTCTCTTTCCTAGGAGGAGATGCTGGTTCTTCCAGCTCTACCATTTTGTACTGTTGTGCTATATTGAAATTTGAGGTAGGGTCTGCCTTTACAATACCATAGAACAAGGTATAGATAGAAAGCATGGATTCCTATGAGACGTCTGTGACTGAACCAAGACTAGCTGGGTTACATTACTGACCAGTTGACCTTGCTAACGGACCGCAGCTCTCTCCTCAGGTCACGTGTATTTAGGTAATCACATTATGTAACTATACTAAGGTATCACGTGGGGCCAATGACGTCGGTGTCGTCTACATGAATCTAGAATCAACTCAACGTGCCCTGAGTTCAATTTTTTGGCGTTTCCTGGCTCTCAATCAATCCAGAATTAATATTATCCCCATGTGCCAAACTCATTCCTTTTCTCAAACTACCAAAATACCCGCCGGTTGAGGTGCATAATCCACCAGTATCAAAATCCATGAATTGCGAATCGCCAAAAACCACCATTCAAAACATTACAATTTCCAGGCTATACCCCGCATCGCAAACGCAATCACGGACCTCAAAGTGCTTTTGAATGTCTGTAAAAGGCCCTTACAATTAAATCATCATCAGCTACCTAGGTTTATACCTAATCATGCTCGGATTACTGACCCTTACCGCGATCCCGACGGTTACGGGGGCCGCGTTCGGAGTGAGCGAGCAGCGCAAGGCGAATCAACGCAAAGAAGATGCGCGGCGGATGCTAAAATTCAACATTGACGCTGTATGCTTTGGCGATACAGACGATGATCGAGATTTGAATGGGCGGAGGGTAGTCGTGCGAAACGACAAGGTCAGTCCAGACGCAATCGAACCTGGATTCTGTCTAGTAGATTTATTCGCTAAATACTTTACAGGTCTACTTGGATGACCTCGACCCTCGCAAACGCACCATCCCCTCATTTACCTCCCTAGCTTTCTACATCGAGTACCCCGAGCTTGAGGAAACCAAAGACCTAGATCGAGGACTTGGGTTACCGACCTACGTATCGGCGAACCCACCGCTGCTGAACTGGATATACGCGGACTTTGAAACACACGAGTTGAAATATGGAAACCGTTCACAGAGTGTGGAACACGTCGTTGGGCCATGGAACTGGACTGAGGATGAGATAACGATCACGCTGGAAGAAAGTGCTGGGTTTGTAGCGGTTGAGGAAGAAGAGGGAGAGTGGGCACTTTATTTCGATCGGGATGGAGATGAATTGGCGGAAGTTCTAGAGGAACAGGGGATGCTAGATTGTGCTTTTGTGCCGGTGAATCTTGTTAGACGGCCTGCAGAGGATCCTCCTGCTCCACCACAGCAGCAGCAAAAACAGCAACAGAGCCAAGGCCAAAGCTCTGAAAATGCGGAGAAGAAAGGATAATCATCTAATATAATGGATGATAGCCGAATGAATACGTTGATTATTATTTTAGTCTCTTCATGTACATTTTACACCACCTGACAAGGACTCGTAAATAATAAAATACTTAGTCCTGCAGACCGTTCCAGCTTCCGTCACTCAGATTGCCATCACTTGGAGCAGCCGCTTTTCTGTTACGACTGGCAGCAATAGCACCCTTCTTGCGGTTTTCCATGCGTCGCTCAAAGCCACTCTTGGTGCTGATTCTGGCTGCGCGCGCAGCCTTGCTATCATTCTTGTCATCACCGCCCTTGCCACCAATGTGCTGAGAGATCTGGCGCGCCTTGACACCGTGCTTCTTGAGTTCTTGCTTATCTTTCTTGCTAAGATCTGGCAAGGAATTCAGAAGCCATTTCTGGATTGACTTTCCGCCATCCTCGCCGCGGAGCTTTTCACTCACGTCAATAACATTGGCGATGCTCTTGACGTACGGAATATCCTCCTTCGTGTAATAAGTGACGGCGATACCACCCTCGCGACCAGCGCGACCGGTCCGTCCAACGCGGTGAACGTAAACAGCGGCAGAGTTGGGGATATCGTAGTTGACGACACCGTTGATACCACGGAAGTCGACGCCACGCGCGAGCAGATCAGTCGTGACGAGAATCCAAATCTCGCCCTTGCGGAAGTCGCGCATGATCTCGGACCGTTGGTTATCGGCGAGGTCGGAGTGCAACACGGCAATACGCGATGATCCACCAGCTTCGGCTGGAATGTCGTATCTCAATTCAGAATGTAGAGCAATTGCTCGGGGAATAGTTTGAGTGAAGATGAGGAACGGAGGGCGCAGGCGGACGTCTCCAGGCGACGCTGCGGCGGGGCGGAGGAGTTGTCGAAGTCCTAGGAGCTTACCCTGCTCTGTCGCAGCGTAAATGAGTCGATGCTCGATGTTGGGAATCGCTGAGTCTTTGAGCCCAACAACAACGCGGACAAGAGGATGGGGCGTGGTAGGTCGGTGATTGATGTTTTCCAAACGCTCTTTGATTGTCGATCGAGTAAGATCTTCAACATTGGACCCCATGGTGGCAGACCACAAACTTACGCGCAAATCCGGGTGCACACATGAGCGCCAGATGTCAAGTGTCTGCTCACGGAACAATGGGTCCAACAGCACATCAGCTTCGTCGAATACCAAGCTCCGTACCAAAGGCAGGTGGGCCAAGGGCTTCGTCTGGTTTGCGGATAGAGAATTCACCAACATCAAGGGCGTTGTAACCAATACGTCGCTCTTGGTGATCGGTGCGTTATTTTGTGCCTTCTTTGGTTTGTCGTCATCCTCATCCTCATCCTCTGATCCAGCAGATTCCTCACCATCCTCTTCAAGAACGTTGACCTCGTCGTCGTCGCTTCGCTCGACCACTCGCATGCCCTTTCTCATCAAAGTGACCTTCACACCAGTTCCCGCTACCAGTTTCCGGCCTTCGTTGACAATCTGACTGGCAAGCTCTTTGGTAGGAGCCACAATAACTGAAAGGATCCCGTGCTCATCTGATTGCGAATGGTGGTGTCGAACAATCTTGTTGATCACAGGAATCAAGAATGACAAGGACTTACCACTACCAGTAGGTGCGACAACCAGCAGGTCGGGCTCTGTAGTTTCGGTGGTAGACACCGAAGGATCAGCCAGAAGAAGAGGCAGACTGCCCAGCTGCACCTCCGTAGGCACAGTGAATCCTTGCCCAGCGACATTCTCTGCCAGTCGGCTGGAGATCTTGTATCTAGACCGCAGCTCCTTGAATGAAATTAGCGGCTGGGGATACATTCGTCTAGCACGCTTCATCTCCTTCTTGCTGAGAGTAGCGGGCGATTCTTCCTTCTTGGACTTCTTTTTCTTCTTAGATTCCTTCTTGGACTCCTTGACCAAGGCAGGCGGAAGCTGAATGTCATCCAGGTCACGAAGGTCGGTAATCTTGATTTTGTGCGAGTTTAGAATAGTGCGGCGTTGCACTTCATCCATAGAATCGTCATCATCGGACTCGTTTTGATCAGATGGTTTATCCTCGCCCTTGGCCGAAGCGGAAGGCTCAGATGAGGGTGCCACGGAGCGCTTGTTGGAATGAAAGAAATCCAAATCAGCGGTTTCTTCCTCGGACTCATCGTCAGCTGCAGCATTTGCACGCTTTCTCTTCTTCTTTCCCTGTTCCGATTCAAGCTTTTCACCCTCTGCAGTTCTGAAAAGCTGCGGGTTCGCTGCTTTTCCAAACGAAGGAAGTCGGACAGCTGGCTTTGCAGCTGGCGCAGTCGACTTGAATTTTGTCGACCGCGTTAATAATTTGAAGGCATCCATGTTGTCAGTCGTGGATACTTTTTTTTTTTTTTCCAGAGGTTGCGAGCTGCGGACTTTGATATTTTGGCGGAAGAGAGAGAAAAGTTGGTCCACAGAAAAAGGCTTTCCGGGCCAATCAGAATCGATCAATGAATATCGCAGATCACCGCGGATTGTAGACTCGATACAACAGCACGTAAAACATGAGCGCGGCCCCGGTAATAGTATTAAGAGTCCAGAAGTGATGTAAACAGATACAAATGAGAAGTAAGATTATACCTGTATTAATAGACATGGCGCTGTGTGTTTAAGTACTAGTAGTAGGAGAAGAAAATGAAGCAGTACAAGTATCCTTAGAGTAAAAGAAGGGGAGTTGCGACTCTATGTCGCAAACAAAGGAACAGTACCTTCACCAGTACCTTCACCAGTACCTTCACCTAGTACCTTCACCTAGTACCTTCACCTAGTACCTTCACTAGTACCTTCACTACTAGTACAGATTCTACATGTTCCAAATTTCCACGTCATAATGTCTGGAATAACACAAATAGATTGTAAAAATATGATTCTATCTCAGACAACAGTTTTATATTCCATCGTCTATCATACAGAGCTCAACACGCAGAGGTAAGGCGAACAAAGGAAAAGAGGAAAAAGGACGAAAAGGTAGTTTTCAAAATCTAGTGGTGGGAAGCAGCCTCGCCGCGGTAGCCGATCAGGTTCCAGCGACCAATCATCTCACCAACGGTGAAGAAGCCAATGACCTCAGCAGCGGTGACACCGGCAAGGGCAAGCTCCTTGGGGCTAGCGTTGCGGACACGGGCCAGGAAGTTCTGGGGGGAGGGGAAGCTGAGGGTCTTGAAAGTAGCGGGGTTGCGGGCGACGTTGATCAAAGGCTGGAAGTAGGACTGGAAAGTGGCCAAGTTGCTAGAGAAAAGGTTTCAATTAGTATGGTGCCTAGCGAAGGGAGCAACGAGGGGATGGGTCATAGATTGAAGAGACCGGGGCAAACATACGGAGGAGCCATGTTTTGGCCACGGAAAACCAGACGACCGAGCTCAATGCCGACCTTGGAGTAGTAGAGGGTCGGGGGGATCATGGCTAAAAAGGTGGTTTAATGTTAGCCAATGCATTCCACGGAAAATTGCACAGTACCCTTTCGAGGGCGGCCGAGAACATCCGGGACCATCTAGGCAGGAGTGTCATCGTAGCAATGAACAGAGCCAAGGAGTATTCCATCAATCATGTCATATCCTTTCCAGTGTGCATCGAATACAGGGCTCCGATAAACGGGGGAGGGAGTTTCTTACAGTCGACGAACGACACGACCTTGCCGACGGGGCCGCCGACCTTGCGAAGGGCAGTGGCAGCATTGGAGATGGCCGGACCAGCGGCAGCAGTGGCCTTGGAAAGACCCTCCTGAGCCTTGGAGGCAGCCTGAGTAGCCTTCTCCGAGGTGGATGAGGCGTGTCTGACAGCGGTTCTCCGGGTCAGGAACTGCGATTGCCGCAGGACGGCACGGGTGGCAGCGGGCATTTTGGTGAGACTGTGGGGAGGAGAAGGAGCGAAAATTAAAATCCAAGCACGGGTCACCCAAAGCAGTCACTGATAGAAGGACAAGGGGGTCCAATGGCGGTTTAGTCTGGCGCAACGACAGAGACCAGATTCTGCGGATTCGCGGCTCGGGAACTTCAGGGAAGTGAGGTCACGTGCCACCTCGTCCGATGTGCCTGAGTTGAAAAGTAAACAAAAAGAAGTATCAGAGATCTTGCTAATTTCGACATTTGATGGGGGAATTTACTTGAAAGAATTGAAGGTATCCAATGGGTTTAGAACAAGACAGAGAATAGGACAGATTCAATCATTACATATTTTGCTGGGAATGAAGTGGACGCTTTTTCCCACCGTTTTGAGGTGCCCAGGTGGTTCCTGCGTCTGTACACTAGTGGTAAATCACCACTATCCTTGCATTGAATAATGTCAACATTGAGACAAGCCTTGGAGATGGATTAAGGTAGTACTAGGACCTAGGTAGTTCAAAGTTCTCAACTCGCAATTATCAATTGATGTCAAAAAAAAAAGAAGAAAAAAAAAACATAATCTCATAGAAATTTCCGTGTAAAATATGATTCATTTTACATGTACTAGTAACCAGTTATACACATGCTTGCGGCGGCCGATAGAGGCCACCCCTAGTAGGTCACATCTCAATTTCAATTTCTAACTTCACCGCCCTGTTTCCAGATGTCCCGTATTGTATTTATCATATATAGGAAGATCTTAAGGGATTTGATCTAAATACGGGTCACTTTTAGAATAGAGTTAAGAATAGACTTGAGAATAGACTTGAGAGTAGTCTTGAGAAGGGACTTAAGAATGGATCAATTATATGACTAGGATCCCAGCCTCTCTTTCTTGCCAGTTGTTGTGATAATTTACCTCGAGAAAGCACTTGAGAAGTAATATAATATAGCATTATATATAATACATAGTGTTCAAGGACTTAATGTATAATGCAGCGCTGAACATCATGGAGTTCAAAAACTAATGAAAATTCAAATGTTTGGAATTACTCGTAATTTACTTTCTCAGGATGTGACCTAGGGGTCGCAATACAGCTGGCAACCGGGGAACTTTACCCGGGTGTCGAGGTCGACACACATGCATGCAATGAAAGACAATCATTCAATAATTGCAAGCCTTTGGCTTAAACACTCAAGTGCTCAAAATTCGACATGGCCTATGAAACTGACTAGTAGTTAGTTAGTTAAATTTTAGTCATCTATCTCCAGGGCCAATCATTTTCTGGCATAAGCTGACATCTGGAGCTCTGCAGATGAGTAAAAGATTCAAAAAAGGGGGCCAAGGCAACGGCCCTACACCTTGGGAATCCATTTTTAACCATCTCGACCCCGTGGACAGCAAGTATAAAAGACTCATCATGTCTGAGGGGGATTTTCACTACGAGCAGAAACGCCTGGAAAACGATCTTATTGCTTTGGAAGTATTTGATGCATGTACCAACTGCCTGTGGGTATTTCCCCGCTCGACAAAGCTGACTCTGAGATGCGCAGCCAAGCATTCATGTGACCAGGTTCGCAGAAGAGGTCAAAAACAGACCAGAAATTACGAAATATGTCGTCTTTCCTGAAATCAAAAAGGAGAGTGATCTGAGAGCAGTCTACGATGGTATACGTGCCTCACCAGCGGACTGCCTATATGCCATTATAGATAAATCATCAACCGTTGAAGAATATGCCGGAACAATCGCTCTGACTTCCACAGACGTCACCTACGCAACCACAGAAATGGGCATCATGGTCTTCGCAGAATTCCAACGTTCTCATGTGACGACCAACGCGATTGGCTTGCTCCTCCAATATACCCTGGACCCGCCGTCAGCTGGTGGTTTAGGTCTACGACGTGTGGAGTGGAAGTGTCATTCTGAAAATGCGGCATCCCGAAAAGCTGCTTTACGCATGGGGTTTGAGTTTGAGGGCATCGCGCGGTGGCATCGTGCATTTGCAATCGGGAGCCCAGTGGAGGCTCTTGAGAAGAGAAACGGAACCCAAGGAGAATTACCGGGGAGACATACTGCTTCATACTCAATTGTCTGGGAAGAATGGGATGCAAAGCGATCTGCGGTTTTGGCACAAATGGAGCGGAAGCACTGATAGGTATCATTGGATATACTCAGTGCTAGTAAGTAGGTAGTACGTATGTCAGAATGGTATATTCTCGGAGCATTTTTTAGATCTCTGCCGCGGGAAATGAAACGTGTGTTATTGATCCTATCGGCTCTCAATACTGGTTACACGTCTGCAACAGGTCTTATGATTCCATTTGTCGTATCACGGTGGAACTCGGAGCGAATAAGCTTGTCAAACCCACAACTATAAAATGACCATGTGCATTTGCGTGCATGCTAGAAGAAAACAACTCCTCTTGAAGGTCACAGATCTATTGACCTGTAACTTGGAAGAGACAAACCTCAATATACTTGAAAGACTCAATTTGGAGTCAGCATAAAGTGAAATTGATGAGACGTGTACTGTTAGGTAGTATAGATGGATGGCAACTACCCAGGTTGGCAGCTCGTGTGTCAACCCTAATTCAACGTGTTATACATGGCCCTCTGTAAAGCTTGTTTATGCCTGAATAGCTGCATAAACTCAAGTTTCATTACCAGAATTCCGAGTTTCGTCCGTCGGGTCTCAAAAGATCAGGAGGCAAGGGGGGGGGGATGATTATATCCAAGACCCTGCAGATTAGCCAAGATCGGCAAGCCGGTATTTTCCCGCATCCTCGCACCTGCAGTAGATAGAAAAAGTTCTCGGAGGTGGAAATGAGCAAACGAAGAGCTTGAGGCATGATCTAGAACTCACCGGGCTTGGTATTATATACTACTAGCCTTGCAGAAAACCCATTGAGGATCAGAACTTGTCATTTATTTTGCTTGCCAATCATTCTCTTCCTCTTCCAAAGCTCTTTTTTGTCTTCTTCGTTTTCCTCTTCCTCTTCCAAATTTATCCCTCTGCATCCCTTCTGTTTCACAACTCAAGAAGCCTGGTCTCTTCACTTTACTTCAACTCTGATACACCCCACGTTTCTTCCCCTTGCTGATCATTCAACGGCTTTGCAGTTGAGCTGTCAGCATGCGGGGACTACTTCTGTTTCTGGCGTCCATTGTGGGCGCTGCAGTCATTGGACCTCGAACCGATGGTCCTGATCAATGCCCTGGCTACAAAGCCGTCAACATTAAAGAACATGACAGCTCTCTCACTGCTGACTTGGTTTTGGCTAACGATGCTTGCAACTTGTATGGCTCTGATCTGCCAAACCTCTCGTTGCTTGTGGAGTATCAGACCGGTAAGTCCCACTTGTTCCCTTACCTCCCTCGCTTGAGGAAGAACAAGTACCTAATCAATTCAAATTTTATTTTTTTTAAAAAAAAAAACAGACAATCGGCTCCATGTTTTGATTCAGGACGCCGATGAAGATGTTTATCAAGTTCCTGAAACTGTGTTGCCTCGCCCCTCCTCTCAAAGCACTCACCGTGATAACTCTGTCCTTCGTTTCGATTACCAGCCTGAGCCATTCAGCTTCAGAGTCCTCCGTGGTGATCAGGTCTTGTTTGACACAACTGACACCAACATCGTCTTTGAGACTCAGTATCTGAATCTGCGCACCTGGCTTCCCGATGATCCCAATCTATATGGACTGGGTGAGCATTCTGATTCACTGCGCTTGCCAACTACGAGCTACACTCGCACTCTATGGAGCCGTGATGCTTATAAAATTCCCGCCGGCACAAACCTGTATGGCAACCACCCTATCTATGTGGACCATCGCGGGAGTTCAGGTACTCACGGCGTATTCTTCTTGAACTCCAATGGCATGGACATCAAGATCGACAAGTCCTATGATGGCAGACAGTTCCTGGAATACAATACTCTGGGAGGTGTATTCGACTTCTATTTCTTGGCGGGTCCGACCCCCAAGGATGTGAGTATGCAGTACTCGGAGATTGTTGGCCTTCCTGCCATGCAGAGCTACTGGTCCTTTGGTGTAAGTTCATTTGATGACACGGAAAATTTGACATCTAATCTGACTTAATCTAGTTCCATCAATGCCGATATGGATACCAGGATGCGTATGAGGTAGCTGAAGTTGTCTACAACTACAGCCGTGCGCATATCCCGCTAGAGACTATGTGGACGGACATTGACTACATGGATGAGCGCCGAGTGTTTACCCTGGATCCCGTGCGATTCCCATTGGAAGAGATGACTGAGCTGGTAAACTATCTCCACAAACACGACCAGCATTATATTGTGATGGTTGATCCGGCTATCAGTGATAGTGGTGCGTATATTTTAATGAATCGGAAAGAGTAAAGATTCTAACGCGATTGCCAGACAATGGTGCTTTCTTCAGAGGCAAAGAGCGTGGTGTTTTTCTCTATCGTGACCAGAACAACGTCTATCAAGGTACTTTTATCTTAGAAGCTATTATGAGGACAACAAAGTCTAACTTTCATAGGTGCTGTTTGGCCAGGAGTGGCTGTCTATCCCGACTGGTTCAACCCCGAGACCCAGGCTTATTGGAATGGCGAGTTCCAGCGGTTCTTCGACGAAGAGAGCGGCATTAATATTGATGGCCTATGGATTGATATGAACGAAGCCTCCAATTTCTGTTCCTGGCCATGCAAGGACCCGGCAGATTATGCACAGCAAAACGGCCTTCCTCCACTTCCTCCTATGGCTCGTTTTCCACCTCGTCCTTTACCTGGTTTCCCCAAGGACTTTCAACCGGGACCTGGTGGACCCACAACGTCAAAGCGATCCCTCAATCTGAACCATCGTGACACCAAGGGCCACAAGGTTGGGTTGCCTTATCGCGACCTAACTTCTCCTCAATATCAGATTGCCAATGCTGCTGGGTCTCTGAGCAACAAAACGATTGATACTGACATCATACATGCTGGCATTGGGTATGCCGAGTATGATACTCATAACCTCTATGGTACCAGTAAGTCTCTTGACTTTTTTTTGTTTCACTTGCCATTATTTCTAATATATACAGTGATGAGCTCCGCATCTCGCGAAGCCATGCTCTTACGCCGCCCCACGGTTCGACCCTTGGTTATTACACGAAGCACATTCGCCGGTGCTGGTGCTCATGTCGGCCACTGGTAAGAAACCCAAACTGCCTCTTGCGAGTATCAAACCTTGACTTGGTTATGTACACTGTAGGCTCGGTGACAACCGCAGCGAATGGGACAAGTACCGTATCTCTATCGCCCAGATGCTCCAATTTGCTTCCATTTTCCAAATTCCCATGGTTGGATCCGACGTCTGCGGCTTTGGTGGTAACACTACTGAAGAGCTTTGCGCACGCTGGGCTACCCTCGGCGCGTTTTACCCTTTCTACCGCAATCACAACGAACTGGGTAGTATCCCGCAGGAATTTTACCGCTGGGCTTCAGTTACGGATGCCGCCCGCAAGGTCATCGATATCCGCTACCGGTTGCTTGATTACCTATACACATCTTTCCACCGCCAGACCGAGACTGGCGAGCCATTCCTCCAGCCACTTTTCTACGTAACCCCCAACGATGCGAATACCTTCAACAACCAGCTCCAATTCTTCTACGGGGATGCAATCCTGATCTCTCCAGTTCAGGACCAAGGTCAAACGTCCGTCGACGCGTACTTCCCCGGTAGCGATTGGGAAGTGTTCTACGACTGGCACACCGGCGAGAAGATTCAGGGAGGTCAAACAATCACGCTGAAGAATATCGGCATCACCGAAATTCCGATCCACATCCGTGGAGGGTATATTCTCCCCCTCCGCTCTAAGAGTGCAAAGACAACAACCGAGCTTCGCCATCGTGGCTTCGAAATCGTTATCGCACCGAACAGTTCTGGCTATGCAAAGGGTCAGCTGTATCTTGATGATGGCGAGTCCCTCTCTCAGGATTCTACATCCACAGTTGACTTTGAGTATAAAGATGGTCAGCTGAAGATCGATGGTGACTTTGGCTATCAAGGCACGGCCGCTGTTGTGGATTCTGTGACTCTGCTTGGTCAAAGCCACAGTCATGTTCGTCGGGATGGGGACTCTGATGACGACTCCCAGGATGCAGACTTTGATGAAGATGATTTCTTCAATACTGACCGCCAGGCTTTGACTAAGTCTGTTCATATTGTTATGATGGGTCCTGTCGTCATTGATATCTGAAAAACGGCATCTGATTTCTGATTTCTGAGTTGTATTTTTTATTTGTTTTCCGAGGACTTTGTTTTCTATTTTGGCATGCGCCGTGTTGGGAACAACACAGCTGCGGGGGCCATTTTAACTTAACATATTATAGTATGATTCACGATCGAACCACAGTACAGTTTTTAGTTTACTATTGATTAAGAAAGGCTTCAAATTTTTATTCACTGTCTGTCGACTTTGAGTACCTTGTATAGATGTCTACGGCGTACGCTAGTTAGCCATGGGTAATATAATCTAGACTTTGAGCCCGGGGGTTCCCCATGATTCCAATTGATTCAAATGTTGAAGCAGCGTCTGAGGAGCCATCAACTCATACAGGCCCAATCAATCTTGCAAAAGGTATAAATCTTGCAGTCCTGGTCTCAGAGCCACCAGGTCTCAAATTCCGATGCGTACTCCTCATATCCATGTGCCCCTAGCAACCTTTGAACTCTCGACCTCCACTCGCGTGGTTTGTAATAGTCTAGCAGATCCATGCCACTGCTCATTCGAAACTTGGTCCGAATCCATCCCCGTGGGAAAAAGCCCGCAGCCTCCCAGTCAATAATTCCAATTCTCCCAGTCTGGGGTATATGCTCCACGATAATGTTTCCCGGCCCTAGATCGGCATGATAGAACACGAATTTTGAGCAGTCCATACCCATCAATTCACATGCCCGGCGGAGATTGCAGGGGGAGTAATCTTTTTCTGCTCCGTTTTTAATCAGGTAGTTTTCCAGTACGTTTTTTCCATCCACGCCACAAAGGGTATTGCCTTCTCGACATTCGAGAAACTTGCATGCGTCCACTATGGCGTTCACGTAGTGAGATTTCCAGTCCCCATCGAGAGTGGGCCAGGCTCTCTCGAGAGTTCGACCGGGAACTCTACTTAGGAAAAGATAGTACCGGTCCCTGCACTCTGTTTCGTGTAAAGTTGTGGGGAGAAGAAAATCGGGTTTCTGTTTGTGAACAAAGTCTAATGTTGTGGCTTCTGCTGTTGTGCCGGGGATCCTGATTTTGACCTTGCAGAAGGCATGGTATCCTATCGACCAAACCGCAGAGCTATCCCCGGCATCGTAGACTAATTTGATTTTCGGGTCATCCGTGGGTAAAGGTACGCTCGGAGGCGGTGGGATGGGTGCATTGGAAAGTGTATAACTGGTACTGTCATCTGGATCATACCAGGTCGACGTGTCATATGGACCCTGAGACCGGTGAAGAAGAAGAGGACCGATAAGCCATGTATCTGTATCTATCTGTGAGATTGACTCGCGAACAGGATCAGGGTCCACCAGGGTCTGGGGTATGCAAGCCATGGGGGGGTTTCAATTATGATCTTGATATATAGAAGGTGGAAATCAAGGGGGTGAATTGTGGGTATTCATTTGCCTAATACATTTTATACACGTCTACTGGGGTCAAACATCAACAAACCAAAATTGACGCTGCAGTTACCTAATATGGGCCAATCATGGGCCCGTTGGGCTGCAGGTGAAGGTTGTACAGCACATGTACATATGTAGCCTAGATGGCAAGATAACATTTCAACCAAGACTGATGACTATTATATTCTGCGCCAACTTGATAAACGGTTTTTTTTTTTTCGAGTACCTGTCAACGTTGAAGATTTGAAAGTCGGTGTGTAAGCCCCCTTTGAGCTTAGTAGGTTCAGGAACCGAAATCTTCAGGCGCACGGATCATTGAGCCTCATTTATTTCCAAGGTTAGTAGTAGCAAGTCATCTGACCATTTCCTAATTTTTCAACAGTTAGCTTGGGTATATTCTTCTGCTTACGCATATGATATCATCAATCAAATATTGCGCTTGGACAATATACTAACGTTTTGAGGCTTTTGATGTATGTACGCTGTTTACTATTCTGTAAACTTGTCTATATTCAATGTTGCCAAGTAGTGAAACACATGTGCAGGAGACAATAAGAGATAAAATGACATCTGGACTAATGACCTGTGTCATAATAGCCCGTGCGCATTTTATCTTCGGGCCCGAAGCCAAGCAATGGTTCCTGCATTTCAACCCAAACATCTCAAGTGCTAGAGCCTAGGACTATTAATTCCCTTAGGTTATGGAAAGATAAAATAAAAATGAGAAACACAATAACCGCAAGTTTTTTTTTTTTTTTTTTTTTTTTTTTTTCCACAAGGTCAGGCGGTTCACCGCTAAAGTTACCCAAAGTTAACTAGTGAACGGCTTCCTCCGTGTTGGGTCGCATCGGATTTAGCAAAGAGCACGGGCGCATAAGCTGGGTAATCGGCAAGTTGGAAGCGAAGGTTGACATATGACTTGAATCTATTTTAGCTCCTCTTATTACTAAATATACCAATACGTACCATATAACCATCCAAGGTTCAGTTCCGTAATTTGGATACAGAAAAAGATGGCTCATCTGCAAGTAACTGTAAACCTACTAGTATACATAATAAAGGACATGTGGGTTTTCACGGTGTCTCGGATCGGGTATTTCCTACTTGGTGGGGATCCAATGGGGAGGCTAGTGAACAAGGGACCTCGCTTATGGATACGGATGTAGGCGATGCATACTCCATATGGCAAATGTAAGAAAAGACAAAAATTCCAAAATTCCAAAATGCCAAAACTTGGGTATTCTGTAACATGATCGTCCGGGATGATCGGACGATCCTCATTCTACTATGAGAAAATGGTAGTTTACTATATACTGAACTCGAGTTGATATAAAGGGGTTCCAAAGTCAAAGTTCCAAAGGGGAAGAGCCAGGGGAAAATAAGAGAAAAATAAGAGAACTTATGAACCAAGGTAGAAGGGGCTTGGATGTTCCAGAAGAGAAACAAAGAGGTGGAAAAAGAAGTAAAAAAAAACCAAGTAAAAATACATTCAGGTCCCAAGGGAACAAATGTCTCACGCTCTTCCCCAGCAGCTCATGCGCTGACTCCACTTGAGATCCCTGTGGCAAAGCCGCCACGCCGAGGACCAATCACCATCGCCTGCTAGAACCCCCCCACTTGACTAGTAGGGGATGCATCCCTGATCTCAGCCTCCTGCTTTTTGATCTTTTGGATCTTTTGGATCCAATGTATTGTAAACTGTGGAAAGTGTAAAAACCACAGTGGAGTCATATTGCCTGTGCTGAACCCGGGGACACTAGGTTCGATCCACTTGTCACCGAATTTGTTTATAATCCCATCTGTTTCCTCCCATTTCCCTCCCTCCCACTCTCGCTCAGTACTTCTTCAACCCTTCCTCTCGCTTTGTTGCAGTCGAGCATTGTTGTTTTATTTTTATTTTTATTTTTTATCTCTTTTTATACAATAATGCCTTCTCTCATCAAGTTCGCGGCCGCCGCCCTCGCTGTGGCTCAGGCTTCTGCTCAGACTTACACTACTTGCAACCCGCTTGACAAGACTTGCCCCGCTGACAAGGGTACCACTGTCGGAACTCAGACCTTCGACTTCACTCAGAGCTTGGATCAGTGGACTACCACTGCCGGCACTGTCGATACCGGCTCCAATGGTGCCGTCTTCACCGTCGCCAAACAGGGTGATGCCCCTACTATTGAGACCGACTTCTACATCTTCTTCGGTGAGGTTTCGGTCGTCATGAAGGCTGCCCCTGGTACCGGTATCGTCAGCTCTCTCGTTTTTGAATCTGATGATCTTGATGAGATCGATTGGGTAAGCATTGACATTCCTCTAATCTCCCCCACACATCCCCCCGCATTCCTGGCTTTGCTTTTCTCTTCTTCCCCCACCTCCTACCTCTCTCTTTCTAACACCATATATAGGAGGCCCTCGGAGGTGATTCCACCACCATTGAGACCAACTACTTCGGCAAGGGTGATACCACCACCTACAACCGTGCTACCTGGGACGCTGTTTCCGACCCCCAGGACACCTGGCACACCTACACCGTCTCTTGGCAGAAGGATGCCACAACCTGGTCCATTGATGGCAACGTCGTCCGTACCTTGACCTACGACGATGCTACCAGCGGAACTCGTTACCCCCAGACCCCCATGCGTATCCGCATCGGTATCTGGGCTGGTGGTGACCCCACCAACGGCGAGGGTACCATTGAGTGGGCTGGCGGCGAGACTGACTACTCTGATGCTCCCTTCAGCATGTACGTTAAGTCCGTGTCCATCACCAACGCCAACCCTGCCGAGTCCTACACCTACAGCGATACCACCGGCTCCATGGACAGCATTGTTCTCGGCGGTGCCGCTGCCCTCAGCCAGACTGACAGCACTACCTCCACCACCTCCACCTCTTCCTCCTCTAGCTCTCAGTCGTCTGCTACCACCACCACCACCACTGTTCCCACTACCTTGGCCACCACCACCCAGTCTTCCACTTCCACCAGCACCGCCCAGGGCTCTACCACCTCTACCACTGGCAGCAGCTCCAGCAGCTCCGGCTCAGAGACTACCTCCGGCTCTGCTACTAGCGGCTCCGGTTCCGCCACTACCTCGGGCTCTAGCTCCGCTGCTGGCTCGGGCTCTGCCTCTGGTTCCGGCTCCAGCACCACCGGCTCCAGCTCTGAATCTTCTGGCTCCACCTCCGGTTCTAGCACCGCCGCCAGCGCTTCCCCTACCTACAACGCCGCTGTGAACATGGCCTCCAACTACCTTGGACCCATTTCCATCCTGGCCCTCATCACTGCTTTCCTCCAGCTGTAAAAAAAAGACTTTATGACAATGCCCTTAATTACGCCTCCGTTGATGAAGCAAACCCGCACTGGGCTGGAACCGGTTGTTTCATTTTTGGAAATGAAATGAGGAGAGGGGATTGGATTGGATATTCTGTTTCATGTGCTTTTTGTGTATCTTTGTCCCCCTCGGTTCATATGGTGTCATGTATCTTCCCTGCCTTATGATTCTCATGTTGTACCTATCTCTATATACTATCTACTAGATCTTGACTTTGATCTTAACCACTAATATATTCTCCTCCCTTCTGGGTCATCAACCTTTTCTTCTGCTTGCTGTATTAGTACGTAGTGGGGAGGTGTAATCTTGACTTGAGCTCACCCTGCAAATTGATTAGTTCCTGGAAGGTTTGTCTCGAGTGTCAGTGTAGGTGAATCCTGGCCAATCCTGACAGGTCATGCAAGGGCGCGTGTCCAGCCAGTCACCGTCCATGGATGAATGCTATTGTTTATTTTGGGCAATTTCCATCTGCGCTAACCCGCATTTTAGAACTGTAATGCTTAGCGGCATGACATTGTGCATTGTGACTGTGAACAGTGTGACCGGAGAGCCCCTTTCAAATGATAACTTGTGTCTTCAAGTGTTGGTCTAGTACTATGTACCGACATGTCCAGTATTGAAATTATAATACAAAATCCAATTGAATTTTAGAGATTCCATGGTCTATAGTAGCTCTAGAAGCAAAAAGAAGAAAGAAAAACTCACTTCTTGCTGCTCATCCATGGTTAAAATCGTCCAAGTCCGGGTATATTTGCCTACTGTAAATACCAGTTGACCTAGGTGTCAACGTAAATGGTAAAGAATCTACCATGGTACGATCGAGTCTTTGAGCAAGTTTCTTTTCTTTTCTCTCGTCTTTTTTCCAGAGCATTATCCATTCAGATGTAATTCAGATGTAATTGTATTGCTATTGGTTAAGAGTCGGCATTCATGGATTGATTCCGTGGCTTTCGATACTCTTGAACCAAGGTAATTGATTTGGCTTCCAGTTATATCCGTTGATTCCGTTGATTCCGTTGATTCTATTGATTCCAATCTGTTCCATTCGTTTCATGTTTCCAGGGTTCCAAGATACTGAACTAGACCAAGTGAAGAAGTGTCAACAGGTGAGTTAAGCTGAATACTTTTGGTACTCACCACTGCTATCTACATCTGGAGGGGAGATTCAAACCTTGGAAACCGTCAGGAAATTCATATCTGAGAACATATCACACTTATTCTGTCCTGCAATTTACCTCAGTACGGAATAGATTAAAATCAAATCCTATCTCGCTATGACTCGTCCAATGCAAATGAAAAACATTAAAAACAATCAAGACAAAACGCTCCCAAAGAACTAAAAAGATTTCGCCTTCACCCCAGCCCCCCCTTTCGATTGAATCCCATGCAACCCCGCTCCCCGAGCCCTTATGAACCTATCAAAAGTCCCTGAAAAGTACCCTCAGGGACTTCACTCCACTTTGGTAAAAAAACCAAATACCCACATTTAGTGGACCAGTCACCAAGTGGGGCCCAACCGAGCACGCTGGACATCCCCCAATTGTCGAGACAGGTCGGCCACTGAATCAGCAACGGGACGATGGTGCGTCGCCGCATGTCTCAGCAATGCAAGGGTCGTGACAGGTTGCGGAATAGACTTTCTTTCCCCCTCAGAATCGTCAGAGCCCGTGCCAGGAGCTGACGAGTCATCTGTCGATCGCGACCAAACCCGCGATCCGAAAGAGGCATAGCCCGACAACGAGTTCAGAACGGCATACAAGCCCGTCCCGTCGCCCCCTCCTGCTCCTGTTCTTGGCCCTGATGTTTCTCCACCGGACGCCGCGGTCAGCAGGGAGCCCTTGCGTTCTTCCCGTGCCACAATCCCGTCCACGGCCTCAAGATGGTCGTCTAAAGTGCTAAATCGCGTGCCTAGTGAATCTGCCTTGGTGCGGATCTGAGCGCGTAGTCGATCAAGATACTCTGCGCGTCGGCGGTTCTGCGCTGCAAGGCGCGTGTCGCGCGCGACCGAGACGGATCCGCCAGTTGCCTCCTGCGTTGGCGGAGAAGAAAGCAGACTATCGACAGCGGAGCGGAGGTCGGCGCGCAATGAGTCGAATTCCCAGGCCGCTGCGCGGAGGGCCTGTTCGCTTCCTTGGAACTCGAGGTCGAGGGCATTCCGCACGGCTGGGAAGGTCGATTGGAGTTTGTCCTGGAGGTCACGGAGCATGGACTCGCTTTCTTTGAGCGTGTTTGTAAGAGGAGAGAGAGTTTTCAGGGTGGTGTCGAAGATGCTTTCGAGGCCTTGTTGAGAGGATGTGATACTTTCTTCTTCTGGGGGTGCGACAGGATTGACTGGGGGATAGAAGGGGTGAATTTGCGGTTTGGGTTGTGCGCAACTCTCTGGATAGGTGGTCTTGATGGCGGGGAGGTGGCAGAGGCCTTGAAGCTGATAAATAACTTCGGGCAGGACTAATAGGTGAAGGATGAAGGCGATTAAAAGGCCGTTGATTGCTGTGCGAAGAGCACTTTGACCTCCCCAGAACGCTGTGAACTTTGAAATTAAGCTTCGTGGTTGATGTGGTGTTTGGACAGACGAGCCAGCGTCTTGGGTCCTAGATGCAGTGGTGGACTGCTGTATATCAAGAGTTGTTGATGATGTCTTGCATCTCTTTCGCATGGAGGATTGGCCTTTGGGGCGAACACCAGGCGCAACCCATGATGCCTCAGAAACCGGGACTTCGTAAATGGAAGGCATAATGAGTTCTGGGCCGGATATAGTCCATGACGAGGATGTGAGCGACGATATTGACTCCGCTGTATCGTCGCCATCCTTGTTTGGCGCAGGTCTGGATCTCGGCTGAGGGCTTGGGCTTGTCGGTTCTTGAGGATCACTCGAGTCCTTATCTGGGACCGGTGTGGGGGGTTTTGCATCAGTCTCTTGAATCGAGGCCGTGGATGCTATCACCCAGGAATCACCCAGTGCCGAGCGACCGGAGATACGAGATGGAGATGGCTTCGACATGGCACTGTAAACATACCCGCTCAGCGGGGTAACAATCAAAATGGGCGCTAATAATGAGTCGCAAATAGTAAGATAGAAGAGCGATCAGGTAGGACTATCGATCTCGCCTGAATTCAAGCTCGATTATATAGTACTCGGTCGCAGAACAGCTGTTGTAGTCGATGCGCGCTGATTCCGCCCTGCGGTGCAAAGCGGTGGAGAAAGAGAAGAGTCGCGATCGGCAGGAAAACGCCAACGGCTTTTCAGTTGCACCACAACCATGCGCCCAATCACTCGACTTCGACCACACCTTTTCGTGAGGCCTGTGGCAAACAGGGCTCTGCAGCTACAAACTAAAAGGCCACAATGGCTGTCTACATCAGCAATTCGTCGCTGCTCCTGCGCTGACGCCGCCAACAAGGTCGAATCCATACCTCCTACCGACCACCGAGCTCTAGGAACTAGTCAAGAGCTCTTCACCTCCTCCGTCTATAGTCCCGGGTCTCCTCTCTTCCTCCCTAATGGCACACACGTTATCAACAAGCTTATCACTTTCCTCCGCACTCAATACCTCCAGTACGGCTTTCGCGAGGTCCTAACGCCATCTATCTACAAGCGATCGCTATGGGAAGTGTCGGGTCATTGGCAAAATTACAAAGATGACATGTATGAGGTGACAGGGCGCGGTGCGAGAGGTGAAACAGAGGGTGAAGTGGGAGAGGACGAGCCCTACGGACTCAAGCCAATGAACTGTCCCGGCCACTGTCTACTCTTCAAATCACAAAACCATTCCTACCGCGAACTGCCCGTGCGCTACGCAGATTTCAGTCCTCTTCACCGGAATGAGGTTTCGGGTTCTTTAACGGGTCTCACACGTGTACGTCGATTTCACCAGGACGACGGCCACATTTTCTGCCGACCGCAGCAGATCAAGTCGGAGATTGCATCGGCATTGGGATTTGTTGAGATGGCCATGAAGACCTTTGGACTAGGTCCTTACCGATTGGTGCTTTCAACCCGACCCGAGACAGATTATATTGGAACGTTGGATATGTGGGATAATGCGGAGAATCAATTGCGCCAGGCCTTGGACAGCACCGGTCGCGAATGGGCGTTGAACGAAGGCGACGGTGCATTTTACGGGCCCAAGATTGATATCCAACTTCAGGACCAGGCGGGTAAATTTCATCAGTTGTCGACGATTCAGCTGGATATGAACTTGCCCCAACGATTTGGCCTGGAGTACCAGGTTGCGGAGGGTGAAGAGGACTATAACCCAGCCACGCCAGGAGTTGCGACTCCTGTATTAGTGCACCGAGCCATATTCGGCTCCCTGGAGAGATTCCTGGCCTTGCTGATGGAGGAGCACGGTGGCCACTGGCCATTCTGGCTGTCTCCACGCCAGGGAATCATCCTGACGGTCAACCAGGATGATGCCGTTATTCAGAAGGCACAAGAAGCGGCGGCCAAATTCTCTGGCTTCCGAGTCCTCCAAAATGATAACACCGAGCCACCGCGTCCATTATCATCACTTGATTCCACTTTCCTGATGGATGTTGACACTAGCGCTCAGACCTTAGGCAAGAAGATTCAGCGTGCCAAGCAAATGAAGTATAACCTTATCTTCATTCTTGGCTCGCGGGACCTGGCCGATGGTGGAATCACGGTCGACGTCACTGGACAGATGCTGAGCAAGACTGATGTGGGCGCAGAGCAATTCCAGACTTTAATCCAGTCCCAGCTGGGTGAAAATGCTTTGCAGAATCCTCGGGCCGTGAAGCTTAAGCTGGATGAAGTGCATCCATTACTGGTTCAATTCGAGAAGAACTTCCTTTGAGGCATTTCAAAGGTTAAGTGGGCTGTAAATTAATTCTGAGCGACACTGTACACTATTGAATAGACCATATGTATTGATAATTGATTGATCTGAAGATTCCAACATTTCAATGTTGAAGGTTTTTATGCCTACTGCCTAGATAGGAGGTACCTACCTCCAGATGTCAGTATATACATGTAGTACTACTAGGTACTAGTATGGATTCAAAGATTCAATTTTTTGTCCACGGGTCAACTATGTACCATTTAGAACCTACTAGGTAGTGCTTGAGTACTATACTATGTAGTTATGTAAGGGCTAGCTGGAGGTAAGTAGTAGTCACCTGATACATATGAATGCTCTACATACAATGTACATACTGTACACATACGACCTAGAAGGTAGTACGTACTCCCTACTAGGTATCCACGGATATACACCCGTGTACATATATCCACATGTGCATGTATGAATGCACATGGAAACAGCTTGGACGAAATGCCTTGGAAGCCTCGACCCAATTTCACGCCCTTCCAATTTCATAGCGACGATATCCGAAATATCTCTCGTCTTTGGCACATTCTTTGCATGAAAGAAGTTGCCGAATCAACACCAGAGAAGTAACACCGTGGAGGACCGAGATATGCGAGATTCGCGCGGTTAGGCTCGGGGTGGATTTACATAGCAGAAAAAACGGCTCCGAACTCGGGGCCCAATCTATTCCAGGGGTTTGTATACAGAAATGGGTTGAAATGAACAACAGTGCCATCAATTGATAATGCAGCAGCTTTGATTCGATTTGGACAAGATATAACTAAATCAGGAGTTGGGCAGGACAAGAAAGATAAATCTATCCAATTAGATTGTCGATCTGCACCAGCTTCTGTACTTGGTAGAAACTAGTAACAAAGTGACGAAAGGAGCTCCACGTGACTCCGCTGTCGGCGCCGAAAAACTCGGCGTCATCGACGATCCAGAGGGCTTTTTGAGTCACAAATTCCCTTCGCTTCATTGGCTTCTTACTTTTTTTTTTTTTTGCATTTTAAAAAAGGAACGAGCGACGTCCATTTGGATCCCCTGGTATATATATTCTTCACCCTTTGTGTACCTGGTTGAGTATACTCAACAACACTCCTATCGTCTCTTATCATACTTCTCTTCCCCCCGCGATACCCCGCCATCGCCCGTCATGCCGATGTATGTTGATGTTGTCCATGGGATAACCGCCACCCGAATATATAAGCTTTTGATATTCAATGTTCTAACAACCCCACAGGCTCAAGGATCCCTCCAAAAAGTACAAGCCGTTCAAGCCTTTGAACCTCCCTAACCGCCAATGGCCCAACAAGACCATCGACCGGGCTCCCCGGTGGTTGGCAACCGACCTGCGTGACGGCAACCAGAGTCTCCCTGATCCCATGGTAAACAATCAAACATTTATCCCGATGATCTTCCAATACGCAGCTGAGAATGAAAATTCGCTAATGGCAGAGAACTAATATAGGATGGCGAACAAAAACTCAAGTTCTTCAAGATGCTGGTGGAAATTGGTTACAAGGAAATTGAAGTCTCATTCCCCGCCGCCTCCCAAATCGATTTCGACTTCACCCGCCGCCTTGTTGAAGAGCCTGGTCTTACACCTGATGATGTCTGGCTCCAAGTCCTTGCTCCTTGCCGTGAGGACCTGATCCGCCGCACCGTCGACTCCCTCACTGGCGCCAAGAAGGCCATCCTGCACATCTACCTCGCCACTAGCCCATGCTTCCGTCAGATCGTCTTCAATATGGACAAGCAGCAAAGCTTAGAAAAGGCCGTCCAATGTGCCAAGTATGCCCGTTCAATCACCAAGGATGACCCAGCCCAAGCTGGCACCGAATGGCAATTCGAATTTTCCCCAGAGACCTTCTCCGACACCGAGCCCGACTTCGCGATCGAGGTTTGCGAGGCCGTCAAGGCCGCCTGGGAGCCTACTGCCGAGAACCCTATCATCTTCAACTTACCCGCCACGGTAGAGATGTCCACCCCGAATGTTTACGCCGATCAGATTGAGTACTTCTGCACACGTATGACCGAACGCGAGAAGTTTGTTGTCTCTCTCCACCCCCACAATGACCGAGGCTGTGCTGTTGCTGCTGCCGAGCTGGCGCAGATGGCCGGTGCTCAGCGTGTTGAGGGTACCCTCTTCGGTAACGGCGAGCGTACTGGAAACGTCGACTTGGTCACTCTTGCCCTTAACCTTTACACACAAGGTGTCACACCAAATGTTGATTTCTCAGATATTTGCTCTGTTATCAAGGTTGTGGAAGAGAGTAATAAGATTCCCGTGAATGAGCGCTGGCCATATGGAGGGTATGCATTCCAATCTATCTCAAATCATTCATTGAGACTCAAGCTAACTTCTCATCAGTTTGCTCGTTACCTCTGCATTCTCCGGAAGGTATGTTTCGCAATTTATTTGGATATCTAAGTCGCTCTTTTCATACTGACTCTTTTTTTTCAGTCACCAAGATGCAGTTCTCAAGGGCTTCAAGCTGCGCGAGTCAGTCAAGGCAACCGACGACGACGAGTGGCGCATGCCTTACCTCCCTCTCGACCCCCAGGATATTGGACGAACCTACGAGGCTGTTATTCGTGTCAACTCACAGAGTGGCAAGGGTGGTGCTGCCTGGGTCATTCTGCGTAGCCTGGAGCTGGATCTCCCCCGTGCTTTGCAGATCGAGTTCAGCAAGCTTGTCCAAAAAGCCACCGAAGATGCCAACCGCGAGCTCCGACCTGCCGAGGTCGTTCACCTATTCGAGGAATCTTACCACCTGAAGGCTAACCCACGCTTCAACCTTATCGATTACAACATCACCACCGACCGCTCGCAATCACCTGCTCCCCCCGAGCCTGGCAAGGCTCTTAACACTAAGAACCACAAACGTCGCTTTACCGGTGTCATTGAAATCGATAATGTCCAGCACGCCATTACTGGTGTCGGTTCTGGTGCTCTTTCATCTCTTGCTACAGCCCTTGCTTCTCTCGGTATTGATCTCGATGTCGTTGATTACAAGGAGCACTCCATTGGTCTCGGCCGTGATGTGAAGGCTGCCACATACATCAACTGTACCGCAGCTGGTAGCAAGGAGAAGGTGTGGGGTGTTGGTATCCACGCCGATGTGGTGCAAGCATCGCTCATTGCGATGCTGAGCGCTGCCAGCTCCGTAAGTCATCATATACCAAGTCTTCCAACTAAAGAATCAAGCTAACCTATATATTCAGTTCCTCACAAACAACGCCGGCTCCCCGGCTCCTTTCCGTCCTATTCGCTCTAACACTCTTACCAATGAGGATATCCAGGCTCTCCAGCAGCTGACTGACAGCCCCGAGGCGGTCACTGCTAACGGTGGTCTCAGCGCCAAGGTCAACATTGAGCAGCTCACCAAGCAAGCCGAAGCCTAAATGTTTATAAAAGTGTTTTCAATTTAGTTATCAAAGAGCAGTTAAACACATAATGCATGTCAATGAATTTGTATGATTTGAACTTGTTGTATCATCATACCTTGGTAACTTCTATTGACATGCAGGTCATTATTTCAAAAGGCTCAAAAACCCTGGCTACTAGTACATATGTACTAATAACCACAAATGTCAGATATCATCTAGCTCACCACTTGAACAACTCAAGCAAATCATTGAACCTTTTCTCCCTTGCCCCACCGCCATACACATCAAACTTCTGCGCACCCTCCGACGCAACAATATACCCAAGCTCGCAAGCCGAAAACGTAACTTGAGGTTGATTCTCATAGAATGTATCGAAGCCAGATACCAATGCTTGAGCGAGGTTATCAACCTGCCCTTTAGGATGGAGCTGGAGCCACGGGTATCGACACTCGTCTCCTTGACAGGACTTGAGGACCATCATTAACGCGTCAAGACGACTCATGATCTGTGTGAGATGGCGGTTCGCGATTTTGAAATTTTCATGCTGGGATGGGTTTGCTGCTAGATTAATTGTTTGGTCGGGGTCATCCTAGTGGCATTTAGTCAGGTTGTGTTATGGGATGGGGTAGAACCTGGAGGTGGGTTATTGTTTACCTTGAGATTATAGAATTCTTTCTCGTTGGTGCACCATACTGCGTAATAAAGGCTGTAGTCATCGGAGACAAGGCGAATTCCCTTGTATGTGTTGTTTTTGTAGCTGTTGCCAACTTCATTTAGCTTGTTGCTGGCATAGCCATATATTCCTTCTGGAACCGCCTAGATTTTGATTGCCCAACGGTCAGTCAGACCCTTTTATGATAGTGTTTTGAGGGAAGAAATTGTTGCTCTTACCAAGCCCCAGTACTCAATGGCAACGTGCTCGGTCTTGTTATCAGCATTGCTAGCTTCGACGGTTGTCGGAATAGCCTTTCCATCCAGCCCTTCTCTAGTAGAGTTGGCGATGGATAGGAAAGTCGGAGCAAGGTCCGTGTGGCTAGTAACAGCATTCAAAGTCTGATTCTCAGGGATTCCAGGACCTCGAATAATAAGAGGGACATTAATATCAGTTTCTATAAAGTCAGTCAGAAAAGAATCAAATCCACAACAAGAGAGGTAAAACCCTACCGTAGCCACAGTTCTTCCCGGGTTGCAAACGATGTTGACCAAGATGGTACCCATTATCTGTCGAATAGAAGATGTAGGTATTATCGAGTTCGCCAGCCTTATCCAACTGATTGATCAAGCTTTCAACCATGCCATCAACGGCCTGCAATGCCCGCAAGCGACACCGTTGGAAAACATCAATATAATCGACCTCAGTCTGGTTGAGCTCCGGCACATCCTCCGTCCAGCTCACAGCACCCTCAATCAACTTATTAAAGCTCGCATCTCTCGGTGCTTGAACGTCTTTGAACAAATCCGCATGTCGTGATGCAAACTCCGGCTCTCCGAACCATGTTGCCCCACTCGTGGGATCTGTCGAGCCATTCGCGTGTGGTGCATTTGGTGCCACAGTTAGCATCCACGGTCTATCCTGCGCGATTGCTTCATCCAAAAAGCCAGAGGCTTTTTCGGAGATAACGTCTGTCGAATAATTGCCGTTGTAGTTGACAGGCGGGTTTCCGTTGCGGGTCATACGAGCATAATAATAGCGGTAAGTCCAGGGATCTAGCAAGAAGTCTGACCCATTAAAGCCGCGAGCGTATGGTTTGTTATAGTTGTCTTCTGTGTGGGAATTCCATAGTTTGCCGACGTAGTATGTGTTGTATCCTGCATCTTGCATCCAGAGAGGTAGGTAGTTGTCATTCCAACCAGCTTCTACCACCTTTGGGTAACCGCCGTAAGGAAGTGCGACATCTGTTACGTTTGTATTGTGGGGCATGCGTCCAGTCCATAGATTTGCACGGGAGGGACAGCAGAGTGCAATTGAGCAGTAGTGTTTGGGGTAGGACACTCCTTTTTCAACGAGGTGCTCCTTAATTGAAGTGAGTGAGTTGTCATCTATTTCGTATATGTATTGAATCTGAATCCTTACCTGCAGTTTGGGCATGTGGTCCAATCCTCCCACATGCTTGCCCTGATCATCAGTTAATATGAAGAGGATGTTAGGCTTCTTGGCCACAGTAAGACCAGCTAGCAGTAAGAATCGGATAATACTATCCATGCTGTAAAGACTAGAGTAGAAGAAATAACTTGGGAGGTTCAAATGTTGGACTTGGGCAATGCATATCCTTGTTGAAAGGGCTCTTTTATATACGTTACCTACGTACTACCTCGCCTCTCCGTGTGTCCAGACTCTTCCTGAAGTCCAACGTCATTTTTTTGAAGATCTTTCCTCCAGTGGTTGATGATAGAGAAAAAAATGTCAAATTCATATAGCGCCATGTAGCGCTTGTCTCATTTCTCCACAGAATTTGCACCACTGAAAATCTTCAGTGATCATGCAGTGAAATTTGCTGAACAGAGTATAGTGTAACGGGATATGACTCCCACTGATCGCCGTTGGGGAGAGAACGAGAGGGCAAAAGAAGAAGAGGGTCCGGGGACGATCATGGAGATTTATGCAGAGTTGATAAGGGTCCCCTTATTCTCTTTCGCGGGAATCGGGATACACAAGGGCCCGCAAAGACCAAGCGGATTGCGTGCGAGCTCTGCACATCAATGATGCCAGACTTTGCGGAGCTCGGAACGAAAAGCACCTTAAGTCGCGCGTAGCCTTACAAAGGGTTTTTTAGCGCCGTGGTATTATCAGAGTGCGGCGTGGTACTACTAGCCTCTAGGAACCTTCCTCGATGGTATAAGGGTGGGTCGGCATCACGTCTTAAGCAGTGGAGAAAACCTTCCAAGTTTAATGTATGCAGAGAAAAAAAAACATTGCAATGACTTGGTCGGAATGATAGCATTGGAAGTTGCTCACCAAGCAGCAGCACCGGTGGCCTCTGGGTTGATTTTGAATGCTTTTACCCATCATTTGAAGCATCCATTAGGCATAAGTATAAGCATTTTAGGTACTAGTAGGTATCATATGTTTTTTTTAAGGAGATAACTAGCGTGAACAAAACACAGACGCAGACATCAGGTATTCATGGGGTAAAACAGGAAATATGCCAAAACACATGATAGACGCTTGAAACTGATTCGAAAAAACAACAACAAAATGATACTCAACCAAGCTCGGAGTCCAAAAAAACATCTCTTTGTGTCAGCCTTGAAGACTTTTCATCTCCAAGGGTTATCTATCAGCTTGGGAAAGTATGTGAGAAAATATGTAAGTGTCATGTACATAGTGTTTCCAGGCTTCAACCGGTCAAGACTTAGTAGACTACTCATAGCCTGTACCATCATAACGGTGTCTCACAGCAGCACTTTGAGCGCTTGGCCGGCGGACAAAGTCCTGCTCATCATCTCCACCTATAGAAGACTGGTACATCAAAGCTTCTTGTGGCCAATCATCGACGAGACCACTGTCCTGAGTACTTGGCCGATGCATATTGTCATGCATATAGTCAGCAGTGTTGGAGCCGCCATTGTACAGACCAGGCTGCTGGCTAGGTAGAGAATCACGCCCTGTGGAGGGCCGCTGACCCCCTGAAGGATCCATGGGCGTGCTAACCATGTCGAAACTGAATCGGAAGTCCCGAGACTCTCCTGGGGTCCCACCGTTTTGATCGTGTTCCGGGGCATTGAAATGATGATCATCATCAGCAGACATGATTGTGGCAGATTGCGGTTCCCGAATATAGGGCACAGCAGATGTCGGCTCAGGAACCGGAGTGGCAGACACTGTGCGATCAGTGCGGGTGTCAAGCTCGGGCAGCATTTGTTGAGGGTGTTCATCATGGTAGGACGCTTGTGGAACAATTGTCTCCTCAAGAACCACCCCCGCAGGAGATCGGGGCACAGCAGGAATTTCAGTCTCGAGATTCATAGTTGAGCCTCTTCGAGTGCTGGTGCCCATTGTACTTCCCGGTTTAGAGCTCCGGCTGGCACGGTGTTGTGGCAGCTCTGCGAATATATTCTCGTCCAAATCGCGAATACTGAACTGGGCAATTGTGCGTAACTTGCGAGTCACCCACGAGGCTAATACCTTTCCGCGTTGCTTCTCGCCGAGGCGAGAGCGAGGGAAGTCACCTTGAGAGACGAAAGCAACAATATCCGCCACCACCTGGTGCTCATTCAGAACCACATCGACAATAACGGGAACCAGTGAGGCCAAGAAAGCCTTCCGGGTGACTTCAACCACCACTACAATCAAGCCTCCCGCCTGGAAGATGGCAGATCCACCATTCACGATGTTCCGGTGGCAAGCCTCCACGGAATTTTCAATGTCCATCGGGAAGTGATTCAGACCGTTAACCTCAAATGTCTCGCCAATGCTCCCTAAAACGAAAAGAACCTGCATCTCAACATCCTGACCTCCAGGCCCAATAGGCCGGGTCACGGTGTGAAGGAAACCCAGGTCACCGGTACGAACATAAGGAATAGCAGGATCTCCATCAGCGACACGACCATTCATTCTCTCCATATCGAACTCTTGCTTTGATCTGTAAAACCCTGTGGCACAGGCATCGGACTGGACCCAGATCTCACCATATTCGCCAACCAGTGAGAGGGTGCAAGTTTCTGGATTCACAATGGCGATCTGTGTGTTTACAGGTACCATTCCAGAATCTTGGACCAGAAGCGCAGTGGGATCTGCATCGGGGTCAACAGGATAGATCAAGCCGCGCCGAAGGCTGCGAATGTCCAGCCATAGCTCAATGGGCTCGATGCACATATAAGATCGAGTGACAATCATAGGATTCAAGACATGGGAGTACACAACGTTGATTGAGGTGCGGTCCAGGCTGGCAGTGGCGAAGTGCAAGCGCGTCTTCTGGTCTGTATTAATCGATTAGTTGAGTTCATAGGGTGTACTTTGAGCAAGCTATACGTACATATATCGGCTCGGGGTCGACCCTCTGCGGAAATCATTAGGTTCTTCAGTTCTTGGAGCTGGAACCCCTTGGCTGGCATAGAACTTGTGGCGTAATCGAGCATCTGGGCAGTCGCATAGGTGTCTTTGATTTTGTAGCGTGAAAGTGTCACAAACAGAGTCATGGGGTTTTGGGCAAAGTCAACGGGCGAGACGAGATAGGTTGGGGCGCCTATGCAATGTATGGTTAAAAGCAAACTTCCCTAAACGGACATTCCAAGTCCAACTTACCAACGTAGATACCTAACAAGCAAGTATGTAGGAAACCAAGACCTAATGTGCTGCGCACACTCCCAAGTACGGGCCTTGAACTTGTCATTTGGCAGGTTTCCTTTTGCACTTTGCACATTCCCATGATGGTATCATGCCCTATTTGAACAGACACTCGCCGTTGGTCGGGGGTCCAGTAGGTCCAAACCAACGCTGGCTGCTGACCCTGTAGCCATGCATCTTTAACTGTGTATCCGAGCTCGCGACAGGTGTGCGACTGCTTGGAAGGTTTCGTCGTATTGTAGATCGCGGGAACTCCAATCCGAAGAACTTGCGCAGACTGCTTGATATGCTGTGAAACAAGTTTTTGTCTCATGACATGATCAACCTCAGTGTTGACGATGATGGCCTTGACATTAAAGTCATTGATCACATGTAGGAATGCCGGTGCATCTTCTGATAAACGGTTTTGGTCAATGGGAGCCAAAGGAATAACCACAACACCCAAGCAGAAACAAGCGTGAACGGCGTAAATATACTCTTCGGAATGGGTGTACATCAACACCAGGTGATCACCTGGTCGCACTTTGACCTTGTTTTTGAGATAAGTTGCCACCGCTGACACCTTCAGGTCAAATTTCTTCCAAGTGATACCTTTCCCCTCCTTGCCGCGACCATCGATCGAGCAGTATGCTAGCTCTTCAGCCTGTCGTGAAATACGCCACTGAAGAAGATCGACGATGGTCTTGAAATTATTCAGAGGCGTGGAAGTTCGGTCATCCATGACAACATCCCGATAATCCACACCTGAGTACTGCTTCTCTTGATAGGCGAGAACCTCTTGTCTCGAGGTAAGTGCCAGTGGTGACCAGATGCCACCTTCAGGGTCAACGCCGACAGGCAAATTCATCACGGATCGCTCAACACCGAATTTCACGTGCACAGCCTGCAACATGCCGGCCTCGAAATCCTTCCGGCAGAGCATGTTACCAATCTCTTGTCGGCCGCTTTTAGTAACGCGAGGAAGACTGTTTGGGGCGGTAAGCAAGACACAGTACACACGAAGATGATGCTCGTGGTAAAGGACTTCCATACACCTCTCAGCTAATGAATCGAGAAGCACGGAGTCTAGTTGTCGTGGAGGACCTCCAGATGTTGTCGGCGCCGTTGAAGCAGCATAGGACTCCAGAACAATCACCGGCAAGTGCTCATCGTTGACAAACACATCGAAGGCGGTACAGTCGTGAATCTTTGGGACTTTTTTCAGAAGGCTGACGACCAGATGCTGAACAAAGAAGTATCGATGCTCGACAAGTTCCTGGCCATGCTCAACCCATTCTACTTTTTGCCGAAGTCGATCTTCATACAGGCCCAATATGAATACTCTGCCTTCGATAACACAGCCAAGCAAGCCGGTGCGCAAAAATTCAGGTTCAACAAGTATAGGTGTGGGGTTTGCCTCTTCAAACTTGTATGGCCTAGCGTGGAAAATGGCCTCAGTATGCTTTGGTAGTGCCCAGAAGCCTCCAGAAAGAGACGGTGAGTCAACCCAAATTTCTCCAATCACATTCGGTACACACAAGAGGTTTGTCTCGGGGTCGACAACGGAAAGGGTGGCATCGGGAAGTGGGAATCCGAAAGCACCGACACGAACAGCGTGAGGCATACTCTTAGCATACTTGCGAGCATCTTCGCCCATGGCAAGAACGACGACTTCATTACTTTTCAATGCTTCCTTGTCAAGAAGAACCTCGCTCAATTCATTCTTTGTGGTCTGCTTCGGTGCAGAGACACGGGAGCCACCGCCAAGAAGACTGCTTCCAAAACCAGTGTTGGTTTCAGATCTTTCTGCTTTCTCGTCGTCATCCTTGGAGCCAACCCGTTGTGCAGGGTCCATCTCGTGTGTCAAGGAACATCCCATTCTTTCTTCACCACCCACCCAATCGCGCATGCTAATTACCATGCCACCATGCTCCGGTAGGCAAAGCATTGGTGCCACAATCTCTCTCGCCCGCGGGTTTCTCATCGGTCGCAGCCATCGATCGGCCAAAATTTCATGGAATTCGGGGTCAAGAGTCAGGGTATCGATCAAGCAAATCTTAACGCTGCTGAAATTAGGTTCAGAATTCTTCTTGTAATGTCTAGTGGACATGGGGTCCTGTTGGTAGTTGTAGGCGGCGATCTTCAAGCCAGAGTAATCGGCGGCCATGACTGTCGCTCTGTATTTAGTGATGATGTGGGCATACAAACCAGGTGTCTCGACAGCCCGGTCTTCGTGCCACACAGTTGTGTGGCCACCATACACGGTCATGAGGACTCCCAGAATCATTCCAATCCCTTGTCTTGGGTCAAGATAGCTAGTGATGGTCTCTCCTTTAGATGCAAACTGTCTGGCGCTGGCATCAGTAGGAACTGTAGAGATGATTGCGCTGAGACAAGCCATTTGATGCATGATGGTTCGGTGGCTCATCACAACACCACGCACATCGCCGGTAGGTGCTCGGGCAAACTCAATATATGCCAAGTCAGGAACAACGAGAGCAGGTGTGTCATCTTTTTTCTTGGGGTGGAAACTTCCGAATTCGTTCGTTTTCCACCATTCCACCCCGCGTGGCCAGTTCAGCTTCTGTGCGGTTATGTCACGCTGGAATCCTTTCAGGTTGTTTTCGGTAGTCAAGGCCAAATGCGCTTGAGTTGATGTTAGTACCAAGTTCAAGTTCTGGTAGTCATCAAGGCTGTTGATAGGGACTGCCACCACGCCGGCAATAAAGCAACCCATGAGGGCGACAGCGAACTCGATGATCTCGGCTTCACGATAGATCAAGGCGACACGATCCCCACGGTACAAGTTACTCTTGTCACGGATCACCTGAGCGACCTTCTCTGCTCGGCTAGCCAGTTTATCGTAGGTGATAGATGCGATTTCCTTTCCTTTCAGATCCAGTACCCAATAAGCTGGCTGTTTGGGGTGAGCTCGAGCACGGTGGCGGAGTACCGCAGGGAGATTTTCAAAGTTTGACATGGGAATGTTATTATCATGTGGATCGTGCACGGCAAATGGAATGTCTCGAGGCTCGAGAGGCATGAGATGTTCAATGGCTGGTCCGTGGGCTAATTCAGAGGGTGGAATGAACGGTGGTGGTATGTTTGCTGTAGGTGAGAATGCTTCTCCCGATTGTGAGTAACGATGAAATCCACCGCCGTAGCTGTCGCGATAGTCCTCGTGTTGTTGGCCAGCGAAGTCAGAGAAGAATCCCTGCTGGGAGTCAAGCATCGTTGACTGTCGCGTGACACCACCGGACCCTGGACCATACATGTCCATACCATCTTCAACATACTCAGGTTGAGCATCGGGATTGAATGCATAGCTATGGCTCATCAAAGTAGCCGTTCTAGAGCCATCAGGGCCTTGTGGGCCCGGGGGTACAGCCTTGGGGAGAAACAGTGAATCATGCGACGACGCAGAGGGCACCCGATCGTGGGTCTGTAACATCCCCAAGCTATCCCTATCATAATGGCTAGACGCTGCCGACGAGGAATTCTGCATATCCATACTGACACCATGGTTGTACCCGAATGATCCGCCTTGCGTACCCTCGTACCCGCCGGCATAGGTTGGGGATGAAAGACCGCGCTGTGAAGAATCCGCTGTTGGCGGTCGAACACTCAGAATTGCTGGAGGAGCCATGTGACCTCCATCCGATTGACCGTCATGGTCACCGTGGGCACCGATCTCAAGTGGCTTATTTGGTCCAAGGAATTGCGAGAGAAGGAGGGTGCGACGTTTTTGGTACCTTTTATTCACGATTAGCTCGTACATTTCTTGTGTATCACCCGGCCCCCGTCCGGCCATAAGCATCGACTGCCTTGTCTCCCTCTCCAGTCTCGTGGGGTTGATTGGTTATGGCTCATCTTTGAGGAACACGGCTTACCCTTTCTCGGTGATATCGCCCTCCTGTTTAGTGACACGCTTTGTGTAAGCGCAAGGATTATGACAATTGTATAACTTGGGAAACACGTACCTCGTATTCCCTATCCAAGTTCCGCAAAGCGAACTGGAGGTCTGGGTTCTCTTCCGCCATTGTGGACACGGGGAAGGCCTCAAATTGAAGAAGTGTGGATCAAAAGCGCGGGGGAGGGATGGCAGGAGCACCTAGTATGTAGCTCAGGAACGCCTCATCGCAGGTTAACGGCTTTCGCGTAATGGGGTAGGTGGGAGCCAGAAGAAGGGCAGTCCCGAAACCCCTGTTGCTCGTGGAATTATCCGGGGTTGTTTGATGAACGCTGTCCTCGATTTGTCCCTTGAAAGTGTCGGGACTTCCGCCGCGTCACAACGTCACCCACGCCAAGGCGGTCAGGTGAACCGAGCGTGGACATTCGAGTTGAGACTTGTCTTTGGTCAAACCTGAAGTTATTTTTACAATATTTGCTAGGCTAAAGAACAATCGGCACTTGGGAGTATTATTTTTGATGTTTGGAATCGCCTATCGGTTGTTCAAACTCCGCGTTGTCATTCACTGAGCATCTTAAGTGTTAAATACTAGTACATACAATCGAACAAATATGCAAGCCGAGTGGAATTTAATTAAGAAATATCCAATGGATGTTCCCGAGGTGTGATAAGCTTAAAAAGGTTCAAGTACTACATATGTATATATACACATCCCAACCTTGGAAGCAAAGGTTAAGTAAGTGCGACTAATGTATACTTCAAGGTTGGATACGGGGCTACTACATACCAAACTAGAGACTAGAGACATGCCCAGAAGTAAAGCATGATTCATGAACATCAATTCGACATAATTATAGAAATCTCAGTTCCTGCCTGATTCTAGATTTCTGCCTGAGTTCCGATGTCTCAAATCACATGACCTACATGATCTTATTGGCGGTCGCATTCTGCCCTAATCTCATGTGACCCCCACAACAGGGCTAAGCGAGCGCACCCAATTTCCCTTGGTCACAGACGCCTCGACTTGACGATTCATCCACCCAACGACAACCTCCCACGAAACCCTGCCAAAATGTCCGACAACGGGGAAGTTGAGGTCGCTGCCTACCCCTCCCTGCCCAAGGAGATCGCTGCCCTTGAGGGCGAGATCAAGCTCTTCGGAAAATGGAGCTACGAGTTCGTCAAAACCCGTGATCAGAATTCAATATGCATATCACTAATATCCATTACAGTGTTGAGGTCCGCGATATCTCCCTGACGTGAGTGCACACTTTTTCGGTCCAGTCTATCATTTCAATCGAACACGAATAAGGGGAATTGGGTTGTGGAACATGTTTTTTTTTGGCGGCATCAAATCGAACAACGAATTTTCACGACCGTCCAGCATACACACAACAACCAGCGCATATCAGATCGAAAAGAGAATCAAAAACAAAACTGACTCGTTTGCCCGTTTACAGCGACTACATCCAGATCCGCGCTCCGGTCTACACCTCCCACACTGCCGGTCGCTATGCCGCCAAGCGTTTCCGCAAGGCTCAGTGCCCCATCGTTGAGCGTCTCACCAACTCTCTGATGATGAACGGCCGCAACAGCGGTAAGAAGGTTATGGCTGTCCGCATTGTCGCCCACGCCTTCGAGATCGTACGTCTTATCCAAAGTCTGCACCAAACACTCATTTTCAACCTCTAATCTGTCTCTCTGCAGGTTGCTGTCATGACCGACCAGAACCCCCTCCAGGTTCTGTGCGACGCCGTTGTCAACTCCGGTGCCCGTGAGGACTCCACCCGTATCGGTTCCCAGGGTACCGTCCGTCGCCAGGCCGTCGATGTCTCCCCTCTGCGCCGTGTCAACCAGGCCGTTGCCCTGCTCACCATTGGTGCTCGTGAGGCTTCTTTCCGGTACGTGAAAACAAATCAATCTGGATGATTCAACTTCTTGAACATCTACCCCCCGAATTTCGATGAATATAGTTATTAACAACCCCTACAGTAACATCAAGTCGATCTCCGAGTGCCTCGCTGAGGAGCTGATCAACGCCGCCAAGGGTTCCTCCAACTCCTACGCCATTAAGAAGAAGGACGAGCTCGAGCGTGTTGCCAAGTCCAACCGGTAAAGGGTTTTCTGGATGTTGTTCTCCGTTTGGTTCTCTGTTATGGAATCTGGAGTGGACGGGGGGTTTTCAGCGGGATTCAGTCGTTTTGCATGCATCTGCACGGCTGTACATTAGATTGAGACAGTCAGAAGAAAGCAGAGTCCAAAAAAATAAGGATCGCAATGGGATGGCTTTTTCCAACCTTCGTAGTTGGGATACGATGATGAAGACCTCGGGTCGTATAATGGCCACTTTTCAATACGAAAAAAAATGTTTATTCCATATTAGGCCTTCAAATGTTTCCAGCGTGTATATCAATTTAGAGAAATCAAACTGCAATCTAAAAGCACTTGAGGGCTAGACATTGATATCAATTGCCAAATCTGTCAGTCTTTATCGATACTATATGTTGCCTCAATTTCAAGGTCGTGAAAAGTGGCCCCCCGGGGCGCTTATCGATAGATACGGCAGAAGAAAAAAAAAAGTTTCGAAGCGGTGGACCTGCATCACCCCAACCTCTCCCACCACTTACTACTCTGTCCCTACAGACAGACATCCCACAAGATGGTGAAAAGAAAGCTGGGGGCCTTGGAAAAGGTTGAGGCTGATCTGTAAGTTTCTTTTTCTTTACAGTCGGGCAATGCGCCCGTGGACGTGTTCCAAAAAGAACAGTCCCCATCGAGTCGGTATATTGACATAACTCGCCAGGCCCAATCTGCAGCACAAAATTCGTCGTGATCCCAAGTAAGTTGTCTGCAGGCTCTTTAAACATATGATTCCTGATAATTGATCAAAACTAATCACTTTTTGGGTTTGCTCAGATCCTACATTGAGGATTTCCGTGCCCAGCACTACCAATATGAATCGCATCGTGAAATTTTCATGTCCGCGCCCACGTCGGCCACCGATACCGGTATCATCTCACTGCGAGACCTGATTGACTTCATTACCCATGTCGCCGATTGTTATCCCGAGATTCTCAAAGACTTCCCTCAGCAACTGATTGATATGCTCATGCAGCACCACTTGGTGCTGGAACCCGAGCTGAGGGAAAAGCTGGTAGGAAGTATCGTTCTTCTACGCAAGAAGGACTGCCTGGACTCTTCAACGTATGCGATTTCCGGATTCCCCTCTTGGCGGGTTGTGTTTCTAAAAACTAACAATTCTCCAGACTCCTCCACACCTTGTTCCCGATTCTTATTTCTACGCCTAGCAAGACTCTGCGCGCCCTGCTGTTCCAGAAAATTTTGTCTGAGCTGCGTACTTCCAACTCGAAAACCACCAATCACAAGTTGAACCGTGTCATGCAGACCGTTCTCTTCAACTTGGTCACATCAGACCGCACATCCTCCAAGGCGCTCTGGGCGATTAAGCTGACTCGAGAGCTATGGAAGCGCCAAATCTGGACAGACTCCAAGACGGTTGAAATTATGAAGGAAGCTAGCTTGTCGGAGAACGAGAAAGTCATCATTGGTGGAGTACGCTTCTTCCTTGGCGGAGACAAGGAGCGTGAAGAGATGGAAGATGAGAGCAGTGACGAAGAGGTCGATGTTGCTCGCATCAGGCATCAACTTGGCATTAACAAGAAGACTAAGAAGAAGGCCCGTGTCGCTCATAAGGCCATGAGTGCCCACAAGAAGAAGGAGAAGAAGAAGAATCAGCCGCATCCGCTCAACTTCTCGGCGCTCCACCTGCTGCACGATCCCCAAGGCTTCGCGGAGAACCTGTTCGCTAAGCATTTGCAGAACGGCAGGTCTAAGCTCAAGTTGGAACAAAAACTCGCCGTTCTGCAGTTGGTATCCCGACTGGTAGGCTTGCACAAGTTGCACATCATGTCGCTTTACTCGTACTTCCAGAAATTCCTTACCCCCCGCCAGCCCTCGGTTACTTCGTTCTTGGCATCACTGGCCCAGGCATCTCACGATCTTGTGCCCCCAGATGTTCTCGAGCCCCTTATTCAGAAGATCGCCAACGAGTTCGTTTCTGAGGCGTCTGCTGGTGAGGTAGCTACCGCTGGTCTCAATGCCATTCGAGAGATCTGTGTTCGACAGCCTCTGGCAATGAACGAAACCTTGCTCCAGGATCTTGTCATGTACAAGAAGAGTAAGGACAAGGGTGTGATGATGGCTTCGAAGGGTTTGTTGAGTCTATTCCGTGATGTTGGTGCTCAGATGCTTAAGAAGCGTGACCGCGGTAAGGAGGCCGCCATGGGTCTTCGTTCCGGTGATAAGGAACAGAGACGTTTCGGTCAAACTGAGGCTGGAGAGATCGAGGGTCTTGAACTCCTTGAGAAATGGAAGGAGGAGGAGCGTCGCAAGAAGCGACTTGAAAAGGGCCTTGCATCCGATGCTGAAGATGACGATGAGGACGACGAAGGAGATAACTGGGATGCTTGGAATGTCGAGGATGATGATGACAGCAGTGTTGACGGCGAGTGGATTAATGTCGAGAGTGATCATGAAATCGATATCAGTGACTCGGAAGATGAGGGCAAGGACCGACCTTCCAAGAAGGCCAAGCAGGATGCCGAAAAGGCCGAGGAGAAGGTCGAGGAGGCTAAGAAGGATGATGCTCCTCAGCAGTCGGCTTTCTCGAAGCTGGCAACTACCCGCATTCTTACCCCAGCTGATTTGGCCAAGCTTGCCGAGCTTCGTGCCCAGGCGTCCCTTGAGGCTGCTGTTTCTGGCAACAAGCGCCGTCCCGGACAGCTTCCCCAATCGCGTCATACCGACGACCCCCTGACAGCTGAGGAGATCGAAGGTCTTGCAGCCCTGTCCGCTGCTAAGCTCACTCGTGATGAGAAGATTGCCCACGCCAAGGAGGGTAAGACCGATCGGGCCGACCACAAGAGCAAGGAAGCCAAGCGGAGAGAACGCAAGGAGGAGCTAGGAAAGAGTACCACCAACAAGGAGAAGGCTCGCAAGAAGAACTTCCTCATGACGCTGGGTAAGGCGAGAAGCAAGAACAAGCGCAGTCTGGTGGAGACTCGAGCTGTGTTGAAGGCTCACCATGACCGCAAGAAGCGCGGTGGAAAGAGAGGAAATCTGGGTAATTAAGCGGTCTGTTCTTGGTATATATGTCTCTTCAGACTTTGAATGTTTATCATCGATGGAACGCGGCGTTAGTACATTTGTTTGTTTTTTTTTTCTGATTTCCAAGGTTTTTGGGACAAAAGCTGGATACATGTATGCACGCCTTCGAATGAAACCACTAGCATCAGTTGAAATGTTGATCTATAGTATTGAATATACATGTGCATACCTTGATACATACCTACTACCTATAATGTACTAGTACCACACATGTGCATGTTTTGAACTCTTATAGCAAGTGCTGCTATTGATGTACCTCCATACTGCCGTGGATTCCAGGTATTCAATGTTCAACGATAAAGCCATACTAGGCACATTTGACTACATAGTAATCAATATATACGTATGATACACATGCTAATTGATGGATCTACACCAATCAATTGATGGATCAATCAATCAATATGTATCCACTTCAAATGTTTACACATACACGTGCATTCGATGTTCTGACGGTCCACGTCTCCCGGGCGGACCCATCCAACCCGCTTACTATATGTATGTACATACCATGCATATGTGTATAAAGTTGGCCCAGGCCTCGGGATATTCAATCAATTGACATTGATTATATTTGAATAAAATATAATTGAAGTCCTAGAGTATTTTAAGTATATACTTATGTAGTCCACATCCTGCCTTATTTTCAAATGTTTGAATGTTCTCAAGTGCTTCCAAGCCCTAGAGGTTAGGCAGCACGCTTACCCCTAGGATATGTATATGTCTACATATACACAACCCCCGTGGAAATACCTAAGCCACGTATCAATCAATTGATGTGCAAACTTTACATGCACATATATATGAAACCCAACATTTAAAGGTTATCTAAAACACGACAATTTGTACTCTGGACTCGGTTGCGGAATGGACTTGAGAATAGACTTAACAAGGGACTTGAGAAGGAACTTAAGAAGGGACTTGAGAAGGGACATGTGGTGAGGACTTCTGCTAGATTTCTGCCTCATTTCCTTTATTTGTACCAAGGATATGTACTACATTATTTTGGTGCTAATTTTTGATGTTGTAGCCTGAAGATGCCTGAAGATGTATGAAGTTTTTCGTGTCTGCACAGGTGGCGGCAGGGCAGTTAAAAGGCGGTGAGACTTTAAAAAGCGGTGATTTGATGGGGATCGATCCCAGGATCATCACGATATTATATATCACGTGATATATAAATAGCCCTAAGCCCTAACACCTTCTAAAAGAGGCATAATCGCAAGCCGCGTCATTGAAGCGTGTCAAGCGCGTGTAATCACGGACCCGCGTCGCGTTTCCCAGACTACCAGCCGCATCATTTTGTCATTCTGCATTTCTTATCTCCCCTCCTCAATCTCCCCTCCGACCTTTGATACCCCCCACCTGGGCACCTCCCCTCTCCATTCCACCGATTCGTCTGTCAACTGGTTGATCCTTCCACATTCCACGATGAAGCCTTCCAGCAGTACCCTCTCTAAGCGTCGGCGCTTCCAGCCCTCCATCACCTCATACTTCTCGTCCGGGTCACCTGCCCCCAACGCCTCTGTATCGCACAATCATTACTCGGCCGCAACTTTCTCAGCCACCCCAGTTGTGCCAGCTACAGTTCAATCCTCTCTTCTTTCGGTCGGAATGCGGGTCCGCAAGTCAGTAGCCGATGGATACAAGACTCAGATTGCACTGGAGAAAGAAAAAGCCGTGTCAGTAAAGAACGCCTCGGGCACTGAAAATCTTTCCGGCACTGGACACTCCGAGCTTGCTCCCTTCTCCGGCATGGACAAATGCGCTCATAATCTGGTCACTGATGATGGGGATGCCTTTTCTCTCCCGGCCAGCAGCCAGGAATCGGTTGAATCGTCCGTTTCTGTCCCGATCGCGCTGAACGGACAAAAGAGAAATTTGGAACGTGAAAGCGATATTTTCTCGGACGACGACTCTGATGTGGAATACAATAACTCGTGGCGTGAAGCTCCCCTTGGACGTACAATTCTTTCTCCAAACTTGGGACAGCAACGTCGTCGCATTGCACTACAACAAAAGTCTCAACAGAATGGGTTCTCCTACATGGAACTGGATGATTTCGAAGAGGCCACTTTTCTTCGTCGACGCGAGGAAGTCGACGCTGACAGCCGCATGGACTGCGCTTGATCTATGTTTCTTTGCATGCCTTTCTGGAATTTCCTTCTTTCTCAACGCTACCGGATGGCATTTGTCTGCTGCGCCTGACCACCAGAATTCCTTGCTTTTTCTTTTTTATCAATACCCTGTCTGTACCATACTTATGTACCAACGTTCTCTGTATCTTATTCGAATCATCTGCCACGCACCACGCAGTGTACCTTTATCCAACAATCCCGTCTGAAGTTCGTTGTCTCTCCATTGATCGCATATCATCAGTACTAGTTGCCGATAGCACTTAATTGTATGAATTGGCCAGCAGTAAAGTTTAAACCTTGGAATATTTCATAAAAGATCGTTTCATTATACATCAAATTAAGTCTATTAGTAAAACCAGCGGAAACATTCACCAGCAGGTCCATCCCTAAGGTTCTCCGTTGGGATATCCTTGGCTTGTACATGCACACCCTGAGCTAGATCTCTCCGTTTGTTATCCCACATCATCCAAAGCCCCAGACAAATGGTCAAAATGATTCCAACGCCACCAAAGGCAGCGGTGGTCACCAACGCAGGGATGTATTTCGGTGCATCCTGACTGCGAAAGATGTTTGAAGCAACAACACCCATCATATTAGCCACGGGGACGGCAATACTCGTCAAGACGACACGCTGACCCTCATTCGCAATGTTGTTGTTATACCAAACATCCAGCAGAACAGACGGGGCGGATGTGCCCCAACACATGAGGAAAGAGGCAAAGTAGGCAATATTGACATCATGACTAACGTCAATGGCGGCATAGATCACCATTCCAACGAAAGTGAACAAGAATCCCAAAGCGATGAACGGGAACCGCCATCTTGTCCAATCGCTACAGAATGCCAGAATAAGCAACACAACCGCACCGGAGACATTGGGGGCAACGGTGTACAGGTTCGTCTTCACAGTGCTGTAGCCGAGACGCTCAATAATCACAGGCAGGAAGAGGGATACACCCTGAAGGGGAACACCAAGACACATTTCAATAGCCAGAATGACCCAGCTGGTCCAGTGTTTGAAAATGCGGAAGGCATCTCGAATATTCAACTTCTCGTTCACGACAGCCGAACTATCGATCTGTAGGCGAAGATATGCGAGCTCTTTTTCTTCTGGTGTTAAGAAGGTTGCCTCTGCGGCCGATCGGGGGAGATACCACAGTGCGAACAGAGCGCAGATTAGAGTTGCGCCACCTTCGATCAGGAAGAGATAGCGCCACGAGGCAAGGGGCCCTGTCTTGATTTGGAAGACACCAAAGGCAAGTAAGCCCGAAAAGGCGGAGCCAATGTTTTGGGCGGCGTAGAAAATGGCAAGACGACGGGCCAATTCGCCTCGACGGTAGAAAGTGGTCTGATAGTAAATGACCAAAGGGAAAAAAGCACTCTCGGCCATACCCAAGAACCAGCGAATGGCAAGTAAGCCGCTGAAGTTTTTCACCGCGACCATGAGAACGGTGCAGAGACCGAATGCGCACATCATGCATGGTAATACAACGTTGGGGCCGTACTTCTTGCCCAACAGACCCAGAAATGGGGCCGTGAGCACATAGGGGACATAAAAGATACTAAGAATGGTACTGTATTGGTTACCGACAAGGTGTAATGTTTCTACAAAAGTGCGAGTGTTAGTTGAATGCTACCTTGAAGCAACTTGTCCGCCATGTATGAATGCAAGACTCACCTTCCAGATGTGCTGTTTTCGCATTACCCAAGTTGGACTTATCAAGACTGTTGAAAAGGTACATCATAGCCAGCATGGGAAGTAAACGGAGATCGAACTTCCAGACCAGGGCCCGCTCTGCCCGTGGGTCAATATCGACGCTTGTGATAGTTGTATGTTCCCCATGTTTGGGAGAGATTTCCGATTCAGACATGATTGCGAGAAAAATCCTTGAAATCCAAACATGGGGGGAATACCTGTGTTTATTATATTGAAGTTCATGGCTTATCTTGGATCTACACTGTAGTCTGTACCGTACGGGATACAGTAAGTGAATTTGCCGTAGATAAGAAGCAAAAGATTATCTGATTATCGAGATTCGAGTCTTGGCTGATAAGCATCAGCCAATCGGGTGGAGTTGACTCAGTTGACTCAGTTGAGCTTAACCGTTAGTTATCTTCCGATTCTTTCCTTTACATACAATCAAATGTCAGGGGGTTTTTTTGAGTAATATGAATTACTTAACTACAGTAAAAAAAAAAAACATTTGTGGAGATTCTACCCCAGATGTGGAGAGAATTCGAGGTCAAAGGGGTCCATACAGGTTACTTGTCTTACTTCCTTATCGAACAAAGTCCGGGGATTCTCGGAAGACACTGCTCGTCCAATGTTGACAAAGAAAAAAAAGAAACAAGACACACCAGATTAGCTCAGGGTTCCATCCTAATGTCCAATCAAGGATTCTGGCTAATAACCTCCAAATTCTTAAGTTCATAAAGCGTTGCTGTGGCCATTAGCTTGGATTTCATAAAAAAGGACTTGTAGTAAAACTTACTCCCAGTTGGTCCTGGAGTTCCACTGCTCCCCTCCATCTGCAAATCAATAATCAAATACAATGGCTGTCCAGTAAGGCCACTCGCAAATTGCGTCGTGATAAGTACCCCGTCAAGATAAAACTTGATGCTTACGTCACTCCCATTCTCATCCCTAAACTCCGCCTTGACGGTATGAAACTCGGTCGGATCGGGATAATCGACATTAAGCGCCGTGACCACACTAGAGGTATTAAACGTGTTGAAACTGATATCGCCGGTTCCCTTCCATTCCGCAATATCGACCTCCGGAGGCCAGGAGTTCACGCCATCGAGCCAGAATGCGGGCCACGTGCCCGTTGTCACTGGAGCGAGAAAGTCGGCGGAAAAGTCCAAGCCACCTGATTCTTCTACCGTGAAGGCTTGTTTGGACCAGACGGTGCCGGAGTCGTAAGCGTAGTCCGAGGCTCCGGTATAAGTGGCGTTTAGAGTTAAAGTGCCGGCTGTGGAGATGACGGCGTTGGCGCTACTCATGATGGCGGCGCCATTATGGGTGTCGCCCCACGGGTAATTGTAGTTGAAGTACTCGTTAAGCGTTGCGTTGCTGTCAAAGCAGGAAGTTGGGATGAGAGTGCTTTCGCGTTTGTGGATTCGGTTTGCTCCAGGTCGTGCGAATACCAAGTATGGAAGGGGACTGAGAAAGAGAAGCAAGATTGAAGAATACATGATTTCCAAGGTAGAGAGAGTACTATGCTGGTTGAAATGATAAAAGGACAGATTATTTGAACTGAATTTATAGTCCTCGATTCAATGTTCCATATTTCCAGGCCTATTGTCTAACAAAAGCTCAAAATAGGAAGATCTGCAACGGAATCATAAAAGCTCCTTGTTCTTCTGGGAGATGCGGGTTTTAATTTGGAAAATCTCGAAACCATGCCTATTGTTGAAAGTAGAGATGCATGTTTTGAAACATTTGAAGGTACATGTATGATGTGGGGGATCAATGCCCCGCCGGAGCTTCACGTTAGGGTTACATTTTGTTCAGTTAACCTTAGCTGCATAAGCACAGCCCTGAAGACTGCTAAGATCAAGGCTTCAAATGTTCGGTCAAGTCCACAAGACCCATAGTTCAAGCTTGCACATGTGTTATGCAGCATGCTACAAGAAAATACCAAGAAAGTAAGTAATTCCTCCAAACATTTGAAGCTACCCTATCTTCAAAATGGTTCTCGTCTGGGAATGTAATATGTGACTACTAGCAGCGCAGATCCCAACGGAGATTGCCCTGATTTAGTAAATCTAGCGATTACTGCAGTGAAACCCTTGAGCTCCATCATGGGGCGCAGACCTCGGGAGAGGATACAAGCAAGCCGAAGAATACTCCGTATATACTGCCAATTCGGACTTTATAGCTCCGAGCATTATCCCGCCACAACTTGACAGCTCCCGAAATTGGGATAGATCCGACATCTAGATAATAAAACAGTCAATGTTCCCAAAATACTAGGTACTAGACAGGGAACTCTCAAACGATCATGTGGATGATGCAAACCTTTATTGATCTCCAATCGTCTAAAGAAGCCAGTAATGTCATGCAGAGAGACGGATTTCGTCACAGCAGAGACCAAAAAAAGCAAATACTCAATAGAGGAAGAGTGACAGAGACAGCAGGATTCATCGTTTTTGCTTCTTTTTGTGTTACCCAACTCGTTTTCTCTTTAACTGGCTTCTGGCCCCGGAAATGAAAATTTTAATCTCCCAAGTCCCGAGGCCCTAGACAGGCACCTTTGAATGACAAAGACACAGAGTATGTCAGCTCTGAATCCAGCTTATACGATGATGAATCTCACAGAATGCAGAAGAGGCTATAATGCTGGTCATAATCTTCCCTTGAAGCAGAACAAATCCATAATATCTACTTCGAGCCCAGGTGGTAGATGGCTTTCAACTTATTATTCTGACTTAAGTGCCGGTGAGTCTTTCCAAAGTTCAGTCTCGCAACGACCATCTCCAGCGGACTCATACTGACAGAGAGTGAGTCTAGACTTCTCCCTCAAAATGCCTTTGCTGCAACGGAAAGTCAACTTTGATTCCTGGAGAGGATACCTGATACTCCGAACAATGACAGTTACCCTTCAAGTCATCGTTTTCGTCCTCAAGCTAGTGACAAAGTGGTGGCGTCCGTCGTGGGAGGTGCGCGATCTTAGCTTATAATCGCCGACTTCATTACAATTCCCCGCTCTACAACATGCCTACACAGATGCGATAAACATGTCCCATCTTTTGCAAACTTAACACCATTGATTCTTGAATCTCTTTTCTCTATTGTTTAAAAACATGACGTGAATGCATATGTAGTACATGAGCATATGAAGGTTATATAGTGCGCTCCAGGTACTGAACAAAAAATAAATAAAAAATAGAACGAACCAAAATGCGATATCTTTGTGACAAATCGGGGAAATCAGAGCTCGTCCTTCCGATCGTCCTCCTTTGCCTGCTCCTTCTCCTTCTCTTGACCCTTACCGGCCTTGCTCTTAGGCTTTGCCTCTGGTTTTTCCTTCTTGGCCTTCTTGCCACTGCTCTTTTGATCCTTTCCAGCCGCCGCAGTCATACGCTCGTACATGCGGTTAAGGATACGCTCAAAGTCGCGCAGACGAGAATCAATCTCCACAACTGTCAAGACAGGATCATCCGACTCGGTCAGCTTTTCTTGCAGCTCGAGCTGAGTCTCAAGCCAGGGCTTGGTGGCGTCATAAGCTTGATTAAGGCTGATGAGATCAGATGGGGCGAAGAGGGAGTACTTGGGTCCAGTGGGTTTAGCGGCAGCGGAAGACTTGGTAGAGGTCTTCTTGTTAGAAGTCGAGTAGACGTCATCATCGAGATCATCCAAAGGATCGTCGGTGGGGGAGGCAGTAGGAGTGCTAGCAGAGCCAGTTTCTGACTCTTCAACCGTTGCGGTGCTTGAAGCAGAGAGCTCGGATGAATAAGCGGCGTCGTCAATTGCGATTTGGGACTCAATCAGCGACTTCATGGACTCGGCGTTCTTCAACATCTCCTGAAGCAGTTCCACACGCGCAGGGCGAGAAGAAGCTTCCTTGATGCGCTTAAGGGCGGGATCGACAATGGCCTTGAGATCCTTCAGCTTCGCCTTGAAATCTGCGGTGTGTGCATTGTCACTGTCCTCGTATAACCAGTCACTGGCCTGAGATACCTTCTCTTGAAGGGTGGCCAACTGATCCGCTTTGACTGCGTTCACGAAGTCTTCGCCCTCAATAAGATCACGACTACGATAAATGAAAGACTCGAGCTCGTTTAAAGCCTCTTCACGGAGAACACGGTCGCGGTCCGAGGCTTCAAAGGCAGCCAGGCGAGCACGAATGCGGGAAAGCTCAGAGGTTGATGGGGCTTTGGTTCCAAGCAAGGTGGACTTCAAAGCGATAGGAATGGTCTCAATTTTGGTGCCCTTCGTGGTCTCCTTGATAGCGGGAGTGGCAGTAGAGTCACCGGCCGATGAGGTGGTTGAAGGTTCGGGTTCAGAATCAAGGGTAATGGATTCAGCTGGTTCACCATCCTCACCCAGGACCTGTTGCTCGTCTTTCTTGGAACCGAGACCGAAGAAGCCCTTGACGTCTTCCACGATACCCTTCTTTTCGGCTTCCACTTCACAGCTCACATTGCCACCGGTCACTTCAGGAAGGCCATCGATGGGACTGAGGCGGATTGAAAACTTAGTGGTAATGTTCGCAGTCGAGCAACCAAAGCTATCTCTCAGCTTGGCCACTGATGCAGTCAGATTCTGGGTCTGCACACTCAAAACGGGCAATTCATTCTGCCCAACGAGCTGGTGGAAGCTGAGCTCAAAATCGTCCAAGTTCTTAACCGTCACTTGCTTCTCTGGACCAACCTGAGAAGTTGAGGTGAAGAGCTTCTGGTTTCGTTCTTTGCCGTCGGAGTTCCACTTTAGAACAACAGGGTAAGTGGCCGCATCGTGGGCACGAATGTCCTTGACTCGGAAGCTAGGGCTAAGAGCGGCACCCTTGAAAGCAGCACCAAAGACAGCGGCCTCATCGGCGTTGACGTTGGTTCGAAGCTTCTTAGATGAGCCAACAACCTTCTCCAATTGCTTTTGAACAAAAGGTGTGCGAATAGCTCCACCATGCAAGACCACGGAGTCAATATCGTCAAGGTTCAACTTAGCCGCCTCCAGGGCCTGCTCCAGAGGAACACCGACGCGGGCCGAATGTTCAGCAGCCATCTTCTCGAAAGCAGCGCGTGTGATCTTGTACTTGAAGGTCAAGTCATCATCGTAAAGACCCTCAAAGCTAGTAGATGTCTCCGTGTTGGCACTGAGAACTTGTCGGACCTTCTCCGCATCCTTCCACAAACGCGACATTGTCTTTCCATGCGACTTGACCTGTTCCGGTGTGACTTTGTCCTTGAGCTTCTTGTCCTCGACCAACTTGGCGACCATATCATCAACAATGAGATCATTGAGCGAATCACCTCCAAGAGTCTTATCCCAACCAGCTCCAAGGACGTGGACTTCCTGAATTGTCTTGTTGAAGCGGCCAATGTCCTTTACCTGACGGCTCTGGAACCGTAAAACGCTGACAGTTGTTGAGCCAGCACCCATATCGTAGACAACGTGATACTCGGGCTTTTCACCATCTGTCACGCTAGGGAATCTTCTGGAAGTGGCGTAGTTCAATCCGACAGCCAACCCATCACTGATAAGCGCCTCGATATTCAAACCCGCCAGCTCTGCTGCCAACACAAGACTCCGCTTCTCTTCCGCGGTGTAGAAAGTGGGATAAGTGATCACCACGTCACGGATATCAGAGCCCTTCCCAGCTAAGGTATCGGCGTTCTCCTTGACCTGTTTCAACTGCATGGCTAAGATCTCCTCAACCAAGAATGCGTCCTTCTTCTCCGCTTCGCCAAGTCGATTGCTGCGGAAGGCAGCTGAGCCACGGCCATCGGGGGCGCTCTCAAGTTTCAAAGCTGGATACCGGCTCCAGTAATTCTTCACAGCGTCGTCATTTCCGTCATTAAAAGGCACACCCAGAAGTGCCTTCAGGTTGCTGTAGACATCATCAGGGTAGCGAGCCGCCAGGGCCAGCGCATTACCACCATAGAATCTTTCAGGGAAAGCGGCAGAGGAGTCTCTTGTGGGCTTGAATGCAATGGCGGCAGCTTCTTTGCGCTTGGAGTCCTTGCTAAGTACGATCTCGAGAGGGATACCGGGTTTCACGAGTGTTGCTTTAAAGTACTCTGTGCCGACATCGAGACCGAGAACAGCGGATCCAGCTGCGGAAGCTGATCCTGCAAAGCTGAGGAGGAAGACGAGGAAAGGAAGAATCACGAGGGAGAGGAATGGCGAAGTATGTAGCCGTTGGCGGCCCGGGAGAGCCATGATCTATGTTTGTGCTGCACACTAGAAGGGTCAGTTCATTCCCTTCTAGATTTTCATGTAAAGCTGCAGACCAGGTACTTGGATATAACATACATCAAGGCAGCTTATTAGTTCAGAAATTTTGCAAGTCCTGGAAGCCGCTCCACCAGATCGCCAAGAGGTGTGTCGGTGGAACGCTGGCCTTGCGCCGAATGAGTGTAGGTTTGAGATAAGAATCCGGGGGAATTGGTGTGGATGCCGGGGTCGTGAGAGTGAATAGATAATATGATGGGAGAACACCACGTTGATTAATCCATCTAGTGCGAGGGGATAGAGTGGCCACCTGGCAACAGAAGCATAACGAGTCGCATCTGAGGCCACGGGTCCGACCAAGAGCTCGATGTAAGGGTGTTTGCACTGTTTGTTTCTGTTGGCTTACGTTATATGTTGGGGCCCTAAGGGCCAACAACTAAAATTGAAGTTACATACTATACTATACAGTCTAGTATACTCGTGAATAAATTATAAGATCAATAGCCAGGTGCCGAGATATTTTTATTTGGACATTCCCCTAAATAGCCTGAATTCCCCAAACATTGATATGCAATAAACACCGAAGAGCAGAATTTAACATTTGAAAGGAGCTGCCACAATTGCATGGATTAAAGACTATTTTTTTGCATGGCAGATCATACATAGTCAGGAACGTCAATCGTACAGTGAAAACGTTATATCGCAATAAAAATTCCTAGCTCGAAAGCCTAAATTAGAGATGTGAGTGAAAGTCGTAGCGGCATAGTTCACTCCAGGCCCACATTCACAACAATACAAAGTTTCTTTTTTTTTGGCATTTTCATACATTTTCCTTTGTATAGGTAGCTCATCGCGTACCTTCACCCAGCCCTCTGTACTTCCTTACATGTCCAAAGCTCACCTTTGCCATGTGGTGAATGGTTACCCATCTCAACAAACCAAGGTTTACCCAGATACGGGCCAATTAGAGAAGTGCAAAAGCAATGGCGAGACCGGGTAGGAAACCAGCAATGGACTTCTGGGATTGAGAAGAAGCGGCGTTGTAGATAGGACTACTACTGGCACCCGGAGCAGACGCGGTTGAAGACTGCTCAACTACTGGGGCTGTAGAAAGGCCCCCGGAGCCCCCGGAGCCCCCGGAGCTCCCAGAACCCGAAGAGCCTCCGCCTGAAGCTGGGGAGCTCGGGGATGAAGGAGAGGTGGATTCGGGAGCTGGGTTAGACGAAGGGGCTCCACCACCACTTCCAGCTGGGGCGCTGGATTTACATTCCTCATTGCAGACGGTTGACGTAACGGTAGTGGTGATGGTGACAGTAGCTGGAGCCGTGGCTCCCCCGGATTCAGTCTCGCATGGAGTGGAGGAGGCTGGAGCTGTGGTCTCGGTCTCACAAGGAGTGGACGTTGCTCCTTCACTGCACTCGGTACAAGTGGAGGATGGAGTTGCAGAAGCACTGACACTGGTGGACTCGCATTTCTCGCATGGAGTTGAACTCGGGGGCAGTGGTGTACTACTGGGTGAGCTCAGCGGAGTAGATGTTGCTGAGGAAGATGAGTTTCCCGTCCCAGTCGTGGTGAGGGCCACAGAAGGCGTAGAGGTTGGGGCGGACGAGGTAGTGTTCTGAAACTGGCGGGGCTCAAGCCTGTGGTCGCCAGCGAGGTGTCTCGGCAGAACATTACCAGAGACTAGGCTGGCAATATAAAGTAGAAGAACTGGAGCGCCACGCATCTTGAATAGCGAACAAGTAGTGGGTTGTTCAAAAAAGAACGGTAAACTTTATGAATATTGTATATGTTCCTGGGGAAAGAAAAAGACCGGAGGAACCTCTGCGGAAGAGGTCCTAGAACAAGTGATGTGATGGACCAAAAAATATAAAAAGAAGGGAGGATGTCAGACCGACTTATATGTTGGCTCCCGGAACCATCTTCCTGGGGGTCGATTGTAATATTTCGTGGATCAGTAGGTGAGCTTGGCTTGGTTTTGATGGTACGAGACTCAATCCGTACGACTTTGTTCTTCATGCGATCCACGTAAATAAGTGGAACTCAGCTTCCCAAGCCGACTAGACCTATCATGGCAAAATGATCCACCGACTCTTTCATGTACCTGAGGGGACGAAGCTGGACAGCTCGGGTAACCGGGTCTCAATGCAGGGCCGATGATAGCACCAGCGCACGCACCCGGTTGGCTCGGCGATAGATCCTTGATGTTGGCCAATGGATTTTTTCCATGTTTTTGGAGGAATGTTTGGGTCGCTCAATGGAAGTACCGGGATAATTGCTGCCAACGTCAATGTTTTTGGAGACAGAAGTTGAAGTGGAACAAAACTCGAGGTCAGCCAATTATACACAGCTGATCTTGGCATATGTAGCTGATGTAGGCTCGAGCAAAAATCTTTTTCCGGGAGGGGGTGGATATGATGAGGAGTGGAAGGAGTGCATGGCATCCATGTCAATACGTTTGGTTTCTGCTTTACACTGTTAGCTTCCACCGTCACCATGAAGACCGAGCGGCCAAACTCAACCACGTTTCTGGGTCAAATTAGAAATTGACCGTCACCAGACCAAAAGCCTCGGGGGGAAGTTGTCAGAGATCAGATAGGTTTCATGAGTTTCTGGATATTTAGTGTTATGTGGGGAAACCTCGCGAATGAGAAGCGCCACGGCAGTCTTACTCCGGTACCTTTTAGTTCATACCGGCTCTAGTGCTGAGCTTCTTTGAGTTTAGCGATCCATAACGGCAGGGCGAGACATCTCTCCAAAAGCATCCGGGAATTATGACATCCATGCATGGGCCAAGAAGGGTAATTCGTCGGGTTCAGGGTCCTTGAAGTGGGCCATGATGATGCATGCCACGAGTTCCTGCAGTTCACTTCCCCTCAAAGTAGCATTAGAGTCTCGCAGGGTGGATCCGCGGCTCACGTATTTTATCTGGAATTTAATTGGACGTGATGATCCAGTTCCTTGAGGTGCCTAACGCAAGTAACGTTACATGGCACCAGGGCGGTTATCCTGGTATTGATCCTTGGAACGGAACCATTTGAACATAAACAGTAACGGGGGACAAAGAGATTGAATTAATAAGCGATCAAGAAGAGACATCCATAAGGACTGCTCTTAGAATAGCCAAATAGCTTCGCTCTGGAAGCGAGTTAAACTTAGGTGCGCTCAGGTACAACAAGTTGGAGCGGGGTCGATAAGTGAGTATCGAGTGGATGGTGACATAGATAGTGCACATGTGAGATGTTATACCCGTCCACAAAAGTCGGTATAAGGGATTATGTCATTAGGTACTAAGTTTGCCATGTTGTTTTCCCTTTTCCCTTTTCCCTTTACCCTTTTCCCTTTTCCCTTTTCCCTTTTCCCATCATAATATTCAGATACGTTACTATAAACAATGGTCCAGTGTTTGAAAATAGCTGGGGTTCCATGGTTATACAGCTTGTGTGTAATAATAATTCCAAAGTTTTGGTTGGCCCAGGGATAATGACTGATGCCCTCCAGTCTCCTAAACATTGGGATTCCAACCGGTCACACCCGGAAGCTGTCACGAAGCCGTCCGGGAAACCATGCCGATGGATGCAAACTGGTCATTGTGGGAACTGAGTATTCCAGTCGATGATATCTAGTAGCACTGCTTCTCACATAGGGCTCAACGGTGTACAAAGTGAGTACCAGGAAAGGAAGGAAGTCGAGAAGTAATAAAAAAGAGCCAAGGTTCATGTGAGGGGGTCACGTAGTCTCTCAGGGACCACTATGTCTCAGTTTATAAAGTAGAACAGGATTACTCGGCTTGTGGTCTTAAACTCTCCTCAGGGCACACTCCATGTGCTTCACTGAAATGAGCCACATTGTCCGTTACAATGCGAAAACTCTAGAGAGATCTTGTCTTATTCCAGTAGCAATCAGTAGCGATACCAATGAGTCCGACTCAAAGCGTCCTAGGAATGATGCCATGAGAGATTCATACCCGGGTCAATAGCCGATACTTCCGGAAGGGGAGCGTCATATTGCATACTATGTAGTATGATAATATAGTCTTTTGGTGACAGCTCTACTTAATCAGAGTCATCGTCAGATCCACTGCTCCAACCGGTCTCGTAGGCTTCTCTGATCTCGCCCAACCCATTCATCATGGCCTCCCGCTCTTCGACCGATAGCATGCGGGCGGTGGTGGCCTCGATAGACTTGATTTTATGGGCAGTCCGGGTTGAAGAGGTCAATGCGGCAAAGACATCAAGTCCTTTGCTAGACTGGGAAATTGGATAGAGACCATGCGGGAAACTGTCGAGAACAGGCATACGAAGTGGAGTATGATAGCTAAATATTTTACTCCATTAGAGAATTGAAAGTGAGACAAGGGTCAGAGACATGGAAACATACCTTTGAAGCATTGCTTCCGAATTGTACAGTCGTAGTTTACGGACGTGGCCAAGGTCCTCTTGTCCTGATTCAGTAGACTTTCCACGCTCGTGTCCGCGTGTCACCTGAACCTGGTTAAAAATATGCGCATTCTTGCCATCATCCTCACCGTAGGTGAAGTCAATATCAAACTCAGATTGGGCTTTGGGCCTTCCATCTTCTTCCGCTGAAGATTTATCATCACTATCCTGTGGATTGATGGAACACTGTAGCTCATAGATCGTGTGCCTTCCGTCATCACCAGCCAAGGAGGCTTCAAAATCGTGGTAGGGTCGTAGACGGGACGGCAGGGTGACAGTCTCAAGAGCGGAGCTAATCAGAGCGGTAGTCTGCCATCGGGATTGACGGTCCACGTTGAGGTAGCCTGGAAGCCTCGATGGAATATCAACGATCGGCACATAAAGACTGGATTGTGGCGAAATTGAGTAAAGCGACTTGGCCTTGTTGACGTCTTTTTTCATTTGTTGATGCTGACAAAAAAAAGATCAGTATCTCCATCTCCCTGTTGTACAATATCTGGTCAAACAAACCCGTTGAACGCGAGCTCCATCTTCAATGGCCCACACCCATACGCTCTTCTTCCCGTACTCATCTCGCAAGCGGTCGATGTATCGGGCTGCAAATCCACCCCAGGCGTCATCAGCTCCGGTAAATAATTGCAATGCTCGCATCTGATCACATTCCTCCGCAAATGGCCGAACATCTCGGTCAAGCAGATCGTGTTCCTTATCAAGATCGTTGAAGAGCTCTTCACCAGCATTCCAGTCCTCGAAGGGCATGATCTGAGAATTCAGTTCATACTCATTCAGTTGAACAATGGATCTTGGATGATAGAAAACCCTGTTGTAGTCGGACCAGTATCGAACAGTCTCCGAGGTCAGTCGTGGTGCAGGGGTGCCCAGCTCTAAGCTCTTCTGATATTCACTGGGCAGAATAGGAGTTTGTTTTTGTACAACCTCTGCGCCATCCCTAATTAGAGGTCAGTTCAGAGCAGTCGCTGGTAATGTGATAACATTGACTTACCAAAGGCCCTGGCCGCTTACAGCTTCGTCGGTCATTTCATAAAGTGCATTGTACTTCCGGAGAGTTCCAAACCCGCCTTTTAGATCATAAATGACAGTTCGAGGAGTGTAGGTTTCCGAGCCATCCGCCCCAACACCAGGACGGAAATGAACATCGTGATCAATGGGAGTGTCCTCGCTCTCATTATAGGTGAAATAAGATTCCTATTCATAGATCAGAGCTTGAAAACACAAAAAAAGTAACTATTGGCATAGTACCTGAAGATTCCAGAAATGTGTTGACAAGTAGTTGGCACGCTGGCCTAGTTGTAATGTGATGACCTCGTGCATCTCGAAATATCGTTGAGCCTTTTACTCGATAATCGCTTAATCGTCAACTTCTGAATGCGCGTGGCATTTGATGCCGCACAGATTCATGATTCTCCCCGCGCTAATCCAGATTTGGATGACACACCCACACGTGATGGTTTGCCCCGTGATAGGCAAACATGACTAACCTGAATGGGATAGGGTTGTCTGGTGTCCACGGCAACGGTCACGTGACTCACACGAAAAGGGCAATAAACATGGATCATGTGGGTGCGTCACTCCCTAAACTTCAACGGTGATTTTCTCTCGTGAACCACCTTTCCTCCCAACTTGCACTCATGATCGCCTAGCACTGAAAACGGAAACTTATATCCCGTCGACACTATCCGCGATGGAGTCTCCAACGCGTCCAGTCCTCTGTCCCACCAAAGCGCTTAACCCGGTATCGCCAGAACGCATGAATCAACAAACCATCCCCGCGTCTCCCTCCCTGCCATCAGAACTATTATCACTACACCACAAAAACATCAAAGGTGTGTCAGAAGTACAGGCAAAAGTGGCATTTTTGAATAGCCTCGCTCGAGCGGGCAGCCCAAGTGCCCAAGCACAAGCAGCAACAAATAATGCAGCGCTACAAAGAGCGATCCTCGGCCGAGAGGAAGCAGAGTCCGCCCTCACATCAGCCCAAGAAGAACTTTCCGATGCACAGTCACGAGAACGCCGAATTAGTGAGCGACTTGAATCATTATTAGAAGAACTCCACGGCACGAAGGAACGACAAGCCCACGAACGATCGATTTTCGAGAAAGAAATCCGCAAGGCCCGGAAAGAAGCCTTCCGTGCAGGCTCAACCCTGGTCAAGCTGCAAGAAGAGCTCAAACATGCCAAATCCGAAACGAAAGCTTTGAAAGACGAAGTCGCCACTGAGCGGGAGGCCAAGGACCACGCGAAACAGGAGGCATTCGAACGCGCATACGCTTTAGCTGGGCTCACCGAAGAACTGGAGGTCCTCAAGGGTAAACTTCGATCAATGGAAGCAGCCAATCACTCCAATAAACTAGAAGCTCGAGCCCACGAGATTCGCAAGGAAGACTTTGGTCGAATGTCCTTGGCAGAAGGTGATCTTGCTTTTTTGACAACACCACGCCGACCGAAGCGAGCTGCGGCAGACTCAATAAGATCCTCCGCTCAAGAAAGAGAACCTGAAAATTTTGCCGAGGCCACTCCTCCGAAGCGACTACGTCTATCAGAGGCTACATCTCCTGTTGAAGAACATGTCGCGAACGTCACTGCACCGACAGAACTTGAAAGTGAACTTATAGACGAGCTTAAGGACGAGCTTTACTTTGAACGTCGTCAAAGAGTCCAGGCTGAAGAAATGGTTCATTTCCTGAACATTGAATGCCAGTTTGAGAGATGCTCTTGCCGAGTCGCCGAGAAGGAAGGCCGCCGATTCATCTACGATGTTGAATACTATGAAGAGTTCCAAAAGCCACAATTGGAAGCAGAAGTGAAGGCAGCAGCCCAGGCCGAAGCAGCAGCGCAAGCAAAAGCAGAGGCGCAAGCAAAAGCGGTAGCTCAAGAAGCGGCGGCAGCCCAAGCGAAGACAGAGGCAGCAGCCCAGGCAACAGCTCAAGCAGCGGCGGCAGTCCAAGCAAAAGCAGAGGCACAGGCAGCGGCAGCAGCCCAAGCAAAGGTAGAGGCGGTAGCTCAAGCAAACGCGCAGGCCCAAGCAGAGGCGGAGGCCCAAACAGCGGCTGAGGAAGATGCAGCTCGGCGAGCCCAGAAATCTTACCCTGCACCCGATTTTAGCCATACCCCTTCTGTGGAACCTCCTGCCCCTCCTCCACACCGACACGGCATGGATTCGGAAGCAAAAGTGAAGCACGAACCAACGGAACCGCCTGAGAAGATGCCCATGCCCGAGGAACCCCTGGTGACTTTTTCACCGGAGACAGGCACTTTTAAGACGTTCCCATCACCAATTCGCGAAAATGCCAGACCCCCACCTAGACGGGCCGATGACTTCGCCTCTCCTAGTCTTCCATACCCTCCAGTTCGACCGCGTGCCGAATGGAGGGAATCATCCTCCTCAAGCGGCCATGTCCGTTCTTTTACTCCAATAGATGAACCTAAATCGTCTAGAATGGCGAACCATGCTCCATCTGAGCCGGCTTTGAATGAGAAAACCCACACCCACACCCACACCCACAACCACGCATCCGCCGAAGTCAGACCTACAAGAACTCGGGAGAGAGATGATCCTCATTCCCAACCAACCACCACCACCACCACCACCAAAAGGGTCCCTCTTCGTGAGCCAAATGCGCCACAGAACTTGTCTTTTCTCCCAGACCAGCCAATAAACCGTGAAGAGGCGCTTGCACAGATCAGAGCCAGACGCGGTAGGGCACGCAGCAATGTGCGCTCAGTTAGCGCAAATGAAGCAACCGGTCGGTCCGCAGGTTCTGCAGGAAGCACCGCCATTACTCCTGGTCGAGGTCCTCGACGTATCCCAAACCTCCAAACACAATCTTCAAGAAGTGAGAATGACGTCGTCGAACGCCGGGATTTGAGTGCCCCAGTCCGTATGTTCCGTCGGTAAATCTGACCCGCGTGGTTAGCCAGAATGTCTTGCGCATATGAATTGTCATGTCTATTTGATGTCTTTTGTTTTTATTATTCTGTTCAGCCGATGCCTGGCTTTACACTGCGAGATACCCCGGCGCAGCTGCATCTAATCGTTTACGCATTTTTGAGTTAATTTTTATGATTTTCAACTTGGTTGCTTTTGCACGGCAGTGCAATACCATACTCTTAACTTCATTTTTTGGAGTGTGAGTTCCAAGGTTCAGTATGTACTAAACAAGTTCACCTACTTATACCTACATACCATGTACCGGCACCACCCGTTCTCGGATACTTCTATCTACTACATTTACCCACCACTCCTTTGATATTTCCTATGTTCGCATGAAGTTATTCATACCAATCAAAACCAGTCAACTAGTGGTCTTTATCATGTCCTCCACATTATACATACAAAATAATAACCCACCCAAAGAACATGGGTTCGCCTTGAGTTTTGAACATTGAATATTTGTATCACTCAAGTGCTCCCAGGTGCCTGCACATGTGTAACTAGCACTGGTATATTGATCCATCAATTAATTGATAGACATTGGTTCAAGAAGTAGTGCTACATACATCCATAAATATGTAATACATGTACAGTGCACATGTGTATGTGCATCACCATCCATCTTGATGCATTCAGAAATCGATTTCACATGTTGGAAATTAACCTTGGAAAATTGAAAATCGCCATTACACCATGCCAGATCCATATCTGGACAATATGCAGGATACAACAGGTAAACATAGATAAGAACAGATACCAGAACATAAGAACATGAAAAGCAAAATATCAAGGTATAGGTGACATAAGATATATGAAGGCCGCAGTTCTACAAGATCGAGATGCCACAGCACCTGATACGAGCACTATCAACATACGCCGAGCGTCCCCACCAAAGCGAGACAAGCTCCTCAACGAAAATCCGATCAGTGGCGCTCCACACGTCCAGACTCATCTCCGCCATATCGGCAACAGTAATGGCAATTGGATCTTCTGCATCTTGTGTACTATGCATTGAGTCGCACTCATGGGGACCGGAGGAATGAGCATTTGATCTCTGACGTAGGAGGGGAGTTTCACCATCATCACTGGGGATAGATTGTCGGGAGTGGGAGAGAGAGATGTCTGCCTCGTCTTCGGCGGGGTCGTCAAGGTAAGGCGTCTCGGCGTATGTATCAGTTTCGCCATCATGATCATGGCGAGCAATAGCACCAGCAAGGGTGTAGAAGATTTGGGTCGTGAGGCGACGGAAATAGGCTACCAGCGCGACTTCCGGCGGCTCCTGGCCTTGGTCGTCATAGTGGCTAGAGCGGCGGCGGGTAGAGCCCGGGCCAGGGTATGCAAGACTTTCCACACTTGCCAGAAGTCGGGCATCTTGTTCGATTTGTTGTTCTTCTTCTTCATCAGAAAGGCCATCGCGGTTCTCGCCGGCAGAGGCCCACCAGATGAAAGATGTGTAAGCGAGTCGGGTCCAGGAGAGAGGTTCCACAATTTTACTTGAAGAGTACGTTGAGTCAGCGTCAGACCTGTCATCTGAGTCTGATCGGTCCTGAGAGAATCGACGTAGGCCTTTGCGGAGCATGGCATATTTACGAGCGTCGCGTTGAGTGGCCTTGAGTTGGACTGCCTGGTTCGAGTTGTGCTTGGTGCTTGATGGGTCCATCAAGCTGATGGTAGGGAAGACTCGTTCAGCGCCTTGCAGTGACTGTGGCGCGGGGAGGGTAACGAGAGCATCATAGAGCTCTGGTTTCATGGTCAGAACAGTATCAGTCGAGCAAGCAATCCAGCTAGGATCTGTCACAGGATCCAGAATTGCTCGAGATGGGTCGAAGGAAGAAAGGAAGGGGATATCATGGATGCCGACATTAAAGAGAGGGCGGGGTCGCAATGGCGGAATGCGATCAGTCGGGAGTGTCTGTAGAAGGGAGTTTGGAAGAGATGCCAGCAGTGATAGATCGTAGACTAAATTTGTGTGAGTAAAGCCTCTGTAATGTGGAACAGGGACGGATGGGAGAATTACCATAATTGCACGGTGTATGAACTGGTGCTTCATTCATGAAGAGAATGCGTTTTCGCAGAAGTGCGGCCCTATACAGTGGGAAAATCAAAGGTCCAAAGCAGTCGAGGAAATCGGGAAGTGAGGAAGCAGGGTGGAAAGGCGTCAAGGCCGGCCTGAGCGTTTCCAACACCATCGCATCACTAAAGGCGCGATTGCGATTATCTGGACGATCCTCCGGTCGGAACCTAAGGCTCAAAGGTGATTCAACCGGCGATTCCACTGGCGCAGCTTCTAAACCTCCCAATTGAAAAGCGTCCCAGTAGTCTGATAACGGCTGCATGTCGGACATATCCGCGGCGTATTTCCTATGAAACAGGAATGTTAGTTGGGCGTGTGACCGCAGTTGTAGTTTCTTCCAAGCTTACAGCGCCAATTCCTTCAGTTTGGGAGCATGCCTCCAGCTCTTTCCGAGTCTCCCAGAACTGAGGGGTACCAAAACTCCAATGGCAAACATCCTAGCGTTGCGCTCTGCCTCAGCAGCAGGGCGATTGAGGAACGCGCTGATACCGGCATGCTGGTCGTGTACGAAGTACCTGGAGCAGAAAGTTCAGCGCGAGTAGAGTAACAGGTTCATAGACGTCATCTCCTTACACTAGGTCCTCTGCGACGTTGTGCAGCCCCGAAGGGAGCGACTTGTATTCCACGACTCCTTCGACCTCGACTATTGGACCAGTGTTAACTCCGCGCCACTAGAGGGGTAATTCAAACCGGGGGTATGCTTCTTGCTTACCTCCCGGGGCGGCTCGTTTCCACGACACCACATATCTGTAATGTATGGGCGTATATTAGCGACATGCCCCTCCTTGCTCCAAGCTTCCAGGGGATTATTCCTTACCCGGTCCGAATGTCGAAGGAGATGACGAACAGTGCCGCAATTCCCGGGGGCGACTCCATTGAGGAACGCGAGAGGTCGATATTCAAGGGCTTTTGAGTCGCATCGGATGCCATGGGGGAGAAAGTAAAAGGCGGGTCGCCATTTAAGCAGTCGGGGAATCACGGTACGAAGCTGGGGGGGGAATCGAGGAACTTGGGGCCAAGCAATTCCCAGCTATGTGATGGCCCAGTCACGTGTGGATCTGATTCCCCCAACCTTAAGTACAATACTTTTGAGAGTCGATTAGTATATACTACTAGTAAGTTGCATAAGTTTTCATTTCATGACCATCATCTTTCTATCACCCATACTACTAATCTTAACCTGATGGTTGAATAGCCTCGGCTTTCTGCATTGATGCTGTCTTTCAATTGGTCTAGCACTGCAGATCCACTATGCGACCATACTTCCGTAGATGGATCAGAATCCAAGGAAAACAAAACATTCCTCATAAAAAGGTGGGCCGATTATTCAGCTTTTCATTTCCTCAATTTGAATTGAATCTTACTTTAGATTGGAGGATCACACCAGGATCAGAAAACAAGCTTTTTTTTTGGGACATTCAAAAGGACAATGCTGGGTGGCTCCTCTCACCCTTACTATCCCCTCGGGGCCGACATTGTCGGCTATTCGCCCAACCAAACCCCTGTTCTGGAGCTATTGGTGGCTATGGGTGGAGGATGTACAGTTCTTCTCGGATTGACCTTTGCAATGGCCAGTTTCGTGCGACCAACTCTTCGCATGGCGGATAGAATTGCCATCTTGTGGTTTGTGCTCTGTATGACTCCACCAATGTCCGAACCAAGTTGAAGGGAATGGGGCTGATCATATTGATTTAGCTGGGACTCTGCATTGTTTCTTTGAAGGGTATTTCGTGCTGCATCATGACCATATGGCCTCAGCCCAGGATTTATTTGGGCAGTTATGGAAGGAATACGCACTGTCGGATTCCCGCTACATGACCTCAGACACACTGGTGTTATGTATGGAGACCATTACCGTGGTGAGTGGTCACCCCGATCAGGACCAGACCGGGCTTTCCGAGGCTTTTATCCACTGACCAAGTAACTACCCAATCCACCAGCTCCTGTGGGGGCCCCTCTGCTTCGTTGTTGCATATCTGACCGCAACCCGGCACTCATTGCGCCACCCGCTACAAATAGTTGTGTGCATGAGCCACCTTTATGGCGATACATTATATTATGCTACAAGTCTGTTCGATCACTACGTTCACGATCGACCGTATAGTCGACCGGAAGGTTATTATTTCTGGGTGTATTATTTCTTGATGAATTTCATCTGGATCGTGATACCTTTTTGTCAGTCTCCACCATGAAATCAAGAGAGAGAGAGAGAGAGAGAGAGAGAGAGAGAGAGAGAGAGAGAGAGAGAGAGGAAAGGCAGGAAAGTTGCTGACTTGAAAATAGATTATCTCGTTAACAGTATGCGGACCCTCTCGACCGCCATGAAGAGACAGCAGGGGTCAGCCGAGAGAAAAAAAGCCCAGTAACACCTCTTCCGTCATAGCCGCATGTGAGTAAGTGGGGAAAGATTTCATTCTCAAAGTGGGATAGCACAAGTTCGTGCTCGTGAGTCGTTCTGGTCGAAATTGAGATTCAACGGGGGGGTTTTTTTCTCTACATCAGCCATAAGATGCATAGATGTGATGGCCACGAGTAAAAGAATGGAACTAGAGGCTACAGTCTGCTAGGGTGTTAAATAGTGTAAGAATATCCGTACATAAGAATAGATAGTATTATGATATTGGCCACACACATTAATCCATAATCTCCATAATGGAAGGGGGTTTTCCAATCATGCATTCAAGTCCAACTTTGTCCAACTCCATAATCAGACAGCTATGACGCCCAATGCACATAGAGACACCGTACATGCGCAACCGGGATTAAAATACTCCCTGAAATCTCCGGCCAAAGGGGTGAATCTAGTTCCATTTTTTTTTCTTTTTTTTTTTTTTGTTCTCTATCATTCTCTCTATCGCTTTTTATTTAAATTCAAGGTTTCTTACCCACATTCTTACATCTCAAGCTGAGGGTGATAATTGGCGACGCCAAGGCCATCAAGGCCCTTGTTCAGCCCCGGCTTTGATGAATTAATAAAAAGAAGAGAAAAAAAAGGGCGAAAAAACCACGCAGCAAAGCAGTGTGCACCGGATCAAATCACACGGTCAAAGATCAAAAGATCAAAAGATCGCCTTGGAGTCCTTGCAGACCAGCTTGCAACCAAATCATAGGTCAGATCCGATCGGCGCGTGGTTTCCCCGGCAGCAGAACTAGTGCGGGAGTTTGGGCTTATCGTCGATCAGCGTCTAATCGCCTTGTTTACATTCCCCTCGAACGTGTTTGACAGCCACCAAGGGCCCCAAGGTTAAGAGAAAAAGCAAATGCTGCTCTTCATTCTGCGACTCTAGGCCATTCAGTGTCTGTGTGGTTAGTGACATCTTCATTTCCCCAGCCCATGACGAAATATCCCCAAAAAAAGAACAACACATTCCCTTTTTCAGCCCGTCGCGGTCAAATAATCAAAGTCGAATATCGCCATATACCCCTCTGTCCCGGAAATTAATGCATTCTTGGGTTTCACAATAGACATCGATGCCGTCTCCTGCGACCCCGCATCGTCCCAAGACTGGGGGGAGTGCCAAACCCACTCCAACGAAACCACTGGATATTGGCCTCCCGCTCGGGGTCCACGATACAAACACCGTTCGCGCAAGAGTGCGCAACTGGCAACAACAAGGAGGCGGAGTGATCACGATCGACGATGGATTGTACGACGATGAAGAAAATGACGAGAACGAGAAAAAAGCCAAGCCTGCGCCCAAATCGATAAAGCCAAAGTCTGATGCTGGGAAGGACAAGGAGAAGGAGAAGGAAAAGGAAAAGGAAAAGGAGAGGGAAAAGGAAAAGCCGGCAAAAGTAAAGATGACAAAAGGCCCCATGGGGCAGACAAGGAAGCGCAGTCACAGCACTCCGCGCAAACGAGTTATTAGCGATGAACACTGGAGGAGGAACCGATCAACTACCTCGGTAGGACAAACTTCCACACGCAACCTGCCGGCTCCCAAGCGCATCAATGAATACACTACAAACGAAGATGCGGGATCGGGAAAGAAAGACAACCCCAAAGGTGGTCTCCTCGAAAAAAGCCGAGATACCCCGCGAGCGGCAGTGAAAACGCCGGTCAAGGAATGGAAGTCGGCTCCTCGCAAAAGGCCCGACTCTGTGGTGGAAAGCGACTGGGAGACAGAGGCGGATCGGCCCAAATCTGCCATCCGGTCGGAGGTGTCGGAGAAGCAAAAGAGACAATCGCCACCACCTGAGGATGCGGCAGAATGGGCACGCAGCGAGGCTGACTTCTCAGAATTGTCACGGAGGCGCGCTCGAGGCCATCCACAGATACCTAAAGGAGGCATATTTGCACAGATGCTGGACGAGTCTAGGAAGATGTTCACGATACCCAAAGTGGAGCCTCCAAGACCTCCACCAACGGCAAACCGAGGCGCGAAGATCGAGGCTTGGTTAACGGATACACCGGATCCTTTCTTGGATGATGCTCACAGAATTGATATGCCTGGTCCGCTGGATATCAAATCAGCACGAGAGAGACGATCCAAAAGAGTGGTCAACACAGACACTGCGAGTAGCCTGACCTCCGACACGATAGCAGAAAGTGAGCCTCGCCCCAAGAGCTCTCATAGCCGAACTAAAGAAAAGGATCGCCGTCCATCAAGCGATAGGCAACGCAAGATTGAGATTGTTTCAGCACCTAGGCGAGCAAGTGTCGACAAGTCCCGCAAATCTCCAAAAGCCAAAGTCGAAAAACATCTACGAGAGTCGCTATACGAGGACAGCCTTGCGACATCCGAGTCCGAATTCCAAGCAGAGTCAGAAATATCCGAGGTGTCGGCAAACAATGCACCCGTACCTCTAGGTCTTAGCAAGCCATTCCCAAGTACCGGGCACCGCCGTCTATCGACAATCGCTTCAAGCGAAGCTTCGAGCACCCTTCCAGAGGGATCATCCATGTCAGCTCCATCGGCCCCAGAGAAGAATACGGCCAGCATCTCAAACCGCGAGTCCAAGCCCACGGAACAATCTAGACCCACAGAAGAAGCAGAAGAGGCCGCAGAAGAGAAAGATCAGTTTGATCCCGATTCCCTTCCTGTGGTTTCATCACAGCTGAAACGTCGACTCACAAACCACAATGATCTCATGTCTGTTCTCTCGGTTCCTGCATCCAGAAGTAGAAGCATAAGGTCAGCTCGCAGTATTCGGACTAATAAAAGTCGACTGGCTAGTGCAACAATCCCCGACCTTCTGGCTGAGCTGTCCGCCGATGAGGCCAAATATATGCGAGAACTGAAGACTCTTGTCGGCGGTGTCATCCCTGTCCTTCTGACATGTGTTCTTTCACGCTCAGATTCAGCCATCGCCGCTGGCCTGTTCCGTCCTTCGCTGGATCCGAAGGACGATTTGAACTTTTCTAAGCCAATTGTTAACATGGGTGTTGCTGTCGAGCGCCTGAAGACATTACACAAGCGCATTCCTCAGAATGACACAGACGCCCTGCTGACTTGGGCCCAGGGGGCGCAAAGAGTGTATAAGGAGTACCTCAAAGCCTGGAGACTTGGTTTTAAAGATGTCATTGTCAATCTTGCTCCCCTTGAAGAAGACGAGGACAACGAAAATGCCGAGACAAAGAGTCTCGATGAAGGCATGGAGAGAGATGAAAATGGGGATGTTGTGGATTCTGATGGCGACAAGGTTGATGTGGCCTACCTATTGAAGCGCCCCTTGGTACGACTGAAGTATCTTGCCAAGAGCTTCAAAGGTATTAATACTCTGAACCCGTCACCAAAGGCCGAGGAAATCGCGACCGCCTACCAGGCTCTCGTGCTCGATGCTCGTAAGCGAGCTCGGGACGAGAGGGCGAGACTTGAGGACGAGTCTGCTGCTAGCATTGACTCAACTCGCGCGAGAGATCCCATGACCTTAGGAGTCGCTCGGAATGTTGTCGTTGACCGCACTCGGCGTGTCCGGGCTCGTGATTTCTTCAACTTCTCACTGTACCATTCCAGTGGCCAAACGGTAGACTGCCGAGCAGAGCTACTGTACCGAGACAATGTTTCCGGAAATGGATCTGGAGGGGACTTGATGATTTGTGAGATTGATCATTCAGATCGCTGGCTTCTTTTCCCGCCTATGGACCTTCGATGTGTCTCAGCTCGTAATGGTGAAGCTGGCGAGATTGTGCTCATGCTTCGCAGTGCCCCCGAAGAGGAGAAATATTGGCAGGAACTGATCTCTCTTCGCATCGATGACTACGAGATCGGTGTAGAATGGGTTTCGCTGCTAGGCTCCGATCCTATTCCCCCATCCATTTTCCGGAGCCAAAGCTTTATCAGCCGAGCAAAGCAACATAAAGCGCGCAAGTCTTCTGTCAGCGACTCCCCGCCTCGAGTCAACCTCAATGATGTTGAAATTCCAATTGGCGAAAGACGACGCTCTTTCACTCCCAAAGAGCAGTTTTCCGAGCCGAGCACTGTCAGCTCTTCCGCCACTGATACAAGAAGCTCCATGTGCTCTGCAGTGACCCGTGAAACGGACTACACTACAGGAGGCTCCGAGCTCTCGGTCAAGCCGCCTCGCTCCGCCTTGCAATCTCTGCCTTCTCAGAACAATGCAGATAGATCCTCTAATGGGTTGAAAAGATCAAAGGCAAAGAGACAGTCGAGATATGGTGATAGTCCGGCTTCAGAGGCGCCGTCCCCCCAGACGATTGTTGAGGAGCCAGTGCAGGTCGCGGAGTCCACACCATCTAAAATTAGGTACTATGGTGAAGGTAGTGATGTTAGCCAAAACACAGCTTCCCCCAAGCCAAAACCCAAGTCTGCGTCGAAGATCCCACAGCCCAAGACCCCACGAAAGCAGGTGTCTCCAGAGCCCGAATCCCCTCGCGTATCATCAGTGCCCTCGGCGCATCTGCCCCAGATTCCTAAACTTCGGACTCCCAGCAGCCAAACCCACATGTCAACACCGAGCAGCCTTGGTGTCGACGAGGAGGAAGATTACCCTGCTCTGGAATGTCTGCCAACTCAAGAGCTCCCCGAGACCCCTACTAAGTCCCGAAGAAGAAAATCTCGTCACAAATCGACTCATCACGATGATGCACCTCCTCCTCCACCACCCCATCGCTCACCGAGCTCCTCCACAGGAAAACTTTCCAATAGCCCTGTTCTCAGTCCATCAGGTGTTCGACTTAAGCGCAGGGGCTCTTCGCCATTGAAGCACGAATATGAACCCTCCACGGCTTCAGATTCCTACACGGAGTCTGATTCTGATGCATCAACAGTGCGCCATTACAGCTACTCCTCATCGGAATACTCGAGGTCCGATTCAGAGGATTCTTACTCCTCGGCCTCAGACTCCGACTATGAAGAAAGTGATATTAGCGAGCTTCCCAAGCCAAGGCGCTTGGAGTCCGGTACTTCTGAGGCAAGCTCCTTATCTCCTTCCAATTCGGCATCACAAAGCGGGTATCGGACTGTCCCCTTACAACCTACCAAGTCTTCAAAAGCCACCGCATCCATTTTTGCGTGGTCGGACAAGGGAAGTTGGGAAGCTCTTCTTCCTGACGAATGCAGTATAACGATTAGCCCTGGACTCATTGAAGCGTTCAAGATGAATGCCGACTCTCGATCAAAGCCACTCATCTCTATGGAGCTCACTCCACTCGTCCCCATCCGCCGGGGTACAGCCATCGACATTAGCATTCGTTCACCTCCTACTCATCGTTCCAAGATCACATCCAGCAACAATATAATGTTCCGGTCTCAAAACCCAGATGACTGCGATGCTTTGTATGCCCTCATCAACCAAGCACGCATTAATAACCCAACCTATATTGCTCTTCAAAACGCCCGTGGGCCCTTGAACGACACTGTCCAGACCTTTGAGCCCGCCACCAAGTCTGGCGGAAGCTGGTTTGGCTTCCCCCGCCGCAGAAGAAGCTACCGGGCCTCAAATAGCTCCCCGCGTTCCCTCGCCGAGGGCTCCGAAAGCAGTGTCGGAACCATGAGCAGTGCCTTTTCCGCCCTGAAACGTTTTGGTGGAGGAAGTAAGATGTTCAACATTGCCCGTTCAACAGTCAGCTCCCGCACCGGTCGCGAAGGAAGCATCTACTCCGGCTCCGGCGACTCTGGCGAGACCCCCTCAGGATCAACCGGCATTGACCGTATAGCAGCTGCGATCAAGGGTGCCGACGGAATTGGCCTTTCAAACGCCAAGATCCGCATCTACCTTCGCGAATCAGCTTCTAAGTGGCGCGACATGGGTGCTGCCCGCCTAACAATCATGCCCGCTCCACCTAAGAACCTCTCTCGCCCTGGAACAGCCGTCAGTGGCCGCAGCGAGAACAGTGCCTCGCCCGCCGATGGAGAAAATTCCCCTACCAGCTCCGGAGCGGCAACTCCACGCGCCGACGTTGAGTCCGAAAAGCGGATTGTTGTTCGAGGCAAGACGCGTGGTGAGATCTTATTAGATGTCTGTCTTCCCGAAAGCTCATTTGAGCGGATCGCTCGCACCGGAATCGCCGTTTCAGTCTACGAAGAGACCAATGATGGCGTCGTCTCGAAGCAAGGTGGTGTGACGACGAGTTCTCAAAAGATCTTTATGATTCAAATGAAGAGTGAGGCCGAAGCTGCCTATACTTTTGGGCTTGTCGGTAAACTGCGGTACTAGTACCGCAGCCTGGCTAATTTTTGATATGATGTGATTGTGGGTACATGCGATATCAGCATTTGGGTCTGGTGCATGGCGGATGGGTGGTCATTTAACTGGGCGGTTTCCTTTCCTCTTTCTTTCCCTTCTTTCCTTATTCTTTTACTTTCTTGTCCTTTTTTTTTTTTTTTTTTTACTCTTTACCCCTATGATCATTCTAGATCTGCATGTTTTGTTTCACCACAATATTTTCTTATGTACATTTAGATGTCTTCTGGCCATATCTGATCCTGGCTTTTTGGTCATGTCTTTCCAATCAAGATCCCCTTTCCTATCTCCAGTCCGTTCTGTTCAAAGGAAATTCTTCTGCTCTGACTGCCTTCTTACATGATGTGCAATATCTCATTTATGTGTATTCTTCATAAATAATGTCATTGACTCTAACCTTGGAACATCGAAAGGTTCCTGTAGAAACATGCACATACTAGATCACGGGTCTGAAACTTCAGGCAGTTAGAACAGACGCATTCACTCACGTAGGTAAGCTTCAGCAATTGAAGTAGTGCATAGGTATTCGAGCATTAGACATCTAGTTTTATTTGTTTATGTAGTAGTAGTAAGGTGAGTATTTATCACGCAGCTTCGTTGGCAGGAGCCAGAGCACCTGCAGCTGTAGTGTCTTCACTTTCCACCTCGGCACCATTCGCCTTTTTGAAGATATAACCTATCCGATTACACTCATCCTTTAGCAAAGAAAGCAGGACATTGTCATCAACAATAGCGGCGAATTCATCTTCCTCTTCAGCACTAGTAAGAACAGAAGGGTCGATATGCGCATACTGTGCTAGAGACTGATGCATGGTATTTTTCTGTGTTCTGCCCCGCCGCGACGAGTCGCGGATAGCGCGCTCCTGGGCTTCCATGTCTACCTCGGAAGCTTTGACCAATTTTGGAAAATCAGGTTCATCGTCGGAGGGGGCATTACTTAACTCCGAAAGTTCGGGGTCATTCCCCTCATCTTCCCCATCGCCAGGCTTCAGATTAGGCGTAGCAGTGCCCGAGGAGGAAGACGAAATGATTCCCTTGCCACCGCACTCACAAGCCAGTAAATCGTGAGTCTGACAGCGGCTCTCCTCGTCAAGACGGAACAAGTCACGGAGCTCAGCAGAAGAGAATTGTGCGACGCTGTTCTTATGCTCCATGACACTATCTGCCAACCCAATTTTGGTTACCTGTCGCTGCCAAATCTTTTCTTCGAGGCTACCTTTCAGGATTACCCGGTAGATACGACAGTGGTGCTTCTGTCCATCGCGGTGAATACGGGCCATGGCTTGAATATCTGTCGCGGGATTCCAGTCGACGTCAAAGAGAACAAGACGGCTGGCGCCGATAAGGTTGAGGCCCATACCACCAGCTTTAGCAGAAAGCAAGAAAGCAAAACATTTGTCTGCAGGAAGACGGTTGAAGTCGTCCACCAAAGGTTGGCGTTTTTGGGTGGGAGTGCTACCGTCTAGGCGGAGGAAGGGCAGACCAAGGGAGCTCAGGAGATTCGCGAGAAGATTGAGGGTGGAGGTGTAATTAGAGACGAGAACGATCTTTTCGGTTGTATTTGTTCGCATGTTATCAAGGATTTGATCAAGAACTCGAATTTTCGCGCTAGCCGAAGGAGAGAAGTGGCGCATGAGGTTTGGGGGGAGAGAGGCGAGAAGGGCGGTTATAGTTTCACTCGGTGCATTGTTGTTGTTCTTTGCTGTGAGTAATGAGGGGCTATTGCAAAGTTTCTTCAGGATAGTGATCAACTGGAGAGCGCTCTCTGCATTGCCCATGGCGGACTGGAAGACAGGAGAAGCCAGGACGGCTTGGTAGATGTTGGCCTGGGAACGAGTTGGGTTACAGAATAGAACGTATTCTGTCTTGGGAGGGAGGTACTTGGCTAATATGTCTGCTGTCCTGCGGAGGATGAACTTGGAAGTAAGGTCCCGAAGCTCTTCGCTTCGAGATTCGCCCTTTTCGATCTCTTTTCTGGTGGCCTCTGGTTGTCTGCTGCGAACAATCGGTGTTTCAAACTCTCGAATAAAAGCCTTGAATGTTCCCAGAATTCCAGGATTCACGAGATCGACCGCAGCAAAAAATTCGCTAAGATCATTTTGAATGGGGGTGCCTGAAAGGATAACTCTTTTTGCGGCATTTAGAGACTGGATAGCCTGACCACTCTTGTTTGACAGGGTCTTCAGTCGATGACCTTCGTCTGCGATGATGATATCCACACCAGCGCCCTTTGTTAGACCCTCCTGGGCCGTCCTCAACTTCTCGTAACCCACAATCATAATGCTATATGATTTCCCCTTGGTGAAATCGGTTAGACGTTTCCGATTATCATCAAAGACGAAAACTCCAATCCGTTCGTTTCCGAGCCACTTGCGGAACTCCTTCCGCCAGTTGTTGATCAAAGTGACAGGGCAGACAATCAAAGCCTTCTTAATGACCGGAGGCGCACCGTAGATAGGATTTTGTTTTAACAGAGTCCATAGAAGAGCGATTGTTTGCAAGGTCTTTCCCATACCCATCTCGTCTGCGAGAATTGCTCCTTCGCCATTGAATGATCGCATTCCCATGACACATTCGTACAAAAACTGAACACCTTCTCGCTGGTGCGGGCGCAGACTCTTCGTCAACAGCGGGTCAACCACAACATCTACAATCTGCTTTCCATCGGGAACCGAGGCCGGTCGTGGCATAACCAAAGCTCCTGGTGCGTCCGGATCGTGGCGAGGGACCACCTTGATTGGATGGGTTGGTAGAACAGAATCATCAAGATATGGCTTCTTGTATGCACCGAATCCCGAGTGTCCTTTATTGTCCCCATCTAATACTGATGCGCCTCGCTTCAAAGATCCGGTCCGGCCTAGAGTCCTTGAGATTTGATCTTCGCTGTTTTTCAGCGCTGTCAATGGGGTTTTCCTCGAGCCCTTTGAAGTCTGTGTCGGCTTGGTAGCTTGCAAAACATTCTTCCCAGCTAAGTACTCCCTGCGAGGTATCTCAGAGTCAATCTCCACCTCCTTACCACCCACATAGAGCATCTTCCCTGGTTCGAGTTCACCCTCAAACCTCCCCCGTCCCATGTCTTTGCCTCCTACATCTCGCAGGGTGACAAGACCAGCGCGGGCAGTGAGAACACCGTCTCCATCCCATGTCTTGTTCTTCTTGGCGCTTGGTTTTCTCCTAATGTAAGAAAAAGCAATGTCAGATAGATACAATAACCAAAGAGGTTTTCATAGGACGTACCAAAGAGCGTTGAAGAACCTCTCATCGCCGAGCAGTTTGATAGGCTCAGGCGCAGGAGCTGTTTTGCCCCCAGACTCCGTCCCCACATTTCTGACTTGTTGTAGTGGCTTTCGAGGTTCCGACGGAGTTGGCCGCGTTTCGGTCACAGGTGCTGGGTCATCCTTTTTGAGGGGATTCTGAGCAGATATGTCTTGGGTTTTGGCCTCATCGGTTGTCTCTGGTTTCCTGATCAAAGGTGACTTGAAGGGCTTGAACACCATGATGTTTGGTGAAGACAATCCAGCTGATGCCAACCGATCAACGCGGATCGCCAAACACGCGACTCTCGACGCGCAGTCACATGACTGGGGGTTTTTTCATTATTAATTGAACAGTTGACTTGACTTCGGCTAACTTTCTCCGTTTGTCCCCGATTCAAGGGTTTTTTTGACTTTGGGATTTCCCTCTCCACTTTCTCCCGTCTCACCCGTCAATCCCGAAGTATTCATTGGTTGGATTGTTTGTCTCTCGCCTTGTTTTCATATGTGGCGGGCTTAAGCGGCTATGTACTTACTAGGTTTAACATGTTGATGGGCCCGCATTCTGTGGCTACACTATTGACGGTGGGGCTGGCTCGAAAATTCGAAGCATTACATCTATACGTTCCACGTGATTGACGGACACCAAAACAAACCAAACAAACAAACGGAGACTAACTCGGGATACGAGCTCACGAAACAAACAGTGATGGATATGAAATCGATGAATTGCGGGTTGAGGAAGGAAGAAGGAAAGAAGTTCCAACTCCTCCCCATCTTTCCTAAAAACTAGATTACATAATGCTGTATGAACTCGTTGTCGGAACCCGCGTAAAACAGTAATACATGTACTAGTAATGATGACACAGCCCAACCTTTCCTCCGAATTAGACACATTCTCCTCCACTCCGTTCCCTCTTGATTGCATTAGTTTTGGCGGAGGCTGCATCTACCTAGAATAGACACGGCAGCATTGCAACTGTACCTAGAACTGTACCCATTTCGGATCCCGTTTTTGGAACCCGGGCTGAATTCAGTTTTAGTTCACATTGAATTCAAATTTAATTTGTTAGCCAGGTAAAGGTGTACTACGAGGTACGGTACTAGTAGGGAACAGTATAATACAGAGTTGCGGAGGGCGGTCAGCTGTTGTTTCAAAATGGCGCGAGGTGGCACCTCCCCCCGTATCCATCGCCGAATCGGGAATCGGGAATAGTCATGCCGCGAGCGCTATCAACAGTCATCTATTCACCAAGCCAGAACGTTTCTTGCCATTCCAACGATTATTCCATCCATTTGCCAAAACATGGAGCCAGTTCAGACGCAGCTAGCTCGAGCTTCTCCAGCTTTATGTCAATATGCAGGAACATCGAACCCATCAATCCATCCCGACCGTCTGTCACTCGCCTATATGTCTCCATGGAACACATTCGCAACGGACGCTTACCAAGTGTTCCAAGAGGCTGACATTGCCCATGAAGTTCCGTTGAACGACGAGACGGAACTTTACACAGTCGGCAATGAGCTTGGTTTAACCGGGAGGTTTGTCCGTAACGTCTGCGACCCAGTCATCAAAGCCCTCGAACCGGTTCTAGGTATGGCGTCAATCCGATTTGCCGATTTTCAGGCAATCTCCACCCCAGAAGCCACTATCCCAGACGTATGTTTGGGGCTCATTGCAACCAGGCCTAGACCTAATAATGTTCATCTGGTTGGAGAAATGAAAACGCCTTGGACCATCTTGGACGAATATCTTCATCTCAACCGACCCAGTACATCTCCTCGCCTTGAGCCACTGATAGGTTTGCCTGCCCAACATTCTCTCATTTTCACGCGAAGTTCGCTCACTCTTGACCTTTTGCTTAGGACAACTTGTTGGTCAGATGCGCACATGTTCAACTCGGTTTGGATTTTTATCCACCTACGACTCTACCGTTTTTGTGAAACGAGAAGCCGACTATTCTTTCCTCCTTTCGCCGCCTATTTGGCATGGCGTTACGCAGCCTTCCCTTCGCCAGTTACTTACTGGTTTCTGTCTAATGGCCGTATCGGAGCCAAAATACATTGAAAGCCCAACATTTGAGCCAAGGAATGTAAGTATTTGATTTGGGCAACTGTGAGAGACATCGTAAAGCTGCTGATATATTAAGAAGCTACGAGGCCCTCCTCCTGTCCGCGTGTCCTCCCGTATAACTGGAAATTCCGCTTACCCATCCCCGCCAGTGGCGAATCAAGTAGACACTATCACATCGGATAGTGTAATCATTAACACTGGCGGATCTACCCCTACGGTCGTGAACTGCCTTCAGCAGTTATCAGACTCACGCCTCCAAGATAAGGCGACCTGGTTAGCAACTATGGGTGGATCAACGGTGATCCTAAAGTGCTGGGGACTTCAATACGATGAGCTGTAAGTCGGATTACTTTAATAGCTTGTTATTAGACTTACTAACTAGTTACGTTTAGATTTCATGCGGAAGCAGAAGTGTACAACCGCATTTGGGCCCAGCAGCCGACCGGCTATCGCAGCTTCACCAAGTGGATCTCCAGGGGGGAGATTGTCTGCTCAAGTATATTCCCATCAGGCTATGTTCTCGTTCTGGAGCAGAGACGCGGGATGCGGCTTGACAGACTATGGCATACTCTATCCGAGGCCGAACGGGCTTACGTTCAGTCCGAATGCCTTAACGGCATTCATGCTTTGCGACAAGTGGGCATCCGCCTTGATGATCCTGGGAAGCACAATATTCTCTATGACAGAGATAGTCGTGTGGTAACTCTGCTTGACTTTGAAAGTGCGCAAGAGTTAGAAAGCCGCATGTTCATCTCGACATATTTTGAGATGGGTATCATATTCGGCTCTGATCTTTTGCTGGGCCATCCATCTGGAGGCTAGGCTGAAAGTTACAGAGTATTCGCATTGGCAGAGTTTATTCAGGCATATTATTACAGTGACCTTGGTGATGTTTATTGACCGGTTTCGGTCCTGGTTTTGCTGACTGTCGGGTGATTTTGGGGATTCCGGACAATCTCTTAAGGGAGTGAGCCTTCTCTACAATTTTTAGCTTGTTACCCAATCCAAGCCGCTTCCCAAAAATAGTCTCCATCTCCTTTCGAATCCGTTTCATTAATTATGTAGGATTGATCCGATTTTGCCGATTGACCAATCACGATCTCGGGGAAAGTGGCGACATCAACGGATAGGAATCGTCTGGTCCCTGAACTAACCGATCACACCTGAGGCACGCGGAATTCATTGAATTATTAAGACAGCTGATTTATGCAGGAATACCGGGCTATAGCCGCATCACCTTCTTCGATTGCTCCATACCGACGGCCGAGCGTTGGCAAATGACGTCAAATCTTACAAGACCCATTTTTATGGATTTTAATGTGGAGCCAAAAAAAAAACCCTTTGCGATTGAAACCGGGCACACAGATGCTGGGAATCTGAGCGTGTGACGTATAACCCTCTGAAAACGGTGCATACCAACGTTCTACATACATGTACTACATACCTTACAAACCGTGGCAATGAACGCACCTGTCTTGCGCAATGGTGGGGACCTCGGCTGGTGTACTCCGTAGCAGGTCGACTCTCTACCTGCACTACATACCGTGGTTTCCCCATATTATCCCCATACAAAACACGATCCATGAAATCCGGAGTTGATTAATTCCATATCAGTGGAGTTCATTGAAGGAACTCTAGACTGGCTTCGATTGTTACTAAAGGTTGTTCTATTCTTACCTATTGGATCATTCCCGGTACCTTTTGGTTAGGTGGAGCACGTCCGTTATCACGCTATCCAATCCAATCCAATTTTTTTTTACCTTTTCCATCCCAATTTTGATGTCTCAATCCCTTGCTCTCAAGGGTTGTGTAATTGACGGAATCGGCTGGATTCAATCATTGCGGCGAGAAGCAATATTGCAATAATTTGGATAGGTTCTACCCATCTCGCCTCAAAGAATGATCTTGTTCGCTTCAAAATTCAGAAGGCCGCCCCATTTTTTTTTATCCTGATGCACGAGCCCATTGAAGTATGTATGTATGTATACATACACAGCGGATGATCCACACCAGTCTCCACTGATAAACTCTGGCTCTAAAAAATATAAACCGGTTTCAGAACTATGACGATTTTGTCCAGTGTCGTGTTGGGTCTGACGCACATTTTTCTTTCGGATAGTTAAATCAAAGCATCCGCCAGAGATCGACTTCCTTGCTCTGCAGCCGACTGTTCTTATCTGATCAATGTCTGAGCGAAAACCCCCCTTGGATAGCCCCGAGGCTACCCCCGATGCTCAACACTCAGACAATGCTCTGAGCTCCAGCGACCCCTCGGACGACGGCCTAGTTCCCCCAATCGAGAAGGACGAAAATGGCGGTATCGTCCCCGATGATCCCTACGAACTAAAAGAAGATCAGTGCTACGATAAATTGGGCTACTGTTGGCCCCGATGGAAGAAATGGTCGTACCTTGTGGCTGTTGCTTTTGTGCAGGTGTCCATGAACTTCAATACTTCTGTTTTCCCCAATGCAGTGATTCCACTCTCAAAGGCCTTTGACATTAGTCAACAACACGCGCGGACTGGTCAAATGGCCTACCTTGTCACCTATTCTATTGGATGTGAGCTTTGGGCGCCGTGGAGTGAGGAGTTCGGCCGATGGCCCATCCTCCAGCTCTCAATGTTTTTGATTAACATCTGGCAACTCCCCGCTGCATTGGCTCCTAATTGGGGATCCGTTGTCGTCGCCCGTGCCTTGGGTGGAATTTCTACCGCCGGTGGTAGTGTCACCCTAGGTCTAATCGCCGATATATACGAACCTGATTCACAGCAATTCCCTCTGGCCTTTATCGTGTTTTCCTCCTGTATTGGAACGAGTATTGGTGGTGTCATCGGTGGTCCAATTGAGCGATGTAAGTTTCATACTAGTCTCCCACTTATCTAGACTATTTACTAACCATAATGTCCGATAGTCCTTGATTGGCAGTGGTTCTTCTGGATCCAGCTCATTTTCGGAGCCGTCACTCAAGCGATCATCTTCTTCATGCCTGAGAGTCGTTCGACGATTCTTATCGACAGAGAAGCGAAGCGTCGCCGCAAGACCGGAGAAGACCCGAACTGTTACGGACCAAACGAGCTCAAGAAGCCTCGCATTTCCCTCAAGGAGGCTGGTAAAATTTGGATCAGACCCTTCCACATGCTGCTACGCGAGCCCATCGTTTTATGTCTTTCTCTTCTATCCGGATTCTCCGATGCACTTATCTTCACCTTCCTGGAGAGTTTCACAACCGTGTACGAGCAGGGCTGGGATTTTGGAATTTTGGCTTGTGCTTGGGCTGTTATCCCAATCAACCTTGCCTACTTACTCACATATATTTCCTACTTCCCTTGGTTTGCTAGAGATGAACATCTTCGCAAGAAACATGGCAACGAAGCAATCCCGCCTGAACGTCGCCTCAAGTGGCTTCTGTGGCTTGCGCCATTCGAGCCGATCGGCCTGTTCGGTTTTGCCTGGACATCTTTCGGCAAAGAGCGCGGTATTCCATGGATTGCATCCATGATATTCTCTACGATGGTCGGAATCGCCAATTACGCTATCTATCTATCGTCTGTGGATTATATGATCGCATCCTACGGTGTGTATTCGGCTTCTGCTTGTGGTGGTAACGCCTTCGCTCGTGATCTTCTGGCTGGTATTTCAGCAATGTATGCCACCCCAATGTACACCAATATCGGCAGCAAATGGCATGTTCAATATGCCAGTACAATTCTGGGTTGTCTGTCTTGCCTAGTCGTGGCTCCCATTTATGTGTTCTACTGGAAGGGGCCACAGATCCGCGAGAACAGCAAATTCGCCAAGTCTCTTGCTGCCGACCGAGAAAAGAACAATGGTCGACGAGTCAGTCAGCCTTCGTTTGAACCTTAAGTGGGACATCTGTTGCAGTGCAAGAAACCGATTGTTTTCTTGTTTCAGCCCTTCCGACATCTGAAGGCTGGAAAGTTTCAATTCCCGTTCATTGGGAATCACGACCGCATGAAAATCCTGTATTTAAATAGTCCTGCCATGATTGGAGTGACAATGATAATTGTATATACTGATCGACTACCTAATTGATCTGCTCCTGGAGACCTCGTGAATACATGTATGTATTGATTTCACAGGTCCCTTCCAAGGTTTACCCTTCAAATGTTTGAACTACCATAATTGAACGAAAGAAAGAAATTTCCTCCATCCAGGCATTTTCTCATAGTCATCCAACTCTTTGATCTCTTCTATCAGAAGTGCTCTTCGTCCAGTTTGCAAATCTACCTTGCGAGGATCACGAAGTTTGGTTCGGAAGATGAGTTTATAGGCCAGTCCACTGAACAAAATCAGGATCAGGCCAAACATATATTGGAAGAAGTAGTAGGCAGTCGGCGTATCGGATCCCTAGAGTCATAAAATATTAACCTGGCTCACTGCCTGGAAAGAAGAGAGGGGAAGGAAAGTGAGGCTCATACAATAGGATATAATGCCAGGTACAAAGAGCAAGCAATGTAAAAGCAACAGCACGTAAGAAGCCAAATCGTAGGAAATGGCCAGATACTGCACCTCCAAGCATAAATCTGTGTGAAGAGCGGATCATTCTGGGCCTTGAGAGCCGCTCGAAAGCGAAACGACGTGATGGAAATAACAAACCAAACCATGAAGTATCCCGTGCTAGCGATTTGCGCCAACCAATTAAACACCGTTGTACCTTGTCCACTGAGATTGATGTATGTGAGAACGATACAGAGAAAGCTCGTTATGGCCAGCGCTGCCCGGGGACGTCCCCGTGAGTCCACTTTCGCTACCCAGGAGGATATTAGGCCTTGATGTGCCATTGTTTGAAGAATTCGCGAAGCGATATAAAAGCTTTCTGCTGCAATGGCGGCCACCGCGAACATGATGACCACGTTGAGGAAATCCGGGAGACCTGGTATCCCAGCCTGATCAATTGCGATGACGAATGGTGATGCAGCGACACCGCTACTACCCAGGAGATTTTTGTTGGTGGGAGAAATCAAGATACCTATCAGTACTACCGACGTGAGATAGAAGACTGAAACGCGAATGGGAATCAGGAAGACAGCATGGGCCACAGAGAAGCGGGGGCTCTTAGACTCTCCAGCAAGGAAACCTGTGAAAGTGTTATCTGTGGGGAAAAGTTGGTTAATCTTTGTTAATACATGTAAAGGAGATCCGCGCCAGTCAAAAAAACAATATTTACCTCCAATTGCTAGAATGGCTAGCAGAACACTGTTTCCAAACCCCTTGAACCCATTCAAGAAGGCTTTCCCATCTTGCCATGTATCACCATGGTACATTGAGCCCTCTGGACCGGCGCCAAATATGATCGCGATACCAACAATGATGAATATGATCAAGACAAGGATCTTTAGAATGGAGGTAAAGTATTCAAACCAGCCGAAAACGACATTGGGCAGGCTGAAAATGATAAACATTAGAACCAAGAAGATGGTTACTATGCATCATAGTTAGTTCCGACCATGGAATAATTGGAGGATCGACTACTAGATCGACTTGGCCATCGGGTATGGAACAACAACATACACCAAACAACTTCAGGAACGGCCTCCTTTGCCCAGTAATTCACAACAACCGAGAAGAAAGTTGCTTCCGACGCGATAATAGCCGTCCAGCCAATCCACATTGAAAAGCCAGCAGCAAAGGCCAAAGCTGGGTCAACAAAGCGATCGGCATAGTCGATAAAATTACCAGAGGTAGGAAAACTGATTGTCATTTCACTGACTGTCTGGAGGACTGCCCATACACACGAACACACAACTGCAAACCCCAGGAAAAGGGAGCCGGGGCCACCATCGCGTAAATTCGACCCTGTGGAAATGAAGAGACCGGCGCCAATCTGGCCTCCGAGAGAAATAGCCTGTGAAATGGAGTTAGCCAATGCGGTTCGGGGAACAACGTTTGGAAGGGTTGAACGGGACGCGTATGTACGTGAATTTGTCTAGGAGTGAAGGTACGGTGAAATCCCGAATTATTGTGCACTTCCACCACCTCTCCTACATTATCTTCGCTTGCTGTATCAGCGGACAATGGTGGATCAACAGAGGCTTCTTTCGTATCCTGGAACTGTGACATTGTCAAAATTGAGAACACCTCTAGCGCAAAAACAAAGGTAGTATCTATTTGGCACCTACAGGTATTTATACATGCCCATTCAATCCAGATGTCATCGGATACTCCATAATCAACTGATCCATCCATCTAAGCTATGATAGTAGCATGCCTAGGTATTAAGAGATTACCGGGCTTTATCTATTATCTACAACCTTGGAACACTCAAAGGATATCTTGACTGGATATGAACAGCTTTCATATCAACCTCGAAAGCGCCAAGAAAAACATCAGAACAGAGGAAGGTCGATGCGCCAGATCATTAGAATCCATGTTGATTGGGTGTGCTCCTTATCAACTACTAGTATCCACCGCGCAGCGCAATCTCTAAATCTTTTCAATTTTGAAGCAACCAACCGGAACTCGAGCTTGGACTCGGAGTAAACTTCGGACTTAAGAATGTTCTTATGGATTAGTCCTCTCACAGGTGTCCATGTGGGCTTAGGTATTAATGCATAATTTATGGCCGTTGATTGGTGAGCCTGCCCTTTTTAATTCTTATCGTTAGAAGTTCACGGCACCTATCACCAGACTTGTGAAACATCAATGACAGGCTGGCAGCATACCCAGGTGTTCAAGCAGCGCATCGACTTGCCCTTGGCTGCAGATACCTATCTCACAGTGACATACAACACACTATTGACTGAAATATAAAAAAGTCTTACTTTGCCAGGGAGTTACAAAGTCAGTCATGCCCACGGGTGCAAATATCCATTGTATTTTCTATTGAAACCAACATTTGAATCTAAGGTTGCAACAAACTTGAGTCGAAATGACTTCCCCCCATCTATCAGAACCGATCATCATTATCGGCGGTGGCACCTTTGGCACTTCAACAGCCTACCATTTGGCAAAGAAAAATTACACCAATGTTATCGTTCTTGATCGATTCGCCGTGCCTTCGAAAGAGGCAGCTGGTAACGATATCAACAAGGTTGTCCGCACAGAATATCCAGAGCCTCTGTACGCCAAGTTAGCCTCCGATGCGAGAACCATATGGAGCGATCCCAAGGGCTTGTTTGCTGGGCTTTACAACCCGAGTGGCTGGATCATTGGGGTGAGCGATCGTTCACAAGCCTTTGTGGACGGCTCAATAAAAAGCGCCCAAGCCCTCGGATTTGAGCCACCGCGACTTATGTCCACCGAGGAGATCCATAAGAGATGGCCCGTGCTGAATGGAGACTTTCAAGGTTGGAGTTCATATTGGAGTCCCAATGCCGCATGGGTAAATGCCAGGCAAGGGATTGTGCGGATGGCTGAAGAAGCCAAGAAAGCTGGAGTAAAGTACATCTCTGGCGATGCGGGGTATGCGCAACAGTTGCTTTATGATGAGCATCAGACGTGTATTGGCGTCAAATGTGTGAATGGCACAAATTATTTCGGAAATAAGATTGTTCTTGCAGCGGGGGCTGCGTCGGGGAGACTTCTAGATTTAAAAGGGCAAATTGTGGCTTACGGTCATACCGTTGGTCATATCCAACTGAACCCCGAAGAAGTTGAGAAGTATCGAACAATGCCGATGATTGATCATCTTGAGGGAGGTAAGTAGAGATGATCCTTTATGTCAATAGTTTATACACTAACATCCTGTCGTAGGCCTCCTGTTCCCTCCACAAGAAGACGGTATCATGAAAATTGGGGCGATTCACTTTGTCACAAACTACGCGAAATCCTACAACGGATTATCACTTCCTCGCTACCGCTCTGACAATCCTTCAGATGGAATACCTGACGAGATTGAAGCTCGTCTTCGGAATTGGATGACAGAATTTGTGCCAGAGCTTGCTCAGCGAGAGTGGGTTGAAACTAGGATCTGCTGGTATGTTTTCTTTGGGGAGGCTGCCTTTCTTATCCCCCATCACTAATATGATTCATTTTCAGGGATGGCGATATGCCTGATTACCACTTTCTGATTACACCACATCCAATCCACAAGAATCTAGAGATTGCGACTGGTGGATCCGCCCACGGGTTCAAGTTTCTTCCGGTTCTGGGTCAGTATATTGTCGAAATGATGGAAGGTACTCTTGATCCGGAGATCGCCAAAAAATGGAAGTGGAGGCCTGGTGTGACCGCTGGGGATTATTCAACGATTCCTCACCAGGAGACATCGAAGGATCTTAACGATATGTCTGGTTGGGGGATACCTACGGAGAGCTTACTGTGAGGTCATTGTAAATGTCGTGGACTCGATACGAATATTGCCCGCGGGCTAAACAGGGCCGCTATTCGAAGACTAGAAAATATGCCAATCTTGTCTTATTTCAGTTATCTACAGACAATTAAAAAAGTGATTATGAGGGAAGATGCATGTGGTATACCTTCTCCAAAATAGGTAAGTTAAGTCGGGGGCTTTCCTATAGGCGCTGTCAGCGCTGATAAGTCGCGTTGCCCCTCAACGTTATCTCTCACAGATCGATCAGACCTCGATTCAGCTTACTTCTACCGACCCCATTCAACTCTTAACGAAGGCCCAAAACAATGAAAGACAATGAAAGACCACGCGAATCAAAAGATCAAACGAACACGATCAGGATGCTGGAATTGTAAGAGTAAGTCAGTTCCTCACTCTGTCAATAATTTCAGATCTAATCTTCATAATAGAACGACGACGAAGATGCACAGGTGAGTACGATTCTCACTGTGGCTTGCATGAAGATAGAATGGTATGGATAACATGGTATGGTGATCAGAAGAGAAACCAACTTGCAGCGGGTGTCTCAAGCGACAACTCCCGTGCAAATATGGCATTCGTCTGCTGTGGGAAGATGAAGCTCAGACCATGGGCATCGCGTTTGGCAGAACTGGAACGAAGCATCGATGTCAGAAGAGTGAAAACATTCAATTGTACCATCACCTCCCCGAAAGATCACATGCCACCATATATTGGCTTAATACAACCTCTCGTGATATGCGGTCTCTCTATGAGCGTCCAACACTGGGATTGGAGATTGAAAAAACGAAGTCAACCACAACTGACTTAAAACCCCGTTTTGACACTGTCGCATTTTCTCTGTCGCAGTGCCCTTCCTTAGAAGCACGCGAGATTTATCTTTTCCACTATTGTTTGTCCCCAGCATATTACAAATAATCGCTCTCCCTACTGACGATTATAAAGTTAGCAATATTTGCACGGCTAGAAGATCTCTGGTAGATCATGAAAACCCATGGCGATCAGTTCTACTCCCATTATGTTTTCAATCAGAAGGTCTTCTCCACCTGTCAATCGCCTGGGCTGCCCACATCCTCCGCAACCAGTGCTCCAGTCACGATAGCGCTCGATACGATGAAATGATTCTCACGCACAAATGTCGCTCTCTCCAATACCTTCGGAACTTGATACCTCAGCATGGACTCTACGAAATGAAAACTCCAGACAGAACAAAATGCGAGCGAGATTCCCTGCTTCTGCTTGTCATGTTTCACTGTCTCCTAGAGATAGCTAGCGGAAGTGTCATGGAGTGGACATTCCATATGAAAGCGACAATTCAGATTATGAGACTCTACACAGATGGCAAATCTACTGCAAAATACGAAGTATTTAGTCAAGAGGTGCTAGAATTGGTTCATGTCTTCTTTACTGAGAAGGATACCTTTCTAAGTACAACCATTTCCAACACCAACGGTGAAGAAATATCTCTGGACAATTGTCGATGGTCAACCGAGGTACCCTCCATGTTCCCTTTCCTCACAGATCGTGATTACAGGAAAATCCATCCTTGTACAGGTATCTCGCCAGAGTTGCTAGAAATAATATCTTGTATAAGCATTGAAGCCCGAAGGCGAAGGTCTTTATTCAACCAACACACTGCAACCCGCGGCCATACAATTCATGCATTCACAGCCCTCCAACGCCGCTTGAAAGATTTGACAGATCTCCCAGCGGCCACTCACAGCACAGAGTTAATGAGCCTCCATTCATTTGCATTCGAGCAAGCAACCTGGATCTACTTGCACCTGGCGATAGGGGGCCATGCCTGTCGAAGCAACATCATCCAAAAAGACTACCTTCCCAAACTCCTTAGTACATTAGAATAAATTCATGATCAACATGGAGAACATCTAGGCTTCCTACCATACCCAATGTGGGCGCTTTTTATCGCAAGTTGTGTCGTTCAGGAGGATTCACGAGTAAAGATTCTTGCCTGGTTCACCGTGTTGAAGCGAAATAAACCGATCAGCAACGTGCCCTCAACAATGGCTGCTGTCGAAGCAATATGGAAACGTGATGATCTTCATCCTGGCGAGCCATATGTTAACCAGCACTCACCAATCACAGCACCGTGGATGGCTGTCATTTCCCAACTTGGATGGAAGATGCCATTCACATGACGGAAATTTTGAATAGCCTTGAGAGTTCTGTAAACGAAAAAAGAAATATCGATGTCTTCAGGTAAATTTATTTTATTTTCGGGCTCATGTCCCGGAAAGCTATGTAATTATGAGTGCAATACATGATTTACACACGAGTCCAAGCTATAGCACAATTAAAATGACACACAAAAAGCGAATATCACATCATCACATCAAGAGAGAGAAAAAGAAGTTAAAAAAAAGCAATCTGAAGGCCATACATGCATGACCATCAGCAGGAAATGAAGTATAGGTATAGCGAAAGAGTGCGAAGTGGTATATGAAAAGAACAAGAAAAAAGAACAAAAAGCCTCTCTATCAATCCTTCATCAAATGGCACACCCCCTCTACTGGGCATCTTCCATAACATCCTTGTCAGTCAAGGGGATATTTTTGGGTCCCTCGTAAGCGCCCTGGCGAACAAACCACCAGATTCCGACGAAAATGCTCAGACCACCAGTCAACAGACTGGCGTAGTTCATCGAGGCAGCATCGACGGGAAGAGCGTAAGGGAAGCAGAAGATGACGACGAAAGCGAGAATGTAGATGCAGGAGAGAACGTTGATGATGAAGCCGATAGTGTGGTTCATGAAGAAGAATCCTGGCACGAAAGAGCTGCGACGAGTAAGGATGTGAGGGAAGATAGCCATGAAGTAAGAAAGACTGGACAGTTGCACGAAGCAACCGACAAAAGCGCTAAAGGCGGTAGTCGATCCAAGGTAAATGCAGGCGAGGACAGTGACGACGCAACCACAGACGAGAGTAGCGTTGAAAGGGTTGTGGAACTTGCTGTTGATCTGACCGACCCAGTTGTGGCAGGGGGTGGCACGGTCACGGGAGAGGGTCCATAGCGTGCGACCGGCGGTGATGTAGCAACCGGTTGCGGTGATGAAGGTCGGGATGAAGGCGACAATCAAGAGACCGAGGCCACCGCCACGGGATCCAGTGGCTTGGTAGTAGATCTCGGCGAGGGGGAATTTGTAGCTGCTGTTGGCGACTTTGTCGAGATCCTGGATGGAGTAGAAGATGGCGATCATGTAAAGGAGACCGGTGATGAAACCGACGCCCATCTGGGCCAGGATAGCCTTGGGGATGTTACGGCTTGGCTTGGGGATCTCCTCAGCCAAGTGGGAGGAGCAGTCGGGGGTACCGACACTGTATGCACCGTTCAGCATACCCATGACGAAAACGAAGCCCTGTTGCGAGTAGTTGGTTCCGTTGGTCCATTGTTCCCAGACGGCCTCATTCGATTTGTAGGAGTCGCCGTTGACAGAGGGCATGACAGCACAGACGATGATGGTGACAAAGACGCCGGCAAGAATGAACAACATGCCAAGATTACCGATATAAGGCAAGAAACGGTTCATGAAGAGAACAATACAGCAGGCCACCCAAGTCACGATGATGAAAGTCACGAAGGTGTTCCAAGTCTGGATCTCGAAAGAGGGATTCATCAAAGCATACATCGAAACAAGTTGCTGGGCCATGATCAAAGACATGGAGGCGGCACCCAGGATCCACGCCAGACAATTCCACCAACCTGCGAAGAAACCACAGACACGACCATACTTGCCGGCAGTGACAGAAGCCCAATGGTAAACACCACTGGCCGAGGGCATACCTGATGCCAACTCGGCCAAGGAGGCGGCGACCATCCAATAACAGATCGAGACAGCGATACTATAGAAGAAGAAAAGGTTAGTCAAGATATGCATAGCGGGATGTTGAGAAATTTGAAGTTGAGACTGTACAATTCATAGATACATCCAGCCAATCCACCGTTACTCAATGCGGTCACCACACTACCACCCTGAGCGATCCAAGTATTTCCAGTCGTGACGGCGATAGCGCAAAGACTGAGCAAGTTGAAGTTCCGATCGACTTCCTGGCGATGACCGGACGCGTTGACCTGTTCACCTTGAAGCTGATCCTCCTCATATGGCTCCGTGGTTTGGGCCTTCATTTTCTCGTCGAATTCGGTTGACATGGTGATGATTTGTATATATCTTCCACGCGAAGATTGACTTTCCGACAAGGTTTTTTTTTGTTTTAATTAAGAGGCTCTCGCCGATGGGGAATTGCGAACCCAAGGGGATGCAAGAGACGGTGGGGGGCGACCGGGTTGATTTCGCACAGGCTCTTCTCTCTCCAAATTGAGAGAAAGGAAAGGAGGGGGATGTGAGCCTTTTATTATATATGAGACCAAAAAATGAATGCTGAAGGATCTTGGGAAAAGGAGCAAGTCGAGCCTATATTATTGCCCTGTCGAGGGGGGTGGAGTCGTTTACACACTGGCGGCCCCTCCGAATGCCCCGGAGCAGCAGTTTACCACGCAAGACGAACATCCTTCAACCGTGAAATCCATCTTTGGAGACTCCACATCTCTAGCCACTCTAATCATCCCTACCCCAATCTCCAACCAATCATTTGCCCGGGGAGGCATTCCCGGTGGCTACTCAGTACGATGAGTGGAGCCCAGTCATCCCGTCATTGGACAGCTTTAGGGGCGACTCAGCCAAACTCCAACCAAAAGTAAGCCTGGACGCGGAGAATCGTGCAGCACGCTTGACCCAGAAGGGGAGCTTCAACAGAAAGAATTTTTCGTGACCTTGGCTGGCGGATTTTGATACTCCATAGTCAAGCACCATAATTCTTCTTTTTTTTTTTTTTTCATAGACTTCCCTTTACTCTAATCTGGATTCTGGGGTGATCTATCTGGAACATGATTCACCGGGTAGTGGAGAAACGGGGCCGTTGTTTCGATTGTGATTCCTTTTATCTAGGATTTATTGCTTATTCTATGCGATTTGGTCATTGTATGACCCCGAGAGATTGTTGTGTATACAGTAAGAATGGATGGTTTAAGTCAGCAAATGTACTTGAAACCCCGCGAGATTGTTTAGCCCAAGAACTGCCTCAGGTGCCGATCTATGCCTCGCTTACATGTACACTTGGTACTTACTCTACTAGGCACTGTAACTAATTATGTACTAGTACACTGCAATTGAGAAGCGAACCTCAGGAGTGCATGACGTATTCGTATTGACTTGCATGCCAAAGTATAGAGATAACAACCTTGGAACATTTCTTCCAATCTTCTAGAATCGAGTTCTTTCCACATGGCATTCTTGCATTCTTCAACATCCGAGGTTTATCCTGTCGCAAAATTGAGATGAGTCAAAAAATCAGTAGCTTCAGAGTGAGACATACAGAAGGTGGCATGACTAGATCTGGGCGATTACGCCGTTTACTCCATCGCAAATTAATTAATTTATCCACTGTTGGATCTAGCAGGGAGAAAAGGTTGCAACCCTGTACGATTTAAGCTTAGTGGGAGCCTCGTTCCAAGGTTGTTTTAGATCGCGAACTAGTGAATTGTATGTACTACTAGTACTGTATAATACTAGTAGATATGCATGGAATATCTAGAGCGTAAAACAACACATCAATTGATCCTTGAGAAGCCAGAAATTAGGTATGATGATCAGCTTCTTTTTATTTATCTTTACCCAAGAGTGTTGAGTACTACATGATTGTCGGATAGAACCGGCTATTCGCAATCCGTGGATCGTTTTATGGTCGGGGATCGACGCCCCAAGAATCTTTCCCCAACCTCGCGTAAAAAGCTGTGGATATGCTTCCCACATAAAGGAAAACCACCTTTTGAGCACGGGTAAAAACAAGTATGTAACATTTGATTGCTTGGATTTTTTTCCCACTTCTTTCAACTATTCATCCCTGGGAAAAAAAGAAACGCAAAATTAGACTCCGATCTCATGGCGTGTGCACTCCCGGATCTAGGTAGGTCCCCGAGCGGGCTTCATATAACCCTTAAGGGAATTAGCAATCGGCCTTTTCTCTGGTTCAGGTACTCTTGGAAGATTCTTGCGAAAGACTAAGAAAGTATCTTTAAAAGGCCGACCATGATTCGGTTAATTGGTTGATGTTTGCGACCATGGACGGGCGTTTATGCAGGATTTAATCTAAAAATTCAGCTAAATGAATGTACTACAATACTTATAAAAGGTCCATCGATGCTTCATGTGAACCTCGATCGGCAACGGCGTTTTACACTACTGTAGCTCGGCTGTTGAGCCGCCCAATTAACACAAGTTGAAGCTGATGGATGTGTACATACAGAAGAAATTGCCACGCTGAACTTGCAACATTTGAACATTTGAATGGACTCCATAAAAAGATTGACGGAATCCCCCGTACGGAGTAGGGATCCTCTCTTTTCTCCCCCCCCCTTCTCCTCTTGTGTCTCCACCATAAAATCAAAATCCCTCAATTGCTCACCAAAGAAAAAAAGAAAGAACCAGATTTAAGCGCCCCACTTGCTCCATTCTCCTCCATTTTGATCATTTTTAATCATTTTTATTATTTTTAATCATTTTTGGTCTCCATTTACTCCATTTACTCCAGGCTACATGCGGGTTAGCCCAAAAGCCTATGTATATGTTTCTTGATGCCTCGTCATTCAGGAATGTACGGAGCGATCCACATCGAGTAAAGTCCACGGATGTTGACCGTAAACTTTGTCTGCTTTTTTTTTGTTCGATTCATATAATCTAGCTCGTACATTGGTCACTTGAAAGTGGAGACCTCGCATACGCTGGATCATTTACTTTAACAATTGTACTACTTCCCTATACCCTATTAGGAAGGCTGGAAACGCTCGTGTGCTCTGCACTAACATTGAAGGGCTATACAACCTCCAGGGCTGTGTAGGTACTTGTCACCCTTTCAATATAAAAGTCTTTGGCTGAGACAGAATTCCTTTGACCCACGTGAAATAGCGCCCTGCCAAGTTTAACATATTGCACTCCATACTCAAGTGCTGTTGCAATCTTTTGATCCTCCCTAAAATGGCAGGTCCAAAGGAACCAATCCCCGACACAGAGAGCTCCAGAAGCCCGGTGGGGAGCAACATTTGAACATTATCGGCAATCATACTATACGGTGTCTCCGTAGTCAGGCACCAAACTGTAGATTATTACTCTTTCTCCTTTTTTTTTTTTTCTTGTTGATTTTCTCTCGCATTGAGCAATCAGATTAATTTCCCCGAAAAGAAATACATTTCCAAGGTTCCTCAATTTGTATACATGGGTCCTTCCAAGGTTGTCCAATCGATCCCCCCCCCCACTTGGTCCTGTGGTTCACACTGTGCTGTCACTGGAAGATCAATCTTTTTATGATAAGCCTTTGATTCCTTCCTACGCCATCTTACGCATTCCTGGCCATGAACCTCTCCCAATAATATCTATCACACGAATCGGCGAACTCTCCGCCTTAGCTCCATCCACCCCTGTCTGGAGACGTGATCGTCCCGGTAGATGCATGCGCTATCGGAAAGTCTATACATTGTATCGAAATTCCGGTAACTTTTATAAAGATGTGGGTGGCTGCCCTTTAAACCCTCTTCCCCCTCTCTTGATCTGATCACCCACTCACGCTCATTTAATTTTCAAAGGCCAGTAATGTCAGGTCTTGGTGGTGATTTTGCCGTGCGCTTTGCACGAGAGACATGGGCTCTATATGCCGTCGGTGTCCTGGGCGCTGTACTTCGATAGTGAGTTATTCCAAGGCTGTGGTCATTTCATGCCACTCTCCCTTCAACATCCATGTTACTTTGTCGCTAACAAATATTCTTTATAGCACTGCCCGTGTAAGGCGATTAGGTCTCCGCGGTCTCCAGGCCGATGATTATCTCATGTTAAATGCTGTGCTCTGGTATACTATTCTATGTGTCGCCTTAAATCAAGTGGCATCAGGCGGAGGTTCGAATTTGATGACCGATGAGGAAAAAGCACACATCACCCCCGCCATTCACGCCGAACGAGAAAAGGGCAGCAAATGGGTGTTTGTCTCCGAGCATGCTTTCATTCTCTGTGTTTGGAGTTTGAAGGCATGCATGTTGGTGATTTATGCTCGTATCACGTATGTGATTAGATCTGAGAATTGTCAAGAATTTGGTGGCTAACAGACTTGAACAGGGAGGGATTGAAACAGCGCAAATGGATCAACTGGATCGCCATCTACGTTGTGGTTGGATTTGTTGGTACCGAACTTTCTCTCTTCTTGATATGTCGCCCATTATCAGCCTACTGGGCGGTTCCTACGTCAAATTGTAAGAAACATATTGCGTGCAGTACATCCTGGCAACACCTCAGCTAACTCCTATCTAAAGATCAATGCTCATCCTACCAATACTACGAAATTGTCCAAGGATGTCTCTCCATCTCAGCAGATATCTTCATGTTGCTCGTTGCCATTCCGATGATGGTCCAGGTGCGCGTTCCACTGAAGCAAAAAATGATCCTGGTCATTCTATTCGGAATGGGTATTTTCGTCATCGTTTCCGCCATCTTGAACAAGATCTACTGCTTGGTCCCATCGCTCATTTCCTACGTCTACATGAACTGGTACTTCCGTGAAGCCACCGTGGCGATCCTGGTGACGAACTTGCCACTTGTTTGGTCGCTCCTCCGCGACGTCTTCCCCGCCCTGAAGAGCTGGACTGGAGGATCGAAGAGAGGCACCGATCGGTACAAGTCCCAACCGTGGACCAACAGCAAGAATTCTCGACCCTATGGGCCTCAGAGCCAGCTCCGCTCTGGAGATTTTAATATGCAAGATTTCCACACGGCATCGGTCACCCCGACGAAGAGTGGCCCCGCTGTCTCCGATATCAGCTTAGAAGCCAGCGATGACCGGGATATGAGCAGTGATGATGGGTCTGCGCGCGCTTTGCGGATCCGGCAAGATATTACTGTCACGGTGGAACATGATTCCAGACCACCGAACTACGAGTCGAATAACTCCCACGTCACCCGTGGGCACGAGTCTGTCTAATTGCCCCTCTGGCGATCCCCAAAATCCTTCGAAAATTTATTTCCTTTGTTACGAATATATACGGAGTCCATGTGGACCTGATACCCAGCTAATCGTTAGATCGTTTTGTCGGATTTTTTCTATGTATTTTCATTTTTATTTTTCTTCATTGCACATATATTCATTCGTCGCTAGACCTTTTATTTTTGTGGACCATGTTTTCCTCGGAGAAGTCGGTATCGGAACATTGAATCAATGGGGCAGGGCTTGTTTGCCGGAATTTCCGAACATACTGTACAGATCTGTACAAGCTATCTTCTTCAATCTACACTTAGCAAACTTAACCCGATTAGCCTCGGCCTTTCATTTCTGAACAGCGCCACGGAATCAAAACCTGACCCGACCTAGTAAATCTATCCCCAAGGCGGCTAAGTGTTAAAAAGCGCGAACCCACTCTTGCCCCGCCGATCTCCCGCCTCCTTGCGTCAACACTGCTGATCTTATCATCATCGGGCGGATTCCGACCGCCCGTTGGTCAATCATGAGAGCTGAGGTGGAAGACCAATCTCTTATCCCTGCATTTCAGCCTTGGCCAGCTGACGACCAGAGCCAATGACTGATCCGTGGGAAACTTGCAATGTCTTGAAAAAAAAAAAAATTGGTGGCAGTGAAAAACCAGGAACACCAGGACAAATAGGGTTGACCGAGTGCCGTCTTAATACACTAAAAGAATCTTGTTGGAATGTTCCATGCGAGATCTATCCTGAAATTTCAGATATCCAAGACATGCATGAACCACTGGGTTGAAAAAAAAAAGGGAAAAAAGGAGATGCCAGAAAGCAGCCTTGACCATTGCCCTGAATAAGTCGACGCCCTCTCTCAGTCAACTGGCTCTTCCAACTTGATTCCATTCGGCCTTACTTGCCGGTTCAGCCTGTGAAGTGGAAGCTTTGATTTGAACCCCACTGGGATTTTCTAATCCGGTGACTGCCGTTCAATGTCAAAGGATTGGTTCTCCCAAGTTTTCATCCGTCTATCAGTATTCCAACGATCCACGGGTTTGGCTCAGAACTTCTACCATGGTACGGAACGCCGGTGTAGTGGACATGGATTTTCCGGGAAGGAGACTCACATCCCCCATTTACCAAGGAAAATTTAATGAGGGATTGACTTGGGCTGGATTTTTCCCTTGCGGAGAGCGATAAGCCGTCTCTGGAGAAAGCATTATCAATATCCACTGGTCATACTGAGCATAATAGCATCGGCCGAGATTTGGCCGTCGGGGATTTGCCCCTTTCCCCTTTTATTGATAGAGCAACTATAAAGAAACTTGAGACAAAAGAGCAAAGGAGGTGTTCATGAAAAATAAAAATAAAATAATAATATGTAAAAAAAAAACAGAAACAAACTTCAAGCTTAGCGCGGACGTATAGACCAAAGCAGAAATCAGATTCTCAAAATTTTCTAGTTTTAGAATTCCAGAACGCAAACCCTGATGGAATTGACTTTCAGCCAAAAAAGCCACTTGCATAAGTACTCTTTTTTTTTTAAAAAAAAAAAAAATCGCAATGAACCTTCAGCTTTTCTCTTCGTCACATCCAAAACAGAGTTCAACAGTGAGTTTCGGTGACCCACGTCTTCTCCAGCGCGGTCCGCCGGCCCAGCAAGCCCCCAACTCTCTCCAAATCACAAATCGACCCAGGACCATGTTTTCGTCTACGGAAAGGACCTTGTTGTCGTGTGCAGAAATTCGAGAAATTTGACATCACGGCCGATGTCACTTAGAGGGCAGATGTTAGAAGATTTGGGTCTGATCAACTTCATTGAAAATCACTCGGCAAATGAGTATTGTACTCCGTAAAGCTGTGCGGGTTTAACAGAAGGTGGAGTAGCTGCGGGAAGAGGAAATGAATTCTGGATCGTGCTAGAGTGAACCTTGCCAATGCATTCGTGTCCTGTCTTACCGATCGATCTCGCTCTACTCCGTGTGAAAATGTAGATTAATTTGCAAGAACGGAGTACAGAGTTCCCACAGGAACTGTACAGTAGGTTAGACTTGAGTCTAGACTAACTAGCCAGCATTAGTGCAACAGGCGAAACATGAAATTGCGTTCAAACTTGTGTTATGTATGACGTTGTAGTTCAACCTTTATAGGGGGAACGCGTGGTAATTGAGAACAAAAACAAAACAAAAAAACAAGAGACAAAAAAACAGATAATACCTAATAGTATGATGTTGAATATAGTAGGTCAATTAGCAGCCCTTTCCTATACACAGTAGGTATTCCTCATCCGGGATGTGGACAGGAGTAGTAAAGTAAGACAGATAGGACATCACCAATGAACAAAAACATCCTAGCCTCGATCGTAAAGAGGTTTGTGCGTCCTCGCAACGGAGCATTGCGGTCCCGATCCACTGACTTAGGCCCGTGCATTGCTCAAGTGCTAGGCAGTTGGCTACGGGAAGTACTCCCGAATACGAAATTCGTTCCTACCTACTCCGTAGCTCTTGCTCCAGCGAGAACTTTATTGTCTGAGTTTTTTTTTTAAGTTGAAGTTTTTCGGTGCCTGGTAAGAGGTCTAGGCACAGACTGAAAGTAGAAGTGTGTTTCGGGCGTTGCTGCCGGAATTGGGGGGCTTTGTGGACGCCCTGGCTTGCGCTAGGCTATTGTTTAGTCCGGATACAAGATGGCATGAGGTTCTAGTGCTTACTTTAGAACTATACAAGGAAGAAATGGATAACGATAAGAATCCAATTGTCAATATGATTATTATTGTAATGGCCTAGAGTTCTTCTAGTGTTCAGGGGTAGAAACGCCAAGGAAAACGTTGGTGAATTGATTCTTTTCCACCGAAACTTTTAGAAAGTGAGGCATTCCACTCCACGTGATCTCCTACTGCCGCGTCGGCAACTTGACACGCTTCGACTATTGAATCCTATGGCAAAGTCAACTTAAATCATTGGATCGACTTGCGTAAAACAAGGATCGAGAATCGAAGAAACCCAAAAAAAAACGCTTGTTTCGCCCCATTTAAAATCTTAGGCCTGGCCAGGTTGTGAGTCTTGTGACGCACGGACGCACGCAGGCACAAGCGCAGATACAAACGCCTCGAATCCATTGAATCCACAGCAAACTTACTTACAAAACTTCCGAACTCTTCTCCGCCAGGTATGTTGGTATACATCCAGATCGGGATCCTCCTGCCAGCCTCGCGTACGAGTTTACATGATTAATTCCTCCACTCTGATGGGCCATCGCCTCGGAGGAGCGGAAGCACTCGGATGGTGTTTGAGGTCGAGAACTAGACTGACACATAGTTAGGATTCACGCGGATACCGACTGCCAAAGTACCATCGGCGAAGACTTGCGCGTTTACAAGTCCCGAGTTTCAACCCGCGCAGTGAGCGATTGCCGAGGCAGATACCAGATTCCCACAATAGGACTCGACAGGGGCATCCGTAGATTCGATACAGCTTTTAGACGTGTGGATTTGGAAATTTGACCCCCAGGTGAAATGCCGACCGGTTCGATTCCTCGCCAATCTTTGTTTGGTCTGGAAGACCAACATGTTTTCATTGCAGGCGCTGCCGGTCCCATTGGAGCCGAGGCAATCCGAGAATTCTTAGGTAGGCAGGCAGTAGTCAATTCACCTTTCCCTTATTTCTTGTTGTTGGAGAGAGGCAGAGCTACTTTTTCGCATTGGCTACAAAATAATAAATTTGTAGAGCCATGCGACCTGGCCAGCTTCCCTTTGTTTACGTGCATATCCAAGTTGATTTACATTAAAACATTTGAACACCCCGACACTGAATAAATTGCATGCCTTCTATCATTCCTACATGACCTGACCAGTACCTAGATCACGGATGCCATGTCACAGCCTTCGATAATAGCCCACTTCATCTCTCCGGCATTGACGCAGAGCGATTTTCTCGATTCAACATCCTAAATGGCGACATAACCAACGAGTCATCTGTCCAGTCTGCCTTCTCGAAGGCAGAGGAAAGATTCGGACCTGTCAATATTCTCATCGTCAACTCTGCTCAAGAAGAGTCAACCCATGATCAAAAAATTTGGGATCTTCCCCTTGATGACTGGGAAAGGAGCTACAAATTGAACGTTCGTGGTTCTTTCCTGGCCATCAAACATTTCTTACGATGCGTGGAATTGTATCAGCGAACACCAGGAAACAATTTGGTGAACCCAACTATCATTTTGACAGAAACTAAGACGCACGGAGGCCTTTCTGTGGGAAAAGCTGGGCTCCATTATGGTCTGCTTCAGACTGTGCGAAACCAAATTCTACAGCTCAGCCCCGAGGGTCGTATCAATGTCGTAATATCTGGTTCAAATGCAGAAGCGAACAACAAAGTCATTGCCCCTGCTAATGTAGCTCGAACCATGACCTTTCTGGCCTCGAGACGCCTTGCAAGTCATATAACAGGGCAGTGTATTCCAATCGAGGGGCAGGAACCATCTAGAAATGGTGTTTCCACGCTTGTTGCAAAACGAAGCCCTACACAGTCAATTCCGCGAGGTCTTGGAAAGCCGAAACGCAACAAGATTCGAGTGGCCGTGTCAGTTGATCTCGATGCAGTCTCAGGATGGCTTGGAACAAGTAAGCTCGTCCCCAATCACGATCAGCAATAATCAAACTGATGAACTTCTTTCTCTGAATGACAGACGCAAGCCCCGATAATGTTCTAGCAGATTACTCGGCCGGATTTTTTGCAGCTCACGTCGGAGTCCCTCGATTGTTGCGCATGCTTAAGAAACTCGACATCGCCGACCGTTGCACTTGGTTCATCCCCGGTCACTCAGCCGAAAGTTTCCCAGAGGAAGTGAAACAAGTCGTTGACTCAGGCTGCGAGATCGGACTTCATGGCTATGCGCACGAGGGAGCTTACCAGCTCACCCCAGAACAAGAACGCGACGTCCTTGTGCGGTGCATGGATATCGCGCATACCCTGACGGGCAAGAGGCCAGTGGGCTACCGAGCACCCCTATACCAGCTTCGCGAATCCACCCTCGATCTTTTGGAGGAGTATGGATTCGAATACGGTATGCATGATCCCCATAGTATTAAATCTGGGCATCGTATCGCATCACAAATTAACCTCCCCATTTTTCCAAAACTAGACGCTTCCCTGACCGATAATGACTGCCATCCATTTTTTGCTCCCAAGCGACCGCCAATCAAGCAAATCGATTTCTCCAAACCAGCCTCAACCTGGATGCACCCTGTTCGAGATTCAGTATCTCCGCCCGATAGACGTCCCCTTGTCTGTGTCCCATGCAACTACTACATGGAGGATATGACGCCGATGCAGTTTCTGCCCCACACGGCAAATTCTCAGGGATATGTGGATGTGCGTGTTATCGAAAATCTTTGGCGTGATCGGTTTTTGTGGATTCGGGATAACGAGGAGGAGCCAGTCTTCCCTCTTTTGATGCATCCGGATACCAGTGGCATGGCTCATGTTATTGGTATGTTGGAGCGAATGCTGAGGTGGTTGAAGGAGTGGGAATGTGAGGGGGAGGTAGAGTTTCTGCAGACTGGAGAAATTGCGAGGTGGTGGAAAGAGAAGCAGCTGGGAAAGGAAGCCAAGTGAGAGTTTCCAAATGTTCGAAAGTTGCGCAGTGAATCCTAGTCTTTTGGCTTAACGGTACTATACTTGTACTACTGACCTGAAACTCCGGAAGCGGTTGTATGTAATAACCTTGAAACTGTCAGGTAAGATTAAATAAAGAACAGTATATTCTTATGAATTTTTAACATGTTTTTACCTAAGTTTTCTTGTGTAGTAATCTTCCATTGATAGAGATTATGCAATATTGGCTAGACAAACACTAATTGACAATTGAGACTGGAATTGGTCGGTGCTACGCGAGAGAAAGACGAAGACGAAGACGAAGAGGAAATGGAAGAGGAAAAGGAAGAGGAATTTAACTGTCATTGTCTCAGCTTAAGACATATTACTTCGTTGCCCGAGAATTGTGGGATACGTCAAGCAATCGGGATTTATGTGTGGGTCACATGGTCCCTTGAGCAACGTTCAGCACTTGGAGAGAATGTGAGGGTGAGTAACCACGCCACTGATATAGGTCGTGCAATTCGTGTATACTGCAGATAATACCAAGTCGTACTAAATGCAAGGCACTTGCTAACCCGATTCAGCCTGGGTACAAACAGCTGCAGGCATCCAGATCCTGATGACCGATAGAGTCGGCGTTGTTTCAATGGTGCTCAACGAGAGCCACATGTGCATCCAATAGTCACTAGTCTGTCAGCTGGCCAACCATTTGAAGTTTTCAACTCCCCCCTTAGGACGGAAAGAGGAGAATAAATAGAAGGATGAAGGCCTAGATATACTCGGTCATTTGACTTATGTTTGCACAATTTGAAGAAAGTTTGAAGTATTGAAGTATTGAAGTATTTCATTCATGTACATAGTATGTGCATAGAGAAATATAAACCAAAAAAAGCAGGGGCTAAAAACAAAATGGGTATTTCCACAAAGTCAAATGACCTCCCAAAAACAAAATAAATGATCTCCGTGGAGGATAATCGTGTATGTATAGGGTTCCACAGATGATGAGACCAGGCGAGATAACGACATATAAGACAAAGGTAGAGGTTATAGCATCAGATAAGAAGCAAGCCATCAAATCAGACTTGCGATATCCATGCGCGAATGGGCAGAGCTGGAGCGTCCATCAGTAGTATCCGAAGCAGCGGACTCAGGATTCAGCAAGGAGGCAGAATCCTGTTGTGGCGTCTGAGCCGACTCCCTCGATTGCAATTCCTGGTCTCGTCTTTGCTTTTCGTTGATAAGTTCGTGGACTGTGCTCTCGATCCAGGCCCATGTATTCTGTTCGGATCTGTCCCAAGTCCCATCTTCCGTTTCAAGGGGTACTGAGGCGTTCCGTGTGGATGTCACGGCTTCAAGATGCGAGCCCGTCTCGCTACCCTGCCAGACCCAGCTCCCACCACTGGTTCCCTGCATATCGCCGGAAACGTAGGCCATCATCTCTTCGTCGTTGTCAAGGAGAACATTGATATCGCTCTGACGGAATCGGTCGATCAGAGCACGGAGGAAGAATGCAAGGTGTCGGCCACAGGCTACGTTGATGGCGCGAGCGTCACCGATCGATGCGCTAGCTTTGACGAATACGAGTGCTGCGGAGAATTCCTGACGGAAGAGGAGAAATAATGTGCAGCGCCAGATATGGGTGCAAAGGAGCGTGCCTGCAGATGAAGCGAAGAGAGTTCGCCAGTCGGTTTGGGAGTTGGGACGCATGCAACGGGATAGGATGGTGGCGGTGTCAATGGCAGTTGAGATACAGTAGTCCATTGTAGATGAGCGGACAATGTTCTGGCAGTAAGGTGTAATGTTATGGCGGTGGAGATGAAGGCGAGCGTTCTGGAGGTAGATGATGGGGGCCAATGAGCGGGGATCGAGGTCTTGGTCGGATTTCGGGTGGAGGTGCGGTGGGAAGGTTGCTAGGCAGGTGTTGAAGTGTCTTTCGAATAATTCTAAGGTGGCGTCGCTGATGGTTATGGATCGAAGGGTGCGAGTGAGTTGGCCGATGGATCGAACAACGTGGATGGTTGCTAGCATGGGGGTGGTTTGTGGACCTTCTGGGATATTACCCCCATCTGTGATATATTGGTCATCGACGGGGCAGGGGAGGTCGACATCGCAGTCTTGGTCATTTATTAACACGGGCTTGCCCATTTCGAGAGCGAGTAAACTGTTCACCGTGTAAGTCAATGTGTTCAGGAAGAATGAGGTTTTGTAAAGTGGTTCACGAAGTCATACCGATCCCAAGTGTACAAGCCCCACCATAGGCGTTTCCGCATTTCTCCCTCCAGTGCAGGCCATGGGCCAGATTCAATGTGCAGGCCAATCTCTTGGGCTACACGAACCGCAGATCCAATCCACACCCAGCTAGCAGACTTGGAGTTTACCTCATAGAGAAAGATGCTTGCAAGTAACGCTGCACGTGCGCGGTCCAGGCTAAAGATATCTTGCCACACATCGATAATGCCACAGGAAATGCGCACGAATTCTTTACCTTGTTCCTCGCGATTATGGTCCACGGTATGGAGGGCACCGCATGCGAAAACTCCAAACAAGACCGCTGCCCATTCAGTCGAGAACCCGGCAATAGTACCTTTCCCATAAACCCGATCGTATTCTGCCCTAAACGATGGCCAGTGAAGGACCGGCAAATCCGAGTGAATGCAGTTATAATACTGTGCAATGAGATTATCGGCAATTTCCTTAGGAGGTAGAGGTGGTACGTCGCCTGACACGAGGGATTTGACGGGTTGCTGCTGATAAGAGGTCGGAACCTTTATGACCCCGCGACCATGTTGGCGCAGATTCAGGCGCACATTCGATAAATCCTCGGTGATGGATATTTTTGGTCGTCGCGCGGGTTTATACTCAATCTCCGGCAAGGTGACCAATGGCTGCGACGCAGCTTCATCCACATCCATCATCTGATCAGGGCGGAGCCTCTCGGCCCTAGCCTGCTGCAATTGTTGCCTAGTAGTCTGAAGCTGTTTCTCCAAATCTTGGACCTGCTTGATCGATGACATGCGACGATTGGTCTCCTTGGTGAACTGGCATCGAACTCGCCGATTATTGCATTCGGTGCAGCTGCTAGAATCGGATGCATCACATTTCACCTTGCGCTCCCGACACGCATCACAGCTCGGATCCTTTCTGCGCTGTCGGTAAGCGCGCTTCTGCTGCATTTGACTTTGGACGTGACTAGAGTGTCCCATGGGGCTCGTTTGGAACAGTCCGGGATTTCCCGGCAAGGCGCCCATATGTGAAGCGTTGTCGCGCATGCCTCCATTTTCAGCTGGCGATCCCGATGCCGAGTCGTAATATCGGTCATAAGGCGATGGCGATGGACCTGGTACCACCGGCAAGGCATGTGAAGGGGGAGCTTGAGGCATTGGCTGTTGACCTGGAAGCTGAGGCATAGGCTGTAATAAATGCGACATGCGCATCCCGCTGTCGGGTCTACTTGGCGGGGCGGAAAGCATCGCGCCTGCCGAGAAAGCGCCCGACGTCACCGACTGCACGGGAGGCAGCTCATATGAGCTTGGAGTTTGAGCTCCCGCACGAAAGGGAAGAGGATTCATGTCGGATATGCGATATTGAATATCATCCACTCTTTTTTCAAACCTTGGAATGGTTCTTCCTTTTTTTCTTTTTTTTTTGGACCTCTCAAATGTTCCTTTCTGCGCCCGCGGGGAGAAATCAAGAATTGAAAAGGTTAAATTTGGTGAAGATTTTCGTTTTCCCCCCAGTTTTGTTCGTTTTCCTTTTTTGTTTTTTCTTGAAAGAAAAAAAAAAAGGAAAGGGAAAAGAAAGATGGTCAAGGTCAGTAAAGCATGCGATGGGCAAAAGTCCAGGCGTTTCCTGCGATCAAGATCATAGAGCGGGCAATAAGCCGCGAGAGGATCCGAGTGGGCAGAAAAGTCACTATCGCCCCGAGGATTCCAGGCCCTGATGGCTTAGCTCCAATTCAAGACGGAAGCGCGGGTCATTCAACAGACAAGTCGTAGGCCATTCTGGACGTAGAAAGGAGTTTTTGTGAAGTGGCGAAAATCTCACGGAGAATAAAAGGAGACCAGTCGACGGGTGAGTTCAGTGAGTTCAGTGGACACGTACGGATAGATCATCCGAATCTCAAGAACCAACAAAAAAAAAAAAATAGGGGAAAAATGTATATATATAAAAAAAAAGATTTAAGAATATAAAGAACTTAAAGTGTAAGAAGAATCCGGGATGGAGATTCAAATGCCGAGGTTTGAGGGGGGGCGACTTTGCGGCGAATTATAAGGCGAATGAAGATCCAAGAATCTTGTGAAGAAATGGACGTGTAAGGATCACCCTTTCTCTCTCTCTCTCTTTTTTTTCCACTAGGATTCCGGGTAGAGAAAAAGCAGAGAAGAGAGAAAGAAAAAAAAAAGCCAAGCAAGGGGAGTAGAACAGAAGCAGAAGAGACGAAAAGACGAAAGGAACCAGATCGACAAGAGGAGTATTACGATCACCGTTCTCCTAGGCCCCATCAGGGTCCGGTATTATGACCCAAAGAGTCGGATCGTGGAGATGGAAATGAACGGCCTGAATTAAGGAATCTTCAGCCGAAATGATAAACCTTGGGGGTATTTGACTATTTCCTGTGATACATAATTCGACAACTTTCTAATGCTATATGCCCTAACACTTCTGCTTCTTTTCTTGAATCTTGCTCGAACCTGAAGATCCCAGATAACCAAACGTGAACCCGTATGCCTCGATCCGGTTGAAGGGGAAGTCGGTAAAGTCTCCCTTGTCGGCAGAGTTAGCGGGGTCCCACTTGGAGCCATCGAGCGGTCCGTGACAGCTTTTAGATCGTCAAATCGAACTTGCTTTTCTTGTTGGTTTTTTCTTTTTTCTTTTTCTTTTTCTTTTTTTTTAAAAATGGGGGATTCAGGAATGGGGATAAAAAATAACAATGGTCTTAAATATTTTCTTACCTTTTTTTTTTTTTTCTTTCTTTTTTTCATATTTTTCCTCATTTATTTCCTGGAATCTTTTTAATTACACTTATACAGGGAAAACATTAAACGAAAGTTACACGAGGCAATTAGAGTTAATCATTTTAACCTGGAAGTCACTTTTGGTATATAGTATAGTATTACTAGTATAGTATACAAGGTAATTACTACATTTCCTTTATAAACATATCTATGGAAATGAAGATCTCGGCGCCCGCCGTGCCGTGCCTTTTTGATCCAGTTACTGCGCCCCGTTTCACCTTCTGCACGGTTACTCCCCTTGACTTTGTCCACCGCTACGGTTCAATTTCCAAAAAAAAAAAAAAAATCTAAAATCAGAATAAAAAAGATGATCGCTCGGGAGTCATGCACCGGACCACATGGAAAGCAAGTCCGGATGTTGACCGGGTGGGGACCAGTGGCAAAGGAAAAAAAAACAACCAAGCAATCTTGGAATACGGACAACTTGAAGGACAAGGACAATCGTTGCTTATTCGGTAAATCACTGCCGAGCATGGCATATCATCGGGGACAGAGATGCCCGATATAGTCAAGTGTCAACATTTGAAGTTGTCCCAAATCTGCCATCAACCGAATCTCATCCGAATAGACGTTGGCATTCCGGCCCCAGTGCTGGACTCCGCAAAAGGGGAGATGATCACCTCCAAAGCTACCATGCCCCGAGCGCAAAATACGAACCTCGTTGCCTTCAAATGCTTCAAATGTTTGGATTTGGTTGGGTTTGTTTTTGGTAATGTAATTTTTTTTTTAAGAAAAACTCCCCATTTTTCCATTTGTACTAAGAGAGTACAATTTTCAAACAGAGTCGGATTTCTGGATTGAATTACAACTTTAAACCCCCCCCCCCCCCCTTCTCTCTTTCTCTTCTGCGGGTTCCACTTACAAGGATTCTGAGCCGACGAGACGCCCGGAGAAAAGCTCCCGAACCACTCCGGTTGGCTTGTCCTTTCCCATGGGTTTGGGACCATGATCACAGGACCAGCTACCTAACCGTGCATTCTATGCAGGAGAACCACTAAGTACCGGTTAGGCTAGTGCGCCGTGTATTCCGCAATTGCCTAGTCTCGTCTAGGCTCGAAACCGCCAGCTTGGGCAAAATGATATGGCCCTCCGATACCAGTTGAAGCCACAAAATAAAATACAGATCGATCATTGGGAGATCAATGAGAAGAGTTAAAAAAGGCTGACTTTTCCCCCCTCCTTTGACTCTCAGAGAGGGAAAAAAAAAGTGAAAATTTGCATAAATCCTTCAAACACGGAGTAAGCGATCCATGCAAGCCCTGGCGCATCAATTTGCCCTTGTCGCGGGCCGATGTTCGTGATGAAGAAGTTGTTCTCAGGCTGAATACGGGACTCTCTCTCTACTTCCCCGCACCTCTTACACCTCTTCGGCTACGCTACGCGATAAAGCCCCAGATACTAAGTCCATACACGTACAGTGACCATTCTAGGGCCTTGATACGTAGGACGGATGCGCTGAACACCCGAGAGTAAGTGGTCCATTCTACGCGCCAGTCCTGCGCTATGATGTGGTGAATTGCGCCATTTGCGCCCCCATAGCCCACGAAGTCCAACGAATGCTCCAACAAAAAGCCCCGGAGATTGCTGTAGCGCCAATGACAATTTGCCTTACCCTCGCTTATACTGTAGTCCCTGTGTTCCTGTACATACTGCATTCAGGTCGCCTAAAGGGTAAATTTGAAATGAAAATCAAAACAGACAGGAGAAAAAAAAAACTTAATTAATTAATTTGCCAAAACTCTTGTACATTAGACGAGGCGGCTGAGAAGAGTCCTCGGTTCGTGCCGTGTCAACCAGTCGGAAGTATTTCTCCAAATGCATCAGACTTGTTTTCTAGTCACTTTGGGTTTGTATGCACGGTCCAAAATGAGCTTGGCGGTAAAAAAAGGAAAAAGAAAAAGAAAATAAAAGCGAAAAAGCGAAAAAGCGAAAAGCGTGGACCCTCTATAGACCAATGTTATGGTGAATTCGGCGTATGATCGACAGGTGGCCTAGAATTCACTGTATACCAACTATGGATACGGAGTACATTATTGACACTTATGCATCTCCCAAGAGAACCGGACTTTTATCACTAGTAGCGAGTGTTAATTGCCCACGTAGCCATTCTCTTTTCACTAGCCCTCGCATGACCTTCCAACCTACTCCGTACTACATTTAAACTGCACCCTCATATCTCCTCCCCGATGCCTCCCGATGCCTCCGTACAATTCCTCCAGAAACTTCCCCAAAGTTCTCAACCCCCACTTCTAAGAATAAGTGGGCTCAAAGGCCGTGGGAAAGGCGATCAACATTTTGACTACTTTGAGACTTTACTTTTGCCTACTGTACTCCGTGCAGCCCACAGCCTACGGATATCAGTTACAATACGGTTTACAACCTACAACCTAATAACCTAAGCTCTTCTTAGTATCCATGAATAGTATTCACATTATTCAAGTTCGGACAACCCACCTCCTACAACTTTGGTTCTTTGTACGTACTCCTGAGTCGAATGGATCTTTTTTTATGGAGTCTACTCCAATTCCTTCTCCAATTGCTTCACCGAACCCAGTTTCCTCCCCGTTCCACTTGCTTTCCTGGTCTTTGTCGTCGAGTCTATTTTCCAGTTGCCCCACAGCGGGACAACGATCCGAGGAAGATGAAACACCGCCGGCCACCAACCGAGACCTTCCGATTTGCCTGGCCCTGGGGCGGGTTCTGTGACCTGACAGACAACTTTCTATCTGAGACCGGAGGGCTCCGTGGTCTAAATCGCGGGAGTCTCAGTTTAATCTCAGTTTAATCAATTGCTTGGCTTGCCTTGATGACGTAGACATGCCGCTTTTCTCTCGGAATTCGCCGATTATGGTAAATGGTGCTTGGTTGGTAGGTGGTGAAGAGAGGGGCCTCTCTTTTCCTCGGTAGATGCTAAGCTCGAGAGACTCCGATCTTGTTAGTGTAGAATGTTGATGACACTATTGCATTAATGGAGGGGTTTTTTTTCTTATGGTCGTGAGCGTGATTGCCAAGGTTCGCCGCCTTCTAGCCGAGGCCTTCATCCCTACTAGCCCAACTATGCGGAACGCCTTTAATTCAGTGCGAACGCCAGGAACCCCATTGTTGCATTGGTCGGCTTCATGTGGTTGCAGTGCAATTTAATATCCTTTTTTTTTTCGAGTTTATTAGCCGGGAATCTTTGCCAATCGTCCACATATGGCAGGTGTTAAGGGATCATTGATTGGTGTGCCGCGTGTAAGCGCTTCGACAGTGAGACAGTAATTGCAACGCCTGTACGGAACAAAAAGCATCTTCAAATGTCCAAATCGCCACCCTAAATGTATATGATTAGGTTCGCATTCGAATGTCTCTGGCGCTTTGTTGCCGAAATCGGGAGAAACTCTCTGCCGTCGGCTGGGCGATCGTGCAGATCAATGCCACTGACGTCTGCCGCCACTTAAAGGCTGAACGACGGGCTGTCGCAAGCCCCAAAGTGCCGCTTTCGCAGACGAATGTCGGTCAAGGGATTTCTCATATGTTCACTAAATCGAGCAAACATTTGTAGCCTTTGTTCCGCCGCACACGTAGAAGGCGTTTCCTGGTGTTTTGTTCTCGAGCACTTCAATCAACATTCGAAATGGCTGGAGAGCCGATGGGCTTGGAAGATTGAACAAATGCCGATTTTGAGCACTGACACCTGAAATTTTGCCGAGCGTGAAGTCGCCACCTATGTCTGTTTGTATGTCGTCCATGTGCTTTGCATCGCTCATTTCGCCTGGTAATCATTTCGGTAAATTGCCATTCGACACCTCAATGAATAGTTTGGGGGTGGAGAATTCTCAATTCAGAGTATACACACGATGATTTTACAAATTATGTATCTGTCATCGATCAATTACGATTGTGCGCACCCATTTTAAAGACCTCCAGTATGTAACTACCTACATAGTGAGTTTAATATGTAGTACCTTGAATGGAAAAAAACATTTGAAGGTTATGTACTCAAGCAAGTGCTCTTGACAAGTTCTGGGTTCAATTGATGCATGTGTTCAATGTTTGTACTTGCACAATCTCCTCAAGTACTCAAATTTATGTATACATAAACATTTTAGAAATATTAATTGATTTATCCAGATGTCAACTGGTGTACATATCAATCAATCCTAGCTATGGAGCAAGCGCAAGTTCTACATAAACTCTCTCTGCGTCCATACATACCTCGATCCTGTCCTGGGAATATAAGCATATATCCCCCGAGGCTCATCATCATTTATGAATGCCAACGCAAAATTCAATGTTCGATGCATATGTACATCTACGACGCGCGTATGTGCGGCTCTCTAGGCTTGTATATACAGAAAAGGGCAGATATCCTGTGGGGACATTACTCTGGTTCTATTTGAAAGTTCCAACATTGAAGGTTGCAATTGATGTGGCGTGTCACGCGTCTGCATCTCTTTTAAGTGAACGGGTTATGCTCAGAACTCGTCCTGCAGCTTGGAAGATCGGGACATCCTTGCTCGAACCATTACTATCGTCTCAAGTGCTTGAGTGAATTGTTTGGGAGGAGCATCTGAAACCAACCCACGATTTCGCTAGTGATGAGTCCGTTCACGAAGAACTCGCAACCATCAAGCCCATCAGCAAGAACATCGCCCCGATCAAACGCCTTAAGGTAAAAGCTTCTACAGGGTCGACAGTTTCGGCGACAACAAGTGACGAGGATGCACTCCGACTGTTACAACGGTTCCAAGAGGTTCAAACAATCTCACCACATGTGCACCAGAGTGGTTCTCTGCAAAGGTGCTCTCCACCTATAGGTTCAGGCAACCTTTACATTCTCTCCTCTTGTTCCTCTTTCTTGACTCTCTGAACTGATTCTCCTATCTATCTGGTTATCCTACCACATTATATCTTGGCCTTGATCTGTACTCGAGTGCTCTATGCCAATCAGAATTTGAATGGCAATACATTGCAGACAACGCTCCAAAGGTGCTTTACGCGGTAGCCCCCTCCCCGCTCACGGTCCTAGATTGAACATTGCCAAAAATTACCATGATAATTGTCATTGTGGGAATCATACTGGGACATCTTCATTCAGTTGAGGACCAAGTAGAGGTCCACAATCCCCTGTCAGTTGAAAAACACCCACCTACCTACCATACCGTGCCGAATTCAGAAATGAATCAAGTCAGAGTCACCACATTTCTACCTTGCAACTTTCACAGAACCCAAGTTAGGATAAGCAGCCCACGAGGAGCAGAAACATTTTGGACGGTCGCATGCTATTGGAAAGCTGTGCTTCGGCCGGATACTGACCGGTTTCAAATGTTTGCATTGGAGACTAGTATACCCTGGGAACTTCCCCGATTATATGGCGGAAGATCTGTACCCTGGCGTGGTAAGGGACTTCGCAATTAGCAGACGACTTTCAAGTCTCTTCTGGCTCAACGTATCCCCAGAAGACTTTGATTCACGAGCCTTCCCATTTACTCACAGATGAGGTTCGGGAAAGCCGTGGTTTCGAAACCATCCCAAATTTGAATGCTTCTTCTCCTATCGATTTTCCATTTATTTTGAAATGTCCAACGCTAGCTGGAATATGAGGCCCCTGTTTGTTGTCAGTCTCAACAGGTTATGGGAATGATGTTGCCTGTGGAATATAGTTTATCTATTTGCGTGAAAGTAGATAAGGGCACTAAATATGAGCACTTGAGCTCATAGTCTATCAACGGCTGAAGCAGTTTTTGCCTTAGTGCAAAAAACCACCCTCTTACTAGTTATAGTAGAAATAAGTAGAAGGCATCCTTCTTCATTTGGTGACCCAAGCTCATACTACCTAAAATTCAAGTTGGTACCCAGCACTGGAGCATAAGAAAGCTGGCTTATACTGGGTCCTCTATGTATCATTCTACATCATTCAAATTCGATACAACAGCATATATATGCATGAGTTCTTGCCTCAAGTGCTCTCAAGGCTGTTTTATTTCCCAATAAAGCACCGAGGGTACCCCTGTCACTCAGTCTCTACTATATAACATTATAGTTATGTAACCCAGAATAAAATTTGACAGATTATGGTTCCATGCTCCGTCCTTTTGCCTACTTCAATACACTAGCCTATGCCTGAGTGTGTAACCTACGCGAAAAGAAATGAGTTGGCGTGATACAATTGGAGAAAATACATCAGCCAAGCTGCCTCTTTCGTATCCTAAGAAAAGTCCACCCTGTTGAACAGTTTTGGAGGGGGTATTACCCCTTTAAGACTACCAGTGCCGTTGGGCTCTTTGCGGTAGATCCAGTTTCAGTTTCCCTTGAATCCTTTTTATCTCTCGTTTCAACGTTCTTCTTCTTTTTTCTTTCTCTCTCAAGCAGCTTGCCATTTCCTACCATCAAAGATTCCTTCTAAGGTTCATTTTGTTTTTTTTCTCCATTGGTTCTTGTTAGCCACTGAAGACACCTTATTTATATTTATATTCTCAAGTGCTCTCACTCTACTTCTTGAATTTCAGTTTCCTCTCAACCGCTCAAGAGTCATCCTCCAATCGACTTCCTATCGCTTTGGAAATTAGTGCAAGATGGCACTACTCTTCAAAAATGGGAGCTGCACCAGGCTGGAATACTTGTGAACAAGTCGACCTGACCTTTTCTTTCCCATCGTATGAACCTGTGAGTATTTTTATCAATTGATTATATGCAATATTGAAGCAAAGGGTTTCAATAAAGTGCTAATTTATCTCACATAGAGCCTGGCTCGGAGCCCAGAATCAAAGTATATCACGGAGAATGGAAATGCTCTCAGTACAGTTGAGTAAGCCATGAAGATATGGATTGATGTTGAGTTTGAGGTCACTAAAATTTCAAACTCCACGGGTTTTAGATGCTTTCAGGTGTTTAAGTGCAAATAACATCCTCAGGATGCATATGTATAGAGCGGCATCATGTGAGGTCGGAATCCAGGCGACTCGGAATGGCCACCTATGTCAAGCGCAACACAAATTCCATAGCTCCGGCATAGCTCCGCAGAAGACAAGTTTATACCATCAATGATCACCGAACTGTGGTTAATCCGATGCACATCGCCCATACTCACTGTGACACACATCCGACTTCCTGCCGTGGCCTTTACCGGGTATCGGACAAGTGGCATCCACGGCGATGAGAGAAGGAGATGAGGATGACAATGAACCAGGGACGGTTCTGCTGAGAGAATTCCAGCACGAAGTCGATGAAGCGACTCATGTCCATGAATCGATTGAGGTACCGATGTCTATTCGACGCCGACGTCGTCCACAACCATCATCTCGTCTGGTTCCACAAGAAACTCCTGAATCGCTGACTTTGTCACCGCCACCTCCGCCACTCCGACCCGAATTCGAATATAACTTCGATGCAGAACTACCAGACTTCGGGAACGAAGATTCACCGGTAATCCCGTCTACAACCAAGGCCGTGAAAACTTCGGAGAAGTTTCCCTGGAGGCCCTTTACCGGGTATCGGACAAGTGGGAAGAGCACGAAGAAAGTAATGAGAAGCAAGATAAGGACAGAGAAAGACGGATCAGAGAGTTGTTCGAAGATTCATATTTCTGGCGGATGGTCTCCATAGCTGGAACTCAATCTTGGAAGGCTTCTCGGTTCAATTTGACAGATGCCAACACAAATTACCGCTCAAGAAGAACTGACGACCAATTGAGGTGATATGATAATATTTCTGATGCAAGATCTTTCACAAAATGCATAGTTCGTCTAGTTTGAAAACTATCATCCAGCAACGGCTTATTGTTGTTGTTGATGTTGCTGCAAGTCAAATTTCTCAGTAATAACATTCACGATCTTCGAGAGACCCTCCATCTCCTCCTCGACAGCCAATCCAAGCCCGTTGGGGTCGATGCTACAGCCAACGTAGATTGGCTTGCCAGTGCGCCGGGCAAGAATTTTGGCTACTCGGGTAGCGTACTCGATACTTGAAGGTGATGTGTAAATAGTGGTGGATATTGTTTGTTTTGAAGATGTTCGCTTCAATCAGTTAGTGACAGCTTATAATAAGGATTGAGGGTGAAGTAGTGGCATGGAATGAAGCAGGAGCCGGACTTCAAAAATTGAAATATTCGGAGCAACAAGGCGTCCTAGACGCAGTAGTCTTGAGTGGAGAAATGAACACGGCAGCACACGTTGTAAGATGAAAAAAAGGCACGTTCAATGGGCTATCAAAGACTTCACGTGACTTACATCCGGCATCGCATACACAAAGCTTCCCAGTGGCTTATAGGAGCCTGCTGAGTCACCAGGCGTGGAAGTTGTCAGAAAAACTGTCGTGCAGTTTCCCAAAAAGGTCAAATGAACATGTGCTGTGGTATGCAAAGCTTTAGGAAGTGGGAAAGAAAGCTCCAGTGGTTGGAGACTGGGCGATGAAAGCCCCGTCTGGGGGACGGTCACTGGCTCTGCAGTTGCCATGGCCATAATCCTCGTGTTACACTATCAAACAAATTCGTGAAAGAAGTTTGTGGTATGATTGCGATTGGAAAACTGATCCGAGGTGACTGTCGTGGTTGATGACAGTTTGCTGGTCAAAGACGTGCGTCCCCCGCCATGCGGCAAAACACAAGCGATCCACCAATCCCGGTCAACTTTGACCGCACCACACAAATCAGCGGGATCAACACTATCCAGCATTCCCAGCATAACCAGGTTGAAAAACAACTCTGTTGTTTCGCAGGGTATTCTGGCTAGGATGGAACAAAATGATTCTGTTCAAGAAGGAAATGACCAACGTAGCTGGGGAGGGGAATTTGATCCTTTAGCTGACCCCGAGGAGCGCCGGGTTCTTTTCGCTAGCTTGGACTCGTTCAGGTGAGTGGAATATAGATGGATCGTTCATATTAGAGAAATAGTGTATAATTGGAATCCAAGAGTTTCAAACTAAGCACGCTACAGACAATACCGTCGAAACGCTCACCTGAACACGACACATCGTCGGCGACAGGCCTTCTACGCTTTGCCTTCGGAGCACTGGAAAATGCTATCTGAGCCACCATTCTCTATCCTAGACAACTTCAACAAGGTGGATGATGCTATCGACGCCAATGCCGAGATCGCCGAGGCAATATTGGCCGTCGGCCTCGAGGCCTTTGGGGTTTCTGCCAACCCAGACAAAGACGACCCAACCAAAAACTGGCACGGGACTGCGACAACATCTGACGTGAACAAAGCCCACTCTACCATCCGGCAGTTTTATCGTGACTGGAGTGCCGAAGGCCGTATTGAGCGCGAAGTTTGCTACGACCCAGTTCTCCAGGACCTACACAGCGAATTTCAGGCGCGTCGTGCAGCCGGTGAGAAGATTCAAGTCTTGGTCCCTGGTGCGGGGTTGGGCCGGTTGGTGTTTGAAATGTGCATGGCTGGATTTGCCGCAGAAGGGAACGAGATCTCGTACCACCAGCTAATGGCTAGCAGCTGGGTTCTCAATTTCACGGCGGGGCCTGAAGCGCACACGCTCCATCCATTTGCGTTACACTTCTCGAACCTCAAGTCTCGCGCACAGCAATTGCGATCCGTCATGATCCCCGACGTACAAGCGGGGATGGCAATCCAGTCGGCGGCTTCGAATGGGGGCATTGACGGGTCGATGTCGATGAGCACGGGGGATTTTTTGGTTGTGTACAACAGGCCCGATCAACGGGAAACGTTTGACGCAGTGGCGACGGTGTTCTTTATTGACACGGCACCTAATCTGATTCGGTACATCGAGGCGATCCGACATTGTCTCAAGCCGAATGGACTCTGGACCAACGTTGGACCTTTGTTATGGCATTTTGAAGATGGGCACAACCGCAAAGATGATGGTGATGGTGATGCGACGGGAATTGGTGAAGCGGGTAATGTGGAATTGACCGAAGAAGAGGTAATTGCTCTAATCACTCGCATGGGATTCCGTTTCGAGACAATGCCGAGCGATCGGCAGTCTTGCGGCTATATCCAGGATAAGGATAGCATGCTTCAGAACCTGTATCAGCCTTCACATTGGGTTGTGCGGAAAGTGGCTGAGACTGCCGAATCCTGAATCCTTTTAAGGGTTCCCTTTATGTTATACTAAAAAGAAGTGAAATTCTCCGAAGAACAGAACATATCTATGGCCCCCGAATTCCTAATAGATTTTTTTTTTTTTTTAGAAAAATTCCCCCCTAATTTTTGTTTTTTTGTCATCAAAGGTTGGGGGCGGGAAACAAAGAGAAGGGATGGTTGAGCACCCGCATTACCGTGGATCTTTGACCTGAACAAAGAACATTTGAACGTGTAAACAAACAGAACCTTGGAACCTTCAATGTTATTTAGATATACCAGTAGTTCAGGATACCAAAATTACCTGAAAATTCCACTATAAACTTGATCCCTGGCAATATCTAGGAACCTTTTATTACGGGTCATGTAGGTTACAGGTTACAGGTTACAGGTTACAGGTTCCAAGGTTACATATTACACCTTGTCACCCTTCCTAGTACTCACTAGTAGCTTGGAAAATGAGGGGGTTTACTAGTATTGTCAACGGGTTTTCAATTGTTTTTGTTATTCGGCTTCAAAACCTCGTCCTCACCTTACCCGTATATTCCCTAGTATAATCCATCTTTCGACCCCAATTTCTCCCCTTCTCAGCCTCAGGTCGATCCCAACCCCAATCAAGGTCTCTTTCTCGTAACCCTTGTCTTTCTCTTTTCGTTCTTTTTCTTTTTCTTTTCCTTTTTTTCTCTCTACCCGATCCCTTTTCCTGGGCTGACAGGTGAAGAGAGGAACTTTAGAGAAATCGCTCCACACCGTTTGTTTTAAACTCGTATTCGAGATTCAGCCTTGCACCTGCCCCCTCCCCTCCCACCCCCAATCTCTTTTCTTTCTTCCCTTTTATCCACCCCCAACCCCCCCTCCCCCCCTAAGCGGCTGCCGCATATGCCCGACCTGATGAGCGCCCGATTCAAGTCGTTCGGCTTTCCCAGACGTAAAGACAAGCACAACTCCGCTCCGTTATCTACCCCAAACGCCAACCCCATCGTCCCCCCCTCCAACGGAACTTCACCCACTTCACCACCTTCAAATCGCAGTTCATCTACTACAAGTCTCCCGCAGGCTATGAGCACGGGTCGACCGCCAAGTTACTCGGTTAATAACAGTAACCGCCCAACAAGCCCCTTGGCTCCCGGTCAACAACTCGTCCAACATCCCGCCCCTCTTAACCCTTCCGCCATGAATCAATACGGACAATCTATCCCACAACAAATGAATGCGCCACCGGGTTACGGTATGCAGCCACAACAGTTGGGACATGGTGCTCCCGCGGGTCTCCCTCAGCAGTACGCGGGACGCAACCCCGCCGCCGAGGCCTCAAGTGGAGATCGCAGCAAGGCCCAGCTTATCGTCGGTATCGATTTTGGTACCACTTTCTCCGGTGTCGCATTCGCCTTTGCAACCAACAACGAGGCCAGGGAGGATATCATCACAGAGTGGCCTGGTGCTGGAACCCATACCAAACAAAAAGTGAGTAGTATACCATAGTAACGCCTATCGCTTATCAGGTTCCTCTCTAACCTTTTGGTTCATCTTTCAGATTCCCACCGTTCTCTACTATGATCAGTACCAAAAGGTAGTGGGCTGGGGTCCAGATATCGCTGAGGCGCTGGCGCCCACCGGATACCCCAAACCAGGTGTGCAGAAAGTAGAGTGGTTCAAGCTTCAGTTGATGCTGTCGGGAAACACCTATATCGACCCTATCAACCTGCCCCCACTCCCCCCAGGAAAGTCCGAAATCGATGTCGCCGCCGATTATCTCTTCAAACTACGACAGGCTATGCGCGCTCAACTACAAAAGACTCTTGGTGAGGTTTTCACCCGCGAGGAGCGCAACATCCGCTATTACCTCACAGTACCGGCCATCTGGAATGACGCCGGCAAGGCGGCCACTCGTTCCGCTGCCATCCAGGCTGGTTTCCTGCGTGATGAGAATGATAACCGTTTGACGCTGGTGTCAGAACCGGAGGCAGCTGCCCTGTTTTGTGCGAAAACTGGATTGCTGAATCTGAAAATTGGAGATGCGATCTTGATCGTGGATTGTGGTGGTGGAACCGTTGATTTGATCGCGTACGAGGTGGAGGAGGAACAGCCATTCAGTGTGATGGAATGTACGGCTGGTTCAGGAGATTCCTGTGGCTCGACAGCGCTCAACCGCAACTTCAGCAACATCTTGCGAGCCAAGATCCGGAAGATGAAACTGCCTGATGGTTCTCGGACGGCTGGCAAGGTCTACGCCAAATGTATTATGGATTTTGAGAACCGCATCAAGGCTGACTTCCGTAATAACGGACAAAAGTGGGCCGTGGATGTTGGTATCGAGGCCGACTTCCCCGATGCTGGAATTGAGGAGGGTTATATGACTTTCACCAATGAGGAAATCCTCCAGTGCTTCGAGCCTGTGGTGAATCGCATTCTAGAGCTGGTCCGGAACCAGATCATTGCTATCCAAGCACAGAACCGCTTGCTCCAGGTAAGAGGGATAGCTTTCATTCTTATCTTGATCACATCATATTGACTTTGTCCCTAGAACGTTCTGGTCGTCGGTGGTTTCGGTGCCTCTGAATACCTCTTCCAGCAAATTAAGCTTCACGTGCCTCCACAATACCAGACCAAGGTTGTCCGCCCTATGGACTCCGTAGCCGCCATTGTCAAGGGTGCCGTCACTGCCGGTATCACCGAACGAGTTATCACCCACCGTGTTGCCCGTCGACACTACCTCATGGCCACTCTGCAGCCTTTCAAGGAGGGATACCATCCAGAGCAGTACCGCGTACCCAGTCTAGATGGCCGAGACCGATGCAAGTACACTCGCCAGATCTTTGTCCAGAAGGGCGAGCGTGTCAAGATTGGAGAGCCTGTGAAGGTCAGCTTCTTCCGTCAGGTGGCCCCGGGTGCCACCCTGATGTACGAGGATGTCCTATACGCCTGTGATGAAGATGTCTGCCCTGAGTACACCAAGGATCCTCGTAAGTTTCTCCTAATTTTTTCAAGTTTCAGTTTTACCCTTCCCCCCATGTGCATCATATACTGAACGTCCTTCGATATAGGCATCAAGGAGGTTGTCACCCTCACTTCGGATCTGTCGCGCAAGAACTTGGAAACCGACTTTGAGCGCATGGATACCCCGCAGGGTATCTTCTACCGGGTATACTTTGATATTTACCTTACCTTGGATGGCAGTGAATTCAGCGCCGAGCTGGTCTGTCAAAATGAGATTATGGGCCGCTGCCGTGCCAAATTCCGGTAAAGGCCACGCCAACACAAAAACACATGACTGAAAAGTTCGGACGCGACACATGGGAGTCGTAAATATAATTCCTCCCTGGTGAAGAAAAAGAGACAAATGTTGCGGACGATTTTTCAATTTTATTCTTATTCCGGGATGACCCTTGTTTACAACTGACTGGGCAGCACTGCACTGGAGAACGGGCGTTGTTTGATTCCTGCCGAATCCTTTCCCTCTCTCTACATACCTGAAACAGCGTGCTTTTTTGGATTTATTACTCTGTTCTTTTTGATTGGTGATATATATCCTTTGGCGGATTGCCTATCATGTTTTTTTCTTCTTTTTTTCACATCTTACCCTGGCCCTCTTAGATACCTCTTTTATTTTTGACTTGAATGATATTTACGAGCTGTGGTCGACAGATTGGCAGTGTCCGAGTAATGCTTCTCCGTTCAAATTTTTTTTTTTTTTCTGCGAGAAGGCCTAGTACGAGTTGAGATGCAGGACTTGGGGGATTTGGTGATAATAGAACTGTTTTTGTTCCAATTTTGTTACATTGATATTTGAGTCCTTAATTTCTATTTGAAATAGGACAGTGGAAAAGAAAGTCATAGTCATCATGGCCATTATCAGGTCTCCAGGTTGATACTCCGACCAAATCGGGCATACAGCGAGACCTTCAGCTGCTGCAGTTCCTCACGAAGCTCACTAATGGAATCTTCTAGCTTGGACACGTCTGTATCAATCTGCTCCGTGGATGTGGTCAACATAGCCTGCGCCTCTGCCAGGGGAAGCTGGAAGAATGAGTCGCCGATTTTGTATCTATAGGATATCAGAAAGGTTCAATGAAGAAAAGTATCGAGGGAATGAATGTGAAAATTCGATGATACTTACGGGACAAGATCATCTTCATCAGCCAACTCCAATTCCATGGAAACTTCTTCCAGGTCCTCCTTATCCTTCTATATGATTGTCAATTACAACCCCTTTGCGTCAAAATATCCAAATAGCAGAATAGGCAAAAGCTTCAAAACATAAACTACTACCCAAGAAACATACCTGCTTGGCCTTCAACTGATCCTCCAAAACAGTTTCTCGCTGATGCAACCGGCTAAACCGATTAATCTTCTCCTGATCCTCACGGCGGACCTCGTTCTCCTCGCCACCAGCGGCGCCCTCTTCGTCTCTTGAAAGCTGTACAGTTAAAATGGCATTAGTTCATTCGATATTCCCTTCTGGATTTCCTCATTGTGGCCCTCATGATTCCGTTCCCCGTCTTTCATGCCAAGGCTCAAGGTGGGATGGAGGGGTAGGTGAACAAATTTGCACCCCTAGTCCCCCCGACACGGGAGCTGGGGGATATATAGCTTACCATACGTGGCTGAACCATTGTGGTGTGTAATTTTGACTTAGCAGAATAGATCTGGGCAGTGAGGAAATGGGTTTGTTGGGTTATGTTTAGGAGGTTTTGGTTGCGAGATTGGATTTGATGCTTGGTCCGTGCGCACATGTGTGGGCCCCGGGAGCTTTTCTACTTTGATGTTGATTTCTGAGAATAAGTCAAATGATACTCTGATATCTAGCGAGATGAGAGGAAATCTTGTCAATTACATGTCCAGCTGAAAAGGACCCTTCAGTGTTCAAGCAGGGCACCTAGAAAGCAATATTTTGATTACATGGCCCACCAGTTGAGCTAGGGAATCCAATGTTCAATGTTGGTATAGTCAAGGTTGAAGATATGAGATCTGGAGTTCAACCCCGATCAATAGGTGGACCTGATATTCATTGTACCACTTGAGAGCTTCCTAAGCTGTGCTATGTCTTGGTTTAGAACAAATAGTTCAGCGTACAAAGTATACACTACTAGTAACATGGACAATGGCTCTGTTCCCCGGTCGGGTGACATCATCACCAGTCTCAGGTGCTGTAACAAGATCAAAAATGCGATTTCAAAGCTTCCGTCTAATCTCATGATCTGAAGAAATACTCCATCCAAAGTCCCAAATTCTCAGGTAGAAAATATTATTGTTGGGCAAGTCGGGCCTGTGCTAGTCTATACCTCGTCACTAGCACAGCCAGTAACAAGCCACACTCGGAGAAAACGAAAAACACCTCCGCAGGAACCTCAGCCATCGTCTCCAACTTGACACATAGCCTGTCACCAACCACAACCACCTCCTTCCGACCGGTCACTCATTTCCACGCTTCAGTTATCATATTCTACGACGAGATCCCACAGAGTCCAACTACGAATCAATCTACCGAGCTCGTGTGAGCTCCGACCGGGATCCCGAATCCATCAACCCGCTCCCATCCCCCCATACACCCACCCGACCGCCGCTATGCGGGTACAAACCACCGGAGTGTCACTGTTGCTTTCGGCATTATTACCCAGTATCGCATCGGGTTATATCTTCGACTGCGCGGATGTTAAGACGAAGGAGCATACATACGATTTGAGTGGACTGCGCGGCACTCACGAGATCACGCACTCCTCTGGTAACGGAACGGAAGGCCTGATTACCAATACAACTTATGTGCTCAATATCTGCAATAACTTGAAGGGGGCTGCCAATCGTCCTGAGGGGAAATGCGGGACTACTAAGAACAGTACGTGGACTTCAACCCATCATTGACTATCTCGAATTATAATCGCGATCGGCATGGCTGGCTGGATGGCAACTGCGCATCCAGGAGCCCAAAACAGGAATCTTACTCCTCTTCGCGTGGGACGTACTAGCCTTCTAGATTCATGAACTAACTTTATCCTCCTAGTTTGCGGATTCGTAACGACAACCACCGAAGACGGCGGCGGTTCACATTGGGCTTACTCCCTCGCCGGCCTCGATCACCTGGGCGAAGGCGTCAAGGATCCCGAAGTGACTCGATTGAACGAGATCGATGAGGAACTAGAAGGTGTGCGCATCAAGATGGCCGGTGGTGAATACAAGGACAAAGCGGACGCGAAGAAGAAAACCGCGGCCGCCGTGATCGATTTCCAGTGCGATCCCTCCCGATCTGGATTAGAGGGACTGGCAAACACCGAGGACGAGGGTGCGGAGAAACGTCGACGAGATGGCGAGGTGGTCCAGGAACCGAGTCTTCAGTTCAAGAGCATGGCTCCCAATGACGACGACACGTATATCTTGCGATTGAATTGGCGTACGAGATATGCGTGCGACAACTATGAGGGTGGTAATTCAGGAGATAGCTCCAAGCACTGGGGTTTCTTTACTTGGCTGATCATCATGTGAGTTTCATTTCCCTCTCTTTGCTGGTTTGCAAGATCATCCACCTTACTGATTGTCTCTGCCAGTATCTTCCTTTCCGTCGCTGCCTACCTCATCTTCGGCTCATGGCTCAACTACAACCGCCACGGTGCTCGTGGCTGGGACCTCTTGCCGCACGGCGATAACCTCCGTGACATCCCCTATATCTTCCAAGACTGGGTTCGCCGTGTGCTCAACACACTACAAGGGAGTGGAGGGTCGAGGGGCGGATACAGCGCTGTGTGAGAAGCTCTACTCTGTACGCCTGATTTATGTATTTTGGGAAGATTTACCTAAGCTTTACCATTTGATGTCTTGGTTTTTTTTTTTTTTTTTTCTTTTTCTTTTTCTTCTTTTGTGGCTTGCCTTTGCAGGAGCGAGTCCTTATTTATGGCGCTAGATGTGTGAGCACGGAAGAATTATAAGCCCGGATTTCAACTTTTGATGGTTGTCATCGATGCATGAAGGATTTGATCCATAGTCGTTGAATGGAATCGTTGAACTTGTGTCTTGTGCAGGCCTAAGCCAAATACTAGATGCAGTACTAGTAGGTACTACTCAATGGTACTTCTTCTTACCAGTCAAGTGAGAGATCGGTTAATTCCAAAGCCACATTGTAGGGACAGATTGCCGCTTCTTACTGGTTAATTTTCCAAGCGGATAACATGTCCTATTGGCCTCGACTTGCCCCGCAGAGTGATCCTGTGGACCTGATCGCAGTCCGGGGATAGCTTCACAGGACCTCAGGGCCAGGCACCACTTGGCATCCATCACACTGCTCTCGTGCCTTTTCTTTAGAAAGGTTGAGAGGTCTATACTATTCGTGCTTGTTTGGTCTATTCCCCACTACTGTAGAGCAATTCCGAGCCAGAAATCAATATTCAATCTCCCTACACTCAAATCTAAGAGGGTACAAGCAAGTCGTAGGATCCGAGCACAAAACACTGGACATACAAAGTCGGTGTAGGACAAAAAGGAAAAATGAAACACAAAGATGCAAGATCATCGCGGCGTCCACCAATCCCAGCTCCGTCTCCGGGGTGTTCACGAAAGACGGGTGGAGATGGCGTGATTGAAACTAAATAGTTCTCATCGTAAGAGGGTAACAGTACATAACTGATAAAGCAAGATTCGTGGGGTTCATTAATGCAGCTCAAAACTTGGGGGATCCCCCCGTCTTTCCTCCCAGTTTCCCTTTTTTTCTTTTTTCTTGGTTTTCATTCATTCTTTGTTTCTCTTCCTTACACTGTCAATACTCGTCGTATACTGGTCCATATCCATATGGGGCGGATTCAGATGTGAGAGGACCTGGAGCACTTTTGACTCTTCCGCTGCCCCCTTATCTGACAGTTAGACCTTCATGGCAAACTGCTTCAGGTACAGGTAGTCGTCGATAGTCTGGTCGACAGTTGTACGGATGAGAGCGGCACCCTCGGGGCCATACTTCTTCAACCACTCAGCATCCCACTGCTCCTCGGTCTTGGGGGCATGTTTCTACCGAACATGTTAGCCAAATTTCTCATTCTTCCACCCTCCTGTCTCTCCCGGTGGCAAGCTTACATGAGCTCTCGCGGTCAATCCCTTTGACTCGATGGCATCATTATGGAACCCACGCCACTTCTCAAAGGCCTCACAGGCAAAGGCATAGTCTTCCTCCGTCTCCCACTCCAGCATGGAAGGCGTATACGGAACACCAGTACTACGACAGAAGGCTTCAATAGTCGGCGCCGGCGCATCGAGCATATCATCTGCATCAACCACACAGATCTCATGGACAGTCTCCATATCCGCCTCGGAACCAGCCTCAGGCGAAAGATCCGGCCGCATAGCGACACGAGGACCAACTAGTCCCTCTCGGCGCAGATACTCAAAGTGACGACGCAGCTCGTTGTACCCGGCTTCCTTGGGGTCAAAGTTGTGGAAGCCTGTCAGCTTGTCCAGGGGCGGGATCGTGCACCGGTAGTATGAGGGGATACTGTGATGCGGGTCCCGGATGAGGAAGGCCCAGTGGAAGCGCTCTTGGATTTCACGGGGCATCACCGTGGGGTTACCAGGCTCCTTGGGAGTATCATACGGATAGGGAGTCTTCTTAACTGTCTCGTTACCGTTCACGGCACCGTTCGTCTCACCGTGTCCGTTGGCGTGGCCGTTGATCGCGCCATTCGCCGTGCCGTTCGAGGTACCATTTGTACCATTGACGGCAGAGTGGCCGTTGGTGTGGGATACACCGTTGGCCTGGGGATGATCACCGTTGGTGGTGCCCACACCACGCTTGATGCGTCGCAGTGAGGGGGCAATGCTTGCTGGCTTGCCACCTGGCGGGAGCAGGTAAGCGTCAATATCTTTGATGAAGACTCGTTTTCCCTGTAAGACGGTAAGTTTCCGCTCGGGATCAAAACGAGTAAAGCCATGACGATTTGAGGAGCCGATTTCTCGGTCTCGGTCTTCGGTTCATGTAGATTGTAAAGATCATCCCCACGGATACATCTGGTGCAGGTACCCCTCCATGCCTACCCGAATAAACGGGGACATGTGTACGTTGCACCGTAGGAGAAGGAGAATAAGGGCAAAAAAAAAATCAAAAAAAAATCAGCGCAGGAAAAAGGGTCGGACCTCGGTGCCTTCACGTTCCAGCCTATCCATCACAGTACGATATGTCGATTCGCTGAATCCACTGTCTAGACGGCCTTGTTCGTCATTTTCGAAGCGGTCAGCCAGACGCTCCGGACCGTAGTACCAGGCGTCACCGAATGGCTCGTGGACGCACTGAATAGTGGCACGTTGAGTCATGAAGACCTAGAGGACTAGGATTAGCTCCTTTCTCTTGAATAATGATAATGATCAATCTGAAGTGCAGGATATCGACATACCCGCTCAAAGGCAGTAGAGCATGCACGCGGGTGGGCGGCCACATAGATTGGTTTATTCGACATGATGATGAGAAGTTGCTCGCGTGCAACGATAGCAAAGATTCAGGCACAGTAGATTATTTTCTTTGTGGCACAAAAGGCAATCGAGAATAAACTCGTGGAGATAGTGATCCGAATGAGCCGTCAAATGAGAAGCAAATGCAAATGCGCGCTTTCTGCTTGGATAGATAGATCCAAAAAAGAGTTTCAAACTGCCCTAATCAGAAGGGGACAGTCAGACCCTGGGGGCCTTTGGACAAATGCGAGGGCTTGCGGATGAGTTGACACGAGGGTACGATGGCGCAAGAAGGTAATGTTGGCAGGTACAAAGTCATTTATAAGGGATTTTCTGGGCTCCAGTTTTAAACACCCAAATTGGCAAGTAGTTGGAGAAAAAAAAAAGAAAATAAGTAAAATCAGTAAAATAAGTAAAATAAGTAAAATGATAAAATAAAAACCAAATGAGACCTCAGGGAGGGGCAAAGTATCCCAGAGAAAAAAAAACCAAGGATTTGGGGCGATGAGCTACTATGGATCTCTATGTTGATGGAATCTTTGGTACAAGAATCATAGCCCATGGGCTTTATTTTCTTTAGCTTCCATAAGATGATCTACTTGTTCATATTAAAGAGCTATCTACGTCAAACTCACCCGTACATGTTATTCAATATGCTTTTTTTTTTTCGCTGGAAGAGAGAAAAAAAAGCACAGAAAGACCAAGAATCGCCGCTTCTACCCCAAATTGTTCATGAAATAAAATTCAAAAATGCCTCAAGAGTATCCGTAAGTTGTACTTTTTGATCAGTTTCAGCCGTGGAGTCCCCAAGGCAAAGGAAACTGGATACTTGAACAAGCTACTGGGCCCAGCTACACAAATCAGAGCCTCTACAAAGACAATTCTGCCCCCCTCTTACCCCTCCACTTATGCCCCGCTACAGGGCAAGTACACGCCTATCCGCTTCTATTATTATTTTTGCGTATCCGCCATGAGCGATGAGAGCAGCGGAACGTAAAACTCTACCGACCACTTTTCCAACCAATCGGGAGCTTGGTGGTGGGCAGTAGGAGAGATGCATCTCCGTGTCTGGACGCGCCGACTCGGAACCAAGTGTCCATCACGCAAGTTCATGATGTCTCGGCCTTGATCTAGCCCGGTGAAAAAAAGAGCTATGTACCATCTCGTTGAAGACAAAGGTCCGAAAAGCGGAGGGAAGAAAAAAAAAATTGCCAAATGAAGATATTTATCACTTCAACAATGCATACTCGTTTCTTTTTTTTTTTCTTACTCTTCAATCGGCCGAATAGGCACAACCAGCCTCGGACGGTCCTGGGACAGAATTGAGGTCTGATCCCGGGTCGTTCAAAGTCAGTTCCTTTTGGCGGAATATCCGGTCACGCTTGACGTCATGACCCGGGTGATTCTGGGTCGGTTATTTCAACGGATCGCGAGGATCGCGAGAGGACGGGTGGTGACACTGGTGAGAAGAGGGGGATAAAGGGGGGAAGAACGAGATCAAAGTAAGTCGGAAAAAATCAAGAGTTTTTCTTGTAGGATGGGCGGAATTGCCCTGAATCGCTTTTGCATAAACCGGTATTGCGCATCATCTTATTGCGGAGTGTCAGATCAGATCCAGTTCTGGATCTTTGCACCGTGGTAACCCTATGGAGGACTGTGGACCGGGGGGAGCCTGGGGGCTTTTTGGAGTGGGCGCATCAGTTGATGGGCCCGCATTCTGTGGCTAGGAACACACGCAGTCGAACCCACCAATTGCGGGTGGCGTGTTAGAGCAAAAAGAGTTCAAATGTTCTCTGTTCTGGGGAAAGGTCAAAGGCAACTCCAATTTCATTTGGTCCGCAATTCTTTTTTTTTTGAATCGCTTACTCAGCTTCCACTTCAGAAGTGACAGATCTGCCTTAGGATGAACAAATACCCATTTTAGGTATATCCAATCACTCGGTGTTGCAACATTGAATAGAAAATCCCTTATGTAGAATTGAATCTAGTGCAGACCAGGTCTACTAGATCTAGACTCTCCAGACTCTCATAGACCAGTTGACGTATACATCCATGTATGTGCCCAAGTCTTTTCGCTCCGGGTAGTAGGTAACTTCAACGTTATAAAACCTCGTCTTTGAATATTCTTCAACAAAATACTTCAAATGCGATTCACTCAAGTGCTAGGAATTTCAAGTGTCACTAGTATACATATAGCTATTCAAATTTTGACATACTACTCTCTTCCTGTCTGGCAATCTTGTACTGTTGTTGGCCCCGGTCGCTGCGTCTCCAGGGGCTCAAGTGCTGTCTGCCCCGAGGTTTGTTGCTAGACTACCAATGGTGTCTTGCATGCTACGATAGCGTATAGTCCTCCATTCCATGAACTCTTTTTTCATAGTGAGGGCTTTTTGCGGCTTTCTGAGGATTTCTCAACTGCCTTTTCCACATGCAGCCAAAGCAGTGGGAGCAAGCATCCAAGGTTGAAAATACTAAGCTCTAAAGCTAACGGTTTTGGATTCAAGGTATAACCAACCTCTGCTTTCATGCTTGTTACATTGAGATACATACCTACACTATTGACGGTGGGGCTGGCTCGAAAATTCGAAGCATTACGTGTATACGTTCCACGTTATCCCAGTAATTCATGACCAGAGTTATACGATGTGCATAACAAAAAAATCAAGGAACAGGGCTTCAAAGAGGTGCTAGGTAAATGGCTCCTGATGACTTCGATTTTCAGCTAACTGCTGATGCGCAATCTTGGAAACTTGCTCTCGCGGGGCTGGGGAGGGGGGGGGGGGGGGGTGGAGAGAAGAAGAAGAAGAAGAAGAAGGGAAAAGGGAGAAAGCAAGCACTGGATATGGTGAGAGGGTCACCTGACCCCTCTTTAACAACGCTGAGAGCTTCAAAGTATTTGAAATGGCTCTTGGAAGGAAGCCCATAGAGATCAGGATAGTCGAATCCGTCGCATCAATCACGCGACGCGGAAGACATTGAATCTTTTGCATGATTGATTTTGCCGCTTTTCTTTAATTGACTAGTTGGTATGACTTTACGTCAATTACCCCAGCACTAATCCGCAGTATTTTCTTTCACTTTGGTGGCTTGGACAGGGCTGGTTTTCCTCATTTCCAAGGTTGTTGATTTCTTTTTGCTCTACTTCACTTTCCCTACAAAGTTTGGAGAGAACTCAAAAATTATAGCTATAGCCAACACTTAAAACCAAACGAGTTGCCTGAAATCAGTCCGCTTAACTTTGAACAGTCAATACGATGGGGCAATTCTCATTCCCGATGCCTTTTACGTGACTGGCCAGAACATAGTGAGATTAATGCAATGGAATTGAAAAACAAAGGCACCCACGGTAACTACATGGCGTTACACGCCTTGAAGAGCTGCAAGATGAACGCTCAGCTCATATGTGCAAAAAATCGGAACTGCTAGGTCTACGAACTCCCTCGCACATGCAACAATATGCACAGTTTTGAACGAGCCTCTTACGAAGCTTAAGGACCTGGTCATGAAACAGCTTGCGAGCTCTGAGATTTATTAAGGATATGCATAATTTTGAACGAACGTCCTACGAAGCTTACAGACCAGGTTCCGAAGAGGACAAATTTGGCTGTGGTACATACGGTAGGGAAAGAGCCAGCATACGGGGAGGCAGTTGACGACAATTCCAGCGAAGTAGGCGCCCATTGACCCCCTTGCGCCCTCGGTACAAAATACGATGACTGTCTTACTCTTGGCTAGGCGTATACGATAGAACTTCGAGACGCCGGCGGCTTTCGAGCAGCACATTTTATACCTCAACCTGGGAGTGGGTGAGGCTTTGGCAGATGTTGCCCAGCACCCACTGTGATACCGGCTCTCATTTCAGGAACGAAAACATCGTTATAAGTATCGATACCTGGTAAGTATCTGTGGAGACCTTGCGCCGACCTTGGAAGCAGATGGGATTGAGGATCAAAATATTTTGAATCCAGAATAATTCAAAATTTTATCAACATTGAATATCAAGGGTCTAGTGTTGGTTCCTGAACTTCTGAATATACATATACATACTATGTACACATGTGTAAGGGATTGATCCGATTTTGCCGATTGACCAATCAATCACGGTCTCGGGAAAAGTGGCGACATCAACGGCTGCAAGTTCGTGGAGATCAAGTCTGATTGGTGGAGGGACGTTGTCAAAAACAAGGCGGTCAAATGAATTTCCCCACTTCAAACGTTGAACATTCAATGTTTGATTTTAGGCCCGCACCCATCAAATATATATCAATTGATATCTACAGTACTCAAGTGCTATACATACATGTACACCACACCACCATCTTTTATCCTACAATGTATATATAATTAAACATGTAGTAGTTGACAACAAGAAAAATTTAAACTTCGAAAATAATGTTAGACTTACCAGCATGTGGCAACCATTACAGAGACAATTTTGTCATCCTATGGCGGCCGATAGAGGCCACCCCTAGCTCACATCCCAATTTCAATTTCTAACTTCACCGCCCTGTTTCCCGCCTGTATTATGTATATTTATCATATATAGGAATATCTTAAGGGATTTGATCTAAATACGGGTCACTTTTAGAATAGACTTGAGAATAGACTTGAGAATAGACTTGAGAATAGACTTGAGAATAGACTTGAGAATAGACTTGAGAATAGACTTCAAAGAGAACAGTCTTGAGAATAGACTTAAGAATGGATTATATGACTAGGATCTCAGCCTCTCTTTCTTGCCAGTTGTTGTGATAATTTCCCTACAGAAAGAGAAGTCATATAATATAGCATTAGCGTTCAAGGATTTAATGTATAATACAGCGCTGAACATTTTGAATGGAGTTCAAAAACTAATATGAATTTGGAATTACTCGTAATTTACTTTCTGCTGGTCGGAAAGTTGATATTGCACAGGATGTGACCTAGGGGTTGCCTCTATCGGCCGCCATACCCCGATCAAACCAGACCTCCCCTCCGCGCACGCTGAGCAAGCCCCCAATTGATCCTGTCGCTGAGCATTCCCCCCTCCCCTGCCGAAGACCTACTGCAGGGCCTCGAAACCTTGATCTAGTATTTGGGCTGGAAAAACACCGCGCTGTTCTTACTTCTGCTCCTTTTATTCTTCCTGCCTATGGCATTTCTTGCACGGCGATGGTGGCCGGGGAGTGGGGGGTGGTCGTGGACGGGGTCGTGGAGGGGGTGGGTATGGCAGTCGGGGGATCCGAGGGGCTCACAAAGGGGGTCGACACCGTCACCGTGGTGTGACTAACCATTTGGTCGATGCTATGACCACCGGCAGTAACATCGATGACCTCTAGCGGTGTGTATTCCCGTGGACTCTTTCATTTGCACTGCTGACATGAGAACAGATGTTTTTACAATGAACAGGACACATGAATGACGGGATTCAATGGGTTCAATTATTCTTCCAATTTTTCGGTGTTTCGGTGGAACGAACAACAGACGGGTTCAAGGGGTTCGAACAACTATCATTCCAAATTTTCGGTGGAAGGAACAACATTGAACACACAGGTTTAACGAGGTTCAACTATCCTTACAAATTTTATTTTAAGGTGGAACCCAACATTGAAGATTCAGAACGAGCTATTTTATTGTACAACGGGTGTAAACCCCAAAAAATAAATATAAAAATAAAAATAAAAATTAATACGTCGAATCCATATATAGATCGTTGCCCGAACGTCCGTGACGTACTAGAGGCCCTAGAGTCTTTTTTATATGGGATCGAATGCGCCCTGTACGTAGGAGATTCCTTATATAGGCGTAGAGTAGAACTTTGATGTTACTCAAACCACCATAACATTGGACATATTTGTTTTTGGTACCGGCTCTCTCCGAGTGTGGTATACTTCTCTGACGAAAACAAATCCTTCAACTCATGCGAGAAAGAGTCTCGACATAGAAAATGAAGTGTATCAAAAAAGGCAACAACAACAACACCCCCAAAAAAAAAAACAAATGCAAAACTTTTTGGATAGATCCTGTGAGCATAAAGCTGACCGGTTGACCGGGCGATGAAAGGCCGGACATAAAAGTGGTGCCCCGTGTCCTGCCGAGGACGCAGCCGGATTGGTCCGAAATTTCTGCGGGTTTGGACCCATCCCTTTCAAATCCTTTTCCTCCTTTCCTCTTCTTTTTGGAAAGCTTCAATTGACCCTTCTCCTCTCCATCTCTTTCTTTCGGGACCTTTAATATCCCTTCGGGTTTTTCACACATCAAAATGGCCTCCGCTCCCGTCGCCGTCCAGGCTCCCGCTGGCCCCTCCGGCCTCGACCTGTACTCCCGTTTCGCCTTTGCTGGCGCGATGTGCTGTGCCATCACCCACGGTGCTGCTACTCCCCTTGATGTGTAGGTCGAACCGTCCCCAGATTCGCGCCCATCTCCATTGAGTACTCCGCTGACGGCGCATCAATCTATAGCGTCAAGACCCGCATCCAGCTTGACCCTGCTACCTACAACCGTGGTATGATCGGTGGTTTCAAGCAGGTCATCCAGAGCGAGGGTGCCGGTGCTCTCCTCACTGGTTTCGGACCTACCGCTGCCGGTTACTTCATCCAGGGTGCCCTGAAGTTCGGTGGTTACGAGTTCTTCAAGCAGCAGTCCGTCAACTACCTCGGACTCGAGTCTGCTACCAACAACCGCACCGCTGTCTACCTCGCTTCCTCCGCCGCCGCCGAGTTCGTCGCTGACATCGGTCTCTGCCCCCTTGAGGCTACCCGTATTCGTCTGGTCTCCAACCCCAACTTCGCCTCCGGTCTTATGAGCGGTTTCTCCAAGATCCTCAAGGAGGAGGGTGTCGGTGCTTTCTACTCCGGATTCGGACCCATTCTGTTCAAGCAGTAAGTGGATAGTCTCTTTGCACATTGCGCCATGCGCCCTCTACCTGCACTGCATAATCTTCTAACACAACCTTTCTCACTAGGGTTCCTTACACTATGGCCAAGTTCGTTGTCTTCGAGAAGGTCTCCGAGGCCATCTACAAGTCCTTCGGTGACAAGGACAAGCTCTCCAACGGTACCAAGACTGGTATCAACCTTGGTTCCGGTCTTATCGCCGGTCTTGCCGCCGCCGCTGTTTCCCAGCCCGCTGACACCATGCTCTCCAAGATCAACAAGACCCCCGGTCTTGCTGGTGAGGGTACCGTCTCTCGTCTCGTGAAGATCGCCAAGGAGCTCGGTATCCGTGGCTCTTACTCCGGTATTGGTGCCCGTCTCGTCATGGTCGGTTCCATCACTGCTGGTCAGTTCGCCATCTACGGTGACATCAAGCGTGTTCTCGGTGCCACTGGTGGTGTTGAGATCGGAAAATAGAGGACTCTTACGTTGTTGACGCAGGAGGATAATAGAGATAACCCTTAGAATTTTGTTTAAAGCCTTGTCCATCCTTCCATCCCGATGTACAATACTTTTTTTTTTCTCATTTTTCCTTCAATAACAGCCACGGTTTCTTTTGTTCTTTCAGCTACACTCGAAATTCCACTCTTGGTGTCTATCGTCCGTAATTCATTCATACCCATTTGGATTTACCTACCCCACCAATCTTTCGTAGTTACATGGCTGACGATGAAACGTGTCTTTTGAAGGAATATTTCAACTTTGCAAGGTCCCACCCAAGGTTCTTCCGAATTGAGGAGATCGTACGAGACCTGTCACATGTGCCGCATGCGCAATTTTCCGCGAGCTTGGGCGTTGATGCGTATTTGGCCCCTGCCTGTTGGCTCCATCCATTTGGAAGCGATCGTGATCTTGGATTCGAACTTTACGCAAGTCACACGCATGTGCAGGAATACATGTATCGATAGGTACCTAGAAGAAAAGCTTCAAAACCTTCATCCTCCATGCGAGGATTTGATAAAAATCCCCTCGGTTCATTACTTAATAAGCACTTGAGTATGATCTAGAGAAAATTCTGTGCAACAGGCGTACATTGCAATCATGGTCATTGTTTTCAAAACACATAGCGAAAGTTTGGGTTCTAGCAAAAAGGTTAGCTTGCACCATGTCAAGAAGATCATGTGAAGACCTTACCTCAAAATCAGTCAAGTCAGCTTGAGCATCCACCTGCGACACTCCCATGGCTATTTCATTGCGAGCTGTCGTATCTCGATCTCGCTTCTTGTTCCGAGAAATAAAAAGCACCCGAAGGCAGAGAGCCAGAATCGCCTGAGCAGCTGCGCATGAAATAATCAACTTGCAGCCAGTTTGGTAGATGGGTGCTTCTTTGGCTAAGAAAGCATGGGGACCGATAATATTGCCCGCGCAGTAAGCTAGGAATACCAAGGCAACACCAGTACTGCGTTTGGTATATCCTCCCAAGTTAGTGGCAGGCATCTGCAGTGCCAGCACTAGAGAGCAGACGTATGCCCCACAGATATAGTAACCAAACAGAACACCCACCTTGTGAGTCTCATGATTCATCTTCCACAACAAACATGTGCCAATTATCGTGGGAAGTAGATATATAAACATGACGATTGTGCGGATGTTACGAAAGCGTGATGCGAGGAATGTTCCACTTAAGATATAGAAGATTTGGAATCCACCCATCGGAATAGCCAGTGCGACTGTAGTGAGGGCGTCATCGGTGAGGCCTTTGATGATAAGTTTGCTGAAGTTTGCAATGCCACCGTTGATAATCTCGTTCAATAGCGTGAAGAGGAATAAAATCCAGACTTGTGGATCGATCAATGCTTCTCTAATTTGGTACCATTTGATCTTGTGGTTGATAACTCCCGTTCGACCAAGTCGACTGCGGCCAATTAAAAGTGCCTTGTCTTCGATACTGAAACGTTTCGCAGAGATAATGTCGTCAGGAAGGAAAACATACATCAGAATACCCCAACAAACGGTAGTTCCACCGAGTATGAGGTAAATAGCTCGCCAGACAGCGATGGTTTTGATTTGACCGATTCCATATGTCAACACTCCTCCGACCACGGCCCCCAGGCCGTTGCAACTGTAGAAGACGCCAGCGCGGAAGGGCTGTTGACAGCGTGTATACCACATACCAACAATCATCATGAAACAGGGTGTAATGGGTGCTTCGAATATACCCAGGAGAAAACGGCAAATGGCCATTCCAGTGAATGAGGTGGAAGCGGCGGTAATCATAAGCATGGCACCCCATGCAATAACATTTCCAGAGACGACTTTGCCCAGCCTTGTTTTCTGTGCGAGAATATTCCAAGGATACTCAGCAATGAGGTAGGCGAAATAGAAGATACTTGCTAGCCAGCTGTACTCGCTGCTTGTCATGTGGGTCGAGGATAGTAGATCAAAGACGGCGGAGTAGCCTAAAGCCGACTTGTCTATGTATTGCAAAGTGTATGTGCCTGCAAGTAGAGGTAGAATCACAAGATCCACCCTGCGAACTAGAGTCTTATTGCGTGATTCATCGTCCAAAAGGGCTTGGACGGCTTCGTTGGTGTAGCCATGTTGGTGGATGAAGACCTCGCCCTCATCGAGATCGGAGATGATTCCGACTTGCACGTCTTTTTCGTCAGTTTGCGTGATAGACCCTGCTTTGATTTTTTCTTTCATGGCTGACCCCTTGTAATGGATTATGAACCCAAATCCAAGGAAGAGAGAAAATATGAGCTTCTTTATGAAAGGAATCGGCGTGTGTCCGCTATCTTTCATCCCCAACCCCGACTTCCCAAACTAGACAATTAATGCGGAGCGTCTATTTACATGCCTTCGGACTGTGTCCGAAAGCTCATTATCTCTACAAGATAAAGTGATAAAAAAAAAGCGTATGTGCCTATCTTAGGCTATCTACCTATTCTCTTACGATAACTAACCCGTGTCTCCACTTCCTATCGAATCCCCCCGCACGGCTGCTTTCGAGCACCGGAGAGAACTGCGCACTTTTGGTATGTAAAGAAACATCCCAGCATCATTGAAGGCTTGAAACACTTGAAAAGGAAAGCACCCAGTCTAATAACAATGGCAGACCCTAGCGCCCCTACTGTATCTCTCCCACAAGGTCAATTCATTGGAACTCGACAGGAGGAGACAACCCCACAGCCCGTGGACGCGTTCCTGGGAGTTCCCTACGCTCTTCCACCCACTGGCGAAAGACGATTCAAACCAGCAGAGAAGGTCTACAACTCCACTAATACATTTGATGCATCGAAATTCGGTCCCGCAGCTCCAGGCAAGGCATTGATTACCAGTGGCCCAAAACTCGATCAAAGTGAGGATTGTTTGACTGCCAACATCTTTCGGCCTGCTGGAACTACTGAATCGGATAGGCTACCCGTGGCAATTTATCTCCATGGCGGTGCTTTCAATCGTGGGTCGGCTTCGATGCACAACACTGCGTCTATGGTCGCTTGGTCTGAAGCGCCTTTCATTGGGGTGAGCTTCGGCTATCGCGTTGGCGCTCTGGGGTTTTTGCCCTCCACCCTCTCCAAGAAAGAAGGAGTTCTCAATCTTGGACTTCGTGATCAGGTGCACTTGTTTCAATGGGTACATGAGAATATTGTGAAGTTTGGAGGCAATGCTGAGAATATCACGTTGTTCGGTCTATCAGCAGGAGGACACTCGGTGAGATGCTCGCATGATTCATCAACGAGGAATGTATTAGGATAATAGAAGCTAACAGAAGCTCAGATCGGCCATCATATTTTGAACCATAGCCAGCAATCGTCACCTTTGTTTCATCGCGCCATCATAGAATCTGGCTCACCGACATCTCGTGCCGTCCGTCCTTATAACGCGACAGTTCATGAGAGTCAATTCCAGGATTTCCTCAAAGAAGTCGGCTGCCCATCTGACATGCCTGAAAACGATATTTTCCCCTTTCTACGGTCCCTTCCCAGTTCGATCATCACAGATGCGCAAACGAAAGTATTCGATAAGTACAACCCGTCGCTACGATGGGCTTTTCAGCCTGTGATTGATGACGACCTCATTTCCCGAAAGCCATTGGATGCCTGGAACTCCGGTTTATGGAACAAGGTGCCAATTATGACTGGATACAACAGCAACGAGGGAACATTTTACGTGGATAAGAAAATGTCAAGCCCAGCTCAATTCCGAGATTTCTGGAAGAATCTCCTCCCAGAGCTATCGTCAACTGATTTGGACACAATCGACCACTTGTATCCTGATCCAGCCTCTGACGCCAGCTCACCATATAAGGAAACCAGAGCCGGGCATGGCCTTGGACCACAATACAAGCGAATCGAGGCTGCATATGGTCATTATGCTTACGTTGCACCCGTGCGTCAAACGGCGCAATTTGCCTCGTCTCAAGGTTCACCAGTCTTTCTATACAATTGGGCACTTCCTAGAACTGTTGTTGGTCGGGCAAACCATGGTGATAACATGTTCTATGAGACATATAATAGTGCTATCACAGGCTTGTCAGAGTCGCAGAAAGAATTGTCTGGTACGCTTCATGCGTATGTGACTAGCTTCATCACGACGGGTGATCCGAATGCTATCTCGGGTCGTTATAGTCATCGGCCAGAATGGAAGCCATATGAGCCCAGCGATGCACAAGTCCTGATCTTCGGAGAGGGGAACAAAGAGCTCATTGGGGGTCCCACTGCACCTGCTGCTAAGTTTGTCAAGGACGACTGGGCGAAGGAGCAGACGGAATTCTGGTGGTCGAAGGTTCCAATTTCGCAACTTGCCTGATGTATCTCATCTACCATATCTTTTTCCTGAATTATTCTTAATGCTTACAACCACTCATCGCCCCCGTCTTTCGTATCCCCGCCTTCTCTCGTCCCTCTGTCTTTCTCGTCCACTGAAGACCACCCCATCAAGAGCTCGGTATATCCGGGTGCCTGGCAGGGGATGTTGAAACCAGTATCGCTTTCCTTCAATAAAATTAAAAATTGATTTGAGCTGGTCCCCCTAGTTAGTAACTTGGTAGTGGTCCACCGTGGGCTGTTGTATCCCGGTCCCGGCCCGTTAACGGCATCTTGCCATCCCGTTTACGCCTTCAGCTTACTTTTTTTCTTCACGCCATCAAATCATATAAAATGCAGGACCGTCTCAGAGCATTTGAAATCCCATCATTTTTGACTGAACTTGAAAATTATGGCAACAAAAGGTGGCATTATCAATCATTTGCCCAACAGCCTTCCAGCGTTGTCGGCAATGCCTGTAACAGACGATCCAGACCCAAGTCCGACCAACCCCACCGACTCCATTGAACTTGAAAAGCAACAACCAAGTCAAGACCTAGAAAATCAGCTTACGCAAAATATTGAACTCGACCATGAGAAATACTCTGCATTCACCATCAATGAGAAGAGGGCGATGGTTGCTGTTGGCTCTCTTGCTGCCTTCTTTTCGCCTTTATCGTCAGCCATCTATTTCCCGGCACTCGACACTATCGCATCAGCTCTCAATGTATCAACTTCGAAGATCAATATCACCGTCACAACCTACATGGTGAGAAAAGGACACCCTTGGAGCTGTCAAACTGGATAATGAAGGCTGATTTATTGTTGGCGATTAGATCTTGCAGGGAGCTGCGCCAATGTTTATCGCCGGCTTCTCCGACTCAGCAGGAAGACGCCCCGCCTACATAATCTGCTTCACGATTTATTTAGCAGCCAACCTTGGCCTCGGTCTTCAAAATAGCTACCCGGCCTTACTTGTGCTCAGAATGCTGCAAAGTGCTGGCAGCAGTGGTACCGTGGCACTTGCCAATGGACTAGTAGCAGACATGATCACATCTTCGGAGCGAGGCAGCTACATCGCTTTTGCGTCCCTCGGAAGCATGCTGGGTCCATCACTATCTCCCGTAGTTGGTGGACTGATCAGCCAGTACTTGGACTGGCATTGGATCTTCTGGTTTCTCCTAATTCTCGGCGGCGTGTACTTTGTCGGTCTTGCATTGTTCTTGCCGGAAACGTGCCGCAAAGTCGTTGGAGATGGATCAGTCCCGCCGCCCAATTTGAACACGTCTTTGACTGATATTATCCGACAAAGGCGGCGCGTTAGGAAAGGTGTCAATCCGGATCCTGAAAAGGTTGCTGAGGTTCGCCAAAATTACCGCCTGCGCATCCCTTCACCTTGGCCGACTTTGAAAGTCTGCTTTGACCTGGAAACGTCGTTGATCTTACTAACGACAGGATTGATGTTTGCTTGTTTCTATGCTGTCATGACTGGAGCAACGACTTCTTTCCACGAAGTTTACCACTTCAACAATATCCAAACAGGATTGATGTATCTACCCATCGGTGCAGGTGGAATTGTATCCGCTTTTACGACAGGCCGCATCGTCGACTGGAATTTTCGTCGCCATGCCAAGAGGGCTGGACTCCCAGTGTTAAAAAATGTACGACAAGACCTTCGAAACTTCAACATTGAGAAAGTCCGACTGCAGGTTGCGCTACCGCTGTACTACACAAGTCTGGTAACAGTCATCGCCTACGGATGGGTGCTAGGACGGAAAGTGAACGTCGCAGCCCCTGTTATCCTGTTATTTATCTGCGGGTGGGCTTTAAATGGCACATCGCAGGTTTTGAATGCATTGATGGTGGACATATGGCCGGGCAAGTCTGCCTCTGCTACAGCAGCAAATAACTTATTTCGATGTGAACTTGGCGCTGCGGCATCTGCTGCGATCAGCCCAATGAGTCAGGCTATGGGTTCAGGGTGGGCCTATACAACACTGGCTTTAATTGCGCTTGCAGCATCACCTTGCTTCTGGATTATGATGACTCATGGGATAAAATGGCGACAGAAGAGACTTGGGAAGAAAGAAGATACCCCTAAAATTGATGTAAAGGCTTAGTTAGGCCAAGTTATAAAAGGATTTGTCTTGCCTTGAACTATCAACATTGGATGGTTCAAATCGAGGTCTATAGCGAAGAAAATGTATTTGCCTTAATCAATTGATGTTTTTTTTTTCTTTTCGTATATTGTCTTTTCTTGTCTTCTTTTTCTCCTCTTTCTAGGTAATTATACAAAGATTACTGTGCATTTTCCACCTCATCGTCGTGGAAGATAACAGTCCCCCAGTTTGGACGATTGAATCGCTTCTCTCCAAGTGTCTGAGCCAAACCATCTATCTGAGAAGTCTCCTCCTCGTCCATGCTAAAGCAGCTCTGCAAGTTGCTCACGATTCTAGCAGAATTTGTACTCTTCGGGATCACACTCCACCCCTTCTTAACACCCCAGCTCAACAACACATTGCCCGAACTACAACCTCTCTTATCCGCAATGCGTTTCACCAAGGGATCTTCATGCAAGGTACTCCCACTTCCTCCTAGCGGTCCAAAGGCAGTCTGGTGAATATTATGCTCCACACAGAAGGTATTCAACTTCTTCTGGGGCAAAAGTGGTTGGATCTCCGTCTGATTAACCGCTGGAGTCACTTTGCAGGACAGAAGCAACTTCTGCAAATTGACAGTGGAGAAGTTTGCAAGTCCAATTGCTCGTACCTTCCCCGTGCTCAGTAATTTCTCCATCTCTCTCCATGTATCGTTGAAGTCCCAGTCGGGGTCATGGGCTGTACGGTCTTCTTTTCCGTACGTCTCTGGAGTAGAGGCGGGCAGAGTAACGGGCCAGTGCATGAGATATAGATCAACATAATCCAAGCAAAGATCATCGATGGATTTCTGGAGCGCTGAGGTAATACGACGGTGGTCGGAGGACCAACTTATGGCGGGTATGAATTAGTTACCGAAGCGAGTTTCAACGAGAAAGGAAAAGCACGTACAGCTTGGTAGTCACAAAGTATTCATTGCGAGGAATTTCGATTGATTTGAAGACCTGACCGATTTCTGCTTCGTTTCCGTCTACATGAATTATTAGCTTCCGATCAATCAAGGGGAATTGTTTGGTAAAGACTCCTGACATAAAGGCGCGCAATCCTAAATCAACAATAAGCGTCTGTAACATTAGAAGGGGAGGCATAAATTCTTTAGCTTACAAAGTGCCTATATCCGGCTTCAAACGCGGCTTGTACAGCTGCTGCTGCTTCACCTGGGCCAGCTTTCCAAGTGCCGAATCCGATGGCAGGAATCTTTGCTCCAGTGTTCAACGTGAACGTCTTGTCTTGAATACCTCTTTCCATGGCGTTAGTTTTGTCCTGTAAAAGATCTTTCAGATGATCAAGGAAATAATATTCATGTTCTTTATGTGGTGAGTATATAGTAATACTCAGAATGGTAAACTTCGACCGCGGGGAGTTGAGTCGGAGAGAAAGCCGCCGAGATCTAAAGCTCTGGTCCCATCGGAGCAACACCGATTTTGAGAAAATCAACATGAATTGAAAAGAAAACAAGCTACATAGCGTCTGCCGAACACCCCCCGTAAAAATTATCTCAAGCGGTTTCAACATGCTCCACATGCTCTCTCTTAGCATCATCGTCATCCTGTAACTTTCCCATCACAGTCTCATCTCGGACATCTGAGCGGACTTTTTCTTCCTCTGTGGGGTATGCATGGCGCCACATTGTCCACAGTGGCCGGTCAAATAGATTGTCCATACTCTCAATGGACCGACCTTTCATCTCTGGCAAGCAGAAATAAATGAAAACCACGCCAAGATAAGTCAACATGGCATACAACAAAAATACCCCCCAGCCCATCTCAGTGATCATGTTGGGCGTAGCACGGGTAATGCCAAAATCAACGATCCAGTTGATAAAGAAACATATGGCCATGCAGAATGACCGCTATGTAGAATTAGCTGATTTCAAGTTTCGCCAATTCAATGACAGTTTGGACTTACGATTCTTGTGGGGAAGATCTCAGCAGCAACGACGTAGCATGCCACCGAATGCCCAAATGACCATCCAAATGCATAAATGTAAATACAGATGAGTCCCACAATTCCACCAGCCGGGGTTCCTCCTCCAGTAGACTCCTCCGTTGTGCCAGCGAACCGAAGGTATATGGCAAGATATAACATTGCAGTAGCTTGCATTGTTGCGCCAACAAGTAGAGGAACTCGACGCCCCACACGGTCAACCAGATAAACCACGTAGAAAAGGGACGTGACTGTTTTGACAACACCATAGATGCCTGTGTCCAACAAAGTCGCGGAATTTCCACTGACACCGATCATGGCAAATATCTCAGGCGCATAATACTGTGGTGGCAGTTCAGCAAATACTATCCTCCAAGTAATCAATGCGACAGAACTCACGTTTAAAGAATCCGTACCCGTGAACTTATGGAACAAAAAAAGCATCGCAGCTAAGAAGAAACGTTGAAAATTGTTTCTTGAGGTAAAAATATCTTTAAGAATCACCCAATAGCTGTGCCCAGCAAAACATTCCTGCTCATGCTTCACCTGGGCTTCGATCTCACGGTATTCAGTTTGCACATACTCGTGGTCCGCAGGCAATTTTCTCAGCTTGCAGATATTCGCCAAGCCTTCCTTTTCTCTTCCATGATTTATTAGCCAACGCGGAGTTTCGGGCACGAATGGAATCATGAGGCACATCAGTGCACCTGGAATAATCTGAATGCCCATCGCTGTTCGCCATTGACTGTTATCATACTCGATGCCCGGGAATGACCACTTCGAGACGCCGTAGTTGATAAAGAAAGCTAACATTAGGCAAAAAACAATCATCAAGTTATACGTGGCGGTCATTGATCCTCGAACAGATTTTGGGGAATTTTCAGCCAAAAATTGGGGTGTCAGCATTGATGAAGCGCCAACACCCATGCCGGCAACGAACCTACCCCCTAGAAGCACTTTGTAGTCCGCAATCATCTGCATCGCGGCCCCTATGACGAAAATCAATCCCCAACCAAAGACCGACCACTTTCTACCAAAATAGTCTGATGTTGGGGCTGCAAGTAGTGCCCCCACAGATCCACCTGCCGCGAGCATTGATGCGATAGTCCCCTATACACATGATGTGGCTTTGTCAGTGATTTGTTCCGGACGTTGCAGCAGTTTTGGGGCCACCTACCTTCCGGTTATCCATTTCAGTTGCAGTGAGGTTACTTAACCCAAAAGCATTTTCAAAAGATGGAAGAGTGAGAATTCCACCGATATTTCCCGTGTCAAATCCATAGAAAGCTCCGCCCCATGAAACGGCAACAAGAAGATAAAGAAGGCGAAGATTGAAGATGGCCTTTGGATCGGTCTTGGCCTCGTTACTGACCCAGATACTTGTTCCTCCCGCCATTGCGATAGGCAGACACAAAGCACATGCACGAAGTGGATATGGATTTGTTGCTTCAATGTGCCGAGGTGACCTCAGCACTCTTCTTTGAAATGACCCAAAGTCTGTCACTTCAATGTTGCTGCAAGTCTCCAGGGCTCCTTGGTCACTGAATATATAATCACTGTCCAGGTGCTCCTGTGCAGGTTATCAATACCGGAGACTCAGGGCCCCACTGAGTGGACTATTCCTGCAGAGCCATACATTCCCCAGCTTTGATCTGCAGACCCCGTGGGGAAGTGGGGTAAAGTTCTGGTATCGGTTTGTTCTCCGATATATGACCAAACTCGTGTGAGTCGGCTACCAACCCGACATTTCAGCTCTTGCCGGCACCTGGGCACTTGGTTAGTCCAGGACTCCAGGTTACGCAGGGAACTGATTCCAAGGTTAAGATAAGCACTGATAAGGGATGTTGAAAACCCCTTGTAGCCTTGATTTCAGGAGTTACTCTTTACATTCATTCTAAGCTGAACTCACAAGAGAAAACGCGTCAATATGGCCACAACAGAGACCCCCAATTTCAACCCCACCTTTCAATCCTCGCCAGATCGAATCTACTCGTACGCCGAAGCCTATATTCCTGCACTCACAGCACAATGCCATGCTTCAAACCTCCTCCTCCTCCCAGATGGTGATCTGCTGTGCGCTTGGTTCGGTGGCAGCATAGAGGGCCAACCGGACATCTGCATATACATGTCTCGACTCCCCGCGGGAGAAAATACTTGGACCACGGCAGTGAAGATGACGAAGGACCACACGCGCAGCGAGCAAAATCCTCTTCTGTTTCGCGTTCCTTCTACTGGAGAAATTCGACTACTATACACATCTCAAGATTCCGGAAATCAAGACTCCGCTGTTGTAAAACAATTGATTTCTTTCGATAATACACGCACTTGGTCAGATCCAAGCATTTTGTTTGGTGAGCCTGGAACCTTCATCCGACAGCCGATCGTCATACTCAAAAACGGGGCTTGGGTGGTCCCTATCTTCAAATGTCGTGTTGAGCCAGGTGAACGGTGGCTCGGGAGCGATGACATATCAAGTATACGTGTCTCCAAGGATGAAGGACATTCATGGACGGAAAGGGATGTACCAAACAGCTATGGGTGCGTTCACATGAACATTCAGCAGCTGAGGAATGGGTCGTACCTTGGATTGTTTCGAAGCCGCTGGGCAGATAATGTGTATCTGTCAAAATCTACCGATGGATTGGATTGGAGTGAGCCAGAAGCCACCATTCTTCCCAATCCTAACGCGGGAATCTGCTTTGATGTACTCCCATCTGGTCGTATTGTGCTTGTATACAATCATTCTTCGAAGAAGGATGCTCTTGGTCGACGCGACGGACTTTATGACGATATCAACGATGGCACAGATACACGTGCTAACCAGACGAGCAAACATGGCAAGGAAGCATTTTGGGGTGCTCCCCGCGCGCCACTGTCTGTTGCCTGGAGTGACGATAATGGGGCAAACTGGAAGTGGAAGACGCTCGAACGGGGTGATGGTTACTGCCTGACCAACAACAGTGAAAAGAAACTGAATCGCGAGCTATCGTATCCTAGCATCTTGATTCAAAAGGATGGCACGATTAATATTGCTTTTACGTTCTGGAGACAACGTATCAAGTACATTAGAATAGGAGAAGACTTTTTCTTGTGAAAGCGTATATAGACTCTATGATTTCTAATATTCTTTATGGATATCGCCATCAAGATTTAGTGTTTGAACTCACAATCAGACATGAATTGAGTCATGCTCTCAACCGCCTTCCAACCCATCAATAGAAATAGTCTCCTATTTCCTAATTGGGAAAAGTAGTTCATCACGCTCCGATCTTAGGTAGAAATTATTTACTCTTCCCTTCCCTTCCCTTCAATTCGTCCTTTTCTTTCTCCTCTTCTCTCTTCCGCGGTTTCTATACTATCAATTTTTCCTTTCACTTCTTTATTTTTTCTCTCTTCCTTCCTCCTCACTCATCTTTTTCCTTTTCCTTCCATCTTACTACTTCTTCTACTATACTTCACACAGCACGCGACCTCTATTCGTCTCTTTGTAATCTTTAGGTGAGAAGTCTAGCGATTTCTCCAAACTCCTTCACAGCATCGCTGGTGTTGCCGCTTCAGCTGGACGGTAAAGTCCAGGTTGCTTGCCCTTCAGGTCCGGGACGTCTTGACCCACACGCGTTTATTCTTATTTTAAGTTAGGGTCAACGCCCCCTTATTCACTTGCCCCCTTTGCATCGTCAGGATGAGTGGAAAACTCATCAGAAATTTGCTGACGGAGGTATATCTTCATTATAGGTCTTCCGTATCCGGCATTTCCTTCCTACTCGCCTTGGGTCTCGGGCCTCAGCTTGGGATAACTATGCGGCGCATATTTTTCCTGGCATTATTCTATTCCCGATATGCCTTGCATGGCACGCGAAAGCTCTACATGAAAAATGAGAAAGGCCGACTTAGTTGACAAATCCGTGGGTCATTATGAAATATATGGCTAACTCTAGTGGAACATCCAGACTTACACAGCATCGGGGAGGCTCTGTTCCAACTCCACCAAATGCAACATCACTTTCTCCACCCATGCAGCCTTCTCTGCACTGCAAGGGGCATACGGCCTTCGAGGCCAGAAGGCCTTTGGGTCATTTAACCCAGCGGCTGCTCCAGCGAAATAGAAGGCAGCATATTTAGTTGCTGCGATTCCTTCCTTGCATGCTTTTTCCGCCTGCGCTATCAGCCCTTGCAACTTCCTGGCTTCTTTAATATCTCCGGCATTCCACAGGGCGTAAAGTCTTGCCACGGACTTTGGGAAAACGTTGGCAATTCCAGTCACACACCCACTACCACCACCGACCAAGCAAGGAATGAGCCAGTCTGAAGACCCAGCGTAAACCCCAAATTGTTGGTGATCGTACTCTTGGGTAAGTCTTGTCACCTTTCCAGCATTTCCACAGGTCAATTTCACAGCAACAATATTCGGATGTTTGGCGAGTTCGGATAGCGTATCGGAATTCATGTCGACGCCGTTGCACATAGCAGGGAACTGAAGCCTTGGTTAACATTGTATTCGGGTCTGGAAACATATCTTACGACTCACACTGTAAACCACAATTGGGAGCTCTGTTGCATCCGCAACATCTCGGTAGAAACTCAAGAGAACCTCATTTGTGACAGCCTTAGCCCAGTAGTTGGGGGGAAGCAATAACCCAAAATCGGCACCAGCACTCAATGCGTCCTCTGCGAGGCGAATCGACTCATTTGTTGATTGCCCGCTGATTCCCGCAACCACTGGCAGCTCAGGTTTACCAAGGTCCGAAGCAGCTTTTTTCGCGACTCTGACAAGCTCCTTGCGCTCTTCTGGGGAGAGAAGAACAGCCTCTGCATTGGTCCCCGCCAGTACAAGGCCATTAACTCCGCCACGGATCAAGTATGTAAAAAACTTATACGAGGCATCTAGATCAACTTCTTGACGAGAGTTTGCCTTGTAAAGGGAGATGACTGGTGGGTAAATCCCTGGTGGGAGGCTCTTTGATTTCGCAGCCACGGTGGATCCCATGATGTCGGTTAATGAAATTCGCGTTAGTTTTCACTTCGCAGCGTGTCTGTTCAAATGATCATGCGTGTAATAGCACCATAATGTCTGTCACCTTATAGGCTTTGGATGATTCGCAATAATGTTGCCCATGTCAAGCCACGTCGGCCACTCTCCGAGATTTCCGCGTCGGACTCTTTTCCACAAATGCGGGGGAGCTCGCGCAGGGCCCAAATTGCCAATCAGCCCTGCGAATGGTGTGGGGAAGCTATGGCCACACAGGCCGATCTATACCATTTTTGTCAGCACCGAGGTTTTGAACTTTTGGTCAAAGGATACGTGCTTGGCGAATAGAATTATGTGGATTTCGTCACGGTGGGACTCTGGTTTTCCCCTCTCGCTGGTAGATAAACCCCCTCGGAGGACTCACCGGTGCTAGGGTTCTGATCCTCGTCACAATAAATTCGAGTTATTGTTACTGCAGCCCTCGTCGCAAACATATCATGACAAAGCGAAAGCGGGTTTGGGCCGATGAAGCGCCGGACGCCATGCCGGATGCGAATTCTTCCTCTGTCGAACTCCCTGATGCCAAAGACCCGGGGGTATTAGATGTTTTACCGGGGATTACCCGCAAGATTACAGCATGTGGAGCTTGTAGGAAGCAGAAGGTATGTTTTACGTCAATGGGTTGCTGTTTGTTTTGATTGGACAAATTCTGACCGCGTAGATCAAATGTGACATGACCAATGGGCCACCCTGTACTCGATGTCGTCGACGAGATTTGTCATGTGTTTTGAACAAGAGCCTACAATCATTGGTAGAAGAGGTGAAGTATGTCTGATTGTTCCTTCTAAATCTTTCATTCAATATTAATATAAAGCAATAGAAACACAGAGCACCTCCAGACTGATATCTGCGGTATTCACGAAGTTCTGGGTAGCATCTGTCAACAACTAAACTTACCCCTGCCGAAACCGCTTATCTCAACTGGTGATGCACTGCAGAATGAAAGCAAAATTGACCTGAATGATGAACTGGAGGGTGATGGGGAAGATCTTGACGGCTGCGAAATATCTCCCCCTGATACGCCCTCTGGTGTTCAAGCACCCATCGACACATACTTGGACATAGCCAAACTTGGAAGTCCTGGGTCATCTACCAACACTCCACCAAGTGTGACACGCCAGAGGCAGCATATCCCGCAAGACCTTGTCACCAAAGGTATCATAAGTTTGAGCGTAGCGGAGACGCTCGTCGAGCGATACTACACTCGATTGGACCCCTATCTGTATGGAATATGCAGTGGATACCACAATCTTCAACAGATGAGAACCACCTCGCCGTTATTATTTGCAGCAGTCTGTACAGTGTCAGCATTGCAAGATTCACAAGCCCAATCGCTGTATGAAACATGTAATCGCGAGTTCCGACGCCTTATGTCGCGGTCGCTTTTTGAGAAACACGACCTTGAACATGTTCGGGCATTATGCATCAGCTCGTTTTGGCTCTCGGATGCCTCGAGAATTTTTTCTAGTGATGCTATTCGCCGCGCGGCGGATATGCGACTACATCGTAGTTTCAACCATCTCGAAAATCCAGCAGCCTTCCGACCAACGCCTAGCCATAAACCCAATTCACCGATACCCATTCATAACGATACCAACGCAGTCAAAGATCGTGTCAGACTGTGGTACTTGATTTTCATATCCGACCAACACCTTTCGATCCTCCACAATCGGGACCCTCTTCTACGCAGCGATAAGGAGATTGCATTGAGCTGGGAAACCTTTTTGGCTCGCGAAGATACCACCGACTCCGATATACGACTCATCTCACAGGTCGCTCTTCTCGTTATCATGAGCCAAGTCCGGGACTTACTAGGCTCAGACCATGAGTCACGCGTACCACAATCTTTGTCTAATCAGATCATCCATTACTCACGCCAACTGGATCGCTGGTTCAACAAATTTGTTGCCATTTTCAAGCCCGATCCCTATATCGGGGATTTCCCCAAAAGAGGTCTACAGCTACATTATCATTTTGGAAAGCTCTATCTCGGGCATCAGGTCTTCAAGGGTCTCAACGGGGAGGTGATTCCTCCACATTTTTTGACTGCGGCCAGCATGGCCCACGAAGCAGCCGTTGCAATCTTCGAAATGATTCTTCATGAAGAAAACATTCAAAAAAGCCTCGTTGGAATGCCACATTATTTCCACATTATGATTGCTTTTGCGGGTCACTTTTTGTTGGAGGTTACAAAGAACTACCACAGACAACTTTCCATATCACCTACTCAGGACTTTGAATTGATTCGCAAAGTACTAGGATTGTTCCAGAATACGCCCAGTGTACAGCAACATCCCATATGTCGAATGACTCCTGGTCTTACGCGGAAGCTGCATGAATGTGTTGCTTCGTTACAGAGGAACGGAGAAGAAATATTTCCTGCTCTTGCATTGTCGACTGATACGATGGGGTACCAACAGAGTCTTGGCAGCCAGGTACATTCAGCTCCAGGTTCATTTCCGTTTTCTGGAGAATCCCTCGTAACCCCTGTAGAGGACTTTTTGTTGGCAGACTTTGGAGAATTCACGTTCCCGGGGATGATGTCCCATGAGATATAAACAACTTCATTTTGATTTATTTGATGAGTGAATATGAATATGATTTTAAATGGCCTGCCTGCGCTGGGCCAACATGTGCAACATTTGAAAGTAGATGAGGCCAAGATAAAAATGGAAGTGCAAAAAGGAATTGGCGCCACCCGGAATCGAACCGGGGCTAAATCAGATTCGAATGTGTTTACCACAATGATTCGTCATACCACTAGACCATGGCACCTGATTATTGATAAGGATGCCAGTTTTGACATGATGAGGCTAGAAATGAAGCAATTTGAGTTATTTTACTCCGTTGAGTCCGTTCTATGTTAATTTAGGAACATTTGAAAGAAGGTGCTCTTTGCCCTTCTTTCAACAGAGATTTTACCCATAACTTCTAGCCTTAGAAAATTGATACGATTGCATTCAATAGGCTTCAAGTTTCAAATTGACAACTCGCCACGAAAGTCAGCGTAATGACAAAAGAAAAAAGAACAGAATAGAAAAAGAAAAAAAGAAAAAAAAAAAACTGCAGGATTGAGTACAATCCTCTTCCTATTATGCAATAAGGTGCTCAACAGTTTCCCGGCGCAAAACTTCCGCATCCTCTGGTAACAAGAAGCCGCTCTCAATTTGTCGTTGAATGGCCTCTCCCGCACGGTGCCGATACTCTCTAACCGAGCCATAAATTGCCAAAATCTTGTCATGGCTAAAAGGCCATTCGGATCCTGGAGTGTGGCAAGATCAGAGTTCATTCAAAGTAAGTGTGGGATACCATAACATACCACAGTACCAGCTTGGACGTCCCTTCGGAGTGGCTGCAACAAGTCGACTCAAAGGAACCTCTGTATGAAGAGTCCGGACTCCTCCAAGCGCGTTTCCGTGGTCGTCGCGCAAAATATTATCGCTTGATCCAACGGTCTGGAGGAGAGCACTTGGAGGAGGGTTGATTGAGCGTGTGATCCATTTCTCCATAGCTTCAAAGACAGCGTGGTAGATAAACGAGTTGGGAAAAGAGCTCCACTTTGCGCCATGCAAATCAACACCTGCCAACCACTTTATATCTGAAGCCGAAGAATATCGTGATTCTCGATGGGCCATTCCAGCTACTTCATATATGCGTAATGAGTCACTGTCGGGGCGTCGGTGTATTGTGTCTTTGAGTTGTCCACTGACACCACAGGGGAATCGGACAGATTGGAACTCTGATTCCCCAAGAAGTTCAATAACCTTCGCGGGGGCAAGATCAGGAAGTGGGGGTCCACCAGACTGACAAGGAATGAATCCCTCGAAAGGGAGAGAACCCTCAGGAAGTCGTAAATGAGAAGAGTGTGTGATGAATCGTCTGGTCACGCCACTGGTCTGTGAAAGCCCAGTCAGAATAACACTCTGGGCTTTAACCCCCAGTTCTCCAGATCTCAGAGCATATGAAGCAGCGGCCAGAATTTCCGGACATTGCGAAGTAGCAGGCCACCATTTTGCTTTAAATGCGCAGTACTTTTCGTACAGAGTTTCCTTGGATGTGTCAGTCACAAATGGGACATTCGCGGCAAATTCATCCGCAAGTAAGCTCGGAATAAAGTGCATGTCTTGGTAGCGAGTGGGATCAATGTTCTTAACCTTCGCAATTGCGGAAGGTGCCTGGGAATCGACCTCAAGCCATGCGTGTCCTTCAAATAATCAGCTAAGAACTATCGCTAAATTCTATCAGACTCACCATTACGCATGATCCAACGATTAACATGGCGCCATATGCTGGTACCGCCCCACAGGTGAGATGGTTCTTCGACGACAAGACCGGAAAATTTGGTCGGCTCCGCGGGTGAACGAAGTAGTAGCCTGGTGCAGTAAGATTGGCCAGCAGCTTCACCGGAGATCAAATATTCTCCGGTGGTATAGCCATATACTGGTAGCAGATCAACGTGATATGGCTCGAGAATCACAGCTTTTGAAGCTTCAGTCTCGGGCAAAAGAGTGGTCGTTGGCTTTCCGACACATAAGGCCTCAATGGGGAGGCTTTCGATCGCCATTGCTAGATTTCTTGTTTGTAGCAACCAGTTGACTTCGAGCAAAATCTTGATCTTGCTTTCACCAATCAGAATGCGAAACCAGTAAATATGTATCATTCAAATATTGAGACTTGTCTTAGAACATCAAACGGTGGATATACTATAGTTATAGCTGAACGAAGTGAGGCTGTCTTATAATAGATGGGGATACCACGTGACATACCGACGCGAGTCAACCGACTATGTCGGGTGAGTCGTGAGTCGTGACTCGGTTCACAGTCGGTTGACTCGGTTCAATACCGGCTAAGATGAAATTTGAATCCGAGTCTGCGAGGACAATCCGAGGAGTTAAACTTTCAAATTGCAATTTCAGGATGGTCAAGGTAATAATATGGGGCTTCTGTGTATCTTTAGCACTTAGATTTGGGGAAACACACGAGCCTGGTGGAATGCTAGATCACAAATCTACCAGTAACCCGGTCCATGACATCACGCAAAACGACTTTGATCCCAGTAGCTTGAGTTTGAAGCACAGATTCGAGAAGCAAGCGGGTTTTCCCAATATACGGTCCCCATTTTTTACCCTTCTCGAGTAGACCCAATATCCAGTCACTTTTGATTGGGTCGGTGTTATGCACTCCAGCGAGAAATAGTGATGCAGGCATGAGCGACCCTGGTGAGCTTCGGCGTGAGGGGTCGTGTGAGACCTTCAGTTGGTTGAAGAGAATTGTTGAGACTGATTCTCCACAGTCGACCAAAGGGAAAGGCTATTAAGTGACAAGTCAGAACAGAAGTGTAAGTATGTCGGGCAGAACTCACAACAATCATGACGAGATAAAGAAGTCCGGAATGTAGTGCAGATAAGACGATCAGTCGGTCATAAGAGGCCGAGTCAATTGTTTTATCTCCCGAAAAGTTGAAGCTTGTCAAGTCGTCACCTAAGGCAACCATTCGTTTTTTGAAAACCTCAATCTCGTGGCAAATCTCTTCGTAAAGATCATTGATTTCTATGACACCTACCGGTGGCTGGGCACCGACACTTTTTGAATGATCATGTAGCCGTGCATCTAAGCTTGCAATTCTGACTTTGAAAAGATCGGCTTGGAGTAAATTGAGAAGGGTGGTGCGGGGTGCATCATGTGGTTCCCGTTCGAAAATAAATGAGCAAGATGGCAATGCGTACAAACGCTTGACAAGCACGCCGCCGCCAAGCCCGAAACAAGTGGATCGCGCATCTAAGATGGCAAGGCGGATGATAATTCGTCTTGACAAACTCGAAGGATCCTCTAAAGCCTGTGCGCCTCTTTGTGATGACACGACATCGGCGGCTACCTGCATGAGACTGTGGAAAGTTTCAATCTCACCTCCCATCATATGCACTGTTTTGATGCGAACAACCAGAGCAGACAGTAAGGCTTCAACCTCTGTATAATCTCCTTGAATATGAGTTTGAAATGAAGACTCAGCCAATTTATTGTAGTTTGCAGCTTGATTGGAATAAGAGTCATCTTCAACGCTGAGGTGGGAAGCGGAAAAGGCCAGAATGGCATAGAAGAGAGGCGGAAATTGAAGCGATTTGGAGAAAGCAGACACAAATAAATTGCTGGCTTTGTGGGGGAAATCGTCAAGTTTGGCATACCCTTTCATTACATCCAGATAATGCTGAATCAAACGGGAGTTTTGATTGTCAATTGTAATCGACGTCTCAGATTCTGGCTGTGCCTCGATTCTGATGTCGGTATTTCCCATGAAACTCAAACCAGTCATTTCTGCACGGTGAGAGTTCAACATTAATTCAGCATGAGAAATAGGTATGAAGTCTAGCCCTTCGCCGGAAATATTGAAACCGAAGGGGTCAAGTTCAATGTCAAAATCGAAACTGAGGTCCAGATCTTCAACATTTTGTAGTGAAGCGTCCATGGATTGATCTAAATTCGAGCTGATTGGATTTCCCAAATGATCTATATTATGAGTTGAAGCTGTCCGTGTAGGATTTTTCGGGGTTACGCTTTTTGGTGGTCGGCCAACCGTCCGCCTTCTCTTGGGTGGAGGAATGTAGTGCTCTCCAGGTGCTGGGGGCTGCCATCGACACTCAAGCCCAAGTCTCACGCATGTTGCACATCTTGTTGAATTAGACTGGTCAACTTCAGTTTCCGGTTCTGCAGCATTTTTTGCGCATCGAACTTTTCGAGTCTTGCAAGTGAAGCAGCCTGGGGAGTACGCTTTAATCAGAGTCTAGAGAAGTGGGGCGGGCACAGGACTTATAATAAAGACGCATACAGACCATCGCGTGAACGGCGTCTCAAAGGTCCCTCCTGGACTTGTACACCAGTCGACATGCTACCGGTTGACAAGTGGGATCTATGTAGTGGATATAACAGGGCCGTTTATGGACAGAAAAGAGATTCTGACCATCCGCGCCACGATTAAGAATTCATTGGCAATTTGGGACAAGTCACATGACTGGATCTCCAACAATTATGTTGCATACTACTGAATGGCGGGCGATAACAAGGACGCAGGCCGAGATTACCCCTGAGGCCGTCAATTAGACATTTGCCAAGTTTGGATGTTGGTTATTAATGGCGGTGACTGTGAATTAACCAAAGGTGAAAAAAAGAAAAACGGATATAATATAACTATCAAACTTTTATGAGTTCATGGGGGAAAAAACAAAAAGAAACTCCGATAGGGGGAATCGAACCCCCGGCTGTCGTGTGAGAGACGACGATGTTAGCCACTACACCATATCGGAGGGGGACTGCGAATTACCTCGTTAGGTTTAGCCTTAACACTTTTAGTTTATCGCTACCGATCTCTGAGTGCCTGTGCGTGGTTGTATATAGCAGTTCCCTGCAACCTATATCGCAATTTCTTTTTCCTCGCGCCCGTTCTCCCTGCATGTTGCTGCATTTGAGGCACTTTTGCTATTGATCTGGATCACCAAGCCCCGCTATCCTACGTCCTTGGTGGTTCTCGTCCGCTCCGAGTCCCCAATGCACTCCCTGGAAGGAATGAGTCTGAGTGCCTCTTGCTGTCCGGCTCCACGGGTCTGACGCCAGCTTTGCGAATCGGTTATTGATGAGTCAGCCAGTCCGAAGTTAGACTTTCTCACTGTCAGGTGAAAACTGCCAAGACCTGCAAATAACCATCGGGGCTTTTTGGCCGCAACTTAACTAAATACGGACAAGTTAATTAGTTCCTGACCATCGCAATCATCTTTTGAAAATGAGTAAATACCATCAGTTTCTCTGGCCCCATCTAAATTTGCCTCCCTTAGCCCTTTTATCACAGTCACCTCGAAATACGCAGTCGCTTTTTAAGCCGTATGGATGTAACAACAAGATAGGTCACACCTGGTTAAACTAGCGACGCTTAGAGCCAGGAAGGGTTCATAAAACTGATCCCCTTGGGCAGCGTTTTTCTCCCAAATGCATGCAGGAGAGCGGGGTCTTCTTGTAGCACCACCCAATGTACGCGCTAGCCTTTGCTTTGATGGTTCAAATGATAAATTGCACATATTTTTGAACATTGGGGGCCAAATTATAGCGTGTGCATGGGCCGTCAACGGTATGTTCCCCGCACCATTGAGAGTCGAAATACCTGATAGCGTTCACTTTCACCCTCCTAACTGCCCATCTACGTTCACTCTTGTTCTAGAAATCCTCTTCAGATTATTCTTGCAAAATTGAAAGCTTTTTCAGCCGCCTAGCTTTCGTTTGTTGAGGGCTGACGAAGCCGATCACCCCGGGCTTTAACTAAGCCCTTGCGCTACATCATGCTGGAAGATGGCAAGTTAGAGGGAGATGAAAGCGTAGCCATGACCCTAAAGAGGGCAGAGGAGTCCAAGAAAACGCCTCGGATACATGGTGTTTATTATCGTGCTCTAGCAACCGCTGGGGTGCTGGTAGTGAATTTGTTTTTTATCGGCCTCGCCGTTAGATTCTCAAAGCTATACACTGAGAATGATGGCTTTACACCAACTGCTTTAGTCTACCGAGGGAGTTGCACTCCAATCAATCGGTGGGAAACTGCGCTGAGTCTGATGATCAACATTCTGAGTGAAGTCGCTCTGGGCGCTAGTAATTAGTTACGCGATGCAAACTCTGGTTGCACCAACTCGTGAGGAGATAGATCAGTCTCATACAAAGCACAAATGGCTTGATATTGGGTCTACCAGCTTGAGGAATCTCTTTGTGATACCAAAACCTCACCTCGCGCTATGGTTCGTGCAAAAGGCCATTGCAGTTTCACGTCCTTGGATACGAAACCGCCCTCTTTGGATAAGCTGTACGCTTAGCATGGGATTCTTACCCATTTAAGTATCAATTTCGCAGTTGGATTCCAAATCAATGACTTCTGACAGATGATGAACAAATATGAATTTTTTCCATAAGGATGTATTGGTACACCAAACATGGCTTACGAAAATGCATGGGTTAATTCACCGATGGGGTTTTCTTTCCTGGATGGGCAATGTCACTAGTGGACTTTTTATCACCCCCTGAACTTGCTTTACTTTCTGGGTGAACTTACGTCTGGTGGTGGAGGTGATGACATAGTCATCGACAGGCAGTTGCTGGCTGCTAGGGACGAGGGGGATCTTATTCGGGTCCGCGGCGCGTGCGATCATGACTCTGGACTGGCCTACTAGGATAGAAACCATGTCAAAAAAATTTTGGGTTGTGATCGACCCATTCTGTCGAACCCCTCCAATCAGAGTGCCATCGTCATTGTAAATTTTCATATTGCGGCAACGTGACCGGGCAGTCATTTCCGCGGATTCGTGGGGGATAAAATGGTGAGGAGGTCGCAAAGAGCTGCACGGAGATGGGTGATGAAGAAGAAAATTTGGAGTGACAATGGTGAGCTAGTCGCTTGAACGGAGCGAAGCGTACTAGTAGTGAGAGCATATTCTTCTTACAGTACAAAAATTTTTGGTGGGGAAATAGGAACAAAAGTTACTCCTATATATCAATAAATTAGCAGGTCTACTAGGTGCAGCGGCCGATACCCGCCACCCCTGTGCCATAACTCAATCTCAACTTTCCGACCGGCAGAAAGTAAATTATGAGTAATTCCAAATTCATTTTTGTTTTTGAACTCCATTATATACAGCGCCGTATTATATACGGAATCCTTAAACTCTATAATCAATCCATTCTCAAGTCCCTTCTCAAGTCTACTCTCAAGTCTATTCTCAAGTCTATTCTCAAGTCTATTCCCAAGTCTATTCCCAAGTCTATTCTAAAAGTGACCCGTATTTAGATCAAATCCCTTAAGATATTCCTATATATATGATAAATACAAGATAGGCAGGAAACAGGGCGGTGAAGTTAGAGATTGAAATTGGGTTATGGCAGTAGAGTGGCGGTTATCGGCCCCGTAGTTGCGGAGAGGCTATTATTTAGACTACAATTCAATCATTCATTCCAAGTAAATATAAGGCCTGCTTAAAACATACTTTTTACTATGCAAATCAGAATATAAAATAGAATTAAGCGAGCGCGTAGTAGTCTGAGCAGACTTAGAAGTTTGAGATTAGAGGAATATAACAAATATGAATTTGGAATTACGCGTAATTTCCTTCTGCCGGTCTGAGAGTTGAGATTGAGTTATGGCACAAGGGTGGCGGGTATCGGCCGCCGTAGGTCTAGGTATAAATACAGCCCCCTACTTAAAGTAATAGATAAGACTAATAAGCTCCTTATCTAGAGCAGATCACATGATTGGGCTGGTCACATGATGCTCAGGATGACTCAGCGGTCATATTTGAAAAAATCGTGCGTCACGTGACTAGTATCGGCCGCCATAGTACTAGTAAGCAATTTCTCTAGTACACATACTTGCTTTCGCTTGATCGAGAAATCTACTAATCAAATACATACCTAATAGCCCTCTCCCTTTGCTCTGAAGTAGAACTACTACTTGACTCTGGAGTCATTACAGTTGTTCCTTTGACCTATAATAATACTCCAACGCGGTAGAAATGCGTCCTTTTGGACGACTCACAAAGCGAAGAGATTGTCATCCATCTCCCGACTATAAGTGGGTCAGGGGTTGACATCCATCGAAAGGTTTGCTCTTGTCCCTAAATGATAAAACAAGATTTAGGTAATAACAAGAATTTAGGATCTACACAATCGAGAGCTCCGTTTTCTTTCTGATGCGCAGCCACGCCGCCGTTATTTATATTTTCGCTTTCTTATCTCTTATCTGAATGCCAAACGACTAGGTATTCATGATGTTAGCAAGAAAGTCGAGTCAAGAAAGTTCTGGCCATCAGGAGGAGAATACCTCCCCCGTTCGACTTTGAAAACTCTTACCCGATGCGTTTCGGGCTGTGAGCTTCCAGCCAACCTTTTAGAAGGTCAAACCTTTGACACAGCGGAAGATGACAACGCTTATAGCGAAGAAGCGGCCATGATTATCGCAAATGGAATTAGGCAGATGAGCAGCGGTTCCACAAAGGGTTAATTTGAATGCTCGCGGGATGTATTACTTGACACATGTGCAGTTTGAAGAACATTTGACTGAGGAGTATTTGACCTATCAGAATGAGAAGAATATTATGTGACCCGGGAAGTATAAACATAGTATTTTATATGGCCATAAGCGTAAGAGAAGCTACTCTACGGTTTGCCTCTGGAACTCTTTTTGTCGGTATTCTCATGATGAGTTTATGTACACTATTCTGTACCGCATACATTATCCGATTCTGGTCAAACAAACACCAAGAAAAATTAGCCTGGTATTATTGACAATTTAAACCTATCCAAATAGTGTTTGTGTGTTCTATTTAAAGTGAGTGCTATGGAAAGTAAACGGGTCAACTGGTAGAATAGTGTACGTGACACGCTAAGCCTAGTTTAATAACCGGCACTAGTCTTGATTAAATCCACGAGAACGCTTCAATGTTATACGCTTATACGCTTATACGGAAACACCACGATTATGGCTTATATCACTCTACTTTCTCTGACTCAATCGAAAAGCCTTTGTTAAGCGTAGATACTTGTCCTAATGGGAAGCTTTGAGTTTCAACTTTCACCATTATCGTCAATTGATTTGCTGTAACATTGAAGTCATTGTTACGGACTTCTAACCAGTAGTGGGGAACATGTGATCGTACTTTGTTGCCTAGTCCTCCAGGCTCCTTTTCTTCAATCCAGTACTAGTTAGATAGGTCCAGAACTCTCAACACACATAAGCCTTCATTTCTCTTTCTATCACTCTCTATCAACAGTAGAATCCCCGTCGAATCAATCGGGTTTAAGGGACCCACTGCACTGTCATTCTGCTCATTCACGCCATTTCTATCCCTGTCCAAGTTGTCCCGCCACAACAAACAGCCACCCGGTTTGCGAGATTTGGAAACATGGAACTCCAGATGTGCTATGATGATGCCTCATGGGAACAATTTGACCATATTTCCGACAATTGGTTACGTCAGTTTCTCAATATCGATGTTAAGAGACCAATCGCGGAGTTTATCCTGAAGCATGATTCTGGGGAAGATCCCGAGTTCACAATCCTTCAAAAAGGGTCATTCAACATCACGTTAAAAATGAAGTACACATATAACGCGACTGATATCCGCTTCTCACAGCCTGGAGCTGTTCTTTTTCCTGAGGAGAAAGTCCGAAACGAAGTTGCTGTAATGCGATGTATCTCAGACCAGACATCAATTCCGCTTCCGTTCATTCTTCGTTCGGGTACGAAGATGGAGAGCCCCCTGAATCTAGGCCCTTTTATTATGATGAGCCACATTGAGCACACCACGACTATGTATGATGCTCTCAATATACCGGGGTGTTCAAACCAGACAAGGGGTATTCTTGACCCAGACATCGATGAGATTAAGCTTCAAATGCTATATACACAACTCGCAAAGACCTTGCTTCAGCTTTTCAAACCAGAGTTTCCTAAAATAGGGTCTCTTAGCCAGGTGGATGATTTTTCTTGGGAGGTGACCAACCGGCCATTATCAATGAACATGAACGAGCTGGTGCGCCTAGTAACACTACCTCGATCGGAACTTCCATCCCTGAATACTACTTTCAAGACAACATCTTCATATATTGAAGCCCTGGCACGGCTCAATATACAGCATTTGCTTTATCAAAGGAATGATGCGATCCAGTCTGCATGTGATTGCCGCCGGAAATTTGTGGCAAGACAGTTATTATCAGCTTGCCAAAGACAAGAAGTTATTCTTATGCGACAAAGAGGTTGAGAATGGACCATTCAGACTTTGGTGTGATGATTTCCGACCGGCCAACATTCTCCTCCATGATGATATGCAGGTTGCTGGTGTGATAGATTGGGAATTCACCTATGCGGCACCAGCAGTGTTCTCATATGCTCCACCATGGTGGCTCCTCATCGAGAAGCCTGAAAACTGGACCGAAGGTATCGAGGACTGGGCTCGAGTATTCAACTACCGCCTAAAAACGTTCCTCAAAACCATGAGGCATTGTGAAGACATGGCTCCCCAGCCGGATAAGCACCGAATTTCGGATCAGATGCAACGAAGCTGGGAAAGTGGAGACTTTTGGGTGGTATATGCAACTTTGAACAGCTTTGCGTTTGACGCGATCTACTGGCAGAACATCGACCCGCGGTTTTTCGGTCCTACTAAGACCAATGATCCCAGTGATGCATGGAAAGAGCGATTACACCTATTAGATGATACCCAAAGGGGTGAAATGGAGGGCCTGGTGACGAAGAAGCTTGAGGAGATGGAAGACAGGGTCTTAGCCTGGGATCCAGACGAATATACTGAAGAATTTTGTCAGGAGCTGAAGAGAAGGAGAGAAGAAAAAGCAGAGGAAAATGGTTGTGAGACTGAGGATTGAACTTTTCATAATCCAAGTGATTGCTATAGTAAGCCACAAACGCTGTCTCTAAGGATCGTAAAGATGAGAAGGAAGCCTGACTAGTGGTGACACTCTAGGTTGATTTTGGCCTTCTCATTCCCATTTTATTCATCCATCATGCTTTAACATTATGTTCCCTCCTTGGTTTGCTTCAGCCCAATCTATACCGATCGGAACTTCGATATACATGAGAGGAGTATGCTGTTGAGAGCCGTGCATGTCGATGTCCCCGAACTGACCAGACACACAAGGTCTCTTAATAGTGGCTTTGAAAGATCGAGCTTGATCCCAAAATAAGCAGGCCAAAACCTCCTCTTGAGAAACTCCATATAGTTTTAAGATAGACTCAAGACAGAGAACCCCGCTCTTCTTCACCCTCTGGAAAAGATCCTCGTTATCAAACATCACATCCATAGTCAGCTCGTAGGGCCCAGCATTCTTCGTGCGAATGACAGATGCGATATCACCTAAGTAGCAATACCCCTCTGGAAGATCTGGCTTGAGAAATGGTCTTTTCTCAAGGCTCCTGGTCATGACAGCAGCTGCCTTCGAGGCTAGTGAGCCAGATTTTTCATCGACTACACGTTTCACAACTTCTCTTGCAAAGATTCCAGTACCTGGTAAGACTTGATGATGGATTGGAAAAAACTCCACGGGATCGATCTCCTCAAGAATGTGGTAGACCGAAAACTCGCATACTTCCCCCATTGGGATATCATAGGGTGGAAATGGCATTGCGAAATTGCCAGCGGTGGCTAGTTGGTGTAGATATGGCCCATGAATACAGGCGAGTCGCGCAATGCTACTAACATATGTTGCTTGAGCCTGTGTAGAAGCCAGCACCTCTCCACAGAGGCATATCTCTTTTGGCACAGTCGAAGTGGGCTCAAGCTCGCCCATGACAGCGTTTCGGCCATATTGATGAAATCTCAAATCGAACTCGTGGGAGACCCTGCTCCTGACATAATCCCGGATGTTGCTCAAAAATTGATCTAGCTGCGAGATCAATATGGGATCCCGGATACCGCCAAAAAAGGTGGTTCGGTATCCTAGCACCCGAGCCCCTTCGAGCTTGACTGTGTAAGGATCTGCCGCGACAAACTTGCCCCCACGTACGCGGACAGTTCGATTGTCTTCCAGAGCTTCATAAGTTGCGTGTTCAAGGTAGAGGGTTCCACCTGGGCCAACCAAAATATCTGGTCGTGTCTTCTCATACAATGTATGAGCGGCAACTGAAGTGACTGTGCAACGTGCTGCAGGGTCGAGCGGAACTATGTCAAAGCTATTCTTTCGTATAGTGGCCATTGCAGACTGGCTCTTCGGAACAGCACACAAAGCCCCGCATTCCATAATCTTTCCCATATGATATGCGATGCCGAGATCGGGAAAGCCACGATGGACACAGAATGCAGCGTATGGTGACGGGTCATATGCACGACCCCCGACGATGATATCAAAATCAGGATTCTCTTCCATGGCCTTCACATAAGGCTCTAGTCCCATTTGTGCAACAATTCGCGTGGTATCGTCAATGTCGGAAGATTTGAGCAACGGGACTGCTTTGCTGCAGGGGACAACTTGGCCACACTCCAGCTTTGATTTCACCAGACTTTTGTCGATTTCTGAATAGATACTGACAATTTTCATTGCACGATAGCCTTTCTTTGATATCAGATCCCTCATGATGTCAACAAAAAAATCAACATGATCGTTCGCTCCATCACCTCCGGCAGAACCAATGAGGATAGTAACGCGATGTACATGACATGCTGCGAGAAGCAGATTGAGGTCGTGTTCGTAGCCCTCTCTAGTCACGGTTGTATGACCTAGGGCGAGTTTCTGCGGTCCACTGTCGGTTGAACCGCTATCGGCGATGATTGCATCGACGCCTCCCTCGAGCGCTTCCCAAAGGAGATCTTCATTGAAGCCATAGCCGAGCATTCCAATGGGTGTAACGATCTTCAATTCACCTTCGTTCTTGGAGGTCGCCATTTTGAAAGAAACAGAGACTGAGATGTGTGAAAGGGATTTTTAGGTGAAATCGAAAATAATATTTGATCCAAAATTTCAATTTATTATGGGTGAGAGATATATAATCATGTATTATTGCGTGTTCTGCGAATTCGCATAATGGCCCGAGGACGGGGCGATTTCGCATTTTCAAGCGAAATCGCGCTCCACCTGTGGACGATCTACTAGTATGTAATACTCAAGTGCTTTGAATTATTGAGCTCAATTCCCCACCTTTCTCCGGACTACAAGGTGAGATACTAAATACATCCGCAATTTATGCTATTTGAACTTAATTCTGCTTTCCTCTGGCAAATCTTATTTTTTTGAACATTACTATCTACAGCATAACCCGAAGTCATGAACACCAAAGAGGAGGTGGAAAGAATTGAAGATGTGGATCAACCTTCCAAAAGCCTTCCCTCTTCGCGAGCAAAATGATTTGAGCGCAGAGGAACAAAGACAGGAGCGCCGAATGTTGCTGAAGACAGACACAACTATTCTTCCTTCAAATGTTTGCTTGGAATGATATACTTCTTACCATTTATGGCAAGTATTCTACTTATGCGTATCGTTAAGATGGTGGTCTTATTGACAGTTCATTATGCAGGATCGTGGCGATATCAGTAATGCCGCGGTCGCCGGAATGTCCCAAGATCTGGAACTTTCGGAGAAAAGGCTTTCCAATTGTGTTTCGTTACTTTACAGTGGCTACATACATTGTTTTTATGTTGCCAGGAGCTCTTTTAGTGCGGAAATTTACCTCCCCCTTCCCCCCCCCCCCCGGTCCAGTTTTCTCTTGCCCTCGTGGGCTGGGGCACTTTCAACACTTCAATGTTTATAAGTGTAGAAATTCCATGCGTGATTATTTTGTCTAATGATATATTCGAAGTAGGATCTCAGTTGCTAAATCATATGCTGTAGCCTGTGGTGGTCTTACGTGTCCTTGGCGATGCATCAAAGGCATTTGTTAATGCCGCGCCTTTATACCTCTCGCTCTGGTATAATCGAGATGAGTTGGTAATTCGTGGAGCTAGAGAATTGGAGAAACAAAGCGCAATTTTTCGGTCGTGAGTCCGACTCGTGAGTCCGACACGCATAGATCGGATCTCGGCTCCGGTTCCCCCAAACCTGTTAGTCAGCAGGGAGGTTTTTTTGCGGGGTTTGGGACCTTCGGGTTTAAGTGGGTTTTGGTGAGGCTTGCCGCTTATAACTTACGCCACTTACCAAGTTACCCCATACCCTGTAGTGCGACTTGCTGGAAATAACTTGAGTGTCAATCATTATGCCGAAATGGAAGACAGGCGCATGCGTGCATTGCCGACAAATGAAGGTTGGCATCGAACCCCTCATCTTTAGAAATAAAAGAGCCGCTAAACTCGGGAGTCTTTCCTACAGCTTCGGTGTGATGCCCCCAAACTTTTTCCTGCCTCGTGTTCACGGTGTGCAAGGCAAAAACTGAATTGCTCTGTAGACCCGTCATTTAAGAGAGTTGCAAAGAGAGAGTATGTATTGCCAAGGCCTTCCTGGCCCTTCCATGTGGAGCTGACAGACGCGGCTAACCTGTGCTCAGGCGGCTAGTTGCTGTCGAACGAGAACTCAGAGAGATCAAGCAGCGTGTCGGCTCGTCATCTGACCGTGATAGTGATAAGAAACGAGACTCCAATGCTCATTCTCTTGGAGTCAGTCTTGGTGAATGCGAGGACAGTCTCTGCGCGGGAGCGGTTCCTCAAGTGCCAGATCTCAATGAAAAACTTACCAGGAAAGCAATAGGAGATATAGAGCTTGATCCTTCTTCAATATCTGCCTTGTTGCAAGAGTAAGCTCTATTAATACTCCCCAATAGGCTCTTTACTTACCTACTCAAGATATTACTCGCACTATCACAACCAATTTCCGCTGATTCCCGAATATGCTACAATTCTGGATCGATGCGATTCATGCCCACTTCTCTTTTGGACAATAATGACAATTGCTGCCAAGGAATCTTTTCAATATGAATACTTGTACCCAGCGCTAGCGAACGCAGTCGAGGGGTTGGCATCAGCCGTCTGTCCACCAAGCGGTCAATCACTCTATCAAATCCAGGCATTGCTTCTTCTTTGCTACTGGCCACTTCCATTTGGCGCATCTATTAATGACTATTCCTGGTCATATTGTGGACTCGCCATCAACTATGCATTCTTGCAAGGTCTGCACCGGCCCTCCAATATATCAGATTTTATATATGATACCACATATGATCAAGCAACGATCAACGAGCGGAGAAAGACGTGGCTAGCATGCTTCATCGTGAGCCACAGGTAAGATTTACAACTCCACAAATTTTACAAATTTTGGCGGGACTGATTTGAGCAGAATCAGCACCCGGTTCGGTCTACCCAGCATGGCCAAAATTGATCACAGCATCGTAGAAGCATTGGGACCAAAGCCTTCATGGCTACCGGATACAATTTACCACCAACTGCATATTGCTCACCAGGGATACAGATTTTGCAATGTTCTTGGCAATAATGAAACCACATCTACGGGGCTTCTACCAAGACCAGCACCGCTCATCCAGATGTTCGACGGAGAATTGCGTGCACAAGACACCCGTTTCGCTTCTATATGGAAGACCAGCGATCACATTTTCTTCATGGCAACAAAACTTCAGCTATATTCTTTCACACTCACGCCGGCGGGGCTCGAGGCCGCGGATGATATATTGTCTCCAGATATATCTAGAGAATTCTTCGCCCATGCCTATCTTACAGCAATGAGACTCTTACAAACCGCACTTCGATCGTCGGCAGAATTGCCTTATTGGCCGGAACACCAAACCCGTTATATTCTCGATGCAGTCTTATTCCTTCTCAAACTCATTGAATGTTCTTATGAATTTGTTGACGAGGCTGCGGCGAGAAATGTCATCAGTCAAATCTGGCAATTACTCCGGGGTCGGTCAAAAGCCGAGGAGGACCACATGTCCCGATTCTGCGCTATCATCGAATACTTGAGCCGCAACTGCTTGAAGAAGAAAATTCCTTGGATAAAAATCACGTCGCGCGTAGCGGGAAATTTAACGATCGACTCCGCATGGCGTGCTCGTGATCGGTTCAGCGAAACTGTGAAAGCAAAACGACCGGCAGACTATACATCAGCTGCTGCTCTTGAGAGGTCTGTGGAATATGATATGCAATCCTCGTTGCAATTCTTGAGAGATATTGGTGACTGGGATTCTTTTTTTGGGAGTCCGGCCTTACAAGGAGCAATTGAAGATTGAGGGATCAATTGCTTGTACAATAGGTGTTCATACATACATAACCTTGGAAGTTTAAGTACTGTGTATGGTCAGACGGTTTTCTGCGGAATGTTGTTCTAACGTGCAGTCATCCTCGGGGGAGAAGTGTGCCTCAGAGGTTGGTTGCGTCTTTCTTCCGAGGCTTCAAATACATCCGAAAGTTATGTCCGTTTTATAACCTTGGAGGCACTCACTCAACGAAGGGCCATGCATACTTTCTGAATACAAGTTGCACCCTGCCGTCGTCGTCCCTATCCAGATAGATAGATCATGCTGGGCCTTTTTTTATTGTCCCAACAGTACCCCAACCCAGCAGCTTATGGAAAAAAAGTTCCCGTCATCGTTGAGCATTGCGGTCCCCTCTCATTTGAGAAATGCAAAAAGAAATTGGCGCCACCCGGAATCGAACCGGGGCTAAATCAGATTCGAATGTGTTTACCACAATGATTCGTCATACCACTAGACCATGGCACCGGCGAAACGATCCACCTGGATGGGTTTCATAAACAGAGCTTCTGATATTAGAAGTGTTTTCTATTAAACTATAGCAATCATAAGTTGTTATAGGTTTCAGCTATTGCTTTATATCTTATCTGGAGCTTATATTCAGAATACGTAATCGTTCTGCTCTAAACTAATAATAAGAACACCATTCTTCTACTATTTGAGTTAGTATTTCAAGCTCCTATATTCCCAACCTTGGAACTAAAGTCAACGATATTATCAACTCCGGTTGCTTCCCGAGCCGCAAGGATGATAAAGCCAAAATCTTCGTCTGATTTCAACGGTGCCATGGTCTAGTGGTATGACGAATCATTGTGGTAAACACATTCGAATCTGATTTAGCCCCGGTTCGATTCCGGGTGGCGCCACTTTCTTTTTGCATTTGCATTTTGGTCCACGATCGATATATACACATTTAGTTTGATACAAACAAGTAAGTAGATGCATATACATGCATAACCAGGTTTTTGTGGTTTTAGTAGCATATAGGTAACATCTGAACGTAGTATTTTGAAGACTCGGCCGACGTCAAGAGCCATCTGTACACTGGACACCCCTTTAAGTCGATTCAATCAGCTTTCAAACGGAAATTCTTCGCCCAGGTAGGAAGAGCCCCAGAGAATTATACATATTTATTTGCATATATAAATACATCAAAATTCTATCCTTTCAAAGAAAAATACCTGCACATGCACATGTGTGTGGTGTTGCGAGTGGGGATTGATGTGTGTGGTACATACAAAATCGTTGATCCGGAGAGATTACCGAGATCAAACATTTGAAAAGCGGCATATGACCGGAGGTCTCGAGAACCACGTAGGCTCTAGCTAACTACTAGGTATATATACATATAACAGCACCAGTGCAAGATGAAGTCCAATCAATGAACCGACCCGTCGAGCCAAAAAAAAAATTCAATTACAATGCCGGATCAACAGTCTTCAGCAGCCAGCGCGGACAAGGCTCCGCAGCACCGTATGCAGTATCACCGCCTCGGAAATAGCGGCCTCAAGGTCTCCCGAATAATTCTCGGCTGCATGACTTATGGCAATCCAAATTGGGAAGGCTCGCCATGGGTTCTAAATGAAGAACAATCCTTACCGCTGCTCAAGAAGGCATTCGACATGGGAATAAACACATTTGACACCGCAAACACCTACTCCAACGGAATGTCAGAAACAATTATCGGCAAAGCATTGAAAAAATACCACATACCGCGGAGCAGGGTAGTTATTATGACCAAAATATACTATCCAGTCCTAGAGGACAAACCAGACGCACGCCCAAACCCGGCGATCAATGATGGGGATCTAGTGAATGAAATGGGGCTTAGCCGGAAACATATCTTCGATGCCGTGCAGGGATCCCTTCGACGGCTGGACACGGGTTATATCGATGTGCTTCAACTTCATCGGCTGGATTCTGAGACACCACCCGAGGAGATAATGCGCGCACTACACGATCTGGTGTGCATGGGCAAGGTTCGTTATTTGGGGGCATCGAGTATGCACTGTTGGGAATTCGCACGGCTGCAGTATGTGGCGAAGATGAATGGATGGACGCCGTTCGTTAGTATGCAGGGGCTTTATAATCTCCTTTATCGGGAAGAGGAGCGAGAAATGAATCCATTCTGTGAGGTGGAGGGCGTTGGACTGATACCTTGGAGCCCGCTTGCGAGGGGCCTTCTGGCGAGACCGTGGCAGGAGAAGTCTGTTCGCGCGGATCAAGATCAGAAGGCAAAGCAATGGTTTGTCGGCGATCAGAATGAGCGGATCGTTAATCGCATCGAAGAAGTCGCACACAGTAAGGGCTGTGCGATGAGCTCTATTGCGATGGCTTGGTTGTTACAGAAGGGTGCTTGTCCGATCGTCGGCCTGAATAGTATTGCAAGGATTGAGGCTGCACTCGAGGCGTTAGATGTTGAGATGACGATAGATGAATTGCGGTACATCGAGGAGCCCTACCAGCCCTTGGCGGTGCAAGCAATATGATTGATTGGTACTACTGGGTGGGTATCTCCTCAAGTGCTAAAAATGTCCCAACATTCATCAAGTAATCTCAAAACGCATCCATATGTACGTAGCCAGCGAGACTTTGTCCCAAACTTGGTATTACCACCAATGGCTTTTAAGAAGGAAAGGAAGAGATATACACAAATCCTCTGGATAGTGTCCCGAGTGTTGTAATTTAGAGAAATGGGAGACCGTAATTCCGAATTATTATATAATCGCTTGATGCAAATGCTAAAGTAACATGGTTTATGAGGACAGAAAAACCTACGAGGCAGTACACGAGAAAACACCCCCGACAGTACCCTCTTTGTAGGAATTGATCTAGTTGTTGAGGTTAGCACCCATAAGGAGAAAGATTTGTGAGGAATCTGTGATGTGCCACTTACAATATCGACAACACTAGCGTATGTTCCCGCAACCAAAACGATAAGACCAATGGCGAAAATTAGTCCATTGAGCAAGGCCATGGCCATGTTCTTAGGGGTGAACAAGCTACCCTTGCGAATGAACATGAACCACATAATTGCCGGGAAATAGAAGGTGAAGCCGGAGACGAAGAGTGAGGAGATGACAGAGAGCAAATCATCGAAGAAGGGGATAACCTCAGCGACAACAAATTCCAGGATTGTGAGGATAGTAACAACTGCAAGCCAGGTAATCCAGCCCATCTTAGTGTTAATGAAGCGAGTAGTAGATCCTTCGAAGATTCTGCCGTGAATCAATCGCCCAAGAACCACCGTATTGATGGAGCCACTGATGAAAATGACCGGAAGAGCAACTCCAAAGGCGATCCGGCTAAGCAGACTACCAGCAGACAGGAGGGCAGGAGACTGAACATCTTGGCCGATAAAGGCATAGCAGAGGGCGCCAGTTAGGGTGTAAATAAAGATCTCAGCGAGACCGAGGGTCCAGATCGACTTAGGGAAGTCAGTTGGGGTGTGCATTTCGTCCATGAAGGAGAATTGGCAAAGCGCAAAGCTATAGGCGAAGATAATGTTGGAGAGAGCAATGAATGCCTCGGCGAAAGTGAGTCCTTCCTTGGGCCACGCAGACCAGTCGACGGCAGCAAGTCCACCAGTCGAGTTTGATGCTTCGACACCGGTTCCGATAATGGTAATACCGATGGCAAGAATAACAGACGCAAAATCAACGTAACCCAGAATCGCCATCTCAGAGAAGCTGGGCGGGATGGCGAAGATAAGCAGAATAACAGCGGATACAACTCCAAAGATCACAGCACAGATGTTGCTGTCGGTGATATTCGTGAAAGCAATAGTTCCCGTCAGACAGTGAGATCCAGCGGACAGAAGAAGTTCCAGGCACAGCATTATATAAAGGATCTCGTATCCCCACCGACCGAACATCTGTCGACCAGCCTCAGGGTAGTTGGAAATATGCGGGAATTTGACCTTGACTTGACCGATAATATAGCTGGTGTACACCGCGATGAGACCGATGCCAACACAGCAGATAACACCAGCCACCATACCGAGGGTGGCGAAGGTGGAAGGAATCGACAAACTTCCCAGAGCAACAGCCTCGACGATCAGGACAATTGTCAAACGCTTCCATCCCAGTCGGCTGAACTTTTCCATGCCACCGTGGTAGATCTGCTTCTCGCGATCATTGATATCGGAATCCATCATCATATCTGAGACCGGCTCAGCGCCGATCTGATCGTCGGCCTCTTTCTTGTTGGCGTACATTGGAGCTGTGTGCGGTACGCTATTGTCAAGATGCGTGATATGGAAGGCAGAGCTGGACAGAGGGAAGAGGGAGGGGGGGAAGAACGAAGGAAATGGCCTCTGATCAAAAGACGCGACAAGAAAAGAAAAAAAAAAACCAAGCGCTCCAGCGATGTAGATCGAGAATTTTGATCCACGCGGCAAGAGGCGAACGAACCACAAAACGCATCCGGATATAGTCCGGCGTACCTTCCGTTGAGTTTCTCGGTGCCTTCCTAAATCGGATGCCTCAGTGGGGTCGCGGCTTCCTTCCCGCACGCATCATTGGTCAGATTTTATGATCACGCCATGTTAGGGTCTGATCATGGTGCGTATCGTAGTGTATGTAAGCAATTTAACGTTGAGGACCACGTTTTTTTGCCTTCTTTCCGTGGAACGCGCTAAGGGAAGGCAGAGCTTTTCTCTTTCTTCAGGTACAACCCTAGCGCCGCCTTGAACATACCACGGACCAATCGGTTCGTAACCTTGTGGCGGTTGACCCGGCTAGAGGCGGTCTTATTACGTTTAATCTTAGAATCGGAGTTTCGATTTCTAAAAGATGTGAACAATGTAATGAGCTTCTCCAGATAGGGAAAGCTTGGCTTGAATCTTTCCGTGGAGAAATTGCCAAGCTGTGCTAACTTGCAGATTTGAGCCCTACTTTACCACTACTCGTTTCTGAGTGAGCCCAAAAAGAAGCGAGAAAATCCCGACGGCAAGGTGGGTCTATATCGGCCTTGATGTACATTTTTTTATTTTTATTTTTATTTTTTTAAAATTTGCATTAGAGCCCGAGCCGAATTGCCGCTCGGCTTACCGAGATAAACCCGTATCGCAACCTTACTAACACCACAGTGGACCAAGTACTAGTAGCGTTGAGGTCAACTGTTCGATTATTATACAACAGAAGGTTCACGAGTTCCGTAGAAGAAGAAAAAAATTACAGAATCAACATTTGAAGGAATAATTCAAGCATTGGGATATGAACGGCAACTTTCGAGGCAATAATAGTCGTTAAGAAAGCCCCAATCTATAATAACATGTATTGATAGCTGCACATTTAATAATGATTCAAAGGCTTGAAGGGAATATGTTACGCTTCACCCGCCCATGGCGAGGATAATCCTTTATTAGAGTAGCCTATCTAACTTGAAGCTATCTGCATCCAGGAAGCCTGCGATATAATCGTACAATGCAGGCCAGACTTGCAGAGCATAGCACAGGCCACCTAAATGAAAGTCATGTAAAAAATAGAAAGGAAATAAAAACACAAATAATGGCCGTAACGTGAAAATGGGGTCGAGCTTAGAATGAGCCCACTCGGACTTCTCCGAGGATACAACCTCTAGTCTGGTCGCCAGCTATGCGGGAGTGAAGGGCCAATGGAAGAATAAAACCAACCTTGTGCTTTAGGAGCGCAGAGACTCGGTGTTAAATTTCACCGTTGGTAAGTGAATAGGCGTCAAATCCATGAGAAGAGTTGTTGGCATACTACAGGATTGAAGTTTTTTTTTGGCGTTTATGATGAGGTGTCGAATAATAATAGAGTCGTAGGGATGTTGGACAGATGTCGAATTGGTGTTGTTGGGGACCAGCCCCGCTGCGATTGTCTGTAGCTTGGAAATTTCGAGTGCACAGACCGCGTTCACGCGGGATTGAGGCCACTTGCAATGGTATTCGGTGTCACCTGACGTTTGGCGGTACCTTGTGCCGGGACCTGGGAGAGAGACGATATTAGTCCTTTCTAATTGCCGGTGCGCTGTGACTGTGGGGTCTGTTTTGCGGGTCGCGGAGAGCCGAGCCGAGTTGAGGTATCGATGTCTTGCCCAGTCAGATTCAGTCTTGTTACTTAGTGTCGCTTACCTCCAACTCATCGATCCGTCGCTTTTTGCTTTGCTCGATATTCTTCTTTGGGACTTTCTTTGATTTTTTGATTGGGCGGGTTTCTCCAGGTTGAAATAGATCTTCTGGCAAATCGAAACTGTGAAACAGTCAGAAAACACGTTCGTTGTCAGGGTGGCGGTTCAATGACTTACCTGCGAACATGAGTGACAGCTAGATCCATTACCTCATGTTGGTAACCTGGCCATGATGTGCACGTAGATTTGAATATCTGCGAGTCGGTCGATATGTCCAAAGATCGTGGAGCACCTGGAATGGTCAGAAAAGTTGACGGAAACCAGTGGATATTCATACCTTGTTCTAATTGGTTCAATTCGAGTCCAATGTAGTAGGTCGTAGTGTACATGGTCGGACTGCTATCGGTTGTAACCGGAGTTTCGGAGGGCTCAGGAACCGGCACATGCTCCGCTCCACTCTGGGCAGCGGCTTGATGAGCAGCATCGTTCGTCTCATCGGTCGTCTCCGTTGTGGTTCCTTTAGCTTGATACTTGGTGGACCCGAGCTTGACTTCCTCAATCTCATTCTCGTTCTTAGTCACATGGACTCGCTCAAACCCCTTCGGGAAAGGATGAGCCACGGCAATGACGGATTTCCGGTCTAGAGCTCCGACAAGATGACGAAGCTTTGATTCGACCAAACCAGACCAAATGCCTTCCGCCTCCTTTGTCCTACTCGAGGCCGTGATGCTGAGATAATACTTGTAGGCATTGGTGAAAAAGGAGTGGCGAGTGAAAAGATCGTTCCAGGAAAGCTGTTTCAGGAAAATCCTATCCACCATGTCACCTCCTCGTTGAAGTTCACGGAGAAGAACAGTTTTAGTTGACATCGAGATGTTGTGGGTTGCGCACATGGAAGGGTAGGCAGGGGTAATGATCGGCATTAGGTGAAAACGGTCGCCGTGGTAAATCTGATAGAGAATTCAAGGATTAGTGTGTGTTTGAGGTTTATGATATGGGTGTTCAACGAACCTTTGGATTCCAAACTTTCATAGGTAGAGGTCCGTCCTCAATTGCCTTAAGCAGCACAGGCTGGGGCCATGCCCATTTGTTCATAATGCGAAAGAACTTGCCCACAATGACTGAACCGGTCGCTTGAGGGTACAACTGACAAACTCTCGCTACAAGCATAGCCCACGCAACACCCCCAGGGAACCCTACAATGTTTGCGTAGATTGCGCGACCTTATTAGATAATGGCGATCAGTTCTCATCGGCGAGTAGAACAACAGTCACAGTGGATGTACTCACGTTGGGCCCATAGCTTAATTGCGCGTAATGCTAGACGAAAGGTCTTCTGCTGCGGCACAAGCTCCAAAATCTCATCCGTAACACGGGTTCCATTTAGTGAGCGTACTTCTTTCTCATCCAGTCCACGTAGATAGTCATTATTCTTCAAGTCAAGGTTCATCGGGACGGAAGGCACAATGAGTCGAGCGAAGATCAGATCGATACTGATTCCAGCCAGTTCTAATTTAATGATAGGTACGAACGCATCCGGAACAGGGGTCATTTTTTCAATCGTGCCTTCTGGTGCCATTCTTTCGAGGATAGGAGGGAAGTCGGTAAAAAAATCGTCGGTGAGAACATGCTGCGGGCCAACAACGAGGGTATCGATATCCGATCCTATGACAAGCTTGTCAGAGAGAGGCTGGTTTAGGATACTTTGTAGGAACGCGACTTACCTGGGCCGTAAACACCAAGACGGTAGCTTCCATATGCGAAGATCTTTCCACCAGCGGCCTCAACTGCAGCAGGCGACAACCCCTTCTTGCGACTGACAACCTTGACAAACTCCAAGGCGACACGCTGTAGTAGCTGAAGCATTTGTTGTCTACCGAATCATGATGAGTTTTGGCTCTCCGACTGTTCTTCCATCGACCATTGATCAACGTACCTGCGCTCTGTCTCGCTGGGCGGTTCAAAGTTGTCTTGTGCTTTCAACTCCGCAATAAGATCGTCATTGGCGACCAATTCATCTTTAGTAGGAAGAACGGTAGAGATTGGAGGTGTAACACCCCACTGCCGGGTGGGCTGAGCAGCCATTGCGATTGTGTACGTGTAGAAGGTGATTGTCTGTCGCGGAGGAAGATGGGGTAGATAACGGGAAGGAGACTCGAATCGACGTCACAATCGCGTGTCAAGGGCAATATGTGAAAATCACAAGATTAGAAGCTCTTAGATGAACAAGAGAAAGAAAAGAAAAAAAAAACACCGGAACATACGAAGAAGTGAGGCAAAGCAACGAGCGCCAGGACAGAGAGGTAAGGAAGATCACAGCGCAAACGCTGCAACTCGGCGCTTCCCCGGCGCTTACTCAGGCTATCACATGATCCCATCCTATTTTGCCTAAATTCTGCCCACGTACACAATTATTCTCGGGGCAATCATACTATGCTACAATGCGTTTTTGTTCTTTCACTTCTCACTGGAATAAAAATGACGAATGTGTGCTTGCGATATTGTGCATGCCTCGGATGAATGAGCTTAGTACTAGCTATGGGCTGTGGAATCTGGATATCATAGCACTTTTTTAATCTTCTCTACCAAGCCTGCAACGCCACGCGGCTGGTCCTCCGCAAATAATTCCCCAAGTCGCTGATCCAACCACTTCACATCCTCTTCACTGTCTCCAGGTCCTCCTGCCCAATCTACGCAAATTTGTTAGCGTTGAAGGAAACGGTATATAGATTCAAATGAGGAATGGGAAGCGCTTACGTCCCCAAATAGAGGGGAAAACATCCAGTTTTCCAACCCCTGGTGTCATACATGCGACCTCATACTCCGAATCCTCTGGTCTATATGTGTGCTTTTTTAGTTTTTTTTTTTTTGTTCGACATGAAGCAGGCAGATAAACTTACGGAAAATAAAGATCTGTCTTTGACGGCAAAACAAGAGTCTTCGCCTTGATGGATGCCATGGCTTTCTCAAAATTTCCATTGTATGGTTCTTGGTTGGAAACGTCGCCATTCTGCCAGGTCTGGAGCATGACCAAAATGTTTTCAGGATCTATGACTATAAGTGAGCACCAAGACAGGAAGTCCAAACTGGGGAGACGGTAATAACCTTTTGAGCAAGCCCACTTTTCCCAGAAATTTTGCATGAAGTCTTCGAGTCCTTTGTACCCAAGAACAGCCTCATACAGCTTTTGTCGATAAAAGGCCTGGCTGAAACCCCTGTATAGCCTTGGATCAGCCTGCTCTCAAGGAACTTGAAACTAGTACTTGGTACATATGATTTCTTACCATCCAGCATAAACCCTACCCATGGCCTTGAGACCGATATCTTTCTCCTCGGCAGTCCAAGTTCGGAGCTCAGACGATTTCCCCTGGACTCCGATCAGCCCGGCCCCAGCGGATGCGGTATTCTTGACCGCAAGAAGGGCGCTTTTCACTCCCTCGAGGAACACTTGGTTATGCAAGGAGGTTTTTGCCGACCCACAAAATGGTGCTGCGAGATCCATAAATTCTGGATACTGGGTTGCCCACTGGAAAGTTTGCCCAGCTCCCATAGACCACCCGACTACCGCACGCAGATGTGTGATGCCAAAGTGCTTGGTTACCAGTTCATGTTGCGCCCGGACATTATCATAGAACGACACCTTGGGGAATGGGGTAGGGGTTGGCTGATTAGATGGTGATGAAGATTGACCATTGCCGAAAAGACCAGTGACAATTATGAAGTACTTCTTCGGGTTCAAAGTTTTATCTTCTCCGATCAGCCAGAAGTTATCGGAAAGCGCTTTAGGACGCCAGATTGTTAGTGTAGCAAAATAAACAGCAGCATTTAGGAAGGAGTTTATCAATACGCACATCCTGAAAACCAGCTTGGGTACAAGATGGCTGGTGAGCCGGGATCTCCAAATGTCTTGAACGCGATATGCGCATCGCTGATTTTCTCCCCGCTTTGGAGTTCCCAGTCGCCAAGCTTGTAAGTCTCATGATCTTGTGCCATGATTGATTTCGTGGTCTTGAAGCAGATGTATTTTTCCTTCAAAGCACTTGAGAAAAAAAGAATCTCAGAAATGACTATGCCAAGCTGTTACCTCGTCTGTACTACTAGTAGGTTGGCGATAAGAACCCCGCTTTCTCCGCATGTGACTCTGCGCTTTCAATCGGACAGTCCGACGAGCATTGGAAAAACAAACGGTTTCCCGCGGATATTAGTCTCGTCTTCAAGTGACAATCTGTTCAGTTCATATAATCAAACCTTCCCTTTGAATGTTTATAAACCTTCGAATGTCAATACCAGGGGAGGTGGATGTATACTTTTCAACCTTATTGGAAATGATTCTAAACGTTTGAACATCGTGCTCGCACTGCCGTCGCGATACCCGAGGTTGAGTCGAGGTGGACCTACACATATGAATACTATCAACATGAGCCCTGGAGGTTCACTGATCCCCGGGCCCTCGGGCCAGATAACTCTCCATGCATATCTAGTAGGTATTGCATATTTAACCTCCAGGGCTTGGAATATTCCTCGAAAGTTCGAATGAATTTGATGTATGTACCTGGACAATTGGATAGTAGTATCCGCTACTCTGTATGTAGGTAGGTATTTCCCAATGTCCTTTCTATTGATATCCGACCTCCAATGATCATGTAACCAGAATCAACGCAATGCATGATCTATATCAAATAGCGGGACGAGGAATCTCAAAGGCTTCAGTAGTGCGGCCATAAGTGATGCCACCCAATCGACTGATAGGCTTCAGAACTTTCAAGTCAATAGCAGACCGGTCATCGTCAATGGCATCCTCACGCGCCCAGAACCGAACTCCCTCGACGGTAATCATAGCACCAGTCTTCTTGCCAGGAGTTGCGCGGCTCTCAAACTCCTTGGTATCAACAAGTTTGGCCTCAATAGCAAAGATCGACTCCTTCACACGCGCCGGTTTGACAATAGCGGTAGGGGCTGGGGTAAGACCGGAAGTCTTCCACTCAGAAACGCCGTACGGGGTGTTGATGGCAGTTGAGTTGGCAGCTTCGACAAAGTGCTCTGAGATGATATTGATCACACACTCCCCGGTCTCGTGCAGGTTGCGCAGAGTATCTTTGGCACTACCGAGACCCCCGGCGAAGCCTACAATGAAAGTGGGCGGGTCATGACAGACGACCTGCGAGTAGCTGAACGGTGCGAGATTGGTTGTTGACCCATCTGCAGATTGTGTGCTGACCAGGGCAATCGGTCGAGGCACGATGCTGGAAATGAGAAGCTTGTAGTTTGATGCGACCGAGCGGCCTTCGGCGAAGGGATCAATCTCCACGTGCTCCTTCTTCAGACTTTCGCCGCCATCATTGGCACCATCGCCCTCTTTCCAAGCAGGATTCGGGGTCTTTGTGATGGTGACTTCAGCATCCTGACGAAAATCCGGTCGAGTAGCCTCGACCTGTTTGAAGTCGGGTCGCGGTTTGTACATGCTGGGTGTATTGACAAAGGATCGGCAAAGAGGATTGTATACGGGGAAGGTAAGGCGATTTGATCTAACGAAACTGAGAGTTGAAGGATCTGGGTTAGCTAGGGTAAGACGAATGCCCCGCATCAGCACGCAATCCACGTCAGACGTCCGATGCATCCATAGCACGTGTTTTCTTTTTTTTTCTGAGTCGTGACCACTGTGACGGTAAGATTTGACACTTACACTGGTATAGTGGAGGAGGAAACGCACCGAATGGTCCTGAGTGTAGCTGACAGTGCAGACATGGAGGTTGAAGGAATTGTCTTGACTCTTATCGTAATCAATTGATGACGAAATTCCCGCGGAGCTCAGATAAATTCCACGCCAGGACCATCTTCCAATCTTGGTTCGGGGCACGGCCCACATCTTCCTTTCTAATAGTCAACTGGTAATTTGATAGTACTCCGTACACAAATCTGGGAGGTCGTGGTCCGTGGAATTAATACGTATAGCTTCAAACCCTATAGAAGACATACTACTCCAAGGCCTAGCAACCCTACAACTACAAGATACTCAAACAAAGATAAAAATAAAAATAAAAGCCTAGTACTTAAGACCTTGGATGACACAGTCTGAATTTGAGAGTCCCGGCCTAATATCCAAAGGAAGTGCCTAAGCTGCTCTGTAAGGACTCTCGCAATAAAAGACCTCTCCTCTGCGAGGAATCAATAGGGATGCTATTATAAAAGTTCTATAACTTGTACAATTCACTATAATGATATACCAATGAGTATTGGTCAGAAATTGAAACAACTTCGGCTGAAGTGCAATTTGGAAATGTTTCATCTACTAGTGGCTTGGAGTTCGAGAGGAAACTATTAGGCTGTAGTAAGTACATCGCTGCATTAAACAACGGCCTTGGGCAGCCAGTTGACCATCTGAGGACTTATTGATTGGGCTGTGGAGAGAAGTGTCCAGAACTTAGGATTTCAAGAATTTGTTGCTTGGGTCCTTTCTGTTGAATGAGTGAAATTAGATTGCCCATTTTTCACAATTCAATCTTAAGATTCAAAAGGAACATCCTGTACTCTTTACATACTGCCTCGTACAGGTGGATACCAGGTCAAGCAACCTAGGCTTATTCCATCAATAGAAGTATAGGAAGAAGTGACGGGGGCCAAGCCAATAGTGATTTCTACATTGCCACCCTTTCCCCTCGCGCCCCTCTCCCCACATCACGCACAGCTGATTGCGATCATCTCCTCGCCTCCAAAAGAAGCAAAAGTTGACTCAGATTACTGTTCATTCCACCAAAATCACCATCTTTTCACGAGGATAGCTAGTCTATAATGGCACCAACACCCTCTCTTGAAGAGTTCCAAGTCGGATGGATATGTGCTTTACCCATTGAAGCCGCCGCCGCGGAGGAGATGCTTGATGAGGAGTTCGACGCGATCCAAGAGCAAGACAAGGCCGACACAAATATCTACACCTTGGGTCGAGTCGGGAATCATTTTGTCACAATCGCGCAGCTTGGGGGGGGGACTATGGAACCACTGCAGCAGCAACCGTTGCCACGAATATGCTTCGGACTTTTTCCAAATCTCTACGAATTGGGCTAATGGTGGGTATCGGAGGAGGAATACCATCTCCCAAGTCTGATATTCGGCTCGGTGATATCGTGATAAGCTACCCGAGTGGCACATGTGGTAGAGTCATCCAACACGATATGTTGAAAATCGAGGGGGAAGGGAAATTGCACCGTACTGGATCATTGAATCGCCCACCACGCCTGTTATTGGGTGCTGTCGACAAAATCAAAACTCAAATGCTAAGACATGATCCTCTATATCTCTCTTATATTGAGGAGGCCCTCCAAAAGAACAAAAGGGTACGGATGAACTTCGGCCCAACCAAACAAGAGTCAGACCGGTTGTTTCAAGCCCACCATGAGCACCCTTCTAATGCACAAAGCTGCAACGATTGCCCGACAGAGTGGGAGGTGCCCAGGAATGTACGCGAAGATGATGAACCCCAACTGCACTACGGAATCATTGCATCCGGAAATGCTGTCGTAAAGCATGCCGAGACCAGAGATCGCCTTGGAGCAGACTCTGGCGCATTGTGTTTTGAAATGGAGTCGGCAGGTCTAATGGTGGATTTCCTTGTATCGTCATTCGTGGAATTTGCGACTATGCCGATTCCCATAAGAACAAGGAGTGGCAGGGTTATGCGGCATTGGCAGCAGCAGCATATGCAAAGGAGCTTCTTGGCCATGTGCCTACGGCACAGCTTTCACAAGAGAGATTGGCAGGGAGCATTTGTAGTAAGTGAAACCTACCTATGTAATTACCTAGGTCCAGGTACAAGACTATATGGGTAGGCAGTTCAATCTGTTGATACAATCTTCAAACATATACTCCCATGTACCTGATATCCGGGCTATATTTACTTCAAGATTACCTACCTATATAACTGCGTCTCTAACACAAGACTGGAATGCTGACTGACATCTGGACGATAAGAGCTTGTTGAGGAGATCCAAGAAATAAAAACCGACACCAAGAAAATCGACCAGAAGATTGACCTCGGTAGGTTAGAGATTGCAAAAGGAGCGTTGTTTGATTCTTTTGAGAATCGAATGCACGATGAGTGCTTGGATGGAACCCGAGTTGAATTACTACAAGAGGTTGAAGGATGGATCGATCTCCCTCAGGGAAAATCTATGTTTTGGCTCAATGGAATGGCTGGAACTGGGAAATCTACCATTTCTCGAACACTTGCAACCCGTCTGAGTCAAAGAAGGGAGCTTGGAGGGAGCTTCTTTTTCAAGCGAGGCGAAGAAGACCGAGGAAACCCCAAAAGATTATTCACAACTCTTGCGCAACAGTTGCTCAATAGCATCCCCGAATTGATTGATGGGATCAAACGGGCGATTGAAGAGGATCCATATATCTCCGAAAAGGCGCTGGGAGAACAATTTGACAAACTAATTTTGCAGCCAGTCCTTGCTGTGAAGTTAGACCGAACGATAAAGAGGGTGATTGTGATTGATGCGTTGGATGAATGTGAATCGAATAACAGCGAAGATATACGAATCATTCTTGCACTCCTATCACAACTCCAAAAGTCAACATCCGTTCAGCTACGATTTTTCTTAACCAGTCGACCAGAACTGCCGATCAGACTGGGGTTCGATAAAATACAAGGAAAACATCAAAACTTGGATCTTCACAAAGTTCAGGCGTCAGAAATTACACGGGACTTGGCTTTATTCCTGGAGCACAAATTTTCCAAAATATGCGATGATCGTGGGCTCCCGCCAACCTGGCCTGGAGAGGCGGCATTACAAGTTCTCCTTGCCCGCACCGTACCATTGTTTATTTCTGCTGCAACTCTCTGTCGGTTTATCGGTGACTCAAGTTGGGACCCAAACAAGCGGTTGATGATGATTCTGACAGATCGATTTGCCTATGTGTCCAAGCTGGAGAGTACCTATCTCCCCGTCTTGACACAACTTCTTTTGGGGCAAGATAAATGGGAGACACAGCAGCTGATTGAGGAGTTCAAAAACATTGTTGGTGTCATAATTGTTGTCGCAACTCCACTCTCCGTCGACACAATTTCCCAACTCGTTGATACACCTGTAAGTGACATTACCCAGCGACTAGACCGTCTACATTCTGTCCTCAATGTGCCGAAAGATAAATCAATCCCCGTTCGTCTACTGCATCTCTCCTTTCGAGACTTTCTTTCGGATCAAAAGACAAAAGAAAGTGAAGCTAGTGCAAAATTCTGGATCGATGAGAGAGAAATGCATCAACTCTTGGCTAGCAAGTGCCTTAAAACCATGTCGAAGAGTCTGAAAAGGAACATTTGCAATCTTCCGACATATGGAACTGCACGCAGTGAGATTGATTTGCATTGCAAGAGCCGGTGTATTCCTCAGGCACTGAGATACGCATGTCACTATTGGGAATATCATGTCATGCAAAGCAAGGGAAACAAATCAACCATTCCTGAATCAACGGTGCAGGCCATCTATTCGTTTTTGACGGTTCACTTTCTGCACTGGGTTGAAGTCATGATAATTTTGGGGCTTGGGAGTGAAGTTACAAAAATTGTCGACCGATTACAAACGATTTTGAAGGTACGCTTTCCCATATGTGATTTTACTCATGGGTACATCTATAGTTCCTCGGGTCGTTCGGCAAGCATATATGACTACTAGTATACAATGTGTAGCTAACACCTCTCAGGACGTCCCAACATCCAAATTTCTGAAAGAAGCAAAACAATTCCTCTCGGCTAATCGACAGGTTTGCGATACTACACCCTTACAGTTATATTACTCGGGGCTTGTTTTTGCACCTAGAATGGCAACTATGCGGAAACTGTTTCAGAAAGAACTTCCAAAATGGATCTCCAGATTTCCAGAAGTTGAGGAGAATTGGAGCACACACTTGCAAACTTTTGAGGGCCATACGGATTCAGTAGTGTCTGTGGCCTTCTCTCCAAGCGGTCAACTACTAGCCTCCTGCTCTGACGACGAAACTGTAAATCTTTGGGACTCCTCTACCGGAATGTTACAACAAAGCTTCAAAAATGGTTCATATTCAGTAGCCTTTTCCCCTGATAGGCGGCTCCTGGCATCTGGATCGGATGAGGCTATCCATATCTGGGATACGGCGACAGGAATTCTGGAGAAAACACTTGATGGATATTCAAGTTCAGTTGTATTCTCCCCAGATGGCCGGCTACTGGCATCAAGCTCTGGCGAGAGCATTGTCCTCTGGGATGTTGCAACTAGTACTGTACGGAAGACATTCGAAGACTGTTCCAGTCCAGTGGTCTTTTCACCTAATGGGCGATTATTGTCGTCCCTGTCCGATGACTGTCTTTGCTTCTGGGACATTGATACGGGGGAAATCCACGCTACAATTGATTGCCCTTCAGAATCAGTTACATTTTTATCCGATGGCAAACTCATAGCCTTTGCTTCAGATAATGATGTACAACTCTGGGATATCACCACTGGCATACTACAACTTACATTTGAGGGACACACAGATCGAGTTCTCTCGGTAGCCTTTTCTACAAATGGCTTGCTGGCCTCCGGTTCTCGTGATGAATCTGTCCGCTTATGGGATATTGCGACGGGGATAAGCCAGGTTCTTAGGGGTCATGCAGAATGGGTCAAGTCCGTGGCCTTTTCCCCGAATGGCCAAAATCTAGCGTCCGGCTCCAATGATTCAACTATCCGACTTTGGGATACCCCTACAGGCAAATTGCAGCAAATTCAGAGCCCGAACCAACATTCTGGTTGGGTCATCTCAGCCGTATTTTCTCACAATGGTGAACTTTTAGCAACAAGTTCTATTGATGAGACCGTGCGCCTCTGGGACACGTCCAAGGGCTCATTACTACATATATTTGACGGACATTCCAACCTTGGAGCAGGGCTGACTTTCTCTCCTGACAACTCCATGCTGGCATTTTGTTGTGACGATGGGTCTACATGGCTTTGGAACACTGCAAGCGGGAATCTACATCACACGCTACAAGGTCCATCAGATTATATTAGCTTCCTGGTTTTCTCTTTCGATGGCACACTGCTCGCAGTTGTTCCTCGCAACAACACTATACAGCTTTGGGATACAGTCAGCGGTGAGCTACAGCGCACCTTCATGGAGCATCCACATAATAGTGTTATCACCGCAGTCGCCTTCTCACCTAGCAGCTTTTCCGTCGTTTCTGGCTCCACCCACAGGGATCCAATTGTCTGGGATACTAGTAATCGGTCTTCGATTGTTTCGCTTCAGGGCCACCATGATGGAATCCAATCAGTAAGTTTCTCTCCAGATGGAAGGCTGGTGGCATCTGGATCCTGGGATTGCACCATAATTATATGGCAATCCGCCACGGGATCATTTTTGTGGAGGCTGAAGGGGCACTCTGATGTTATTCGATTGCTTCTTTTCCCACCCGATGGCAAAGAACTGGTATCTACCTCTACCGATGGAACTGTGCGACTCTGGAATGTCGGAACAGGGCAGTTAGTACACACTGTTCACACCAATGGGCTAGCTGATCGAGTCGAATTCTCTGACGATCTCTTACATCTCAAGACCAATCTCGGATCTATCTCAATACCTTCCAAATACGATGGTGTCACCACTTCTGCCAAAAAGACAGCGGAAATACGACTTGAGGAGACTGTGTGGGTCTCCCTACATGGCAAGAGATCTCTCTGGCTTCCTCTTGAGTACCGAGCATCGTGCTCCAAAGTCAGAGACAATTGTCTGGTCGTTGGAACTTCATCTGGGCGCGTTCTGTTCATGGATTTTATCTTGGACTAGTGTGGCTCGTAATATTTTTCTAATCCAGTATGTTCTCATGTTCTATCAAAGTACAAAGAAGAGGATCGTCCCAGGGTTGTGGCGGTGTACCTGCTCGCCGAAGTCAACCTGAGGAAGGTTGATTGATCTATGTAAACATTGAACAATTCAAATCCATTCAATGTTCAATGTTGTTCTTCGATAAAACCCCAGAAGAAATTCGCAAGGATTTTTACTGCCATGATATCATAGTTGTAAAGGATCTACCGAGCCGAACTATTTTCTTCTAGAAATTTCTGTTCGCCGAAAGACCGACTGGTTTGGTCTCGGGAGATGCGATCACCGGAGATGCGCCGACCGGCCTCGGCAAGCACCAAAGTTGTATAGAAGAAGTCAATAATCAACGGATCGAGGGTACATATGTATTTCATATGATCATGAGGGAAGTTAAATTCCAATAAAAAGTCTTGTAATATCTTGATATCCAGTCATTGAGGTACTCGTCACGAGAAACGCCGTGTAGGGAAAAAAGAAGGGGAAAGAACTCGAACGGATCCCCGACTGGTCCGAGTGGACACTGAAACTTCCCCCCCCCCCAGAACCCCATCAAGCTCCATATTATGGAGCCCCGTGAAGTCTGGACTCCACGTTTGATCTCTGGAGCCCCGGCTTTCACACCGTGAGACTTCTATGGTAAATGCTAAGACGGCTTATAAGCCCTCGGTTCCGGGTCTGCATGGCCGATCATCATCCAACGGAACCATGACTCTAGTCATAGTGGACTATTGGTTCCAAACGATCGGATAGGATGAAAGGACCCACCAGGTGCATCCCATGACCATCAGATCTTTGGATGTCTTTATTTTGGTCCCTGAAGTTGTGGGCCGAGCTGTCGTGGCACTGTTTTCGGCGAAATACCACGTATATATAAAGGATAAAGGATAAATGGGGCGGTCAAGGGTCAAGGGGATTGGAATTCCGCTAATTCAACTTTCAGATGGCATTTTGGACAACTCAAGTGCTTGTTACCTCCAGGAATTTCTTTAAGGAAAAGAAAGAGTGAAAAAGAGGAAGGATAGGGAATCGGACTAAAATTCTCCCCTCCTTTCAACCCCATCTTTCCCCCCCCCCTCTAAAACAATACATTTTATCCTCACAGAGCTACAAAACCCCTTCCTATTGGGCTCTGGGGCCCCTGTGCATCCCACCAACGAAATCCCTGCCAAAGCCTCATGACGTTTACCATTCCAAAGTCCACTCTTTTCCCTCACGACCTATCTTACCGCTTCGTCTGTCCTATACTCCGTCACATCCCGAATTAAGCTTCGCGTGTCACCTCGATCGCAACGACGCCGTCGGGGCCAACGTCCTGTGCCCAATGGGTCGTGATCACGGATAAATTTGTCGCTCGCCATGAGCCCCCCTTCTTCCAAAGTGAAGAATGGCGGCAATACCTCTGGCCCTAGACAGATTCGCTTCGTCGCCACCGATGGCCAGCCACAAACCAAAAGGCGCCGAGTCAACGCCGCGTATGTGAAGCGCACTCCATATTCGAATAATCTACGAGCTGGCTAGATGTTAACTGGAACTTGGGATTTCATAGTTGTTTAACCTGCCGCCGTCGCAAGATTAGATGTTCGGGGGAACAACCAGGTACGAACATGCTACGCCATTTCCACAGCTCTGGCGATACCTTGCTTACACCTCGGTTTAGTGTGCAAGACATGCTCCGACTACAAACATGTTTGCCTGGGGTACGGCGAATCCACTGCCCACCAGCGGTCCCAGTCCGATTCGGTCTCACGAATACCGCCAGCCCTTCCTGTCGGGTCCAACGATACAAAGCAGCACAAGGAACGGATATCGGGGAGCTATTCACCCGAACCCGCCTCAGCAGTGGCACCGACACCAAGACCTCTTTCCCAACAAATACCAAATAAGTCCCCTATATCAAAGCAATCGGAGTCCAAGGATGCTTCATTATCTCGAGACACTTCCGCGCGTACAAACAAGGAGTCTGACTCGCATGCCGCCGGTGATACACCAGGAAGCAGTAAGTTGGAAATACCGTTGTCTACATAGGCCCGAAGGCTGGTCAGGGTTTGTAAACCAAGATACTAAAATTCACCGTGACCTAGGCAGGACTTCTCTTAGCTCTGGAAACCGAACCCATGTCCCGTATTTTCGATACTTTGGGCCCACCGCCATTGTACCTGGCTTCAAACAAATGGTCCGTTACTTAAGTCAAGCGAAGGTGTTTTTCTTCTTCTTTTTCTTTTCTAATATGATACTAGGTTGTCCAAGTCCGAGGATCACGTAGGAGCAATCCATCAATGTCATCAGGTTTGTTTCCCAACTTGGCTGCGCAACTCGGCATTTTTAAATGCTTGATCTCTCACTGATTTGGATGACTTCAAAATAGAGTCGTTATCCCCACTGCGTAGCCCCAGGCCTTCAGATACCCCTGGTGGCCCGTCGGCAGTAGAGAGCCGTGATAGTCGAGACGCCAATAAGATCCCGTTTTACGACCGAGATGACACGCCCCCGGTATCAAATCTAGTCTCTCACCTGTGCGATCTCTTCTTTATGCATCTGGGATGCAATTTTCCATTCCTCCAGCGAGAACGATTTCTTCAGGACCTCAAGGAGAAAAAGGTTGATACTATGCTAGTGGATGCTGTTTGCGCATTGGCTGCTAGATTTTCACCCCACCCATTACTTGGACCTCCTCAGGCCCCTCCCATCGACCGTTCGCAGCCTCCGGCTGATATCAGAATGTGGGACCGTGGTCTACCTTTTGCACATCGAGCAATGAGCGCCCTGGTTGATTCGCTATCATGCCCAACACTCTCCGTTGTCCAAGCTTGCCTATTACTGGCATATGAGGAATTTGGATCTAATCACGATAGTGGTCTCTGGATGTACTTGGGAATTTCAATCAGGATGGCCCAGGATCTTGGATTACAAAAGCACCAGGGGTTGAAGTATAGTTATGGAAGGAAAGGCGTGACCCCGAGTGAGGTAATGACTGGGCAGGCTGGAAAGCTGCGCGAAGATCAGTACGATGATCTCGATGTATACCAGAGCCCCAAAACCCAGCAACCTGCCTTTGGAGCCGAACGGGCCCGAGAAAAGGAACGAGTTGACACTTTTTGGAGTATATTCTTTCTTGATCGCGTCATTTCTTCGGGAACAGGCCGGCCGGTTACCCTACGGGATGAGGATATTGAGCTCTGTTTCCCTCTGCAGTCTGAATCTCAGTTACCGAATGGTTGGCCCGCACCATTTCCGCCACTCATTCGAGTCATTCATCTCTACGGGAGAGTAACGGATCTTATTAACGGTATACAAGATGTCAACCATGTGACCCCTGATACACTCAAAAGGTTGGCCGGTATGGAAAGTGACTTGACAGGTAGGAACTCCAAGGATGATTTTACATGGGCCCCCTTTCTAACATGTCTTCCATTTGGGTAGGCATCTATCAGCGATTGTCCCCAAAATTGCATTTTAACGCAGCGAATTTTCAAGCATATGTCAAAGCGAAAGAAGGGACTAATTTCATTCTGCTTCATTTTGTGGGTAGTTTCACTTCTACTTATTAGCATGACGCTAACCGTTTACCAGTGGTTTCACACCTTGATTGTGCTACTTCACCAGCCTACGCTTTTGAACTCATTTGGCGGCTCAATACAGCATCTTTATCCCAACAGCCGTGAACTTTCAATGTCCTCGGCAAAAACCATCGCTGATATTCTATCATTTTCAGAACTAGTAGATGGGAAGAGTTTCATCGGTAATCCTTTCACCAGTCAGCCGATGTACATTGCGGCCTGTGCATTTTTAATGGAAAGCGCATATTACACATCACCTTCATCCAGGGGAACATCGCCTCTGCCGGAGCCGCTTTTGAGCAATCAATCCAGTGGGTTTGTGATGCCAACAATGGAGCCGCCTCATGGTTCAGAACGAAATTCGACTGCCAAGCACATTTTGCTTGCCTCCGCTGCCAAGGAGAATTATCAGCGGTGCTACAAGGCGTTAAAGGCATTGAACTCGTACTGGGAAGGCACTGGATACATATTGACGGTGCTAGATCAGAAGGCTAAGGGTATCGTGAACCCTCTTTTGTACACCACAGAAGAGGCAGAGAACATTGTGGGAGAAACGCCGTTTGGAGCTGCCAGCTGGCGCCCAGGTCAGCCGTCGGATGTTGCTCAAAAGTCCCAGAGGCCCCCAGGCGTCGCAGACATCCCGACCGACGGGAGGTGGTCACCGAAATTTGACCCCGGTCAGGGTAAGTCTCAAAAGTTAATTGAATAGAAGTTCCTACTAATATGGCTTCGTTTCTAGCCATTGGATGGGCGCTCACTGGGGCCACCAACTCCTCACAGCCGAACCTGAGTTTACTGTATCAGATGCCCAATACAGAATCCGAGGCCCGCACCGCAAAACCCACATATTCATCTCAATATAGTCACAGCTTCCCGCCATTACCAGTTGTTACAAATGCTGGAGCAAGCTCGAGTTCCTCTTTTGCGCACCCCCTCACCCCATCCATTTCCCATGCTGAAAGCCAGGCGTCTTCCCTTTCCACTGCGAACAACAAATACTCTCAAGTCCCTTCACATACGCTCGGCACCGAATCTCCTTATTATATGAGCATCAATTCTCCTTATACTGAGTCAGGACCTGGTGCAACCGCGTCAATCCAGTCGAATTTCAACCCAGGCCTTTCTTCCAGCCAATTGGATGGCCAGACCTCCGCATACGGTTACCCTGTTTCTTCTAGAGCCACAGATCCACACGGAAGTCATGGACAACTGGGCTCTAGGAATGACCTGCATCCCTCAATGCACAACAACAACAACAACACAGGCATGATGATTGGGAGCCACGACGTCGACATGAACACACTGCACCATCAAGATTCATTTCCCTTCGCCAACGGTGAAATCGTACCATGGCTGGAATATTTACCGCAGGATGTGCTCAGTCTCTTTGGTGAAAACCATAATTATCCCCTAATGAGTCCCGACGACAATACTCGGCCTCCGCCGTAACGATCCAAACCTTTCACGTGTACATGTATCTCCTTTTCAAGTCAGATTTGCATTTGTCATGTCTTTGTTGAGCGAGCTTTATGTTGAATATGGATTCATTTCTTCTCATTTTATTATGTTTTTTTTTTTTTTTCATTCTCTTGATTGCCTGTTATAACTGGCGTTTGGTGGTATATCCTCGAGCAATTTCTAGATCGCCTGATGCTTTCTTTCAATATTTACTAGTCTGCGACATGAAACGCAACCCAAAATTCACTCAGTACCTGACATCTGAAGGGAAACTACCAGCACTTATTTGACGAATCATTTTCAAGGTTCCAATATGATAGATGAACTTCCTTATCCAGTATAGTATGTTAAACGACCTTGGAAATTAAACTATAGGTTGTATGTAGTGGAGCCGGAGCCTAACAGTAGCTTAACGGTTAGATGGTTGCCCTGGGAGACGGAGCGGTGAGCCAACTGTCAACACATCGTCACCGCATACCAACCATCGGATACATATCAGCGTATCACGCCAAATTCGAAGTTTCTAATCATACATGAATCTCTATGGCGAGACTGAGTGATGAAAGCCATCTTCCTCTTGGAGTTGACTCCTCAAATGAAATCCTAAGCCCCCAGCCTTGTCTGCCTCCAGGCAAGGAGCATCTACTCGCCACGTTTGAAACGTCCCACGTTCCACCCAGCGATAACGGATCAGCAACAGATGGCAGCCGAATCTACAGTCAAGACTACGAGTATAACTCATCGAGCTCCTCAAACCGACAATCGACCAGTGACATATTTAGCCACGAAATGGACGAAGATCTCGAACACCTGAAATCACGAGCATCGAGCCGCTCCTCCATTTCCTCTATGCCAGCCTCCGTTCTTATACACCCTATCAACCATATGGACTCAATGTCATCAGGGAATCTGCACGAGAAAATGGTCGGCTACTCAATCGAGGAATCCGAAGCCAGTTTTGGTGGATTCGACGATCCGCCTAGAAACATGCGATCTATCCGTCCTCGGGAAGCTGCATTTCGGAAACCGAGCTCCGTGCGCGCTATACAGATGCACACAGAGGACGAAGGAGAGGACGATGAATATCTCACTCCCACGAGACGTCGGGCGGGAATGCGGTCACCTGGATCTTTACCTGTGAAACGTTCGCCATATTACTCGCCTAATACCTTGACCAACAAACCAAAGCCGAAGAAAGATTATCCTCTTGTCCTACTGCATTGCAACCTCCTAGCACCCTCTCTTCCGGTCCCTGGTGCCTCGGATCTGCAGAACCAGGACATTGTGGAGCAAGTCCTCCCACATCAATACTGGAAACGCTGGCGACGATTACAAGAGAAAGTCGGATCTGGTGTCCTTCGCGACAGAGGTGTCCTGATCTCACACCCTGAAGATTTATATGATATGCTTGAAGAGCGACTCTTGGAAAGCTTGGAGTTGCAGCGCCCACGGGTACACCAAGGCCACTTCTTCGGCCATGAAGAAAATAACCCCGAATCCGAGGGCGAAGTTTCCGACCAGAGCGAAAGCGAGACGGATGGAGAACAGGGTGAGGAGTGTCTAGACTGTGGCGGACGAGTTGTTCGACAGACTGATACCAACCGAAAATGGGAGATCAGGGTGTTTGCAGCTAATGGGCTGATGCGCGCTGGAGCGTGGGCAGCTGCATGGAGAGAGATGGAGAAAGTTGATGTGGAAGTTGGGCTTTGGCTGCCGTCAAATGTGCGCCGAGCGTTAGAAAAGCGGATTCTGGAGGAGCGTGCGGCTGTGCCGAAGGAAGAGCCTCAAGCCATACTGGCTATATGCGAGGCGGGGCACCGGGATATGGACGCCAGGCGTCTCTCGGCCAGTATTGAAAGACATGCTAGGTCATTCAGCGAGGCAGGCTCGATTCCATCTGCTGCACCGCCAGCTCCTCATGTTCCAGAGCCAACACCGGACATTTCACACAAAGAACCGGAGCCCGAGATTGCTCTTGGGACTTTGCTGATCAACTATATCCGAGTGTTGGCCAGCGACAAGCGTAATATAGCGTTGGTGATCATGTCGATCGCGGTCGCATTTCTAGCTATGGGGGCTCGACCGCAACAACTGCACCAGGTGCCGGCTCTCCAATTTTTCTTCCAAAACATGGAGTCGTTTTCATTCCCTACAACTGCGGATGTGGTCTCACCAAGCTCATCCATTCCTTCCGTGAGCATTGAGTCCTTGAACATGGCCCCTTCGTCTGTGGCTTCAATTGTTGCCTTTGACAGGCCCACTCAAGTGGAAACCCTTCCAACTTTAAGGGTGACGGGCACTCTGGAAGTTTCCGAATCAATTGAGGCATTCCCTGTTGAAGAGACCGCTTTACCTATGGAGACTATGGAAACTTCTATGGAAAATATTGTCAATGCGATCACTGCACCGTCTCCATCCCCGAAAACTGAGATTGATATTTTCGAAGAACAAGCCGAGCCAATGGAAGAACACAAAAATGAATATCCTTCTCATATAGATGCAGTGGGGGAGCTGAGGGGGTTTGATTCCTCAAAAGATGCCACGGAAGATGCCACCGAGACCGAGCTTCCCGGGGCCGCTGAAGCAACCTTGGTTGTGTCATTGGAAGAGGACAAAAACACAATCCCTCTTCCTACCGAGCCAGAGGAGCAGCTAGAGCAGCCTCATCCTACAGAGGAAATCACCGATGGTTCCTACGAGACTGATACTCCTGAAATTGAGGAACAATCATCAATTGTATCATCGGGAGAAACTGAAAATGAAGTTCCTCTTATCACCGATGCCCCTGAGCAACTGATCGAGGAGGAAATTACGTCTGAAGTGGCGATCGAGGACACTATCCTGGAAGCCCCTCAGGAGGTCATTGATGAGTAAACGAAGACTCAATCGATGGCCCAACAGAGTGAATAAATAATGGAAAGAAAGAAAACTCGCAAATTTAGCATTTACGACTGGAATGAGATGAGCCGAAACGTTTGGACCTTGCGTTGATTTGTTGTCATATATTACACATTTTGGGCGTTTCCACTGTTATTTAGCCAGTTAGTCCCTTTCTTATGTCAAGTTGATGATCACATGCATGTATTGGACGCAATGATGTATGATAATGCTCTAAAAAACATCCTACTTTCAAACTTCAAATGTTTCCAATTCTCCCCAATTTGACCTATTAACTTAAGATATGTGCCACTCAAGTGCTAATTTCAAATATCTAGCACTGCAACATTCCGCATGCAAAGTAGGCATTGACATCTGGATGCTAATCCCAGCAGGATTCTCTAGTATATACCATATTTGTCAAAATGAATAGTGTCAAACTTACTACTCACATCCTTGGGCATCAATTCCCCAACCTTAGAACCCATCTCGTCAAAAAGCATATCTCGATATTATATGCAATTCAAAACCCCGATCCATCCAAATAAGCAGTTGGGATAGTCGGCCATGCGTCAACTCCATCCAAAATGGCTAACGCCATCCCTCCATCCTGGTGAACCTGTATATGACAATGCATCAAAAAAGCCCCGGGATTCACAACCTGATACCGCAATGCCATCCACACAGGCCCCGTAACCGCGATAGGCGTGGCTGACGTATCTCTCATGGGTGGGTTGACCAAGTTGAACGAATCAGGGATTTCCAGGATAGCGTCTGCGACAGAATCCCAGGTGAAATCACCGTCTCCCTGACCAATAACGAAATGTTTGTTCGAATGCTTATGAATCGGGTGGGCAGGCTGCAACGGTGTACCGACTTGGACAATGAGGTCGACCCATGTTCCGTTTTTTGTTTTGATGATTAGGTCGCTGGGTATAGCGGTTTGATTAAAAAGCAGAGGCTGCGACTCTTCAAGTTCGAGATTGAAACTGGTGTTCCCCAGAGTCCATAGATAGGACGCGTTGAAATGGTCGATGTGCAGCTTGAAGGTTTGATCGATTGTATAGTCAGGCGAGACAGCTGGGAATGGAACTATGGTTGTGTCATCCAGAAGAATTGTGTCGGCAGTAGCATTCGTGCCTTGTGTTGTGATCCATGGGATGGATGGTCGGGTGAGCTGAGATTTACCCTCGTACTGTAGTGTGGCAGTTGTATTGATGATTTGTTGCGCAGTTCCGCTCACCATGCGGATCGTATAGTCACCCTGGACTTGGTTCAGGGGTACCAAGACTGAGTAGCGTGTTGCACTAGGAAGATTGATGGCATTCACGAGGACGGGCTGGATGTACCGACCATCGACGGCATAGACGTACATGTCGTGTTCGTCCACGGAGAACATTAGGTGTAATATCCCAGCTGTACTGGTTAAATCCCAACTAACGTACTGGTCATTCTTATTGACAGTCAGGACTTCATGAGCACTTTGAGATGACGTGCACCCATAAAACATGGTCGGTAGCAGCTTGTTGTAATCATGTGTGTAATTTCCTTCCGTGCCGACGTTATCGGGCGGGAAGCATCTAATGAGGAGTCAGATTATATGAGCCAATTCTCGAATTAGGTAGCTCCTACTTACCCAATATCTGTCAGTGATTCGTTGCCCAAAACAGATTTCTGATCATCAGTTGTCAGAGCATCGAGTTCTGCAGCTGAAAAGCAATAGACCGAGCCTTTCCCGTTAATCAAAAGGGCATTCGCGCAGAATGCATCTACGCCAGATGCCTCCTCGGCTGCCCAAATTTGTTCCGATGTTAAAAGCCGCCAGTCTGAAAGTAGAACCGGCGTGGTTTTCTCTTCTGCAACAAGCATAGCCTGAAGCTGAGAAGCCTCGGTTGTGATCATACTGAAGGGCCTCTCTTCAGAGTTTGACGGTTCGATATAGATCGGGCCGTAAAGACCATCTTCAATTTGGCCACGATGGTGTGCATGGTAGAAGTATGCACCGTATTGGTGTGCGGTCCACTGATAGCGAAAAGAATCCCCTTCATCAATTGGTATCTGGCTCATACCTGGGACACCATCCGACCACGGTGTGTTCAGTTGTTCAATGCCTATTTGTTTCTATTTTTAGCATTCAAGACCCCTAATTTTTTGACTTAATTAGCTTACCATGAAAATGAACAGTGACGTTGAATGGACATTCATTCCGAACGTCGAAGATGACTTCGTCGCCTTGCACTAGACTCAATTGAGGGCCAGGATATTGACCATTGACCAGAATCACATCTCTTGTGAAGCCTGCAACCTCTCTTGGCGCCCAGGTGAGATAGATAGAGAAATAAACAATTTCAGCACATGCCCATTGAACGAAGCCTAAGGCGAAGAATACCCAAGTAGCAACAGAAGATTTCATGATGACCGTTGGAATCAGAGATAAGATCAGAATATAGATGGACCTCAATGTACCACAGCATGTATGCGGACATGGTCTCAGTTATATACGCAACGTCAACGTTGGAAGCGATGAGGGATATGGATGTGTTCCAGGAACGCTTTCCATCTCAATCTGGCCCAGCACTCTCAAGGTTTACCCTCATACACCACGCCTCATTCTCTATCTTTAATGCGAAGAACACATGGTAGTAGGGAACTTTGGGCCCGCAATTTGATCATAGCTGAAAGAATGATCAGGTCCCCGGATGTGGGTGCATCGGTGACCATGAGACCTTGCAGTCTGCTGCCAGGGTCGGGCAGGGAGAGCATTTGGTCCGAGCAATAGATTCATTTCCGTTATAGGTTTAGTCTCAGGTGCTAAAGTCCAAAGACAATTAATCACATGGTGATGTATTTCCCCAGCGTCGGGGCGAAGTTCGTTTCTGCCCCGTTGACGCCTGAATATTGAAAGGGGGAGATCTAAGATCCAAGCCACCAACCAAGATCTCGGGCGGAAGTAAGCCCGCATGATAATGATTTTCATGCAAGGTCTTAGATGACAGAGTCAAAGCGCTGCTAGTTAATGTTGCATTTCGTTGTACGTATCAGGGAGATGGTCATAGATGAACCTCGGCACATCTAGATCAGATTGTCCGCGTGGGACGAATCAGGTACGCCATCTCAAAGCTACCTGATCCCTGGATACGAGTGAGACAGGCTGTCTCGGCGTTTTGCTTGTTGAACAAGGTCCAACCAAAGTGGTGGGTCGGAAACGAAGAAAAAAAAAAACTGACCATTGAGGAGTGTCGGGTGTGAGTCAATCAGCTTTCCGACGGAATTCCGAATTTTCAATCGGCAAAATCCACTATTTGGGTGCATAGGGGGCCCCACGGGTGTGGAAAGTGGGTCATAGTATGTACTCCATAGAATGCAGTGTGAACATCAGCAGAGAAAAAAAAAAAATGACGCATCGGGATGTGAACAAGGACGCGTAGTGGTGGCTTGGTTGTAAATCGAGCTTCCTCCACGAGGATGAGGTGTGACTGCACAAGATTAAGAAACGCCAAAAGTTGTAATGTGAATTCATTCTGTAGTACAAAAACCGATCTTTAATACTTTCGTCGAAATGGTCACTAAAAGATACAAACAAAAAAAAAGGTCATTAGGCTTTTCCTTCGCAAGGTCAACTTGTCGTATATTGCAAGTGAATACCATCACGGAGACATCAATCAAAATTCGACATTATCATAAAATGCAGGTCTACCCTGCTGGGTAATCTCTGATGCAGGAGGACCGCCCTCTTTTGAATGGAGAATGCCAATGGTATCTGGGGTTCGCTGGCTCAGATCCACCCATTTCTGTTTTCCCTTGCCTTCATAATCTGTAAAATCACCCAAAGGTAGGTGGTCATCCAACTCAGGCGGCGCAAGCTCACTGTAGCTATCGTTTAATCGTTGCAGGAACTCTGGATCGAAGCCCATCTGCACCAACGGATCAGCAGACCCTTCTGCAGGAGCGGAAGAGGCCGAAGCGTTGCCTGGAAGGCTACTGCTCCAATCAGAGGTAAATGCTGGGACGCCAGCTGATATCATCCCTGCGCTACCAACATAGCTGCCTGAGAGACTTCCTGCGCCGCTGGGGCCGGCAGAAGAAAAACCAGTTCCTGGGTATGCCGGACTGCGGAAGCCAGGACTAGATACAGCCGTACTGGGAAGTGCACCAGGGCATACGGCCCTCGCTAAAATATTGGTTTCTGGTGGAGGATCGCGCAGACCTCCATCAACGGCGAAGGGAGGCTGTAGTCCAAGATCCGAGTACTGAATCCTGTCATCGTGAACAACCGATTGGAGTCCAGTATCTCGCTTCAAGATGCCTAACCAGACAGGATTGTCGGCGCAGGTTTGATTCCAAGGATCATCACAGCCATAAATCACTCGACGGGCTTCAGCTTGTATCATCTGATCAGTGGGGATCAAGCCCTCCGTGGTTTGATGATGGATGTACGCAGTGAGCTCGTGTGAGAGGCGGTCATAGCAATTGGCATCGTGAGGTACACTCAGCCTCGGGGTAGTGTCGTCACCTTGTGCCTGCACGGTGGTCCAGGGATTCGGTGAGCGCCACTCATAATCGATCATGTAAGGTGGGATGGCGTTTTCAACACGCTCAAGGATATAGGGTTCGAAACCCCAGTCTCCTTGCCATTGGGACATATTGGCCCCATTTTTGAAGTGGCCAGCGAGGTGGTCCACACGGTCCTTCCACGTGTGCAATATTGATGCACAGAACCCACAGCGGGATTTGATATTGGTAATGCTACTCTGCCAAATTTCCATACAGGGCTGGAATTTGGCATTGTGCATGAGGCGGAGGTGCTGATTGAGATGATCTTTCCTGTAGAAAGTTCTCTCTTGAATTGATTTTTCTTGACAGCTGAGGTAGTTGTGGGTTTCCAAGTGGTCTTTGTCAGGGTTTATGGCGAAGCAGAAGACGCATCGAAGTGTACCATTCTCCTCGGTGACACCGCCATGAGGTGAGCATGTCCACTTGTCCAAAATCAAATGCATAGATTTTTCATGACGTTGCCAATCATACTTTGCAGCAAAGGAGTCAGTGCAGAAGGTGCATTGAAATGGACGAACAGCTCGAGCCTTCTGATGATTGAAGGTGTTGACAGGTACCGATGCCTTACGGCGACGGCGACGTTCTTTGCGATCCATTGAACCAAATGAGAGGGAAGATCGATGGGAATATGCAGAAGCAAAGGAAAGATCGGACAGGGATGAGTGACTAGTACCCAAACTACTTCCCGAGGCGGTATATCTTTTGTGGTCTGAGCTTGCGTGGCTTGACTCATTGGTAGATCCAGGGCGACGGACCCTCACGTGACTCGATTGTGGTGGGCGTTGTTGACGCGACGGATCAAATGGCGGATTCGCCAGGGCACGGGCAATATCACTGATAGTAGCAGGCTCGTTCTCGGGTGGCGAGTGCTTCCAACGTTCAATGGGAGTCATGAGCGATATGTCCGTTGGGTTTTGACCGGGGATGTTTATGGCGCCTGGAACTCCAGTGTCAGTGGCAGCAGAAGGGCGAACCTTGCCGCGTCTTCGAGCATTCGCGAGCCAATTGGTGATTTGTGTTCTTGTCAGGCCGGTGTTGTTCTTCAGATCATCTTTCTCGGTTTCGGTGGGATAGGGATTATCATTGTTATCGCGCAGCCAACCCTTGAGAACATTGAGAGCCTTGCGCGAAAATCGAGTGGTGCTGCTGTTCTTGCGAGAACGTGAATCTGAATCATCCCCAAATCCACCATAGGAAACCGATTTGAGTGCTCTCTTGCCAATTAAGCCACCCGTTGGAATATAAACAGTCTCCGGCACTGGGTGCAATGTCTGAAGGAACTTTCCGGGGACTTTGGCATGAGTGAAGCTGCATTCACGGTAAAGAGAGATACAACAGGTGCATCCGTTCTGATGCATCACACCACGCTTGGCAACAAAACAGTCAAGGCCCATTCGTCGACAAAAGTCACAGGCCTGTTCGGCGCGGAACATGGGGTAGACTCCGGTGTCCTGTTCGGGACCAACGGCATCAGGTAAGTCTTGTTCGGCCGTCTCCGGGACAAGCGGGTCATGAACAAAATCCAATGGCTGATCTTGGATTATTGAGTTGAAATTGGCGTCCCGTTCTCCGGCTTCTTCAAATTCTAGATCAACTGAAGCAACATCGTCGCTTGGGTGATTGGATTCGTGAGCCGATGAGGCACCTTCAAAGTCGAAGTACTCCATGGCTTCTCAATATGGAGTTCCGGCCGTTAAGACCGTCGGGTTTTAATTTTTTCAAAGCAAAAGAAAAAAGATTATTGGTCTTTGCAAATGGTATGAGGATACGTGGAAGGTTGAAAAAGATTAACCTGAGAAGGGTATCCCTGGTCCGGGGTAGAGCTGACTGGGTGAATAATCAAATCCCGGAAGTGGAGTTCTATGGACCTTGGACCCAGCAGTTAATCGGGCCCTGGCCCAAGCCAGAGAGAGGGCTCGTGCCATACCGATAAGCAATCGGTCATAACGGACTGTTAGTGGTGGCTTTGCCCGAGGCAGACCTTTCGTAGCCGCTAAGTTCCCCCCCTCCCCCCAAGAGTCGGTCAAGCCGATCAAATAGGACAAGACCAAGATTACCCAACGTCATCTGTTCAACTTGCGGGATAGACGAGACCGGAGTAAGAGAGAAGTTCCGCGTGTGGTCAGGAAGACGCAGCTGCACGCCCTTCGCATGTCAACGCCAAGCCTATTTAGGCTTAGCTTAGTCCAAAGCGGGGCAAAAGGGCGTTTCCCAATTAGGCAAGAATGAATCATCTTCCCGCGATATCGGAGGCTTATGGGGCTCTACTAGTAGGTTTGATACAAACTACTCCAAAGTTCAATCTACAATCTTCGAGAATGAACTTCTATTTTGAATCTAGAGTATTCCATGACGACTTCTTTTCTGGGGGTGTTCTTCGTATAGACCTAATCAAGAACCGGGGTTTTGAGTCACAAAACTGCCGTGGAAACAATAGAAACTACCGACATACATAGTACTACTATGCATGATTCAAGAAAGATTCGTTTTTTGTCGGGGACAACTTGTCATACTAGTATGACATAAATGAAGTTTGGACTGAGAACTAAACACATGAATGTATTAAAGTTGGTTCATACATAAAACAAACAACTTTAATAGTGCTCCGTACAAACGAGTCGAAACGACGATATACGCTTCCCCGCCAAGCCTCAAAAATTCTTCACCGTTCCGAGAATTTTCCTCCGATCCGACTCCAACCGGAATTCGGCTGGTGAAGACCAAAATACCAAAATATCCCTTTCTATGTATTGTAACGGAATTCTCTTCCGATTTTAGGCTATCGGCTAGATTTACCTTGAAACATATGTCCTTACGAGCGAGTTTCTACTAGTAAACATTCTGGCCATCTGTAGAGTACCCAATTGGTTGGAGAAGGTCGTGGTTCACAATTCAGGAACCTCCTATCGGATTTGTTCCATTTCACACTATTGTTCAAATAACCTTCACTAGTAGACTACAATTCAAAACGTGGCTCAAGTTGGTGAACAGTTTGCCGCGGGACTTGGATTGAAACCGTGGAATCTGTCATTCTCAAAGGGCTTTAATCTACATAAACACAAAGATCTCATAAACCTAGTTGTGTAGTGGTATATAGTATATAACCTTGGAAAGAACCACTTGAAAGCCAAATTGATTGACGATTTATCTTCTCAAGTACTAGCTCAGGTATATTTGGTCTTTTGATCTTGAATTCCATTCGCATTCATGCATATGTGGATGACTTGTTTCCAATGTTCCAAATTAGGTCAAGCCCGCATCAATTGATCACTGATTCACTCTCTCCAGACCTTGGAATCTTCACTTCACCACCTCCCCTGCTCTAAAGCTCACATTGACCCTTCAAATGTTGTCATGGACGGAGAGTTGTGAGGCACATTGCTTGGGTGATCTTACAATTACATATAATTCTGTAGGAATCGAAAACAACATTTGAACAATATAATATTCTATTTACCGTGAAACAGAGTTGTTTCATCCTTCAAATATTTCCAAAATTGAATTATTGGGTTAGTCAGATCAGTGTTACGGGGTGCTCTTGCACATGTGGTGAAAAAGTCAATCTGTGCATGTGTACATAATACCAAGTACTAGTAAATACCATAGTCTGTAATTGGCACCTGGGCACCGGTTTCCGACATGTAGTACCTAGTAGGTAGCTATGTAGGCATCGACCTAGCCAATTAGCCGGAGAATCGACACAGAATCAGATTTTATATATTCAATGTTCTACAGGCAAGGCTCTATGATTTGATTTAAGAACCTAAGCAGGTACACATGCACATGTGTATTGATGCCCTCATTATTGGTGGCATTTGTATATGTATACACATGTGTGCATGATCAATGCGTTGGGTCGTCTCCAACGTTGACAGCGCTTATGATTTGATGTGATTTGTTGAGTCGTTGGGTAAAGCCCGGAGCGAACCTTTCTGACACATGTGCCTATGATATTTCGCTCAACCATTTGACAGCTCAACATTGAACTTATTGGCTCCAGCAAACGATTATTTGGTATCAGATCTATAGACAAGCTTAAAAGACAAGCTTAAAACATCTAGACGGTTGGAATCTAGATAGTGAAGTGGGGCCTTTTCGCCTTCCATCAAAAGACTAGAATCTAGACGCACAGACCTTTCTTATCAGCATATCAGATACCAGGACGCTGGCATGTGAAGCATGTGAAATCGCCGCATGCACAAAATGGTGAAAATCTGCAGGCGCGCCGTTATCTGTCAATTTGCCCCAGCCCCCCAAAAAAAAAGATCCCCATTTCTTCTTGTTCACCCATGCAAATATTTTCAAAACAAAACGAACACCTCTACGGTACCCGACAATCAACTTTGATATACTGGCCGGAAGCATGGAGTACACAAGGCTCTCCATTTTACCTCCCATCACAGCCACCATTCGGCGTCGGCTCCCTAGGCTCTATTCATCTCACAGGGCTGGCGCCGACAACGAATCGAGCGGGGATCTGCAGCACGGACTGGCATCTTTGTCCGAGCCACAACTCTCTTTTCATGGCCAGCCACCAGAATTAGCGGTTTCTGAGTTATCAAGACCCTCGACCGGGAGCGATAGTCTAGATTCTTTTGTGTCTAAATCTGGGTGTTCGGATACCCCTCCTACCGACGAGGGCGCGGACCCCACAAAGTATGAGACGGAATCTGGCTTACGATGGAACAGAGTAGTTCCTGGTGAGATCATGTTCAAGTCAAGACAAACCTGTGATTTAGAGTTACTGATTACGTCTAGCCTATAATCTCTTGCGAAATGCGGGATACGAAGCTCAACAGCCTCAAGCTGACGGCCGCCTGGCACGTTCGTTGTACATCAATGCTCTAATGTACCTGCTAGATGCGCTCCCATCGGATCTTACTCTGGAAGAAACGACCATGATTCAATGTCGCCTTCCAGATGATGTTAAATCATCAATGGCGATTTCTTCGCAGCCGTATTCGGCACAATTGGAAAGCCGCATGTTCCCCAAAGCAGTGCCTCCGTCCCGATCATACCTTCATAGACTTCTTGCGTCTAGTATTGTTCAATTGTTCATTCTGGCTCGCTTTCTTTTACCTTATTTCAGACTTCTGTTGCGCCAGGTTTACGAATATGAGCGATCGCACCGCATCACACAAAGAATCGTTACGACAACATTAGACGCGGCGGATGGGTTAGGAAAGAAAAGTGTCAACATTGGCTCGGCGTTTTGCAGATTTAATGAAGGTCGCGTGGGTGTGGCAGTAGCCAATCTGGCAAGCTGGTGGGTAGAGGGAATCGCTGGTGGAATCTATGAAGGGGTTGGGGAGGGAATGATGCACTTTGGTATACTGAGACAAGGTTTAGAACTTCAAAGATAGATTGGCATTATACATATGTTGATAGACTATAGAGCTTATAAAAATTGATTTTATTCAGATATCCCTCTGCCTAGCGGATTTATTGAAGTTTCCAGGCTGCTAATACGCAATGGAGATAAAATGAATATGTATTCCATCTACACTAACCTTCAAGTTGGAAGTCGTGACTTCGTGATTCGTACATATGCTAGTCCGAGTCATGTCGAGATCTGCGATAAGGCCTGCGATAAGGCCTGCGATAAGCAACGTATTGAAACTCCGCGGGATCTCCGTCACTCCGTCTCAGCCCAAACCTACAAACTCGTGCTTTACCATGTCAACCACCAGGCTACCTTGTGTTCCATCTGTTAGAAAGCAGCAGCTACACCTGGAATTGTGCGTCTTTACCGTGTTCCAATATTCTGTCTTAGTTTGTTTCAATTGACAATCTGTACAGCTCGAGCTTGCGACATGCTGCACCACCAGGGGTCTATGTGAGCCTCGCGCCAGGCGACCCAACATTGTGGAGTGGTGTCATCTTTGTTCGCTCCGGTATATATCAGTACAGACTGCAAGTGATTACCTTGATCCCACAGCTGACACTGGAGTTTGTTCTACTAGGACCCTACGCCTCGGCTATTCTTCGTTTCCAAATCCGCTTCCCAGACATCTACCCGGACCTGCCACCTCTCGTGACGTTTGCAACCGATGTATTTCATCCATTGATTGTGCCCCTGACTACATACACATTCAGTACCAACTCCGCAAGTGATAATACCGTCAGCGCGACGGACGATGAACGGCTATCCCCTGGCGGGTTTAGTCTCAGACATGGATTTCCCCACTGGTTTGGCAGGGACAGGCGGAGTGATCTAGCGTCTGGAACTTCATCAAGAAATGTGAGCGGTAACAGTGCAGGCACTGCGACAAATACGGATGCCAAATCGAGTCCCCCATCAGCAGAGGATGTTGGTCCATCTGGCACCTCTGACGAGGTGGATACCGAAGAAGTCACAGACAGTGATGAGACTCCTCGCATTGCCCAGATCCCTTCAGAGTACCGGTTTGCGGAAGCGAGGAAATCTGTACCTGTTGCTGAGCTTCTGGACTATATTCGCTCGACATTCGACGATGAATCAGTCCTCGACTCCTTACCCGTCGAGGTCGCAGGCAATCCGGGAGCATGGCATGCGTGGAAAGCACACCGCCGCGGAGGTGATCGATCTTGTGAATGGAAAAAAGGAAGCCCGCAGGCTCGGCAACCTGGGGACTGGCATTGGGATGGAATTTGGGCTCGGCGAGTACAGGATGAGATCGGAGCCAGTCTTTCTGACCCCATGCTTTTTGGTGGTGCTACTCGTGGTGGTGGGGATGAAATGGTAAGTATTGTCTGCTCCGCGTAGTGTATAATTTGCTAACTCAATCAGATACGGTTTTCAAGGCTAGATAATGCTACGGTGGACTCGGTCAAAGAGAAGATGAAGTCGGTGGTGGATGTACATATGGAACAATGATTCGTGCTTGCCTTAATATACCCCCCCCTTTTTTTTTTCTTACTTGCCGCTGCATCATTCCTGCCGAATATGAATATACTGACGGCAAACATCAAAAGCTTTGGTCCTTTTTTGATCCTCATAATTGCTTACTTTTAACCAAGATGGCCAATATTTTATCCCTTGATTTCAAAAGCTCTGCATTGCTTATTGCATTGGTACTTGTTCCTATTGTCATCCTCTTTTGTGCCGTGGCCTTGATTCTCGCCTGTTCAGAGTACAGATTCACCCGGCCTGAGTGGCTCCTACGACTGTGTCGCTCTCGTGAACACCGAGGAAAAAAGAAAAGGCTTCGATCTGATTTGGAAAGCTCCGTTGGGAATCGGGAGACTGAAAACTCCGACGGGGCACTCGAATATGAACCGCCCGTCAGTAGTATCGAGCAGTTTTAGGGGATTTGTGACCAAAGAGGCTTCTGAGACACCCACAACCAAGAGATACGGCGTCTCACGAAGTCACAATAACAGCTCATCTTCGTCTTACCCTCGAATTCCCCGCCGAAGCTCATCACTCACTGCAAGCGTCACTGATGGGTGTTGTGAACCAGCATCCTCTACTAGAACACCTTCCCTCAGCGACAGTAATTACCAAATCCAAGTCTTGAAAGTCCGCCGGCCTGGGCGACCTGATATAAACAGCTCAAAAATCTACTGTTTGGAGGATCCGTTCCTGGAAAAAGTGACTGAACCCCAGCCGCCTTTCCCGGGTTTGCTTTGGTTTCCTTTGGTTTGCTAATTGATTGACTACTAGACCCCTAGACCCGCAAACAATTCCCAGAGGCACTTCGCGGCAAACCCCCAAGTACTTATACGTTGGAGTTCCGGTTCTTGGAACGCATCGCGTCCGTATCAACCGTCTGAGCTTGGGGGCTCTCGTGCTGACTCCAAGCCCGATATGGATCCAACTTCCCATCCTTTACTACGACCTATGGACCTTCCCATCGCATGCGTGAAAGTGAGAGCATCGACCAGCTTGAGTTACATTGGCAAAGAGCCGACATCCTTATGGGCTACGGTGTATATCTCAGGCGATGTTAGTCCCATGCTCTCCCCGGGAGCCTCCAGTATTGCTCCTTTGGACATAATCATCCTCCTTGACGCTCTGTAAGTTCCTCCCGCCTGGCAAACCGATGAAAACTAATGTTTTCATTCACAGGCAACAGCCATCTTCCGAATTCCTATCACAAATCAACCTTGCCTCATTTGTCCTCGCCAACCACATAACACACCGTCATGACAGGATTGCATTGGCATATGTAGACGGGCGATCCAATCAAGGGTTCGAGGTTTTACTTCCATTAGGATTCCACTCCATTGAAGCTATTCGATCTGCACTGAAATCTTTCTCCCGGTTTGCTAGCAAGCACAAAGTCAGTTTTGAGCTTGGAGATGTCTTCCACCGGGTGTCTTGCATACTTTTACGGTCACCCCGCAACGCATTTCCCCATTTGTTCTTTGTCTCTGCAACACCACCGGACCATCTTGAGATATCCAATATTGACCACGCGATCGGTTTCCATACCATAACTCCCCACCCGTCTCTACCACTAGACAAGGACAATCCGTCGTACCCGTCTGGTTGGCATATATCTTACACAGTCGGCGCTTCTGACACGGGTCCCCGAGAAACTCATTTTATACGCAGGATTTCCAGAGTCATCCAACAAATTCGCACTGGAATACGCGCTGGCTCCATCGATGATTTAAAAATATCCATCGCCCCTGGATACGGATGTGAAATTCAATCAGCCTTTGAGAGCATCAACCTCAAGTCTCTTCGACCTGGAGAGACGTGGAGCATCCCAGTACATATTTGCGTACCAAACGCTGCATTAAGGCGAAAATCACAAATTGCACAAACTGGTTCTTCCTCAGAACACCCTTTAATCTACGACATGATGAGTCGTCTCGATTGTCTGCTTCAAGATTTTACGTCAAATGAGATCATCCAGCCCCTTCTGAAAGCACACGTAGAGTACCGCCATTCATTGTTACCCGAGCCCAGCACAGTCCACGTGGACTCTCACCTTACTATTATCCGACGAATCGAGGTTGACATGGGTGCGTCTGAAGGCTCTGTGAGGGGGAGCATGGAAGGCAGTGCACAATACAGTGACTACAGTCTTAGTATGGGCTCTTTGTCGGATCTGAGCTAAACTTTCATGGGTTTTTTTTTCATCGACAACAACATCATTACCAGTTTCGTTTCCCGGAAGGTTGGCTGTATATCCTGCTCTAATGTAGCTCGTCTAGCTACAAGATAACTTTTTTTTCAATTGCATTCAAATGTTCAAAGCTCCGAATTTCATTAAATCAAAATGGTAAAAACAACACTTGCCACCTTTCTGTGAGAACCTGATTGCCATGGTCCAGTCACTCAGTCTGCACGATCTTCTCCATTCGCTCAAATCAATGACGCCACATTAAATACGAGAGTAGACATTTCCTGCCTGGCGCCATGTCTCCTTGATGAGATCCGCACACTTCTCCCCAATACCATAAGCAGGCATCTGAGTATGGCCACCATGCAAAGTCGGCATAACGCTAGTGTCAGCCACACGCAAACCAGTCACACCACGAACTTGCAATTTCTCATCCAAAACAGCCATGGGATTCCCCTCTTGTCCCATTGCACACGTACCCGAAGCATGGTAACCTTTTCAGCGCAAGTCAGCCACCCACAAGCAAAAACACGTATGATTAGATTCCAAGAATTCACTTACAGGTAGTCGCATGTTCTTTCACATACGGGATCCACTCTTCCCTCGTCTTATAGGTATGGTGCTTCAAATCAGATGGCCAAGACCCCTTGACAATATCTTTTGTCCCGGTACCATTCATAACCACCTCATTACCGAACCGACATGCCTCACTCAGAACCAGCATATCCAACGGATCGTCCAAGTAGTTACAATCAACAACAGGATTCTCCAATGGATCGGCCGACGTCAACGTCACTGATCCGCGAGACTTTGGAGCAAAAAGTTCGGCGATCATCGAGAAGGCATGCTGGTGATTGACCGGGAATTGGTCGTATTGCTTCGGACCGCCATAGCACTCTGTAGTGAAGAATTCGATATTCGGCTGGTTCGGGGCAAGTCCCATTGGATCGCGACCTGGAAGACGTGGCGCGTTTTTCCAGAGGGGTTCGTCCTTGAGTCGCTCGTCCATTCTGGCGAAGGCAAAGATCCCAAAAGGAAATGTGGACAAGAAGCCTGTTTTCTTTTCTTTCCAGAGTTGGTAAGTGTGTTCAAAGTTATCATCATGGTATACAGCATAGTCATTTGTTAGACCTGCTTTCTCGGTTTCGTAGAACATGAAGACGATCTAGTTTGGTCAGCCTGATCCAAGAATTGGGTTTCATTTCCCGCTTGAATACGTACCAGGTGGTCCATGAGGTTCTTCCCAACGCCGGGCGAGTTCACTACGACCGGGATACAATGCTTCTCAAGTTCCTCCTTGGGGCCGATACCCGAGCGCAGCAAGACTGCAGGGCTACAGTATGCGCCTCCAGAGATGATGATTTCTTTTCGGGCAAAAAATGTTTTGGAAGTGCCATCGTCCACCTTGGTGATTACGCCGGACGCCCGAGATTGTCCGTCTTGCTCCTTGAAAACGACTTTGTCTACAGTCGTACCGGTGATGATTGTTATGTTGTTACGGTGATTTTTCTTGGTCACAAAATCGGCACCTGTTGTTCGAATCCCTTCATACACCGTGCGAGGTACATGGCCACACCCCTGTGCAACATCGCCAGTACTGAACATGTCGTGATGTAGGGGCATTCCCTGTGACTCCAATGACTGAAGTATTAAATTGGAGATAGGAGCCAGGTCATGGGGTTCGGTATGCAGTGGACCAGAGTAGCCATGGCTTTCAGGATCGGCTTTGTGCCATGGTTTGGGGTGGAAAGTTTCGGCCTGTGTTCATGAGTTAGGAATCAGGATACTGTCGTTGTTCTATTCAAGGTCTGATTTTGGCCTTTTTTCCCCCAACACGTACCTTTCTCATGTACTTGAAAAATTCCTCTCCGCCCCATCCTTCTAATCCCCAATCATCGTAATCTTGCTTGGAACCACGGATGCAAAGCGTGCCATTGCAGCCACTACATCCGCCGAGGAATCGACCTCGGCTCAATTTAACCTGGCGATTATCCACACCTTTCATCGGCGGAGTGACAAAGTTCCAATCTGTTTCGGAGTCGAAATTGTTCGACCATCTTCTTGCAATCAGTAACAACAATATTGTAGAGGAAGTGGAGACCGTACTCACCCGCCCGCCATTTGTACATTCTCCAAATCTTTACTATGCTGACCAGCCTCAATGAGAAGAATCGTGATCTCTGGGTTCTCTGCAAGGCGAGCTGCGATAACACACCCGGAAGTTCCGCCACTGTATCATGTCAACATTTTAACGGCCATTAGTCTCTTGTCGGTAGGTGATCTACTTACCCGCAGACAATATAGTCATAGCTAGTATCGTTCGGAGCCGTCATCATGAACGAATTGTAGGGAAAACAGCAAAACAGCCAGGGGAAAAAAAAAAAAGAACCAAAAAAAATTGATGCAAATCAATTAAACTAAAATAATTGGTGATCTCTTAAAAGATATGTAGGAATTTACCGATCCACTAAGCCCCTCTCGAGGGTGCTCCTATCGTAGCACCAGAGGGCGGTGGTTATTCCGCCCATCTGGATATAGTAAGAATGAACCGAGGACAAGTAGCTTGAGATTGTCAATGGTAGCTTTTGATTGGATTTGTTCAAATGCAGACAGTTGAGACACTGCGGAATGACCGGTGGCTAACCAAGTACTAGCGCTGGTGCAACTCTATTCCCTTTTCTCGCCAATCAAATCATCTTCAACTTTAATCAATCGTGGAAAGTGGAAAGATCCGCTGTGCATCTCGATTTCGAGCTGGTTTTCTGGGGTCTGGGGAAACTGATTATTGAAGTCCTTTGCTTTTCCCCTCCTTAGTCACTGATGGAATGTTGGATTTTCATTTTCTTCCGGTGTAGCACACGGGGCCGCCACCGGGGAATCTTTCCAATAAATCCCACTTTTGATTCAAGCTAGTCGCTAGGTGCATCACCATGCATATTATTGGGATGACTGAGACGCCGAAAAATTCGCCAAGGCCGGCGCTGCGTCTTGATTTTGCAATTGCTTACGGTCCCACACTGGATCGCCATCGTCGTCGAATTCCGCCCACTGGAAAAATGTGCAACTTTGTTTCCCAGGGGTGGTTCCGGCGTAGCACATCCACATGTATTTCCCCCGATTTTCTTGCTTGCGCTGTGAACATCGCAGGATTGCATGTGTTCCACAGCGACATCGCGGTGTAAATCGAGGGTGGAGGGTATCACGATACCAGCGATAAGTAATATTGATGCGACGGTTACCTGCAATCGGATGCGGGGAGATTGTTTGAGCAGGCGCTATCGCATGCTTCCATTCTTCCTGCATCTCAGCGTGCATTATGAGAAGGGAATTGTGCGGGAGATGAATAGAAATTTGTCCCTGAGCATCTGCACGGGAAGTGGATGTCTTGGAGGATTTGGCTTTTTGATCTTCATGCGTCTCCGTAGATCCATCTTCCCCATCTTCACCCTGCGCGACGATCCGACGAACACGGAATTCTCGTTCCACGCCCAAACTCAAGCTACCTATTACCGGGTGTGGTCCGAGGTAGGTTAGCTCATCCGCATGATATCCCACACTCTCAGTAGGTCCATCGTAGCAGTTCACAAAGGCTGCGTTTGGTCGCCATTGCTTCGATGACTGATATTTCAATTTCTTCCCGTCCGGGTAGACATTATGGATACGTTTTTGGATTTCTTCATTCACGATCTGCTGCACTTTTCGCGATACTGAGCGCAACTCTGGCGTCACTTGTCGCACGTTTGAGCGATAAGTACCACCGTACGTGTATTCTGAGGTTTGCTGTTTGTATTCCTCCGGGGTGGACACATATATGCATGCTGTGTGGGGACTTTGCACTGTGCGGCTGAACATCTGAAATTCGTATCTAGAGAAGTGCTTTGACTCCTCTAGGAGCTCTGACAGAAGAGCCTTTGCTTCATTCGGAGGAAGGAAATTGTGGATGATCGTACAGGGAGTATTGGAAGCGACGTCCTCGGGCGCGTATAGATGCAAAGTCTTTCCTTTCTGAGTGGCCAAAGGCTTCACTTCTCTAATCGGTGCCAGAGATCCATCTTTGGATCTTGTTAGGACGTGGGACGACAAGGAAGTTTGAATCCCGAGAGTTGAGCCCGGAGCGGCTCGTTTCTTCAAAATCACATTTTCTGTTGATTTACTAGATGACAGCGAGGATAAAGCAGCTTCGACAGAGCCATCGCATGAGACTAGGATGTCAAGTAGATCGCTTTGTTTGAACTCTGGGTGAAGCGAGATCAGGATGGCCAGCTTGATATCGGTTGATTCTTCGCTGTCGGGGTTGATTTTCTCAGGAACATGGTGCTCCGGATTCCTCTGCGCTGGCTCCGATCGCTTTGGCTTTTTTCTGGAAAGAAAAGCATCCATGAGAATTAATCTCCCAATCCCATGTCTCGTTTTTCAGTTTCTCAATAACAAATTGACTGGAAATAAATGAAGGCAGAAAGATGATTGATAAGCTGTTGATTAGACGCTTATCAGCACATGACTCACTTCAAACTGACCAATAGGATTACAGTATAGACACATGAATAGTATAACGATGTTCAGTAGATAAACGAAGCAGCAAAATTGGGTAGTAGAATATAGAAAATGTTTTTATTTTATTTTTCATTCACGCATATATTCTTTTAGATGATTGGAACGATATCTCAAGCTTCTAGGAAGGCTTTTGATTGCTCCATTTTCCTTGTCCAAGATATACCCGACCCTCCCGGTAATATTCCACCAAATGCTTCATCTTTCTTATTCCATCAAATACCTCAACAAGAGCAGGTAGTGCCACCATAGCCCAGCCCTGGTATTTCCCATCGGGCGCCCCACCGCCACCATCTTTACTTGAATGTGCAAGGTATGGCTGTTCCCCACATCTCGAATCTGGGAAATTCTCCTCAATCACCTTGACCCAGCACCTGTCCAGATCAAGACTCTTCTTCGCCATCACGCATAGATCAAGCGACGCCTGGAGATTTGACAGAACTTCGTCATCAACCATCAGACAGGCTCGCAATCGGCTCGGTAGATCTGTTGCCGGAATAACCAAGGACACTTTATAGTCATGAAATGCCCGACGAACCCCTTCTTCATCAAGATCATTGTATAAATCGCGTGTGCTGAATATTTTAGAGGAATAGCTTTTTGTCAATTCTTCATGGTCTTTCTCAGAGCCAATGAGTGTCTGACCTAACGATTTGCTCACGGCATCGTTCAAACAGCGCAAGAAAACCGGTAGAAGGTGTTTGTTTTCACGCTTATAGCAGGTTCGATAGACGAGTGGCCCCCAGCTTAAAAGAATAAAGTCGCGTAAGGGACCAGGTGGAAGAGATCGGAGACCTGGGGATGTACCGAGTCGGTAGACTTCCTCTTGGAGAAAATTATCGGCTGGGGAAGTATATAATTCTGCGCCTGACATGACGGGATTCTGATTAAATCTGCGTAGCCTCGAAACAGAATTCAGTCAATGTCTTATCTATTCATTTTGGCATGAAATCGAAGCGGTTGGGGTTTGCAAGAATGGTGGTTTTGGATACAGCCAGTGGAGTTGCAGAACCAAGATGCACATGTGGACTGTGGGGGCGTCATTAACATAAATTAGTAAGTTATTTCCTATAGAACTTCTCACTAGAAACTAAAACATTTGAGAATGTGGGGACCTCGGAAAGATCATGCTTTCAGGGCTTTTTTTCCATTTACTCTTCAAGAGGTGGTCTTTGGTCCAGGAAGTGGTTGACGTCATCCATGGATGTCAATGGATGTGGTAGCTGTAGTAGATATTCACTAAGAGTTCTTCTGGTGACTAGGGATAATGATTCTCTACCCACTAATCTCTCCAGATGGTGTTTCAAATCAACTACAATCAATGGAAAGTCCATTATGGCACATAGAATATCACTCTTACTTTGATGGTTTTTCAGGTAGAAATTTTCTATATCGCAATGGCAGCTGGAAAAGTCTTTCAAAGATATGCTACAATATCGGTTATTCTTCGAGAAACGACAGAGTTAAGACTGGATCTTACTAGTAAGGTTTACGTATAGCACCTACTAGTAGGTACTTGTATCAACTCTAATACTCCTTGCGAGCAACTTCCTCGCACAAGGTACATAGAACATCTTTGAACCACTCGAAATCACTCATTTCCAAATAGACCTGACCACAAATACGAACCCACAACCATGTTCCGTATGGAAAGATAGGAACAAAGGTCTTGTAGTCAGCCATCAACCTTTTCTGCAAGTGCATCGAAACACGGTTCCAATCCTTCGCCAATATTGTGCCCCATGCACCTGGCAAATTTGTCTCATCATCTCCCTGTACATGACCAATAGGCAAGCGCAAAGTGACCATACAACAATCACGCATTTTACTCTTTTCGCCGGGCTTCAGGTTCCTCTCTTGGAGGACTTCCGTGCCGAGAGATTCCGCGAGCATATCTGCCGCGTTGTTGACAAGTTCACGACAATATGTCATGATGGCTTCTTCGCCGCCGCAGACTTCTCGGCGAAATTTCAATGCGGTCGGAATGCAGGTGTTTTGGGTGTCATCACTTGTTCCTGAGCCATGTGAAAATAATTCTTCAAACAGTGTGTTCGGGGAAAGAGAGCTTTTGCGAAGCGAAAAGGCTTCCGCGGGTGTTGATACCGGAATAAAGCCCCAGGATGTGGGCAGGAGTGTGCGGATATAAGGCTGATTGCGCTTGGGGCAGTACATCAGAGAGCAGGGGCGAGGGGCGTAGAGCCATCTGGTGAAGTGTTAGATGTAGGAATGGGAACATTTTCATACGCCAAGGAGGAATACTTACTTGTTGCAGTTTGTTATGAAGAAATCGGGCTGAAGCTGCTGCATGTCAAGAGGAATCATCCCAATTCCATGAGCTCCATCGACTATACTAAGAATACCCTCCTCACGGCAGATAGCAGTAAGTCGCTCGAATGGAAAGCGGAAAGTAGGTCTGCTGATGATTGTTCCGTAGAGAGCGGCGCGTACATTGAGACCGTCAGCTCGGGCCTGTTGAATAGTCTCGCGGAATCGGCGTTCCAATTCATCTTCGTCAATAGGAAATTCGAAAGAAACTTTGCGCGCCTGTAAAGGAGTGTGTTCCTCCAGGGAGGTGACACAGTTCTCCAGGGCCCCATAAAGACCATCGAACTGGATCAGAGAGTCATTTTCCTTGAAATGGAGGTTATAGAGCGCGATGCATATTCCAGTTGTCGTGTTTTTCACAAAGACACATTCATCTGATGGTGCATTAATGATCTTCGCAGCCTCTGCCTTTGATCTATACACGAGTTCGGTATTTGTGAACCGAAAGTAAGGGTCCGGTCGTTGCTCGCAGCGATCCAGTAACTCAATTCGTTTCTCTTGAACTACTCTAGGAATTGCCCCAAGAGAACCTAATAGTCACGTTTAAATCTCAGCAAATGTTGTATTTGACCAAAAGCCCGACTGACCATTGTTAATTGGATGGTAATCCGAGGAGAACGTCCAATGCTCCCTCATGGGCTTTCCAAAGGGCGTGGGTGTATTTTCAATGGTCATGATTATGGATAGAAGTTAGAACAGCTTATATCGACTTTGATTTTAGTCGGAGACGTCCTGCGCTTCACAAAAAATGTAGTCGGATATACAAAGAAAAACTTAATCCACAGATGGATCTACATTTATAAAAGAGCTGAGAAGTTGACAGATATGAGACCTGACAATCCAGAGTTGGAATATATGGGTCGCCACACTGGGGCCCCCATTTGGGGCCCCCCAAGCCCTGATTTCCTATAAGAGCTAGCCCCCAAGGCTGAACTAGGTATTAGCCGGGTATGAATTATTCAAATGCTGTGATGGCAAGAGAGTAACATAGTATGCACATGTGATCGATACCTACTAGGGAACTGGAGTTCCTCGGGTTCACTGATCAACCTTGGAAGGAGTTTCCCTCATTCAGTATTTTTCGAGTGATCTCTTCACAGTTCATGTCAGCGACGCTGCTTTTATTATTTCTAGAAGCCAATCTCAAAAATACGAGTCTATATTTAAATTAGCTGCAGATTCCTCGTGCCAAAGATAGATGCTTTCACCCGAAATTCTTGGAACATGCTGGGGCGTGCAGCCCTTAACGTTGGTCTCATCCATCCATGCGGTAGGTGTTCTTCAGGTGCCCCTTTCCCATTTCTTGACAAATAATCCTCATCGCCAACCTTGGAAGCCGTCTAGCTCAGTAGAGTGTTGATTAGTAGATTTGTGATGGGTCAAGAGTCAAGAGTCAAAGCTCAACTTTGAAGAAAGTCATTCTAGATGTAATTCACTACACCGCCTAGATTGTACCTGATAAGCACGATAACGCCAACCTCGGTCCAGCGCATTGGATTCTCCCCGCAATTTGTTCCGTCATTTGATTCCTTTCTCAATAACGCGTCCTAACATTGGATAGTTATCACCTGGTTCTTTCTTATTCCCAAGACAAGCAGAATTGCTGTCATATTTACCATCTGTTCTTGATTTATTGCCTTTTATCTGGTCTTTCTCTTTCCGAGTGATCGGGCTCGCCCGGTCGGCCCCTCATTATGCTTCAGTTTCGCACACAGGGCTTCAACGGGACAGCCGTGAAGTACTCACCATTTTTCGACAGCCGTTTGGCAGTTGCCAGCTCTGCAAATTATGGCCTGGTTGGGAATGGCCGGCTCTGGATTCTTGAATTAACGGCTGATGGGATTAAGCCCATGAAATGGTGAGGAATACATACTCCGGCAGACGTCTGCTCTCAACCCTCGATTTGTTGGCAATAGAAACTAATAATTTGACACTTGTTTACAACCAGGTTTCCCACGCAAGATGCCCTTTATGATCTGGCATGGTCGGAAATCCATGAGAATCAAGTCATCGCAGCGTCCGGTGATGGTAGCATCAAGCTGTTTGACTGTACAACAAACGAGCACTTCCCTATCCAGCAATGGAAAGAACACAATCGCGAGGTATTCAGTGTAAACTGGGGAGCTATTGATAAAGACAAATTTTGTTCCAGCAGTTGGGATGGGACCGTCCGCATTTGGTCACCACATCGTGAACACTCCCTCGTCACTTTGCCCATTCACTCTTGCACCTACTCGGCTACCTGGTCGCCACACAATGCGGACATCCTCTCCTGCGTCTCGAGCGACGGGTTTGTTCGTCTATATGATTTCCGCACTCCAGCGTCTACCGCAAATCACCAAGTCATGAAATTTGCCAATATCGACAATTCCGCAAGTCGAGGTGGAATGCCACCTAGCTCTACCATGCCCGGCGAAATCCTCACCCATGACTGGAACAAATATCGTCCTACAGTCCTTGCAGCAGCTGGTGTTGACTCTTCGATCCGCGTATTCGACATTCGAACTGGCGGGCAAGGCGCTACGACAACCATGGTAGGCCACAACTATGCAGTCAAAAAAGTGGCTTGGTCACCGCACCTTTCCAGTGTGCTACTGAGTGCGAGCTATGATATGACCTGCCGTGTATGGAGTGATGGATCGGATGTGCCAACTACGCATGTGGGCCCGACCATGGGGAGAGAACTGGGCCGGATGGCCAGGCATACCGAGTTTGCAACAGGTATCGACTGGTGTCTGTTCGGAAACGAGGGCTGGTGTGCAAGCGTTGGCTGGGATGAGAATTTGTTTGTGTGGGATGTGCGAGGCTCAATGACCTGAATGACTTCTCCCTGTTTCTGCCGAACAAGGCAGTACTATATTATCTTTATCATGTACCTGATAGCCCACGGGCTTATCGCATTGCTATTCAAAGGCCAGTCGAGGTTTTATCGCCTTTTCTGGCATACATATATAAATTTTTCAAAATACATGTTGAAACTACTAATCCTTTTTTCAGACATCTGAGGCCCAGTTCCACTATTCCAAGTGACCAGTCCTTGAATCTTGAAAGGTTGCCCAAGATGATGAACTTTTTAGTAGCACAGCCTCCGATTACTAGCCACTCTCAAGTGCTCTGTTCTCGACTGGATACGTTGGACAAATTTTCTCATATCCATAGCACAGGGTTGGCAGGCGGGGGTGAAAAGCACAAGAGACAACTGGACATTTGTTTATACCATTTGGGGTTTTCCAGCTATTTGATCTAGACAAAGGATCACTACTAGTTACTACTGACTTGGTGGGTCCATGGAGATTATGTACTTGTACTTGGGTGTGTGGCGATGAGCCGAAAGTTCGGCTACAGTACACCCTCCAGTGTACATATGTGATTTGGAGCCACGATTTCGTCATCAACTTCCACTCAGAAAGTCCCATAACCCATAACCCATACGGTAATCTAAGATTTTCGCGTTTATCTTGATTCTTTAGACGCCTTAGCTTCCTTCAAACCCACAAGATCACCTCCTGTTCTGTAACTGATCCATAACATGCACATGTGTATGAAATTACCTTGCATGTGTCTTTGGCGTAACGTGGCAGGCACACTAGCACTTGAGCACTTGTAACCCCGCATTGAAAGATGAGTTACATGGAAATCTTCTTTTCAAGATCCAAGCCCAATCAAATAAAAGATAATGTGTTCAACCTTTCTTTTGCCCCGCATATTTTGGTTATCGGCCCATCGGCAACTATGAGACAGGTTGGAAGTTGGGGAAATGCGTAAATTGCACAACCAATGGCGTGATCTATAATCCCGAAGAATCGGGACTGCATGTGTATCACTATGTACTACTTATCAATCAGCAGATTATTATAAAAGCCCTTGTGCTCAGCTTGATTGCCGTTTTTTTTTTTCAATTGAAGTAGTTCACACTACCTTGCAAGTGCACCATGGCTCCTCTTATTGATGAATCGCTTCCGATACACCCTGCACCCAACAAGACGCAGCAATATCCAGCACCTCTCAAGCCCAGTGGCGCATTGGATCAACATGAATTCGAGGAAACGACTCCGGTGATTGGCCGTGAATTCCCTAACGTCAACATTGTCGATGACATCTTGAATGCCCCCAATGCAGACGAGCTTGTGCGAGACCTTGCTATCACAAGTATGTGCTCACACAAAACCTCATCTAAAAATATATACTAATCTTCACTACCAGTCTCACAACGCGGTGTTGTCTTCTTCCGCGCCCAAAACAATCTCACCGATACCCTCCAGAAGCAATTGGTACACAAACTAGGCCAAGCAGCCGGAAAACCTGCCGAATCAACCCTCCATATTCATCCTGTACTAAACAACACCAATGAATTTGGTGTTGACGATGCTCAAGTCAGCACTATTAGCTCTTTATCCCGCAAGAAGATGCATCGCCACAACCAACAGCGCAACAGACGGCGCTACGACTCGGCACAGTGGCACTCAGACATCCAATTTGAGCCCGCACCAGCAGACTACACCTCTTTACGACTAACCCAGCTTCCCAAGACGGGTGGTGATACCCTCTGGGCGTCTGGCTACGAGATGTACGACCGATTCTCGAAGCCATACCAGAAGTTCTTTGAGACTCTCACCGCAACTTATATTGGCGACGGCTTTATTAAAGCTGCCGATGCCGATCCTGAGAATATCCGTGTCTATACCGAGGCTCGCGGTAACCCGCTTAATGTCGGGAGGGATCTATCCACTGTTCATCCTATTGTGCGGACGAACCCCGTTACTGGCTGGAAGAGCATCTATGCCGTTGGACCTTTTCCCAAGTATATCAATGAACTGAATCCAGAAGAATCGGATGAGTTGCTGAAGAAGTTCTATAACACCATTCTTGAGAACCATGACCTTACAGTGCGGTTTAAGTGGAGACATGAGAACGATATTGGTAAGTCAGATCTTTGTTTGTGGACCCTCCAACGTTTTGGGGTGGTGTTGTTAATATTTGTATTACAGCTATCTGGGATAACCGCTCCGCTTTCCACACTGCTACTTTTGACTACGAAGGACTTGGAGAGCGATTTGGTCACCGTGCCGTTGGTATTGGTGAGAAGCCTTACCTTGATCCCAACAGCAAGTCAAGAACCGAGGCTCTGGCTACCGAGGGTGTTTAAATTACCAGATAGTATGTAGGTAGATGACCTAGCCGTTATTCTACAGAAGTATAGTAGGCACAATCAATTCCTAAATCATTACTTTCGCGATTATGCATCAAGGTCATTTTATTTCGTAATTTTATGTCCACGTGTATCACGCTAAGGATGCCTAAAACATACATCAAGCTCTTCCTCTCACGTTTTGTCTGTCATGCATGACTGTGTCTGCTCAAACAGTGCCTTGGATTCGGATTGCTGCTGGTGCAACTGCTTCTTTTTACCCACCAGTCATGTGCCTCGACATCGTACACGTCGGATTGGCAGCGTGACCAAGTACATAACGCAGTCGCGCAATCTTGAATCGCCGCAGCGAACTTGGTATATCGGATAAGAACTTCGTTTTGGATGAATAATATATTCGGCCACTTTATTTGGCAAGTCTGCGCTCGGTCTTGGTCCGCTCCTGTTCTCTGACCGCAGCGATCTCCTCCTTGGAGGCATTGATGGCAACGTGAACTTGGTTGAAGGGGTTGTCCTCGTGCTTCTCGAATTCCTTGCGGCAGAGATCCATACGCTGCTGTCGTCGCAAACCAGGGTTTTCCTCCTCAATCTCGGGGAGTCTGCGGGCCTCGAATGCAGCGTATGCGGCCTTGAATCGTCGCTCGGGGTGGCGCTCAACCTTCGTAGTGTCCTTGCTCGTCAGGGATAGAGCATCCAGCGCGTTATCGATACCAGAGGCACTGATGGAGGAGCCCTTCTTAGAGGGATCGTCGTCAAGCTGTGACAGATCCAAACCACGGTTCTTCTTTTGTGCGGTCTTAGCTCCGGCACCCTTGGGCTTGGATGGTGCAGCGGCTTCTTCTTCAGCCATCTGAGCATCACGCTCGGCCTTCTTGCGAGCAGCCTCAGCTTTCTTGGCCTCAGCGTCATCCCTAATGATGAAACAATTTATTAGCCACATATCTCACCAATGACATAGTCACATAGCCCAAAACCCAACATACTTCTTAGCATTGCTCTTTGATCCCTTGGACCATTGCTTCTCTTCTTCGGCGGATTTCTTCTGGTCCTCGGCGGCCTTCTTCTGGGATGCGGCGTCGGCTTTCTATTCCGTTATTCTATTGTTAGCATGTCCTGGCACGTCGGTGGCAGTGATGGCGGGGGCGGGGTCAATGTCAAGACGTACGCGAGCGTTGCCAGCAGCCTTTTTGGAGTTCTCTCCAACTGCTTTCTTGCCACCCATTCTGTTCAAGATTTTATTCCGTGTGAGCGACTTTGTGTATCGATCAAAGGAAATAAAAGAAGGGCGAGTACGAAGAAGAAGAGAAAAAAAAGTGGATGTCTAATCGGTGATCTGATCCGCCTGGTGATTATGCCGATGCCGAAGCAGGCGGTGTCGTCATGACTAATCTATACTTCAGCGTAACTAACTAATAACTAACTATCAATTGATTCTGATTTGACATTTAGAACTTAAGTGCATGCCGGAATATAATAGTACTCCTCTATTTATGGTTTATGAGCTTACTAGCAGTCTACTCATGATATTTCTCAGGCTATAAAGCCCACGCTAAGCCATATTCGTTAATGGTCATACATACTAGTAGTAACTAACGTTAGTCTCTGGGTGCCTGATTATGCAGGTGTCATTTCCCCAATCCGTCGTTTGTCATCCATCATTCAGCTCCATCATCTTGAGATCTATCACCTCCACTTTCCATTTGTCAACATTCCCTCTGGTTCTACAAGTACCAGTAATGACCCTTTTATGATTTAGGGGACTGGAAATTTAGACCTTTTGCCTTTCTATTTCTGCCTTGCGCATTGTCTTTCTATCCAGCTGCACTAGCCCCAGTGGGACCCTCCCTCCTTTCCAGACTATGATTGAGCTTCGACTTTCACCACCACAATGACGTTATTTTCCCACTTTTTGCGGCTCCTGTCGCTACTACTGCTCATCTGTGCAGTGAGCGCTGAGCATACTTCTAACTGGGCGGTACTGGTTTCCACCTCTCGATTCTGGTTCAACTACCGCCATCTCGCAAATGTCCTATCCCTCTACCGAACCGTCAAACGCCTCGGCATTCCCGACTCCCAAATCATTCTCATGCTTCCTGATGATATGGCCTGTAATCCCCGCAATGCATTTCCAGGGACTGTATACAGCAATGCAGACCGCGCAGTCGATCTGTACGGTGACAATATCGAGGTGGACTACAGGGGCTACGAGGTGACGGTGGAGAACTTTATTCGCCTCTTGACCGACCGCCTGGACGAAGATGTCCCGCGCAGCAAGAGACTCGGATCCGACGCGGGTAGCAATGTTCTTGTTTACATGACCGGCCATGGAGGAGACCAGTTCTTGAAGTTCCAGGATGCGGAGGAGATCGGCGCGTGGGACCTGGCCGATGCGTTTGGCCAGATGTGGGAGAAGAAGCGCTACCATGAACTTTTGTTCATGATTGATACTTGTCAGGCCAATACGATGTACACCCATTTCTACTCGCCCAACATCGTCGCAACGGGCTCCAGTGAACTCGACCAGTCTTCTTACTCTCACCATGCGGATAACGACGTCGGGGTCGCGGTCATCGATCGCTGGACCTATTATGTGCTCGAGTTCCTTGAGACCCAAGTAACAAGCGCCAATTCAAAGTTAAACCTAGGGGATCTTTTTGACTCCTATGACGAATCGAAGATCCATTCACAGCCCGGCGTGCGATGGGACTTATTCCCCGGTGGCGAACAAGATGGCCGCCTTCGGACCGTGGTTGATTTCTTCGGCAATGTCCAGAACGTTGAGGTTGAGAATGCGAACTCAACAGATCCCGGTTCCCTCAAGGAAGATCTGGCTGAAATTGCGCGACTGGTGGAAAAGTGGCAGAAGCGCGATGAGGAGTACTCCGCCATTCTTAACAATATGACCGAGCAACAAACCAGTTCGCCTTCTATCCATCTTCCTCGCAAGAAGACTGTTGGGCCAACCCGGATGACTGACGATAGCAGCTGGGGAAAGCGCTTAGTCGGTCTATCTGTGGTGGGAGCGTGCACAGCGATCTGGGTCGCCGGTTCATATCTTGGGCGCTCGGTTGCTTGAGCAAGTTAAACCGCAGCGATTACTAGTTAGCCCGATCCTCTTACTCTCAAATTTTAGCAAGGGTTTATTATGTATATAGCATTTGATTGGAGCTTGGCGTTCAGTGTTATACAAGGCGAGATGCCTTATTCTTGGTTTACAATTACACGACTTTCCTGCCTTTTTTTTTGGCTTACTGAACAAGTACTATTCCATACAATCTTTAATTGAAACCAGCAGGAACTTCCGTCGAGGCTCAACACTTCCCAATTCATGCCCGCGCCATTCCATTATCCGCAACCTTAACTTTAAACTAAAGCTCGCTTTGGAAGAGATCTCCAGTACTTGAGGGCTCTTGGAAATTTTGTAAAAACCAAACTTTGAAAAGAATTGTCAACCTCCAGGGCAGAATATTTACAAAGGTTGAATATTTACCTAGGAACATGCCTAAGTATCTACTAGTGGTGACTCATTTAGTAGTAGGTACTAGGTAGCGACCAACAATTAAACCTTCCAAGAATTATTGATTGCTGCATTTGCCTCAGCAAGGACTCGCTGGTCTAAATAAACTCATAGTTATTGTTACTTGTTTGAAGAGTGCAGTTGACGAACCAATGAGAAATGCGGATCAAGCACCAATGAGGTGGCTTAGAATAGGGCCTCGATTATTGAATGAGTGTCAAGTGGGGGCGCATCACGCGCATATGGGTGGCAGTGTGTCAATGCAGGTGTGAAACTATGACGTGAAAGAACCATTGGTACTTCATTCGATAGAAAATTCAGAGTCGCGATCGGAGAAAGTATTATTCAAGAAACGATTCGACAGAAAATAAGATCATTTGGGCAGTATAGTGGTGTCTTCTATAGATTTGAACCTGGGAAGTAAAGAAAACCACTTAAGCGCGCCGCGCTGCCAGTATGAACATTATATACTGTATATGCAGTAGAATGTTTACTAGTGAATACTATAATTTTCATTCAAGGAGTCTCTTACATGCGGCCAATGTAGGGAATAGAACAGGGAATAATGGGGTAATACTTTGGTATAAAGCAGGGGGAAGTTAATTAAACGAAATAATTCGACTTTGTCTCGGCGACCGATGGAATCCTGTGTGGCACGTGCCTCGACGCGTCGCGCTTTCCTTCCAGCGCAACTACAGGATTCAACACCGCAATCAACCTCACGATAATTCCTCCCAACATCACTGTGTGCTTTTTGCTTTGCTCTCGTCTACGCTGCTTATTATTCTTAATTCTTCATGCTCCCATTCATCTCCCACCCTCCTCCTTAGTTGGTCATGTATCTACCGCGCCAACTCATCTCCCAGCTATACCTCCAACTCCTCCGATCTCACACCCCGCAATCGCCGTCAGTCCTGATTCTTGTGGCACTCGAACCCGATGCCCTATGTGCCTGTCGCATTTTTTCTGCGCTATTAAAACGCGACTTTATTCCTCATACAATCCAACCCATCGGCGGCTATGGTGACCTTGCGCGCGCAGGGCAGGACCTCATCCAGCCGATGCAGACTACCAATGGTGGCAGCGGAGGTGTGGTGGTGTGTCTAGGTGTGGGAGGGCTTGTCGATCTGGCGGAAATCCTAGCCTTGAACAACCCGGAGGATGAGGCGGATGATATGGGAGGCGTCGACATCTGGGTCTTCGACGCGCGCCGACCATGGAATCTGGGCAATGTATTTGGCGGCCAGGCCGGAATGAGCTCAAGTACAGCGGATATTGACCTAATTGCACGAAGGCGCGGGCGCGGAGTCGATAAAGGGTGTATCACCCCTGCTTACGCGTCGAAAGATGGTGGGATTGTCGTGTTTGATGATGGCGATATTGAAGGAGATCTCAGCAATGAACGAGAGGCATACTACGCACTCCTTGACATGCCCGAAGTTGACGACGACGACGACGAAAGCGACGATGGATCAGCTGGTGAGGCCGATGATGACGAAACGCAACCTGGTTCCAAAAAGCGCAAGTCGTGGTCCGGCCGCGAGGATGAGGAAGAATCAGATGATGAGGATGGCCCTCCTCGGCAACGGAAACGCAGCAATTCGGTACGTCATGTCTTATTTTCACTTTGACGTTGGGGGCCAGAAACTTATCCATATTCTAGGGGTCTTCATTCATCACATCACCTACTCGAGGAAGGAGGAATGGGATCAACTCATCTAATTCATCACGATCTGTCACCCCTACAAGTGACTCCCCATCTCCAGATGAGCAGAAGCAGCCATCCGCACGATCATTAAAGCGACGCTTACTTCGGCTGAAGAAGAAGCACGAGGCAGTGCTGCAAAATTATTACGCGTCGGGTACTTCATATTCCGAGCCAATCTCCTCGTTGCTATACTCTCTAGCATCGGAGCTTGGTCGTGAAGACAATGATCTTCTCTGGCTTGCGATTATCGGTGTCTCTAGCTTAGAGCTCAGTGGCCGAACCATGACCGGCGTTGGAATTTCAAATACCTCAGACTCGGGAGGGTCTGCAGGCTGGGGCGGGCAACGTGGAGAACATATTCGTCAGATCCTGCGAGACGAAGTCCACCGTCTCAATCCCCCGGACCCCCTTGAGCGGGATATCAGGGGCGAAATCAATGGGGTCATTCCCACGACGGCCAGGTCGCCGACTGATACATCAATCCGTCTTTCCCCCGAGCCGCGTTTTCTGCTTGTTCGTCATTGGTCACTCTATGAGAGTATGCTTCACAGTCCTTACTTGGCCCCAAGGCTTCATGTCTGGACTGAGAATGGTCGCAAGCGATTGCATAAGCTATTTGCCAAGATGGGCATCAGTCTTACGCAGTGTCACCAATACTACACCCACATGGACATGGAACTGAAGCGAGTGCTTCGGGGGCGATTGCTCAAGTATGCACCTATGTATGGTTTGGACGGCCTGGTTCCCTCAGACCCCGCTAGCAACTCTGGCTCCCGTGAAGGCTGGGGCTTTGTTCGATGCTGGGGCTGGAAGGCCTGTCTTTCTGCCACAGATGTCGGTGTTATCCTAGGAGCTATGCTCGAAGTAGGTCCACACGAGACTTCCCCCTCCTGGGATGCACAGCGTCTTCCGCGAGCACAAGAGTTGACGGATGGTGCCGAGAATGCGGATACTCTCGGAGAGTTGGATTCAGCTAGCATTCTACCTCGTTTTTGGAGTGCATATGATGCAATCTCAATCACATCCGATTCCCCTACCCGTCTAATGGAGGCACTGCCCTTGGCTCAGCATCTTCACCGTGCGATCCTTCGCACCGGCACTTCACTACTCTCCAAACACCAAATTCGACATCTTCGAGCATTTCGTATTGCGGTCGTCAAGGATGGCCCCGATGTACAGCTTTTTACCAATCCGGGAGCTTTGACAAAATTGGCCCTCTGGGTCGCGGAAGCCATTCGGGTGCAAGAACGCGAAAAGGGTGACTCTGTGAAAATCGGACGTAAGCGAGCTGCGGGTACTCCTCTGGTGCTTGCTGGTCTTGATGAAGCCCGCGATCTCTATGTCGTGGTAGGCACCGGTGGTGGTGGTGGCGTGATCGACTTTGCTGCTATTTCAAAACGTCAAGAAGAGCGACGCAAAAAGAAGGAGGCCAAAGACAAGAAAGACAAGGAACGAGCTGAAAATCGAGCCAGGCGCGCGGCAGAGCGTGCACAGCGAGAAGACGAGGACGCTGAAGAATCAGAAGAGGAATCGTCCTCTGAATCCGAATCCGAATCTGAAGATGAGGAAGACCCACGTGGCAAAAAACACTTTCTTCGCAATCGATTCGGTATCGCATTCCAGGAAGTGGTCCAGGAGACCAGTGCGCGTGTCCGCATTGACAGCTTCGAGCACTGTGTGGTTGAGGTAGCCAAGGACGACCTGAGCGGTTTCTTGGAGGCTTTGAGCTTCCGAAGTGTGGTGGGCTAAAGAATTTTGTCCGAAAAACACACACATTCATTACATTCACGCTGTCTACGACCTACCATCTTGCACAATTTACGCACTTTTTGAGTTATTGGGGGGCTAAGGACTCGGGTTTGAGGCTGAGCTGGATTGAAGGGGACTACATGATCAATGAGCTGTTGCATTCACGTCCATTATCTTGCATTTCTGAGGTCTTCTGCGGACTTGGCGTTAGGAGGTGCTTTTGATTTTAATTACCGTCATATAGTATTTGGTAGCCTTCGATCTTCAAATGTTCAGCAATGGAATCTACTTTTCAAAGCAATCGGCCTTCTCTCCGACTTGATATCCCCGCATCCCCGCACCGAAACACCCCATTGCGCCACGATTCCCGGAACCCCAACCTACAATATTCTTTATAGACCACCCTTATTTCTCAATTGATCCCAAAATTTAATGATTACCCCATCTCCTTCCTCTATATATCCGACGTCATGTCGCAGCCGCAACAGTATCCCCTTCTATCCCGCGAAAGTACTCTCGCCCAGCTCCCCGTCGAGTACCCTACCGACACCCAAGACCAAATCTCTCAAATCCTCTCAACCTCCACAATCAATCGCCTCGTGGTGCTAGATGACGACCCAACCGGCACACAAACCTGTCACGACATCAACGTCCTTGCCGTTTGGGACATCCCAACACTAACAGCAGAATTCCAAACCAACTCCCCTGGCTTCTTCATCCTAACCAACTCTCGCGCCCTCCCACCCAACGACGCCAAAACCCTCATCCAAACCATTTGTACGAACGTCTCTGCAGCAGCTCAATCAACGGGCAACAAAGTCGACATCGTCCTCCGTGGTGATAGCACCCTGCGCGGCCATTTCCCACTAGAAACGGACGTCGCACAGTCCGTCTTCGGGCCAGCAGATGCCCTGGTCCTAGCTCCATTCTTCTTTCAAGGCGGCCGATACACCATTGATGACGTCCATTATGTTGCAGAAGGCAGTCAGCTCGTGCCGGCGGGATCGACGCAGTTTGCGAAAGATGCTACATTCGGATACAAGAGTTCCAATCTACGTGACTATGTGCAGGAAAAAGCGCCCGCGCGTTTTTCAGTCGATCAATTGCACTCTGTGACCATCGACGAGATCCGTCGTGGAGGTCCCGAGGCCGTCTGTGAGAAATTGCTCGCATCACCTGTCGGCGGCGTGGTGATTGTGAATGCGGCCGCGGAGTCGGACATGCATGTCTTTGTCGCGGGTTTATTACTCGGTATGCTCTCAAACAGCCGAGAAAAAATTCATGCGGAAAAGAAAGAATAGAAAAGGCAGATACTAATTCGTTGCAGCCGAATCTAAAGGAAAACACTTCCTCTACCGCACTGGCGCAGCCTTCGTCTCAACAAGACTCGGCATCCGCTCCAAAGCCCCCATAACCGCGACAGACCTCCACCTTCCTTCGCCCCGACAAACTGGTGGACTAATCCTCGCAGGCTCCTACGTGCCGAAGACAACAGCTCAGCTCAAAGTACTGACAGACCGTCGCGGAAGCGCGGGGCAACTTGCAGTAATCGAAATCAAGGTTGAGGAGCTCATTTCTTCACCTGCAACGGCGGCGGAGACTGTATCGCGGATCGTGAAAGAAACAGAATCTTATTTGGGTGCTGGGATGGATACCCTTGTTATGACTAGTCGAAAACTCATCACTGGCAAAGATGAGCTTTCATCGTTGAGTATTGGGGCCGTTGTTGCCGAAGCGCTTGTCAATGTTTTGAGAAGGATTGAAGTGCGGCCCAGATATATTGTTGCAAAGGTATGTGTTTGCCTTGTGCCCTAACTGTTCAATTTTCATGTTTAACCTAAATCCATATGGGGTTTCAAAATTCTTTTTTTCATATCTATTATGATATATACACTCATACATCTATTCCAGGGTGGCATCACTTCTTCCGATGCTGCGACGAAAGGGCTGAATGTCAAACGGGCCTTGATTGTTGGCCAGGCCGCTCCCGGTGTGCCTCTTTGGAGATGTGATGAGAGTACATCTCGGCATCGGGGTGTGCCTTTCGTTGTGTTTCCTGGCAATGTGGGTGGGGAGACAGCACTTTGTGACTTAGTCGAGGGATGGAGCTAGGGTATGAAAATATTAATTGAAATGCACTGCATGTGCCAGACTAGTGGTTTTATTGAGCTGGAACTTGAATTGTTACGCCCTTGAGTACTTACTATGTACATGTATACATACACATGTGCATGTATATGTATGATCAATTGATCAATCAATTTCTTAAGCACTGGAGTGCTATTTCATTCAAATGTTCAGTGTTGCACAATGTGTTGACCTCAGTTTGAATTTCACCAGTCCGGATATACTACATACATACTCAATTTAAACAGGGAATTTCTAATCTTTGACCTGTGCATGGAACATTGAATGGAGCTCCAGAATTTATGTAGATATCTGGATTGATTAATTGCAATTGAAACACATTGCTTAAATATCACGCTTGATGATATAAACAGAAGCATTATTCCCACCAGAAGCTGGCACTAATACCGGCTTGAAGCGAACGAACATAGTGCCACCATCCAACCGGAATGTATAAAGAATCACCCGGATGCAGTATAGTCTCAATATACTCAGCGTCCTGGAAGCCTGGCCAAAGTTCCTCCCATTGTTCGGCCTCAGCTGGGGAAAGTTCAATAGCCGCGATATCGACCTCGGATGTGTTGGACATATCGATAAGTTTTCGAGTGGGCGTTGACCCTGGGGGCGCACCCTTCTCGATCGACTCAACCCATTCTGAGCCACGGGGATGGATCCGCGAGGCGGGGGTGTGCGGAGAGTAGAGCCGGACGTATTTAATGCCGACGACTTGGACAAGGATGTTGTGGTACGGATCATGGTGAAGCGGGGAAATGGTGTACGCGGGACCGATCCAGAGGTTAATGATTGGATCAGGAGCTAGGTCGAACTCCGAGCTAATTTCAGAGTCATCAGCCGTCACCTCATTGGGCATCACTGCATTATCCAGCGGTGATGGCTCCCGTTGCGCAGAAGTTTCTAGATTTGATAGGTGCCGCTCTGCCTCTGCTTCGGCTTTCTTGGTGTCTTCTTCATTTTTCTTTCGTTGCTTGGCCACATACACTGGAGTCTCGGGTTCTGGGGCTGGTGGGTCAATGTGGCACCAGTCTGGGATGGCGATGTCATTTCTGAGATCAGGAATCTGTCGAAAAAGATCATACTGGGCCAGATAGCCCGTCTCCCCTGAAACTTCCTCGGGGACTTCGTTGTCCATGAATGGCACGTTTGGTTTTTCGGAATTCCAGAGATATTTTCCAGCAAATTCTCGAAATTTCATTATCTTTTGGCCCCATTCTTCATCTGTGTATGAGCGACCCACTTCCACAGGGACGTATCGTTCGCCGTTGAATGTACGATGCTCCCAATATTTACGCGAAGTCCATGGCCGACTCACAATAGCAGGCCAGCCATTAACAAGCCCGGTTATGACAACGGGGGTACGATTGTTGGTAATATGGAGCTGCGAGGTTTCAAAATCAGGTTCATGCAGTCGCCGAACAGGATATTTCAGGCTAGGTTTAGGAAGCGAGGTAGGAGGGAACATGGCTTCAAGATCCTTTGGTTGAGACTGCGACTCCCATTTCACGCCAGAACACAAGGTTTCGAGATGGTATAGCTCAGAGAGGATGTTCCTTATGAGATCCTCACGGAATAATCCACCCGTCATGATCAACGTTGTATCAAGGATGCGGATGACTGCCTCACACCACTTATTTTCACACCCTAGTACCGAGGGACGTGTCAGCTTGCATTCTATCGTTTCTTTGACATGACTGGTGAGTTGCCCTATGTTGATTTTTGTGTGTACAGCATAGGGGTCCAGCACCGGGTTCTCGTCGGTCCTTTCTGGAAGTAGATGACAGTTAGGAATGATGATGAGGCATGCTTTCAAAATAGACGCATCGGTGTGTAGCCTGAGCCAGCATTTGTCAACATTGTGAAATGGGAATATGTGCATTCTCTCGTCAGCAAGAGCAAGGGCCCTATCGGGATCTTCAGAGAGAAGGGCCCGTTGATCACCACATCCAAGGATTGGGTCATGTAGGTCTGGGTTCTCAATGGCGGAGAGGGCCTCCCAGATGGCTCTAGTAAGAGCCATAACTAAGATGCATATGACGATAGGTCGGGCTATCAGGAAAATCGGGATCTCGCCGATGAAGTGATTTTGGACATGTCGGATGCTTTAAATTCATGAAAGCTCAATTCGAATAAGATGTGGGAAGAGAAGTCGCGATTCGCGAAATCAGGTGAGCCTTATCGATAAGCGATAAGCGATAAGCGATCTGAAGTAAACATACGTCATCACCCTTCAAACTGGCAGTGGTAGGTAATACACTAGTAGTATTTACTATATGCTGAGTAGCCATAAGTCTCTCAGTCAAGGATGTGAAGGGGGGTGTTTCGAGATTTAGCACCCGGGCCTGAATGGGTCATTGCGCCAGATTCTCAGCTGCAGGTGCTCAATCGAGAGGGCAGACATGCAAACATTGAGTACTGGTAATATGTAAATCCCCCGAGTAAGTCCAGCCACTGTCACAACATGGAGGTCCCCCAATTTGAAACCAATTTCCATGGATTTAATGTTCAAATGTTCAAATTTCAGTGAGTACAGACTCAAACCTACCCATACCTACCTAGGTAAACAGCCTTGGAAAGAAGTCCAAAATATTTCTCTCCCATATTAAGATATGCTCCAGGTAGTGGCATATTTTCATATGGCCTCAACATCCTGCCCCTTGGCAGCAACCACATCCCTGCACGTAGCCGACGTGGCTTAGAGATCGACCTGTCGAACATCCAGCCAACCAATAACACATTCCGGACTACATAGCCAATCCACCTATCCAACGCTTATGCACAGATCGTCGTTGGCGCAAACATCATACCACTAGCTCGGCAGGGGCGACTCGATGCACCCTCCCTTCTAATCTCGTGTAGGATTGGCTACCTTACACCAGAGCTCGAAATCTCTATTTGACAAATTGAATACCCATTACCTCACGAGGCTGGAGTGAGGCTCGCAAATCGAGTTGTACATTCGACTGGTGTATCTAGGTATGTCAGGTGTACGCACATCAGCGAAAGACATCTGGAAGAAAAAGCAAAGGAAGACTCATGCATTCATGTTCTATAGTTCAACAAATAGGCTTTTCATGGTCGGCACATCGCATCAGAGAAAGTCAATTCTCGAACTGAATTGAACCGAACCAGGTTTATTGCTTTGAGGCGATGGAGCGATGCTTTGTGGCTCCCGATTGGAAATTGTACTTTTGCAAATTTTGCACTCAGCTTCAATGTGCCCCTGATTGATCCAGTTGACGGTCTGGTCAGCTCGGCTGACCCAAGCCTTGTGCTACTGGGTGAGCTCATACTTACATATACTCTGTACATTTTCAAGCAAGATGTCTTAGGATGGGATGAGCCAGAACATTGCAAAGTTTAGATCCCTGTTAGTGCAATACAGCGAGCCGAATCTCCTCGACAAGGCACCTGGCCGGTTGCGGCAATGAACTTCGAAGCTCATAGAATTGAAGTGATCGGTCAAGCTGCGGCGACTTTGGACAGGCCTGGCCGGCACAATGGGTTTCTTAACATATGAACAAAGTACCTTGTGGGTATATTATGTACGTACCCACCACTCAAAAGCCGTTCGACCATTGTTCGTGGCGAAAAGCATGAACCAACCAAGCCAAGATCGATGTATCCGGTTGGTCGAACCAGTGATTCTCAACAGGAATCAGCCCAAAAAAAAGTCAGTCTTGGGACTCGCGCTAATGCGACGGGTAGAACGCACAGATGTGTCGAGATCGGTGTTTGATGCGACATGCATATATGTAGTGCCGAATTCAGGAATCGAAACCTTGTTAATATGGTATGCAGCAGGGACTGGGGTAAGGAGAATTGAATGTATCAGGAATCTGTTGATTTGTAATTTTTTTTCCAGCGAGGCAAGGTCACCGAAACAGGTGCAACCCCCAACCACCAAATGTCCCATTTTCTGCCGTGATTGGTTTGAGATCCTGGATCCTTGCTAATTTGGTCACCGTTCACGTCCTGTTATCGGACGGCTGTCACATCTGTGGCGCGTAGGCCCCAAAGTTGATCACACAGCGCGATGATCTGATCATTCCAGGACAAAAGTACGTGAAATGGATCCTTGGTAGCTAGTAGTTAGTCTTGTAATCTGTACTTGTGTCAAGTCTAGATCCCAGCACTTTTCATATGCACTAATTGAGCTTTTTGTGCATTAAGTACTGGTGATTTGAACATTTGAAGATGAATTTGATGTCATTTCGACCCACGCAAGTCATTGATAATATGGATTTTCAATGAGGTGTGTATACATCCCGTAGAGCCTAGACCACTTCCAGGGCCGCGAGAACGGATACAATGCAACATTCAATGTTTGAACATTGAAAGATCCGCGATCGATGGAGAGAATCTCAAATAAGGGCTATGTATGGAACATTGAACATTTGAAGGTTATATTCGATCCTTGATGGAATATTTATCAATACTATACACGCTGGTTAGGACAAACAATCGCGATCGTGGAGCAAATCGATTCAATCGCTGGATTGATAGCTCAACCTTCAATGTTGCAGGCCGACTATCAAACACATGTACCCTGCACAAGAGCTAGGCATTCCCATATGACTACAAGGTACCTACTTCTTTCATGTTGAATCCTCTAGTGTATGGATTGGAAAATCGAGTTAGTACATTCATCATGGATCCAACATAAATAAGTTATACATCCAAGCTGAGGTACTAATTCACCCCGGGGGAGCCGAAAAAAAAGTTCCAAAGTTATCGGAAGGTGCACGGAGTAGCACAAATGTGCTCCGTATCCAACCCCACTGCAGGGGCAATATGATACATCATACGAGCCAAATTTGGCCCTCCCGCACGGAAAGACCAGGAGAAAGGAAAATGAAAAAGAAAAGTGGAAAAAGAAAGTACGAGAAGCCAAAGTACGTGTCAACTCCCGGGAAGACAAAGTACAGGATCCGCGATAGGCGGCAGAGGTATCCACCAAGATACCGAACCCCTGAGATGTAGGAAAGCCAAAAGTCAAGCCCAAGATCAGGTCCTGACTAGTGCAAGGACATACGTACAATATGGAGTACGGAGCATGTACCGACCATATGCCAAGTGGGGAAGGAAAATTTCAAAGAAAGAAAAAAAGGGCCGGCGCAAATCCTGGAATCTCCAGTGGCAAACACAAGGCGCAAGGGTGTGGATCTCGATTGTACACAAAGAGCGAAGGACAAAAGGACGCTCACATGACCAAAAAGCAAATCAATAGCGCGAAAATCATACATGTAGCAAGGGGAATGATTTCCGCCGCCACAGAAGTGGCAGTTTTTTCTTACCCATCACCGCGGCACCGGATCCTGCATTCCGATGGGGCTTGCGTCGCCACTGGTGGAACGAAGGACTGGATTGCGAGCGAAGGGATCATTCCTGTTGGTTCGGGGGAGATGTGACCAAGAAACCGGGTGAAACGACTTGGACGAGAAAAGGAAAAGCGTATCGGTACGACGAACGGATTACATTTGGTCATAGTGGAGCTTTGGGGGGGGGGGATTGACGTCCTTGGTTCCATGGCTTCTCAATGGGGGGTTTCCCGTTTTTCCCCTGGCGGCTCTGGAGGGGCAAAACAGAAAAGAAAAAAAGGAAAGAAAAAACTGGGGCCCATCAACCAGTTTGGACCGAACGAGTGTTGAGGGCGATCTGAATCGGTGATTGGTGCGCGGATGTATAGATCGATCCCCCGGACCAAGTGAAAAAAGAAAAAATACCTGGGTACTTCGTACTCCATACTGTTTGTATGGTTTCCACTTTTAACCATGGAAGCATTCTGTACTCCGTACTGTATACACTTGTGAGCTTGTACTTTGTAGCACCGCGTGCATGTACTTTGGTCAATCTGAAAAGTACCTGTCAGCAAACATAGTCGCAGTGGACCTCTCAAATCATCAATTACCGATCTAGACTCTTCGCTTGAGTTCGGTAAAGCGTGGCTGATATCCGGTACATCAACCTGTCAATGATCCACCATCGCGCGGGGGTCAAGACCAGCTAAGCTCAGCTGGGAAAGTAAGACCACCGATCTGGATCGCGCCTTTCTCCCCGCACAGTGTACACATTGACCCGTACTCAGCTTGCGGAAAAGAAGCAAAGAAGCTTAGAATCATCTAGATCTTGAATCATGTCCACCTGAATTGACCTCCATCGCACAGAACTTTGGAGCGATAAACTTCGGTCTCGATCGATCGGGAAGCACGGGAAGTTACGTGTAGCCCAAAGAACACATCGCGTACTTTTTGATGATTGAATTAGTCTGAATCTAGACTTGCAGTGAAAAGTCTAGACTGGTGCGGTAAGTCAACTTTGTGTATTTGAAGCTGCATGCTCCCGGATCGGGATTTTCTCGATCGCCTGAAAACCAAGGAGTCCAGACCTCGTGATCTTCGTGACCTAATATTGAACAAGGTCACTTGATTAGGCAGCTTTCAGTATCTCACTTTTGACTCGCTTTCCTGATATGCATGAGCCCTTGTTCAATGTGAATTGCAATTCCCCCATTGAATCCCTTGTCTTGCTTTGTCCCAACGAATTTAAAAATAGTGTTGGAATGTGAGGAACTTTTCTGTTTGTTTGTTATTTTCTTTTCTGGTGCAGTGAAAGTTGATACATCACAATTGACTATTTTGGTTTCACTTTTTGGCTTTCTCCAAGGGCCAAAATCCAAAATGTATAGAGGGGCCGGGAAAAAAAAGTAAGTCTGAGCGCCACCTCGAAAGTACCTTCCGAAATTCCCCCCCAAAAAAAGCACGATTTCCAGAACGCGCCTTACATTCTGATAGAGCGTCAATGCCCTGTCGCTTATCTTGTATACCCCCATTGTCGGGTCTCTCGGCCCCCAATATCATAGCTGTCAGATACCCGACAACCTGGCTCGACACCTGTCCTGGGTGTCGATCACAAGCCTCCATCTTGACGATCGAATACCGATCTAGACAGAACGCCATTGGTAATGACAGTCCGGGGCTATTCATAGGTCACGCAAAAGGTTTCCGGCTTTGATTGATCGCGAGCCGCGATGGTGGCGGTTCAACTATTTCCATGGTCGCTGCTGGAACCTGTCGCGGGCAAGGGTTGGGATGTTTGGACGATTGCAGGCTTGGCCTAATTCCCCCTTGCTAGTGCAATGTGCTGGGAACCTGGGAGGATGAGAGTCATTCTGCGTGCAAATGAGGGCAATATGAGGTAACCGTGAGAAAGGGGAATGAAGGGTACTCCTAGATCACAAAGAATGTAAATGTAAAATGTAGAAGGTCGGAAGAACAATTCCGGGGACACGATTGATGTGAAGCTAGGAGTATACCCGATTCGACAGACCCGAAAGTTTTTGGTGTCTTTGGTAAAGCTTCACCAAGGGGACGGGTCGGATGGCTCGGTAGAAACTGTATCTTCGTACTCAAGTTCAGGATATAGAAAAGGAGACTCGAAAAGAACCACAAATTCAAGGGCCCCTCGATGCTATTTTTGACCTAGGCCACGACATGCGTGTTGTAGTTGACCTGTACTCACCGTCTTTTGTGACTCCTCCTTGGGCAACAATAAATCGCTGAGGTCGGAATATCAATCTAGGCTACAGAGGCATTTCCAGTTCGATTCAAAATGATCGGCCGAAATGATCAGGGAGATCCTCCGGCTACCGGCGGTGCAGACGAAAATGAGAGCGAGCAAGAGTGAATGGATCTCATCGGCTGTACTGAGGTGTAACAGGATTGGGGAGGGGAATGGATAGCCTCGGGGAGCAAGCCCTCGAAAGGAACGTGTCGCCTATGCTAAAGGGGGCCCAAATGTATTCCGTGTACACCACAAAAATAATCTTGGAACAAAGCATTCAAGGATCAAGCTGCAGCCAAGTTGTTCACCGCTGTCATTTTGCCTTTCCATCCATCGATCGCGAAGATGATCGGAGGTTTTGACAAAGGCCTTTCCTTAGCCTACTGCCCCAACCCCGGTCATGTTACCTTGCTGCAGGACGGGATCATGAAGCTCGTCTCTTTGGTATCGGGAGTCGGGCTCTGAGAGTCCGAAATGAATAAAGATCACAAAGACACCAAAAAGATAAAGGAGAAAAACATAAATAAAATTTCATACCGAGAATTTTGTTCTATTTTTCTACAAAAGACAAAGACATCAATTCAATCCGCAACCGCCCGTTGGGCCATCTTACTTTTTAGCCTTAAGCCTGTACTTCCGAACAGTCCGAATGGTAATTGAGGCAGACACGATATGGAGCCACTTGTCGCGTGATGCATGGCATGAAAGATACTTTGACTTTTAGACGAATGGAACTCTGGTCACCGCTCCCATCGTCATCACTTCTATGCCATCAATGGATGCTTTTAAGCCGAGTACGACGACGCATACTTCCATGCATTGCTTGCATAGAAGGATTTGTCAATAACCACTTTTGTCTTCCTGCCCGACAACGACGACCCCTGTACAGTCACAGCAAAGCTCTTTATCATACTTTTTTTGTTTTCTTTGATTGGCGTTGTCCACGGTAACCGTGACCTCAATCTAATGGATCTTCGAAGGAATATTTCCTCCATGGATCCTTGTTTGCTTCAAAGGAACTTGGGCCCCATCTGCAAGCTGTATGTACAGTAATGACTCGTGGCCGATCCTCCGACCTGCAGATTCAACCATTCACCTTCAATATCTTGAGCACACGGTGAGATCGGGATCTCCCCGATGTCTTCAACCCATTCAACCCTTTCCTTTGTTTGAGAGGCTCCCCTAGTTCATGCCTACTAGTAGGTAGTTGTCAAGTACGATGACGTTGTCTAGACCCATATTTATTTTTTTCCCTGAATTATTTTTATTTTTTATTTTTACATTTTTTTATGTTTAGATATTTCTTTTTTGGGTCTCTCCCTCTCTCACCGGCTTTTCTGGATGCCCCGCCTTTGGGCTCGCGTGGCCATGTCCACTTTCTGTCGTACATGGGTATCGTTCCTGTTACAAGTGTTACAATAATGGTCCCACTAACAGGAAAGTTTTCCAGCCCCTTGGGTCCCCGCTCCGTTGGCCCCTTCTGCTGGGTCGGCACTTTACCGACTTTTCGATAGGCTCGACGCATGAAGAACATCTAATCTGGATGACCGAGGTTCATATGCTTGTGACCTTCTATCAAAACATTGAATTTCAAGCTTGTCTCCTGTACATGTTTCCAATGGTGATACAAATCAAGCCAAGTAAGTAGGTAACATTCAAAAAGAACCTTAAGTGCTTGTAAGCAATATTTCAAAAATGGATATGATAGAGCCGGTATGATATAACGTCATTATATAGCAGTCACATAGAATCATCGAGTAAAAGATATGTAATTTACCTTGATACAAAATAGGGATCACCTTTGAATGGGTCGAAGCGATCGCCCCAGAGCGGGTCCCAAGCCAGAGTGTCGGTGAATTAGATGAACAAGCTCAGCTGATGGTTTTCTCGAAGTCCAAAAAAACCCCTCCATCGATACGGACTACCGGTATTATCGTTACTTCCAAAACTACTCCGTACTTGACATGATCATCCCGTTTATGAAAGGCAAAGATGGAAAAGGCCCACCAAAAGTTATGAACAAGGGAACCAAAATCAATAGTGCCCCCCTTTTTTAGAACATAACTTGTCAGGAACTGCACATTCCCCAAATTTCAGCTTTCTTTGGACCCGACGAATCACTCTGGAATACTTCCGGAATGGGGTTTAATGTGTCGGAGCTAAACTACATAGCACTGGCTGCGGAAATATCAGGCACGCTAACCGATCCAAGCCGGGTAATTTTCCCAAGGTTTCTTGTACTCCGTACTTTATGGAAGTGTTACCAATAGCACGGATTATGGACTCCTCAACGGGTGTCAGTACGGCACGTCAGATAATTAAGAGAGGGGGGAAAAAGAAAAAAGAAAGAAAAAGGAAAAAGGAAAAAGGAAAAAGGAAGAAGGAAAAAGGAAAAAGGAAAAAGGAAAAAAAAAACCTGGAGTCGATCTACTTAGACCATCGGGTCAAACCCGCAGTTAGTAACAACAGTACTCCGTACACCGCATCTCTGGGGAAATCCGGTTAGCAAGATTCAACATTTCCAACCTATATTGGTTCATAAAGTGGAAAAATGGACAATGTTTGTTACATCATGTTTCGTTTTCCAATTCCAGATTGACTTCGCGATCGAGCATTTTGAATCGAATCAAAGCGAGACGCGGTGTAGCCCCATTGTTTGTGATTGATTGTTTTAAGGCTTCGCAATGCAGGGAAAAAAAAAGAGGAACAAAGAAGATGGATCCACTAACCATTCCGTACTAAATTTTCCAAAGAAATCACTGGAGCAAGGTCGGGGAAGGCGATCCTTGAGTCCCGACAATCAGACTTCAGCTCATCTCCCGTCAAATCTTCTTTTTCCAAGGTTTTTCCACAACTATGTGGGAAAAGCGGCTGGGTACTTTTGCTCCTATTTCCGCGACAGATCTTTTTTTTAATTGAATTTTTAATCCGTAGGGATTCCTGTCATGCGAAGGTGACAGAAGAATGACGAACATTGAATTGACTTCTTGGCTATATACTTTCTATGACTATAGTTGAACTTGAACATGTAAAAAACTGGGCAGGATTTTTCATTCATTTATTTGAATTTTTTTTTTAATTCCTCTTTCAATGTTTTCAAATGTTCAATTAATTTCTGTATTCCGTGCCAAAGTTCGACCGGGTCCCCGGGGAGGCGCAGGCCGGCTACAGAAAGTGAGATCTATCATCTCACTAATTCGCACTAAAACCACAACTCCGGGAGTTTAAAGAAAAAATCTGGTAAGCCGATCATCCTTGCCTTACTGGAGAATCTTTCTTAGCGCCCTTTTGAGAAGACACTAAGGAATCGCCTCCTGCTGTTCCCCGGGGACTAAAGGACGGGACTAAAGGAGAGTGGACTCAAGTCAACAGATGTTGTATAGTTGGGTATTTATGATACGGCCTGGTAATTTAGGGTTGATTTGTAACCGTCTTTTGCTAACGTGAGTAGTTCCTTGTTTTTTTGTTTTTTTCCCCCCCATTGTCACTTTTCAATCTTGATAGTAATTTAATCTGTCTGGATCCGTTTGGTTTAGTCTCTTTAGCTGTTTAGACCTATAACCTATAGGAATTCAATATCCAACCCAGAATCCCTTCTTCGGAAGCGCTACTATTGGCCCTAAAGACAAGTTGAAAAGACAAAATCTATGACGATGACGCTTCCTAACTGGTTATCGACTCCACTCGATCTGTTTGGTTCCTTTTTTCTTTTTTCCTACCAATTTTCCCCTACATTATAATTTCATAATTTTCCCCCTTCCCTTGCCTCCGTTAAGGTATCTCTTCCGCCTTTCCGCTTCCCCTTTTTTAACCTTTCAGGCTCTAATTGTTTTTCTTTTTCTTTTCTTTTCTGCTTTAATTGAAATTTCAAATAAATAACCCTAACTGTCCATACGGAACAGATCACATATGACTGGCTAGATCCCCCCAGTCGGACGGTCCCGATCCGCCCTTCATGAAATACACAGGTAAAAATGGGATAGAATAATAGAATAATAGAATATTCACTGACCCACTTTGATGGGATCTTTGAAATTATCAAAAAGAAACCCCCATTTTCAGTTTGGGATTTTGAATATTTACATTTTAAGATTTTTGGGGGATTTTCCCTTTATTGGAACATGTTTGCTGCTGTCTGCACAGCTGTAACCGAAATTCCCGATGTTGGAACGGTTGACGTTTTTTTTTTAGTTTTTCTTTTTTTAAAAAAAAAAAAAATAATAATAAAATTTTTTTTTTTTTTCTTATTTGATTTCTAGTTTGGCGCCTGATCATATCTTCTATACAGATGGAGCTATCCACTGTCGACACCCGGGAGAATATAATATAATATCCCCTTTCCCCTCCACAGAATGAACCTCTCTTTCTTCTGTTCATCACAATTACTACTTCTCTCAAACTTAACCGGTTTCGAAAGATTCTTCATAGATCCCTTTCTCATTCTTGATAACCCGCCTTGTCCTCTCTTTCCAACCTCCGACTTACTCGTCGATCTTGGAAACCACAGATTTAAAGCAGCTCCCAATTCATTTTGTGAACTATACTACCTTACGCTTTGCAAATTTTTATTTTGCTTTGAAGGAACAAGAAATCAAGAACAAAACGACATCCCTGAGATCCGCTATCCTTGGTGCTTGAAGAAGAAAGAAAAACAACCTTGGAAACCTCCGAAGTCGCTCCTGTTTCCCTCTCGATATTGTGTCAAATCTCCCTTGCAGGTGTCTCAAGGATCTGAAAGATCTTCCATCTCGCCTTATCAAATTTTACGATTGAATTTCCCAAGGGGGTAGCAATGCTGAAGCCCTAAAACAACGACATCGCTCCTTGCTCCGAACAAATCAGCTGCGCACGCCAATTGCATTCTCTCCCTTTCAAACCCTGACGCATTAACCTGGGGTAACTAAAAGGGGGAATCAAAAGCACCGCCTGGTACTTTTTTCCCCTCCATTTCCGGATCGTTTGTTTTTTACTTCGAATCATCTGGACGCGGGGTCTTTTTTTTTTCCGTTCCTTCCGGTTTTCTACACGATCCCTACATTTACGGGACTTGGATTTTTATTCGATTATTTCTCGCCTATTTTCAACACCATCACAATGTTCCAACGGCCATCTTGTCTACAAGGCCGGCGCCAGCGCAATGGCTCCGGTGAAGATTGGTCTGCGTTTCCATCCAGACAATTATTCGTTTTAGGTAAGTGGTACTTTTGTCACGCGCGAACTATGTGGCTTGTCACTATCCATATGGATTCCAATCTATATCTGAAGATCGACCCCACGAGGAAAAAAAAATTGAATCTCCCAAAGACGATCAAAAAAGACCCTTGAAAATGCCCCGAAGAGGAATTAACCCGTCATGTCTCTGCAGCACTTGTCCGAATTTGTGAACCAATTGCGTTCATGTCGATTTTCCCGTACGTGTACCACATGGTGGAATCATTCCATGTGACCGACAACGACCAAAAGATAGCGCTTTACGCCGGCATGATAACATCGGCCTTCACTTTCGCGGAATTCTCAGCGGGCATGTTTTGGGGCCGTATGAGTGACCGCATCGGCCGCAAGCCCGTGCTCATCATGGGATTGATTGGCACAGCATTAAGCATGGTGGCATTCGGATTTGCGCCCAATCTCGCAACAGCAATGATTGCGCGCGCACTGGGCGGCCTGCTAAATGGCAACATCGGTGTTCTTCAAACCACTGTCGCGGAGATTGTGACGGTCAAAGAGCACCAGCCGCGGGCATATTCGATCATGCCCTTCATGTGGTGTCTGGGATCAATCATTGGCCCGGCTATGGGCGGTGCTTTGGCCCAACCCTGCGACAACTACCCGGGCCTGTTTCAGCGTAACACGCTCTTCGACCGCTTCCCGTTCCTGCTGCCCAACCTTGTCTGTATCGTCGTGCTGATTTGCGGCATCATTGTTGGTTTCCTGTTTTTGGAGGAGACACACCCGGAGATTAAGCACCGCCGGGACTACGGCCGTGAGTTGGGCCACCGTATCCTCAACCAATGCTGGCGCTCGCGTGTGCAGCTTCCTGACGATTCCGACATCGAGGAAGCAAAGTACTTTGTTTATGGGGATGTCCCGCCTGAGTATGAAAGTGCCGAATCATCGCCCTGCCTTCGCCCCGTGAGTGACGTGCGATCAACCGAGTGCGACCTGGAGGGTCAAAAGACCCCCGCACTGAAAGTGTTCACCCGACAAGTCATCCTCACCATCATCGCTTACGGCATTCTGGCATAGTGAGTTGTCACCCTGCGCCACATAGTGGATACTCCGAAGTTTTGCCTTTTTTTTCATCTCTCTATACTATGCATGTAATGCTGACCTTTGCTTTTCTTTTTCTTCCCTGCAGCCACAGTGTGTCATTTGATCAGTTGATGCCTGTATTCCTAAGCACCCCCAAATCGGACGACACCGCGGTCTTGCCGCTTCAATTTACCGGTGGTTTGGGCCTTCCGACTAAGACAATTGGATTCATGTTGGCCGTCCAGGGTGTCTATTCGATGATCGCCCAGCTCTGGTTATTCCCATTCGTCGTCAAGCAATTTGGAACCCTGCGCACCTTCCGCTTTGTCTTGTTGGCCTGGCCTATCATCTACCTGACCGTGCCATACCTCATCTTGCTTCCGGTTAAACTCCAGATGCCAGCCGTCTACGTTGCCCTCATCAGCAAGATCACCCTCCATGTCATCGCTTTCCCCGCAACTGCCATCCTGTTAGCCAATGCCGCCCCGACCTCCAAGGTCCTGGGCACCATCAACGGGGCGGCGGCTTCTACCGCAAGCTTAAGTCGAGCCTTTGGCCCAACCATCACTGGCCTGCTGCACTCCAAGGGTCTTGAGAGTGGATACTCCGTGTTGGCCTGGTGGGCCTGCGGACTGGTTTGCGCAATCGGAGCCATTCAGAGCTTCTGGATGGAAGAGTCTGCTGAGCCAGAGCTCTTCAAAACCAAGGAGCCTGAAATGAGTGAGGCGGAGTTGAAGCATGAGGTCATGTCGGAGTGCTCGATTGAGGAAGAGGAACAGCGATTGCTGTCCCTCCGCTCCAGCATTGACCAGGAATACGATGTCTCCAACCTCGATCTGAATGCTATTGATCTATCTATCCCCGACTCTGAGACAACTCATCTTCCCCGCTCATAAAAGAAGTCCACCTTCTTTATTTCTACTTTCTTTCCGCCAACCATTCATCTATTCAATTCTTGTCCTTCTGGCAAGGGCATTCCCCCTTTACAACATCTTTCCCATATCGGGAATCTTTTTTTTTTCACCTTCATCATTTTGATCTTAGCCACGATACCTGACCCATCCCTCATGACGTTTTGCTTTTTCTACTTTCGCTTGACACCTTGGGATACCGGCGCAACATAGAGTGGATGCATTGCACAAGATTAAAAAAGCATATACCTTGGGTTTCCGTTTTTGTTTCTCTCTCTTCCTCATACTCCCTCTTCATTTTTTTTCTGGCTTGTCTTTTTTTTTTCCTTTTTCTCTTGGGAGCATTTAACCGGTTGGTTATATTATGATGATACTCATGCATCTGGGGGGCGAAGGAGGGGCTTTCTGTGTTTTACGCTTGTCATTGCATTTTATCATTCCCCCTATTGAGGATCAGAATCCCTCACTCAGTTAAACGGACATCAGTCAATGAACGTCATGGATATGCCACTATACTCTACTACTACCTTGCGTGCTTTCCGTCTCCACTTGTGACATTGCCGAGGACTAAACCTCAAAGTAGTCTTCTCTTCCGTGTAAGCCAAGCAGATCCACTAAAGGCGCGTGGTATGAGCCCTGCAGATGTTTAATGCAAGTGGATCATGTCTATGTTACTGATCAGTTGGATCTCTTTTATAAAAGACTTTACTGACCCCAACTTTGGGCGTTATTTTTCCAACTCTTTTCTCAACCTTTTCCCAACATTGAAAGTTTTCCCCCAGACTCCATTGCTGTCAAATCTCATCATCCACCAATGACAGTTCACCTATCCCGGACTCCACTTAGCCAGCTGTCTCCGCCGTAGCTGCACAAATGGTTTTGGCGGTATTCGCGCGTGGCCAATTGCCTTGTGGAGATCGGATCTTGATGAGATGACGATTGTATCGCTGTGACCTTCCCATTTCTCTCAACATGTTCGGCACATAGGCCAAAGATGAGATCTTTGGTGGAAGCGAGGTATCCATTCCCGAGGGTAACTTAACATGGGAAAAGGTAACCTAAGTTCACTACCCGAACTCCACCAACGCTATCACCATAGTAATTCCTACCTTCACTTCTTCTCTTCCCTGTGAGAGAAAAAAAGGTCAATCCTTTCTTTTTTCTGTTTTGTGGCTTCCCCCTATGACGATCTGGGTCTGGAGATAATTAATTACCAAAAAAAAAAACAACCACAACTTCATTTCCACTCCCATTCATTCGGAGGATAATCAACCTCCGTCGCATCGATTTGCGCCGCGGAGAGTTTCCACCTTGGTGGTCTAATCGTGTGTTTGCCCATAGTGCGGGTCACCTCCTTTGCGATTTTGGATTATCGCAAGCCAAGGTCCGCATCCTGACAAAAACTCGAAGCTCTCTCCCAAACCGCCCCTCCCAAATCGTTCCGATCTATCATGAATGTTGATCCGGTCCGGGGACTCAAACCGCTGTTCCCGACCGCTATCTCCGCAAAACTCCACCATCAAGAGATGATCGCAGGTTTGCGGCTCTCGCCATTCCTTTCTCCCAATGCCTAACGCCACTTCCCCACCGTCACCGGTCTCTTCGGGGAAGAAGAGACCTCACCCTTCCGATCCTACACCCACCCAATCCGACCCCGCCTCAAATTCCTCGCGTGACACTCAAAACCCCTCCGCAACACCCACTGCAAACGCGAAGCCCACGTCACCTGCGCATTCGACTACCACCGTCGCTTCCTCCTCGTCCTCCTCCTTTCGCAATGTCTCCGCCTGTAATCGATGTCGTTTACGAAAGAACCGTTGCGATCAGCGCCTGCCGAGGTGTCAGTCCTGCGAAAAAGCCGGCGTCCGCTGTGTCGGATACGACCCCATCACCAAGCGCGAGATCCCGCGCAGCTACGTATATTTTCTCGAGACCCGAGTCGCCTATCTAGAAAACCAACTGCTAGAGCATAATATCAGCTTCAAGAAGGCCGTCGCCTTTGATGGAGACGAGACAGTCAAGACCGAGACAGAGGGCGATGCGGCGCAATCCATTTCCGCCCATAATGGGCAGCCTGGCGACAGTGCAGATAAAACACACAAATCGAATACCGGATCCAAGGACGAGGTCGATCGGCCTGAGCAGAGAGTAGATGGAGATCGTGCAGATAGAGACCAAGACACTGAAAACCAAGAGAACTGGAGGATACATAATTTGGTATCAAATATCGGCATGGTCTCAGTGCAAGGAACATCTGATCCACGATATCTTGGTTCAACGTCCGGAATCTCTTTCGCTAGAGTCGTATTTGCTGCGGTTCGAAGCTCGCTCCCAGGTAATATGCCCGAGCGGGCTCCTATTCGCACCAGTGAGCGACTGCCACAGACGGCCGCGGCTGGTCCTGGCGCGGGCACGATGCGCGATTCGTTCTTCGGGTTGCAAACACGTCCGATGATGAAGCGGGCGGCGTTCCCGGACCGGGAGCTTGCAGAAAGACTGGTCGATTTGTATTTTGAGCATGCTAACCCGCAAATGCCAATTCTGCACCGTGGGGACTTTATGGAGCTTTTATCACGCACGTACCAGCTCGAAGAAAAGAATCGTTCTCCGAGGGCTCTTTATGTTCTCAATATTGTTTTTGCCATTGGTGCTGGAATCATCTTCGATGATAAGCCTCAAAGCTCGGATGAAGAAAATCGCGCTGGGAGGGATCGAGCATCTTCCACGACTAAAAGGCCGAGGCTTTCGAGTCATCAGTATCAACCGGAGGAATACCATGCATCTGCTATTGTACACTTGGAATCTTTCCTCGGGTCATCGTCAAGTGAGGGCTTTGGCGGACTAGAAGAGCTACAGGCAGTTCTCTTATTAGCCAGCTTTGCCTTGTTACGCCCGGTTGCACCAGGTCTCTGGTACATTGTGGGTGTCGCAATGCGTCTAGCAGTTGATCTCGGCCTCCATTACGAGGATGGTGTAGGTCTTGAGAGCACAAAGGATGGGAACCAAATCCAGCAGCGCATCGACGCTCGCGAACGAGGACGACGAGAATGGATTCGCGATCTACGACGTCGTCTATGGTGGTGTGTCTACAGCTTCGACCGTCTCGTCGCCACCTGTGTTGGACGACCATTCGGCATCAGCGACCAGGCCATAAGTACCGAATTTCCATCCATGATTGACGACAAATACATCACTAAATCTGGACTTTTGACCCCTCCTGACGGGGCTCCAACATACAAACATGTCGCATTTCATTACTTCAAACTCCGCCTCCTCCAATCCGAGATTCACGACGTTCTACAATACCAGCAAGCACGCGCTGTTCGAAAACGTGCAACAAATAGCGCGATCATCCTCCCCCATGCTGAGCTGACATCTCCTTTCCTTCAAGGGTTTGATTCTTTCCGCTCTTGGCGTCATGATGTGCACCGTCGCCTTGTGGAGTGGCACGAGAGTGCCCCGACCCGTCCTGATACGGGTGTGCGATTCTCAATCGAACTTTTGGAGCTGAATTACTGGCAAGCTATCATCTTGTTATATCAGCAGAGCTTGACCGTGCCTGCTGAATTGGCAGGCGAACTCACTCCAGCTGATGATGTGTCTAGCCCTTCTTTCTCAAATCCAGATGATGGTGATGAAGAAGACCACGTGTATCTTAATGTGGCAGAGGCTGGTCAAAAGGTCATTCGCATTTATCGGCAGTTACACCGAGTCAGACTTGTGAACTACACTTATTTGGCAACTCATCACATTTTCATGGCTGGTATGTTCTGCTGGTTTGGTTTTTTTCTCCTTGCATTACTGATATCTCTTAGGAATCTCCTTCCTCTATGCAATTTGGTATTCGCCGCTGGTTCGCAGCCGTTTGGTATGTAACTCTTTTAAGGCCTCAAAGTATCCCATGGGGCATCCGATACTTACGATTATCTACGACTAGTCTCTCGATGAGGTAGACTTTACCGTTCTGGCCGCCACTTCTGTCCTCGGTGATTTGATGCACAAGTGTCCACCTGCCGAAGCTTGTCGAGATGCATTCGAACGGATGAGCAAAGCCACCGTTCAGATGTGCTTGTCAACAACCGGCTTCGGTTCTCAAGTTGACATGAGCCGTGTGGATACAGGCTCCCACGCATCTGGGTCTCTTCATTCAGGTCGTCGTCAAGCCTTTGATCCCAGACGAGCAAGCCAAGGCCAGTCACGACGACAACCACAAACCCGTTCATCGCGCCCTGTGCCGAGATTTGATATGAACCTCGCTGATCTATTCAACGACAACACACCACTCGCTGATCGCTCCCGCGCTGACAACGTAGCCGGCCATCCATATCCTGTCCGAGCGGAACACGGAGAAACAATGGCACCCGGACTGGGCGCCGAGGGGGGTCCTTCCCGACCGTTCGTACAGCGCACTCCATCTATGGAGTATTATCTCAAATATGAGAACCCCGGATCTCCACAACCTCAGCAGTTCTACTACCCCACGTCCCCGCAACAAACTGGTTCCCCTGGAAGTGTGGCTCCAAATGCTGCAAACGGGCCTCATGCGGTCCCACCGACAGACCCAGAAGGTCAGACTGGCATCAGCCTTGATTTCCTGGACTTTGGATCCGGTGATCCAGATAGCCAAGCTCTTGAGACTGATCCGAACGGTGATTATAATATGGCTAATGTGCCACCCCTTGGCCCCAACCTAGGTCAGAACGTGGGCATTGACCTGGGCTTTGGCATGGCAATGGATTTCCAACATGATTGGAGCGAGAATCCTAATTATGATCTTTTGGAGGGGTATTTCTTTGGAGGCTCTGGGCCCGGAGCTTCTGGTGATGCTTGAGAATTCTTACATTTGGCTTATACCTAGGATGAGCTGGTGTCTTGTGAGGTTCTTCGCTTCTCCATCCATATTTTCCTTCCCTTTACTTACATTCATGAACATTTTGCTGCCGCTCTTGTTTTAATTTTTGCTTCCCTTCACCCTCCATTACCCTGTCTACGACTGGCTTCTTTTAAATTTTATTTATCTTGGAATCGAATAGTCAAGAGGGACTGGGAAACTGTGATTGATTCCACGGGAACAAGGGTACGTTCATAACTGCGATGGCTGTCTTGTTGCGTGTTTTGAGTTTTGGGATACCATATATTATACACCATATATTCTTTTCCATATACCAGATACTTGAAATTTACATAAACTACTTCAATATTTCAATAACCAGTGTTCGTCTTACCGCTGGTCAATAAAGGTGGTTGGTTGACTATAGCCCTAGCAGTATACATTAGCACTAGTGGTAATGCGGCAATGCCAGCCTAGATCAGCGAATGCCTTGGGCAGCAAAACCAAACATCCCGCGGCAAAAACAAAACACAAGCCCGCTTTTTTTCTTCCCTTCCCAAGTGACAACTCACCCAACGCCCTTCCCATTTGCTGACACCAGTGCTACCTAAAAGGGCTTGGTTCGCATTGGTTGCTTCACCCACTCTGAGCCATTTGACGCTTGGACCTTACATGCCTAACTAAACTGCCTCGTCAGGTGTTCACGACTCTTGACTTTCAAGGATATCTCAGCCCCCCGGGCTCAGCTGTCTCTTCCAATCTCACTCCGTCACTTTCCATACCTTGCGATCGAGGTCTCGCCATTTTCGCCGCCGGACCCCTTCCACGAAACCATCCACCCTCCTTGTATCAGTCAGTCAAATCGAGATTTGATCAACCCTACCTCATCGGATCCAGCGGGCAACGCACTCGGCCGACCTCCTTCGTTATTTTGGTAGACTCTGCTATATTTTCAATAGACAGAAGTCTTATCGCATGAGCAACCGCGAATCTCTTTTTTGTCTTGTCTCAACCACCACTTTCGTCATCACATGCGTTTGCGATTAGCAGCATAGGGACTATTGAAAGAAACAACCTAGACTGGTCATGCATGAGATCCTCGGATTTTTGAACAAAAGGCTACTATTATGTGCATTTGCTTCTGTTTGACCCATTTCCTCGGAACAACGAGCTCAAAATGGTGAAGGCGGACGTGCGGAGAGATTACTATGCGGACTTGGGTCTTGCTCCCAGTGCGGAGTCTGAAGACATCAAGAAACAATTCCGCAAGCTAGGTAGGTTTGACACCAAGGACGGGGCAGAACTGAACAACGCCACTGACTGTTCACAGCTCTCAAGTTCCACCCAGACAGGAATCCCGGAAGAGAACAAGAGTTCATCGCAAAGTTCCAGGCTATCCAAGCCGCTCATGAGATTCTGAGCGATCCACAACAGAGACTTAAGTACGATACGGATCGTCTGCGCGCAGGATATGGCAAAGTATATGGTCCCTCGAAGACAAGTAACCAGCGCAGATCCCAGACTACCCAAGCCCCCACAGCTGCTGCTCCCCAGCCTAGACCCCAAAGGACCCCAACTTCGCGTCCATCGGCATACAACAACGGGTGGGGAACTCCCGGTACGGCACCAAACGAGACGTCTGCTGGCGCCCAGAGATACTCTGCGCATGCCCGCGCGGACCCGCAACCATGGGGTCGAGGGCAAGCTGACACGCAAACAAGGGCGGACGCGTATAAGGGCTTTTCGGGGATGAGAGGTTCCACCGCAGGAGCGTCATGGCGAGGCTTTGATCCCCAAACTGGACGGACGGCAGCTGGGAGCACGGCTGGTGGGGTGCCGAGACCGCAAAATATGCCATTTGGATCTGGAAACGGGACCCAGCGATCAAAGTCCGCTTACGAGTATTTTAAGGACAATGCCAAATCTCAAAATAACACGCCCAGTCCTAACTCATCTAGGAAGAAGCAAGGATTTGCGCCAGGAACTACCAGCGGTGGAGATGAGCCCCCAGCGAGAAACACGTCCGCTTACACTCATCATCGAAGTGAGAGACCAAGCAGCATGTATTTTGATTCTGTACCGGCACCTACAGCCAAAAAGCAACCACCGCCAGCACCCGAGCCTCCGAAATTCGCCGAGGACTTTGAACGGAACAGAAGAGGATATGCGTCAACAGGAGGTGAGAAGACATTCTTCTCCAGTACACCACTCGGGCGACCCGCAAGCGCACAACAGTCCTCAGGAAGTTCCCGGAACCCCTATTCTCGCGCCAGTTCAGGTTATCCCAAATCAGAGGAAATCCATGACTCTGCTAGTCCAAAAGCCAGAAGGAGAGAAAACTACTCCCCTTCTCCATCCACGAGCTCAAGTGGTGAATCCCACGAATCGGAAGGCGAATGGCACGAAGTACCACATCGGCGTAACGGAAAACCAAAGGCTGTCCCCAAGAGCCGTCTGCGGCCTAATCAAAAGTTCTCCGATTTCCATCGGCAAGTAGATTCCGACAATGGTAGTGGTGAGGATCCTTTAACCCGGCCAGGCGTTAACCATCGCGAGGAAGCGCCGCGCCGGCCAATCAAAAACACCCGGAAACCTCGAAGGGTCCCTGGGTTTGGAGACCTTACGGCTGACAGTGAGGATACTAAAGGACACAATTCAGATAGCGCCGCATTCACCCAAGGCTCAACTCGCCCACAACAAAATTCTGGTTCTCCGGACTTGAACAACCGGTACGTGGCCCTCTGGTATCTTTTCATATCAACCCAAGGGGACTCGGACTCATATAAGGACAGAACAACGGACTCGTCGAAGGATACTCCCAGATTCAAGTATGAGGTCTTTGGGCACCGGAGCACCAGTGACGTCAACAACCTCCACAAGAAATTTTCTGCCGAAGATTGGAGAGACCACATGGAGGGATTCGATTTCCTCGGTGCTTCAGCTTCGAAGCTGAATGGGGCTCGCAGCTCTCCTAATTCAAGGCCCCGGAGTCGTGCTAATCCGCAGGAGGATTCAGCGGAGTCGGTTCATGCGACTAGGGCCGCTGAGTCCAACGGCTTTACGAGCGGATCCCAGGAAGAGCTCCAGCAGACTCCAACTCCATTTGCGCGGGCCAAGTTTTCTGCCGACCAGTGGTCTGAACAACTTCGCGATCTATCCTGGAATATTCCCGACGGTGAAAAACAGCGGGCGGCAGCACATACTCCACCTCGCAGTCCAAGGAAGCAATCAAAGGCAGGCACGAAGTTACGAAGTACCCCGAAGGGTGCGACTGTCTCATCCGAAGCTGAGGAGGCAACAGAGACGGTCAATGGTAATTTTGCACCTGGTGAATCGGTTCCCAATGTTGGAGAATTTGGTGAAGAAGCTTGGGCTGGCCCAGATATTGAGGCCATGGATATTGATATGGAGTCGCCACATGTGCCAAAGAAGACATCTATTGGAGCTACGCAAAGTTCCGGCTATCCAGATCTCAGTCACGTCGCTCAGGAGGTCCCTGCTGCGAGCACAAAGCCTCAACCACCGAAAGCTGCAGCTGGTAAATCAAATGCAGAGGCACGCATCCCACTTTTTGATCTCGAGAATCTTCGCAACATTGCACCTTTCACCAGTACCAATAATGGTGGAATTGAGAACTTGGACGATGTCCATGCCACTTTGCCATTTGAGTCCCGCGCCAAGGAACAAACTACGACGAAGCGTGACATTCTTCCTCGCGAGCTGAAACTCCCAAACCCCCCCAAAAGACCCTCCGTACCGCAGATTGTGATGTTTGCACCAGGTACACAGGTCCTCTCAATTGATAAATGGAAGCACTACGTCTCGGCGATGGGTACATATATGCATGACTGGAATGTCTTTAATAGCCGCATATTACTCTATTTCAGAGCTCGTCAAGAAGCTGTCGAGACAGGTCTCTCATCCAACTGGATCAGTGCGGTCGGGGACTCAGCTCGCCTCAAGATCAATGATGACGACGATGCAGATGACAACAACAAGTCCCATTCCCACGACTCCTTTGAGGATTTCGAGGAGACTCTTGTTGCTGGAAGCGGCAAGGGTGGGTTTAACGCTTATCTGCGCGGGATTCAAGAGGATATTCAGGTCCGCAAGCATTGGGAAGTTGCATGTGAACTGCATCGGGAATGTATTCTTGATCTTGGTCGCCTGCGAGAGTGGATCCATAATGGTGGACGATTGGTTTCTTTCTCCACTATATGATTTATCATGAGAACAATATCTAGAACGGATGGTTTAAATGGCGTTGTTGTCGTTGTTGTCAGGATTGGTGTGGGTCCTGCATCTAGGCATGGTGTTTTGGTTTCCTTGATGAACGAACGATAATACCCTGGGGGCTTTTTTTAAAATGTACTATGATACTGTGAGGCATTCGTCCTATCCTGTGGATTTACCCCCAACTTGTGGGGGATCATACATGTATGTCAGAGCACAAATAACTACTAGTACTATCATGGCCAGGTCGACGGACTTGGATAATAGTTACTCCGGTACATCCTTACCCTTCAGGCATACATGAGGCGACAATCCTATTTCTGGTATATTACACATGAAATACCATTATTACACCCATGGACGAAGGAAAAAATAAATTAAATTACCACTGTCATAATGTGAGTCACTCTACAATATAATAATAAAGACACTTCCAACAAGACTAGAAAGTCGCAATTAAATACATTCAAGTCCAAATTACACGGTAGGTTAGTCACTCATTATCCACATCCTTTCAAGTGCAATGCCCCGGCATTGTTGCAAAAAAAACACACCGGCACTGACCGAATACCCAGATTGCCTTGCCCCGCCATCCGAAGCCGGACTTACTTCTCTTCCTCTCTACTCCTCCGCCACTAGCATCACCCTCCGTTCGCCAATTGCCAATCGAAGTGCAGCAATTGATTCTTTTTAATAACACACCCGGCATTTAGCAAACATGGTGTCCATCGTTCTTGGTAGTCAATGGGGAGATGAAGGTATGTCAACCCCGCCAGTGCCCCGCGCGCTCTCAAGTCCCGACGAACTGTGACATGTTGAACGAGTGGCGCTGGTACGGATGTGAGACGTCGCAACGGCTACTAACCCGGGCTCGCTTGTGATGTATAGGAAAGGGAAAGATTACAGACATGCTGTCGCAGCAGGCGACATTGTGCTGTCGTGCTGCCGGTGGCCATAGTACGTGTGACCTTTTGCGGATTAATTTTCAATTCCCCTTCCCGACGAGAAAAAAAGTCCGGGGAGTTGAAGATTAAAAAATGTCGACCCAACTAACTCGCTTTTTTTTTAACTAAATTGTAGATGCCGGTCACACTATCGTTCACGAGAACGTAACCTACGACTTCCACATCCTCCCCTCCGGCCTCGTCTCGCCTAAATGTATCAACCTCATCGGCGCCGGAACCGTCTTCCACGTTCCTAGCTTCTTCAAGGAGCTCGGCCACTTGGAATCTAAGGGTCTTACATCCGCTGGTAAGCGCATCTTCGTTTCTGATCGCGCACACGTTTGCTTCGATCTGCACTCCGTTGTCGATGGTCTTGAGGAGAAGGGCCTTGGTGGCCGCAAGGTTGGTACTACCGGCAAGGGTATCGGTCCCTGCTACAGTGACAAGGCTGCGCGCCGCGGTGTGCGCGTTGGTGAAATTCTCGATGAGGTCACCTTTGAGCGCAAGCTGCGCACTCTGGACACCTCTTACCGGGCACGCTTCGGCGACCTGGACTACGATGTCGAGGAGGAGATTGCGCGGTTCAAGGTATGGAAAGCAACATGAAGTTAGGATCATATCCTATTCTATATATCATATATACTATATGGGGTTTGATTCGCTGCGGGGAGATATTTTTACTCACCTTCACCAGGAATACCGTACCAAGCTGCAGCCCTACATTGTCGACCAGCTCGAGTTCCTGCAGGAGCACAAGAACTCTCCCAACACCCTGGTCGAGGGTGCTAATGCCCTGATGCTTGACTTGGACCACGGCACCTACCCCTTCGTTACCTCGTCTTCCACCGGCCTCGGCGGTGCTGTGCAGGCCCTCGCCCTGAACCCGCAAAGCATCAAGAGCGTCATTGGTGTTCTGAAGGCCTACACCACCCGTGTCGGCTCCGGACCTTTCCCCTCCGAGCAGCTCAACGCCGAAGGTGAGAAGCTGCAAGTCGTCGGCCGCGAGTTCGGTGTGACCACTGGTCGTAAGCGCCGCTGCGGTTGGTTGGATCTTGTGCTTGCTCGTTACTCGCACGCCATCAACCACTACACCGCTCTCAACCTCACCAAGCTCGATGTGTTGGATGACTTTGATGAGATCAAGGTTGGTGTTGCGTACATCTTGCCTTGCGGTAAGCGGACGACTGGGTCGTTCCCCGCCGATCCTAATGTCGTGGAGAAGATTAAGGTTGAGTACGTTACTTTGCCTGGTTGGAAGTCTAACACTATGGGTGTTACCAAGTATGAGGATCTGCCGGTCAATGCTCGTGCTTACATCGAGTTCATTGAGCGTGAGATTGGTGGTGTTCCTATTAAGTGGATTGGTACCGGTCCTGCGCGCGAACACATGATCGCTCGCGAGTAAGAAGCGCAAAAAGGATCTGGATTTGATTTGTGATCATGCTATGTCTCTTTTCATTGTAAGTATCTGCCAGCAGTAGATTTCTCTTTTTATGTTATTTTTCTTAGGCTGGGCAGTATATTGGGATACGTGATTAAATTTTGATATACATATACCTTTCGTCGCCCTATATACACTGAATTTGCAAGTGGTCAGTTAGGTACATGTTCCAAGCACTCAGTGCTTCCAATGTTTCCAGGGTTGCGGGTCCAACTTTTCAAATGTTGAATCATGCCTACCTACTACATAGCACTTGTGAATTCTTCCAGAGTTGGCTTTGGGAGAGGTCCATGGATGTCATGTTGAACTGGTGGATTTACATATCTCTCAAAATGCACATAGGTAGTACATTTATACATTTTGATATGATGTCTCTACATTCATCCATATATAGATGGATACATTCAAACATTGAATGTTGGCTCTCCACACATCAATTGGCAGGGTTGCACATCTGGTTCAAAGGCACATGTCATGGGCAATAACATTGAAGCAAATGAACATTTGAATGTTAGCCCGTACATAGCCTTGAAGGTATAAACATTGAATCTATGTCCACCCATGATGGATGGCTATTCATCAATGGGATTCGATGTAAAAACTTTGCCTAGCAAGGTAACATTCGAAGATAGAGCAGTAAAATAGTTGTCAAAAGTATAGTAGTACATTGCAAATCAATAAAAATCTTTAAAACATAGGCCCACCAGGGCAGTATCAAATTGCAGTATAAGACAAGAGTTGAGAAGTGGAAAAATGGGAAAATGGGGGGAATCGACAAATACATATGATACAGAGATGTCAAAGCGAAGAGAGACAGAACGCCGCCTAAAAATGCGAGGATGGAAAACTCTATCAGGTTTCTTTTGTCACAATCAACAGGAACGGAAAAGCGACAACAAATCTTGTTAGAAGAGATGCTTCAAAAAAAAAAGACAACGGCATATCACCATTTTTAAAGACCGTCCCCGAATCCTGACCGGATCGGTAAGATCTATTCAAACATATTGGAGCGGGGAGCGCGGTCTTCACGGTCGCCGTAAGAGCGCGAGCCACGATCGCCCCCGAAAGAACGGGAGCTGCGGTCACCACGGTCACCACCGAAAGAGCGGGAGCTGCGGTCACCACGGTCACCACCGAAAGAGCGAGAGTTGCGGCCACCACGGTCACCGCGGTCACCGAAAGAGCGGTCACCGTAAGAGCGGGAGGCACGATCACCTCCGAAAGAACGAGGACTGCGGGAGTCCGAGAAAGAAGAACGTCCACGGCGGTCACCGAAACCACCGGATCTGCTGTCATCGAACTCTCCACGCGGGCGGAAAGAACGAGAAGACTCGTCAACATTAACCTCAGGAATACCGCGGAGTCCAAGGTTCTTGACGAGGGCTGCGCTAAGAGCCGGGGGCTCCTCCATACCATATCCGTGGACGGCGAGTCGGTTCAGAACACAAATGGCATTCTGCTTGCTGTTGAAAGTCTGAAGAGTCGAGCCGAGCTGGGCGCGGTAAGTGACAAACTTCAGTTCCGAGGAGATCTTGGTCATAGCTGTCTTGATGAGCTCAATCGGTTCACGCACGGCCTCGGGGGCACCACTGAGGTCCTTGCTAAGGTCCACAAGAGAAGTTTGAAGAGTAGTGCGATCCTGAGTGACGGGCATGCCATGACACTTTTCACTCAAGCTGGAAACCTGACCGGCGTTAATGAAGACCCAGCCCTCACCGGTCTTACCAGCACGAGCAGTACGGCCAGTTCGGTGGATATAAGTTTCCCGATCGCTGGGAACGCCGATCTGGATGACATGGGTGACATTCGGGAAGTCCATACCACGAGCAGTCACGTCCGACGAGAAGAGAATAGCTTCATCGGCACGGCGGAAAGCGTCGGCAGCAAAGGTTCGCTGTCTCTGGCTGAGCTTAGAGTGAATCTCCAGGAAGCGCATGCGACCCAGAGGGGCCGCAGAGGTATCCTCACGGCTGCCGCGGGGAAGGTGTGAGAAAACCTCAGCAGCAAGTTGAGTCTCACTGGTGGAGTTGAAGTAGACAATCGCCTTGAACGGTGGCAGCTCCGAATTTTCCTGCTGGCGCGCCTGGTATTCTTGTGCAAGTTCGAGGACACCAGGAAGAGCGTTTTCGTAGCCAGGCTGGAGAACAAACTTCTGTGGTACCTTGAGGTGGACTGGGACTTCATTATCGCTGACTGTCTTGACATATTTGTAATCGGGTCTCATGGTTCGGTCAACCATCTTGATGACTTCCCGAGGAACAGTGGCAGAGAACATCAAAGTCTGTCTGGAAACCTGGAGGGGGTCCGGAAGCAAAGAGTTGATCTCGTTAATTTCATCGGAAAATCCCTGGTCAAGCAGACGATCGGCTTCATCCAGGATGAGGGTGTTCAGCATGGGAGTCGAGACGCCGCTGTGAGGGTCAGAAAGAATATCCTTGATACGACCGGGGGTACCAATCAGCAGGTGGCAGCCCTCGCGCTGGATCTTCTGAAGTCCGGCTCTCTTCTGTGTTCCGCCGACGGCGGTTTGAACCAACAGACCAGTGCCAGGGGTCAACCTCCGGGCTTCGGCGGCAATCTGCTCGGCAAGTTCACGGGTAGGTGAGATGATGAGGGCTCTGATATCACTTGAGTTGGCCCTTGGGCCACGTCTGTGTCCTGCGTTCTGGCCCTTCAATGAGAGAGTAGGGTCGTTAAGGATGTTTTGCATGGTAGGGAGAAGGAAGGCGAGAGTCTTTCCGGTGCCGGTCTTGGCCTGCGCTAGGCTGAGAAAGGTGTCAGTAAATGAATTGTATTCAAGATATGAGATCCATGCGAACTTACATGTCATCACCCTTGAGCATCTGGTGGATTGTCTCGCTTTGGACAGGGGTCATGGTCTCCAAGCCCATGCGAGAAGGATCGGTGATGTTTCGGATAATCATCTTGTCAATGAGCTCATTGTTCTGGAGGTCGGCAAACTTAGTGATCAATTCAGCAGCCTCCTCGACCTGGACAGGAGTCGGTCTTGCGGCCGATAGGGCAGGGAATGAGGTCTGGAACGACCGGCTCAGACCAGGAGTCCGGACGACCAGAGGCTGCAAATTGGATAGCTTGGGGGCCCATCGTGCAGAGAGAGTGCGAGGCACAGATGTGCGGAGCGCCTGGGAGACGCCGAATTGGCGGAAAACACCAAGCATGATGGATAATATTAATATTAATTTGATGAAAGAATGGCTATCGCAAGTTGATTGTCGCGAAGAAAAAAAGGGAAAATTAAAACATGGATCACATGATCCTTATCGATAAGGGGGAGGCGACGAGTCTCTTATATGCCTGAGGCTGCCGATGAAAATCTATTCGATCGGCGGATGCCGGGGATGGGGCACGTGATAAGGCAGGTTCAGTATCTTTTTGCCAAGCGCTGTGTTTTGGTATGAAATGGATTGTATTCCGTACACTAAAATCCTTTGTTTTTTAATTTCCAACTCCTCTGCTAGTGCCAATTCAACAACTTTCACCTGTCGCAAGTTTTTTTGCTCTTTGCAAAAGAAACCACTACTTCAATAAAATAGGGGTTCGGTTATCAATTTTTTTTAATCAAATTTACTATTGTTTTTTGGCCAAAATAGCTTATCATGAGGAAGTAAGTTTTACAATGATATCAAGTTTATACGGAGTATGCCTAGTAATAGTAGTACAGTTAGGGGTCTATCCTTCAGCCTGGAACTAAGGATAATAGGGGGTTGAAGAACTATTTGGGGGCGTAATAGGTGTGGAGGGCTGATTTGTTAAATACCAAGTCTAATATTAATAAGACTGAATACTCAATGTCAAGGTTCATTAAATACAGCCTTAGCCTGAGGCTCCCACCCCCTTTTAAGGTCTCAAAAGGCCCTACTGGCACGTGAACACTACGTCCCAAGTCTACACATAATCAATGAAATTTCACTAGTAATTATACAGTGCTGAGTGGCGTGTGCTCCAGAGTCTATAGCAATATCATTTATCCGCCTTTCACTATTGAAAACGTTATTCTTGCATGTTTTTATTTCATTTAAAATTAATCAATTGGCGTCAAAAACCATTGACCTTTCGGGTTTTTTATTGTTTTAGCCTCCTGAAACCACGTGCTTAGAGTAATCTCCGGACTTTAAGCTCTAGTTTAGTTAAATTTTGTGACGAAAGATGAGTCAGCCGATTGGCCTCAATGACTTATTTTTTCTAGTTTTCAAAGCACGTCGTACGGATTGATAAGCAATTGTTTACTTTGAGGTCTTTTTTTGCGGGCGTAGAATGGCCAACTACCCCATGGGCAAAACTGGGCACATCAACTGATAACCGACAATGAATACTACAAGACACATAACTAGTCCACGAAATTCAGCAAACTCACTATGTCCCGCGAAACCGGTAACCCGGTTTAGAGTGGGGACATACTGGATTCATTGTACCTTTGGCTATAAGAAGACTAGTCCCCAAACACCGGGCAAACGTAATTTTTTTTTTCTTCTCAACCCCTAGCTTTAACAAACATTTCCCCCAGTTTACAATGGCTACTATCAATATTGTGATTATTGGAGCTTCTACCGTGGGCCTTACTGCAGCCCACGACTTGCTGCGCGATGCCCAGATTCTGAACGCTAAGGTTACTCTTATCAACCCTTCAGCCACCTTTTATTGGAACATCGCTGCTCCCCGTATCATCGCCAAGCCAAAAGCTTTCCGAGCCGAGGAGTACCTCCTTCCAATTAAGGAGGCATTTGCCCAGTATGCGACAGAGTCATTTGAATTTATTCTTGGGACCGTGACTGAAATGGATATCTCCAACAACACCGTATCCGTAACCCCCAATGACGGAGATGTCAAGTCGGTGGCATATGATCACCTCCTGATTGGTTCCGGTGCCACTACTCCTGCCACTGTCGGTCAAGTCACTGGTTATTCATTCCCCTTCAAGCATACTGGACGCGACGATATGAAGGAGAGTCTTGAGGCGGCCCAGAACTTGACCACGAATGCCAAGAGCATCGTGATCGGTGGAGCAGGTCCAGTCGGAGTGGAGTTGGCGGGTGAACTTGCCGAGGCAGCAGCGGAGAACTCGAGCGATCTTTCCATCACCCTGGTCTCTGCCACAGACCGAATTCTGCATACGCTCAAGTCATCTGCCAGCTCTACCGCAGAGAATCAACTCAAGAAGAAAGGCGTTAATGTGATCACCTCCACCCGTGTCATGGCAATCGAGGCGTCAGGTGACTCTTGGGTTGTCTCCCTGGACAGTGGTGAGAAGATCACCACCGATATTTACATCCCCACCACCGGCTTCATCCCCAACAATAGCTTCATCCCCGAGCCTTTGCTCGCCACCGAGGGATGGGTTAGAGTCGACAAGGAATTGCGTGTGCAATCCTCAGAGAACTCGAGCGTCTTGCCGATCTATGCAGCTGGCGATATCACCACCAACTGGATGCGCCTTGGATTCAAGGCCGCTGAACAGGCTCGGGTTGCAGCCCATAACATCAAAGCGGATATTCTGCGCAAGGCCGACCGTAAGACCTATGACCAGGGCGAGAGTATCAACATGGTCGTCCCCGTTGGTGGGACCGGTGGCAGTGGACAGATCTTTGGTTTTGTTCCCTTCAACTTTCTCGTCAGGATGATCAAGGGCAAGGACTTCTTGATATCCAAGGCGGCAGTTACCGTGGCTGGCAAGGCTTAAATGGCCTTTTGGCAGGTTGGATTGATTTGTTTTTTTGATTTGTTAACTGTTTTATACCTCCGAGCAATGTGTTTGTGTTTGTTTTGCCCATGGCTTAATATAATATGCTGAATGATGACCACGAGACATTATTTTAAAGATTTGCGCTATACAGGGATTCCATTTAACTAATTTGGCAAAAAGTACTATGCACCCCAGACCATACTGTTCCTAGTAAGCATTCAATCTAAGATGGAGCCCTGCAGAGTCTCTAGGCTGAATGATGAGAGCCAATAATAGGAAAACTCTGATCGTGACAGATCCACTTTGCCTCCCCGCTATCGTGCCAAAACCGGTAGTCAGCTCCGTGCTGAGAAATCACCAACTTTTTTTCCTTCTCTCTCCACGATCAGTGGCCAGACAACCAATGTTGGTTTTCAAGGCCCGGTCTTCTTACCTAGAATCGGCCCTGCCCGTCGGTGTGGTTGTTTTCAGTTCATCCGAGGCTCCACTATGAGTGTCCAAGTTGGACTCTGTCCGGAGGGGTAGCCCAGAGCACTGAGCTTTCATAGAGTTATTTGACAATTATGGAAGAGTTTTCCTAAGTTCACTATACTTTGTTATGAAATTTATACCAATTGAAATGTCAATTTCTTCCAGATGTCTTCTTTTTTTGACTGATGAAAGTGGATCCGGTACTTATTGCTCTGGAGCAAAACTTATAACCTTCTCGAGAAGCTTCTCCGGGACCCATCGGCAAAAGGGTTACTTTGCTTTATAATGATTTCATCTCGAATCCGGGTTTTTGCCTCGGTCCCCTCCTTGCCCCTCTACAAGGGTCATACGTCGTCCCATTTCCTATAAAAGCAGGAGTCGCTCAATTTGTCTCTATAAGTTTAGAATTCCTACATACCACGGTCCACCCCATAAACTACTTCAACCTCAACCTTGCAGTCACAATCTCAATCTCCAACTTCAAATCCCCACCACACTTACACATCATGTCGAACAAGGCTCTCTTCTTCAGCAAGGTTCCCCAACCTCAGACATACCCCGCAGCTGGCGAGCATCTCACCGTCAGTGAAGTCGGTTACGGTCCCGATGTCGCTGCCCCCGAGAATGGCGTTGTCCTCAAGTCCCTTTACAGCAGCTTTGACCCCTACATGCGTGGCCGCATGCGCGCCCCCGAAACCAAGTCCTACTCTCCCCCCTTCGCTCTCGGCAAGCCGCTAGACACTGCCACCGTTGGCAAGATTGTTCGCTCCAACAATGCCGACTTCAAGGAAGGCGACCTCGTGATCGGCCACTTGCCTTTGCAAGAGTTCGTCGCGCTCGACAGCCCCAACATGGTGCGCATCAGAAATATTGAGAACCCTCTCGGCTTGGAGGATATCCGTGTTTTCTTGGGACCCCTTGGTATGCCAGGATTGACCGCATACTCCTCGCTGTACGATATTGGCAAGCCTAAGAAGGGTGAGACCATCTTCGTCTCTGCTGCCAGTGGTGCTGTCGGTCAGCTGGTCGGTCAGCTGGCCAAGCATGAAGGTCTGCGCGTGATTGGATCCGTTGGCTCGGATGAGAAGCTCAACTACATCATTAACGAGCTTGGTTTCGACGGTGGTTTCAACTACAAGACTGAGAAGCCTGCCGATGCGCTCAAGCGTCTGGCCCCCGAGGGCGTGGATATCTACTACGAGAATGTTGGTGGAGAGCACTTTGAGGCTGCCCTGAACGCTATGAACGATTTCGGCCGTGTCGTTTTCTGCGGTATGATCTCGCAGTACAACGCTGCTCCCTACCCCATCACCAATCTCATGCACATCGTTGCCAAGCGCATTACATGCCGTGGCTTCATCGTCGGAGATGCGAACATGGGTCCTGTCTACACCAAGGAGCACCAGAAGAATGTCCAGCAGTGGATTAAGGATGGCTCTTTCAAGGTTTTGATCCACGAGACCGAGGGTATTGAGAACTCCGCTCAGGGTCTAATTGATATCTACCACGGCAAGAACTTCGGCAAGGCTGTTCTCAAGTTTTAAGTCATCGACCCGTGACAGAGATATTAAGATATTGACATGATGAAATGTCTGCAATGATTTTGGCTTTGCTTTTGTTATCCACGGTAAAAAGATTTTTGACAGGGATATAAGCCGCCCGGTTATATGATTATATGACCTACTAGTAGTGAATTGAGTCTGTTGTATCTAGATTGAGTTTGAATAAATCAGATTATCATAGATCAACGTCTTCCAAGAACATTGAATCGTATCCGTACAAAGTCATTGCAAATGTTACTAGTAGTTAGTACTAATGATCCCCAGAATCCGGCAAAGAGTTTAGTCCCGCCCGCATCGGCCAATTTCGGCTGCGCGGGAACCTCTCGACCAATCACCTGACCCGTAAATGGATGACATACCGATTCGGATTCCCGAGGTTGTCCCAACTTCATCCTGCGTGCACGAAGTTGACCTCAAGCACCCCTACATCTCCTCTCCAACTCGTCACAATGGCTTCATTCGCGCGTTCGTCACTGCTCCGGCAGTCCCTTGCGACCCGGTCGCCCTTCATGCGCCAGAATGTTGGCGTGTCGCAGGCCGTGGCTTTCCACGCCTCCGCCCGCAAGCAGATCCTGCCTCCTCAGCCCCGTAAGTCCAGAGCAATGACTATCGTATTTGACAGCTGGAAAACAATGCGTGGGCTATCCGATGGCTTTGTGTATATTAGCTAACCGCTTTTCCGCGTCCTACAGAGACCATTGAGGGAACCAGTATGTTCTTAACCCGTACCCGAAATTACACTTCCGACGATTTGTCCCGCCCACGATTTTGAATGACGACCGGATTTACATGGCTATTGGAAAACGACGACTATCAATATCTGGCGGAACATGAAACCGGAATCGCTTGCGAGTTATAAATGGGTACTAATCGATCATGACAGTGAACGACCCCGTCCCGGTCCCCTCGCCCAGCCCTATGCACGGAAGCTACCACTGGACCTTTGAGCGGTTCGTTATACCCCGGATACGCCCACAAACTGGGTGATATGATTGAATAGATTTCCGGAGTACTGACCTTCGAAATTCCAGCGCTGTCTGCGTCGGTCTGATCCCCCTCAGCATCGCTCCCTTCGCCGCCGGCTCCCTCAACCCCGTCATGGATGCCGTTCTCTGCACTCTCCTGGTCGCCCACTCCCACATCGGATTCGAGTAAGCACTCATCACCCATCAACCATTCACATAACTTAATATGTAGGTTGTATCTATGGTTCGGAATCTAACAACATTCTAGGGCCGCCATTGTCGACTACTTCCGTCCCCAGCGTGTCCCCAAGTTCTACTCGCTCTGCCAGTGGCTTCTGCGCGCTTTCACCCTGACCACCGCGGTCGGTTTGTACGAGTTTGAGACCAACGATGTCGGTGTTACTGAGGCTCTGCGTCGCATCTGGAACGCATAGAGAGTAGTCGTGGATTTGAAAAGGGTTGTTTGGGTTCGTTTTTAATCTGGTTCCAGGCGTTTCGCCTATGTATATGTCCTTGAAACACAATTTCATTTGTCTCGCCCGAATACATCGGTGCTGAATACTTCAATATTGCTTGTTCTCAACGTTGATTGATTAGGATGGATCGCGGATGTATTCGCGATCTACATCCGTGACTTTCAGTGTTCCGGCGACCTTTGCAGTCCTACCCCTACCTACCAAGACCTCGGGGGAGGTTCAATTGGACTGTAAGACAATAAGGGAGGGCAGACTGCTTCGTAGGTGTCTGCACTCTATGTCCAGGCTTCCCGTGGTCGATTGATTTTAGAAGCAACTTTCCCTCCAGCTGGAAGGTTAGCAACCTTGGAAGCTCGGGAAGGGGGCAGGCAATAGGGCCTGGAAAGTCATGGGATAGTCCGATCTACTGCCAATTTAAGGATGCTAGCATGTAGTAAAGCTAGCACGTTCGTCCCGTTTGCATCTATCCGACATACATTTTGAGCAACAACAAAACAAATCTAAATGATGAATACTCCAGCAAAGAAGCCAGAAATGAAACCAAGCAAGCCTGCAATGCCAACCACTACTCATCCTGATCCTCGTCCTCCTCAAGAAGTGGATCCCCTTCCAACCGGTCTTCATCATTAGCCTTCTGCATAACAGTCTCAATAAGCTTCAAAGTCGCCTTAAGCGGCAACCCGATAACATTATCATAGCTTCCCTCGATCTTCTCGATGAGAATCGAGCCAAGCCCCTGCAACCCATACCCACCCGCCTTATCCGCACCCTCGCGCGTTCGCACATAAGCCATAAGGAGATCATCCGTCACATCCCCATCAAACCGCACATTCGTCTCCTCAACCACCGTTTCAATCGCATACCCGGGCTGCCGGGCGCTAGCAAGCGGCGCCATAGCAACGAGAGCAGTGTAGACTTTGTGGTCGCGCGCGTCGCGCAGAGCCCGGAGCATGGAGAAATGGTGTGACTCAGAGCGGGGTTTCTCGAGGATAGCATCTGTTGTCACGTCGACGACGATAGTGTCGGCCGCAAGGATAAGAGCAGGCTCGCCCTTGACTTCATTGTCGATTTCCTGGGTATAGACAGCTTGTGCCTTTTTGGTTGCTGTTTCTAGGACATATTGGACTGCTCCGAGGGATTTGGGGAGGTCTTCATCGGCGTTTGAGGGGATGATTTCTAGGTTGGGGAGACCGAGGAAAGATATTATTTGGCGTCGGCGGGGAGATTGGGAGGCGAGGATTACTCGTTTGCTGCGGAGGGCGTTGAGCGCGGGGAGGGAAAGTGGTGGTGGGCGTGGGAGTGCCCCGCGGCTTGGTGCTGGGGTGGGTTTTGTGGATGGGTCGTAGGCTGGTGGGGAGTCGTTTGAGTCCTCGAAATCGAGGAGGTCTGCCTTGGAGTTTGCCATGGTTGTTGCTTGTGGATTTGGAGGGGTTGAGGGTTGTTGTAGCTGGGTTTTCGAGCTTTGCGGATCACGATGCTCGTCGTGCACGAGCGTTTTCCCCACACTGATCATCCGCTGATTGGCGGCAGACTTTCTCGGTCCATAATTGATAATGAACTTCCATTTGTTAACATTCATTGTTGAATTGAATACGAGTGTCAAAGGCCGATATAGAAATCTTTAATAGAATGGGAGTTGAGGGAAAATATGATCCATGATGTCAACCTTGGAATAGGTGAGAGAACCTTGGATCCCTGGAAGACATGCATATAAATTAAAACAACATTCAAAGTAGTGTATTCGAAGATGCTTAGTGTATTGCCATGTATTTATGTATAAGATATCTACTATTGTCAATGCAATTGATCCTTATATATGTCGTCTTCAGCACTAAAGTTCTGGGGTTGTTGAATTAAAAACATTTTAACCAAGATTTAATTAAGCACCGTAGAACTAAGATCGCCCGTAACCAAATGGACTAGTTGGCGCCACTTCCACACTTGTTCCGCCAGCTTCCAACATTTGAAGAGTTGTACGTAGCATTGATTACTCTTGAAATGTGTGGGAACGATGATTTCAATTCCAAAGAAACCCCCAATTCGAAGCCATATCGAATGTGCAAGAGTGATTGACTCAACCTTAGAACATACTAGTAGTATATTTCATATAGTGCCAGGACTGCAATTTAATACAGAGCCTAGTAGTAAACGCCCGCCAGCGGATGTTGGAGTATTGAATTCGAAGCAGTCCCGTACAAAACGCCCTCGCGACACCTGAGCCATGCCAGTTGATAAGATAAAATATTGTAAAATACATTCTGCCTATCCCAAAATATACAAAGAGCGTATGTGTAGATATCAAGTACTGAAAGGTATTCGAACAAAAACAAGGACCACCAGATGTGGGCGTTGGGCGTTATCATGGGATGGACCGGAAGTGACTGTAAGGGTGATCGACAAAGACAAACTTGAAATTAGATCACTATTGTGCCGACTCGAAGATCAAAGCGATAGCCAAAGAAATTCGTTAATGTTCATGATTCATTTTCATTTTCGTGTGGGTAAAGAGGCCTGCCTCCCGAGAGCCTCGGCATATCCAACAAATTGCCAAGGAATCCATCACGATGCAACAGGAAATGCAAAATACCAGAACGCAACGATTCCAAGCCTCAAGAACGAGTTGGACCGCCGGGGGATAACTGATGAGAGGGGGGGGGGGGCATGCTGCTTATGAAGGCCGCAGAGAGTCGTCCACATGGCCCCCTTTGCTTTCCACTTCGGCGATGAGATTATGTCGCTCTTGTAACTTTGAATGCATAAAGTCAACCGTCTTTTGCAAGACAACGCTCTCACTGCGCCCTTGTCCCTCCAGGCCTGGGACCAATTCTGTCAGGCGATCAAAGCCTTCTCGGATCGCAGCTCGGCGCTTCTGCTCGGAAGCAATATGGTTGTTCTTCTTCTCTTGATCCGTCAAGCGAGGCTTCTCCTTATCCTGACCAGAAACAGATTTATATGTTGCCGTGGGGGTTGAGGAAGACCGATCATTCTCCTCGTCAGGGTTCATTGTGGAGCGTAGTGGATCGGCCGAATATGAGGGGCTTGCGAATTGTCAAGTGCACGGGCGAGTAGAAGCAGGAGTGATGATGAAGCGAAGATTGGAGGTAGATTGGAAGTAGATTGAGGTTTATCGCGCGTCCTGTGCTTCTCTTCTTGTAAGGAGGGTAATATGTCCAAAGTAGTGAAGAGGATGAACAGGGGAACCGAGGCGAGTGGAAGGACAAAATGCGATAGCGATAAGCGTTGGATGCGGAGAAACCCAAGTCGGGAACGAGGGCCTTGGCAACCTTTTAAACGTCATAGAAGAGGGTCCGCCTAACACACCCGGTTTGCTATTTTTTCTTTTCTTTTCCACTGCTACTTGGAATTTCCTCTCTCTCTCTCTTCAATTTCTATCCATTGACAGCAAGAGAAAGTCACATCATACCTCCAGATCTACAGGTCAATCTGTACCGTTTCCTAATTCTTAACCTTCGAACGCCGTCTTGTTCTCACCCAGCCCACCATTTTCCTTGTACTACTGTACAACAATGAGCCACGAGCCTCTACATGGATCATGCTCATGTGGTCGCAATGAGTACCAGATCACGATCCCTGATGACGTGACAGAGCATGCACAGGTTTATTTTGATAGCAGCAGAGACAATCGTATGAATTCCAAGTTCCATACTCGACTTTCCCCCACGGCTTATACTTCTTTAGGTCGATTACACGGTACACCGTTGACAGCTTGGCTGCGTGTCCCACTCGACTGGTATCAATCACACACCACATCATTCTATCCTGATGAGACTCACGACTCCATCCGTCGTATTTTCACACCACACCATGCTCCCCAGACTCGACGTATCTTCTGTGGCTTCTGCGGTACGCCTTTGAGCTTTTGGTCTGAAGAACCTGCCGATGAATCAGAATTCATGTCAATTGCTATTGGAAGTTTGTTTGGAGAAGATCAGCGTGTCTTGGAAGATCTTGATTTGCTACCGGAGGATCTTGATGAAGATGCACAACATGCCGATATCTCGACCCCCGCCACCGTTGCACCACTTCACAGAGATGCTTCTGTTGTTGTACCCTCCTTTCAAAACTCACCAGTTATATCTCAAGGTTTTCGACATGGCAAGCTAGACGGTATTCCTTGGTTTGAAGAGATGGTAGAAGGAAGTCGTCTGGGTCGGTTGATGCGGGCGAAGCGTGGTAAGGGAATGAGTGATGACAACTCCACGTCATTTGAATGGGAGATTAGCGAATGGCAGAGCGATGATATCCATGGGATTGAGCAAGAAGACTCTGATTCAAGCCACAAAGCCACCGGGAAAAGAAAACGGGGTGACCAGGGGAATGTTCAGCATTGAAAAAGCAGCATTAGCGTAATAATCACACACATGGCATGCATGTATTGATGTCCATTTAGCTTGGTATGGTATGGTTAATTCAAAAATTATTGTCCTAAACATTGTCTTCATATGTACCTATGTAGTACATATCCTATCATCCCCGGTGCTAGCCCTGGAGGCTACCGTGTAAGCCTATCTCATCAATATGTACCATTTTACAAGTCCAGGTACATAGGGTAATAATCTCTAGACCGAGCGTGTTTACGAAATCGATCAGGTAGATAGCTTAGAATGTATTCGATAGCATGATTGAGAACATGATCAAGAACGTAATTGAGAACGTAATTGAGAACGTAATTGAGAACGTAGAACGTAATGAAGAACGTACTAATTAAGAATATAAGTCGAATATATTACTATTTATGTACTAGTATTCCTTGATACAGGCGCCTTTGTTTATGCCAATTGGTATATGTATAGCTCCAGTTTTAGTGTCTGTAGCACCAACTTGAATATATTGATGATTATTTATTATAAAACGTGGGTAGTGAGTGAATCTACTGATAGGGAAAAGGATACTAGTACATTTAGACGCGTGATCTCACTCGATATGGGAATCCTAGTATTTTTCTGTGTGCTGTTGTCAAACGCGCGTTGCCTTCCTTTCTTCCTCTACCATCTTCTTCCCTACTCCCGCATATACAACATCAACGAATCCACGAAAGAACTTCAAGAACATCATTTCAATTCATCTCACAAGTAAGTCTCTACTTCCACAAGAAGTGATCAGTGATTAGGGGTTCAGATGAGGGAATGGATGATCTCTTGTGGACAGTATTTGTGATGATAATGATCCCATTTTGCCACAAGAAGAATTCGTGACTCCAGACGAATGGTTATGTCCGGATTGATACTACTTACTAGATATTTGCTAATTCTTCTTGCATGAAAAGACATGGGAAAAGTGGATCTCACCGACGCTGTCAATAATCGGCAGCTATCCGCAAGCAAGAAGCCGAGCGTACCACGTCGGATTTTTGCGGCAATCAAACAACGGGCAAGTCAATCGTAATTGAGCTTGAGATGAATATCACTGACATGCTTTCATGTGTATAGATTTCGGCAGCTGTCAAGAGATTGGGTCTGAGTTCCAGACTGAGCTTCCCTGTAAGCTACAAGCTTTATATGATCAGCACCAAATGAATTTGTTGGATATCGGCACTGAGACTCACCATCACCTAGAATGCAGAGGGAAATCCTTCTTGGGGCTCTAACAGCTCTATCACAACCGGGATATTGAGCCCTGCTAGCGACGATTCTGATGGGCCGGCTTTCGTGCGTGAGCAGTGGCGGCGCTGGATAAAAAGGAGCACAGAAGAAAAGGATCGAGCATGTAACGCTCTTACAAGCTTGTCAAATGACTTAGCTCGTCAAAAAAGCCCGGAGACAGAGTAACGGTTAGCTGGATCTGTTGAAGAAGTCGGCAACAGCCCTGTCGAAGAAGTTGGCAACGGCTTTGGAAACCTTTAGACGACCTTGCCTTCGGACGTCTTCCAGGTTCAGCGTTCTCCACAGATCAATGCATCCGATGAGCACCGGGGTGGAGAAGAAGAAGAAAAAGAAGAAGAAGAAGCACGCAACTTGGGATTTTGCTCGGCACCCACTCTTCCATTGAAGGAACGCGCGGTATGGATTCATCTGTTTCACCTGGCTCTTGCGACATCAGCTCGATATCGAGTGTTTTAAGCCATGAGAGAAAAGGTGAGAGGATTAAAAACCTAAGTTGTATAGAAAGGAAGTCCGGGCCAGTGAAGAAAGGTCCGTCCCAAACGGGCGCGTCTGTTTCTACTTCCTTTTGTTGATGCGTAACAGGATCTGTTCTTTGCGATCCTTCTCACTCACAACATCCGACAACCATCACCTACCCAGACCGCACCATCGTGAGATCGTAAACTCACGATGCCGAAGGAAAAGATGTCTCAACCGGGTTATCGTCGAGGTATGATTTTTGAAATTCATGCAGATTCATTCATACTGACCTGGCCTGTACAGTCTCTCCCCTCTCCTTTTCTCATCCCCTCCCACCCCGCCTGAGAAACGGTGACTCTCAAATCCCCCGCCCTGCGCCATCAGCTACTGGCCCAGAGTCTGCTTCCCCGAGCTCCCCAGACCCTCCAGGCACGTACGCTCTTGATTCCCCTCTACTTTCAGGACCAAAGAGAGGCACTGGATACTACCGGGGTTGCGAAAGAATCCCAATGCAATACGGACCAGAGGATCGCGCAAACAACGCACGGCGAATTGCTTGTACGGGTACTGAAGTTACTTTTCAAGTGGCAAGTCCTAGACTCATTGATATCCCCCGGAACAATGGTGGACGAAACATTGAAAACGAGCTTGCAAATGCCATTTCCCAGGGTTACAGTCAACCGCCACTTATGAATCTACTACCGACCATCATTGAAGAGGCCAGACCCAGTACCAGCACACACACAAGCTCTGAGTACCAAAGCATTGCTCAAAGTGAAATGCCCACTCTCGGTGTGTCTATGAATGCTGAAAGATTTATCATGGGTGGAAATCCTGGTCCCAGCACCCTGCCAAACATCACCAATGAGCGCCAATCACAAGGTGTTTTCCAATCACAGTTAGTCCCAATACCCAGAGATCAGGATAGGACCCGTCGCTATGGGCGTGTTACAAGTTTGGATATTTCAGGTCAATTGAGAGAATCCCCTTCAACTGAGCGAGATGGCACGTCGCTAGAATACACGGATGGTCACAAGGATGGTCACAAGTCCTTTGAATCACTCCAGGGTAGAGAGAAAAGGCATAGCTCATCCTCAGTGGTTGTTGGTCATGAGACTGTGGGGTTGAAGCCACGCCCAGTCCGTCCTGACAGCCCGCTTCTGCCACCAAAACGCACTTCGCCCGAAGACAGATATCCTAAATGCATGATCACGGGCCTTCCTATTCTGCCAGCCCCACAGAACTCTCCTGCATCGATGCACGCTCACGACAAATATGAATTGGACCCAAATGATATCCCACGCTCGATTACATCCACGGCACCCACTCCACGCAATTCCCTTGAGCAGATGCAAGAGGCTTACATGTATGGAAAGGCATTGGGGGAGTTTGAAGGACTGACCCCACAATCGATCCCGCCACTTGCTATACCAGCGAACCTGTCTGTCTTGGTGAAAAAAAAGCGACTCAGAAATAACTCAGCTTCTAGTGCTGATACTGATGTGACTAAACGCGTGCCAGCATCCACGATCCCAAGACTTTCTCTCCGTGCGCCATCCTTGGAGTCTTTGTTGGGCTGGTCTGGGCCTAGTGAGAAGCGCCATCCAAAGCCAGGCGCCAATAAGCTCACTAAAGACAGCCCTGTCAGTAGCGTTGGATCTAGTAAGCATGCCACTTCCGAGAGGATCAGCCAGAGTCACACTGAGGTGGGAGGTAACGCCCTCCAGACGGCCACTGACAAGCCCGCTTCGCCATCGCCACGAATGTCCAAGGTCGTGGGGGGCATTCGCAGTGCGTTTTTACGAACACGCCATGGCAAGCAGACAAAGCGTGTGTCTTTCAAGCTTGAAGATGATGACCCCGCAATTACGCATTCACTACTACCTCCGCTACCTCCCCTTCCTAGAGAAAGTTCGTCTGGGAGCCTCAAGGAGAGTACTCTAAAGACCCGGATTAGCTCTCCAATTCTCCCTGCCCGCGGTGATGAGAATTACAACGCCCAAGAGCTCGAAACCACCGGCTTGGATAGAGTACGCCAGACCTTGAACGGCCTCGGAAGACTGCTGGTCGAGGACGAACAACCTGAGCGACGGAGGGTATGGTACCGAGTAAGTTTCCCCTTGTTTTCCCTCTCTTTTAGTCTCATCAAATGAAGCATTCAATAACTAACATCTTTCTTTTGCAATAGGAATATGTTCTTCTGCAAGGCCTCCTTGCCAACTTCAATACCAAAGCTGCTCGTATCGCAGATGCGACCTCCACAATTGCACAACTGCGCGCAGAAGCGGCCATGTGTCGGTACGCTATGATGCAACAGGTCGAGCAGCTTTCACATGACCACGACGCATTCTATGCGGGGGATCTGCCCAGTGACCGGGTTATCGGCGAGTGGGATCCCAGACATCGCTAGATGTGTTGTTGGGCTTGTGGAACTTGGGACTTGGGGTTTGGAAGGAGGTGCGGGTGTCATCGAGTGGGTATTCTTAACTTATAGCTCTTCTTGTTTATTTCTTATTTCTTATTTATTCTCTTATTTTCTTATTTCTTATTTGTTTTTCGTTTTGTTTTTCGTTTTGTTTTTCGTTTGTTTTTTTGTTTGTTTTCTTGCTTGTTTTCTTACTTATTTTCTTACTTATTTTATCACTTATTTTATCACTTCTATTATTACTTTTTTATTACTTATTTTATTACTTCTATGATTACTTCTATGATTACTTCTGTGATTACTTCTTTTATTACTTCTTTTATTACTTCTGTTATTACTTGTTTTATCACTTATTTCGTTACTCTGTTTTATTGATCGTTGTATTAATCGTTGTATTACTTGTTTATCATTTCTTTTCTCGTTTATGTTGAGGCCATCGATGTTAGAGGGGGTTTAATGAGCCCCTGGGGCCTGGGATAATTGTTAACATTACCGTGTGGATATTTTTAGGCTCGAGGGTTCCACAACAACGATCGACGGACGATGTCACGATACGACATCTACGATACGATAATATCAGTACCTCGTTTCGCGTCCAACTCCGTGCTCCGTATACCGTATACCGTATACGATTAACATTTACTAGGTCCAGATACTAAGGTTTTAGGATTGAAAAGAAAAAAGGTGAGGAATTATTGTTTTTCATATTTTCGCTAATTGAAAATACCGATTGGAAACCAACTAAGGGGCACAAAATAAGACCTTAATAAAACATGTGCACATAGGCACTCCGCGGACGCCGAAAAGAAATGCAAAGAGCCACCCGTGACATAAGTAACTCATCTATACTAACTCATCATCTTTTATCAAAAGTTCTTTCCAATAGATAAGTATATATCTCTCTCAAGAACGACCGCTCCACTGTTGCTGCAAACCGCGCTCCTTATCTGAGTTCTGGGGCGCCTTTCCACGCACGGGCAGGGTAATACCAATTCCAAGGATGGTGATAACCACAGCAAACTCCATGAGAACGCTCATAACAAGAGTGACAGTCTCGTTGCCACCGGTCATGCTGAAAGTCTTGTCATCCAGGAACCAGACCAGGACGGCATAGATCACGCGGACTAGAATGAAAGGCGAGGAGATGGCGACAGCGAGCAGAGTGCGTTTCTCGAGGGGCTCGAGGCCACCACGGCGAGTGTTGAGGATGGCGAGCAAGACCATCATGAAGACCCAGGACACGATGTAGAGGACCATACCGATCTTTGCTTCGATGTTCGATGAGATCGTACCATTGTCGTTCATGTTGAGGGTGATGCCAGTGATACAGAGGATGAGAGCGACAATGTTAAGGAGACGGAATGCGCGGAAAGTTGGGAGCTCAGGAAGACCATATCCAGTCACTTTCTTGATGGATCCGTCGCTATTTGGGAGTTAGAGTCTTGTTCGCAAGATACAATGAGTGGCAAGGGTTGACTTACGCCCGAGAGAGAAGTCCAGAGCAGGCCATCAGCATTGGGGTCAGGCCAATGGAGCTTGTGATCGCGTAGGTCGTGTATAAGGATTTCGAGTCATTGTTGATTGTTAAGAGGTCACAAATGCCGCCGATGATGCGAAGAAGAGTGAAGACGACGATGAAGATGAATCCGCTGTTTGTGCGGAGGCCATGACGGGCGACAAGGAAAGCAGAGATAAAGATAGAAGGGAAGTAAACGATTAGTTGGAGAATCGAAACTCCATTGCTGTAGTCGATCTTGCCCATTGTGAATAGTTATGTGTTGTGAGGGGGGCTTTGAGGGAGGTATAGGATGAAGGGTGTGTAGATTCAATGATTGATCTGAATCGGACAGGAAGAGAAAAGCTTGAGATGGGTGGTTTAATAATTTTTCAGAACATTGGGAAACCACTGAATTCTTATATCTTTATGGAACTGACAAGCTGGATTCCTTTTTTAGCCTAGCTTGGGCGTTGTGGCCAGCGCTCTCCAAATGAGCCCGATTGGGAAAGGGCCCCCATTTTCAGAAAGAGAGACTACTACGCTAGTGTGGTGGGCAAGGCACCCACTTTTTTTTTTTTTTTTTTTCTTGAGTTTATCTGAGAATCCTGCAAGGGAACCAGTCAGATTCTTTGTTTCATAAGGCTCAGTTCAAGCTTTAGTCTGCAGATTCTTACCAAATTTGGTAGATTTCAACGACGCTATGCCTGATTGAGGATGCATCGCGACGACCAACTCTTAACCAATCAAATGATTCAAATCCACGTTTTCGTGGCTGAGTTTCATCCCTGCAAGGTGACGGGGAGTTTTGACTGGCCAAGACCAAATTTAAAAGTGGGTTCCTTCTCAGCTGAATATGTAGATTTCTGGTCTCTGATTGGTGTTTCTTTACTAGTTCCTCGCCGTTCATTATAACGCGCGCAATCCACAAGTCAAAGAGAAAAAAAAGATTGAGCCTTGATGCTAGCATCTTTACGCAAATATCGAACTAAAATATGATCGTCACAGTCACTATAATTGGAAACGGGGATTTCCGATGGGGGCTTGTTGATCCCTTCCAACCTGCTACAAGCTTTTTACAACCCCATCTATAACACAGACACCCCTTTCCTAAAGTGGTAACGCTTATTATGGCCCCCAAATATGAGGTTTTTTTATTTTATTTTTATTTCTCCCCGCCTTCCACATGGGCGTAATAGTAAGCAGGCATTTGCAGTTCCAAGACAGCAATAGACGTCACAGGGGAAATATCTGTTTAACATTTCGGGAATTTGTCTTCATCGACCAATAAGAGTGACTTCGTACTGTGTTATACGTCCCGCATGGCAAGCATGTCAGGACTTTGTTTAGACTATTCCGATGAAGATCAGCCTATGTTTCTAAAATTCAATCTTTCTACCCACGAGGTCAGGATTTACAAGCTAACCAATCTTAGTGTGAATCTCGTAGCAGATCATTTATTAATAGGCCGAATCAGTTGTCGTTAGACCATCTCTACGGTGGCGCTTACCTAATTGAATGGTTTCGCATTTGTTGGTTACTGCTATTTTATATGGTGATAACAGTTGTATACTTCAAAAATACTCGGCTTGGAATGTCAAGGGAACTTAGTACTAATCAACAAAATCCGTGGACCGTTGGAAGAAGAGGTTGAACTGACAACCTTGGAAAGTTGAGCTCGTCTTCAACATTTGAAGGTTCATACCCAAAGTACTAGAAAGGAACCAAGTTGGAACAAATAAAAGAATAATGTCATTAGCTATGCATGTCTATGAAAATCAAAATGCTGAAAACGCTCAATCAAATAAATCGCTGCAGTTCTTCTTCGGAAATACCACTGGTCTCACACATTCCTCTAAACACACCGCCCAGATCCCACAGTTCACTCGGCGTTCCCAACTCTGCGATAACTCCCTTGTCCATCACACAGACTCTGTCATAATTGATAATCGTTCGAATACGGTGCGCCACCGTAATCACAGTCTTGCCCTTGAACGCTTCTACCATAGTTCGCTGAATCTTTTCATCTGTCTCCAGATCCACACTTGAGGTTGCCTCGTCACATACAACGACTTTGCTGTTCCTAACAAGAAGACGAGCTAGACCAAGCTGCTGACGTGTTCCGTGAGAGAAGTTGGTTCCTTCTTCCTCAACGGTGTCATCTAGTTGCATTGTATCAGCCAGCCAGGCCCCGCGAAGGGCGAGCCAGAGTTCTTCGTCGGTGTGTTCATTCAAAGGGTCAAGGTTGGTGCGTATAGTACCGCGGAAGAGAACTGATTCTTGGGGCTGAATGGAAAGACGAGAGCGGAGCTCTCTCAGTGGAAGGGTTGAAATATCAACACCGTCAATTGTGATGCAGCCGCCAGAGAGCTCACACGTCCGGAACAGTGCACCGATGAGCGAAGATTTTCCGGCACCCGTACGTCCGACGATGGCGACGTGCTCACCTGGCTTAATGGAAAGAGTCAATCCACGAAGGACCTCGGGAAGTCCTTCACGGTAGCGCATGTGAACAGCTCCGAAGGTGATGCCTCCTTGCTCGGGCCAGGATTCTGGAGCAGCGACGGGAGGAGTATCGTTGTTACCCTCGATAGGGAGGGTGTCACCGGGGCCATAAGCGTGGATCCGCTCGGTGGCATTCATGGCATTTTCCACATTGGCCCATTGGCGAATGATGAATTGCAGAACCTGCGCAGCGCCGAGGGAGTAACTGAGCACGACGCCGGAAATAGCTGGATTCTGAGTAGATCGTTGGATTACAACGAGGACTCCTGCTGTGACGATCAAAAGTACACCGACGAAGTCCAGACGCAGGCCCAGCCATCGCTGGTTAGCAGATGTCAAGAAGTTGGCACTGTTCATATCATCGATGGCACGCTGCAGGTTGGAGGAGAATTGATTTTGCATCGAGTATGTGCGAATAGTGCTCACTCCGGAAAGAGTTTCGGTAAAGCGGGCGAGAACAACGCCTCGCAGAACAGACTCATGGCGCTTGAGCTCACGCGCAGAGGCACGATAGTAGAAGGCAGAGAAAAAGAAGATGGCACTGCAAGGGATAAGAGCAATTCCAAACCAATGGAACTCAGCCACAATGAGAGAAAGAATACCCAGAACCATAGCAGTTCCGACCATGAACAGTCTCAGCGACTCTGGGAGGGCATCATCCATCACATAGACATCCTTAGAGAAGCGATTGACAATGCGGCCCAAAGGTGTAGTATCGAAGAACCAAACTGGAGCGTGCATGATCTTTGCGGTCGCTTTGTCAAGCATGACGTTGCTGGCGCTGGTACAAAGGATTGAAATGCAAAGACCGAATAGATAGAGGCAGAGTGCTTGGCCCAGACCGAGGGCGACGTAGATACCAATATAAGTGTTTCGCTCGAAGCCAAATCTGTCAGATGCCCACCATGCAAGCCACATACCACAGAGAATGGCGCTGCCCTGTGCCATGCAAAGAAGTGGAATGGCCAACATGATAGCGATGGGACTCTGAGAACAGGCAAGATAAGATGTGTAGACATCCCAAGAAATGCCGCCATTGACATCGTCCTCAGATTGCATAAGCTCAGGCATGCTATCATCCCCAGCCAGTTTGCTGACTGTGGTAGTCTCTTCTGCAGGCTTTTCGGCATCTTTTTCGGCGTCCTTATCGGCATCCTTCTTTGTCGCTTTATCTCGGTTGCCTTCTGCTTCCTTGACCAGAGCAGCGAAGTCGGGGTATTTCTTTTTCAGTTTCGCAAAGCTACCCAAGGCCTTGATCTTTCCATCATCGAGCCAGAGAATTCGATCGCAGCGACTCAGGACGTGGGCTTGGTGAGTTGCGAGAATTCTTGTTTTGCGTCCAAGTGCTCCGCAAATTGCCTCGTCGAAGATGGCTTGTCCGACATAAGGATCAACAGCGCTGAGCGGATCATCCAACAACAGGATATCGGCATTAGAATACATGGCTCGAGCCAAGCTAATTCTCTGCTTTTGTCCACCGCTGACGTTGATACCTCGCTCTCCGATTTCAGTAGCATCGCCGTTGGAAAGAATTTGAAGATCACGACGGAGCTGGCAAGCGGTGATTACTTTGTCGTACCACTCGGGATCAAAGGGCGCACCAAAAATAATATTGTCGCGCACAGTGGCATTCTGGATCCATGCTGTCTGTGGACAGAACGCCCGATCTGAGTGAAACTTGAGAGTTCCCTGTACCTTGCGCATGTCACCAGCCAAAGCAGATAGAAGGGATGACTTTCCGCTTCCAATACCGCCAATAACTGCAAGAAGTTCACCGCGACGGATACTGAGAGAGATAGCAGGAATTGAGAATGGAGCCAGAACAGGCTCTTCCTCGGCCAAAGTAACTGATGATGCGGACTCCTCATAGGAGGGTGGGCTCGTTGATGGGAGACCAGACACGGGTCGCTCCTTGGACCCCTTTTCGGTTGACTTTGCACCATCTTCCCATCGCATGGAGGGCATATTATCAGATCCCTCTCTTTCAAGTGGGTGCTTTAAAGTTGAAGAAGGTCGATTGAACCATGTGGACATAGGTCGGATGGTCGATTTCGGTCGGATGGTTGACTCGGGCCGGAACCAAGTTGACATGGGTCGTACAATTGATCTAGGTCTTGCCGTTGAAAGAGGTCGCTCCCTTGAGTTGGTGGTGTTGGATCTATCTCGCGAGAGTGAAGGCATCATGAACGACGTTGGTCGTTCAAATCCGTATGAAGGAGGCATAAATGATGTAGGTCTGTCCCACCGGGACGAGGGACCTGCAAGCGCACCTTCTTCCCAGTCAAAGGTAGGCAATGCAAAACCTTCAGTGTCATACTCAACATCATGGAACATTCTGCTTGCTCTCAGTGCTGACAATGAGTCCCGGTTGTTGTAGTGATTTATTTCTCCATCGTGGAACATTCTGCTTGCTCTTAGAGCGGCAAGGGAATGGCGGTCTTGTTGTGGGTTCTCTTCCTCCTCTTCGCTCAAGCCCGCGGTTCGGTTAGCCAACCCCTTCTCCCAGGTGAATTCGGTCTTTTCAAGTCGGACCGCATCTCTCATGTTCTCATCGACGTCCAGGTCCTCGGTCTCCTCTGCTAGGAGATACTCTTCAATTCTTGTCATACTGGCCCATGCGTCGGACGCATGACCAAGACACGCAGGCAGGAACGCGGTAGGTGTGAGGAGAGAACTGAATAGAGCGACACTTGAGAAAACGATAGCAACATCGAGTCCTCCCTCGTGAACACATGCGTACGTGACGAAGCTGATCATGCAGGCCAGAACAGGCAGACTTTGTCCTAGGGAGGTGACAAAGTTGAGAATCAGGTTGAAACTTTGCAGCTGGCGTGTCTCATCAGCTCTGAGCTTTATCAAGCGATCAACGAAGCTTTCCTCCCAGCTGAAGTATTTGACCAGACGAATGGACTGAAGGACCTCTTGTGTTAGGCCAACTCGGACGTCAGTAGACATATTCATCACCTGTCGACGGGCGAATAGCGCTTTCACAGCCACGACGAGGAAGAACATGGCGACAATCAGAACTCCGAAACCGGCCACCGCTGACTGGCGAAGATTCACAATGAGCAAGGCCATGCAGACGAAGATAATTAGTGGCGAGGTCCACACAACGTGAATCATGCTGATACCCCCATCAATTCGATGAGCATCCATGGATACAAGGTTGACGACACGACCATTGGACCAGCCGGCCTCGGACTCGTCAGCTTTGGCGTTCCCAGAAGACTTGTCAGACTTTTCGTCGCCAGGTTTCTCATTCAAGTCAACTTCCTGTAGCGTTTCTTCGGAGCTTCCGGTTACAAGCTCAGCTGAGCCACCAGCTCTAGCTCGCTCGGAGATTCTCAAACTCTTCTCTTGAATCTTATTGGTCAAGACTGCCCTGACTTGTCCACCAACCATAGTTCCGCGATATAGAAAGTGGTTTTGGCATGAGCTGAGCAGGATTTGCATGCAGATAATGCCGACCAACAATCCGACTCCCCTGGTGAGTTCCGGATTCTTCACTGTGGCTCCCGGAAGGCCGGCGTAATAGCTGTTCTGAACCCATTCGATCAGGTAGCGCAGTGTATAGGGGTTTCCAACGGTAAAGAGGTCGGCAAACAGACGGCATAGACCGCCAATCCAGAACTCGCGAGCGAAAGTCTTGTGCAAGGCGGTAAAAAGTGGGTGTTTGACGTCGGCCGATGCCTTTGCCTCCTTGAAGTGAGCGTCAAAGATGATGCTGTGCTTTTGTACACTTCTGTTGGGATTGAGGAGTGGAATATCATTGATCTTTAGGGGACGACGGAAGCCAGTCTAACAGAATAAAAGCACGATTAGCATACGGAAGGGCACCAAGGAGATGCTCTTAGCTCATGGTAAATTTTACTCACCGACATCAAATCCCCCATCCAACTAAACGTCCATCTACTGATAAATCCTGCTGTATACTCGGGAGATATTTGTCGCTCTGCAGGCACAGGCGCGACTTTCTTGTGTGACGAGTGATGCGAGGGTCGAGTCTCTTGGCTGGCCAACTCAGCATCGGGGTTGGGCAACGGCATGTTGAGATCTACCCAGGTGTTGGGTCACGAAATCTGCAATCGTTGTAAGTACTATGTTGTGGTGGGTAGAGGTTCAAGAGAGAACAATCCAGTCTTCAATGGCCTTATACATACAAGGGAAGCTCGTATAGTTGTCGGGATAAAGTGGCGATAGTAAGCAATGAGCCGACACTGCAAGGGCCTGGCTGTTTCAAATAAACGAAGCTTGATCGCTGAAAATGACTGAAGTTGATTCGATTGCCTCTCAACCATGTGCAGTTCTGTCGCCTTTTGTTGCTTGCATACCCGTCCTTCCGGATTAGGAAGAACAGATCCCACTCTGCATGGATCATGGTGTCGTTTGATTGTAGATCCATGTTTGGATAGTAGACAGTGGCGATTTCGGGGTGAGAACAGAGTTGTTTCAGCACTAAGGCCGACGATAATCCAAATCCCAACTCGATGCTATACTGTACCCCAGGTAGGTAATATCAAAGCCACGTGTTACTGAAAAGGGCAAGGTTCGTAATTCTAAAAAAAAAAAAAGGAAATACGATCATATTGTCGTAATGTCAAAGCCAACTTGTCACCGCGCGTTGGGGCCATGTTGTGGGTTCGGGGATTTTTCCTGTATTTTACATGAACGTCCACGTAATAAATGTGTACTAGTATCGTATTGGTATCTTTCATCCCTTTCGAGGAATTGGCATGCTTAAATCTCAATCACCATTATCTACAAACAACTAAAATAAGGAGTGAGAATAAAAAACCCCAACGAATGGTTTACGCAATCTCAAATTTGATTATTTCATTTATCTTCATATGATTGTCATCTTAGGGGCCATCACGTTCTTTACATACACCAAATCGACACCTGATGGCAGATTACCGCTTTAGGAAAGGAAAAAGAAGCTTACTGGCCCACTTACTCGGAAATGGCAAGTCAGTTCGTAGATCTCCTCTTTGAACTTCTGATGATAATAATAGTTTGATCAGTCTATATTTAAATAAAATTGAATTATCTCCGCTACCAACATAAAAGCAACGAAGCAGCTAGATAGAATTTAATTAATTCGGCAACAATCATTTTCAATTGATCAAGCAACCAAAATTCAAAATGTCTGCCCCCGCAAACATCACACTCAAGAACCTTGATGGCCAGTGGGTCATGGTGAGTCTGCTCTCCGATCGTATTTCGGCTGTGCCCAACTCATCCTTTCGGATATTAACCTGCATCATAGAACCGGACCCGCTCCTCGGAATACGACCCCCTTTTGAAGCTTCAGGGGATCAACTGGTTGATGCGCAAGGTGTTGAACATGACCAACGTGGTTCTCGAGGTCAAGGAGTGGGAAGACGAATCCGACGGCTTCACCCACATGGACATTGATCTTAAGCCGACCTCGGGTCTGCCTGCCAGTCAGGAGAACAAGGTGTTTGACTTCAACGGAGTCGACTCCACCCACGCGCTTTTCGGAAAGATCCGTGTCAGCCAAGGGTGGGCAGGTGCCCAGGAACTCAATGAAGAGGACCATTTCTTGATTGAGGGAATGGAGGAGGGCATTGACAGCTTTGTCCACTTGAAGACCGAGCACCTTGACCACAATGCTGTGACCCACCAAGCCTGGGGATTTGAAGAGATTGAGGGTGCACGATACCACAGCAGGCACATTGTTGGAAAGAAGGGTGATCAGGTTGTACGCGTTAAGCTGGTCTATGACTACCTGGGCCCTCGCTCTGACGCGGAATAAGCTGGTTTTGACCCATGTTTCACGATTTTTCTTTGCTTCGGATTTTTTCTATACTTCTTCTTCATAATCTTGACTCTTTTTGTCTCAAAGAGCTTGGTTACACAAATTATAGAGCATTAAATACCTCCAATTAAATTAAACATTCCCAAATGCCTGCTCAAATTTACCCATAATACATTCTTTCTTAATCAATGGTGCTACTAGAGATAATATCACTGGACTTTTTGCGAGATCACTCTCGAATTAATTCTATCTCTCGCTATTCAACTCCTTTGAATAGCCGTTAGGGAAAGAAATTGAAAAGAACGATTATTCACATTGCGGCTTTGGATCTTATGTGTCATTTATGTATTCCCGTCAAGCTCGACAGGAGCGCGAATTGGAGTGACGTCCCTGGTATCAGCTTCATGAAGAAGGTTTGAATCTACTTCATGCTTTGATTCTAGTCGATCATTTGGTGAAATATCGAGCTCAACCACCCGCGATGTGCCTGTACGTTTGCCTGTACGTTTGCCTCGTCGTAAAATAAAAAAGACCAGTAGAGTCAGAAGTGCAGTACCGCCCACCGCCACCCCAACTCCAATCCCAATCTTCAAACCTGACCTTGATGCTGACGTTGATACTAGTGCTGTTTCTGTGGGTGTGGATGTAGCGGAACCCGAGCTGACATCTGAGTGCCACTCGACAATAATCCCATATGCATTGATGAGCCCACCCGGTGTCATCTCACTAGGTGCAGAGGAGGTGGTACCGTCACTCATCCAGGTATAACCGTAATAGATGGTCGTTTTTGGAGCGAACTGACACACTTCGGTGCTGTACCAAGGTTCTGAAGCTCCTTCCAGCACGGGCGGGCGCGTTGAGAATACCCAACCGCTCGGCCTATTTGCAAAGAGATTAGATCACCCCTGGCTTTTCCCCTGGCTTTGCACCGTCATTCACACGTACAGATATTGAGGGCAGCATGTCCCCACCGTCTGCATTTGATTCGACACCTCAGTGGTGAGATTAGAGGCCATCACCCAGCCCCTGGGGCATACTCCAGACGTGTATGTATTCGAAGCGGTATATCCTGATGGTAGACATTGTGTGGTGTTTGCAGGACCAAGATTCATCCACTTACCATTAGAGCTCTGGACAAACCATAGATCGGAGAGGCATGCGCTGGGAGGTGTGAAAGTAGTTGTCAAAGGTAAAGGGGCCGTCGTCGTTCCGGCATCGCTGGTGATGGACATATTCGATGGACGCAGGCTAAGAATTGATGTTATAGAATTGTGCGATCGAACATTGAAGGGACAAATAAGTGTTTTCAGGTGTGAATAGAGCTTTTAGAGGTGATGAGGTGAGCTGATCTCTGGGGCAAATAAGGCGCCCGTGTGACAGCTGTACTACGTACTTCCCGGGTATAATCTTGGGATGGACTGGAGAACATTGTGCATACAGCTGAGCATGGCTACACCCGGAGTGGTTAACTCCGCGAACGTGAGATACTATTCTTATTAGAGCATGGGACTAACTCTTCTCCCATTATCCGAGCGATCCCTATAGTACTCAGCCCTACAGGCTACGAGTCGACCTATCTGTCCTGTTTATGCCCCACAGCAAAAAAAGCACCAAGTGGGGCTCGCCTCTCCCGCTACCGAGTTTCGACTCGCACAAGAGTCATGTATCAAGAAAATGACAATCTCTCCATCAATTGGTAAGATGGCCGAGTTGGTCTAAGGCGCCAGGTTAAGGTCCACCTTGACATCATTTCCTGGTCTACGTTTGTAGGCGTGGGTTCAAATCCCACTCTTATCATTTCTTTTTGTTTTTTGTTTTTTTTTGCATTCAGTATGATTCAATGCTCGGGAAGACAGCAGGTATCTTTTCTTTTTGAAACTTCGAATATTGAGAGATTATTCAAATTTTGAAATGACCTTTCAAGCGCCGGGAATTTTCAGACGTCTTGGGTATGCTACTTCTAGGAGATTTCACATCTGTGTGGGATGAATTGATTGATTTCTATATCTTTCTTAAAATTAACAAATTAGGGGGAATGAAAAGAAACATTGAAATGTTTTCGCTTAAAAACTGCACAAATAAATAATTCGAACTCGCAAAATTAGATCAACAAACGGAACAATTTTAACCAACGTAATACTCTGCTTCCGGCTCCCTGAGAAGCCTCAGCAGGGAGTCTTCAAAGGCACCCACCATGCCCGCGACCCATTTCTCATTCAAGAACTCATAGCCTGGTTTTCGCACATTATAAACACACTTCAGCGTCATCTTTCCACTCCAGTCCGGACCCTCGGGTCCAAATGCCGGCCACACTTCCATCATGATGGGGAATCCGATATCAACCTCCTTGTATGGAGTGAGGAGATTCTGTTCGGAACTCCATCCAGGCAAGTCCCGTGGAGCTGCGTCCGAGGAGGTTGCAGTCTCACTTCGGTATGCTTGCAAGTTCAGCGCAGTATCAAATCGATCGGCTCCCATCTCAAAAGTGTCCTCCGTCGGGCAAGGAACGTCAATGAAGGGCGCGACATCGGCATGCTGAGCTGCCAGCAGACGACAGATCTCGCGGTTAGTCGGGTTCTTGCTCTGTTCGTCCTTCTGGAGGACAAGGTGCATTGGGACGGTCGTCAGAAGCGGAGCCATGCAGCGCCACAAATCCGGCGTGTTTCTGCCATGCAAGATGCTGCCAAACTGCACGTCCAGCTTGCCCTCATTTGCGTTCCGGGTTTGCGCAAGCACACTGGCCCATGCGGCCTGGACCACGGCAGCCATGCTTGTGCTCAGATGCGAGAGGGCAGTGTTGGAGAGATCATCCATGGAGAGGCTGCTTCGTAGGGTGGCAGTGCGCATGTGTGTCTCGACCAATCCAGTTTCGATAGGGAGCATCACGGCCTGCGAAGCTGGCTGGGTAGATCCGAAACGGAAGGATGACACACCCGCGAAACGCTTCATCCAGTAGAACATGCTTTCCACCCAATCGGTGCCCTCGAAAAGAAGCTCGATAGTATTGCGCATGGGCAAGAATGCAAGCTTGTTTCCCTTATCGGTGAGGTTCCTGATACCTGCTGGTCTGCTGAGATGCGCGTATTCAGCAGTAATCTCCTCGCGGAGGTGGGACAGGCTGACGCCGTCGAATATGGGGTGGTAGAGGGAAAGAATCATGACATGGCGGGACCCATCGGGGGTGCTGACCCAAGTCACAGTAACTCCTGGTCGGTCAAGAGTCATGGCACCTTCGGCAGCACGTTGGGCCGAAACAAGGGTGTGTTGCCAGAGGCTGGCATTTTTAGGGTCAAACTTGCAGACAATCTCGACGGTGGAAACGGCCGCACGCTCTGAATTCTTGTTAAGAATGCAAACGGCGAAAGGCGAGAGGGGGTGCTTGATACTGCAAAAGACGGAGCGGAAACAATCATGTCTTCTGAGAACGACATCAACAGCATGTTTCATGCGAGTGGCGTCAAGTTTGTCGAGAGGCAGATCGTAGAGGAAGTGCTCGAGCTGAGGTCTGCCAGAGTAGCGGGTAGGGTCTACAAATTCATCGCGCGTAGAGTAGTAGAGAATTCGAGTTTGTGTGTTAGTAGCTGGTAGGACCTGCTCAATATCGACGGCCGCGAGGTTTAGGGCGGAGGTGCACTGAGGCATGCAGTGGTGAGAGAAGTGACGGAGTTTGTCGGTGATAGAGAGTTCGAAAATTCCCTCTTCGTCATCAGCATCGATAACAGAAACATCCACAAGGTTTTCTTCCTCCACGTCTTTCTTTGATACGGCCGAGTGGTCAACGGACACCCAGGTTTCCTGCTCATCCACGTCCATATCTTGTCCCACCGACAATTTTGAGGCCGGATTTTTAGCCTCAACTAGGTTGATCAAGTCATTGATTGTTACTGATGAAAGAATCTGGTGCAACGCCAGCCCCTCAATTCCGTCATCTCTCATGCTTTGAAGGAACAACATGGTCCGCAGACTGTCTAAACCAAGTCCCAAGAGAGGCGTGGTGGCGTCAGCATTTGTAGCCTTATCGCCGATAGCAGCGAAAAGACCCCGGTAGACGATGGAGGCTGAATCCTTTTTAAGGAACTCGGAATCTTGGATTTTCTCTGCTACTCGTTCAGGGACAGCAGGCGCTCCGTTTGCAACAAAGGAATCGCTCAGAGCCTCACCGGCAGCGAGTTTCAGCAGCACCTTACGGTCCACTTTACCACTCGGTGTGTATGGCAGCTGATCCAGAACGGTATAGCTTCCAGGGCACATCCACTCTGGTAACAATCTCTCTGCTTCGGCACGACACTTGCTAGCAACACTTTGGCGATCTTCGTCGGCCCAGACTGTCAAGAAGGCGACCAGCTGAGCGCGCACACCTTCCTTCGGATTGGCCACCACGACGGCGACAGAGGCTACCCCTTGCGCACTTGTGAGGACGTTTTCAATCTCAGTCAGCTCGACACGGCGACCATTCAATTTGACTTGATCTGTGCCAAAGCGACCAAGGAAGTCAATCTTGCGTTTTCCATCGGAGGACCAGACGACACGAGTCTTGTCACCGGTGCGATAAAGTGTAGTACCGGAAGGGAGACCCATTGCGTTCACGGGAATGAATGCCTTCGCGGTCGCATCGGGGCGGTTCAGGTACCCGAGGGCAACCTGAGGCCCGCCGACAATAAGCTCACCTGCGAGACCAAGTGGGGTTTCTCTTAGTTCGCCTGCATCAAGGGCCTCCGGGTCCGCCATGAGGAAAAATGCAGAAGTCAGAGCATCTCCAATGACGGAGCTGCGAGTACCCTGGACACACGCTTCCGCGGTACAGAAAATGGTGGTCTCTGTGGGACCATAGGCGTTGATAAGATGTCTGTCATCATCTGGATCCCCTTCGACTCGCGCGAATTTCTCAATCACACGACCGTTCACCGATTCTCCGCCTACAATAAGCGTCTTCAGAGCAGGCATGCGTTCCGGACGCATAAGAAGTGCTAGACTCGCGACAGCATATGACGCAGTGGCTCTCAGCTCCCGTGCGCATGCTTCAACGTCTGTGAGAAGAAGGTCACGCTCGGCAGTGCAGAGGACTCCACCAAGGGAGAGTGGCACGAAAGTGTCGATGATGACGGGATCAAAAGATGGCGCACTTAAATTGAGCCAGCGGACCCGTGGACCAGCAGGAAGATGCGAGAGTGGCCCCGCAAGGGTTGCCTCTACGCAGGCCAGCGCCGAGCGATGACTTCCGAGCACACCTTTTGGCTTTCCAGTTGAGCCACTTGTGTAGAAGAGGTAGCACAGATCATCTTCGGTTGGGATGCGAAGGTCACTGGATGAGGTTGCCACGGTGTCCGGGATGATGCAATCCATTCGCCAGCTAGAGGGGTTGGTAATATCGACCCACATCACCCCCTCTGCCAGCTGTTCACGCTCAGATTGGGATCCAGTAATGCCATTCCAGGGCATTGGACCAACTCCCAGCACGACTGGAGATCCGAGATCTTCGACAATGGCTCGGAGTCGCTCAGGTGGCGCATCGGCCGGAAGAGAGCAGAAGGCGTGGCCCGACTTGAGAACGGCCAACATAGAGAGGAAGAGCTCTGGGCTGGGAGAGATGAAGAGAGGGAAGGCGTACTGGTCGCCCAATGCCGGACGCCACTGGCTGCCTAGCACCTGAAGTAACAAACCAAGTTCAGAGGCGAGCTCTTTCGCTCGGCTGTCTACTTCGGCGTATGTGAGATCACGTCGGTCATACTCATGTTGCCTTGACCGCACTGATGTTGCAGGCGCACGGCACAAATATTCGATGGCGACGTTGTGAGGATGGCGGCGAACATTATCTTCAAATGCCGAGTGGAGTAGACGAGAGTGGAAATGGCCATTGGTCTTGGAGCCATTGACAGCCGGTTGCTTGTGAACAAGTTGTGGCGCTACTTGCAGGAAGGACTCAAAGTTGACTCGGGATGGGTCCAGCCCTGCTCCGGTAGCAATGTTGTCGGATAGCCCAGAGGTTAGGTAGGCAACGGCCAGTTTAACCAGATGTTTTGCAGCAATCCACCCACCATAATCTCCTCGCAGGTTAAGAGTGACATCGGCCCTATCCTCTTGGGTGTATACTACTGAAAGAACAAAAGGTCCCTTCTGCGCCGAGGCAGCGACCCCGTTTGTTGTTCGTGACCCGCTGTAGGCGGTAATCAGGATTTTGAAGTCAACGTCCTCGACATGGGTCACGCCGGTTAAGAATTCCAATTTCGGCTCTGGTGTCACACCAGTGGCTGCTCGAATCGGAATGGCGGCTTGAATTAATGTAGGCCCGGTCTCCGGCACATCTGCAACAAATGCAATACGCTCTGATCCGACAACATCGCCAACGAATCGCGCAAAGCGACAGAGAACAGTTCGGGAATCGGGAGTAGATTGAAGAGGAATACCATGAACAGTGAATGAATGAGCTCGAACCAAGGTTGCGTCGAGGCTTGGTCCAGTGATGTGGTAAGGTGGAAGCTTAGAGGAAGGCAGATCTCGAATCGCAGCGGCCTGTACTTGCTCGGATAAATGAATTAATCCCATGATGAGTTCGGCAATGTATCGCAATTAGAAGCCCTGGAGGTATGTCGATGTAGGTTATTATAGTCAAGAGGTGCGGAACTCGGTTCAATGAATTAGCATCAATGGGGGGCTTAGTATGTAATTTTATCTCGATGCCCGGTAGAAAATGTTTAGAGAAGAAGTAAAAAAGAAGATATTCGACGTCAATTTGTGCGATAGACAGTGTACAAGAAATGGCTCTCTCTCGATCACAGAGGCTTCTATTCATAGTTGAAAGCATTATGGCCTACAAACAGGTGAGGCCCCAAACTGGCAATTTTTGGGCAGTGGACCAATCGTGATCCAGTGCTAAAAGACCCCAGACTGGCAAGACCCGAATTAGGGGCGGGTTTTCACATCTTTAAACTCCGATGATCTTCAACATTTACCGATAATACCTTAGTAGGCAAGCTGACCCGTTTAGGTATATGTAGAAGCCAATCAGCAGAGTGAGCTTACGCGAAAGAATTGCCCTACGAGATGAAACGAACGGTCGCTCCTGACTTTTCAGCCCCTAAAACAAGACTTCTCTCAGCACCAAAATAGGAAATTGATCGAAGGGCTCATGTTCTGGGGAGTCTAATCCGCAAAGCGACCGACTAAAACTTAGGCTTAAATAGTTGTAAGATTCCCCCTTGTCCACACTAGTTCCAAGGTTTCCAGGGCTTTACGGAACATCCTGTGCTATCTAATGCGGTCCATAAGGTAAGAACTAGTACCTGGTACTCCAACATCACCTGCGTACCTTTTTCATTTCCACGGTTGTCGAGGAAATTGTTCTTTTTGCCAACAAAGCAGCCCAAAGTCTGTGGAACTTGAACGGAGATGGGACAGGGGTTACGAGGAACCAGTGGACGTATCACAAACAAACAAAGAGCTGAGAACACGAGAAGATTCAAATGTTGGAAACCGCCCCCAAGACGTATACACATTTGCCGTAATCTTACAGGATCGAATTGAACATGGAAAAATAAATGTCCCTAGTGCAGAAAACCGGGTTATTTGTTCGTTATTTTGGTAATCACATCAATTCCTGTTTCCTGTAGCATCTTACCAATTATGGCATCTACAATCTACTGATACGTACGCAGTGTGGTGGGCACAGATACACTGTAATCTCAATGAAAGATCTGTAAAGTAAAGTGGGTACGGAATAACTGGATCCACACGGAGTTGGCGAGGCTTTTTTTTCGCTTTTGGTTCGCAACGCGAGCTGCTCACCCCATGCATGAGTACTGCACAGACCCATTTTGTTACGAGGTCAGATTGACCCATGATAGCGCCACAATTTGGAAGTAATCAACACTTGAACTCTCTCTCTACCATGTTCTTTCACCTAATCAATCTGCTTAGCGCTAACCCAGCAACCTTGAAAGAAATACTATAATATTAGGCATGAATTCAGGTCTCAATCTGACGATTTACTTAAAACAACCACAGGTGCCCTAGTTCTTGGCTGTTTCTTAATCACTGAGCTTATTCTTCTTTGGACTGCTTTTGCATCAATCTTTTTTTTCCCTTTTGCCTGCCGATTTACAGGAATTCAAACAGTCAGAAGTGGCGATTATTGTCTTTGTCACCTAAACAATAAGATCGCCTTCTGATTCAACCTTGGGGTATACCATTTCACCAAGAATAATTTGAGACAAATCTCCAAAATGGATGTGGGCCTGGATTTGGGCCAGCCTGGTGTCTTCACTTACCGCGATGGTGTTGCCGTTATTCAGCTTTTCTTTTTCACAATTTATCTAGCCCTCGGTGTCGTGCTATGTTGGCGCCACGGGTTCCGTCGTTCAGATGGATGGATCCTAGTGGTCACCTTATCAATTCTACGCCTACTCGGTGCAAGTTTCCAGCTGGCCACTATTCACACCCAGAACACAACAACCTATGGAGGTGCACTTATCTGCCAAGGAATTGGTCTGGCACCCTTAATCCTATTGAATCTCGGCATGTTCATAAGAATGTAAGCATATATTCCTCTAAAAAGACAAACCTTGAATAGTTATATAAAATAATGACTAACAGAAAAACTCAACAGGAACATGTACTTTAAGAAACTTCACCGACTGGTATTCACTGCCATCTCCGTCATCGCTATCGTTGCCATTGCCCTTGCCATCTACGGTGGTACCGAGTCTGCAGAATCAGCAACTCTGGGATCAAACACCATGCTGAAGGTTTCCGTCATCCTCTTTGTAGTGTGCTATGCTATGTTTTGGGGGCTGTTCTTCTACTTCATTGGGCATCGGAAAGCACTGCCAGCCCCTGAACAGAAGATGTTCTTGTGTCTCCCGCTGTGCGCTCCCTTCATGATTGCCCGACTGCTTTACAGCATTCTGGGAGACTATGTTCCAAGTCTCCGCTCGCAATTCAGTGTACTGGATGGAAATGTGACCGCCTTCCTCTGTATGGCTGTCCTGGAGGAGATCATTGTGGTTGCGGTTTATGTGTTTTTCGGCATGGGACTGGAAAAGCTCTCACCCGAAATGAAGGGAACCCGGCGGAGAAATGATGGAGATGGGGTTTTTGATTAGAGAAGGAGACATCTGGAAAATTCAGCAAGTATAGATATCTAATGGGTTTCGAATTTGGTTATTGAGAGTTGGAACATCGATAGCACTGATAATTTGCCACGGAGTAACGTGGTCATTTGAACCTTACAAGAGCCCATGTGTGAAACCTTGGACGATGAACTAGAAATGTTCGACCATTTTGAAGTTCCGATAGCGATGTATATAATTCTCATGTCTTAATTATTTGTTTTGATAAAATATCAGTCATGTTACATAGATTTACTGGATATACCTGGAAAATCAAGGCACCTAGATCGCTGTGCACATTGTTACATAGATATTGTTCGAGTACGTATGCCCATCAAGACCTATTTATCCACGTCACGAACATTAAAGGAAGCAGTATGTTTTTTTGTTTTTTTTTTTGCCACAGACTTAACCGGGAACCCTTTGACATATATCCTCATTCGTTACATACATGAATTAGAGAAAACGTGGTAGCATGTGCTCGGGGTGTTCATAAACGCCAGTCTGGAACGTACTAAGCTCCTTCAATGTTCTGTGGCGGAAGGGATAAAGCGGGGAAATTTTGTTTATTGTTTAGTAAATGGGGGTCTTCTTTTTGAAAATAACCATCTATAAACTAGCCTTCAAGCAAAAGAAGCCATATCAAGGGAAAAGGGGCCAATCCCCCCTTAAAAAAAAAAGTACGAAAACTTATTTTCTTATCGATGACACGGCGTGATCATGTGGCCGATGGTATTGCCGATAAATCGTATATCGGATCGTAAATGGCATTAAGTCACGTTAGCATCAGCGTAGCAGGATCATTGGAATTCCAGATTCTTGAATAATTTTCGCTCAGTCAACTGTAAGCCAATTTAAAAAGTATGCAGCGCTTTGCCTCCTTGCCTCCTGGTTGAATTTTTGTGTCGCTTCGGGAATAAGGTGTATAGACCTGAGCGTGGGGAGTGCCAAAGCAAAGTGGATCAAGTTGTAGTCGCATATCCAAGCCTTCGTTGAAGAAAGGGTCCATTGTTTCAGATCCATATATCCACCTGGTTGTGAATTCTGACCAATGGTGTTGACCTGCGCCTGTTCGGGAGGAAGCGAATACCTCAGGATATGACGCCACGTTGTACGGTGATCGACACAGCGACCACATGGGCCCTATTAAAAAAAATGCACCAACATGAACAGATTGACGAATTATCTTCGAGGCAGTAGCCAAGGTGAAAAGAACAGCCTGAAACTCCCACTCTGAAACGTACCAACGAACACCTGGGATTCCCTGACGTCGGCAAAGTGAAGTACCCACCCAACAAGCAAGCCGGAGAGGAATAAGTCCGGGTCTGTTATTCCAAGGTTATTCCAAGGTTGTGACAAAATATGAACACTGAACGAGCCGTGCAGTCACGGGATTTTCCACGGTCGGCCCCTATTTTTACACTCACTTGGGGCCAGCTGCACTTTCTGGGGGCCGGGTCCCTACGCTTATTTCCGCTTATTTCCTCCCCCTTACTTCAAATCTCGTCAGTGTAGATTCTATGAGGAGCGACCTTTCCTGAATAGGCTTTCTTCTAGAAGTCTGTTCTCAAATGGGCAATCCCCCTTCGCCTAATCAGGTAATTCTTCAGAAGCAATCATGCAGGCCTAGTTTATCGCAAAATTCACCCAGGTAGGTAGGTATTCCTGAACATCCCTTGATAGTGACGATAGATTTGGCAAGCTTCCACGTCGGGGATCCCGACTGGGTCAAAACTTAGCACTGTTGCACTGTACACTACTCCAATAGAAACTATCGGCCCTCTGACAAGAATAGCACGCGACACGACATCTGGCATGGATAGTGATCCATCCACTGAAACTGTATTATTTTGTGATGATTATGATGATGTTGTTGGTGTTGGCATTCCAAGTTTGCTGTTGCTGTTTTGCTTTCCTTTTACTTCATTTTTTACTGTTCCAATACGGAGTATATTCAATGTTCTATTATACAATATACTACCGAAAATGTGGCGACCGGGGAGCTGTCAAAAAAAATAAAGATACACTAGTAAATAGAAAGTTCTTATGGAGATGGAGATGTGGTGTTTTGGTGTTTAATGATGACAATAGTAGTAAGCATTGAATGATGATATTATCCATCATCATCATTATTCAACCTTGGAACATACTATCCAGATACTCCGCACACTATTTGAAACTGGATTCTGAGCTAAAATCGGTGAATCCATATATAAATATAGGCTTATTATCCATTAGAAGCCAATAGGGAGCTCACCTTACAGCTGTATTGGGGGCCAAGTGGGTCGAACTCCGGGGCCGAAAAGCAGTGAAGACTAAGAAGATTATGAAACGCCCATTTCCACGTTATATGATCTTACCCCCATGCGCATATCAGTGGGGCAGTTCAAAGCTACATGTAGGGCTAAAAACACATTACCAGAACTGGACTAGTACGGGGTGAACGTCTACCAATGGCAACCCTTCATCTTGGACCCTCTGAACGGCTTAGATGTATGGAAGGCCCAATTTTCCTATAGTGAAGATCTATTCTATTTTTACAGGGGTATGACCTCCGAATCGGCCTCATGGAATTCTAATAAAGTTCGTTCTTTGGTACCCTTCACCTCACTGAATTCTTTATTGTAAGCAAGAATCGCCACAGTCAGTGCTTTGATTGTATCAACATTATACATATACCACTTACAATCCTCGATTTTACAAACGCGTCCCCACATTCAAAGCTCCAAGGTTCCAAAGGCCCAAAGAAAAATCACATACAATATGGCAAGCCGATCACAAAGCAGGGTTCGATCCCCCGAGAACTCCGGTAAGTCTTCCAGCCAAAATTTCTAAAGCGAATGACTTCCAACGCGGGAGAATTTAGACGTAAACTGACAGAGGCTGTAGCTTCTCAACAATCCTCCCCATACCCAGAGACTCAAAAGCGCCGACGCCGTTCTCCCAACGAGTTAGTATGGACACAACCACGAACAATTCCGGCCAATCTCCATAAAAATGTTAGAAAAGTGTCAAAATCGCCTGAGATGCCCAAGAAAGACAACACAGTACGAAGAAATTCAGGACTTCAAGAACAGCAAAAAGCAATGTCGAGTTTGTTGACACCACCCACTCAACCAAAGGATCTTCCTGGTTGGAAAATGGATCTGGATCTGTTTGACCTGGGAAGCGCACCCGAAATGACCGACGATATGGTTGTTCAAAACCTCTTCAACTTCTCCGACAACCCTGCTTTAATCACACCACCTTCCATGGATCAACATTCCATGCCCTTCAACATGGACCCGAGTTTCATTGACAACCACATGTCTGTTCTCGGCAGTGACGGGACAGACTCGAGTGAAGGTTCCTTGCACGGATTAGCAGACCCCCGTGTGAACCTGGCTGGTCTCAATGGCTTCAGCGCCATTCATCTTGCTGCGTATTTTGGAAAATTCTCCATAATTCGCCTCCTACTATCTACTTGCCCCGAAGATGTGGATCTCCTCAACCACGAGGCCCAAACCCCTTTACACATCGCCGCGGCCGAGGGCCACTTCGAGGTCATCCCGGAACTTCTCCGTGCTGGAGCCAACACTCTCATTCAAGATATTAATGGACGCACTGCCTTGCATTTGGCAGTGTCAAGGGGCCATTTTGATGTTGCTCGTCTATTGTTGGATGGCACACAGGGTCACTCCATTATTCACATGGCAGACAGCGCAGGGCGGAGTTCTCTACACCACGCTGTGCTACAAGAAAATGGTGAAATTGTGCGATTATTGTTAGAGCGGGGTGCTGATCCCCGTGTGCCTGTTGGTTAAACAAAAGTGCCACACATATTCCCGATTATACGGATCTCACTATACGAGGTGGTGGCTTGGCAAAACAGGGCTGGCACCTGGCTGGGTACAAGTGACCACTCGGCGGAGTAATACTTGTGACATTGCATGGCCCCATTGGTGCCAAATTTGGAGAGGATCATCTGTTGAAATTGTTAGAAAGACCTAGACCGCCGTGCATGTGGGCTTTTTGGTTTTGTTGAATTCTCTCATTATTAAAAAGGAGGGAATCACAGCCAAATTCTCCACGCCTATACCCCTATTTATCCTTTTTCTCTCTCTCTTTTGTTAATCATAGTTAGCGACACTTCTAAATACAAAAATTTCTGAAAATGGTCTTTCTTGGTTCATAATCACATTATGAAGGTCTGCAAGGTCTCGGGGTCCTTGATCATTTTGTTTGCTAGACAAGATCAATAACCAGGCTGCTTATTCTCTTCACCTTGATCAAGATTTAGTAACAATATCAGGGCAAACGACTCTTCTGCATCACTGTATGTCATGGAAGCAATGTTAGTGTGCTTTTCAGATAGCCCTTGCATTCCTCCCCACCACTTTGGAAAAATCCACTTAGTACAAGGGCTTATTTTTTTCGGGTATGTACCTGTTACTCGGGGAATTTAAGCTCAACACTAGATAGCATGGTCTCCTCCTCGTTGGACCATCTCAAATTGACGAATAAAGCCCGGTCGGCTTTTGCTGTTCAGCAAGTCATTGTATGGTCAATCCTTCCCAGAGTTCTGCGGCGTCATCTAGTGCTGACTGTGAGAAAAGCACAAGTCATAAACTTCGAATCAAGAAATCTGAAAAAACGGCTCTTCGGCAATAATGCAGTCACTTTGTGTCGGATCCCGGGTCGGAGGATGTGAGTTGTGAGGAGATAATACTTTCTGAAAAATGCGGAGGATGGATGCGAATAGGAAATTCACAAAGAAGCAGGGTACCTTGTTATATAGCCAAATTTCAATAATGGCAAAATGCTCCAGGTTTTAGGTCGCGGCTATGTAGCTCACGATGAGGCGATTAACCCGCAAGATTCAGTATTTACTTCCACAAGTAGATATCAAACGACTATTCAGTAGATCATAACAATATAAGGTGTAGCCCCACCTTCCTGATCAGGAACACCCTTTGCCTTATTCATTCCATGTTGTAGACCTTTCCCCATTCAGCAGGCTTGCATCAGAATCATTGGTTGCGCCTACTCGCTCTGCATGCTTAATCTGGTATAGCGTTGTTCATTGGCACCGAATCAGAGATTTCGTCATAGGTAAGCTTCGATGGGTCACGTGAGTAAACAAACATGATGAGATCCTTTTTTTCGCCTTGAGCCGCTCCTTGATCAACGGGATTGGTGGCTTGGTTCGTCAAAAATCCTTAGGAGGATCGCCTGAAAGCTAACCAAAGGAAGCTCTTCTTTTCCACGCTCTCCCACGCTACAGCTCATGGTGGCTAAAACATGACGGTGGAACCCGTTTTGCCTCCGAGCGTGGTTCCCGTTAACATGATTGGGCCACATTACTAGGCCGTTTCAAATGTCACCTAATCGGGTAAGGTTCGTGACCCTTTCGCCATCGCGTGTCCTGACACCTTTCCGGGTTTGGCTATCTGAAGTTGGACTACTTCACCCCAAAACAGCAATGTATACAGAAATACCCTGTCGCAAGAATAGACACTATGCGGTGTACGCATACCAAAGTCAGAATAATATGTTGAGGCAGGACGCATATAAAGTCTCCGCGAAGGCGACCTGTGGGAAGAAATTCTAAACTAACAGCTCTTCCTCCACAACCATCCCTCCCCTTCTCTCTATACTCTGTTTAATAAAGAAAGCCAGGTGCTTCACACATTCCCTCAAAATGCGCACTCTCATGCTCCACGGCCACGCTACTAGCGCTTTCATCTTCAAGGCACAGACAAGTAGGTTGATTGACATCCTGTGTCACCTCGTCCTTCAAAACTGACTCCATTCCCAGTCCCCTTCCGATCCAAGCTTGACAAATCTTTCACATTTGATTTTGTCGATGGCCCTTACTCATGTCCGCCACCACGTGGTCTTTCGACCGTCGTGTCAACTGCATACGGATGGATCAAAAACAACGACATTGACAGCATACGTGAAGCCGTCCAGTGGCTGGTTCAATATATCGAAGTCAACGGACCCTACGACTGCATCTGCTGTTTCTCCAAAGCGTCAGCCGTCGTCATGGCCATGCTCATGGATGAAACCCTCGTCGATAGCGAGCTGCGTGAGCGCATAACTCCCGGGTCAATCATTTTCATCAATGGAAGTATCGAATACCCCTTCCTCGAGGAGCTCGGCATGCCCATTTCTGCCAAGGCTCGCCAAATCAAGTACAAGACCGAGCAGCTGGTCAAACAAAGGACCGACGGGGTGGCAAAACTCGCCCGGACCCTTGTCAAGCCCGGTGTTGGCGGAGGGCTCTGGGATGATACTAGCAAGCTGATGCACAACCCCAAGCGTCTTCCCCCGGTATTCGATTGCTTTGGCTTGGATTTCACCTTCCTGCCACAAAATGCTTTGCTCAGTATCCCCAGTGTTCACATCGTTGGTGCCAAAGATCCTATCTGGCCATCGGGTGTCCAGCTGGCGTATCTCTGTGACCCAGCTAAGCGTCAATTTTATGATCACCAGGGTGGACACGATTTGCCCCGGACGCCTCAGGTGGGCGGCGATATTGCGGCAATCTTCAAGGAGTTGTCTCTGAAAATGAAACGCTAAATATCTTTTGGTCGCTGAATGGGGTGCACGACGAATCATGTGAATGCCATTGTCGCACTTCTGAGGTGCTGGTCAAATACTATGCGGGACATATGGACGACAATTATTCATGATTCACGATATAAGGGCAAGTGCAACCAATTTTGCGTGTCCATATTTTCTTTTCTTTCCTATTTTTGGTTACAGATTGCTTGACGGGTACCGGGGTGTTTGGTCGTTTTCTTTCCTTTATCTCCAATTTTCTATTTTTCTCTATAAACCATAAACTCGGAAATCTATACATACATATAAAGCATGAAATATACAACATCAATTTGAATGGCGTTTTTCTTTTCAAAACCCTGTTCGGGGGTCTCTTTGCCTATCAAGGTCGGTCATTGCCTACATGTACTAGTAAAATCTATAATAATCTCGTATTGATACCTCTGGGTGCGAATTATAGTAACATTCAAACGTGTCTAAAGCCATTTCTACACTGAAATTTGCCTGACCCCCAAAACTTCCGATACGCCAAGAAAGAATTGATGGATATTTGATTGGAAGACTACTAGTAAATTTACTTTTACATTTGACCTACATGCATAATTCCCTAGACAGGCAGTACTGAAGAGGCTTGAAACCTTGGACACAACATTGTATTAATTTATATTTAAGTGTTTGTGGAGATAACTGGCTTAAAGGCTGCCTCGCTGATCTCCATAACTAGTACTTAGTATCTCCCCAGACCCCAGGTGCCAGAATTTGCCATGCATTGAAAGGCCTGGAGACGCTGTGTTTTCAAATCTTTCCAATACTTGTTTCGCTCCTTTTTTTTTCCTACGCAATTTATTTACAGAACATTCATTCCAGTTACTAATTTATCTTTGAATATTGGAGGTTTTGCCCACATGCATTTATGTAGAGATCAAATCTTAAAGCAAAGCCGTAGCTCTAAATTCGCATTCAATTATCTCGAGGTTGGGCTTTTTGCCATAAGAGCATTTAACCCAAATAGGAAATAAAAGTTTTTAACTTCCCAATGCCCAGGTGAATGCAGGTATGCCTGAATACCCCCGGTGGTACCATACCACCTGAGCGTTCTAGCCCATGCTCGAGCCTCCAGATGCATGTGTCACTCTGACATATCTCATTTACACTTATCTGTCAAACCTTGAACATGGAATATCATCACTGGGGGCTGAACAGGGGCTGAGCCACAGGCCATAGAAAAGCGAGTCTGGGCGTACTCAAAAGGTTTGGCCCCATAGGGCGAAAACTATGCCGCTCCCTTGCATTCTACAGAAAGAAAATAAGCTTAGAATTCTTGCTGGTCTAATATTAGGAATGGAACAAAACGGCTTTCCAGCATAATAATGGGGAGTGGATAACTACTAGCCATTGTGGGTGCTGAACATTGATGATATTCAACCCTTCTTGTTTTTGTTCCCATATCCATATCGGGACTGGCGTATTCTTGTTTTGAGAAAAAGTTCTTCAGTGACGACTCGCTCATTTATGCGGAACAACACAACGCCCCATTCAACACCTCTATTTCCTAGGTTTCTGGTCCCATAAAATCTAGCAACCATGGATAAAAATAGAATAAAAGACTGGCTTGAAGGGAACGACTATCCCAATCATCGATCATGCTTACATAATGACCGACAGGGAAGGGAATCATGAAGATGAAAATGAAGATTCGTCAGGTAGAACGATATTTAAAGCGCCAAAAAGACACGAGGGGCGTATATTAGCGGAATGCAAAACGATCTACAATAACAGCAGCAGCAGCAGCAACAATAAAATCTCTTGTCGGCGTTTAGTCCCTCCACCCCTCTACAATTGACCACTTGACATCTAAGCCGTTGACTGGCTTCGACGACAAGCTGCCAATGGTGATAGGCATTTTATCCTCATCCAAAAGGGTGGTATCAACAAGCTCAAACTTGAAGCGACCAACCCAAGCACCAATAAGGCACGCCATCTCAGCCTTGGAGAAGCCCTGCGCAATACAGCTACGCTGGCCCTGCATGAAAGACAGGTTGACGTACTTGTTCAGACACCCTCCGTTCAAGCTGACAGTGCCGTCGGCATTGATCCATCGTCGGGGGTTGAACTGGTTGGCATCAGGGCCCCAGAAACGAGAATCACGGTGGAGACCCTTGAAGGGAATAACAATAAGTGTACCCTTTGGAACAATCTGGCCGTCGATCACAGTATCTTCCAGAGCCTCACGCATGGTCTGCGGGATGGGAGGGTACCAGCGCAAGACCTCGTTAACAAAGGCTTGCATCATGGGCATTTGCTCGACATCTGCACTGGTCGCGCTGGGCGTCTGCTTTTCCTCGTCGGGGGCATAGTTGGCGTTCGGATCGGGCAAATTGGCGCGGGCCTCCTCGCGGAGGATGGTTTGCCATTCTGGATGAAGGCAAAGCATGTAAAGGGTCCAGGTAACACCGACTGAAATGGTTTCGTGACCGGCTGCTAGGAAAGTGGTCATTTGGTCAATGACACCCTCCTCGTCTGCGGCTGCGACGTCCTCGTATTTGAAGCACAGGCTCAGGAGATCCTTGCCTCCGTTCACCTTCTCGGCAGCCATCTGGCGTCTTTCCCGAAGGAGGTCTCGGCACAGATTCCGGAATACAGGTACCGACTCGTCGAGGGTGCGGTTGATTTGATTAGGCAGCATGTTGATGAGCCACTCGGGGAACCAAATTTTCAGCATTGCAAGGGCGACATGGCCACGTGTTGGCTCGATGGTCTTTCTGTATGCTGATGCCAGGGGTGCATCCTCCTTTTCAACCGAACCGAAATCTTCACCAATTGTTGCCATACCAATAATGTCAAGAGCGGCGCGAGATGCCCAGTGTCCAACTTCAAAGACTGCGTGGTCGGTGTGAGATTGCTTCGACTGTTCGGCCACAAGCTCGGTGAGCTTTTGGGTAACTTCGCAGGTCTTACCCCAGAAAATGGGGTACATTTCGCGAATGTGTTTTGGAGCGAAGATGGGCATGAAAACACGTCGCTGCTGTCTGTGCTTGTCAAGCTCAGACAAAACAAGGCCTTCTCCCAGAATCTTTCCAGCAACGGCCCTTGCCAGTACCGGTTTTTTAAATTCGTCAACTCGGGTTGCAACCTCCTGAATGGTCTTGGGTGCCGTGAGAATAATTCGCGTGGTGTTCAACAGACTGCGGTAATAAATGATGCCATCATTAGGAATCTCGTGAATCCTGGAGGAAAGATGTGTTAGATGCGTAACCCCATATTGGGGCTTTCAATTTGTGTGAAGAAATCTCACCATTTTCTCTCAACCTCGCCGGTTCCCGCATAGAAAATCTTCTTGAAGTGACCATTCCACCAGCTTCCGCCCTACGTCGTGTTAGACCATGTCCCAGAGTTCTATCAGTTGTGATGGTTATAAGACTTACTTTTGGTTGGGGCAGCTTCGTAAGAGGACTGAGCCAGAGAGGTGTCAAAATTCTTGAGTGAATTATCAAAATAAACAGGGCAGCAGAATAAAGAATGGGAAAGGTTCCGAAATAGCCAGCACGAGCGAAGAAACCCGATGTTGGCCCATGATGAACCAGACCATATGTAGCCACAACTACCATAATCTGGGCAAACTGCCAACTAGATATCGCCATCTTGGTAGCTGTCTGAGGAACTGTGAAGTTTTGAAAGAAAAAAAAAACTAACAAAAAGATGGGCTAAAGCTGAGGCTTAAGATCTGCACTCGACAGTGGTCCAGCCACTAGGATGATTAAAAGTAGACAAATGCACAAGTGAGAATAACTAATGAGTGAAATCTCAGCGATAGTGCCGTAGACATGCATGTAAGTACTTTCTCATGTTAGTTAGCTGATCGAATTTTGTGTAAGCACTGCTTTCCCCATTGGGAAATCTGGGGCTGGTTTCCTAAAACGGATATACTCAAAAAGCAAAGTCCGAGTCTCAAATCTCCGTTAATGAGGCCAGATCTAACAATAGCACTTCTTGAATTTAATTTGGTTAAATCACCCTCTTCATCATGCCATAAAATGCGCCTTCTTCGCCACTACATAATTTTTGGCTTTTTAAGATGCCGTTTTGAATCTAGCAGGCTTTCATCTGTGCTGACGGGAGGAGCGTTCGACAACAATAAGAGAATACTTTCATTCCAGCATTTTTGTTTCTTTCATTGCATGATGTTCAAGTTTTTTGTACCAGGTTTTCTTTTTGGTAGATTTGGCTGGCTTTGATAGTGCCTAGACTCTGAATAATGCAACTTTGTGAGACTAGTAATTCCAGGAGCTTATAAAATTCTTCAAACTCCCCTCTGAGTGGTCTACTAGAGAAACATGAGGTACTAGATTTTCTCTATACAAATTCTTATTGTTACCAAGAATCTAAGTAAAGGGTTGAGAGCAGAAGAATCTCAACGGGCATTGAAGATATGAGAAATACAGCCAGATAAACGGGATTTATGCAGGGTAGTAGGGATAAGAAAACATATAACAGTAAAATAAGAGATCTAACTAGATACTAGTAGGTGAATGGTAAATTGACGATTGCTAGTAGGCGCGCGACTATTTCTATTGGGATTACGGCCATGCTTCCGAAGTAGGGGTGGCGTTGCAGTTCATGCATCATGCGGTGTCAAAATTCCAAACGCTTAAGCAGCAATGGGGTAAACCAGCTTCACACCGCTGACTGCTCCACTGCGGATCTTCTGCACTCCTTCGGGGATTCCGCTGAGACCACCATCCTCTAACTGCACAGTGTGAGGGCGGATCTTGCGCTCGTCCAATAGCACCTGGAAGGTGCGGTACAATGGCAGAGAGATCTCCAGGATCTTGGGCTCGTCGGGGCAGGCAAAGGGAGCGGGCCACATGGAACCATCACCAGCGATGCGGGTAGCCAGAATCCAGTCCGGCTCGATAACCTTACGGTTGTGCAAGTGCTCGCTAAATGGGTTCAGGGCCACGTACTTTCCACCGGCACGTCCCATGGCAGCGTAGCAGAACCGCATAGAGGAATCCTCGGCGAAGCAGTCAATAATGTACTCAAGCTCGTTGTTGGTGTCGGCACGGATCTTGGCCGCACAATCGCTGGACTTGTAGTCGTAAACCACATCCGCGCCGTATCCTTTGACGAAGTCGAAGTTGTGAGGAGAGCAAGTTGCGATTGTGGGGAAGCCGCACCTGGGTTACATTGTTAGTAATTTTCTTCCAATTCTAATTCCGTTGAGAAATTTCTTACAGTTTCAGCAACTGCAGAACCATAGTTCCGGTCGAAGTACTTCCACCGTAAACCAGAACAGGAGGCTTGGCCTCATCTCCATGCTTAGCACCTTCCAACAAATCTCCAGGCCACTTCAGCGACCAGAACAGACACATGGCAGCCGAAGCGATGGAGGTACCCAATGAAGCCGCATCTTCAATGGACATGTAATCAGGTACATGCAAGCTCATGTTGGCTTGAAGCTTAGCGTATTCGGCGAAAGAACCACCAAGTGGCTTCAGCTGGTTCACTGAAAAAAAAAAATCAATATTAACTTCGAATTCGTCAAATCAAGCAAAAGAAAGGTGCAATCTTACTTCCACTGGCAGATCCGCATACTCGGTCACCAATCTTGAACTCGTCCGTTGGCACTTCGCTTCCCAAAGCGACAATTGTGCCAGCACAATCGAAGCCAAACATAACACCGGGAGTAACGAAGTCACCAATAAGTTTAGTGTCGACGGGGTTCAATGCGACCGCGCCAGTCTTGACGAGAATCTGGTCGGGCATAAGAGTGGGAACCTTTACGGTATCCGAAACCAGGAATTCGCCCGCTGGGCCGGCAATGATGGCCGTCTGTTGTTCGGGGATGAAAGGAGCAGACATTTTTCACGCTATGCTTAATTGTATCTTGACGAGGGGGTATATTGAAAAAGAGAAAAAAGAAAGTAGACTGAGGAATGTCGTATGATCTGTGAATTACCGGGCTTCAAGGAATATTTGAACTTGAGGCAGGTCGTATGTTTTATTGACTAAACTTATATGCGTCTTCATAATCTTTACTTACTAGTTCATTGCCAAACTAAACTGTACCTGAAGGGCCGGTAAGCGCGCTAGGATTGGTTAGACGAGACGCCCCCATTGTGGGGGCGAGATGTTGTTTTGGCCCCCGGAGTTGGTGATGATTAACCTTCCGCTTACTGGATTAGGTGTCTTGTTCACTGTAGCCGCAGTGAGACTTTACCACCTTTTTCCCCTTCACTATTTTGGGGGCTTTGGGGAGAAACGTAGGGGCCCTTGGGGATCTTTACCAGAAATGGCAATGACAAAACGTTTATTTTTGAAACCACGTGGACTTTCAGCATGGATTCCCAAAAGGTTCCAGTCAGCTTGGACATCATCCATAGATTTGGATGAAACTTGGATATTTTCGACCCCAATCGAATAATCATCTATGACTATGTAATTAAGTACTTTCGAATGTGGCATGACTATCCATGAGTCTGTTTAGGGAGATTTTTGTCCCGAGTAAAACCAAGTATTCAGCCCTGGAAGATCTCGACTAGAACCATTGTACTCTCAAAACCTTCTCCACTTGGCCGAATACTCATCACAGGATCAATAAAACTGCAATTCTACCACTAGGTGGTAGGAATCATTTTTTCTTATCAAAATTAGATAGCTTTTTCGTGCTGCACCTTTTCAAACCATGCTTTCCACGATCATGGCTCAAAGCCCTTGGCGCATTGTCGCAATCGTTGTCGCGATCGTGCTAGTTTTTTTGCGTGTCCGTCGATACTTGGAGATCCGCTCCTTCAAGAAAGCTCACGGATGTGAAGCTCCCGTTCGCGCTCCCCAAAAGGAGCGCATTATTGGTTGGACCGCCTACCAGCATCTGCAAAAGACTAGACGAGAACACATCAGCTTGCAACAGACATTCCATAGAGCCATGGAAATCGGTCGCACCAATACAGCAGTAGTGATGGCTCAAGAGATCATATCCACCTGCGACCCTGAGAATATCAAGACTGTTCTGGCAACAAATTTTAAGGACTATGGTATTGGTCCTAGAATGCACGCCATGGGGCCCTTGTTGGGAGAGGGTATCTTCACCACGGACGATGAACGGTGGCAGCATTCGAGAGTGAGTTTCTCCCCGTAGCTCCCCTGGTATTAATAATATACAGACAGGCGTGATCGCTCCGTAGGCAGATGCCTTTGGCTAACCTCGAATAGGCTTTGATTCGTCCTAGTTTCACACGTACGCAGGTTGCCGACCTCAGCAGCCTTGAAACACACGTTCAAGCTCTTATCTCTTGTATTCCGGCTCACGATGGAGAGATAGTTGATTTACAGCCTCTTTTCTTTAATTTGACCATCGACAGTGCCACGGATTTTCTGCTGGGACAGTCGGTGAGTTGCCAGGGAAGTGCCGTGGGTTCTCCCGCTTGGGAATTCTCCGAAGCTTTTGACCACGCGGAGCAAGTTCTTCACAAGCGAGGTGAGCTAGGTGCTTTGGCCTGGCTTATTCGTGACGCCAAATTCGAACCGGCCTGTAAAGTCGTTCATGAGTTCACCGACAAGTATATTCGCGAGGCCCTAAAGGGCAACACCAAGGCAGGCCGATACAATCTGCTGGCAGAGCTGGCAGGCGCCTGTAGTGATCCCATTCAAATCCGAAACGAACTCCTTAACGTTCTCTTGGCTGCCCGAGATACCACGGCGGGCTTGCTTAGCAGTGTTTTCTATCTTCTGGCACGCAATCCTGACGCATGGAACAAGCTAAGTCGGGAGGTGGAGGAGTTGGATGGCAATGCCCCCGACTACAAAGTTTTGAAGGAAATGCCCTATTTAAAGAGCGTACTGAATGAAAGTAAGTGAGACTCGGCCCTTCTGCCAAGGTTTTCGGAGCATCATACACTAACAACCCAAAGCCCTTCGCATTCTCCCTCCAGTCCCAATCAACATGCGCTTCGCACGCCACGATACAGTTCTTCCACATGGAGGAGGTGCAGATGGGCTATCCCCGATGTTTGTTGGTAAAGGAAGTCGAGTATTCTACTCGATTTGGGCTATGCACCGACTTCCTGAGATCTGGGGAGATGATGCTGAAACCTTTCGCCCAGAGCGCTGGATGGATGAAAAGGTACCCCTCCGCCCGGGATGGGGTTTCCTAGTAAGTCTGCCTGGGACATTTCTGATCTTCTGGTTTTCTTCAAGGGAGATTTAGAACATCGCTGACTTTCATAAAGCCCTTCAATGGAGGACCTAGACTTTGCCTTGGACAGCAAAATGCCCTGGTCGAGGCTAGTTACACTGTTGTACGGTTGTTGCAAGCCTTCGGTCGCGTGGAGGCCAGAGATCCTATGCCTTGGCAAGAGAAATTAGCTGTTACGATGAGCAGTTTGAACGGTACCAAGGTTGCTCTCTGGAAAAGGCAATAAGGCAATGATCTGCCGACTCGGTGATGTAAGTCGCTGGCAGACTTGACGATTTATTTTGTGAATCTGTAGGACGATGCGGTACATCTCATTGATTTTTCTCTCTTCAATGTTGAATTATTTGTTAGCAATACATACATAACTATTGACTCGAACTTCAACTTGGAACGTGTAAAATTTGTGTGATATTTAGTCGGAATGTTCTACTTTTTAAACAGAAAATGGGTTTTCACCCTTTGATGGCTCACCTTATCGCAGCATAATGTGGCAAAAGCCTCATTGGGTTATATGTTTTGACAACCACAATTTTTGCCAATCTGGGCGGCTGGCCTAATGGTAAGGCGCTTGTTTTCGGCTTCGAATTCACAAGAGATTGCAGGTTCGATCCCTGCGTCGCTCAATTCTTTTTGGTGTAAACTCTTTGAATATTTTTTCACTTTTGCTCGATTTTTTTCTCTCGCCCAGACGTGAATTGTATGAATCTAACGTGCAGAGATTACTGTTTTTGCTTGGAAGGCATGGACGTCGGAACTTCCGAGTCGGGAGGATCAAAACATTGGAGAAATGGCCGCTTATTAAGCTTGCCTTGTCACCACTCTAGCCCTGGAGGTCGATGGATCAATTGTGAACATTGAAGTCTTCAAATGTCAACTGGTTTGAACATTTGAATACTCACTCCAGAGATCGGCAAAGGTCGAGATTTTTCCATTCAAATGTTTACACCCTCAGGGCTCGTGACCTCAAATTATACATACCAGTTGACATTCGGATCAATTCATGTTTGACTCGTGCGCACGTAGACGCAGTCTAAGATTGATGCAAATATATACTTCAAATGTTCAAATGTTAGTAAGTAGGCCCACGATCAACCCTGTATCTACATAAAATTTGAAGTACTCACATGATAGACCAGGCGCAAAAAGAAGCATGCGCAGGTCAGAATGCACCAAGAAAAATTGATTTGGTTTGGAAAAGTCCACAGAATTATTGCAAGTGGCATTCTAATGAACCGGGCGGTTTGGAATTTGAAGGATATAAGTTATTTAACATCAAAGGAATACACATGAAGGGCGGCTGGCCTAATGGTAAGGCGCTTGTTTTCGGTTGCGAATTCACAAGAGATTGCAGGTTCGATCCCTGCGTCGCTCATTATTTTTTTTCTTTTTCCCCTCCCCCCCCTTTTTCTTTTGCTACCTCTCCAATTTTCACTCGTAGCTATGCAAGATCAAATGCATTGGGTTTCCGGTCAATCCGAAGATCTTTTTATGGTCAAGGGTGAAGTGAAGTACATTCCAGCTCTAGTCCGCGGAAAGTCTGCCGAGTTCCGCACAACCCACTGCCAGCAACAACAACAGACGCGCGGGCGGCTTGTAGAAACAACTTTAGAAAAACGTGTATGGTTTGCTGATATTGCTATCTCTATGAACGTACAGTGGCCATAGCTCTCATGTCCTCAAATTATCATCTTGTTTTCGAATCCTCGATACTACGACTTCGCGGATCTTTAACCATTACATGTACAAGCGCCCTGGTTGTTATCACCGGAATCCAAGGCCCCAGCTTCCTCTTTCCAACGTGCAGCGTCTTCCCGATATCGTAGTGCCTGACGGCCTGGGAATCACCCAAATTAGCCACGGTATTCTATTTCCAAGCCAGATCATCAGAGATGCGACAGGAGCCCAAATATCATCGTAAGTCGAGATAATTTGCCAAATATCCTGGAGCCACAATGTCATGCAAGGAAGACCGTCATGCAGACTTCGAATCCGCTTCATTGTTGGGCGCTTGAGTGGTTTAGTCTCCTACCTCAAAGAATTGGCAGCTGGATCTCAACACCCTGCGACATTCAATATTATCCATGGATAGCCTACTCATCCTCCAAACGGTCCCATTGGATATAATTTCCGACTAATTTTCATAGAATACGTATCGGAGTTCACCAGCGGGGGAGCTGAATTTGCCATAGCAAAAAGCACCGCCAGTCTGGGTCATCCCTCGAAGCTGACGTGTGCTCGGCGCCACATTTTTTTTTCAGCTCGTGGGAAACAAGCAAGTAGCAATAGGCCTAACATAATTGCATGAACTTCTCTCTGTATTTTCCAACAGCCCTTACGCCTTGAAGTAAAATTCTAGACTTCTCAATCAGAAGAAAATTCGCCAGTCTACCCCCCTCTTGTTCAATGTTCAGACTTCGACATGAAGGATAATAAACCATTCTGGCTGCTTCACGCCTTAGGGCCCCTTGCAGTGAGCGATTCAGATGGGGGCGACTTGAAGTGGCTGGGGGCTATCGTGGAAGACATAAGTAATCCCATGCAAAAAGTGGATTGGCGCCCATCCGGCTTGGAGCTCAAGGAGGATGTTGATTGGAAAGCAGTACCTATCAATGGAGTTCAAGTGCTTTTAGAGCGGGCTAGCTCATGGTCCCTAAAAGCCAAGCTCGCGAAAAGTATTGGTGTCGAGATCGACGAAAGCGGCCGAGTGCAGAGGAATGCCTCTAAGCGCAGGGTCGTCGGATATCGATTGTTCAATGAGGAGGATGCCCTCCAGCGCTTGCTGGACGCTGATAATCATCGGGCCAAGATAATGCCTCAGCTTTCGCGCCTGACAACCAAGCGATGGCTAATAGTCGGTTTTCTTGTTGCAAAGCCAGCCGAAGAGGATATAAATGGCAAACCCACTCAAGGTTAGTATACATTTTCTCGGTATAAAATCTATTCAGGGTCTCGACTGCTTCTTACTGGGACAATTTGTTGACAAAGCTGACTGTGCAGAAAACTCAGATGAACAAAAATCAGATCAAGTGGATCAGAATGATTCCAGCGGAAGTGAGGCTGGGTGCCTCATAGATCCGCTTTTAGGCGCGTCCACTGCTATGAAACTCCCAACCGCACCCTTGGACCTGCAGATAAAGCGAAACACATATAGCACTCGTGAGGTCTCGGGAGAGGCTGCAGTCTCACACATTTTTGCGATCGTATATCGGAGTCTCCGGAGGGAGGTATTTTGTTCTGGCATTAGCGTGTCGAATAGACTACGAGGGGACATGGCGTTTGATGCAGGTCCAGATTCGGCCTCAGACCAGCCACAAACTGAAATCCAGAAGGAGGAAATATCTCTCAGTGGGGGGTTATTGATGAACGAACTTGAGGCCCAATTTTTGAGTACGGCGGAAGATGAGGATGAGTACATCGAAACTGCCAACGTCGGAGACTCCGTATTTACCAATCCGGAGGATGCAGATCAGTTTGAAATTCTTTTTGGGGGCGGTTTGGATTTGGCGTACAATGAAGTTTTAGGCGAGGAAGAAGAATAATTGGTTTCAATTCACGCAGTATGCACCACGTGAACAATATTTAGCATTCAACTCTGCAGCTCCCCCAGTTATCGTGTCTCGTCATTCAAGGTCTGTAGTTTTGGTCTGGCGTCTGATTGCTAATCATCAATGCAGTAATAGTTAGCTCGATAGCCTGTCATGATAATGAGGTCTTAACATGCTTTTCAGCAATGAGCCGTCGAGTCTTTGTTGGCTTTTCCAACGACATTTGTGTTTGCAGAAGTAAGCAGCCAGGACCAAAAATAATTGAACTGTTCTGCCCCCTAGATATTGCCCTGTGTCGATGGTATTGAGAGAAAGAAGACAAAAGCACAAGCACAAGATGGAAGGCAAGGTCAACTTGAAAATGCCGACCGGGCAAGAGAGGAGAAAAGTTCAAAATTGTTGAAGAGAATGAGGGGTATCTGCGTGTGGGACTAACTACGAGTGGTTTCGTATAGACAATGTGACATGGCGTCAGGATTGTACTGGGGGCACGAAACCAAGCTGGTAGGAGATGGCGTGGAAGAGGAATTGATGTGATCCACGGTACTCGGGTATAGCCGCCCAACTTCAGATCCTCTCTTAACACATGTACATAGTACTACTACTTTCCGAACACATTGTGAATAATTTATTTTGGTCTTATATGGTGATTAATTATGAGAAAAAGGGTTAAAGAATCCAGGTCGCTTATAAGAATGCACTAGTAATATTTCGGTTGCCTCGCCATAAAATGGTATAATACCTAGTATGGTACCGAACTGCTTACTAGACGATCGCTGTAACTAAAGCGGGTCCCTCCTGACAGCGCGAAGAGGACCGAAGAGGACCACGATCCACCATCGCAACCATCACCACACCAGCCGCACATGATCCTTGGCCGTCGTCGTCGCCGTCGCCTACTACCACAAGCCTTGTAAGCGTTGCAATCTCTCCATACTCATCATCGTATTCGCAATCCCGATCCAAAACGCGCGTGCTCTTTCGGTGTTGACTTCGCGATTGTCAAATACGCCTAAATACCAGCTTCCACGATCTGCCAACCAACGAACCTATTCCATTGAGGCTTCTTTGCACAAAAAGACCTGGCTTGCCCCGTTCAAAACTCCTCATTTGCCTAACTCTGCACAACTCCCTACGAAAAGCTGGCGTGTTTTCACTGACCGCCCTCACCTACTGCGCCTTCAAGTCCACACGCCCGAGGGTCCATCCTCCGTCATCTACAACTTGAATAAAGACCTGAATCCTGCTAGACTTATTGTCTAGTGAAAGGATGACAACTCCGTATATAGCGTCCGAACACTATGTGGACCCTCACATCGACACCGAACACCTCGCCATAAACAACCACTTTTTTCGCCGTATTCTGACGCGACTAGCGCTGCATACTACGGCAAAGTTCTTTTCACGGGATGGCCCTTGCGTGCCAATCTCAAGACACAAAATCGTCAAATCAGGGTATTGGACTCATCTCACAGAAGGTGCAACTATGAAATACTTGGCTGAAAATACGACCATTCCGGTGCCGAAAGTCTATTGCTCCTTCTTGCACAAGAAAAGAGCGTATATCGTCATGGAAAGGATACAAGGTGAATCTCTACCGAAAGCTTGGAGAAGCCTGTCCGAAGAATCAGTTGAGGATGTTCTTTCGCAGTTAAAAAAGATATTCCAGGAGTTGCGCTCCCTGGAACCTCCACCAGATACGGCGGTGGAAAGCTGTGTTGGTGGGTCTCTGTACGACTCTCGCTTACCTTATGGAAACCCACGATTTGGCCCGTTCAAAAAAATACAAGATTTCCATTTTTGGCTCAGACGAGAACTGAAACCCGAGGATCTCAAAGATAGGGAAAGGGATCAGGATTGGCACGACTTACAGGATATGATAAGCAAACAAGATGGGCCATGGCCTTCTCCATGTTTCACCCATGGAGACATCAATCCGAGCAACATTATTGTTCGTGGGGGAACCGTAGTTGGAATCATCGACTGGGAGTTCTCGGGGTGGTACCCGGATTACTGGGAATATACATCGTCCTGGCATGGTAATGTCACAACAACAGAATGGCAGGACAAGCTTGATAAATTCCTTGACGTACCACACCCTGAAGTACTCAAGATGGAACAAGTTCGCAACAAATGGTGGGGTGAATATTGATAGATGCTTGATGTGCAGTCATATGGATAATACCCTGTTCTGAATGACATGGCCTGGGAATGAAAACAGTAGTTGCAACGATGTCCACTTCAATGACCATTCTGTGAAATTTCACGAGGGCTAACATCTAGGATACACTTTCCTTGTTCTCAAGCATATCCCAGGTAGGCTTTGGTTGCATTATATCTGCAGCAGATTCGTAGCGACCACCGGCAGTCTTCTCACCTACGTACTCCCTCGCAATTGCCTCGATTTTCTCCCAATCCAGCTCTGCGGTGCCAACACACTCCCCATCCTTCGCAATCTCGGCAAGCGCGCTCGCGATCCACGTGCGACACCTCCACTCTGGATTGCCCTGCACAACTGGGAGGTGTCGAAAAAGGTTAAGCAGACGCTCCTCGTCTTCAACCTTGGCAATGACAATGCGCGCTAAGAGGTTGTCGGTATTTCGGACATTCTTAATTTTAACCCCTTCATAAACCCAACCAAAAGGAGAGTTTTTGACATGACAATGCTTGCCTGGTACGACATCGTTGCGTTCCTCTTTAGGTCCGATCAGGAAAGCCCAGTGGTATCTTGAATGGTCAATACTTGTAGATAAATTACATTCATAAAGTTCTCGCTTGCTCACTTGCGTTCCTCATTATTTACTGTACCACTGGGGTACAGCGCGATGTACAACCGTTTCTTGTTAGACGGCATATTTCACGTCTTGCAACTGACTGGAGGACGGATGAAAAGAGAGAGAAAAAGATGATGGCGATGGATGGGTACTCAAGTGCTTGCCAGGGTTGAGTTAATCGACTTGCGTTCGAAAGTCTGGTTTAAATAATCAATTTACAACTTCCAAGGCTGGATCAGCGAGAGGTTCCTGAGACCAGATCTATGCTACTACCTATGTACCACATATATGTATGGTACCACGTACCCCTGGGACCTTTCTACCTTTGATATGCGGAAACAGAACAAGACACCTACGTGCCATGATTGAAGCGTCAGCATAAAAGTGAATTTATCATCTTCAAATGTTTGATTGGCCTGGAGATAGTGAAACTGTACATATTTATACGCCGCACTTTTGGGCGCTTCGATAGCTGAGCGCTTTATATCAGCGGGCGCCAGCTCATCTCAAGGCTGTGTTTCAGGCTTGAAAGTTGTAGCCAATGGGCACTGGACACATCCGCCGCAGTTCCGGTTCTAAGCCGAACAGGGAGATTCAAATGTTGTGACCTGAAAGACACCAGGGATTTTTCTAAAAAATCTCTAGGCGCCATAAAAATAAATAACTTAGTAAATTATCGCACCAAATCCATCGAGATGATGCAAAAATGCTTTCAAATATTAGAATAATTATTCAATATCGGAAGTCAGATCCTACGTTGCTTTGTAAGAAAGTCTCAGTAGAAATTCCTGTGCATGCGCTGTCTTCATATCGAATTTCAATCTAGTGGCCCATCTGAGATGTGAGGTCCATATAACAAGGCACACCAAGCAACGGGAACAATAATGAACACACCAGTCTACCATGGAGATGGAATCCAAGAGTGAAATACAGGACAGCGCTGATATACGAGCATAAGATTATTACTATACAACTCTCTACTAAGCACACTTCCAGGGAGGAATTCAACATCGAGGGGTGTTGTGAAGAAAGCTCAGTACAAGCAATACATGACTAGTATACTTTACCGGGTTGACCATCAGTGGTGGGTAGTGGATCCACCACGTTGGCAAGCACAAGCTGTGCCTTGCTTTGAACGCTGCTGATATGGAAATAACAAACCATCCCCGCCACCTGTTAAACCAAAGAGCCTGGTGATGCTGAATTTTTTCTGATCGAACGCTACGCAGTGAGTAGTTGACCTGAATGAGTGCAAATTTCCTCAAAAATCAAGGAAAAAAAGATGATCAGACTGGGGCTCGATCCCAGGACCTTATCGGTGTTAACGATACGTGATAACCAACTACACCATCCGACCAATTGATGAAAGAACGATATTTGTTTTGTAATATGAGGGATTTTTCAAATCTCGACACTTTGAGTTTGTGGATTTGCTTTTTCGGCTCGGCTAATCTACTTCAAATGTTTTTTATACCCATGGAAACTTGGATTGATCAATAAAAATATATTACCTCTATCTGCAACTTTGACCTTGCCCAATACCTGGGTGTACTTTAGCTGGGGTTCCAAATTTTAAAAATATCATACGTAGGTCGGTAGAAACTGTGTGTACACCGTAATATATTTCACAGAATATTCCTCGGAAGGTTGAAATCATCGCCTAGGCAAAAATCGAACATTTGAAGTGCGTTTGAACCTTGGAATCAATTGACATTGCTTGATGGATGTTTCAAAGACTATTGTAAGACCCTATAAACACTACCTATATCACATAGCTGTTTTCAAACAAATGTTCCTAATTTTCAGAAGTACATGTTCAATTGAGCCCTGGAACAATCAATCGGAGTTTCAATGTTATCTTATAAAAAAATTGGAATCTTCAACATTTGTTGCAACTGATTATGTATATGTACTACTCAATAGAGCGGATTCATGTTAAATCTCGCAGGATATATGAGTTTGAAGGAACCAGTCTTGGAAAGATTCCGCGACAAATTGAAAGTACCTACATAGGCATTTAAATGTTGAAATAATTCCAAAGTTGATCAAATCCCGCACGTCTTTATGTATCTAAAAAGTTTCCAACATTGAACATTGATTGAAGGCTGCACATGTGCACTTGAGAATACCAAGAAAGTTTTCCCAAGAGTCGGGTAGCAGTTTACGACTCATTTGGACCAGCCCAATCGTAGACCAATTGAATAATCTTTTCCTCCTCCCCTTTCCTTGCGATCGTTCGTCGAATGTATCTTCTTGTTCCATCAATAATTGTGAAGCCCCAGACCGTAATGCTTGTCCAGCCAACAGTCCGTACTTCGATCTCAATGACCTCGCCATCCCAGTCGGGCTCGCCGGACCCAGAGCGGTCCCGCAATGCAGCTTCGACGTCATTTGGTGCACTGAATCGCGACCGAACTGTCATGTTACCAAATATCAGGTGAGATTGGTCGCGAGGCTCCCAGTCAAGAACCCTGGCCTCCTCAACAACCTGGCCCATTGAGGTTTGGGATGAATCCACCCGGGAAACGCCAGTCTCCGCATCGATGGACTGTGTAAGAGTGACAGAGATGGAAGCTCTGGAAAGCATGCTTCGAACTATCCAGGGAACGCCCTGAAGCTCCATAAGCGGAGTGACATCGTCGGAAAGCTCCGAGTTCTAGTTCTCATGTCATTAGTGGAAATATTTATTTGAGGAGTCTCAATAGTGTCCTACCGAGTTCCATCTACCGCTCAGATTCCTGACGGTGATTTCGGACGGGGCGGCCATGGTGGAGGGTTAAGATTGAATGTAGGTATGAAGTCGGAGAAAAATCGTCAACGTGGACAGATTGGATAGGCAGAGGCTGGGAAGATAAATGAGAGCAGATAGAATGGAGATTTGAGCAAAATTACATGCTTTGATCTGGTAGGCCTTGTGTAAGTCATGGCGGACTTTACAGGGCGAAAAGGAGTATAGGAGTTGAATAATGTGGTGGCTGGCAAGAGTAGGTATAGCCCCCAAAGTGTCTTGAAAAAGGTGAAATCGAATGCTTTAGACTTAGTATGGATGGTAGGGAGCCAAAAATAGGGATTCTGCCCCCGGAGTTTCAAGTTTTAGCCTTCCTCATGCATGAGTAAGATTAAGATTAAGAAGATTAGTTGGAATGACGTTTAAATTCTTATTAATTAAATATTTCGATAATTGTTTTTCTTTTCTGCAGAGGAAGGCCTAGAGAAAAACATTAAAAGACGCCAATTGACACTAAGGCAGAGCTAGGCCCAAAGTGGCAGTTTATAATTAAGTCCGGAGTAAAATGACTAAGAATCTTCAGGCCCTTGAAACTCCTCTTCAGTCCTCTGCAGCCATCAGCTCCGACATGGCTCCGGCCCCCATCATCTTCCATTAATATCTCCCCAATCCGGTAATGGTCAGCATGAATTTCCAAGCTTCGGGATCCCACTGGGGTAAGTGGGGGCTATCCTTACGGTCTATCCCTGTGGGTTCTTGAGTATACCCGACCCAAAGGCCCCCACGCCGCAAGCTACAACCATGTGTGAGCGTCTCCACGTGTCGGCGCGCTTGTTCGAGGCTGATAGAGGTTGAGATGCTTTAAGTACCCCAAGTCAACCACTCCATTAATCTTCATACCAGCTCATTCTCTACTCTTCGCATCGCATCGCATTCAATTCGATTCAATACAATACCCTCTCGGCTCTCTTAATATAGAAAGTTCACCAGCCAAAAACGCATTAACAAGCGACTTTGATATTTACATCCATCCATTTGCCTTTTGATCTATTCAACTTTACCTTCTTACTCAACCGACCCCATCATCCAAAATGGCCTACGTGAACGAGCCTATTGCTGTCATTGGTAGCGGCTGCCGCTTCCCCGGTGGTTCTAACTCTCCTTCGAAACTTTGGGACTTGATGAAATCGCCGCGGGACGTCGCCAGCAAGATCGATCGCTTCAGTGCCGAGGGCTTTTACCACAAGGATGGCAGTCACCACGGTACCAGCAACGTACTGCACTCCTACCAAATCGAGGAGGACACTCGCGAGTTCGATGCCCAGTTCTTCTCCATCCCCGGTTCCGAGGCTGAGGGAATTGACCCGCAACAACGAATCCTCATGGAGGTGGTCTATGAGGCTCTCGAGGCCTCTGGCCACAAGATCGAAGAGCTGTCTGGCTCCTCAACCGGCATGTACGTCGGTGTCATGTGTAACGACTATGCGCATATTACCTACCACGACCTTGAATCCATCCCCAAGTACGCCGCGACAGGAACCGCCTCCTCCATTCTCTCCAACCGAGTGTCTTATTTCTTCAACTGGTAAGTGTTTCCAGAGAACCTCAATTAAATCGGCAAAATCGGCAGGTCAACTAATAATTCTTTGCAGGACTGGTCCTTCCATGACTATTGATACCGCTTGCTCCTCCAGTCTTATCGCCACACACCAAGCAGTTGAGCTGCTTCGAAAGGGCGAATCTAACCTGGCTGTCGCCGCTGGAGCTAATCTAATTTTTGGACCCACCAACTTCGTGGCTGAGAGCAACGTCAACATGCTTTCTCCCACTGGCCGCAGCCGCATGTGGGATAACAAGGCCGACGGATATGCCCGTGGTGAAGGTGTCGCCGCTGTTATTCTCAAGCGTCTGAGTGATGCCATTCGTGATGGCGACACTATCGACTGCGTTATTCGCGAGACCGGTGTTAACCAGGATGGCCGGACCACTGGTATCACTATGCCCAGCAGCGTTGCCCAGGCCGAACTGATCCGCCAGACATACGCCCGAGCTGGTCTCAACCCCCACACTGACCGCTGCCAGTACTTTGAGGCCCATGGTACAGGTACCAAGGCTGGAGATCCTCAAGAGGCTGGTGCAATTTACCGTGCTTTCTTTGAAGGCAACGAAAACCAGGACCCCAACGACAAGCTGTACGTTGGATCCATTAAAACAATCATTGGACACACCGAGGGAACTGCTGGTATTGCCGGTCTGCTTCGAGCCTCGCTCGGTATGAAGCATGGCTTCATCCCCCCTAACATGCTGTTCGAGGAGCTTAACCCTGATATCGAGCCTTACTACGGTCGCCTCGAGATCCTGAAGGCCGCTAAGCCCTGGCCCAAGCTGCCTGCTGGCGTTCCTCGTCGCGCTAGTGTTAACAGCTTCGGATTCGGTGGTGCCAATGCCCACGCCATCATTGAGTCTTACGAACCTGAGACTGCCATTCAGACTGTCACTCGTGGCTCTACTGCTGCAGTGCCCTTCCTGTTCTCGGCCAACTCCGAAAAGTCACTGGTTAGCCAGATTGAGACCTTCTTGTCTTACTCCGAGGATCTGGATGAGGAGACCACCAACCTCCGTGATCTGGCTTGGACCCTTTCGCGCCGATCTGCTTTCCCTATGCGTGCGCCCTTCTCGGCTCTTGACCTAGAGACCCTGCGCACCAAGCTGACTGCCGCCCTTGAGGCTAAGAAGACTGATGGAACTGCCCTTGGTGTCCGTCCGTCCCACAAGGCCAACACCATTCTGGGTATTTTCACTGGCCAGGGTGCACAGTGGCCCCGTATGGGCTACCAACTTGTCGAATCCTCTCCATTCGCCGCTTCCATTCTCAAGTCCCTGGATGAGTCCCTTCAATCTCTGCCCGAGCAGGACCGTCCCAGCTGGTCTCTGCAGGATGAGTTGGCCAAGTCTGCTGACGGCTCCCGTGTAATGGAAGGGACCTACTCGCAACCCCTATGCGCTGCCGTGCAGATCATTCTTGTCGAACTGCTCAAGCAGGCTGGTATCACATTTGATGTTGTTGTCGGCCACTCGAGTGGAGAGATTGGTGCTGCCTTCGCCGCAGGCTTCTTGACCGCTCGCGATGCCATCCGGATTGCCTTTTACCGTGGTCTGTTTGGTAAGCTTGCTGGTGCCCCCAACGGATCGACTGGTACCATGTTGGCTGTTGGTACTTCTATGGAAGATGCGGACGAATTGTGCAAGCTTTCTACTATGAAGCGATTTGGAAAGTTCAACGTTGCTGCAAGCAATTCTTCCTCCAGTGTTACCATGTCTGGTGATTTGTCGGCAATTGAGCGAGCCAAATTCATCTTTGAGGACGAGAGCAAGTTCGTTCGCTCTCTCAAAGTCGATACCGCATACCACTCGCACCACATGATTCCCTGCTCTGACCCATACATGGATGCTATGTCTCGCGTCAAGGTCGCCATCCAGGAGCCCAACCCTAACTGCAAGTGGTACTCCTCGGTCCTTGGCGGTGATCTCGTCACCAGCGATATGAACGAGCAGCTTGCTGGCTCCTACTGGAAGGATAACTTGCTACAGCCCGTTCTGTTCTCACAGGCTCTTGAGAGCGCCCTCGAGAAGAATGGTGCCCCCGCTATGGCTCTTGAAGTCGGTCCTCACCCGGCCCTGAAGGGTCCGGCCAGCATGGTAATTGAAGAGGCCCTGAGTACTACAATCCCTTACTTCGGTGTTCTAGGTCGCAAGTCAAACGATGTCGAAGCCTTCACTGACGCTGTCGGTGCTGTCTGGGCTAATGTTGGTGGCGCGGATGTGGCCTTTGGACCCCTCGACGCCGCATTTGCAAGCAACGATTCTGCTGACAAGCCTGAATTCTTGCGCACCATGCCCGGCTACACCTGGGACCACAGTCAAACCTTCTGGGCTGAGTCCCGTGTCTCGAAGTCAATGCGTATGCGTCAGCATGGCCACCACGAGCTGCTGGGTGTTCGCATGGACAGCGGAGAGAACGAGATGCGCTGGCGCAACTTCCTCAAGCCAACCGAGATCACCTGGACCCGTGGTCACTCTATTCAGGGCCAGACCATCTTCCCCGGTGCTGGCTTTGCTTCCATGGCTATCGAGGCCGCCAAGGAATATGTCAATGACCTCGGTGAAACCATGGATCTTGTGGAGCTTGAGAACCTGAGAATCCACTGGGCTCTGGGTTTCCTGGATGAGACCATCGGTTCCGAGATCACTGTGACTATTTGCAACATTCAGCGGGATGAGTCTGCTGACATGATCAACTGTGACTTCGTGTGCAGCGCTTGTCCGACTAAGGACGCGGCTTTGACGACCATCTCCACTGCTCATCTTAAGCTGACCCTTGGATACGGCTCCGCTGATACTCTTCCTTCGCGCCCACCTCCCAATGAGGCTGACAAGATGACTGATCTTGACCCCGATGTCTTCTACGACTCTTTGGCCAAGCTTGGCTACAACTATGCTGACATGTTCAAGACTATCACCAGCCTGAACCGCAGAAAGTTGGCATCTACCGGTGTTCTTCACACTGCTACCGAAGAGGACTACAAGACTAACCTTATTGTTCACCCGGCTCCTCTCGATGTTGCCTTCCAGGGCCTATTTGCCGCTATTGGTTCCCCAGGTGATGGTCAGCTTTGGACTTTGATGGTTCCTACCATCATCCGTTCTATCAAGGTGAACCCCTTCACATGCAACCAGACTGGCTGCCTCGATAAGGATTTGTCCTTCGAAGCCAATGTGCAGGTTGAGCGTTCTAACCAGCAAGTCGGTGGCGATATTGATCTATATGACGATGCTGGCAACGCAATGATCCAGATTGAAGGCTTGCAGGTTACTCCTGTTACCCAGATCACAGCTCGTGATGATGCCCAGAAGTTCTCGGATACCCACTGGGGCAACGAGAAGGCTGATGCCACCCGCGCCTATACCGAGTTCTGGAATTCCGAGTCTGAGAAGGCAAGCTGGGAGGAGTCCCATTTCGTTGAGCGGACTTGCTTCTACTACATGAAGCAGCTGCATGATGCCATCAAGCCTGAGGAGATTGAGGGTCTCGAAGTTCAGGCCAAAAAGTACCTCACCTGGGTCGCTTCAGTTGTCGAGAAGGTGTCTGCTGGATCACACCCCACCATCAAGAAGGAGTGGCTGAACGATACCTACGAGAAGCTGGAAGGCCCCATGTCTGAGTTCGCCCAAGAGAATGAGGAGCTTCTCCACCTGATGACACTTGGAGATCAGCTCATCCCCTTCATCCGGGGAGAGGTTTCTCTTGTGGAGCTCTTCGACGACTTCGAGGTCATTGACCGAATCTACCAGACCGGATATGGAATGCCCCAGTTCCACAGCTTCTTTGGTGATTTGGTTGAGCAGCTCACCTTCAAGGCCCGCCAAATGGATATCCTTGAGGTTGGTGCCGGCTCTGGATCAGCCACCGAGGCCATCATGAGCCGCATTGACTACCACTATGGCTCTTACACCTACACCGATGTCTCTGCCTCTTTCTTCCCCGAAGCCCAGGAGCTCTTCAAGGACCAAGAAGGAAAGATTGTATTCCGTACTTTGGACATGGAAGAAGATGTTGTCGAGCAGGGCTTCTCCGAGCGCAGCTACGACCTTATTGTAGCCTCGAACGTTCTCCACGTCTCCAAGAACATTGAAGAGACATTGAAGAACCTTCGCAAGCTTCTCAAGCCAGCTGGTCACATTGTCCTGCTTGAGGTCACTGATCTCGATCACGTGCGCTCTTCATTCTATGCTGGCTCTAAGCCCGGCTGGTGGGCGGCCGAGGATGGCAGAGAGCCCCAGCCCTTGCTCCCCCAGAGCGGTTGGAACGCTCTTTTGAAGAAGACAGGATTCTCTGGTATTGAGACCGCTACTCCCGAGACTCACATGTTCACTGTACCCTACAGTGTGATGTTGAGTCAGGCCGTTGACTCTCAAATCCAACTCCTCCGTGAGCCCCTCAGCCCGGAGAACAGGGACTCTATCAAGCTGCCCAAGCTTTTGGTTATTGCTGGCCAGACCGAGGCCACGGCTAAGATACAGGATGAAGTTCTCGCAATTCTCGAACCTTTTAACTCGGAGGTTGAGATCGTTGCCCGAATTGAGGACTTGACCGAGAGCCACTTCGGAGCTAAGCAGCTCGTTCTTAACTTGATGGAACTCGACACCAACCTGTTTGGGCCCCTCACTGCTGAGCGCTGGAGTGCTCTTCAGACCCTGACTGAGAACTCTCAGAACATTCTCTGGTTGACTCACGGCGTGGGCGCTGAAAACCCTTACGCTAACATGATTGTTGGTACATCCCGCGCCTTGGTTCACGAGAAGCCGGACCTGAAGATCCAGGTCATTGACTTTGCCGACGGCGAGACCATCGACACAAAGCTGATTGCTAGCGAGCTAGTGAAGCTGCACATTGCTGCTGTCTGGCGAACTTGGTCTCAGCCTTATGTCACTACCTGGGTGCTGGAGCGCGAGATTCGCTTCGTGGGTGGAAAGGCCACCGTCCCTCGTGTTGGACCTTGCAAGCCTCTGGATGCTCGGTACAACGCATCCCGCCGCAAGATCTACGAGGAGGTTGACCTCAAGAGCGCGGTCGTTGCTGTTAGCTCTAAGAATGGTGTCTGCGATGTGAAGCAAGTGCGCAAGCCATTCTGGGCTGTTACCGAGCCGGGACTCATTGAAGTTGAGGTTTCTCGTTCGACCTTGGCACCCCTCGCAATCCCCTCGCTTGGATCTCTCCACTTGGTTGTTGGTCAGATTGTTGGCACTGAACAGACCGTTCTTGCATTCTCCGAGACACTGGAATCCAAGATCGCCTTGCCCCAAGATCTGACTCTTTCCGTTGATGTCTCATTGGACCAGGCCCAGGAGCTGCTCGTCTCCGTTGCCAGCTACCTGCTGGGTGACTACCTCCTTTCACAATCTGCTAAGGGCAAGTCTGTTATGGTTCACGAACCTACACCTGCACTGGCAGCCGCTCTCAAGGATCTAGCTCAAGAGCGCAGCACCGCCCTTAGCCTGACCACATCTTCCCCATCTGAAGAGCTGCAGTACATCCACCCTCGGGCCCACCGCCGCACTATTGTGGCTGCATTCCCCGCCAAGCTGTCCACTTATGTCAACTTCCCCAGTGCTCACGATTCTTCCAAGTCGGGCGAGCACATCGAGAAGTACCTGCCATCTTATGTCAAGCGGGTGTCCCCCAACGACTTCCTGGGTGAGCAGGCTTACCTGCAGCAACAGGCTAAGCCCGAGGCCGCCATTGAGCTACTTCAAAAGGGCCAGGCCTTCTTTGAGGCTCACTCCGATCTCGAAACCACTGAGCGCGTGCAGCAAGTCAGCCTGGAAGAGGCTCCTGGCTTCGAGCGTGACCAGGCTAACGCCACTCTTGAGGTGCTTAACTTTGCTGACCAGTCCGTTGCCTTTGGTGCTCTTTGCCCCCCTGAGGATGACGTTGAGTTCCGCTCCGACAAGACCTACTGGCTTGCCGGTCTCACTGGAGAGCTTGGTCTTTCGCTCACCCGCTGGATGGTTGAGCGTGGTGCCCGCTACATTGTTCTCACTTCTCGCAACCCCAAGGTCAGCGATAAGTGGATCGATTCGGTGCAATCCACTGGTGCCGTTGTCAAGTGCCTTCCTATGTAAGTCAAACCATCTTCATTACTTATCATCTTCTTAACTAACAATTTCCCCAGGGATATCACCAACGCTGAATCGGTCATGAAGACCTATGCCCACATCACTTCAGAGTTCCCTCCAATTGCTGGTGTCTGTAACGGTGCCATGGTGCTGAATGATGGTGTTCTTGCCAACCAGTCCTTCGAGGACTTTAACGCCACCCTGACTCCCAAGGTTAAGGGCACTCAGTTCCTTGACTCCCTCTTCCAGAAGAATGACCTCGACTTCTTCATCATTTTCTCTTCGCTCTCCTTCGTCACCGGAAACATTGGCCAGTCCAGCTACGCCGCTGCCAACTCCTTCATGGTTAGCGTTGCTGAGGGTCGTCGCAAGAAGGGCCTTGCCGGTTCCGTCATGAACTTGGCCGGTATCTTCGGTATTGGATACATCACTCGCCGTGATGTCAAGCTCCTTGACCACCTTGCCAAAATGGGTTACGAGAACATCTCCGAGTGGGACTACCTCCAGTTCTTCGCCGAGGCCGTCAAGGCTGGTAAGCCCGAGACTAGTGCCCAGTACCCGACCTGGGAGATCCACTCTGCCATTCGGCCTGTCGACTCCGATGCCAAGAACCCCCCTCCTTGGTTGGAGGTCCCCCGTTTCTCCTGGTACCGCCGTGTGCGCGCCAGCGCTTCCCAGGAAGGTGAGGGTGGCGCAACCTCAGTTCGCGATCAGCTCAAGGACCAGACTACGATGGAAGGAGTCAACAAGGCTCTCATGGCTGGCTTCGTGGCTGTCTTGTACAAGCTTCTTGGTATGCGCCCGGAGGATGGTGTCATCTCTCCCAGCACCCCACTGATTGAGCTCGGTATCGATTCTCTGGTTGCTGTTGACATGCGAGTCTGGTTCTCGCGCGAGCTGGACCTCGACTTGCCAGTCTTGAAGTTGCTCGGTGGTGCTACTGTTGAGGACATGGTTGAGGATGCTGTCTCCAGACTGTCACCTGACCTGATTCCTAATGTTCAGGAGGCCCAAGCTTCTGCGGAAGGTGCCGAGGGCGCTGAGGCTGAGGCTAAGGCCGAGGATTCGGAATCCCAGAGCAGTGGTGAAATTGCTACTTCCACTGAGACCACACCTCCTGCAAGTGAGGCTGGTATTAATGACACAAAGACCCAATAGATAGATTCATAGACTGCTTTGATTATATGTGCATATGCGTTCAAATGTTTGAAGTTACGATATAATTGAATACAAACTGCTTTTGCTCTCTCAACCTGTGTTCCTTCCTAATAAAACGGTGGACAAGTTCGCATGATCTTGAAGACACCTGTTATCAGTAAGTTTCTCGACGTAACTACTAGTCCTTTTTCTCTCATTAACCTTTTCCTTTTTGAGTATCTTAAACCTTGAACATGAATCAAATTGGTCTAGTAATTTTTCTGCAAGGTTGGGTCAAGCCTGAATGGTCGCCGCTTGGAACAACTTGACTTAAGTTGGCGACCTTGAAACTTTCCAGAATTCAGGAGACAGATCGAGAAATAAACAAGACTAATACAAACTCCGCACTCTCAGGTGGGAATAGTTCCCTGGAGGTATAGAAGCTCGTTTGGGTTTCGGAATCAGAGGCTATAAGTTAGTACTTTTCCCTCCTTCTCTTTCTTCTCTTTCTTCTTCCTCTTCCTGCCCTTTACCTGCTTTCCACCTGGTCTTCCACCTCACAGTATTCAACCTTGGAAACTCTCACTTCTCTTGCATTTAATTGCTCTCACTTTTAACCTCTTCTTACCACTTCTCACTTCTCACTTGTCACTTGTCACTCTTCTCACTCTTCGCTCTCTCGCCTTCTCAAATCTCACATACTCAGGCGGAGATTACGGAGATGATGTCTTCTCCCAATGTTTCTTCGCCCGAAAAGGCGTACCTTGGTAGTCATCAATCCAAGTTTCTCGAAGACTTGGAGGCTCAATACTCCAATCTAAACGAAGAGTGTCTTGTGTCGAAAGAGCCGGCGCATAAGAAGCCACCAAAGCCGAGAAAAGGAAGCTCAAGCCGTGCTAAGTGGATTGCCCTTGGATTCTTGTGCATCATCGCTGTCACAGTCCTTGCGCTGTGTGGGGCTGGTTTGATTCACGATTCACGGTGACCTGTTCACTGCCTTGGAAAATGTGATTGCGGGTATTGGCTCCCTTGTTATGTTTTGCTTGGTCCTTAGAGGCTTATTGGGACTGTGGGTTACGGTCTGTGCCTCAAGCAAATGTACATAACATATTAGCATGTAATATACATATGCTGCTTGATAAGAATCGACTGAGATTTAAAAAAGCTACTATGAATAGAGATATAATATAGGTATTATAATCGTTCCTTGAATTTTGGGCATTGGATATGGCATAGCCGCTGCCTTTCTTTGACTATGATATAACGACTAGTCAATCTTAGGCATCGACATAATTTTTAATCAATTGATATTTCCATTTTTCTCCAGTACTGAGGGATAGAGCTGTTTCTTAATTAAGTCTAGTACACTGCTTCCGAGTCTTTATCGGGGTATATCCAATTTTGGACGGCGGCGTACTAGGATTTGGACTTTAAACATTCTCAAATACGTACACCTACTACTTCATTTTTCTTCGTAATGTGTTTTTTTATTCTTTTCGTTCACCCCTAGCGTTCGTACGACTCCTTTTACTCGCCCACACACTACGTTACATACCACTTTCTAACATCATGGGAAGCTTCACTCACAGAGTTGATGTTTATTGGAGTTACTCTAGCCAAGATTGGATGATAAAATTTGAAGGAGAGTATGTGGATTGCTCTTATTGCACCAAAACGCTGATTGCTGAGCACGCACTGCGTGAAGCACTTCAACGCGAGGAAATGCTACAACACAAGATCCTGGCTCTCCACAAGGCCGCAGCTATTGAGCCCAATAGCAAAGTCCAGCTTGCAAAAGTACAAAGCCAACTGGACGAAAATCGGGTCCAATGTTACCATAACCAACAAGCACTTTATCAGACAGAAACTGCGCACTCTCCTCTTGTACAGCGTCACTATGATAAATTGAGGACTGACAAGGACTGGTATATGCGTGAAGAAATGGTCCGAGACTGTGCAGAAAGAGGTGGCTGCTGCAGTCGAGGCTGTGGGTGCTGCGCTCGAAGAGCTCTATCAGAAAGTCCTAAAGGAAGGGGTCACTGTACTACACAGTGTTGGTGCTGTTCGGCTCAACGGGGCTTTGAGCTCTCGGACAATGAGAGGGAAGAGGCCCGGCAGAAATACAAAGACATGCTTAAAACGAGATATTTTCTAGAGCTTTCGGTTAACTGTTTCTACTCCCCATTGAAGCATCAAGTGACTCAAGTGATTCAAGTCCAGTCATCTCTTTGGAGGCGCATGTTCAGGTCTTAAGTTGGTGCATGTGTGGAATTTTCCGCGGTGGCGTTAGCTCGTCATTCTCTTTTTCAGGTTCGAGATGTCGTTCAATTATTTCTTCTTGCTTCAATGTTTTTTTTTTTTTTTTTTTAAAAAAAAACCCCTGGTTATGTAAGCATAGCCACCATCGCTTGCTTTATAGGCTCAACCATCGACTTTCCATATCAAGTTCTGTTTACTTTTAATTGAAGTTTTCTCGAGTGCCAGTTTATCATGAAAGGGCTTGTTCTGGCCGCTAACTGAATAGTGCGAACAAGCATAACGCGGTCGTCCAAGTTAGTTACATGACTAATTAGATTCCCCTGGATTCAACCAGAGAGATGATGGTAAAATCTAAACCAACAAGCTAAAAACTCATCATGAATTGCCGTGAAAACTTTCTTGTCCTCTTTCTAAGCCGCGATAGCTGCATCTTCTCTGGGAACTGCTTTCTCGGCAGCTGCAGCGGCAGCAGCCGCCTTCATTGCAGCCCCTCTCTTCGACGCAATATATCCCTTAACAAAGTCTGACATAAGATCTTCTTGTGACTCTTCCTTCTGAGGATTCAGTCCCCAGGCAGTGGATGAAGAGTCGAGAAGGGTTGCGCGCCTCATATCACGAACATACTTGCCCGCAAATGAGCCTCCAGCCGCTTTGTGCATGACGCAGGTGTTGTCCTGAATATGTATTAGTGCTGATAGTGTAGGACCGAATAAATGCCTTGACATACCCAAATGACAATATCGCCATCATTCTCCCAGTCAATTGTGAACGTATACTTATCCTGGGTGGCGTGTTCAAGCAAAGCCTGGATAACAGGCTGACTATCTTCCTTCGTCCACCCATCGAAGTGATGTCCATGAGCAGCAATGTAAAGGTTCATTCTTCCACTGGGCTCGTGCAGCTGAACCAGCTTGTGACGAGCCATCGAGTTCTTCTCCGCGGGCATATACTCCAAGAACTCGCAATCCGGCGCAGCAAGACGACGGCTATGCCAGATCGAGTGCCACAAGACATAATCATTTATCTTCTCCTTTGTCTCAGCGTCCAAGTCATCATATGCAGTTCTGGTATCGGCAAATGCGGTTCCGCCACCCGTCCCCTTGGGGGGCAATTGGTGGGCGCGAAGAATGGAAAGTCCCACGCGGCGATTGTTGTAGGAGCAATCGACGTGGAAGAGGTTATTTCCCTGACCGAGTTGGTATTTCAAGCTGTCTTTCTGGAGAAGGGAGCCATCGTCTTCGATGTTGGATACGTCGGTGAGTTCAACAAAAGGGTCTAGACGGTACTTCTTGCCGGGCGCAACGAAAACGGTGGACGAGTCGAGCTCCCCCATCTGCCGGGCGAAGGCTACATGGCGCGCATCATCGAGTTGGGCTCCACGGAACACAAGGACACCATATTTGGCCATACCATCGCGAATAGTCTTGATGTCTTCCTCGGGTAGTGTTTTGGAGAAATCGATTCCGTGACACTCTGCACCAACGGTGGGGTGGAGGCGTTTGAAGGAGACTGGGGATGTGGTGGTGGATGCCATTGATGCGATAGTTGACTTCAAAACTTGGAACTATATGACGCGTTTTGGGCAGCTGTGGGTACGCGTGTTTTGTGTATAGGCAGCAGTAGTCCTACTAGTAAGAGACAAGCTTTGGATAAAATTCCTTGGACTCACTTGGCGCACTTGGCGGACTGTCGATTTATATTCTGATAATTTAGCACTGAATACAGTTTCTTACGTTGGATGAATATTATACATGTGAATTGCCCTTTTCTATTCTTACCTATTCTCCTTGCCCTGTTACGGACTAAAGAAGAGCCACATAGAAACGACTTGACAGGGATCTTGTCAAATCAGCGAGTGGTAAAGTGTCAAGGCCATGTTGAATTAAAAAAATCCCCACTGTTTGTCCTTCTTTCCATCCAATCAGAGAATCAGGCTCAGATACCTGTGATGCGAAGTAATAGAAGACCCCAATTTTGCAATCGTACGAGGATTCATTTAGATCTTCCGATGATGCGCTACTTAACTAAATTACCTGATGTAGCTTAGCTTCGTTTCTGTATTTCACAAGTATTGTCGGCAATGGCCAAAATAGTATGCAAGAAGCAGGCTTCGTATTGTAATCTCGACCAAGCTCACAGACCAGCTCTGACATGTAACGTTCTTCATAAATAACAGTGAAAGTGACATGCAAAAACTGGGGGCCATGACTTAAACCCCCTTTTCTTCCTGACCCGGACATTGGTTTCTTCAAAAGGAAATTTCACCACGGAAATTGCCCCATAAAATTCATTGGGGTCCCTTGGGGCTGTTATTGGGGGGCGAGCAGTCGGATTTACGTCCAAGCGTTTGCCTAACTTAGGCCTTTTCACTGCGGCCAGCCTGTCGCTGTTTTAACTGATCAGTGGTGTGATGTCACCAAAATAATTCAAATCCACAGCTTCTATAGACTGACAACCGAGGGAATATCTTCGAAAGATTGACTACAAAACAGTAGAGAATAGTATTTTTACTATCATGCTAAATATCCCTGATCCATCTTTGCAACTTTTAAAAGATATCGCTTCTTAAATATTGGAACCAAAAATAACCTCTCCCGAGGTCATCTTCCAAAGTTATGATTCTGGTCTAAAGATTGCCTGTTCAGGAAGCAGGTTGCTCAACTTGAAATTCCCAGGTTTGGCGGCCCCCATAAGTTCTTGCCAAAAAGTGGGAAAACACCAGCTGGACTCTAACATTCCTCATAATTTGTCCTTTCGAATGTCACAAAATATTGGGACATCACATTGAAAAAATAGGTCGCAGAGCTCAACGATCACATCTGCCAATTTTTTGACATTTTTCTCACCGTTCACATTTGACGCAATCTTTGGAGGTAGCAGAAGCTATAGACGACGTAAAATGTCCGAAAGACTCGGTCAAAAATCAGTTCTCATTACAGGGTATGTCTGCGTATGAGAAATTCGTTGTGAATGAAGCGTTGCTAACATCAGACTTTAGTTGCACACCTGGAGGCATTGGCCATGGTCTTTGCCACGAATTTCACAAAAAGGGTATGTGGGGAAGACACGGAAATATACTGATGATCGGAACACTGACCGTTGTCTAGGCCTTCATGTAATCGCTACCGCTCGCGATCTATCCGTTTTAAAGGAACTGGGGGCTCTGGGGATTAGCACCGTCCAACTAGACGTGACAGATCCTATAAGCATCAAATCGTGTCACAAAATTGTTACCGGGCTCACTGGAGGTCGCCTAGACATTCTAGTCAATAACGCGTAAGGTCCGGATTCTCCGAAACGAAATTCCTGTCATGCTGAACAAGTCTTCTTGGGCCTAGAGGTCGTACCCACACTCATCCTGCGCTAGATCTTGATATCCAGGATGTGCGGACAACATTTGAGACTAATGTCTTTGGGGTAATGGCAATGGTAGCTGGGTTCGCGGATCTTCTGATTGAAGCCCAGGGCTTGATTATCAATATCGCGTCTTTGGCGGCTCTGGTTCCGTACGCCTTCGGAAGTGCATATTGTGCTAGCAAAGGGGCCATTGTCAGTTATAGTCGCACGCTGCGTCAGGAACTACGTCCCCTTGGTGTGAGAGTCATGGTTTGCATGGTCGGCACGGTCAAGTCCAATATTCACAATCGGGCGCATAGATCTCTGCCCGCAAACTCGGTGTACCAACCCATCAGTGAGGTCTTCCAGAAGCGACTTACATTCGTCAACAACAACAGTCCATATGATACCGACTCGTTCTCACGAGAGCTTGTGGCGAACTCTCTGAGGAATGAATGGCCATGGTTCATGAGGAGTTGGGTGGGAAGGCCAGACTGGTTCTATTATGGTGGTTTGGCATGGCTGCTGTGGTGGGGTTCGACTTTGTTTGGTGAATGGGTGGTGGACTATGTTTGTTGGAGAATGTTTGAATTGTGGAAGTTGGAGAGCCTGAGATCGCGAGTCGAAGAGATCCATGAGGAAAAAGAGCGTTCCAAGATTGATTTTTTCCCTCTGTTTCTATCATTAGCGCGATTGCTCAGTATTTGGGTACCTTGCTTGTTGTTTCTTACCTTTATCTTATGAATTGCAGACCCGATATATCATACATAATGACATTCAGGTTAACTGGCCGCTAATTGGGATTGATGCGTTCATGAGTCGCTCAAGTCCAAAGTCTCTATCCTCCACGACCTGCAGACCGATCATTACCGTGTGGGACTGTGGCTTGACCTGCAAGTACATCTGGATGTTAGCCGATTTCTTATTTTAAAGTGCTGTCAGACAAGCTTCCCACAGTCGATCTCAACTCGCAATGCATACCTCATTTGGGTGATGTTGGCGCATTCATGAAACGTGATTGGATCCTGCTTTGCAATGTGGGGTCAATGGTGGGGTCATACGCAACGCCCAGACGCTAAAGTGGCGGTGCAGCCTCAAGGTCGAGGATTCTAGGCAGTATTCCAAGGCTGTTGATACTTATTCCTCCCAGTCAACATTGAAAGAAGAAAGCCGTCAATACCTCGCAAAAGTCTATAAGAGCGCCCTGAAGATCAGGATTCCAGGATTGCAGGATTCCGTTCGGTCATGGTTTACTGCGGAAAGCCCAGTAAAGGTTGTGGTCAATGCCGGACACGCAAAGTCCGATGTGATCAGGCCCAACCGGCCTGTTCGCAGTGCGTAAGAGCCAAGCGGGAATGCCCTGGATATCGAGACCAGTTATCATTAATGTTCCGCGATGAAAGCCAATCAGTCGTGAGAAAGGCACGGGCGGAGGCAAACAGTTCAAGTTCCGTCGGCGTGGCCAAGTTGCCCTCGAAGTCGAAACAGTCGCTAGCGCGACCTGCATCCCTTTCTCGGAATCCTAGCTCCCCAATTACCCCAACTAACGTTCCGGTGGAGTACCAAATTCCTTTCGATTTCAACGGAACTTCAGAATATGTCGACTTCAATGGAACTCCAGAATATGTCCTGCCGGGTGAATGGGTCATCCCCCTGGAGGTTCAGCCTTTGGGTCCAACCAAGGATGATGCGATATGTTACTTCATGCACTCCCATGCTTTCCCGGGCGCATTTTGGACCACAGATCTTATGACCAAATTCTTATTACAGTCCGGGGGGCCGTTGAGTCAGAGTGCTATGCAGGCAAGTATGGGCGCTGTCTCAATGGCTATGTTATCCCGTGTTAAAAAAGTGCCGCAACTTATGCATACGGCACAAAAAGAATATGCCACAGCATTGACGCTGCTAAATGATGCATTGACTAGGCCAGATGAGGCTAGGTCCAATCAAGCGCTCGGGGCGGTCGTGCTGCTTGCCATATACGATGTAAGCGCAGATCTTGTGGTGTTTCAACCCGATTTACGATATACGCTGACCCGCACAGGTTGTTACTTCCAGGGCCCCACAGGACATCAACCTGTGGACCAGACATATAAATGGAGCCACAGCTCTTCTGGAGATGCGCGGTCCTGAACAACTCAAGACTGAAACCGGCCTTCGTCTATTTATGCATCTACGGTATCAAATTGTTTGTATCTACCTTCATTATTTCTCAGAACTTTTTTTTTCTTTCTCCCCACCCACTAACCATGAACCCTCCAATACACACAGGTTGTCAGCTGTATGCAACGAAACGCCCGAGTCCCCGAGTCCTTGTTGGAGTGCTCGAGGTTTATCCTAGATCTCCGCCCGAACGAGGCCTATGCGAACCGATTGATCATCATCATCGGTCGGCTTTCCAATTTACGGTCCGATGTCATCTCAGGCAGACTGACCGACGATCAACAAATTATCACGGGGTCATCGGCCATCGAAGCCGATCTGATCTCTTGGCTCGCCGGCTTGCCGCCCGTTTTTTCCTACGAAGTTCATAAGAAGGACCGTTTCGACTACAAGTTCCAAGCACGATGTCGAGGCCTGCCCTTATACGACGAGCACTACCATGTATATCCCAATCTCTGGGCTTGTAATTCATGGAACCAATACCGCTGTGCTCGAATAATCGTCAGCAAGATGATTCTAGAGAACATCCGACAAATGACCGAATCGTCCTCGTTGAAGCACTTGTCGGAAGAATTTCGACAGCAATGCCAGGCTCTCCGTGCAACAATCCATCGCCTTGCTGTTGACATCAGCCGCAGTGTGCCCTTCTGCATTGGTGTGCATCATAAAAGCCTCGATCCAACCTTGCCACCGCCAGACAGCTATCTAGGTGGCACGATTCTGTTGTGGCCATTGTACCTGGCTGGAACTGCAGAAGGTCCAACTCACCCGCTTCGTCGGTGGGTGGTACAGTGTCTACGTATGCTCGGCAACACTTTTGGGTTGGACCAAGCTTTAGCCGTGGGGGATATTGTCGCCTCGGATCCGGGGATTCTGCCTGGTGGTACTGAAGAAGAGCAGAGCCGCTTTACTGAGGAGGAGGCCGTTTACGAGACTCCGACCTCGCAACCGGCCATCCAGATAGATGATTGGTCTCCCCTTCAACCATCCGGCTTAATGGAAATTTGAGGCAATTGTTGTTGTTGTATGTACAGGGGGCATCTTCATTGCCCTATATATCCAGATGCCATGTGCTTGGTCTCTTTTCTTTACTCTTCCCACCGTATTCATTCATCTCCTTTTAGTTGAGAGTTACTAGACTCGGAGCGCTCATACCTACTACTATGTCATGGTCAGATCCACATGTTTCCAGAGTGAGAACTAGAAATTACTGCTTCTTAGAAACATCAATTGAAGGCTACGAATATTTTATTTCGAACCACTTAGAAATTCTCCACATTTCCAATTAACCTATTGGCTAATTTCTCGCACGGTCTCTTCCCGTGTCTGCCTTGCGGGGTCATTCTCATTGCCTCTGGGGCTGTGCGCATAGCCCCCATCATCCATGTACATGATGTACACACCAACTCCGCCTTGCGAAACATTGAGTCGCAAGAACAAAGCTTGTTGGTGACTCAGGCATGGATGCATAGCTTTTTCGTAATAATTGAATTAATCTAAAACCTCTCGTTTCCTGCCCCACCTTGTCCGGGGTTACTTTATTAACCCTTTTCCAGCCACGCGCTAATATGGCCGATTGTGTCCAAGCGGTGTAGCCTTATTGCTTCCATGGAGTGCAGGGCAGTGTTCTTCTGGCAGCTAACCTATTGGAGAATTTTATGTGTATTCTGCCTTATCGGAATTCTGAATCCATGGATCCCCGGCTCGTGTGCTTGTCCTGGGGAGGAAGTATGCCATAGTCATCCTACGGAAAGATCAACTACTAGCAGGAGGCTCTTTTGTGATTAGCGACTCCACCAACCAAGGTATTTGGTAATGTTGCCCAGGATACAGCCTTGTTTCACCCTCTGACTTGATCCTCATCTATAAAGAATGAGATATATTTCTTTGTTACATAGTTCTTTCGTTATAGTGCAACAAGGAAATCTACTGGGACCAACATCAACCTTGGATGACTTAGACTCGTCCTTTTGACATTTGGACCAGCCCAACCTTCCAATTCATCCATCTTGGAATTTGCATCACATTTTGGGCAACCTTGAAAATATCACTCAAATGCCTCTATTTGAAAGAGCGACTCCCCCTCCCCTCTGGTCCTCCTTCCCATCCAGCAACAGACACTCGAGCCAAGCACCTCGCCTAGTATACACACCTGAACCTACAGAATATCAAAAGCCATCCAGAATGGGCCGTGGTTTCTCCATATTCAAGCGCCGTGGGCATCAATCTACCGAGAGGTCTATCCCCAACATGTCCAGTCAACCCAACCACACCTTCAACTTCAACCCCGAACCCAGCATCTACCCGGACAGCTCCAACAAATCAGCATCCTGGGACCCCCCAGCCTACCAAGAGCATCAATCCGCAAGCACTCAAGCAGGTCAGTCCCAGATTTCAGCCGGAGACTCGGACTTCGACTTCCTCAAAGACTTCGATACAATCTTCCTCGTCGATGACAGCTCTAGCATGTGCGGACCCCGCTGGCGCGAAGCCGAAGCCGCAATCGCCGCCATCGCACCAATCTGCACCCAACACGACAGCGACGGAATAGACGTCTACTTCCTCAACCACCGAAATACCCGTTTCACCCACGCCAACCGCAGCAGCACCAGCGGTGCCTACGAGAACGTCACCAGTGCGCAGGAGGTACGTGAGATCTTCAGCAGTGTCACTCCGCGCGGAGCCACCGCAGTTGGGGGACGGCTCCGCGACATTCTGAAGCCGTACATGCAGCGTGTGGAGCGAATGCAGGCATCGCAGAACCAATATGGGGATTTATCTGATCCGTCGCTGTTTGTGAAGCCTGTTAACATCATTACAATCACGGATGGGGCATTTACGGATGATACGGAGAGTGTTCTTGTGCAGGTGGCACGGATGTTGGATACTAGTAGTCCTCAGTGCCCGCCCGCCTTGCCGTGGCAGGTTGGGATTCAATTTTTCCAGATTGGGGACGATAAAGATGCGAGTAAATATTTGCAGGAGTTGGACGATGAGTTGGGCAGGTATTGCCAAGATGGGAAATTGAGGGATATTGTGGATACGGTGCCTTGGAGAGGTTCTACGGGGTCAACATTGGATGCGAAGGGAATCTTGAAGTGTGTTTTGGGGTCAGTGAATAAGAAGTTGGATCGGCAACGAGTTTAGATTTTGCTTCTCGCTTCAATGTTTCCTGGATTTAATTTAGTATTTATTCCACTACGCGAATCACCTTGTTTTTTTTTTTTTTTTTTTCTTCTCTTCCCAGTTATCGCGATTATTTAGAGCTATTACAAGCTTGGAATAAGACCAGTCATATTTCATCTCCCACGCCACGCGGATTTCAGGAACCGCCCAAGTGGATCCTGGTCGATCATCGAATCACGGTATTTGGCGTCAGGGGGGAAAGCATTTGGGAATTGAGCCTTGCATTTTCAAATGTTGCATTTTGCATTTTGCATTTTGCATTTTTGATCTGATATATAAATACAACCCGAGTAAATGTGATCTCTTCAAGTGACCTGACGCGTTCTTAAATTAGGTAGATGTACCTTGCAGTAGTGTGTTGTTGGCAACCATGGTTGAACATGTTGCAGTAGAAGATGCAAATCTCAAGCTCCAAAATCTCCAAAAATCTCCAAACAAATCTTTGAGCTTTGAATTAAATCTCCGAGCATTTGAATCTATTGAAGTATTATTGATACCAAGCCCCATCTCTAATTCAACCTTGATCTACCTGATCTATTGAATTTCGTCTAACCCGCATCGTTCTTCCGATCGGCATCCAAAGCCATCACGCTTCAATATTCCCCGCAGCGCCGATCGCGCGTCACCGCAAAGAAAAAAAAAAAAAAAGTCAAATCACCACCTTCGCCTCCTTCTCCTTCTCCTCTCTCTCCAAAAAAATACCATTCACAACATCGCCTATAAACACCGAAAACAAGAACAACAACAAACCAAATCCCCAAATCACTTGGGTGAAATCGCGAAATCACAAAATCACGAAATCACGAACTCGACAATCCAGCCAATCCAACCCCATCGAAGCGCCGGGAACCCTGGCTGTCCTGCAGGTACATCCGGGCGCTTCGCCTTCCCTCCCGCCCATTGGTCTACCTTGTCGCCCTGCAGTATCCCTGGGAAATTACGGATACTCTACAATTAGCTGCTTATCCTCTCGCGGTTCTTGAAGCATTCTCTGCCCTTCTTTGCCCTTTTCTTTTGCCCCTGTGTCAGGGCAATGGGTTTGCCTTATTCAACTCTGAAACTGCTCTTGAACGCCCATTAATAGACCTGTCATCATCTGAAACAGGCACCGTTAATCTCAAAAGGGTGGTAATTATAGAAACAGCTATTTGTTGATTGTCTGGGCTGGCCCTTCTTCCAAGCTTCTCTTTATATTTGCATTCGCTCTCTTACTCGGACACTTCTTTTCTTTTCTTTCTCCTGCAACTTCCATTGACATTCATTCATTCTTTTTTTTCTTCTTCTTCTTCTTTCTTTTCAATTGCATTTGCATCGCATTTCCTTTTTGTCTGTATACTATCGTTGATCTTGTCGGTCTTTCTTTTCAACTCCCTTGTTATCTTAGCACTCTCCCTTGCTAGCATTTTCATTGTGTCTTTGGTATTTTCGGCTTTTTTTTGGGTGCATCTGCTGGCCCTTTGAGATCATTTTCTTTTGAGCGCGTGTTGCATTGCGATGAGATCGACTACCCTGATGACTTTTCTATTGTGAGTTTCCGTCCCAATCCCACAATTCATGGACTATAAGAGAAAACAATGCTGACCTGGCTCAGAAATACCAACCCCGATGTTTGGTCGGTGAAGCTCCTCGGATCATGGGATAATTTCTTGAAACCGTATGCGATGGAAAGGGACAGACGCGCTGGACCGGGCCATTGGAAGGGATGTCATACTTTTACGGATATCATGGGCGACGGGCCTGACAAAAATCAATGGCGCACGGGTGGATTGAAGATGGGGGCCACCTACTGGTATTATGTGAGTTGCCAAGACTTGTTTACTTTTACTTGGGCTGAGTAACTAACATCAATGCAGTACTTGTTGAATGATGACGTGGAGTCTTATAGCGAGGTTGAGCCTGTCACCACTAAATGTCCTCTTCTGCCGGGACAACCTCTTAATGTTTTGAATGTGCCCATCATCTTACCGGATAGTCATTCCCATGGTCGCTCCGCTAGTAGCAGCTCCCAGAAGGAAGACTACCGCACAATGAACCCCGAAGACAAATACATGAACCCGCGCAAGCCTCCCAAGCCGAACCTGGCCCGCTTGCAAACTTCTATCCCGAACCCCAGTCAATCTTCTTTAAATCCCCCCAGTGTCTCGCCATCTGGAAGCTTCCTCCATCGAAGTGTCTCTCAGCCCAACAGTGCCACCCGGAGAAACGAAAAGTCGAAAGAGGGACGTTCGGTGTCTCCCCCACGAGGTCTTGGTTTACGCCATGCTTTGACTCAAAAGCGACCGGGGCCATCTCCGAGGGCGCAGGCGTTCAATGAAAGCTTGCGCCAAAAGGCTCCTGTTAACGAGCGCCGCAATGTTCCTGGTATCTGCGTCAATTCTGGCGCCGTGTCTCCTTCAACAGGCCACTCGGATCCCTCTGCTCCGTCAAGCCTTCAGACCCGTCGTGCACTCAAGGCGAAGGCAGGTAATGCTCCCCAAGCTCGAAATCTTCTCACTGTGGAGACGCGTCCACAAAATCGGAAACTTGGCGCTTCCAAAGCTGCTGCATCTAGCTCTGGCTCTGAGGGTGTGCAAGCGAAGCATGCCAGAAGCGGCTCCGACGATATGACACCTACTGGGCCGGATGTCAGTGAGAAGAGACTGCCTTCCCTCCCCAATACACCTTCTTCCGTTATGGACGAAGCGGTACGCGCCATCGATGAACGGGACAAAGCATTGGATGCAGCAGTGCTGCACAGTCACTTTTCCAGTATGACTGCGGACGATTTCACCAATTCCCGCTTCGTGGCCGAATACAGCCGATTTTCGGAATGGAGCACGGACACAGAGACCGAGGATAGCTCACGCGAGTCAATAATCTCCAATACAACAATCCCGATCGAGTCTCATGGGGATTCACATGGGTCTCAAACCCCAGAAGAATGGGGAACCCCCGACCTCACGTCCAACGACAACGCAACCAATACCGATCCCAACACTCCTCACCTCACTGTACATTCCAAGCCCTCGTCCCCCAACTCGGCGTCGGGCGAAATTCCACCATGGCTGCCACAGCTCACAGTCTCTCTTTCCTCACCTCATCTCTCCGGCTCTGGTCTTGGAATCGACCAAATGGATGAGATCGAAAGCAACCCGAAACGCCACGCTGCACTTTTCAGTGCGCTGGAATCCATGCAAGCGCTTTCTCTCGCGCAAAGTCGTGAAGGATCACCAATTCTTCTGTCCGAGAATGACCGACGCGATTCCGGAACATTTTCTCGGCGTAGCGATGCCTCCTCGTTCCGTGGCAAGGCGACTATGCAGGAGATGATGGACGAACTCAGTTACCTGAAGAACATTATCCAGGCTGAGATGGATGGAGAACCATTCTGAGTCACGTCAACCTACTTGCAATTCCTGGTGCTGGCCACCAAGGACATATTATATACAGAGTCAATACTATACACATAGAATTAGTACATAGCACAAAACTGTGCGATGAATAAACTCAATAAGCCAGAAATAAGCAATCAGCAAAATACTCCCAGTTCTCTTTTTTTTTTTCGAAATTGTTTAGGTTCACCAAGAAAACACATTGATAGATCACTCAGTAACATTTAAACATCGGAAGTAGTTCTGCGGTACAGAAATGGCAACACCCGCCCACAAATATCCAACGCGCCAAGAAACGATCCACCGCGATCAACAACTTCACCAAATCCCCAAATTCCTAATTCCCCAAGGGACTCCTACAACCTCAACTCCAAAACAGAATGGGCTGAGCGAGGCTCTATCGCATGCAAAAATAGGTTTTCACGATAATGGCAGAAGAAGCACCACAACTCACGCCCGTGGGGGAGAAATCCCTCCCGGCGAAATGTAAACCCAGCACCCTGGCCTACTGTCCAACAATGGACCTGATCGCGCTTGCGACCGAGGACGAAGAGCTACGCATCTACCGACTGAATGGACAACGTGTATTCGGGGGTTCATTCGGCGGCGACCCTTACCTGGGCGACGATGAAGAAGATGGGGAAGTGAGAGCAGTAGCATGGAAGGGGAATGGTACGTGCAGCACATCAATATACTCGATCGCGAGACTGCTTTGCAATGGAATCTCGTCTGACCTATTTGTTCTAGGCCGCTTTCTCGCTGTCGCGTGTGGGGATGGCACGCTGCGTATTATGAGCGCGTATAGCGGGAAGGTGGTGCACCATTACGCCGTCTACAAAAATGCGCAAGAGGAATACTCAAACCCGGACGCCAAGCCCGTTTCTCCAAAGGTGACATGTTTGGGCTGGGGAGTGAATTTTACTGATAGTAAAGCTGCGCAAAAACATCTGCTTGAATCAGCGGGTCAGATAGGTGTCGAGGATCTGCTGGCTCCCGGGGTTCATCCCTCCAAGGCGGCTGCGCTGCTTAAGGCGGACTTACCGCGGGAGCTCGCTTTACTGGATATCGAGAACTCGCTACCGAAGCTGAGTACGTTACCTGCGACCGGGACTGATGATGGGCTGTTTAGCTCCCGGGCGTCGATCGATGCTATGTTTCACTCGTCTGCGAAGGATGCCAGTGACTCGGTTGATGTATTATTTGTTGGTTTCGATGATGGGAGCGTTCATCTGCGGATCTTTGACTGTTTTGAGATCGGGTCTTTCCCCGTTAGTGAATCTGCCGGGGTCGCCGGGTCGCGCCGGATTCTTCGTTATGCGTCGCATCCTTTGAGCTCGACGCATGCCTTGTTAGCGTCAGGGTCGGCTGGTACACCTCTCGATCTGGTTACGCTCGACCTCCGGTTCATCACCAAGTCAGGTCGATACTTGTCTCTTCTTGCGTCGAAGACCACTCAGCTTCATAACCTGCTTCGGTATATTGGCTCCGTACAGCGACAAATTGAGCTGGAGTGGAAGAATGCGCAGGAATTGCCAGCGAGATTCTTGCGTAGTGTGAACGAAGATCTGCAAGAGAAGAATCACTGTGACTTTGTAACTGCTATCTATCATCTTGTGGTCACTGGGCATTGCTACGAGACAATTAAGGAGTTCTTGGTGGATATTGTGGGAGAGCGAGTATGTATATCCTTGAACCAATGATGGATGATCTTCTAACGATTTGCCATAGGGACATAAGAGGTGGGAAAAGGCTGTCTCGGGTGGATATGAGGCTATCCGTCGACTAACACACGAGTGCCTTCTTCCTGCATTAGACCGCAGCCAGGTTCTCCTCAGTCGACTCGTGGGGTTGTCAAAATTTCATAAACTTAGTGATGTGCTCGGTTTGAAAACCCACAAGCTAAGCGCAATTGTCGAGACGCTGGATTGTCTACAGCTCCTAGCGCATTCCACACTCATCAACGCAAACGAGGAGCTGGACCAATTTAATGCCTTTTCGCGCTGGCTCCGACACGAAATCCTCATCTTGAACGCCGAACCTCTATCCCAGACAGCAGAAGAGCTCCTCGAGAAGAGAGACTTATTTGATGTTCCACCAACGGTGAAGTACATCACAGGCGCGCTGCGCAAGAGTGTGCTTCGAAATTTCATCCGCCAACTACCCATGATCGGAGTGCCTCAACTACCTACCCCTGACACCGACAAATGGCTCCCTGGTGACCATGAACGGTCATTCTACGATACATTCAAGTCCCTACTTGCAAAACAGCGTCGTGTTCAAGCTGAAGGTGGCGATAGCTCGACTGTCGATGCACCAAAATTAAATGACTTGACAAAAAGACTGGGTATCCAATTCGACAAAGTCTTTGCAGAGATCGCATTAACGCAGCGAAGGGGCATTTTGCATCGATCACCTCTCACCCTCCATGCAGATTGTGACCAGAGCATTCTGGACGTGAAGATCTGCCATGAGGACGGCGAAGAGGGACGGCCCTGTTCAATTTACCTCGCGGCTCGGTCTACCACTTCTAAATCCTTAAGTACGTGATTCTCTGCTGGAATTGTTTTATCTCCCATCATCTTGAACATAATGCTAACTCAATTATACAGTCTACATCTATCGTCTCATCCTAAACTCAAGCAACGGCGTCAGTTCTACCCGAAGCACCTCCATGGCCGCCCTGAATCTCCAAGAAGGAGAAATAAAACAGCTTCAATTCGTTGAGGATGACACCTTAATGATCCTCTGGTCCACCCATCCCGGTCCCTCCTACCTCCTGAATTTGCCCTTCCAACCCCCCTCTGCCAACTGCTCTTCCACCAAGCCAGATCAATCATCAAGTGTGCTTGAATACACACAGTGTGACCCACATCCATCAAGCTCGAAACCTAGCATACCGGCTACATTGCTCAATGTCTCTGCACTATGCGAAGCTGGGATGGTGAGGCATGTTTTCGCGACGTCGGGATTGAAGGCGAAGCCCGTGAGTGTTGATGTCAATGGACGCAGAGGTAGGAGAGCGGTTTGTGTTCTGTATGGGGATTCTTCGCGGTATGATGTTTTGGATTTGGACGCTGCGATAGAAGGAGAGGAGGAAGAAGGCTTGGAAGGGGAGGGCGAGAGTGTGGTCGAGGAATAAATCACCAATTCCTAAGGAGGCGCCAAACCTCCTTGGACCCTGAGGATGTTTTGGAACAAAAGATTCTTCAAGGCTAGGCGTAAGCACTTGAATTGCATGGGATACATGATTATACCATGGTAGGCGTTATGAGATTCAGATTCCAATGATAATATTCTGCATTGACTGGTTCGTATTTTTTCCACTTATCGAAGGTCCCTGAAGGATCGACCTGGGAGGGTTCTAAGGTTGGCCTTTTAAAAGTATCAGACTTGGAGATCCTACTCCAGGGCTTCATCCACAGGCGCATAAGCGTAATCTCCCTCTTCAAAAGCCCCTTCATGGACCCCCGTTTCAGCTTCACGTTGCACATGTGGATCCATGGCGGCTCTCGGATTCAATTGTTACTGTAGTCGACTTATATCTACAACATTGCAAATAAAGGAGTGCTATAATGCAGAATTAAGGTTGATGAAGCATATATGAATGAACTAGTTAATTAATGGTGCTTCCAGGGTTGGTTGGTTCGAGGAGAAAAAAAGCAAAAAAAAAAGTATTGCCCACTCGCGGAATCGAACCGCGGATCTTCCCATTCCAATATTTACGAGTGGGACGCTTTACCACTGAGCCAAGCGGGCAGAATACTACTCCGATGCCGAGAAGTAAGATCCATATTGTACACAGGCCCAGTACCGTTCTTCATAGACGACAGTATAAGAAACCTGGAAGGATTTGAAGCTTGTCAGGTCTATTCCAAGGCTGCACATCAGGATGCTGGGTCAGATGGTATAACTTGAAAAACTCGAAGATTTGACGAAAAAAAAACACAGCCCCAGCGCTGGAGCAGAAGATGACAAGGTTATCCTTGATATAGCCATCCCCAGGTGGTTGAAGTTTGTAGAGGGATTTCCGTTGAAATTGAAGAGGATTATCCGCTCCAACTATCTGCGAAACATTTGAAGACACCCTAACACTCAGGTCGTGATAAGAGCAAAGAATACACATCAGGGTGGGATAGTCTGATTCTCAATACGTGCATACATGACGACATAACTAGTTGTCACCCAGATTGACTAGCTGCATGAACAAAGATCTCAAAGAAGATGTAGGTACCAGGTATGGCGTACATAGTAAGTGATAATATCAACGGCGATCTTCATCAAATACAATACTCCTTACCTTTTTCTGTGGATTGTTCTAGAAATATTGTCCACAGTTTTTTCTGACACATCCACTAGCCAGGCACCAAGTTAGGATTGTCCCCACTAGAAAAAAAAATAGTTCACGCCTTGTGTGTGTGCCAGGGCTAAATGGATCGGTCGCTGGGGCCACACGATGGACTGTGGGTGCTTTTCTTCAAGGAGGAAAACCAAAACAAGCAGAATTTCCATGGAGGGGCAAAAAGGGCTCCATAACAAGAGAGAAAAAAAATAAAAGAAAAAATTATATATAAGCCACGGGTATAAGAGAATGCTGCGCCTTAGCAGAATAGAGTGCCTTGATAACAATACCGTTATATGTGATCCAATTATGAATAGGATTATAATAGCTTAAAGTTATAAGACTTGTTTAGTAGTTATCAGGATAATTGTTATACTAATCAACGCTCATTTGTCCAAAAAATCAAAGAGAAAAAAAAGTACGAAAAAAAAGGCAAATTGATTGCCTGAGGTACAGATCACGTGAATCCCTGCGCCGCTGACTGACCAATCAGCTCTCGACTCCCCGATGGACTTCATCCCTCATTCTGGCCTTCTTGCCCTTCTCTGTACTCTATCTGCTGAGAAAAACCCTTTTTTTTACTCCAAATCTTTGTTTGACGGAGCTCCTTCTTTATTTCCCCAGATTTTCCGGTATTCTGGGCGTGTCTTGAAGTCACCTTTTCCTCTCTGTGTCTCATCGCGGAAAGACCTGGTGCATGCCTCGTCATATCCACAAAAACACTCCGTCCCTTCCCAACATCAACCAACCTTCTTCCTCTCCTTCCATCACTCACCCGCGCTTTTTGGTGGACTGTGACTCGTGTGCCGGTGATATTCTTTGACTTTTGCGCAACAAGAGTCCCCATTACTTTTTCTTTTCAGCTTTTTTCCTTTTTTTCGCCCTCCCTCTTTCCCCCCCACATCTCCCTCTTCTCAACTGCCATCCAACATGGATGCCCGTCAGGTGTTAGAGAGCACCCTGTCGCCTGGTATGTAATACGTCTTGTTCTTCTCCTTCTATAACCCAAGGGAAATCTCGGGATTTTGCGCCTTTGAGAGTCTTTTGCTGACATCTCCGCCTTTCACCAGACACGGCGACTCGCTCCAACGCTGAGCAACAGCTCGCCCACGCCGCGGAGGTCGACTTCGTATGTGATCCCCTCCTTTCCTCTTCAGTTTTACGCACTTGGAGGATAACCATGAGGTCTTGCCAACTCCGAGACCCGTCCGCCCGCTAACATTTGCTTTTCTCCTTCTTTCTAGGCTGCCTACCTTATTACTCTGGGCCAGGAACTGGCCAACGACAACACCCCCTCCCACATCCGTGTTTCTGCAGGTATCGCCCTGAAGAACGCTTTCACCTTCAGAGACCAAGCCAAGCTGCAAGAGGTGCAACAGCGATGGGTTCAACATATCCCCACAGAGACCAAGACACAGGTCAAGGAGCTCGCGATCAAGACCTTGCAATCTGACACCCGAGTCGGACATGCTGCCGCCCAGCTGGTCGTTTCTATCGCTGCCATCGAGTTGCCCCGCAATGAGTGGCCTGAACTTATGAACATTCTCGTCCAGAACGTCGCCAGTGGATCCGATAACTTGAAGCAGTCCTCCTTGGCCACTATCGGTTTCATTTGCGAGTCTCAGGATCCTGAGCTCCGCCAGAGCTTGATCCAACACTCTAATGCCATTTTGACCGCCGTTGTTCAGGGTGCCCGGCGCGAGGAGCCGAACATGGATGTTCGTTACGCTGCTATTGCTGCCCTCAGTGACGCCGTTGATTTCGTGCGCTCAAACATGGACAACGAAGGAGAGCGAAACTATATCATGCAGGTTGTCTGCGAGGCCACTCAGGCCGAGGAGGTCCGTGTCCAGGCTGCTGCATTCGGCTGCTTGAACCGCATTATGGGTGCATACTACGATAAGATGCGCTTCTACATGGAGAAGGCTCTATTTGGCCTCAGCATCATGGGTATCAAGAGCGAGGAGGAGGAGGTCTCCAAGCTTGCCATTGAGTTCTGGTGCACTGTGTGCGAGGAGGAGCTGTCCATTGAGGACGATAATGCTGAGGTATGTATTAAGAGATCCGATCCAGGCGAATTTTCAAAAATGCCGACTAACCGGTTTGTTCAGGCTCAGCAAGAAGGTACTGAGGCCCGTCCATTTTTCGGATTCGCCCGCGTGGCTACTCGCGAGGTTGTTCCCGTTCTGCTGCAGGCCATGTGCCGCCAGGACGAAGATGCTACTGATGACGAGTACAACGTTTCCCGTGCTGCTTACCAGGCTCTGCAGCTGTACGCTCAGTGCATTCAGGGCGATGTGATTCAGCCCGTGGTGGCTTTTGTTGAGGAGAACATCCGCAACGAGGACTGGCACCGTCGTGATGCCGCTGTTGCCGCCTTCGGTGGTATTATGGATGGCCCTGAGCCTAGTGTGTTGGAGCCTCTGATTAAACAGGCTCTGCCTGTTCTTCTGGGCATGATGGAGGACAACTCCGTCTCGGTTCGCGATTCGACTGCCTATGCCCTGGGCCGCGTCTGCGAGTGCTGCCCCGAGGTTCTGGATCCGGATGTCCACCTCCAGCCCCTTATCTCTTGCCTCTTCAATGGCCTTGCTAGTAGCCCCAAGATTGCCAGCTCCTGCTGCTGGGCTCTTATGAACGTTGCTGACCGCTTTGCCGGCGATGGTAGCACTCAAACCAACCCCCTTTCTAAGCACTTCGAAGACAGCATCAAGTCACTGTTGACCGTGACTGAGCGTCAGGATGCTGATAACCAGCTTCGTACCGCTGGTTACGAGGTTTTGAACTCATTCGTTATGAACTCTGCCCACGACAGCCTTCCTATGGTTGCCACTCTTTCCGACGTTATCCTCCAGCGTCTTGAACAGACTGTTCCCATGCAGCAACAGGTCGTCAGTCCTGAGGACCGTATGCTTCTGGAAGAGATGCAGACCAGCTTGATCAGTGTTATCTTGGCCATCGTTCAACGATTCGAGGTTGATATCAAGCCCCAAGCTGACCGTATTATGCACGCCCTGCTTCAGGTTCTGGCTACCGTTGGTCCCAAGTCGAGTGTGCCCGATGTTATCTTCGCCACTGTTGGTGCTATGGCAAGCGCTTTGGAGGACGACTTCATCAAGTACATGGAATTGTTTACTCCCTTCCTGTACAATGCTTTGGGCAACCAGGAAGAGCCTGGATTGTGCGCCATGGCCATTGGTCTCGTCAGTGATATTGCTCGTGCTCTAAACGAGAAGGTTCAGCCTTACTGCGACACCTTCATGAACCTCCTGCTTGGAATACTGCGCACTTCCACTAACCAGCTCAAGCCAGCTATTTTGGAGACTTTCGGTGACATTGCTCAGGCCATTGGTACCTCCTTTGACACCTACCTCAGCGTTGTTGCTGGTGTTCTCCAGCAGGCCTCTTCGGTCACTACTAGCTCTGACCTTCCATACGATATGGTGGAGTACATTGTATCACTGCGTGAGGGTATTATGGATGCCTGGGGAGGTATTCTTCTCTCCTACAAGGGTAGCCCCCAGATCACCCAGCTTCAGCCGTTTGTTGAGTCTATCTTCGGTTTGCTCCACATTATCTCCCAGGAGGGTGACCGTAGCGAGGGCTTGATGCGCTCATCTATGGGCGTTCTTGGTGATCTTGCTGACGCCTTCCCCAACGGCGAACTCTCTTCATACTACCGCAACGAGTGGGTCACTACCCTCGTTCGTGAAACCCGCGCTACCCGTCAATACAGCCCGCGTACCATTGAGACTGCTCGCTGGACCCGTGAGCAGGTCAAGCGCCAGATTAACATGAGCACTGGTTTGTCCTAAATCATGTTCCGCGCTTTGATCCTATTGGTGAACGAGCGAATCATGTCGCGGCTTCGTTACAAGAAGGCTCAAGTCGCTACAACGAAAGCCCGGCGGGTTGGTCATGGGCTATGCCGTAGCCCCGGCTTTAGCCTAGGCCAGCCAAGTCCAGCGCAACCTGGACTGCCAATGGACGGTGAAGCTTTGCCTATTTGCTTGCAGGTGACACAAACTGTTCTGTGGTTTGTGCTCAATTCCCCATCATCCCCTTGCCCAGAGTTCGAGCCCCGAGATTCCCCTCGCACTACGCCTCCTATCAAACACCCGGCACTTGTTTGTCGATGCCCAATCCCTTGATGACGCCCTCGAACGATCCCCATTTTATCCTCCCCTTATGCCCTCGCCTTAGTTTCTTGTGATACAAACCCTTTTTTTAACCTTTCTTATCCTGCCCCTCCTATTTTGCTTTTAATTAGACAAGACCCCTTCGCATCCTATAGCATTACCCGTCATGTAGCCCAAGACCTCATGTATCCTCCCCTCCCCTCCCCCTCTCCCCCTATTTATGTATCCCCAATCATGTACCCCCTTGAACCATGTGTACCCCTCTGAGAAAAAGAGTTGTTCATGAAAAGCTGTTCGTTTCGAATCCTGATTCCGTATATTCCGGCCATCCTCCCTAACGCCCATGCCCAAGTGTTGCACCAACCTCCCAGACCTTGTACGATCAGTTAACTTTGGTAACATCTATAAACCTCACGGATTACTTCCGTGCCTGCAAGAAAAAAAAAACACTATGGGACAAACTGTAAGCTGTTGAAAACGGTCTTCGTAGGCCAGTGGGCACGATTCTGATGCCTGAGGCACAAATGATTGGTTTATCACCACGTGACCTATAGACGCAAAATTTTCTCCTGATAAGGGCAATAACCCTAGCGGACCCGCACAGTCAGCAGAACCCAACCTTCAATCTTCGAACTTTTCAATCCTTGACACGACAACATCTGACGGACCAGTCACTCGAGGTATGTACACTCTTGACGCCCTCGTTTCTCACCAGCCTCTCAGCTAGTCTGGGGGAGCAATCATTCTGCCTTCCTCTCCCTTCTTATGACTGGAATATTTCATAAGTCCGGGATACAGGGGGTGCAGGATGATACGCATCTCCCATCCGGCACAGGCTGAAGAACTCCTTTTCACAAGGAAGGGGCACTCTTTACGCTTGACGACTAGTTGATGGCTGACTTTTCCGGTACTTCGGTTGAAGTAGATACCTCTTATCTTATCCCCTCGATCGATTTGAGAATCTCGATTCCGACACCGCCAAAATGGTCAAGACCTCCGTCCTCAACGATGCGCTTAACGCCATGAACAACGCCGAGAAGGCTGGCAAGCGCCAGGTTCTCATCCGTCCTTCCTCCAAGGTCATCGTCAAGTTCCTCACTGTCATGCAGAAGCACGGTACGTCTTTGACATGATGTCGTCAAATACTGAAAAATCTTCGCTTTGGAATTCGTTTTTTTCCATTTTCTGTTTCGTCCTCATGTATTACGGTGTTGGCGGAAAACAGTCGGACTGATAACTAGGCGGATTGTTTCAATCAACCCACGACGTTTGCCTTTTAAGTGTCCGATATATTAACGCGTTGATCTTACACGTTTCCAAAGCGATTATCAGTATTTGGCGACTTTTAAATCATTGCAACATACTGACCTTTCTTTCTTCAGGCTACATTGGCGAGTTCGAGGAGGTCGATGACCACCGCTCCGGCAAGATTGTCATCCAGCTCAACGGACGTCTTAACAAGTGTGGTGTCATCAACCCCCGCTACCCCGTCCAGCTCCGTGACGTCGAGAAGTGGGCTACTCAGCTCCTTCCTTCCCGTCAGTTCGGTTACGTCGTCCTGACCACCTCCGCTGGTATCATGGACCACGAGGAGGCTCGCCGCAAGCACGTTGCTGGCAAGCTCCTCGGTTTCTTCTACTAGATGGAGTCGTTTTAGAAACGAATCTCAAAAAACAAAAGTTATTTTGACTGGAATCACTGCCACTTGGGCTGGACCCCTGGGAATGTAATCTTAAATAGCGGATAATACCCGCGATGGTTTCAGAGTACACGGTTTTTCATTCCAATACTAGGCTTTCTCTTGGTCAACCTCGATAATTTCTGCCTTCTGTATCCGTGCCGTAAAAGATCTCTTGCTCATAACGTAGACTTTGCCGGACCGAGGCTTGCATCCACCGCCCACTTTCTGCCCCTGATCTACTTCCCCGCAACATGAAATTACTACTAGTCGCCGTCCACCATTGCTTTTTGTCTTGTTGATGCTGCACCCACCATGCCACTTGATACCATATACATCACTCGCCATGGGGTATGTACTACTATTCATGAACCACCATGCGGTCTTCGACCCAACAATGGCAAAGCTAATGTGGTATTAGCACCGTCTCAATTGGACAATCGATCTCCACACCGGAACCTACAAGTCACAATTCCCGACTCCAACTGGGAATCCCGCGGACCCTTCATTGACATCTTATGGTATAAATCAATCGCATGAACTTTCTGCGCACATTGGCGGTCCGGCATTCCACCCGAAGCCCTTTCGAGTCTACTCCAGCCCGTTTTATCGGTGCTTGCAGACAATCCAGCCGTCTGTTGAAGAACTGAGGAAGCAAAGCCAGCAGGATGCAGTTTGCGACACAGGTCTAGGTCGCATTGACCCGGCTTCAAACTTTGATGTTCGAATTGAGAATGGGGTCGGGTACGTTGAGCTCTTCATCCTGGACACATTGGACATCTTCACAAGTTCAACACAAAACGATCCAAATTATGATACGAGTTAACGATTTATTTATTATAGTGAATGGTTCGGTCCAACAACCTTCTTCGAACACCCGCCCCATCCAACCCCTGAAACAATGCAGCAGCACTTCCCATCCATCGTCCCCCAAGACCCATCAACAAACTATAGCCCTCTCCTTCACCCCTCCCGACGTGGCGAGACCATTCTCCAGCTCCATAACCGTGTTGCAACAACCTTGGAAGGTATAATCGCGGATCTGGACGCCGAAATCGCCGCTCTGGAAGCAGATATCCCAGTCGAGCGACGGACGAGTAAATCCGTGCTGATCTGTTCGCATGCCGCAACCATTATTGCGATGGGCCGTGCCTTGACGGGTCGAATGCCGGAGGATTCGTCTGAGGAAGATTTCTTCGTCTTCACGACTGGATTGAGTACGTTTCGCCGACGCGGAACCAACTCAGCTGGGAAACGCGTAACAAGTTCACCGGATGATTTAGCCGAAGAGACAAAACTTCTCCGTGTCCAAGGTGTTCCGGAGTGGATAGGCCATGGTGTCGGGGGTGGATGGGACTGTCTGAAGAATGGAGACTGCACATTTTTGAGTGGTGGTGCTGAGCGAGGATGGTGAGTTTTTGTGAATTATTTTCGTACGTTATGATACTAATATGCTATACATAGGCACTTTAACGGAGAGGAAGGTTTTGATACTGCCCCTATGGCTCCGGCTCCGGAACCATTCGCGACCAAGCTTTGAAGACTATAGATTTGGGTTTCTATAGAAAGTCTATTCCTTCTTTCGAATTGAGTTCCATCAGGTACATACTGCAATAGAAGCTTTGGAAATAATGGCATTTTTCAATTTGATTGGCTACACGGGTTGGTGTACATGTAGGACCATGTATGCCTCAGCTGTCAGGCCTGGAGTAGCGGTGTGCAAGGCGGAGATTTGCTGACGATTAAGATCTCAGCAAACATGCATGGGATTCCTTGTATCGAATGAGAATGATGCATGCACTCGTCAGGGTTCGCTGGCGATCGCCGATCAATGCGGGAATCCCCGGGGGCCGTATTTCAAAATGTCGAGATACATACTCCGCAATGCAGGAGCAGAATGAGGTCAGACCTGCCAGTGACGAGACTAAATCTATCACTGGCTAGCATAGGATACTTGCCAGATTATAAAGTTATTCATTTTCCCAAAACCACTTAAGTCTGTACATTCGACGTCATGAATTTTAATGACAATGTTGTTCATCACCCCCTTGGTGGGGGCTCATACTATTTCAAAGAGAGTCTCATCAAGTATCTTAGCGACCAATGTCCCCAGCAGGAAATCGCAGTTCATGTTGGGTCGCAGCCCAACTCCAGCCCGCACATCGGAAATGTTACAACCTTCGCAGTAGGATTTGCCCTTGCTGCCGCCCTCAAGAAAGTTTGCTCTCGTGAGGTTCGAGTCAAATTCATCTATGTCGATAGTGCTCCAGCACCCGGTCAAGAACCTGTTATAAACGGGGTTAAATACCAGAAAAGCCTTACACATACTGGGGACTTTCGCAGCAACCAGAAGCCGTTCGAACGCATGATTGATAAATTATCCGATCTTTCTGGTGTCCCCTGCGATATCGATACACAGAGGTTCTGGCGAACGAATCCAATTTTTCCAGTAGTGCTTCGGGACCTCATATCCCAGCATCAAACACTAGGCCCCCACCTGTCGCCCCGCACGGGGAAGCTGGCTATAAGGGCGCCATGTCCCCACGACGGGTGCGGCTTGGCGGATAAACATGGCGTCAACAACCGATACGAGATCGAGGGACGCATTGTATTTTTGTGTCCAGATCATGGCGAGCATTACATCGATCTAGATTCACCTACCGACATAGACCGATTGGAGTTTAATACACCACTTCGAAACCTCATACGGATAAGAATAGCCGGCAGTGATATGAAGCGATCGTGGATTATGTGCACCGGGTCTGACTATGCTGGCTTTTACCAAGAGCAATTCACATGGCGGCTTCTGCCGTGTCCAAAGGAGGCGCCAATTATCTTTTATGCTCCTCAAATCCTGGACTGGTCCGGAGCCAAGCTTTCAAAGAGCTTATATGTCAAGCAAGATGCTTACAAGTACGTATGCGAAGCTGATCGTCAGTACCTGCTGAACGTGGAGCTATTGTTGAGATTTGAAGGTGGATTGGAAGCTCTTTATTTGGAAGTGCATGAATGGGTGGAAAAGCCGTTCATGCTTTTCAGGAACTATACCATCGCTTATATTGATCAACAACTGGCCGTACGAGGAATGGGCCTGCACGAATTGGCTAAGTAGCTTCTAGTCCTTAATTGTACTTTCATCATGCCCTCGTCGGTCCTCCTTAGCAAAATAAGATTCTAAACCCTTTGCCGGGACTGCCTCATGCTCCTTCGACTCCACTAAAGAATCCTCCTCCGCGATTTTGGAAAATAGCTGGTGCTGTTTATCCAGCGGACGGCTCCTTATAAGACTAGTCGGCACCCAGCAGTATTTCTGCGGCGCCCCTTTCAAGATCGTTGTCGAGATAGCCTTTTCCAAACTGATAGGTTCCTTTAACACCCACAGAGAAATGATCTCGTACCCGTACTTGGATTTCTTCTTGCCGGCGTTGAAATCTGCATTGCCGAGTCCGCCGTCCTCAGGCACCTCCCCTGGAAGTTTCCCTGTGGATATACGGGCAACGTATTCGAGTCGTTTAACGGGAGCAGTAGTGTAGAACCAAATGCGACGAATTCGCGATGGGAGGAGATAGCCCCGGTATTCGTGATTCTTGGCACCCGAGGCAATGTTGCCCATGTGCTCGGGTTTGATGCTCATGAAAATGTCTGACTTCGATTTAGTGGACGCTGACATTGTGGGATATGGTGTGTGAGTTTCAACCTCGGAGAATTGGATTGATCTCCGCGTTGATTCAGGAAAGAAGGGTGGCAGGGAAGCTTAAGTTGAATGTTATTTCTTGTTGTCATTTCGCGAAGCGCGTAGCGGAGCGGTGAGACTACACTTAAGGTCTGCGTAAAGTATCCAGGGGCAATGTACTATGCACGTAACTGTGAATTTATTCTCCGAGACCTAATAGCATCTCAGGGCGACTCAATAAATTTGGATATTTGAGCCCAGTATCCTGGGACTAGCAAGCGCAATGACCAGGGGGAATACAGAATCCATTGAAGTTGGACAATACTAGTAGTCATGGCGATGATTAAAGGAAGCGCGCTAGACTACAGTGGCCGGACATAAGTTTTAACACCTCGATTACATAACATTGAATATTCTGCCAGTAGAAAATAGTCTGGGGTTTTTCTATCCACCACTGGATAATAGGGCTTACTAGTATGATATTAATAATTATACAATTTATCACGTGGTATTGACCTGGGTTCTAAATTCCAAAATCCAATCTGTGACTCAGAAAGCGCATATAATTTAGTAAATTATATGCTACTAGTAGTAGACTTTACAGCATCCTATTGATATCCTATTGGTCACTTCTGGACCACTGACGCCTTTCAATGACATTTTCCGAGGGTAACCGCCAAGTGGGGCTGAACTAAACTTCATTGCTCTTTGGTTCTTCACCATGCTCCAGATCCGGAAAGAAAAATGTGAATCAGAATTTGGAGTTCGATTTCAAAGCTGGAATTTTGTTCCAAGCTGCCTTTCTACAACTATTCTGCAAGAAAAGTTGCAGATTCCAATCGCTGAGGCCTCAAGCTCAAATCAACATCAACTGACTACATCGTCATCACTAGTGGCAAGAGAATTAGACATATCGCCCCCACAAGCTCTGGCAGCCATTGCCCCCGCAGCTCCCGTCAACCTTCAGCCAACTCGGAGGGAAAGCTTACAGAAAAGGCCCAGAAAAAGTCTCATAATGGCAACAACCACACATACACACCCAAGTACAGCGATTGAACTTCCAACACTCGGCCCCGCCACGGAAGAACGCCAGCGCAATGTCCACGCCCAAACAGACCCCCAATCCGAAGCAGATGAGGTGATGCAACAATCTCTCCTGGCAGACTCTCAAGTTCCCGATGGCGGCTATGGCTGGATCCTTATCTCCGCATGCGCTGTCGTAACATGGTGGTTCGTCGGTGTTTCTTATACATGGGGTGTGATGCAAGCCGCGCTAGTCGATGAATTGGGATATTCATCTTCGACACTGGCGTTTGTGGGATCTTTATGTCCTGCCTGTATCTCTTTACTGGCTGTGCCCAATGCGACTCTCATCAGTAAGATTGGAGCGAGAGTTACTGCGCTTACGGGCATTTTCTTGTTGGGTCTCGGGAGCATTCTGTCCGGGTTTGCTGTACACAGTGTTGTGGGGTTGTTTATGACTTGGGGATTTGTTGGTGGGCTTGGAACTAGTTTGTGCTTTATGGTTGGTTCTTTCTACCGCTCACCGTGGAAGGAGAATGCTTGCTAATCAGAATGCGTATGCTTAGGTCGTGTCTGTTACGCCGGCGCAATACTTCAAAGCTAAGCGCGGAATCGCCAATGGCATCGTGTATGCTGGTGGTGGTCTTGGCGGTACAGTTATCAGCTTCATTCTGAATGCGCTGCTCGAAAATGTCGGAATTGCCTGGACTTTTAGAATCCTGGGAATTATGATTCTTGCCACGGGATTACCAGTTGCATATCTGATCAAGGAGCGAGCTCCAATCAAGCCTGCAAAAATGGTTGAATGGTAAGCCTTATCTATGTCCCGCATAGCTATATTTTCAGTCGAAACCATACAACTAACACGTGGATTCTAGGAGTCTCTTCCGCGATATCCGTTTCACGACCCTCTGGCTAACAGGCGCAATTGGCACATTCCCCCTCTTCGTCCCGGCCTTCTTCCTCCCTCTCTATACAAACTCCCTTGGCCTCCCTTCCAGCGCCGGAGCAGGTCTAGTTGCGGCCTTCAATTTCTCTTCCGCGATCGGACGTCTATCCTGCGGCTTCGCTTGCGACAAGTTCGGTGCCATGAACACCCTTTTCATTTCATTGCTACTCAGTGCTCTTAGTCTGTTCGTGCTGTGGCCAGTATCGAACTCCATTGGGCCTTTGGTTGCCTTTGTGGTTATTAATGGATCTGCGAACGGTGGATTCTTCTCTACCATGCCAACTGTTGTTGGAAACTTGTTTGGGTCAGCAAGGGTGTCAGTTGCAGTTGGAATGATCGTTAGTGGGTGGCTTGGAGGATACCTGATGGTAAGTTCTTACATGCCTCCCTTTTTGCGGAATTTCTTTCTCTAATATTTGTCTATAGGGGGCTCCTATTGCTGGTTATATCCTGAATGCTTCTGGTGGTGAATCGGGTGGTGTTGGTGCTTACCGACCTGCTATTTTCTATGCTGGTTCTATGGCAACAGCTGCGACTGTTTTGGCCGGCATAGCCCGCATTAAGGTTGATCGGAGGTTGAAAAAGACTGTATGAGACCAAAAAAAGAAGGGAAAGGCAACTGGTATGTGCCTTGTCCTGATCAGTGCTATCGTCAAAGATCATAACCACTAGGAGTAACTACTACCTACCTTGAAACCTTGGAAAGTGTACACTCAAATGCCATTTGAAGAAGGGAAGTTGCAGAGAATCCATGCTTCTAGGCCTATAACCTTTGAGAGACCTAGGTCATTACTGCCCAAGTATAAAGTATCCATGAGAATAAATTTTTTTCATTCAGGTCTGAAGATTGCGAGTATCTTCATAATGGATATGTGTACTAGTAGATGCGGGATGATGCAGACTAATCCATAAGGGCATAATCGATAATGATGGGTCAAATTTGACCACCGAAACATTTTGCTGAAAGTCGAACTGAACGAGTTGTGCACAATAACTAACGCTATGATGGGGTATTTTGTTAAAGGATGTGCAGTAATTCATGTCTGCTCTTGGGTCTGAGACTCTGCCCGCTCCCGCTCTTGGTCCCGCTCCTCTTCCTGCTGCTGCTCCTGCTCTCGCAGCCGTTGCTGTTCTTCCTCCTGCCGTACTCGCTCAGCTTCGGCAGCATTGCGTGCCTGGACCTGCCGCTCTCCAATTCCTGGAACAAGACTTGCAAAGAGAAGTACAATAGACCTCTCAGCCCGCCAGAGATACTCCCAGATATTATCCATGGCATTCCTAGGACGCACAGGCTGGTTGTTGGAATTCTGCCCTGTCGGGGCCGGTGCACGCCGTTCAGCTGGGCCTCCTATATGAGCAAGTCCCTCCAGGTGACGTTGAATTGGAGAAATAATCATTCCATAGATCCTCTGAGGAAGTTCAGAGCCCGAGAGCAAGACCACAAACCCAGCCAAGGTAACCAGCATAATGCGTGTCCAGGTGCCAGGGTCACTAATCATGTAGATAAAGAAGTAAAGTCGAATGAAAAGCCAGACTCTGCGCAAGTTGCGTTCAAAAGCTGGTACATTTTGACCTTGTTGTTGATTTAAAGGAGGTTGGCCATTCACACGAGCAACGTTTTGTTCGTTTACTACACCCGCAGGGTTACGGACGAGGTCAGGCATATGGCGGACGTTGGGTCCCCCCACAGCACCCGTGGGGTTAGTATACGTCCGATGGGTTTGTTGGCCAAGTTGAACCATCATTGGTTCAGCTTGCGGTCTAACCAGGCCTTGGTAACCGTTTGGAGAGTTGACGAGGTATGAAGAGGGTCGGGTAGGTTGGTTTGACGAGGTATTGTAAGACTGACGGAGAAAACCACCCGCGGAAATTATGATATCGACACGCCTGTAGACATCACTGATATGGCCCTCGATCTCCGCCACGGAGACCTCATCAGGGTATGACCCGTGTTCCATTCTAAAAGCCGGCGTAGAGAAGATATGCCGGTGATCTCTAATTTGCACGATGAGAGTTCGAAGGCGAAATAACTGCTCGATTGAAGGTATAACACCCTGTGTTAGCTGTTCTTCCATTGACTGCAACTGCCTCCTAGCATCCAAGAAAGAGATGAAAGCCTGAGTTGGAGTTGAAACTGATAGTGGTGTTGACTCAGTCGACCCCGGCTGCTGGCCAGTTACATATGTGCTCCATGGCTGAGTTGGGCTCCCGTCCGAACCAAGGTGTGCCCTTCTTCCAAAACGTGCCGCAATAACAGACCCAAAGGGCCCGGTTGAAGGGTAACCATTCACGCCACTTGAGAAATTTTGTGCTCTCAGGCTGTTTTCAAGCCGCTCTTGGAGTTCATGTGCGTATTGACTAGCCGAATCTGGTGAAGTCATGTGCTGTGGTCTGGGTACGGCCCTTTGGCGGAGTCCTTCCACCTGTGTGTGCGATGAATCGGATGCGGTGGAGGATGAAACCGAGGGAGGAAGCCAATTATCTGGCATGGGTTCTGGCATTACAAGGTGTATCGCATATTCACTTTCCTATATCGAATCCGATTAGATCATATATTTGATAGATTGAGAGAACTTTGAGCTTACCCCTTCAGGCATCAAGAATTCACGGAGGGTGAGAGAGTCACACGAAGAGGGTACGCCCTTTCCACGGAAATACAACCTCTGCAGTGTGGGATGTGGATGCATTGGGACGCCCGACTCGATTTTCAGACGTAGATCTGCAACCGTAGTTTCTCGAGGAATGTCACTCAGTGGGATGGGGTCGCGCCATGAAGGACACACGATAAGTATTTTGATCAGGTCCTCACGAGGCAAATTGGACTGAGACTCTCTTGGTCGATCTGCAGACTGATCAGGCATATCCATTTTGGGTATTGCGACAACGTATGGCAACCCGGCCTAAAGAACCATGCTTTGACGTGTTAAACGGTATTTGATTGAAGCAAGTGAAGGTTGCACGAGTCTGGTGGGTGTTGCAATTGAGATACGCAATGTTGAAGCTAGCCTAGATCTGGAGATCTGGCCAAGACTAGGGATGGATATGGGAATGTGGATGCGGAGTGTTAGAGCAGACGTCACAAGGATGGTAGTGCGCTTGATTATGTGCTGCAATCTCAAGCAAGATGACAAGCACAAAGGAGGAAATGGTACGAGATACTAAGTGGGAGCAAGAGATAGGCTGCTTAAGATATAGAACAGATAATGATGTTGATGGGGACCCGTTTATCAGTTGGGGTCACGTGCGGGGTTAGATTAGTAGAGGAGCTAAGTAGAAATCAAAATAATCCGTAATTGTAAGAATTTACCTTGGGATTCTATTGGAGATGTAGAAGATGCATTTGGTCTTTATCTTCTACAGTCCTGGATTATAAAGTACATCAGGTTATATTGTTATTGATAATTGGTTAATTATGATCTGTGACTAGTACTACTGAGTTCCGTATCCACTGGCAGTATACAGCTGCGGCATCCGGTCACGTAAAATTCCGTTTTGGTTTTTTCTCGACTTCCATTCTCCAAGCCAGCATTTTCAATTCCATACACACAAATGTCTTCCCGACCGACCCAAGAAATGGATACTACACAAGACCAAGCAGAGAATACTGCCTTGCCAGGTTCTACGGCCTCAAACTCGAAAGCAAAGGAAGCCAGTACCAGTACCATGCATTTCACGTCGCGCAATCCACCATGGACCTACCTTAAGCTACAACTGTGAGCCATGTGCCCTAGTGGAGTCATAGGCTGAGCAAGTGTCTAACGGTCGAACCTTTTTTTTTAGTATCCCCCAACCCGGATCAACAGCTACACAGCCACTTGACGAGCTCTCTGCGCGCACCTACCTATCTGCTGCCCTATCCCAGTTCCTCGGTCTCACAGGCACAGCCATTCCCATTGATATCCTCAAAACAGAGCCTGCATCCCCCACAGCAGAAAAATATGACATGGCATGGATTCGTGTCCCACGCGAAGATGGAGCCTCTGTCGTCGCAGCACTGAGCTCTTGGGTTGGCAGTTTTGGAAGCATAACCTTGGCATGGAGAGTGTGCGCCAAGGGAAATTATTTAGGTGCATTGGTTGCTGGATCTGGACGGAACTTGTTTGTTCCCTAATTGAATATAATAGAATTGAATATAATAGGAATAATAAGTAAATAATAGATATCGGTGGAGATAAAGGCAAGAGCAGACATCTGGAAGGTAACGTACGGAGTGACCTCATGTATATAAAGATAGAGAGTGAGGGTCAAATTAATGAATCAAGCATTACCAGTACCACCAAACAAGAACAAACTTAGTATTGACAACCGCTGCCACTTGGAACCAGCCGCTAGAGCTACAGATGATGGGCACTGACGCGTGAAAACCGCGTGAAAACCACGTGCATACTATACGCCACAAGTTATGTATGGCCAGCCTCGGTATAAAGGCGGTCACCGGGGCGGTCAAGTGATTCGCGGCATAGGAGAAAACATAAAAGATCTTGTTGACCCCCCGGAACTCCGAATAGCCTCGCGGCCGGCAACGAAGAAAGCCTGAAGCCCTGATTTTCATGGATTGATTGATTTTCAGCATGGCCAAGTGCCTTCCACCTCGCTATATTTCCCTCCGCGTCCCCTCCGCCCCTGTGATTGGGCGTACTGTGTCGATGGAGGTCCTATCATTCAGAGCCGTTGCCCGCAATAAAGCCGGCGTTCGGCAATTCTCATCCAAGCCATGGCGACAGTACAACAAAGAAAACAAAGACAACAATAATCCCGAAAACCCCAAGTCGGGGTCCTGGTCCCGACTTGGCTTTGCCCTACGAAACACCAAGGTCGAATGGTACCCTATCCCTGTTGGACTCGGAATTGGCCTGTTGGGCCTGCTACACTTCTACAAGTCCCATCGGGCAGATCGTGATCGCGCTTTGCGCGAAGAGGCAGGAGAGGGCTGGGAAAATGGAAATAGGCCTCCTCGTCGCCCACGAGTTGTGCCCACAGGATCTTGGCAAGTCCAGTTTATGTCGACCTTACCCCTGAAGGCCATGTCCCGACTGTGGGGTCGATTCAATGAAATCGAGCTGCCTTATTACCTCCGAGTCCCAGGATTCAAGCTGTATTCATGGGTATTTGGTGTCAACCTCAGTGAAGTTGCGGAGCCTGATCTGCACGTTTACCCGAACCTGGCTGCCTTCTTTTATCGCAAGTTGAAGCCAGGCGTGCGCCCCCTCGACCCAGACCCATCCGCTCTACTTTCCCCGTCAGATGGCCGCGTTCTTCAGTTTGGTATGATTGAGAGAGGAGAAGTAGAACAAGTCAAGGGCATGACATACAGTTTGGATGCTCTTTTAGGCTCAGCCACTCCTTCTCACGCCGACCACAGCAAGCGCCTTACCGACACCCATCCGGAGCAAAGCCAGAAAGATGTTGACACTATGAAGTCGGACGAGGAATTTGCGCAACTAAATGGAATCTCCTACACCGTACCAAGCCTACTTTCGGGTGACCCAGATGCGCCTGCGAAACGTCGGGCGTCGATTGATGCATCCACTACATCCAAAACCACATCGGAGGTACAAGTACAGGAGGAGCTGGCTCGGGGAGACGGCAAGCCGTGGTACTCGTACAACCAGGGTGCGAACCATGCGCTTTTCTATTGTGTAATCTACTTGGCGCCCGGAGACTACCACCGCTTCCACTCCCCCACCGCGTGGGTAGTCGAGAGCCGTCGTCACTTCGCAGGTGAGCTGTACTCGGTATCTCCCTACTTGCAGCGTCACCTGCCCGGTCTGTTCACTCTCAACGAACGTGTGGCACTGCTTGGCCGCTGGCGATGGGGTTTCTTTAGTTACACCCCGGTGGGTGCAACTAATGTGGGCTCAATTAAAATCAACTTTGATTCGGAGTTGCGCACCAATAGCCTTTTGACCGACACCGCTGCCGACTTGGCAGCCGCCATGGCAGCCAAGCGTGGTGAGCAAGATCCCGGCTTCGTTGAGGCTACCTACCGCCACGCCAGTCGCACCCTGGGAGGACATCCCTTGCAGCGTGGAGAGGAAATGGGTGGATTCCAGCTGGGCAGTACCGTTGTCTTGGTGTTTGAGGCACCTGTAAACACCCGCTCGTCCCCAGATGTCGATGGACCTGAGCAAAAAGAAGGTGAAGGGTGGAACTGGAGTGTTGAAAAGGGCCAACGGGTTAAGATGGGTGAAAGACTGGGATATGTTGTCGAGCCATAAACATCTACACCGAGGACTCGTGTATACTAACTACCCTTGCGTTTTCATATGTTGCACGCACATATCTTTGTTCTTTCCCCCTTCAACCCTTGGGGACCTCTCATTTGAAGTCCTACGGGGTTTTTTTGCTGATGTAAAATATCCCATTTAGTTCAAGTTTTAGCCATTTAATGTCGTTTAATATCCGAAAATTCAACTGTTCTAATTATTTATGACTTGCTTATCACATGGATTACCTATTAGATTACTTAGAATTACTTTATTCCATGATCTACAAATGCACGGACCTGATAAACGTGCGGGAGTGATCCACCTTGATTTGTTACTGATAACAACCTTGGAAGTGCCTGCATCATTGGACCCACAGTTTACAGCTAAAACGCCACATTAGTACGTACACCTTTTCGACGGGCATTTGGGCAATAAAAGCATATTGAAAAAAAAGAAGAAATTATAATAGCCTGATAAAAATATCATCGGAAATGATACCTTACTACGTATTATGGTATCATGTATGTATCACAACGTACTACGCTGTAACAATCTATCGTAATCAAGATTCAAAATGACACAACGCGGGTGTTAACATTTGAAGGCGGAGTCGTAACACAAGGCCAAGATCCAGGGATTCTTGGTTGACACAAGCTCCGTCCCAGCTTTTTGCCTCATCCCTTCATCGCCTCCCAATTCCTCCTTCCCCCACCCCCCAAATCCTTGGGCGATAAGGAATTTCCTTCTTGCTTCATCATCTCGATGGCCATTTTTACAGCTATTCGCTCATTCCCGAATGCCTTGGCGCAGGAGTCAATAGGCGCCAGCTTTATCGACCTTAACGTACAATCCAAACACCCCTCCTTTTTTCACCTGGTTCTACTCGTCTTTGAGGCGGTGCTGGAGGTAGTATGCGTTTCATTACCAGGCTACATTGTCGCCCGCCATGGCATGTTCGATGCCGAAGCTCAGAAATTCGTCGCGAACCTTAACGTGATGCTTTTCACTCCTTGTTTGAGTATGCGACGACCTTCCTTTTTAGTCCTCTTTTTTACCACAGCTGCTCAGCTCCACCGGCCTTAATAAAGCTCAATTGCTAACTTCGTTTCAAGTCTTTATCAAGCTCGGCTCCCAATTAACCGCGGAAAAGCTCACCGATCTCGCCATCATCCCCGTTATCTTTATCGTCCAAACCGCCGTATCCTACTTCTGTGCGTTCGTAGTCACGCGATGCTGTCGATTCAAGAAACGTCAATCCAATTTCGTGACGGCGATGGCGGTATGTGATGAGCCTCCTGTCCCCATCCGGAGAGCTTCCCTGCTGATCCCTTCAATGTGGCCAATAGGTGTTCGGAAACTCTAATTCCCTCCCCATCTCCCTCGTCATATCCCTCTCCGCAACCCTGCAGGGACTCCACTGGAAACGTGTCCCCGGCGATAACGATGATGAGGTCGCTGCCCGGGGAATATTGTATCTCTTGATCTTTCAACAGCTCGGTCAGCTAGTCCGTTGGAGTTGGGGTTATCATGTGCTATTGGCACCAAAGGATCGATACATTGAAGAGGAGGAACGGGACGAGTCTGGCGAGACGGCGATTGAACAGGGCCAGGCACGGTACTCGGATAACCCAGCTCAAACGGATCCAGATGAGCCGCTGGTCCGCACACGTAGCTCGCAAGATTTACGACATGCACATGTTGGTCATACGAATGGGGGCCGATTTGAGTCCGGAGGTCAGACTCCTGTATCTTCCCGCGCTTACTCCTACCGTAAGGCCTCTTCAATAGGTTCGGACGACTCAATTGCCGATGAGGAAGTTGACTCTGATGAAACACCTTCGGTGATTGGCCCTCCACCTACGGGACCTTTTCTCCCCCGCTCCAGCACCGATGGCGGTGACATCCTTTCATTCCCAGACGTCGAGGCTACTGCCCGAGAAACCCACATAACAAAGCAGAGCTATTTACAACGATTCAAAGTCACTACCCGGCGACGTTGGCACCAAACCCGCCGCTTCTTTGCCCAGAAGAACGATGCGATATACGCCAAGCTACCCACAAAGGTTCAAAAAACCCTCTCATCCACAAGAAGCGGAGCCTGTCGTTTCTTCCGTGGACTGTGGTCCTTTATGAACCCTCCTCTTTGGGCCATGCTTGTCTCCATAATTATCGCTTCTTTCCCACAACTGCAGCACCTCTTTTTCGATGAGGGCACCTTTGTTCGCAACTCGGTGACCCGCGCCATTGAGCAAAACGCCCAAGTGGCCGTTCCGCTTATTCTGGTCGTACTGGGCGCCAATCTGGCTCGGAACACGCTCCCCGAAGAAGCACTTGAGGATATTGATCATCCTAGTGTGGAGAGAAAACTGATCATCGCGTCTTTGCTAGCGCGTATGCTCCTTCCGACTCTAATCATGGCGCCGTTCCTGGCCTTGCTCGCCAAGTTTGTGCCCATTAGTATTCTCGATGACCCCATTTTCATTATCGTCTGCTTTCTTCTCACGGGCGCGCCTTCGGCCTTGCAGCTGGCACAGATTTGCCAGATCAATAATGTTTACGTGGGTGCGATGTCGAAAATTCTGTTTCAAAGTTACGTGGTCTGGTATGTTTTTCCTCTATCCTTCAAAAATTCGCAGAAATATAAACTAATTCATATAGGATCCTCCCCTCAACCCTCTTCTTGGTTATCTGTGGACTGGAAGTCCTTGAGTGGGCTTCAGCCTAGGTATACCTTCCTCCTTCTGTTACATTTTGCATGTGTACGAATTGAAGCGAAGCTGGTCCCGTCATTGAATTTGGGGATGCTGGCATGATACATACACTTTTCATTTTCTGCGTTGCATTGTTAGGCTTGGGCCTTGGCGTTACACACATTCTTAGGGCCATTTTCGGGACTGGGTATCGACCAGTCGCTTCAATATTGTTCTTTCCACTGCCCTGTTTCTATAAATGTTCTTCCGAAACTGCCTGTGGGGGTACACAGTACCTCAATTTTCATCTTTAACTATCCATACCCCATCAAATTCGATGATTCGAAGCTCGAGAATTTATATTTCCTTCACACTGAATCTTGCTTTGGAATGGTATGGATACGGTCACAACCTTGAAAATTTATGAATTCCAGTGCTGGTGACGCTCACAATTTGAGTGCAAAACGAGTCAAAGTATTCAGTTCTAACTTGTTACAGACAGACCTCGGGAGAAAATTACGAGTGAGCGGCATGTATCTATCATCGAGAGTTGACTGGGGAATGCCCTGATACTGTCAAGCTAAAATGATTTCAAAATTGATCAAAAACCTTGGAAGTTGTAAGAACGAGGACCTGTGAGCTTAACATTATTAGAAAATTTGAACGATACATAGTGTTTTCATGCCCTATCTAATAAAACAAGCCCATCCATCGAATGTTCAGCACTTTATGTAAGGGCTATGCAAGATCCAAGCCGTGAAATTAAGTAAATGATACATCATACGGCACACACGCCACCGACACTCCCCATCAAAGACGCATCATGCGCAGTTGCACCTGCCGAATCGCCTTGAACATCGATCAACATTGCCATCCCCGTTGCCACATGCCAAAGCATATGACAATGAAAAAGCCACACACCCGGGTTATCAGCCCGGAAGCGCAAAACCGCGTAGCTGCGTCGGGGAATATAAACGGTATCACGCAGAGCCACTCTCGACAGGTTGTAAGGGTAGAACTCGTCGGTATTCGGTCGGATGGTCCCAATTTCCAATCGCTCGTTTGTCTCGGAGTTCCGATCCGGTGCTAGACCGGGAGGAAACGCGTCTTCAAATGGATTGTATGAGCCCCATCCGTAGCCGGCGGTTTGAACAGTCATGACATAAAAGTGGTGGCCGTGCATGTGGAACGAATGGCCACCATCATCGAGATTGTTCACAACAAGATCGATCCACGCTGGACCCGGGCCTGTGGTGATTGCGAATTGATTTTCATCCCACTGATTTCGCGGCAGAGCGATTAGCGGCATTGATGGGTCTTTCTGGGGACTCCATGTTGTTTGGTTGAAAATACCGAAGGGGATGTTGTGGTTGAAGGATAGAATTTGAATCTTGGTGTAGATGACGTATGTCTGGTCGGGCTTTGGGGGGAGGAACTTGAGAAATGATTCAGTGGAGGGTGTGTTGTTTATATCGGTATTGTTTCGAATTCCAGGTGTGGGTATTGGAGAATCTGCTTCGGGTGCAGAAGATATTTGGTAGTTGATAGGAAATGTTTGATTGGGTGTGAGGGATGGGTTCATGAACTTGAAATATCTAGGAGATTTTTAGTTAAAGAATTACTACAATTGCAAGCGGTGGGATATACTCTTGATCTAGCTGTACCGTCATAGAAGAGGCAACGGGCAGCTGATTAGGGTGAAGAATGAAATCCATGCGTTGACCTGGATATAGAATGCCCATCGAGTTGACACCGTGCTGTTTTGGTGTTTCGACATCAACCCCGTCCATTTGGATGAGAGTAAGCTCTTCTTTGTCAAACAGAAGGCTGAGTCCCATCAGAGATCTGTATCCTGTCAGGTGCTTCGTTGAACAAATATTAGTGTCAATGATACTAGTACTTACCCCGTGTTCACTACGCGAATTCGATAGGTGGTACCGGGATTCATTTTCAAGAACAAAGTGTCAAGTGGCTGGTCGATGCAATCAACTGGGCGCGCAATTGTTGCCCCCGAACAGTTGAAATATCCGACTCCGTTGATGAGAAAAGAATCCGGTACTGGCTGATGAGTGTTAGTCTTCGAACATGACATCCTGTAGTAGGTATTCAGCATCAACGCACATCCAAACCGATGTTACCTGGATTCATATACCAGGCCAAAACATCACTCGCGCTCCAATGATACCAGTCACCAATGAGCAGAAGTAGTTCCTTCTCATAGCCATATTGATAAGCATCACCATTTAATCGGGGTAGCAGACCCCTTACAGTTGAGCGAGATGCTGGGGCATGGACGACAAGACCACCATAGAGACCATCGCCACGCGAGAGACCGACATGTGCATGATACCAGAATGTGCCGCTCTGATCTGCAGGGATGGTGAAATTATAGACGAATTGACCACCCGGTGGGATAGGACATTGTGAGACTCCCGCTGCTCCATCCATGGCATCTGTACTGGATTTAGATGTGGTTGTGTTGAATTGCCTGTTAACTTCATGTCTGCTACTTACTGGTAACGTGAAGACCATGCCAATGAATGGAGAGCGATTCTTCGTTCATTAAATTGGTGACCATTATCGTCAATGTATCTCCTGATCGTGCCTCAACAGTAGGACCAGGGAATAAATCTATGGTTTACAAGAAGAAAATCAGTAAAACCAAACATTTGAAAGGTCCACCCACATGCTGCGGTTTCCGTAAATTGATCTTTGGAGTATTTATAAAACATACCATTGAGCAGATAGATTTCTTTGAGAACACCATCAGGTCTACGCAGACCTTTAGTGACATTCCAATTCATATAAAGTGTAGCTGGTTGGCGAAACGCATGGTCTTCGTGGTGGAGTTTTATCAAAGGCCGAAGAGCGGCCTCACTCAAGGTACTATGGTGTGGTTGAAGAGTTGAAACCGATCCCCATAGATAAATATCCGGCCGGGAGAGGTATATGAGAGCAATCAGCAATGCTCCCAATAATACCCCGGTAGCCCACGGGCGTATTTTACTCCGTGATACAATTGGCACTGACGCTGATTCCTCTTCGCAGCGAAAGCTGTGGTGATGCCGATGACTCTCCATTTCGGGCGGATTGGAGGAGTAGTATCAGATCGCAATGGCATGATAAGGTGTGATTGGACAGTACAGATAGCATCTATGTTTCTTCTCAGATCATTCATTCGGAGATTCAATTGCTTTTATACTGGGACTTTGGCCTGGAGCACGTGCCTTGATCAACCTTACTTGAGCTGATTGGCACGTGGCTGCAAAGGTGACCCTGGTACCAGCCTGAGTACTACTAGTAGTATAACCACTAAGTCAGACTCCAGCAGATTGTAGTCTTTATCGTTTTCTAATTTGCCCTCTTCAATCTCCAACACCCCATCTTCCTCCATCTTCCTCCAGCTGTCTCCTTCCTTATTCCAACCTTTCTTACCCCACTTCTCAATCCCCAAACCCATTTGGAATAACCACAGTCACAATTATGCTAGCTTTCAAAGCTATCTTGGCCCTGATACTGGCCACTTCAATTGCCATCGCCGATAGTCTAAGAGACATTGAACATGTGGTGATTTTCATGCAGGAGAACCGTTCCTGGGATTGTGTACGTCTTCTCCGGCGAGGAAACCCAAAAAAATTGTGGAAAGACTGACAATGAACTGACATAAACAGTACTTTGGTACCATGTCCGGTGTTCGCGGGTTCAATGATCCCAATGTCCAGGCTAACGATGACGGGAAGTCTGTCTGGCACCAGTATGTTGGAACTTTCCCATATGAACATGTCTCCTAAATCCTGGAGCATTTCCTTGCAAGGCTACTTATTGATCAAATAATCTAGGAAAGTCGATCCTGATATGTCTTCCGAGGCAGACACCCTGCTACCGTGGTATCTGGGATATCAAGGTGGACAAACTCTTGATGGTATTCAGTGCATTTCAGCTGGTGACAATAGCTACTTCGCTAACCAGGCTGCCTACCACTACGGTGAAAACAATCACTGGGCCCGCAACAATACTCCGTGGAGCTGGGCTTACTACAAGCGCCAGGATATTCCCGTCCAATTTGCTATAGCTGAGGGCTGGACCGCGGGTGATATGTACCAGGTACGCCGCTGAAAATAATCCTTATGAGCGCTAAAATTTGACCTGGCTCATATAGGAATCACAAATTACTTCTACAAACCCAAACTGTGTGACCTTGGTTAGCGGCTCCATCAATGTTCCCGGAAGTCCCCAGCAAAAGGATCAAGGTGGTGTTTATATCGACAACAGAGAAATTCCAGGTCAGTTCTGTCTGGCCCGATCAACATATTCACTGTGCTTAACTTAGTGACTCAGGTTGCGATAGCCATGGCGCCAGTTGCTATCCCCTTTCTTGGAAGACTATCTATGAGTTTTACGAGGAGGCAGGAGTCTCATGGCAGGTTTACCAAGACTCGGATAATTTCGATGACAACCCACTTGCGTGGTTCCGCCAATTTCAAAACGCGGATCCGTCTTCTTCTCTATACCAGAAAGGTATGGCCTTTTTGGGATTAGGAGCCTTTTACGAGGCCGCAGTGACCGGTAATCTACCAGCGGTGAGCTTCATCGTTGGTCCACAGGAGCTATCAGAGCACCCTCCTTGGATGCCCAGCGACGGGGCTTGGCTGCAGAAGAAAGTTGTGGATGCCGTTACCAGCAGCCCCAAGTACTCTTCGACTCTGTTAATGATCAGCTTTGATGGTAAGAGGATCAACCACATTCGAGCCAAGGCCAAATAAAAAATTTGACTGTTGATGTAGAAACCGGTGGTTTTGGCGACCATGTTACACCATTCCACGCCCCTCAAGGCACTCAAGGTGAATGGATGGAAGATCCTTTCGGAATTTTCGGTGAAGTCTTTTCTGGACCAGGTATGCAGAAAATTCTATTGTTTGAAAGACGTATTATTTACCAGACCTGCTAGGTTTCCGTGTGCCTTTCGTGATGGTCTCACCCTGGACTCGAGGCAACCGGGTCTTCACCGAGCGCTCAGATCACAACTCTCAGATCCTATTTCTTGAGAAGTGGCTCACGGCTCGAGGATACAAGAATATCCAGACAGATCAAATGGTGCACTGGCGCCGAGAGCACATGTCCGACTTGGTCAATGCTCTGGACCTTGAACATGTACGATTTGATATTCCAAGGTTTGGCTTTAAAATGACCACTTTACTAACGAAAATACAGCCTGACCTCTCCATCCCTGATATTCCAGATGCCGAGACCCCTCGTCGTAATGATAGGGGCGGCTATGTTGGGACCGGCGAATGCTTACACCGTCACAGCAATCCCCGACCCCCTGTCCCGTATGGCAATCAAGACGATGCGAACAACACCATGTTCTTTGAAGATGGCTTCAAGGAAGTTGTCGGCTACCTGACTGAGGGTCGTTGTCTCGTTTTCGAGAAGGAAGGTAAAGTCTTGACCATTCCCAGCTCGGAGGATGCGGATCAGTATATCAGAATGGACTACGATGCCAATGGCCACAAAGAAAAGGCCCATCGTTGGGTAATTCACTACCACAATGGAGAAGAGAGCGGACTTTTTACAATCTCCAGTGCCGTTGATGGACAATGGATCTGTGGCGACGGTCACACTGCCGGTTCTGACAACCCTGGTACGGCGGAGCGGATCCGAATCACCTTCCTGGGAAATGGCGATGGGTACGATCTCCAGTATGCTCGTACTGGTCAGCACATCACTACTGGTTATGATGGTAACCTGATGCTGGCCGACTCCAAGTCGGTTCCAGAACGGGGCTTCAAGATTTACAGCGTCACCTATCACAATTAGGACCGGCGCAGATCTTGGGTGGTTTTGAGGTCTATTCAAATTTTATCAATACGAGTGCATAGTTGTTTACTTGCTCAAATGATATCTGCACAACATATTTTGAGGTTTTCAAAAGGCTTATGACAGGCCGAAGACAGTGCACCGTCACACATGCAGGTTCCAAAATATCCATAGTGAAATGAGAAACAAAGGATTTGCAGTCATAAATAATTCTCTGTTTTCAAATGAATCCAGCCCAGACCCATTTGAATGCATCAACCCATCTAAGCAATGATCGTAAACGGCCCCGCAGCGTTGTACACAGTCGGCATCTACATATGCATAAATGAAATTAGCTCCTAACCCCTTGAAAGAAGAAAAAATAAACATACCTGTGGTGCCGTATCCAAAGAGCTATCCAATCGCAAGTACCAAACACTGCCGTCTTCAACCTTGGGCAATTTCGCGGGAATTTTCACATCAATATTGCCAGAGGCACCGTTTACCCCTTGCACAATCTTAATAGATTGGGCAAATGAGATGGTATCCAGGTGTCGTACAGGATTGTTGTACAGCCACACCCCGTACGTGCCAGTCGGGTATTTTGCCAACGGGTCAGGGCAGTGTGTTGTGGGAGCACGGTTGAAGCGTAGGGATACGGTTTGGCCAGCGGATAGTGTGGAGTTATCGGGGATTCCTTGATAAACGTTCAAGCAAGAGTAGTCACGTTTCCCCCACGCTGCGAGTAAGAATTCCGTTAGCTTAGATCCGTATTGAAGTAGTGGGTGGCATTAGGGACATACGCTCCCATTTGTCGAAGGCAGCGGCACTTGCCACAAGGGCAGAGGTGATAATTGTGGCAGAGATCTTCATTTTGGCAAGGGCAATGAGGATTGGAGTAGAACCTAGAGTAAAAGTAGAGGTATGAGTTGCAGGAAATTGGGAAGAAAGCAGTAGAAGAAATAATTCACCTGATCAGAGTCGACCAGCCCCACGTCCGGGTCGCAGTACTTCTGCAGGAAAGAATTCAAGATGTCTCAGCTGGGGACTCCACATGGCTGGGGAAGTTGCTTGGCGTTAAGGTTGGCGTGGCGGTGGGGGATCGGCAGGGTCACTGTGGATCTGTGATATTGTGTCGAGGGTGAAGGTGCTATATTATCAAGGGTATTGCATCAGCTGATGATATCCCCTTGGCCTTGTTCTTCTCGTATCTGTTTGATGGCTTGATCTTTGTGAGATCAATCAGCTGCGCCTCTGTGGATTGATGAAAGAATTGGTCAGCGCTCCAATATTGGTCTTGGCTGCATGATATACTGCGCCTCCATGGTCGATCTTGCCATATGGGCTGAGACATTCATACCACGCAAGTGGCTCTGTTCGTCATTTTTGGGGGAGACTTTCCCCTCGTCTATCAAACAGGCCATCGCTCCCGAAATGCAGTGAGCCGTAGTATATAGAGCAGAGCAGATGACTTGAGTTAATGATCACTCAAGGTGGGTCCTTTGACTCAGCCCCTTCTCCCTATTCTAACTAACTAGTAACTAACTAACTTACTAGTCTTGGTTCTTATACTCGACACACGGCTGCAAACTGGGCAAAATATTCACCTAATATTTGTAGTATAGCGGTGTCAAAGGACAAGTCTACTAGTAGGCTGATCTGGTTATGAAGATGAATGGAAAAGTTTTCAGGCAACATGTTTATTGAGAAGAATCTTTGAGACCACAAAGGAAACCTTTATAGCAACCTTGGAAAATGTTTTCAAATCTATGGATGCCGTATGCCTGGATGAAAGATGGCTAACATTTGAAGCCACTTTATACAGGTGAATGTCCCATTGAGTGGTAAAACATTAAATTAGGATTCTGGATAATAATGAGGTTCTTCTCCAAAAGTCCTTCAAAATTTCTTATGATACCCAGAATCCGTCATTTACAAATCTAGCGTTTTCTATCTGACTCACCGTTCGATTCCCATTAATACTGTTTAAAGGCATTCAAACCCCTGGCAACACCCCCTCATTTTGTATGAATATCGTCTGCGAGCCTCGCTTTTTCAATTCTCAAGTGATCTCCAGAAAGTCAACAGCAATTATGTCTTGTGAAGGAGAGGTGCGTATTACGCCCTTTGGATATATGTGATAAACATTTGAAGCTTAAACTTAACCGCAGGGCCAGAATCCCCATCTTCAACCCCACGGAGTGACAGAGATCAGCGTCGCTATCTACAGCAGTGGAGAAAAGGGAACACCACGACACTGGGCCCTTTGGTTGAAGACGATCCCAGCAGAAGAATCCGTTATTCTTCAAATAACAGACAACATGTATGGGTATGGTTATCGTCTCGCCGAACCTATTTACATAAGCCCATCTCGCACCCAAAGACTTGAAAGTATTATTGAGTGCGGCTCCATTCATGAAAAAGATCACAAGCGCGCAGTAGACGCCATTCTCAATTACCCGGTTCATAACCGGGAGCCTTCATGGAACTGTCAATCATGGGTTTTGGAGTGTTTAGATTTATTGGTGCACATGGGTGTCATTGATTCTGATTCCATGGCGGGAAGACAATGTTTAGAGGTATTGCAGGAGTAGGGGTCAGAAAGAAAAGGTTAGGGCTTTCAAAGGGCAAAAAACCATTCAATGTTCATAGAGTGCCCGGGCGATGTTCAAATATTTGTAGGGTTTAGAGAAAAACGGGATGCGAAGTTTGTATTTGATACTGGACGAAACGGATTTGAAGCTTCCACAAACTCGCTCACAATTCACACTCACATGAATCCTTTTATCAGTAGGCAAACTTAGAATCCATCTTCCCATGTCCTCATTCACCTGCTCTCCCATTGACTTGCATGATATCTGGTACGTTTTCATTCGAGTCGAGGGAGGAGATCGGCTATCCTGCAATATCATTTAGTATCATATATAGGACATTGCGACTTGAAGGGATTTGGAAGACAAACGCATGATCACGCGAACCGCACTCAGGTACCGATTACGAAGGCCTGTGACGTCGAAGAACTGGAAGACGATTCCTCCAGATGAACTCACGGACCAGGAGCAGGGAATGCCTCTGTGACGGAAGTGTTCACTTGGACTCCGTCGGTAGAAATCTCCCTGGTTAAAGCCAGGGAATTTCTCGGTGAAAATTTTCAAGACGCGCATATTAGCTTCAAGTAGGGTGTTAATGCCCTGTTCACTCCAGGTGATTTGCCTGCGAGGGGGGTCGCCCAGAAATTCTTGCAGCATCACACCAAAAGTGTGGTCCTTGTCCTCGTCAGCATGCAGGCCGGCTTGTCGGATGATTTCCTGATGGATGGCCGGGGGGAACACATCCACAAAGTTAACTGCAGTGTAGTTCGCCATTTCTTGTTTTCTGTCTATGGAGAATAAGCTTTCAAGTTGAAAAGTTGGAAATTTGTCTCAACTCACGATGAAAAGATCAAAACAACAATGTAGATATTGCGGCAACGATGTAGCGATGTCGCATGCGAAAGGACGTGGAGATCATGGGAAGGATAGGAAGAGGGGAGGAGAAGAGAAGGAGATAATAGGTGTTTTGTGTTTTGGCGGGGCCATGGCCGAGCTGAGGTTCACTGCGCTTAGTCGTCGCCGAGCTTTTTGAAAATTTGTATACTATGGTTCATCATGTCAGTGATGAATCTAATGATACACTACTTTCCAGTACGTACGACTCGGTACGAGCGTCACTTATACTTCGAACAAACTTGATTCTACCGCCTTATAGACCGCCTAGTGCACAGATCGTAGTATTACTAGTAACTAACAGTTTTGGAGGGGCAGAAAGAGGTGGCAGAAAATCATGTAATCCAAACCTTGGCCGTTACTAACTTCCAGAATCTACTAAGGTTACAACTTGCGTCGGCCAGTGCTGCGGTGGAATTACAGCAGGCCTACACGCTTCATATTACCCCCTTACCCTCCCACTCCAAGTCCACCGTCAATGCATCTAGAAATTATCAGAGGTTGATGATGGAACTTTTACTTATCAGACCTTCTTTCCATAATGGCATCACCTGTTATTCGATCGGGTCGGGTCGGCCAAACCAAGTCTAGAACAGGTTGCGATACTTGCAAGTCAGGACCCGCCTCCAGTGTCATATGCTTTGTGGAGAGCACTGACGGTATGAGCTAGGTCACGTCGCGTCCGATGTGGAGAAGAGAAGCCGCATTGCTTGAAGTGCACTAGTACTGGTCGCAAATGCTCTTATACCTCAAAACTTTCACCACAAAGACATGGGCCACCTGGGTCACCGCCGTGTCAACTCACTCTATTTTCTCATCAAGGATGGCGAGAACGCCGCGCATTTGAATTTTACTTCCATCAAGCTGGCCCAGCGCTTTCTGGTGTCCTTGACGTTGCGTTTTGGAGAGGCTCCGTCTTACAGATCTGTCGTATGGAGCCGGCAATCTGGGATGCTATTATCGCTCTGAGCTCGCTCTATGAGCGACCCCCAATCCACGATGCCTCACCCTTTCGGTTGATTAATAATCCCGCTGAAGTAGAGCATTCCTATCACCGCGAAGCACTTGTTTGGTATTCGCGTTCGTTAGCTGCTGTGCAGCGGCGGATAGATCAAGGCGTGGCTGATCTGACAGTTGCGCTTATAAGCTGCATCTTGTTCATTGCTATCGAGTTATTGCAGGGCAATCGTCCAGCTGCCTTGGACCTAACCAGACAAGGTATGCAAATGATAGTGACTGCAATGACATACACGCGGTCAAGTTCCAAAAATAGGGGCTCTATCAATCGCGCAATGTTAACATCGGTCATTAAGCCCATTTTTCAACGATTGGATACTTGGGCTTTGATAACTAGTGGCACTTCCAGCAACTTTAACTGGCAGTTTGAATACTTGAACTCAAATGCTCAATTGACATCACACGATGAAGCCCGAAATGTTCTCAGTGGGATTGTCGCGGAGATGAAAATCTTTAATATTGACACCAAGCGACATTGGACATTATCAGCGGGCACGCGTTTGCGAGATATCCAAGCCCTTTGGACAAAACAGGGAAAACTGAAAGATGCCCTTGATCAGTGGTATCGATCTTTTACGTCCCTAGTCGCCTCGGATCAGGACCCAAGTGGAACTGGCGGTGCATCACTTCTGCTCATGACATATTTTAGTGTTTTGATCGAGATTCAAACATGTCTTGATCCCGACCAATCTTCATATGACAATTTTGAAGCCGAATTCACGCAGATTATCAACCACGCATCTGAGGCGATTTCTGCCACAAGAAATCCAGAAGGCCACCAGCCGGCTTTCACTTTCGAAATGGGAGTCTTTCTACCGCTCTTTATCACTGCTCTGAAGTGTCGGTTCCCTAGACTCCGTCGTCAGGCTTTATCCCTCTTGAATGAGGCTCCACCGGCGCAGGGGTTATTCATGTGTAGACCGGCAGCTCACGCGGTCGCGGTTCTCGTGGTTCTTGAGGAAGATCCTAGTATGGCCAATGATGTTTTGGGGGTAAGCGAAGTACTTATCAGGCCCGGATGTATCCCACCTGTGCGAAATCGGATTTGGGAATTCAATATATCTTCTAATGTGGACTTGCGAGGAAGAACCCAGAACTGGCTTCATTATAGTCTTCGGGACTTTGACCAAGACGAGATTCGATTTTCTCAAAATGCTATGCTCTTTCCTGGGGCTCAGCCTTAAATTTCAAAACATTTGAACAAAGACATCATGTACTTCTTTTGTTCCTCTATGTAAATACTGATTCGATTCTGGTTTTTCTTGTACCTACTGTGTACTATGTAAGGAAACGAACGTCATTAAGGAAGTATACTGCACCTGTGCATGACCCCTGTCATTTGTCGCGTGTGAAGGCGTTTCCCCCGCGTACGGTATTTTACTCCCCCTCAGTTGTTCAGCCTCTTTCCCTCATAAATTTGTTCTTCCTCCTCTCAACTCTCTTCACCTGGCAAACCCATATCCCGAATCTACCCAGATCGCCGTCAGGATGCCCAAGCAAAGATAATTCAGTTGCCTCCATTGGTTAATTCATTGTTTTGAACTTCGTCACTTCCGGCTCCACATTACTCCAATCTCATCTAGCAAACCCGTACCAGCCAGCACCCAGGCTGATCCGCCCGTTCCACAATAGTTCAAAGCTTCCCAAGGCGCCACTCAGAACCAAATTCCCATATGCAACTCTGAAAATGAAAGAGACAAAGGAGCCGACTGTGTCTCCTCCTACGGAAAAAAAAAAAGAAAAAAAAGAAAGGAAAACATCGTGGATGCGGGTTGAAAGAACGGTGTGCGGGATCCTCTGGGCCTGGCACTTATCTCCCAACTCCCACTGGCCACGATTAAACTGATTGCGACACCGGCAGCTTTTTCTTCACGAACGGATCAACGGTTGGCTTATCTGAGGCCCGACTTGCCCGATTTGCTCAATTTTGCCCGCGTGACAACCTTCCATTTACTGATAGTAGAGTGAAATTACATAGGGATATTGACAATTCCCCGCCAGATTCGTCAGGCATGAGGGTCACCTGAGCTTGCCCCGATAAGCGCAACACAATTTTTTCGCCACTTCTTTTCTGCGCTGGCTGCTGCGCTAGTTCTTCTTTATGATCGCACGTTTCTTGATTATTTTGGATTTTGTGTTCTCTAGCGCTTATTGCAAACCTTTCATCTTCAAAAGTATAGTCCCGTCTGTCTGGGCAAAGTTTTTCTGCATACCAAGGATCTTAACTCTGACCACTGGGACGTTTCCATTCGCTTGCCGACCCGCGGATCTTCTTGAGAGGGTCCAGAAATACTTTCCCCCACCTCCACGTTTGCCATTTGATCTTTCAGCCTCCTGTCTGACACCGTCTGAGCTCTTGCTTCCTCCAAGCCGACGCTCTGAGATCTCTGACAAGTTGGTCTCGTGACAATCAACCGCATTTAGTCGGACTACTCTTTTTAAGAGTCTCTCGGACCGCATATGCCTTCGTTCACTGAGGACCATGCCAATCCGGAACCTGAAGTAGCAGGTAGGCCCTCTTCTCCCTACCCCCTTGTACAATTTAGAAACGCCCACTGCACTGCCCACGCAACATACCAAGATCGCCGCCAAGTATTTTACCACGTTTATTTCGCCTTGTACTACCGCTTCCTGTTTTGGCGAGGCCCCTGCGGGGGGCAAATGTGTGACGTCGGAGCTGCCCCATGCACTTTTATTTTATTTCCATCGCGACAAAAAAAAAAGTATCGTTTTTGACTGATCTCCAGTAGACTCTGCAGCTTTTCCAGGAACGGGATTGGATATATCTTCGCTGCAAAGGGCCTTGACAAACGCGACTGGCTCTGCTTCATCGCCCGATGGACCATCCTTGAAACAATACCGAGCCCCTGTCGCGAAAGCCAATGCGCGCCCACCTTCTACATCAATGCCTTCTGCTGTGACTCCTCAGTCTGCTCGGTCGAACTTTCACGCTGAGACGAGGACTCTCGAGGATAGTGAGCAGCCGATGAAGCCGGACGAGGATCCCCAGATTGGCTTGTTCCACCAGGTGTATGATTGGTTACAACACGAGAAGAAACGAAGAATGGCCCGAAAGGCGCGGCGTGCTGAGGCCGTCTCTGAACACACAAGTGCTATCTCTGAGAATGAAGAACACCCCGCAGAAGGCCAACGTTGTTCGGAGAGCACATTCTCGCTTGGGGAGTTGGAGAAGATCTTGGCGCAATACGCAGGGCCCCAAAATTTACATGGTCTAGCATCTCACCTCCCATTTAAGCGCCTAGCCCGCCGGCGCCCTAAGGGTCTACGTCGAGGCTCAGCCTCTGATTCCGATGTCACGGATGTCGAGGCGCTGGTGCCAAATGTGGAAGCTTACCTGGACAATTCGAAGACTCTCGCCTATATCGCAAATGGCGCGGTAGACGAGGATGCTCCTGACAGTGGCTCTATCAGGCGATCCAAAGACCGAGAGGCGTGGACCATATTCAAGACTGAAATTGTACGCCTTGCGCATACTCTCCAGCTCCGAGGTTGGCGCAAAATGTCAATGGAGAACGCCGATGACGTTGAAGTCACTCGGCTTAGTGGTGCCCTTACCAACGCCGTTTATGTGGTCGCGCCTCCCAAGCCTACCCACAGGACCGAAAATGGCTCTACAACCGTAACCTCGAGGAGGCCCCCACCGTAAGTTTTTGACTAAAGTTTTTTTTCTTTTTTTTTCGATTCGTGCCATTAAAATGTTCTTCTATCTCAGGAAGCTTTTGCTGCGGATTTATGGTCCCCAGGTAGACCATTTGATTGATCGAGAGAATGAACTGTCAATTCTCCGTCGCTTGGGCCGCAAGAACATTGGCCCTCGTGTCCTCGGAACTTTCTTGAATGGTCGATTCGAAGAATACTTTGAAGCCCGGCCTCTCACGCCAAAGGAGCTGCGAATTCCACAGACAAGTAAGCAGATCGCCAAGCGTATGCGAGAATTACACGATGGTATGGAACTCCTTGACGAAGAACGTGATGGTGGACCGATGATCTTTAAGAATTGGGACAAGTGGGTCGATCGATGTGAACAAGTTACCACTTGGTTGGACAAAGAGGTTGAATCCCCGGAAAATCAAAGCAAGGCCGAGATAGAACCTTGGCGCCGTCGCGGCTTTGTTTGTGGTGTGCCATGGGCAGCGTTCCGTAAGGCCGTGGACCACTATCGCTCTTGGCTTATCGCTAGTTGCGGTGGACTGGACGAGATAAAGCGACAGCTTGTTTTCGCGCACAACGATGTAAGTTTGTTAGCATCTGGCTTTGGGGGGATTCTCAATGCTAATCTATGTTCAGACTCAATACGGCAATCTTCTTCGCATGGAACCAGCCACCGAGTCCCCTCTTCTCCTACCTGCCAACTCTCACAAGCAACTCGTGGTCATTGACTTTGAATACTCGTCTGCGAATACCGCCGGTCTTGAATTCGCAAACCACTTTGTAAGTTTGGTCTTCTAATTTTTTTTCTCCCCCATTTTGAGTCATTTGCCTAACAAGAGTCAGACTGAGTGGTGTTACAACTACCACGACGAAGAGCTATCTTGGGCCTGCAACAACCGCCTTTACCCAACACCCGAAGACCAGCGCCGCTTTGTCATGACATACCTCACTCATCGCCCCGCCATTACAGGCGGTGTTACCTCACCCTTGGCCACGCCGGCAATGCGCGGTGGCACTGGTAGTGCTGTCACACCCTTCACCTTGGATGATGGCCCTGATTCTTCCAACTGGTCGCAAGAACAGAAGTCTCTTGAGGAAGACTTCGAAGCTGAGGTACAACGACTAATGCACCAGACCCGACTCTGGCGTGCCATGAACTCGGCCCAATGGGTCGCATGGGGTATCGTGCAAGCCAAGGCACCGGGTATGGAAGAAGGCATTGCTGAAATGTTGGCTACCACTTCCAACAACAGTGAGAATGGCCATCAAGGCCAATGCGAGATTAAGACACCTTCAGTCGATGCTGATGTCGACGAGGAAGACGGTTTCGACTACCTGGCCTACGCGCAGGATCGAGCCTTGTTCTTCTGGTCTGACCTGTTGGCACTCGGCCTGATCAACCCTGACGAACTCCCGGCAGCTATGGTTGAACATATTCGAGCCCGGGCCGTTGAATACTGAACAGAGCGCTTTGATTCATGACGCATGTTATGAAGTAACGATTTGGATGCCAGTACATAATCATCATCAATATCTAAGTAGATTCAGATAGCATTTATCAGTAAATGCAGACGATAGTAATCATTGATAATTTTCGGATTGCTCCCAAATCTATCATTGTAGGGTATCTGAAAAAAAAAATATTCACGTAGTACGTACTATAATTCGATGAGACTCAAAAGCCATCGAATATCTAGATACTCATAAAAGAAGTAGTAGAAATCAAAATAGAATCGACTTAGACCCTCAATCACCGTCTCATCTCCGCCCTCTTAACCGTCTCCTTCTGCGCCTTCTCCACCCACTCATCATACTTCTTCCCCTCCGCATCCTCCCCATCCTTCATCGCAACCACCCCCTTCATCATCTCCCCAATAAATCCAACAAAATTCCACCTCCGCAAAGTATTCTCCCAAGCCCAAGCCCCCCTCTTCCTCTCCTCCCTCTCCAACGTCTCCGCATCCCCAATCTCCCTCGCCGCAATCCTCGGATCCCGCGTAACAGCCATAAGATTAAAATGCGTCTCGCCAGCCGGATACCTCTCAATCCTCTTCCTCAGCACCTCAATAACCTTATCCGGGAACGCCACCCCATCACAGGCCCCATGGCTGATCGGATGCGGCTGCAAGCCATCCAGCTCGTAAAGTGTGCCGTTCACAGACGTATACGCAATAAAGTGGTATACGTCCGCGGCGTTCTCCTCGTCAACGGGGCGGGCCGTCTCGTCCGCGAATGGGCTCGCGCGCGCAAAGCTGTTGTGCGCTGTGCGGATGGCCTCTGAGTTCGAGAGCGCCTCGCCGCGGAGCTCGGGCGGGAAGCCCGTTGTGAATTCTTTGAAGGAGTGCAGTTCGTTGCCGAGGGTTATGGGGTGGAGGGGGGTGGGCGGGTTGTCGTTGTTTAGGATTACGGAGAGGATGGCTTGCGTGCCGCAGGCGTTTTGGATTGTTTGGGCGGCGAAGAAGACGTTGTTTTCTGTTGCGCTGGGGTCGTAGGTTCCGTCTAGTGGGGCTTCGGCGCGGGCGCCGGCTGCTTCGTGGGTCCATTTGAAGAGGAAGATCACGCCGTAGACGGGACTTGGGAGATGATGTGTGTTAGCTTTGGGTTTGTGGGCGAGGGAGGGTTGATATGTGTGTGTGAGGATGTGTTTCTTTTTTTCGCTCCGGAAGGTATTGGTGGAGCTGGTTCGGGCAGAGAGATAATTTACCCTAGGGACCGTATTGTGTCGGCATCGAGGGAGATGAGTTCTTCGAATTGCACGTCTTGGACTCCAAGGTTCTCGATGAGAGATGTGAATACGCCCTGGATTGTGCTGTTAGCGTAACATGCTTGGAAGCTAAAAAGCTATCTAGACTCACCTCATCGGATTCGATTGTACTCCAACCACCCGAGTCGGCCATTGTGTAGATTTGGATTTAGTTGAATGTCTTCTCGCAAATAAATTCGGGTAAGTTTGGCAAATAAGGAAGGACCTGATTGTGTACACACAAAGTGAAGCTTGACAGCCGAATGTTGATATCAACGGCGGGACGTATGTCATAGGTCACGTGAAATTACAGATCACGTGTGATAACGTCTTATCGGAATTTCTGGCCTTATACATGAGGTGTCTATATGAAGTATAACGAACTACCAGTTGACTTTAAAGTATCACGCCTCCATACCCAGGGTTAGAATTTGGTCTCTAACCTCAAAGGTTTCCGAGGTTGAAACAGACGATCATCTAGGTACTTGAATCAGACAGATTAAGTTAAGACTTCCGTCTAACTTTGGCACAACCAAAGATTTGAACGACATAATAACACTATATCATTTCAAGGTTCCACGAAAGTCCGTCTACATTTGACCAAGATCGACAAAATGCCATCCTAGACACCTCTCAACCCATAATATACCAACAACTCTCCAGAAAAACACTAAAAAGAGCCAAGTTATCAGCAACAATGGGGCTAAAAATCAAACATACCGATACGCAAGCCCTGAGTGGACCCGCGCGCGAGGGGGGCCATCTAGCATCTATGCAAGCACAGACTCCTGCTCCCAACAGAAGCGAAGCTGAAACGCAAAACCTGCAGGGTAATCACGCCCTAATGCAAGAGGGGGGTGAGAAAACAAGGGAGGAAAACGTGGCAAAAGTATCCGTGCGTGCCAGGGCTAGCAAGGGAAAAAAAAAACTGAACAAATCATTCAGATTTCGTATACATAGTTCCTAGCGGAGGCTTTGATGTTCAGCCTTAGGATCGAAAGGGTAAAGGGTGAAGGGCGAACGGCAGCCGAATACGAGGTCCACGAGGTCCACGGGATCTAACGTGTAAACCTAGGAGTTGGGGGCCCAATGGGAGGTGCAGATCTGCGGTTTTCGCTACTTTATTTAATCCTATTCTTGGGTTCGTCTGTTCTTCGTGTTGAAAATAGAGTGTTAACAATGTCTTTGAGTTCCTGAAGATCCCTAGGGCTGTTGTCGAGAATGGCGGTCTAGCCTTCGTTTCAAAGCAGTCTGTGATGGTTTCTTGATTTTATATGGGGGCTGAAAGAAAGGAGAGTTGAAAAAACTCTCAAGGTTTGCCCCGTGCGTTATCTGGGCTTAGCTGAGGAAGGTAATACTCAGTAGTTAGTAGGTATTGAAAACAGGATAAACCAGAGTTTCAGGGATAGTAATACATCATTCTGTCTTATATTCGAGATTCTCTCAGTAAGAACGTATTATCTCACATGTAAGGTGAGAATCGTATGTAAAAAAGGCAAATCTTGGAAATATGTAGCATACAAACACTGATTTCCCAGTAATGTCTGTCCAGGTGCCATGTCTCGCGACCTCCAGGGCTCGAACTGGGTATATCACTTTCGAATCGTTTTCACGGATTTCAAGTCAACACACGCAAACGCTCATGCACGATGAGAAGAAATAGAAAAACAAAAAGCAGAAGCTGTTATGAACAAAGCTTAAAAAAAGTAAAATATGTCAGACGAGAAGGAAATTATAAATAAATCCCACTGGCCAATCACCAGACTCCGTAGCACAAATCAAAATCGCCAATCACCAATAAATGACAATTCCAAAGGGGGTATTAGTATTCTCGTACGCCTGTTCCACATTGTCCAATCAAAACGCAATAAAACCACCAGTCCAGGTCCCAATTATGTCCAGCAGGCCTCAGGTGTAACCATCCCGGGCATCTCAAAGGGGTGTGGTTGTTGATACATTTCCACATTGAGGGAAAGCGCGCCATCCTGATGAGGCATATCAGCGCATAACCCATCAGCCCCATACGGGGGTGTGAATGCTGATGGATTCTGTAGACTGTTTGTGTGGCGAATTTCAGACAATCCTAATTGCGGATCTTGCGTCTCAAGAAGTTGCGGAGAAGGTGGGTAGAGAGCGTGCGACGGGGCGGCAGTAACGTAGCCATCGGCCATATTGAAGGGGGATCCCGCTACATTCACGGCGGGGGGAGATTGGAGTGGGGGTGTATATGCGACGTATGAGGGAGAAGCGGAGGCAGGTGAGGAGGATGAGCCGATGGGGTATTCCTGCATGCCGTGGTACGGGCTCGATGGACCAGGCGAGTAATGCTCAACGGAGGGACGAGGGGACCAGGCTAGACGGGCCCGGTAGCGTTGGACGACCCGTTGTGGGAGATCCATTAAGGCGAGTCCGAGGCGTAGCTCTGCGTTGTATGGATCTGTCGAGCTGTTTGCTGCTAGGATGCGGTATGTTTCTTCGATGGGGCCGACGGACATTCCGCCTAGGTATGCGCCGCCCATCTCGGGGTAGAAGCGGTCGACGGCGACACCGACGGCGAAGAACTGGGAGAGGATGGCGAGGGCGCTGAAATCGGAGTCACCACCTCGAAGCATGGAAGCGGGGAGCCAGAAGAGCCAACGCCGGAGAACTTGGATGCGTTCGAATGCCTGCTCGGATGTTTGTGTTGGGTAGTCGTTTCGGAATTGTTGTACGAACTCGGCCAGTTCGGCGAGTCGCTGGGCATGCTCGGGGTTGTGTAGTACCCGCTTCTGAGAAATCTGGAGGGCGTGAACGATTTGGTCAAGTTGATTTAGATCGTCGTCGAGGGATAGTGGGAAATCAGTTGCACTCAAGGCGCGCTGGTTTTCGACGAATTGCGCCAGTTCGGATTCTTGTTTCCAGAAGGGGTGCATCGATTCGAGAACGGTTGAGATGCCTTGTTGCAATGACATCCACATTTGGCTGGAGATTTCGTTAGTTTTTAAACGATTGGGGAGGGGAACATCAGATGAAGAGGCATGACAAACCGTTCGGTTGCTTGCCAAGAAAGCAGAATCGAAGCCGCCAGAACCGCCTCACAGTTGTCCTTTGAAAATGATCCGATGGCTGTCTGTAGGCCCTGAAGAGCGGTCAACTTGTGATGATAAGCCAACTGCTTGGTTTCTTGGTCTCGAGTCAAGAAGGAAAGGTGAAAGGCAGACAAGCCCAAAATCGAGCTCATGACAAACTCGTTAGACAATGCAATCGCCAGGAAACTAGTTCACAAAATATTAGCTTTCAATTCCCACTGTTCAAGTATTGGCCACTCTGATTAAACATACTTGGGCATCTTCTGGGCCCACGCGGTGCAACCACTGAGCCCCCTCCGATGTAAATCAATCGAAAGGCCGATGATGTGATGAACCAGACGCAAATCGACGCGCGATAGATGAGACCATCCTGAGCGAGGACATTGGACCAGTTCTGGGTAGGGAGGCACGCCAGTTCGGTGCCAGTTCTCAACCTCCATCTCGATCTCAGGCGACATGAGTAGATCGGGACCCCGCCGTGACGAAGGTGGACTGCCTTGTGATGCAGCCATGTCCTGGTAGTCACAGCGACAGTTGTGCTTGGTGCAATTGCGACTAGAATCTAGATTAGACCGTGACCTTCTTGACTTGTGAGATAGACTAGGCTAAGGGCAGTACCATTGTGGGAATGTCTCGTCGCAACGAATGTGTCTTCGCTTACACGTCTTACATCCGTTGCGAGACTTGGTGTGGCTCTTGCGCGGGGGACCACCACCGGGGCCAGCCATTTTTGGGAATGTTCAAGATGCGGAATTGAAGGTTGCGTAGGGTGGGGAGAGGGCTTTTGAAGGGTGGGGAGATTAGATATTATCTTCCGGTGAGGGGCATATAGTGGAAAAAGTTGATCGAGTTGGTCTCTCAAGAGTCAAGTTGTGGGAATCGGGAAGAGAGAAGGTGAGATTGAAGTAATTTGGGTTGAGGAGAGAAGTAAGGTAAGAGGATCTTCGATGTTTATAGAAAGATGATCTCCCTTTAAGATAAGCTGAAGCGTTGAGGAATATCCACACGTGGAAAATACGAGGCAGCTGCAGCGGCAGGTTTAAGTAACGCCGCCCCGAGCCAAACTCATTCAAAATTAGCGAAGAAAAATAGAGAAAAGAAAACTTAATGAGAAAAAGAAATTATGAATGAGATCCAGGGGGGGAGAATAAGAAGAAAAAGAAAAAGAAAAGAAGTGATGATGAGATGATTGGAAGCTTGTAGAGAGAGAAGTCCCCGGTCATGTGTAAAAAGTGATTGGTAAATGATAGTGAGGGAAAAAAGGGAATGAAATAGGCAAAGATTCAAATGGAAATTAAAAATTACAGGTAAAAATAGGTGTTTTTTGCTAACACTTTTATTTTTGATTATAATATTATTATAATATTTAGTGTATTTTCGCTCTTTTGTTATTTTGTTATTTTCTTATTTTCTTATTTTCTTATTTTTTTTCCCCCAGTGACGATCTCACATTTGAGCCTCTCTGCAGGGGAGCCCAGGATGACCCAGGGGGCTAACCAAGGCACCACATGGCGTAAGAAAACCCAGGACCAGACTCTAATTTGACACTTTGCTTTTTCCTTCTTTTGCTCTGTTGCTGCCTTCCTGCATAGGTTTAGCTTTGCCATCGCACTTGACTTCTGGCTCCACTTTCCGGCATGTGAGCTCTCGCTCTCTCGCTCCCACGGGGAATACTGTCAACCATGTTTTGCTCTTCACTGGTAAAAAAGTCCGGGGAGCCCCAGCCTCTCCGGAGCTTTCTTCCTCCAACAACCGTCATTGGAGACCTACCCAAATCAAGCGGCAAGTGGGTTAAATACAAGAGATGGCAAAAGTTAAGGATAATTGACTGGCTGAGAGTCCACAACCGGGGACCGCATTTGGGTAGTTCAAGCGGGAAACCAAAAAAAAAAATTGATAAAAAGATTAAAAAATAAAAGGCAACTTGACCTGATCTACCATAGCTTGAGCGAATAAGAAACAAGGTAATGATTTCCCTCCAAAGGCGATCATGATAGAATTCGGTTCGTTTGGTCCCCGAAGTTCTATACATTGCTCCAGGGGGGGGGTGAAAAGGGGTGATGTTCTTTGCTTTTTTTATTTTATTTTATTTTTTATTTTTGGACCAGTTCAATGAGAATTCGCGTCTAGGGCGTAATGCAGGGGTGAATAAAAAGAGGAAAGAAAGAGAGAGGATAAGGATATCGATCGATCTTAGGACCCTGGAAAAAAGTGGATTAAGGAAAACGTCAGGGAAATTTGCCAAGCCGAACCATATGCCCAGTCGAGTAAAGGGGAAGTCCATCTCTGTGCTATCCTGGACGTACAGTATACAGTATTACCCTGTGGTTTTTATTATTGGTTTTATTCTCACTCTGGACTAAATTGAATTCGATTTTCACTATTATCCCAAGCTAAAATAATACAAAAAATTAAAAATTAAAAAGGTCGGGAAAGCACCGTTTCTATCCGTTGAGTCAGACGCGGGATGAGACGGACTCAACTCGGTAATGACAACCGAACGTGCAGCTGCTCCGCTACTCTCATGACATCCTATTGGACTGCACCACAACTGAACCATTCCTTTTCTTCCTTTTCTTTTTCCCTTTTCTCTCTTTTTTTCTTTTTTTTTTTTTCCTCGGGTTTCCTTTTTTCCCCCCCCCCCTTTAACCAGGACCAGGTAGACCCCAGTTCTGATAAATGGCTTAGACCATGCCATCGGGTTTACCACGGGTCCTTCAGCCTAGGAGCCTAGACAATCCGGGGAGTCGGAAAGATGTTTCCTTGGGCTAGTTACCACTGGGCTGGAACGCTGGAGAGATCACTTGTTTCTGCACTTGTGAGAAATCTACAGGGATCAAGGGTCTTATATTACCTCACAATTTCCAGAGGCGTCCACAGCTTACAATCTACCTCATCGTCCCGCGACAATGGATCGCGGTGTTCTTGACGAAAGTGTCACGTTACACCGCCAATTTAATCTTCTCTATTTGTTCTTGACTTCTTGGGTTTCGCCATGTCATATAACGGGAACCGGTGTAGAACCTTTAAGTTGAAGACATGCAGATATGCAGACATATGCATGCAGAAGCTGGAGAGGACTAAGCCAGTTGGATGATTGGAGAGGGAAAAGGAAGAAAAAAGAAAAAAGAAATATGACCATTTTACACGTGGCTCCACCCTGCCTCTGATCATCAACACTATTTACGCTCAGCTGTTGAAGCTGGTTTCACGCGTTTCATCCTAGACGCTTTAAGGATCTCAGTGCGAAATAGGTCGGGGACCAAGGGGAACCATGGATTGATGGCGTCAAGGGTTCCGAGAATCTGGAGAGTGGATCATTCGATTGTTACAACTCACGTTCTAGATCCACTGTACTAATCAGGTTAGTCTCTCTCGCTACTCGCGACATCACTCCAAAACGGGGTTAGTCTAGACGGCACTTGGACTCTATACTCTGGGGGCCATATTACCCATTCCCCTTTTTTTCTATAGAAGAAAGAGAGCAGAGAAAAAAAAAATCTAGGTATACTTTTGTTTTGTTTTTTTCCAAGGTTGTTTTTTCCCCGGTACCTGCACATCTTGCTCAGTCTTCTCTCCCATGTCTACTACTTTTCCCCACTAGATCAGGGGATTTGTGCACTTTCTCCTCGGAGCAGAACAAAAGAAATGAACAAGAAGAAAGAAGAAAAAAGAAAAAAAAAAAAAAAAAAAAAAAAACCACAAAGAGATTAATCCATCTGTGCTTCGTACATAATTAGGCGTCTAGATCTGGACCCTGTGGGCTTGGGCTTTTTTGCTCTTAACGTTCCCGAGTGTCCGGTTCTCCCGCCCTGCCAGATGACATCTTATAATAGGATAATATAAGAGAGAAAGCAGAAAGCAGAAAGCAGAAAGCAGAAAGCAGAAAGCAGAAAGCAGAAAGCAGAAAGCACGGTCCATGGGAGGCAACACCCGCTAACCAACTTAAATGCGCCAAACATCAGAGGGTCATTCTGGACGCGTGGGGCTTGGAACTTTTCTTGTCGATCATGGGCGAGATCAACCAACAATGGGCTGTGCGTTCTGTTACCAGCGTGTCGGTTTAGCTCGAACGTCCCATGGAGAAAAGAGGCAAATCATTGCCCGGCGATCTATAATTCTTATTGGTTTCAGATGTCCGCTAAGCTGGAACTGGTTTAGAAGTTGCAGTTTTTTTTAAAAAAAAATAAAAAGGAATAGGAATAAAATAAAAAGCAATAACCTCTATAGACTACATAATACTATATAGTAATGGGAATAGTTGCACGAAATCGGACCCGACAAAAGCGAAAATAAAAAAAAAAGAAAAGAAATAAAAAACAAGTATCAACGGCAAGAATGAAAAGAAAAAGAAAAAGAAAAAAAAGTGGCAATTGTGTATAGCTCTAGATCCTTGAAAAAGCTACATTCCCACTTCTCGAGTACTCCCGTCCGCGCCGCAATTTAATTAGAGTCGTTAGCGTTAACTTTACTTTGCTAAGCCCAGTTCGCCTTGGATGCCTTACTTTGGGGAGGCAATGAGGCTAAAAGCAAACATCATCATGTCATCATACGGAAGGCATTCCAATGTTCAAAAAAAAACACTCTGAATTCCTGACTGCAGCATGCAGATCATGATGAGACTAAGATGATGCAGGGAAAAACACCTCCCCAAACCAACTCTCGCCGGACTAACACACCGAATTTCCCACATGTCCAGATGTCATTATGGAGGCGACTTGGTTTTCGTTGGAAGCATGTACTATATCATCCAAAAAACATTCTCTCCTTTCTCCTCTACAATTGGGGATCATTATACTGGATTAGAAAGTGTGATATCCTTGTTGCATACAAACTATCTTCCAACATTGAACTCATTTTTCTTGATACCCCCATCCAACAACGCCCAAGGGACGGTACGGCCGAAAGAGAAGCCCACCTATCACTAGTAACCTACCCATACGATCTACAAGAATGGGTTTCCACAAATCATCCATGGACATTGAGCTCAAAAACGGCCATGTCCTCACTGCATACTGCCGTCGTCCCTCGGGTGAAGCCACGTACTCGGAGCTGAATCTGGATGATTTCTTGGGAGCAAAGAAAGGTAAGCAGAGCATGTTAGGATAGTGCAGGACAGCACACCACACAGAAGGACGAGAAAGAACAAGAGCGAGAGCGAGAACAACAAAGAACAAAGAACCGACAAGGCGCAGCAGCTTTGTAACCTTACAAGAAGAAAAAAGAACCGCCACAGCCCACTCAAAAGAAGGTTTTTCACTCGTTAACTCAAACCTTCTGACACAGGTAAATTCGCATGGAGCGCTGAAGGCTTCTCCGATCACGCGGCCGATATCAACCTCAAGTTGGAGGGCCCAACCCACGAGCCCATGCTCCATGCTGCACTGGACGACGAAGAAGGTGGTCAGCATTTTGACGTTGTGAACCTGGGGGACTGTATCAAGAATGAGAATGGACGACTCCGCTTCATGGATTGTTTTTAAATAATAATTATTATTTTCGAATATGATATGATTGGGTTTCGTACATGAATGGTGTATGTTCCATCTTCTCTAGCCTAAGCAGGGCAGGAACAGGCAGCTTAACTAGATGGTATAGTAAAATGTAGTAGTATCATTGGAAGAGAGATAAAAGCATACACTTTACGTGGCTCCCAAGAGAGCTTTGTGCTTCGCTTTCTTATTTATTGGATCCATAGGGGTAATATTCCCAACGCCACGGGCTACCGTAGGACAAAGTAAGACTGGTAAGACATGTACATTGAAGGTCGCACTGCTTTTACGGCTGAGCGCTCCCATCTATACTAGTCTATTGGTGAGTTTGCCGCCCCTGATTGAAGATTAATTTTATAATTTTACAATTTTACAATTTTACAATTTTATAATTCTATAATTCTATAATTTTAATATGTCAAAATTTCAAAATGTCAACTCGAGTGACCCCAAACCCAGACCCAAACCTAAACATGCCAGAAATCGTAAAAAGAAAGGAAAGAAAAGAAATAACGAAATAACGAAACAAAATTTAGGATTTACAAGCAACTGCTTATTTTTGTCTTTTTTTTTTCAGCTCAGATCAGATCATCTACTTTGGCTTATAAAACGTGTACGCAGTAAACTGTAAACCAAAAGCATACCGACTTTCCCTGCAGGGCTGCATAACCCAATCTTACCTATCAACATTGAAGCTTACCCAAGCCCCCGATAGCCTTCAAACCTAGGAGAAAATGCAACTCCTAATTACCACACTCGCTTAACAGGGATCACGGATCATGGATCAGGGATCAGGGGGGGGGAAGAACCCATGCATAATGAACATCTATATCTCAGGTGAAGATCGGGCCGCAACACCAACCTTGGACCCTGCGTTACCTATTAGGTCACTTCCCAACAAGTATAGTATCTCTACACTGGAAATGCCAAAACATTCATAACCAAGACCCAAAAAAAAATTAAAATAAGAAAAAACATACAAAAAATATACAAAAAATATACAAAAAATATACAAAAAACAACAACCTTCCTTGGAAGGAAACATCTCAACGGCCCACGAACTGACATTGGTAGACCCTTTTCCCCACCTACGGACCAACACATACTTGTACCCCTCGACCGGAAGTTAAGCTCAGACTCCCGAGAGGCGTCGAATAGTCGAGGTGTAGCGAAGATCCATCCCGTCTGTCATGGGTGAGTCTTGTCTTGACAAGGCAGGTCACCAAAGTCAGTAGAAGTCGATAGGGAAATTCTAGCCTACCGAGCCCGAGCTACTAGGTACTACTAGTAGATTGCGGAGAGAGAATGTTTTAACTGGTCAGGTCGGAAGCCATCTGAAATGGGAGATTAATTCCAATCCATTAAATCCATGATCCGTAATCTACTTTAGAACCTGCCAATCTGGGGGTAAATTAGCCTCGGCGGAAAGGAAATGAAAATAAGCAAAACAAATTTGGTCAGAACATTGAAGTGGACCTGGACCCCTCTTTTCCCTTGGCAAGGGACCTGCATTCTACGAATAGAGGCACGATTCCAAACAGAAAGAGCGCACGGGACTCGGAGATGGCTTCTCCGGGTCTTGCTTCTGTAGTTCTGTAGTTCTGAAGTTCTGTAGTCTGTATTTCTGCCTTTTGCTTCATGCGCGTTTCTGCATCCCTTGTGGATTATATGAAGCGAGAGGCGTTCCCCCCGCTTGGGCGTTTTTTGCCGATGTAAAAGGTTGATATTGAACCCTGCACGGCAGATGAGGGTGAGAGGGGCGCCACCTCGCCTATCTTGGGCAAGTTCCTATCATCTAGTTGTTTAGTGGACTGAATGATGATGAGTACATATCCCACTATCCATGGACCCAGTGACACCTGCAAAAAAAAAAAAAAAAAAAAAAAAGGACAGACCAGAGACTACCTAAAGTTTTTTGTGTTTTTTTTTTCTCGTAGAATCTATCTAATCTATCTATCGTGGGGAAGAAGCAGGCGCTAAACGACGCAATACCGAGGAACCGGTCAACGTATCAACATGCAAGTGCAGGAGTCAAGGGAAGGGAAAGAAAATGCCCCGATATTCAGATAGCCATGCCCATTACAATCGTCAAGAGATATCATAGATAGTCAAAATGACAAATCTGGAAATGCCCTAAGTGTTTTTTTTTGCTCCTACCCCCGCGCTTCCCCGACTTCTCGCGCGTGAGTAAAAAATAAAATCATATGCAGGGGGAAAAAAGATATAAATGGCATGGAAACGCCCAGTCGAGAGCTCAGCTCGCCTTGATTATTGACCTAATGATCTCCCGTAAATCATCCCTTCCGCTTGTTCCTCCTTTTTCTAGGTCATAATGATAATGGGTGATAATAATTCCGCTGGCGCTTAGAAGAAAATAAAAGGCGGAAAACTGTGAATTGAATTTTGAAAGCGAAGAGACAAAGACAAGGAAGGATCACCTTGTCATTTATCTTGGCACATTCATGTAGATGTGTGGCCTATAAATGATAGGCACATTTGCTGTACCGCAGAAAGCCCTCGCTGTACAGGCAAGTCTCGATCGAGGAGGATGAGTTCGATGTAATGGAGGAGGGTAGATCACAGAACGGCCGGCCTTAAAGTTGGTAGTGCATGCGCAGCTTCTGGGACACGGGAGCAGGAAGCTGAGAGAGGAACGAATCAAAGTTGGGTATCATGTTTTTGTATCCTTGCAAAACCTGTTCGAGGGTTAGAATTTTTATTCAAGTATGTCACGGGGCAAATGGGGTCCACGTACCTGCTGGAATGAGTTATGAATGTCCCGGTAGTCCTCCTGTGATGAAAGAGACTTGCTTGCGCAGGCGGCAATGGCCGCGAAGTAAACGCCAAGACATGACTCCATAGCCTGGGGGTTCTTCATCACCACTTGGTTAAATCCAAGGAATGCCGAAGCCTTTTCGCGGCTGAAATCAATCTTGCCCATAGAGTTCAAGAAGGGTCCAGCATATTCACTCAGACGAGGTGCCAATGGATCGGGACAGCAAATACCAAGACGACCCAGCGCCATAGCAGCATTCTCGTTTACCGAATCGATAATCTCTTCGTTATTGATGATGTTCAAGAGGCCAAAATACAGCTTCTCGGCATGAGGAGCAAGGTCACTCTTCTTCTGGTTCACGGCGATCTCACCACACGACCAGCAGGCATTGTTGAGAACGCTGAAGCCGGTGACACGATCATCATCGGGAAGGAGATCCAGGTCGAGCTGCTTGATGAGGGTTGGCATCATCGCGGGGATGAATGGCTCCAGATGAGGGAAGATGCTAATGGCGCAGTCGCCGAGGAGGGCGTAGGACGACTGGCGAACTTCGTAATTGGAGTCCTGCATACAGTAGCACAGCAAGTCGAAGAAACGCGGCTGGGATTCAGATACCATCTTTCCACTCTTTTGGGGGTCAATGGCCTGGATGATGCAGCTGAGAAGATCGAGGCTGGTAACCAAGAAATCTTTATCGGTCTCATCAACAGTTTGATTGTTCGCCGAGGCGATAGACTCTTGGAGGTTCTGGTAGATAACCTTGACACAGCGGCTGAAGATAGGGGGAGCAAATTGCGAAAAGACATCCTCGTAGGAAGCTGCAATGTATCCTAAACATTCAAGAAGCGGGAAGAGCTCTCGGGACTGGTCGTCAACATTGTTGTACCGCTCGATCAGAGCAGGCATCAAAATCTCAACCAGGTGGGGCTTGGCCAGCTCATTTCCGACGCACTCGGCCAGAGTTTGCACACAGTCATAGAGTATGTACATGTTGCGGTCTTTGTATTTACCGAAGCATTGGACAAACTGGCGGAGAATAGGCTCACAGTATGGAACCAGGTTTTCATCCGACTTCTCTTCCAAGCTGGCAAACGCAGAGGCAGCTGCTTCTTGCACCTTCTTGTTATTGTCGAGCATTCGGTGGAGAATTCCCTCCATCATGGGTTCGAAGAATTGGTGCTTTTCTGTTGCCCCGTGGAGGTGTGAAGCCCACTCCGAGTATCGGCCCAGACACCAACAAGTGATTTGCCGCACAACGGGCTGTGCATCGTTCAGCAAAGAAATAAGGTAGGGAACGAGTTCCGGAAGATGGGGCATGACAGCATCCATGCAGCCATCGGCGACAGCTCCCAAGGTGAGAACAGCTGCCTCACGGGTGGGCCACTGCTCATGTCGCAGAGTCTCCTTCAGGTATGGCAGAATGATCTCAAAAATTGGGTCATGGTAAACATTCGAAAAGACATCCAATGCAGCGGCAGAGCACTTCCGCAACGACCACTCATCCTCGGGATCGTCTCCAAACTCTGAGTCTTCGATCTCACCCTCGCTAAGATCATCTTCGTCGTCACCCTGGGCCAATTGCTGCTGTGCACCATTCGTGCCGTCTGGCTGCGTTTTTGACATATCAAGACGACCAGCCTTAGATTTGGCAAACTGCGGCTTCAAGTCCTCTGCACGGTCCTCAGTGTCGGCATCGTCCTCGTCGCCCATCAAACGGATCACGTCGTCCTCTTCATATACCATATTCCGAAGGAGAACGGGGATGATCTTGGGCATAAATGGAGCTAGAGGCTCTTGCAGGCGCTCTTGCTCACCAGAAACGATCCAGAACTCCGCCGCGTCAAGAGCAAGCTCGGGGTCCTCTCCGTTCTGCTGCTGAATGAGGATGTAGTTGACCAAACCATCCATGTGCGGGATGAGCTTCTCGGGGGCGAACTCCACGAGCTGCGAAAATGACTGGCACACCATCTTTCGCACCTCGGTATCTTGGTCGCCGGCCAGGTTGAACAGTTGCGAAAGGAAGAGGTCCAACGAGCCCATCAGGGCTTGGGGCTGGTGGGGAAGGAAAATGTGAATGCTGCTTAGCGCGAGCGAGCGAACCCGTGCGCTCTCTCGTCCGGTGAACTCCAGCAGCTTGGGGATGATCACGTTGAGCGGGCGTTGGCCTTGGTAGTCGCGGTCCAAAATCTTGCGGTTGTCCTCGCACACCTTGAAAAGCGCAGCCATGGCAGCCTCTTGGGCTGGAATGGACACATCTCCTGCTGTGTTGCCGACCAGGGAAAGAAGCTCTTGCAGAACCTCCGGCCAGGCTAGTAGTCCACCGCGCTGCAACAGCTCCGTAATGATGGTACCGGCACCTCGCTGAACCTGTGGGTTGTTGTCTCGGAGGGCGATCAAGGCGGCGGATCGAATGAAGTTCAAGCTTTGTGGTGGGATAGTCTGATATGCCATATAAAGCTTCGTTTTGATGTTCATAGCGGCGGCAAAGCGCACAACGCTATAGGTACTGTCGTCCATGCCGACGGCGGTGGGAACTTGAGGAGTCGAGAAGAGATAGGTGATATAATTGACATAATCTGGAGATGAAGTCGCCGAAGCAAGCATCTGTTGTATGAACGTACCGTATCAGCCTCCATTTCAAGGTCGTGTGTGCGCTTTCTCTTGTCTTGGCTCATAGCAAAGAGGGGGGAGGGGTGAGGGTGCAGGGCAAAAAAAAAATCATTAGACATACCTCTTCGGCTTGTTTCCGGAGCGCGGGGTCCTGGCCATTGAGGGAGTCTCTAAGGCAGCAGGCCAGCTGCCTCAATGGCTCATCTTGCGGTTGCCAATCCATATTGAAGCGATGAGAAAGTCGACTGGCTTGCGACCGGAGGAGCAAAAGTGCGTGTGGCACAACGAGCCCCGCCAAGAAAGTGGGAACGGATCCCCCTTCTTCGTTCGTTCCCCAGATCAAGGTACAACGCTTCCAGATCGACAACCAAAAAAAAATCAGCAACGATAGGGTAACTTTATGCCGAAACAAGCGATAAGGCTTGGAGATAGAAACAGTTGGCAGGAAAAAAATAGGAGGAAAAGCCTAAGGATTCGAGAAAAAAAAATTATAGTGACGTTCAAAGTATGGGGCGAAGGGCAGAAAGAGAAAGGCGGTGGCCACTGTAAAAGTTCTGCACTACAGACCTTCACACTCGAGTCAACTGGAAAGACGTTTTTTGTCTTCACTTTGACTATTACAAGTAATCTAAAGAAAAGAAACCGTATCTCCAGCCAGATATGTATAAAATACTGCCGAGGTCAGACTTTATAAGTGTAGTAGTATTTATACATGTAGTATTTTCTGAACGCAACATTTGAAACAGCAGTCGCAACATTGAATAATTCGAGTCTCACTTGGGGAACATACAACATTTGAATGTATACTTTGACGTATAATATGACCTCACCTGCAGAATTGAAAACCCTAATTTCCATAATTTCACGACGAGATCTTTCATGTTGAACTCAAGAACCTTGGAAATCGAAGCGTTTTAATATTGGAGAAATATTCAAAATGTTCAAAATGTAACTATTTATTTGTGGAGATCCATTTCCGAAACCTCTAGGCGACTATATACATACCAGTATTCGCATGTAATAGTAGTGTGTGTACCCAGCCCAGATTGGATACGTACCTAGTAACCCTGGAAAATTTCCAAATTCAATCTTATCATGCCCAAACCATCTTCTTGATGTCATAAACCAAATATTCCAAAATTCCAGTACGTTTCTTCGCATCAGCCAAAGAAATAATATCAGACTCCTCGACCACCGATGCCGCATCGGCATTCCGTCCATCACCCGTGAGCATCGCACGCTCGATATCCAAACAGATAGATCGAACGCGATCAAGCTCACGAACATTCCCAGTCATAGGCTCAAGACGAGGGCTAGTCCCCGCATTCGTCAGTGGGAGAGACTTGAACGCGACAAAGCGGGTAGTAGCGCGCTTGGTGCCACGCAGCCAGGAAACCAGATCCCATTCTCCCGTGGAGCCGCTGGAGGCTTCAAGTGCAGCGGGTCGGACATCAGTTTGCAAGGAACGGGTGTTGACACGCAAAAGGTTCTCGTCCCCGTCACGGTAGACGATGACAAGACCAACGTTAGTGCGCTCGTTGGATTGACTCTCCGTCAGGATAGAGGTCACGTATGTACCGTAATGGATACGGGATACGGAGCGCAGGTCAATTCGTTCAAAGGAGAGCACCTTGTCGGTCTCCCAGTCAAAGCGACAGCTGTATACTGCTGCATCTGTCAGAAGGAGAACGGATTCCTCGAAGGGAAGAGTCCGCAGCGTATTGGGTTGTCGGGGGGTCAACATGGTCCAGCCTCCAAGGAACTCTTCCGAGGGACTGCTGATAACGATCTTGCAGCTGGTGTCGATTGCATTTTGACGGATCTTCTGAACCGAGATACCTGGGTCAGTGGTCTGCAGCTCGATGGAGAACTCGTCAAAAACATGTGGCGTGACATTACCCAGCAGGTAGTCGATACAAGCCTGCGAGAAATAATCGTTCACGATGTTGTTGTAGTATCTCGACAGCGTAAGTCCAAAGTCATTGATTGCTCCTCGGTAGTCCCGCTTCCGCGTGCGAGTGTAATCACCCTTCAGAGCAGCAGTGGACGAGTACTGCTTAGAGATTGCATCGCCATTATCTGCCCACAAAGTATTGAACCACTGAGTAGATGAGTCACCGCCTAGGTCAATCACGATGCCCTCGTTCTCAAGTTGGCGCTCCAAAGCCCACTGGCCGAATGCACATTGAGCCACTCCAGTACGGTCAAGGCAATCCATGCAGTTCGTGCGCACAATGCCACTTTGTTTAAGCGAAGATGCACCATCTTTAACGCTAGTGTAGCCGAATTCATTCAAAGTCTCCTTCACACGATCAACCAGACGAGAGACGTTCTCGAACTTCATCCCACGACATTCGTTGTGGAAATCAAACCATTCCAATCGCATTGGCGAGCCATCAATTCCACCGGCCTTGTTAAAGACATCGACGTATCTCTCATATTGCTCGCCTAATTTCAACTCCCCAGCATGTTTGTCAATCAATGACACAGCCTGAATCTTGCCGTATCTTCGGCTCATTTCTCTGATATGCCTTCCAAATGCAAGCTGATTCGTTTCAGCAGAATGATGAAGCACTGGAATGGGCTTGAACGCATATGGAGACTGGGAAAAGTACAACGGGATTGACCCTCGTACTTGTAAATAGGAGTAAACATTACTGGAGGGGTTCCAGTCAGGCCCCGAGAGAATCTGCTCGGTCTCCACGGTATTGGCTGTATTTCCTTCATCATCCACGCCACGGCGGAGATAACGGAGACCAGGTCGATTGACAGATCGTCGCGAAATTAGAGTCAACAAAAAGTTGCGCTTTGGAAGTTCAGTCTCCACGGAGGCTGCCTCTTGGCTCTCGCCAAGTATCTTTGCTTCGATCGGCTTCTCATCGACAGCCCCGGACGTTGGTTTTTTCTCTGGACTAGCAACTGTGAATTCTCTCTGGCCAACAAACCCTTGTAGTAATGGCATCACAAAGCCATGAGCACCATTCTCAATGAATGTAAACATCAGGTGTTTATTCCAGAAGTACTAGAGTCATGTAAGCAAAGATACCAAGCATTTTGCACGAAAAGTACTCACCAAAGGATCTACAGCCTTGTGGAGAGGCAAGTGCTCTGTGCGTGCTTCCTGAGCCTCATAAGATCTCGTTAGATCGTAATTATATGCAAAAAAGAAATTATGCGACGCAAATAGCAGCTTCGTATATTTCAGCAGCTTGGGCAAGAGCTCAGCCGCCTGATCAGAACGAGGACGATCATCCTTATCAGCAGGTGTCGTATCATCATTCTGATCAGCAGGCAAGGCCGCGCTAACGGCTTCATCTTCTGCCTCCTCCTTTGTATCAACACCCGCACTTTCCACTCCGGGCGCATCGTTGAAGGGCGACTCGGGCACATCTGGCCCCAGTACCCCAGGCCTCGACAATCCCAGGTTCTTCCGTGATAGCCAATTCGCGGCAAATCGGCCAAATGGTACGCGCTTCCCAATGACATCTTCCGCTATGCTACTGACGCTGGCACCGCGTCCATGATATGTTGCCTGCTGATTGGGCGAAGTCGGCAAGCTCCCAATTTCTGTATCCGCGCCGTCCGTAGCATGTCTGGTGATATCGTCCTCAGAATCAGAGTCTAAATCAGCATCGCCTTGCGATACCTCCTTCTGTGCCTGTGTAATTGCGCGGGCGGCATCCGCTTGCGACGACATTGGGATGATCGCGACATTGGTCACTGCGTAAACAGGACGGCCCTGGATCTGTGCGACTTGTTGTCTCTGGGTAATAGAGACCAAGAATGAGTACGACGCGACTGATAGGAGACCTGGTTCTAATTAGCATCGGGAGATGCAAATTTTGGAGCTATAGCCCCGCGACATCCGGCGAAATCCTGTTTTGACCTACCGACGAGTCCATAAGCCTCTAAACATTCGCGACCCTCAAGCGACTCCTCCGTGCAAGGAGGTAGAGCTGTGATCTTGTTCGTTTTGTACTCGATCCGGATGGACGAGGCCTCGTTATTGCTGCCATTGTTATGGCGGGGCCCATTTACGCCATGCCCGTGCAGAATCAGCCCGTCGACTGCAGCGACGATGACGAGTTTCCGCAACAGACCCGGCATCGCGCGTAGGAATCGCCTCGGGTCGCTAGTGATAAAATCTATAGGGGAAACAAACAGAAGGCAATCAAACAAAGAATGACGAGGTGTACCCAAGTAGGCCAACACTCAACAGGCTTAAGATTCGGAAGTGAAACTTCCTTTAACAGCTGACTTGCAAGCTACATCATCGGAGTGGAGCCCCACATCCTGGCGAATTGTATGCCAAATCTATTTGTGAATTGGAATTCCTCGTCAAAAAAAAAAAGAAAAAAGAAGAAAAAAAAATCAAAAGCACTCCGTATATACATGATAACCCTCTTGCCCATTACCAAATCACAGAAAAGAAAATGGAGGGAAAAAATAGAGAGAGAGAAAGAGAAAAAAGAAAAAAGAGAACAACGAAAGCAGAAATCCAAAGAAACCAGGGTCATATCCAATCATTCATAGCATGTCCAGTGCCTGACATGAGATTTTCCGAGAGTCGATCTCTGCACTCGGGCATTTTGGAGGAAACAATAAAAATACAAGGGCTTCGGTGAGGAAACAAATGCAGGAGAAGCCCGAAAAGGGCTTGGAAGATGGTGGGAAATGAGAAAAGATTGGAGAAGAGCGTGGCGGCAGTAACTTCGTGAGGGAACTGGAAGCGCTGGCTTCAAAACTACTCCAAAGTCTATCAAACTTGGCTGTTTTGCTTAGTGTGCTTCACTGTTCGTTGGTCGGCCGAGAAGGTCGGGCCAGGTTCACCGTCATCTTCTGCCAGATCTTCCAAACCAATGCCAGAGCCGTTCTCAAGGTCGTACGAGTGTATAAGACCCTCCCGATCACCGTGACCATTGAGGAAGATGCTGGAGGAACTCCGACGGTGGGGATCGGTGCTTCGGCGGGATTGCATGGATCGTCGAGTTTGGAAGCTTGCAATGCCATCGGTCGGGACCCCCTCTTCGTCAAGCTTAGAATTAACCAGAGCATGACCATCAGGATCATGACGGGAGAGATTCAGCAGGTAAACCCCGGTAAAGATGACCAAGAAGCCACAGAGCAAGGAAATGGTGTTGACGGCATCGGTAGTGTTGAATCCTTGGAAAAGAATGAACGAGGCGCAGAGTGTGAAGGTCGTGAAGGTAACGTAGTATAGAGGGTTCACACTTGAGAGGCGAGAAATGTTAGCGTTCTGGCATCACTCTGATTTCAATGGTGTTGACTTACATTGAGGTCGAAAATGAGTTCAATGCCTTGTTAAAGTAGTTCAACTGGGTGAGAATGCAGAAGCCGGTAACAATAGCGAAAACATAAGTGGATGCATTTCCAAACTGATTGTTACCGCCGAATGTCAATTTCACCGCGATTCCGAAGGCTTTCATCGACATCACGGAGACCGAACCAACAGTGGAACAGATTGAGATATAAATGAGGGGGTTCTGCTTTCCGTAAAGCGGGGCGATTCGATAGATCATGACGGTTGAGAAAATCGCGACAAATAGGCAGTATAGCAGGAAAGCTAGGGAAATGAATTAGCTTAGATCCCCGGAAACATAGAAGGAAAGTCGCGAACATACGTGCTTTGACAGCAAATGCGAGGATTTCATCGATGCGCTCAACCGGCTTGTCAGGGGGCGCATGGAGGACAATGACGACGGATCCGAGAAGGCACATGGCACAGCCCAATTTGCCTAACTTTCCTAGCCGCTCATCGAGGAAATATGAGCCCAAAACCGCACTTGAATGATAGTCAGCAGGGTCCCAGCCACACGATGGAGCGAAATGCATACCCGATTAAAACACTCAACGCTCCGAGCGGAGTCACTAGAATCGCGGGCGCAAATGCGTAGGCGGCGAAATTGGCGATTTCTCCGAGAGCAACTGTTGCGGTGCAAATGTTAGCGGTTCCAGTTGCGAGGTCCAAATTGGATGTTGGTGATTTCCGTACGTGTGACGACACCTCCCCACCAGATGGGACTCTTCAAGTATGAAAATCCCTCGCCCTCGAAGCCGTGTTGTTCGGAAGCGTGCATTAATCCCTGAATCCAGCGTATTAGCATATGTATCTCTGCCAAACTTGTGTTCGTCGCCCATCGCCCATCGCCCATCACTCTTCGTTCCCAACCCAGGCAGCGATGTAAGGACTTGGGTCGGGGGTTTCCGAGGTTGAACGAACCTTTTTGGTGACCACGAAACTCGTGCCTGATTGTGAATCACGTTAGATGTAGTGTTCAAGGTGCTGTTGAGGAGTGGTGAGATATCTTACCAATGGCCATTGTTGATACGATGGCTAGTATTAGCCCGACATATCTATTCCGCGCGCATTGTTAGAGTCTGGCCACCTTGTCCATAAAACATCGGAGAGGATGGTCCGGGGAAGCGCATGTGCACATACTTGTCTGGAAGCATGTTGACGGTGGATTCTCTCTTAGGAGCCGGTGCTCCTACTTTCAAAAGGCCTCCAGTGCCAGCTATGAAGGTCGGGGGGCGGAGATGAACGGCCCGTTAAACGAAGGGATGCGGATGTAGCGCAGCGAAAGGAGCAGGAAGCGACCGAGGATAGAAAGAAACGACGAGCCAGCCCGAGATTTCTGCAGGAGATGTGATGAGTAAGGGGATGGAGATTGCGGGTGTTGTGCCAGGTGGTGAAAGGCAAGATTGGTGCCTGCGTGCGGTGGGGTTCCGTTTCGAGACTGGGCCGATCGGGACGCGTAAGAGAAACGGCAGAGCTGAAGGTGGTACTTTCCAGTTGGCCTTAGTTTTAATGCTAGCAATTGGTTTACTTTTTTTTTTTCCTTCTTTATTTAGCGGTTGAGTGGTTTCATTGAGGATTTTTGATTTGATTTTTACATTCAATTTGGCTTCTACTTTTTAAAACCCCGAAAAAAAAAAAAAAAAAGCCAAGGCCCGATGGTTAGGGTTGTGCATATCATATAAATGCTTGGACCCTGAAGTTCTTGGTCATTAAGTGGCGATCGTCGTTTCACGATCTCACACACCACCGCTTTCGGCTGTTGACTATACTTAGAAGTTAGAGCCATGTACGCCATGGATCCACTAATGAGCTTTCGGGGGAAATGAGTTGAAATTAGATACCGGATACTGCTATGTGGGAACTATGGGAAATGAGAAATGAAACCTTTCATTCTTCCACTCATACCGTAAACACTCTAGGGATCTACAGTTGATTTCATATTTCCGGGTGATGCACGCATAATTTACTTGCCACATCCTGTACATAGTAAATTGGAACGTTCAAGGGCTATTGTTGTTTGATTTTAGAATCATACCTAAGAAGTCGAAGAAAGCACTTAAGTATTTCATGAGCAATTAATTATGTGTAATTTATAGATGACAAGTTTCAATAAAGAATCAAGAATTCCATTTTCGGCACCAGATGGTATGTAAGAATAGAGGATGCTTATTGCACCCTTTACGCCAGATCCAATGTGAATAGAAAATTGCAATGCACGCTCCAACCAAAATCCACCATCAACGCCGAGCTCAACTTTTGGATCAAAATGGTATCTCGCGGGAACAAAAAAAAAACAAAGAGACCAGTGGGCATCCCGTAACAATACACGAAAAGAATACATAACATGACAAAACCAGGTGTTGTAAGGCTATCTCTAAACGCCCCGGAATGGCGTGGGAAGAAAGAAGACCCAAAGGTCAAAAGAAGGGAAAAGTATGGGGGTTATTGGACTTACCTAGCTCTCATCTGTGGCGTTAGAATTCCAAACAACTCCACGGGTCGTCACCGTTGCTGAAAATGGTCAGAATTAGTAGTGTCATGCCGAAACTGGTGGAAACAGCAGGGCCACGACATCCAGAAAAGATCGGATCTAGGCCTGTCGACAAAGAGAAAGTTTAAAAGACACGTCGTGGCCGAAAAAAAAGGAGAAACGTTGATTTACGAAGGTCGCCGACGCTTGATTTCGGGGGTGGTGGCTTCCGTGAGTTCCCACTCATCATCCTCCTCACGAGACCGCTTGACGGTGAGGTTGTCAGGAGCATGAGGGTCAGTAGAAGAGGGATTTATTTCACCCAACTCGGTTTCCTCCTCGGCATCCAATTCGGGATCATAGTTGTATTCGTCTTCGTAGGATTCCTGATCATCGCCGTCGTCCTCAAACGTGGTAGCCATAAAGTCGTCCCCAAAGTATTCGTCATCGACATCATCGGTGTTCTTGGATTGATTATGCTGATCATTCTTGGCAGGACTGATTAAATCCTCAGCAATTCCAAGGAGGTTATTCTCAGGCTCTGGGGTTTGCTCCGGCAAGGGATGTTCTTGAATCTCCAATGTGGATTCTGATTCCTGGTAGATACCAGGGTCGGCAGTATCTTCAAGGGCACGCTCGGAGTCATGATCATCATACGCCGGAACTTCCAGGTCCTCGGTGGCGTCTTCACCATGCTGGGAGGTGGATTCAAGGCCTTGGGCACCACCCTCATGAACTTCGGCATCAGATTGCGGAATGGGAGCACTAAGGTCAGCCACTTCCAGATCATCAGCACCAAGGAGCTCGTCGTCATCAAGCTCTGCGTCATTAGAGCCTTGGTTGTCCTCGCCGGTGGCATGATGCTCGGAATCTTCCTGAGTGACTTCCACGGATGCTTCCAGGGATTGATCGTTTGGTACAGGCAGCTCGGAATCGGGAACCACTGTGCCAGTAGACTCGGTTTTTGGGCCCTCGGGATAGTCCTGTTCTCCACTATGACCCATATTATCATATCGATCGTCTTGGTAATGATCTTCTCCGTCGTATTCTTCTTGGTAAGTCTCATTAGAATGCAAACCAGGTTTTAGGTTGGCATCAGCATCAGTGAGACCGGACTCAATGTGAGCTTCATTCACTACGCTTTCCGAGTTTTCGGTTTCCCCAGAGTCATCTTTTGCGTCTTGACCGGGCAAGTTTGTTTCATGAGGGGCAACACCCTCATCAGGCACGCCAGACTGATCAGTCTGCTGATCCTGTTTCAATTCATCACCTGATTGCTCATGAGTGTTGGCAGTCTCATCGGTGGTAAGAGGTTCTTCGTCATAATCAGCCCACAGTTGGATCTGAGAAAGGCCTTTGCCTTCTTTGGCAGCGGTATCAAGACTGGCTAGTTCATGATGAATAGCGGATCTGCTGGAAAGGTTTAGATACAGAGCGTCTGGGTCGTGGATTCCATCATTATGGCAAAGGCGAAGATAGATATCCAAGATCTGATGCAAAGTGATTTTGGATGTATTCGAGGAGTCCTAAATGCGAGTTAGCACCTTGAATCCAATAGATATTGAATATAACCAGTTAGGAGTGAAACATACCTCTGTTATTTGAATACCAAGACTATCGATATCAATAACGAGAGTATCATGCTCGGCAATATTATCCAAAAGCACCTCACGAAGAGAGTTGAACAATCTACCAACGTTGTCATAGGCGACACCTTCGTCATGGAGGAAAAATGTTTCCGCCGAGTCTCCTTCTAATGGTGGGAACAAGGAGATCTCATTATCCTGATAAATGACCTTGACAGTATGCAGAGACTCGTCATCATGAGCATTCTCATGCTCTGCTTCGTTTGAAACATGGGTCTCTTCATGCTCAGCTATCACAGGGTCTGTCTTAGGCGAAAGGGCCTTGGAGGTTTCCAAATCTTCAGTCTGGCTCTCAACCGGATGATCGGGAGCGTGTGGCTCTTGGACACCCGGAATCGCGCTTTCCGTGACTTCGTTAGTGTCCTCACCAAGCTTGGTTTCCTCTTCCAGTGCGGTATCGTTTTCATTCTGGATGGGTTCGGCAATTTCCGGTGGCTGGATTTCTTCGTTTTCAATATTTTCCACATCTCCAACTGGCGCTGTTTCTTGCAAGGATTCACTAGCTTCGAAAATGGGCTGCTGCTCAAGCTCCGCAGGGAGGATGCCTGAGGGTGGATACTGAGTTTCCTGGCTGTTTGTAATGGCCGTTTCCGGAGCCAGCTGGCTGGGCTGGCTCAGTTGGTTCTCAATAACAGAGGTAGGCTCAATATTGATACTAGGAACAGCGACATTGGGGGTTTCATCGGTATCACCTTCCAGCATATCTGCCTCGTAGGTTATATTGTCGTCCTCATACTGGACTTCAATATCATGATCTTCATCTGCCAGGGGATCGATATCAACCATGGATCCTTCGGAGGGTTCATCAACCATGTCGGCATCGTCTGTCGCGTCATTCGGAAAAAGAGATGGTTGAGAGGTGGGTTGAAAATCATCCGCACCCATCATGTCGCTGTCCATGTTGGATACATGATCCTCCATAAGATCGATATCGATATCAAAGTCATCAGCTTGCCCTTGGTATGGCGAAGCCATCTCAAGGTCCTCGCCAACAGGGATCTCCATGCCGGAAGGAAGTAGGGAGGAGGTCGTTGTCATGACCGACTAGAAACGCGTCGAAAGTTGAGATAAGGGTGCGTGTCGCGAGAATCGGGGGGTACGGCGTTTAGAACGTCAAAAGCATGGGGGGAAGCGGGGAGTTGGTGAAATTCGAAGTGGTTGTAAATCTTGAGTAATAATACTAGTATGAATCACCTTGTTTTCGGAGAACGAAGTGAGACAATAAAATGGGAAGTACGATATAATATGGGGAAGGAGTTTGAGGAATACAAAGAGAAAGGGAAAAAAAGTTGCTCACTACCTGACAACTAAGCGAAGGGGGGAGCGGGCGGTGAGCACGGACCAGGCCGTGAAAGAGAACAGAGTAGCTTGCACTTGGTGGTCTAACTAAACACCAAACAGGGGCGTTGTGATTCTTGATTTCGCTCTGAATACCACCACCTCAGCGCTTTGACATTGGTTTCCTTTCCCTCATAGCCACTACTACTTCCACAAGTTTCACAATGGTAAATCTATCCTTGCCCCCTTTCTTCCTTTCCAGTGTCCTTCCCCCCGCAATGACTTGAACTAACCCGGTCTACTCTCTTGACAGGTCGTTCTTGCAGCGTCGATATGCACTCGCGGAGGCAAGGCAGTCCTGTCGCGCCAATTTCGCGAAATTCCCCGGTCGCGAATTGAGGCTCTTCTCGCCTCGTTCCCTAAGCTGGCAGACTCAGGAACTCAACACACCACCGTCGAGCAAGACAACGTGCGCTTTGTCTACCAGCCTTTGGATGAGCTGTACATTATCTTGATCACCAACCGCCAATCCAACATTCTCCAGGATATCGACAGCCTGCACCTCTTTGCTCAGGTTACCACAAGCATTTGCAAGAGCCTAGACGAACGCGAGATCGTGCGCAATGCATTCGAGTTGCTAAGCGCATTCGATGAGTTGGTGACCTTGGGTTACCGAGAGAACTTGTCATTGTCACAGATTAAGACATTCCTGGAGATGGAGAGTCACGAGGAGAGAATCCAAGAGATTATCGAGCGGGTAAGCTTGGATCATGACACGGCGGCTGATTTTAAACTGACACCAGTAAACAGAACAAGGAACTGGAGGCTAGCGAGGAGAGAAAGCGCAAGGCGAAGCAATTGGAAATGCAGCGCAAGGACGCCGCTCGTTCAGGCCGTAGCGCAGCCCAGCGGACCCCATCGTATCCCGTTTACACACCTCCCGCCCGCCCATCGGTGCCCGATACATATGATTCTTATGAGGCAGAGAAGAAGAAGACTTTCGCAAAGTACGTTTGGTTGTCGCGCAAAGGAAACTTATTTGAGCATGGAGTTAACAGTGTGAATCTATTAGGCCTCTCCCATCACGCGGAAAGGGTATGCAACTTGGCAAGAAGTCCAAGGCAACTGATATCTACGAGAAGGTCCGAGGCGATATGGGTCCCGAGCCCGAGGAGGACACCCCGCTGGTTACACCCCAAGTGTCTACACCAGTTCAAGAACCCATTTCAGCCCGTGAATCCCTCACAGCGGACCGCGAGCCAATTCATTTGACCATTGCCGAGACAATTTCTGCAACTCTTACTCGTGAGGGTGCCTTGAAGGAAATTGAAGTCAAAGGTGACCTTCAGCTTCGTATTTCGGACCCGGCCTTTACAAAATTGCGTCTCGATCTACAGGCCAACCCCACCCATGGTGCTCAGTTCCGAACCCACCCCAATGTCGACAAGGCCCTCTTCACCAGCTCCTCTATAATTCAACTAAAGGACACCTCCAAGCGATTCCCCACTAACAACGCGATCGGTGTTCTTCGATGGCGTGTGGCTAGCTCGGCCGACAATACTGATGTTCTCCCCATTACATTTACCGTGTGGGTGAACAAGGGCTCCGACTCCACCACCGTCACTGTCGAATATGAGCTCACTGGTAGCGACAGCCTGCGCGATGTGGTTATCACCATCCCATACGGTGACTCAGAGCCCGCAGTTGCTAGCTTTGATGCGGTATACGAGGTCTCGGGTGACAGCCTTGACTGGAACCTCGGTGCCGTTGATGAGTCGAACCCCAACGGTAGCTTCGAGTTTGAGACTACCGACGGTGACGAGGATCAGTTCTTCCCCATGAGCGTTCGGTTCACAAAGTCGAAGCCATTCGTGGATGTTGATGTCACTGATGTGTCGTTGCTGGAGATGGAGGGTGAAAGTGCCGGCTTCTCTAAAGACGTTCGCAGTGTTGCCGAGAAATTCGTGATCGTTTGATCGTGAGAGTGAAATTGTATAGAGTCAGCTACTAATGACGTTTGGATTGTGGTTTCCTGACATTTTTGCTTCTAAGATCGTGTTCGCAGCCCGTTTTCTTGTTTTTAAAGACCTTTGCCTTATTTCAAGGCTGTGTCTTCTTTCTACCAAAAATTGACACATTTAACTTATTACTCAGAACTTTCCAAAACTACCTTGACGATTTTTCGATTTCGGTTTCGGTTTCGATTTCGATCTCTCGGTCAATTCTTAACATCTCCGTAACTCAATCGCTATATCCGCAGTGATGAAAAAGTCCGATCATCCCGGTGTAATCCACGACGTCAATATTATGAACATTCGGAACCTTTAGCAGTTTCCAATCTTTTACTCGATGAGGATACCCCTTCCCAACAACTGAATCAAGAAACTTCCAGTACCTTGCCCCTTACCCACGGTTTGCTGTAACCATCATCGAATCAGGCATTATGAAGCTAACGAACGACCAGGGGACTGTCAACAATCTTCGACGCCACCACCTAAGTAACGTCAGATTGACTTTATGCGTTTGAGTCTAGGCCATGAATGCTACTTCGAAGGTAGTGCGAGCAGTTTCCCTAATCGGAAGGACCGCTTTCAATTAAACTGAATTGCAACCACGTCTGAAAGAAAGGCCCATCGCGATATTCCATACCTCGGCATTAGTGAAATCCTCCTAATAGCCGGTGAATTGGTGCTGATTATCTCCTTTTCCCAAATAACTGTCGGACTTTATAACCTGTCGGTTTCTTACACCGATATACAGGTACCGCAACCAGTGGATAGATGCTGGGGGATTGATTCCATGGTTTGACCAATATGTGGGCACAATCAGATCGAAAGCTTTGGGATGCAACCTGCACCGTTGGTTTAATTGTTGATGGCAAATAGCGTGATTGAATCAAGATGTGAAAAGACCTCAAATTCGCCTCATTGTTTATTGGTTCCTGGGGCGAATGAGCTGTTGAACGCTTGTTTACTTTGCTCGGTGGCTAAATTGACCGAACTTACCGAGATGCTCCCGAGCTGTCCGTGTCATTGCTGGAAGATCAAGAACGCAGAGTTTGGGTCGTCGATGTAGCCAGACCCAAATGAGTTCAATCCTAGCAAGGAATGTACCATTGCTTTCATATTGCGGATCTTCCAGTGGTTTTATAATCCCAGATACTCCCGTCACCAGGGCTTGCCTCATTGCTATTTTGATGCTGGCACTATCGGGGTTTGCCATTGCACATCCAAGGTATGCTGTTTGATTCAATGAAGAAACATTTGAACCTTGAGGCGCTATAGGCATTTCGGAAATCATACTGACGAGGCCTCGATCCAGTTCTGCAAAATCCGCTGGCATAGAATAATCTCTGTTCTTCATGATGAGTAGCATCTACCTTCCATCATGGACGGAACAGCAGAACCTATTCAAGCTATCGTGTACGGATGCGGAAACGTGTGACCAACTCACTAGCATGGTACGAGAATATCGCATCAAGAAAGATTCATAGCTTCATCTGATTTTATCCATCTAGGACACCCACATTTCTTCTTTGCAAAGGACAGACTCTGAATTGGGTACAAAAAAGATGGCCATTCCACGCCTTGCGGAAGGAACAGAGTCGGCATTTACCTCTCCTGGTCGATTCCACCGCCGACACGTCCGTCGAGCATGCGAGTCGTGTCGACAAAGAAAGACTAAATGCACCGGAGACAAGTCTGGGTGTCGCAATTGCCGTGAAGCTGGCATTATCTGCTGCTATACTGACGGCAAGCGAGAGAAGTCCAAACGGTGAGCAAGATCCTGCACAATTCTTCGATGATATGCCTCTGACTCATTTGCTTCATCTCACAGGCAGCTGGCCAGCTTATCGGCAAAGGTGAATGCTTATGAGGATGTCATCAAGAGACTTAGTAGTCGATTCGGTGTTTCCGATGAGCAACTTGTTAACATTGCGTTGACAGCAGTAAGCTTCGTGATCTCTTTCGAACATATTGGGTCTTTTCTCTAATAAGATTTTAGAGTGCTGCTCCGGACCTTACACTTAACGGGGATGGAAATGGCAATGGAGAGCAGAACACCTCTTTGGACTCAGAGCCTCCGCCATCTCGACACTCGCCCACTACTCCTATGGATCTAGTCGACCATACAGATGAAGACTTCAATAGAGATGAGACTGCTCGTGCAACTGGATTTATTGGTAAGAGCTCGGAAATAAACTGGCTCCAGAAGCTCGGTAAAGAGGTCAACAACGAGTCTGAAGGCTGGTCTGGAAGAATGTCAAACTCAGATGATGTCAATGGGTTACCATCTCCCACGTTGACGCCCCACCCGGATAACCCCGTTGATGCTCTAATGGCGTCTGCGAACTTTTATCTTGATGACATGGATATACCAGGTAAAGATAAAGTTGATGCACATGCTGTCCCGTCACGGGAGACTGCAACAAAACTTCTAAATGCGTATCTTACCTCGGTCCATCCATCTTTTCCAATCATTGGCGTTTCTACGTTCGTCTCTCAGTTCCAGGTCTTTTTCAGTCAACCAATGTTGAAGCCAGGAGATAAATGGCTAGCTATACTCAATCTAATTTTTGCAGCCGCAGCCAAATATGGACAGTTGACCAATGCGGACTGGAAAGAAGGGGAAGATGACCACGAGCTCTACTTTGCACGAGCAAGAACTTTGAGTTTAGAAGATCAGCTCCTACATCATCCAGACCTACAGCAGCTACAGGTTGAAGGTCTTGCTTGCTTGTACATGATTTCTTCTGGACACATTAACCGGTACCTAAATCATCCATTTCCAACTTGAAGGCCTATGCTGACCTCTTGCCTCAGAGCATGGAAATTGTCCGGAAGTGCCGTTCGAGGGGCATTGGCACTTGGCTTACATTTACGCAATGTGGGATCTTGTACCTCTGATACCTCGAAGGAGGTCCGTTATCGCGTCTGGTGGTCTCTATATAATGTTGACCATCTCCTTTCTGTCATGACTGGACGTCCGTCATGCATCATCGACAACTGCTGCACGACTCCACTTCCTGTACCATTCGACGAAAGTGACTTCCAGAGAGAAGAGGTCGCCCAACTAATCAGCACTACGGGAAGGGCCGCAGTCAGTCCTCTAGACCGGATGTCTCTCAGCAACAGTGCGGCAAGCCTCGAATCAAACGCAGATTCCGACACCAACGACACACCCATGGAGACCGACACAAAGATGAGTCGAGCAGAATATCTCAAAAGTCTACCGCCATGCGTGTCACTACACTTCCTCCAGTTGACATCCCTCAACACCATAGCCAAGCGGATGACGGTGAAGCTCTATAGCCCCGAGGCACTGCAAGCACCTTGGGCCAGCACCCAATTTACAATCCAGAGTCTAATGCTTGAAATTGATTCCTGGTTCATGAATCTTCCTTCGGCATACGACTTCACCTCTACACAGACCTCGCAATGTCCCCTGGGCCAACGAATGGGTCTAGCATTTTTATTTTACAGCACCAAGATTGGAATTACCCGTCCTTGCCTGTGCCGACTCGATCCATCGCCAGCCGAGGGCGATAAAACCCACGAGTTCTGCAGCAAAACAGCCGCGGAGTGTGTGGAGTCAGCGTGCCATATGCTGACCTTGTTCCCGGATACCCCCGATGCAGCACTGCTACACCGCATCTCTCCATGGTGGTGCACACTTCACTACTTGATGCAAGCAGCCACTGTGTTGCTACTGGAACTTGCCTACCGGGCGCAACATGTCCCCGAAAAGGCGATCATGGTATCAAAAGCAGCCAAGAAAGCACTGGACTGGCTCTCAACGCTATCCGAATCAAATATCGCATCCGAGCGAGCCTGGAAGCTTTGCAATGGTTTCCTCCGACGATTGGTTCCCGATGTGGAGATAGATATGGATGAATTATCGGGCAGCGACAATGAAGAGTCATCCGCAGCCTCTCTACTCGATGCAACAGATCTTGCTGATGCTGCTGCTTTCCAAGACGATCAACCCGTGGAAGAGATTGCGTTTGACTCATCTTTGACTCTACCAACTGCTGCTGCCACATCCGCTGCGGAAATTGCTGCGGAGATGGACTCCCTTGCTTGTTCACCGATGGACCAGGCTGGTACGTCGCTTGCCATGCCTGTATCCTGTAATCTTGAACCGGATCTACTGGACTTCATCAAGCCAGAGAAATCAGCTTCTGATAGAAGTCCCTACGATAGTTACTTCCCCTATGACCCTGCGACGGGCCAAATCACGGGCTCTTTTTTCCCGACAGGATCGAACTTGGATTTTGATCTGGGATATACCTGGCCTGATCCTGTTTGCTGAGTTGTTTGTTTCTCTACTCAAAACTTTCTTCACTGACGGTGATTGACAAGAAAGGAGTGCAATTGATAGAAGGTTATTGCTGTCGATCAAATTGCCATATCTGTAATTCTGCTGATTTATGATTTATTGTGATTTATTCTTGATATTGTATCAACTCACAAATAATTGAGGCGGGAAGGGAAAAGTTCGTCTTTCATGCGAAGATTATTCAAATGTTTAGAATGACAAGAATGCACTGCTTCCCTACACATTAATTTGCTAGGTCGCTTATCAAGACTAAATGGGTTTTCTTTATGTTATTGGGATTCAATGAAATGTTCAATAGGCTTGAGTTACTGCCCGATTCCTATTATCTCGATCTCAATGGTGATACTCGTGCGTAGTAACCATATTCTAGGGCTAGCCACAGCTGGAAGGAAGTCTAGACCAGTCTTTTCCTCGTACTTCATAGAACACCATCATTATGTCATATCTTCATGCCAAGAGTATGGATTTTGGGGAACTACAAGTGACGTTAAACTACGTGATAATTACAGAGAACAATTGAATGATGCGAATGCGCATAAATTACACATAATGATTGCAGGCATAAATGGTAGTACATGAGTTGTATTTCCTATGTTCAAAGGAGATTTCCTGTTTTAGAGTGTATGGGCTGCCGCTTTTAAAGTGATTAGTGAGGCGCGAGTCAGTTCAAGGTCGCGTGGCCAGTGACTAAGCGTCGGGGAAAAACAGAGAAAACGCGAAATTAGCTAATCAGCATTCGCTCGCCTATACTCGCCCAGAGTAGAAAGGCGTGGTAAGAGCCCCATAGATACCTCCATAAACGAGCCACATGGATCCACAAGCCAAGTTCGTTGTTGGATCTAGAACTCTAAAATTTCACCCTGAGACTGAAATACACACCAATTTGGCCGAGCTACGTTCCTGATCCGCTATCCGAAAGCTTTGAAATGGGTTGGAGCTAGCCTATTAGAGCAGCGTTCGCCTACTATTGCACCCTTTTTCCACCATAGAGTCGGCCACTCCGGTTATCAAGATCGGATGGATCATCTGTGCGGCGTCTCGTGAGATAGTCACAAAGCCAAACAGCAAGTTTAAAATAATTAAATGAAAGAACTTTCCTCCGGCTTTCTCCCCGTTCATCAGTCCACCTTGTCGCTCATTCTTTCTCTCTTTTTCGTTCTTTCTCATACCCCTGGAAGTGACATCTCCCTGAGGCCGATCATTCTTTTAGCGTCTCATAGATCACTCTAAAATGTTCTCTCGTTCTTTTTTCTCCTTTCTTTTCATCTCCAGCGCCGCAGCAAGAAATGCTTTTCAATTCGAGAATGATGATTATATCGAATATCATACTGTGAGTTGCCTTGGAAGTCAACTTGGTACGGCTGTGAGCTAATGGTGCATTTCTTTTTCGACTATAGTTGCCGAACCACCGTATAAGTAAATGGAACATCACTCACTACGATCGATCTGCAGTAGCCCCTGGCTATTGGTTCACTGCACCTTACTGGCAACATGATGGCGACAGAGATACAGGCCTATGGGTACCATACCAGATAGGGCCTCATATATTTGACGAAGATGGCGTTCGTGTTTATTCCTGTCTGCCCTCTATTGTTCTGCATACTGACCATTATGATCAGGTCTTGGTCTGGGCTGGCTCTGCGGAGAGCGAAAACAGGCCTTCCTTCGACTTTAAACCCATCGATCTAGCAATTCCAGGTATTCCCGAGTCTGAAAGACAACAATATCTATCTTGGATGTACTTCCACGAGCCATATGCCCCAGAAAGCAATGGCTCGGTTATTTTACACGACAACCATTACAACCAGGAGCGTGAGATTAGTTTGGCGTGGAACCAGATCGACACCCATGATTTCCACGTGATTGATCATGGGTCAAAGGCCCTTATGATCTCAATCAGCCGCGATGAACCAAGCTTGGTGGATTTCGGCCAGCCAGAGTTAACCGCACGAATTGATAACTCGGGCTTCATCGAACTCGATCTACTGGCTCAGGCAAACACGACCACTCACAGATTAGTCGACTGGAGTCCTCTTGGCAGGGTTGGCTTGGATGAGAGCTACGTGATAAATCAAACAAATATCTTCCCAGACTTCATGCACGCCAATGCTATCGACAAAAACAAGTACGGTGACTACTTGCTCTCTGCACGACACACAAGTACCATCTATCTAATCTCCGGCTTGGACGGTCATATCATTTGGCGTCTTGGTGGTAAGAAGAATGATTTTGCCAAAAACTTCAACTTTTTCGGCCAACACGACGCAAGGTTCATCTCCGTGAACGAGACACACTACGTCATTTCAATGATGCAGAATGGTGCCATTGAGGAAGATGTACGACAGCCTGTGTCGTCTGCTCTCCTGGTTGAACTGGATGTTGAGAACATGGAAGCGACCCTCCTTCGTCGGTACAGGCGCCCAGACGGCGGAAGCACCCCGCGCCGTGGAAATGCGCAGAGACTTCCCAACAGTAACGTCTTCGCCTGCTGGTCCGAACAGAGCTATGTCAGCGAATACTCGCCTGACGGCCGGCTACTTATGGAGGCCAGATTAGCATCCAAGCGACTCAATACCTACCGAGCGTACAAGTACCCTTGGGTTGGCCGTCCTTTGTACCCACCAACGCTTTTGTCCCAATCGCACGGTGTCAATGGGTCTGAGCTCTCGACAGTCTTCCATGTCAGCTGGAATGGCGCCACCGACATCGCATATTGGCGATTCTTTGCACACGCAAACTCGACCAGCAACACAACCGAAATTGGTCTTGTCCGAAAGGAAGGATTTGAAACTTCCTTCATCGCCAGGGGCTTTATGGACTTTGTTTCTGCTGAGGCCCTGGATTCCAACATGGTGGTATTGGGCAAGACTTTACCATCGCGCACTCCTGGTCCCGAATACTGGTCAGGCGAAACTTTACCCACAGCCGATGATCCTGTGCAGTTCTTGGTAGATCACAACATCAAGGCCCCTGCCTCGAGAGGCATCGGCGCACTCTTCGGACTTTTTGTCGCAGGAGTGTTTTCAAGTGCATTCTTGTGGGCCGTGTTCAGCTACAGGCATGCTCTGAATCGGTATGCCATCCGCTGCTATTCCAACTTGGTTTTGACCTCCGCGGGTTATTTGCCAATATCCACCGCAAGCCCTTTAAACAGCCCGAGTCCAGTGGAAGAGATCACATTCCTCATGGATAAGGCTTAATGTCTTATTTGGCTCTTGTATACTCTGCTGGACAAATTGCCGGCTTAACATCTTTATTTACTCGTATACCAAAATGGAGTTTTCAGCGATCTTTCAAATATACACCCATAACTTCCTTGGAAGTGCAACTGCTAGTATCTATCGTGCCAAAGCCGCCCTCGAGGTATCTACGTAGTGTACAAGTTTTAAGCCCAGGGAGTGCTCGATTTCTGAGATGTCATTTCTGCGCCCGAGTCTTCTAAGACTCACGTGGACTGACTATATGGACAACTGAAGTCGTTTAATGGATGTTGTCTGCTTCAATGCTAGGAGTATGTAAGGACTTCTGCTTGGGCAACCCAACGATCTCGGGAGCCGTGCACATATCTATCTCTTCATTGCTTGAGTATGGGGGCTTTTTTCCCTAGTGAAACATCAGCCATTGACCTTCCATACATAAGAGCGAAAAGGGGATATGAATTCATAGACAATCCATGGATGTACCTTCACGGAAATAATTCAAGGCGTAGAAGGAGAAAGTAAGAAGATGACAGGCAGCTGCGAGTGCATAGCAAGTCTGTGAAAATACATTCAGACTTGTCCAATCATCCAGTATTTCAGCAAAGCTCGTTTTGATCGGGTTCTTTGTCCCACAGCTTTGGGCTATCGCTGTGTTAGCCAATCAATACTCATATATCTGGATATGGAAAGGAGGTGGAAACCAACATACCATTCCATAAAAGGGCCAAGAAAAAGCCGCATAAACCAATAAGATACATGACCAACCCCATCCGCTGAGCAATCTTTTGGCCCTTGCTAAGTCCTGAATTGGATTTGTAAAAGGAGTAGCCAATTGCCGGCGCCCCCGAGAGTAGGGTAAGCAAAGACATGGTTAGAATTGAATACGCTGAATCTCTCTTTAATCTGTAGGCATTTTTAGCGATCAGTCAATCGCCACTAGGAAATAGTAACAACCCCACTGAGCACTTGGGCTTTGCACGTACCGTTGGAAGAGTTTCAAGGCTGGGATATCGAGATTCTCTCGAGATCTTAGACGGATTGGAAAAATATGGAACTGAGCTGTACTTGAATGTAGATTCCACAAAGTAAGAAGCAGCTTCGGATTGAATTAACAAACCGTATTAGTAGGGCACTTCTCGAGTGAGGCTGAAATTTGTCTTTCGGCTCCATTCGGGAGGGGGAGATAGGCCGCGCAAGCAAAACGCCAGGGTGGGTCTGCTAGCAATTGACTAGGATACGGACCGAACAGCGGACTGGATGGATACAAACTAGCTAGGCATTCCTATCATGAAAAATAAGAAAGGCCACGAAGCCTTGGGAGGAAAATAGAAAGAAGAAGTCAGCCTTGCCCAGGTGGAAGCCTAGTGGATGTGGCAGTGCCCTTCTCTAGCTCAAAATACCTAGAATTCCGTGACGTAATATCATGTACTATTTACTAGTAGATTACAAACTTGAATTCAAGCATTGTTTTTCCACCTTGCTCCCGGCCTATATCCGCGGATGGCTAGTACTTACTTATTCACTGATGTCGTGGGCCCAGGCACGAAACCCCATTCATCACTTCGTACGGAGTACACTCAGCCACCAAGACCAACAATCAACGGGGATTCATACCTCCCACTTGTGTTGACGAGCAGTAAATACAAGCCTGCATGTGGTATCATCTCTACCCATGGCCATAAGATTACGCCAGGGTCCATTTTCAGCGTTTTGGATTGCAAAGCCCGACTGGCCAATTTCAACACAGTGGGCCCTTGTGGTAGTCTTCCATTGTGTTGCTTGATGGGTGGATGGCTCCCGCCATTTCCCATAATCAACCCCGACAAGGCTCATCGGATGCAAGAGCATATTCTCGATATATGGGATAATCGGCGTGATTCGACGTTTTATCCCACAACTTCCATGATTGGGATCGACATGGTAGTCCGGGTACTCTTTTAAAGTTTTGAGGGTGGAAATTATATCGCATGAATCGAAGAGATCTGATTGATTGATCTGAGATTCTGAGCCTTCATTGCCGGGGTTGAAGGTGAACTCTGGATCAATCAAATTTGACCCAAGGAAGACTGATTTACTTCGCATGATGAAGAAGCGTACAAGCTGACCCGCTTGGAACACATCGCACTGGCTCCCGTTCGCCAGTCCTGCCTTGCATTGAAACTGCGGGGTTGGTTTGGTGTTGACATTCTCCAGAACGCCGTACGCACGTAGAAAGTATGCTTGTAAATCCACTATGGTGGCCATAATACACTGCCGTCGGTAATAAAGCTCCTCTATATAACATCACGCGGGTCAGCACCTGTTCATCAATTTTGCCAACAGAGTGTTTTTTTTTTTAGAATACCTTCGACTCTTTCAGGCAGATACTGCCATGCAAGATAGTCATCGTCGGGAAGATGTGGTCCATGATGCCAATACTTCGAGCCCAACAGTATAAGAGTATGAGTCATGACGCGGGTGATATCGTAATTTTGAAGAGTACTCGAGATCAGAATGATCTGCCTAATACGATCTTCACTCATATTCAAGAGTTGAGGACTAAAGGACGAGAATGATACGCTCCCTTTCTTTCCATATTGATAGCCCGAGGAACGAAGTAGCCTCCCAAGAGCCTCAGGCGAGTTTAAAGAGTCGGCAATTTGAATCACTTTCGCAATGACTGAGGTTGACTCAATTTTCAAAGCGTCTTCAAAAAGCTCCCTGACAGGATCATCCATAGATTCCAAGCACAGAACCTTCAAGAAAAGACCAAGGATATCTGCGCCACACAGCCTTATAGTTGAGTTTGGATTGATCACTACCACGGGCAGAGTCACTCGATTTGGGCTACCCTTGAGGCTGGCATGCGGTTTTGACTCGAGGCTTGCATGAATAGTTTTCAGTTGTTGTGCAAACTTTGCCCCTTCAGAAAACTTTTGTGGATGTAGCAAATTCTTGAAATAGATACTCTTTGTAATGAGTAAATCATGGGATACTTGCCAGAGCATGCTGCCTTTGTCCGAAGATGGATCAGCATATTCAATGACCATGTCACCATTGGGTGAAATTATTATTGGAGAGATTGCATTGCTTTCCATATCCTCGAAGCCTGCAGGAATCACGCCTGATTTGTTTGAACCATGGTCGATCACCAAGACAGACTTCCGGGGACCTGTGGACTTTGGCGGTATTTGTGAAAACAAAGCTTGAGCTTTCGGTGCCATGGTTGTTCGAGATATTCAACAACAATAATCAATGAGGAACGACAATTGACGGATGTGATTGTAAAGAAAGGTGTCCATTAGAGATTGAAGAAGGGAGTGTGAAAGGAAGAAAGGAAAACAAATATGCAGACGCGTTCAAGCAATTGGCAGTTAGTACACATAGTGCTGAATAGATCACTGTTCAGTGTTAAGCACTGGTGGGGCACGTGCTTAACAATGCTGATGTCTCGGAGATATCGGGGATTAGTTTTTCCGACGCCATAACCGAAAGGTATCTATGGCCTAATCCTTCAGGTGTAAATGGTTCCTTCCCTATTGTCGAGAGACTCAAAAGATCTGTTTATTTAATACAGGTTTGCAGGGGAGAACGGTAAAAAACCCCCCCTCTCTAAGGATCCTTTTATAGCGGAAGAAAAAAACGAATTGTCCTCTTAAATCTAGGCTTTTCCTAGTACATTCAAGGAAGTACCATATAGTCCATACCTACCCCAGGTCTGACCCGGAACAACCTTGGAAGTGGAATCCACGGGATATACGTCAAACTGACTGTTACTCACCGATCTGATTCTTATTTTCAGATTATTCTAATACTGCGCTGGTCAACCCTTAAAAATGGATACATGGATGGTTTTTGATAAAGCTGACATGCGCGGCCGCACGCCCCACTTCTCCGACCGATAATATCATAATTAACATTCGTGGCTGAGCGGCCGCTGTTTGTAGCGGCCGCTTACTATCCCCGAACCGAACATCGAGCACAAACATTCATCATCGGCTACTTTAATTATCAAAGATTTTGCAGCACAAGCCTATATAAATCCCCTGGGCCTCTTGACACGTCTTTCCCCCCCCCCCTTTCCCCCTATAACAATTTTCATACCCTCCAACGATCAAGATGCATATCATTCTTACTGGGGCAACAGGTCTCGTCGGATCTGGTGTTCTCCATGCCATGATTCAGAATTCGGCCATCAGCAAGATCTCAGTCCTGAGTCGCCGACCCGTTCCCATGCTCCAAGAGATCAAAGACGACAGAATCAACGTGGTTCTTGCTGAGGACTTTACCAAGTTCGATAACAAAGTTCTCGACCAATTGAATGGAGCAACCGGATGTGTCTGGGCTATGGGAGTTAGCCAGAACGATGTGAACAAAGAGTGAGCTTTCATTTATCACAAAGGCAAAGGTCGGCATCAAGCTAATCTTTGGCTAGGGACTACACTCGCATCACGAAAACCATGACCCTTTACGCAGCCCAGGCGTTCAAGTCCCTTGCCTCTCCGTCCGAGACATTCAAGTTTGTTTACGTCTCAGGGGAAGGTGCGACCCACGAGCCGGGCTTCACTACGCCGATCTTTGGCCGAGTCAAGGGTGAAACCGAAATCGCCCTGGCCAAGATTGAAGAGGAATCACCTCGTTTCCAGGCTATTTCTGTCCGCCCAGCAATGGTTGACTCCGGTGCGCATGATGAAATCAAACCCTGGGTTCCACAATTAGGTGCTTTCAAGCGTGTTACGTACGCTGGGCTATCACCAGTTATCCGGTGTTTTTGGCCAGGAATGCACAGTCCCACGAAGCCACTGGGAGCTTTCTTGACGGGAGTGGCTACCGGCGAGTTTGATGGGAAATTGACTGGTTCAGGGGTAGATATGGTTGGAAACTCCCCGATCATAAACAACATCGCTTTCCGTCGTTTGATGGCCTTGGATACTTCGAAGAAATAGGACAGGACTTAATTAATGGGCTTCTAATTTTTGTGGACTTTGTTGCGCATCTATGGTATATCTTTCATGTCTTTTTTTAATGAAAACTAGGTTACCCACAATGATAAAAGTCCAACCATCATCACGATTTCACGACAGGCAATCATTTCAAATGGCGGCGTAAAAGGAAGGATCAGCTTGCCTAGTCCCGACTAGTAGCTTACTACCCATGTCAGCTTCTGTCGGAGTTAGCGAGATGAACCTTAGATCCGCCGACGCAGAAAAGTGGAGAAGCGGCCGCTCCAGCCCGCTCCCAGGGCTTCCAGGTGCCAGTGGAAATAGGCCGCATATGTATCATTGCTGAATGCGAGATTCTCGTGAAAGTCATATCTATCCCCGGAAAATTATAAGAAAAATCCAAACATTCGAAGTCTAATAAGGGCGGATACCTAGTAGGTAAGTGATGATGTGAAGCAAGAGACGTGGCAAACTGGAACATTGATTACACCCATGAATAGACTAATCGATGTACTCAAGTGCTCTTATCCAATGTTACATTATGTATCTACTTCATATGTTCAAAATGTTACAGACACTGATTGATGATGTCTGACTTCGGAAGATCCACGAATCTGGGTCCATCAAACCCGTTTCATGGCTTCATATCCTTATTATTTTCCCGCACAATATTTGAACTTTTGGGATTATGACGAATATGTAGTATCCATAGTATGAATAGAACTTTCAATATCAAATCATTCGCTCCCCCAAAATAAAAGTGGTTCTCGCTTCCATTGAACGCCGGCCTGTGGGGAATTGGCACAAAGAACGATAAGTTTGCCGCAAGCCCACCTGCCCAGGTCCCATGCCTGATTTCCAGCCACGGATTGTTGAAATGCTTCCCAGGGTTGACATTAGCGAAACGACATTGAAAATTTTTGTACCGTAACGCCCCATCTATATTCAAAATAAAGGTAAAAATACAATGCGCATTGTGATGATGTTTGATGTGGTGATTCATTATTGACAGGACGTTACGGGCATTGAAGGTCAGAAGAAAAAGGGAAGGTCGGTGTGCTCAAGGAAGTATGACGACAGGAACTTGGAAGATAGTAGGACTGGGCCTGTCAGCGTCGTCCTCACGAGGTTGACGTTCTTTCTCTTGGCGACTAGCCTCGCGCATCTTCATGGCATGATCCATCATGAAGAACAGCTTGGCAGTATAATCAGAATCTGAGTCTGAGTCGATGGTATCTTTATATTCGTCATGGTATTCCAGAATGATCTCCGGGGGTATAAGAGAAAACAAGCCGAGGGTTAGATCCTGATCCATATATGGGGAATTCTTGAGCAGGTAGTCACCGCCCTCCTGGTTCCGATTGCCATGGCCGTCTTCGTAGGCAAGCTCCAACAGGTTATTGCCACGGTAATTGGGGAAGTATGGCTCGCTTGTGACGAACCCAGCGACGAAATCGGAGTTGGCGCATCCGGCAGCTATTGTGCTCTGGCGGAATTCGTGCGTGAAAGCCGTGTCAATGGAGCATGGTAAAAAGAGGGTCATGCCACGGGCGAGTAGAGGTGGAGGAGGGATGCCCTCGTCTGTTTCAACATGAGGCTGCATTGTTACCGATTCGGTAACAGAGATAGTGGATGACTTTCGCAAGATGTTCCCATTATTACCGCCGGTGAATTCGGGCCAGCCGTTTTTCGAAGGTGGAGATAAGGGGGGTTCTTCGTCCTCGGGGATCGAGTCGCTCTCCTGGGCGGAGATCTCGGTTTGAATGGTTTTGCTGGTGGCGGCTACAGCTGCGCGGGCAGCTTTGCGAAGAGACGGAATTAAGAGGTCTTTCTCTTGTTGATCATATGGCACGCCCGGTGCCCATGAGATAGCCAACCCCGACCATTGTGCAGTCCTCAATAATCCGCTGGTGTATTTGTGGTGAACGAAGTCGGCTAGAACCTTGCGGGTCTCTAGATTGGCTAACCCACGTCCCATGAAGTTGACTGTGGAGTTCAAAACTTGGCTACCCTCCCATAGTATGAATCCATGCTTTTTGGCGTAATATGTGACCTCGTCAATGGTATGTTGACCCCAATCTTCAATATTTTCGGCTTGGACTTGAAGAAAGGCGATGTGGGGACCGAGCTCCGAAGCAAGCTTTGCGAGCTGAGCCGTGGTTGAGATGGTGTGGGAGGGGTACGCGCAAACCGGTTGACCGAACGGAAGACCCTTCTTTACCGTAGTCAACATCTGGACATAATCCAAGATTGGATTGCCGGTAGCACTCATAGCTGTTGTCTCGCAATGATTTCTCTCGACAGGGATGTGGGATAGGCGCAGGAGAAATGAGGATGTGAGGGGGAGAGCGGAGAGGATGGGGGAGAGTAAAAAAAATAAAATAAAGAATAAAGAATAATAGGTCCCAGGTTGTACTGTAATTATAAGGAAAGCTGGGAAAAATCCACAGCGGGGCTAAATAAGACTCCACATGAACGAGTCAGGGCCACGTCAAATTGCCAATTTTGAGGAATTGCTAAAAGGGACAATGGCCCTTGTGCCCTGAGATTTTGGGTCCTTTTTCCTTTTTCCTTTTTTTTGGGGGGGGGGGCGATCTGGCTCCTTGCACCGGTTTAAGCGGGAAAAACACCGCTAAATGGGGAACCTCACAGCACTTCAGCACTTTTTTCAACTGTTATTGCCACGGATCTCCTGTCAATCAATTCTTAGAATTCTCTTTGGTGGAGCCCCGGTAAGCGACCGGACTGGCCAACGCGAAAATCGTATTTGTTTGGGTGCTTGCTTTGTGTTCCCCTCTTCCCTGTCAATGCACGAATAAGCGTTCTGGACGAGGCTCGGTGGCTCGAAAGGATTCACACTACGCAGGCGTCGATCCGGCGGTGGAAACCAAGAAAAAGATGAGCCTCTCTCGGTTGGACCGGGGATGAAGTATCCACTAGATTCGGTTTTCTGCGCGGATCGTCCCGTAGCAAAAGAGCAGAGCAAAAGGACGAAAACATGGGGAGATTTTTCGAAAATGTTGCATGGGAACAAGACACGTTCAACTTGTCAAAGTTTTTACCCAGGTTACTCTTCCTTCTGTAACCTTTTTTAGAGAAACCTACCACCTCGGTCCTTTCACGAGGTTCCTGTGTAATCTGATTATACTAACTTTCCCTTTGACATGTGCACTCGTACAAGTACCTTCAATGTTTCTCATATACTCGAATAACACCGCCTCTTTTTTACCCAATGCATCAATCTATTATTTCATCCTTGGGCATAGATATCCTAAAGAGGCGCTGCGCATCTATACTACATACATGTGCATATACATATGTATAGTTTTGGATATTTGGAATTCAGAGACTGCCTTGGATGTAAACCCTGAAATGTTTCTTTTTTTTTCATTGGCTTATTGAAGATTAAAAGCTGGGGTGCTGACCTTGTAAACTACAACCTCAATCAATTGATGTTGGAACCTTCCAAGGTTAGAATCCGCGTACTTAGTAGATAGAGAGGGGTAGTGTGACTACATTGTAAATCCAATAGCGGGCTTGTGGCTTCATGGCTGACATAGTTTGCATGAGTGCGCGAACCTATACCTCTTAGGGACTGCCCCTCGGGTTTATCGTTGTACAGCTCTGAACATTTGAAATATTGGTTTTTATTTCATCAACCGTGTACATTCAATCTTGGCTTGAAGACTTCGGGATGACCTTGATGACCTTTTTTCTATGAAAACGGCTTCTTCTAGGATGATTGCATCTCTTTCCAATCCTAACAACGCTCATTCGGTGGTCAGTCCAAATATTGTTGAGATTTGACTCCACTATTCCTCGGCACCTGTAAGAAAGCCATAGCCGGTTTTAAGCTAGTCGTGCGATACCATTATACCGGGCCTTAGCGCTGATCATTTATTGAGCGGCTCAAGCTTGCATTGAACCGAGGTGCGGAGGGAATTACCCTAGCTTTCCAAACGTTCGAAAGCCTGAGGTGAACCTTTTGTAGTGGCGATTGAACATTGAATGCTAGTACAGACTACTAGTATGTATACGTGCATTTCACTCAAGTGCTGTAGACGTCCTATCCCACATGTGCAAGTTCAAGATTATTTGCTAGACTAGTACATAACCAATTAACATCGAATTGTCCTCGTTTACATAAATAACTCTCAATTTCCAGCAAACTCCTCCACAGTCATGATCGCCTCCTCAAAGGCAATGCGAAATTTCTCCTGCGGTGCTAGTCCATGGTCCGCTCCATCGACTTCGATCAAGCGCACCCTAACCTTAACCCGCTGCAGCGCGGCCGCCAACGCTTGTGAGTCCGTCACCGGCGCCACTGTGTCGGCGGTGCCGTGGACGATAACCGTAGGTGGATACGAGGAGCTTATTAAGTCCAAGGGGGCTTCCGTGCCGATGGCTGCTCTTACGGAGTCACTGATCAGAGGACCAATTCGGCCTGGAGAGTCATCAATTATGTGTATAAGCGCCGACAATGGGAGTCCAAATCAGATAACGTACCCTGTTTTAGCAGCCACAAGAAAAGGGATGCCCGGCTACCAGGGTCCTTCATGTCCGCTTCATCAGCGGAAATATGCGGCCGTCCGGGCTGTAGATAGTGAGCGACGTTTTCCTCGTGTAATTGGCTGGCAGGGATGCCTCCCAGCACGGCTGATTCGGCCCGGCGACGACGATACCACTCGCCCTCAGTCTGTGCCATGCCCCATAGAGAAAGGAAGGCGCGTGGTTTGACTGTCTTCCACACTGAGAGAGCTAGGATTGACACTAAGGAGCCTGCACTCGAACCCCCGACAACGACATGATGCATATCAAGTCCTACTGCAGACTGCACCAACCACGCTTCTAGTTGGCGTAGGTCGTCGAGAATATCAACGATGCCGGCCTCCGGCAGCAGGCGGTAATCTGGGACAACGACCGCCCATCCACGGTCGAGCAGCAGTTTCACTGGTAGTGGCGGGAAGCGGCCACGCCGCGAGCCGCTGACAAGGCCACCGCCATGAAAGAAAATGAAGGTTGGCCGAGGGCTGGTGGGTTCAAGAGGGGCGGAAGCCACTAGGTCCAGCTCCACAGGTGGCTGAAGTGGGTTATAGATATGTACGGTACGGTTCATGTTTGTATGTATGAGATTTGAAATTTGGGATCTAAGACTCGGGAATAGAGCGAGGCTCGAGCTATAAGGATACCAACGGCAGCGATGTTGGTATAAATGCATACCAATTACTTTCATTTATATAGCCCAGATGGTGACTCAACACCGGGCTTAACGGGGAATACGGGGTTAAGCTGTGGTTGTGCACCGGGAATTAACCTCACCCTGATTAAGTACCTAACTAGTAGGTACCTAAGCCCCTGGAGCCCTTAAATTACAAAGGGTCCGGGGGTACTACTGACAGTCACATGCATGCAGCATGGGTATCCCAGTGGTGAATCAAACAATTTTGAATGTTAACTTGAAAGGCAAATGACTCTCACCTTTTTTCTTTTCTTTGAGAAAACAACCTGATCACATTGCTTGATCTTCACCAATTCCAAGAACTCCGGAAGTAGCCGGAGGTTGGCTGATCGAATAAACAAGAAGCAACATTTGAACTTTTCCACTGTTGGGCCCTTTCCAAGTTTGTTTGCGCCCCCAAAGGATTCTGCCAGGGCGGTCCGGGTTTGTCACGCCACACGCCTCCCCTGAATAAAAATATCCCGCGGGCCTCCGGAAAAAGATCTCCCAACACCAACGACTCTTACAGTCGTTCCTCTAACCTATTCGACTCACCTAAACCACCCGGCCACTTTGTTCGCACCCTACGCTTATAGCCGCGCATTCACATTTCCATCTTCAAAATGCCGGGACGGGTTCTACCGACTTTTACGGCCACCGAGGTCGAGGCGCATAACAACGCCAAATCTTGTTTCATCACCATTGGGCGCAAGGTTTACGATGTCACAGATTTCGTCCAGGACCACCCCGGAGGTGGTGACTTGATCCTCGACTACGCAGGAAAGGACGTTTTGGAGATCATGAACGATGAGATCTCTCACGAGCACAGCGAAGCGGCCTACGAAATCTTGGACGACTACCACGTCGGTTTCCTGACTCCGAGCGACTCTACTTCTAGCAAGGCCAAAGCTTCAGGATTGGAAGCCAGCGAAGACGACTCTATGCCCATGTATCAAACCACTGGAATGTCGCGCGAGGAGGATCTCTCGATCGAAACGGACTTTTCGCAAGATTTCAAAACACACAAGTTCTTGGATCTCAACAAGGCACTTTTCCCTCAGTTGTGGTACAGCACTTTCTCCAAGGAATTTTACCTGGAGCAGATCCACCGGCCTCGCCACTACAAGGGTGGAGAATCAGCCCCACTCTTTGGTAACTTCTTGGAGCCCCTCAGCAAGACTGCATGGTATGTGGTGCCTATCATTTGGCTGCCACCCGTCGCCTATGGCACTATGATCGGAACAGCGGGCCTGGGTGATCCTGTTGCTGGTGCGGCATACTGGTTTGGTGGTGTTTTCCTGTGGTCATTGATCGAATATCTCATGCATCGTTTCCTCTTCCACATTGACAAGTAAGCGATTTTCTTCCTCTTTGTTTTGCCACGTTGTACGACTTTAACTGACTTCTTTTTGCAGTTGGCTTCCGGATAACCGAGTTGGTCTGACCCTTCACTTCTTGCTTCACGGCATTCACCACTACCTTCCTATGGATAAGTACCGACTGGTCATGCCGCCAACCCTCTTTGTTGCCCTGGCCGCTCCGTTTTGGAAACTGGCCCATGCCGTTTTCTTCTACAACTGGTACGCGGCCGTGACTGTGTTCTGCGGCGGCGTCTTTGGGTACATCTGCTATGACCTGACCCACTACTTCCTTCACCACCGCAAGTAAGTTTTCGCATCTTACCCATTATTTGCGACTGGTTTTGCTGACAATATTTAGTCTTCCTTCCTACTACAAAGAACTCAAGAAGTATCACCTCCAGCACCACTACGCAGACTTCGAGAACGGCTTCGGTGTTACCAGCCGATTTTGGGATCGGATCTTTGGTACCGAGCTGGAGGCCTCGCCTGCCAAGGGCTCCAAGGCCCAGTAGAAAGCTCGTTTCAGGCCCGGGCCCAGATCATCATTGCAAAATGTGGCAGGCCCTTTCGCATTCACGAATTCACGTCGAATTTCTTGCTCTGCACGACCAAACGGTCGGGAGCGTGTACATGTCTGCCATGAATCATGGCAATAGTGGAGTTTTGGATATTGTATTACCTTCCTGTTCATGTACAGGTGACTCCTCTGGCCACGGAAAACACAGCAGAGGCAGTCGATTAAGCTATTCTTTAGTTATCACTTATTAGTGTACCTTGTCAATTAATCATAATGGAAGTCCCACCATATACTTACTAATCTCACTCCGTTGACCAAAGACTTCCAGCTTCTTACTTCTTACTTTCGTCTCTTTCTGTAGATCAGCCTATCAATTGGTATAATACCCAATACTTGAGTGCTAATCTTGGCGGCCTACCAAGACAATCTCTGGAAGGCCGCCATGGTGGCAAATTCAACGCCTAAGGCAGGAATAAAACTTTAATTTACCACGTGACTCTGCCAAGCCAGGGAAGCCCATTCAATTGACCCTCTTCTGCCTTCCATCTCTCACTTCAGAAACTGATCGCGACCAGAAGCTTCAAATCCTGACAGAAGAGCCTAGGAAACCGAATATACTTAAAATCCCAGCTCCTTTGATCCAGTCGCACCGTGACTGAGCACCATTTTACTACACCACAAACAAAGACAGGCAATCCCCACGATGTCGGGACTCGACGTGGAGGCTCTCCTCGAGTCAACCGCCGCCCCCGCTGAGGCACCAACCAAGCAGGAAGAGAACGATGATCGCTCCCGCGCTGACCCCTCTGAACGCCGTGATCGCGATCGTTCTCGTGATAGACGTCGCCGCCGAGAGCGTAGCCGCGACCGCCGCCGCGACCGAGATGTGGATGGCGATGAGGATATGAAAAGCCCACACAGCGAACACGGTAGTGCTAACGGAAGCCATAGAAGCCGGAAGAGGAGCCGGAGCCGTGAGAGCGACCGACGTCGCCCTCGTCGTGAACGTTACGATGAGCATCGCTCGAGTGGCGACTTCTACCGCGGAGGACGCAATCGTTCACGCTCGCCCCATGATGATCGGCACTACCGCCCCTCGCGAAGAGAGCGGGATGATGAACGTCGTCCCCGCCGCGAGCGTGACGGTCGTCGTAACACCCCTCGCCGAACCCCTAGCAAGTCTCCCGAACTGAATGAAGATGAGCGGGACAAGCGGACTATCTTCGTGCAGCAACTTGCTGCGCGCTTGAGAACGAAAGAACTGATGGCCTTCTTTGAAAAGGTTGGCCCTGTCAAAGAGGCTCAAATTGTTAAGGACCGCGTCAGCGGACGATCTAAAGGGTAAGCAGTAGCTTCCGTTTTCCACTGACTGCTCAGAGATAATAACTAACATGTGTTCAGTGTCGGTTATGTCGAATTCAAGAGCGAAGAATCCGTTCCCGGCGCCATTCAACTCACCGGCCAGAAACTCCTAGGCATCCCTATTATCGCGCAGTTGACCGAGGCCGAGAAGAATCGCCAAGCTCGTAATCCCGAGGCTAGCTCGGGCCCTCAACACTCCGCGCCATTTCACAGACTTTATGTGGGTAATGTTCATTTCAGCATCACTGAGAATGACCTCCAGAACGTCTTCGAACCGTTTGGCGAACTCGAATTCGTACAATTGCAGAAGGATGAGACTAGTCGAAGCAAAGGTTATGCTTTTGTCCAGTAAGATGCTCATGCCCTTAACTCACATCTTTTTCCTCTTCAAGACTAACAACGAGATAGGTTCCGTGACCCCAACCAAGCTCGTGAGGCTTTAGAAAAAATGAACGGATTTGATCTTGCTGGTCGAGCCATTCGTGTTGGCCTTGGCAATGATAAGTTCACCCCGGATTCGAATTCAACTCGTCCACAGGGCCCTTCTGCCAGTCAAACCAATTTCCAGGGCTCTTCCTTTTCCGGTCACGGAGGCCGCGGTGTCCAAGCCGGCGGATCAAACAATTTTGATCGCGCGGGTGGCCGAGAATCCGAGAAAGGCACCGGTGCTAGTGCCCTTGACGACACCGATGTTGCGGGAGTAAACTTCAACAACTACAGTAGGGACGCGTTGATGAGGAAACTTGCCCGAACAGATGAACCCGAGCCTTCCGCCGACGAACAACAGAAGGTGCTTCGACCCAAGACCGAGGCTAAGCCACTCCCCATCAACGTAAACATGGCGAGTCGGTGTGTAATGCTTCGTAATATGTTTGATGTCGCTGAGTAAGTTGCCATATCCTTTACCCCCCAAGTGAATTCTGTTTAATTATTACCATGGTCACTAACAACATCTTACAGGGAAGAAGGAGAGGCCTGGATCAAAGAATTGGAGGATGACGTTCGCTCCGAATGCGAAGAAAAATATGGTCATGTTGTTCACATTTCGCTAGATCCCAGCTCTCAAGGCGACATCTACCTGAAGTTCGACCGTGTACAAGGCGGCGAGAACGCTATTAAGGGCTTGAACGGCCGTTTCTTCGGTGGCAGAACCATCACTGCCCAACCGGTTGTGGACGCCGTATACAGCAGTTTGTTTTCGCGCACCAAAGCGATCTAACCGCCCTTCCTTCCACGCCTTGGGGGTTCTATGATAGTCTCTAACATGGCACGTTTTTTTCAGGCAGATCCCCTTTGGTGTCTTGTGTTGGGGCTTTCCGAATGATTCTGCTCCTGGTAGGTGCAAATTTCACATTGTGCACTCTTGTCTTTTGGTCCATCACGATGGACCATGCTACTCGAAATGATTTGTCTTTAGGAAGCGCTTTTTATTCTGAAAATCGTGAAGTCCTGCTGGGCGTTGTAATATGCACTGATTTCCTTTCCACTTCTTTATGCTACGAGTTTAACTGGTGACAGAAACTACTATTCGGTCTTTTTATATTGCGTAATCGTATAATCTCGATAGAAGCCTCGTCATGCCGATCGATATTCCAAGGTATAAGATCGAACTAAGACTATTGTGTGGTCAAATAATGCTAGAGCTCGTTTTTGTCTAATTACTTCGGACTAGAATTATCTTATTGTGAAGTTATGGTGGGTTATACGTGTGGATCCCACCACCAATAACATCTAAGGATTGTTTCTTATCACCTTCCCTGTTTTGACCAAATCGATAAGCTTTGCACAATCCAGATGTACCAGATGTACCAGAAGCTCCAAACATTCTCTTCGACATGCCAAGTCTCACCAGAAGAGGGGGTTTGTAGTAACATATCTTTCATAGACAGAAGTGCACCTCGTAGCTTCGCTAAGGCTAAACTGGTGAAATTAAAAAAATAAATACAGATAGAAACATTTGCAAGCTTCCAAAATCAAAGTTCCTGATGAAGCAACGCGTCCCGGAGCGCCGGAGATAGTAAGGCTTAGATAATCACAACTTTTATTTGGATTATCACCCCTTATCCATGTTGTATCTTCCTTCTCCTCGATTCCTTAGTCTCTCCCTTGAATCCGACTTCCTTCATATCACACAATGAGCGCCAGAACTCGACGGCAAAAGGCTGCCTTGGCAGTCAACGGGGAGGAGAGTGATGAGGGCAATGGTGCTGCGACCACGCCATCCAAGCGCACACCTTCGAAGAGACGGAATCGTTCTGCGGTGCGCGATGAGCCGCGGGAGAACGTGTTTTTGTTCTGGCCTAATCTGATCGGTATGCCTGCACTGGTTTGATGGTCTTCTGGATAATAGCTTCTTTGCTGACGTGGCTGTTCTCTCCTAGGGTACTCTCGAATCATCCTTGCTTTCGCGTCACTTTACTACATGCCCCTCCATCCTCGGACATGTTCCATCTTGTATAGCGTGTCTTGTCTGCTCGATGCCTTGGACGGATATGCGGCGCGGTACTTTGATCAGTCTACCACCTTTGGTGCCGTATTGGATATGGTGACAGATCGCTGCACCACATCGTGCTTGCTGGTCTTCTTGGGCTCCGCCTGGCCCCGGTGGGCTATTGTTTTCCAAGGTCTCATCTGTTTGGATCTGGCCAGTCACTACATGCACATGTACGCCACTTTGAGTATGGGCGGATCCAACCAGAGTCACAAAAAGATTGACTCCAGCCGAAGCTGGGTGCTCTACCAATACTACAACAGCAAGGTAAGATTCTTTGGATGCTTCCATGCGGGGTCTCTTTTTTGCTTTTTCTTTCTTTTTTCCGACTCCTGATCCTAACATACTGGTACTTTCAGATCGTTCTTTTCATCTGCTGCTGTCTCAACGAGGTCTTCTTCATCGGCCTCTACCTGCTGTCCTTCTCCTCGCCCACCCTGTCCCCCTCGCTTCTGCAGCCGGTCCCTGATGCCCAGCCATCTTCCGCCCAGCCCGGTAACCCCGCGCACCCCCAGCCCGGTAGCTTGTTTGCGAGCCCGTGGAGTGCCGGTGCTCTTGAGTTGGCTCGTGCCAACAAGATCGATAGCTTCTGGCCTTGGGTCATCACCGGTATCGCGGCCCCTGTTATGGCATTCAAGCAGTTTGTCAACGTTGTCCAGATGGTGAATGCTAGCAAGTGGATGGCTGAAGGTGACCGTGAGGCCCGTCGCCAGCGCAAGAGAAAATAAACTTGCCTCAGCTTTGCCCTTGAGTCATATAAGTTGTTCCTTTCTTACTGGCTCACAGCCGGTGGAACAACTCACTCTTCGGCTTATCTATCTTTCCACCCGCTCTGGGGTCATGCATTTCTTGGGAGCTTTGGTCTGTGATTTAAGGGGCGTTGAAATTGCTAGCGCCAGCAGTTGTCGCCTTGGCTTCCATTTGAGGTTCGTTGGTGGTTCAAATCCTTTTTGTAGGCGTCTTGGGTAGGATGATTGTTGTCCTCAGGAATGATCTAGATTCTGGATTCTAGAACCTTGTATAGTATTACATACGGGGTTGCGTCCTGTTCTTTCCCTCCCTCTTTCTCTATCTCTCTCTCTCTCTCTTCTTTTCTTGTTCCTACGCAATCCCTTTTTCTTCCAACTTGTTTTTTCCCCCATTTTGTGCCCTTTTTACCTTGATATTCTTAATGCAACGTTTATACATCATCATCATTCTATCAATACATGCGTGACTTGATACCATGTGAAAGAGCTAGAGAAAACTAGTGCCGCGGATAGCCGGGTAAATATATTAAAAAAATAAGCAATTTCCTCCCCCAAGCCGAGAGACATCTGGATGGTTCCGTTGTGGATATGTGATGTAGCGTTGAAGAAAGTGTGGGCTGCAGGTCGCCGATCTCGGAGTTGGCGGGGTCGACTTCACCCGCATCCCACCTTTTTAAAGCTCCCCCTTCGAACCAATTGAGTGCTTTTCTATAACCTATTTCTATCTAACTCAAAATGCCTGCATTCAACGTCGTTGTTTTTGGTGGTGACCACTGTGGTCCCGATGTATGTGACTCCCTATACAGCTAAGCTTGGCTACGATATGTGGATATATCGGAGGCATTGAGATGAAATGACTAACTTTGAAAATCAAAAGGTTACCGCTGAGGCTGTCAAGGTGCGAAAAAGGCCTACTTAAGATCTCGCCCGACGCGCCAATTCAATCTCTAATCCCCTGTACAGATCCTCCGCGTCATCGAGAAGAACCGTGATGTCACCTTTAACCTGCAGGACCACCTGCTCGGCGGCGTGAGTATACATACACGGACACACAAAAGGAACGAGGCAGTTTTATAGCTAACCGACCAAAAGGCTTCCATTGATGCCACCGGAACTCCCCTGACCGACGAGGCTCTCAACGCCGCTAAGAACGCCGATGCCGTCCTTCTCGGTGCCATTGGTGGACCGGTACATTTCCCAACCCTCTGAATCTCAACAGTCGCCCTGAACGAACCCAAGATCGAAGACTAACAATTGCCTCCAACAAACAGAAATGGGGCACCGGCGCCGTCCGCCCCGAGCAGGGTATCCTCCGTCTCCGCAAGGAGATGGGCACATTCGGTAACCTGCGTCCCTGCAACTTCGCCGCACCCTCCCTCGTCGACAGCTCCCCCCTCAAGGCCGAGGTCTGCCGCGGTGTCGACTTCAACATTATCCGCGAACTGACCGGTGGTATCTACTTCGGTGACCGCAAGGAGGACGACGGCTCTGGATTCGCCATGGACACTGAGCCCTACTCCCGTGCTGAGATCGAGCGCGTCACCCGTCTCGCTGCCAACCTTGCCCTGCAGCACAACCCCCCTCTCCCCGTTACCAGTCTGGATAAGGCCAATGTCCTCGCCACTAGCCGTCTGTGGCGCAAGGTCGTGACCGAGGTTATGGCCAATGAGTTCCCCCAGGTGCCCATTAGCCACCAGCTTATTGACTCCGCTGCTATGATTATGATCAAGAACCCCCGCCAGTTGAACGGTATTGTTGTGACCAGCAACCTGTTCGGTGATATTATTAGTGACGAGGCGAGTGTCATTCCTGGTTCTCTGGGTTTGCTGCCCAGTGCTTCCTTGACTGCTGTGCCTGATGGAAAGACCAAGGTTAACGGTATTTACGAGCCTATCCACGGTATGTATTATTTTATTTCCTCTTGTTTAGATTCGTCAGACGATGTGTTGGGTTTCTGAGTACTGATTGGTAAAATTTGCAGGATCCGCTCCCGATATTGCCGGCAAGGGCATTGTTAACCCCGTTGCTGCTATTCTTTCCGTCGCCATGATGCTGCAGTACTCCTTCGGCATGTTCGATGACGCTAAGATCATCGAGAAGGCCGTTAGCAACGTCATTGAGGCTGGTGTGCGCACCGGTGATATTGGAGGCAAGGCTACCACCACTGAGGTTGGTGATGCCGTCGCTGTTGAGTTGGCCAAGCTGCTCCAGTAAATATTAAAAGCAACTTTGGCTTGAGTCTTTTTTTCAGTACATGATATGATGAGTCTAGAAAAAATTGAATACCCTTTGGACCTTCTAGATGGATGATTTGCTTCGATCACATACTTGCCTTCCTTTGTTTTCATTCTTTCCAAAAATCTCTTGTGCCGTAGATCGTTTGTTGAAGCAAAAAGCAATAAAGCCCCAATGCCGAGGCAATCAATACGACTAGTAGACATTACAATTGAAGCAGCCAGCGCTACTCATCATTAATATCAAAATCTCGCCTGATCTTCACGTCATTCGATAATTTCCATTCATCTGACCGTTAAAAAAGCCTGGACTTGGGTATCTTTATGCCAGAAAAGAAAAGAAAAAACTCCACATATCAATCCGAAACGCCCACCAGGATACCCCGATTTCAGTAATCATCGAATAATAGGCTCACCCATCCAATCTGGCTCATCTAACCCAGAAGCCGCGCCAATCCGAGAAGTGTCAAGATCCTCACTTGCCATGCTCGCAATGCGTGCATTATTGGGATCGTTATTGAAACTTCCCCGCAAAGACTGCCGAGCACTATAGCGACGATGGTTGTGATGACGACCATCAGCAGACGCACTCGGAGCAGCAGCCACACGACGACGACTCTCATCACAAGCAAAGACCTGGAAGCCACGAACGTGTGTATCTTTGCCGTTCTGGTGGTTTTCCATAATTCGCACCTGCACCACCATAGCCTTGAGAACATTGCCGCAGTACGGATCTAGTTCGTCGCCAATCGGATCTACTCCATCAAGAGCTTCCCCATCGGATGGCTCGCTATCCTGGTCATTGTTGTCTGGTTTCTGGGACTTGCGACGAGCATTCTTGGCTGCGCGTTCTTTTTTAGAGAGGTTCTCTCGGACCCAGCCTCCGTTTCGTCCGCCGACGCCTTCGAGGCGGATATCGACCCAGCCGCAAGGTCCATCATCTTCCCAAGTGGCGAATTCGACGAGGTCGTTTCCGCCCATGCCAGCTAGGAATATCATTTTTGTGGGGGTGTAGCTCTCGTCGAGCTCGAAATCGAGGTATACGCGGAGTTTGACAATAGCGACGAGTTTGAAGAAATGCAGGGTCAATGTGTGTGGCTGGGGACCATCTGACTGCCAATATTGCTGCGGAGAAGGATTGCGGAGAGCCGCGACACCACAGCCAGGTTTGGAGGTGGAGACGGTCCAGGATGCGAGGGATGAGATCTCGCGGAGATTGGGTGGCAGGGGCGATGGGGACCGTTCTGTTTCAGCAGTCAAGTTAGTTCGTGGGGTTACTAGGAGGAAGGCAGAGTCCGTACCTTGATCGTGCATTTCTTCATCGCCTCCGAGATGGTCTTCCATGAGCTCCTCATCTTCCTCCTCAATTTCCTCGTCATCCATCTCTTGCGTATCATCAATGTCGTCCTCTAGATCTCCTTGATCTTGGCCTAGCATTCCATCGTCGTATTCCCCTAGTTCCATATCCTCTTGAGTCTCGTCGTAGCCATCGTCTCCGTCTTGAAAGGAATCCTCGACATCGGCCAGTTGAGGTGGAGGAGGTGGTGGTGGAGGAGGAGGAGGAGGAGGAGGATTTTGGGGCCTTCCCCGCCCAAAGATACTAAAAGGATTCGGGTAGCCTGTCGGGGGCGCCATCGCAGGCAATGGATCTGGAGTTATCTCATAGGAGCCAGAGGAAGGTATGAGTCGGTGGGTCGGATTGGTTGGGGTATGTCGCGAAGGCGGAGTTTGGAATTGTGTGCGAAGGCTAGGGGCGTTTGGCCCTTGCGCCGGCAAATCATGTGGATTGGGCTGTCGGCGAAGGTGTGGCATGGTGAGAGGTCACATACGTGGGGAAACTTTGCGGCGGAAGCATGTTTACTCCGTACAGCTGCATTCCCCGTTATGGGTTAGCGCCCTTTAACTTAGTCTTCTACCTAGTACCAAGTAACCAGACTACTCGTAATTTTCATCAACACCAACAAATTGACAAGATTTGATAACACAAGCCATTTGAAGAAGGTAGTTTAAAAAAGAAACTATTCGCGCTGGCTACATCGGAAAAATTCAATATCTACTCCTCAAGGGCCAAGACCCTTGAATCTTGAATCTTGACATACTCGTCGATCGCTTCATCACGTCATGAACTACAGAAGAATAAGCCAGGAATCTTGATTCAGACAATCGCCACTTGAACAGCTAACCTTGGAATGAACTCACAGTTGTTGCAACTTGGAGAAGAGCTTTCATAGATGCACGCACTCCATTTTCATCTATTCCGATGCCCCAAGCAGTACATGAGGTGACATCTGAACACCTCACATAGGAGATAATCGCTTTGCCCGATACCAAACCATCCTCGACAAGCTTCAAGTTGATGGCGGAATCATGTTCAATATAGGTGGTTTCGATTTCGAGTATCTCAACAACCAGACCTATCGAGTGAAGAAGAGATTCATTCAAACATCCTATTGCTCCGTTGCCGATACCCTGGGTCCAGAATGACTGCCCATTGACCTCGATGTGGCCAATCAAAGCAGTGATGATCTCTCGTCCATCTGTAGGTGAGGGGTTCTCGTGATCCGTAATCTCATAATCAGAAAGGGAAAGTTTTCTTTCTTTTGGGGTAGACGCAGCACTAGTCTTTGATCCAAAGTTCCTCTTGCTTTCTGTTGGGCCTATGTAGATCTCAAGAAACCTGTCTGTAACCGTTTTAGGGCAAATAAGTCGCTCCGCGTCATGACAGCTGCTGTAGAGCTTATCGGTGAACTCATATAGTAATCCCCAAGGTGGACTGAGGCCTAAAGTTTGCTGGATCACCCGTTGAGTGTTTTGTTGTAACATATCAGATGGGAGCATATTGGGAATCAGCACTATCGGAATGGACAAATGTGAACATTGGAAGATGGTATCAAGCTGACTTTGAAGCCATTCAGAACAGGCTCTCAAGACTTCAAAGGAAGTCATCTCCAGTATTCCCGTGTCGCACCGTCTTTTCATATAATTCCGCCATCGACCGTCACTACTACAGTAGTACGTACTAAGATATGTTCGTCGATAGATCGGTTCTACATACGTCATATGTATGGATCCTGATTTGGTCTGTACTCCTCAAAATCATGCACCATTGTATAGATCGAGAGTAAGGTGATCCCTTGAATCGATTGAAAACATTGAAGGGAATATTGTGTATCGACCGATTCCGTACCCAAACGCTGCAGATCTATGCGCGCCACACCGAAACGGGAAGACCCTAACTTCTACTCGGGCGATCTGCATTGCATGTGTATTTTGTTCTTCAAAGTTCCAAATGTTTGAAAACTTTCAAAGGCATATCATTGATTCTAAATGGATCATCTCTAAATTGTCCGTCTGTCGATCGAAATCTGTGACGATTGTAAATTGAATGATGCCTATCCAGATGTTCCAGTTGTGGAAAGACCGCTACTAGTATGTAGTAGAATCGAGATAGTGTATAAATAGGCAGTCAATACACATCTTTAGCTTCGAGTCAACAATAACCTGTGCTCAGACTATCTTCATCAAGATCAATTGTCTCAAAATCTTCATTCACCCCCAAGAAAATTCATACAAGATATCAACATGCACCTCGCAGAGGTAATACCCCCGAAAGCTTTCTTTCAAATATTTATTTCATTTTGGAAAATTTCTGATAGAAACAATTAAATACTGACTGCCATGCTTCTTCTGTAGTATCTCTTCCGTCGCATTCACCAGCTCAACATCAGGGCCGTATTTGGTGTGCCGGGTGATTTCAATCTCACTTGTCTCGATTATGTTGAAGAGTGTGGCCTGGATTGGGTTGGCAACGTTAACGAACTCAATGCTGGTGAGTCTTCCCAAAGGGAACAAAATACCTACTCGCGACTCAAAAAAAAGGCTGAACATAATGAAGGTTATGCCGCCGATGGCTATGCACGTGTCAAAGGAATCTCAGCCCTCGCCACTACCTTCGGGGTTGGCGAGCTCTCCGCCCTGAATGCAATTGCAGGCGCCTGCGCTGAACTTGTTCCCATAATCCACATTGTAGGGTTTCCGTCATCCGCTGTCCAGGAAAAGAAGCTACCTGTTCATCACACTCTCGGAGACGGTGACTATGAATTGTTCATGAAAATGAGCGAACGAGTCTCTAGCGCGACCATCCTTATGAAAGATCCACTGAAGGCGACCAAAATGATTGATGATACAATCATTGAATGCTATCGCTCCAGCAAGCCAGTTTTCATTGGATTTCCCATGGATCTTGTCAAGGCTGATATCGATCCGTCTCCCCTGGAAACACCTTTGCTACTGCATCATTCGCTAACAGGCCCAACGTCAGCAGACGAGACTGCCGTGAAGACTATTCTAGAGCGCTTGCTGAAGGCTCAGAAACCCGTCATCATTGTCGACAGTCTTGCTGGTAGATATGAGGGTCTACATGCTACTCGTACGTTTGTCGAAAAGTCCAATATGCCCTGCTTTGCTTTTCCCATGGCAAAAGGCATAATCGACGAAAGTCTACCCAAGTTCCGCGGAATTTACGCTGGCAACGTGTCCAACCCGGGCGTGCAAGAAGAGATTCAATCAAGTGACTTGATTCTTCTCATCGGACCTCGTCCAACAGACCTGAATACCGGTGGCTTCAAGAGTGACGTTTCAGATGTAGAGACTATTGTTTTTCATCGGAATACAGTGCAAATTGCCGATATAACCTATGCCGACATCTCAATGGGCAATGTTCTCGAAAAACTCTCGGAGTCGGTCTGTGCCTCTGTACCAAACAGCCCGTCAGATTCATCGACCAGCAGTCCTCGAGCATTGTCATCTCCAGCAAGCTCAGTTGCCCTTTCAAGCCTATCTTTAGACGGCCACGAGCTCCCCCAAGAGTTCCAAGGAAAGAAACTTGACGCAAACGCTGTAGTGACACAAGAATGGATTTGGCCACGATTAAGCGCCTGGCTTGAAGAAGATGATATTATCGCAATGGACATCGGAACCTCAGCCTTTGGTGGGCTCTGGTGCAAACAACCGCGAGGAGCTCAATCCCTCTTCCAGCTCCTCTGGAGCTCAATTGGGTTTGCGCTCGGGGCGACAGTAGGGGCCGCTATAGCCGCCCGTGAACAACTCAAGGAGTCCAAGACTTCACGCAAACGACGCACGATTCTATTCACCGGTGACGGAAGTCTGCAAATGACAGCACAGGAAATTAGCACATTGGTTCGGAAAGAGCTAGGTGTGATTATATTTGTGATTTGCAACGAGGGTTACACCATTGAGCGCTATATCCACGGCTGGGATAGTAGTTACAACGATATCCAGCCTTGGGACTACAAGCTCCTTCCCCTGGTGTTTAATCCCAAACCAGATTTTGTCAGGACTTACAGTGTTCGGACGAAAGGAGAGTTGGAGATGCTCCTTACGGATGATTCGTTTGGGCCAGCTGGGAATTTCCATGAAGGGCAGCCTGAGCCTTTACGCCTTGTGGAGGTTCATATGGATAAGTTTGATGCACCACAAACTATTCCTGATATGATCACTGATCTGCATGGAAAGGTTGCCAAATAGTGACTTTGAGTGGGCGTACCTTTGGTCATTGATGGATAGTTATCCCGCCTCTTGCTTTCCTTGCTTTCTAAAGATTTGTGACTGCTTATTCTTGTGCTATAAATTCCAGCTTTTCCCTTTTCTTTTTTCTTTTAATTTTTCCCCTTGGCTCTGATCAAGACCCCCAGCGCCATTTCGGAAACCCTGTGATTGTTTCGGCGATTAGATGAAGTTTCTTTACATGGAATCACCGACGATTCAGATATTCAATTTACGCAGTACTACGTTTGAATGTGTGCTTATGCAATCAACCTTGATAGGCTATGGGGTATTAAGTAACCAAACCCTGCGATATTTGGACATATCCACTTTTCATAAAGACATCTGGATGTGGTACCTAGGAATACATATACAGCCCTGAAAAAATCAAGCTTGGAACGTCGTTCAAAGACTTGGTAGAACATTCAATGTTTGAAAGCACGCAGTATATTTCAAAACCTGTAGGTCATCCTGGACTGAATCAAATTCTATAGCTCTCCATATATATAGTTCTCAAGAACTTCAAAACGATGATGACCCTAGACCAAGTCACTCAAGAAATAAGTCGCAGCAACAGGCTCCCCAACAGCCTCCACAATCGGCGCCAAACTAAAGTTAAAGCGGGAAGACCCTGTCTGGGAATAATAGTCTCCATCCAGCGCAGCCTTCGAGGGAACATAGCTAGCAGGCTGGTCAAACAGATACAGGCTATAAGTGTGATTGGTACTATCACGGGGACGGGGAGCCGTATAGGGCGCAATACTATCACTAGAGTTGACGAATTTGCCATCCTCGATAGTGTAGTTGCCACCCCACCAGTGGACACGTGTGGTGGTGTTCGCAGCCAGACCGGGAATCAATGTGTCAAAGTATGCAGCCGTGGTGACGTCGGAATCCGGGATGTTGAGATCCAGCATGATGAGCATGTACTTTGCGTCCTTGCGCATTTTCATGCTGGTGGGCCAGAAGGCTGGTTGATCGCTGACATCTGTTATAATTCGCACGTCAGTTTGGTATTTTTTGATTTTTTTTTTTGCATTGCATTGCAATTTAGTTAGAAATTCAATTGGGGAATTATTTTACCATCGGGGCTGATCCAGGTTCCAGGGGTGATGGTCGCGTTCTGGTAGGCTGCGCCGAGGTTATGCTTCGTGTGGGCATAGCTTCCCGGTGGTGTTTGTGCCAATGCGGTCACGGCAAAGAGGAGAGAGATGACGGAGCGAAGCATTTTGTCAATTCTGCGAAGTGATGCTCAATTGAAGTGTAGGATGTAAATCCTGAGATTAGGAATTGGCCCTTCGGTTTAAGTAAAATAACGGCAATTAAAGCATGACGAATTCCTCGGGAGCTAAGTTTAATGAGACTCCACTTGATCAAGGAAGGTAATCTAATCCGATCAATTATTACCGAGATCAGGAGTCAATCTACACGTGAACACGCCACGTCACTTGAATTTTAAATTTAAGCGATCGCAAGACGTCATCTGGCTAATCTTCGTGGTAGGACAATGGCTCCAGCCTATGTGTTGTTGAAGACCTCCCACATCAAGCTATCGAAATCAGGGACACCCGCAAAATCCATAAACCCACCAGATGTGGACTCATTCCACCAACTCGTTGAATCCAGATCGAGTTGGTAATCATTGAGGGGTTCTGTAGCGGCAGCAAGATCCACAGCAGAATCTACTTGGTCCGCCATCTCCCCCCAGGTGTTTGCGTTTTGATTGCGAGAATTTCCCCCACTTGTCGGAACGGAAGCCGCTTCTGTTTTCTTTGCGTGCGGCGATGTCTCTAACCCACGATTTCTGATGAGGCGTTGAATTGTGGTGTTCGATAATTCCTGAATGCAATCCCTTGCTCGCTTGGCTTCCGTCCAGTATTCCCCGATACTGCTGAGGATGTTCAAGCCGATGCATGTATCTGCGACCACATCATCGATCTGTACATGCGAAGAAATAGCCGGCAGCCTACATAGGCAATGCAGCATAATCATTGTGCTTAAGAAGATAGAGTGGACGACCAGTCGACTATATAAAAGCACTTCTTGTCGATAAAGTTCACCAAATCCCCTGAGAAGATCCACGGCGTGTTGGAAGCAACGCGAAAAAAGCTCCTCCGAGGGTTCTGGTATGCCGGGGCTGGGGCGTAATAGAAGTATCATCATCTCGTGATACTTTGTTTCGCATATCTTCGCTATTGAATCCATACCAGTAACCTGAGGGATTCCAGATAGCCAGTCCTGAAGCCGATCGATCATTTGTCTTTGCCATTCATGGATGTTGGTGGCAGGAGGGTAGGCGTAATGGGGAGCATCTCTGCAAATACTGTGCATTACGTATTTGATCTCGGAATTCATTCGCGCCAACTTAAATAAATGAATAGAGTAAGTCATATGTGATGGTGATCTCGGGTTCTCGGGCGCAGTTTGGCCAAGATCTTGATCCGAAACATCTGATGGGAACTACACTGTAGTTAGTAAATGGTCATGGGTATCAACTAGAAAGATCACTCACTCGCAGATCGCATGCTTCATCGCGGACTCCAATTGGTCGGCCCATCATGGTACCCAAGGTGCGGTCAAAGTTGTAGACGACCCAGAAAATCCGAGTTCTCATTTCCTGCTGCAGGAAAGAAATTGGAAATGCTGATGACGTACGAACATCTCGCTGAAGACCCAAGTCAATGAGCCTACCTAAGCATTGGTAGTTGAGGCTCCATATATCTACTCCACAGGAGGGATTGTGCAGCGCATAAACCATGAGGAGGAGTAAACTTTGAAGACCATCGAGCGAGCCTTCTGGACAGGCTTCTTCGAAAAATTGTGTAGCTGCAGTGTAGTATCCTTCGGCGGGAAGTCGAATTCGAAAACGACGGGAAAGATCCGAGGCCGCGATAGCCAATACCATGTTGACGTGAAAGGCGGCTATCGGGTCCGGGGTGCTCCCATTGGAATACATCTTGTCGATTCGTTGCATATGGGAGGGCTCATAGAGGAATGGATACATGACGTGGATTAGTGAAAAGTACTTGGTAGACAATTCGATTGCATCTTCTTTGCGAGTCGGTAGTGGTGTAGGGCTGTCAAAGAGGTCACTTGACAGTGACAAGGGCTCATTTCTGGTACTCTGGCTTTTGGAAGGTTTAATCCGCCGACCAGCGCTGGAGAAAACGAGGTTTGCAAGGAAATACCCACTAGAAGGACCAATGTATCGTGGCTCGAAACCGGCGGAGAGGGATACCAAGCCGATTTCATGCGCTTGTCTTGACTGCTCAGGGGGAGGATCCACGGGCAAAACTCTTGCCGAGTGCTCACTTTGAACTTGTTGGGAAGTGGAAGCTAGGTTGATTTGATTTCCGCGAGAGTGTGATGTTTGGTGAGTTTCATCCAGCACTAGGGGAGGACCATCTTCTAGGCGTATATTGGTCTGCTCCTTGACCAATGATTCAAGCCATTCCACTCGTCTTTGCAGATTTGCAATATAACTACCATTCTGATTAGTGCAAATCAAGATTGAGATGCGGGGGAGACTCACGTGCGATTTACTTGTTGCTTTTCATCATTGACACAGGAAACGTTTGCCTTTTTGCAGGCCGAGCACTGAGGCTGGTCACCGTTACATCGAATCTTTCGTCTCTGGCAACGTCGGCATGCCGCACGATTCCGACTTCGACGTGGGGAATCCATGATAGGCTACAAAGTTTAGTGCGCTCAAGTAAGAGGCAGTCATCTAAGAGGCAGTCATCTTTGAAGAAATTTGACGAAACGGATCTGGAGTTGTGAATCTGATGGATGTTCGGATCGCTTCCGCCACCGCGGCAGTCATCCGCTCGTTAGATGACTAACGTTGGAGGCCAATGTTAAGACTCTTAAGAGTAACAAACTAACTCACTAATTAAGTAGCAAACAAACCAAACTGGTAGTTGAAATGACCAATGTCGATGAGAGAAATAAAGTTAACATTTGAAAGCGAGGGGAATTCGTTTTTTCAAAAACTAAATGATTCAATGTAAGGAATTTTTTATTAATTCAAATCTGGGGCGTCCACCAAGAGCCAAGTGACATGTCGGGGTCGCCCCGCGGCTTGCTACTAGACGGATGGCTCCCGTCCGATTGCTAGAGATCAACATTTGAACTATTTAAGACCACTTGTTTGACCGATTTGTCCAATTCTACGCGCATGATCTCGAATTACTTCAAAAAAAAATGACTCTCGTACATATCGGTAAGGTCAAGCTTAACCTACAAGTGCTGGAAATGTTGGAAATGTTTCCAAGGTCCCATCAAGCTATGCTAATCTGGAAGACAGTGTTGTTCAAGTTCCGAGCGGATGTGGCGAAGGAGATCAGAGATAGATTTCTCTTGGAGATTAAAACACTCAAGTCATTAAAGTGTGTGAAAGGCCAGCGGCTTATTGTTGGAGGTCCTTCGATTACCGAACCGGCCGAAAAAAGCAAAGGGTTTCAGTACGGTCTTGTGAGTTACCATGAAGACCGGGCAGCGCTGGATGCATACCAAGCAAGCCACGAACATGAAAGGTAAGAGGTAAATTCCGATCATCAGAATTATTCGTTTGCGAAGTTGCCGTTGCTAATTAACCCCAATGTCATAGCGTAACCACTACATATTTCATTCCATATAAAGAAGATCTGGTTCGATTTGACTTTGAGGTTGAGGAAGCGGATGAGTCGCTGCTTGGGTTTGGAGGACTTTTCTAACTAGTATATTTTGAAGTATTATTATGTGTAGTCATTGATTTATCTCTACAAACTACGTTGCCTGTTATATTCGCCTTCGATTGTGTAGTTATCAGCACTTTGAAATATCGCTCACTTCTACATGTTTCGGGATTAGTGAAGTGAGAGATATATCACAGGTACAAATTGACTCGGAGGACTTAACATTTGAAGTCTTGATTGGACCAGTGATATTTTTGATAGCCAGGCAAATTCCCAAAGAAAACGAAAAGGTGCATATTCTAGTAGGAAGAACTACTGACCAAGACTCTGTAGAACTTCTCTGAGGTACATAATAGACCGACACTTATTACCTTCCTCTCACCTTCCTCTCATCTTACCATGTCTACTACTCACTGCATCAATCAACCTCTCAATCTACATGAATCAAGCGAAACATTGAGATACCTCCAGACAACCAGAAATAGCTAGTACTGCAGAGATGTGTGGTCCCCGCACAAACTTCGAAAACCATGCCCAGGCGCTCAGAAAAAGATACCAGCGGAAGATCGTCCTAGATTTCCTGAACAAGATGGAAAAACTGGCGAACTCCAGCTGGGTTGATCTTCGAGCCAGCCACCATGGCCTTTTCGTACGTATTGCTAAAATGAGTCACAATGAAGCTGATCTCCGTTCGTTCCTCAATGCCCTCAACACGGATGAAATTCACAAGGTGGCCGGATGGACATCTGAGATGATTTTGTTTGGTCGAATGGTTGCTTGTCATTATTTGACAATCAACACCCTCCAACGAATGATTCATCGGATTCCATGGGGCCCTTATAAGCCTGCTTTGTGTAAGCTTCTGTTTCTGTTGTGGTCTTTTTGATGACACTGAGATTGGTTTCAAATGTTGGTGGTGGCGTGATGATTCCTCAGGTATCTTTTAAGATATTTTTATTTTTATTTTCATTTGAAATTGTTCTAACATTCGGAACAATTGACCGTGTATGCGTTGAGAGTTTGGTATTGTGAGCCCTAAGATTGGTTTTAAGCACTGGTGGCTTTTTACAGATTGTCCGTTCTCCAAGTACGCAGTGCACTTCAAGTTCGTTTTAGCCATTATAGCAAGAAGATTGACCTCATTATTTTAATTAAAACCTCACATTACATCAATTGGTAAGATGGCCGAGTTGGTCTAAGGCGCCAGGTTAAGGTTCACCTTGACATTAATTCCTGGTCTACGTTTGTAGGCGTGGGTTCAAATCCCACTCTTATCATTTCTTTTTGTCCTTTTTTTTGATTCCTGTTTTTTGGGTCTAATAAGTTGGAGATCCACTCCAGACGGACCAGACCTCTTACTAGTCTGAATAAGTTACCGTACGTGTACGGCAAATCAATAGTTACTAGTATATCCCGAGCACACCGCTACTACTAGTGTAATAGACTTGTAATCATATGGAATATCTACTCCGTGAAGCTTCTAAAATCACCGTATCCATGGATATTCAACCCTAATCTTTCAAGGTTTGACTCTTATACTGACATCAGTGACGGAGTCTCTCTTATTATGCATATGACATACTATTTCATCCGATCTTGAAATGGTGAGTGCTTGAGAAGAATACATTACTCAATAACTAGATTGGGTATATACTTTATACTCGACAAACCCAGAACTTGTTAAGAATTCAAACTTTGGAATTCCAAGGCGGGGATTGGTAATTATCACCGGGTGGTGGTAATACCAAGCATATCTCATCCCTGTATGTTTCTAGGCACTCTCGTCGCTCCGCTGCACATGTGCCCACAGATGAACCAAATCCGTGTCTTTCTCCTTCAAGGGCTGAGTGATCACAACCTTTCAAATTCCACCATGTTGGATGGAGAGTATATTTTCGGAGTGCGCCCGTCGTGTATTTATTAGGTTGTGTGAAATTCCTCCAGATTGCCTTAACCGCTGGCCGTTTGTGGCAATGGCCAAGCTGCCGGTACAATACCCTGGAAGCATGCAGATGCAATTTGAAGAACGGTAAAGCCCAGAAAGTCTGGCTGTGTTCATTAATGTTTGACATCGCAAATTTCCGCGTGGATTGTGAAACGACAATCTTTTGCTATAATGCTCGTGGGACCGGCGATCATTTTGACGATCGCGTCCGGGGATTCTGGGTGTATTTTCCAGCTTATTGTGGAGTAAAACCTAGTCACAACGTGTTGCGCTTATTCAAGTGTTCTGACCAAATTGACTCATGTTAGCTGCAACGGTCACAAGTAACGGGTATTGAGGTGACAACTTACTTGAATATGTCGATTAGAACAGACCTGATCAATTGTCTAAACGAAGTGGCAATGGCAGTGTGGCACCCCCCTGAACCCCTTTCGGTATCCATAGACCCACCCGGCCAGATTATTCATGACTCAGGGGCCCAAGTACCGTACTGATATGTTTGATTTCCTTGTGGATTCTGATTTAATGAGGTTTGATCTGACGGTGCTGCCTGGTAAGATTGGACAGAGGAAGCTTGGTTGGGGCTTAGTATTGACATTGGCATAGATCGTTGGAATGCAGATTGAGGATATAGAGGCTCGGGTCGTTGCAGATTCGGTGAGCTGGTCTGACTACCATGGTTACTTCGAGGAACTGCCACAGAAAGAGACGGCGGTACTAGACGTGAGCCTTGATGTGGCTGTCCGTCGATCACATATGACGATGGATCTGGATTGGAACAATCGCCCAGTGAACGTGATCTTGTATTGGTGTTGAATGTTGGCCAGGCGTTTGGATGAAAGGAGCGATTTGATGCTAATGCCGGAGCAGGAGGGGCCGCCCGAGGCATATTCGATGTCTGATGAGATGACCCAGAGAATTGTGCAGAGGGCACCAAGGAGATACCGGATGTTGTATTCTGTGATATTTCCTCCATAGGCCAACCATCAACATAGGCACTAATCCTCGCATCACGATCTGGGAAGCTAGCTCGCTGCGTCAGGGTAGCCATTTGTTGCCTTAAGTCACGCACTTCACTTTCTAGAGCTGCGTTATGCCTCAGCATTTCGTCAAATTGATCGCATCGTGGCTGCATCTCGTTCACTTGATTTTGCAGCTTGGCGACTTGACTCTCGAGCTGCTCAATATTGTCTTTCGTTCGTTGGCGAATAAGTCGTTGTGCCTCTCTGTCATTGGCGCGTTTTCGCTCCAGCTGCTCCGAAGATAGAGAAGAAACCTTCCTGTTCGCAGGGCGGGGCTCTCGTTTTTTCCCCGACCCATCTCCTTTGCTACTGCTGCTCATAGTCTTATGTGGGCGCAAGGCTGCCAACTCAGACCGCAGACTTTGCAGAAGAAGTGTTTCCTGGGCCCAACTATCCCACTCAAATGATGGTATGTCGGGGACCATGGAACCAGCGATGATCACAGGAGATAGCGAATTCAGCATAGAGGCACTGTGATCGTTGCAGATCGCAGGAATTGACGTTGTAATTTTTTTTTGGTTCGCTTCAAGTTCGCTCTTCGGTGGGGCAGAGGCTAAAGCCTCTTATCGGCGGGTGTGGTAGAGTAGGGGGTACCCCGGGGGGCCGTAGAGCTTTAGGGGAGAAGCAAAAATCGAGGAAATATCAGAAGTTTAGCTTCAAACCTTGGGAAAGGATTTGCGTTGAGCTTGTAGCTACAAAAGGGGCATGCTGGAAATCTAGGTACTTAAATAAAGTGTGCTGTCAACTAGTGAGCGATCATTACGTGCCTTTTCTCTCCGGATCTTCGCTAGCATAGGAATCAATGATCACGCCCGAGGGACAGTCGGGCCCCCAGTGGGCCAATAGGATTACGATGAACGGACGAACTATGTGGATACGTAGAGGCTATCGAAATACCGTTTGATTTTTCTTTGCTTTTTCTCTGCTCTTTCTTACTTCCACCGTACAATTTATCCGTAGAAGCGCTGTTGGTTCCAGGGCCCGCCTGTCACCATTTGGATAACCATTTCGAACGGGCTCTGCCTTAAGCTACCCTCCACAACGGCCCTGCACCGCTCAATGAACTTTGCCGAACTGTTAGTGATAGAGCATCATGAATGCAGCTTTCTAAATTTTTGGCACTTGCATGGGCGCTTCGAGTGGACCTTCTCATGATGTGGTGCCAAGTTGATAGATCTTGGGGGCAGAAAAGTGGAAAAAAAAACCAATTGGATGAACGAGGGACCGCAAGGCTTGTCGGCATTGGACTAGTGTCAGCCCGGAAGTAGCTTGTGTATCTTTAACTCCGACAAATTCAGTCGATAGTAGAGTATTCTCCCCTAAACCCTACTATCGATCACACTTCATTGAATGGTTTGTTCGTCCCTGTTTCTGCTTCCCGCTTCCTACTAATTAATCCACTTGATGACACCAGAGATCGGCTTCTCCGGATCCTGAGCTATTTTAGACACTTGAGGCGCTAAACTAAGTAGGGCTGGACTCCTTGGTACTAATTCCTAGTTCACAAAAAAAAAAGGGGGGGGGGGGGGGGAAGGCCAGGAATGAGTAAAGATAGATATTAGTATTACGGAGTATACATATCAATTCCATGCAGGGCATGGATACGGTGGAAAAGTATGATCAAATGACAGTTTATGTTCAAGGCTTGACTCAACATATGGGGAATAAGAGGTTATTTGATCAATCCTCTGCCATGATCCAGCCTTGCTCAAGGGTTCATTTGATGCCGATCGATCGATCGATCCTGGAGGTGGTGCAACCGTGCATATTGTATATGCCGGGGTTCCAAGCCCAATAACGGCCTGACACCTCACATCCAACCTTGTTATACGCCTAAGTACACTACAGGTTGATTGACTCAAGAGCCAAAAGTACTTGGATTTTGGACAATTAGGTAACTAGAGGGAAAAGCGATGAACAGGCTGGCTTTTGATTTTCTGCCCTAGCTGCATATTAAGTCATTTCCCTCGATTATCATTCGCCATTAGCCCGATCAGCCCACCACGACTAGTGCGCCTCCTCCACGTTCAATAATCAAATAATCAAATCATCCAAGCTCTCTTTGGAGTCCGAGCTCGGATTTATAGTGATGGGTTTTATCGTAAAAATCCCCACCCAAATGTTCAACAACTTGGCAAGAACCTCTCTCTCTCTCTTCCAACGTTGACCATTGGTAGATCTCCGCACTTGCTTTACCTCTCAATAGAATGCAACAGTTGGAAAACAGGTATCAACCTTGGAATACTATCAAAATATTTTGCAGACAAGTCCACAGAATCATCTGGTAAGCGGCTGCCTTATGTGCCTCGTGTAGGAACTAAAGTTAGTAAAGTTGTGCCTTAAGGATCAACGGATCTCGGAATTCAACTTCCTCATCCAATCACATCGCGCTGCGTTCCGTGCCCAAATCGGAATCTCTTAAGTTGAAGCTGTTCAACACATCACCGATGTCGGCTGTCAAAAGGAAAAGAAGGAGAAAAAAACATTTTGACAGCATTGAATCTTGGGAGCGATAGTGCAATGCCTCGTCATTTGAATGCGTTGCTGATGTTGACACAAGTTCTAGATTTGTCATTCAATAAGTGGAATTATTAGCACAATTTCAAATGTTTATTTTAATGGACTATGACGCGCTTGGAAATCCACTAGGACTGCGGTTCGAGTATAATTTGTGGAAGAAATCAAATGTATTGATCTAAATGTCGCAAGAGTCGAGATATGGCACTGTACACGTTGACCTTGCATCAGGTGATTGCATTGCCACGTTGTTTTCTTCGAAGCTCATTTTGGCTCCCGCGCCCGAACTCCTCTCCACTACAGCCATCCATGTCCATAAATTTGGCGTTAGCGGATTGATCCCCCTTTGAAAAATAAAGTGTACCTTGAGCGATCCTGGTTAATTGGATTTAGCAAGGAATCGCAAGCTAATTCCAAATGGATCCCGATTACAAAGCTCGAAAAGAGGCGTTCGTCTCCAACCTTGCAGGGAGCGATATTCAAGATATCAACTTGGTCACTCTTGTCGCACCGGTACAGTTCCTTTGCAAACATCAGTTCGTTCTCTTCTAACCAGACTTGATTCAAACAGGCCTCGGTATTTCTCTGGTCCGCTCTCCAATCGCGCTTAAACTACTTCTCGCCCTACGGTCCAGTCGCATTGTTGACTGATTTCATACTCAATGTACTGGCAATTCTGTTCGCCACTACTGCCTACTCATCCGCACCACTCCTACTTAACATATTCCTCATTACCCCCGCCGTCCTACTATTCCTTACCCAGCCGCCAGTGCGCGCTCCACAGAAGGCCAAACCACCCCGCAAACAAAATGACAACAAAGTCCAAGCCCAGGATGACGCCGAATCCTTGCCGGTACACCCCTTCTTGACAACATATCGATCCTCCATGATGATCGTGACATGCATTGCAATTCTCGCCGTGGATTTCCGAGCGTTCCCACGTCGCTTTGCCAAAGTTGAGAACTGGGGTACTTCCCTGATGGATCTCGGTGTGGGCTCGTTTGTCTTCTCTGCCGGCGTGGTATCTGCACGCGCGGTCCTGAAGAGTCGGGCTTCTAAATCACCCAAGGCTGCTCTACTTGGAAGACTTGCTGGCTCTGTGCGGCACTCAATTCCCCTGCTGGTCCTAGGTTTGATCCGACTATGGAGCGTCAAGGGACTGGATTATGCCGAGCACGTTACCGAATACGGCGTGCATTGGAACTTTTTCTTCACGCTGGGTCTATTGCCACCTTTTGTGGAAATTTTCGATACCTTGACGGTCTTGATCCCCTCCTACGAAGCACTCGCTCTTGGTATCATGATTGTGTATCAAGTAGTTCTGGAGTCAACAGAGCTCAAGAGCTACATTTTGATCTCCCCACGCGGGTCTGATCTGCTCTCCAAGAACCGTGAGGGCATCTTCTCATTCCTGGGTTATCTGGCCATCTTCCTTGCCGGTCGGGGAGTGGGCACCCGCATCATTCCTCGGGGAACCTCTGCATCCAAGTCTCCTCAGCAAGCGCGAAAGTCTGTCTTGGTCGGCCTTTGTCTGCAGGTCATGTTCTGGTCAACACTTTTCTTCTTCAACTCCTACTACGCTTTTGGCTATGGTTCCAACATCGCTGTATCGCGTCGTCTCGCCAATATGCCATATGTGCTGTGGGTTGCAGCTTTCAACTGTGCACAACTTCTCTTGTTCTGCCTCATTGAAACTATCTTTTTCCCGACCGTCCATAGGTCATCTGGCAAAGCAGATGAGAAGGAACGAACATCATTTGCGACCAGTCAAATCCTACATGCGTTCAATCATGGGGGTCTAGGGCTTTTCCTGATTGCCAATTTGTTGACTGGTGTTGTGAATCTGAGTATCCCTACCTTGGATATCAACACACCCCAAGCAATGGGCATTTTGGTCATTTACAGTGCAATTCTGACCGGAGCTGCACTGGGAATGGACAAGGCCAACATCAAGTTGCGTCTGTAAAAATATACATGTATCATTGAATTGTAAATAACATTGAATTAGAAATTTCGAGTACGAAAATCTTGTCGATCATTGAAGTGTATCAGTTTACGCCCCACGTGTAAGAGCCTCGGCATGTGAGGTCATCACGTTTAATTAAGCAGCTCCTCCTCAACTCCGCACCCGACTTTGCGCGGGACCAACGTCTCTCAAGCTACGCAAAAATGTTTTCTGAAGATCGCTCGTATCTGAAATACCCTCAGGCTATTGAGGGACCGGCTGTTCCCTACAAATATGAGGACCAGTCCATTCCAGTGTTCCGGGGAACTCCTCTCGTGATAGGTGCGACGCTGTAAGTGTGCACATTGGAGCTCCCGTTTCCCCGATAGATTATCGCGTACTCACGTTTGTTTTCTTCCGCCCTAGTATCCACAATATCGGCTTCATCCAAAGCCATTTCTGGCGAAATGCGGGCTTTGGCGTTATTCGCGAGATCCCTCACCTCCACCTTTACGCCGGACGCTCGGACCCGAGCGTGATTCCCCTTGAGAAGAATACCCCGACCGATATTCCGACTCCAACGATTGCGAAGAGACGGGGCAATCAAGGATACTATACGTCAGCTGACTATCATGATCTGTTTGTATCGGACGCGCTGACCCCGACCACGGTCGTGGAAACGCTGCTGCCTCTAATCCGTCGCGATGTCACGTCCCCGGGAAAGCATTCGACTGCTTTCCTTGAGTCCCAGGTTGAAATAATTCGCGCCGCCGCGGAGGAATCCACAAACCGCTATAAGGAAGGGAAGCCCCTTGGGCCCCTTGACGGTGTACCCGTTGCGATCAAAGACGAGGTACACCTCACGGGCTATAAGCGTACTTTGGGGACGAAGTTGGATTTCAAGGCCGGGAATGACGGTACCTCTTGGTGTGTTCAAAAATGGCAAGAGGCAGGTGCGATTGTGATTGGAAAAACCACCATGCACGAGCTAGGCCTTGGTGAGTAAAAACTGCACATGCTGTGTCAGCTGCAAATAACTAAACAGACCCAGATACCACCAATAACAACCCTAACTATGGTACTCCAAAGAATCCCCATAACCAGGATTTCTATTGTGGTGGTTCCTCGGGAGGCTCTGGATATGCTGTCGGCGCAGGCCTCGTTCCCATCGCACTTGGTGCAGACGGCGGAGGCTCAATTCGCATTCCGTCCTCGTTCTGCGGCATTTGGGGACTGAAGACCACACACGGTCGGGTATCTGGAGCTCCATCGCTGAGCCTCGCTCCCACTGTGGGTGTTCTCGGACCAATGGCATCTAGTATTGATGATCTAGCCGTTGCCTACCGTATCATGGCAGCGCCTGCCCCGGAATCAGAAGACTCGACTTCTGCGCTATTCTCCCAACCAATCCCTCCTCCCGCCGACCGAAAAAGAAACAAGGTCATTGGAATTTACCAAGACTGGATTGATCGTGCAGAGCCTGCCGTCCGTGAGGTCTTTGACAGATCGCTCAAATACTACCGGGAGAACGGATATAGTGTCGTTGATATCACGATCCCTTATCTTCCAGAGGGACAAAAGGCCCACGTCTTGACTATCATGGCAGACATTGCATCCGGTGTCAGCACTCGTCAGATCCGACACCTCACTGCCCCCAATAAGGTGCTCGTCTCAATGGGCATGTACCAAATCACCGCACAGGATCTTCTCGCTTCTCAGCGCCTCCGTAACCTTCTCATGACCCACCTTGCACACCTCTTCCAAAAGCACCCTGGTCTGTTAATTCTCTCCCCAACAACCCCCATCCCAGGATGGAACATCCAAGGAGGTGATGCGGATCTCGTCCGTGGGGTGTCAGATGGAGGTATGTCCGTGCGGAACATGGAGTACGTCTGGCTAGCAAACTTCACCGGAAACCCCTCTATCAACTGTCCCGCCGGTTATGATCCCAAGACTGGCGTTCCTATCGGTATTATGGCGATGAGTGACTGGGGCACTGAGGAGGATCTAATTGATTTCGCCCGCGATGGAGAGGCTATCTTGGATATGCCTGCCAACCGGCCACCGGCTGCAAGTGAGTCAGATGCAGCTTCGAATGGGCTGCGAATTCCAGCAGCTGTTGACTCGATCTGGGAAGATGTCATTGGCAAAGCCACAGAGGGCCAGTCTGTATGAATTGCCATATAGTAACTTTCTGTCTTGTTTTTAAACCTTTGATACCTTTCGAGCCAATGCGAGAGCGATGATTTAAGTAGTTTTGAGAGAGATCCCGTCGTCTAAACTAACAACTTATCGATCCTGCCTATTCCATGCGATTCCGTGTCAGCTGAATTTTCTTGATTGGACTCAGTAAATCCGCCTTTGGAAAGCCCAGGTAATTTAAGCCGAGCATATCAAGGCAAATACAGCCGAGTGCAAAACGGAAGCGAAACCTATTAAAGAACCAAGTCACTACACAATAACGGAGAGGTTTGGACCAAAAAAAAAAAAAATTCAAAAGTAGTAATCTATAGAACATTGATAGTACTGTGGTGGCGGAAGGTAATAGACTAATAGTGACAGCATCTCCGATCTGCCATAAAATTAAGTAGATCAATATCAATTGATGGGAGCTTCTAACAAAAACAGGCGGCCCGAGCCGATTGCTATTCTGACCCCAAACTTGCAAATTCCAAAGTCCCATGACTTCCGACGAAGCTGAGTCGTTTCTCTGTCTTAGTGGACCCTACTACTAACTGCTACTATTATAAATTCATGATAAGCATTTGAGCTTAGGTAATGTTGCTTACCCCGAAATCGGATTCCAGAAGCAATTGATCTACGCGACAATTAGTCCTCGACCTACACTTAAACAAAACACTTCCGAAATCCAGCCAGAACAAGAAACAAACAGAATAAAAAAACCAGATCAGAGCAGATCAGAGCAGATCAGAGCAGATCAGAGCAGATCAGAGCAGATCAGAGCAGATCAGAGCAGATCAGAGCAAAATGACAATCAACAATCTTGTGCTGCCCCGCCCCGGGACAAACAACACAAGCAACTCACCCCAAGTAATCAAAGCCCCATCCGAAGAGGCCTTCACCTCAATCTTCGGCAATCTCCTCCCAAAGGCCTCATACCTCGAGACCCCAATCGGACGCGCAGCATACTACTCTCTCCCCCCAACTACATCCACATCAACCAAAACCCCCCGCGTGCTCTTCATCCACGGAGTCCAAACACCCGCCCTAGGCCTCCAACCACTATACAAGGCCATCTCAGCCCGCTTCCCATCCGCCCACTACGTCCTCGTAGATCTATGGGGCCACGGACTAAGCGACACGCCCGTCGTGCCGCACACGCCCGAGCTCTTCCACACCCTACTGCTAGCACTTATGGAAGAACTGGGCTGGGCGGACGCGCATGTGGTGGGGTACTCGTTCGGTGCGTCGACGACGGCGTCGTTCGTAGCGCGGTACCCGTCGCGTGTGAGCTCGATGGTGCTCGTTGCGCCTGCGGGCCTGGTGCGCTCGGCGCAGTTTGACGAGGTCGAGCGCGGGTATTTGGTTGGTGGGGAGGGTGTTGATGAGGATGCGGCGCGGGAGTGGGGGATTGGATGGTTGGAGGGCGGGGAGTTGGTTGTTCCTGCGGATTGGGAGGAGAGGGTTGGACGGGGTGAGGTTGTTGCTGAGGCTGTGCGGGAGTGGGAGGGGAGGGTGCATGAGGGGCATGTGGGTAGTGTTGTGGGGATACTGCGGGATGGGGGCGTTTTTGATAATCATGCGGCTTTTGAACAGGCTGCTGAAACGAAGACGCCGTCGCTGTGTATTTTGGGGGAGTTGGATGATTTGTGTAGTGTGCAGGAGTTGAAGGACGTGGGACTGAGTAATGTTGCTGTTGTTTCGGGGGTGGGACATGGGGTTGTTAGACAAAGCGTGCCGGAGGTTGTTGATCTTATGGATGCTCTTTATCGTGCTGCTCTGCTCTCATCGGGATTTGATGTGTAATAACATCCGGTGGAATGGGCATACATAGATCATGTCTGAGTAGTAGTCTATAGACTTGATTTTATCTAGCGGAGTCTACTGTATCTACCTCATAGCAACGGTGTTTCTTGAAAAATAACCAAAATCTTTTGTTTCTTTTCCTATGAATAAGTACTAATGCATAACGACTAAAAGCACATGACAACCTTTACTATAGTCATGATAAAATAAAATGGCCACCGTTTCATCAAATGACCCATTTATGAATCTCAAAAAGCGCCATGCCGACCGAACTCCGGATATCAATGCAATGCTGATCCAGATGCACCCAAGGTCCACTTCATTTAACAGGAGATAGCTTCCAATGGATTCGGGAGAAAGAACTTGCAACCCAGCTGACATGCATCGCTGCGAGCGGTAAGCTCCTCGATAATGCGTATTCCAGGTGAAGAACCATCTTTGAGTGTCTCCTTAATATGAATGATATAAACAGATAGTCCACCCAGGGGAGGATCTTCGATATTGGCCCAGCGGGTAGGGTCCGGGGGGTCAAGTTCCTCGATGCTATAGAGGTCACCAACTCCATCAAGAGGCTCGTTATAGCGTGTCTGGCTACCCGAGGAACTCTGAGTCCGTTTGTAGCGAGAAATGCTATCATCTTCAGCTTTTTCAGCCAATCCCGGGCGCTTTCGCTTTCGATCAAGGATAACACCCTGACTGTCACGCGAATACATGACTAGATCAGCGAGAACTGTGAGTTCCGCAATAAGGTGGCGTGGGCAGAGATGACCGTAAAGATATGCGTCATCAATGCCGTCAGTATAGGAGCATTCGATGAAGATGGTACGAAGTTTGCCACTGGCAATTTTAGGCGCTGCTGTTTCCCAGACGCGTCGGTTTCGTGGCTCGAGCGAGACTGAGTCTGGCTCGACATCACCAAAAACAATGATTTCATTTCCGCTGTCGTGGTCACGGAGAAAGAAAGCAGAGCTTTCCGCAGATGCCACAGCAGGTTCACCAGGAATGAGATGGGGCGAGCGAACCGGGGAATAGAAACTAGGCGGACGTTAGCGGAGTCCAAAAAAAGGACAGTCTTTCTTTGATATGAACTCACCCTTCTCCAGGAGAATGGTCCACGGATATTGCCCTTGGGCGAAGGCGTCTCGAATCTCCAGTGTGGAAAACATTACTTGCCGCGCGATGGTGGACTCCCGTTTCGGGATGATAGCGCTTCTTGCACCGGCCGTGGCTGACACTCAGACACTTGGTCACAATTCCCAGACACGCGCGAACATAACCTCGGCTGTCTCCGTTCCCAAATCGCGGGTTTCCACCCTCAACCAGGCGTTGATATGTTAGTAAACCAGCACCACCATCTTCATCCGACAAATTGGGCCAGATCACATCATTGAACACGTGGTTTTTGATAGCCGCCAACACAGACGGCAGAGCCGCAACAGGTTTTGGCCCACTTCCCGCCTCGATGATCGGCGTGTTGATTGCCAACCCTGAAACATGGTCCAGGTGGGGGTGAGTGATAAGGAACGCGCCAATGATCTCTCGGAATATGTGGGCTGCATTGGCCTCGGCAGTCTCGTTGGGTATATTCAGGCCTTTGAAGGGACCGTCTTTCAGAACAGTATTGGCAATGGATTTGGCGCGACCATACTTTGAAAACGGGATATGTGGTTTCAGTGCTCGGATGATTCCGGCCAGCATGGTCCCTGCATCAACCGCAACAACTGAGCCGGGAGCCCAGTTTGTGGATTTTGATCGGACAAGAAGGCCAGTCACTTGGTCTTCGCGTGGTCCACCAGTGGGCCCCTGGATGTGGTCTGGTTAGCACTCTGTACAGGCAGTGGCAAGGTTTCATATGTGAGGACCCGAGAAGATCTGCAAATAGCGACCCAAAGGGAAATTAAAACAAATCCGGCAGGCTGTCATTAAAATAACCATCTCCACACCACGGGATATGCTTCCAGGAAGTGCTGGATATGTGAAATGACTTACCAAAACAATGACCTCAAACGCCAAGCTGTTTGCCATTATGACTCTGCTGTGGGGTCACACAGGTCAATGGAACACAACTGGCCAGAAAGCAATGCTCCGAAAGGTGGGAAAGAGAGATGTAAGCCCCCCTGTCTCAAAGTACGTGTGTTTCACCGAACAGCTTGAGCAGATTGGTCGCCCACAGCAGACGCAGCAGAAGCCAAATCTGTAGCGCGGCTAATAGACAGATGGCGCGCCCCACTGAATCGAGTCAATCAAACAAAAGTTACAATCCCAACTATCGCGAGGGGCGCGGGCGCAATATGCGCCTTGGGTTCTGTGTATGCGCACAGGGATAAAGGAATTGCGGTCAGGGACCGGCGCAAAGCCACGGCACGGGTAGAAAAGAGCGGGAAAGACCAAGCGAGAGACGTGCGTGTGATACAGCGCCTGCAGCAAAGAAAATTCAAAACCTGGGGGCAAGAAGCGTGTGCGGGAAAGAGCGAGGGAAACTCTCGTCGGTTGTGGCTTCCTAGTTTGCGCAGCCGCGAAAGGGCGGTTGGCACCTGGGCAGGGGCGCACAAGGCAGTTCTGCCCTGGCGATGGGCAGGCGAGACTGCGGCGACGATTCAGCAAAGTTTGACTGGCATTAACAAGCTATTGGCTCTGATAGTTTCCAGCGCCCGCGGGGTCGTAATGGTATAGCAAAATCGCTAGCTGACAGCGTTGGGAGCTCGGAGCGATGCACAGGCCTGTGGGGCTGTTTCGATCGATCGCGAGCGGCGAGAGTCGCGAGAGTATACTGCGCGGACTTGGACCTCCTGATGAGACATTATTAGTATAATCAATAGCAACAGAGCTTGAACCAGTTCTTATCTAGGTAAACTTACCTGAGTCAATATACAACTTGAAGTATATCAATCAATTGATCAAGTGGCGGAAAAGGCTTGGGAAGGATTCTACGCGGAGAAGATTGTGGGGGGCGGCACCACATTTAATCCCATGGTTTGCGCTCTGAGCTCTCAGAGGTATATCATCGATGTCGTATACTGCGTGTGGCCGTACCCAACTGATAGGTTTTTCTTTAGTTTCTATAATTTTCGCATGAGTGGCTTCCAGCACATTGTTTGACATGTCCAATACGCTAATGCAACCTGTAGCTCTTTGTTGTCGGGGCGGTGCCCAAGTGTTGTGTTTGATGAGCTCAACATTAAAGTGGAGCTGATAAAGCTATGGGAATCGGAGTATCAACTTATCGATAGCTCCCCGTAGAATGACGTTGATGCTTCTACGAAAGAGCTAGGAGTATAGGAAACTACTAGCTGCATATGTACAAGCTTACGCGTATAATGAATAAGTATGAACATAGTATATAGAGCATGAAACAGCCAGATTGAGTTGCGCTATCGGAAAATGCGTTGACAGCAGGATTCCCGAAGAATGCTAGATGACAGAATGTACAGACCTGCTGTCAAAAGGATATCAGAACATCAAGTGGTAAAACGAGTGGGAAAAGAGGTGTGAGAGATGGCTGTGCTCCCCTGTACATGACTTCGTTGGGCATCCTCAAGGCCCCAATAATAGATAAACCGCAATCCTCGGACCAAAAAAAAAAACGAAATTCCCCAAAAATAGACGACGAGGGAATATTTTGAGAAAAACCGGTCCTCCGAGGTTGAAACGCCGCCTGAGTAATTCGCTAAAATAACAAAGAGAAGGAAGGGTAGTGATCCGCAGATCGTGAAAAAAAGGAAAAGAGAACACCGTGCGGTATGCTTGCAGCCAAAGAGACGTATAAAGGGAAAATATGAAATGAAGTAGGGGGTAATCCAGTTGCGTTTTACTCGTGATTGCTGGAGTCCCGATCTACCACCGCTTGGTAGCTCGGTAGGTTTTGATTTTGATATTGGTGCTCAACAGAATCCAGTGGAGGACCGAAATTATCATTATCAGTGACTTGGGGCGGGAATTCCATGGAAGCGTCGCTACCCCTGCGACTGCTCCCAGGACTTGAGTACTCTGGAGGCAGAACTCCATCTTCATCAGGAACGCCAGGCAATGGATGTCCAATATTGACACTATCGTCGCCATCGGCAATCCGACTGGATCCCTCACCGGCATCTTCGTGAGAGGGGATGTGGGTCAATTGAGCAAGGGAAATATCAGTCGGGGAGCGAATCGGACCCGGGCTGACTGCCTGGGGAAATCCGATGCTGGAGCTTCTTGCCGTGTGGGCTTGATAAACGCGCTGTGAGATTGTGGCAGCGCTTTCGCGCCCAGACTCAAGCAGAATACTGCCATGTTCACTGCCATAAGGTGGGGGCGGGGCGAGGCTGCCAGTCATGGGGGCTAAACCCCATTTCTTAACATTAGCTTCGATGAATACGAAGCCCATTTGTCCAAAATTGACATGTACGCTGCAGGGGCCATTCGCGCCGACGGTCGGAAATAGATTCTGGTTGCGATAATTGTGGGCCACATCCTCTAATTTCTTGCCATTTCGGGTAAAGAAGATCGTGCCTGATCTGGGGCGGTATCCGACGCCGATCACGTCGCCTTGGAGAAGTGGAGGTCCATATGGGGATGGAGCAAAGGGTTGATTATGTCTGCGATGGCCGGTGGATTGGTAGGCAACAGAGATTTTGTGGAAGCCTAACGAGCTAGTTAGATTTTTGAAGGACCCATTGAAACGAGGAACAATAATGTGCATACCAGGAAGTCGGAAAAGAGGATAAGGCTTGGTGGTGAAGCCGACACCAATCATGGTTGACTCCGGCTTGTCGTAAATCTTGGCCTCCCAGTAATAGACCTCGTTCTGCTTGGGGACGGGCAGATTGGTCTGCACACTGCACTCTGAATCAAAGAACTCAATCTCTGTGCGACCTTCCACAAAACAGTTGGCAATCTCCAGCTCAGCCTGGAATTCCCATGCTGAGACACCCTTTTCTTGTATGGCCAGGAATTGTGACAGGGAAATGTCGGTTTGCATAGATTCGGGAGGATTGGCTTGAACGAAAGCTACACAATTTCAAATTAGCACAACGGCTTCCCCAGGAAATTTACTTGATAGAAATCATATTTTCCCCACTGTACCTTTTGCTCGTAGATATTCCGACCGTGACAAATCATCCATACCCTCCAAAGCGGCTTCCTCTTCCCGCGCAAATGATTGTTCATCGTCGTACTCGCCCGGGCGTCCCATCCGATCGAGCATAATCCGGCCGCGATTGGTATATTTGAAGAAAAAGAAGATCGCTAGAATCATCAATGCGATCGCAGCCGAGCCAAAAGCTGAGAACAGCCCAATCAGGACGCCTTTGGTGGTTGAGCCGGTCGAGCCGGACGAGTTGCCACCGGAATCGACCAAGCGCTCACTGACATATTCCGACGACAGAGTCTTAAGCACATATTGCAGGTTCGATTCGATCTGTTGTCGCGACAAAGATGATGAGGTCTGTATAGAAGACATGGTTGAAGAAACGAAGCCGAGCGGTGACGTCGTCGGGCTGCCTATCACCGTTCTGAGGGTAGAAGGTAGGCCTGCGAGCGCACCGGGGCCCGATGCCTCATGGCCCTGCATGGTGCATTGACTAGTAAACGGAAGTGAGGGAGAATCAAAGAAAACGAAGACAAAAAAAAAAAGGATATAACAGGAAGGTGAGTTGTGGTTGAGAGCGATGGAGGAATTAGGCGGAGGAGGAAAGTGGAATGATAAGTGGGCGAAAGCGGATCCAATTGCTTGGTTTTTTATCTAACACGCTTTCGGGCGCAAGTTGACTTGGGGACTTGACAAGCTAATCATATACTGTTTTCAATTAAGAAATTCAATGAGAGGCAAAAATAATAGGAAACTTTTCTTCTCCTTTCTATAATCTCCTTTTCCCCCTGATTTCTTACTATACTTCACCTATAACCTATATCTCCCCCCTCGCTATCATGGTCTACTATAACAATCTTGGTGGTTGATAGGGTCGTACTGCGTACACCTAAAAAGGCGGAGCCATCCCTACTCAGGATAAGCCTCCCTCTTCTCCTCTTCCCCTCTCGCGTGGCTCCTTACTTGCAGGTGGGAAAGGCTAAGAGGAAAAAAAAGTGATTCCTCTCAAATTCTTTTTTTTTGTTCCCGCACAGACATCCCCCTCATATCATCACAAGATGCGCGCCACTCAAGGTACTCCCTTGTCAGGTCCAGATGTTATCATTAACTCAGTTGACGCCTACCAAATCCACCTTGACGTGACCAACACCTCCTGCGATAAATACCCTGGTGAGTTCCTGCTTTCTACTTAAGGGGAAAAAACCAGGAGTCATTCCGAAGGGCCTCCTTGACATGCCTCCTGATGACATTTCCCGAATCTCCCTTCGAGATTTGCCACTGGGTTCCGACCGGTGACCATGCCGTACGCCGAGCTAACGTGGAGTTTCCCTAACCCCAGCCAAACAGCATGCGCGCAACGTCGCCAGAAAACTCGGCATCTCCCACGGCCTAATTTTCATAGCCGGAGAACCCACTGCTTTACTGCGCGACTCTGATCAGGAGCGCCCGTTCCGACAGCGCCGATACTTTTACTACCTGAGTGGCGTGGTGGAGCCAAGCTGCGCTCTGACATACGATATAAGCCTAGACCTTCTCACCCTTTATGTCCCGGATTTTGATCTCCACCGTGCTATATGGATGGGCCCGACCCTGACCCGGGAGGAAGCCCAGGATCAATTTGATTTTGATCGCGTGCTCTATCAATCATCTCTTAAGCAAGAACTGGGATCATGGCTGGGCGGAAGGGCGCAGAACAGCTTGATGTACGTGGTGCATGAGTCAGAGGTTCCGAAGACTTTGCCGGCCGAGTTGCCACTGGATTCTGCGCAGCTCCTCCCGGCCATGGATGCAGCTCGGGGGATCAAGGATGAGTATGAGATTCGGATGATTCGCCAAGCGAACAAAGTATCCGCGCTAGCACACCGCAAAGTTCTCGAAAGCATCAAGAAGATGACAAATGAGTCGCAGATTGAAGGTCTCTTCCTGGACACATGCATTTCCCATGGTGCTCGTAACCAGGCATACCAGATCATTGCTGGATCGGGACCCAATGCGGCCGTTCTACACTATTCTCGCAATAACGAGCCTCTCGCGGGGCAACCTCTTGTATGCCTTGACGCCGGTGCTGAGTGGGAATGCTATGCTAGTGACGTGACCCGCACATTCCCGCTCAAGGGCGAGTGGCCCAGCAAATACGCGTCAGACATTTACAAGCTGGTCGAGCGTATGCAAGAGGAGTGTATTAAGGGAATGCGAAAAGGCACACGCTACCTCACTCTACACGATCTAGCTCATGACATTGCTATTGATGGACTGATGGCTCTCGGTGTCTTCAAGGGTGGCTCACACGGTGATATCCGTGCGTCGGGCGCATCCAAGGTCTTTTTCCCTCATGGACTAGGCCACCACACTGGTCTGGAGGTTCACGATGTGTCTGAGTCATCGATCATGGCCCTGCACCCGGGTCTTGACCAGTCTCACTATGGTGCGGTCGTGAACCCCGCCGTTTGTCGCTCCCCTTGTACAGTGTCTGCCCCATTGCTAGAAGAGGGCATGGTTATTACTGTTGAGCCGGGACTTTACTTTTCGCCTTTGGCTCTTGCCAATGCCCGTAAGCAACCGTACGCAAAGTATATCGATTTTGATGTTGCGGGCCAATATGTTCATATTGGTGGTGTGCGTATTGAAGATGATATCCTCATTACCGCCAACGGTTACGAGAATCTCACCACTGCGCCGAAGGGAGATGCAATGCTTGCAATCATTCGGGATTCTAAGTAGAGGTTTTTATGTAGGGGCCTTGGAAGGACATATTGAGATACACATAAATCCATATTTGCGAGATCAAATTTGATCTTATTCATCAGTCCTTATCCAGATTCCACGTGAGTTACATAGCGCATAAATTGATGCGCCAGCATACATCCGTTGAGCGTTGAGCACATTGAAGCACTATGTATGTACAATATGCTGGATTTACATTTTGTGGGCCTCGCAATCCTTCGGCATCACTAATATAGACTCCATACTAGCCTAAAAGTCCTTCCATGAAACCCCCATATCCATAGCATCCATATCCTCTTGTCTAATCAAAGGATGCTTCGAAAATCCAGCGCGTCATCAAGTCCAGCGCAACATCAGGACGATCTTGAGGCAACTATGATAATGGAAATTCCAAGTTAGTAACGTGGTAAACGATTTTTAGCGACCGAATGGGAGGGTATCTTACGAAGTGACCAGCATCGTCAACAGTCACGATCGCAAATCGAGTATCAGTCTTCGCGGTATCGCTCGTGCGAACCCAAACCTCCTTCATCGTTCCTACAGTCTCTTCCTTGCCAGTCGCAGCAACAACCGATTTCCATGGCTTCAGCGACTTAGAAGAAAACTCAGCTTGTCCCTTCCAGACCAATGAATTTGCCCATCGCAGGTTACCAGCAGTGTTACAGGCGAGATCGAGATTGCCTTGGTAAGCTAGATAGTGAACCTGGTTCTGTAGCAGGTATGCTACTTGGTCGTTAGTAGATGTCACCAAATCTGAAGTCTCGCTAAATGCCTTCGCGATGGCATCAGAGGTGATATTGTACTGTTTGATCTGTTTGGGTGGAGAGAGCGCATTCCAGATTATCGGGGTGTTGAGGTACTTCTCGATCCGTGCAGCTTCGATATAGCACACGTCGGGGTATTCGCAAGGAGCAGTGACTATCATACATGTTAGTCAAGTCTCAGTCTCTACAGTTTGCCTCGACACATCAATTGCTCGCTCGAAAGCCAAGCAGTTGAGGTTGAATTCTGCACAGTTCAAATATCTGGTGAACTCACTATCGAATCTATTGCGACCGCCAGCGTAAGACTCGTTATCGAACCAACCAACAACACCATCATAGCAGACCTGGCTTGCGGCACTGCAGATCGCAGGGTCGGGGTTGTTGATGCAAGTGTCCAAGACTTGCATGCACCGGGGCATATTAGCTGCCATGATATCGCATCTTGTCTTGTTAAAGATTGGCTCTGGAACTCCCGGGTTGGTGGTGCAGAGGGTTTCCCAATATCCAAAAGTCGAATCTTTCGGGGACATGTAACCATCTCCCACTAGACACGATCGAAGCTGAACTTGGGGTTCGTGTGGGTAAAGCTTGTTTTGCTTGACGATCTGAGCGCCGAGAGCCGGGATGTATTTTCCCTGGGGGTCGATACCCATTAGCCTGGATACAACCACATGCAATTATCAACAGGGGAAACATATTCTTACAGCAAAAGATTCACCAGACAAATGGAAAGGACGGTTAAGGTGTTGCGGGAAAACCTCGGAGACAAACAGCTGCAGGAATCGTTGCATATCGACAGCAGCGGTGGCAGAGTCGCCTGGCAGCTCATAGCCCTCATCGAGGTAAGAGAAGCCGACATCCACAGGCTGATCTACAAACAGCATGGACGAATTTCGAGACCAGCCCCAGGGATTGTACTTGGTGCCATTTCCGTATTCGTTGATAAGGCAGGGCCCAGTCTCCTCAAAAAGGCCGATCATGCTGGACCCGCCGGGCCCACCTGTCAACCATAAGGTTAACGGGTCGTTAACTGGATCATTCTGACTTTCAAAATACCAGAAGAAAAGATGCTTAGGGCCGATATCTAGCCAGCCAGTGTATTGAGCTGACCCGGCTGCACAGATTGACTCATCTTGTTGGCGGATACGGATCGCGTGATCGCTGTGTTGACTCTGGAATACGCGAAAGCCGTCGGGGTTCTCTGGGCGTAGGACGCGCTGGCTAGCTGCGTAGCCTACACTGAGAAGTGCAGCAAAAGGGAGGAGTAGCATTGCAAAGCAACAAACGAGCAATGAATGAGTCTTGCAATTGGCAAAGCTGGTGAGGAAGAAAGGAAGGGAAATGAGAAGACGTTCAAGATTGAGAGAACTGTTGTCGCCTTGTGTCTACTAGCTCATATTAGTTAGTACATAGTAAGGCACCCGCCGTCGGAGCTCCGACATAAGCGGGGTCCGGCACTACTGATAAGGATTTCCCCTCTGATTCTTGATTATCCGGGGTTCATCTATATAGGAACCTTGGAAGTAACATTGGCTATGGAACTAGTACATCCATATCCCATAATACCTCTAAGAAGCGACCCTGTTGGATCCGAAGGCGCCGACTTCTGCAAGATCAGAATTGCTTTTTCCCTGTCGATCAACCCCGCAATGTGATCATGTATATTATAAATCCAAGACAAAAATCCAAAAGGTGAATTGCAACCATCCATCATGCAACTAGACTTGCGGGGAAATGATATGAGCGAGTTCAGTGTGGGATTGATAGGCATGGCCCAACAGCCTGTGATTTCAAATTTGACCACATTAGAGCGGGAGGAATGCATGGCTGCGATGAAGAAGGCCAACGACATGGACATTCGAAGCGTGACATTCCAGGTCTGGATCGCGCCGCAGATTCCGAACACGTGGAGCGGAAACTGAGATCATTCCTCAGACAGAAGAATTAATTAGTGTACATAGTTCGAAATATGTCAGTGGGTATCTAGAAAATCAGTATTGTGTGAGAATGCTGACAGCTAATTTCCACAGAGAATGGCGCGACGAGGACCATTAACGTCTTTGTCGATCATGGAAGATGCTTTTTGGTCGATGAGAACTTGATGTTGGGAGTGAAGGCACCCCAGCCCATAGAGTAGACTGCGACTTTGGGACCCCTAGGGCCATCCGCTTGCTATAGAGGATCGATGATTCCCGATGAAGAAAGAAAGCAATCTTCCCAGTAGCCATCAATGTGGAGAAAATTCTTATGTTCACATCTTTGAAGCATATGTACTATGTAGAACGGCCTCTGGCGGTCTGGTGTGACCAGACCACGCTGGGCCGAAAAGATGTGATCCGTCACTTCTAGGGCTGGGCATCGGCTCATCTTCCCAACAGAAAAGATCGAGCTCGGTAAAACTGGCTTTCAAACGGCGCCCAGGAATCGGCGATACCTTAGTGCGCGCAGCGCCTGCAGAAGGCAGTGGGGTTTAGGCAATTCGACTTCGGGACAGCGGCAAGGCGGATATCAAGGGGGGTCATAGTAGGCATTTGTGAGTCCGGATTCGGGCAACGGTCCTGCAAGGGAGAGCATCTAGATCAGGATGTTTGCCTATTTTGACGTTACCCACGTGTTACCGATGAGTCCAGATTCTTCCATTTCAATTTCTTTTCTTTCGTCGTCAGGAATGTCTCGAATTCCGTGTGGTCGGCGTGGTGGTTGGAATGCGGCATTTACGGCAGAGCGCAGAATGTTCTAGGATTTAGCTGCAGTGTCGCCAAGGACCTTGGTACAAAGATCAATTGATGAATAATATGTTGCTTATGAATTTTCTCTCATGGAAGTTTCAATTGATGGGGGCCATGAAGAGTTTTCAAGAGTTTTTTCTTAGTTTTTTCTTTAGTATTTTCTTAGTATTATCAAATACGGAGTCTGAGCAGACTCCGAACCTTGGAAGTTTCCACATTCAAAGAACTAAGAGGATACTACAAGTGAAAATTTTTTCTTGTTGGTCTGAGCTGTGCATAGCGTCGCTTTTAGCCTCTCGGAGACTTGTTAAGTTGACTCCGAAAGAAAAGGTCTATGCTTTTTGAAGATTTTTCTTTTATTTCCTGCAACAAAGGGGGTGAAAAAGGGTGAAAACTCGGGTGTAACAGGCTGCGTTGCCTGATGTGATCTCCGTTCGGACCGTACGGCAACAATTAAGACCTTGAATTCTGGAAAACAGATAAATCCGATGGATTTAAGAGTGTTTGTAGATTTTCAATTGTTCCACTGGATTTGAGGGAAATTTTCTGATTCATTTGATTTTTAATGTTTTTTTTTTATATATTTTTTATATATTTTTTGGGGGGTTTTTTTTCTACTTTTCCCAAGTCTTTTGGTCTTTGAGCTGTCAGGGACCCCGAGTGGCCGATCGATTTCGCTCTTTTCGTCATTTTATGGCCCGACGCTTGTTTCACACATTCCAGAAAATACAAATCAAGAAATAATCAAGAAATAAGAAACAAATAAAATAAAAATGAGAAAATAATAAAACTGGAATAAACCAATAAAATCCACAAAATCCACAAAATCCATAAAATCCATAAAATCCATAAAATCCATAAATGTTTTCCATCCGAAACATCTCGTCATGGTGGAAATCCCGCAACACTGCTATGGAATTTGGTATAGAGTATATACTGCTAGTTTGATATCAATTGGATAGTTGAAAATCACGCGATGGGGAAAACATTTGAAGAGTCACGAATAGGTGACGTCCATGGGATCACGCCTTTTACCCAGTCAGGGTTTTGGCGCCATTTTTAAAGCGATTTGGTGATCTGCCGTGCTGGTTCCACCATCGACGTGGAAGAGTGGGGCCTTTTTGCCTTTTTTTTCCTGCAGTGAGTCACTTACTTCCAAGGTATGCGGAGCACCGCTGCAAAGCTATTAAAAGCTCCTTCTACCCCTGTGGAAGATCTCGATTCCTTCTGTACCTCATCTCATCCTTTTCCCAAAGGGGGTGATGGTCACTCCTCTACTATAAAAGTTCTTTGCCGCCCAACTTTTTCATATCCCGGGGAAGTCCCCCTCAATCTCTACTATATACATTCCCATTCGAGGAATATGGGCCAGAGGCACAATCGACGCCGCACTCGTCCTCGTTCATCACCCTCTTCAAACATCAGTCTAGACTACCTCAGTCCATCTATCTCGCCTGCGACCAGCTATTCGACTGCATGCATTCAACGTGGAACTCCGCTCCCAATACCTGCCCCAACCTGGCATTATGGGTATTCAGCATGGCAGATCCGTGAAACAAAACCGCAGCTGCAATTTGGTGGACTCGAGGATGAACAGTATCGTCTTTTCGGTGGTGAACCAGGCGACGACGTGACCCTTTGTTATCGGATGCTGGAATATTTTGGTGGTCTCGACTACATCCACCCGTGAGTCACCTCGAATATCGAATATCTACTATGGAACAGTCTTTCTGACTTTAAATCCCCCCCACAGAGCACGACAAAGAACCCTCGGAGATTGAAGATCTGGACTTTCCAATTTTCCTTTCCTTTCTTTTCTATTTTTTTCTTTTCAGTCGGAATCCTCCAGAAAACAAAAAAAGGCCAAAGGGCAAAATGAGAATAACGACCACCTTTTGATTGCGATGATTTTATGTTTTTGCATCATCCAACCACCCAAAAAATCCCGCCGATCATGCGCCCAGGACGAACTTCAGAATGTCCTCCGCCTACAACTTTTCGCGCGCCCACCTTCTACCAGGAACACCAGACCACATGGAACCACCCGGGTCCCCGACTCGCAGCAATGATGGCACAATTTTGCCGGATTGGTCCTTTTTGACCCGGCCATGTGGATCCTGGATCATGATCTTGTTACCGGAATGAGTCACGAGTACGCTTCCGCCTGGCTCATTGGTTGAGTTCGCGACCGACCCTTTCACGGGGTTGTTGACGTTTGAGTTCCCACTTGAGTCATGCAGGAACCGGCTTATTGAATTTTCATCCCCACGCAGATCCGTTCTCCCTCCACGTGAATCTTGGAGGGCAGTTGTTTGGGCAGCCGCATACAGTGAAAGTGTTCGACGAAAAATATTCGATTTTTATGAGAAGCTTGTACATGTTCGCATTTAGGCATTGATATTCTGCCTGTATTTAAGCACACAATCGAATCTATCCAAAACTTACAAACATTAAACCAAAAAAAAATTTGCTCTAAAAAAAATTCTAGAAAAATTCTTCCTCATGGAAAAAAAGTACGTAATGGGGCGCCCTGGCGCCCTTCCGAATCAGCCTCATGTCAAATCTGGCTTAGTGCGGACCCGTCTACGGTCACATAGTCTCCCTTCGATGTTAATGTTCGACACCTGATGGCACACGTGCATGTGCAAGAATGTTGTATTCCTGATTTTGCGCATGATTAACGTCAAACAAGCTCAAATCTAACTTTTTTAAAGACTGCCAACTGATGTTGACAATCTAATTAGATCTTCACCCAGAAACTCAACATGGTGTTCTACAGTCGTCATCGCCCTGCAAGGCACCACTGAGCATGATCACCCTTGTATATGTAGGCTTGATACATATAACCTTGGAAGAATATGTGGCGCAAAACTAAATGTCACCGGTTGATGACATCTTCCCAGAATTTATTCCTGCTCGTCTTAATCAATATTTTCATAGTGTGGGGCTTCTTGATGAAATGTACCGAAGCTTTAGTCTATATCCATGCACCTAACATTTGAAGAGATTCCAACCTATCGTTCCAAGATTTCATGACCCACGATCGAGAATGAGTTGGCAATAGTAATTTGAAATGTGGATATACTCATTAAAGACAAAACGCCTCTTGTCAGAATCTTCTTGGAAGTTGAATGTGAAGATGTGAGGTCCCGCTGACGATCTCAAGCCACACAACGTCATTTGGAAGACGCCTCCAAAACCATACAACTCTACAATGCTTTGTGAAACCTGATTGACCATAAATCGGCTAAGAAGATTTGACGCTGCTCGTTTGGAAGCAGAATGCGAATAGCTCAGAATTGTAGGTGCAATCTACACACGTGAGAAATGATGACATTGGCCCCGGTTGAGAGCTCCGCATCGCGTCAACTGGTCAACTAGTACCTACATCGTAGCAGTACCTACAAGTCAACGAAGCCACAATCAATGTGAGTTATTAACGAAGAAGATCCAGAGGAGAATCTATATATGTACAAAAAGCATTTTCCAGAAATTTGGGCCATCCAATTTTCAATGCTCAAATGTTTAGGTACATACATATGTATGTAATATGCTACAACATTCAAATGAGGGTTCAAATATATTGATCTGACGTCCGCGGACATAGAGCGGTCGAAAGCACTTGAGACACACATGCATGGATCAATCAATTGAAATGGAACTTGCACATGTGGAGCCAGTGGACTCATTTCAGATATCTCAAGCCACTATGGATGGATTTCTACATATGTACCAGTCAGTTGACCTATCAGCACTGTTGACACTTGCTCTCCCAATGGGATATCCATACTTACATAAGTATATGTACATAGATGTAAATATTTCCAAGGTTTTTGGGTCTACTGAACTAAGAACTCATTACCTAGTCCGGATCACATTATGAAGGATTGACCCGACTCCCAATATCTCCAAGAAACATGGCAGGGACAATACGTACCTGACGGTGCTGTTGAACAAGAACCATTTACATGTTGCTCTATGCACGAGGCGGCAAAATCACTATGCCAGGCAACCTTGGTGAACACGTGAATCTACCAAGCGAAAACTCACTAGATCAACCGACTCAATCCGGATATCCCATTCGTCTTAGATGATTACCACTGGGCCTTGATCACCTGAGCATGGAACCGAAAGTTGAATCACAAGACGGCAAAAAGGGCTCATTACTATGGATATACAATGCAGTAGCCGCGGGAGGCTCTATGTGGGCAAATTTGAGGAGCATTGGTGTAGATGATTACATACTAGGATGCTGCTTTTTGGCATGTTCAGTGAAAAACAACAGCCCAAGATCTGTTTTGTTGTTTGATCAGTTCCTGAGTATTAAGAAATTTCCAAATCTAGTTAGACGAGTAGATCAGTTCGGGCCAAGTGCAATGTTGTCCTTTCTTCACCGCCCGCGCCACACAAAGGCACAAAGAGAAGCGCACTATGTTATTAAGTAGGCGGTGAGACCCTGCTTGAGGACACGGTCATCACCAGATCAGGAAGGGCCAATACTCCCTTCATCGCTCCTTTGTTTCGCCAACGGGCCATGCTTGAGGCTACGTTGATTCTATATTCCTTTTAATACTCTTGAGCTTCTTTCTCCATTTATTGCCTGTCTCCAGAGAGTGACTCGTCAGCTTTGCATAAACACGATCTTTAAATTCCGCGGCGGCGCTATCGCCCTGAACTCGCCGCAGGATGTCGTCAGACTACACATACGATGAGCAGGTGGGCACACATAATGATAAACCCGGAAGCATAAGAGTCTCTCCAAGTTTGCTAATAAGGGCTTTGTCCGCGTTTAGGGTCAATTCTTCCCCTTCTTCATCTTGACCTTGACCGGCCTGGTCACCCTCCCACTTACCTACAACCTCCTTCGACCAAGCAAAGGTGCGTCTCAAGGCCAATTTCAATCATACCGGTCCCTCATGTTGATTTATTGTGTTTGACAGAGCTGGAAAACACCGCCCCCCGCATCAAGTCCGATTTTAAGCCCGAACATGCGGACCTTGTTGATGCACAGAAGCGCAAGCGGTTGCGCAAAGAGCGCCGCATTAAGCGCATCATCACAGTTATTGTCGGGTATATTGTGATGGCTTGGATGGTTTATCTCATCCTCGTCACGGCCCGCACTGCTACAAAGTCATACGATCCATATGATATACTGGGCGTCTCAAGGGTGAGTAATATACTTGAAAGCCACTGCCTTCGGGCTTGTAGTAGAACCATACTAACAGCATACTTGGAATCAGAGCGCCGATGAAAAAGCCATCTCCCGTCACTACAAGCGTCTTTCCCTCGTGTACCACCCCGATAAAATCCGCCCAGACCCCGCCAAGAATGAGACCATTGAGATGCTGAATGACCGCTTCGTCGAACTGACCAAGGCTTACAAGGCGCTCACCGACGAAGAAATTCGAAACAACTACCTCCAGTATGGCCACCCCGACGGCAAGCAAAGCTTCAGCATCGGCATCGCACTTCCTAAGCTTATTGTTATGGACGGCAATGGCAAATACGTATTGCTTGTTTATGGTGCTCTTTTGGGAGTTCTCTTGCCATACATCGTTGGAAAATGGTGGTATGGATCGCAGCGCTATACCAAGGAACGCGTTCTTGTCGCTAGTGCAGGAAACATTTTCCGCGAGTACAAGGAAGACATTACGGATAACAGTATCATTGGCGCTTTGGCTTCCGGTGAAGAGTTCAAGGAAATCTTCAAGGGTGCTCAGGCCGAGGCTGGACTTGCTAAATTGGAAAAGAAGGTTTTGGCCGAGGAATCGTCCTTCTTGTCGGCAAAGGATCGTGAATCTTTGAAGAAGCTGGATAGCGTTACCCGTCGGAAGGCTTTGGCTTTGCTTTGGGCTTACGTGGGTCGGGTTGATTTGGGAGATGCTTCTCTGAATGCGGAGAAGTATGAAGCTGCACCAGTTGCCCTCTCTCTCACTGAGGCATTCACCGCCATTGCTCTTGCGTTTGGCAACCTCCGACCGATCATTGGCGCTTTCAAGGCTTGCCAGAGCTTAATCCAGGCTGTTCCTGCAAACTCCTCCCCGCTTCTGCAATTGCCCAACTTCACTGATGAGATTGTCAAGGCTGTTGAGGGAGATGGCGCCAAGGACCACTTCACAGTTCAGAGGTTCATGAAACTTTCAGAGAGCGAGCGACGCAGCCGTGCTGTTGGACCTGGTCTTCTCACAGAAAAGCAATACACGGACGCGATCTCGGTTGCACAACAGCTACCTGCCTTGGAAGTCTCCAAGGCATTCTTCAAGGTTATGGGAGAGAAGGCCGTTACGCCTAGCAGTCTGGTACAGCTGGTTGTGAAGGCTCGCTTCATTCCTCCAGGTTGCAAGAATATCCCCGCTGTCAACGAACTGGACTTGGAGGATATTGACCCGGATGAGGATGATCTGGATGCTCTGATGGGCCGCAAGCCGGCTAAGAACCGCGCTACCAAGATCGTTGATGGCAAGAATGTTGAGGTCAAGGTTGAAAAGGTCCAACCACCTCTCGCCCACGCACCTTATCTCGCCCGCGACCACTCCCCCCGCTGGCACATTTTCCTTGCCGATGCCAAACAGGGCAAGATGGCCGTTCCCCCATTCACATTCACCACATTCGATAAGCCGATTCTCGACGAGGCCGGTCAGCCTACATTCAACGTTCAGACCCTCAAGATGCAGTTCCAGGCTCCTCCGCAAGTTGGTGACTTCACATTCGTCATGAATATGATCTGCGACAGCTATCTGGGTCTAGACACCAAGTTGGAGATTACTCTGCGTGTCGAAGATCCCGCCAAGGCTGCCGCCTTGGAAGAGGAGGACGACATTAGTGAACCAGACGAGGGTATGTTCCCACTTTCCATATCATTTTCTTTGGGCTCCTTTGCTACACAGATACTAACTATTTTGACAGACTCCATTGCGGGCCAGATGCAAGCGCTGAAGACCGGCCAACCCCCGAAAAAGAAGGCCCGGAAGGCTTCCGATTCCTCCAGCGAGGAGGAAAGTGACACTGATGGCGATGCTGGCGATACCAGCGACACCAACACAGATACGGATGATGAGGATTGATCGCATATGATTTGCATTCGTTGCCCGATTGCATCCAGGACTGGTGTAACATTACACTTTTGATTTAGATTGACTAAATTCAATCTGGGCTCTTTTTACAATATATTCAAGTACCTTCTTTTTTTTTTTTTTTTTTTTTTCAACGACATTTATCTTACCGGATTCCCTCTTCAGTTCCCTTCTGTATTAATGTCAAGCCCGCTTTCAAAGATCTTTACACAGTTCACCGGACCTGATGGGTATTAGTACACTACTAACCATACTGGACCTTGGAAGCTGCTCACTCATTATAAGCGTGAGAGGCCAAAAGTTTTGACCCCCTTAATTTAAGAGCTACGCATAGTAGAACAGATCTCCATTCCTTACGATATTTCATCTTTTTAAATTGCTTTAATAGGGTTGACGGACTTTCCAAGGTCCAAATGTTAGATGCGGCGAAAATTCAACCATATCCACTATAGGAGCAGAGAATCTTGTCACTAGTGCAAATTAACATGGTAAAGAAAGGAGTCGGGCAGCTCCACATGTGCACTGGATGATCTATCCAGCACCTTGATTTATGTATCGCCCGAAATTGGACCCATGGACTGACTATGTGAACCTATCGGACAGCTTTCAAATGAATTAAACCTGCTTCAATCGTAGCCTCTCACCAAATTTCAAGAACACAAGAGGAATGGGAACCATAGCCAGAGCAATGAATCCTAGCATTGAATTACCCCAGCCCAGCCCCAACTTCTCGTACATTGCCGGGCCAGCCAAAGGGATCAGGGCACCAAAAAGCGACCGGAGGACAGTATTGGCGGCGATGGCCGAAGCCGAATGGATTCCGAACGCATCGATGAGGTATGTAGAGTTTGGAATCTGGGAGTCTGTTAGCATTGAACTGGAAATGGAAATAGGGAGTGCAACACTCACGAAGCTTCCGATCAGTCCAAATCCGACTAAGCCAGTGCCAATGATAGGCACTATCCAGTGGATTTCATACTCGGCAGTCCAGCCGTACAGGAAAAGACCCATTGGTAGAATCAGACCTGCGACAACCATGGGGGGCAGCCGGTACTCCGGCTTGACTACCCCATTATTGGAAGCGATCAACTTTTTCAGAAGCCTGTCCGAGGAAAAGCCGACGATGATGAGGCCCAGAAACATTCCAATTCCAATGCCGAGGTAGGCCAGTCCCGCCAGTCCCTGAGAGAAGCCATATGTGTCGGTGAAAACGCTCGTGATGGTGGTAAATAAGAGATATAGAATGCCGTAGACGAATGCGATATAGATAGACAGGCATAATACGATTGGTGAGAACAGAAGAAGCTTGATGGGTCGGAAAATAGATATTTTGAAGAGCTCTGTAGGTGTTAGGCCGAGATCCTCCGCGGATCTGAGCTTAAGATTGCCAGTCTCTTTGCGCAAACGCTTGGCCTTTTGATGAAGCAGGGCAATTCCGTATGTCTCTCTAAGAAAGAGGAGCATCACAACGGTCAAGACACCAGCCTATGATGCTCAAGTTAGTATTTGTCAAAATCCGAGTTGAGTATGGACACACACAGCCATTGCAATGATCCAGAATACCCATCGCCATCCAACGTCCTCTGCCAGGAATCCTCCTGCAATGGGTCCTATAACCGGTCCCATCAGGGGCCCCATCGACCAAACAGCAACCGCGGCGCCTCGCTCTTCCACCCTAAACATATCACCAAATGTACCACCTCCGATAGAAAGGGGAGTCGATCCCATGACGCCGGCGAAGAATCGGAACACGATCAGCATAGGCATGCTAGTACTGACAGCACATGCAATAGTGAAAATGACGAAAAAGACATTCGAAACGTGGTATACGGGAACACGGCCGTACATCTCGGAAAGGGGTGCGACGAATAGCGGTCCTATGCAGTAACCAAGGATATAGACGGAGACAACGAAGGATGCAAGCATCGTGCTGGTTGAATGAAACTCAATCATCACATCTTCTACACCGGGGGCAAACATAGACGAGGCAAGAGGGCTGTTATATTGTTAGTATCGCCCGACTGGAAAGTAGCTGGAGATTCCGTACGTAACGAGAGTCATCGCGGCCAAAAGGCCTCCATTTGTCCACTTCTTCTTCATGGTCCAGTTTACCGGCTTTTCGGGATCGTCCTCTCCATTCCAGTCGACAAGGTCGGGGTCGGGCTTAGAGGCCGCTCTCTCGTCAGTTGCGTTTGTGGTAGTTGCATCTTGGGCTGAAGCTTTATTGGCTTCAAGGTCGGAGGTATTGTCGTCTAGCGACTTTTGTCTAACATCGGAGACCATGTCAGATACCATGCCAGAGAGGTATACTGGAGTGCCTGAACAACTTGGAGAGTGGAATGAACATCTTGGCGTAAGAGGGACAACTTGGTGTATATAGGCTGAGTGACAACCGGGAAGGAGCCATCCCGCTTTCCGTAATGCACACTGGTAAATATTGGGGCCCAGAGTTCATAAAGGGATCTATCAGTCACACTTGAATTATGCTTCTTTATTTCCGTTTCATTGGTTGGCTCCATAGTAGTCAAAATGGTGTACGAGATTCTCGGACCATTCGATCATTGGTGCAATTGTCGCAAGAACCCCACTTATTCCCCAGTCATCCAAGAGTTAAAGTGACTTTAAATCTTAGCTTAGCATTTGGCCACCAAGCACCGTCTCCATAGGCCACTTGAGCAACCAAGCCCACTTTTCTTCAATAATTTCTCGAATAGATTCCAGAATAGAGCGCGGCCAGCTCTTAGTGAACCATCTCGAGCTCATTAAATGCAGAAGAGCACAATAATAGGCAAACACTAGCAATGTCTCGGGTGCCTTATTCTCCAATAGAACGAGGTAGTCAGGATTAACTTTCATCGGCCACGTGAATGCAAGGACCGTGTCATGATTTTGTGGAAGTTCCTCAATGACCTCACGGAGTACACTGATCGACGACTGGCAAACGTCAATAATATGACGATCGTTTGATTGTTTCCCTATGGCTTCTGAGAGATCCCGAAGCCTAGAGAAAGCCACAAAATTCCTCTCATGATCTTGATTGTCTTCACCGTGGGGATTATCTCCTGCCGTCATTAGAGGCGACATTGGCCCTTGTCGAAGGATTGGCAAAAGCTCACTATGGTAGACAATAGAAGGCAATCCCTTGATGAGGATAGTCCACTCTGAAAGTTGAAAATCAAGCCATGTACCGATGCCCGTCGTGATGTTGGGCTGATTTAATGGGAAAGGATTCTTTGATGGGCGGGAGAAGGAGGTTATAAAGAGGAGGCATGCACACCCAAAGATCGCATGACAGGTCTCCGAGTCCACGTTTGAGAGGCTGCAGCGATAACCTTGTAGCGCTCTGTTGTGATGATCATAGGCTGCTAGGAGGTATTGATCGACGGTTCTCCCCATATCTATAGATGGGCTAGATTGGACCGTTCCCTGTGGGCTCACTATATGAAAAGCAGACAATGCCAGAATGCAATGCAATAAATGGTCATTTTTCAATCCTAATCTCACAAATTCTGTTGAAAAGAAATCCTGGATCTCAGGTGAATTCGATAATGACTTGGCCGTATTGACTGTGAAGTTGTGCAAAAGTTCCATGTCCAAGATTGCACTCGACGCGGAATTTTGCTCAGAGCGAGTTGTGCACGGCGGATTTGGATCAAAAGAGCACGAAAGTCTGCTCTTCTTGCATTGGACGCATATAGACACGCCATTCTCGTCACATTTTATCTTGCGGGCTTTGCACCGAAGACAGCCATTACGCGTCTTTAGGTGCTTACGCCGTATTGCCGCAGGTGCCATATTGACGCGTTCCCTCTCCCAGCATGTACCCCGGGAATAGTCGTGTGCTTTCTGAGGTTAAAAAGGCCTTTGCGACCAGATCTATTGAGCCCCGTGGCAAGTCGACAAATTAAAGTTGGACATGGACGTCGACGCGTCGAAAAGAATCGGTCATCACTGATCAGTGTTGGCGATCACGTGGACCAAACAGCCTATAAAATCAATATCATTTTTTAAATACTGAAAAGAATTTGCCCATGTGAATGAATTTCAGATGCGATATTTGGCTTGACATCTGGATGGGTTTTCTCAAATAATCAAATTGGAGTTGTGTTGCAAATCCCCCCTGTATACCCCTGTACACTCCGGGAAGTTAGTAGCTCCGATGTCAGGAACCTGGCCATCCTCACAACACCATTTACGTCTTACATTCCCACCTCCTCTATGCCCAGACCTCGATAATTCTACCATACTCGGAAAGATATCTTTTTCCGCCTCGTCGCAAAAATGATAAGGTCTTTAGCACAGTCATTGCCTCGGTTCGGACGAAGATGGACGCCTCTCAACTTCACCAATCCAAATTTTACTCGGATACCAGCCAGTCAGAAAATCGAGGAGGAAACTATTCCAGACTATATCGCTACTCGCTATTATCCTATCCGGATAGGAGAAATTCTCAAGGATCGGTACCAAGTTGTGGGAAAGCTGGGGTTTGGAGCTAGCTCAACCGTGTGGCTCGCACGCGATATGGAGTAAGCAGAGTCTCACCTGGTAGAATCTTTATACTGCTCAAGTGCTTGATTTTATTCCCACAAATATTTCGTGTTCACTGATCTAAAACATAGCTACCGACGTTATGTTACCGTCAAAGTTCTTATCAACTCTACATCGCTGGGTGAGCAACTGGACCATGAGCTGAGCATACATAAACGTATAGAAGGAGCTCGCCAGAACCATCCCGGTCGCGACTATGTCCGATCTTTGCTGGACTCTTTTGATATCACTGGACCCGAAGACCAACATCGATGCCTTGTGCATCCTCCACTATGGGAGAGCATACTCGCTTTTCTTTATCGCAATCCAGTACGAAGACTACCTATACCAGTCTTGGCAGTTACACTTCACCGTCTATTTCTTGCTTTGGATTATTTACATACAGAATGCAAGATCATCCATACTGGTATATCTCTTCTCTTTCCCAGGACTCTGGATTAAAACATTACTTATCAACTTTTTAGATGTCAAAGCAGATAACATCATGTTTGGAATCGCTGATGACTCTGTTTTTCATGATTTTGAACAAGCTGAACTTCAAGACCCTTGCCCTAGAAAGGAGCTTGATGGAAGGATAATTTACACCTCTTGCCAACTCGGAGTGCCTAAGGATGTTGGTGCGCCTGTTCTCTGCGATTTTGGCTCAGCTGTGCTAGGCGGTGAAAAGCACTTAGAAGACATTCAGCCCAATATCTACCGATCACCAGAAGTGATTTTGGAAGTTCCGTGGACATATAGTGTGGACATATGGAATGTTGGATGCATGGTAAGAAGACTGATGCTTCTAATGAATTGTTCATATGCTTATATTGCCAGATCTGGAATATTTTTGAGGGCCAGTCCTTGTTTAGTGGCCAGGATCCGGAATTCAAGACATATCGGAGTCGGGCTCATCTGGCTGAAATGATACGGCTTCTTGGTCCGCCGCCAGCAAGCTTGCTTGCGCGGGGAAATCTATCACAGAAGTTCTTTACAGAAGAAGGTAATATGTCTTTCATATTACTTATTTCAAGCGGCAATAATTGAAATTATCTGATATTAGGTGATCTCCACGCTGGAGTTTCGGTGGGCGTGCATACCCCGCTGGAACAAAGAGAGACTAGTCTCGAGGGAGAGGATAAGGAGCAGTTCCTTCGCTTGGTACGAAAGATGCTGCAATGGGAGCCAGAAAAACGAAGTTCTGCCAGAGAACTCGAAATGGACGATTGGATTCAGAAGGGGATACAATAATGAACGTCGCTCTGTCTTGAAAAATAGATGGGCACGTGCACCTCCAGGGCTCCAGGACTTCAGATTTTGGCCTCACGGAAAATGTGCGATGTAAACCTTGGGACATGTCGGAGTACGTAACTAGAGCTGTGGATCATGAACGAGCAATACCTAGGTAGACGGATGCCTAGTAGATATCTATCTAAGTATATGCATCTGCCCACTGGGTGTCCATTATCATTATTGCAAGGTTATCATTCAGCTCACAACCTTGGAACATCCACTTATCTGCTCCATACGGTCCAGGGTCAAGCCTGTCCCCTTTTGCATGTCCACGGCGTCCTTGCATGCGTCTGTACTACACGACTCCAAATGTTCCTTGCACAAAGACCTGGAATCAGATAGCTAGCAATAGGCAAGGCAGGGGAGCGCATTGGGACAAGGAGAGCTAGACTAGGGCTGTTTCACGTCTACGAACAGCATCAATCTTCCGGGGTTGTCTGTGCGCTTGTACCCGTACGCCATGATCGGGGCTGTCGGGTTCGTGGGTTGGTGCTGGCAGTTTTCTAAACATGTTGTGGGATGGATGCGGCGCTCAGATCTGTCTTCTGCTTTTCTGTTCCAAGGTTCTCCTCTACGCTTTCCAAATGTCAGGTAGGCGTGAATAGTAGCAGTGAAGTTAACATGTATTGAATCTTTGTGCCCGGGCCTCCCTTGGTGCAATGTAAAGCGGGTTGTTGGGTTCCGGGGTCTGCCTGTTTCTAGGATTGGCAGTGCAGGAATAGATAGGTGGCTACACTTCAAGTTGGCTATGACCTCTGATGTTTGTGTAGACAATCCCTCGTCAACCTTGGAGCCTTGGAAGTTTCGCACTCTTGGGGCCTTGTTTGTCCCGCTCTAGAGGCTTGTGTTTCTGTGCCCCTGCTCCCCTTTGCCACTTCTGGTCATCAAGTAGAGCTGGGTTACATAGAGTATTTAACTTAGACACCCATCATTGATCTTTCCCTGGGAAGTATGTAGGACGCTTCTCTCTAATCAATGGAACCCGGCAGGTTTGAAAATTAGTACAAACTACTAGTATATTATCCTGGCTTCTGGGTGGCAATGGAAAAAGGTCCTCCAGGGCTTGGAGCTCTCGAACAGGCTGCATAGATCGCCACCCACTAAATTCCATCTGACAGGGTTGATGGCGAAAAGAGATAGATTAACACAGGTATAAGGCATGTGTGCAGAGTACCGCAGGAGCACATCGGCAAGTAGCAGCTGCTCTGATGCTCAGGTGAGTCGAAACCTTGGCATGACGCAGTCTTTGAATATAGTACAAAGGCAAATTAGTGAAATACAAGTAGTCAGTCAAACAAAAGCCTTGGGTACTGTATGTCCTTGGAACCTTGCAGGTTGGAGCCAGTGACCTCGAATATGTGCACGGCCTTGAAATTTCACAAAGGTGGCGGAAAAGGTAAACCAGGAATTTCCGATCTGATCCATAGATCTATGTAATAATAGACCGAAATGAAATATCCACATATGTTTCTAGGAAACTAGCACCTCGAATCATCTAACCTTAGCCTCAAATGGTTGGAAGTCCACCAGATCCAAGTCCAAGTCAAGTATCACAATGTATATGTACATGTCAATGCCACATGTATCTGTATCTCTATCCGTATCTGTATCCCGCTCTATCGGAGCCCTGTATTTCATCGTACACACGCAATCTACCTGATCGTTGAGAACAGGGGAGCTGAAAGCACCTGAATTGATGATTGGGCCTCGTATCTCAATCTAGATACCAAAAAATGAGAAATAAAAAATTCTCATGAAGTGAAGGGAAGAAAGAGTCGAATGAATATGGAAAGTCAAAAAGAGGGGGAGAAGGAGAAGGGGGGGGGGGAGAGGGGAGAGGGGGTTAAACTCCTAACTTGAAGAAATGTTCCAGACATCTTCCAATGCACGAAATCCTTCCAAATAACACCGATCCATTTGCAGGTTTAGGCCTGAGTTCTGAATGCATGACCTGTCGCTAAAAAGAAGGGCAGAGGGCAAAAAGTGGGGGTATGAAAATTGATCTCTTCAATCTTGTCTCGGGACTTCATAGGCGTATTGATGAGCGAATGGAGTGAAAGAAAAGAAAAGAAAAGAAAAGAAACGAGAAAGCAGAGAAATAGAATATGGAATATGGGAAATGTAGAAAGGAATGGGAAAGTAAAAGTGTGAAGATCCTGCTGGCCAGCAGCCCAGCTCCAGTCAAAGAGAAGTAAAAGAAAAGAAAAAAGGTGACAAAATAATCCAGAAAGAAAATATAAAAAAAATCATGTCTCATCCCAGTCAATCTATGTCGGTGGAAAAGCCCATCCAGGCGTAAAACCAGGGAAATAAGGAGAATCCTGCGTCTGAAACGGGAAATCCCCCAACATATCCCCCGGCAAGCCCCCCATCTGATGCGGAAGAGGCCGCATAATACCCGTATGCATTCTAGCCGTCGGTTTAACATCCTGCTGCGCATCCGCGCAAGCATCCAGGTAATACGTGAAACCCTGCTCATGCCGATGAACATTTGGAAGCGACGACGCAGCGGAAGCGATATCGACATGATGTGGCGAGAGCTCGCTCGAGCCCAGATCTAACGCCGTCATACCAGATGACCTGCTCTGCTGTAGTGCCATGAGATTCTGATATGCGGAATCCGAGTAGCCGTTGACATTGTAGCCCTGTCCGCTTTGCATGGACTGCATATCCCAGCCCCAGTTGCTTGGGGCGGCGGCGCGGGCCATTGCGGGGTTTGTTTGGGTGGGGTTGTGACTTGTGCAGAGGGATGGGCGCGAGAGTCTTGTTGGCGAGGGCTCCGGGGGTGTGGTTGGCTCTGGAGAGGGCTCGGCTGTGGCGCTGCATTCTGTTGAGGTGGAGAGCAGGCGGAGGTAGCGGAGGTCCTCTGAGTCTTCGTCTGGCTCGTCGGCATTTTCTTCGGCTTGTTTGATTAGGCCTAGGCGATCGAGGATGGCGTGGGTTAGAGGGTGGCCGTCTGGGGCTTCTTCGAGGGGATCTCCGGGAAATCCCTCGTTTGTGATGCAAAATTTGTATAGTTTCTGGAGGGCTTTTACGACCAGTGAGTGATGAGACTCGAGCATTTCGACAAATCTGGATCGCGTAGAAAATCATGGTCAGTTTGATCCTTATATATGGGTTCATGAAGAGAAAGCGCTTTTTTGTTTACCCTCGAGAATATACTTTTGTCTGTGTGGCCTTTCGCTCCCGGAACAGACATGGGTGATTGTATACTGAGCAACGATTGCAAGGCTGTTTCCCATCACACTGTAAAATGGATATGCACGCTTTAGTTGCCATGTTTTTTTTCAAAAATTCACAGAATTGTCTAAGCAAGGAGCTGAAATATTAGTACGCACCTTTGTCTTCTTCACCCGACAACGATCGCAGGCTTTCAGGACATGCTTCCGCTTGACTCGAAACACGCGTTGATCTCGTTTCTCATCGCCAGTTCGTGAACGGTGGTCCAGCTCGGATAATGAAGCCACGGCAAAATCGTCAATGCTGTGTGGGAAGCCCTTGGGGCGTAGCTTTGGTTGCCACGACATGATCTGCTACTGATTTGGATTTGTTCCCTCAGGGACAAAAGTGGAGGCGAAGTGGATATAGTATGGGTATAGAATGGTAATAGATGGAAACCAGTCAAAGTTGGAGTAGATCAGAGAACTTTAACCGGGTGGGAGGAACAAAGAAAAAAGAAAAAGTGATAAGCAGGTAAAAAAGAAAAAAAAAGCAAAAAACGAAATTCAATGGAGCAGGTGGGGTGTAGATGATATGGGACTTCAGCCGCCAACTGCATAGACCTTAATATCATGCAAGACGAAACCGGGGCCAAACCAACCTGCTCAACCCCCCGCATGCCCCGCGGTGAGTATAGATTGGGTGACGTGGAGCGGTCAGAGACAACTTTTCGAGTGACTTTTGAAGTTCAAGTCCAAGATTTCTTTTTGGTTTTTTTTTTCTTTTTCTTTTTTCTTTTCGATTTTGAGATTTGTGGAATTTTGGGGGTGATTTGGTAAATTCAAGTTTGGGAAAGCAGGGATGAATTGGAGTAAATAACGAATGAGATGTTTGAAGTGATTCAGTGGTTTTCAGTGGTTTTTAGTGGTTTTCAGTGGTTTTTCAGCAATGTAGAAGGTAATGATTGTAATTTAAATGTATTGACAGTATTGTCCTAAATCAATTTACCCACTAGACGGTCCGAGCCGAGAGTGGAGATTCCTGCAAGCACAAAGAGAAAAACATACACATAATCCCGGTCATTTGGGCAGAGACAGCAGCACTTGAGAAGAGTAACGTCCTGTCCTACCGATACACAGATCAAGATCGACACGTGTTGGAACAGAATCATCTACCAACCGGTTATGAAACCATATATCAGAGTTCAAGTATAGGAACCTCGGCAACCATTTTCTCTCTGTTCCCTTTTCTTCTCTCTAATTCTAATCCTTCTCTACTCGAATTTCTCAGCTCAAGATTTTCCAGGTCAATGCGTATATCAGGTGATATCCTGGTAGTCCATGCACCGAAACGTGGTACGGCGTGATATGCCCTCGGTCATGGGTAATCCCGGGAAGTCTTGTTATCTGGTCTGCAGGGAACATTACCTGTACAAGTCCAATGTTACCCTTAGCTTTGAGAAATAGGGAACATTGAAACATAAAAACATTGAAATATTGAAACATGGAAACATGGAAACATGGAAACAATTGAAATATTGAAACATCGAAACATCGAAACAGTCACCACTTTTGGGCTGAGAAAAAAAAAGAGACTTGGGAGCCAAGGCACTAACACTGACAATCTATTTTGATAACCAGCCTTGCGAAATAGAAAAAAAACAAAATAGGAAATAATAATGCATCTGCTATATAGGTAGGAGACGGGCGCAAGTTACTACTACTTTCTCTTTAACTTTTCCTGGCTCATCGCCCATTCCCTTTTCCCTTTCTCCTGTCCTAAACGCCCAGGCAACTCCCCTCCTACCCAGTTCGGCCAAACTGGTTAAAGCCGGCGCAACACAAGCGCAACGAGGTGTACGATCAGATCCCGCGCTGACATTGGAGGGCACCAGCAAGGCTGTGTGGCCCTAATCAGAACAATTTCTGCCATCTGAGATGCAATGGTGGAAATTGCAATCCCTTCCCCCCCCCCCTATGGATTTCATCTTTCCCTGATCATAGGGCAGACGGTGCGACAATGGTTGGTGACTGGTGACTTGGAATCAATTCATTTCTTATTTAATGCAATACATGCAACATTTGAATACATCTCTGAACCCCGACAGGAATCTATCTACTTGGGACTTTCAACTGGTTGATCCCATGTCCTTTTTTTTACTTCTAGGATTTCACCGGTCAACGAAAGAAATGAGAAACCAAAAGCAAATTAAAAAGAATTATTCCCAAAATTCTCAAACAGAAAACAGAAAACAGAAAACATCCCTGGAAAATTGGAAGAGAGCATTGGTTGAAACCGGGTGACCTTGCGCGAAAACACTACCCCGAAGGATTATTGATTCGGCAAATGCACTTTCCGTTCTCCGTGCCCCGTCTTCTTCCTTATGTCCGTGGACCAACACACGTTCTCATGTCTCTGAGAGAGTCAGAGAGCAAAAAATCCAGTGAGAAAGCTGTGCATATCTGTGGATCTATCTGCACGTCTACAACTAGTGGCTGCGGGAGGTTCACCGATGGATTTCAATCCCACGGGCCACGAGGCACCCAACCAAAACGAAAACTAGGAAAAAGAAAAAAGAAAGAAAAAAAAAGCCTTCCATATCTGCATGAATCTAACCAGATCTAAATGATACGTTTGTGTTTTCCGTTGGGAGGGAAAAAAAGAGAGGGGAAGGGCTGAGTGGCCCCATTGTCCCTTCCCGTGCCCCTTTCGTGGCCCAAATCTGTCAGATTGGAAGCTAGTGGGAAACCCCTACTGTCGGGAAAAGGTGATGCACCATGCAGCAGCGCCCCCAAGCTCAATCACCCAATAGCCTCGGAGAAAATGCGAGTCAGATCAGCAGGACAATGTAGTTTCTTTCACGCCTTTCGTTTCTCTAAGCACGCCCCAGGTACGAGGTACGGCGGACCGTCCACCCACCCAAAAACCAAGGACAAAAGAATCAAGTAAGATTTCCGAGGGGGAGGGGGTGAGCTGTTGATCGTTGGTTATTGATTTGTTTGCCTCCCTTTTGCCCCTCCATGGGAGCCTAACACTTGTCCCTTTTCACATCATTCTCCGAGTTTCACATTGGGGAGTAGAATACTAGCTTCTCCTTTCGCAAGCAAATCAAAACTCTCCTCGCTCGTCGGCGAACTAGACGCCAGATGATCAGGCGGCAAGTCGTGTACCTCTTGCTCCGGCTCTGACGGCTCACGGCCACCCTGGTACCGGCGTTCCCCAATCCATTCGATCCCGTCCCCCGCACCACGGGTGCCAGCTGGGCGACGCTCACCCTCACCTTCCAGAAGGGACAACTCGCTTCGGGCAGCATTCTCCCCCCAAGTGAGAAGGGGCAGATGACGGCGGTGCCACTCGCCTAGGAACATTCCTTCGGGGTCAACCTCCTGACGCACCTTCATCCATTCGTCCATGTCCTCGCCATACAGCCCGTGAAGCTCGGTGGGACCGAGGACCGAGAAATTCTTCGCCCAGTGAGGTTTGGCATCCATGTCCCGCATGAGCCATTCAAAGGCCTCGTAGAAGCGTCGTCGGCACGGCGGATCCCGAAAGTAAGGCCGGTAGAGTGTCGCATTCAAGTAGAGTGTTGGGCCATCACGGCAGGTAGGGTCCAGGAAGGGACGAGGGCGAGGATTCTTGGACGAATCTGACACCCGCACCTCGATCGGACAGTGCACATAGAGTCCCTTGCTGGAGAACGGGATGCCCGCCGTCTTGCTGTCGCCATGCAGCCAAGCAGAGAGACGGATGATGGTCTCCGGTCCCTTTTCCAAGGGTAGAGCCCATTCGTTGACGAATTGCGAATACAGACAGTTCATGAGCAGACCGTCGCGCGCCGGATCAACCGCCTCCGTGACGGTGGTTCCTGGTCGAAAACCGTACTGCATGCCAAAGACAAACCACTCCACCCACGGCAGAATTCGGGGGAAGTATGAGGACAGAGCTAAAAGGTTGTGGTAGACGTGGTATCCAAACCACTCGCCGTAGAAGTTCTTCGGGGCCGCGCGCAGCGGGAGATCGGTTTGGTCAGCTCGCCAGACAATCGCGCCCTTCTCATATGGCATCCACCAGACGCGGACGAATTCATGAGACGTCCATAGTCCGGTTGTCCACTCGCTGATCACCTGCGATAACGAATATCGCTCCTGGCGCCAAGCGATGTTGAACGCTGGTCGCGCCTTGAAGGTCACCTCCACGATGATGCCGAGGGCACCCAGGGAAACAAGGGCAGCGCGGAAGAGGGACTCGTTGCTAGTAGCGCTACAGCGCACTAACTGACCGTTCGGTAGAACCAGGGCCAATGATTCGATGCATTCCGAAAGCAATCCGTGGCGTAGAGAACTTCCATGTGTTCCTGTCGCAATGACCCCCGCAATAGACTGACTATCAATGCTTCCCAGATTTTCCAATGTCAAGCCCTGTTCTTCCAGTCGATTGCCCAAGTCGTATAGTCGGATACCGGCCTCGACAGTAACCATGCGGGTTGTGGGGTCGATGTGAAGAATGCGCTTGAAGTCATCAAGGTTGACGAGCCAGGACGAGGTGCAGGTCAAATCGGAGGGGGAGTGGCCACTGCCGACAGTGACCAGGCGGCGGCGACATCTTCGGGCAAGGGTGACGAGCTGCTGTATCTCAGGGATTGTTTGCGGGCGAATGTAGAGCTCCGGTCGGGAGTAGAAGGTCTTGGCCCAGGTATGGTGGACGTGGTCGGTTGACGCGCGGAATGGGACCGCGGAGTCGAGCTTAGACAGCTCACGAGTGATGAGAGGGTCCATGATGCTGTTTCTCTGTATGACAATCACGGCATGTTGCAGACCACAATCACATTATCTGTCCAAGTAGGGATGTGAAGTCTGGTGGGGGAGAAAAGGGATAAAGAAATCACGCTAAAAGAAGATTAGTATGGCGACATGAGAAGTTTGATCGGCCCACTTTGCTTTGATATCCAGTTATTCCCCCACTTCTGTACCGACTTCTTTTATATTCACTTCAACTTTTCGTCTCTGGTTTAATTTATCTAGCTTTCTAAAGCTGGTCTCCAGTGTTTCACAATGTCCAGGCTCTTCTTTTTTTTTTTTTTTTTTTTTTTTTTTTATCCTGCTGTGTACCATGCTTATAAATTCAAATCCCTGTGAGTACTAGTAACCTTGGAATTCTCCCGCCAAAAGTTTACTAGTTATCTGCAGCCTCATCATCGATAAGCCAATGATCCACGCCGTGTTAATTCTTCCGGCTAACTAGTCATGCACTTAGATTATGTCTTCTGACTCGTTCTCGTTTACAGCTCAACCTTGGAAGAGGACAAGTATACAGAGTTCAAATGTTCAAGATATTCGTAACATGAAAAGAATCAGTTTTTCCCCATGACTTTACATAGTATATGGATAAAATGCTTGCAAAATGTGACACATACAACCCAGATGCTCCCGATGCTCCTCTAGGGAAACAATGATGGTAAAGACTCCAGCCACCCGTGAATGCTCTCTTTACAGGGCCGAAATATGCACAAAGAAATAAGAGGACAAAATAAAACAATATGAGAACAAAAATAAAAAGAGAGCAAAGAAAAATAGGCAAGATAGAAAAAATGAAATGCAATACGTAAATAAAACAGTAAAGACACACACAGGATGTCTCTTAGTTGGCCGGAGAACGGATCGCTTCAATCGCCACGTCAAGAGGGAAAACGCAGGGGGCGTGAAGAGAGGATATGTTCCATTTGCGGAATGCGCTTTGGCATCGGTCTGGGATACCACCGAGCGACACGAAGCTCTTGGGGATGAAAGGTCGGTCTTGGAGCGAGGCAGCAAGTATACCGTACTCGTGTGCGAAGACCACGGCAGATGCAAAGTCTGCGGACTTTTGGAATGCTTGTTCACCGACAATGACATAGATCTCGAAGAAGGTATCCAAGACATAGACATCCTTGTCCGTCAAGTCTCGGTAGCAGAAGGGTTCAATCTCCTGAACCGTATCGTTCGGGCGAACAGTCGGTGAGCCAGAGCCAGGACGACGCATCCAGAAACGAGTTGGCTGGCCCAGCTCGTGGTCAATCCGAAGAAGACGGGTCCGGAAATGATCGAACTTCGGCTTCAGTCGCCAGTAATCAGCTGTCAGCAGCGCGTTGGTTTCGTTAGAGCCTGCAAAGTCCTCAAAGAAAGTTTCAGGCTCTTCGCCCTCGCCCACTTCTTCGAATTCGCCGGTTAACCCGAGATCCATGCTAATCAGCCGAGCTGCGCCGGTTTCCTCGGGCCCACTGCCCTTGCCCTTCCACAGGTAAAGCTTGCCAAATGGTGCTGAAATCACGAACGGGAACCCAGAGCACAAATTGCGGAGCGAGTAGTCGACTTCATCAAAGGCCATTTGTCCCAGATGTTTGCGGCCGCAGAGCATGTACAAGGAAGATGAAGTCAAGCGAGAGCTAGATCCACGGCGAGTGATGATAATGCCACCAAGGGCTTGGATAAAGCGCATACGCTCCTTGCCCTGACGGGTCACTTGTAGCTTGCAGCCGTTCTCGCGGGCTACTTTACGGGCAAATAGCTGGGCGTCATCCAGAGCCGCTTCTGGAACGTCGTCTCCACACCACAGGTAGACTTCAGCGTGGTTACCGCCATCTGCTTCGAATAAATGCACGCACACGTACATGCTACCCTCGTACAAAACATACTCCTGGTTGATAGGCAGCTCTTGCTTCTTTCCATCGCCTGTCATTTCCCAAATCTGTCGCTTCACAGTTCGAATCTTGGTGTCATCCAGTTTGCTTGACAACATCAATTGCGGGTCAATGTCCATCCGGTCTCGTGGATTAGGAAATGACTTGAAGAAACCTCCGATGACCTCCCGGGCTTCCGCAGCCTGGGCCACTAGGGAAGGCGCGGACATCTTTCGCGAAAGTCTATTGCGAGGATCGATTGGCTTTGCGAGAGAGACACCGGTCTTTTTAGGTGGCACTGGTGGTGAGCCGCTAACCTTGCTCTGTGGTGAAGAGTCTGCAACCATGACCCCTGGGGTGATTTTCGGAGAAGGCGTTGAAGGCAAATCTTTTTGGATTTCTCGGGAGCTCATGCGAAGTGGAGAGGGCGATGATGAAATGTATCGTGCTTGGCCCCACTGGAATCGCGACGAGGGACTGGATGGTGATGGAGATGGCGAGGGTGATGAGCTTGGTTTCGGTGGGACAGGGGGTCTACTTGATGGGCTGGCGTCTCTGGTCGATTCGAAATCGCGAGAGACGCGCTCGTTCGGGCTAATGGGGTTGAACTCTTTGGGAGAAGTGGGCGATAAGTTTCTCAGTCGTTGCAGTCCGCCGTTGAGAACATCCTGGAAGCTGGTCTTTACTCCTGGAAATTGCTTGAGGTAGGGGCTCCCTATTTGTGCGGTTTCAGTATCGAGAACCACGTTGTCTGTTGACTTATTCTCCGAGATCGCTTCCGGAGAAACTGAAGGCTCGGGAATAGTCTGAGATATTTCGACTTCAGGAGATGAGATGGCACCAACCTCCTTGATATCCTCAGCAGGTGAGGCAGTGGAAGCAGCGGCCCCCTTGGGTGCTCGTCGCTTGGGCCCCCTCGCACGACCCTTGGTCGCGTGGGTGAGAGGCGCAGATGGCAGGGCGGGAGAGGCATCTCCAGAGGCTGGCACGGGCAGCTCTTTCTTGGGTCCTTCGGCTGGACTTGGAGGCCCCCGAGAGAGAAGGCCCGCTAGTGCGGGGTTGATTCGGCCTGCAAGTTTTCCTTTAGCGGCAGAGACATGTGTTGTTGTAGCCATGCTCGCGGTATCGACAGCCTCGGGCGACGGCAAGCTACGAGCCGAGCGAATGGTATCGATTGAAGGCTCTCGTTCTGTCTTCATGATTGGCCTAAAAGCCTCCTCCATATAGTTTTTGTCAGTCTCGAGGCTGGGGCTAAGGCCAAACTCCAAGTCTGCAAATTTTGGCTCGCTAGCAACCGGGGATGCTTCCTGAACCTCACCCGAACTGGGACGAGATACAGGTGATAGTTGTGATCGGAAAGATCGTGTAGGGCTGAGCTCTGGAGCAGCGGTAGGGCTCTGTATTTCAGGGTTTGTTTTCCGGATACTGTTCGTCTTCGTCATGAGGTTACGCTTCGCAAGGGCCTCTGGAACAGGTTCGGCTGGCTTTGGTGTATCCTGTTCTCCCACAGTGTTTCGTCGAATCGAGCCTCCTCCAGCTTTCATTGCCTCCTTTTGACTCACAAGACTCTCCTTGAAATCATCGACTCGCTGGGTCTTCTTCGGGCCACCGGTCGCGTTCAAGGCGGACTTGCCGCGAAGAATGTTGCTCTTGAGAGCATCCGGAGCCACGTAGTTTCGAGTCTCTGTTTTCTTAAGTTTTCCAAATACATTCTTGAATTCGGGCTCTGTTTCCTTGCCCTTATCTTGAGCAACATCACGTTTGCGCAAATTTCCACGGAAGTCGACAACTGGAGATTGAAGCTTGGGCTTTGGTGAAAGTGGCTCTCGTGTAGGGAGCGAGAAATTAGGCTTGGGACTCAGTGCAGCAGGCTTACGAATTGACGCGAGCCTTGAACTGACCTCAAACTCTTCCACTGGTGGCTTTTCTTGGGGCTCCTGCGTTTCTTTTTCTGGCGAAGCTGAAAGAACCGGCTCTTCTTCTGCTTCGTCTTCTTCTTTTTCCTCTACGACCTCTGGGACCTCCAGGACCTCGGGGCCCTCGGGCTCAAGCTCAGGCTGAGGCTCAATCTCAGAAACGGACTTCGTCCGCAGTGGTTCAGATTCCAAGGCAGATGGCGGGGAGTCCGGTACTGTCGGTTTTTTGGTCACACTTGGACTGCCAAGCACGGATGGAGTTCCAGAAATGCTAGGCTTTTTGAAATGACCACCTGGCGGTGGTGTTCGCATCAAGCCCACCGGTGTGACTTCTTTGAAGGTACTCGCTCGGCCAAAATCCACACTGCCTCTAGATTGTCGCGCTTGTTGTTGCCACGACGGCTGCGGTGGGGGTGGCTTTGACTGCCGTGATTCCGGTCGGTTGAGTGCACTCTCCAGCCAGGTGGATTTGGTCGGGCTCCAGCGTCTAGGGTCCATAGTTCTCGACGTGAATGGGCTTGATGGACTATCGCCACCAAAACTGTCCGCGGTCACTGAGCTGGTAGATCTAGCGTGGCCATATAATGGAGGTCTGCTAGGACTTCCTTCAGAGCGCATGGCGTCGTATTTCCCCGAGAACGAAGGAGTAGTCGGTCTCTCAGTCGTTTCTGACGGTTGCACAGATGCTTCAGTGTGGCTCGAGCCGGGTCGCTCTGTAGGTGCTGGCGCAGTTTCCCGGTTGGTTCGAGAGGTGGTAGGTGTCATGTCACTGAAGCTGGCCGTGAGGCTAGGAGCCGCAACACTGTTTCGGTTGCTAACAATGGAGTTGCTTCGGCTCAGACCCTGTGGAAGCTGAGCGCTCCATCGTTTTGATACACTGTCGGATCGCCTCATCATAGCACTCTGTACAAATCCACCGAGACCTTTAGTAGGAGAAGTCGAACGAGCTCGCTCCGGTGACATTCGCCGCTGCGTGGGAGACGGTGGTAGGGCCGGTTCGTCTGTCTGCATCTCGGTTTGCGCAGGGTCCAACTTCGGGGCCTCTGTCATTGCCACTGGCGAGCCTAGACCAGTGGCCGGTGAAAGCGACGACACACTTGAATATCGATTGCTCACATTGCTCTCCCCGACCGTCGACGCTGTCTGTGGCCGGGATGGTGACTTTTCCTCCGCTGTCTCGAATTTCTCCGGTTCAACTGTTGACTCAACATCCATGCCTGGCAACTGACGACTCGGTCCTAAATCCACGTGGTCTTCTGACCGTTCCTCTGACTTTAGAAATGCAGGTGATCCCAATCCGCGGTCCGCGGTCTGTCGAAACCAAGATGGGTCTTTCGACGAAAGCGACAGAGCTATCGAAGCCCGCGACATTTGGTTCTCGTTCGACGCCGTGGATTCATTTCGCAGGTGACTGGATCGAGTCGGTGATGTCGAGCCTGGTGATCTATTCGTCGCAAAATCACGCGAAGACGGGCGTTGCTGCCACGACAAGGTCCCCGCACGACTTCGGCCCCCCAGGGCGGGCACTGTTCGTGGAGAGCCGGATTCCATCTCTTGAACCGATCCTCGCCTGGAATTTGTGGTGTAAAACGGCTCCGGATCTTGACTTGGTTTTGCTCGGCTGAATGGCTCGGGATCCGGGGTCTGTACGGTCGGTTCGAGTAGTTCTGGGGGGTCGATGGATGAAACGCTCAGTCTTAAGGGATTCAGGGTAGGGGAACTGGCAATGGAAGATCCGGCAATCGATCGTGCTCGCTCTGGTTTCATCTGGTCAGTATCTCGTGGGAAAATGGTGGGTGGGTCATGACGCCAAAATAGCGCGGGGTTCTGGCTACGCCAGCGCCCGCAAGGATAACGGAGCCAAGAACTGAAGGGAGGGGCAGTGTGTACCAGCTCGACGGGCTTGTCTTTCTTTGCGGCCTTGCAAGATCTCATCCTCCAGTCGCTTAGTGCGCTCGTCATCTTCTTTGTCACGACGCTCGCCGAGTTCCCGAATGCGCAGTAGGAAATCGTTCACGTCCTCCGGACCATCTGGACTCTTGGTGGTCGTCATGATCCCGTTGCGCGTTTCCGCCAAGCGGGAATCTCTCCTAGTTGTATTTGGGGGAGAGGGGGGGAGTTGTATAAGGGAGGGGAAAAGAGTGGGAGGAAGGAAGAAGCCAAGGGCTGAGGTGTGTCTCCGCCCTGCTTAAATTGAAATGGGGATGCGCGCGATCCATCGCAAGTCATTGGCTCCTCCGATCTCCATTTTGCATCCCTTTGCTCCAAAAGTTCTCACAAGGATCCATTTTCTATATTTAATTAATGGGACTGATCTAAGCTACTTGACTATCCCGAGGCCATTTTTGGACCTCTTTTTTTTTGAAAATTTTAAACATTTTGGTATATTTACGTTTTGTTTGTTTACTAAGGTTTTGTGGAGCGGATCGCTTCCAGGTTCACGCCCCGCTGGTTGTTCGGCTTTCAATTTTAGTCCCATGGAATTTCGCCGCAATGACGAAATGATGGATTTTTTTTTCTTTCCCTTAAAAAAAAAGGGGGACGCTAGTATATCTGATCTATCAATCAGGTACAGAGTACATGCAGTTCTAACATGGAATGTATTGGTTTTTCTACTCAAGTCCTACATGCATCGTTCAACCACTTAAGTCTAGTATGCAGTCGACGGGTTCAATGCGTAAGGTATCGGAGAATTTGCTATGAATCCATATCTTTCGGGCATATGCGGTCGTCCGTTGGGCAGGACCGCTAAAAAGATGGTGAAAAAAAACCAAGGTTAAACCCTTTAGAATTAGAACTCAACTTGGATCTCAACTTGGATTCAAAAGTCCAACGCTACACCGCATGGAAGTTTCCTACCCTGGCTCAACCAGACAACCAGGTCACGGAGCCAATAACCCTCCCAGGTTGGAATATATTCCCGAAAGTGCCATATGAAGATCCTCCGGGGCAACAATAAATCATGTATTCGAAGCCATGTTAGTAGAGGAACAATCGGTCTTTCGCATCCTGTACCACCCACTCCAACCCTTCATTCAAGTTTTGTCCTGTCATAGCACTGCATGGGAGGATAGTCCATTTATGGGTTTTGATTGAATCCAGCCCAAGGCGCTGTGAGGGATCCATCAGTTCAATCCCGCGAATCACTGGGGATAGAAATCAAGAAAACAAAACATCACGTACCTCTCGCACCTCTTCCTCATCCATGCAATGTTCCACATCTGTTTTGTTCAAGAACACCAACAGACTGGCACCCGTCAATCGCTGTCGGAGGTTAGCTCGGGATCCCGAGAATTTAGGTGGGGACCAAACCTCCTCCAGCAGCAGCCCAGCCAGCTCTTCACGACAATCCTCCACCCGGAGTCGATCGGTTGCATCCACAACCCAGACCAAAGTATCGGTCTTTTCAAAATAATTTTTCCAGTAGGAGCGTAGTGTCTTTTGTCCACCCACATCCCCTGCTTCAAGTCAGTCTCTCATCGATGCCACCCGTAGTGCGACTCACAAATGTTCAATTTATATCTAGGTTGAGTCAGTAAGCATAAGACAATTTTTTTATAGAAGGATCGAAGTTCCAGTACTCACCCCATGAAATCAATAGTCTTAATGATAAAGCCCAATGTTGGACTGACGGTGGTGACATCCTCATTCATGATTCTTTTCACAATGGTGGTTTTGCCCGCATTATCGAGTCCTCTATACCCTGTATTAGCCGACCCCCATCCCTCAGCGATGGATTATAAGGCACTAACAGCATTAATACTCGCATTTCCTTGTCCTTTAGACGAGCTTTGCGCAAGATAGATAGCATTATGCTGAGTGGTCTGATATCCAGTAAGCGATGTGAAGAGCAAGATTGTGTAGCGGATAAAGACTGATTGTGGACGTGACCGTTCCGCTTCTACCTTTGTATAGATCAACCACACTTACCATAATCCTTGGCGATTGATGATTATACTGGCAAATATAAGCTTGGAAATTTCTACAGAATGAAATTATAATTTACTGGAATCGAGAGCTCAAAAACAAATTAGTTGACGATTGGTGGCCGCACTAATCCACTTGATAAATTGATTATAGACGGCAGTATAGCCTTATCTGGTCTCCTTACCTTGTATATAAATAACAGAGCAAAGCGGTTACAATTTCTTCTACAATAGTGCCGGTGTAAACATATTGAAGTTGCTAACTGGCAACTGACAACAAGCTCAGTCAATATCAAGCAGCCAAGCTACTATATCTGTCCCCACTATGGCTTACGTGATCCTCTTATCGCCCAATATTTTTTTCTGCCAACCAATTTTTTCTCCGCACACCGCCTGTTGATTTCTTCCTAGAGATTACGGGTTGAGTATCTAGAGATCCAATTGCTTTATTCACTCCATTTATTGGAAAATTATCCTATTGAGGCAAGAGATACTTATTCCAAGTATCTACGCGAGTGAATCCATTCCTCGCCAATTGCCTCCATCATGGCTCCAAAAGACGACGACTTTGTCTTTACCTTGTCCGACGAGGAGGATGTCCCCCGTTTCGACGATGACGAGGAGGAAGGAGACGAGATGAACGGCGCGGCCGATGCCAGCGACAACAAGAAGCGCAAGCGCGAGGCTGAGACCTCCAAGGGAAAGAACAAGAAGCTGAAGCAGCAGAACAAGGACAAGAAGAAGGGCAAGGGCAAGGGCAAAGCTGCGCCAGTCGAGGAGAGTGAGGAGGAGGAGGAAGAGGAGGAAGACAATGAGGAAGCTCCAGCCGGTGATGATGATGGCGCATTGAACCCCGATTTTGAGTTCGATGTTGCTGGTTTGGCGACAAACAACGTTACCGAAGGCTTTGACGGATGGGGTCTCGAGGATTCCAAGCAGAATGGTCCCGGTGGAGATAAGAAGGCCGTCGACATCGATGATATTATCACACGGAGAAAGGAGAAGAAGGATGCCGCTGCTGCGAAGAAGCAGAAGAAGAAGGACGCCGCGGAGCCTGTATTTGAAGGCGTGGAAAGTGCCGACGAAGATGGTGGTGTCGAGGTCGATTTCAAAGACGATGAATTGATGGCCGATGATGCCTTTGGTATGGGTGCTGATGATGCTGAAGAGAGCGAAGCTGAGGGTCCCTCGGGCCCCGAAGACAACGACGAGGAAGAGGAAGGAAGCGACGACGAAGACGATGAAGACGACGATGCTGCATCTGACAACGACTCCGTCGCTACCCCCGTTAACCACCCCGACGACGTCTCTGACCGCGAGGATGCATCCGATGATGAGAGTGAGGTGGACGCCGAGGAGGCAGCGAAGCGCAAGGCGTTCTTCGCTCCCGAAGAGAAGACCGACGGCAAGACCGACAACAAGAGCACATTCCAAGACTTCAACCTTTCTCGTCCTATTCTCCGAGGTCTCGCCTCGGTTGGTTTCACAGATCCCACACCAATTCAGCGCAAGGCCATTCCCGTAGCACTTCTGGGCAAGGATATTGTCGGTAGTGCCGTGACCGGTTCCGGAAAGACTGGTGCTTTCATTGTCCCCATTCTCGAACGTCTACTCTTCCGCCCTCGCAAAACCCCTACTTCTCGTGTCGTTGTTCTAATGCCCACCCGTGAGTTGGCGGTGCAATGTTACAACGTCGCCGTCAAGCTGGCTACCTTCACCGACGTCACCTTCTGTCAACTTGTTGGTGGTTTCAGTCTCCGTGAGCAGGAAAACATCCTTAAGAAGCGCCCTGATGTTATTATCGCCACGCCCGGTCGTTTCATTGATCACATGCGCAATTCCCCCAGCTTTACTGTTGATACCCTTGAGATTCTCGTTCTTGATGAAGCCGATCGTATGCTTGAAGACGGATTCGCGGACGAGTTGAACGAGATCTTGACCACTATCCCCAAGTCTCGTCAAACCATGTTGTTCTCCGCTACTATGACTGAGAAGATTGACAGCCTTATCCGTGTTGGCTTGAATCGTCCTATGCGGTTGATGGTGGATGCCAAGAAGCAGACTGTCGTAACCTTGACCCAAGAATTTGTCCGATTACGTCCTGGTCGTGAGGATAAGCGTCTCGGATATCTGCTGTACCTGTGCAAGGAAATCTACACTGGGCGCGTTATCGTCTTTTTCCGACAAAAGAAGGAGGCGCATCGGGTACGCATCATCTTTGCTCTCATGGGCTTGAAGGCGGCCGAATTGCACGGTAGTTTGAGCCAAGACCAGGTATGTTTCCGACTCAAGAAAAGAAAACCCCCTCTATCTTTACGTCGCAGTCGCGTATTTCCACCAGGATCAACAAATGCTAATTATTATTTTTAATCTATAGCGTATCAAGAGTGTTGAGAACTTCCGAGACGGCAAGGTGGCCTATCTCCTTGCGACCGATGTCGCCTCCCGTGGTCTCGATATCAAGGGTGTGGAGACCGTTATCAACTACGAGGCCCCGCAGAGCCACGAAATTTACGTGCATCGTGTCGGTCGTACCGCTCGTGCCGGTCGCACCGGTCGGGCCTGCACAATCGCCGCCGAACCCGACCGTAAGGTTGTCAAGGCAGCCGTGAAGGCCGGTAAATCCCAGGGTGCCAAGATTGTCAGTCGGGTGGTCGAGACAGCGACGGCTGACGAGTGGGCCCAGAAGGCAGTCGATCTCGAGGGTGAGATTGAGGAAGTCCTTCAAGAGGAGAAGCTTGAGAAGCAACTGTCACAGGCCGAGATGCAAGTGAACAAGGGAGATAACATGATGAAGCACGGAGCGGAAATCATGTCCCGACCCAAGCGTACCTGGTTCGAATCGGAGCAACAAAAACGGACGGCTAAGCAGGCGGGTGCGGAGGCACTCAACGGGCCCAACGCTCAATCTAAGAAGGTCAAGCTTAGTAACAAGGATATGAAACGATTGGATGATGCGCAGATGCGCCACGATGGCAACATTGGGTGGAAAAAGGGCAAGGCGGAGCGAGACGCCCGAGATGCGCCTCATGCAAAGGGCAAGGAAAAGAAGAAGGGCAAGGGCAAGCCATCGGGTAAACCCCAGGGCAAGGGCAAGGGCAGGAAATAAAGTCCCTCAATTGTATCTTTAAAATGTTTGGATACCAGGCGCAATCATATATAGGGTGCACTGCTTCCTATAAGGAAACCACCCAGTTTTTTTTGTATAGAAAATTCCAATTCAATGTTTCCAATGGCACAGATCATATTCAAATGTTATATGCAGCTTGATGATTGGAATGTTTCACTTCACACATGAGTTTATCATTGTCTTCTCGTAATCTCGTTTCAAATGGTGGATTTTGCAGTGGGGAAAGAAAAGCCAATGTGTGATAGTCCATTTTCCGATCGACCTCTATTTCTCTTAGTTTCAACTCTACTTGTATGCCTTAAGACAGGTACGGGCCACATTGGGCATATATCCATATCCACAATTCTATCTGATCTTCCAGATATTCTTTCTTGTTTCTAGTCTATTCTATTGTTTTTTTTTCTCTTGTTTTTTTTTTTTTTCATTTTTCAAACTCTCTCTCGCCCGAGTTGACTTAAAAAACACTCTAAAACGGCACTAGGAAAGCTAGTAGGAACGCCCTGCATATAAGCCAACGATAATCGGGAAGGTGAAGCCCAAAGCGGAACTGGTGAATCCTTTCTCTGGCTTGTTCTACGGACTAAGAAAGCCTTATTCCAAGCTAAAACCGGCTTCTTAGTACTTTGAATATACCTATGCAGTAGAATTCAGAAATCAAATCAAGAAAAAAAAAAACAAAAAAAACAAAAAAAAACACAGAGTTTTCAATTAGTTTTTTTCTATTAACACTTGTTTCTTTTCTTTCTAAAAAATCTCCAAAAATCTCCAAAAAACCCCCCGCGATATCGTTTGCCTAAAGGGTAAAAGCCCCACGCCCAGTTTCCTTATTGAATCTCTTGGGGCCAAAATTTCGCCGAGTTCCCCTCCGTAACTCTCCAATTCCGACATTCTCCCCTTGCTTCGTCTTTTTTCCCCTCTTTTACCCTTGTGTGCTCAAGTGCTATCTTACCAAATAATCCCAAAAAAAAGAAGATCGCTACTTTCCTTTTTCCTTTATTGAATGCCAATGGAGGTCGCGTGCCGCGGTACCCCGTGAAGGTTGCGTCATGGGTGTCGAGGGTTCTTCAAGCATGAGCGATCTGCCTTTGAAGACAAGTCTTCCGCGGAAAAGCGCCTTCTCATGTGAAGCGTGCCGCAAGCGTAAGGTGGGCATGCGCATAATTCCTTTATATTGAATCTCGGATAGTTGCTCCGAGGCATCGTTCCCATAGGCTGATCAATGGAGCTATATAGGTCAAGTGTAACGGAGCTTCTCCGTCTTGTTCACGATGCGCCGCCCGTGGGGAGGTCTGCGTCTACAGCTTGTGAGTGACTGCGACCGGTCAACTTCCGCTTGGCTGATCCCCCGCCTTTTATTTTATATTTATTTTTACCTATCCTCTTGACGTCTTGAATTTCTTGATTGTTTCTTTCGTCCTTTTTTGCTCTGGTTCAAAACTAATAGCCATCCAGAGCTCCGACATTATCTTACACCAAACAACTCGAAACGAGGGTCGCACAACTGGAGGATGCGCTGTCCAAGCTCCGCAATCAAAATGTCGATGTCGATGCCAGGAAGGTCAGCTCACCGGCTTCGGTGGCCGAGTCGAGCTCCAGCGCTGGACGCAGGATTAAGATGGAGCATGATGAGACGGGTGAACTTGCGAGGGAGTTCGATGGGTTGAATGTGGAGAATGACGGTCGCATCTCATTTCATGGACCAACCAGTTTGTTCCAGCTGCCCAGTGGCGCTGTGAATGAGACCGCATCAACTTTACATTTTGCCCAGGAGCTAGAGGCCCGCAAGGAGCGATTAATTAACAGTGCGTGGCGAGAGCGAGCATTCGAGCAGATGGCGACGATGCCGGTAAGTTTCTCCTCTATCCCTGGGATCAAGAGATTTGAACTGACCTCATATTTAATTCTAGGAACCGTTTCAATACCTCATCGATTCGCATTGGTGCTGGATTCAACCCTTGTTCAACTTTGTATATCGTCCAGCATTTACCCGTTCGTTTACCCTACTCACTTATGACCTGCCCTTGACTGATTAGCTAGCAGGCGATATGAAGCTAAACGGCCCTTACTATTCGGATGTCCTACTAAACGCTATCCTATCCCATTCCGTACGATGGTGCAAAGAAGAGCCTCAGATGGGCCCCCTTCTCGAATCCTTTGACGGCGGAGCACAGTTCTACCAACGTGCACGATCCGGACTCTTCGAGACACTTCAGAGTGGCTACGCGGAAATCCCCACAATTCAAACACTCCTCCTTCTCAGTGCGCAAGAGTGCGGCCGTGGTAACCGAACACAGGCATGGCTATATAGTGGAATGGCATTCCGATTGCTAGACGATCTTGGAATTTCCATCGACAGTCGGAAATATCCTGGAACAGCGCAGTTGTCAGATGAGGATATTGAAATCCGAAACCGATTGTTTTGGAGCTGCTACTTCTGGGATAAGATTGTAGCTTTGTATTTCGGTCGGGCCCCAGTGATGCAGCATTCTCGAGTGAGCCCGCCGCGAATGATATGTAAGTTTTCCGCTTCTACCCAAAAACCTCATCCTACTCCGACTGACAAAATTCAGTGGACGACACATCAGAAATTGAAATCTGGACACCTCATGGTGTGACTTTTCCTGATGGAGCACAATATCCACCGACGCAGGCACATTCAACCTCGTGCTTTATGAGGATGTGTGGACTGGCAGAAATCCTAAACCAGATCCTCGTCCACATCTATGACCCAATGCGGCAAAGTACCGAGGCTGAATTCTTCGAGTGCGTTCAAGAGCAGGCCAAGAACCTCGGGGAGTGGTGGGATGAACTTCCAGACTATTTGAGACTGGTGGCCACCGATCTGCCTCCATACTGCCCACCAAGCCATATAATGACATTGAAGTACGTTATTCTTTCCTTTTTCTGCAAGGCACAATGCTAATCCCATTCAGCTGCTTATACCATACGGTCAATATCCTGCTCCACCGCCCAATACTATGTTCTCGCGCTTTGCTACAGACTCGCCAAGAACCATACGACACAAGCCATCTCGTCCAATGCATGGCCTCCGCAACATCGATCCTATCCTTATTCGATCTATACCGTCGAACATATGGAGACAGCCACGTCGTTCTCTCCCTTTCCTATAGCATCTACACCGCGGCCTCGATATTTCTCCTTGAAATCCAGGCCCTGAAATACGCTGCACCGGGCACACTCGACAAGCTCAAGTTCTGCATTCTCGCCCTGGAGCGAGTCAAGGTTACCAACCCAGTCATGGCAACCGCCCTAAACCTGGTATACCAAGAGCTCCAAAAGCTCCATATTGATATCCACGCCCCACCGAATCCCGAAAAACCCCATCACCCACCTCCCCAGCCGCGACCCCACTCAACACCCCACAGTCAATCTCCCTCCGTCAGCAGTAACCCTTCTCGTCACGTCTCCCCGAGCCACCAACAACAACACCAGCAACATCAGCAACATCAACGACAACAAAGTCGGGCCACCATGGGCACCCCGGCTCCCAATACAACGGCTCCAATGATGTCTGGCTATAATTTCCAACAACCCGTTTCAGGCTTCGATCTCTCACAGATGGGTGAAATGCCCCAAATGCCCCCGACACATTTACTCGGTGGCATGTCCAATGCGGTCATGTCTGTTGATGATCCGCGATCGTATGAGATCACGCCTGAAGTTTTCGAGGCATTTTCGTATGCACAGCCGATCACGACAAATATGACCTCTCCATTTGAGACGAATTGGCATAATCAAAGCCAGTGATTGGGGATTGGGGTTTCGATACGACGCGATTGATGAACTAAAAAGATGATTCCCAATTGGTTTTAGGTAGCGATGCAAAATTCTTGTCAAAAGCTTAGCGGATCCTTTCGATTGTTTTCCACTTGTTCAAATGTTCCAAGTTTGGATCTGATTGGTGTGTATATACCAGACTGTTTATACCTACCAAAATTCTGTGTGAATATATCACATGTGCATATTTTCAAAGAAATCATGATGGACATGCATGTGTACATACTACATGTACCTGCTTAGGAGCTCAAGTTGTAATGGACATCTTGATGTCCAGGTGTAGAGGTATGCTAAAAAAAGGTCGCCCAGATGGTTGTACCTGAGGTTGAAGGTATTACATTACTATAGGTGAGTGATTGATGAAGAGTGAACTGAAGGCAAGTGATTATTATAATTTTTTTTGACCACTACGTAGTGGTGCATTGGGGGCGCAAAACCCCAAAAATAGCGCACTAACTAAAAAATAGACAGAGTGTGTCATGGGTATGTAGTAAGTAAAGGAAGGGGACAATCCCCGAGGATCTAGATTAAGTGCAGTGGTGTAGAGGATATAATGCAAATAGTGGGCACGCGAGACAAGGAAAGAAAGCAAAAGGGTATGCGAGCCACTAGGGCACAGCCAATGAAAGTTGGAGGGGTATAGTTCAGTACTAGGCCACCGGTGGAATGGAAGATGGGCCAAATATACTGTACAGTTCCATCCATTCCAACTAAGCGCCATTCTTTTGTGTGTTCATGTATATAAGAAGCCAACTCCGCAAGAAATCTACAGAGTAGCCTTGGGCTGAGTATTCTCCCGAGACTCAACATCTTCAAACGAAGAAATCGAGTAATCCACATCCTTGGCACGCGCATTCCAGCGCATATACCACGGCCCAGCGAAAAGCTCATCCATCTGCTCCATAGAAACGCCCTTGGTCTCAGGCATCCAGAAACCCAGAATGACCAAGCCGAAGAAGCAGATTAGCGCCCAGAACAGGTACGCGCCCCAGACGTCCAGAGCAAACATATTCGGCGTGACGCGGACAACGGCGAACTGGAAGAACCAGTGCAGCCCCATTGAGATACCGTAGCAGACGTTGCGGATGCGGGTGGGGAAAATCTCGGCGCCGTAGAGGTAAGGGATTGTGCAGAGGCCGATGGACCAGCCAACGGCGTAGATGAAGACGGACGCGATAGCCGCGTTCGAAGCATTGGTGTTATCTGCCGAGCCTGGCTGAAGGCCCATGTAAGCGCCCATGTAGATGTGTGCAGCGAGTTGGAGCGAGAGGCCCGTCAGCGCACAGCGACGACGACCAAAGAGATCGATAAGGCCCCACGTGAACGCCATAGTGAAGACCAGCTTGACGATTCCGTAGGCGCCGGATGAGATGAGCGAGGCGTTGCTGCCGGTGATGCCGGCGTACTGGAAGATGGTAGAGATGTAGTAGGTGATTCCGTTGCCGCCGGACCACTGGGCGATGGTCTGCATGGCCATGAGGAGCCAGAAGCGCTGGCGGTAGTTCGGATTTAGTTGGGATTCCTTCAGGGCTTGCCAGTTGGAGATGGAGGCGAGGTCGGCGCGCTGCTTGGCTGCAGCGTCGATTTCGTCGAACTCGGCCAGGATGCTTTCGTCGTCGGGGGTTGTGCCGCGGAGGCGGGCGAGGACTTGCTTTGCTTCATCGTGGCGTTGCTTGGAGGCGAGGTAGCGGGGTGTTTCGGGGCACCAGAATGAGAGGACGAAGACGATGCCGACAGGGATTAGAGGGATGGCTTGGACTAGTCGGTATTGGGTGCGGGTGGCGGCCATGTGGAGATTCGCGCCATAGTTAATAAAGAAGCCTTATCGGCCGGGGAACGGGGTTAGCAGGGGTCCCTTGTAGTAAGAAAAAGAGAAAAGAAAAAAAAACAATAGATAAGTGATAAGAGACATCTGAAATGCCAAAAAAAAAAGAATGAAATAAAGGAAACTCACCAATTGCTAGAATTGCCAGTAATGTCACCATGGACAATCCGACAGCGAGACCTCGAGTCGCCTTTGGTGCCACTTCCGATAGGTACATGGGCGATGTGACTGTGAGGAGACCGGCGCCCAGGCCAGCGAAAATGCGGGAAAAAAGCAGCAAGCCATAGATACCGGAGGAAAAGACTTGAATAAAAGTACCAATTCCCCAGACAATAATAGCCAACCGGAAAGACAGAATACGACCAAGCTTATCGTTCAAGTACAGAGAGCTCAGCGCACCAAAGGCCGCGCCCAAAGTCAGAAACGACGAGATATTCGCCTTGCGGTTTGTTAATCCTGACGCATTTCCCTCCCAATTCGCAGAAAGGAGATCATAGTCCTTTTGGAATGATGGCAAGGATATGCTGGCACTAAACCCTCCCTCATCGTAACCTACAGTATCAACGAATCACTCGTTAGTGTCTCGCGTAACAAAAAAATCACCCCTTACTCGCGCCATATCCAACGAACATGGGCACGCGACAAGTCTCACGCGCAGTATAACGTACCTTTTGGCATGCATCCACAAGCGATAACCACAACGACAAAGGCATAGTATGGGGCTGTAGTCCATCGGGACCGATCCAGCCATTGCATGATGGCGATATTCACGGGTAAGAAATGATCGCAAGGATCGAACGAGTGTGGAGGCCGTGAGATGTGGAATCTGGGGAAGATAGAGCTGGGCGGCAAGGAGTGGGAATGTTGAGTGTAAGTGGATAGAAAGGACGAGAGGGCTTTCTGTTTCGGGATCCCGTGTTAAGTTTTCGGTCAACGTCCGTCTGAATTTTCGATGCTCTCGAACCTCCCCCAGCGCCCCTCGATTTCACGACTGACCCACGTATATCCACCGCCGTACCATGGGATCCACTACAACCATTACCCACTTACGGAGAAACCACGGAGAAAAGAGAGAAAGCATAAAAAAAAAGGAATGGAATGTAAGTACATGGCAGAAGGCGTTATATGTTGGTTGTTTTTTTACATGTAGACTGTGGTTTAAAACTCATCTATACTGTAACACCTCATATCAAGACAAACCCACGACGGCCATATGGATCCTCTTAATGACACTGGTTGATAAAGGAAGAGAGCTACTATATACTGGGCTTGAAGTTTAAACAAGGATCTAGTCCGGCTTTGTCCTTTCCCCTCAGATGTACGATGGGACTACTAGCTGCATGAGTTGCGTACCTCATGATGATTAGCTGCATACGCGGTTTCCTTTTCCGCTTTAGTGCCTGTGCCACCCGTTTTTAGCCGACTAAATCACGATCCGTGATGATAATCGTATACCCCATCACCTGTACGACATGCTCTCTGAAACATACTACATACCTGAGGTGCAAGAACACGGGCCTTGGACGTGCAGTAGTTTTGTTGGGACGGCTTCGATCAGGGACGAGGCTATAGCCCCCATATCCACCAGCCGCGCGGGACCCCCCCCTAGTGGAGAACATCCGTATGCACTTTCCAAGGTTGCGGACAACAGTACAACGCCGGCTGGGACGTGTATTCAGTACTTGTCTTCACTAACAACTTGAATACCTTCCGACTCCCTTGGCTTTGCTTTGTAGTCTCCCATCTAATCCCTTGTTCTGGACAACTTCGGCTTCGCGGTCTTGTTCTTGTCCAGTGGACTGCGCGCGACCAGTTCACGGATGGTGAAACCGCGCGTCTTTTCTTTTCTTTTTTTGCAATCGCATGCAACTAAACCTCCAAGTTAGTGCTACAATGCCGGTGGTATTGATAAGAAAGTAAAATATTGAAAAGGGCTCGGGAAGTATGGAGTATTTCTTGTGAATACCATTTTAGGTCTAGTGTCAATTGATCCGATTCAACATTAACATTGAATGGGAGGATCTTCGATGTTCTCTCTCGATCGTGCTACATCCCTACTAGGTAACAGTCTGTGCACTTTCAAAGCGGTGGAGTGTCGCAAGTCGTCAATAGTGATTATCACTATCTTTGACATAGCCGTGGAAAATACCATGCTAAATCAACTTGTATGTCTAAATCGGCTGCAACATAGATCGTGCCATTTGCAGTTTCGTCTCTGGAATAATCCCCATTGTGACAAGCGTAGCGATCACACGCACACACCACCCTTGACAGTTCTCCACGACAGCCTTCCTATTGACTGCTCGGGGAGGCACTTCCTCCTCGGCGACAAACCTAACCACACTCTCCTGTGTTGGGACCATAGCAGCCAAATGATAAATGTTCAAAAAGTCGTCGGCATTGACAACATCCACCATACCATCCGAGGGCTCATACGTCATATGCTCAGCATCTCCTTTGACCTGATATTCGTAGCCAGGCTGATTTTCACGAGCGAAAAATAGGGACCAGTGCAAGGGCTCACCCTCGCCTTGGATGTAGTGGATGAGAGAAAGATAGATTATTGGCGGTGAATGTGATGACGGCCCCCGGTCACTAGGGGATTGAGAGGCGATGTATTCGGTCCATTCATCGGCACCTTTTCTTCTCGTGAATGTGCGACCGTTGACTTCGCATACCTCTCTTAGGCCGACGGTTTGTATTGGAGTCTTGAGGGTTGGGTAGTCGCTCATTTTACTGTGAGTCAGAATCATCAGCACGTATCGGGTAAACCTTCGGGAGGTTTTACCTGCAGAGAGAAGGGACAAAACAAATAGCAAGGTGAATAAAGACCCAAAAACTTATGAAAGTTTTTATTGATGACGAAACATGGGTTCAAGTCTCTTTTGGAGAGAACCTCGGGATGATGAGTGAGTCGCACCAACAAACCAGCATGAGGCTGAGCCTGCACAAGGCTGCAAACATCCTTGTCAGTTGTGTTTTTGTGTAGAAAAACCAAGCGTGGAAATAAGGTTAAACTGGGTGGAACCTTGGAATCCACAGAAAAATGAATATCGATCTATAGAGCATTTGAATTCGCCCATGATGATCTTCCTATCAAACATATCTGAAAAGACAAGAAAATATCATAAACAGCGATATTTCAAAAATATCATTTTCTCTCTGCGATGCTTCACATTGCAAGGATGTGTCAAAATTACTGTACTAAAACAGAGAAGGCGATAACGCTTTGGGCCTAGTACAGTCAAGTTGTCAACCACCGCGTTTTCTGGCCCCTTTTTGGCAAAGACCGCAACAAAACAACACATCACGTCTGTCGCTCAGCAATATACTCCATCCTTCTTCGAAACCATGTTCGCCACAAAACAAAGCGTGCAAAACGCGTACAAAAATGCGCGAGATGCGTACAACGACTTGGAAAAGACGGACCAGAATTCCATGAGACTGAGATTTGCAGCAACCTCCGGGTGCATATTATCCTTTCTTCTTACGTGCATCAGCTTTCCAAGATTCGGAACCCTGGTATGCTGGCCATTATTCGTGATCTGATACTGTTGTATACTTGGTGCCGATGTCTGACTGCGTCTAGTATCTTATACCATGTATATGGTCCGCTGTGGCTATGACACTTGTTCTCCGGAAGTTCAAAATCAATCCGATAGCCAGTATCATGTTTGATCTCTATTCTGCAGGCTTCATCGGTTTCTATTCGTTCGTCATGTTCGTTGGTATAGGATTCGGCGCAAGCGAGTGGCTTTTGGTCGTGCTTGTATTGCTTTTGGCTTCGGCGTAGGTTTTCTTCGACAGCTGTTGTTATCCCCGGGCTAACGTGATCTAGAATTCTGCACGTGTCTTTAGCTATTCGTACGGGCTTACGAATGTGGAAGGGGCGATCGTCGAGTGGGGCGGGTACAGTTAGACTCCCACTCTAAGGGCCTTCTCACTGCACATGTGAGCAGACAGAAGATAAACTTAAGTCTAGTCTCACCTCGATTGCTAAGGACGAATTACTTTCAATGTAACATGGCAACTAGTTGACAGCTTAGACTGCATTTGGTGGAGCTGCTTATTCAACGTCGTCGATGAATGTCACCCTTTAAAATAGATCCTCGAAAGAGAAATGGGAAAAGTTCCAAACGGATGAAAGGGGGCCCCTGTTCGGGTAGATTGTGGATGAAGTTAAAGACTTGCCCCAATGCATTCAACGTTCTCACTCGCTTATCGGGATCGTCGGGAACAGAAAAGCTGAACAAGTACGGCGTGTTTAGTCTTTCTATTGTCCAGTAACAATTTTCTCGCCGGATACGTTTATAGATGATCCATAGAATTGCTTCGTCGTCCAGACAGGTATCTTCGGTAGAAAATAGAACATTGACAAATGCCATTTCTTGGACCTTGGCAGGGAGAATGCTCTTCAACCTCGAAGAGTAAGGAAGGAGATGCCAATGGTGGTTCTCGGAGCAGGGCTTTTGAAAGATAGATAAAGTCTTTGCTTTGACAGCGCTTGGCCTAGAGTAGTGACTTTCAAGCTGGCGAGGACGCGAGGACTTGAGAACTTGATTCATTTCATCACCAGATACGAAGGTGTTTAAATACATACCAGTAATGTATAATATGAGGTTTAACCTTGGAGGAATAGGGCTTCGCTAGCAAGCAAATATTCACTGAACAATAGACCTTGAAAAAGAAGTGAACAAAATGCAACGATATTGGCTTGAATTGAGGGGCTCAAAAGATGCGAGGAAAATTCACTTAAGATATCAATTAGGACTTTTCACCAACTTCGAAATTTTCGTATCAAGGTTAATAAAAGGACATTGAATACTATCCGGCAATATGCTCTTAAATAATGAAGACCCCTTACCTCTTTGCATACTACACTAACAGTCTAAGTAGAGGGTAATCGAGATTTGTGGAGACTAATTTACCTAGACTCCATCTAATTAATTGTGTTTAGCGAGCTTGGGATCTTTGAATATGCGATTTTTGGAAGTCAGTTTAGTCCTTGGCTCTCTCCTAGGAATTGTGCTGTTTTTGCGTTGTCGTATTTGGGTGTAATGTTTGTTGGGGACATGTAGACGGTAGGATTAGAACCGAGGGTTCCAGGTTTCAAGGTTGATGAAAAATTCCGTTATTCAAGACGCACATGAAATTATGATTTCTAAGATTGATAGAGAATTTATTCGAATTCAGATAAGCGAGCAGGTGAACAGCAGCGATGTGACCTATCTGGTGTTGATGCAGCTGATCTATCATAATCTGGGGGCACATCCCGTGATATCATCAAACAGGGGAAAATTCTAGAAGCAAACGGAAACTCAGGGGAATTTTGTTCTAATAGGGTATTGTAAAATATGCCCAACGTAGAATTTTCACTCCTCAACTTCACTAGTGGTTGTGATTTTGCGTTTCTAATATGTTAATAAGAGTTGGTGGTGGTGGTGGTGGTCTGCGTATGACGTACTATCCATAATGGAACCCCACATCAATACCCCTGAGGTGCAAGCCTCAAATATTGGAAGTTTTTAAGCCGTACGGAATATCCGGTTATGAAGATTAATAGAAGCATAAAGCCGCCCCCACAGTGTACTGACGTGGAAAGGGAGCCAAAATTAGGTCACATGGCAAATTTGGTTTTCTTTCTGGGCCTGATTCGTTTCAACCTTTCCAAGGTTATCATTTATCCAAAACAACTTTAACAATAACCACGAGCATCCGCTCTAAAAAACTCCACATACAACACACCGGCTCCATGTACAAACGAAACCCAACCTACGTGAATAAAGAATAAAAATTGATAGCTCGACAAGCTACACCGTAAAGCCGCAAGTCCCATCTCAACAACCATGGGTCAGAAACCATCCGTTCCTAAGCCAGGAACAACAATCCAAGTCATCGGAGCCGGACTCCCCCGCACTGGAACCGCTTCATTCAGCGCAGCCTTGGAAATCCTCCTAGGCGGCCCCATCTTCCACGGCGGAACACAAGCTACCCTAGGCCCCCCTATCCAGATCCGAACATGGATGCAGGCCCTTACGCACTGGGCCGCAGGGGGAGAAGACGACCAGAAGGCTGTCCTGGAGCTCCTAGCGCGCCAGTATGATGGATACGCTGCCACGACGGACTCCCCGGGCTGCCAGTTCGTTCCTGAGCTAATAGCCCTGTACCCGGATGCCAAGGTGATCTGTACAGTGCGAGATCCGATTTCGTGGGAAAAGTCCATGAATCAGGTGATGCACTATACATTTCTTTGGTTTCTGCGTGGCGTTCTGTTTCCGTTGCCTGGAATGAGGCATTTTATGGACTACCTTGGGCTGTTGAATGTGCAATGGGTGAGGCTGTACCAGGAGGAGATTCCTACGCGGCAGACGTATTATCGGCATATTGAGTGGTTGAAGGAGGTTGTTCCTGAGCATCGCCTTGTTTTTTATGATGTTCGGGATGGATGGGGGCCTTTGTGTAAGGCGCTTGCGAAGGAGGTCCCCAAGGACATGCCATTTCCGCATATAAATGATGGCGAGGCGATTGAGAAGATTGCGAAGTTGCATATTCGTCGGGGATTGGCACGTTGGGCGTTTATATTTGCTGTTGGCGCGACTGCATTGGCCTGGGCGTTGTACAGATAGAGCACATACTGTACCTACTAGATTGATAGATTGCATGCGCATACATGGAAGGATACCTAAGTAGACATATGCCGGTAGATACCTGAATATTCTTTACAAATCTAGATCACGTCTATATTTGACTTGAAGGAATGACCATTCTGGCTTCTTGCCACCTGGGCACCACTTTGGAAAAATGGAAGGCTTCACTGTAGTCGAAGCAAGTTTGTGATTTAATGACGTGGCCAATGTTTGAATTGAAAGAGACCTTGCAAAAGCATTGGAACGCACTAGGATAGGTATGGTTTCATGTAATTGAAAATTTGATCTATATGTATCCTTCTGTTATTATGTTATCACATAAGGTCAACACTTAGGTCATGGTAACCAGCTCCTCAGCGCTGGTAGGGTGAATAGCAACACAGCTATCAAAGTCAGCCTTGGTGGCGCCCATCTTGACAGCAACACCAAAGCCCTGCAGCATCTCACCGACGCCAAGACCCAGAATGTGCAGACCGACGACCTTTTCTTGAGGACCGGCACAGATGATCTTCATATTTGTAGGATTCTTGTCTTTCTCTGACGGCGGCATAAGACTGTAGTACATATTGGTGAACCGGGTTGTGTAGATCTTGATCTTATCATCGCCATACTGCTGGCGAGCCTCGGGCTCGGTGAGACCAATTGAGCCAACTTCGGGGTGAGAGAAAACGACAGTGGGGATGTTCTCGTAGGAGAGCTTAGAAGTCTTGAGCTCATCAGGGCCAAAGATACGGTTACTCAGCTGACGACCAGCGGCAATAGCAACTGCGCGAAAAAAAGGTTAGCAAGTTTTAATCTTGTAGTAGAGGTCAGTGCCACTTACCAGGAGTCAACTCGGCCTGGCCAGTCACGTCACCAAGGGCGTGGACAATCGCATCGTCGGTGTTCTGGTACTCGTCGACAATAATGTGACCAGTAGAGCTGACCGTTACCCCGGTCTTGTCAAGGTTTAGGTCCTCAACCTCTGGGATACGACCAACAGCCCACAGGAGCTCATTGACCTCCAATACGGTACCATCGTTGCTGGTCAACTTGATCAAACGATCCGCACCTTTTCCGTCGCGGATGAGCTCAATATTCTTGAAGCCTGAGTGATGGCGGTGCAAGTTAACACCAGCAAGCTCGTACCGTTTAGTCATGACATCCTGGATCATAGGGTCAAACTTGCGCAGGAACTTATCACCACGGATGAACATGTGAGTCTCGACATCCATGGCATTCATAACACCGGCAAGCTCGACAGCAATGTAACCAGCACCAACGACGGCAATCTTAGGCGGGAGCTCTTCGATCTCGAAGAACCCGTCGCTGGTGATACCGTGCTCGGCACCGGGCACATTGGGGATGTTCGGTCGCCCACCGGTTGCAATCAGAATTTTCCTTCCATAGTAAGGGGCAGTGGTGCCGTCGGCTTTGGCAACCTCGATAACATATTTCTCGATCTCGTCATCTTCGTCGTCATCTTTCTCGACAATTTTCTCAACGAAACGAGCTCGGCCGTGGACAAGGTCAATGCCTGCAGCTTTCCAGTTACCCTCGTAGGCTTTGTTCAAGCGCAGGATCTCTTTATCACGGGCCTCCTTGAAGGACTTGTAATTGAACTTGGTGCCAGCAGGAATATCGTATCCGTAGTATTTGCCAAGGTGAATTGTCTCGTTGACGGTTCCAGCGTTCCAGGTCATCTTTTTGGGGACACAACTATTTTCCCAGGTCAGCTCTGAGCTCTGCATTGGCATGTCATGCCACCACACCAATTAGTAGTGATGAGTTAAAATGGTTTACAAACATACCCAACGTTGACACAGGTACCACCGGAACGACCGCTCTCAACGATCAAGGTCTTTTTCTTGTACAAAGCTGCACGACGGGCGCTACCACTGCCGCCGCTACCACCTCCTAGGACAATATACTCATATTCATTCTCTTTCAATTGTTTGGTAGGAGCCATGGTGGAAGAATTGCTTTCGAGGACAGGAGTGGAAGAGGAAAGGTGTCGGGTGATGGAAGAGAGGCGCGAGGTAGGAGTAATGGCGGGAACGAGATGGTTTATGGACGCCAGATTTCGGTTCACGGTCGGGCGGAGACCGGTATGGATATTCTTAGCGGAAAACCGGGTCAAGGAGGAGCGAAAGCTGATCCGGGAGGTGTGGGTGGAGAGAGAGCGGGAGAGCATGGAGAGGATGGAGGGGTATGTACAAGAGGGGTGCTCAAAAAAAAATCAAAGTATAATACACTTATAGTAGGCGCCGAATATGCCGATGATTGATAATTGATGCGAGCCCAGAACCAGTAAAGCCCAAGTGAGATGCATTGGGTTTGCCAATCGGCTGCAGTCAGCCCCCACACCGCCTTGGATGATGTGATCAAAGAGTAAAATTGGCTGATGAATAATCCTGACTAAGCAAACTTCAAGACCTGCCTGCAGACTCTTCCAGTTCATCCATAGTCCATGATCAAGTATATTTCTAGAATTATCCCAAATCCCTTTCATTGCCACTGTCTATATGAGCAAATGAATCGCTTGGACTGAATACCCAGTCGAGCGCACTCATGAGTCATGATCTCCTTGTTCTGCATTGCGGGATTACAAATCCGCCGAGGCCCCTTCTGCACAGTATAAGCCAAGCTGACCCCCGGATTTGCATTGACTCGGAGTTCAATGTAAAATGGAACTTACGGAGCTAGTACTTGCTTATGATAAAAGTGGAAAGAGCAATGGGCAGCATTTCCCACGTAAGCTGGCAAAACAAACTTTAGGCTTGGCGTTTCGCAGCAATCTTACACGAGTCACCAGCATAGTAACATGTAACTATGCATTGCATCGCTTATCTAATTTGATCACGAACACTGGAGCGCATTCGCAATATACTATCCTGAAATCAATCTAAACATTGCCATCTAGTATTGATGTTACCAAAGATCTAAAGCGGGTCTGGAAAAGATGTTTATCTGGTCTTCGGTCCCCAGTCTTCGGTCTTGGTTTTAAGCCCTTGGGAGGCTGGACGATATCAACGGTTGACACTTTTCAAACAGTGCCCACCCCTGGGAACAATCTCCACAGTCCAAGAAGATGGATTCAGTTGAAACAAGAAACAAAAATCCTCGTGGGTTCATTGCCCTTGGCCAAATGAAAAAGAAAGAAAACACAGGCACGGGGCTGCCCCTGCGTTACCGGCGCACTCACATTCACGAGAACAGGAATGCAAGGGGATAAACTAACCTCCCTCCCTTCCAATCAACACAGGATCCGCCTTCATACCTCCGTAGTAACCAAGAAGTTGCCTGGTTAGCCAATGGAGCAAGGCATTTTTACCTCTGAGAAACCACCTCCTTCGTAGCCTGTCCGCCTTCCATGCCCTTTTCTTAGACATTCAACAGCAGAGCCTTTTCTTTCCCAGGTTTCCGACATTTCTTTTTCCAATTATACCCTACTTATCTGTCAATATGCGTTTCTCGTCGACCTTCGCCATCGCCATCACCCTGGCTTTGGGCTCAGCATCGAAGATTAACATGAGCTGCCAATTCGCACAGGACAAGACTGGCATGGTTCAGAGTCCCTACTGCTGCCGCGACTTGACGCCCGCGAGAGGAAATCCCAAGGCCAACACGGCTAAAGACTGTATGTATCCAAATCTCTATTTGGCACATTCGCTTGTTCTATGTAAACAAGAGGAATCAGTTAGCTAATCCGCTCTCCTGCAGGTGTTCTGTTGAAGACTCCTCAGCTATGTGAAGATCAGTCTCGACCTGCATGCTGCTATGATATTGTAAGCGACTATCAAGTCGACCATGCTAGTTGATTTAAGAGGAGCAATGGCTGACTTGTGTTATCTTTTAGGGCCCAGAGAAGATCTGTACCTCCCACGCTATTTTCCAGAATGCGGCAGATGTTTAGAATTGGAGACGAGGACAAATGGCACGGATTAGGTCTTGTTGATGACTGAATACGACTGATTCACGACCGGGGGATTACTTTTCGCGAACCTATTTCAGTTTCGATAATGTCGGCTGGATAGAGATTGAATTATATACTATGTACTACTTGATACTTTTTTCATGACATCCATTTTCTTTAGTCAGACTCGCACCTGGCTTGTAGAGGTGCCAGTGTGTGTTGCAGGGAGACATTTGTTGGCAAAAAGCAAGAAATTAAAAATTGGCTTCTTGGAAATATGTAGGGGATCTTCATGATCAACCCAAGGATATAGTGAGTATCGCTCGAAATAAAAACGCTACAATGCAATGCAAAGGCTGTGAGAGAAAGTTGACATGATCCAAGAATCCAAGATCCCCATCAGCGGGAATCAACACTTAGCATCCTCTCAGTGTTCCTCCGGAACAGTTTCTCTGCCAACCCTGGCACATCCGAACAAAGATCCAAGCACCATTCCGTGAAAGGGGCGATGTCAATCCCAGTAAAGCGAGTGTGAGGCCAGTCGGTAGCATAGATGGTTCGATCCGGAGCAGCCGCAAGGAACTCACGGGCCATGGCCTTTAACTGGTGCTGAGTTCGGTCATTCGTGAGGCGGTAGGGAGCAGAGACTTTAATATAGGTGTTTCCGGCTTGGAGTAAAGTAATCAAAGATCGGAAACCGGGGAGTGAGTATGAGTTGAAGGGGGTGTTGTTTTCACCCTGAGGAAGAGATAACTCGGGGCTGCCAAAATGGTCGATGCAGACGTTCACGCCGAGTCGGGGCACAATAGATTCGAGCGCAGGCACCATCTTCAGAGGAAGGTAGATCTCGATGATCCAGTTCCGATGACGTGCAATGTCGGCGTGTCGTAGTAGTGTCTCCTCTAACTCGGATTGCTCCATTATTTTTCCGACGGACTGGAGGTTGACTCGAAGACCACGAACTCCGAGTGCATGCCACTCATCTAGCAGTTCGGATTCTGGTTTCGTGGTGGCCGGGTCGACAACAACCACACCACGGCCTCGTGATGGGCCGAGTTTGGTTAGTGCAGCCAATAGGCAAGAGTTGTCTGTGCCATAGATAGAGGGCTGGACGAGCACGAGGTTCTCTACGCCGACGGTCGACTCGAAGGCAAGAGCGTCGGCCAAGGTGTGTACTGATGGTTGATATACTGCTGATTTGGAGACTGGGAACCGCTGCGGTTCGACGACATGCATGTGGCTATCCCATGATTGCGCAGGGAGTCTTTTGTTCAATGTCGTGTTATGGCTTATCCCTCGTTGGACACGCGGCGAAGAAACCGCCGTTAGTGATAGACGCGGCGATGTCAATATATTGGAGGGGGGCTGCGTGGAAATCAGCATGCTGGCGGGCGAAAGAAGCCAGGGGTTATAGAAACGATAATCTAGTAGGGGAAAAGAGGAAGAGTATAAAAAAGGAAAAGGCCGAAACAAGGACACTCAACTCACCGATGCGCAGGATCTGATATTTGCCCGTACGGCAGCCCTGACCGGCAACATGCCGTCTTCGTCGGTCAACGTCCGTAGAACGTCTAACTAACTGGTTTGAAAAAAAGCAGGAAATATCGATATTAATAAAATCAAAATCAAAAATTTCTGAAATTAATGTGTGCCGTGTACTCCGTACGAATCCACAATATGGGCCTTTTGAGAATGTGACCCGCTGCTGCTTTTGAGCGTCAAGCAGGAATAAATTATAGGTGAACGTGGGATATCCAAGGGCCGTTTAGGGAAACCGCGGAAGTCGTCCGAGTGAGGCTACCCACTTTGATAGCGGAGGTTTGGCGAGGGTTTTGGCGAGCGGCAAAAGGGTCTTGGAGAAAGATTTGAACACATTCCCACCCCTTTTGTATTCAAGGCCTGTTCATCTAAGCCACCTTGTGTGGAGAAAGAAAATTTCATTTTGCCCAAGAATTCAGGGGACAAAGCGAGGGACAAAGCGAGAACACGGAGCGGAGTCCCGAGGTCTCGGGGTGGGTTGTAATACGGCTCGATCCGACCTGAAGAAATAACCTGGAGCCGAGCCGCGTCCCGGTAGTATGGGTTCTCTGCGAACGTGATGCAATGCACTGAACACCACTTGGCCTATACTTATGAACGACCCCACTAATATGCACTATTCCACTATTTCATCACTAGCGTCATCAGATTATCGCGTCATCTGACACTTATTGACATGGATTTGATCTATTGGCTTTTATACCTACTCGATTACTACATATATTTGATATCTGCATATTAACACCTAACATATCGTATAGCTGACAATCAGTCTCACTGTATGTACTTTTCCCCCTGGGAACTGGTTTTCGATCAGGTACATATGAATCCACTCAGATTTCAGTGCTGTTCTTTTCCAAGTTTGTTCATGAAGTTATGTTATGAGTAGTCCTTGGAAACTTTCTACATCAATATCAGAGAACATCAACATATACCTAGTAGGTACCTACTACGTATACCACCCCAAACAGCACTTGCTCCTACAGTCAACTGGTAGTACCTCCGGGGCTCGGAGGTTTGGAATTCGCCTAGAGATATTGATTCCTGCCTGATTTCCATTACAAGGTTCCTGGGCAAGGCCCCGCCTGCGTCTAACAAGTTACATATCTACTATGTACATGGAACTTTGAAAGCGGTAGTAGCTTGAAGAATAAAAGAAAACGGAGTACCGCTGAGACTTCATGGATAGTAGTAAATTTTTGAATATTCCACAAGGCTGAAAGTTGAATTCATTCTTCCTCAAGTGGAAGATGAAAAATTGTTTATAAGAAGGCTGCAAATTTTTGCATACAATATTTGAGCTATTCAATCCATGAATTCAAACAATCTTCGAAGATTACATGGTTTGAAATACTTCAATTTTCTAATGCCAATCAACCGGTTCAACTCCAGTTTCCGAATTCTGAGAAAATCAGCACCGAGAAGACTGGATACATTACTATGTATACTATACATAACCGACCTCTGAACGCTAGTCTACATGAGGCTAGTGCCCCGCCTAGTGAAGATTTTTCTTGACGAACCAAAAAAAAAAAAAAAAAAAAAAACAGATAAAGAGATTATTTTTCAGGAAGAAAAAGAGAACCGAACGCGGGGGTCGAACCCGCAACCTTGAGATTAAGAGTCTCACGCTCTACCGATTGAGCTAGCCCGGCTGGGCTTGTGAAAGGGGAAGCCAATTTTGATTACATAAACTAAATATTAGGGGACCAGAGCTACAGCCTGCAGCAATCTTGCCTCCATCAATGAGGCGCCGGCGAAAAAATAATCTTGGAAGCACAATAATGTATGTGAGATGAAGGGTTTGAATTTTCATACACATGGTATCCTACGGAAACGGAGCCCTCTTTATTACTCGTTTTTTGGCCTTTGGTTCATCTTGTAACCAATATTGTCGAGCATTCACTGTTTTTTGCCCCCCGGCTACTTCATATTTATGTACTTCGGCCTCGGACCCTTAAAAGGTCCGCGGGCCGCAACTCTCCGCACTTCAACCTTCACCTTCTCCTCCCTGCATTTAGCGCACGAGTCAAAATTTATCAACGGCCATGCCGGAAAACGAGGCCCAACGAATACGGGGTGGCTCAAAAAGTTGCACAGAATGTGAGTGGTGATACTCCCGGAGAAGAGGGAAATGAACACTCGTCTTACGTTTCACGACACCTGCAACAGGCAGACGCCGCAAAGTTCGCTGCATTCGGGTCTCTGATGATGCTCTGGCTTGTCGGAGATGCGAAGAACGGGGCTCAGAATGTATTCCCCAAGAATCTAGACCCACTGCGTCGCGGAGGGTGCCTTCTCGACAACGGATATCCCAACTTGAATCGCAGGTATCCACTCTCATCAATGTTGTTCATCGAATTGAATCAAAACTCGGCCTCCAGATGGAGTCGGCTTCAGAGCTGGCTATAAGCCACCCGAGCCCTGAAATGGATACTTCGGATGATGAATCCAACATGTCGGAGATCCTGACAACAGAACGACCATCACACCTACAGTCGCTCTTTCAGAATGACTGGCTTAGCCTAGACAGCCGGCAAAAGACTGGACAAATACAAGAACGCAGGGAGAGAGCATCTGCTAATCTGCTGGATACCGCGAGGGAAGCTCTTCAAAGCTTGATCCCACCAAAATCCGAAGTGGCCAAAATTTATGCCTCAGCATTTGAATGGCTCAGGATACTTCATGCCTTACTTCCCCAACCATTTGTCGCACGGTCTGATGATGAAGCGCTGAAGAGTTATGATAACATGAGAAAGTCGAATGTTGACACTATGACACTCACCTCGTGGATGCTCACATTGGCAATCACTGCTCGGCAGACGCCACAAGAACGCATTCTCACACCTGGCCAGCCTGGGGAGTATATTAAGCGCCTTGAACTCGCCCGAGCAATATCTGATGCCGTGGAGAGAACAATTATATGTCATGATCGACTACTGAGCTCGATATCGGGGGTTATGATATGCTTGCATTGGATTCGACTGTAAGTAATGGTCTGTTTGTCTTCATCTTCTGACCGCCCCACGATTGCTAAACATTGTATATTCAATATTAGTCAGCTGCCCCAAGGGAATTTTCAAAAGGCTTGGGTTCGACTACGACATATTAGTGCGATTGCTGAGTTGATGGGACTACCCAGGGCATCTCAAGCTACCCAGCGAAATGGGACATCGGCAATAAATGAGGACAAGACCCAGCTTTGGAAAGCTCAGCTTTGGGAAATGATTTGTGCAGCAGACAGGCTATTAGGAATGATCCTCAATCTTCCAACAGATACACGTTGGCAACGATGTATCAAGGACGAACCACTGTCCGTCAATGGCGTCGTTCAGGTTCGTTTGTATTTTACCAAGCTGGTGGATATTGCTGGCAAGATTCAACATTTGGATGAAGTGAACTCAACACGTGAAAGTACTGCCGAGGTTTTGAATTCTACGTCGGAGGTTATCGAAGAGCTTCGGTCGCTTGCCTCTCAGACTCCTGAATCATGGTGGACTCAGCAGATGGAACGCGTCGAGCCCGATCATATAGTACAGGTCACTCACTACTACTTGCTTCTGAGGGCTTACATGCCGCTTACTTTACGCCAAGACTCATCGGAAGATTCCTTCAATACCCGACTCGCCTGCTTTCAAGCATGCGAATCAGTAATACAGCGGTATACCGTTCTTCTCGAAATGCTACCTCCAGGATTCTTTCTCTACACTATGATGGAGATACATACCTTCACCGCCACAGTGATCCTGATTTTGCTTTCTCATACATCAAAAACCAATCAACTATTCAGTCTCCAAGTTGACAAGGCAAAAACCGGGAGAGAAGTGGAACATGTCATCAATATCATGCGCAAAAGAATCAGTAATACTCACACCTCACGAATTGCCGAAAATGCGGTTAATACCTTGTCTTCTTTGATCAATCTTCTTCAAGAAGATGAGAATGCCACTGATGGGCGCAAATTGATGCTAGATGTTCCTTTGTTGGGCAAGGTGCACATTCAGCGTAATAGTCGTGCATTACCGGCTCAAGAAATAGGAGTCGTCAAGTCTTCGCACACTTCATTGAGATCGGCTACAAGAAGTTCAAACCAGAAACCGCTTCCTCCCCCTCTTGGTGCAAATCCATCTTCCTCTGGCTTACAGGAGATCCAACCGTGGGACGATCTCTCCTGGTTTATTGAAGAAGACCCTGCCTATTTTCTCCAGGATACGCTCATGGCGGATCTTTTTGACCCCAATGCACTCCTGTATAATGGGAGTGATGGGTTTTCATCCTTTAACTGAAATCAATACTAGATATATCTGATAAAGATCAGAGTTTGGCAGAAATACCAACTTTCCCCGTGGCTGGTCAATTATCCTACATTTATTTCAGGCTTTCAACCACTCATTACAATTCAGAGTTGCAAAGCAAGAGTACATAACAATGGATGGGTTCCTCCAAAAACCGATGATGATGTCCGACGCCGGGAGGAATCTCTACTTGACTTTTCACAACTCAAAGAGCCTTTGATAACAGACTGAAGGAGCACGACAGCCCCTAAATGCGCATTGAGAGGAACTAATATTGAATACATGACCCCTATTTCAGGTGTGAGGGTAGAATCCCTGGACTCAGCAGACAGTCACGCCCATAAAAAGAACCCAGAATTGCGATGGCCAAACCAAGATTCAATAAATAAAAAAATTCGAAGCCGAGTGGACATCAGAGATGGTAAATGCGTTATTCAAGCCTTAGCCAGGTAGGCTTGTTGGAACCAATTGTTGAATTCAACAAGCAAGTGCTGGCGATGAGTTTCAATGAGATCATCCTCAACAGCAGCCGGGAAATAAACTGCCAGGTCGGCATCGAATCCTTGCCCATCCTCGTGCTCCTTCAATTGGTGGTACACTTCAACCATGTGAGTGTTTCCCTCGGTGAATCCTCGGAACTTCATCTTGATAGGATGGTCTGCAACCTGATCGATGAAATCCGGGACCTCATCAACGAGAATCATGTTGAAGAGCGTGACTTTGTCGCCCAGTGTTTCCAGGACAGACATATCGGTTGAGCCTGGGACGGTGTAGATAACCCAGTGCTCTGGGTGGGAGGCAATCTTCTCTGGATCAGGAGAGCCCTCTCCCGCGAACCACAAGTGGAAGTCCTTGACTGAGAGGCCACGAGGAGATACATGGATGCGAGATGCGCGCCACTTTCCGTTGGAAGCGGCGGCGGTCTTTTTCCAGTAGGCGTCACTGGCGGTGATTTCGTCACGGAGGAGCTCTGTGAGGCGTTCTTCACCCAGCAGACGGCGCAATAGCATCACTGATCGACGGGCAAAGGCGGCTTCAAAATCCTTGCATCCACCCTCGACTTTGAAATTACTCTTGATTTCCAGCTGGAAGTCCGGGGAAGGGAAAGTGAGAGGCGCCATCTGGAAAGCCGAGAATGAGGAAATGAATAGAGCCCGGAGGAAAGAGTTGATTGAGGATTGGAACTTTGAAAGTGCTCTAAAATATGATAATCTAAAAAGATGCAAAGCTGTGGGAATGTCATCAATTATTTATACCTTTTCCGTAGACTGAAGTCTTGTCCTTCATCGAAAGCCCAGGTGTTGACGGACCCATGTTTCAACTTTCCCACAGATTTGCTCTGAAGCCTTCAACTACCCATTATTGGATCTATAAATGACATGACTGCCCCGCAAATTACTACCATATATAGCCTATTGTGGCGGATTCATGCGACAATATTGGTTCCTAATGAGATATTTGACGGACAATTTCTCAAAAGCCGTCCGCATGCCGCATTGTATGGCAGTGGGGCTCGGCATGCGCACAAAATGGCGTCCGCGGAGAAGTTTAGAGACCGAGGCCGGCTCTGATCTACAACTCTATTCAATTCACCTCCCTATTGATCAGAAACCCCGCCTCCGTGACTTCGGAGCTAAAAGGGTTTTCACATTCAAAATATTCCTTGTCGCTTTGAATACTCATATCCTATATCAAATCCACGCCTCCGAATACTTGGACTCAAAAGGACAAAACAACGACACCCATACCTGCGAGACACCACAACAATAACACCCGAGTTTCAACCATGGCAAAGTCTCTCCAGACCCGTGGCGGTCCTTATGCCTCAGATACCGCCGGAATGGGTGGTCTACCAACTACAATCCCCGATGTCCCAGTTTGCGCCGTCTTCATGGTCCTCTATATTTGCTTCGCAGCCACAAATATGACAATCTTCCAGAAGAACCGTCGAAGGGGCCACAAGTTTATCCCTTCGGCCTTGATGTTCGGTTTCTGCATGTCAAGAATCCTCACACTTATTCTCCGAATCGTCTGGTCCCAACAACCAACAAACATCAGGGTCGTTATCGCCGCCCAGATCTTCGTCAACGCAGGTGTGTTGATTCTATATATTATAAATCTGGTCCTCGCACAGCGAATCCTACGGGCAAAGCAACCGCATATTGGTTGGAACCCCATTCTGCGCAAAGGTTTCAAGGTCATCTATGCGTTAATTGGAGGCGCTTTGGTCATGGTTATTATAGCCGTTGTTGTGACTGTCTACACTTTGAACCCACACGTCCAGCAAAAATGTCGCGATGTCGAGCTCGCGGCTCTCACATATCTTCTCATCTTTAATTGCCTCCCCGCCCTTCATATTGCTGTCGCAGTTTTGTTGCCGAAGTCAAAACCAGAGGAACGTTTTGGACAGGGAAGCTCTGGAATCCAGGTGCTGATTGTGACAATGTCTGCATGCTTCTGCATGATGATTGCAGGATTCAAAACTGGGGTTATGTGGAGCCCTGCACGTCTTGCCACGGATGCCGCTTGGTATGACTCCAAGGCTTGTTTCTATATCTTCAACTTCACTTTTGAGATTTGTACTCTCAGCACCTTGACGTTTAGTCGCATTGATAGGCGATTTTGGATTCCCAATGGATCTACACAGCCGGGGGATTATAGGCAGCTTGGAATGCCCACGCCAGTCGGGGCTGACACCGACTCGCTTGAAGTCCCGTCTTTCTCGCCGGAGAAAGATAATCGAGAAGCCTGAGAAATATTCCAAGTCTAGGATTGTGAATTTCCAACTTGATTAGTATAATACATAGATCTTCAGAAACAGGCCCGGTAACTAGAATGAAATTCAATATGCGGCTATTGCATCCGAAAGCCGATGAAAAAAACCCGACCTGAGTTATTTGCCAAAGCAATTTTGTTATCCTTGATTGCCGAACAAGATGGCCGAGCCTCGGGGGGAAGCCATAACGCTTTGCCCCCGTCCAAGAATATCCAGTCCCATTCCTCTAGAATTGTCATGTTTGTACTTGATGAACTTTTTTGTGAGGAGAAATGAATCCCTTCGATGAGGGATTGGACATAGATGGATTCTTGACCAGTGTTGAGGATTAAACCATCATTTGAAAATTCAAGGGGGTATCTAAAATCGTCGCGTCGTAAGGTCTGCAGTAGGTTGCCTGTCTTGGTGTCCCAGAGCTGGATCGTAGAATCACTAGAGTTGGACGCCAGTAACTGATCGTCGGGTGACAACGCCACGGACCAGACCATACGCTCATGTCCCTTGAGTGTTTGTTGCAAGGTGCCGGTGGCCATGTCCCAGAGTTTGATATCACCATCAGCAGAGCTGGACACGAGCATCCTACTATCAGATGAGAACACCACGGACCAAAGCAATCCTAAATTTCCTTCAAACGAATATTTCACAGTACTTTTAGGAGTGCCTAGAGTCCAAATGTTGATTGAACAATGCTCATCACAGGCTGCTAGCAACCGGCCGTCGTGTGAAAATACCGCCGACGAAAGCTTTCCCGAAAGACCGAGCGTCTCTTGTAGAACACCGGTCTCCGGGTTATAGAGGTCGAGTTGACCCTCATACGGACCTGTAGCTAGCAGCTTGCTATCAGGCGAGAATGTAGAGGATCGAAGAATTGACCCAGTATCTCTGAATGTGTGTAGTACGGTACCGGTTGCTATTTCCCAGACTCGAATGCCACCTTCCTCTCCCATGTTGACTACCAAGAGTTGGCTATTAGGCGAGAATGCCACCGATGAAACCACTCCTGGCCGACCACTTTTTAGAGTGTGTAATAAACAACCAGTTTTTGTTTCCCAGAGCTTGGTTTCGCTATCCTCAGAGAGTGTTGCTAGATACCGACCGTCGGCCGAGAATGCCATCCACCTTGGCCCTGGACGATAGCTTTGCAAACTATGGTATCGGACATCAACTGAAATATCCCAGAGGAGGATTTTCTCAGAGCCGGATGCTAGTAGCCGGCTATCGGGCGAGAATGCCAGCGAGAAAACATGCCCTGTTGAATATCCCTTGATAGTCTGTCGTATAATGCCACTCGCTATATCCCAGAGCCGGATTTTCCAATAATTGTGGCCGGACGCAAGTAATCGGCCATTGGGTGAAATTGCCACTGAATCAGCCCTGAGCCTGTCTTCTCCTTTCAGTGTCTGTTCTAAGATCCCAGTGGCTGTGTCCCAGACCAAGATACTGTGATCATAATATTCACAGGCGGTCGCTAGTTGCCGGCCGCTAGGTGAGAATTTTAATAAAGAAACCCAGATCCCACAGGTATCAAGAGTGCGTTGTAGGGTGCCAGTGACTGTGTCCCAGAGGTGTATCGTACAAGGACCGGCGCCAGATGCTAGTTGCTGGCCATTAGGCGAAAATGCTATTGAGTGGATGCCTCTAGGCCTTGCAATTGGCCTAAATTTAGCCTCAAACCAAGGAGTCTGAATATTTAGTATATCACCAGTTACTATATCCAAAATCCGGAGCTTCCATTCACCCAAGACAAATGCCAATAGCCGACCATCAGGCGAGACTGCAGCCAAGGTCACATCTGGAAAGCCATCGAGCGTCTTCCGCAGGGTCACCGTGTTCCAGAGCGAGGTTGTCTCAATCTCAGAATTGGAAGCTAATAGCTGGCCATGAAATGGGGATGCCATTGCTCGGACATAAGATAGATGGCTATTCAAAGTCCGTTGGATGGAACTAGTCGTTACGTCCCAGATTGTGATTTTCTCACCATCGCCAGAGACGAGTCTGCCGTCGGGCAAAAATGCCAATGCATCACATGTCCGTGAATCGTCCTCAAGAATCTGCAATAATGAGCTCCAGGATTCGTCAACTAGTGGAAGCTGACATATCCAATTGGGAATTTCCTTCTCAAAGATTTTGCGCACTATCGATTTCTGGGGTGCAAAGACAAGCCCTGAGCTGTAAATTTGGAGTGGTATATCACTCGCCATTCGGTAATTCTTCATGATAAAGCGCTTCGCATCATATAGGAATTTGTAAAGCTGGGAATTCACCATTTCCTGTATATACATACCCGTTAGCTTAATCGCACAGAGCAAATCTCTCAAAACCTTACATTTGTGGCTTTCTGCAAAGAATTAAGAATATCCAAAACATCAGAGACACGACACAGGATACCCATTGCTTCAATCCAGTGTAAATAGTGTTTCTTCAAAAATGAGAGCGTTTTTTCCACCATGCAGTGATCTTTACTCGATATCAGGTGATGAGCCCAATACCTGCAAGCATATTGCAATTCCGGTGAAAGGCAGTCATCTATTGTCTGTTGATCAATCTCCACACGCTGTACTCTGTCATTTGGGAGTTCGCATATGTTCTTTTTCAGCTTTTCACATAAAAGGAGGCATTTATTAGCCAGCCTGAAGTGCGCTTTCTTTTCATCTATCCACAGCGGCGTTGCCTCACAAGTGTGGGGATCAAAAAGAAAATCTCGAAATGAGATATGAAACAGTCGCACTGGTGAGATGAAGTCTTCTGGAATATCCAAAACCGAGTGCAGTAAGCCGAGTCTTTGTTGAATGTGCTTCTCAGAGACACCGAGCAGTTTTGAGAGTGAGACGATGGAAAGTGGGGTCTCAAGCAATGCAATAGTACCAAAAATCTCTTGATATTGTTCAACAAGCTTGTTTTTTTGTTGCTTAGTTTGTCCCTTGAGAAGACTATTCAGCACAGGGAGATATGTGCCCATAAGCTGCGAGCCATAACCCTGATAAGAGAGGACTTCAATCAGGGTTTCTATCGGACTCCAGTGCGGGTCCTCGAGTAGTCGGCAAATAGTAGCGGCGAAGATAAACAATGGAGTTGACAAGCGGACCAACTTTTGGAGTTCGGAATCTCCAGGCCAGTCAAAAGACAAAGAACGTGTTTGCCGTATCTTTACTAGCCGGTGCTTCAAGAACAAAGATATATCATGCTGTATCACAGGCTCGGGGATCTGATGAAGGATCACATCTTCATATATGATCTTTCTGAATTCTTGAAAGATAGACCACTCAGGCCTACTAGTCAAGAACACTTTCAAGCGCACGGCCTTTGACTCCTGTAAACGTGGGAGAAGCTGAAGTATAAGCCGCATGTCATCATCGGCATCACACTCATCAAGCGCATCTATCACTATCGCCACAGTTGAGACTGGGTAGGCAGATGAATCCAAAGCCAACAGTGGTTGTAAAAGCAGTCTGTCAAACTGTTGTTTGAGACCCTTTGCTGAAATATCCGAGTCTTCATTGACTGCTTTCTGCACACCAGGGACAAGACGAGGAATGGTCTTGAGAAGCTGGCTTGCAATAGTCGGGAAAAGCCTCTTTGCACTGCCGCGATCACTCTCACCCCGTTTGAAGAAGAAACTAGCCCCCAGTAAACTGGTATCATTAAGCATTGTCGTCACTGATCGTGAGATTGTTGATTTACCAGTGCCTGCTCTACCATTCAACCAAAACATGCATTTCCCGTTTGGTGACTTGACCCAGTCTAGAACTTGTCGAAGAAGGTCTGTTCTAGTACCCGGAAGACATAAATCTTCATGTTGGTTCGCATAAGAGTCAAATGCCGCTCCCTGAGCTGTCACTTTCCCCCAGTCAAACTTTAGGTCCAATCTTTCAATGCCTGTTAAGACTGCGCTATTAGAAGTTAGTTATGGTACTAGTAGTAAAGGAGAGCAAATTAAATAATACCTTTGGGTATCACTGAGACTTGTCAGCTCCTGCTGAACTATGAATGAATCGTTAGTATAGGTAAATGATAAATTTTAAAAATCTTACCTTGCTCAAGTTTTTGAGTCACTTGCTCAGCCCAAGGTGACATGGCATCCACACGTTGCGGTCGCAAAACGTGCAGTAGCTCTCGGGCATACGCAGCAGCAACAAGTGCAGCATATTTATGCCAATCATCGTTCTTATGCGAGTCACAGTAATCACAGATTCCGCGAATAACTAAACACGGGACATTATTCATGAGGCCTGCAGCCTCCATCTCAAAGCAGAGGATGTTGAGCGCCGGGTCATTTGCATATTCATCTCGCACAGCAGCGTCTTTGAGAACAAGATTTCCCGATGCAATGTTTCCGTAATGAACGTAAAGTGCACGATGATTCTGGCGCTCTGGACGGTTGATTATTGAGCGAGAATCACATTTATCGCATTTCTGTCCGTCCTTGTGTGGATAGTTTGTCATATAGAGCCGATCAACGGCCGGTCGTTGGTAATCTTCCATATCCTCGAGACGCAGGAGATGCTCTGCTAGTCTATCTGGCTTCCTTTTGTCATTGTACAGTCTGCGCATCTCAGGAATCACACCTAGAAGTTTTGGTGGCGCGTTTAGTTGACCTGTCTTCTCAAACCTACCATCCTTCAGCTTCCCCAGATCGTATTGTACCACTCCACCGAGAAACCCATGTGGCTGACTGACAACAACATCTCCTAATCGGATATCATTCTGCGTAGTCGGTGCGCCGCCTCCAATTCCAACCATCAAGGCGAATCGTAGGTGTGGAAAGGTCCGAACCATATCTCGGGCGACACGAGCCGCAGAGTTGGTGCCATACTGCCCCGCTGGAAGGCAACCGATGACCACCAAGTGTTGTGCAACACGACCGTAGATGTATGTGTTATCGTCATTGTCTTCGATTATCTTCGGCCCGTCAAATTCTTCGTCAAGCATACGAGATGCACAGAAATACTCTTCTTCCAGGGCACAGATCCATGCTACTGTGTAGGAATGGGTTGAATTTGGGTCTCGTTGCTGAGGTGGATTCATTGCATCTCTTCTCGCTTAAGGTTGGATAGCTGATGATTTGATGGGAGGTAAATTCTGTAAAAGTAGTAGAGAATGCGTTAGACTCAGATTGAGGGGAAAGAGGGGCAAAGAGTGGAGACGCGCTTCGCGCACTAAAAATATACATGGATGGCATGCCCAATAGACAGATCTCCATCAATTGATGATACTCAGAATTCGATTCCATACTAACCTTAATACACAAACCAAACCCATATCAAAACGTAAATATACACCAGCTGACCAAAGATCTGTTAGGAAATGGACCCACTTTCCGTGCCTACCTCGTCAATAAGTAGGATCTTAATCCTACGATTTTTGCCGGTACTCATCTCATAGGTACAATTCCTATCACATCCTTTAACCTAATTAGGAAGTGTTTGGTCAGGTGACCATGTGGAGGGAAGAACGAATCCAAAGAAATACCTGTACCATTGACTCAAGTGCTGGGATGTGTTAAGAGGCTCGACACGGCTCTGATAGTTCCTTTTATCATTTGAATTTATGACTTCAATGTTTGCTTATCGAACCTCGGAAAATATGACGTGGAAGGCAGTGAAGTAACTGCCATCTTATATACAAAAGCATATCAGGCTGTATCAACAGGGCCAATGAGGCAATATCAACTTACTAAACATGCAACTAGCATATCAAGAAGGGCCATTTTTCTTCAAATTATGCGTCATGTTTCTTCAATCTGGTATTTTGGCCGGTGCTTCTTCACCGCGTGCCTTGTCGTTTAGCCCAGTGGCTTGTGCCTCCACACCACTTGTCGAACTTGGGAGGGGGAGGGGCGGAGAGGGAGGGAGAACCCAACAAGACTAGAAATGGTCAGTCAGTCAATGTGTGGAAAGATGGTGAAGGCACAACATGAGAAGAATATGGTTGGAACTTATACATACATATGGATGGAGTCCTCTAACATGTATAACAGAACGTGTTATGAGAACATGGCATATTGTGAGATAGATGAGACAACATTGTATCAAAGTATGAAGTCGTCAAATATAAATGCACAATAGCGTTTTGTTGGCATGAGACGACGTTTTGTTGATGAATGAGGTCATCAATAGAGATTTATAGATGGCAGCATGTTGTAAGATGGGACAACATTGTATTGGTGGATGAGATCATCAACCAAGGTAAAGATCAAATGCAAGTTGCATAGATGAGGAACATGACGAAAGTCAAGAAAGATATTGTTGACGTGTTGATACCATGCCATGTGGACGCGTTGATGTCTTGATGAGGATACCAAGAAAGAAGAACCAATATATGGAGGGCGAAGTGATAAAGACGAAAGCAGATCGAGAAATTGTTGCCGTCTAACGTGTTGACATGTGGACGCGTCGTGTTGTTATGTTGATGACGATATCAAGGAAGGAAGGACGTAGGACCAGCATGTGAAAGGAGGCATAAGAAATTATTGGAGGAAGCGTGATCAACAATAATGTGGAGTGAAGATCAAGCAGATCGAGCGGAATTGATGGAAAGGTGGGGAAGTGAAGAGCTGGGGAGAAAAAGAAGGAAGAAAATTTAGAGCTGGGGCTGGGGTTGGGGATTGATTATTTATCTCCCCAGATCAAGATTCACTGGTCTGGTGATTTCAATCAATTCTAACTGATTTGACAAGAGATACTAGACCTTGAGGACACTTAAAGCTACTAGTACACAATTTTCTTCTGATCTGCATGTGGATAGCTACTTCCTTGCCGCATACTTGAGACAAGACGCATGGAAAACTACTAGTATGCAGTATCATTTCAATGTATTCGGAACCATCGTAATAACATCATGTATGGCTAATAAGAGAGAAAAAATCGACTGGTACGCCGGACGCTGGTGCACCTTAAGTAAGGCAAATAACTGTTCGTGACATAGCAACAACCTGAAGATCCTAGTAGATTCAAGATCAAATATTGCTATTAGATCTGAGATATGAAGTCCAATCGTTGATTATCGGCGTGTCCAAGGTGAAGCAGCCGGGTTCGAGACACGATCAGTAACCAGTATGTCGACAAAAGTCCATGTCGTCAATGAAGAAGGCGCCGGCGCCGTTGTAGATAGATGCCCTGCGATAGATATCCGAGGGATGACGGTAATATTGTAGACAAGAATGCAAAATTTCAAACATTGAAAATGTTCATCGACTTCAATCTTCAAGGGGTGGTTTCGTCATCGTTGACAGGGCTGGTGGCTACTTTATCCAAAGCCACGGTATGCAGAGCAGGCTTTTCAGTGGTAGGGAGAAGACCGTTCGCCTTCATGTCGAGTTGCCTTTGTACCCAGTCGGCGACTTCTTTGTCTTCCGTGACGGATGAAGGAAGACCCTCATCAGATGCCGATGCTTCGGCTTCGGCAACGGCCTCGTTCTCGGCCTCGGTAGGGGGTTGCATGAGGGGCTGCAGCCAAGCGTGGCGAAGCAGCATGTTGTAAGTTGGTCGGTTCTTCGGGTTCTTATCTAGACAAGCTCGAACAAATGCATGAGCCTCTTCGGAATAACCATCCGCAGGAAGACCCGGAGGATCGCCATGAACAATTGCCTTGATTTGAATGTTAGTTTGAGATAGCTACTAGTAATATGCGAAGTCTTGGAGGTACTCACGTGTAGCTGGCTGAAAATGTTGGTGAATGTCTCTGGCGGGTAAGGGTATCGGCCCATGGCACACTCGATGATCGACAATCCCAAACTCCAAACATCGCTTTGTACACTATATGTTCCAACGCTGGTCGTTCCCGATTGCTGCATACCACCACTTGCAATACGCTCTGGTGCCATGTAACTTTGACAGCCGATGTTGGTTTTGGCGATACTGGCAACCAAGTTTCCACTCACACCAAAGTCACAAATTTTGATCTGACCCCTGCTGTTGACCAGGATGTTTGTCGGCTTCACATCGCGGTGAATGATGTTGTGCTCATCCTTAAGCGACTTTAATCCCATAATGGTAGACAAAGTCATCTTTCGCAAGACGTTCTCCGGAAGACCGCCCTCGTAGATCTTGTCAATTGAACCGCCATCCATATACTCAACACACATGTACACAGCGCCTTCTTGGAAGAACGCGCCGTAGAAATCGATAATGAAGGGGGAGACGCATCGGTGCAGGATATCCAGTTCCATAATAATCTGAGCGAATTTGGCCTCATCCAGCTCAAGTCGAATTTCCTTCATGGCCATGATCACACCGGAGAGATTATCGTGGCCAGCTTGGTCGGCATCTTCAGAGACAGCTGACCGGCTGACAATTCCACTCACACCCAGACCCGGTTTTCGAAGGTGAGGTCGGCTGTGTCGGACCTTGTACACAGTGCCATAGTTTCCCTTGCCCAACTCGTCCAGACGATCGACCTCATCCAAGGAGATCTTGAAACTGTGGCCAGAGGAGAACTCCACACCACCACCATGAAGGATGGCCTTGTTCTTGAAATTCAAGGTTCCGGACTTGGTATCGATAAACTCGGCGTATTTGCTGAAAGCCGATTCACCTCCATTCTCCTTTTGCGGCTTAGTATCTGTTCCATTTGATGGGGTCTGTCCACCGGTCACGTCGGACAGCTTGAGACCAGGCTTCATCCGCTTGGCAGCTAACCCGCTAGGCTTGGGGGAGGACGAGGGGCTCGAAAGTGACGGAACAGCAGGCGAAGAGGTCCAGTGATTTTGACTGGGTCGTGCACCGGGTGGAAGCCGTCCAGCTAAAGCGCCGCCCGCACCAACATCGTTGGATGTGGGGATCTGGCCAGTGGATGCGACATGCGGCAATGGAACACCTTGTCGGGAAAGAGAGAAAGCCTTCATCTTGGCCATGATATCCTGATTCAAACCTCCATTTCCTTTAGCAAGTATGGAGGACTGCGGGTGTGGTGAGGCTCCGGCACCGCGACGTGCGGCGTTGATCTGAGCCAAGGACGCTGACGGAGGCGCGGACATGGCCGGATTGGAATCTTGAGGGGAAAGGAGGGATGGAGCGGATGCGTTATGGGCAGGCGATATTCCGGGGGGTGCGGGGGATACGGGGGAAGCGCTTCCGGAATCTCTATTGAGCTGGTCATCGGCTGGAAGGTTCTCCAGGGCGAAATCGCGTTCGGCCATGATGAATCGCGGGGTTTAGGGGCGTGGAAGCCGAACCGACGACAGGGACGGGTGTAATTGCAAAGCCGTCTTGGACTTGAGCACCGTGGATCGGTGCTTTATCCAAGCAAAGACGCAGAGAGAGAAGGCGGGGTTGGAGATTTTTTTTAAAAAGGGAGAATGGCTGAAGGAACTTTTTTTTTCGAGTGTGAAGTCACCCGTTGAGCAGGGAAGATAATATAAAGTGGGGGGAAACAAAGACGACATGGTACTTGGTCAATTCCTGGCATTTTCCCTAACGCTTTTTCCTCTCTGCTTTTTCTTTTCTGACCAGACTTTTTTTTTTTTTTTTTTTTTTTTTTTTTCTTTTCCGTCAATCTTATTATATAATTTCATTCTGTATATTCCATGTATTTTTACTTTTTTTCTTTCTGTTTTAATCCAAGCATAAACAATGTACTGTACCGCATTGCCATTGATCACTCAATTCATATCGGGCTGACAAACCAGCCAATCAGCAAGTGCGCTCGGCTGAAAAGCAGGTTTTCTCAGTTACACATTGCTCCTTCCCTTCTTCCCATGCCGTGTTTCATCTGTTCCCGAGTGTGCTTCAAGTCGGAGAAATAAACAGTACATGTTGAGCCTTGAATATCCAATACTGATCCGGAATAGCTAGTATCTCTGCCGAACAACCGGTTTGGAGTTGGCCCATCCCATAACATAACGTCTCTCGATATAACCTAGGAAATTATGAATTGAATTACGAAATTGGTACGGAATACCCCGGATACTCTTACAATCCGGATTTTGAACTCCATGGTGCATTCTGCTTTATCGGAAAAGTACGAGTCGTTGACTTCACGCCTCCACTCTCCACTTATTACCCGTCGTTCACCAAATAGCGCCACTCTTCTGTGCGTTTTCAGAGGCCGGGACATGTTTTTCCACCAAAACCACGTTGTAGGGCTGAAACTTTCAACATCATCTATAAATGGTATGGGGAATAGTAATATCTGGTAATATCTGGTTGGGGGTTGAGAGGATTGTATTTGCGCACATGACGTTGAGGAGGATGCACTAATAGACCTTCCTCCCCGAAGCGGGGGGATCGTGGATCCTTATCCTCTATGTATTCCCCTTCCCCTGCCAGGTACACGTCGCAATGACTCTGGAAAGTATCTTTGAGCCCCTCCAGTCTATTGGTGACCATATTTATCTTTACGAGTTCCAGGGGAACAATGTCCCTGATTCCTCGTCACCATCCCTGGTCATCTTGTGTACATGGGTTGGGGGCGCAACCCCTCGCCGAATTAACAAATACCTGTCTCAATATCGAGAAATCTACCCTTACACCTCCATTCTTCTTATCACAACCAGCTTCCCCACTATCTTGCTCCAACCATTTAGCTGGACCCGTGCAAGCCTCAAGCCAGCTCGTCTTGCAATTCGTCGGATTGCACAGAAGATCGGCGCTGAACCGCGGCACTTGAATGGCCAGCACGGAATCTTGCTTCATTTGTTCTCCCATGGTGGTGGCAACATTGCCGTCCAACTGGCACTTTCCTTGAAAGAAGAAAAGGATCAAGGGTCCCCATTTTTCTCCAATCTAAATTCAATTATCCTTGATTGCTGCCCCGGTGACGATGGCCTCGGAAGAGCATACGCGGCGGCACGGACGTCAGTGCCCGACACATCAGTGGCCCGGCTACTGGGGAACACCTTACTTTACCCCACTGTGGCGGTGATTAACGGCTTGCAGCATGTTCGCCTCATGCGCTCCATTCAAGACTTGAGACACTTGCTGAATGATCCGACCACCTTTGGACCCACCCCGAAAAGACTTTATATCTACTCCACGAAAGATGCCATGGTCAAATGGGAAGATGTGGAATCTCACATCCAAGATGCACGGGCTCAAGGGTACTTGGTTGGCCAAGTCCGCTTTGACAATAGCTCACATTGTGGACTGATCATGGAAGATCCCGATCGGTATTGGACAGCAATCCAGAAATTCTGGCGGGGAGAAGACGTCTCTCATCTGTCGTCCACTGGGAACGATAAAGATCTTCGCAGCCGATTGTAATCGCCCCTGGCGGATCTCTTTTCGCATTGACGACTTCACGTCACACTGCATTATTACGTTCCAATCAAACAACCAAACACTCAAACCAAAAGAAATGGCATGGATATAGGCACCAACTTTTGAGCAGGGATTATCATGGATTATCATAGAGTGACATTGATAATGTATCTGCAAGATGATTGGAGTGACGTAGTTGAGCTCAAAGCTTTGTGCAGATCCCCCGCTTTAGTTCATGTACATAACCTTCATGCTTCGTTGATCTGCCTAATGGGAGTTCAAATGTCGCGAATGATATTTTTATTTTTATTTTGAAATTATCAAGTATGGAAGTGGGGTCCGCCATCTGGCCTTGAAAATCAGTCTGCGCCTTGATTGCCTGCCAGCTCGACATTTGAACCTTGGAAGCTCAAATAATACTGTCTATTCAAGGATTTTAGGCACGTGTAATTCCAGAGTTAACAAAAACTCTACCCAGAAGCTCATATTAATATGTATTGACCTAATTAGAGATTGCGCTTGCTAAAGAATTTCAAAATTTCCTGCGCAATATACCCCGTATCACTCTCAACAGCAAAATGGCCAGCATCAATCAACTGCACCTCAGCGTTTGGCAGATCCCTCTTATATGCTTCGGCTCCGGGCGGGATGAAGAACTTATCATTCTTACCCCAAATAGCCAGCAGCGGAACCTGCGATTTCCGGAAGTAGGCCTGGAAATCATCATAAACAGCAATATTATTCTGATAGTCGAAGAACAAGTCCAACTGAATATCCTTGTTGCCTGGACGCTCCATCAAAGCGTAATCAAGAGAGTACGACTCTGGTGCAACAAGGCCGAGATCAGAAGTACCGTCCTCGTACTGGAACTTAGTTGTTTCGAGCGTCAACATCGCTTTCGCAACCTTGTCTCGATTCTCTGGTGCATTATTGCTTGCCCAAAGTTCTTGAATGGGGCCCCAGACGTCGCCGAAGCCTTCCACATAGGCGTTTCCGTTTTGCGTGATTATGGCTGTGATGGCCTCTGGGCGTTGGAGAGCAATTCGTAGACCAACGGGAGCGCCGTAGTCAAAGATGTAGATGGCGAAGCGGGGAATGGAGAGTTGATCGATGAATTCTCCGATAGTAGTTGCTAGATTTTCAAATGTGTATTTGAATCCGCTAGGAGCTTCGGTAAAGCCGAATCCTGGGAGATCCGGGGCAATGACCCGATATTTGACGGCGAGAAGTGGGATCAGATTGCGGTACTGGTGAGACGATGAGGGGTATCCGTGGAGTAGAAGGATGACCGGTGCATCCGGCGCAGGTGTTTGTTCGCGGTAAAAAACTTTTGCTCCAGAATTTGCCAAGGCAATGTTTTTGTATTGGGTTTGCGCCATGATGAATTGCTAAATTGCTCTAGTGGCCGTTGGTTTTTGAAGATCAGTGGGGCTCGAAGTATGAACGAGGTTGAGTCAATGTGTCGACCAGATGTCTGTGTTAGAATATAGACTTTCAATGCTCGGGGTTTCTGTGGCCTTTTATGGTACGACAAGCTACAGCTGATGATGTATAGATGACCAATTGCAATTTCTCGTGTCCCCGATGAGCTTTCAATCGCCTTTCAAACCCCGTGTCAGCCGTGATGATGCTCTAGACTTGCGAATCATACGGGGTGCAAACTTATCAAACCAAACAAACAAAAATCTAGATTCTGCCCAATGCCGGCATTTCGGTGTTTGAATGCCGGGAGTTTGCCTTGCGGGGTTTGAATCTATCGGCGTCTGATCGCCCAACTGCTTGACTTGCCGTAATCGGTGATTGAACGAAATGCATCGGGAATTGAGCTCTTGATCAACACCAACTTGAACAACTCCGACTTCATATTGAACCCTTACATTATGCCCGGTTAGTCCATTTCGAAATATTTAGATTTGAGACTTTTTCCAAAGTTCTTGATAGCTTTGACCCAGGGGTGAGATCTATGCTTGTTTCCACAGGTGCTATAAAAAAACGGCAAAAGCTAGTGACTGCAAGGCTTTGACTATAGAATTGGTTTTTGTAAATTCTTCTAGAAGAAGATTTATCTTGGATTTGCTCAGAATGGATCTTGTCACCTACTTCAATAGTATGCAACCAGGAGCGAAGTACTTGCACCAGGATAAACTGCAGGTCTGTCGGGACTCGGCAACATGCGACAAAATAACCAACCAACATGAAGCAGTACGTGCATGGTTGCATACCCAAGTCGCCAAGGATTCGAGCCCAAGTACTGTAGTATGTGATTAGATTCACGTGCAATTACCGAGGGAAACAATCTTCAAATGTTTTGAACCCATACCAAATCAACTCGACTTCAACCAAGGATCTGCCAGTAACTCTTTCGCAGAATCCCGATCTTCCGGCTTCCACTGAAGCATCTTCCGCATAAAGCAGAGAAACGATCTTTGTCGTGTATCACGCAAATTTCCTTCCAGTGTCTCAAAAGATATGGAGGGAATTTTCGCATTACCTCTCCAGTTGCCTATATTTTAGCCGTCAGTCACGACTAGACAGGAGTGGGAAGGGGGAGAATACTTTATCATACCATCGCTGTCAAAGAAATTGTGAGCATACTCACTGTTTTGAAGCATTCCTTTCGGTGGTGCACCCATAATTGCTATCATCCCAGCAAGGTGGTGGCTGTCTGAGATATTTCCCTTTGAATCGCGAGCATGGAAGAGACGGCTTTTCTCAAAAAGATACCAAGCCTATATGAATAGTTAATTTTTGACCAGCATATGACTTAGTATACCATGAATACATACCAAGACCCCTAAGTTCCATATATCGACTTTTTCATCCCATGGCATCCGTAATAGAACCTCTGGAGCACGGTAAATTAAAGGTTGGATATCCTCCCATTGCGTCCCTAAACTCGAGCTAAAGCGAGCCTCTCCAAAGTTGGCCAAAATAGGGCGACCATGCACCTTTGGAATCTCTAAACCTCGGGATAGATAGATCACCCGATCATCAACAATTTTGCGGGGACTAGGGCTAGACCTTTCTGCTTCGTCAAAAGCGACCAGGATTGACTCATCTTCCACACTAAGCATGATGTTATTTTCTTGTAAATCTGTGATTTGGTCAATAACCGATTCTTGAAAGCCAGAAAGTTTACAATATTAGGATACTATACCGGCGTGGACAATTTTGGCTTCTGTGTGAAGGAAATCAAGGGCAAGAAGGATGTGGATCAAAATTGGCTTCACTAAGACTTCTGGAAGCACCTTTCCTATGGCCCTGTGGCGAAGCTCGCAAAGACTCATAGCTAAAGGAGGATGCACAAGACACTGGTAGGAGTAGTTGGTATCCGCACAACTGATTTTAAAGTCATCGATGGCTCGTCGGACGAGAATAGAGCCTGTGTGGCTTGATTTGATTGTTCTGAGGTGATCATACACCTCTTTTTCTCTTTGCCCATTGCTAGAATCATGTTCGTACATTTTCAATGTAACGTAGGCATGTTGCCTGCCACGTTTCAGTTCCCACATCCATTTCCACTGGTAGGGAAACTTACTGCAGGTCTCGACAAAGCCAGACTGTAGAGTGGCCACCATAGCCAAGCTTCCCGATTACCTGGTACCTCAAGTGGAAGACATCTCCAATCTTCACAGGGTAAAATTGATCCGGCGAGTAGCCCAGTTGCTTTTCCTCTTCCACTTTATCGTTTGTGTCTAAAATGGTGCCTGCCTGAGAAAATGTTCGAGGTGGGGACGGCGGACGCCCGAAAACAAGTTGTCTCAGTCGACGAGTGAGGCTTTGCATCGTCGTTACATAAAATGTACCTAGGTCACGCGTAAACAAAAAGAATAGGGAGGTTGGATGATATCGATGATAGGCGGTATGTAAGGTCTAGACTTGCCAAGACTTGTGATAGTCATGTTACTGTGACCTCAGATTCCTGTCTAAATAATTGATCGATTAACTAACATTGAGTTGACCAATCTAACATTTAGATAGAATTAGTAATTTTGGGCTTCAATCACACAATGTTTTCCAATGTTGGCTTTTAGAACAGAATATTTTTTACATAAGGTTGACAGTCCTTAAACTTGAACTTCAAATGTTTCTTAAAGATCAATTGATATATCGAGTTCGGGATTTCCAAAATCTGGTGCTCGAATCGTTTAGTGTTTGAACTGGCTTCGACCTTGAAAACGGACCCCTATAAACATCAACTTTGAATACATGGTGGAAACATTAAACTTGGAATCCGTGGACCTGACCACTTGGGCACGTTCAAAAACAGATGTGCAGAGTGTATCCGTGCCCACTGTAGATACAAATATTCCAAAATGCGTAAAAATCGTAAGCACATTCTTTCTCCCAACCACAAACTCCAAATTCTATGCATATTCACTTTGGTCATGAAATTTCCATTCCTTCGTCATCCCCATCAACCTCCGACATTTCATCGGCTGCAGATCCTAATCGCAGACGAGACCCTTTCCCGTCTCGGTCACAAGTCTCATCCCCAAGGGAGCTGACCATTTCCAATTCAGGGCCTGCAATGATGCGACCTTCAGTATCCACAACCTCGCAGAGCCCAATCAAACTCTGATGGCTCAGTGACTTGAAGCCATCTGTACGCACTATCCGACCCCAATGAGTTAGACAAAATTGGGCTGCCCGCCGCATTAGCCAATGCTCATTGGTTCGTCCAGCTCGCTCCCACACAATAGCAGCGTTTTCCACATCAAGCTCACGACTTAGCCGGTTGACGCAAAGCAGACGGAGCTTAGGCATGTCGTAAAGATTAGCCATCACCAGCATACCGGCCACATCAACCACACTGGAGCAGAATTCGGGATGCCCAGCGATGCTGTCTGTGTAAAGGTAATAGAGAAATGCACGCACGACTGAGTATGGCTCAGGGATGTGCATACGCTTTGTATGATACTCCGCCATTTGTGCGGAATAAAGTCGTTTGAAGTGAGGCCACCGCAGTTGCAAAATAATCTTGTGCACGTGTATCGGTACCGATGTGGATTGGTTAGGTTCCACAAAAGTCGGTTGGGCTTGAGCTGGGGATGCAGAGGGGCCGTCGTGATAATCATCTGAGCTCATGAAATCATCATCGTCACGGATAGCAGTGATAATGAAATCAGCACCGCTGCCCGACTCGGGAGGTTGGTCAAAGACAGAAGCAATGTCTGCCCCCAGCCCCGATACTGGAGAATGACCCGACCGATCAGGCCAGGAGGAATCTTGTTCAGGCACCTCCGCCGACAGATTATTCCCCAGTAGGCCATACTTTTCTAAGTCAATGGAAAGAATTTCACTCATATGGTTTTCATCGCTAGCCCCTGGGGTATTTGCCAAGTCAAGACTACATCCTAAAAGCCATGCTTTTGTGCCCGCTTCATTGACAGTGCAATAATGCCAACGATAGCCCGGGCGAAAAAGCTCATGACCATCGGCTAGTCGTTGCCAACGCAAAGAATTGAGCTCCAAAGCAGCCAGGTTACAGTCATGCGACCGTACAGTCTCAGATGGAGTGATTAGGTCAAGTAGAACTCCCGATGCGAATGATTGAAAATGAGTTCCGGAGAACAACGCGGGGACATTTGGTCCGGAATGGAATCGAAGACAGGAAATGGCGCCCGGAGCAAGTGGCTTACGTCGGCCAAAGTTGCGCACCTGGACACTGGCTGAATTCGCGGCATAGCTTCCAGAGCGAGGGGACAGTTGGGTGGACGGACTAGAAATGGGGTCTGGGTAATGAGCCAGGGGTAATCTTTCATCGAGGGAGTCCACGGTACCTTGGGGTGTGGTGATGCCAGCCAGAGAGGGGGAACCTTTGAGATCGAGCCACCATATATCAGTTGTTCGCTCCATATTAGGACCGAGTCCTCCAAATATCCACAGGCGGTTGCTCCACACCCATGCCGTGTGGTCAAATCGAGCAGTGAAGCTCCATGTTCGAGACCAAGTCCAAGTTTGGAGGTCCAAATAGGTGAGATCATCCAAAATGACATTATTTTCTCCGGTCACACCACCAACAATGAAGAGTTTCTCGTCATGGATAACGGCGGCATGGCGTGCTCTACCACGTGGGATTGAGCCTCGAATTTCAGGTAGGGTCCAGGTAAAGGTTTGAAGGTCCAGGATGACAACGTCGGAGAGGTATTCGCGGTGTTCGTTTTCACCGCCAAAGACAATCAATTTGTTGCCCTGGTGCAGGGTGGCGGTGTGTCCTAAGGAGAGCCAGGTCAGAGACAAAAACCCAACGAGAGTGAAAGAGGGGTGGGTTCAAGGATAAGTTACCCATGCGAACACCCGGAATATCTCCATAGTTATCGACTAACTCCCACCTAAGGGTATTCAAGTCCAATCGGAGGACGTGGTTGTACACTGAAGCGAGTTAGTGAGCACGACAGTCAGGAGTTTGAAAATGTACGACAGTGGGAAGGGCTGACCTTCATCGGTAAATTGATCGAATCCGCCGAAGGCATAGATATGGTCGTTGCTGCAGTACGTCACCGAGGCGTTCACGAGACATGCGGGGACGTGACCCTGGGCTTTTTTGACACTAGGGCGATAATCCGTGGCCGGACGACCGCCCGCGGGACTGGCCGGCAATAGGTATGCGTCCTGCTGCTGCATCGAATGTACCGAAGGCGCACTTCTCGGGGTAGTCGGATTGGAGAGCCTCGAAGATCCGGTCCAGGCTGATGGAAGTCGTGTGGGTGGGTCCAGGTGGAACGGAGGAAGGTGGGGAGGTGTAGCTCCCGCCATCAGGCAGGAATATTAGGGAGTTGAGAGTCCAGTATCAACAGAGATAAGCGAGAAGATAATTGAAGAGGCTCATGCTGAGGCAATCCAACTATTATTCACATCGAGAATCAATCGCGATGTCCTTTCAACCTTTGAAAGATTCCCCGCCAAGGAATTGCAGACAAAAACGATCGACACCGAAATGGGAAATCACCGGCATGTCATGTGCGGATGGAGCTAGTCTATAAAGGGGTTAGCGCAACCGTACCTGAGGTAACGGTTGCCCCGGCGAAATTAGTCCATACTCAATGTGGAATTCTATTTATTCTTCTCTACCTTTATCATCCTTCATTTCTTCCACATCTGTCTCCTATCCTACTCATTTCATATCACTCTTGCATTACTTGTTTGCATTTTAATCATCTGCTAGGTGGTTAACTCCATCTTAACCTTGCTACATAGCTCGTTCTAAATCGTCATTATGGCGACTGCTTCAGTGACTACTCCAAAGAAGAGCCACCATGGGCTCTTTTCCTCAAAGACTGCAGGAGGTCGAATGCCTTTGACCCCTTCCCCTCATGCTCGTACTGTTGTCACTCCTCAAGCATCGGGTAATGATTCACCATTTACCCCGGTTCGGGGATCCGACGCAGGTCGCAGTCAGTCTAAATCCGTGTATGGGGGAAATTTGTCCTCGCTCTTCGCCAAATCTTCCACTTCCAAGTCCACCTCCACCTCCACTAAACCTTCCACGACCAAATCATCGACTGCCACATCTACCACTACTGTGAAGTCTTCCGCCACAGCCAAGTCCTCTCGACCAAGCTACCGTGATTCCCCGAAGTCCAATATCGCTCGTCGAAAGTCACCAAAGCACCTGGAGCTAGGTGTGTCGGACTGGTCTCTGACTGGTACTGGCCCTTCTTCAGCTCAATCACCGGCCAAGGAGCGTACTCGTCGGGAGATCCCTACTCGCTCTCGTGCTGGTAAGACTACCGTGCGAATTCCTCACAACACTGGCGATCGCTTCATCCCCAACCGTACTGCCAGTGAAGGCCTTGTTACTTCTGGTGCGGCCAAGCCTGACGAGACCCAGCGTCCCAAGACAAGCAGCGGAGAGAGCTCTGGATCAAACGTCCTCGCCTCCGCTGCTAGTGCCTTTGACATTAGCGGTCGCGGAGCGGAAGACGACCTGACTTCGGCTCTGGAGAGTATGGGTCTGGAAGATAATGAATCTTCTACCTACACTCGCCCGGCACCCGATAAGGTTGCCTACGAGTCTTCTCTGGCTAGCGCCTGCGATATCAGTCTGAACACTCGTATTCTTGCCTTCAAGCCCCCTCCACCAGAGTCCTCTAAGCCAATTGATCTCCGCGCCCAGTACAATCGTCCTCTGCGTCCCGCCAAATCAAACGCTGCTCAGTTTCGTCGTCGTGTGCAGACTGCGCCTGAGCGAGTATTGGATGCCCCAGGTCTTTTGGATGATTATTATCTCAACTTGCTGGATTGGAGCTCTGGCAACCAAGTTGCTATCGGTCTGGAGCGCAACGTTTACGTCTGGTCTGCTGAGACAGGAACTGTCAACTGTTTGCTAGAGACTTCACCGGACACCTACGTGAGTAGTGTGAAATGGAGTGGCGATGGTGCTTATGTTGGTGTTGGCTTGGGCACTGGTGAAGTTCAAATCTGGGATGTCGAGGAAGGTAGCAAGCTTCGCAGTATGCACGGTCATGACACTCGTGTCGGGGTGATGGGTTGGTCCAAGCACACTTTGTCCACTGGTGCCAGGAGTGGCCTCGTTTTCAACCACGATGTTCGTATCGCTGACCACAAGATCGCTGAACTTGTTTCGCATACTTCAGAGGTCTGCGGATTGGAGTGGCGTTCGGATGGTGCCCAACTTGCGACGGGTGGCAACGATAACCTTGTCAACATCTGGGATGCCCGCTCCCTCAGTGCTCCCAAGTTCACCAAGACCAACCACCGCGCTGCCGTTAAGGCACTCAGCTGGTGCCCCTGGCAACTTAACTTGCTTGCCACCGGTGGTGGCTCCTACGATCGTCACATTCACTTCTGGAATACCACCACTGGTGCCCGTACCAACAGCATTGATACCGGCTCCCAAGTCACTAGCCTGCGGTGGAGCAACCACTACCGTGAGATCGTTAGTTCCAGCGGCTTCCCCGATAACTCTCTCAGCATCTGGAGCTACCCGACCCTGGTGCGCAATGTGGAGATCCCTGCCCACGAGACCCGTGTTCTTCACAGCAGTCTGAGCCCCGACGGCCAAATGCTGGCGACAACTGCTGCAGACGAGAGCTTGAAGTTCTGGAAGGTTTTCGAACGTAAGGCTGGTAGTAGTGCTTCAGCATCCCGTGAAGGCAGTGTTGGTAGCAAGGCCCAGCTTACCAAGTCTATGACCATTCGGTAAAGTGCGTTTTCTGTTTGTGGTTTTTCGGTTGCATTTGATTTTTTATACCCCCGGTTTCATGGTGACTTGCTGAGCATTGATGGGCTGGGATATTCATTTCTTTCGGTGTCATGGTGGTGCGGTTTCTACAGGACATAATTATGGAGTTTCTTGGGTGTTGTAACTAAATTGCCAAAGGCTTATTGGGTACAAAATATGATTCGTGATGCTATGTGTTATGACTTCTTGAAGTAATTCTTTTTTGGTCCGTGGTTAAACCCCCAGTCAGATCCTAATAGTTAGTAACCAGTGTTCAGCTTGGAAGGGCGGTGGGATGACTAAGCGCCGGGAACCTGGAGGGATTTCGACCGCAGAAGCCCGACTTTCACCTTTAGTAACTCATCGCTGAATCTCTCTTTCTCCCTTCCCAAAACCTCTTCTTCTGTTAAATCTAAAAAAGCTTTTCGTTTCAATTTCATTCACTGTCCTGCCTGGAGGATTCCTGCCTCCTTCACTCCTCTGTCGTTGCGTGAATAATCAGAGCTGTGATCTACCACAGCTCCAACGGTCCCATCCGTTGCGACAACGAAAGTCCACTTGCTCTGTTCGAGTAGACCAGGCTTCATTGCAACGCATTCTTCCTTCAGATTTCTTTTGATCACTTCCTCCTCCCTCCTCCCTCCTCCTCCTTCTTCCTTCCTCGCAGCCGGCACGCCACCATGTCGAACCAGCAAGTGGTGAGTTCTGTCACGAGGACATCTCATCCTATACGGTCGCAGAGATGATTCCATGGCACCCCCTTGCAGACTGTCTTCGCGGACTTTCTCTCGTGAATCTCATTGTTTGACAAGGGGTGTTCTGCGGCGATCCTGGTCTAACATTAGCTTCGTAACAGGGCCCGGTGTTTGAGCGCGTCATCCAGGAAGTCTGCGACGCTTCTCAAGTCGATTTCGAGGAGAGCGGTGTGGATCAGAAGACACTGGTCGACTTGCGTGAGGTTAGTGATAATTTCCACAGTTTCCTCTTGTTTTCTTTGATACTTCGCTCGTTGTATTTGATGGCATCCTGTCGTGGTGGTTCTGCAGTGGCGGCCAAAAGCGGGGGTCCCGAAGTGGTGCGGGAAGCGCTGCTTATGGGGGAACGCCGGGTTTTGAGGCTCTCTTTTATATGTGGCCGCCTGTACCCGCTTAGACCGCCAAGCCAATCCCCTTCGACGACAACCAGATCTATATATATACCTTCCCCTGCCCAATATTCCCTACATACTAATAAATTTTCCGAACAACAGACTTGGCAGCACAAGCTTTCCTCCGTTAACGTCGCCCATTTCCCCTGGGATCCCACTCCTCAGCCTACCCCGCAGGCTCCTGTCCTGCCACCGCAGACTACTGTTCCTTCCAACGCTCCTCGCCCTCCTCCTCAGCAACAGCAGCAGCAACAGCATGCAGCCCCTCATATTCCTCTCCAGCATACTGCCCCTCCCCCAGCCCCTGCACCCCTCCCAGTCCATGCACAAGCCCCGGTCGGCCCTATGGCGGGACCTCCCCGGATCAAGACTGAACCCGGAACCAATGGCCCACCTGGTCTGCCCAACATGAATAATCCGATGCAAGTACCTGTGAACTCCCAAGCTGCCCGCGATCGTGCCATTAGTGCGATGCAGCAGAAGTATGGTGCGAACGCGGCCGGCTCCGTTCAACAAATGCATCAAATGCAAGCTCAGGCCCCAGGCCAACAGCAGTACCAACAGATGCATAACCCGAACCCACAAATGCCCCAGATCAAACAGGAGTCTAACTATCCATCAATGGGCCCCAGTCAAACCGACGGTGGTGGTGATGACCCTATGGCAGACTGGAAGGCCGAGGTCGCGCGCCGTCGAGAGGCAGCTGCGAACGGACATGGCGATCACATGCTGCGGGAGCATTTTAAGTCACAGATGCGTGGAATGGAGGGCGGTGGTTTGTTCCGACCTCTCTCTGAGCATGAATCTCCATCTGTCTTGGCCCGCCGCGCTGCTATTGATGCGCACCTCAACTACCAGGAATCCAAATCTGCTACCCCACGGATCCGTGGCCAGGTCGATGGAGAAGAGGCCGACGAAGATGCTATCAACTCCGACCTTGATGACCCTGAAGACCAGCTTGCGGAAGATGCCGATGCCGATGAATCCGAGGGTCAGGTTATGCTTTGCACCTATGATAAAGTCCAGCGTGTCAAGAACAAGTGGAAGTGCACCTTGAAGGATGGCATCTTGACCAGCGGTGGCAGGGAGTAAGTCGACTCTTGATCTTCATATTATGAACTACTGCTAACTCTTATCAGATATGTCTTCCACAAGGGCCAAGGCGAGTTCGAGTGGTAGATCATATTTCCTGATTTTTTTCCACTCCGCCTGTCTTTTTTGCTTCCCTCTGCGAAGAAATGTTCCTCGCCTGTGCTTCGTCCGCACATATGAAAATCCGTGATCGGTGCTTTCGTTCTTCATGCTCTTCAAACGGTTGGTTGGTGCAAGCGATTTTTCTTGTTCTATTATGATTACCTTTACCCCTCTTTTCCCCCCAGTTCCCCGCTCGCGATCATCGATGGAGCTTCCCTTCGCGCGTCTGTTTCCACCACATTTCATATCTCATCTTTACACATATGAGTCTCTTATGCTCCTGGCGCCTACACTAAGAATGGCTTCTGGCTCATATGGGTTCCTCAATCACGGCTCCTTTTAACTACTAGAATGAAAAACGGCAAATCTCCATCAGATAACACAAAACTAATTCAAGAAAATATCATGATTGAGTTTTTTTAATCTATACAAGAATGTACTAGTGGATACACAGATCAATGTCCCTTCATTAGGCTTATCTTACTAGATAAATACGGAAATAAGGCAAGATTGAAATCGATGAGAAAAATGATAAGTAGATAAAGCAAAAAGAAAAAAAAAACGATCGAGACAAGAAGCTCAAGTGTATCAAAACGAAAAAAAAAAGAATCCAAAATCAAACCAAATCCATATCTACACGATCTGACGCCGGAGAACCGCACTTTTGTTTGTAATTTCCAAGTCCAGATCCAATTCCCGCTCGACATGAGCTATTAGGAGGAAAGTGAACATCAAGTATGGAGTCGCGAGTTATACTCGCCGTAACCCTCCAAAAAAAAAGAAAAGAAAAAGAGATAAGAAATAAGAAATAATCAAACTCCCACGTATCCCAGTCCGAGCTCCTGTAGGATCGTATCCAGTGGGCCTGTTCTTGTTACCCGGGTATAGTCAAGACGGAGCTCGAACCGATCATCAAGGGAAGAGATAAGAGATCAAGGCATGCGAATCAAACCAAAGAAACGAAATTCAAATACCCACCCTTGCAGAACGCAGGCAAACATGCATCAACGCACGATGGAAACACAAAATCGAACCCTTAATACCGTTCCTTTCCGTTGCAGCATCAAACCCAGTATTTCAGATGCCAGATAACAAAAAATAAACAGAATGCTCTTCTAGGCAGATCTTGCTGAGATTTCGATCGCTCGGAGGAATGGGGGATGGGAGAGGGGCTCTATCACCAGGCCCGGAATTCGAATACTGGGAATGGCGAGGGATATCGAGCTGAAAGACAGAGAAAAATGCCATGAAACAAGACATTCGGATGAGAAGGCGAGGGGAGCCAAAAACAGAGGGAGGAACAAAAACAGGGGGGAAAAAAACAATCGTACACTTCCCAAAGAAACAGTTGGAAAAAGAGACCCAAACACATCAAATCAAACTCCAAAGTCACCGGACCAGTCATGACATCATGTGTGGGAGGTTAGATGAGCCGTCGAGATCATTCGCATCAAAAGGCAAATAGCGCGGAGGGTATCATTTATGGAGAGACAACGGATCAAAGAAGGCCTTCTTCGCCGATTCCGGGGAGGCCAGCTCCAGCAACGTTGATGTTCTGTCCCTGCATGACACCGCCACCCAGAGCAAGATTGCGACCTGCTGCAAGCTGGAAATCCGGATTGCAGGGCGGCGAATGAGATTTGTGGTATTTGAGACCGTTCAAATTCTTGTATCGCTTGCCACACACCTCGCAGCGGTATGGCTTCTCCTTCTCCATGCCGAGTGTACCGGGGTAAGGTGCTGATGTTTCGGGGTTCACGATCGAGAATGTTCCGTCCGCGTTATCGTGAAGTTGTTGATTGTTGTGGCCGTGCTAGTAGTTACCATTAGGTTAGACTCCATAAAATGACAAGATTATATCAGGGTAATTTTTAAACCAAAAACTTACAGCTTTGTGGTATTTCAAACCATTCTGGTTCTTGTAGGCCTTCTCACAGCCGATGACGGGGCATCTGAATGGCTTCGGCTCTTCGTTGGGAAGAATGGAGGTGGTATCGGGGACCCCAGCGAGAAGCTGCTGCTCACGAATCCGTCTAGCAATATCACTATTGGGACCGTATTGGGCCCCGCTGAGTTTGAAATGGGCGTTCGTCGGACCCCCCATACCTCCTGTAGGACTAAATAGACGTTTGGCTGGTTCATCGATGCATAGATCGACCATATCGTTATTGCCACCAGAGAAGTGTCCGAATTGACCCTGGTTTTGGCCCATGGCGTTATGTTGCATAGTAAGATCGCCAAACCCGCCTACCACACTCTCATCGATTTCAGCTGGTGTGCCAGGTGCTGACGAATCCGGGGTATTTCGGAACTGGGAGGTTTGGAGTGGGTTGGCCATTAAAGTGGGAGTATTGACGGATGAAACGGTGGGGTTGTTCTGCAGGGAAAGAGGACGTCCAGATCCGATCGGAGTACCCGGTTGGGAGGGTGTACTGAAGCCCTGGTGGCTTGGAAGCATGCCCAGGTTTAATTGCGGGCCCTGGTTGGAGCTTCCAAAACCGCCTTGGCCCCCTTCGCGTAACTGTGGGGAGAATAGCTGAGAAGTGGTATCGTCGTCATCTACCATGGGCTCGTCCAACTCCATGTCATCGATTGTGTCTAGATCCACGTGCTGGGATGTGGAAGTGGTCTGGCCCAACTTCCGCTGCATATCCAGAGTGCGATCGGGTTGCAGGCCGCGCCCTTGATTGCCGTGTTGCTGGCTCTGTTGCTGTGCGATCGCGGCTGCTGCCAAGGCCGCTCGATTCTCACCCTGACTCGGGCGATGTCCTTGGTTGGGCGATTTGGTGGCGTGAGCTTCTTCGTAGTGTTGTAATAGGTCATGAAGGGTCGGTAACGTCACACCGCAGCACGAGAAGTCCCGCATAAAGTTGGCCTCTAGCTTCGGGAGATATGATGAAGAGTGGAAAGATGGCGACTGGAAGGTGAAGGGGGACGTGCCAGTCATAATGATGCTGTGTAGAAGGGAAAAAAAATAGAATGTCAGTTTTCAATGTCGTGCAACAATGGCGCTGGCGCACAGGATTTCTCCCCGCGCGCTGCGCGCCTTCAATATTTGGCTTTATAGAATTTCCCGCCACTCACTCATCACGAATCCAGCTTCCGACCGAAATTCCACCCCAGCTCATGCCGCCTACTAAACTCCCTGCCAGGGACTCGCGGCGACCCTTGTCGCGGGCAGAACCGGACATGGAGATGGGCTTCGTTCCGTTTCCCCATTGTGCATTTGCGGCGCCGATCGAATCCTTACGAGGCGGCGGGGCCTTGAACACCCCGAGAGCTCCGCTTGGGTGGTGCGATATACTCCCGGTGCGTTCGCCAGTGCCGGCTCTCTGCAGGGCCGACGTGAGATTGGAGGCCTGTTGGCCCGGCGGTGAGACCGAGCTCGACTGTCGCGTGGCGATGTCTATCGGAGCGGCGCCAGTCATGGTGAGGGGTCGATATGCAGGCGATTAGGTTTTTGGTAATGGGATGATCAAGGGGGAGGGGTGAGAAAAAAGAAAAGCAAAAAACAACCAGCAGCTTAATCGGGGCTGTTTTTTGAAATTGGTTTGGAAACTTTTTTTTTTTGGGAAATCCTGGTCCCTGTCTGGTCTGCGCGAAGGGCACGCCAAACCCGAGGGGTTGGGAGATGTGACAAGGTAAATCTAGGGTTCCCACGTTAAAGCGTGGATCGAGGGTACCCAAAGATATTGAAGAAGAGAGTGTACGACGAAGGTTGAGGAACAGACGTATGGAAATGCCCCTCGATGAGTGTTAGTGGACTTTTGGGTGGATGGCGGTTTTGGGCGGGTTCGAGAGAGAGTCCACCCTCGGATGATGTCCCGCTCGTGTATTGGGGCCCGGCGGAACGCTGAGCCTTGAAGTGGCGATGAACTCGCCTTTTTGGAGAGGGAAACTTGGAACACAAGATAAGGAACTTAGGGGGGGAATCAAAAGGCCTGTAGACTTGATTTTAAAAAGAACGATCTACTAAATTTATGAGGAGGAGGAGGTTTAATGGGGACTTTGCGAGTAGAGTATGATCGGAAGTGCCCTTTTACTATGACTAGAGACTTGGCCTGTTCTAGGCCTAGCGCGGTTATTGTATTACAAATGCACGTGATGCCCCATTGCAACCGGCATTTGCCATTGTTACGGTAAAGTAATTTCATTTCATTCGTGTTCGTGTGGACTTGCCAAGAGCTTTTCAAGTCATGATTTATCTGCTTGGTTCTTTTCCTCAGTTTCCATACAAAATCATTTAAGTAGCTGGTGCGACCGGTCAACTTTTTTTTTTGACTTTGAAAGATGAATGTCCGCTCTGGGGAAAGAAGAGCGGCCATCGATGACCGAGGGGGGTCGGAGCGCCGATCGCTAAGATATGATGACACGACCACACCGCTTGCAGGGACGTCATGATCTTTGTTACCAGAGCTCATACTAGGATACCACAGCTGATACCACAGCTGAAACAACGGACTTTGTGACTAGCGTATTATGACTAACCGGATCTTGCCCGATGCGAATGCGATCTATACTACGGTGTATTACAGGTTTGGAACTAGCATTTTGAAATCATTGTGAAGTCAGTCCCGGTTTTTAGGTTCCAGTTGGAGCTATTGTTTACGCCTTTAATGTTTTCCCCTCCCTTGGACCCTCTTCTCCCTGGAGCCGAGGATCAAGCTATAAGTTGAGGCTGACGAAGTCGATTCAATGTTCATAATTATGAGCTGACTCGTTGCCGAGGGTGGAGTCTGCTACCAGTAATTTTGCCCTACTGAGACAAGACACATCTGGAGCCTCTTCCAAATGTGATCCAATGATTCTACTCTTTCCCATGGTATGCTTTTGAAGACCGGGAAATCCACCTTTCTGAATATGCCGAAAATCGCTTCCAATATTCCCTGTCAATATCCATCGTAGATCAGGGATTGCAGAATGAGATCGTGAGATCTGGGGTCATGCAAGGGGCAAAAAAGGAGATAAAAACGGGGTGGCAAAACTCTCGGGATCCGCAGGGGGAAATGATTCAGTATATTGCGCACCGGCTCTTTTTCGGGTGAACAATGCGGCAATGCCTAATATCTTCACATGTTGTCCATTGTTATGATCATTTAAAATGTTAGCCTAGTTCGGGGAGAAGGAACGAACTAGCGATTTTTACCTCTTAACGGTCAGACCCAACTTGTTTCAACCCCCAGAAAGTCAATTATATAGTTCAAAATGGAGTCACAAGAGATAAACGATAAATAAAACTAGTGCCATGGTCAAAACATTTGAATATTCCATCGAGTAGAACGGAGCCCAAAGTTTCCAGTTGGGAGACAAAACGGGTCTTGGCTTTGGCGCTAGAAAGACGGTAGAAGCATTTGGTTCAACCTTGGATTCCATTAGCGCCTAATGTTTGGAATTCTTCAATTGAATACGCCCTAAAACTCGCCTTAGTGACCTTACCGAGGGGATACATGAATAACACCGCCCCGCTTTCTACTGTAAAATGGACCCTCTCACACCACCTCGCCCAAAATGCGCCCGCATAACTCCGTTGATCATCAGATTGCGTGCACTTTTGACCTCTCCCCCCTTTCACGCGTCTAATAATATTTCGAATTGGAGGATTGGATTTGCCTCAGTACGGAGTAAAAGTAATTCGGACGCGCGGTTTCTCCACGGAAACCACGTCGCTCTTGTCCCCATCAGGCATGTGGGCTATTCCTAATCGGCCGACACGCTTATGAGGATATGCTCTAGTATCAGATCGGTATTCTTCTCCGTCCACTCCGGGCTTCTACTAGTGAAGTCACTGCCGTCGCTAAAGGTTAGCCTGTCGAAATGAATCACGCCAACGTAATATAATGTGCGCCCATTCTTGAATACCAGGCAGAAAAGGATTTATCTTCCTACTCCATATAGTTTCTGTAAGTTTGAAAATCTCGGAAATATTTACTTTGTTCGTTTAGACTATACTCAAGTGAAACGTATGTTTATTCAATGTTTTGAACTTTATATGTACAATCAATCCCGATACCCTCAAGTGTTCCCCTCAATTAATTGTGATCATCATCTAATCAATAGTTACATATATCTCGACAACCTTGCTCTACCTGGGCACTTTGCACATGTGTGGCTCAATTTCCCCGGATCCATCTATTCATGAATGGATGTCGCGTTGTTTATTACGCTCAGTCAACTGGTACAGTCGGCATGTGACACCCATGGATGTCCCAATCAGGACTAGCGCAGTTCCCTGTAGACATCTGGATAGATCATAGAGCCCTCTCTTTTCCCGTCTCTTCTTATTTAAAACTTTGGAATGTTCTTTCTATATCACACTTCGAGAATAAAATATTGCTTCCGACCAAATCCCGAGATTTGTGGTTTGTATATGTAATGCTTGGAAGTTGAACCATTGTCTTTGAATGCATATATATACCTGTGGGCATAAATCAACATTGAATAGATCAATGCGTGCATGTGCATTTGAGGTCACTCCTCCGCCATTTCAATATTTAAAAAGGATATACAGGATGGATGTATCTGGATCCCAACATTGAAGATTCTGGACACAACCGGCACAACCCGGCCTGGAAGAAACATCAATTTTGAAGGGAACATTTGAAACCCCCAAGGTTCGTTCAATGTTTGGATGCCCATTAGATGTTAGTCGGGAAGCACCCGTGGCTCAAGAGCCAGGATTTCCCAACAATACAATATTTTCACAATTCCCGGCCAATATTGAATATATGCTTGACTAAATAATTTCAGAATATTCAACTCATTGTGATTCCCCGCATTCAGTTAATTTCTATCCTTTGTGGAAGCAACTCAGTTGAAACATCCCTTGCCGATTTCTCCCGACAACTCAATTTCCCCGCATATGGGCTGAGGTGAGTTTGTGGAGAATGTATGTGCGGAGACAAGCCTCAGGGATCTAGATCAAAGTCTATGACGCATGGGGTGCTTTTTATTATCTAGCTGCATAATCAATGCGAGTTTGTTTTGACTGGCGGATTGTTGAGCTTCACCGACTAGCGGGATGGCTGGCCAATTTTCGTGCAATCACATATGTGGTAGATTTAAGCAAATTTAACATAAGTAAGAGTAGACGTTTGACCTCGGAAAAGTATTCATTGATTCCATATTTGTTGTCATGAAATTGACCATCCACGAAAGCTATATATGATTCTTTTTGACGCGGTTTGTATATGGGTATCCGAGTACGCACAGATAGCATCAAAAAGTAAACATTTGAATACATCACACCGCTTCATTTCACGACAAGTCCATCTGAATCTCCAAAGACCTGCGACCTTCCGCCCAGAAACAAGGAACATAAGATAAGCCCCTCTGCTTGGGTCTATTCATCCTTGAAGTTGACGAATTCACCAATGAACTCGTGGAGGCCATGAACTTGCCTCATCAGTCGGAAGAAAAGTTACACACAATGTCCTCTACTGGGTGCTTCTCGGGCATTGATGTAACCCGCAAATGACCAGTCCAGGAGCCTGCATGTCGGAACTTGCAACATCCAGTTGTCGCCTTCTGATTATGCAGATCGTTGACACATTCGTGCACGGCCTTGAGAATTTCCGCATAAACCGCCGTTGTTTTGCAGTTGGTGCCAGTCGTACTCGCCCGGTAGGAGTAGCCCTCGATCTTTACGTCATCCATGGCAGTTCCATAAACAAGAGAGCACTCGTTGGCAGTTGATCTATAGAGAATTTCGCGCGCAATGGTCTTGCAGATGGTGATTGAACTGCCGGCTGCAAGAATCAAGGAGGAGGCAACCGTGAGGACTGTGGCATATTGAATTGTCACTTCATCGCGTATTGCGAGCTGGGTATCTTGGCTCAATAATGGAGAATCAGGAAGCACAGATCCATAGTGCGTTATCATGGTTCCGTTTCCATTGTCCCAATCGCGAACGACAGGCACGTATGCCACACGCGTGGTGTTCAATGGAATTGCATTCCCTGCAACACCTCTTGAAACAAAGCCAAGTGAGAGCAGAGTAGTGATAATTCGACCGCAGTTGACCATTTTCCCGTTGATAGTCTGATATAAATCGCAAGAATGTCGATAAATACCACAGCGGCAAAGACGATTGGATGCAGATTGGGCGGCGCTTGTTATGTCTCTACAGAATGTAGAGACACTGAGAGATCGAGAGGATTAAAGTCAAAGACAGTATGCACGGAAGGAGAGAATGGAGGAATGAGGAATTTCAATGTTCTGGGGTCTTGAAAGATAGAGTAACATCGAGAGAAGATTCAGTCCCTCTTATACAGAGAATTTTCGCGACTTTTATTCTTCAAACTTCTTTCTTGTGCGAATTCAAAATCTATACAAACAACGGAACACGGAATATACTACTGGCTTCATAGATAGTCAGATCCACTATTCCGGCTAGATAGATCCTTCTTAAAAATTTCTCGCAAACCGACCGAATCTTTCGTTTTTGATGAGGTATGATCGGTCCGAACGGGGCCCTCCGCGTAAGCTCGCGTCACTAGTGCGACCCATGAGCTTGAATTTGAGATTTACATGCATCTGGCTCCCGGATGCCGGCGGTTCATGTGGCCCAAAACTTTGATTTGGCCAATACCTATAAGGGCCCTTTATATGCGGCTCTACCTCTGCTGCCGCACGACCCTTCCCCCTATGAACCACTAGACTATTCTATAAGCGCGCATACATGACAGTGATCTATGTATTCTTAAAGAGCACGACCATCATACCTTGAAAAACAGCTGGAGAAAAAAATGACTGAGAACAAGCCCCACTCTTGGCACTGAACAAAATAATGGCAAAGGCTTTGAATCTTAATTTAGTGCAAAAGGTTTAGCGCATGTCACGACTCACCTGCAGGAACTCGCGCTAGTTCGAATCCTTCTGATTCTCTGAGATGCAATCATAATTTCCACCAAGCCATTATGCGTGTAGACCAATTGTTGAGAGTGAAACCAGACTTTCGGCTGTTCGGTGTGGCAGTCTATGCTGTACCCGTTTCTCGAGATGCCCTGCGGTCGCTTGCTATCAGTCTGGGTTTTGGCCCCCAAATGAGCCTCCATTCCACAAATTTTATGTCAAATTTAGTGGTACAGAATTACAGCATAAATACACCAAATGTCACATTGATACCACTTTACTACACTTTCAAAGAAGCGTCTGTAAAATACCCTGGAAACATTACGCTGCACTTGACTGTACTTGGCTAGCGCAGGAAGTGGGCACCTTGCAATATGCATGGCAGAGAGTGTATTAAGTCGAGATATCGCCCGCATTATATGAGATCGGGTTGCGTAAGAGACTCATTCTTTCTGAATATTTCCACATTTAATCTCACAGAATTTACTGCATAGTATTCAAAACCTGTTCTATCAAGAGTGAAAAGCGGATGTTGACCGATGGTGGCTTAAAAACGGGACAAAGATGGAGATGTTTTTCTGTATCTTCTACTAGCTTTGACACGAGTTGTTGATCACACCGGCAGTTCCGAACTGCTCGGATAGTTGTATTTTCATCTAGTGCATCTCTTATCTTAAATAGAGACTTTTTATGGCTGCATAAACGTCACAGCCTTTGGTCTTTTCCAAATCTATCTCCGTAGTCACCGTAAATGTATACTAGTTATCCGTGAATACAGCCCCCATAGTAGTCGTCAGCCTTCAAGAAAAATCTGCTCCGTGAGGAACAGGATTCTAACCCAAAGACTAGCGCTGGGCTGCTTGTAAGCATAGTGGATTGAAAACCGTTGAGGTTTTTTTTTTTTTAAGGAATCGCGAAAGGGGTTGACTCAACGCTTGACAGTAGAGAACTAGAAAAGGCCGCAAAGCCCATCATCTTTTCCCTCTTCCCCAGGACACACACACACAAACTCAATATTTGGATATTCTCTATTCCAGCTCACCCACCATGGTCAAACTCCAAACCCTGGTTGCCGCCCTCTTCGGCGCTGTCGCTACTGCCTCGAATGTTACCTTCCATCGAAACTTCGCCACAGAGAAGCTGAACCGCGACTCCCCATTCTACGACCTCTCCCACTTTGGCTACATCGGTGGCCAGCTGCCCAAGGTCTATGCACTGAACCACACCACCGCCGGAGCCGTATACCTCCCAGAAGAAAGCTTTCAAGAGTTCCAAAACATTCTTGCAGGCAAAAGCAACGCTTCTGCGGAATTCTCGTCCCAGCAAAAGGCCCTCTGGTCTACTGGCAAGCGGACTACGACCGACCACATCAGTATGCTGCTGCGCAATGCTGCTGGTAATAGCAACTCGTTTGCTGTCAAGGCCAACCATGAGATTTGCCATACGGGTAGCTATGCTCCCTGGCACTATGCGGTGCTCTACTATATCAATGAAGCATACATTACGTTCTGGAAGAGTGATGCTTGCAATGGTCATAAGGGGAGCTTCAACCCTGTTTGTGACTGGTACGATACTCCTTATGAAGCATGTGTCTTCAACTTTAAGCCGCAGTCTTTCCGTGTTTACTCTGGTTGTCATCACAGCTACGGCTGGGGCAGTATCTGTGAATCCCATGTTCTTTGAGATATCTCTAGATTCATGGATAGGGACTGAAAGCCCGGCGTGTCTGCTTTTGATGGAGTAACATGACTCTCCTTATATTTGATGCTGTCTGGTCTTCATTGGAGGGTTGGGCACGCCGCATGGATTTATGTATACATCAAAGTTGTATTTATTCTAAAGAAAAGGCCATGCGTGAACATATCCATGCATATATGGATCCTATTTGAATTTGATTGATTGAGAAACATTGAATGGATATACTTATTTTGGGGCCTAGATATTCGTAAGAAAATAATTCAAAGTTCCAAGTACTAGGTAGTATGTATATAAAAGACACAACCTTGAAACCAACATTTGAATGATTAGGCTTCAAATTCAAATTGTATCCACGGATGCAACAAACATGAATCAGCTCGAATGAGAGCCGGAAGGTCGATGTTCCTACCATAGTATTCATTCAATATTATAAAGCAACTACAACAAAATGCCAAGACGATGATCTTGGTAAGTGTGGAATGAGCGAGAGTTGGTAATAACTTGGTATGTGTCTCTGGAAGAATGTAGAGATAATCGAGACTCTAGTTGAATACAAAAACTTTCACACACGGAGGACGACGAATAAAGCCTTGGAAAGATTTAAGAAGATACTTTCAGCAACGGAGAAAATCCAGTGCCATTTTGACACTCCGGCTTTCACTGTTCATTTCAGGCGTTGGAAATCCCATAGTGTGGCTGATGGTATGATCTCCGAGGAATTCCGGAAAAGCTGTGGCAAATCTAGCCCTGTATCCCTGCCATCATCTAGATCTGAGATCTCAAGAACGGAATAAGCTCAAGAGATCGTCCGGGTTGGGGCCTATTTAGGCGACCGGAAGGTTCCGAACCAAAGTGACTCTGGAATAAGCACTTACATCAGGGAATACAAAAGGACTTGACCATGAATTCATGAAATTTAGCAGGATTTATGTCCTGTTCACCCTCATTCGTGCGGGCTTGATGGTATATAGTAGCTACAAGCGCTTCTGCTGTCAATTCTAAAGATTTGCGACCGCGCAACTTCAAATGTCGTCATTTATGAATTTCTTTTCAAGGGGGCCTGTACCGCTACGGCAGTTACTAGATACACATGATACTTCAGTTCGCAATTGATTTTCACGAGTGAATCAAACTGCCGAGACTCAGGGGCAATCCCAATTTAAAAAAGCTAATTAAAAAGCGGCCAGTTGCGCAACAAAGCGGAGCCATCTGAAAAGAAGGCGAATGTTTTTTTAACCGGTAGACAAGATAAGTAGTCACCTGCAACCGTCCCAAGCGAGTTCGGGATAGAAATTCCCGAGGCAAGTGAGAAATCCAGAATCTTTCCGCTGCCCCGAAGTCCGCCCCGGAGATAAGCGTGCAACATATCTCAAGTCGCAAGTCCTTTCCGCTTATCCACGTGAAAGCGATCACAGGAGGTAATTGGGCAAAGATACCAGACGCAGTAAGGTCTGACCGAAAAAGCAAAAGGGGGAGAAGTCAAGGACAATCTACACGTCGCATCGATTTCGCACATCATCACTACTGGTCTTCACCGGGGTGCGGGGGCGGAAAGTGGAAAGGGGGGCGAGATTCAACTGCACTATTACGGAGTACGGGGGAGGAGCCTGTTTCGCACCCCACCGGGAATATGATCTATCTCACCGGGGAACGGGATGGATGATGAGCGACTGCACGTACAGGCCAATCTGATTAGCGGAAACTGAACGTGGAAGAGCGTCAGCCGGAAATTGGAAAAAAAAAAGCAAAAGCAACTCTCAATAAAGGGAGGGGATGGGACATTGTTTTTGGGCTGGGCGGCGCATGTAAGGTTGCTAATGGATGACTTGGCGGAGGACTGGCAAGACCATAAAGGGGAACCTTGAAGATCTTCAGGCATGAACGAAGTACCGGTCTGGCGGTGATCCTTGGCTGTGGAACGTTGATACGCGATAAGCGGGATTCCTAGGCTTAGGGCCAAGACGGGCATATCAAACAGTAGTCTTGGCGGATCACCATCGCATCATCTTGGCGCTACTTGGCAAGTATTTGGGGATCATCCCTCGCATCTGGTGGCTAATATTGTCTGGGCATGATACACAACAGAGGCTGTGTCAGGGATGTGGCCTTGATGGGGATTTTGGGTATGGGTACATACTACGTGCAGAGTTGGATTGGAAAGAAACACGTTTAATTGTGATTTGGTCCGAAAAAGATACATTGTGTTTGGTATTCGGTTCTGATGATAATGCACACAGAGAAAAGAAACAAGGAAAATAAACATATTGCCATACGGCCCAGATCTGATAGCGCCTGAAACACCCCAGTTGCTTTTCCGCCGCTTGTGTCCAGATGGTCAATGACCTCGAGTTCCTTGATTGGGGTTGTTCGGGGCTGGACCACGTGGGGAAATCAATGGATGACCGGCTCCATTGTTAAAATGAAATGCAATCTGTTCGCTCATGTCGTGATAAAAAAATAAATGCGTGGTAAAAAGATAGATGGAACAAAGAACTCGAACGTGAAAGAATCACTGAGAGAATCGTCGAGGAGTGTGGCCAAGGAAGAGGAAGCCCTTCTCGGAGTCCACAGTCGATGTAGATGAGGTGCTGTCAGACCGGTGCGACTTGGGAGCCACGGTAGGGCTCTGGTCCGCGGGGGCCAAATCAGACACGGCCTCTTCTTCAAAGGCACGAGGGTCTGGGCCAGACTCAATTGGTGACAAGACAAGGAACTTGTTGGCAGGGTTGAAAGGCACCGATTCGGCAGCAGAGAGGACGAGGAAACGGTGAGTAGGAGTGTAGGTGTACATGTTGGCTGTTTTCTTTTTGAGATTTTTCAAAAAGGATGTTGTTTGTAAAGTGGTGTTGTGTGAAAAAGTGGAAGGTTTCTTTGGAAGGCAGAGAGTTGGACAGCTTTTGTTTTGGAAAGGTAGTTTGGGTTAATAGAAAAGAAAGCTTGAGACGGGTGAAATCGGTCAGACTTTATACCCCGGGACCTCCGTGGACCTTGGGGAATGAGGGGCATTTTTGCGTATCTGATGTGCTCGACAAAGCGTCGATCCAGGACATCTCAGCCGGGGGGCAAGTGGATACCCGTGGTCATGCAGACCAAGCCTCCCCGCGATTGTCGCCCATAATAGACGATCCCAAACATTACTAGGCATTCTCACATGTCTTGGCTCACAGAAAAAAAATGAAAAAAGAAGCAAAAAAGGGGGGCAATTAGGATTACTCTAAGAGCCAAGACGTCACTATTGGACAACTATCACCCCCTTCTGCCCTTCTGCTTTCCAATTCTTCGACGTCGCCCCTCTTGGCTTCGGTATTTGGGTCACACCGGCCCCGGACAGGGCTTGCTAGTCATTCCCAGAAGCCATGGCAAATATGCATATTCTTGGCGGTTGAACCAAGGCCCCCCGATTGCTAATCGCTAATTGCGCAATTCTGATTTTGAATTTTTTTTGTCTTGCTGTGTTGGCTCTTCATGGTATCGGGGCGGGCCCCGTGGCGAGCCGAAAGTCAAAGAAACCTCGGAAGATCTACCGTGAGGATGAGATGAGGGGACCAAGAGTCATCCAGCGTGGGAGAGCTATTGAATTTCACAGGCTGGTCCGTCCACCGCTTCTCCAAGATTCGTGTTGGGTGCGGAGGCCTCAGATACAGGCTTCATTGTGTTTCGTCGACTTTGTTGCACGCCCGACCGTCTCCGATGATATCCGTGTACATCTCACTTTTGCATGCGCCAATAGCTCCGATTTAATTTCAGGGTTATCGTGATGCAGAAGTAAATGACATCATCCGCTTATCGTCCATTGTAGATCTGCTTTAACCGAAAGGCCCGGAGGTTTCGGTTGTTTATTTAGCAGTTTGTGGGGAAGGTTGTTCCGACATGTGACTTCCAAGGTTGGCACTGGCAGAAATGAGACCAGTTGACCGCTTTTCGGTTTCGGGGAAATGAAAGAGGGATTCCGCCTGGTATAGTATTCCAAACGACCATTTAGTAGAAACTAATGTATACTGATGTGCAATGGCGTAGATGCCCAGAATGGGTCTGGAATAGTCATTGGATTTGAAAGAAAAGAAAAAAAAAGGAAAAGAAAAGAAAAAAAGAATACATCAGATGCTGACTGGGCTCAAAGCCTTGTAGCCTTAGGAGACTAAAGGAGTTCATGGGTTCAAAAGAACCATCACGTGGTAGAAATGTCCTGCGAGGACTAGAAACCTAAAAACTTCCTTTGAATTGATTTAATTACTTTGTTCTTCATTTCATTGGACTCTGCATTCTCCGGGCATATAATCCATTGATCCACAAACCAACAGCGCCAAAAAAAAAAAGTTCAAAGTGGAGAGAGATTTCTGTGCCTTGCCGCCCTCTCGGGGTCTGGGGCGTATCACCCTCGCCCGGAGTTGACATCCCGGGCGCAGGCGCCTGAGCGGAGAGGGGAGAGCCTCAGTGTCAGTTACAATATCAGCGCTACTGCGCCACCGCTGAGAGCAATCGTTCTTCGCCAGTCAAATTGGCTCTAGAATGGCACTAGAAATAATCTATAGGCCCAGAGTGAATCTTTAATTTCTATAGCCTCCCGTCAAATACTACCGCTAATCCGAAAAAGATTCCCGCATTTATCACACTACGTCCACAAGATGCTCAATCTTGCCATTATTCAAGATTTTTCTTACCCTCAATATGCGTCAATTATTCGGGGTGTTTTTCGATTTTTCATCATTGAACCTGATTACTGGAAAATAACATCTCGTCACCTTGCAGATTTTCCTGAGTTTATGATCACTATCACCAACTGCGCCATTGCAACGAGCTCTATTTGCCTACGCAGAGGAAGATGGGGGCCATGATATGGAGACAATGATCATTGCCCATGATCTAGACTTTCAATAATCGAGATTTCTGTGAGGGTTGCGAAGTTTTTTTTGCAATGGCCAAGCTTCTGTTCTCCATTTGAGCGGGAAATTATTAGCTGTCATGGGTCTATACTTGCTTACAGTTGGTGACCTGTATATCTCCAAAGCCCGCTGGAGCAGCAAGAATCACATACTGCCCCCAAAATATCGGAAATTTCTGCCTGCTCAACGAATCAGAATATTTGACAAATCAGAATAACTGCGCGAAACAAAAAGCTTCTCATCGCCCCCGATGTGCTATGCCTTGCATGGCCACCTTCACATCTACTGTGCAGTGTGCCCGCCCCAACCCTTTTCTCCACAACTACGCCTGTGGTAGGTGGCAGGTGCACTGACACCCGAAAAGCAAAAATGGACAACTTCCAATGGAATGCAGAGGTCTGTCAGATGAGCTCGACGCTATGCCTGGCGCAAGTCTCCAGAACGAGTTGTTGGTGTGATGGGCAGCCTCATTTGCGGATCGGGCAACGCAACTTGGGTTAGTGCGCGGACGTGGGGAATTACGGGATGATGTCAAGTGCACGCTGCAGCTGCGGAACTCTAATGGAGATTGGGGTGTGGGAGGGGATGATCAATGGTTCGACAAGCCTTGATATTGCCAATCTATTCGCTATTCGTGTGGACAGAAACGAACATCCACCCCCCCATCAGGCGCAACTCACTAACTAGTAGTCTGCCCCTCTCTGATGATCCACATAACCGCTGTTGACGAGAGATTCTACCTGCATAGTCCGATGGGCTTTCCCCTTATTTGTGCACTCCAGTTGGTCCGGCTTTCGTCCCCGAGCGAGTGATCACTAAGTCATTAGATGCATACGGCGCATCTGTATGTCCTGCGCAGCGCCTGTGAGGCCGATAGCATTTTTGATTCTCGTCTTCCCTTGACTCAGAATTGTATCTTTTGTACCTGCAAGGCGGCGCAGTCCTTCATCCGGGATAGCTATATCGAATGTTATAAAGGTGGCCGTGAACCCTCCTCGATATCTATAGTTCCAAGCCATCGATCTTCAGTCATAAGCCTCCAAAGCTATATTCCACTGATTCAAACGCTTTACTATCTCTACCTCTACCTACCTATACGTCTTTTCACAAAGATCTTCTCTCTCCCTCAACCATTATGTGTTCCGTCTATATCTTCCTCTACGACTGCGGCTGCTCCGTTCAAGAGGGCGGCGTTGTTGCCTGCGCGAAGAAGGGCACCCCTTCCTGTCACGGTGTGAAAGAGCACTTCCGCAAGCGTCAGGGCTACAACTGCCCAAAGCACGGTGGAAGTACCTAAGACATGATCGAAACGTTAGTGGGCCTCAATCTACCCTACTGCTCGCTTGCTAGGGTTTATTCTCCTAACACAATCTCTACAGATGATTTGACCGCACGGGTCTCTAACTTGGAGGATCACGTCGACGAATTCCAAGACGAGCACTCTCACGTGTAATGATGACATTGACGTGGTCTTCCACACAAAACGGAAGGGTATTTTGGACTTTGTCATTTTTTTATGGCTTGGAGGATTGTTTTTGTTTGGCTATGTTGCCATCTGCCCTTAATGCTTGTTGCCTGGACTGGCTTTTTTGTATGCCTCTATATCTCCCGGGTGGACTTTTTGGAATGTTTCTGTTCTTTTTCTTTGTTTTTTTTTTTTTTTTTTCTTCGCGGATTTCTGGATTGCTCCAGTCTTTTCGTTCTGGCTTCCCATGGCTCGGGCACCTCCCCCGGCAGACAAATCGGAAAAGCCGCCAATTTTGATTCCCCTCTTCATTCTTTCACACTAGCATACTTGACTATCTCTCATTGGCATTTACCTCACTTGAATATACACCGAAGACTTTCTACCTATTTTGCAAAAAATCTGATGATAATCACCAGACCAGGTAATCATTCATAGTACCTGAGTATACATACCCAATTCGACATCTGGAGCAAGATAAGCCTTGACTCGCAAAGGTGTTGAGAAGATTTGGAATGGAGTGAATTTGAAGTTGGGGTATTTGGAATTATGTTCCGGCCAAGACACTAGGGTGGGTTTGGATCATTCGCGCTTATTATGGCTGCATCGAGGCACATACAAGGTCACCCACGCCTAAGGATAATAAAACCCCGAGATGAATGACTGGATGGTGGCACATGGCAAAAAGTCTGATCAAGAATTGTGGCGAGAAGCTAGCAGGGGGGGCCGTGGACCGAGAGTGGGAGATGAGTGCATGTCCACGTTGGCGCTTACAGGGATAAGAGGACGGGAAAGGCATTGTTCAGCATACTGTACGGATCAACTGCCGTTAGAATAGAAGGTTAATTGGCGCGAACTACGAGCTAGGTCGTTGTATAAAGATTCAGGGTCATGATTCAAATATGAGCGTGCAGAGATCACCTTTTCCTAGACACTCAAGGCTCTGTTGGCTCGGGTGGCTCGGGTGCTATCCTAACGCCGCCCCCCTCCTCGAAGCGAGAAACGGTTATGGGACTGCAGATCGAATTCAGCCACGCACGCATGGACCATATCAGGGTGAGCCACGTTGTGATGCATGGAGAAGGAAAGAGCCATCCCATGCAGGCTTCTGTTCCGATACGGCACGGGGAGTGGAAGGAAATCCACTCACATGGCCCCATCAAATCCGCTGCAAGGGCTGGGAAAGGCGCGTAGCCCTTTCAAGCCCACAATCACTACATTGCTCTGTCTGAAGGAGGACAATCCGCTTTGCCCATGGATAGAATAAACGGCTCGAGCGTGCCACGAGAGCCTGAAACCAGAATTATCTCCGAAGAAAAGACGCAAATAGCCTTGCCACGGCCCAAGAATGGATTGCAGATTTACTAGAGCCCATCAAGGCAGCCAGTACAAAGAGGAAAGGACGTGCGAGAGATGGCTGGCCAGTCATTGGTTATCGGTTAATGGCCCAGAGACTCACGAAGCCACCAGAGTTTGCCATCCAGCAAATAAACCAGTGGTATCAAACGCGACAGTGGACCCCGTGGGTATCGATAGGTTGGCAGAGCCGCGGGAGACCTGTTGTGGATTGCATTAGGCCCGCATAGTCTTTTTATCAGCTGATTTGGGCGCAAATCACCTATTGATATCTTGTTCGCGGCATGAGTTATAGTCTCACAATATCGAAGAAGATCTATAATGTTGTTCATTTTTCTTTGCAAAAGAAGGCCACCGTCATACTAGGTAGGTAACTAGTAGCTGTGTAGGAAATCGGGCAGGCAATGAGCCCGGCGGCTGGCGTGGAGCTGTTGCCGCAATCACGCTATCAGAGACAAAACCCTAGGCAAGCGCAGTGGCGGGCCCCAACATTAGGCCTTATGCCAAAGTCTGGAAGCATTACTCTTAGTACTCCTTAGTCCGTACGGTGAAAGTTCATGCCCTGTTAATTTGGGACTTAACCTAAGGGGGATATGGTGATCAGAGCAAGCTGGGGCCTGGGGGCAATGGACTTTCGGGGATCCCGGGCTCTATCGCCAAGGCAGAACGCCGATCTCGAGTCCCACAAGCTAGCTCTGGACCTGTCCATTCCCAGGGTCAAATGTGGCTATTGATGCTATTGACAGAGGACATGCTAGGCAAGATGGCGTCGTTCAAATGCTTCGCATAGACGGCCTTCACAAGTCACAAGGACTTGCTCTTTGAGGATTTCTCCCCAATGATCTCATGAGGATTGGTAGCCGATTTCTGTGGCTGATCGTATTTGACAAATAAATAGCCCCGCTAAAATCGATAGCTGAACGATCGCTATGACCGGAACCAAACTTCGGCGAGGCGGGCGAGCCGCTACTTTGGAAGCGATCAAGTTCGATCATTTCGGCGGCTTAGAAAGGCATTATCGATGAGGATAGGCATCTGGGAAGGGGAAATTCCTTCATAGGATATAGAGATTCATCCAAAGAGTTCCTTCTTTTTTTTTAAACTCATATCATCATCCAGGAACGAGAACTTTCATTGTGTAGACCCACAATGTGGTCTCCAGGTCACGTGCAGCGCGTCAAGAGGCGGGTTTCCGTTAGCTTTAGCTCTCCATCCCGCGCTTCCATGAGGTTAGCAGTGTAATCAAAGATTGTCACATATCGCATATGTAATGTCTATCGAAGTTGACTGGGCAACAGCCACCTCCGGCCCGGACGGAGAGGCTCTCGCGGAGCGCATTCGCGCGTTTGTTCATGACAAGTTCCAGGAGGTGGCCCTCCCACGCTTCATACGCTCGGTCCAGGTCCATTCCTTCGACTTCGGCACCATTGGCCCAGATCTGGAGATCAAGGATTTCTGCGAACCTTTCTCAGACTTTTACGAAGAAGACGACGATGACACCTCAGCAACCTCCGAGGAGCTTGTCGAGCAATGGTCGGATTACGATGACGAAATGCCAATGAACCACACAGCCCACAGCCCTCACAGCTTCAGTCACCACCCATACCCCGGCGAACAATTCCAACCATCCGCCCTCCGATCTCCGCTCCCCCTGGGCGATCATCTCAACCCACACTTCCTACCCCGCTCAGGGACCCCCGGGATTCCTGGCGGTACTTCAACCCTGGGCTACCATCTCATGTCACTGGGGGGTCTATCCGGAACGCAGACGCCTCTCGCGGCTGTCGCGGGCAGCACACAATTTGCAAGCGGCTGGTCTGACTCCGGCCTGGCTGCCTACGGTGGAAGACAAGCCCGTCCGTCTCGTCCGTCAGCACACCAACAGCAGCGCCCGGAACCAGACCTCGACACCACACACTCCGCATCTCGACCCTCCACAGCCTCACACCCCTCTATCGGCCACACAGGCAGTAGTGGCTCGAACCGTAACAGCGCTGAGCACCCCGCCGATATTCCCCAGCCATCAACTGAGTCCCTTGCAGACGACCCCTCGATCCCGATCCCACCTCGAATGCGCGAGCGCCGACCAGATGATTTCCAAGTATTATGTCATGCAAAATACGCCGGAGATGTGCGCATGTCACTTACAGCGGAGATACTGCTCGATTATCCCATGCCTAGCTTTGTTGGTCTTCCGCTGAAACTTAATGTGACTGGCATTACTTTCGATGGGGTGGCAGTAGTCGCCTACATCCGCAAGCGCGTGCATTTTTGTTTCCTGTCTGCAGAGGATGCGGATGCACTCCTTGGCTCTGAAACGCAGGGTCAACCCGCTCCAAATCACGGAGAAGATGGGCGTCCAAAATCTGGAGCGGAGCGCGAACAGAAGCGACAGGGTGGGTTGTTGCAAGAGATTCGGGTAGAAAGTGAAATCGGCCGAAAGGAAGATGGGAAGCAAGTTCTAAAGAATGTGGGTAAAGTGGAGAGATTTGTACTTGCCCAGGTTCGCCGCATTTTCGAGGAGGAACTGGTTTATCCCAGCTTCTGGACTTTCCTGATCTAATTTGCGAGACAACACTCCGGTGACTCCAATACTGCATGTAGTATAGTTACGAATTCACGACATTTAAGATGATATAGTATGATCCCAGAGAGAGTTCTATAGTATCTTCAGTACATTGTCACTAGCTAAAACATATCATGAATAACCGAATCAACTTGATAGTTTTCCAAAGTAAACACTATGAATTGTTGAATATTTCTCAAAGTGGTAATAATACCCGGAGCAACAAGAAAGAAGGAGTCCGATGAATCAGGTCTTCCTTCCGCTTCCCCGGAAGGCGAAAGTGGCCAGGGGATCAAATTTATGAACAAGGTTTGATGGGTGGTGTCCTGAAGAGAGACTTTCGTGGCGTGCGATCATTCGGCAAGGCCATGGGGCAAATAGCGAGCCAGCCTGTAAGAGACTATACCACGCTATCACCCGATGAAACTAACGGCCCGGCTGAAGATTGGAACGCGAGCAAAGATACCCCATTTACAGGTCCTTCTTCACGTTGGCATCGCCCTTGCCGGAGGCGACCTCATCGCCGAGCTTGTGGTACTCGCGAGTCAGGCCCTCGCACTGCTTCTTCAGGGTCTCGATATCACGATCCTTGGCGGCAATCTCCTCCTTAAGGCGGCCAATCTCACCAACGGAGCCAGCCTCGGCGAGACGAGCGGAGTCCGTACCACCGGCTCTCTTGTCACCTTCAAGGAGCTTGACGCGGTCCTCAAGACGGAGAACGTCCAAAATCATGGTGTAAGTACGGTTGAGAATGAGGGAGAGGAAGAGGGTGAAACCACAGAGGTACATGTTGCGCTGCGAGTAGAACTTGCGAGCCTGGACCTCCATGCGATCAGTGCCCAGGTGTGCGGCTCTGTTTAGGGAAACAATTAGATGGTGCATGAATAGAATCACAGATTATTGAAAATCTTACCCAACGCCATGTCCGTCCCGGGAGAAAGCAGCCAATTCCTGCTGCACCCGGTACACCCGGTTGACACTGTCGAGGAACAAAATCAGAATGAAAATGAAGGTGATCTGGGAAGATTGTTAATTGATGTCGGATTCAAAGGATTGCGCATATTTAAATTACCTTCAAGCCATACTGAAGCTTGGCAATTATCGGGCTTTCCGAGATGAAAGTAAAGAGCTTGCGCTTGATGACAAAAGGCAGAGGGACGATGAGGGCCAGGAAGACGCCCATCTCAAACACCAGAAGCATAAACACCTGTAAGGAATATGCATGTTAGCTTGCGATAGTCCCAAGTCGCATATTTGCTGCTGTTTTAGGTGAGTGGTGCATTTTGGGTGAGCTGATCGCTCAGCCCCATTAGGCTCCAGCCATGCCTCGGTCTACCCGGTCTGAGAGCAAAAACAAAAAAGAAAGAATTGACGGTGCGGACGTACGAGGCTGTAGTAGAGAGTCATGTTGGCGAATTTATTCAGTCGAACAGCTTTCGAAGACGATTATTGGAGCTGATCAAAAGGGGAGTGGGGGGATCGAGAGCTCCGTGCAATCTGGTTTGTGTAAACAAAAACCAGGAAAGCAAAAGGGGTAAAGGGTGGAGATAAAGAAGAAATTCAGACACGAATGCTGAGAGACAGACGTGTTCAGATTGGGCAGCAGGGGAGATTGAGGAGCCGCCGATGCTGAGGGCAGGTTTCCAGGTTGGCAGAGTGTTCTTTTATGGGGGGAGTTTTCTGGCTTTCGGGGCACAGACGTCATCGGCTATCCCCCACGTGACCTGGTGGGCCCTTCGATGGAAATCATCAGCGACTCAACTTCATCTCTCGAGTTTCTAATGTCAACAGCTTAATCTATTGCAAAAATGGCCGAATTATGGCCTAAAAATATTTCCAGTCATGTTGGCTATGGACAATAGCATTGATGTTTGAATCTGCGGCGTGTCATGTCTGCAATCAACTTTATTTACCAGTTGACGGAATCTCTCCGATTCGCCCCCACTCCAGTAGTACATCAGTCGTCAAAAGTTTCCGTACGGCCTACACCTAATCGTGGAGCATATCGTACGGAAAGTTTTGCTCCATAGGTGTATTTTGCTCAAATACTGTCAATTTCTGGCTCCCAAGGTGGATAATGGTCGCACTCTACTACCCTACGCAAGAAAGTTGAGGAATATAGGTGGCCACCTCTGAGTTGTCGGAATTATTGTAAGTTGGCACATACATCTCAATGACCACAATCTTAGAGCGTAATCCATGAGATGGGTGCTGTGTTTTGGACGTCGATCTATCACCTCCAGGGCTTGGGTACATTCGGCGCACGGCCCGTACGCCTACCAAATCCATATCCATTTCGCGTAAGCGCCATCGCAAGATCAATACTAGTATGTCGTTTCCCGCCTTTGATGTCCCTACCCGCAACACCCATTTATATTACGCGCGTCCCTTCAGACTCAGCTGAGCAGATAATCCATCCAGATTTAATATCGAATCAATCGCCCGGTCTGAAATTCTTGGTTGCAGCATAACTAGCATCAAATGGATCTCCTGAGAGAAGGTATTGACACTCTCACTCTACCCTCCGGGCGCATTTTAGCATGGAAGGTATATGGTGGTTCTCTGAATGAAGAAAGCACCGCTCTTCCCGATGTTGTCTTCTATTTCCACGGATTTCCTGGATGTTCCTCTGAAGCGTCTCTCATACCAACAGAGCTCCTTCAGGAAAGCAACCTACGCTGCATCGCGCCTGACCGACCTGGTATGAACATGTCAACCGACTATGATGAGCGCCGGATCTTAGATTGGCCTGGAGATGTTCTCGCCATCGCAGATCACTTGCACATATCTCGGTTTTTTGTCCTTGGCGTCTCGGGAGGAGGGCCGTATGCCCTTGCCTGCGCCCATTCCATATCCCGAGATCGTCTTCAAGGCGTTGCAGTTGTTAGCGGGATGTACCCCACTACCTTTAATATGGAAGGCATGCTTCCCGAGTTGAAGGTTCTCCTCACAGCGGGCGCCTGGATGCCAAGATTCGCGACCGGGGCAATGCTAGACCTGTCAATGGGTCGCGCTGCGAGAAATAAGGATCCACGGGTATTGGAAGCGGCAGTCGACAAAGCGATGGCGGGGAGACCAGAGGCAGAACGCATGGTGTGGAAGGACGAACGGGTGAGGTTCGCAGCTATTCAGTCAGTCCGGGGGGCTTTCCAACAGGGTGGAAGACCCTCAGCCACAGAGTTAATGATCTTATGTGATTGGGGGTTCCAAGTTCAGGACATATCGGGAGAGGGCATCCGACTGTGGCATGGCAAGCTTGACAGAAATGTGCCGTTTTGCATGGCGGAACAAGCCGCCCGGCTAATGTCCGAAGCTCAGACCCATTTCTTTGAGGATGACGGGCATCTTAGCTTGTCGGCAAATCACATCTCTGAGATCATAGCCGACCTTATTACTCCGTCGGTGAGACAATAATACCCTGCGATCTCACTCCCGCTGTCCAGTTGTACCTCGAAACCCCAGGCTAGACCAGTCACCATGTCACTCACAACTGCGAAATTTCCATTGTTACTTTTCGCTACACGTGTACTTCATCTGGAATTTCGGAATGAAAATTATGTACTATAATGTTTACACAAATTTCTCCTTCTCAATTTCCTCGCAAAGTGTCTTCAGAGTCCACCCGGCCCACTCAAAGTCACTTTCATCAAGATATACTTGTCCACTAAGACGAACCCACCATTGACCGTGGAAGGGAAAGACTGGCATAAATGTCTTCCAGTTCTTGATCATCGCCTGTTGCATCCATTCTGTGATGGTAACAACGCTATCCCCGTATAGAACAAGGGATCCACTGCCAGCCGTGGGATGGTTCAGCGGCAGCAGAATATTGACCATACAACAATCAGTGAAGCTGCGGCTGGCGTTATCAAGAATTCTAGTCCTCAGAATATCTGCTACCCTCCGTCCTCCACTTTGAGCAAGATTGATGCAATAATCTCGTATCCGGCTTTCCCCGCCACATACCTCCTCACGCCATTTAATGGCATCTCCAACTGTCAGGAACGCAGCGTTTTCGGCTGTACCCACGAATTCGAAATTAGAGACGAAATACGACTTTGCTGGCGATTTGATTTCTGGCTCGTTTTTCTGGGCCTTTCCAATAGATTGCGGCACAAAACCGTGACTTGTCGGCATTGTGCTTCGCATGAGGCTCTGGTTTCGCTCGGGGACATAGAACACAGCGCAAGCACGCGGAGTGAAGAGCCACTTATGGCAATTGGTGACTAGAAAGTCAGGGTCCCATGATGAAATCTTCAGATCAATTTGTCCAATTCCATGAGCAGCATCGACTAAACTCAATATACCCTCGGCGCGACAAGCGGCTGCCAAGGCTTCGAAAGGCAGTCGAAGCCCAGGATTCGATGAGATAGTATCAAAGATAGCAACACGTGGACGGTATCCCTCACTCTTGGAAGTTGAAATTGCTTCCTGGAATATCGAAATCATTTCAGAGGGCTCGAGAGGATATGCGAACCCAATTTGCCGCGTGCGAACCTTGCCCGGGTGGGTTTCGCAGATATAGTTGGCCATTTTTTCACATGCCCCATAGATGACATCCAATTCAAGAATCTCATCTTTTCCATCATCATTCCATCGGATGTTTTGTAAGACGGTGTTGACACCAGTTGTGGCATTTGGAACGAGGACAATGGTGGATTCGGGCACAGAAAGAAATTTGCTGATGGCGACGCGGTTTTCGTCGAGGAGCTGTGGGAATCGATATTTGATGAAAGGACAAGGAGTTGATTCACATTCGTCTTTCAATGCATTGGCCTTGTCACGGATGACACGAGGTGATGCACCGAATGAACCTGTGGCTTTTTAGCTCATAATTGACTGGACGATGTTTGGATCTAAAGCTACCATGATTCATGTTCCTGTATCCAGGTGCGAAAGAAAAATACTTTCTCATCTCATGCCCAAAGGGCGTGAAAGTATCAGATGACATGCTGAATATTGAGGATTTTGGTTGTTTTGTGAAGTAGAGGTAAGAGCGATAGTGCCATATAAAGACGTGTCGTAACTGTCGTTTAACCATGCAGCTTTTTAGTTATCATATCGACCTTCCTGATTTACTCACCCCACTTGGAATCATTGTTTATCTCGTGATGCTACCACGAGATACAACTCTGGTGAACTTTCGGGTGCTTGGACCCTCGGACATCGTGCGAGACTGCCGATCGACCGCCGAGATTGGTATCTTGAAGCGTTGAGTGGCCGAACCAGAGATTTGCCGACCAAATCAATTTGAGAATCCGGAGTAGATGCAAAATGCTCCGGCTGTCGGCAACAGATAGGAATTAGCTCGTGTCCAGTACGCGCTAATCCACTCTTCCCCACGCTTTCCCCGTATTCGAAGGTGCGAAGAGTCCGTGCGTCGCCTATACAACAAGGTACATAGTGATTGGCAACCCCACGTTAAAGTGCAGTATTGGGGCATTTCTCAAATCCTTTCTGACTTTCTCTTCGCAGAATGAACTGATACCCCTTGCAGATATGCAGCCCTACGCCGAAACCGAACACAAAGATGATATAGAGGAGGGTGACGCCAGGAGGCTGGATTCGCAGCCCGATACACTGGCAGCGAACAAAGAAGAAATGGCAAAGATGAACGTGGGAACCTTGCAACGAAGACTCAAGTCACGTCACATTCAATTCCTTGCTCTCTCCGGCGCTATTGGAACGGGTCTTTTCGTGGGTGCTGGCCAGGTCATCTCGCTAGCAGGACCATTATCCGCGGTGCTCGCCTACTTCATCACCGGCTTCAATCTTTACGCGGTGATCAACAGCATGGGTGAAATGGCAACCTGGCTTCCATTGCCGGGTGCCGTCCCTGTCTATGCCTCCCGATTTGTCGATGAAGCTCTTGGCTTCACGCTTGGCTGGAATTACTGGTACCAATTTGCCATCGGTGTTCCAATCGAGATCAGCGCCGCAGCTCTCGTGATAGACTACTGGCCGAACGGTGTCGACTCTGCTGTCTGGATTACGGTCCTATTTGTCACCATATTCGCGGTCAACTGTCTTCCCGTGCGCGTCTACGGCGAATTGGAATTCTTCCTTGGCTCTATAAAGCTCACTACCATCATAGGCCTCATGCTACTCATGTTCATTATCACGCTGGGTGGTACACCTACACAGGATCGCATTGGATTCCGGTACTGGAAAAACCCCGGACTCATGAATGAGTACCTTGAGACTGGAGACCTGGGCAGGTTTCTGGCATTCTGGAAAGTGTTCATCCAGGCAACCTTCAGCTACGGAGGTAGCGAGATGGTGGTCGTTGCGGCTGGAGAAACAGAGAACCCACGACGAAACATCCCCAAAGCTGTGCGTCGTGTATTTTGGCGAATTGCTATCTTCTACGTCGGCAGTATCTTCTTAGTCTGCCTATGTGTCTCATCTCAGGACCACCGGCTGCTCAATGCTATAAATTCTGGGGCATCGGGTGCTGGGGCCAGTCCTTTTGTCATTGCGATTGAAAACGGGGGGATCAAAGTGCTGCCATCCATCATCAACGCAGTCATCCTTACGTCGGCATTGTCTGCGGGGAATTCTTTCTTCTACGCTTCCACTCGCATTCTCTACTCCACAGCCCTTGACGGGAAAGCGCCGCGCATTCTTCGGTTCGAGAAATTTGGTGTTCCCTATGCGTGTGTTGGCGTGACAGCTGCATTGAGTTTGCTTGTATATTTGAACGTCTCGGCGAGCTCCGCAGATGTCTTCTTCTGGATCAGCAATCTAAGCTCTGTTATCACGCTCATCGTGTGGTCCTCCATCGCCATCACATATATCCGTTTCAACCAAGGATTGAAGCACCACGGTATCCCGCGATCATCACTCCCTTTCAAAGCACCATTCCAACCTTACCTGGCCTACTTCGCTGTCATATTTTCATCCACCGTTGCATTTTTCAACGGCTTTGATGCTTTCTTCCCCGGTCACTTCAGTGCCAAAAGCTTTATACCTCCTTATATCGATATCCCTATCTTTGCTAGTCTTTTTCTTGGATACAAGATTATCTATAAGACAAAACTGGTCAAGGTTGAAGATATGGATCTTTGGTCTGGAAAGGAGGAGGCTGACGAGTTGGAATCAACGTGGGAAGAACCTAAGCCACGGAACTTTCTCGGTAGGTCGATTATAATTCATCAGCTATTGAAAGCTTCTAATTTCAACTTCGACAGAGCGAATCTGGTTTTGGATTGCCTAAATCGGGTCCAAACTTCTCATTGCTTTGCCCGCTGGGGCATGTTGTGTGCTGTTTCTGAGGCACATTCGTATCTTTTCATGCCGAAGATAAATTTACAGCAGGTTTGAGTTTGGGATTTGAAGTAGGTTGATGCACACTTTATGACAATGAAGAAACGTGGATGTAAAATTGAATATTTCAATCAATGAATCTTGAAAATGACACGCAGATCTCAGAAGAAAATATTCGTTCTTCCCTGATTACAATGAAGCCCTTGGCGAAACGGGCTTCATCTTGAGACTATTATCAATTCCAAGAGTGGCAACAAAGCTTCATCACCGCTTGAAGATTCTCTTCTCAACAGTTCTCAGAACCAAATAAGAAGCCGCGGCAAATGCGAATCCCAACTCAAATCCGACATCACCTCCAATAGATGGGATTCCCGCGCTTTTAGAAATCGGCCCAATATACCACGACTGACTCATTCCAACTACCATTCCCACAACCCCACAACAGAAAGCCAACAGCGCCGCTATTCCCGGTGGAAGAGCATCCCGATTGTCATAGTCCTCTGGCCGATACCCGGAAAAGCCACGTCTAAATACAAAGTGCTCTGTCAGCGCAATCGCCTCATAGATCGCCAGCCAGTAACCAATGAAGTGCATGAAGTTCTCCAGCACGGCCTCAAAATGACTATATCCCGGAATTGCGATTGCAATGTAAGCCGCCGAAGCAACAATCGTCCACACAAAACGCGGAATATGACGCGTCCACCGGCCCATGACCATCAGCGTCAGCGAGACTGAGTAAATATTGGGACAGTTATTGGCAACAATAGATAAGGCGAGGATAATAACACAGAACTTGCCAAATCCTCCTATACGGGGGAATAGGAGTGCGCCTAGGAGGCCACCCACGCCTGAGTCGGTGTATCCTTGTTGGTATGCATTGTCACCTCCGTTGATTGCCATGGCTGTCGCGAGGGCCGCTCCTAGTAGCTCGGTGAAAAGCAGGGTTGGGAAAATACCCAGCCATGTTGCGAGGAAGACATTGCGACGTGGACGGTTGCTGGGTTGGTAGACAGTGTAGTCGGCGGCGAAACTGGTGTAGCCGGTGCCGAAGCCGAAAACTGTCGATCCGTATGATAGTACAGCTCCAAGCTCTGCTTTTCCCGTTCCCATTGGGATGTTGACAAAATCGCCTGAGTGTGCGAATACACCCAGTACCACGAGGAAGACGATAAAAGTTGGGATCCAGCTCCAGTATTCGTAGGCGTGCACAACTTGGTAGCCGAAGAAAACAACGAGGAGGGTACAGAATGCGATTATTAGAATTCCTGCGTATCCCGGTACTTGTGGGTTGACTGCATTAATCAACTGGGCCCCGACAATGATATTTGCAGCTGCCCATCCGACACATGCCAATACATTGAATAGAGCGACTATAAATGAGAATTATCCGATTGTTAGCTACTAGGTATATTGCGGGCTCCAGGCAGATGGGAGCTTAGAATCATACTTAGCTTAACACCCCACCAACCAAACCAGAAACGAGAAAGCACCATCTGCCGCAAACCGAAGGCAGCACCGAAAGTGGAGAAAAAGCACACCGTTAACACGGCAATGAAGTTGAAGAAGATAATGACCAGCACCCCATCCACGAATCCCATAGCAAACAAAGGTCTACCAAGGATCCCGATCGTGAATGAGGGGACAACCATATTCGCAGCGAGCCACTGGGAGTGATTTGAACCAAGACATTAGAGGCATCTTGAACGACGATCAGGATGGAAATACCATTGATCCAACATTCCAATAGGAACTGTCGGTTCTCTCGTCCTCCGGGACACGTTCAATTCCTCGCTGTTCCACCTTGATCTTTCCACCGAGCCTCTGCAGCTTTGCGTAAACCGAGTTTCCATATTCGAAGCTCGATGCTAGGACAGCGCCCGTTTCGTCGACGAGCGGAGGATCTATCGCTCCCGCCCGCTTTTCCACGTCATGACTGAGTATCGGGTTCATGGCTATCTCCAAACAGCAATTCTCAAGGACAATTGCTTTAGACATGGGGATTGGGTGCTTTTTGAATGATTGATTCCACTCCTAGTGGAGCAGGGCCCCACGGGGCATTCCGATCGTGATCCACCTGCACGGAAGGTATTGATGCCCGTGTATCCGCGATCAAAATGAAAACCCCCAAGGGTCCACAGAAGCAATATAATTTTGGCAAATCAGGGTCCATCAACGGTCAAAATGGTTCCAGAAAATCGCGTTCAAAGTCCTAATTTGTCCAATGGGAGATGATGCATAACAAATGTCGGCAAAAATCATGCATAACTCCTGGACCCCTTGCCACATGTGCTCGTCCTCGGATCTCATATCGCGTATACAAGCTTTAACACTTTCCCTCATCTGTCTAGTCCAGCCGGGTGGGTTCACATCAGAAACGAAAATGCGGGGTTGAGCCATGTTTGGTAAGTCGACGCACGATTGGCACGGAGAGCGCCGAGACCCATTTCTTAGTCGATCATAGGGCTGTCGGTAGATATCATTGTTGATCTGGAGAAGTTCAGAGTCCCGATAACATGGGTTTTGTGGGGTAAGAGTTAATCGCTCATAGTAGTTTGTTCTAGCAATATGACAGTACCCTTGCATGCAGAGATAACAACTGCAAAAAGCGGGGTTCTCTCACATGATTCTTCCTCACTTCACTCCTCTGCCTTCTACTTCCTGGATTCAGCATACCGGTCATCGGCATCGTCCGCTGTGAATTGACTCTTGATCTCGTTTGGTGATCTGAGTCTGCTAATCCGTCGCTTCAAATTATCTAGAAATTGAGCTGATACTGATCTCATCTCCACCACCAAAGTCTCGACAAGATGGACAGCCATGATCACAACATCACCAACCCAATTGATCTTCCCTTGGTGGATATCTCAAATTCGAACTATGATGCTGCCGGGAAGGCTATGCTACACGCCGCAGTGAAGTATGGCTTCCTGTACATCGATAGTAGAACAACAGCCTTTGCAAAATCGGATATAGAAAGCGCCTTTGATCTGGTATACAGTCACTGCTTCAAATTTTGAGATCCACGACTTATTGTTATCGGAAAACTAACCGAACACAGTCAGAACAATTTTTCTCTCTGCCAATCTCAGAGAAAGCGCCATACAGACGAGGAGACACCGTGAGTTCATTCTCTGTTTAGTTAGTAACACTCCGCGTCTTGTACTGATATGTTAATCTGAAGAATGCCGGCTGGGTTGGAATGCACGTTGAGACCCTTGATCCTAAACATCATGAGGTAGTATATATCTGCTTCTTTCGAGAGCATTTCAATTTACGCGAATGGAATTGACTGACGGTGCACGATATGGAACACAGAGAGGAGACTATAAGGAGTAAGTCTTCTGCCACATGCGTCATGAATATCGAACACGAAGATGAGAAGTCTAATGTTCTAATGAGGAGTGTTTAAAATTACAGGGCACTTAATATCGCGGCCGCTCTGCCTACAGGTGGAAAAATCATCCAACCTCTTCCACCGTGCCTCAGAAGTCGCGAGGCAGATATAACTCGGTTCACGAACCTCTGCAACCAAACATGCGCTCAGATCTTAACCCTTCTAGCACACGGGCTCGAGGTACGAAATGAATCCACCTCACTTGATGTCAAATGAACTAACCAATACTTTATTTAAAGGTTTCCGCCGACTTCTTCACATCGCGACATGATTCAAGCCAAGGTCCCACGGAAAACTCACTTCGGCTTCTCCATTACCCAGCCAAAGTCCCAGGTTACCGACCAGAAAAGGATATCCGCGCAGGCGCGCATTCGGATTACGGTAGTATCACCCTCCTGTTCCAGCGAGCAGGCCAACCAGGGCTGGAGATACAGACCCCAGAGGGTCAGTGGGCTCCTGTTCCTGTTTACCCCCAAGGCTCTGGTGAACATGAGGACTATCCATTCCCCCCAATCTTGATCAATATTGGAGATGTGTTGAGTTATTGGACTGATGGGCTTTTGAAGTCCACTGTTCATCGGGTTGTGTTTCCTGGTGGGAATGTGGGTCTGGATGCGGACGTGCAGCGAGATCGATATAGTATCGCGTTCTTTTGTGGGCCGATTGAGAGTACGGAACTTATTCCTGTTCCGAGTCAGGTGGTCGCTGCGCATCGGGAACGGAGAAGGAACCAAAGTGGAGATGGGGATGGGAATTCTACTGTGGGCTTTGGCGGCGGTGCGAGTGAGCTTAATCACGATGGACGCAGACTCACCGCAGGTGAACACCTGAAGGCTCGACTAGCCGCGACATACCTTTAACTGGGATATCGAATATTGGAATTTGATTAATATGCATTTTAGGTGAGCCTTAAAAACCGGGGCATTGGAAAATATGTGAAATTGTTTCAGTGGACTTGCACGTAGACAGCCTCGTAAATACAGTAAAAACATGCGGAAATATTATATTCAAACAACCCGCTCGGATGCAGCATTCAGTCATCAAAATAGAACGATCAGTGCGGGCTATCCTCATTCTGGTCGAAGTGCTCACGCGCCCACGGACTGCGAAGACGGATAGCCTCGCCATAGTAGAAGAAGATGAAAGGAATAGGGACCAGCAAAATAGAGATGAAGCCCAGCAGACTGGATGCCCACTCATAATCCAGCTTCTCGTACATCTGCGTAGCGAACAAGGGGAATCCAGCACCGACGATGTTGCGAACCAGAATCACACCTGCAAGAGCCGAAGCAGAGTACGTCTGGTAACTATCGACGACATAATTTAGGATACTGAGAATCACAATGTAGATACCGGCACCGAAGAAACCGGAGGCAATGATAGGCACGATCCAGTGAACGGACTTGAAGCTGGTCCATCCGAACCAGAACAGACTGATTGGGATCAGAATAGCACCGCCACGAGCCATCCACATGCGTGCTTCGGGGACACCATTGCCACCGTTCTCGGCGACGCGACGGAGGTAGTAGCGTTCTTGCAGCGGGTACAAACAGAATGCGACAACGGGACCAATGGCCATACCCAAGAAAGCCAGACCTTGTTCACCAGTATTGAAGGGATGACCGTAAGGAGCACCAAAGACCAAGGGGAAAGCCTCGTTGAACAAATACACCAATCCATACAAGAATCCGTTGTATATAGCCGAGAAGGTCGTAATCGGCTCGGAAATCAAGAAGCGGAACGGGCGGGTAAGAGTAATAGAAAACAGCTCGGTCAGACCCTTACGGTCACGAGCATGAATATCATCAATGGACTCGGCAGATCGCAAGTTCTCCTTCTCCATTTGCTTGCGCACGCGACGGACCTTGTTCTGCAAGACAGCAGTGTGTCGAGTTTCGGGGATCGTCAGCACAAGAATCACCCAGATTCCACCCGAGATGGCCATGAGAACCCAGAAAATCCAGCGCCATCCGAGGTTGAGGCCGATATAACCGGAAACGACCAGGGCAGTGGGGGGTCCAAATGTACTGCTGAGACCGTAGACGGCCATTGGGCCACCGCTGTGATTGCGTTCCCACAAATCACTGATGGTACCTCCGGTGTTGGTCAGGGGGGCTCCGCCTGCACAGCCCGCGATGAAGCGACAGACCAGGATCGTGCCGATGTTGGGTGCCAGGGCCAATGGGAGCTGGAAGAGGAATAGGAAGAACCATGATACGACGTAGACAGGTTGGCGACCGAAGTATTCGGATAGCGGAGCGAGCATAACGGGGCCAATAGCGTAACCGAGGACGTATAGTGACAGGGATAATGTTGTAATCTCGGATGAAACTCCAAACTCTTTTTGGATGCCTGTTGCACCTGATGAGATACCACCTGCACACCAGCAACTATACATTTACTTGTTAGAGTCTGCGACATTGAAACAAGGGATATCCAGGGACGGATGGTAACACAAGAAAAAGAAAAAGAAAAACATACGTGAACACATTCAGCATGCTAACAAAGATACTGATATACCATTTGCGCCATTTTGGCCAATTGCGAGGGTTATCATGGTCGTCAATGGCATATGTGAGCAAAATGGGGAAGGCGTCATTGGGACTGGCCCTTGCTTTGGCAAAGGCTTCTTCCTCGGTAAGGATGAGATGGGAGTCCTCCTTAAAGTTGTCGCTGACCTTTTCCACGTCACGCGCCTCGCCGGAAAGAGGTTCTTCAACCTTGTGTGACTCCATGGATATCAATGACCTATATCACAGGTATATAGAAAGGTGGCGGGAGAAAGGCTAGAGGTAGGAAGGAGCGCGCGGGAGAAGGAGCGGAGGGTAGTAGAGTTATAAAAACCAGTGGCGAAAAATGAGCCACTGACGAACACAAAGGCGCCCCCCCGGAGAACCCGTTTTCTCCAAAAACATTTCCCCGAACCTTGTCCTTTTGTCACGGGCGGGGACTGGCAATGGGAATTTCGGCGGGTCGGCGGGGTCGGCGTGCCGAGAAAGAAGCAATAAGGCGTCGGTGCTTGGGTGAAAGCTTGGGTCCCCTCTCCAGAATCCCCACTTTGTCAATCCCACCCCTCGGTGAACCGATTGCTGTTCGGCTTTAAAGGGGAGATTGGCATTTTTGGTTTGTCATCTCGAAGGAGAAAAAAAACTCAATCTCGGTGAGCCTTGAAGGGTGTGAGTTTCTCGTAAAGGAAGGTGTGCCTCGACTAATAAAGTTGTTCTTGTGGCGAGAGTGACGAGACCCTGGCAAGACAAGCCTTGAGGCTGATATCAGCCACACCCTTAAAAAGACTTGAAAGAAAACTCTAATCTGGTCCTTTAACCTGCAACCTCTTATACTAGTATGAGTTATAATCACGAAATTTGAAGATTTGTTTAGGAATGAGGACGGGAAATGGACAATGTGCCGATCGCTCCCCAACATTTTACACATATTTCTTACTCCATACAGTACTCCATGTACTCCATAAATTCCCCCAGTGGGGAATCTCGGGACTTGTCCGTTTGGGGGAAATTTGGGCCTGAGGCAGGGAGTTACATAATAAGTGAATGACATAACATTCATAATAACATTCATAATGTTCTGTTCCTGGCAAACCAAAGTCATTTCACATGACAAAATAGGAAGGTAGTCAGATAATGTCCATGTGCGACTGTATGATTGTTGAATCGTGATATTCCACAAAATGTCCGACCGCGTGTCCTGGGCAGGGGTTTGACCAACATTTCCCGTGTAATTCTGGGTCCATCTGGGTCCCCGGGTAAATGGCCCCCGTATAAGTAATGCATCTGGCCCGCATATGGGGTCATTCCAGATCAGACCATTTTATCCAGCTGTTGGGAAAATTATTATAGAGAAATATTCTGAATTCAAATGTTAGAAACCACAGTTTCAATGGCTAAACAGCTTGAGAGATCTGGAGATGAGAACTGCAGAATTGTATGTTGAAAGTACCGTGGTGGCTATGACATCACATGCCCACTTTGCGAGTGCAGCACTTGAGTGTGTAGAATTTCCGACTTGTCGATTCATCCTACACGAACAATTGTTGAAATACATTAGGGGAAAACACGTTGCGACCGTATATGTCTGACTATGTACACAAATTTCCATGGTGGCTTATCAGTTTGAGCGCCAACTTCAACCTGGGTGGGTCTGAATCCAAGCTCTCGACAAATCATGCATGTTCGCATTCAAGTTACTCTTTACGGAGTATACTTGTCCCGTATTCGTAACCGGTTTCCAACATTTGAACATCCAAAATTTGGAATGTTTACTGTACGGTACTATTTACTTGTACATACTATGGCAGCATGCATCAACAAATCCAAGGCCTCGACATGCACATGTGGCATAGCTTCTCGGCTGCAAGCCAACATTTGAATCCTCAAAGTGGTGCTCAACATTTGAAAGATAGCGCCGCCAACTTTAGAGAGACGGAAAGGCAAAACCAACATTCAGCCCTAGTGAAATAGAGACGATCGCACCTTTTGCCAAAATCCCTTGCCGCTGGAATCATTCTTTTTCACAACTCCAATGCAAAGTGCGTCGCCGTGTTGGTCCATGATATACGGTCTGTGGTATTTGAGGAATTTCTTCGTTGCATCTGAGCCTGCCTCTTTGAGAAGGACTGAAGCGCTTGAGTCAATAAATGAGCGGAAAGAGCAAAACTGTGTGTAAATTTTCGAACACACCTTTTTTACCACCCGGGTGTGTGTCCGCGTAGGTTGTCAGGTCGAAGACCTTGTCATTAATAATCACCCATAGGTCACCCTCCTTGTTATGGCTCGCGATTTCCTCTGATGTATACAACCGCTGTGGATCTTGTTGCACCGAATCTGCTGTAGACATCTCCTTTTGAACTTGCATTGGGCATTTGGAGGAGGGGAACACCTGGGCAAGATCAAATTTTCTCCCTTTCCATATGTGACTGCTTAAGTGAACTTGGGATTTTTGTATCGTGGATTTTTCTATGCAAAATGAAATCTACGTTGTCGGAGGGTGAGATATAACGCATGTTCCTTTTATGCCCAGCGTTGACGGCCCGAAGGGTGTGACCATGTGGCTTGCTGGCTTGCGGACCGAGGAAGAGCTGAGGAGGGGCTCCAGATGCGCTAGCCGAAATTAGAAAAGAGCTAGCGAGGAGCGATCGCGAAAAGTGCAAAACAAAATTCCAATAAACCAGGGAAACCATTAAAAATTGACTGGACGAAGGCTGGTACATGTCTATCTGACTGTGATACCAATTCTCTAATCGCACCCTGATTCGCGCCTCACTCAACACAGGTTAAAGTGACATTCAGAGAGGTATCAGCGTCACTTCCTCCATTTTCCAGCAATGCGAATGTGTAATCGCCCAGTTCCACAGTCCATTCATATTTTCGATCCAAGATGGGAAGATATCGGCTCACTTCCAATTCCAAAGAAACTTCAACCGACTCCCCAGCCGACAAATACACCCGTGTGAAGGCGACAAGCTGTTTCACGGGGCGAACAATTGAAGACACACGACCGAGGAGGTAAACTTGCGGGACATAGCTTCCCGCAACACTGCCAGAATTGGTCACTTCCACTAGGAACGTAATGTTTGACTTGCTTCCAAATTTCAAATCACCCTGCGTCCCCTCATTGCCGTCAACTGTGGAGCGGAAATTTGTTGTTGTGAAGTTTGTGTATGATAAGCCGTAGCCAAAGGGATACTAATCAATATTAATTTTGATTTCGGATAAGACACAAAAAACGAAACTCACCAAGGACTGGTACGGAGTATCTGTATAGTCTCGAGGAAATGATGGTTTGTAGCTAGAAGAGTCAGCAGATGAATAAGCCGTCAACTATCAGGATCACATCTTTACTTATAAAAAGCGGGCAAAGTCCCGGCGCTGTAAGGAACGCTGATGGGAACTCTGCCACCAGGATTGATAGTACCAAACAGGACATCGGAGATGGCTTGCCCACCAGACTGCCCTGGGAAAAACTAGAATTTGTTAGTGACATTCTAGCAGAGCCAATAACCTTTTTTTAACTAACTGTGTTCAAGACGGCCGCTGATTTATTGTAATACTCCGGAACGGCAAAAGGTCGACCTCCTTGTAATATGAGAACAACTGGTTTTCCAACCGCATAAATTGCATCCGCAAGCAAGGCTAGTTAATAATTAGCAATTTGCGCAGTTTTCCCGTGCGTTTAGACAAGAGTGTACTTTGGTTTGGAGAGAATCCCAGAGTTGCACGGTCACCAGACTCGCCATCGCTATTCCAATTAGCACCAAGAGTTAGAATAACGACATCCGACTTTTGAGCAACATCGACAGCCTATTTCAATCGCAATTTTAGCCCATTGTGGTTGATTTCCGAAGGGCGAATTGCCTACCTGGTCCAGAGCATGGATGGCATCGACGAGATTCCAAAACAGTATGACCTGTGCATTAAGAGAGTTGGCGTTTTCGAATTTCTGCACATAATTCCAGGTTTGGTACTCGAGCTTGATGTGATGCTTGGCACCCTTTTTAAAGAGAAAGACCTCTGAGCCCGGTGGCGCGATTGTTCCGTTGACCGAAGTGTAAGAAATGCCTGGTATGTTTGAAAGAATATTGCCGGCTGTGGTGGGTTCAACGTTAACATGAAGGTTACCATCAATGTATAACTTGGCAGAGGTATTTGCATAAACAGCGACGCCAAGCCAGCCGTTTGTCGCTGTCTCAACAGGTACTTCGAGTTCACCTTCCCAGATCACACTGAAGTTGTTTGAGGGGAGGCCTTCAGGTGGATACAGACCCCAGTCAAGGCTAGGAGTCTCCAGCTTTTGTACTCTTGGATCGGTGAAGTTGATATCTGCAAAATAGGTCGCCATCAAACCATTAGAGGTACCATTCCCAGACAGTAGATATGGCGGTATATTGTATTGCCCATTGTAGCTCCAAGAATTGGCCCCCCAACTCGTGAGAAGCTCAGTATCAGGGAAGTTAGTTGCCAGGTGCTCGGTGATACCTTGGCGGATTGTGCTAGCATTTCTGACTGGGTAGCCGCCGAATTGACCAGAATAATCACCATAATTGAATGTGTCACTGAAAGGTCCTATCAAAGCGATTGTGCTGATTTGCTGTTCGTCAACCTGTAAAGGTAGAGTTGAATTGTTATTCTCGAGAAGAACTATGCTCTTCTGGGCCGCCTCCAGTGTAAGAGGCACGTGTGAGGCAGTGATTGCCTGTGAGTCAATCCCGTCTGCGATATATGGGTCATCAAAGAGATTCAAATCATACTTCACGCCCAGCACACGCTTGGCCAGCGACTGCAATTGCGATAGCTCAGTCGTCCCATTAGAAACCAAAGCAGCAGTTGCCTATATAATTGGAGTCAGCTAACTTAGATGATTCTGTTTGGCGGAAAAAGCATACCTCGACATATTCGCTCAAGGGAAAATCATAATATTGAATCATTCCCCCAGCGTTGTGCCACTGAGCAATGGTATCCGCCACTGAGCTAGTGACTAGATGTGTGTATAACAGCTCAGAAAGCCCTGGTAAGGTAAACTGTTAATTCATGGGTACCTCAACCAAGTGAACAAATATAAGAGCACGGTATATTGTATCTGGGGAGATGACGAACCTGTGTCATCTGCAGTGATAAAGCCTGTGAAGTACTAGTCAGTGCCGTGTCGAGCTGAATCTTCATACTAAATTGAACCAACGCACCATCGTAACCCCAGTCTTCTAAAGCTTGATAGAGCAGGGGATTCACTGAACAAGGAACATCGTCAAACTCGCTGTATGCCCTTTTTAAACAGTGAGAGTCGATCTGCGGGGTTTGATAGTCTGGTGACTTACATCATAACACCCTTCACTCCACCCAGCTCCACGGCTGCTTTAAAGGGAACCAGCATCTCCTGTAGAACTTCGCGTGTTCCGTAACCCATAAAAGGGGCCGCATTGTGGCCTCCCTGAGGGCTGCCATGGGCTGCGAAATGCTGATGAAAAGCGCAGAATTAGAAAAAATACAGAGAATGGGTCAAAATCCTCAGTAAGCTGGTAATGCCACAAACCTTCATCACGGGAATGACAGCATCAGAGGCTGACCACGTGCTATTTTTTGATAAACCAGAGGCAAATGCAACACCCATGTGAGAGGTGAGTACCATATCCTCGCCCCAATCCTCTGCAATTTCAATCGACCACGTCAGATATTTTCCAATTTTTTTGGTTTTAACATGACCGTGGAATCGTAGTCGTAAACTAACCTTGCACTCTACCCCAGCGCGGCTCTTTCGCAAGATCAAGCACCGGGGCAAAACACGCATGAATGCCAATCGATCGTGCCTCAGTAGCAATGGCTCGACCGATGCGATGCACTAGGTCAGTGTCAAATGATGCTGCCATACCAATTACTTGAGGGAACATTGATTGTTTGAAAGATCCCACTCCGTGCAAACACTCCCCCGTCTGCATAAAGGGTATCTTCTTGTTAGATTTTTCGGCGTTGAGCTTTTGCATATCGTTGTATTGCGACTTGTTTGTAGGATACCAGTCATGCATTATACCGATAGAGGCCCCTGGAGCTGGCTGCATTGCCAGGTCTGGAAATCATGGTGAGTTGTGTGCACCTTAATCGGACTCGAGTGATGGCTTTCATACCATACAGAGCATTGTCTGAGTTTGGTCCGATTATGTTATCCGCAAACATCAGATGCATTTGCAGTACTGGTCAAGTTTTGTTTGTCTGTTAGTGGTGACTTTCAGAATTTGTGGGGTTTATCGGGAGAGTGTTGGATGTGCAGGAACTTACCAAGCTCTGGGATGGTCATGTTCGTCACCAACCCATCAATAAAAGCGGACTTTTTTGCATCCCATGATGAATTTTCCGTTGAGCTTGGAACATGCTTTGTATTGAATGACTGAGTGGGCTCTGTGTTGCCCATCGAAATCAATGAAAATACGAATAGCACGTGCAGAATAGCACTTTGGTGTATGGGGTTAAGCATAATCATGGTCGTTGTTTTTCTACCCCATTGGCAGCATAAACCTATAAAGATTATGTGATTGTAGTATAATTAATGGAACTCAGACATAGATCGAGAAGTCCAATCTATTTAAGACGAAGAGAAAATAGCCTAAATTGAAGTGTTATTATCAGTAGTGGGGCTGGATGTCACAGAAGGTGTTGGCCATGCTGCGTTAGAGTAACCGTCGTATTGGGGAATCGAGTTCTCCTCAGTAGTGAGCAGCATGATTGATTAGACATAATACTATAGACCTGGTCTATCGCTGAATTTGGCAATGATACGCAGAAATAACAAGCATGCTAGACAACTAGCCACAGCAAGTGCGGGGAAGGGAAGCGGGGATATCTTCACGCTGTCTTGAGTCCTCAGATTGATAAACGATTTGAGATTGGAGCAAAGGGAAGCGGTTTGAACGTTGATCTTTTCAAAAAACACCTAGTATTGATTGAAGTGGGAGACATCTGCGAACCAATTAGCCCCTACGAACATTTGAACCAAGTTCGTGACTAGGAGTAGTGGAAGACAAAGAAGGAGGACAAAGGGGTGGCTGGGGTTAATTGATTATGGTGCTTACGGGAGTAAATTAAAGTGGGTAAATTCTTTTGATGGAACGGATTATAGTTGTAACTGTCAACTAACTAAACTAAACTACGGTATGTAGTAACATTGAATAGACGAGTAGTAGAGGGCTGGGAAACCTCTATATCCTCCTTAACTTTTGACCAAGATGAAATAAAGCGTCTCAAGCCCGGTGGTTGACAACCAAAGCGTCGCCATATTCACTGACATCGTATCCATTCTCCTCCAGGTATGCCTTGAACCGAGCATCCTCCGTCTCAAGCTCGCGTGACATGTCTGGGATCAAGTACCATGCAATTATTCCTCCCACGATTGTGAAGGCCGACCCGATGAGGAACACTGCCTGTTGACCCTTTTGATCGGTAGAGAACGAGGCTTGAATGGGGGTAAAAACTTGGGTACCAATAGCTCCCCCTGCCTTTCCGACGGCAGCCGCAAACCCGAGAAAGTGACCGCGCAAGGGAGTAGGGAAGGACTCCGAAGCGCACAGGAAGGTAGCAACGCCCGGACCCATCTCGCCAAGGGCTTGGAAGATGCCGTACATCACAACGAACAGAGGAAAGACAGTCTGGATAGGCGTAAGGGCACCACCCAAAATGAAACCCCAAATTCCCCATAGGAAGAAGCCTAAAGTCATTGTTTGTTTGCGGCCAATACGGTCCATCAAAAAGCCACCAAGGATACATCCAGGGAGATAGAAACAATTGATCACCGTCTATGAATATCATGTTAGCCTGTGAGCATGAAGATTGCAGAAATTGGTACGACATACACCATATCCGATGTTTTGAGTGGTTGTGTTGGTGGTCATCAACTGTGACACGATTGTCGAGGAGAAAATACCGAACGGGTAGGTGACAAAGTCATAGCAGAACCAAGCCAGTGCTAGAGATAATGGATCAATTAAACCGTTTGGGCAGCGTGATTAGATTGAGACGTACAAGTTCCAAGCATAGGTTTCCAATAGCGCTTCAAAACCAACATGTATGGGTAGCGGGATTTGATGGAATGCTTTTGGTACTGGGTAGAGTTGAGCATGCGAACCCGGAAGAAACAGATCACAACAGGCAACTGTCTCAGTCAGTATATGCTCGTAGCAATGGAGAGGAACCTTGTAACGAACCACGAAACCAAGACCGAAGCAGATCCTCCAGACACCCTCAGAGGATCTTTGGCCATAGCATGCTAGGACGATCACAGCAACCACACCCGCCACAACGAATCCCTACATGATGATTAGTAGCTGTTATGCACTTTCTGAAACACGTCTGCTCTGCAACATACAAAATCAATAGCCAAGTCAGTTGTGACTGCGACGATCATTCCTCGGCGGCGGCGCAACTTTGCAGTCTCATCGGCGGCTTCAGTGGCACTGGTTGCACAGACGGGATATTCACCACCAGCGCCGAATCCGGCAATACCGCGCGACACGATCATCATCCAGAACATGCTGTGAGCGTTCATGTTAGCTTGGATTCTTGTTCATGTACTTATCTCGGAGTCATACCCAAGCTGCGTGTTGCCGTGGGCGGCTGTCGCCAGTACCACACCAAGAACCAAGAATAAAGTAGCCGCAATGATGCCAGTGCGGCGACCAACGCGGTCAATCAGAACCCCAAAGAAGAGCATTCCAAATATTTCTCCAATGAGGTAAGAATTCGACAGACGGGACTTGATTGTCTTGGACATGGCATCCTTGTAACTGTGATTCACCGGATTAGTTGTTGCGTTGTAGAGCCGTGTTGTTGATACTTACAGATCGCTGAACAAACTTTCCATGTAGCCAACTAGAGGAAGATTAGAATTCGAAAGCAGACAAGTGTCAAAGATGACATACTGATCTGCGCATTGTAGCCATCGCTGAAAAGGGCCGAGCCGGAGATAACGGCATTGAGGACGCTGGACGACTTCTTCTTGGGCTCGGACTCCAGCGTCCACGAATCGTTCTGGATGTGGATATCCTCTTTTTTCACCATCACGGAATCGGCGGGAGAGTTCTCCATTTTGATGGTTCGCACGAGCGTTGTAGACCTGTCGGTAGAGCCGAAGGCAGCCAATGCAGGTACGGAGACTCGACAGGGGGGAGTGAACGCAGAGACTTGGAAGGTGAAAGAGTTGTGGAAGAGGGAAAAGGATAGGGAAGTGGGAAAGACGAAGGAGAGATGAACCAAGTCTTAAGACGTAAATCTATATCACACGTTATGGATCTAACGTACTGTGCTCCGTGTATCTCAAATAGTCATTGATGCAACTTGACGTGTGTTTCTTCCGATTGGAGACCCAATGAGAAGCTTCCTTGCAGACACGAGTAGATCCGATCATGACCGTCGGTAGGAAGTGCGGTGGGAAATAAACACAGGGTCCATTGGAAACATTGGAAACATTGGAAACATGGGCTCAAGGGGTCCGAGCTTTCCCTTGTAGATCAGCGCTGCTTAGGTTACGCCCAAATGTCGTAAATACCGTGTAATTGACAGTAAAATAACAGGCGATAACGAAGGCTGTATATCGAACCAATAGGAAGCGGGGAGGTGGCACCTTCCGATAACACTTGTTGGCCAATCATTGCAAGCACCTGGACATCTCGCGGTCTCTGATTGGTCAGCTGTCCAACGTAACAATCCGACCTCCCACGTGTCTTTAAATCGACTCTTCAACTGCATCGGATCTGGCTCCTGGTGGCTTCTTAGTATATGTGGCGCGTAAAAGTGGATTCACATGTGTCAACCTTCGGTGCGAAGCGCGAGGTTTCATTGTATGGGTCCGCTTCCCCCAGGCACACCCGCAGGAAACGGCCTCGGGACCGATGTATATAATCCTTGGTTGTGCACATGTCTTCGTCGCTCATTGCATGTTTCAAGTCCTTCCAATCCATTTTCTTTCTCAGTCAGTGAGAACAGAGCTTCCAACACCCATCATGGATAACTCCCACTATGCCTTGACCCCTTTGCAGCTCCAAAGCTTCAAAGAAAATGGATATCTTCTGGTCCGCGGGTTCTTCTCCGACCCCGAAGCCAAAAGCCTCCAGCAATGGTCACAGGAAGTGCATGGCTTGCCCCGAACCCCCGATGTCCCATGGATGCCATATGAAGAGGTAAACGGGAAAGGCGACCGTGTGCTGTGTCGCACAGAGAACTTTGCAAACTCTCACAGTGGCTTCGATAGCTTCCTGCGCGGTGAACGGGCGATCAGCATGTTGCAACAGCTGGCCAGTGAGGAGATGCTTCTTTTCAAGGAGAAAATCAACTACAAGCTTGCTGGCAGCGGTAAGTCCATTATATCCACCGTCCCGTGGTGATCACAGCTTTGATCTCCATGTGCAATCGAAGAGCTTAATCGTCTGACAACGTCAAAATGTTTGCAGGTGGCTTTGATCCTCACATCGATGCCAACGCCTACACCCACGTCAAGAACATCAAGCACCTCACTATTCTGGCTGCCGTGGACGAGATGACATCTGCAAATGGAGGCTTGGAAGTTGTAAGCGGCAGTCACCAGATGCAGGTTCCACTAGGTGCGGATCGCTGCATTGAACCCGCATGGGTAGAGAACCACACTTGGACTTCGTGTGACCTGCAGCCTGGTACGTGACAGCTAAAAAAGCGAAACCAAGCTTGAGCGATCTGACATGAAAATCAGGTGACATCCTAGTATTCGGCTCCTACTTGGCCCACCGCAGTGGTGCCAATACCAGTACCAAGGATCGACGGGCGATCTACGCGACCTACAACTGCGCTGCAGAGGGGAACCTCCACGATCAGTACTACACTGATCGACGGAATCTGTGGCCTGCAACACACATGCGGAAGGAGGGTGAATCGTACGAAGAGGGACGTGTGCGCTATGCCTTTGGATCGCCGATGTTGACAGTGGATTCGAATGCCGTTTCGGCTGCATGAACTTGAAGAAAAAAGACACCGTAGAAAGCTAGAAGATGCAGGTGTCATTTTAGGCAGTGATAGGCTACAAATACCACACTGGCTCTTGTTTAGTATAGTAAAAGTGACAATTGAATAATTGATTTTATTAGAGCTGTAAAGTGAGGAGAGACCAAACCTCTGCAAATAGACCGACGCCGGGTTGCCACTCGAAGCGCCCGATTGAAAGAGCCAAACCCACTGGCAATGGCGCATAAGCGTGAAATGATGATTAGTGTGAGTTACAATACCAAAAGCTCTCTGTAAATTATTCTGGACCTTGGAATTGTTGAGAAAATATTTCCCATCTCTGAGTCGGTACGAATTCCGTTGAAACTTCCAAGGTCATCTTATTTAAAGGCCCTCCCCCACCCGCCTGCCCTCTATTTTTCTTCTTCCCCCTTCCAACCTCAAAACTACCATCAGCCACAATGATTCCGGCTACTCCATCTACAACAGCTGAGACCTTGATAACCGCACTGGAGCAGTACGGCCAAGGAGACTACATTGGTGAATCCATCAGTCAATTAGAGCACTGTCTACAGGCAGCCAACCAAGCCCACGAAGCAGGTCAGAAACAATGCCTAAGCATGACGTCTGTCCAAGATAAACTAACTTGCAACACATTAGGAGCCCGGGATGAGCTGGTTATCGCAGCCCTTCTGCACGACATCGGCCAGATAATCCCCTTGGAATCTACTAAGGAAGTTCGCATGAACATCCGAGAGAGCAGCGAGAATGTCGGCCGCGTCGGCCACGAAGCTATTGGTGCTGCATATCTTCGATCGTTGGGATTCAGCGAGACGGTCTGCAAGCTGGTGAACAGCCATGTTGCCGCGAAACGGTAAGTGAAGGTATTCCGGCTTTGAAGGTACACGTGTTGATTTATTCGATAGATACCTTACTGCGGTGAATAAAGAGTACTACGATTCTTTGTCCTCTGCGTCGCAAAAGTCGTTGGCTTTCCAGGGGGGTCCTTTCCAAGGAGATGAGCTGCGGGAGTTTGAGGAGGACCCGCTACGGGATGAGATGGTTTCTCTTCGTCTGTGGGACGATAGGGCTAAGTTGGTGGGAGTTGAGGCAGTTACGCCGCGTGCTCGGGCTTACTTGGATATTATTGTTAATCACTTGTCATAGTGATAGAATGTGGATATTGTTGATTGTATATGTTAAAGCAACGCACTACTGGCCCTATATATGTGCTTGAAACTTTGACTTCTCATGATCATGATTCATGAAGCTACACTGTGGAGCCACACTCTAAGGTAGCTCGATCTCCGGTAAACTTTTCATCAGAGACGGCAGCTTCTTCGGCTTTCATAATTTCAAAGTCGCGCTCCGCATGCCAGAAAAATGGACTATCATGTGCAAAAAGGAAATCAAGGTCTTCCAAATGTCTGTTGGCCGTTTCTTAAATTTGGGTTAGCCCAGAAAAATCATCAAAAGAACTAGAAACTCACCGATGTAGAACAGGTAAATCGGCACAAGCATCACCAAGTTCAAGAGGGCGAAGATAATGAAAACCCAATATGAAACGGCATTTATGAGATACGGGACAATCTCATTGATAATACCGCCTGCTAATGAGAATGCCACTGTAGCTACCGCGGTTCCTTTCGCTCTACTAACGAGTGGGAATATCTCGGTCGGATAGACCCAGCTAGAGGATAAAACATATGAGCTTTGTCATCGGACTCAAAATTCCTTGAATGTCTTGAGAATCAACTCACCACGTAGTAAGCCACGTGCTTCCATAGATGAAAGTGTATAGATAAAGCACAGCTGTAACGCCCGCACCACATTGAGCAGATATCGCCGGGTATGTATCTGCTTTGGAAATGACTTCATGAGCCAAGACCCCGCCCACAATTAGCACAACAAACATAGAGGAAGACCCTATTAACATCAGTCGACGACGGCCGAGTCGATCGCAAAGATAGATAGCCAGTGCCAGACTAGCGGTATAGCCGAAAAAGTTCCCGCCAGCAAGCAAGGCAGGCTTATCACCGGTATAACCCGCCAAGGAGAACATCTCCGGCGCATAGGTGGAGATGAAGTCAATGCCAGTGAACTTCTGCATGATTTGAATACCCGCACCCAGCATGATTCTGCGTCTAGTGTGTAATTTGTCCCGTGTAGCGAGTATCTTCCACATTGATGGTGGAGGCTCATTAGCCTCCAGGCGAATTGCTGCCACAATCTCTGCCAATTCGCGCTCAATCTCGGTTTCCTCGGTGTTTATTCGTGCCCTTGCCAGAATCTCCCTTGCTTCGGCTTCCCGACCTATGCGGACTAGGTGACGGGGTGACTCGGGGTAGAATGGGGTCGCGGATAAGATGAAGATGAGGAAGATTAGCTGCAACGCGAGAGGAAATCGCCAGGCGAAGGCAAGGCTCTGCGTCTTGAGACACGCATATTCCGTCCAATAAACCCTGTCATACTGTTAGTCAAGGTTACAATCCCATGAAGCTGTTATCGAAGATAATCAGTGAGTATTTGAGTTGTAGGAAAACCAACATTGTACCTCCAGCAAGAGCCAATGTGAATTGCACGGCCACAAATGCACCTCGGTCGCGAGAGTCTGCCAGCTCAGATGTCCAAATCGGGACAATGGTATTTAAGTGACCACAGCCAATACCCCCAATGATACGTGCAAAGGCCATCCAGGTGAAATTCTGGGCGGATGCTTGGAGTGCACATCCAACAATGGCCCAAATACAGCCAAGCTGTATACATTTCAAGCGACCGATCTCATCCGCCAGACATCCAACCAGGATAGCACCTGAGATAGAAACACCCCAGAATAATCAGCAATCAACTCCTTTAAGTTTTGATTCTTCATTTCCTGTTGGTGTTTTTTTTTTCATACCTATGCCAAATCCCCCGAACCAGACACTGACCAAGCCCCCCACGGCAGCTGAATCACGGGCGGAACCCGAGTCGGTTCCCATGTATCGCAAATAGTCGGAGTTTGTATCGACTTGGCTCATGCACGACGAGTCATATCCAAAGAACATGATTGAAGTTCCTGCTAGCAGTAAGATTGCATTTATCATGGGTCGACCGCGAAGCTTCATGCATCGGCTTGGTGAGTATCCACCAGGGATAAGCTTAGCCCATGATGGCTCCTCTGTGAAAGAAATATGAAGTTGTCAGCAACATGAGCCTTTTCAATAAATTCGAATACATACCACGATATATCTGTGGCTCAAGACCTTCGACGTGTTCAACCTTCGACTTTTCCATTGCATGTATTCCTCTGCAACTCTCGGCGTTTGTCTGGGCGATGTGATGATATATCCAAGTTCATGCGTTTTCCTCGGCTCTCTGCATGAATCGAACGATTTCACACAGTTTACTTCCAAAAGTCCAGTCTCCTGGGCGCAGAAGAAATATTTCAGAGTGGGTTGTGCTATAAATGCGGGGGACAGAACTCCAGGATTCTGACTCCAGAATGATCGGCCTCATCCGGGGTAACTGCATGACGATTGAAAATTGGTATTGCTTGATTCTAAGCGTACAACACATGGAGTCGGAGAGAAAGCCGCAAGCTTAGAATCCGGGGTTATACCGAGCCCTTGGGGGTGAATCCACCCGGGAACGTCATAGCAGTGCTAATGTCAACTACCTTAAAAGTCAGCCGTTGGAATCTTGGAAAAGAAGAGGATCTCACATAGATCTTGATTTTTGTGGTCTGGACGTTTGCTTGCAATTACTCAGACTTGGATTCCGTGTCGCGGTTCGCTTCTCTATAGGGGTGATTGGTCAATAACCTTATGCATCCTTCCGAAAATGGGGGCACGGGGCGTTTATCGACAGGGGCATGGGTTGACAGGTATCATGGACGCGAGTCAAGCGACTCCACCGGCCAGTGTTTGATTTGAATGGAAGTTTTCTTTGAAAGTTGTTACTTTAAGCAACAGGAATCTTTGTTTTTTTTTTTCTCTCCGAAAAACCTGAAAATGCTGGCTGTCGATTTGGTTGCAGTAATTCGCGGTTGAGGCTCTGATGTCATTTCCCAGGTTGTTTAACAGAGGGTCAAAGGTGAATCTCAATTCTTATCTGAGATCTAAAATCTCAGATCGACCATCTGACCTTTGCTCTTTGATCCCGGTCCACCAGAATACAAAATAGAAGACTTGGTCATGTGTCTGGGCCTGACACGGGGAGACAGCAACCGAGGGACCCCGCACGTTTTAACGTCTTACACCAACACCATGACCTCAATCTCATCAGCCAAGCTTAGAACTCGCACCGGCTGTTTACAATGTGAGTTCTCGAGAAAATTAAATCAAGCCTTGAAGGCATGCTAACCAGCTGGTGTAGGTCGGAATCGTCGCAAGAAATGCGATGAACTACGACCCCAATGTGCGGGGTGCAGGCGGAACCAGCTCCAATGCATTTGGCCGTCGAATGAAGAGCGTAAGGATGGACGAATACGCCAACCGCGCTCTACGCAATCGATAAGCTTCGATCAGCACGTGGATGGATTGTCCGGCGTCGGTACTAAGTCTACCTCCCTTGCGGGGCCTACACTTCGCCCGCCAGTTCAGATGCCATCTCCCTTTCAGCTTGAGGAGCATTGTTACCTTTATCGTTATTTTGGATCGGACATACTGCCACGTCTGGTGCGAAGGAACTCGCTTGCCCGATATGCTGATCAATCATACAAGTTGCGCCTCGCCCTGGAATTCCCCCCCTTGATGGGCGCATTGATTTCCACCTCCGCAATGCAACTTGCCTGTGTGTCTGGCAAGTCAATTCACTTTGCTTTAAAAACCTATACACAGACTATCAATGGTCTGCGACAAGCTCTGGATCGAAAGATCGACTTTGTGTCTCATGATGCTCTACTTGCGACCGTCATAACTCTGTCTGTGTTCGAGGTAGGAAAGCCAAATTGCCTTATCTAGCCCTGCGTTGTGAAGGAAGGGGCTTTCGCTAATTTTCAAATAGAGTTTCCGTCCGGATTGTAAACTCAACGTATCTCCTCATGTTAGAGCATCGGCGTTTTTGCTCCAGAAACGTCATGCGAGATGGAAAAGTTGTCCGCAAGCGAGGGCTGTGTTTGACAGGATTTGCGTCGAATCCTTCGTTTACCATGCATCAGTGATGATGGTCTTTGACCCATCCCTTGACTCGCTTTCACAGCCCAGCTTACGGATGCAGTTATTGAGCTACTTTTCAGACCCGGTTCACAGTCAGGGATTCGGTGCTGATAGCCAGCCAATTCTGCACGTGTCCTATCAATGGTTTTTCCTAATTGCCGATGCTACGAAGCTTGCTCGGCTTGCGCGTTCATTAGACGATGCGGAAATTCAAACATGGAAGGAGCTAAACGGAATCACACAGTCGTGTCATACTATTGAAAATCCTCAAGATACATCCGCTCAAGCATGTGAGTTATATAATCAGGTGTTTCGGATTTTGCTCTTGAAGTCAGATCCTGATCTTAGATCAGAGGATCTGGACCGACAGATGGGGAGGTGCGTCGCGCAAGGTACAGAAGTGCTGCCTTTGATCGATAAGACAGAATTCTTTACCAGCGCTCTGGTCTGGTTGTTAGCCATCCTAGGCTCTGTCGCTGTTCTCCCAGACGAGCAATTATCGGTGCGGGACTTTCTTTCGATTATAATTGCATCGTCTTTGGGTGGTCAACCAGCGTGGGTCCTCAAGAGGCTAGAAAACATTTGGTCAATTAGTACTGAAACGCCCTCATTCCGCAATTCTCATCTTTTGAGAGTTCGAGGGTTGCAAGCACTACTTGATGGCTAAAACGAAAGCCTAGTATGTTACAACTATAGCGGCTCGAGCCCAGATGGATTTTTGAAAGATTTTACTCACTTGGGCAGAGTTTATTCACAAGACATATTCGCCAAATTCACACACAACATGATGCTCTATGAATTCTGTCTAATGCAAATTCTGCTAACAGAGAGTGGCACAACAATCTAGTACGCCAGTATGTACATCACTGCGAGCATTGATATACAAGATATCTACAGAAGTCCTCGAGCAAATTGTAGCGGGACTGAGATCGGGACTCCCAGCTTCTTTGCCGCATTTATGACCCACTCCGGCTCGCGAAGGAATTGGCGAGCCATGAGAACCGCATCAGCCTTGGGTTTTTGGCCCGAGAGAATTCCCTCAGTTTCCACGGCTTCATCAGCACCCTGAACAATTCCGCGAGCTGCTTCAGCCTCTGTAATGAAGCCGACGGCTCCCACCAGGGTCGTTTGGCCCGCCTTGCGGATCTCCTTGCGGAGCTGACCCGCAAGATCAATCTGATAATTCGTGTGTGGCTGAAGGTTCTGATCTTTATGATTACCACCAGAGCTGACATCCAAGAGATCGACACCGAATTCTGGTAATAGCTTGGCCAGTTGGGTTGAAGAAGCCATATCCCAACTGCCCGTCTCTGCTGCGACCGGAGTTCCTTCCAGCCATTCAGTAGCACTGATACGAAGGAATAGCGGCATTCCTTCAGGGATGACAGCCCTAATGGCAGTGCACACCTCCCGCACAATTCGAACGCGGTTATCAAAGCTTCCGCCATATTTATCAGTGCGGTGGTTAGTGACCGGGCTCAAGAACTCGTTCAGAAGATATCCATGGGCACCATGGATTTCGATCACGTCAACACCGGCTTCAACAGCCAACTTAGCACTGCGCGCAAAAGCTTGAACAAGATCCTCAACCTCAGCTGTGCTGAGCTCCCGGGGAGCCCAGTACTTGACATCACCAGGGGCCCAGATGTGCTCCTCGCCTCCAGAGGGACCAACCACATTAGTCGGCCATCCTCCAGCATCTTCGTTAGCCCTGATGCTGCTCCTCTTGCCCTCAGACGATAACCAGGGTGCAACAGTGCTGGCCTTGCGACCGGCATGGGCGAGCTGGATACCAACCTTGGCTCCTTGGCTATGAGCGAAATTCGCAACGCGCTGCAATGCCTTGAATTGCTCGGATTCGGTTCCTTCCTGCCATAAGCCGAGATCATTGGGAGAGATTCTGCCATTCGGCTGCACTGCAGTTGCTTCGATGATCACAAGACCAACTCCCTTGGTAGCTAAGTGACCAAGATGCGCGATGTGGAAGTCTGTAGGAGCGCCAACTGCGGGCGAGGATGGATCTGAGTTTGCCGAATAGGTGCACATGGGCGCGACTATCACTCTGTTCTTGAATGTGACATCGCGGATCTGCAATGGGCGGAACAAAGTTGGGGTATTGGGGTCCTGTGGGTTCAGCGCAGCACCGCCATTGTTGGCCGGGGTAAAATAAGGAACACCAGGGGCCTTCAGGACACGAGGCGACTTGACTGCGATAGAACCCATGTTTGAATGCAAGTCAACTTCAAATTGGAGATATTGATATATGCAATTGCAAGGAATAGAGTTAAGGGGAAAGCATATCAATCTCTTCTAAAATTGGTTGGAGAGGGGTATTACCATATTATTAATTCAATGTTGCCATGGGCTGACAAATCTAAATCTCCATCCTTGGATACCGAGGACATTCTGATTCGGCAATTGAGCGCCGTCTCGGGGTGGGGTAGCCGGGAATACGGTTATGTAGAAAGTCCAAATCGACAAAAAAACTTCATCACGTTGACCACGACCACCTTCGAGTCGCAGAGATGCAATGGAAATTAATAAGCGTGGCTGGCCTTATCCCCAGCAAACGAGTAGCTTATCAGCTAGCTGTCTCATCGTGCCGTTGTTGGTTGCGATCCAAAACGCACGGACCTGGCTCATCAGCATGTCTCGGTCGGGCTGATGCTGCAAATTCATTCCAATAGTGAGAAGTGGCCAGCAATAATACTCGGCGAAATAATCCTGCTTTGGCTGCAGCTGTCTTACCGCTGCAATACCCTCTTCCAACAATTCATCCATTGTGTGCTCAGATCCTGTATGCATTGAGGACATGCGATGGAGTAGGATTCGGCAGCCAATTATGTATAGGCGTGGCCCTAATAACCCAAGAATTGATTTATTATGGCTGTTTGTATGGGTGGCCATTATTCTGCCATATGTAGTTGTCGGGTCATCTTCGAGGTCTAGTAGTCCGCCGGGGCTACCTGCTGTGATGTGATTGTTCCACTGGATGAGCTGGTAATCTAGATCCTGGCAAGATTTTAAATGCACAGATCCCAATTTAGATGTTTGGTATAGCCGATATACCATGTAAATGCAGCGGAAGAGCTTTGGCGGAAACCCGAGCACTGGTGAGTCCGCGTGGGAGGAGGAGTCGGAAAGAAAGTGTGGATGAATGGCCTCTTCGGCTAAACAGAAGGCCGTCTCAACTTCCACTTGATGTGCATGCTCATCTTGAAAAGGGAGACTAGTTGCCACATGAAATATAAATGACTCTCGAACCAGTCGGTGCATTGCCTGCTCTATCCCAAATTCTTCGGAGTCGGTTATTTCGCCTCGAGAGCCAATTCGAATAAGCCTTGCAGCGCCCGCAAGGTGGATCTGGACTCCAAAGGATTGATCGGGTTTGGATCGCTGATTGTGATATGTTAGAATTCTCTTCCCCAAAAGTTTGATCATGCGTGCCTACCTCATATATGCAGAGCATCATGATAGTAAGCATCGTGACCATCCAGTGGTCTTGCAAATTTTGATCATTCAAGTTCTTTCGAAGGCCTCCTACCGCCCGAGTGTAGTGATATCGCGCCAACTCGCGAATCGTTAGGTCATGTGTGGGAATCTCAGCTCCACAGCAGGCGAGCAATGCATGCATACAGAATGGATGTTCCAGCGCTAACGTCAAAGTCTGTCTGCTCAAGGTATCTATCACCCGATTATCTGCTGCTGGTCGGATTAGCTCGGGCAGAAATTTCCATTGCAAAAAATGAAACAAATGGCGGCTTTCTGGAGTGATAGCTGGTGAGTATGAAACACGCGGCGAGAAGGATATTCGCGCAAAATTTGATACTTTCGAACAATTGTATTTCCGGAGAACGGATGATTCTTCATCGCCTGGGTCTTTTCGAGAGCTCTTGGGTGATGTAGGGGTTTCTGAAGCCAGCCTCAATGGGCCTGGTGCTTTCAAACAGCATAACAGTTCGTTCGGCCCTTTGCTTATGGCATTACAAGGAGTAACATTTCGTTTGGTTTCACCCGAAGACGTCGTTTGTGGATCAAATGTTTGCCAAACACAGTCAATATTTTGCCTCGTGCAATTCAAGCATTGCAAGCGAGTTTCATCGCACTTTTTCTTTCTTCTTCGACCTGTCACATCATCAATATCCGCCAACTTGCTGCCATAAAATAGTTTAAGAGTGTTCAGATCACGAGATTGAAACAGCTTTTTGATTCTAACTTACATGTTAGACACCCTGTTTTAGTTCGCAAATGCGCTGGTCGACGTCGAGGACGGCGGTAGGTCTCGGGCAATCTTGCAAGAAGCGGAGTACCTAATGCGGTATCATCTGTCCCCATGATGATTCGAATAATTTGTAAATTGTCACATTTTCCTTTCTCTGTATGGACTCAGGAAAGCCTTAGAAGTCGATGGTTGCCTGCGTGCAACTTAGACCCCAGTTTGGAAGGTGGAAAGGGTGAGAGATAAGACTCAAGAGTCAAGGGGGTGGAGCGGCGGGGCTCCCCGAGAGCCGAGACCCACTGTCCACGCATTCATGGGGTAGAGTACGGCGGGCGATACCCGCCACCCTACTGCCAATTTCAACTTTCCGACCGGCACAAAGTAAATTACGAGTAATTCCAATTTCATATTTGTTTTTGAACTCCATATACAGCGCTGCATTATATACGGAATCTTTAAACTCCATTATACGTTGAATCCCTGTACTTCCTTCTATTTTGAATCCTTGAACTGCATTATACATTGAATCCTTGAGCTCTATAATCAATCCATTCTCAAGTCCCTCTCAAGTCTATTCTAAAAGTGACCCGTATTTAGATCAAATCCCTTAGGATGTTCCTGTATGTGATAAATACAATACGGGCGGGAAACAGGACGGTGAAGTTAGAAATCGAATTTGGGTAATGGCAGTAGGGTGGCGGTTATCGGCCCCCGTAGGGTATAGTATTGGGGGCTGCACAGCCAAAACGGTGAATTCGCACTGATATCTTGACATAGAATCTTCATTTTGTGAGATTTTATTTTTTAAATTTCACATATGGATTTTTTTATGAGGCAAGTCGATCCAAAGCTGGAGAAGAGAGAAAGAAAGAAGAGAATGGACACTCAGTGGTGTAAGCATGTGATCCACCAGGCCTCAGGCTCCAGCCTCAGCTTCATGGCAGAATGTATATCAAAATGACGTTGCAATAAAAAAAAAAATATCTGATCCGCATATTAAAATAATGTATGGGTCGGTTTTTAAATGGGTTTTGATTAAAAAAGTATATAAAATGCGTTCAGCTTAACTATGGCGGATTGAAAAAAAAAATCATGCGCACTGCCTAACAAACTCTTATCAGATGGGCAATTGGGAAAATCACCACCGCATCTAATGTCTTTCCATTGTCACCACCTAGATTAGAGCTGTGACTCAATGGCTCACTTCGCCGCAATTCCGGGCCCTTGTCATTTTCCAATTGAACCGTATACATGACACCCTTATTACATGTTTTTAGACAGGCAAGTCTCACCATCCTTCATTTCGACCCAATTCCAGCATGCTGACCAAAGGGCTTCGGGCTGTTCTGTTTCCGTAACAACAGTTGCCGGTGCTATCGCCGTTTGTCCGTCAAAATATCCTCGAGCCGATTGATATTTTGGATCGACAGCTAATGCCACAAGATCTCTGGCCGATTCTTTGGTTGTTCGGAAACGATATGTGAACAGAGACAGCACCGGGTGTAAGAAACTCATCATACGGAATATCAACTTATTGACAAAACGCCTGTGGATTGCATGTGCTCTGGAATCGACAACGGCCCCTGGATCCATAGCGACGGCTGTTATTCCAACGAATGACGGGATCTGTTTACAATCAGTACTGGGGAATAAATTTTTGGAAGTGTGGCCTATGTTGTACCTTCTCCAACCGTTGATTCAAACTATGCATGAACATGACGTTGGCCAGCTTGCTATTAGCATATCGTCGCCAGCCCATGTCATGCTCCTTACCCGGTAGGTCTGAGCCAGGCTTGATTAACTCTTCCAAGTTATCATTGGTCGGCAGACCAGCACCCATGCCCGCTAGAGGATTTTGATGCTTTGGATCATGGACTTCAGAACCAAGCATGATGATTCGACCGTTCTGTCGGTTCACATTCTGCAGTAGCTTCAGCACCAGCAAGTAATGTGAAAGATGGTTGACCTGAAATGTCTGCTCATATTTGTCCATTGAAAATTGCTGCCCTTGTTCCAATGACCATGTGAATGCGTTGCAAATGATGGCGGAGATAGGAGGAAGATCCCCTGCCGTCACTCGGCCAGTGATTCTTTCTGCGAAGGATCGTACATCTTTCAATGAACTCAGGTCAAGATTCTCCAAAATAAATCTTCCCATAGGATACTGCTGTGAAATCCCTTGCAGGCGCAGTGTATTGGGATTCGTCGAGGCTTTGTTTGCGTCTCGAATGGTGCCGATCAAGGTGAATTGCGGATAGGATGAGAGAATCTGCTGCACAGTTTCAATCGCCACGGATCCCGATGCACCGGTGATGATTATGGTCCCTTCCATTTTCTTTATTGTTTAGAGAGGTTTTTTTTAGAGAGAAAAATGACCATACCAGCTGGTTTCCAATTTATTTAAGTGCTGGGGGCTTTTAGAGATTTGCCGAGCATTTTGCTTCAGCTGAGGAACAAGCCGAGATTGCTAGGTACAAGCCGTTTGCCGAAACTACCAGTGAATACATTGACCAATGATATTTCAAAGGACGAATTTCCCCCCCAATCTATCAACCAGGCTTACAGCCAAAGCGCTTTCACAGTAGTCGATACTGTATACTGAGTTATAGAAAATAGTCAGTCAGCACCCGAGCTCGAGCTGCCTCCATCGTGTTTCTTTTCCTTCGGATCGAATTCCGCTTGGAGTCAACATTATTGAGTTCCATTTCTAGTACAAATTTTCTCACATTATTACAGATTGTCTTCCGAGGTAGTGCTTCCAAGGTTGCTAATTCATGCGAGGTCCACGGTTCTTTGCAGAATATCCCCCCTTGGACCTTATGTATAGGTACAAATTTGGTTAACAACGTCGACCTCTGCGCCCGCCTCCCGGACCAAAGCCTGATCGACGACCTCCTCCGAACCCCGGACCCGGACCGTAACCATAACCACCAGGTGGTCCACCCCATCCACCACCGTATCCATATCCACCTCCCATTCCCATTCCTCTGTGGTGCCGTCGGGGAGGTGGGCCGAAGCCCCCCATCATCATTGGTGGGTGGCGATGGTGACGTGGGAACGACATGCAAAGACCCATTGTGCTAAGCCGTGGTTTATTTCGAAGTGTAGGTAATATAGGCGCCTGAACAGGTCACAGTGGAGGTAGTGTATGTGGTTGAGGTCTTCGATAAATGCCAAGAAATATTGTAGGTAATTTAGGTAATTGATGTATGTGATTCAAGTATCTGGATCGTCCGATAATGTGTTGGAACTCCAGTAGTCTGAAAGGGCTTCTTTTTTCCAACAGGACGTGCTTGCCAGACCGTTTAAATAGATTTGGGAAAGAAACAGGTACGTATATGATGAATCGGGTGGTGTGCGTCATTGACCGGGTTGGTTCCACTGGATGAACACTGCTGGGCGGAAGGGGATGATTTCTCCGAATGCCTTACCACACCACTCTGGTACTCAGCCAATTGGAATCTTGTTTTCAAAAGAAGTCTTGTTTATCATGAGGGGTCATCGAAGATATGATTGTGATATCAGACTGTGCTCTTTATGGCAGCATTGAAGTTTTCACTTTCGCGGAGTAGAAATGGACCAAATGGTCTAATAGTGGTATTTGAAGTCCACTGCTCCGTCACCGGTGTGAATTCGCCGATGGTCTTCCTTCTCCCCACTCTCAATCTGCTGCTTCAACTTGTTCTGGTGTCGAAGATAGAGCCCGTGGCAAACAACAACTACCTGAGAAACCACGATCGACCCCAACGAAAACGAATTCCCAAGAACATATGGAGATGAACGATAAACTTGGCCAGCAACGATACCTGCGCAGTTTCCGATAGTCTGTTGCAGACCAATTGCCAGCGCACGTCTGTACTGCGGCGCGACATTCACATTGAGCCAGGCGAGGTTCAAACCAACAGCGGTATAGGTCGGGATGCCGATCAGGAAACACGCAAAGTATTTCACAGCCTTATTACTGACGCCAAGAAGCAAGGCATAGCCGATAATTCCCATGATGTTCACAGCAAAAATGAACTATCTCGTCGTTAGCCACAGTGGTCTCCACTTAGGACATGGCAGGGTAGGCCTTACCGAAGCAAACTTTGAATATCGATCGGCACAAACCGCTATCGAGATGAAGATAATAGCAGCCCAGATATAGACTGGCACGGTCAGAACGTTGCTCATGAGAGAATCATGGCCCATGCTTTCAAGAATGGTTGGCAGGAAGGTACTGAATCCGTAGAGGAGAATATCCTGGCAAAACTGGACGATCGCAGAGAAAAGAAGTTTCGGATCGGTAATGGCAATGCGCATCTCCTCCCAGCTGAACTCCTCGCTGCCCATGTACTTTCGACGTTGCTCGTTGCGGACACGCATCATCCAGCGTTCCTCCTCGGTGAGGAAATATGCCTCTTCTGGATTGTTCGGTAAACCGAACCAAATGATGATGGCAATAATAAAACTGAATAAACCCTCAATGATGTACACCCATCTTCAATCGCGAGACAGCAAGTTAGTATATTAGGTACAGTTTGCCATAAGTGGGAAGTCTTAATGGATACATACCTCCACCCAGCCTTGCCGCCTATGCCATCCATCTGCAGTAATGCATATGCCAATAGACCTCCAACGGCCCCAGAGATAGCCGCACAGCTCATCAGGTACGAGACACGCTTGGCCTGTTCCTCGCGTCGATACACCATTGTGAGGTAAAGGTTCAAGCAGGGAAACAAGCCAGCTTCACAAGCACCGAGAATGAGTCTTGTAGCATATAGCGAGCCGACGCTCTCAATAAAGCCCGTGAAAACGGTGGTAAGGGACCACACGATACAAAGGCCGGATAAAATATTCCGGGGTGTTAGCTTCTTCATGAGAACCGCCCATGGAGACTCGAATATGACATATGTGGCGTAAAAGATTGACACGGCCGTTGAAAACTCGCTGTCTGAGGCGTGAATGTCTGCAGGCATACCCGCGACTTTGACGTTTCCTAAACAAATGGGTCAGTTTTAACGCAACGAATTTCGAAAGAAGGGAAAACAATTCAGAATTTATGTACCGATATTAGATCGATCCAGAAAGCAGGACAAGTACGTGAGCATGATAATGGGTACGAAAAATAGATCCAGTTTTACTAGCAACTTTTTCTCCATCCTCGGGTCGAGCACTACGTCCAGTGACTCTCCATTTGATGGTTCGTCAATGCCCTTCAGCTCGTGGTCAGTCTTCTCCGGAGAAGACCGTTTCTGGTCTTCCAATGCAGGTGTTTGGTTATCATGGTTATGTGAGGACATGATGGCGATGCTCATTAGCCAAGCTCCATATGCAGGCCTCGATGTTGAGAGGTATGTAGTCCAGGTGGTGGGTGCAGATTGAAAACAAGAGACGTCAGGCCAGGGATATATTCTGACTGATTGGTAAGGGCAATAATGTTGGAAACATCAACTGATGCAGAGCATGGAATAAGTCTTAGCATGCGAGATAGCACATGCATTGCAGAATGTATCTAAACTGCTTATCTCTTGTCTCCATATGAAGGATGAAGCTCCACCGAGAGGGGAAGTCGGGCCGATCAAAGTGAGATAACGGAAAGCGGGAAACTTGAATGCGAGCTTCGCCACTTACGACGCAGGCTTCGATCCTCCTCCTTTCTGCCTCCGTTGCACATCCCTGCTCAATTAGGCAGGCCAATCTCTCGGCCATGTTGATTGGTGTGGCTGAATCTTTGTTTGGTGCGGAGTAAGCCCGAGCTTCCCCAGACCGTCGGGGAGTGGATCCCGATGATAAGAGAGATAAGTTGGTACAAGCCTACAAGCACTTGAGGTGCGCTCGGCCGTTCAGCCAAGATATACAGCGAGGCCATAACAGAAGCTACTGGTATGTATCGCGCAACCAACGCCCCGTTTGATAACCTTTCTCCCGATTTTTTTCAATTTGAAAAGTCATTTCTACTGAATTTCCCCTAGGAACAATCACCATGGGCAGCATTGCGACACCATCACTCGAGGCACGTCTACAATGTCGACAAAACATCCTTACAAACACATCCGGTATCGCTCCGGGCTATCTGCAAGCCAACCTGCTAGTTCTACCAGCCAAGTATGCAGTGGATTTCCACAATCTATGCCTACGCAATCCAGTCGCATGTCCACTATTAGGAAAAACCTCCAAACCAGGCAACCCCCACAGTATCCAACCATCAGCCTGCATCAAGTCATCCGATTTCGACGTTCGAACCGATTTTCCAAGATACAGGGTATACAAAGACGGCAAGTGTCTCGAAGGTAATCGCTGCGATGTTACCGATCTGTGGACACAGGACCACGTCGCCTTCTTGGTCGGATGCTCGTTCTCTTTCGAAGATGCCTTGGTCGCTGCGGGACTGCCTCCCCGACACCAGAAGATTGGCTCTGTCGTCGCGATGTATAGATCCAATATTCCGCTGCTGCCTTCCGGTGTCTTTACAGGGGGCCGGTGTATTGTCTCTATGCGACCGTATCTTCCGGAGCAGATTGAGCGCGTTCGGGAGGTTACGCGTCCGTTTCTTGCGACTCATGGGGAACCTGTTGGTTGGGGGTGGGATGGTGCTAAGGACCTTGGGATTGTTGATATTGGTAGCCCGGACTTTGGAGAGCCGCAAGTATTTGAGGAAGGCGAGGTACCAGTATTTTGGGTAAGTGGGATACAGAATACTAGACTTACTCTTTGTTTACGAGTCATTTGGCTTATTTACATTAGGCCTGTGGTGTGACGCCTCAGATGGCAGTGGAAGCTGCGGGAGATCAGATCGAGGGACTTGTTTTTGCCCATGAGCCTGGTCATATGTTGGTGACTGACTGGACGGTTGATGATCTGCCAAAGGTCCAGTCTACTGGAACCTGCTCTTCATGTGCATAGTCTACTAACATCCTACTAGGTCCATATCAATCATAATTATCTAACATTTGAGAGAGAAAAGACTTTGAAATCCCTTTCTCCAATGAAACACATCGTAGTTGGATAATGATAATCATGAATCGTGATGGTGATGGTGATGGTGATATCACTTCTTTAAACTGAGAAGTATGGATAAAGTCCCAACACTTGAGGCCTAGAAGCAATCCCGCATAACACTAGACAGCTCCCCTCCATAATCAAACATGAATGCTCCATTTGGCATCTGCTGCCAAGGCCCTTCCTCTGGGATGGGTCCAGTCCCTACACCCATAATTTGATCCTCAACGTTTCCGACCGCTTCAAACCACTCCATAAGCTCCTGCGTCATTTGCGCTCCATCTAGGGGTGTCTGGCTATTGATTCTGGAGGTGAGTAGCGGGTCTGGGGATTTCTCAGAATCCAGGATCCCAGAAACATGGTTCTTGCCAACAGCATGTTCATCTGACCGGGCTCTTTGCCCTCCCAGTCCCAATTGGGGTCCAAGCTTGCGAAGACTGCGGATGGACTTCCACAACCTTCGTGAGATGTAAGATTGGGTTGAAAATCCCTTGACCAGTTCTAGTGCGAAATAGAACTCCTCCTTGCAAGACCCACTGAATTGAGTTGGGGCTTGCGAAACAGCAAGGAATATGACAGCAAGTGCAGAAACCAAGAACCAATTGAATGTTACCTGCTGCAACTGGTAGATATCTGATGTTTCATTCAGACGTGTGATAAAACGAATGGTGTCTTTGGCGATATTGACAACAGTCTCCGACTCGCTGGGATATCGTACTATATGTCCAGCCGTGTGAAGTACCGGGCGATGAATAAGCATCCTTAGTTGGTTGGCGCGGAGATACAACAATGCGCGGAGTCGTCGTAGACTCCGTGGGCCTTCAACGGCGGGTCCCGATTCTGGGGTGCTGGGATGATCCAGTCGTAGCGAATGCGGAATATTCTGTGCCCAGCTAAGCACTTGCCAATCCAAGTAATTCATTTCCTCTTTCTTGATCTCGTTCGTATTGTTAAATGCTGATATGAACTTCCACACCTTGGCGGCGATGCGACTGTAGCGGATCATCACCCGCAGGTAAGGTGTTTCTCTTCGGGCTCTGGGAGCCAGGGATCGATGTCGGTGTCTTCGAGGGCAAATGGCATGCCTGTCCCGAAGCTCCATCGCATATCAAGAATATATATAGACCAAAAAAGCCGGAGCACGCGGTCTTTTCCCTCAGCCTCAATGGCCGGTTGACTTAATGTCTCTCGGCGGTGAAGGCCTCTCTCTAGACACATACGCTCGACGATTCCGATAGTACGCCAGGCCAAAATCTCTTCATCTTCCTGAAAGTAGAATATGGACTGTGGAGAACGTCAGTGGAAGAAATATCTCCTTTTTGATTTTGTTTCTGCACGTACCACCAGTGTCAAAAATATGATGTTCTTAATTTTGGGGGGACCCCAAACGCAATTGTCTTGTACTTCACGTACACTATCAAACAGAGCAGTGGCTTGTTCGCTATGGCCACTAGCTTCGGCAGTCAAAGCACATGCTAAAACCAAGCGGAGGATGGAGACGTCCTCCCGATCTAAGGCTTTCCGTCCATCGATCGATGTCCCTCGGTACATGTTGCCATCCATCAACCCTCCATAGAGTTGGCTCACTTGATCCAAAAGCTCCGACAACTCCAGAACAGGGTACATTACGCCCATTTCCTCTTCATAGACCTCGCAAAGTCTTAATGCTTCTTCCTTTGAAAGTGTCCAAAGAGGGTCCACGGCCTGTTGAACTTCCAGTTGACGATTCGGTGCTGATGGCGAGGCCAAAGGTGACGGTTCCTGAGTAACATCTCCACCGTCGCCTGCTTCGTTACGCTCGACGATTCCCCGTTGCTGTAGACTTGACTTGGCAAGATCGAAACTAAATGCCGAAGTAGTAGGGCCTTGGAATGCCGTCTCCCGAACAGCAGATACCCGTCGCAAGGATCGTTGAGACGGCACAGGTGCGTACGACCCCGGTGCCGGTCCCATCACACTGGGCCGAGACCCAGTGAGAGGGGATGCGTCGCTATGCGTCACTGAGCGAACGGCTGCAGATAGCGAGGTGATCTGATCCTGCATGGACCGCATTTGATCAAATAGTCGATCGAAGTTTCTATATTGAAGCTATCAGTATCTGATCGAAGTTCGATCATTCGAATTATATTCTTTGCATTTTGATTTAGGTCGGTGGCGTACTCCTGATCCCCGAGGCTTTCTTGAGGTGCGTTTTCCACGTAGACACATTCAATGTGCTGTCGGCCACAGCGATGACACGGTGTCTCGCCATTGCATTTGATTTTGCGACGCTTGCACTCATTACTTTCAGTTGGAGCTTAAAATTATTATTATTTCGTGGGTGCGGTAACTAGCAGAATGACATACCAAGCTCGTGCGATGTACTTGCGGCGTTTTTTCCGCGGTCGGAACTCCTGTCCATCGTCTATTGACACAGGTTTTTCCCAATCGTGCATGGGATCCTGCATAGATTCCTGCAGGGACTCCATTTTGGCAATCTTAGGAAATCAGTGAGATTCCCCAGACACTTTTCCCTTTAGGCGCTTGGGGTCGGAGAGTGAAGAGAGAGAAAGTGCGGGGGTTGGTTCCGCGGGCAAGAACAAGGGGCGCGGCCCCGGATTTAAGTGGGGTTTTCACCGCCAAATGGAATCTTTGATTTTGGTCATTGGATTAGTAGTACTGGACTACTAGCAAGTAGTAGAATGCACTTGGCATGCTTGATTTTTTTTAATTTTTGATCTAGAAATCAGATATCTGCTTACTAGTACGATGGATTCTTTTCTCTCTTAAAACGCCGTGACTTGTCATGCTCCAATCATCTTCTGTTCAATGTTCTTCAATAGACCTGATCAAGCAGTCCCGCTGTTTCTCATTGGACTGGTTGTTTAATGCCAGTATGCACACATACGTCATTTTGATAATATAGGAGGTTGAGAAAAGTCAAGGTCAATTGAATTGAATCCTAGTAGTATGTAAATTTTCAAAATCATCTAGCGCGAAAGATCAAGTTTAAAATGAAAACTGGCACCCATTTCTCGAGTACCCTCTACCACAACCGACCATCTGTGAATTACTAGCTATATACACCGAATCACATTCATTATAGACATCCAAACGAAAGATGCAAAATGCTCGTGCGTAAATCGTGGAAGAATCAAACCAAGAGACTAAAGATCTTTGGTCCGCCCATCGCTTTCGGCAATCCACTTCTCCAATAGTTTGGGGTCGCGGGCAACAAATCCAACCTTGAACGGCTTAGGCTCCGTAGTCAAAGCTGTAGCAATTGAATTGCAGTCAATGCAATCCAAAATAGGCCGATCGCTCATTTCCTTCGATGGCTTCATTTCAAAGGCAGTAATCAAGCGAATGAAAGCCGTGAAAAGTTCTCTGTTTGCCAGATGTGAGCCAGCACACATCCTGGAGCCCGCTCCGTATCCATAGTGGGGAGTGCCAGATCCTTCGTTGAGCTCAAGATAACGCTCAGGAATAAATTTGTCGGCCTCCTTGAAGTGATCCTCGTCGTAGTCGGCAGCGTAGGCATTCTATATATTAAATTAGTAAAAACTAATCGAGAGAAAGATTTTCGACGGACGCGTACCATGAAGAATGTTGTGCCCGCGGGAATTGTTGCACCGTTCCACACGATATCCTTGGTTGACTCTCGTGGCAGACAGATGGGAATGACTGTCCAGAATCGCAAGATTTCCTTGACTAAAGCTGTGACATATGGTACCTTCTCTTCGACCAGGCATTTCTCCCAGGCATCACCGTCAGGATACACGCTCATGATCTCGTCGTATGCCTTCTTCTGGATTCGTTGTCCGTCTTCCGATGCCAAGTATGCGATACCCATGATCAGATTTCCGGGAACCGTGTCTAGTCCCGCGGACACCATGGTCAGACAGATCGATTTCACCTCAGCTGCAATAAATGTTAGTTTGTAGTTACATCTCAAATTTGGGTGATGTTTCTTTCTCGGGGAAAACATATACACACCATCGTTCAACTTTGCCTCAGGATCCTTGATAATGTTACCAGTAATGCAAGGCTTATCCGTTCCCTTGGCAATGCGATCTTTCAGCATGTCAAGCAGGTATGTCAAGTATTTGTCGCGACGAACACGGAACTCCTCAGCCTCGGTGTTCATCTTGGGGAAAATACGCAGCAGCGGGATATAGTCTTGCCAGTTGTTCGAAGTACTCCGGAAGTTGGAAACGCCACGCTCAACATCCACAATCTCGCGAAGAAGTTCGTCATCCACGTTGCCCTCGATACGGAGTCCATAGTTAAGTGTCAAACTGGTGTTGAGGGCAAATCGCTGGAAGTATGCGGTGGGGTTGATGTCACAAGTACCATTCTTACTATCCCGGTAGAGCTCCTTGATACTGGTGTTGGCCTCGAGATCAATGATGGGCATATAAGATTGCACGGCAGGTCGGTTAAGTGCAGTGGCAGCTGCCTTGCGACGCTGTTTGCAGGACTCATCCCAAGGCGATGTACCGATGGTAAATCCCTGGGAACTGGAGACGACGCTGTGGAAGGTGTGAAAGGTAGGTCGGGAGATGAGAGCAGATTGATCTTTGATCCAAAGCTGGCGCACCGAATCGAAGCTGTTGGCAAATACAATTCGCTGCAAGAGAATTTTAGTTTGAAAGTTTATTTTTTATTCAATACAAGTATTCGAATCCTACCTTGTTTCCCATGCGAACTTGGAAGACCGGGCCAAACTTTTTCGCCCACTTGGCTGCTACGGTCGCATGTTGATCACCCAGCTGAAGTAGGTTGCCAAAGAGGGGCACACCAGGAATTTCGGGGAGCCCCTTGATCTTGGGGGTATCAGTACGGTTGAAATAGCGGATGATGAAGTATACCGCCGTTACCACGGCGATGGCGACTGTTTGAAGTGTCATGATGATTTGCGGTCCTCAAAAAGTTGAAGTTTGTGTGAAAACTCGAGTTGGACGGGGACGTGCATCTCTTATAGCGAGCCTTGCGTGTTCTTAGGGCGGTACTTTGCCGACTACTGACGCAGGGGTGGACCATTGGTGAAGATTAACGTCCGGTTATAGGGTGGTAGAGCAAGTCAAGGGCAAGCAAAGAGCCAGTGAGAGTGGTTGGAATCCGCATTAGTACCCACTGGCCAGATTTAGAGCCGACTCGGGATTGGGGAATGTTCATTCCGCGATGTCCTAAGCCTAGATGGTGGACTGGGGCGGCTGTTCCCCACAATCCTGTAAACCGATTTAGCGCGTCATAAATCCGAAGCTCAAGCCTCAACAGTTGTATTATGTATATGCGTATACTTTTCGTTGACAACCAACATCAACGGCGTCAGATTCCATTTTCAATCAAGTGCACCGTTTCTGACAGTTCCCCTGCCACTTTACCACTTCTTACCATTGTGATAGGTAAACAAGAAACGAACAAAAAAAAAAAAAAAAAAGGGTAGATGACGGACTTTCCGTATTTCATTCCTCGGGTGGAATAAGTGACTCCACTTGGACGCGGGGATGACGGCCCGAGTGGTTGCCGCGCTGGTCATTCCGCCAATTTCCGTGACAGTTCTGACTCCTGAGTTGAGGCTACGACTTACCGAGTTCTATATGCCAACTTCATTAAGACTGGTGAGAGAAATCCACTTGGACAGTTCCTCAATTCAACTATTGGACTCTAGAGTTTCACAATTCCATAGCTTACGAAGAATGCAACCCATCAGTGATTCAATATGATGTTCCATCCAAGATACATGAATTATGCAAACATGTCAAACAATCGCCTGCGAAAGATCCTAGTCCATCTCGAGTGTACAATTGTTTCTTCATTCACAGAAGCCATGCCCACATATCGATTAATCTCCTTTGCATCTACAGCCACATCCTCCGCAATCCCACGTCGACGCTTCCAATTGCGCTCAGTATTGGTCACATAACCCTCCCGCCAGAGACGCCCATAGAATTTTTGGGCCTCGGCCTTGGTGCGCACTCGCAAGATATCATATGTGCTTATGCTGGTGAGTGTCGCGTCGCGTTCACGCGTCATTTGGCCATTCACGACGCGTACATTAACACCGGTCGCTCGAAATCGGTCACCCCACATCCCATCTTCTGCTGGCGTTACACAAATTGTGATTCGGGTTGGTGGCACAGGGTATGCCAGCAAATAGGAGAGGGCATCTGCGTCGACTCCGGTGGGTATGGGGCCAATAACAAAGTTGTCGCCGCGCTGGACTGCATCATTGATGCGCGGGATATAGTGCTTGAAGTATTCCTCCTGTGGCCCACTGTCGATGGGACCAGAAATGAATGCAACCTCTTGATTTTCCATGGTATGGCTTAACAGGAATTTTGGAGGTCCTTTTACATAGCCTTATCGAGAAAAACCGCCAATCGACATAACCGGGCTTGTCTCCGCCCAGAGATCAGCTCGGCAGAAATTGACACAGAGAGCAGGCCGGACCACCTCTTTTCAATTTCGGTACCACCTGCATAAAAGATACATAAAAGATAAATAAACATTTGAAAGATACATGATGTATCTTTTTTTTAAGTCTATCAATATATGCATGTTGGCATTCTTACAAATATTGAAATTAGTATTATTGAGTAGTACTTAATATGTGTCGATGTGCTCCAGATGTCTACATAGTGATAACATCAGTAGGAAATTTTGAAAACTTTTCAATGTTCAGTAACATTAATTGAATGTTTCAATTGATTGATGTTCACATAGTGTCCAATGTTAGTAGTGACTGATTCATTTGAAATGTTGAATTTAAATCGTACATGTAGAAGTTCGAATTTTAAATTGACACTTTGGAATGCTAAAATATTGAATGTTTGATTTAATGTTTGAAACGAACTTGCTCTTATTTATTCAATGTTTGACAGTTGACACATCTGGATTATTAAAGAAGAAATATTTGAACAAAGTGCGGAATAAAACAATCAATTTGTTTAACATTTGAAAATAGTCGCTTATCATCTGCGAGTGGTCATGATATATTGATGCAGATTCTCAACCGCGGCCAAGGCACTTGCAGTTTGCGCTCGCCTTGTTGCGGCTCCAATATGAGGCGTACTCACAACATTCAAATTCTCCCACAGCTGTCCATACTTCTCCACACTTGGTGGCTCCTGCTCATGACAGTCCAGTCCCGCCCCCCATAGATGGCCATCGGCAAGGGCCTTGGTAAGGTCAGCTTCGTTGACGATGCCACCCCGGGCGGCATTGATTAAGATCGAATTCGGCTTCATTGAAAGAATCTCCTTGTATCCAATCAGGTCGCGGGTTTCACTCGTTAAAGGAATATGAAGGGAGAGGACGTCGGCTCTTTTGATGACATCTTGAATATCATGGACTCTCGTGTGCTGGATAGAGGGCCATGCATTTTCGGGCATGAAGACGTCGTAGGCGATGACTTCGGCATCAAAAGCTCCACGAAAGATCTCAGCCACAGTGCGACCAATGTTGCCCATGCCGATGATACCGAGAGTTTTCTTGTGAAGAGTCAAGCCATTGCAAGTCTCCTTTGGAACTGGTTTGGTCATTTGACGGGTGGTGATACATCGGATGTCTCGAGCGACTGTCATGGCCAGAGCCAAAACGAGCTCGGCAACATCGCGTGCATTCGCGCCGGGTGTGTTGCAAATTTTGATTCCACGCTTAAAACAAGCGTCTTGATCAATCTTGTCAATACCGACGCCGTGTTTGCCAATGGCGATCAAGTTAGGGCAGCTCGCCACATCATCTGCGGTGAGGTATGATCCTCTAATCAGAAGATATGAGGCATTTTGACGCCAATCAGAGAACCCCTTGTCTCCGGGTTGAATGACGTTAAAGAGAGTCTTCGCGTAGACTAGGGCCTCTTCATTCCAGGCATCAAGTATATAGACGGTGGGCTTCGACTGAGTGCCCATGTTGGATTGGGGTGAAACCCCATTATCGTTGATAACACTTGGTGCCATGATGTTTGGAGTCTTGAAATTGTAAAGGGAATTGAATGATCGAGGTGTAACAGGTGAAGCGGAGATTTAAATGTTCTGAGGTTACCGTGAAGTTGTGCCAACGTCTTCGATGTATCGGAAAATCGCCGTCGGGATCCGTCCGGTGGGTTTCCGGGGATATTGTCCCACCATCTAGGGATCCACAAATGATGGCGTTTTCAACTCAATTTATCAGCTATGAGATCCCGAATTCCATGTGAGATTACCGATGGAAGTTCATGGATAATTGGATCTGGCTTTGGATTGCCCGAAATGGCGTCAGAGAGAGCCCAAAGCACCCGGCGAAAGACCTTAAGCCCAACAAATCGATCCCCCACAGTTGTAAGCAAAGCTATACATTTACATACAATGCTCACATTGGTGAATGGTGGGGGGTATGTCCCAGTGACACAAATAATGATCGCACCTGCTGCGAAGATATCGTATGCCTCCACGGACCCTCCTGTGAAATCACCTCGGTCGGACCGCTGATACTCATATTCAATATACTCCGAACAGGTGGCCACAATATCCAACTCGAGACTCTGTACATTGTGGATTGTGCTGGGTTGGATTCTGGAGGAGCCGTTCCACTTCAAAATCTCGACCATCGCTCTACTTGACAGTTGGATAAAGACCCCTCGAGTAGAGCTGGATGCGCCGGGTTGTGACTTTGTCGCCCGGGCAAAGTCTCTCCAATAGCACAGATTACTATAGTGGAATAGTAGGCTATTTGGGGAGCCTTCCCGCATTGCAGATATAAGGCGAGCATGCGCGATAGCATGACGTGCCAACGTATTGTTCATATGGGGCGAGTCGTTGATGTATTCTTCAGGGCCCTATTTGATTGTTTCTAGTATCAGCATGATGAATAAGGCGCAGTGTAATCTCAGAGTGTATTTAAGAATCTACCTTTATGGTTATCTCGTCATCTTCGATGTTAAAGGGCCGATCCATAATTGTGCTTATCGTTCTAGGCATCCGTTAGCATTGTTCTCAGTGACTAGGCGAGAGTCAGATAGACAAACCGGTCAACAGTATAAAGACTCCAAAAAATATTGCGTCTCATAATGAGAGCACTCAAAGGTACATTTGTTGATGGATCTGGATCCCTGTGGAATCGAAAAGCAATTGCCTTTTTCATGGCCAGACCAACAAGATGCCAGGTTGAGCCGGCTTGTGGACTTTGCATTGAGTAAAGAATTAGAGAGAGCATGCAGTGCAATGTATGAATCCTGTTGCCAGCGGTCATGATTCCCGGGAGAAGAGCCGTGGCTTTTTGGTGAAGACCAGCCGCAAGTCCGTGAAGACCACCCGATTCCTGTGAAAGCAAGGCACCGGTGGCCACAGAAACGTAAACGACGAATGCCTTAGGAGCGGGAATCGGAAGGTCGTCGTCAACCGTAACATCGGAGTCCCTGAAAATAGTATCAAAATCCGCGCACAAGCTCTTTGAGTCGATATGAATGAACTGGGATCCGATGGTTTCCAAGAAACTGGTTAAAAAGGGTAAAGCCTGTTGTCTGCGGAGATGGAGCGCTGGGTTATTGGTCCAAGTATTTATCTGGCTGTGTGGATTGAAGGTTGATTCTGACGGTGTGGCACCCGACAGCGCCAATGCAGCTCGAATCATGCGTCCGATTCCCAGTTCTTCTGAGAAACCACCCGTTTCGTCACGTGGTTCTGCCATTGCACTGCGCGACAAAAAGCCGATTTCCCCCATCGCAGCCTGGACCGTACATTCCGTGGCATCTTGTCCAAGGAGTGCGGCCTCATGCTGATATCCCTGCCTGTGGTGTGATGCAGGACGAGATCTTGGTGGGCGTTCAGTGGGGGCATTACGGGGACGCGATGATCGCTGCCGCTGGATTTGATCATTCAAGTCGTCCCGTTTCCTTTTCAAGGTACTGACATAGCTAATGATTTTTTTAGATAGAAATTCGTCAAGGAATTACATTATGGGGCAGTACTACTAAACTCACCTGGGGATGGCGGCATGGGACAAGTTTGTTGCCCCACCCTTGTTGATTGGCTCGATGGTGAATCTTCGGGGGATGCACGATGCATTGACTTCTTTACATGCTGTACAGGCAGGTAGAATCCTATCGCACTATTTCCGAAAGGTAAGATGGTTTTATGAAACCAAAGGGGGGAGGTATTGAGGAAGGCACGACGGACCTTTTGCTTGCGTTTCCAGCACCTCTCACAGGCCTGTCCACGATGTTTCGAAGGGCTCTGTTCGCCCGATTGATTTCCCAATTCATCTGCATGATTCTGCTCCATGCGGTGAGGCACGCGATCCATGACGCTACTGCCTGTGGCCTGTGAAGGGGTTGCAGACGAGAAGTCGAGATTGCCGAAATTGTCGGAAGATTTCCGTCCACCCCACTACCCCGTATCCGTCATAATGGGCGTTCTCAACATTTTGCGGGGGGCCGCAGGAGATCTCGGTTTCTTTCCGAGCACAAAATATCTCCATAGGGATAATAACCACAAAGGCGGAGGATATGGTCACATACTATTAGTACTTACAAGTACAAGGTCATCAAAAGAATGATCCTGAAAAACATAGTGTGTGTTTTATGGTTTTTTTTTTTTTTTTTTTGGACAACCATGGCAATGCAGCCCCATCTGGAGTCTTTGGAGGGAATGTGGGACACCCACATTCATTGTTTCGATTCAAATTTGTTCCCATTTAAATCTACACGCACATACACACCCGCTCCAGCGCCCCTGGAATTATTGGTCAAGCAAAGCCAATCATCTCGACTTGTTCTAGTTCAAGCTTCTGTTGAGGATGGACCTACCGGATTACTGGCCCATCTTGCTCGCATTCGATCCGAGTACCCCAACTTACTCGCCCGGGGTATCCTGTGTCTGGATGACAATTGGAGCCAATATAGCCAGGAGGATTTCATCGCCTTTCACGATCTAGGTGTGCGGTATTGTCGCATCCATGGGTTCTTTGGTAATGGCAAAGCCGATACTGCTAGTCTGAAGGAACGCATTCGCCTATTCGCCAAGACATATGCCGCCAAACAATTGGGCTGGGGACTTTCAGCACAACTACCTCTGGCGATCTGGGCTACCTTGAAAGATTTTCTCCTTCATGACCCAGAAGTGTCTAGTCTGTCGATCATTGCCGACCATGTTGGCTGCGCGACACCTGCTGATATTGGAAGCTCCAATCTCGATCAATTTGTGCAGTTGCTCCGTGCTGGCAGACTCCATGTGAAAATATCTGCTCTATATCGTAGGGCTGAAGAGAATATTTCTGCTATGAAACCGATCATTGAACGCTTTGCAAACAGCGCACCCTCGGCTCTGATATGGGGCAGTGATTGGCCTCATGTGGATTCCAGTGGCACCACTCTAGATCCCAAGAGCCGAATGATCCCCAAAGTGGCAGATCCTATCACAGAGCTTGCACTTCTGCAAAATTGGTTAACAGCTGATCAATTCCGAACAATGCTGGTTGAAACTCCCGGGCGCCTGTTTGGACCTTAGATTAAAAGTCTACTACTAGAGGCAATCAGATTGAGAATAGTAATGGACACATAATAATCAATTGATAGACTTTTCCTTCTCCGGTATTATTCCTGGCACGTACGGGGTACGGAGGTTGAATTTCGGCATTTTTCCGATCGGCCAAGATTTCCAGGACCCTTTGTGCGGGGCAAAATAAACTGATCCTTTGTCCGGGGAAAAGTGTGCCCAGGTGATTTCACTCCATACCTTATGGACTCGGAAGGCCATATTTTCCATAAATAACGGACGTTGTTGCTCAATATGCATCAGACTAAACGCACAACTACTTCTTTTTCAATTCTGCTTTTCTGAGGCCCGGAATGTCGACATCAACTTCTCCTCCTCCACCCACGTCATCTACAGGTCGAAATGAAGCCTCAACGAAACCTCAAAAGGATTCTTGGATAGAAGATGCCCAGGCAGTTGATGCATCTGATATTGTTGCCATCTATCGCTCTTATGATCCTGAGTTTCGAGCAACTACCGAACGCCAACTACTGCGTAAGATTGACACGCGCATTCTCCCACTCATTGTCTTGATTTATCTCTTCAACTATCTGGATCGAAACTCAATCACCCAAGCCCGTCTCTATGGGCTAGAGGAAGATACCGGTCTTCAGGGAGCTGAATACCAAACTGCAATCTCCATCTTCTCAGCTGGATATATTTTGATGCAATTACCGGCCACGGTTATGATGACAAAGTTTCGTCCTTCCATCTATCTGGTAAGAAAACCGAAGAAAACCGTGAGGCGAAATGGCTCAATAATTAATTTAATTCTTGTCCTAGCCAACATGTATTATTATGTGGGCTGTCGTTAGTGCATGCACGGCCGCCACGTTCAACACTCCCGGTATCCTCATGGTCCGCTTCTTTCTGGGCTTTATTGAAGCACCTTTCTTCCCCGGTGCGGTATACTTCCTCAGCTGCTGGTATACCAAACGTGAGATAGGTGTCAGAATGGCTCTTCTGATTTGTGGTATTTTGCTTTCCAACGCTTTTGCCGGTCTCATTTCGGCAGGCATCCTGTCAGGGATGCAAGGAGTCGCTGGATTGGCCGCTTGGAGGTGGCTCTTTATTCTGGAAGGTCTTGCTACACTCCTTCTTGGCGTCGTTGCTCTATTTGTTCTTCCAGATTTTCCTGGGACGACTAAATGGCTTAGCGAGACCGAGAAGATTGTGGCCCAGGCTCGGCTCGCTGTTGATGCCGGACATGCTACTCTGCTTGACGCCGAAGAAGTTTCTATTATGAAGGGCCTCGTGTGGGCAGTGAAAGACATCCGTACCTGGATTTTTGCCTGCATGCAAATGTCCACAACGGCCTCGATCTCCTACTCCCACTTCTTTCCCACTTTGATCCAACAGCTTGGCTTCCAGAGCAATACTATTGTTCTCTTGCTTACCTCCCCGCCATATTTCGTGGCGTTTATCTGGGCTCTATCATGGGCGTGGCTGGCAGACCGGAAGCAGATCCGATCCATCCCCTCGGGAATCTCTCAACTGACTGCTATAGTTGGAACCATCCTTCTGATTGCGGTGACCGATCAGCTATGGGCTCGGTATGTCTTCACAATCATTGTGTGTTGTGGTACATTTGGTGTCTACTCTACAACATACGCCTGGTTGTCCTCAACTCTGACACAGCCACCGATCAAGCGTGCCGTCGCTATTGGGTTGGCAAACACATGTGCAAATTGTGCCTCCTTGTTTGCAAATTACTTCTGGCTGGACAAGTACGAGCCTGAATATCGAGAGTCGTGGGGCTGCTTGTTGGGTTTCCAGGCACTGGGCATGGCCTGCATCCTCTTCCTTCGGATTAAACTCCAGCGCGCCAATAAAAGATTTGAGCAGCTGAGTATCGAGTCGGACTTGAATGATTTGAGCGTCATGGAGCTCTTGAATGAAGATGAGCGGAATGCTGTGCAGAACAACTTCAGATACGTTGTTTAGGATTTAAAGAACGGGGGGGTAATCGGTATCTCAGAGTAGTATTTGTCGCGTCCTGTCTTGATTTTATCATATATTCAATGTTACTCACAATTGATTGCTGGATCTACTCCATGTAATTCCGACTCAAAGTATATACTGTGGTTTCAAAGAGTTGATTTCTATTTTTTGGGACCCCAGTATCGGTCTGCACGAATCCCTTCGATAGCTTTACTTCGTTCAGCTATGAAATAAAAGGCCAAATTCAATGTTGGAAGGAGAATCGACATTGTTCGTTTTAAATTACGTGTAATTCGGAGTAACGTCTGTGCCGCGCCGAATTGCCGGCAAATGCTAAAACGGCTCAGCTCGCATGGGGAAGTGGGGGTAAATGGGTAAATTGACCCCCTTCCCCGGAATTTCTCCGATTTCACATTCCACATTCCAGGTAAACTACCTGCTACCGATATCCAGAATATGGAGACAAATGAAATCGAACCGAGTGACTCGCAGTCAACTGAAGGTGCCGTCACACAGCTTCCACGCTTACCTGCATGTCGTCTTTGCCATGCAAGAAAAATCAAGGTATATCATTAACATCTGCGCAATCGAAAAATCATTCCTAATACGATGACTAGTGTGATAATCTTCGGCCAAAATGCAGCCTATGTATCAAGCACGGGGAGCAATGCATGACCTTGGTTGTTGATGACAGCGAGTCAGTCACTCGCCAGTATGCAATTTGTCACTTACCCCGGTTAGAGGTCTGATCACCATTACTAACCCAAGTCTTTTGGATTGCCAGCTTTATCGGAGATCTTGAGCAGGAAGTCAAGTTGCTTGAGATAAAACTAGCCTCGGCCGGGGCAGATGATCACGTATCCAGGGAATCCCCTGCTCCCGCAGGCCTTTCAAACTCGCAGGACCGCCGTGAGCATTTGCCTAACTTCATTGAGGGCGGAGGGATAAGGTGTGGAATTACCTCTCTCTTACCCCAGTTCTCTAATTTTCTTTTTCTAAAAAAAAATCAGTTTTATGAGACACCTGTTTGCAGACTCAGAATGGCGTCGACATGATCCAAACCTACTTCAGAATTTATCCAAAGACTCAGGACCAAACGAAGCTGGCATAAAGCCAGCGCTTTTGCCCCCGGCGCATGAAGGCAAAGTGATATTTGACAAGTAGTATGTTGGTAATCAAACAAATTGGTTGTGATATGCTTCAAATGTTTACGAGATGGTTGCTGATTGTACAAAAAAAAGCTTGAATGGATCTCAAATCCAGAATCCGTTCCTGCTTCGGCAGCAAGTGCATGGAATTTATAACGCGGTCTTTGACTCTGAGTCAACATCTGACGAGCAACAACCGCGCCCTTCCAAAAAGGACGAGAATCATGATTTATTCAAAGCTTACATGATCCTTGCTATCGGATCGGTTCTACCATACCGCAATGGAGAGGTTCAACAGCACCCCTATGGCTACTACCTATCAGCTTTGAAATACCTTGATGATAGCTTTCTTTCCAGAGGACTTTCCTCGATCCAAGATCTGTTGCTTGTTGGTCGTTTTGCGATTTACCATCATGTTGGTGAGATACATATATTCCCCCTCTTATATATCTATACGTTTGGCTGATCTCGAGGTATCACCAGGAACCTCTATCTGGGAGGTAACTAGGCTGGGAATGCGCATGTGTATAGAGCTTGGCTTCCATAGGGCTACTATCCCTAGCCATAGTATTGGGCTTTTGGAAGAACAACTCCAACGACGAGTCTTTTGGGAATGTTACATGATTGATCGATATAGCTCCATAACATTGATGCGACCATTTGCGATTGGGGACAAATATATCCAAATCGCATTTCCAATCGATGCCAACGATGAGGAAATCGAAGCCGCAAATGCCTCTGGTACTTTCATGGAACTAGACTCATTCGGTTCCACATGTTCCCTCACATCCCTTCCTAGACGAACAACTGAGATGTCTGTTTTCTTTGCTTGTCTTACCCTTCGACAAATCACCTCTCGCATCCACATTGAATTTGGCGATAAAGCAACCCGACAAGAAGTGCGCAATGATGCCATAGCCAGAGGAGTCATTTACTGCCAGTTGGACAAGCTACTTCAGGACTTGGAAAAATGGCGGTCTTCAACTCCAGTCTTTCCCAGTCCCCAAAATCTTTATCAGATGCCGGAATGGTATGACCTTCTTTGTCTCAGGGAGCGCTTGCTTTTGCTTAGGAAGGCGATTGATATCGTTCCGAAACCGGATAACGTCCCCCCGCGAGATCTCCTTTCTCTGTGTCTTGAGAGCGCATTTGGTGCGATCACATGCTTTTGTCGACTTTATGAGTTAAAGAAGATCACTTTCACTCGAAGCTACTTTCAAATGCTATTCACGGCAGGATTGTCCGTGATGTTTTGCCTGTCTGTTGTGAGAGACTTCGACAAAGTGACCGTTCGGAATGCCATCGATGCGATGGTTCTTGGCGAAAATGCCTTGAAAAGAATGAGCGAAGAACTTTCAGATGCGAAGCGATATGTTGCAGTCTACGAAGCGCTGCAACGATATGTCATTCGCAAATACAGCTCCCAGTTGGAACTTGGGCCCTTGCGGAATTCGCAACGCATATTGGAGGTCAACACTTCTCTGTTTCCACCCACTGCAGCAGGCAATATGCCTTATCCGATAACAGCATCTGGCGAAAAGCAAGATCAACCATTTTTGCATTCGTCTGTGTTATCAAACGGCCCACATTTACATTCTAACCTCCAAGGGCACTCCTCGTACCAGGCCCCATCATTCAGCCCCGAAGGAATGACGAGTTTGCTAGGGGACACGAACATGTCAGAAGGATCCATGCTATCCTGGGATATCTTTGAAGACAACGCATTATGGAATATGGAGGCTGGGCTTAATGAGTATGCCTACGGAGACCCTCCAGTGAATTTGTACTTGGGTGATTCATTTGATTTCCAGGGCATTTTTGAATAATTTTTATACTTAATCTAGTACATGAAAAATGATCAAATAAAAGGAACATGAAAAGAAAACGCATGAAAATGACAAGCCTCACAATTAACTCTATCTATACCTTCTGCTTTTGAACTCTCTGGTTGATTTCATCATAGTTGTGAACAATCTGCTTGAACGCCTTCTGCAAGATTGCTCCATCCTGGCCACTCAAAGACCAGGTCGCGCCCAAGGTGAACCATCGCTCCAAAAGGTCCAAGCGGCCTGCAATACCACCGACTCCAATAGGCTTGCCATACTTTTTTCCTGCATTGATGATCTTGATGACGGAGTCCAAATAAAGAGGATCATCATACTGGCCAGGGATTCCCAAATCCGTTGTCAGATCATTTGAGCCAATCAAGATTCCATCAACGCCGTCAATGGCAAGGATGTCCTCTGCCAGATCCACAGCACCAGGAGTCTCAATCATAGGAATAAGCATTGTCTGCGAGTTGAGTGCTTCATTCTGCTTCAGCGTGGGGATATGCTGAAAATTGAAGGCAGGCTGGTTGTTCGTGCAGCCCCGGGCACCGATAGGCGCGTACTTAGCATGGTGAACGATGTCGCGGACTTCTTGGACAGACTCGATGTGAGGAATGACAACTGCCGCAGCTCCAGCATCAAGTATGCGGCTAATGTGCCAGTGCGACTTCGAGGGAGAGCGGACCACGGGGGAGACACCGACGTAATTGCAGGCCAGAATAAGCTGTGAAACCTCGCGGAGGCTGAAAGCGCCGTGCTCCATGTCGATAAAGACTCCATGGAAGCCGGCCATTTTTGCCATCATAGCTACTTCGTTGCCGATGGCATACTTGATCGTCATGATTGGCGTGACTTGGCCATCGAGAATGCGAGTTCGAAAGGCATTCGGAACGGTAAGGATTTCTTCTCCGATTGAGCCCATCGTTGGTGGTGTAAAAATAATTGACTTGAAGATTTTAACTCAAAAAAAGGCAGTTGTCATGAGGGAGTGAGGAGTCTGGAGATTGAAATTGATTGAGATTGAGATTCACAGGATGAAGACATCTTCGTACTGTGTATTTATACCTCGATTCAAATGTTAGCATACTCAATTGAGGGTGACGGGAAATGTCCGCCAGGCACGGAAATTATCCGACCAATTTTCAAATGTTGGGGCTTAAACTCCTCCGCATTCAACAGCCCGCACTATTGATCCATAGTAGACTAGGCTTAATTCTGTCACGCCCGCCTTACTCGCACTATGCCCCTTTAGGTGGTTAGCCTTGAGTAACGTATTTGTGGCACCTAACTAAATTCCAATAGCGGTTAGATGAGACTCAAAGGTGGTACTTGCGCCAAATTTCGTCACACGATTCCCCCCAGTTGGTAGTTGAAAATTAAATGCAAATAGGACTGGTATAGTAGCTATTATTCCAAAGTACTGTCCCAAGTAGAGGTTAAGCACGTAGTTCTGATTCGTCTCTATCTACTAATTTGTAAATCATGACCAATCCGTGCCAAGAGATCCATGCCTAGTAAACCAGGCATCCAGGGGCTGTGTCAGACCGTCACCTTCCTTGCTTTTTTTCCAAAGAGCTTTTCACCAAGCTTCACGGGACGCGACTGTCATATGATATAGAAACAACTAATAACAAACTCAAAATGAGTCACGACTCTTTTCTTCCATTGTCGTCAACGCCTGACTCGCCCGGGTTCCTGTTACCCCGACGTCCAAGCTTAGAACCCGACAATGATATCTTCACCACCCGCGGTCAGCGACTCAGGATGTTCCTACCTAGTCGAAGCTCCAGCACAGCTTTACAAGATCTCGACGAAGAATCTGGACCCCCACCAGAATTTCTCCGGCGGGGCACGCTGCTTATTGGACACAAAAACGCCCGCTATGAATGGTTCGTCGAATTGTTTCCTTCCACGATCTTATCTAATCAGTCCCTTAATCTGACACCTTGGCAGGCAACAATACTATCGCTCACCTGAATCATTACAGGGTCTGAAAAAGCCAGTGTAAGTCCAACTGTTTTCCTTTGTCTCCATTGTTTCTACAATTTCCGCAATATCATCAATGCTCATCTGTCATCCAGGCGAAAGTACTACGAAAACAACAATGAGTTGATCTCACAATATCTGTATATCGATCGCCTACTCGATTCATCCCTCCCGCACAACCTGATCGAGGAGTACAATGGCTGTCACCACCACATTGCACCAAGAGAGGATTCCCATCCGTCCCCGGATGCCAATCCCTCGATCAGTTCCAAGATCAAGCGCACTCCGCATAATTTGTACCGCATCCCGGATGAAACGGCGCCATTGCTCTCACCCCCGTCTGAAGAGGAACCATGTGTCCACAGCCACATTCCAGACATGGAGACGCACGCGAACATGTCTCCAGAAAAAGAAGAGCGGCTGATCAATCTCGCTATCCGTATCAACTTCGCTGCGAATGTCATCCTACTGGGTTCCAAGATTGGCATTATGACCTTGACAAGCTCCATGTCCGTTCTTGCAGGCCTGGTTGATGGTGCACTGGACTTCTTGAGTACTGTCATTATTTGGGTGACCATGACTTTGATTCAACGCCAAGATCGCAATCGATACCCGATCAGTCGACGCAGGCTGGAACCGTTGAGCGTGTTAGTGTTTTCGGTTATTATGGTTACTTCATTCTTCCAGGTCGGCATCACGTCTGTGAACAGGTTGATGGCCGAAGATCATGCTATCGTTGAGCTTTCTATGCCATCTATTGTGCTTATGGCCGCGACCGTCGTGATCAAGTTGCTCTGTTGGATTTGGTGCCGTCTGATTCCGAGTCCAAGTGTTCAGGTCCTTGCGCAGGACGCCATGACGGACGTTATCTTCAACACATTTAGCATCATTTTCCCGCTGAGTATGTATTATGTCCGATAGGCGTTTCATTTCTCTTTTTTTGTGCAGTATACTAATGTGTGCATGATCAACAGTTGGAGCATTTGCGCGCCTTTGGTATCTGGATCCTCTGGGAGGTTTGTTCCTCTCTGTCTACATCATGTGGAGCTGGGGCGAGACGGCCGGTGAGTACATTCGTCGGTTGACAGGCGCAGCGGCATCCGCCACCGACCACAGCATCCTTCTTTACATGACTATGCGTTTCTCGCGAGTTATCCGGAAAGTACAGGATCTCAAGGCCTATTATGCGGGTGACAAACTCAATGTCGAGGTCGACTTGGTTGTCGACGAGCAGACTAGCCTTCGTGATAGCCACGACGTGGGCGAGAGTCTTCAATACATCTTGGAGAGTGTGCCGACCGTAGATCGTGCCTTTGTGCATTTGGATTATGATGAGTGGAATCTGCCAAGCCACATGAACCAGTTGGAACGGTAACGGTATTTGTATCGGAACAAGAAAAGACCTACTTCTACGGGGACCCATATAGATTTGATAACCAATGTCATCCAATGGGGCCTGGTATATTAGTTCCAAGATTGAGGTTTGTAAGGGTATGTACCAACCAAGCTTGTGCTACTACTGAAATTGGCGTAAACGGTATTAAAACATGTAATACATAATTCATTCGTTTCACTGTACATATAGATAAGAAATAGATAAAACTAGTAGATATAACAAATGGGAATTCACCTCCGCAATGACCGTAGTCATTGCCAACCTCGTGATAAGAGAGAAGAAAAAAAAAAACAAGACGCCCCTAGTGTACAACCGGATTCCTATGCGTTCCACGTGCGCAGATACGAGGCAAATATCCTCATGTCGACTTCAAAATCAAGAAAAGCAAAAGAAACGTGCGAAAGGGTCGAACAAGAAAAAAAAAAGTTAAAAATTAACGAGGAGGCTGCGATGATGGGTGAAGTTGTGGCATTCCACCCTGTACCGAGCCCTGACTGTAGACGCGGTGATGGTTTGGTGTAGAAGTAGGCTCGCCCAGCGAACCCGGTCCCGGGGGCCGTTGATGAAGATTTTGCATAGATGCTGATGCTGATGACGGTTGCGCATAGCCCATGCCATTGCCGCCCATTGAAGGGTGCATTCCTGCCGGCGGAGTGTACGATCGTCCAAGACCAGAGAGTGCTGCCATAGATCGACCATTTTGACCCTGAGGAGGAGGAGTGCTGTGTCCATACGCAGGAGGGCCACCGGCCAAGCTCACAGGGGTCGACCGGTGTGATCCATTCACAAAGGTCTGGACATGCTGCTGGTAGCTTTGACCGAGTGGTTGCGCGGATACCGGGGTAGATGGGGTAACAGGGGAATACGCAGTTTGACCACCAGACTGGCGGGGCGCCACCATACCATACAAGCTTGCTGATGGCTGAGCCGGTGTCGGTGGATCCTGCCGGGAGCCAAAGGCAACACTGCTCGCCCGCGAAGATGGGGATACAGGTCGATATGCTTGAGGTTGGGATGTCATATCACGGGAATTAGATGACCCGTGTACCTGACTAGAGGATTGTTGAGAAAAGACATTTGGGTAAGCGGGACGCTGAGAACCCGGTGGCGGTGTTGGCGCGGGAGACGGAACTGTAAGATTGTTCATTTGACCGGCCGACTGGGACTGAGCAGATGCATAGTGCGAATAATGATTTTGGGAGGCCAGCGATGCAGTTTGACGGTTACTACCTTGCTGCGAAGGCGGAGGAGGCTGGGGTTGTGACCCGGCTTGTTGAGAGCGAGGATCAAAGCGTGCCATCCAGTCGCTAGTTGTGCCTGACGTTCCTGCACTGCCAGGAGGAGGTCCATAGCTGGGGTATTCCGGGTAACCACGCGATGACGTTTGATACTGGTTGGGTTGTCCGTAACCAGAGGGCTTAGCACCAGACATGGAATTTTCATCTACTCGAGTTGGACCCATGTTCTGGAAAGCAGAACGTTGCCCCGATGTCCCTGCGGAGACTGGTGCAGATGGAGCTTCACTCGCAAATCGTTTCCTAGGCTGAGGCTCCTCTGGCTCGTCGTTTAAAATGCTCATGATATTAGAGCGCTTCGCAGGCACCTTGGAATCGGGAGCTGGAGTACCGCTCAGTCGTGGCACATCTTTAACAGGAGATAGAACAGGACGTGGTGATTGGAGTCCCCCTTGCTGACTTGAAAGCGAGTAGTACTGCCTTTGTCCGAATGGATCACGGTGCACAGAAGAAATATCAAGCTCTGGTCTGTGCAACTGTGTTGGTGAGCCAGGAGCCTGTGTCAGGCTAGGATGACGTGAGTGAGTCGGGCCAAGAATGGAGGGCTGGGCCTGACTAGTCATGTAGACCTGGCCGGACAAAGCATCCATGCGTGCCAAATCAGCGGGAATGGTAGATCCAGCGGGAGTATTCCGTGATGACATTTGCATTTCCTGGCCGTGTGGGACTGAGTGCGGTAGCATCGATGAATCACGGCGATCATCGGTGAAATACCCTAACCGGGGGCCAGACATCCTATTTGGATGGCCTCGCATAGTACGAGCATCCTCACTAACACTTGTAGCACCCGGAGGCCCTGGAGCCACATTGGATGCCTGTGCTAGAGTCGGATAACGATTGGCACCTCGCTCATTCTCGGACATAGGGCGTCCATGGAGTGGCATCGGCTGAGGAGACATTGCAAGAGGTTTGCCCTTGGAAGAAAACCGTAACTCATCTGCCTCCGCCATCAAGTCGCCGTGAGGGGCAAGGGGACGAGGAATAATGGTCGAAGGGGTTGCCTCATAACGTCGTTTGGGGGCAACACTGGGTATGGGAAGAGGGCCAGTTGGCTCCCCTCGAGTTTTCTTGTCCTCCGCAGTCAAGAGCAGGTCTTCGAAGTCTTTCTGTCCTGAATCGAGGCGGCGCTGATAGTAGTTTTTAACCTGTGTTGACTATATTAGCCTGGGTCCACTTTCGCCAAAATAGAAGTCAGCCCTTACCATCACCGTAGTCTTGGTCTTCATGAAATGCGAAATTCCTTCGAAATCACGACCAAAGTGTGCAAGCAATCGAGGGAAATCACGTTGCTCAGGAACAGACCAATAGCTTGTTGGTTGCAGGGACCCATATCCACCCTCCATTGGCTTGGGGGTCATGGTGGGATCAGTTTCCGTAGATTCAAAAACATAGACACCCTCCTTTGCCCGTCCTCGTCCAACCCTGGGTCGGGAAGCAGGTATGATAGCCTCCCGCTCACTCATTTCACGATCCAGAGGCAATCCACCTTCCATCGCACCATCCCCACCAAATTCCATTTTCGGGAAAGCAGCAAGAGGTGGGTTGCTTTGAGGTGGCGGAGGCGGCGGCGGAGGAGGCGGTGGTGCGACCGGTGCAGGTGCCGGCGGTGGCCCTTGAGTTCGCTGATCCTTTTCGGTTGTTTTGCTGCGCTTTGGAGCACGGGTACCGCCCACACGGGCACCACGTCGAGGTGCAGGCTTCTCAATTGGTTCCGTTTCTTTCCCAGTTTGTCCATCATTTGAATCGCCAAAAGTCGGAGCAGCAGCACGCCGGGGACGTCCAGTATCGGTGACAGCTGGAACATCCTCCTCGCCATCGAAGTCAGGCTTGACTACCCCTAAATCAGCAATCAGAAGGTTAGACTTAGGACCCTTAACCCTAGCCTTCCCCTTTCCTTTCTTACTCCATCGTTTGTTTAGTTTTGCCTTATACTTAATTTCTTCTTTGGTGAGGTAGTAGTGGACAATGCACTGCTGGAAATCTCGACCGGGCAATGCCTCGGCAATCTTATCCCATTTCTTGGGATAGGTCATGAAAGCATCTGTGAATATTTCGTGCTCTTTCTGAGTGAAGTCGTTGGCGGGTGGTAGGAAGCCAAATACATCCAAAGCATCATCGGTCTTCACAGCATTATTGACATCCTTGTAAATCCGGGCTTTTGCCTCTCCTGACTCCAGCATATCTGGAATTATGGCTTCGCGGGACAAGTCAGGGCGAGCAGTAACCATTTGTGTTTTCCGTCGTTCTAATTCCTCCTGGGCAGAAATTTCGGAGGCTTTCAAAGCATTGAGGAAATCCAGCTCACTATTACCCTTGTATCGTCTTTCACGGGAATCCGGGACCACGGTTGGAGTAACAGGGACTGTAGGTGGTGGCGGAGAGACAGGGCCAGGGGTCATAGGTTTCTTGTTCCTAGAGCGATCTAGCTCCCAGACGGACAACCGCCAAGGCTTGTAATAAGCCATGTATTCTTCTCTGAGGACGGCATTCTTCAGCGCAACTTCTCTTTGTTTCCTACACAGCTCATTAAGAAACGCTTCCTTGAGCTGTGATTTGCTAGAATCATCGTCCTGAGATGCTTCTATGTCAGACAGTGGAGTTGGAGGACCAGTGTTCAAGAAAGGCAGGCTGGCAACGCCAAATTCAGAATGTACCACAGCGGGTGGGGTCACAGCCTGAGGGACAGGCTCAATTATTTCGACTGGAGCAATGAATGCCACAGCTCGCTCGTCGTTGGAAATAGTAGGGCCTGCGTCTTCCTCAACAGATGCAAGGGGTTCAGGGACAGCTAAGTCTGCCGTCTCTCCTTGGGCGATTTTACCCAAGAGTTGGATTCTCATGAGAAGAGAGAGGATATGGGGATCTTCTAGAGGAGAGGGAGGCAGCTCGGCCCGAAGAAGTTCCATGTCCCTTTCGAAGCTTCTTTTTCGCTTTTCCAGATATTCTTCGCTAAAAGTCCCGCTATCCTCGTCATCTTCGTCACTGGACTGTCCAAACACGGGCATAAGAGCATTCTCGGTGATTTTATCGGATGCCAACTGTAACTGGGTCTCTTGGGCTGCTTTCGCCTCTTGTTGCTCTAGACTCTGGTTGTGTTTCGGGTCCACATCTGTCTTTTGCTTTGCCTGTAGATCGGGAAGCTCTGCTATCCGCTGATCCAGTTGATTTTCCGGCTGCTCCACTGGCTGCTCCACTGGCTGCTCCTCTGGCTGCTCCACTGGCTGCTCCTCTGGCTGCTCCTCTGGCTGCTCCTCTGGCTGCTCCTCTGGCTTCTGTTCTCTCTTTTGCTCAACGGCTTGCTCAGCAATTATTTCGGGCTTTTGTTCGGGAATTTTCTCCGCCTTTTGCTCGTCAACATGCTCAACAGTTTGCTCAGGCTTATTTTCAACCTTTTTCTCGCACTGTTGCTCAGGCTTTTGCTCAGGCTTTTTCGCTGTTTGCAGTTTCAGCTCCCGGGATTTCTGCTCCTCCCTATCGCGCGATTGCTTTTGAACTTGCTCTACATTCCGCGTCTGGTTATCCTCCTGGTGTGTGGACCTAACCATTGGGGCAGGCGGTGGGCTGCTGCGAATGGCAAGATTCATAGACGGAGAGCTTGGTGAAGGGATATGCGTTGATGGAACGGTGACAGTCGTTTCTTTCTGCACATCCTCCATCGGGCCCGAAGATGCCTGCAGGCTCTCATCCTGAGATCTTTCGCTGGGAGGACGCATGGGCTCTTGCTCCTCTGCTTCCTTCTTCGGTGTAACAGTTGAAACAGACGGTGCACGATTGTACCCAGAACGGCCCCAAGGCTTATTTCCCTTGTGTCCTCCTCGTGGCGAGGAGCCTTGTCGGGGTTGATATGCGCGTGGGCCTGTCGGGATATTGGATGTCTGCATTTGAGGAGAGATTGATGGATCCCGTGAAAGAGAGCGCGGCGGTGGGGGTAGGCGAGAAATGATAGGGGATGTAGAGATGGAGTGAGGTTTTGAAGGCCCTTGGAATTCTGTTGGACCACTGATTGAATCCCGCTTGGCCATCGCGGCTGGGGCCGTGGGTGGAGACCGATCTGATAGCTGCATGGAAGCTCTCTGGATCTCCTGGGGAGGCCGGCTGTCAGAATTGTGGTTCGAATTATCTGCAGCTTGTGCCATTGAGTAAGTCCGTTCAGCTTTTGGACCAGTTGGAGCTCGCGGCACTGATTTAGATAGGGGTTCATTCTGGGTCTTTTCCGCCTGGACCGACAGGTCATTTGCCGCACGCCCTTCGGATGCTCCTTTAGAAGTGGATACTGATGATGTCGGTGTAGCCACAGAACCAAAAGCAGGAACCTGCGGTGCTGATGGGGGAGGTGATTGCTGGTTGACAGGTTGTAAATCCTTGGGCTGTTCGGTGCGCACAGGGAAGAGGTCAGATCGGGCACTATCGCGTCTAGCCTCATGACCGCCAACACTGGAGATTATCGATGCTTTGCGACCCTGATCTTGGGTAATTAAATCAGACATCCTCTCCGAAATGGACGGGGCCATTGGTGAAGGTCCCACATGAGCAATCGAGCCGGCACGGTTGTCTGCTCGGTTTGGAGGGTGTTCCCTTTTCCATGGCTCGAGAGGACGGTCACGATCCTCACGTTCCGATCGACGAGCATCCCATTCTTCACGTCGGTCAAACCTTTCACGTCGATCTAGATTGCGATCATGGTCACGGTCTCGAATGAGATCGCGCTCACGGTCTCGGTCCAATCCGCGGTTCCGATCTGGAGTAGGACGGTCGGGAAGGGCACGGTCCAAGAGGGGATGGTCCATAATCGGGCGATCAAGAGGGGGTCGGTCAGTAAGAGGTCGGTCCATAGGAGGTCGATCCATAGGAGGTCGATCCATAGGAGGTCGATCCATAGGAGGTCGGTCCATAGGAGGTCGGTCCATCGGAGGTCGGTCAGGAAGAGGGCGATCTAGAGGAGGGCGATCCCGGTCCATATCTCTATCGCGATCCCGGTCCCGATCCATCATACGGTCTCGGCCACGGTCTCTCCAGGTATCACGGGATCGACTACGGCGGCGGAATTGCTCACGGTCATCGAAGAAAGATGGGCGACCTCGTCCACGACCACCATCCCAATCTCCTCTTCCTCGGCCACGCATGGAGCCACCTCGAGGATGACCGCCATTTGAGGGTGGGCCATCGGGACCACCAGATGATGCAGATAGGATACTGTCTCGAGAATTGCGGCGAATGCGAACCACATCAAAGTCGCGGCCGGGGGGCTCTCTCACGTCACGAAAGTCGCGTGTTGGGGATCTTGAGCGGCCTCGTCCAAAGCCGATACGGTTGTCTCGAGGGTCAAAGTCGCGATCGCGGCGAACCCATTCACGGTCTAGATCGCGACGGAATGGTGGCGCATCGCGGGAGTCTCGAAATTCGCGGTCGCGGTCGCGGTCTCGTGGGTCTCGGTCTCTGTCTCTAAATTCGCCTCGGCCATATCCACGACCTCGTCCAAAGTGATTACCTCTAGGGGTGTCACCCAAGGCGCGAAGGGCGCGGGGGCCACTGGGAGGTTCCCTGCCGAATGGAGCGCTGCCGTCGTCAGGGCCACGGGGACCGGCAGGTGGTCGACGGTCCCCGAAGCGATGGGGTGAACGGTCGCGGGAATTATACCCAGACGATGGGGGGAATCTGGACGACATTACCAGGTCATGCTATCACAAGACGACCTGGAAACTAACAAAGGGTTGGAGACGGAGAGGTTCCCGGGAATGCAGAGATTCAAGAACTCGCACCTGGCTGGACCCGACTTTGGGGGGCTCTCTATCACGTGACTGGGCACGGACCACCACGAGGCAGTAATTACGATCTTGATCGTGGGGATTTTTCAAGATGTTAGCATCATTCTAGTGTACGAACATGCAGATTTCAATGATACGAGTGGTATTGTAGACTCTTGGAAGGCTTTTTTCATTTTAAAACCACCCGACATTTAACACATCGGACACTCTTGCATGAGTTTCTTCGTCATGTACATTTCAGAAATCAAAGGGTGCCCGTGCACATGTGGAGCCGCCATTAACAAACTAGTTATAGGTTGGAGACAGCTCACCAGAACTCAATTTCCATTCGACTTTGAAGATGCTTTTAATACTTTTGCCTTGCACATAAATTCCTGGTCTGTCATGTCATAATGTGCAAGGGAAATGATTCTTGGCTTACAACCCTGTGTAAATATGCAATTCTTTACAGAGATTTGACGCTGGCCTACCTAAAAAGATCCACCATCCTAAGCACATGGCCATCTGCATAATTTCCACAGGAACGAGGCGAAACCGGTAGCTAGTGCTGAGCCCGAAACGCCGCTGATCGACATGAAACGACAGGGGGTTCATCCTTAATTGGAATTTGGGGGGATCATCTATATCGTCAGTTTTTTATCTGAATACGTGGATTGAGAAATTTGATTGCGTCCACGGGTGGAATTCTCTGAACGTTTTAAGCTGTGGAGTTGATTTTTGATCGGAAAGGATTTACAGAAATAACGAAGTCAGTATTACTAGATGGACCCTTTTTCCTAGCTTGGTGCCTGAGATATGAGGCTACACTATAGCCTCAGGTGTCTACTTTATCGTTCCCCGCCAAAAAAAAATTATATATCAGAGATATCATAGCACCCCCACTACATTGCACTGTTCCACATAAATCAACATTTGAACCCACAGATACGGGGTTCTTGTCCTTCTGGAAGTCTCCAATTCACTTATCATACCCACCCAACTCTCTTATTGCCCCTGTCAATTATCTTTTGCAAACCAACATGAGCCAGTCAGCCGCCGCACCCCCCACCTCCGCAAGCAATGCGGTTCTCGTGGAATCCCAGCCGGTTCCCGAGGGTACTCACGAAGTGAGCGGAGTGGATTTTGATAAGTTCCAGGGTCGTGATATCACCGTTGCCGAACTGGTGGACAATATGACGAACATGGGCTTCCAGGGCAGTGCGGTTGCCGAGGCTGCCCGCATTATCAACGAGATGGTAGGTGATTCAATGACAAAGATCACTGTCACATTTATTGACATATTTTTCCTTCTTCTTAGCGTGCCTTCCGGGACCCTGAAACCGGCGCAAAGACCACCATTTTCCTCGGCTATACCTCAAATTTAATTTCTTCCGGTCTGCGCGATACCCTTCGTTACCTAGTGAAGCACAATCATGTATCGGCCATTGTCACCACCGCCGGGGGTGTGGAGGAGGATTTGATTAAATGCTTGGCTCCCACATATATGGGCTCCTTCAGTACTCCGGGTGCTGGATTACGCGCCAAGGGCCTCAACCGTATTGGTAACCTGCTGGTGCCAAACAATAATTATTGTGCCTTTGAAGATTGGCTGGTTCCTATCTTGGATCGCATGCTAGAGGAGCAAGAGGCAGCCAAGAAGAAGGCCCAGGAGACAGGAAATGAAGAAGACGAGCTTCACTGGACTCCAAGCCGTATTACTGAGCGGTTGGGGCGGGAAATCAACAATGAGGACTCGGTTCTGTATTGGGCTGCCCGCAACAACATCCCCATTTTCTGCCCTGCCCTGACTGATGGATCACTTGGGGATATGCTTTACTTCCACACCTACAAATCGTCACCACAGCGACTCCGAGTGGACATTGTGGAGGATGTGCGTCGGATCAACACCATGGCCGTGCGTGCGGCCCGGGCGGGTATGATCATTTTGGGAGGTGGCATTGTTAAGCATCACATTGCTAACGCGTGTCTGATGCGGAACGGTGCGGAGCACGCTGTGTACGTCAACACCGCGCAGGAATTCGATGGCAGTGACGCAGGTGCCCGACCCGACGAGGCTGTGAGCTGGGGAAAGATTAAAAGCGACGCCAACGCCGTCAAGGTCTACGCCGAGGCCACTGTGGCTTTTCCTCTTATTGTTGCGGCTTCGTTTGCACGCGCAGCCCCAGCACAGAACTGAGGGCGCCTGTTGTGTGCCGATACTTTGCCGCACACAATGCAGGGTCCCGTGTCCGACCGGACAAGGATTCACCAATCAGAGCGAAGCCACTCGCCCTTGGCCCACTCGCCCTGGCCCAACACCTGGGCCGGGGGGGCAGCCTGCTGATGAGAGTTTCCCAAGGTTGAATCTTCTTGAGTGCACCCGACAAGGTCAACACCAAGGCTGAGTTGACTCTGACCAGGTCTGACGACCCACGTTCGTATTGCAGCCTGTCAGCTTGTCTTTCAACTCCATTTTCCCCAGTCCCACAAGCCCTCCCTTGCCGATGCCGGGGATAGGAGAAACATGTTTTCATAATGTTTCATAAGCAGAGTGGCAACATGCAGAAATCCTGGTTAGCCGATCGGAGTGGCAAAGGGCAGAAACTTCTCAGAACATTTTTTACATTTTTTTTTATCAGCAAAATGCATTTAAGGTTGGGATCCGTTGGCTGCCCTGAAGTGGAGCCTTTGGGTCCGGATCCACTGCCGATCGAGAGGGGGCTTCACCGCGACTTGTGTTCTCCGGTTTTTTTCCTTGGGGTTTAATCGTAGCCTCTTGCTTTCTAGAAAACAAAGAAAAATAGCAGAAAAATAGCAGAAAATGATTGAAAATAAGACTGGGTGATCTAGTAGAAGAGTAATCAATGGGGGCAAATGACCATAGAAACTGTAAGTATTACCGATTTAGGAACCAAAGATAGAAATCACCGCGTGGCTTATCCACCCGAGTTTGACTTGACTTTCCCCACTTGACTTGGGAATCCCGCGAATCCCCCGGACTCTCTTATCGTTGGCTTTTCTATCATAATTCTTTTCCCTTTCTTTCCCTACTTTGCTTCTCTTTCTCTTTCCAACACTCTCTGCTCGTATATATTCATACACACGGTCTTTCTTTCTCGTTCTTCCAATCCCTCATTGCCTCCAGACAAGGCTGATATATATATCTCTCTCCATTCGTTACAGCCCGAGAGAACCCCGATAAAGAAAAAAAAAGAAGAAGAAAAAACCCCTCCCCGCAAAAGAAGTCCTACGAGAACATCGCCAACTTCAATTGTTATCTTGGATGAATTGTCTACTTTGACTAGTCCCATTCCCTTGCATTGCATTGAAGAATTTCTTACAGAATGGATTCCTCAAGGAATTTGCGGCCCAATGACTCAGGGACTGGCCGCGAGGTCGGATCTCTCACCCCGTCAAACCTCTCGGAACCCAATATCGTGCCGAGTCCTACACCCGAAGGCTCTGTGCCACCAACGTCGGTTTCCGCCCAGGAACGTACTCGGGTTCCGACCCCACCGCCTTCCAGAGAGCCCGAGGAGACCGAACATGCCTACTGGGCCGAATTTCAAGAGGATAGATCTACTCCAGATGAGGAGGAATTGAAGGAAATTGAAGGTGCCGAGGCGGATTACAGTGCTTGTGACCGTAGGTGTCAATCCAGAACCCTGGGGAAGAAATCACTACGAGGAAACAATTCTGGTTTACTAACATGCTGGATGTCAATAATTTAGACACATATTGGGAAACCAATTTCTTTCGGGATTTAGACGATCCGGAATACAAGCCCAGGGAGAAGGCTCGTTTGACATGGAAGTTCAAGGGCGTCCGAGGCACCCCCGAGGCCCCCAACCGTGCAAAGGTTGTGCGTTCCCCGGCGGCCTTCATTGGTGGATATTGGTGGCGAATCAAGTTCTACCCCCGCGGTAACAATGTCGGTTCCTTGAGTATGTACCTGGAGTGCTCGCCTACAATGCCCAACCCGGATGAGCAAATTCCAGAGACCGAGTTCACTGTTCGTCGAGGAGAGCCCGATACCGTTCTCAATGAGATCCCGCCCGACGCATATATCCAGACCGCCGCCACAACCAATTCTGCAGAATGGCTCAACGACTATAAATCTCGGTATCCCGCCGCGGCATCGGCTCCCGAGGGACGTACCGGTACAAAGTCCGATCCATGGCGGGTATCGGCACAGATTGGTGTTATCGCCTACAACCCCGATGAACCACGAACGGGATGGATGCAGTCATCGTGCCATCAGTTCAACCCACACAACCTAGATTGGGGTTGGACATATTTCCATGGTCCATGGGACCAGATTCACAACCGTCGACGAGGCCAGCATCGGGCCCTGCTCAACAATGACACTCTCGCATTTGATGCTTATATCCGCGTGATTGATGACCCGACCAAATCCTTGTGGTGGCACCCCAGTGACTCTGAGCCAACTTGGGATAGTCTCGCCTTGACTGGCTATCGCCCCCTTGGAGACTCGGTCATCAACCATAGCGCCGAAGTTGCAGGTCTTGCCTCGTGGCTGCATATTGCGCCCTTTTGCAAGATCATTCAAAATGTTGATGTCTTGGAACACTTGACCAATTGCGATGCCAAGCCAAAGCCCCTATGTGATGCTATGCAGAAGTTGTTGTGGCAGCTACGTAGTCGCACCAAGTCACTTCAATACGTGGACACCGACAGCATCACCTCCACTCTACGCAACTTGCGTGAGTTCTCGGGTGATGTGTCTGAGTTCTGGGAGCGACTGCGCCGTACCTTGGAGCTAGAGCTCGCGGGCACAGATGCTGGAAAAGAATTCGCCAAGCTGTTTGATAGTCCCTCCCGTCAATCCCTGCAAGTTGCCGGTGATGTGGAGCAAATCAATACTTTGCCGACCGATTTCAATTCTCGCATCTGTGTGCAGTCCGACCAGGTCAAATCCACAGGAGAGGCTATGAAAGACTATCTGGGTGCTAAAAATGGTCGCTGGGCACTTCCTCCCATTCTTCATGTGGAACTCGGTCGCCAAACCCTCGACAAGGCCATGCGCTGGCAATTAAACTTCAACAGGGTGGATCTGGATGACGAGCTGGACCTCACACCTTGGGTGATTGATGGTCAAGGTAGCAAGTATGTCCTCTACGGCTACGTTGTTCACCGTGGTCGTCGCACTTCCAGCAAGTTCTTCAGTATCCTGCGCCCTGCTGGTCCAGGAACCAAGTGGTTGGCATTCGATGATGGCAGCGACAATCGTGTGGAATGCTTGACTCAGAAGACCGCCTTAGGCGCTCACCTTGGTCTTGATTCCACTCAGACCGTGGATCACAAGAAGGGCCATGACATCCCCGTCGTCGCAATGTATGTCCGCAGTGACATGGTTTCAGAACTTCTACCTGGCCCTCAAGGACCGTGGGAGGTGCCAAAGTCCTTGAAAGAATACTACGAGACCGGCGTATACACCCCCACTCCGGATTCCACTGAGAAGTCATTGAACAGTGATGTTCAGGTTGAAGTGTACTCGCTGCCAGAGTATGATCAATTAGGTGACCTCTTTGACACGTATGACCTCATGTCCAAAGCCAAGTCAAACAATGGTGTCATGTACATGACTCTGCCACGTTCATCTCGCCTGGCCGAGCTCCGCAAGAAGATCGCTCTTTGGAAGTCGGCTGGTGAGGAGGTTATTGGAGCCGAACGGGTTCGTCTGTGGCACATTGGCCACACTCGTGCTCAGTGTGGGCCTACTCTAGCCTTTGAGCATATTACTGATCTCAACACTCCATTGGACGCTTCGGCTGGTACTATGCGATTCTGGATGGAGGCTATATCTGAGGGTGAGTCTCATTTATTATAAAACATATCGCAAACAATCATTTTCTTACTGACCTTGAATGACTTTCAGATGACGCGAAATTATTTGCTATTCCCGATCCTCCTTCCGCTACCACTACCGAGGACAAGCTTGAAGAGTCCATTGTTGAGCAATTGGGTTCCGAAAGCAGTGAATCTCTACCTTTGGTCAACAATGGAGACGCCGTTGCCAGTTCATCCAGAGGCGATGCGAGCCCCACAGAAAGTTCCGTTCCGCCTCTGGCAACCTCATCTCCAGAAGCTGATGCTATGGTTGACGAGCGAGCCGAGCACGATGCCGTCCTGGCTGTCGCTGCAGCTCATGATGCCAACTCATCTGCCCCTCAGCCCATTGTCCCTGCTCCTGCAGAGGCAAGCTCCTCAGGGTCTGCCCCAGCCGAGCCCGAAGTCACACTACCCGTTGGCCATGCATACTATTTCATTCAAGTTTTCGATGAAGATAAGCAGGTACTCCGCACTGTGGGCTCGTTCTTCTCCAAGCTGGAGGCAAACGTCAAGGCATCGATTCGGAAGCACCTAAAGCGAACTATCCGACAGGATTTCCTGATGTGGAAGCGTGTGGATGGAACCACCGTCACAACAGTGTCTCCAGCCGAGAACTTCATGGACGTCGTCGTGCCCCATGGATCATGTATAATCGTCGGGGACAAGCTGACCAAAGCCAAGTAAGCAATTCTCCCAACCATGCCCACTTTATATACACCCTTCTAACAACCAAATAGACGTTCTCAACTTGGACTTTCCGGCCTCTTCTCCAGTCCCGACCGTCTGGTCCAGTACCTTTGGGCCAAGTCACGCAACCACCCCGTGCAAGGCTTCACCGGAACTAAGACCATCGAAGCAACCTTCACGAGCGACTTTTACAGCGGCGAGTTCCTGAAGGGCTACTATCACGGAAACGGCAAACATCTTTCCGGCACCGGCACCGTCTACGAAGGCGACTTCATCTTCGGTCGTCGCCATGGCCAAGGCAAGATGGAGTACCCGACCGGTGATACCTATGATGGCGACTGGGTCGAAGATGTCCGCCATGGACAGGGAACATATGTTGAGAAGAAGTCCGGCAACTCGTATGTTGGCGGGTACAAGGATGGCAAGAAGTATGGCAAAGGCATCAGCTACTGGGAAGTTGCCGATGAAGAAGCGGATCTGTGTCAGATCTGTTACTCGGAGGAACAGGATGCTGTCTTCATTGACTGTGGCCATGTCTGCTCTTGTGTGACGTGTGCTAAGCAAGTTGACCTTTGCCCGATCTGTCGAAAGAGCATCAAGAGTGTTATTAAGATTTATAGGACATAGCGTGACTTTTCTAAGCACGGTGGGAGTTTTTCTTTTCACATTGTTAGCATTTTTGTTCATTTTTGTTTATTGCATGTTACATACTACACTTTTCTTTTGGCCCCTTTTATGGGGAGCGTCATTCTTTGGATTCTACTACATATAGCGAAGGAATGGGAGGCTTTGGGATTGGGGGTTTACATGTGCTTGCTTATATACGGCGATTGGCGACATTTACTTTCTTGCGCTCTTTTCAGGCTTATTACACATGCGTCAAGATTTTCAACACTACTGCGATCAGCCTTGGATTTGAATAGAAAGTTCAATTGGAATTGGAATTTGAATTTAACGCTTGAATCATTTTTTGACATTGGGATTGAGATTTGAAACATTAGAAAACAAGGTATATGTCCAGTGCGCCGTCCACCCACAAATGAAGATGCTTTTCAGACTTGGCAACATTGAATGCCAGAGCTATGGATACACGATTTATGCTCGGGTGTCAAACAGATCATTTAAAAGCCTTCTTAGGCTTCTTCTCCTTCAGCTTTCCTTGCACAACCGAGGTCTTCTTCTCACCCTGGGGCTGGTTGGAAGACTTCTTAGCAAACTCGGACTTCTTAGCCTCGGTCTTCTTGGTAGCCTTGGGCTTCTTGGAGTCAGTCTCCTTGGATTCGGCCTTCTTAGGGGACTCAGCCTTCTTGGCGTCGGCCTTCTTGGAGTCGGCCTTCTTGGACTCAGTCTCCTTAGCCTCGGGCTTCTTCTGTTCCTCCTCCTTAGATTCCTCGGTGGACTCGGCGGGCTTGGGCTCTCTGACACGCTTGGGTTTGTTCAAAACACCCTTGGGGTTGAGACCCTTACGACGGAGACGGTTGCGCTCAGCGCGGCCAATGCGATCAGAATCATCATCAGCCTCGAAGGGACCGAAAGCACCACCCTCAAGATCAGCAAAGGCCTCTTCCTCACGTCCGATGGGAGTTCTGTCAATCTCCTCATCGTCATCAGTAGAAGCACCTTGAGAGCTGGTACGCTTCTTCTGGTGGCGGTCCTTGGAGGTGGTCTCGTCAGCCTTGGCCACGGGAGTGGGGCCGGTCTTCTTCAGCTTGCACACGTAGAAACCGTCAACATTCTCACGGTGGGGGAAGTAACGGCGGGTAAGAGCCATCTTGGCGTCGAACTTCTTGCCCATGTAGCTGGTGAAACCAGGGCTACCGAAGCCGCCAAGTCCAGTGTCAACAATCTTGACATTGGGGCACTTGCGGAGGACGTACTGCACGACAGCCTCATTCTCTTCGACAGTGACACTGCAAGTGGAGTAGACAATGTAACCACCAGTCTTGGAGGCGTGGTCAACGGACTCGATAGCGGCGAGGAGCAACTGACGCTGCATGTGGGGAATGGCCAAGAAATCACGCTCGTTCTTGGAGGTCTTGACACCGGCATCCTTGGAGATAACACCGGTACCGGTGCAAGGGGCATCAAGAAGGACACGGTCAAAGCCACCCATGGCCTTGGGGAAACCGGTACGGGCATCAAGGTTGGTGACAATGGTGTTCTTGCAGCCGAGACGGTGAATGTTACCAATCAAACCCTTAGCACGGGGCTTGCTGGCATCGTTGGCGATGACACAGCCAGTGTTGCGCATCAAAGCAGAGATGTAAGTAGTCTTACCACCGGGGGCGGCGGCCATATCGAGGACACGCTCGTTAGGCTGGGGTGCAAGCGCCATGACAGGAAGGAAAGAAGACGCAGCCTGGAGAATGTAGTGACCAGCAAGGTACTCGGGGGTGGCACCAAGAGGAACGGGAGACTCGAAGACCTGCAGTCCAACCTTGGACCACTTGCCGACGGGCTCAAGAACAACACCACGGTTGATCAGAGCCTGGGCGAGAGAACGACGGTTGGTGCGCAGAGTGTTGGTACGAATGACGACAGGGCGAGGGGTTTCGTTGGCCTCGAAGAAAGCAAATGCCTCCATGGGAGTGAACAGGTTCCACAGCTTCTCGGCGAGGTATCGGGTGTAGCCGTAGTAGGTGCAAATGTCGTTGAGCACGAGGTCGACGTAATCGGTACGGGACTTGTCAGCCTGGCCAAGAGTCTTCAGATCACCCAAAATGCGAATTGTGTCGGTGATGCGCTGGCGAAGAAGTTGCAGATCCGGAGCAAGTCCCTGCTGGGTCTGATCATCGAAGACATTGGGGCGGTCGCCAGCGATGTTGGTCTGCATAGCATCGTCCCGCAACTCCTGCTCGGCCTCTTCATCCTCCAATTGTTTCTCAGCATCGAGCTTCTGAGAAAGACCCTCGATGTTGGCTGCGGTCAGCCTCTCCTCGGCATCGGACATGTCCTCGTCGTCGGAAAACATGGCTGTACGGGTGTAGTTCTCCTCGTCAGAGTCCAGAACAGAGTCGTCCTCGGCACCATCGTCACTCTCCAAGTCTGAAAGCCCCACAACATCGTCCTGGCTATCCAATGACCCGTCGCTGACTCCCTCGAGGTCATCGAATTCGTCGTCCTCCATCTCCTCATCTTCTGAGTCCGACATAGGGACAGGCTTCTTCTTGCTGGAAACCTCCTTCTTTGGCTCAACCTTGGCAGCAGTCTTATCAGCAGCGCCATTGACCTTGGCCTTCTTAGGAGCTGCCTTCTTGTTCACCACCTCTTTCTCGCTGGATCGTCTGCGGCGCTTTTTAGCTTCAGCAATCTTAGGGGCCGACTCTGGCTCGGTAGCCTTGCGCTTCTTCAGCATTGTGATTTTCGATTCATCGAGCGGGCCCGGAGGGCCCTGCTTTTGCATGCGACGTCCTACACCCATTATGAGTGATGTGTTTTATTATGTGGTGGATAGTTGCGTCCGAAACTTTTTTTTCCGGGCTTTTTTCCTGGGCAGCGGTCAAGTGTGGCAGTAAATGAAAATTAAAAGGCGGTCGGAAATCACTTTTTCACGGCTTGGGGAGCTCACCAGTTAGTTGTCAGAACATTTGCTTCTGTGAAGGAACAACCTTCATGTGCAGGAACCCAACATTCAATGTTGAATCCTTACATCCCAACGCTAGTTGACGGTAAATTGGGCACCGAAAATGGCTACCTGGGACACCGTTTTTGGCGCCCCTTTTACTGGGATCTACCTGGAATCGGCTCTCTCTTTTGTATTCTCTAGCACTCAACAACAATTATTTCCTACCCTTAATCCTATGTAATCACTTTTACCGAAACCCGGAAATCTGAACGATGGATCACCTACCACTGGAGATCAGGCATATTATCGCCGATTGGGTGAGCATCTCTCTTTGAAGCAACAACTTGCAGCTCTAATTCAAGTGACAGACAGGCCACATATCTAAAGAAAGCCTTCGAGCCTTGTGCCTAGTCAACCGAAAATGGCATGAAATTGCCAAAGCATTGTTGAGCAAGCATATTATCATCCGGTACGTTCCCGGCCCAAGATCACATGTGCACAGTTAACATAGTAGTATCACCTCATTTTATGATCTTGAAAAGGAACATTCCAACGTTCAAATGTTTAAAGAAATCAATGACCTCCAACATTGAACTACTGGCACCTGGGGTTTAGAGCTATGTATTGATCCGTGAATGAATGCTACATATGCACGTGTGCACGTGGGTTTCAATGTTCTATTACACACAAGGATCTGGCTACATAAGGTATGGGATAAGCCGGAACATAGAAGAGAGCTCACAAAAACCTTGGAAGAACCTTGGAACATTATGTAGCAGGCGTCAGTGACACTGACGGCTCCTACCTAGGATATCAAACAAGAAAATACATGGATGAACACGGGCCAGGGGTATGCACCAAAGCAGAGGGAAGGAAGCTCAAGTGATAGAATGTGGACATTGAAGAAGGAACCTTGGAAATAGAAATAGATAAATGATCAGAAATGTACGCCAGGGAATCATCGCGACAAAGGCTTCTTATCAGCATTGGAATCAAAAGTACACATGAAGAAGAAGAAAAGGAAACCACTTAGAGGAGTACCAGATACCAGGCAGCTGCACAGGACACCTTTGAAAATGCTCAAAATGAACTGGTCCGGCCAATCGCTCATCCATTCCATGGGATCATAGCAAGGTGAGGAAACGGAGGAAATTACCCGACAGTAGAAAACAGGAGAAGAAGAAAAAAATAAATTCATACAGTGCTGTCATCAGATCATCTTGAGAAGACTTTAACCACGCCATCTCCGCCGCCGCTGACTACCCAGCGTCCGTCGCGGCTCCAGACGACAGCACAAACACCTTCACCACGCATCAAACGGTGGCTTGTCAATTCTTGGGTGCAACTGCGTTTCTCTAGATTCCAGAACCGTAGGCTAGCGTCGTGGCCAGCAGAGACAAGTTCACGTCCGTCCGGAGACAAGGAAAGAGAAGCGATGGCAGCCGGGTGGGCTAACATGGTATATGTACATTGACCTAGGAATGAAAATGTTAGAATCTGATACAAAGACAAAAAAAAAAGTGGGGGGGGGGAGGGGGCAAGCAGTCACGTACCGCTATTCGCGTCGAAGAAGCGAATATACCGATCCTCGTAGCCGCTAATAATGACGCCCTCCACGCTACTTGAGCCAGTAGCTCCGTGAACGACTTCCTCCTCCTCCATGGTGCGATTTGGTTCAAGACTGGCAGATCCGTCAAATCCAATGGTAGTAGCAACCACGGAGTTCACGCCGGTTGAAGGCGTTCCATCATACGTCTCAAGGCTGGCCATGCCGACAATTTCCTCGCCAGTTCGTGTATCATAAACGAGGATTGAGGCATCAGTGTATGAAACCACAAAGTTGACGCCAGCGAGCGATAAGGGACTAATGCATGTTGGAGACGGAGAATCCTTGCGCACAATGTGATGGACAAGAGTATGGTAGAATGGGGTAGATGAAGCAACACTAGGTTGAGGAGAGGAGGGGAAATTGGAGCCCGACGAGATCGAGTTGGCGCGACGGCTTCCACCTTGGCGTCGCGATCCCGCCTGTGGAGCGATCGGAGGGGCGCTGACGGCCCAAATCAGAATCCGACCATCTGCGGCACCAGATGCGAGAAGGATTCGATCAGGTCCACCGTAGTGAGTGGATGAGTCTCCGAAAATAGAACCTGACGTCCCAGGAAGAACACAGAGTCCCCAAACAGCGTCTTTGTGGCCATCCAAAGTCGCCTTAGGATCAACCCGGCCACGTTCCCATACCCGCACACTAGCATCTTGTCCGCCCGAGAACACCCAACCGTCACCTAAAGCCCGTCCTCCATTGGAAATGTTCTGGCCGGGTGAGCACGCAGCCAACGAGGTGACTGCGCCCACATGACCTCGGTGTGTGAAATAGCTGGTGATGTCTAAATCGTTACTGGTGCTAGGACCGTGAGCTCCAAATGTGCCGTATGTTGCAGGTATAATCCATCGCTTGATCGTTCCATCATCACTGCATGTGCAGATTTCCGGCTCAGACGGGCTGCCACCACCGGTGAATATCACAGAGCGGATCACATCCAGGTGTCCGCGAAGAGCAAATCGGACCTTAAAGTTCGTATCTTGTTGGCCGAAACCAGCGGCAAAGTCCCGAGCATCGGATGCCCCATCACTCTTGCGTCGAGACCCAGAGCTCTTTCGTCGATGTGAAAGTGATCCGCCCCGAGAGGGTGATGTACCACTAGCGACGAAGTTGGCGTTGGGGAATGCATCCGTATCGGGACGATGGGGAGGCATAGGCTCGGTAATTTGTTCGTTCTCTGTGGGTTCATCAAAATTCCACCCGTCCATATCTTCGGCACCCTCGTCATTCGCCCTTTGGGGCAGCTCCTCCTTGACCGCCACCTGAGGCCCCTGTGCCTCATATGCCGATTGGGAGGTCACAGCACGTTCATCAATCAGACCATGTTCATATGCCTGCTTTCGGTTATCAATGGCTGTTACGGGAGGCTGTTGGGTGTCGAGCTGTCGTCGATCCATGGCATCACGAGGCATCGAACCCTCTCTATACTGGTTATGGCCTCGAGCTTGGGAGGCACTCATATTTTCCGCGTATTGATTCCCCATAGACTGATGGTGTGGGATAATCGCCTCCCGTCCAAGCATATGGTTGGCCTTTAGTCGTTGTTGTTGAATGTATGCCTCTTCCAAATTTTGTTGCGATAGTTGTTGGTTCGCATATGAGTGACTTGAGAGATCTGGGTCGCTGAGATCTGGAGGTGGGTGGGATGTAGGAATGACGTGGTATGCGATTTCTTGGGCACACTTGGCTAGATAGACACGCGACTTCTCCCGTTCATCTTCTTCACGGAATTCACTCGAGCTGGGATCCTCTATGTTTCCATTGGAGTCTGAGTTCAACCGTTGCTCTAAAGAACAGTATCAAGATCAGTAAGCGTCAAACGATGAGATGCAGCATTATTTTGAAGCAGCAACTACCTTTTAAGAATTCCACGCTCTCGCGCGCAATCTCCTTGGGGTCTTTGATGTCATCGACACTCTCGTTGTTCGAAAGTTTTCTCGATTTCTCTCGCTCTCTTTTCAAAGCCGTCTCCATCAACCGAACGTGTTTGCCCAGTGACTCTTGCAGGCGTCTGCTAGTCCGCAGCTCTCCTTCTAGTTGGCCGATACGAGACTTCATCTCCGCGCGTTCGATCTCCCAGGCGTTTCGGTCGCGCTCGTGTCGGTGCCATTCTGTCTGCAAGAATCGCATCACACCTAGTGAAATTATGGTTAGTCCATTGCCCTGTGGGCATAGTTTCAATGCATTCTTACCTTGAAGAGTGTATTCGGTCCCCTGTGGGTGACCACCAGTGGACGGGCCGTCAACCATTCCTGCGGGTGTTCCGATACCAGCCATGGGCGATTGAGATTGCCAGGCCATGTACATAAAATGATTTCAGCGCGCGACGAGGCCGGGCTGAGTGGCTGGTTCAGTAGAGGGTGAAGCCGGGGGTTGACCGAGGGCGTCAAAGCGTCAGCCGTGGAGCTTCTGGTGTTCTCCTGACCCCCGTAGTATCCACCAGTAAGCGAAATTGAGTCCCCCAGGGGGTGAAGACAGCAGGATGAACCGCGTTCCGCGCCTTGACAGATGGGAATGTGTAGGGCAGAGACCCAGCCAATGACGAGAGAAAAGAAGGCCAATTAATGTCCGCAGAATGTTTGGGGAATCGTTTGTTATGGGCAAGTTGAGAGTGGCTTTTTGGGGGGACGGACCCTCATGAGGTGCTCACCGCCTTCATAGACATAGAGTCCAGACCGGTATTTTGTTATGCACTTTTCAACTTTAATGATTGTACAGAACACAATATGGAAAGTTTGGGACAGAGATTCTATATCAAAAATAGATTATAAGGCTCCCGTGTATCTTTAGAGAGACCAGGCCCGTATGAGCCATCGATACCGAATATCTGGGAACATCTTCACTGGGAAAAGATATTGTCGCCTAGTAAATGAGGTGTCTATACGACGTAGTAAATCTAAGCTTGTATGTAGGGCGAAGTTTAATTAGGAAGGCGGTCAGTGAATCTGATAACCCATTTTGCCCGACTCTTAACGCTAGTTAGGTCCCGCAGTTGGAAAGAACAGGGACAAACAACAGCATCTCCGATCTTCCGCAAGCTCATACTCTCAGTTTTACACAACCTTGGATTTCGGCTTCATTCAAATAATAACTCCACCTATTTTTTCCGCTTCGAGTTCATCATGTCGGAAATCACCTTTGCCAAGTCCTTTCTCTCCACGCTGGACTCCCGACCCATTAAGCTGCGTGCTGATCATGTCGTCGACCCAGCGCAAACTGGGCTGAGCGCACCGGTAAGCTTCTTGTTCCAACTATCTATACTCAATGCAATACATTTTCTATCCTATATCAAGCTGGATCTAATTCGATTGCCCCCAGTACACTCTTCCCCGCCTTCACGCCCCGCACCCGGAGATGCCCAAGAAAGTCAAGCAGACCCAAGCACCAGGCTCGTCCAAGTCCATTACCATTCACGTGAAGTCTGCTCGCAACCCCGTTCTCGAATTCTCTCTGCCCAACTCTCCTCTCTCTACGACTACGGTACAGGATCTGAGAGATGCCGTCGGACAACGTGTTACCGATGCGCAAGGAAACCCCGTGGCGCTTGAGAAGATTAAGATTCTGTGCAACAAGAAGCCTGTTGCCGGAACTGGGAAGACAGTCGCTGAAATTCTGGAAGCCGAGCCGAGTATGCTGGTTGGTGGCAAAGAGGTTGAGTTTAAGGTGATGATCATTGGAGGTGCCAAGACTATTGATCTATCAGAAGCTCAACCGGCAACAGCAGCCCATGAAGGCTCTGTGCCCAAGCCAGCAATTGGTCCCAGCGGCGCAGAAGTTGTGCGGACAGAAGCTTTCTGGAATGACCTCCAAGGTTATCTTGAGCAACGCTTGAAGGACAAGAACGAAGCTGACAGGTTAAGCACACTGTTCAGAGACGCATACACATCAACCCAATGAGGGCCGGAAGACTCTCTCTATTGACTATAATTCTATTTGATTGATTACATCCTAGTAATAGTGTGTGTATGCAAGATTTTTTCAATCCTCGCCGATTGGCCCATGTTAAAACTTGCGCCTGTCATGATTTCGTAAATTATGTATGCTGGGTAATACTACTAGGTACTAGTAGGTAGACCGAAGTAAAGTTCATGCTATGGTACAAATTTTCCCTTTAGAATTCAAAACTCCAATTCTTCCACCTCCATGCCACAGTCCACACATGTCTTGATGGGAATACCGGTTTCGGAATTCTCTACAGGCCGGCCCCATTCGTGCACATGTTTTCGGTTGCTACTGAGGTCATCTCCAAACTCTCCGCCAGAAGCCCCTTGTCGATTGCGACGATATGCTTCAACCCGGGTACGTTTCTTGAGGTCCTGCAGCTTCGTCTTGAACTTGGCTTCACGGCGCTTCTTTTTGTCAGTTTCGCGCCGCTCAAACTCAGCATCTAGGGCCTCAGAGGAGCCCCATTTCTTATCCGAGAGAGCATACTCCTCGACCTGGTACCGAAGATAAAGCATCATGTTATTCCACGTTGATTTATGCGGGTTGGGTTTTTCGAGACGGGGAAGGAGCTCTTCGTCTCGCAATTCAGCTGTTGAGAAACAATCAGCAATTTCCCACGATTATTCTTATGTAATTTTTTTTGAGAGCTCACGGTCAGTCAAGAGGTAATCTTCTTTCGCCTCCGTCTTGGTGAGAAGACTGTACTTCTCCGGGTATTTATCCTTGCATGCATGGCAAATGCGGCATCGGAGCTCCTCTTCCCATTTCCAGTCAATCTCTAAGCTGCCACATTCGCGACATACTTTCTGCTTGCTCTTATCATCCAAAGCACTCAAAGCAGGCTCAAAGGGCCCTTCGCGATTTCGCCGTAATGATTGGAGTAGCTGGTGACGTTCCCATTCTTTTTGTGTCATATTTGCTGGCTTTTGTTCTTTCCCATCAGGCACATGAAGCGCCTTGTTGAATGGATCGTCCTCTTGAGTCAGGAAGCCGCCCTTTGTATCGGTCATCTTACTGAAATCGAAATCAACGTATGAGGAAGTAAAGTTGCGGGCGGGTTTGATCGCATCAAGGGGACGATTAGACGAAGGGACATCCGAGCGCGCATCGCGCATGGAGGTAGGATTAGATGCTGTCATCGAATTGAAAGAGCGCTTAACTCCTTGGGTAGATTGTAAGGTACGCGGTCCGGAGGGTGAGCCTTTGGAGCGCTCAGCTTCCCGCTGCTCTCGTAGAGCTTTGGCTTTCATGCGATTCTCTTCCTAACCACAGAAAGAAAGAAAAAACATGGTAAGCTTTCAACATCGCCGAGACTTAGGGGTTCTTGCTAGAGTGGAGCACTTACAATCTTCCGCTGCTGCTCTGGAGTTATGGGGCCGCGGGGGAGAATCCCGGACCCAGCAGCATTCTGCCGTGGGGGCGTTGAAGGTCGCTCTGCTGACATCTTACCCAAATGAGGACGTAATAGAATGTCGCGAAATACAGAGCCCAAAACGAAGAAATCAGCGAATGTAGAACCTTGGAAAGACTCTCAGGCGGCAAGACACGGTGACACGTGACCGCGCGTACATAATGTGGGTCACACGTCATTGGTTAATGTATTTGATCGATCGATCACTAAGACTCCTTAGTCCTATGAGTCGAAACCATCCTCGTCGCGATCTTGTCCGTATAACACCTCACATACACCACCAACGGGAATATCCATGACCGCATCTGTGCCCTCATTCCAGATCTCCCACCAATTCACCTTCCGATTTTGCGGGCCCATAATCTGGAATGAAGTGGCCCCGGGTTTCATTTTAGTCGCTCCGCCCGGTCGTCGCCGTGCCTTTCCATCAATGACTGCGACATTGGCAACCTCATCAACAATGTTTTCAATGCTGTTCATGGGCAAGGTGAGATATCCCGTGTTGTATGAGGCGAGTGCAATGTAGATGTAAACAATAGACATCACCAACCAGGAGGGTATAGCTAAAGACCACCAGCGGTTAGGGTAGTAATAGATCCCCAGCTGGTGGAGGAAAGGCGATGGGAGGTACGACCAGAGCAGATAGAACACTATTCAAGCTGAATATCAGTAAATGCACGGAGGAAGCCATGGGTCAATTGGGAACAGAGCCACTCCCAACGTCTTGATTTTTAGATTCATGGATACTTACAGAAGGCAAGTGACGAAGCCAAGTAGAGCACGAATCCGTAGTACTCATATGTCGGAACCTTAGGGCTGGCGCGGGGGACGGTAGTTGCGCGACGGGCCGACTTGGCCACAGCAGCCTCCGTATCATTTGGGGTCTCAACATCAGAGCTGTCCGGCGTTGTAGGACGGGAAGTCGTGGTGGAAAAAGGTGGCCGTAGCAGAGAGGTTAGCGAGGGCGAGGGCGGCAATGGCGTGGGCGGCCGATTGTAAAAGGGGGGTGCGAATGCATTGGGCCCATGGAGGGAGCTGGAGGACTGTCGGAATGGATGATCGCGCCCAATTTCATCGGCCGAGTCTTCCGATTCCGAGTCAGAGAGGGACTGAGGGTCAAGGGAGTAGTGCGACTGGAAATCGGCATCGTCCTCTACCTCGATTTCATCGTAGCTCGGGGAAGTGACGCTTTCATCTCTTGAATAGCTTCCATGTGTGTCTGTGGGTGAAACAAGATCATCCATCAATGGCGGAAATGGCTGCTTGGACTCAAAAGGGGGCTCGTAACCCGTTCTCTCAGAAGATGATTCTCCCTCCATCTGTTCTCAAGGAAACGAAATGTTGACTTGTTCAGAATAGATCATTGGCCATTGCGTCGCGGGCCCTTTTCTGCCCGCATTTAACCCCACCGCTCTCTAAACATTCATGGAGTGTCCATTGGCCAATCACACAAAGCGGACCCGAACTGTGCATACTATCAACAACATCCTACAGTTTCTTCAGAAAAATTATGGATTGAAAAAAAAAAAACTCCAGGAGTTATTTCACCTGCTCATGCCCATAATTCGATCCTCAAAGATCCGCATAGAACCTTTAATTGTTTGAATTTGGTACAACTTGACTCCAGGGCTGTTGATTGCATACCATGTACTACATAGTATATATATTGATAATACGTGCACAGTATGTCACATAAACATGCAACTTAGGAGCTGCCAGTGCACATGTGGCCTAACTTTGATTGACCAGTTGACGGTTGAATCTTTCAATTGATGTAGTACCCACCACAGTGCTAGTAGTATACATAGTACATATGCAATTAAATCTCAAGTGCTTACTACTACATGCATGTGGGCTCCTAAACATTTTAATGTTTCCAAACTACTTCTTACAACCTTGACGTGCTCCCGAATTCCAATACTTGAAATGTTGAGTATTCATAAAATTGCGATGTTCAATTTCAAAAGGTAGATCGTATTGTTCAAATGTTTTGCTAGCCGTACTATTATATGTATTTATAATTATTAAAATCAAAGTGAAAGGCACTCAAAAGCGTGCAGTACTTTCAAATGAATGTGATCCATAATCCACCAGTAACCTTGGACCTCGGGACTGGAATAATTCAAGACCATTGAGAGAATTGGTGCCATATGTAACGGCTGACGGGAGGAGAGATCATAATAAATCCCCTACAGGATGCAGGCGACTTGAGAGCCACCCTTTTCGTTGGCCTGTATTGCTTTAGTCTTTCTTCCTTTCCAAGGTCTGAGGAGCAAAGTTGAAAACTTACGACGAGCTGACTACCCTGGCAGCAAAGAGGCGAGCTGCCTTGCTGGCATTGACCTCCCCACTGAGCTTGCTTGCAGCCTGATCCAAAGCCGCCAAACCAGAGGATGCTGATAGGAGCAACGTACTGGCAGCACCAGGAGTTCTGGGGCTTGCACTGTTGTGGCTGACCATTTCTCTTATCGAGGCTCAATTCGTAGTCTCCATCAGTAGGAAGAGCGGTAGTCATGCTAGCAATGGCGAGTCCGGAAGCAAGAATGTTCTTCAAAAGCATGATGAAGAATCTTTGGCAAGCGAAGTGTTTCTTTGTTCTGTTGTTCTGAGTTGAGGAAGTGTGAGTTGGAATAAGATGATGACTTGAGGAATATTTGAGCCTTTAAATAGCTTTTCTGGTGTCTAGCCTCGCCGGTGTTTGAAGCTTTACATCGCCTTGCTTTGATCTATCTTTACGTCGATGATTCATTGACTTCGCTGTACTCGTTGGTCTAGATCGCAGTGCGATGGATCATTGACATGGCCGCATGCACATAGCTACTATACTATACAGATATTTTGCTCAGGTAGGATCCTCAGTTCGATTGTTCCGCCTGTTTGGGGATACGAAGTAGACACTACGCGGTACTGCGTGCCGTAAGGAGGAAGAAGATGGTACTCACGCTCGAAAATCCTGGTCTCGGCAGAAAACACCGTAACAAAGATTCTGTCTAGACCGAGAATCACCTGCGATTGGGTTTGAATGCCAAGAGTGGAATGATACCAAGGTACGGACCTAATAACTAGTAGTATGGACTTAGAGTCTAACCAAAGAGGTCGAGAGGGTACTGCGCCGGAATAGTCGATGTGGGGCCAGAGCACATGCATAGATGCGGCTGCTAATTCAACTTCAATCGTTATGAAGTTTTAGGTCAATATTGTCTTAATCTTAAGTGATTTAGTCAACCAATCACAGTAATGAAATGGATCATGTACAAGCAACATGTGCGTTTTGTTTTGATTTCAGCGTTGTTTCCAAATAAGCTCTGGTGTTATGGCTTTGATTTGCTTTATTGCCATTATGATTAAGCCTTGAAGAGTTAAAATAGCCTAGGATCTCAAAGCTCAGGAGATTCAAGATCCCCCAACCCGTATCCGCACCTAGATACGAGAATGGTAAAGTAAACGAAGCCAGGTCCTGGGACACCCATCTCGCAGTTACCAATGTTAATTAGCCACTTCCAAGGCAGTGGAGCCAATACCGAGTATCTACCCCAGATTTTCAGGGTTCATAGAATTCTTTTCTTTAACTTAGGGAACCATGGAAAGGCTCCAATTGTTGTTGGGCGAGAATAAGGTTATCTACTTACTAAGTTACTATGTTCCCAAGTTCCTCATTAAAGTTTAGAGCTGCCGCGGAAACCGGTTCGTACCCGGAACTTACGATCCAGATCGATCGAATACGATAGCCTATACCATCAAATCAGATGTCTCCTTACCCGAATCTACTACTTACAGAGCTGGATTGCAAGTGGATGAACAGGCAATGCCAAGACAATTATCCGATTTGTCTGATGGCCCCAGTGGGCCTTGGCATTCAACATCTGGCCGGGCCACTTTTCCGGCTCCACCCGGCGGGAATATGGTTCGTGCACTGTTGGGTGAATCGACCACGCCGCTCGCTATACGACCAAACATTGGAAAAACCGGTTCCTTAGCGCCACAAACAAACCTTCATTTCCGCATTAGGATCTATGTTGCATATCTAGATGTTGCGGACCATCTTCTTGCCTAAATCCTGAGATGCGATTTCCAAGTCGTAAATGAATCTCACTTGGATAGGCTTCTCATTGTTCAGTTCCGAGGGCTGAACTTTTTTCAAAATACCGAGAAATTTTACACTAATTTTCTGCGGGTGACACGGATGTCCTTTGTTTCTCACCGGACTTCTAACCTTGGGTTTGCATGTGTATTCGGTTTAGAAGGTTGCCCATGGTCGATTCCAGCCACAACAAAAAAGCTTTGTGATAACGAGGCATATAAGGCTTGCGGTATAACTGGCTGCCGCAAAGGCTATCAAACCTTGATATTCCCCACCACATGCGGTCAGGATCTGGCCGGCTATGGGAATCCCAGTTAAGGTACTAGTATATGATGTCAGTACTCATTCAACATAAACATTCCAAAAAGAGGAAAACAAAAGAAATATCCATCAATATAACATACCTTATGCTAACAATCACATAAGCTGTCGCATAGTAGCGGCCGTATTCTTCAAGTTTGCATAGCTGCCCGATGCAGACAGGAGCGAGGCTAACATTACTGCCACTGGCGAAACCAAACAGTAGAGCAAAAATTGTAATCACAGCTTGACTAGTCCCCGCGGAGACCCACAGACAAGTGATACAAAGCAGACAGCCAAGAATTGTGATGATCAGTGTATTGAACCGACCAATACGATCGGCACAGTAGCCTGGGATCCACCGGCCGAAGACTGAGCCCGCATTAACCAAGGACAATAACAAGAAAGAGAATTGCGAGGATTGCCCATGGCTCAGAGCATAGGATGTCAAGTACGTGAGAGGAACGAACAAGCCCCACTCCATAAAGAAAATCCCCATACTAGCAAGCATGAGGGTACCGTTGCAGAATAAAGAAAGGTCTGGAAACAGTGCTCTGACACCGGTTTCTTTGGGGGGAAGCCGGGAGCGGATGAGGATTATGGCCACACCAAAGGCTATCAGGTCCACGAGAGCTATAACCCGAGTGGCCCATGCGAATCCGACCTGACTTGCGACGCTTTGAAAAAGTAAAGGAAACACCACACCCCCACAAGATGCCCCTGAGGACGCAATACCCGTTGCGAAGCCTCTTCTTCGGCGGAAGTAGTGTGCAACTATTGAGATTGCGGGGTTGAAGGCAAGTGATACGCTCACGCCTCCCAGGACCCCAAAAACCAGCATGAAATGCCAGTATTTGGTACAAAACCCCAGTAGTACCATGGTGAGTATAGTCCCAATCCCACCACAGGTGACAAGAATGCGTGGGCCTTTTGCGTCGAAAATCGGACCAACCTGAATTCCACAGAAGAAGGCAAGAAATGAGTAGACACCAAGGATCCAGCCAATTTTGCCAGACGAGTAATCTCGTAGTTGATGTGCTTCTAGATATGTCTGGAAAATGCCCAGGCTGTTCATCATACCAATTGTGCTGAAACTGGCCATCCAGCTACCGATTACAACGCTCCAGGAACTCCAGCCTCCCTCGGGGTAGAGGTCTGGATCGCCATCTGGCCGATGTGGTGCACGTTCATTCTTGTTTATAGAGTCGGAAAATTGATTTTGAGCCACGTCATAGTCAATGTCTCTTTGGGTCTCCTCCTTCTCCGAGTATAACGAGTCTTTATTAGGCTGGAGGCTGTTTCTTGCTATAGATTCCTTTTTGAGTGGGCAAGTCGAGTTGGCTTGAGGCATGTCTGAGCAACAGAAGCGACAAAAGAAGTGATGAGCGCTTGTTCTTCTTTTCCCCACTCGAAATGTTCAATGGACTCGACAAATGAAGATGTCAGAAACATCAGTATCTAAGTGGGTATTGACTTGATCTGAATGTTGTTCCCTTTCCTTGCGAAAAAAATGCAATGAAGCATGAAGGGTGAGCCGCAGGATGTTTGTCGGCCTGACCGACAGGAGCGGGACCTGCCATAATGCCAAAGCACTCTTGCGCCCCACTCAGAGCAGGTGAAAGCGATACAAGACGATATTCCCGTAAAATTTTATGGTGCTTAGGAAAGATAGGGAAAGATCGAAAGGGGTAAAGAACGAAGAATTTGTTTGATTGAGAAAGAATGTGAGAAATTTCAATTTGACATCGGGAACATTTGAAAATGGCCTCCTGGAAAATCTGGCTATCGGAACAAGGGTTGAAAGGGCATACAGGGACTCAAGTGCTTAAATCTTTCAAGTTATGGAGCTGATAAATCTTCTGATTTAAAAGTCAGGTGGCCCTCGCGGCGAGAAGTCATTTTGAATATTTTCTATCAAAATCCAGCTACCGTATATGCCTTGAGCTTTGCCGACACCGTCCGAATCATCCCCTGTATCTTCTTCGCGGAGGGGAATTTCACAGAGAAGGCCTCCAGTAGTTCAACAGCTAGCTCAAGATTATCAACTGCTCTGACATGATCTGATGCCAATGTAATATCATCTGTTTGAGCAGTAGACGTGTACATAAGAGACAGAGCCGAGTTGAATATAGCCACAAGATTTAACCAATTATAAGCAAAACGACGTTGTCGGTGCAGATTGATGGCCTGTCGTATTGCCATTCCTGACGCTTCGGCCAAGGTCTTCATCTTCGCTGGGTCCAAATTAGGACTTAAAGGTGAAGGCCGATAAAGCATTATGACATGGGTGTAGTAGTTGAGGTCAAACCAACTGGTACACAAATGAGGGACTTTCGATTGCAGGTCGGGCAAAGGGAAAGGCATGCTGCGACGCCAATCGAGTAAGCGTTTGTGGAGGGATTTTATTGTCTCTTCCCGGGCCTCGGGACTTTGTTCTCGACTGTATTTTGGGGAGTGAATCTGGCTACCAATGTCACTGGCGATTCTCCTGAGCGCTAAAATATGTAGTGGAACGGCCATTGTAGATGGCTCTAGAGTTCTTGAGGAAGTTATACCATCAGGTTTGATATTTTCATCGTCGACATCGGAAAAGGGCTAAAAGCCATCAATAACAGTGAATATTCAGGCTTCAAAAACGGGGTTTCAAACCTCAACGGTAATGTCGTTGTCTTGTATCGCAAAAGGGCGGCCAAGAGCCAAAGACACGACACTAGAATAAAGAGTCATAAGCTGGGAAAATCGAAGTAAAGATAAATCAGCTCAACATACCGATCCATCATGTAAAGACAAAAGAAAATTCTTTTCTGCTGCTCTGCTGCGTCAACAGGTAAAGATTGGTATACGTCCGCTGTATGAAGGCCCATTCCTGTCGCCATCCGAGCCGCGACTCCCACCAAAAACCAAGTATCTATCGAGTGTTAGATGCACGATTTCAATAATGTTATTTTGGAACCGAGATGCATACTGGGACCAATCTTATTAAAAAAGGAATATGAGACCTGAAGCATAAGAACTTCCAGGCCAGCCTGGTTTAAGAATGCATCAGTACCGAGATTTCCGTATGAAATCTGATTCATAGACACCGAGACTCACCAAATCACCACATCCCATAGCCGGCTCAAAGTAGATCATCGCCTTGTTGTAGAACTGCACCGATTCAGTTTCATCCATCAGCGAGACAGAGCAGTATGTTGTAGAACCGATCGCCAACACCATCCAAATCCTGAACTGCCACAGAGAAGACTGGGCTAGGGGGGCAAGTGGATCGGCATAGATTCCCCATAATACCGCCTCAAACTCCGATTTCTTGATCATTGGGTATAAGGTATGAGAATGCGCGAAATAAAACTCTAGAATATAGTTTATATGAGAAGGCTCGAGTAAGGTAAGAGCCATTGAGTGCTCAAGGTCGCCAACAGCGGTATCTCCCAAGAACGAGTTTAGGGGCAGCGGACTGGTCAATGAAGGATGCATTTCGAAAAATATCGGGTTCAGATTGGAAGATGCATCAGGTTCAGACTCGTAACTCTGTTGCTGGCTGTCGTCGGATTCCCCGTCGAACACAAATCCATCTTGGTCCGGGGATAAACGCTGTAGAACCGTCTGGGTGAGTTTAGCAAATGAAAGCCCCGAAGAAGATCCCAGATATCTCTCAGCTGCTGCTTCCAAAGAGAGGAGCCTGAGCTCTTCAGCTAAGCTGTCTGTTCGCGGAGCAGGAGCAGGAGCAGGCGCATTGCTGGGTGAAATTGGCAAAGGCTCGAAGGCGGGGACTGGGTTCGTATCGGACGGTAGTGGAGGAGAGTGGTTCGTGATATCGTCAGAATGAAGAAAGGCCGTTCCCAAGTCACTCATGTGAGCTTCTGTATCCTGACCCCATGTGAACGATGGCTCATTTTGAGATGTCTGAGGTGTGAGAGCCGATGCGAGTCTCTGTTCGAGATCCTTCACACGTCGTTCTAGCTGCCGCACATAGCTATTCAGGTCAGCGTTGTGTCATGGGGAGATACACCGGGAGGCTTGAGTCATACGCGATAGGATAAGATGCAACCTGGGCTTCGTCATCGAGAAAGCTACATGCGACCTTGGCATGTTGACACGCGTTGCATTGTGGCAAGGTTTTGTCGCATCGCTTTTTTCTTCGGTGACATCGCTTGCATGAGTTCTCCGACCGTGCCGCTGATTCCAGCATCACTATTTGGCGTGCAGCCACTGCAAAGCTGTGAGATGCGGGAAAATAGTGGGGAAGATAAGAGCGAGATTCATTAGATTAGCAGCTATTCTTCTCGCCTTATTCAACAGTTTCGCATCAAATCTACTGTTGGAAGATGTGGAAAGGAAATGAAAACTAATGACTTGGATAGAATTGACTCTCGTGATTCCACAGAATACAAAGTTTTGACGTGCGTGATACTTTTCCCAGTGTTGAAGCCTGAGAACTTGCCCTTGATCTCGTGCGGGGGCAGAGGAGGACTTATTCTAAGCAACCAATAATATTGCGCACATTTATCATAGTGGGGCGTATCTTATCTGGTGTGGGGAAAACACGTGATGACTCAGCAGGGCCAGATTGGCTCATGTTTGACTCAGTTTGAGTCTTGAATCTCACGCGCTAATCCGTTTCCTTGACAGTGGACACACATTGCAAATCTCGTCAACAACTTGAATACACGCTGAAACTCAGCCAGAGAAAAGGGAAAATCGCCTGATTTTGAAGGCGGAACACAGATCCTATCCATCGGTCGTCCCGCCATGAAACTCTTTCAATCGGGCCATGCGACTTGCGAAAGGTTATGTCGCTTCACTATTATAAAAACCATACACACTGACTAGTAGCCATGCTTCCCACCTCAATCCAATGATTTTATGAATCATATTCCTTCTCCTTTGACCCTCCCAAAATGTCCTCCAATGGTCAATCTTTCCTCCTAGACCCCGAGAAGCAAGCCGGACCCACCAGATACTCCCACGCACGGGTCGTCCAGCCCTCCACCCATCATACAATTTACATCTCCGGCATCGCTGCTGTGAGGCCGGATGGGACCTACGAAGGAGTTGTTGAGAACCCTGACGGGAGCTTCATAGCCGATGTGAGGGAACAGACTGCTGCTGTCTTGAGTCGAATCGACAGCATTATCCAAGGAGCGTCCAAAGGGAAAGCAAATCTCTACAACATTGTTGATGCGACGGTATATATTTTGGACATGAAAACACAATATGCTGGGATGAATGAGGAATGGAATAAAATTTGGGCAGATCGAGCGAGCGCCCCGAGCCGGGCGACCATCGGAGTGAAGGAGCTTCCGGATCCTCGCTTTATGGTTGAAATCAAGGCTACAGCAATTTTCGAGGAATGAATTCAGTATTCGATTAATAGAACCGTAACAACTTGAAGTTTATCTCTTCAGCTACTCGTTTGTTGTACGGTTCAAATGTATGTAGACATTCAAATGTTCCAACATTGAAGACTTCACACTGGCACACGTGGAGTGTAAGCAGGGGCACAGTCCAATCTTACTATGTAGTCAACATTTATTCAGAGTGGTTTTCAGGAGGCAACATTTGAATGAAATCTTGAAATGCCTTGTGAACTCCGACACAAGCTCCCATAATCAATTGAAATATTAAACTTCGGAGTAATTGCAGGTGGGTACTAGGTTAGTACGAAGTAAACGGCCGATTGTGCTGACTGACTTTAAAATTATTCCAAGGTTGCTTCTCCTCTTGCCGATCCTCCCTTCTCACCACACTTGCCATTTCAATCCGGATGCCGAGAATTTACAATGGCCTCCTCAACTGATACCGATGAAGTCCAATACTGCGAATTGGAAAATTTCACCTTCCAAAATGGCGTCACTCTCCCAAACATCCGCGTGGCATATCGGGATTTCAACCCAACTGGACTAAAGACCGCTCTGGTTCCAACATGCTTCCGAGGAACAATCAACACCACGCTCAACTTCACCAAGGGTGTTTTGAAAAATCACCGAGTGGTTGTGGTCGCACTATTCGGCAATGGAGAATCTGCGAGTCCGTCTAACACTCCCAACTTCCCTGCCATCCTCGACTACCAAGACTGCGTCCGAGCTCAGCAGATCTTAGTCAAAGAGCATTTAAAAATCGAGTCGCTGGATGTGGTACTGGGATTCTCCATGGGAGGCCAATGCACCTATCATTGGATAGCGATGTATCCGCAAATGGTCCGACATGCGGTCATTATATGTTCATCAGCTAGAACAAGTCTACACAATTATCAGTTCTTGGAAGGGCCTAAGGCCGCATTACTACATTCCGTCGACTACAACGACAAGAGCCTTCTTGCTAAGGGTATCGCGCCAGTACGCGGCCTGCGGGCCTTTGGAAAAGCTTATTCTGCGTGGCTGACAAGTGCAGAATGGTTCGATGAGCGTCTTTTCGAAGAGTTTGGCTTCAAGACTCTTGATGATTGGTCAGAGGCTGGTGCAAAGGGTTATGATAACTGGCATCCCGATGACCTGCTGGTCATGTTAGGGATGTGGCAGCGATCGGACCTTAGTCTCGTTGGAGATGGAAAGAAAACCCTGAAGGATGCTCTATGTGCTTTGAATGCCAGAGTACTTCTAATACCCTGTCAGACCGACCAATACTTTAAATGGGAAGCTAGCCAGAAAGAGGTCCAGGATCTGAAATTCGGCGAGCTGGCGGTAATCCCATCGATCTGGGGTCATATTGGTGGAGGTGGTGCCAACCCGAAGGATACCGAGTGGATGGATAGCAAAATATCTGCATTTTTGCGCAGCGATCACTGATACGTTGAATTGGATAACGATTTTGTTGATGGGGAACATTCGAAGTCATCGTATTTCTGGCCAATGGATAACTAGTAGATATTATGAAAGCTGACTGATCGGAGTACACCTCACATAATCTTCACATATTCTCAGTGCTACTCAGAAAGGAAAATAAATCATGTGTATTGACGACCAATCGCATGGGCTGAAGTTGCTTGACGTAAGTAGAGCTGCCCGAATGTGATACTGAGTGGGGTAAATACGATCGCATTATCATACTAGATAGCAGTCACCGTCGGACAGTCCGACACTCGAATCTCAGCAACTTTGGTCCTCAGGTCCAGTACTGTGACATGGGCTTTAGTTAAATAAAGCCTCCATTATTGAATTCAAATACTATGGAGATTTACTCTTCTTGTATCAACACAAAATGAGTGACATGAAACTGGAAAACAACTTGCTGGGCCTGCCGGTCTTACTGCCATGGACCTACTCCTTGGCATTAATCCCATTGCTTGTCTACTTCCTCTACAAAGTAAGTACGATAAGCTATTTAATAATTTCTGACTTAACTAAGAACCACACAGCACACGCTAGCAACGGATATTCCTCATATCAAAGGCCTACCGGAGATTCCCGGCGCAGTGCCTGTCTTCGGTCACCTGCTCAAACTTGGAGATGATCACGCAAGCATCTGCGAAGGCTGGTGGCGGAAGTATGGCCACTCGGTATTTCAGATCAAGCTGGGCAATACAAGGGCTGTAGTGGTCAACTCGTTTGAAGACTGCCGCAAGATGCTACTTGGCCACCAAAACGCTATTATCGACCGCCCAAAGCTATACACTTTCCATGGCGTGGTCAGCAGTACTCAGGGTTTCACCATCGGTTCTTCTCCCTGGGACGAGTCCTGCAAGAAGAAGCGTAAAGCAGCTGGAACTGCGTTGGGAAGACCCGCTCTTCGCAACTATTACCCCATGTTCGACTTGGAAAGCTACTGCATCGTCCGTGATCTGCATCTGGACAGTTCAAACGGCGCCGTTGAGCTCAGCGTCCGCCCTTATATCCAGCGCTATGCTCTCAACACGACTTTGACCCTGTGCTATGGTATCCGCATGGATGCTGTTTACGATGACCTTTTGCGCGAGATTCTCCACGTTGGCTCGGCTATCTCTCTCCTCCGCAGCGCTTCGGAGAATCTTCAAGATTATATCCCCATTCTGCGGTACATGCCAAACAATGAGAAAACTGCCCGATCAAAGGAGCTGCGAGACCGTCGCGATGCATACTTGAACCTCCTTCTGGACAAAGTTCGGGAGATGATTAAGAAGGGAACCGACAAGTCTTGCATTTCTGCGGCCATTCTCAAAGACGAGGAAACGAAGCTGACGGGAGTGGAAGTCTCTTCCATATGTTTGTCACTTGTCTCCGGTGGGTTTGAAACTATTCCTGGTACTCTGACTTCCGCTATCGGGTCGCTTTCTACCCCAGAGGGACAGATCTGGCAAGATCGCGCTTATGAGGATATCAAACGATACTATCCTGACGTTCGTGAGGCTTGGACAAGCTGTGTTTCCGAAGAAAAGGTCCCCTATGTGAATGCTATTATCAAGGAGGCTGGGCGCTACTATACTGTCAGCTCAATGAGTCTTCCCCGAAAGACCGTGACAGAAGTGAACTGGAATGGTGCAATCATTCCTCCAAAGACGATGATCTTGATCAATGCGCAGGCCGGTAATCACGGTGAGTCTCCCAAATATACCGCTGTCGTGTAGATACCAACTAATGTTTGAAATTAGATGTTGACCACTATGGGCCTGATGGGGGCAAGTTTGATCCTGAGCGATGGCTAAAGTCTTTAAATCCACCAGAAGAAAAAGAGGTCAGCGGCCTGCCGCATTTGAGCTTTGGCTCTGGATCTCGTGCTTGTTCCGGTCAATTCATCGCATCAAGACTACTCTATTGTGCTCTCATTCGGATTCTTGCCTCATACAAGATCGTGGCGAGTGAAGATAGTCCACCAAATACGGACTATGTGGAGTATAACCAGTTTAAGACGGCACTGGTTGCTATTCCCAAGGATTTTAAGGTCCGGTTGATTCCCAGAGATGATGCTGTTACATCAGAGTGTTTGAACTTGGCGGAGCTGAGAACTAAGGAGCACTACAAAGAGTGATGTGTTAAGCTCAAAATGCAGGTGGAAATGTTTCAGCCATTCAACCTTAGGGCCTTGGAACCAACATTGCGGACATTTACTGGAAGCACTCAAGTGCTGTTGGTGATAATATATTGAAGTTCAACCCTGGAAACATTTGCTAGCAGTCATACTCAATTCGATCTTGAGGTACTTTACATATGTAGTCATCAGGTAGTCCCATTTCGGTAAAAGAATATGTTCATTCAATCCATCTCAAGTCATTTCAACTAAATAAAGCAATATTTACTCATAATCAATTTCGGGTTTTGTTTGTTATGTTCTTGAAAGTGCGAACACTTCCAAGATTGGACACTTCGTACAGCTATATACATCACAGATCATAACCTCAGTATCTTAAGCCCAAGCGGTGCCAATGGCCCAGCTTGCATCGTAGTTGAATGTAGTGGGAGTATCAAACACTTCGACACCACCGTTGCTTGCTGCGTATAGAACATCGTCGTAATGACGGAAGAAACGAGTAGGGTAGCTCCAAGATCGAACAGTGTGGGTTCCTGCCCCCTCAAGGGCCTCTAGCGGGCAGAAAGTGGCATCCTCGTGGAATTGCTTTGTACCATCATTGGCATTCAGCAAGAGGACAAAGTTGTAGTGGCGGATGTAGCTGCCAGGGGTATCAACAGACTCGAACGAGAAACAAGCAGAGTTTCCGAGACCGGTGACGACCGTCCAGCTAGCCTCCTCCTTGAGGGTAGTGGAGCTGGAAGAAGTGACCACCTGGGTGTTGACAGCAGTGCCGGTGTGGGCAATGTAGCGTGTAGTGTATCCAGGTGTGGTGGCCCGCAGCGAGATGACGGAGCCAGCAGTAAGGGCTGTTCCACTGGTCAAAGAGGTGGTCACGTACTTGGCAGCGACGATGTTAGCCTGAACAGAGTTCTCGACAGTATCGGTCGGGTATCCGCTGGTCATCACGCCTTCGTAGAAAGTTCCCTGGGCGCCGTTGCTGTTGTCACCACCAATACCGAGAATGATGGCACCTTCCTTAAGCATAGGGTTGTAGCCGCTGGGGCGGACACCGCTGTAGTATGTCGATAGCGCACCAGAGGCAGCGTTGCCACCACGGATAGCCCACAGATCAGCTGTACCCTTGACAATCGCACTGACAAAGCGGTAGGTGATAGACGGGTCGGCACTGTTCAAGGTAGCGCTCTCGCCGGAGAACAAGCCGTTCTCGAGATCGGCCATGATCCAAGGACCGTCGCCAGCGCCATAGCCCCAAGAAGTACTGTTGCCGTAGTAAATAGCCTCCATGTGGCCGGCACCGGTGTCGGTACTGCTGGTCTCGGCATTGCCGTAATCATAGCAGCAGGCATCGTTGTAGTGGGTTCCGTCAAGGACCGCGTACATACCCTCTGGCTTATCGAGTAACGCGGTATCAACAGCGTCGTTGTTTCTGTAGCCTGTACCGGGCGACATGAAGACACCGTATGCCTTGTTACCATTGAGCGTGACAGGTGCGCCAATTGCACTGGCCAAATCATCGTAGCCACCAACACTAGGGCCATCGAATCCACCAGGTGGTGCCCGTGTGAGATGGTTGCCATTGCCTGTCTGGTCGTAAATGGTTGTAATGAGGCATGTTGTGTTGGCACAGAAAGTGTCTTGGGCGGCGGCGTTTGCGACACCTCCAGCAGTCAGTGGCACAATAATTGTCGTGGTGTTGTCTGAGCCACGGATCACTTGGTAAAGTGAGCTATCGTAGGCAGTGTATAGAGCACGGGTGGTACTGTGTGCAGCAACGCAGGGTGTGTCACCAGCCAAGTAAAGATCACAGGGTCCAGCTACGACGAGTGTGCTCCCGACAATAAGCCCTAGAGCAACTGTCCAGGCGCGCTGGAGGATGCTTGGTCTTGACAGCATTTTGGGTGACCTCTGGCGTTTGTATTCAGCGATGAGATGCTCGATCCTGGAATTGAACAGATAGGTCTAGTCACTCCATGCTGGGCAAGCTTCAGTCTATTTATATTGTTTATTTCGTCTGGCGAGATGCATATCCAGTTTCTTCAGAATTGTCAGGCGTCGTTATAGTGGGGTTGAATTCTCCTCCAATGGGTGATTGCAGATGGAGTATAGTACATTATTGACTCGATGATATAAGCGGGCTTGCAGCTTAGGTCTCATATCCTCGGTTAATACTGGAAACAAATTGAGTATCAAGTTCAAGCCACAGTACCTTTCAAACTAAATTACTTGACGAAACTGCCGTGAATAACGCGGGGAAACTGGAGGTCAGACGTTTAGGGCGATGATTTATGCTGAACCGTACGGAAAGTGATGTTCCACCTGATGCTCACGAGCCCAAGGCTGATTGACCAAGCATTTTGTCCCACCGGGCTTTTTCCCATTTCTCCTCGGCGGGGCACAATTAACCGAAGCAACCAACGCAGTCGAGCAGGAAGCAGCCAAGCTTAGCCAGATCCAGTATTGTGGCGTCCTAACTTAATTGTTCCTGAAGATGCGGGGCCCCGGACGGCACTCGTCTGCACATTCGTATCGACCTGAGGGGAATTTGTTATTGGAGGTACCTGGTCAGCCACCCCTTTTATGGACTAGCTCCAGTCCCTGGAACGCAATGCCCTGGCATATTTTCGGTGACGAACGCCTTTTATTTCTTCAGCAGTTACGGCTTGGCAGGGCATTTTGGTCCCGTGAATTTGTCTGAAGCGTGGTCACATTGCTAGTCCTCATTTGTGGGGCACAAGCGGGGAAAAGGAGAAACCGAAGTATATCCGGCTTTTTGGACACTTTCCAAGGTTTTGGCCACTAGTTCACTTACACAAGTTACACCAGCTTCCGTAATTGTAGCTGATCGCCTTCATCCGAGGCTCAATGGAACGTCGGATCATGTGCGGTTCCTAATACTCCGATGATCCCCTTTGATCCAAGAAAAGTTTTCAATCTTCACTTCTTTACTGTACTCTGTTTCGTTTCCTTTCCACTGGGTCGCCCTGGCCCGGCCCGGCCCGGTCATCTTCACGAATCACAGATCTATCACGTGGCCTCGCATTACACACGAATATTCAAATGTTTCCTGTTTCATATCCATTTTACCAGCATTGGATATTCGAACTACATAAGAATGTGGAGATCACTCCTGTCCGTTTGCGAGCAAGATACGTCCACCATCAACACACAGAGAAATACCGTCCACGTATGACTATTCAAATTCGTTAGTGATGAAAAAGACAAAATTGGAAGATTTTCAATAACTTACCCCTGCCTTGCTCACTAAATACAAGATTGTACCAGCAATATCCTCAGAGCAGCCGGCTCTTTTGGCCGGGACTTTGTCGAATAAGGCGCTGAATATGTTCCCTTCCGCGCCAACAGGGTTCATGTTGCTGGGGACAACTGTATGGCAGTTGTTGGTTAATCTTCCAAACCACCAACATTGAATAGATTGCTGTTCACTTACATCCGGGATTAATCCCTACCACCCGCACGTAAAAGCGATTGTATTTCGCTGCCAGCAACTTGACGAGATGATCGGTGGCTGCTTTGCTCGTCGCGTAGCTTGTAAGGTCCACATTCGTCACATTGTGCATGCTCGCGCATGAACTTGTAATCACAATCACTCCCCGACCTTCATCCCGCCCCTTGACTCCCTCATTTATTGATTGATCGGCGGCTGCGGCGAGCAGGGGAAGAAGAGCAACACTTAAGTAGTAGTGAGCTGTGGTGTTGACCCGGAATGTGTTCTCCCAGTCTTCTTGTCTGATAGACCACATTGAATATTGGAGCTCCTTGATCCCTGCGCTAAGTACGTCACAGGACTTTGGAGGATCGCGACGGATTCCAGCATTAGAAATGAGCATGTCCAATGTTTTTTCTTGTCGATGGACTCTCTCCCCGAGCTCTTTAATAGAGTCTTTTGATGAGAGATCACAGGCAATTCTGTGAATAGCATATTGAAAGATAAGTTAGCCCGGACATAGCAAATAAATTCCATGCCACAAACCCTTCAGCATATCCACCATTCGTCTTTCCCAAGACGTTCAGCTCCTGAACTACTTCCGCGATAGGGTCACATGGTAGTGAGACCAGGTAAACTTTAGCTCCATTCTGTACTAAAGCCTGCACATGGAGGCAATTTATAGTCAGTAGTATTCAGTCTTCAAAAAAGGGTTGATCTCTCACCGTAGAGATCATCAATCCGATTCCACTACTCCCGCCTGTTACAACTGCAACTCGCCCCTTCACATTGAACAAATCCAAAACACTAAGAGAGGCCATCGAGTTTGAACCTATTTGAAGGTCAAAATTGAAGAGCTATTGAACCTCCAAGTACTATTTTAAATAATACGACCTCCGGGGTCACTCAATGTGTTTGAAGTGGGGAACTTCGAATCATTGGCGGCTGATAAGAACTAGCGGCGGCATGTCCGATTACCCAACATCAATTGATTGAAGGTAGACCAAGAAATGCTATGTCAATCAATAACATATGTATGAAAAATAGAACTTTAATCCCAGACATCTGGAATATACATTTTTCATGCTCAAGACATAACATGCATTTACATAGGCACCCCTCCAACATTGAGCTTGATTATGAAGCAGGAGTACCTATTATTTAGTCATATGTATGTTCTTAATAAAAATCGAGGATTCAACATTGGAAAAACTGTTCTACATCTTGAATTCGGGATAGGAAATCGAGTCTATTAACATTTGAAGTTGAAATCATATCCACTGGCATTGATATAACATTGAATGCCATAATATCAACTTCGAATTGATTATCGGTAGTCTTCCTAGTGCTTGCAGGAATCCGATAGTTCTGGAGAGGCCGATTGCTACCTATTCCCAACTAAAACCCCCACCTGAGTCGTATTGGTCTGGTTTCAAATTAAGACTAACTTACCGATGAGAAGAAAATTGGGCTGATCCCCAAGTCCTTCTGGCTTCTTCTCATTCCACGGGTGATGAAGAGCTGGGGATTTCCGAACACAATGGGAAAATGCCTATGCTTAAGGAGAACTAGACCTCATTTAAAGGATGTCGGTGTTCTTCTTTTACAGTAACAGTCAATTGAGATATAATCAACGGATGGGTGGAAAATAGCAACCTCTAGAATGGCGGACAAGCATATGAGCGACGCTATCGTCTCCTTGTGTGCTATGCGCTTTTTTCTCTTGCAAATAATGTGAGTCGATTGCACTGGTTGCCCACACTTTACTATCGTAATAAGGATTGGGTCCATTTTGCAAGGTTAGGCACTGAGCCACCAAGGTGGCTAGCTGAGGAATAAGCGGATTTCGAACTCTATGTTCCACACCAATTAGAAGCTGTGAGCATGACTAGTACGCGGCCGTTATATTTTACCCTTCCAAGCATTGCAGGTTAACACATGTGCAAGGTAAATTTTTGACATCTGAGATATCATATGCACCTATTCTTTTAGTGATCGGTAAGGCTATATGCCAATCAATTTCCACGCTAGACAAAGATAGAGTCTTCCAAGAGTGAAATCCCGTCTGACCAGCATAAAATTCACTACATATACGAACTATACGAACACTACGAAGCGGAGGGACATGGCCTGCGAATGTATACATACGGGACATCCCTGGAGAGAGTTTTTTGCTCTTACCGCTACTTCACTCGCCAATTTGCGGTCAAATATTCATATTCTTGTTGAAATGTGTTTTTTAGCCGACGCTATGGGGACTTTGACGTGAAGGTAGGGCTCCAAGTGCTGCGGGCTGATGATCAAAGTTTTTTTCTCCTTCTTTTTCAAATTTTTGTTTCTTTTTTCAGCTCGCCATGATCAACCAAGCGCCTTGACTTCGAATGTTTGAATAAAACAAGAGAATAGGCTCGTTTCAGGTATGTACCTTCCGAAATCTCTTCGGATGACCTTGCTAATATAGTAGATTATACTCCAGATTCTAGATCAAAAATTTGCTCAAACTAGAGTTCAGATCTCAGGCACTTTTACATTCCTTCATCGACATCTGGAAATATCCATTCATTTTCAACGCCGAAATTATGGCTACTTGTCACTTGGCCTTTCGGGAGTCTCTCGAAGGTCAGACAGTCACCATTCCAAGTATCTATCAGCTATTTCCGGAATGGAAGCCCAATTTGCACAAAGATTACGAAATGGCAAGAGATAATTTTCTGAATCCTTGGATAGAAAGGTATGTCACGCTTTTGGGGTTTTGATGTTCAATTTGCAGCAGACGATTTACACGCTAAATGATGAATTAAGATGGGTGGAGGACAGACACATAGCGCACAAGCTCAAGGAGGCCGATTTTGGTATATTCGCCGCAGCTTGGGGTAGGAGTGCATCATTTGAAGTACTTTGCACGGCTGCTAAATATTTCGCTTGGGTATGTTCAATGTTGCCCGAGTTTGTTTGAATCCATGGATACTGTCGAGTTGGTTTCTGGCTGATTCTAATATTCTTCTTCAAAGTATTTCTTATATGATGATAGTGAGTTACCTCACTTTGTGATGGACGTATAGCAGCCGAGTTACAGTTTAGCTAACAGTTATGCTCGGTAACTAGTCTTTGATTGTGGTACTCTAAAGCACGATAGACATCTCGCTGGAGTTTACAGAGAAGCAAGCCTTCAGTATTTCAAGTTCACTCTCATTGACGAAGGAGAAGCGCCAGATCTTTCGATTTTCACCGCAGAACTACAAAAAGGCCTTCAATGCTGGGATGAGGTTGGTTTGCACATTCGTAATGTCTGTTCAAAGGGTAAGTGGCTGTTCCTATCGTTATTTTCGATAACGTTAAAGATGATATAGAGACTCGTGAAATTCTTTGTGACGAAATGCTGCGATACGTTGGAAGCCTGAACAATGTGGATAGCATGTTTGATGACTACCATGTTCCATCTCTCGAGTGAGTTTCTTTCTCCTCATAGTACCATTGGTATACCACATTGAATGTGCATCGGCTGAGCTAATATCTAGACACTACTGGGCCCGCCGTGAGGCCACGGCTGCTGTATACTGTGTGATCGCTACAATACCGTACGGCTTCCATCATGCCCTCAAGTTTCTTTCAATACAACAAGACGGCTGATTGTCTAAGATTCATCTATGGATTGGATGTTACCAGAGAAGATGTTCAGGATCAATCCATGAGAGATTTGTGGCGAGATACTTCGTACTTTGTCCATGTGTGAGCTAAATACTCCCTGTCCGCCTCTAGAGCCAAACATCCAATTTTTCTAACAGCACTCGCAGCACGAATGACATGTTTTCCATGCGAAAAGAGATCGTAAGATTATTTAGGACCGGAGTGTGAAAATTGAGCTGATAATCCCAGATTGACGGCCAGATTGAAAACTTGATTCCTGTGTTGATGCTTAATCGCGGGATTGACTGCAATACCGCGATGCAGCAAAGCTATGCAGTTGCTGGCAATCATGCAAGAGCCATAATAGATGCAGAATCACTCCAGGTTTGCAAATCAAAGGCTGTTTCACAGGCATTTATTCAAAGTTGTCAGGATGTTGCGATGGGACTTGCTCATTGGAGGTAAGATCGCATTATCTTATTAGTCTAGGGCACGCTGACATGCATCTCCAGCTACTGTGGTCATCGATATGTCAAGCCATGGGAGCGTGATTCAAGCGGCACAATCAAATTTACAGTTGAGATGCCAAGACCCAATCCAGAAGCTAATAGTCTCAATGTTTCGACAGCTTACCTTCTCAAATTTGGCCTCCCATTGCAGAATTTGTTCTCGAGCTTGGTTGAATTTAGCCCATTGATCATGATGGTGACTACTGTGACTATTGCAACTCTTACATCTCGATATGAAAGCCTGGCAACTTTGCTTTTTTCAGGATGGGCAGACAGAGGTAGGAGTTTTCCGTGATTTTTGATGTATTACTGTTGCTTATTCTTTTGTATGATGCGACTTTCTGATGTCCTTGAGTCCATAAATGTGTTTGAAGTGCACATGTGGGGAGCTTCGGAGGATTGGCGGCCGATGCGAACAAGCGGCGGCGTGTCCGATTACCCCAGCGGCGAGCGCCGGGGCCAGGTGGAGCAACAGATGCTATCTAAATAGCAAATTCAAATCATAATTATCAGCGAAATCTATTGATCAGTATATCCCTGCGAACCAATTTTGAAACCCGACCTTTGTGTTTTTGTCATCGCATTCATCCGTCAAATCTACAAGCAAGATGTCCGTGGCTTTCCTAGCTGACAAAACCCAGTAAGTGAGTGAGTCGGAAGTCTCGCCCCTAGCATTTTCCCTTTGCATCTGTAAAAGCGACTTTTAACGTCAGTTAGATCCAAAATCTCTTTGGCGGATCTGCAAGAAGCGGCTGCAAGCTTTGGTATCCAAATACCGGATGGCCAAGAGGCTGAAGATTACCTGCATTTGCTGCAGTCCGCAGAGGCAGTGGTCAGACAAGTTCAAGCCGAGGATGATTACATCCACCCGGGACTATCTCCAGTATTCACTACTGCTCCCCGGATATTCTTTGAGCCCTCAAAAGAAGAGAATCCTCTAAATGCATGGAGACACCGTTGCGATCTCGTAGCATCGAGTCCGTCCAGTGCGATTCTTCGCGGCAAAACTATTGCCATTAAAGATAACATCTCCATTGGTGGTATTCCGACAACCATAGGGACGTTCACTGAGCTACTATGCTCTGATGGAAATCTTCCTTTGTCACCCATTGATGCATCTGTGGTATCACGAGTTCTACTAGCTGGCGCAACCATCAAGGGATCCTCCACCTGCGAAAATTATTGTGCATCGCCGCTATCCTATAGTGCGGCAGCTGGACCAGTGCATAATGCTCGTCTGAACGGCTATACTGCTGGCGGAAGTAGCAGCGGCTCTGCAACCCTTGTTGCCGCCAAAACACTGCATGGGGACGATCGGCGACCTTGTGGAGAGACGGTGGACATTGCAATCGGTGGCGATCAGGCTGGGTCGGTCCGAATCCCGGCTTCGTATAGTGGGATTTATGGATTGAAGCCCACTTATGGCCTGGTTCCATATACTGGAGCTGTACCACTAGCACCAATGATTGATCATTTGGGCCCGATGGCCGGCAACCTTGAAGACATTGCCATGTTACTTCAAGTGATGGCTGGGTACGACGGTATCGATCCTCGAATGACTCCCGAATCTCCTCTGAAAAACCAGGTTCACGATTATCCAAAAGACTTGCGGGATTTTAGGTTACGTGTTCGAGAAGGAGGGGAGGGTCTGGGGGCCGGGTTGAAGATTGGATTGCTCGTCGAATCTTTTGAGGTCCTTGGGTTATCAGATGAGGTCCGCGACGTTGTGCTTGAGGCAGCCCGGCGCTGCTTTACGGCAGCTGGAGCCGAAGTAAGGGAGATTTCGATCCCCATGCATCGACAGGGAGCTCTCATTTGGACAGCTTCGACCAGAATGTCAATGTCTGAATGGGCATGCCAAGGAAAAACGTCGGGGTTTTTGTCCTATTTACCCCCGCATATTCAAGCTCGTTGGCCTCCAGACCAGAGAATGTACGAGTTATTGACGGCGACTAATCCAGCAGCAATGAACATGATGCTTAGTGGCCAGTTTCTCCAGAAAAACTTTGGTCCGACCGTTGAGGCCAAGGCCCATCGTCGCGTATTTGAGCTTCGGGCGGCTTATGACAGCGCGTTGACGGAGGTAGATATTCTGGTTACACCATGTGCGCCGACCGTGGCTATGCCGCATCCAAAAATGCAGTTTGATTCCCAGGGCCCTGGCTCCAGTGTCATGGGAAAGGTATCGATCGCTGTAGGGGTCACTAGCAACACAGCGCCATTCAATGTCACTGGGCATCCGGCTCTGAACGTACCCTGCGGATTCGGCTGTGATGGAAATCAACAGGTAAAACTGCCGATTGGCATGCAGCTTGTCGGGAGGAGATGGGAAGACGCGAGGGTTCTCAAGGCAGCAGCGTTGTTTGAGGAAGGTGGGAAAGTCGCGCCTGCCCCATTCAACTAAGATCCAGTCCATCCATTGGATGTTATGTTATTTGCCCATTACCACCAATCACCTGAACTATATAATGGAGTTCGACGGCTCTACTTATCAACATCAATAAATGTGAATGTATACATTGAAATCGCGGAGGTTTTCAATATTAGTAGGCGTTATAACATCTATGTCTGGTTTAACCTTAGATTGTTTCCAAAATTGTTTAGAGAAAGGGGGGAATACGGGGCTTGAAAGCAAAACTCCCCTTCAGAATGTTCGTTCATATTCCACATGTGCATCGTTTTCCTTGCAAAGTTCTCGAGCGGCACAAAAATTACCCAAAGAGATTATGGCTGCATGAACCAGTTCGCACATCCATATTCCACCCGGGTAGTCGCCATATCCCTTCCAAGATTGAGTCTAGATCTTAGCCGACATCTGGAGATCAAGCGCATCCTGTCCAACCATAACATCAGGATACGTATTAGGGCAGTGATCTATCATGGTTGCACTGTTACACACGTGTGGAGAAGCCAATAATCAGGGAAACTTCAACCTGGAAATGTACTTTCTCGCTGCAGCCCTAGCAGGCGTTTCTTGACGCAGCCGCAGTAGCCACGCAGCCTTCACCTGGTCACTGTAACCTCAGTTCCCCTTCCACGCCATCACCGCCATTCAAGCCTACATGTACATTTACAGACTCAACCAGCCCCCCCCCCTTGCGTCCTCTATCCGTTGAAAAAACTGACAGCCAACCTAGAACGAGGGCATGTGGAGGGAAATCCACCGGTGACGCTGTCATGAAAGCTTCTCCCACACCTCACTTCAGGCTTATTGGATGATAAACCAGGCTATCGTTGCACAAAAGGGGGTCGCCCAGCGAGGAATGGCATCCGAGAGCCCATTAGCGCGCATCTCTGCCTTATGCAGCTTACATATTTGGACCCAGCCAGGCATGTCAATGCATGTCACGTCAGAGGAATTGGTCTACAACCTATTGTAAAGCTCGTGATGAGGCAGCACGAATCACGATCTACAGTATGGGCTCAGGGGTGTGGGAACCGGGATCAGCCCCTCCATGATCAACGATCAGCACGTCTCCACTTCCGATCGATAGTTTGATTCCTCAAGCTCCACAGGGCTCTTTTTTTGCCCTGGTTTTAGCTTTTTTATCTTTTTTCCCCTCCGAAGATACGGGAGAACGGAGTACAAGCTGCTCAGTGCTCAGCTATCAAGTCAAAGGCATGTGGAACTTGGAATAAACACGATCTAGCAAGTCTACGAGTTCTCCTCCATGTGCCGTGCATTGCGTACGCGAAGTTATGTTGTGGTACAAAGCTGTGGGATCGACAAACCATTCTTCTCCGAGGGTCTGGTGCAATGCGACCCACCTATCAGCGCTTTGCGCCTAACTATGCCAATCTTATTTCGGGTGACAGGTCAAAAAAAAAAAAAAACATGGGCCCGCACCACTCCTGAATTGTCAAGAGCGGGCCGACAACTCTTTTTTTTCTTCTTCTTTGTGACGGAGAAATTATGGGTCCAAGCTATCTGGACTGTTTTTCGAGAATCTGCACTTTAAATAATACCCCGATACCCCCCCTCCTGATGGGCGGACCCAGGCATCCACATCGCTATCATGTCGAGTCTCACCGTAAGTAGCCAAGGACCCCTGTATCGGTGCCACAGGTGGACTAATATGGTCAACTTCAGGACCCAAACAATGACCCAAATGTCGGTTCCTCTCGAGGCGATTCTTCGTCGACCTCGGGCGATATCGCCAGCGGCCTCACTGGTACTGGGAGCTCGTCGTCCTCGGCGCTATTAATGACCTTTCTGCCGGCCTTGATCTACGCGCTTTTTTGGGTGGGTCTATTTTTGATCTTTCGACGAACTCAACGACGATGGTACGCGCCGCGATCTCATCTGCCTGATTTGCATGATCATCAACGGACCCCGGAATTACCCTCAGGCTGGGTCAACTGGGTGGGTGCTTTTTTGAAGATGGAAGATAACCATGTTCTACACCATTCGTCGTTAGACGGCTATTTATTTCTACGATTTTTACGCGTTTTATGTGCCATATGTTTCACTGGCTGTGTCCTTACATGGCCCATCTTGTTTCCAATCCACGCTACCGGTGGGAACGGCAATACACAGCTTGACATTCTGAGTTTCAGCAACATTGCAGATCCGAGCAAGTATTATGCCAACGTCATCGTCGCATGTGTCTACTTCAGTTAGTATACATATATCAATTATTCTCCCACAAGAGAGTCTACTGACAGGAAGCAGCGTTTGTATTTTACGTCGTTGTGCGAGAGAGTTTGTACTACTCCAATCTGCGCCAGGTTTATTTGAACTCCCCAGCATACTCTTCCCGCATATCTTCGCGAACTGTTCTTTTCATGTCGGTACCTCCAGACTATCGGAATGAGAAAAAGCTTCGGAGCGTATTCGGCGATGCAATCCAACGAATTTGGGTGACATCAAACTGCAAAGAGCTGTCTGATCTGGTCGACGAGCGAGACAAAAACGCTTATAGACTAGAGGCCACGGAGACAAAGTTCATTAGACGGGCAAACAAGGCACGGATGCGGGCTATCAAAAATGGCGAGTTCTCTTCGGAAACGTGTCTGGATTGCGAGTCCAGCAATCCTGCATGGTCAGTAAAAGTCAAGCGACCAACTCACAGGCTGAAGTTGCTTTTTGGCAAGAAAGTTGATTCCATTCACTACTATCGCAAAGAGCTGGTCAGGATCACGGAGGAGGTGAAGATTCTCCAGCAAAAACACCAGGATGGCGAGGCTAAACAGCTGTCCGCTATTTTCATTGAATTCAATACGCAAAATGATGCTCAAATCGCCTTGCAGACCATATCTCATCATCAGCCATTCCACATGACTCCACGTTTTATTGGCGTTTCTCCGCACGAAGTTGTCTGGTCAGCGTTGAATATCAGCTGGAAACAACGTGTGATTCGCAGGTTTGCCGTTCAAGGTTTTTTAGCAGCGATGGTCATCTTCTGGTCATTCCCGGCTGCTCTTGTGGGAACAATCTCGAACATCACATATCTTTGCCAAATCATCACTTTCTTGAAATTTATCCTGGATCTACCCAGTTTTGTCAAGGGTGCCATCGAAGGTCTTCTGCCATCAGCAGCCCTTGCACTCTTGATGTCATTGGTTCCGATCATTTGCAGAAGTATGTTTCGCCTAACCCTTTACCAAACAAGCATAGCTAACCTTAGAATCTTCAAGTCTGTGCCAGAAGATCTGGTGTTCCATCGTTATCCCGTGTTGAACTTTTTACCCAAAGCGCAGTCTTCGTTTTCCAGGTCGTACAAGTCTTCTTAGTGACGACCTTGACATCGGCGGCATCGGCAGCAACGGCGCAAATCGTCAAAGACCCATTGTCTATCAAGGATCTGCTGGCTCAGAACTTACCGAAGGCAACCAACTTCTATATCTCTTATTTCCTGCTGCAGGGACTAAGCATGAGCTCTATGGCACTCGTGCAAATCGCCAGCGCGTTGGTTTTCAGGATAATTAACAGGTTCTTCTCACATTCTCCTCGCCGACTATACAACAAATGGGCCCAGCTCGCTACTCTCAGCTGGGGTAGTGTCTTTCCTGTCTTTACAAACATGGGTGTGATCGGTACGTATTATCAATCTCTCATTTCCCCAAATATAGTGCCGTCGACTGACTCCCCACCAGCGTTGACATATTCATGCATTGCGCCATTAATCCTCGGCTTCTCTTTCATCGGCCTATACCTCGTCTACCAAGCCTACCGCTACAACTTCTTTTTCGTCTATGATATCGAAGTCGACACAAAAGGACTAGTCTACCCCCGAGCCCTCCAACATCTCCTCACGGGCCTCTACATTGCCGAGGTCTGCATGATAGGTCTGTGTGCAATCAAAGGCGCAATCGGGCCTGTCATCATAATGGCCATCTTCCTCGTCGTCAACGTCCTAGCCCACATATCCCTCAATGAAGCCCTCACGCCACTAAATACCTTCCTTCCCCGATCCCTAGACGCAGAAGAGGAGCTTCTACAAGAGAAAGAGGACGTGCGGAACGAGATCAACGAACGACGTCGCTCGCGCAGTCTTGCCTTCTGGAGATGGTTCCATCCCAATATCTACAAGGACTATGCTGCGCTTCGTCGGAAGGTGCGCAAGAACCTCGATGAGGTATCGTACTCGCCTGAAGAATTGCGCACTGCATATTTCGAGCCTTGTATTGCATCGCCGTCGCCGACGTTGTGGATTCCGCGCGATAAGTTCGGGTTCAGTCGTCATGAGGTCATGGAGACGGACTCGATTATCAGCATCACGGATGAGGGAGCGCATCTTGATGGGAAGAATAAGATTATTTGGGATAAGTATGACCCTACTCTTCCATTAAGGGAACGCAAAATTTTGTACTAGTAGATTGGATGCTGGGAGTTTTTGTTATATGATCGATACCACGAAATTAACGATATGATTATTTACGAACAATGCGGGATTTGGTCTGCTTACCTGTAAATTGGTTTTTATCTTCATGGATGTTGTGATAAAACCTTGGATTTGCCCGGTTCTATTGGATTGCTTCCAATGTTCGAGTAACTAGTTGCCACTCAAGGAAGAGCGAGACCTCGATTACGAGCAAGAATGGCCTACTAATTTTTACAGCGTACTAGATGGATGCAATTTTTCCAATGAAACAAACCTCGTCATTAAGACAGGCATCGCTGCAAAATTCCAACTTTATACTGATACGTACACTAGCATTCAGATCGTTATATTCGTTCCATCGTGAGCCCTCCAAGGTGAATGGGAAATAAGAGTGGCTCAATGTGATCCTGTCGAAATAAAGAATTTACCTCACTTCACATCATGACGCAGTCTTTATTTCTCTGGTTGGGATTGTATCGTTCGGGGTCTGGTCGGCTGCTACCCTGGCTGTTTGCCGGTGTGGAATATCGGTTGTACCGTGGGTTTCGATTGCCAGGGTATTGATTTGAAGAATACTCGCTGGGAAATTCGGTGAAAGGAGATGGCCTCGCTGGCGGCGAATAGCGTGGCCGGTTCGTGGCTTCGTAAGGAGGGGGAGGAGCATTAGGGTCATCGGGATCAGGGTCACTGTGTGGTTGGCGTGCCGGACGAATACCCACGGTATTTGTAGTACTGGAGGATCGACTTGGTGGGTTGTTCATGCGAATGCTTGACGAATTAGGGCTACGAAGAGGAGCCGAGTTGCGATAGTTGCTCCTTTGTCGGCTGTTGTTCCCTTGCTGGTCGTAATTTCTTTGTTGGTTATCGCTCGCTTGCTGGTCGTAACTTCTTTGCCGATTGTTATTCCCCAGCTGGTCGTAAGGTCGTTGGTGATTGTCGCTAGTCTGTTGGTCGTGCATTCTCTGTCGATTGGGGTTTCTTGGATGATCGTTTATTCCATGTTGACTGTTGCTCCTGGGACTTGTTGGAAGGCTCCCTTGAGAGCTGTTTGTTCTCTCGCGTTGCTCCTCTTCTTGGAACTGAAGAGAAAGAGCATATGCATAGTCTGCATCGGCTTGTTCCTGTGGGGACAATCTGCCTGACAATTCAGTGGCTGGGGCAAGATCGGCAGCTGGTGGAGCACTCGATGTGGGGGCACCACTTGGACCTGCAGATCCAGATGGGCCATGGCCAACAGCGCGAAAGTCGCCAGCGAGAAACTCCGAGTTGAACCCAGTCACATCAACAAGAGATTCCCATACCACTTCGGCATGGTTGGCATAGCCTGCATCAGTTACCAGCATGAAAAGCTGGTGGGATTCGGGATGTTTATAGAGCGTAGAGAAATGATCGTTCCGGAAGAAAATCGAGACTGAGCCTGGGGCCAACCGTGTACTCAATTGTGTCAATCCAAAAGGACTGAGCTGAGTCGCATTTTCAACCTCGACGAAATTTTGAATTGCTTGTATGTCTGCCATTTCTTGTTCTTCCGCTGGAGATAGTGATTCGCCTCGCATCACCCAATCTTCGAGTTCTTGCTTGCGGAAATGCAACAATTGAATATCTTCATGGTATTCTGCGACGCGTGTCATGGCTGAATGAGCCATGCTTGACCACGACGCAACCCATCCATGAATCAAAGGAACACCGAATGTGCTGTATAGTTGAAGATCGGAGGTTTGTAAAAATGTACCTAGTGAATTATTCGTTTCCTAGCCAGTGTTAAATGCATGAACTGCCAGATGTTAAAGGTTTCAAGGTACTTACCAGTGTCAGGCGAGGGTTGACATTCAGACCAGTATGCAACATTGTCAAAAAACGAGAAAGAGCCTCAATGTCTGGAAATTGGTCATCGGGGCCCAAGCGAGTAATCAGCTCCTCGAATAAGGCCTCGATCAAAAGCCCTAGCGAAATTTGTTCACGCGTTCGCAATGCCTTTACAATAGGCGGCTGTATATTTGGGTCTGCACGCAGCACCAAGGCATTGATGAGCGCAAGCAGCGGACAGGGCCCATTGTTGTTTTGAACAAGGATAGGAGACTGCTGGATATTTCCTGCCCGATCCTTCCAATTAATTTGTCGAATAGAATACGTTTCTGAGCGCTGCTCCTGGTGCCTTACTTCCTCGGCGGGAGTAAGTTTGACGCTCGGAGTTTGCAGTGTCGTGGCTGGCTTGTCCTCCTGAGCCTGCTGTGAAGGTGCTGGAACTGCTGGGGGTGATTTTGCATCTAGTAGTGCCCCATTTTCTGATTTGGGTGGAAACCCATCGGCAGAGTAAATTGAGGACGCTGCCTTTTGAGATCCAGTCTCCACCCCAACATTTTCATGTGAATCTATGTCGATCAATTCATGCGACGTTGCCGATGTTGCACTGGAAAAAACAGAGGGAGAGTGGGCACCCGCATCTGAGCCCAGTCTATCATGCGAGTAAGGCGGTTGTAAGGAGTAGTGATCTTCGGTTGAATCAGAAGGCTGTATGACTACCGCGGGGGTATATGGATTGGTTTGTCCTCCTTGTATGTATATTTCCTGAGCTGCTGAGATCTCAATTGAATGTTGCGATCCCCATGGGGATTGATCTCGAGGTAAGTCGCTCGGCACCGCGCGGTGAGATTCCGAGTTGCTTCTTTCCTGATCTGCCCATGAGGATGCCTGCTCCTCTGCATCTAGTAGCGATAGTCTGGCTGTCATGGGGATATATCCGTCCGCTGGGACTTGTCAGTATTTGTGATGGTTGAAAATTAGAAGTGAGAGTTAATACTTTGGCTCAGAGGATCACTGATTGTCGTCGTATTAGAATCGCGACTCCAATCGGGCCGGTCGGGCGTGGCTTGTGAAGGTACAGGTTTCCTTGGCTTCAAGAACGGATTGTTCGACCGCAATTGTACTGGTACATCCCCAGTCTGTACTCTATGACTCTCCAGTACAGGTTGCTGCTGGGTATCAAGAGCTACTGGTATTCGTTCTATTTTGTGCATTGTGCCTTCAGGATATGTTTCGGAGTTGGGTCTCATATGGACGGTTCGATCCTCCCTGTTTTCAGTCCAGGAATTTGGTGGGTATGTAGTCGGCGAGCCTACCGGAGATCTCTGAGCTTCTTCCAGTGGCATTAGATCGAAAGCTGGAGAGGTATTGAGGTCGGGGGAGTAGATGGACTCTTGGGAGGGAATTCCGTTTAAGGGCCGACGGCGAGAGGAGGCTGAGGTTGGAGAGGTTGGGGAACGAGTGGCCGGATAAGCATTCCCTTTGTGAAGATTCTCAAGGCGAGGTGGAGGCTGTTTGCGGAGCACCATGAAGATGAGCTGAGGAAGTGTATATAATTAGCACGACAGCAATCGTGGACAATGAGAGTGGAGCGCCCGGGGGGTACGTAACGTACTTCCGTAGGGGTCGCAAGGCTTCCCCAGATACGAAGCTTGACAGGGTATCACGTACACAAGAATAAGCTTCAGTTTATGCAACAACGAAGATCGAGATAAATAAAAACGCAAAGATAAATCAGAAAGAATATGCCTTATGCCCAGGAACTGCGCCCAGTTTATGGTGGAGTAGGCTGAGCTCCAGGGCGATGATATCAGAGGAGTTGATTAGTGCGTTAACTATGGAACTAAACAAGTGTAGCAAGCACAGTAGAACTTAGTACATACGCATACGTAGGCTCCCATATTCCCCCGCTGTAATTTTGGAGTCCATGGGATCGGTAAGTGTATTACCTTCGGTATCACTTCAAAATCGAGGCATGGGCGGGTTTGGTACCTGCTTAGAAGTACATTATTTACAATTATAGTAGTGGATACTGTTACAGTACTGTAACCATTCCAGCTCGCCATTCCGGATATTCAATTAATCCGAAAGCTCCCCCGCTGCCCTCTCTGATTGGCCCGTGCACCTTAGGCTAGAAAAGTTGCCCGGAATCTTTTTTCTTTGGAGATTGGAGATTCATAGAGTTCACTTGGCTCTCTTGCGCCGCAACCATGCATTCTTATATTCGCCCTAATCAGTATGCCATTGTGCAACTGCCTTCAGATCAGACTCGGATCATAAACCCAGTACCAAACACGTTTGTCAACACCTGTCTAGAGAACAGTCTTTTGAGACAAGCACACTGACACCCATTAGCATAGTTTCATTGGGAAAATACGGCAGCTTCGCTGCCAACCAGATCATCGGTCGCCCCTTCTACCTGACCTTCGAGATTCAAGACACCGCTGAACCAGATGGATATCAACTGCGCGTCGTTTCAGCCACCGAGTTGCATGCTGAAACCCTCATCGAAGAGGCCGAGGCAGATGGCGAGGGTGATGAAGGGGAATCCGGCGCAGGAACCCCAATGCGCACAAACCAGAACATTGTCGACGATGCCGCAACGCAGCGGTTGACTTTGGAGGAAATCGAAGAGCTGAAGAAAGAAGCTGGTGGAGCAGGCAAAGAGATTGTCGCAAAGCTCCTCGAGTCGCATTCAGCCATTGACCAGAAGACGGCGTTTTCTTTGGCCAAATACACATTGCGCAAGCGAAAGAAGTACATCAAAAGATTTACGGTTCTCCCGCTAGATGTCAGCACGCTCGCCAATTACTTATTGTCCGAGACAGATTCAGGAAAGGGTATGGAATTACGCGACGAGCACATCGGCCTGCTTGGATGCTTGGGCAATGTGCACCACGGTGGACAATCCACAACGGAACTCATTCCCGATGTGAAGCCCAATGGACGGTATTTTGTGGTAGATGAGACAGGCGGCTTGATTGTGGCCGCCATGGCCGAGCGGATGGGTATTCTATACCCTCATGACAACGACGATGACGAGGATGAGCCTTCAGCTGCCGATGAGTCGTCAACTACCGCAGAGCCCCGGGGCTTCACACCAATCCGCCGCCGCCGCACTCGCCCAATGTCCGCATCAGGCAATACTATAACAGTCATCCACGCCCAGGCGCAACCCAACCTGTCTCTCTTAAAATACTTTGGCTATGATATCAACCTCCCCGACGAATCTCACCCACTTCACATCCACCTCAAGTCCGTTTCCTGGCTCCAGTTGACCGACCCCTCTAAAGACTCAATTCTTTCCAACGAACCAGCCGTCATTCCCGCGGAAGAGCTGGCCGAGTTGAAGCCTAGCAAGCGCACGGCCTATTACTTCAAGCGCAACCGATGGGAGAAAGTTAAGACTGTGACGGATGAGGCCCGTGCGGGTGGATTTGACGGTCTCATTGTGGGAACTCTTCTCCAACCAGAGAGCGTCATGCAACACACCGTTCCTCTACTCGCCGGTTCAGCTGCTGTGTCCATATACTCCCCCTACGTTGAACCGCTTGTCAAGCTGATGGATCTTTACTCTACTGCGCGAAGGACTGCCTTTATCAATCGAAAGCGGGACTTGAATTTACAGAAAAATGATGACGAAGAGATTGATCTGTCTCCGCTACAGAAGGAATTTGGAGTCGACCCAACCCAGCTTCTACCGCCGACTTTACACCGCTCCCGCGTGCGAGCCTGGCAGGTACTTCCGGGTCGGACTCACCCCCTGATGACCAGTCGCGGTGGTGCAGAGGGATATCTTTTCCACGCTGTGCGTGTCATTCCCACTGCAGAGCATATCCAAGCTGCGGGCACATTCCGAAAGAAGCGCAAGTTGGATACAACATCCACCCCTGCCAGTGATCGGGACGTTGTGATGCTGTCATAGAATTCCTTCCAGTTTAGACTCTTTTGAATTGGTTCCTGGAGTTAGAACCTGGTTTCATGTCAAAAATAAAATGTATGAGTATCATGATAATCCATCTGGTCTTGACCGAGACAAAAATCATAAATAATGAATCACATACTACTTCCGCTAGGATCCAACTTGGAACAGTTATGACTTGATCTGACCTGGGGAGGCCATGTATGAAGAAAGCTGCCTAAGATCCGGCTCTGGTAGCTACGATAGACCGCACCATGCTCGAATGACGTATCAAGAAAAAAGGGGAAATAGTCGATTCATGCGCTGAATTTCATGGAAACAATATACAACCAGCATCACATCTACAGGCTCTTGCCCATGAACTTTCTCTTGGTGAAGCTCAACCAGAACTGTAGGTTTGGAGTCAGTGATGGGTCCCGCGGTAAATATAAATAGCCAGATCTAAAACATACCTTAGATGGGCCGACTCCACCGGGGTATAATCTCGCATGTAGCCGTACAGCAACCTCCTGTCGCACCTGAGAAATGTATCTGTTCACAAAAATCATTAGCTTCAAACCAAGAGAAGAACAATTGTGAAATGGAATGTACGTACGCCCGCAGACTCTCCGCATCCTGGCGGTCGCGTGGGGGCTCGAAGGCCTGGTTAAGCGGGAAGGACACATCACCAGGGATGGCGAAGTTGTCGAGTGCGGCATTGATCAGGGCCTAAGAAAGGCTCGAGTGGTTAGCATTCAAGAACGTCCGAAAGTGTCCATTCGATTGTGTCTGCCTACCTTCTCGGCGTCGCGGGCGGTCATTGTCGGCTTCACCTTCCCGAGGCATTCGCTGACGAAGAGGGTTCCATAAATGAGCATGCGGTCGGCAGGGCCGTTGATCTCGAAGTTCCGGAACAGGACGTTGGCACGGAAGAGCGACAGGATCTCGTCAACGCAGTCGTAGGATTCATTGTCTGGGGCAACATCGATATCGGCAGTATTGGGGGGAAGCGTAGGCAACGTGTATGCGGGACCACGGGTGCGAGTACGAAGAGGCAAGATTGGGAAGTTTCCTGGAGGTTCACGAATGTCAATTATAAGGTCCTCGGTCTCCGGGGGTTACTGCGCATTGAGATGTGGGATGTTTGGGGATGCAGCTATTGGCGGGGCATTTCGTACCTATCACGGGGACATCACGGTCCTCCAGGAAGATGGAGTGGTATGCCTTCGGTAAAAATATTAGCTATTGAGCGGATCAATTATGCATGTTGATACATACAGGCATTGTGAAGGTGTGTTGACGTAGGTGAGATTCGAGTTGATGCGGAGTTTGGGTTAGGCAGTGAGGATGTCATTGGAGTGGAGCACGGAACACTCCCCAGCTCCTTTGATTTTCCGCCCCGAGCGGCTTTGTCTCTTTACGCGTGCAACGCGTCCAGCTCGGCTTTTTCGTGATATTCCTATTTCTTGTTACAACCTCCCCCAACTCTAGGTACTTGTGTCGAATACCAAGATCTATACATAATGTCTGACTACGAGGATGAAATGGAGGTTGACTCGTCCAGGGACGTGCAGTTCGGTTCCGACAATGCTGCTGGGAAAAGAAGAACAGTGGCCGACCTCCCTGTGGGAGCACAGGACAATCTTCCATGGTAAGGAATCAGGTCTTGACTTCGGCAACCATTTTTTAACAATGTATCAGGGTCGAGAAATACCGCCCGGAGAGCCTGGACGACGTCTCAGGTCACCAAGATATCCTTGCAACTATCAACCGTTTCGTTGAAGCCAACGTATGTCCTTGCGCGCACACCAAGTATGGTATGCATTGAATGAATAATACTAACAGCTACAATAGCGCCTCCCCCATCTTCTTCTTTACGGCCCTCCTGGAACCGGAAAGACTTCAACCGTTCTCGCGCTCGCACGACGGATATACGGAACCAAGAACATGCGACAGATGGTGTTGGAGCTGAATGCCAGTGACGATCGTGGTATTGATGTTGTCAGAGAGCAGATTAAGACATTTGCCAGTATGTTGAAAGTGGGATCTCAAATCTCAGAGGGTCATGCACTAACTATAGGAATCTACTAGGCACAAAACAAATCTTCAATATGGCACCTCAATCCACCAGTGAATCTCTAGCAGGCTTCAAATTGATTATTCTGGATGAAGCAGACGCCATGACATCCACTGCACAGATGGCCCTCCGTCGCATTATGGAGCGCTACACAGCCAACACCCGATTCTGCATCATTGCCAACTACACACACAAGCTTTCCCCTGCGTTGTTGTCGCGTTGTACGCGATTCCGGTTTAGTCCGCTCAAGGAGGCAGATATTCGATCACTTGTGGATACCGTTATCGAAAAGGAGAACATCAAAATCCAACCAGATGCGGTGGATAGTCTTGTGACCCTCAGCAAGGGAGATATGCGACGGGCGCTGAACGTCCTTCAAGCCTGCCATGCAAGCAGTACGTGGATTACCTACTACGTTCCTTTATCTCCACTGTATAAAATACTTACATATCGTTCCCTGCAGGTAAACCGCTTCCAATGCGCAATGCTCCGGAAGCTCCCTTGCCCGAAGCCGAGATCATCACAAATGCGACGATTTACGACTGCATTGCAGCTCCTCACCCATCTGATATTCAAGAAATCATGTCCACAATTCTCAAGACTAGCGATGTCACATCCTGCCTCAACACTGTCAATACTCTCAAGTCCAGCAAAGGTCTTGCCCTTGCGGATATCCTCTCCGCTCTGGCCGACCAACTGCAGCAACTTGAGGTGCCGGCCCAGACTCGAATTACCTGGTTGGAGGGTCTTGCAGAGATCGAATGGAGATTGTCTGGAGGTGGATCGGAGGCTATCCAGACCGGTGGGCTTGTGGGTGTGGTTCGCAATGGATGTGAATTGATGGGCGACAAGGGTGTTGCAATGACCTGAAATGAACTTTGGAAGTAAAAAATAGAAAGTAATACAATATCACGAGAATGAAAACTAGCATCGTCAATCTTTCAGCACTTTTTCATCTTTTTCAGCTTTTCAGCTTTCGGTTTTTCTGGCTTTCTTATGAGCTTATCGGACTTGAATTCTCCGAATGGAAGATGGCAAGCCAAAGTGGAATTGTGGCTTGTGACTCTTACCCTCTAAGCGAATGGGGTTTTATGCAACTAAGAAATCTTACAACTCACCCGGTAAAAGTTGCCCAATCTAGTGCCAAATATGACAGTTCCCCAGCAGGAGAAGAAGAAAAAAAGCAAAAGCGGGGGGAAATATACCTAGTAATGCTACTTAATGCTTCTACAGTGAATGGGGGTATACGGGGTATACACTAATCAGGGTCCAGTCGTTCCCCACCTGTGGACACCGCGGGATCTAGACGTGTTATCGGGTCCAATGAACTCCAATTACCTAAAAGTTGACTGCATTTCCTTGCATTTCCTCGGAATTGGCAGTTAGCTTCCCTCGAACCAGATCAGGATAGTCCATGCCAGTCGGGAGTCGCCGTTCACAATGACAATTAGACTTTGACCTCGACACTGTCGTGCGGCACAGTTGCTTTGCCTGACCCGCTTTCATTTAGCTTCTTGCATGGTAACACCCAGAAAAAAATAATAAATTACGAGAGGGTAGTATATAGTACTGCTGCTACCCCCCGGTTTGATTCTAGTTCTGGTTGTCTGACTCTTTTCTGCCTCTTCTGACCCTCTGAATCATGCGTTCCTCAATTCATCACGGCCTGCTTTTGGCCTCCCTCACTGCACCTGTTGTGTCTGCTGAGCGTGTCCTGGGTGCTTATATCTATGCCCGTCATGGTGACAGGACTGCAAAGATTCTCGGTAATACCCAATTGACCGACCTGGGCTACTATGAAGTCTTCGCTGCTGGATCTGTGTATCACGATCTCTATGTCAGCTCAAGCTCAGACAAGCAGATCGAGGGAATCAGTGATCCCATCGTGAAGGCGAGTCAGATGAATGCCAGTGCTCCCTCCGATGCCGTGTTGCAGAACTCAGCCACCGGCTTCCTGCAAGGTGTGTATCCTCCTGCTCAGAAAGCGGCCAACACGACATTGGGAAATGGTACTGTGGTCGACTCGCCATTGAATGGTTACCAGCTCATCCAGCTACAAACCACCGCCTCGAGCTCCAATAGCGAGGATTCCAGCTGGCTGCAGGGCTCTAGTGACTGCTCCAAAGCGACCGTGAGCAGCAATAACTATTATATCTCCGATTCATACAATGAAATGCTCAAGTCCACCGCGAGCTTCTACGACTCGCTCACCCCCGTTCTGAACAGCACTTTCTCGTCCTCTGATATCAGTTTCGAGAACGCCTATACCATCTTCGATTACCTCAACGTGGGCTACATTCATAACTCGTCCGCGACTTTCCCAGGCAAGGCCGAATACATGACCGATGCGAACCGCGTGCAGCTGAATTCCCTGGCCGGTGTTCACGAGTGGAACTTGGCATACAATGCCTCCGACCCTGTTCGGGCAATCGCCGGTGCCGTTATCCTCGGCGAGATTCTGTCCAGCTTCGATGAGATCGTCGACACAAAGGGTGCTAAGTCCATCTTGAATGTCCAGTTTGGTTCATACGGAACCATCATGTCCTTCTTCGGTCTGATGCAGATGCCTGCTGCTTCGCCCGAATTCTACGGGATCCCAGACTACGCCTCATCCATGGTCTTTGAGCTCGTAACCAATGCCACTGGAAATGATTTCCCCTCAAGTGATGAGATTAGCGTGCGCTTCGCATTCCACAACGGCACCATGATCGGCTCCGATGAACTCACTGTTTACCCAATGTTCGGACAATCTAATGATCTTCTCTCCTACTCTGAGTTCACCACCGAGATGGAGAAGGTAGCCATCACCTCCACCAGCCAGTGGTGCGATATGTGCGGTAACACCGACGGCAGCTGTGCTTCTACGAGCGCCTCCACCTCTACCACCAGCTCGTCGAGCACCGGCACTTCTGGTGGAATTTCTCGAGCTGTGGCTGGCGTTATCGGCGCCATGGTTACTCTTGCTGTTATTCTCGGGCTGCAGGCTCTGTTCTTCCTGGTCGGTGGGTTCCGAATCGCTAAGCGAAACAAGGGTGGCCCTGAAATGGTCGCTACTTCAAATTCCAGCGTTGATGCGGACAAAAAGTCCTAAAGATCTAGGAAGTGATATGTGAATAATGTTCTGACTTATTTATCCAAACTGAGAAGAATAGGTACTTGCTGTCTGTTGGACTGGGTTTATGTATGCCAGCTATGATCTATAATAATATTATGTTGGTAGGCCGTTGGATGGCTTTTGCTTCAAATAATACCAAGGTCTTCCTGAGATCAAGCTTGATATGAAGATTCCAGATGTCTCAACATCTCTATCATCTTGAAGATATCTGCATATGTATATGAATCCTCAATTTAATTAGTAGGTGCACATATATGTAAGCTCCAACATTTAATATTTTGAAATAGAAAACCCCGAAGGGCGTCGCGTCATCAATATCAACATTCTCAGTGTCAACTGGTCGCTAGTCCTTCAGCCAGCAAGAGAAAATTTGAAAGACTCGGGTTATTTCGTTCATACCCTCTGGTTGAAGTTGACCCATAATACTACGACCAAAATTCAATACCTCTGCTTCAAATGTTTCTTCAATATGTACAGTCAACTGGTGGTCTCTAAGGTACATCCAACACCCACCAGTTTACCGTGGAAATCTGAGCTGACAGCTTTCTTGAACATTATTATCTATAGTAGTCGTTGAACTATCAATGGGATAATTGTGGGTGTGGGACCATAAATTCAATGGTAATGAACGAAAGGCTTAGGCGGCCGCAACTTGTCTTTATTAATAGCGACCCTCCTCTGACGTGCCCCTTCTCTTCTCCATTCCTCTTAGAAGAAACGTACATTCCCACCTTCACCCAATATGGCCCGACCAATGATGAAGATGTGGGAAAGGTACTGTCTACGTCCTGTCCAAGACTCCACTCCCACTTTGATCCCAGTTTTTCTCTACGGGACAGCCTGGAAGAAAGACCGCACGGCCGATCTTGTCTACACCGCTGTCAACGCCGGCTTCCGCGGCATCGATACAGCAGCTCAACCTCGTCACTACCAGGAACCACTGGTCGGCGATGGAATTCGCAGGGCAATCGCAGAGGGGGTGGTGCACAGAGAAGACCTCTATGTAAGCCGTGCCAGCTCAATTTTATACATATATTTTCTGTGTTGTATATTGATGCTGACGTGATGCAGGTGCAAACCAAATTTAGTCCGGTCTCTGCACAAGACCCAGATAATATGCCGTATGATGCAAACTCCTCTCTGACTGAGCAAGTCCATGCATCAATCAAGTCGTCTTTGCATAATCTTCGACCATTTGCCGACCCGAGTAGCGTGGACGAAGCCTACATTGACACTGTGGTCATCCATAGCCCGCTCCGCACTATTGAACAAACCATCGAAGTGTGGGAGGCCTTACAGACTTATGTGCCTCACCAAATTCGCAACCTGGGACTCTCGAATTGCTCTATATCGGTTCTACATGCTCTTTATAGCTCCCCTGTGGTCAATGTGAGGCCTGCAGTTGTACAGAATCGATTCTACGAAGATACTTTCTTTGATGTTTCGCTTCGTGCCTTTTGTCGTGAGAATGATATCATTTACCAGAGTTTTTGGACTCTGACTGCAAACCCAGAGCTGGTGCGCTCGGAGCCTGTGCAGAAACTCGCTTCTCGAGTCGGCATCAGTCCCGCGGCTGCGCTGTATGCGCTGGTGATGGCACTCGGTAACATGACCGTATTGAATGGCACGAAGAATGCAACCCGCATGGTCGAGGACTTGGCAAGTCCTAAGAGAGTGGAAGAGTTCACCCAGGCTCAGCCAGCTGAGTGGCAGGAGTTGTTGAAAGGTTTCCAGGAACTTGTCGGTGATGATATTACCAGTTAGAATGTAACTTAGCCTATCAGATGGGCTGATTTCTGGATAATAAAAAACGCGTCATCTTCACCTGCCATCTGATTTGAATCAACTAATTACATCGTACATACAAATTTGCACCATAGATCTCTTAGTGACTCATATTGAACCTCGGATTCGGTTTTTCTTTTTTTTTGATAGTGGCACTCATCCCAGTGATGACTTAGCACAGACCCACCAATCAGCTTCGACTCCGCTCTGGATTGACCTCATCGTCAAGCGAAAGATCGCAGCGCGAGATTTTTGGTTCCTGTGCTCTATTCTACCCTTCGCCCAGATCGCTTTTGGATCACCGCTCATCCGTCATCGCTCTGGCTGGAGCAGAGCGCCCCTTTGATACCCTTTCCGTTGGAGCGTCGAGCCGTCCTGGATGCCGCTATCTTTCACCCGCTGATTGTGGTCGCAACTCCCAAGTCAGGATTTCACTAAAATCTCATTCACTGCTACTCGGTTAGCTTCGGTTGCCTATTCTTCCAACAAACGCGTGAAACACAATTCACGCGCATCATAGAATTCAATCGGGGGGATTTGGGGTTCCGCTATCTACAGTCGGCTGGTTTTTTGCCCGATTCCCTGGTGGACCCCAACTTCAGGCGTTGATTCAATCGCGTTGGTCGGTATTCACGACTCGCAATTGAATTTTTGACTTTACATTGCACTCGGTATAATTATCTCGATAAAATTACCGTCCGATTCGTTCACCATCTCTCGCTACTCCTCATTCGAAAGAAACCAACGACCCCGCTGTTCCAGTGACATCCCTACACATTATCAGTCCAAACCCATCCATCCGCCATGACCTCTCAAGGCATGACGCGCAAGCGACCTGCCCCAGGCACGACTCCCGCCATACATCCGCAATTAGGTGCAGTCCCGACATATTCGTCTGCGAACCCGGGCTCACAGTTGTCCAACGATCAATTCCTTCAGTGGGGGCAGAACCCCGCTGTAAATGCCGCAAACGCTGTGAATGCCTCCTCCTACACCGAAAACCCTGCCTACAACCAAGGAAACCTGAACGCCCAGGATATCCCCGTTCCATCAACCACCAACCACAACCAACTCGCTCGGCGCCAGCAGGCGAATCAACTTGTTAGTCGAAACCGTGGGTACGAGCAAGCGCCCGTGGCCTATCCCGATCATAATGGGAGTGGAAATCCTGGAGAGTCGGGCGCATGGGGCGAAAGCCTCGAAGAACTGTATTCCCGCGCGCAGGCCGCAAAGAGAGAATCGCAAGCGAAGCGAAAACAGATCCCACCATTCGTTCAGAAACTCAGCAGGTCAGTCGCAGAAAATGACAAAAAAAAATCGTGTAATTGGAACAAAGAACTAACCCACCATCACAGCTTCCTTGATGAATCTAAGAACACCGAATTGATTCGATGGTCCGACGATGGCAATTCTTTCATTGTATTAGATGAGGATGAATTTGCGAGGACATTGATCCCAGAACTATTCAAACATAACAACTACGCATCATTTGTCCGACAGTTGAATATGTATGGGTTCCACAAGAAAGTTGGTCTTTCCGATAACTCGATGCGCGCCAGCGAGCGAAAAAACAAAAGCCCCAGTGAATACGCCAACCCCTACTTCAAGCGCGGTCACCCGGACTTGCTTTGGTTGATACAGAAACCGAAAAACACACCAGGCCACGCTAGCAAGGGAAGCAAAGGTGGAACACGGGTGAAAACAGAGGATGTGGATGAAAATGAAATGGACGATTTTGGGGATGATGGTCCACCTGCAGCTCGTGAAAGCCGACCAAGACCTCAGCAGCTTTCTCTCCTTACAGAAACCCCGATGCCATCAGACCAATTATCTGGAGTGTATCGAGAATTGCAAGCGATTCGCCAGCAGCAACAGATCATTTCAAGTACCATAACCAGGTTGCGGAAGGAGCATGAACAGCTCTATGCACAGGCCGCAAACTTCCAGGAACAACACACGCGTCACGAGAACTCAATCAACGCCATACTCACTTTCCTCGCAACTGTGTATAACCGCAGTCTGCAAGGGGACAGTGGGAATCAAAATATCGCAAATTCATTTGCAGGAGCTATTTCTGGTGATCAGGGAAACATTGTCGATGTGGATGACTTTTCCTTGGGTTCTTTGGCTGGGCTGACTAGCCCAACTGGCCAGAGGACAATGAAGAAGCAGCCTTTGCTTTTGAAAGCCCCCCCTGCCGTCGATGAAAATAATCGTGCCTCCACAATTTCCCCTGCAGCAACTGGATCCTACGATGCAAGGTCCCGTACTCATGGTCGTCAGCCAAGTGCTGGAAAGTCCGGTCATGTGGAAGAGGTCTTCGACAACAGCCCAAGGCAGAATAAAGCTGAACATCCGGTCCAACCCACTGACGCAAATTCTCCCCCGCAGGACATCATGTCCGTCATCCAAAACTCCAATGCACGAAATGGCATTCCCACGAATTTCTCAGACTTTCCCAATGTTTTGTCTTCTCTCGAAACCTCTGGTGGAAATGTACCTCTTACAGCTAATCAGCGTGCTGATATGCTTCGTCTCATGGCCAGTGAAACCAATACGGCAGACCCCACTGCTCAAGGCTCTTCCAACAACGCTCTCATGACCCCAACTCCACCACCAATGCCCCCGAACTACTCAGGCCGCCTTGCCAACACTCGTCAAGAGATTGATAATTTAGTCAAGATGCAAGCCGAGCAGGATCGTTCCGTCCAAAATCTTACAAACCTACTTCAGCCTTTGAGCCCAACTGGTGCCATCCCAGGATTGGGACCAGATGGAAATGGAAACGCTCCACCCCCACCACTCGATCTTGATACGATATTCAACAACGACTACTTTACTGATATTGGAGACACCGACCACGACAAGAAGCACCTTAATCTTGACCATACTGGTCAATCATCCGAGTTGGGTGGAAACCCTCACGAGCATTTGGGTACCGGCCAAGGTGACGACGCAGACAACAACGATCTGTTTGACTTTGGTCACATCCCAGGTGATGGTGATCTTTTTGACGGATCGGGCCATGGGCAAGACCATTACAGCTACGGCTTTGACGGTACTGGTTACGGTGGTGATGCCGGATCTGTTAACATGGATTCGGGTCGAGTTGTCGAGCAGTTGACCGATAGCGAAGCTACCAGTCCTGCAACCGCTGCAGAGACCCCCGTTGAATCTGCCGAAATGCCAGGCAGTGCGAAGCGACGTCGGAGGGTTTGATGATCAGGAGGAATAAAGACGAACTAGTCTCGAGCGAACACAGAAAGAAAAAGCAGAATGGGGAGATAGCGAAAGAATTTGTGGGGGATATCCCGGGTTATCAGGGACGGCGTTTATTTTGTTCATATGGGCTGGCAATGGTCTGGAGGTACTAGGCCGGATTGTAGGTAAACATCCGATTTTCACATGGACCCCGATGATTCCAATCTTATCCTCGAACGGGTCTTTTATTTGCTTAAAGCATATTTGATACATACAGGGCTATGCCTTCCAAGCACTTGAGGTTATATCTTATCTCTTTATCCAAAGTTGTTTGTCTATGCGTAGTAGTATAGTATTCTTTTAACGTCCTCTCGGGACATGTACTCTCGTAGCCTGGTCTGCACGCTTACCCCATTCCAAGCTTCAATGCCACCTTTCTCTGACTTCTCCGGCATACCTATCTGCTCCAGCATAAACGACGCAGAAATATTTCCGTAGCACGCAGCCTGTATGGCATCTCCTGTTTGTATATACCCGACAGCATAACCTCCCAGAAACGCATTTCCAGCTCCAGTCGGATCAATCACCGGTGAGGCTTCTTGCGCAATACCACTAGACCCATAGAACGGGGGGAGCCACTGGGGTGAAAGATCTCGCGATTGCATCAGACAACCATGCTCACCAGCTCGCACAACAACCACACCGGCTCCATCTGGGCCAACTCCGCTGTCCAGCAATGTCGATACCAGCTCCTCGATCTTGCTCCTAGAAAAAGCAGCCCCCGATCCCTGCGAAAACAATTTCATCAGCTCGAGATGATTGGGACTGAGAACGTCAACATATTCTGCTGCTTCGAGCCATTCGTTCAGATTCCCCGGGTTGCATGCTAAAGGAGACGGCTCCCAGATTACGAGGGGCCTGTTCAATATACCAGCTCCACGTCGCATGGCCAGAAGAGTCGAGACACGTCCCTTGATATCCTGGGCTGTTGCAAGGTAATGATATGCCTTTGAGGTCGGAACTTGGGTATCTTCCACATCACTCTCGGCAACAGCTAGAAAGGGCGTCGTGTATTTGAAATCTTTGGCTAGATGAATATCATGCCCATTAGCGCTTTGAATAGATAAACAATCATCGCGTCAACAACATATGCAGAACAAAAAGGCTACCACGTACGTCCAAAAGTAGTATCTTTATACTCCAGCAAGCCTCTAGTAGAAAGCTTATCTACCTCTTTCTTAACAATCAACGCGATATCCCAGCTTTGAAGTAGATCGGCAATGGGGTCGGGAAAGTCATGTCCAATATGAATTGGCCAGGCCACAGTGCGACTCAAGGGTGGGGCTAGAAAAAGTCGCGCTCCTGCGGTTGCTACAAGAGCCAAGCCACTGGATGTTAGTACAGTAAGATGTTAATTCCAACAGGAACAGCTTTCAGTATGTACAGACCATATGACCCCGATCCTCCAAGTATATTTATCAACGGCTTGCGATTTGGAATCAGGATCTCGTCAAGCACGACCATGCCGAAGCTTGTAAAAAGAGTGGTATCCGCATCTATGCGAGATCCTTGGGGTTGGTCGCTCATGTTATGTCGGTTCTCTGGGCAGGCGTAGTATGTTTGAGGGACCAATGGATAGGTTGAATGAGAGGTGTTTACTACCGTCTGATGTCTCACTGAAGTGGGGTACAGATTCCATGGGGATGAGCTGATTGGTCCACATTCTTCCATTGAAGCTTGAATCTATAACAATTGAATTATACATCCTTACCATAAGAACGATTGATCTCGAAGGCAATTGATAACATTTGAATAGCTACCTAGGTATAGATAAGAAGTATCCCCAGTATCTACTGTGCATAGGACTAGTACTTAGTCAAGTAAGATTCTAAGGTTCTCACCAGAAAAAAAACCCCCGATTCAAATTTTTAAGGAATGTTCCAATTTTTACATAAAAATATCCATCTATTCATCAAAATAGTCTAATAACTGAGAAAATCAAGCATTATATATGCAGATGGCACCTTTATCTATGTAAGTGGCCGATCAAGTGTCGTGTTTATATGAGCCCGTTGGTAGATTGTCGACGTTTGTATCTTCCCATGGATCACTGTCCTTGGATGGAGACACCGGTGAGTCGTCAAAGTCCAGCTCTTCCGAGATATCATCAAAATCGAATGGGTCCTCGTCATTTGGGTCTTCCTTCTCATCCTCTTTATCGCCTTCTTCGATATCCTCATCTTCATTCCCTTCTTCTTCTTCGTCCCAGCCCCAATCCCCCTCGTCTTCATTCTCATCAAGAGAGTCCCCAGGCAGGTCAAAGCCATCGTCAAATTCATCGTCAAAGCCATCTTCAAAGCTGTCGTCAATGAAATCATGGTTGTTTTTCACACCTCTAAACGGATTATCAGAGATCCAGTCAGGGATGACCGGCTCAATATATTCCATATCATATACATCTGAGTAACATTGTGCTTTAGATGGACACCTGGAGGAATTCATTAGCAAAGCCTATCCAACAATTTCCAACCATCAATTCGGACTTACGACACGGGATCCTGCCCGAAAATAATATGCCACAGATATTCAAACACACGGCCGCTGGTCTCATCGTCCAGCTGCGTATCCATCAGCCAGCGATAGTAGTGCTCATAATCACTCAACGGCCGAGCCAGCACCTGTTCCTTTGTCACGGCGAACTGGGCACAGCACGGTGTTCCAATTACCTCAGGGATATCGGTATTATTGAAAATCTTGATCCATGCTCCCGCGAAGGCGATTTCCGTGGTGCGCCCTGCTAGCTGTCGGAATGGGTAGACCTCATCCGGACACCCTGGAGTCCAATCGCAGCGCAGGTTGACATATCCGGTCTTGCGGACGTAGTCGAGTTGTAATCGCTGGACTGTCAAGGCATTGTCCTGCTCGTTGAGTTCGACGTGACTGGCAAATCGATGGGCGTGTAGGAAAACCATGTATTCGGGTAGGCTGTCGTAATTATCGATGATCCATGTGAGATAAACGTTGCTCTCTTTGCCTTTATTTTCGGCAACGTGGTATTCGGATTCGGGATCGTCGATGACATAGACTGCATTGGGCCACCTATAATCGCATTCTTGTTAGCCATTGACTCTTCCAGGGCTTGGTTTTCAGGAAGAGAAAGAAAGAAAAGACAAAGGCTTCTTGTAACACAAAGCCAAACGAAGCCAAGCCCGAATCCAAACTCGAATCGAGTGCTTACTCTGGCAATTCCTCTTCCAACCAATCGGAATCCTCCCAGGACATCCTGCCCAGCACAACAATGCGATCCGTCAACTTGGGCACCGGCGGTTTAGGTGTTGATTCCGGCTTCGGCGGCAATTGATTGTGCCCGTGTCTCGATTCACCCCCAAACCCATAATCCAAACTATCCAAATACTCCTCCAAAAACGGATCGTCAAAGTAGTCCGCATTAGGCACATCAACCGGGATGGTCTGCGGTTCGAATCGCGCCGGCTCAACTGGCGACCCAGTTGGATCCAAAAACCCGACAGTAGTCGAAGTTGACGGCGTGAGCGAAGAAACCCGCGAAACGGCGAAGGAACTAGAAGCAACTCTTGCCCCTGTGCCCTCCGCCGCTACCGATTTTCCTACAGCAGCAGCGCGGTCATCACCCGAGACCAGCTCGATATGGGTGCCTGCACCGTCGAGGATGAAATCCGGAACACGGCTTGCGCTGCGATCAGATTGCCATTGCTCGTCAATTGAGGAGAGGTGATTCTTCACGAAGAAGATGGTAAATACCAGTGCGACGGCGACGGCCACGCGAAATGTTAGTGGCATGCCGACACTGGGGTTTGTTCAGACGAACAAGCAATGCACGAGGGAAACGGAGAGAACTTTAAAGCGTGCGCCGCGTTTCTGGGCGTTCTGGATCGGCCCCACTATACTACGTCTGCATCACGACGCCTCAGCCGTGCATAATCACTTGCCGGGTTGTGAATCGGCTTTCACGGGACGGGAAAACGAGGGTGAAAATTGAAGATTGGTATTGGTTAAACCTTGATAGCACTTGATGTTAGTTGTAAATCAGAGAATAAGAAAAAAACAGAAGCAGAACGACAATGGCTTCTTTTACAGGGTCTTTTAGACCGTTTTCTCATTGCAGCGTGGAGTGGGGCCAAGCTTCGTCAGCCCTTTGCGTTCGTTGCTCTTTTGGCCTGTTTCAGGCTTCTTCCCTCCCAAAACGACCTGTTATTGGTGGTTCATCTGCCGCATTGGGTCCCTTTCGGCTATTTTGGGGTCCAGTCATATGGATCGAGTGCAATTCTATGCCAAAAAAATGCAACCCCGCGAATTGGGGACATTCAAGTTCTCGGGAAATGACAGTAGAAAAGTTCAGCTTTGGTGTTCGTGAAATCTGGACCGCGATCGGCATGGTAACCTTGTTTCTCAGGCACGAGATTTATTTCTCCGTGGAATGCATGGCGAGTACTCAGTTAGTATACGATCGTCAGATTAGATCCATCCTTAATTTACCTTGACATCATGTAGATAAAAAAATCTGGGGCCAGTGCCAGTGACGGAATAAGTGTTTGTTCCAAGCACTAGTCACCACTATAGAGCCGGTTTACGTAGTTCCATAAGCGCACTACGTAAAGTATCTTCTAGTATTGAGCCTATAATGACGCCGATCAATACCACGAGGTCGATCTATTGGACTAATGAAGCTTAAAAAGAAATACAAGTTTCACAATCCAATAAATTATTGGTTGTTTTGTGCACTTGACTAGCTTCCTCTTTTACAAGGCACATGGTTTTATCTCCAGACTACATTTGTACATATCTTGTCCTGATAAGAGAACGCTTTTTGAGAGACGTGATCAGAATCAATATCATTGGGAGTTCTACTATGGACTACGGATCACAGGTAGTACACAACACGTATACAATTTGCTCCATAGAACTCGACGGCTCTCAAGCGGCACGACACTGGAAAACGATCGACCTCGATCCCATATTCTTTAAAATCGAGGGCCTCGTCTTGAAAAGTACATGGGCCTTTCTTTTGGATTTTTTTCCAATTTTTTTTTTCCAATTTTCTTTTTTTTTTCGACAAGTCGACCAAGCCACCGACGCAGCTCGGCGCAGCCGTCCTAGGATCTGATAAGTCAGTCTGCTAGTAGCCCGTTAGACTGTACCCGAAGGAGCTACCACAGCAACCTTCAAATTATTTGATCAAAGCTTAGAATTGATCATCTTCCAACAAACGGGCGGATTTCGTAGAAATTTAACCCAAGGTAGCTTAGAGTGTAGTTATCCGTCCATGGAAGTAGAAGATATACCCAGATGCTCCACTTCGGGGAACGCGGGACCTTGTTACCCCTGGCCGAACGTCCTTTTTTTCTCCTGACGTGAACCTCGATCCACGGAAATCCACGGTAATCGTCCGGCCTTATCCACTAGGCCCTGGAGCACTTGAGCTATTATTATTCAATGTTTGGTCACAATCACAAATATCCCATAATAGCAACACTGGAAACTGGAATTCCTCTTTGCGGAGCCTACCATCCTTTCAGGAATCATTGACCGAAGCTCGTTTCCCGGGGGTAGCTCGGATGGATCGCCATTCCAGAAGGACGAGAAAAAAGGGGCACATGCACATGTTAATCAGCGGATCCATGGAGGATCCTATATTCCACGAAGAGGCAAGACAAGTGGCAATAACCCGGACATCGTTAGATCAGTGACCTCATGAGAGTCGTGATGAAGCTTTATATCTATACGAAATTCATGACTCGCTGCACCACCGTTTATGTAGGGACCTCCAAAAGTACCTACAGTAGTCTCTTCACTAGTGTGCTGTCCTCCGTCCTTTGCGACGATGTAAAACATTCATCTGGCCAAGAAGATCCGGCTCGAATACATAGGAACAGAGGGGAAAAGGGGGGTGGTTCGGAAAAGCTCGCGTGATCCCCGAAGAGCTTTCCCCTCCCCCTTTACTCCGTATACTTTCCCCATTCCTCACGACGCCAGATCCCGAGACCCAATTGTCAGGCTAGGCACGAGTCCGGAGCACCGGACCAGGTCTGGTCGACTCCACCCGCAGACCATCGGACTCTGACGTTCCCACTGCAAAGGTTCTAAGTCGCCTCTAGCGGGTTTCTAGATGTGGGCTGAGCTTCTCAGGAGCTTCCGTGAGGCCGCTAGAACGGGGGAGGCGCGGATCGTGGAGCTCAGGCGCAAGTTTCAATTTCTCCAAGTGGGCCTGGCGTGACATAGCTCCATGCGCCGTCAATCAGGGAGAGCTTGGAAAAAGTGCCGGGAATCACTGGGCCGTCCCGCTGGAACCGGATAACCTGGCAAGGTGCCGTTGGAAAATGCATTGTATGGGGAAGGAAACATTGGAAAGGTAAAAAAGGATAAAAAAAGAAAACAAAGGAGACTATGTCGATATATTTGGTATAATAATAGTCCAATGGAGGGATAAATAGTGTAGGTGGTGGCGAACGAATACGCGCTACTAGATCGAGTGTAGTTGATCCCCTGAACGCGCTATACCTGAAATGACAACACGAGAAAAGAAATGATTGCAAATAAAAATAAAAATTGTGTAAAAAAAATAAATTTAGAAAAAAAAAAAAGGAGGCAATCATCAGGTTAGTTAGGGAGCTAGAGAAAAGAGGAATGGAGTCATGCCAATTATAGCTGATGAATTTTGTTCTCTTTCTGTTTGGCATTGGTCAATGTTAAGCTGCAGGGGTTGATCAATGTATTGTATCAGGTATAGTGTCGGGCAGGTATTGCGGAAGCACGAGGCAGTACGCGAACCGCAATGATTACTAGTAGACTCAGACGTCAAACCGAGACGTGCTCGTGCTCGTGCTCTTGGAAGATCCCCACGAGTTTTCAAAGTGACAAGTGAAACGTGGACTCGAAGGGGGTGTCTCCATCCAGCGGGTACCATGTACGAAGTTCTGTAGTTGCTAAGAGGAGATGTGGTCTTGCGCCTCGTTGGTGAAGCTGTCTCTTACGCATTTGAATTTCCCGATGTCCACTGAAGCGGAGACACAGCCCACTTGAACGAGACTAATATGGGGGGATGGGGCCCAGTAGGAGGAATCGGAAAGGAATGACGGGCAGAGGGAGCCGAGCGACCGCTGGAGCTTCGAGACAAGGATGGACTCTGATTCGGCGGAGGTGAAGACGGAAAGGAGCCGGCTCCAACTGATTAGGGGGCCGATCTGAGTAGGGGAATTAAAGGGATCGGAGAGAAAAGGACAAAGAGTTACGGAGTAAAAGAGAGCAGGTTATAGAAGGTTATCTAATATACATGTAATTCTAGTGTGTACTGTAGGATGGTATGTTCCAACTTCAAGTCAACTGGTATATAAGAATTGTCTAAACATCCATATAACATTGAAATGTTGATATGTATTATAATCTATAGAACAAGTCAACAAGAACCTTTTGAAGTTCCAATTCCACTTTGTACAGGTAATCGCCTCTTCTGATGGATCCAGAACCACTCCTATTGGGTTAGAAGCCCCAGAATCCATACGGGTACTTCCAGGGGCAAAAAAAAAAAACAGGCAGTACAAGCGCAGGGACTGGAGATCTCTCTAGTTCAATTCAATTCAATTTGATTTGATTTAGTTTTAGTGTTAGTTCTAGTATCTCTGGCGTTTTTTTTTTTTTTTTTTTTTCTTCTATATAAATTCCGACTACCGCAAATCCCGACTTCTCTGTTCTCTCTTGTGAATTTCCGACATTTCTCCCATTCTTAACTCCGATACCTCTTTTGATTTGACCTATACTCTTGTTCATTTTTCAAATTTTTTTTTTTTCAAGTTCCTGCAGTTCTGCAAAGACATCAGAAAAAAACCAACTCCCTTACTCCCCGTTCTTGGCGGCAAAAGAGTGGACCAGATCCCACATCCGGCCTTGCGTGTCCCAATTTCCAACCTTTTTTTCCTCTTTCCCCCCGCTCTCTTTTCCTCAATTTCCACCCACAACAAGGGGAAAAGCAAAAGACGATCTTTCTCTGAAATCTTTAAGACTAAAAAAAAAAATCCCTAACATACACATTTACGGCCGTTTTCCCCTGGGACCTTATCATATTTATCGCCCCTATTTCATGACCCGAACGTGCACGACTTTGCATCCGTGAGCGATATTTTGCCGCGTTTTTTCTTCCATTTTCTCCACCGAACACCGCCCGTTGCCGTGGTGTCTTTTTCGATTCACCCACCTCTCCATGTTCTAATAGCTCCGTGCGACGTCCTGTTCGACCTCGTGCGTTCTTGTGGTGGTTTTTAACGTGCCCACATTCTTTCGGTCCTCGCCAAGGAATCTACCTAATGAGTTATCAACAACCGGACATGTATCACGATCCTTCCGCGCGTTCCCCTGGCTCCCAGAGGCATCAACAACCTCTTCACCGCCAGCCTTCACGCCAGTTTGATGCTTATGGTGCCATGCCTGTAAACCTGTACGAAGATCAGATGGCTCGTTACGAGTCTGCTAGGTTGGAGCGGTTAAACCCACCCATGCAGAACAACAACTCCTACTCTTACGATCTGTCCGGATCCCAGACTTGGAACCCAAATGGCTTTGCCAACGCTCAAACCCTCGGCGGCATTAGATCGGCCTCGGCCAGCTTGAAGCCTGCTGCTCGAGGACGCACTGGTTTGCCTACGGTACGTTTGAAATATGGAACTTGTCATCAAATTGGTGATTTTTTGGGAGGATTTTTTTTTTTTTTTTTACCCTTCCTCCCCTGCTCCTTCATATTATCCCCATGGCCTTTCTTCTTACTTTAATCCGGTGAACTAACTAGATTGTGAATCAATAGACTTGGCTCGATCAGCAACCCGGAATGCCTAATGCCTTCTCCAACCTTGGCCCCGGTCCTATCCAGAGCAGTGCAATGCGCCCGGAAGCATCGGCTTCATCCGAAGGCGATGACGAACTCATCCCGACTGCCATCGTCATCAAGAACATCCCGTTTGCCGTGAAGAAGGAGCAGTTGGTGCAACTGATGACCGAGTTGAACTTGCCCTTGCCCTATGCCTTCAACTACCACTTTGACAATGGGGTTTTCCGTGGACTGGCCTTTGCCAACTTCACCTCCGCCGAGGAGACGGCCACCGTGATCGATGTGCTGAACCACTTTGAACTCCAGGGTCGGAAATTGCGGGTCGAGTACAAGAAGATGCTGCCTCTTCAAGAACGAGAGCGGATTGAACGGGAAAAGCGAGAACGTCGCGGCCAACTGGAAGAGCAGCACCGACCCATGCCTTCTCAGCTCCACACTCAGAGCTCTATGACTTCCTTGAACTCGCACATTCCCGCCACCTCTCCTTCACCTGTGTCACAGCGCGGTGGTTCTCACGGACAAAAGCTGGGTAAGTGAGCCATTGATCCGATAAAAAATATTTGGGGGTTAAATTTTTTTTTTTCCTTGATGCCGTCGCTAATTAACATTTGGTCTTCTGTAGAAGTGGATTTGAATGATACCCAGACTCTTCAATACTACTCACAGCTTCTCTTGTTCAAAGAGGACACTGCCCGCGATTCCGTGATTTTCCCCTCCAACCTGACCCCTACCCAGCGACGCACGGTTCACACTCTGGCTCATAACATGGGGCTGGCCCATGCCTCCCGCGGAAGTGGAGATCAGCGCCAGGTCCAGGTACTGAAGGTCGCCGCTGGCACCAATGTGAGCCCGCCATTGCAGCCTATTCCTCCTGCCGGCCAGAACGACAGCTCCCGCCGTGGACTGAACCGTGCCGCCACCATTGATTTTAGTGAAGCCCGCAACGAAGCGGGTGCTGGGGCTTTTAACACCCTTCGTGGGCAGACTTCGGGTTTCCTCAATGTAATGGACTCCCCTGGCAACTTTGCCAACACCCAGAACCTACGTGCAGCCAAGTCTTTCGCCGACTTGCGCTCCTACACCCCTTCCCCTGTTCCTTCTTCGGCTAGCTTCCCCGCCGCGTTGCAGTCCAATGGAACCCGCCTCCAGTACGACGGCGCCCCGACCGGCGCTTCCAACACCCCGACCCTCACCTCCGCGCCATCCGGCTCTTCTCTCGGCATGCAGCGTGATGATAACCTGTTGGTCAACAGCCTGGGTGGCCTCTCCCTAGGTACGGGCATCGGTGGGCCCAATGCGAGCCCCAGACGATTGCGTGGTATGTTCTCCTGGGACCAGGACAGCCAGCCCTCTGCCACCGGTGCCATTGGCAGCAACCGTGGAATGGGAGTCGGATTTGACACCGCTCAGCAGGAGCGCATGCCGATTCGCCAGCCTCGTGGACCGACCCCCGAGAAGGGTCCCGGTTTCCGCCGCCAAAACGGACACCAGGCTCGCGGCAGTGATGAACTCCGCGCCAGCGGCGGAGTTGAGATCATCGTGGAGTAGATGTCTTGTTTCCTTTTCCTCCTTTCCTACCCCGACGCGATGAAAACGAAAATGGCGATTCCCCACCCTGTTTTTTTGCCAGCATCCGACTGCTTTGCCGCGAGACGAATACGAACTTGTATCACGAGGCCCTGTTCTGCGAAATTACCGGCTTACGATTCGATGAGGGATGACGAGATGACACCAAAAAAAGACCAGAAAAAATCCATTGTTTCGCGCTGATCCAGCCAAGTTTAGACTATTACTCTGGGGCCGCCCAGCAAATCTTACACCCACACCACTCTTCACAGTTGGAACGATATTTTGTTGTGACTTTTTTTTTTCCACCTTGAGAAACTCGCCATGGGTCCTCCAATGCTTCTTCTTCTTTTTTTCTCGAGTAAACTCTGGCCTTTTTCTTCCTTTTTTCTTCTTTTTATTTCCACAATTCCGATTTCTGTTTGAAATTCCGCGGGCGCCGTTTGCATGCAAATCCCATGGCTTGTTTTGTGTTCCCTTGCAACCCTGGAGCGGATCATGACCCCGCCGCTTGGTGAACGCGGGACGCATACGAAGAATGACCAAAAGACCCTGCCGCCGGCAGGAGATACGACAATATGAGCATCTGCATATTCTTGCCTGTTTTAGTGTTGTACATGGGCGACTCGCATCTAATGTTGTTCTAACCCTTTTTTCATCTTTCTTCTTTTTATTGGCCTGCCTGCTCCCCTAATATCTCAAGTCACGGTTTATTTTTGACTGTTTCTTGGCCTCAGGGAGGGCTCTTTTTTTATACGCCTTTTTCTTTCCTGCCTTTTTATGTGATTTGACTCGTGATCTGGACGTTTGGTTTGTCACAGGATTTCCGATGTTCTGCGCAGTTCATGGATCTTTGATTTAGATTCTTTGCCCTCTTTGCACATCTGATGGCTTACCTGGGTACAACTTCTTGACTACATTTTGTAGGTCAATGAACCCATCTCATATGGTGTGACATGCCAAGGGATCGAGATATTGGATTCAATTTCCCTTGGCTGTTGCTGATCTTTTTCCCATCTCATCTTGATCAAGGGTCTTTTCTCTTCTTGTTTAGTATCTCTTTCAGTCTAGGGGCTTTTTCTTCCTTTTTCTTGAATGCTGTACTCGGGACATCTCACGATCAATGTACCTTTTATTTATTTTCCAATGGGTTTCTGGTTTTCATTTCTGTGCAGTACGTTAGTTTCAGCTTTGGAACATTGTAGATCAACATCGTCTATACTTTTCTGTTTAATGATTCCTATATAGCCCTGGAGCAATCTGAACCCTGAAGCTTGGAAGCATAAGTTCTACTAGTAGGTAAATTATAATTTTAGCACCGAAACTTGATACTCATCATCCCAAAGCCATATGGAAGACGTTGATATTTCACATCAAAAAGTAACATTGAATATTCAAATGTTGCCAAGGCGCGGGGCGTTGTGTTGTTTATTATGATCATTTCCCACGGGTATTAGAGTGGCTCCCGGCATGTCCCTGTCGATCGCCCCATGCAGGTCGCGATTAGTCCGCGCTTGTTAGCAACAAACACCCATAAGTTTAATGTTATACGTGGGGGTAACCCCTCGATGCAGGTTGCAGTTTCAATATTGGAAATGTATACCACATCATTCTTCAATTCTTTATTTCGATGACCGCGTAACAGCAAATTCAAATTACGGCTATTGCATGTGACACAAGGCCTACACATGAAGCCGAATACCAGACTGGAAATTGTGGGACTTGAAGAATGTCCGGTTGTTTTTTTTTTCTTTTCCTTTTTTTCCCTTTGGGGTTGACACATTGGAGGATTGGTAATAGGATTCAATAACGTCAACACTTACTACTATACATGCAGACTAGAGGTGAGAAAGTCGCCGAAGCGAATAAGAAGTGAATAAAAAAAAAGTAGAAATAATTTCCCTCACTACCAGGATATCCCCCATTTTCCCATTACCGCGCCCAGTGAACTCGAATTGATCATAGATCAAGACATAAAAAAAAAGTAGAGTAGAAATAGAAAAAAAAGAAACCGGGGAATAGACAGACAACACATCAAAGTCACGCCGTTAACGAAGAAAACAATAAAAAGATCTCAGGAGAGGAGCGAGTTTTGCCCGGTCAGGGGAGGGGGTAAAGAAGGGACCGTTCGTTGAAAACCATCACACCATCCGAACGTGCCGGTTTTCCATTTTACAGAACGTTTGTTTTCTTTACAGCTCAGGCTTGCCCTTCTTCTTCTGCTCGACCTTCAGGAGCAAGGCGCGGTTGATGCGGGGCAGAACACCACCGAAGGCGATAGTGGCACGGATGAGGGTGTCCAACTCTTCGTCACCACGGATGGCAAGTTGCAGGTGACGAGGGGTGATACGCTTGACCTTCAGGTCCTTGGCGGCGTTACCAGCAAGCTCCAAGACTTCGGCGGTCAGGTACTCCAGAACAGCTGTCACGTAGACGGCAGCTAAAAAAAAACAAAAAAAAAGCAGAAATTAGCAAACGCGAGGATGAATGGCAGGCAAAATGGTAAGGAGGGAAACGTACCCTTAGCACCAACACGCATCTTGTTTTGAGTGTTGTTCTTCAAGAAACGCTTAACACGACCGCAGGGGAACTAAACAACCCCATGTTAGTACGTCCACTGGTAGCTCATAGTGACACAGTTGCCTAGGAAGAAATCATCAAGAAGAACATGCGACCGTCAGGAAAAGGATCAAACAACCCCTCATGGGAGCATCTTGAAGCTTAATACTCAATGAGGGGAACTCAATCGACGCGTCTGAACGTCGAGTTCCATCAACTAGCACCCCTCGCGATCACATATTCTCCATGTGGTGACATCCAAGGCAGCCAGGTAGATCGACTACCATACTGACCTGCAGACCAGCCTTTGCGCTGTGAGACTTCTGGGCCTTCCCCGCAGAGTCCTTGGAACCACCCTTTCCACCGATCGACTTTCCCTTTCCACCAGGCATTTTGGATAATATGGGTCGCAAAGATGAGTAGAGCGCGTAGATGGCAGATCGCAGGCGATCTGAGACGAAGTTGGATGGGAAGGCGATTCAAAAAATGGGTGGCACGCGCGTTGTTGATGGATGGAGAAGTCAGAAATGTCGCAGCCGGGACCAGTCGCTAAAGACTGCGACCGCGGGCCGGCGCTAGTCCGAATTAGGATGCCAGTGCAAGAGTCGCTCAATTCTCTTGTTTGGCCTGCACCAAGCGCAACATAGATATCATACACCCTCGGGGACCAAATGTTAGATCTCTGATGGCCATGCTGAGATATTCTGGGTGAAGCATATTGTGCAATATGGACCTATTTTAAAAGCCACATAGCCATGGTTGAAGAGGCATTTAGTAGAAAGCCCGCTTGCGGGCCCTCCACACCGTATCAGCCCATCTCAAATGCTTCTTGGCCTTTTCTTTTTTCCCCAGAGGAAGATATAAAGTGCAACGGATGCGCACCGTATTTACCTGTAGTTATGCTGGTTAATTCACACACATTGAGTTGCGTATTGACGGGCACCTCGACGCAGGTCCAGCTGGGAAGTGTGCATTTGGAGATAAAGGCGGAGTGAGCAGGTCCCGTGATCCGGGCCATTAGATGATCCGTTCCAGTTAATATACGTGGTTTCCACTTTCTCCGGAGTTCGACGAAGAGGTTCGAGTTTTGTTGTTATCTCTCTCCCCCCCATCTCCTTTTCACCTTCACTTCGGTTTTCGTTCTTCAACCCGTCAAAATGGTTTCTCCTCAAATGTATGTATGCTGAATGATACGATGATGAAAATTTCCATATTGATAATTGTCGCAGTACCAACCTGGCCATCATCTTGGTGATGATGCAGCTGGCCAAGAAGGTTCCTTTCGAGAACCCCGATGTGCTGATGGCTGTGCGCGGTCTGTACATCCTGTCCAACGTGATCATCTTGGCCATCAACCTGTACACCCAGTTTAAGATCAACCAGAAGAAAGGTATGTCGCTGTTCGAGGGAGAGGGGGATTTTGCGCAGTGTCGCGTGGCCTCTCAAGTCCTTATCTACAAATAGTGGAGATCAATTTGCTAACCAGCTTACTTTTTAATTAGATATGACCACGCTCAAGTACGTTGAGCCCGCTGCCATGGGTACCGGCGAGGAGGGCAAGCCCGTCACCACCACCAACATGGATTACGACAAGGGTCAGGTCCGCCAGATGTTCCGCACTCAGTTGATGGGTGTCGGTATGATGGCTGCGATGCACTTCTACATGAAGTACACCAACCCCCTCCTTATCCAGTCTATCATTCCCCTCAAGGGCGCCTTTGAGAGCAACCTGGTCAAGATCCACGTCTTCGGCAAGCCCGCCACTGGTGACCTCGCCCGCCCCTTCAAGAACGCTGGTGGTTTCATGTCCCAGGGTCAGCCCAAGAGCGACAAGGCCTCCATTGAGAACGCGGAGAAGAACTACCGTGGTGGTGTCAAGGAGGAATAATTGGAGAGATGATTAGATGTGGAGGATCGAGTCGTGGCTAATGGAGGTTGCATCATCCGTTTTTGGATAAAGACCATGTCGCCTTGCTTAATTCTTAATGTATTATATTCTCCAATTTCCCATGGCATTTAAAGGGGGTTGAGCTTGATGACATGATAAACTATATTTCTTCCTAATATACATCATGAACTGATGATTCTTTTGGAAATTTTGAGGTCCGAAGCGTGATGTTGGCCCACGTGCGCATGCAAGTATGTGCGCTCCAGCCCTGGAGGACTGTAACCTCCAGAGATAGCCAATGGTAAGCGGAAGTATGCACAGGATGCAATGCCTGTCAACGTTTCAATTCATCGTAGCGAAGTTGCATACGGTTTTCGATTGCCTGGATTCAAATGTACTGTCGCCTTCAACGTGGTGCGATCCAATCCAACCTTGGTGGCCAATCCATAGGCTTCCATAATGTTCCATGCCGTTGCGCCCCAACCGCCGCCGTAACCACCAAATAGCGATAGATAAAATATCAGGCCATGTCATAGCTCTTGCCGTTATTGCCGCTACCTGTGGATCGAAGCAAGGTCCTTTGTTAGTAATCTCATATAGTATGCATGCTTTTGGAGCAGTCAGGTGGCGCTCATCAGGGAAAGTTCATATTTATAATCCATCATCCTGGAGGCGGTAAGATTGCCACATGGTTTTTGTCGAATATGATTGAGTATGTACACCGAATCTGCATTGTATTGATTTGAATAAGAAAAATCTGCATTGTCCCGTGGTCCTGGACTCCTGGTCATTGGACGTGGTAGATCCTCCGGTGAATCTTTTCAGGGCGCGGGCCACATCCTTTTATATGCAACTGCTGAATCGGTCCACCGAGACGCGCTGGGATTGTCAGGTAAGCCGCATGCGGTATGGTTGAGGAATTATTGAATTCCAAAAAATCAATTTTTATATGTGAAATGGGGATAAATTGAAGGTTAATAATAAAAGGATCAACTTTCTGAATGGAGCTATAGTCATCTGTTATGCATTTTGGAGAGTTATTATGATAGATGCTACAGAGTATAAACAGAACTGGTACTAAAACTGCCCCTCAGTCGTGGCATCATCCACTTTTTGGTTACTAAGCCACCAAACTTGCCCCTCCTTGAGAACTACAAACTTGAACATTACACATACATTCACCTTCGTCATAGGTCTTTTCGGGCCCCGGAATCTTTTGATGTACGGCTTCCACGGCAATAACGTAGAATTATCGTGATAGTCTCGACTCTCCCCGTACCCGAACGTAGAACTGGGGAAAACATTCTCGAGATCGCTCCGAGGGGAGAATGGGGACCCGGTCGACGAGCAATGGCAGAAGCTCATTGGATGAACGGGAGCTACCGAGGGGCAAGCAGGTTGGAAATATCGTACCTCTTCCTGCTTTGCCCGGTGTATGAAACCGGAAAGGGTTGCTGGGGAAAGACCAACGGTAACAGTCCGGGAAATCAGTCATCTTGCCTCCGATGGATCTGGGGTGACTTGGTTAGCCCCGTCTTGTTGCTCGGTGTAGAAGGAGGGGTGAGCCGCTCGTTGCGTCAGTCCCCTTGACTACTTCTTGCTCCCATCGCCCATCTTTTTTTTCTTTCCTTTCTTTCTTCTCCCCATCCTCAATTCCCCCATCTTCATTCACTTTTTAAAAAAAAGGTTCGTTTTCAATTTAAATCAAGACACTCTCTTCCTCTTCTACCCATTCCTCCCCAATACAATCCCCCCCCTCTCTCCTCCTTCCAAGAGATCACCCCACCATCCCACCATACCAACCAAAATCTCCTTATTCTCAAGCTAACAACAGCTCCAGTATCACATCTACCGCAAACATGGTTACCCAGGTACGCCATCCATTATCATGGACAATCGCCATCCCCTATCCCACTGCCTTCATAAAGCTCACAATTTCCTTTTCAGGTCGGTATTAACGGTTTCGGTCGTATTGGCCGTCTTGTCCTCCGCAATGCGTAAGTGCACAACCCCCTGGGAACCCCCGCGTTGTACAAACTTCCAATTCTAACTGGTTCCACAGCATCAACTCCAGCGATGTCGATGTTGTTGCTGTCAACGACCCCTTCATTGAGACCCACTACGCTGTATGTCCCTTGAGCTTTTACATCTCCACCCCGCATGCTCCTTTGCTAATACACAATCTCTTCTAGGCCTACATGCTGCGTTACGACAGCACTCACGGTCAGTTCAAGGGCACCATCGAGGTCGCCGCGGACGGCCTGATTGTCAACGGCAAGAAGATCGCCTTCTTCGCTGAGCGTGACCCCGCCGCCATCCCCTGGGGCAAGGCCGGTGCCGACTACGTTGTCGAGTCCACCGGTGTCTTCACCACCACCGAGAAGGCCTCTCTTCACTTGAAGGGTGGTGCCAAGAAGGTCATCATCTCCGCCCCCTCCGGTGACGCCCCCATGTTCGTCATGGGTGTCAACAACACTGAATACAACAAGGATATCAACGTCCTCTCCAACGCCTCTTGCACCACCAACTGCCTTGCTCCCCTCGCCAAGGTTATCAACGACAACTTCGGTCTCGTTGAGGGTCTCATGACCACCATCCACTCTTACACCGCCACCCAGAAGACCGTTGACGGTCCCTCCGGCAAGGACTGGCGTGGTGGCCGCACTGCGGCCCAGAACATCATCCCCTCCTCCACCGGTGCCGCCAAGGCTGTCGGCAAGGTCATTCCTTCCCTTAACGGCAAGCTGACCGGTATGTCTATGCGTGTCCCCACCGCCAACGTCTCCGTTGTCGACCTTACCTGCCGCATTGAGAAGGCTGCCACCTACGAGGAGATCAAGGCCGTCATCAAGAAGGCCTCCGAGAACGAGCTCAAGGGCATCCTCGGATACACTGAGGATGAGATTGTCTCCACTGACCTTAACGGTGATGACCACTCCAGCATCTTCGATGCTAAGGCCGGTATTGCCTTGAACTCCAACTTCATCAAGCTTGTCTCTTGGTACGACAACGAGTGGGGTTACTCCCACCGTGTTGTTGACCTCATCTCCTACATCTCCAAGGTTGACTCCCAGTAGCTATTTACGGCACGGCCTGGAGTCAGGAGTCTTCTCTGATGTAGTAAGTCTGTCGTGACTCACATGCCCGCATCTGTGATGTGGCCTGAAGTTGCTTGGATCGCTATTCCGATGAAGGAAAAAACCAGATAACGTCATTTTAATGAAACAAATATATTCCTTTTATGTTCATAAACATTTTATCCTTGCTTCCTTGTATGATTTCATATTCCACATATAAATAGAACGGTACATATAGATTCATACATGAAATACATATGTCAACTACCTAGTAAGTTTTGACGATTAGGAATCTATCTTACATCCAGTCATCAATCAATTGATCAATGCAGCCAATGGGTGAGTTTGCACATGTGTGCACGGGTGCATTCAGATGTCCAGATTCCAGTGCATGTGTCTACTAATAGTATGTTTTGACAACTTCCCAACATTCAATGTTGGTTCTTCCAGATGTCCTCCTTTGATGGTTGCACCTAATTGATATTGGACATGCACTTGGAATTTCTTTTAATTGAAATTTCATATGGACATCTGGACATCTGGATGTGGAAGGTGGTCTTTGCCCTTTAAATGATACATAACTACTACCCAGTGGTATATACTTGCTAACATTGAATACTTTGAACCTACTATATACATGTGTAGTCTACCTCCACTTATAGCACATATGGGTAAGTCTTATGTAAACTAAGGATCCAACCTTGAAATAGTTAAAGATTCAATGTTGTTGCCATGTACATATTTAATGATTTTATTGCACTACTGTAGCCCTGGACAGATTTGAAAGTTGAAATCAACACGTGTATTTGAATGTCTCAACAAACATTGGTTCTAAGATCATTTAATACTGATATCTAGACCACTTGGGCAACAAGGCACTTTGGATCTATTAAGGCTATATTATGGCATCAATGACATTTTCATACCCCTGAAAAGTTATTTGCTGCTGAATTTATATAGAGTGGATAAGTCAGCAACTTGATCCATAGTTAACTAACTAGTTAACTAATTTCAACATTGAAGCTAGATTGCAGTGAAAGCGGTGTGAGAAGGCGGTGACTTGTATAATATCTGGCAATAAGAATACCCGGCCTAAAAGGGATCCAACATGCACATCCACTAATCTCCCGAGTCCCATCAACCCTGCGTCACAGGCGTATCACAGGCGAAACAAATTCTCCCAAGTAAAGCTGTAAGGCTGTTTTGTTCAAAAAGGGTCACTTCATAGGTCTTGTGCTAATATTGGGGTTCAGAATCTACACCAATCTCGCCATCTCTGCCTTTTATTCACTAGCAGAATACCCAAGGCGTTGCTACATACGTCTAGAATACTAACCTTGTCGACACAAAGAGGTTAAACTTCTGTAAGACATTTGACTTAATAGTTTGAGGCTCATTCAAACTATTCATGTCCTTTTGACATTTTCAAAAACCCATCAATCGTCTCATATTAGGGAGCCAACTGATTCCTTGGAACCCTTGGACAGTTACTCCGAACAAGAGGCCCTTGTCGCGGATCTTGTTATGAGAAAATAGGTGCCTTGGACAGCAGCATTGAAACAAACGGGCTGCCCAGGTGATTCTAAGGTTGAACTGCTTCTTAAATTGCAACTTCGAAACCATCACTTCTTGCGCTGCCATTGGGACAACAGCAGTCGTATTCTGCAGTGTCGACCTTGAAAGTACTTACTACCTCACCACTTTTCAACCATTAGTATCTGCACGGCTTTCTTAAATAGTGCTTTTGAAGTGCTATTTGATAGCACTTACTGCGAGCACACACTCTTTACCTACTTCTTGAGTAGTATCATCCACTTCAAGGGCATTAAGAAGGGCATTAAGCGCTTCAAATCCAAGCCGCATATCCACGCCGCATATTCGAACCGCATCATACCATGGATGGAGAAAATGACACGGCCATGGGAGACTTTCACAGTGTACCCTCTACCTCCCCGTCACGCGTGCCCTTTGGTCCATCAACAGTTTCCCTCAACCCCCACCGTGGAACGGACCCAATTCTTCCCCCTTCCATAATCCCTCGATTGGTCTCTAAATCTTCATCTGGATTTGAGCGCACTTCATTACGAGATCTACCACCCCCGAGCGGTATCTCTTCGCTCAACCAGTCCATCAAGAAGAGCGCTTCTGATAGCAACTCCGCAGAAACCTCTTCTTCCCAGACCGACAGCATGGCTTACGATTTGTCCGGTGATGAAATGGATATGGATCCACCCAGCTTTCTCCCAACTGGCCTGTGTTATGATGTCCGTATGCGGTTCCATTGCGAGATTAGTCCGACCGCGGAATTTCACCCAGAAGATCCACGACGAATCTATTACATCTACAAAGAGCTGTGTGGTGCCGGCTTAGTTGAAGAGCATATTCCGTCCCAAAACAACGCCCGCAAGACTCTGAAGCGGATTCTGGCTCGCCCTGCGACTGAAGACGAGATCTCCACCGTCCATACGAAAGAGCACTTTGCATTCGTATCGAACACCCAAGGTATGTGTTCTCCAGATATAAATCTTTGAAATTTACTTAAAAGGTTCGAGAGACTAAACGCGACTTAGCTATGTCCGACAAGGAACTTGAGAAACTTGAAGCAGACTGGGACTCGATTTACTTCAACAGATTGTCCTTCGAAAGTGCTCTACTATCGGCGGGCGGGGCAATTGACACTTGTCTGGCAGTCGCCAAGGGCCAGGTTCAGAACGCGATCGCAGTCATTCGTCCACCTGGTCACCATGCCGAAACCGAAAAAGCCATGGGGTTCTGTGTCTTCAATAACGTTTCCGTTGCTGCCAGCGTCTGTCAAAGACAGCTAGGAACAGATTGTAGGAAAATCTTGATCCTGGACTGGTAAGACTGCCGTAATTTTCGCTCTCAAATGGCTTTGCTGACCTATTTGTGCTTAGGGACGTTCACCATGGTATGTGGAAAGTGTTGAATCGCCGCAGTGGAGTGAATATATGCTTACATGTCTCAAGGGAACGGAATTCAAAAGGCATTTTATGAAGACCCCAATGTCCTTTACATCTCCATTCATGTTCATCAAAATGGCATGTTTTACCCTGGTGGCAACGCAGGAAACTGGGATCAATGTGGTGCAGGACCTGGCGCCGGAAAGTAAGTTCGCCAGACTTTTCAATGATGATTTTAGTCTTTTGAAACCAGAAGCACTTACGGAAACAAAGGAACGTCAATATTCCATGGGAAGACCAGGGCATGGGCGACGGCGACTACATGTATGCCTTTCAAAAAATTGTAATGCCCATTGCTCTTGAGTTCGACCCGGACCTGGTGATTGGTAAGATATCTCCTATTCCACCTTGAAGAAAACTGTCTAATTGGGTATAGTTGCTGCTGGGTTTGACGCTGCCGCAGGAGACGTGCTAGGGGGTTGTTTTGTGACGCCCCCATGTTATTCTCAAATGACACACATGCTCATGTCTCTTGCCGGTGGCAAACTTGTCGTGTGCCTGGAGGTATCCTATATCCCTTCCCTTTGAACCTCCATGCTGTGTCCACAGCCTATCACGTAACTAATTTTGATTTGAAACAGGGCGGCTACAATTTCGATTCTATCTCCAAGTCGGCACTGTCAGTGACTAAGACCCTCATGGGTGATCCTCCGGAACGCTTGACTGCTACCACACCCTCAAAATCTGCCATGAAGACCGTTTCCCTTGTGGAACAAGCCCAATCAGCGTACTGGAGCTGCCTTACTGGAATTCAAATTGCCCGTAAGGAAAAGCAAGGTTGGACTCGGATACATGGTAAGCCCGCTCCCCTCAAATTAGCCCGCCCCTTCAAGCTTACCATTTATGCTGGTAGACAAAATTCGGGCACAACAAGCGAACGAGCTATACACCCTGTTCAAGCTTACACCCCTGTTTATCTATCGCAATACCATTTCAAAGACATTCGAGCATCAAGTCTTGGCTAGGTAAGCATCAAGTCTTGAAGAGTCACCGGCAACTTATTCTTACATTTTTGGCGGTAGTTCGAACCTCAACTCAGGTGTTCCCATCGTCGTCATATTCCACGACCCGTAAGTACCTCGTGCACACTACGGAATATTTCCTGCCTACTTACCGCTTTGTTGTTAATCTAGCCCTGAAATTGTGGTCGGTGCGGACCCCATCTCGGGAAAGCCGGAGGCTCATAACACGTGGATTGTAAGTTCTCTGTTCTCGACGTTGTCTGTGCCGGGGCAGTCAAGTTCAATTAATCGCTAACCTTAAGAAGGCCGATTTCCAGAAGGACTACGTCGAATGGATTGTGAAAAAAGGCTTTGCAGTAATCGACGTCAACATCCCCAAGTTTGTCACTCGAGATGAAGTAAGATATCCACCTGTTTCTACAAAGCATTCTGGCCTTTTAGCCTTTGGCGACAATAACGCAATGTTTATAACCCGAAAATTAGGATACCGGAAAATACGAGGACGAGGATACAGAACGACCCCATACGACGGAGAAGCTGGCAGCTTACCTCTGGGATAATTACATTGAGTAAGTAGTATATTCTTTGGGATCCGAGGGACCTTACGCTGACTCGTAACACAGCGTCCAAGAGGAAACCCCCGAAGTCTTCTTCATCGGAATGGGTACTGCCTTCTATGGCGTTACGTCCTTCTTAATCAACCGCGGTATGTTAAGCAATAGATAAGGTGATAGGATACGCTACTAACTGCAACAGACAATCTTTACAAAAAAGTGAATAGTGTCATCTCGTTTGTCACGTCTCATCCGGTCCGCGCCGTTGCATCGGCCACACAGACGTGGATGTCTAAGTGGTACCGCGAGGTAAGTAGACAGAAACCCTATCCATCCACTTTTTGTTTGATAAAGAGAAAGCTTACAGATTACCGCAGAACTCCTTGGTTTTCGTCTCCCACGAACATGGAATCTGGGACCATAAGCTATCCAAGCGCTACGGATTGCTTCGAAAGTCCCCACAATCTTACCTTGACGATATGGTCGGCCAGCACAAACAAGAAGTATTTGATTGGATCTCCGGTCGTATCGATGCCCTGAAGCCAGATCCGGAAGCAGAACAATCATCGTCGTCCTCGGCCGGGTTCAAGCCTTCCACGACAACGGATTCGTGATCGTGGCCAGCACAAAGATGACCAGAGGTCTAATTGGATCTTTGGTCGTGTCGGTTATCTAATTCAGAACCAGAACCAGAACCATGTCTATTGGAACAAAGCCATTCGATATAGACGAGGGGAAGTCGTCCCGATCGTGGCATTTTATCAAACTTCAACCGAGTGTGGCGTTATGCATCTGCATATTTATTTTTCAGCAGCTTTTTCGAGGAACAGTTGGGCCCCTAAGCACGGGAGGAGAAAGTTGAGACTTAGTATCATCAGCATACTACCTCTTATTTTTTGACATAAATTAAGCCCAACTTTGATGTATCTTTTTTCCCCCAGATCGTTTCGAAGTTAACGATCAATTACACCGTAGAAGGTTCATGTATGGGTAGGAATTCCAACCCCGCAGCTTATGAGTAGCGTGGCGTTGCATCGAACCGCATGACATCCGTAAAGCCCACAAGTGATACTTGGGCCAATGTTTGCGATTTGTTATTGATCGTTCAGACATGTTCTGTGGAAAAAAAAAAAAAAAAAAAAAAAAAAAAGAAGAAGAAGAAGAAGAAGAAGAACCGCCGCTCAGTTGTCCTACTATTCTGCTTCGTTCTGCTTCGTTCTGCAAAAGAAGATTTATTACGAGTATACAGCTTCGACAATTTGCCTTTGAACGGAGCAAGTGACCGTGTGTACTGTACTTGTACAGTTCATGCCCTGATTAGCCTGACGAGCGTACGACAAGTGAGACACATCAAACCACAACCCAAGCAGGATTAGTAGCGGTGACTAGTAGAGTCGAAAGAGAGACTGATTTCCTCAGTACTAGTTGATCTGCAGGTCGTCCCTGGAATGTAACTGTCTTAGACCTTACCCCAGAATTGGGTGCGCCACTGCACTAACAAGCTCGGCTCGGCTCCATCGTCTCCACCCTTCCAAAGTTGGTGTCAATGCATCGTTGCTATGAATTTCTAGTACTTGACTTGACTTATTCGGGATTTTTGGCCTAAGCAGAATTTCTATACGAGGATTAGGTTGGGGTGCTCTGAGACATTTGGTATCTATGACCTCGCGCTACTTGCTTTTTTCTGTTCACCATGCACTCTCAATTCTATTCCCCGCTTCACCTTGACAGCCTTTGATGCGGGGCAATACAGCAGAGCCTATGCCTGGCGCTGGTCATGCATGGCCGGACTTGGCAGGTAAGAATCATCGTTTTCTTCCTTGGCCCAACACAGTGTCTCAGAATCATGAGCTAGGTTGCTCCAAGCGAGCTGGATGGGGGTTCTCAGCTGGCTAAACGAAGTCAAAGCCCGATAACCGACTAAGAGGAAAGCATTTCATCGGGCTGGTTATGCCAGGCTTGAGATGCTGGAAGAAATCTATAAAGAGAGGTAGGTTCCCAGGCGAAGAATGGTGATTTGCAGTCTCATCTACGAAGATTCGAATAACCCTACAACTACCTTGAGTTTCAATCAGCAATCAGAACAACTACACAATGCATTTCTCCACTGCCATCATTGCCTCTGTGGCTCTACTGGCCCCTCTCGCCAGCGCTGTCGGCAACGCTGTCGTCCAGAACAACTGCGCCTACCCTGTCTACCTTTGGTCCGTCGGCAGCGCTGTCGGTCCCAAGCAAACCATCGCTGCGGGCAAGAAATACACCGAGCTTTTGCATTTCGATCCTGTCTCTGGCGGTATTGCTTTGAAGATCACCAAGACCACGAATGGGTTGTATGATGGCAGCCCCCAGACCAACTTTGCCTACACTTTGGATGGTAGCCAAATCTGGTATGACCTCTCGGATGTATTTGGAGACCCATTCTCGGGCCAAGGTCTTGCAGTTGATCCTTCGGTTACCACTTGTCCTGATATTTGCTGGCCAAGTGGTGTTTCACCCAGTGGAAGTCAAACTCATGACTGCACGTCCACCTCGAGCATTACTTTGACTCTGTGCTCAAAGAAATGTTAGGTGGGAATTTATCAGCAGAAACATGAGGGACTGCTGCCTATTGTTGGAGAGTTGCTGCCTGCGTCTATGTAGCAGGACGGGTCGGGTGTTGGTGGCTGAGGCAGTGTCAGAAACCTGGAGTAGTGTAGTTTGCGGGGGGATGAGGAAGAGCCTCAAGCCATGAAACGTGGGCCTGTGGGGATTGGTTGTCTAGGCTATATTTTAGTATAATTAATGTCTTATGACCAACACTTGAATGCCAATCGCTCCTTTAGCGCTTCCTTTTAAGCTTTGCTGTGTTCCTTTCATGATACCTTGTCGGGTATATTTGCCTTGTCATATAAGGCGCAGTCTATCAGCCCAAACCATACAACACGAACCATCACAAAATGTTCAACGACTGTGAACAGGTTTTGGGCCCTTTGGCGAGATGACGCACATGATTGGCCCCCGGCATCGAACAGACCGCCTTGATAACCGCCGACGGCAGTATCCAAACACCCAAACACATCAACAAGCACACACCGCCCCCAAGGGGCCCACTGGCTAATTATCAAATTGCGGGACCAGATTCCCCTCCGGTTGGCTTTGCAATAAGAGACTCTGCTCTCGTCATCGTGTGAATCTGTTTCTTTTGATTGTGTTGAATCCAATCTTGTGTCTTTATCAAACCTCCTGTTCTCTGCATCGACTTGTGTGATTTTGATTCAAAGTTGATCCACATTCCACCGGCGTTCAACCCTTGATGCCCCCAAGGTCCTCTACTGCAGTACCGTGGCTAGCATACAGAGGTCTGAGTTGCAATCCAACTGCCCGACCCTATTTTTCAATCCCGGTGTCCATTAATCCTGTGGCGCCCCCTAGTCCGCTTCCATTCCCCGTCTATCGTTGGACCCGCTCGTTTTCCCACTCCTCTTACCTTACCGTTTCCGCCAATCCTACAACCATGTCCCAAATTGAGCGCATCACAGAGAGCTTGGAGAAGCCAGAGCTAGATGATCGGTCCTATCGGGTCATCCGCTTGCCCAATCAGCTCGAGGCATTCTTGGTGCATGATCCTGATACAGATAAGGCAAGTGCCGCGGTCAATGTCAATGTTGGCAACTTCTCCGATGAAGATGATATGCCAGGTATGGCCCATGCCGTAGAGCATCTCTTATTTATGGGCACAAAGAAGGTATGTACATCGGTTTCTCTGTCTTTCTCAAAGAGGCTCTTATCAAGCTTCCTAGTGCGGGGGTGCGATGCTGACAGAGGTGCTTTTGCTTGGACTTAGTACCCCAAAGAGAACGAATACAACCAATACCTTGCCGCCCACTCTGGTTCATCCAATGCATACACTGCCGCCACAGAAACAAACTACTTTTTTGAGGTCTCTGCTACCGGCGATTCAAGTGAGCCCAAGTCCACTGGACAGAACACCCCTTCCGAACCAGGCAATGGAACAAACGGCACAGCCACAGAGACCGTATCTACTACTTCCAATGGAGATTTGAAGGGCAAGTCTCCCCTGTATGGGGCTTTGGACCGATTTGCCCAGTTCTTTGTTGCCCCTCTCTTCCTTGAATCTACATTAGATCGGGAGCTGCGTGCAGTTGACTCCGAGAACAAGAAGAATCTTCAGAGTGATTTGTGGCGCTTGATGCAGCTCAACAAGTCTCTTTCGAACCCAAAGCACCCATACCACCATTTTTCTACTGGTAATCTGCAAACTCTTAAGGAGGACCCGCAAAAGCGCGGTCTGGAAATCCGTAGCGAGTTCATTCGGTTCTATCAGAAGCACTACTCGGCCAATCGAGCCAAGCTGGTGGTCCTGGGTCGAGAGAGCTTGGACACTTTGGAAGAATGGGTTTCGGAGCTTTTCGCTGATGTTGAGAACAAAAACCTGACCCAGAACCGTTGGGATGATGTGCAGCCATTTTCCGAGGCTGACATGTGTACCCAAGTCTTTGCGAAGCCCGTCATGGACTCGCGTTCCATGGACATGTATTTCCCCTTCTTGGATGAGGAGAACATGAATGACACACAGCCGAGTCGTTACATTAGCCATCTTATTGGCCACGAGGGACCGGGAAGTGTCTTGTCCTACCTGAAGGCTAAGGGTTGGGCCAATGGTCTCTCTGCAGGTGCTATGCCCATCTGCCCGGGATCTGCTTTCTTCACTATCTCAGCTCGTTTGACCCCCGAAGGTCTGAAGCTGCACCAGGAGGTGGCTAAGGTCATATTTGAATACATTGCCATGATTAAGGCTCGTGAGCCAGAGCAATGGATCTTCGATGAAATGAAGAACTTGGCAGAGGTAGACTTCCGTTTCAAGCAGAAGACCCCAGCCAGCCGTTTCACCAGCCGCCTGAGCAGTGTCATGCAGAAGCAATTGCCCCGTGAGTGGCTTCTCAGCGGGTCGCTACTGCGCAAATTCGACCCTGCCTTGATCAAGAAGGCTATGTCCTACCTACGGGCCGATAACTTCCGACTCATCATCGTGTCTCAAGAATACCCTGGTGATTGGGACCAAAAGGAGAAGTGGTACGGTACTGAGCACAAGGTGGAGAAGATTCCATCAGACTTCCTTGCCGGCATCCAGAAGGCTTTGGACTCAACTGAAGCAACTCGTACCTCCACTGTGCATATGCCCCACAAGAACGAATTCGTACCGACTCGCCTGTCAGTCGAGAAGAAGGAAGTTGACGAGCCAACCAAAACACCTAAGCTAATCCGCCACGATGACCGCGTGCGTCTTTGGTTCAAGAAAGACGACCGTTTCTGGGTTCCCAAGGCCACCGTTTATGTCACTTTGCGCAACCCGCTGGTGTGGGCAACTCCTGCTAACCTGATCAAGACAAAGCTCTACTGTGAGCTCGTACAGGACTCTCTGGATGAGTACTCGTACGATGCTGAGCTTGCTGGATTGGATTACCACCTCGCAGCAAACATCCTTGGCCTTGACATCTCTGTTGGCGGCTACAATGATAAGATGTCTGTGCTGCTGGATAAGGTTTTGTTAACTATGCGCGACTTGGTTGTCAACCCAGACCGTTTCAAGATCATTAAGGAGCGTTTGACTCGGTCGTTCCGGAACGCCGAGTACCAGCAGCCTTACTATCAGGTTGGCGATTACACACGCTACCTACTGTCCGAGCGCAGCTGGCTCAACGAGCAATATATCGAAGAATTGGAGCACGTTCAGGCGGAGGATATTACCACTTTCTTCCCCCAGCTCTTGGCACAGACACACATTGAAGCACTGGCGCATGGCAACCTGTACAAGGAGGATGCGTTGCGCATGACTGATTCCGTTGAAAAGATTCTCAAGGGCCGCGCTTTGCCTCGATCGCAGTGGTATCTGCGCCGCAACATGGTCATGGCCCCGGGCAGCAACCTTGTCTACCCGCGAGAGCTAAAGGACCCGGCCAACGTGAATCACTGTATTGAATACTATCTTTATATTGGTCTCTTCTCTGATGACACTTTGCGATCGAAGCTACAGCTTTTCTCCCAGTTGACTGATGAGCCCGCCTTCGATCAACTTCGCAGCAAGGAGCAGCTTGGCTATGTGGTGTGGAGTGGATCCCGCTATAATGCTACAACCATGGGTTACCGCGTGATCATTCAAAGTGAGCGCACTGCCCAGTACCTGGAGACCCGCATTGAGTCTTTCCTGCGCGAATTCGGCTCGACGCTTGGGAATATGCCGGATGAGGAATTCGAAGGACACAAGCGAAGTGTCATTAACAAGCGCCTGGAGAAGCTTAAGAACTTGAACTCTGAGACTGGTCGTTACTGGTCTCATGTTGGATCAGAGTTCTTTGATTTCTTGCAGCACGAGACTGATGCTGCTAACGTGCGCAACTTGAGTAAATCGGATATGATTGCCTTCTACCGCCAGTACATTGATCCTGAATCGACAACCCGCGCGAAGCTGGCCATCCACTTGAACGCCCAGAGTGTATCTGCTGTCCCCGATGCTAGTGCGAGCGACAAGCGGGTTCGCGTTATCGAAATGGTGAACAAGCAGTTGACTGAGGCTGGTTTCGCTGTCGACGACGCCCGCTTGGCAACCGCGTTCGAAGAGCTCGATATGACTCTTGTTGACCACGCACAGATTATCTATATTGTGAAGACCTTCTTGCTTACTGAGCTGAGCATGTCCAAGGAGCAAATGAGCCCGGTGATTGCGAAGCTGGATCGTGATATTGGTATCGAGCTGAAGCAGTTGGGCTTAGAGCCTGAGGTTAACGGCAATGGCAATGGTACCTCTGCCCCTAAGCAGGAGCCTACTGTGATCAGTGATGTCCCCGTTTTCAAGGCCGGTTTGCCTGTCAGCACTGGACCTGTGCCTGTCTCTGACCTTAGCGAATTTGAGGATTTTGACGCGAAGCTGTGAGGCTGTTAGCAGGAGTTGGTGTTTGTGTGTGCATGCATCACGTCATACGGAAAGAGGATTGTAATTTGTGGAGTAGATTTGTGAAAGGACATGGAGTGACAAAGACCGATTATTCTTTCTTGATAATGCCACTGAATGAATTGAGTATCTGACTCTTTCCCCCTCCGATAGAATCAATATATCTTACATTTGATGCTAATCTAATAAGCCTAAATAAATCGTACGTAGTACTACTAGTATGTACGTGATAGTAATTTCAGGTAGGCGGTAAGAAATGTAAGGTACCCCAGGCGGTAAGGCTAACCCCGATAGGCGATAACAGATCGGCGCAACAACGTAGAGCTGCTGCGCGCCCTTTCCCTTCTCCCAAACCACCCAACTCTTTTCCACCATGGCGAGTACCACAGCTACTGCTATCCAAAGCAGTCACCCGTGAGTGATAAATGTCTTGCTTAAGAGCTTCAGATCATCCACGATTGCTGACACTGATCCCATGTTGTAGCCCAATTCTCCCCAAAGATTTCTCCGCTCAGCAGCCCCAAACCATTCGACTTTATCCCCTCTCGAACTACACATTTGGAACCAAAGAGACACAGCCCGAGGAAGACCCATCTGTACTGGCGCGCTTGAAGCGTTTGGAGGAACACTATGACCTACATGGGATGCGCCGCACTTGCGAGGGCATTCTTGTCTGCCATGAACACAACCACCCTCACGTGCTGATGCTGCAAATTGCCAATGCTTTCTTTAAGCTGTATGATAAACTTGCCAGAAGTATCTCATGGTCAATGTGGATCGCTAACAATTGTTTTGTTTTGTTTTCAGACCCGGTGATTATCTGCCCCACGAGGAGGAGGAAGTCGATGGGTTCAAGAAGCGATTGAATGAGCGCCTAGCTCCTGTGGGTTCGCAGTTCTCGGGCGAAGGAGTGAATGAAGACTGGGAGATTGGCGACACGCTTGCCCAATGGTGGCGGCCAAACTTTGAGACCTTCATGTATCCGTTCCTGCCGGGCCATGTCACACGTCCAAAAGAATGCAAGAAGTTGTATTTCATCCAGCTTCCAAAGAAGAGTCAGTTGTACCTCAACACTTGATTGATATTCTTTTCACTTACACTTGTTTCCATGACTATCTAGAGGTCCTATCTGTCCCGAAAAACATGAAGCTGCTGGCGGTGCCTCTGTTTGAATTATATGACAACACCGCTCGGTACGGTCCCCAGTTGTCCGCGATTCCCCATTTGCTCTCGCGCTACAACTTTGAGTTTGTCGACGAAAACGATAATGTTGTGGCAGTGACTCCGGGTACTCCTCTCCCGGAGCATCAAGTTCCACGTACCATCGTGCTCGCTGGGGGCGACGATGGCCAGGATACAGGTATGACCGATATTGGGGCGGAGGAGAAGGGGCCGAACTCACACTAGGGCGGTGATGGTCATAGTTCAAGTCCCAATGCGATTAGCCAGGGCTTTGCAATACTACTCTAACGATTTTTTTGACTTAACCATGTCTTCCACTGGATGCGCGGGGAGCCCACGGGCCTCACGGAGTTGTATACTGTTTCTGGCATAAAGTTCACTCGGGCAGACTTCTAAGGCGCCTTTGTACATCTAATATACCCCTCTCACGCTAGTTCTTCTTGATCTACCATTCGTCTATGATTCCATGAGTCCTGACCAACCACAAAGTAAAAATACGCAAGATGGTCCCGTGGTGATCCCGGGAAATGCCCTAAAACGGGAGTAAACTACGATGATCCTCAGCACGAAAGAACAAGTGGACTGACCAAGGAACAACGACGGACGACCGGAGAATTATATCGAAGATCTTCACTCGCTGCAATTTTCTATATTAAAAAAAACCCATGTTGAGTATGTGAAACATGTGAAACAAGGAACAGAAGCATGATTTGACGCCCCGCGCGCATAAAAAAGGGAAAAAATGCACCTTAGGAGCGAGCTCGACTAGAGGAACCCCCGCATGATTGGGGGCGTTCGAGGGGACTATGCGGAAAAGCCACGCTTATATGCTTACTACTGATTACATCCCCGTGAAGAACTGCAGGAGTGCCGATCCCGACCAGAAACATCAAAATAATCAAAGGAACCTCCACATGTCAACGGTGATATTCTTCAGGAACGGACGAACAACCTGATTTGACCTGTGGATTCGATGGAGTCCGTAGGTTGCCCGTTGACCCCGCTCCAGGAACTCGTATGTCGGACGGTCTCGTGGTTTTACCCCGAGTCATGAATCCATTCCTTTGACCATGTGTGTTTGGATGGGGGCGGTTGGTTTCTGCATTCGGTATATAAGCAAGCCTGGGAACGGACGAGAAGAGAATCGTCAAACTGTGGTTTTCTTTACTTGTTCCAGCTTTTATCAGCCATTTAGCTGTTAGTCTTCGTCTTCGGTCTTTGTATATTGGTTCTTGGTACTTTACTATATACAATGTTGTCTCTTACACAATTGTGGATGTTTGGTGCAGCAGCAACACTGGCTGTTGCTTTGCCTGCTAACCTATTCACTAATCGAGGTAAGCACTGGTCGGACATTTCACAGAGAAACATTGACTCATTTGATATTTCCATCTGGAGTAGATGTCAGTGCATCTACTTTTGACTCCCTCTATCTTTTTGCCCAGTACTCTGCAGCTGCATACTGCGCAGGCAATATCGACGCCACCAGCTTTGGTGAATCGATCACTTGCTCAGCTGGAAACTGTCCACAGGTGCAGTCAGCGACTACCAAGACCATATATGAGTTTAACGAGTAAGTGGAGCCATGTCTTATGAATGACCTCGTTTTCATCACTGACTATCCGGTTTCAGAACAAACGACTTTGGGGATACTGCTGGTTTCCTCGCTGTAGATGAGACCAATGATCTGATCGTATTGTCTTTCCGTGGAAGCACAGATATCAGCAACTGGATTGCGAATCTGGATTTTGTCTTCAACGATGACAGTGGACTTTGTTCGGGATGTGATGTTCACAGTGGCTTCTGGTCAGCCTGGCTGACTGTTGCCGACGCTGTTACAGCCAAGATCGACTCTGCACAGAGCTCATACCCGGACTATCAGCTTGTGCTGACTGGTCATAGTTTGGGTGCTGCGCTTGCTGCATTGGCGGGAACCGCGCTCCGTAATGCTGGATATACGTTAGATCTGGTATGTGGGGGGTTTTTTTTCCCTTTCTTTTCATCACCCAGGTATATATATCCACTAACCGTCTCCAGTATACATATGGTCAACCGCGCGTGGGCAACGATGCTTTGGCCGTATATATGACTGCCCAAGGTAGTCTTTGGAGAACTACTCACACAGATGACATTGTACCCCGGGTTCCCCCAGAGGTTCTTGGCTATGCGCACGCAAGTCCGGAATATTGGATCACTAGCGGCGATGATGTGACTGTGACTGATGATGATATCGAGGAAATTGTGGGCGTTGACTCCGATGATGGCAATGCAGGAGAAGCAGATGAGAGTATCGATGCGCATTTGTGGTACTTTATGTCCATTTCTGCGTGTGATTAAGAGACGGAATGTTTGTTATGATCCCTGTTCCTGTATACATCGTATATCGGGACCCACCGATCGGCCGAGTTGTGGCTGGAGGTTCAAATGTTGTGGCGGAACTAGCGCCAACACGTTTCAAATGACAAGTGGATCTCTTGGAATCTTTTGTCTTTTGCAACTTGGAATACAAGTTACTTCTCTTTTTTTTTTTTTTTTTTTTGCAACCTCTATTTAAGATTGCTGGTCCTTGCTCAATTTCCCCAATATATTACATCGCAACAAGTGAGGTTTCACCAGGCAAAGTCCGGTTAGGCTACACGATTCCTCATTCCGTTTTCAGCTTCACCCTTTACCACTCCACTCCATGATGCGCATCTGAGATGCTTGAGCCTCAACGCAACCATGTTGTTCGCCCCTAGCGGACCTCAGAGCCCGCGCCGTCGCAATCGGATCAAAGCTATCTTTATCACAATCAGCATCGTCCTCGCACTTTATTTCCTATTCTTCGCAGGACCCGAATCACCCACCAAAGCTGCTGTCAACAATGACCGACCGAGCTATGCGCAACGTCCCACCCCGAAAGCAAAGACCGACTCCATAGACGAGCAGGCTCGTCCCGCAATCCGGAAACGAAAGGAGATGGTCGTGGCCAGCATGAAGAGTGACGACACCGCCTGGATCGCCGAGTACTTCCCGGACTGGTCACGAAGCATCTACGTGGTAGATGACAAGAAAGCCACGTTAACGGTTACGAAGAACAAAGGACGGGAGTCAATGGTCTATTTAACGTGAGCAATCCAGCCATATTGTTACCTAGCTCCCCCCTCCCCTCTGAGAATGCATATGCTAACTTTCACTTCGACTGGCCAGGTACATCATCGACAATTACGAAAACCTTCCCGATGTCATGCTATTCATCCACTCATTACGCTACCAATGGCACAACGACGACCCATACTACGATGGAGTTCCCATGCTCCGCAATTTCCAGATCCCCTATTTGCAGAAAATGGGATACGTCAACTTGCGCTGCGTCTGGACACTCGGGTGCCCCGAAGAAATCCACCCATTGACAGATACACACCGCGACGATGTTCACGCAGGCGAATACTTCAAAACTGGATTCATGGAGCTATTCCCGGATCAGCCTATCCCCAACGAGGTGGGCGTATCGTGCTGTGCGCAATTCGGCGTGACCCGGGATACCATTCGCGCGAGACCGAAGAGCGAGTATGAACGATTCCGCGTCTGGCTTGCGAATACAAGCCTGGGGGATGATTTGAGTGGTCGGATCATGGAGTACTCATGGCACAGTATGTTTTCATTCTGTTCTTTGAAATTTACACATCATTATACTTACAATTTTTCTTTCTTTCTCAACAGTGATCTTCGGACGACCACCCGTTCATTGCCCCGCAGCTGGGGATTGCTACTGTAATGTCTTTGGCTTGTGCAACCTGAATTGTCCCAATGATGCGGTATGCGATAACCGCTATGTGCTACCACCCTTCTCCTCGTTACCGAATGGTTGGCCCTACCTTGGATGGGAGGGCCAGGAGCAAGACCCAACCTACGGACTTCCTGCATCGTGAGCAACACAAATATTCCAGCTGCATATAGTTGCTCGTTATGCGTGTGCGTTGAAAACCCGCTCGAGAAATAGAGTGCTGTAACGCCAGTATTCTGGTTTGGGGTCGGTAAATTGGCTTTCCGTGCCTTGTTTTCTTGACAGAAACGAGCACTGATACACACTGGAGTCTACAAGGCCCAGTGAAATTGCCTCGAGGAATTGAATTCCACTGCAGGGTCATATGTTTCGCTATGAATGCCGATCTGTCTGGAGAGGTATAACGCCTACAGGCAATGTGGGAAATGGAAATGGAGTATATAACAAATTGGCTTGAGCACCACGGCATTGATTTGAATATTAGCGCATTGATCACATTGATTGCTTCGAGTCTTTCAAATACAGTCAACTGGTCATAATTCTGATTCGACTTCCCAAGGTCTTCAGCTAAATTACTAACAAAATTGATGTTTGTACTCACTTAGAAGGTACATACACAGGCCTCCGAGGTCTGTAAGCTCCGTAGACGGGTAGCTTCGTCATGTATATGTGGTAAGCGAACAAATGCAAACCTCAAGTCAAGTTGGAAACCGAGACTAACTATAATACATCCACCGATCTAGCTACTACCTGATCCTATGCCTCCGGCAGCGATTGCAAACTCTGATGCGACAATTCCTGCACATGAAGATGTACTCTGGCAAGTCATGAAAACACAACTCACACTCCAAACTCCCCCAATTGCGCCAAGCCCACTGAGAGTTTCTGTGATGCTCACAACCCACCTCTTCGTGGTTTTGCAGACCTTCAACTATGCGATTGAACGCATTCTGGCGAACAACCGCATTAGCATTTGGATGATCCTCCTCCACAGCTCGATTGGCCATGTTCAATAGCCGATTCTCCTGCCAGAGTGAGCATTCACATGTATGCCAAACTTTCCCACACACGTAGCAAAATTCTCGCCCACATCTATCAACCGTTAGATCGAACATCAATTGGTGGAACAAATTTAAGCTTTGATGCTTGTGTTTATGTATACTGACCGGCATGTGATGTGGTTGCAACCATGGTCAAGTTCTACCATCGCCTGGCAGTGAAAGCATCGCCTCCAATCCTCACCTTTGGCTATTTCTAACACCCTCTGAAGTGCCTCATCCATAGGGCAGTCAACGCCGGGATGTTCCAAAGAACGACAAGTGAGATGAGTCCTTTGATAGCAGCTTGGGCAAGTGCCGATTTCGTCCCGAATCGCATATGGAGGGATGAACTTGGAACATGTTTGCTCAGCACAATAGAGTCGATCTTTAGCAGTCCATTCAACTGCCCTTGCGCCAAATTCACGGAGCTCCTCATAATTTAAGACCCTTAAAGCGACTCCAGGAGGCACGATCTGTCCACAACAGCGAGGCGGGTACAACTCCTCATCTTTGATTGCTCCCAGAAACATTGACCTGATACAATCTTTACAAAACTCATGGCCACAGGAGCCCGTAAACATGAGACTGTGGAAGCGTTCCATACAGGAGCAACATTGTTTGGTAACGGCGGATATTCGAGGTGAGAACGACGAGTTTGATGGGCCTTCCCCATTGTCGGAGCCTTCCCCTATGACGATTCGATTCATCAAATCACACATGACAGTCGACACAGCGTCGTCTTCCTCGGAATCTGAATTTTCACCTCGTTCTTGCATAGTTTGCGCTGGGATTTCCCCGTTGCTCAGTGCGAGAGCAAGCTGATGATCCTGCGTCGCATGGGTTTCGTCCTTCTGGATCGAGGCAAGTATGTTTTGATCGGTAGCAACGGCAGTGCTCATGCTTATAGCCAATATTTCGTCCCGAGCACAGGTCTGAGCGATTAGGATCTGCTCTCTCATGCTATTCATAGCAATTTCCCAATCGGTGGATTTTCCAGATACTCCCTTCCCCTTCTGCTGATCTTCAAGGTAATCCAACTCTTCGAGAAGGATTTGGAGGGCCGCTTCGTCGCTCTGGTCAATGGCCATATTGGGCGGGTTGGGAACAAAGGCCACAGAACGACCTCGAGGTCGGGTAATCGGTCCTGAAGAAGAGTATGTACTGGGTAATTGTAAGTGGGATCGCTCGATGGTGTCACTTGAAGATGTGAGGGTCGATTCAAAAGAGAAAGAACACCGGGGATAGATTTGGGAGAAAGAAGTTACAACTTTGGAAGAGACGGAAGGAGGAGCAAAATTGGAAGAGAGCACTACTATGTATACTAAGGAAATAACATGCACGCAGTGAGAGTACAGGAGACTAAAAAAGTATGCTTACAATAGTTACGTAGCATCCTATCAAGTTTCCAAAGTTGAAGGCGGCCGACACTTCAATGTTCGAAAGGTCGCCATCAGAGTAGCTTCATAGAGGCTGAATACTACTACTACCTAATATATACAGTAAATGAAGCCGTTAAAATCCAGAAATACACTATACTGAAAGCATGCATCAAATCCTTACCTGTAACGCCCTGGTATGAATGAAAAGTTCATAATCAGACCTCGACAATCAAATAGAAAGCACCCTAGTGCTGCTTGTTCCACAATTACTCAAAGTCTCTGGCCCAAAGCTGAGGACAAAAGATCAGGCATTATCCAGCAAACCCCAGGAAGTCAAATAACTGGATGTTGTTGGTGTTATCCAGACTCCTGACTCCAGAGTATAGAAAACAAGTGCGGACCGAGGTAGTGGATCCTCCCCGCATTCAGCAACATTTCTCCCAAGTTCTCAACCACCTTCCAAGATAATCCTCACTTCACCTCATTTTCGTAATCAGAAACCCCCGACAAAAATGCTCATAATCGGTCTCACCGGCTCCATAGCCACGGGCAAATCCACCGTATCCACAATCCTCTCAACACCTCCCTACAACCTCCCCATAATCGACGCCGATATCCTCGCCCGCAAGGTAGTCGAACCAGGCAGCGCAGGCTACAAAGCGATTGTCAACTACTTCGGCCCCAACACACCAGACCTTCTCCTCGATGACCCCACAACAAATACCCCCAAGGGCCAACCGCTCAACCGACCAGCTCTCGGCCGCCGTGTCTTTGGCTCCACAGAAGAACGCAAACGCGACCGCAATGTCCTAAATGGAATCATCCACCCGGCTGTGCGCTGGGAAGTCTACAAAGCGCTGGTCTACTACTATCTTCGCGGTCAATGGGCCGTCGTCCTCGATGTACCCCTTCTATTCGAAAGTGGGATGGATCTTATCTGCGGAACTGTGATTGTTGTTGGTGTACATGACCCCGCGGTACAGATGGCGCGTTTACGTGCCCGCGATGCGCATCTCACGGCCGAAGATGCGGAAAACCGTGTGCACAGTCAGGGCGATGTGCGGTTGAAGGCGGCGCAGGCGGAGTTCCGGGGCACGGCTGCGGCGCGCGGGGTGGTGGTTTGGAACGACGCTGATAAGGCGGAGCTGGAACGTGCGGTCAAGGGGGCTATGGCTAGCGTTGCGGCGTCAAGTCCGCGGTGGTGGGCGTGGGCCTTGCTTGTGGCACCGCCGGTTGGTGTTGGTATTGCGGCTTGGAATCTGGTGATCAATTTTGCGACGCAGAAGGGATGGGAGAGGAAAAAGAATGAAGAGAAGGCTAAGTTATAGGGGGATGTTAGCATACACTGAGAAAGGACCGAGTCTCTTGCATCCTTAAAGATGGGATTATATGCGTCTTTACTTCTCTCACATAAACTAGACTGGCGCGGAACGATTGCTTTACATGTCTTTAGCCCGATACCTAGGTGTATACTGATAGATTCCATTTACTGCTCTGTGTAGATATGCATTCGAGACCATTTAAATGTCAATTCACTTCGCGAATATGTACCTCATAGGTAGCTGCAGATATAGGTAACTGCAGATAAGTTAATTTTGAGTCATCGTAAGAAAGAGAAAAATGTGCCCATAGATGTCCATGCCCTAACGCCGAGACAATGCTGAAGTAACGCCAATGCCAAACACCAAGGATATCTGTGTTTTGAAAGAAACCAACAGAAGGGAGACCTCTGACTGGATGTATTTACTGGCCGCTCTTGCGCTTCTTCTTTTTCTTTGACGATGATGGTGCCCCAAATTGCATGGGGCGACCACCGGCACCCGAGATACTGGTAAGCCCATCCAGCTTAGGACCTCTAGCTTCACGGATCCTTCGCTTTTCCATGACAGCTTCGTACCGGGCGGGATTATCGACCTTCAACTGCTCGAGTTCAGCCTCCTCTTCGGTCATGGGAGGTGGGGTCTGGAATAAATTAGCATTGGGTTAACGTGAAAATGCAACGATGACGGGACTGACCTTTTCCTTGCGCTTGAAGTTGCCAAATGGCCGACGACCTCCAAGATTGATATCGTCGTCGGCATCTATAGATTCAGTCGCCATAACGAAGGACTGGGGGGCGGCAGGAGCCGCTGCAGGGATGTCCAGCACCCATTGAGTCTCACCAGCCTCGGCAGCCTGTCGCGCAATGACCTCCTGGCGTTTCTGCTCCTCGGCGGCAAGTGCGGCGGCGATAGCATCGAGATCGGATTGCGGGGTCGAAGGGCTTTGGTATTCCATTGACTTGCGTTGGCGCTTAGGGGTGCGTGCCGAATCATCGGCTCCTGGCGACTGGGCTTCCTTGGATGCTGCAGATGCTGCAGCACGTTGCATGAACTGTATGGACGTTAGTTTTGTTCCAAAGCGCAAACAGTGATGATACAGACCTTCATGGTAAGTAGGCGGGAAGACATATTGCCCTTGTCAGGCTTTGCAGCCGTACTGGGAGAGGCCGACATAATGGGCAGCAATATACCAGTATCGACTACCGATGTGACAAAAGCCTTGTAAAAAGTGAGAAAGGTGAAGTGAGGATTAAAAGTAACAGAATAAAATGTGGCGGCAGAAAAACCGCAAGCTACAAAGTCTCAGTTCGAGATTACGGTATATGGCAGGCGGTGGGCCTCCACCAACCACACCTCACGGATTACACTATTCAGTTTGCAACTCTCCGACTTCGAGCAATTCCGTCCTTGTCCACTCCCACCCCAATCCGTCCTCAGGACCCAATCTGCCCAGCATGATGTCCTGCAGTCGCCGCCTCACATCTCTGGCCTCCGCGGCCCCGCGCTTCGCCGCCCGCAGTTACTCCTCGACTGTGCCCCGTCTGCACGAGAACCGCATGCAACCCAATGACCCCTCTCCGCCAGCTCCCAAGCCCAAAGTCTCCCCACTCAATGCCCCGGAGGCACCCATTGTCGAACTCCACGAGATGCGGGCCCACGACTTCCGCGAAAACCCCGCCCTCGGCGAGCAAATCCGCAGCGTCCAGGCCCCGAACCGAGCCACTACCTGGGCCGCTAGCCAGCAGCCCCGCGAGAAGGCCATGGTTGGACCTCGATTCGAGCAGACCATCATGGAGACTCAGGTATGCAGTGATATAGTCCGACGTCAAGTTGGAATTCGAGCAATTGGCGCGGTTCCCTTGGAGTAGACTAAGAAAGAGAGACTGACGATTGTTTAAATATAGCCCCGGCCCCTTGCTGCCATTGAGTTGATTCACAAGCAACCCGTGCGCTGGACCAAGTCCCGAGTTGTCAGCTGTGACGGTGGTGGTGGTCCCCTTGGCCACCCCAAGGTCTTCATCAACACCGACAAGCCCGAGATTACGCCTTGCGGATACTGCGGCCTTCCCTTCGTATGTGATTCGCGGCCAGTTTATACAAACCATGCGCGAGAACCTTTACTAACATATTAATTGCAGGCCCAAGAAAAGCACAAGGCTTACCTCAAGTCTCTGCCTGCTTCCAGCTACCCCCTCGAGCCCACCGGTGATGCGGCCGAGGTTAACGAGACCCAGCGTGTTCCTGGCGCGACCGGTGGCCTGGAGCAGCGGTAGACGACTAGCATCCGATTCCTTTTGTCGGCGTTGATTAATTCATGTTGCGCGTGTGTTACAATACTAGTTTCCTTTATTTTATTCTTTTGGGCCCAAGGCCGTGTACAGAAATATAGATCAAATGGATCTGCCGTTCGCCCAAATGCGAGTTCCAGCGATTGGTCGTGGACTGAAATACCCAGTCTTTTGGCAATCCCCGTGGATCAAAGGTGGATTGTTGCATCCAGATACTATATTCGCAACGGGTCATGGATATACTTGGGGTGACAGGACACGATGTGTATCTTCAACTATATTCCCGTCCTCCCAATTAAGACATGCTCTCATGTAAAGTTGAAAATCACGCCTTCTGGCCCTGGATAGTTGCGACAACCTTGCGCGAATGGCGACTGGTACGGAACTCCAGGTACCAGATTCCCTGCCAGGTTCCGGTCGCCAGACGGCCATTGGAAATGGGGATATTCACCGAGGCACCGATGAGAGCAGATTTGATATGAGCCTTGAAGAAACCACAAATATTAGCTTATCAGCGCAAATCAATCCACCTTTTTTGAAATAATCCCGGGAAACTAGGTATAGCGGCGGGGTAATAAAAGTCACCCAAAGAATCAATTAAAAACATTACTAGTAGTATACAAGCACATACCGGCATATCATCGTCTCCCTCAGCAGAATGACGATAGAGCTTTCCCTTCGGATCAGACGGGGCAATGCGATCAAGTGCATCGCTCATATCGGCGCGAACATCATCATCCCAGTTCTCATTCAGCGAGAGCGCACAGCTCGTGTGCTGCACGAACAAGTTCAGCATGCCGACCTTGTAATCGTGGATCTCGGGGACTTCGGATAAGACATGGTCGGTAATGAGGTATGAGCCGCGACTGCGCGTGGGCAGGGAAAATGTTTTTTGAGACCAGGACATTGTGGGTGTTTGTAGTGGGGAGGTTTGTTGGAGCTTGAGGGCGGGGTGCGAAATAAGGTGGTTTTCGATTGGGTAGTGGGGGGAAGCTCCAGTGAGAGGTCTGATGTCACATTCTTCCAAGATTCTTGAAGGTTACAACAGGACATACTAGTTTCGAGGGAAAGGGAGTTTTGTAAAGTAATAAAGACAAAATTTGAATTTTCAAGTCTACATGTAGCTTTGAATATCAGTAGAACCTGTTCTTGAGTATTTCTCCATATATTGTCATTTTCTATACAAGACCCACAGCTGAAAGTACTCAAGTGCTTAGATCCTTTGTTTCATCTGGAGCAATGGCATTTGATAGCACCATTGACAAGCAGGCGTGAAGGGAAGGTCTCCACATTGAACGCATATCACTGCCATTTGAATAGTCTAGAATGGCAAGCACAGTATTTACTAGTAGTAGGTACTACTGATCTATCCTGCGGAGGACACCTGCTGTCAAACTAGTAGGTCAGTTGCAAACAATGCCTGCAGGCACCTTAGCGCATACATTCGTATTTTAGGTATTGTAAAATCTTTAACAGATTGAACTTGGAGGCTCCTCAAATGATCAATTCGCAACATTTGAATGGATTGAACTTTGAAGATAGCGGGATAGAACGGCTATCTCCGGGTATTTTGATGCTGGCACTACGCGGCTATTTCCCTAGAGTTTGACTATAAAATTAATTTGAGCATCCCTTGATCTCTCTTTTCAAATTCCTCAAATAGAATCCTTGCAGAGTCATATCTACAATTGACGTTATCATGGGCTCAATATCTGACCCAATGCCCCTGAAGGAGAACGGTGAAGACTCGCTCTTCCTAGACCTGTCTTCACCCCCGGCCGATGAACCATTTGCAGTGAACGGAGCATACATCCAAGATACAAACCCCAAGAAAGTCAACTTGGGTATCGGAGTCTACCGTACTGCTGAAGGATTGCCATGGCCATTGCGAGTGGTTGAGGAGGCCGAAAAACAACTTCACCAAGCAAGCGATGTGAGTCGACACGAATACCTCACCATACAAGGTGATCGAGAATTCCTCAAGTTGGCATCCGATCTCGTCTTCGGATTTGATGAGGTAAAAAAAGAGCAAGTGGTCGAGGAGAATAAACGGGTTGTTTCTATCCAGACAGTCTCGGGCACAGGCGCAAACAGACTTGGCGCGGAGCTTCTGGCGCGGAATATTGATCCAGGATGTGTGTGGGTTCCCGATCCTACTTGGGCAAATCATCATACAATTTGGGAGCTTGCTGGGGTACAAAGAAAACTTTATCCCTACTATGACAGCGCGACCAAGTCCTTTGATTTCGAAGGAACTGTTCGAACTCTGTCAGAGTCCGCCAGGAAAAACGATGTCGTGATTCTTCATGCCTGTGCTCATAACCCCACTGGAGCAGATCCAACACATGAGCAGTGGAAGCTGCTGGCTGAACTGTGCAAGACAAAGGGCCTGATACCGTTCTTCGACCTCGCCTACCAAGGCTTTGCATCGGGAAATCTCGAACAAGATGCATGGGCCATCCGCTACTTCTACAATTGCAACCCTCGACTGGAATTCTGCGTGGCTCAATCCTTCTCGAAGAACTTTGGTCTGTACGGACAACGAGTCGGGGCTTTGCACGTTGTGACTTCCTCTACCAGCAATGAGGTCTCTCGCAATCTACTGGCTAATCTTTGCCATCTCGTTCGTGGCGAATACTCCATGGCACCAAGAGGCGGTTCAGAGGTTGTGCGAACCGTCCTGAAAAATAAAACCCTCAAAAACAAGTGGTTTGAGGATCTCGTCACCATGAGTGAACGCATTCGAAAAATGCGACAGGCTCTCTATGATGAGCTGACCGGGTTACAAACACCCGGGGATTGGTCCCATATTCTGAATCAGGTCAGTTAACACAAAGAACGCCCGGATCTGATGTACAAATACTAATTTCTCGCAGATTGGGATGTTTACCTACGTGGGATTGACGGAGAGACAAGTTTTTGAAATCCGATCAAGGCATCATATATACATGCTGAAATCCGGCCGCATTTCGATCTCGGGGTGTAAGTCCCATTGATTCCAGACCATGACTTTCATTCACAACATTGAATAGCTAGTGACTGACCATAATTGATAGTGAACGAAAATAATGTGAAGGTTGTTGCAAAGGGCATCGACGACGTTGTTCGCACGGTGAACTGATAGCGGATATGGATTTGGAAAAATTGCATGCATTACACATGCGAACATTCAATGTTGAATATGTCAATTGATAGCAACATTGAAGATAACAACAAGCACTAGAGTTTATGACAGTGTCTATCCAAAATCTAACTTTAATCATCCCGAAAACGAATCAGGTAGCTCAACATGAAGTTCATTGGGAGACATGTGGGTTGAAACACGATTCAAGCCTGTCCTCCAGAGATTACGCGGAGAGACTCGGATTTTTAACCAATAACCGATCAGATGTCGTTTTGAACAATATTGGTATATCCGTATCTTCATAAACAACTTCATGCATAACCATCTTAGTAAGGGCTCTTGCACTTGTGAAGATCATGGTCATCCCAGCACCGTTGAAACCGGCCAAGATCCATTGGTTTCTAGAGCCTGGAACCAATCCCACGTGAGGCAGAGCATCGGGAGTCTCGCCCATGACTATTTCGCATATATTAGAATAAGTCGGTCAGAATCAAGTGTTCGGGGTCTCTTACTGCCAGTCCAGACAAAGTCATGGTGTGCCTCGGCTTTTTCCCAGCCTTGGAAATGAGTCGCCATTACAGTATCGAAATGCTCTGTGGATGCGTCATTAATCAATTTTGTATCGTCGGTAGTATTCCACCACTCCGCCCGATCGATCTTATCCTCATAAGTCCACTTTCCACCCCCAAGGATTATCGAATTGTCCGGTCTTGGGTTAAGGTAATCTGCGTATTTCTTGTCAAAATGCAGATTGTAGGTGTGATCCAGGGATTTGGGGACTTGGAAAGATGGCGAAGGAGACAGGTGGGAATTTTGGCCCTTGAAGGGTGTAATGACATCCTTATATTGCGGTAGCAAGGCTGCAGTGTAGGCGTTGGTTGCAAAAATAGTCTTCTTCGTGTTCAAAGCGCCCCTCGACGTTGTCAATTTTGTATGGCCGGCCAGTTCTTCCACTTCTGTGACATAAGTCTCAGTAAAGAGCTTGCCACCCATTTCCACGACTCTTGATAGCAAAGCTGTGACGAGTTTGTATGGCCAAAGTGAGGCTGCAGGCACGCTTAATGCACCTTTGGTGTCCTTGATACCGGTGATCTGAGGATGCAAGGTAAGAATATGGCTGAGCATAGACATTCAAGAGTAAATTTATTCACCTTGTCCGACTCGGAAGCGTCAATCCATGTAATGTGCTGAGCCCACGAAGCCCCTTCCGCCTGCCGAGAAACCACGAACTCGTGGGCCTCTCGAGCATCATCTTCATCAAAAAAGATATCAAAAGAGCGTGTTACACGAAACTCGCAATCAATCTTTTCTTTTTCAACTACCTCTTGCAAGGCAGTGATTTGATCAAGTTGATTGTCGATAATCTCTGCCATTTCTCTGGGGTCGTATTTGGCCCCAAAGTGCTGCGCAATCCGCGTCGCTAATTTAAGATGGCCCCCTTTACGGCCTATCAGCAATTGAAACCTAAACGCCATCGGAGATTTACTCACCATTGCGTCCGGTCGCCCCGGCACAGGCCTGGCGAGCCTCGAGCAAGACAATGTTTGGCTTTTTTCTGAGATTTGGATCTGAAAGAATATGGTATGCGGTAGCCACACCGGCTAGGCCAGTGCCAATGATAGCGATGTCGCATTGATCTGGAACTTCATCTGAACATCGGAAAGAGGCTAGCCGATGGGGATCTTGAAGCCAGTATGATGTCAACGGGTTTTCAGCTGGAAACCCTCTTTCCTGGAGGATTGAAGACATGCTTTGCAGTGCTCTTGAATCGGTAGCAGTGAGGTATAAATTTGAACTGCGAGACTATAGGTCTTCAATGTTTATTAAATCGTTGTTTTGAAGTGTTGGAATGGTGCCGACCAGAGTGATGGGAAAGCACAAAACTTTGGCGTGAAATCGAGGCTTATGAGAAGAAAGCCCGGCCCCCTCTTCTGCCTAGATCTTTCCGCGCCGAGGCCCAAAGCAGTTAGTTTGGCATGCACAGAGCCGCAGAACATGTCAAGCTTGATTGGAAGTTCAAGGTGGAAGATGGTTTAAGTGGCATGGTATCGATGTTTTTATTGATATGTTGTAGTTTGTACTTTGAGCGAGGCTGCGACATCGAGGAATGTAAAGCCCAAGTCACTAAATCCATCGAACCCTTTTCGCGAACATTATAAACAGTGCCGTAAATCCGACAATGAACGAGAGGATTCCAAACCACCAATGAGTGTTTGTCACATTCTCCCCAGGGACATTTACATTCTGACCGAAAGAACCAGACACAACTTGCCCAACGACCATAATCGTGCCGATAACTGTCACTCGATTGAGAGTATTCGCGATTTGGTTACGCATGCATGTGGAATCGAGATCCAGCCGGGCCAGATATTTACTTTGCGACCGAGAGAGCATCTGCTCGGCACTAGTAAGATTAGACATCATCGTCAAAACGTGATCTTCAATATCGCGAAGATACAGTGTGATCTCTTCAGCCGTGGATACCGAGTAATTGCAGTGCCTGGCGAAACAACGAATAAGATCGGTTTTATCGTGCAGAAGTCGCCGGATTTGGGTGACCTCCTTACGGCACTTGGAGATATTCTGGAGAGCTAGACCGATGTCATCGGGACGAGTGACAGAGAGGCCATCCTCCATCATCTCGACGCCGGTTTGGACACGGTCAATATGTGGAGCGAAGCCGTCCACGATATCGTCACTGTAATTAACCATTAGCCTAAACACCCCTTTTCGGCAATTAGAAAGTAGAAAGGGGTTTCATCCATACATTAGCGCATAGCAGATCCAATCACTGGTGGGAGAAAAATCGCTTTGGTGCTCCTTTATCCGTTTCCAGACATGGGCGGGATCTTGGCCATCACCAAAAGTGATGCTGAGAATTCCCTCGGGAAACACGATGCCGTAGAAATTGGCGGACGAGGCATCGGGAACCGTTATAAGTTTGAGTTGCCGGGGAGGCAGGACAGAAACAAAGTAGTAAGCACCGAAAAGTTCGACTTTCTCGCGCAGTTCGCGGACCTTGATATCTTCCGTAGTCAGAGGGTGGAGACCGAACATGCGCGATAAAATTTCGATATCGTCATCGGATGGCGATGCGACATGCAGCCACCATAACCCCTTATGGTCGCCTGTCTCTTTGAAATCCTTGAAGGGTTCACAAATTGATTCTAAATGTGAGAAGCCATTGGCTCGAGTCACGGTATCGAGACTGGAGTTGAAAAAGCTGTAACGCGTGTCACTGGCAGATTCTGCCCCCGATTTTTCTTCAAGGGCACTGTCGGTACGGCCCAGAGGTACCGTGGGCCCCATGCTTCAAAGCTTCAGTGAGCAGCATTCAAGTTTGTGAATATGTAACAATGTTGCGAGTTGCTGTGTGGGAGAAGATGTAATTTTCTATGTGGTGGTGGTAAGGGGAGAGTCTTGGGCCTTGGCCTTGGGTGGCGGAGTCGGATTTTCCCCTTTGATCCAACTGGCCACAATATCCGCGCAAGTCTTAACAAAAGTCCAACGATAGGAATTTTCCCAAATATTGATAGCCTTGGAGACTCTTTTTTTACAGAAATTTACTAAGAAGTAATGGACTCCTGACGTCAGATGCTTTATATGCTTTTTCAATATGGCTCTTTGACCTCTGCTGCATAGCCTACTCTCCAGATGTCCCTTGCTTTTCACCTCATTAAGCGCTCTTTGTGAACAAACCTAAAGAACTTGAGCTGATATTTACGATCCAATCAATTCGATTGACCGCCAACTAAGTATGAGGCAATTCTCCATTTGCATGGAGCTAGTACTTGCACTGCCTATGATGCGTTGCAAACGGTACTCATCACCAACGGTGGATTACTAGTGGCGCTTCCCCAGTCCGCCGATCCAAGAGCTTGACCAGCTTCTGTGCTGTTATCAGAACGGATCTATCACGCATTAGCCGGCTCCACGAGTTTGAACAGTTTATACTCACATAGTATTGTGGTTCAACATAGTACCACCAGTCATCACTGCGATATGCATCATCCAAAGACTGGCTAATTGGATCGATGAATCCCGTGTTACGAGTATCAAAGTTTGGATGTTTCGACCAAGCCACATACACCTTAGGGTGATCTTCATCCTTAATCCCATTCGGATCTTTAGCATCACCGGCATTGACCTGATCCGTAGTCAACGTATTTTGAATAGCACCCCAGGCGAGATTATTATAGCCGCTATGAGCGGAGAGTAGCGCACGAGTAGGAGCCCATGTGTTATTGTTGTTGCGTGAGTGAATGATGACCACTCGTTCCCAGTCACTTGAAAAGACCAGGTTAGCATGCCATGACTTTTATGTGGGATTTTCTTCTTACTAGTCGTGGCCAGTCTCAATCAGACCGAAGATCGCACCATCTTTCTCATAGAAGAGGTTGTAGACGACACGAACTTCAGTCTCGTTACACCGTTGGAATGTGTAATACACTGGGAAAGCGGGCCCTGGGTTGCCAACTTTGACGCCAGGATTGCGGCAGTTACACCCAACATTGGGGTATTGGCACTGGGCTGCAGCAGGTGTCTTGTGTGCATCGTCGTAGATATCGGACGTGTTGGGTGAACCGCTAAAGGCCCAAGTCGGATAACAAGGGGGCTGGTTTTCGGCTTGGGCAAAAAACCACAGTGGTGCATAGAGGTTCGCCAATTCAGCGCCGCCGGCGTCGAGGAGGGAGGTCATATCATCATCGGTGATTTGAGTGACGGCAGCGATGGGGCCAGCCAGTATGGCCATGTAGACCCAGGACTTAAGCCACATGCTTGAATAAAGTGCAAGGCAAGGGGTCACCGAGGATATGCTATGGAGCCACCATCTGGCAACGGAGGAGGATGCTTTTTAATCAAACAGCGATCAAAGAAGCCCAAGGCGAATGGATCATTCCTAGAGCTGTTAAATGTAGACGTATTTCCAATTTGGGAGATGATGCGCTGAAGGTCACATCGTGCCGTGGCGCATTGGCACGGGGCGGCCGATGGGGCGGACTTCATCCCTTTCGAAGTGGAATTGGCAAATGGAAGATCGGCAGTGGATTTGCCAAGTCTTGCAAGTTCATCTGATCTTATCTCGTGCTTGACCACTTGGATTAGCGGAGTTAGTACGATGGTGGGTACGAAACACGATCCTCCAATCTCAGAACAATGTGATCAACGTGCATAAATACCGTGTTCGATTGATAGTCTATCAATATAATGTATGCAACAAAATAATCAAAATCGCCAATGCGCTAAAATTTTCCGTCCGGACTCCGAACGTCTGAGGCTCTGAGCAATCTGTAATTGGTTCACTCGTCACATATAGAGTGAATTTCTTTTTTCTCCGTGTGACCAAATCAGATCAGTTCATTGGATGGGCTTTCCATGGTCGTCGAGCAGCTGACTATGCTCATCCATCTCTGACCATTTGGGCCTTCCATCAGGAACGTCAAACATGCGCTGCTCATAATAAATATGACACCTAAAGGTCATTAGCAACTAGCTATTTGGGGTAAAAAGTTGCACGGCATCACATACGTAGGCTTGAATTCCTCCAGCCTTTTCCGCCGCTCATCTGAAGAGCCCTCGAGGTGGATCAACTGCGGAAACAACAAGCACATATTGCGGCCTTCGTCCATTATCAGAGTGTGACAAAAGCTGCATGAAACTTTGGTGGGGTTGTCGTATTTCTGCGAGTTATGGGCAGCCGAGAAGAATGCTAGTCCGCTGGAGCCCTTTGTGAAGGAGACATCGTCTTTATGGAAAATTGCTGCCCATTGAAAGGGAGCACCATGCATCACCTGGCAACCTCGACAATGGCAAAACTTGGCGTTTAACGGTCGGTCGCGGTTTAAAGCATATGTGATTTTACCACACTTGCATGAGCCCTTCCACTTGATGGGGCCGAATGTATCATGACCATGGGTATGATATGGTGGCCGATGTTTCCAGTCTTCAGCTTCTAGTGTATTTTCAGGAATTGCGTTGGTGAATGCTGGTGAAGGCAATGGATTCTCGGTTTGGAGAATGCCCATTTCAGCCATGATGAAGGTTTGGGTTCTGGAGGTGTTCTTAGTAGTTCATAGGAGCAATTTAAGGGAATTGACAAGATTTTATAGAATTCGTAGGTGGCGAATGTCCAATGATGTCAGTTCAAGTAGAAATGGAGTTTGGAAGGTTAATTGAGGTGTTGGTATTCTGTGGGTAACAAGTAGGAATTCCGGGGTAAGAGGGAAAAGAGCAAAAGAGCAAAAGAGCAAAAGATGCAAGTAGACACGCGACTTCCACCACTCGCTCCTTCCCTCTTTGCCATCTTTCGCTCTTTCCCTTCAATGTTCTTTCCTTCAAGTTCTTTCCCTTCTTTTCCCTCTTTCCTTTTCTATATCATTTCTTCATTCCATTGACTACATCTCAACTCGCTCCTTCCATTCTATATTCCTTGAAATTGTTCTTCGTCAGTGATGTCATGATGCTGCTCTATCTGAGCTTCAGTGAAGTTTGTCCAGAAGAGATCGGTCGATCTGGTATCTGGTTCCACCAGTGAGAAACAGTCCTGAGTGCAACCTATCATGTTGCCCGAAACTATTGTCCCTGAATTAGGGCCCACACTTGACAGTTGAATGTTAATTCTATATAGAAAGTAAGAAAAAAAGGATGAAGATCGTGGCGCTTCGAAACATTGGCGAGACAAAGCGCGGGGCGTTCATTGGGCGTTTCACCCTTGTTCAACAGCGGGCCCTGCATCAATTTGCGTCCTTCATGTCCGCCAATGTCCCGTTTCTTTCATTTCTTTTCCCATTCCTTTCCCTCCCTTTCTCTCTCTCTCCTCTCTTCACCATCTCCTATCTTTACAGGATGGGTCTTTTTGATAAAATCAAGTCCAGTCCTCGGCGCAGTCGTCGTAGTGTAACGCCTGCGACCGAGCCGCCAACGCCGCCCCACTCTACCGGTCGCGATGCGACCAGGAAGCTTCCCCGCGCCGTGTTGGTTCGCATATTCGGCTTTGTCTGCCCCCATGCATTAGACAACTCATATGATACCTCGGAGGATTCTATGACCGATGGCTGCATGCTATGTGACATGCGAGATCTCGCGCACTGCACCACCGTTTCCAGGCGCTGGTTCCCTGAAGCCCACGCGCTCTTGTATGCGGACCTAACCCCATATTGTTTATATTCGAAATCATGTACTAACGTGGTTGTTTCATAGATATACAAATGTTCGCATTGATCCCGTTCACTACTGCGAACTCGAGGTCCAACTAGCCGCCAAACGGAAACGACGCTCTTTCTTTGACCGTAATGGCGATCCCATCGATGCCCCGCAGGTCCGCCTCGAGTTATTTATGCGATCGGTTCGCGAATCACGACACTTGGGGAAATTGGTCGTGTCTCTTCGAATGCCTTACATGACCCGCGAAGCCAATAAAGCTGTCATTGCCCGCACTATCTCGGTTCTTCCCCACCTTCGCTATGTCGATCTCCCGACTGGTCTATTCGGTGATGAGGCCTCGTGCGTGACATTGAAGCAAGAGCTGATGGCCTCTTGCACCGACCTTCGGCGCATGAGTTATCGACACGGTGCAGAGGGAAGCTTTGCGAGACTCCCCGAAGCACCACGCTGGAACAATCTTGAAAGGTTAGAGCTATCGGGTTTGCATATTGAAGCTGGTATTCTTCGAAACAGCCTGGCAGCCTTCCCACGACTGAAAGAGTTAACACTGGAGGATTTACCTTGGCTCGACGACTCGGCCTTTGGAGCGAATTCTTCCTTACCCGCCTTTCCCGCTCTGGAGCAGCTCACCATTAGGGAGACTCCTCAGCTAACAGCGGACGGGCTGGTCGCGTTTTTCTCCGCGGCGACCAATCGCATTGCGCTGCAAGGGTTGACATTGGCGTCTACTGGCGTCCTTCCATCAACGCTTCATCAGGTTCTGCAGGCCGCACCGCATCTCCGCAGTCTGTCAGTTATCCAAGAAGTCACCCGGTCTTTCCCCGCTGAAAAGATCTCTCCTTTGGTATCGCGATCACTCAAACTTCTACACTACGAAATCACGTCCCAGGCAGAGACCCACGGGCTCCCTCCTGCAGCCAACTCTTATTACACGTATTTGATCTCATGTCTGATGTCTCGCTGTCTCCCCGCTCTCCGTGATCTATATGTTCGCGACGCACAATTTCCCGACACTCTCCTCTTGGCTCCTCCGCCCCGACTATTCGGCGGCGGCGAGAATGGCCCTCAGATGATGGGCGGCCTCTCCCAACCCTTGAATGTTTATAGTAAAGGCCTGGATGAGCTTGAATGGAACTTCACCCCATACGAACCGGATTCAGCGCTGGGTCGCAGTGGTGCCACCACCCGCCCCGTGAGCTTCCAGGAGGCACAATTAAGCCGGTCCTGGGGTGGAGACTCACGCAAGAGCGTGCTGGTGGGTAATGGCTTTGGCGGGTTCCTCGCCGTGCCGGAAGATGGCGAGCGACCAATGAGTAGTAGTGGAAACAAGCGAGCCAGTCGGCAGGACTTGTGGCGATGAAGACTCTCTGAGATCTACGTCGAGAATCAAAAGCATTCCTATGAGAGATGCAATTTATGACCTTAATGAAGCATATTACAAACATATTTCAATTTATATACATTCAAGTTTACCTTTCGGGGCTTCTCCATCCCCATTTTGAGATTAATTGATCAATATAAATATGGTACAGATTAGTTTTAAAAGATTCTTCAAACATTCAATGTTCGAGTCGAGTCCAGGTTCAAATGGGGTTAGTTCGGTGGCTGTGACTCGGGCTCTGGCCAACCCTTTGCAGGCCAACCTTCCGGAAGCGTTAACCCTTTGAAAACCCATTGGTCTCTTAATTCATCCTCGGTCATGTTACAATAACCGTAAGTATTACAATAACACTCAGCAGAATCAACACAGAACTGCGAGGTTTTGCCAAACATAACTTCATAAAGAATTAGCACAAAACAATCACCAACACAGGGAAGTGAATCAAGTATACTTACTATGCCATGAATACTCAAAGATGCGCCCACTAGTACTGGCATCTAACGGTGACGCAAGCAACCAGTCTCGCATGTGGATATACTCCTCTTTCTTGCGCGCGCGAACCGCCTCTCGCGATACTGCAAACTGGCTGCAGCACGGAACACCCACAACCTCGGGAACCTCGGTACCGGGGAATAGTTCCATGAAGCTATGGGGAAACTCCATGGCGGTGGGATGGCTCTGGTCGTCGGGGCGTTCGCGGAGATAGCGGGCGGGTTCGAGTTCGGCTGGACAGCCGATTGTCCAGGAGCAACGCATGTTGACGTAGCCGGTGTTGCGGACGTGGTCTATTTGGAAGTCGTTTATTGAGATAACGGAGTCTGGATAGTGAATTTGGATCAGATGGGAGCTTTTTGAAGCGCGGGATTCATGTATGATTGGTGGTTACCATAGAGAGGATTATCGTTGTGCCATTGGTATCGCCCGCCATGTACGAATAGTGTCACGTCGGGAAGAGTATTGTATCGATCGATAATGTATCTATATCAAAGTGTTTGTTAGCTCTTAAGATACTTTCCAAGTACCAATTTGTGCATCAAATTGCCCATAGATATCAATAGATGTTGTAACACACGTTAAATAGACCATGGCTTCGTTGCCTTTATTTTCTGGAACCGTAAATTCGGCTTCGCCTTTCGGTACATCAGCCCGATAGATATTCAAGACCCAATCCGGAGATACAAAGTCCACCCAGGACATATCGCTCTTGCGCATAGCCGCAATGACGAGTTCTTTTTCATTCGGCGTAGGCAAGGGTATAGATATAGGTATATCGGAATAAGCTGGTGTGGTAACCGCATCTGCAACAGGCGTTCTTGTCGGGTACACTTGCTGCACGGCACTAGTCTTGGACTGTACAGTACCATTTAAAGCAGCCGCAGCCCAGCCATCACCATCATAATCAGCATCGGGATCATAAGTGGCAATGGCGTCTGATCCGACCTTCCAAGATGCGATGGAACCAAGCGAGTCGTGGTTCAGAAGCAGTTGGTACGAGAGTAGGAGGGAGATGACGGCTAGACCCAAATAGACGAATACCCGTGAGCTACCGGTGGATCCGGACTCATTTGAGAAGACGCTCGCTCGTCTCATGGTGGAGCGGGCATTATCGATTTTCGGGTTGTACAAAGTTGCCCTGGGAGAGCTTAAGTTAAGAATTAAAGGAAAAGGGAAAGGGGAAAAAACAAAGGGTCTTTTGATTGCCGGATTGACGCAGAGGGGAAACTGGAAATCGGCACCGAAAACAGAGAGAAGTTGATGGGACGGCGGGTCCATGAGCTAATGCGGACCCTTGGATGACTAGAACGAGGCTACGCTTAGAATCACATCGGATGGGACAAGGATCTACGTATGCCTTGGTTTTTCTTTTTTTTTTTTCTTTTCGATAAGTAAAATTGATGTATAGAAGCATGTAAACGAAGCTTGTTTCAATGTTTGTTAAATGATATGATTTTATACTGATTTTATATTATTTTATAGGGGATTTTCTCTCGATGTGATTGGATTGGCTGTTTCCGGTTGGCAGATGCAAAGGTTGCACGAGGCCGAGTAGATGAGTGTGATTGGAAGCGATAACACTGAAACAGCCATTTTAAGCCCCAACTGCTGTTACGCGGCCGCAAACACCTTTCGCTTGGCAAGTTTCTGCTTCAATATTTCTATAGTATTTCTATAAAAGAATTGAAGTAATGGCTAAGCTTGCCCAGCGACCGCCACCCGGGGAACTAGGATGCAATGACCATCACAAATCGTCAAATTGTTCCTGCTTCCAGGGTCCATATTGGGTCCAGATTGGGTCCAAATAATGTATCCGAATGCCGATTCCAGGTTTCAGCTTTGGATCCCTGAAACTTGACCAATCACTTTTATTAGCGCCTGTGGTACATACTACTTAAGCGCTTTCCCCACTTATTATTGACAAAAAGTACTCCGTACTTGCTCATTAGCAGGCTAACAGATTAGATTATTATCATGGCAATATAATTAAAAGCTGCCCGACCGATTCAAATAGAAGAATCATATCATCCCTCGAATATTATTTTCTTTATTCAAATGTTATATACTCCGTTTTGTTGAATGCCTATGTATAGTAACCCAGGCCTCAGGCCATCACTTGCAAAGTGAACAAACACATCGAGGATCATTAAACTTCAACGCCCGCCAATTCTTGCGCACCCATCTACTTTCAAACCCCGGCAGCTCCTCTAGCTGTTTATCCATCGCATCAGCATACGGGTCAGCCATCCCCACAAGTCTCATCCGCCCCACGTGCCGCCCAAGCATGAATAGGACCTCTGAAACTTCTTTCGGTTCTTGCTCACGGTGAAGAATCAGGACCTCTCGAAGACTGTTTAGACAGGTGCTGATGCGGGAGACCCGCTCCCGGACACAACGAGCCATTCTGGAATCGATGCCGTCGCATGTGAGAATCAGAGCGAGATTTCGAGCTGCGGTTTCTAGACAGGTTGCGATCTCTCGGTAATATCGTCGCTCGTGGCTCCAGATGTTGGCTCTGTAGTCGTCTAGTGCGCTCACAATGTTTGTGCGGTGGTGTAAGAACCATAATGTGCTAGCATCCATGGGGAATGCCTTGACCGACAGAGAGTTTGGCTTGGGTAGGTCTGAGTTGATCATGATGAATAAATGCGGGTTGTGGAATTCCTTTACCTAGGGAGTGGTCTCATATCTATACTCGACGGCCTTTGTTAGTTGTAGAAGAAACATGGAGAACTTTATCAATTGCTTGGATACACAAAGTGTTTCTGGTTTTGGGAAATTGGGCATGCGACTTTGTCTTCAAGTGCTGTATTGAGATATAATTAGTCGAGTGAGAAAGGTTGGCGTCTACTGAAACAAAGAATCGGAGTCACATTGCCATAGTCCGTGCGCAGATCTTTATGACTTGCAACATTCGAACGGAGCGACAAAGAAAACTATAAAAAGAATCATGATGAACCATGGGACGATTGAAAATGTTTCAAAGGAAATCGGTCCTCGACCTCGACCATCAAGGCATCTGTGCTGCATATGCCGAGCTTTCAAATTGATGCCGAGGTACCAAATCCCGAATATTCAAATGCCGAATATTGTATTGCCGGGACAAGCTTGCTACAAACTTTTAAAATTAAGCCATCTGCTGCTGCACTGCATGTGCTTTGAATGAGGATTATTTTCCAAATGGAACGAGCATTCACATATTGATTAATTACACTTGTCTATTCACCGAAGGTTCTTCGATGAATGATACGTAAGATAAAGACTTTATCTGCAGGACTAGAGAAATTCCACCCCCGTCAACCAAATTCCAGTGGGCTGTGAACTCGTGGAGCTCATCTGGCCATAAGAGGCGCAGGGTATTCAACCCTCAAGTGGGCGACCATCTTAGCATGAGCCCTGAACCAGCAGAAGGGACACATCATGACTCGCCACAGAAACACTATGCTGCTTCTTAACACATCCGAGACTCTTGCCAGTCCAAGCATCAGTCACACGATAAGATTCATGACCCTTCAACTCAGGGATTTCACTCCAAACGGCAGTGCGAGTAGCAGTCGAGTCCTCAGTGTTAAGCATGAGAACCAGAGTTCCCTTCAGGGTAGATGAAGGACCAGACCAGTACTCTGCAGGGTGTTCCGGATCGAAAGTCCAGTCGGGATTGTATCCCCACTTGTAAGGATGTGCCGAACGACCGTAGACGGGATCTTGGTGGAATTTAAGCAGGTATTCATTCTTGATGGTGGCCAAGTTTGCGGCACTGAGTTCACTAAGCTATATGATTGTTAGTAACATACTATGGAAGCCCGGTAGGATTTGAATTGGTGCTGAGGAGCATACCGTGGTGCCGATGATCAAGGGAGACTTCATGATCGCCCACAGGGCGAAATGAGCTCGGTTCTCTTCCACAGTGAGATTGCCGTTGCCAACTTCCAGCATATCGGGATCGGGGTGACCCCAGAATCCAACATAATTCATCAAAAAGCTGTTCTCATTGGCAATTTGGAGAATACGTGACCACTCAGCTACAGATTGTTAGCTCAGGATACTCGAGCGTGGCTTCATGCAGTCAAAACAATCTTACCAGTGATATCTCCCGACATGCGCCACGAGTTCCCAGTCTCTGCTCCCCAGGAATTAACTGCCGCATCGCCCCAATCACAAAGTGAGAACAGGATTGTTCTGGTCTGATCGAGAAGTGCATCCCGCATACGGTCATACCGTATGGAAGTATTGGACTTGGACCAGTCGTATCCTGGCGGTGCTGGGTCGGTAAGATCAGGACAAGTTCCGTTAGGGTTGGTTCCAACGTCTCCATCTGGAACACAAGCATTATACTTGTCGGTCCAGTTTGATGGAACTCCGCAGTTATCATATTTCAAGTCTGACTTGTTAGACAAATAAAAATTAGAAAAGGAGCGGCGGAACTTACAGTCGATTCCCCACTCTGCAAATGCTCCTGCATCAACTTGCTCGTATCCTAAGCTAGCAGGATATCCTGCACAAGTTAATTCACCAGCGCCTGTTTGTATTTTTAGTATTTTGGATGTACCTATGAGTCAAGTTCTAGTGTGTTAGAAGCACTAAAGGCGTACATACTGCTGTATATTCCAAGCTTCAATCCTAGGTCATGGACTTGTGTAGCAACACCTGAGAGACCGTCTGGAAACTTTGTGGGATTCGGAATAATCCGTTGTGTTGTGGCATTGCGCTCTCCCTGTACGGACCAACAATCGTCGACTGGTTAAGGTTAGTTCTGGAAAAAGAAAAAGCTTCCACTTCTGTACATACTGTTGACGTATTCATATCCGAGGTCTTTGAGACCCAATGAGACAACATCATTCGCTGCTGCGAGGATAGCAGTGGCATTGACATCGCAACCAAAGGCGTTCCAAGAGTTCCAGCCTAAGGCAGGCAATTTGCCCTAGCAGTAAGAAGATTAGTACTTGCACGGGGTTTCAAATCGACATTATTGACAAGATCAAAAACGGAAGGTCGAGCATACCACGCCATCCTTTCTCACAAGAGCATCCGCAGAAGGCAGAACAGCTGCCAACACAGCCAATGTCAAAGAAGTAAACATGATGCAATGTAAACAATGGAAAAATCAGTGGAGAAAAAAGCCCTTGGCATGGCATTGTTCTTTTATAGTAGCTCAAAAGCTGTATATACAATTCTGAAGTGCGGGGAATGTTCCACTGAATCTGCAACTTCGGGGTAATCGTGCATGAGCGATGGTAGTAAACAATATGCAGATCCTTGCAGTGGCGCCGCAGGAGAGCTTGGCATTGGCGGACGTTGAAAATGTCCACATTAGGACCGGAGTTGAACCACGCAGCGAATTCGAATGTACAAGTCAAATTGCTGTAAAGCTTGTGCTTTTCTGATGTACCAGATCTCATGTTGCGGAGATTTATCCGATAATTACCCCGACAATCAGTAATCAAATTGGGTTTGGGGAAAGGACAAAAGATGTAGATCTGCAGGGAACAGTGTCCGAGAACCCCGAGTGCTACAGTAGCAACGAAGTAGGAGGGGACTTTCCTAAAGTGCCTGCAGTTTATCCAAAGCTCGCATTGCTTCAAGCTCTGCCTCGACCTAGCTTAACAAAAAGGCTGCAAACCATCTGCAAGGCGCGTCGTTGGTCCCGTGGACGCGTCCTTTCACCGCCTGTCGTTGTCTGGAATGAGACACGTCTCAAAAAAAATGTCACCAAGTCAGTATTCAAGTTCATGAGTGCAGAGTGCAGAGTACAGAGTAGAAACATACTAGGTAAGAGCATACCGATCTTTCCGTCGCCTCAATCGATTTGGACAAGGATCCTGTCGGATCAAGAATTCAAACTAACGCCTTCTGGGCTCGGAGTGGCTAGCAGTGTGCCCTTGGAACAATGCAGTCAAAATAGCGGCAGCTTAAGTGACCTTCTAACAGATTCAGCTCCTATCTCCGTCGGACCATTGGCTTACGGATGGGGTATGCTCAAAGAACCCCATCTACCAGCGGGAGAATAGAATGATTTCGATGTATCGGTCTGCTGTGTGGGCACGAGCTCCCATGGGCCATATACTAGTAGGTGATTTGATTGCTGGATGCGATCTTACTTGGAGTTGATGAGTTCTCTGCTATGTCAGTTGCACAGGCAGTACGTGAGACTAAAATTGACGATCCTCTTTGTTTGGCTTGAAAGGAGTAGTGAGTGGTATGTTGAACCGTTCTCCAGCGCCATTAAGAAACCCCCATCAAGGAACTTGAAGCTTCCCCATTGCGGAATGAGCTTGCTACTTCAACTGTGCCTTTGTAAATGACCTTGTTGAAAATATGAGGCGGAAGTGCTGACTTCTTAAGATTCGACTCTCCCATGGGGATACCGGCATAGATCGAAGAATGGAAAAGACAAGAAGTACCGAATCTCATACGAATTGGGAATTGGGAATTGGGAATTGGGAATTCCAACCCGATTTATCCGATCCTTCATTCGGGGAGAAGAAGAAGCGTTAAGCGAGTGAAGTGATCCATTGATGCGAGTACTAGTACTATGCTGGGATGGGAGATGTCCCACAATGTGGGTTGTCCCCACAAAATCTTAATGTTCCCCCATGGGGAAGAGGGGCTATCACTATTATCGTCAGTGAGAACCCTTGGACTGGCAACTTCCAGAATGACTCGATTACAAACATCAGGGGCTTCACAGACCACATAACACTAGTAATTGCTTCCTTGTCTCATTCAATTTTCTATTCCTCTATTCGCCAATCAAATTGAAACCTGCACCACCACTTGGTTTCATTTATTTGCTCTGCATATGGACATGATGTCGTTGAAGTTGGTTCGAATCAAGCTTTAACCCCGGACAGACGGACTCGAATCTCCGCACTTAATATAGGGAGGGAAAAAGATTTACCCAAACGTCAAACGCCACTAACTTAACAGCTTCATTAGCTCCTGACGGTAAGCCTAAATTGGCACTTTCGTCTGAGCGCACCGTACCTGACGTGCATGATTCATGAAATTTCTGCCGATAGCTTGATGCAATGTGACCAGGTGAATTCAGATGCAGTTATCCCTGGTGGAGATTACACAATTGGGACCTGAGCATACCCCCCGGAAATTAAGTAACTTCCAGGGACCAGATGTGAAGGTTCGCCAGGTATAAGAAGGCCGTCGGCCTCCTTCCAAGACATTGTTTCAACAGCTCAAGTCTCTCTGCCCCCACAGACACTCCCGAGGTCTCTCTCTGCCTATTCCATACTCCGCTCCAAGCCTCTGGAGATGGTTTCTTCAGCTTGGGTATGGGGCGTTGCAGCCTCAGCAGCCATTGTTCACGCTGCAACCCTTGACGATGTCTGTACAACTGCCTATGTGAAGGCTGCTCTTCCATTGGATGTTCTCCCGGGAATTACCATCGATTCTTCCTCCGTCGTCGTCAGTGCCACAAAGAATTATTCTTCGGCCAGTGCCGACTTCTTCGAAGCTGCAACTTTCGATTACTGCGGTGTGCAAATCGCCTATTCGCACAATGGCCTCGACGATGATCAGGTTCTGTTGATGTTCTGGCTTCCAGCCCCGGACAAGTTTGAGAATCGCTATCTCTCCACTGGTGGTGGTGGTATGGCCATCAACAGTGGCAACTCGTCTTTGCCCGGTGGAGTCATGTACGGTGCTGTTGCGGGAGCCACGGATGGTGGGTTCGGAAGCTTCGACTTGGACGAAGATGATGTCTTCCTCTTGACCAATGGAACCATCAACTATGAGGCACTTTATATGTTCGGATATAAGGCTCATCATGAAATGTCTGTCATTGGAAAGCAGTTCACTCGAAACTTCTTCGACATGGCTGAGAGCACCAAGCTGTATGCATACTACCAGGCCTGCTCGGAAGGTGGTCGTGAAGGCTGGAGTCAAATCCAGCGCTATGACGACTGGGATGGTGCCGTTGTGGGCGCTCCCGCTTTCCGATATGCTCACCAACAAGTCCAACATCTCTGGTCCGACATTGCTATGAAGAATCTCGATTATTACCCTCCTCAGTGTGAGCTGACAAAGATCCTCAACTTGACCATTGAAGCCTGTGACCCATTGGATGGACTTACCGATGGTGTTGTTTCTCGAACTGATCTTTGCAAGCTTCACTATGATCTTGACAAGGCCGTCGGTGAATCTTACTACTGCGCTGCTTCTACAGGAGGAGGCTTTGGGGGCTTTAGAAAGAGGCAAGGAGTGACCACGCCTGCTCAGAGTGGAAATGTCACAGCTAAGGGTGTCGCTCTCGCAAAGGCCATTATCGGCGGCATGAAGGACAGTGAGGGGAAGCAAGTCTATCTTTCTTACCAGCCATCCGCGACTTGGTCTGATGCTAGCACCACCTACGACGCGACCACCGACTCTTGGGAGTTGAGCGTTAGCGGTATTGGTGCCGACTGGGTTGAGCGCTATTTGGATCTGATCGATAGCGATTCATTGTCACTGGATAATGTGACCGAGGATACCCTCAAGAGCTGGATCTATGAAGGATGGCAGCAGTACGATAGTGTACTGCAGACAACCTGGCCTGATCTGTCCACCTACCACGGTGCTGGCGGCAAGGTTCTCCACATCCACGGAGAGTCCGACTACAGTGTTCCAACCGCATCTTCGGTGCGCTACTGGGAATCTGTCCGTAGCGTCATGTACCCCAACCTATCATACACCGCCAGTGCTGCCGAGCTCAATGAGTGGTATCGATTGTACCTGGTTCCTGGTGCTGGTCATTGCGCACCGAGCACCGATCAAACAAACGGCCCCTTCCCACAGACGACTCTTCAGGTCCTCATCAACTGGGTTGAGAAAGGTGTCCAGCCATCTACTCTCCCCGCCACTGTTCTGCAGGGCTCCGAGGAGGGCAAGAGCTGGGAGCTTTGTGCTTGGCCACTTCGTCCTCTGTGGACAAACAACGGGGCCAAGTTTGAGTGCGTTTATGACCAAGCTTCGATTGACACTTGGCACTGGGACTTGAATGCATGGGATATGCCTGTGTATTAGTGAGTATCAGTTCCAATTGGCAAGGTACATATCCTTTGGAAAGAGATAGCTTGTACCTAGACAGAATTGCAGGGTTATTTTCCGTTACAATAAACAATTCATCTTTTGATACCTATTCGAATCTTTTTAGAGCTAACCTTGGAAATCTCAAATGGTTAATCACGCCGCCATACACGTGCAAGCTTGCCCAGTTGCAATTATGAGTTCAATGAATACGACACCTCGTATTACTCGTATTATTCGGGTTAAGACCGTAAAATTGGATGTTCAGTGGGTCCCTGCGCGGCTTCTGAATATTACCTCAAGTGCTGAATGTCAGGCTATGTTTCTGCTTCTCTTTCAATATTCCATGTCTGTAAATGTAATACTCTGTTACTCCAACTGAAATTTCATGTATTCGTCCTGAATCATCCATGTTTACAACCATATGTAAATAACATTTTATCGTGCTTTAGCTCCAACTTTTCAATGCAGCATGCACTTTGCTTATCATACGTCATGCCATGTGGGTCTCTCAGGGACCCCTCTCGTCAAGCTTTATCGAAAGAGACATTGCTATTCGTTCACAATGAAGTATCGGTGCAATTGTCCATGGATCTACCCAAGTGGGCCATTTGCCAAATTCCGTCCTCGGACAATCAGTATATTAAGACCGTTCTCCTGCAGGCTTCAAAGTTGCAACTGACAATCTTTCTAAACCCGAAAAACCACTCGAGTGCTAGCACAATTTGAAGACTACCAAAATGCCACTTCCAACTCACCCTCCCGCTCGCTCGCCTCTGGACCGACACAGGCAGCTAGCCCCGTCCGCCTCTGTCCGAGTTTCCCCACTTTGCCTGGGCGCCATGAACTTTGGTGAAGCATTGAAGGGCAGCCTCGGCGAATGTACCAAGGAGACCGCATTCGAGATCATGGACTACTTCGTTAGCCAAGGTGGAAACTTCATCGACACAGCCAACAACTACCAAAACGAAGAATCCGAAACCTGGGTCGGCGAGTGGATTGCCTCGAGAAAGATTCGTGATGAACTTGTCCTTGCTACAAAGTTCTCGAGCGCCTACAAGACCCACGAATCTGGCAAGATTCAATCAAACTATGGCGGAAACGGCGCCAAGTCCATGCGCGTTTCCTTGGACCTCTCGTTACAGAAATTGCAGACATCTTACATCGACCTTTTCTACCTGCACTGGTGGGACTACACTGTTTCGATCCCGGAGCTTATGCACGCCCTTAACGACCTGGTCGTCAGCGGCAAGGTCATTTATTTGGGTATATCCGATTGTCCCGCTTGGGTGGTTGCCAAGGCCAACCAGTATGCGCGCGATCACGGCTTGCGCCAGTTCTCTGTTTACCAGGGTCTTTGGAACGCTTCCATTCGCGATTTTGAGAGGGAGATTCTGCCCATGTGTCGTGATGAGAATATGGGTGTTGTTCCCTGGGGAACACTGGGCCAGGGCCGGTTCCAGACTGAGGCATCTTATAAGGAGCGGGAGCAAAACAATCCTGGCCGTAAGGGACGGCCTCCTACTGAGAACGAGAAACTGGTTGCTAAGGTGCTAGATGAGATTGCTACTCAGAAGGGTACGGATCTTACTAGTGTTGCCCTTGCGTATGTCCGCCAGAAAGCTCCATATGTTTTCCCGATTGTTGGAGGCAGGAAAGTTGAGCATCTCAAGGGCAACATTGCGGCGTTGGAATTGTCTCTCACTGTCGAGGAGGTGGCGCACATCGAGTCAGCTTATAAGTTTGACCATGGCTTCCCTCATACTTTCCTCAGCGGCTCTCTGTTTGATGGCTCTACTTCACGTACCCCCAACGGTCCTGGTGATGTGTGGCTGACGAACCTTATGGGCAACTTTGACTGGAACTAGTCTAAGACGGCCTAAAGTAGAGTTGAAGATAGAGTGATACGATTTTTGTCTATTTTTAAAAAATCTATAAAACCAAATTTATATCAAGTACCAAACACCAAAGGGTCTTCTCCGCGTATTCCGCGCCAGTAGTTCGTAGATTTAACCAGATCATCACATCCCTTGACGACCCAAGCCCACCTACGCAGAAAGGTCTCACTAACCTCCCACCCTGTCGGCTGCCACGGCTCCCTCCAAACAATTAATCCCGTCTCTTCGTTGGAAACATCATAGAAATCGACAAGATCATTGCAAAGCGCACTCTCGTCGAATTCCTCGTCGTCATATCTTCGTAGTAGGTTGTCCCTCATCTGAGGGAAAGGGAAAAGGTCTATCCATGGGTGGTGAGAGATTTCTTGTTGCAAAGCTGTCGGACGGAGACTATTCGGGCAAAGGCTGATTTGGATTTCAGATGCACCTTCACACCAAGGCGAGATAGCGTCCTCGTCTAACCAATCCATATTGAAGCTTATTGTGGAGGTGTTATCCACAAGGGCTCGGAATACATTGAACTGGATAAGAGTCAAGAGTTGATCGGCTCTTGGGGAGCCTAATGCGTAAGCTTGGCGCGCTGAAGCCTCGTAATGGGCCATGGTTTGTAAGATCTCCGCTCGATTCATTTGGTGTATGGATTTTGGTGTCTGTGCTTGAATGCTCGATTCTGATGACAAGGCATTTTGTTTTCTGATATTATTGGTTGCGGGCACATTAGTATCCGCCTCCTCATTCTGTTCATGTTGATCTGCCGTAGATATAGAGCTCTGTATGATCGACACGTTTCTGTCTGGAACAGAATTGCTTTCTGCAGGTTTTGCTCTTCGTCGACCTAAGTGCCCAGTGCAAGATCAGTCACCCAATCCATTTCTATGATGTATTACTAGGGGGGTAACATACGATAGATTCTCTGGTTCAAGCGATTCTGCAACTTTCGTCGAATCGCAGGGTCGGTAAGGCCAGTCCAATTCTCTTCGGCTGAACGCACTTCCGCCAGGTCAGGTATGCAGCCCACTTTGCGAGTAGCCTTGCCTCCATTGGATGTCCCAACATCGTTAGTCATGTTTGCGCAGAGTTATGACCCTCTTAGAGACCTGGCGCGTTTTGTAAAATCAAATTTTCTTCTCCTTGCCACGGAAGGGTTCAATATGCATTCTGCTTACCTTGATTTCCCTTGTTCCCATTGGCTGAAATAACTGTTTGGATTCATGTGGATCTCATGACGTATAGTAAGCAGGTCGCATTAGTTCACTTAGCGTTCCAGACTTTCTCCACTCTTGCACTGTGAATCAATTGCCGAGGAACATCAATGAAACCTGGACTCTTGGCAGCTGGTGGGTCGATCACAGCCAAGGCCCTGTATCGCTCAAACGAGACATTTTATACTTATGTTTATCGACTTCACCAAGAAATGCCCAGGAGCCAAGAAGAATTCTGAGCTTGGGAACATAGATTCCTGCAGGCCGCAGTCAGCTTGATCCGGACATTGGGGCTTATCGCCGGCAGCGATAGGACGTAAGCCGAGACGCAATCCCGCGCTCGACTCCTTATCTTTATATTCCGTCCGATCGCAGCGCAAATGCCATTATCAGATTCGCCATGCGCCTCAGCTCGCTCACCTATTTGCTGCTTGCTGTTGCAGGCTCAGTCTCTGCGGTTGCATTTCCCAGAACCTATCCGTCAAATGAAGACCCATCAAACCACATCAGCGTCTTAGCGACGTCGGACTCCTCGTCAACCAATCATCTACCAACAGAACAACAGCACCGCCGGTTAGACACAAGACGACCACGCGATATGCAAAATCGAGATTCCGCTTTCCATGGCAAGGACGAACACGAAAGATTAGTCGCTCTGTGCGAAGCCGGCTTTGTTAGTGGCTGCCAGGCTGCAATCGAGGAAGAGAAGTCAGGAGCTGGTTCAATTACACCGAACCCCAACAGCCAGTCGAACACAATCATCTCATCGCCATTAGCTCCAGTGAGCTCCTTTTTCGATAGCAAAGAAGCGACGAACAATTACTTTGGAAATTTGCTTCCTTCTTTCAACTTCTTTGTCGTGGCTATTACAGTTGTTTGTGTTGTCACTATTCTGCGAGCCGTGGTACGCTCTCGGACGTTTCAAGACCGGTGGCCCTCCAACTGGCCAGGCCTAGTGGCTTGAACAGGCGTCCGGGGGGGAAGGGCCTTCTTCTATTGTTGGTGGGACGGATCTGGATGAATATATCATATGTCAATGCTTGGGCGAGGCTGGCCTCGAGGGATTATAAGGCCACAATTAATGTCATGCTTTCTAGAATAAAGTTTCCGATTTCTTTACATATATCCAACGGAATATCACATGTGCATGCATTTTTCTCAGTTTCAAGATATAGTAGTCTCGTTCAAATGTTCTAAAGCCAGCACTCAAATAACAACATTAGTGCCCATATGCAATATCTATGTCGACTGATGAGGCTTGATGGGTCTTGGGCGCTCGACCCAGTCAAATGGACCGCATGGCTTAGTCAACCACACATCCTCGGGACCAGCAGCTCCTCGAGGGTGAGAAAGGTCAAACAAAGTGCCACTCAAGAAGCTGTGAGGGAATCCATGGTCAAACTCGTACCCTGTCTCGATCTCTTCGATTTCCTCGTTTGACAGCGAAACAGCCAGACCTGGAATACTGCCTTTGAGATGATCAACAGTGCGGCCGCCAACAATAGGGAACACGTAGGGCGCCTTGTGACAGATATACGCCAGCGCGATATTCAAAAGCGTCACACCTCCGCCCTTCTTGTTGGCGATCTTCTCCAAGATGGCGGCAACTTGCTTATCGCGCGCACACACGGGGATAAATTTCCGGCCATCATTCGACTTCTCACGGGCCTTGTAGCCCTCTGCTGTCTGGAAGTTTCCAGCGTTCAATGTCGCGTACGGGGCCAGACCCATCCCTTCATCGGCGCACATGGGGATGATATCTCGCTCATGGTCCCGTCTCGCGGCATTCCATTTGCCCTGGTAAACGGAGAACTGTCGTAGTCCATGCTGGCGCGCGTACGCATTCGCCTTAGTCACGACCCAAGCCGGCGTATCCGAGATACCAAGATAGTGCACTTTGCCCGAGACAACAAGGTGGTTGAGGCTCTGCATCAATTCCGGGATGGAGGTTGTGTAGTCCCACCAGTGCACGTAGAACAGATCGATATAGCTGGTTTGGAGCTTGCGTAGGGACTCGTCGACGGAGTGATTCATGGACTTGGTTCCGGTGCCGACGAAGTTGGCCTGGATCTTGTCCTTGTGGTGTAGCATGTAGCTGGAGGTATATTTGGTTGCGATGACGAGCTCGTCGCGGTTTTTGCGGGAAGCGATCCATTCACCTAGCCAGACCTCGGACTGGCCGTCTTGGTAGGCGTTTGCGGTATCGAAGAAGTTACCTCCATTGTCGTAAAAGAAGTCCATCATGGCGAAGGCTTCCTCTTTGCTGCATTCGCCGTATTTTTCGGGGTGAGTGCCACCGAATGTCATAGTGCCCAAGCATATCGGTGACACTCGAACAGAGGCAGAGGGGGCCAGCTGGCGGTACCGACCCAGAACGCTCTTTGCATCGATGGGCATTGTGTCCGGTGGAGAGAAGAGAACTAGATTATTTGAAAGGGAAGTATGCAGGCTTCAAATATTGCAATATTTTTAGTCTTTTGAAGGTGGCTTTTGGGAGTGGAAAAGCCAAGTTTAAGTGGAATTTTTAGATTTCAATATAACGTACTTGGGAATGCAATCTGACATTGATTGGACAATGGGCATTCCACCCTGTCATCAATCCTCTTAACACCGGGCTCTAACTCCAAGGGATTTAAGCTAAGGCTGGGAGTGGCCTGAGTGGCCTGAGTGGGGCAACTTTATCTTCTCCACTTCTGATGCATAATCTATACACTGTAGTATAGTATACAGTACGGTATACAGTATGGTATTAAAATACCGAAACAACGTAGCACTTGCCTATACGGATCTATGTATGCCTGAATACTAGCAGATTGGAATACACGTTCCCGAGTCCTATATGTCACATGTAATATTCGTCCGTACCCCGTGACTCATCTCTGGTTTGTTCCTTTCAAATGTTGTCCTTGATTGCCTATCTAGTTCAGGCATCCGTGTAGGAGCCAACCCTGGGGAGGTATTTGAGGTTGCTCCTTTCTTCTTATTACTCTTTCTTTCTTTCTTTCTTCCCTCTCTATCTGTCTTTTTCTCGAGTTTTCTAGGCCTTAGCACAATTTCATTATTCCTTTACTTATCGTGTTAAATTAGACACTACGCCTCTTTGATCGACACCCTAGGGAGGGCCCTCTACTGCTAGTTGGTGGTGGTTGGTAGTAGACCTTGTCCACGCTGTATCGACCCGTGTAATTAGATGGCACAGCATACATACGTTCCCCTCGTTAATATGTTAGCACACATGCATACTATGTATATTTATAGTATGCTTGTAACTTAAAAGTGGAGTGGGACAATACTTACGGTTGGGTATATAGAACAGATGCGCAACCGGGACGTTCCTGTGAACGGACATCTGGATCTTACAAACGCTGTCTACATGTAATCACGTGGATGCAGTGCCAAACAGCACTTGAGTGGAAGCACATTACCCTAATAGTTTCTCCTTTATCTTCTCTTCCCCCCACATACATCTCTCCCCTTATACAATTCCTTTTTAGCTGTCTCGCTCATCTGACTTTTCAATATACTACATAAACTGCATAAGTTCTTGGTTCATTCTCCAGTTCTTTTACAATGCAATACCTCCTAGAGAGGAATATCTGCATATCCACCGGTCTGGTCGGATGATTCGGTATCTACTAGGGAATAAGTTGCTCAAGATTCGAACCCTATTGTGGATAATAGCTAAACACAACGTAGGAGAATATGAACAATATACAATCCTTGCGCACGAAGTGCTATGTGCCCTGCATTGGGGCAAGCTGCAAAACAATCCGATCAATTGATGCGAAGAGCATACCCATCTTGCTTATAGACTGGTAGCAATATGTTGCGTTTTGTATTGCATTTCGTGTTGTGAAGAGCATATCCATCTTGCTTATAGTATCAATGTGTTCTTTGAATGTTGCGTTTCGTGTTGCACTCATGTCTCGTTTCACAACTCCCGATTGAGTCAATTGAGTCAATTGAATCGATTGACGGAGCTTGACAGCCCATGCGGTGGTGGTTTGGGCTTATGGCTACCAGTGCCTTGGCGACTCGCTGTCACGTCTCAAAAAACTACTACTATGCTCCCGCAGCGACCTTGTCCCACACGTCCATCGTTTGTTTCCCTGACATAAAAACGTGAATCTTGTAGGAATCCTTCTGTTCTTCTTGTCAACTTTTCCTTCCTTCGCATTCTTTGTGGTCTCCATCCGTGTCCTCTTTCAACTTTTCTTTTTACTGTCCTCCTATCCACTGATACGTTGATCCAACAAGAGGATCCCTCTCGTTCAAGATGGATGATGCTACTAGACACGGGTATGTTTCGGAGAAAGAGTATGAGTTTCACGAGACAGAGATCAACGGCATTATTCGAGTTGCGACCACGGCCAGTACCCACCATGAGGATATGATCTCCTTTCACCCGGAAACACACGGGATCATTCGTCGATCAATTTCAACCGACTTCGAGCGAGCTTCGGACTTTGAATTAGGCCCTCTGGATGAGATACCCATTGAACTTTCGCACGAGATCATGTCTCTTCTAGACATGAAATCCATCTTCAACTTCCGACAAGTAAGTCGCAGTTCAAGACGGCTTGTGGACTCCTTCTACCAGTACCAAAGGGTAGCATCACACGGACTGGATCTTTTCTGTGCCCTTTTACGCACCGATTTTGCCACTGAGGTTTCTCTCTATGGTTTCCATGAAATGTTATGTGCAAAAACATGTAACTCTTGTGGCAGGTTTGGCGCATATGTGCTCATTGTACCATGGAAGCGATACTGTTATGAGTGCATCCGCAGTGCCGAGTCCCCAGTGACACGCTTTTTGCCGGTGCAATGGGTCCAAACGAGGTTCATGATGACCGAACCAGAACTTGCCAGGCTCAAGACATTCAAAACCCTGCCAGGAATATACACCTTAGCTGACATCCAGTACGAAAGACGCATTGAAATTACGACTCTAGATGAGGTCGCTGTGGCTTGTGGGAGAGAAGTATCAACTCAAAAAATGCCCTGTGAGGAATATTTGTGTTACACATACCCTTTCATGTCATCATGCCGCCTGCCTTACTACAACGACCAGACTGGCCAAGCTGAAGGTACTTTAATGTGCATGGGTTGTTATGAAGACTGGAACAGTTTGATGTTCTTCGCCTATCCCTGGAATTATTTGTCTGGCAAAAGAGGCCTTGAATATGGACGAGACGAGTTTCTTGAGCACTTTAAGTTGTGCAAAGCGGCCCAAAGCTTGTGGGAAGATACTGTTAAGAAAGTTAACTGCTAAGAGTTGAGTCTGGCCATCTGACATACTTTATTAAGGTGGCTATGTATGCTGACGATGATTCTTGAACAGTGCTTGAACCTTGAAACCTTTGAAATTTCCTCCTCCAAATCCCTCTTTTGTTCATTGGCTGGCGCAACATGTGGCATCATACGTATTCGCTCGAGGCCAAACCTCAAGGGATGGGACAACTTGAAAGTTTTTCGCTCTTCTGATCTCGCTTTCCAATCGTCTGTGTTGAAAGGGTACACTGCATTTTTATCGTGGGAAGAGAAGTTTTCTGTGGAATTTCGCAATCCAAAAAAAATTAGAAAATAGCAAAAACAGTGGTCAATGAAAAGCACGATTTCTCTTCGGCTTAGAAATGGACAGCGCTAATAATTGATGATTCAAAGACATGACCTTGTGGACGAGACGTATATTGGACTGTTACGATAGTAAGTAACGTTTTCGACTTCCTTCTCGATCACGCGCTTAGTAGCCGTAATCGTCATCATACATTTGTCTATCGTGAAATCATTACTCATACACCATACATCAGTAGCCTCTTATAGTAGAAAGTTGTACACCATCGCAATGCCTGTTCAAACTCTTGAAATGTAGAAGCACCTATTTCCCTCCATTTCCTAGAATTAGGGCGCGGGCCTGTCGAGGATCAGTGCCCAAGACAGTGATGAGATATTCGATGCTGGAAGTTAATTAGCCATGGAATCACGATAAACATAATAGATTTTGACAAAAACTTACCTAGCTTCAGAAGCAAGTCTACGCTTCTCATCCTGAAAGTCTTGTTGACACTTCTCCCAAACTACCGCCCGTTCTTGAGGTAGCACCGTCTTAACACGAACCTTGAAGGCCGCACAGACAGGTCGGTGATCGGAGGCACGGACAATAAGCCGACGGTAGTCAAGCTGCTTGACGCGGCCAGAGCCTCGGTATAGAATACGATCACACCAAGCCGGGGAACGTTTCTTTTCACTTGAGTCGTATTCGTCGGAGCCAACGTCGTATTTATAGGTCGGTGCAAATGTGATGGGTGCTTCGATGAAGCTGCGCAGTCGGAACCCTGGGTTCTTGCGTCGGGAGGCGAGGAGTTGGTCGCGGTCGAGAAGCTTGGCAAGGTTGTTTTGTTGGATGGCGTTGATGATGACGTGGCGGGGAATAGAATCGATACGGTAGTTAAGATCTCCGTTCAAAATACAAACTTCGTGATCCATGATCATGGAACCATCACCACCACTTGCATACTGATTACTTCGCACCGAGAGACTGTTCTCCGCAGGCAAGCATTCAGCTTCGAGGATTGCTGCAATATCATTGTTACGGTGTGCAGTCTGTGTTTGGCCGGCAGCAAGATGGCAGTTGACAAAGCACATGGAACTATCGTCAAGAATGAAGCGGCAAATGAGAGCACCCTAGAAATGTTGGTTAGAGACAACTTGAAAGAAAATATCCGACAGGAATGAGCAAGACGAACCTTATTACCATGCATTCCTCCCATTCCGCGCTTGATCTCTGATGCGCATACACTTTTAATGTTGATACGCTCCTTGTGCTTGACAAAGATACAGGTGAAGAGTCCAACCATGTTGGAGGTGTGGAGAAGAACGTAGGACTCTTCGAGGGGCATGCACTCGTGAAGAGTCCGGGTCAAGTGATCGACCCAAACTCGGTACTGTCGGCTCATGTGTTCCTTCTCGCCGTTCTCCTTCTTCTTGCTACCAAGCAACAAGCTCTCTGAGACAATGTTAGTAAGAAATAATAATAGAGGGAGAGGTGTGATAATTGGTACTGACTAGCTGTAATCTTCTTATTTTCAAGATCTACCAACTCTTGGAAACCAAAAACCACAATGTCTGGAGGGTCTTCTGGACGAAGTGCGTCTTTAATGAAGTCGGAAGTGCGTACGCTGCCAGGGGTTGCAGCACCAGCATTCCATGTAAGAACAATGGTTTTGAGTTCTCGGAAGGTGCAGTACTCTACGTCTTTTATTTCCATTCGAGCATCTGGTATGGTTAGAAAATAGATCCAATCTTATCGCACCAGGGATGACAACTTACCTAACCAATCATCCTCCAGCATTCCATCCCAGAGACGAATACAATTATCAGTGCCAAGCGATGTCACTTGCAGACGATTCATCGTCCACACGCTGCTTGTGTCTAGCACAAAGGCAGAGACGGGACTATCATGGGCACGCCAGTCCTTCTTCACAGTCCATGGGTTGGTCTTAACGTCGTAGACGTATATCATTCCCGTTTTATAAGCTGCCCACAGATAGTCTCCGACAAAGCCAAGACAGTTAATCTTGTATACGCTGACATTGACTACTGCCAAGCAAGAGAAGTCAGCGGAAGAGTAGACAGTCACTTTGCCATCTGCATGGCCCAGGTACACGCGGCCGCCATTCTTAGTGCTGAAGGCACCAGATGTTACGTCGCCCGAGTGCTGTTGGCCTATCGGCCGTTTGAAAAGCTTGAATGAAGTATCATCCTTGGCACTTGGGCGGTAGATGTACACATCCTTGCCCGTTGCCAACAATAGCTTATCATCCACCACCATGGAGAAGGTATGGCCCCGTGCCACTCGTTCCTGCGGGCTGTGGTAGCTATAATGCAGATTAGGAGTGCCACTTTCATCTGGCTGCCATACCAGCAGCCGACCCTCGTCGTCCAGAGTCCACATTTCTTTCTTGTGGCGGTGAATTTGGATGATCTCTCGACGAGAAGGGTAGGCGCGAGTGGCCACGATACATCGAGATAGAATATCGATTTCATGTAGGTCACCAGAACTAGTACCGACCCAGAAGCGCTGCCCTTCTTCTTCAAGCGAGTTCCCTGGCTTGAAGGCGATAGAAAGGCATTTCACTGTTTCGCCATGGCTAAGGCTCATGACCTGCTCGCCAGTGGTGAGATCCCACACGCGAGTTATATATCCGGTAGTGCAAACATACTTGCCGCACACGTCGACTAGGCGAGTGTCATATTTAGTTGGAATCTCCGTTGGGCTAGTTTTGAGGAGCGGAGGGCGTCTATTAGCTTGTGAAGCATCGGGATAATCAGTTCTTGAGATCGCGGGCTCATCTGTCACCAATTCTTCTTCTTCTGTATCGGTGCGCGCCAATCGACGTTCTGGGAATGACGGTTCTGGCAAAGAAGGCTGTCGTTGACCAATGCGTGGGGTCTGAGGTTCAGACGCATGCTGATGAGAGGGTGCAGGACGAAGAACTGGCGCCATTTGTGCCGGACTGGCCACAGGTTGGGGGAACTCTCTAGAAGGTGAAGGGCCCCTTCTGAATGGATGGGCAGAGGTTGGCCTGGGCGGAAGGCCAGGTCGATCATAGGGGGCGTCACTAGATCTAAGTCTTTGGGCGGATAGAGGTGGAGCCTCGGAGGACTCTGAATAGATAGATGATGTAGCTGGGATTTGTACCATCAATGGCTTCGTGCTTCGACTGGGCTCGGGAATCGGACGGGTGCGGGATACGCTTGCTTCTCTAGAATCGTATCTAGTATTCAAATTCGAGGCAGGGAGTCGTCCGTCGAACGAGCGTCGAGCGAAAGGCTCAACCGAGGGCCTTGAAGGAGGAAGTCTTGGGGCAGCTTTTGTAGCAGAGGCAGGCTTGGATGTAACCTTCTCTGGACTACTCGGGGGCGTATTAAATGGAGATACAAGGTCATCAGATGCCCTTTCCGGTTGGGGAGCCAAAGATTTTGTATCCAGGTGAGGAATTGTATCCGGATGAGAAAACATAGCGGGCTTAGCTGGGATTTTGGGCTTCTCTGCCCTATTTGCCGGCGGGGGTAATGAGACACTTTTCAGTTTCCGATCTAGCGGACTGCCACTTCCGTTCACAGCTGATAAACTAGGAGACAGTCTATGCATAGTCTCCACCATGGGAACGGAAGATCCAAGTTTCGTCGGAGTAACCGGTCGGCCAGCAGGAGCAGGTGAAACACCCGCAGATAAAGATTCCCTGGGACGATGGAAATAGCTCCTGGCAGTCCGATTGTCCTCTTGACTAGGCGATCGGATCTCTCTTTGTTGACTGCGCGGCGGCGATTGTGGAGCATGGACGGCCAATGTAGGCGTGAGCTGAGACGATGACGAATGCTGGAAGTTCATATACATGGGCCGGCCATGTTGGCTTTGACTCCCAGGGGATCCACGGGGCCGTAGATTATTACCGTTGGCTTGGTCAAAACTACGACCGGGCCTCTCCTCAGCAGGCGTGTTCCAGTGAGAGTCTGGACGAGGTAGGTCCAAGGAGGCGCGGCTTGAAGACCGAGGTTCGTCGCCAGGTTCCGGGGTCCTTAGGAAACGTGTTGAAGATTCATGTGGAATGATCCCAACCGTGGATTTCGTTTTGCGATGCGATAGGTTCTCGAAGTGGGATAATAGGGAGGAGACCGGTCTCTGTTATTGTGTTAGCCGTGCCGCGTGGCCCATTAGGCATACTACAAAAACATACCATGGGAGCACTATCAGGGTTCTCCGGCCCCTTAGCATTTCCCTCCATAGCCATGAGCACAATTCCTTCGCCAAGACCAGCTGGGAGGATCGATCATAGGCGTTGTTCGTTGGCCGTTGGTGCCTGGTGGTCTCACTGGGGGAAGCGGGCGACGGAGACTAATGGCGTACGAGGCTTTCGTGGGGTGGATTTGGAGAAAACCAGGGGGGTGGCTAGAGAGCCAGTATAAGGATGGGGAAACAACAAGTTGTAAGCGGCACAAAGGCCGAAAGAGCAGAAGAGTTTAACCTGTCTCACCGGGTCATAGGAATAAGTAAGAGGAGAGAAACGGTGAAATGGTTGTGGCGGGGAGGAAAGTGGAGGATCACGGGAGTGGCAGATCAACCGGTTCCTGCGCAACCTTCTTCATTCTCGAGCCGCATTATTTTTGACACCTGCACAACACGTAGTTCCACGGTCAGCGCCATGTGGTAAGGGTCCCCAGCTATCCGATTCACTTGAGATGCCCTGCTGCCTCGCCGCCAGGGAGGAAATGGCATAGACTGACACCCCCCACTTGCAGTAAACACATCCTCAACGCCCAGGTGTCTATTCGCTCCGCTTGCTGTACGTCTGACGAATCCCCGCTAGTTCGATCGAAAGCTCACCAATAACTTTCTTCCTAGGCCGCAAGTGGTTCGATTGTGCCGAATGTCACGGAGAAACGGAGGAGCATGCGCTGCAGAAGGCACAGGAAATGGTACGATTTTCCTTTCGATCTCCCCTGGGCGCTTCCCAGCGACTCTACATATACTCATGTCTACGGAATATAGGTGTTCGCGTGCAAAAAGTGCAAGAAGTGCTTCCGCAAGGATGCCGCGGAATTTGAGGAGAAGTATGTTCCAATCTTCCAACGCTGCAAAGATGGAAGACTAACCTCCTCTGTCTTTCTCTAGTGACGAGTACTGCCCCCACTGCGATAATCACTTCGTCCTCGAGGCCTTGACACCGAGGGCCAACTTGCAGGTGGAGGGTGACGATGCACGTATGGACAGCCGGTACGTTCAACCACTTTACAAAGCTCCATCTCCGCCCCTGCTAATTATAACTTTCAAACAGAATGCTCAAGGACGAACGGGTGCGCGCCGATCAAGAGAAATCGATCTTCAACTACCGCGATCTCTCCGATCGCCTTGGTTAGATGGGTAGCGGTTCAGTCCGGGTTATAATTTCATGATGTTGACGATATGATGCTTTTTCTACTCTCCTAGCCGATAGACTAACTCCCCTTCCCCGGCATCAATACCCTGCCTATTATTCCTTGTTCTTTACAGTACGGAACTAGAAAAGGAAATTGAAGTGTAGGTATTTCGTTGTTTTGAATTCTCGTGAAGAAAGTATACCAACGCTACGGTAAATCGACGCACATCAAGAATCTGGCCCTCGTCCAAGTGGCCGGGCGCCTTATTTCCTTTATTCAGCCGACTCGCCACCACCAGGCCGGGTGAGAATGGCAGCGGTGGTAGTAGTTCCCCGAGAGGTCTTCTTCTTGGCAGCCTCCTCTTGCTTCTCGGTCTCAATGCTCTTGACGTAAGCCTCGATTTGGTCATCGGGCAGCATCTCGACACGCGCGCCAGGGGCCATAATAGCAACCTCAATGTTCTTGGCGCCTGTCTGCACCACCTCCAGCAATGACTTGATAGTCAGCTGAATAGTCTGCTCGCGGTCCATCTCCTCCTGGTGGTTGCGCTCGAGGAATTCCCGAACCGTCTTACTGGAACGGCCGATAGCGTTGGCTTTCCTATAGATAGAAAAACCCCCAATTGTTAACGACTGATGCACATAGATGCCTTTGATCTGGAGCACGCTAGACACTTACCAGGCAGAATAGATACCAGAGGGCTCAGTCTGGTACAGTCGCGGTGTGCCGTCGTTCTGGTCGAAACCAACAACCAGTGTGCTAATACCGAATGGACGCACACCACCACTCTGTGTATATTTCTGTTGCACACCGGCAATGTATTTGGTGATATATTCGATGCTGACGGGATCTTCCACGGTCAGACGGTGAGACTGAGCTTCTAACCGAGCCTTGTCGATCAGGATGCGGGCATCGGCGTTCAGACCAGCAAAGGCCAGGCAAACATGCTCATCAACCATAGCGATCTTGGAAGGAGTAATTCGGGTATCTTGAAGTTTGAGGGCGGAGCGCTTCTCGCAACCGAGGACGACGATGTCCTTGCCTTTGACACCGACGGCGCATGTTCCTGTGATAGCTCAGTCATCAGCACACGATCATATTATTGGATCGGTTGTGGATTTCAAAGTCTGAGGAGATAAAGCAAGTGGTCAGGTTTGGTGGAATTATCAGGTGCTTACCTCGCTTCACAGCCTCCATGGCATACTCAACCTGGAAGACGTGTCCATCGGGACTGGAACGAGGTTAATTTATGACGGTTATAGCTGCATGTACTGATAAAGAGGCATTACCTAAAGACTAGTATGAGTTAGCCAAGTCATTCTTGCATCGAGGACAGTGCCAAAGGAGCTGGCTGATGAGGAGCTAGCTGACTTACCTGATAAAGCTCGGTCGTAGCCGGACATTGTGGCGAGAAAGTAAAGCAATCAAACAAATTCTAGAGCTTTGACGGTATTGATGATCTCGGTAGATCAAAGCAGAGAGGCGTGGGGGAAGCAAAGGTCGAGGTGTCTTGAGCAGAGAGAGGGAGCTGGTGATGTTGCGGGAGCAATGACGGGATCTCGGCGGGCGGTGGACGCGAAAGCCTGCGGTTGCCTTGGCGCTGCCGCGTGGTGGCAGAGCGTCTTGATAGCCACCAAGCAACAACTGGTCAGTTGGTAAAGCAACTTGTATTATTCAAATTAGCCTGAGATGTTCCATGACTAGTATCCACTTTGGTTTGAAAAGAGTCGTCAATGTTTGAAGCTCCTCAATATTCAAACTTCGAGCTGGTATCCGTTGAAGAACGTACACATACAGCTCTCTAAGAAAGATATACACGTACATACTAGTGAGTAGTATCTACGTATCAATTGATGTCAGAGGATAGGCATTATCGTTGAAAAGCACACCTAAACATGCACATGTGTACATACATCAATAACCTTGAAAATACTACTTAGTACCTTAAGTTCTACTATGTATGTTCGATGTTTCAAATATTCGAGAAAAATAAAGGTTCAAATGTTGCTTCTGAACATTGAACTCATTCCCAGACCATGAATCGAATGTTCGAATTCTATATATCGAAGCTCCCCGTTGTACATATACAGTGGGTTTACTTCAGTCAAAGTACAACGAAAGATAAAATGTGACATCTGGAAGGGAAATAGAATCGAGTCCAAAACAAAGTATAGACAGAACAATCTTTTTGTTGCATCCACAAATGCCTGGCGGATACAGTCCTCAAAGGTATTCTCGAACCAAAGCCGGCGCAAGCGCAAAAGGAAATCCCCCAACACCCCCAACGGAGTCCGAACCATTGTATATCCCACCCGTGAGATCAATACCGTGAATTCTCCGACGCTTGCCATGACCCAACGCAAAAAGGGACCAAAGATCTAAAATGCAAAGCAGGTCGAGTGCGCAACCCAGGCTCACAATGCGTTCGCGTCCGAAACCCACACAGACAACGGTTAAGTCGCCGCCATCCGAAACAAGACTATTAAACAAACCAAAACCTGAGAGCCTGAAAATGGAATCCCTGGGGAAGCGGGAACCGCTCAACCAAATGAAAATGAAAATGACACAGGAAAAATAATAAAAAACAGCAGACCAAAAAGGAAATATCAAAAAATCATCCCAAAAAATCAACAGGACGGCGAGGCGATGAAAGAAAATCCACAAACCCACACGCTTTCCCGCCTGCTCCTTCCCACCCGATGCACCAGAACCGCAGAAAGCCCTTATACAAATGCGTATCAACGAATATCAACCAACGCATATACATGCCCCCAATGCAGGGTTGCAATATGGACAACGTAAGTGTGATGTGATCGCCCAGTTCGTCGGGCTTCAAAAGAGTACTAAGTACAGTCTCCTACTTTAAGCAGGGGACTTGTTGGCACCAGCTCCGTTTCGGCGAGAGTGAGGGTCATCCGAAACAGTCAAACCACCAAGCCCGCTAGACAGGAAGGCAAAGGGATCGCTGGAACCTTCGTTGCCATAAAAGGCACCGTTGGAGGCGCTAGTCGAAGGCACGCCGTGGTCAGCACCAGTGAATGCCGCCTGAGTTGCCGGGTTGGCAAACGAGGCGGCAGAGTGGGAGGTGCTAGAGGAGTATCCCGAGTTCACCTGGCCCATTGGGGGGTAGGCAGCGGGGGCATTGCCAAGACCACTCTGGGGGAGGGCATAGTTGTTCGGTGGGGCACCGAACTGCTGGCTAAACCCACCGAACCCGCCAGCGGTCGAGGCAAAAGGAGCCGGGGCCGGTGTGCTGGCCATGGAGTTTGGCCCCATGCCAAATTGTGAAGGGGGGTCCATTGGTGAGGGGAATGCGGAGTCAGCCACCACGGCGGCACCCGAACGAGGGGCGCCACAACGAAGACAGTTTATGTTCTTCGCGAAGTTGTGGTAACCGCATCCCTCTGAGCCACACTTCCAATCACCAGCACGGAAGGGCACAACACCACCATTTCCACCCATGCCACGTGAGTGGCCCATACCATGACCATGGCCACCCATGTGGGGAGGCATCATGGATGGGCCTCCGTAGTTACCGTGGCCGTATCCATATCCCATTGGGTCTGGTGCGGCAGCCATTGCGGGGAAAGAGCAACGGAAGCATGCCGTGCGGCGCTGGAAGTTGGAAAAGCCACAAGACGGGCAAGTCCAGTCACCAGGACGGGGCCGGTTCTTGGATGGGGGGAAAGGTGTGAGGATCTCTGCGGCCCGGTCTAGGACTCGGCTTGACGATGGGGAAACCTCAATAGCCTTCTCGTTCAGCGCCCGCCCGTTCATGCACAGACTCTCAGCAGCCTAATTAGATGTCAGCAATCAATCGACAACATCAGTCTTATCAAATATCAGTCAAACGTACCTCCTCGTGAGACGAGAAAACAGCGAATCCAGTACCAGTAGGCTTGTGCTGGTCCGGAGTTCGCAAGGTCCAGAAGGCGATCGGCCGACCGCCAAACTGAGTGAACCAGCTTTCCAATTCAGACTGAGTGGTATCGTGGGGAAGACCACTCAGGTGAAGAACCTTGCTTCGCTCCGCCAAGAAAGCCCGAACATCGGCGTGGGCATCCATCGGCCGAGTGAGAATCTCGGGATGTTCATGGGGCGGCTGCGACTTGCGGATAAGGCCGCGCAGCACGCGGGCCAATGTGATGGACTCCTCCATAGCACGGCGAGGCGAGGCGGGAGCCAAAGCTTGCAGGTGGAATGGGAGGTTGTGCTTGATGGGGGCGGAAGACTGGACGGGCTCGACCTCGAGGGCAGCGCAGATGTTGGACAAGGAGCTGGGACCGAAAGGCAAAGACTCGGGGTGGTGGGTTTGCCAGCGTTGGTACTCAGTGCGCAGATCAAAGGTGCGAGAGTGCTGCAGGTATGCGGGCAATACCACAGCCTTATCACGGGCCTCGCGGGGCAGTTGAACCCGCAGGTCCCACGAATCCAAAGTCACGAAGGCAAACTCGAGGTGCTTGTTGGTGAGGTGTTCCGTGGCGAAGGCATCGAATCGGGAGATAGCATCGCGGAAAGTACCTGCGGAGCGGACGTGTTCCCAAGTCAAGGTGGTCAAACTCGCTACATTATTAGGTCAGTCGATAAGTTTCCCAGCATCGTGGCATGTGGATCGGGTATGGGATTGCGGAAAGAGAAAAGGCTTACTGCACAACGGAGTGATGGGAGTGTTGACTGGCTTGACGAGGACACTTTCGCGGTGCAACTATAAAAGAGGAATCAAAGATGAGCGGGATTTTCTTCATCTGTCTCGGAGGTAATTCGGATGAAGCGGGCGCTGGGGTAGAGAATGTTGGGGCGGGTTGTGTGTACCTCTTCGCACGTCTTAGTATCCAAGAGAATCCATCCCAATTCGATCACTTCGGCCGAATCTTTGGTGACATAAACGCCATGCTCATCGCAAGTGGTTGCAACGTGGATGACAATGTATCGATCCAGCTTAGGAGTGGGTGCTGTAACGGCCGCCATCGCTGACTTGTCGCTGCCAACGGAGCGGCAGGGGAGCCCGAGGGAGTGGGGGTGGAGAAGAGAAAGGGATTGTCTCTGCAAGGAATGCAGGAGACAATTAAACACGACCGACCGGGGGGTTGGTTGTCGTGGAAAAGAAGAAAGAAGAAACCCGGGGGAAGAAGAGAAGAGGGAAAGGGGGGGGAGAGAGAGAAGAAAAGAGCCAACTTCTCGAGGTGGAGTTTCGCGAAAAGAAAAGTTTCGGATTCACGGAAGATTACAGCAAGCAGCAACCACATATATGAAAAAACATGGCGCATTCAATCTAGTTATTGACTTCTTAGATTTACTTCATCTCGATTCCCCTGGTCGTCTTCAAATTTTCCACTTTGCGGTCTCTCTTCACTTTCACATCCCACACGGGCTCCCGCGGTGCAACCCCAACTGATCCTGATCCTTGTATGCAAGAGGTGGTCTCACTGGCATCTCTCTACCGTACTCAATTTTTTTTTTTTTTTTTTTTGGGAAACCGCTCATTCTATGGAACGTCAAGTTTATATGCTAGATGGAAAACGACTGTAGATCTAAGGAGTTTGTCTCTGGATTTCTGGGGCAAAAACCTGCGAGAGCATACCGGGAGTGGATCCCTGTCAGAAATGCACCGAGAATGGGCCCATGCTTTTGTAACTGGTGTTCAGGACTTGATTGGGGCTTCAACGGGCATTCCTCCCTCGAGAAAACATCAAATGAGAAGTCTCATTAGGAAAGTTTCAGGTGATTTCTATCGAGTAGGACAGGGGGCAGTTAATCCAAAGGATTTAAATGTTGGGAAGTTCAAATGTTGTACTTTGGTCTACATCACGTGGCCAGGTACCTGGTTGATTAGTAAATACAAACAGTGAGAGATTTGAACATAATAAACAAAGTACAATGAGATTCATTCCGATAATTCGAATCAATTGATGGATTTCATCACTACAAGTTCAATTCAAGCTCAGATGGATGATACAATGCAGGGTCCAGCATTTGGGTTAGCACAAGGTTAATTACATACAAGATTCGAACATTACAATACATCGGATGCACCCATGCATGCATGTACTAGGTAGTTTGTATACCTAGTAGGTAGTACATTACTATAATACCTAGGTATACAAAATACATGCACCTGTGTACTGAAAGAGGGCCGAGTACGTTCATTCAGGTAATCGAGTAAATGCCTTCCGGGGTCTATTCAATATGAGGTAGAAGAAAAGTCTATGCAAATATAATTGTCTCAGGTGCGTATACATACTGTAACCCTTGGATGGATGAACTTTGAATTCATTGATTCATTGTTACTAGGTGCATGTGGTGGAAATTGAGTCAGAGTACCTACAGCATAGTGGGTAAGTATAAACATCCAGATGTATTGCATGTAACCATTGAACAAATGTATGCAGCATGTGTCCACCCGTGGACGGAATCCAGGGAAAGAAATCTAGAAAGTGTAGGTATCCTCGGGCATACGAATCCCATCGTTGATCGAGACACCCATCAACCTACCCCCATCCACAGTCAATAATGCATTGTTCATATAGCCACCACCGGCACTGGATAGCAACAACACCGGTCCCACCATTTCTTCTGGCCGACCGGGGCGACCGGCAGTGCAGCGCTTAGCTGCCTTGTCAGCGCTGTCGCTGATGGCGTACTCATGCTTGCCGGTTGTAGTGCCGGTCATCTCAGACGGGAAGATACCGGGGCAAATGGTGTTGACTCGAATTTTCATGCTAAAATTAGAGATTAGTCGAATCCACTAATCAAAGTCCAGGTCAAGGATCGGTTTTCATCAGTCTGGGAGTCTTACGGATGCAAACGACCAGCGAGAAGGTGAGCAAGATGCACGGCTGTACATATGTAGTTAGAGATTCTGCACAAACTCGAGGGGATAAAATATCAATAGGCGCACCTGCGGCTTTAGACACTCCATATGTCAGCGGTGCCATGGATCTGCGAATAACATGTTAGCTACAAATCTACGATGCATTTGATGAAATGTTCAATGTTGACAGTTCCTTACCTCTGGTTTCCAAGGGCGGCGAGTGATGCAATAATGCAAACATTTGGATCCTTTGCCGATCGTAGAAGTGGGAGAAGGTTTGCTGTTAAAAAGTAAACCCCATTCACATTGACTGTTGCCGTGTTAGTGCAAGTCTCGATGTGTGGATTTGCCTCATCATACTTTGATTGCTTTGATCAAAATCCTCCCTGTAGGTAAGCTGTCAGTTTCCAATGGATGCTAAGATCGCATTCGACACAAGTCAAACATGACATACTCTTCTATGCCATTTATCAAGAGATTTTCTACCTCGTCGGCTATGAGGAATTTAGTAACATTGTTCTTTAGTTAGAGAATGAATCTCAGCTTACGGTCATTGGGATTACTTGGTTGAACTCTCCAGGGACGGCTCACGCCAGCACAGTTGATAAGAGTGTCGACATGAGACTCTTTGGCTTTGATGGCCTCGACAATCTTTACGCACCCCGCCTTGGTTTGTACATCTCCCTGGATACTAAGTCATGTCAAGTCAGCGCAATTTTCTCGACTTATATCTGCGGAGACTTGCGCATGTATGTCTCCATCGATCTCCTTTACTGCCGTATCAAGGGCCTCTTGTCTGCGCCCAGAGATGTAAACTTTGGCCCCGTTCACGGCGAATCCTTCCGCAATGGCTTTGCCGAGGCCAGAGCCACCACCGGTCACGACGACAACCTTACCCTTGACGGAGAAAAGATCCTCGATCTTGAAGGAGACATGTTGTTCCGCCATATCGAATATCAATACTGGTAATACTGGTCTTGAAGAATATTCTGAAGAAAAGGTTGTTTACTAGTATTGGAGATAAAATCTCCTGGTTTCCGCTGATATCAGGAGTTTCCCGGCTAATGTATGACGATCGGACGGGTACCGATTTCACTGTCGGGGAATGAACCAGCCGCCGTCGCTCTATCGCCGAGTGCGGGGTCCAATGACTTCACCCCCACGCCTGTGCTCCAGCGCTCAAATCTTGCAAAGACATTGGTGCGAAAATACATCAATTTGTGGGGGTCTTGGTAATCATAGAAATGTCCTTTCTTCCCGTAAATTAAACAATTATTCTCTCCTTGCTTCTTACTCTACAATCGCAGAACAACTATCATCATGAAGCTCCTCTACCCCACCTCCCTCAAGCTCGACGTACAAAGCCTCCAGGGCTTCTCCGTCTCCCTTCACCCCTACAATGTGAAGGAGCCAATTCCCGAGGAACTGATTGACGCCGATATCCTCGTGACTTGGGCCAACGCGGCCACCAACCTCAAAGATGCCGCAAGCCGCATGAAGAACCTCAAATGGATTCAATCCCTGGCCGCGGGTCCTAATGACGTGCTTTCAGCTGGATTCGACGCCTCAAAAATCACAGTGACCACCGGTGTCGGTCTCCACGATGGCCCCGTCGCCGAGCACGCGCTCGGTCTCCTCCTGAACGGAATCCGCCGGTTCTACGAAATGCGCGATTACCAACTCCAGTCTAAATGGCCCGGTCACCTCGGTGGCTCCTTCCCCCGCAGCGACTTCACTACACTGCGCGATTCCCGCGTGTTGATCTGGGGCTTCGGTAGCATTGCCAAGAAACTCACTCCTTACCTCACTGCTCTCGGTGCCGAAGTGAAGGGTATCGCCCGCAGCCACGGAGTTCGCAACGGTGTTGAAGTTTTCGGCGAAGATAAGCTTGCTGAGCTCTTGCCTGAGACCGATGCCCTCGTTATGATCCTACCTGGATCTGAATCAACAAATAATGCACTGAATGCTGAGAGACTCAAGCTGCTGCCGAAGCATGCTTGGTTGGTCAATGTTGGTCGGGGAACATCCGTGGACGAAGATGCGTTGGCAGATGCGCTGGAGAAGGGTGAACTTGCGGGTGCCGCGCTTGATGTGTTTAAGACCGAGCCACTGCCTGAGTCGAGCCGACTGTGGAAGACACCCAATGTGATTATTTCCCCACACGCGGCTGGTGGAAGACCTGAAGGTTGCACGGAGTTCATTGCAGATAACCTGCGACGCTACTTGGCTTCGCAGCCTCTCAAGAATGTCATCTGACTAGTGCGGGATTCCAAACTTTAATAGACAATAGAAGTCAATGGAGGGGATAGAGAATTTTATTTTACTATTTTACATATTGATTATGTTTGGGTGTAGGTACTACCTGGTTTTCATTTCTAGTCCGACCATTGTTTATGAAAAGTAGGTTGTGTTGACAACAGTAATTTGTGACGTCGGGTAGGAGACAAGATGCATGAACGGCGAAATTAGTATAAAAGATACTCCCTTTAAAGATTCTAAACAAATAAATATCTTCAAAGTAGGCAAAATTACTATGGTTAGAAGAGTGAAAAGGAGAGGTTGGGAAAAACAGAAATAAGAAAAAAAGAAATGCTTGCTAAGAGATTCGAACTCTTGCGGGTTTCCCCACTGGGATGCAACTCGTTTTTGCGAGTGACAAGTATTCACTTGAATCCAGCACCTTAACCGCTCGGTCAAACAAGCTATTGATGACATATGTTAAATTTCTTCGATATATACCCTAAGGGCCAAGCTTGTTGCAACTGCATATTTCACCCTACCCAGTAGACACCACCCTTTTTGTTATTCCCAGACGCCGCCACAATGAGATTTCATTTTCTTCTTCAGAGAACGAAAAAAAAAAAAAAATTTGCCTGGAAAAACGTCTGAAAAGCTTGGATTTGAATTATTGATCATGTTCTTGACCTCCTGATGAATTGACTCATGGAGCACATATTTGATCCTTAGCCCTAGTCTTGTAGGTTACCTATGAAAAGTTTCTACGTCAAAGCCTACGAAATGGCTGCGGATTGATCGACCATGAATAGAGCTTGGAGCGAAATTCCAATCCTACTGGTAATACAGTATCTAATATACCTCAATCATGAACTGTGGATCTCCTACCACATTTCAAATGTTGACTAGTACACGTTCAGAAGCTTCAATAAGGCTCTACTTTCAATGGTTGTCAGGTTGTAACTGAAATATCCGAAAGAAATTGAGATCGATATATGTACGGATGAAATAAAGAAAAAAAGGATTAAAATCAATCATGTACAACGTTGGAAGATTACCAAGCCAGTTTCCCATCCTCGAAATAAATACCACAAACCCCGGGAATCAAAACTCAACAAACGCCAGTGCCACAGAAACCAGACATTGAGATCAATCATCATGCGTCAAGAGCTTCATCCTTAATCACCGTCCCCATGCTAGTGTCATGGTCCTCGTCTTCATCTTCTTCCATGATACTAGGCTCCACGGAGATCATGGGCCGACCGCCACCACCACCTTCAACAGATGGGCGTACACTGCCGGATCTAATCCGGCTACTGTCATGCTCGTTCTCATCCTCTTCCATAATACTAGGTTCCACAGACACATGGCGTCGGTTGATGCCAGAAGGTTCAACGGAGCGTCGCCCGCTAGCGGAGCGGACGCTACCGGCATCACTCTCAAGATCCTCAGTACCGGCGCGAGGGCGTACGCTGGCCGCTCGAGCATCTTGTGCAACGGCGAGCATCTTCAGAACAGAATTTTTGGTTTTGACCAAAGCGTTACGGCTGGAAGCATCCGTAGCAAGGCCCTCCTCGATGGTCTGATCGAGCAGTTCTTTGACTTCTTGGGCTAGTTGAATGTTGTCAGGTTCAATCTCAAGGGCTGTGGTGCTGCGAATGCTTGCACGCAATTGGTCTTCGCCTTCCGGAGCACGAGATCCAGCACGACCGCCTTCTGGAGCACGCGATCCGGCGCGAGCAGGCAGCGTAGGTGCGGCAACATAGAGTTTACTCAGAAGAGAAAAGATGAGCTTGCGTTCCTCGCGAGAACAGCGGTTGGTCCCGACACTGATGCCCAGGACGCGCTCCAAGATGTCTTTCACTAGAGCAAGGTGCACCCAGCCACAAGCATTCGAGCTGGCCATTCCACCGATCATGACACGCTCGCCGCCCAGACCCACTACGCGACGCTCATCCGTCCATTCGGCCAGCATTCCTACAACACCGGTCATGAGCGCTTTGACTTCGCGCTCTCCAACGCTCGCATCCACCTCCCCGTCACTATCTTCTTCGGCCTCGAGAGAGTAGTGTTCCTCAGCAGCATTCAACACTGCACGAATCACCGGTACTGCAACACGGCGCATGTGCTGGATGTTGTCCAACCGAGAATGACAGTATACGGGGAAGAAATATGCCAAAGACTGTCGAAGGGCGGGATTTACTTTGGTGCGTGGGTGGAAGAAGGCTACCACAAGCGATTGCAGCAATGTCTCAACAGAGTTTTGGTTATATTCTTGAATTGCAGGTGGGATGTTGGCCCCCGATGGTGTGAAAGTGTTGGTGAGTAAGAGTTTTGAGAGTGCGGTAGCAGCGGCGGACTGGACGCTGGCTGGCGAGTTTGCTTTCAAGGAGCGTGAAAACACCTTCAACAAAGGCTTCTGAATCGGGGGAGTTGTCACGGTCTCGCCGTCGGCTTGAGTTACCGGGGCAAGAAGGGAAGGGTGGGTGGTAACCATATCACAGATGATCTGCAATGCAGTCACTTGAAGGCCTTCGTGACCCTTGCTGTAGCAATGAATGAAGAGTGTCATGTTCTCTTCAGCAAGATTCTGGGAGTATTAATGTTAGCATATTCGGTCTTCACATTTATTGCCGTATATTGGACGACATACCTTGTCAAGCAAGCAACAGAGACCCAAGCAAAGAATACCACGCTCTCTGATGGGAGCCTCGTGACTTCGAACAGCAGGCACAACGAGGTTGTTCAGCATAGTCACAAGATTCATGCTTTGCTGCAAATTGCCTTCAGCGTTTTGGAGCATACATTGGGCGATATGCAGACATTTCATGTTGACAACGATTTCTCGAACAATCTTGGCCTTGGCTTCCTCCTTATTGAATGGAGTTTGCTCCTCTTCACCCGGAGTCTCGGAACGATGGCGGCTGCTGGCATCATCACTGATTTCCGACTTCGCAGACACGAAGCTATCCTCCGTAATAATTGTATCGTGTACTTCAGCAATAGCTTCGAGAACGACGCTGCAGAACTCACCCTCGCCGGCACGATCTGGACCACAAACGCATCGTAGTGCCTCCACTGCAAGCTTGGTGCAGTCTTCTGGAAGCTCCGGAACAGCTAATGACTCTCGAAGGAGCGCAAACATTTTGCGCCTACCAACTTCGTCACTGTAGTCGAGGGTGATGGCAATGTGCAGCAGTTGCTCTACAATGAATTCTTGCTCAACTGCATCTTCATCGTTGGCGTCACCAGATTCTTTAGCCAATTTCTTGCGTTGCAAGAGCTCGTTCATGTATTTGGCGAGGAAATAGCCGAGTGCTGTAACCTCTGGCATTTTCTCTTCCGCCAGGCTTTCGTACTTTCCTTCGTTCTCAACGCGACAGAAGTCATTGAACGATCGTAGCAGGAAAGCAGACTCTGCTGTGAGGGACTCCCAGAATGCTTCATCAAAGGTAACTGCATCGCGGTAGTCTGCCCGACCTTCCCAAAAGCTGCGCATCGCCTCATGAGCGATTCCGCTTTCCATGCCGGTGTTGGAAACATCGATTCTCTCGAGTAATTCGAGAAGTGCGCTGACGTTGGGGGGCGAGCGCTGGGCAGTTGCACCCTCCTCTTCCCCGGCGTTCGTACCAGCACAATCCTCCACCCATCGATCATAGAACAATTTGCCAGTCGCTTTCCGAACACTTTCGTCACGGTCTCGCAGGCCCCAGCGGAGCAATTTCTCTCTCATAGATAGGGACAGGTGGCGGAAATCGCCTAGTGTAGGCAAAAGGCGAGAATATAAGGTGCGTCTAGTAGGTGCGTCGAGATCGCGGGCACGTTCGAGAAGATAGGGAAGAGTGGTTGGGGCCAGTGGAAGGTTTGCGAGAAGATTCTTCCGAACGTCCGCACTTGTGTCGTTTTGCATAATCTCAATCAATCGTTCCAGAAGTGCGGTAGAATTGCCGTCATCATCCTCATCATTACCAGCCAATCGTGCAAGGCCTAGAACAGCCTGCACCCGGACCGATGATTCTTTGTCGCGGATTCGCTTCAGTAGTCCTTGTTGAATAGTGTGGTAAAGTTCATCGTCGATCGCTTCGAGGGCGTTAACTATGTGTGCCACAATTTGAGTGGCTCGGAACCGGATCATCTTATCCTTGGCACCAAGGAGGGGTACCATCAAGGCGACCAAGCTCGTAGTCAGACGAGAGGTCGGAGTTTCGGGGGCATTTTGCATCTCAAACTCATCCTCCTCGTTCGAAGCAAACAACTGGTTATCCTTTTCAGACGCATGGGCGAGGAAAGTGTCCATGAAGCGGATGATACGGTCACCAACGGGCTCAGATTTCTTGATAGGTAGAATTCGAAGCATACAACGACCGACTTCAACGTTGAATTCCTTCTCGGGAAGCGTCTCCTCTTCCGGGATCACAATCTCCTCTTCTTGCTCATTTCCTTTGTTCTTCTTTCGGGCAATTCCACTGCAAATTTCTTGAAGTTTTCGTAACCGTACTACAAGCTTGCGGTGGCCTGTAGCTGAGCGCTGCGCGTCGGCAAATATGGCGCACACATCACGGCGGAGGTTAGGTGATGCTTCGGGGAGCGAAGGTTCGTCAGGAATCGCAAATGATGGGGTCACTGAGGGGGCACGCCCCGCGGAAGGTTGTTGCGATGACCTGCGCGTCGTCGCAGAGGTCGAGCGGGCGGCGACTCGGCCAGGCATAGTGGGTATGTGTTATCGGGGGCGCGATTAACAAGAGACAAAACGCATGACAGGTCGCGCATCCACAGATGAAGCAAGGAAGAAAGGGCAAATGCGGGCGGTAAACAAACAGCCCAAACGGGGAAGGAGCGATAAGCGGTCACCTGACTTTATCGATGCTGACTCATCCCCGCTATCGGAGACCCCCAATCCGTTCCCCCAATTGTATGGATTCGGAGCTCACTTATCGCTATATTTCACATTGTACTCGTCACAATGTTCCGTCAAAGCATTCGTCGCTTTGGTACTACGGCCGTTCGTGCCGCTGCCGAGAGCAGATCCGCATATACCTCTCGGGTGTCCACGGCACAGGGCGTTGTCAACGGTCTGACAGAAGGTAGGTCGATAGCTCCGATGCGGGTTCCGAGCGGATCAGCTTACAAGTCCATGCCTACGTAGCAATTGGCAACACTCCTTTGATCAGATTGAAGCGCCTATCTGAAGAGACTGGATGCAATGTGCTGGGCAAAGCTGAATTTCAAAACCCTGGTGGTAGTGTGAAGGATCGGGCCGCGTTATTTGTCGTCGAGGATGCCGAGAAGAAGGGACTACTTCGGGCTGGCGGTACTGTTGTTGAGGGCACCGCCGGTAACACCGGTATTGGTCTGGCGCATGTGTGTCGGTCTAAGGGCTACAAGCTGGTGATATACATGCCCAACACACAGTCTCAGGGAAAGATTGACTTGCTCCGATTGCTGGGTGCGGAGGTGTACCCGGTCCCCGCCGTCGCATTCGACAACCCCGAGAACTACAACCACCAGGCCCGCAGACACGCTGAGTCTCTGAACAATGCCGTTTGGACCAACCAATTTGACAACACCGCCAACCGCCAAGCCCATATCGAGACTACTGGACCGGAACTCTGGGCGCAGACCGGTGGTAAGCTCGACGCTTTTACTTGCGCTACTGGTACTGGTGGTACCCTCGCTGGTATTACCCGTTATCTCAAGGAGGTCAGCGATGGTCGTGTCAAGAGCTTCCTGGCTGATCCCCCGGGCAGTGTGTTGCACAGCTACATCCAGAGCGGTGGCACTCTTGTCGACCGCTCGGGTAGCAGTATCACTGAGGGTATTGGCCAGGGTCGGGTAACTGATAACCTGAAGCCTGACATTGATCTTTTGGATGGATCCTTGAACATCAGCGATGAGAAGACTATTGAGATGGTTTACCGCTGCCTGGATGAGGAGGGTCTCTACCTGGGAGCTAGTTCCGCCATGAATGTGGTGGCTGCAAAGGAAGTCGCCGAGAAGATGGGCAAGGGCAGCACTGTCGTGACTATTTTGTGCGATGGTGCTTACCGATACGCTGATCGTTTGTTCTCCAACACTTGGTTGGAGAGCAAGAATCTCCGCAGTTCTATCCCCAAGCACCTGGAGAAGTACATTGTTCTCCCTTGATTGAACCTGGCATATCTTTAGAGAGTTGATGTGAATGTAAAAATATATTATGCTTGGCTGGATGTGTCTATATGGCGAAGACGTGCTTTTTTATTTTGACTAATGTTTGACACAACAAAAATACAATAGTCCTATGTAAACCTTGGAGCTAACACTGCATGTGTTGACCTTCTACAAGTTTAATGTACAACTTTCCATCTGGATGTCAAAAATCGTGTTTGCCAATGTCTTTACTAATACCCAGTACATATGTACTAACCTTATACACAAGATTTGGTGCAGTATCCAGATGTCTAAAACATTTGAACATTTGAAGGGAGTTGAAAAAGATCGAGTGACATGCATGCACATGTGTGGGAGAATGCCGGTGTAAGATTTCAAATGTTCCCTCTTCGGGCTCTCTGGTTTCACTTAGGGGAGAATTTCATGATATTGAATACTCTCTCGAGCTTCGTCCATATGGGACATGTAAAAGATATGATACATAAGAGTAGTGAGCGCAAGACGACCAGCCAGAACAATCATTCCCCTTCGTTAAAAGCGGAGATAGCCCATCGAAGCAGATCAAAAGCAGTCTCGAAGAACATCGAATATGCCCCAGCGAGCCACCCTGCAAGCGCATTATGTGCAGCGCAGTAAAAAAAATATCGCACAATAGATGTAAAGCAACCCAAACGCCCTTTATGCTTCCGTTCTATCCGAAAATTCGCCGAAGTGCCGTAAAAAATAAGTACAGACTGAAAACAAGTAACGGAAACAAAGGTATCGAAACGAGCTAGCCAACACCCGAAAGGGTACGGGGGTTAGTCGAAGTCGAAAGAAAAGCCGATATGAAGATCGAGATCGAGATCAGATCTAATCATCAGACTCCGGCATGCGCATGTAAGCATCAATAGCAGCACTGAAGGCGGCAAATCCGGCACAGCCAAAGGCAGCGGCTTGTGGACCTGCCTTAGCACCCAGGATACCACCAGTCATACAACCAGCCGCGACACTGTTGGTCAAGTCGTTCTTGGCGCGGAGACCCTCGATACAGCACTCGGTTCCGGAGTAGAGCGCACCGACAATACCGAAGTTCTTAGCAGAGGACCAGGAGCGGGCACCCATGTCCTTGAAACCGCGGCGGACCTGGTCGCGCCAGGGGAGGTCGGCGATTGCGCGACCTTGCGGGGTGAAGGTTGAGTCGTAGGACATCTAGTTTGAAGAATATGATTAGGACGTGGTTAGAAAGGCCTGGGAAACAAGTTTGCGACTTACACTGGCCATGAAGAGACCGAATGCACCACCAAGAGCGAAACCCATAGTACCGGAGATGACGGTCTTCACAGGGCAGGATTCCATACCAGCTTGCATCTGTTCGTGTAACGTTAGCATATGAATAATGAACAGCATGTACAAATGTGCCAGCAGTAATAAGGAGTCACATACCATCTTGACCATTGCCGCCTCTTGCTCGCCCATGCCGGCGGTGGAGTTGCCTCCTGGCATGGTGCCCATCACATGTCCCATACCCGCGGGGTTCATTGTGGATGATTGAAGAAAGACGTTGACACGGGTGTTTTATTGATTTCGAGCGAGTAGGGAGCCTGTCAGAATAGGGCTTGTGGAGCAGTGAGGTCCCTTTAAGGAAATTCAATGGACACGAACCAACGGAGCGCGGAGATTCTTGCGGAGGCGGCAACTCTCGCAAATTTATTTTTACGGCACCGGATATAAGCCAGATTGGCAGTTTGCCACGTGACTGATGGGCCAGGCCTGGGTTTACTTGTAGTAGTAGTTTACTACTGCTAGTATATAACCCTTGGAACTTGAATATACAACTGGTAGACTCAAAGCTTGGAAGCTCGTGAATGAATGGTATTTCGTATTTAGTTTTCTCATTTATCAAAGGCTTCTATAAGCCAGTAAAGGCCAAATTGGAAGGCCCAAAAAAAAATCCACCAATAGAACCAGGTGCTCCAAAATATAAAGTGAAGAAAGAAAGAAGCAACGCTCTCGTGGGTGCAACAGTCGTAGCCCTACATGATTTCAAGGATGCTGTGTCGTGCCAAATCGCCCAACGGAGACACTCAAAGAATGAGGCCGAAGAAGGAGATGGGGGAATAGTAGTATATACAAAAGAAAATAAGATTGAAAGAAAAAAAAAAGCAAAGAAAAAGTAGACTTAATCCTTTTTGCTGCTTTTGCCGGAAGACGAATCTTTTCGTTCCGGAGATGGCGACAGACTGCGCTCCCATTCAGCCATGAGGTTGGAGGCAGTTCGTTGGAGCTTGGAGGGTGCCAGCTTGGTGATGACAGGCCAAGGGATGCCTTCGGTTTCACTGGGATCAGGAGCGGCGGAATTGGGATTCCACTCGCCAAAGCTGCGGGTTCGAGCGTCAGCATCAGCGCATGACAAGGTTGTTATATATAAAATCAGAGAAAGTCGAAATGTACCTAGCACTCGTTCGTGGACTACTACCCTGCGTCGTGGGTGACTGGTCATGTTTCGATTCGACCGTTGACCGACTAGACGAGGGTGTATGTGACATCTTGTTCCCGGACAAGGGGGTATCCCAAACATCCCAATTATCGGCCGTATCATCCTCCTCGTTGACTGGACTGCCGGAGCGGTGACCGCGTTGCTCGTGTTCTTTCTCGCCCCGCGGGGTCGTGGCGCCGTTGTTGTTGTTGTCGGAGGGGTTGCGACGAGCGCCGGGAGACTTCTGCGCTGGTGAATCAACGCCAAATTCATGCCAGAACGAAGAGGCGATGTCCGCCGGCTTGGAGTCTTTACCGGATGTTGGCTCAGCCGCTGGCCCCCTACCCCGCGACGAAGATGATGAAGATCTTGAAATGTCCCCCGCGACCGATAGTCTCTCCCGACTCCGTGATTTGGCGAGCGAATCCCGTTTCCGCGTGTTCGGTGGTGCTAGCGAGTTTGGCGATGAGACGGTTCGTGATTCGGTTCCGTTGATACCTTCCTCGCCCACAGTGGCTTGTCGAATATCCTCCAAGAATGTCCACAGACCCTCGCGCAAATCTGATGCCATCTGTTTTCCTGTCCGCATAAGAGCCTCCCGAGATGGAGGAGGCAAGGTCTTCCGCCACTGGGCGAGCAGGTGTTCTGGTACCTGGCTCTCGTCGATCGGTGCCACCATGCTCGGAACAGTATTCATGCGTTCAACCGATGGCAGGGTGGCTGACCGTGGAGTCCGACCAATACGTTCAGGATCGGGCAGACCAGGACTCAGACCGGAGGTAGCAGTAACGGGGGACAGAAGAGACAGAGTGCGTGCATGGGAGCCTTGGAAGACCCGGCGACCATTGGATGAAATGGTTGTGCCGGCAGGAATTGTGGGGGTGGCGCGAATACTTGAGCGCCGATCCAGCTCCCGACTGATTCGCTCCTGAGAGATGCCTGAACTAGCCACCGAACTCATGCTTTGTTCCCGACGGTGTGAATTCAAGCTCGAGATCTCCGCCCCACTCACATCGGGAGATCGAAGTGGTAGCATCGGCTCTGCATGATGACTGATCTCGGTACGTTTCCTCGATTTCTCCGACAGCGCCCATTGCTTCTTGATGGATGACAGATCGGCCTCTGCCCGCTGCAGCTCCTCGCGGAGCTCCATCACCTTCCGTTCCTGAGAAGCGATGGCCCGCAGAAAGTCGTAGCCATCATCTTGAACATCGAAGGGGATGGGTGTCCCCGTGGGGAGTGCAGGAAGCCCGGTGGAGGGGCGACTTGACGACTGTGTGACTGGGGTCATGGAAGCCGGGGATGCAGCAGCGCTATCGGGAGTTGCAGCTGGGAATTCGTTTAGAGGGAAATGAATGGGTAGGTTCAAGGTCAGGCGTTTGGCATGTCGGGCTGCAGTATTAGCCCGTGATAGTGAGGGTCGTTTATTCTGCGAAAGTGAGGAGGAGCGAGAAAGAGAGTGTGATTGCTCGGATACAGGCTCCGGTTGTGTTGGGGAGGTCGAAGTCTGGGACGCATCCGGCGGTGGACCGTGGGCGAGTAGATCGCCCGTTCCCGGGGAGCTCTCCATGATGGACCAGCCAGCAGGGAGAGAACAGGGCAAAAGTTATGGAAGATAAAGGGGCATATGACCAGAAAAATATATACAGAGGTCGGAGAGATTGAAGAGGAAGAAAAAGGTTGACAGGCGAAGTCTGGAAGTCTCCGTTCTCCTGAGAGCCCACAGCGGGTCCCTGGGACCGCGCATCCTTGCCACGAGTGTTTCAGGGGGCCCCGAGGTACTGGCCGCTTTTACCCAGCTACTCTTCTATTCAATGTTTACACCATATACTATGACAGATGACTACGAATTGCTGATTATAAGCTCAGATACCACATTTGGTCTGAATGTTTTCGTGGACTTTGGTTTAGCCCCAGGGGGTTTTGCAACAGATGGGCTCGTGGGGGCTGAAGATGATCGACAGTTCAAACTGCCTAGATACGAACAAGCGAAGCCATTGGACGTTTTTCCCCGAGAACCATCATGTCAACCACCTGGCTCTGCGACACATTCTTTTTGTGAAGCTATGAGATCATTAATGATGTGTGTTATAGAGTGGAACGACTCCGACCTTGAGTTTTTAGAATAGGATCTTGCACATGCATTATCGGACGACAACGGTAGCAAACCCTATAGCATCGAGTCCTATTGCATAGTAACTCTCGACTGAACATGATTGGAAGATCCCTATGCACATGCGTAAAGTAGATACGGTCTAGAATATGATTTGATTTATTCCACAGTACATAGTAGGGATAAGTAGATAACATAGAACATAGATATGCACGATGCCCGGTAAGCTTAGAAGACCCTGCATGTGATGTATTCAAACGTTAACGATGCCAATCACGATCAGACATTGATCTTGTCCTGCTCCTGCTTTCCACCAGTTTTCGAAGCTCCCAATTGAAACATTTGGAGTGTATATCTCGTACGGCAATATCCGTAGCATAGCAGCATAGCCACTCAAAACTCCAAATTGGTAATGTGCCCCATGTATACTCCACTCAACGCTAAAGTGCTCCGTAAAATTTCTCCACAACAAAATATACACCACGCCAAAAAGAGCTACGTCCACCGCTGCTTTGCACTCCGCACGAAATAACACTGCGTAGCCAGCCCCACCCAGGAGACTGCCGAGCCGAAGCTTTCAAGCTAGGAAAGCTCCAGGCCAGGCCTCTTGGCTCATCTCAATCCAGGGGGACGTACGGAGTAAAATTAACATCCCTCACTTGCGGTACAAAAAAGTGGAATTGTGATATGATTCCAAAGTTCAATGGCTATTATAAGATTTGTCAACTCCGGCCCTGGAGGGCTGTGTATTCCAACAAATAATCGAAGTACAGGGTATTTAATTCCATTTGAGAAGTCCCAAAATGTAACATTATGAAGGCGAGTCTAGTTGAAATAACGCCTATATTATGCGCAATGGTTAAAGCCTGTACAAAATTTATAGACTCAAACCCAGGGCTTTCTAAATTTTGAACGTTGGCCATTCATGCGTGCGGTCGATTCCACATGTGCACACATGCAGATCGCTGTCAGGGTCTCCAAGTCAGGTTTATACACACATATGCACTGAAACAATCATGGCATACGGAATCATACACAGCACAGCAAAACACAATCACAGATGGTCAATCAGACAGCATATTTCCATACAGACACTCTCATCAAGGAGATCTTCGTACATATTCCACATCAGACCCAAGCCCCCCTTGCCGAAAACGATGCCATGAGGTAGGGGGCTGGGGAAAGGGGCGATAAAAAAAAGCATAAACACCCATAAGTAACACCGTAAAACAAAAAGATATTCATGGAAAAAAGAGCCGGGCCCAGAGGATTGGTTCCAATACATGCAGTCTGGAGGACACCGGATGAGAAGAATGAAAAACATAACCACAGGTTCCGGATGTGGAACGTGAAATAGACACAATGTACCAAGAATTACTACACCAGATCACAACTCCGGGAATCGTCACACCGTAAAACAATGAATCGGACAGAAAGAATGGACGCCAAGATGCAAGGCCAGTGCCAGACTCGACAAAACGCAAGGGGTAATACAACAATAACCATGAAACGCCGGGTCTATACAAACGAGTGTGAGGAGAATATGGATGGAGAGATGAGAAGACAAATTGAGGATGGAGGGGTGGCGAGAGAGAGAGGGAGAGAGAGAGAAAGAGATAAGAAGAAGTTGGCTTGCAGAATCATCTAGATTCCCCAGCGGTTGCGGAGCCCATCAGCCCAGCGAGAGTATAGAACATCTGTCAATTGTTTTGTATGTTCCATGCCAGACGCGTTCTGGCCAGGTAGATTGGAGAGAGGAGATGTAGGTTGAGGTTCGACGACACTTGATTGACGGCGGTGATGGCTTTTGAGGTGAGGGTTATTTTGCGCCATAACAAGGCGTGGGCGTTGCGGGGAAGCAGGTTGAGCAGGTGCGGGGATAAGACTAGACAGGCGAGGATCGGCTTGAAGTCTCTCGTTCATTATGCGCACGATGTGGTACAGGCCCTCGGGGTCGACCATCTCCAGATCACTCCAAGCTTCTGCCAAACGAGCGATCGCCTCTCGCTTCTCGCCATCCGCGGTGGTAGCAAGAACTTCTTGGCAAGAAAGACCTACAGCCCTGCTGTAAGCGCGTCGGCCAAGTTGGCCCTCTTTGGTTGATGTATCGGTAGAGAGAGGCTTGGGGCTAGTGTTTTCATCAAACCCAGGCGGGGGCTTAATTTGCGAGTTCTCGTTGTTGGCGGCTGCGGCAGCCGCAGCTCGATCCGACGAGACACGACGGAATTGGCGCACGGTAGATGGGGTGTTGCCGTAGCTGAGATCCACACCCAATGGCTGCTTGATACCACTAGAGCGGCGCTTGGTGTTGGCTCGGCGAACGGATGGTGAGCGTTCGGCGTTCAATGCTCGACGAACGGTAGAATTAGCTTGGTGCTTTGGCGGTGCAGGTGGTTGGGCGGGTGATTCGGCCGATGATTCAACAGGTGGTTTATCGATGTGCATGTCTTCCATCAGCTGGCTGGGATCTTGTTCTTCCCATTCTTCGTCCAGTGTAGACCAGTCAGTACCCTTAGGTACCCACATGCTAGGTGCTTTGACTGTGTCAAACACCCAATCTTCATCGTCATCGTGTGCTTCCGTAGGGAGCTTGGTAATGGTATTCCTGCGAGATCAATTGTTAGCGAAGATCTTCTCATCAGAAGTGAAGCGCACATACAGTGATTCGGCATAGTACTTAACGTCTCTGGTAGCTCCTCGACCACCGTCCCAGTCTTGCTTGCGGTGGATTAGTTCCTGCAAAGCCTCGGTCTTGCCTGCATTGCGAATGAATTTGTGGCGCAGGAGCTCCTTCGCGCTGGGCCGGCGATCTGGGTCCTTAGTCAAACATTGGGCGATAAAGTCTTTGAAGGTATTGCTGTAATCGTTGCCTTCCAATCGAGGAGCCGGGTTCTTGGGAATCAAAAATAGAACTTTCATGGGATGAGTGCTGGCGTGGGGAGGCTCTCCATTGATCATTTCGATCGCGGTGATACCCAAGGACCAGATGTCGGCCTTGAAGTCGTATCCAGCCTGCTGGATAACTTCCGGGGCCATCCAGAAGGGTGTGCCGACGAAGGTATTGCGCTGCGATTTGATATTGACTAACTGTGCGGCGACACCGAAGTCCGCCAATTTGACCTTTCCGGAATTTGAGAGTAGCACATTGGCGGCTTTGACGTCCCGATGGATCTTGCCTTCGCTGTGGAGATAATCGAGACCTTGTAATAGTTGTTGGCACACGATTGCGACATGCGCTTCGTTGAAGACTCCTGGTTTCAACTGTGGCCAGAGTTAGCAAACACAATGGAGATAACGGGGTAGCAGGGATAACCTTGACATACCAAGTCCAAGCATGATCCTCCTCCCAGGTATTCCATCACAATCCAAAGTTTGTGCCCCTTAAGGAAGCTTGCCTTGTATTGTGTAACGAACGCGCTGGCACAGGTGGCCAGGACGGAAATCTCCTGCTGAATCTCCTGGATATCATCTTCGCTGGACTCGAGGTCGATCTGCAAAGAAAAAAAATAACATGTCAATTGGGACTAAATGGTATCGCTGGGAAAGAAAGGCTGCTTACATGTTTCACTGCAACAATCTCTCCAGTGGTTTTGTCAATTGCCTTGTAAACAGTGCCAAAGCTTCCACCTAGTAAACGAGAAGCGGATCAGTACATCAATCCCTGCATGGAAGCGGATGGGATATTTGGCACTCACTTCCCAACTCCTCCATCACCTGGTAATGACTCGCCATATCTTCCGCCATTGTTGCGCAACGATCGGCCGAACTTAGCGATTCCGACCGAAAAGGACTCCGACAGGGTGAACAGAAATCATGCACAAACCAAACGTGTTGTGCTTGATAGCCGTAATAAAAGCACCCAGAAGCCTTGAAGCAACAAGCTTGTCGAGGTGAAAAAACAGAAATGAAGGATGGTTAAAGGGGTGGAGCCTGTAAATGCGCATTGTCCAGGCTAAACAACAGCTCCCGTTTCGCATGGCAACCGGGTAGACACCTGAGATACAAGGCAGAAGGTGGGGATGCACCTTACCATATCGGGTCTAGTGCAGATGCAAGGGTCTGGTTCCAGCGATAAACTCAAGGATGGCATTGAAATGTTATTTTAGTCCTTTATTGCTTCCAAAGCTCTCTTGCTGACAATCCTGGTAAATCGGTTCAATGTTGCTGCTTTGCTTTTTTGTACACTAGTGATACGCTTCATATATATTCTAAGCATTACCCGTACATTCTACTTTAGATGTACTTGTAGGGGTTCATGATACCATTCTGTAGAAAAAAAAATTTAGTAAAAAATCTCCATAGAAGAAGACCAAATTCTAGGAAATGAGTAGTACTCACAGGATCATACACAGCCTTAAGCTGCTTCATCAACTTCACCATGGTATCGTTCTGGCTGTATCCGATGAACTCTTTCTTGGCAACACCCAGACCGTGCTCAGCACTGATACTGCCATTGCGCTTTTGAATCCACTCGTACACCCAGGGCTCAATAGCCTTCTCAACCTCCTTGTTGTACTGACGCACAGACACATTCAGGTGTAGGTTGGAGTCACCCATGTGACCGTAACCAACGACAGCACGCACGGGGAAGGAGTCATCGTCACCAACAAAGCCCATCTCGGTCAGACGGGCCTTGCAGTCCTCAACCAGCAGGTACAGATCAGACAGAGGAATGGACACATCGTACTTGTAGGTTCCGCCCAAGTGGCTCAGAGCCTCAGTAATGCCCTCGCGCCAGCGCCACAGAGCCTGGAACTGAGTCTCATCCTGAGCAAGCACACCATCAGCGACAATGCCATCACCCATGACATTCTCCAGGAATGTTTCCAGCTTGGCCATGTCGTGCTCAGCATTGGAGCCGCTAGTCTCAATCAAGCAGTAGAAGGGGTACTCGCCCTCAAGCGGGTGCTTGTTACCAGTAGACTCGATGACCAAGCCCTGACTGCGACCGTCCATAAGCTCGAATGCAGACAGAATTTCGGACAGCTGGCCCTTAGCGGCGAGGTAAGCCTGCTGCACCTGCTCAAAGCTCTCCAGGCCAAAGTAGGCAACGTTCACAGCCTTGGGGCGCGGTGGGCAGATGATAGAGACAGCGGTCACAATACCGATGGTGCCTTCGGAGCCAATAAAGAGTTGCTTAAGATCGTATCCAGTGTTGTTCTTCCGCAGAGTGGAAAGCGCATCAACGATGGTCCCGTCCGGCAGGACTGCCTCGAGACCCAGCACAGTTCCGTGCAAGCTGCCGTAACGCAGTAATCGCAAACCACCAGCGTTGGTAGCAACATTGCCTCCAATGTGGCAAGAACCCTTGGCACCCAGGTCGAGCGGGAACAAGTGGTTGCGTTCGGCCAGGTACTGGTCAGCGGTCTCGAGAATGACACCGGCATCAGCGACCAGAACTCCGGAAGCCTCATCAAAGGAGCGAATCTGGTTCATCCGCGAGGTGTTGATCACAATCTCGTCAAAGACGGGCACGGAACCACCAACCAGACCAGTGTTTCCACCCTGAGGTACAACGGCCAATTTACGGTCATTGCAGTATTTCAGCACTTTGCTAGTCTGCTCGGTGCTACCGGGCTTCAAGACAAGGCGAGTGTGGCCCCGGTATTTGCGCATCCAGTCGCTATTGAAGGGTTCGAGGTCGTCTGTCGCATCGGTGGTGACGCCGTCAATGACAGCGGACTCGGAGCCCAGAAGCTCCTTGAAGAATGCGACATCGTCTGCAGAGATCTCGGCGAACTTGGGGTCACGCTTAACATTGGGGTATGCGTCGCTGGTGTACTTGATCTGCTTGTTGTCTCCTCGGGTGGTGGAGCTTGTGGTGAAGCTACGCAAGGCGGTCGCACATGCTGCTTGGGGGAGGATGGGACGAGCAACGATACGAGGGCGAGGTACTCGAGCTCGGCGGAGAGCCGCTGAGAGGTTCCGAACACCAGACATGGTTGTGAATGGGTATTTGGACAGAGAGAGGGAAGGAACACTTCAGACGGAAGACAATTTTGGGGGGAGGATAATTATCCGGTCAAGCAAATTGTAGAGTGGAGTATCCCGTTCCGATCTGCGTTGAACAATTATGATTGCGCCATTCCAAACAGCTGAATGTTCGGTGAATCTCGGCCTTTTTTTTCTTTTTTCTCAAGACATGAACATGATTCATGCAGAGTTTTACGCTTCTTATTGGTTTAACATTCAAGCAATTACTACTATCTAGCCATTGGCTTCTTTACAAGAAAAAATCGTTTTTTTCTTTCTTGCCGGGAAAACCAATTGCCGTTTTCAATCCAAGGTTCCTACTACTACTAGTATGTCTGCCATACAACCCTTAGATGTCGCCTGATTGATAAATTGATACTGGACCTCTTCAAATCAATATATTTTCCTTAGGCTACTCTGCAATAATTTCATGCAAATTGAACCCTCAAAATATGTGTCAATTTCTTACGTAGAATCCACATATTCAATGTTCTCTCGTGCTAAAAATGTTGCGAGCACTCAAGTGCTTGAGTACCTTACATATTTCTAAAGAGATCGGCGTAGCTGCCAAGGTGGTACTTGAGTACAAACCCCGGAGTAAAGCGCCACCATTTACCCTAGATTTGACATTGACACACTTAGATCGACGTACATCCCCGGGTTCATATAGCTTAGATTCAAGGGAAACATTTAAAGCCAACATTTGAATAAACAATCTCAAGTTTCACATTCTACATGCGGCAACCAGAAATAGCTGGAAGTCAGTTACGTCATGGCACCGCCCCGCCAGTCCACCTAAATGGAAATTCTCACCGGAAAGCAATTCTTCCCACTTGACAAAGACAAAAATGACTTCTGTGGTTTTGGTCACCGGAGCTAGCGGCCTGCTTGGTCGCTCCGTATTCAATACCTTCCAACGTTCCGGAGTTCTGGTGGTTGGACAGGGATTATCACGAGCTACCCCGCCAACTATTCTCAAGGCCGACCTTGAGAAGCCCGAAGAGATTAAATATATCCTTGATGAGGTCAAGTATGTGTTCACTAGATATTTGGCCCCAGAAATTGTATGCTGACCTTGCAAAATCAACCAATAGGCCCCAGATTGTCATCCATTGTGAGCTCTAATCTCCGTTCCAACCTTCAATGTTGGAAGCCCGCCAGAAGCTAACATCAGACACATAGGTGCCGCAAACAAGTCCCCAGATCTGTGTGACAAGGAGCCCGAGAGGGCACGGAAGCTTAATGTTGACGCTACACGCGCTCTAGCAGAGCAATGCTCGACCCGTGGAGCTTTCCTTATCTACATCTCAACCGACTACGTTTTCCCCGGAACGGAGGGCCAGGCCCCCTACGAAACGGACGCAGAGACTAAGCCACCGAACCTGTACGGTCAATTGAAACGGGATGGAGAGTTGGCAGTTTTGGAGGCCACCAAGGACACTGGTCTAGGCGTGGTTCTTCGTGTCCCGGTGCTCTACGGAACCGCCAAGGACACCTCCGAGAGCGCGATCAACACCCTGGTAGAATCAGTCATGAAAGCACAGGATGCTGATGCTGGTGTTAAGATGGACGATTGGGCTCAGCGGTACCCCACCAACACCGAGGATGTTGCCCGTATCTGTCGGGACATCGTCATCAAGTACATCAAGGAGAAGCACCGGATGAAGGAGCTGCCACATATCCTACAATTCAGCTCTGAGGAGCGTATGACCAAGTACGAAATTTGTGAGAAGCTTGCTGGAGTTCTTGGTTTCCCGCTTCCTGGTATGATTCGCAACAAGCAGGGTAATGACCCCAATGCTGCGGTTCAGCGGCCATATGACACACATTTGTCTAACAAGGCACTTGTGGATTTGGGAATTGACGTGCGAACTGTCGATTTTGTGACTTGGTGGTAAGTGAAATTTGTTGACGCCCTAGAATTCTCTTTGAACGTTCACTAACTCTCCCTTTAGGCGACGCGAACTTGGGGCGTATCGGAAGTAAGGATAATAGTATGCAACGTCCTCGTCATCAGGCCTCATAAATCAAATCAAATCAAATCAAATCAAATCTTCAATAGGGAGATTACTCAAAGAGCCAATACCTACCCCCCCCCCCCCCCCCCCAAAATGGAAAAAACTAACTGAAATGGCGGAAATTTGTCAATCAATTTTCTGATCTATCAGCCTGTCGATCTTATCCATGTTTCACGTTCATTAAAGTGGGCGTCGTGTGACTCTAGTACAGCACCTTTTCTAATAATATAGCTAGGTATCCCCTGAGAACCTAGGAACCTTGAAAAGATGTTTTGAAGAGACAGACATACCGGCGTAGGTTCGATTTCTTCTTCGGTTGTATATGTGCATACTATGCGCTATTGCCCTCGAGACTCGATTTACCTCGTGCATCACGAATTACTCGCAAACCTACGAATAGCTAAACCACGAGGTACAAACATTTGAATGTTGCAAATTCACTGGACATGATTTATTGCCACTGGGGTAGTAGATTGTATCCACTGTTCCAACCTGGTACATATGTACTAGGTCACATCTATAGAGTAGCGCTAGAGATCTTCAGCAAGGGGCAGCTTTCCAAGGTTGAGCTGGGAGAACAGAGAGAAAATGGTATAGAGGTTCAATTTTAGTAACAACGAGTTATCAGGTGGTTTCAAGGCTCCTGCTACTCAATCTACTCGAGATGGTTCTACCACCTCTCAACACCCGGATACTATCAAAATCCACATCCCCCATCTATTTATATACGGATATTGTGAAGAGATTCAGGGACGATCCCCCACTTTAGTGGACCATCAAACGGGGCTACCCGGTGGATCAGGGTCATGGCTGGTGCGACATTCGATCTGGACTATTTTCTTCCTAATTGAATTCTGCAGCAAATAGCGTCTCGAGTGCCGATCGTGGTACCTGGACAGGAATGTCAAGATCCGGAAGCGTCTCCCGTGCCGCAACAATTTCTTCTCTCTAATTTCCCCCTAATCCCACAAGCCCAAAGTTCTCCACAATCCACTTTCAACACCCTGATGAATTCCAAGTGAGTTGACTGGCAATGTGACTGAAATTCCTCATTGTATGCGGTCTGGTTTATGATATTTGCGCGCGCTTGTTTCTCGGGCATCTATTGCGAACCTAGCGGTTTGATGGGGGCCCTTGATGAGCGTTTGGAATTGTCGCATTCTATTCCAGCCCCATAGCTTGGCGGCTTGAAAAGATTTTCCTGCTGTTGTGCTTTCTCTTTCCTTGTCTTCTGTATGCTGTCTCATTCTTGTTCCTGCCATCTTCCCCGTGTGCTCGCTTAAAGTTGTCGCATTTCTGTCGCAATGCACTGACCCTTTGCCGATCACAGCGCTGAACCCTAACAAGGGACTTTGATTGTCACGCGATTAGAAAAAAGAGGCTCAGGATTGCGATCCTGCCTCAGTCCCTTATAGGGCAACTTCGGACGATACTTCCCGGAAGTGATAGAACTGTCCAAAGCGAACGTCATGGCACCGCCAACGCGCCAACCCTCTCGATATCGATCCGCCCGGGAAGGAACTCATACTGGTACAGAAGTAGGAGGTGGGGTAGTCGCCAAAGATGCAGCGGCCCGACCCCCCAGCAATAAGGGCACTCAGTCAAACGAGACCAATCCGTCAATCGCAAGAAGCATGTCTCGGTACCGGCGCAATCGACCGCCCGCTAGCAACACTTCAATGCCTGTCCCAGCTATCTCGAATCTCGCAGGCGCACAGCCAGTTCCACCATTACCAGGCAAAATCAATGCGACTTTTACAACTGAAGAGGAGCGCATAAGGGAAAAGCACAGACTGGATGCCATGGAACAGTTGACCGGGGGATCTCAAGAGTCAGAGCCTACACCTTCATACTGGTCGCGATCTGCGCAATCGCAGAAAAGGCGGTCGAAGAAGGCGAGTAAAGAAGAACCAGTGTCGATGCAAAAACATGAGTCTTCAAAAGGGGCTAGGCCCACCTCAATCCCCTCTACAAGCACAGGAGAGCGGAAGTCATTTCTTCAGAAAGTCAAGCTGTCCAGAGCCAAGGAGCCCACTCATGAGGCCCACTTGGAACCGAAATATATTGGTGTGGGAGGAAGCGGAATTGTCCCTGGAACAGATGCCCCGAAATCAGCTATCAATGCTGGAGAGCGCTATGTTCAAGTGCAATACAATAATGTTCGGATCGACTTCGCGATCAACCCTACCACACTCGTCTCAGACCTTCTTTCATCTGCTTGGGAGCAGTTTCCTGACATCGACCCCGGAAAATTCATCCTCCTTGAATCTTTTATCAAAATTAATCTGGAGCGGCCCCTGCGTCGGTATGAGTACGTACGAGATGTCATGAACTCCTGGGCGCAGGATAGCGAGAACCGCCTCATCATTATCCCCCCTTCCAGCTTGGCTGCCCTGGACCAGGTGGATCCTCAAAATGCCCCAAGTGAAAGGCCTATCGAAACCACAGTTCACATCTACCATTCACAACGACCTCGAAAATGGGACAAACGATATGTCACATTGCGTCCAGATGGTCAAATATTCATCTGCAAAAAAGAAAATTCAAAAGACCACACCAATATATGCCACTTGTCCGATTATGATATCTACTCTCCAAGTGCGCGAGCTCTGGCTAAGGACCTCAAGCCCCCCAAGAAGATTTGTTTTGCTATCAAAAGCCAGCAAAAATCTTCGATGTTTTTGTCGACTGAGAATTTCGTACACTTTTTTTGCACCAATGATAAGGCCATTGCCGACAAGTGGTATCAGACTGTCCAACAGTGGCGGAGCTGGTACCTAATGAAAAAGACAGTGGGAGCTGCCCAGTCTCCCGCAAATGAAGCTCCTGTTGGACGGACTCTGACCATGAGGGCCGCGCGCAATGGTTTCAATGATTCACCATTAATTGATAGAATCCCCGGTGATGCGGAACCGCTCCCGAGAATACGACCTTCAATGGACCAGCCCCGGGCGCCTAGTGTAAAGGGTGCTTTCTCCTCTCACAAGCCTACTTGGGAAAACACATCGCCAACAGGGCCCTTCCATGAGACACTGTCATTGAACACTCGCGCCCTAGAAGCCCATGACGATGGCCGACTAGTTCAAGGAGTTGGCACCGAAGAAATAGATGCAGAGACATTCTCGCCTTCCGGTTTGCTGGGACGCACCTACACACAGAGACATAAATCTATGCGAGAGCGGCAAGATAACGAAAAGCGGGCAAAGCAGCTTCCCAGTCCCTCTCAGTGGCACCCAAGTGAGCAAATGCCACCACCATATACCCCCACCGCCGTGCCTATCCACAACAACACGCTTGACCGCAGCAAGTCAGTCAACCACAAAGGGAAGCCACTTATCGACCTGACGCCAAGATTCCAAGAGCCTCCTCAGCATACTCGCAAGGGCCGCGGTGTTACCGTCGAGCCCGGTATGGCGCTCATCGATGCCGCTACAGGCCCTGACCTCTTACCTGAATGCATGGCAATACCGCCAGCAATCGCATGGCGACGCCCATCTGTCCCGTCGGTCGAGATTCCCCCAGTTCCACAGACTCGACACCGGGCCAAATCCGTGCGCAGCGTACGTCCTCCAACTCTGTCTAGAGCAGATGCTACCCCTACAACTGCTAGCCCTGGCTCGCCCGGTGTTCCCTTCTTGCCCAACTCTCTTCTTGCAAGTATAAGCATAACAAACCCAAACACTGGGCAGCCACCCGTGGGCCACGGTGTCGCTACAGGAGACCGCAACGCTACTCGACCGTTGCTGGATATGTCCCCAGACAACCCCTTTCAAGAAGGCAGCTTACTCCGGCGGCTTTGAGCATTTGGCCTGGCATCCACGTTCTCATGATGATATGATTTGTTTTTTCTTATGGCTATTTTTCCAGCAACCAATACCAATTCACAATCTATGTTGAATGTTTACATGAATTTTCTTTCAGATATAAGCCAGCGAGCGAGGTGAGGCAGAAAAAGGAAAGCAGACAGAGACCTCGGAAAAAAGAGAAAACGGAGAAAAAGTAAAATGTTGCGGAGCATATCCAGTCAAGGATTCATCTCCAGTGTAACTTCAATGTCTACATGTACTTCAGCCTCGTGGTTTCGCTGAGGATTGGTCCATGGATGAAGCTGTTTCTGGATCCAATATTCCCCTTACTCTACATAAAGATACCCCCGTCTCGTTGACAAAGAATGAATATTTGAAACAATACCATTTTACAAGCTCCTGAACTCCACCAGTGTAACCTAGTAGGTACTATTATTGGTCTTGTGTGCCAAAAAGGGATAAAGCCATACGACGGCGTCGATCACTGCCTCGTTAATAGAGCGCAAAGCGTGGCTGATCCGCAATCGGAAAGGAATGCATCCAAGTATGCAGCCCTGCACCTTACCCGCATACGGCAAAAAATAAATACGAGACCCAAACAAGGGGGTAATAAATAAATAAACTTAGAACTTAGATCAGATGCAAGAAAATGCAGGACCGGAATGATACCGATATATGCCATAGGTAAATGTTTGATATATGTCCAATAGGCCAAGTTTGCAAGTGTGAGACCGCCAAAATGACCAATATGCCGACAACGCCAGACCTCTAGATAATACAAGATTCCCAAAATATGTGGAGTAGATGAAAAGAAATTGTGTCCAATCAACGCTAGCGGTTGGAGCGCATGGTTGCCGAGCGATGGGTGAGGGCATCGCCGGTGTTGGTCTGCCAGTCGTATGACTCCAAACCAGAAGCGACGCCTGCATCAGGGCGAGAACGGGAGTAAGTGCGGGAAGGACGACTGAAGGACTCTCCGCTACGACGGCGCATGCGGCGTTCAGAGTCTTCGGCCTCGTTGCGGTTTAAGGCATCGGATGGTAACAGGACAGCTCGGTCGAGGGCGTAAGGCAAACCACGGTGACGGCCACGGATCTGCATGGCAATGATGACCAGCTTAGAAACAACATTGAACTGGCCCGAGAACGAGGTATCAACGCCGGGGTATCCGAACGACAAACCAACAGTACCGTAGGCGGAGACAACCTCGAACAGAACGGTGAAGAGTTGGAAATTATAGTCATTTGTGTCTTCGAGACGGGTGCCTTCGGCGATGGCGATGATGAACAGTCCGAGGAAAACATACCACAAGTCGAAACTGAGTTGACGCCGCAAGTGAGCACCGATGTAACTGGGGGCTGTTTGGTTTTCCTCGTCTTGATCTTCTTCAGCACCACCGTAGAGACCCAGACTTTTCTCCTCGTACACGTTTGTACGACGCATGGAGATGGCAATTGGGAAAACGGAAATGTACATCATGATTAGGTAGGAGACTTGAATGGCAGGGTGCAGGTCCGAAAGGCTGACAATGCCGAAGCCAGCGGTTCGAGTAGCTGCAGACTGGAAGAAGCCATCAAGAACTCTGATTCCTGGCGGGAATTGTGTGACTGCGGGATCATTCAACTAAAATTACTGTCAGTAAGGCCGAGACAGACCAATGCCAGGAGAATGATACTCACATCCAAAATAATAAAGAATATCACATCTATACAGTTCAAAGCCATGAGGATGGCAAAAAGCCACCAACTGGCATTGCGGGGAAAGAGAAGGGTGAAACAACGACGAGGGTGGTCAAGAAGGAACTTGAGCTCTTCCCAGAGAGCAGTCCCTTGACGAGCGAATTTTGACAATATCCAGATCATCAATCGCAACATACATGGGAAACCCGTGTTTCCGATGATGATCAGAAACGCCAAAAGGAGCAAGGGGAAAATGGCGGTTTCGAAAGAGTACATAGAGTCAGGTGTAAGAGTGAAGCCCAAATCGTTGAAAGCAGAGGCAGCAGTGAAAATGCCCCACCACGGACGTCCGACACCATCTGACCTGACAATATCACCCCAGTAGTTTTCAGTCATGATCCAGCCAATCATACTGATCAATCCGAGAAGATGGAAACCAACATAGTAGGAAATCAACACCACTGCAAGAGTCTTAAGCGCACGGTACTCGATACCACCCAGCTCGTCCCGTTGCTCCTCGGTCAGATCAACGAAGTTCGAGTTTCGGGCCACAGTGGCATTCCAACTGAGATACGGCTGGGTATTGCGCTCTCTTTCATGAGTCAAAGTACGCCAAATACCTCGGACAGTGTGTTTTGTGGTGGTCGGACCGAGCTCAGCGTCCGCGTCCTCGTTGGCATCGGTCACTTCTTTAGTTATCGTGTCACGCATGGTTGGGCGAGTATCTAGGCGGCCGAATGTATTTCCGCGTGTACGAGTTCGAGTGAAGTCGGGTTCGTTGATCGTGATATGCGGCCCGTCCATAGGAGGGACTTGGTCATCCTCTGAGGCAGCAGAGCTCGGTCGACGGGATCGAGGTTTCACTGGCTCATTTGTTTGGTCATTCTCCGCCTCGTCTCCGTCTCCATCTTCCAACGCCTCCGGAACACCACCGCGATCATACTCGCGAGGACTGGGAATACGTAGAGCTCCTTTGTTCTTTCGCTGATTTTCCACGAACGCGATATGGTGCTCGGGGTTCAACTGGGTTGGCACTCGCAAGCCACTCAATCCGAACCGACTCCCCACATCATTGTCTGTGCTTTCAGATGTCGATTGACCTGTGACCTCCTTGGTCCCTGGGCTTTCAGAGTCCGATGAACCTTCAGCCGTCGTGGCGATGGCGGTGGTGGTGGCGGTGGCGGTAGGATCTGGCAGGCGGCTCTCACGCGCGTCTCCAGAGTTGTTGCGGAGCACGACGATCGATCGGCCGCTCACACCAAGCTCCGCCCGATCGACATCATCGTTGGTCTTGCCTCGGCTGACGGTGCTCATGCGCGAACGGGTGGTGCGCAGCGCACGCGCATCCCGAACCACATGCTGGAAGCGCTTCTCGAACCAATATAGACGGATAAAGACGAGGGCGCCGTGGATGAAAATTGGGGTGCAAAGGCAGGTGATAAGCCATAGAATAATTTGTTGGTATAGGTAGAGCTCGTTTAGGTTGACAGTGTTCAGGCCACTTTGGGTACTGGAGCCTGCAGATAAGAAGAGGGCATCGATGTAGGCGATATTGCCTGCGGGGTAGATGATGATGGAGCCGATAAGCACCCAAGAGATGATGTAGGTATAGTGTAAAAGAATGAAGTTGAGTTGTAGCTGATTTAAGATCGGGATGCGCTTTTTGACGGCGTTGGCCCGGCGGATGAGGGCTGAGAACATGGCAAATGGACGGAGCCGGCGGCGCCGTCGTTCCCAAGGGGAAAGCTCAGTCCGTGGAGGAGAGGCCGGGAGAAATTGTTCTCGAAAGAAGGGAAACTTCTCGATCCTGTTGTTGAATCCATTAGTGGTCTGTAACCCGAGTGCTTGGAAGCTTTTTTTTTTTTTTTTGGGGCGTATGCATACATGTGGCGCTGACGATCGCTGACCAGTCAGGACTCCGAGTCAGGCGTGCAGAGGTGGCACGGGCAACGCCGTTGTTAGCCGCGAGGCATTGAGCACCGCAAATAAGAAAGGATCGAAGAGAGCATAATAGAAGAGAAAGCAGATGTGAAAAGGGCCCAAGATTGATTGGTGACAGGCGAATGCAGAAAAAAGGCGCAAACGGAGTCGAGGTCGGGGTGGAGCTGGTATTCTTTACCACATTCGTAACGCCTGCCAAAAACGTGCCATTGTCGATCGTCCTGCATCGAGGGGCAAAATACCGTAACTTATGGTTTTGCCGTTGTAAAAACCGTGTAAATTTCAAAGTTTGTTTTCTGATTTTCTGATTTTCTGATTTTCCGAATTTGTAACACTCAAAGAGTCAAAACATCCTTAACTAATTTCCATTCTGGCTGTTCTGGCTGTTCTGGCCGTTCTGGCCGTTCTAGCCATTCTAGCCTCTTCAATCCACATCTTAACTCAATCATCCCCCCTTTTACATATTAACCCTCAGCTCTTTATTCAACATGGCCCACCCCTTAAGCTAGTTCTTGGCCAAGCTTTTCATTTTCTCGGGGGCGAAGTGCTCGAGACCCGGTCGCACCGGCAAAATCATTTGTCCTTGTTTTATTGGTGTATCCACTCTTGAGATCCCGACTACGTCGAGATGCAGATGGCGCTGCAAGATACTGCACCTAGCTGGACCTGGTCTTAATAGAGTATACTATACCTACCAAGACCGGGAAGGGGAGATCACGACATTTAACCAAGTCAACTGGTCATATATGTATACAAGAAAAGCAGTATAGGGGTCTAGGCCTATCTTGAGGTCTTATACGTGATGCCTTTCAACATTGAAGCTTACAGTATCATTTAGCCCGGTATTACTGATCAGCCATTGCTGATCGGGAATGGATCAATCATAAACACCACGTGTCGTGCTTGATACCCAAACGCAAAAGGCCTACCTAGTGTGATAATTCTACATTCATACATGGAAACCTGGAAATCCTCGCGATAACTTTGAACCATCAATTACCTACATCTTCGCTGGAACACATCATAATGTATACAACTTACTACTAGTACAAAGATGCAATCAAACCGGAATTTTAAGGGGAAACTTGAGATCTTACGGCCCACTTTTAATTCCAGCCGATGTCATGGCCCGTCCCTAGGGCTTTCCACTTTTCCACTTGCATGGCCTTTGCATAGCCATGAAGCATTCTTCTCTTTACTGATTGGCCTCGTCATCTGAACCGCGCGCCTTTGTAACCAACAACGCCCTTCCTCGGCATTTTTAGCCCTATTTTAAGTGTCCCAAGTTTTTTTCTTTCTGGCCACCTTCTTTATTTCACCGGAATATAGACGAGACTCTCCGGGTGCAGTACCTAGTATTGACCGGGATTCCTATCCTAATTCCCATAGATGATACTCGAAATCTGGTAGGGGGTAGGTGAATGGCTCTTATCATGGTGTTATGCACGGTCTGCCCAACGTCCAGGGCTCACACCTGCCCATATACGCAGGCAGGGATCTTGCCAAGAGGCCGAGATAACATTCTAGGGTCCCTCACCGACATCCAGCAAACACTGGGCATCGGTTTCAGGGGTCCCTGGCTTGCCAACCAAGTCTAGAGTTTGTGATAGACCACATTTTGTCAGCTCTCGGTTCTCGGTACGGAGTAGACGTGTGAGATCTAAAAGTCGGCCCACGGGTTCTCATTGACTCCTGGGCTTCTGGGATGCCGAGTTCCCAAGATTGTACCGCCCCAAGGTCAGTATGTAATGGTAAAGACGAGAGTCTTGCCATTCCAAGATGACCGGTGCTGTTAAAACATTGATAGAAAAACAATTGAAGCACTTGAGTCAATTTTCTTTGAAAATTTCTCTATATTGCCTGGCCCCTTCCAAGAAATTGGAATACCGCAGACTCAAAAGAGGCGTCGCTTTGACAAAAAGCTACCCTTGAGTTGAACTAGTAGATTAAACATTTGTCTGTTTGTTCTGTTTGTTCTGTTTGTTGCCCTTCTGTATCTAGGCTATTTGGTTTATTTGCTTGTGTTAGCTACCGACGCTGCGAGTTAGTGTGGAGTTGGACTGGACTGGTCCTGTTTGAGGAGCTGCTACCTACTATATTGAGGGGCACATGCATTCTTTTTTCAATCACACCAGTTGAACTGTGTACTAGTATATTGAAATCTATGCCAAAGAAAGTTTTCAGTGAGACATGACAGGAACAATTTACATGTCATGAAACAGAAACTCAGATCTAATGTTTCCTGGTTATATTGACTGTAATAACAAAATGTGGTCTGTAGTAGTCTTAGATACTAGAGCTATCTAAGCAACCTCGATATTTCGATTATCAAGTGCCCCATTGAGCCAAGAGCTAGGCGAATCTTGGCTCATGTGGATAAGCTTCACAAATATTGACTTACATACCCGCCGCCAACATCCGCACCAGAGCAGATGCCATATACATTACGCTTCAAAGATCATCTACTGACTTCACAGCAGGAGGCCGCGTAAGATCAGGATAATCAAACCTAGCCGCTATATTCATCCATGAAGAAGAACTGGGATGCGTCTCCTTCTTCTCGCCCCGGAAAAGGAAATTCATCGGGAATCCATAATCAAACTCATAAGCCCCCTCAATCTCCGCAATGTCCTCCTCAGAAAGCCGCAGCCGTAAAGCATCAATATTCCCCAGCAGATGCTCAACCTTCCGCCCTCCAATAATCGGCGACACGTAAGGGAACTTCCGCAGAAGGTAAGCAAGGGCCACGCCGGTGATGATGGTGTCATGGCGCGCGGCAACTTTCTCCAGGACCTCGGAGACTTTGAGGTCGATCTCTCGTGTCTCGATTTGGCGGCCTGGGTTTCCGTTCTTCAAGATCTCATCGCGTTGGGCGGCTGTTTTGAAGGCACCACCACCGATGGCACCCCAGGGGCAGATGCCCATGCCCTCTGCTGCGCACATGGGGATAATTTCACGTTCAAAGTCGCGGCGTGCAGCGTTCCATTGGCCCTGGTAGACCGAGAATGGCCGCAGGGCATGATCACGAGCGTCTTTGGGGCGTATGTTAGTGTCACGGTGTTTCTTATCTTGGGGTGATGATTCATGCAAGGGATTCTTACATTGGTTTGCCCTGCTAACGATCCAAGCAGGAGTGTCACTGATGCCCAAGTAAAGGACCTTTCCAGAAATGACGAGTTGGTTGAGAGCGTTCATTACCTCTTCAATAGAAGTACTGAAGTCCCACCAGTGGACGTAGAGCTACTCCGGTGTCAATCTTATTAGGCTGACGCCAGATAGTCAAGTGTCCTGCACGGATGGACAACTTACCAGGTCAATATAATCCGTCTTCAACTTCTTCAAGCTAGCCTCCACAGAGATCTTCAAGCTCTTTGCATTATTTCCGACGTAATTGGCCTGCAACTCAGTTTCAACGTGTCTCCGCCACGGTGAGGTATACTTGGTTGCCAGAACGATCTCGTCACGTATTCCACGCAATTCCATCCACTCGCCAATCCAGACTTCGTTTTCTCCGTTCTGATAGTTGCTAGCACTAATGGAGAGGTCAGTATCTGGCATAAATCTCTTCTGCGTTCCGTAAAGCTTTGAATATAGAAGAGAGAAAGAAGAGTCGTACGTGTCGATGAAGTTACCGCCATTTTCATAGAAGGTATCCAGAATCTTGAAAGATGTTTCCTTGTCACATTCGCCAAGTCTCTCTTTCCTTTTGCGCTGTCAGTGACTTAGTATATGACGAGTGAGTCATTTTGATGGTACCATTTGTCCCCAAAGTTCATCCCTCCCAAGCATAATGGGCTGACCTTAACTGCCGCCGTGGGTGCAAGGACGCGGTAGCGACCGAGGCGGGACTTGGGGGGTGGTGCAATCGCGCTCATAATGACTGAGTAAAGGGAATTTAGCTTTGGATTAGAGGGAAACTCAGAAATGCTCTGGCTTGGTGGGATAATTGAATTTAAGTGAAAAGAAATCAAGTTGCGGTGTGGGTATTCACAAGTAATGGGTCTTGAAACCTTGCAGAATGCCACAGATGTGACATCAAAAGCTGCATACGTAGGCTCCGAAATCACGAGAGCATTATTAATCCAAGTGCGTGGAATCTCAGCTTTCCATTGGTCAATGTATGCAAAGAGACTAGGATTGTGTCGCTTAAGTCAGGATATTGTATAGTCAGAGGTACCAATGTAGCTGCGGGGTTAACAGATTCCGCTATTCACCTGGGCATCTCTACACTGGCGACATCATCAAAATTTGCCATTTACTTTGAGATGGTGTAGTAGACCGGTGCACAGATAAAAGACAGGTATGTTGTTGGACCTGCACACTGGTGATTTGCCAGCAGTCGTGTATTCTTAACGCGCTTAGCACAGATCGAGGGGTACTTCCAAGGTTCAAATGTTGGTAAGTGTGATTTCTACCAAATTAGCAATTTCGCCATAAAGATCTCCTATTTCTGAGAGAGTTCAACCAGTCTTTTTGCTGGATACATTCAGTACATGTATCATTGCGTAAAAATGGCCCGCTGTGGGTGATACTCTTCCATGGTGTTAAACGCAACGGACGTCGTGCCAGCAAACCAAGTCCAAAGAGCCTCCCCCAATCCAATGCACCGAAGCACCAGAGCGCCGGTCCGTATACTCATGATCTGGTCGGAGATCTCTTGTTCTTCTTAGGAGTGACCGGTGGTACTTGTGGCAGTTTGAAAGATATTTATTTGGGAGTGACTGGGGGGAGTTGTGGCGGTTGAATAGAGGGTTATTTAGGAGTATCATGAGTAGTAATATAACGAGCTGTAGTAGTATCCCTATTATTAGTACCGGAATATCAGTCAACTGGTTAGTATCAAAATCCATACCCGCACGTGCGTACTCGATGATACTAGGTGCTTCGTTCTGGCTCACACCAGCCACTGGGACTGCGTGTCATAGAAGAACGGTATCTTACTATATCTTGCGCTTGCATCCACGTCCAATGATTAATTGCAATTAATAAAAAAGACCTTTGATAATGCCTGCACACATAATAGATTTCTCTTACCTGTACGCCACCAGAGAAAAACAATGCCAAACATTTGAACACACAATGAGTATCCGCGATGGTGTGCCCGCTTGAGTTGCCGAATGCACCGATCCAGTGTAGCTTTCTCGCTCCGGTCGCGCAGGGAATCTTCCGAGCACCGCCTACACATGCATGTTGCAGATTTCCGATAAGCCTAGGGTATGGATCAAGGCCAAGACATAACATACCTGGATTGTAAATACAAAAGAATAAGTTGAGTCAACAGACACAACACGAAGATAGTAACAATTGACAATATGATATGTTCCTTGTCCTACTTCTAAACATTTGAACCTCCCACTCAAGCTTCTTCGGCGAGATACATTGATTGATGTTAAAATGACAATATTCGGCTATGTATAAGCCCAGGTGCCAGCAATATATAACAGGATGGGTGCTATTTTGCAATGTTCAAGTAGATATGTGTGATATTCAATGTTGATGTCAAGTGGTCTTCAAATTGGTGTTGACATCTGCTGCGGCATCGGGTCTCTCGTAGACTAGTACATACTAGTAGTATATCTTACTTTTCAAGGTCAACATTATATTCAAATGTTATGTATCTTTGAACATTGTGCATGTGTCCAGAATTAATCCGTAACTTATGTTGGGTGGATAGAGAATTTCATACACACGCCCAGGACATCTGGAGGTGTGCGCTTCGATTTTCATGAGTTCGTACGGTTTTATGCAATTGATTGGTATAAGATCCATTGCCATATATAAACTATATCAAAGATGTTGAATGTGACTTCTAATCAATTTGAAGGTATAACTACATTCTCAAACTTGGAAAAGATCAAGATCAATGTCGGTGTGGGATATCAGCACAGCTGATCATCTTGCCGAGGAAAATAAGACTAGATGCCAGAATCATATGATAGTGTCGCCAGGGAGGGAACAGCGAACCCTAATTCGGGATCCTTGCTCAAAGCACGTACAGCAGAGTGAGAAACACAAGCACCAGGATTGGCAGATGCTGCGCTTGGATTATCACTTGAATGAACTGCTGCGCCTTTGGCTCGAAGAAAGGGACTCAGCAGACCCCCAGGGGGAAAGTCTATAGTTTGATAAGGGTAATATTGGACCTCAGGGTCAACCACGCCCATGGAGAGTGGAAGATGATTGGTGGTAAGTTTAACTCTGTGAGCATCGAATGTGGAAGCGATATTGATAGTGGAGTCGATTGGAGTCTCTGGAACCAATGATTGGGGCACGCTCCGCCAAGCTTTGGAGCACGAGAAGGGTCAAGAGTTGCAGAACTCCACTTAACTAGTACTAGTACATCTACATTCAAATGTTAAACGTCATTTAAGTCTTGGATCAGGGTATCATTTACTCCAGTAAAGGACCTTGGTTTGTTCACAGGTACTTTGTATATACGGGGCGTTCCAGGTAAGGTCCTACTAGGCACCAAAGTATGTACCCAGTACCCATCTTTGTAGTAAACTTAGGAGCCCAAAGAAGGAAAAAATAAATACAATGCTTATGATCTCTCCCCTGAGAGAAGGGTATCTTTATTACTAGTAGGTTATCATTTTCTCGTCTTCCGTTTGTGAGCTGGATACTTTTTTTCTTACTTGAATTCCACGCCTCTTCTATCCGAAAGTAACCCAGTCAACGTCAGGATGTTGGGATGGGTGGCTAGATGCCTGCCCGGATTTAGCATTATTGGTCTTATTCTTCTGCTTGTGTTTGCATTCTCCGATATACTCAGATCTCAGCTTTGGAGAGGCGTGTTTCCACCATGGATTGGGCAACCCTTTAAAGAGGGATGGTGGAGTGGCCTGAACCTCGTTCAGTCCATATTTGTGGTATATGCAGTGGCAATCCACGTAGAGATGTCGAGTTTTACACTCCGTCTAGCGTGGTCAATCTTTCGAGTGACAGCAAAGACAAGGGAGGCGCTTGGGAGGCGTCCCACACATGCTTTTTCCGTTTCACCGTCCCCATCTACTCATGATGAAGAGGGTTACAGCATTCAGTCACTGTCGCCGGTGTCACTACCGTCTCCAAGCATGTTTGCTGAGAAGGTAGACACTTTGAAGTTCGGAAGCGAAGACATCGAAGACGAGTTGATTCACGCTATTATTGTACCAAACTACTGCGAAGACCTCCACACTCTGGAAACAACTCTCAAAGTACTGGCCAGTCACCCACGGGCCAAATCTCAATATGAGGTAAGTCAACAAAATGCGCAATATGATGAGGGGAGAGTTCATGATGCTGATCGTGGCTTCGTTACAGATATACCTCGCCATGGAGCAAAAAGAGACCGTCGCTATCGAAAAATCAGCACATCTCGTTTCCTCATTCGAAGGATCCTTCCTCCACATTCGTCCTACCTTCCATCCATCCGGTGTACAAGGAGAAATTGCAGGCAAAAGCTCGAATGTGGCATTTGCGGCGAAGAGAATCGTGCAGATTCATCATACAGATCTGAGTGCAGATTGCTGCAGGGTGGTGGTGACCGTCATGGATGCTGACACGCATCTCACATGCGACTACTTCACAGAGATTCGTCGACTCCACTACTCTCACATCGAGGATGCAGACCGCGCAATCTACTGCTGCCCTATAATCTTTGATCGCAACTCTAACGATACTCCAATCTTGGTTCGGTGCGCCGATCTCCTCTGGGGCTTTGCAGGACTCTCAACAATGTTCCCGGGAACACCCATTTCTATCCCCACATCTGTATACTCCCTACCACTTTCGCTTGCGCAGAAAGTTGGTGGGTGGGACAGTGACCCGACAGCTATCGGAGAAGACATGCACATGCTGCTCAAGTGCTACTTTGAAACAGCCGGAAACCTCATTTCCCGTGTGATATATATCCCCGCAAGCCAGTGCAATGTCTCAGGTGACGGCGGTCGTGGTTGGAGACGGACACTGAATACCGGTGTTGCTCGATACCGTCAGGCGCTGCGACACATGTGGGGAGCGCTCGACTCGGGCTTCGCAGCACGCCGCACATTCAGTTACCTCCGTTTCCACAAGCGATGCTCATTCATCAGCCTTAGACATTTTGCCCTGATGCATTTGCTCTGGGAAGCTCACTTCTTGCCTTGTCATTTGGTCATAATTATGATATTCTCTGTGCTGTACACGATCTTGACACCCGCATCGCAGATGCACCCCACACTGGCGCGGGCATTCTTCATCAATGATGTTTTGCGGACGTCTGCCTTCTTTGGAATGAATTTCTGCATTTTCTTATATGATCGGTGGCATGCCATCTGTCTCAACTCGCGGATGCGGGACATGCATGAAGGCAATGTGCCAGACACTGGTTTCTCCCCGCGCATCTGGTATAAACCGCGGCAGCTCTTGGAGAGAATCTGCTTTCCGGTCGCGGGAACTCTTTATGGTGCTATCCCGGCTTTGCATGCCGTATTTTCTCATTTCTTCACTGATCGATTGGTATATCGAGTCAGCAAGAAACCGACTTTCAGTCCCGATGCAGTTGGTTTGGCTTGATGAGTTGGTGTCCATAGGTATATCTGTTTCTTTTGATGTGACTTGAAGATTTCTCTTTTTGATACCATGTATAGAGCTGTCCAAGGGCCTTTACTACTTGGAGACTTGATGTTACTGGGGTAATGTGTAATGAGAACGATAAGAAATTCGGCGCGGGGTTACATTTGGACGATTCTGATTCGCAGTGGGGACCGCGAACCCACTTTCTCCAACTCTTGTTTTGGGGTCACTGGGGAATATCATGAACCTGGGGAGGCAACATTATATAAATCATCTCCAACATTCATTCTTCCCTCTCTTGTTCCCTTTTATTAATTGATATATTCGTATCGTTCAAAATGGCTCCCACTCGTCGAGTCGCAATCATCCAATGGCGTATCAAAGTGCGACTTCCCAAACCCGAATCGTTTACAATGTTCATCTGTATCTATGACGCAAACCTTCCCGGAAAGAAGCTAACATCATCAATCAGGAGCTCGCTATTGAATATAACCACGCCACGGCATGCGAATATATCCGACAAGCAGCATCCCAAGGCGCTGAGTTAGCTGTTCTTCCCGAGTAGGTTTCACTATGCAATTTTATTACAACAACATTTGGATATGTATATGGAATCAACGAAGACTAACCGGATTCCAGATACCATCTAAGCGGCTGGGTGCCTACAGATCCACGCTGGGCAGACCAAGCCGGCCAATCAGCAATCTACCTGGCCAACTATCAAGCTCTGGCAAAGGAGCTCAAGATTTGCCTGGTTCCTGGAACCATCATCGAGAAGCATGAAGGCCCAGACAAGACCAGTCTCCTCTATAACACTGCGTATTTCATCTCCAATGATGGTAGCATTCTTGGCAACTACCGCAAGAAAAACATTTGGCACCCGGAGCGCCCACATCTCACCTCCTCGGGACTGGAAAGCCACGCAGCTATTGACACGCCGATTGGCCGCATCGGAATGCTGATCTGTTGGGATCTGGCGTTCCCCGAGGCGTTCCGCGAACTCATTGCTGACGGAGCAGAGATTATCATCATACCCACTTTCTGTAAGGCTTCTTTCCTTCCTTCTGGCGTTCTTAATTTATTCTCCATGTATCAAAGGATGTATTGGGGGATAGATGTGTTTGATTTTTGGCTTATCTGATTCTTCTGCAGGGACTCCTAAGGATGCTTCATCCGAGGCGTTACGACGCAACCCGGCTTCTGAGGCATTGTTCCTCTCTTCAACATTGACGGCCCGTTGTTATGAGAACACTTGCGGCATCATATTTGTCAATGCTTCTGGCCCGGCGGAAGATTTCTTGGGTATGTCACAGGTCACGTTGCCTATTGTTGGACCGGTTGCGAAGATGGGTAACGAGGAAGGTGTGCTGGTTGCAGATATGGATTTGGAGTTATTGGACATCGCAGAGAAGAACTATAAAGTGCGTGAGGATATCCGGAATGAGGGTTGGCATTATGTATACCGACACAGCTCGAGTCAGTAGATCTAATAGATCATCGTGTATTTTTCGAGACTTTGAATGGGAAAGATAAGCACTCGTATCCATGTTTGGGTGTTCTAATTGAGGACCACCTGCTGTGAAATTACCATTAAATGAGGGAAGTTGCCCATTTTGACAAGTAGAACTCTCATTTAAAGGGGTTTCGCATCCATCCGAAATAATGCGATATACTACTGAGTATTAAAGGTCAGCTGGTCTCCGGGGTCCCCGAAGTCGTGATCCTTGGAGTGCGGGGGGTCGGCAATATGAACAACTTCCAGCTGAATACGAACTGCATGTAGATAATTATAGATAACACTCCCACTATTGGCTGCTAAAACCACAAAATTAATCTTGGCAACCAAAAATCTTGGCTTGAAAAGAAAATTTACAGGAATGTCTGACTGACCGAAATCTCCTTGTCAATCGCTGGACTGGCGTGGAAATTGTAAAAGTGCTGATCATTTGCAGTAACAGTCCACGACTCACGAATCAACCGCGTCTACAAGTACAGTGTTTGCGCATCATGGCGCAAAGAAATGGCCTTAGCCTCATTTATTGCGCAGATAACCCTGTCGCTGAGTAGGTTCCTCCCGTTTCTTGCCGGCGCCCATGGTTCAAACTTCAACGTAATGTTAACTGAATATGACCAGTATCGTGTTCGTCCATGGACTTTTTGGGAAACCTCAGGATACTTGGACATACCGATCGTCCTCGTCGGTCCTCACAAATAATTCCTCTTCAGCAGATACTTTGAAGATCACCGAAAAGAGAAGCAAGTCACACAAGTTGAACTTGAAGTCTCTTTTTCATCGATCGGACAAAGCGAGCCCAAAGGAAACTCCATATGGGCAAGAGGTTTCCGGTTCGGGTTCTTCCCAGGCATCGGATGAGATAGTTGAAGACCCGGGGAGTTTGTTTTGGCCTGAAAAATTGCTGCCAGAGGTGGTTCCGGACTCCAGAATTTATGTCTGGGGTTATGATGTTGACATAAACCACATTTTCTCGTCTGCTTCGCAGGCGACCGTGTTTCAACACTCCATGAATTTACTAAGTGATCTTGCTAATTGTCGAATCTCCGATGAGGAGGTGAGTAACAGAACACAATAATAAGGGGCCTTGTGTTGATGGCTGTTCACTGATTATTTACCACAGAGAAATCGCCCTCTGGTATTTGTTGCGCATAGCTTGGGTGGCATCATTGTCAAAGATGTGAGACGCTCAAACCTCTCCTTCCAATATGCTTTCTGTTGACACTTCTTGAACAGATGTTAAACGCCTCCCGTGCGGAAGTCACATATTTGAAAGATATACTTCCGGCAACTCATGGGATTGTTTTTCTGGGAACACCGCATCGAGGCTCTCAAATCGCAAGCCTCGGCAGAATTGCTCAAGATATAACCAAAGTCCTTTGGAAATCCCCCAATACTTCTGTTCTCCGCGATCTGGAAGTCAATTCACAAACCCTGGAGCGCGTGGGGAGAGGCTTCAATCAGATCTTAGCGGAAAGACAACTGGAAGTCCACTCTTTTCGAGAGGAATTACCCACCAAGGGCATATTGGTACGAAGTGACAATGGCAAATTGCAAACTGTTCAGAACTAACAGATTTTCTGTAAAATTCTAGATTGTGAATCAGTTTTCGTCTGCTATAGAGAATGGTCGAGAAATCGTTGGGTCCATACATGCGGATCACAGAAACATGACCAAGTTTTCTGGCCCTCTTGATGTGGGATTTATTCGAATCAGCAATACCCTTATCAGATGGGTTGACGACATCAAAAACAAGAAAAAAGAGATGTCAGATAACAGAGAGGATTCCAGCTATGTATGCTTTGACAATCTGACCTGGCAAATATGAGGCTAACTTAGACAGGAGTACGACCATGTAGGCTAGTATTCGGGAAGTCACCTAATGTATGGAGAGAAGCTAACATTGAAAAATAGGAAGCTGTCAGAAGATGGCTTAATCCAGTCGATTTTAGAGCCAAGTTGCTAGCTATTGTAGACCAATCCATCTTCATCCATGATCGCGTCATTTCCAGAAGAACTGCGGTACAAGAATGGCAAAACAGCTACGGCGGCCTTCTCAATATCACTGGCGATACTGGATACGGAAAGACTTCATATGCCGCAAGTGTTGCTAAAAAGCTAACCAGAGAATGCGCACAAACAAGAAATTTCGCTGGCTTCGCGTTTTGCCGTGGCCTTACACCTTCAGCAATACTCAGAAGTCTACTATGGCAATTTACTCAAGTTGGGCAAATGAGGCCTCAAGAAATCCAAAAAGTCATGCAAGCATATCACCGACACTCGGGCTCAGAAATGAACGCAAGACTTACACCGGATGAAGAAAGCGTTGTTTTTCGACAAATTTACGAGAAGCTTCTTAGTGATTATGATCAAGTCACACTTATTCTGGATGCCGTCGACAAATGCACATCTCAGGAACACCTTTTACGACATGTGTCTCTTCTGGTCTCTTGTCTATCAAGAGCTCAAGTCAAATGCAGAATTCTTGCTACCAGCCAGGTCGCTATTGAGTGGCCACACGTCGAGACAGGCAAGCTGCTGCATGAGGTCATACCGATATCAGAGTCTGAAATGACAGATGACATCGCAGAATACGTTTGTCGCTCTCTACAAGATTTACGACCTCCAATGATGCAGTCTTCACAGGTTGTTATTCTGTCAAAATGCTCCGAAGTGGCAGGGGACGGTTGGCCATACGCGATGCATAAGCTGGCCACTGAATACGCCCACGAAGGCAGACACAATGTAGCCCAAAAGATTGAGGAATCCGTCCTCGAGTATAGGACCGACAGATTTTCAAAGGACAGCATACCAACCATTGAGTGCGAGCGAACACTTGCAATCGCATTGGGGGGCCAGGGGCTATACCAAGAGGCCGAGACTCTACAGCGGCAACTCCTTGAAAAATTGCAGTCCAATCGAGAGTTAAACAACAAACTCTACGAAACTATCATGAATGATCTGGCTCTCAATCTCACCGACGCAGAGAGGTGGGAAGAAGCCAAGGAAATCCAGCTTCAACTCGTCGATATCTGGGGACAAGGTGGACCGGAAACAAGCGATAAGCTGAGAACAGGGATCAGCAATCTTGCCATTACCTACAGCCGCCTGGGTGAATTGGAAAACGCGGAGATCATGCTGCGAGAGTCACTCCGCCGCGACATTGAGGCTTTTGGAGACGACATGGACCACAAAGTGATAGTGGTTAGTAAGATTAACTTTGGACAGATTCTGTCACAAGCGGGGAAATGGGAAGAGGCCGAAGAATTACAGTTGAGCGCGATGGAAGCAAGCATGCGAATTTTTGGGATGGACAATCTGGTTACGTTAAGTTGCATGTCTAATGCAGCTTGGACGTTGCAAAAGCAGGGCAAGTATGAAATGGCGAAAGAACTGCAGTTGCAAGTCGTTGCTGGAAGAACTCGGCTGCAAGGGCCTAATCATCCGCAGACTCTTGGGATATGTGGCAATCTTGCTGAAACCTTGGGCAATCTTCATGAATACAAGGAAGCCCGGCACTATGCCAGACGAGCATTGGGATATTATTCTGCTAAGTGATTTGTTTGGAATTATTTGAATGCTGATTTTGGGAGATCATATTGCGCCATTCATAGTGGCTGTACTGAACTTGTTTACGATTATGGGGAGTTGGCATTAGTGCTGATTTGGATTCAACTAGTATATAGGTTTATTGTTGTCGCCTCTCCGTATTCTGTGTTTTCAATGTTCTTGTTATGTTGTTTCTTTATTTTTGTCATCTTTCTTGATTTTCAAATGTTCTACATTCATTGATGGATGCTGTATACGATAGGATTGATGAATGCCTCAACCTTGGGATTGTACTGTTAACTTGCAAAGTCCTGGATATATTCGCCCGAAATTTATACTATCCATTTGACACGGAAGCTCCATCTCTATTCGATTCCGTTGACTTTGTTCACAGTTTGTAGAGTCGCGATCGTCTTCATCCTGTGAGACCCTGCTTCAATGCCAACAGCCACCGCCATCGTTTGACCATCCTCATCTTTAGTCCACTTGATGGGTCCTGGAGGCAGAAAGCCATCTGCAAGCTTCCAGTCAAATTGCCGCAAGATACTTTCATCGAGATTGGGCAGCGTTCCATGTTTGAAGGCAAAAGTGCCTCCGAATGCAGTCGGAATGTTCTCATCCTGGATATTCTCTGCAAGCACGGGTGATACCTCGGTGCTGGTGAGAACCACGATTTTCTCTGCCGTGTTTGGATCGACCCATGATTTCATATACTTCCAAATGGTGCCAAAATACGAAGGTGCATTGCATACCTGGGAACAATAACATTAGTGCTTGCACTAAGCAATCAAAATCATTTAATACTCACAAATATACGATGGATGGTCTCAGGATAACATGTAGATAGCAACCAGCTTATGCTCTGGGCAAAATACCGAAGGCTCCATGCGTGCTTTAAACCTAGTTCCGAAGCATCCACAAGATATATGGAGTCGGTGATTGGCTTTGATGGATCCGGTCTGTCGGTCATCATAGAGCACAAGGGGAGAACCATACGAGTAAAGCCATCGTAGTATACAGAAGCCAGCTGCAACATATCGGGCTTCGGGGTTGAATTCTCTCCAGGTTGCGAACTAGTCCAACCAGCTGTATTGCGTGTCTTGTCCCAGTTGGCTAGAGTCGTTTTGTCAAGGCAAGCGAGGTCGAACATACATATCGGTCGACCGGCTTTGTCTCTCCGGCCCGTCCAGTGGGGATACTGCGAGTCTCAGTAGGTTAGAGTAAAATCTCAGGAAAGATTTACCATGGGAAAACCTTACAAATTGACGAGCTTGCTCAAATTCGGCAACCTCCACAATGTCGTAAAGTCTCACGATCTCCTTCTTTTGGCGAAACAGGATTGCTTCTTGAAACTGCTTGAGAGCTCCATCTAAATCCAGGTTGCGGGCCGCCAAAAATCGACTTTGTTGGTGGTTAGCATCAAGTCATGGTTGAGCAAGTGGGGTGATGAGAAATGAGGACACAACTTACTGAAGAGTGGGCGGGTCCGATAACCCACTGTTGAGGTCTCCATCTCTTAGACCCTCCTCCGCCTGGGTCAATAGATCATCTATAGTGCATGACTGGACAAACTTTCTAAACACATCGTGTTCTTCAAATAAGCTGCCCATTCTCAGGATCTGACCGATGGCTACCGTGTTTTTCTAACAGTCTGACAGCGACAGGTTCACTGATGCTCGAAGCTGAGGCTCCACAGTGCACACGGGACGGTACAGAGTGGGGGCGATTAAGGATATTCTCCGCCAGGGATGCGAATGACGATCACGCCGTGAGATCTCAGATCATAAGTTCCAAGGTTTTGAAGAATGCTTTTTTATTCCAAAATCTATCGAAACGCTACCTCATGCCTGAGCAAGTTTTAGATTGAGCGTCAATGCTTTTATCCTGCACAGGGGGCCCATCCAACATATACCCGCGTAGCGGCGTAGGGGATCCAATGGCTCTGCGCTTCCAGCCAGGAGACCATCCAGATCCCAGAAAGAGAATAAATTCTCGAAGATTGGGGCTCCGATATATCCAAAATAAAAGTCCAGGGCGGCAGTTACATGGCCATTCGTGCTATCAAAGAGCAAGTTCGGTAAGCCTAGAAGTTACTCGATTAGATATTTTCTGCGAGATAGAAGGTTCCCACATACATAAGTCTGCTTGGACCGGAGTTGCTCTTTCCTCAGGAATCTTCGCTAGAAGCCGGGGTAAAGCCCTTCAGCAAAGAAGGCATCTAAGCCCTCCCACGATATTGGTTCATCCCGCCAACCATTCATGTGAGTATTCCGCTCACTCACACTCAGCTGTCAAGTACACATCTCCTTTAAGAACTGGGCAAAACTTGGGAACGGGCCACTGCAGGGTAGTGTTGCGACAGTACTTGAAATATCACCCAGGCGGCCAGGCTCGTGAATACTAGATTTCGATATTCACCTTGCAGTATGATGATGATGCTTTCACCATGGATTTAGAAAGGGGGAGTATTCTGTGCGAAGATCAGGTATAACTTCCTTAACCAAGGATTCCCTCCCCTAAACTGACTTTCATTTGAAAGGGCTTGGACAGTTCATTCTGCAATTTCCCGTGATAACAAGTATGATCCATATATTGTCTCCAAAGACAAAACAGCTTCAAAGGAAAGAGATATGCACGGCGATATCCTCTGTCGGACAAGAGTCATCGATGCCTCTACACAAACAAGAGCGGATCACATCAGCTCCACTGAGACGAGATTCCTGAGGGGCTTTTTCAAATTGTGTGGTAGTAAATCTTGGACAAAGGAACTCCAAGGTGACTGCTGCTGGAACTCATCAATAATGTTGAATTTTGAGACCCAAGAGTTGATTGAGTAAAAATAGTATCGACAAGTGGGGAAGAGGATTTCAGTATGGTGGGGAGAAAGAAAAAAAAGAAGAAAGAGGACAGCAAAGAGACAATAAGTCAAAGTCGGTATCAAAAGTTGAACTGTGTTGCACGATGAATACCATTCTCACCTGGACGTGTGAATTCGATTTTAATATTGTTGATTGGTAATCCAGTTGATACGATAACTATTTACTGAAAAAAAAGACAAAGGTTGGAACCTTTGCAGTTATATAGGGTTGCTGACTGAATTACTTTTGAAGATTATTTAAATTGGACCCTGGAAAGAATTGAATTGTAAGAAAAAGCCATCATGGACAAGAAAAACATCATTACTTGATACAGTCGTCATCTAGAAAAGGCTCAACAAAGGGAGAAAAAACATGATAACATATAAGGGGAACGGTATAAAGCTCTCAAATTTGGCGGCAGCAAGAAAAAAAGAAAGGAAAATAAGGGGGGCGCAAACAAATCTTAGATGCAGACAGCGCCACAAAGAGAAAAGAATACCATCAAGGCATAATGCAACTCCACGCCTCTTTCTGCACAACGCACCAGATAAAACGGACAAGGTAGAATCTCCCCAAACCCCCGCTAACTAAGACCAAGACCAAGAACTATATCAGCTCAACAACAAAAGGGACCTCAAAGCCTGTGAAAGTTTTTTCACAGATGACTCTAAGCGACCAAGGCAGCACGAGAGTGCGAGATATAGTCCAAGAATTTCCGTTTCGTTGGAAAGTCGTAAAAAGAAAAAGGGGACGGCGAGCCCAATTCCAGCGCAAATTAAGTTCAATCATACAGTCGGCTGTGCTGGTCATTTCCTTCACGCATACTATCAACGCATCTCCTTTACTGGACTTGGCTGACAATCTCGCTAGCGCGGCCCAAGCTCTCAACCATCTGTTGGCACTCCTTCCGCCGGCGGGTGGTGTAGTCGCTCTCCTTCAGAAGGTCATCCAGCTCGTTGCTGCGGTACATGTACTCGAGAAGCTCGCCTTGCATTGTGTCCTTGGTGAATCTAGATGATCGGTCAGCACCCAAGCATGGATTTGAAGAATCGGGATATACATACTGCACCAGGGTGTACATGACAGCCTTAGGGACCATGTCAATCATTGTGCGCTTCACAATGTTGAAGTAGGAAGTGATCAGAAGCTCTTATCCAGAAGTTAGTAAAACAGTCCACTAAACATGCGAAGATATCAATATTACGTACTGATGACCTCAACCTCGGTAGACTCCCGCTCGGACAGAGTGGCAGAAGCCTTGAGGGTGGGTGGCGGGGCTTCCATAGCAGCCATCTTCTTCTTGTTCTTTGAGGCCCAGAAACTGCCGAAGAACCCGCTACCGTTGGGATCCTGTGATCCGGTGGTGTCCAGGGAAGGGCTCGCAGCACGGGCCGGCAGGGGCTTGCCAGTCTTAGGGTCCACCTGGGTGGGCTTAGCGGCGTGCTGGCGCTCATTTACAATAGTCATAGCCTATAGAAACAAAAAGTCAGCTTTGCATAATAATAGTATGGCACAGAATAGAGAAGCTTACACGGTGTCCGTTAAGGAAATCGGGGTGGCCGGTGTTGATGTAGGTTGCCTCCATAGCGATCAAGTCCTTGACCAGCTTGTTTGTTGGCTCCATGCACTTCTTGAAGAACGCAATCACCACAGCGTGGAATTTCTCCTTGAGCATAGGGTAGCGACGGAACAACTGCTTGGTCAGGAGCTGACCCAGAATGCGAACCAGCTCGTCAAAGACAAGCGAGATACACTTGATGCTGGGCTCCTCAAGGCGCTTAATCTGCTGCTTGACGATCAACTCAAAGGCGGTGGTACCGACGAAAAGTGCCGGAGATGAACCGGATGAGTTGTAAAGAATGGTGCGGATATCAATATCCTTCACTTGGTCAAATGGATCAACGGCCTTGATACCGTTGGAGTATAGCTCATGGAACACAAAGCTGATACGAGCACCACCGGACAATTCAATGCTAGATAGCTCTTGGTTGTTACCTTCCAGAACAGTGCGGTACTCATTGCTGAACTCCGTGATGATGTTGAGGATGATGTTGGCGCTGTTTCCGAGCATCGAGTCACCCAGCTGCGACAGCTCGGTGGTGTATTTCTGAAGGGAGGAGGAAATTCTCGCCTTAATATCGGGCAGGGTTTGCTTAATATGCATCATAAGGATCTAAAACAAAGGGGATCAAAGTCAGCGCTGCCACTTCATCTCTGTTGTCGCAAAACGAGGAATACATACCAAGTTGAGCTTCCGCGCCAAGTACGGAGTACCACAGTACGAAGCCTTGTTCCGGTAGGCCTTGTGGTTCTCAAAGAAATTCTTCTCGTTCTCCAGAGCGTAGGCAATAAGCTTCTTGTTCTCAATGTCACGTTGACCACGGTTAACGACCGGGACATATCCTAGGCGCAAGGGGATAATCCGGCCAGCGAGAATATCCACCACATCGGTGCCGACGTCCATCAGATCGACCTTGCTCAAAACACCAATAGTGCGCTGTCCCTCGGGGTCTACCTCACGGGCCAACTTCAGACCGTCCGAGTTGGCCAAATCCTGGTTGGCCGAGGTCACGGCCAAAATGATGGCATTGGGCTTGCTGATGTACTTGAGCACCATATCCTTGATTTGACGTTCGATATCCTTGGGCTGGTCTCCAACTGGGACCTTGGTCAACCCAGGCAGATCAACCAGGGTCAGGGTGAGAACGTTGGGCGAGTAGATGCGCAGATTGATGGGGACCGGCGAAATTCCAGCGTTTTTGCCGACCTTGGTCTCCGTCTCACGAACAATCTCGTCTCGGATCTTGTTGAAGTCATAGAACTTCTCGCCTGGCAAATGCAGGAACTCGCCATACTCGTCGATATTGGACTCGCTATCGGTTGTCTCCAATTTTACGTCGCCGTTCGATTGGCTGCTGGCATCCTTGTTAATCAACTGCAGAATAAGAGGTCTCCGGGTAACAATTCCTGAGCCACGGGGCAGGCTAGATGTGAAGAAGCGGGTGGTTAGCAATGGCTGACGACGACACCGGGAAGGGCCCCGCCACCGCCGCGGCGGGATGTTTGGTGGTGGAAGCCCTCTCAGGAGGGAAGGAAAGAGCGCATACAAATCACGACCGACAATGTTCTCTAATACTGAACTCTTTCCACTTGACTGCGATCCAACGACGGCAATCTGGGGCAAATCGATAGGGTTTTGTACCTAAAAGCAAAGCAGCGGTGTCAGTCCAAAGCCGAATAGACCACGGTACTCATGAATAGGGTGTCGTAAATACTTACACCAACTGTGGAGAACACATCCTGGAGCTTGTTGACCAGCGAAATGAGGCCGGGATCATTGACATTTATGCTGCGCACGAGGTTAGCTTCGCCGTATCGGAGTGGAGGGGGACAGGGGGGTTGATGCGCACGAATAGCCGCCGGTGGTCGTTGGGCTTGCCATGGCAGGCGATATGAAGAAGAGCTGGGCAAAGGGATTTGAATATCAAATGGTAGGTTTTTCCCCCTAGAGAATTCCAAAGAAGAAAGCAAGTAATCGAGAGCAATACAAGTCTCTCGAAAGATGAGAAAGCGGAAGTGTGTTTGTTGGTGTGAGAGCAAAGGCGGTGATGAAGAGTGGCGGGAACAGGCATCCACCTCTGTACTTCATTGGTCTAGACTGTCAAGTTAGGTATACATGGTCATCTGGTCAACTCAAGTGCTGGCTTAGATTATCTGTGTCGCCTGATTTGATGTCAATGTTTAAACTTGAATGTTTAAAAAGTCATTAATGAGTAGTATGTCCATATTTCAGTCATTTCTAAACGGAACTGCATCTTCTATAACATTATCTCTCTAAAAAAAAAAAAACGAAATCATTCTGCCCCAAAGAGGAAAATTGGTTTGAACATAACTACAGGGTAATGTGCTAGTGAAAGGCCAGAAAATAAACATATACGCAAAATGCAAAAATATGCCGTCTACTCATCGGAGACAGAAGCAAAACGGTCCGACATGGCCTGCAGGATCTTCTCGTACTTGGCAGAAATCTCCTCCTCGTTATCGGGCACCTCGAACTTCATGTTCCGCAGGGAAGACTGGAGGTCACTGGTAGCATCACGAATCTTGTTCCATTGCTGGCCCTGGGCAACAGCCTTCTGGGCCTCGTCATGGTAGCTCATGAATGCCTTCATCATGTACTCAGTCTTCCACAGGGGGCAGAACTGGTCGTAATCACTGTAACCGTTTTGCTGCAGGAAGTCATCCTTGAGCATAGCAGCAACATCCAGGGTGATCTTGTCCGAGTCACCAAGAGCCGCCTTACCAACCAGCTGCACAACCTGATCCAAGTCCTCGGACTTGGACAGCAACTCACGAATGTGGTCACGCAGACGGGGGAAGTCGGGGTTGTGTTGCTCATAGTATTTGTCCAGAACGGCATTGTACTTGCTGTAGGACATGGAGGTGTTGACCGAGGGGAAGTGCTTTCGCTGAGCAAGTTTCTTGTCGAGACCCCAGAAGACCTGGACGATACCCAGTGTACTACTGGTGACGGGGTCGGAGAAATCACCGCCAGGGGGACTAACAGCACCGACAATGCTGACACTTCCAACACGCTCGGGACTGCCCAGAGCGCTAGACTTACCAGCGCGCTCGTAGAAAGAGGCCAATTTAGCACCGAGGTAGGCAGGGAAACCCTGATCAGCAGGCATCTCACCCAGACGACCCGAGATCTCACGCAGAGCCTCGGCCCAACGAGAACTGGAGTCAGCCATCATGGCAACGTTCTTGCCTTGGTCACGGAAGTATTCGGCAATGGTAATACCGGTGTAGATGGAGGCTTCACGGGCAGCCACAGGCATGTTCGAGGTGTTGGCAATCAGGCAAGTACGCTTCATGATAGGCTCCTTGCGACCGTCAACGGTAATGGATAGCTATATTCAATCGTTTTAGTGAACAAAGAAAACCACCAGAAGTGATATCCAATGGTGCTTACCTCGGGGAAATCCATCAAAACTTCAGCCATCTCGTTACCACGCTCACCGCAACCCACGTACACAATAATATCACTGTTCGAGAACTTGGAGACAGATTGGGAAATGACAGTCTTTCCACATCCGAAAGCACCGGGAATACAGACAGTACCACCCTGAACACTAGGGAAGAGAGCATCCAGCACACGCTGTCCGACAATGAATGGCGCATCGGCAGAAAGTCTATCGCTGACAGGGCGGGGAACACGGACGGGCCAAGTCTGCATCATGCCGTACTCGGTCTTCTTTCCCTCAAACTCAACCTCCAGGAGCTTCTCGGTCACAGTGTAGCTACCAGCCGAGGATATGCGAGTAATGGTACCCCGGGCACGCGGAGGCAGGAGGACCTTGTGCTCGTTCACCAGGCTGTTCTCGAATACGATACCCCAAATATCACCGCCTGTGATGTGATCGCCAACCTTGAAAGCGGCAGGCTTATACTCCCACTTCTTCTCGCGGTCCAGCGCATTGACGGAAATACCACGTGGGATGTAAATACTTCCAGACTTTTCGGAGATGGCTTGGAGGGGTCGCTGAATACCATCGTAGATTGTCTCCATCAAACCGGGACCGAGCTCGACAGAGAGGGGCTTACCCGTCCGAGTGACGGGATCACCGACGGTCAAACCAGCTATCGTTCGGGAGATTTATCAGTAAGTAATGCCATTGAGGGGGTTTGGGTGGACCATGGGTATACGTGGCCCGGGAGGGAGGTAGTCATACCGGTTTCCTCGTAGACCTGGATGGTAGCTTTATCGCCTTCGATTCGAATGACTTCACCAACGAGCAAGTCATGACCAACGTTGCACTGTGGAAATCCGGCAATCAGCATGGCCCATGTTCGGAGGCGGAGGCGGGAGCTTTGGGGGGAATCTTACCAGCTCGTACATGGCACAACCAATCATGTGCTCGGCCACGACAACAGGTCCGGAGACCGAGAAGATCGCACCTTGCTCATGAGTGTCTTCGGAACCCATCGTGGAGGTATTCGATGTGGATGTGGAGGAGATGGGGGTGGTGGAGGTGGTCGAATTGGATGGAGCGGGCGAGTCTGGAAGCGGTGGCAGCTCGGGCGGTGGAGGTGTTGACGCACGATGCTCCTTAAGCTCACGTCCGCTAATCAAGTCCAGGAGGGAAGACCGGCTCTTCAATTGAGGTCTCCCCAAACCTAACATTCGCTGGCAATATTGGGAGAAACGATTTTTGGAAGATAGTAAATCGTGAAAGATATCTCAAGGTAATCCATTGAGGGGGATGCCATGGCCAGCCAATCCACTAGGCAGCTCAGCTCGTGGAGTCCCCCTTAAGCTGTCATCCAATCCTCTGTCCGGGATTGGCGCTTCCGATCAAGTCTGATTTTGGAGAGAACAAAACAGCGTTGTATTTGAATTGGATATTGATATGTCCATGCAGAGGCAACCTAACATGTAATTCTCCAAGTAAAGCTAATGTTAGCCAGTACCTCGTATGTCGGTAGGCATCCGAAGCACAGATTGTGGCACCTAACTTTAAGTGATTCTAACATTCAAGAAATTTATTAAAAATTTCTGGGGTTCAAACTAGTATAATATGGTCTGTGTTTTCCCATTTGGTTAAATTATCTCGTGCGTACTTTGTTCCCTAACGTGGGGGTCAATGTCTAGTCATCACATTGAAGTGTGTACATTGATTTCAACGTTGCCCAGGTGTACTTCCGAGCCTGCAATCTATGCACTTATCTGCGTCCACACGTGGTGACTAGTACATGATTCTGAACAACATTGAATTATTCAAATGTTAGCTTACAGCTCTACATAGGGTCATATATATCAGAGAAATTCCAGTTTCGTTGGAAAATTATATAGGAATCCCCTCAAGACATACATCTGGGCACTTTGAATCTTTTTGAGAACGGTCCGAGTCAACTGGTTAATTAGGGACATTAATTATCTCCAGATATCAAGTTTCAATATTGAATCATTATGACATATAAAGACAGAATATAGGTATGAAGAGCTTAATTTATCCATATGTCAGACGACTCCCGAAGTATGCCCACTTTTTCTCTGGGCTGTATTTTGAAGTACCCGATCGGACATCAAAGTTGATGAGGTTTATTTCTATGTAGATCACAGTTAGCCTCGGTTATCAAAAGGAACCTTTCAAACCCAGTTAACATACTCCGCATCCCTTACAGGAGCAGTTGCCACTGGTACAAGTGCAACCCTGGGGACCGGTGCAGGTGCAAGTGGATCCGCAGCCACAGCCCATGATGAATTTGTAGGTAGAACAGGAATTAAAAGGATGGTGTGCTTTCCTTCGATTCTGGATCAAAGATGTAGGTTGCAGAGTAGTCAGTTGCATGCAGCAGAACTGATGCTTCTTATATTGAGTTGTTGTTGTAGGACTAAGGGCATCATGATGTCGTCAGTGGAGATGGGTGAACCATACATTTGTTGAATGCCTTAAAAAAGCGGAGTTTGTATCCAACGGTACTGTCATAGATACGGTTACAAGACCAGAATCTATCGAGTAACTGCATCTAGCACTTTGCATTGAATGCCCAAAGAATATTATTATAGGAAGGACTAAATCAAATTGAATAAAATGCTAAGGCTATTTAAGTTGTTCAAGTACTAGACCTTTCCTCATAATTGCCAGTGGGTTCGAGATCTTTTGGTCAAAGCGGTGCAGTCATCAAACCACACCTGAATATTGCGGCAACTAAATGTTCTTTCGCTCAGCTGATATAATTGTCAAGTGGATAGTTCTCCGCTTCTCATTCATTTGACCGATTTCCAAGATTATTTTCTTCTTTCAAGCCTTGTGACCTGGGGCGAACTGGCTTTCTTGTGACTCGAACTTGGATCGCATCACTGGATCCGATAAGCCCCATATCCACACAACCCTTGAGAAAGAAGGAGGGGAGAGAGAGGTACCCGCACTTACGTGAAGTTCGCTTCTTGAGCTTTGTAGCTTTGAAACCTACTCAGAACGATAACTGCTTGAATTTTCTCCCTATACGCCAACCCCCAAGCCCACCCAGCTCCAAGACATCTGGAGCTGTCCCGGGACATTCCCTATCTGCCACTGCCACTGGTCTGCTCACCTGGTTCTTTCCAAGAGCCAGGGAACTGGGCAGATCTTACAAACGGTCGACCTGGCCGACCATTCTCCCCAACAATATATCATCCCCGACGACCCTATAATCCCTTTACCCCTCGATACTACGACATCACATCCCCGCACTGCCGAATCCCCATCTGCCCAGCTCGTCTCCCTAACCTCCCAGCCTCCGCCCAGCACCACGACATCTCGGTCACCTAATACCCGACGCCGCCGCCGTCAACGATCGAGTAGTCCCGATATACACTCCCCATCCACAACAGAATCGGGAGCATCGTCGCTGCTAGAAGACTCAAGGGCCGGTGACGTTGCGGCCCAACACGAAACAGCTTCTCAACCCGGCCAAACCGACAACCGCCCTCCATCCCGCAAGCGCCGGCGCCTGCTCAACATGCGTGCTGATGGGTTATCAGGTGCTAATGGCTTTTCGCAGGCGTCTAACGGAGCTACTAGCTCAGGAAAAGCCAGCCTGAATGGTCAAGCGACTGCATCTTCAAATGGAGAGTCTCATGCCAACGGGGCGGGGAAAGCTCCGGCAAACCAGACATACTATGGTCACAACCGGGAAGAGGTGACCCGGATCTTGATCCAGAGCTTGTATGAGCTGGGTTATAACCGGTCGGCCTCCACTTTGACTGCAGAGAGCGGCCACCAACTCGAGACGGCTGGCGTTGCAACTTTCCGCAGTGCGGTGTTAGGTGGTCGCTGGGCGGAAGCTGAGAGGATCCTGATTCAATCATTCCGAAATGGTACAAATGGTCAGGATTCTGCACCCGAAGAGACATTGCTCTTAGCGGAGGATGCGAATAAAAGCGAGATGCTTTTCTACCTGCGCCAACAGAAATTCCTGGAACTTTTAGAGGCACGCGACCTAGGTGGGGCGCTAGGCGTATTACGGCAAGAACTGACGCCGTTGAACTACGACATAGACAGGCTCCATGCCCTTTCCAGGTAATTTATTCTCTAGAGGTTCTCTGTGGCCTATCTTCTGACAGTTATACTTCTTATAGCCTGCTCATGTCACCAACTGAGCTATTGTACGACCAAGCGCGTTGGGGCGGTTCTACCACGGCATCCCGAGAACGCCTCTTGACGGATCTATCTAGTAAGAGCTTCTACTTACCTATGAGTTCCTCGGTCTTTGCTTACCCGCTCTAGAATCAATCTCCCCTTCAGTAATGATCCCTCAGCACCGCCTCGCCATCTTACTAGACCACGTAAAGCAGAGCCAAATCAACAACTGCTTATACCATAATACCGCTCAACCGCCTTCTCTCTATTCGGATCATCTCTGTGATCGGAATGACTTCCCACTAGATGTGGGAATCAGCCTGACCCAACATACAGATGAAGTCTGGTACTGTGGGTTTTCTCATGATGGCACCAAGCTAGTCACTGCGGGCAGTGACAGAATGGTGCTCATATATGATACTTCGGATTTTACTATACTTCACAGATTAAATGACCATGGCAGTGGGGTTGCTTTTGCCTGCTGGAGTCCAGATGACACAAAGCTCATCACCTGTTGCCAGGACAAGAAAGCAAGATTATGGAATGTCGAGGTAAAGATTTTTTGCCGATTTTCATATACTTGAAGTACACCTCTGCTGACTCGCTTGCACTAACTTTACAGACTGGACGGTGTCTCCTGACCATCGACCACCATTCTGAACCAGTGACATCTGCAGGCTGGGCTCCAGATGGAGAGTCTTTTGTGACATCCTCTTTCGACCAGAACTCACAAATATGCCACTGGAGTATTCGTGGATCACCCCTACACATGTGGGAAGGTGGATTCCGAGTGCAAGATTGCGCAGTCAGTCCTGATGGACGGAGATTGGTTGCAGCTGACACAGACTCGAAAATACATGTCTTTGACTTCCGAAACCACGAAGAAGATTATTGTCTTTCCTTGTCTAGCAAGGCGACATCCCTAGCTATCAGCCGGGATTCGAAACACATGCTTGTGAACTTGAAAGAAGGTGAAATACACCTGATCGACCTCGAAACCGCAGGCGTGGTGCGACGCTTCAAGGGTCACAAACAAGGTCAATGTGTGGTTCGGAGTACTTTCGGTGGTGCTGGTGAGAATTTTGTTGTCAGCGGCAGTGATGGTAATTTTCACTCTTAAGTCAATCTCAGGCACAATTGCTGATTTACCATAGACTCGAAGATCTACATCTGGCATAAGGAGAATGGGTCTCTTGTAGAGACCCTTGACGGACACTCCAAAGGCTGCGTAAATTCCATCTCGTGGAATCCAGCAGATCCCACCATGTTTGCCTCGGCAGGCGATGACCGTGCTGTGCGCATGTAAGCCTGCATTCTCTCCTCGTGGATCTGTTCACTATCGTGGATTCCCATTAACCAATCTTCCTTTTCAGTTGGTCTCGAGACCGCAATCGCCCTCGCCCAACAGGAGTTCCCAGTACTCGAGGCGTCTCAACGAGTGGTGCCCCACGGACCAGCGCCTTAAGAACGACTTATGCCTTCTAGTGCTGCTAATCGTGCCATTATTCGACGTCTCTACTAATTTCCAGCTAGGAAGTCCTTATGTGGCTTTTCGTTGTCCGTTTTGACTTGCCTGTGGCATGGCATGGCGCTTTTCATGTTTCAAGGCACAAGATATACCATGGAGCTTCTGATTCAAAGACCGATAAATCGTGTTTGGCTTCGGCTTACGCTTCATTTTCATGTTATCCCACATTCAATGTTTGTCAGCTTTGCGCATTCCCACTTTATACACTAACCCCGATTCAACCTCCGATCCCCTACGTCTCATTCCTTGCACAGACCTACAAATAGTTTTTTTTTCTTGTTTTCTTTATTGGCATTCCAGTCATTTCAAGAACGGCGCCATTCAATCATTTCAATTATGGGGAGCTTTGGTTCTATATATCATTTCCCATGGAGGTATAGCTTAAATATATCTTCATTTTCACTGTCGGTCGTTGGTCCTATTGCTGGTTTCTTTGTTTGACTGCAGGTTGGCGTTCGGTTCCATGATTTGAATGAGATTGAAATTGGACAAGTCATCCGTACCTACTATGTATGGATACTAGTCTCCAGATGTCCTTTGTTTGTGTCGATTTAAGGTGCATTTTCAATCCATGGACGTTTCATCTGCTGTTCAATGTTTTAATGACTGGTTATTATGGATATCACCTGCAAGATTAAGCCACCTGGAAACCTGGGGACCTGATTAATGGATACTAGTACCTAGTAGGTACTACCTACTCGCGTCGGAATCGAGCTATCTGGTTTCTCCACATGGCATTATCCCGATGTCTGCCCTAGGTAGTACATCCCAATCTTATGTAAGGTTCGACACCGGGCATATGATAGTACACGAGAGAGAGGAACATTTGAATGGGTCTCCAGACTACCGCGGGGGCCGAAGCCCTGGAAAACACTCAAGAGTCAAGCATGAATATCCCAGTGCTAAGTATGATCTACTATTCAATAAATGTGTGTAAATTTTGTGCAGATCCATCATTCATAACTCCTACATATAAAAACACCAGGGGTACTGTAAACTGAAAATGACCAGCGAAAACAAAAAAAAAAAGATAAAGCTGTTGCTAAAGCCTCCATCGGTTAAATTTGAAAGTTAAATCATGAGTGCAACCTGCAACATTTGTCTGACAATTTTGGGCTGGGTAGTGTCGTGTTAGCGACCTGAGATGACGTGGTAGCTGGTGGTGCCAGTGGTTTTGCGCTCTCACAGAAATGTTTTCTTTTCCTTTTCCTCCACGCGCGATCCATTCTGGCATTGATCTTTTTAATATGTGACCAAGACAACTCAGATCAGATAGGGCTCCCCAATATTCAAATGAAAGGGCTTAGCCTCGGGGCAAATTGTAAAACGAATGCGACTTTTGGATCGTTCAAAAGACTGGGCTTAGTGCAGGTCGTATCGTTTATGAGAGCAAATCGGCAACTGTAGGGGACCAATATTAGTAAAGTGAAAATGCAAAAAGATACTAGGAATGCGGAGAGGCATGAACTCACCATTCATTGGCATCTCATCAATCTGAGTGGAGTAGTAGAGTTCGATATCACGCAGAATACGGACATCATCACTGGTGACAAAGTTGATGGCCACACCCTTGCGACCGAAACGACCAGAACGACCGATACGGTGAATGTAATTCTCACGGTTGGTAGGGAGATCGTAGTTGATGACGAGAGACACCTGCTGAACATCGATACCACGGGCCCACACATCGGTCGAGATCAGGACACGAGAGTTGCCTTGACGGAAATCCTGCATAATGCTATCACGCTCCTTCTGAGGCATCTCGCCATGCATGCTGGACACAGTGAAGTTGGCTTCGCGCATCTTGTCGGCCAGCCAGTCGACCTTGCGGCGAGTGTTACAGAAGATCACGGCTTGGGTGATAGTCAATGTGTCGTAAAGATCGCACAAGGTGTCGAACTTCCACTCCTCTTTCTCAACTGCAATGAAGTATTGCTTAATTCCTTCCAAGGTCAACTCATCACGCTTGACCAAAACGCGCACGGGGTCTGTCATAAACTTTGTCGTCATGTCCAGCACATCATAAGGAAGAGTGGCTGAGACGACCACAACCTGTGTGGCCGGAGGAAGGTAACGATAGACATCGTAAATCTGCTCTCTGAAACCGCGGTTGAGAAGCTCATCGGCCTCGTCCAGGACGAGCATCTTAATGTGACGGGTGCGGAGATTGCGGCGACGGATCATATCAGCAACACGGCCGGGAGTTCCAGATACAACATGTTGACCGTAGTCGAGTTTGCGAATATCTTCGCCAATGTTTGTGCCACCGATGCAGGCGTGACATTGGACATTCATGTAGTCGCCGAGCGCCATGATGACTGACTGAATCTGGGTTGCAAGTTCACGAGTCGGGGAAAGGACCAAGGCTAGGAAATTGAATGTCAGCCATACGTATTTGCCAGTATTTTGCCAAGCTTTCACGTACCTTGAGTTTCGCGAACAACAGTGTCAATGACCTGTAGAGTACTGATTGAGAAAGTCGCTGTTTTACCGGTACCGGACTGGGCCTGCGCAATGGTGTCACGGCCTTTGCAAATCTGAACGATGGCGCGCGACTGAACGGCAGAGGGAGACTCGTATCCATAGGCGTAAATTCCACGGAGCAAGCTCTCTTTAAGGTGCATATCCTCGAAGGTCGGGGCCACCGTGACCTCCTTGGAGGTGCTGAACTCCATGCGCTCTGTGCTGCTATTAGAAAGGCTCACTTCACCAAATCTCGAGAGGTGCGCTTACCTTCAGCGCGTCTGTCGATTCCTTCGGCCATGATGATAGATGTCACTTCACGGCAAGTAAAAAGATGGGGTATTCGAGAAAGAAAGGTGTATGTGAGGCATAGTAGGTTCGACTTTTTGCGATGGAAGCGGTACGGTCACATGACGACCCGCAAAGCTGCAGCTCTGGATTCCGCGAACTTCTCTCTTTTGACGTGTGTACGCCAGAATTCACTTCACTTCGTGTCTCTGACTCAGAAAACTTACTGTACTCTGGTCGCATACTCACAATGCTTCTTGAAGACCAGCGATTTATCCACGAGGATCTGGAGCGGCTGGAGCAGGCCGTTGCTGATCGCGTGGCCGACAACCCTCGGAATGTAAGTTCGCCGGCCGCATTGAAACGAAAAGCTCCAGATGCTAATTACTAGGGTGCTTCATAGATCCGTGAGAAACTAGCCAATGACCATGAGCTTGCCAAGTTTCTAGATCGGATTGAGGTGCAGTCCAAGCGACTGCTCGAAATTTACAAAGATGCGGATGGCCTGCGCGAGAAGGAGGTGCAGTCGATTGCCACGGGCGATCAGTTCGAAGAATTTTACAAGCAATTGGATGACATCAAAGATTTTCACAAGCGCTATCCAAACGAGCTAGTCGAGAACCTTGAACAGGCATACAAGCGGCATCAACCCGCCGAGGGCGAGTCGTCTTACATGGAGATCGATAATATGTTCACCGGCGAAGAGTGTTTCGGTCAATACATGGATTTGACCACCCACCACGAACAATACCTGAATCTACCCGGAGTTAAGCGCCTGAATTACGTCCAATACCTCGATGTCTTTGATGCATTCACGCCACCGATACTGAGCATTAAGCGGAAAGACAAGGTCTCTGATAAATACTTCCGTTATGTTGGTGAAGTCGCGACTTACCTCGAAGGGTTTTACAAGCGAGTAAAGCCTTTGGGGGATCTCGATGCGTTGATTACTAGCTTCGACGAGGAGTTTGACAAGCAATGGGCAGCAAAGGAGGTTCCTGGATGGGCCGATGAACAAACTGCGACGGAAGGATCAGGCGAGGGCATATGGTGCTCTGATTGCGAGAAGGAATTTTCCAACGAGAATGTTTACCGAAATCATTTGACCGGCAAGAAGCACGTTCGAGCCGCAGAGGCTCGCAAGGCGGCTGGCACATCGAACGAGGACTCTCAACCATCTGGAAACAAAACCTCGACGGCTTCCCTTGCAAAGGATTTGAAGGAGCGTGCTGTCGCTGTACGAGAGCATCGTGTGCGTTGCTTCACAAACACACTCAAGGACGAGCGAGAAGCCACAAGACGCAACGTTGTGCGCCGGCAAGGTCTGACTGAGCGTGAGCGTCAAATGGAGCGCGAGGCCTTGATGGCTGAGCCGGAGTCATTTGGTGATCGTGGAGGTGACCAGTCTGATGACGAAGAGGATAGGGAGAAGCTCTACAATCCCCTCAACCTACCGCTGGCTTGGGATGGCAAGCCCATTCCATACTGGTTATACAAGCTGCACGGCCTTGGAGTCGAGTACCCGTGTGAGGTTTGCGGAAATTATGTTTACATGGGTCGACGAGCATTCGATAAGCATTTCTCCGAGGCGCCTCATATTTATGGCCTTAAATGTCTGGGTATCACATCAAACACCAATCTTTTCCGTGAAATTACTCGCATTGAGGATGCAATGCGACTCTGGGATAAACTGGAACAGGATCGAAAGAAGGACCGAGACTCTCGGGAAAATGTGGTGCAGATGGAGGATGCCGAGGGCAATGTCATGCCCGAGAGAATTTACCATGATCTCAAGAAGCAGGGTATCCTCTGATGAAATTATCGTTTTGTTCTTTTTTTTCTTGTTTGGGGTGAAAGTGTCATGCAATACACAAAAGCTTGGAGTTGGGCGAATGGTATGGTTCGTTTTCTCTCTCTCTCTCCCACAGAGACATATGAGCATCATCAATAGGGAAAATATCCCATCCTGAAATTGAAATTGGAGTTAGCGTGCTCTCATAAAGGCATACGTACATTATATTCCAGAGTAAACATGAAAATATCTAATCCTGAAAATGAATTTCAAACTATGTTGGAAAAACAGGTGAAGCTTGAGGTCTTTCAGATCTGAGATACCTATTGATCCAAGGATCAAGGATGAGCTTTGTAATATGTACTCAACTCACCTGAACGAACTTACAACTACTAGCACGTATGTAGTACATACCAACCAGTCGAAATTTGAGAAATCAATGATTATCACTTACAAGAAGAGCTCGTGCAAGTGCTGTGAGCTGTCTATACATCGTAAATGCTTGATTGGTCACGTGCTTTCGTGTTTCCATGGACACGACCCGCGACCAGATTTCGTGTAGTCAGTTTCGATCCTGATTCCCTTTCCCTTTTGACTTCTTACCACTACTCACCTAGCGTGGAGAAGCAATCAAATTTACATTCATGTGAAACCTCACATCTATCCCCAATGGGATTCAAATTTGCCTTCTTTGGTGATCTTTTGTCGAGCCTAGAAGTGAATCGGACGACGAAGGCGGCTTCGACAACAAGAAAGGTCGAGTCTGACTTTCAGATCATTGCAAAATGGTTCACTCGACATGATCGCCAGATCCATCACCCGGAAACTGATAAACTGGCTCTGTTGTCATGCATGTTTCCCGAGAGACGAACAGACCGAGTATATTGGCTGCAGGCAACCTCACTCACTCGCGTTATCGGTCGCTGCTTAGGCCTTGGCTCGTCACGGATATCTGAACTCGACCAATGGCGAAAGCCTGGAGGCCCAGACTTAGGACAATGTGTCGAAAATGTGATGCGCCAGGCTGAAAACTGTATTCCTTGTGACCGTGACGTCTTGGCCGAGGAGATTGACGAAGCCCTGAACTTGATTGCCTCGAGGTGTCGCTTCTCAGGTCCTCAAGTCAGACGTCAGCATACTGCAGTTGATGTGGATACAGTTCTTTCGCCACTATACCGTCGATTAAGCAGCCGCGATGCTAAATGGCTCACTCGTATGATATTGAAGAGTTATGCTCCTGTAACACTACCAGAGAAGTATACTCTAGAGAGATTTCACTTTCTCCTTCCCCATCTCCTGCAGTTCCAAAACACCATTGAAGGAGCTCTTGGAATGCTCAACTCGGAGCCGATGAATCACTTCCCGCCTCGTATAGATCGAAAATTGGCAGCTAGTCTGTGTGCCACAGCACTGGACCATATACGCCCACGGGTAGGAATCAAAGTTGGCCGATCTGATTACTTAAAGGCAAGAAGTGTCAAGCATTGTCTTGAGATGACAAACCGCCGCCGCATGAGCATCGAAAGAAAATATGATGGTGAATACTGCCAAATACATATTGATTTGACCAACAAGCGAACCCCTATTCAGATCTTCTCTAAAAGTGGCAAGGACTCCACCGCAGATCGGGCAGGAATTTTGCCAACTTTGGAGACATCTCTTCACATAGGAAGCCCCAAATGCAAATTTACACATCACTGCATCCTCGAAGGTGAATTGCTCGTGTGGAACGGTAAAACTGGAAGCATATCAGACTTCCACAAACTTCGAAAGTTTCTCTCGCGTTCCGGTACTTTCATTAGAGTCGATAGCGATTCACCACCCCAGCCATATGAGCATCTGATGATTGTCTTTTTTGACATACTCCTCTTGGATGACAATGTCTGCCTGAGAAAGCCACATCGAGAAAGGCGGTTGCTGCTGAAAAACTTGATACATACAATCGATGGTCGATCTGCGATGGCTGAACAGGAAATATTGGACTTTGACCGACCAGATGGCTTTCAATGGCTAGAAGCTAGCTTCTCGAGGGCAATCACTCGGCGGTGGGAGGGACTTGTTTTGAAAGCTTGCGACGAGCCGTATTTTGCTATGCATCCTGCTGGCGGGAACAACCTTTTTGGTCGATGGATCAAAATGAAAAAAGACTATATCCCGGGTCTGGGGGATACAGTTGACCTCGTTTTAGTCGGGGGATTCTATGAAGCCGGCGACGCCGCTGCTCTTCCAACCACCAGTGAAAGAGTGGAGTGGACGCATTTCTTGGTGGCGTGTCTTGTGAACAAAGATGACGTTCTTCAATCACGAGGCGCCCCTCGCTTTCGAGTTATAGATGTGGTTGGTCGCCATTGCATGTCCCACCTTTTGATGTGTTCTCTGAATCAACTTGGACAGTTCGTAGCACGGGATGTCGAAGATTTCCATGAATTCGAGATTGAATATGGAAATGCCAGTCTTCCCAAAGCTGCCAAAGTTTTCAAGAAACCATTTGTTGTGGAGATAATGGGCGCAGGCTTCGAAAAACCTTCCGGTGCCAGATTCTTTACACTGCGATTTCCGCGTATTCTCAAACTACACACAGACAGAAGCTTTGAAGATGCTGCATCATTTTCGGAACTACAGCTTCTAGCAGAAAAGGCCAGATGTGTACCTCCCGAAGATTTGACTGAGGAAAGAGAACATTGGCGCAAACGCCTTAAGATTGGCAGTGGGCTCAAAGACTATGTTGTACAAAGATCAAAAAGCCCATCTTCACGGGGCTCAAGTGCAGAGCCAGATTGCTATTCAGGAACTGAAAGTGCAGTGGAGACAGCTAGTGATGGGATGCACTATACCGATTTGTTCTCGGGGCCTCCCGTGAACCAGCCTTCTTCTTGTGGAAATATGAGCAAACAACAGTCGGACAATTCAGAAAGGCATCCTGCTCTGTACGTCGACGAGACACTGCTGTTGAGTGATCTTGAATTTTCTCCCCCCAAAGCCAACGTCTTGGCTGAAAATCGTAACTTGTCTCAGCGACAAGAATGCGATGAGAAAGGCAAAGTTTTGAAAGGTCTTGAAAATACGACAAATAGGGTAACCGATGTACCCCAGGAAAAGAGGACTGTGGTGGCTTCAAATAACAAAGCTCCATCTAGCTTGACTTCCATGCACGAGAAAGAAATCTCAAGCCGTGCAGTTGAGATACCGCGAGCAAAGCCCCTCAAATCTCCATTGACCACAATTCCAATTTACATGCCAGGGGGCCCCTCGGATGTCGGGCAAAGACCAGATGACTCTAGTCTCTATGGGTTCTTGAAATTTCTAGGATCTGATAATACCACTGGTGCTTTGTCGGAATCTAACATATCTGCCGCCTCGGAAGGCATGGCATTCGGTATTTCTCTTGTCAACGTGGGCGAAACATCTTTGGGCAGAGAGATACATAGGGTAGCCAAGACAGTGTCTCGTGCCATCCAAAAGAAATCGTTCTGTCCTTTCAAAGGGAGGATATTTTTTGTGGATTCTCTTATCCTGGAGCAGATCAAGTGCCCTGGAGATTTGAAATTCTGCTTGCGTGCGACTTGGACGGATCTTGGCAAGCAGTACTACTACGCCTGTCTTAAATGGGACTTACCTGACCAGAATCAGTCTGATAACCACCCTGGCTCTATCGGTGAGCAGGACGATAAAAGTGCAACAGTTCCTTCAGTCAGTTTCGATCGAAGTGAAATCCTGGCGCTAGGGGAGTATACGTCGATCAATCCGCCATTGCGTTTCAAAGGCTAGGAAATATCTGCGCATACCAAGCCTCAAATGATGAAGTCCGTCTCTCACCTGGCAGATACACAGATTAAGACCAAGACGAGAAGTACGTTTGGATTCGAATTCTATTCGATAGATGTTCTTTCAATGTCGCTTTCTAACAGTTGAATGTAATTTTGCGAACTCGTAATAATAAATGACCAGGATAACACTAAACGCCACGGTATCATGAAAATGCATGTGAGATGAGCTCCACGCCTAATGCAACAGACAACGTTGGAGGGAGACTAGCCATCATCCTCCCGTCTGGCCCGAACATCACTCATAAGCGCTCGCGCTTCTTCCACTTCGAACCCATCTTGGCATAGTTCTCCTGCCAAGAGATCCGCACGATCTAGATCACCATTCCGTAAGGCATGCTGCGCCAGCCACAAACGTGCCCTAGATGTAGTTGCGGTAGGGCCACTTCCATGGTGCCATGTTTCACCGGCAGTAGAGTCATCATTCTGCATGGCAAATGATGAAGTTCGTGGACGGGACTTCCGGCGACGTCTTCTAGGCGCATCGTCTCCATCGTCACCGGAATTCTCGTTATCATCGCTGTGGGTAGCATGCTCAGAAGCAGAAGAATATTCCTCCTCGTCCGAATTTGCTTCCTCATTGACTGGCGCACCGCCGGATTCTTGCTGTAAAGTCAATTCCATGTATGCGGACGCTTCTTCTTCGTCACCAAGGCGTTCGTAAAGAGTTGCTATTTGGTGTAATGTTTCGGTATCGAGAATCTTCCGCGCGCCGGGACCTGGGCTTGCACCGCCTGAAGCACCTTCTGCATAATAGGCACCAGCAACAAGGGCACGTTTCAGAGCCTGGATACTCTGTTCGACACGGCCCATCTTCGCATAACATGATCCTACCGCCTGCCACATCTTCGGGTCGTATGGCTGAAGTGCGGCTGCCCGCTGATAGTAGAACAGGGCATAGAAAGACATATCAAGGACTTCATACGCCTGACCTAGTCCGTACCAAGCGCGGTAGTCTTTCCGGTTGACATCAACAGCACGGCGGTATGACTCAATGGCGGTGTGAGTGTTTTTCATTTCAATGTACTCGTGACCCATGAGGGTCCATGCTGACAGAAAGTTACGGTCGAGTGTCAGTGCACGTCGGAAGTACATGACTGCCTTTTCGTGTTCGGATTTCAGGGAATAGTAGTTGCCTACCACGCAACAAGTTTCAGGGCGGAATTTGTCGGTGGCAATCGCAATCTGAGCGACGAAAGCCAACTGAGGCCGTGCACCCATAACGTATAGTATGTTGGAGTAGTGATCAAGTGAGTCCAGCCGATGTGGAGATGTAGCCAGGATCCGATGAAACATCTCCGCCGCTTTGTCAAAGTCTGAATACCGTTAGTACAGATATTTGAATACCAAGGACACCCTGCCATTGATCTTACCTTTGTCGTGATAATAAAGTAGCGCTTCTTGGGTCTGGAGAAATGCGTTGGTAGGGAACAGTGTTTGAAGTTGGCCGAGGTCCCTGTATGTCTCTGGCGTGGTTTGATAAAGTTCCTGGCTGGAGTATGTGTGGAAAATTAGAGTCATGAGGTTTTTCGGCAGGCGGTCCACGATTTGTTTTAACTGTAGGCATTGTCAGGGCCAAATATTTCAAAGTTCCAGAAATCGCCTTACGTCTTCGTTATTTGCCAAGAGGTCACCCAGTTCTTGCCATGCTCCCCAATGAAATGGGTTCAAATGCACACTCTTGAGGAGCCACTTGGTTGCCAGTTCTTCATTTCGTCCTTTCAATGACACGATGGCATAGAGGTATTCCAGCCAGCCTTGTCCCTGGTCGTCAAGCCCATTGGAGCTCCGCTCCATGAGCCACCCTTCCAAGCCGCGGGCGAGGTCTGGTAGTTCTCGATTTACCGCCATTCCACCATCCGCCGGGCCCAACACCATCTCTGTTTCTTCATCCTTGCGCTTTTCTCCTGCCAAAAATTTCGCATAGAGTGCTAGGAATAACGATTTTTGACTAACTTTCGGGTATGGGTTTCTCCGTGGTTGACCCTTCGAGCCTTGAAACGGAGATGCCTTCTCTTTCCCCTTCAATGATGTCGGGGGTTGTTTCGATTTTAAATTTGATGAGACGACGGAACAAGGTACTGGAGGTGTTGTGGGAGGTAGGAATACGGCCGCACAGCGGTCATACTCCCGGGTGTCGAAATACGATTTGGCCAGGAGGTATTTGTGAGATTCTCGGGCTTCCATGGCCGCTTCGATGGGGTCTTGTGCACCTAAGTACGGGTTTGGTGGTGGCAGTGGAGGGTCTGAGATATCCATAGGTGATTCAAGATCCGAATCTTCAGCCATGACTGGTAACGGCAAAATGGAGTCTAACATTTCTGCTGCCCTGAATAGTGACATGCTTATTAGCTGACTTTATCAAGATAGAGTGAAAGTTGGGTTTGGGAGTACCATTTTGACGATTGATATAGACACCGTTCCGAGCATTTGATCGCAGATTCTTCGAAGCGGTACCTAAGCTCCAGGATGACTTCCTCGGTGATCTCCATGGTTGCCATCTCCAACGGAGTCCCTCAGCAGTGCGGGGGCAATTTCGTGAGTTTTTTCTGGAATTAAGGACTTGAAGCAAACTAAACCAACTGTAGCATTGATTTTGGTTTCCTTTTTGAGCAAGCCTAGTTCCAGATTAAACGTAAGTTGTGAGCGCGAGAATGTCAATATTGAGGTTTCCGAGCAGCGTCGCGTGTGGTTGCAACGCGCGATAATGCAGGCAGTAACTGACAGCGGTCAGCCCGGTGAAAACCAAATAATCTCCTAGTACTATGCTGTAGGAACCAGCTTCAATAGGCTTTAGGGTCTGAACAGAATAATTGGGAATAATTGGATAGCCAGTAAGTAGTAGCCAGTAATTAGGAATGAAGACATTCAAAAAACATGAACAAACTCCAAGTGAAGTTGCTTGAAGTCACGAGGAGCAACTGCAGCTGTCAACACCAAACAGCACAAACACGCCAAGTATTCAATTCCCCTCCGCGGGGGAACATTAGTCCAATAAGTCAATTCGACTATTGTTTGCCTTGACCTCCTTTTTACATCCTCCCTTGCACCCCTATTATAGTCATAATGGCTTCCACTACCAAGCGCGCCGACTTCGAGGCTGTATTCCCCAAGCTGGCCCAGGAAATCCTGGATCATGCTAAGCGTTACAACCTCCCCGATAACGCTCTCGAGTGGTTTGAGAAGGTGAGATTACCTTATTAGTAGCGTTTCAGCCGCAAAATCCCCTTGGACCCTGACATTGACCCCATTTCCTAGTCCCTGAACGCCAACGTCCCTGGTGGAAAGTTGAACCGCGGTCTTTCCGTCCCCGATACTGGTCTTGCCCTCCTGCAGAAGCCCCTGACCGGCGAACAATTCGAGCAGTTGAGCATTCTGGGATGGCTCACCGAGCTGCTCCAGGCTTTCTTCCTTGTCAGCGATGATATGATGGATAGCTCCATTACCCGCCGTGGTCAGCCCTGCTGGTACCGCCAAGATGGTATCGGTATGATCGCCATCAACGATGCCTTCATGCTTGAGTCCTCCATTTACCTCATCCTGAAGCAGCGTTTCCGCTCCCACCCCGCCTACATTGACCTCGTCGAGCTCTTCCACGAGACTGCCTGGCAAACCGAGCTGGGTCAGCAGTGTGATCTGATCACCGCCCCCGAAGATAAGGTCGACCTTGACAACTTCTCTATGGAGAAGTACATGTTCATCGTTACCTACAAGACTGCCTACTACAGCTTCTACCTCCCCGTTGCCCTTGCTTTGATCTACCTGGAGCGGGCTACTGCCGAGAACCTCAAGCAGGTTCACGATATCCTGATTCCCTTGGGTCAGTACTTCCAGATCCAGGATGACTACTTGGACAACTTCGGTGACCCAGCCTTCATTGGCAAGATCGGTACCGATATCCAGGACAACAAGTGCTCTTGGTTGATCAACCAGGCCATCCAGCGTGCCACCCCTGAGCAGCGTGCCGTTCTCGATGCTTCTTACGGCCGCAAGGACTCTGCTGAGGAGGCCAAGGTCAAGGCCATCTACAACGAGATGGGTCTGGAGAAGGTGTACCAGGATTATGAGGAGAAGGTCGTTACTGAGCTGCGCGAGAAGATCGCTGCCGTTGACGAGACCAAGGGCCTGAAGAAGGAAGTCCTGGAGTCCTTCCTCGCCAAGATCTACAAGCGCACCAAATAGACCATTCACACAATGGGTGTTTTGGAACTGAAGATTAATACAGTTGATACCCGGCGCTCTGGCGCGTGACGACATCACGCAAGCTTACAATTTCGGCAATTTCGACTCATATAACATGTTAATATAAAATTCGGGCTTTGTTTTCATTCAACTATTTTTTATGGGCATTTCGGTCCTCTCAAGCGCTTGAAATAGTACCTACTAGTAGTATAAACTAACTTCCAACACTTCAAGGTGTATCAGTGCACCTACATAGTAGTTACTATAGTTACAAGGCTCCGGCGCGGGGTTATCCTTATCGGTTTATCTTATCATGAATTTCCGCAGGGTAAGCGAGTAGGAAAGGAGGATACAGCACTTGAGTACTACGCACACAACTCGATAAAAATTCTCTTAATAAGTAGTATTGAATGTATTCAATGTTCCATGCCCGGATGTCCATCGGGCATGGATGGACCTGTACGATGTGCTGTGTAGGCTACGCAGGTGTAGATCTGATATATTGATTCGCGGCCCGCCCCACTTGGCCCACGAGCTAATCCCATTCAGGCCGGTTTTGCACCCCAGATGTTTAACATTTCAATGTCTTCCAATGTTTGCCTCAACCTCGACAATGATCCTACGAGGAACCACACAATGACCCTGTCCTGCATACGCCTTCCTCGCACTAAATTATCTCGGATTTTCAGCGTGACTTTGTGGCTCCTGCTGCTGGCAGGCATCACAACCGCAGACCAAGAAACCCGCTTCCGCTCCGAGAAATATGCCCATGGTTTTGAAGGTGCATTCCCGCTACAGCGTTATTCGTCAGCGGGCGTGCTAGGCCCTATCCTGAATTACTGGGAGACCAGCATCGCATGCGACGATGGTCTATATACGATCATTGCACCGCGTGGTGGAGCGGTGCACCACTCTGGACCCATGATTCTGGATAAACAGGGACATCTGGTCTGGTTCAAAGAGTATGAGACGACATATAATGCGAATGTATATACTTACAAGGGGGAACGATATTTGACGTTTTGGGCGGGTGATGACTTGGTTCGAGGGCACGGGGAGGGGATAATGTATATGGTAAGTTTTGGGACCATAAGCTAAAACCGGAACATATAGGCTCACTATGAATGATCTAGCTCAACTCCAGCTATGAAGAAGCATATAAACTGCACGGTGTAAACGGTGTTGCAGCAGATCTGCACGAATTCCATATCACCCGCGACGACACTGCAGTTTTCACAGTTTACGATATCAAATCCGTAGACCTCACCTCAACAGGCGGCTCAAAGGATGCCTGGATCTACGATGGCGTCTTCCAAGAGATCGACGTCGAAACCAATGAGCTCCTCTTCGAATGGCGCGCCTCAGAGCACTTCTCCTTCAGCGAGGTTGAGCGCGACAGCGAAGGAACCGGGGATTCCGAAGAGGACCCTTGGGACTGGTTCCACATCAACAGCGTCGACAAGGATGAGCATGGAAACTTCCTCATCTCTTCGCGGTATCTAAATTGTCTCGCATACATCAGCGGTACGACCGGAAGCGTAATCTGGAAGCTCGGCGGCAAAGAAAGTTCATTCACCGATATATCGGCCGGCTCGGCGTCGAATATCAGCTGGCAACACCACGCGCGTTTCCAGCCACAATACGATACTGTGAACACGACAAAAGTGATATCCATCTTCGATAACTCTTCCCGTGGAAAGGGTGCGCCGGAGAACCCGAGTCGCGGGTTAATCGTTGATATCAACGAGGTGGATATGACGGTTGCAGTTCGCGCGGAGTATTGGCACCCCTTGCCGATTAGTAGCCAATCGCAGGGGTCGATGCAGGTTCTTGAAAACGGCCATGTGTTGCTCGGGTATGGGTATAGCGCTGCGTGGACGGAGTTCGGAGCAGACGGGGAGGTACTTTGTGATGTCCATTTTGGCCCAAGCGAGTATTTCCAGAAGGGCGATATCATCTCGTACCGGACTTTCAAGCAGAAGTGGGTTGGGCTGCCGCTTAGTGCGCCCGATGTCGCTTTATCTGGAACTACGGCGGCTGTTACCTGGAACGGGGCGACGGAGGTAGCTACGTGGGTGTTGCAGGGGTCGCTTGTTAATGTGACAGACAAACCCGCGTTCAAAGATGAGGATGGGGTGTTGCAGTATTCGAGTGGACATGTTGATGATGTCGACTTTGAGTTCATCTCTGCAGTGCCGAAGACAGGCTTTGAGACTCGTATCACTATCCCGCCCGATACACCGTACCGCACATTACGTATCGTTGCCCTTGATGCCACGGGGACTTTCTTGAGAGAGACGAGGGCGATGGAGTGGGTACCCGAAGAAATGAATGAAGAGATTGGGGTATTTGCTGGGAGCGAGGAGCCAGTGAAACCAAGTTGGAAGCTTCACATTGCACCCTTGCTCATGTTCGCGATGGGCTTCATGAGTGCTTTGGCGATTTTGCTTTGTGCATGGCTTACCTGCAGGTGTATATATCCTGGATTTTCGGGCCGGGCCTTCGTCGGCTGGAAAACTGGTGGCAGGGACGATGAGTGGGAGGCTGTTCGATCAGGCGAGGAGCTTGATGACTTGGATGATTTCAGCGATTTGGAATCTGGAGAACGAGATGAAGAACATTTGTTGAACAATGATAGAGACAGGGAATAGACCCTGCACTGAACCTTGCATTGTATGTACATTAAGTATCTGGTCATTGCTGGCGCTTGGGAATTAGAATATTCATGGTTACACTTTTACACTTTCACACTTTTACAATTTACTAATCTTTATGGGCAGCAATGCGAAAGCAAATTTCTTCATTCATTTATATGCCCAGTGCTTGTCCAGACCAAAGAGTGAAGCCTGGAATCAATGGCAAAGCTCTTTATCAAAAGCCGAGTGCCATGTCCATCCGAAAGACCGCCTTAGGCCGAGGCAGCAACTCCCAGACGCTGGAAGCCACCATTGGCAGCCACCTCCTCCTGGAGCTTAGCCATACGCTTCTGGTCTCCAGTGGGATCAATAGAGTCTTCATCCAGCGTCCAAGAAAGGTATTTGTTGGTGTAGTTGGACTCGAAGTCGTCATCCAAGATACCAAGACGCTTGCCATAGCGGGTAACCTTCTCCCAATCACGAGCCACATTCTTAAGATCGCGACTGAAGTAGGCATAAGAGCGTTCAAAGATCTTCCGGTTGACAGGCGTCGCCATAATAGGCTTGAAGTCAACGTACTCCTCATACGTCGCCTTCGGATCAGCGAGCACATCGTCCGTAGCGCGCTTCACAGCGCGCATGAACTTGGCCACACGCTCGGGGTTCTCGGCCAAGAACTTGTCGTTGGCGATGTACAGGATGGAGCAGAAGCAGCAGCATCCCAGCTCGGCCAGCTGGTCGATGCGCAGCATTTGGACATCGGAGCGCGGGCGGTTCTGCTCAGCTAGCCACTCGGCCAGCTCGACCATCTGCACGTTCTCGAGTCCAATGCCCGCGTCGATGTCGCCGCGGATTATGGCCTTGGTCACATTCATGCCGCAGCGGACGGCGGTGTAGTCGTCTGCCGTCATGCCGTAGTACTTTGTGAGCTCGTCGATCTGAATCTTGCCGAACTCGCCGACGTAGCCGATGCGCTTGCCCTTCAGGGAGCGGAAGTCCTCGGTGATTCCGCTGGACTTGAGGTAGACGACTCCAGTGAAGGGCTCATCCAGGAGAGAGCCGATGGAAGTCACTGGGAAGTTGCGAGCCTTGGCCTGTGAATTAATCGATGTTAGGATGATTGCTCTCCGGCCTCATTGTAATATATATACGCTAGCTTTACGTACTGCCAAAGTGTGGATCATGGCCTTGAAGCCCATGTCGACTTTGCCGCTGCCGATGATCTCGGTCACATCGGAGGGGTCATTGGGCTCCAGCAGGGCAACCTTGAGGCCTTCATCCTTGAAGTAGCCACGGGCCTGAGCGAGGTAAAGAGGGGCGTGGTACGGGGTGGCGTGCCTAAGAAAATGAGAAATCTCAGCCTCGATATCCCATACTAGATAGAAGACAGGAGCCAAAGGGGAAGAAATGAAAAAAAAAAAACCTCATGTGCTGTTAGCATACCAGTTGGTCAGGAAGGTGATCTTGTCCGTAGCCATTTTGAAGATTGGATCAAGAACTGTTTATACTTCTATCGAGTCAGCATCCCCGACACAAGCGCATCCGCGTTCCATAGTCACTATGTTAGCCAGCCATAAGCAAAACACCCATAGTAACCAGTACGAACACGAACACACAAATAAACAGCAAAGGGGGGGGGAGGGAACAATCAAAAGTCACGCATGTCCTTTCGCTAGAATTATCTAGATCAAGTTTTGACAGTATAATCTCAGAACAGCCAGACTGTCACGATAGAATCTGATTGCTCATATCTACCACGGCAGTCTAAGCCGAACACCTGTCATGCGTAGCAGTGACCATTATACGATGAACAATACCTTGACCCTATGATTATCATAGCGGGGACAAAAGTCCCGGGGAACCCCCACGCGGGGAGACCCGAAAGCTAGGACGTGCGCAGCTCCATTGTAGAGAGTCGTACCGAAGGTAGACTTGGTAATCGTTGCCGAGGAAGTGTCAATAGACGAGTAGTAGATTGGAATTGAGACAATTGAGAATGTGAGAGGGGAAAGAGGTAGGAAGAGGCGCAGACGGAGGGGTAGAAATACCCCGGAGTGGAGTTGTCCGCCAGGGTCTGTTTCATCATAATTGCACCACGAAGGTTCACCGGGATGCGCAAATCATGGGCAATCATGGCTTGCCAAAGCTCCAAGGTTTCCCCGAGTAGCTCGCTTGTAACTCTATTTGGCGGTTGGATATCCACATACTTCCGAATCCAACCGGGCTACACATCCGACATCGCAGACCCTGGTCTAGGCTGTACGGGGTAAATGCTCTTGCGGCGAGAAGTACGTTCAATTCACGAATCAAATTCCAATCCAAGAGTTAAAACAGATATAAAGGCTTCAAGATGCATGGATATGAAGGTCAAATTACAAGGTGACGTCAGGTGGAGAGAGGTCCGGGAGAAAAGAAAAGAAAAAACAACACAACACCAAATGCAAAATCCCAGTGAACAAATGAGCAATTGCGCAACCAAAAGAGGAAAAGGGAATCTCGTGGAAGAATCCTAGAATCATTCTTCTTCTTCAATCTTGGGGACATCTCCATTTACGGAGATGCTGTCCAGGGGAGACTGTGGACGTTCGCCAGACTTCCGAGTCCGGAGCGTGAGTGGGTAAAAGTGCTCGTCGGGTTCTTCCTCCTCACTGCGGGGTTTGTTAGCGTCTGGGCTTTGGAAGATCATTGCCTTGTGACCAAAGAAGATCATGAGACAAAAAGGTGGGTAGAGTGGGTCTAAACTTACGGAAGCTTCCAGGCAACATAGTCTTCGGTGCTCAGTCCCTCGCGACCTTCCTGGAGAGAAGCAAAATCGCCGGGGGTCATCATTCCGGAACGATCACGAGGAGAGCCCGGGACAGACAGAGGGCGAGAGATCTTCTGATCAGTTCCACCAATGATGTTGAAATAGTCCTCCTTCTCATCGAAAGAGGTAGGATAAGCTATAATTTAAGATTAGCAAATCATTCAGGGGAGCTTGAAGAGGGGGTTCAAAACGTTACGTACCCCTACGCAGGGCCAATTGCCGCGCCTTGACATACTCCAAGCCCATTCGCTTCCAGTCAAGCAGGTCGCTGAGTCTCTCGGTTCGGTTACGCTGGTTGATACGTTGACGCCGGCTCTTTGTGGTGAAGTTGAACATGAAGTCAGTCAGCTGGTTGACCGAGTCGTCCACTCCCTTGGACCGACGGTCAACAATGTAGATACCATAGTCAGAGGAGTTTTCAATCAGCTCTTCCATGTAGCATCCGAATCCTGACAGGTTTGTGGTAATACTTGGCACACCCATGACGGTGCACTCGGCCGGGGTGTATCCCCACGGCTCGTAGTAGGAGGGGAACACTCCCAAGTGGGTTCCACGAACGAAGTCATCGTAGTCAAGTGGCAGCACAGGGTTAGAGGCGTTGAGGAACTCGGGATGGAACACAATCTTGACGCGATCGGAAGAGTTGTTAAACATTTCCACGCGGCGCAGCTGGTTCAGAATGGGATCCTCGTGGTCATTGACCATGTTGTGCGTGACAATAGGAGGAAGGCCGTGGCGTTTCATCGCAAACAGGCGACGACGCAAAAGCACCCGATCTTGACTGGTGATAAGGTCCTTCTCGTCGGGCATGTTTTCACCCTCCTTCCACGACAGACAACGCTCATACATGCGCTTTCCAATGCCCTTCTCAATGTTTTCAATGGTGTCGCGGAGGGACTTGACAACGGCCTGGCCCTTGAGGGACTCCACTGTCAAGGAGGAGGTTTGTGCGGGCATGATAATAAAGGCGACCACAGTCGTGGTGGAGCCACTGGTCTTCAATCGGTGGTTGAGACGGGCCAATCCCTCGATGAACATGTCCACACCCTTATTACGGTACTCGTACCGACCAGCGGTGAACAAGTATAGAGTGTCATCCAAATCAAAGTCGTTATGACCGTAGAAGTGACCGCGAACGAAATCATTGATCTTCTCCTTAGCTTGCGAGTGCAAGTTTTGGAACTCGTGCATAGCGGAGAACTTCTTGACATTCAGACCGTTCGGGAGAACTCCGTCGGGCTTGCGCTTGAGCAGATGTTCACTCTCAAAAGCGGTGATATGCGACACTGTAGTGAAGACGTCGGCGCTGTGCGCAGCTGCGCGCTCAATGCAGTATCGGTGGTAGATGCCACGCTTCCCAGCTTCGGCATCCACATCAAAGTGTTGAAGGTTGTTATAGAAATCCACAGAGCCAGCGCAGAGATAACGACCCAGGAGAGTGGCATGAGTGGTGAAAATGGTGGTCAGATCCATGTGACGTCTCTTGGTCAATGGCAAAGCTACACCAGCGAGCCATTCATGGAAATGAGCGACCACGGCCCGACGCCGTTCGTGGGCGATGTACTAGAGGTCATTTGGTCAGAATTCTAAAATTTTGAAACAAAAATGTATAGATATAACCCTTTCAAGGGAGGAATTGACGCGACTTACTTCACCCAAGAACCATGCGACCAAGTATCCAAAAACGATGGCCTCGTTGGTTTCGTGATCGGCAGCGGGAGCCGGGATGCCGGAGGTGTTCCACAGATCGCCCTTCCACTCGTCCAACCATCGGTAACCCGTACCGGTATCGATGAGCAACACCCGTGGAGCTCCCTCAATCAACCAGCGACCGTAGACCATCTCAATGCCACGCTCTTTCATGGAGGCAATAGTTTCACGCATGGCTGAACTAGCCGGGGTGAGCTCTTCTACCTCGACGGCAGCTGAAGCACGGTTGAGAGGACCAATCATGGTGTAGCGTTCACCGTATTCGGCGGTTGTGACGGGGGCTTTGGACTTGAGCACCGAGTAGATACCGCCAACCCGGTTGGCCACCTCAGTTGCCACCTCAAAGAGCATGTGGTTGCGCACATCGCGCTTGATCTCAGTACCGTTCTCGTCGGCCATTGTGAACAAGATACCAAACCCCTCGGGAGAAAAAAGGAAGAAATGTGAAATGAACAGAAGGTTGAAGGAGGGGAAAAACGAGAGAGGGGAAAGGTTGAGCTTTGGGTGAACCAGAAGCCGGGAGGATTGAGCTCCGGACTCGGTCTGTGCGGGGATACGCGGGATCCCAGTTTTTTTCGACTTCCCCAGAGTTGGCTGGGGAACAAGAGGGAAAAAAAAAGAGAAATCTTGGAAGTCAATCGACTTTTTAAAAGCTTTGAGAAGCTTACGAACTACAAGATAAAAATAAAATCATTAACATTTAAGCCCCCTGAATTCTTAGGCCCCCATAGCTATAGAATAACTCCGTTTTCACCTACTGTTACAGCAGAGAAGATTGGAACGTCCCGCATACTAGAACCGGGCCAACTGCGTCTCGGCAACACAGTGTCACTTTACTGCTTGGTCCTTGGTTCATAGACCAATTTTTCTGTTTTTTTTTCTTCTCTTTTTTTCTCTCAAAAACCTGTCACCGGTCAAGCTAGTGCCTTTTGGTTCCATATTTTACTGAGTAAATACGAATATAAAGACTTTTCTTTCTTACCCCTGACCAAGTTTCAGGCTAAGGCTTTAACAGATGTAACACTGTCAGGGTAGACCTTAGTATTTTTTAAAGTATTTTTTTTCTCTGTAGCTTGGCGCCAGCTCGGCCCGTGCTAGTCGATCCATTGTAAAATTGCTTCATGCCAATCAATTTCTCTTTTTTTTCCCATCGCGCAGATATTTTCACTATTTTCACTGCACGGGGGCGCCACTGGAGAGGGGAAATCCGGTTTATGGTGCAAAGCTCGTCTGGGGAAAAGCCGATCCCGTGATGTCATAGTGGAGACTTGAACGATCTGACATTCTGGAATCCACAAATCATTCATCTTCATTAACTATACATGCTCTCAAGCTATACTCAACATAGCTATCCCGAAAATCAAACATAACTATACCAATACATCAGTACAAGAATCTGGGGTTCGCACAAGTACCCCTACTTATCCTGGTCAACCTTGCAGCCCCAGTCACAATGAACTCATTACGTCTACTTTATGTCTATGCCGAGACACTGAGCTCATGATGATCTGCTTTTTTGGAGATCTCTTTGTGGGGTCAGACATCAGGTGCCAAGTCACTCTTTTTGGTAGGACGAGGCTCAAAGATACCTACTAGTATAGTAAGTACTGGACATCGGGAAGAGAAAAGAGAAACTTGAACAATGCACTTATGCTCATACTCTGAACTGATACAGCTTCCTCTTATCCATTCTCCCGATTCACAAAGACTATTTACATATCCCAGCTTATTCTTTTAATTATTCAGTAACTATATGTCATACTAGTAATTCTCTGGAGAAATTCCCAAAAAGCTATATAAATCTCAAAGTCACGGGGCCTGGAAGAATTGTGACAAAGCATGTGTTCGGCCTTAAGAAGGGTAGGAGGGGCCCGTTAACATCAACACCTGAGCATAAGTGTAGACGTGTCAGCCCAAACATTACTCACTCAAGCACCACTTGAAATCAAAACAACACTCCCATTGCTGGTCTCAGCCATGACGCGTAATGAATAGCCATTCGCCCCCAGATTCTCATTCCACCTTTTCCAATCAACTTCCATTCCCATTGAATATTGGATCTCGAATCTGGCGACGACTATGGCATGGGATTTTGTCATCTTGCCAGAGGGCCTCCCCCTCTGACTCTCGTCCCAATATCCTCCTCCCACCCGACCCAATCATCCCACTCGAATATCCACGAACTTCTTCCCCTAGCTGCCGCCCAATTCAATATGATCGCGTCTCGACCCTTTTGGATGTGGATTACCTCCGCGGTCCCATCAATACAGACGGCCGATCACAGGGTGGAAACTTAGAATCATTGCATGTTATCAACCCCGACATACATACACAGAGCTCCCGCGCAGGCTCTTATTACGGTACATTTGATGATGCTAGTAGGGTAGGACGTCGGGGTTCCCACGTGCCTTGTCTCCCCGATCTTTGGTTTACAACAGCCCCAGCTCCACCCTTGTCTGTCACCATAGGCCTAGGCCTTCAAAACTTAACGGAATCACTGATGCCCGAAAGTCAGCCTATCATTCACGCCGAGCCATCTTCTTCTCATTCAACAGAAACCACGTCAGAAGAGCTATTGCCACCGCCTGCTCTAGACGAATTCCATCGAAGAGCTCCCGGCCTTCCTCTCAACGGCTTCTCTCGTGCTATGAAATTTTTCTTGCCTCCCTCTCCCTGTATCTCGGAGGATGATGTGGGCCAGGGATATAGCTCGGAAGATGATACCCAGGAACCCGATACAGCGCTTCCTCGCACCCGGTCTCATATCCCATCATTCCGGTCCAGTCGAGAGTCCTCATCTTGCTTCACACAGCGTCGTGACCATAGGCGGGGAAAGCGCCGATTATCACACATCGAAACTCAGCCACTCATTCCACATTCGCCAAGAAAGGAAACTATTAGACCAGGCTATCGATACAAATCATCTGTTATCTTTCCATCTGAGAATACGGACAAGGCACAAAGCTCACGTGGTCCTGGTGGATCACGTAGAGTGTCTAGCACCTTTTCCAACAGCACATCCCCTAGCCCAATGTCGGAAGCCTTTAGTCGCCGGCAGCGTGGAATTTTTTTAAACCTTTACAGTTTGCCTTTTCTATCGCAGACGCTAACTGCAGGTACGGTTGCGCAAAGCCGTCGACGCCTCTAGAAAAATGGAGCCGCGTATGTTCTCTTATGAATTTGCTTTTATTCATTTCCATTCCATATCAATAGATCATTTTAGCTACATGCAGCCTTGGAATGAATGCCGCTTTTATCAACTTTATCTAAATACATACCATGCCCATCCAAGTATTTATTTGCCAATGTTTCTTCACTTTAACACAATTGTCGAATTTTTGCACTTGTACGTAAATTTCGTGCGGCATACCTTCCCAAGCTGCAAGTGTCCACTCTATACATCGTACGTGGACCGTGCGTTCAACGTTGCGGAGGCATGTGGCTTGCCCTTGATTAGTCATCTCACTTCAACGGTATCCACACGGCGGTATCCAGTGGCAGTATTATCCGTGATTCCTAATCACTCTCAATAGTCAAGGCAAAACTGCACATGCATAGTACCAAGTTTTGTTCAAATCAATAGATTTTAGTAATGCCAATTTTTGGTTAACATCGAACCATCTGAATATGTGGTTGACTGCGTCGTCAAGCTCATCTCGGGCCGATTGGGCGTTGGAAATCGGCCCGTTTTCTTTTGACTTTCCTACAGGGTCCGCGTGGGCGGCACGCCGCACGCTTTTGTCCCTGAACATCGGAAGCATCCGTTTGCATCATTGAATTCCCTCTTCCCTCTTCTAGAACAAGGTCTACAGTGATGTTGAAAATTCCCGATATCCACTGGACCCTCTACATATGGGCCAATGACTTCGATCAGCCAAAGATCAATGCCCATTCGTCGATGAAGTCATTGTGGAGACATGACTTCACGATGCTGTCACCGATATCTATGGAAGGGCAGTATACAGGTTAACGATTCCGCGCGCTCCATGGACAGGTATTTAAAAGCTGGCGAGGGATCTTTCTCTGCCTCTATTACACAAGTTTTCCAATCTTCACAACTCAATCGCACTTTCTCAAGGTACATTGTCACTCCAAGACATCAATTGCTTTCAACAAATCGAGAGACTTACCATGAAATCGAATGCAGACTTTATAACTTCCACCAATCCTTCCAGACATCATTCACAATGGTTCGCGGCGCCGAGTACGACAACGGAGTTCCCCAGTCCGACAACGCCATCGAGGCCGGCCAGACCAAGGCCCACGGTGTTGGCAACGACGTAAGCATTCCGATTCCCTCACGTGCTATAATCTCGCGAATTCCATCTAACAGCATATCCTGCAGAATGCCCCTCTGAACCACACCCAGAAGGTTGCCCCTATGCCCGAGGAGACTGGATCGCAGCGCGACGTCTTCCCCGGTACCAGCGGTATCGGCCACAACTCCGGTAGTGGCAAGGGCGGTCACGATCCCAAGACTCTCGGCGAGAAGAAGGGTCTCGGTGCCCAGCCCGGCGTTTAATTGCACCACATATTTTGACTATTATCTATACAAAATTTCCCTACCTCCCTTGATGGGACGGAGCACCTAAAAGCATGAAGGTGGCACGAGTTACGCATCATCACTCTGTGTATACGTACACTACACGATTTGAACCTCGATACAGTTTCTAGAGCTTATTGCAAGCTTAATTTGAATACTGAAATGTATAACTACACATTGATCTCCTAAAATCTGGTTCGAGCCGTAAAGTGTATAAATGTTTGAAGCATTGATTGGAAAGTCCATGTGCATCCGTAGATTTCGATTTTTGGCTCTCTCCTGAGCTCTTTCCAGACCCACACGTGGACTGCAATTTTCAATTGTACGTTAAATCAGAGCATTCAAGAAATTTATTGGAGGCGAGCTAGACTTGACATTTGAAGTTCATACATCCATGAATGATGTAGCTTTCAATTTAAACAAGAAGACTGGATTCATGGCGTGGAAACCAATCTTGGAATGGCGAATGTTCGGTGTTATTCAAAGTTCTCACAGGAACTTTTCCATACCTATTGAGGTTTGATTTGCTCAGTGGAATAGAGCACTACGTCAGAATGTTTTACCTACATGCAGGCCAGATGTCGGGTCCGCGAATTTTATCGTAAGCCTTCAACTACCAACTACTGCTGCGTCGCGTCTAAAACCGAGGTCGTGGCCACATGCGCAAATAATGTATGAGCACAGCCCCTGAGAATTGGATCTTTGAGATTTAGCAGTCGACTTTGAGATCAGCGGGTAAAATTGTTCTTTATTTAGGTTTTATATAAAGACAGAAAAAAAAAAGTTAATATGCAGAAGAATGAGGGATAAGAAAAGAAAATGAAATGTACAAAAGCAAAACCCGCCTTCACAAAACTTAGATAGTAGACTGGGGCGTTCGGGGTGTCATAATCGATCGGTCGTTATGTTTGTTGCTTTGGGTTCGTATATCGGGAGCTGGGGTTGTCGCTTTGGGATTTGTAACGTGGAAGTTGCGTTGGGCGTACTCAAGAACGAGGGAGCTTCTCGAGAATAACCAGGACTGCTTTGTCGCCGTGACCTTTTACATAGTCTATGAGATCCTCAGTGACACTAACCAAACCTTCCGCCTTCAACTTCTCAACTTCATCCTTGAAGCCACCAGTAACCCAGATCTCATCAAGGATAGTAGCAACAACAATGCCATTTGTCTTAGTAACTCGGACCAGTTCGCGTAGGGCAGGGTCCGGGCCAACGTGGCCAAGGGTGAATGTGCCAACGCACACCACGGTGTCGTAGGTTTCATCGGGCTTCGCAATGGATCGGTTCATATCCGCTTGATCTAGATTCCGGTAGACGCCAGTATCTCTGGCAATTTCAAGCATGGGGACAGAGAGGTCAATTCCATCGATTGCCTTTGGTCGGGCAATTGAGAGGGCCTGTCCCACGAGTCCGGTTCCACAGCCGGCATCTAAGATGATGCTGTTTGCGGGACCGTTGGCTTTCTCATATTTCAGAGCTGCTTGGGCGACGAGCACGGGAGCAACATAGCTCTGGGCCTCGTCACCAACCTCGTCGTTGTATGTTGCGGCCCACTTGTCGTAGATAGACATGCATTCCTGACTGCTGGGGCTGTCTCTAGCCTGTTGAAGGTAGAGAGCCGGGGGTGGAGCAGGGATTGCAGGCGACATAGTGGACGGGGGGAATGGGATTCTGGAAAAGAAAGAAAAGGTGTTGAAAATTGGTAGTTAGGATATTTCAAACGATAGTAGATGTTGTCTTGTCAGATTGATCTGTTTAGCTCTGCAAGATTGGGTTGGTTTTTTTTTAGTTCAATCCAAGCTTGTACGTATGTCGTTCTTATAAGTTTCAAAACCACCTAGATTAGTATAGCAAAGTTTCCTCTTCACAAAAGTTCGAGACCATGGCGTGATACGCGAAGATGCGGGGTTTTTGCGAATCCTACCCAAAGCACTGTCGCGTCGTCGATCGATGATGTCGGTGGATAATGATCCCCGGTATACCCCGACTCCGCACCAGCTAAAAAAAGAGCCATCTGCAAATAATAACGTGAAAGATGTATTGGTTGAAGCGAACCATAGTTGAAGCAAAGATCGTATTATTTTCTCTTTCCGTTCCCGGCATATAACACATCCATGGATCATTTGGCACATAGAAGGCATTCTAGACTACATCCCTCAAAGATCTCTTAGACACTGCGGGATAAATTTCAAAACTATATGACCTCGTCAGCGCCAATGGTTTCATAGTTTGATCCCGCGTGCATCACCAACTGCGGAGACCACTTGCATGCGCATTGGCACTTTCCTTAAAGGCGTCTGTGCAACGAAAAACAGGTTTACAAAATCTGATTTGACTTGGAAAAGGATACTGGAACATAATGCCTTCTCGTAAAAGGTTCTGGTCAGATCGACTTCAACCAATCACCATAAAGACCAGTTTTCTAGAAACATGATCGTTTCCCCGGATATTGCCAGGCCGGTTGGCTATTGTTCAGCCTTATTTGGTATCATTTGATCGCCTCTCCACGTCCGGTCAAATATTAGTGGCTTCAAATGGCCTTTAATCGGTTAGATCATGCCCAAAGCCACAAGGCGTCACCTGTCTTCACAAATCTGCCTAAAATACGAAGGCTTTGATTCAGGGCGGTACCTGATGGAGTGCAGATGAGGGGAGACCCAGTTAAAAACAGATTACGATCCAATCCATCAAATCTTACCAACGGAGTGGATTAGATGTGGTGCATTGTGGGTCCGGGGGCCAGTGCTCCTGCTGTACGTCAACCATTAAGTGCAGCCTACTAGTGGCAGCCTTTTCACTGATGTAGAGGACCAAGAAGAGGGGCTGCTTGGGGAGCATGTGGGGAGCTCTAAGAGGCTCCGGCGTCTGGATCTCATGATGTGGCGATTTGTTGCTAAACCCTGGAATAGAAACGCCTGCATTTGGGCTTTTCACCGTGAATATGAGAAGCCAATGGCTGGCATGAGAATGGTGTTATTATTGACGTCTTCAACTGTCCATTTATTTCTTTTTCCCTAAGCGCCATAAGCCTAGGAAAGGCACTTTGGTGCCCACTGCCCAAGCATGCGAGGTCGCCAGGTATGGGACCCACTTTGGCACAGCCCGGAAGACGATGCGATACGGTACAGAGTACACGCAGGTGTCAATATAATTGGCCTTGTTTAGAAAGTCTTCATTCTAAACTGTATTGGTCTATATTAGTTTTTTTTTTTTATGCGCGCAAATGCTAAGTACCCTTATGTACTGTTTCCACTCGATTCAACCGTCGGTTGAATGTATCTATCAAAGTATCTTTCTTCCCTTTATCCGAATAATTTATCCAGTGACCACTTAGATCATCTTACTTCCAAGCCCTGGACGTGTCCCATTCGAACAGGAAATACAAATAGAATTAAGTTCAATTCACTAACAGAAGAAACGCCGGGCCATTTCTATCAATGCATATCGTGAACAGGCTATGTTATGAGAATGCGGAACAAATGACAAGAATGCTTCTGTACAGCTTCTAGCAATGTCATACCGGTGACTAAAAGCGCCACCTTGGGGAGATGTTATATGTATAAGGGCAGTGTCATGACAGAATCGCAGTCATGTATCAAGTAAATGTACGGGAAAATCATGCGCAAGAGATCAAGACTTCGTAGAGTCAGACCCTTTGTCTTCGTCTTGTTCGTCATCTGCAGGTTCAGGTTGCTCCGAATCAAACATTGGGGCGGCAACACTCTTCGCTTGCACAAGCTGAAGGAGTTTATCACCTAGGACGCCAGCGCCATCGATTTTGCCGAGCTTGGTTCGGAAATGTTCAATGTCGGTTTTCATCCTAAGGAAAGCCGTTAGTACACAGAGCATAAATGACTCGCTTGAAACAAGACTAACCTCTTTTTACCAGTTTCAGACTCGACATGAGCCTCATCAAAAGCCTTGACCCACTGGTCCCGGTAGTTATTAAAAACGGGACCCATGATCATGTCGACAGTCATTTCGGGTAAATGTTTACTCAAAACACGGTGAAGAGTGCCCGTCTCCTTGGCTAGGGTCTCCATGTATGGATGAACCTCAGAAGAATCACTCTCGGAATCCCAATCGATCTTCTTCATGCCATTAACGTGCAACGTTGAGCGAGAGCTCATTATATCCACAAGCTTCTCATGAATACCATTTTGGTGCTCTTGACATAGCCTCTTGACCTTGTCGAACTCGGCCATGACCTGATTTCCTTGCCCGTGCCGACGCACGAATTCCCTTACATACGGTACAAGGGCGACGACAAAGCTCAATGCTTGAGAGGACAGAGCGAGATGTTTGGTTGTAATGTTCTTCAGTCCTGCGCTACGGGTAGCACCAGCGCCAAGGATCAATTGTGAAGACCGGGAGTTAAAAAGCTTCAGAATCTCCAGCAGTTGCGGAGCAATGTCTTGGATCATATTAGGAATGTTCGCCATGAGGAACTCAAATTCCTCAATACTGCGCATGATTGCAACTGCTGAGTCTGGCAGTATGTATTTTTGTTCATCAATGACTGCACTGCGCACTTTCTCCTTGCCTGAGCCGTTGGTGGTAGAGGCGGTTTCTGATGAATTGGTCTGCTCTTTCTCGTTGTAGGGAATCCAAATTTTGGAGATCTCAACCCATGCTTCGATATCCTTAGTGCTTGCATCCAGTATTCGAGTCAAAATAGTGACTTGAGCTTCTCCAAAATCGCGTGCGTCCCAACGATCCGCATCCATGACATTGACAATGCGATGTCGTTGTGTCTCACCAAATTTGGAGATGAACTCACGAATCTGGTTACCAACAATTGTCCTAAGCGCTGTGCCTCCTCGACCAGAGATAGCTTCGCATTCGTCGGCAAAAAGACGGTTGAGAGTGAAGTATTTGAGAAATTCCTCCTTGGAGAGCTGCGAAGTCTGTTCAGACCGAACCTTAAGAACCTTGGTGATCTGAGACTGGGCAATATCCACCGCTTGACCTAGAAGACTGGACATGTCCAAAACCTGCAAGATCTCGTCTTGTGCCATCTGAGCAGAAGGTGATGGACGTCCAGGTGGAGATTTGACATTTTGGTTCATGACTTGCGTGTTTGGGCTCCGAGGCGACCTCGCACGGTTTGTCGCAGGATTTTCGAGACCACTAGCAATATCCAAAAGAATCTTGACTTGGGTGCTTAATCGACGTAGGCATTCACTAATGCCCGTATAGACTGCCAATAGCATTTGATAGGCATCCTCTGGGTCAAGAGCTCGCAAATTACGTGCGAGGACAGAAGATTTCTCTTGCTGGCTGCGTTGACGGTCGCCGACGGTTGAAACTGATACCATAGATTCATTGTCATCATCACTTGAGCTGGGCAAGTGTTTGCGGATAAGTCCTTTCATTTCTCGCAATACAGCTCCCTTGAAGGAGGTTGCGGCAGGCGTGGTGAAGCGAGCTCTTGCCAGACCAGTCAGCTGTATGTGCAATTTCGATCGTAAATCGTTATCAATGTTCATGTATGCGGGAGATACCATCGAAACAGGACGGTTTCCGCCTCTTTGCCGCAAGAAGGAAGAGCCCCAGCGCTGCAAAGTAACATCCGAGGACACGTTCTGGACGTGCTCACGCAAGTCGCCGAGCAGATCATTCAAGAAGCGGGTTTCATATCCCATTCCAATACGCTGTCGTAATTGTGCAAGGTCTTCCGATGCGCCATCCAGAGCATTGAGTCCTCGAAGATCAATTGCTCGTCGAGGGATGTCCTTATCATCGTCTCCGACTGAGCGATCAGACACCTTCTCACCAGCCATCAACTTCTCTACCTCTTCGAGTTCATCAGAGGCAACTTCGATGTCACCCTGTTCGACCAGTTCTTCGCATCGAGATACAGCATCCACCACATCACGAAGTTGAGCCACAGCAGCAGCCAGCATCCGTACATTTTCTCTCCGTCGCCGTAGATTCACAATTTTTAAGCCCCCCAGAGCCATCTCCTTATCAATCTTCTGGAGGTCCCGACGCAGAACTTGGATTCTTTCTACCGACTCTGCCGCCTCCGCATGTAATTCTCGCAATGAACCCAATGCCGTGAAAAATGATTTAGAGGCAGTCGAAATGGAGGATATCAAATGAATTTCCACGGTATCCATATACCAAGATAGCTTCTCCTGCAAAATGGCATTGGTCGCAAGTGCCTTCCTTCCGGTATGAACAGGCTCCGGTGTGCCCCCATTGGACTGCAGGTCGTCTTTCACAGGAGGCCGAGGCGGTCTTACTACCTCCGATTTTTCTGATATAACATCAAATGTCCGAGGATTCTCCAGATGGAAGTCTTCTTCAAGATAGACAGGTGGGATAGTCGAGAGGGGTGTTACTGCAGGGCCGCGGCCGCGCACTGAGGGCCGTCGGCCACGTGGATCATAAGGAGAAGTTGGCCTTGAGTTGTTTGATATAGTCGAAGATCTCCGCTCCGGGCTCCATGGCATCAATGAATCCTTATATTCAGGTTTGGGTGATTTGAGGCTTGGGGATGCTGCGCCTTCCTCTCCGGTACTTTCTTTCGACTGCTGGAAAACATCATATAACGAGCCTACTTGCGACAAGTACGGCTGGAATACCTTCGACTCTACATGGGTGATATTGGTCAAGGTTACTGGCGCAATATCGCGTGATGATGGAGGTTTGTATCCAGTGGTCGACACAGCGGTGTGGGGTGTTAGCCCGGTTCGAATTATGGGGGCTTGCAAGAGGGTCGAAATGGCTGCAGTGACACTCTCGTATTAGTACAAATGGTTCTGATCAGATGATTTCCTGCCATATGTGTATCCTACCGTTCTGTCCTGACTCTGCAATAGACCCTTGGTGTTGTGAGGTATCCAGGATCCCTCCAATGCTCACAATAGAGCTCGCTGTGGATCCCCTCCTCAGGGGGAACCGCTGAGGGGGAACCCGAGGCGACTCCAGTTGAGTCGTAGAATAGTGCGAGATAGATGGCGTGGATGCGCCGGACGCCAGACTATCAATTGACTTGCGCGGGCTGTTCGTCATCGTGTCCACGTCCGCACGGCGGATGCGACAGCCACCGGGGTCGATCGTTGGGGAAGCTCGGAGTTATCTGATCATGACAGATCAACCACAAGACCACCGAGCTCGGGGCTCTAAAACCACGTCCACATTCAGCAATAGGCTCCAAGTACAAAGATCTTAGAATAGAATATGCTTCAGAGCTAGACTAGGGCTGCCAAGCAGGTGTCGTGGCATTGTTTCCAAGATGTCATGCCCAGCTTCGCCCAATCGGGAAAGGCGGTAAACCCCGGATGAAGTATTACTCCGCCCCATCAATCGCTGCCTGAAGAAGCTGGCCAGAATCCACTTAACGCGTCTACTGGAAGGAACGCGTCGCGCTCGCGATTTCTATGTTCCCCCAAAAGTTCTCCTGTCTTCAAGTTTTGCAAGTCTTTCCCTCCCCACACCACCACCAACATCCCACCAAACACCATGGATAGACGCACTCCTTACACTCTGAGCGTTCTCGCGCCTAGCACAAGTGGGGGCGAAGAGTCGAAAACTGCTGTTCAAAACAGATTAAAGGACTTTGTGCTACAATTTCAGCTGGACAATGCATTCATTTACAGGTAAGCATTTTACGAGTTTTGCATATCTATTCCAACAAAGCTCGTATCCAGTGCTGACTCGAACCTCAACAGAGATCAATTACGACAGAATGTACTTGTAAAGCAATACCACTGTGATATTGACATCGCCCACCTTATCTCCTTTAATGAGGAATTGGCGCACAAACTCACCACTGAGCCCGGCGAAATCATTCCTTTGGTATGCAATATCTTTCGACCTTGCGACCCATTCTTTTTTTTAACATTGAGCAGTTCGAATTAGCCCTACAAGATTGCACTCGTCGCATTCTATTCTCTGGTGATCGAGAAATCACCCTTCCATCCCACCAACTACTTCTCCACTCCTCGGCATCGCACATTTCCATCCGTGACCTGAACGCCACCAATATCTCTCACCTGGTCCGTATTCCTGGTATCGTCATCGGAGCCTCGACCATCTCATCAAAAGCGACCATTGTTCACGTGCGGTGCAAGAATTGCGACTTCAGCCTTAATATCACTGTCGACGGTGGATTTTCTGGTCTATCCCTTCCCAGAAAATGTGGACGCCAAAAGGAACCTGGTGACCAGCCCGGCGAGGAATGCCCACTTGACCCATATGTCGTGCACCATGAAAAATGCCAGTTTGTAGACCAGCAGGTGCTCAAGCTACAGGAAGCCCCCGACCAGGTGCCGGTGGGTGAATTGCCACGCCATGTCCTGATATCTGCCGACCGGTATCTTGCAAACAGAGTCGTCCCCGGTTCGCGCTGTACCGTCATGGGAATCTTCTCCATCTACCAGGCGAAGGGTGTCAAGAAGGACGCCGCTGTGGCCATTCGCAACCCGTACCTGCGTGCCGTGGGCTTGAACACTGATGTGGATCAGACTGCCAAGGGAAATTCTGTCTTTTCAGAAGAGGAAGAGCAAGAATTCTTGGAGCTGAGCCGCCGCCCTGACTTATATGAGGCCATGGCCAGCAGTATTGCTCCATCTATCTATGGAAACGCCGACATCAAGAAAGCTATCGTCTGTCTTCTCATGGGTGGCTCAAAGAAGATTCTCCCTGACGGAATGAAACTTCGTGGTGATATTAATGTTCTCATGCTGGGTGACCCCGGTACCGCCAAGTCCCAACTCTTGAAGTTCGTTGAAAAAGCGGCCCCGATTGCCATCTACACCTCCGGAAAAGGTTCCTCGGCAGCTGGTTTGACTGCCTCTGTACAGCGTGATCATACTACACGCGAGTTCTATTTGGAAGGTGGTGCCATGGTCCTTGCTGACGGAGGTGTGGTTTGTATCGATGAGTTTGATAAGATGCGCGATGAGGATCGTGTAGCAATCCACGAAGCCATGGAGCAGCAAACTATCTCTATCGCCAAGGCTGGTATCACAACCATTCTCAACTCCCGAACATCTGTCTTGGCCGCCGCCAACCCAGTCTTCGGTCGATACGATGACTTGAAGACCCCAGGCGAGAACATCGACTTCCAGACCACCATTCTGTCCCGTTTCGATATGATTTTCATTGTTCGTGATGATCACGAGCGTGGCCGTGATGAGAAGATCGCTCGGCACGTCATGGGTGTTCATATGGGCGGTCGTGGTTTGCAGGAGCAGGTTGAAGCCGAAATTCCAGTCGACCAGATGAAACGCTATATCAGCTATTGCCGAAGGTATGTTTGAATTTTCCTAATGATCTATTATACCTTCCCTTTTTCTAACTTGCTACATTTAGTCGCTGTGCTCCTCGCCTCTCGCCTGAAGCCGCTGAGAAACTTTCATCTTACTTTGTCTCCATTCGAAAGCAAGTTCACCGAACTGAGATTGAGTCCAACGTCAAATCATCTATTCCCATTACTGTGCGTCAACTTGAGGCTATTGTCCGTATCACTGAGTCTTTGGCAAAGTTGTCACTCTCGCCTATTGCCAGCGAGGCCCATGTCGATGAGGCCATCCGACTCTTCCTCGCGTCGACCATGGATGCTGTCAACCAAGGCGATGGCCAGGGTAATAAGGACCTCAACCAGGAGGCATCCAAGATTGAAGACGAGCTCAAGCGCCGTCTTCCTGTTGGATGGAGCACCAGTCTGGCGACACTGCGTCGTGACTTTGTCGACACCAAGGGTTATTCCGAGCAAGCCCTCAACCGTGCCATCAATGTTTTGCAGCGGAGAGAAACCATCCAGATCCGCTCTGGTGGCTCTCAGATTTGGCGAAACACTGCATAAATGCTCTAATGATTGTGACATGTTGACTTCAATATACCGTGTACGTGCTATGGGTGATAGGGAACTTTCTACGACGTGCATTTATTTCAGCTACGGAGGCAAAGGAGTTAGACAGGAGTTTGCGCGTGTGATATCAAACCTGGGGTTATGTTTTTTACCCAAATGCATATTCATAATTATTCCAATCACAACCAGCGTTTTGCATGTACATAGTATAACCACTTAAAGAAAATCCCCGTACCTCATTCGCAATCCCAACTGCCAAGCCATTAACGTCGGGCTGCATGTCGTAGGTGACTCGGCAGCTGGACACTTCCGTCCAAGCTGCAGTGGGAAGTTAGGCACCAGCATTATCCGTCAAATCACTCATAGACGTGAGCACTTTTGCCAATCCACAAAGCAGTCGGTCAAGGAAGAGGTTCCCTTGGCCTGCATGCATGGTGCAACATCATTGGCGCCAAGCCAAGGCCAGCCTTACGGTCGTCTGTGGCTGGGGAAATTATGGATACATGGTGCGCCACGATAATGGAGAATCAACGGCGCACACCCAGTGAGAATTACATGATGATTTGCTTCTCGGTCATGTTGTCGGACAACAAACAGGGCTGCTGCGGGGATCCTAGTCTCAAGTCAGACTAGGTCTGGGATGGAATCTCTGGGCGCTGGGTATAAAAAGAAGCTCTTTTTCAGGTCAAGTTACTTTGAGACCAACACCATACAGTATACTTGATCTTCACTTTCATTTCTTCCAATTCTACACCTTTCATCCATTTTTGCCACGATGAGTTTCCACGAGTCAGCGGTCGATATCGAGCTTCATGATGGCCACATTCTTACGGCCAAGCTGCGAGACGGCGAGGGCGAAGAAAAAGATGCTGAAATAAACTTGAACGAGATAATCGGCAATGATAACGGTATGATGAATCTATCCTCAGTTGGATTGGTTGCGCTAACTTCTCGTTTCCTTCTCAAGGCCACTTCTCTTGGGGCGGAGAGAACTTCCGCGACAGTGCTTCTGGCGTTGAGCTTTCTATTGAAGGGGAAGGAATCCCTGTGTTACGAGCTGTCCTGACTGACCTGGAAGGGATGGAGATCGAAGCGAACGTCAACTTGGCAGAGCGTATCTCTAACAACAATGGAGAGCTGGTGTTTGTCTGATCTCGAGTGGCTAGGGGTTGGAATGCGTCCAGAAAGAAATCATCGCAAGCGTGAGAAGGGTTTCATCCCGCTAGTGTTCTTCAAATTGAAGGAATACATCTTCATACTAGTAACTCATCAACCAAATCTGAACACCAAACCACATACCTAAACCCTATTTTAATTTTATGAAAGTGCTCTTCGTCGTTGAAATGAGAAGAATGCAATCTAGACAAAGGTTGATGTCAATAGCATCGATGCCAGAACATGGAAACCTTCATTATACAAGGTAGCTTCCTCTAAGGATTCCTTTGCCTTCATTGATCATAAGGGTTACTATGCACCTGGTGATGCAGTTTAAAAGCAGCTGAGGAACTCATACGAGGTCAGTATCACCCGGCATCCAAGTATTTTCAATGTCATTACTTTGTTAGTCAAGCCTTTTTTTACGGCACACATTACCATCGTCATGTTGGATGGGATGTAACAATCACATTTTTCATTTCGATTAATTTCGATGAAACCCAAAAGAAATTCTTCCGTAGAACATAACATCAGAAGAAACACAACATCGGATTGCCATTCAACCATACTTACTCTGTTGAAATCGAGCACCAATAACACCGGCGGAATCAAGGTCACGGAAGGGGAAGATCAGGCACTCTTTGGGAATCGTATGATGATTGGTGATGCGGCACCGAATGGATATTCCCCAGGATTAAACAATCCGTGTTGTGGGACATGGGTAGGGTCGGCTGTAGTATGAATCGACATATGTGTGCTGGTGACTGGATCAGCGCTCTCCATCATATCGGGTATCGGGTTCCATTGAGAGACGGCACTCGTGGATGATGGCTGTCCTTGCATCCCACTGCGCGCAGCTTCCCTGGCTTCCTTATCGGCAGTCTGGTTTCCGAAGACTCCGTTATGGCCAGGAACCCAATGCAAATGTGTACCTGCGCCCAACTGTTGCAGATCCGTGCTAGCTTTGACAATCCTTTTGAGCAAGTAGCGTCTGATCGGATCTCTTAGAAGTGGCGTCAGGTGCGCTTTTTTGATCATTTCCAGTGATCCGCTCGAATCAGTAAAAATAAACACTTCGTGACGATGTTTTAGACTGGAGGGGTGACACTTGTGGAATAACCCAATGAACTTGTGGGCATGCGAGAGGGCAATCTCGATTCCAAGCAACTCTGCCTGGTCAGATTTCATGAAAGGTACGTCGGAGTTCTCTTTCACTGAATACCATTTTCGATGTTCGGGGTCCAGCCACACTGCTGCGGCGCCTGCTAAAGATACATCGTAATTGTTCATGACCGATCCATCTGTCCAAAATATGTAGTTGTAAACCCCATCACGAAACAACGGGACCTCGTGCATACTCAATGCCAGTCTCTTTGCTGCAGCTCGGTTTTTCTCGATCACCACTTCGCCACTGAAAGCTTCGGGGTCTTTGGCGACGGCCAAAGGAGCCCAGGACGGCTTTTTTGGTAGGGATGAAGTGCTGGTTCTTTCATTGACATGCGAATTTCGAGCTGTGGACCTCAAAGGTGCTTTCTGGTCGGCGTCAGCGGCAGCGGCAGCAAGGAAAGATGTGACTCTGTCCGGGAGTGAGGAACCGGCTGTTTGAGCCCTTGAGAATGCCCGTGAGAATGCAGACTTTATTCTCTCAACACGTTCCAATGCTGGGCCCCGGAACGCGGCCCGTATCTCATGGATCCCCGGGCTCTGCCTGTTCTGGGGAGGCCGCTGGTGGATGGCTGCTGGCTGAGCGGCTTGGTTGAGATCGATGGGGTGCGGGGGGCACCGATCTTGACTCACTGAGCGTCTGCTAGGGTTTACGTGTTTCAGAAAGTCGGAGTGATCAACTTCACCATGTGATATGACAGTCTCTGGTTCCGGTGAGGTGAGATCGATCACCATCCTCTCGAAAGTCTCTGGTTCCGGTGAGGTGAGATCGATCGCCATCCTCTCGAAGGTCAGTCGGAAGTCATGGTCTGGTCGAAGCCGGGTTGGTTGGCTTTCGATCTCTGGCTTGACAAAGATTTTCGGGCTTCGACTTCGACTTCGACTTCTTTTGGGACTTCGGCTTCTGGGATTAGGTCTTCGATTACCTCGTCTGTTCCTTCTTGACGGCATGCTTTTCTCCGGGGGGGGGGGGGGGGATATTGATCGCCTTCGTAACCCTGCTTTTCTTGCTTGAAGGTGTGATGTCAGTCATGGATGAGAGAAAAATTATAAGAAATGGAACCCGGAGTGAATAGACTTACAAGCTGGGTGCCTTGTTAAGGGGTTCAAATCACGTAGACTCAAGACAAGACTCCTTGGGAGTATTAGCTTCACCTAGCTCAACTCGAGGGCAAGCCGTGGCTTCGAGCCACGCATGAAAATGCAATGCTTTTGTTCGCAAGAGAGTGGAAGTCTGTCAAGTTTCAGGTCAAAGAAAATAGACTTGACTAAAACTCGGCGATTCCCAAATAGAAGAGGGGAGGGAGAGGGAGGGACAGGGCAAGAAAGATGGAGAGAGGGAGAGGGAAAGAGGTTGAGGAAGAGGGAGAGAGAGAGAGAGGTTGAGGAAGAAGAATAGAAAGAGGAAAGTAGATGGTGTTTGTTTCCATTTACGTGTAGCAGGACGGACGAACAAGTGGTGGACACGACAGCCCAATTCGGACGCAAACTCTTGTTGTATAGTAAACACAAGAATAGAGATCCTGCCATTTCCTTACTTTCAAAGTACTAGTATCTCGAGACCGTTCTTTCTCTGTTAGGGCATGTTGTTCATCAAACCATGTTTGTTGGCTTAGACTCGATAAACATTGAATATAAAAATACTACTAGTACAGCTTACATTGTGCTAGTAATTTCTTTTCTCGCAGGCGAATGCGAGGTTTCTAGACAGGAGACATCTTTACTTCACTGGTTGCTTCACCATTTCCGACGTTGGAAAGAGCTTCCCAATCTCCAAGTCCAAGCTTACAAATGCTTAGAACCTTCGTAAGGAACGGTTTGAACATGAAATTCCAGAATTTTAAAATTTTGTTGGCCGTAAATTGAGACTGACCTGAGCACTTGTAGTGGTTTCATATCGAACAGGTAATGTGAACGTGGATACTATTCAATGTTTATGTTGATCGTCTATGCTAAATGAAATTTGAGGCAGTAGATGTCGTGGATGTTATGCAGACTGATTGGAACTGATAGAATACATTGTCGTACAATTCACCACGAACCACTTGAGAAGTGCGATATCAACTTCTCAGGCATCGTCGCCGAGTATCTCACTCAAAATGGAAGACCACGAAGGCTGAGCTTGAATTTTGAGATGGCCACTCTCCATATCCATCTTCATACTCAAGTAACTCAATCCAGACCTTCCACCAGGCAACCCACCGGATGCGCATCCATAAATCTGCTCACTAAAGATTCGCAGCTGCATGGGCATCGACGGGCTGCCATAAAGTTTAGCAAGCTCATCTTTCTCAACAGCAGACTCCAGTCTCCAGGTTAAATCCGTCATTCCAAATGTGATGCACTTGTCGGTCTTGTCATCAGTCCACCATTCTGGCAGCAGGTCCCGTTGGCTTTCACCCTTGGTTAAAAACCGCTTGAACCCCTTCCTCAAGTCTTTAGACTTCCCATAAATTCCGTCTTCGTCGATGATGCCGCCAAACTTGGCATCGTACTCCACGCGCAGCCGGTATGTGTCAACGAGTAGCTTGTAAACGTCTGTTTCGGATCGACCGTGGAGCCATTTCTTGGCATGAAGCTGATGGAAGGGCTTGGCAATATCCACGTCCAGTGCGCGGGTAGAACCCGTAGAAGTTTGATTGCGGTCTGGTCCAGCTGGATTGCTGGTTGAAGCACGGGATTGGGTGTCAGATTTGCTGTTGCATGTCTTTTTATGCGTCTTCCAGTCAGCTTTCTGGCAATCCTTGGAACAGTAATATGCCGAGTGATAGCGAGAGCATCGTTTCAGTGAGGATTCGTTTGAGCTGATGGTGTTGCAGTATCTGCACTTGGTAGCTGGAGAATCCGACATGGCTATGAAGAGAGCTGGGCGGATTAGAGTAGGGCTATGTGGGGACAAGATGTCGGATACTCACCTTCGCTTGCTTGTTGACGACTCGGAAGTATCACGAGAGATAGAAAACAACAGAGGGGGCCGATTGGCTGATATGATCTACTAGGTTGGTAGAATGATGGGTTGATAATGGTGTCGAAATAATTTGAAAGTAGGAAAATGGCAGGACCTCTATTCCTGTGTTTGCTACTGGTATACAACAAGAGTTTGCGTCCGAATTAGGCTGTCGTGCCCACCACTTGTTCGTCCTTCCTGCTACACACGAATCGCTGGGAATGTCCGCTGAATATTCGTGATAGGTGAACGAAGTGAGGCTAGTATCTAGTAAAGGGATTCGTGTACGTGACCCGTACTCGTTAACCTTGGTTCAGCACCATGTGTGCTAGTAACAATAGCCGTTGAATGGATTCCATCTTGACTTTCTGGTGAACAAGAAATGACGAGAATGACACGGTAGAAGCAGAATTTCCCCAGCGATGAATGGCTGAGATGGCCTGTTACTGCCGAATCGATATTTGAATTGAAGTTGCGACAAACTGAAGACACAAGATGGGAGCGATTGGGTTCTTAAATAATTCATTCATTTCAATCGTTGTACCTAACTAAAGATCCAAAATAGCTAGCTAATCTTATAAGTGAACGCCCACCAGATATGACAAATGACAAACAGTGCTAAGTAATTAGTGCTTGCAAGCATCGAAAAAAAAACAAGTTAATACAAGCAAGGTGGGAACGTTGAAGGGTATTCAAAACAAAAACAAACAAACCAGGGGGGTGCCAAGTAAACAAAGGTATAACACCATTTTCCATAAATCATCATCATAAACTCCAACCCACAGTAACATCAAGAAAGGATGGAAGAAAAAGACGCCAAGACCAATGCAATGCTGATTGTAAATTAGAAGGACTCGGTCTTATCCTCCGAGGCATGAGCTGTCTCACGATCCTCCTTAGGAGCTGCCTCCTTCTTGTCCTCAAACTTGGGTGGAAGGGCAGTCTTGAGCAAAGAATCAATAGAAGTAGTGACCTCGGGCGAGCCAAAGGTCGACGGCGGCGGCATAACAGGAGTAATCTTGGCCGGAGGACCATTTTCATCATCATAAATGACCGCATACGAGAAAGCATTGCAGTCTTCGGGGTAATAATCCGAAGCTGTAAGCTCACCAAGCGGGGCGCGATCCTCTTCCATTTTCTCCACCTTGCGAGCCTCGGCAGCAGCAGCCAAAGCAATAGCCTGGCTACTGCGAGGTAGATCAATACCAAGCTCCGACGGGGGCACATTCTCCTTGCCACGCTCATCAGCGATGGAGGAGGCTTTGCCCTCGTCATCGCTGATATCAAGCACACCGGTCGAGTGCTGCATCAGGTTAGTCATCTCCTCCTGCTCGGAGTCGACATGAATATCGAAGAACCAGCCCGTCGGGGACTTGGGCGCGACAGGCTTGGGTGCAGCAGGCTTGGCCTGCACGAGAGCAGAAGCAAGGGAGAATGGCCTGGCAACGGCACGTTTGGCCGAACCAGGTCTGGCTTTGGCGATGGCCGACCGGCGGCCAGGTGCCTTGCTTGACTTGGATGGTGGAGTCCGACCAGCGGGCTTGGGCATTGGGGCCGATTTGGGAGTGGATGGGATGGTCTTCAAGGGGGTGGAGAAGCGAGATGAGACATTGTTGGTGGCGCGGGTGGAGAGGGAGATGCGGGATGCCTTGACGGGTTTGGGGGATCCCTTGGAGATTTCATCGTCATCAAGGGTGCGCTTGCGCTTGGCAGATAGGCTGCGGGTGTAGGGGTCGATATTTTCTGAGTCTTCAATGTAAATGGAGCTCTTTTTGGATAGAGATACGCCTGTGGTGGGAGGAGTTGTTAGTTTGGGGGCTGTCGAATATCAAAATCATAACAAGGGATTGGGAAGCTTACTATTTTGAATGTTTTGAAAGTTCAACTTGGAACGCATGATAGGCCGCATTCGCGGGGTGTCCAGGCTAGCAAAAGGCTGGCGAGTGGGAGGAGTCATGGTGAGAGTCGCCATGATGAAGGAGGAAATAAGGCGCGTTCGTGAATGGGGATTTGTTTTGGCGTTGCGCTAAGTGGGGGAGGAGGATTGGCGGTCTACGCTCAGACACGGATTGTAGGATCTCTTTCAAAAATAGATCAAATCTGCTGGTTTTTGTTGGATTGAGATTAGAAAAACCTGAGATAGAGAAATAAATATTGAAAAGTCGAATTAATCCAAGTGGAGGGGTAGTAAGTGCCAGTGAGGGGATGAGAGGGTATTGTAGGCTTGTAGGGAAAGAGAGGTGGATAAGTGTATACTACACTTAGTATGCACCTTAGGGATATAGTAGATTGAGAAAAGGGTTTCTGAAGAACACAGATTGAAACGAAAGGATATCTGGATTATAATAAATCACCTCGTTCTCCTTCTATAGAGTTTGGGCTTAAAAGAGGAAGGAGCAAGGAGGTCCTGGGCGGAAGGAGAGTATTTCAAGCCCCGATTCCATGCCAAAGTGCAGCGCGCGTCTTGTCGCGTTCCCACGCAAGGCGCCCTTGACCGAGATAATTGGATACCAGTCTAGACGTGGCGTTCCAATGCAGCATGGCACAATCCAATTATATCCGACCATTCTTAATGTTGCCCATTCATCGAACAATGTAAAATGTGGAATGCACGACGCGGGGACGCGCTGTACATAACCTATTTTTTACCCTTCCCAACCTCTTAAGAGCCCCTCTTAAGAGCCTCCCATACATGAGATTTCATAGAAAGGAGTGGTTAATATTGTATAATCCGATGAATATTGATCTATTACTAGAATAGCTCCACCAGGGTTAATAGTTCCCTATCTAAGACAGGTTTGCACATCTTCATTAGAAGTGACGGTAACTGTAAGAAGTAATCCCCATCTGGAACGCGTCGGGCCGGAGTCACTGGTACTTGTGCGGTGACTGCGGTCTGGTATCGAATCGCGCTTACATCACGTACAACAGAAGTATTGAATACCTCTACACGCGACACGACTCGCGTTGAAATTTCCCCTCCCTTACTTGTTTTTTCGGTTTTCATGTATAACTCTAGCCTTGTGCCAACGCATCATCCATCATTGGCCCCAATTCCATTTCGGCTAATTCGGGTTCACCTTGAAACCAAGGGTTGCAGCTTCGTGCACACCGTGTTTGAGTGGTGCAGCTTCTTGGTGATACGCACAGGGGAAATGTGATGCAATGTATGATAGGATGATAAAAAAAGGCTGGAAGAATGCTATCCTGGTAACCCCCAGATGGTTTATCTAGGCGCTCTAGAATTCACCACGGGCGACCAAGTATGGACCTCTCAGAGAGGGGGGAATTCCGAAACCCTGCGACTAGCACGGTCTCAGAGAGAGCTGAGTTTCCCGGGAATCGAGGAATTGAGGGTTCCAGAGAGATCCAGCTTTCTCCCGTCATTGCACATGCTGCTCAGCAGCACGCATTCCCCCAGGCAACGCCACACTCTCAATCTCCTAGATTTACCTACAAGGGGTAACCTACAGGGCTGATCGCAGGCAATGCACCGGTGTCCGCGTCGATCGTGCTCGTTCACTCGTGATCTAAATGATCTAATTTACATGGCGGATGCACACCATCCGAGAATTGTAAAGAAAAAAAAAATGTCACCATGCCTGCTTAAACTTCATCCTCAAATGGAATGCTGTCCATTGCACCCAACCGTTCTACGGCCCGAGCGGACGCACGCGCAGCCAGCTGCATAGCCTCGTCCATAACGGTCTTGTAGCGATATGGCTTCTCGTCATCTGTAATATCCTTTCCAGACTTGCCCTCTGCACGGCGCTGTTCGCGCCACCGCGCAACCTTGACCGCATATGCCCCCACAAAAGTATCTCCCGCAGCGGTGGTGTCCAACACCTGAGACACAGGGGCTGCTGGGAGTTCGTTAGTGAAGCGCCGGACTCCATCGCTGGGTCCAGAAGTTCCACCGTCTGTAGCACTGTACCAAACACCCTTGGCTCCCAACGTAATCAAGACGTAAGTAACGCCCAGCTTGTGGAAGTATCGCGCCACCTTCTCCTTGTTTTCCAGCTTGTCGGCATCGGGAACAATGCGGAGCAATTGCTCGGTTGGTGGGGTCATCAGCTCCGCTTCGGTCTCGTTCAAGATCAAATGATCAACGCCATAGTAGACATCCTCGGGGAGTCCACCGGGTGGAGCGGGGGCTGGGTTCAGCATAACGTCAGGGCCACGCTCAATGCCGCGCTTCCCAGCAGTGCGATTCTTCGTCTTGAACGTCGCAATTTCTCTTAAGAACCATATCACTGTGTCCACGGGTATTTCGCCTTGCATCACGATCACGTCGGGCACAGGAGCCGCGAGAGCCATGGCCAAAACGTCGGGCGTCGCTTGCATACCCTGGTAGTTTGCACCAGGAGAGAACACAATGCGATTCTCACCTCCAGAGGATGAGTCAACGATGATTACTGCCACACCAGTATATGCGTCTTCGATAACACGGACCCGTGATGGGTCTACGCCGGATTTCTCCAGAGTCGGCTTTAGCAGGGCGGAGAAGTGGCCGTCCCGTCCACCTACGGCACCGACCATCTCAACTTGGACGTCACTGTCGGTGTGAAGGCCTTCTGAGTTGGCTTGTGGCTTCGGTCGGGACATGCGTCCGCATGCAACTGCTTGGTTTGCACCCTTGCCGCCCGCGCTCTGGAAGTAGGATGACGCGGTGATTGTTTCGCCAGGGAACGGGAATCGAGGTGTTACCGACACCATGTCGGCATTGAGGGAACCGATCACTCGAATAAGAGGCGCCATGATGAATATTTTGACCACGTTGGGGAGAGAGGGGTTGGTTTGACAGACTTGTTGTAGACTTGTAGTTATTTTGGAGTCGGTGAGCTGTCGGGGATTCGGGGAGGTGGGGTTTGTAGGTGTGGGGTTAGGAACGCAATTGGTGGTAGAAGCTCAGCTTAAGCTGCAAAGATAAGCAATGCTGTATCAACGATGATGATTCGCTTTTCTGTTTCACTATTGGTTCATCAATTTTGGTTTTGGCAGGTTTTGTTGGAAGAAGAAGCGTTGGAGTGAGGTTGCGGGGGGCGCATCGAGTGGAGCATCGCCGGCCCATGGTACGTGCTTTCCTCTATAAAGGCCCAAGGGATTCAAGTTTCTTTAGGGCATCCTTGGCCTCATTTTTGCTTTCCCAGCTGTGGACTTGGGGGTTTACAATAAATCAAACTATAAATAAGTCTTTAAGCAATTTGATTTACAAAGTTTATGGTATTTTCTTGCAAGAAGACATTCCCTACGCTTGTGCACTCAGTATCCATCTTCTTCATCATCGTCCTCTACATCCTCCATCTCACTTTCTCCTTCCTCCTCTCCTCTCTCTTCCTCGGCAGCCTCCCTGGCCGCTAATGCAGCTGCAACCTGCTTCTCGAGTATCTCTGCCTTTTCCATCTCTTCTTCTTCGCCTTCGCTCTCCGTTTCTCTCGAGACTGCCTCTTCATGCTCATCCATCTCCACCTCTTGCCTCTGCGCCAATTTAGTCGCACGTGTTCCTCTGCCCTTCAATTTCCTCTCCTCTCCCTCCCTATCCTTCGCATTGACCCGCCTCCAATGTGGAGCACTCTTGATAGAAGCCCGAATATCCGTTGCCAAAGAGATCTCCTTGGGGGTTGAGGTACGTGGGTCGACCTGGAAGTTGGCAACTACATCCTCCTCCGTGTCAACAAAATTAGGAAATGCAGCAACCTTCAAGTAATCTGCGTCGTCTGGCTCGTAGCCTTCCATTAGACATGCAATCTTGGAACGCATGATAATCTTCAATTTGCCCATAGTACCGCTTCCAAACCACCCATCCGAGACAATCTCACAGGTCTCTCGTACGTGGGGCTCGGTATGGCTTTCTTCCGGTGGGTAAAGGAGGCCTTTGAGAATTGGATCGGTGATATCGCAGGCCATCCAAATTCTTCCATCTTTATGGAGGGGCAAGCGTCCCGTAAAGAGATAGCTATCTCTGGACTCTGGAATCTCGATCCGAGTTTCCGGATCCAAACGGGCGTATCTATCGCGACGGACGTTACCCCCATTATCTCGGCCGATATCAGATTCACCAGGCATGATGCGAAACATGAACGTCTGGTAGTCCCGATACTCTGGAGATTTGCGCGGATCAACGCCGAGCTTGATGATCGCATCCCGCCATGGTCCCGCTCGGAATATGTATCCTACGTAAGGGATTGCGAGGCGAAGCAGGTAGCGTTGTTCGTCTGATTGGAGTAAGTTTCTAAGAGCGCGGCGTGTCCAGATAGGACGCTTTTCGAAGATTTCGGTGATAAATTCGATGACTCTGCGAAGGGTGACTTCAAGGGTGTGGATTGGTTGAAGACCTTCTTGAGGCTTGCTGGGGACTTCAGCGACATCGTGTGCTATAAGATGAGTTCGGATAATGGTCGGTTTTTGGATGTTCTCCGTGACAATTCGCCCAGATTCATCCAGAGTTTGTTTAACGCCCGGATTTTGGCGGTACCTGAGGATGACATTCAGTTAGTTACTTGAGAGCCGTCTGTTCATTTTGCATAGGTTTACACTTACATGTAGATGAACGGAACTTGTTCGTTACTGAGCGATGGAGGCGGAATGATATCTGCATATGTAGTAGCACCTTTCGCCATGTCGATATCAAATCTCTTCAGCTTTTCCACTGCTCTTATCTTAGCTCAGATCGTGTATTAATTTGATCCCAAATTCACTCACACTCGTATGGGACAATATGATCTCGGAACTTTTGGGTGAATACACTATTGGTAGTCGAGTAGACAAAGTCCGGCATTCCTATTAAGGGTCAGTTTGCCGAATATCAACGATATGAAGCGGAATTTTCAACAAACCTCTAAAAACATGAGTGCGCTCAACTTTCCCGACAGGTTGGATCGTGTATCGGGAGGCGTTATCACGAAGGCAACGCATTAAATCTTTGGATGTACGCCGAGCGCTAGGCTCCCCTTCCGGGGCAGCAGTGAAGGGATCGTTAGATCCTCTCTTGCGCTTCCGACCAGTCTGTTTGGGTACTGTCACTTGGAGCAAGATGTTATTGGTTTGGCTGACTGTAGATATCAGAGGTCGGGCCATGGCATCTTCCGGTCGCAATAGCAGACGCGCAGGAGCATCAGCTCGAACTGGGTTCATCAACTAAACCGAGTCAGTATGAGAACTTGTTTGGAGTTCATTCTTGAAAAGTTCTTCTCACTTTGCCGATTGCTGCATTTCCTTGCAATGTATCTATAGCTTTTTCGATGTTGCGAATGATGGCAGGGTGCTCCACGCTGACCAGCTGTCGAGACGGAATATTGTATGACGGGGCCGTTCTGGCCTCTCTGGATGTGTCCATTTTGGTGGTTATTAGGTATTGTTTGGAACAAGAAGAGAGAGAAGAGAAAATCAGGAATGTTATGACCAATGGTGATGGGGGTCGTGTTGAACTTGTCAGGGCGTTCTCTATGACGCGGAAGTAGGGAGAATTCAATGTTAATCCTCAGTAGCTCACTTCAGGATCCTTCAGATCTCTGTGCCGTACTGAAATCTTGGAAATTTCAGTATTTTTCAACCTAGGTAATGGTTTAGTACAACAAGACTTGAACTTGTTTCTCGTTGCCAGCTCTATTATGTTATAACATTGACAGCCAATCTTCTTCGACGAAGCAAATTGAGGAAGATCGGATATGATGACTAATCACTATGTTCCCACCTTAACGAAGGTGAGAGTTGCAGGTTGTCAAGTTGAGCTCGTGCCATCTTAGAAGAAATGTGGAGTTATCTCTCGAGTGAGATTCCCATCCATTTACCGTTCAAATATCTAGTAGGTAGTACCCGTGGATGTACCTAGGCTTGTAAACCATCCATCTCTCAAACTCCGTATGTACTTGGGTAATTATAAATGTTCAAGGATCTGCAATTGTTTAAGGATCTTTTGTCGCGGAAGTATATATCTCGGGGCTTACTCTTAGCGTCCCACTTTCAAGGATTCGAGTTCGCCACCCAAGTAGATGCTAGTAATTTTTTTTTTTAACTTGGAATATTTTTAAGCTATTTTCCAAACCTATAGAATCAACATGCACAGAAGTTGCCAAATTCCCAACCCATCAACTTCAATGTTGGAAATCGCTGGAAATTGCCCCTGTTATCCACGTGACAATGACATAAGCGTCAAGAAACGGGAAAACGCATACAACCAAAGGGCCATGATGATTGTGAGTCCTTGAAAAAAGAATAACTATATCAAGATCTCGATTAATTTGTATCGGTAGTAAAAGCCTTGAAAATTTAGGATTTGAATGCATCATAATATCTGTAGTAGATAATCCCTTCTCTTTCTGAATGTACTTGTACCTGGCTGCAGCCCCTCCCATCACCATCACGGCCAGGAGAACCCGCCTTTCCCTTCACCTACACCCGCTTCCTCTCCACCTTTCGACCCAACCACTTTCCTCCCTATCTGCACCACCCGATCCTTGATCTACCGATCCTCTCTGTTGCCATTATTGAGATCAGTTGACCCAGGCCTTGGTCGTGGGTTTCCAATCGGGTGGCTCTGGCGCTTTCTTAAATCCCCCCCGCTCCCAGCCTACCACTAAGCGACACGGAGATCCTTCTGAGCGGATCAAGTAACGTCCACCCCCATATCGACCTCTACACTGCTCGGCAAGTCACCTTTATCCCCGACACGTCAATTGTTCTATCTCGAGCCACAAGAGGTATGTTTTGCCTGTGCCCTGCTTTTGCCTTTATCTGGCTCCGTCTATGCCCCCCCAATATCCAAGCGTCCTGCCCCGTGCGCGTGCTGCGACATCGCCCATTCAGAACCATCGAAGTTGGCCGCCATTGAGACCCAACTACCCTTCTTTGGAACTGTCTGGTTTCAATCGCGCCGATTTTGCTTACTCCGCCCAAACGGCTACTCCTCTATCTGCCATGATAAAAAGCGCTCATACGTTGTCTCTGCTAGGTCGATCGATACCGAACACCCAACCCCCTCGTGGCTGATCCGAGTCGCTCTGGCGAGAGTGCAGCGCTTTGGCTGCACTAGCACTGATACCCCTAGTGGATTACATGTGGCATTCTTCATAATACTGTAAAGATGAAGGGATTCAGACAGAGAGTGGTGAGTTCTCCTGTCTTGTGTGCTTCTCACCGCACGATCATCCCCTCCCCCACCATGCAGGTGGTGACTTACAGCCCCCCTTGCTCGCAGACAGGCTAACAAAGTCCCTTTGATGCTAGCATGAGCAGTTGTCGCGGGCAAAGGATGCCAACAAATCATCGAAGAAGAAGGACTCCAACTCCGCACCACAACAACAGGCGTCCCTCGGCATCCATCCTCCACAGCAGTCGGCATCCCCGAACCAAGGTACACCGACATCATCCACAACATCTCTGAATGATGCACGAGGAAAGTCACCAGATGATGCCTCCCCGGCAGTAACTCCCTCAGGGGCCGCGGCCGGCGCACCGGCTCAGCATTTCATAGCCCAAGGGGCTGGGATTGCCGGTCAGCCGGTGACCAATGGTCCAGGTACCCCAACGAGACAGGGCCAGCCAGTAGCACCAAGCGTGATAATCAGCCCCAGTGCTCCGGTACGTTCATACTTCTCAGATACGATGTTTGACATGAACTAATGTGACCGGTTCCTTTAGCACCCCCCTCCCCCAGGTGCCGCCGAGACCATGCCCGGAGATCTAGCCCCTCCCCGGAAATCCCATGTCTTCGACCGCCTCCAAACTACCCCCAAGGACATGTCGGAAGGAATCCGGACCCCCAAACGGCAACATTCTTCGCGGTTTGACATCTCCGATCAGCGCCAGAGAGAGTTAGAGAAATTGCCGGGCTTCCACGAAGTCGCCCCGAACCGGCGCCAGGATCTTTTCATGCAGAAAATCGACCAGTGTAACATTATCTTTGATTTCAATGATCCTACCGCGGACATGAAGTCTAAGGAGATCAAGAGGCTGGCACTCCATGAGCTCTTAGATTATGTCGCCAACAATCGGTCCGTCATAACAGAGCCCATGTATCCTCGTGTTGTGGAGATGTTCGCCAAGAACCTGTTTCGCCCGATTCCTCCTCCAATGACTCCCCAAGGAGAGGCATTTGATCCGGAGGAGGACGAGCCTGTTTTGGAAGTGGCCTGGCCACATATTCAGGTTGTTTACGAGTTTTTCTTGCGATTTATCGAGAGCCAGGATTTCAACACAAACATTGCGAAGGCACATATCGACCATCAATTCGTGCTTCAGGTAAATAACCATCTTCCTTCTCCCCTTTACCCAAGGAGTTGATCGCTAATATATTTCTCGTATAGCTGCTAGATTTGTTTGACTCGGAGGATCCTCGGGAACGTGATTTCCTGAAGACAACCCTACACCGGATCTATGGCAAATTCTTGAACCTGCGGTCATATATCCGACGATCAATCAACAATGTTTTCTTCCAGTTCATGTACGAAACAGAGAGACACAACGGCATTGCTGAATTGCTCGAGATTCTGGGCTCCATCATCAATGGCTTTGCGCTCCCACTGAAGGAAGAGCACAAGCTATTTTTGACCCGAGTTCTTCTTCCTATGCACAAGGTCAAGAGCCTCAGCATGTACCACCCACAACTGGCCTACTGTATTGTACAGTTCTTGGAGAAGGACTCCACGCTCACAGAAGATGTACGTGGCTTTGAAGGCCCCCAAATTTATTGCTGTGTGCGCATGCTAACCGAAATCAAGGTTGTTCTTGGATTACTGCGCTATTGGCCGAAGACTAACAGCACCAAGGAGGTCATGTACCTCAACGAGGTTGAGGATATTTTCGAAGTGATGGATCCCGCTGAATTCGCCAAGGTGCAAGAGCCTCTTTTCCACCAGCTTGCGAAGTCAGTTGCCAGCCCGCATTTCCAGGTTGCTGAGCGTGCTCTCTACTTCTGGAATAACGAGTATTTCTGCAACCTTGTCAGCGACAATGTGGAAACCATTCTTCCGATCATGTTTGCTCCACTCTATGAAAACTCCAAGGGTCACTGGAATCGGTATGTGTTGTTCAAATGAGAAAAATAGGTGAAGATCACTAATTTACTTTCTGTCAATAGGACAATCCATAGCATGGTGTACAACGCCATGAAGATGTTCATGGAAATCAACCCCCAGCTCTTCGATGAGTGCTCTCATGAGTACACTGAACACCAGAATAACGCAGACCAGCGTGAAAGGACTCGACAGGATCGCTGGGACTTGATCGAGCAACAAGCTAAGCGTCAAAACGGAGCCCCAGCCCTACCGCCCGCTCCTAGCCTCAATGTGCCTGAGCCAATCGATGAAGTGGAAGCCATGACAACCGACAGCCAAAAGCGGCTGAATAATCTGAAGCTGGAAGAATCCGAAGCCCCCAAGGAGCGACCTGCTCGAGAGGGAACCCCCACTTCGGTAAGTCCCGTGCATTCATGATCTTGCATCGATGCTCTCCAGATCTGCGCACTCCCACCCTATGCGGGTCTCCGTTCTTCTGCCTTTCTATCTTGCCTCTTTATGACCCTTGATATTTGTCGTTTGCTAAGAGGCCATCCCCCGAGTACAGCCAGCGTGATTCTAACGTGGAAACGTCCGTTTTGCTCCAGACACGACGCCGTGGTTCTATTCGCGGTTCTCGGAGACGACGGAGTGGCAGCGGCAGTGAGATACGTCCGCGACGGCGTTCGGTTGGCAGTGGTACCAGTGCAGTCAATGTACAGATCCTGCATCGAAGCAACTCTACCAAATGATTTGTCGTGGTTATCTGGGGGGCTGGTGATTGATATGTGACTTTCGTGGATTTTCTGCAACTAAATGGCATAGCGAGCACGGGCTGCAACGATGTTTCTGTGATTTTCGACTTCGCCTGGAATAATGCCCACTGTGCCTGCTCTTTTGATTTTATTTGCAGTTTCTTGTTCTCAGTTTCTTTCCTATTTTGTGTACATGGATTTCTTTGATATTTCCCCTTCTATGATCGACTCCCTATAGGGTGTGATCATGGAGCGGACCTCTGAGTTGGACCCCGTCTTAGAACCGTGATCGGGTATGGAAAATGGGTGTGAATGGCGTTTCCATCCGTCAATCTTTTAGGATTGGCGGCTTTTCATTGTGTTGTTACCTAAGTTTATGTTCTAGACCAGTACTCGAAACATCATATCGCCTGGGTCACCCTTTCTGAACTGTAGTCCTCTTCTTTCCATCATGTGGGCACATGACTTCCAATCTTGGAATTATTCCAGATTGATCAACAACATTGAACTTCGAGTTTGACCGCGGGCGGCATACCTAACTGGTAAATACGACATCTGGACTCATGTGGACAAGCCATGAAGATGTACAGGTGTAGAATATTCCAACATTCAATGTAGGTCTGGAAGGTTATGTAGGACATCCAGATGCATATGGTCAAGCCCCTAACATTGAATATACTTCCTAAACCTTTGAAGTGCTTGTCCGTCTACTATGCATGTGTACCTGAAATATGTCCAACATTTCAAAGAACGGCACATATGCATCAAATATATGAGGTCTTTGTGATTATTTACAATGATCCAGGACTACATAGGAGGGCTATAGCGTATAAATACTTACAGAGGGGGCATACAAATTCTTAAATAGTGTCCTCATGGGATCGGTGTCAAAGGGTTTGCCAGTTGCCTTGACCGAGATGTATTTTGAGTTGAAGAAAAAGCGCCCCAAACAGGCCATCTTGTTGACCCTGCCAGATTAAGCGACTTTGGTATAAAAGCAGACACTGAATCGTATAGTATGCAGTAGTATGCATTATGAATATTGTACATGTGGCTTGTATAGCATAATTAGACGCGCGTGTAGTCGCTTACCAGACGCGGAACCGCGGAACGGAACAACCAGCTCCGAAGGCTTCCTAAAGTGGACTAGCGTTTCGTTCGGGGTCCCTGCGATAGCCCGCGTCCTCTGCTTTGTGGCTCTGGGCCGCCGAACTGAGAGGTCTCGCGCGCTCTACAATCTCCAATCCTCCAACCACCCCCTCCCCATTCGCGTCCCTTTCGTTCCCCGCGGGGTTTCCTGTCAACTCGATTCCTTCACAAGTCCATTCGCTCCTTTAAATGGACTAGACATTATCGTCTCTTGCAATTAAATGACTTGACGATTTTGTCCATTTCACTTCCAGTCTCCAATCGATCTTTTCGGGGAATCGCATGAGTCCGCAAAGCTTCCTCCGCACCCCGACCTCGCACATGACACCTCGATTTTGATCTAAGAATATCGCGCGGGCTATCAATAACCCAGCCGGCCACCGGGCCTGGCCGTGAACGAAGTCCTATTCCCTTGGCTGGCCCTTCCGAGGGAGCTTGATCGCAGCCATCATGGAGCGGAACATCGATATTTATGCCACCAAGTTGGGTGACGAACGGCTGGGTACGTTCAAATCCGAGACCGTTAAGCTGGCATGTCTGCATAGAGTTCATCATCACTAACGCTTTCTCCCTTTGTCGCAGATGTGAAGGTGCGAGCGAATGTCGCAACCGAGCTACGGGATAGCATCGAACCGCTTTGTTCTGGCGCAAACTATCCTGTATTCCTTGCCAAGCTATGGCCTATATTCAAAACTATTCTTGCTGGAGAGCCAGTCTTCTTCAGCATGTCATATGAGCAGGTGAGCTTCATGCAATGAATCATTGAGAGCCGCACACGACCTCGAGCGTCCTTTGCAGCAAAGTCGAACCTCTAACGAAATTACTAGAAACTCCGCAATTGCATTCTTGAAACCCTTCACCGATTACCGACAGCCTCTCCAGATGTTGAACCTTACGCTGCCGACATGGTCGACTTACTGATGGACCTCGCCCGAATTGAGAATGAAGACAATGCAGTACTCTGTATGAAGACGATCATGGATTTGGAACGTAACCAAGCAAAAGCGACCGCAGCACGGGTACAGCCTTTCTTGGAGCTCATTCAAGAGATGTTCCAAACGATGGAGCAAGTCGTTCGAGAAACATTCGACACTCCTAATCAAGCAACCCCGTCTGGAATGCCTTCGACGCCTAACGCAAGTGCTCAAAACTTTCAGTCTCCACGACCTAGCTCCCCTGCAACATCTGTTTCAGACCTGGGCCCCGAGCAGCAGTCAAGTAATATCATCTTAAAAGGCATGCAGTCCTTCAAGGTTTTGGCTGAATGCCCGATCATTGTCGTCTCCATCTTCCAGACACACCGTAACTTTGTTGCTGCCAACGTTAAGCTTTTCGTTCCGTTGATCAAGACTATTTTGCTCTTGCAAGCAAAACCGCAAGAGAAAGCACACACCGATGCCGCTGCTCAAGGCACGATTTTTACCGGCGTCTGCAAGGAGATCAAAAATCGCGCCGCCTTTGGAGAGTTTATCACTGCTCAAGTGAAGACAATGAGCTTTTTGGCATATCTACTTCGTCTTTATGCCCACCAACTCCAAGACTTCCTTCCAACTCTACCGTCCGTTGTTGTGCGACTGCTTCAGGATTGTCCACGCGAGAAGTCTGGTGCTCGGAAAGAGCTTTTAGTCGCCATTCGACACATCATAAACTTCAACTATCGCAAAATATTCCTCGAAAAGATCGATGAGCTTCTGGACGAGAGAACTCTCATTGGCGATGGTCTTACTGTTTATGAGACAATGAGACCATTGGCATATAGTATGCTCGCAGATCTCATTCACCATGTTCGCGACCACCTCAGTCGAGATCAGATCCGTCGAACCGTTGAAGTCTACACGAAGAATCTCCACGATGATTTCCCAGGCACAAGCTTCCAGACTATGAGTGCTAAGTTGTTGCTCAACATGGCGGAAAAGATTTCCAAGCTAGAAGATAAACGAGAGGCTCGTTATTTCCTAATCATGATCTTGGATGCCATCGGTGATAAGTTTGCTTCGATGAACCATCAATTTAGCAACGCTGTCAAGGTGTCCAAGGCGTACAAGGAAACTCGCAAGGATGATGATACAACCCCAGAGAATTACCTTGCTGAAAAGGATCAACCACCCGACTGGGATGACATTGATATTTTTTCTGCATCTCCAATCAAAACTTCCAGCCCTCGCGATCGCGGAGGAGACCCCGTTTCGGATAATCTTTTTCTTTTCAGAAACCTCATCAATGGATTGAAAAATATCTTCCATCAGTTGAAGAATTGCAACCCAGATGATATCCAAATTGACCCTAACAGTGTTCCCATCAATTGGTCTGAAGTTTCCTACGGGTACAACGCCGAAGAGGTCGGAGTTATCAAAAAGCTCTTCCACGAAGGTGCCAGAGTCTTCCGCTACTACGGCGTAGATCAGTCACCCCCCGAAATGAACTATTCCTCACCATTCGACTTCCTTGCCAGTCAATACACAGCACCCATGGGTCGCGAAGAGAAGGAGCTTCTGGAGAGCTTTGGCACTGTCTTCCACTGCATCGACACTGCCACCTTTCACGAGGTGTTCCATTCCGAGATCCCATATCTGCATGAGCTCATGTTTGAGCACGGTGCTCTGCTTCACCTTCCGCAATTCTTCTTGGCCAGCGAAGCGACCTCACCTGCATTTTCTGGCATGGTGCTGCAGTATCTGATGGAGCGTATTGACGAAGTTGGTACATCCGATATGACCAAGGCTAAGATTCTCCTCAGAATGTTCAAGCTGTCCTTCATGGCAGTGACACTATTCTCCGTTCAGAACGAGCAGGTTCTTCATCCTCACGTAACAAAGATTGTGACAAAGTGCATTGAGCTATCAGTTACAGCCGAGGAGCCAATGAATTACTTCCTTCTTCTGCGCTCTCTTTTCCGCAGCATTGGAGGTGGTCGTTTTGAGCTCTTATATAAGGAAATTCTTCCTCTCTTGGAAATGCTACTTGAAACTTTCAACAATCTGTTGATGGCTGCTCGAAAGCCTCAAGAGCGGGATCTTTACGTGGAGCTTACCCTTACGGTCCCTGCACGACTGAGCCATCTTCTTCCCCATTTGAGCTACCTGATGCGCCCCATAGTGGTGGCCTTACGCGCGGACTCTGATCTTGTTGGCCAAGGTTTACGCACATTAGAGCTGTGCGTGGATAACCTAACAGCCGACTATCTCGACCCAATCATGGCTCCTATCATGGATGAATTAATGACGGCACTCTGGGATCATCTGCGCCCCCATCCATACAATCATTTCCATGCTCACACAACAATGCGAATTCTTGGAAAACTGGGTGGACGTAACCGCAAGTTCTTGAATCATCCACCGGAGCTGTCTTTCCAGCAATACTCTGACGATCACCCGAGCTTTGACATTCGGCTCATTGGCCCGGGCGAGAAGCGGCCTTTCCCCGTCGATATCGGCATTGATTTGGCCATCGGCAAGCTTATGGAGGCCCCTAAGACGGATGCTGGCAAGGCGTCCGATCTATACTACAAGCAGCAGGCTTTCCGTATGCTCAGCTCGCACCTCAAGCTGCAGATTGGATTCGAAAGCCTTCCAGATGATCTCGGTTCCCTAATCCGACTCCATGCAAACGATCTATTCGAGAGCAAAGCCGGTGCTATGGTTGATATACTCGAGAAGTCTGAGAGATCGGCGTCTATCCCAAAGAAGATGGAGCAGGACGCCATGGTAAAGAAGCTCCTCAAAGCCTGTATTTTTGCCATCACCATCCCCGACCTTGAGCCCGCAGCCACTGCCTTCGTGGCTGATGTTTGCCAACACTTCACCGTCATCGAGGTTGGCCGCGCTCTTTCTCAAGCTCGTCATAACCGTAAGCCTTTCGAGGTCTCAAATGGAGAAGGCCCTGTGTACCTGGACTCACGAACTCTGGCCGAAGCCATCGTGGAGACGCTCTCTTCAGACAATGTCCACGTTCGGGAGGCTGCTGAGAGAGCCATGCAAGTCGTGAAGGAAGCAGCTGGTGTCATTTTTGGTGCTCCTGAGAAGGCATCGAAGCTTCCATTCTTCCAACATCTTGGCCGTGTGTTCTGCCATAGTTGCTATAGCGATGAATGGTTCACCAAAGCTGGTGGAAGTCTAGGTATCCAGCTACTTGCTACCAAACTTGACCTCGGAGAATCTTGGCTTTACGAGCGCCATGTCGATTTCTCGCGGGCTCTCATGTACGTCATCAAGGACACGCCTTCTGATCTTCCTGCGGCCACCCGTGTTCAATCTCAGGAAACAATGACGTTGATCCTTCAGCGATGTGGAAAGATCATTCCCAAAGATGATCTGAAGAACGAGAAGAGCCGTCTGTTTGCTTTGTGCGGCTTCTTTGTGAACGAACTAGGTCATATGAACAAGCATGTTCGAGAGACCTCTCGTCGTTGCTTCGCCACACTGAAGGAAGAATTGGGCTGCGAAGTGCACGAGTTGATCTTCCCGGTGAAGGACCGCCTTCTCCAGCCGATCTTCAACAAGCCACTTCGCGCACTTCCTTTTGCAACCCAAATCGGCTTCATTGATGCCATAACTTACTGCTTGGGTCTGCACAACGATATTGTTACCTTCAATGATCCATTGAACCGCTTGATGTTGGAGTCTCTCGCCCTTGCTGATGCGGATGACGAATCACTGGCTTCTAAGCCAAATGAATTCAGGAATGCGGATATGATTGTGAATCTGCGTGTTGCTTGTCTGCGACTTCTTTCCATGGCAATGAACTTCCAAGAGTTTGCCAACACTCCACAGAACACTAGTCGAGCTCGGATCATTTCCGTGTTCTTCAAATCTCTTTACTCCCGTTCGCCCGAAGTGATTGAGGCTGCCAATGCGGGTCTGAAGGACGTTCTCACACAAACCAACAAATTGCCGAAAGACCTGCTACAAAATGGCTTGCGTCCCATTCTGATGAATCTGCAAGACCCCAAGCGTCTAAGCGTGGCTGGCCTTGATGGACTAGCTCGTCTCTTGACCCTTCTCACCAATTACTTCAAGGTCGAAATAGGTGCTCGTCTCCTAGACCACATGAAAGTCATTGCTGATGATGCCATGCTACAAAAGGTATCCTTCAGTCTTGTTGAACAGAATCCTGCTATGAAGATTGTGGCTGCAATTTTCAACATCTTCCATCTTCTTCCCCCAGCTGCGACCTCCTTCATGGAACATCTTGTCAACAAAGTCCTGGATCTTGAACTCAAGTTGCGAAGAACCTCACACAGCCCTTTCCGTAAGCCTTTGGTAAAATACCTCAATCGCTATCCAAAGGAAAGCTTGGCGTTCTTCTTTGCAAGATTCAAGGATGAGCGTTTTGGCCGCTTCTTTGGGCAGATTCTGTCCGACCCCGAGAGTGAAGCATTGCGTAATGCTGTGGTCTCTGACAGTGAAACCTTCCTGTCATTTGCATTCGGACAGGACACGACAGATGGCAAAAATACGGCTGCCATCAATGGAATTTATGTTGCGCATGCCCTCAGCGTTTACCCTTCAACGAAGAAGTGGTTAGTTTCCCACGCAGATTCAAGGATGAAGCTTCTGACTTCTGGCCGAGAGTTGGAGCGAAAACTACGCGGGGATAGTCTTCCTCCGGATGAGCGTCTCAGGGTTGAGCAGGCCGAGGACCAGTTGATGGACATTTTCACCACCTACTTAGCCGAGGCCGCGCATGACCTGGACTTCTTGTTCGAAGTCATTGACGGACTATCTGCCGATGAACTGAAGCGTACATTGGCTCTCCCTAAATTCATCTATCGGCATATCATAACCAATGAGTCGATTGATTACCGACGCTCTGTTATTATGCGTTGTCTCGACCTTTACGGCCAGCGGGCTTGCTCACAGAAGACCAAGACTTACGCATTCCGCAACCTGGTCAACCCAATTCTTGCAATGGATGTTCAAACTACGTGGGGTAACCCACCCAACACTCCTAAACTGATGGATAAGAGCATGACCGAATCCATTCAGAGCCGTGTGTGGAAGCCTCAATTGGCGGATCTGAGCGAGGAGTCTAACCAAGCTGGGGTTGATCACTCACGCATGGAGCTGCTTCAGCTGTCCGCTTTGTTGATCAAGTATCATCATTCGACTGTGCAGGACTCTCGCAAGGATATTATCAAGTTTGCTTGGAACTACATTCGTCTTGAGGATATAATCAACAAGTACGGTGCCTACGTTCTCATTAGTTACTTCATCGCACATTATGAGACACCCTTCAAAATTGTGATCCAGGTTTATGTTGCCTTGTTGAGAGCCCATCAGAACGAGGGTCGGGCCTTGGTCACTCAGGCACTCGATGTCTTGGCTCCCGTGCTTCCCACTCGAACTGCAGGAAACCAGGGACCAGAAGCACGCTATCCCCTGTGGGCCAAATGGCCCCGTCGCATCTTGGCGGAGGAGACCGCCAATTTGCAGCAGGTCATGAGCATCTTCCAGTTCTTGGTGCGGCAACCCAATCTTTTCTACGAGTCACGGGAGCATTTCGTGCCTCTTATTGTTCCTTCTCTTGTGAAGATTGCCGGTCCACCTAACACATCAAACGACAGCAAGAAGCTGGCGCTGAAGCTCATTGGCTTGGTATGGCACTGGGAGGAGAAGCGAGCGCAGGCTGTAGATGCGAACAGCACTGGACTTCTAGAGTCTCCAAACTCGAAGAAACGCAAGCTGGAAGAACCGCAGGACATGGCGTCGCCCGCATTAGGACCTCCACCCAGCCGCGGTGGATCCAGTGATTACACTGTCCCTGCCGAACTTCGTGCTGCTTTAATCAAGTACCTCATCTCGTTCATAACTACCATCCCTGAACGGTTCTTGGTTCCAGCTGCCGAAATTCGCCAACTGCCCTCTGCCAAGCAGGCCCCCGCCGTGCCGACTGGTGACATGGTCAACAAGGCAGTCAATCTCCTCAGAAACCTTCTTTCGCCAGAATACTGGGGAGACATTGATATCGATCTTTACCAGAAAGTAACGGAACCCATTTTGGCAGGCGAGAAGGCGGATAAACCAGATGAGAAGCATGTCACGGCTATGGTGAACACACTTCAGGTTTTGCGTGTGCTGATCGCAGCGAAGTCCAACGAATGGATTGCAGCTCGTCTCCCAGCCATCCGGAAGCTTCTCGAGAAGCCACTGAAATCCGATAACCCGGAGATCCAGGATTGTCTTCATGGCCTAGAAGATGAGATGGATATCTCTCCAAAGCTGCCACCTCCAGTTCGCCGTGTCCTGGAGGCTATACCAGATGATGCACCAGACGACGAGGACGCAATGGATACTGACAGCGCTGGATCTGAATTTGCTACTTATCTGTCTGCCATTGCGACTGAAACACTTTCTGCTAGCAATTACGTGTCAAGTCTGAACACGCTGTGGACACTTTCAAAGCACAAGCCTGCTGAGATTGACGCGCACATTCCTGCTGTCATGAAGGCATTCTCACAAAAGCTTGCCAAAGACCATGTTGCGGCCTCAACTCCACAAACTGGTGCACAGCCGCAGAACGGCACCGCGAAGCCTGCGGAAGGTGTCCCAGACCAGCAAGAGTCTGAGATCGGTGTCGACCTCATTTTCAAGACGATTGAGCTGATATCTGTCCGCATGTCTCATCTTGGAGACCAACGACGTCCATTCTTGAGCGTGTTGGCCTCAATAGTTGAACGCTCGCAGAATATCAAATTATGCAGCAAGGTTTTGGGCATGGCAGAGTCATGGATTTTCCACTCCACTGAATCGTGGCCGACCCTGAAGGAGAAAACAGCAGTCTTGCATAAGATGTTGCTGTTTGAGGCACGGCCGGATCAGACCATGTTGAAGAAGTTCCTTGATCTTGTGATCCGGATATACGAGGATGCAAAGATCACGCGTACTGAATTGACCGTCAGGTTGGAACATGCTTTCTTGATTGGAACAAGGGCACAAGATGTTGAAATGCGTAACCGATTCATGAACATTTTCGACCGCAGTTTAACTCGCTTGGCAGCCTCACGATTGAGTTATGTGCTCACTTGTCAAAACTGGGATACTCTTGCGGACTCTTTCTGGCTGGCCCAGGCCTCGCATTTGGTTCTTGGTTGTGTGGATATGAACGCTACTGCCCGCCTGCACCAAGACGACTTCAAATTGTACCCAATGTCCTTCCTTTTCGCTGCGGGCGAAAAAGATCCAAGAAAGTTGGATATTATGGTAGACAACCAGTTGGAAAACTTTGTTGCTGAACGCAAGCGTTTCATGTCAGAGGTTGGTGATGTGAAGGTCCGTGATTTGATCGAGCCTCTATGTCAGCTTCAGCACACCGATCCGAACGTTTCTTACAAACTCTGGACCACACTCTTCCCCATCTATTGGTCGACATTGTCTAAGGACGATCGGATTGACCTAGAGAAGGGAATGGTCACATTGCTCACTCGAGAGTACCACCAGAGGCAATTGGACAAACGCCCCAACGTCATCCAAGCTCTGCTGGAAGGTGTTGTGCGTGCCCGTCCCCGGTTCAAGGTTCCTCCCCATGTCATGAAATACCTCAGCCGTACCTACGATGCCTGGTATACTGCAGCTACCTACTTGGAGGAAAGTGCCATTAACCCCATCATTGATACCCCTACTGTTCGCGAGAGCAATCTCGATGCTCTTGTTGAAGTCTATGCTGGCCTCCAGGAGGATGATTTCTTCTATGGTACATGGCGACGCCGTTGCAAGTTTGTTGAAACCAATGCAGCCCTTTCTTATGAGCAGCAGGGCATGTGGGATAAATCTCAACAGCTCTACGAGAACGCGCAAATCAAAGCTCGCTCTGGAGCTATGCCGTTTTCCCAAGGTGAATATTTCGTATGGGAAGATCATTGGTTGATTTGCGCCCAGAAGCTCCAGCAGTGGGAAATTCTTAGTGATTTTGCCAAGCACGAGAACTTGAATGACCTTCTGCTTGAGGCCGCCTGGAGAAATATTGAAAACTGGCAGAGCGAGGGTAATCGCGAACAACTAGAATCTCTCATCAAGTCTGTTTCTGATGCTCCCACTCCGCGACGCACTTTCTTCCAGGCTTTCATGGCTCTCCTTCAATACCATACCAAAAAAGAGAACATGCAAGACTTCAACAGTGTGTGTGACGAATCTATCCAACTATCTATTCGCAAGTGGCTGCAATTGCCTAAGCGCATTACCAATGCCCACATTCCCATTTTGCAACACTTCCAGTTGCTTGTTGAGTTACACGATGCTAGTCACATCTGTGGCAGCTTGGCTCAGACCAATGAGCGAAACCTGGATACCAAGTCCGCGGAGCTGAAGCTTCTCTTGGGTACCTGGCGGGACCGGTTGCCCAATTTGTGGGACGACATCAATACCTGGCAAGATCTTGTTACCTGGCGCCAGCACATCTTCCAACTTATCAATGGAACCTACCTCAGCCTTCTCCCTCCCCAGACGAACAATGTCGCCAGCAACTCCTACGCTTACCGTGGATACCACGAGACCGCCTGGATCATCAATCGCTTTGCCCACGTCGCCCGCAAGCATCAAATGCCTGAAGTCTGCATCAATCAGCTGAGCCGAATCTACACCCTGCCAAACATCGAAATTCAAGAGGCGTTCCTCAAGCTGCGTGAGCAGGCCAAGTGTCATTACCAGAACCCAAAGGAACTCAACAGTGGATTGGATGTTATCAACAACACCAATCTCAACTACTTCGGTCCTCAGCAGAAGGCTGAATTCTATACTCTGAAGGGCATGTTCCTCGCGAAACTTGATCATGTTAACGAGGCCAACGAAGCATTCGGTGTTGCTCTCTATTATGACCTGCGTCTCGCAAAGGCTTGGTCTGAGTGGGGACAGTACAGCGACCAGCGTTTCAAGGCAGACCCCACAGACTACGAGCTGGCTAGTAATGCGGTCAGCTGCTATCTGGAGGCAGCTGGTCTTTACAAGAATGCGAAATCGCGCAAGCTGCTCAGCCGCATCTTGTGGCTCCTGAGCTTGGATAATGATGAAGGACAGATTGCAAGTGCTTTTGAGAACTTCAAGGGAGACACGCCAGTCTGGTACTGGATTACGTTTATTCCTCAGCTGCTTACAAGCTTGTCTCATCGCGAAGCACGCCTTTGCAAGGCTGTTCTTGTGAAGATTGCCAAGTTATACCCGCAAGCTCTTTTCTTCTTACTTCGCACCAACAGAGAAGACATGTTGAGCATCAAGAAGCAGCATGACCAGAAGCAGGAGAAGCTCAATCGTAACAAGCCACAGCAACAGCAGTCATCATCACCGAGTCAAAAGCCTGCTACAAATGGCGACGCATCCCCTGCGCAGAAGCCCCCAACAAGTGTGCCAGCCGCCAGTGCTTCTCCAGCCAACCAGGCCGTAAACCTTGCAGCAGCTCAATCACCTGCTCAAAACCAGTCTGCCCAGCAGTCACCGGCTCAACCTCCAAGCCAGTTGCAAGCGTCTCCGCTTCAAAACTCTACTCCTGGGCAACCGCAGGCTCTTCAGCAGCCGCAAGGACCGCAAGGGCACTTGCAAGTTCCAGGCCAGAATGGAATTCCGCAGCAAGGTGCACCTGGCGCCGAGCTCGAGAAGGAGCCCCTCAAGAAGCCTTGGGAATACTCGGATGAAATCATGTCTGGCCTCAAGACAGCGTTCCCCTTGCTTGCTCTGTCTATGGAGACGATGGTCGACCAGATCCACAAGAACTTCAAGTGCCCCCCAGACGAGGACGCTTACCGCCTGATTGTTGCTCTCCTCAATGATGGACTGGCCTACGTTGGACGCATGCCTGTGTCATACGCGCAGGACTTCAAACTGCCCACCGCGACAGAAGCCAACATCACTAGGTTTGCAGAGACGATTCTTCCTGCGCATATCCGTAAGTCGTTTGAGGCGGACTTTGTCGTCAAGAAGCCTACCATGCACGAGTACATTCACAAGCTGCGTCGCTGGCGTGACAAGTTCGAAGAGAAGCTGGACCGCCGCGCTCAGGGCGGAAACCTTGAGAATTACTCCCCACATCTTAGCGAGTTCCGTTTCCTCAAGTTTGACGAAGTTGAAGTTCCTGGACAGTACCTGCAACACAAAGACAAGAACCAGGACTTCGTCCGCATCGATCGATTCCTTCCCGATGTGGATCTTGTCCGCGGTATTGGTGTCTGCCATCGCCGCCTCAAGATTCGTGGACACGATGGTAGCGTCCATAATTTCGCTGTCCAGCACCCCGCAGCACGTCACTGCCGTCGCGAGGAGCGCATCCTTCAGCTGTTCCGAATTTTCAATGGATTGTTGGCCAAGCGCAAGGAAAGCCGACGCCGTAACCTCTATTTCCACCTGCCCCTTATGGTTCCCCTGGCGCCGCATATCCGCCTGGTTTTGGATGACACCTCGTATATTTCCATGCAGGGTATCTATGAGGATTACTGCCGACGTGTTGGCATTAACAAGGATGAGCCAGTGCTTTTCACGATGGACCGAATGCGGTCCGTGCACGAGACAAAGCAGAATGTGAGTTTCCCAATAAGCAAGACCTCGCTGAATAAAGCTAATTCCTTGCAGCGCACACCCGATCAAGTTCAGGTTGTTCGTACCGAGATCTTGACTGCCATTCAGGACAAGTGGGTGCCCAGTACCGTGGTCTTGGAGTACTTCCAGCACAGTTACCCCAACTTCGCAGACTTCTGGTTGTTCCGACGCCAGTTCGCCTATCAGTACGCTGCGGTTGCTTTCATGACCTATGTCATGCATATCGGCAACCGTTACCCTAACAAGATCTTGGTTTCGCGCTCGTCGGGCGATATCTGGGGTGCAGAATTGATTCCTACCATCAACCCTGCCAAGGCAATTTTCTACAACCCAGAGCAGGTACCATTCCGCTTCACGCCCAACATTCAAACTTTGTTAGGCCCCATCGCCACGGAAGGTGTGTTTGCTTGTGCAATGATGGCAATTTCGCGCTGCTTGACGGAGCCACGCCACGAGTTGGAGCAACAGCTCAGTATTTTCGTGCGCGATGAGATGATGTTCTGGGCTACTGCTCAGCACCGGGGCAGTCTCCCTGTGCCCCAGCTCCGCGAGCTGGTTAATAACAACAGTGAGATCATTGTCAACCGTGCTGTCAGCCTTGCCAGCCCGCCTGAGGGTAATCTGCCTGCCAACCAAACTACGATCGATTTGATCTCCAAGGCAGTCAACCCCCAGCATCTGGCATCTTGCGATGCGTTGTGGATGCCATACCTCTAAATGGCAGGTTTCTGCGTCTCTGTCTCGGCTCTTTGCACTCTTTCGTTTACTGATGGAGGTGGTTTATTGTTTTGCATGGAATCTTTGTATGGAAGCATGGTTATGCGTGGGTTTGATTTTGCTTTTGAGCGTGGCGCTTCGGCAAGGAGGTCCAAAACGACTTTTCCTGCAGGATTGATATTATTTGATACCGATTTTTCTCTTCCATTGTATGTTTTAATCTTTGCTTTGTGATCACAAGTTCAACTTTTGTGGACTGCAGCTTTTAATGATTGATTTACTCTAATTCCGTTTCTCAGCGTAGACCTAGTACAACGCTAAGTGTAGAGAGACTCGATCACAGGCGTAGCTGGCATGTGGAAGGCTGGTACTAGTATCTCAATTACTTCCAGTATACTGACTACTTATTTTTACCAACTACTTGCTTTTGATGAGTACTAATCGAAATTGAATACGATAGCAATAGATTTGTTTGGTATTGACTAGGGTATTTGCTTATTTTCGATCATTTAATCCACCAAGATGCCGGCCCCCAGTGATATCAAGCGTAGCGTAAGTCATTAAACTAAAGACGGCTTCTTCTTAATCCCCAACTTGTTAACACCAGCCTTTTTGGCCTTCTTCACGCGCGCAAAAGACGTTGATGACGGTGGAGGCATTTGAATCGATGCAGACTCTGATGATTCTGGTTGTGCAGCCGCGATAATCGGCTCTTCATCCTCAACAATCCGCTTGATCCTCTCCCCAGTCGCTGTCATAAATGCCCTTCGCGCTGCCTCTTCATCTTCTTTTTCCTGCTGTAACCGGACTTCATCTTGGTCCTCTTGCGCAAACTCAAGAGCTACCGCTTCACCCTTTGACTCGTTGCGCTGAATGCGCGCATTGCGCGTCCGAATCTCATCGAGGGCATCGGCAATTTGCATTTCTCGCTTGGAATCCTGCATTTTCTCTTCCAGCTCGGCCATCTTGTCGCGTTCTAATTGCTCTTGCTCTGTGTTCTCCTCGCGCTCGAGTCGGTCAAGTGTTTCCTCCTGGGTTTCATTATATTTTTCGTCCTTGCCGTCTCGCCATGCTTCGAAGTTTCGCTTTGCGCCCTTTTCGCACTCATAGTCCATATCTATTGAATCGCTTGTTAGTATATACTTGAATATTACATAAAGCAACAAGGGGAAAAGGATAAAAGACATACTTTTTGGGTCTGTTCGGAATGTAATTTCTCCACTGCATCTTGTGCAGCGGATGTAGAAGCGGTAGATCGGAATAGACAGGTATCTTTCCTCCAGTGTCTCTTTGCGAGCGTTGAACTTCCGCCCTCTGTAGATGTATTCACCGCAGTTTGTGCATTTCATAGGAAACGGGGCCATCAGTCGGACTGTGATGACCTTTGGGCCCTTCTGGCGGAGGTGCTTGGGCGTGCGCCCGATCGCCGAGGGATCGAAATCCGGGGGATAGTATTTGGTGAGGACCTTTCGCTCAGACATGATGAAGATGCCCTTAAGGATTTGAGGGGAGGACTGAGAAAATTTAAGAACAAGAAGAAGTGGCGTTGAAATGGAAAGTCCGATTCATAGGCACGTATCGGCGATATCAGCGGTATCAGCACGTGACAGGAGTGTAGATCACTTGACGGTTGTCTCTACTCGAACGAATCAAATATCGTTCCACGGAGTACACATTGATATTTTTTTTTTTTAAATTTCACCCCGAAGAATTCAAGTTCCTCAAAAGACTCCCCAGGTGCAAGAAGGCTTTGATGCAGCATCAAATTCATCCTCAGTTCAAATTTGACGCTGTACTGTTCGTCCCCAATTGGGCACGGTGCACGGGCCATTGTTTGTCCACAATCCACGACCCGCCCATGCGACCAGGTTGGATTCTTCGTTGTGCTGGAGCGAATTCCTTGGGAATCAAGTGTTCTGTGGTTGCCTGTCTCCTGCAACTGCCTTGTTTGCCGCTGAAAGCTTCTGGCTTGTGGTGATGGAACGGTACCTGCGATCCTGGCGGCAGGACGCGTTTAATCGTGGTCAACATGAATCTGCTATCTATATTGGGGACAAGGTTCTTGCTCTCACAAGTATGAGCTCCTGCCATAGCTACCTTGACCTTGACGAAACAGTTCCACTGACAGATCTTCCAAAGACAGTGACTCGGATGCCTTCTGGTTAGCTCAAGTCCATTTCTCCAACAACAACTTCACCCGAGCGTTAGCCCTTCTCTCCCGCGGTGACCTTGTTTCTCGAAATCCCGCCTGCCGTTACCTTGCAGCCCATTGCTACATCAAACAGAACCAATTCGAACAAGCACTCAATATCCTAGGCGAACACAATCCCACCGACTTGATCCGTAATAAAGACAGCAGCCGCCGAAAGATTCCGCACCTTAATGGGCAAAGTCATGTCACATTGCGCAATGGGAAAACATCAACAAGTCGAGGCGAGCGGGAGCGGGAGCGCGAGCGGGTGAATGACCGAGAGAGAGACGATGATGAAAGCAACATTCGATTCGAAGCTTCCATGTGCTACCTGAGAGGTCTCTGTTTTGCGAAACAGAATGCATTTGATCGTGCCCGGAGCTGCTACCAGGATGCGGTGCGAATCGATGTGCAGTGTTTTGAGGCATTTGACCAGCTGATGAAGAACTCACTCATGTCGCCCACCGAAGAGCTTGAGTTTCTCGAGTCTCTAGATTTCGACTCAGTCTCCTCACCAGACCCTTCTGTTGCCCAAGAAGCAGCGGATTTCACCAAAATGCTTTACACCACCCGTCTCTCCAAATACTCATCACCTACAATTCTATCAAATGCTACCGAAACCCTTTCGACACACTACAATCTCGCTCAAAACCCAGACATCTTGTTGTCTCGCGCCGAGACCCTTTACACACAATGTCGGTTCCCTGAAGCTTTGGAATTGACATCTTCCATTCTCTCCAACGCTCAGTCGAATGACCTAGCAAATGTCAACAACAATGGTATTCCCCTAGGCCATGCGCCCGCAGTTTATCCCCTTCATTTAGCTTGTCTGTACGAAACAGGTGCCACCAACGCGCTTTTCCTACTCTCACATTTGCTAGCGGACCATGCTCCGGAGGAACCTTACACATACCTGGCTATCGGAGTATACTATTTGGCGGTGTCAAAGATTGCAGAGGCCCGGCGGTTCTTCTCCAAGGCGTCTTTACTTGATCCCCACTCAGCTTCTGCCTGGATTGGCTTTGCCCATACCTTTGCTGCAGAGGGCGAGCATGACCAAGCAATTGCGGCCTACAGTACCGCTGCCCGACTATTTCAAGGTAGCCACTTGCCACAGCTCTTCCTTGGCATGCAGCATTTGGCTCTGAACAACATGTCCTTGGCCCATGAGTACCTTGGTGCTGCTTTTGCCATGTCGACAGGGTCTGTGCCAGGCAGTGCCCCTACTCCTGGCAAATCGCCATCAACGCCCCTCGGCGGCGATCCTTTAGTCCTTAACGAGCTCGGCGTCGTCTACTACCACCAGAACAACCTTCCGCCCGCCGTTGAACTATTCCGCCAGGCCCTGAAGTTGGCGGGTATTCTCCACTGCGAACCGGGCGCCTGGGTTGCGACCCGTGCCAACTTGGGCCATGCATTGCGTCGTATGGGTCACCTACGGGAGGCTCTGCGTGAGTTTGACGAGTGTCTCCGTGTAGGTGCCGGGGGCAGTAGCATGGGATATTCCCCATTCTTGGGTGGTGGTGCAGGTGGATCTGCCGCTGTCGCATCCGCTTCTGGGGTTGGGGGCTATGAAGACCGAGGATTGGTGGGATCGCTTCACACCTCGAGAGGCCTGCTCCTCTTGGAACTCGGGCGCACCGGTGACGCTGTCACAGCCTTGCATGAAGCCGTGCGCGTATTAGGGGCCAGCGGAGGCGGGGACGCTGCCGGGGGCGCAGGTGTTGCGGGAACACTCCTGTCACGAGCGCTAGAATTGTGGTCTCTGGAGGGTCGCGAGCAGGATCGCCAAGGTCTAAGGGCGATAGAAGAAGGGATCCGATTGTCAAATTCTCATTCTAGTAACAGTGGAAGCTCATCATTCCGCTCGCGCGAGACCCGTAGGGAACGCCCGACACAGCCAGAGCCACGGCGACGTGCTCGACCCGAGGCACCCCAGGATGAATGGACGGGCGAGGTCACACATGTAGCGACACCCAGCGCCTCCGAAGCCGGGACCCTGGAGCAACATGTCGAGATGGACTTGGATGAGGAGGCCGATGGACTTTTGCGTCGTGCGCTGGGTCGGGTTCGGCATGGGCGCCGGCGCGCGGCCATACCCGCCACCCCGGCCACCCCGGACACTAACATGCAGGAGACTCCGGCGCGTAGTCGGCATCGATCTCATCGGAGTGAATCCCGACAATAAGCCCCCGCAAATTCAGATTTTCCAGATCAGATGAACGTTTTATTTTTCTTGGCGGGGGCACCGTGCTATTACCTTTTATGAATTTTTCCTTCCCCAAGTACATGCACAAAGAGGCGTTATGACGGTGCAAAATGGGCAAAATGGGCAAAATTGGGAGATTTGTTTTGTTTTTCCGCGGGGGAAAAAAGGATTTGGGAGGCAACATGTGTTATTTTACTGACCCTCCTATGGCTTCTTTGCAGTATTACAGCATGCAGCATACGGCATACTTTATTGGATAGTACCTACTAGACAGCCTTGTTCCTTATGGTTTATACTAAATAGTAAACATAAGTCAAGTTGTACATATATGCGGTTTTCATCGCGCCCGAGTCGATCTTGTGGTTGGTTTGGGGCGGTGCAACCTGACGCATGTTGATCATGCAACTCCTCGCCAGCAACAAACGCTCTCCAGGGGTTCCTGATTCTGAACCTTGGAATCTGGAGCCTTACGGGGTACAGAGTAGCAGACTGTCACATTGAACAGATGGACCATACCTAATTCAGTAGTTGAGTGGTATTTATGGTTATTCTTAGAAGTTAGTCCTGTAGCCAAGTCGTGGGGCGTACCAAGAGATTTAACCCCGAGGTTCGTAATACTATTGGACCCTGAATCGACCAAGGGTTAGAGAGCAGTCCTGCGTTTTAATTGCCTTCACTCTGTTCATGGACCTTGGTTAGGTCAAATTGGCAATATTTGAATTAAGGAATCACCCATGGCTCAGCAAATGATAAGCAACGGAAACGGCCAAGAGAAGTTACACGTCTTGTCCACGCATGAGTGGCCTCAGTGGCCAGTGACGGAGACTTACGTGATAGAGTGGGGCCTCATTGCCCAGGCACCCGGGAAACTAACACTTAGGCAAGTTTGGACAATGACGCCTCGCGACCCACTTCTACTCTGTCTGAGCCTCTACTCTAAACCAATGGAATTTATAACGCTGATCACTTACACAGAAAGCTTGTCAATCCTCCCCCCGTTTGGAGATGTGGAGTTACAAGTTTCACAGTTTGTCCCTTTCTCCTTTTCCTTCTTTATCCCACCATCCCACTTTTTACATACTCCCCTTCTGTGAAACTGCGCGATCTAGGGTTTCATCGTCAGAATGCCCTGAATGCCCTTTGGCATCCAATTGATCCCGCGACATGTCCGCGAATTACAACTACCCCTTACTACGGCCTAGGCCGCGACGCGGTCTGTCGCTCCTCTGCGTCATCGCATGCCTTTCATGCACTCTGATCCTGACCATCTGGTATGGCATGAACTCGGACCGCGACTACATCCACCCCATCCTCACACAACTCATCCCTGCGGGCCACTGTGCCTGCCAAACCTCTACCACCTTCGAATGCTCCACCTGTCTCTCTTGTCCCGAAACTGGACTGCAACAACCCACCACACCTTCCTCCAATTGGCAATGGGATTACCCACGCGATGCTCCAAATGAAGCTTTCGATGAGATGCAATGTCAGGCTGCCTTTCCAGGTCTCTTTGAGGATGTGGCGCGTGGCGAGCGGTATTGGCGCGCAAATGGTCGCCTCGCCACGGAGGACCTGGACGATATTCATCTTCAGCCAGGTATGGCGCGCGCCTTCATTTCCCGTGGTCATTTACATGTGGTTGCTGCCCGTGCCAGTGGCGAGGACCATCGTCGCAAGATATTGGGAGTACTGAGCTCGATTCACCGTGCGCTGGCCGCGGATCGGGAACGAGTCTCTAAACGTGATATTGAATTTGTGTTTTCGGTGGAGGATAAAGTGGAGGATGTAACAAGTCCTGAATTGCCGGTCTGGGTCTTTGCTCGCACCCCGCTGGAGCAGGGGGTGTGGCTAATGCCTGATTTTAGTTTTTGGGCATGGGATAACCCAAATAACTACCTTGGGCCATATGATCAGGTCGTGGATCGGATCCAGCGATTGGATATTCCTTGGGACGACAAGAAGCCTCAGTTGGTGTGGCGTGGCAAGCCGAGTTTTGCTCCAAAGTTACGTAGGGCGCTGATCGAAGCGGCCCGGGGTCAAACATGGGGAGATGTGAAACAGGTGGAATGGGCCACTGGCACCAACGTTCTGAGAATGGAGGAACATTGCCATTACATGTTCATTGCACATGTCGAAGGTGAGTTTTCTCAATGTCTTGACCTTGATTCTTGTGTCTCATGATCAACTGCTGACTCTATATCCAGGACGTTCTTACTCTGCATCTCTCAAATACCGACAAGCCTGCAATTCGGTTATTGTCGCTCACAAACTCCAATACATCCAACACCATCATTACCTCCTCGTCGCTAGCGGACCACACCAAAACTACGTCGAAGTGGAACGAGATTTTAGCGATCTTTCTGAAAAGATCGAGCCACTGGTTCAGAACACGGAAGCCGCTCGCCAAATTGCACAAAACAGCGCCAGAACTTTCCGAGAGCGATATCTGACCCCAGCTGCGGAGGCCTGTTACTGGCGCTCCTTGTTCCAAGGCTATAGCAATGTCTGGAATAGTAGCGTCGACCCATGGTCCACAGGCTATGGCAGAGAACGTGGCTTGAGATATGAATCATTTGTGCTGCTTGAGAGTTCGCGCATGTATGACTTCCGAGCCGATGTCATCTCATACGGCACCTCATAAACGATCGACCCGACATACACCTCACATTTCATACCTCATTCATTTTACTCCACCAATTCACCCACTCGACCATCCGATACTCGATATGCTTTCAGTTACCCGGGCACCTATAGAGCACCATGACTATGATTTCCTACTAATGTTACCTAACAACCCACCTGTTCATATTCCTCGTGGTTGTGAATTTTGCCTGCAAGGGCTTATTAGACGATAAATTGGGTGATTTCTTTCCATCGGCAGACGGCGTTTGAGCGCAGGCTTTCTTGATACCACAGCGGACATGTATCTTTTTTTTGTTTTTATGGTCTCACCTTGGACAGATAGAATACGGTGACAACCTTTCTCTGAGGTATTTTAGAATACGAATCTCAGTACCAATACCAACATCCACCTACATTAAAGGTATTATGACACCTGAAGGGTATTCAACAGGAACATCTGCATTGGGCGTGAAAATATACATACATAGCAAACGGTCACGAGCACTTGAGGGCGTACATACATATGACTCTCAAACTGCATTGATGGCATTTATTTTCGTATTCATAAGGAACATTGAAAGAGACGTCCTGCTGCGGTTCAAATGTTTCAGAACAAAACTCCGCTCTTACAGCTCTTACTAGATGCACATGTGAGATTCAGAACCCTGCTTCTCCACCAGCGATCGTCCTGTGATATCTAGATGATGATACATAATATTTATTACATGCAGATGTCTAATGGATTTGAAAGGCCTCGCCCAGGCAGAAGTGAACTCGACGTATATTAGACATGGCACCATCTACCATTCACAACATTTGAAAGAAGGATTTGTTCACTTCAAATGTTCTACGTTTTTAGGGGGTAGTACAATGGGAACACAAGCCCCTCAAGCCACCTGCTGACCGTTTTCCTGCCCTGAAATAATTTATTTCCCTAGAGGTGTGGTGCTTGTTCTAATCAATCTCTAGCTTAGTGGAGTATAGTATTCAATGTTAGAATAGACTCTATATTATATAGAGTCTGGGCTATGTGGCTTACATATGATATAGTACTAAACAAAATACTAATAAAGGACTCAATTATCCAGAAAAAAGAAACGCCTTCAAATGTTTGGACATTGATTCATTGAATGCTATGGTAAGCAAACTTTATGTAGTGAGTCTCTTTGCGATCATCATTGGTGACTTGTTTCAATGTTTGAATAGATAATCTCCATATATCAACTTGAATGTACCATACTCAAGCTTGCACATATATATACTTCTAGTCATATAATAGTCCATTAACTACTAGTTACCTTTCAAATGTTATCTTTACAGCCTAGGAACATTGAATACTGAATTGCGTACAATGAAGTAAACGCGAGAACCAAGGAACTGAATGCCGGAGGGTAAACTAGGAACCATTCCAAGGTTTCCCTTAGCAAAGTACTTACATGTCTCTCAAGTGCTCTCTTTATGGTAAACTGCAGGGTTTCCAAGGTTTTTTTTTTTGTCCGGGGAATTACTCTCCAGGTTAAAAGCCGAGGAGGCCTAATATTCGGCATTAGGTATTAGGGTCCGAGAATTCAAATTGACCTAGTAGGGCATGATATTTTTCGCTTGCCCTGAGAGCAATATCGTAGGTCAAAGTACAGTTTGCAAGCTTAAGCTGACATGCACTCACAAGAAAACCGCGCGTTTATCACCAAAACCTTCCTCATTTCACCTTCCTTCTTTCTTCTCTCTTAACTCTCTCAACACCAACCCGTTTACCCACCACAGGTCCCTGTCACTCTTTTTCCTCTTCCCTTCTCCAATTTCCGTGAGATTCTTCAACTTGCAGCGATGGAGGAGATATCGGTAGCAACTGAGAATAAAAATCCAACCACGCAGACCACATCAACGCAAGATGTGGACTACATCCAAGAAGATGTGCAGGCGCGCGTATCGAAGCCAATTGTATGTTACGTCACGACTGATCATTGATGAATTACGCCTGCTAATATTATACAAACAAACAGTGGATTCTAATCATTCTTACCATCCTCTCGTCGACTTTCTTGTTTTCGCTGGATAATACCATCGTCGCCGATGTTCAGTCGCCTATTGTGGATCGATTTGGCGAGGTCGAAAAGCTTACCTGGCTGGGAGTTGCTTTTGTCCTGTCATCCTCGGCTACAGTCATTACCTGGTATGCAAGAATTCATGATACTAATATAAGATGGAGTTGACCATATTTTTTTTTTCTTTCTTTTTTTTTTTCCAGGGGCAAGCTTTATGGCATCTTCAGTTCGAAATGGGTTTACATCACTTCTGTCGTTATCTTCGAGGCCGGCAGTGCTCTTTGCGGCGGGGCCCCAAACATGAATGCCTTTATTGTCGGGCGTGCTATCGCGGGTCTTGGTGTATGTCTCATATCTCATGTGTTATAACGCTGTACAGCTGCTGACCTAGCTAGGGTGCCGGTATGTACCTGGGCTGTCTGACTTTGCTGGCGGTCACTACTTCCGTCCGCCAGCGACCGGCCTACATGGCTCTTACCGGAATCAGTAAGTCAATGATTCTTTTAGTTGAACAAAATTTCAGACTAATAGTTATACAGCATGGGGATGTGGTACAGTATTGGGTCCAGTGTAAGACCGAAGACAAACATTCTGACTTCCCCGTTTACTAATGATATATTCTCGATAGTGTCGGCGGTGCATTCGCTGAAAATCCACATGCAACATGGCGATGGGCTTTTTACATCAATCTGTGTATCGGTGCAGCTTTTGCTCCCGTGTACTTTTTTTGGTTACCTCGTGCTGACCCCCAGTTCGCCGTTCCATTGAAGCGCAAACTCTGCCAAGTGGACTATCTAGGCGCCGTTCTCAATGCCGGTGGCTTCACAGCCCTGATCATGGCAATCAATTTCGGAGGAAATCTTTATTCTTGGGGCGCAGGCCAAGAAATTGCCCTGTGGGTTGTTGCGGGAGTGCTGCTTCTCGTCTTCAGTCTCCAGCAGCTGTTCTGGATTGGCACCTCGCGACACGAACGAATCTTTCCAGCAGACTTTCTTCGAGCCCCAATTATGTGGCTTTTGTTTGTTCTCATGTGCTGTGCAGCAACTTGTGTGTTTGTGAGTTTGCCATTGGAATCTTTATGAATGGTCAAAGTCCAGATTTAACAGGTTACTCACTATAGATTCCTACCTATTATATCCCCATCTACTGTCAGTTTGTCAAAGGGGATTCTCCCCTTACTTCTGCAGTGAGACTGCTTCCATTCATCATCCTTATGGTATTCGCTGGACTTTTGAATGGTGCCTTGATGACGAAGCTAGGATACTACATGCCATGGTACCTGGTGGGCGGTATTCTCACAAGTATTGGAGGTGGTTTGATGAGTATGTTGCTTGCCTAAGGAAAAAAAAAGAAATTTCCCCGTCACATCGGCTAACCACAACATGGCTCCCATAGGCACCATCGATGAAAACAGTTCTCTTTCTCATGTTTACGGATACTCTGCCATGGTTGGAATTGGTGCGGGCATGTTCATCCAAACAGGATTCTCCGTGGCGCAGGCTAAGGTTTCTGCTTTGCGTGTCTCGGATGCTGTATCTTTTATTGCTCTTGCTCAAAATCTCGGAATTGTCCTTGCTCTGGCAATCTCGGGGGCGGTGTTCCAGAACCAAGCCCTTGATAGCCTTCAGCAAGTGTTGCCAGGACTCCCGCGTGAAGAATTGCGAAGTGCAATTTCTGGATCGAACAGCCAGATGATTGGGAATTTGCCGGTCGAGACTCAGGCTAAAGTCATCCACGCCATTGTCCATGCAATGTCACATACGTACTACCTGGTGGTCGCTGTAGGCGTGCTGACAGCGGTTGGGTCAGTCTTTATGAAGGTAAGATATTTGAATATGCCCAGGAAGAGTACATTAAGTTGACACTGACACAATTGTAGGTGGAGCGAATCTTTATCCAATCTGCCCACGTGGGTTAGATTGCCGATCCGAACTCGACAAACGCTGCATTGCTACGATGCAAGGCTCTTCAGTGATATTTGTATATGTATTATTCAAACAGCTGGAATTTAATTTATTGAAGCTCCTTATCTTTGTCTCTTCATTCAACTTCTAAAGCCTTAGACCCCAAAAAAGACCTCGGAACTCTAGAGACCATTGATGAGCGTGTGAGACAGCGAAAACCCATACCAAACGGTAGCCACCAACGCAATGGCATTCAAATGAATTGACATGGCATGATTGCGCGAGAAACCGCGATTGGCATTCTGCAGCTTCTCCTCCATTCTAGGCCCACGTTTCTCCGTGTCTATAATAAAGCCGTAAACAATACATCAGCCCACGATGATTCCAAACACCACAATAACCTTCAACTTTGTTAAGAAAAAAACATACCTTGTACAATGCTCCGAAGCCAAGAAGCTCTGAAAGTTCTGGGTCCAAAGGCATAATAGTTCAATGAGCCCATTGCGACGACGATAACTAGCGGGGCAGCGCTCCAGAGATCAGTCGCAAGGGAAAGGACGCTGTAAGGCGGGCGCGTCGCAGCCGTGAGCGCCGCTAACCCGATCTGACAGGTGAAGTAAGTCGGGAACACGTGCTTGTTGAAGAGGAGAAACTCGCGCGTGGGGAGATGTCGGTAGCAGAGTCTTGTATTGACAAAGCTCTTGATATCATGATTTGTAAGTCACTAGTACATATCAATAGCAGGGAATGAAGCAAAGGACTGACCTGGTACAGCTCTGTGCCAAGTAAAGCGCCATAAGACAAAAGGTGGTATGGGAGGAGATTGCCCACTGTTTGGAGAATCGCGTCCATACTTGAGGGCAGCGACGAGACAAGAGTGGTTTATTGTGAAGAAAAGAAAGAACAGAATTGCTGATGAATCACAGATTCACGGTTGTGTGTGGGGGAAGGTTGTGGTTGCAGTGTTGCACTAGAGAAGCGAAGTTGTCAAGTTTGAGTTTCTATGTAATCTGACATTTCGCGTTTGTCATGCTTTCTTGCCTTAGCTTAATCCATTTATTCTACTGCTACTAGTAGTATTTATTCAATATCAACTTCTTAATGCTCTGATTCTAGAAATAACCAATGTCAAGTTTGAACATTTGAACATGATTCAGTGATTCATACTATACGCGTCCTCTAGGATGTACAACACAGAAACCAAATCCTTCATTCCCTTATTCCCGGTAGTACTGAGAAGAAAAAGTGAATTTCCGTTCAAATGTTCTCGGGTGACACCAATGTACTTGTTCTCTAGTCCTCAGAACAATGAAACCGGTCTCGGCCAAATGACTCCAATGATCTCCGCTCTTCAATCTCACATGCATAAAACTCGGAAGAAACGGAGCCCAATCCGATTCTCAGCCCACATGGCCCGGGACAACCAGGGTCCCTGGAAAAGGTGAAGACATTGACCTGCTATCGAAAGAAAATAAAAATAAACGAATATGTATTCCTTCAAATACTATTCTGATCAAATTACTGGTTGTCGATCATCACTTGATTATCATTGGTCCTGGATTGGATTTCCGGGAGATATGCATTGATTATATGTGTCGGAAGGTTCTTAACTTCAATGTTCCGAGAACACGTCGATGGATGCGGTATATTCGAGGTTGAAGCCCTCCAGGGCTGGATGTTAATACCGCATTGCATTTTCCTGCCATTGGGGGGGTCACTCGTTCCTCTTCCAAGCGCTTTGGGCACCCGACTTTCTACATGGAAGTTCTGTTCTTTTTCTCGAACGGCAATTTAGTTGGCCGTTATTGAAGGGGTGTACCGGTTCAGATGGTAATCGGCATGATTATCTCTTGACATCTGGTATTCCCGATATGGCGACATCATAAAATATTGTCGAGTGATATATCACAAGATTCACAACTGCAGCCCGGTCACCTGCTCATCCCGGTCCAGCCCTAATGAAGAAAAGAAAAACCTCATATCTGAACTTCGAATTCCCGACTTCGAAAACAGTGGACATTTCTAAACATGAACGTGTACTCCGGGGACTCGCAATGCCAGACTGGACCAAAAAAGAACTCTCAAAGGGTCACACAAGTCTTGCCACGCCAAGTGGCTCCAGAAAGCCAACGCCATGAACACATCGTCAGTCAAAGCTCTCAGCGGGTCCATGTGCAACATCTCGCCCAGACCGCTGGAAAATGACCAAGAACACACAGACAAAGAGATGAAGTTAGAGCTCCAGGGCAACGATTCAAGAGCCAAAACACGGTCAGGAATTACTAATCCCTGACACTCGACCACATGCTGGCCCCGCCTCGTGGAACGGGTTACGACCTCCACCGCCACTGGAAGACAAAGGGACAGGCCGGGGTGTTCCCCCCAGGAACCCTTCTCCCCCCTAATAATGGATATTAGGGAGATGTAAGCCAGCTGAGGGATTGTTAAGTGGCATGGATCCGGCCTATCACGCGGCTGAAATGGGTTCTGAGGCTGGCTCTTCTGTTCTTTCCAGACCGACTCGACGGAGATAAGTTGCACAGGCGCGTGTCACGGTGGGATTGAAGGAGTCTTGATTGAGAGCATGGGGTATATGGAGATCTAGGGGTTATAAGCGGTCGATGAGGACGGAGAACTCGTGCGCTGTTGAATGTTCGAAATTCAAAACGCTAGACTTTTTACACAACCCAGCGCTTCATCAATCTTCCATACTCGAAAAACAAAAGCAATAAGTACAAGATGCGCGCGGAAGCCAAACATGAGTCTCCATCAAGCGAGGGATCGCCACCCCCAAAGCAGGATCCATTAGAGAGAAGAAGATTACAAAATCGTCTATCGCAACGAAATCACCGTAAGATCTTCAAGTTAGCAATCTTCTTGCGCATGTTTGATATCAGACTCACATTTTTATTTTATCTTAGGCCGCAAGATCCGAGATCGCATTGCCAAGCTACAAGAACGGGTTATCGCGAACGAACTAAGAGCCGCAGCATCGCTGAATGGCTGGGACCAGACATATTCCCAATCGCTCATATCCCCTCGACATTCGTATCAGGAGACAGAAATATTCTTTGGCTCGCGCGACTCGCCGCAGAGCACAGAACCATCTACGCCGTTTTTTTCACCATACATGTTTTCTAACCCGACATATTCAACCGATATACACCTTTCCCAATCGCCAGAACTTTGCGCAGACCCGTTCCGGCATTTGGAGTCCGAGTCCTTGGGCTCTACAGCGCAAAATACAAACGGTTATGAATTCGATTTCATGGGAAATGAACAAGATGTTGAGAACTTCCATGATCCATGGGGGAACCTGAACACGAGAAGTTCTATCATGGCCGATTCGCGATCTGGATCTACCATCAATCAGCCTAATATCTACGTTGCAACAGGTAAGCACAACGCCATTTTTTTTTATATTTTTGGCGATATGCCAACAAGTAACAATTGATAGAATCCTCGTTGCCCCATATAATTAACGCTTTGAAGACATCATCCTCGCTGTCAAAGGTTATCGTCCTTGTTCCTCCCGAATCTTTCCCTTCGCTCCAAAATAGCACCTTGGGCGTGGCAACAAATGGGTCACGGATGAGCTCTACGGGATCTATGAATTCATATAACTGCGACGGTGGAATCGATTGTCTACAGCCAACACCACCAACAGCAATCAACATGAGTTGCCAATGCCACCAACCACAGCAAAACGGCTATTCTTTTCTCGCATCACAAATTCCCTCGCGGCTATGGACAACTCCAGCGCCCTATGTGCCCGTCTGTCCATTACGTAAAAGTCAGAGTACCCCGGGTGATAGTTTTTCTGCGTTGCATATATGAACTGGTGATACAATAAGCGCATAGCCTGGGGTTAGAGGTTGTTGGAGTATAGGGAAACTCATTCTTACTGTTGGGATCTCGGTAGATTAGGCTAACTGGTGAAATGGGAAACATTTGAATGATGCCATTGAATCATTGATTAATAATCAAGCACTGAGCGGTGTGATCTCGAACGAGGTGATACAAGCACGACAGATTCAGTGCAATATAAGCTCGTATTCGATCTTGGAAGATATATGTACTATGTTTTGGAGATTTTTTGGGGGATTAATCTAAAGTTATAGGGCTTAAGAAGTAATTATTATATTTATTATAAGAGGTTTTTATTAGAGTTTTAACTAGATTTTACTACTTTTTAGAGCTAGTTTATATACTAAGGGGGTATATTAGAGTGTGGTGTTTCCTAGGATATAGGGCACATCTAGTATACTATATTTTTCAGTGTGAGACTAGTCCGGATCAGGATAGATAGCTAGATAGTCAGATAGTCAGGTTTGAAGGGGATAAGTAAGAGCTTCTCTCTCCCTTCCCTTCTCTCCTTCCTTTCCTCTCCATCCCGCTTTACACAGCACTTGAGAGAATCCATTACTGTTTCTCCGTGCCTTTTCTTTCTCGATCCACATTGTCCAGGGTAGACACATAGTGTGGCTCGAACAACCTTCCTCACTCTACTAATGTCATTGCGAATTAGTGTCTCTTAGCCGCTGTTCTTGGTCAGCATCGCCCATCTCAATCGAGATAAATGGCTCAGGCTCCATGATTCTCGTTTCGCCTTAGTAGATCCCCATATTGTCCTCTTGGCCACCGCATTCCGAGCTGATCTTCTTCTATAGCCTTAGGCCTGTCATCTTTCTTTTCGACATGTTACTCTTCGTGCCAAAGGGACCTACCTATCTACAAACATATCTACGAATTACGACTGTCACGTCCATTGATAAATACTATAGAGTTTTTGTGGAGTTACCTAGACAGGAGCTTGAATTATTGACATTCTTGTGCAAGCAAACTGGCAAATGAACAAAACTTCCAGAGCCATAGTATTGTAATCATCTACCACCTTGGGTCGCTGCATTTCCAGTGTTGCTGCTCTTTGGGCTTTGAGAAAAGCCCGATAGCGGAAGAAAGTCGATCGTTTGCTTCTGTGAATACTCCATAGGTCAGAAACCGACTCTTTCCTTCCGTAAAGGGATGCGATCAATCATCTCTTACCGGTTTTTCATGTCAACCAAGGATTCTTTGCGAGAATCCACCTACGGGCAGGTTCCCTGTTGGCAACACGTAATGTAATTACCGGTTGGGATGTTCTGGCAACCAGGGGCCAGCTGCAGCTCCTGCACTTTGTCGGTACAGCCAGAGTCGTTCCAGATCGTCACGTCGATATTGGCAAGCCCTCCGGTGGTGATATAAGTGAGATGCGCTGACTCACGCCCTTTCCATAAGATGCACCTGGTGCCGCTCTCACATGAATCGGTATCACCAGCATCGCCCCCGCAGCTACTACCAGAATATCCCTCCAAAGTGGCATCCGTAGCAGAGACCACCATTGGGAGAAAGGCCGCCGCCCACATGATGTTCATAGAAAATCTCATGGTGGACACTCAGATTTGTCTCAGATCAGAGGATAGTCGAATAACGGCAACTTTTTTTTGTTTCTGAGGATGGTGCTGGGCCGCTATCCATTTTATAGAGGCCTGATTCCAACATGCTCATATAATCAAAGCTCGAAGCGCGCGTTGCGAACGTCCGAATGTAACGTCGGAGGCCACTGCGGGGGCTATGCTAATAGCCTTGCGCCATGCGAGGCAACTTAGGGAGGGGAAGCTCAGAAATAACAAATTTGCAATCAAGGAACCACAGGCCCTAGGGCCCTAAGGGTCTAGCTTTGTACGCTAAGATGTCCCAGGTAGCTCCCATTGTAAGCGTAAACTGGACCAAAACGGCTTAGTAGTAGTCACGACTGCCCTTAACAGGTCAAAAGGTGAGAATGGATGGGTCACTGCAAAATAGGGGTTTCTCTCGAGTTGGAGGTCTGCAAGCTGATTGCTCAGAGATTGCGGCAAGCTACACGGTCAATCAAACATCTTTACCCCGAATCCTGAATAGCGCACTGTTCATTTGAATCATTCATCATTAAACAATCGATAGTCCATCCCTGAAATAATAATCTTGCTTGCCCTCATCCCACAGAATTGGGTTCATAGCCCGACGCTGGCACGTGATTATACCATCTCGGATCCGTAGTGGAGAGATGGCACCGCGGAGAGTGGAATTTCCGCTCTTTTCACAGCTAAAAGTGAAGAACATCACTGGTTTCACCCGGTGGGCACAAATTCCACTCTTTCAGAAAGCTCGAACCAAATTAGCAAATGCGCAGTTGTGTATTTGCATAATAGTGGTAGTTTGCATTTGCTTGTTGCTAGGGTTCAGGGTTATATGGCAAAATTGGAGAGGAAATCAAGTATATTCATTCCTGGCATTACGATGCACCCACTAAGAGAACTAGTTGGAAGCGAACCGAAAGTGCTAACCAAGCTTTGCGCTAGCGGGTGAGGTCCACAGCCCAAAGCTTACGGTGGGAAGGCCGAGTCTCATTGGCATGTGAAAAATCTCTTTTCCTTGCTGCCTAGATTAAGGAAGAAACTCAGAGAACGGAAGGCAGTGGGTATGGACGAGTCAGATGGCCAGGTCTCTATTGAGGAAGCCTATAGACGACCCGCGCCACCTAGTCGTATGCTTTTTGTCGTTACGCGGTTTGCTAACAATCTCTCCCTCTACCCTTTGACAAGCATGTTTTTAGTATTCCAAGAAGTTTTACAATATTTTACAGTGGCTCATTTGACCTTTAAGTATGACACGGTACAGCTGAGCGAAGTAGTTTAGAGTACTGTAATTTGATCCGCATTAACGCTTTAACAATACTGCCCCGGCACAATGCTGGAGGAAGGAACACGTACCAGTCGTGAGGCCGCTTGTCACTCCCACGGCCTCTTTCAAAAAGTAAAAGCATTGGAGGAGAGGATATCCAGTCCATTCAGATTTTCAGAGCGTACCTTTCATTTCAGGAGCACGCAGCCTCTAAAGCAAGGAACGTGCTTAGTGAAGGTGGCGTGCGGACGTGCGCGTTCCGCATCAAGTGTTTAACCGATGACCCCCCTAGCATCATTTCTCCGCGGCCCCAAAACTTCGCCCATTGAAACTTTTGGATCACGATAACAAGCACCCTTGGCGTCACGCGTCTCTGATCACCGGAATGACATGAATGAAGGAATTGACATCGAGGTTGGATCCCTGTCGCCTAGCTTCCAGGTCTCCTCGACGGGGCGAGAGGGTTCTAACCCAGGCGCCTTCAACGTCGCAGCAGCAAGAGTCAACTCTAACGATTCTTCCAAGCGCCGTAGACGACGCTCGAACACTGCCCGCTCCTACCGCCCCCAGGGGGTAGCCCACGAATCCACCTGGCAACCTGGCACAGAACCGGGTATCGACCCCACAAAGCCGCTACCTCCATACAGCTCAGAATGGGCGTCGAACGTGCCTGGTGACCTGCAGCGATATTGTGAAATTACGGTGGTTGATTTCTCTGAGAAAAAAATGCGACAATACGAACTCGATAACGATACTATCGAGCAATTTCTATCACGTGACCGAGAACCATGGGTACAATATTATTGGATTAATATCAATGGACTAAGCTGGGATGTGATCAAAGTTATCGGTCAACACAAGGGGCTATACCGTCTGGCGATCGAGGATGTTATCCACACCATAAGTCACATCAAAGCAGATTGGTATTCAAGCCATGCCTTTATTACGTTAACATTACAGAAACTAGTGAAAATTTAGCAGGAAGGTAGTTACTCTAAAGATAAAAACAAAGAAAAACCTAGGTATATATAGATACCTAAATATAGAAAGAATTCACTTATAAGTGATCTAAGCCTAAGGATTATAAAACAACCTACTAAGTAGTATATTATCTAGGAGGCTCTTATAGATATATTTAGATCTAAATAACTATCAGTTCAATATAAACATAAGAAGGTATTAATTAATTTAAGTATTTATCCTGATCTTAGCAGTCCATCATCAAAACAGGCTTTATAATTTAGGAATATCACTCCTACAACCCAAGCTATAGCTCAGTCTCTCTAGCACTACCGCAGTAGGCAAAACAAAGATTATATCGAATTCATGGAACACCATGCGGTACTTGCGTCCAGGGGACTCTCTATTACATCAGAACAAGTTTCGATCTTTCTTCATGCCGATAATTCTGTTATATCATTTTTCGAAACAAGTGCAGATGACATAAAGGCACCTATAGTGCGACGCTTAAGTTCTCCTGAGACTATTCTTCGATAATCATGCAATGCAAGCATGCTCTTGCAAGCGATTATAGATGGCATTATTGATCTTACTATTCCACTCACCATGGCCTATTAAGACGCAATTGGAGACCTCAAGCTAGAAGTCCTGACTGATCCAGATATTGACCAGTCAAAGAGCTTGTATATTTTAACGTCTGAAATTACAGTGCTCCGCAATTCCATGCAGTCAACTGTGGCCGTGATCAATGTTCTCCGCGATCAACGATCTCAAAGCTCCGACACATCTGGTCTCGACGCCTTGCGCAGTGGCCCACTCAGCCTGGGAATAGTCCAGACAGAATCTGATCTGCAGTCTCACATCGGAAATACAACATCTACTTTTAGGAGTCTTGGCGGCTCGGTTGTTACAATAAGCACCATGTGTCATACCTATTTGGGTGACGTCTTGGATCATTGTATTACTATTGTGGAAGAGTATGATCAAATGCGACTGTCTGCAGACAACATGATTGATCTCATCTTCAACACCATTGGTAAGGGAATTGTTCCTCTTGACTCAAGGCGCAAAATGGCATGATTGACTATTTTAGGTGCAAATCAAAACCAGACTATGAAGCAACTGACCCTTGTCACTTGTCTATATCTCCCACTGGGATTTCTAACAGTATGTACCAAGTTCGTCTATCTAGGCCGCGGCCACTAACTGATACTCAGGGTTACTTTGGTATGAACTTCAACAAGAAAGACTTTGCTGGTATCAGACACAGTGACTTGTTCGTTTTGCTCGATCCTACTATGCTGGGGGCCAGATACTAATTCTATTTCCAGGTATTTCTGGAAAATTGCGGTGCCATTCGTGGTTGTGACGACTCTTCTGTTGATGTAAGTCTACATTTTCTGTTGTTGTAGGTATGAAAATTATTGATCCTTGATATCGCTAGGCGTGACAAAATTCAGCGCTATGCTGTTGTTCTTGCCCAGCGACGTCTAATGATAAGCTCGAGAAAGCAACGGCGCCAGAGGAAGCGAAGGTAGTTACAGTCTGTATCACATGACTGGAGACTTGAAAGCCCATAGCTCTTGAGTTCTCAGTCGCATGACGGCATTCCCATCCCCTTGTTCTTGCTTATATGATCACGGAAAGGTCTACATAACCCAAAGAATATTCATACCCGCACAGCGGGCCTCAGAAGATCTTCATATTTCGCATCGATTCATAAGTCCCTATCGGTAACAAGATTATTCTCGTACATAGAAATTCTTAGGAGGTTATACACAAACTCTTTTTACCGTAGGCGATGTTGTTTTAATATTTTTTTTCTGATTCCATCCATATTCAAGGGATGGTTGGCGTGAATCAATTTTTATGGTCACGCGGGTCTTGATACAGTATTCTACGATGAGGTTGTTACTGCTTTAATCATTTCCGTTACCTCCCGAAGCTTAGGGGACCTCACTAGTTACACCTGGGATCAATCACAATTTAGTCAAAAAATCTTACTTTGTTCGAGCATAGAAATTCACCCCTCTTCGTTTGTTCGTCTCTTTATTTTTGTACCCGGCCGTTCAAGTATGCCGTTTAACCACCGCTCCATTCACCACCGTTCCATGCACCACCTCTCCCGTTGAGCTCACACTTAACAACACCGTTTGACCATACCTTTCGACAATAACGTTTAATCACCCTGTTTAACCACCTCTCCGTGTAATTACTAGTATCTTTTCCAATGCCCTCCCAAATCAGTGGCCGTTCCTATGAATTTGCGCAGGGGGTTTCTGTGAAGAGACGTAGCCGACTTGATATAAAAGGCGCGAGATTTCCGGCCCAAAAAAATCAGGACTTTCCTCCTCACCCTCCCGTGTATCATGGTTTCCATCTCTTGTCTGCAGGCTTGAGGGTCTCCGTGGCCAAAGGTCCGCAGTCCGAACTCTGCGTTAACAAAAGGTGCTCGGCAGTCCGAACTCTGCGTCAACAAAAGTGCTCCCTCGCTGCCACGAGCCCCGCGAGTGTAAAAAGGTGCTCCGCAGGGGGAAGCTGCGAAACTAAGGAACTCTAGCGAACTGCAGGCACCTCTACGTGGTGCTAGGGACCAGTATTTAACTCTCGCTCTGCAGTTGAAGAAGCCAAGACCTGCTCCGACATCGATAGTTCACTTTTGTAGGTTCGGGCCATGGGCGAAGAGACTGGCAGTAGGGCCAGGAGAGCGTATTCAGAGCCTATTTTCACTCCAAGATAGCGTTATATAGAGAACTAATAAACCCAGCATTTGCTGTTGCCGAATTCGCCGTGCATCGTATTACCATGTATAGAATCTGATCTCACGAGATGTCTACACACGTAAAGGATGTAAACACACACGTCCAGGCTGGTCGGTCGGTCAAAAACCATTATAATTGAGCAAGAACGCATTATTCACGTCTGTCTCAGAGGTCAGGAAATCCATGATGACTGTTGAGGTTGGCTTTGGTGGTGACGGGTAGATGCGGTGATCTACAGTCCGGTGGCAACCATGTAATCATGATAGTTGACTGAGCGTTGTGAACTGTTGAGTCACAGTATTTAAACGGTTGACCCAGTGGTGAACATTGGAGCCTGCTTTGATAAACAATGGAGCATGTTTTCATAAACAGTTGAGCCTGGCCTGGGAAATAGTTGAATCTTTTTTAATCAACAGTTGACTGAACGTCCATAATCAGTTGAATGACCATTTGTAAACAGTTGAGTCTATTCTCATCAACAGTTCCCGGCTGAGTTACTAACTTGGTAGATTTTTGGTAGAATTAATACCTAATTAATGCCTGATTATTTTTTGTAAGGATATGTACATTTTTTTAGCATATAACTTTTGTTCTGCCGACATCTGGAAGCAGGCTAGGCAGAAAAAAAAATCCATCCTAATTAGGCTTAGTAAGTCACATGGGGTGTGTTAGTATGAAGAGGGGGTGTGTTTAGATTAATCCCCTTTTTTTATATCTATGGATGTCCCTAAGTGGAAGTTAGCTAGAACCTTGGAAGCTAAAGAGCCTCGTAAAGGGAAAATATTCGAATCCTTTTTGGCAAGACCTTAGTTTGAACGCTTTAAAAGCTGTTGTGTATCGGAAGTCGAATGTTAAATAATGCATCATGGCTTGGTTAAAAGGCGTCACCAATTTCCGAGGTCCGCAAGGCTCACAGAATGTTCAATGTTGCCAGTGTACATGCTTTGAGGTATTGGGGACCCTTGGAATGTTATGTACCACTTGATAGTAACTGAAGGTTACAACCATCTAAATGGAGTGGGCAGAGGGCAGAGACTCGAGTAAATCTTGGAATATCCAGAATGTTCAAATACAAACATTGAATTCTGAGGAATCCAGTCTATACAACTTGCGGCAGTGGACTCAAAGAACGCTTTGCCACAAATTCACAATATAGTCTCAAGTTTGAACATAGGCTATCATGAACAGGAAACGAATGACATATGACAAATGACCAATGGAGGTGAAAAAGTAAAGGAATAGTAATAAGAAAGCGTCGACCAATGGACACAGATTGAATCACGCAGTTCGTCCAACCTTGAGAAGTGCATAGATTCAATTCAGTCAAAATGAATGCGCCAAAGTTCCCGATCACAGTCACTGATATATCCAGTCCGGGTATGTAGCATGGCGGTATTGTCATTGATCAGAAGATCACCTCTCTCCCACTCGAAGCGAAGACAAACACGGTGATCATAGATGATCTTATCAATAACTTGAACCAATTCCGGATCCTCGTTCTCAATAGTCACGTCACAAGTCGAGAACTTGGTCTTTGTAGAATCCCACGGTTGATGCCAGCGAACACACGGCAATCCCGAAACAGGGTGTGTCACCGTCAACGGCAGATTCTTGAGCTTGGCATCCCAGAACCCGTCATTATCCATAGCCCAAGTCACCTTTTGAAGACGCTCGGCATTCCAGGGAAGGGGAAGGTATCGGAATAAGAGTCGCGAGCTGGCGAATAGCGTGTATCCGCTTCCCTTGGGCGCCGTGGCTGGACAGGTAAAGAATTGGTACCCGGGAGGACGCTGCACTTTCTTTATCTCCCCGGTTGTGGGATCGGTGACTTCTTCAAACTTGAACATGCCGTCAAAATGCATGGGCATGGCCTCATTAGATGTAACGTTATTTCCCAATTTATCGGAGCGGCCCGCGTCGCGTACTTTTTGAATAATACCGAAGCTCCATGGGAGTACCTTGCCGAGATCCTCTCCCGCCTTAACATATAAATCTTCGACCAGGGTCTCTGCGAATCCACGAAGAATAACTGGGGACATTCCATTCGAAAGTTTGCGCACTTTCTCCATGGGGATGTCGCTGATGGAGGGCGGGGCCTTCACATTGTCGATGTCTGCCGGTCGGATAATAAGTCCGCAAGGGTATTGGTGCTCGAACTTGACGGAAATTCCACTGGATGACCAGTCAAAGAGCTCCGATCTTTCACGGAAATAATATGGCTGACCGTTCTTGTAAATCAGGTCGTGTGTGTCGCGCACATCCTCCGCGTGAACTGTGCGGAATGATCCATCAAGTGCGACGGCCACAGAAGCATGCCATGGTGTGAAACCCAAAGACCCACGAATTTGAGGAATCAACGAACACGACAGCTTCCTCTCACCGGCGGACTCGTGGATAGACAAACGCACGTAGTCCTTGCGATTGGCTCGGATGGCAGCCGCAAACATTTTCCCTCGAACAATCATTTGGCGAGCTATCTGTGCAATCTGGCCTTGTTTGGCACGCTTGGACATTTCTGGTGGATACTCTCGATATGCAAGATCCTTGGTTAGGAACTTGATATATCCTCGATATGTCAGACAGGTGTCGTTGTCAGTTTTAATGGCTTCATCAGCATTGAACGTTGGGTCCCCGAACGCAAACATGAGTTCGCGACGGAGACAATTTGCATGAGCCAGGTAATATGCTTTCGCAGCTTCCGGGGTGTTTGATTTGAACCAAGGATGCTCGAGCAGCTCGAAAAGACGAATAAATTTCACATGGGTCAGGCCCTTCTCCACGGCCATCTTTCGCAAGGCCTCTCCATAGTCCCACACTACCTCGTCTGGGACTCCGAGGATATCTGACGAGAACGTTAACATTCAGAATGTAATTATAATAGACTAGAGAGCAATTTTTGAAGCTCACCATTGTAGACCAATCCGTCAGAACTGATGTATACATCGGCACCAGGTTTGTATACCTGGGCGACGTTTTCGCAAAGCCCATTCAAATGAGCAAGGGCCAGCTCCTCTCCAAAATCGGGCATAATCCCCAAGACCTTGTCGCGTGCATTTGGCGATTTGAAAGGAAATGCGGGCAAGATCATCCGAATAGGCTCTTGTTTTTCCACTTGGGCCATAACAGTGGGGACGAAGGACTCGAGTCCCTTCCACGACGCACCATTCTTCTCATAGTCAACACCATAGCTTTCGATCACCCTGAGAATCTCAAAGGCCATTTTGCGTTCATTTGAGGGAGTTTCAATGTTGAAAGTGGATATGTCGAGACTATCAACACCAGTAACCGAGGAGTCGGTAGAACCATTTCCGTTTGCGGTAACCGTCGACTGATCTGCGCTGTCAAGATCGGAAGGCGCCAAGTCCGTCGCATCGATTAGAATTGGGGATTTCTCCACCAGATCGAGTTCTGAGGAATGAACAATCCCATTCATGATGGGGTTTTCCGGATATAGAGCTCGGGAAATATCCGCAATGGGTACTAAACCGACCATGGTGGCTATGTAGATTTGGGTCACACCAACAACTTTTCACGTATTTTTTTGGGGATTTCAATAACGGCCAAGAGAAAGAACAGGCCAGGAAGAGATGGCCCTGTGATTTCTTTTCTTTTTTTTTTTTTTTTCTGTGTTTCGTTGATCTATCGATCCAGGTTGCGGGAAGTAGTTCGAGAGAATTGGCAGAACCATATTGCGCTATATAACCAACGAAGGCCTGGGACGGAGATGAATCGGCGAGATGTCGGCCCCCGACTGTACTTCTTCAGATGACTGTATCATTCGTTGCGGACTCAGATGTCGGGAATGAAGTTGAACCTAGGACGGGAGCGGAGGTTGGTCCTGTACAACTTCGCGCATGTGGGTCTAGTACATTGCTGAGACGAGGGCCCTCCAAGGCTAGGGTAACAAAGAACACAGATATGAAAAAAGAACAAATTGCCTTGATGGTGCGTGGCGGTCGAGTTCCAGCCTGAGAAACGGGGAGACGGGGAGGTAGACGTGATATGATCCATGTCAGAAGATCTTGTATCCATATGTCAGGATCCAAACGCCACGGAGAGTAAAAGAAAAAGGGATGGTCCCAGCAACCTTGCATGCCTACTATAAATTGACCATGCCAAGATGACTAGATCTGCATCTAATACGTACCACCGGTGAGGTTCTAAGCAGGAATTGTGTCAGAAAATGTCAATGCAGGAGGCTTTTGTCCGGGTCGGCTCGACACATGTGCACTACAGAGTCCAACATTGAAGTCAGAAAAAGCCAAAGTCAAAGTACAACGTACTAAGATGATTGAGGCAGAGTGTAACATCAAGTCACCTGAATCTTTATACTTTCTACGGTCGATTTAACTCCTTTGGGAGAAATTAGGAACGAATCAAATAGTAGGTTGTTTGAATTGATCAAATGAAGAGAGACGGGAACTTATTAGTAGGAACACCAGGTACAAGGCATTCGATCCTTGGAGATTACTCAACAAAGCGTGCTTAGCATGACACAGATCTAGATTCGATGGGGGACAAAACATGCGGTGTATGAAAATGCCGCATGTTTCTCGCCATGTTGTTTCTTAGACGAAACCCCCAACGGTGCGTTACTGTACACAAAGTCAATATCAAAGGTGGCAAAAAAAAACAGAACTCAACTTCAAATGTTCAGAGGTTCTAGACCTAAAGACTAAAGTATATATGATTCCTCATACAAAGAATGCCTCGAGATGACCTCATTTCTTAAGCTCAGTCCAATCATACTCCATCACTCGAGACACAAAAGCAGCCATGTCGGCACCCGCCATTTCACGCACGACATGGAACGTGGCATCAAGACCGGAGCTCACCCCACCAGCGGTGAGCAGGGTCACAGCATCCCCTGGCAAATAACCCCCGTCAATGTAGCGCTTATGCATGACAGTTGTCGAGGGTTCATTCTTGTCGTTGAACCGACCACATATTTCCCGAAGCACGTCAACACCACGATGGTGAGTGGTCACAGTCATTCCGGAAAGAATTCCCGCACCACCAAGCAGAAAGGCGCCAGTGCAGACGGAGAACAGAATGCGAGGATTCTGAGACGACGACAGGGGCAAAGCGGCGAATCTGCGGATGACATCCACCTCTGGGGAACCTCCCTCGAGGAGAGGTTGGACAACAGATGGGGGACCTCCAGGGACAACCAGAATGTCGTAATCGGCTAGGTCCTTGACCGCATCTTCCAGCAGCTTGTCGACCTTTACAGTCAGAGAGCATATGGATCGAATGGTGGGTGTTCGGGCCATGGTTTCAATGGTGAACATTGGATCGGGATCATCCGGGTTGTGATTATGCAAGACATGCGCCAGAACTTCCATCGGCCCTGCAAAATCCAGGAGATCGGCTCCTGAATACAGCAGTACTCCTACTTTGGCGTATATCTTTTCGGATGTAGAAGACATGATTTCCAATGTTTGAAACTGTGGATTGAAGTTTGTTTTGGAGAGAAAATGGCAAGTCACACTTTTTTTGGTGGCGGCGGGCTTGCGATTTAAGTTAGCCAACAAAGGAGGATGAACAGGAATGATTGGAGATATATGGCTTGAAAGTGGTCCGACTTTGGGCTTATTTCTACCAAACGCAGCGGCATGGATTTGGAAGGTGATATTGTCTTCACGGTGAGTTTTAGGCCACCACGGATTTCACTGGCCAATAGACCGACGCTGTCTTACGTCAATTTGTTCGCACGCGCCAATTTGAGCATCTTGATGAGATCAGATCTTGGGCTTGTGAGTGGTGGATGCAGCGGTGTGTGAATTGGGACTGGTGTTGCAAGGGGTCCCAACTCCCATTGTCTCAGCCTACTCGAGTTGAGTCAATTGTCAGACTGCAAAGATCCAAAAAAAAGCTAAACCGTAGTCATAATATAGCAAGCATCATCGCTGTCATCATGAGGCTCATGAATTTGTGTTATAGCTATCGGGTTTTCCAATGTTGGGGAAGTTCGGGATGTGGACGTCAACTTCCCCGCATAATCAACATTTGAATCCCCTTCACACTCGGGACGGCGGGGGTGGGGGTGGGGACAATACAGCTATATGGATAAGTGCCACCAACGTACTAGTACACTTGAATCTTCTCCGAATATGAAAAGATTCCTTTCTTAGATCACCTTCAATATGACGTCGTCCGAATTTAGCAACCATTTTTCAATTGCCAATCTCCCCTTTGGAGTGGCATCTTCTACGAATCATGCCGCCCCGCAATGCGTGACTCGACTAGAAAACCAAGTTATTTTCCTAGACGTCTTGCAGAAGTCCGGACTTTTTGTGAAGGTGTCAAATCTGCCAGAAGGCATATTTGAAAAGAGAACTCTCAACGAATATGCAGCGTTGTCCAAAGCAACCCATCGCGAGGTACGGGAAGTGCTTCAAAAGGCATTGAAAGCGCCCTTGCCAGATAACAGCACCGAAGATATTAGCGACGTTACACTTCACCTGCCGGTTTCTACCGGCGGCTTCACAGGTACGTGATTCAATAATCCTTGAAAGCATATCAATATCTGATCCTCTTTAGATTTCTCATGCAGTCTTCATCACGTCCGCAATGCGGGTCGCGCGATTCTGAACGACGAGACCCCCCCGCCGGGCTTTTTCAACTTCCCAATCGGATATAACGGCCGTGCTAGTACTATTGTTGTCTCCGGCACCCCGATTGTCCGGCCCAATGGCCATTTCTTTGATAAGACGGCTGCATCGGAAAAGAAACCTATCATCTACGGTCCATCGAGGGCGATGGACTGGGAGTTGGAGATTGGTGTAATCGTTGGACAGGGTGTCCCTCGTTTGCAAGGATTGAATGCAAAGGACGCAGATGAAAATATATTTGGATTTGTCATTTTGAACGATTGGAGTGGTAAGTGCTTCTATCAGGCCATATAATATCGGACGACCATTGACAAATGGGTGTTTTTATAGCTCGGGATATCCAAGGCTGCGAGATGGTTCCCCTTGGACCATTGAATGGCAAGGCATTTGGAACAAGCATTTCACCATGGGTGGTCACCTTGGAAGCCTTGTCTCCCTTCAAAACAGCAGGACCAAAGCCGGAGGTTGCATTGGCAAGCCACCTGGAAGACGTAGCAGAGTCCAGTTATGTGATTGATATGAAAGTGGAACTGATTGTCGAGGATCAAGTGACAGCTATCAGCGAATCGAAAGTACAGGACTTGTACTGGAGTGGGCGGCAGTTGGCCGCCCATCTTGCAAGCATTGGTGCTGATCTCCAAACTGGTGATATCCTGGGCACTGGGACAGTCAGCGGCCCAAATGAAGGCAGCTTGGGATGTCTGTTGGAGGTCACCAAGGCTGGCAAGGAGCCTGTGACTTTAAGTGATGGTTCCAAGAGACACTTTTTGCAGGACTGGGATGTCGTTCGTATGACAGCAATCGCTGGCGGATCATCTTCCGGGGTTGGGTTCGGAGAATGTGTGGGTCAGCTGCAACCAGCAAGTGCGCTGTGATTCATTTCCCAGGAGCATTTTAAATTAAGCTGATTAGATCACGAACAAGGAATATGCCGTATTTATAGACACCTCCAGACTCTTCGGGGGAAGATGGGCAGCTAATGAATTAGTATGAACCAGAAGATGGTTTAAAGTCCACGAAATATTACTAGTTCAAAGGCATGTACAAATGAATAAATGTTGATCCAAATAACCAGGGGCCTACCAAAACACCATATTTCGCATACAAAAGTAGCCAGTAACCAACGCCAGAAAGATGCTCCGCCAATGCACCCAAGCAAAAGTTATAAAGGAGAATGAACATGTGGAGAGCACATCGAAGATGTAGTATCAGCCCCATAGCGGCGGGTGGATGTACTCTTGGGCCCGGTCAAGGATGTTGGGTATAGTCCATTCACCACTACCCGAGCTTTCCGGTGTCGGTGGTGGGAGAGACCCTACACTAGGCGTCATACCGGCTGAGCCAGGGGCAACAAAAACACCCATAGAAGCGGTAGAAGTAGAGTTTTGGTTATTCTGAGATAGAAACGCAGGGCTACGTCCATTCACAGGGCGCGAATTCTGGTTACCAAAGGCACTGAGAAGCTTTTGTAGAGCGCGGTGAGTTTTGGCCAAAGACTTGGCCCATTGTGTCTGGGCTTCAGGGGCTGCAGCAGGAGAGGTAGGATCCACGACCGGTGCAACATAACTCGGGGGGTTTGTCGCACCGGTAATTGGATCATATGTGTTCATCGCCTGCGGCGGCGAGGTTATACTACCAGCGGCGCCGTCATATGCCGTCTCATTATGAGCCCGTTGCGCAATTATACCCTCCAGCTGTCGCAAAAGAGTCCAAACCTTCGGCTCGGATTTGGCCTCCTCAACAACTGCCAGCAAAAACGCTGAACTGATCGCTCGCTGCAACGCAATCCATGACCGAGCAGCGTGGGTGCTGATATTGTGTAGTTCAATATAAGACTCCACAGTTATCATCAGATTGGCCACGCAGTCTGCGCGCATGCTAACAGTACTAGCGTTGGAGGAATCAATTGTAGGCTTGAGTGAGGGTCGACAGAGCTCGGATGAAAAGTATGAGGAATGCAGTTTCAGTACAACCCGCTCTAGGTGTTCTGTCGGAGTAGAGCACCATTTTGCATCGCGAAGATAGAACTTCGCCTCGTCCATAATAGTCTGGATTCTTTCCTTATACGCCTGGATGCTTTCGAAAGTGATTTGTGCATGGGGACTGAGCATTCGAAGGCGAACCACTTCCAATGCCAGTGAAATAACTCGACAGAGAGTTTCGAAATATGAAAGATCGCCTGGTTTAGAGCCCTCCTGGTATGCGATATCTGGCTGGCTGACAGCCGTGGTAGAAGGGCGATCGTAGGAAAGAGAGAAGTGGCTATCCTGCCACGCCATAGACCACCTAGAAATGTTAGATGAAAGCCGTTTCACTTAAGCCACAAGTTCAATTACTTACCAAACATGTCGCCTCCGATATCTCTCAGGTGGTGAAAATCTACTCGATTCAACATGTAGACCAAGCGCCAGCCCCATTCGAAGTGTCATGCCCAGCAAGACATAGGAGATTCCGGGATTCATGTTATAAGACAGAACATTACCAATGACCAGGAGTGTCTGAATGGCTTCGATCGTTGGCTGGGATAAGAAATTTGTCATGCGGAGGCACTGGTAAGAACAGCATACTATACCATTGATCAGTGAAATGCTCTGCCATCGCTAGAATACTATAACATACCATAGACCTGAGACGTCAATTCTCGCTCTTTGCTTCCAAGATCGGAAGATTGTGTGCCAGATGCCAGGACAGAGAACAATAGACCCAAGTATGCAATGCTTACCCCAAATGGGTTTTGAGCCTCATCAACATCCTCTCGATATACTCCACCGGAAGCGACCCTGTTTTGTAAAAGAAGCTCCAGGCTGTTTTCGAAGCTTTCGATATCTTCTATGACAGGATAAATTGCTCCTGAGATTTCCTTGTAACAATAAAAGAACCTGGTTTCCAAATAAGTCAGATATTGTATGATACTAAGCGGAAACAAATCAGAACTCACTCTCTACACTGTTGGTCTGAGGGAAGCGCGCTGCAGACGGCGGTAATGTCAAAGGTTGACATGTCCGAGGACCAAAGATCAACAAATGGATAAGTTGCTGACTCGTTATCAAGCCCCAGCTTCGGTAATATGCCTCCCTCAAGGAGAGTTTGTAGTTGATCCGACCCAGTCTTGTTATTAAGAATATAAGCCAAAACTGAACGCGATCCCAGGTGGACAGTGCCTTGGCCAAGCGTGTTTGCAGCGTGAATGCCTTCACGCTCTGGCGAGGCTCCCTTGGAACGGGAACCCGCATCTGCGCTCTGTACACTCGTAGAGTCCAGCGTCGCAGCAGGCTCTTCTTCGACCCGTTCTAGCCCCATACGTAAAGAAGATATTGTTGACTCCATCTCCCGTAGTCGGTTGCGTACATTATCCCATTCTTCACGGGCAATCGTTACACGCCCACCGGCGTTGTTGGTCCCAGTTCGATGGTTGGAGGCATGTTCATGCTTTACATTCGCTGAACTATCGTCGTAGCCGTAAAACGGAGGTTGCTCCATTGTGGAAGATGCTGAGGCGCCACCCACAGGGCTCTCCAGAAAAGCTTGGGAACGTTTCTTGGAAGGGCGTTCGTATGAACAGAGATCCGCGTGATCCCGCTTGACACATCCATCGCAGGGTAAGTTGCGATCGCATTTAACTTTGCGCGCATGGCATGGGTAGCAAGCTTTGGGTTCGCGCGCTTTACGCTTTGTACGAATGATGGCGTCCACTTGAGACTGTGGCAAATCCGAAACGGACCTATTGGGTGCACTGGCCATATCGGATGGGGAGATCGAGTTATAGGGAGGATACGGGGACGTCATGGTGCTTTTCGTATCTGTCTTGGGGAACAATCCGTTTGCTGGAGTTTATCGCTAGCTTGCAAGGTTGCGCGTCAATGCGACCGAGCAACTTGAAAAATCGAATACAACTTGAAAGCTGAATTTCTCCACTAGCAACAATCGATTTTTGTGGATGAAAGGATTTTGTATTTGTTAGCTTGTCATTCTGGCCGGATTCAAACGTTGGGTATGCAATTATGTCGAATCCGAAACAGTTGGCAAATCGAGAAGGCATCATCGGCCACTGCTTATCTGCCGGGTGCACGTGATGTGGGGCTTCCAAATGCGGAAATACCTGTTAGAACTTAGAAGTTAGGACTGAGGTTGTTGAAAAGTAGAGAGTACATAATATTAAGGGAAATTGATGCTCATAAATTATTCCATTTATACACTAGCTGTGGTTTTCTAAAGTGTTGTTCTATCGTGGGATCACCAACTGATCCATATGCATGTCTGCGCCCTTGAAAACAAAAGAAAAATCGAAACAACATTATAAACATTAAACTGCAGTTTGCTGAAAAAGAAATCTCCAAAAATTATATATAAATCGAAACATCCGTCATTTTCACGAAAAAAGGGGCACTTGTGTTTTTTTCCCCAGCGGGCTTGATATGGGAGTTTAAGCCTTGATGCCCTTCTCCTCGTCGTCACTGAAGGCATACTTCGAAAATTTGCGAATAGCCTCGCCCTTAAAGTAAAAGACGTATGGAATTGCACAGCACGCCAGGGCGATGAATGCCAGAAGAGAGCTTGCCCACTGGTATCCCAAGCGGTTATACATCTGTTCGGTGAAAAGAACAGTGGAGGCGCCCCACATAGATCGGAGGAAGGTCTTGGCTGCCAAAGCCGATGCAGCTTGGTGCTGGTAGGTATCAACTGAATTCAGTCAGTATGCAATCATTGATAGTAAAGGTAAGCGATACATACCAAGATAATTGTTTGCCGAGTTGTACAGGAAAATGAACCCGAAACCAACGGGCCATCCTGCAATACATGGACCAAACCAATGAACGGTAGGATATGATGTCCAAGCGAAGATGAACAAGCCAACAGGAATGAGCCAGCAGGACCACATCATGGGAATCAGACGCTTTTCCGCTGGTGGCTTGCCGTCCCATTGTGCAGAGATCTTGAGGTAGTTCTTGTTGACGAAAGGTGCACAGGCGGCACTCATGACGACACCAATTGCCATTGGAATAAACATCAAGCCAGTCATTGAGGCACTCCAGCCCTTTCCAGCCTGGTAGACAATGGGGTATGCCACGAAAAACATGTAGAGAAGACCATAAAGGACTGACATATAGATGGCGATAAAGAATACAATCGGCTCAAGGAAGAGTAGCTGGAAGGGACGGAAGAGGAAGATGCGCAGCTTCTGTCCAAGAGGGCGAGGATCAAGTTCGGTTTCGGTGGTATACTTTTCATCGTTCTCGGCCTTGCGCAGCTTTGCCGCACGTCTCTTTAACAGAATCGGTGCGTATGTCTCCGGGACCGTGAAGGAGATTAGCACCCAGGCAATAAAGGACAGAATGAGCTGTAGCCAGTAAAGCCATCTCCAGCCGCAGTTGTCGGCAACAAATCCACCAACAAGAGGACCGATAGCAGGGCCAAGGAAAGGAGCGGCACTGAATGCTGCCATTGGGACACCTCGTTCTTCATTCTTCCACATATCGGCCAGAGTACCACCAACCAAGGTCATCGGTGCACTGAAAGCAATTCCGTCAATCAAACGGCAGACGATCAAAGTACCAATGTTTTTGGAAACGGCACAGGGGATAACGAATACGACGGCAATGAGTAAAGTAATGGCGTATATCGGGCGGCGTCCAACCAATTCAGACATAGGAGCAAAGACCATGGGTCCTGAAATCTCGTTAGTCAACTCGAACCGACATGTGAGAGGAACCCAAAACATCAATTGAATAGCTTACCAACACCAAATCCAATAACAAAGACCGTAACGACCACAAAGCTAACCTCACGCGAAACTCCAAATGAGGCCATGGGTCCTGTTAAATCGGCAGTGATAACACTGCTGCCAAATGCAACGACGAAGCAGGTGAAGGCGACCACCATGGTACAGTACCATTTGTACAGTTTTGACCAGTTCTTCGGGTTCTCGGGGTCGTCGATAGTAAAAGTCACCAACTTCCAGTCTTCCATTCGTCCTGTGACATTGGACTTGATAGGTTTGATGATTTCGCCGGTGCGTGTCTCGGTCGTATATTCTCGTAGGTCGGCATCGTCGCTGAGTTCTCGAACTGGGAGGTCAAGATAGTCCGGTCGCTCACCCGTAGACCCCACAGAAGCTGTTCGGCTTGTGAGGTCTGAGTGGGTCTGGTCTGACCGAGGAGTGTTCATATTGATGGTGTTATGTTGAGCCAATCAAGAAAGCCAAAGAATGGTGTATGGGAAAGTTTGAAGATGCTTGGATCAGGAACATCAAGAGTACATCCAGGGGACGTGAGACGTTATTTATACCCATGTTTTAATTTAAATCTGAAATTTCCAATATTGAACCAGTAAGGGTATGCGGCAGGGGTAGCTTCTGGAGCGTCATACTCTGGAGTATGTAACTTGTTACTTGAATGCCAATCTTTGATTTCTTTATCAGCGGCAAAGACCCACTTTGGGTAGTGTTTGTTTCCTGATATGGATACTGATCACGCTAGTCGTATTGGGAAATATGCCGCGAAGACAGAACCATGGAAGTGGTGAATCGCGATAACTTGAATCAATGTGAAATTATTCAATCACTGCCCGGTCTACTCTGCGTATGGCCTGCATAGCATTCCGAGCTCCAGATTGGCGCCATGCATTGTGGGTCTACCAATACCAATTAGGAAATTATAGCAAGTTCAAAGTACGAGAACGTGTCTCCTGATCAATTGATGTCACCCGTGACAATGGGCAGTACATCAATCCCTCATACATAGTAACTAGTATTTACATGATTCATGACTACTTCTCGTCGTCTTTCATCGTAGTTCCAGAACAAGTGGGTATAGCCCTTATAACTATGTTAGACGAGTGAAATAGCATCTAAACATCTCAAAATCGAGCTCCGGGGGTATAAAGCAAGAAGAAAATTCTGCTCAATGTTGATTCATGTCTCCAAGTGTCTTGATGAGCGAACACCAAATGGAGGTTAGCCACTTGGCGCACACATGCATGTGATATGTTCATTACTAGTTTATATGGCTGGCCGGAGCGTCTTGCCGTTTAAGGTAGAACTCTCCGATCCTGATTAGGAAATTCACCTTCAACGCCAAGAAGCATTTAGGCTCTAGACCTTCAAATTTCAATGTTTTTGGATTTTCAATCAATTGATAGCTGTGTTATGACATCAAAAGAGCAAAATCACATCATTCAAATCTTGTCATAATATAGCAGGGGGCTGCGATAAAATCAAATGTTACTACTACTAGTAGTCATTACTGGACGAGCATTCTCGCCACATGTGCATCCATGGATTCAATGTTCATGTCTCATCAATTACTAGTATATGTATGGGGAATCTATATACACAACCTCTCGATATTCCCAATAATCTATGATTATTTAGAGATTCATCATCTCCAAAATACTACTGGTATAGTTCCACAGCGGCGTCGAATAGTCAGTGCAGAAAGTGTATCCAGTGTAGTAAGTGCTCTGTTGTCCCTGTAAAGCGTACAGTTTCTTATAGAACCCGTCTCTGATATCATCCACCGAGACGATAAGAGTCTCAGGTGAATGGGATGCAAATGCAGCAATCTGCGGCTCGGTAGTTTCGAAAGTGCCGGCCTGCTTCATGCGCAAGATATCAGATCGGATCAAATCCTTGGCTTCTTCAGCAGTAAAGTTGCCTTCAGCAACCATCTTGATCATGAAGTAACCTGAGACTCCAGAATATTCCAGTTCCCAGATGAAAGGGGGTAGCGGGAGACTCCCCGGCTGGTTCTCTGGGTTGGTGTTGACAAGGTTGATTCCATCAGGAAGACCGGTGTTGGTAACGGCGGCAGCGTAATAGTTCTTGTGTTCCCACTTTGAGAATAAGGTATATTCATCTTTGCGGAGATCAAAACCACTCAAACTGTCAATGGTCGGAGGGTGGGTAATGAGGAGCTTCTTCGCCTTGATAAGCTTGCGCGTGCCATCTGCATTCTCCACAATCATTTCCACGCCAGTGGAGTTGCGCTTCGCCTGGGAGACCGTGGTCTCGAAGAAAATGTTTTCTTCGTCAATGTAAGTTGTTGCTTTGCTGAAGAGCTCTCCCGTGCCGTTCTTTGGTCGAATGTATGCTCCCTCCAATAGGATGTCAATCTGGGGGATTCCAAAGTTCTGGATCACGTATATCAATGGGGCGTCCAGTATATTACCCACGTTCTCGGCGAATTCGAATATCAGATTCAATGCGCCTTCCAAGGCGTGCGTTTCGACAAATTCTCGGAAGGGACGGAGAAGAACTTCGGGGATTTCATCGGGGAGGTAGTATGCACCGGTGGAGAGGTAATCGAATTGTTCAATGGCTGTGCGGTACAGAACAGCACCCGCAACAGTGCCTAGAATTCCATCACCGGGGAGAACTCTCTTGCCCGTGTTGAAATTGAGATTTTCTGAAATAATGGAGCCCGGTAAGAGGAGTTCATAGTCAACGTCGAGCTGATTGAAAAAGTTTTTGGTGATTTCATTGTTGAAGTATCCTTCAACTCCATAATTGACATATTCGTCATTGGGTAGGTAAAGGGTTTCAGCGTGACCTCCTAAGAATGATTTCTTCTCGACGACAGCCACACTATGGCCTTGCTCCCTCAGTTGAACGGCGGCAAAAGTGCCTGTTGCGCCACCACCAAGGATACAAACATCACGGGTGATGATATCTTCGGGCTTGAAGCCTGAGGCAAAAACTGAAAAAATGGACGTTGCCAGAGGCAGAATACTGCGCATATACATGGCAGATTGGGTCCTGTCTCTCTCTAAACGGGACGGTTCAAATCACAGGAACTTTCTCTGGACATTGCCTGCTTCTTATTTACGGCACCCACCAGTTCAACCAGCCATTTTGTGGAGTTTTCAATTTCTATAGCCCGGAGAAAATCTTTCTCATTCGATGAACGGATTATGAACCGAATTTTAATGGCACTAGACACAACCGGACTCAATGATCGACATTATATCCGTAGACGTGCCGGTGATCGGCAGGAGAGAATTCCATGACTGGTTGTGCAAATTCGATAGTTCATTTGTCAAGACTCCACAACATCTCAATTCCTTCCAGAATTACCGAGTTCTCTGCAAAAGGACTTTGGGGTGTGAAATGACCACTACAAGCATATATACAGATGTACTTATACGTGGTCAAAATCCCATGTGAAATCTAGCAGAGACAACCATAGATTGATCCACACTTGAGGTTGAATCTCCAGAGCTCAGCTGAATTGAACTTGAACCAAATTTTGGTGAAAATATCCGGCTCCACCTTGGAATAAAACGGACATCTGGAAGGTAACTAATCGGGAAGGACCTATATGTAGAGCAAAGTCTTGGTCCGCACGTAATACGGAAAATACGGGACGCGATTCCATACATGATAATGCGATAAATGCAATTGGGGAGTGTAATTGTTGAACATTTCGACCAGTTGACAGTAATTGTAAAAATGGCGGGGTGTACTACTCCGTACGACGTATACTAATCAGCACGTGACACCCCGATAAGCGCCGTAATCGGATTAGGGCGGGGCCACTCACTTTTTACAAAAAAAGTTAAGAGTCATCGCGGGGTTTTTATCTTTGCTCAAGCTCAAACTTGAGAGGCCAATCCTCCTTTATCCCGAGGGAGGGTATTTATTGATTCACCTTTGAATCGTCGGGAGAAGTAATCTTCACCATGACTTCTACCGATTCCTACATTGCCATTCCGGGCTCGGTGGCGTTCTCCCGCTCTCGCGGACATGCCATTGCTGCGAGCCTGGGTGTCAAGGATGTCCGGGCCCAGTGGGTTCACTATGTGCATACTTCTCAACCTCTCAATGACTCGCAGCGTGCTGTTCTCGAGCAGCTCCTGCAATACGGCGACATCACCGATATTCCCCCCACCTTCAACTCCACCGACGGTCAATCCGATACCTTCTACATTTTCCCCCGAACCGGAACTATCTCGCCCTGGAGCTCTCAAGCCACCGGAATTGCCCAGGTCTGTGGTCTGCGTCAATGTGTTTTGCGCATCGAGCGGGGCTTGAAGATCTCGTGCCTTCGCGATGGAGCTCAAGACTACAAAGACGGGTACAAGGATCTCCTGCATGACCGCATGACCCAGATCATCAGCGATGAGGAGCCTGACCTGCAATTGATGTTCTCTGAGCATGATATGCAACCCCTCAAGACTATCTCCTTGCAAGGCGGTGATAAGTCTCCCAAGGAAATCCTCCAGGAGGCTAACAAGGAGTTGGGTCTTGCACTGGATGAGTCTGAGATTGAGTACTTGGCTGAGGCATATGGCCCGAATGGTGCTATTGCCCGCGATCCCACCGATGTCGAGTTGTTCATGTTCGCCCAGGTCAACTCAGAGCACTGTCGTCACAAGCAGTTCAATGCCTCGTGGGTCATTGATGGCAAGCAAATGCCCAACAGCCTTTTTGCCATGATCCGCAACACCCACAAGAAGCACCCTGAGCACACTATCAGTGCCTACAGCGATAACTCTGCTGTCCTGGAAGGTTCTGAGGGTGCTTTCTGGGCCCCCGACCCGACCACTGGAGAGTGGACCCACACCAAGGAAGTTGTTCACTTCCTCGCCAAGGTCGAAACCCACAACCACCCTACTGCTGTGTCTCCCTACCCAGGTGCTGCTACCGGTGCTGGTGGAGAGATCCGTGATGAGGGAGCTACTGGTCGTGGATCTCGCCCAAAGGCCGGTTTGTCAGGTTTCTGTGTGTCTGACCTCTTGATCCCCGGCTTCAAGCAACCCTGGGAACTTGATGTCGGCAGGCCCAACCACATCGCAAGCAGCTTGGATATCATGCTGGAGGCTCCTATTGGTAGCGCTGCTTACAACAACGAGTTCGGTCGCCCTTGCACCGGTGGTTACTTCCGCACACTTCTCACTGAGATTGATATTGGAAATGGCCAGAAGGAAGTGCGCGGATACCACAAGCCCATCATGATTGCTGGTGGTGTCGGCACTGTTCGTCCTCAGCACGCATTGAAGAACCCTGATATCGTCAAGCCTGGTTCTTTCCTTGTTGTCTTGGGTGGCCCTGCCATGCTTATTGGTCTTGGAGGTGGTGCTGCCTCCAGTATCACTTCCGGTGAGGGTTCCGCCGACCTTGACTTTGCCAGTGTTCAGCGAGGAAACGCTGAGGTCCAGCGCAGAGCTCAGGAAGTCATTAACGCCTGTGTTGCAATGGGCGACCACAACCCCATCAAGTTCATTCACGACGTTGGTGCTGGTGGTCTGTCTAACGCCCTTCCTGAGCTGATCCACGATTCCGGTCTTGGAGCTAAGTTCGAGCTGCGTGAGGTTGATAGCACTGACAAGAGCATGAGCCCCATGCAAATCTGGTGCTGCGAAGCCCAGGAACGTTACGTTCTCGCCGTTGGTGAGGATAGCATGAACAAGTTCACTGCTATTGCTCAGCGCGAACGCTGCGGTTTCTCCGTTGTTGGCCGTGGCGGTGGTGAGACTGAGGAGGACAAGAGACTCATCCTTCTTGATCGTGATTCTAAGGAATACCCATCTCCCATCGACCTGCCCTTGTCTGTGTTGTTTGGCAAGCCTCCTCGCATGACCCGAACCGTCGACTCGCGCAAACTTACTTTGCCCGCCGTCGATTCCAGTCTCACCAAGTATTTGCCTTCGCTCTCTACCAAGGTGGAGCTGGTAAACGAGGCCGTCAACAGAGTTCTGTCTCTGCCTGCCGTTGGCTCCAAGTCTTTCTTGATCACAATTGGTGACCGCACTGTCGGTGGTCTTACTGCCCGTGATCAGATGGTCGGCCAGTGGCAGACTCCCGTCGCCGATGTTTCGGTTACTGCCACCTCTTTGCTCCAGGGTGTGAAGACTGGTGAGGCCATGGCCATGGGTGAGAAGCCTACTTTGGCATTGATCTCTCCTGCTGCTTCCGCCCGTATGGCCGTTGCTGAGTCCCTGATGAACCTTGCTGCCGCTGATCTGGTTGACCGTCTCAGCCAAGTCAAGTTGTCTGCCAACTGGATGTCCGCCAGCAGCCACCCCGGTGAGGGCGCAGCTATCTATGAGGCCGTTGAGGCTATTGGTTTGGAGCTTTGCCCCAAGCTTGGTATCAGTATTCCCGTTGGAAAGGACTCCATGTCCATGAAGATGAAGTGGAAGGACGAAGCCTCAAATGAGGCCAAGGAGGTCACAGCGCCTATGTCGCTCGTCGTCTCTTCCTTCGCTCCTGTCGGCGATTTCCGCAAGACCTGGACCCCCGCTCTCCGCAGCTATGAGGAGGTCGGTGAGACTGTTCTCATGTTTGTTGATCTTGCCTTCGGTCGCAAGGCCCTTGGTGGCTCGGCTCTTGCTCAGGTCTTCAACGAAGTCGGTTCTGAGTGCCCTGACATCCGCAATGTCGAGATCTTCCGTGACTACTTCGATGCGACCCAACAGCTTCAGGAGGCTGGCATTGTTCTTGCCTACCACGACCGTTCCGATGGTGGTCTTTTCACCACTCTCGCTGAGATGATGTTCGCCGGTCGCTGTGGTGTTGAGATCATGACCGACAACTACGCCGCGTCCTTCAACACCCCTGATGTTGTCGACGCACTCTTCAACGAGGAGCTTGGTGCCGTCTTCCAGGTTCGCAAGGAGCACGAGATTCAATTCCGTTCCTGCTTCGCCACCTGTGGCCCCCCCGCCGGCCTGATTCACAAGATCGGTCGCGTTTCTGAGAAGAAGAAGCAGGACTTGGTCATCTACCACAAGGCTTCTCTCATCTACCGCAACAATCGCGCAAGCCTCCAGCAGACCTGGGCGAAGACTTCCTACCAATTGCAGAAGATCCGTGACAACGCCGAGTGTGCTGAGCAAGAGTTCGAGAACATCTTGGACAATGCCAACCCCGGTCTGTCCTGGAACCCCACCTTCGACCCCAAGGACCGTGGTTTGCCCTTCATGACCAGCCTTTCCCAGTACTCGCCCTTCACCAACAAGCCTCGCGTTGCCATTCTGCGTGAGCAGGGTGTTAACAGTCAGGCTGAGATGGCCTTCGCCTTCCAGACTGCCGGCTTCTCCGCCGTGGATGTTCACATGACCGACATCATCTCTGGTCGCGTTTCTCTGGCCAGCTTCGCCGGTCTTGCCGCCTGTGGTGGTTTCTCATACGGTGATGTTCTGGGTGCCGGTCAAGGTTGGGCCAAGTCTGTCCTCCTGCACGAGAACACCCGTAAAGAATTCCAGGCCTTCTTCGAGCGCCCCGATACCTTCGCTCTTGGTGTCTGCAACGGTTGTCAGTTCCTGTCTCGCGTTAAGGCGCTGATCCCCGGCACTGCCAACTGGCCCAGCTTCGAGCGCAACACCAGCGAGCAATACGAGGGCCGTGTCTGCATGGTTCGCGTGTCTGACCCTGACCCATCCAACCCTAGTGTCTTCTTCCACGGTATGGACGGCTCTTCGTTCCCCATTGCCGTTGCCCACGGCGAGGGACGTGCCTCATTCGCCGGCACCCCCGGCACCACTGCCGCTGACTTCGTCCGTGAGGGCCTTGCCCCTGTCCGCTTCGTTGACAACGGCTCCCTCAAGCCCACCACCCGCTACCCCTTCAACCCCAACGGTAGTCCCGAGGGTATCGCCGGTGTGCGCAGTCCTGACGGCCGTGTCCTGGCTATCATGCCTCACCCTGAGCGTACTGTTATGAACGGAATTGCCAGCTGGTTGCCTCAGGAGGCTGAGAACTGGGGTGAGATTGGTCCTTGGGGACGTATCTTCTTCAGTGCTAGACGCTGGGTCGGTTAGAATGCTGAGGATAGCATTGACATTTCTTTTTGAACTTACGCCATAGTGCTACGTTTCTTTGTTGATATTTTTTTTATCGGTTCATGGTTTTATTGGAGTGGAAAGGGTTGTTAAAAGCATTTACGAAACACACAGAACAGAACACCCGAAATAGGAGGCTGCAAGTCTTCCACATTAAAGATAGTAAAGATATACCAAAATTTAGCAAATCTACTCCAGTCAATTGTTTCAAACACGTTAAATTATACATCCAATGTAGATTCAAGCAACCTCGGGAAATAAATAAAAAGCCAGTGGTTTTCTACAGTCTAGGTAAGAACCATGTGGAGATGCAAGTCCAGTTTAATTTTTTTGTTATTGAAGTCATAAACGCCATCTTCGTCGTAGATCATAAAGTCATCACCATACCATCATAAGGACAAAGTCATCCGCTTCAATCGATCTCGTCTCTTGTAAACTCCGACTCTTCAAAGAGATAAATTCACTGAAATCAAAAGCTCTGTTGAGCTTTAAGCTAAACGATTCCTCCACTCCAGGCGCTCCGCCAAAATATTCCAGCTGGGCAGTCCATCTGCGCGAGCAATTCCCTTCAGGCCATCCGCAACAAAACCAGCCAAATGGTCAAATTGATGCTTAAGGTTCTGCATCTGAAGATCAAAAGGCAAGTCTTTGAAAGATACTGTCAAAGTTTGTTCATGCTCAAGCTCGTTTTCATCATCCTCGTCCGAATCGCTGTCAAATGTATTGTCGGCTCCAACACTGCGCCGCGATTTACTCGTAATGAAGCGTGAGTCGGACATCCCATCTTCCGAAGCGGTCGTCTCATATGCATGTGCAGCTTGTAAATCTGCGAAATGAATGCACATGTCCAGGATACTGATAATGACCTCGTGGATCGGAGATAGGTTTTCTGAGAGGAGACACTGGTTTTCAAGGGAGGACATATAAGACTGGTGAGCGGCAATCATGGCGTCCACATCTTCGGTGTTGGTAAGAGTGGCCCGTAATGATTGATTTGCGGTCGATATGACAAAATATGTAAGATGGGAGTAGAGGACGTCCAGGAACCATAAGAGGTGATGATGGAGACCATGAACAAGGGTGTGGGCGGTATCACCATTCAGGATACGAGCATCTCGAACACGTTGTCTGACTAAAGCATATTTTGCCCGTCGGATCTGCATGAGAAATCTGGCGATGCACTGGTATGACTCAATTGCATCTTGAGTGATAATATTCGCAATTGGCCATGGTAGAACGTAGTCGATGGAAACCGATTCAAGAATGCGGACCGAACGATTTTGATCATGATGTGAGGATCTTTCCGATCGCACGACAAGTCTAGACACATCAATACCAGGCTTCAGGCTGAATGCTGATCTCGTCACTTCAGTGAGCAAGAACTTGTCATCCCATGCGCGACCTCGATCCATCAACTCAAAGATCTTGTTGTCAATCGTCCCAAGTATACTCAGGTCCGTGCCGAGGTATACATGCTCCAGGGCATCGAGGGAGCTCCATAGACCGCATTGTTCATCGAGTTCGGCTCGCAGTATTCCAGCACTGACGGAGTGGTTGGCATCGACCAGTTTATCGAATGCCGACTCCACTATTGCAGAGAATGGAAGGGATATAAATGATGATTCTGGGATATCGGTATGGTCAAATAACGTCTCGGGTGTTTCTGTATCTGGTTGTTCTGGAAGCGCGTTCAAATGCCGCAAGAAGACCATATTCTTTCCTGTTGTAAAGACTTTGTTGACTGCAGGCTCTAGGAATTGAGGGATATTCTGTCGGTGAACGCCCACCTCAAGCAAATGCCATTCATGCCACAAAGTTCGCAAGTCTCCATTTTCTCGATTCACTCGGACGAAAAAGGCAGTGTCCAGGGAATCAACTTGACCAGTTTCCATCCAGAGCTGAATGGATCGAGTATAGGTCTTGAAGCATGAAAAGAATAGGGCACTGAGCATTTTCATTTCATTATCATTGCCAAGAGCTTCTTGCATGCAAACAGAATCATAGAGTAAGTCGAGGCAGCGCATCGGTTGTGTATGATCCTGGCTCAATCTAGCAATAAGATCGGCCAGGACCAGCAGATTGTGAGAACGCAGGCGAACATCATCCAATAACTGGAGAAGACTGACAGTGGAGCCAGGGGAGAGATATTGACATTGGGTCTGAGCAAATAAAGTGTCAAACTCGAGCAGGCGGTGTTCAAGTCCCCGGCTAAAAGTCTGCATATAAGGGATTGTCTGGGAGATGTGGGTAAACCGTCGCACGACATCAACCTGAGCACCAATTTCGGTGAACGAGTGCAAAAGTGAGGACAGAGCCTGGCTAGACGAATGCGCAAGATTATAACTGCGATCCACTGCAATGCCGTCGTCGAGGCGCCAGAAGATAGAGGTTGGCAGGCCCTGCAGCATAAATATTGTTTCTCTTGCGAGCTGTAATTCAGTAATGACTCGGGGTGCATTTCCATTCCATCGGGTGACTTGTTGATGAACTTCTGGCTTCCAAAACTGGACTTTTTCTATAGAGGTGATAAGGTCTTTGTCCTCCCCTGGAACAAAGATCTCGTCCGGGATGACGTATTCTTGCTCCGAAAAACTAGGGGTACGAGGCGGAGCTCGAGGACGTGACTCTGCGCTAGAGACTGAGGCCAATTCATCTTCTGATGAATCTGCAGCAAAGTCCACCTGCTCCCATAGATCTTCCTCGCTGAAAGCACCACCCAGGCCCTTCAGGTCAGACGATGACAATGTCTCCTCGGCCGGTGCCTGTGTAGGCTTGGAAAGATTGTCCAGTTTAGACAATGCAGCCGGGCGATCGGATAATTGCAGGAACAGGCTCAGGATCTCTGGTGTCCACGAAATGTGATAGCCCTCTAATTTGACGAGGCGCTCCTGCAGGGCCTCAGCCAAGTCGTCTCGATTGACGACTTGAAATTTCTCTTGTAAGCCTTCTAGCTGACGGGCCACCACGAACTGATCAGTGAGACCATGGCCGCTAGGACGTAAAGATCCCTCAACACGGCGCTTCAGATTCAAGGCGCGTGTAGACTCCTAAGGCGGGTAGTGAGCGCCAAGTCCCCCAAGAAAACAATCAAATGACTTACATTCTGATGTGCGGGGAGATTGACAACAGCAGCGATCAGCTTATCTGTCAGGGATCCCAGGGCTGCAAGAGCCATGATGAACCCTGAGAACCAGAAAGAACTTGAAGATCTAAATCGTGAAGAAGTGAGCGCTAACTTCTAAGAGGTGGATAAGGATGGTTTAAAAATGGCCGCGCGGAAAGCCAACTGGATGACGCGGCGGGATCTAAACCTGAAGGAGTAAAGTGGCTCCGAAGTTCCTTAAGTTCATACACTTGTTTCTTCCCCCCTTTCGCATCTTATCATTCATCACCCATCATGGCGATCGCACGTCCGATTCGCATGCTAGGCGCTGCATGCATCCTATTGACTCTATTCCTCATCTTCAACTTACACCAGTCTCCTGATCAGCCTTCAACCAAATTGGTCAATGGCATGACCCGGGATCCCCTTCTAGACCGTTCGTTTCTTGCCACTCCCCCAGTTCCGCACTTGACCCTCCCACCACATCTCTGACCTTTATAATATAGCCACCGGTGAACCGGAAGGAGAATTATGGCGAGCAGACGAGAACGATTACTCCCCCGATAGCGAAAACTCGGCGCGCACCAATGCCGCTCTGATCACCTTGGTCCGCAATGAGGAACTTCACGACCTGCTCAAGACCATGAAAGACCTTGAGCGCACCTGGAACAGCAAATTCAACTATCCCTACATCTTCTTCAATGACGTTCCTTTCACCGACGAGTTCAAGCGCATGACCCAGGCCGCCACCAAGGCCCAGGTTCAATATGGTACGCTTCCCCTAAATGCTTTTAGCCTTTCGTCCACTCGACTCCGGAGCCTGTCTAACTGTCTTTTCTACAGAGTTGGTTCCCAAGGAGCACTGGGAGGTCCCTAGCTGGATCAACATGGACCTTTTCCGTGAATCTGCTCAGCTGCTGGAGGAGCAGAACATTCAGTACGCGTCGAAGGTCTCCTACCACCAGATGTGTCGCTGGAACAGCGGCATGTTCTACAAACACCCGGCCCTCGAGAAATACCGTTACTACTGGCGCATTGAGCCCAAGGTCCAGTTCTTCTGCGATGTTGACTATGATGTTTTCAAGTACATGGAGGACCGCAACAAAACCTATGGCTTCACCATCAACCTCTATGATGCCCCTCAGACTATCGAGACTCTTTGGCCACAAACCAAGAAGTTCTTGGCAGCCAACCCCTCATACCTCAGCGACAACAACATGATGGATTGGATCACCGATGATCAGGCTCGCCCCGAACACACCGAGAAGGCCAACGGCTACTCGACTTGCCACTTCTGGTCCAACTTTGAGATTGGTGACCTGGATTTCTTCCGTGGCGAAAAATACGAGGCTTACTTCCAGCACCTTGACCGTGCGGGTGGCTTCTTCTACGAGCGCTGGGGCGATGCACCCGTCCACTCGCTTGGAATCGGTCTGTTCGCTGACTCCAACAATGTACACTGGTATGATCTCATAGAACCTCCCCCACACTATTAAAGCATCCCACTGACCATATACCAGGTTCCGTGATATCGGATACAACCACATTCCCTACTACAACTGCCCTAACTCGCCCAAGTGCTCGGGATGCAAAGCTGGCCAGTTCTTCGGCGGTGCCGACTGGCTGTCCAAGGAGGATTGCCGCCCGACCTACTTCAAGTACGTCGGAACACACTAAGTGATAGATCCTGACGATGATCTACGTTTGAAAACCTGTCATATTGATGACTTGATAACATTGCATTATCTTTGGCATACCTGATGAGTATATTTATCTGACACTCGGTGGTTTGTTTGGGTACCCGGCGTTTTGAGCGGACACATACCTATTGATGAAACATTGACATTGTGCCCTTTCCCTATTTGGATTCCCTTTTCTTCTTCTTCTTTTTTTTGTTTTCAAGACTCAGAGTTCTGTTTCTGTCTGTTGTCTCTTCATAAAACACGTTCCGGGCGTGGATGGTGTCTCTGTTGATAACTGAAGCCGGTCCGGCCTTCTTTGTAATTATATTCATTGCACATTGCCAGATTTCATTGGATGTTGGTACGTTTTATATGTGTGGGCCTTATGGTCCAGCGTCATTGTCTGTTTTGTGTACGAGGATGACTGCTGGCGCCAGCACAGAGAATAGATTTTGTTCCATGATGAACCGACCAGATGACCTTAGCTCAGGTATCCTTGTATACATATAAGAAGATTCAAAATTGTATCAACTTCTAGTGCTACGGTAACTTGGGGTAGATAGTAAGATTAGGAACGGAAGAAACACGACAAAGATGAATTAAGCACCAATCCATGGTACACAAGACCCTTTTCCAAACAACGGCACTAACAACACAGGAGATCTCTAAAGTATGTATACAGCTTTCAATCTTCTACCCGATCAGCGTCCCAGCCAACGCGAACGGATGCGCATGATTATAGCCATCGGTGACACGGGGGGGGGAAGGTTGTGTGGGTACGGTACGGAGTGAGAAAGAAAATTGATGAGGCGCGGGGGGATTTGGTGTAAGAACACAAAACAAAATTCAAGACGCTAATTTACTCCTCCTGGGGGAAAAGCTCTTCACGGAGAGCAACACCAAGCTCCTGGCGCAGACCCTCAAGAGCCTCGAGGTATTGCTTGTACTGCTCCTTGTTCTCGACCTTGGCCTTGACACCTGTAAAAGTGGGTTAGTCATCAATTGGATACCATAGTGGGGGGTTTTGTGATTCGGGATTGCAATAGTGAGTTTCTATTGCATTTTGCCCTGGAGGAAGTGTCGCATACCCTCGAAAACGCGGACGGCAGTGGGGTAGTCGTTGACACGGCGAGCGGCGTGCAGGGCCGCGGTGAGGACCTCAACGGAGGGGACGAGATCGTAGGCGAAGCAGTTGTTCAGGTTGCGCTGAGAAAGGAGACCAAGTTAGTTGATACCTCAAGGGAGACAAAAAAGGAAAATTGAATGGCATTGGTGATCGGGCAAGATCGGCCAACAGATATCGCATCGATTCCCCGGGTGGAGGTGGTTGGATTCAGTCTTACCTGGAGCTCGAAGACATCCTGGACACCCTCGAATTCCTTCTCGAATCTGCAATTGAGATAAACAATCAGCGAATGGCGTTCTTATCAGATATAGACCAGCATTTAGACGGGGGTCAGGGTAGCGTTTGAAAGCGCCAATTCCCGACCCTATCTCCTCTTTCTCCCGAGTTCCACTGGTGCTAAAGACAGGCGAGATATATCGTACCGGGCAGAGAACTCCTCGTATGTCTCATCCTCGTGGCCGGAGGAGAGCTTAGCGGTGGTGCCGAAAGTGCGGGCGCGGGCGGCCATGGTGATGGGGGTCTGCACCCGGGAGCGGACGAGAGGAGCTCGGACGAAGCTGGCGGGGCGGACAGCGCGGGTCGCGATACGGAAGATGGACAGGGACGACATGGCGGGTCGGTAGGTTGGACCGGAGTCAATTGGGGAGGATTGGTGAGGGGAGAGTGGATGAAGACGGGGAAGGGAGGAGGACGAAGTTGTCGTGTACCCGGCTGGATTTTGCGGGTGGTGTGGTGTCGTTGCCTGAGGCTAGGAAGCTGAGTCATCGCGCCGACATGGCCCGGGGCGGTTTTGATCTCAAACACTCGCCTCTGATTGGCGGAGCCATAGATGACAGCTCCAAGTGCGTGTCATATCCGCTCTATCAGTTGATGCTTCAAATGTTTACATCAATCATGATCCAGCTTTTTTTTGAAATATCAAACTTCCACCTGTATTCGTCTACTGCTTCCAGCATTTGAACGATGTCAATGCGAGGTTTCGAAGTTCCAAGGTTAGGCATCGCTGTTTCCTAATAAATCCACGAATATGTATATATTTTCGACATGAAAATTGGTTGCTCGAATATTCAATGCTCAACCTCCAGGGCTTCCAAAGTTTGTAACTCCGAAAAAAGGATGTGTGAGGGCACCGCCAAATTTCCACCTACAGCCTTGGAGGTGGACAGTTCAATGTCCCCGAGATCAAATGCTCAAATCCATCCGCCTGCACATGTGGGCTGGGATCATTCAAAACGCGGAATGCGAACAGACATATATCATCAGATGGATTTTCAAGTGTCATCTGTACATGAGGCGATAAATGCTCTACCTCAGTCTCCTAAGGTGGAATCTACCTTCCTTGAAACAAAGAATTGATTACAACTGACATCAGTATTCGATGTTTGAGGATTTGAAAGAGCGAGCCTCCCGAGGTCTCTTAATTTTGGCTCCATATACTTGCTTATACATACTGACCAGTTGACCAATAGGTCGATGGGTTCGGAACCGACCACAGGCAGATCTTTCAATAAATGTTGCTCACATGATAGACTGGCCAGCATCTTGAATTTAATCAATTCAAAATCCAACCTCAGGCACTCGCTTGGAACATCCCACTATCCATGGGCTTGACTAGTATAACAATTCAAATGTTGAGATCTTACATACTTTAACTGTAGCATAGGCCATTCTTTCTCCAGGTATTAGGAAATGCACTATGTAATTCCAAGGTTCATTGAGGAGAGCCTTCAATGCATTCATATGTTGAGGCTTAAAGACTGCTGCCCGGGTGTATCGAAGACCCAAAGAACAATGTGTGCAACAATAAGGATAATTCAATGATTTTTTACTATTCGGTAGAAAAGGATTATTTCGGAACAATCAAAATAGGTCTGCGGAGGATCAGATAGTTGTCAGTGTTCTGGTAAAGCAGGAATGAAAATATTTCCAGAAGACTGCAGTATCCAATAGGAGGATTGTGATTGGATATTCGCGGCATTGGCAACCCAAAAACGGAAAAAATTGATTGGCTGTTGTCTACTTCTGCAGATTCTTAATTTTTGCATTACATTTCCATGTCGCACCGATTCAATCAATGATGCAATCGATGAAGTTTCTTATGGTACAATACTTACTGGTTCTAGAAGGGTTGTACCTTAAGAGGCTTGGTACCTGGAAGCTTAAGATATTATCCAGGTCCCAGGGTCTATGGATCCATTGAGATTATACACCAATCGAGGCCCAGGTGCGGAGATTGCCTCGGGATTTACGATCAATAAATCAATAATGAAAAAGCCTTTCCCGCAGTGGCTGGGGTAGTAGGTCAATGGAAAAGGGGTGATACAGCCTCGGCTGAGGGAGTATAGGATCCTATTGTGGAAGGCGCACACTCGAGAAAAAGTTCTGTAGTGTAACCCTCAGGTAGGAATTTTTTAAAAACCATCAAGAGACTTTCAGTTAGAGAAGAGAAGAGGAGAGAGAACTCAACCGCATTGCCAGATTGACATTTCGATTTTATTTCATAAAACATAAAATTACGGAGTAATTGAATAGTCCAAGATTTGGGGCTGACGATGGATCCCCCGCAATAACCGTGTTTGCTTATGCTTCTGCGCATGTGACACTCTCGAGGTCATTTTTTGGCAATAACATCACCACCAGAGAAGATAGATGCCATAAGACATAACAGGATGATGCCAACTGTTCATGGAGAACGATTAGATCTTCAGCACTAGAATTGAACGCTCAGGTTGAGGACAATGGCCGATTTTGTTCGGAACAGTACGGACATTGCTGATTTTCCCCCTTTACGGCGACGCTAAGCCACATTAGGAACTCAGCGGACGCGCCGGACGCAAAAAGTAACTTGTTCTCTCCTGTTCGTCTTTTCTTTCTTACAACGTCGGTCCTTTCCATTTCTTCTTCTTTTTTTCTTTTTCTTTGGCGGTGTCGTGACTTGCTTGCGAAGAGAAAAGAAAATACAGGAGCTGCATTCTCTTGACTTGGCCTCTGTCTTAATACTTTTAATTTTTCTTCTCCCCGTTGGTCTCCTTGTCCTTCGGACCCCCGTTCCACCATGGCCGAGTTCCTCCAGAATGTGCCCCTCCCAACCATCGATCGCCCCTTTGGCGTGCACCTGTGGCCTATCTTCGATAAGGCCTTTGAACAGGTCAAGGGATACCCCGCCAGCGAGTTCAAGTTCCAGGAGGGTGTGACTGCCATGTCCACCCTTAAGGAGACCGCTGCCCTTCTCGTTACCTACTACGTGGTTATCTTCGGTGGCCGCGAGGTCATGAAGAAACTCCCCGCCTTCAAGCTCAACACTCTCTTCATGCTCCACAACCTGCTCTTGACCATCATCAGTGGAGTCCTGCTGGTCCTGTTCCTGGAGCAGTTGATCCCTACTCTCTGGCACCACGGCATTTTCCACGCCATCTGTGACCACAGCGGTGGTTGGACCCAGCCCCTCATTGTTCTCTACTACGTGAGTTTCCCACTTGCGCATATGCCCGATGTTGGGAAGTGATGTCACTAACCTCAATTCTTCAATAGTTGAACTACCTCAACAAGTACTGGGAGTTCATCGACACCCTTTTCCTGGTCCTCAAGAAGAAGCCCTTGACCTTCCTCCACACTTACCACCACGGTGCCACTGCCCTTCTCTGCTACACCCAGCTCATTGGTTTGACTGCCGTGCAATGGGTTCCCATCACCATCAACCTGCTGGTCCACGTGGTCATGTACTGGTACTACTTCCAGAGTGCCCGTGGCGTTAAGATCTGGTGGAAGAAGTACATTACCATGCTGCAGATCCTCCAGTTCGTCATTGACGTTGGTGAGTCTTCCTTGGACCTGAATCCAGATCCCCATCTTTCTCAGATGCTAATGACTGCGCAATAGGTTTCATTTACTTCGCCTCGTACAACTACTTCTCCTCCACCTACTTCCCCTGGGCTCCCAACATGGGCAACTGCGCTGGTGAGGAGTTCGCCGCCTTCGCTGGTATTGCTATCATCACCTCGTACCTGTTCCTGTTCATCGGTTTCTACATTGCCACCTACAAGAAGGAGGTCAAGGTCGGCCGCCCCCGCAGCAACACCGGCAAGAAGTCCCTGATCGACATGAAGAACTTCGAGATCCCCTCCCCCGCTGCCAACGGCTCCGCTGTCTCTTCCGGCCGCTCCAACGGCCCCGTCACTCGCTCCCGCAAGGCGTAAGTGACCTTGGCTACATGAATCCTATTCTATGCGCATTCAATTTGCGTACGTGGAGTAGCGAGAGACCAGCATTGTTCTTGAAATCAAGAACGCCATGAGTCATCCTCCACGAGAATAGGAGAGGAAGTTATTCGAACCTTTTTTTGTACCTGGAACATGAATGCAGAGGCCGAATAAACGCGGTGCCTGCTCCATGATGATTCACTTTCTAATTGTTTTTTAATGAACGACCTTTCACGATGCCAGACTCGACGGTCTGGCGGTCTATGCGGCATGGGCTCTGTGAGGAATAGTGTGCCGAGGGGGATTGATGTCCGACGTCAGGATAGGGAAATCAATCTCTGGGACTAGGCATTTTCTTTTTCCTCGGTTTTCTTTTTTCTTTTCATTCGGGCGGACTGTCGGACAGCCTCGACTCGGTTGTATTCTATAATGTCATTATCTTCTGTTCATGTTTGTTATTGTTACCCCTTAGCCTGCTGGCGGCAGGCCCTTTTGACTGCATCCGTTCACCCTTATTGTTAGTATTATATTATAGATTATAAGCCACACATATCATGCTAAATGTAATCATTCACGCGCAACTTGCCTCATTAGACTATCAGTAATGCGGTGGTTGGGTTTGTAACCAACGCAAGGAAAATGGATCGAGCATGGCATTTGCATGGCTCCAGTCCACCTTGCAATGGATCTGTGTAGAGTGGGCAGGTTGTTGTCCTCCTGCATAATGCAGGACCCATGGAATCGAAGGGGGATAGGCAGATTGTATGATAGAGCCAAACGAATGGAATGAAGAAAAAACCAAGGCAATTCGCAGAATACCATAATCTTGAGCTACCATCTCACCATCTCTCCGTCAAAGCTCCTTTGATTTCGCTTCAACAAAAGGAAAACAAACATTGATAGAACGTTGATGGGGAAACGAAAAAAAAAACACTCAGAGCTCAATGTGCAGCATCACATTTGCAGTCCCACAAGCATGCAGGAACCAACCCGGGGTGTAGATCCATGCATAAAAAAAATAGGAGGTTAGTGAAACGGGGGACAAACAAACGCCACGAAGTGACAGATCGAACAACCAGCATGGCAAGCATGGCAGCGGGCCCGAGCAAACGAGCAAAGAGAAAAGGAGGAAATAAAGATCATCATTGAAGCAAAGCCAATTCGATTGGAAATCAAGCCCAACTCTCTCTTCCAGCCATCATCTGAAGATCAATGGAAAGCTTCGCGATGGGAGGCTGATGAAAATCCGGCGCACGGCACGGTCAATCATTGAGGCCTTTTTATGTCCCTTAAGCTTCTCACTGAACTTTCTTCTGGTCAACTGGTCCTCCTGTCGTGCCAGCCACTATTACTAGGACGCAGGAGGGGAATTGTGGAGTGCAGAGTGCAGTGACAGGTCGTTCGACCAGCCATCCACGTATACGTAGCGTGGTCGGGAGATATTCGATAGTCTGTAGATCCAATCTTAAAGTGATACGTTCGGACCTCGATGATCGTCTGCCATGAGTGGATTGGAAGGCTTGGACAAAATGTTCAATAAGAAGCTGTGCCTTGCTTGTGTAGCCGGCATTAAGCCAGTAAGCAAGCGGGAAGAGACAAGAAATGACAAAAAGAGCTCCGTAATTGTTGAAAATGACTCAAGGTAAGCCTGAGGCCGGTTTGAATGGATTAGTATGCAGGGCCGACGCAGGATACCATGAGCCTGGCAAGGCCATGGGTCATGGCGTCGGAGAGCACGGACAAAGCAGAAGGTGCAGAAGGTACAGAAACTAAAGCTAGAAGTACGGCCGTTCAAAGTTGGAAGTTGGCATGTCGACGGAGCATGGCGAGTCGCCGGCCGGAGTTATGGGATTTTTTCCATGGCCAGACCAATTCAAAAGTTGATTAAGGGACATCTGGACAGATGTCGGTAGATGGGGACTCTATTCTCCGCAGAGAGAGTAGTCTAATCTATGCTCAACTGGGTCAGACAAGACGAAACAGGTGGAGCTTGCACATGTGCAGAAGGAGGTTGGGGTTTGGCGGTTATACCGGAATGCAATCAATCTTGTAATGTGTAGCGGAGGATCAGTACTTCATGTGGGAAGCAACGCCGCTGTCAGACTAAAGATTGTAAAGCTTGGATCATGTTGAGAACATTTCTATTAGAAAACTCCTGTCGATCATGTTTTCAAACGCTTGGTCAGGATAGAATTTGAAAGCAATAATTAAGAGAATTAAGAAGGTTAAAATTTTAGTGCTGGGGAGTTCCTTGCCTCCAATACTGCTTTTAACGAACAGTTCCCAAGCGTAGAGCATAGAGTTAAGAGTGAAGAGTTAAGAATTAAGACTAAGTTAATAATAAAGTCAAGTGTATTAATGCAATGTATAATTCATCTGAAATCAAACATCTAAAAATCGTCTAAAAATAAACGAAACGATAGCGTGAAGCTTACGAAAGAATAGAAGAGACCGGGGAAATTCGCCGATAGACAATGGCTCCAACGCAAGGAGTTTTCTTTTTTTCTTTCTTTTTACGTCTTATTGCTTTTTCTATTGATTTGTAGCTATTGTATGCACGCAAGCGATTCTCCGAATTTTTTTCTCATTTTAATCTTTTTCGAACGAGACTAGGGAATTTTCTGCAGCTTTACAAATGTATGCTGTGCTATGCTGTGCTATGCCACTCTATTCCAATATTCCGCCGATGGCGTCCACTTATCCCCCTTTGGCCATTCGAAGAATGAGATCTATCTGGCTTCTGCCTTTGTACCTGTCCTGATCCCTGAGAATTCTCCTGTAGCAAACATACTTGATCATGATCCTTTTTTCCCAACATCCTTTCTACTAAGAATAAGTAGACACTTCAGTCGGTTAATCTATGGGCCCCTGAAGGTCCCTTCAGCATAGCGGAGGCCCTTAGACCCTTTAGGGTTAAAGGGCGGGGCTCCTGTCTATCTGTACCTGCACTAGATGGAAAAAAGAAGCGTGGTAGCCCCTAGCGTGGTGAGGATGACAAGGACGCGTTGTGCAATTGAATAATAAAAAAAAAAAAAAGTAAAAAAAAAGGAATAGCCAAAAAAAAGGCCAATGCTCGGTTAGGAGATACCGGAATCCACTAGGAGTTCGTGCTTAGCGTGTTTGAGCTAAAGACCAAGTGTTGTGAAGCGGTTAAGCTTGGCAGTTGAGTGAGTTCCATCTTGATCAAATCCCCACCGAGTCCACTCCGGGCGCTACGAATGATCCAACCCAGGGATTTTCCGAACATGAACAAAAAAAAACACTGTAAGATTCCAAAGCTTGGGGCCCATTCTTGGGCCGTTGATCGAGCTTCTCCTGTTTGAGATTATTTGGTTTACGGAGAGTGCATCTTCTGTTCTGCAAGTAATCTAGTTCTGCTAGTATTTTCTATTTCATGGTGACGTCGGAAAAGCCAATGATAGCGCTCAGTCCTGACTTGCTGCAGCCCCAGCGTTTGGCGCATTGACCAGACCAACGACAGCTCACGATGATCTATCAGATTTTTCTCCGGTGTTACAGGCAGTAAAGTTTGGTCCCAACCTCGCCACGATGCTGGATGGTGCGCGTCGAATGGTGAAACGGCCCAATCCTTAGCATCCTTAGTTCCTGCCCTAGCGAACCCCCCTCCGCCATCCCAGTCTCAGCTGCAAGGGTGATGCGCTGTTGCCCACCCTGCACCCCCTAATCGCCAATCACATTCGGCGTGGATATCCTCTGCCAATGGGCGGCCTGACTAGCTTGGGGCCATTTGGACCAATCCAGGATGACCTCCTCCTTCCTCCTGCAGGAGATAGTCGAAGCCCAAAAAACCAAAAATTCCAAAAGGAAAAAACCCAAAAGAAAGCCACTGTCGGTCAGGGACACCTTTTCGCGCTGTTCAATACAGGATTCTGAATTTGACTACACGTGGACAGGGATCGAAAATGGTCGGTCCCCTCTTTCTTGCAGATGGCGCTTCCCTGGTCTAAAAAAGCCCATCCACCCCTCCTAGTGTGGATCAATACCTGACGGGTGGGACTCTTTTTTTTTCTCTCCATACTTGTACCTTGGATGCCTTCGAGGGCGGCTCAATCCTAGTTACAGTACCTTTAAAGACCTTCTTTTCCCTTGACCCCCGTTCTGCAGGATCGGATCTCCTTCACAGATCCAAGTCTGTGCCATATTCATAAACCCGGGGGAACCTGCCTAATATCTTAGGGCTTTCTGGTGATTAAAAGTTTCGAAGAGGAATATCTTCGTCTCATTTTCTCCTTCCCTTATTACTCTAACACGGGCTGGTCTCCATTTCTCCCGTCTTATTCTGTCTGGAACAGTAATCGTTTTGGATAAACCATACGTTGTGTGCATCTTGGATTACCACCTGAACAACCCGCAAAGATGTACGAGCCCACTACCTCGTTGAATCTTCACCGGCTGAGCCGACAGAGCCTACAGAAACGATACGAGTCAGACGAGGAAGATGTATCGGAATCGGATGCTGGACCAGACCTGGTCCCTTCACTAGTAGGCTCGAACCGAGCCGGAACCATCGATTCAGATCTCAGTGCCGATGAAAACTCGCACACAGATCCAGACTCAGACCGAGAAGAGCATCTGTTGGCTCCATTCCAAGTAGCCAAGAGGCCACGCCCCGTCTCAATGGATACGGTGAAGCGAAGCAGTGATGCAACCTTCGGGGAAAACACCCGTGTGTTTGATCTCGAAGACGATATGGTTCTTGAGATTCCGCTGCCAGAGAGTCCTCCTGATATAGATCCCAATCTCTACCTACAGCCGGCCATCTATGTCTCGCCTGATACACCGCCGACCAACAACCGAAGATCTCGCTCTTCGTCCCCGTCGTCCATCTTTTCCGTGGAGAATGCCGAAATCCAGATCGCCAAGAAGATCACCTTGATGGAGCCACCGACCCGTCCAACCCTAGTCTTCATTAATGCCTTGGGATCACGGTCCAAGAATTCACGGGCAAGACCAAGCCATTCCCGAACACGAGGCAACGCCCGTAACAGGGAATCCCGCATCTTCGACGGGAAGCTAGAAGGCAATCTCCAGGTCCCCCGCCTGACAGACGTCAAATCAACATCACCAAGACTCTCCGAAGGCCACTCAACAGACCGAGAGGACTCAACTCACACAACCCCCGACCTCTCAAACCTACCCAGGGACTCCTTCATCGCACTACAAAGCGCAAGCGCAACCATAAGCAGCGTCTCCGACATCCCCGTCCTCCCCTACTTCCCCCCCTCCCCACACCAGCGTCCCGTCTCAACCCTCCGCCAACGTCCACGCACCTCCGGCGCCGAGAGATCATTTCCCACTCTCGCCGCCCTCCGCTCACCCCGACGCCCTACAGAACCAGGTCTCCGTCCACCCTCACTCCGCAGCAACAGCGGCAGCGCCAGTGGCAGCTCAAACAGCTCGCCCTCCTTTCCTTCACGCCCCGCCTCCCCGTCGTTCCGGGATGACCCAAGAAGTTACTTCGTCCCGGACCACCACCATCACCACCACCACTACCACCACAGTGACGCTGCATCCCTCTATTCCCGCGCTCCCAGCCCGGCTTCTACATGCTCCTCACCACCCACGCAGCAACAACAATACCCTAACAGCTCCAAGCGTGGACCCACCGCTGCTCAACCTCTAACACCGAGCAACCCCAACATAATCCCCCACCGCTCCCCGATGATGCGCCGCATGACGCGGAAACATTCGGCCGCCTCAAGCATCCATTCCATCAGCAGTTTGCGCTCGGAAATGGATACGAGGGATATGAGCGCCGCTGCGTATGCGGCTTCCAGCCAGCCGGCTGTTAATACGATTACTTATGATTCTCGACCCGTGCGGAAAACGAGCCAGAGACGCCATGCGAGACATGCCAGTTCTGCGGCTAGTGGTGGCAGTGGGCGTGGGTTCATGGGTTTGAAGCTTGGGAAGAGGGCTTTTAATAAGGTTTAGTTTTAATTTAGTATTAGTAATTTCTGGGTTTTTGGGGTGTTATTCTGGCGGTTTACTAATTTTTTCGGGCGTCCGGGTCTTGGTTTTACAATTTTGTTTTGCTTATTTGTTTGGTCTTTTTTTTTACGTGGGTTGTAATCACGGCGCAGGCGGATTTGTTCTTTGTTTTTGTGCCTCGATATCGGGAACTGCTTGCAGTGGGATAATGTCCTCGAGGCTTTTGTGGTGGATTGAAATTGCCAATGCCTCAATGTATTGGGAGACGAGGAATCAGTGATGTTGATGCGCTAGTTAGTTCGCGCGCGAGGGGCTGGTTACCTGACTACTAGCACCCTCTATTTTGGCCTAGTTATAAGCATCTACTAGATACACAAATCAAGAATTATTGAATAACTCCGGGGCGAAAATGCTTAGTTCATTTCTATTGATGGATCCTTGAAAACATACGTAGAAAAGAGCTATGCTAGCATAGAGAATGGTATATTGCAGCGCATCAGCAATAGGGACAGTTTGGAAAGATGAACGAGAAGAGCAAGTCAACCATGTAAATGCCATGGTAAGGTTATGCACATGGTCATAAAAATAAAGCGAAATGAGCGAAGACAGAGTATCAAGTTACGATAGTAGTAGAAGTCTATTTGCGCGCCTCCAGGGCAGCTTTAATAGCTAGAAAGAGGGAAAAATGTTAGTATCTTTCCCTGTAGCTTAGATTGACCTGAACTTACCATCACACGAAGTCTTCGCATCTCCGAAGAGCATTCTCGTTCCGGGCATGAAGAACATGGGATTTGGCACATCGGCTGTGATATCAATTAGACATGTAAAATAATGGTTGAGATGTATCAGAACCTACCGTATCCGCTGGACATTCCTCGCTTCATAACAATGACTTCCTTACTCTTCCATGCGTGCAAGACAGGCATACCGGAGATAGCAGAGTCCGGCTCCATAGCAATAGGGTTGACTGTGTCGTTGGCGCCGATGACAAGAGTAACGTCAGTCTCCTTGAAATCTTCGTTGATCTCATCCATCTCCAGAACGACTAGAGAATTGTTAGTGAGCTGATGCTTATTTGTGACAAGGTCAATTGTTAAACTTACTATCATATGGTACTGATGCCTCAGCAAGAAGCACGTTGCACTGGCCCGGCATACGACCTGCCACGGGGTGAATAGCAAAGCGGACGGTAACGCCCCTCGAGCGCAAGATACTGACAATCTCCGCCAGTGCGTACTGAGCCTTTGCAACCGCCATTCCATAGCCGACAATAATAATGACACTCTCGGCACCGGAGAGTGCCTCGACTGTGTCGTCAATACTTGTCTGTGTCACTTCTCCTTCGATCTTCTTCTGGCTTTGCACTTGAGTACCGATACCACCAAAAAGAACGTTTGTAAGCGACCGATTCATAGCGACGCACATAATGTACGACAGAATTGAACCGCTCACTCCAATAAGTGAGCCTACACTTGTCAGAAGAGGATTGTTTAGCATGAGACCCTCTGCGACAAGGGCAAAGCCAGAATAGGCATTCAGCACCGTGATAACGACAGGCATATCTGCACCGCCGATCGCTGACGTTGTCGTGTAACCTTTCAGAAAACTGAGCAATGTACTTGTACCTAAACAAGCCGCTGCGATCCCAGGATTGGCGGGGGCCAAAGTCAAGAAGGCCCCCATGGTCGCCATATTACCGCCCAACAGAGTCGAGTTAATGACATGCCGGCCAGGTAAAAGCATTGGCTTAGAAGACATTTTGCCTGCGAGTTTGAGGAACGCAACAATTGATCCGGTGAAAGTCACACCTCCGATGAGCACGCCCATATAAGCAGTCACCATGTGCAAAGTAGAGATCTCGCCAATTTCGCCCAGGACGCTACCGATACTGGTCAAAACGGCAGCAAGACCCACAACCGAGTGCAGCGCTGCAACAGTCTGGGGAAGCCCAGTTGGGGTAATGCGACGGCCAATTAGACCACCGACCAAGGCACCGGTTCCAGCCATGACGGCGAATTGAGTCAACGTCTCAGTAGAGAATCCTACAGCAACGAGTGAGGCAAGAATACCGGAAGCCACACCCAAGATTCCCAGGATGTTTCCACGGCGGGCTGTCTGCTGCGAAGCAAGGCTGGAAATAGAAGTCATGCAGAGAACTGTGCTAACGAGATACCCGGCTTGAACTATGCCAGCCATTCCAGTGCTGGCTGCAGCCACCAAACCACCGCCAAATACGAGTGCTGGAACAGCATATAGCCATGGGTACTCTGGAGGATCGGTTGGACGCTTGAACATGTCAAGCATACGCTTCGTCACAACAAAGCCACCAGAGACATTCACGAATGCAAGCAGCACAGATGCCGCACCAAGGTATTCAGGGATAGTGGTCGGAACAAAGCCCCCGCCCATGACGAACAGACCACCAATACCAACCATTCCGGAGATAGCATTGGTGACACTCATAAGCGGCGAGTGAAGAGCAGGAGCCACTCCCCATACGGCGCGATAACCAACCAATCCTGCCAATCCAAATGTCATCATGTTGCCCATGAAAATGGGGCCCGTGGCTTTTCCAAGAGCGAGAGTTGCACCGATTGCACCGGTGACAGTGGTAACATCTCGGGTTGCCTGTTGCCACGGTGTAAGAGCGAGCTTGGCTTCTTTCTTGGCCGCAATGGCCTCGGTATCGGGCTTGGGAGCGGGAGGAGGAGCAGCAGGCGCAGCGGGTGGGATAATTTCGCCGTTGAGTGTGACAATTGACCCACGAACAACCTCGTCATTGAAATCGATTCCAAAGGACTTATCCTTAGGGGCCATGGAGAGTAAATATTTGATGATGTTGTTTGAGTAGAGCGTTGATGATTGGGTCGGCAAACGAGATGGAAGATCGGTATAGCCAATGATCGTAACACCCTTGTATTGAGACAGCTCACCAGGAACAGTTGCTTCACAGTTTCCACCGGCTTCGGATGCGAGATCTACAATGACCGAGCCAGGCTTCATAGCAGCGACCATTTCCTTCGTAATCAGCTTTGGAGCAGGTTTTCCTGGAATCAGAGCAGTCGTAATTATAATGTCAACTTCACGAGCTTGCTCCATAAACAGTTTCATCTCGGCTTCAATGAATTCTTTGGACATTTCTTTGGCATAACCACCTTGCCCAGAACCATCTTCTTGGAAGTCCACCTCGATGAATTCTGCACCCAATGACTGGACCTGTTCACGGACAGCAGGACGGGTATCGAACCCCCGAACGATAGCACCCATGCGGCGAGCCGAGACAATTGCACTCAGACCAGCTACACCAGCACCGATCACCAGTACTTTACTGGGGGGAATCTTTCCAGCAGCCGTGACTTGGCCAGTCAAAAAGCGGCCGAAGTGGTTTGAAGCTTCTAAAACCGCTTTGTATCCTGCAATATTGGCCATGGAGCTCAAGGCATCAAATGTCTGCGCACGGGAGATACGTGGAATACGGTCCATAGCAAAAGCAGTCACGCCACGGGCAGCCAGGGCATCCACAATTGACTTGTTTTGGAAGGGGTACAGGAAAGAGATAATAGTCGAGCCTTTACGAAGAGCTTGAATCTCATTGAATGGTCCTTCCGCCTGCGGGTTTCGGACTTTCAGCACAATATCACTCTCCGCCCATATAGCATCACGGTCCACTATTGTGGCACCGGCTTGTTGGTAGGCATCGTCTAGAAGCTGTGCTTCTGTTCCGGCCCCGCGCTCGATCAGCACACGTGAAAAGCCCTTTTTAAGAAGCAAAGCCACATTCTGTGGCGTGATTGCAACACGGCGCTCATTTTGGTGTGTTTCGCGAGGTACTCCAACCGTCAACTCGGTGTAAGGGGTGGTTGACACAGGATCCTCAGTCGGGGTGGTAGTAGTCGACGCGCTTCGCTTAGACGCGGTAGGCCATTGAGGTGCTCTGAGGGAGAGTTTATTCTGCGATGAGGCAAGGAGGGTGATCTGACGAGCCTGAGAGACTAATTGAAAGTGTTAGAGTGTTGTCCTCAATTCAAGAAGAGTATGTCTAGAGCGTTGAAAATAAAAACTTACCCGCGTGAGTCACGGACAGCAACGATTTCCCCGCGCGCGCACTGGAGGCCACGCGACAGGGCCTTAGCGCCGACAACAAAGAGAGCGTAGCCGTCATTGCCGGAAGCGCTAATAATCATAGATCACAGACAACCAAGGCACATCTGAGGAAGGGTGTCCAAGGCGTGGAGAACAAGGGAGAGGAAGGAAGAGAGACAAAAGACGAGAAAGAAATGACCGAGAAAGAGGAGTCAGGTAGGAGAGGCTCTCGGACTCCCACCTTGCAATGAAACGGTACGCGCCCCCCTTTGGACACGGTTCTTCCGGTTAATCAAGAAGCCACAGCCTTAACTTGTGTGATCCCCGCGGGGTTTTTGTGGAGTCGCGGTGGAGTCGTGGAGAAGTTCGGGCACTTTTCTTTTTTCTCCACACCCATCAAACTTGGTTTGGAAATCATGCCACAACAAAGAATTGGACGTGTTGAGCATTTTCAGGCCCACGCAGGTTTCTCAAGGAGTTGAGCAATAGGATCGTAGTATCACAGACCACAGATCACAGACCTCCCCCGCAACAAGAAGGATCCAAGTCCCAAGATGCCGATAGCCGGAGCGCGTAGTAGGTCATGGTGCGGAGTATATTGATTGCGCCGGCTTTCGGCACTAAAAAAACCAGGTACTTTTCAACCAGGCTTACAGTGCTACTAACATTTGAAGTTTAGTTCCAAGGTTACTGAGATATTTAGACTTGTATAGTCAAATCATAATAAGTATGCACAGCTACATAACATACTCGAATCCAATCGGATCGTCTCAAGCCGAACTCACAGCTAGTAAATGACGCAAGTCTCCACATGCATCTATTGATTGCCGTAAATATCCACACGCATCACCATTTGACAGATATCAACCAATAGAACTCTCCACTTTTTTATATATACGCATGCATATATGACATCTGGACATATCAATCGATATCTGAGGCGGACCTGAGTCATGACAACTGGGGATTGATTGTATGTGTTTCAGTCCATAGATCATTACTATAACTCTCAAGTGCTGACACATGCAGTATCGCCTAATAGTAAATACAAAGAAGTGAAATGATCTAGGTACATATGCATGTGTCACATGATTGCACATCCTAGTCCTGTGCCTCCTTTCATGTCAAGAGTACCTTCGTGTGCGTTAATAAATACCTTACTATTGTCACATCTCGCTCTCAAATCGAGTTCAATGTTACCAAAATATTTGGAACCATTTCGCGATGTATGTCTATAAATCCACTCGCTTGGGCATAAATGACTCATACTTGACTGACATTCAAATTCAATAACAAGCCCCGAAGCCGTGACCCCTTTGGACCTTTTCCATTAGATGAAAGGGATCTTACGTCCGTCACAAATAAAGAACTTTCAAGCCTTCTTACATCTGCTCCTATTATACATCAGTATGGTGCGACGAAAGTTGTGCGACTCTCGGAAAATCTTGCCCTGAAGGCTGGCGGGAGTATCCTGCCCGGCGAAGCGGAAATACTCAATCTTGTTGCATCCAAAACCTCAATCCGAGTTCCACGAGTCCATCGCTCATTTCAAGTCAAAGATGACACAAAGTATTTCGGTACATTTGGGTACATAGTGATGGATTATGTTCCCGGCCAGCCGTTGGATGAGTGTTGGAACTGTCTGTCCAGTGATGCCCAAGGGAGAATAGCATCTCAAGTTGCTGGTATGATCCAAGAGATGCAGTCTTTTGAGCTTCAAAATCCTGGCCCAATTGGTGGAGGCCCATCTCGTGGTCGATTCTTCACAGATTACAGCGCAGGGCCTTTTGCGGATACTGTTGAAATGGAAGCTTGATTTAATCACAAGCTAGATGTTTGCAAACATTTCAACCAAGCTGCGAAGGAAACACCGCCATTTCATTTCACCAAGTTTGTCCTGACACACAAAGACATCAGCCCTCGGAACCTCATCCTGGATCAGCATGAACAAGTGTGGTTGATTGACTGGGCACATTCTGGTGCATATCCTCCTAGTTTCGAAAGTTCAGCATTGAAAAGTCAATCGGCTTTCACCGATTTTAACAAAGCGGTGTTGTCCCTTATCCCACGTTATCCCAAGGAGGAACTGCAGCTTGATGCTATTGGATTTGGATTAATCAACGCGTCATTTGCTTAGTTAAAGAGAGGGCTAGAACATCAACTTTTACGACGATAGCAAGATCACAGAGCTCCTTCAATAATTCAAATATTGATGTTGCATACTGTGCTTATTGGATATTATTGATCTGAACCTTTGGTGGTTAACGATTATTACCATTAATTCCTTGAGCTTTTCACGACCTTAGGTCGTACATTACCCCCCTAGCTAGTGTGTACCGCTCCGGAGCCACACCATGCACATACAGTTTTGATGGCGTTGATCTAGTACGCGGTCTCTGATTGGACTCTTCTTCCTTCTCAATATTCAAAAGCCAACCAAGCTGTCTTCATTGTATATGCGATGACGGTTCTGACAATCTTGAACTCGGGCTTCAATATTCTCCTGTCCGGTTCGAGTTGTCGAATACCGTCTTCAAAAAACATTTGAATCGGATTTTTCAATGGTCAGGGACTCAGGGTTTCGGGGCTGGGGCCAACAAATGGGGCGGATCAACTCTACAAAAGTGGTTCCTGGCAAAAGTGGATCAAAACAAGTGGAGTTGACCGAGTTTTTCATCCGGTAATTCCAGTGCCCTGTTATTTAAGCCATTTCTTCCTTGGACCCCTGCCCTTTGGACCCCTAGACCCCTACGCTAACTCACCCACGATGCCGAGATCTGTACAACACTGGCCAGGGGGCATCCCCACTTGCATTCAACCACACCCAGATCCAGATCTGTCTTGGGATGAGATTAAAGAGGAAGTTAAGGGCTGGCTACTCTTTGTACAAGTATAAATCGTGATACCAATCTGCATTGGCCTCTCAAATTCCTTGCTAACATGAAGGTAGGAAAACTGGGTTACTGCAGCGAATGCAGGTTCCTCCGATGAGAACTATGAGTTAAATCACCGACGGGAACTCGTAGAAAAATGGGCTTCAGCTACACAGGACTTTCGTGATGTGAATTCACCTCGGTCCAACTCCGTCAAATCTCTGTCTATTATACTAACTTCTTCTTTTCCCTTATCCAGGCATACCAATTATGTATACCTGTGGGTCTTCTAGGTACAGAGGGGCTAAGGAAGAATGATCATATTGAAGGCCTTCGATACCCAGCGGAATCATTGGAACGTCTCTATGAAACTTCACAGCCATGCCAAACCAATGGCCTGATTTGTCTTGCCCCTATTGATGAGAAACATCCTGAGAATCAGGCGCGACTAGTCAAATTCGCGATTCTGATGTATGACTATGATATTGAGGTCGGGCATTGTCTAATCAATAGCCACATTCCACTAGAGGCTACCCTTAACCCCGAAACTACTACTACCGATCCTTCGGTAGAAGACTACCTACCCTGGGCGAATCTTGAGACTGCAACTTTCAAGTCGATCTTCCTCACACATACTGGCAAAGTACTCTATCTTGGTAATCCAGGACCATATATGATGGTTGATGAACTAGGCCTGGAAAGCGGGCGCCTGACAATTGTTACATTTGAAACCAACGGGGATGTAAGAGAGTCCGTCGAAATCCGCCCATTCAATATGAAAATACCATACCTGAACGCCTTCGAGAATTGGTCTAGTTTTGACAATGTCAAGCATTGCCAGGGTGCTTATAGACACCAAAACACCCCGTGAGTACCCTTTGACCTACCAAGTCAGCCCAGCAAACTAACGAATATCAGACTTGATATGGACCTACCAGTCGTCGATCTTCTCTACCAAGCCAAGGAAGCAAACCAGCTCCCCAACTCAATGGAACTCTGTGACCGAGAGCAGTGGACCAGTGATGTTGAGCTCTATGCCCCAGGCTACTTGGCTCTCGAGGCTGAGGGTCGCGGGGGCGAGTATCCCCTAAGTAGCCTCGTCGCACCAGACAGTATCGGCAAAATCACGAAGCAGGTTATGCATAGGGTGCTGGACCCCAGTTTCTCACACCCCCGATATTCATTTGTTCCTCTTCCTCCTGGTCGAACCCTATGAGTTCATTCGAATCATTACGATAATACCAAGACAAGGAGCAGACGATGTGAATTGAATGATAAAATGAAGAAAATTCAAGTGCCTTTTTAAATTCATCAAGTCTCTCTACACAGTATCTCATCTTTCGTACGCCAAGAAACTGTAAATCAAGATAAGCCCTGATCCGCGAGACTTGGCGCGACCCGCGTCATACAATGATACCCCAACCACAATGACCCTCCTCACCAACACCTAGATGCGCGAGTAGGTACGTGGAAATGTGAAAAAAAAAGAGTCAGACTAGCAGATGCAATTTTACTTCCCAGAAAGTTGATTCAGCGTGAATATTGACCTCGTACGCTTACACCTCTACAAGTTTTATTTTCCGACCAAAAATAGATCCAGAAGCCTGATTGGTGATACATAGATGGACATCTAAATGTTGGATGCTCTCTCCGCCAAGCCTTGTGTTGGACGGTTCAGACACTGGTCGATTTGCTTTGCCATCTGCAAGCATTCCTCATCCCGCATGGTGGTCGTGAACAGCTGAATGGAGCATGGTGTGCCTTTGAGTTGATCGAAGTTGTCTAACATTCGAGTTGGTAAGATGATTTAAGTTCTGATAACTAGTTCAGGAGGGATAAACTCACATTCGGGCGCGACTTGATCTGCTTTGAGCTCGAAAGTCTGTCCGGAATCCTGGTCGCTCACTTCCCCAAATGGAAGAATGCACGATGGGTACTATAGGTCTTCATTAGCAACATCTCAAGCCGAACTTTCCAGGATACCTACATCCAAGCAGTTCAAAAAGGTAGTGTAAGGAGCGAGTCCAAACATATCATGCTGCACTGCGGTATTTTGAGCTGGGGGTGCAACACAGATATCAAGATCATGCAGCACCCACAGCTTTCGATAAGCTTCTCGCAGCTCCGCTCTTCGTACATTGAGCAGAGCCAGCTTCTCCATTAGACTCAGAGCGCTCATATCAGGTAAGGATGGTGTGATAATTTGCCCCAGTTTCTCAAATTGGTTCACAATATGGCCAATAGCCGGCACGACAGGTTCACCTGCCGACGCGATGAGCTTCTTGGAATGTTGGTCAAGGCTAAAAATCCCCCAGGCTACCTCATTCACCTCCAAAACACGGCAATCCTTTTCGTCCAAAAAGATTATCTGGTGGCCCTGGGCTTTCAACGAGACGATTGCTTCATTCAAAACTCTCCGAATTGGTGGATGGAGAGGAAAAACAGCTGACTCAGGAACAACACCGATCCTGAGAACTGGTTTTTTATCAACCTGTCTCCATGGAACATCAAGAATACTGGAATCATAGTTTGCAGGGCGAGCTCCACAAAGTGATTGGAAAAAGGTTTCGATTCCACCCAGATCCAATGACAGTGGACCAATACAAGAGAGCAAAAACTTCATGCCAGGCGTGGTGCAGACGCGCATTCCACCATTGGGAACTCTGGAAGCACTAGGTCTGAAACCGTAGATTCCACAGCAGTGAGCTGGAATCCGGACAGAACCTTCAATCAGGTTAGCCTTGAAAAATTCTTTCGAGATTACTTTGGCTTACCCCCGATATCTGTCCCCAATCCAAGAGGTGACCCTCGGAGGGCGATCAAGGCACCTTCTCCCCCACTGGAGCCACCGGGGCCCAGTGTGGTATTCCAAGGGTTCAAAGTGCGCCCAAATACATTATTGTGAGAATCAGCCGTCTAAGGCGGGAGTGTCAGTACTGACATAACCGAGGAATAGCTGGGATAGATACCATCATTGTTTGGGGCACATTTGTCTTCACGTAGAGTACAGCGCCAAGTTTCAAAAGAATATCTACAAGAGCGGAGTTCTCAGTGCATACATCATTGATGAAAGAAACCATGCCGATGCTTGCATCTCGTCCCTTGAATTGAAAGTTGTCCTTGATGCTAACGGGAAGACCGTGGAGCGGACCTGCTAGTTTTCCTTGAGCTCGTAGATCATCTAGATGTTTAGCCCGCTCCAAGGCCTCAACAAACATGGTTTCAGCGAGGCAAGAAACCTTCATATTATTAGTTCAATAGAATATCAAAGATGGGGTAAATAACCGTACGATGTACTTACCAACTGTTGTGCCACAGCTGCACGTTTGCAGTAAGCTAGGGTCACCTCGACCGAAGAGAGACTCCCCTTCGCTAATGCAGAGATCAGATCAGAGACTGTATAGTCTTCAGTAATCTTTATCTCGTGGTCTGTCAAAATCCCTGATTCACGAATCGCCTTGCTTCGAATAAGGTCATGTTTATGATCTGACAATGGGGCATCGAACTTGGCCATGAAATTTTGCGACACTTTCCATTCGGACGGGATTCTGTTGGCGCATTCTTCTCTCTTTCTTGCAGTTCTAAGTTGCCAAGAATCCGATTCCTCGATGGAGCTCATTCTGTTTTGTCTTTGGATGCGAATGGTCAGGATATGCTGAGTGGCTAGAAGCTGAGTATTCGATGTTCTTTGGGAAACAATAGTGCGTTTTATGTCGAGGAAACTTGTGCGGTGACCTCCGAATAATCTTACTTTATTGCGTGAATGCGAAGCCTCGGCTCAAAGCGGGGGATGCGGGGTTGGATAGGAAGAGGATGATATCTAGAGATTTGCCGATTAGGTTGCACAGAATGTTCGCTCATTCGTTCAAATCTACTGTTGTTTACATAAAACATTGATCTCTACTAGACAACTGCACTCTATCTCGGCTAATTCGTATTAATATGCATGGATCTTGATTGTAACCTTGGAAACTTTTATTGTGTACTTGAAGCAGAAGAAGATGGGAAACGCCCCGAGATTCTTGAAGCTATGTACACCACAGAGATTATAATCTCGGAATGGCTGTGTCTCATTATCTAGTTCTATTTCTTTCTTTCAATTTCCAACAAAATTGGACGGAAATATTACTCCACAACCCAGGAACACTCCAATCAGTACCTATCTGAAATCATACAAAGCGGTATCGCTTATTGTTAAAACCCATTGAAGCCCTGTGAAAGAGATCAAAATGAATGCCACAGAGAGAATGGCCATTGTTTTCACTATCCAAATTAACAATCTTATTTACCAGGTATCACCTTTGTCTTCTTTATTCTTCTTCTTTCGCCCTTGTTCTTCTTTCTCATCTATAATAATCTATTTATGATCGAGATGACAGACCAAAGAAAGACACCGGCATGAAGACTATTTATGGATTCCAAAATCTATTTCCAGTCTATCTCTTCTGTTGTTTGCTTCAACAAAGGGCGTGTTTCAGCTAACGTTCGAACTTCAAGTCCAAGCCTCCAGCTTCAAAAAGAAATGATTCAAATGTTATAAGAAGGATGATCTTCCTCCTCGGATTGAAATCTAATCATCACAAACAATCATCAATACAGAGCAAAGACAAGCCAAATCTACCCATTCCACCTTCCATTTATATATCTTTTCAACGCCAACCGCAAAGGTTCATTCACCATATAGCATAGTTCAAAATGTCGCTAATCGATACATTCCACTTTGATATCTACGTTGCGGTCTGCTACTCAGAGCCCGGTTGGCCTGATCACTGGATGGTTCTTCTGCGTCACCCTGGAGCTGATCGATGCGCATATAGGTTCCACTCCCTTCAGAATAATGTTGACTTTCAACTAGCGATTGAATACAATACACGATTTGATAGCCGCAGCATTAAGCAGACCTTCTATTTGGGCCGGATCCCTACGAGCGCGATCTGTACAGTCGAGCGAGAAGCCCACGCTGTCCCACCCCAAAGCTGCCAATGCTGGGTTCTGTACTTCCTTCTCCGATTACAGTGGAATCACTTAGTTCCTCTTGGAACCTACGAGCACTGGCGCGACAACCACGTTGAATCCCACCGCGTGGATAGAGGCCCCGGTATTGGTCAATAGAGGCTTCACCTTATGCAATAGGTAGCGACTGCAAATTTGGACTGAATAGTATCTAACATTTGATTTAGAAAGTCTAGGACAATAAAATTTCATGCTTATCAACCTTCCAGAGCTCATTATAGAAACACATTTGACTTGAAGGTAACGACGTAGTAAACTGGTAGCCAACATTTTGAATCAATATTTTGAATGAGATATGAAACTTGACTGCTGTAGTTGTATAGAGAGATCAGATAGTTACACTTTGCTTGTACGTTTAATGGATGACTCAGCTGGGGTTTGGGTTGAAACCTGCAAGGTTGGAAAATTCGAAAGCAGAAAAGAGTCAAATTTTCCTCTTCAGTTTTGAGACCAGGCAAGTGATGAGAACATAGCCTATCATAGATGATGTATTTGCAATGATGCAGGTCCGACCCTGTCAAGCCTGCGATCTAAGTTGCAGCAAGCGAATTTGGGGTAAAAAAAACCGCGCGAGCCGCAACACACTCGTGATCTGCATTAATTTTACCGCAACGGCCCTTGCCCGTTGACTATGAAACCGGTTCGTGCGGACTGAAGCAGATGATGCCTGCAGTCATTTAATCTGATTTGATCACGAGCTGTAAAAAGGCAAAAGGTCTGAGAGCTAGCGACGTGGCCGAGTGGGGAGAGTTGGAAGTGATCAACCACTAGAGATGATCGACCCCAACACCCACGGCACCAAATCATATTCCTCATCCCTGCGCCCTTGGCGAGGTCGGAGTTTCTTCAGCCTTGTCGCTTCTTTGGCCTTTTCACTACCTCTCTCAAGAATCATGCCTTGAGAAGGGTTTCCTATGTCTTTAACCAACACCGCGCGCTCCCGAGTCGCCCTCCCTGATGGAGATTCGCCCCGTGGGCGCGCCAGTGACGTCCACATCGTCTGAGTCGCCCGAATCCCACCCGCCCCAGCCCGCCCCGCCCCGTAAACGAGTACGCCGCTGGCACCACCGAGGTTTTACAGGCTGTTCGACCTGTCGCCGCCGTCATGTTCGCTGTGACGAGGCCTCTCCGGCCTGCAATAACTGCACGAGGCTGGGACTCGAGTGTGATGGAACGCAGGGGAGAATGACCTTCAAGGTCTACGGCCCCACACAGATCCCGGAGCCACCTCCGCCGAAGGAAACCAAGAAGCGGAAGAAGAAAGCCTCCGACCCAAGCGACTCGATCCCGGGGACGGGAACACTGGTCATAAAGAAAGAGGAGGTGGACAGACCATGGCAGGCTGTAGTGGTCTCCCCGACCACTGTAGCGCAACAACCGCAGGTCACCTTTCGCTTTCACGAACCGGTGCCTGCAAAAACCGTGCCCAAGTGTGTTCAAACCACAGACGATCGCTATCTGGGCCATTTTATCGATCAAGTCTCGACCCTCCTTCTTATTTACGATAATTCCGACAACACCAATCCCTATCGCCAACATTTCCCCGATTTTGCGCGCTCGTCGCCATCTATGGTGGGCGCGATGCAGGCCCTAGGCGCATTGCATTTAGCCAATACCTCTGTCGGACCGCAGCGCATTTCGCATTTTCAGCAGGCAATGAGTAAATATGGGGAAACTGTGCAATTGTTCCGAGCTCGGTATGCTCGACCAAGTCAACAATTAGGAATGACCGATTTCGCAACATGTCTATTGCTGTGTCTTTTTGAGGTTTGTCTATCAATTGGAGAGTGGGGGAAAGTGTATGATCATTTGTTGACAAATTTTGTAGATGATGGATTCTCAAAACTACAACTGGGCTGTGCATCTCAAGGGTGCCCGTGAGATCTATAACCTTCTCTTCTACCCCCATACTGGCGGAACCTCTACTCGCGAGGTGCAGAGAGTCGCCGAATGCAATCACCCCCTTCGATCATTTCTTGTCTCCTTATTGTCATACCTCGATGTGGCAGGTGCATGTGCCACCCCCGGTGGCACTGTTGTCGAAGGGAACTATTGGAAGACCCTCGGCGGCGGGTGGGAGTACAATCTGGGGACACCTAGTCTATCATCACCTACAATGCCCGACAACCCGCGCCTGATAGAACTGCGACACGCATGGTCAGGAATGATGGAAGTCCAGGCGGCGATCAGTACCTTTGCCCGTGACAAGCAGTGGATGCCGCCTACCCAGCAAGACATTGTCTACAAAGACATTTTCAACCGATTAGTGGTGTGGCGAGCTAGTACGCCAATCAGTCTTCAGCTCCTGGGTGACATGGAGCTAGATGATGAAACCCTTGCCCAGTTTCCCTTTCCCGATATGTTAGAGTATGTCGGATGCGTCGAAGCCTATGAGAAAGCGACTTTTTTGCATCTGCACCAGATCGCTGGCGCAGGTCGAATTCGCTGGATTACAGATCGAGCTTACCTGGATATGCTCATCACTCGAATTCTAACCTTGATCCGCAAGTTATCCAAGGGCGTTGGCCAATTAGCCATTCTGTGGCCCCTCTTCATTGCTGGACAAGAAACCCGCAAAGAAGAAGAACAACAATACGTTCGCAAGACCATGGAAGAGTTGAAACGCTTTGGCTTTAAGAATGTCGACAAGGGCCTTGAGCTACTTGAGGGGGTATGGTTCAAACGACGAGCCTTCCCTGAAGGCTGGACTGAGACATTGGATGAAATCCAATCGAACATTCTTCTACCTTAACAAGTCAGCACTGTCGAACAGACAGCCTCCATTCTTACGACTCCGTTGTTTGCATCCCGAGTAAATTTACTCATACCACTCATGAAGAACATACTAGTGACGATAATATAACAAAAGAAAATCTGTTTAATGTTTCATTCCAAGGTTTCGTAGCTAGGTATAAATACACCAGTCCCAAAGTTCAAAGGCAACATTGAATACTGTGTAAGATCCCACCACCCTCCTGTACTTTTAGGCATATATCTCCAAGGCTACCCTTTCCTATTCTAGCCCTAGGGCTGCTGTAGTTGATCCACATGCTCAAGGCAGCCGCCGGTAATCGGAGATCCGGAGCCAGACGGCACCAGCACTTCCTGTATCGGAATTGTGCATGATTTCCGCCCCTCTGCCAACCTCATTCCAACTTGAGGTTTCATTCAATGTTCAGATCCAACATTGCGTTTGCGTGGATGATCACAACATTCAAGCTTCAAGGTTACTATTGATATATATTATCTATATATTAGTAAGTGGTGCATGACCGCAAGATGTCAATCACAAGCTTGCCTTTAGAGCTATTGACTCATATCTGCGAGTATCTTGAGCCTCAGGATTGGGGCGCGTTCAGGATCACTTGCCGCCAAATACACGACAACACACTGGAGGCATATGCAACCCGATACTTCAAAACAATATCGCTTCTTCTCACCCGTGAAGGTCTTGATCGCCTGGAGCATATTGCAGCCTGCAATGAGACTCTTCGTGGCTCAGTTGAAGAAATTTGGATTATTCCGACCTTGTTGGAAAGCTGGACTCATTTGGACAAGGTAAGGTTTCCATCGGTGGACACAACGGCGCCTTTGGTTAGATGGGGACGCAATCCACCAATAGAAGAACCGGGTGCAATTCAGGCTGAGTTTGAGGCTCTATACTCTGTCTTCGAAGCTACACTGAAAGAACACCGTGCTATTCTCGAATCGGGACTCTTTAGTGCCCTTGAAAAATGCCTACCACGCCTTGAAAACGCCATTACTATTGGCTTACGGTTTTACGCAACAAATTTCCTCCTCGATATAGTAAAGCCCAGTGGCTTCACCTGCCTGGGCTTATGTGAATTGAAGAGCAAGTTTAATTACAACTTGAAAATTCTTCCAATGTTTCCTCAGAGATTCCCATTTATCCCTTACAATTTAGCATTCACACAACTGCTGAATGCTATAATCAAGTCCAGTCACGAGATTCAAGCGCTCCATACATGTGGCCTTTCCCATGGCGGCCATGACTCTTGCGGGATGACGTTGAAATCTTTCCAACTACCAGAGTCACAGTATCACTTACTGCTTCCACTATTAAAGGATCTGACAACTCTACATATGTGCATTCGCCTTAAAGATCACGAACAAGAAACATTCGACGAGAAGACATTCAAACGTCTTCTTAATGTTCTGGTCACAGTTGCACCGACGCTCAAAATCCTGACCTTTGCCCAATGGAGTCCCATAGAGGAATTATCTCCTCTCTACTTTGAGGATGTCTCTCAGAGAATCCAGTTTTCCCGACTAGAGGAACTTCATCTTCATTCCATCGAGGTAACGGTGAATAGCCTGGAAGGATTTCTACGAACGGCAGCCCCAACCTTGAAACGACTGACTCTGGAGTTAGTCAGTTTAGTGGATGGGATAAAATCACCTGAAAAGCCAGATCCAGGACCTCTGACTGAAGACAGTCGTAGTTGGGTCTTTTCATTATCTGCTGAAGTCAAAAATGACATGCAGGGGCTTTGGAAGCGCGTTTTTGAATCATGGGCACATCATCTCAAGCAGGCGCAATACGTCCAACTGTTCAACCTTGGCTACCGGGGAAGATATGTCAAGTTACAAGATCACTTGTATACGAAACGCGGGCAGCCGAATGCACAGCCTTCTCCAAGCTTCAATCCCTCAAGCTTCTATTTTGATGCCGAGAGGGCCACTATACCTTTCCAAGAGTGGATCACGCAGCTTCAGATAGAGATGTGGCATCCACAATTATTTGGAGGTCGCGTACTCCCAGGGACCAGCGGCATCAACGTACGCCAACTAGGCCTAGGAATCAGTAGGCAGGTTCCTGCGGTATGCATCTTCAACCCTCCTCAAAACGTACGATTGGAACCCGAAGAGGAAAACAGGCGAATTATGGCAGAACTCATTGAGTTGAGCAAGAGGCAGAGGCAAATTCGGCTTGAGCAAGAGGCAACGCGGTAATCCGAAGCTCTTTTATAAAGCAGAACAGGGCAGCGGGCTTGTTCCTGTTTAAGACAATCTGCAAACGCCGACGCGCTTATGCGACTCCAAACAACAAGCAGGTGCCAAGCGCGCGGTTGACAGAAGGAAACGACAGCACGTTTCCCTGAGAAGCCCAAGAAGAGATTAGTAGGGTCGTGTCATTTTGTAGAGAGTCCTTGTATTCAGTCGCCTGCCCAGGCGGCGTGTGACAGGTTGCCTTATGTATGAATTTGTTTAAAAAGCCGCCAAGATTTTGGACCGCAAGGAATATTGCTCTTTCTCTTTTTCTGCTTGTACTTACGGTGTATTTATGAAGAGATCTGACAGTTCGCACTTGAGCTGAACATTGCACTTGTGAACTACCCGGTCCTGAAAAACCATAGCTGCGGAAACCCCCCTGACAGTCTCATATATAGAATCCATTGCGTGACTGCTAGTGTAGTTCCAATGTTGGAATATTTGAAGGCTCAAGCCTTAAGTGGGGGCTTGGATTCAACCGGTTTTTGGTGCATTTAACAACCACGAATCAAAATCACCTCGAACCAGTTTTTTCCCCTTTGCAAAGTGTACTTTGCGCCATCTTTCTCTCCACTTTGGTGCGTCTCCACCGAAATCATGGAACCTTTCTCACCTCTTGAACCAAGGGCTGACATTCAGATCCTCTGGTCCCCACCGTTAACTCCATCTGAGTTTCCACTAAACAGGCTAGGCGCGGTCGGAGCCTTAAAATTTTCGAGCAAAAGAAAACATTTGTCCATCTCGCATTCATACGGACTAGACAGCTCCGGGTTCTGAGTCGAATTGCCTCGGAAACCGGATATTTTGGAAGTCCGCTTGGCTCTCTGTATTAATCCCTGGTCCATTTTTTTCTTGGTGACTATTTTCAAGGTCACGTAGGGATCAATTCATATCTTGAAACATAAGCTCTACCACAGGGAAACAAGCTCAGACGCAGGACAACAAGCAAAGACCTGCGAGTGATATCTCCTGAGTCCTGGATCGTCTAGAGCTTTGCCAAGATAGGTTACTGCTGTGGACTCCCTAATCTTCCCGCTCGGTGGGGTTAGCAGTTGTTCCTGACCGGGGACGCGAAACGGAGCTACCATATTACGGAGTATTCGGGGCCGAAAGCCAATTTGGGGAAATTTTCATCTTCCAAGCTCTTCGTGTTGTGCTTGATCTGCAACGCAAGGGTGACCCTGCAAAGACAATATTGTCCTATCTTTCCAATATTCAGCCGCTCGAGTTTTTAAATTTGTAACCTGGGTCATCGGAAAATCCCTTGATCCGCAAATATGGCGCAAGAGGACCTCGTGGTCGACGGTCGCGAAGACCTGCATATCGGTGGTGAGCGCGTTTCTAATGAAAACGAAGCCAAGGATGATGCGGCTTTGCTGGTAGGTGCTTGCAATTGCACATATCTCTCATCCTTTCTTGGAAAATCTGTAAACTAACGTGTATCGCAGCAAACCATGGGCTATAAGCCGGTAGGGATCAAGTCTATCTGATATACAACATTACGGTGTATATAGCGTGATCGGCGACTAATAAAACTGCTTTAAATCAGGTGCTTCACCGAACTTACACGCTCTTTGAGAACTTCTCAACCACTTTCGGTGTGTGCCTAGAATGAAGATCAAGATCGAGAACCCTTTCGCATGAAGTTTGTACTGATGCTTGATAGCTGCGCTTTACTTCGTCGGTGGTGTGCGCGTAACCTACAGTACCGGTATTGCGGCAGGTGGAAACCTGGCCTACTGGACTAGCTACTTGGTCACTTTAGTCTTCACTTTTATCACCGCGTCTGTCATTGCCGAGGTTTGCTCTGCTTCTCCCTCCGCGGGATCTATCTATCTGTGGGCCGCTGAAGCTGGTGGCCCCCGGTATGGTCGTTTGCTAGGATTTATTGTTGCATGGTGGAGTACCACGGCATGGACCACCTTCTGTGCCAGTAACACTCAAGCTGCTGCAAACTACATGCTTGCTGTGCGTTCAAGATGCTTTGACAATCCATAAGCCGGATCTGACATTTTACAGGAACTTACTGTGTTCAACGTCGACTTCCCTCAAGACACCGATAGTGTCAAGTTCCGCGCTGTGCAATGGGTCTGTACTGAGGTTTTCCTTGCCTTGGCTGCTCTCCTGAACTTCATGCCTCGTAAGCTCAACTCACTCCGCAAAGTTCATCATTATCACTGACGCATTTTTATCAGCCCGTTACTTCAGGTATGTCTTCTGGGTGTCATCTGGGTTTGTGATGTTGGACTTCTTCCTCAACCTTATATGGTTGCCCATTGGTGCTGCCAACACTTGGGGCTTCCGGACAACCCACGAGGCTTTCATGACAACTTACAACGGAACCGGTGCCCCCGAGGGCTGGAACTGGTGTCTTTCTTACCTGGCTACGGCCGGTATCCTGATCGGCTTCGATGCCTCTGGTCACGTTGCTGAAGAGACTAAGAACGCCTCGATCACCGCCGCCCGTGGCATTTTCTGGAGTACCGTCGTTAGTGGTATTGGCGGCCTGGCCACCATTATCTTGTTCTTGTTCTGTTCGGTGAGTATAAAGTTTACGATCAGTCAAACCCAGTATTTGCTAATCTTTTTATACATAGCCCACCGCCGACGTTCTCATGGGTTTCGGCTCCCCGCAGCCTTTTGTTCCCTTGTACGCGGTCGTCTTAGGCCAAGGTGGCCACATTTTCATGAACATCGTGTGCATTATCGCACTTTGGCTGGTAAGATCTGCTAATTGCCTGTTATTGTTATTGTTCTCAATTTCTAACGATCCATAGAACACTGCTATCGCTATCATTGCTGCCTCTCGTCTCGTCTTCGCTGTCGCCCGTGATGGTGTCCTCCCTTTCTCGGGATGGGTCTCCAAAATCCACGATGGTCAGCCTCGAAACGCTGTTATCGTAGTCTGGGGTGTTGCAGCTCTTATTTCCTGCACCATCCTGCCTTCGAATGTGGCTTTCACTTCCCTCGTTTCAGCTGCCGGTGTACCCAGTGCTGCTGCCTATGGTCTCATTTGTCTTGGACGCCTCTTCTGTACCCCTGACCGGTTCCCCAAACCACAGTGGAGTCTTGGCCGTTGGAGCAAGCCCTTCCAGTTTATTGGCGTCTTCTGGAACGGCTGGGTTGTGGCTGTTCTTTTCTCACCTTATGAGTGGCCTGTCACGGCGGCTAACTTGAACTGTTTGTATCTCCGGTTCGCTCCATAAATTACTGTACTTTGCAACTAACTTATTTCACAGACGCCCCCATCATCATGGCTTGTGTTACGATCATCGCCTTGGCCTGCTACTTCATCATGCCTGAGAGCGCTTGGCTCCCGAATGAGCGGATCACGCATTTCATCGACTCGAAGGGTGCCACTAACACGGTCGAGGAGGTCGACTCCTCGATCCAGGGCGAGCCAAATGCCGACCGGACGTGATATGACAGATATCCACCCGGTCCACCCTTCTCGTCTATGCCTCCTATCGCTTTCCCGGCTTGTGTTTTTTTTTCTCGCCACGCCGATTGCGGATAAAACTTTCTTGGCTAATCGTCTTAATTGACAACATCGTTGCAGTTTGCCATTTTTTGATCAATTACTGATCATTCTTCAGAATCCATGGGTACCGTGGCTATCTGAGGGCATTGCAGCACGATTGACGGGTGTTCGGGGCTTTGCTTAGGCAAGGCCTCGTTCTGAGACCTTACCGTTAGAACTTGATCTGGATAATACCAGCGAAAGGACATCATCTTGCTAGAATCAGACTGAAATCTCTTGCTTTTACTAGTATTTAGTCAATATATTTTGGATCACTTTTGTTGGACTTGAATTTGCACTCGTAATTGGTAGCTATACATGCATATCGGAATAGCTGGGACCAGAGCAAGAATATTGGTACCAGTTTTACCCCAAGCCTCCAAGGTTGTAGATTTAGCAGATTGAACTACATGTAAGTCCAAATCAGGAATTCTTCACATAAAATAGAGTCAAAACTAGTGATTAACATAACGGCTATATCAGGGCCAGAGAAGCGGGCAATGCGGGGAAACCACGGAATTCACGCCGACTCTATTAACAGCCGAGCCTCCCCCTCACCTGGGCACCTCTGCAGGACACTTTTATTTCAAGTCACATCCAGGTTCCCAAGCATCACTCTACTCATCCCAATACCTCGAAAATAAATCCCACAAAATGACCACCCAAGGCTCAAGACTCCAAGGCAAAGTTGCCATCGTGACTGGTAAGTAGTAGATCCAGCCGTGTACCCGCATTTCTTAAATGCCCGCTTTGCATCTCCCAACATTGATATCCCCGACTAACGTCTTCTCCACTGGCCTAAAGGAGGTGGCTCTGGATTCGGAGCCGCAATTGCCCGTCGCTTCGGCGAAGAAGGCGCAAAGGTCATCGTCGCTGATATCAACACCGAAGGAGGAGAAAAAGTAGCCGCGTTGAACCCCGCAAACCTGATCTTCCAACACGTGGATGTGACACAAGCCGAGAGCTGGACCGCTGTCGTTGAGCTTGCATTCTCCAAGTTCGGGCGATTGGACGTGCTGGTGAATAACGCGGGGACTACGTACCGGAACAAGGTTAGTTTGAGTTGATCAGGTTGAGTCGAGTGGAAATATTTGAGCAATCGAATGGGAGGCTGATTGTGGAACGTTATATCGTTAGCCCACGACTGAAGTCACTGAAGACGAATGGGAACGCGTTTTCAAGGTCAATGTCAAGAGCATCTATCTGGCCGGAACGATCGCCATCCCCCGTTTAATTGAGCAAGGACAGGGAGGCTCGGTGATCAATATCTCGTCTACTGGTGCGAGTCGGCCGCGACCGGGGTTGGTGTGGTATAATGCCTCTAAGGGGGCTGTTACGAATGTGAGTGCGGATTTTTGTCTTTTTTTGCTGTTTTGATTGTTTGGAAAAGCAGTGCTGATTTTCTTTCCGCCCCTTCTGCATAGGCTACTAAGGGTCTTGCAGCGGAGTTTGGTCCGCACAATATTCGAGTGAACAGTGTTGCGCCATTACTTTCTGGGACTGGCCTTTTCTCTATGTTTACTGGTATGGAAGATACTCCTGAGAACAGGGAGAAGTTTATTGGAAATGTGCCCCTGGGTCGTCTTACTGAGGCAGATGACATTGCCAATATGTGTTTGTACCTTGCTAGCGATGAGGGTCGCTTTATCAATGGTACAGAGATGGTTGTTGATGGTGGAAAGTGTATTTGATTGAAGATTGCATCCAGTCGTGGGTAATACCAAGGGATTGTCGTCGCACTTAATGATGGTGCTGGGGCCCTGTAGACACGCTGGGGCGACCAGTTCAACCGCATTCAAATGTTATCAAATAGTATATCAATTACGAAGCTCAAGATGTAACATTGTATTGGTTAAATGGATGAATTATTTCTTTTATTTTATCTTCTCACTTTTGGTTGACCAAGTATGTTCAGAATATGCCAACGTGAGATATACTAGATACGAATTGAGCGTCAGAACTAGTACCGGCGCACCTCCACGGCAGGCTGGTTATCAACCGCCTTCTCAATCTTCTCCAGCACCTCATCAGTGAGCTTGTCGACAAAAGCCAAGGCACGAATGTTCTCGCGCACCTGCTCAGGCCGCGAAGCACCAGTAATCATGGAAGAGATATTCGGGTTCTTCAGAATCCAAGCCAAGGACAGCTGAGCGGTGGTAATACCAAGGTCATCGGCAATGGGCTTGAGAGCAGCCGTTTGCTCCAGCTGTCTAGTCCATGCATCATTTCCAACAGTCTTGCGCAGACCCTGGATATATCCGTCCTCAGACTCCGCAATACGAGAGCCAGCTGGCGGCTCAGAAAGTCCATTGTACTTGCCAGTTAAGACACCACCCTTCAGAGGCGAGAAGGTCGTCAGACCCAGTCCGTGTGCCTCGTACAGCCAGCGGTACTCCTTCTCCACACGCTCGCGCGCAAGAAGGTTGTACTGGGGCTGCTCCACGACAGGACCGACCAGACGCAGCTTATCGGCGACGCGCCAGGCATCGGAAATCTCGCTGGCGGACCACTCTGATGTTCCCCAGTAGAAGGCCTTGCCGGTATCGAGAAGGTAGTTGAAGGCGCGAACGATCTCCTCCATCGGGGTGTCACGGTCGGGGCGGTGCGCGTAGACAATGTCCACGTATGGCAGATCCAGGCGCTGGAGGGACAAGTTCATGCCCTCGATAATGTGCTTGCGGGAGAGACCATTGTTGTTCAATGGCTTGTTGGGGTTGGCGCTGTTGGCCTTGGCGCCCCAGTAGATCTATATAAGAAATTAGTTAACTGCGCACAGTTTATGGTAGAAGCGAGATTGGGTTCTTACCTTTGTGGAGATAACCAGATCATTTTGCTTCCAGCCGAATTTCTTAATTGCTTCTCCGAGCACAATCTCGGACTGGCCGGCGGAGTAGGTCTCGGCGGTATCAAAGAAGTTGACACCGGCATCGTAGGCGACCTTCACGCAATCAAATGCAGTCTCTTTCCTCATTGTTAGTACATATGCGATTGGGGTGTCATTAAATGGTATTGCGTACCATTTCCGACGTGGCCACCATAAGTGAGCCAGCTGCCAAGGGAGATGACCGAAACCTTAAGACCTGTTCGGCCAAGGTTGCGGTATTGCATTTCAGGAAGAGCGTCAGACATGTTGAAGATATTTGAGAGGTTTTTTGAACGGCAAATTCACAAGTGAGGGGAAATCGGCCACTTAAGTATGTTTTTTTGGGCTTGCGGATAGTGGAGAAGAGCACGGGCTTCAAGGCGGGACTTGACGCCCATTTCCCTCATTGAGACGCCGATACAGAAGAATGTACAAGGAGGCTTAGATTGCTCCACTCGCAGGTTTCGACAGAACTCTGTTTGGTTGTGGATTTTGGCTAATCTCCTCAAGTGCTGCTTTGAAATCGATTCACTAGCTTATTTCGTCATTATCGTCATCAAGGCTGGAGATTGGGTCACTATTTCCCTGGTTAAAGCCGTGTTTTTTAAACAACATCCAATCATCAATTGAGAGACAGTAGTGCAATTAAATTCAGAGTTCCTTCTTCATCACAGCTCTTCTCATGTAAGATTTTAATTTTGACTTATTCAAAGGCCTCATCGGCATCCCGTGGGCCGTGGGGTAATCCAATGTACCGAGTGGGGGGTGGAGTTAAGCGGGGATAACAAGTGACAAGTCCACGGTTACGTGTCGGCTACTACTTTCCCTACAATTGAACATCTGACTCACCAGCCTTCCTTTTACCCAATTTTACTCTCAACTAATGACTCGGGACATAAGGAGAAAAAAATATGATTGAATCTGAAGATTTGTGGAATACAAGATCAAGAAGAATCTTAAGCCAAAAAATCAAATCTGGTCTCGAGTCAAGTTCCTAACCCTGGTGGACTCCGGAGTCCGGACATCGATCCGTACTAAGCTATTCACATCCAATAGCACTAGCACCAGGCTCGTCCGGATAGATAGGTAACTCAGTCGGATCAGCACACTTACAGTATGCCGTCTCACTAGGCACATCTGAACAGATATCCGCCGTCGCTGTAGCGCAGTACTCATCCGTACTAATGGAAGTGGTCATACCAGGCGGGCAAGACTGGTAAGGCATGCAGTAGCTTTCAAATTCAGACGTTCCCTCTCGCATGGTCATACTGTACCATTGATCCGTTGCGCAGGAACAAGAAACAGCTATTTTACAGGTAGAATTGTCAGTCATCAAGCAAACAATTATAAAATCACCCTGAGTCCCCCCCCCCCCCCGTATGAATGAGTGAAGATGAATCCTTACCACTAATCACAGTTGACGTTCCACCAGCAAGAATCCCGTTATAAAGCGTCTTTGTCGTATATGGAATCGCTCCATTCGAGCACTCCGTCGTGATCCACACTGCGTCCAGGGGGAAACAGGTTGATTGCTCCATGCAGTGGTCTGGATGCCAGACTGAAGGGAAGAAACCGTCATCACAGGCGATTGGGGGCTCTGGTTTGTGGCAGTAGGATACAGAGGTTCCCATCGTGCAGTCAGTTGTATGCAAGATCGTTGAGCCATCGGTGCAGCGGAGGCGTGCAGCTGCAGTCACACCTGGAGGACTGGCTTCGGTGACCACGGCGTTGGCTTGTTGGGGCTTATTAGGGAGGCCAGTCTCGCGGGGAGAAGCCATTGCAGTAACACAGAGGGAAAAGAAAGCAAACAGGTTCTGGAAAGACAACATTTCGATCGATTGGAGATGGTTGAGAACGCAAAATACCGGATCTTGGCAAAGGTGGGGGGACTCGAGAAGACGTGTCAGATGAGAGTGTTCAAATGCGATGTACTGATGACTTTTTTCCCTCGAGACTCTCTGTCGTTTTATACCACGTTCTTGTTGACTGTCACTTGTCAGATACCACAAATAAGTTGCCAGCTCACGACAGCTTTTCTAAACATGGCTGGAGAAATCCAACGTCGAAAGCATAGTAGCTGTAGCTCTGCATGACAAGATCATCAATCAGAGACACTGAAGCTACGATACGACGAAGCATCAGACACAACCACATGTAACCCATGAAGCATATATTCAAATTCCTGAGATGGTGTGGTAGACTCAAGTGCTCTTTTACCTTATAATCATAATAAAAATAGCAACAATAATACAATAAATAGAAATTCAAGACTCAGTCATCACCTGGGGAGATCAAAAGTCGTGAACTTTCTACTGTACGAATGGGCTCAGCATTTCACGCATCATCCCTGTTCAATGGTAGGATTTTGATTGATATCTAGGCACAGACACAGAACTATTGGTGGAAGATAAGTTCAAATTGATGATTGTTGTAGCTTGCGCCATCCATGTACTACGCTACTCATATCATTTTCCTACAGATAACGAGGCACGTTGCGACGCTGGATTCCCTGGCTCGTTGCTGTATGATATCAGCACATGGTATGGTATGAGCTATCTGGGTTTTTGTGCTCCAAATTCGAAGCGATGAGATCCATCAGCCATGGAGGGACCTCGGTGGTTGTTCTTGTACTGCGTCGAGTCATTATTGTGTCTCGTCTACCCTTCCACAATGGGTTACACAGTGGAAGAATTCCGCGGGCCTAACTTCAAATTTATTCATCGGCGCTGAGACAGCAGCTGGGGTGGCCTGAGATACATGTAGTTGGACATTCAATAGATGTTATGAAAAGCCAATGATTGTTGATGCGGTGCTCCCAAAATTTAGATTACATCCTAGGCTCCCAAGTATCAGGTTGTTTCAAGACAAATTCACTGTCGTTCAACCCTCCAGAAGGTTATCTTGGAGCTGGTCCCTTTTATGCCTCATAGCTTCACTGATAATAGCCTGAGCTCAGGAACCTTGGAAGACATCATCATGTTGTAGGTCGGAGATTACAGACAAGCCTATTTACAAACTCACGCGATAAATTCGCGGGTTGTTTATTCAATGCTGACCAGGACATGTTTGAATTTAATAAATGGCAAGAATGATAATACTAAATCACTAATAAAGATCACAGCTTCCAATGTGAAATAAATCATCCAATATGAGCAGTAAAAAACCATGTACACGAATGGAAGTCCTGGCCAAAGATCCAATGAGCCTGCAGAATCTGCAGTAGAGTCACGTCGGTAGTCCAAATGGAAACCACGCCCAGCGTAGACTCAATATGCCAATGCTCCAGACATTTTCTAGTAAGTGTCCCTCTTGTGCAGATGACCGTAGTGATGGGCATGCCTGCGGGCATGCTTTAAGCCGTGGTCACTGTTTTCGGAAGCTTCTGGGATACTGTCTCTTGCAACGTATGAAACCACAGTGGATGTCGCAGTAGCGGTTGTAGTGGTTGACGAAACGACTCGCGCCGATGCCGTGCTTGTGGAATACGGGACTCCATCCTCATCGATCAAAACAATAATCTCTTGTCGCAGATAGACAATCTTCTCCGTATAAGAATCAATGTCGATCTCTGTAGTGGGTGTTGGTGTCGGAGTGGAGCTGGTGGAGGTAACAGTGTTCGCTGCCGCAGCTTTAACATTAGCCCCAAATGAGAAATCTAGGGACAGAGATGGAATGGCGAGCGACGGGACAATTCCAGAGTACTCGGCTGATTTTGTCGTATCAGAAACTGCTGCAGTGGAGCTGGTCGCTATCTTTGTCGCATCCTTGGAAGTTGTTGTATCATCAGAAGTATCTGTGTCGTCGGGAGATGCGTAGGCCGGCCCCCATGTGATAGGAACATTGCCAGGCAGGCCATCAGCGTGAAGGTGGGTATTCTCATCCTCAAGCTCAGCAGGCAAATCAAAGAAGCATTGGCGCTGGTCGGCCTCGCTCTGAAGATCGAAGATCTCACAGTCGCTCACGATACCGGTTTCACTTGTGCAAGTGTCAACGGCCTGCTGCAGGATATCGTCATCCCAGCCGTACATGAAGTCGCCGTGGTACCCGTATCCAGTGGGATCCCCGTTTGCCAGCGCAAAGTACCCGTCCATGTCCTTGAAATAATATGTGTTCCAGATTGTCTCGTAGAATAGTGAGACCAGCTGCGTCTCATACCCCTCGGGACACGTTCCCGTCATCACTAGGTCGGGATACGCAACGTGGGACTTGTGGTCGGAGGAGTCGACATCCTTGCCATTCCAGCACGAAGGGAACATAAGCTCCAGACGAAGGCCATCGATGCAATTCTCGTCGAGATAGGTTTTGTTGGGCATAAAGTGACGTGTAAGAGAACCTTCGGCGGCTTTGTCGTAGTTCAGACAATTGAAACCCAAAGCCTTTTGGCGCAATGCCTTTTGAGACACCTGGGCACCAGACCAGAAGGATTTGGGTGGGTCGGGGACTGGCCAGGTGAAGTTTCGTTGGAATGGGTCCCCTGCCAACATGCGGAAATCACTCGGGAAGGCTGTGATGTTCTCTCCATACAGAAGGTAGTAACTAGCAGGGGATCAGCCAACGTGTCACCCAAATACCAAGAGACGACGGATTGATGTAAACTCACCTCAGCATGCCACCAACCTCCGGAACCACCTGTGCAGATCCATTTGTATGCATAAAGTACAATGGAGGAGTCCAATAGGCCGACATATCCTGCAAGACACCACAGGAGGTGCAGTTGGATTCTCGCAGACTGTCCATATCCGAGCTCATGCCAAAGTCTACCATAGATGGTTAGCAAGATTGTGTGAAATGCGATTATGTTTCTTTTTCAAGGCCAACTCACTACCAGCACCATGCACAGAGTGAACATGCGACGAGATTTCTCCAGGGTTAACAATAGGGTCCAGCCGGGCAAGACCAGTTCGCCCACGGCAAGGGAGACGCCAGAATGCATTAGCAAAAGCTGGGAAGACAGCAAGGCAAGCCACGAGGGCAGTTTTAAGCTGAATGTCCTGCATATCTTGAAAAGAATGATTCGAGCGGCGTCAACGCGCTCGACGATTGAAAAAAGAGTGACGTCTTCAAGAAGAAGATAAGAAAAAATTATAAGGTCAACGAGTCGCCAGGAGCACCGATTCAATCGGTATGCTGTCGCGGGGTATCGAATTGCACGATAAGATGTGTTAGTCGTGTAGTAGGTGGTGAGAGTATTGCTGTCATCGCATAAGTTAGTATGGAAAAGTGAAAAGAAGAAAAAAATAGATTCCCTGGGCCCCACGCGCCGTTTTGAAGAGGCGATGCTGTCGAGGGGCATGTCGTAGAATGGGATTCCAGACGTCCAATCAAGCGTCATTGAAAGGATCTTATTCGAGAGCTTGGGATATCAAAGTGGAGGCTCCCTTCGGCAATGAGGGAATCCCTTGCTTGCGGGGCTGGCGCCCTTGCTAAGGGTAGATGCCAGGCATACGTGCAGAAGGATAGATGGGGAAAAGATCCGGTCGGCATGTAGCTTACCGTTTGGTGTTCAAACGCGTTCCCAGTGACGTAAATAAATAACACGGTCTTGATGATGCTTTAGATCTACCAACATACGTCGTATTAGTGCATGTACTATAGAAGATCATCATCCCCACGGCATATAGACTGACCTGACCAAAATTTTCTCTTGCAAAGAGATCTTTAGCTTCCCCTTTCCAGAGGAGTAAAAGAATATACTGAATAACCAAACGAAGGACGAAAAGCCGCAATGGCAAGGAGCGAAAAGGATATCCGGGGATATCAAGGGAAATCACCAGAACGAAGGACGAAAAAGGACAGGACAGGACAAAACAAAAGCTCCAAGGGAAAATAGGGCCAAGCCACAAGATAAAGAAAATGAATCTAGGGCCCAAACGGCCGCTAAGGAATAAGTCTACAGGGCAGAAAGGGCAAAGGGCAGCCGCATTTCATAGTCCTGAAATGATAAAAGACCCGACCAATCCCTTGACAGGGCCGGATATTAAGTGGCCCCTCAAACCCCTCCACAGGGCCTCAAACCAGTGGATTCCGAACGGGAAAACGCAGACGATTGGGTTCATGGCCGTAAAATAAATGATTTCAATTGAAAGTGGAAAATGAGAAGTCCACCACGCGGGACGAAGTGCGGATCTCACGCGGAAACGGGCAAATGAAGATTAGAGTAGCAAACTAGTAAAAGTGGGAGGGACCTAGGAGGACCATGCTGATTTGGTCACACCATCGAGATAACATTTGAACATTTTGATCTGGGGGTTCTATTCTCGTTTGCAGTTGGCTACGGTGCTGTTGTTCCTGGCCCTAATCTTGTTAGTCCGTCTCGGGTTGCCCCGCTGTGGGCTCGGATTGGATTATTCGGGCGCATGGTGAAACGATGCCCAGATTAAGGAACGTGCTTTTCACGATATACTGGGATTTGGGTGGAGAGATACGAGATTTGATTTGGATGTTGTAACTTCATGAATTGCCGTATATTCTGCTGATTCTCGCTTGCAATATCTGGAAATTGCCGATATATATTGTGGCACTGTGGAAGAATGTTGCATATATCCATGGATCAAGGCACCAGTTGACACCAAGCAGGTTGATTGGTCGGGTCGCCTCAAGTGCTATTCTGGAATGCCGTCCTGATATTCAAACGTGATACCTTGCTAGGTACGTACCAGTTGACTATGGCTCTGCACGATCAGACACTGACAACATTTGAACCTTTGACAAACAAAGCTGGGAAAGAACTAAAGGATCACGCAGCCATTGTTTGATATTCCCGACCTCGTCAGCCGGAGTCTAACTTTGGAATCACTGCGGGGAATCCTTCGAAGCTAAGATCTACTCTATGACCGATAAGGACTCCTCCGACGAGCTTGACTGAGACTGAAACATAGAGAGGGTGGAGCTGTAAAGCTTGTTCCCCATTATTCAAAGTCGCCGCAATTCCAAGTCTCTTTGAATGAAATTCAGCTCAATGTTGTTCAGTGCCACAAATCCCGCTCAGGTTGCATTCCAAAGTTCAAAGTTCAAAGTTCAAAGTTTGAATGTTGTTGGTTACATCCATAGTAGAGTAGTAGATTGTACATCTAGATAAACGTCTATTCAAATGTTGCAAAAGGCATGGTACATATACAGGATATCAAATCAGCGAGAGGATCAGGCCTTGATCTCAGCCAGTGCCTTCCGCGCTCGGTCAACGGCCTCCCGTGCACGGTGATCTGTCAGATCCTCAATATCTTTACCACCGTCGCGGACTATTCCCCGCATGAGATCTTCGGTTTCGCGGAGAGAGGCTCGGCCCTCTTCGCGGACCTCCTCTTCCCAGAATTCACGCGCAGCAACCCATTTTTTCTGCTGACGGCGTAGAGAGTAGATGAGACCGACGGCACCAAGGGTACATGATTCGTACACGGAAGCAGTGGGAATAGAGAGATAGGTAAGGGCGGAGAGGGCGGAGGTGAGAGTTGTGGTGGAGATGCTGAAGAGCACCAGGCTCTGCGCAAGGGCTTGAAGAGAGGGAACAGTAGTAGTGAGCAACTTGGTGCGCATGTCAGGGATATGAGTTGGCCACGGAGGCGGAATAGGAGTAGATTGTGCAGCCGGGGAGTCTGGGTTTGGCTCAGGAGAAGTGGCGGGCTCAGGGTCGTCTAGCAGGCCAGCCTGCTGGTACTGGCCCGAGGACCAGATCGCTTCTCGCTCTGCGCGGCGTAGGAACCGCTTCTCCAGGATCTCGGATGTAATCATGCCCACATCGTCGACGCGCCAGAAAAGTTTCCACCATGCCAGGCCGCGCCACCTGGGACTGGCGAAGCCAGCCTCGAGGGAGCTGCGCAACTCTGAGTGTGCTCGCTCGGCCCATCTTACGACCCCGCGCTCGAGCTCGAATCGGACATTCTCTTGAGGGACTCCGACTGCTTGACCTTCAAGGGCCTTGGCATCCCGAGCGAGAACACCCTCGTCCGCAGCATCCAGTATGGACTCGATTAACGGGACCAACGCAGGATTCAATGTGTCTTCCTTTACCACTTGGGAAGTAGATGCCAGCCAATCTATAGTAGGTTGTACACCACTTCCAGTCCAACCTCGCTCGTACTCGGTGGCATTTTGCACTGATTCCCGAATACGATCCAGCGCTTTTGATGCGCGCTCAATATCCACAAAAGAGAGCCGGCTATTACCGGACTTCTCGTTGTCCACAGACAGCTCGATGGCACCACGTACAGATTCCACCTCATTCTTTAGGTCTGACTGGCCCATAAGAGAGCTGAATGCCAGTAGTCCATCCACGCCACTTCCACAAACGATACTTCGGTGTACTGGGTACCGCACAATGTTATTCCGGCCCGGGTGTGGTGTTTCAATAGTGACGGTAGGCACGAGGAAAGTGTCGGCATCGAGGGTTGTCCGAGTCGAGTTTGACCCGGAGCCAATAGCACTGATAAGAATCTCCAAGTTACCCTTCTTCAAGATAGACGATCGAACTGCAATCGTAGGGAACAGGTCATTGGGGATAGACTCTGAAATCTCGCCGTATCTGTTGTTACAATCCATCAGCATGCATGCTCGTATCTCCATACACATAATTGTTTCTCACCGAATCAGCAATCCTTGTGAGGCGTCGGAGTCGTAAGTCTCGAGAATATCCTCCCAGTCTTCGCGGGGACCCAAAGGATCGGCAAGAAGTAATCGAACGAGTTTCCGAGCAGAATCCACATTGTCGAGACCAAGAACTAAAGTGACACAAGAAGGGATCAGCAATGTCGTCCTGAGGATCCAGAGCAATGGCAGTCAATAGCATATCAACCCGAGATAACTCACCAGCAATTCGAATCAAGGGTTCTTCTGATTCCAATCCCCGCAAGGCAAGCTGCAACCGGCTCACGCTGACCTGCTCAATGGTCGCATCCTTTATCCCGCTCAAAGCGTCATGTAGCTCCTTGAATCGTGATGGAACGGTGGATATGGCGGTGGAAGTTATGATGGAGCGAGTAAAAGAGGTGGCGACCGGAGAGGCAAGGCGATCGCTACGGCGCGCAGGCGCAATCTTGTCAATGCTACTGGTAGCACGCGTCGAGAGTGTTCGCCGCCATGTTGAACACGATTGGCAGTAGATGACACCGGCGCTGTCCAGGGGGCGCGCAATGCTCCTTTGGAGCGTGCTGCGCAGTCTGGCAGGCATTTCAGTGTGCTGTGTACAAGGGCTTGGAAGCGCGTATCCTCGGCGTAACCGGGTGGTGAACGAAGGACTTGGTTTGGAAGTGAGGGCGGGCAATCGGGGCTTGGCAATGGGATCCACAGGCATTCCACGGATCAAAAGCTACGACTTTACAACACTTACTCTGTATACTTTGTTAAATTTACTGCTTTATTTTCTTAAAGATGGGAAGTGAACTGTGATAAGATTAGGCCATCATTACATGATATTCTTTTTCTCGCCTTGAAACCCCCCTATGCCGGCATCCAGCCCGGCTATAGCAGACTCCCTTGAGGAGCAACGCCAATAGTGGATTGGAGCCATCCTGCTGACTTTTTATCTGTTTATTTCATTCACATGGTAATAGTCAAGCAATGGGTAGGATCAAGCAGATAGGTAGGGTATCGTGTGTCGATCATGTCGTGGCAGAAGAGCGTGTGCGCTGGAGGGCAGGAAGAGGAAATGCATAGATCGTGTCATAATATCAATTCAACCAAATCCGCGGCCATCCTAGGCCTCCCGAGACTGGCGCTGGCGATTGCGACCAGATCCAGCAGACCTGAAAACCAGAAAAAATAAAAATTAGATCTATCATCAATATCGTCACCAAGGTCAAAAAACTTACATGCTGATTCGCCGAGCGACAGTTGCCAGCCCTGCATCGTTGGCAGCGTCGTTTTCCGCGCGCTCCATGGCTGCACGGCGGTTTTCTTCTGAGGTCTTGATGACCTCCTCCTGGCTAGGAGGCAGATGCTCGTTCTGGATATCGACCTTACGGGCATCTTCGAAGTTGTGGATGGCCTGCTTGATACCCTCCGCACCTAACATGAGCGTACCGGCCGGAAGACGGCCGCCAGCCGCTGTCTTCAGTTCACTAACACTCTCAGACTGCTCTCGGAGCACCTGGAAAACACGAGACAGACGACCAATCGCAAGAATCTTGTTCTTGATAGCTCGTCGCTTGAATTCGCTGGATTCGGTATCGACAGGCAAAGGAGGTGAGACGGGGCCTTCGGGGACTTCTTCGTGAATCGTCTCGGAGACTGGAGTTTCTTCCTCTTCCTCTTCCAATTCCTCCTTCGAGCAGGTGTTAAGAATAGCGATCAGCATATCGGTAATCTTCTCACCAACGAACGGCAGGGACCAGGTGAAAACGTCCATAAAGTTCGGCAACCAGTAAGGGTGCGGGGTGCAGTTGAACTGGCGAATATTCATGACGTTGTTCTCATACTTGAGCACAGCTGCCTTGTTGTTATAAACATCGAGGTAGTTTGGAGCACTGAAAATAGTCATCACACTAGGGAATCCGGTTGTCCGCGTCTTTCTGTACATGCGGTATCCGGCGTCCTGAGCCTCATGGGCTCGAATAATGGAAAGCAGGTTGTTCTTCTCCAAGAATGCGCATGCAGCAGGATAGGAGAAGAAATAAGAGCAACCACGAACGCTGTTATGGATAAAGAAATCACCTGTCTTTTCTTGGCCAAATTCTTCCAGAGGATCAGCCCAAAGGATATCACACATCAGACCATGAGTAGGGGGCTCGCGGAAACGATCAATCTATTATGAATTAGTTGTCGGAACTCAAGGTGGTATGGGGCCAAAAAAAGAACGTACGGCCTTGATATCCTCGAGGGTGTGAAGCTCCGGGCTGAGACCACCGTGAATACAGAGGAACTGCTTGTTCATGACCGCCGCCAGCGGCAGAGAACAGAACGACTCGATACATGCCTCGTAGAGACGCTCGCTATACTTGTGCTTACACTCCAACTTGAAGGTGAAGTAATCCGTCAGGTGGCGACATTCGTGGTTTCCGCGCAACAACCAGAGCGAATCTGGATACCAGATCTTCAACGCCCAGAGATACAAAACACACTGTTATGACCGGTTAGCATCGCGCAACAAAACACACTCCCTCTCGTGCAAATAGAAATTGAAGAAAACTCACCTCAACGCTGAAGTAACCACGGTCGACATAATCACCCAAAAACAAGTATCTTGTCTCCGACGGGTCACCGCCAACTTCAAAAAGCTTCATCAAATCGTAGTATTGTCCGTGGACGTCACCGCAGACAGTGATCGGAGCATCCATTTCCAACAAGTTCGGTTCCTGGCGCAAAACCTCTGTACCAGCGTGGATAATCCATAGCGCTTGCTCCTCGGTCAAACGGCCTTCACGGTACAGGTGCTGCTTCAGGTAGGCAAGGTTAGGCTTGGATGGATCATCGGGGGACCAAAACATGTCATCGGGAGGAGTGCTCAGGGCCGGCGCTTGGACCTCTGTTTCCTCATGCCAGATGTTAGTGATCAGATTGTGGACGAAGGCGACCGAGAAAAAGCGCTGTTTGTCAACATACCCTTGACCACTCGTTCCAGTGTGGACACTTGAGAGCCATCCTCCATCTGGTGCAGAGAAAAGTCGATTTCGGGAACCGGGGCCTTCTCCCTCACGGCTCGCGCAATATTCCGATCCATTTTGACTCTGATTGGGGGGAGTTTGTGGGAAATCGGGAAATCAGAGTAAGGGGCGGGAGAGGGGGGAGGGGATACCGCGCGGAGATGGTAGTGGCGGGGTGTGGGATTCGAGGCGGGTGTCGGGATGAAAGTCCCACAGAGGGCGAGAAAGATAGGATATGAAGGATCTCCCGTATATGACCCAGGCAAGGAATTTATTTATTTTCAAATAAAAACCAGTCGTGGGGGGGAGAATAAAGGGTCGCGTGTGGATTGAAGGAAGTTGCAGTTGGGAAAAAGAGAAACAAATTGGATAAGCGGGCTGGGCCTCTCTCTAGCTCTCTCTTCCTCTTCTCTCTCTCTCTTCAGCTTGACCCGCCCATATGAGGAATGTCAAATATACTTGAAAATGAAGAAAAATAAATTTACCACTGAGGTCCAGTGATCAACTGCTCCGCGCTTGTCACACATTCAGATTATATACAATAAACAATCAGCCTCACCATAGTTTACAAGTTCCGATTGACACCTCAGGCAGCGAACGTACCCTGAAATCCCCGACTCGACATTGCTTAACCTTGGATCTTCCTGCCCCGGATTCTGTTGGCAAGCTTTGAATAACAGAAAAGTCCGATTGGAAAACCTTGAAAGTGTTCAAGTCTGGCATCTCCCCACCCTGAAAAAAATAAAAATAAAAAATAAATCTGACCGCAACATTTGCACAAAGCATTACATCAATCTTCCTGCCCAATGTGCAATGGGCAAACATGCAATAATGCAGCTCACATGCGGCATGACTTTTGTTTGGAACTAATCCCGATCGGTCTTAGGGTCAGATTCCATGATCTGCGGGCAATCCAAGCATTCGCATTTGAGAACATGGATAGGGACAAAAATACTCTTGTGGGGCTCAAGTTGACCGCCAATCTCACTAGGTACTGAATATCACAATTTGTTGGGAAATACGGAAATCAAAGCTGGTGAAAAAAAAAAAAACTTCATGGCGTTGCAAGTTCAGACGTCTGGACATTTTTCTCTCTACGAGGACTCGTCAAAGATTCCAATATGTTCAAGCACATTCTGGAGGTTGAGTTGACAGGAGAGCACATTCAAACCGCCTGAGCATTGGAACCTTGGGAACTCGCTTATACTCGCGATGGCCAAGACCTGACTGGAGCGTCTTTTATTGATGGGTGGGACAAGCCAATGAGCCCATGTTCGCCCGAGGACACAGCTACTGTGGCATGGTACCTTGGAATCCTAGACAGCGTTGGTCTTGACTCTTGGTGCTAGATCTAGATCTCTCTGCCAATGACCCCTAATATGCAGGTACAGATATCATATGTACGGGGCGTACGTAACCAATCCTGGAATCTAGCCGACCTCCGACGTTCAGGGTTACAATGACACCACCGTGGTCGAATCAAGTCTCGAGGGTTGCATCTCCTCAGTGAGACACAGATGCCCAGACTGCACATCCGAGAGCGAAGAATGCTGATCGAAGAAGTATATTCCTAGACGCCAAAAGAACCTCGGCCCAGAAGGCTTGACAGACATCTGGAGACCCTCGTGGACCTATATACTGACTTGTCCAAGCTTGCTGCTGTGGGGTAGGTAAATTTCAATCCACGAGGCTTTCCTGCTTAATTTAATTCACAACGAGATGCTTCCCTCTCCCCAGATTTACGTCATTCTCATCTCTTTGTGGTCCATTTTGTTCATGAGGACCCAAGCATTCGTCAAACCATGCATCTACCAAGCCGATAAATGTGGCTTTACATTGATGTCAGTCTATGGTATGGCATTCGAGTACCTAAAGAGCTATCAACATTTCAGAGACTAAGTCTGGTTCTACTTTAGGCTATAGCTTGACCGAACTTACTCTCGCTGTCAATCAAACAACCTCTATCCCACCTCTGACTGCAGATCAGATCCCCGAGGTCATCTTCCATTGCGAGGATATCTACGGAAACATAACCGGGAATTCTTTCTGCGTAAATTCCTGTCTGCCTGCTCTGAGTTTGACTTGGGATGATGAGTGCCAATTAGCACCGGGACAACTTTGCCCCCCTGTAACAGGCACAGTCACGGTCACTGTTCCTCCTTCCAATCCTGCTCCATCGTGCTTTAAGCAATGTCAAACATGGTGCTTTGGAGCGACGTTCTCGGGGCTGAACACAGCTTCTCATTCCATTCCTACATCAGCGTGGATTTGAGAATGGCCAGAAGGAGAGGATTGTCATGGTTTATTAACTAAAGGCTGTATCAGAAGAAGCGTTGTGACTTTAAAAATGATTTGTCCAGATCTTCAATATTATTTCGAGGTCCGTATTTTAGGTATTAAAGCGTAACAATCTCCTTACTTCCCAGGAGAGAACCTGTACACAATTGAGTCAATAACCAGCACTGTTGGAGGTATTTGAAGACAGTCAGAGAGCCATCGGACTTTACCGTTGAGCTGGACTACCTAGGTGCAAGGATACTCTCTTTACATTTATCTTATATTTTCAGACAAAAAATAATAGCAAGTAGGTGTGCATGAATACTGCTAGCAATGAATGAATTCCTCGGGCCGCAGAAAAACCACGGCTTACACTTATATCTGCTAGAAACATCTGAAGCGCTAAGAGGGGGTGCCTGCTTAATCCATCGATCGGTAATCAAGGTCCACTGAACCGACTGAATAAATAATCAAAATCGTGCCATATCTGCTTCCCAGGCAATCAATCGCCTAACAAAGGGTTTTCCAAGTCTTATAGAAAAAGCCACCTGACAGGCGGCTCATCTTCAAAGTGCCAATTCGGAGCCTTGTATGTGGTAGAATAAAATATCCTACAGGATGCATTGGTCGTTGCGGACGCCGGGCTTGACATCACAGCCAGCGAAGCAGTAGGAGTTTCCGGTGATTGTTCCGAGGATGTCTGTGCAGTGGAACAGGGTCTGGGAGAGCTGAGCAACTGAGAGTGTGGGGATGGAGGTGGTGTCGTTGACGGCCGAGATGAGCTGAGCTTCGGTGTAGCCTATTATGAGAAGTTTGGAGTTAGTATGTCAAATGGTTGTGGCGCAGCATTTGAGTCGATCGATCTTGAGATTTCCATTTTAACTGATGGCCAGGGGTGTTCTTGTCTTACTGTAAGGGGCAGTGAGCAGCACCGAGCCGCACTTCAAGGACAGGTATTCGCAGTTGCTAGCCTGCTGAGCCTGGACTGCAGCAAGGAAGAGGCCGACAGAGAGGACGATTTTGCCGAACATTTCGATATTGGGTATCACGAAGGTGATGACTGAAGATCTAAACTCTTGTCTTTATTAAAGGGAAGCTTGGTCATTGTGTCCAGGTTGGAGGATAGACACGTATTTATATTTGCATTGAGGCGAATTTGAAGCCTAGAAAATCTTTTCCAGTGTCTTCTGATGTGTAGTTATTTGGTTCGTGGACAGCTGGAGGTCACCCGTGCCCAGTGGGGATCTCGGGGTTGGATGGCAATGTCGATGCTTTCTCAGTAGCTATGGAGCGGGTGAGACAGCCCTGGAAGCTACGATAATAAGCGCATACGAAGGTTAGTGGCGGTGATCAGGTTCAAGGCTCGGTGCTACCATTGATATCTCTAGTCTTGGAATACCAGTAAATTGGAACCAGCGTAACCCTCCTCTTGGCTCAACCGCTTCAAATGCTCAACATTTTCAACGTATAGCTAATTACTGAGGAAAACTTCCTTATGCTCGTCAGATGTTTCAATTCTTAAGCTTCAACCCCTGACTATACTGATTGATAGACCAGTTAAGCAGAGATGGGGAAAGGGTGTTCACAAAACTCAAAGAGAATGTTGTAGAAGAAACAAAGATGGGCTAATGTGCAACCGTCAAGGTCCTACTCATATAGATTTTATCCCCCGATGGATCGCAGGTTGTCAAAGTAGTATTATTATACCAACTTGTATTCCGATCGCAAGTTAATTTGGCAAACGTGTCTCACTTAAGAATCATATACTTTATTTTAGTATTCGGGGTATGGTTACAAGCGCAGGTGAACATTGATGGGTGTTAACGTTGGCACTCTCCACGCCGACCTCACTCGTGGAAATTCCTCTCCATTTTCCTTTGCCCGAAGATTGAAGAAAAACATGAAGTGGGAAAATCAAAATCATAAGAATTGACGCTTGCTAAAAGATTTTTTTTTTTGCTACTCATCATCATGAACTTAATATAGGGGCTCTGTTTTAATTTTGGGCTCAGGCGAATCCTGCGGTCTCCTCGCCCAGATCCTCCTCCTACAAACTTTCGTCAGTCTCAAACTCAAGAGCATTTCCGTCGGATGCAACTTACGCCCTGTGATAGCAGTGATTCCGTGGGTTCACTAGTTCCTTCCGTATTTCTGCCGCATAAACAAGGACTTCCTCCATCGACCAGGGCGCCGGGTGCCCGTACCTTGTCAACAACCACATACAATACCCTTCCATCCCTTCCATCCAATGATGGAAATTGATCGCACCGGCTTCTTTGAGCAGTTTATCTCGTGGCCAGGGACCGATTGGCAGTTTATAATCCTTGACCTTGACATCTGTAAATCCGGCCTTCTCAATTGATTCCTGCATCGTGTACATGGTTCCATATCTTCGGCCAGCTTTTTCAGCAGCCCTAGTGAGATTTTGGCCCCAGGTTCGGAGAACACTATCCTCGGCCATGCTGTTGTCATCGCATTCTATGACGGCAGACATTTCTAGTTGCTCAATCCAGCCGCCTGGTGCTGAGTGACTGAGCACGAGAATGTTAGTGCGAGGTGCTCGGTTGGGAGCTGATGTTTAGATGGTGGGAGAGAGAGAACATACTCGTAGCATTGCTTATATACGCGGTCAGTTTCTTCAGGAGTAAACGCACAGTCGAGTAGTCGGAGATGGATTAAATCAAAGGGTTCGCGCCAGGTCCAGTCTTGAAGGATGTCGTCGACCTCCAGAATGCAGTTGGGAGGTATCCAAGTCTGTGGAGGTGGAAAAAGGTCCACACCACGGACCGTAGCTATAATCGTTAGAATTTCCATCTATTTTTAGGGGCATATTGGGATGCTTACTATCTCTAAATATTGACAGATCGGCAACATCGCTGATCTGGGGTTAGAGTTTGGGAGTCATGGCATTGTGGGGTTGTTGAACATACATAGCCCAAGAGCCTTTGCCAGTTCCAATGTCAAGGATATTCTGTATTTGAGTCAGAGCGATGGTCTTGAAGGGAGTGTTGATGCAATGATTACCTTTGCGCTATTGACGGGTGCATGAAAAAAGGGGTTCTTTAGCTGGGAATCTAACGTTATGAAGAGCAAGTGACTGTCAAAGTTAGGAAAGTGGACAGGTCTTTTCTCGGAGGACACACCTTGATTCATAAGCATCAAACATCTTTTCATCGGCAGGAACACTGGAAATAATTAGCATATGAAGATTTTGTTCACTGTAGTGATCCCTTACTGGACGCCGCTTGCACGGAGAGTTTGGTATCTGTAGGCTTGTCAGCATGGACGACCCGAATGAGTTATTAGATTGAAAAGCAGAATCAAGTACCTCCGGCCATTTTCTATTACGCCTTTATAGATATCTGGCCCAATAGACGTTGTTTCGCTGCAGTCAAGTCAGTTTATTGGTTTTTCCCCCTTGGAATCTCGTGGCATTTTTCAGAAGAGCATTTGACGTACGATTCCCAGTCATCAATGGCGCGTTCATCAGTAGCCAGACATAGATTTGGGTCCTATCAAAATGAGGATCAACAATTGTGACAAGCTATGGAGGCAAAGCTAGCCGACCAACCGGGGTAATTCTAGGGTCCATGGCCACGGAATGGACAACGCCCAACGCTTTTCGAAGGAAATAGTTGACAAAATAGCAAATAAGGAATTGGGGAAATGTGGCTCTCAAGTTCAATGCATGAAATGCTAGAGACCCTGAGGATTTAATAGAGAAAGGATCAAAGAAAAAAGAAAAACTCAGAGCGGGTAGTGGAGATCGAAGTCAAACACATGGTCTGCGGGGCCCGTTGAATCCACTTTCTAGTAGCGGGTGTGGTTTTCCAGCTTCAAGAGACTCGCGGATTCTTTATCCAGAGAATTCATTGGGACAAGGGATTTTCTGGGTATTTATGGAGATTCTAATCAACTCTGAGGACCTGTCTGGATCTTCCACAGGCCCAGTATTTTTTTTTTCTGATTTTTCCCTTCATTTTTTTCACGGGGAGAACGGTCTTGTTGGATAAAGTGGATTTTAATACCGACCACTTATCGATCAGGAAGCTTGTGCCAATTTCGAGGATTCTGAACTTCATTGGCCCACACACATGCAGGACGATACAGCTATTTCTAGTTCGACATGGTAATATTCTTTGTTCTCCAAGTGGGACCAATGTACATGAACGAGTAGGGTTAGACGACGCCTCATGAGGCTATACATAGCCGAGAGAGAGGCAGTCACTGGTCCAGGATCGTTGTGTACATATGATGTACATCCTGCTAGTCCAGGTTGATTTAGCTTGTTCAATTTTTTCATCCACAGCTCCCGCCCTCGCAGCCAGAGCGCCTAAGGTTGAAAGTGGATATCTCTTTGTGCGCATTGTTTGTTCTTTTTTTGGGGCTGTTCCGGGGCTGTTATGGGAGGGGTTTTTTCCACCCCTTGGAAACCAGGTTTTTCGAGCATGAACTCATATGCACATGATTCCTTGAAGGTAAAATCAGGTCCCCTATTGGCCTTCCCCTCGTAGGATGGAACTAAGCCATAAAAAGCAAGGCTCGATAAGAATTGCCGTTGAGAATCACTTTTGGAATCTGGTGCAGGACGTGGAACTCTCCGCATCGACTCGCAGTTCCGGATCCGCACGGTTAATCCCGTGAAAAAAAACGGTACGGACCTTGGCGAATCATGCGAAAAAAGCTTGGAATCAACTGAGAAGAAACTGTGAATAAAAAGAAGAAAAAGAAAAAGACAAAATAACCCATCCATTCATATCAAGCAAGCTCGTTTAGGTAGTCTAGTTTCCGATCAGGTTGACAAATAAGCTCAGTTTAGGAAGGTCAAAGGCCGCTTCTCCGCATCATTCACCGCATTGTGTAATCCAAGATCATAATCATCCCCACTTTCCAACTCCTCACCCCATCCACCATGTACGATTCCTACCGTAAGTCCTCTTGCTTTTCGACTTTCAAGTTTGCTCTCGTTTTTGCGCCATCTAATATCACAAACTTAGGCCCCCACCTCCTGCTCGCACAGGTACCCCTCACCGTCTCCCCATTCATCAACCTTCCTACCTCGGTCACACTCCCCTACACCTACAAGTCAGTCACATCAACACTCCCTCCCTCCGTGACAGTCGATCCAAACAATCCCGATGTCAAGGCCCGCTACGTTGTCTCTCCCAGCGGTGAACATGCTGCACACCCAGACGAGATCCTCGCCGCGTGTCAATCCCTGGATCAACATCTGAAGAAAACACGGAGCGACGCCGAAACAGCCATCAAAACATGGGAGACATCTATTCAGCAACGGGAACTAGCAGAGAAGCGCCGCGTCGCACCTGGATGGCTGGACCGCAATGAGAAACTTTTGCAGCCTAGCCAGGCGGGCGGGTCGCCTGACGCCAAAGCCAACCCTGGGAGCTTGCTAGATAGCGCTGAAGCCGATCAGGGATCTTCCAATATACCTTCCATTGGGCCACAGGATCAGGGAGAGGAGCTGGATAGGGCATTTGGTGGGCTGGGCGTGAAATGAGTTGAACAAGTACTTTTGCAAGTCCCACCGGTCTACCTTGCAGCGGTGGCTTTGCCGGAAGGTCCTACCTGATTATGCAGACATGCATGGATCAACATATGATCTGTCAGAGGGTATCTGCTTTTCTGGAACTCAACTGTACTCCGTCGGTCCTAATTATTCCACAAGAATCTTGATGGGATACCTATCAGCAGGCCACACACTTCAAAGATTTCATATAACGAGCTGTACGTTAAGCTGAAAATCTACTTTGGGATGGAGCGCACCAGATCAAAGTTTGGAACTACTTGGCATCCCAATTGAATGGCCGTCTTGTTTTGTTGAGAGCTCGCTATCGCTCTACTTTGGGGAAACAGAGGGAGGATGTCCAACCTTGAGCTACCGAGCTTCGGAGGTTCGAGTGTGGATGCCATGGGATGAAAAGATGGAAATTTGGAATGTAGGGGGTCTTTTACTCTGTGTATTTCACATTCCAACCTTTAAGTCTTGTTCTGCCTGAGCTCTTTTTGAACAGAGCCATCTCATCTAGCCTCAAAAGCCCACCATACATTCGGGAGCATTTCAGACCCCCACCATCTCGCTGGGAATCATTGATGGCAATGATTTGTTTGCCACCATTGGAAACAAATGATTCAAGAAACCTTCCAAGGTTCCAAGGTTGGAAGCGAATATGTATACGATGAAGTTTCTCTGTTGAAAATAATTACCTCTAGCAGATCCCGCTTGGTTAGTAAACTCAGTCTGGAAACTTCAAGTTGGTTTTCAATCGAATCCAAGTACCTATACAGGCCCAGTGCTTCGTGTTTAGCATACTAGCCAACCTTTCAAGAAGGTTGCAGGTCAATGTAACTTGTACATAAAATAGGTATCAGGTAAGTGATAAGGGGATCCACAGCGCCGGACATCTGAAGGTAGATCCAAGCAGTATGCATATCTACTTGCACTATAGTAGCACCTGGGCGGGTCAGGACCTCGGGAACATCCCGGTAGGTAGGTGGTTGTACCTCAAGTCAAAATCCAACATTTGAAAGTTGGAAACCATCAAGCCTAGGTACGTCCTGGGCATCTTTCCGCTGTGGGTTCTTTTGAATGTATGCGATAATCGCCACTTGAGAAATGGGATCCATTGAGTTTTGGCTTAAGCACATAACATCTCGTTGTATATTCAAGGGCAATGTTGAAAGTTGAGATGGTGGACGATATCCGGCATTGGATGTTGGTATATATCGCGGCATGCAGACGAGGCAAAAGAAAAGTCGTTTCAATGTTATGCATGGATCAAAGCATGTCAAGCTCTGTAGAGGAACAGTACAGGAATTTTGGAGATTTTGTCTGTAAAAGACTCAGCCATAGAAACAAAACGGTATAAATTAAAGGCAGTTTCAAGGCCAGCTCCTGAAAGCAGCTACCATAGGTATGAACCGTACCGCGGAACAAAGCCCCTCCGCCCCAGAGCTCCCGCAACTTTTCACCACGCTGACCTCCGACCAACCCAAAAAACCACGCGCAACCACCATTCTCCTCCTCTAACGCCTCCAAAAACCCAAGGAAAATACCCTATAACCACTCGAAATGGAACCCCTTGCTACTGCCCCCGAGGCATCCTCTTTTGTGCCCATTGCGGAGCACCAGTCTCGTACTCCGAGCTCTTTCTACTCCGGACCACCAGTACTGCATTACCACAGCCAGCGATGCAAGGTCGTGGTTCTTGAGAGCGACCTGCTCGCCAACCCGGCCCTGAATGCCCTGCGCGGCCAGAACGCGACAGCAAACGGAAGTGTTGCGCAAACCGACGAGGACGGAGAGAGCAGCGAGGTTGCCATTGAGAATGTGGACGTATGGGTGGGATCCGAGTGAGTCTCATTTTGCCCCTACAACCTACTTACATGGAATTGGATCCAGCTAACCAAATATACCATCAGGAAATTCGTCCTATACTCACCCAGTGCCTCAGCCGGAATCTCAATTCCCTACCCCTCCATCTCCCTGCACGCCATCCAGCGCCTGATTGTCCCAGGCTCCTCCACCGAAGTCCAAGGTCTCTACATGCAAATCGCGATCCCCACCGCTCCCTCTGCAGACGACGAAGAAGACTGCCTAATCTTGACCGTTGTACCGCCCACCGAAACACCCGCTGCTCCATCTACAGATACACCTACAGAGCTAGATACCTCCGACGAAACAGAATCACAAACACAACAGCTCTACGACGCTGTCTCCGCCTGCTCAAACCTGCACCCCGATCCCGTGGAACCAGGTGATGAGGACGAAGACGAGGAAGAGGGCAAGTTCCTTTCTGCTGATGAGGACGGACTTTACCAGCTTGGTGCTGGCAATGGAGATCTGCCCCCGCCTGTAGCTGGAAGCTCTGGGTGGATTACGGCAGAGAATATGAACGAGTTCTTTGACGAGGAGGGCAATTGGATTGCTGGTGGTGAGCCGCCTTCTTTCCCGCTTGGCCCTGGAGCTGGAACTGTGCGTGAGCGGGAAGAGGAGAATGGGGCTGAAGAGGATGGAGATGAGATGAAGTGGCGCCGTACTGAATAAAGATTTGAATAAAGTGCACACGCTATTTGACTTTCATGATAAGTGATAAAATATTCTGGAAACGGACCTTGGTACATGAACTTTAGCTCGAATTGAGATATACTACACTTAAAAGAATGCACGTTTAATCAATAGAGATTATGCTTATAATTACTACTAACTAGACCGATGGATATAAAAACAGGATGCAAATGCGCATCAAAAAGTGAGGAGCTGAAAAGAAGAAGAAAGACAAATGCTCCAGGCGAGAAGAAAGGTATAAGGCTTTTGAGCACAGATCAAATCAAAAAAAGAAGACTTGAAAAAAACGACGCCAATGATTTCCCAAAAAGAGGGAAAAGGAAGAAGAGAAAATAAAAATAAAAGTAAAAGGTATCAAAACGAAACTACTCTCTCAAAAAACCATCACCATCGTACAAGCTGCCTGGAGTCCCAATTCCCAGACCAAGTCTCTTTCCCGTCGGAGTAATCAGACCGCGGCGCGCAGCAGAATTAGGCGTCGGCGGAGCTCGTTGGCTAGGCACACGATACGGCGAGTGCCCATTTTTCGAAAGCGATCTTGGGATACTATTGTGCAAACGTGTGGGCGAGGAATTAGTATCAGAGAACACATAGTCTCCGTCGAGGTGCGCAGCGGAAGGCTTAGGAGGCGAGCCACTCCGATTAGCATCCTCCCAAATAGTGACGCGGTCCTTGACCGTTCCGCTGCGTTGGCGGCTCTTGAAAGCCGCAGTATCGGCGAGTATTGAAGGGCCAATCAGACCAAGGGAGGAGCCGTTTGAATCACGATTGCGCGTTGCGTCGGTGTTTGTGCGAAACAGGGAGTCGGTGGATCGCCGCCAGTCGCTACCTTGGGTGCCGGTTATTAGAGGTAGACCGGTTGGCGAGCCGACGCCCATGAGCGGGAGGGGTTCCATGGGCTTTGGAGTTGAGTTGCTGCGGGCACTGCGGCCCGGTTGGGTGCGTGGGCCTTTGAGGGGTGTGCGGCGGGGGCTGCCGGTGGAAAAGTGGTTCTCGTATGAAGGGGAGGGAGCCTCTTCGGGGATAGCCCAGACACTTAGATTATGCTCAGGAGAGGGGGTATGTGTGAGGGTACCTCCATCTGTAGGAAGGGAAGTGAAGAGTTCAGGCAAGTCGCGATCCTTGCTGAATAGATTTGCGGAGGTTAAGAGTTGGTTTTGGTCCTTGTTTGGGGGGCTCTTGTTGGTTACAGACGCGGGCTCTTCGGCCAGGGGTCCTAATGTGCTGTGGGCAGGCTTGTTTCGGCGACTGGTCCGCTTTGAGAGAGGAGATGGAGAGGTTGTGGCTGCGGGGGGAGGTAGAGAAGGTAGGTTCTTGAAGTTGCCGTTGATGGCACTTTCGCGTAGATCCAATTCTTCCATTGCGTCGAGGTCCTCTGGCTCTTCCTCTACGGTTGGAGAGAATGCGGGCCCACCGAAGGTCATGGGTGGGTGGATTGAGATTCGCACGCAGTTCTGGCGTCTGTGACCCTTTCGCTGGGAGTTGGAGCTTTTCAGTGCGGATGGCAGAGGTTGACCACGGAGAGAAAGACTGGATCGCTGCATTGGGCTCTGCGGCATCGAGCCAACTGTCTGCCCTGGAGAACCGATAGAGAAGAGAGTGCCATTGGATTGAGGTGAGCCTCCGTAGAATGGATCGTTGTCGTAATGCTCGCCTTCCCAAACGGCTGGTTGTTGGAACTGGCCGTATTGTGGTACGTTGTATTGTGGCACAAAAGACATGGACGAGCTCGAATGCCGCCAGTTAATCACAGGTCCAGCTTGGTGGCCGTTCATTGAAACGGGCGTTCCAGCTCGTATCGATGGGTGTCTTGATGGGCCATTGGAAGATATCGAATCATGCCTCCGTGGAATTGGAGTGAAGCTGAACCGATTTTCACTAGCAGTGCTTGGGTTTCGAGAGGTGGTCGTCAAGCTGCGCCGGGGAGATGATATGGAATCCATAATTGATGATCGCTTGCGTCCTTCGGCGGTAGAAGAGGAACGAACGGGGAAGTTATGCAGAGGGGGCATTGAAGTATTAGCTGCGATGAAGCTTCTCCGACCGTTCTTAACTCCAACATCACTCGCGCTGAAGGGCACAGATGTAGCGCCAGATGGGAAAATTGGGGAAGTCAGCTCGGTATCAAGGGATCTTGGACCCTGTCGAGTATCCTCCAGAATGGAGCTGTTTGTCGTGTCTAGACTCATAGAAGATAAGCGCATAATTGAGTCGTTTCTTAAATAGCTCATTCTGTCTGGTTGAAAGGCAGTTGGAGGTGGCGGCGGAATAGGCCTCTCCGGGACTATCCCAGGTGTTTGGCTAGTAAGGCTTGTTCCTCGAACTCGCGACGGCGATTCTTCAAAGATTCTAGGGGGAGGATCAAACATCTCTTGGGAAGTCCGACTTTCCACGACAGGGAACAGACCTGATCGGTCTTTTTGTGAGGGTAGTGGCCAGGCGGGCGACACTGGACGCATTCCCAGATGGAAGCCAGGCTGCTCTTCTTGGTTTAAATCCGGCGTTTGACGAGGGGTTCGTTCTGTTGGTAATTCGAGGATCCCTTCTACAGCCGAGAGAGGGATATCGTCTCTTGATTGAGAGGCCCTGGGGGGACTATTGTGAACGACCGTCTCAGCCACAGTTGCCATTGAACTCATGCGACTATGTTTCTGCGAAGACCTGGATAGCCTTTTTGATCGGGATCGTGAAAGTGAATGGCGAAGTGATCGTGCTTTCTCCATGAGTGGGAATGATGAATCAGATCCATTTTTTGGTCGTAGGAGATGCTCGCGCGAGTTTGCTTGACCCCATTCGTTTGGTTTCCCATAGGGGAGGTTGTGCGCTCTCAGAGCACGTCCTTCTTCTCGAGATAGCTCAGTCAACGTATCCCCAGTAAAGCCAACACTATGCCTATACTCTCCCCTGAGGCCAAGTACTCTGAGAGCATGGCGTTCTTTGCGGACTCTGACCCAGACCACAATTGCAACCGCAGAGAAGACGACGAAGATGGCCGCGCCCGAGGCGGCGATGGCTACCTCCGTGCCCAGGCTGAGCATGGCCGCCTCGTTGGCGTATTACCGGCCGTGGTGACGAGATTTGATGCGCGATTCGGGAGATCGTTGTTGATTTGATCATTCGTCAGTTCTCCTCTGTCGTATGTAACAGATCCGTTTCTTGAAGCTGAATATCTTTCGATGCGTTGGATTACTTTGTCAAACGTGTTATGGCCTAAGAACCGCACGGTGGTATCTCGAGGAGAAACAAAGAAACAAACATGGGAAGCAAGCGCCATAACTGACATTCCAACTTGCTGTTTCGTTTGTTACAGGAACATTGATGGTCGCCCAAGAATGTGGCCGCATCACCACCGGTGCTGTGAGGAATGTTGGTCGCCATACTGCCCGACCCCTTTCTTGTGGGCATCGAATAACTTCCGACGAATTACATAGTAAATATGGTTCGTTAGCACGTCCGTGCGACAGGGCAAGATCTGATTGGAATGAATCGCATCCTGATATTCTGTCTAAGTGATCAAGATCAGCGTGGTCAACAAATACTCAGGAATGACCTGTCACTGGGTCGATGTCCGATGCTGGTCTTGGCTTCTAGCACAAAAACACTATGTGCGCGAACACCTGGGCAGGCCTGGATTAGAAACATCTAAAGATTTCAAATCTGTGACTTCCATTATCCGCGATCATCTAACATCGTATTCACTCTGCGTGTGACGTTACTCGATGTCCCAGGGAACCTGGCTTCTGAGAAGCGGTGGGGTGCCTTTTGTTTGCGGGTGTGCTCATGATTGATAGATTAGCAACATCGTTTCTGTAAGAGTGTATTCATTATTGCAACAACAGTATCTATGACTGTCAATTATCTTGTCTGAACGATTGTGCCTGATTTGGCGTGGAGCCACGAGTTGTTTGAGGACGGCGGGCGCGGAAGTCGTGGCGCGCAACGGCGGTCTCGAGTCCGACTCCCGACCTTGGAACAACAGCGGCCAACTGAGGGCCCAGCTCCCGGGCTTGACAGTCATCTGCAAGAACAGCGTGGATTCGGGCTCGAAATGAACCCAGTACAGCCAAAATGGGCTGATACAAGCTCCTTATTTTCGATGGTCCAAATATCGGAATTCAGACCATCGCTCATGGAACTGCGATACCACGCGCCACCTTGAACATGGGTTGCCGCATAAGGCATACCCCGGGCGCCGGTCAATGTGAGAATATGAATTAACCACAACCACCAGGACAGACGGAGAATGACGATTATTCGAAAACATGAAGCAAGGGAGCACTAAAAGTCACTTGAAAGCCCAAAAAATCGAGAATTTCCTCATGACGTATGTCTCTTGGCCGTTGCAAATTCACTCCCTATTTCACAGCACCGGAACAGCGCCATAGCGCCCATCATTGCGCATAGGCCCTCTGTCGAACCTCCAGTGGCCGGCGACACCCGTGCTCAAGGGCCTTAAAGCTAGCCACGAAAATCCACATCAGACCGCCGTCAGCCCCGGCTTGTAGCGGCATAATCATCATCAATAATAGAGAGAAAGCTTTGAGTCGTCTTGTCTGAGTCGACAACTCAATCTTCGACAATACTAGGGCCAGAACGCCATCGTCCCTGTTCGGGGGGACTTTTCGGAGAGAAGGACTGGACAAAGTTAACAGGAGAAATTGGTAGCCTCCTCAAGTTCATAGTCGGAATAGTCGGTGGTCCTCAACCATGTTTTTTTTTTTTTAGGTTTGAATGGCCGGGGGCGGAACTGGATCGACCGTCAAATGTCGGGAGATCGGGCTTTTGTGGTTTTCTGGTTAGCAAAGATAGGGCCGTTTTTTGGGCTTCCAGTGAAAGTAGGGTCTCGGGGAAGTTGGAACTCCACATACACACGTGGTTTTCATGATCGACAGCGTCAAACTTGCCAAAACATAAGAGATAGGAAGACTACGGAACATGTGCTGATGTTCGGGAGAAGCGTTTGGGCTCCGAGATGGTCCATGGTCTTAGTCATTGTGTGAAAGTACCATATACGAACTGGAATTTTGAATTTCATGGCATTTCGAAAAGAGGCTCATTCATTTAATATAGGCGCGATAACCTTACCTTGTACGTACTCGTTCTGGTGTTTTCATCTTTGTCTTGAAGAACCCGAGGGTTTCCAGGGTTAACAGATGACAACTTTTGGAAGAGGGGTCTTGTATAGGAGAATCGGAGAATTTAACATGAAACTCTCTACGCTTCTATGCACATTGCTCTTTATTAATGAGTCGAATACCTAGCAAGCCCCTTGACTAGCTTAAAATAGAAATGAGCTTACGGACATCTGGAGGCTTAAGCCACTGCAGCATAACTGTCGATCATCGTGCTGATGAAATGACGACATTCAACACAGAAGCCACAATACCTTACCAACAGGTATAAACCTGAAATCAACGGAATTCGCATCGATCACACACCGACAATAGCGGGCATGTGCAAGTTAAGTAGATAGCGGTGACCGGAAGATCGAATGAGGCCCAGTGATCGGATCACGGGCCCCCCGCATTATCTCGGATGACCACGCTCGGATCTAAGTCAGTTGATTGGAATCTACCCGGCAGGTAAGCTCGGGATTTTGTTTTAAGAGAGCATTCGTCTTCTCAAGTCCTTTATTTGCAAGCTTTGTCAATAGTCTAAATTTACCATACAAAGGCAGTGGCGGGCTCTCTCTGTCTTCCCAAGGTTCATTGTTCGTAACTGAGATTTTAGGTTTCACCCTCAAAGATCAAAGAATACCACGGCGTGAATACTGCGAACAAGCCGACATTTCTTTCACCAAGCAAATTCAATGGATCCTATTGTTTTATACGACTCGCTTGCAAGGACTTCAACTAGAAACCACTTTTCAAGCTCTTGCACTATAAAATAATGCTTTGCGCCGCAACCTCACCATCAACCTTCCAACAACTTTACAGACAACCCCATCAATCATACTATCTCAGACAACCACAGCAATAATGTACTCTCACAAGGCTTTCCACGTGAGACCATTAGACTACCGCACCCAGGAGAAACTCTGGGAAGAATCAGAGAAGAAAACAATGGTATGAGTGAATCTTGCACCAAATACTATTTGACATACAATTAATACTAAATTGGGAATATAGGCAACTGCTTTGGAAGAAGCACTGGGCTGTAGAAAATGCCCTCTCAGCGTCACTGAGGCTTCAATGAAGGCAGATATTGACCAGGGGAAATACATCACAACCAACTACCCCCCATTCTTCACAAATGCAAACACCCGAGATGAAAACATCTCTCCTCTCGACACTACTACACCCAACAAACACCTTTCACATTGGAAGGTCATCTCTGACACCCAGCGTCAACTTTATTACAAGACCGTGGAGCACACTCTTGACTCTCAACTCCACGAGGAAGAAGCAACTGATCCTGAGCTTGCCATCCTCTTCGCACATTACAAAGTTGACTTTCACATCCGACAACACTACCTAGCCCACCGAGGCGTGCTCACTCTTTGCCGTGATGCAACAGACATGCAATCTCTACGAAAGTGGCAATGGCGCATGGACAAGATAGACAAGCTCTCTCCCTCAGAGGAAGAAGAAGTCAAACAAGTCCGCCATAAGATGCCACGACCTCTCGGTTGGCCAAAAGACGAGAGTCTGGAATTAATGCATCAAACTCACCTCTGGAAGAAATCCTGGAAGTCCCGACAGAAGAGGGTCGAAGATGTCCGGGCCAGATGGGCAATTATTATGGAGGAGCGACGTCGACAACGAGAGCGACTGCTAGCGATGCAGGCGTCAAAGCTCACGGTGCGGCTTTATTTTGGTGGGGAGCTGCGCGATTTGAGAGAACTGGAGCGGAAGGTCTACCCTGGTATGGGAATGCTGATGGGCAGGAGTACACAGAGCTTTGGAGTATAGTAGGGTCTGGGCTTCTGTGAAGATTAGGGACCTGTCGAGCATCGACTGGTCCCACAAGTTTGAGATAATTAAGTTTATGAGTCTAAGCAACATTTACCTGTGAGAAATAGGGATGGGACTCAGGTGGACAGTGCCCGGTTGTACTGACATCTGTAGCCAAATGCTGGTCTACCCTAATATTGACCAATGGGCTCGTTGTTTATTCAATGATGTGAATCATAATGTTATTAAACCTGGGAGCTACTGGCTTTCCAAGGTTCAGTTCATGCTAGTTCAAATGTTCCAAGTTATAAGCTCACTCCACATCATTCGATTTTCTATCTTCGAATTCAAATGTTCAAATATTACTATCTAAATGTACATGTGTGTTACATTCTCCCCAGGTGCTGACTGGTCGTAGTACTTTCAATATTTCCAAGCTTTCCAGCCCAAATCCACTCGTATAAAACCACAGCAAGCTCCTTCAGGTGCATCGGTCCCTGAACAAACTCTAGATTTGATATCTATTAGAGTTCTGCGATCCATGCGAGACTTCCTGCGAGGGGAGCGGGTGTACTTTTTGCTTCTTTTCAATTCGGCAGGGGAAGGGGTTCTTCAATCTCTATCGGCTTTGTATTTCAATGACGGAAAGTAACAAGTGTGGATGGGCATTTTCGACAGGGAATAGGTAGGGTTGTCTGCTAGAATATTTTTCACCCGTGGGCATTTCAGGTAGTATCCGACCTCGGGGCATCCATAGATGTGTCCTAGTACTCTCGTGAGTTTAGTATGAACCAGGGCCCAGGAGGAAAGAAAAAAAGATTACGGACACAGTTCTGGGCGGTTACTCCGCTCCGGCCTTGTGTCTCTTGAAATGTGGGGTAGTTGGAAAAGGGTGTACACCCGGAAGGTTAGAAACCTGGAGATGGCAACCGGGAAGTGTTTTCATAACAATGTCGTTCTAGAACAGTCTAAGAAGGATCCCTCACTGGTTTTATTATTATGTTGGCTACGATTGTAGCTTCTTACCAACCACCTAATACGAAAACGACATTGATGCAACCTTTGCTATAGCTGGGGGAAACAAAAATCTTACCCTCTTGTACGCTACACCGGCATCCATCTACAACGATGCAATTGAGTTTCCCGTCAAGACACTTGAAGACGAACAGTAAATTCTATAGATGATAAAATTAACGAGGTGATCAAGGTTTCTGAAGATCACACAAATTTGAAATTTGATTCAGACCAGCCGACCCGGACAAAGTACAGGAATTGGGTTACTGTTCTTGAAAGATCGAATCTCGTGAAACACCAGCATCGCGAGACACAGAGGGACAGGAAGGGTACCTTCTGCTACCACTCTGTCCCCTTGACGAGAAACAAGACAGGTGGTGTTTTGGGTGAGGGAATTTTTGCATAAATAGGACGCAAGGGTCCATATGAGCGACATTGAGGAACATCTTCTCGACGGTGAAATCTCAGTCGGGGGTCTATCAGTTTTTCATCGAAAATGCGTCTCACGGCCATCATCGCTTTCTTTCTAGCCACCTTGGCCATTGCTGCTCCGATCGAGGAGAATGCCAGCCTTGAAGCTGATTCAGGCGTGGAAGGAGCTAAACCGATTCGATGCCGCTCATCATATAATGCATGCATCAGGGTAAATAAATGGAATCTTGTCCCCTTGTTTTTCAATGTCAGCTTTAGGGACCTTGTTAACGGTGTCAATGTGGCTTCTTAGGCCTGTCCGTTAGACCACAAGGGTAAACACTGCAGAGCTGTACGTCAACCGACTCAAGCTTCCAGCAAAATTTGATCTGCTAATACCTGGGCACTGTAGTTGTGTCACGAGAAATACTGCAAGTGATTGGGCATACAAGTACCCGCAGTTTTCAACAACCTGCGGCCTTGACATGAGGCAAAAAAAGATGGCATGTCGGGATTTGAGGGGGGCGAGCGCATACCTGTGAAGGAGAATATAACAGGAACCCAAAATGATTGGCGAGTGATCAAAGTCGTGGCCCGTGAAAGGCACTTTCATCTTGGTTGTAGCTTAGCATAACAAGATTCCATGGTAATAATGAAAAAAGAAACACTACTGAAATCCTCTGGAAAATGCATCCAACACCAATGGAGGTCCGTTTTTCGTCCTTTCGTCCTTTGGTTCTTTCATCAGCTTTTTCTTTTTCTTTCCTTCTCCCCTCTAGCGATAGAATGTATCCGATAATGACGATGCACATCAATTCAAACCTTGACCCCGCCACGGATCAGCAATGAAAACCCTGGGGTACTGAACCCCACCACACTTGATGAAAAGCAGCTCATTGCCTGATTATGCGGGGGAGGACCGTACCGAAACAACCCTCTGCAGCATTCACATTCACCTCTTGCATGTCCGCTGTCCGCATTCTCCGATGGCTGATTTTTCCTGTGGTGGGGGGCTTGGAGATCTCCACGTATCGCTACTGGATTGAGAAGAATTTCCAGCTTTTGGTCGCCAAGTAACCTGACCCCACCTGCACACACCCCTCAATGCTGGGGAATCGAGGCCCGAGTCAAATCCAGGATGAGCGATTTGGAAATGTCTCATTTGCGGACTGCGCTGGTCAATGCCGCATTGGCTTTGTATTTTTTTTTTCTTTTCTCCTCGTGGATATTTTACAAACCGGCGCAAGGACACTATGTAGGAGGTTCACGCCCAGGCACCGATCTCCCGCGCCCAGGGCGGTTGTGGCTGGGAGCTTGCTTGCCAGGGTTTTTGGATTAGTACAGAGTAACTTTGAAGGCAAAATGCGGTAATTATTGGGGAATTTACTCCGTACTCAGTGACGCTAAGCACGATCTTTGGTCTTTGGGTCTTTTGGGTAATGGAGTACCCAAGTGTACTCCGTACGGGGTACAAGTTAAACTCGAACCACCCGTCCCCTAACCTCCCTAGCCTCAGCCTCCTTCAAGCCTCTTTTCAGCCCGAAGCAGTAGATAAATTTCCAGCCACAATACCCAGATTTACCCTGATTGGCCTTTCAAGACGGGTTGACCATGGAACGGAGAAGGTCCGTTAAGGAAATGAGATGGAATTGGGATTCAGGGATTGGGGAATCCATGACTAATCTTACCGGCCTGCAATTTCGTCACAAAAAAAACCCAGTACCAAGCCGGTCCGCACCAGGTCCGCAATACAGTGCTTGGATACCTTGTTCTAGGTGTTCCAAGGCCAACATCCAACGCAGATCGGAAGATCACTGACGTTGGGGGTGAGCAAAGGGGAGAGTAATGCAACATTGGGAATATTTTCAATGTTTTTCATTAATTGGACATATTTCCCTCTGACCATGCCCGATTTACCTTTGATCATCTGCACACAAGATGATACATGGGATTTCACGTTCCCGAAACCTTGGCCACTAAGAGCACACCGAGGATAGCCCCGGGAAGATCAAAACGAGACTATTTGATCGCATGTTGAAACTAGTCATATGCGGACTAAACTGGAAATGTTAGCTATAGAACTTGTTATTGCAATTCTGATTTTTCTGATTTTTCTTCTGTTTCTCTATAATTTTTGTATGTGGCTCTCAGACACCACCGGAGGACTGCGCACCGCAAACATCATAATTATTCAACCGGGAAGCCGTAAAGGGAATGACGTAAGGGCCAAAACCGAGTCAGATCCCCCCGAACCACCGGCCCGTGAAGGCGAAAGAGAAGAAAGAGAAAAAAGAGAAAAAAGAGAAAAATCAGGAAATTTTAGGGATCAATTATAGAAACTAATCAGGTGGATTATATTGTAAAAAAGATCCCACACATATCGATATATCAAAATTAAAAAGAGATCATGCGAATCGGTCGATCATAATACAAAGCACTAAGGAGAAAAATGACGTCCTTTCGACCCCTCTGACCGATTGGAAAAAAAAAAAAGAAATAAAAATTCAAAAAATAAAAAAAAGAGTGAAATCTCCCCCTCAAAACGAGGGGAACCAACATCCACTCTCTGACCCACGTCCACGCCGGATAGGAATGAAAGTGGGTTAGTATCGGTTGGTGGAACACTAGAGGTTTATAACGTCGTTGGCTCCTAATTCCTTCCCAACCTTCCTTTCCTTTAATTCTTTCATTTCCCTTCCCCCACCAACTATCATCACCACCTTGATTTTTTTTAACAAACACTTTTTTAACTTGCCAATTTTGTTGATCATCACCCGTCATTATGTCAAAGACCAAGGTTCTTTTGGTCGGAGCCGCGGGTGAAACCGGAGGATCCATCGCAAATGGACTGCTGGAAGATGGATCATTTGTATGACTTTCCTAACTCAATCTATCCTAGCCATCTTTCTAATCCCTGTCGTTTTCTTTTTTATACAGGAAGTCATCGCTCTTGTCCGCCCCATCTCCGTTCACAAGCCCGCTATCGTGAGATTGCAGGATCGTGGTATTGCCATTCGGAAATGCGATCTCAAGGCCAGCGAGGAGCAACTGGTGGAGGCGTTAGCCGAAATTGATGTCGTCATCAGCTGTGTCGGCCCTGCCGAGCAGCAGGACCAGATTCCGCTAGCCAAGGCCGCAAAGAAGGTCGGCGTCAAGCGATTCATTCCCTGTGGTTTCATCACCGTCGCACCTCCCGGTGGTGTGATGTGGCTGCGTGACGAGGTAAGAAAACAGCACACGTGTGGTGCCATTCCTCCTAAAATTCAGGAACTTACCACTGACCTTGGTTCTTTTTTTCGCCCCCGTGTAGAAAGAGATCGTTTACAACCAAATTCGCCAGCTGTGGCTCCCCTACACCCTCGTCGATGTCGGCTGGTGGTACCAGCTGTCCTACCCTCGCCTTCCCTCGGGCCGTGTCGACTATGCTATGACATCCGGCAACGATGAGATTATCGGCGATGGAAGTGTCACTACCGCCCTGACCGACTTGCGCGATATCGGTCGCTACATGGCCCTCATCATCAACGACCCCCGCACCTTGAACAAGAAGGTCCTTGCGTACAACTTGGTTTCCTCGCAGAACGACATCTACAACCTCATGGAGGAGATCAGTGAGGAGAAGATCGATCGCAATTACGTATGTACCCAATTGAATTGTCGATTCGAACTCAAGTCATGTCGAGGTGGCTAATCTTTTTTTTTACAGGTCCCCGAAGAGACTATCTGCAGCCGAGTGTTGGCTGCCCGACAGGCCAGTGAGACCTATCCTTTCGACCCCATCAAGTTCATTCCCCGTTACCTCGCCGAATACCAATACTCCTGGGGCATTCGGGGCGACAACAACCCGGATTACGCACGGTACCTTGGTTACCACCTGACCCCCGAGCTCTACCCCGACTTCAAGCCGACCGACTTCCGCGAGTACCTGGAGTCTGTGATTCGCGGTACTGCCAAGGGTGTCTACACGGACCGAGTGATTTCTCGGAAGCACCAGCGCCACTTCCCCCGCACGGAATCTAGCGACTCGCTGTACACCCGTATCTTCCCCCGCACAGAGTCCAGCGATTCTCTCATGTCGCGATGAAGTCAATAAATTCTCACCCACCCCCCCTTCGCACTTCTTCCATGGGAGCGACCGTGCTCCAGGTTGACGCCGACCGTTCCCACCGCACTCGCACTTATTCCGATTCTTTGCGTTTCTGAAACCAATTCACGATATCTCCCCTCTACCCCATAGATTGGGGCCTTGGTTCGTTTGGGGCGTCTTGATCACATTAGGCGTTTTATGATGTTTACGGCTTTACTGGGGGGATATAGACGCGGGGCCTCTTGAGCCATCATTGATGGGCTTGCCGTGACCATAGAGAGTTGCTGGCATACAACCTAAGATGTTCTGCTTTATTTCCGCCTTTTTTCATACTTTTTGAGTTTGACCGTGCTCTACGGAGACGGTCCTCGTTGCATATAGAAATTCATACATCATACCCGTGGTGATTGCTGATTCCATCGTTCCTTCCACTTTTACTCATCTTGGTCCTTCCACAGCTGGTCCTGTCCGGCACAAGGTTTATGGCAGTGCTTTGGAACTTCTCCCTGCACACACTTCCAGAAATCGTATGTCTTCTATAAAACGCCCGAACAGCTGGGATGGATCTGCCCGACCACCCACGCCGGAGAAATCGATCTTCAACCTATGGATCCGCGCAGAGTGCACCTGCCCCTTCGATTGCATCCGCAACGACTGCTCCAGAGCACCCACATGGATTCATACACGGGCCTCATGCAGACGACCTCGCGCTGGGGTTTGTCGATATCTACCAGTCATTGACACCTCGACAAGTCGCCGTAATCGGTTTGCTGGCAATCCCCTTTTCCGTGACACGGCCATACTGATTTATTTTTACAGCAGTGGGGTCGGCTATCGGGACCGGATTGATGATTGGGACATCAAGGGCTCTCACAATGTAAGTTTGTCAACTTAAAATTGTCACCATCAATGGTGAACTTGACTAACTGGACTCATAGGAGCGGTGTAAGTAATATACAATGTCCAGCACATATGGGAACTGACGGATTAATCTCCACAGCCGGCTGCCATGATGATATCCTATACCTTTGTCGGCTTTTCAGTATACTTGGTTTTATTGGCTCTGGGTGAAGTCGCTGCTTGGTTGCCGAAACCATACACAGTTGCAGATCACGCCGTGCGGTTTGTTGACCCAGCCCTTGGTTTCAGTGTGGGGTGGATGTGAGTTGCACCAGCATCCCATGGGTCTGGCTTTGTGTCTTACTTGATATACAGATACTGGCTGAAATATGCCATCGTCACCCCAAATCAGTTGACCGCCGCGGCTTTGATTATTTCATATTGGGTTGATGCTGAATGGGTCAATCCTGGCGTGTGGATTTCTGTCTTGCTCTTCGTGATCGTCCTCATCAATTTCATTCACCATGGACTACCAAGCCGAGTGGAATTCTACGTTTCGTCCTTCAAGCTACTCATCATGTCCGCTTTGATGATACTGTCACTTGTGATTGCTCTGGGAGGAGGACCAGATCATGATGTTCGAGGTTTTCGCTACTGGAAGACACCCGGGGTGCTTAATACTTTCGGGGCTAGAGTGAATCCCGGGCTGTTGGCAAAATTTTTGGAAACTTGTGCGACCATGTCTTCGGCGACGTTTGCCTTCATAGGCAGTGAACGATCGGGCATCATGGTGCGGGCTCCTAATATACGAAAAGCCATATCCCGCGCCATAAAACATACCTTCTACCGAGTTCTGGTGTTTCATCTCTTGGGGATCACTCTGTTGGGTATGCTTGTTCCTCGAGACTCGGCCAAGCTGGCCTTCGCTAGTGGCTCTTCCAAGGGGGGTGCTGCTTCTCCATTTGTCGCAGCCATTTATCTATCTGGAATCGCAGTGTTGCCAGACATGTTGAACGGTTGTATCCTTTTGTTTGTTCTATCAATCGCCAATTACGATCTATACCTGGCTACCAAGGCGATGTGCGATCTGTCGCTCAGAAATCGTGCGCCCGGTTTTCTTCTCCGCAAAAACCGTCGAGGTGTTCCTGTTTACGCCCTGGGTGTATCAGCATGCGTTGCAACCTTGGCCTATGCCAACGTCGCCAAAGATTCCCGACTTATATTTGGCTATTTGGTTGATATGGTAACAATGCTCGGTCTTTTGGTCTGGGTTTCGATCCTTATAACTCACATCGCATTTGTGCGGGCACGCAAAGCCCAAGGTATCCCCGATGATGCTCTTACTTTCCGTGCTCGTTTCGGTCTCGCAGGTACCTGGCTAGGTCTTGTCCTCTGCCTATTCATCTCCACAACCATGGTCCTCGGCGCTTTCTCGTTCGACAGGAACGGTAAGCTGAAGTTTCACTATCAATCCGCCGTGGCTTCGTATGTTGGCCTCCCTATCTATCTGATCTTGATCCTGGGATACAAACTGGTAATGCGCACCAAGCGTGTTAATTCAAAAAATGCAGATATGTGGACAGGGAAGTTAGACAATTGATCCGACCGGTTGCTATAGAGATTGTCTTGGAAATATTCTTGAACCCTCGTTTTCTCCGCATGGCTTCCCGCATTACCGTAATTCTCTGCCTGTCTTGACTTAAAATCAAAAAATCTTTATAGTGGACCTGTCGTCTTCGGGGCAGTTGGCACAAGTGACAGTGCATGCATGGTGTGCTTGCCACGTTGCGTATCCATCTCAGTGGAGGGAAAAGATGCTAGATTCCTAGGCGCCAACGAAGTGGGGCGGGATCAATCACGATCAGCGCGTCGCAAGCCATCATTTTGTTTTCCTTTGTCCCGCTCTGCCATCCTGCACGATTGGCAGTGGTGATAGCTTGAATGTTTGCTTTTTGCCCCCTCTTGTCACATCCCAGTCTACTTTTTGGCTTCGACCAGCATCGATTCGAGAAATAGGAGTCAATTCGGGGGGTTTAATACGGAGTAGCTTCCCAGACATTTCTGTTAGAGTTGTTTTCAACTCTCCAGGTTAATATCTGGACTGGGCATGCGTGCACCCCTGCCTTGTAGGCTTATTGCATAAAGCTCCTCATATCTGTCGCAACATTTCCTGGTGTATATGTATCTCTGTCCAAATATTCCAGTGCAGCCGCCCCCAAGCGGGGTCAAAACAATCAGGCACTTGGTCCAAAATATCAAAAACAGAGCGACATCATCGCTATCAATTGATCTTTTTGAACAGAGTTCAGGTGAGTGTAAAGTAGATAAGAAAAACAGTTCTCAACAAATTATAACAATGAAAAAGCACTTTACGCCCATTCCCCCGCCCCATTGCACCCAATATCGCCAAATCACCAAATCACCAAATCACCAAATCACCAAATCACCAAATCAAAACGAAAACGCCATCCAATCCACATGAACACACAAGACCAGTCGATCTCGCCGACATGGTAGATTTTACCACCCCACAAAAAAACAGTGATGCATTTTCGCAGCTCGTCAAGAGCCTAAATGCATCCTTTGGAGTGGAAATCCCCGATCCGGGCATTGATTGGTCTCCCCGCGCGTGGCAAAAAGCGGAACGCAAAAGCCTCCCATGGCTCAGCCTTAAGGCTCTCCGTAAACTATTCGTCCGCGACGCGGAAAGAGTTAATAGCGTCATAAACGACTTCGAGGACTGGATTGCCGGGCGATCATCAGCTTTCCCAACCGCCTTTCAACCCGGGCCATCCAATGGAACCCGGGGACGCAAGCGGAGCGAGGAGCCGCAGGTCCTCGGAGATGCGGAGAAGGAAGCGAGAAGAAATTATTTGATGGAGTTAATACGCGATCAAAACTACCTGCTGGATGGCGGGGGTGTCAGTTTCAAGGCAAACCGGGGCACAAGAGACAGGGAAATCGGCATTGAGGCGGAGAAGCAGAGAGCTGAGTCGCCCAAGAGACGGAGAATTTCGTCTGATAACGACGATGATGATTTTCATACCGCGCCCACATCGCCGACTAAGGTCGATGCGGAGGTGGCTATGCCGCCGCCGCCGGGTGTTGACCTTAGGCGGTTGGACGCTGCGCTGGCCCAGGCTCAGACTCTGCTCCCGCTGGGTCAGAATGGTGGTCATCATTCCAATTGCAGGGATGACTATAGATATGAGCATCGTGATCCCAGCAAGGGAATGACCTTCTTTGAGAAGCTGCAGCTCGGACAGAAACAGCCCCGATCATTTGACAGCACAGGAAACGATACAGTCATGACGAGTTTCTCCACTGTTGCTGGGAATTCTGTCTTTTCGTCACGTATTGGAAGGTCTTTTGATACTGAACTCACCGATCCGGCCGATGGGATAGCTACTCAGTCGACGACATATGCTGACTCTGTGGTGGAGAGCTTTCTTCTCGAGCATAGCCATGACGATATCAACCCCACACTGGGTGCGCGTGACATGATTGTTGACAAACTCCGACGACTAGGACCTTTCTCGGTGAAACAGAATCTCCCAGAGACCATTCCACTGCGATATCGATACGAGCTGGAGCGTGTTGGACGCGCATGGGGCGTTCCGCTCAGGCACATGTTCAACCTGGAGAAGGTTCCGTTCAAAAGCCTTGCTGAACTGTACTCATTTTTTGAGCAGCATAGATACCGGCAAGGAAAACCCATCCCCGAGAGACCGTCGGCCCGAGCTTGGGAAGCGGCTGTCGGGGACTTCAAAACCGAGAGGCACTCGGAAGTGATCGCGATAACGGGTGAAATGAATTGGGTCGGGATCGAGGAGGGGATATTCGATTTGAAACTCAACCCTCTTAAAGCGGAGAGAACATGCCGGTTCCACCGCCGGTTCGGGTCAGATAGATTCATGTCTTTGACTATCCCTGCACCATCTCGTCCGCCGCGCGATATCGGATCGCCCTCTCAACCTTCACTTCTCCGCGAAAGTATGGGCGAATGGCTCACACGCACAGAGCACCGATGTCTTGGCCGAGTCTGGCGAGCATACCTTATTGAAGAAGTCAAGAGTAAGAGTAAGAAGAAGTCTGAACCTAGATTTCGCGTTGAGTTTTTCGCTGTCGACGGTGTCGATTTCTTTCGACATTCGGCTTTTACTTCCTCTATCAAATTTGCGCCACCTCAACAATCCAGCGATGAACATACCCCAATGTCGGTGGATGACCTTTTGGAATGGCATATGCCGCAAGAGCACAACGCAGACCAGAAAAATCTCAAGCTCTTCCAGCGGCTTTCTCTTGGGCTTTCGAAGACATTTGTTTCGGTTTCTTTGAAACCGACCCAGGTGCTTCATATGAAAGATGATCCTAAATGGGATCAAGTGATGAACGATGGCTGTGCACTCATGTCCAGACCACTGGCAGTTCGAATCTGCAAGGTACTTGGCATATCGGGGTATACGCCAAGTGCCTTCCAGGGTCGAATTGCCGGCGCAAAGGGCCTCTGGATGGTAGATCAGCAGCACCCGAAATCGCAACACCCCAGTTTCTCCGAGAATGGTATGGATGGTATTTGGATTGAGATCTCGGACTCCCAATTGAAAATTCACCCGCACCCACAATATTGGGAAGGCCTATTTGACGAAGAGAAGTTGACTTTCGAAGTCGTTAATTGGTCCAAGTCTTTGCACCCCGTTGCTTTGAATCTCCAGCTGCTGTCAATTCTGGAGCACGGCGGGCAGGTGAAAGAGTATGTTGCCGAACTGACGCGAAAGGGACTTGAGGGTATGGCCAATGAACTTGAAGAGGTCTTACAGTCCGATAGCAGTATTCTCTGTCGCGGGTTCGTACAGAAGATGAAGCCGACCGGTGATGGAGCGAAAAGCTTCCGGCAACTGGACAGCTGGATTTTCGATGATGCGGAGCATATCATTCGTCTTTCAGAGGCTGGATTTTGTCCCCAAAGCTTTTTTCCGCTTCGAAAAGCTATTCATAAGCTCTTCAAGCATTGCTTGGAGGCGCAGGTCGAGCGTCTGCATATCGAGGTGCCGCTTTCGACCTATGCATACTGTATTGCGGACCCACTGGACGTCCTTGAGCCCGGCGAGGTGCATTTCGCCTTCTCGACTAATTGGCGAGACCCAGAGGGGACGTTTCAACGGACCCATCTGATGGATATGGATGTTTTGGTCGGCCGTTTACCCGCCCACGTTCCATCTGATATTCAACGGTGCAAAGCCGTGTATAAGCACGAGCTGAGCCATTTCCAGGATGTAATTGTTTTCTCGCGCAAGGGCAAGATACCCCTTGCCCATATGCTATCTGGCGGTGATTACGACGGAGATACTCCCTGGATTTGCTGGGACCCAAATCTCGTCGACAATTTCCAGAACTCGAACTTACCAGCAGACTTGGACCTCGCCGCCGAACATTTTGGCTTGACAAAGCATAATAAATCCATGTCACAGATGAATTCTACCGAGGATTTCCTTCAGAGCGCCTTCGAGTTCAATCTACATACGTCGCTTCTAGGTCGATGTACCATCGAGCATGAGAAAATCGCCTACGATGAATCCATCGATAGTTCGCGGGCGAAAGAACTTGCCTGCCTTCTGAGCCACCTTGTCGATGGACGAAAGGGCGGCGTACTCTTATCAGAAGATGCCTGGAAGAACTACCGTAAAAAAGTCAGCCCCCGACCACGCCTGTGGCCCGCATACCGCGAGAAAGAGGGGGACCGCAAGCCAAAGCGAAGCAACATTGTGGACTACCTCAAATTCTACGTTGCCGAACGACTAAGCAAGCAGATTTTGACGGACATGGAAGCCAAATTCCCCATGGAACAAGGATTCCGACAGATCGACCCGGACCTCATCCGCCCATGGCGTGAGACTCAACTGCGCGCAGGAAGTCAGCTCGACAGCGAACTACAACAAATCCTTCGAGAGATCCCGGCCGGAATCGAGGAAAAGAGGAATACTTGGATGACACTGAAAGCCGAGAACGAAAAATATTCGTTCCGCGCCCAACAGGCCGTGGATTTGGTTAGCAGTCTCCAGCCGTCTGCCACGTCCAATCACCCGCTTGTGCATACATGGCAAAACAGTCCCCGGGAGTGGCAGCGTATTCTCGCGTCTTGCTGTTACGAGAGATTCGGGCACCATCTTTTCACGTGGTTTGCGTTCGGGGATGTGTTGTGTGATCTGAAGACGGAGACTTCGCCCTCGCGTCGCATGAGTAACGTCATGTACTCGTGCTACAAACTGAACCAGAAAATGGTTACTAGTCTGACGGCCAGTGAGCTACCAGCTAGCAACGTGGGGAGCGATAGCTTCGGCTTCGGCCTCGGCGACGGCGACGGCGACGAATATGAAGGAGAAGATGCTATTGAGGCCTTACTGTTGGTTGGCAAGGATGATGTGGGGTACCTTGATGGACTGGAGGATGGATCGACCATCCAATGAAGGATGAGCGTGATGCACCCTCCGTACGGATATTACGTGCCTGTCCATATGTGCACATAGCTGTGAAATGTTTTCCGCCGAATTTACGAATACATAATGAGACTATTTTTTAGATATGATCAGTACAGTGCATATGCGGTTTGAAGCACGGTATCAAACTGCATATGCACTGTACTGACCATATCTGGAAAACGGTCTCATTCTTGAATTTTCTCTCAATTTTTCCCATGATCAATAATAATCAATAATATGGACGATCTGATCCTGACTTGACCAATCAAGGGTGATGGCAGTTGAGTGATCAACTCAGCGTATAGCAAGGTACCTCGAATCAGTCTTTGGCTTAATGGTGGAACAAACTCGCAACTAGACCCCAAAAGGACATAGCTTGGACCCCGCGCTTCACATGCTGGAACTGAACTTCTCTGGCGAAGGCCGACTCAAGTGCCGATTTCATTTCAACCTTCCTAATTCGTATATGGGTCTTGTTTTGCAGGTTGATCCTAACCGACCGTATAGTATTCCGTACAGTATTTTGTCTATGTTTTAAGAGATTCAAGTGTTTTCCTACTCTTACACAGGTCGAGTCACATGTGTCAACGGGACAGAGTTCTCCGGTTGGGATTCGAATAGATTTCATAGTATTTTCCTACAGATTCAAAACTCTCACAGGAACTCGGCACTTTTAGAATTATAGTTTTTCTTTTTATAAATTTTGCGATTTTTTTCAATTTTTCAATTTGGCGAGGGAAGATAGGGAAGGATTTTTTGTTGGGAAAATGTTCATGTGAAAAGGTACTTGGTACATTGGCCTGTCACACTTAGTCAACTGCTTTCACGTGAAGATCCTTACAATATGGATGCGCCGAACGCGACTCTTGCCACTCTCTATGCTCAACCCAGAAAACCTCCAAATGCCGTGATGGATCTCGACTCTCATCCAGACGATCGAACTCGTCGAGCTGCCAGTGTCCTATCTATGGACGACCTCGAGGCTGCGCAAGCTCTTGAAGGCCTTCGTACCGGTACGTTCAACTCCGAACTCGGCCCTGCCCTACACTCCTTCGGCCGCCATTTGTTAGCACCTTCTATATCAACTGGGATGAAATACTGCATTTCTACCATCTCGAGCGTTGCAGTGCTCCTCTTTCTACGGCAGCGAAAAAAAAAAAAATGGAATATAACATATCCGGCTAATCATTTGTCCCATAGAATACGGACAATCACCACGAACATCAAGGCAAACAATCCCGGGGACAACGCCGAACTCTACACAAACAGCAGAGCCGCTTCTCTCGCTGCTCACATCCTCACATCCTTTAATTTCCTCCGCTATTAACGGGTCCGTATCCGCATACGCAACCTCCAAGTCCTACTCTGCACGTTTCAAGTCCAGCGCCGAGTTTATCGAGCGTAATATCGGCTCACCGGTCGCGAACACGGTGGGCACGGTCGGTCGCAAGACTGGAGTTGAAAGTGGTCTGCGCTGGGCGCTGCAGCGCCGAGAATCCTCACAGGACTCAAACCATACTAGCAAGCGCCGGAAAGTGAACGGTGAAACCCCGTCGGATATGGATGTGGAGAAGGGTCCAGATGAAGCGATGGTCCAGAGCCAGAACCAGAACCAGCCACGGACACGAAGCTCTTCTGATCTATCCATGGCCGAGACGCTTCCTCCGTACGACGAAATGCGGTCGCCGCGCTACGAAGAGAAGCCCGGACGACAGACCCCGACTTGGCAGAGTCGACTGGTGATTTCAACATCGGGTCTAGGTGTGGCCATGAGCGAAGAGTCACTCCGAAGCCTGACCTATTGTTTGACCTGGTTACGCTGGGCAAACGGCCGACTCGGCAAGGCCATCGTGGCGCTTCAGAATGCGCTGACGGAATGGGACAACCAAAAGAAAAGCCAGTCGCAGCAAAGCGACCTGGAAGGCGGAGAAAGTGCGTCGCTCTTGACACAGCGCATCCAGGCCGTCAAAGCCGACGTGCTATCAACGCTGAAGCAGGTTGTCGACGTCGTATCCAAATATGCCGGCGGTGCGCTGCCAGAGAATGCCCGCCACTTAGTACGACGACACCTGACCTCTTTGCCCCACCGATTCCAGATGGCCAGCACATCGCAACCACCACCTGGTTCCGTAGAGGCCTCTTCAGATGCGACCGTTGGTGCGCACCGAATCCTCGTTCTGGCCAACGAAAGTTTGGATATTCTTGGCCAGGTTAGCGGGGTAGTCAACGACACCCTTGTCAGTGCTGAGCACTGGTGCGAACGGCTTGGGCGCAAGCGCCCCGACAACAAATCCGCACAGGATGCGGAAAAACAGAATCCTTCTGCGACTCCGGACGCTCAACCGTACGGAATGGATGTTAAGCAGCCTTTGGCTCTGGAGCCTGAGCCTGCTCCTCAGGAGGACGTGCAGATGGCTGGAACTACGAAAGTCTGATTGATACCCTGGTGGACCGCCCTTTCCTTATATCCACACTCTCTCTATATTTTCTCCTTTCCTTTTTCATTTTTTTTGCCCATTTTTTATGTGTCTTGACGGTACTTTATGATTGATATCCAATAACTGTTATTATGCACTCTTTTTATAGTTGTGCAACCGGGAAATATTTGCACTCAATTGGATTTTTGGCGCTTTTTCGCCTGGGCTGGATTCACTTTGATTCGTCCTTTTCATGAAAAATAATTTATTGTTGCTTTTTTTATATCCTACTAGTTTTCAACTAGATGAATATATCTAATATTTCTATTACTGTCAATTGATTACTTTGAATTTCCACCTGCCAACTTCAACTTCCAGACAACATTGAATTCGAGTGGCCAGCTGGCCCGTTTCTCTTGCTTTCAATGCTCATATTTAGTCATCTAACCTCAGCATGTCTTCAGTTGCCCAGCTGGATACTCTCACTTCTGTTCCAGCAAAACACAAGATAGACTGAGAAGAGTTTAATTCTGACTGTTTTCGATCCATACCACTATCAGATTCACAATCCGGCAATGTTTACCAGCAGGAAGGTCAAACCCAAGAATCGCAGTATGCTAGTCATATCGATGTCATCAAACACAATTAGTCGTTATTGCTCGTTGAACATTCAGAACACAAAAACACTCGTTTACAACAAAATGTCTTGTCTACGGTCAGGGAACTCTGAAAAGAGAAACCCAGACAGAGAACCAGTCCAGAGTCTAGCTGTGGGCAGCCCGACAGATGAGAGCACCGATATGAAAGCAATCATCACAGAGAGTTATCTGAAAGGCCTCGGCCAGCTGAAGGCTAGAATTGATTACTCTGGCCTTGCATCTGCCTGTCAGATAGCTCTCGAAGGGCGTGGGCCTCCAGATTTTAAGGACCAGGTGATAGCCACTATCACCTGGCAAGCAGTCCAACTACAACGTGTGAGTCAACTGCTAGAACTTCTAGCAAAGCAAGGATTCATACAGCATATAGTGGACCAGGTGACAATCGATCGTGCGCTCAAAAACCACAAAGAAGAAGTTTTTCCCCCCATGGCAGACAGGTTTCTAAAGAGTGACAAGTCGGTATCTCTCACGAACCCCCCGATCGAAGGTCATGTCGGTGTACACTTTGACGACGCAGAACACCTGCTCATGGGAAATACGGTTACAATATGTTACTATTCCCCGATAAGTTTGACCTTGATGGCATGGTGAAAGAAGTTGTCACGTTTTTGGCCTGATTGGTGTATTTTTAGTTGCTAGCCTGTCTAATGTTCCCAACAACCAGATTTTCTATGTGCATAGAGGAGCAACCGACATGTAGACCACTAGATACCTGATCTCCGACGTCTTGCTAGTTACTGGAAACCCATTTCAAGGCTGTTGAATTTGAAAGTAAATATTACCGCTCAATAGATGTATCGGAAGCTATGTATGAATCACATTGATTGTCAGCAAATTCAGCGCATGGCACCCTTGAGCATACATACATGTATCTCTGATTTTATAATGGGAGCGGATCAAAAGGATGATAAACCAAACTCACTTCAAGTTTTCTCGATCTGTCAAATCCAAAAATGCAGTAGAGTCCAAGTCTCTGCCATCAAGCCCTCCCTCCATTTCAGACTGAATACGGTCGCGTTTCTTATTTTCCCACCGAAGAAGAAGGCCGAGGGTAGTAATGAGACAGGCTTCAATCAGATGAGAAACAATCATAGACCAGATGCCCAGTTTGTATGTGGGCCTAGAACTCGGTCAATGTCATTTCACACTCGGAATAGCATTGATAAACATGTTGTGTAACGTATAAACTTACGATTGATCGGTTTTATAGAAGAACGGGCCTGCGATGTTTCCGGTGCAGTATCCAAGGAAAAGGACCGCGTTGGTGACGACTTTCTTTGTGTGACCTGATCGCCAAATTTCAGCTGTTAGTTGGGCCATGTAGTCTGAGGTTTCTTGAAAACAATCAAAGGCTGCAAACATACCCGCTGTATTCGCGATTTGCATACTCAAAATAAGCACGAAGGCAGCATTGTATGGCCCAGTAAGATAGTAACAGATGAGTCGGCCGACGTGATGATCCGTTGGTACGAAACACAAACCGAAGGCGCCGGCCAGATTTGGAATTAAGAATATAAGAACAAATACGCAGCGTCGATTCTCAAAACGATCGTTAAGGAATACGCATGTCAAGATGGAAAGGGCGATGAAAATGCCATATGGGATCTAGAGAATCTATATCAGCTCCAAACAAATATACCAGATCAAGAAAATTCAAATACCTGCAGGATAGTTGTAATCAAAGTAGAATAGCCAAAGCCTTTGATAATGATTGTACCAAAATTGGAGATACCACCATTGGGGACATTGCCTAGTATAGTTGTCAATGACCATTTCAACAACCAAAGTGCTTCTCACAGACATACAAACAACACCCAAGATGAAGAACATGTAGAGCTTATAATCCATGAAAGCTTCGAGGATCTGATAGGGCTTCAAATGCTTATTTTCCACGCCAGTTTGGTTCTCTCGAATGCGCTCAACCGCAATTCGCCGTTCTCGTTTGCTAAGACCACGAGCACTGACAGGTGAATCCGGAAGGAAGATGAACATTACGATGCCCCAAGTAGCGCATAATGCACCGCTGATAGAATAGAATCAGCATATGTTTTTCTCCAATTTTGAAGCGCTAAAATTGACAGACATTATAAGGAACTCGTATTTCCAAGACGGCAAGGCACCTCGAATATGGCCAATGCCATAACCTAACAACCCACCCAGCGCGATACCAATTCCGTTCGCCGTATACCATAGTCCAATACGGACGGGTTGTTCGCGACGTGTATACCACATACTCGTGATGAGCATAAATGCTGGATCCGAGCAAGCCTCTGCAGCTCCGCCGAGGGCTCGGAGGGCCGCAAGAGTTTCGAAGCTGTTGCATGCTGCCTGTGCCATGAGAAAGACTCCCCTATTAGGATTGATAGTCAGCTTGAATTGAACCTGGCTTGTAATGAACATATTCATATTCCACTTACCACATGAAAATGTTCACGCCGAGGTATTTTCCTAAAAAGATTACTTAGAGAAAATTGCAACTTTCTAAAAGGGCAGTCTGAAGAAGATACCAATCGGAAGCTTCTGCATCAGAAAGTTGGTAGGGAATGCCCAGACCAGAAAGCCAAAGTAGAAGATGCTGCTCAACCAGTTATACTGGGTTCCATGAAGATGGAGGTCCTCTTGAATATCGAAAATTGCCGCGTAGCTCAATGTTGTCTGTATCAAATAAGTCATAATTCAAATGAGATAGCCCGGTCGCATAATACTGGAAAGCAAAGTTGATATCATGCAACCTTGAAACTGACCTTGTCAATATAAAAGAAGGCATAGCACACAGCTAAATACGGCAAGATCATCAAATCGATCTTCCACAGGATCCTTCGAGCTTCTGCCGGATCTATTTCCTCGTGCAGCTCATCTGGATCATCGAATAGTGCCATGGCGGTATCGCCGTCTTTGGATTTGGCGGATTTCCATTTCATCTGACTTCCGCTGGACTCGGCATGCGTTACGGTGGGCTCATCCATTGTATCTGCTTTCGAAGCAGTAACTGGCTCTTGGGGGCTGTCGTCCATCATTGTCGCACGATGGACTTCAACGTGAAATACCCACAGGAAAAGGATGAAGAAGCAAGGGGGCTGTTGTACTTATCAAATAAAGAAGAAGAGAAGAGCTGCAAACTTATGCATGGGTGATGTCGGCTCTTAATAAGAACTCGGCTTGTTCTAGGGGGTCATGTCTCGCAGACTGTGCTTTTCTTACGCGAGCATGTAGTATGATCTGCCTTTGTCATATTTCTCCGCAAGTTTGAAAGTTTGAAGAAGCGGGGAAGTCCCTGCTTTGGATCATCCTAGCGCGAAAGCATAGAATAGCATGTATGGGGTGAAGATATGCGAGTTTGTAGCCTTGGCTGACTGCTGGACTTCTCGGAATTCGTCCGCGATGGTGAACCCATTCTAGAGACGATGCCAAGTCCTCTGAAGGTATTTTTAACGCATTGTTGTTCTCACTTGTTTTCGTGATAGGACCAGATCATTTGACTTTGGATTCGAGAATTGGAATTCGGACTTGATCCGATTCTCCGGGCTGTTGTCCGCAGGGAGAGATCAGTGCATGATAGATGCAGCAAGGGCTAGCTTACCTTGGCGCTTTGAATGGCCAGCAGTAGGTGAAATTGGCGAAACAAAGGGCAAGAGATAATCTAGATGACGTTTGGACATGGACAAAGTCTTAGTTAGTACCTATAGCGGGCAAGCGGCGTGGGGAACGCGGGGAATCCGGGGTTTCAGGCGCCTGGGTGGAGTTCTAAAGCATACTAGTATGCGGGGAAGAGTAAGTCCACTTTGTTGAGCACTGGGGTGAAAAGAAGTGGTCAGATTGAGTGCCTTAAGAACAAGTTGTATTATTTTCACTTCAAATTATTTTCACACTATATACTTTTATAGATTTCAGGTCCACTTTCGACGACTATTTTCGTCGCGCTTCTTTCAGAAACACCTATTACATCTTGCTGTGAGCGGACCATTTTAGAATTGATCTACCTCCGGTTGAAGTTGAGGAATCGAGACTATAAGTTCAATAAATTTAGCAAGATAACAAGGTTGGAGGAGGAGGAAGGGGGGAGGGGAAGTACTTACTGCCAAGAAAAGTATGATCAAGTTGGATGCAACAAATGCAATGAAAATTCCCAGATCCCGCCATCTGTTGTTGAAGCTCATTTCATATGTTTCGTAAAACTGATCTCCAACTTTATACGCGCAGTACTCGCAAGTCTGCGTGGCATTGTCTAGCAGGTAACCAGCTCCTCCATTCTCAAAAAAGGAAGCCATATACTCACCACAGGTCTGATTGGCTGGAGCAGTGAACTGGTTGTACTCAGAACTCGTACATTCGACCTTGCGTCCATGGAGCTCAGTCACGACCATGCCACTGATTAGTCTGGTGAATGGATCAAGCTGGTAGAGCCAAGAACGCCAGAACTTCGGCATCTGGGGTCTGGGGATAGTGACACCACAGAACAGGGAGAAGATGATGACAATTGGCGGGTTCAGCTGCGAAGCAATAAAGCTATTGGGTGTCGAGGCTGAAACCATTTGGCCCAAAGTGACGGCGAAGAACTCGGTGATGAGAACCATGAGGAATTGGTAGCCTGCTCGGCTGGATTCGGATTGGAACCCAGGGATATAGTAGAGTGGCAAGAAGAAACACACGGCACACAGCAAACTATAAGGGATCTCGGCAAGGACCATTGACAGCGCGAAGGCAAACTGACTGTAGGTTTTGGAGGCGGATTCACGGTAGAAGATCAGTCGGGCCATGTCAAAACGCGGCTGGACTTGTTGGAGAATAATGGCTGGAAGTACAGTAACGTTAAAGACAACGAAGACACGGTACTGTAGAGAAGAGCGAGAATCGTCTAGCTGGCGGAAACCAAGCCCGGTAATTAGAGCCAGAGCAACATGGGTAAACAGCCTAGTAAAGCCATAGTTCCGGGATCTCCAGAAAGAAAGGAAGGTTCGTCGGCCAACCACTTTGATCTGATGCCACATAGGCGATGCATACTCCTTCTCGACAAGCAATCCGACCTCATCTGCTTGATCTTGGTTCAACTGAGCTCGGTCCGCTTTGATTTGAACGATGTCTTTCTTCAATTGCACCAGTTCAGATGATGTTCGCCAAATGTCACCCCAATCGCGATCGCCAATGCGTCGTGTTTGCCCTGCACCGATAGCATCTAGCATCCACTCGGCAGGGTTTGCATCCTCAGGGCAGTCGGCGCCGTTCTTATAGAAATAGTCCCGCAGAATTTGAGAGTCGTAACCGATTTCACCAAAGTATACACACTCGCCGCCTCTTTGGAGAAGCAAGAGTCGATCAAAATTCTCAAACAATGCTGAGTTGGGCTGATGAATAGTGCAAAGGATAGCCTGTCCAGCCGTGGCCAGTTTCTTCAGGAATCGAACGATATTAAAGGCCGATTGACTATCAAGGCCGGAGGTAGGCTCATCCAAGAAGAGAAGAAGCTCGGGCTTTGCTGCCAATTCGACACCGATGGTTACCCTCTTTCGTTCTTCAACGGAAAGGCCAGTTTCCGGGGTCCCAATGATTGCATCTGCCAGGTTCTCCAGTTCCAGCAAGCCGATGATTTCTTCAACATAGGCATACTTTTCTGATTGTGGGGTTTCAAATGGCTGTCGAAGATCGGCTGAGAAGCGCAATGCCTCTCTCACGGTTTGCATTGCTTCATGTGTGTCCAACTGCTCAGCGTAGGATGTGCCGCGCTGGAATGCAGTACCAGGGGGCCTGCCGTCTACAAGAATATCTCCTGAAATAACACCAATATTCTTCCGTGCTGCCAGAACATCCAATAGCGTTGTCTTGCCTGCACCTGATGCGCCCATCAGAGCTGTCAGTTTACCTGGTTGAACATATCCGTAGACAGAGTTCAGAAGTTGACGAGTTCCAGATGGCACAGGCACTTCATAGCAGACATCCTCCCAGGTGAAAACTGATTTCGAGGTGATCTGGACATTAGTTTCAGTTTCCACGGTTTTGGTTTGACGGTTGGCCTTCTTTTGCGCCAAGGCATCGTTCAATTCCTTCCGCTCCTTATTCTCTTTTTGGTAAAAGGTAATTGTTTTCCCTCCAGCGTCAAACTGAACAGCTTCACCAAAGTACAAGTTGCTAGCAAGGAAACCGACGATGAGTGCTGAACTTAATGTTAGTCTAAAAGGATCACTTCAAATATGAATGGTTTGCATTGTAGAATTAACATACCAAGCATAATGCCGAAGTTCCGCCATAAATCAGATTTGTCATAGCTGAATGTTTTGGCAAGATAATTAGACCCAGGAATGATGTCGGAGCCTGATTCTCCACCAGCAAGAGTGCAAGCTTGATGAGCAATATCATCGTAACCGGTACCATGAGGAACCAACGACTCTGATACGCATGTCATTGTCAGGCGGCTGAACTCATTGATCATCAACGATGAGAATCCAAGGCCGAAAGGATTGATATAGAAAATCCATCGCAGCCATACCTGACCACTGGACCATTGAATCAAATAACCAGATGTCAATACAAGAAGGGTAATCATCACCGCTGCAAACTTCATCGCATAGTCAAAGTCCGGGCTAACACAACCGATAGTTCTGAAGAACACGGTCATACACACGTATCCGCTCAGCACGAACAGGACAAATGTGAAAAATGCACCAACTTCCAAGGCTAGACCACACATGAAATAGACAATGATGCTGAAGACCAAAATCCTGAAAGCTGCGAAAGTAGTATCCACAAATATTTGCGCCAGGAACAAAGCACTTGGACGGTAGAATGTAAATGAACGATGTTTATTGACAATTGAACGGCCCATCATCGTAGATGCAAGTTCTGCAAAGGCTTGGAATCCATTAAACAACATACTGATGAACAGAAGACCACCTCGAGTAAATGCACCAGCACTAGTTTTCGGTTGTTTCAGCCACACGGTACCGAGGATAATGGCGATACCGGTTGAAGTGACCCAGGAGACAGTCAAAGCAAACTTATCTTGCCATTTTATCAAGAACTGACGTTGCATCAAAGCCCAAATTTGAAGATGGAATGGAATCGAGTACACGGATGACTTGGGGGTGTACTTGCGCTTTGCTTCTTGGTTGGCGAGTTCGAAGTCATCGAAGATTTTCTTGTCATGCTGGATCTGTGCACGATAGGACTGCATTTCTTCATCGAGTTGCTTGTTATGACTTGATTGCCTGAAGGACTCCACCAGAGCCTCTGGTGTCGATGGCACATCTGCGGCGCTTCTTCCATCTTGGAATTCTCTCTCGAAAGGATCTGTGCATCCGGTGAGATAATCCGGTGTTGTCTGTCGGGGCTTCGCGCGGAAACCAAGGCCTTCAAAATAGGCACGTGCCTCATGAATAGGGCCGAAGAACACAGATCGTCCACTATCTATGACGAGGACCTTGTCAAACTGGTTGTAGATGGACTCAGAGGCCTGGTAGAGAGAGACAAAGGTGGTGGTTTTGTAGATGTTGGTCAAAATTCGGAGGGATTTGGCAAAGTCGAGCGCAGTCGACGCGTCCAGACCACGGGTACTGTTATCCCAAGCCAGCACTGTGGCACTAGTGGTCATCATCTCTGCAATACTCACTCTCCGGCGCTCACCACCACTAACTCCGCGAATGAACTGGTTGCCGATGACAGTATTGGCTGTGTGCTCAATATTAAACATTCGGAGCAGCATCTTGGTCACCTTCTCCTTGAACTCCGCCTTGCCCACGCCATACGGACGCTTTCCTGGGGTTTTGGTGTCCAGAGCAAACGCGAGAGTCTGAGAGACAGTAAGAGTCGGGTGGTGGATATCATCTTCTTGGTTGTATACGGCCTCGCCTCGGAATCTTTTGGAAAATGCGTCTGATTCAAAAGGGCCATATAATACTTCTCCATCGACACCGGTGTACCCAGCACGTTGGTTGGCAATAACTTTCAGAAAGGTTGTACATCCTGAGCCAGGTCTTCCCAAGACCAAGACCATTTCTCCCGGTCGAGTCAACCCGCGAAACCCCTCCAAAATGTTGTATTCTTTGCCCTTTTTACCCCAACCGAAAATATCCATGACGGTTTGAGGAACATTAAAGAAATCAATGATTGCATCCGGGAACGTCTTGATAAAGGTCTTTACACCACCAACTCCACGAACAGATAGATTGTCCCATATAACGCCTTTCAGAGATATGTTAGTGACGGCAAATACTCCAATTTCGGAGAGAAAAACGCACCAATATGCTTATCCTTGATGCCGGCCTCATCCTCAGCAGCACGATTGCCCCGAAGAGCCGTCTCCAAATCCCAGGTGTCGTCAGAGCCATTCGAGCTTCCAGCCTTTTCTTCATCGACAGTGGCCGTCGGCTTAGATGCCCGAGACGCATGTTTTGATAGTCGACGAGCTTGATGCGAGATACTGGAAAATTGTCTGTTCAAGTCCGAGAAATCCTCCTCTGCCTGTTCGACATCAACTCCAGTCTGTACTGACGTTACACCTTGCGGGTTAGCGATACGAATTTCCTCGCGACGTTGCTCATAGCTCAGGGAATCCACATCAGAGTGGTTGCTTCCTTCTGGCGTGAGAAACTTTTCTTCAGTCGTGTCGAAATCCGATGATGCCTGCATTTTGTCTTTTAGGGGAAGGTGTTTTTTGGGGTGGAGAGGAGGGATTTTCAAATGTTGGTTTCGTTTGGGCTTTATTTCCCGACAAAGCTCCAACAAAGCCGAACAGCTCAGGTCTTTTCTACCGCCCCTGGGTAGTAGGAAGATATAGTTTAGAAGCACCTCGGTTTCCTACCAGGCAGGAGCAGATCAAGGCCGTGAACTCTTGGGCATCAACAGGATTAGAAAAGACAAGGATGCGAGAAAAAAAAAGAAAAAGAAATGGAAACGAAGGAACCAGGCCGAAAATTAGGTTAGTGCCAAAGCCAAGATCCAGTCAACAGGCTAACGCCTAAGTCCGTTAAGGATGGTACGTCGCCCACTGGACTGTCCACTCGGCTCCACATTGGTCCATGATCCGAAATCCTTGTCTGAATCTCCGATACATAACGAAAAACCCGCATGTTGAAATGGCGGTGATGAGTCAAAGGGCGGAATTGGCACGTTGCCTTGCAGGAAATTTTGACTCATCATGACGGAGAACAAGAGAGTTCCGATGGCATCGAAGGCTAACCCCGGGAAATGCACGAGGTACCAAAGGTGGGGACAGGTGGTGGTGGGCAATGTGGGCATTGGCGGCAACTTCCGGTGATATATGCCCGTGTTGGATTTGTCAGGGCGGGGTCCTAATTGGGTTTGGGGCATTTGCAGTAAACCAGAGGCAGAGAGAGGGAGCACTTGAGTGTATACTTTTTGCATGTAACTTGATTCTAGTCTTGTCAAATGGCACAACCCAGAGCCCCGTTTCGCTTGTGATGTTTTTCCCCCCTAAGAAACCTTTGTCTGTGGGGCTCATGTGGAGCAAGTCTCGACTCCAAGCTAAAAGACAGCTTATCGAGGGTCCTTCTCCACAACAGTAGTCTGGGCCTGTCATGGTCTTGTCTTGTTTGAGTGCTTATGTGGTTATGGAATAGGCCGATATTGCGGGAGAAATTCATGCATATACGGGTTCGGCAATATGCAAGTACACAACCTCGGGCAACAATGCAGAAGTCGCGTGGCTTTAACTGGTCGCGTTTCGGCAACAATAAACAGTCGGAATTGCCGAGTTGCGGCAAACCCAAGGTAGCGCTGGAACATGGCTTTTTACATATTAATGTTTCTATACTGATTATTTCATAATTATGTACCGTTCAAGGACAAAAAAAAATTTTAAGGAAATAACTAGTTTAACCGCGGGGGTTGATACATATAGTGGCATTGGCATGTAAGTTGTAACAGTAGGTCCACCTTCATGGTGCGAGAGCCTGAGAGCCTGAGGTCGCCGGTTTCCCAGCTCGCCCCGTTATCGTTTTCTTTTTCTTTCAAATGTTTTGTCTTTCAATGTTTTTACCATTGATCGATCTTCTTGACCCTGCTAACATTTGAACATTTGAAGAATGAAGATAGAGAGAGAAATTTTTTTTTTTGATCGTCATTCCAATGGCCAGGTACTCGTTTATGTATTCTGTGATCTCTGCCATTCAATATTTACAGTCGTCCAGATAAGCCCAGTTTCAACCCACCAATAACCTCCTTGGCAGCCCGTTCACCACTACGAACAGCGCCTTCCATGTAGCCCTTCCATTCGCCCGCTGTCTCAGTCCCAGCAAAATGTAAGTTGCCGGTCGGCTCACGCAGCGCGTTGGGTCCGAGCGAGTCCAAAACGCCAGGAGCCAGGTGAGCACATGGGCAACCATACCCAGCTGGCTCATCCTTGCTCCACTCATATAACACCATTTCCACAAAGTCCTGCTCGATTGTGTCCTCGGCCCCGAAAAGTGCACCTAATTGCGCCAAAAGTTTACTCTGCCGCTCTATATGTGGCTGAGCAGCCCATTCTTCAGCCTGGGGCCCACACATGAAGCATGTAAGGACATATTCTTCGTCAACTAGACTGCAGGAATCGCGAACGACGGCCGCAGGGCCAATAAATGATTGTGCTAGACCACAGAAGCCCTTGGCTATCCAGAAGGGAGTTTTGAATACCATCATAGCCTTGGTGTAATACCCGTAGCTGGCAGATTCGGACCAGGCAAGCTTTCGCGGGTGAAGGGCGGGCTCAAAGGAAATTGTCTTTAGCACGGGGCTTGGAACAGTAGTCACGACCTTATGCCCTCGATATATAGTGCCATTTGCAGTAAAAATGTCCACCTTATCACCCTCCTGGCGAACTTGCTTCACCGCAGTATTGAGTTGGATAGTGTTCGGTACAAGGGCCTCGGCCAGCTTCTTGGAGAAAGATTGCGTTCCTTGTCGAATTCGCAGATGCTGACCTCCTCCTTTGCGGTCCGATCGCATCTGCAACAATCCTCCCCCGGACTTGCAGTAGTTGAGGAAGAAAAGGGCGGAGATGTCGCAGGGGTCGATGCCGAGCATCGCCCGCGTCCAAACCGTTGCAGTCAGGAAAGCTTTCTCGGATGCATTGTTGGACCGGAGATAAGCCTCGAATGTCATACTATCGAGGCGCGTGTCGTGAGGGTCAAATATATCTACAGCTTGGCAGTCTGTCTCGGTCATATCGCGGATTCGAATAACATCATCAATGGAGGCGGGGTCAAACTAATCAAACAAAAGCCTAGGTCAGCCAATTTTGAAAATGTTTCCGAAGTTCTGAACTTGTACATGAAATTTCAGGATTACCTTTGGGATTTCGCCATATGCAAATGCTGAGATAGTACCGTCCAAATCTTGTAGTGCGCAGTTTCCTGTTGTGTTCTGCTCAATAAGCTCTAATCCTAATTGTCGCGCAAGCCCGATCATGCGTGTCTGATTGACATCGTTGATCCAACCAGCACCAAGCTCGAGAATACCACGGCCGCTAGTCGTAGGCTGACTCCAGGTTTTGCCCCCCACGCGATCACGGGCTTCGAGAACAACACAGGACAGTCCAGTACGAGAGAGTTCGTGGGCAGCTGTCAAACCAGCTAAACCAGCACCGATAATGACAACGTCATAAATCTTAACCAAAGGTCTGCTTGTCAGAGTCGGTGGGATGGATTGTTTCGGAGGGCAGGCAATTAAAGCCTCGACTTCGAAGAGCCATGTAGGGACTGCCAGTTGAGAAACTGGGACAAGGGTCACTGCGGGCCTATGGCCTCCCAGAAAACGTTGGACTGGACGTGTATGTTTGCACGCTCTGGGGTCGTAATTGACGGTATATATCGTGAGTTTGGCAATATCTGTGACTCGGGCCCCGGATGCAATTATCACACGGCGTAGATTCACAAGGGCGAGATGGATCTGGGATACGTAGTCGTTTGGGACATGACCGGACTTTGTGACCCCGGCTTGGCCAGATACATGGACGAGACGGGTGTTTGGGGCTGTGATAATGGCAGGGGCGTAGTAAACTTTGGACGTGTTCGGTAGATCCAGAATTTCAAGGTGGCGCCCCATTTTAAAATCTTAAGCTTGGAAGGAGATGAAGCACCGAATATTCAAAGCATGGGTCAATGGATGTGCTAAGTGAATGACAAGGCTGCTGAGAAAAACCTTGAGGCCTGCGTGGCGTGCATAAATTGCAGTTCACTGTAAAGTGCCAACATGCAAAGAGCGACAGGGCCAGGTTATATGAAATTGCAGGCAGAAACTGAGCGTTAAATCCAATGCAACTCCACCTCGTAGGATTGTCGATCAATATTACTCCAGTTCATGCAGCCCACTTGATCCTGAGATGGTAATCGAATCCGGCCTAACAGCAGGACCCAGCGAAACCCAACCAATTGGCGGGGGGCGAGTGGAGGAGAGCGCGGGGAAATTGATATGGATATAGTACGTTATCAAAGGCCTGATATCTTCTGTTTCTCTTTCCCTTTTCTCTGTATGTATTCAAGCCAATCTGAATTTATTCTATTAAATAAACAGACAAAGATATTTTACAAATCTTATTGGTTGGGGGGGTCTCCCTCAGGTGGTATTTTAGGACCATTTTCTCGGTTATAGCCACTTATTAGTAGCCACTGGCAGATCCACGGGCAGGACTAAAGCAAGACTTGATTCAATCTAACTACACAACATGGTTTGGATTGCCTAGATCCATGTTCTTTGATGATTTCGTATCTATCATTCAAAATCTGTCCGGCCGAAGCAAGGTGAGGAATTTCCTCATTGTTATCCACCGGGGTTCAAAGTTGGGTTTGAAAAGGCAATCCATGGGTTTTTGTATAAAGTAGCGCCGCCCCAGAGCCCACACACCTAGCCCAGCTGGCGAGGTAGCCTACTCTCCTACCTTATTTCCTTCCCTTATGCTTTTCCTTCTTCTTTTCTACCTTATTCAAATTGCTTTTTTGTCTTTCATTCTGTTACATAGTAAAATTTACAGACCTTGTTGGCTCAGGTTATCTCTTCATTTTGGGACCTTTTTCTCAGCTTCAGACGCCTAAAGGCGATCGGAAGATAAACATCAGCAATACTTGGAGAGAACTAGAGTCCTAGACATCTGGAATAAGAATCGTAATCCAAGTACACAAAACCCACTTTGTTTAATTAATGAATACTAGTGCCAGAAGGAACCTGTAATTAAATACCATAACATGGCGTATCAAAATACAACACGTGGAGATAAGGGAACGCGTAGCTTAGTCTTTGACTCTTCACGTTCAGGGCAGATCGACATGATTCAAACAATGCCGACTCCGGGCTTTGAAACTGGGCCCGAAATGATCAGCAGATGATCAATGTCTAGTATCGGATCTGCGTCGTCTGTCTTGACTCTCTAATAGTACATTTCAGAGCCCGCATTGGCACACCACTTCCTCACACTGTTTAGACAAGAGTCTGCAATCTGCAATCTGCCTCTCGCTTCTGCTCATTAAAACCTCACCACAGCTCTACCATTTGGATCTAGTCCCGCTTATTTACCTATCCCAATCGCCTCGCGTCGATTCTCACCCATACCATCTGGTTGCGAAACAAGGAGCCGGGGAACCCGCTCCTGGGAACTCCTACTAGCTCCGGCCCCCACTCCTCCCCGACGTTCCTCGGTAGCAAGTTTGCAACCCACCCTTGGGATGTCCATGGCGAACTGATACTACGGCGTCCCTACAGATAAGTCTTGCTCTGTGGAAGTTTCGCTCATATTTCCGAATTCAAGAAAAATACACAATCACCTGGCTTTCACATACTTGATAGTCAGACGAAGCGGTGTAAATTCTCAAGCAAGATCAACCCAGATCCACAAGAACGCCGGAGGGATCAATATCGTGTCCGTGACAAAAGTCGGAAATTACCAAGGGCAAAGCAAAAGGGGGTTGCGATCAAATCTATGCCTGAATAACATGGATCGTCGCTTACAGCCAATGCTTCTTCCCAGGATTCATTCCGGGGTAGTATTCTACATTGTTTCAACCTTGGGCGATTGCCCACGGAGTACTCCGTACATACACATCCATGGCCTCCTCTCGCGGGGCTGATCTGCCTTATTTCACAGTGGCTGAGATCCACCCGAGAGCTATTTCTGTACTCCGTGCAAGAGGTACGGCTGAGAATCCCTGCTAACGCATGCGGCTAACCCACAATCGTTCAATCACGATCATCCGGCTCAATAGTATCTCCAAAAACGCGCAATCGCCCGAGTCCATACTAGCACTCATTTTATCTCTATGGTGTAGCAAGATAAACCCCCGTTTCGCGTGATTCAAAATAGTTGAACTATTCCACAGGAGATCTTAGTACTATCATAGCCCTTGGACAGCGCCTTTCGACCGCTCCAATGGACAGGATGCTTGCAGTGGGGTCTTCGCCGGCGTGGAAAAGTGCCCCAAAGCTCCTTCGGGGATTAAAAGGATCTTGAATCCCTTTCTCAAGCTCGAAGCTTCATTACCATCTTTTCATTCATCATACAATTGTCTGTCATCTTGCATATTCCCCCAGGCCCTTCACTCATGGATCCTTATGATGTCTTCCCGGAGTCCAAATTCCGGCCTCTCCACGAAGTTTTAGTGGCAGTATACGCTACCCGCCCAACAATCCATTGTGCTTTCATGGAGAATGATGATAGCCCCTGCCGAAACACCGTGGAAAGCCGGGATTCGGAGGTTGTCAAGGATTGGATTGAAAAAATATCCCAATGCTTGATAATGTCCAAGAAAAATTCTCCGCTCGATAACTTTCTTTTTCAACTGGCCCATTATTGCCTTTGCGACCACCATGCTGGAATGGCCAAGGAGGGGCTGAGGTATCAATGGGTTCGCGATTTCGAAAACAGATACCTGGTAGCCGAATTTACTTCACTTTTGACGGCGAACTTCCGATGGCCACCACCTCCAAGGAAACTCGAATTCATAGCCCACCGACCGAATTGCGCGTCTAGCAAGGGTGTTGAAACGCGGCTTGAAAAATATAAGCGAATCGACAAACTGCTAGAGAAAGCCCTCAGTCAACCCGACAAGAATTATGTCTATGTGATATCCTCACCGGAGGCACCAGGGAAACTTAAGATCGGGGTTTCCGGCACTCACCCAGACGAGCAGCGAGTCATACAGCACAGCAAATGCTACCCCGATTCCAAACGAATCAAGGTTTGGTCGGTAACCAGGTTTGCCTACCGCGTGGAACAGCTTATCTTGGCCCAATTCGAAGAGAAGCACTTCAAGCTTCATGAAAAGTGCTGGGTATGCCTTACGTCCCATCAAGAATGGATAGAGGTTGACGAGAAAACTCTCTTTGATCGCATCGACGAATGGGATGAATTCTTCATTGACCGAGCCCATAAAATCAAATCCATATATGATAAAGATGGCAAGTTCAATCCCGCGGCAGGAAGACATAGTCCTCATCGGAAAGAGAGCCCTAAATGTGATGATATCAGTCCTAATACTGTCGGCAAATTGAACTGGAAAGCAAGAGGAAACAGAGGGAAATCTCCGGAAATCCTCAAGAATTCTACTCCTGTGAAGAAGAGTGGCCGTTCACGCTCAGTGACCGCAGTGGAAGATAGTCCTGCCAAGGACATTGATACATCCGATAGCGACTCTCCGGGAACACCTGCGGAGGAAACCCCTACGAAGAAGGGCCGCCGTTTATCATCGCGCCGAGGAGCTCTGCTGAATGATAGCCGCGTTCCAAGCTCCAAAATTCGCATCTACGCGACCAGAAGCCGTGGAAGTTCAATGGATCCTGACGCTGTCTTGAATGAATCCATGAGGAAGATGGGGTTGGCCGACTGGACTGCACAGCCTATGGAAGAACCAGTACACGAAAAACTGTGTACTTTAATGTGAAATTGATGTACAAGGTTAGTACTCCTTACGTACTACGGGGTATGAACATAGCTGTTCTCCTCCTGAATCTTTAGCTAGGTAGCTCAAATCAGTGGTCTACTTTCTCCGCTCAACTTTACCATGATCTCATCCAATCGGGTGCACATGTGAAGGGCGACACTCAATTTAGAAATGAAGACGTCAAAAGAAATATTAAAAACTGGTAGTCCAAATGTTTGCACATAAACCACACTCCAAGCCCCTATCAGCCAAGTCTACTCCGTACATATTCAAATGTTGGAAATTCTTTAACTCATTACACAGTACAAAGTACGTCATGCTACATGAGAAATTACAGGTCAGGCACATAAATAAGATGGCTGGGAAATATTTGAAACGGGGGCTAGCCGAGCTGGTTGGTAGTACAGAACGTATTTTCACCCTTGTCAAGCGAAGCCGATCATGCCTGTACAGGGAAGCGACTGTTCAAAGTTCTGAATGAACTTCAAGGCCCAAAGATCGTCAAGGCCCCACCAACAGTTTTCGATCCTGAAATCTCGATTGCTCAGGAGAAACGGGCGACAATTGAAACGGTTCCCTTGGCGCTTCTCAACTAATCTCACGTACCCACTTGACTACCGGCCCCAACTGGCCCAGTGCGCCGTCGTTTGAGAAAGACTCCACAAACCGGTCCGTACTTACGAAGCATGCAAGAACATGCACGATTTTCGTGGCGCAGCTGTAGATACAGTGCCTTGTGGTACACCGCCAAATCACAATCCATCGGGGGAAGTCATTCAGTTAGGTCAGTCACACGGTGATCTTGTCCGACCCCACGTCTGACCCCACGGAAGTCGCAGAAATGCGCAGATCCAATTTACGAAAACAATCTGAAAGGAGTGTTTTCTCCGATCTCTTAGTCTGGCTGGTCGAATGAGCTGTGCTGGTTGCCATGTGAGCTTTTCGCTTCTTACTGCATGCGCCCGGTAGAGAAAAGCAAGCATATTCGTTTAGCTCCACCAAGGCCCGCAATTTCAACATGCGTCTAAGCTACTTTTCTGAGCACCCTCGTGGACTCTCTTTCTCTACGACTTAGGACTTAGAGAAATGAGACTACCCAGTCCGAGATCTAGGTCGAAACTGCCTTGTTTCCCTTTTCTTAAACATGTATCATCCACGGTTGCTTGTGAATTGGAACGAGCCGTTGCTCTATAATTGCAACAATGAGAGGCCGTTACTCTTACGATTACGGTCGTCGCAAAATTTTATCGTCGGGGCTGTCGCGTTGTCCTTCTTCACTGTAGGCATTTGATGTCTTATTTTTGCGCGTGAAGAAAAAGCCGAAACTAACGCAGATTGCCAGGATGTCTTTCTACACGCTATGGTATGAATGGATAGTATATCCCACAAACTCAAAACCATGCTCTGACACTGTCCAGATGGTACCTATCATGCCCACGGCGCTTGTCTCTCGAGCTGGAGTTCTATTAGAGGATTGTGCGTACAGACAACTGCCTGGATTTATTGCAAGGGAAGCTTATAACTTTTTCTTTATCCAGGCGAATATTGGAATAGCGCGTTGCTGCTTTCAGAGGCAGTATCTGCGCTTCTTTTCACCCCAATACTCGGTTTCTTCCTCGATTTCTCCGCGAATCGCCAAGATCTGTACCTATTCGGCCTCGTCGTCCTATCAGGATCCATGACGATATTCCTAACCGCCAACTGTGTGATGTGGTTTATTTACGCAAAAGTGTTGCAAGGTGCTGCTACTGCAATGTTGACCGTTGCCGGTCTCGAAATTTTAACCGAAGCTGTGGACAAGCACCAGATAGGAGAGATGATTGGCTATGTAAGCACCGCTATGATTCTCGGATTCATCTCTGGATCCCCTTTGGGGGGTATAACCCTTGAGCTTGGAGGATACTACACTATATTTGGGATAGCTTTTGGACTCATCGGTCTTGACATGGTCTTGCGAATCTCGATCGTTGAGAAAAAGGTTGCTGCGCGCTGGCGTTCGCTGCCTGAGTATTGTCCCTACAAAGGTCATACTTATACTTCGGGATATTTCTCCTGTGAAACTATCTTTAACGGGGAGAATGCCTCTCAGAATATTCGGACTAGTAGCTCGCTCGCTCTAGTGAAGCTTTTACAACAGCCGCGGATCCTTATTAGTCTGTGGGCTGTGATTATTAGCGCGCTGATAATGTCTGCCCTCGATGCAGTAAGTATATGGCCCTCTGGACTATTCTGAATCTATGACTGATCGATCCTGCCCAGACACTTGTTTCCTTTGTACAGGAGATGTTCCATTTTGGTGCGTTAGGGTCTGGTTTGGTTTTCATCCCGGTGGCCTTCACAGGACTTTTTCAACCATTCTTTGGTATGTAGCACCTGTTAAGAGGCATATGACTAAAAGTGACCCTGAGTCAATCTGGCTGACAAAATGCTTTCTAGTATACCTTTGCAAGCGATTTGGATGCAGAACCATGGCATTTGTTGCCTTTGCGGTTCTATCACCGACGCTGGTATGTCTTCGCTTAACAGAACAAGACACGACATTCGACAAGTCAATTCTTTGCCTCATTCTACTTGGCATTGGACTATGCGTCAATCTTGCCGAGCCTGCTCTAATACTGGAAATCCAACGCGTGCTCTATGATATAGAGATCGAAGACCCGTCGCTCTTTGGCGAGAATAATGCGGCTTCGCAAGTATTTGGTCTCCAGATAATGGCACGTCTGGGAGGGTTCGTGCTTGGACCCATCCAAGGTGGCTTTATCTCGTCATATTATGGGTGGAATGTGATGACGACTGGGCTGGGTGTACTATCCCTACTGACGGCGGTACCCATGCTCTGGCTTAGTGGTGATTCGAGTGCCCAAATGAGTGGCGATGAAGATGCAGAGAGGCAGCCTCTACTTTCTGCATAAAGATGTTTGATGTCTTCTTGATGCATTTATGACCTTACGGATCAAGCGATGATTACGACTACGACTATGACGACGATCCATGGATGATGGCCATCATGACAATGATGATGAGTGCGACTATGACTGGGGTTCCATTTTTTCTTGATATACCCTATTTTTGATGATTTGAATGCGAATATTCAAGAGAATAAATAGCATGGGTGTATTACGGATTGATCTGACGAATCCATGATGATGAATATGATAAATAGTAGTAACTAGTAGATCAAGTTAAGATAAACTAAGCCCCACATGATTGGAAGAACGGCCCGTGACCGGAAATGGAACTGATGTTGATTGGTCACTTGTAGAGCAACACCTGGAAATTCACAAAATCGAGTATTTAGTTCAGAGAAACTGCAAATGAAAGGTATCACCTACAATCTACTAGTATATGCTTCAGCCACATGCAAACATGGATGCGTCTTCCCCAATTGAACTCACTCAGACCTTTCAATACTCCAGCAACACCCACAGCTACAAAGTTCGCTGGACATCCCTCGGCGACAAAAGCTGCCCGCCATTAGTCTTCGTTCATGGCACACCCTGGTCATCCCGGGTCTGGCACGTCTATGCCCAGTCACTCGCCAAGTACTTCCATGTCTACCTCTCCGATAATCCCGGTTTCGGCACAAGCCCACTCGGCAAACCTCTCCCCGGGAAGGAAGATGCTATCACAAAAGAAGCTGCCTTGGACGCAGATCTATCAGCACAGTCCGAAGTGTTTTCCGCGCTTTACAAATTCTGGGCGGGAACTTGGGGACCGAGGAAGGCACATGTCATTGCCCATGACCACGGCGGACTGATGAGTTTACGGGCGCATATAGTCCACGGTTGCGAGTTTGCAAGCCTGTGTCTGATTAATGTTGTTGCGCTGGGGCCTTTCGGGCAGCCTTTGTTCAAATTAATTGCCGAGCACGAGGAGGTCTTTCTTGCGTTAGAGGGCCCCGTTTTTGAGGGTATCGTTGAGTCTTATATTCGCGATGCGGCACATTCGGATTTGAATAGGGAAACCATGGAGATTTTGAAGAACCCATGGGTATCAACCGAGGAAGGGAGGAGGGGCTTTGTGAGGCAGATGGTGCAAGCCAATAGCCGCAACACGGAGGAAGTTGAGGGCAGGTATCCGGAAGTTGGTAAGGCTATGCCTGTTCGGATCATCTGGGGGAAAGAAGATCGATGGATCCCAGTTGAGACTGCATTCAGACTGAGAGAAAGCTTGAATGCTCAGGATGTGGTGCTGATTGACGGAGCGGGACATTTGGTGATGTATGATCAGGAAGGAAAACTAGGTGTGGAGCTGGGATGGTGGTTAAGCCAAGCAAAAAACATTGAATATTGAGAAGCCTGAGTAGATATCAAAATCAGAGCCTCATTCCAATCTACCTATTAGACAACCTTGGAAACTAGTAACATTTCTTTAAAGCTGCATCAAAAAGACGGCATCGCTGGAGCTCATCACATGAGTCTCATGTTGAAATTGGAGATGGGGCCCAGCACCCAATTCTGACACCGCCATGGCTCTCTCAAACAGAGCAGGACTCGATGAACCCGGATCAGTATCTGTCCTAGGATATGATTTCTTCTGCTTCCCACTTGACTCAAGTCCTACTCACCGTGTACTACTCATCTCACATCACTCTCTCTTGCTGTTGAGAACGCTCCTATTTCCGTCATTCGCCTTTTACTCAATCACTGTGGAAAATCTTTGAAAAGGTCAACTTCTCCACCGTGCTATGGAAAGAGAATCAGATGCTGTCGAGGTTCCTCACAAGGAAACTTTAGGCTCGAAAGTCCCGAGATTTCAATCTTCAATCTTCAATCTCGCTTGCTGTCTGACGGGTATGATACAACATTGAAACCTAAGTTGGTATATCTAACATTGAACCTTGGAATATCCTCCGTGACCCAAGATGAATTTCCATTGCATAATTAAGTTAAATGGGCGCAGGCCACGAGGTCGGAACAAGGTTTCTTCATCAAGGAGACCCAATTCAATGTTGGATCCAGCACGGTGAAAGTGTATGATCTGCTTTTGGTTCGTACACTTGCGATACATAAGATGCTATTCTCGCAGTTAACGAAATCTTCCAAAGTTCGACTTGGGTATATTAAACCAAGTCATATTGCTGCTTGATGCAATTTTCCAGCGCTTGCCTCGAAGTCCTTTTTTTCTAAACAATAAGATCAGGACATGGTTGAGTCGATCACAATGGCTTCAAACAATTCCCCAAAGAAGATCGATCACCATCGGCGCATCCTTTTAATAAGTACTCCTCGAACTGCATCAAATCCCCTCGTGAAAGTTCTGAACATCCCCAACCAGCCAAAGACCTACACAAATGAGAAGGGTGGATATTTCTTCTACCCGGCCTTCATATTAGCAGCGCAAAATGGGTATTTGGAGAAACCAGTAGCTCAATGGACCGAGTCAGAAAAACGAAACGTCACAGCAGTGTACCAAAGCTGCTTGAACAGCCTAGAAGAAGCAACCACAAGGGCGCTCGCTGCAAACAAAACGATGTTTGTAAAAGAGCATGCATTCTGGATCTTCGGGCCGGCGGCGTTTCAGAAGAAACTGACAGGCGTGCACGACGAAAACTTTCTCAATGCATTCCGCGTTGACACGCCAGAGAAGTACGGTCCCACGAAAACCTACGCAACATCCAACGAGACTATCCTCTCGGACGAGTATCTGCGTTCTTGGCAGATGGCGTTCATTATTCGGCACCCGGCACTGTCCTGGCCGTCTTTTTGGCGGGCCATGCTGAAGTTCGTGAAGGAGGGTATTCTCGATGAGGATGCCGTGGAAGGGACGACAATGACTAGTATGGGCATGTGCTGGGCTCGTTCGCTGTATGATTGGTGCATAGAACAACCTGGCCTGTCTCGCCCACCGCCGGTTCTGGATGCATATGATTTGATCAACACCCCCGGGGCTGTGGTACGTTTTGCGGAGGAGGTAGGATTGGATCCAGATGTTTTACGGTTTGAATGGGACTCGCAAGATCATGAGACAGACACTGGGTTTTGGGCGTCGAATCGTGCGAAGGAGAGTGCTGGGGATGATGTGGAGGGGTCGCATATTCGTGCGGCAAATATCATGTTAACTGCACTCTCAGGTTCCTCGGGAATGATCACAGGCAGGACCCCAGCGGAGGTTGATATTAGCGCTGAGGTAAGAAAGTGGAAAGCTGAGTTTGGAGATGAGGTTGCTGGGATTATTGAGAGTGCGGTTTTCGAATCAATGCCTGATTACGAGTACTTGAAGGCTCGGCGGATCACTGTTTGACTCAAACTGATGGTGGTGACTTGGAAGTATGACTATTTACTTGAAAGCTAGTCTGTAACAGGTGGGTGTAGGTACCAAGGTAATAATTCCATAAACACTATATACATGTATTCTTACTACATTTGAATTTGACCATCAGTGAATAACAACAATGAAACCTTGGAACTGATCGAAGTTTCCTAAACTCCCTCACATCAACCACTCCAGGATGATCATCGAACAATATGAGAGGGAAAAGGAAGAAAGGGAAAAAGGATTAATTCAAGAAGGGATTGATATCATGGAAGGTTCCGATGTACGTCATTGATAGCAGTGTGACCGGTTGCCCTAGACTTCACGCACACTCGGGGGTTGGCCTGGAGACTCCTGGGATATTGAGTTGCGGCCACGCAGACTGAGATTTCCAATTCGCTGGACCAAATTGCTACCAACTGCATCCACGGCCCCCTTTGGAGCCAGTAGAGTCGGTCCCTGAGCAGCAGCCTCTTGAACTCTAAATAGACGGATTCCGGTGCCGTTCCAAACACCGACGGTACCCGCAGTTGCACCCGCAGCAGAGCCCACTACCATCTCACTCGAAAAGATGAAGCCCCAGAGGAGAGACTCGTACCAACCCATGGAAAGGGCAGACCACTCAAATGACTGGGCGCGGGGTGGTGTCGGCTCTAAAATGATACTCTTGACTTGTGGCTCTTCGGCAAATGATGGAAGATTACTGATCAGAGTACGGGCCTCGGGGCTTGCAGTAGTCTGCAGAGCAGCTTCTGGAATATGGGGAGCAATGGCGGAAATGATGGTCAGAATTGTATGCAGCGGTAACTCTGGAAGCCAAGATTCGAGCTGTGAAAGAATTAGTAATGCCACAGAAAAAAATATTGCATGATAAACTTACCCAAGGAACAGTTGGCATGAAGCCGGTTGACGAGGCAGTGAACAGAGCAGACATGCTTGTTTGACTTGTCATGCTATTCTGGCGAGAGAAGGACGGGCGACCGGCGGGCATTTTGCCACGAGCTTTTTCGGACATGCCCCGCAACTGCTGTGAGCCATTCTCATCGGTAGTTGAGGCAAAAGAAGGCCTACGTGAGGTTTGAGCGGAAGGAGACGATTGAGACGGTGTGTTTTCTCCTTCGTCGTCTGAATCGTCATCTCCAATCGCGAACGCGCTGTTCTCTTCGGGAATACGAGTCAAAGGCGACCGAGCACCCGAAGGTGTGTGTAAATCTTCTTCGGAGTGGGATAGCGAGGGACTGCTGATCACATCGGCTGGGGTCTCTCTAGCCTTTCGTTTTTCCCTCTGTCGCTCAATTTCTTGCTGACCACTCTCAAGCGTGAAAGCTCGGATGGCTTCAAATCGTTGTTTATACTTCAAGATAGCGTATACGAGATACCGGTTTTCTGCATTACAGTTAGATTAATCATATTAAAGATGAAAGCCATTGTATCATACCGGTGAAGTTGTGCTCAAGAATAGCATTGATGAAGTCAAGCAACGAAGCAAGAAGAGTATGATTTGTCTCATTGGCCAACAAAAAGCTGGGCGCAGACATAGAAGAAAAAAGTTGAATCACTTTGGGAGAAGTCACAGCCGAAATATGCTGGATGTATGGGGCGATGTTGTTTAAGATGATCATGAGGGCGGGATAAACTGTGTCGAGGTTCCCTTTACTAGTTGTCATGAGCGTATGGATCGACTGCGAGAATTAGTAAATACCGGTATAGCCTTATGAAATATGTCATACCATAATAAGATAATCAGCATAGGAGCCTCGGAATTTCTCCTGTCGAATTGACAGTGGCAGGGTTTCTTGTGCCTCGAAATGAATGTTGAGACTCTTGCCGAAAGTCGGTTCCGCACTCATCGTCTGAAGAATGAAGACACACATCCGAACTACTCCTTGTTTAGATGGATCGGCTCTATACTCCATGGCATAAAATATGCAAAGAATCAAGAAATCATGCGAGCGGTTGGAGTCGATGATGAATGACCTGAAACGCTTATTGCACTGCAAAGTCTCCCAGAAGAGGATCAGGATCTCCGGTGCCCATTTCACTGATCTTTGACTTCCTGGAAGTAATGAATTTGTGGCTTGCATCTGTCTCCTGTATTAGTATCAGACATAGATGACTGGCACGTAAATCACATACAGGCTGGTTTAGAATTCTGGTCATGCCATCTACGAGGAACTGGAAATCCTGGGGCCTATGCAGCCTACCAAAGTAATGGCGATAGTAATTCTTCGGAGGAGTACCACGGCCATCTTCGGGAATTGGGTAAAGTAGAAGGACAAGGAGAAGCTGTAAGCAGTAGATGACCAGTATCTGCTTAGGGTCTTTCCAGACCACGTGGTCGTATGGAACCCTCCATGTTGCAGGATTGTATTTCATGGCCTATACAAATGTCAGTACAAGACTTGGTTTTGGGGAGCCTATGCAGGCATACCGTGTTCAGCAGGGAACAAAGTGTGGTCAAAACGGCCTGCTTGTCCTGACACGTGGTGATGTATGTGATGGCCCGTACACCTTGTACGGGGAGCGTGTCTAGCAATAAACTCATCAGTATGGCAACCATTTCGAGGTCAAGGAAAAGCACTTACTGGAAGGTAAGTACATTGCCTTTCCGGTCATCGTGAGCAGTAGCCGGAGAATCTCGCATCGATTATTCTCAAGGGTTTTGTTGGATCCCATAGATGTATTGCAGCCCACACCACTTTGCCAGATCGAGTATGAGATCTTGCTTTTGGCAGTTGGAAGCATTGGAATGGTGAAGTCGGCGAAAAAGAGCAAGTCAAGCAACGTATCGATCAACTCCTCTGCGAGAGGTTTCACATCTTCGTATTCTTCTCCGTATGGCGAAGACCCGTCTTGCTGATCCTCCAGCTGTGCATCGTCAAAGAGCACTTCCCCTGCAATCTGCGACTGTCTAGTCTTTCTCTTGCGACGCGACCAAAAGAACTTCTCTTCCCAATCCTCCAGGTGTTCGGCTTCGTAGACAAAGGGTAGGAGCCGGGTGAGTATGCGAATGCAGTTGAGCACATCACGATCGGGTGCAAGATCGGGATCGGGGAAAGAAGGGTGGTTTTTCAAGACTATAAGCCGTGAGGACACTGAGAGTATCAACGTTTCAAAGTTCGATAAGGCATGGTCGCGCGTTCGTCGGATGTCAGCAGGCGTGAACAAGCTGAAGACATCTTCTGTAGACTCGGGTAGCTCCCAGAACTGAATAAACCGGTCAGCTATAAGCATCCCCCATTCCTCGGATCCAAGCGAATCCTCTCTTGGGGTAACATACTCTCGTCCAGTAAGGGTCGTCGGCGGGGATCTCCTTCTCTTCGGAGAGGCGGAAGATGCCTTGCTTGAACACAAGCTTCGACTCCGAGGCCCCCATTGCTGGTAAATGAACCCAGTCCCTCACGGGGTAAGGTTCATATATCAGCTAGTCAGGAAAGTCTCAAAGCAGAGTGAGGGTGCTGGTGTCTTGCGCGGAGGTAGTTGGTGTTGCGTTCGTTCCTATTGCGGAGTCTCGGCCGTGTATTGGCTGCCGAGCCCACCCAAACACCCATGACATATGCGCCTCTTTATATTCACCGATGTACCTTTAATCTCTTTCATGAACTTAATAAAGCGGAAAATGTTACAAGAAAAGTAGGTATAGCCCGAATATAAATTCTCAAAGATAACTAGTAATATTTATGCATTAAAAAAAGCCCGCTATGAGTACCATGATCTACCAACTCCAATTCCACGCAGTCCATGTGTAAAACCCCACAAACATAAAATCAAATCACATCGACCCAGCGCTAGCGGACAACCTTCGGCTTCTCTCATAAAGCCACTTATTACTGACTGACAAGCTGGTTCGCTTCCCTGCTAGAGGAGAAGGTGTACCGGGGCCGATGCTGGATTCTCCGAACGAGGCGGTGCTGCGACCAAGAGGCGAGGATGATCCGAAACTTGGTCGCCGACCTGTATCTCTTCCACCGTTGGCAACTGCTTTATGGAACAATGGACTGGAGGCAGGCGAGAATGGAGTACCGGAGGAAACGCGTCGCTCTGAAAAGTTGGGTGTCGCAGACAGGGGCGACCCGCTCTGGCTTGCAGGGCTGCCTTTGCGCGAAGTTGACACGCGGTACCTTGGCGGGGTGACATATGTAGTTCCGGGTGTAAGAGGAGGGGTAGCGGTGGGATCCAAGCCCAGAAGGGCTCGCTGAGTAGGTGTCAAGGGAATATCGGAGAGGTTATCCACTGGTCGGAAGAGAGGGTACAAGGCGATGAGAATGTTGACGACGAAGAAGAGCTGAATGAGCAGTAGCGAAGCCTCGGGATATGCCGAGTTATGGTCGAAAATGTAATGCGAGCTTTTAAAAGAATAAAATCAGTGAAATGTGTACAAGCATTTGTCGATCACGAAGCTGACCTGTTCTTGATGCTGTTTCCAAAGCCCCAAGTAATAGCTAGGGCACCTCCGTTCCAAATGACCTTTCGCAAGTTCTTGTCACCAAATGTAGCTGCGTTCTGACGTCGGACAATCTCATCCAACTGGGGGTGGCGCCATTTCCCGGGGGTTTCAGACCCCGCGGAGGGGGGAGCTGCCATCGCTGCCATCGGCGTGGCCTTGGGGGTCGAGGGGAGGGAATCCATTGTCGCAAGTCGGATCAACAAATAATAAAAATGAACGGACAATGGTAGATAACAAGCTTGTAGTAGTTCAAAAGAGACAAAGCCGGCTATAGTTCCAGAGTTAGGGATATGGTACTTAACATTTGGAAACGGAAGCAGGGGAACTTACGCTTGAAAGAAAACCGTGTAGAACTTACCAACTTACCTTCGGACGCGGGGGGAGGGGTATTGGGAGAGAATTTCAATTAGATCGCCGTGGGCATTGACAGCGCCTAAAGGTTGGTAGTTCCCAGAGTGAAGGGGGTTGTTGTTTTGGTGTTGCTGGTTCGTGGCTGGGATTTGCAGAGAAACGCTAAGCGCGAAGTGATTAAACGCCGGTATAAGGTTGGCCCGGCCCCGCCTTATCAATACTCGTGTTGCTCTCACGTCATATTGATACTCCGCAATTGTTCTTCCTCGTGTCATCAATTCGCAATGGCAGATCAACCGATTCTTCAGAGATTGGATACTCTGGTGGCCGATATCTTGGCCGACTGGAATATCTATAGCACCATCGTCGCTGGCGCTGTTGCTGCTTTTGCGATCTATTCCGTGGTGTCAGCTAAGGACCCGGATGTTCATCCATTCTTACTTGCTCGCCAATCCACACCTTCACCCATCCGACAGTCAGGCGAATCCGCAACCTACCGCAGCTTAGAAACCCCTTATGGCTTCCCTCTACGGGCTGGATTGAATGTCAAGGACCCCGGTGCGGCCAAGTGGACAGCTGGTAGGAAAGGTGATTTGCGCGACATCTGGCGGGCTGCGGTACGGGGAGCTTTGAATGAGGACGGTACCCCATCCAAAGTGCAAGGAAAAATATACACTGTTCTTGGTAGACAGGCTATCGAGCACTCTCTGTCCCAAGTAACCCAGGAAATCAATGTGATTGGTCACCATCTTCAGAAGGCTGAAGTCAAGGTTGTTGCAGTCTGCCTGACTGACTCGGTTGAACTGCTGGCCGCTCTCTTCGGTATTTGAACCAAAATCACCCACACTTCAGTTCTATACTAATTCCTTTACATAGCTGGTGCTTTCTATGGATTCAAGACCATCCTTGTCCCCCACAACCTTCCAGCCGAGACCCTGTCAGCACACCTCCAGACAGTTCAGGCCGATGCCTTGATCGCTGAGGCCGGATCTCTTGATCTCTCGATCGCCGCCCATGGCAACAAGCAACTGTCACAAGTCGTGTGGGTTGCAAAGTTCGGTAATCAGCATATGGACTGGCATGGAGTTCCTGAGGGTGTGGACGGTACCATGAAAGTTGATGTCTGGCATGAGCTAGTGGAGGAAAAGAAGGACTTGGCCGGCTTGGATGTCCCCGAATATGACCCCAAAGAACCAGCTCCTGGAATCACCACTGTCTGGCCTTCTTCTGACGAGTCCGGCAAATTCATTGATTTCCAGTCAGAGGTAAGAAATGACCATTATTTTCTTTCAATATTGCCGTCATGATATTGACCGTATTATAGAACCTAGTCGCTGCTATTGGGTCCCTGGGTTCTACTCTTCCTCGAACCCAGCGTTTTTCTTCCTCGGATATTGTGCTCTCTATTGACTCCCTCTCCCGGTCCTACCCCCTCTGCCTTATCATGAATGCACTGTTCTCTGGTGCCTCTATTGCTTTGAACTCGGTCGCGGGAGAGAAAGTTGACTTTGCTTTGGCTACGGTCGGGGTTTCGCCCACTGTCATCATTGCTTCATCACAGACAATGGCAGACTACCACGACAGCGTCATGCGACCCCAAGCAGGACTTCTTTCCTCCCTTGGCCGCTGGGTCCAAGCTCGCACTTTAGATGCTGGAAACATGCCTTCAAAGAATATCTTCAGTCAGCTGGCCCGAGTTGGGCCAACTGCGGAGCTGTCGTTAGATCAACTGCGGTTACTGTGTATCTCGCATCGCATTGATGCACCTACCGAGGCCCGTCTTACCTCGGAGCAAATGACAGATTTGCGGATTTTCACCGATGCTCGTCTTGTATACGCTCTGACTGGACCTGGTATTGCCGGTGCTATCGCTCAGTCGAACGTCTTTGACTACCGCCGCTCGGATGGTCCGAGTCACTTTGGTTCTCCTCTCAGCAGTACCGAAATTACACTGACTGCTGTCTCGGAAGATCTTATCACAGACACTCCTGAAGGCCAGGTAAGATAATCTTGGTCTGTTTAACTAGCCTGGATGATTTGCTAACTTGCAGACTTAGATCAAAGTATCCGGCCCTGCCGTTGTCGATGGCGAGACCACCCTTACATCCCAAATCCGTATTAGCAAGGACAACACTGTAGAGCTGTGCTCTTAAATGACCTTCCTATGCTGTCACTCTTCATTCAACCATTTTCATCAAGCGTTTGTCTCCTTTTCGGCCTTCAATGGTGATCACCCTGATCATCATCTCGCATTTTGATAGGAACTTGAAAATTTTGTTGATAATCCCCGAAGGGTTCAAAGCTAAGTATTTATTATGATCACATTCCCTCTTTGCAGCACTTTCCCACCTGCATATTAAGGTTCTGGTTTCCCAGTCCCCTCTTGGGAATTCCCTAGATGAATGTGCATACGTAGATGTACCTAGCAAAGTAATAATAGTAAGGGCAATGTGGAGGTATGCAGTCAACTGCTAGCATGAATGACGAAGTAAGGCAATAATGTTCGATTGAAATACAAGATCAGCTCCAAAGATGCTGGAATAAGAGTAATATACATATGCCGGTATGCTTCTCAAAACAACTGACAGCCAAAAACCACGCTTAAAATCCTTTATTTCTGAAGCACAGCCTGGGCGAACTCAGCGCTGTGCACCTTATCAGCAGAGCCCTCGGGGATCGCCTTAAGTTGCGCTGTGATAGCCTTCTTCACCTCAGAGAGGCGTGATGTAACAGCTGTGTGCAGAGCCTTGTCAACGGCAACACCGTGAATCGACAAACAGAGCTGCAATCCCTTGCACACCGCAATAGATTCAATGAACCGTTGGTTCACGAGCTCTGCGTCAAACTGATCCTTAGGGATAGTCGAAAAATCACCCAAGTGCCAAGAAGCAATAAGCTTCCGTGCGTAGTTCAACACATCGCCGTTGTCTTTGCCACCAGCCTCTGCCAGGGCACGCGCAGCGCTAAGCTCCAGCAGTGTTCCAATAACATAAGGCTGGTACTTTGGGTTTGTGGCCGGGCTTGGGGCGTATGTGTCCATGATATCCACAGCCTGCTTTGCCATCTTAAGAGCCTTGTTCACCTTTTCTCCCTTGAAGCCAGCCTCGTGGGCCATGCGGTGGAATTCGAAGAACAGACGCTCGGTGTTATCGTTGTTTTGTAGCGACAGGCCGGTGTGCTTTTCTTGTCTGGCGCATTCAAGGATAAGAGAGAGTCTGCCGGCGCTGCCGGTCTTGCGAATAAGGTATTGCCATCTGGCGGGAGAAATGGACATTTGGGCGTTCCAGAGTCCACTCAAGAAAGGCACGAGGTTCTTGTAGTCGTTGGCAGCTTCCATTAGACGGAAGACATTGATGGCCTCCTTGCTCTTGGGCAGTGAGGAGAGCTTCAAGGGTCGCAAAGTGTACTCTTCGGTCTCGCTAATCTTCACGGTGATGGGTTCATCTTCCAATCTACGAGCATGTTTCTCCTTGAACATGCTCATGCGCTGTCGTTTGGGTAGGCCGAATGGAATGAAGAGGTCTTGTCGCCAGTGTTCAAGGGCCTGGTTCAATTCGGTAGATGCGGTAGTGGTGAATGTAGGAATTGCTATACACCAAATTTAATCAATTAGCAAGCCAATTTCCCAGTTCAGAAGCCATTGGGCCATAGTATCTTACCGGATTTTGAGGCAAAGGTGCGGACTTGCGAAAAGGTCACCGACTGGCGCGAGGTGCCCTGCAGCCGGAAGAGCCTGCCCATAGCGAACTGAGCCATGATCAATTAATACCGATACCCGGTAAAGATACTCCTTGCACAATGGGCAGTACGCTGGAGGGCTCTGGGTGTTATTTATTGCGTACAACAACTTCCGTTTGGAAAGAAGCGCGAGATGTGAGTCCGGGCGGCGAAGAGAATATCGAGTCTTGGCACGAAATTCTGCCGGATCGACTCAATTCCAAAACTCGACGCCGACTTTGTTCTTCGATACCCCATCAAACCACCAAGACCAATGGCTGCCCTACCGACAATGCGGCCACTAGGCTGCCTGCGGTCCTTGATTAGAACTCAGGATGCCTTTCAGCCACAGATGACCCGCCGGTTCATTTCAACAGCCTATTCGAAGAGACCCGAGCGTGTCCCTCTCCCTCCAAATCTTCCCCAGCAATTCCTCTCACAATTACCGCTGCGTATGCAACCGCAAAATGGTAAGTGCCTACGGATTTCTCCAGGTGATTTTTTGTAGGTGTGTTATGCTGACTGGAGCCGTTTGTTCAGCTTCCAAGCCCGTCAAGGTCTACCCAGCTCCTCCCTCCACCCGCAAAGCATGCAAAGATCCCATCGGAAAGATCACCGAATCCCAGCTCGAAGTCCTTGACCCCAAGGGCGAGCGCAAGGCCCTGTTCGACTACCGCCGGAATACCCGCAGTGTCAAGCCCGGTGATATTGTGCGCGTGACTTTCAAGAACGGCGACCCCTTCAACGGTGTGGTGCTGAGTATCAAGCTCCGCGGTATTGATACTTCATTCTTGTTGCGCAATGAGCTCACTCGTGTGGGTGTTGAGATGTCGATCAAGGTGTTCAGTCCCAATGTGCAGAGTGTGGAGATTGTCCAACGCGCTGAGCGCAAGCCCCGTCGCGCAAGACTGTACTACATGCGGTTCGTCAATTCCATACTACAATCCGGCATCGTGACTACTAGCAACATCATACTGACAAGGATTTATCAACAGGTCCCGCAAGCACGACCGCCGCAGCGTGGAGAACGTTGTGGCCGCCTACGTCCGCCAGAAGCGGGCTTTCCTGGGTGGCAACCGCCAGAAGTGATTGCGCAATGGCGCAATATAGTTCATTTAGCATATTCCAGCCTGTATTATTATCTGTCAATAGTAAATGTGTTTCTACTTCTAGACATGGTTCCTTCAACTGCACTGCCAAAACAAAAGTAAGCTTCAAATCTACTTGGAAATTTCATGGTAATATCCACGGATCATTCCCAAGGTTCCATCGAGACGAACCGGACTGATCATACTTTGTATCGAAATTGCATGCTTTTCTGGGGTTTTGGTCAATATCAATTTCAATGTTGATATATCGCCCAGCGCAGCTTCAACTATTTAAGTAAGTACTATGGAGCTAAAACACGTGCAGGGTCAAGCCCGAGTTCCGCCTCAATTCCCAACCCCCTTCAAACTTTCAATACCTCAACCAATCTTGTATATTGGCCAGATATATGAGATACATGTATATTGGATCTTCATTATTTCACAGAATGGTCTTCTCTTCGGTGTTGGTGTCAGCCGTGGCCCTGGCTTTAGCCGCCGGTCCGAACCCTGTTATCGGGACGATTACCTCTAGTCTTCAGCACATCTTGCAGAACACCCATGGCGGCGAAGAGTACCAATATCCCACAGATATTACCCGAGACATTCCTCCGGTAAGTGATTTGACCTCGTCGCTCAATACTGGATTCAAATGCGCCTTTATTCCCCTTCGGCCGCTTTGCCTTGGTGAACTGGATTAACGTCATGTCTACTAGATTCCCGTTCATTCTCACAAGTATGTTAAGCGTTTACATATCTGAATACGCCTATTGGCAATTCGCGTTTCTATTTTACCGGTTCTAACTTGTCGTTAATAGTGACTATTGGAGACAAGAGCCATTCTGGACGGGTATGTTACCAGAAGCTTATTCGCAATAATTGTATTAACCAAATCTTGGCAGGTCTTTCGAAAGGATGTACATCAACCGAGGCAGATGTCTGGCTATACAATGGCACGCTATATGTAAGTTCGGCTTGTACCATCATTATCGAATGACCGAGCTAAACTCGGCTGGATAATCCAGGTCGGTCATGATCAATCTGCCTTGACAAAGGACCGAACGCTTGAAACCCTCTACATCAACCCAATCCTCGATGTCTTGACTCGCCAAAACCCAGATAGTCCTTTTGTGACTGAGCCCACTAAGAAGTGAGTGTTTTTATTTCTAATATTCAATTCTATTCCATTCCTAACCAGGCCAAAATAGTGGGGTTTGGGATACCGCGCCAGACCAGACTCTCTATTTTTTTATCGACGTGAAAACCTCCGGTCCGGAGACATTCAAGGCTGTCATTCAGGCTTTAGAGCCCCTCCGAGAGAAAGGATATCTCTCCAAAGTTGAGGGCGGTAAAGCCGTTACTTGGGGACCGGTCACGATTATCGGCACGGGTGAAACTCCACTTGAGATGGTGACTTCTGTCTCCGATCGCGACTATTTCTTCGATGCCCCTCTTGCAAATCTCAAAGACCCCAAGTATTCGAGCATCGATGGCACAGTTTCACCGATCGCGTCAACGGACTTTGCTGCCGCAGTTGGCAAGTTAACAGCTGATACGGACCCGCTCCTCACGGATACGCAGCTTGGGGCTCTTCGTGAGCAGATTGCAATCGCAACAGAGCGGGGCATTGGCGCGAGATACTGGAACACCCCATACTTCCCAATTCGAACGCGAAATGCAGTCTGGAGGACGCTTCTTCGCGAGGGAGTTACGCTTCTCAACGCTGATGATCTCGATGCAGTCGCCTCTCACTTTTAACCCTCATCTCGAAACAACCACAAGAAGAGCTTTCTTGGATAAAATTATGGGCCCAATCCACTCTATCGTCCATTGGTGGCTCCTATTAGCAGTATAGATTTTAATTTATGTATGTACTAAGTAGACTTGGTCTCACAGAGCTCCCGCCATAAGCATCCATGTTGCATCATACACTGTTTCACTTTCACTTTCTATTCACTTCCCCACCCGGTCGCCATATTCACCCGTCTTTCGAGTAAATTAAACACCAACTGATCTCTACTGCTATCTTGTCAATAATCTTATCAGTATTTGAACTCTTACTTTCCATCAATTCAATCTCTTCCACGACATATCACTGAATATCGGTCGGTACCTGGCACGTGATCAGCAACGACAGGCCAAAATCACTGCATATTCGAGCTCCACTACTTCTCAGTCCAACCTCGCCCAACATCCAATCTCATTGGTCGAAACTGAAAATGGCTCATGGTGATCTGGGAGATCTCTTGGCCAAGGTGCTCCCCACCGGGGCCGAGGTCACTGTCCGCCATATCTCATCTACACCCGTCCCAAGTGTCGCCCTCTTCGCCGCAGCGCCCGGCCATCAGCCCGAGTCCACCTTTTGCGAAAATCACTTCCTTTCCGTTTCAATTGACTCGCCCAAAGATGCCGCGGCTGAGATCATTGTTTTTGGAATTGAAGTACTGATCTACAACTCGGCCCACCTTACCACAATATTTGTATCGAAGGCTGATTCCACTGGCCTTCTGCACCTACTTAAATTACCGCAGAAAGTCTCGGTCCTGAGACTGATCACTCATACCTTTTTGTCTCACCTGGCTCGCACCCACCAACGGCCTGGGGTACGCTTAGTCGTGTCGTTGTTTGCGCGTGCTCAGAACCAATACATCTTCCCCGGCAGCATTGAGAATGCGGAAAAGCATGTTCTCAATGACCGAGGCTTGATCAAATGGTGGTGTCGCGCTATTGATCCCATTCTCAATGAGCACGAGCCCGAATCTGTCTCGCAGGATAGCAAGCCAGTCGATCAGACCATAGAGGCCTCCAAAGCTTCCTCAACCGCATACTTGATTGTCCCTGGATGCGACCGCCTTGAAACCCGCGGCTTTTTCCCTTCCACTTCCAAAAATTATGCACAGGGTCAGCCTCGATGGCTCGCAAGTTACCCGTTGCGCCAAATGGTTGATGATCCCGCCGCTCCGCCCCGGTGTCTGATTCCCCGGCTTCCAGATGATCCCAAGACACGCTTTCTGATCGATCTGGATGACGAACTTCCAGAACCTACCCAGGGTGAAACACAATCTCTTCAAACTGGCCAATGGCGAAGTATCAAGTCTGTGGACCAGTTCTGGGAGATGATGTCATATCGACAGGAGTGCTCTGCTGGCCGACTGGTTGGGTTCCTCTGGCTTGTCATCAACCCTCCTGGCCTGATCAACTCGACAACAATGGCTAGCCAGACACGTGCATCTATTGAAACGAGCTCGGGTTCCCACGAAGCGGAAGCCTCTAATCCGTTGGAGGATGAGCACCCGCAAGAGGTTTCCAGTAAGGCAGAGCCTGGGTCTCCAAAATATACAACTGCAGTTGGTACAATTACACCAGAGGAGACTTCTGAACACCTTCCAGTGTCTTTTGACCGCCCTTCCTTCCAGACCGACATCTTAGCTCCTTCAGCGAATGACAACCCATTCTTCTGGCCCGAGGCCGGCCGAGGACAAGTGGTTCTCGATGCGGAAGATTATAAAAAGATGATGGACGGGGTCCTAGATCATTTCTATGATGAAACAGAAATCGTTGCCAGCACTCGACTCTATGTTGATCAGGTAGCTTCTCTGGCCGATCAACTTACATGGGGCCAACGGGTAGTTGGCACTCATACACATGAGGTGGCTGCCGCTCAACCTGCAGCTATAAATAACCTTCTCAACGGTAGTTTAGTACGCAAAAGGAAGAAGCCGGAAGCTGAGAGTGGAACCCCCACTAGGGTTGATGCAGATGTCGGCCCGGCACAACCGAGCGGGACTGGTGCCGACGCTCCAGCCCAGGCAGCTGTTGTTAATGTTCTCGGTGCCGGCTTATTGCGGAAGAAGAAGAAGACATGATTATCTTGGGTTTCTCTGGTTGGGTCAGGAGTTCTAGGTCAGCTTGAATGGCAGCTATGGTTATGGTTCACGTTTTGATTTTAGTTTGGCCGGCGGGATGTTAGGGTGCTACTTTAAATATTATTATTTCAACGTTGTTGATGTCGCATTTGATCCAATGGAACTCATATAATTTGACATGACTATCAATTGATTCTGATCATTCCACGGTTCGAAGCCAAAAAAGAATAGGTAGTAGCTATTTGATGGCTTCAGGTTTATGTACACAAGTTATATGTACACTAGCGGAGCCGCAAAAACAAGCTTGCTTGGCCAAAGCTCAAACTACTCTGGACATATCACATCTCAGATGAATTGAATTGACAGCCCAAGTGATATTGAATAAAGATTTCATTTGCTCAAATTAAACGTACTTTTGAGCTATGCTAGTTCGTTTAGCTTACTTTTGCTAATCAAAATCAAAAGCACCAAACCCAAGAATTGTAAGCAAGGCGGTGCGCAAGGCAAAAAAAAGGGAAGCCGCTATATCCGATCCGAGCTGTGATGGAAACCAGCTCCACAAGCGGCCCGACCAACGCACAATTGCGCATACTCTTGCAATCGAAGCTGGATCTTTCTTTCTGTCCTAGAATGTCCTCTTCGCCTGCGTTGTCACCGTTTCTCTGAGTCCCATGCTAGAGCCGATCTTGCATTTCCTCCGCAGGTCGCCCATCGGTGATGGCGATATGCCTGTGTCCGTCGCGGCGGGCTGGATCGGTCTGATCTGGTATATCGTCGTGCTGTGCGTGTGTGCCTTGGGTTATATTCAAATGTATGTTTCCGTTGAAGCTCGAGGGGCTTGTTGTGTCCTTTTTCGTGAACCCTGACGCGCCCCGCGACGTTATTGAGCGGGGGCGTGGAACGCAAATTAGCGTTGCCTGATTACGACTGTGGCTAACCTCGAATTTCATCTAGTTGGAGATACTTTTTACAACAACCACGCCCCTCTCGCCTCGCTAATGATCCTGATGCGCCCCATGTCACTGCAATTCGCCCTGTTAAAGGCCTAGAACCACATCTTTACGACTGCCTTGCTGCCACCTTTCGACAAAAGTACCCACGCGACAAACTTACCATCTGCCTATGCGTCTCGACCCGCGATGACCCTGCCTACCCGGTCCTCTGCAAATTGATTGAAGATTTCCCTGATGCCGATGCGCGTATATTTGTCGAGGAACAGGATCCATTGCTACAGGATGGCGGATCAAATATTTACACGCTTGGACCGAACCCGAAGATCCGAAACATGAGCCGTGCATACCGTGAGGCCAAGGGAGATATTGTTTGGGTTATCGACTGCAATGTCTGGGTTGGGAAAGGCGTTTGTGGTCGCATGGTGGATAGGCTTTGTGGAACCGGATCAAAGCCTGGAAAGAAGTATAAATTCGTGCACCATTTGCCTCTAGCGGTAGATGTTACCGGTGAAGACAATCTCAATGAGGAGCGACAGGCACTTTTGGATGCTTCAGGTGAAGCCCCAGTCGCGACTGATGCGGTGTCATCTAGACGTCCGGAAGAGGGGCTCGCCAGCATGATGGCCTCTGGTGGTGGTCGTTTTGAAGAATTGTTCCTCTCCTCGGCACACGCGAAAATGTACACAGCTATCAATACTGTTCTCATTGCGCCATGTATCGTGGGCAAATCTAACATGTTCCGGCGCTCGCATTTGGACTATCTCACAGCTCAATCGCCAGCGGGTCCCAATCCCCGAAACCCCGGCATCGATTTCTTTTCGGACAACATTTGCGAAGATCACTTGATTGGTGACCTACTATGGCGAAAGAATGTACGGGAAGAGAAAGAAAATGGGGAAAGATGGGGCAAGCATGCCATGGTTTTTGGAGACCTCGCCTTCCAGCCTGTCGCAAACATGCAAATTCGAGCTTATATCGCTCGACGAGTGCGATGGTTGCGCGTCCGGAAATTCACAGTACTTCTCGCGACTCTCGTTGAGCCCGGTACTGAGTCCTTTGTATGCTCGCTATATGGGGCATGGGGTATCACAGCAGCACTGGCGCCATACCTGGAGCAGAAAGGTTTCGAATTCGCATCTACTCTTGGAACATGGCCGTCTTTCTTCACCATCTATGTGCTCAGCATGTTATCTTGGATCCTCGTTGATTGGACCCTCTACATCAAGTTATACTCCGCAAAGACTGTCGAATTGGACCAGGACACTCCGCTTTTTGCACGGCCTGTGTGTAGTGATTCCTCTCAAACAACCCGCCGTCCATTTTTCCAATGGTTTGCTGCGTGGCTGGGCCGCGAACTGCTAGCTCTACCTATTTGGCTCTCGGCCGTCTACGGTGGCGTGACTGTTGTCTGGAGGGATCGACGCTTCAAGGTTGGATTTGATGCCAAAGTCCGAGAAATAGAATTCGATCCAACAAAGCCTTCAGAAGGCTCTTCTTTTACTGATTCTGTGGTCAATTGGTTCCCAGCCTTGCCACGGAGCAAACATGGGGAGGCCAGCAAGGCCCGCCGTGATTGATTGATGAATACAAGACCATGTACACTATACGAACAACAACCCACCTCAAGTATGTTCCCGGTTTTCTGCCGGTATGAAAGATCGGGTTCGGCCTCATCTCGGGTATTCGACCCAGTTCAATGCCGAAATGCCATACAATAGATTTAGATACTCATTCAAAAATTTACTAAATGTCTACGTTTTACCTTTGGTCTCCCCTTATAACCTGGCTAGAGATAGTCTACATTCATGGATGGTCTTGAAATTAGGTTGTCTAGAGGGCGTCGGGTTGTGTACCATGGAATACACAGATTATTCACCTGTAGGCTACAGATTATTGCTCTTAGATTTTGGGTAAACAGAGGTTCAAGTCGCTTTTGTCTATATCCTTAACTTTTATTCATGGATCCATAAATCACAATCAGTCATCCACATCTAAATTCATCATGCCGAGCTTTCTCCCTCAGTAGCACCGCTCTCCAATGCAGCCGCCTTCTCCGAGCTCAACAGCCACTCAACAACCTGTCTGCCAGCAGACATCTCTCCGGCATTATCAGCACCCTCCTCGCTCTCACCAATAGTCATCTCAATCTCCTGGTTACCCTCCTCATCCTCCTTGACCTCCTCAGCAGAAGCAGACCACGCAGCCCGCTCAGCAAGGAAAACAGCATCGTGGCCAGCATCATTCTTGATAGTAACATCGGAACCAGCCTCAACAAGGGCCTTGACACACTCCAGGTGGGTGTTCAGGGCAGCCCAGTGCAACGCCGTGTTACCAGAGTGGTTACGGTGGTTCAGGAATGATGTGCGCTGGGCCGCTTCGGCGCCAGCGAGTTTTTGGAGAAGAGCGTTAAGGATTTCTTGGGGCCTTGTTAGATAAAACTGAAATTTGTGATCAAAATGTGTTGCTTTTGACTTACCGGAGTTTCCATTTGCGGCGGGGAAGTGCAAGACGCAGGCTCCGGTGCCGCCTTCGCTCTCTTCTTCGGTGTCGATGGCGGATGCTACGATCTGCCACTCCGGGCAGCTGTGCTGCGAGGAAAGAGTGGCGATGTCGGAGTTCAAAGCTTCGAGATCACCGGCTCGGGCGTCGTAGATGAGGTCTTCAATGGCCTCGGCGGAAAGTGCAACAGGCACGGAGGTTGTTGAAGGAGACATTATTTATGAATGTCTGGTAGATATTCAAGTTTTAAAGAGAAGTCCTCGAGAAGTGCAAATAAGCTTCTGTTTTTGAAGTTGGAGTTCTTGCTGCGGAAAAGTGGGTAGTCTTTTTTTCTTGCTGCGGGAAGAGAATTTTATATGTTCTGTGGTGGGGGTGTCAGTGAAATGATCTGGATGGCAAGTTGCGCGCTGAGTCAAATTAAAAACGAGAGAGAAAAACTGAGATCAATTGCGCTGTAATCAGAGAATGTGTTGACAATTTTCTCTGGATATAGATTGAATCCTAGCATTTCGCGAGTTTTGCGCAGTCGTTGATAAGTGCATTGATCAGCGATGCTATTAGATCCACCAGAACCTCGAGCAGAACTTGGGATTTGGTGCGGGCAACCAGATAAAAACATGGGCTAGACTAAAAGGAATTGATATATCTTACCTCTGCTTTTGTTTCTCTGGAGTAGATCTTGTTGAACCGATGTTCGCCACTATCGAAGAAACTTTGATATGTCAGTCACATGACCCCGCGGTGGGGTCTTCAACCAGGTCTATACATTCAGCGCTGAAAGAATGAGAAGAGGGAAGAAGAAGAAAATAGCAAATAAAAATCAGTCATGAAATCTCCATTGAAAGTTGGTTGGTATAGTAGTACAGATGCTGTTTGGATAGAAATCATGAGTCGGTCAGAAAACACAATTGCCTCTATGCACAGGTCCCCAAGCAGAAAATAAAAGATACTAGTATAGAAAAAAGACCGCAAACGCCCCGAATTCAACACCTGGTTTGGGCGAGAATCACCGAAAGACCGATAATGATGCGAATGGAAATGAACCCCCAAGAAGCGGTGTACTCATCAGTCCCGTAACCACGCCCTCCGCTTCTCCTCCTTCCTCTCTCGGCGCTTCTCCTTGAAGTCCTTCAACTCTTTCTTGCTCAGCTTCTTGGCGCTGCGTTCAGCCCGAAGACTCCGGCCATCGTGTGAATTGGCTGCAGCATCAACATCAAAGAACGCATTCATCTGGCGGTTTGACTTGTTCTCGTCGTTGTGGTTCTCTGGGTTGATCGATTGTGCCTGCCATCGACCTGTGAAGCGGTTGAAGGTTCCAGCGGCCGCGTAAGCGGCAGCCGGGTCAACCGCAGCTGTAGATGTCTCTGGTGTCTCTTCATATTGCTGCGCATATGAGGCTGTTGGGTCATAGTCTCCATGGATGGCGGGGTTATAGCCACCGAGCACTGGTGACTTTGATCTCGGGGGCTCTTGGTTATCGGTACTGGGTGCTGTGCCAGGAGCTGGTTCTGTTGCTGCTTGTTCGGGTACACGAGGATTGTCCCATTGTGAGAGTTTTGTGATTCGGTTGTAGAAATAGTACGATTGCGACGTGGCATCCCACACAGGTTCCCATCCATCATCATTGGTTTGGCCAGGCGGTGCTTCGTCAGGGAGTGGCGGGGGGACCTCGTCGGGTAATGGGGGTGCAATTGCTGTGACTTCTCCTTCCTCGGTTTGGTCGGCTTGTGATTGTTCCTCGTCCTCATGCTCCACTGTGTTCTGTTCCTGCTCGTGTTGTTCGTTTTCTGTCGCGGTGTCGAGTTTCTCTTGAGGCGAGTCGGTCGGACTGTCCGCGCGCTCCTCTTGGGCGTCAGCAGAAGCACGCGACTTATCAGACATCCTGACAATTAGCACTACTTTCCCGGTTTAGGAAAGAGTAAAGCGCAGTGAAGTAACGCGCTGGCATGTCGGCGTCTCGGAGTTTGGGGCGCAACTGAGTCGCAAATCGGCCTCACCGCCTACCCTAAAACGGAATTGAAGTATAAAAAGCCCAGGTCAAGAGTCAAGGCATGTCCTTACTTCATCTATCAATAAAAATGTTTCATATTTAATAAAATTGATTTTTTTCTTGCTATTATCCAGGGGGTTTTTCGGACGAATGGTAAAATATAAATTTTTGTCATAAATTAATGTCGGTGTCTGCGTCTAGATTCTCCATGGCTTCGTTGAGAAGGTCGCGATTCATCCCTAAAAACCACAGTCCTACCGTAAAAGCTATGAGGATGATAATGCTGGTTAGTTTCGTCCCAAACGAAGCCCACCGCAGCATGGTTCCATTTTCCAGGAGCTTTGAAAAGCTCACGCCGATCAAATGGCAGCCCAAGTCCCATGTTGAGGTCCCGGCTCCACTTCTCCAACATCTTGTCGCAAGTTATAAGCCGATCAATAAAATTGTTGTGAGGGAAAGGGCCAGGGACCTGGATAGATAAGATGGGATCGCTAATGATTTTTAGCATGCATTCGATCTCAACTTCGTGGGTTGGAGACTCCCAGGTAGTTCCATGAAGCACTTCATCCCGCGCATGCTCTAGAATATCTCTGTCTGTCTTGTATATGTCGCGGGCGTAGTTGAATCGGATATGAACCCACATGTAGGGAGCTCCGGCATCAGTGTAGTTGGACATTACTAGTAGGTAAGTTCGATGTTTGGAAAAGCCCAGGCCTTTACCCGAGTATCTGAATAATCTCGGTTGGTAGAACCTGCAATGTTTTTTAAAGATATAAGGTAAGATCATACGTAGAAGAATATTTTGCTGGAGATATCTCGATTCTTAAATAATTGATCGCGGAGCGATCAATGGATTTGACAGGTGCTTTGATTAGTTGTGTTTCCAAAGAGAGGGAAGTGCTTAGACTGCATAGGTGCAAGTTCTTTCAAATGCGTTCAAAGATCAATGCCTTGAGTGTACCTTTCAAGCCCTTTGAACGGATTAATTTTTTTTTTTAGAAAAACAACCCTTAGTTTGAAGCCTTTTTCACTAGTTGCTTTGTTCACTCTGTGCTTTGTATCTATTGTTCTTATCCGAGAATAGCTTTCTAGGTTCATCCCTGTAGTATTGAGGATCGACAACCGGTGATATACATATATGTTCATAATATCAATTTGGCAATATATTTTTAAATTGCGCTTGTATGCTACTAACACATGAGGAGATACCGAGCTGTAGATGCTCCCAGGTAATTTTAACAGCTGGACTTGAGCCAAATCACCATGTGCATGGATGCAAGGTTTAGTACCGCCTACTTTCTTTGACCTCAATTCTTTATTTTGCACGAGATGATTTTGATTTAACGCCCATTTGACAAACAAGCTACATATATTGTCCCGCTGTACATCAATTAAAAATATACCCAGCCGTTCAAATGTTTTAAAGTTGAAACTTTTGAAGTGCAAAGTTCAATGTTCCTTGAACATTTGAAGCTTGAGGTGCCCTTGAGAGACATGAAACCGAAAACTTTACCCGACATATATTGATGTATACATGGATACATATATTGACCACATGTACACATGCAGGTTCCAACATTTTTCCACCTCCACCATTCAAACATTGAACATTTGAATCGATTGAATCCAGCACTGAGATGTCTATAATAATGTTTTCACTTTTGATTGGCTACCTACATACTAGGCTTTAAAGATTTTAATTTAATGAAATTATAGATGAATAAACCCCCAAATTTACCTAATTTATTAATCAAAATCAGAGCACTGAGCTTTGGAAGTCTGGAACACATAGATCCAGACGAGAGTCAGGTGGGACTTCGGGATGTCTAGACTCTACACTGTACCTTTACCAAGTAGGTAAATATTGCATTGAGCCTTGAAAACAACATTGAAAGCTACCATTTGACTATTGAAGTGGCCTATGCGTCTCTGAAATTCCTAGGTGGATAAACCACAAATTTTGAAGAGAGGAAGAATTCTGGTTGACGATCGATGATCACCCACGAACAGCAAAAATTGAGTATCTCAAACCGGAATTTGCACTTTGGAGCTATTAGTAGATCTATGGATGTCTATAGGCCTTTCGACTAAGTACTGCTGCTGAGGAAAACAAACATCACACATTCAAATCAAATTTGAGCCCACAAAAGCCGTGGCAACAGAGATTGTGATATACATCAAATGGATTGCATCTAATCTCAATCATTCCAAAATGCAAGATCTGAGATGAGAAAATACTAGTCTACGATGTGGATCTTGATAGTATGATACCATCTATGTATAGAGAGTAAACAGGGGTTGTGGGATTGCAGGGCAAAGCTAAGGGGCAGTTGGTGAAACAAGGGTCCACGGATTACTTGGCTTCAGTATCCAGTTCCTAGTAGTAAGCTTTGAATCAGCACCATAGAATTGCAAATACTGGGAACTGATGAGAGAGTGTTTGCCAACATAGGGCTATCCACGCAACTGTAACCTGCCTACGCCATTGTTTTGGGAACGAGCTCACATGTCCCGATCGGAGAGTTTCTCATAGTAAATAAGCAGCGTTGCGATTTTCAATTCTTGCTCGTGGCTCAAGGGTGAAACAATGCAGGGAGGGCCAGAGTCATCCTTATGATTCGGTCAAAATCGGTGGTCGGTATCCCTTGCAGCGCACCTTACCCTGCGTCACGCACTCCACAAAGTCTTGTCCCAATTCTCACCGCAAGTCCATTGCTTAAGGGCCTTAACCTTGTCCAAGGGACTTTGTAGGACCGGATACATGCCTTAGTGCCCGAAACGCTGCAGGGACCAGAACAAGACCCCAAAGCTTTGTTTGGCCCCCTGTAGAGCTGGTGGCTGGGAGTGGAAAAGATATCCGTGAAAGATCTACCAGTCAACGTATTAGCGTAAACCAATAGAGTTTACTTTATTTTTTCTTCTATTTTATTCTTTAAACAGAAATTTAGTACTCAAAAGTATGAAGTAGTAGTGCCCTGAGCGCGGTGTAGCAGTAGAAACATGGTATGTCGGTGATCTGTACATGTATGTATACTATGCACCCCACGACTGACTCGTTTTGTCTTTGAAAGCACCTTGAGATATTGAATTAGTGTATACATGCAGCATAACGGTGTGGTAGTGGATCCCAGGAACAGGGTGAACGAACTAGAAATCGAGGGATTTAGGAATGCGATGGTAGGGGGGTCTCGGTCGCGTGAAGCCCCATACCCTAGACCTAGTAGATCCATACCAGGAGATTGAGGAGCGTGCTTTCACTCGAGAAAACCCTGGCAAGTGGAGTCATCTTCCCTCACATGTTGCATTCCGGGGAGAGGGAGGGAGATTACTCCAAGCAAACAAACACAAGATCATACTCAGGAACTGGAATCGAAGGGGCTCACAGACCGCCACTGAAAGTGTATAAAGCATCTCCATTCATCGCCTCAATCTACTCTTTTTTCATCACGCATCACACTCTTTAAGCTTCACTTCTCTAAAGTCCAGTCTTCTTTCCTCCGCATATCATTTTCTCCGAGACATTCGTTCAATCCCGAACCCACAGTCACAATGCAGTTCACTATCTCCGCCGTTCTCGCTCTCGCTGGCCTCGCTGCCGCCCTTCCCCCTGCTGCTCCTCCCAGCGCTGGTGGTGTCGGTAACGCCAACGGTGTTGGCAACAAGGGCAACACCAACGTCCGCTTCCCTGTCCCCGACAGCATGACTGTCAAGCAGGCCCAGGCCAAGTGTGGTGACCAGGCTCAGCTCTCTTGCTGCAACAAGGCCACCTACGCTGGTGACACCACCGATGTCAACTCTGGCATGCTCGGTGGCACTCTCAGCAACCTGATCGGTGGTGGCTCCGGCTCCGACGGTCTCGGTATCTTCGACCAGTGCTCCAAGCTGGATCTCCAGATCCCCATTCTCATTGCCATTCCCATCCAGGACTTGGTCAACCAGAAGTGCAAGCAGAACATTGCCTGCTGCCAGAACTCCCCCTCCAGCGCCGTGAGTTTTCCCATTATCTACTCTCTCTCCATCAAATCTAACCATCTCACAGAACTCCGACCTCATCGGTCTTGGCCTCCCCTGTGTTGCCCTTGGCTCCGTCATCTAAGCGTATCATTACGCTTTCTGGCACTTCGCGAGAAGCATTGGCCACCATGTTGGGCCTCTGGGCCTTGGCTCAGTGGTCCTCGGCATGGCCGCGAAGATAGACCGTTACCGATTATTGGGGGTGGATTTTGGCTTCCTTAGTATTTGTTTGAGATAGTTCGGCGACCTGTTACCCTCGAGACTGTGTATCATTAACTGTGTCATGTGGCACCCACTCGGAGAAAGAAGACTGTTTTTTGTTTTTACGTTGATGTTTTGGCATGGTGCTTTTGCTTCTTGTCTTGTGCATTGGATCCGTTCTTAGCTGCAGACTAGCTCGGTTTTCTTCGCATATATAAGTTTAATCCATTAGAATTGTGTCTTGATTTAATCATGGGAAAGAAAATGGTAGAATTTGTGGCTTTAAATATGAGTAGAACACTAGTAAAGACTTGCAGTTAACATCCGGTTTTTTGTCTTCTCGTCAAGAGGCTCTCGTGGCAAATGTTTCAAGCTTGTTCTTCTTATCGAAAGACTTTGCCTTGAGCACTGTGTAGTGGCCCTACCTTTTCATCAACTTTTCACTTTCAAAGTACAATATGTAGGGCACATCAACCATGGATTCAATATTGCTTGTCAAACCCCTTTATTATTTGCGTCGCTATATCGTCAGGTTATTGACTTCAACTTTTTGTAGGCAGGATATACGTTGATTCAAATCTAACTAGAATCACCACGGCCGCCCAAACCCATTCCCATTCCAAATACCAAACTCTGTATCCCGACTACTCAACCCATTAAGCTCCAACCACTTCAGCTCCGTTTTCTCGTCAAGCGGAAAGTCTTCCTTCACACTCGATGAATCCAGCCACTTAGGGTTGGCCGGAACTCGCTTCGACTTTGACGAAGACCTTGAAATCTTCAACGAGGTACTCTTCAGTAAACCTGTCATTGATCTCTTGATCTTTGAACCTGAATTTCCATTCCCATCTTGAAGAACCCCCACTGTCCCTCCCCGAAGATCGACACTCTGAGTCTTCATACTCCTTGTTCTCCGATGGGCGTTTTTCTTCCCACTCCACCTCCCATTCGTATCAATCGGATCCTGCAACTTCTTTGGCGGCGTGTCAAAAGGCGATTGTACGGTATCCATTTTCAACACCGGGTACTCGGGCATGGACAATGCTCTCACAGCGCGCCTGGTTGCCGGATCCAAGGCCTCGGCGTTGTCGAACAAAGTCTGAAGATTCAAGTCTGCGGGTGTAAGGCGTTTCCGATGAGTGGGTGACTCGGTGGGTGTGATAGGGTCTTGGTTTGAATGACGGATTGTTGAGGCAACGCTATCCACTCTTGTGAGGGAGCCTACAGTTGACGGGATCTTGATTAGATCTTTCGAGTCTTCGTAGGGTCTGTTGGGCTTCGAGATTGATAATTTGCGTGAGAATTTGTTATTGCGGAATGAGTGGGTAATTGACGATATGAAGCCCATGGTGAATGACCGTTTGCTCTTTGTATATAACAGTAATATGGAGAGTATATAGTAAGATAAGAGCAGGATGTATCGGCGATGGTGGGATGCAGATTAACGGAGGTGTGTAAGAACAGATCAAACCAATCTGAGGCAAATCCTGGGTAAGATCTGGGGCAAGGGGGACAGGAAAGCCAAAATTACTCGTATCTGAATTTGTAGATTTGTACGAATTATACCGATCTGCCTTGATATCTTGACATCGATCTAACGATGGAGCTAGTGAATACGGTGATGCTGCCGATCGCTTCATATAGAAAGCACTGATCATGCTCTTGCTACCAGACTACGTACAGACTTGAATTTTTTTTACTGCAGAGGAAATCAAATTCATCGTTTTGCATTTAAAAATCGAACAACACTAGCTCTCGCGAGCTATATGTCAAGCATTTTATCGCAGTATCTACTAGTATATACAGACTTATACAGGGTAGTCTGGGGAGTCTGAAGTAAACAACATCTCCATACACAGTGGTAACAGCATCACCTTCACACCGTACAGTAATTAATGCTCCAAACATTTATGATCGGAGTTTGCAGAGCCAATCTGTTGTAAATTGTCTGCGAGACTGACCAAAACAGACCCAATTACAGGCGCTACAACTTGCATTCCCCAAGGGCGCAAAGCAAGGTAGCTTCCGAGTCTCCACAAATTACAGCCCCTTCAGACCAACACGAGAAGCTTTAATGATGTCCACGTCATTGAGTGATTTATTATCGCTTCATAGAGGTATGTGTGGACTTTGTTATTCCAAATGCTGTTGTGCGGCTGGAGATTATTTATGGAATGTCCCATGCGCTGTGATCTACAACGCCATGTCGATCTTTGAAGGTGGCTGCCTCTGGCATTTAGTAAGAGATATGCCGCATTGACCTCTTCTCCGCCCAGGCTCTATAGCTAGTAGTAGTAGTAGTAGTAGTAGTAGTAGTAGTACTAGTTAGTCCCTTGAGGCGGCGGTGATGTCTGGTTTGAGATATGCATAATGTTTATGAGAAATGCCACCTGAACACTATCATGTTTCAAATTGCTTTAGGAAAACGGTAATTCTATTGATTCTTCAAGCAAAATGATACATAAGACATAAGAGCTAGAAAATTCCTCACAGCTTGCTAGCAGGAGCATCGCTAAACAGAGACCGAGTCCGGCTCATAGCCTCCAGTGCCTCCTTCTCAATTCTATCAAGCAGTACAGCGCAAGTTGGAATGTCGTGAATCAATCCAATGACTTGACCAGCAGTCCACACCTAATGCATCGTCAGTATCTCGCGTTTCAAATCCATGTTATAGTCACAACTTACTCCATAGTCCTTGTCGCCGTTGATGAAGACCTCACGACCGCGCTTGCCACTCACATACGGCGCGATCTCACTGAACTCGCCGGTGGTGCTCTCCTGCTCAACCTTGAGAGCGTCCTTGGTGACCTGGTTGGCAAACAGCCGCGAGGTGTTCTTCCAGCGACGCAGAACAAGGGCAGTATCCGTCTCCTCGGCGTTAACAATAGCCTCCTTAATCTTTTGGTGAATGGGAGCCTCAACAGTGCTCATGAACCGAGTACCCATGTTAATACCCTCCGCGCCAAGAGCAAGAGCAGCAGCCAGACCTTGGCCATCAGCAAAGCCACCCGAGGCGATGAACGGCACACCTAGTTCTTGGCGCGCACGGCTCAATAGGATGAAGTTTGTGATGTCGTGCTCACCGACGTGGCCAGCACACTCGAAGCCATCGATAGAAAGGAAGTCCACGCCCAGCTTGACGGCGGACTTGGCGTGTCGGATTGTGGTACACTTGTGCAGGATGATGATGCCCGCCTTCTTCAGTTGGGTGATCACAGGACCTGGGTTGTTACCAGCAGTTTCGACAATTTTGATTCCTTCATCGATGATGACCTGGGCGTAGGCACCGTAGTCTGGGGGAATCATGGCGGGGAGGAGGGTCAGGTTGACACCGAAGGGGTACTTGGTCATGGTGCGGCATCGTCGGATTTCCTTGCGCAAATCTTCAGGGGTGGGCTGGGTGAGCGCTGTGAGCTGGATTTAGCGTAAAAATCAGTATTAGATGGTATTAAAACTTTGGCAAGAGTCAACAGGTCTCGATGCAAGACTTACAAGACCGAGTCCTCCTGCGTTACTGACAGCCGAGGCCAGCTCAGCATATCCTACCCATTGCATGCCACCCTGCACAACGGGCACTGTGAATAATTAGTACATAGAGACAAAACAAGGGTTCAACGGCTTTGAACTTACCGCGAATGCCCAGCTTGCGCGTGAGGGCGGTGTTGAAAGGCATCGTGTTGGAGTACAAGTCGCTAAGTATCTAATCGAAGCAGCGCTGATGCTGGTGTTGTAGCTGAGAAGGGATGGAAAGAAACGTAAGTGAAAGAACTTAATATGTAGAGCAGAAAAGTTGGCAAGAATATGGACACAAAGATGTACAAATCCCCAGAAGAAACGTTGGAGGATAAAAAGGAACCCCAGGTTCAGGGCTTGCCGCGGACCTCTGCTGTGGGGAAGGCGTAAGTTGCCGAGGTTCGCGGGCCTAATTATGGATTAGTCGGCTTCCAGGATTACTAGTAATCATACATGTTGCTTCTCCTCGGCAACATGTATGATTAATCCATCGAAACTTCAACAAACTAACTAGTTGGCCCTTCAAAAGGCCATTGAATGAGTAATATTCACTGTTGTTTTATGATAAACATTGAATTTTGGGAGCCCCCATACTGTGGAATTGTCTCTTCCATGTATACTAAGGCAACCATGGAATCATGGACTACTAGCATGTGATGAACCTCGTGGTTGAGCAAGCATCATTTGATTCGGTGATTCAAGCTCCGCATTATTGTGACACTTCAAGTTATCATAGATCTTGATTTAACTCTAAGCCTTTTTTACAGACTTAGATTAATGATCACCAAATCCCCAGTAGTCCATAATAGATATGCGCAGAGCAGCCTTGGGGGCGTACTCCCGAGTAGAGTAGGTTCGGGCATTCAACGTTGTGGCAACGATAAACAACTCTCCCTTTATGTCTACAAAGGGCCAAGAAAACCCAGATGGAGATAGCTCATGTTAACAATCAATAACCAACTTGCATTTTTCTTGCGTTTAAACTATTAACTGCTAGGAAATTTGAGATGTAACCCTGAATATGAAACCCATCGGACTCATAGAGAAGAGACAAATGGGCGATTAACGACGGGAGAAGTCCTTCTACGAATCTCAAAAATCTCTCAAGGTCGCGACAGAATGTCGAAACCAGAGAGTGCTGACATCAACTTCATCCCAAGATGTGGTACATCAATGTAAGCGGAGACTCGTGAGGAAGAAAGAAAAAGAGGAGGAAGGGGAAAACGGCAGAGACATAAGTGGGTGACAAGCGAGATCGCATCACGTGACCCAATCTCTTGCTCGGGAAGAAGGATCTTCCGGACGTAATTGCCTGCATTTCCATTGGTTCCCGGTTCTCAATCCCGTGACGGGCCAAACCCGAGGTTACCGTTCCGATCATTCGCGATAGTCGTTCTTCACTTCACAACGTGGAAGAACATCGCCAACAGACAGCATAATGTTCTCTCAAAAGGTTGCCCAGCAGTCGCTGCGACGGCGTATGTTTTGCCCGCTCCTGCAGAACCCCCAGAATTGACCCCATTTGACTGACAATTTTCCCCGGGATCGCAGTTGCCGTCCAACAGCCGAACCTCATGCAGTCAATGGTGATGCGCGCTTCTCCCGCCGCCATTGCGTTCGGCAACGCCCAGAAGAGGTCAGTTCTCTTGCATCTAGACACTATGCTAGATACGACGATATTTTTTCCTTCTCCGCAGTCTCGAATTGACATCCCCACGATCTCCATACGTCATTCGCGCAAAACCAATCCCGATCCCTAAAACTAACCCGAGACAAATTCCTGTACAGATCCGTCACCTCTTCCCCCAACACTGAGGACCCCACCCAGATCCTGGCCAAGCAGCGCCTTAACCGCCCTGTCGCCCCTCACCTGAGCATCTACAAGCCCCAGATCGGCTGGATCGGTTCCTCCCTGCACCGTATCAGCGGTGTCGCCCTCTCCGGCACTCTCTACCTGTGGGCCGCCGCTTACCTCGCCTCGCCCACTCTTGGCTGGCACTTGGAGTCTGCCTCCATGGTTGCTGCCATGGGTGCTCTCCCCGTTGCCGCCCAGGTTCTGCTCAAGACCACCTTGGCCCTTCCCTTCACTTACCACTGCATGAACGGTCTCCGCCACTTGACCTGGGATCTCGGCCGTGCTCTGTCCAACCCTGCTATTATCCGCTCCGGTTGGGCCGTTGTTGGCCTGAGCGTTACCAGCGCGGTTGCTCTTGCTTTCCTGTGATTCCATCCCTCATACCTCTGAGTTTCCTTGTGTTATTAAAATGATTTTGTCGAATTATCATACATGAAATCTGGTCCAGTGGCGCGGCTTTCAGAAGGCGCTATTTCTTTTATTTTTAACTATGTGACTTCTTTGATTTAATTCTATTTGCTAAGGCCTTGAATCTATTCCCAGTAGACATTGAGTGCATTGGCGCCAATTTATGCACGTTTACATCTTGAAAGATACTTATATCTTGCTACTACAAGGTGATCAATGTTTTTCATGAACCTATTGTATTTCTGAAAGTTCCTTGGGCCAAGTATTCCTCCAAAGATGATCTGATAGAGCCCTTTCTCCCACAATATCCCAGCACGGAAATTCCAAGGTTGAGTTTCAGCAGCAAGGTTCCCACCTTCTTCGCCTCAAGTGCTTCCTCAAGCACAATAACTCTCTGACCATCTCAATAATGCTATCATATAATCTTGTTCCAGCCTTTCCTACATAGCCAATAATCCCGCGAATAACATTGTTCGAAATATCATCTAGAGTAGAAATTAGCACCGCAAACTCATATCAACTTGACATAATCAACAAAGAACAGTTTACCTATTAGCCGCTGTTTCCCTTAACGCCAAAAAACCCGAAAGATTCAATGAATAACATTCAAGCTGGGCTTGGAGGAGGGTTGGGAGGGAAGGGCCGAGGAGAAGGTGGATCTTGTACTGAGTGATCACAGTATGGGACCTCCGCTGTGGAAGTATAGACGACTCGGGTCGAGGAGACGAAGGAATATTTATTGAAGGCCATTCTGAAGTTCTTCAAAGGCGTAATGTTCCAATAGAAACAAATGTTATTTTGGATGGACTTTTGTCGCGAGTAAGTATCGAAGATATAATTCAATAGAAGTAAAATAGGCGCTGGAGAAACCTTGAACGTTGGAGGGCAAGGCAAATTAGGTAAGGTTTAGAAGAAAAGAACAGAGACTTGATGGCTTGCAAAAACGATTCATTCCCGGCCATTCCCCTCCATTTAATAGTCCACAGACCCCTAGAGCAATCGGGCCCTTGGGAGGCGCCATCCCTCACAAGTCGTACACCGCCATCCGAGAATCCCAATCAAGCATCTCAAGGATCCAGAAAATTCCGTTGAAACAATGGATACTTTCCCCATGTCCTTCCCTTCCAGCCATTGAGATCTGGAATCATTGGATCTCTTGGTAGACCCTGCAAGGGCCCGACGGAAAGAATTGGATGTATAAACCGTTGGACGAAGCCGTCACACCCGTCTCGACCTTGTGTGTCTTGGTTTTATGATCCATATGGTGAAGTAGCTTGTACTTACGAGGTACAGTACACTACCGAGCTTTCTCAACGGTGGGCTACGGAGGTACCTAATCGGTACCTACAGTCGATACTTACTATATACGATACTCCACCTAGTCTTCAATTATAGTGTCATGTATCATGCGACGCACCCATACACGATGTCAAGTATCTAGAGGAATCTGCCCGGTGGCAAACCAACATTTGACAGGATTGACTCGCAGTGCAGCGTTGCAACGAAACAACAAATCGTTGACGGGCTTTCTCTATCCGTCTCCTTCTGACTGAAGATCATTTCCCTAGAGCTTCCCGGCAGCTGCAGCTTGCAGTGAAGTGACACCAGCGGTCTGAGCCGTCAATCCTCGGTTTCTTGCAGGGATAATCTGCTTTCTGCAATATTACCCAAGTGCCTCTGTTTTGGGAGTGCCTCTCACTCTTTTTCCCTACAGCGGGAGTTGATTCTAGAGGGCTGCTGTTGACCCTGATCTATTGCGGGGGAGACTAACCTATTATTTTCCTGATAGCATTGCATCTGTGGCTGACAGCTTTCTATCAGAGGTATTATGGAGGGAGATTTGAGGGCCAATCGATACCCCTATAGATACCCCTATATTTTAGCCAAGTAATTTTGACCGAGTGTGGCAATCTATGAAGAGGCTGATGGGAATTCGAGGAATTACCTCTGTTTGGCATTCTGTAACTCGATTCCTCGCCACTGGCATTGTTTGTATAGTATTATGTACTAGCGACCCTTTCATAATGGGATTATGGAAGTTTCTTTGAGCCAGTAAAAAACTTGTAGCCTGCAGATATCACTCAATGCTCCCACCATAAGAGGCAATCTAAAACACAGGAAGCTCAGGTCCGCAAACAAAACAGAAGTACCCACACACGTGGATCAAGCGTTGCGTCCCGCAGTGGGACGGAAAGTCTCTTGCCTTATTTAGGGAGTTACAAAAGAACTGACACCACAGCTTGTTCCCTGAAGACTGGGGGCGGGAAACAAGGGTTTGTTCGAGCCAACCACCATGTCTCGGCCGGCTCCACGACTGCCGAAAGCCGCTGGCGACATCAAGCAATCTCAAAATCGGCTGTGCTTCGATCTTGTTCAACCTTACTTCTCTTCGGCCGGAGTCGGGAAAGCCAACGGTTATTCCATAGAAGGCCATGGAATATTCTCCGTAAGCTTCTGCTGCGTCGTCTGGGGGTGATCCAGAACCCTACTTTTTCCAGATCGGTGTTACCTATAAGCGGCTACAAGCCTGGGTCTTGGTGGTTGGGCCGCGCTTAGGGTTTGTCGCTGCACTTGATTGTATCGCCTGGTGTCCAGTCGTAGACCTAGATGGGGTTACCTAGCAGCGCTTCCGGAGCTGTCCGGATTGATAATGTGGGATCACAAGTAGAAGCCATTGCATTGAGATCATGCTATAGCTCAATTATCCAAAGAAGGATGTTGCAGTAGACGGATTGGAGCGTGTCTCTGATAGCTAAGCTATCTGTTTCCGTAGAAGTTTGAACGGCAGGTTGCAGTGAGATTTTGGATAAAGTCTGATAGCATGGGGAATTTAATAAAATCACACAGGGCCACTGCATAATAAGGTAGGAAGGCTGCAATGAGTATCGAAATGCGATAAACCTGATTATTCCAAACGGCGGCATGATGAGCACTATGAATTGAAGGGAGAAAAGAGAAAACACTTGACCGCTAGAATTAATATGCGGACCCTGCCAGATAAGGTGAGTCATGACACAGGCTTAGACGTGCGTTGAAGCATGGCGGCGTCGGATGTTTACTGGGTTAGTTCCGGGGCCAATGGGAATCTGAGTGTACGGTGGGTTCTCGGAATTTATCGATGCATCAACTGCTTCAAGTCTGATACAATCCTAGTCCAGGCAGGCCTTCGAGGAAAATTAGAAGCAGCAAGCTTCCACGCAGCAGCGGTGAAGGAACAAGACCCCAACAGGTCGCCTAGTTGTTCAGTTTGAAATGCAAACTTAATGCAAACTGAGCAATCAAATTTGCTTGGAGCCATTAATCCCCGGAGCATACTAATGCACTATGTGTGGAGAAATCTCTGAACCCAGTAAGACTTTCATAATCAAATTCACGAAAGAATGAAGTCTGGAGTGTATTAGTAGTCTAGTACAGTTTGAAGTACTAAGAAAGTTGGGGATCAACAAGGGAGTGGCAGTATCCACACCGCCGAGGCCGAATTCTTCCCATCTTCACGGCCAAATCCAAACTCCGCAGTCCAACGTCCAAATCGCCCCCATGGCTTCGAATCTTTCTACACGAGCGGTCAGGTCCGCCTGCGCCGCGTCTAAGGCTTCTCCTCGCTCCCTGTCTTCAATTATTCCCCGTCGCTCCTTCGCCACCAACCCGGAGACTTCAGCCGAGCAAGAAGACCAACCCCGATGGTCGTACACTCCCCCGAAGACGAAGGCGCCCTTCAGCATGCGCATGCACTCGCAGCGTCCTTCCTTCCACAATAATTCAAACCCGGAAACTCTTGACAAGTTCTACATCCGCATGCTGGGCAATGAGGGTGACAAGCTTCTCTCGGAGGAAGTTAAGTGGTTGGCTGTGACACACAAGAGCTTCGACCAAGGACGTCGTGGATTCAACGATCGATTGGCCTTCCTAGGTACGTAGCTGGAAAAGGGCTGGATAAACGAAGCCAATTGATAAAAAAAAATGGCCACTTACGCGTATTGTTGCTATAGGAAAACGCATCGTGCAATTGCAGACTTCGCTCGCTCTCGCACAGAGTGCCAAGATTACAACCGATGCACCAAAGGCCGATCAGCACGGTCGCGTGCCATTCTCTCACCCTGCCCTTGAAGGACTGGGTAACCTCTCCTCGACCACCAAGAGCTTCCTGACCGACCGCACGAAGATGGCCGAGCTGGCGCGCAAGTACGAGATGCAGAAGGTTGTCCGATGGGAACCCCGCAAGGTACGCAAGAACAATCGCTCTGCTTCGTTGTAATTTAAGTACCATGTTACTGACTCTATGGATATTATAGCCCGACCAACTGATTGCATCTGGACTTGAGCTGGTTCTGGCGCACACCATGTACGCGGTCATTGGAGCAGTCGCATTGGAGAAGGGAGGACACATTGCCAACAAGCTGGCGCAGGAGCGGATACTCGAGCCTTTGGGTATCAAGTCCGTCTCCTCATAAGATGTGACCGCAGCATATTCCCGGCGTTTTGATTTTGATGTTGAGGTGACTGGTTATTGTAGGCAGTAGGGGCCAATCTCCCTGCAAATTGTATATGTATTTTTAGAACTTCCGATTACATTTGACTATATTGCAAAATACCACTAAAATCTCTTGAATTAAATCTTTGGAAATTTTATTTGGAAATTTTGAATTTACTGATTTTTGGGGTGAAATCTTGCAATATGGTAGAATTGAAAAAAATCTCATTCGATTGAAATAAGCCTAATAGTAAGTCAAAGGGATGTACGGCTCCTCTGACACCGCCCGCGCAACCATAAAATGCACGGCCAGTTCTTATGGATCCGAAAGCTGGTCTCCGCTCCGCTGCATCGCAAGTGTAGTAATTAAGCATGAAGAGATCAAACAGAATGTTCAATCCCTCTTTTTACTGCCTTGAACTGTCTAATGGGAGCGTTGAAGAAGGAAGGAATTGAGAAGCGCGGAAAGAGATTTTATAGTGCCCGTACTAACCGCCTTGGGCGGAGATCCACTCTTGCGGGCATCTGGCTCGACTTGGTTGTTTCCACTCTCCCTCAGCTCCTATCCAGTCCTTGGATTATCTTGATTACACTTGACTTTTACCTGCACTACAATGTCGCAGTAGAGCGCAGTATGCAGCTTGGTTGTTCTTTTGTTCCATATTAACTCATCCTCTATCCTCGCCAATTTCCCCGTTGAAACCTGTCCCTCCCACTTAAAACCACCCTCCATTGACACGTCATGGCGTCGGCACTCTTCTTCCTCGACCTGAAGGGCAAGGTATGTAATTGAATGCCTAGATGTTCCTAGCAAACATACTATCTTGCGCAAAATCCCGGCCAATTCGCGATGCAGACGCTAATTTGCAACGCACCACACTAGACCCTTCTGGCCCGCAACTACCGCGGGGACATCCCCATGTCCGCCGTCGAGAAATTCCCCGTCCTCCTTAGTGAAGCCGAAGAAGAGAGCTCTGCCGTACCTCCCTGCTTCTCCCACGAGGGCATCAACGTACGTTAGGCTGTTCTACATTTCTCTACACTCGCCGCCTCGAACACTCCCTACTCCTTTTGTGTGCGCACCACCATCGCGAATATTCTAACATGCTTGGGAGAATTTATAGTATCTTTATATCCGCCACAGCAACCTGTATATCCTTGCGTTGACAAAGCGAAACACAAATGCCACCGAGATCCTTCTTTTCCTCCACAAGCTCGTGGAGGTTTTCACCGAATACTTCAAGGTGCTGGAGGAGGAGAGTATCCGCGACAACTTTGTTGTTATCTATGAATTGCTGGACGAGATGATGGACTTTGGATATCCTCAGACAACAGAGACCAAGATCTTGCAAGAGTAAGAGAAACCCTGCGCGATATGTTGATATGTGAAAGCACGTAATTGGAATGCGGGTTGGCTGACGCGATAACCAAAACAGATATATCACCCAAGAATCACACAAACTCGAGGTTCAAGCACGGCCACCTATCGCTGTGACAAACGCGGTATCTTGGCGTAGTGAAGGTATTCGTTACCGCAAGAACGAGGTCTTCCTAGACGTGGTCGAGTCTCTAAACCTGCTTGTATCGGCGAACGGCAACGTCTTACGTTCCGAGATTCTGGGTGCTGTTAAGATGAAGTGTTATCTGAGTGGAATGCCCGAGCTTCGACTGGGCTTGAACGATAAGGCAATGTTCGAAACGACAGGCCGTGCCACTAGAGGCAAATCCGTTGAAATGGAGGATGTCAAGTTCCACCAGTGTGTGCGACTCTCACGATTTGAGAACGATCGAACAATCAGTTTCATCCCTCCAGATGGAGAGTTTGAGCTGATGAGCTACCGTCTGAATACGCAAGTCAAGCCTTTGATCTGGGTTGAGTGTCTTGTTGAATCGCACTCTGGCTCACGAATTGAGTACATGCTCAAGGTAGGCTTCTTCCCACGATTGCCTTGATTTTTTTTTTTCTATATTAAAAGTCGAACGCGCATGCTAATGGATCTCAAAAACAGGCCAAAGCACAGTTCAAGCGTCGGAGCACAGCTAATAACGTTGAGATTCTCGTCCCCGTTCCCGAGGACGCAGACTCTCCCCGGTTCCGCACAAACATTGGTACCGTCCACTATGCGCCTGAGAAATCAGCTATTATCTGGAAGATCAAGCAATTCGGAGGTGGCAAGGAGTTCCTCATGCGGGCGGAGCTGGGTCTGCCATCCGTAAAGGGAGACGATGAGCACGGTGGTGGTATGACGGGTGGATTTGGAGGCAGTATGGGCGGCGCCGGTGCCATGGGCAAGGCGAAGCGGCCCATCAACGTCAAGTTCGAAATCCCTTACTTCACTACCAGTGGTATCCAGGTGCGGTACTTGAAGATTACCGAGCCTAAGCTGCAATATCCCTCCCTCCCCTGGGTGCGCTACATCACACAATCAGGCGATATCGCTGTTCGCATGCCAGATGTGCAATAAGAAGTTCTTTTTTCTTCTCTTTTTCAATGATTGACTTGACTTGTCTGGTTCCATCTTTGCATGAGTGATTTGTACAGCCTTTTTATCTTTGACCTCTTCATCCTTCTCATGTCCCTTCTTTGCTTACCTCTCTACCTACCCCCATTTTATCCTTTATTCCATCTACGCTCTCTTTGAGACCGGCCGGTCCGATAGATAATTCAATCACGATGTGATCTCATCTATTTTCTGCCTCCCCAAGTATTGCTTGCGTAGCCCAGACGCCTTTCCGCTTTCGAGTTTCAGCACGTCTCTTTTGGGTAGTCTTCGCCTCCCAAGGTTCTTCATCGGAAATATCGTGGATGTATGTATGTATGGATGTAGTAGTAACTCGAATTTAAATCCATGGATATAGAGACCCATGGGTATTTGAATGCATGCATGAATGCGACTACTGAAGGAAACATGAAGAGGATTTGGTAATTGGTCGCATGCCCAATTGCTGGATTAGGTTTGGTTTGGAAGACTTGGTCAATCTGATGTTACTTGATAGGGAACTAACTCGTACTAGGATCTCGGATGTACTCAAAATTTACGCAATGACCACTTGAATTGAGGAAACAAAGATGTACAAACCTCAATATTCGAAGCTAAAAATTTGGGCAAGCCCGCATGGGACACAGAGGCAATTGAACGAGACGAGGAAGCAAACATCTGAAGCAGAACGAGAATAATCCAGACAAGGGTATCTCGATTCTAACCAAACCAGCAGATCCGACTAAAGAAGCTCAACAACACATTGAAAACAAAAGAAACCAAAAAAAAAAAAAAAAAAACTTCATACCGCAACGCCAAATCGTGTCATGTCAGCGCCCGTGAAAACTGAAACTTTTGAGCCAAACATAAACCTCCCAGAAATGCCAGCTGTACATGATACCACGCTAGGAACGAAGGACCGAGAAGAGAAGGATAAACAATGGGAGATTGCATCGCAAGTCCCAGACCAACGGAATAAGGCCCAAACATAAAAATAAATAAAAGTTGATCGATCATGCAGCGTGGCCATTTGCCCCATCCTCCGTTTCAGGCGGCGGAAGCGGGAATCCATCTGTTCGACCTGCAGCGGCCGATTTAGAGAATCCCTCTCGGGCTAGCATGGTGTTCAGCACGGCACAGTTATACGCTGCTTCGCCTGGTGGTACAACGAGGAAGATATAAGTATTATCCGTGAAGCGACCAAGGAAGGTATTAAACTGCGGCGTCTTGGTATGCATAACGACGAAACCCGCGGACGCAGGTGTCGTAAGTGTATTCCGGGCGGCGCAATGCTTAAAGGCCTTCATAATATTGGAGAGACGCTCATGGCGATCGTAAATCGGGTTCAGCTCGCCGACCTCCGAGGTGACGGATGTAACGGTCAAGAAAGTGGAGCGCTCGAACAGAATGACTTCCTCGGCGTCGATCTTCTTCGCGAACGCAGAGAGGAAGCGCTCGATGACTGATAAGTTCGGGATTAATTTGTGCACGATGCCGGCCCAGGCTTTGTATAGCGATTGGTCCCAGATACTGCTTCCGAAGGTGTCGATGCGGAAGTGCTCCGAGCGGCTGCGGATTAGCGCGGAGCGCTCTTCGTAGATACGTTGGCGGTGCTCGGCTTGGATGAGATCCATCTTGTGGACGAGACAGAAGACGTAGGCGTTTGGGCTGTATTCACGGAGAGCTTGAATAATGGCATTATATGTGTCCAGGTCACGGTCTACTTCGCGGGATTCGATATCGAAGACGTAGATTAGTACCGCGACATCGGAGAAGATGTTCCCACGTTGGGAGGCAAGGTAGGTTTCCATGAATGCATCTTGTCTGACAATGGGTCACTTGAGTTAGTTTGCATACTTTTGAAATGAAAACATGAGATATGTTAGGTCATTGAGGTTTGGAAATGACTCACCCTCCGCAATCCCAAAGGTTCAATGTGAGGTTGCCCATGAACTTAACATGGCTATGTTCCACGTCGATAGTAGCGCCTAGACGGCGCACATCTTTAGCGACATAGTTGCTGAAAATGATTGAGCGCATAGAAGATTTGCCCGAGCCACTCTTTCCCATGAGGAGGACCTTTCTCTTCTTCTTGCGAGCGTCCATACTGGCGATCTGCTGCTGGTTTTAAGCTTGCCCCGCAAGAGCGGGGGCGTCTCGGATGGTTCTGGGGGTGACTAGGTCACTTGACGATATCCCAAGATGAAGTGAAAGACTGTTTATGGTGTAACGAGGCTCGTAAAAGCTTATCGGGACAGGCGAAGAGGGAATTGGGGAGATGCGAGATAAGGCGAAGAGAGGAACAGCTCCAAGATGATGGATGCGGAGAGACGGATCAACCTCGCACCCGGTGAATTAGTCACGTGATGCTGTTTATAGTGGTAGTATGCAATGCAGGATGCATGAGATGCTGTTGTTGCAGATGATGGGTTTCATTGAATTTTATTGAGAAGTTAGCAGTACTAGTAGTGAATAGTCTCCACCAAAACCATGCCATCGATGGATCCTTATTAATGCTAGTAGTTGTGAGTAGGATAGCCGAGGTAGCGGGATGACGACATTGTTTAGGCACCTGAGTAGCATCAGCAGAACCAAGCTTCATATACTTGAAAAGTCGCATGTGCATGACATACTACCTAAAGATGCTACTATTATTTATGCACCCCTGTTAACCTTGGAATAACAGTGAATACATTTAGGCTCTGAAAGGCCCACAATCTGGACAAAATCACCCGCAATCAATTGATGTCACGGTCTTAATATTCCTTACTTTTCAGGACAACGCTCATGGCTGCTGTACACGATGCAGTCTTATAGAACAGACATAAACCAATAGGCAAAGTAAAAGAACACAGATGAAGTGGCGGAAAATGTTAAAAGTGGTATCCGAAAAAGAAACGCAGGGACAGGTGCCAACGAATGGTACAGTATGCAAAAAGCCTCCATCGGTGGAAATAAGAGAAGTCGAAGTCGAGATCAAAGTCGAAGACGAGAAGAGAAAAGAAAAGAAATTAGAGCACCAAGAAATCACAAGCAACGAAGAGGCCAGTCAGAAGGAGAATCAATATCGGTCGTCATCAATAGTTCATAAATCCCAGCACCCAAAGCCAACAGTAATAGTAATAATAGTAAGATAAAGTAAGTCTTGGCGCAGGTCAGGCATCCCGTTCATCCATTAAGCTCGTGCGTATAAGAAGGCATTAGAAGACCGTGCCATCGGAACGGATCATAATCGGAGGTTCCTTGGTATTAGGCCTGGAGACTTCGGCAATTTCACGACCACCCTAAGCGCAATGTTAGTTGAGGAGTCAAATAGTAGCAGGAAAACAAAAATTCAATACGAACCTTCCAGGAGCCAGCCTCCAGCATCTGGGCCAGCGATAATTGGTCTTCTGAACCAGCTAATCCCAATTGTGCGTTAACCTCGTCCAGCAGCTCATCCAAAAAGCCGACTGTTACAGCTCGCCATTCCACGATCACGTCGTCATCTGTAGAGAAAAGCGGCACCACCTCCATATTAGGTTGACCCTTGATTTGGGCATTCTCCTTGAAAGCTTTGACTCCGCGCTCCATATCATCGGCCTTGAGGCTCAAAAGTCCCATGTCGATCAACAGACCACCATTTCGGTACTCGGGCAGACCGGTCAATAGATCGCTGCCGGCGAAGTGGATGTGCATTAGCTTCGACATGGGGACCATGATGGAGTAGCAGAGCCACTGGGTCAGCTTGTGGAATGGGATAATGCGCTCCCACGGCTGTGCCGGGGGCGAATTGGGGAGATCCGAACAATCCCAAGCATCTCCAATCGAGACGCCGTCGATCTGGGTTCGGGAGGGGGGCCAGATGGATGAGAATCCATCCATGAGGACAGTCCACAGGGTGGTGAGTGGGACTATGGGCACGGAAGAAGCGAGAGTAGAGGGGTGTCCCAGAAGGAAATCTGGCGCACGAAAAGTAACCCGTTAGCTTTCGACTGAATTTCCATGCGACAAAGACACATGGCGCTTGAAAAAAAAAAAGATGGTGATGAAAAGAAAAAAAGTAGCTCATGAAGCTTTGTAACTCACCTAGCATGTTACCAGGTCGAGCATCTACGCCAAAGAAGTCCTGGTTATTCAAAGCTTCGGAAAGTCGCACCAGCAAGCCCGCGCGACCTTCGATACCGGCGAGCGAATTCTGATCCGAGTGCTGCATGCCCTTGGCCAGCTTTTCGACGGTGATATTCTTCAGCGCGGCGCCATCCACCTGGCAGGGTTCTGTCGGGTCGCTACTGAATAAACCGGATTTAAACATCTCCAAACTAGCGACGGCGAGACCCTCGCTGCGCGAGTAAACCTTTCCGGACTCCTTGGAGCGATATGACCATTTTGTGCCGGCGCCCGCATCCAGCAGGACGGAGACGACGAATAAATCAATCAGGCGACGGGTGCGCTCTTGGGCGTCAATGCTGCTGGGCCAGGACTGCAGGAGCTGGTTGATCCGGGGCCGGCCGCCCACATCGAAATGCTGCCAACGGCCATGCGGCGGGATATTCTCATAATCTTGTGCATAATCTCTCTTTTCATAGTCACCTCCGCATTAGCCTTATGTCGAGGATTTTGATTTTGATTTGTGTTTGGTGTATTTTTTTCTTATTTTTTTTTTTCTTGGTTCATGAAAGATTGAGATATGAGTGAGTCATGTTTACCTTTATGATGGATACAACATAGGACGCGGTAGCCTTGAGTTTGGACAAATCGACGTCAAAATGGTTGAGTTGGTTTCGTTTGGCTCGGTTTAGGACGATATTTGCGCGTTCGCGCACGGCGTGGATGCTTCGGAGATAGGCGGCGGGGTCCAATGCCGGGTCTGGCGGGCTCGCGATGGGCATCTCGGGGATGGAGGCCGGGAGGCCGCTGCCTTTGTAACCGGGGGATTTGAGGGATGTATTGGAGGTGCGAGCACTGTTGACGGACACGAAGGATTCCTGTTCATCGCGCTCACTCTGGACCGAGGTCCTCGAGTCCTTGCGCTTAAAGAGACCCATGATTGTTGACTTTTCTCTCTTTCTGGTTTTGTTCTCCTATTTCCTGTACCGGGAGGAATTTCGAGGTGGAGAAGCAAAGGTGATAAGGAGAAGAGGGGTGGGGGATGGGATCGACTCCCAGTAGCTTTGAAGGAATAATCGATGACAATTCTTGGCTTTGTAAGGATCCTCGAGCTTTGGCGTTGTAATGTTTTTTTTTTTTTTTTTTTTACTCTTTTTTTCCCCTTCTTTTCTCCTTAAAGATTCCGTAATAATCGAGGCGGGGCGGTCGGTGGCCGGGCTCTTCAACAATCTCCACGGTTTATGGACAATCTAGGTCGTTAGTCCCGTCAACAGCTGTGCAAAGTGGGGATCGGGGCCTAAATTGAATTATAATGACGTTCCAAAGTCTTGCATTGGAATGGGAGGTATAAAAAGAAAAGGGATACTGGAAAAGGACAGAGAGAGTTTTCTCTATAAGCGAACTGCAGATTGATTACTTCCCGACTGGGAGATCTCCGCAGTTGTGAAAATTAGATGGGAAAATAGCTGGAAATAGCTGGAAATAGCTAGAGAAAGTGACAGGAGAGGAGATTCAAGCCGACTATGGCTGTGCAAACTTTGGCTTTATGTTTATTTTTATTTTTTTTATGGGGTAGAAAAGCAGAGATACTGAGATAATAGCATTTAAGCCATATGTCAATAAAAAAAGAAAAAAACGAAAAGTAAAGATGAGCAAGGTTCTCACGTACGTGTATAGATCGCTAGTGCGGGCAATCCCAATGGATCCATCAGTCTGGACCAGAAATGTGCCGGAGAACTGGCGATGCACGGGCTTGCCCTGTGCGGAGACCTCTACTGAGGTGACTAGTCCCTGCCAAGCAGCATTAGCCAGTCATAGCCGCTCATGGCCCGTGAAAAAAAAGGGATTGTCGGTTTGAATCTTTGGTACAGCTTTCTCCAAGCGCTCAAAGGGGGCCATGAACCCCCCATTTAGGAGATGTTTGGTACCCTAAGTCTGTTTTGAGTGTTAGGGAGATCTAGTGCCCCTCGGTGAACCAAGGAATGACTGATTACCATGAAATTACTCAGATTCAATTTGTTTTTGTTTTTGTTTTGTTTTAGTTTTTAATATGTCTAGAAATTTCTTCAATTGTATTAGATGACCTAGATGAGACTAAATGTTTGAAACCTCTGATAACTGGAATTTTAGTGGCATTTTGATTGATATTATATCCCGACGATAACAAATTCTATAAGAAATTACTGGAATCCATCCTATAGGAGAGAGAAGAAAAGAAAGAAAAGCAGGGTCAAATGGCCCGTTCATGCAGCGGGCGCCTGTCACGGCGGACGTATAACCCGAGTCAGCACTAGTATCGGGGAAATCAGATGCTACCATATGTTGATAGTTCTAGAAACACCAAAAGAGAATTAAAAAAAAAAAAAAAATACAATGACAATCACCATGGCAAAAATCCCACGAGCTGCATATATCGTACGATATCCACATATATAAGACAGTTGACGTGGGCGTTCATAAGGTGACGGGAATTCCGATCTGGCCTGCTTTTCCACATTCCACATCTCGCATCTCGCATCTCTGGAAATATTGAAATTCTCCGATCTTTCTTAGCCGTACATCCGATGCTCAAAGCTTCTTAGATTGTTGGATCTGGTCTAGACAAACTACAAATGACTAGACGGGAAGGTCCCGAAAGCCGAAAAGAAGAAAATACAGTGTTAAGTTTTTACTATGCTAGAGGGTCTAATCTCCGCCGTTGCGCTCCTCCACTTGTCTATATACGCTAAAATCCAGCTCCGGGAAGCACGGACGGAGCCACATTTAATATTAGGGCAACTTTTGGGAAAATTCCAGAAAATTAAAAAATTAAAAATTAGAAAATAGAAAAACTGTTAATCTGGGTCTTTAAAATCCTGCTAGATCCCTGTCAAATCCTGTTCCAAAGGGGGCCATTGTTTACATCTGAAGTTCAAACTTCAGCAACCCAGGCAACTCGCTAACCATCGGCCCACATCCTAATACTCCAAGCCCATTCGTTACCGCGCGGCTCCTCTACCCGAAAACTCCGCCAGGCGTCGAGCTTTGGGCAAAGCGGAGTACTGACTTTTTTTCGCGGTTTGATGTTTTTCGTTGGTGTTTGGGTTTTTCTTAGTTGTTTTTTTTTTCTTTGCAGATCAGGTACGCTTTTCATCTTGCTCTGCACGGGAAAGGGAAAAGGAAAGATCAGCCTCACGCATTTTCTACCTGCTTTCCTGTCTTAATTGGCCTCCCATATTCTTTCCGGCCCCGGTTTTTCTTCGGGATAAATCCAGAATTACTGAAATGCCCTTAACCAACTTGGGTAGTTGGCAGCGAGGCTCTCCAGGTTGGAATTGTGCAAATTTATTCCAATCCTTGCCGATTTGCCTTGGGCACATCCGTTCTCCGTACTTTGTACTCTGTTTTTGCGGTGGCGGCCAGCCACAGACCCATGTACCCACGTGTCGTTTCTGTGATAATGCGTGTCCGGAAATTATGATGCAAAGCTAAGGTATAGCATCACATTATAAATGTCCATCAAAGACTACCTATAATGTTGGCTACGGAGTATAGGTATATCCGAATACTCTGGGTCAGGTATGGTCATCCATGGATCCATTGGAGAGTCACCTCTTAGCTTCAACCTTGGAAGGTTAGCCCCAACTTTTGCTGTTTTCTTCAAAGTCGCTCTAACTTTGGAACTTTATTGGCCGCGTCACGGAACTTGTGCGAAAGCTTCGCCTCAACCGTTGGCTTTTTTCGCTTATCAAAGTCCCAATCAAGTCAATAGTACGGAGCAAAGAGGGAATGTCCGGTTTTTTAAGCTTCATACGAGCCATTCAGCTGCCTTCGCTTCTCGTAACTTTGGAACGCGGTACAAGCTAAAGGGGCTTGCACTTCTGATTGGTTGAATAGCTGCGCAAATAGAAGGTTTACAGTTGACTTTGGGGATTTTCAGATTTGAACTTTTTGTCAGGCTTTAATCCTTTTCGTAGTTCGAAGTAGCTTTTGTCCGTGCCAGCGTACTGAAAACGGAGTACAGGGTTACGGAGTACAGCCCGGGAAATCATATTGGCTGGCTAAACTATCAGCCCGAGCCTTTCCTTGAGCCCTAGCAGACATATCGAACATCCAATGCTTCTTACGTTGCCCAAGTGACGCATCTTTGACAATCCGAGATGTCTAAGATGTATTGATGCCGGCTGTTTCCATTGTATCCCTGATCGTCGAGGAATTGAGCTTACTGATGATGAAGAGCTTACTTCAATGAACCTTCAATGAACCATTTCGGCGAACCCCGTGGACAACCATTACCCTCTCTTATTCTAATAGAAACATGCCAAGCGACACAGCAAGACTTCCAAAGCAAGCCAGCTCACCAAGCCGACCTCCCGCGATTTCGCTACGGCGCCAGGATCAAAGAAAGGAACTCACCTCAGTCAACATAGAGTCCAACAGGGACTCATGCCTACTAACCTAGATCTCTTCCTCCAATGTCATTCACCGATACCACCGCCAGCCACAGTGCTCCTTAATTCCTCTCCGCCCTTCTCGTCGTCTTCTCAGAATCCTACATAGCCTTCCCCCTCCGAAGCACTCTTGGCTCGTTAACAGGAATAACCATCGGACTTGAATACTTTCCACTTGTTCGTCGTCGTGCACCTCAAGAGAGCTTAGTCCAGTCAGTTCTCTTTGGGAATTTCATCTGGACCCCTGGCGATAGGCACCAACTCCGCATCGCTGATCCGAGGCCAGACCACAAATATGCTCCTATGCTTCTCCCTCGTAGCTCAGCTGGGGTGAAATGCATATCTCTTCTTGAAAGGTTGTTTGGTCAGTCGGGGTTTCAATGCCACTGCCTTCTACTGACCCAAATTATGATCATGATCTCGTCTCTTGAATTTGGGTATTGCCTGTCCCTTGGCACAGGCTACGCTGGAGAACAGCATACGTTGGCAACAACATGTGATTGATAGCACTTCGGACTGATCCGTCTCATACTAGATACATACCATACTCTCGGGCTCTCACGCTCGGGTTATCTATACCTGAGCAGATAAATAGAAGAACAACCTTGGAATCTGGACAGTCAATTCCAAGGTATTGTTCTTCTAGCGTGCAGTATAACCTCCATCCACAGGCCACGATACTCCTGTCACCCAGCTGGCATCATCGCTTGCTAAGACTACTGCCATCTTAGCAATGTCACTTGGTTTACCTGGTCCATTGAAAGGATGCTTCTGCTGCATATCTTCTTCAGTGGCACCAATCGCTCTCAAGTCACTGTAAATTGCAGTCTGGACATCTGTGCGCTTACAGTCAGCTAAATCAACTGAAATCGATGCACATGTGGAGATAGTATATTCAAAACTCACATCCTGGACAAATAGCGTTCACATGAATTTTTGACCCGGCATAGTCAAGGGCAACTTGTCGAGTCAAGCTCAATACTGCTCCCTTTGATGCACAATAAGATGCTTTTCGATATCACAGTCAGCTTGCATTTGTATAAATATTGAAACTATATTTTTTCCCATAGGCAAGAGCAAGAACTACAGGGGACTTACGACTCGCATTTGATGCAACGATCCCCATGACAGAAGCCATGTTGATGATCCACCCTCTGTCTCCAGACGAATGAGGCTCTTGAGCAAGCATCTGCCTGATGGCAAATTTAGATCCGAGGAAACAGGATTTTGCATTAACTCTCATCGTGATGTCCCACACTTCCTCGTCCGTCTCGTGGCATGGGGTCAAGGGACGGCGGGCCTCCAAAGCCACGCCAGCATTGTTGACCAATCTATGAAAAGCGGAAATGAAATGTTTAGAAAAATAAGCTGCAATGCGTTTTACAAAGCCGGGTTACAACGAGATCCAACTCACATGTCTACTCTTCCAAATTCTTTCGTCGCAGCTTGGACAAGCGCTTCCATCTCACTAGCTTCACCAACATCGGTCTTAACAAATATGGCATGTCCGCCTTCTTTTTGAATCAGGGCATGTGTCTCAGCCTCCCCTTCTTCCGCAATATCCTGTCGTGCCGAGGGAGTGAGATCTGCGCAGGTCACTTTCGCTCCTTCACGGGCATACAAGAGGCAGATGGCACGACCAATTCCGGAAGAAGAGCCGGTGACGATAGCCACTTTGTCCTGAAGGCGGTTCGGCATGACTGATGTTGACAAAATGTTGGAAAATGGATTACGATGAGAGAAATCGGGAGATATTTGATATGCGGGGTTCTAGGTAAGATTTGTTTATAAGTACCTCGGGATACATGCTTAATATGGTAGTCAAGTACATTGTAGCTCCTAACCTCGTCTATTTCAATACATAACCCCCTCATTTGATGACCCTTGCTTTTCAGAAGATCCTCGGTCCAACTAAACCCGGGTTTAAACCATGCGATTTATTCTCAGGCAGCACAATGACGCCGCTTTAATGCATGCAACATGTACTAGGTAGTACGTAGCAATATGTACAGGGTCTTTCCGGTGTGATTCTCTGGCCGTCTGTGTTATCACCAAAGAGACGAAGATTTTGAATTCCACAAAAACTATTAAATGTTATTTTATGATATTCAAATTCAAGATGTGACTCCCGAAACTCTTGGTGCTTTGATAGAAAAATGCAGGATTTGGAGAGAGATCATCTACTATTCGTATCTCCAGCACTGTCTGGTGTGGTTAGGAGAAAATGGCCCGTATCTATAGTATTGGATGAGATGTCAATGTTTGACTCGCATTCTACTGGCAATTGAATCTAAAAGGAAAAAGAAAAAAAAAAGAAAAATTCAGCTCTAAACCCTCCAATCGCAAGTTAATGTTATGGTTAGCGATCTATCGTATCGCCGAATAAATTAATCACATGACCACGGCGCGGATCGCGTCGACGTCAACCGCGACCTCCGACCCCTGTTAAACCGACCTAACAAACCGCCTCATCCCCGCAAATCACATTCCTTCCTATCATCCAACCCACGATCAATATGTCCGCCTTCACTTCTCTCCGCCCAACCCTGCGCCTGGCAAACACCGCCACCCGCACCTTCAGCTCCTCCGCCGCACACTCCGTCGCCCGCATGACCATCACCGGTCGTCTGGCCGCCGATCCCGAGCTCCAGGCTACCTCCACCGGACAGGATATCATCAAGTACGCCGTCGGTACCTCCTACGGCCCCCGCGAAAACCGCCAGACCAGCTGGTTCAAGGTTGCCAGCTTTGCGGACGGTGCGCAGCGGGATTATTTGTTGTCATTGCAGAAGGGGTAAGTGCCTGTGGGATCGGATGTGGTTTGAACTTGAGATTAGTGGTGATGCCAATTGAGAGCGCATTATGCTGACATGCTTGTTTGCGATTTTAGTACACTCGTTTACGTCGAGGGTGACGCCAGAATGAAGAGCTACGAGGATGCCGAGGGTCGCAAGCAGTCTGGCCTGAGCATTGTGCAGCGTGAGTTATATCGTTTCCTCTGCTTTTGGATGCTTGTTGCATCTAATGGGGGTCTTTGTGCTGGACTTTGGTGGATGATAACTAACTTCGATTCAAGGCTCTATTGAGGTTCTTAGCCGCCCCCAGAATGCCGATTCTGAATAAACGATTACCCTGAGAAATCTGATTAATATGAATGTGGATATCGACTTGGGTGATTATCTGTACGGGAGTTATATTGGGAGTGCGGACGGATCTTAGATTGGCTGGGCTGGTTTGGAGAGGGGAATGTTTAACTCGGCTTGTGCTTTTACTATGCCTCGGTTCAGTGCTGGGTAATAATTCTTGTCGATCTCCTCGCTCTGCTTTTATTGTATTGTACTAGTATACCCTGAATACACTCTGTTTTATTATGGTGTACGTTGAGATGCTCTGTTCATTTTTAGTAGATGAGAATTAGGATGAAAGGAAATGGAAGGGTTGCTCGAATAGAATGATTTCGCCTAAATGTATTGGTAAAAAAAAATGCCAAAAAAAATATCGAATACCATCCGGCTAGAGTGCACATAACGAGAAAGTTAACATGTGTTCTGCGCCGATGAAATGCTAATGAATAGAAAGGAAAGCGACTGGCATAAGTCGATGAAAGATACAAATATAGCTCTCAGAGCTGGATTTCACTCTGCTGGTGTATCACATGCTTGATATGAATGGAATCCACCGGGGTGGGTGTGACAGCACTCCGTGACAGCTCGCTACTGGGACGGCTTCGACTGACCTCAGCCCAAGCATTCGTACGAACCGCCAGTTCAGGAGCAGAAACATCATCTAGCAGAATGACTTGATCCCCACTCCGAGCAAAGCGGCGACTAAAAAATGCCCGGGGATCGCGATACCATGGCACAATGGGGGCATTGGCACTTTGACCAACAAGAAAAGATGGACGGACACCTTTCTCAACATCAGCGTGTGCGTTCTTGCGCCACTTAAAGAGTGACTTCTTCTGGCTGGTTGAATCAACCAATGTCGCCGAGTTTGAACCATTGGGAGGCTGGAGTGTCGCCTGTGAGCTCTGCGGCTGGGACACACTGGGGAAGCAGTATCCGAACCCCAATCGCCAGAGGATCATGCGATAGACGCGAATGGCATCTTGGCCGAGGCCGCAGAAGATGAAGACAATCAAGCCGGTAGCGATGGGTAGCCAGCGATCATCAAAGACATGACCGTATGATGGAACCTTGACAATCTCGTACCAGTTTGCATGGTGGACTTGGGACCATGAGTAAGGGTGCCAAGGAAAGGATACGACTAGGTCTTCATATAGGAGCCAAGCTGAGACAGGCAGGATGGCAATGAGCATAGTGAAGGCGACAAAAAAGAGGCGCAGGAAACGTGCTTTGTTCATGTTGCTTCTCGATGCGCGGAGGATGGTCTCGAAGTCGCTTCTGTATTTGTGAAGACGGATAAGGACTAGGCCTATACCATTTTCAAAGATTAGCTCTCTCCATTTTCTTGAACCGTGGTGAGCATAGTACGGATTTGACTCACAACAATAGTAAGCAGATATCAAGCATAGTATAGGGGGCCACATCCATGCCAACACGAAGCTAGGCCAGCTTTCATCGTAGTTGTTGACACATCCCGAGATGGTGTAGAGAAGATAACGATCTTTTTGATAGATGTAGTGGGTAATCATTGCCATGGCCGGTACAAAAACACAAAAGAGAAGTTCAAACAGCCGATTGCGCCATCTTTGAGTCTTGCTAGGGACCAGCATCGCTCGACTTGTGTTCAGTACCGTTGCTAACTCGCGAAAGATGCATAGCAAAGCACCCGGCAAAGCTACATAACTCGCCACCATAAACTTGACCTCAACATCACAGAGACCAGAGCCATCCCACCAGACTGAGGTATTATCTGTGGGCCAAAGATTGGCATTGATGAAATTGAACAGACTCAGTAGAATCGCCCAGCAGATGAGGGCGGTCGCAGGGAAATTGCGGTTTTTTGCATGAAGAATCAATGGTGGAAGACACAGCAGAATGGAAATAAACGACAAGACTGGGATGATAACCGCCAGCGGATATACCTTCGTCTCTTCCGCAATCGCTGGTGTTGCTGCCCAAAGCTGGGCAATTGCCATACTTGCTGCTGCTGGGGAAAATTGGACGAGCTGATAGATATCTAGAACGAGGCAGGAATACCTCTGCAGATCAAGTATGCTTTTTTCAGCAATGATCTAGGTCATGGACTCGAGGAAGGGAGAAGCATGAAATAGCTGGAGAAAATGAGAAGCTGAAAAAGATTGCATCCTTCTATAGCTCGTTGACCTTCAGGAGAGATTCAATTAAAATGAGCCTGATCTCGAATTAGAAACCTGGATCCAGAGGAGTGTCACGCTAATAAGATAACGGGTCTAGATCAAGACATGCTCTGGATCTTATTCGAATCCCAATGCGAAGGCAAAGGGGGTCCGAAGTGGGATCTGTATAGAAACATGGACCATGGATGTTGGAAGTCACATTTTAATAAAAAACCTGTCCATTCAAGGTCCATGATGAATGGCGGCATTAATGGCCTCTTTGCAAGAGAAGAAAGACATGGAAGAAACATTGAAAATGAGGAGGTCAAGGTTTTCTGGATTTGGGGTTCAATAGGAATCTGCAGGGAAGTTCAAGCCAATCTTCTATTCAGACCCAGATAGGGTTAGACTGGAAATGAATCCCATGTCACGGTCATGATTAGTCATGGAAACAAAACAGACAAACGAAACAAACGAAACAAAGTAGACAATACAGACAATACAGACAAACTATTTCCCAGGGTTATTCTGGAGGTAAAAATAATTAAAAAAAAAAAAAGTAAATAAATCAAGGTAAATTATAAAATTATATTACTTTAATTTAAATGGAATGACATGAGATCCGGGTAATGATGAATCATGCAGTATACAGGATCAATACTATAGTGTACTCTAGTGTTTAGTGGGACTACTACTATACTGTAGTATAGTGGAGAGGGGAACCGCATAATGACGAAATTACCCTTGCATAAGCCTCGAAACAAGAATCAACCTAATCCCCAAACGTCACGAACTCCTTCACCTGTCGGGGGGAACTCTTTTCCCTACCTCGTGCAGTTTGGCTTTTTTCTTTTCTCACCTTCTGCATATATCCCCCCCCCCCCAAGGCTTCAAGAGGAAGCTTGTTGCGGGCTCCCATCTCATCATGGCTGATCCCCCTTCTCCGGGGATCTCACCCCGCAATTCGTCTCTCCGCCGCCGTGGTCTCCCCACGCGAACCACTCTCGAAACCATCCCCGACTCCGACTGGCCGCAACGCCGCAACTCTACACTCTCAGATACCATCTCCGAAGCTCGTCACTCCATTCGATCATCCACAGATGACCTGTTCCTTCCCCGAGTGAGTCAAAACAATGAGGGTCCGATCGCAACCGAGGAATCTCATTGGCACTCCGCGCCACTGGCCTTGGCGTTACTGCCAGCCATCGCCGGGGTCATGTTCAAAGAGGGAAGTGTTTTTGTGACCGATGTGACGTTGTTAGTACTGGCAGCTATCTTTCTCAATTGGTCCGTCCGATTACCATGGTACGTCATCAAACCCAATAATTTATTATGTACAGTATCTTTTGAGATATCAGTAAAGCTGACATGGGGGTTTTAAAGGGACTGGTATCGGTCCGCCCAGGCCATCACGCGAGAAGAATCCACATATAGTCCCACCGTGGAGGGTATAGAACCAGAGGCGGGTGACGAGGCCGTAGACTCCGGCGAAGAACCCCACCGGCGTCCCAAACCCCCACGAACATCAAAGCAAGCAGCCATCAAAGAGCTCCATATACACGAGCTCGTCGCATTAGCCTCATGCTTCATATTTCCTCTAATTGGCACCTGGCTCCTTCATGGCATCAGATGTAGCTTATCTCGACCCTCGGAAGGTTTGGTCTCTAATTACAACCTTACCATATTTCTCCTCGCATCCGAGATTCGGCCATTCGCTCATCTCCTCAAACTATTTCAAGCTCGCACCCTCCATCTCCAACGTATCATCGCAACCACTGATGACAATCACATCGATTCGGTTAAAGTTCAAGACCTCACAACTCGACTCGAGGAGCTTGAAGCGCATGTCGCCGAAGCTGCTGCCACTCGTCTGGCTTCATCTCCAGGCCAAAACTCCCCTAAAGAACCAAATGACGCCCAGTCACTCATAACACAGGCGGTTGCTGAAGCCCGCAAGGCACTTCAACCAGACATCGAAGCTCTCAATCGCGCTGTCCGCCGATATGAGAAACGTACCGCTTTGATCACACTCCAAACAGACACTCGCTTCCAACAACTTGAGGCACAAACCCGCGACGCATTAGCTCTGGCAGCTGCTGCACAGCGCTCTAGTCTGTCGCGCCGCTCAAGCTACGCATTCACGTTGGTTGACTGGGCTTGTGCTTGCATCGTTGTTCCGGCCCAGCTCGCTGTATCTATCCTCAATCTACCTTCCCGCGCAGTAAATCGCTGTTTGGCCACTGCAAGGAGTATGATAGGTCGCCAACCTTCTCCGCAGTCACGCTCAAAGTCTAGTAAAGGCAAGTCAGTTCAGGGAACTGGTCGTAAGGTTCGACCACGGTCACCTCCACCTAAAGCACTGGGCTCGACAATATCTCAACCGCAGTCTATTTCTCGCTAGGCTGGTCCATGCTTGAAGTTCATGTTACTATCATACTAATTGGCCTCATACTTTCTTTCCTATGTACTTTTCGGGGACTTCTTCTCTTTTACATACAACTCATAGCAAATTTTACATCCTATTTGAATATAGACTCTCTTGGAGACCGTGGCTCAAAGCTTCGAATGACTAAACCGTATGCCATTTCCCCATCCACTTATTGGTGATTTCCTTTGCCTCGTCCACTAATATCATCTCTACAAGAACGTGCGAGGTTAGCTACCTTGCTATACTCCGGGGAGACAGTATCTGAAAGGACCCGGATCAATCTAGTATCTCTGTCAGGCCCCTGGGAGAATGGTTCATCTAGACTTTCTCTACATTCCGTTCTATTATACCTTTCAAATGTTCTATATGGACCAATATTCCGCAGTTGATGCACGTCGTGGTAATCGAAGGTGACCTTGAACATTCAAATGAACATTGGAATATTTTGAAGTATTTCGGTCATCTAGACTTTCCATTACTACATACCACCGTATGAAAAAAAAACACATGTCGCAGTCACTGTACTCAATATGAAAGGGAATTATCGAATCATGTTACACTAGTCAACTCAGGCCAGAACTTGAGTCTATCACATCTATAATACCACTATTAACACAACAAAAGGAGAACATTATTCATCGAAAAGACAGAAACGCTTCCGAGTATCAGAACAGGTCCACTGATCCTGACGGCCAAGATCAAGGAGTGAGTATAGTATATTGTAGCATCAAGTCCGCCCTCCAGAAGGTCCTTTTTCATCAACTCCAATCATTTTTAAAAAAGGCTCAATAATTCCTCTCTTCCTTTCCTCGGAAGCACGACGCTCTTTGTCCTTGGAAGGTATGGGGACAGCCGACGAAATGAGTACACGGGCAAATATAGAAGTAAGGGCAGACTCAACAGCCTGTCGGCGCGCTGAAGCTTTCTCATGGGCCGATTTCTTGGTCGATGGCTCGGATATGCTGGGCAGGCGGCTCTTACGACGAAAGCTGCCTGCTGAGATGAATGCAGCTGTAGATGCGGGCGTAGGTGGGTTCGGGAGGCTGGATTTGACGTTTTCCGGCACTTTTTGGTTTTCATCTTGGCCTTGGTTTTTCGTGTCCTTCTTACCGCTCTCATCTTTGGATTTGGTAAGATCCGCCAGATTGGACAATTGCTTTTTAGCCTTCGACAGTACTGGTGGGTTGGGCTGTGGAGCGATGGATGGGATGGCTACTTCATTGACGATGCGGGCGAGCATGAACGTCACAAATGTGAAAGACACACTGTGAGCGGGGGAATAGGCAAGGCTTTCCAAAACCCAGGCTTGAGTTTCTTCCCAAGACCGAGGAGGGGTCTTAGATTTCTCGCGCGAGATCAATTGTCGCTCCATATCCTCCCAGACACTTGCAGTAACGATACCATCACTTAAAGAATTGAGGAACTTCAGTAGTGTTTCGCAGAGGATCTCTAGCCGTTGGATTGATGAGACATCCGGTGCGAAAATCGTGGTTAAGGATTCGTTTGTGTCAAGGGACTCTCGGACTGACGCGGAAAGAACAGAGCGCTGGTAAGGGTCCTGAAGGGTCCACGTATCGGGTTGAAATGGCCATCCGGTTCCTAATGGATCTAAGGCCCAAGGCGCTTCTTCTCCAGTTTCGCCTTTTGTCATGCTCCACTCTGCTACAGCCCGCTCGGTCAAGTCGGAGATTGCCTCGGTCAGGCGAAAGAGCTCTCGGGGGGCTGAAAGCCGCACTTCGGATTTGATTTGGGATGGGTGTGACGCTTCGTTTCCTTCGAGGCTGCGAGCGCCTTCTTCGGGCATGCGCGTCAATTCATCCACGCTACATCCGAAGCAGGTTGGCAACCAGTGTCCCGTAACTGAGATAAAATGGTCACGGCCACTATCAACATGGAGTACTAGTATCTCCTCCAGTTTGACCTTCTTCAAGTTAAGCAGGCGAACGTGTTCAATGATCCGAACGTGAGCTGTGACATCAACATTAGCCACCTCCCCTGGCAATAGAGTGTGTGGTTTCCCAGTAGTCGGAATAGCCGGCTGCTTAGAACGATCTTCGTGCCGTTCAATTTGAATGTCGAGCCAAGGTGAGTTCTTTGATGTGTGCTTATTGTCAATACTGGGCCTCTCTCCAAAATGAAAGGTAGCCGATGCACTACTCGTGTTGGCTATTGTGATGGATCGGTGAATTGGGAGATCATAGGCGACCTTCCCAAAATCAACTGCATTTGGGTCTCGTTCCTTTCCCTGTTCACCGTGAGGAACGTCCACGACCACAGTAAGGCCGGGACGAGCTTCATTTTCGGCCTTATCGAGTTCACGGACCACCTCCTGGTGGACTTTAGCTTTGAGGCTAGGATTGACCGCATCAAATGACAAGGTAAAAATTGCATCTAAGGGCTTGTGGTCTGAAGACAAAATTCCCTGATGTGAGACATAATGATCCAGACGAACGGGCTCGTCTAATGTCGAGTCTTCGGATGCAGCAGTGGAAACAAATGCTCGGTCATCATCTGAAATGTACTCCTCCACCCCGTCTCCTGCATCTCCTGCATCCACTCCGTCAACCTCTGGGTCGTAATCAAATAAAACGTTGTCATCGGCAACGGCCTGGTCGAGACCTTGTTCTTGCATTTCTTTGTCTCTCTGCCGGATTTGCTCGGCTTCTCGGTCCAGTTGCTCATGCTTTAGTTTGTCTCGGCGGGTGCGGTATAGGATTCGATCACACCAGCTGGGGCCACGATGTTTCTCACTGGAGTCAAACATAGCCACACTACCGATATCGTACTTATATGTAGGAAGAAAAGTGATCTGGCCCTCCCGCCAGCCTTTATGGAATGCAGTTCCCAGTTTCTGTTGAATCCGCAATTGGTCGTGCACAACGAGAGATGAGATTGTTGTCTGCAAGGACGCGGGATCATTATGTGGGTCAATCTCGTCATCGGTCACTGGCTCAGGCAACTCATGGTCCTCTGAAAGCGGTGGTTGCGGTGGATGCGGCTTATTGTCAATTTCAGCAGTAGAACTTCGGCGACTACCCGATTTTTTCGTTTCCTGGAGTGCAGTATCGTATGCATTGACGGTGTGTCGTGCTAGGACTTGTCGGACGTCGCTTCCAGGAATATCATCTAGGCGATAGTTAAGATCACCAAACCAGAACGTAAAGTCCTCATCTCCGATTTCATCAAGGGAATCATCCCCTGACCCCTTCTCTCCATCAACTGGATCAAACTTTGCACGCGACGCAATTTGAGAAGCATCCCAGTTGCGTCTTTCTAGGCTGCTTTTGTCCGATCCTGCCGCGAGGTGACTGTTCACGAAAACTAGGCGAGTAGTCTCACCAAGGACCAAACGAGTCGCCACTGCGCCCTTGTTCCCCATGTAACCCATTAAACCCGTTCCGACGTAGGTACTGCTAACGGAAGAGACGCTCTCACCAATCGAAGGAGAGGCATAGATTAAAAGTAATAATCCAATCAACTGCACCTCGGAGACGAGCTGATACCCAGGGGGTAATGATTCCTGGAGTGACTCTTTCCAACGATTTGATGGGCCCGAATCAGTATATGGCCTGAGAGCCTCGGCAGGAGATGAGACATCAACCACTTCTTGTATGCCCAAAACATAAAGCTCAATCTCCTCGGGGCTTGTTTGAAAGGGCTTTTTCTTCTTCTCATCCTCGTCATCTCCGATCGGCTGGCATTCGTCTGTTGCTCCAGCATGCTCAAGATTCTCACCCTTGGCACCAGAGAATTTTTCACACACTCCTTGACCCTGCACGAACCATTTGCCAACATCCTTTTCTGTGCCATTGATTGCTGCAACATTCCAGGTTCCAATCTTGACGCGAACTGTTCGTCGGCGGGTGTACTCTCCCTTTCGGCTTTTGACATTACGCGAAAGAGATAGTAGGTCCATCGCGGGATTCTTAATATCCTCCGCGTCTTCCGGCGCTTGGCTTTTCGGGTCTGATGCGGGCGACGGCTCCGATTGTTGGTCCTTGGAGCTCATATTGAATCAAATTGTGACAAGGTTCCGGTAATAAGAAGGGTATTCTTATAGAATTTGGTGTGTATTTCTTTGGCCGTATGTAGCACTGATAGCGTGTGGTGCATATAGTGAGTTGTAGTGAATCTGGGGCGGCTCTTTATTCCGGCGGGGAACCGGGTGCTACGCCAGCGTTTCTTAGGGCACCGCAATATAGAGAAAATTCGCTGACAATGAATGCAGTATAGTCATGCGACAAGTACGATTCACTGTAGCGGGTTGGAGGAAAGGATTTCGTGGGTGGGCTAAGACAGCAAGTAGGCACGCAAGTAGGCGAGCAAGTAGGCGAGCAAGTCGAACAAGTACATGCATATGCAAGAGGATCCCGGATGGTCTAGGAGGTCAATAGCATCAGAGCGACGATCTGGCACAAATTGAATAAAACAAAAATAGATAACAGGTCACTTCAGAGCTTCACAAGCTTTCTGAAGAAGAAATGAAGGATTGTAGTGGTGTAAGACAAGTGAAATCTAAGAGTTGGAGAAGGCAAGTCAGTGGAACTGATGACATATTGCTTATCGGGCCTTATCGGCCCGTGCCCCACGAACATCTCGACCACGACTCAGCGACTCAGCGACGTCGCGTCGCGACAACAATACAACCTGAGAAAACGTTTGCCCCAATACCCGTTTAATTGCCATCATGGATCATACGGGTCGCCCACCAAGCTACTACTCAACCCACCCTCCCCAGTACATGGATCATTTACCCAACGCACCTCCCGACTATCTCGAATCGGAGAACGCCTACCTCTCTGAAATGGAGAAAGCGGCCCCCCAACCCCTCCGCTCGAACGATGATCTAAATCTTCGCGTTCTCCGCCGCTACAATCCTGCAATCACCAAAGTCATTTCCCTGGCTAATTACGCGGTGATCTACACCTTCGACTCCACTACCGCCTCGTGGGAGAAGGTCAACATTGAAGGCACGCTGTTCATCTGCCGCATGACCCCGGGCCGGCTCGGCGAAGAACGCTATGTTGTTGTCATCCTGAACCGTCGCAGCCTTATCAACTTCCAATGCCTTCTGATTAATCCTGAGAACGTTGAGTTGACGGATGAATATGTGATCTTGAAGGATGATTCAGCCAACGACGGCGAGAACAAGGCCGGTGCCAACGACTACAACGTCTATGGAATTTGGATCTACTCCGAGAGCAAGACCTCCACTGCCGATACTCGCACCGTGAACGCGAAGATTATTCTCGAGTGCGCCACTCGTGCCGCTCGCAGCATGCAGGGCGTCAAAGCGCGCATTCAGGCTAAGGGCCAGGATGAGCTCCACGTGGCGGCTGCAGCTGCAGAGACTCAAGGCGTCCCGACCGACAACATGCAGGGAGGTGTTTCTATGGGCCGCACTATGTCGCTGAAGGATATGTTTGGACAGCAACGCGCTCAGGATGATGAGTGGAGTGTTCGTGCCCACCATGAACAACCCCAGCCTCACTCTGCCTTGCCCGCCCACCATGCTCACCAATCTGGGGCTCACCAATATGGGGCTCACCAATCTGGGGCTCACCAATCTGGGGCTCGTCAACCTGGACAAACTAGCAACCCTAACCAAGTCCCTAACGATGTCCTAGGCGACCTCTTCCGCCGTGCCGGGCTCGCCCCCAACAAAGAGTAGACGTTGCTCAAATGTGTTCCGACCTGTTTTTATGTGTTTTAGTTTATATTTTTTATTTTTTTTTACCTCCTTTGAAAGGAGTTCATTCTTCGGCGCAGGGCATCATTTACACGCGCTTTCGTTTCCGGGTTCCCTCAAAAAGTGAGGCTAATTCATAGCGCAGGAGAATTCATTCTGGTTTTATTCCTCTTAGGCTCATTTTATGGCGCGGGTTGCACTTTCTACTTCAGTTTGGCTTTCATCTTGTAGTTCTGGTTCCGATTTTTCCGAGTTTTCAAAATTTACATTACATTTATTGCCCAAAATTGCATTTGATTGAGCAAGCGTCTCTTTTCTACCCAGGTATAGATGAGCGAGCCATCAACCGAACGTTCAAACCTTGGGATAAATCTCTAATTTCTTCCATTGTCTTCAACTTTGCATGACATCCCATACCATACTCCCAACCTTCTGCGCCATGATTTCGCTATGATCTAAAGGGACGGCATGTCAGTATCATGGAACAACATTCGCATATCAGTAAAAAAAGACATCATCTTACTTAAACAAAACGCGTGCGGCAACCCCTCCTCGCAGACAAACATCTTTGGGCCTAGCCCGTTCTCCTGCCCCCTCAATGCAATTACTTCATCCCGGGTCTTCTCCGCAACCCAATGATCGTTCCTTCCAAAATAGAAGAATAGGCGTGCAACGGCTTTAGCTTCGCTGCCAACGCCCCAAACATCATCTGTCCATTTATCAGATGTGATCGTGCGCATTTCATCCGCTGCCATGTGTCTGTCAAAGCCATCAGTACATATATCACGCCAAAAAATCTCGAGGTACTCCTAATCCAGAATTAACATACAGTGCTTGTCGTACACCACCAGAACTCTTCAAGAATGCAACAGTCGTATCGAGGGCATGAGCAGGTGGGTTCTTCATTACGGTACGGACAACCAATTTCAGAGCCGAGGATGGGAGTAGCGAGGTGAGTATACGGGCGAAGAAGGCCACAACAAACGCAAGCTGCGGAATAAATGATAGTAAATTCTGCGTATATTACGAACCTATCAGCAAATGTCAAATCCACATGGCTTGGAAATAAGAACTGACCGTAAGTTTCTGGCCAGATGGCGAGTGAGCAATGTCCTTTACTGTCGGGAAAAGCATCACTCCTCCGATGATGTCGAATGAGCTTGGAGAGTCGGAAAGAACAGAGCCTGAGCCCGGTCTGGTTTCAACGGAAAGAAGGTCCTGTATATCTGGTTTGCCCTCACGATGTCTTCTCAAGATCTCCATGGCAATATATGCGCCGACAGAGTGTCCAATGAGAATGACCTTTCCTCGGCGAGATAAGTTGGAGGATCCAGCATCAGAATTAGATTTCGATATATCAGAGACACTATTAGAAGAGGAAGTTTTGTTCCCATCCATCAAATCCACAAGCTTCCGGTGCACGAACCGAATCTGGCCTTCCAGGTCGTATAAGTGGTCGTCGGCAGGGTGCCCCTCATCTTTGGTGGTTTTAGCATTTCTATGCATAGAATTCTCAGCTTGTTGTTCAAATCCACCGAGACTGCATCCGTATATTTGGAAAGATGTCTTCTTTGTGGTAGTTTCCGTCTCGATCCCAGTCTGAGCTTGAGATCTGTCGACCAGATTCCGGGCTAACAAGGATAGGAATGGGTGATAGTATCCGATCAAGCCCGGGTTCCCAGATATGAAGAATATGGTGGCGTCAGGCTCTGACTGGGTGCCTGTGTAGGTGCAGAAGATGTTTGGTGTGATTTGGGGATCCATGGCTTTGATATGAACATGGATAACTTGTAGGTATTAACTGACTTTCACCTTTCGCGAGATCTCAAGACCTGTATAAGTTATAACCGGCCTCGGGATGCTGGGATAGAGTCTATGGATAAACAAAGATGCCGAATAGATACTAGGTCCTTGGTATATGATGGAGAAATTGTGGCTGGCGCACGAATCGGCACGATACGTTTGGCCCGTGGGTGTCAAGGTGGGAGGAATTTGCGGAGCCAAGTGGATCCCCCCCCTGTGTACACAAGGTACTCCGTACACGGCGGCCATCACTTTCATATTCGCTTTAGATAAACGTGTAAAATCAATAAAGTACTGTTTAGGGTGCTGGTGTATCATATTAGGTAGTACCATCGAAGTAGTAATTACAAGAGTCAAATGGTCATTATGTCGGGACAATTTTATCATGTAATTAGCTATGGATTAGCTATGACCACGTACCTACTAGTAGTGGCCCGTACCATGTGAGCCGTGTAGCAGCTGCACTACTAGGCTACGAACTAGAACTCGGTACATACTAAGTAAAATAGTAGTACCACCACGAATATACTGGAGCTTACATTGAAGTCAAATTGACCATGGAATACCAAGTGTATTGCGTCAAATATCGACTCCGTATCCCCAACCCCAAGCTCCTCCCCTAAACCGCCCCTGGTTTCTAAATCCCAATTGACAAGAAAATAAACATAGATAGCAAAATAAAGGGGGCCGAGGCTGGATTCAATGCATTGAAAGCCCAGACGCCGGAAGAGCGCAATGTACAGCATTTCATTCCACGCTTGCCGCCAAGAAAAATAACCCAACAACAACACAGCAGGTATCATACTGCTGCGATGTAGTAGGTTCAAATGGCAAGAGCGAAGAAAGAAACAAGAAAAGGCACAGAGAGAATATAAAACGAAGATCGCCAAAGAGCAGCATTTAAAATGATAGCAGAGTAGAAAGCTCAAGAAACACAGGCATCGAAGCTGTGCCGAATGGTATCTAGCTCGTTAAAAAGAGTAAATGACGTGGGAGTGAAGAGCCGCTGCTGGGCTGAAATCGAGATCGTGGCACGACTGCATAAGACCAGGTAGGGTTCATCAAGCATCTCCCTCGCCCTTGCTCTCGTCTCGGTTCTCCTTCTCGTTGGCTTCGTCGGGAGAGTCTGTTGTGCACGGTGGGTCGGCATCTGATGTGACAGGCTTAGCCGGTCCCAAATTGATGGCGATTCTCTTCGGTGCTGCGCCAATACTTGCCAAAACCCCTGGTCCGGCTTTTTCTGGTGTTCCAATTGGTCCAATCGATAAACTCTTCTTTCGGCTAAGCATTCCGGCACTGGAATTGCTACTTGTAGAACTTCTACGCTTGGATCCCGCAGCAAGTTTCACCAACTCATCATCTTCGTCCTCACGTCGACGCTTCTCGGCCAGTCGTTCTGGTGGAGGTGCCTGGGTAGACAAGGTAGGCGTGACATCAGAGCCAGCTTCACTTGTGGTGTCCGATGCACTTGATCCTTCAGCCGGTTGTGTTTGCTCTGCGAGGGCTTCGGGTTTGGTGTCCATTACATCCTCGTCGTCATCTTCGGGGTAGTCAACCAGTGGCTTGACCATCAAAGTAGCAGAGCCATTTGATGTACCAGCAGCAAGGGCTCCACGGTTCTCCTGTGGCCACTATAATCAAATCAGTATAAACGTCCAAGTAATGTCTTGAAAGTACGCGAAGAGATCTTACATCATCCTCGTCGTCGGATGTGCCGAAGTAGTCTTCTTCGGCAGCATCCATTTCCTTCACACCCTGCCAACGTTGACCATTAAGAGGCATCCTCCGCGGGGTGCTGCTGCCCTCGGGACCAAATAACGGATCTGCTTCGCCACCATATCCTTGCATCTGATCATAACGGAGAATCAAGTTCACAAACGTGTCGACATAGGTGATATTCGCGAGCTTCTCCCGGTACTTTTCTACCACATGAATAATGAATGGCTTGATGTTTTCTCGTTTGATGAACTCAAAGAGCTCCAGACAGGCGGAGTTGAGTAGATTGTCACGAGGCATTGTTTCATAAACAATATCAAGGATCAAGCCGAAGGTGTTGTTATGCGTCATTAAAGCTTGATAGAAGGTATCTTGTAGACTGATCAATGTGCGGAAGAATTTGAGGGCAACTAATGAATATCCATATTAGCTTCGCCATATTTCCGCAAAAACAGTTGTGGCGTTGATTGAGCTATCTATCTTACCCAGCTTCAAATGTTTTTGAGGGGCCGTGAGAAGCTGAGCGACCCGAGGTGCGAGGGACTCGCTATGGATCGCATTTCGTGTGCGGAAGAGATGTTGACGAACGAAAAATGTGAGAATATCAGCAAGATGCGAGTAGAGCGTGACTTCTTGGAACGTCAAATCATTAACTGCGGATAAATGTTAGCTGGATGCACTTTCAAGCCAGAAAATAGAGATCGGTGATCACTCACGGGTAGCGCGGTTGGCAAGTTGTTTAAGCGGCTGGAAGAGCCGCTTGGAAGAATCATCGAAATGCTGTTGGACAAATGCATCAGAGAGCAAATTGGGAGGTCGGACTTTGAAATAATCGGGTCCAGCCCGGGCGAGCGGGTCCTGCAGGGGTATCTGGGGGTCGAGCAGGATCTTAATAGCATCAGCTAGTTGGTTTTTGACTCCAAGGTCGGTCTCGGCATGGAGCAAGTCAATCAGGGTATCTGTGAGGGGTGTCTTTTTTTGTTGACAGCCTTGAGCATATATCCCCGCATCATCACAGGATCGTGGTCCAGCAATGCTACCAGGATATCAATGCCTGTCGTGCGCATTGCGGGATTGGGATGTTTCACCGCGAAGGCAATGACTGCGAACAAGCCGTGGGCAATGAAATTAGCGAACAGCTGGGCTCGCGACGGAACCTGGAGGCCCTTTGCAATTCCCGCACACTGGTGCAAGAATTGCACAGCGTCATCCTTGCGCTTGGAGTTTGTGTTTCTGGGATCGAAAACGGAAAAGAGCTCTCGAAGGAAAGGTGTGTTTGTTTGGATGTGGTTCACGATTTCCATCTGGTTGAAGAATATAAGGGAATTGAGCACGGAAAATGTCGGGTCGTCCAGAATTCGAGCTAAGACCACGTCCTTCAGATATAGCAGGCGCCATGTACTCCGGATCTTCCTGCGAATAATCGGGTCATTGATGGGAACGACTTCCTTGTATCGAGACTGGTCTGCGAGGTATTGTCGGTGGTTTGCCTTGTGAGTTGGGAATTCGGGATCGTATTCCAGAGCTCCGACCACGCCCAAGATAATCTGATCGGAAACGACGGTCTCGATGATGGTGTTATCGTTTAGCAGGATAAGGGATTTCATGATGTTGCAGAGATGATGCAGATCAGACAGGCTCTCCAAATCCTCGGCCATCTCTACCAAAGGAACGAGTTTGGCGATATACTCATCACGAATGATGAATTTGGATAACGCGTCACGGCCTGCTTGTGACATACTCGCTGCTCGTACAATCTGCTCCATTTCACCAAGGTTTCGAAGTTCCGGTGCGGGTAGGGCGATGGTTTGGTAATTATCAAGGTCGTCGGAAAGAGCATCATCTGTGCCAGCAAAACAAGCACCCACCGGGTTAGACACGTTTATGTAGAGGGGGTGGTGGGGAGATGGGAAACCCCAAGAACCGGACTCACCAGCCGCAGTCAAGCTTAGATGTTGTTGAACGGCATTCACAAAGTCCCTTAGATAGTTATCAGTCTCTGATCAACGCGCACGTCTCTCGTTCTGGTATTATCCGGTATCCCTCACCAAATCTGCGCGCATCCTTCTGCCTCTTGAAAACTGAGTGCCATGTCCGTACCGCTCGGCTCCGTCCAGACGATCAACGTCTCTGATTGCGCAAGTCAGTAAAAACCAGATCTTTTGGTGATACAGACGCGGCGGTGGGACAGAAACCTTGCTGTTTTTGATAACCATCCTCCTTGCCAATCCGCGTCTCCAACAAGACGCGATTAGGTTGATCTTCCGACTCGACATATATTCGGGGCTCTTGCTGCAGAAAGAAAAGAAAACACGCGAGTCAGCTACGCGGCTCAAAATGTCATGGGAGGGGTGAAGGTGCGGGTGCGGATGCAGGATTGTCGTGTAATGCGCAGGTAGAAGGAACATTCAAGACCGCGCGCGCGACAGAATCGCACACAGCGTTGGCTCCGCGCCTGAATGATGCAAGATTGAGGTGATATTGAAAGCATACCTCTAGTATATGACCGCTACAGAAACCCGTGCCGCGATCAAACCAGTCATTATCCCTCAGCTCATAAACCTTGACCCGTTTGCGACCGTCGGGCGGCTGTAGGTCCAGCGCCATGATCCGGCGAAAAAAATGGTGGGCACTTCACTCCGGGGCCTCCAGTATGAGCATGCGCCGGTTGCGAGGCCCGAGGAGATACCGAGGATTGAAATGGTTGGGTAGGGGTCGGGGGTGGAGATGATGAAAGAGTCTGCGGAGGGGATGACGATCGAAGGGAAAGGTTGGGTTTGGTGAAGGGGGAAAGGGATCCACCTGACGGGAAGGGCCTCGGCCAGTTTTCTTTTTTCTTTTTCTATGACTTCACTTTCTGAGTTCTCTGTATAAGTGAGACTGTTAGTTAATGGAAAGATACTTGAGTCTCAATATCCTGAAATCTTTTGCAGCTTTTCTTTTTTACCTCTAAACAAAAAATAGGTACCTGAGCCGCGACGGGAAAGAAAAAGGGGAAGACAAGCCGCAGTTCACACGCGACCGGGAGGAGTGGGCACTTCCGGATCTTCCAGAATCCAAGAATCTTCCTTGGTATATATATAAAAAGGCACTGGAATGCCACATACACAACAACCAGCAGAAAGTGTAAGATTTGTATATCCAACTAGGTCACTTAAACTAATTAAGGTAGATCTCCATGCAGTACGGGGAAGAGCGGGAACCAGGAAGAAATTAACCTCCGGCATCGAAGCTTCCATATTCCAAGTCTGCATTGTCCAACTGGCACCAAAATAGCCACAAGAGCCAAAAGAGCCAAAGGAGCCAAAATAGCTTCTGACGTAAGGGGAAATACATTTATAAATACCATATGGATTACCCAGGATTACCCAGGATTACCCAGAAATACAAGTTAAAATACCAATAAAATACATCAGGCCAGATCGGACTGTTCCGCCTTAAAAATGATTAAAAGCACAGACCTTGTCACCGCTTCTCCACTTTCTTGACTCTGATTGGTTCTTGACTGCATGGCAGATTCTTATCGACTCTTCCTGATTAGGAAAGGTTCCAGACTGGCACGGCCTTGGTAGCTTTTTTTTTCTCGGCTTGAGCCTTGTTATTTTTTCTTGTTTTCTTTTTCGTCTTCATCGCCCTTTGTGCATATTCAAGACGAGCGACTTCTGGGAGTTTTGCGCTCGTGGCGATTAGAAAGCTCCCCCTTCCCATTTCTTCTCTCTCCTACGGATCTATATCCCGACCCGCAACCGGATTGATCAGTGCGCAGCTGCATTTATTTTCTGCAAACCCCGCTTTCCTGATCAACGTCTTAAATCTTCGACACTTGAAAAAATGTCGAGCTCCAAGGATCAAGTTGCCGTCGAGACGACGGCTCCTAGCACCGACTCTACCCTGTCGCTTCCTAAGGATGCGACAGAGGTAGTGGTGCAGGATTCTGTGGACGATGCAGAGGCGCAGGCGCCGGCCGATCAAGTTGATGCGCGAAAGAAGGGCTTCTTCGCCTATTTCAAGACCAAGGAGTTTTACATCGTGTTGCTTCTAGGGTGAGTTTTGCCACTTCAAGTTCTTTCCAACAGGAGGACTACCTCTAGAATGGAAACTAATTGGATTCTAGACAAGCTCTCGCTATCATGAACACTGCGACGAGCACCTTCACGACCCTACTTACCGATCAGAACTGGTCTATCCCAACTTTCCAGACTATTCTCAACTACATTGTCTTGACCTGCATTTTCACCCCTTACACCATCTACCGTTACGGTTTCAAGGGCTGGCTCCGACTAATCTGGCGCGACGGATGGAAGTGTATGTTTTGACCCTAAGTCCTCTTTTCCTCGCATCTCCCCTCTGACTCTTTTCTATACAGACATTATTCTCGCTTTCTGTGATGTCCAAGGAAACTACTTTATCGTGCTAGCATATGATTATACCACCATGCTCAGCGCCCAATTAATCAACTTCTGGGCTATCGTTGTGGTAGTCATCATCTCTTTCCTCTTTCTGAAGGTCCGGTACCATATTACACAAATTGCCGGTATCATTATCTGTGTCGGCGGCATGGGCCTTCTCATCGCATCTGACCACATCACCGGCACAAACGGCGGTGATGTCTCTTCCGGTAACCAGCTTAAGGGTGATCTCTTCGCACTGCTTGGTGCCTCGTTCTACGGTCTGACAAACACCGCGGAGGAGTACTTTGTCAGCACACGGCCAGTCTATGAGGTCTTGGGTCAGCTTTCGCTCTACGGTGTCATTATCGACGGTGTGCAATCTGCTATCTTTGAACGCGAGAAGTACCATACCAGCCAGTGGAATGGTGAGGTTGCGGGCTACCTTGTCGGTTTCACAATTTGCCTGAGTATGTTCTACTGTCTCGCGCCTACCATGTTCCGCTTGTCATCGGCCGCATTCTTCAACATCTCAATGCTCACCATGAACTTCTGGGGTGTTTGCATCGGTATCAAAGTCTTCCACTACCACATCCACTGGCTGTACCCCATTGCCTTTGTTCTCATTATTGTCGGTCAATTGATCTACTACCTGGGACGCAGAGCATTGGCCGAGGCCAGGAAGCCTTGGTTGGGAGAGAATCAGGAGCGAGGTGTTACCGGGTGGTTCACTGCGAAGCGTCATATTGAGCATGAAGTTCCCGGGGCTGTCCTTGAGCAGGATCAGTACGGTTCCGGTCACAGCACTGGCCATGCAGTCGAGACTCATATCACTGCTGCCTAATTGTCTCTCTGGCCATCTGGCCATAATGACTGCTTAGATTCTTATACACTCTTTTCTGGCACAGTTATGGCAGATCTTTTTCGGAATTTCTGAAGGAAGATTTATCCTTGAAGATATAGATCGGGATGGGAAAAGGCTGCTTTACCATGGCATAATGTCCTAATTGCTTAATCATTTAACGATTGATATTTAGATACGAGTCTTTATAACGAGAATGAATGTCTTTCAAGTCCTTAAATTTTTTTGAAATTCCCGAAGAAGTAGAGTCGAGGTTATACTGCATATCTTAACTTAGGTACCTAGCACATGCATTGTACGAGCGTTTCATTTTGAGAATCTACTAGGAGGTGCAGCTCTACTACGCATCCGTGTAGTACTGAAGTGCTGGCTCGTATGCCTCGGAACATATTGAAGGTTTGATTGCGCCTAGGGATTTGAAGTACTTATAGCCAAAGTTTGCTTAAGCTTTCATCGGGGTGATAGCTCAGTTGGGAGAGCGCACGACTGAAGTTCACTGCAGTCTAACTGATAAGTTAATCGTGAGGTCGCCGGTTCAATCCCGGCTCGCCCCATTATCATTTCTTTTTTTTCTTTCTTTATAGATCTTATCTATCTATCCATAGTACGGATATAAATAACCCCACTTTTTTTGGTCGTTTCAACTAACCTAATCTAAACAATTGAAGTTGTTTTTCTGCTCAATAAATGAAACTAGCCTCAGAAGGTCATCCATCAATTGATCATCTCCAAATATTGGAACCTCCTAGGGTTCCAAGGTTACAATGTAATTCCAGAAACACCAAGTAGCTAGCACATCTGAGCAGACGGTAGGTAATTTTGAACATCATTTATGTATACATATTCAAATATACTAGTATGATATATCCATTGATGGATATAGTATGTATGTATATATAATTGATGGCCATTACTATTGATGTTACTATTGATTACATACTACCTCAGTGCTAGGTACCCTCGTTGAGTGTTCCTGACCTTGGAAGACAACTTTAGAAATCAATATCAATTGATTTGAGCCACATGGACACGTGCATATAAATATGTATATATACATTGATGTGCATGCAATTCAACATTGATTGAGGGTTACCCCCCTCTTGATGTGTATATAGGTAGGAACATTGAATTTCAGTGTCTCAAACCTTCAATGTTGGAAGCTCCCAGGTGCCAGGTTCACACTGAAGTCTACACATGATATGAGCCACCTGATATCTACCCCCGGCCTAGGGCATCTGGAGATAGCAGGTATCAATGGATAGTCAGGACCTCCACCTGCTAGGTATGAGCCCCCCCCCTCAGGGAGCGGGCTTGCTCAGCCACATGTGCATGGAGATGAATGTGCATGCATGTGGGTTAACTGGTATCTAGCACGTCCATGTTGGTAGTAGATACCTGGGCATTCCAACATTGAAGGTTTCAATGTTCCCGAGGTTGTCAGTATCACCCGTGAACGGAGATTTCCGGATGGATACACCCATAGATATTGGAATATGCACAGGTAAATGAAGAGAGAAAAGTAACAGATCCGATTCCCTTGAATGTGCAGCCGACCCCTCCAGCCAGAAAATATAAGAGGGTAGTAACAAATAATAGACATAGACATCGATGAAGACATTCGAAGCCGAACAGAATCAAGAACACCGAGAAATGAAAAGAGTCCATGGGACACTTTCACCGAAGAACGAGCGCCATATTCCGACCATTTCACACGGGCACCAGAATGAAGAGAAAAAAACCAAAAACCAAAAGAAAAGAAAGCAATTTCTGACAACAAAATCCATAAAACCAATGAAGACACCATAAAACAACCCTGAAAGCACCTCGATTCCAAAAAAGAGGGTATTTTTGTTTTAAAAATGATCCATCCGGTCCGTGGACACCAATGTCGACTCCTGGTATACGTAGTAGCAGCAGCACCCTATCCCGCCCAAGCCAACGCGTTGAGAGTCCCAAACCGAAAACCAAATCAAATGGCAAGCCAAAAATGTAAACCCCCCCAAAAAAAGAAAAAACCACGATCAAGTGAGAAAGGCAGAAGAAAGAAATAAAGTTGATCCTGCTCCGACCCCGCTGTCATGTATATATACCGTTGTGTTCAGAAAAAAGCCCATATGTCACCCACGCAATAGAAGCAGAAGCCGTTTTGCTCACAACAACGCCGCAGGAAAAATTAACAAAAAAAAAGAGGCCGAAACCCCGCCAAATCGAATGCATACCACATATAAAGCGCCGCCGTAAAATCCCTCAATGCGGATTCAAGTAGAGTCGTGGGGTATGGGAGAATTTCTTCGTTTAATCTGCGATTGTGTCTTTTTAACCCCACACCGAGGCCTGGACGCCAAGCCCGCTCTTCGAGCCCCAGACGCCACCACCGTTGGACCAGCCGAGGCCCACACCACCAGCGGCCGAGTCCTTGGGACCGGGCGCGTTGGCAGCAGCGGTGACGGCTGGGTTCGAGGCTGCGGACGTGGTGCGCTCGTTCGCATTAGCTGCGGCTTCACCGGGGGTGAAGCCGTAGCCTAGAGACGAGGGCAATGGGGTTGTCGAGCGCTTGTTCAGCGCCGGGTTGGAGTTTGGTGCAGTTGTCTGCGGTCCTACTGGTCGAGATCCGATAGGACCGGCACCCATCTTGTTTGAGCCCTGGCGAGACGAAGATAGGTCAGTAGCGCTGGGCGACGAGGTCGAGGGAACAGGCTGCTCGGGGAAGCCGGAGTTGATGGCGGAACTAGGCGACGAGGTACTGTTGGCCCGTGAGGCAGACTGCAGGCCTGATGCGCCATCGGCAGCAGCCAGAACCTGGGTCAGACCAAATGGGTCAACCCCGCGCGGAGACGCTCCACGGACAGCGGACGAGGGGGTGCTTCCGGCAGCCTGGCTCTCCGGACGAGAGTTGTCGTCCGGTAGGGGGCCAGGGGGGAAGAAAGCCGGGCTCTCGTTGCCGTACAGGGCTCGGTGCTGGCGAGCTAGGAGGTCTCGGCGGCTGTCTTCGCTCACGGCAGCTGGGCTGAGGGATCGATCGGATTTGTTTGCAGACATTTCGGCGAGGAGGCCTTTGGAGAAAGAAGATCACGTATTAAAAACCGCGCATTCAAAAAGAACATGCCAAACCAATATATTATACAAGGCCGACGGATACATAGATGCAGAGAAGATGAAGGAGAAAATGACGGGGGAATATAAACGTCAAGGAGAGAGAGAGGAAGAGAGAGAAAAAAAAAGCAAAACACGCTACCACGTACTTCGGTTGTACTGCTGCTCCTGATGATAGTTGCGGAGCTCCCGTTCACGCTGTGCTGCCATCCGACGCTTCGCCTGCATCATCTGTTCTACTTCATTCGGGCGTCCCTGGTACCGCTGCGAGGCGTAGAAACCCTGCGCATTGCCGGAAGGAGGGGCTCGGGAGCCTTCGAACTCGCTCACCGAGTGGTGTCGCTGGGGGCCACCATTACCGCCCATGCGAGGGTCTGCCATGGGGAATTTCAAGTCAGATCAACGCCGCATCGATCGAGGGTACGTCCACATACCGTAGTCGGGATAGGGACGACCCATCATCATGGGCATCGAGTCCCGGCGAGGAGCATTCCACAGCTTCCCGCTCTTGACGAGATTGTCGATCGCACGATCAACCTCTTCACGGAAAAAAAAAACATCACACGGTCAGCATACTGTATATTCCAAAGTCACATCAAAACCAACCCCCGCAATTCCCGAATTGTTTCTTTATTTGTTTTCGCTTGCCGGTGTTGGATATTGAATCTCGTACCACCGATGTCCTCGATCATTGTGATTGTCTCCATTCAGAAACCATAGACATTTTTTCTCTCTCTTAAGGCGAAGCGAAACGAAACGGAATTGTGGGTTCGACCGATAGAAGAAAACGAAGATTTGAGCATACCGTCAAACTGGGAGGAAAAGGCCGGGCTATCCTCGCGTTGGGAGACCGAGCTCGAGCCTATAGTGAAGCAAAAAAAAAGAGTATGAGTTTTGTGTGTTCCGGAGATTTTTGCGGGTTTGGATCCAATGCATTGTGCATACCTGACCGAGACGGCGGCACGGGCTGCTCCCAAGAGACCTGGCGCGCAGCAGGAGCCTGCCAGCCCTGCGGTTCGTAGTACGAAGACATGATCGTTTGAGAAGGAATCTTCGTTTGTCCGAACGAGCGGTTCAGGGGGGGTGGAAGCGGCGAAGCAGATGATCCGTCCGGTAGAGGCGATCTGTTTGGTACCGGGAAAAAAAGTAATAAGTATTTATTTCCAAGGGTCACAGGCCAAAAAAATATGATAGATCTGTCAATATAATCTGGGAATCAAGCCTCAAAACGGTTCTCTAAATGCCAGATCTTTAAAAACTGGGAGGAAAGAAACTGGCCGTGGGTCCCCCGGTACCGGTGAAATCGGAGCCGGCTTTTTTTTTTTTTGGTGTTTTCTTGTCTCGCACGAGCAACAAATATAGAGTCTCCTTAAAAAAAGGAAGAAGCAAACAACTTACAGGAAAACAGGCCTCGTGGAGGGAGAGTATTAGGGATCACAGGAGAGAAAGAGGGGAAAGGAACAAAATCGAAAATCGGGAAAAGGAGATGAGGGTCCAGCCTATTTTGGGGGCGCGCGAGGTGGATTAACCGGAGTTTGATGGGATTTTGATTACTGAAGGGAAAAAAAGGAAAAAGGGGGGGGGAAAGGGAAACATTGAGTAGTACAATGCCATATTCACTTGTTTTTTTTTTTCTATTTTCTTTTTCTTTTACTTTTTTTACTTTTTTTCTATTTTGCCCCTCAATAATTGACGAGTTTTCTCACACATGCAATTATTCAGAAATGTACTTCGCAGTGACAACTTGCGCGGCAATTCCCGGCAGCGCAGTCTTATTCGCGATTGGGGAGAAACTGGGTACACTACATTACTGGGTCACCGGAGATTGGGGGCACGGGGCATGTCTAAGCGTTACGTGTTCTTGTATGTTCAAATTGAACTCTGTCGTGCATATGGAAGACTTATACTTGTAGGTACGGTACTAGTAGTGGTATAGGTGGGAGATATGAGTGTTATATAGATGACTAAAACCTATCACGGTAGGAAATTGAGCTCGGCTCTTCCCCGCGTATACTTTACTTTAGTAGTTACTAGTACAATAGTACTTACATTGATAGATTGTACTAAGACTCTTTATTCCTTTGTTCCCCCGTCTAAAGTGCAATTAACTTAGACCAATGAGGTTCTTGGTTCTTGTATTTTCCAATCTTCATATTATTCAAATGTTTTCTCTTTTACCATGAACCTTCTATAGTATGTACCCCAGTCTCAAAATAGACAACTGGACAATGACTTCAGCTGACAAATTGGCCCCAGGATTCAAAGGATACAATGATGACAATACTACCATGTACAATACACACTGCACTTGCCTGCAGCTCGCCAAGTCCTTCCCGTGACTGACGCTGTGGAATGCACACAGGATTTCTCTTAAAATTGAAATTAGTACTTTAGCGTAGCCTCTTCGAAGATCTCATAGCATCCAAACAACTATGTAATTAAACCTCAAACCTCCACTATACCAAAATATAGGATTCCCCATGGGTTCAAGTGGACAATTATAGAGGGCTCCTCAAGCAGTGCCCCTCATTCTCATCTTAAGAGAGGGGAACACAATGCCGGTATGTACATCCTATGTACATTCGTATAGTCAATCTGTACAGAATAGTCAGCCAACCAAGAGAGGGAAGAAAACTCACCCCACGGTAGCTGTACACTCAAGTCGCATTCCTGCCTTGGGAACACCTCCATGGCCCGTGTCAATGCACTCAACGCACCCCCTCGGTCAATTCAGGAGAGTCAAGTGGGGCCCGGCGACCAGCATATTATATTCTTCCGCAAGGTCCACCAGGCCCCCTCCTCAACTGCTCGGATTGGAGGTCTGTTTCTGTACAATGATGTCTCTTCCCCTCTCTTAGTCTTGGTCCCGGGTTGGACGGCCCGGATTAATTCCCAGAGAAACACACATTCTTCCTGCATGTTCTAGAGGGAATTTATGTTTTATGTCTGGGTGGGGCTGGACTCGGAGTGAATTGACATGAAAATGAGACCACTGTATACCAAGTCGACTGAATGTTTTAATTTTTTTTCCCTTGATTAAATTTTTTTTTTGGTACTTTCAAGACTAAGTTCATACATATGGTCAAAGCCGAATATATTGAAGCTGATAAACTATGGAGAATCTTTATCTAGATTTCCGCAGAAGCTTGAAAACTTTAAAAACCTACTCGACCAAGCTATAGAACTGTAAAAGGCTTTCATGGAGCGTAGGAGTCGGAAATGCTGAACTGCTCTCCAAACCCTCCGTGTATCACCAAAGTGGTCATTCCCGATGCACTGTCATGCTCCGCGTTACCCTGGAGGCCTCGATCCTGACTAGGCCCGTTCGTCATACATGGGACTGGATCAGATTGGAGCCAAGCTGGCACTTGACGGAATTCCTGCTGATAGGACAGAATCAGAACTCCTTTAAAAGCCTTTCTTTTCTTTTCTTTGCTCCCCCTTGCGCACCATGGATGGACTCCAGGGCTGGAATCACAAGCCCAGACTCATTGACTCGGGTAAAAAGATCATGCCTCTGGCATCAAGTCCACACAGAAACAAAGAGTGCAAGTGATCATAATGAACTTGAGGAAAGGGCCTGAAGCCTTCCAAGGTTAAAGGGGAAAATGTCCACAAGGTTCTTTCACTGCAGGTCTGAGTGTCCAATAGAAGAGATGGGGGAGAGAAACCCCACAGACAACAAAGAGGGTTTCAATATGTACCCGACGCCTGGAGATAAGCGATGTAGATATAAATATCCGTACGAAGGAAAGATTGCCTTTAGTGAAAAAGAAGAAGAATATAAAGCAGATTCCAGATGAATCAAACTGGATTGGGTTATAGTGTTTCCCGCACGTGCTGGGAACGCGCAGGATCGCGGGGAGTGCAGAAGCCGATCAATAAGGGGGTTGATATCTAATATCTCCGTTGCCCGTACCTGCATGTCAAAGCTCACACTGCGCCAAACTTATTAAAAGAAGAAAAAGAAGAGAACAAAAAAAAAAGAAAAAATAGGGGAGTACTGTCCAAAACTAAGCAGTGCATATGTCTAATTAAGGGGAAAAAGTCACTTTTAAGAACAAAGGGAGCTTAGTGGCTTTTTTATGGGCTTTTGAATGGGCATCATATTTATACGTCCAATCCTATAGTGCCTGGAAATTGGGAGGGGTGTGGCAAGCCCGTAATGGATAAGAAAGATTCCATAAAATCAAAATGTTGACCATTTTCTGTTGACAAAGCAAAGCTTCAAGTTGTTCTTGAATTTTTGGAGGAAAAGCAAAAGACTCCTGAAACATAATCTTTAATCATTGAGCATTGGTGGAGTAAAGTTGACTTCCAGAAAGTGGGAGTGCGGTCGGCACGCCTTTACCGCCGACAGGGGCTGACCTCGATCGTCTTCACACCTCTTGAATCTCCGTGCTTCGCGACTGTTTACAATCCCCTTTTCAATCGGAGCCCCGGTTGGTTCCTACAAATCCCACTTGTAGGTTCTCTTTCTTCTGTCCACTGTCTTCCCTATTGACCCTTGTCTGTATAGTCCCGCGCCAAACCAAAAACCCCCGAGGACACGGGCATCGCGTCAGACCTCACGCAAAAAAGTGTCGTCACATTCTGTACCATTTCTGTGCTTTTCATTTTGTTTAATTCTTTTGCTGCTGGTTGAAGCAAAATTGCCCTCTGTTCTTTTACGTCACTACAGCTTTCCCTCGTTCCTCCCGAACTCGAGGGAACAGAGCCGTTCCTCGCCAATCCGCAATTTTGTGAACCATTGTTTGAGGGACCATTGAAACCCGCACCTCGCCCCAAAAAAACCGGCACTCCCACTCCAACCTCTACAGGCAAAAATCTTCGAATCGAAGCATCAGACGTGATTTTCTCGCCCGCGACAACGAAGGCTCATTCGAGAAGAATTGTGGACCGTTTTCATTGGGGAGACTTCATTTGAGTGGAACCCGGAGGGGCTGTCCTGAGTGTGGTGGGTGTGGAAATCTAAATCTCAGCCGAGTCGCTCGCCGAGTCAGACCAAAAAAAAAAACCCTCCCCCGATACCCCAAAAAACAACCTGGTGTTGAAAATTACTATATGGTCTCAAACATCGATGGGAATACCAAGTGTTCCCACCAGCCTGGTGACATCCCATCGATAGCGTCGGATCAACCTGCCACCATGCCCTGGGTGCCGCAAACCGACGCGCCTGACCTTACAGAACGGCCGCCATTGAACTCGCAGCAATCGAATTCCCTCCCCTCGACTCCCTACCAACATGCGCGCAACCTATCCTTCCACTCGCGGTCGCCGTCCCCCGTCCGCGGAAGCACTTCGCCCCGATCCACCCACTCCGAGTCAACCCACCTGCCTCGGAAACCGATCGGGACCTGTAAATATGAAACCGCAATGACGTTTTTCCGCAGACGAATACCTTATAACTTGGGGACGGATATACTGCCAGAGGAGAAGGAGGCATTGAAGGAAAAATTGGAGCCGGAGCAGGAGCAGAAATTGACTGCCGAGATCATGGACCTGTACGATCGACTATTACCGTCTGCCGAGAGCGACGATCGAAGACGGCAGCTGGTGCAGAAATTAGAAAAGCTGTTCAATGATCAGTGGCCCGGCCATGAGATCAAGGCCAATGTCTTTGGTTCGTCGGGGAATAAATTGTGCTCGAGTGACTCGGATGGTAAGTTTTGGCCACATGGAGGCAATGTCTCTCTCTCTCTCTTTTTTTTTTTTTTTTTTTTTTTTGGGAGAGAGAATTCAAGAATGAGGGAAGTGAACGGCCAGGCTGACTTGGAACAGTTGACATTTGTATCACAACGAACTTAAAGGACTTGGAACATGTGTGTTTATTAGCGGAGGTTTTGGCAAAGCGTAAGGATATCCCTGGGGAAGATATGATTATTGCGGGGTTCTTTCAGCGACTTGGACTCTCAACTGACAGGATTTGAAACAGATGGGATGCAACGAGTTGTCTGTGTCTCGCATGCGAAGGTTCCGATTGTGAAAATCTGGGACCCGGAGCTAAAATTGGCGTGCGACATGAACGTCAATAACACATTGGCCTTGGAAAATACTCGTATGATCCGGACGTACGTTGATGTTGATGAACGAGTACGACCATTGGCCATGAGCGTCAAGTACTGGACAAAACGTCGAACCCTTAATGATGCGGCCCTCGGAGGCACATTGAGCTCATATACCTGGATCTGCCTGATTATCAACTTCTTACAGACCAGAGATCCTCCGGTTTTGCCTAGTCTTCAAGCACGCCCTCACAAGAAGAAAGTCACGCCGGATGGGTTGGTCTGTTCGTTTGATGACGATATGAAGGCATTAAGTGGATTTGGACGAAAGAATAAGCAATCAGTGGGAGAACTGTTCTTTGAATTCTTTCGGTATTATGCGCATGTGATCAACTATGAGCAAAACGTTATCTCTGTGCGCGAAGGTAATTTGATCTCCAAGGAAGGTAAAGGTTGGCACCTCCTGGTGAATAATCGCCTCTGCGTCGAAGAACCGTTCAGCACCGCTAGAAACTTGGGAAACACGGCCGATGACACATCATTTCGAGGTCTGCACCTTGAATTGAGGAGGGCGTTCAAGCACATTGCACAGAGTGATTTAGATGGTTGTTGTGAGCAGTACGAGTTTCCCAAAGAACAAGAACGCACATGGGAGCGACCTCCACCTCAACCGCGACCAGTTATCACCGCCGCAGCACCCACTCGTGGGGGACGGGGAGGTGGACGGGGAGGCGGGCGATATGCCAATCAGACCTACCGAGGAGGATTTTCTGGTGGTCGTCGAACGTCCAACACAGGGAACAGGGGAAATAATACCTTCCGGCAGCCGAGCACAACGAATGCAAATGACTTGTCTTTGCAGGCCCAGCAGGCTCAGCAGCAGGCCCAGTACCTATTGCATGACCAGCTTTATCAGCAGATCCAGCTTCTGCAGGCACAAGAGCAAGAACTGAGGATGCAGCTGCACAACCAGGCACTGGTCACTGGGCGCCCCCCGCCGGTGTTTATCCGCCAACCATTTATTCAATTCCCGGTACCTCAGCAACAGGAATACTCCGGAGATGACGACTCCCGATCAAGATCCGGCACGGTAAATCATCCGCCGCTGACTCCGTCACATCGGACAACCCAGCCATTCTTCGCCCCTACCTACGCTTCTGTTAGTGCCTCGGGCACGCAAGGTAGCTCTACAAATCCTTCCTCACCCACAACCACCACACTTCCTGATCTTCGCCGGAGCCCTCGACGATCGTCCGCCGCCATTGGCTCACCAAAGGGATCGGGATCGCTTCGGGCACAGTCGCAGCCTGCTCGCCCTCAGGATTCCCCAACCTTCCCGCCGCTTTATGCAATCCCACCGCTCTTGGACACATCTTTAGGCTCCAAGCAACCCCAGGCTTCCGAGTCATCAATAGGCGGAGATTGTAGTGAAGATGATATTATGATCCTGCCGAACAGACCCCCAAGCAACGGATCTCGCTCAGCGTCCGTAGACGAAAACCGGCCGCAAGATCTCATGGGGTACTTGGTCTCTCCTCAACAATTGCAGCTGTACCAACAGAACGCATTGTTAACGCCCATTACAACATCCATGGGTCTAACGCTGCCAAATGGCTATACGTCTTTCCTGCCAATTCAGCAGCAAGACTACAAGCCCGGTGTTTTTTCGTCTGAAGGATCGTCATCACAGGCAGACCAACCTCCTACAGTATCTTCCCCTACGGTAACTTCCAGGTCGTCCTTTTCTCAGCAACCTCCACCGGCACCAGCACGGTCAGCTTCGCGGCCCATAGCACCCGCTGATCGAGGTCCTCTGATTGTGGATGGCTCAGTGCCGCCCGGTGAGCCGCGTGCGTCGTCATACACAACTGATCTGATGGAAACGTATAGTGCAGTGACTCACTATACCTCAACATCTGATGAGCATAACATGAACACACCCGCCAGCTTCTCCGACTCCCTATCTCAGGACTTTCAAGACCCTGGTCCCTTCGAGTTGGATCAGTCATCCAGTTTCACCGGCCCAGCGCATTTTGAGGCCCATCACATGAGCAACGGGAATGGTGAATCGCAACCTGACAAAACAAATGGCCAGCCGGAGCTTCTTGCTAGTCGACTGCAAAACTTTCACCTGTCGAATTCGGAAAAACTTTCCCAGTCACACGCTTCGAACAAAACGACGGCCAATAAATCCAATTCGGCACATCAGGTAGCGAAAGAAAATTCCTCACCTAAGACTTCTGGATCGGCGAATGAAAAAGCTTCTAATGGTTCACATGCAAATGAGCCACGGCGGCAACCGTCGAAGCGGCGACCAAATGGCGCGGAGGGCTCTGACAAGGGTAATGGTGCGAATCATAATCACAGCCATCACCACAAGCCTAAGTCTAAAGGACGACACGACGCGTCACACAACCACTCGAGCGAAGGTTCAAACGATGCCAAGTGCCGTCATGCTGATCACTCACCTAAGAAATCGGGCGGAACCAGCACGAATGGCTCAACTGAGAACAACCACGGCGGATGGCAGACCACCAAGAAGAAGCATCGCAGAGCCACAAAAGCGTCCGCCGAGAGTCGGAGCGGTGGGAACAATGGATCCGAGCCTATCCCTGCCGATGAATCCATGCGAAAAGGTGGCTGAGCTAAGTGAGCATACCAAAAGCGCTCAATCTGAGCGAAGTTCCTCCAAATAGCGGAAGACGCAGCAGACCAAATCTTGCTTGTATTTCTCATCAATACTTATTGACCCTGGAACGGGAACGAGATTTTTTCGGTTCTCTTCACATGTTATTATTAAAACGCCAACAATATTACGCCCAACAAAAAGAAAAAACAAGAATCCGGAAAGGACCATCCTCTGAAGCAATTGATTTTGCGAAGAATCCCTTTGGCCGCGATAATATTTTGCCCGATTCGCCCAAACCAGAGACTTACTTTGAATGACGCCTCAGTTTTGACCGAAGCAACCGAAGCCATGTTTCCCATATTGTTCTTTTTCCTTGTCTTTTTCTCTTTTTTTTTTTCCAAACAAATTTCCATTTCATCCATTTTCCGGTGTCAAGGCGGTACGAACGGCAAGGGCTTGGGGAGGCATATGCGAATTGCATCATATATCATTATCATTCATGTCATGTCATTACCTATCATCGTCATTGCCATTGTAGTTGCCTTTGGGAACGACAGTTGGCCTGTTTTGTTGCTTTTTTCCAAACCCGGTTTGCTTGCGTTGTTCATTTTCCATCTCATCATCTTCTAGCAAACCCCATGCACTGCACGAAATCTGTTTTCTCTTTGCGAAGCTGTTTGGAGTTTTTTTTTGTGTTGATTGGTGGCTAGACCTGGTTCTGTCCTCTTCATCCTCAACCTTGGAAGTCCTCTTGATGTCTTCTTCACTATGTGTGTTGTCTTGTCTGTGACTGAGATTCCTCATGGTGCCAATATTTCGGCTTTGTATAAAAGAACATAACGTTGTCAACGATAAATTAAAAAAAAAACATTCGAAAAGGGTTTCTTTCTCACATTTGTAAGTACTAGTAGGCACTACTGGTAGTCTTTAAAGAAATATGCATGTCGTACTTCAGGACAACTGCCCAAGTAACAAGCGGCCTCCATACTAGGTGAGTAGTAGGTTTCTCGTTCAATCCATTCCAAGGTTGAGGCTTGGGTGAGTGAAAGGCTCGAAAAGGGAAGCAAATCCACTCTTTAATTCAGATGGACTGATCGCGTTCAGATGCCATTTATATGGTTGATCGCCCTATATTGCGCCATCGATATCACTAGTGCCGTCATGCTTCTGGGGTTGTACATGCAGCTCCCCAAAGGATGCATAATCACATGATGGTGATCAGGTTGGATATCTGCACAGGTGTATGGCTTGGACTCTTGGACTAGGACGGCGTTGATCCATGGAATATCAAGCGAGCACTAGTCAACATTTGAATTTGATTTCATTAATAAAGACTCAACATCAGTAAGGATACTTCATGGCTCATGTGTAAGAAAGGACAAGGATTGTATGGCGTTATCCAGCATGCTCCCAAGTCACTCATTCCGCGTATTCAAGGTCACACCCGTCATTCCTACCCAGCACGCGCAGATGAGAATTCATTGATAAGTTAGGAATGTAATGGTATTGCATCATCTAAGTAAGAAATGATGGGATAGAATAAGCTATAGTACACATGCGACACAACGGTTGCAGAAAGATCTCGGACAGTATCTTTTTTCTTTTTCCACATGGCCGAGAAAAGGCAAGAAAAAGAAGAGAAGAGGTACAATTAAATCACATAAAGGACCGTATAACCCAGAGAGGGTCCAAGAGATAAAAGGTGAGATTAAGGCCGTAAAACTCATCGCCGAGAAATGCGTTGAAGACGGCGAATGGAAAGATAATATGTTCATGAAGGTATGATATGGGCGCGGAGACTTCTTTTCACATTTATGCAGATAACAAGGTCAAGAACAGAGCTCGGCCAGGATGTACGGGACAATCACGATGCAGGCTGTCCAGAAGACCATGATGGACTTGAAGGGGAACAGAGGTAGGTGGGTCAGAGGGGTTTCGCGGAAGAGGACCCAGATGGAGAGGAAGGCGACAGTGAAGAAGTGGGTGACGAGAACGATGGGTTGTTTCAATAGACCCGCGAGCATCAAAACGGGCTGATCCACGTATCCGATCTGGAAATAACGGAAACAGCCGCGCTGGAGGGCCCGCAGATTCACATCATCCGCGGCAAACAGCATGTAAAGGGCCTGTGCGAGAATATTGATGACGGTTGAGGACTTCTTCCTCAGCCAGTGGAAACGAGAAAGTTGCTTCAGGACAAGTTCTGTGTCTTCTAGGCTCGGCACGACTTCGGGACTGAGCAGGTCACGGATAAAGCAGACGTCGTTCAATGCCACGGTCATTCCACCGCCCGTCAGGGGGTGTCGCATGTTGAGCGCGTCGCCTAGAATCATCAAGCCGGGTGTTTTGTTCGTGGAAGCAGGCAGGAATGAGTTTGGCATGGAGCGTAATTGGCCCTTATCCAACGCATCCGAAAATGACGGCTGCACATCCTTTGGGAGAGAAGGCAAGATTGTGTTCCGCATATAGCCCTTCACACCACCATTCTTCACCGACGCGGCGGGGAAGTTATCCGGGACGTCGATCAGAATTCGGGTCTCGTGGGTGCCGATCTGGTACATGAGGACCGGCGGGCTTTCGCTGAGAAGGACATGGCCATAGCAGGGGGAGGGAAGGGGGGCGTCAATCATTTCCAGGCCATAGAACTTAGATCGGCGCTTGGGGGTGTGTTGGTGGTGGCCCTTGCGGAATTTCGAGTCGTAACCGTCAGCGATCACGGTTTGCTGGGCGAAGTAGCAATCCTTCAAATCCTTGGTCACGCACTCGACGCCGAGGACCTGCGCCGATTGCGTCGAGGTGACCAACCCTGTTGCCTTTGTTTCAATGACCGTGACGTTCGGACAAGCCAGCGCAGCCTGGCGCAATCTCATGACGAAGCGACCATGGTGGAAAGCGCGTCCCCGAGGCTCGGGCTCGGAGGGCGACTCTCTGGGATAATCGAGACAGACCGGCTCTCCGTAATATGAAATGTAGTATCCCTTCACTTGGATCGCGTCGATGTCGTCCAAACACTCCAGCAGACCCAGTTTTTCCAGTGCCTGCACGCCACCGGGTTGGAGTAGTTCACCGACAATGCGATCCGGTTCTTTCATGGACGCCTCGAGTAGAATCACGCTCCTGCCTTGTCTTCCCAGCGCAACTGCAAGGGCACAGCCCAAAATTCCGGCTCCGACGATCACGACATCGGCCTCATGGTGTTCGATGCGGCGGCGGGCGGCCTGGGATTGTATGTGGCCGTTCATTTTTCGGAGGTGATGGAAGATAAGAAGTGAATTAGAGAAAAAGCGGCAGTGGCCGCAGGGGCATAATTACAAGATTATAAAGGAATTGAAGAAATAGCGGAAATCAAACTGATTCCGAAGTAATATGGGCTGATCATCAAGAAAAAAGTTGGGAAAGGGGGACAATGGCATGACATGTGAATGGTCCAAGCTTCTCCGCCTTTACATGATAAACTATACCATGTAAATCTGAGTCTTGATCTTCTTATCGCTCCCAGCACTCAATGCTCCGTATCTTCCAATCCATACACCAATCTAGAGAATGAATAGTTTTCCGATGGCTGAACCAATATGTTCCACTAGGATTGAGCACCATACCAGCCCCAGGGCTCTTTCATGGCACCACTAACATTGAGTGTACTGACAACCCGCTGAGTCATCATACTGACCACGTGACAAACTCACAGACAAAAAATTGTGGCCCGATTTCTGAGGCATACATAAAAACACTGTACTATGATTGGTTGGTTGCTGTTCTTCACAATCTAGAAGCCCAAGATCGACAGAATGGAAGTAAACAACATTTGAAGCCAACGATGTTCGGAACCGATAGAGTTGGCATGCATACTCCCGGCGAAGCGGACCTCATAAGAATACCCCCCGCCACATCTAGCATGTACTAGTATCCCAAATAAGTAATCTTGTCTTTCCGAATACGAAAACATTCGCCTGTGGGTCACCCGATTTATCCATCTTTTCCGGCAAAATGTACTTAAAATGCCATGACGACTTTGCATGAATTGCAAATACTTCGCCTCATGGCGCAGCAGAGAATGATGAATTAATGCAATTGCAAACCTTGGAATATCTACTTCGGGCCGGTAAGGCTGAAAGGGCGAACTGCTGTTGCCTGGATGAAGACACTATATTTGCTCCACCTGGATCCGAGGGTCGGTTTCGCATACGAATTCTATTTATGGGACGCGTCGTCAGGGCCGTCAGGGTTTTCCATAGTTGACATTAATTATACATAACTAGTCGATTCTTTCTTCTGATCATCTTTTCTTTTTCATTCCACATTTTTAATTCCACTGTCCGTCTCTTTTCGCAATATCTATCCAAAATGTTTGAGTGGTTTAAATCTATCGGCTCGAGTCGCCCCCAAGAAGAGAAAACATGGGATGCCACTACCATGACCATGCAACAGCCGTCAAGTTTGGAATCAATGACTGCTACCCCGTCAGAGGTCTCGACTCAGCCTGTATGATGTATCCCAAGTTGCACGGATCTTAATAATTGAAGCTCGAGCTAATAGACTCGGGACAGACTCAAACTGAGAGTATGGATATGAAGATTCGCGGAGGAGGCCCCATAGATGCTTGCTGTGGATTGTGAGTTTTGGCCTTATTTTTGAGTCGAGTGGTCGATACAGATACCGGAACAAAGCTGACAGATTCAAATGTTTAGATGCTGTGGTCTGGCCTGCTTTGAATGCTGCAATTGCTGTTGCTGTTGTTGCTAGTGATTCATTTGCATGAAGCCGAGAAGATGCTTGCCTATTTTTTTTTGGAATATTTATGATTCATGTTCTATAACCATTGAAGCGAAATGATTGGGAATATTTGGCGTTTTACTTGTGAGAAAGTCACATTGACAGGCGACTCAAAGACAGATTGAATTAAACTGGGCCTTTATATCCCATGAGATGCGAGAACAGGCATCTATACCATAACCTTCCTCCACCTTTTTATTGCCATCAAAGAAGATCAACTTGATGATGAAATATCAAAGTCAAGGGGTTTGCGAATGGCAGTCTCAAAGTTACGAATAATGGACTGCCGATCTCTTTGCCCTTTAGGTGAGTGTTCTGCAAGGTACTTCCCTTCTTCAGTTCGCGCTTGAAGAATTCGTTTCCTTGTTTTGCAGTGTGTTGCCGTATACAGACTTTTCATCATCCCATGAGCAGGATAAGCCACCAACCCCAATGCGGCTGCGATCCAATTAGTATATTCCTTTATGGACTCACAAATCCAATCCACGCACCTGATGAAACTTTGGTAGTTGCGCCCAATGTTCCTTTTGCAAGTCCCTTCATCACACCCTTGGCTCCCTCTTCCTGGCCGCCTTTGTAGGGCTGCGTGAAGATGTCGCTGAGACCGTCTGCCATCCCATGGACAAAGTTTTTACCGGCGAAGGTGGCACCGGATTTCCAATCTAGAATCTTCCCATGATCTTTGACCTCATCGCCATATAGACGAGGTACGGCACGAAGGCCTTCGCTAGCCGCTAAAGGCATGTCTACGAGCACGCCCTTGTACCAATAACCGACGACCTTTCCCAGGCTCTTTGCCGAGCCTTCCATAGCGGCGCCTGTGGCTCTCAGCTTTGAAGGTCTCTTTGTACTAGAACTATCCAAGGAAGCAGTGTCTGATGTAGTAGCAATACTTGGGGATCGAGAGCCGGATGATTCCGGAAGAGCGGGCTCTGAGTCGCTCCTAGGGACACGACGGAACTCTTGGTATGGCTTGTACACAATATCGCCAGTCGCTTTCAACACGTTGGTACTTGTACCAATCAAGGATGAGGCGGTGCCTGTCACTGGGTCCCATCGTCGATTTTGAATATGAATTTTGCTCACATGGTACCTACTCCTGTTAATTAAATCTTCCAAGAGATCAACACTAACTCAAGGAATAGACTCACGGTTGAAGATCATTCCATTTAAGACGGTGATGGTCGACAAGAACTTCCGCAGCAACTTTAGATAAATGAATGGGAGGCTTGGAGGATTTTTTGAAACACCACGCAGCTGGCTCCGAATGGAGAACATGGCATCTCATGTCATTCACTGGTAGGTGCTTATGAAAAGATGCAACTGCAGCGGAAACTCCATTCTCATGACTCATTCCCTTTGCAACATCACGCGCTGCAGACTGCGCTCTGGGATGCAGACAGAAGCGAATGGCGTCTGCCAGATTCTCAGAAGTTAGAGCTCGATAAGGAATAGGCTTTGGCCCGAGCCCACAGGATGCAACCATGTTGCCCCAGAAGAGCTGACTACTCCAAATCAGTACAATGAAAGGCATCAGAGGATAACCGGGAGCCAAGACTTACTCTCCAAAGAAAGGGATTATAGTCGTAGATTTGCCAAAACGCAGACCACATGCCGTAGTTCCTGCACCTCCGTGATGAACAACGGCTGCGACATGTTGGAATAACCATTCGTGTGGACAGTCATCAAGATAGAAGACCTGGTTATCAGATGCAGCTTCCCCAATCTTACTCCAACCGCGAGATATGATTGCACGAATACCAAGTGACCTGACTGCTCCAAGAATGATATTCGTCATAGAAACTGGGTCTTCAATGACGATGCTGCCAAATCCGATGTATACTGGGGGGCTGCCATTTTGAAGAAACAAATCGAGGTTAAGAGGTGGCTTGTAATCTGGAAGGGAGCGAAAGAAAAAGCCACAGACATCTATATTTGATGGCCAATCTGATGGTTTTGGCACCAGACTCGGTGACCAACAGTAGGTGAAAGGTAGTTTCAGGGTTTCGGCTAGACATGGCGCCTCGGTAGCTGGAATGGGCTCTAAATCAAGTGAGGATCTCCACTCGTTAATTATGTCCCCAAGACTAGTAAGTTTCAAGTTAGCAAATTGGAAATCAATCAGCTAGTTTCAATCAATCCTTACCCTTGCCACGCCATCCAATCCACAATACCGTAGGAAATATAGTTGGCAATTTTTGGCTCGGTAGTAGAATACTTGAGATTTGCCAGCGGATGTGGAAAAGCTCTTGTACTACTCCATGGCATGGTGAACATAAGATGTACAGGGATGGACAGAGCCTGTGCACAGTGAACGTGGGCAAAGCTAGGTGGATTGGCGATGATGGCATCAGCAACGAAAGGCGCCCCGCTGACCGGATCGTCATTGATGCATGAATCCCAACAGCCCCGTAGCATCTCAGCCACCATAGCCCGCTTGCGTTGGATTTCTCCACCTCTCAAACTTTTCATCTGAGGTATCAAGCCTGGATTTTTGACCATATAGGCCATGAGCTCAGACGGATCACCGCCGATGGAGTAAAACTCTAAACCCGATTCAAGAACAAAGGATTCAAACACGGGATGAGTCGCCAGCCTTACGCGATGGCCGTATAGCTGGAGTTCGTTTCCGAGTGCGATAAATGGCTGGACATCGCCGCGACTGCCGACCACCTGAATTACAATATTCAATTGAACATCACAGCTCGTCTTAGCCAGTACTGGCTGCTCTGTAATTGATGTGATTTCTTCATTGTGCGAGAAAGGAATCAGTTTGGCGACCGTTCTGCAAATTTTAGAGTCAAGGTCAACTTCAACGCGGCCGTCACCTACCAAAAGTTAACATCCGATCGTCTGAAGAGGAAAACTTTTATAAACTGTACCATTGACAGCTGCTGCATCTTGAGGCCAGTCATCCTTCGGCCAGCCGGCGGCCTCGAGCACGGCATAAGATGGGGGTGAATCCTCCATGACGAATCTGGGATAGAGAATACCGTGATACAAATGCCGCGTTAAGAGGGTTTCTAAATTCCAAGTGAGGTGGCGGGTTGTTCCAAGGTTCAAACGAAAAGAAGAAATTTTGATTTTGATTTTGGATATGACTGTAGGGACCTGAATTGAAGGTTTAACCTTGGAAGGACTAATGAATGTGGGTCAGGGGTCTTCAATAGTCGATTTTCAAACATCAAAGGCCCACGTTTTATAAGGATTGATCCACTGAAAAAGAGTCTAATTGTACCCGGCAACGTACCGTGGGAGAAACTGGGGATCTTTGAAGATTCAAACATTTTGAACGAGAAAAGTTTTCCGAGCGTTAATAAGATCCATGTGTTCAAATGCCTGTAAATGTTGGGTCGTAATCGTATTTTTTCCCTTCTCACGCTCCCTTAGAAGCCCCACAAAGCCCCAGCTTATATCGAATCAACGAAGAGGAAATGAGTGGATTCGGGGATCCACCGAACAACTTTATCTGCGCGTGGCCAATCCCCACTTTTATGAATACGCGTATAGCTGCCCTGTAAACGTTGTAGTTTAGCAACGTGCATAAGAAAAAATATAAAAAAAATATAAAAAAACGTTCAATCTTCTTTTGATGGTAAGGAACGTTAAATGGGAGGGAAAATGGTCACTTCGAACATTGAAAGTCAGGGATATACTAGTAGCTTATCATAGAGAGCATTCAAATGAAACCGTCAGTTTGATCAATGTTCAATGTTGGAAAGAGTTGGCCAGTAGATCTGTGGCAAATGAAGCTCAACCAAGCCTTGGCATTCAATATAGGCAAATATATCTGATAAATATCACCTTCAAATGTTACCAAGGATTGAAGTCCGCGTATCCTAAAATTAACCATATCGGCCCGCTTAGTCTAATATCGGTCTTTGCTCCGGCGATTACAATACGCGGACTCGTACATGGTCCGTGCATACGCGGAACCACTCTTTGCTGATTGGTCGATCAATCTCTATCTAAAAGACCCTCAGGGACTCAGAGTCTGAGACGCTAAGTATAAAGTATTTCCCATTTATCGAGATGAGGAGCAATTATTACAGTCTCCACAGAGTCTATTTGATCCTCTCAACCTATTCAGAATGGCCAAATTGGAACCCTTGAAGGGCGGCTACTACGTCTGGCAATATGTCCCCTCTATGGCTGCGGCAGCCATTTTCTTGATTCTTTTCCTTGCCACGACATCATTTCATTTCTGGAAGATTTTCCGAACAAAAGTGAAATTTACATGGCCTTTTGCAATTGGCGGTCTCTGTACGAATCCACCCTCAAAGTCTTCCACTCTATACCGTTCCCTTACTAACCATTCGATTACTTGCTTCAGTCGAAATCATTGGATATGCGACCCGAATCGACGCACACAACAACACAGGGAAGCTGATGCCCTACTGTATACAGTCCGTCTTCATTCTTCTGGGCCCGATTCTATTCGCTGCATCGGTCTACATGGTCCTCGCTCGCATCATCCGCGCCGTCCACGGAGAAAAACACTCACTCCTTCCCTTGAGATGGGTGACCAAGACATTTGTTCTAAGCGATGTTGCCACTTTCTGGATCCAAGCAGGCGGTGCAGGAATGATGGTCAGCAGTAGTCTAAGCAAGATTGGACAAGGCATTGTGCTTGCTGGTCTAGCCCTGCAAGTACTAAGCTTCTGCATTTTCATCATTACGGCATATATGTTCCAAACAGGAATGCATCGCAGGCCGACCGCGGAGGCATTTGATCCTTATGTTCCTTGGAAACAGCATCTTTATGCCCTCTACGGTGTTAGCGCACTCATTCTTGTCCGATCCATTTTCCGGCTCGTGGAGTACGCTATGGGCAACCAAGGCTATCCATTGAGCAATGAGTGGATGTTATATGTTTTTGATGCCGTTCCCATGTTCATTGCTATGGTGATATTTGGGATTTGGCACCCAACTGAACTGAAGCCATTCCTTGTTACTGCCCGTAGCTCCGAGAGCAGTGATAATACAGCCGAAGAGACGAAGGCATGATTATGATACCTCAATACCTATTTATGCATGTCCTTTCTGTTTGCATTTTTTGCTTTCTCTTTGATATTTGAAGTTTTTTTTTGCCTTTTTTCTCTATTTACGATCTTCCTTTTCATTTATCCCCAATACATATGTACCTACTCTGGGCCATATATAGTGCCCTCTAAGCTTGGATTTCTCTTCTTCAATTTCTGTCCTGTTCATATGAAACTGACCGCCAATAGAACTTCATTATTTGAAATAATTTCCCAAAATATTAGACAGAGGGCAGTGAGGTCTGCCACTGATAATGGTACACATGCATATCGTACTATCACATGTAGTGAAAAATTAGGTGATATCAGCTGAGTCACGGTTTGATGATTTTCAATGTTGAGTTGAAGAAAACTACAACGAGAGAACATTTATAAATTGACAGCTGTACCTGAATCGCGGTGCCCGAGAATATACATCCATGGATCCATGAATGCACGGAGCACTTGAGTACAATCAGACTTGAAGCTACTGGGAAGGATATCCTAACTCTCCCTAGAATCTCTCAACTTATTCCAACTGGGAATCCAAGAAGGGTTCTGAACTTCTGAACCCCGACATCTGGACCCACCAGGATGCGCCACTTGTGCTCCACCGTGAACGAAAATTCCACTAGCAGCGGTACAGCCTAAATGGAGCAAGTGCACGAATCAGAGGCCATTCATTCCGCGTATTCGGCTTAGGCCCAGCCCAATCAAATGCTCAGAACTTCAACATTAGATAGCTCTGTAACGTCTCTGCCATGAAATCTAAAAATGGAAGACAGAATATAATTTCAAAACAAGTCCACGGTAGGTGCATCGCGTCAGCCCCTGATCGTTCCTTATGTAGAAAACAAATATGATAGTAGGTGACCATGGTGGATATAAAGCTGTTAAATCTTTTGAACACTCCGGTTACACGCTCTTTTCAACTTCCAGCTCAACAGTCGATAACTCTCTTTAATCTTTTCTTCTGCTAAGCTCCGAACATTGAACCAGTCGGAAACGCTCTTTTCAGGTCAACCGGCTTCTTCATTCTTATTATTTCATTCCTTCCTTTACATCTCTTTTTTTTCCGGTTCCAATATATTTCAACATGGGGTCTTCAGGCCTCTATCCCTATGAGCCTAGCAAGACAGGGGCAGGTATCATGATGGTGCTGTTTGGGGCAAGTGCCTGGTATCATCTTTGGCAAATGACAAGAACAAGAACGTGGTTCTTTACTGCTTTTCTCATTGGTGCTTTCAGTGAGTGTTTATTTTCTTCTCCACTTAGCACACATGCACATGTGAGGAGAGGCCGAGAGTCAAACTAACCCATGGATTTTTTTTTTATAGTGATGACATTGGGCTATATCTTCCGCTTGATATCAGCACGAAATCCCGAAAGCCTCGTACCCTATATCTGCCAATCCACGTTGATCATTCTCCCTCCATCGCTCTATGCTGCAACAATCTATATGACATACGGCCGGATTGTCATGTTCGTCGGTCAACCTCAGCTATCTGTCGTTGAACCCCGGAAAGTGACCAAAGTCTTCGTAACAGGAGACACCAGCGCCTTTATGTTGCAGCTGGCAGGAGGTGGTATGCAGGTCATCGACAGTATGCGCAACATCGGGCAGAAGATCCTTGTTGTTGGCCTTGTTGTTCAATTGATATTCTTCTGTTTTTTCCTCTACGTTTCTGTCACATTCCTGGCTCGTTTGCGCAATTCCGGTCTCAATATGATCGGTGGGCCTTGGCGTCGACTCCTTCATATCTTGTTCCTTGTATCCGGACTGGTAATCGGGCGGTGTATTTTTCGGATCATCGAATATGTCGGTGGAACAGATGGATATGTGCCAACCCATGAGTATTTGATGTACATCTTCGATGCCGTTCCAATGTTTTTTGTGCAGGCAATCTTCCACTTCTTTCACCCTGGCAAAATTCTTGTCGGCAAGGGTCCTGTCGTTGATGATTATGTCAACTTACGAGATGTGTAATCATGCTGTGAATACGCCTCTGAGGAAGAGGTGGCAATTTGGGAATAAGAGTGAGATGGTTCCAGTAGAATTGATACACAGAATCTTAGGAAAAACCAGGGGGTTTGGAGACTGTATTTTATACATATGTATCTTGGATCAATCAATGATTGGCTAGTGTAAAGCATTCCAACGTTTTGACTTTTCTTGATTTCTATTGGTTAATTTAAAAGATATACTGGCTGAGTCAGCTTTAGGCGAACAAGATTCATCAGAGAATAAAGAATTCAACTCTCAACATTCCCTTTGGTGAATGTACTTCCTTGGCCCATACTAAAAGACCTTCACGACAGCATCGCTTGTAAATACACCACGACAAGGGGTCATTTTCAAGCGTTGAGGGTCTCATTGGCCCAGATGTACAGAGTGCCAGGCTTGAAGATCCCGTCTAGCTGCCAAACCAGAACAGGACTATGATTCATGCGAGAAAGCCGCACCAGAAATCAAGGAGGGGTTGTTTCGAGTGCAAGCGTCGCCATATTAAGGTATTTTCTCACATGTTGCTATTTAGTAAAAAAAAGAAACACGAAACTCAGCGTTTGAAGCTAACCTAGTGACAAGTGCGATGAGACACGCCCAAAATGTGTCAATTGCAATGTTTCAAAGCGACATTGCTCATATGAAGACATGGTGTCGAAGGCGGATGCTTTAACACAGAATCCGAAACCCAAGCCCAAATTAAATCGCAAAAGAAACGACGCATCGTCTGTGGATTCACCAAGCGGCACTAACGCTAGCGATGACAGCCCTGCGGTGAACAAGCTACATCTGGAATTATTTCATCACTTTGTCACCAATATGCTGAACATTCTTGGCTTTGACAAGCTCTCTTTCGACGACTCCGCTATCGACATGACCAAATGCATTTTGTCTGCCCCTTTCCTGATGAACCAAGTCCTCGCGTTGTCTGCATTTCATTTAAGCGTCGTTCGCCCGGACAGGCAGGAATTTTACCGACATCATGCAGCCCAACTGCAAACACATGCCCTTTCTGAATTTAATGGCGCCAAACTAGACATATCCATCGATAATTGCGTCCCGACGTTCCTTTTCTCCTCATTACTTGCGATGCACGTCCTTTCTGATAAGCTTATATATCGCCCTCAGAACTTCGAAGAGTTCCTCGACTACTTTATTCTATCCCTGAAGATGCATCGGGGTGTGCGTGCGGTTGCCAGTGAAACCTGGCATCTGCTTTTGCAGACATCACTCGGCCCGCTACTTGAAAATGAAGGCAAAATATTCGCGCAGGGTATCTCCAGAAATGAGTGCTCTGAGCTTATGTCACTTATAAATACCGCCTCATTTGAGCCAGCGATCGCTACGACTTACCGAAAGACAGTTGAAGACCTTCAGACAGCTTTTAATGGAAGCTCATCCCCTGTATCAAACTACTCCACAATTAGCCCTGTTATGTTTTGGCCAGTGATTATCTCGATGGAGTACATAGACCTGCTCTCGGAACGTCGACCAGAGGCACTCGCCATCCTCTCTCATTTTGGTGCTCTTCTACATATTCACCGAGATATGTGGACTTTTGGCAACAGTGGGATTTATCTGATCTCATCTATCAAGGACTACCTGGGGCCTCAGTGGGAACGATGGTTGCGCTGGCCAAATAGTTTCCTTCAGGAGATGTGATTGTACACATTTCCGAAGCTATTTTCTCTTTTTTTTTCGACACTCAAAGAATTAATTAGACTTTCCCTCTCTTAGTAAGTGCGTTCATATTTCAACTCAAATAATTAAAATGAAATTCAAGTTGACCCCTGATAACTCAGGAGGTGAGAAAATGATCAATGGTTGGCCCTTGGTTTGGGAATCCCGTTCCAAGGTTGCAGTACTAGTCCACATCACTAGTATCAACCTCTAGGGCTGAATGGAGAGTTGGTCTCACACTGGGCATGTGGAAGATGCTCAGACTCATAATATCAGCCCTGCTTTTCTGAACATCTCAAAACTTTCCAACCATCCCTGAACATGATCTCTATCCCCCTCAAATCCCGTCCGCCGAAGCTTCTCCAGACTCAGTTGCCGATCAAATGTCAACCAGTAGCCCACACTGTCAAGTTGCTGCCTACCAGCACCAACACCTCCACGAACAGCATTTGCCCGGCCAAGCTCAGCGAATTTTTCCATATTCTCCAGAACATATTCCCCAGGCGTCAGGTCTATAGTACTTCGGGGGAGTTCGCCAGCCTTCAAAGTATTGTCCAATGCTTGCGAGTTCTCAACTGGTCCCATGCCCACTAGATCAAACCAACTCGCTAGTCGAGGCCAGATATCACCATACTTACAAGGTGTTTCGTTATCGGCAACATTGAACAACTGGCCTCCGCCGCATTCCTCCGGGTGAAGAGAGGCATATATCATGAACCGTGCAATTGTATTGCTAGATACTGGCGAGAACAACGAGTTGGCGCTAGCCACATTGCCAGGGAATGGTACCTGGACGTCGGTTTTGTGGGGTCCTGGCGTATCTGGTCCTATGCCGTTATTGTAAGCCCACAGAGATAGGTACTGGGCCCAATGAAGTGCCAGGCTGAACTGAGAACCGTTGGGAGTGAAGCCAATCTTGATGGGGTTAGTTTACTGTATTCGGTAGCCTTTTCACTCGAAGACTTACAATCGCATCTGGGCAAATTTCACACCAGGTCCATTTGTTTCCTTTGCTTGCTGCATCGAGAAGCTTGCGGTATGCTGGGTATACGACCGTCTTGGCACTTTCAGCTGGAAGCTTGTTCACCATATCCTCTGTTAAAGGCGGGGTGAATGTGCCTCCGGGAGTGTATATACCATACCCCTGGTTTTTTTTTAGTATGTGACATCAACATTTATGGTCTAATAAAGGGTGCTCACTCACCCGCGTCCCACCGGGAAATGCCACAAACTGCAGGTTAGGACTGATCAAGCCGTGGGCATCGATGACATTCTTAAACATTCGCAGATTTGTAGAAACTTCCTCAATATCATCCTCGACCGCGGTGAAAACTGTTGAAGGTAAGTGTGTTGCATCTTCAAAGTCAGGTAATTCATGACTACGTACCCAGATAATAGATATGGGTAACACTTTCCACGTCTCTCACTGTGCGCTTCAGTGCCTCTGCCAGCGTAGCTCCGTCCCCGTCGCGAAGATCAATTCCTGAGACGAGCTGGAGATCCGGTTGGTTCGAGGCCGACTCAGGCCAATGTGAGTCGGAGACTGTAATCGGCCGGTTTGTAATAGCAGTGACTTTAGAAAAAGTACCAACGCTTGGGTATGAACTCAAGAGTTGATTTACTAGAGACCAGCCGATTAGGCCGGATGCGCCAAAGACAATAGCATGTTTCTGATCATACATTTTTGTCGGATGATTGGGATTTCTCATTTAGGACGAGTAGTAGTTTCCTACTTATAGCCTGGAGGTATTGCAACGATCAACCATCTACGACGTGATAGTTCAGTTAGTGTTGATCCACTTCATCTGTGGATCATCATGAGTCATCCCGAGTCATTCCATAACTAATCAACTAACCAACTAGTTATAGACATCCACACAACATCCACATGCATATGACAGTATGTACATCTTTTGAACATTTGAACCTTGCACATGTGGAACCTTCCGAGTTTGGAAACATTCAAATGTTGATTCAATGTTTGAACCTTCACGGCTTGGAACACAAGAGGAGACTAAGTATTCAAATGTTATTGAGCCTGAACAGAAAAATGTCTGTCTCAAAGTACATAGGGGAATGAAACACCGGTTCAAATGTTCAACATTTTGAATGTTCCGATCATTTTTCTATTGAATATAGGTACATGGTTGATGGCTTTATAGTACAAAAATATATTTACAAACAGCCACATTGGCTTCAAATGTTGAGGTGTACAGGGTATTGTGGGTGCTCTGGTTGCCTTCGAATGAAGCCAACACTGTGTCTCCAGTCATCCCAACAGAATATTAACAACTCTCCTGGTTAACTGTGATTGGTCAATGAGCCAGTCAACCACTATCTTCTCATCGAATCAACCCAGAGTTTCTTCGATTGTTGTTGAGATGGGTGGCTCCCGGCAATCGACGGGCGGGTTGCGAAGCTGCGCCCGATCCCGTTTTTCCCGCTTGGGATCAATTGTGAAATTCTTCCAGTACTCGCTTCGGTCCTGCTTCTGTCGGAGCACGGAGCTAAGCACTCGCAATATCTCCGTGGCTGGAGGAGAAATCGCGACTTGGCTTGGGTTCTCCAGGGCTTGACATGTCTTCTGCAGGGCTTACAGGGTATTGTGGGTGCTCCGGTTGCCTCGTGGTGCAGTACACCATTACGTCTTCATCCCACCAATATCTCAAGGATTTTTTGGTTAACTGTGTTCGGTTGATGAGCCGGTCAAATTCTACTTCCTCATCGAATCCGACCAGAGCTTCTTCGATCGTTGTTGACAGGGGCGGTTCCCGGCAATTAACAGGAGGTGTGGTAATCTGAGCCCGATTCTGCTTCTTCCGCTTGGCATCAGCGACGAAATTATTCCAGTACTCGATTCCGTCGTGTTTCTGTCGAAGCACGGAGATGAGCCCTCGCAATGTCTCCATGACAGGCGGTGAAAATGTGGATTCCCATAAAGTTGTCAGGCGTTCCACTTCAACAACAAAGTCGCGATTGATTTGGTCTCCGCGAGTGAGAACGGTCATTATACACCACCAAACGCCGCGAGCATTTTTGAGATAGGTGTGAGCACGTATAAGCATCTTAAGCTGGATTTGGTCAAAGCCGTGGGACTTTCGCCATTTGGACATGTAGATAGCCGACAGGACGTTCACGGCGGTAAGGGGGCGGCGGAGAGCGATCATTCGGCGAGCAACCGAGACTGAGGAGTGGTGCTTCACTGTGAACCTTGCCTTTTCAGCGCAAAGTTCATAAAACTCAAAGAGACAGATTTTGAGCAACGTGCTTTCTGTCACTTTGCTCTGGTGCAGTTGCATTAATTGCTGGAAGAAGATCGGAGCAAAGCGGGGGACGCGCTCAGTAACTCGGAAGGATTTCTGGTGGGTTTCCTTTGTCCAATACTTCTTGATTATCTCTTTGGCCGGTACAAGACCCCCTAGGCCATCGTGGAGGATCATTGCGATGACGACGAGCCGAACGAGCTGCGACTTGATGAGATAGCCATTGTGCACAGCCTGGTCGAAGAGTTCTTTTGCCTCAAGGAACTTGCCAGTGTGAACATAATGCTCCATTCGCTTTGTTATTGGGACATAGAGATTGGAGGAATATCTGTTAAGAGTCGTGCCAATCTCACGCTCTGCTTCATAGGCTTGGTGAGTAATCGGGGCAATTTTGTCCCTGTCGATGTTATAGTACTCAGCGCCCTTGCCCATGATACGTCGCGTCATGGTGACCATTCCGTGCTGTTTCTTCGCCGACTGGAGCATTTTCCAAACTCCTACTGGACTTTCTCGCATAGCCAAACGACGTGCTTTGATAGTATTCATTGTTGATTGGTAGTTCATCCCAGAATTCCATCGACGCTCTTCACCCATGAGGCTAAATTTCGTCAAGATCTCCGGGTCGCATTTTTCGATCAATCCTTCGAGGCAATGACGGTGAAGAATTTTATCAGGTGAGATATCGAATTCGATAATGCAGGTCTCGAGAAAGCTCCAGCATTCAGGACCGGAGTGAGACGGCCAAAACTCCAGCCAGAGCCGATCGAAGAGCTGACAAAAAGTTCGCTTCTCCGTTGTAGTAAATCCAAGCTCATGCATCTCACGCATTCCTGCAAGAACACCATCCCAATCACATTGCAAGGCTTTTCCGTACAGTATAAGACCAAGGGTACGGCACCCAGGCTTGGCAGCGTGTTTTGCCTCCATGTCACAAACTAACGCTTCGGCATCCTCGAATTGGCCGGCGTCAATCAATGCTTTGACCAGCGCATTGAACACTTTTTCCGTTGGGTTTCGCTCTAGTTCAGCAAGATCGGCCAAGATCCTGCGGAATTCCTTAGTGATCAATTCAACGCTATGAGTCTTCCTCCAGAGACCATCAAGATATGCTCCGCAAAGACCACCCTTTATATCATGTTCAATATTTTGATAGAAGAGCCACCTAGCAGCACTCAACCGATTTGATTCAATAAGACATCGGATTGTGATTTCCAGCAAGTAAGGCGGTACGTCAAACTTGTTTCGGTATCTGTCAAAGACCGTGGCCGCAGATTCAACATGTCCTTCCTTAGCAAGCATGTGTATCATGGTAGTCCACAGATTTGTATCCACGACTGACACCTTTTCAAGTCGGACAAACATAGACCGGGCGATAAAAACGTTGCCTTGCAGACAGTTCGCTGTGTAGACTGCAACACCAAGAGCTCGCCTGCCCCATGATATCACATTGTCTCCATTTACACGATTGAAGGTCAGAAACAGATTGGCAGCTTCCACCGCCCGTCGTTCCACTAACATGGTGCGTACTACTTCCTCGAATGTAGGCAACCCCTCTGCGCGCCGAGCCTCATCTGCTTGAAGCTCCCTGGCCACAGCAATTTGATTCTCGTGACTTGTTGCTGGGTCTTGGTATTGTGCTGCCAGGGCAGGAAGTGAAGTAGGACGGACGGCCAGTGTTGGTCGGAGAGTGTGAGTCGGTCGATGTGTTGGGGGAGGTAGACCCATATCTTGTGCAAGGGCGCTCCTATCAACATCAAGCGTTGGCCCCTCGCTTTGGTTCGACCTGTGCTTCAGCGAATCCAGGCCCATAAACTCACCAGATTCTGCCGCATCCATCATGAGAGCAAGACGCTTGGCCGAAGACGTGGCATCGTAATTCGGTGCCGACGTCCGGATCATACGTTTGTTCTCAATGATCTGCTCGGCCACGCGAATCCGGCGGTGGACATCGTAGGTTATGGCGGCAACGGTACAGAATGTCCCCACAGAGCCAGCAAAGGCTAACTGGCGGAGGACGCGGAGGGCATTTCGTGAAGGGACGGCTGGGGTCGAATTGGCGGCTTTGGCGAACATGGTAAGCGCTGCCCAGTGCGCGCTGAATTTACCAGTCGTGCATCAGTGGCTCCAGCAATCGATCAAAGAGAGGAGAATGCTATCCACAGAGCCTTCTGTGTAGATCACCGCGTTCGGACTGAAGCTTGTGTTGTTGTGCAAAAAGGCAATTCGAGGTTGGTGGTATGTTAAAGGGTAAATTCGGGGACAACTTTTTTCGGAAACTCGAAAAAGCTGCGCGATTGTGCCGTCCCGCCCGCCGGACCGCCTTGGCCGGCTGATGTTTCAACCTTGGAAGTTGTATAGCTTCAAATTAATTTTCAAAAAGTGCTAATTTGAAATTCATGCATTCGATAATCAACACTGTGACAAACATTGACTATATAATTAGGTATTGCTAAGTCATGACGATTGCCTGTAATCTATGTACAAAGCAAGGTCCACTCAAAATACAAAATTCATCTGCTTATCTCAGAAGCAATTGATCTTCCTCGTTCTCCCCATCCTCGTTTGCCTCGACCGTTATATCAAGCGCAGGCACATCATCAAGGCTCACTGTATGAATATTAGCAGGGGTTTCAGTACAGAAGTCAATACCAGCCAACAGCCTACCATTTGGTCGAAGGAAGAAGCTCAAGAAAGCCGTGGCCCCAAAGACAGATGCAAGAATTATGAAGACTGTCTGGGGATATGACCTAACCGTCAAACTATAAATCAAATTGAATATCGTGGGTGCAACCACCCGAGCAAGAGCATGCAAAACGCCTGTTGCACCAAGCAACTGACCAACACGATCATTCGGCACATGCTTGGTCAGTGCAGATTGCATTGTCGGCGGGCCCATTCCACCAAGACAGGCGATGGTACCTGAGACCAGCCAAGCAGTCCCTGTCTTCGATATGGCATATCCAATGTATCCAACAACATCAAAAAGAACGGATATACGAATGAGCATAACGTCCAGCGTATCGCACCCACGAATTGTGCCGTCATCCTCGGTCGGTGTGCGGAAAAGCCAGGAGATGAGGGGCAAGAACACGAATAGATTGACGGTACGCACACCATTGACTATCGCGACAAACAAACTCATTTCCACATTTCCCCAATTGAACATGTACTCGGCGTAAATGATGATGACCTGTACCGTGCCCATGGCGACGCCGAACAAAGCCATGTCCATCACGGCCAGCGTGATGATGTTGCGGCGCAGAGCTGGACTGGCTCCTTTTTGGTTTGGAAAAAGGACACTCGGACGTCCGGTTGGGGGCAAAAGAATCTTGAGAGGGGCCAGGATTTTCATCGGGTTGAGAGCTTTCCAAGAGTACCATTTTGGTTCATCATATGTCGGCTTCGCGCGGTGCTTAGCACGAGCGACAAGCTGAAGCTCTGTGGATAATGACTCGGGGACGATGAAAAGTACAGACAGGACAAAGAATATGTGGAGTAAGAAGCCCGTGTAGAACACAATCAACTCGTTACCAGTCTTGTGAATGATATACGCTGCACCGCTTGGGCCAGCTGCCACGCCCAAGAAAAGCGCGCCGTGGAATAATCCAAATGCGACGCTCCGTCGATCAGGGGGCGTACAATCAGTTGCATAAGAGTGAAGCAACACCTGCGCACCGGTGATAGAGCCACCTAGCCCGTCCACCAAAGCACCCAAGAGGAAAAGGTTGCTGGAGAGAGTGTCGGGCCATGTTCCCAGGAAACAAGTGATTAGTTCACTGCATGCAGCGCAAAATCCACACACAGCGATTAGTTTGGTTCGGCCATATGCATCCGATAAGCGACCGAGCCAGGGACTAATCAGTGCTGCAACAAGGCCAGAAATGAGGTTTATGTACAACTGGAGCTGGGCAACCTTGGCTTGAACCTCGGGAACTCGACACTGGGGGTTGTCTTCGGAGAATACTACCGGGAGATAGGTGAAGGTAGGATCGCCAATACTCTTTTCAAAGAAATAATCGCGGCATACTAGATCTCTCATGAGAGTAATCTTAGGCACCGCCAAGCCGCCAAAGCCAACGGTGTATGCCAGTGCAAATGGTAGTAACCAGTAAATCTGTGGGGGGAAAGATTAGATTTATCAAAACATCAAACAGGATACGACCGGGTATAGTCCAAGTGGCCATGATCCAAGTGGCTATGGCGTCTCAGTGACTTACACTCGGCCTTCTCCATCGCGGTCGGGTGTCTATGTCGCGAAGCTGTTGTACTTCCTCCGGCCATTCATCATCCGAGTCATTATTGACTAAGAGCGGCTCATTGTGCACGTGCAAGATCGTGCCTTCTGCAGTGCGACGTGACTCTTGAACCAAATTCTCAGTGGCTTGTTGCACATCCCGAGCAGATTCGCCCGCAAAGAGTTCCTCGTTCTCCATGATCGAGATAGATCCTTAAGAGGATGTATAGCGAAATTCTAGTAGCGCATGCTATTGCAAGACAAAGTCAAGATTATGAACGCGCAATGGGTCCAATTCTAGGTCATGACCACTTGGATCGAACCGGGAATGAGGGGATAATTGGAGTTTCATGCGTCAGCGTTGTCCCTTATCAACAACCTTGGAAATGGGCCTTCGGACTCCGCCAGGAATCGGCGATTAGACCCACATCCGAGGCATTGTTAGTAATCAAACGTTGAATCCCACTGCATAACTAACTAACTAACCTGGGAAGCATCTGTGCATAATCTCAAAAGCTTAGATTGTTTCACTTAAGGAACACAGCATGTTTTGTATAGTAGGATCTAGTAAGAGTTCATGAAAATATCGTTTTCTTTTGGCTTTGAAGTCCAGAGTCCGAATTCTGGATGGCACAATTATTCATGAAAAGGGCAGACCTAGCAAAACATGGTCAAATTAACTCCGCAACCCCCACCTGCCTGATAGTACTATGTTTACATGTATGAAGTCCACGTGTATGAGATAAGGAAATAATATAACAGGAAAAACGTCCAGAGACAAGAACAGAGACACATCTCTCAAAGAACAAGAGAAGAGAGCTCTTTGCCGGCGAAGAATTTCTTCTGCTCGAGGCAACGGTCACTGCGGCAGCCCTGGCAACGAAGAGTCATCTGGGGAGAACAGGGCTCATTCTTCTGCAAATGTTGGTGCGCAATATCTGCCAACCCTTGGATGAAGGTCGGATTTCCATTCAAGCTCTCTGCGCGCTTAACGCCAGGACTGTTGGCTTCCTCCATAACCTCCAAATCCAACTCGTACAAGGTCTCGATGTGATCGCTGGTGAAAGCAATGGGCACCAGAATCAAGTCGGACTGCCCACGTTTAACATATTCCATCACGGTATCTGCGGTCTGCGCGCCAAGCCAAGCGGAAGGGCCCACCTGTGACTGCCAGCACAGACGGTAGGGGTTGCTGAACTTGAGTCGCTGCATAACAGCATGGACGGTGGCGGCAACTTCGGCGGGGTAGGGGTCGCCTAGACAGAAGGAAAAAACATCAGTAAAAAGCTCTTTGTCTATGCAGGAGTGGAACTTACCTCGGTTGACGACGCTCATGGGCAAACTGTGGGCCGAGAATAGTAAAACCACCTTATCCCGCTTATCTTCGGGGTATGTATTCAGTTGAGCTTCAATGTTTTGCGCGAATGCCTCAACCAGACCAGGGTGGGTGGGCCATCGGTCAATGACACTCCAATTGATCGCACCCGTAGCATCCACGTCCCCATTGGCACGCTTTCCTTCCAGTCTATTTTGCCACTTCCACAGCTCATTCAAGGAGCTGCCAGTGGTGGAGCAAGAGTATTGTGGATATTGCGTGAACGCGACCGCGCGACCTCCCCTACCATTACCAAACCCATCCTCAAATAATTGATTGTACATCTCCTCCGTCAATGGAGCGGCATAGCGAAAAGCCACATAGGGTTTATGGGGAGCGGTTTCCGGAGAGATCTTGTCCAATAGTTTGCACATCTCCGCACACTGGTACTCCGACCATTTGCGAATTGGTGAGCCTCCGCCGATGGCCGCGTATTGCTTCTGGATCTTGGGGGTTCGTCGGCGGGCGAGAAGTGGTCCGATATATGATTGTAGACGACCCAAGGGAATCAAGTCGCCGTCGGACTATATAGAGAAGGATAGGTTAGTACCGGAACGAACACAATGTTTGCAAAATCACTAGAAGATCACAGGGAACATACAAATAGCCGGCTCAGGAAGTCTTCCACCTGGTCGGTCGTTGATGGTCCGCCCATGTTCATAAAAACCATTGCAGTAGGCCCCTTAGCGCCGGTAGCATCCTGGGTGACTGGTGGCACTGCTGTTGCGAGGCCGCATCGCTGGTCTCTGCTGTATCCCACGAAGCCTCGGGTGGCTGAGCGGAAGGCCGGGGTAGCAGCATTGCTCCATAACCGAGATGGAGCTGCAATGCCACGGAATGCCATTGTATTAATGATTACCAAATTAGACGGTGAGGATGATGTTTGAAATGTAAAGACGCAACGCTGTTCGTAGCACAATAGAGAAGGAGCCGTACAAGGGAACTTGAAATCGAGATCACAAATCACAAGGTTCCAGATCGCCGGAAAGCTTGCGGCCCGCGGCCAAATTTGTTAGCAAATGCTGGGACTCCATACAGCCAATCAACGCGCTCTAGGAGTCAGCATTACAGGTCACGTGCCTTCCGCGCTGTCGTGTCAAACATGTCAAACACGCTTAAATCCGCGGCGCGTCTCAAGGCAACAATGACGCCACTGCCTGTTCTATAAAGCTTCCTTTTATTTTCTTATCTTCTTCCCATAACCCCATCCAAATTTCACCACCAGGATGGCTGATGAAAACGATACACGCGAAGAGGAACTCTTCGAAGAAGAAGAAGCTGATGAAACCGTGAGTGGCATTTATGCAGCTAGTATATTCAAGTGGAATGAGCCCTAATAATTTTCGGACTGGGTGATGTTAGAGCTTTCGAGCAGTCAAAGATGCTGTTCTCTTCGCAATTGATATCAGTAGCTCGATGCTCACCCCTCGCGCTTCGCCAGATTCCAAGAAATCAGCCGACGAGTCACCGGCATCTGCAGCCCTTAAATGCGCATACCATCTGATGCAGCAGCGTATCATATCGAATCCCGGTGACATGATCGGAGTTCTCCTCTATGGAACACAGTCATCCAAGTTCTACGATGAAGATGGAGATGGTACTGGGGATCTCTCATACCCTCACTGTTATCTCTTTACCGACCTGGACGTTCCCTCGGCCGAGGAAGTAAAGGAGCTTCGAGCTCTTGCGGAAGACGAGGATGAGGCTCAGAAGTTACTAAAACCCTCCGAGGAGCCTGTTTCTATGGCCAATATGTTGTTCTGTGCCAACCAGATCTTCACGTCTAAAGCTCCAAATTTCCTCTCACGGCGACTCTTCATCGTGACCGACAATGATAATCCTCATGAAGAGAACAAGGCGCTTCGATCCGCAGCTACAGTGCGTGCAAGGGATCTGTACGACCTAAACGTTACAATTGAGCTCTTCCCTATCTCCCGAGTTGATCATGAATTCGAGACCTCTAAATTCTATGATGTAGGTTTCTTGATCTAGCACACATCGTTCGCGGCTTCCAGACTGACGAGCATAGGATATCATCTACAAAACATCTCCAAGTGATGGGGAAGCCCCGGCCTACCTCCAGCCAGACACAAAAATAGCGACTGCGCAGGGCGACGGAATTACGTTGCTCAATGCTCTCCTTTCCAGTATCAATTCTAGATCCGTGCCCCAGAGGTCGATCTTTTCCAATATGGCTTTGGAGATTGGTCCTAATCTCAAGATTTCTGTCAAGGGTTATCTGTTGCTCAAAAAGCAGCAGCCGGCACGGAGCTGCTACGTCTGGCTAGGTGGGGAGAAACCTCAGATTGTCAAGGGAACTACTACACTTTTAGCAGATGACACAGCACACACAGTTGAGAAGTCAGAAATTCGCAAGGCATACAAATTCGGTGGTGAACAAGTTTCATTCACACCTGAGGAGCAGCTATCATTGAGAGACTTTGGAGAGCCAGTGATTCGAATTATTGGCTTCAAGCCGCTGGCTGACCTGCCCATATGGGCCAACATTAAGCATCCCACTTTTATCTATCCTTCCGAGGAAGACTATATCGGTTCTACACGTGTTTTCTCTGCGCTGCAGCAGAAACTTCTCAAGGACCGCAAACTTGCATTGGTTTGGTTCATTCCCCGCAAGAGAGCTTCTCCGGTCCTGGCGGCCATGATCTCTGGTGCTGAGAGAATCGACGAGAATGGTGTACAGAAAATTCCACCTGGCATGTGGATTATTCCACTTCCCTTCGCTGATGACATGCGGAGGAACCCAGACTACGGCTTTACTCCGGCACCGGAACCTCTCATTGATGCGATGAGGCAGGTAGTAGGGCAATTGCAGCTTCCGAAGGGTGTATATGACCCTCAGAAGTACCCTAATCCTTGTAGGTTTCGATTTGAAATGATAATACCGCGTAATAATACTAATTTGTTGGCAGCCCTTCAATGGCATTATCGCATTTTGCAAGCTTTGGCTCTCGACGAAGACCACCCGGGGACTCCTGACGACAAGACTTTACCCAAGTATCGACAAATCGACAAGGTAGGCGCTAATGATTCCCAGTCGAGAAAATGGCGCTGACTGGTTTGTAGCGTGCCGGTGAATATGTTATACAATGGGCCAAGGAGCTTGATGCTCAAAATGAAAAGATCTTTGGGGGAACTGCTGCTTCAAAGATGACCTTGGTCAAGCGAGGATCAAAAGATCACGAAAGTGCAGGCAGTCCACCAGCAAAGAAGACCAAGGTTGAGGACGGAGGAGCTGATATCGAACGCGAAATCAAGACCGCCATGACTAAGGGAACTTTGTCTAAGGTAAGTCGCACTCACTTTTGATTTATCACGGCTCTACCTCATTCACACAATCTCTCTAGCTTACGGTGCCCACACTGAAAGAGTTTCTCAATAATCATGGTCGCTCTGCGGCTGGCAAAAAAGCAGATCTCATTGAACGGATAGAGCGGTACTTTGAGGAGAAGCTTTGATGAATTTGCTTTCCACCATTAAGTAACGAGTGATGAAGTTGGTGCCCTGTACACTTCACCCAACTCCGAAATTTCTCGGTCAGAGGCTCGGAGCTGGCCAATTGCCGAGGTGATGATCATGTGGGGTACAAGTATGCGGATCCTCTACGTTGTTCTTTTCCTGATACTTAATAGTATCTTGGATGCTCCAGTTTCTATCTTTTTGCCTGATTTCCCTTTCACCTCGGTCAAAGGCTGTATCGGGGATTGAAGTGCTTGAAGTAACCATGTCCACGGTTGCTGCGGGAAATGATTATCAAAAACGACCTTCTCTCTTAACTCTCTCTAGCCAAACAGTTCTATCTAGTTGATAATTTTTGTGACCCTTCAAAATTTCCAGACCGATACTCCAGGTGTTGTTTGGCTGCATCTGCTTCTAATCTCATTATCTAGTAACCATGGGCAAAAACTGGGAGTTAGTTAGGAATCCTTAGGATGACTAACAGCGCCGGGTGGGGTGCAGAAAAATATAAAAGGCGGGGGCGGTCAAGCGGCTTCTCGCTGTACAAAGTTACGGGGTAGAAAGGCGGGTGTCTCTGGGGGCAAAAGCAGTTAATTTCAAGTTTCAACGTCATTTCCCCAGGTCCTGAAATTCTAGTTGAAAATTATGAAAACCACTTGATCCTGGACCTTCCCAAATAGTTTTATGGATCGATAAAATCCATTAAGCTTTCGCTTAGCCCCCGCCTGCTATCCTGTGTGGAGAATGAGATTGACACAGTTCACCCCGCCGCCTCCCGAGTCCCGACATAGTAGAGCATCAAGATGAATGGCGTACGTTCACGAAATGATCGGAAATGCCATGCATGTAACAAGACATTCTCCAAGAAAGAACACCTGACAAGGCACATTCGAGGACACACAAAAGAAAAATCATTCGCGTGTTCTATCTGTGGGAAGTTATACTCTCGAAGGTTGGTGCAGGTGACGATCTTACTCGAATGAAATCCAGCACTAACACATACATATGTATCATAGTGATGTTGTTCGGCGTCACGAAAGAAGCCACCATGAACAGCAAATTGAGCAGCAGGCTGAGCATCAAGCTAGGCAACATCTTGAGGAATCCTCCAACAGTTTGCCAGATGACTCGGTGATGCTTACGCCAGCCTCGGCGGCTGAATCTCTGAGACGGTTATCGGAGATTCCGGGGATCACATCCATGCCGGAGAATATGACTCCGCTGCAATATCCCAACACAAGCATTGCAAGTCTTGCTCCACCCAATACCGGGTATATACCTGGAATGGATCTATCTTCGCAAGATGATACCACACATCGATCGAGCTCCAACTCAGGGCCCGGGACATGGTTTCTAGAAGACGATTTTGATGTTAGCGCTCTAGACTTCTCACTAACCTCCACCATATCCGAATGGGCACAGTTCTCGAATCCCTTTCCGGCTCCTCTTTTGCCGACAGAGGAATCACCGGAAATATTCACACCGGTGCAAAGTTTCGCGCCGAACTTGCAGTCGCCTAATCCTCCAGGAGATGCTATGAAGCGCAAATGGTTTTCACATATGGAGCACCGACCAAGTCGAGGATTCGACATGGCAGAATCGAGTTATTCGGGACATACTAAAGCGAATGAGTCGTACCGAGCCGATTTATCACAGAAGCTTAGGCCAAGGATGGAGGACGAGGCACTTCCAACATCAGAACAATTGAATCTCTTCGCTAAGCTTTATTTTCATCGATTTCATCCATTGCTTCCTGTCATTCATACTCCTTCCTTCCGACCAACTGCAGAGAATTCTCTCTTGTTCCTGTCTTTATGTTCCATCGGCAGTCTATTTGTCGGGTCATCGCGTGCTGTTATGCAAGGCTCTCGAATATTTGAAAGGCTGAACAAGGCAATACTGGCATCATGGGAATCCTTTTTATCGCAGAGCCGACCAGACGCACTTTCTATGGTCCAGGCTGCCATTCTAGGTCAAACATATGCTATTCTGGCCGGTGAACCAAAATATCTCGTCTTGGCAGATGTCCTGCATGGGACAGTCGCAGCTTGGGCTCGTGAAGCAAATCGACTCGGGTCTATCTGTACCCGAGCACCTGATTTATCCGATGACAGCAATATCGAGACAAGCTGGTATCGATGGATTGATCATGAACAACGAGCACGGGTTCAAGTCGCACTACATATTCACGACGCTGAGCTTGCAACTCTCCTGCACCACCAACCTATTCGCAGCCATCGATTCCGCCAATTTCCCAAACTCGCATCTGATGAGTTATTCTCGGCGCCCACGGCTTCAAAATGGGCTGCAATGTACCGCCAATCCATGAATACGTCACCCGAAAATGACCTAGTATCTACTCAACTCCCTCGTTCTCTTGATCCACTCCCAGTCACTGGAGTATCATCCCGCTTCGCAGCTTACGGTCTCTTGGAGAGTATCAGCGCTCGCTTGGTCGACGCGAAGCAATCTGATGGATTCGATCACCATGTCTCTGCAGAGATATCAAGTCTCCTGATAGCTTGGTGGAAAGCCTACTACACACCAATTCAAAGCCACGAAAGAGATCCATTCTGTCTCCCCGTACTCTGGCATTCAATCTATATATCCCTATACGCAGACCTTGACCTCCTCGAACAGCTCATTGGTCGAGATGGCTACCACCATACAGTACAGGCTGCAGGACCCGTCCAAGAATGGTGTACATCCCTGAACGCCAGCCGCTGCCTTATACACGCCTCTTTGATTGCGCAGTATATAGAAAATATGAGCATGTCCTCGGAACCATCAATTCACGTTCCCCGAGCGCTCTTTTCTGCTGCACTCACATATCTCGTTGTTGCGAGGTTTGCACCGAAACATGTCGTTCGTTCGGAGGCATTTTCATCGCCAGAATTCAAAATCCTGGGTGATATTAATGCTTCAGTCGAAAGCTGTTTTCCAGATCTGCAGTCGAAGGGTTCTAGTGGATCTGTGGTTGCTGATATGGATCATTTGTATCGGTTGGTGGATCTGTTGCAGCGTGGTGGGCGTTGGGGGATTTCGCAGGCTTTTGCAGGGGTTATTACTTCAGCTTTGGAAGGGATTCCCGGGTCTTAGCGGGCTCTGCTCTGTACATTATGTAGTACTTCATTACCATTTGAAGAGTCTTTTTTTTTAATTTAGACTCTCAATGAAGTCAACTTACAAGCTACTGAGTCGAGTCAAATTTTAGATAGGTCCATATGTGGGGTGGCCTTGCTAAAACAAATTGGCGCACGCGTTGTCTTATTTCCCACAGCGTAATATCCTCGGCCTGGGTTTATGTAAAAGGGTTGCCTTGCAAATTGGCGGTTCAGTAATCAAGCTTCAAATGTTTCTTTTCAAGCTTTCTCAGAAATGTCTGCCCCGATGATCTCTTTACATTACATCTCCGTGTTATTTCCAACTAGCTTATGACGAAAGGTCCAGATGTCAGCATGAATGCTTCTATAGCCATGACTCACCCCGCGACATTTGGTCAAATGCATAGACCCGGTGGGGTGACAATCTGTCTTTGCGGGGTGGCGCTCGCCACAAATCTTGCACAATTTGATTTGCTCTTCCGTTTATTTGTTACAACACCGTAAACCAGCGTTGCAAGTATCATATCCTTACTAGTATCATCGTCATACCTTAATGAAACGTTATGCTGTCCGGTTTCCCGGGGATAAAGTCCCAATGCCGCTCCCCACAGAGCAGCATTGTGGGGTATACAAGCTTACCCCGTAAACAGAGAGGCACTACCGCACAACCAAACCAGATATAAGTACCAGAATGCCTAGTAGATAAAATTAGGAATTTAAGACGTCTGATTCTTTTTCTTTTCTTTGTATCGAATACTCCATACTCCTGGAACCTTGGGATTGCCTTCCAACATCCTCCCTATACAAGATGCCCGTCTTCACCGAATGTGCCTCTTCCTCACGAGACCTCCGAGTCCTGCCATCTTTTGCCCCTCCACTACCTCGCCTAGTCCCCCAATTCGCGCCAGAAAACAGCCCAGAAGAAGAGAAATATGAAGTCCTCATCGTCGGCGTAAGTCCAATATCCGAACTCAATCCGACAATCTCCAAACAGCTTCAATAACTAACAAACATACGAAAATAGGCAGGCCCATCTGGCCTCATGCTCACTCTCCTCCTCGCCCGCTACGGCCTCTCAGATGAATCCCTCCTATGCATCGACTCAAAGCCCGGTACCCTGAAATCGGGCCAAGCAGACGGCATCCAGCCCCGCACACTGGAAGTCTTCAAAAGCCTGGGTATATCCGACGAAATCGAAAACGAAGCATGCCAAATGTGGCAGTTTTCATTCTGGAATCCGTCTTCCAACAAGGACAAGATCATTGAGCGCACAGCCGTCATGCCCGAGGTCATCCCCGCCGCCCGATTCAAGTACGAAGCAACCCTCCACCAAGGGCGCATTGAGCGCATCATGGAGACCGATCTACTGCGGTACTCCGGCCGAGGCGTGCTGCGGAACACGAACCTGATCGATGTATCCATCGATGCCGACGGAGACGCCGAGTTCCCTGTTCTAGCGCGGATCTCCGTGGATGGTGTTGAGAGGAGCGTGCGCACGAAGCATCTTGTTGGCGCAGATGGTGCGCACTCGGTTGTGCGGAGGTGTATGGGGTTGAAGTTGGAAGGGGAGTCGCTGGATCATATTTGGGGTGTGGTGGATTTGGTTGCTGAGACCGATTTCCCGGATATTCGGCGACGTTGTGCGATTCATTCGCCGGCTGGGTCGGTGATGGTTATTCCTCGTGAGAGGATTGCCACGGGCGAGTATCTTACCAGGCTTTATGTGCATGTTCCTGAGACGGTGGATCCGGGTGATGCGGATCGGGTGGAGGGCGAGAGTGAGGATGCGAGGGCGCGGAGAAGTAAGATTACTTTGGAAGGGATTTTGAAGCAGGCTGCCGATGCGATGAAGCCGTATTATATCCGGCCTAAGGGGGGTGTTGTGGATTGGTGGGCGGCTTATCAGATTGGACAGCGGGTTTCGCCTGAGTTTATTGTTAAGGATGAGAAGGGGGTTGCGAGGGTGTTTATCTCTGGCGATGGTATGTTGTTCTTCTTATGTCGTGTTTTGTCTGGGTTATGAGATGCTGACGCTTCTTCTACTTAAAGCCTGCCATACACACAGCCCTAAGGTATGTAGTTACCAAGTCCGATTACATTCTGCGAGCAGGACATAATACTAACGCATACATTTATCAGGCTGGACAAGGCATGAACGTCTCAATGATGGATTCTTATAATCTAGCTTGGAAACTGATCTACCACATCAACGGGCTCACCCCATCGTCGTCCGAATCCCCAACTCCAATCCTCGACACATATCAGACAGAGCGCCACGAGATCGCACAACAACTTATCGACTTTGACCGCAAGTTCTCGACAATGTTCTCTGGCAAAATGGGAGCAACAGAGGGCCTGACCCAAGAAGAGTTCCAACAAGCTTTCAAGCTAGGAAACGGATTTACCAGCGGCTGCGGTGTCGAGTATCCCGCACCCCAGAATCCGCTTGTTGTACGGGACGACGAAATGGGTGATAACCAAAACCAGAACAACAGTCCTATCACAGGAACAGATTATCTTTCCGGGATCCTTCGTCCTGGACGACGACTGTTGAATGTAAAGCTGTTGAGACATGCGGATGGATGGCAGCGCGATATCCATGATGGTATGAGAAACCACTCTTCTCCCTTGGAATTATGCAGAACTAATCTTGCAAACGCAGATATGCCATCGACAGCGCGCTTCCGACTTCTCACTCTGACATCAACAGATCTTTTGGATCGGAATAGTACATCAGCAGAGACCCTTACCAGAGTCAGCCAGCTTGTATCTCAATTCCCGGCTTTTGTCATTGAGCAAATTGTGCTCCATCCCATGCTCCATCGGCCATTCGAGTGGGACGAGGTTCCTGCATGCTTGAAACAGGACGCAGAAATGCGGTTCTACGATGGTTGTTCGTTGGAAGATGCGTATAGTATCTACGGTGTTGATCCTGCAAAGGGCGCGCTGGTTGTTATTAGGCCAGATGGGTATGTGGGCATGGTGGTGAGGCTTGCTGAGGTCGGGAGAGTTGAGGAGTATCTGAAAGGGTGTATTCGAGCCGTTTCTTCCCTGTAAATATCACTTTATATTTTGGTTTCTCTTTTTTTCTCTCGATCCAATGTTTGTGCTTTAGCAGAAGATATTCCGGGATCTCAAGTCAAGACATTAAAAATGTATATATTCAGAGTCTATTGAATTGTCGAGTATGTGCTCTATTAGCATTCAAAGAAAAATATTCTTGTCCAAGGGCGCGGAATCACAAGTGTCCAAAGCACTTTATCCAATCGCCAAAGGTGTGGACAGTAATTCAACAGGTCTCAAGCAACCGCGGGCTTCTCCGCTTGGAATAATCAAGACAACGGTCATGGCGAAAATAGGCCGTAAGGAAAAATGGGTATCGAAAATGTCGACAAATATGTGCATGATGGGACACGCTTTCGTAAAGTATGGAGTGCACAGCAAGTTGAGCGTGCTGCGGATTTTGATTCCAATGCAGGCTCCATATATAGCAAGGGGGAGTGTGTTGTAAGGAAAGGAAAGTCAACTAGATCAGCACTGTCCGTAGACCTGGCAGTAACAAAGCTGCTCATCGGGACAGTAAACAGAGTCCATGCCGAAAATAAAATGCCATAAGAACTCCATCACACGGCCGGACTTTGCATCATTCAGATCCGTGTCAAGGAGCCACTGCCGAATCCGCACGTAGTCGTCTTGCGGGCGCCGGCGCACCTGGTCCTTTGAGACAGCAAACTGCGCACAGCAGGCGGCAGCAATCTGATCGGGCTTGCGAATGTAATTCTGACCCACTTGCTCGATTTCGTAGGGAGACGACATGTTGAGCGGCGGGGTGCTTGTGCCCTGGAAAATATCCCACCAGACTTCCTCGGTAACATGTGAGTTGAAGCGGTGATCGGCCTTGCAGCCCGGGTTCCAGTTACAGCGGAGATTGGCGTAGCCGTTTTGTTCGACGAAGTTTGTTTGGAGATTTTGCATGGCAATGACGTTGTCGTGGAGGGGGGCGTCGACGTGCCAGGCCATGAAGAAGCCAGAGCGATGGGCGTGAAGGAAAGCAATGGTGGAAGGGAGGACGTAATAGTGGTCGATCACGTAGGTAAGGTAGGCCATGGCTTCGTGGCCTTTGTTGTAGGGGGTTGTGAGGATGTTCTCGTCCATTCGGGTTTCCTCCGATGGGTTGACGATGTAGATGGCGCGTTGCCAGCTAGGAGAACAAGTCAGTTTCGAGTCGAATTGACAACAAATACCCGGACTTAGCCAGTTGTGGGGAGATGGGAGGGGTTCACATACTCGGGGAGCTCTTGGTTTACCCAGTCGGTATCCTCCTCCTCAAGCTTTGCCATAACAATGACTTTGTCGTCTGGGTTGCCATGGTGGGCAGGCACGTTGGACCCAGATTTGCGATACCACCATTCTACCAAGTATGCGCCAGCGCGGTATTGGTTACAGATGTCCTGGATATGGGCTTCCAGTAGATAAAGAGAAAAGAATAGTATCGACACAACGCATAGCGCGATGCGTGTTCCACTTTTCATGGTGAATCTGTGAGATTAGAGATGTTCAAGGGAGACCCTTGAGCGGAGCTCTGTGTATACCAACTTCACCTCACGAGGAACCCAACAGCCATTGATGGGAGGTTGTAATATAGGGAAAGTTGTTCGATGGGGCGAAAATGAAGGTGAGTGTTGTAGGTAAAAATAAAGAGAACGAGTTGGGGGGGGGGGGGCGGAGGAGTAATATGCGCTAGTCGAAAGTTGAGGCGGCGGGTTTAAACCTCGAAAAAGGAGCAGATAGCGCGGTTTTCAGGCTTAGCGCAAGGTAGTGGGGAGATAGAAAATAATCTAATCTGGAAATGGGTTGAGAAAAGGGAAAAAGGGGACTTAAAGAAGGGAAAAGGGGCCCATAAAAAGTAAAAAAAAAAAAAAAAAGGACGATCAAATACGGGAGGTCAAAAGAGTGTGAGGAGAAGTGTGTAAGGCTAAGCCGCGTGGAATGACCAGAATGTTATTCCAGGTTCACGTCATTGGCCACTTCAGTGGCTGTGGTTCAGGTTCAGGTTCAGGAAAAGTATTTATGGAGAGGTTTAGGGGGCCAAAGGGAGAAAAGAAGGGCCGACTCGAACTAAATCCATTTAAAGCTTGGCTCTAAGCCCCTTGAGTTTAGTAACCTCTTAAATCACGGAGGCGATACGAGGCTACTAAGGAAATAAGGAATAAGGCTACCTAGAATTCATTTGCCTTCAGGGCCAAAACCCAACTTACTTAAGCAAACGGATGTTTTTCTAGGAAACCCATGGATCTCGGTAGCAAAGTTTGTTACATACTCTGGTTCAAATGTTGAGTATGAATCTGAGTGTCCAAGGAAACTGCCATCGGGTGTACGTAGTACTTCTTCACTTATTGGCTCGTCTGGTTTCAATGTGGAGTGTCCAAATTAACTGCCCCTCAACATCTCCCCTCGGGGTCGTGCCGAGTAGGGAAGAAAACCTATTGGAGAGGGCTTTGGCCATCTGAGAGAAGGAACGTGTGGTTTTTACTTTTGGGATTTTTGGATTTTTTTGGATTTTTTTTTTTGGATTTTTCTCTCCTTTCTCAAACAACACTGTCTAACAAGAATGATCTCCAAGGCGCTGTGATGGAGGGTGGTCGGCCCCAGAGGAAACCGGCTATGTGACTTGAAGAACGGGTGGAAATGACAGAATCTGACCCACATGTGCACTTCGGATCCGATCAAGCGCAATATGATAACAGTTGAACAAGTACAGGCACATGCATGCTGTTATGATTTCTTTTCCGTTGAGTGACCATCTTTCTTGTTTGATGAGGGGCTCCAGGGCTTGAGGGCTTGAGTTCGCTGGTTTGACCGCCCCGTTCCAAGTATTAGCTTCCATGACTGTTACGGAGTAGTAAGTTTGGCTATACAACGCCCATGGCGTTGCAGATCCCTGTGGATGCGAAAGTGCACTGTTACTTCCTGCCGTCTGTCACATACATATAGGCACTCCGCCCTCCGTCCTCCTTATTACCGTATGTGGCAGCGACATGATGCATGGTGCTTGCTGCAGTTTTTTTTTTTTTTTTTTTTTTTTGAAGCATCCTGCAGGGGTAAGTAAAATGTTGAAAGTATCTGATTGGTCAGAGACAAGCTCGCCGCGTGGCTCCCGAGCAAGTTTGTCTTGGGCCACTTCACGATCAGATTAGAAACTGACCAGTGCGCTCATCTTGGGTTCTTTTCAGATAAGCTACTTAGGCGAATGCCCTAAACCAGCCTTCAAAGCACCGGTGGAGACTCCCGAGGTCGGTTGGAAAATGCCGGAATGCCCAGGTGCCCGTACTCGTAATTCCAAATGTTACCATATTCGGTACTTCAAATGTTGAGATGTACTCCACTGCTGTCCACTTCAAGGTTCGATACCGGAATCTGGCAGTAATACCTATGCAAGGGTGACTGCCGTAAGCCGATAAGCCGATGACTAGTTATTCAAATGTTACTTTATGTCATATATTTCAGGTTGCCGGTTCTACCGCTCTCACCGGGATTCAGTTGGAAATTGGGAAGTGTCCCGGGAGGTGGAGATGCGTGGATATATCTTTACCATCATGAACGAGCACTTGAGTGCTTGACGACCTTATAGGTAAATGTTTGGTGGGAAGATGATGAACATCCATGGATTAGCGCTCCACATGTGCAGCTGGAGAAACTCGGATCTTCCATCAAGTTTGAAAGAGACGGTCGGAACTTTGGAATACCTTTGTATTCAATGTTGATTAATGTATGTGTGTATATTCAAGCTTGTTCCAAGGTTCGAGGATAGTGCCCAGGTGGTTGGATGTATGCAGTCCCGCTGCCAAATTTATCTTGATATCAGTCGTGCCCAAGCTTAGCTATTCTCCTCTTCCTCATCACTGACTTCCTCTCCTTCTTCAATGGCCTTCTCCCGCAACTTTTGCGCCCGCTCTCGCTTTTTCTCAAGCAGAGCGTTGAGCTTCTTGGCGACATTGAATACACCGCCGGTACCTGCCCCGCATGCCGCACAGGACGGGTTCTTCCGGTACCGTTGCAGCGCACATGACTCGCAGAAGTAATGCCCACATTTCGTAACGATGGGGTGTTGGTAAGGCTTCTCACAAATGATGCAAGCGAATGGAATTTGTTCCAGCATTTCATCTTCATCTTCATCCTCTTCCTTCTCTCCCTCTCCCCGCTGCGACATAACCTTGCCCTTCAGCTTTTTGCCCTTTGTGCCAATTTCCCAATCCCGATCCAACTCCCATCCTTGCGCATATACCTCACGCGAATGTAAGAATTTGCAAGAGTCTCCAAATCCACAGTATCCGGTTTGTTTCCAGTCCTTACAGACATCTGGGGCGTAATCCATAACGGTCACGGTTCGAACGTTCGAGGGAGGAGCCTTGATGGGGCCGAACTTCTTGGTTGGCGCATCAGGATTCTTTTGGATGAATGATGTGTAATTCGCGCTTCCTTTGTATGTACCATCTGGCCCCGACTCCTCTGTAGAGGGCTGTGGGCGAGAACGAGTTGACCCTAGAAGATTGTTTGAACTGAGATCCTCGTCATACCAATCTGAAGCTTTCGTTGCATCATTACTCGATGTTAAGGCAACGGGGCCAGCAGTGGAAGGCTGATCAGCGGTCGGATCTCGCCTGGTGGTGTTTGTGGAAGAGGCAGTGACTGCGACATTCTTGCGCCGTCTCTTGATGCGGCGTCCTTCGTCGTCGTCATCGGAGGAGGTGAAGCCGGAGTCGGAGTCGGAGGCGGGTGGAGGCGTTGCAGGCTTCTTGCGGAAACTTGCCTTTCCTTTGGCGCGTTTCTTGAAGCCGAACTGGGGGACGGCTTCGGTGGCTGCGGTGTCATCCGCCATGGTCGAATATGAGTGTAACTTTGGGTGAGCTGAAGAAATGCTGGGACAGATTTATATGGCGCAGGATATCTCAGACCTCCGCGATCGAGTATTAAGATAGAGCAAAAGCGTAAAGGTTGGAGCGGAGGGGAATTGAGGCGATGATGAATAACCCAAGTCGAAGAGTCTCGAATCTGTAAAACGATACCTGACTAAGCCGGATACAAACAGGTGCAAAGAGTGCAAACATACCCCAATTGGGACAAGTGACAACAAAAATACCAAGGTTTTTGGGCTTGGTACTTAATAGAGAGTGTAGTGCACCATACTGTAGGAGGTACTCAGGAGCAGATACGGGGGAAGGTAAGTGTCATAATGGCGATCGATTTAGCTTTTTTTTTACTCCAGAGTATAATAATAGCCTACGTACATAATACTCACCATTTTTGCTCCAGTAGAAACACGGAGATCTGCAATGATAGAACACAGCGGATAATAAAGATAATACCTTGCATAGAAGCCGCAATAGTATTAAATGTCACTGCGCGAGGATCACTCCACGATCTCAAACACCGGTGCCAATTGGCAATAATCGTACCTTGCGGTGCTGGTCTTTCTTTTCCCTCCTCTCTCCCCACCCAACCAAATTCACCCTCTCATTTCCTTTCCAATCCCACACTCTCTAGTCTGTCTTTTCTTGTTTAATCTTTTTTCCTTTTCATTGCCTTTCTTTTCATCTAATCTTTTTTTTTCGCTCTTTTTTAATTCTTTTGTTGACCTGCAAAATCTCACGGAAGCGGTGCGCGATAATACCTGCAGATCGTGTGTTGTGGTTGGTTGCATCACCACGCGCGCCGACTCATCTCGCCCAACCAGACTTCGCACTGATTCGTTTCAGTGTTTATTGTCCCTCTCTAACCCCCCTCCTGCATCTCCCACCCTTGCTCATCGCGACGGTGTTTACTGCGATTTCCTCTCTTTTCCTTTCTTATACTTTGCCCTCTCAACAGCGACGTTCTGTTTTGCGTCCCGGGGATAATAACGATTCGTGGTCGCTGGCCGGCTCGCTATTGATTCAGCGCGACACCCCTCCAATATCGAAACGCGCGGCGATCCCCCAAATTATGCACGTGAGAATCAGCCTTTAATCGATCGAAGACAAAGAAAAAAAAAATACGCGCAAATCTCGAGAACGTCCTCGACGGCCGCTGTATCCTCTTGAGACTCAAGCGGATTCAGAAGCCGTGGAAGACCTCCGCAACCTCGGGGGAATGACCGCACCCGACGCGGGGGCCAACACCTCCTTCACCTCAATGATGGAGGATCCATTTGTCTCAAACAGCGCAAGGGAATTCGCTTCCCCTAACGAATCCCACCAATTTTCGTCATTCGATACCCAATTATTCAATATCAATGCCTCCTCGCCAGCTCAGGCCAAACGGGCCCTAGCCGCCCGACTGGCAGAGACCGAACGCCAGCTTGAGGAGACATCTAAGGTGGGAACTGCGCTTATTGAGCAACAGCGACAACTGGAGGAATATCTCAAAACTTTGGAGCAACAAAAGGATGAAGGCGAAATGTCACCAGAATTGCGCCAGAAGCTTACCGACCTGGAACGAGATTATGCAGAGATCGAGCGCGATACGACGCGAGCAATTTTGGCCCCGAAGCGACTGGCAGGAGGCTCGGAGGAGGGTCACTTCGGCACCCCAGGATTTGAAGTGAAGGTATCGTTGTTGTGTGCCAATTGTCCTTGATATCTGCCCATCTAATCCAAGGATCAGTCTCCTATTAGTCCTGCTCTATTCGCCGGACAGGCGACCAACTCGCCCAGCAAAGTCGGCGTTCCATCCCGCAAGCAACGAAACCAGCCATCGGGTCGTGTCCATGATATTGAATTCGCCACAGAGATTTCTACTTCCTTGTTGGGACAAGTGCGTCAGTTGCAAGGGCTTCTTGCCGAGCGAGATGAATCAATCAAGACAATCAATCTGGAGAAGTCACGCCTTGAGCTGGAAGCAGAGGGCTACTCGCAGCGCATCCGGGTGTTGGACGACAGCGAACAGCGTTATAAGGACGAAAACTGGGCTCTGGAGACGCAGACCCATGAACTTTTGGCATCTGTAAGAGAATCAGCAGAACGTGAGAAAAGACTCACCACCACCTTGAGCGCTTCCAATGCAGAAAAGACTGCTGTCGAGCGAGAATTGGAGGAGCTACGCCAATCAAATTCGAAGCTGTTGGAGGAACATGACATGATTCAGAAAGCCAATGACTCGGAATTCCACCTATTGCGACGCAATCTGAACGCCAGTGACCTGGAGAAATCGGCCCTGCACAAGAAGATGGAGGAATTGAATTTGCAAAACCAAGAATTGGCGAAAGCTGTTGCTATGCGCATTCGGGAGTACGAGTCGCAAGGTAACCGAGACCTTCAGGATGATAATGAAGACGACGAGCCTGAAGAAACAACTCCCGATAACTCCCCCCCTCCATCCCCCAACAAATTCACACCTAGGCATGGTCATCTTGAGTCTGAAACCCTCAAAAGTTCGTTGGGTCATGCCCACCGAATGATTCAGAACCTGAAGAGCACAATCCATCGGGAGAAGACAGAGAAAATTGAGCTTAAGCGTATGTTGCAGGAGGCCCGAGATGAGGTTGAGCAGCGTCGCCGTGAGACCGCAGCTCCCAATGGAGGGGCCAATAAACGTCTGAAGAAGAAGGAAGAGTCTTTCCGCAAGCCAGCTCGTCCAGACCTTTTGGGCGCTGGCCGCAAGGAGAAGTCACATGTTGAACTCCACGAGCTCCACGACACTGATTGGGAAGACAATGCTGGTCAACTCAGCCCAACTCGTTCTGCAATCGGTACATCAGTTCGCGGCCATTCCGGTCATGAATCCCCCGATGAGCCTAGCGATGTGTATCAAACTGCCACAGAAGCCGAGGATGGCTTTGAAACGGCCAATGAGCGAGCAACCGCAACTGAGAGTGAAGCATTCCAGACGGGTGTTGAGAGCATGGCGGATGACAGCAGTGACTCGGCGGACCTCACCGAGACCGAAAACAATGTTCAGACTACCCCACGTCAACGTGTTTCCTCGTCTTTAGTCATGGCGAAATCTCGCGAGCGGAATTCGTACCATAGCTCGGCTTCCACGTCAGATGATGATGACGATCAAGATGGAGGATATCCTTCACCCAGCCAGATTCACATCTCTCGCCCTCGGGTAAAGTCGAAGCGGAGTGTCCTTAGACGGATTCGCCCCTCTGGAGAGGCACCCATGGCCTCTAGCAGTCGTCCGTCCAGTGCTCGCAATTCTGCTTCATCAAGCTTTGAGCAGGAGCCCATGGCCCAGGGAGGCCAAAGTCTTTTCGCCGAGCTTGCTGAACTAGAAGGTGGCGAGGAAGATGAGGAGGAAGAGACTGGCGAACTTTCCCCAGCCTCAACACCACGCATGGGGCCAACATTAAGCTCTCGTCGCCCCTCTGATGCCATGCTTGACTTACCTCCCAGGCCTGTCATGGTTGATTCTGGCGTGATGACTGACCCTTGGGAGCCTTCAGCTCAAGCTGGTGTTGCTGCCATCGGTGGCGCTGCTGTTGGAGCTGTTGTTGGAGCGGTCGCTTCTGACCTTCCCACTACTCCAAAGAAGAATGTTACCACCGGCGACCGGGAGATTGCTATTGAAGATCAGGAGGCCTCCAGACTGGTCAGCTCGGGAACACAAGCGACACCTGTCAAACCTTCGACGATCAATGGCGATCACTTGTCGAATGTTTCCACACCACCAAATATGGTCTGGGACGAACGCTCTATTGGGATCCAGCAAGTCGAGGCAGGCACCCAAGCCGAGCCTGAATTAGTTGAGTTGGGCATGGCAACAATTGCATCCCAAGAAACATTCCCTGCATTGCCCACATGGCCAGAGTTGAGAGTGGCATATTTCTCTGGGGGCGCCACTGAGCCCGTTCTGCATACAATTCCTGTGCCAGAACTTCCAGAGTTGAATGTCTCTCTCATCTCTTCGCAATGCACTGAGCCCATGCAGCACATCTCTCCTGCGCCAAAGCTCCCAGAGTTGAATTTATCATTCATTGCTTCGCAGTCTACTGAGCCCATAGAGCACATCGCCCCTATGCCGAAGTTCCCAGAGTTGAATTTCTCTTCCGTTGCTTCGCAGTATACTGAGCCTGTGGAGCACATCGCTCCTGTTCCAGAGCTCCCGGAGGTCAATTTCTCTTCCATTTCTTCACAGTCAACTGAGCCCGTAGTGGCAAAAATTCCTGAACCTCAGCCTATCATCCCAGTCGAACCTATGCGAAAACTTCCCGAACCCTCCTTGTCATCTCTCTTCTCCTACTCTACCGAGCCTGTTCAGCCTCAACTTCCAGAGCCTCAAACCACCCCCGAGCCTGTTCCAATCCCTGTTGCTGAGGAAGTTCCCGTTCCCGAAGTTGGGATGTCCTCTATATCTTCACAGCATACTGAGCCAATCGTGCCGATACTTCCAGAGCCTGTCCCAGAACCTGAGTCGGTTGTTAAGGAGTTGTCTCTCCCTGAGCTGGGAATTTCCCTGATCAATTCTCTGCATACTGAGCCCATAGTGGCGCGTCTTCCGGTGCCTGCTCCGGTGCCAGAGCCTTCGCAACTGGAGATTTCTTGGCTGGATCCATCATTTACGGTGCCAGTCACACCGAAGCAGGTTGAGGTCACTCCTCAAATACTTCCCTCTTTTGCTATCTTACGCTCTGTTGAAACAGAGCCGGTCGACCATGTGCCATTTGAGGTCCCTCCGCCACCGATTTCATCCTTTGTTTCCTTGCGATCTATTGAAACAGAGCCAGTCAAGCATGTGCCATTTGAAGTCCCTCAGCCACCGGTTTCATCCTTTGTTTCGTTGCGCTCTATTGAAACAGAACCAATGAAATCACTGCCTCGCGTGGTTCCTTCCATGGCCGAGTTCGGTATGCAGACAGAGCCGACAGAAGATCCCAAGGCTGCTTATGCTGCCGTGGTTGTGTATGAAGACGAACCTAGCGAGGCAGCTCGAGGCCATGCCACTGAGGAGCGACGAGCCAGCACAGGTTTGGCTCTTAACGATATGACTGGCAACTCTTTGGAAAGACAAGCAATCAGCTCGGTCAACACAGATCAGGGATCGCAGACTATCCTCTCCTCGAAGCAAATTGACCAGATTCTTATGGATCGTGAATCTACCCGTCCAATCTCTTCCTCTGATAGCAAATACTCAAGAGAGATGGCTGCCGTCACGGCTGCGTCACCATTTGCGACCCCCAAACTTCGACCCCGTCCTCATCACCAGTCGTCAGCGAAGTCATCCGCGTCCATCCGGCGACCAGATACTGCTACTAGCCAGATTTCATCCTCTAGTGCCCACCCTCCATTACCCTCTGACCACCGCGAGGCAATTCTAGCTGCCGAAAAGAAATCCATCGACGTACCACCAGCATCACCCGGCGTTATGGGACCTCCTCTTGCACCAGCCTCTGCCTATCGCGTGAACGCGCAGACAGCCCCACGAACACCTAATGAACAAAACACACGCGCTGGATCAGCACGCACTGTCTCTACTCAACCGCGCATGCGGAGAGGAAGCCAGAGTCAGATGTCGAGACGGTCATCCGTGTCATCATTTGCATCGGAGCTGGAGGAGCGCTTCAATATGGCTACTCAGGCTGGGCCCATGCCCAATGGGTACGGACCCAACACTGATCCTCGCATGATTCAGGCCATTACTCAAACCATGATCGGTGAATTCCTTTGGAAATACACACGAAAGACTGGGTCATCGGACATGTCGACTACTCGCCATCGTCGATACTTCTGGGTCCACCCATACACGCGCACTTTGTACTGGAGTGAAAAGGACCCCCAGACGGCTGGAAAGAGCGAGCTTCGAACCAAGAGTATTCCTATCGAGGCTGTGCGAGTGGTTGCAGATGATAACCCATATCCCCCGGGTCTTCATTGCAGAAGCTTAGAGGTTGTTGGCCCTGGTCGACGACTTCGATTCACAGCGAGCACCAGCCAAAGACATGAAACGTGGTATAATGCTTTGACCTATCTCTTAACGAGAGAGGACAATGGTCACTGTGAAGATCACGATAGCGTGACCTTGGACGACATCGACGAGTTTAACCCGGGCTTCCGGTCTGGATCTCGCCAGACAGCCCGTATGTCCTTGTCATCTTACAATAGCCGTACACTCCGACCGCCCCCAAAGCGAGCAACCTCGGCCATGTCCATGCGATCTACTGGGACTCCTGGGCGTGCTTCTCCTGCCCTCAGCTCACCAGTCCCCAACTCTTCCTTGCAAGTTCCCGAAGAGCGTCAGCGCTCATCATCTCGGCTCAGCACCATCCTCACTAGCTCAATCCGTGGATCAATTGCTAGCATGAAGGGGCGCAATGGTCAGGCTTCAAGTACGCATGAAGGCAGCATCCGTGGCCAAGACAGCATTGAAGATTTCGGACATCATTCTCATTCACATGTTGATGACGAGGATCGACTCGAAAACGTCCGTGCCTGCTGTGATGGTAAACATGATGTTGGCTCGCTCTCTCGGACTAGTCGATACAGCCCCCGAGTTGATCGCAGTCACTCTCACCACCATTAAAGCTTCGTTGGTAATGGTTTGATCGAGTTTGTGGGCAGGTCCTCAAACAAAGCACGGCCTGCGGCATTCATATAATGTCCACGAGTCTCTTATATTTCTTTGTTCAACCAGCATTCGTTTCAAGTTTATGTCACACTTGTGTGGATTGTTATGTCAACCCCTTAGACGGCCTACAGTTGGATCACTTGATGCCCCTTGGAGGAATTATTCTTGAGACCAGGATCCCAAAGTGGCATTCATTCTCTTCCCCGGCACACCCTCCCACTCATACATTGGTGTCAATTTCTGTTTGTTTGTTTCTTGTCACAGCTCCATTCAATTTTTGCACGTTGCTACAGACCTTACCACCATCCCTTGATCTTGATTCTTTCTTTTTTCTTCCTTTTTTTTTAGTGCTGCATTACAGCTACGCTCCTGTCTCATCAGACTACATTGCATACTTTTCCTTTTTTTCTTTGTCAATAATTCCTGTGTGACTATCTATCCTGATTCACCATTACTCTCTTTGTGATATCGTTTTCTCATTGTGCACCATGCACCAGAACGTGAGCCATACTAAAATTTAGTTATATTTTCCAGGTTACCTATTCTTTAGACCTTGCATAGAGATGTAACAGATGCTTCTCGTAGAAAATCTTAGCCAAGTACATCCATAGATGCAGGCATAGTAGGTATGTATTCAAAACCAACATTGACCTCGAGAAGATTCCTTACTATTAGCCAGAAATATAATGCCTCCTGACTATGACCTTGACAGACTGGTTAGGCTGAGAGTTGTGAAGATGGAAAAACTAGAAAGGTCATATAACCAAAAATGGTCAATCAGACATCCACCATTCCAAGTGGCCGAGCGGAAACTCAGCTATCTCATCTTCCTTGGTCTAGTGGTCATGATTTCCGCTTGTCATTAATACCGATAAGCGCGGGAGACCGGGGTTCGATTCCCCGAGGGAGAGATTTCTTTTTTGTCTTTTGGACTTATTCACCCACTTGGGCTGTCTTTCTTTTTTTTTCCCTACATAAACTGGCTATCTACCCAGATGCAATACGTGCGTGACTCCCCATTGGACAGATAATCTGAAGCACCTGGGCACCGGTCTTCCGATGTTGGAAGAAGGTAAATCTCCCCCCTTTAGTATGCGAAAATAGAATCATCGATTTCTGGAAATCACTCAAATGCAAATAATCGAATTTGAACCTCATAATGTGCGAAGTCTAACTATCATCTCATGCTTGTACAGCATTCAAGCAGTTGCTCCATTCTCTCGAAGAAGTTTGACGATCTCGGGCTTCTGGTCTTTTCGCTGTTCGATATCAAATTCCGAGAGACCCCTTGTTCTCGGATAAACGAGATTCTCAAACAGGTCTGTGTCTTGCTCAGACCATTCAGCTTGTGCGGCTTCCAGTGCGGTTGCAAAACGGCTGACATTTTCCAACTTCAGATTGACATCTGCACCTGCCTGAATCAAGCGTTCAACACAATCTCTGTCCCCAAAAAGAGACGCAACAATCAAGGGTGTTCCATACGTTTTAGCTGGGTGTTGAACATTTATATCAGCACCAGCCTGGATCAAAGCGTCCATCGCCATGGGATCCTCGTTTAAAGCAGCCCGTGTGAGTGCGCAACCAAAATCCGGGTGCTCCAATGGCATGTTCACGTCAGCCCCTGCCTCTTCAACAAGGAACTTAACAGTTCCAGCGCTGTATGCAGAGGCCGCTGCGAGCGCGCTACCATAATATCCAACAGCAAAAGAAGCGTTAACACTAGCCCCTGCCTTTTTCACCAGGAACTCAACGATTTCAATGTTGTATACACTGGCCCTTGCGAGAGCACTCCCATGATCTCCAACCACAAGAGACAAGTTTACATCCGCTCCTGCTTCCACAAGATACTCGACCATGCTAAGATCCCATTCACATGCAGCCGCAAGAGCACTGCCATAATTGCCCTCGGTAGATCGTGTATTCACTTTTGCCCCGCCTTTTTCAATAAGGAGCTCGGCGAAGTTGAACCCCGTGGGGGATCGCTCAGCGGCAGAGTATTCAAAAGCGCTACCGTACTCTGAGCCGTGGAGTGGTAAATGCACGTCAGCCTCGGTCTCTCGAAGAAGAAACTCAACGCCCTCCACATCTGATATGAAAAGTTTGATTGCAAGGGCACTTGAAAGATGACTCAGAAGGATAGGACGTATACGCATGTTCACATCCGCTCCAGTCGTTTCAAGTACAAACTTTAGCATTTCAACATTGTGGATCGAAGAAACAGCGGCAATGGTCTGATCTATTCCGTACAAAACCTCCCCGTCTCGGAATTTTGAGAGGCATATGTCGGCTTTCACTTCTTGAATTAGGTATTTCACCAGTTCAAGGTTTTCAGACATGATTGCCGATTCAAAAGCACTGTTGCTGATTTCATGGCCTGAATGTGGCAGAACTGCATTCACATTTGCTCCTGCTTCAACCAAATATTTGACGATTTCCAAATTTCCATGAATTGCTGCTGCTGACAATGCGCTCTTGTGTTGAGTCTGGCCCATTTCATAATTTGTATCAAGGATGAAGTTCACGTCTATTTCTCCCTGTACCAAAAGCTTGCAGATAGACGTACTGCCTGCGAGAGCCGAAAGAAAGAGCAGGTTAGCCCCTCTCTTGTTTTGGCAAGTGATGTCGATAGCACCCTCCTCGTACCAATCTGCAAAAACATCAGGGAAAGAGAATCGGCAAACAGCCAAAATAGCGGAGTTCGAGGGTGAAATCTCATCCATGATATCCCTTGGAGAGTCCATGCCAAAGTATCTGACAGCATGGAATTCATTATTCCACAAGGTACCCCATGACCTCGTATCTTGAAAAGCCAATTGATGCCAATTGCGATACTGCATACTGGAGCTATGAGGAGACCCAAGGAATAACTTTAAAAGTGGTTTTAACTTGGCTTCTTCAGTCTCTTTCACAAGGCGGAGATGCTGGTACCAGGTGTGCCTCAAGTAGAGATGAAACGGGTGACTTTTACCAAAACCATTATCTGACTCCCCTGTCTCGCTTGAATTTATTGGAGTTTCTTTCTTCTCGGACTCAGAATTGATGTCAAGATCTTTGGTTTGGTACGCCTTCATCATATACGACAAACAAGTGCTGGCGGCATGGCTTTGAGCATCTGAAAGGGACCAATCTGGCTTTTTCTCTAGGTATTCCCTAACCGAGAGATGTGGGAAACGCCAGACCTCCAATTGAGCATCCACAATGAGGAAGTTATTGCACAGAGACAGCAAGCCTTCCTCATCAAGCTTATCACCGAGTGTCATGATATTCCCGTCCGAATCGACACGAATAGCTGATAGAAGCATCTCACTGGACATGGGTTTTGGCGCAGCCATTACCCAACACAAGGCGCGCTTCACGACACTGTGGTCGGGCTCCTCTAAACTTTCGATGTCATTCCAGATCTCGTCATAAGCTTTCTGCAGATCTTCCGGGAGGTTATCCAGACGTTTCCAGACGCTTGACTCGCTCCTACATTTCACGATTTGATGAACCTGCAGAGATGCCCATTGGAACATTCCTTGACAGCGCTGAAGCAATCTGTCAATAATATCGGCCTTGATGCGCTTGATAAACGCAGCTTTCTTTGAGAGCTTCTCAAGTTCAAGAGTCAGGAACTTTAGAATATCGTCTTGATTATCATTTGCTGAGATACCGATATTAGAAGTATCTTCAAGCAGACTTCTTATATCTGGATCAGGCCGGCTAGATATGAAAATCTTCACCGGCTGTCGAGTATCAGATACAAAAGAGCTTAATGTTTCAATCAATTCGTACCGTGAATCAGGATCACATTCATCCATGGCGTCGATTACCAACGTTGTTTGTTGGTATGTTTCGAACGAGGCTAGAATTTGCTTCTTGCACTCATCAGACCGGAAATTCGATCCTCTATTGCGTGCATTCTTGTAAGCTTCAAGAAGCCTGATTTGGACAGATTCAGGGTTGCTCGCGGTTGTCGAAAGTTGACGGACAATACTCTGGAGAATGGAGAGTGGCGTCGATCGGTCTTCTTCGTCCCGATTACAGTAAAAGAAGGCAAGCCCTTCATCCTTTTGTGAATCACTCAGCCTGCCTTGGATGCGATCAATAACAGTTGAAGTCAGGTATGTTTTCCCGGTACCCGGTGGACCTTGAAGCCAAAACAAGGCTGAAGATTTTTTATCTTCCCAGGTGGAGAAATCTTCATGTTGAACCAGCCATTCGCCAGTGTTGGGTGTTCTCCTCTCTTTGATGTCGGCATGATGCTTGCCAAAAGGAATTGGTGAAATCCACTCCAACATTCCGATTCGAGCTCGCCAAGTTTCGAAAGACTTCCGGTGTACTTTTCAGGGTTCACAATGGCTTCGAGCGTACGCTTAGCCGTCCCAGAAGAGAATAAAGTCAATGATTCCGCGAGCAGATCCAAAGACTGAGAGTATATCTGGAGCAAACTTGACTCCAGACCTCTCTGAACGCTGTCGAGAGGTACGTCGCAAGTCTGAGGGAGATAGATCTGCTCATAGACTTGACCACGACTCGTGATGCGAACTATTTTCTCAGTGGTGGCTAGCAACGCGCCCATCTGCTCACTCTCATTCACGGGAATCTGCTCACTATCAGTTCTGCATCCTAACATAGCCAAGAGTCAAACTACCCACCTGCATCACATTCTTTATCAGGTCCCAGGGGATACTAGCCTGAGGTGGTGCAAACTGAACGGCGATATCTCCGGCTTTCTCTAGCCAGCCCAAAATCCGAGTCGTATAGTTCCGGAGAACAATATCCTCACCTCCGATTGAGACGTGCCAGAACTTCTTCTTGCATTCCTCCTGTTTCTGGTTGACAACACCCACAAGGTCATTGATGGTGGACTCCATCTGGCCACATGCAGTACTGAGTGTATTGAACCCCATTCGGCGCAGAGTATCTTGCTTAGACGGAGGTAGCTTGTTGAAGGCATCTAGCCAAAGGTCCTTTGGTGGGGATTCCGTCTGGTTTGGTGCCTCTGTAGGTGCATGCCTTGTGGACTGTTCTATAGGAGGGGCAATAGTCTTTTGAGGAGGCCCCAGTGCTACCTGCTTGGTAAGTACTACTTCACTAGGCTCTTTCTCGGGCAAGGCTGGAGCGGATACGGTTGAAAGAACACCCTGCGGCTCAGACTGAACAGCAAGTCAGCTATGTTGATTCCCGGATGAGATTCCTCACTAGCAGATAGGGGGTTCATTGACTAACTGGGCCCCTTTCAGTGTTCTTTCTATGCTTCTCCCTGTGGAGTTTCTCTTTAAGTAGATCGAACATTGCCTTATTGAGGGTACCCGATCAAGATGTCTCGTAATCCTTGCGCATAACGTGTAAAGAGAAGAGCACCATTTACAACAGACTGAGGAAGAATGGGCATTTTAGATCCTCTGTGCAGCTGAGCGCTCAGTAACGAATCATCATCAAAACTGATCGGCTTATTGACCACACAACCTTATTACCCCTCCTGACCCGCTTTACTGTCAGCTCAATCTTGTGCTAATACTCCGTATATCGGGTCACTTTGGCAATGACCCACACAGTTCGAGTCACATCAGGGGCCCTTTAAGTACTTAAATCGAGCGTACTCTGTAAGTCACTAAAAGCTGATCGTCCATATACTACTAGTAGGTTCTCCACTTTTTCGGAGTTCGGCGTGACAAATTATCCGGGGAACTACTACAGCTTCTAGTGACCTAATTCACCTAATCCAATGTTAGGGTCGTGTGAGGCGTACTTGCTGAAGGAATCGGGTGGTCCATTCAATCTGCTCGTTGGACTATAGCTACCTGCGAATGGCTGCCGAGCCCAAATTCGGTCATATTGTTCCTGGTGACTAAGAGTGCAGAATAGTGGTCCGGACTCCGGGGTGGTGGGGGCGGTCGAGCGGCTTAAGTTAGTAGGGTCTCTTCATATTCTAAATGTAAATCTTCTTTATTTTCTCTTTATCTTTCTCTGGATCAACTACGACCAACACAATACAATGTCCAATCAAACCCCTCCCTCATTGAAAGACCAAGCGGTCGGCCTCTTGGATCCGGCCTATCTGATGTTGTGGGCAATGTCTCGTAAGTATAACACCATGTGCGCGGCGTTTGATATCCTTGTCTATGATCACGCCTGGTTCTTAATTCATGGTTCCTCTATAACGAATGCTTTTTCAATCTTTTTTTCACTACTCTTTAATTGAGTCTGTTGCATTCCATTGCCCCGGGTCTTTTATTCAAACAATCGACATGTTCTTATGCTTCCTGCTACAAAAATTCGGTCTTGAGCTGCGTCCCACTTTTTCGGCGATTGATTTTCCATGCATTTTTGACCCATACACGAAAACACCAATGTCAAAGCAATCGCACCAAAAAATATGCCTGAACTAACAGACTCTACTCAGATTACATTCATGTTTGCAAAGAAGCCGTATTCACCCACGGCCAGGTCTTCGCTCCCATTTTCCAAACTACCAGACTGAGAGACGAGGCGTTTGGAAGATTCTGGGTCGAATTTACGAGTGAGTGCTACCCCCGCATGCATGTCCTTTTCATTCTCCAAATCCCGACGAGAGAACCGAACACGAAGATGCTTTCAAAAAAGAACCGTAACGTTGACCTTGATTCCAGAGCCCCGCGATGATCCCAATGCCGAACCAGTCGGCAGCTCGGCGCTGATTCCGCCAATTCTCAAAACAGCTCGCGGGGTCGTCCTCGACATCGGCCCGGGCACAGGAACACAGATGCCCCTTTTGCGCTCCAAAGAAATCACAGCACTGTATGGCGCTGAGCCGTGTCGCAGTCTGCACAGCGAGCTGCGCGCGAAGACAATTGCCGAGGGCGTATCTGAAAAGTACCACATTATGCCATGCGGCGTCTCTGCCAAGGAGCTCATTCCTGCTCTCCGAGATACGGAGACCGGTGTGACTGAGGCGTACGACTCAAAGCCCGAGAACGGAGTTTTCGATACTATCCTCTGTGTGCGTGTTCTCTGCTCTATTCCTGATATGGAGAAGACGACCAAGGAGCTGTATGGGCTGTTGAAGCCTGGTGGCCGGCTGCTGGTTACGGAGCACGTGGTTAATAAGTGGACGACTGCAAAGGGGTCTGTGGCTGGGAGACTTGCGCAGGCGTTTTATATGCTGCTTGGGTGGAGGTTTTACATTGGGGATTGTTGCTTGGATCGGGATACCGAGAAGGTCCTAAGGGAGGCTGCGAGCGTGGATGGGGGCTGGGAATCTGTTGACTTGGAGAAGTCCTTTGAGTGGTCGGCTATGCCGTATCTTTCTGGTATTTTGACCAAGAAGAGCATTTAATGAAGGGCGTGGTTGAGACAATGGTCCAAACGACAGCCCTTCTTCAGGTGAGCCACTCTGAATGAGACTATAAATTTTTGGTTAGCCGCTCTTTATACATCCATCTCGCCAGGTTGTATCATAATGTCCAATTCTCTACAAGTAATTGCGTGTATTCAAAAGTGACTTGGAAATGTCCAGAAATGGGTATCAATAGGGTAGGAAATACAAGTATGAATGTCCGAGTCGGATCAAACAGGCTTCGGTCGGCCAGGAGGCCAAAAGTCGAATAAATCCAACGCCTCCGCGGTCCAGGGCCCTTGCTCGCGGACCTCGGGCTCCTCCGGAACGGCACTCATGGCATTCCGCATAAGAGTTGGTCCTGACCGAATACTAGGTTTATCATTCAGAGCGGTTGGATCAGAAAGTGACTTGCGAAGTGGTGCATCGAGTGAACGCTTTGCGGGTAAATTTCCCGGCCTTTGATTTCGACTCCGGCCGTTTTCAAAGCCCGAAGGAGCGGCAATATCTTCGAGAGCGGCCTGCGTGGTGTCCGAGGGTAAAAATTCTGCGTACGTCGACTCTATTTCTCTTCCACTTAAAGCTCGACTTGATTCCGTGGGTTTTATCATAGTTTGCCGACTTTGTTTCTCTGCGGATATTCTTGGCGTTGGCGCTGAAGGAGGTTGTTGTTGCTGAATGGTACTGTACATAAATTTGTTGCGGGGCTTTTGCATAGTCATACGAGGCGCAGTCGGTTTCTCAAAGTGAGTATCTTCTGGGGTAGCTGGCGACGCGTCCTTGTGTTGGGTTTGCGCCGCAGGCTGCTCGGGATTTTTATGTTGGACTGCATGACTTGGATCGGGGCGATTTGGCGTAGGCCTCGTGGGAGGTGGTTGGATGGGTTTCGTTGCTGGAGGATCAGATCTCGGTAGCCTTGCAGGGGCAGTAGGTTTTGTTCTCTCCGGTGGTGGCATAGTCGGCCTCGATTCCCTTTGTGGGAGTGTTTCCCGAGCAGGCGCACGCTGAAGCAGGGGTCCATTTTCAGGCCCTGTCAGATCCACCACGTCCGATTGCGCAATGCTTGTCATCCTCTCTGTCGATGTCTTTGCTCGCTTAGGCGCACGTTCCGGTACTGGTGCCACCGGCGCTGGCGCTGAAGGCTTGTGGCGTTCTTCATAGGGTGACACCAAATGTCCAACGGGTGTCTTTCTGATCCCAAGGAGGTCGTTCAAGGAGCGAAACGGATTCAACGATGCTTGCGATCGAACAGGGGTAGGCGTGTGCGTCGGGGTGTGAGTGTGCGTTGGTGTGTGGGTGTGCGCGTTCGTGGGGGTAGAGATGGAGGCGGAGGAACGTTGGGTCGGAGTGTCGAGGCTGGTGTGGTTATCTCTGGACTGGGGTGAGGTCTGGTTTCGTTTCTCGAAGAGGTTCGACAGGTCGGTCTGTGTGGTACTGATGCGCTCCCCGACCTCGATCAGCACACCCTTATCGAGCTCAAGCTCATCGCCATCCTGCACCTCCTCGGCCGACCGCCAGTGGTGATCACCGATATAATTTCCCAGTTCGTCATAGACCATGACTCGCTTATTGAAGGCATGGTATTTGAGGTAGCCATCTCGCCACCGTTTTGATTTGCGGCGTAGGTCATATGTATACATGCACCGAAACTTGACCACTGAGGCGGTGATCTGAGAGCCCGGGCCCGGGCCCGGGCCTCGGACGGAGGATGAGGGGGTGGACATGGACCGTCATGTAGGATTGAGAAGAGCGCACATCCCGTGAATATTCGCAATAGGGATGAGGCGCAGATATTGAAACCCAATTGTCACAGGTGTGCAGTGGAACAGAAGCTTGGGACGCGTTCCAAGGTTAGATTATCTTTAACTCGATTGGGAACTTGGCGGGGACTTTTGACGCCTGTTCCCTCAGGCAACATGTTTTTCCATCTCGGATCTCTGGTCACGGGATTTCACATTGAACGTTGTTTATTGTTTGTTTCTCTGTTTTTAAAGATCCATTACATTTAGGCTAACACTTTCAATATCTATCACTGCTATTCCCAAGTTTCTCCGGTTTATCCAAAATCCCATTCTTTTCTTCCTTTCCTCTTTTCCTCTTTTCGTCTTTTCTTGTTTCCTTCATTTACCCGGTTTTTTGATCCTTTGCTCCATTCTGGACCCTGCTTCATCCGTGATTCGTGCATAATATCTCTTGGGAGTCAAGCTCATTCGTTGGAACAGATCCCTTTTCCCCACATGTGACCAATTTGCCTTCGGCTATCATACTAGCAAGACAGCTAGGACAGCCTAGCTATCCTTTTATGACTCAGATAACTGGATCTGATTTGTCCAAAACTTCTAATTGGATGATTCGGGATAGAGCACGGTTCAACCCGACAGAAATAGATCAAATGTCACCAAATCTATGGAGAAAGAGGGGAGGGCCGCCCTCTAGAGCCGCAGCGAGGCTGAAACATGAGGGGGAGAGAACGCGTTTCCCCCTTTCTAATTTGATTTGATTTGGGCTTGGGTTTCTTTTTCTTCTTCTTAGTGCTGACATCGAATCAAACCGAGTTAGAACTTGTCTCAATTTCAATTTCTTGTTCCGCGTCCTTTTCTTCTTTTTACTCTCTTTTATCTGCAACCGTGTCCCCCCCGTTCCAACAACTCTTGCCTGGCCACGTTCCGGTTTTCAATTAAACGCCATGCAGAGCATGCAAAGAAAGTTTGGTCGAATGACCACCAAGCGCACAGCTGACGATAGTCAAGTCGCTGTGCTCTTGAAAGATTTCGAGGATGCCGATAATCTCTTGACCAAGGTAGGCCAGCCACTTTCCACTTTTAACGTGCTGACGTGGGGCGCATCCGCTAACCTTGTCTTCTGGTAATAGATCATCGAATCCACCAACGCCTGGCGCGATGCCTGGGGCTCCATTGCCACCTTTCAAAGTCGTGTAGCTGACGAGTTCGATGGCCTATACGCGCCTATCGCGAGCTCCTCGGAGACCCCGACCCAAAGACAATCGTACAATACACCACCGGCTATCCTTGCCCGCACCAATCGATTGCGCCGCGACTATGATGAATTGCGCACCGACATGGTGCAAGAGCTTACCGAAGTCGATTCGAGAATGATCCGCCCTGCGACCTCGGCAAAAGACTACCTCGTTCCAGTGAAGAAGACTATTAAAAAGCGGAATGATAAAAAGGTTTGTCGGCGATCAATGCATGTTTCACATATATACGCTTTTCGGTCTAGCTAACGTCGATCCCCGGAATAGACCGACTTCGAACGTTATCAGAGCAAGGTCGATTCCCTCATTCATAAAACAAAGCGAACGGAACGGGACAATGCCAACCTCGCAAAAGCAGAGGCCGATATGGCGACTGCTAAAGATGTAAGTCAAAATAGTTCAAAGACACGTTATCATCAGGCGTTCACCCTGACCATTATTAGATCTATCGCATGGCAGATGAAGATCTCTGCCAACGACTACCAACCCTGGTCTCCCTTCTCTTCTCTTTAGTCCCATTTCTCATCGACGCCCAGATCGAGATTCAACACCGCATGCTAGCACTCTATTACACCGTTCTCCACGCCTACTGCGAACAAGAAGGCTTCCCCTCCCCACCCCCGCCCATGGACCACATCGTCCAAGACTGGGAAATAGCCCACAAGCCTCCCCAAGGCGACGTGGAAAGTCTCGCCATCATAGCCCACGGCAAATCCATCCGCCAATCTAATGAAACCGAAGAAGGACGAGGCAAACGGCCCTCCTTCGGCGGCCGAAGCTTCACAGGCCTCTCCGTCTCTTCAAAAGCCAGTATCAGCAACCTCCGCGGCCGCAGCAAGTCCCCCGCCCCACCAATGCCACCAAACATATCCAACAAGCCCAAACCCTACGGCTACGAGAACTCCCGCCCCGTTTCCCCCTCCTCGTCCGTCGCAACCTTCACCCCAAGTCTCTCCGCCGTGTCGGCCGTCAGCTCCGCAAGCACAGCTCTTACATCGGGCAGTGGCTACTTCACCCCACCAGCAGTGCCCTCGGAGCCATTGCCCGTGCCCAGCCACTCGTACAAGCGCTCCCCCAGCCCCATGCCCGCTAAACCGCCGAAGCCGACGGGAATCCAGTTCGCACCGGCCGGTCCCAAGATCGATCATCATCAGGCATTTGTTTCGCCTTTGCCTGCGGTTGCGGATCCATTGGCTAGTCTGGCAGGAAAGAAGAAGCGGCCTCCACCTCCGCCACCGGCCAGGCCGGCGAAGCCACCGCGTCCCACTACAACATTCATGACGGCGTTGTATGACTTTGGGGGTCAGGGACCGGATGATTTGGCTTTCCGAGAGGGAGATCGGATTAAGCTTGTGAGGAAGACGGGTAGTACTGATGATTGGTGGGAAGGTGATTTAAATGGCGTTCAAGGGTTTTTCCCAGCAAACTATGTCAAGTGAAAATCACATGCATCCTTGGGACTTGTTTTGTCACCCTCGGGTATGATTTCCAAACCTTGGAAATTGCTACGTTGTTTGGTGGATTCTATATCTCTGGGGGATTATTCTCTCTCTCTCTCTCTCTCTCTCTCTCTCTCTCTCTCTCTCTCTCTTTCCCTCTCTGGGTTTTCTTTGTCATTTTTCAAAGGGCTTCATTTATGCCTCTCTTTATTCCCCTTATATCTACAATTCCCCCTATGTTCATCTGCATGAAACACTATACTTTCTTTCTATGCCACTTTTGTTTGGATTAAGATATCTACTATCCTTTTTGACTACTCGGATACTTACGCGAACATTGAAAATATAACATTTGAACATGTAAACTCATATGCATATCCAGAATGTATGCACTGTTGAGGGACAACTTAATTGATGTTGGAATCTCCAGATATCATGTATGCAAGTGGAACTTGAGTGCCTCAAGTCCTCGTTATGTACCTGGGTATTAGTATGTACTCGCTATATATATACCCTGCCCCTTCGGTACTGGCGGGGGTTTATGTAGGGGTGGGACATTCGAAGTCTTTATCTGTAACTATTTTATTACCTAGTACGATACCCACATGTATATAATGCTATAATTAAATTTTACGTACTCAGTGCTGGTGAAATTACCGTGGTAGAATGGACCTTACCCTGTTGGTGTACTTTGTGTTGGCAACCTCCAGGATAAAATAGTTGCAGGATCATATAACCAAAAATGTCACAACAGACATCAACCATTCCAAGTGGCCGAGCGGAAACTCAGCTATCTCATCTTCCTTGGTCTAGTGGTCATGATTTCCGCTTGTCATTAATACCGATAAGCGCGGGAGACCGGGGTTCGATTCCCCGAGGGAGAGATTTCTTTTTTGTCTTTTGAATTTATTCACCCACTTGGGCAGTCTTTCTTTCTTTTTTTTTTTTTTTTTGTACGTGTTTAAATTCAAGGTCAGGTCAACTCAGAAGAAGATAATATTTGAGCAATGAGTTGACATCAACTAATTAAGCATGCTTTCATAACGCGTCGCGATCATATACGTTGCAACTGCAGGACATAAACAGACAAGAAGAAATCTCACATGAAGCAAACTCAACAGGGAAAAATAAATATACGCATGTATACTCCAGACCGAATACACCTCAACGTCAAATCTCATCACCTGCTCGAGGTCAACTCCTTCCGACCGTCGACCAATCTCAGATAAATGCCCCACCAGCCGCTTTGTTCTCATCGCCCGCTGGCTCCTTTCCCATCTTGTGACGTCGACTTTCCAAAAACATGTCAACCATGCGTTTGCCGGACATTCCCGATTGATGGTCCTGAAGATTGTGATACTCGTCCATCATTGCATCGTGTTTCTCTCCGTGTTTGGCATTCTCGTTGTTCACATCTTGGGCATCTCGTTGTGATCGCAGAGATCGGACAGAGTTGCCCCTCCCATTCATTATCGGCCGCCGAACAGAGTACCGTCGCGACTGCTGCTCCTGAGCCCATACGCGTTTCGCAGCCCCGGGGCCGTTTCTCTGAGGCGGCGTTGGTGACTCGGGAATCTGTATCACGTTGCTACTCCTGATGCACATTGACACGGGAGATTCGACAATATTGCCACACCAAGATGGCGCAGCTTGAGACTGGTTGGCAGTTGGATCAATCTCATTGTTAGCGGGAGCTTCGGTCGGTTGCTCCAGCTCCAGCCTGTTAGCAGAAAGCACAGTCCGTGCACTGGAAGATCGACTAAATGGACGTGAGAAGTTACTCTGAGGAACCATGGGATCAACCGAGAGTTGGGGTTTATCGCATTCCTCCCCAGCCCTAAATGGGGGACATGTCAATACTTGGCCTGAAACATGTGTTTGTCGTATCATATCAGTAAAGACATCATCGTCATCCTGGAACTGGGCATCCTCCCGAAAATGCTCTCTTGTAGGGCTCGCCTTTTCAATCCTTTCGATTTGTGAGCTCATCCACTGCTGCCAATCTGCACTTGGTAGTACAGGCATCGAGCATCGGGATCCATTGATATGACTAGGCGAACTCCAGGCTGTTCTTTCAGACGCAAAGATTGTCGCTGTTCCTGGCTCACAAGCATTCAGTGCAGCTAATATGCCATCGCCCTTGGTCGGAGTATTACTTCCAGTTGTTCGCGAGTAGACACTGGTCGGAGACTCCGATTTTGACATCGAGTGCCCCTTGACCACACTACCTGTCTCCTCATCCGAATCTCCACTCACAATGTAGGTAAAGTGCGGAGGCTTGCCAGCTGAATAGGCGCTCCGAGGTCGGATATTTTCGTGCCCAACGAGAGCCCGAGAAACAACCCTGAGAGGTCTCACAACGTTCACAGATCGTTGGTACTTATGTGGCGAGACTGAACCACCTCGTGGGGTTGCAAATGATTCAGGAGAAGTTTCCTCGCTGGAAACACAGCGAACTGTATGCTGACTGCGATGGGAAACAGTGGAGGGCACACGTACGGGGACGGCTTGATATTCTGGTACTCTACCCAGCGCAAACTCCTCCTGGTCTTGAGTAGCAGTCTGTGAAATTTGCTGCATCAAAGCTGTGTACAAATCTTGAGTGTTGAACCATCCCTTCACATTGCGAGCAGTGGATCTCTTCCGTGAAGATGACTGGCATTTTTCATTGCCATGAGCGGGGGTTTCCGATGGCCCCTGGTCCAAATCAGCCTGTTCCTCAATCAAAGACAATGATTGCCGATGCCCGGTTTTTCGTGTTGTTGCCGTGTTTGATAGGACAGAGGCAGCCCGGCTGGTACAGCGAGAATCTGTGGGGCAAACGCTAGCACGGCTTGGAGAAGTTTGTCTAGATTGCGATGGGCGCAATTTCCCGACATCAATGAAGCCATCAGAATAACTAACCAAGCTGGCATCGTCTCGGTCGGGCACATTTTCAATGAAATCTTGAGATTTGGCCTCTTTTAAAGAACAAGTGGACTGTTCAATAGGCTGTTCAGCGTGCCTTGTCATGCCAAAGACACGTCTCAAACCTTGTTTTATCGACGAAGAAAGAGCGCGAGATTTTCCGTGGGAGAGCTTTGAGTTGAAACTTGCAGGAGAAGGATTTGGGCCACTACCGTCACTTGGAGCTCGAAAAGTTTTGCGGAATGGCTTCTGCTCTCTCTTGCGACGAGACAGCAGGAACGAGGAGCGTCTGTTTTGTACCTCTGGGCTTTCATTTTCTTTGAAGTATTGATCCCGAGCAAGCTGAATGGCCACATCTTGGCTTTTAGCGTGTCGAATGGCACGGAGCCCTTGATGCTTAACCCGAGTGAAAGAGGTTGAATTTCTCAAAGTTCGGGGCAAGGCGAACTCAGGACTGAAGTCAGGGCAAGGGGAACTGCCATGAGGCATGGGTGGCGTGTTCTGTGTCAGATACGGCAGTCGTTGTCTTGTGGAAAACATGGACTTGGCTTTGCGGAGACGACGATAAGATGAAGGAACTGAGATGTCACGGCCATCTAGTCCCTTGAGCTCTGTGATAGGTGGCAACGCAGCCGGGTTCTCGGTGTGAAGTTGAGCAGCATGGTTATTATCCGGATTTCGACGCTTTCGAGGTGTCAGAGAAGGCGCGGTATGTGCTGCAACGGCCGACTTCCCGTCATTTGTGGACTGAACGCTTGAATTATGGCGCCTGATTGGAATGGCGACATTGCTAGGGCCGCCTAGTCGATCATACGAGCCTTTCGTTTCGATGGATGAACTTCCGCTCGACCGCATTGCTCGCGCAGCAGCAGTCGCGGCGTGGGATTTGATAACTTCTATATCGACTGATTCTGATTCCGTCGATGGACGACCTCGCCGCATCGAACGAGTGGACATAGATCGTCGGAGTCGGTCTCGGGTAGTGAATGAGGAAAACATACTATGAAAGTCTGCAAATTATTTGGTACAACACGGATGAAGATGCTTGAAGATGGAGAAAAATCCTTGACTGTGCAAGATCTTTACATTCTGTCTCATTTTGAACGGGGAGGAAAGAACGCTGGCCTCCGAGGCAAGTACGGTGCGCCGATGCCATTCTTGGCCGAACTGTATAAGAGTGAATACAAGTGAGTACTAGTATACTAGTAGCAAAGGTTAGAGGAAACTCAAAATGATAATGCGTTTTGATTGGCGATAGATTCTTCTGATACTCAAGCCTCAAAGCTTAAAGTTCAAACAAAAGTACAGTTGAAAAGGTACTAGTAGTTAGTTAATTTCTACTTCGCCTGGTGAGTCACCGCCAAGCCACAAAGGTACAATTCACCCGTGGACTGAGTCAGTTTAAGCCTCATCCTGATCCATGAACCCATGTTTACCGCCTTTTTTGAGAAGACACCCCTTTTCTATTAAACTGGTAAATTGCCCGCAGAAAGAAAGGGGAAAAAGTTCTGAACCATAGAATATCCTTCAATCCTCAAATGTCAAGCTTCCAGATCCCAGCGGCAACAGCCTCCAGTGGAGACCCCCCGGAGACCCCACCAAGATCGCCACGCCACATCACCCTTGATGGCCGAACTCTTGAGGGCGGTGGGCAATTAGTCCGAAATGCTCTGGCTCTTTCAGCACTCACCAGCCAGCCAGTGACGATTGACCATGTTCGCGAAAACAGAGGAGGGGGTCCTGGATTAAAGGCTTCGCATTCAGCAGCGGTTAAACTACTGGCCGAGATCAGTCGCAGCAAAGTCACCGGTGGACAAGTGGGATCGCGATGCGTGACATTCGAGCCCCAAGTTCCCGCGAGCAAAGAGTCGGAATCATCAAATGTGTCCCGAAAATCACCTCTGGTTTCCTTGGTGGGGTTATCTGTTCAGCCTGAATACACCATCCGCCTACCGACACCAGGCTCAGTGTTCTTAGTTTTTCAGGCCCTGTATCCATATCTTCTTCACGTTGGATCCCAAGCAGGGACAGATTGTGTGAAAGTGACTATTACGGGGGGAACGAATGGGACAAGTTGCCCATCCTACGATTATGCATCGCAAGTCATGGCGCCTAACTTTGCAAAGCTGGGCCTTCCTCCTCTCTCTATCGAGCTACTCAAACGAGGCTGGACAGTGGGACCCATCGAGATGGGAACTGTGACTTTCAACGTTCATCCCCTGAGTTCGATATTGAATGACCAAGGAGTCCCTGATACTCGTTTTCCACGCATTAATCTCATGGACCACGAGCCGGGAAAGATTACTCAGATTGATATCACTGTCCTTGCGCCAGATAGTAACTTACCAGGAGAATCAAGGACACTTCGCAACTACATTGAGCGAGAGACTCGTCGGTGTCTACGCCGGTGGCTGCAGACTATGGATGGATCGAAATTTGATATCCAAGCGGATCCCGATGACCCCGATCACGAGAATACCTTGCCCATCAGAATCCACACATCTGAGCCCACAACCCACTCAAGCCGAGTCTATATTCTTCTTGTGGCCCACACTTCCACGGGATTTAGAATTGGAACGGATGTCTTGACCAGTGTTGGAGGGGCATCAGGAACATCAAAGAAACACAAGAACAACAAGGGATCGAAGCGCCAAGACAAACGCGACAATCAGTCTAATCAACATGACAGTATTACAAGCTGTATTGATGGCTTAGTTGAAGTCTTTACGGAAGAGATCTCCATGTCTAATCAAGGCCGCAACCAGTCCAGTTCTCCAGATGCAGATGGAAAGCCATCAGTTCTAGATGTGCACATGAGAGATCAGATTGTGGTGTTTGAAGCTCTAGGTGAAACCCACGGATCTGATAGCAACGGGGGTGACTCTAAATCTCATCAACAAGAGGGTCCACAGTTCTGGTCATTGCATACCCGTACGTCGCAGTGGGTGTGTCAGAAGATGTTGGTAGAGACGGCCGAGTAAACGACCTCGTATAGATGAGATGATACTTTAAATCGAGTGGGGCATTATCCCGTTGCTACAAGAGACCTGAAATTAAAGCAACAATCCCATATTATCTCTAACGGGTCGCCACATCTCCTAAGTAGTTCCTCGGGTAAAAAGTTCCATCCTCGTTTCATAATTTTACCAAGCCCGAGTTCGGCATTCACGCCGAGAGTTAACTCCACAATCTAATTAAAGGATACAACAAACCAGGGGCTGTTTCACTATAGAACTAGCTTCCCCAGATCCATGGCAATGGGGAACCAGTTAGCGAGTAGAAACGATCTGGAATCAAGACAACAGATCTACCAGTAGTGGCACCGGGTCATCTGTCTGACACGCTCCACCCGATGATCCACAGCGTGGAACTCCGAACCCGAGAGTCTCCATTGATCCTAGGGCGGCCCCTCCCCCTAATCCGACTCAGAGAACCTCGACGGATATGCCGGTCATTCTGTGCCGTCTCTTGGCCCCGTTCAGGAATCAAGGATTTTACTTCATTTAGATCACTGCACGATATTGGGGCAAGCAATGGGTGAATTCGAGTAACAAGTATTGAACTTTCAAATTTTAGGTGGTTCGCATGCTTACAATGTTCAAATGTTACTAGTAGTTAATGTTTCCATATTTATGGATCAGGGGGCATTTTTTTTCTTCTTTAAAAAAAAAAACTCAACCCCCACCAACTATAAAGTCATCAGGCATGATTCATGGAATTCCTGGCTAGTGTAACCCGACTAATCTCAGACAGGCAACACTCTCGAAACTTCCTCGCACTCAAGAAAGGCACTAACAAAGGCACTAAGGGCTTGGTATCGATAATACGACCCCATAAACGCAGCTCAACCGTTCGGTAAATACAAAACCCAAGTTACAGATATACACCATAACAGATACACGAGAAAACGAACTCTAGTTCAAGTTTGTTAGCGTGCGAACAAGCCCCCCTTCTGCCGTACAAGCCACACCGACAAACCACACCATCCAATGATCAACCCCCTAACTTGCCAAACACGGTCTCCTGAAGAAGAGGTGGAGCTAGCGCATTCCCCACATCCCACTCTGAAACAGCGAACAAACTGATCTGACCTGTGGCTGAGCCGTCCGCATCCATCGGGAAAAAGGAAAAGAAGGAAAAAAAAGGGGTAATCTCCAGATGTCCTTTTGGTACTTTCTACTCGAACGCTAATGGAGGCGTGGAAGCGTAGAAGCCTGATGGAAAAATACAAAACACGCCTCACTACGCCTTCCAGGGCTGTCTCCACTTCGCTTTTTACCACTCCCGAGAGAGCTCTTGGACGTCCAAGACATATGTTTTACATTCCCCGAACTTGAGAATTGTTGAAAGGTTAAGATGAAACAATGCAGAATGTGCCCACTAAAAAGCATAATTCCAGGGTCAAGCAATGATGTTTTCCGGGTACATACGTCTGAGTATACATAAATCTCGTGAAGCTGAATTCTCTTCATTTCCAAGTCGCGAGCCTTGGAACTAACATTTGTCAACATTGCCAAGTAACTACTATGTGGCCCTGCGATCCTCCAGGTGATCCTCCACCTGCATGTGGGCACTCCAATATGTTCTCCAGTCCACTCAAGTGCTCCTGCAAGGCTATGATGTGCGTAACATTGCGATTTACCCCATAAAAAAACAACATGGCGCGCAACATTGAAGATCAACATGCCTAGTAGTAGGTAGGAGGACACCCCATTCCCGTCCTTAAATGCTCAATGTCTGCATGTGCCCAAACGCCTATGAAGAAAAGACCCATAACTTCATCTCAAGTGCTCCAACTTGAGCACAACGTCAGAGGCCTGAACCCAGCAAGCTTCCAAGGTTGGTTTAAATCTCTAGTGACATTAGCGTGACACTTCCAACCTCAAACTACATCCACATTCGAATCCCTAAATCCGCGGAGTTGGTCAATTAGAATCACGATCACCGCCCCATCAATCAATAATGTGCCCGGATCCCCCCAAGTGCCCCCAATGCCCGTGCCTGCAAGTGGGGACCGTCCTCATTTGGGTCGGGTTTCGTTTCGCGAGGCGATCGGGTTTCCGTCCAGTAGGGAACCATCTTGGGTCCCCGGGCCCCAATTTTGTTTCGCTTTGTTCTCCAGAGCTGCTTTGACCGTATCAGCCATGTTGATCAGGATTTAGGTTGACGTTGACATTAATAATGTCGGATTCGTAGACGTGTATAGTAAGAGTTTGGAAGTAAGGTGCCAAGCTACAACTTGTACTATCTGGAAACGAACCTCGTTAAATACGGGTACGTTTTGTATTGTTTGGGTTCTTGGCCTTGGGATTTGGAGAGTGGATACAACGCAAGTGTTGAGTTGGGCTGATTTGGGCTGTCAGACCAGGAACTGATTTTTCAGATTCTTTTTTTGTCTCTTTTCTTCTTGTATTTTCCTTGGTATGACAAGCTGATTGATTCTATTTGTGGAATATATATATATATTTTTTTGGTTAAATTACCGTTTTTCTCTACATGAGGAATCTTGGAAGGGAAAGGGGAGGAAATTGGAGTTCCAGGGGTGATGAGACTTGTAACATTGTCGGAAATCAATTGTTATTGTTCTGCTACAGGGCTGGAATTTTACCTTATCTTAATTCTTTCGGTCGATCATTGTCGGAGGTTTTATCTGGAACGCAGCGGTCGGATTCATTTTCCGCTTTGCTAGGTATGTTTCTGGTCTGTATAGTGTAAACCTTGGAACGCAAAATCAAAACACTAGAGCTGGAAACAATAATTGAAACCCTGGAACCTGAAATTGGATCTGACACCAACTTGAGACTGAGGATTAAAATGAAAGTTGATATTTTTCAACTGATTTTTGTCCAAGATAATAGGCAAACACATAACATTTGAATGATCCTCGCTCACCGAGGTCCTTGGCCCTGCGCAGGTGGCTTTGCATTCAAAGATAATCACCCGGAAGTAGTTTAGCTGCACGTGGTCAGATTCATATGCATGATGATCAAAAAGGAAAGAGAGTTCGCCGTTGGACAGGGCTTATTGGGGCCATGTTTGAAGTCAGATGAGATCTGCTACGTCTCACCATGTCATCCTTGCGGCTGAGAATATAGTTTTCGATCAATGGGGCCATTTAGCCCCATTAAACAGATGGGCAGGTCTAGACACGGGCTGTGTAAATGTCACAGTTATTTGGAGGCCTAGAACTTCCAAGGTTGACTTCCAAGGTTGAGTTTCAAGCTCTGGAGGTTGAACCGGGTTTCCCATCCTGGGAACCTGGGCAGTCTCCAAGGTTACAGGAAACTATGTAGCACATTCAATGTTTGAGGGATGCAAAGTTTTCAATGTTACGAGGGGAAAAATGGTAATGAAACTGAAACTTCAAGTTGGTCAGATCATGGGAGCATGATATCAATGCAATGAGGTATCTAACAAAAACAGGAATAATCCATAATCCTGCCAGGACATGAAAAAATGATAATAACCATGAAACATTAAAAACAAAGACAAGGGGTATGGCATCATGTCACGAAGGACCTAAAAAAAGAAAATAGCGGCCACGATGATGGCTGTTTCACCGGCAGAAAAATAAATAAATAAAATATGCAAGAGGGGGAAAAAAAGAGGAAAAAAAATGAGACAAAGAAACGAAGGATTGATCGTCGATCGACGGATCAAAGAATTCATCTTGCGCCACTGCCTAGTGGCAGATCCCATATGCCCGAGGTAATCCATGCAAGGTGTTTTGTCCGCCACGCTTGCGGTCAGCAGGGAAAGTATGCGGGCAAGTAACACAACAAAGAAAAGAGACAGATGGCCGCCATCGTGAGAATAGAGAAACGCCTGGCGATGCATATGAGATAGTAAACGAGAGATCAAAAAAAGAGCTTCAGGAAATGGTTCTCCACATCCTGGGAAATCAGTCCCAGCCTGTAACCTCGAGGAATGTGTGCCCATCCCAATATCATGTCATGGTCTCAGTATGCGACTTTGGGTGATTTTGTGCGTAGTGTGATGTGTGACTTTTTTTTTCTTTTCTTTTTCGATCATTTTTTTTTTTCGAGTTTGGAAGGAGACCGTTTATGAGGAGGTCGCATAAGGTTGCATTACAAGTCCAGGTCAGACATGTTGGCCGCGAACTCTGCGCGCATCTCTGAGGGCAGTTGGCGTTTGAAATTGCGCGGTTGCGCAAATGGCGAGGCAGATCCGGGGCGTCGGAGGTTAAGTTGCTATTTGTGGTGTTAGCTTTTTATCTTGAATTTAATGACTGTTTTTCGCTCTTCTTCGGCCGCCTTCTCGTAGTGTTCAAAGAAAGTCACAAGTCACTGCGAACTTTCCCGGAATGCGCCACAGAGATATTGGGAGAGAGGATGTAGCCAGACATACCCTGCAGTCCGAGCACTTGGTGCCTTCCTTGTTGACACGCCCGCGGCACCCGCGAGGGTAGTTGGCGCAAGAGAACATTGTTGGTGAGTAAGTTGTAGTAGTATTTCGCGGGGGATCGCGGGGAGGATGTATATGATTGATGGAATGGTAACCAAATCGTGGAGAGAGGTCGAGTGGTTAGGAAGCTTGAGCGAGCTTGGAGTATAATTTGAGGGTTGTGGTAGCTGTAGTTGTGCTTCACGGCAAGGTCCCGGTACAGTTGGAAAGCGATGAAGCGAGGCGTGAAAGGTGGAAAAGGTTGAAAAAAGCCGTATGAATCTCCTTTAAGGAAAGGTTGATCCACCAAAAGGGGAGGGAAATTTGAGCTAGGCACTTTTGAACTTTAAAAAAAAGGCTCCAGCGGAGATCAAACTAGTTAAAGAAGAAAAAAAATTCCAAAAATATGAAACAAAAAAATAATAATTTGGCGATGACGTCGGAGGTTCAAAGGTGCTAAGGTGGAAATGTACCAAAGTAACAAGTTTTAATATTTTTTTTTTCCCAGGGAAGAAGGGGGTTTATATCCAGAGGCTCAAACGCCAATCCAGGAGTAGAATTTTAGGGTTCCATTGTTACGGGTAATGAGAAACGGTTGTGGACTTGATGTGTTGTGGATGCTGGGAAACTTGGGGTTATTGAAGCTCGTAAAGACCGTTTTTTATGGTAATTTATATTCCGTTTGGTGGTCTCGGAAATTTCCAATTTTACAATTTTCCCTTTTCACTCCGCGTATCTTTAATCCAGCTAGCAAATTCTTGTAAATTCCTGTAAATTACACCCCAATACTCCAAAGTTCTTTTTACAACTGAAATCCAGACTCTATCGTCGCTTCGTTTGACTATATCCTTGGCAAGTTAAATATTATTTTTCTTTTTTTTCCTTTCTGGTTTTTTTTTTCCCTTGCCCTGTCTTTCATTTCATTTCCTTTTGATCCTCTCTTTCTCCTATAGTGGGTTAGAATGGACCCGTTCCTGTCAGGAGACACAAACCAAAAAAGAAAAAAAAAACCCATAAATCCCAAACAGAATGGGAAAAAAAAAAGAAAAAAAAAAAAGCTCCGTCCAGGGCAGATCGGGCGATCCCACCCTTTGCAACCCAGCCATGCGGGTGTCTGATCGATGCTGGCCATCGATGCATGACGGCCCTGCTGGGAAGGGGTGGACCAATGACGGCAACAGCTAGGGAGAAAAAGAATGCGCGGTCTACGGTACAGTGCATGATGCCGGATCTTACTGGAATGACTCGCAGTTTTGGATTACAGGGCCTTCTAGTGGAGCTCATAACGGCCTGTGGAAGCTCCCGGGATTTTTTCTCTTCTAAGACGTCCAGCTACAATACATGATGCCTCAGATTGAGTGTTTTTTCCCTTCGGTTCTGGATTAGAGAAGGCACAAGAAAAATAAAAATAAATAAAAATAAAAAATAAAACCCCGAACAAGAAAGAAGAAAGAAGAAAGGAACAAAATCCAATGCCGAGCTGTCCGATCCCGGTGCAAAGGGACCCTCGCTTTTTGCCTCCCTTCCAACCCCTTTTTTGGGCCCTATCATGTCACCTTCATCTCCCCCTTGGTCATTCTTTTGTTTCGTGTTAATGCCCAATCTTTGTAGAAAAGTTAGAGAACATTCTGTAGATTTAATTAATTTCTGTAAAATGATATCTTATTAGTGTATCGTATCATATAACATATAAACTAGTACCTACTAGGAACCCCAAATAGGAATAGACGATTTAAAGAGAAGAAAAAGTCCAGAAACACTCGGAAAAAGAACCTTGGATCCAAAAGTTCCAGACTTCGCGATGCAGGATTTTTCGTATGCGGAAGTGTTCTGGAATTTTGGAATTCTGGAAATTCCCCACTGATCCCAATGATTTGCTGGATTAACCCGTTTGGGTCTGTAGGTTTGGAGCCGATCTGGGGAGTCACTATTGCTTGGTTTCATAGAATCTCCCCTAGCCCAATAAAGCTCATGATTATCCTCTTTTTGCTCTATAATCAAACCATTTTGAGTGGGTAGTATAAAAGTCCCTTCTATTAGCGACAGTATAGTACTATAAACTTAGTAGAGAATAAGTAAAAATTCAATTTAAATCCGGCATTACTAATCATCTATACCCACAACGCCCCCGTGACGCTTCGGAGTACATACCTTATATTGTGCTTACCTATACGATCATCACTTTTTGTCCGGTGAGACCGAATCATTTCTGCCTGAAACCTCAAATCCTCAACCTCGCTTTCACATGGGTCGACACGGCAACTTGCGCTCTGTCATTGTGGAGGTAGTGGAGCCCGTATGGGATCCGCTATTCCGCTTAGAAAGACATTTTGAGCGGAAGAATAGAAAGAGGAAAATGAAGGGAAAATTTTGGGATGATATCTCCTCGGGCTCGGCCTTGACCGAGACGTCAGATCTAGACCCTAGCCACTGCTATACTTTCCTGACTCTCCGGGCTTGATGGATTGGTGAGCCCCAAAGCTTATTCGGCATTTCCGGATTTTCCAACCAAGACTTTATAGCATCGCATTTCATAGAATGAATGTATGTAAATAACTGTTAGTTTTATCTACGAATGCTGTGGGCTTCAATTTTTCTCCAAAAACCGCTGCCCAGAAAGCCAAGCGCTGGGCAAATTGCGCTTTCGTCAGCTCCGCGTGTCGCATGGGTTTCTACGCGTAGTAGATACACGGTGCGTGTTCACCACCGGAAAGATTGATCTGAGATGGAGAGGAAAGCTAGAATGTAATCTGTTTGAGATGGTCAGTTGACTGTAAATTTTTTTCCCTCCCCTACTACCAACGTGAACCTTGGAAATTTTTGGGGTCTGCGGATGCTACGGCACACTGTGTAAGCAGCCCCCCAGCGGTGCATCGGTGCATCCCGCTCTCATTACCCTTGGAAGTCAACTACCGCGTACTCCACCATTCTGCAAAAGCGAAATGACACTTTGAAAAATATAGGTTAAAAAAACACATAAAAAATAAATGCCGTAGATCGCGTCCCATGGTACATATTTGCTATACCGTACACGTACCTGTGTTCGTCGGCTCTCAAGGACGACTGCAGCAAGATGTGAAGATCCGCAAAGAACATGTGGACCATGGGCTTGGATCACCGGGTATTTATTGGCAATGATTGGCTCAGGCACCAAGATTCGGGATATTTGAATGTAAAACGTATCGATTGTTTCCACAGCGGGAACCCGTGCGAAAGGTCTAGAAGATCGCTCGAAGCTATAGCAAGCTAGGCTGTGGAACACGAGTCTTTCAATTCGGTCCACAGCATCCAGGATCAGGACCGAGACCAGGGAAACAAGAAGTTTACGTGTTTACATGTTTACATGTCTACTCCAACTTTTGTGTAACCAGACTGGGTATGACCGAGGTAAGTGGGGGATCAAAAACTTACCGAAATAGTAACCAAAGCCACCAACGGGCTGCAGCTAGTCCCATTATGCAGGACAATGCAGGTAATTGCAGGTAATTGCAGGTTGGTGTTGCCAATGGACACCGCTAGAATAAAGTGAGTAAGACCCTTTAAGGCTAGGGTCACGGGTCAGAATTGGAGGTGAGCTTTTGGTAAAAAAAAAAACGCCGGTGACCTCATGGGCTGAGTGGTGGTTGTTTTACTCTCATTAGATCCAGCCACATAAACTTTATGGTGGGGATTCTTCTGCATCCAGACCGTTTTGGAGCTCAGGTCAAGTGACCAACGGCATTTTTTTTTTAAACGATGGACCTTGACATGGCCAAAGTAGCGAGATAGAGCAGAAATTGAATTGTTGTGAACCCTGTTTTGGTATTTCTTTGGCTTTCCTTTCTTGTTCCTTGTTCCTTGTCTTTTTTTTCCGGTTTCCCTTTTTTCCATTATTTTGCTTTGTCGTCGCGCCGACCCGCTGATGTTATCTGATGTTATGAGATTGTGGCGGTGGCTGATGAACGCCATCTTATACCAATAATGACAAAAGTACCCTGTATGTACTGAATTCTCGGAAAAGAAAAAAAAAAGAAAAAAAGAAAAAAGTGGATGAAACATATTCAATAAACATCTTTGTAGTATCATAGGCATTAACCATATCTGGAAGATTAAACCCGAACAGAATAGTACGGACTAATACTGCCTCGTACACACACACCTGTATACAAGAACATGTTTAGTATGGCAAATACCCTAAAGAGACCGAAGCAAAACCCATGCCCCAACAAGTCCCAGTGTCGATGCAAGTAACATCCCGTTTCCTTCCCAGGTCAATCCTAGATATGCCAGAAATCCTACCACTATCTCCTTCTGCCGAGCGGCATCCCGTCGAGACCGCCAGCTGGGATCGATTGCAAACGGAGCTACCGTTTTGGCTGTCTCATGATCTGTCTCTGACGTGCCATCCGTGGGCTTCAGAGGGACCGACACCGCCAAAGCAACAGGTCGGTGGTCCGAGTGTGGGAAGAGAGGCAATGCGTTGTATGCATGCGTCTTGACATGTCCTCCTTCTCTGGCCCAAGGTGGACAATCCAAATAGAGGATTCGGTCACACCAACTCGGCCAGCGGTGTGTTGACCATTCCCACTCCGTCTCTGGCTCCCCACTCAAGAGAATCTGACGCGCAGCCTGCTGCGCTGCACCGGAGTATTTGTAAGTCGGAGGGAAATCAATGGGTGCTTCAGAAAGTCCGTGGAAAGAGCGCCCTTCACGCATCTCACGCATGAGCTGATCTTCCTCGAGAAGGTGAGAATAATGCGCTGGATCACCGCGAGGAACACCCGGTCGAGGGAATCGGATGACATCTGCCTTTAATGGGCTCACATCTGAGGTTCGGTAGTTGAGATCTCCTGCCAAGAAGAGATAGGAATTGGGCGCGAAGAGATCTCGACGACTGGTCTCCGCTTCATGCGATGACTCGTGATCGGCCAGAAGAGCGGTGTTTTCATCGGAGCTTCCTTGACCCAAGGCCTTGAGCGGGGTGTTTTCGTGGGAGAAGACAAGTCGCTCGACGATACTTTGCCAATCCGCATTTCTTTGCTCCAATGCATTCTCCATCGGCGCCAGGTGAGCCGCGACAAATGTTAAATCCACCGTCTTGGATGGATAACCCTCTGCCACATAACCCAAACGTGCCCCGACAGCACCCTTATTGCCCATTTCCTGAACTCCAAACCCAACGTGCGCAGTATCGACCCATGGGATTTTGTCCACAATATCCGCGCGCGCAAAAACCATCAATCCTGTCATACCCGTGTGGTCCTTGACTAGATTCACATATGATTCATCCCATAATTGAGCAGTTGCTTTCTTGACGGTCTTCACAAACGCATCAAAATAAGGTGTTAGATATGTGCCTCCTAGAAATGAATATGCGATAGGCGCAATCTCCTGTAGGGAGAGCACGATCAGCTCGGGGGCGCCCGATGCGCGGCGCTCGGGCGAGAGTGCATCGAAGAAATGGTCCGCAAAAAGGTCCACATCAATAAGAGTCCGTGCACAGTTTGATGTCAGGATGTAAAGATTAAGGTCCTCCATTTTGGTGTGTGTGTGTTTGGAGGAGGTTGAGGATGGAAATAGCGGTGACGTCGTTGACGATTCGACCACGTGAACGATGCATATCAGTGGAGTCGATTGGGAACTTTGTTGATTGCCGATAAGTTCACGATAACCGGAACCCACAACAAACCCCAACCGTACCAAAGAAAAAAAAAATGCAGAAAAAAATTCCACAAAAACAAAAAGAAGAAATTTGCATCATCCGTGAATCGAACACGGGCCTCGTCGATGGCAACGACGAATTCTACCACTAGACCAATGATGCTGGTTCATGTAAAGAGAGGCAAAAAGGTGTACTACAATCCATTACAAAGGGCTGCATTTCTATCTACACTGAAGATTCGCTACAGCTTTCCTTTGAGCTTCTCATGATCTTGCGCTTCTTTCAATTCAACCAATAACATTCCCTCTGCGACATCTTCTTCATCGTCTTCCATCTCATATACCCAATCCACCCTCCCAGCCCGAGGACTGCGCACCTCCAGTTCCATCTTCATCTGCTTGACAAAGGCAAGCACTTGATTCTCAACAACATCCTCCCCCTCCGTGACCAACATCTCGATAAGTTTTCCAGAGAGAGGTAGAATAATATGGCGGGGGTTACTCGGATCTCCACGACGATGAGAGGAAGAAACGAGTGCCGATGCGGCGGTGGTCGTGGTATCCAGCTGCAATCGGTAAGGAATCGCGGTCTTCGAGCCAGGTGTTGTGTATTCAATCTCAGCTACAAGGGATGTGGGGAATTCATTGCGGAGGACGCGAGATAGTTTCAGATGATGTGAAACGCTGGATGGTGTTTGTGGGTTGTCCTTCTGGAGCGGCTCCAAACGAATAGACCATGCGTCTCCCCTACGGAATAACAGATTGGATGATGGTAATCCACTCTGTGCAATAGATTGCTGAGAAGAAATCGCCGGTCCTTGTGTATCACGTAGTGATCGTGAGATATTTTCACCCAGCTGATGGGCCTCTTCAAGCTTTAACCCAAGCCACTGAGTGTCGACATTGCCAGACAGGAAATCAGTATGCGCCACAATGCCACGGAGAAGATTGATGTTGGTCTTTATCCCAGCGATTTTAGTATCACTTAGTACTCGCTGGGCCTTCCGGACAGTTGCATCCCAGCCTGATCCAGTAATAATGATCTTGGCCAGAAGGTTATCAAAATTTGATCCGACAACCAATGGAGAGGTGCTGGAGACATGGGTGTCGACTCGAACTCCATGCCCGCTGGGGACATGGAACTCGGTAATCTTTCCAATACTGAGTGCGAAATTATTGCTTGGATCTTCAGCACACAGCCGAAGCTGTATAGAGAAGCAGTTTGCGGGAGGCGGGGCTTTGGGGTCAACACTGGAGCCAAGGCCAAGGTCATTGAATTTTCGTCCCTGGGCCAACAGAAGTTGAGTCTGGACTAGATCGAGGCCGCTGATTGACTCTGTAACTGTGTGCTCCACTTGAAGTCTTGGATTGACTTCCAAAAAATAGAACTCTCCCCTTTGCTCATTGACTAGGAATTCAAAGGTACCCAGAGAGAGATAGCGAATGTGGCTCGCCATCTTCAATGCACAGCCAATCACCTGAGAAACCAGGCCACGATCACACGATAACGCAGGAGCATACTCAACAACTTTCTGGAACCGCCTCTGAACACTGCAGTCCCTCTCCCATAGGTGACGCACTTGACCCGTACCATCACCGATAACCTGAATCTCGACGTGATGGAACCCATCCACAGCAGCTTTTTCAACAAACACCGTGTGAGAAGGTGACTCGCCAATAGCCCGTTGAATATTATTATCAAGATCGCGCTCCTCGCGCACAAGGCGAATGCCGCGACCACCTCCTCCATCCACGGCTTTGATCATCACCGGGAAGCCAACATGCATAGCAAATGCTCGAGCCTCGCCAACGTCAGAAGTCGGCTGGCTCATAGCCTCCAATACGGGGACTGCACATTGGAGGGCTAGTTGTTTTGCCTGGAGCTTATCTCCCGTACGAGCAAGGTTCTCGGCGCCTGGTCCTATGACGATGGCACCAGCTTCGTCCCACATACGCTGCGCGAATTCCGCGCTCTCACTGAGAAATCCATAGCCCGGGTGCACCGAATCGATGGAATGTTTTTGCACGAGATCAATCAAAAATGATATATCCAGATATGAGCCTGGTGAAGGGATCTGAACTGCTTGATCTGAATGTCCCAGGTCGCAGTGCGAACGGTCGTCTGGCGTGTAGATGGCAATGGTCTCTACTGGGTCAGGAAGCTCGCGTGCGGCATTGAGTATGCGGACAGCAATTTCACCCCTGAATATGCTTTGCTTAGTGTTCCATTATCTTGTGGATTGCTCGAAGGGGTATTACCTATTCGCGACCAGCAGTCGCTTGATGGGCCGAAAGTGCGGGGATGATGACATCGTGCAAAAGTCTGGGGTAAATAATGAAAACGGCCAGGGAATCTATGTATTGACTGTTGATGTTATTTTAGTAGATGAATTACTCAAATTCCTCAACAGCATGGGTCATTCGAAATTTCACTAAGAAAAAAATGTTCCAAGATCATTTTTCTTCTGTTTTGATAGCTCGCTTGGAAACTCCCTCGGTCCTCGGAGCTTCGACCATCGCCCCCTCATCGGGCTCAGCCGCAAAACAAAACCAGCCATTGCCCCTTAATACGACAAAATTCCACAGATAAAAACAAAATCTGGAGGACTAGCCACCATGAAAAACGACGGCGATGATCAATCCTCCAAAAATGACAAGAACCAAGCTACACAGCGACTAAATCAAGTCTCCTCGCATATATCCCCGCCAAAGTCAGATAAAGCGGCATCTCCCAAATCAAAGACCAAAAACATAGGATCTCGCCTCCCAGCAGACCACTCCGATGTTCTCAATCAAATCTCCGAGCTACGCAAGATAGCTGCGACCCCAGACCCTAATTCCCGGGGCTACGTTCGACAAAAGCAAGCCGGCAAGCTATGGGTTCGCGAGCGCATCGACCAGCTCCTCGACCCAGGCTCGTTTCAGGAAATTGGCTCGGTGTCCGGAACAGTCACATGGAAGAAGACTGCACCAATGCGGGAGACCCCCGTCGCATTTGTTCCCAGCAATAATGTACAGGGTGCGGGGACGCTCCGCGGCAGGAAGGTGCTGCTTACAGCAGACGACTTTAGTATTCGGTCTGGACATGCTGATGGAGCGAGCTCAGAGAAGACAGTCTATGTCGAGAAACTAGCTCTTGCGCTGAGATTGCCTGTGGTGAAGTTAGTGGATGGCAGTTCTGGGGGTGGCAGTGTGACGACTATCCGGAAGGAAGGATGGAGTTATCTTCCGTATGTGAGACCTTTCAAACCTGCGATCCAGCAGTTGAACATGGGCATTCCAAATTTGGGTGCTGTCGTTGGACCCGCGGTAAGTTTTTCAGGTGAAACATTTCTTGATAGGCGGCTGGTTGTGCTGATTTCGCTGGTAGATTGGCCTAGGTGCAGCACGAGTCGTCTCTTGCCATTTCTCAGTCATGGCCGCAGATATCGGCGCACTTTTCAACGCTGGCCCGAAGGTAGTAGAGGGTGCCACGTTTGAAGAAGATCTTGGATTCCAAGATCTCGGTGGTCCAATGGTCCATTGCACGAATGGAACCATCGACAATCTGGCCGCAAACGAAGCTGAATGTTTTGAACAGCTTCGAACGGTTTTGAGCTATTTGCCCAACTCTGGGGCTGATGCTCCACCAGTTATCTCGTGCGCTGATCCGGAAGATCGAGAAGACCTGGCACTGCGCAGCATTATCCCGCGGCGCCAGGCACGAATGTATAATGCTAGAGTGATCATTGATTCGGTTGTTGATCGGGGTTCCTGGTTCGAGATTGGCGCGCTTTGGGGTCGAACAGCTATTGGCGGTTTGGCACGCCTTTCTGGCCGTCCCATTGGAATCATTTCACTGAACTGTGAAGTGAACGGTGGCGCTCTTGATGCAGCGGGTAGCCAGAAACTCACCCGGCTGTTGAAGATGTGCGATGTGATGAATATCCCCATTGTGCAATTCATCGACGTCCGTAAGTTTGAAATTCATAACCCAAGTGATTGGTCAACTGCTTTCTTATCCAGTGCTAATACATCGTAGCTGGCTACGCAATTGGAACCGTCGCCGAGCGCAACGCAACTATGCGCTGGGGCGTGGAGCTGGCAAAAACCTATTTCACCACTACTGTCCCGATCTTCAACGTGGTTACCCGACGCGCCTTTGGCGTAGCTGGAGGAGTCATGCTAGGCTCCCGAGACCCAGTTATGCAAGTTGCTTGGCCGTCTGGACAGTGGGGCTCACTGCCGCTGGATGGAGGAATCGAAGTGGGACACCGGCATGAGTTGCGGGAAGCGGAGAAAGAGGGCAAGAAAGAGGAACGGTATAAGGAATTGGAAGAAGAATATCAGCGGTTGATGAACCCTGTTCGAACAGCGAATGCATTTGGCGTGGAGGAGATAATTGATCCGAAGGATACGAGGCAGGTTTGTTGTTCTTGGGTGACACATGTTTATGATGTGCTCATGAAAGAAAGATTGTCGGATCGAGCCTGTGGGAGGATACATCCTTCTTTTGCCTAATCGATCAATTGATAACTGCATCACTAGGTCTAAATACTCAGGCGTCTACTTTTTTAAACTATTCATGACCTCTCAAGGCAGATTCCACGGTCAGTAGTATACACGTGCATCTATTTTAGCGCATGTACTTAGGCGGGCTCCCCACAAAGAATATCGAAAACCCCACTAACCAACCCAATTGGATCATACTCCGCTAAACATTCCTAAATCTAATCTACCTCCGACACTTCGCCGAAAATAGAGCCTTCAGGGTAAAAGTAATCGCGCAATCGCGCAAAAGCGGCGGATTATGTAACCGCTAGAAACCCGCACATAGTTATCAACTTATCAACTTATCAACCACCCCACTAAGTTCTAACCATCGCATCGCATCGCAAAGCCGAACACCAAACAACCCCAACAAACAATGGCAACAGTGAAAATCCTAGACGGAGGCCTTGGGACCTCCCTGCAAGACCAGTACGGTGTGGAGTTCGACAGCACCACCACACCCCTCTGGTCCTCGCACATGCTAGTCTCAGACCCAACCACGCTTGAAGCCTGTCAAAAGGACTTCTGCGTCGCAGGCGCCGACGTCCTGCTCACAGCAACTTACCAAGTCTCGCCAGAAGGCTTCCAGCGCACAAAGACAGCCGAGTTCCCCAATGGAATCCCCAGCACAGCCATAGGCCGGTACCTGCAAACGGCCGTGGATGTCGCCGAGCGCGCGAATGTGTGTGATGGCGCGCAGGTCGCGCTTAGCCTGGGTCCGTACGGCGCTTGTATGATTCCCGGACAGGAGTACAGCGGGGCGTACGACGCGGCGCATGATGGGGAGGAGGAGCTGTACCAGTGGCATTTGGAGCGATTGCGGCTTGTGCTTGGTGCGGAGGGGAATCTGATTCAGCGGCTGCAGTATGTGGCCTTTGAGACGCTGCCGAGGCTTGATGAGGTGCGGGCTGTTCGGAGGGCTATTCGCGATGCGGGGATTACGGAGGTGCCGTATTGGATTGCGTGTGTTTTCCCTGGGGATGATGGGTTGTTGCCTGATGGGAGTTCCATTGAGCAGGTGGTGGATGCTGCTGTTGGGCCCATGGAGGGTGGTGGGCTTGCGCCTTGGGGAATTGGTATCAACTGTACAAAGATCCATAAGCTTCCTGGTCTGGTTGACAGATTTGGGGCTTGCATTGCTGAGGTGGTTGCTGGTGGGAAGATCTTATCTGTTCCCAGCTTGGTGTTGTATCCCGATGGTACCAATGGTGAGGTCTACAATACGACGACACAGGTTTGGGAGAAACCGGAGGATCCTAGTTATGGTGGCCTGAGAGATACTGTAAGTTTTTAGCCTGCGGCTTGTTTTGTGCATGGTAAATGCTAACCAAGTAAAGCGTCTATGGGAAACGCAAATGGCGCAGGTGGTCAACGATGCCTACGAAAAGGGACCTTTCAAATCATTCCTCGTGGGTGGTTGTTGCAAAGCTTCTCACCACGATATCAAGAAACTCCGAGACCAATTTTGATCATTTTGACTCAATCCGAACAATTTAAATCGGCTACGGAACCGGTGGAAGAAAAGTATTTCAGTATATACCAAAAATGATGTTTTAACATGGTATCACGCTATGTGTGTACAAACAAATATAAACAAATAAATTTACACAAGCCAGTCGACAAAACGGCCCCAGCGGGTATTGCGGGGGTTCTTAGCCGGCATGATTTCTCCATCTTGGAGACGGCCTGCCCACAGGTCGATTTCGTGGGAGCGTAAGAATTTGGTGCGGTAAACCAATTTCCAGACAATAATCGGCACGATGAAAATTGGAATGCCGACGTATGATGCAATGAAGTCAGAAGTGTTCCATTGACCATTCAAGAAGACTTCAAATCCAGCAACCAGTGTGATAAGAGTGGAACCAAGGAATCCAAACCACGCTGCATATGGCTGCAATGGTCCTTTCCATGGCAAACTGTCACGGGAGACACCCTGCTTCTTCATGGCAGCATAGAATCGGATAAAGCAGAAGCACAGAGTAGCCCAGGCAATCAGGCCGGCAATTGTGCTCAAGTTAAGGAGCCATGTGAAGGCTTGCGCGGGACCACCAGATCCAAGACCTATTTATCATTAGAATATGTTTGGAGATATGTAGAAGAAGAGACTTACTCAAATAGGCCAAAGGACCAAACAGCCAGGCAGTGATAACTGCAACGTATGGAACGCCCTTCTTATCGACGCGACCAAAGAATTGAGGCAGCTGGTGGTCTGTGGTCATGGCGAGGATCATGCGAGATCCGACCCAGCAGTAGGAGTTTCCGGCCGACCACGCGGAAACCAAGATACAGGCGTTCACAATGGATGGCAGAGCCGTGATGCCGGCTTCCTGGATCGCAATGACGAATGGGGAGCTTCTCGCGTTGTCGGCACCTGAAGTCAGGAGGGGGTTGGTTGGGCTCACGATAATACCGATGAGGAAGGCACCAAGGATGTAGAAGAAGGCGATGCGGTAGGTGACACGGCGGGCAGCCTTAGGGATAGCGCGGTGAGGATCAACAGACTCGGCAGCCGTGATAACCACACATTCAATACCAATGAAAGAGAAACTTGCGTTCACGAAAGAAGACACAAATCCACAGAAGTGTCCTGAGGCTCCCGTAATGCCATCGTAGTCAACCCAAGCACCGGGGTTGTTCCAGAAGCGGAAACCAATGGCATCGCCTTTGGGACCACCTCCCGCGGTAATGACAATAGAAACAATGACGAGACCCAAGAAGCAGAGCACCTTGATGGCACCGCTAACGACCTCCGTTTCACCGTAGAACCTCACACTCATCAAATTGATCGCTAAGATGAGAACCAAACTGACCGTGATCACAACGGCTGGCGTTATATCCGACCAATATGAAACGATAACGGCGGCGGCGGAGGTTTCTGAGGCGATGGCGATCGTATAACAATATCCGTATGAAATGGCGAGCGAGAATCCGACGGAGGGATCAATAAAGCGAGTAGCCCAGTGAGGGAACGAACCGGCGGTAGGGAAAGCAGTGGCCAACTCGGCGATACTTTGCATCACAGCCCACAACACAGCTCCGACGAGGATGTAGGCCAGCAGCAAACCAGCGGGACCAGCCTTGGCGTATGCAGATCCAGTTCCCACAAACAAACCAGTTCCAATACCACTACAGAAACCGATCATGGTGACCTGGTAATTGCGCAGTCGGCGCTGAGTGCCACCACGGCCACCCACGTTGAGCTCGAGCTCACCTTTGGCGTGGGACTCATAACGATCCAGTGGCGCGGCATCCTGGATAGTATCTGACTTCTCCATCATCTTGAATATGTGAGGATGCAGATCAATTGCCCAAGTGGCGGTCCGCCTGTGTTTATATGTGCCACAGGGACTTTTTTTTTCCTCTTCCAACACTTGAGTCAGAACCAGGGAACTGTTTAGAATTTAAAAAGATGGTTAACTTTTTTTTCTCCGAACTCTTTCCCCCAAAATCTTTAAGCGCGTCAATCACGACATTGGGGTTCCGTCCTTCGCACCACGGAACTCACTCCACTATCGCCGGATTCATTGGATCAACGGTTTCGGAACTCCACTTCTTCCAGGCGGCGACTCGTCAGGTTTTTTTTCCAGAACGCCATATGGTGAAAATAGCCCATATTCGCCGAGGGTGTCAGTGGTGTCATATTGCGCCTTCATCGTTCACCGGTTCATCGCGGGTATTTAGCTACTGAGATTTGGAGATTGCATGCAGGATGCAGCACATAGATTACTTTCTCTTCATTTCTCTTTTTTCGGTAAGGATCCGAACGCCATAACATTTTAGGGGGGGACTTAGTTTAGCTCCTGCTGTCCACTTTAAGCTTTGTTCCAACTGCCATTCCAATCGACAAGATTCGATCAGGGATTAGGTTATTGCCACTGTCAAAGTTTTTGTTGTGAGAGGTTAGTATGGGGTTACTTATCTTTTTGCCTCCAAGCTTCAAATTCGCCTCTCAGAGTCCCAGTTTTCTTCCACGTCTTCTTTCAGTCTCCTTTCCGCATCGGACTTTTCTCTTAATTAAGGTAACAGAACGTGCGATCAGTGAAGATCCTCCCGGAAATGATCGGATGGGAATCCCCACCTGTTTCATCAGTCCAGGTCACGTGATCCCTACCAATTGCAGCAGATTGCAGTCTCTGCATGTGCATTCAATCTGACATTGCTGAGCAATAACATTGGAAGTACTGTGCATAAACTAGTAGTCGGGATAGATGATAACAGAATTCAAAATAACCTAAAATCAAATCATTCGGAGTATTTTCGCTTAGCGTTATTTTCAAGTTCCACAACAGATGTGAGAGTTGGTAACCCCAGATGCGGCGACTTCCGATGGTTCCAACGTGTGGGTGGATTCGATTCGATGTTCGCCAGTTGGTCACCACCCCTTTACAGTCGGGACAGCCCTGGAGGTTCATACATGTACCCCCACCACTCAATAATCAACGGTTTCTCCAATATATAAGAAGCACTGACCTTAACCTTAGAAGGCACCTCGGCCCCTTTAAAAAAAAAAGAACAAGTGGATTCGAATTTCTAAAACATTGAAATGGTTGTGGGCCCGAACTTATGTAACATCTAAACATTCAATGTTGAAGCCAGGAGACCTGTTACCAGGTACCTAGCTGTACAGCCCTGGATTCCTGCCCTACCTGCTTACATGTATGGAAACCCAACATTGAAAGCAAAGAAACCTTGTCTTTTCAAAATGTTCATGTCAAAAGCCAACATTGACGATAGCCAACATTTGAAGACATTATCCAGCTTTCATAAATATTATGAACAGTGGTATGCCGCACATCTTATAACACCAACATAGTAAGCCAAGCCGTCGATCCTACAAAATATTGGCTGTGAGTGGTGGTGTCCAAGACCGAGCCGAGGTTACGTACCAGTAGAGCCAAATAGCTCCCTCAATAGCGCCGATCCACGAGTCGATTTAAAGGGAGAAAAAAAAACTCAAAATAACTGGAAATCTTACCTCAGCGGCTTTGTTTTTTCTCCCCATTCCGGCATTCTCTTTGATAAAGGAATGCTGCAACCTCCTTTGCTTCCACGCCAATCACTAAGTCATCGGTACAGAGTTCTCACTTGGGGTCAACTTATGATCCCGAGGAGTATCTAGCACCCATGTCAGCCTCCGCCCCCGCCCCCGCCCAGCAAGATGCCGGGCCTGCCGTCGCATCACCGGCAACTAGCGCGGAGACAAATACATCACCGAAAGAACAGGCACCCCCAGTCACCAAACCACCTCGCAAACTTCCCCAATGGTTGGATCATTTCAATGCACGCGACTTGAAAGTGCTGTTCCGCTGCTCAGTGGCAGTATGGGTCGCGTCGCTGTTGATCTTTATCAGCCCATCTTTGCAAACGATCGGAACTGCGACTTTCTTCGCAACGTGAGAAAAACCCCATCAAAAATGGAATCAAGCAACAATTTGTTAATGAAATTTTCAGTCTGGTACTATTCATGGTGCCCCCAACTGGTATTGCGTTTGTCTTCATCTTGGGAGCATTCACGCTCATCTTGGGTATGGCTTGGGGATGGGTATGGGGCGTTATCACTATGAAGGCTGCTCTGGCGGCCCGACCTGCCGCTGAGACCCAGGCTAGATTGCAAGCACTCGGTCAACAGGCGTACAGCCAGGCCAACTCCACTGGCCAGAGCGTTACACTCGTTGAAGAGGAGCTTCTATATAGTGGCTTTATGCTAGATGCACGCGTCAGCGCAGTCTACTTTTGCCTTATTTGCTTCATGGTATACTTGCTGGTGAATATTAACTACAGTTGACGTCCAGGAAAGGTAGCAGAGATGCTAACATGCTTATGTAGGCTCGTTTCCGGACCAAGAACCCCAAGTTCATCTTGTTCCAGATCTTTGGTACAATCATTATGGACGTTCATTTGACTGTTGGGCCACTGCTCCCTTCCTTTGAGGGAACCATTGCTAAGGTATTGGTTGAGCCTGCTGCCATTGGAATTGGTATCGGATTGGCTTGTCAAATCCTCTTTTTCCCCAAATCGACTTCCTCCACCGTTCTTGATGGGTTTGAGGGGCTTACTCGACTGATCAAAAGCCCACTGGACATCACTGCCGCCACTTTAGTCGCCGATGAATCACCAGCAATGGCCGATCTGCTCAAACTCAAAATGAAGGCCATCGATACTTACAAGAAACTTATGCCCGCGCTTGGATTTCTGCAGTTAGATTTTTCTGTCGGTCGGTGGGGTGCTGATGATATCAAGAGCTTAAAGGAACCCATGCGACAAGCCTCACTTGCATCCTTGTCATTGTTGGAATTCCACATCTCACGGGTCGGAGGCGAGCAAAAGCTCGAAAAGCTCCGTGAAATTTTGATTGACGACGAACATTTCTCCAGAGATGCAATTGACGAAAAACGACCACGTTCGGCGGGAATGCGACAGCTGATGGAAAGCGTTCGTCTTGTGCGAGCGTTCCAGACTCCCGAGCATGAATCTATTCGATTGGAAATGTTTGATGCGATCCGAACTCCTACCACGAAGATCCTACCCGTATGTCAAGAGGCCGCTACTGCGGTCGCCGATGCTATCCATGCCGTCAACTCCTCTCGCTGGTTTGGACGGCCTACAAAGGAGCAGATGGATGAGCACACAAATCACATCAAATCGGTCCTGGAGGCACTTACCACCCAGCGCATAGCTTTTACTTCCGAGTTCACAGAAGGCCTTATTGAGACCAACGCCGATATTTTTGACGCAAATGGTAAATTGAAGGATCTCGAGGATGCTACTTTGCATAGAGTGCGAGCGATCTCCCTTGCGATGGTTTTCGAGGAACAAATTCTCGGCGTGGCTGGGGCTTGGGAAGGGGTATTGGCCCAGTTAGTGGCTCTCATGACTGAGCGACAGAAAACCCGACTTTGGCTCCCAAAAGGATTGCGATATGCCGTGTTTTGGGTGCTCCGAAAGAACAGCGTTGCGCCTGTCATTGTGAACCATACGACTGTTGCTGATCCCGACGCCGTGGAAGCGCAGTCTAAAGCAACCCAGCAAAGTCTCCGCATAAGTCGAGGATACCGAGTCAGAAAACGCAGCGGTATTGGACGCGCGATCATTAGCACCTACCACTGGCTCATCAACGCCGACGGAATGTACGCCCTGCGCATGGTCGTTGTTACAATCGCCCTTGCTATCCCTGCCGTCATTCCATCTAGCGCAGGCTTTTATTATCGCGAAAAGGGTCTCTGGGCATTGATCATGGGTCAAACTACGGTTGTCGTATACATGTCGGACTTCATCCTCTCGTTGGTCTCTCGTTCCGTTGGAACCGTCATTGGTGGCGTGGCCGGTCTGGTGGCTTGGTACATTGGATCTGGCATTGGTGGAGGAAACCCTTACGGCCTCGCGGCGGTTTTGGCAGTCGTATATCCTATGATGATGTGGGCACGCATCTTTTTCCCCATGGCCGTATTGCAAGCCACGATGATGGCCGGAGCAACTTTTGTCCTCGTTATCGGATATAGCTACGACGATACGTAAGAACCAACTTCCTATATTTGGACAAGACTCAACTTGCTAACCCAGATCTGTTTAGGCACATTGCGGCGTATGGAAACCCCGGCTACGGCTACAATGTTTTCTGGCGACGACTTACTCTCGTTATTATCGGAGCCGCTGCCGCCTTGATCATCCAGATTCTTCCCCGACCACCATCTGCATCACGTCACGTCTGTAAATCACTCTCAAACACCATTCGTTCACTATCCGACCACTACGCCCTACTTCTTTCCTGCTGGGCCCAGCCTGGTCGCGACGAAGGTCTATCAGCACAGGAACTCGCATTCAACGTAGCCGGTGCCCTCAGCGCTCTCGATGGACCCGTCGCGCTTTTGAAACTGGAATTCTCCAGCTCTCCCTTTGACAGTGAGCGCCTTGCACAGGTCAAGTCCCTGTGCCAGGACCTGAATCAGAACCTCGCCCGTCTGCTATTCCTGTCCGCGTCGCTGCCAGAACACTTCCAAACGCGCCTGGCGAATTTCTCCGGCCTCCTCGATCACCGCAACATTGGTGAGATCATGGCGGTCTTGGGCGTGGTAGAGCAGGCCCTCAAGACTGGGGATCCTTTGCCCGAAGTGCTACCCACTCCTCTACTTAAGCGCTGCCTTGAATACTGGCAGACGCACCAGGGGGAGATTACACTGACTGCAGATCTCATCCGAGATGAGGATTATCGCAAGTTCTGCGTCGCCATTAGCGCGTACCTTAAGTTCCTAGGTGCCGTTGATGACCTTGTGCTTGTGATGAAGGGCACGTTGGGTGAATCTCACATTGTGAGTCGGGAGCTGCTACAGGAGTTGATTGTGCCTGTGTAATTAGTTGGATAAGCCTGGATCTTCAAGTATATAATTCTTTAATGTTTAGATACAATGTGTATAATTCTCTTCAAATGTTTCAAGCATTCCCAATGTAAATGACAAAAGGGGTAGAAATGCATTTCCATTACGCGATGAGAATCCACTCTCCCCACTTTCTCCGCACGCCGTCTTTGCCGGTCTTTTTTCCCCTCACGAAACTTGATCTTTTCGAAGTTTTCTCCTCATACCAAAAATGCTTTAGCGTAAGCCTTTTAATGATTCATTTCCGTTTTTTTCCCTTCTGATTTAATTCTCATAATGTTCTAAAGATTATAATATACCCAACTTAATTGGCCATGTCTTCACGACTTTCTCGCCTCCCGCGGTGGATGAGCCACTGGTTAGGCTACCGTACCGAAACTCCAACGCCATTACCAAAATACCAGTTAGCCGCATGGTCCTTCATCACAGCTTTCTGCGGCCTCTCAGTCCTCCAAGGAATCTTCAATTATTCCGACTATTTCATCTCCCGCCATGTCCCAGGCATCATCGCCTCCTACGTAAGACCCCAATCACCCAACCAGCGCGCCAAAACCTTACTAACACAAAAAACAGGGAGCGTCCGCAGTCCTCGTATTCGGCGCCATCGAAAGTCCCCTAGCCCAGCCACGCGCCTTAATCTTCGGCCACTTCTTTAGCGCCCTGACCGGTCTCTGCATCACGAAGCTTTTCAGCCTCATGCCAGACCAGGCCCGGTTCGAGTCTCTCCGATGGCTCGCCGCCTCATTATCGACTGCCCTTGCCATCGTCGTGATGCAGCTGACTGGGACCACGCACCCGCCCGCCGGTGCAACTGCGCTTCTTCCCGCTACCAATGACGAGATTTGGGCTCTCTCTTGGTACTATCTACCTGTGGTTCTGTTGTCCTCGACGATGCTTTTGGCTTGCGCCTTGTTGTTGAATAACATGACGCGCCGGTACCCCGTGTTTTGGATTGCGCCTTCGCCCCCTCCGTCAAAACCTGTACCTGTACCGGAGCCGGAGCTGGCCCCGAAGTCCTCTGCTGAGGATGCGACGCTGCCTAAAGACTTTGCTTGATTTTCGGGCGGGTGAACTTTTTTGCATATGCATGTTGTGTGCGCGTTGGGTATCAATACTTATAATTTGTGGATTCGTTCACTGTATATAGTCGCGACTGTGATATAACGACCTTAAAATAATGTGGAAGGCTTCCAGGAAGGGGACTTCTTTTCGCTAATCTCGACTTTCTGGGTCCAGCAATTGGACTGACATTTCTGGATTCAATTTGTCTTCAATGCTCAAATGTTTAGACTATGTAGATGGGAATTGCACGAGCGAAAAAAAAAAAAAAACGAATCAGCCCAAGTTTGAATTAAAATGCTATGCAATGTATCATTGACTCGTAGAAACCCGATTAAAATGGAAGAAAAAAATGTTTCCATCATACATGAATCCACCCAGCTTCACCTTCCTTCGGAAACATGTCCATCGACCCTCCATACTCATGCATACTATGCTGCTGTGACTTAGACGGAACATCCTTCTCTTTCGGCTTCCCAGGCCGACAACACCACTTAACAAAGCAAAGCGGCAAATGCTTCTTCTTCGCAAGCGTCATCCCCATTTCCCGAATCCTATGCCTCCTAATCTTGAAATCATAAGGACGATTCTCATCGAGTTCATCCGCAAACAATTTAAGATGTAGTTTCTCATGCGCATTAAGCTTAGTGAGAAGCTTAGCCGCCTCATTATCTTCGAACTCAAAAGATGTCCCCAGCGTGACATACAGCCTGGCGATAGGATGCAACTTCGGCGAATGCCAATCTAACGATGTCCATTCCGGCTTGACCAGCCACGGGAGACGACGCTCCTTCATCACTGCAAGCCACCAATCCCCAAACGATAACCGAGCCTTCTTACCAGCAACAGCATGCACGCATCCATAAGTTCCTTTAGCAGTATGCGCCAGAAGCCGATCAACCACGACATCAATGGGTATCTCGTCTATCGTAACGTCTCGCTCTGGATGCGGGCTTCGCGTAGCCATCTTCATGTGTTTACCCGCATATAAAAGAATCCCTGCCGCCAGTCCCGTTGATGCCGTCGAGGTTGAACTTGAGTATCCTGGGTACGGCTGGCTGATGGCGGGACCCAGAGATGAGGGCCGAACAATGAGAAGTTTTTCAGTCGCTTCGTTCTGCATGAATGCGTTGATGAGGAGACGCTCGGTGAGATGCTTTGCGTAGGCGTAGGGCCACGGGAAATCGTTATAGTCGAACTCGATGCTTGTGCCTGTATCCAGGACGCTTCTCCATTCGTGTTCAGTCTGGGGACCGAAGCCTGCCCATTCGCCCAGATTCTGGGGATCGTAGACCTCGCCGTGTGGGCCGAGGGAGTAGATGCATTCTTTGACGGGGACGTCGGAGATATCGGTCATTTTCCAGAGGTGGGCGTTGGCATATGCGCTGGATATGTAGACGAAGTTGTGCAGGTCTTCGAATTCCATTGCTGTTTCTGCTAGCGATATGCTTGGGGCGATGATGGATGTTGCTAGTTGCTGCAATGAGCTTGTCAGGCTGATGGATGATGCGGCGTGGATGATGACCTGCACGGACTTCTTGAGTTGGCGCCAGTCTGTCTCGTGTAGGCCCATTTGCTTCAAGGTGATATCACCGCTTAGGAACGTGACGCAGGAACTTTGGAAGAGCGCGGCGGCCATTGGTTCTGGGAGGAGTTTTTGCCATTTTGCATATGCAGTCCTGGTGGTATTGCATGTTAGTTTGGGCTGTACTGGATTGATCTGATCTGGTCTGCGTAAGTGGTGAAGCTGTTTTTCTCAACTCACTCTGAACCTTCGCGACAAAGCACATAGACTCGTTTCGGTGCTGCCTGACTGAGGAGTCTACAAAGTATGGCAGTTCCTAATGCACCTGTACCCCCGGTAAGAAATATGGATTTACCACGATAGTATCCCCACATGGTTGAGCGCGTTCCACTTTTTTTCTTGTTAAGAATCTGAGCAGCGAACAAAAAATAGCAAAAATTCGACACAGAATCATCTTGGGGCATCTATCATGCTATATGTACGGACATCTGCAAGGGGTAAATGTCAAGTATGCTCGCAGGCCCTGTGCTGATCATTCCTTAATCCTTGATCCTGGGGGACAGAAGGGGCCCACATTATTTCCAAAGTGGAACCCTTCAAGACTGTATGTGCACGTCTTGTTTTCATTTCTCGCTTTGAAGAGATTGGCAAATTGAAGCGATGGAATTTTGGAATTTTCTTACTCCAAAGCCTAGAGCGAGCGAGACGGCTGCGTGGAGCACGGATAGATCTGCCACCCGATACTGGGAACTATAAAGGCCGTAGGGCAAATCCAATGAACATTGAAGAATGTTCCCTGGAATATCCACCTACTGCCCTGTGTCCCACCTGGCACGAGGGTGAACTGAATCCATGATCGACGTCATTTCTTCAAACAAACATTCATAATGCTCGGAACTAATAGATCTACTCTATACATCCAAAATACAGACGCCATCAAGAAGGAGTACCGACCAAGGTTTTATATGTACTTGCATGTTGATGGAGATAAGAGGCTAAGTAACGGGTATATTTTTTTCTTAAATGTGATCCCATCCCCAAGGATGCAAGACCTGCATCTCATTGATAACGCAGGACTTCCCCGGTTCTCGATTTTCCGGACTCAAAAGGGACCAGCGATCCATGCGATACTGCACCACCTTATCTTTCAACCAGGTGGTTGTTGTCCATCGGCGCAGCCTGTTTACCCACAGTCCTTGTAAGATAGCACGCGCCGAAAGCCATTTCGCGGTGGGATTCACAGCTGTATAGGCCGGACCACTATACCCAACTCGAACGAGCGGATTCATGAAAACGCCATCTTGTTTAGATAGTGGGTTATCCACGTGAATGAGACAACACTCAGAGGCTTCTAGATGTGAGGAAGCGAGAGAGTCTGGGATTCCGCGGAATCGCAGAGGGGGGCTCGCAGTGAAGGGAGCGGCAGGCATTGCAACTATCAAGATATTAGTTTGCAAACAATAGTAATTACGACGGAAAAATCTGCAAAATACTTACCCATACCGTTCCAGCAACTTTGAACAGGAACTGGAGAGAGGTCTTTTACGGCCTTTCGAGATGTCGCATCGCGAAAGAATGGCCATGTGGTCATCATGGCCTCATGGCCGCTGGCGTCGCGGAGAGCGAACGTATCATAATAGCTGGGAGGTTTGGCAAAGTCCATCGAGCAAGCGGCGGCATAGCTGCCGTCATTAGTATCTAGCAATTCGAACACATCATTTGGCTAATTATTTTGATAAGGTGAGTGATTAGATCGAAATATGCGGGGTATAATTTGTTCCTACCGTGAACACGACGTCATTGAGGAACAAGATCTTATCAAATGTGACACCCTGTTTTGCCAATTCTTCCAGTGGCTTTAGGCTCATGTTTCGGGTGCGTGACAAGTACGGGATTCGTCGCAACTCCATATCGCCTTTGGGAGTTTGAACCCAACCTTCTCCCGGTGTCGCGGCCATCTCATCCTCATGCGTCACCGGTGACAAGATAATTGTACGTGGTACCTGAAGACGTTCCAACTCTAGATCGAGCTCCATCAATGCGCCCTTGGTATTGTCATAGCTCCCGCTCTCATAAATGCTAACGTAGATGTTATCCGGGCCAAGTTTCCAGGCGAGATTCAGAAGCGCCTGGTTCCAATGACTGCGTAAAATGGGTTCATTGTTCCAATTTACGCCGGCGATGTAGATCCGTTCCTTCCGGCGCGGCTGGTCGCGGTATATGAGGTCGACCTCGGATATGCGTTGGATGATCACGTAGAGCTCAATTAGATTCCATGCGAAAAATACGAAGAGGAATATGCGGAGGAGCCGGCTCCGACGTATCCTCCGTCGGAGAGTCAGGTACGAAGCATGCAGGGAGGACATAAGGAGCGGACGCCGGGAATCGCGGCAACGAGGTTGGAAAGGAAAATCAAGACGAGTGACGCATTATTTGGTTATTGTCGGATGAGGCGGTAGAGAAGAACCAAGGCCAAGTGTCTAGGCTGTAGAAAATTGAATTACCGCGCCAAGTGGGCAAGTTGCGAATCAAGGGGGGCTCAAGTGACGAGAGAGAAGGGCCCTTCATACTTCCGAAGCTAGAAAGACGCGCGGCGATCAGTGGGAAACGTCAAACTTGATCGACATAATTTTCATATTTAACTAAGGCAAATCAGCTATATACACTTCTGGAGTCTCAATAGTTCTTCAAATTGAAGAAATTCGAAGTGAAAGAAGTAAAAAAAAACAAAAAAAATCCAAGGGCCCAAAGGGCTAAAAATAGGAGTTCAGGAGAAGAAAGAGACAAAAAAGTCCTAGCCAAGGGGAGTCCAAGCCCACTAGCGCAATGTTTACCCCATCAGCGAAAACATAACCAACACGGTTGCCGCGAGGGCCACTTTTACTTTTCTCCGAACACCCGACCCCACACTGCTTTGAGTAGCGCTTGCAGCCGTGCCTGATTGAGTGCTACTGGTAGCCACTTCACTTGTCAGCCAAGGTTGACCCGGAAGAGAGTCTGAACTCTCAGCATCCTTGTTGAGCATCTTATTCTCGAGCAAAGCGCAATCCACCCTCTCCGAACTTTCGGGAATGCTGTTGGTGACTGAAATGGGCCAGTCAAACACAGTATAGTAATCGGTGCCGTTCCAGCGAAAAGACTGATGCATCGAAATGTTATACGTCCCGTCGCTGCTGCTGCTCGTCCCGTCCACAAAACACGTGGGCCAGATCCAATTCACGTGTTTGACGGTCGAAGATGGTTCAAGATCTAAGACTGGCCCGACATAACCTGTGGTATTGGTAGCCGGGACAGTGCCATTGGAGATTGTGAAGTTGTGCGATTTTGATTGCGATGTCAAAAATAGGGTGATGTTGTGGAAGAGGGTGGGCGCATCCGCCGATTCGGATGGCGGCCAAGACAGAGCACCATTGCCAGATACGTCGATCGCGACTTGAAGGTTTGCTGCAAAGGTGGTCAGTTTGTTAGCTAAAGTTCCCGAGTTCAACATGTATTGAAGGTTGACATGCTTCCTCCCAGCGGGGTGTATGGTTGTGGGGCGTCCACAATAGCCAAACCTGGCGTGTAGATTTGACCATTTACGATGGTGAAGTTTCCCATGATGAATGTTTTTGATCAAGGTTCAAATTTTCCAAAAAAAAAAAAAAAAGTGTCAAGGTGATCAACTTCCGATTAATTCTGCTATTTGTGTCATTTTAATATGTTGTCCCTTCAAAGCCTTTAAAATCATTTGGGGATTGCCAAGGGTCTCATCTCCGATGCCTCCGTGTGCCCCTTATGGTGTGGCGCTCGTGGGCTAATCTACGGATATTTCGTTCATCTCGCCTATCCGCTAGTGCAGGGTCTTTGCGGGGCTCTACACATATTGTCGAGCCAATGTCAAAAAGGGGTCCAAAGATTGAGATGAGGTGTCTGCTTCGAATTAAAAGCCAATAACTGAAACCTTCAAAGCCGTGCAGCCCTCCAGCTTGAGGGCTGAGCACACTTCGAGACTGCACATGTGGCCTGGCGACCAGGCGAGAGTCCTGCAAGGCACTTTAAATCCCCATATTCGAATTTTCATGTTGCAAGAGGGTACCGTTCTCAGCCGCAATCAATAAGTCAGACCTTTCCCGGGCAGCTCTAATTATCTACAATTTTTTTTCTTTTAAGCTGCTGGCCCTCCGTGACGTTTCGCAGCTTATGTAATAGGTACAACGCGTTATTGATCAATTTCAATTCGTTTCAATGTTCCCACACCCTCACCTGAGTCCTGAAAGTATATACATTTGACACAGATGTATTGATGTAGAAACGTGTGCCCATTTCCACCGGTTTTTATTTGGTGATTTCCTCTCAAGTGCTGCCCAGGTGGACATGCTCCCCACATGCAGGCCAGGGCTACACTACATGAGGTCCAGATGTCCAAGGGTAGATCTCAGTGCTTTACAGATTCTTTGATGGCCATCCTGTTCTGCTCAAGTGTTGGCCATGATTTTACGATCAATTCTCAACATTGTTAGAAAACAGATATAAAATTTAAACACAGGTCTCACAACGTGACTATATATAAAGGGGCGAACATGCACATGTGGGCGCTGACAAGGAAAATGAGTCAAATATTGTGGCTAAAATTCATATATCTCAGCAAGTGCTTGAGGGCTCTGAGTTGATTGGTTGACATGACCCTTCCAAGATTCTTTCCAATAGACCAGCTGACCGACGTTGGGACCAGTAACTAGTAGGGAGTAATGCTTGCAACCTTGGAATGAATGCTTGAATGCCATTTAAACAGCGAGAAACAAGGTTGGAGAAAATACAGAAAGGACATCCGGGCAACATGAGATACTTTCACTAAATTTAATTAGATATTTGTTCACTTTCAAATCCCTTTACATGTTTGGAGCACTTACATGCCTGCAATTCTTTTGACAGTTGCAAGAGAGACAATATTACTCCTCAACAACGGGAGGAAGAGGCTCGTCATTGAAATTTGCCGGGGTGGGAGCTGCAATGGCTCCGATGAAAAGGAGCGCAAGAGCGGCGAGTGAAAATTGGAAGTTCATTGTTGAAACCTTGAAAGTGGTAGTAGTAATTTTATTTTTGATCAATTGATTAAAATGTTGGTTGTTTCAATTTTTTGGGAATGAGGACATTGGGAATGGCCGCATATAAATATCTCCAAGGTGAAGCTAGACTGGTGATATTCTTGAAATTCCCAATTTTACAATGTAACCTGAAGATATGGATTTATCCGTATTCATAGCGCCTAATTCCCAAACAGGTATCTGAGATGTAGTTGTAGAAAGCCAAATATGCAAGATTGAGGGGCAAACTTGGAGTCCTCCAGCATTAATCGGAAGCTATGAGGTTCAGCTGTTCCCCTCATCCATTTCCGCAAATGACCTTTAAATAGATGTTTGTCTACAGACCAAGCACGCAATATGTACCCATGAACGCGATAGCAAGCCAAAGATACAGGGATGAGGAGAAATGCAGGATTTACCCCGAGAGTTGCTCTCGTGAGTCGTGATAAAGATACAGTACGTTGCGAAACCGGTGCAACCGCCTCCACTCTTCGAGTGACTCCCCTGGCGAGGACACTAGGACACTTTAGGAATAGTCCCGGAGTATCAATATTCCTGTACCAGTCTCGATACTGTCATTTACTTTCATTAAATACAGCGCCGTGTTTCGTAACAGTATTGGCGACCCAACGGAACTAGAATTTTCCATGGAAATGCAAACATGCCAAACACTGGATCTGCGGATGCCCCGAGAATCTAGCAACCTGACACTTCCTTCCTGTGGCCAAGTGACGGGGGGTCTTACTCGGTACCAGACCTTGCAAAATAGTGGTTTATATTACTTGCGTGCTGTACCACTTGACTACTCATGAACCTGCTTATTATAATAATCAGCCTGTCAGCCACTGTCCTCTCTTCTTGATGCCCTATAACATACTTGGTCGAAGCTAACACATAACTATGTTAAGAGACTCCTCAGTGGCATCTTCTGTCTCGCAGGGATGACTTACACTTATTTTAGTGAAGATCTCAGGTCGACCCGAGATATAGGATATTCTCTCTCGCGGGAAGTGATTGAAACCTTCTTCAGGCCGGGTCCCCATCTACATACATAGCGGAGACGAGTCGACTGTCATCTATATACCACAGGAAGACCAAGCGCTGTGTCTTGATTTCCTCGATGATTGTCACTCTGACAGGGTCGATCGTTATAGCCACACCTAGCTATGACACCGTAGTTTCGTCGTTGACTGGAAAAACCCCATATTGTACTATAATTCCTCTTTTTTCCATAATAGCCGCTGTCTCTGGTCCCATGCCTGCTGGTATAATAAACCAACTTGAGCAGCGCCCTCGGCCACCAGATAGCAGTCTAGTAGCCGTCCTCCTATGATCTCAACATCACCAAGAGCGTGTTCAAGGCTCTGCTTTATTAATGATCCGTCAAATCCACTCGTCAAAATAAACGCTTTATCAATTTTGCTAGCGATCATGTCATCCCGAATATCTCCGGTAGGATTGTCTATACAAATGTCAGCTAACAATTTTACCCAGACGGCCCACTGGCAACGTACTCGCAGCAAGGAGATAGTTATGAATATTCTGCCCAATGCTTTGAACATATCTCATCTCTACTGCTTCGACATCAACCCATGACAACACAGCGGTGACGTCGGGGTCTTTCAGATGAAGAGGGTATTCGTTATGGTGATGGTCCTGGTGGTCCTCGGTCCCCAGCACTTCGCGATCAATATTATCTCGTATCAGCACACGCGCCTTCCGAACTTCTTCCTGCAAAGCAGCCTTGGATCCACCGAGCCAAAGCCAAGTCTGTAGGATTTCCGATCGTTCAATGGCCGAGCGGGTTATATCCCGATCGAGACCGGCACTTCCCCATGGGTCCATGGGGAGGCGCCCATTTCGGGCCATAGGCCGGGGACTCGCATTGAGACTTTGCAGGTCTAAATAATATTGTCCTAGGTCCATGATGAGATATTTCCCGTCCGCCTCTCGTGGAGTCCCATTGCTGCTATATGTTGATACAGCCATCCGGCTCATGGGCTCCTGCAAAGGCGTGATGCCAACCTTCCAGCTCGCCTCGAGGAACAAATCCACCAGGGTTTGGTTGAAAAAGTCCGGGAGGGCGATGATCGCCGATTGCATATCAATGTTGTGCTTGGTGCGTGCCTCTTCCTGCAACCGCGTGAGGATATCGACAAACGCATCCTTCACATCATTCAGCGCGAACTCCCCTAGTTCCGACCTCTTGGCGCTGCGAAGCCGAGCCGTGATGCCGTGCCAAGCACTGCAGACGCACTGCCGTACCCAAGACAGGTTCGCTGTGTCATGGCTACAACAGGTCAAGGACGATACGAGCCTTGCAAACAGCTTTACCACAGCATTGGAAATGCCGGAGGTCCCTTCGTTCTTCCGGCCATATAGGGCGTCGAGCGTGCCGTCGCTCCATGATTCTAGTCGCAGCAGGAATAGATAGATACTGAAGGGATCGCCTAGCTCAGGTTTGATACAGGCTAACAACGTCACATTATCACTGCTATACGCATGTGCGACAGTTCTAGGATTCTGGTCAATAGTCACCACAGGGGGGGAGGGGGGTTTGGCGGCTTCATCAAAGCGATGTTCGACACGCACATCATATCGGGCCCGAAATCAATGCCGATGGCCTGAGGGCGGGCTGCAAAGATTGCGTCTACAAGGGATAGAGCGAATCCTCCGCATAGAACCCATCGCAGCAAACACACCATGTCGGATTGATTGGTATACCACACAGGTCAAGCAAGGGTTTCAGGCAAGGCGGAGGGAGTCATGATTTCCGTGTGAGTCTAGAAAATGCCAAGGCACATTCGGCGCTACTTCACATCCAGTGATACACCACCAATGAAGTGATGAGTTGCCAGTAAAAGTGAAATTGAGCCCCACCTCAGCTTCACCTCTGGTAATGGCGGTGGATGGGCATTGGAGGTATCAGATGTATGAATTTACAAGTGAATACATGACTGAAATTACTGTATAACCTACGTACGAAAGAATACATACGTAACTCCCGGAAGAACTCCAAATACAGACTAGTGTGTTTCGGCACAAGCGGCAGAATAGTTAATCGGAGAGTGGATCAGTTGCACCGGTTTGGCGATGTACTGTAGGAGAATTATTACACAATCAGCTTTATGAAAGAAACGTTATAGTAGGTGTTATGTTATTGTGTTTGGCTTTGGTGCCGTTGAGTCTATTTGAGCTTATTTTACCTTCCAGATTGAGTTTAAGATTGAGGAACTTGGTATTATCTTATATTATTTATGATATTATCTGTTCTTGTTATGGTTATGATACAACTCCCCCGAATTTTCATTGCCTCACTTTCCTCTGCGGGGGAAATGGAAACGACGTTACATCTTTCATTTGATTCCGTGAGCTAACGGAAGCGAACTATACTCAATTGATATCAAGGACAATCGTCCCAGGATTCATGCTGCAGGCTGCAGGCGACGCTTAGCTCTTACCCCTCTTTATCATTAGATAGTATCCGATTCCGGAGATAGGTCACAAGGCCAACAGGAATACCGAAACAAAACACATTTTTAATACGTCGCAATTACTGTGAAGACATACGGTCGCGTTCTTCCTTCCTGTGCTAATCAGAAACAAAAATGTTTCTCTTCAGCAAAAACAAGAACATGAAGTACGACAAGCTGGCCGGAGATGTTGAGTTGGAGGAAGATAGCCCGGTGGATAATCCACAGAGTCCCATGCAATTTCAAAGATTCGGATTGATTTTGGCTTTAACAACGGCCAATATTCTCAGCGCGGTGTTCATTTTCGCGATATTTGCGCGACAGGGAAAACAAGCGCATGATATGTTCCAGACAGGTTATCCGACCGATTTTGGTATGTTTGTAGACCCTCAGCATTGTAAGCCATAATTGACCGTCTTTGAAGACTCAGCTCGACAACACATTGAATTGGAACAAGTCATCTTCACGGGTTCTCCGTCTTACACTTATGCGGGCGTTGAATTTCAGCACCACCCGGCCAAAGTTCAATATGTTGGCAAGCCAAGTTCAGAAATTGATCAAGCTTGGACGGATTTAGTATCAGGTTTGTGTCAATGAATCTAAACATCAGATAACCATTGAAGATTAATCGTTTCTGCTTCTACGTAGGGGGCGAATTTTTAATAACAGAAGAGGAAGTTAACACCCAATGGCCGGGTGTTAATAGTGAGTTATGGGATCAGGAACATGGTGGTTATATGGTCAGGTGAGTATTAAGGGAGATTTGTGTTTGGAAAATTGATTTAATGATCTCTCCCCTTAGACTCGAAGTCTTTCAAACACTTGGTTGTTTGGTAAGTCTCTTATATACTCTACTGCTAGGTGATTCTAATCTGAGTGGTGTAGGACTTGGTGCGTCGTGGCTTATCACCAGCATACTACAACTTGACTGATGACGATCACGCTTATTCTTCAAATGGTGAGCTTGAAAGTTAGAACGAAAAGCTATTATAGAATGACTGACACGCATAGACCGCTGCATCGAACGGATTCGCCAGGCCCTTATGTGCTCAGGTGACCTGACCCCTAGTCCATATCGATATAATCCGGGCTTGGGACACAGCTATATTGATACTGAAAATCTTCATACATGCCGGAACTTTGATCGCCTTCATCGTTGGGCCCAGGAAAGAAGCTCTGGAAGATTGGCCGTTAAGCCGGTACATAAATAGTGAATAGGAATTGACTTCAATCTTGATATGTACATATTTGGTTGCAATCAAAGCCGCCATGGCATTGCCACGCAGCCAGGAAATTGTAGATGTGCTGTGGCGAGCTCGTTCTCCGTGCTGTGAGTTTTCTCAACCGTCCCTTTGACAAATGAGGCAATTTGCTTCGCACAGTGTGTTGCGTGGTGTACATCAGCAGATCTTCCATCAATCAACAACCACCGCTTCTCAGTTGCCATGGCTAATTTGCGCATCGCATACAGGCAGTGCTCATGATGAAAGGTATGCGTGTAAGCAATTCGAATATTTCCCAACGTCAGTTGCTCCATCTCCACTTGGTCCAATGGCTGTGTGAGGTTCGTGTCTTTATACCAGATGCGATCTTCGAAAGGGTGGTATTCGTCCATTGGCTCTGGGTGGAAGCACTCATGGGGGATCCATGCATATAGCATTGGATCGAAATGACAGTTGCGAGCCCTCGCTTCGCTTGCTGAGAGACCGCAATCAGTCCAGTAGTCGAGCTGACCTGGAAATGCAGGTGGTTGTGTATAATCTTGACGATTATAGGCAGTTGAAAAGTAGTAGGTTGTCAAAACCACAGTTTGTGCGATACATATGATAGCGAATATGACGTCCCATCGTTTCTTCTGATTTGGTTCACTGGGTAACCATTTCGCCATAGTGAGTATGTTGATATTGATAAAAATCTTGTCTTTGTTTACTTGTTCATTTGAAGAGGTTGGTGTGTTCCTTCATGACGATAAAAGTGGAAGTCTTATCGATAAAGATACTTGCTTGCGTAACGGGTTGAATCATGTATTTCGTACTTTGTAAAAAATACTAGCGTCATGCAAGATAAGCCCCCGGGCCTTAGCGTGTATCTCAGGGTGATGTCCACTGCATAGCCGCTGTATTTACGGAGAATTGCTCGGACATGAAGTTGCATGTATGAATGCGATGTGATTTGAAGCCGCGCGTTGTAGATGAGACTAGTAGTTTCTCCGCGTACCTAGCTTACTCTAGTAAGATATAGCGTGCTATAGTGATACCACAGTAGCATTCAATTATTGGGTACTATATGGGTCAACGGATAAATTAATACAGAATGAAAAAATAGCCGAATGTGGGGGCGCAGAATAAACTGTCACGAGAAATGAGGATGTTTTCATGGATCTACATCCGTCAACGGATGTATAGTTCCTTTTTTTTCGATTGATATTGTCACCTCGGGAGTGGATGATCAAGATGAGAGCAGAACAGACTTCTTTTATCGCAGAGTAAGGAATCCGAGAGAGCTCTATACAAAAACCATTAATTGACACTCACAGTTCATTGGAACGAAACCACTCAACCGAGTCACTATTACGAGAAAGCAAGGATGACCCAGCTGACATTGAGAGCAATTCATCTATTCCTGGCACCCCTCTGACTCCTCGTCGGCATCTTGTGAGACTTTGGGTGGCATATCAACGACACTTGTATCTTTTAATTCAAGTCATTCAGATAGGGTTCGCCTTATATGGAATTTTCACTCTCATATTTCCAACTGGCTTTCCTTTGCGACATTCAACGGGACCAGGAAAAGACCCCTATGGAATTACCTACGACGACGAAGGAGCTGTCGTTTTTGATAAGCATCCTTGTGACTGCGGGTCTTCAGTTGCTGAAGCTCTTAGTAACGGCTGTGTCTACGATGAACTATCTGCAGCATGGCTGCCAGAACGCTGCCGCGATGATGCACTCACAGCCCAGTTTGCAACAATAGGGGATGGATCCGATGGGCATTGGATGTACTGGGCACATAAAAATCGCACGGGAAACCTCACGGTCCACGAAGTGTCGCTATACTCCGACATCCAGCCCACGCAGTACCATATGAGCTATGAATGGCACGTTTGGCACTGCTTGTACCTCTGGTTGAAAGAACATCGTTTCAAAATCAACGGGAAATACTTTGATCCCAGAGCAGATTCCGAACATCATATCATGCACTGTATTGATGTTTTAACCGAGACTCGTACCAATACTATGACGGCTGCGGGAGCATCTCTAAACGGATGATAAAATATGGCGGCTATATGTCTAAAGCAATAAACTCTAGCACAGAAAATTGCAGAATGAAATGTGGCAGGTTGAAAAGAAAGCACAAAATATGTAGACATTTCTAGTACTGATAACCCATGGGAAGCACGGCTGTTGTATAGAGTCTAAGCGGATTGGCATTCTCATGTCTGGGTATCGCATGGTAAAATTATCAGTTAAGGGAAATTTCCAGAATAAATCTGCACTAATTAGTGCGCAGGTTAGGATAATTTGAAGAAGAGGGGCTTTCCTCCACCATTCTAGGCTTACGCAATTAGAAGGCGGGGGTGATTAGACAAGTACAAAATAACACCGACGCAAGTCCGAACTAGTGGCGCCTTTTTCTCTTTCATTCAGAATCATGATCCCTGATAGAAAGTCACATGATTCTCCTAGTGCTAATATACTTAGGCTCCCAATGCCTCCCATATCCTTCTCTCTTTCCCCTTTATATAATTCACTTCGTTCATTAGATTCCGTCTCCATAGCGGATCTTCACATTATTTCCTACTTAACAGTCAATAAATACCTACGACCAGGCAACATGACTGAGTATAACTGCCCACCTCAACCTCCTCTGGAGCTCAACCACTCGGCCGAGCAGCTGATGGAAATGACGCGTGCTGGTATCGAGGCCTCTCTCGCTCGCCTAGCTTTACTTTCAGCTAAGCCAGTCACCGATTGGACCTTTGATAAGTTCATTGTACCATTTGCCGAGAATGAAAACATTGTGCTCTTGGAGTCTTCGATTGTTGAGATTTACCAATACGTATCCACGGAGAAAGACCTAAGGGACAGTTCCCGCGCAGCGGCGCAACTATGGGCCGTACATTACAATGAGATCAAAACACGAGTGGATCTCTTCCGTGGTATCGATGCAATCCACAAAAAAAGCCGAGAAGAGAAGGCATTGTTAAATGCTGAAGAGATCCACTATCTGGACCGAGTGCACAATGCCTTCTGTCGAAATGCTGTCCATGTCGATGAGCAAACAAACAAGCGCTTTCAGGAGTTGCAGAAGGATATTGAGCAGCTGAGCAACAAGTGCAGGCAAAACGCTCAAGAGGCAGGCGTAAGCGCAGGAGTTTGGTTCGTCGAGGCAGAGCTAAAAGGCCTCCCAGCATCTTATACCGCGAATCTTAAGCGCGATGCTGATAACCGAGCCTTTGTGGCCCTGAAGAGGAACGACATAGACATGATCATGAGATTTGCGACAAATGAAACGACGCGGGAGCGCATGTTTGTTGCTTCCGAGAACAGATGTCCAAAGAACATTGCCTTATTTGAGGAGCTAGTTAGTTATCGCCGACAAGCCTCCCAGCTTGTGGGATACTCATCATACGCCGAATACACCATTCAAGGACGCATGTTAGATGTCTCTGAAGTGAAGGAGCTTCTGGATTCCATCAGAAAACAAGTGGCCGACCAAGCAGTTACAGAGAGAGCGGCCCTTATGAAAACCAAGCAGCAGTACCTCAAATTGCAGGGGAAAGCGGAGCAGGGGAAAGCGGAGGATGAGCTCGATTCCAGAATCCACCTCTGGGACTTACCCTTCTATTCCCGACTCGCTAAGATAGAAAAATATGACTTTGATGAGATAAGTCTGGCGGAGTACTTCCCCCTCGACCCTACACTGGCTGGTATTTTACAGATTTTTGAACGCCTCTTTGGTCTTCGATTCCAGGCTCACGAAGCATGGGTTTGGCATGATACGGTAACAGTCCTTGCCGCGTGGAACGAAACAGCGATGGGCGGCGAGTTCCTCGGCTATATTTATCTCGATCTTTTCGACCGACCGGGAAAATATAATAGTAACTGTAATGTTGTGTTTGCGCCGGTAAGTGACCTGTAAAGTGCACAAATCCATTCGCTGATCTCATCATACAGGGCTTTCCGGGAAGCAAACCTAGCATCGCATTACTGGCTTCCTTTTCTTCTGTGGCACCTACTCTTCTCCGACATCGGAATTTAATCACATTGTTTCATGAGCTTGGCCACACCATTCACTATTTAGTGGGCCAGACACGCTTTGCCAGCACGTGGGGCACCGGTACGTCTCACGACTTTGTTGAGATTCCTAGCTCGATGTTAGAGAATTGGTGCTGGACACCGTCTGTTCTGCATTCTTTAGCGCGGCACTACACATACACCTCCGCTCAAGAGAGAGAAGCCTACTTGCAATCTCATGCCCAACTACCTGATGAGAAGCCCTCGATTGAACTATTCGAAGGGCTCGCTGCCTCCCGGGCAATTGACCAGGGCTGCAACATGTTGAACCGATTACACATCACCCTCTATGATCTTACAGTCTATGATAAAGACCCAGTACCCGCGCTTTCGCTGTCGGTATTTTATAACCAGTTACGTAGCGAGCTCACCTCTCTCATTGGACCAGAAAGCCACGGGAAAGGTCATGACTGGGGATTCGGGCAAGCAAATACCAACCCTCTCTTCCACAACTACGCCGCTGGCTACTACGTTTATTTCTTGTAAGTTCTCTAGATGGATCAGAGCACACATTTTTCATTCTAAAAAGCTAATCGGTCAGGTGCGAGGCATATTCGCGGACTATGTTCAAAACCCGATTTCAGCAGAACCCGATGGATGAAGCTGAGGGACGCCGGTACCGCCGGATCGTTCTAGAAAAGGGTGGGAGCTTGCCAGAGCTACCCTTACTCGAGGAGTTTGTTGGCGGGAAGTTAGATGAATCTCGGATTTTTTGAATATAGTTCTTTCATCGTCTCAAGGGAAAACCGAACCTCGACTTGGAACATTTGAAGTTCACCACACCTCATGGGGCACAAGATGGTCGGAGACAACCTGACGATTCCATCATTTTGCTAGTCAGTTGGATATGTATATCCATGCATGTGGATGAATCGTTCATGTTTCCATATATTCTCGCGGCCCACGTCCCTTAATAAAATTGAATGTAGAAATTGGCACAAAACGCAGCAGCATAAATACTAAGGCCCTTATTCTATTGAGTTCAGTGGTGCTAAAATGACGCTTGATTACTGTTCACTCCTGACAACCCGTTTCAAATACCCCATAACTCCAATCTATTGACGAATCAAACATCACGGCCATCGTGGTAAGCCTGTCGCTGTCAAAACATTGTTTTCAACGTTAATGTAGATCATAGAATGGCCCGTCCGGGTGGGGCTCAAAGCCCCTGCACTGCTGAAACACTGTCAACTGGTGGGAGTGGAGAGCCGAAGATTTCCCACTTCCCCGCTTCTCCGCATGACATTAAAGCCTTCAGCCCCCGCGGGCCGCCTTACCCGATGTTGATCTTCAGACTTCAATCAATTAATTCCACGATTTTCAAGCTCTCGGGTGCTGCGTGGGAAAAAGGAATCAGTTTGGATGGCTCCTGAATGGTATTGTCACATATGTCCTTCGACATTCAGCCGCCCGGAACATTTGAAACGGCATACTGCCGCATCCCGTATGTTTGTGTCCTCAACCCAACATTGATGGCGGTGGCTGAATCACAACAGATAACAACAATCGGTCGCACGAGTGCCCCTTCTGTGGCAACGGATTCAATAGAAAGTACATATCTCTACAAACGTTGATTCAAGGGGCAATTCTGACAGCCAGTAGAGATGTTCTTCGCCGGCATGAACGTACTTGCAAATCGCGAGATCCTGTGGACACGGCTCAAGGTATAGAGCGGAGGTTGGAGCCAAGCTTCGATATCGTTGGGAAACTGAACACCCACCAGCACCAACAGACACGAGTTGATGACCCGGACCTTGATTCAACATTTGGCGAGTCAGCCAGCAAGAGGCTTTGCCAAGAAAATGTTACCCTTTCACGACAAACCGAGAACCTAGACCTATTCTGTTTGGACTCCCGATTACCGTTCTACGGAGATATGGGAGATATGGTAAACGAGGAGAGCAGTTTGAGCGCGGCATATCAACTGGAGTTTTCGGAGCTCGACTCCCTTTTGTTTCCCAGTGTTACCTCCGACATATTGATCGCAGAAAGACTGGAGCATCTAGTAGTCTTTACTAGCTCCAATTTTCAAGGAATGGCAAGTTTTACAGACAGTGAAACTTTCCAATGGAAGCAAAAAATGGCCTGTGAAGCATATGAGGAGAAAATAAAGGCCGAGAGAAGATCCCAGCAACATAACTCAGGGCACGAACCAGCCGACCCACTGTCATCAAAGTCCCGGGAGATTATTGACAGCCTACAAGTAGTCATCACTGACAAAAAGAAAGCCAAAATCACTTCTATTGAGTTGGAGTGGTCAACTTCTACACTGAAATTGTGTCTTCACTTGTTTTCGCCGCCACATATTCGCCGCTTCTTGGAATATTTCTGGTCTCTGTGGTACCCGCATTGTCCTATAGTTCATAGGCCACTTTTCGATGTATCGTCAGCGTCACCACCGCTATTGTGCGTGATGGTGACCATTGGGGCTTGCTTATCACCTCGGAGCACCGACAGAAAAGCCTCAAAGAAATTACTTGACAGCGTTGAAGAGCTGATATTCAATCATGAGGTATTTCGAGCCAGCAAGTCTACCCCGGTGGAGAAAGAATATTCGAAAAAAGAAAATATCCAGTGCATACAAGCGGCATATCTCGTGATCACCTTGCAAAAGCGAGAGGGGTCTGTTGACGCACAAGAAAGAAATCGGCGCTACAGACATACATCAATGGTGGCAGTATGTCAATCTGACTGATTAAAGTACTTGCTTAAGCTTCAAAGCTAACTTATTGAAGCTTGCAAGAAATATTGGACCCAGAGAAGCATCACACCGAAACCTTTATCTCGAAGAGGCAACTCAATCTTGGTGGCAAAAGTTTGCTGAGGAGGAAGAGTTAATACGGTGGGTTTTGATGAAAATATTTCTTCTTGAAACCAAGCAAAAAAAAAGCTGATGTAGCCATTCAGAACTTTGATCTTTGTATTCCTGATGGATGTCGCTCTGATAGTTTTCCACAACTCGCCTCCACGAATGCTGATTTCCGAACTAAGAATGGACGTCGCTTGTCCTGAAGCATGCTTCCAAGCCGAGTCGGCTGCTGAATGTCTTGGGTGCCTTCGCGTATGGGCAGGAACCCGTTTCTGGAAGAACCGACTATCAGTTGTCTCTGTTGTCCGACGCATTTGCCAGAGTCCGATCGAAGATGCATTGGTCCAAGAGTTTTCACAACTAGGCACACTCAATTTGTTCACTGTGGTGCAAGGTAGAGCTGCCAGACCAAAGAGATCATTGATATTCAAATGCTGATACTTCTCTACAGCTATCCACTCGCTCATGTTTCACTTGCACAACTCGCTGGTTTTTGAATCCACACTAGCCCCGGTACAAACCGGGCTGGAGAATTGGAGACAAATTTGGACAGAGAGGGTGCCAGAAGATGAGGGCATGCCCGATACTGCTCAAAATTTATGGAAGCAAGTGGGATTCCTGCGGCGTGCCTCTGAGTTCTGGCATTTGGCTCGCATCATGTCCGACAAAATCATGTCCAACAGCCAGCATGATGATGACTTCGAGGTCAATACCAAGCTTTATAAATATGACCATACTGACATGGACGATGTGAACGGCATGATCAAGGAGTACCGGATGTTGAATTTGGGAGTACAATGATTGCACCTTGGCACAAAATTGTTGAATCAAGTACCCGCCTGAAGCTCATACATTATCTGCCATTGCTGGATAGTTGCTAATCTGCCGGAATATTATTATCGCAATTCAAATCCTGTGATTCAAGGTTATGCTCGATAATTGAGATGCAGCTCAAAGACATGCATTGTTGATGTCACCTTTGTCGTTGTTGTGAAGCCATTATTGTTTCTCGCACATTACACCATGTACAGCAGAGCCGCCGGGATACCTTTAGAAAGTCCTCATTTTCATCGCGCATTCCACTGATTAATACTGATCTGAGACTTCAAAGGGCCCCTAATTGGCACCGCCACTGGAAAAATAAACCAGCCACATTGTATGTGGCTATGTTGCAGAGTTGGCTTTCGGTCGTTCGTCAACAACCGGGAATTCTCGTATTCTTGCAGTTCCCGGGCAGACCAATCAGAATGGGTCAGATGCATCCCTTGGGCGAGAATCCTTTGAACTCTCTTTGTCATTTACGCGCCGAGATTGAGTTAGCTATTCTCAGCAGATCCTCGCGTTTTGCGGCGGCAGCAGCAATGCATTTGTTCGGTCCCCGACTCCCCGGGTCTCCGAGGTAGTGTCCCCAACGGCCCCCACACTCAAGCTGCCTGAAGCTACAGAAGGACTTAAATCTCGTGTTGAACCCTTTTTTACTGAATTTCTTTTCCCAAAATCCATCACTTACCATCATCTCATCCCTGCATTTCTGTTTAAAAAGGCTTCACCCAGTCGATCCAATATATCGTCATGACTTCCGCAAATGAGATCACTGTCTATCGGGGCCACACCGACATCGGATGCTATGTCTGGTCACCCTTCGTCACAAAACTCGAAGCTCGTTTGCGATTTGGAAAGATCGTTTACAAGACGGAGGCGGGCTCTGTAACCAATGCTCCCAAGGGCAAAGTGCCCTACATTTCAATGGAGGGCGAAAATGGGACAACCTTGCTTTCCGACTCAAGCCTCATAATCAAAGCACTTATTGAATCTGGAAAGTTCGAGAATCTAAATAGCAATCTCTCTGGAGCGCAAAAGCTTCAGGATATTGCTCTCCAGGCCTTACTCGAGGACAAGCTATATTTCTACGGTGTAAGCAAGCCCCCCTGAAGCCAGCGCTATCTTGTTGTCATGACATATCGTCTAATAAATATTCCACAGACACATGAAAAATGGATTCAAAACTACTATGCTATGCGCGAAAAGATTCTGGGTGCACTTCCTTGGCCCGTCAAGGCCGTTGTGGGAAATATGATCTACAGGAAAAATGTGCGCAATATGGAGGGCCAGGGAACGGGCAAATTCAGTGAAGAGGAGATCGCTGCATTTCGCCTGGAAGTGTGGGATACTTTGAACGCTGCCATCTCCGAAACTTATACTCAGCATCGTGATGAAGACGGACCATTCTGGGTATGGGGCGGTGATAACCCGACCGAGGCAGATGCAGTGGTCTATGGATTTATTGTATCGGCGTTGACGTGTGGACCGTAAGTTCCGCTTTGCTCTTAAGACATTTGAGTCCCTTATTGACTTGAAGTTTTCTCGCAGTGCCGCTCCAACGACTAAAGTGATTGTTCAAAGCCATCCTGCTCTTGTGGAGTATGCGCGTCGTATCCATGATGTGTACTTTCCTGACTATGAGTTTCAGGAGTAGACAACCATGGGACATCTGGAGAATAAATTTCCGGTTCTAATTTCTTTTTGGAAGGAGGCATTACAGGGCTCCATTGTTATTTTCCTCTATTAAATATCACATTCACTGTTTCCGAGGTCTGAAATTAATGTTTGACATTCCAAGGTTGCGCATTGTCCATATATTCAAACTAGCCAGGACAAGACTTGAGTTCAAAGACTGTATCTAGCCCTGGAGGTACTAAGTTCTTCACCCCAATCGATTTTGATGGGTAATTATACCCAATTTCAATTAATTGATCTTATTACCGCAGTGTGGGAATCTGTAGATGCCGAGATTTCCAAGCCTTGGATGTTCTCGTGGTCGAGGTCAGAGAGAGCTCAAGCACATGTGCTTAGACTCGGTAGCTGAGTGAATATCATGAGAGATCGCACTTCAAGGGTATGTACATTCATAACCAGATGCGCACTGCGTTATTTGACAAGAGTATATGTACTCAGTATCTGAGATTCGATTCACGAGAAAGGTGCCTATTCTGGAAATTTACGAGGTACTACATGGCTATTTTGGAAGACTACGAAGTCGGTGTTTAGAACTATACCCAGGCAGGAGAGATTACGAAATTGGTACCTAGAGTAAGAAATATATCGTACTGAGGCTCTGAAGTAACTGACATAACTTGAGAACACTGGGGGATAAAGAATAAATTATTAAATTTGACATAAATGTATTTAGAATCAAATACTACATTATCACGTACAAATTCATGGATGCAACTAGCAGATACCCAAGTAGAACTCTCAAAGCCCCAGAGAGCCCTTTATAGTGTATACAATTAAGGCAGCTCGCGCTTTTTTCAGATCAAAATTGCAAATTGCCCTAAATTGATAATATCTTAAGCCTTAGTAAGCCCTTTCAAAGTAGTGTACTAGTATGCTATTAAAGAGATATATGTATCAGACTACATTCCCAAGTTATTCGTGCCTGTCCAGGTTGTTTGTGCATGGAGATGCATGGAGATGCACAGTGACGCAAGAATGCAAGAAATATCAACAATCTTTGTTGGATGAAAAATACGAGTCAATGCCCTCGATAATTTTATTGTTTGGAGTCTATATTTGGGGCGGATCAAAGGTGAAGGTAAATGAAAAGCCCTGGAGATGACTGTGATCTCCTATTTAGGTGAATTTGACAAAGAGCTATTTTGAAAGCATCAATTCATTGTTTGCTCACTCCAATGAGAGTTGAAAGATCAAACAAACTCCTTTCATGTCTTTGTTCAGATGTAAAACCAGGCCATTGTTCGGTAAAGATGATCATGGTCGAAGGTCGGCTATAAGAACTCCTTTGCCCAAGTTCTGAACTACCTGGGGATTAATACTGGCTACATGCTCGAGTCCATTAATCTTGAAACTCGACTGATTAACATTTAGCTACCCAAGATGAGTCGCCAACCCAACAAAATGAAGTCACCGGATTATTTGCAGAGACTAGAACTTGAGTATGAGATTCAAAAGGAGAAAGAGCGCCGAGAGAGAGCAGAGCTAGAGACTCGAGAGCATGCCCGGAAATATGAGGAAATTTACAAAACAGTCGCCGAATTTGAGACGAAAATCGAAAAGGCAGAAGCCTATGCTAAAAAGAAAGAGAGTGACGCCGGGAATTTGAGCCGAGCGCTGAAAAAGGAAACAAGACGAGCCGAATTGAAAGATTGGTACATCCAACGGACAGAAGAGACCATTCTTAAACTCGAAAAGCTTGCTCTTTCACAACGAGAGAGAGCTGCCGGGGCTGTGAAGAGCCTCCAACTGAAAATTCAACATGGAGAAGATCGCACCAAAAAGCTCAGGGAGATGTTCGATGAGATCTCGGCAATTGTACGCAGACAGGCGGGCCAGATTACCAAGAATAACAAGGAATGGCTTATCTTTCACCAACGGCTACATGATTACGGGGTGATGTTTGGGATACGGAGAAAGGAAATCTTAGAGAAGATCCAAAAAATGCAGGACACCTTGGGACTTTCTGAAGAAGCCTTGCATCAACGTGCCTGCTTATTGAATACCCGGACAATAGAGCTAGATGCTCGATGCAGAGCAGTCATGAAGAAAAATAAGGAGTCGAAGGACAAAATTGGAAAAGGGTTAGTGGCAAGAGGAGCGCATATTGCTAAGAACCAAAAGAGGCATTCTTCGAAACAAAAGGACAAAGGGAGACAGAATAGGAGAGAAAAGAGGCTCTGGAAAAAGTATAGACGCACCGCCTGCACTTCCGACACTGACTCTGATAGTTCTTCTGCAGATTCCTGTTCATCTTCTGACTCATTCGACGCTTCACTCGAACCAGCATACCACCTTCAACTTGTTGACGCTACCTTGCAGGCCAAGGAATCGTTGAAAAACATGCCGCACCAATTCGACATGCCATGGAAGGTGCAGCGTATGACTGACATGCGTGATGGTGTGGTGTATCCTGATAACAGACCACCACCCAATGGAATATTTTCGCTATATATTTCGGATGGGGAGCAAAAATCATGCCCTGCTACCGCTAGTAATAGAGGATCACTGAAAACGGCGGCCCTCCTCATCAATGGCAAGCCACGGCAAATTTCTCGGAAGCGTGTGCGACTTGAAGCCTCGAACCTCCAAGACTTGGGCGACCGAAATGGGATCCAACGTCCTTCCCTGCCTAAGCGACGAAAGTCGAAGACCGAAGGCCATCCTCTCCGATCTTCCCGGGAGATTAGACACTCACCACTCAATCGACAAGGCCCGGGGGGACCAGTGGTTTGTCAGTACGCTCCCCGTGAGGAACTTGACCTAGATCAAAATTACCAATCGTCGCTTCATACTGCAGGAACAAAACAGGGGCCGGTTACGCCATTGCCGGATCTCGCCCCGAGAGAAGCCCCAAATTCCGAGGCATCGTTTCCTTGGCCTTATCCAATCCATGCTCGATTATGGGGACACGAGTATCTTGAATCACAGCGGCGAAAGGCTGAGATGATCGGACATGCCTCCCCTTCCTTTGGCCATGTTCCTTTCCCAGCGCTTCCATCTATTATCAGTGCCCGGGCTGGTTCTTACCGAAACCATCGAGGGTTTTCAATCAATCGGCCACCAAAAGTGGTGGAGGCTAAGTCGACACAGTACAATGACGAGAATATAAATATTGAGACGGAGCTTAATGCCGAAATGGAGACAGCCCTGTCAGACCCTGGGGTGCCCGGGATGTGGCCCAATGAAAACCCAGTTGATGACGGATCCGATGCGACCACGCTTGAGCACGTGTTTGAGCCGTTCGGGGATAGCATGCGCCGATTATTCCACGGACGGCGCTACCAGCTGGCTGGTGGAATAGTTATCTTAGGCGTACTTGTCTACGCTTATGTCGGGCAGCATGCGCACCACTTGTGGATGGCATACAACGAAGTTCCCCCTGTTGCTCTCACGAAATTGCGCAACGCGGCCATGTCGACAGTCCGTGGGTCAACACCTTTTACCTTCAACGTCATGAAAGTGTGCAACCATGACCGATCAAAGCTTGGCTGAGGGCTTCGGGGATCAATTCCGTTTGTGGGTTAGTTAAGAGACGTCGCTAGCGTTGATCGTAGGCTACCGCTGGACAGTATTGTGTTTTTGGAATACGGAAAGATACCGGGAGGATGGCATCCCTTTTGTATACATAATCGTGCATGATCCTAATGTCTGTGTAATGTATTATTGTTAGAACGGTGTCACAAAGCAAATTACAACAAAGCAAAGAATCAAACATATCAAATTCCAACCAATCATAGTTTGTGCCACGCATCGAGCTGGCGTCACCCACTCCACTTAGTCGCCCCATGGCGGACTAAGACGGATCAGCTCCACTCCCTTTCCTTTCCCCTCTAAAGATATCCTCTTCCTCCTCTGGAGTTTTCAAACAATCAACCTCCATCCCAATTTTTGTCTTCGACGTCCGCTCTTTTCAACCATGTTTGTTCGTTCCATCCTGCTGGGTGGCGCGGCTGCCGTGGGCGCCAGCGCGATGCTGGTCGTCCCTGAGATGGAAGCCCAGATGGACAACAAGCAACTGGAAAGTATTGAAGATGATTTTGTGCAAATCATGCAGCCTGTTTATGCAAATGTTGACTTCAACATGATGCTCAACTGCGACGAGTGTCCTTTCCGTGAAGTCAACGAGGAAGGTGTCGTCAGCTGGACTGATGACAAGCCATCTGCGCTCGTATGTCGAAGCAATATCCTATAAAGGCGAATCACTAAGCTAATGATAATCTAGTATGTCAACTTCCGCGTGGAAGACAACCGCTTGCTGGCCAACGACCAACAAATCTTCCCTCCCGTTCCTCCAGGCCCCATTACTGTCACCCAGATCGCCAGAGATAGCGTTGACGAGTCGAGCCCCGTCACCGTTGGCTACGCCCTCGAGGTCATGCCTCACCCCCGCCCCGCCGATGCGCAGGACGCTGACATGCTTGATGTCCGGCTCACTATCCTGGACCTCGAGTCCCACCCCGTTCCTGTTGACACCATTGCGATCACTCTGATTCTCACCCCGACCGGCGACATGTTCCTTGCCGATGGTGACTTCGAGAAGTCCACCGGACACCACCAGAAGCAGTCTTGGAAGCAGTGCCACGGCAAGCCCAAGTGCCTGCAGGAGCTCCTCTTCTCCCGTATTCATGATCTTTTCTCGTCCGCCAAGGACCGTGTTATGGGCATGGGTGGTAAGGGTGGCTGCAAGGGCATGAAGGGCATGAAGGGCATGGGTGGCCACCACAAGCAGCATGATGAGTTCGGCCTCGAGGGCGGCAAGGGACCTCACCACAAGCACCACGACGACTTTGATGGCGAGAAGGGTCCCCACCACGAGCACCATGATGACTTTGATGGCGAGAAGGGCCCCCACCACGAGCACCACGATGAGGCCGATTTCGATGGAGAGAAGGGTCCCCACCACGAGCACCACAATGACTTTGATGGCGAGAAGGGCCCCCACCACGAGCACCACGATGACTTTGATGGCGAGAAGGGTCCTCACCACAAGCACCACGACGAGGCCGATTTCGATGGAGAGAAGGGTCCCCACCACGAGCACGAGGAGGGTTTCATGTCCATCGAGGAGCTTGAGGAGAAATTCGGTTCCAAGGCCCAGGGCCACAACCCGTGGGCTGTCCACCACGGTTTCAACTCTGAGGATGCTGAGGGCCGCCCCCCTCGCCCTCACCACATGCACGGAGGTCCCCACGGCGCTTTTGCCCACACTTTCTCCCGCGTTGTGCGCTTCATTGTTGTCCCCGCTATCCTGGGTGTTTTGGCCGGTCTGACCGCCAGCGCTGTTGGTATGCTTGTGGGCCAGGCAGTCATCTTCCTCTGGCAACGTTACCGCGGCACCAAGAAGCAGGAGCACAAGGCTGCCTGGGAGTCGGGCAACGTCTGTGAAAAGCAGGGCCTGATGACCGAGTCTACTGAGGAGTACCTCCCCGAGTACACTGAAGAGGCTTCCCAGATCCGTGGATCCATGGACAAGAACTAGATTTCTCTTCGCTTGACGGTTCAATTCTGATAAATTGTTGCCAGATTTAAGACGAAGAAGATGCCATGTGCATTGGAAAGTTAGAATCTTAACTGTTGATGAAGTTTGAAGGCTTTATTTCATTTTCTTCCATGTTTACATGTTGATTACTTCCCCTTTTATTATTACGTTTTCTACATGTCGTTTTAAACGTCCAGCTTGTACAGCGAGATTTCCTACAATACACTTTATTCCTGAAATTTAGTTTGGCCGTGCCTTATGTAGATTTTATACCACACACCCACCTAATTTATTTTACTTTTTCTAAAATCGAAATCTAATGTCCAGCCATATCTTTTTTCCTACTTCATTTTTATGTTATAGTAACTTATTTTATTCGATGGTGTTCCGGCTGCTAAGGCTGAATCTCACGTGACAGGTACTCCTCAACCCCGTGCGGCACCCCTCTTACAAGTGTATCAAGCCAGGAACGACTGCTCTGTTTCCACATTTCCCGAACTGCAGGTCCAGTGTTTGACAAAACCATGACCGAGGCTGTACAATGACCTTGAATCTCTTACCTGAACCTCATACGGGCTATTTTGCAATCACCTAGCCCGGATCAGCTTTCTCACCTGAATCGCAGCTATAGCTCCGCCCCCGACATCATCGGCACTGCATACTTTCCAGCAAGCTAGTTCAACCGACTTCCCAACCACCCAAAATGATACCATGGTCATCATTCATGCAAAAGGCTCAATCACTGATTGATCCTGCGAACTTCAACATTCCATCCCTCTCCTCATCCGACGACAATCCCTCGAAAGCCTCTCTCTTCCGCCAACAGTTCCGCCTACCCGATTCCCAAAATCCCCTACAAGAGATCACCGCTGAGCTCATCCTTCCTCTCCCAAGCTCATCTTCTGGCTCTGGAGAATCGTCTCGTCGGGCTGACAAGGCAGGCAATCGATACACGGGCCGTTTACATGTGAGCGAGCGGTTCATCTGCTTCTCCACACAACCAACAAGCTTCTTGCCATCGTCAACACTGAGTGCATCCACTAGCTGGACTGGTCAGACGCACGGGACGGGGCCTTCTGGTAATGGCTTCACTATCCCCCTTTCATGCATTCGTCGTGTCGAACGACTGAACAGCGAGACAAATATCTTTACTCTGGCATTGACGACATGGAACGGCTTGTTGAGCAAGAAGAAGGAGGAGAACACAGGGAACCAGCGTCTTATTCTGCAACTTATTGGCAGCAGACAGGCCAGCGAACGGTTTTGCGACTGCTTGAAGAAGGGCTTACGGGAGGGTATAAAGGAGGTCGACGGGCTGCGTGCTGTTGTGACAGACTGCTACTCGGAATACTTGCTATCTGGAGCCAAGCAAGCTGCCAAAGAGGGAAATGATCCCAATGCACGTCAACCACCAGATGCCGGATTGGGTATGCTCTTCCGCTATCCTGGCGATGCACGCAAGCTTCGAGACCGTAGCAAGATGAGACTTTGGGTTGAATATTTCCGAGGTATGTCTAGCGACCTCACTCGAGTGATATCTTACTGACCCTTATTTAGAAAACGGGCGCAATGTGACTCTCGTTCGACAACCCACATTTCACAAACTGATTCGCGTTGGTTTGCCTAACCGCCTACGTGGAGAGGTTTGGGAGCTTTCTTCTGGCTCTCTATTCTTGCGGGTTCGCTCGCCGAAACTTTACCAAGAAACATTGGACAAATTTGAAGGCCAGGATTCGCTTGCGATCGATGAAATTGAAAAGGACCTGAACAGAAGCTTACCAGAGTATCCGGGATACCAGAGTGAGGAGGGTATTGGTCGTCTACGACGAGTTCTCACGGCATATAGTTGGACAAACGCGGAGATTGGCTATTGTCAAGCTATGAACATCGTTGTTGCCGCATTGTTAATGTTTGTTTCGAAACCCTTGTATCTACAAACCGTTACTAACGTGGAACAGATATATGTCTGAGCAGCAGGCCTTTTTCCTGCTTTCTGTGCTTTGCGATCGCCTTCTGCCCGGTTATTATTCCACCACCATGTACGGCACACTACTTGACCAAAAGGTGTTCGAGTCCTTGGTGGAGAAGACAATGCCCGTCCTCTGGGAACACCTGGCCAAATTCGATGTTCAGCTTTCTGTTGTCTCTCTGCCGTGGTTCCTTTCTCTTTACATCAACTCGATGCCCCTCGTCTTTGCATTCCGCGTTCTGGACGTTTTCTTTCTAGAGGGTCCCAAGGTCTTGTTCCAAGTGGGTCTCGCCATTCTGCGAATCAATGGCGAGGAACTCCTGAGATCCAAGACGATGGATCATTTATCTCTGTGCTCAAGTCGTACTTTTCGCGTCTGGACGAATCTGCACACCCGAAATCAGAGAACCCAAAGCTTCGAGCCATTACTAGATTCCAGGAATTGATGGTTGTCGCTTTCAAGGAGTTCTCTGGCATCACGCACAGCACAATCATAGAACAACGTGATAAACACAAAGGTGCTGTGTTGGAGAATATCGAAAATTTCGCCAAGCGCACCTCTATCCGCAACCTTGGACCTGAGAGCAAGCGCCTCAGTGTGGATGACCTCGGTACCATCTACGACCGGTTCTACGAGACCCTGTATCATTGGCAACAACACCAAAATATGTTGGAAGAGGAGCGCAAACGACAACAAAAGAAGAAGTCCGAACGTTTCTCCATTCTTGGCCCTCCTGCGGATAGGGAGATGGGTCGTGTTGGTCTTGGCCCCAGCCCTACTCATATGGATTACGATGCATTCCGTGAATTTTTGGCTGCAACTTCGAAATGGGCTGTTTCCGACACACCAGCTTCCGCTCGAAAGGATTCTGCCAATAGTTACAACAGCTTCAAGGGTAACAAGTCGTTACTATGGGCGAATAGACGCCAGCCAGCCGATCATGAATTCATGCAACGTCTTTACAGGAAATGGTCTACTGACCCCGAAGAAGGACTAAATCTTCAAAATGTTGTGACGGGTCTCGCACGGCTAAAAGGATCCCCAGATATCATGAACAACATCAACTACTTTTTCGATCTTTATGATGATGATGGCAATGGACAAGTTGATCGCGAGGGAATCCTCAAGATTTCAGAGGCCTTGCTTTTTCTATCGCGTCGTGGTTTTGAGGGCAAGATCACCGCTACTCAGTCTCAGGATGATATGGACAGTCCCCATCTAGAAAAGAACAGCCTTACCACGGATGAAAGGTTCCTTGGAAGTGTGAGCGCATTCATCCGTCGCTGTTTCGAATACGCCGATCCTAGCCATCCCGAAAACCAGAAGGCCGCCCAAGATAATGCCACCGCCGAAGTCACAACGGGGCTCGATACCTTCACTATTGGCGATGAGGAAGATTTGATTGATGTCGATGGCGACTCTAGCACCAAACCCCCCTCTGGGACCAACGCTGAGACAGAAAGCAGTAAACAGAATCGGCCCCGATCTGAATCTGCAAACCCTGCCTTGGACCCAAACAACCCACTTCACATTACCCTCCCAACATTCCGCATGGTTGTTCTCGCCGACGAACTCCTAGAACAATTCTTCGAGTCTTATTTCCCCCAGTCCTTCCATCTTTCCGACCACCCTCATCCTGCTGCTCTTGCCGCATCATCATCTCTTTCGTCAAACCTCACAACCTTCTCCAACATTGGCAGCCCTCGTCCCTCTCATCTCACCGCCACCTCTAGTGCTTCCGTCGCCGGTGCCTCGGGAGGAATTGTGCCACCGAGCAAGGGCCTTCGCGGTGTTCTTGACAACATTGTCACAGATGGTATCCGTATGGCCGCCGAAGTTAAGAAGAGAATGGATGATGCACAGCGCGATCTCGAGCGTAGTGCACTCGGCCGGGATGAAGACGATGACGACGAAGATGACGATGAATACCCACACCGTGGAGGTGCATCTGCTTCCGTCATGGCTGGTGGGATCTCCAGCTGGGGTGCCGGCGCATACGGTGCAGACACAGAGCGCCGTGGCGTCCGAGACGCGGATCGTGATCTACTTGAAGGAGCTGAGGTCGAAGCGTCTTCCCTGCTCGATGGGAGAATTGACGCCGAATCGGGACCTACTAGTGGTAAGGCCAGCAATACTTCTGCAACCGTGGACCATGATCCAAAGGTTGTTAGCAAAATTGTTGAGTTTGAATCATGATGATATCCCGTCTGTTCTCTCTTTTTGTAATGCTGGGGACGAGCATTTGTCTTGTGATATTCCCTTTGCCTTATTTACTTGGTTCTTCAGCTATCCCATGTGCAATTATACACTCCTGTTAGATGTATTGGTATAATCCTTTGATTAATGTAGATAGTCTTCTATAGCGCCTGAATCTATAGGGTCTCGAATTTACTTATGCATGTACTACCCTTCAATGTACTTAGATGCACATGTTTGCTTGACATCGGGAGCTTAAGCCAAAAGGTTAGCATATGTAGTATGTACACATAGGAACTAAGGGGTTGCACTACAGCTGGAGTGACTACAGCCCTAGGAGTAAACATTTGAAAGCTGATCCCAATACACGCATAGTGAATGTCTAAAAGTTACTACACTGGTACGTATATTCAATTTCATCCTTGAACATTCGACCAAAGGTTAAATATTGTCATTTTTCAAGCTCAATAAACGTCGTCAAGAGTCGTGAGATACCACACCAAGAGTTCTATGTACAACCATGCAACCAAAATAGCGCTCAAGAGCCGAGTCATGAGATAGAGAAAAAGATATGATGAATGTAATAAAGTGGCTCATGAATGATTGCCCATACTTGGGACAGCAGATGAGTAGAACGAAAAAAGAAAGGTAGAAAAAAGGGTATATATTAACAAAGAATCAGGCACAAAATGGGAGTATTCAAAAAAGACAAGAATGGGTAGATAGAAAGGGGGAAAGAGAAATGTCATAAGAGGTGTATGCGGGCAGATTGAAGAGAGACTGGATCAAAAAAGCGACTAATCCTTCTGCCCTTCATTTTCGACCAGCTCCAAGACAAGCTGACTGCGTTCATATTCGGGATGTTGCATGCAAATCTTGACAGTGTGCTGGTTCGTCGAAATGCCATTGGCACCATTGAAGTTCGTCTGGGCGCTGATACCACTTGCATTGGCCTGGCCAAAGGAACCAGGCAACTTGCTGCCATCATCCAGACAAACAACATTATGGCCGGGAATAACCTGTCTTAACCGACCATTCATGGCATTCCGAACCTCGACAAAGTCGTCATTGAAAAGGATCAGGAACTTTCCGTGAAGACAGGCTGTGTGTGCACTGCCAACAAATTCCATCACCACGCTACGCGAGACATCGCCATGCTTGTTGACATACACAGCGCATTCCTCGTAAGCAACCAGGAACTCGCTGTCACTCAACCTGTACATGCCGAGTGGTCGGAGGTCTTTGATGCGGTGGGCAATGCCGTGCAGCGTGTCAACTGCGTCAGGCGTAGTTTCGGAGCGGAAATCGGGGACGGACCAGGATTGTTTTTTATCCAAAGTAAGGACTTCAATGCCACGCTGGGTCGAAATCGCGAGGGAAGAGTGGAACATGTTGATTCCGTAGCTTTCAGCGGGGATGTAGAATTCATCATATTCGCGGAAGAACTCTGTTTGTGAGCGGCGCGACTGGAATAGTCGACTCTTGCTGGATGAGGACTTCTGGATAACGGGCTCAAGGACCTTGAAAGTGGATGAGAGTCCGTCACGCTTCTTGTATAGAACCAAGTATCGGTCCTTCATGCGTCCAGCTGCGAAGAACCCTACTTCTCGGTTACCAGACAACTTTTGCGGGGCTCGTCGGGCTGAATCTTGCGATTGAGTTGCATTTCCACTTGCAGGACAAACCACGTCAAGATGATAGGCAATAAGAGAGCGATCCGCGATGAGGAGGAACAAGTTAAACTCTTCAAACACGGCGATTTGAGTTACACGCATGATGGGAATTGCCTGTGGGTAATTGTTAGTTATGAAACAGGTAACAAGATCTCACAGCCAGTAGTACTTACCCTGTACCAACCACGAGGGTTGTTCACATCAGACATGTAAACTCCATAGTCCGTCCCAATCGCGCACATCATTCGACCAGGTGGTTGTTGGAAGACTGTAGAGCAATGAACAGAAGTTCTGCAAATTGGAAGAGGTCGAGGGCCAGAATCCTTATATTGTTTCTCGACTCCCTTGATTGCACGATGGAGAGGTGTGCCCTTGATGGTCACACTCTTCGAGCCAGTTGTCTGGTCATTGTAGGCAAATGCAGTATCCGCGAGAACCCGTAGTCGGAATGGTTCAGCGTTCTGCGAAAACAAAGCCGCGGCATGCTTTGTCTTGGCTTCAATGATTTTCTCGCACCATTCAGCACGACTTTGAGCAGAGAAAGCGTACAGAGTATATGTGCCATTCTTGCCAAGATGTTTGATCTTGAATGGGAAAAGGATCTTATCATCCTTCGAGTCAAGGCTTGCGGGGGGACCATTAAGAGCTGCCCCAGCCCCGCCGTGGCCAAGGCCTACACCGGCCTGGGCAGGTGCAACATTTGCCACACCTCGCATGGCTGATTTGACCACAGGGTCATCGTTGGTAGTCTCCAGTGCCAACAAGTCCATGGGAATGGGAAGTTTTGACACATCATACCGTTCGTACTTTATTGTTCGAGACGGGTCTCGTGTGGTGAATGACTTTGCAAGGACAAGGTAGTGATCAAAGAGAATGGCATGAGTGTCAACAAGGAACCTAGTTCTGGTTCCAGGGCGTTGCAGATCACCGCGGAAAATGATTTCGCGACCCAAATGCTCGAGATTGAGTTCAACTTCCTTCTTCATCTCGGGTCGCAATTGCAGCTTGGCCGAAAGCTCAATCAGGTCAGCTTTTTTGTTCATCTCGCCAACTTTGTTGTCACACTCCAAGGCCACAATCTTAATTTCCTCGATGGCTTGTGCGACATTGAATTTTTCCTCAGAATCCTTGACCATATTCTTGTGCACAGTGGCAAGTAAAAGTGTGTATCGCTGAATTCGCGTGATTGGGGCTTTCAGGAAAGTGTCCCAACTGAGTCGATTGGACTGCTTCTGATCGCGAACCTGGTTGAGGAACTGCTTGAAATGGACGTTGCGCTCAGCTTCCTTGCGCACATAGTAGTTCGCAGTCGGGAACGTAGCGGCGTATTCAATATAAACATTCTTGGCTTTGCGAATCCATTCACGGAAAATATCGCTAAATCCCGCGATAAATGGACCCTGTTCTTTTTGACGATACTTGAGCTGCGCAAGCAAGAAATCTTCGTTGACCTTTTTGACTGCGTCGACTTTGCCGAATACATCAGACAGAAACTTGGGCAGGCGTTTGGGGGCGATGATGGGAGGGTTCATATTGGCTAATTGGTCACGATAGAGCTCCCGTAGAACATCTAACTGACCAATGTAGGCATCCTCGGTCGTCACAATCTCGTGCAAGTTGTTCTGTCGATCGATTTCTTTTCTCGGGTATGACTCCCATGTTTCCTTCGGGACCTTATAGAAAGTCACCCAGTCCTCTATCTTCTTTTGCGGTGCCATCATTTGCGCCTTCAAATTGACTTTTTTCAACGTCCTCATGCAGTGATGCGAATAGCATCTTCCAAAGGAATCGGTATCCTGAATATGCAACTCTTGCTCATGAAGCTTGGGCGAGTAGCAGCCAGTGCCAGTGATCTGGAAAAGCACACCAGAGAGGCCCCCCCTGCCGAACTTGACCCATTCCTCCTCTTTAACTAGGGCTCCTTCCCCAAGCATACTGTTCACCACACGACCAGCAAGTGTTTCTGCATCGGCACTATTCATAGTTGGGACCTTGTGGGTAAACAAGGCCACAATGGCATCAAAGATAGCCTGTTCTCGAAGATCGGTTTCATCCTCGCTCAAGTCGCGAATCCAAGAAAGAATGGAACTAAGAGCCCATGGCTCCGTACATTTTTTAAAATGTTCAGATGACAGTTTAGCAGGACTGAACTTCTTGCGGCGGCCAGCGGGAATATCTGGCAGATCAAGTGCCATAGAGGCTGCTGCTGCGGCTGCATCAACCTCGGGGATATCTTTATTGTGAAGCTGCCAAAAGTCCTGCTGCTGTTTGTACTTTTCTCGGTCCGCATCTGTCTTTGACCTGATAGGAGCATCAGCACGAGGTCCAATCGGGGCCGACAAAGATGACGACCGCGGGACTTGAGTATTGAGCAAGTTCTCTCCATACGAGTCCGCAGACGCCGGTACAGGGGGGTTTCTATACTGTGAGTGGGCATCATCCTGCTCTGGTGGCCGGTACGTGCCAGCTGGCATCAGATGCGAGTGAAGAGCGGCATTTCCAGCTGGCTCTACAGGAGCTGGGGGTAATGGACGCATGCCGGGGTGGAAGAAAAGATCTTCATGTGCTGCCCGATGGGGACTTTCTTCGCCAGATTGGCCCTCTTCATGCTCGTAGCCTTCTCCTTCCTCGCCATAATCCCAGCTCATCCGACGACCGTATTCCCCCGGTGTGGCTAGGCCGCCTGTTCCTCCGGCGTCGACTCGGGCGTTGGGAGGGAGATGGTGCATCCGAGCGGCATATTGATAAGCGATCTGAGGATGCTCATATTCATCGTAGTCACCTCTTTCATCTCCGGACATGTTGGAGCTCCGGAAAGAGCTCGATCGACCTGTGAAGCCACCCCCGCTCACAGGATCCAAGTATTCCTCAGAACTGTATATCGGCTCATCACCATAATGAATATTCCCTTGATACCCACCCTCATAAGCTGCCAAATCATGGCCCATGAACTCGTTCTCTTGTTGCTCAGCGTAAGGGGAAGGACCCCTAGTGGATGTATAAGACCCTTGCGAACGAGAGCTCATAATGGAGGCATTTGTCTCACGTCGAGTCCGTCCCTCCAGACGTACTCTCTGGTGCTCCTCCCGTGCTCTTTCTTGCTCCTCCGCCTCCTGCATCATAGCCAGACCAGCCTCGGCCTCTGCGTCACTATCATGGCCAAAGCTATCATCGTTGCCATTGGTGTGGGTATGTTGCTCATCTGGGGATAAGCGAACATGAGAGGAAGAGGTGCTGTGGTGCGACGTTCGTGAACTGTGGCGCCTGGCGAAGCTGGTTTGTGCATCCATCACTGCGGTTTCAAGTTCCTTTAACATGTCATCGCTGGTACGAGTATCCGGTTCGGTGTCAACAGGCGGCCCTGGAAGGGGCCTCGCCTGCGGGTGCCTTGTTAAAGTGTCTGTTCGTCTGGGAGGTAGAATGGGCAAGTCTTGCTGTAGAGGAGGTATTGGAAGAGAGCGCCCAGCGTGAGATACACTAGGCCGCTTGTTGTAAATTCCATTACTTTGCGGCTGATGTACCGGGGGAGCGGGTGGTTGATCATCGAAGTGGTTACTGATTGGCGGTATGGTGTGGGAGGGGTATGGAGAATCGGTTCCGAAGCCATGGGTTGCGGGGAAGTAGGTATGAGAGGCAGACTGGGGTAGGTAAGTACCTGCTGGGGAGTTCGAGGTCGCGTATGAGGCTGATGTAGGTGATGCGACTGTCTGGTAGGCAGGCGAGGTGGCCGTCGTAAACTGTTGGCTCGGCAAGCCGGGCGATGACCCGTATGGAGAGCGACCGCCGTAAGGATGATCGGGCGCACGAGGCGGAGGCACAGGTGGTGCTTGGGAGGGAAATCCATAAGACTGTGGGGTCGGAGGGGGCTGTCCATACGGCGAAGCTTCACTCGGCCGTCGCGCGATGGTTGGAGAGGACAGACCAGCAACTGCGGACGGCTGATAGGCCGCCGGATTGTATGGTTGATGACCGGGGACAGAATTGGTGTAAGAGGTACTGCTAGAAGCAGTGTAGGAGGAAGGATTATAACTCAAGTTCGGCTGGGTCTGAGATTGTGGAAGAGCATATTGTTGTGGATTATAGGCAGGTTGATACTGGTACTGATAACTCGACATGGCGGCGGATTGCGATGCTGCGCGGGTCGGCGACATACGCGACATATCGGGGGATGGTTGCGAATATCCAAGATATCCCGTGTTGGTATTCAAAGCATCCTCGTATGCCCCGTGTGCTGGATTATAGCTTCCTTGTCCATCACCGCCCACCTGTCCACTACCCACGGAGTATTGAGAGTTGGCATCGGTCGCTCTCGTATTGTGGGCTCGAGCGGAATTGAAGAGATGGGAGTCGTCACCGCTGTTGAAACTTGGCATTCGCCTGGGTAGCTGCTGGCTCTGGGTGGGATTGCGTTGGGGTGCGTAGCTGTCATATCGACCCGATGATGGTCGAGAAGTCGAGGGGTTGTCGGGCTGACCGTAATAAGCCTGTTGCCCGTTGGGATGCGCCATCGTTCCAGCAGTGTAAGGAGCTGTTGAAATTCGACAGACCACCGTTCGCGATCACTCTATCTCCGGCTCCTTCCTAAAGGGACGAGTGAGTGTACCCAAGTTGGAATCTTCGCGGAGACAAGACTGCGGGAAGCAAAGGAGCTGCTGGGGGGGATCTCTCTCTCGTGTCCAAATGAGGGGAGGGCCGATCGCGAGTCTGCGGAGCAGCTGACCCTAGGCATCCCCCGAATAAACGAGCGAAAAATAGGGATTGTAAAGAGAGAAGAGGCTTAGAGATTTGATCTGAAGTGTAAAAAGGTAGAAGAAAACAAGAAAACAAGATCACCACGAGTGTTTCATCGCGTGGTTGCGGGAGATTTTGGGTTTATGGTCCCCTTTTCCCCCACCGCCCCCGTTTTGACTACTTGGTAACGTGGGGGAATTTCGATAGTATTCAGTATGTGTCACATAATACATTGGAACCTCTACAAGGCTAAAGAAATATTACATCAAGAGAAACCATATGCATCTCAGCTATGGAGGCTTGAGAATATCAACTCTGGGGTCATGACCCTGAAATCTGTGGGGAGATGTATTGAACGGTTGAACCACTAGGTTTCAAGTTTTGAGCCTCCAACTCAGCTGTCGGCACTGGGCAGACTTAGTACTAACTAGCACCCATCACCTATGTATCTTGATAATTGTCTGGTTTCTTATTTTAGTAGCCCATATACATCAACTAGTATCATGAAAAAAAAAATCAAAACTAAAATTATTTTTAGGTCCCTTAGACCCGGCACCTGGGCTAATTGCCTTGAAACATTGAACAACATGTGCATGTGGGGGCCGGGGAGCTGCTGTCAATTCACACTTGAATCTTGTACGAACTAAATCTATAAGTATAACTACTAAAGCCTCTTCTATCTGCCTAGGCAGTACCTATCAACATTGAATACGACTGGTAGGTAGCGTAGTATAAGTATTCTGAGTTGGCTTATGAAGTTTGGAACAGATAGTATCATAAGGGGTGTTGCTCAGATGGAAGTCAGAACAAAGCGACGGATCCATTAAATTGAGATAACACATGATATAAAAGCTAGATGAATAAGAAAAATACATCTGAAAAAGCGATACACCAATAAAAGCTCTATGACAAACAGACGGGTAAAAATATGGACCGAATCTCGGACTGAAACATAGCAAGAACCTTGGAAGGTAAATGGGAGTAGTTTGTCTCCACAACAGTACAGAAGCCTATCAATTGGTCTTGTAGACTTGATCAGCAGTGAGTGTAAACTGTCCCTTTTGGAGTTCGGACTGGTTAAGATCATCCGGCTTGATGTACCGAGCAGTCAGTGCAAAGCGCAGGGAATTGAGAGACTCAACAGAGTGCTAAAGAAAATTAGTACAAATTGTAAAGCATACAGGGAGTTCCACGAACCTCATAATACTGTTGTAAGCCTTCGCCATGCATCACGACTAAGTCCCCGTGTTGAAGATGAAGGTGGATAGAGACAGGCGCAAGTCCAGTTACCGAAGAATGACGGAATAATTCTGCGCGTCGACGATTATACTCTTCCTTTGTGATAGACCCCGTGTTGAATTTCTCCTTTAATCTCCGACGAGATATCTCATGTTGGCACCCAGGAGGGACAGGGTCTGGGTTCAAGGGAACGTGCCGCGCTGACTGTCCATGAAAGCTCTTACCTTTCATGCGGATTTTCATTGTGGACGACGCTCCAAGAGACAATGTCGCAATTGTTGGACCCAGTGAACTTTCACCATCATCATGGAACTGCTGGACAATTAGAATCGGGCTGTCTAAAAAACACCATATATATATCCCAGGGTACACTTACGCCTATCTTCATCCCCTGGAAGTACCCCAGAGCAAGCAGCTCATTTGGTAGAAGGGCCTTCTCACCAGCGGCAGTGACAGCCTCCTGAGTAGCCCATGTAAGTCGCCCTAGTGCCCGAAGGATACATTCTGGGGCTTCATCAAAGCCCTTGGACCGCACTGAAACAACGTATTTGTACGGCATTCCCTGTAATGTTATGTATATTGTCAGCTGGTGGTCTTAGAATAAACCCGATTATATATTAGATTGGTAACCAACATAGTTCACAGCGAAATGAGATGTCAGCATTCCCGTAACTAAAAACAAAATGTTAATAGATTTCGCTTAGTTTGGACCGGGATAGGTATCATACCAACGGCATTGTTAAGGGGATATCGCTCCAAGCCCAATTTTTCTCTCTGAAGAGTGTCAAACAGATAATTCACGCCTTCTGGCTGCTCCCAGACTGCCCTTGTAGCAACAAAGTGGGTCACAGAGCCAATTCCAGGCAGCGGGTACGTGCGCTTGATATAGGGCCAGCAAGAAGTGGAATCTCCCTTTGCCCCTTTGAACTTGCGCATGCCGTTACCCAGAAGATGTGTAACTTGCGGTTCAAAAACGGAGGTAATTGGGACTGGGCGCAAGCTCACCATTAGCGTGAATTGGCACGCTCCAGGCTCACTCTGGGTTAAAGGGTCGGTGGTACACTTCCACCCATTCCATTGAGTTCGCTGTATGCATTTGTAGCACAAAGGGCATACAATGCCACGCCAGTTGTCACGAAGAGTGGATGCAAGCTTGTTGTATCGGCACATCTCTGTGATGGCATTCGGAATCAGTTCGAATTTGGGTGGATTAACAGTGCTCGGATCTCGACGTGCTTTTAACCAGTCGTGATGGTAAGTGAGATTTGTGGGTGCGCTGGCTCCGTTCATTTTCCAAAACTCAGGACATGAGTCTTCTAGACACATCCAGCCCTCTTGGAACACCTGAGGACTGTCAAATGCGCAGTGAGGGCACTCTTCAATCTCCGGCAAGGTGAATGGATATCTTGCACGGTACGAGAGAGGGTTCGGGGTAGCAGCGTCGGCCCACCAGCTCTTTTCATGCATATCGATCTTTTCAAGGCGAAACTTCAACCCGATAAAGCCATCAATTTGCTCATACCACATGTCAGTAACTCGGAAGTAGCTCAAAACATTGTAACGGTGAGGAAGCTTTCCCCCGAGGTCGTTATTATCCCGGCCTAATATGAATTAGTTGTCATTTCCATATAAAAGAGCTTCCCAACTTACCAAGAACAACCCCGACAGGAATGTTGTTGTTCAAACTAAAGTTAATTGCTTTCGCAGGATACTCATCAATTCTCTGGTTTTTTGCGAGACGAAGAACTCCGTCTGCGCTTTTGGCGTAGCCTCCACCGCTGCGGAAGTCAGAGTTAGTAAGGCGAGACTGGATCAGGCGTTTTCATGCATCACGATGCAACATGATATGGACATACACTCGAGTGATGATAACCTCATCATCGATGTGGAATCGGGTCCCACAATCACCGTCAAAAAGAAGGCCGTAGCAAACCCCGTCTTTTTGGTATGCCGACCCTTGAACCGAACGGTACCATTCAAGGGAGTCGCAGAGACTCTGGCGGGTCTAGAAATGGTTAGTAACTACTACCTTTAAGGGAATGGATTTAGAGATTCCAACCTCTGCCCATGCTAGAGGGTTGCCATGGAATTGGAAGGCGGGTGTTGTCACAGGCGGGTTGGTATTGGCAGGTGTTGTTGCAGGTGAGAGAGCATTGGCAGGTGTTGTTGTAGGCGGGATAGCATTAGCAGGTGTTGTCGTAGGCGGGGGGAGGACGATAAACTCGTCCCTTGAAATGCCATTTTCTTGGACAGGGGCATCCGGCATGTCATGATCGATATCCTGGTTTGCTACATTCTCCTCGAAGACACTTTCGACAATACGGGCAGGGAATCGAACAATCAATTTCTTTTGCGGCGTCGTCTCATCGCTGGCCACCTCACTTGTAATTGTGGCTATCGAGGGTATTGTTCAGTTGTCATGTATTATTCAATGTAGTTATTAGGGCTGCTGCATTCAAACTTACTCTTCTTTGCTTGACCATCTCTAGTTTGAGATCGGGTGATCACACGAGAAGACGAGGATGATGATTGACCTCCAACATCGCGTGTTGCCTTAGAATTGGTGATAATATCAGAGGACGAGATATTGGTTGAGATATCAGATGACAAGGTAACACCGCGCATTGCCTTAGAACGGGTAACAATATCAGAGGGTAGTAAAGATTTTCGAATGCCGCCCCGCATTGCCTTCCCACGTCCTGCCTTTTTCTTTGACTTTGGTCGTTGTTGGGCCATCTAGAGAATCTCAGTATTAGTAGATAGTATCAATCAGTACACTCGAAAGAGCGCGAAACAGCGTACTCACTGCCACAAAGATGTTGGGGAAAGCGCTAGGATGGCGGAAAAACGGAGAGAATAACGGAAACGATCCAGAATGTGAAGGTGAACTTGTGAAATTGAGGAAATTCGAATGAAATTAAAGACGTGAAGATCGGGTAAGTTGATTCGAAGAAGAAAAAAGTAGGAGGGGGAAGGCCGAAAGTGCATATGATATCGATAAGACACACCGATACGTGACTTCAAATGTTGATATAGTACTTGAGTATACCCCGCAGTCCAGATATGCACATGGGTTTCCAACATTAAAGGTTCCAACGTTCAATTCTTGAGTATATGGTAAACGACTTTTGAATTAAACCCATTTTTTTCTTATACAGTACTTCAATGTTGGTGCGTATATGATAAATACATACTAGTCTTATTCTGGGTCATTTTGTAGGGTCGAGCATGCTATTTAATACACCACAATTCATGAATAATCAATACCTAGTAGTCGCTCCAAACATTTGAAGTTAGAACTTGAGTATTGGTACCAGATATGTATTTATGAATTAGAACATTCTTCCAGGGAATGAACTAAATAACAACCTACTACTATCTACAGATCAAAATATTGTAATGATAAGCTTGAGTGAAGTTTGCATGGTGCATTGTCGATCTATGCATTGAGGACCCACTTGCCGGCGCTGACCAAATTCAATCTGGATTAGTCATGTCCTTAAATCGTGAATTGTCTTAGACTCTTAGTTAGTAGGTACTCTAGCACTTGAGTATGTACTGTTGTATAAAGAGGCATTGATTAAAGAACTAATAATCAATAGTACCTACTACCCAATCAGTATGTCCAGTGGACAAAAAGTATTAAAGTGACCTGGGTAAACATTTAAATTGTGGTGTGAAAGTTGGTAAAAGTTGGGTTGAACTTGAGATTTTAAATGTTCAACATTTGAATGAAAAAGGTGTGAAAGTGAGGCATTGTCTAGGAATATGACAATTAACGACTTTTAAATAATAGAGTGGTCTTAATAGTAACTGAAATATCTCATATGAGAGTCTGCCTAGGCGTGCTTGGTACATAACTTACTATGTGGGGGATGTACCGTAGCCTGTAGGGATTGTCCCTCGGCAAAAGTACCCCTTATATCCGAGGTCCCTAATGTCCATGCGTCATAGGTTTTGCACGTGGACTTGATTATATGTGATTTCTATGGTGAAAATGGAGTCAAGCCCACTATTGATCTTACTAGACTAAAAGAAGAAAGAATTTACATAGCCAAGATTCCATGATTACGAAGTCTAGGAAGTTCTGAGTCTTCAGAGCTGGGGCTCCAGGGCTTAAATACATCGGAGCTTCCCCGGTTACCGACTTCCCCGCACGTTTCGTTTCCCCTAGCTTGGTTCTGCTCCCGTACTTTTAACTTCTACCGTTCCTCCAATTCTGTCCTCTTTTTGTTAATTCAATCTCTGGTAAGTCAATTTTTTCAGCCCCCTGACCAATGTTCTAATCCCTTAAATATTAACCCTATATTTAAAGGGCTCTATCTCAACATAAAGCATTTATCACAACCCCGTGAATTTGTGACAGATCCAAAAAAAAAGAGTGCCTTTACAGAAAATGGTCTTCTTACCACACCCTAAATTCGGCCAACTAGGCATAGTGCCGGATAGTATTCCTATCAGCGAGTTCATGCTTGATGAGAAGCATGGGCGCGTGCCTCACGAGAGATCCAATGACCCATATACATGCGGAATCACCGGAAAGACGTACTCGTCGCGACAAATAGTTGACCGTGTCGATCACATGGCAAGGGGTCTGGCAAAAGAGTTTGGATGGACACCTAATCAGGGCACGGAATGGGATAAGACTATTGCAGTTTTCAGCTTGAACACGGTACGTGAGATTCTTCAACTGCAAATCCTTTGCTAGAGCAGAAGGAACAGGTCTAATCACATGCTTCAACCCCTCAGATTGAATCTTTGCCATTTTTCTGGGCTACTCACAGGTTAGGCGGTCTTGTCTCGCCTGCCAATGCGGCATACTCGGCCGCAGAGCTTAAGCATCAATTATTGGATTCCAATGCAAAGGCCCTGTTTACCTGTGCACCCCTCCTGTCTGTTGCGGTGGAAGGCGCCGACTTGGCTGGTCTTCCGAGGAGTAGGATCTACCTGATCGATATGCCGCTAGAGATACTGGGCGGAGTGAAGCCTCCGACCGAGTACAAAACGATATCGCAGATAGCAGAGGAAGGAAAGACGTTGCCCGCCTTGGAGCCACTGAGCTGGAGCGCAGGCGAAGGCGCTCGACGAACGGCATTTTTGTGCTACTCGAGTGGTACTTCCGGTCTACCTGTAAGTGAATCCTGACCGCGTGTAGGATGAAGGGGTTAGAGCTATACTGATCTCACACCACCTACAGAAAGGAGTAAAGATTTCGCATCGCAATGTCATAGCCAATGTCCTACAAGCCAAAGTATTTGAGAGCAGCTACAGGGATGCTCGCTCACGAGCCACTGGCGTATCTCCATTCACAGAGGTCGGCCTTGGCCTTCTGCCCCAGAGCCACATCTATGCCCTCGTGGTTATCAATCAAGCAAGTGCCTATCGTGGAGATCAAACCATCATTCTTCCCAAGTTTGAGTTGAAGTCTTACCTAGCTTCTATCCAAAATTTCAAGATCACATCACTTTATCTGGTTAGTTCTCGAATCCAAGATTCAGCAGGGTCTACCAAGGTAGTAGCTAATAATGTATAGGTCCCTCCAATTATCATCAACATGCTTCGGAGCCACGATGTATGTTCGAAGTATGACTTGAGCTCAGTCACAACCCTATTTTCCGGTGCCGCGCCTTTGGGAATGGAAACAGCACTCGACTTCCAAAAGCTGTACCCAAATGTTATCATTCGTCAAGGATATGGTACGCAGTGTTGCAAGATAAAACTTGCAAAAGTTTGCACGGCTAACAATTTCTACAGGACTGACAGAAACATGCACGGTCGTTTGCGCCACCCATCCCGATGATGTGGTATTTGGCTCCTCGGGATGTTTATACCCTGGTTTTGAGGCTCGCATTATTTCACCCGAGGGCCAGGAGATCACAAGCTATGACACACCTGGGGAATTAGTAGTTCGATCACCTAGTGTTGTGCTAGGGTACCTGAACAATGAGAAAGCCACCAAGGAGACATTCGAGGATGGATGGATGCGCACTGGTGATGAAGCCGTCGTTCGTGTTGGCCCAAAAGATACTGAACATATCTTTATTGTCGATCGTATCAAGGAGTTGATCAAGGTCAAGGTTCGTACACGATTGATTGGTCCCTTTCGCACGTCGTCTCCTGGTTTTTTTTTTTTTTTTTTTTTTTTTTTTTTCAGCCTGAACATGTCATCAGAGAGTTTGTTTTACTGACGTGCAATACAGGGTCTGCAAGTTGCCCCGGCTGAACTTGAAGCACATCTTCTTACCCACCCTGCCGTTGCAGACTGTGCTGTTATTGCTATCCCTGATGATGCCGCCGGAGAAGTCCCGAAGGCTATCGTTGTCAAGTCTCCCTCAGCTGGTCCGGATGAGGAAGCCGCTCAGTCTATCAAGAAGCATATTGAGGATCACAAAGCTCGCCACAAATGGCTGAAGGGTGGTGTGCGGTTCGTGGATGCTATCCCCAAAAGTCCGAGCGGCAAGATCCTCCGACGATTGCTTCGCGACCAAGAGAAGGAGGCTCGTAGGAAGGCCGGTGTCAAGCTCTAGGTGAGATGGTCATCTGTAAGATTCAGATGAATTTTCCTTCCAAAATTTCCCGAAACTTTGAAGTTTGGATGACATACTTGTCAAAACGAGTAGCTGCATAGAAATGATAACTAGAACACATAGATTATGATATGCCTGTTTGCAGTGTTTGTTCCTGCGGGGAGGAGGATAAGATTTCTAAGCGGGGGAGATGCGAAAAAAAAATAGTTAGACCCAGTTCTAGCTCTCCCATTCTTCTACTTTCCATGATTTATCAGAGGAAGATTATTCATATTTCTATTTAACCTTTTCATCTTGAAATAATATATCTCAACAACGCCTTGCCCAGCTGCCAGCTGCAAAATACCCCATTTTCATTTTGCAAAACCCCTCCAAATACCTCCCAAGTCCGCCGTTTCCACCCCTCACAATGTCCACCAACGACCACCGCGATGAGGACGCCTATATCGGCGCTGACGAGGGTGAAGAGATTTTCCAAAATGACGAGGATCACCCTATGGAGTCCGACGGTGAAGATGAAGATCAGCCCATGACCTATGACGAGCAAATCACTTTCCAGAACGACTCATCCGCACACTTTGATTCCCACGCCGACTCTGTTTTCTGTGTCGCACAGCACCCAGTGCATAACAACATCGTTATCACCGGAGCTGGTGATGACACTGCCTACATCTTCGACTCTACACCCGCCCAGCGGCCCCTTCTTCCTCAGAGCTACGAATCAAACCCGCAGCCCCGTGAGCGCGAGTCCCTGAAGCCGCTTGGCAAGCTCGATGGACACAGCGACACAGTCAATGCAGTGGCTTTCACCGAGCCTGCAGGTGAATATGTGGTGACAGCCGGTCTCGATGGCAAGCTGCGCGCTTGGCGCGATTCCACACAGGATAAGACCGGCTACACCTGGGACTTTGTCGCGGAAGCGCAAGAGGTGGAAGAGATCAACTGGGTTGCTGTTTGCCCCTACCAGCAAGGGAGCGAGGAGAAGCGCAATGTGATTGCTCTGGGTGCCAACGATGGTAGTGCCTGGGTTTTCCGCATCGATCACACCGATTCTCAACCCATTTCTATTATTCAGACATTCTTCCAGCACACCGGCTCATGCACCGCCGGTGCATGGACTCCTGATGGAAATCTTCTGGCCACCGTATCGGAAGACGGAAGCTTCTACGTCTACGATGTCTTTGGAGCTGCTGCCGCAGCGGGTATCTCCGGATCCCAAGGAACCAACACTGTTGTTGCCTTGACTGCGGAGGATCAGCGTTTCGCTGTCGACGGTGGATTGTACACTGTTGCTATTTCCCCCGGTGGTGGTATTGCGGCTGTTGGTGGTGCCGAGGGCCATATCAGAGTTATCGGTCTTCCCCGCCTTGCGGGCGCCGCCCCGGGCCCAAAGGGCAAGGGCCAAACAGCCCATGCTACCACTGCCTCTGCCGCTGGCACTATTATTGCTGCGCTGCAAGCTCAGTCGGATGGTGTTGAGACTTTGTCCTTCTCCCAACCCCCGCTGACACTTCTCGCTGCGGGCTCAGTTGATGGAAGTATTGCACTATTCGATGCGGCTCACCGGTTCGCGGTCCGTCGCCATATCAAGGAGGCCCATGAAGGTAGTGCTGTGGTCAAGGTTGAGTTCTTGAAAACCGGCGCACCTATTGCCCGTGGGCCTGTAAACGCCGCCGGTCAGCCCCGATCATGGTTGCTTACCTCTGTTGGTTTAGACGGCGTTGTTCGTCGGTGGGATGCGCGTGGTGGTACCGCAGCAGCCGCATATGGCCAACTGCAAGAGTGGAAGGGACACATGGCTGCCGTCGAAAATGAGGACGGTGAACAGGCTGGTGGTATCATGGGCTTCGTTCAAGGATTTGATGGCAAGCGCATTGTCACTGCTGGCGATGATGGCATCTCCTTGGTGTTCGAGGAACAGTAGATCCGCCTGTCAGTTATATAGAGTTTGGTCACCCATGATCGATGCGATTTATGATATCATGTTACACATAGAATAGGAAAGCACAGTTTTCCCATTCCCCCCCCCAAAATAAAATTCCTACATGTCTGTCCGAAGCTTCGAAGATTCCGTAGATCATAACTACCAACTTGAATGCATGGGGACATCTGGAGCAACCTGATGGAGACGGAGACAGACTGTGAACCAATGAAAAGACGTCTTTAGTAATTGAACATAAACTATATACATCTGACAATTCAACTCAAAAGTGCCGTCAGCAAGTCAAATTTCCTTGGAAAAAGCTTGCATCTCCTATCAAAAACAACAATCGCTTCTTGTGGTGCTCAGAGCACAGCGTCTGTGTTGAGACTCTCGGTTTCAAGTCTTTCGCTGAACTGAGACGAGACAGGTGCCTCTCGCCTGCTGGGGTATCCGTCCTGTTCCACTCGAATGCTCTTTGGGCGAGTAAAAATCATTCTATTCCGGCTGTATACCCTCTAGTGGTGGCCTTCGCCGTGGTGTGCGTCACCGTGGTGATCATCCTTCAAGAAGAAGTGTTCGTATGCGCAGTAGGTGGTGAAGGCAACGGTCGCAATGCCAAGACCGGGGAACAGTCCCTTGAAGCGGTTCCAGCGGGTGAAGGGACCAGTGTAGCGCCAGGTCTCACTAGACAATGTTAGTGAATGAAGCGCAATGCCTCGGAAGGAGCCAATCTGATCGAAACGTACTTGCGCGCCCAGGGATCCCGCTTAGCGAAGACAGAGGACGGCGAGGCAGCAGCCTTGAATGCCTTGACGTCAAATCCGGTGGGGTTTCGGGCAGACATTGTGATTGAGGTGAATTCCGAGGGGCAGACAGACAAGTCAATTATTGGTCTAATGAGGTTCAAGTCGAGTGAGAGATGAGCCGGGGCGGTGCGCTTGGCAGAACGGCACCCGCACTAAGCCAAATACGGTAGGGCCGTAGCTCCTCCCGCCTTCGACGAAACTGATAAGTTATAACTCACCACACCACAACCGAACGCATCAAAGCTCACAACAATGCCCCCTCCTGTCGCAAGATATGGGCCCTCGGGTCTTGGCGCTCCCTATACACTCCAGCAAGCCCATCTCCAATCCCAACATCCCCACGCTCAATCCGCCAACTCGGCTCTTCCGCCCCCTTCACTCGGTGGCCACCCTGGGTTCGCCGGCAATCCCAACACCAACATTAATCCTTTCACGCTGTCTGGCGCGGGTGTTGCCAACGGTATGTCAGTAGCTGGATTTTCAGGCGCCGATGGTGGTGGCACCGGGCTCGCTAGTCATGCGGCACAGATGGGGTTCGCGCGGGGAGCACAGATGCAGCAGCAGCAGCTACACCAAGGCCACGATGGACGGCTAGCACTGGACTCGAAGACTGGTGCAGTCAAGTCACGGATACGGGATGTTTGGAAACACAATCTTTTCCACGAAATGGCAGTGTTAAGATCGTTGGTCGATAAGTATCCATACATCAGCATGGTGAGTACATGCATCACACAGGAGTCCTCTCCAGCCCACGGGTGGAGATTTGCAGTGCCCTGAAGCACAAAATACTGATCGACTATTAGGATACCGAATTTCCCGGCATCGTTGCTCGACCCATCGGCTCCTTTACGACCAAAGCGGATTACCACTACCAGACCCTCCGGTGCAATGTCGATTTGTTGAAGATGATCCAGTTAGGGATCACGCTGTTCAATGAAGATGGCGAAGTTGCTCCAGCTACATCCGCCGATTCCAATGGCCAACCGTTTGGCAACTCAATGGTCCCCGCTCCGTGCACATGGCAATTTAACTTCCGCTTTTCGCTCGACGGAGATATGTACGCACAGGACTCTACAACTATGCTCACCAAATCTGGGATCGACTTCAATTTGCACGAAAAAAATGGTATTGATCCGTTCGAGTTCGGGTCATTATTGATTAGCTCAGGCCTGGTACTGCTGGATGATGTCCACTGGGTCTCGTTCCATTCCGGATATGACTTTGGGTATCTAATGAAGATCATGCTATGTTCCCCCTTGCCCGAACGTGAGGAGGAGTTCCATGATCTCTTAAATATCTTCTTCCCGTCCTTATACGACATCAAATACTTGATGAAACACGCCGGCCGCAACCAAGCCGTCAACGATTCACCTCTTACCCCCGCCGCTCTTCAGATCCTCACAAATCTGGGCCAAAAATCCGGATTGCAGGATATTGCAGACGAGCTTGGTGTTAAAAGGGTTGGGATCGCCCACCAAGCCGGTTCGGATTCATTGGTAACAGGCGAGATCTACTGGAAGATGCGCCAGATGGTATTCAACGGCACAATCGACGACAGCAAGTATTCCGGTCAGATCTGGGGCCTCAATGGACACATGCCCGCGTTGACCTACCCCATGGCCCAGCAAACCCCCAATCTCAACGGAGCCACCATTTACTCCGGAGCTGGGACTCCCAGCACTCCTAACAACGCACACCTTGCAATGGGCGCTCAAACCCCCCAACACCCAGGCTCCGGCTATCATACCCCCAGTGGGATGACAGGGAAGGCATGAGGTGGTGGGCATGTGGATAACAATCCCAATGATACGACATGAATGCATGTACATAAGCACGGGGCTCTTGTGCTGGTTTTCCTTATCTTCAGCATCTTACTTCTCGCCTATCGCGTTGCATGGGTTCTATTTCTACGTCTCTGGTGGCGGTGTTCGGAGGGTGTACGGTGTTGGTAGTTTCTGTTCTTCTTCTTATTTTTGTTTCTCGATTTGGCTGGTGACTGCCCTGCTATTTAGGAGGCGTTCCGGGATTTCACCGTCTCTTGCCACTTTCCTTCTGTCTCATCTTCCTGTTCCTTGAAATGGCCGAGGTTGATTTCTATACGAAATAGATAGACTGGGCATGGGATTTATGTACAGTGGGATCTTTCTGATTTATCTGAGCTATTTCTAGGGACCCGAGGAAAAATCCTGAACATAATTATTCTTTTTTCCCCATTGAAGTGATTCTCACTTTTTCCTCATGTTCATATGATATAATTTATGCACCCATCCAGTCCCCGACGTTCAGGGGAACATTGTAGATAAGTCATCAAGCCAGGTTCAAAAGGTTCAACGCTTCAGTGATTGAAGGGGCTTCGGGCGTCCATGAAGCCTTGGTGAAGATCTTGTTCTCACAATTTGCTCCCCCTTCCAAACAGCTCTTCTGTCTTCTTCCACTTCATCTATCTTCTCCCACAATGTCATGGGGGGCTCAATGGAAAGAGGCTGCTCGAATCGAAGAGAGCCAAGCCAACAGCAGTGAAGAGAGGAAGGCCACTTTAACAGTAGCTTTGAGCAATGTCCTGAGCTTAAGTGAGAGAGAAAACTGAGCATTAGGGCTTTGGCAGAGTCTAGTATTTCCTTGACGGACTAAATCCAATGAGGCCTTCAGCCTACTAGTTCATGATAGGTCTAGCGCATTGGCATTTTTGAGAACCTGAACCAATCCTCCTCTTCTTCGACCTTCATTGCCAATTATTGGTAGAATGAAAGTTCTTTATCTACTAAAGAGTGCTCGTTTTAGCCACAATGATTTGAAACTAAAAGGTTGCCGCTTCTGTCGGTCTGAATTTCTGAAGGCGAAGTAAGGGGGCGCGGAGTTCTCCAGCTCAAATGATATAGGGAAAACCCAAGCGCGTGGAATGCTTGAGCCGACATTTGAACCATCTAGACTCAGCTTTCATCCTGATTCTCGGCATTTTGCAATTTAAGGGTCCAAGAATTCAATTTGCCACAGCTCAGGTCCAAGCGAAGGAAACTTCGCGACGCCTTTCAGCATTTTTATTGGCCAAGTTTGGCTTTGCGTGGTTTTTCTTACTTTCCCATCTTCCAACACTCGGACACACCGATCGTCCTCTGCCACATGTTACACGGAAAATTCCGCAATACAAGCAAGGAAGGGATGTTCCTCTGCTTTCAGATTATGCGGGGTCTGGCACTATGATCTCGAACTTGATACCATTGTCAGATGGTATTCAGGACGCCCTTGTTCCCTTTCTCGTGTCTTGAGCTTTAAAAATCACACCATTCTGCACATGATCCTTGGAATCACATATTTGTAGCTTAAAGCGATGAGGAATGGAGCTGGCTAGGCTTCGATTGCACGGGTGCACCGCACCCCAACTACAGCATTCATCCCTGCCAGTGGAGTATCATGCACATGACGTTTATGCGCATCCAACAAAATGCACGTCTAACATCTGGTCGTGCTGAACTTGATATTTCCAGAAGTCGGCAAAAATGACAAACTTTCATGCATACCTTAGGAAGTTCAGAGCTCTAGAAGGTGCGATTCAAATATATTTACCAAGGGATTTCACTTGTGTTGGACATACGGATTTATGTTTTCCATTTCACGCCGACATCGAAAATCATGCCTACATCTCCCAAGCATTTAGTCATGTCAATGGAATACAGCGATAGCTGTTTCGATTCTCCGAGTTCAATCACCAAACCGGGTCTGAAATTCAGGGAAGAATCATCCAGTTCCTTCTCAGACTTGGAAACACAGAGGGCAATCCAAGGGAGTAAAAATTTCCATCGGCTTGGATGGAAACGCCTGACTGTGATCCTTATCGTTGAGGCAATTGCTCTGGGGAGTCTCAGTCTTCCTGCCGCGTTTGCGACACTCGGCTTGGTCGGAGGCATCATCGCCACTGTTGGAATTGGCCTGGTTGCAACATACGCGAGTTATATCGTCGGCGCAGTGAAAATCAAATATCCGGATGTTGAACATTATGGCGATATTGGAAGACTCATTCTCGGAGACTGGGGCTTCTGGATAATTACCATCGTTTTTATTCTCAGTCTGTTGCTGACTGCTGGGTCGCATTGTCTCACGGGTATCATTGCACTCAGCGATATTACTGGGAGCCATGTCTGTACGATTGTATTTGGACTGGTCTCTGCTTTAATTCTCCTTTGTCTATCAATCCCGCCGACCTTTGCCGACCTCGCTGTGCTGGGCTATATCGACTTCGCTTCGATCATGATCGCCATTGGCATCACAATCATCGCTACGGGCGTCCAGCGCTCCCACATGCCCGGTGGAATGTCAAGTTCAAATTGGTCGGCGTGGCCGAAGGAGGACACCGATTTTGCAACGGGCATGGTGGCCATCAACAATATCGTCTTTGCCTTTTCATTCGCGCCGGCTTTGCCATCATTTATGAATGAGATGAGAGAACCCGAAGATTATAAAAAGTCCGTTTATACCCTAGGAGGCATCGAAATTGTCCTCTATACGGTCATTGGGTCACTTGTGTACGTGTTTGTTGGGCAAGATGTACAGTCCCCTGCCTTATTATCTGCGGGAACGCTTGTTTCACGGATAGCGTTCGGCTTCGCTCTTCCAGTTATTTTCATTTCCGGCTCCATCAACATCAGTGTATTGGCTCGATATCTTCATACAACAATATATCGTGACTCGGTGATTCGCTATGTCAATACGAAGACGGGCTGGGTCACCTGGATTACGCTCGTTGCGGTCCTATCCCTGTCTTCATGGGTGATTGCCGAAGCCATCCCGGTATTTTCGAGCATCCTGTCCATCGCCGGTGCATTGTTCTCCTCGGGACTGTGCTTCTACTTGCCTCCTATAATGTGGGCCGTGCTTTTAAAAGAAGGCAGTTGGAGTTCAAAGCAGAATCTTCGAACTACTTTTTACAACGCGGCTGTGTTCCTGTTTGGAATGGGAGTTTTCATCTGCGGCATGTACGCCAGCATTGTCGACTTGGTAAGTTCCACCACACAGAACCGGTCTTCTTTTCAGGGCTCACTAACACCCTCGGATAGATTCAAGCAAGCAGAGCTGGGGTCGGTCGGCCTTTCTCCTGCTCTTCGAGTTAGATAAATGCACGAAGAGACATCTGGAGTGACCGCGCACATGCTCAGGTGGCACGTCAAAAAGCATGATATTATTTTATTTTAGAATCTTTTTGCATACAAAATGGATATACATCTTGAAGCCCTTCATTGATATTATGACGAATACTGTATAGATTCCAAAGTTGAAAACTGAAACAACGTCAGTATTTCAAGGCGTCACCAGATAAAACATTGAAAGGCAGACTCTGGTTGCACATGTGGACTGATGGGCTCCACTGCCATGATAAAATAGGTCCTCAACACAACCCTGAAGCCTATCAATTGATGAGATTAAGCACATTGGCGAGGCAGATCATATCTACATAGATGGAAACGCAGTGGATCGCAGTGCGCCTAGGTGGAGGTGGGAGAAACTTGCCACCAACGCCCGGAGTTAATCCACGTTTCAAGTGGACCGAGGGAAAACAACTCCACTACGAGTTTAGTTAATGCCGAATGCACATGGCTACTGCTCTCGATGTACAATTGCACCAATTAGAACTGAGTTATGCATCCGTTGGCGATCATTTCCACGACAGATTTTTTTTTCGCTGGATGTTTCATTTGCCTCGCTGGCGCAAGGGGTGCCTAGGGAGTACGCTCTGACCACGAGGATTGGCGGTTAAGGTTGATTTCGACATAGATCTTGATCTGACGAGACGGATTTATCTGCGATAAGAGTTTCAAATTGCCCAGTACAATTGCCAAAGAGTGCTTTCTATGGGGCTGATCAATGGTGGGTCGAATAACGCATTTGAACAGGATTATTGCAACTTGCACGTGTCCGATAAAGAAAAATGCCTTCTGGCCAAAACCTCTTGATTGATTTATTTCTTGTGCGTTTCGACTTCTAAGTCCACCGGAGTGAATATTTGAATCTGAATTCTTATTGATTATGTACATATGTATGCTCTAGGCCAGATTTTTCAAGGTTCCAACAAAGTTATCGTGAATTTATTTTGGCAGTAAGTGAATGGAGTCCACATGTGCATGAAATCAATATATTGATCGAATCGCTATCTATATAACGCTAAAACAAAAGAACTGGAATGGATACCACAGAGGTAAGGTCAACACTGATGAAAGAAGATCTATAAGAAAAATATGAACGCCAAACAAATTTCCAACGTTAATAACAACATTAAACCTGCAGATGCGAATAGCTATGAGCCAGCGGGATGGTTGCTTCGGACTCTGCGGTTGGCTGTAGTTGGCTGGGATACCAAACGAAGAAAACTGCCATGACAATTACCATGGGAACAGAGTCAAAGATATATAGAGTCCATTCATGCTCCAACGGATAACCGTCATTTCCAAGAACATATTCAACGATGCGGAAGACGGAACGAATCATGATCAACGCACTAACAGCGTAAAGCATGTACAGCGACTTCTTCCATGGGATCCCCGGTTGAAGAGATTCGGGGGTAGGCGAGCAACGAATTCGTTTCGCAAAGACGATGGCAGTCAGCCAGAAGATCGAGAAAGAGATCAGCTGGATTGCCAAGCCACCAACCACCGCAATCTTTGCATATGTTGGATATCCCAAGATGGACAGCGATGAGGAATTTCCTTGAACAACGAATGACAGGACATCGCCCCAGACGAAGGTTTTTGTTAAACGGGAAACACGGATCACTGAGAGATGCTCTCCTCCAACACGACGAATAAGACGACCCAAAGTCATATAGATTGAGGCGGCGAAGAGAGTGGGACCGAGGAGAACGAAGATGTTTGCGACGATATATGGGCCCATGGTAGTTGTATTACTATGTGCAACGGCTCGGCCTATATAGCCAATAATCTCAACTGGGGGGAAAAGTCAGTCGTCGTTCTTGGAGACTTGGTAGGATTGCAAACATACAAAAACCGCCTATAGTGAAAGCGATGCAGAACCATGTTTTCGTCGTAAACAATTTCCATGAATGTAGGCCAGTCAGAGCCATAAATAGAAGCATGAATATGACTGCGGCAGGAATAGATGGAGCATAGTTCCAAAACTTGTAGGAACGAGATGTAATCTCATGCATGATGAATGGATGCAGGATAAATGGCCGATGTAAGACTCCAAGATTAAAATGAATGTATAAAAATGAGAAAGAATGTGAAAAATAGAGAAAGGGTTTGAGAGGAAAGAGCAAAAGTGAATTGCTATGAAACCATTTGCGATCCAGGGGCATTTAAATACCAAACTTGAAGAACTCTAGAGTAGAAGAAGTTTGATGTTGCGGCTCCACGATCAAATACGCGTATCCAGATTCAATGTTCCAAAGAATCAAGTGGGGCTGACCCATATAATAATTAGGCTCAGCCCAGCCGAGCTTTTTAATGATCGAATACGCGTATAGCTTTTATCTGTCAAGAGCCTTGCAAGTTTGCCACTCTACTCTCGCAACACAATTTGCTATTCTGATGCCTATCCAAAATGATTTCTTCATCAAGAGGCATGATCTAATAGCTTACTCATGGCTTCTACGTACTCTGCACATACTTAATCTATATGAAAATCTCACCCCTACCAGTAAAAGCATTAGAAATGGCATTGTGGGATGAAACAAAAAAAAAGAACCAATGTTGAAATTTCGCCACAAGCTGGGATCGAACGTGGGTTGAATCGGTTTCCTTATGTATCCTTGAAAGTGCTAGATACGGTGTTTACTAGTAGTTATTTATCTTGACGGTTTAGTACCTGTTTTCAGCGTAATTAAACGGTTAAACCTGAAACCATGTGATTGTTGACACTTTTGCGGCTCGCCCAAAAGGTGAGAAATGCGCGCTTTGATTAAATTACGTTCAATACGACCATTACGTCCATTACGTCCATAACACCTGGCGTATTTACGTAGTGAAAATTGATCACGATTCACTTGCCACCAGTCTACCACTACCACAAGGAGAATTGCAGGTCCTCTTTTTCCTGAGCAGGTCCATGGACACAAAAATTGGAACTTGGGCGGGTACCTTGAAAGTTTAAACGCCCAACCCTGAAAAGCCCCACTTTCCGTGATTCGTGAACAAGTCAAGACTCAAGACCATGGACATCGTTGCAGTCTAATAATAAACATCTGGGCCGCACCAGTTCACATCCATGATTCTGCAAGTTCCTTTCAAATTCAAGGAAAATCTACACTGCGAAACAAATGATTCTGATGACTGCATGCGTTTGCCAACCCTAAATTGAAACGTCTGTCAGCGCTAGGTTATATTGGTCTACGCTACCTGAAGCTGACTGGGCGAAATAGGGGCATCTTTTTGGGGGCTGCCCCACCAAAACTTTTACGATCCGAACCATCTTTCCGCTCTTAATCTCTTCTCTCACCATGCAAACAGACTCCCCAGTGCCCGCTCGGGTGACGCCGGCATGATTGCACTAATTATCCTTGTCTGCTTCGCAGCGCCCTCATTCGCCGAGTCTAACTCGACAGCCCTAGAGGGATGGCAAGTTGACGGTGATTCGCGCTCCAGTTGGGATATTCTCTGGACCTGTCTGTCCACAATCCTTGCTTGTACTTGGACCGCGCTACACCCGTCTGTCCCAAAACGAGACGAATCCGAAAGCAATCTGATACTTTGGAAAATAATGGGATTTATCGGCGCCGTCCTTGCCCCGGAGCTGATGGCTGGGATGGCGGCTGAGGAGTTTTGTCATGCGAGGGCTATAGTGGCGCGCTGCAATGCTGCCTTTTGCAAGCTATCCATTGAGTCGATGAAGTCTAAACCTTCCTCTATAAAGACTCGCGAGGGAGAGGGAGAGGATCCTAGTGCAGAAGAAGCTTCACCGGATAAAGATACTACAATCCAAGAAAATGATGCTTCAACAGGAGAAGAGGAAGCCTCGGCCCCAAAAGAAAGACCTTCGACACATGACGACGATGTTTCAACTGAAGATAAAGTCGTTTCAACAACACCGCGCTGGTCTGTTGCCCACGGCTATTGTTTAGCCATGAATGGAGTTCTATTGCAGACGAAGGATCGTTGGACGTATCCAGTTCAAACGAACAATGTTGTTCCACTCATTGAAGCCGGCATATTGCAGCCGGGGCACGTGAGATCTCGCGACATCAAAGACCGAGCAAAGGCCGATTCCTTTGGAAAGGCATTCACCTTGCTGCAAAGTCTTTGGGTAACGACCAACATAGTGGCAAGACGAGCTTATGACCTACCAATATCCCCACTGGAATACTCGACCGTGGCCTACGTTGCCTGTGCTGCCGTAACATATTGCACATGGTGGCACAAGCCGAGAGACATGACGACACCTATCATTGTGTTCCTGCCATATGATAAGGATGGCACAGACATGCCACCACTTATAAGAAAGACATTGGAGGAGGGCCATGGCTCGTGGGTGCGATTACCGAAACCGAGTGTGGAGGAGCCGCATTCGGCTTCCACGAACCCACTTAAATGGCCAGGAATAGCGGTAAGGATAGTTTGCATGCCATTCACGCCCGAAAGACGAAAGAAGTTGTATACCATCTCCAAAAAATCCTACGAGGATCAAAAAGAAGATTTGGCAGACGAAGATCCACCGCCAAGCAGTGGCAACCAAGATGAGGGAACGGTTCATTCAGCGAGCCAGGAAATTGAGACCCAGAAATCCACCAGAAAAGCCAGAAATCCAGTAGAGCGATTGAGGATCATGAGCTACATCAGCCTGACACATTTCTATATGTTTATCGCTCTATTGTTCTGCGGCATACATGTTGCTGCGTAAGTCGTCACATAGTACCTCACTCTCACTTCCTTTTGACTTTGCCTAAACATTCGACTAGGTGGAATTCGGAGTTCCCAACCAAGGCCGAACAAGTTTGTTGGCGGGTTTTCTCTCTTTCGGCCTTCTGTTGGATCTGGCCAATCTATCTGGCACATATTTGGCTCTTCTATCGGATTTACCGAAAAAAGGGCAAGACTGCCTTTTTAGAAGCAGTTGATATCATAACAGGTCCAATTATGGCTATGTGGGTTGTCTGGTTCTGGCTGTACTCAATCACACGTTGGGGGAATTTGATCTTGATGTTCATTTCCCTCCGAGAATTGCCCGCGGGTTCCTATATCTCGATAGATTGGATGTCATCAATACCTCATATCTAAAGATCTGAGGTGATTTCGTCTTTTTCGGAAAATTTTATCCGGGCGCAACATGCATGGTGTGTTAGACATCCATATGGACCTTCAAACAAGCCCTCAAAAGGCTGAAATAGCCTTGAGATGTAGACAGAATTGGGCTGTAAGAAAAAGGGTATTGTATTCTTTAAAACGGAGAATTCTCAATTGATGTATGTACGATTCTTGTAAATCATGGCCTGCCTTCTGACATGCCTCGCTCATGGATTAAATACACCTTGCGCCCTTTGCCAGCTGGTTGATTGTATGCTGTAAACGAAAGCCAGAAGAATAAAAAAACTTCGTAAAATGAAAAATAAACATAGATAAATCACAGTCCCAGTAAATCGTGTTTCATTGCTCGCCTCGAGCGAACTTCAAAGCCAGAAAACGGGCTTTCAGCAGCCATCATTCAACATGTCTTTATAAAAGACACCCATAGAGCTCAGCCGAGAGATAAAATGTATTGGATCGCTTGCCATCCAGCTTCTCTTTCATGCTCACCCAGCTATGAATACCACGACCAGCCTCCAACGGCCGGCGCTTCACAGTGTTGATAGCATTTCGATATCTCTCACGGTAAAGCTGGGGCGCAGAAATGGCATCCATGTACCTCTCAATACGTTCTTGTGCTTCGGCATCACTTTTAGCATAGTTGTCCATCGGGTATAAAACGGTACGGGCCGCAGGCCTCGACGGATCCTTGTTCTTGAAGTGGAAACAAGATAGACCGGGCTTTCCACGGTACGGCCCAAGCGTGCCGCCGCCCATTGTAGAATAAAACTGCATGATCGCATCGACATCGGAATTGGGTTCCATCTGGACGTGCTTTTGCGCGATTTCCGCCGCAGATGCGCCGGGGTGCGCAACGTAAACCTTGACCTCGGCATCTTCCGGGTTCGGCGACAAGCCTAGCGCGAAGTAGATAGGGTAGTCATCGCCGGTCATCATGTTTTCCAATAGCTTCCATGATTCGGCGAGCCCCAAGCGCTCCAAGGCTTGTCGGGTCACGTTGAAGGTGTTTTTCCTCCCCGAGGCTAGTGGGTTCAGGTACATCTTCCACTTTTCTAGGGTCTTTGATGTAGCGAAGCTGTGCCATGTGGCCAGCATACTTGAAGGATCTGAGGGGACGAAGAGGTCCTGGATGAGGTTCAAGCGGTCGAGTGAGACCTTTGCAGGGCCGTATTCTGTTGCGATGTCGTTGGTCAAGCGTGATGTTGACTCTTGGAGGGCGGATAGACTGTTTTCTTCGGGCTGGGCCTCGATCAGGAAACGCAGCTCAGATGCTCCGGTCTTCTGACACAGAGCTAATGAGTACTCATAAGGTGAGTGGTCGTTGCTGACGTCGGAGACCCAGGCGGAGCGGTCCAGCTTCTGAGGAATGGCATCTTTGCACCATTCTCCGCCTGAGAACTTCAAGGCGTGGAGAAGCTTCTCTCGTGTGACCTCATCTTGTCCAACTGCATGAGACAGACTTATGATTTGCCGAGTAGCCTCGCTCATGTAGGTCCCCTCTATTGGGTTGCTTGTGGAAGTTATAGGTAAAGAAGGTGTGACCGGAATGGTAGGCTTGGCGGGCTTTGTGCGGCCATAAGGGTAAATGAATTGATGAATCTTGGGGAATGACCAGGCGTCTGGCATCATCTGTCTTATGACGGCCATGATCTTTTTCGTGAACCAGGGGTCTCGGTAATATTCACTTTTATGACACTCGGTGCCAGTGTATATGATGTGCAAGGGTGGTGGAATTCGGGTGGAACGTTAGAATGGCGTGAGAACTCAGTAAGACTTCAAGAGAATAAAAAAAGTTCCGCTTTGGTTGATATGGTATGAAGAGATGGAGGGATGGTAGTGCAAACAGGAGATGCCCAATAGTAGTAGTAGGTACTAGTATGAAGAAGAGAATTGGAATTGATGGATATGAGAGAAATGCCGCGTACTCAGCAGACTTTATGAAGCATCGATACCTGAGAAATAGCCCCCAGTCATGGGCCTCAAGGGATCATCGAGCGGGACAGGTTCTTAGCATAGAATATGCAAGTCGGAGAAATTTCTAAGAATACATCAATTAAAACAAGGCAAGAGGTAAATAGAATACGCGCACTCCTCGCTAGCCTAAGCTTTTCATTGGCCTGGTAAACATTACCATTCTTCATCAATTGGACTAGTAATGAAAGAAAAGATAGTCCGTGGTCTTGAATGTTACGTAGACTGCCAGACGAATTAAATCCAAGCTTCTACAAGTCGAAGGCTTACAAGTGACTTCTACACCTAAAAAGCTCTGGCATTGGGCGTACCTGCACGCCTAAGATTTAAACCCCTTTCAAGAAGTAGGCACACTGAGCGTTCGTATGGACGCACATAGTAAGCAACTCATCGTATACAGGCTGAAGTGGCGTTCTGTATAGTTATTTTTTGGCCCCAGGCATTACTTCAAGTGTTGGTATGCAGCTCCACGCTAAGCTTTCTAATCGGCCGAAGTCAACAACTTCATTGTTCAAAACTCATCAGCCACCACTTATTTTACCGCCGATAAGGTAACCAATGGAATTCCTTGTCAAATGTTGGAACTTGAGGAAATGATGGCTTGAATCATGTCATTGCTATCAGTCCCCACTTCTGATGTGATACGAACATAAATTTGGATAGGGCGGAATTGCGGGGCTTGATTTGAGACATGTCAGTCACTAACAATACATAGTAGACAACACGGGCTGGCAATTGCCCTTGATTTGATCGACTCGATATCCAAGAATCTTCATGGATGGCCTGAATTGGCTGAAGAACCCCGCCACATACTTCATTCACCTTGGAACCTTCTTCCAAGATCCCTGTATTTGGCCCCATTATCAGTGGCTGTCGGTGGGGCTAATTTGCCGCTTCGTTGGACTATTAGTCCCTATTAGTCCCCAGAACCCTTAGTGCTTACTTTAATCCACTCTGCAAGGGAGCAGTTTTGTGACGAACAAGTGAACACTCCGGACTTGCTATTTCTTTCTGCTCAATTGCTCAAATCGCTCACACTAGTGGTATTAGTGAAGAATTGATTAATTTGCAAATGCATATACTAGTCTACGATTTGATAAGAAAAAAATTCACAACTTTTGAACACGTGTACCAAGTATGGAGCACCATAGGCTCAGAGAGGAAGGTGCTAACTTCAATTTTGGCATTCGGATCCCTTTTCCCCTACATTAGCACTTGAGTGTTTGGCCCCCTTGGTGTCTATCAACTGTTATGTCATCATGTGCAGGGCGTTTTAACTCCGTAACCTTGGAAGGTTTGAGATTGTTGTTAGCTTTCATACATCATTTGCTACCAATTTCGCTTACAGTGAGACCTAGTTGTGGCCTAGGCTTGGTGCGCTTAGTGGGCTATTAGCGTGTCATTTATTTCTAATGTTGCATTGTGGTAACACTAATTATCAACATTTGGACTTTTGCTGTATTTACTGTAGGTAATTAAATCAATTTCTAGTTGCTTTCTCGTTCTTAGCGAAGGTGTTTCAGCCCTGAAAGATTTGCGTATCCTATGAATAAAAATAAACTGAACTTTAGAAGCGCGTTGTCTATAGCTTGGAGAACTCTGCCCCAATTTGGTTGAGCATGGACACATGGTCCTTGCTGTAGGTGTCACCATCTCTGGTGATAACTTCACGCACCCAAGGCCCACGAGGGTTAAACGAAGCCTTGAAAGGCAGGGCCCGCATAACCAGGCCATAGGTGCATGCAATGGGATCAACGACGGTAGGCTCGCCCGTCTCTTCGGACAGACCAGCCTTGACATCAAATGACCATAACATCTGGGCAACGACGATCCAAATCACATTGCGGGCAACATACCGCCCTGGGCAAGTTCGCCTGCCATAACCAAAGACAGCAGAGGGTAGGGATTTGAGTGTCTTGCCATCCTCTTCGAGCCAGCGATCGGGAATGAAATCATCGGGGTTCGGGCCGAATATTTTTTCTTCTCTGTAGATTGTCCAAACGTTGGGTATAATCACAGACCCTTTGGGGATAGTGTATCCATTATAGGTAGCCTCCTCTTTATTCAAGTGGGGAACACCCTCGGGGCCGGCAGGTCGCCAGCGGAATATCTCTTCAACAATTGCGTCAATGTAAGGCAGGTTGGGCTTGTCATCTGAGGTTGGGAGTCGGTCGCGCCCAACAACAGCGTCCAGCTCAACCCGTGCTTTGGTGATGAAATCGTTGTCCTGTGTAATACAAGCCACCACGAACCAGATCAAGCTGTCTGTGGTGCCATCCAAAGCGGCGTCGATCATAGTACCAAGCTCAAATGCCAGCTCATCCAATGGCATATCAAGGTTGTTCTTCTCGACGGTCTTCTTCAGTTGCTTTGAGATATTCCAGGATTCCGAGTTTATACCGCGGTTAAAGTTCTTATCCCGCAGATCATACTTGGTGTTGTAGTGATTCTCAGCCTTCGCCTGCCACGGCGCCAAGAACCCAGGTAGGTTGTTCAGCACGGGGAACTGATCAACGATATGCGCGCCAACTTGGATAAATTCAGAGAACTCATCATTGAGTGTCACGACGGTGCGAAGCACGGGGTCTTGGGGATCTTTGACGCGGAATCCATAGAGCAATGTATGAATGATGCTTGCGATTGCGCGCTGGAAATGACCTTGAACGTCAGTACCAGCGCCGCCCGCATGTTCCAGAAGATCATGCATCAATTGCTGTGATTCTAAAGTCTGGAACGGAAGATAGGCGGCTGCCGGTGTTGCATTCAGTACAGAAACCTGTAGCTTCTGATGTTGTCGGAATTGCTCAGTGTAATTCATCATGAGGATATTGAGCCCCTTCAAGGCCAACTCCGTCGCCAGCTGTAGCGCATCATATTAGCTCAAGCCGCTTGTCAGGTCGAAATCAATTATTCTTACAAAAAGACGAGGCCGATCCGAGAAAATGGCACCCTGTTTTGCTAGAAGGTCGTGGGCGACTTCAGAATTGGACAAAATAATGACGGGCTGGCCGAGCATGTTCAGGTGAACGATGGGCCCGTATTCTTCGCTCCATTCGCGATAGGTTTTCCAGCCGTGTGACTTGGGAGCTTGGTGGACGTTGCCAATTATTGGAAGGGGCTTAGGCCCTGGAGGCAGAGGCAGAGACGAAGTTGATTTTCGTCGCGAAGTAACATATATGCCGACTAACAGCCCAGCTACGGCTAAGACAACAGCCGAATGCATGATGGTTGTAAATGAAGGAGAAACAGGCAGATGTGGTTGATGGAGGCAGGTCAATACCTTGAGTTCAGATGGAGGGGAAGGAGAAAGAGTATTCAAATGTTGAAAGAAAAGGGTGAGGGTCTCGTGTTTGGGGGCCGTTTCGTGATAAGTAGATGTACTCCTGTGGGGAAATCGGGCTAATTAGGTGGACGCCGCTGAAAATCAGGTGTCTGTGGTTGGGCTGCAAGTGCAACAACCCCACTTATTAACACTCAAGTGCTTATTCCGCTGCTTGGTACCAGGTTGCCTCTTTCCAAGGTTGATCACATTCTTGTTCGATAAGTGGCGCTTTTACCCAAGTATGTACGCAGTACACATGCATAGACTGCACGTAATCAAAGTAAAAATTATTGATCGGCGGTAGAAAGTAGGAAGATCTCCAAGCATCTTAAAATAGCTGAAATCATCTTCTGCGCAATGCACGTGCGGGCCATCTGGCCATGTTCCAAATTGCATGTAACTTGAATACTCAATTGCAAGCACTTGATTGTTTCAAATAATTCATAAAAATTCTCTTCAATGTTCAAATGTTAGGAAGATACATAATTAAAAGACATATACGGGAATATGGTATGTATGTTAAACATATTCCGCTGCACCTAACGCTTTAGCCTCGTACTGTGGCCTTCCCATATCCGCGCGGTCCCCTAACTCAACGTATTGGTGTGTAAGGACACGAATTCGGCCTGAATTTGCAGTGGCCGTTTCTTCCAAGTGAGATTGTGACTCCGAAAGCCTTGATTTGTGTGATGACGCTAGTAATCCAAGACGGCTGCGCAGAGGGCCTGCATGCTTGGTCCAGAATAAATGAACCGCAGGTGTGCAGCTAACCATTACAACAACGGCGCTCTCAATCACACTAGTTAAAGGGTTGTCAGTGAGAGGCTCTGCGGAGATTGGCAGTTGGTAGACTTACGTGAAGAGCAAAGCATTAGCAAAGTTGGTAGATGACTCGGTGGACTGCGCAGTTTGGAAGTACAGGCCCAGCGCGCTTGATGCGATCGCACTATTAATTATCGTGGTCAGTAAGCGTGCCCATGGAAATCATCAGATTTTCTCGAAGAGACTTACAGAAGACCTGTAGCAAAGGCAAAGCCCAATCCAATCTTTCGACGAAGCGGCATTTTCAGATTGACAATGATGGGAATCGGAAGGACAAATGTGACAACATCAACCGCGAGTGAAATAGAGCCACGGGCAATGGTTGCGTCTGTGAGTGCGGCTACACATGAGAATAAGAATGGTGTCGTCGGCTTGTGAAGATCGGGGCTGCATGATATGCCGGCATATAACAACGTGATCACACCACCCAGGGTTCCAAATATAATTAGAGTGAGGCACGACCAGCGCAACCATTTCTTGATTCCGAAAGTGCGCTTCAGCATGAAAAGTAAAGGCAACTTCGCGCTGTAAATTGCACAGTTGCCTGAGGCAATTCCGATCGCGACAAGCTGCAAGCAACAAACATTAGCTCATGATCATCTCTTGGTGATTGTCGTGCAGGAGAAGAAGCCATCGCCGCCATACCCTTGTCAAGTGTGTGATCGTTACATCGTCGGGATTCGAATTCAAGACTATTCAGAATCTGATCAGTTCCTGTTGTGTAGGCTCACATGTCATGTCCGATCGGTGCGTATCTTACCATACATAAGCAATGAGAACGTGATCACATTCCAGATCAGAAACAGAAGCGCGAGGACGATTAAATCTGCGAGGTTAGTCTCATTAGCAATCGAAGCTCTCGTTGAAACCTGGGTATTTGTACCTACAATCATCAATTTGAAACTTTCGAAGGTGGTTATAATTAGTCCAAAGTCGCAGTGCAATGATGCTGGCAGTGAGTGTGCATAAACCAGTCGCTACCCCCACAAAGACCTGAGGTCGTAAAGCAGACGGTTGTATAATGAGGGCAATAGGATTCATGTCTGCCTTTGTTCTGCTTCCTCGGCGACGCCAAATCCTTGAAAATGATGTCTGTCTTCCAACAGGTGAATTGGGTGGATAGATTTTTGGAGGGAAAAGCTAACCGGAGCAAAAGAACCAAGATGACTGACAGAACTTTAGACCCCTCACGCACGGGCAAGGATTCAAACAATATCCATTACCCTGCCCGCGGGATCCACTTGGCTAGTGCATAGTTATTTTTTGTCAGCATGAGAACGGCTTGAAGGATTGTGGGTACTGAAAGCATCAATGTTTCTGCCCCCACTTTGACATCAGTCAAGCTTGAAGGATGTCATTGGGTAACGATCGATAGTAATTCAATACCAACATTCGAAGAATCAAAGATAGAAAATAAAGAGACGCGTCACGCCATTTGGAAATCAAGTACGGCATACTAGTGCCCGTACCAGCCACATCATACAACATCAAGCCTCTTACTGCATGTTCCAAGTTGGTGTTAACTTACCGATCCTTCGACTTCTTGCGTGTTAACAGGGTGGATGTATCTCCTGCAGATGTCCAATCTTCACCAGTAATATCTGCAGAATTTGTTCAACTAGCCACCGAGTGCTGCAGCCCCCACCTACTAGCGAGATTGTAGGCGTCAAAACGAGTTCTGAGTTGGGGGCCAAAGTAAGATTGAAGAGGGCCTGATGGCCCCCAAACTATGGCGGAAGCGTGTTTATTAGTTGGCAGCGGTATACAATACGCCGTATATACGAGATACAGAACCTCTTGGGGGCCAAAACGAGCGTTTATGCAAGTTGAGATCAGCAAAACCAAGCCTTCCAAGAAAGTCGAGATCAGCAACAAGCATTCAAAGCAAGGTTCTTGGGGGTAAGTCCGGATCTACGATCAGCTTTCAAGCCACGTTGTCTTCAAATAGCCCCCAAAACTTGGCATTTTTAGATCAGAATGCCATACGAAGTCTGTGTCCTATCAATGATATTATTAGAACTCGTTGCAACATTGAATATTTGAACAAGGCCCCCACTTGCCTCGGACAGAAGAATTTCATCGGGAATTAGCGCCTTCCGTGCGGACCGTGCCCATGTGGAGTACAGACCCTATCTATGCACATGTGCCAATCTTCATACATAAAATGAAGAAAATACAAGTATACTGCTTCTTGGCTTACTCGAAGTATTAATCCTGGGTGTTGTTGTTCTTAGCGAACTCACTAGGTCTTCCTCACTAGATCTTCGACATTCTCAACATGTCGCTGTCGAACAACTCATGGACCATGTATCCCGTCAGCGCATTGCCCGGTCTACTGCATGGTAACTCTAGTACAATATCAATAGACTCTCCAAATACTTTCTTGTCATCAAATGGCGTGAATATAGTCCTTGGAATCTATTTCCTTTTCATTTGCCTAAAATTAGCGACGAAAAGGGTACGTCTATACACGCATTAGACATTTTGAAATGAAAATTCGTGTGCTCACATTTTTGTTTTTGTTTTTCCAGAAACCACCTATTTCACCACCCTGCGAGAAAGTGATTGAGGAAGCGGAGAGAACAAATCGAGAAAATGGACACGAAAATGCTGGCTTCTTATCTAAAGAAGCAGCATTCTCTCCTCTTCGCACAATGAAATCATTCCCATCTTCTCATGCAGCATGGGATCAACTTGCTGTCGATCTACCACGCCTGGTTCAAACACAGACTCTGCGAGAGACTGTGACCAAGATTCCCCTCCTTGATGCATCCGCCGATGCCTTGCCCGAAATCTATCTCCAACGTGCAGCTACCATCTTAGGGATGACTGCTCACGCGTTTGTTCGCATGGAAGGAAGCGAGCCTCTTACATTAAAATACGACCAACATAGCGACATTCTTCCACAAGCCCTTGAGATCCCATGGACCATTGTCTGTGAGCGCCTTGGGCGATCCGCCCCTTCTCTCACTTACGTTGATGGGGTTGTGTCAAATTTCACGTCTACTAGCTCGTTACACAGCGATGTGACCATTGAAAATTTACAATTGCTTGTTCCGACGGTCGGCAATAAGGAAGAGCGCATGTTCATTGGTATAATGGTTGAAATCAACGCCAAAACCATCCCCGTTCTTCATCAAATTATAGAGGCGCAACGATGCGTCCTGGCTCATGATTCCTCTGCACTCAAAGACGCTATAAGAAATCTTCATTCGCACTTGAAAGATGTCACCAAGATCCTCTATAAGCTCAATGCAAACCGAGCCCACAAGTCTCACATTGATCCCGTCTTATGGACGCTCACCGTTGCGAATTTGGGAATTCCTTGGGTGAACGGTGCGGTCGGAGCGGCAGGCACAGCTCATCCCTTCTTCCACATGATGGATGAATTCACTGGACGGTTTCAATACAGCACGGGTATCGGCAAAGAAGCGCAAATTGTTCGATCCACCTATCCTGTTCATTGGCGTCAGTTTCTCAAGGCAATCAAGGAAGTGTCCGTCACGGAGTACGTGGACGCCTCAAAGGATGCAGAATTAGTCGACCTCTGGAAGACTTTTACATCCTCATATAGCGGCAACGACGGTCTACTAGGATTCCACAGACGAAAGGTATTTGGTTTTCTCGCCGTCTCGTTCAGGATTGGCCGAAGCACAACCATCAATGGGCTGGGTCGGAAGCGCAAAGCCGAGCCTTGGCAAGAGGCCGATCAAGCATTAGAAAGCGCCCGTCTGGAACGCAAGTGTCTCGACACTGATGAACATAACCCGGAAAATGAACCAAGCTTAGACAAATTGTTTGTGTCCCAGCTCATCAAACATAACTCGGAAGAAACCGGTTATTGGTTTTCAGCCCAGGGAAGTGTTTACGATGCAAGCACATTCATGCAGAAACATCCAGGAGGCGATACTGTGATTGCATTGTGTAGTGGTCAAGACATTACGGATAGCCTAAAGGCCGTCGGTCATTTGACGAACCCCGCAACCCGCAGCAAACTGGAAACATATCGAATTGGTACATTGGAAAAACCACAATTCGATTCTCCGCAAGCAGAAGAACTTTACATGGCCACCGTTGAGCTCGGTCAAAAAGCCGCTGAGATGGAGAATGTTCATCGGAGAAATTTCCAGCTTTTGGATGGTAAACTTACTCATCTGGATGAACCGGAGGTTCTCACGCCTAAGAAGGCACGCCACTTACTCGATGCCAAGAACAGGCTTCAAGATGAACATGTGCCCTCATTGGCGAGGCTTCTAAATGATCTATTGGATATCATTGTCAAGTCGGATGTGGAGCTTGATGTGGCCACTATTTATGCTCAAACAGCCGCCCTCGTTGCGTCGGAAGTAGAAACTGGTACCGCAACCCGGTTTTCGGCCTACGAGACGGCATCGTATACGCTGCAGAGAGATTTGCGTCACTTGACCGAATTGAAAGAGCTTGTGTCAATGGTGCTTGGAGTCTTTGAAGATCCCGGATTTTCAATTTCCAACGCAAGTCGCTTTGAATCCATTGGGGAGACACTAAATGAAGCGGCAGGTCGACTAGTAGCGCTCGCCGGAAAATGAGTGCCTTGTTCAAATGACTGACTTAAGATTTTGACTTTATGTAATCCACAACTATACAAGTAACCTTTTTAGGTACTACTAGTACCTTATACGAATTTATGAATCCCCATTTGAGCAATTGAAAGTCTTGGAATTTGGAAGCAAACAAACCTTAAAAACCTTAATTGTCCCGTCGGAAGAGATCCATGCTGATATATATGCACACATTCTCAACTCTACAGACGCGGTTAGCCAAGTCAAACGGGTCGGGAGTCGGAAGAGTCCGAAGAAGCATAAGGATTCATGGAAGATGCCCCACCATAAAAACATAACGTCGGCCCGATACGCTTAGTTAACAGCCTACTCCAACACTCCAGAGCTGGTTTATAGATCTAATCTAAGAACCTACTAACTACCCTCTCCTCCTCTCCTCACCCTCCAACATTGGAATTTCCACAACGCATACCTCATCACAATGCCGTTCGTCCAAGCCAACACCCACAGTCTTCACTATTCCGACTCCCATCCCGACGGACCACCAACCCCAACTGGGCTCACTTTCCTCTTCATTCACGGCCTGGGATCCTCACAAAACTACTACTACCCCGTGATCCCGCATCTGACATCAAAGCACCGCTGCATCACCATTGACACATACGGATCCGGCCGCTCCACGTACACTAATGACGCGGTTTCTATCACGGGCATCGCAGCCGATGCCGTCGCCGTGCTAGACGAGCTCAAAATCCCCAAGGCCGTTGTGATCGGTCATTCCATGGGCGGCTTGGCAGTCACTGAAATAGGATCACGGTACCCGGATCGGGTGCTTGGTGTTGTGGCGATTGGTCCGGTGCATCCGTCTGAGATGCTGGTATCAGTTATGAGTAAGAGATCAGACACTGTTTTGGAAAGTATGTATTCCTTTTTTTGCCTTTTCCCTCGACCTTGTTAGGTCTATAGACTGGATCAAATTGGTATGGTGATATATGAATGGAAGGCTGACTATGTATGACTTAGGTGGCATGGAGCCCATGGCCAATTCTATCCCCTTTGCAGCCGTCGGATCCCGCAGCACCCCACTCCAAACAGCTTTTATCCGGGAGCTGGTGCTTGGACAGGATCCCAAGGGCTACGCGGCACTTTGTCGAGCTATATCTGCCGCTAAGCCGGCAGATTACGCTGCTGTGCAGGCACCGTTCTTGCTTATTGCGGGCGAGGAGGACAAGTCGGCATCCATGGAGGGATGTGAGCATATTTTCCAGCATGTTTCGAGTAAGACCAAGTCGCTTGAGGTCCTGAAGGGAGTGGGACACTGGCATTGTATTGAAGCAGCCGATGAGGTTGGCTCTCTCATCTCCCAGTTTGCCGATGGTATTGTTGTTTGAGTTGTATTGCTAGCTTTCTGGTAGATATCATATATATGCCATGGATACCAATGGCCAAAATAGTGGTTCAAATATTTCGCCATCAACCTTGGAAGCAGCTTTTGGAACATTTGAAGTATAGATTTACAGCCGAGGATAGGTTGTAACTTTGGAATTCACTGCATCAATCCTCGCCTGGGCGTTCACAGGATTCCGCGTTGGTCATAAAAAAGGTATCAATATTGTGAATAGATCTTTTTCTTCAAATATGTGCCAGAAACGCTATTGTAACAGAATAAAAACAATGGCAACTAAAGAGATATTGTATGCAAATTCAACCATTTTCCTCATGCGCCGTCTCTCCCGCCATTTAGCTGAATTAGACATCAGGCGCAAGCTTAACGTCGTACTGGAGTTCAGTTGCAGCACGAGAATCGCCGTCCCGAGGAACAAAGTCTACAACCAAGGAGTCCTTGACAGCAAAGACTGAGTCGTTGTCCAGATACTTGCCCTTGCTATCAAAGATCTGTGTAACAAGAGGACGGTAGCCCTGGTAGGTAGCCTGGGAGGGGAAACGATTAGTCCAAGTCTTCTCAATTTGGTGCGAATCAGACATACCATGATGTGAATGTGAGCAGGGCGGAAGGGGTGGCGATCCATAAGCTCCAAGAGCTTTCCAGCGGGGCCTAATGAAAGTATATGAGCTTCAAATATTCCAATACTACCAAAATAACAAAATAACAAAAGCATGACTTACCATCACCCGGGACAGGGTAAGGTGTGGGCCTCAAGCAGTAGAAGAAATAGCGCCCATCGGCATCAGTCTTGAACTTGCCACGCAGGTTGAACTCAACCTGTTCAGGATCTTGTTGCTCATACAATCCGTTTGTGGACGCCTGCCAGACCTCGACATCGGCACCAGCAAGCGGCTTGTGGGTAGCGAAATCCAAAATGCGGCCGTGCATGAATGCTGTCTCGCCGTCGTGGGGCATAGTGACAGCGATATTGTCGCCGTTCGCGCGGTACGGGGTATCCGCACGGAAGAACGGGCCAAGAATAGCAGTCGCGGTAGGTGCGTCCTTGGCTTCATCCGCCAGAGTAAAAGTAATCTCATCAACGAGCCTGATACGATCGCGTTAGTATCATGTGAATGTATTTCAAAAGTAAATACGCGTTAAGCGCGCCTTTGGCTGTTTTTGCTTTTGCTTTTTTTTGTCTTTTTTCATGCAACTTACGATTCAAGTCCGATCACGTCGCAAACTAGTTGCCCCTCATTGCGCTTATCGTCGCTCATCTGTCCGGCCCAGTTGATCAACTTCACACCGGCCATCCACTCGTCCACAGTCAGCTCATTCTCGCGTACAAAGTCATGCACGTGTCGGATTAATCCGCTCATGAGCTGGCGCATGCGCGGAGAGGTCTTGGGGCCCATGGAGTTGATGACATTGTCGGTGAAATTGGGGTCAAATCGGTGTTCGGCCATTGTGAATTGAAGATGGGTTAAGCTTCCGTGTAGGTACGTCGTAGTCAAGGCCCAAGGGTGTTAAGAACAAGGTTAAAATAAAAGTAAAGTTACGACCTAGGTTTGTTGTGTAACAAGGTCTTGTCTTTTTAAAGTAAAGGAAAGAGCGATGTGACAGCTGCTGATCTCAAGTATTTAATCGTCACAAGATCCGACGGGAATTGGTAGACTCTGGGAACGGCAAAGTGCGGATCTTTGGACCTAATTCCGGGTGCCCCAGATGGAACTTGACTTCTTGACCAACAAGTCGAAGCTCATTCGAGGACGACCCCGCAAATTGGCGGCACGGGGGGCCTGATTGGGTCATAGATCGGAAGTTGAGGTCGGGGCGGCGTCGGATGTTCTTTGCTGCTTCGTTCGGATCGTGCCGAGTTCCCTGCAGAGTCCGCTTCCGATTCCCCCGCATGTTCGGATATGGCCAATAGCTGACCATCAAATCCAATACTTGTGAAGTTGTGAAGCAATTATTTCTGATGGCCAATTTGCCTGAATTGTCAGACCTCGTTTTCATCTATGGATACATGTGCTTCAGCTAGAAAATCTAACTTTATTCTTGTATTAGTCCTCTTCAACACGCTAAGAGAGATGGTGCGCGGCAACAATAAACCAGCCAATGACTTCAGTACCAAATCATCGTCTATTCTTAGGAGTTCCTTTACTCGTCAATTTGGCAGGCAACTCTTGCAACACCTGCCCCTTTTCCCAAATCTTGCCCATTTGCGCCTTCCGCTCAATGACAACGTCAAAGAACTCAACCGGGACTACCCTCTCCGCAGCCCCCGCTGCACCATCTCCAGCCTCGGAAACCGGCAAGCCCTCGCTCAGAATTACCCCATTCTCACTGCGCCAGAACGGGCAACCGGCCTGAAGTGCTTTCCGAATATCAATGTAGATTAAGACCTGCGCATCCCAGCGCATTCCCGAAATGACCTTTTTATCTCCGGGCCCCTGCTTGGACTCCTGGCTCTCTTGTTGGGCCGCCAGTGCCGACTCAAGTGACGGGCCCGTGGCAAAGTGGACATGGTTCCGGTTCATACAACGTAGTCCACCCGATTGCAGAATAAGTGGCCATGCGCCATGGAAAGTTCCGTGGACCACTGTCTCCGGAAGCTTGGATTCGTCATCCAGCGAAAGGGGCTCAAGGAATGAGGCCGCGTCCACGCTTTTGATACTATGACCTTGGGATGCGCGAATCAGGTAGTTGGCTGGCTTAGAATCTGTGGCAGCAAGCGCTTGCTGTGTTGCATCGCTTTGTTGTTCGCTTGTGACGGGTGCTTCCAGCACGGCTGTGTTGTCAACGGACGCGCTATCTTCGGCGGAGTCCGACTCTGGGATGGTAGTGGCTTTTGTCGTTGATTCGGTGGGTTGGGAGGATGGGATGTGAAGAAGGGCAAAACGTTTCTTATCAGATGAATCGACGGCATGTTTGATCTCATCGAAGGTGCATTTGATGGATTTCAGTTTCCGCCATTGTAGCTGTGGGAATTAAGTCACGTAAGGAACAAGTATTGAATATAGATAAATTTTTCAGTCAAGGTCAAGGGGTTCATACCACATCAGCCACATTGGCGTAGCCCTGCGCATTCATTTTGAGTCCTTCTTTCTCTGCGGCATGTCGCAGGAGAAGACTCAGTGCCTTGGAGATCTGCACGTCGCGAGACTGACCTTGACCTCCTCCTCGGTCCTGACCTCTGTTTTTCTTATCCTTTTCTCTCGCCATGATATCTTGTCTGGGTTCCTGGGTGGAAGATGCAAACGCGAGAGCCTCGTTGCGGTGCGGGGAGCTTGTCGAAATCTGCGGAGCTTTAAAATGTTAGTGCGGGGCAAATTTCAGAGCCGCAGTGGATCGGAGTCTCATGTACATGTGGGCAATATTTGCTACACAGAAATGACTCACAATGACTCATCTGTTTAGGTTGCAACGCTCAAGCTTAAACAGTCTAAAAGTGAAATTTGATTGATTGGCTACAGTATACCGTGGCATTCTAACAGACTATAGGAGAAGCGGCGTAATTAATCTTTGAAATGTTTTTGCAACTGACTATTCGAGAGCATACAGTAATTTTTATATGATACTAACAAACTTCATAAAACTTGGGAAGCTCACCCTACAATATTAACTGAACCAATGGGTATATCCTTCAAACATCACAAAACAAGGGGGGGGGGATTATCTTCGGAACAATCATCGATCGCAGATGCAACTACACTCCGCTACCGGACACACCTTGTGCCGCATGAACCAGTCGCGTGCATGGTTTGCATGGAAGCCGTGGTTGCAATGAATACAGAATACAACAAATCGCCGCATGACTTCCGCCTCTGTAGCTTTTTGCAAGTTCGGTTCTGCATCAGCAGCAATACCTGAGCGGGACAATGGATCCGGCGAGCCAAGCCACAGTGTACAAACACCACAGCGAGGCATATGACGACCACAACGGGGGCAGACGGTCCCAGACATACTAGCAGATCCGAGAGGGTTTCCCACGGTTGGGTGAACGGTTTCCATTGCAGTGGATGGAGATATTTGGGACGATGAATCATGTTGTGTGAGGGGTTGGGTGCAGTAGTTGCATGTCAGGCTCACCTGTTGTGGTGGGGGTGGAATGAGTTTTTGCCCGTCGACAGTGACGGCGAACTGACGAGAGCCAACATCAAAGCGGGCTCTTTCAAGTTGGAGTTTCCAGGAATTCATCTGTCGACGATATGTTTCGCGCCAAGCTTCAAACTTTGCGATGTATGTGCTATTGCTGATGATCCGTGGTACGGTGTGACTCATGGCAAGTACAGGGGTCTGGATATCGTTGAACTTGTCGATGTACGACTGGAAAAGACCCATGGCCAGATGGCCTAGTCCAGTAAGCACCACACCCTCAACGTCACCCTGTTGTATTGCTTCGGTGGTCACATCTTTCAGGTATTCGCTCAGCTCATCATCCGGAAGCCAGCGCAGGGCAACCTCAACGCGATATTGTAATGGAAGCGTGGTCTCATTGATGACTGCATGCCAGTCGCCTTTACTCACGAGAGCAAGGATCGCGCGTGCATATGGGTCAGTGAGTTCTTTCGAGATCTCAGCGCATGTTTCTTCCCAGTCGGCACTGTTGTCTCCTTTCGCAGATCCAGCAATGGCCATAGCTAGCAACTTATGAGCTTGTTTGGGCTCATTGCCTCGAAGTGCCAGGTATGCTAGTTTTGGTTCGGCCTGGAAGACAGCCATTGCAGCTGCTTTTGTATGCTGACCCGCTGCAGAGAGGGCCTTAACTAAGTCCTCCAGTTCTCGGTAGGACTGAGCCGCACCGCAGAGGCGAAGACAGAGTCGACGATGCTCGGGATGTCCAGTCTCGCAGCCTTTTGACTCGGGCAAACTTAATTGTTCTGCTAACTGAACGATTGCTTCAGCTGCAAGGCTTGCATCGTCGGCCTTGGATCCGACACGACGTTTTTCGAACCCGTGACCTAAGCAGTTGGTTAACGAATGTAAAATAGAGAAGAAAAAAAAATACAAACCCAGATCATTATGCCATACACTGCTCACACCAAGATAATTCAAATCCAACCCATTTGTGACCATAGCCATTCCTGAGGAATCTGACCGAGCTCCTTATGAAAATAGACAGGTTAGAATTGGGGGTCATTTTCGTAAAATATTGCATAGCTTACTTTCAATCCAGGCCCAAAGGTCTTGCAGAGCAGCATCATCTGATACGATTTCTCGATTCCTCGCTTCATCGAAGAGATAGCCCTCTTTACACCGGAACCGGCCAAGTGTAGAAAGAGTCAACGCCTCCTTTGCAGTCAGTAAAGTTCCAAATGTACCAAGTGATAAAGCCCGCTCCCGAGTTTCCCTGCTTGGAACCGGATCGGCTGTTACCACTGCTTCGGAACCAAACGACTTGCGATCGTCGATTCTGTACCCTTTCGAACCAGTAGAAAGTACGCGTGACTTGATGTTTCCGACAAGCTCAGAAATTGGAGAAATTTGTTCAGACAGAGGGCGGATCGATCTGAGGTCAGAATCAATGGATGAAATGCCACAGGATAATGTCCCTTGCGACGATAGAGCCACAGGGGGACATGGTGGTCGCCCAGTAATGATTTGCGGAATCCCATTGCCATCAATCGCAATAGCACTGGGTTGTGAAGAAACACTCAAGTTTAAGAAGTCAAAGGCCACGACCCGATCCTTTTCTCCATAACCACGGATGGGATGGTCAAACGGTGTAGCGACGTCTCTGATGTGCTTGGTATGGATCGGTTCCGGGTAATTTCTGAAAGATCCCTGACCCAGTGTTTCATCGATCGAAGAGCGATACTCTTCCGATAAGTGATCTTTGGCTATATCAAAGGTTTTCAGATGGCCAGTGCTAGACAATGCGCCCAAAGATCCCTGGTTTGTTTTGGAAAACCTCAAACTCCAAATAGAACTTTTAGGATCAAAGACATTTTTGAGTTGAAGAACAGCCGAAGTCTGACTAGCTTCGGTATTTATCGCAGAAGATGTCACAAAGGGCGATGTTAAACGAGTTCCGACACGTCGATCCCAGACGCAGACGGTACTTTCATTGGATGCTGCACATGAAGCGATGTAGTTCTCGTCAAGCCAGTCAATCGCCAAATTATGGACACATCGAGTTGGAAATTGTAATGACGGGTTTCCGGGGCCCTCTAAAAGATACATTAGTAAGGGTACGCAGTGTTGCGGCGCTCAGGCATGACAAACCTCTTAGGTCATAGATCCGAACAAATTGACCCTTCACTCCCGTAACCAGGGTATCCGGTTGATCTCGAAAGAACTTTATACTGGTAATAGGCTCGGAACTGGCCAGCTTTCGTAACGGCTCGTGAAATCCCTTTGTAGTGCCGGAAGGACTAAGTCGTTGGTTGACGTCCCAGATATTCAAGCAAAAGTCATTGCGCACACGATCCAGACCCGAAGCCACAAGTCCGTGTGTACTGAATGCCACTGCGTTGCAATATCGTTGGTTTCGAACAGGAAAGGAAAGAGATTCCTTCGGATCGGCGTCAAGTCGTAGTATCGTAGCTTCGCCTGATGACTGACCCACGGCGACTAGGTTCTCGTTGGAGGTAGACCAATCAAAGGCGCGGAAGAGAGGGACATCTTTGAGGTGAGAGAGGACCTCATGCTGTATATGTCTGCCGTGGAACCCTGTAATTCGGCATAGGCGAAACGCTTTGCCTGTGACGTCGACGGAGAGGAAGCGTTGCTCCGAGGCGGTCGAGCTCGGTGACCAGCGAATGGCGGACTCCATGCTGTTTATGCGCCCGCCTGGGGAATTAGCAAGCTTCTTCTTTGAAGTGGAGGCCGCGGCCTCGCGTCAACGCCGAGAAGAAGTGGAGGAGAATGAGGGGAGGTTGAAGCTAATCGTCATGTCCGATCGGACGGGCGCTCATTGGCTGCGGCGATCTGGGGTGCACGGGCCGATGGTTGCGCCGAATCGCGTTGTAACTTTTTTTTTCTCTCGCAAAGAACAAGTCTTTACAACAATAATCAACAATGTCTGACTCTCGGCGCCCCCGTGGAGAATCTTCCAAGCGCAAGAGCCCCCATGGCTCAGAGGACCTAGTTCCTCGCAAAAAGCAACATCGCAATGCCGGTGGTGATGAAGAAACACAGTTTGGCGGCTCCAAGAACGACGAGACTCGCAACTCTAAAGGAAACCCTAGCCCGCGGGACAAGGATTTTACATCAGTCAACGACTTAAAGAGGCGCATTCGGGATGTTAAGCGTCTCCTAAATAAGGGAAAGCTGCCCGCAGATGCTCGGGTGGTGCAGGAACGAGCCCTGGCAGGATATGAACAAGATCTGGCGGACGAAACAACACGGCGCGATCGCTCACACTTGATCAAAAAATACCACTTTGTTCGATTCCTGGGTATGTGAAATCCAGTTCCTTTCCATCTAATTTTTCGCTTGCTTACCAGTCTCTTCTGTCAGATCGCAAAACCGCCAGCAAGAATCTGAACAAACTTCTCCTCCGCGAAAAAGAGCAAGACGCCGAGACCGACTCGAAACAAAAGGCCCGTCTTCAAAAAAAGATTCATGAGGCTAGAGTCAGCCTGAACTACACAATCTACTACCCCCTCACCGAGAAATACCTATCGCTCTACCCCAAATCCCAGGAGAAGGCCTCCAAGGAAGCCGGTGCAGAGTCAGAGTCGGAGGTAGACACCAAAGACTCAAAGACACAAGAACCAGGAGCCAAACCTCCTCTCTGGGCAGTTGTGGAGAAGTGTATGGCAGATAACACCATTGACCGTCTCCGCGAGGGCAAGTTGAACATTGGATTCGATGGCAAACCCCTTCCCGTCACCGAGAAGTCAACGCAAGAGGTCAAAGAAAAGAAAAACAAGAAGCCGGAGTTTAACGAAGCTCAATTTGGCTCGAGGAGAGAAAGACGTGCTGCTGCAAACTCTGTACCCAACGGCAGACGGGACCAGAAGAACTACTACGGTCGCGAGAGAGATCGCTTGCAAGATGTGGCACCTGTGCAGCACACTACTGTTGGGGATGACAGTGATGGCGGATTTTTCGATGAATAATCTGCAAGCATGTATGGGGCCTGGTGCCTGGTTTGTCTCTACCTGATATCCAAAATAGCATTGTATGAACAACTTAAGATTGACATGAATCAAAAAGAGAGTGAAGCCTTCAACCGCTGGAAGAGCTCCTCCATTCCATATCAAATTTTACAGTACATAATCAATATCCCTATACAAGTATTCAAATGCTGATTAATTAGTACTAGATGTCTTTTGCACTACTGATCCGCTTTAAGTCACCTACCACATAGTACAAATCTTAATTGGAAACTCCTCATCACAGAAGAGATCCCGAGACAACTCTTTTGCAAGAATGCATGCCTGCTCCGAGCAGATGAGAATTGGGGAAGTTGGGGGAAGGGACACGGATTTTCTAATTGAACAGCTTCTTGGTATTTATTGTTTGGAGTGACATTCAAATCCGAGTCATGGTTATTTTGCTGACAAATTTACAACTCAGGCAGTTCAGTCCACGCAGGGAAGGATTCCACTTAACATTTGAACGATATACTACCTGAGGCTGGGGAAATAAGAGAGAAGGAAGAATAAGAAGAAGATACGAGGACAACAAAAGGGAGCAGGCGCGCCGCGAACAGGAACACAGGCATATAATCCTCCCGGCCTTAGGCCTCATCTTCAATGACTTCAGTTCATGACAGTAATATTGTTCGAATGATTATATAAAACACTATGAGAAACAGGAATTTGCGTAATGGTAGTGTTCGCAAATTCCATTCACCCACTATGTTCAACCTCGATGTAAACGATTTAATATAACTGTGTCCAGGCTGACGCTTCGAAAGGCTGTGCGGGTTCACGGCGTCCACCTACTAGACACGGGTCCCGTAGCAAGAATCACCAAATGGTGTCCACAAAGACTTTGAAGTCTTCATCATGAAGCGCTAAGTCACCCTCCGTGACTTTTGGTGGACGGTTATAAAGAGCCTCGAATGGAAGTACCATAGGGGCATTGTCAAATCGAAGGGCTTCTCCACTGGAGTTGTTAAATCACCATCGGGCATCATCGCAGAGACAAGGAAGAGACTCTAAGACGCCAGTCTCAATCACGAATCAACAGGTTGTCTAGGGGAGGCACGGCTGCACAACGGAATGAAACATTGGTCGGCCTGCTTACCCGTGCTGGGAGCAGGCCTGTAGGTGGTTGTGATCGGCCATTTTCTGTCGACTGATCGGAATCCCATCGCTATTAAGTACATACTCATCAATGGTCCGAGTAACTTGATCAGTAGTGGCGTCGTGTGCATGCGATGGGAAACAGTCATTTGCGTAATGTTCATAGATTTGAATCCTTACTAAAGTTGCTTACTCTATAGAAATGAAAAGCCATTGGCGCAATTTTGCGTAAATTTCGCTCGCTCACTTAAAGATTCAAACCAAAAAACAATCTGATATACTATAACACTTTTCGGATGTTCATATAAATCTCTTCCTTTACTACTTGGGTGTCCGCAGTTTTGTTCGTCACATCATCCATGATTCCCCGAGAATACAATACCTATCTCAAGTACTAAGTAAATACTTATCTTGAGTCCTGGGTAGCTATTCATCTTGAGTTCTGGGTAGGTACTCATCTTGAGTTCTGGGTATGGACTCATCTTGAGTACTAGATGGCGACTCATCCAGACTTGAGCACTAGATCGCTACTCATCTTGAGTACTGAGTATAATGTACACTTCAAATTTGGATACGTCTAGGGCTACAACTTAAATATGTTGGACCTAGAGATACCTATATCCCCGGAACTTTATAAAGCGTCTTACATATGCTGTATGATAGCATTTTCAATCAACCATAAAACGCCTTATGCTAGGGGATGTTTTATATAGTATTTTTCGAATTATCATATAAAACGCTTTATTTACTAACATTGAATATTATGATATTTTTTATAATTAATATTTATGTAATGTTGATAAATTTTGATTACTTACTAAATTGTATAGTATAAAAAAATAGAAAGTAATTTGCGCAATGTCGCTCAATAGTGCGCAAATTTTCTTTCCTCACTTAGAAGTTAACTTACGCACGTATTAACATTATTTAATACATTCTAATATTATAAAATTTTTGGAATATGACTATGAATCGTCTTATGCTATATAACAGCATTTTTCGAATGGCCATATAAAACGCCTTATTCTCAGGGATGTATATCAGAATTTTTCGAATTATCATATTAAATATAATTTTATTTACTAACATTGAATATTATGATATTTTTTATAATTGAAATTTATATTATGTCTATAAATTTTGATTACTTACTAAATTGTATAGTATAAAAAAATATAATATTTATTTACTAACATTGAAAATTATGATATTTTTTATAATTAAAATTTATGTAATGTTTATAAACTTTGATTACTTACTGAATTGTATAGTATATAAAAATGAAAAGTAATTTGCGCAATGTTGCTCAATAGTGCGCAAATTTTCTCTCCTTACTTAAAAGTTGATATATGCACGTATTAACATCATTTGATACATTCAAATATTGGACCATTTTTTGAATGTTACTATGAATCGTCTTATGCTGTTTGACAGCATTTTTCGAATGGCCATGTAAAACGCCTTATACTCGGGGATGTATGTCAGAATTTTTTGACAGAGCATATAAAACGCCTAATAGTGCATCACAACATTCTTTGAATGATTGCACACATCTCCAAATCTGTGTATACATAATAACGAGCTAGAATAGAGTATCTTTTTAGTAGTCTCGCTACTTCAGGATCCCTTCAAACATGCTTATAACCTCTCTATTAGAACAAAGTGTATACCCTTTCGAACCAAATATTTAGGTATAAAACGATTTTTGCGGTGTTCACTCTTCTTCATTCTTCCATAACCTTTTCAACAATCTCCGAAGCAATTTCTCTGATTTCAAAGATATTTCTTCATCCTCTCAAGTGCTTTTTACTCTACACAGCTTTGGCGCAGAATTTCAGCCCGAGCTTACACCATTACGAAGCTTTTCTTCATTCTCCTCCCCTTCCCACCCCCAGAAACAAATCGTATATCCCACAACTCTTCCTCCACTCCCAACGATGGCCGGCCCCCGGCAGATCAAAGATGCGCCAATGGCCTGCCCAGCAGCTTCGATTCAGTCATACACTGCTGAACTCTGGCGCCATCGTGATGCCTGTCTCGCTATCTTCAAATCTTACGAAGAGAAGTACACTGATGCCTTCTGGGGCCCTAACGATGAGGACGCTGAAAAACCGGACTCTGGAGATGCGAAAGCTCGCCTGAAACTTTCCACTCAAGTTGTCCTCGACGACGGAAAGCGTCACTTCCCTCCCCCCTTCACCCGTCTTAGTGACGAACTCGTCTATCTGGCTACGAAGTTCCTCAAGGCTACTGATCGTGGCAGAGATTACCCATACGACTTTCTGCCACGAGGTGACATCGATCCTGAACGCGTTCCCTCGGGCGTGGGCCCCATTGTCTGGGCTCATGGCCTACCTTTCTTCCCCGTTTATAAGGGATACTATATCCTCTGTGGAAGAGAACACGCCAAGTGGATCGGATGGTGGCTTCACCCAAGGACTCAAAATTTCATGAGAAGCTACCCAATCTGGACCATCGGACCTGTTGTTGCCCCCGGATCCGCAGTTGAGCTAGAACGATCGATCGAACGTCAATTGTTCAATCACAAAACTCTCTCTGCAAAGGATTGTGAGAAGGGCATGGAAAAGGCCCCGCCTGCTCGTGATGTTATGTCTGACAGTCACATCGACGGCTCTGTGGTTCCCATGGATAGCAAAGACAGTTTCACTGTTGCGCCTATCTACCGGCTTCGGGGCTATTCAATCAAAGTCGGTCCTATCACTGGGCCACACGGCAAAAAGGTCTTACAGATCAGAAAGTCCTACTTTTCTTTGTACAAGGTGAACGTCAAGGACTTTGATTGGGATGCGGTATCAAAGCGTGCTTACGCCAATGAGAAACACCCGCAGCTCTACGAGGATGATGAGTCGGAAAAAGATACTGAGGTTATGGCCGACGCAACTGACTCCAATGGCTCCGATTCTGCAGATGACATGGACGAGACTCGAGATGGAGATCTCAGTGCCCCAGAAGAAGCCAATACCGACGATGAGATGGCCCTAAACGCAGACAAAGAGCTGAATGAGGAAGATAAAGTTTCTGTTGATGAACAAACTGAGACTGCAACACCTGCTGTGGACCTTCAGGATGTCAGCATGGAGACAAACAACAGTGAGGAAGCTATTGAGACCACCGAGGCCCCAGAATCCCCCATCAGCCCCTCTAGCACCACACGAGAGAAAATTGTCAACGGAGATCAAGCTGCTGAAGCCACCCCGGCAGGCAATCTCAATGATACCTCAGACAGCGAAGTGACCACTGCCAAGGATCAGCAGACTACTGATGAAGAGACCAACATCGATCATACCAAAGAAATTGGAAACAATTCCTCCAAGTCGCATACCCCGGAAACTTCCGTCGATGCAGATGTAATCACAGACAGTCTGAGTCTTTCCCATAAAGCTCAATCCACTCCGGCACCTAAATCCACTCCAGCATCTGGAGACGCCGCTCTGATAGACTCCGAGGGAGGCGTTGAGCTCGAAGATGACGGATAAATGTGTGAAAACACCGAAAAGGCTACCAGCTCATTTTTATTCTCTCGGCACGCTCCTTGATTACTTCTACTTGTTTCTCTTTATTTTTCTATTTTTACTTTTCTATTTTCTGTGGGTTCTCTCGTGTGCGTCCGCCGACTCCTCGGAGTCACTGCCCAGTCCACCAATTTTTTTTTTCAAGGCTACCTCGTTTCGTTCCTGAGTGCTCTTTTTATTTATTTCGGTTTTTGAACGCGTTGGCTGCAGTTTTCAAACAGTTCACAGCATTCATATCCCATACTCCGATGCCACCAAGTTGAAAAAAGAAAAAAAAAATGTGGAAACAAGAAAAACATTATCTGCAAAAAATCCTTGCCGTGGGAAAGTCGAGGCATACGCAAACTTCGAGTTCGTTTTCAAAGTCTTTTTCTATGTGCAGGTGCTCATCATGCGTTGAATTTATTGTTTTTTGGTGTGAAATTCAATCCTTTATCCTTACAACGTTAAACATTTGAACAATTCAATACATGTAAATCTATAAATCTAATCTATAAATCCCAAACCTCTAACTTCATCATACGCACAACACATGACATCGCCAAATCGGTCAACCGAATCAAAAGTTTCCCTCAACATTAATATTGACATCCTCATAATGTCATTCATAGTCCGCATCTTCCCGCTTACGCCGCCAGATATGGCCGCGCATTTGCAGGATGATTGTGGGAATCACGCTGACGGCAACGATCATGCCACAAACAATACCCGAGCTGGCAGCCACTCCGACATTGTCGAACATCGGTGTGAACCTGATTTAATAGTTAGCAACTGCATTCCACTAATATACCACAAATCACAGGGGGAGGGGAGGGGGGAAGAACCACATACCAAAACGGACCAAGGAAGCCCCAAATCTGTCGAACAAAGGTAATAAAGACACCTACGCTCGCCGCTTCCTGGGGATAGCAGTCAACCGCATACGTGACCATGACAGTAGTCACAATCTGACTACCTGCCGCAGCAATACCCGTTCCGATAATCGGTGACACGACCCAGTGTCCGGCAGCAGCTTCTTGGGTGCAGACCAAGAAAAGGATTAAGCCGATACAGGCCAGCGCGAAACCAAAGTAACTGAGCCAAAGACGGAACTCGGGCTCGGGCTTGTTCTGTGTTCGCTTTGCGCGCATCCTCATCCAGTAGTCTGATAGACCGCCGCCAATCTGCTCGCCGATTACTGAGCCGATGATCATGCCCAGGAACTGGAGTCCGACTTGCTCGGTGTTGAGGTCGAACTTGGACTGGATGAGGGCTGGGATCTCGACTGTTGTCAGGATGTTGCTGAATAGGAAGACCATGGCGTATGCGCAGGTCGGGATGACGATGAATGAGTGGGTGACCATGGTCAGGGGTTTGACGAATTCGAACCAGGTGAAAGGAGTAGGGTCGATGCGGCGGATAGAGAGGTATTCTCTCTTGAAAACGGATCCCTCGATGCTTTCACCACTATCCACATAGCGGGTTTCGGGCCCGAAGAACAGGTATAAAATAAATTGAGCGCCATTGATCTAGCCGATGAAACTTTGGTATTAGCATGAATTCTTAATCATTATTAGCGGGCACAGGAGTTTCCAGGAGGAACTAACCAATGCGAGAACCCAGTAAATCCACTCATACCCAACTCGGTATGCCACGAAACCAAAAATAAACGGTCCGAGGGGGACACCCAGTGTAATCATGAGCGTCCAAACACCCATGTACTTAGCACGGTCCTTCTTGAAAGTCGTTTCCATCACCACAGCACTACCGATAGCAGAAGCCGGGGCAATGAAAAACGCCGAGAGAGCTCTACAGGCGGCAGTAGAGCTGTAAGTAGTGCTCTTCGCACATCCAATATTGCAGACAAGACTGAGAATGAGCGACAGAAGGAAAATAGGACGACGACCATAACGGTGAGACAGGGGCTTCCAGAAAAGTGGCGCACCACCCAATACCGCGATTTGGAGGGATGTCAGGTAGCTCGCTTGCTGATTAGTGACGCCGTATAGTTCGACGATATTCGAGTAAGCTGGGATAATTCCGGCGGCGGCAAATGTACTAAACAAAACACCATACTCATTAGTTGAATTGTTCATAGGGCTTTTAAGATTGTAACAGGTACCAGGGTGCACACTTACCCCATACAAGCATGGAAAGCCACGAGAAGAAGATTTGTCATTTTCTGCACTCCGAACACGAATCAGCCATTTTCCCTCTCTTTAAGTCATCGCGTTATTTCTGCGTGTGCTACCCACCTTCCGTTCAGGCCAGTTATACGGATCTGCAGGATCCATTGTCGGAACAGGATCAAGCTCCAGCGTTCCATGTCGCTCCATCAAATAATCACGGTGAGGTTTCGACAGTCTGGAGGGTGCGAACGAAAATTGCGTCCCATTGGCGCCAATTGGCGCGCTTTCGACCAGGTCAATATCATATTTCGAGCCGGTGTTTTCAACATCCTGGCCAGACGGCTTCTGCTCGTTAAAGTTCGCCATGGCCGACTCTCGCTCCTGGGGCAGGATTTTCCAATTTTCCTTCCTTATAGATGGCGGTGGTAAATGAGTCTGGAGGGTTGAGAAGAAATTCCCCAGTCCCTAACCCCAGGTCTGGCAGAGTACCCCCTGGGGTACTCCGCTTTGAGTGGGAATACGCAAGGAAGGGCAAGCTGATTGTATAAAATTTTGGGAATGGGGCCAATCTGGTCCAATCAGGCACGGTGTTTAACGCATCTAGGCTGGGCGAGACCCGTTTGGTGGGGATTGTAGGGGATTTTGATGGGTTCGTGGTCCAGGGGGATAAGTGTTATCCGGTGGGGGAGTGGGGAGGGGCAAATGAGGGAGATGGCCTCGGTTATTGCTGAATCTGTCTTGTATAGCATGAAATTTGTATCTTCGTGAAGCGAATATCTGGCGGTAGAGAAATAGTTAGATACCGAATGAGATTGACATCAACTGCCATGTTTATCAAGGTTACCGAGTACATCTATCTGAGAAATTGTAAGCAAATATCCGTGCTTCCGTCGGTTCGGCTCAGCGGGAGTCTCGGTGAAAAAACACCAAAGTGACATATCGGCAGTAGACAGAAATAAACAACAGCCGAGACCCGCACTCCTATACTATACACAAATGTCAAAAGCTGACATGTCAAAATTCCTGATAGGCCGGAGAACAACCTTAAAAGCCGATCGGCAATCCAAACGGACACCGATAAAGCTGACCGAGCGCTGCAATAAGGAAGGAGATATCTAGGTGGGGACTCGGAAGATCCGAAAATGTTCATTCAATGTTTATTGTGAAACCTTAGAACAGACAGCTAGAACTAACACACTGTGGAACATCCATTCAAGGAACCTGAGCAAATTTAACCCAAAAAAATACAAAATTCAAACTCCGAGAACCATCACTTCTACATATGCTAAATTCAGAGATAGAAAAGAGGAGAGGCTGGTAGAATCAAATGGTAGGGAGAGACCAGTATGAAAAAGTTGAGTTTCCGTATGAAATGCAGGTCCGTCTGGTCTTATTTCTGACGCCATAAGTAATGACTGAAACAGAAGTCAAATTTGAATAAAAAATCTCAATGAAAGATCCAAAGGAACGCTAATTGCTGGGTGTCAAGATGGTGAAAGAAAGGCTGTGAGAAGGAGCAGATCATTGAGAGGGCAAACCATCGAGGTCACAAGGCCCATTCGTGGCTTATTTGAAGGAGGTGTGGGGGGGAGGGAAGGGGGTGAAGTTCATATCTCATAAGCTGAAGAGGTGGGGAAGGGGATTCGTTGCAATGCCAGCGATCCGGCGCTGACAAGTAGAAGGACCAGGTCCTCGTCCTAATGGAAAGGAACACTGAGGCCCCACAAAATTGTGGTTCTCTCCTGGAGAAAGTGGCGTTAAACGGTCTTTGAAGCAAAACGCGCTTCGTGGCGCCTATCCAAGGCATGGCCAACAAATAGCCTCACATATATCACATCAATGTGCAGCCACCACCGCTCTGGGCGCGTCGTCGTCGACCTGGAGCACTGACGCCTCCAACATCGAGACTATCTTCTTCATCTTCATCTGCATTGTAAAGTCGTTCCGCTTCACGGGCTCGACGTCTTCTACGCCGGGCTCCAGCACCAGTAGCGCCGGCTTCTTCTGTGGCCATCATATAATCTGCCCATTTGCGATCTAGTCGACTCGCAGCAGCGAGATCACCGCGAAGCACTCGTTTGGTGTGCTCATCAACAGTCATCTGCCAAACATAGAAGCACTTGAGCTGGATGATCTCACTGGGGTAGGTGGGTGTGGGTGATGGGGATGGCGTCGAAGTCGGTGTGACATAAGTTGTGGTGATCGGGGACGAACCTGAGTCTGACTTCTGAGTCACCGTCACAACCGCCGAGGCGGATTTGCGAGTGCGAGGAATGTATGCGTTACTTGACAGGACCTCCTTAACGCCTGCCCAAGTCACATTGGCACAGTCGAAAACAACCAGACGGAGCCCGACTTTAGGAACGTCTTCACTGTAGCCTCGTCGGCGAACACGGAAGCTTGCTTCCATCAACGTGAGATCAGAGATGCGAGTGTTATCCATCTCGACAGAGCGCAGCTTCGGGCAGTTCTTCATCACCTGGAGCATTCCGGTGTCGCCAAGGCTCTCGCAGTAGCTGATATTCAAATGCTCGAGGTTTTGGGCGCATGGTGACCTGGCGAGTTCGACAAGAGTCTCGTTGGTCAGTTTGTCCAGATCTTCCAGTTCCAGATGCGAGAGTCGCGGCGTAGTCCGGATAACAGCGACAATTGATGCATCGGTCAGTTCTGGGCATTGTGAGACCTGTAGGCCTTCCAAGTCCGGCACATTGTATGCAAGGCTCTTTAAGCCTCCATCCGTCAATGCCGTGCAATGATGCAAATCAAGGTGCCGAAATCGTCGAGCCGGCACAATAGGACGGTCCGTCAACACATCTATTTCGGGGTCCACGCCATGCATCAAGGTTTGGAGAGCTTCATCGGACAGGTTAGTGCGGCTTATGGCCAGTCGTACCAAAGTGTTACGTTGGAACAATTCCTTGACCAAGTCTTTATTATCAAATGCCTGTATTTCACTGGCGCGAAGATCCGTCAAGCGACCACAAGCCTGTACCACCTTCCGTAGGCCCTTGGAGTCGACCTGCTGACACCATGAAACATTCAGAACTTCAAGCATGGGACAGTACTGGGCGATGATCTTCATTGTCGAATTCGTCACACTCTTGAGACCTGAAAGATTTATATATTCCAGGCGACCGTTCCGTAGCAGAAAGTAGTGCATGGACGTCTTGTCGATCCTGCTTCCTTCCAGGGAGAATGTGACAACGTTCCGACACAAGTCTGAGATGCGCTCACCATCCGACGGCCATTTCTCACGCAGCTGCACGCAACCCCTCAGGTTCAGGTCGCGTACGAAGGGCCCACCACAGGTCATGAGTTTTACCAGAACATCACTTGGGATCTTCTGATAATAATCAGTCGTGTCGACCTTGGACCACAACTGTCCATCATAACACATTCCATACCACATCTGAGAGACCGACGAGCTGCGTACGATCTCCCGTGGTGTCAAATATCGGAAAATCTCGATCTTTATTTCCTGAGGCATGTCGCCCCAGAAATCCAGCGTGCGCACCGGCTCAGGCATATCATCCACCACGGGTGCCTCCAAGATCACACTGCGACGAGGCGACCCACCTGAGGTCGGTCGTACATCGAACGGCAGGGGCACGGTACGCGGCTGGCCGTTGGGTGACTCGGTACCCACCACTCGAATGCGAGCGTTGTCCGCATCCGCATACTCAGTCGGCGACCCAGAGCAGCCGGGGGTCGCCGGTCGCGGATTCAAGCCTCCATAAAGCTGCGAGGAGCTCCCATTCCCCAGACAGGGCGAGTATGCGGACGATAACGAGACACATGATAAGGAGGCCCCATGGTCCCGCCGATAACCGGTTGATGCCGATCGCCCGCGGCGGGGCAAAGTCGGGCTAGACGACATCCGCTGGAGGCTCTGCAATAATTTCTGGCGACCCTTCAGCTTGGGTTGTTCGAGTGGGATTTGACCGGTGGAGGATGTCGGGCTCACAGGTGTGATTTCAGGCGAGGGCATGACCTCGTCGGTCGAGGGGGTGGCCATGGTGAGAGCGATCGGGCAGTAAGCCGGGGTAGTCCAGTGACTCCAGTCTAGTATAGATGGTGAAATGGCACGAGACTGTGCTCGAGGCTAGTGTGACCACTTAGATAACCATAGCGATGCGTTTGGTATCAGTGTTGATAACTTTTTTTTTTTTGCTTTTTGGTTTTTGAGAAGCCCCAGTGAGTGAAGAAGAAAAACAACTGGAGCTGAAAGAGGCTGAGAGGACAAAACGTGGTAATCGGGGGCCTGCGGGCAAGTGAACCCGTGGCACTGGCCAACCTCGACCAGGACTTTTGAACCAGGACGTTTGATGAGTTCAGGTTGGGAATGAATAAAAGAGAGAGCGATAGACACTGATAGTCACTTTGTATTTTTTTTTCTTTTTCTTTTGCCAAGTGATAAATCAAATATTGATAAAAAGAAAAGTTAAGGAGAAATGGCGGAATGTAGGACAAGAATGCACATGAGGGAAACCTGATTCTATTACGAAGGCAACCGGGAATGAACAAGTACAGGTCAAGTACCCTTATAATTCTAGACTTGGGACCATTTGCCCAAATGACCTTTCAAATGTTCCATTCAACAGGTCATTCCTTGCCAATCCCCTCTTTCGTATGCTTATCGCCTTTCCCCACTTCTGTCTTGGATTGCGAATAAACGTGGCACAGACAGTGTGATCCACATTCATCGGCTGACGACGCCCCGAAAGACTCTCAAATAAAGGATTCAAGGCTCAAACAAACGCGGAATCAATATGGGAGAGTAAGCATAAGCAAGGCTAGCCGATCCAGGTACAAATTCTCAACGTTCCTGGACTAGTTTACCATTATCATTGGGTCGCGTAATCGCCCTAGAAATGCGGGGGTAACATGCGACCCACGGCACTCGGGAAGATTCCATTGCCACGTTAGCTGTGGTATGCGGTTTATAGTCGGTAATATGCGAGAGCACTTGAGAGAGACTTGACCGGAAACAGCTAGAACGTGTTCTAAGAGTCCACTAGTACTTCTTGAAAGTCGGAGTATAACCGGACATGTCTATCAAGTACGGGTATTTACCCGCCACGGATGAAGATGAAGATGATAATTGGAAATTGTCGTTGCAAAACTTGGCAATATCAAAGTAAATTCCAACATTGAAGGTTCCTCTATTCCTACCATCTTCTTGACGAATGACCAAAGATTCGACCCCACCGGAACTTTGGCGGATGAAAGAAACCAACGATCATCTTTTGAAGATATGCAGAATCGGTCTCAATTTTCTTTTGGTAATTCTTCCTCAGATCTCTCTTCTTGCTATCTGCAAGTTCATAGCCTCTGAATTTAGCGCAGCACCAACACTCTGAAGTGCAATGACCTCGACCACCAGCTCTTCCAGACCGAGATCTCCGTTTACAGCAGCCGCAGCCCCTGCTACAACAGCCGCCTCGTTGTGAGCAGTCTTCAACCAGTTTTTTGCACATGAACCATGTATCCTCCCATCGAACGGCTGCATAAGACCTTTCGATAATTTTGGGAAGTGTGCATTCAACTCGATGGAGGTGATACTCATGACCAGCAAATGGCTCTTCCATATTGCTGAACAGTTTGTGGAGCATTTTTAGATGAAGCCGGTCATCTTTATCAAACTTGACAAATAGGGCCTTTTGTAGAGCATCAGCGCGGCGCTGCAGCTTTTCTTCTTTCTGTGCCATCTCTCGTAGATCATACTCGGCAATAAGTAGATCCGTAACATAAGCCGTATCATACAAGAAATATTGGAATAATCCATCCCAAAGTCCTAGTACGAGTTTCCCGTCATCATCGCAATGGACACGAAGACGTGCCTCCATGAAGAATGGACTCCTCATGATCTTCTGCCCGGTGAATGTGGAGACCTACTAGTATCGATAGGTAAGCAGATGGATCAGAATACCTGGGGATATCACATATGCCGCATGCGGAGGATCATGCGCCTCTGTTACCTGTCAAAATAGCTGTAACAAAGCAAGTGCTTCAAGTAAAATGTGAAAAAGGGGAAATGTTGGTTGATACTAGTAAGTGCTGGGTATTTTAAAGGGTGGAGGATTCAGTTGAGGTGATACTGCCTCATAGCTTGGCCGGATACCTTTTAGGTACCTTAACCTATTTGGTCTCCGCATTTGCTAGTACCAACATTGGACATTTTGACCTGGAATCTGGTTTACCAAGATAGGTTTAGTCATGTACATACATAAAGATCGGAAGGGCAAAAAGAGAAATTCATCACTGTCGAGCCAAGGTCGACTCTTACTCAGTAAGCTTTGCGCCTTTTTTACGTACTAGACCCGTTTTGCCAAGGGGAGGAAACTGGGGCAATCGGCATTTCAAGTCATCTTCGGCCCCACATCTGGGGAGAAAAAGCCTAATTCATGAAATTCGTATATAGAACCTTTCTGCCATGCTTATGGTCTTAGAAGTCTAGGTACACTCATGGGGGATATATGATGAAGGTGGGGGGCAACACAAGAAAAATAAATGGCAATGCAAATGGGAGTCTCCGCAGCTAAAGCTAAGGATATCCACAGTCATCACATACTATGCAGGGATAATTTGGGTTAAATTTTGTGCAAAACCCCAAGAAAAAAACAAAGATATCCCCACCCAGAACTCATTAGAAACAAGAGAGAAGTAATCAGTATCCCTTCAAAGTCCCCTAGTCCCGTCATCCAGCAAAATCAAAACGTCATGGGGTATCGTGTCTTTTTATGGCGTTATAACAAAAATGAAAAGCGGCGAGGTCGTTACTCCCCAGTCATCCATGGGTGCTCGAGCACTTCGGTGATGGTCAAGCGGTTGTCAACGTCACGGTCGAGCATCTTGCGAACCAAATCAATACATTCTTCGGAGAAAGGCAAGAACGGAATGCGGAGAGGATGATCGAGAATCTCGTCGACATTGTAGAATGGGTTCTCCTTGTATACAATCGTGTAGAGCAGGATGCCGAGAGCCCAGATGTCCTGTTCCTTTCCACGGTATGATTTTCCTTGAAGTACCTCGGGTGCGGCGTAGTCTAGAAGGCGAAAGAAAAGTGGGGTCAGTACACAAAGAAAATGGTAAAACGTCGGAAGTTAGACTAATAACAACTTACCGATAGTTCCCACAAATACATCAAACGGCCCGTTCTTGATATAGGCAGCACTGCCAAAATCAATCAACTTGATCCGTCCCTCCCCGTCAAGAATGACATTCTCATCCTTGATGTCGCGATGCACGACCAGCGCTTTCGTGTGTAGATGATGGATGGCGCTCACGACCTGCTTGAAGATACTTCGACACTCGGACTCATCCATGTTAGCCTTCAATTCGATGTAATCGAAGAGGTCCATGCCGGGCAGCCCATGCGGGATCATCTCGATATAATAGTTGATGTCGTCCTCGAAAAATCCTTGCATCTCCACGATGTTGGGGTGGCGGAAGCCATCTCGGCGAAGAAAGTCAAGGACGTGGATCTCTAGTGGCACCGTGCCCAGTCGTCGGTCACGCGTCCATGTGTCAACTAAAATTCGCTTCTTGGTGACAAACTTGAGAACCATCTTCTCGTCGGCGGCTGCCTTTTTCAGACGGCCTAATTTGACCTGGCCATAAGCACCTTGACCCATTTCTTCCAAAATCACGTAATCATTGATTGTTCGCTTGGGCGGGGTGGAACTCTGTCGGTTATTACCTGATGACATTTCGGGAACGGCCTGTACGGGCCGATCCGTCAATGGCTCAGATGCAGCTTCACTGAGTTGTTGGCTGAGAGTGGAACTCGGGGTTTGAATTTCCACCGAAGTTTGATTGGTGGCAGAGGTTTGTGAGTTAGAGGTGGGGGTGGGGAACTTGTCAGCTGTGGCTGAGTCTGAGGGGCCAGGGGAAGTGGTTTTCGAGGTTGGAAGTGAAGAGGACGTGAGATTGGTTGCGGGGCCAGCAGCGTGGATTTGTCTCGAATAGGTAACCCATAAGGCGTAAACCAATTCCGTCACTGCGATCGTATCATCACTATCCTCTGAATCACTTGAACGTTCCTCCACCAATTTCTCTGCTTGCTCTCTTGAGAAGAAAGTGCCGCTTTTTACCACACGCAATTGAACATCAACAACAATGGTGGAGCCATCCCGGTGTTTGGCCAACAGTCCACTAGGCTCGGTAAAGACAGATGCAGCATTAGCTTTCCCATCCCGAAGGATGGACAGGGTTCGTGCTCGTCGGAAACTGTGTTCAGGGATCACAATCCCATCGACCAATGGCACGTTGTCCTCCTCGGTTAACACATCCAAGATCTCATCAAACCCAGGAATGAGCTCCGTGATATTGCGCCCCTCGGGGCGGTCTTGGCCGAAAAGAGCGGCTGAGAATACGGAATTCGAACTGATCACATTCAGTGATGAAGATGACAAAACCATCATGCCTGCGACATGAGGAAAACTCGACACTTGTAAAGTTCGGGCATCTCCTGTCTTGCCCACGGTCACTGGTATACACACACCCGCTGCTGTGTTGGCAGCAAAATGTTTTAAATCAACAATGCGGGCCAGTCCCTTCTCCGGTGAGGTTTCAAGGGACTCGGATGGCAGACGAGGCAATAGCTCAGTAATTGACTGGCCCTTGCGAACTACAGACGGGCCCCAGATTTTGTCAACGTCCCCATGCACACTCACGACATGCCAGCTCTCATCGCATTGGACAGATGCCGCATTTTCCGTGATTTCCTCCAGCACCCATATCAGACCACCGCGCTTCTCCATGACCCATACGCTGGCCGATCCCTTTGTACCGTTGCGCCTTTGGATGGGAACGACATCGCCGCAAAGCAAAACGCCTCGAGATTTGTTACCCGGGTGATTGGCATTGCGGGGATTCCGCTGACTGGAACCATATCCGTCATCGGTCTGCGCTCTTCGAGACTTTTCGCGCGAAGATGGTTTATTGAGTAACTGCGCGGTCACGCCATTCCCGAGACCTCGAAACTTAGGATTTACAGCCCGAATATTAGGCCTTTCTGGTTGAAGTGGCGTACGGGCCGCAGCATCAGTGCTGGGATCTCGAAGCTTGGCCTCGAGCCACTGCCTGTGCTCCGGTTGAACGACCTCTAGGATACTGAGTCGACGGACCTCGGACTGTGTGACTCCAAATACAAGACAAGAGAGATCATTAGCTGCAAAAATAGTCCAAGGTGCCTGGGCTTCCGTGCGGAATACGGCCTGCGAAACGGGAGTCCATTTGCTGCTGTGGGTGTGCAAGGCCGGAATCGGAAATCCCAAACCAGTAGCGGAGGAGGCCAGAGATGCGAAGGGATCCGTGGAAGAATATGGTTGCGCTAGAGTTTCCATCAGCTTGCTTTTGAGCGATGCAGAGTTGAGGTCCGTGTATGTACGTTTTAAGCTTACGCGCCGTGAGGACGGTGCCGATTTCAAGTCCATCCTGGATGCTGGGATACGGTCATTGGAGCTTATGGGACTCAACAGCTGGGAACTGCTGTCGGATGTTGCCTGGGATCCTGGAAAGGGTTCAAAAGCCGAGTCGCGAGCACTGATGGGGGGTGAGCCACGGTCTGAAAAGGCCCGCTCAAAGATGTTGTCGCCATTCACTTCCGCGGGTCCAGTAATAGGGCCTCGTCCATGGTTGGCAGATTCCTCGTCAAGAACATGGGCTCGGGTTAACAGGTCCATCATACTCTGTATATCCGTGTCGCCACTCATATTCGCCTGGGCGTTGGCGATTGCAGCGCTACTGGCAGCCCATCCCATGCGGTCCCGCATGAAGTCGATTGAGCGTTTGAGAATGTTTTGCCGACTGTGTAGCAACTCCTCCGATTGTTGGGCGAAAGAAAATGAGTGTAGTGATTCCAACGGGAATCGGTGCAGGTCCTCCAAGTCTCCAAATTCTTGACTCGTCGACATACGACCAGTATGAGCTCTCGATGAGGAACTAGAGCGCATCGAGGGGGGTGGTCGGGGTACGTTCATGGGCGTCAAAGACGATGTCGACAGATTCGGCAGGGTCAAAACGCGCGACGGTTGCTGGCGTATACGGTCCAGCCCGGACGGACCCAGTCCATGCTCGCTCTCGAATAATGGGGATCTGCTGTAAAGTGCGGTTGCACGTCAATTCATCTGATCCTCCACACATTTCTTTTGGGGGGGCCTCATTAAGGAAGCGGAAGGGGGACTAGGTGATTTTGGGAAAGGATTCGATTGCGGACCTTGAAAGAGGGTCATATCCCGACGAAACGGAGCTCCTTAAGGTGCGGTCGGTCGTTTGGAGAGAAAGTTTCTGGAACCCCGACTCCGATTCTGGCGACTCGGAAAGAGGACCCAACGGAGACGACAAAGGACTTGGATCGCCTGCAATAGAATGATCAGCGCACTGCGCCCGTTTATCAACTCAATCGGTAACTATTTCAGCATCCACGCAGTTCTCTCCAGCGTGATTGGGTCCCGTGATGCGGTAGGGAGGGAAGGATTGATCTCTGCGGGGTCAGATGTGTTCTTTCGGGGTTATGGGGAAAAGATCAGACGCTCTTTGCAACTTCGGACGCAACCTCTGAAGAAATAATTCACGGCTGAATTCCTCCGCTGTGGCTTTTTTTTCCCTTTGCTTTTTTTGTTTCTCTGTTTCTTTTTTTTTTTTTTCTTGGTCCGACGTCGTCCCCCCTCCCCATGATGTCCCTTGCTTCGACCCCACTCATGGAGAAAAAAGAGGCCCGTGGCATGTGAAACAAGAACTTACCATCGGGATTATATGCTGACCCCATGCTTGGGAGAAAATTCGTGAATCTTCCCGGGGTTAAAATGAAAGAAATGCGGCTCAAAGGTGAATCGGCATGGAAGTCATAAGTCGTTCAAGTCAGGCGGAGGGCAGAGGGCAGCTGCCTCGTAACGCGCCCGGCATACGTGGCGCTCCCAAGGCACGCGTTAGTGCAGATGATTGAATTCGAGTAAAGAGAAGTGAAGTGAAGAGAAAAGCGAACGGGGGGTTCGAAAGAGGTTAGTGGGGGTAAAGAGAACGCCAAAAGGGGCGGGTGATGTAATAGTCCCTTCACGTCTGTTGAAGGTGCGCTAGACAAGTATATGAATACTAATCAACGTAGAAACGTAGAATCAACCTATCCAAGCATAAAGGGAGGGAATGTCATTGAAAAGAAGAAGATATCAAGGAATTTGGATCGGCCGATCGGCACGGGTGGTCCATGTGGAATGGGAAAAAAAAGGCTTCAACCTTAGTACACAAAAACGAAGTTCGAGTTCTTGTGCAAATCTTATCCTTCTTTAGATCTTGGTTCAAACTTGAAATATACCCACATGTACTCCGTTAGTATGCACTGGAAATTCGCAATACGAGTACGCTAACGTCTGCTGGGGGGAAAAAAACCACGAAAAAAAAAGCCCCAAAAACTACCATTTAAATGGTTAATCAGTCTAGTAACAATAGTTCGTATACGTGGCACATTACGAGGTATGAACTTCGATAGTTGATACAAGCCTGAGTTACCTGAGTACATACATATGATCTCTCTTTCTCTCCCTTGATCACTTTCCGATCAATCCAGTCTTGCAACCTTGGAGCATATGAAGAAAGAAAAAAAGTCTAAAGGTTTATCCAGATCTCGCTTGCAGTTCATTGCAGTTGTGCCCCCGAGAGATCCGAGTACAGTGGAACATATCCATATCCATAACAAACCCCACCGCTATCGTTATCGCATTCGCGGTACTGGGAATGGAATTCGGCGAATGACAAACCGAATAATTACAAGCAAAGAGAAAAATGCTTCGAAATGCAGAATGCACCATTGGGATTCGGCATTAATCAGACCGACCCCTTACAGTGGTCCTTGGTCACCTCGGAGATTGTGAAGCGCCAGTTCATCGTGCTCGTCAGATGCTGCTTTCTCGTCTCCCGTCCCAAAGAGTGGGTTGCCTTTATTTCGGGTATGATGATCCTGGTGTCGACTCTGCTCCGGAGGAACTGACACAGAACTCACAAAGCTGGAGGCATGTCGGTTTCCATCCAACATCCAGGAGAACCCTGCATCCGACAGGGATGGCCGCACTAGGGACTTCGATACCCGCTCACCGTCGGCCTGGCCGATGTTCTTCGTGCGATCCGCAACGGCTACAGGCTTGCAGGTTCCACTTTCGGCACTTGACCCGTGGGCCTCCTCCGCCTTTAGAATTATGCCCTGTTGATCCTGCGCCACTTCAGCTGGTTCGTCTGCTTTCGAATCACTGGGTGGCTCAGCAGACTTGGTTGGCTCGTTTGGTTCGTTATCTACGTTGGCGAGGCACGGTGCCGAGACTACTGGGAGCAAGGGGTCTTCGAGACAACGCCGGACTTGCTCGGCTCGAGACAGTGCCTCCTCCATAGCATCCTTTGCATGCTTGGCATCCTTTGCATCCTTTTCACTTGGCTTGGAGTCTTCCGCTAATTGGGATCGAAGGCTCTCCAATGCCTCGCCCAGTGCAATGGATAAATCCATGTTTCTTTCCTCCAGCCGGCTAATCTTCTTTTGAAGCCCAAGCTCGGTCGCTGTGGGCTTAGGTGGAACATTTGGTGCACTTGGAGAAGGCCCCTGTTTGTGATTGACAGCAGTCATCCGTGGGCCGGGTTCATAATGCATCGTTTGCATGTTCTTCCGGGCTTCAGTGACAGCCCCTCGGACTGCCTTGGCCACCCCCCAAGACTCTGTGCGGCGTTGAATCCCATGCGAAACATCTTGAAATAACGCTTCAAGGCTCTTGGGACTGTTTCTCGCCGATGATACCGGTGAGCTGCTATTACTGCGGTTCTTAAAGTCTTCCCAGAGAAAAGCTTTCCGGGGAGGCCGTAGACCAGACTGGCTGTGTCGCTTCGGTGATTCCGGTACTCTACCCGAATACTTTGAGATGATAAAGCTGCCACGCTCTGCAGTGGGGTTTTGCTCCAGATACAGGGCATCGTTCACAAATTCGTGCGGTGCATGTGGCTGTGGTGTAGGATAGCGAAGTAGCAGAGTCAGGGCACCGGAATAATCTGCTTTGAGCACTGTGTGGGGGTCATGTTAACAACTCGGCACGTGGTGAGACGTTCACCTGCCAAAACTCACATTCCCAGCGGATTCGAAGCAACATTGCAATACATGTAAAATCTATCAGATCAGACCGTAGCCCATGCGCAAATAGTACATCCCACATCTGGAGTACATCATCGAAGGGGAACTCTCGACCGAATAAAAGACGCATCCATCGACTGGTCATCAGTTAGTGCCATCCATTTTTGCTTGCTTGAGTACTCACGTTAAAAAAATCTGGGGGAGGACATCAACCGCCTGTAAGTGTTCCGCCAACTCATGATCAATAATCATAAGTGCCTCGGTGTGTAGATACTGGCATCGATTGACAATAGGTATCACATCGACCTGTCCATTTGCGGTTTTAGTTTCTCCGTGCTCGTAGTATATACGTGCTGTTTGCATGACAGCAAGAAACAATGTAAACGAATCATGCTCCACGAACTTGGCATCAAGGAGATCCAACATCAGCAAATCCTCTTTATTATCAGACAAGCTCCCTTGAGGCTTTCCAACGGAATCACGATCAACTACCCAGAGAATGGGGGCCAACAATTCATGCATGCCTTGTCTGTATCCGACATCGGGGTTGAGTTTCGAGTACACAAACAACACATCGATTAATATGGATTTTGTGGTAGGTTCCCGAAAAAAAAAGTTCTCTTGCAAGCATCGGTCGACATCTTGTGAGATTTCGGCGCGTAAATTCTCGTCGTTGCGGAGGGTTTGCCATGGAGACTATTGTAAAGCAAAAGTCGGTCAGATAAACATCCCGCTGTATTTTGCCTAACAGTGTGCAATACAGGTATTCACATACCGTTTCATCGTCCGCTAATGGATCGACCGTTGACTCCAAATCGTCCGGATGTTCAATGTACTTCAGGAAATGATCACGGAGAGCAGTGTAGGCATCGCGTGACTCGTCAAGCTTCTGCGACCACTCTTCGCGATCGAGGCCTTCGAAAAGCAAAAAAACCTGCAGGCAGAATAAGTGCCATCATTCAGATCAATTCCCTGTGTACGCCCACAGACCTTCCAGCAGATCGACCTCAGTCCTTCGTTGCACAGCTTCCCACTCTGCTCCGCCCGCAGTGCCGCCTGAAGATCGGAGGATGTATCATTGCCGAGGAATAAGATTTCCCATCTCTTTCTGTTTGGGGTCAGCTCTTGTCGGTTCTTGAATGGCTGGAATTCAAATACCGGGTCTCTTCAATAGTTCTCATGTCATGCGATTGTATTGTGGAGTGGAAGAGGTGAAAGTGAGGGGGAGCGATAATGTAATCCGCACATCTTATCGCGCGCTCCTACCTTGCGCCCGCATGGCAGCATCTCCGAATCCCAATCGCAAACCACACAGCCTACAGGGAATACTGGACTTTTGACATCTCGGCTCAATCGATTTAATAGGACCTCTCTCATTTTCATGCCACCGTCTACAAATGTCTGCGGACTTGCTAGCAGAGTTCGGCCAGGGCTCGGGGCCTCCGCAAAGCTCCGCAGGCAACCCACAAGCTGGACAACAACAAACAAGCTCTGGTCTAGATCACTCTGATGATGACTTTTTTTCTTCATTATCGACAAGCAAGCAACATAACAGACCCCAGATCTCCGTTTCGAGACCACCAGCGAACCAGTACATAACTCCGACTTCGCGACAGCCGCCAGGCTTTGAGCTGTTCAACCTGCCTCGACACGAGAACAGCGAGGTGCTGTTTGACGCGGAGACCGATACGCCGGGCAATGACACAGAAGATGATTGGGGAGACTTTGAAGAGCCAGAATCAGTTGCCAGCAATTTTCAAGCGCAACAATCTGAAAATATTATACCAAAAGTCAGGCCGCCGGTAGCCCAATACCAAACGGCCCAAATAGACTTGCTAGACTCGCTGTCGTTGAGAGATTCCACACCAACCACGGAAAAACATACAGCTCTATCCAAAAGGATCTCAGCACCAACCAGCAAGTCCCCTGTGCCAACATGGGACGATGATTCGTTTGGAGACTGGGATGAGTTCACGGATGCACCCTCCGCCACTGTGTCTGCGAGTCAAGCTACGGCAAAGAACCCCGTAACAAAGATTATTGCAAAACAAATGAAACCTTCCACCAAAGCTTCCAAAGCTATAAGTACCGCGCCTCGACAAATAATCCAGGAAGATGACTTTGAAGATTGGGGCGACTTCAACGATGGACCAGCAGCAGTGGCACCGGCACCGGCACCGGCACCCATACAAAAGCCTAAATCAAAACCAAACTCACCTGCATCTGCATCTGCACATGCACCATCTACAATAAACCCTCGAAATTTCCTATTCTCTACGCCGACCTCACCCCCGGCCGTTCGTCCCACCAACATTCCACCGCCATCCGTCCTTCTCTCGCTCCTAGTCGAAGTCCTCGCTGCCTTACAAAAGGAAGCTCTCAAAGCTCAACCTCGCAACATAACCCCTGCGCAAAAAGAAGAAACTGCTCTCAAGATCTATACCACCTTGACAACATCAGCTCGTATCATATCAGGCCGCAGTCTGCGCTGGAAACGCGATACGATCCTCAGCCAGAGCATGCGCATCGGTCCGGCAGGTAAACCGGGCGGCATGAAACTTAGTGCAGTCAACAAACACGAAGACGTCAAGGAGTCACAGGATGCTGTTGAGGTACTGAAGCTTTGGCGTGACCGCATTACTCTGTTCAACGCCGTTGTGCAAGGCGTGGGACAGCAGCCTATTCCTGTTTTCACTGACCCTACGGCATTGAAAGTTGTCTTGGCGCGTGCGGAAGAGGGGGCGATTAAGGCTCCCCATGCTTGTGCGCTTTGCGCACTTAAGAGAGATGAGCGTGTTTTGAGGGTTGATGAGGGAGATGTGAATGATAGCTTTGGAGAGTGGTGGACAGAACATTGGGGGCATACGGGGTGTAGGATTTTTTGGGAGAAGAATAAAGATCAGCTTTTACAGCGGTGAGATCGTTATATTTCAAGCTCCAAAATCATGATGGAGCACAAGGTTGCGATTGGATGGGGATCTTAACATCCGAAACTTGAACGATGTTACTACAGTACATATTTTATCTTTGCATGTGACCTGGCGACGAGCACTTGAAGCCAGTGCTCAACATTGAAGGAAGCTTCTTTTTTGAAGATTTGAACCTTGAAATACTCAAGTGCTACATAGAATAACATTATATCCCCTACCTCGATGTTTGGTACCCCCCCTCTACTCAAACCTACCTGCTGGTAAATCTTGGAATACATAGTAGCAAGTAATTACTGACTAAGAGGGATTAAGATTTCAAAATGACAACGACACCGAAGCGAAATAATGGATTAAAGGCACGAAGGATCCCTCCAACACCAAGTTCTGTAAGGTAAGAGTAGATACACAGAAAAGGAAATCATTCAAGAGTAGAGAAAAAGCACTGCCAGCAGCGAGGTAGCCCAAGGGCGAATCAGACCAGCTGAGCTGGAAGGGCTTGTCCTCGTAAATAAGAGCCGGAGTGCACTGCAAGGAGTACAGAACATTTGAGTACCTGGAGAAACCAGAGTACTAAATACATAGTAGATGTCCAGGATACATACAACCTGAACCGAGTGCTCCATGAGTTGAAAAAGACAAACCTCCGCTTGTAGAACAATGCACTTTGCTGCACATAGATATACATACTGGAGATTATTTTCTTCTGCGCGTGTCGGATCAAAACTAAATCTTCTCGACAGGCTCCCAAAACATGACCAGGTGGAACCCGAGGCTCTAAGTTTGGAACAAGAAAGGTCCTAGGTGAGACCTCAGCCTGGGGTGAATGGTCTAAAGATGGCTAACATGGCCGCCACGAGTAATGGAGGAGTGATGGTCAAAGTCAATTTGAGTCGACGACTGTGGCGGCGACTTTGAAATGGCAATCAATTTATTGCAGATGCCTTGGGTATAAGGCCGGTAATTCGACAATCGCCAACAATCTAGAAGCTTTGGGCAGATGGCGCCGCGGGCTGTAGTAAATGTATTAGCAGCTGGAACAACAGCTGTGTGGAGGATGAGGATCTCGGCATGCTGGCACAAGATCGCGTGGGCCAAGATCCTCCAAGCAACGATATCAACTTACAGGACTGCTGAGGATGCTGTTTCTCTCCTTTCGACCCTTCTTGATGTGATTCTTCAAGGCAGTTGAATCCAGAGGTTTCAATAACTCAAAACTACAAAGAAGCTCTCCAGAAACGGACATGATGGCTCCCCAATTGTCAAACTCGCCACAATACTATTGCTGGTCAGTCAAGCACAGGGAGGCAAAAGTAGCAAGGACACAGGGCGAAAACTTACATTAGGTGCCGAGAACACGGTCACCAAGATTCTATCCTGATAGAATTCATACCCATCCTCGACAACCATGTGCGCACGACACACCAAATCAAAGTCGTGGCGCTGCAAAAAGTTCATGATAACTTTCTTGCCGAAGCAATAACTCACACCACGTTCGTTGGGTTCCCAATCTTCTTCCATATCTGCGGGGTCACTCCACAAGAGGTCGTTCAACAACCCATAATCGGGAACATCGGTAGGTCGGGCAATGCCCCGAATGTCATCCATATGCGACAAACTAGGTGAAAGTCCACCATGAACACAGAAAATCTTTCCTGCAACAATGGCAGCGATAGGAAGACAGTTAAATGTATCAATAAAGCCCTTCCAGACCTTGATGTTGCATCGTCTCTTACACTCGTCATAAAATCCATAGACTCGAGTAACATTAGCACATTCGTGGTTTCCACGAAGCAAGAAGAAATTCTCAGGGTACTTGAGCTTGTAGCACATAAGAAGCAAAATAGTCTCCAGACTCTGCTTTCCGCGGTCGACATAATCGCCAAGGAAGAGATAGTTGGACGCCGGTGGGAATCCACACATTTCAAAAAGGCGGATCAAATCGGTATACTGGCCGTGGACGTCACCAACAATCTTGACAGGTGCAGCCAACTCGACTAGCGCAGGCTGAGAAAGGAAGAGTTCCCGAGCGGCCGAGCAAATAGCAGTAATTTCAGCATTCTTGAGACAGACAGTCTTTGTGACTTTGGTGGAATAACCAGCATCCAAGAGTCGTGTAATCATGTCATCTAGATCAATAGACTTCAAAGCGCCCATTCCCATTCCAGGGGACCCGGATGTCTCAATTGGAGCATTGAGAATGAAATCCAGAATTGGGTTGAGCTGGTTCTCTCGCTTCATCAAGATGGATTCTCCCACGACGGTAGTGGTGGTGGGTGGTGCACCTTGAGGCGGTCCCTCCGACACATGATCCACCTCGCCACTCTGTTGCATGGCGTTCACATCTTTATGGCCTCGCTTCAGGCTTGACGATAGGGAAGGTGAAGGTGGGGGTTCGGGAGATCCGGTCCGTGAGGGGAGTTCAGATCCGGGAGATTGGGGTAGGCCGGCATTGGAGCCCGGTCGACTGCCAAAGGACTTTGTCGAGCCCGCATCGGATTTGTCTGGTATACTATCAGTCTGGGAGAGGGCGGTAGTCGAGCCTCGGGGGCTGTCAGAGCCGCGGGCGCCAGGGATCTTCGAGCGGATCGAACCGCGGAAGGAACGAATTGATTCTTTGGTGTCTGATTTCGAAAAGGACGGGTAGGATTGCAACGAGTCACCGGGACCCCCGTTGCTCTTGGAATGCGACTGACCCATAGCTGCAAGGCTGGGATGTCTGCCAAGCTTAGGATCGCACGAACAGCGGACGTTCAAGCCGCTATGCCGAGAAAGAGCCCCCTGTGTACTGGAATGTCTTGGCTTTCAGGGTCCAACAAGGTTGCTCTCAATGAGGGGTATATTAAACTCGTAGATGTCCGTATAAGAGATGCAGTCTTTTGTTTTTTGAGGAGTTGGCGGTACCACGGGGAGGGTTTTTTGGTTTTTTGGCCTTGGCGGAGGCTGAAGGTTTCTGGTTGATCACGAGGGATGGCGACTAAGCAACTGGACACTTTTTGGGCAGGTATTTGCAAACAGCAGAAGGTAGCTAAGTTGCCAAAAAGGGATAGAAGTGGGAGGATGTGGCTTCTGAGGTCAAGATAGGTGTGGGAGAGAGATTGAATGGTGCAGCTCCGAGGCTTGCGGCTTGCAGCTGGCGTAGAACACAAGCTTCCTCCTGTACGGAATTAGTCTGCGGATTGGCTATGGAATAACTCGTGAGAGCGCAGGGCTGAACTCCACAGAATCCAAGTGGGCATGTGGAGGTTAAGACAAAAGCAAGGGAGAGGTTGTAATTGCTGGGGAATTTCTGTGGTGGATTTGATTTGGGGCGTGGACGGGGCGGGTGGAGGAATGCGTCATTATGTACGGGGATTTTGGGCGAGGTATTTATCACACATAGATTGACCAAGAACGTCAAGTGAACAGTCACATACCTGGATTCTTGACTTTCCCTCCTCTTGATCAAATCAAAGGGGAGGATGACAGGGCCAAAAAAAAATTGAAAGAGGGGAATGAATATGTGTAGAAGGGGAGGGGGAGAGTAAATCTAGGTCTAAGTAGGGTGAAAGTACTCCGCCACCGCTAATTGCGTGAAAAGATACTTAGACGATACGCAGCTGGTCGCCCGGTTCTGGCCACAGCTCAGTCCGATTAGCTAATCCCGGATCATCGCCGGGCCGATGGCTGCCTAGATGATCACTTTCGTTTTTGTTGTATTTATAGCGATGCGTTCATGACTTTTTTTTTGACTTTGCCTTTAATTTAGGGCAAACAAATTTGCTTGGATTGGATTTGAAGATGCACAAATAGTGATGGGATCATGATATTCAGTCACTTCAAGTTTGATATAACATAGAGTGGATGCAAAGAGGATCATTCCACTGCTCCTCATCCTTCCGATAAGCGACCACGTCTTAGATCCATGTTACCACACCTCCATATTACGATTCAGTCTGGGCTTGATGGGACTGTGCGAAGGGTGATGCATGGCTGGCGTCTTAGTGGCTTTTCCGAATCAACCCGGGGCAAAAGGGGAGCAAGAGCTTAGACTCCACCAAGGGCTCCCTATCAGCAGTGGCGGGGAAAGACCAGGCTAGTAGCTTCTTTGTGGCCATTCCGACGCCACCATCTCAAATAATCTAGTCTGGTTACACACAAAGACCGACTAAAAAATAGAAATAAAGATAAAAAAAAAAGTTTACCCCACGAAGAGTTCTATATAGAAATCCAACACTTTCCCGCAACAAGCAGTAAAGAGGGGGATAAGAATACGCAGAAACCTTCATTGTCCATGCATGACTCGGACGTTATCGCACATTGGACAGGAGCCGCAGACAATCTTGGAACTGTAGATGTAAAAGATGATAGCTCCTGCATGCATGCCAAGGTGGAGAGACTTCTCATTACAGAGACACCGCCTTTTCCCCCTCCATCCATAGCGCTGGGTTTTGAGAATTAGCCACCAAAAAATCCCCCCAGTGGCTGATCCTTGACAGCAGACCCGTTGGCCAAGAACAGCCGATGCAATGCAGCTGTTGGGTTTCCCATGTCACGTTGATGAACTACCAAACATAGACAGGGAGCGCTTGCCCACGGTGCCTTGGCAGCCCCACGTTGAACCTCGTGCTATCAGCCAAGCAGGAACCGATGTGATGTACCAGGTATAGGGCAGAAACGGGGGGCCACCTGGCAGAGGTGGAGGTTTTCGACAAATGGTCCTCATTTGGCCGGGTCTCGACGTTTGATAATATTGCCAGTCCACTCTGATTGGAAGAATATGGAATGTATCGATGTATCAGGCGTCTCGTGGACACGAGCTAAGACCAAAAGGAGCTCTATTCCAGCTCAATCTTCGTAATATGACGACCTGGCACGACGATGAGTCCAATAAGCCGATGGGTCATGTTGACTTTGATGGTGGCGCTCTGGGCCCCGGAGTTCTTCTCCCACGAGTCGGCGGCTGCTTGTACGGCGGAGGGTGTAGGAAGGCGGTATTCGAAGGAGTTGGCAAGTATTACGTTTCGTTCCTGTAGAATAGCCCCAGTCAGCCCGTGGTCTTGATACGTGATCTCGTGCTTCACTGAGATGCATCTCCGGCTCCAAAGATAAGAGGCTTACCGCATCAGTACATTTGAAGATGCCAACAAACATGCGGCTGTCAGTCGTGTGAATTCTCAACTGTCGACCAATCAATCTGTCCAAATATTGGACAGCTTGTTCAGTATCCATAGTCATTGTTGAGTTTGGCAGACACTTGTTCTGACGTGGTTGGTAGATGAAGGGCTGAGAAGCGGCGCGACCAATGTCCAGCTTGCGGGGGACTTGGAGACAAAGTTTGGGTCTCGGCAAGGGATAATATTCCAGCAGAATGTTGTGTCTGACAACCGTGTAGTAATTGTGGAGGTTGTTAGAGGTCACGAAGCAGGGTAGCTGCGGTGGAGGACAAATCGGATCTGTGCCTGAGGCCATCTATTGGTGGGGTGCAACAACGCATTTTAGACATGATACAACAGCCTCGGCAACTTGAATTTGGAGCTATCTCCTCATAATATAGTAGGTAATCCTAAGCTAGTATCCTTTTCGGAATGTAGAAATATCAATAGCCCGCGTATCTAGGCATAAGGGAAGATTTGATGGCTACTTTGCATCTCATTTTTAGTCCAACGCATGCATAACCAGGCCTTTGCTACTACACCCGCGGGTACTAGGTAGCAAGGGTGTTGGGTACCTTTCACGTAAATAAACTAAATAAATGGATTATTGAATGATTGAAGTAAATCTCTCTTCCGTCCAAGCTCCCGGGTGTTTACTATCTCTATAATACCTACAGTAACCTACTTGGAGGTAAACAGTAGCTCCTTATCGCTGATAATGCAGCCAAGTGGTAACAAAAGAATGAAATAAGACATATTAACAGTGTACATTTGATTATTACGCCTCGCATTGCCTTGCCAGCCCAAATTCCAAGACCAAATAAAACGCCAGATTCTCACCGAGAATCGAAGAAAAAATAACACGGAGTGCCCAAGATTCCACAATGAGTGGACAAGCCACAAACTCCAAGATAGCAGAAGGGGGCATGAGCTCCTCCACTTGCAGCGACCAGCGCTTTATTCTCGGCTTATACCAGCATCACATCCACGACGTTACGCCCACATTGGCAGATAAGTTGGAGCCCTCACTGCTCTCATCTGTGTCCATATCCATGTCCGTGTCTATTTGGTTGAATCCAGTGCTCATCGTCTCACTTCCACTTGAGCCGGCACCGGCAGGCATCTGTTGAAATGCCGTGCGTCGTAGAGCCTCATCCTGGGTCATAAGAGTCTCATTCGCACGAGGCACCAATGCTTCACGGGAGGGTTTGAAATGAGGCACGGGCTGTGTTCGGGGCTGGAAAAATCGCAGCAAGCTATGTTGTCGAGGATCGGCGGTTTCGGAGGGTGGAAACGATGAGGCCTCAAGTTCTTCCATCATCTCTTCACTTGTGTCCATCGGTACTGCAGAAGGTTGTTTCTGAGCTGAGAAGATCCATCGGAGGGTTTTCTCTGGTTGTTGGTTAGCTTGTCCTTGTTTTGGTGATTGCATCGCGTCACACGAGTCATGTCTGACAAATTGCTTCCCCGGGGACTTTTCAGATGAGAGGCTTACCATATACTACTTCATCATCAGGGCGGCCGTCTCGAAATCGCTTTCGGGTCCGGCTGTGGAGGTGTTTGGAGCTATCGACCATGTCTAACTCGCAGGACATGGGTACGAATGGGCTTGATGGGGCCGCGGAGAAAGAAGCCTTGCGCTTGAGAGACATTGTGATAATGTGAGACTGGATATCGATCTGGTAGTTGACTGGAGGTCTAGTAGAAGATGGTGGTATATTTGGCTTCAGCGACAGATATGGAAGAGTAGAGTTGCATTTGGAGACAGGAATGGCTGGGAGGGCACAGGAATGCGATTGGCCAGGCGCGTCGATTACGAGAAGTTCGCGTTTGGTTCAGATCCACGCTAGTTCATATCGGGTAATATTGCACTGGTCAATTTCTCGTCAAGATTTTCCATGAGTCCCCAGTTCGATTATGATTTATTTGATGTTCAAATCTATAGTTTGCTGTAGAAAATAAGAAGGGGAAGAAAGCACCGGAGCTGCTGCTAGGCGCAAGCCCCTTACTGGTTGCGATGCTAGATTCTTTGCCTGCAGCCCCGAGCAACACCCAATCCCGAGACCAAATTAACTAGTAACCTTGGAATTGAACAAAAAGAACAAAAAAGAATGCCCCTACGTACTACTAGGTAATTGAAATACTGAGTAAGGGACTACGAAATGTACATACTAGTAGTATGTAAGCTCTTTGTGAATTCCTGAAGTCTGCCCAGACAAACATACATGTATACTGGTAATATTCGATGGGTTTGTTACGAAGCGCGTACGTGCGGCGCCCTAGACTTTGTTTCTATTATGGGGAAAGAGCAAAATTCAATCCATGGATTGTGGCGGAATGATATTCTGCAAATGGGAAATGGGGCCTAGGGATATATTTAATAATCTGGGCATGTTTTGCAATTATGGCATGCTTGACCGAGTGGTTAAGGTGAAAGTCTTAAGTTAATTCATTTAACGAGATCTTTTGGTTTCTCAACCGCGCAGGTTCGAACCCTGCAGCATGCATCTTTTTTTTTAAAATGTTTTTTTATTCTATCATCATTTATGTACTGGAAATAAACAGTTAGTGCCGTCCATTTAGTATTTATTCATTCTGTACAATCACCCAGGCTCTTAGTTGTAGTAATGAATCTAATCGGTATGCCGTTGGCCACACGAGCAGCGTTCGGTATACCGCACCCTTACTCCGCCATGACGAGGGCTCCCCCGCTTCTCCTCACTCCAACTCACACTTCCATTATTGACCGCCGAAACGTCCATTTGCATTTCTATCGCCATGGCTTCTAGACGCGCTTACCATGCTGGCTCGTGGTACTCGGATAGTAGCAGGACCTTGACAGGCCAACTAGATGGCTGGCTGGCGCAGGTCCCAGATACTCTGGAGAACGTAGGGTCCCTTCCAGTGCCAGGTGCTCGGGTCATTATAGCACCGTGTGTATTGAACCTTCTACGCCCTAATCATATATTTTTGATCTGAGCTTAACGGGAACAGACATGCAGGTTATTCTTATTCGGGGCCCTGTGCAGCCTACGCGTACAAGGCACTCGACCTGTCGAAGGCGTAAGCATCTCATTCAACCATTTCTTGTGAGTTGGTATGGCTATCTAACACATTTTCGTTGTTTTAGCAAACGGATATTTATTATGGGTCCATCCCATCACCACTCGCTCTCGACACTGGCTCTCCCCCAAGTTAAATCATACTTTACACCACTGTCGAGCGACCCTCTCCCGCTAGATGTAGAGCTAATCACGACGCTCCAGCATACACAGGCAACCAAGCAAAATGGATCCAAAGTCAGCTTTACAACCATGACCCAGTCTGTTGATGAAGAAGAGCACAGCATCGAGATGCATCTCCCCTACATCCATCGTCTCCTCCGGCTGCAGTATCCAGGCCTTCCAACTGCACAATATCCACCACTAGTCCCAATTATGGTCGGCAGTACCTCCAAAACCACGGAAGAAGCATTTGGTGCCCTTTTGGCACCGTATCTCGCTGATCCGCAGAACGCATTCGTCATCAGTTCAGACTTCTGTCACTGGGGCCTCCGTTTCCGCTACACATATTATGTACCACAAGCCCCAACGCCAGGCCCAGAACTTCCTCTATCCAGTGACACTCTCCCGCTGCCAGGTCAAGCACATGCCGACGTTTTGGAAAGTATTGAGTCCGCTTCTAAGGGACATAGTCTGCGTCGCGGAGATCGCATCTCTAGTAAAGAGCCAGCGATTCATGAAAGTATCTCGGCCTTTGACCTGGCAACCATGGATGCCATTACTACTGGATCGGCGGACACTTTCTTAGACATCATCGAGCGTACCGGGAACACAGTGTGTGGTCGGCATCCGATCGGTGTTATCATGGCTGCCCTTGAGGTTGTGATGGCGGACCGACCGGAAGGGAAGCAAGGTCTTTTCCACTTCCTGAGGTATGAGCGCAGCTCAGATGCGGTGGATGTGAGCGATAGCTCCGTGAGCTATGTTTCGGCCTTTGCGGCTCTCTAGCGGCTTCTGGTCTTTGTGGTGGTGGTAGTACATCCATCTCCTTTTGCTGATTTCGTTACAACATTGACCAAGATACTATGAAGCCGTGATCAATCTTCTTAGCACTTGAAACCTAATGAATGTAGGATTTGAAAGAATAGAGTTCACGTATATGGGTCTCGTCCAGCTGCCTAGCTTAGCACAGCCTTGGAAACCGCATTCGACAACTATTAGGCATACTTAGAGCGCGGAAGGTTACTAGCTCTGCCAATTGTGATTCATCGGTTGATTATCGGAGGACACTTCACGCACCGCCTTGGATTACATGGATCCGTAGTAAATCATCTGCAAGACATACTACTTACTACATGTATGCTTTGACTCGAAACATAGTTAAGCTTTGTTTGAGGAGTCGGTAAGATTACATACGCTTTGAGTTTATGTTCTCCTTTTCATTGTCATTGAGGGTTTATCGCAAAATAATAAAGTTAGTAATAAGGGATTTAGCGGCTCGGGGGAAATGGAATGGTCGTTACATCGGAAGGTCTCCTGCCATATGTTATAGTAGCTTCAAATGTTGGCGTATAGATGACTCGGAGTAAGGCGTCAAGACATCCTAAAAGGTTCGAATGCTGAGATAGCCTTTGCAATAAAGTAAGATGACTTAGTACTATGCAGTGCCAGTGATGTACAGGTATAGATAAGGTGGCATTTAGTGGGAATGTTCCGGTATCAAGGGTTGAAAGATTAGAACAAAGAAACCGATTCCAAACATTGACTCGTACCCTTGAAATCGATAGATCATGCATTAATACGAACTCCGAATTTCCAAAGTATTAAGAACAGGGGCTAATTGTGCCTTGTATCCAGGGGATCAGGGCACTTCATTCCTGGTCGAATCAAATTCGATCCTGCGGGAGTCACAAACAGCCACAGTCATCATCAAACAAAGTAAGCTTGAAACACACCGATCGCGCCATTGGGTCTTGATGAGTTTCTGAGGTTATCTCTGTAGATTTTAATCCTCCGGCGCCTAGATCCTGAGCCTATGATTACTAGTAAATAGTAAATACCACAGCAATCAATGAACGCCGAAATTGAAAGCCAAAAATTCCATTCTCTGTTTGTTACTTTCCACAATTTTCTCATACTCTCCTTAATTTATTTGGCCAGGGACTCAGGGACTGTGAATGTCTTAAAAGGCAAATTTGCCAGATTAGGAATTTGGGAGTATGGGGAATGGAGACATCCGGATCCCTTGGTATTTATTACGCGCTCTCTCGCCTATTCTGTCTTTCTCTCACACACTCTCTTACACCCTTGAAGTTGATCTTCAATTACTTGGATTTTTGATAAGAATTAGTATTTACCCTTCCGCGCCTTCCTTTCTTGATATTTTGAGCTTTTCCACCTTCCTTCCACATTCCTTCCATCACGTTCATTTATTCCCTCCCCCCCCCCCCCCCCCCCCCCCCACACTCATTTATAACACCCCACCCCACACTCATTTGTTCTCTAACTTGACCCAGTATGCTGGCAGGGGTCTTGTTGGCTCTTGTTGGACTTATGACATCGCTGGCGATGACTAGTCCTATTTCTACCGCTTCATCTTCTATCGTTACTACATCAGCAACTGGTGATAAGCTTGTGTTTTGTCACTTTATGGTAAGCAGAGTATCACATCAAGCCTCCTATATCAATTTGGCGCAAAATATTAAAAACAATTACAGGTTGGTATTACCAGTAACCGACAGAGCTCTAGCGACTATGACGATGACATGCAGCGTGCCAAAGACCTTGGCATAGATGCTTTCGCTTTGAACATTGGCACAGATTCCTATACCGACACCCAGCTTCAATTCGCCTATACATCCGCCGCAAAGTATGGAATGAAGGTGTTCCTCTCATTCGATTTCAACTGGTGGAGTGTGGGGCAGGGTAGTGCCGTTGGTGCCAAGATCAAGCAGTACGCCAGCTATCCGTCACAGCTGAAAGTTGATGGTAAAGTGTTTGTCTCGTCGTTCTCGGGCGACGGCGTTGATGTCTCCGCCATGACTTCTGCAGCTGGTCAGAGCCTCTTCTTCGCGCCAAACTTCCACCCCGGGCAGGGTAACTTCGAGGACGTGGATGGTGCGCTCAACTGGATGGCTTGGCCAAATAATGGAGAGAACAAAGCTCCCTCAGCTGGGAACCTCGTCACAGTTCCTGATGGTGATAAGTCTTACATCGATGCTCTGGGCGGGAAGCCCTATATCGCGCGTTAGTGAGCCCAAGTCTTCTTTCTGGTTGGGTTTGTTTGCACTTCTTTTGAGCCCTATGCTTACTCACTTTTTTTTCTTAACAGCTGTTTCAGCGTGGTTCTCCACTCATTTTGGAAGTGAGGTATCATATAGCAAAAACTGGGTTTTTCCCTCCGACTTGCTCTGGTATCGGCGCTGGCGCCAGATTTTAGACCTCCAGCCTCGCTTTGTGGAAATAATTACATGGAATGACTATGGAGAGTCGCATTACATAGGACCGTTGTCCTCTCCTCATACTGATGATGGGTCATCCAAGTGGGTGATGGATATGTGAGTGGCCTAGAAAAACATACCCTTAAAATTGATTCACAACCCTAATACTGACTTTCCAAACCTCCAGGCCTCACGATGGCTGGCTAGAAATGGCCAAGCCGTTCATCGCCGCCTACAAGGCGGGAAGCACAGAGCCACTGCCCTACATCGAAGAAGATAAGCTGGTCTACTGGTACCGACCCACACCCCGGGATGTCAACTGCGACGCGACAGACACTACGATGACCGGCAACGCCAACAACGCTAGCGGCAACTTCTTCCGTGGTAAGCCCAACGGATGGGAGTCGATGAACGACGAGGTGTTTGTCGTTGCGCTACTCAAAACCCCCGCTCAAGTACAAGTGAAATCGGGTAGCAACTCGCATACGTTCCAGGCCCCAGCGGGGATCAGTTCGTGGTCTGCACCCATGGGGGTGGGTCAGCAACAGTTCGCGGTGACGCGGAGTGGACGGACGGTCTTGTCGGGGACTAGCCTGAAAGATATTGTTGATTACTGCATTTGCGGGATCTACAACTTCAATGCATATGTGGGGACGCTCCCAGCCCCAGCCACAATTGATCAACTCCAGCCAGCTGGACTGGCTTCATTGTCGCAGGGGTTGAAAGTGGCATGCCCGACGAACACTCTGGGGGCGAACATTGCCAGTAGTACCGACGGTGCCGGGAGTATGACCAGTACCAGCAGCATCAGCACCGCTAGCAGCGCAAGCGGTGTCGCAACTACGTCTGTGAACCCTGGAGGCACCAGAACTGTCACTTGCACTGTAACTGTAACTGTGGCGGTGTGAAGGGGTGGAGAAGGGGAGACTCAAGAAATGGTTATTTAAGATCGCAAAAACACGATAGACGACGGAAAGCCTTCAGTTATCAAGTTGAGTATTTACACTAAGGCCCGTCATTGCTCTGCACTAGATCAGTATAGCTCCAATCAACAAGGATGTTGAGACTGGTCGGTTCAAGTGCTCAAAAAGATAAATATCTTCAAATGTTTTGTATTATTTCGTACTAAACTAAATAGACCGGGTTATTATCTTGACTCCACACTTCGTTATCTCAGAATCCTTTATCGCGCACACCGACTCAATACTCATATCCGAGGTTGGACAAGTGTGGGCATTGGCTTTGTCCTTCATATGCGCCCTTTTTGTGATTAGTGTAAATTGTTTTCTGTCATCTCAATATATATATGGCCCCCTGTTGCTGCCCGTCCGGATCGAATGGAACTTCCTTTAGGCTCCGGCCAAGCCCAGGGCTTGATCAGCAGGACAAATACCCACCCGGAGGACGAGCGGAACCACTATTTACATAAATGCATCGCGTGCCTTGGAATCTTTGATCGAATCAAGAGTTTGATTTGAGCTTCATAACAACATTTGAACAATGACCCGCATGAAACCAGGTGTGTTCTCCTGGGAGGACGTACTCACCCAACGATACCAGAGTGAGTACTACTAGTATATGATGTCCATCCCCACATGTGCATACGCCCATACATTGTATAGCTAGCTCTTGGCAAGCTCGTCGGGCGAAGGGGACATTGAAAAAGGTCATACAAGTGGCTATTATTTCCCTGCCTCTCATGCACCCTCCCGCAAACCAAATGGACTCGAGCTCGGATTTAGGCTAATCTGTTCCCATCTTATCTTGGGCTCGACAGGCAACAAACCCCCTCCCTTACCACGATCCCGTCGCCGAACCCTCACGACCGCCCAGCCACAACCACAATGCCAATTGCTATCGCGCCTCTCGCCAGAACTCCGCCTAATGATCTGGGAGATGGTCCTGGGTGCTCAGCGACTCCATATCATCCAGCGTAACCACCAGCGCCTCGGCCATATCGTATGTCCGCTCGGGATCCACAGATCCACATCTAAATCAGATAACGCGTGCCGGGCACGCGACAACAGTCCCACCTGCGACATCTGTGATGGACACGGGATTCCCCAACCCGTGAAGGAAGGCGATCTCGCGCATAGCGGTAGAAAAGCTGGGCTACTTAGTCCTGCGTTGACGTGTCGCCAAATGTACCATGAATCCATCCATCTCCTCTATACCCTGAACACATTCGAATTCAGCAATCCATGGTCCCTACCCTACATGCGGCCCACCATCCCCGCAGAACACTGGGACTGCATTCGCAGTGTCGAGCTACGCTGGTCCTTCCAAGGCCACTGGCTTCCGAGCAAAGACCCCGTGCGCACGATCTACGTCTCAGCCGGACGGGCCCAATGGCTCGAGACCTGTCGCGCATTAGCGCGATTACCGACCCTGCAATCTTTCGTGCTTGTCTTGGGCGACGCCTGGTTCTGCGAGCCGGTCGAGAAACTACCTGGGTTTTTGGAGCCTTTGCGTGGGCTGCGCGTGCAACGGCGTTCCGGCGCACGTGCCGAAGATGCGGAAGTGGATGAGTATGAGCTTGGAGCTGGGGGTTCGGACGAGGAGTCGGGCTTGAGTTTGAGCTCGAGTCTCAGCTCTAGCTCTGGCTTTGAGATTGGTGTCGGTGGCAGTGACGGTGGAAGTATAAGCGAGAATACCAGTGTGGATAGAGGGACCTCCACCATCCTACACTCGTACTGCTCGTTTTACTCCTCGCTGCCCTCCCCTTCTACGACTGACATCATACCGCTACCAATACACAAGACGGATGGGCTTGCGGCGTGGGAGCTACGCCTGCAAGGCCAGCCGTATTACGTGCATGAGCTGGGTCGGATGGGCGATGACCTTCGACGGAGGGGGATCGACTGTTGCATCTCGACGATGTGAGGGATGTGGAGTTGGAGAGAGGGGGTTGCAGTTATGTAGTATGTACTGCAACCGCAACTGCATGTGCACTCCATACCTCGGTATGGGGCGAGACGGATCAAAGACAGGGGACGTCATGGCCCGATCATAGTGTCTCGGCTCGGGTTCTCGTAGGTACATACCTCGGGGGCGGCGATATGCATGCATTGCATTGATAAGTGATCGGAGCATGCCTGCATAGATGATCATTGCTGTATGTGTGTTTCCGAAGTTGTGGTTTGAGGTGTACACTTTGACGACAGACATACAACCTAACAACTATACGTTATCTATTATTTAGAGAAGAATCTCATAAAATTTCATGTTGACTTCAAACAGGAAACAGGCGGCAGCATTACTTACACCCAACCTTTGAATCTCCCAGTTTGAAACCATGGATATACCCCCCTTCGAAGAAACAAAACAGGATGGCGTAATATGCTAGATACCATAATTATGGGTCCGAATTACGTGCAAGGAGACAAGTTCTTTACATCATCCAGCATTCCCACGGAAAATCCTTAGAAGAATCCAGGATGCTTGTCTGTGTTTATGCTTAATTTAATCTAAAGGCCCACGCAATTAGACGAATACATGGTACAGCTCTCGTATTCAAGTCAATCGTAAAAAGTTAGATGAATGTGCTATACACAACCACCAGTTGAACGCGCAACACGCGTAACCCCCTATATCGGCAACCCTAAACCCCGTTTCTCCCGAGACCCTGGACCCACCGCGATTTCAACCTATAAATAAATGGGACCGTGCGCTTAACGGCAGTTCCACTTTGATTACAAACAAATTCAACGAAGAAATGCGTGCTTTCAAGTATTGTCCAGGCTATGTAGGAATAAAATGGTGATTTCAAGTGGAGGGGGGGGAAAGCAAGAGAAGAAAAATGGTGATAGAACCGTGTTCTTTGCAAAGTTTCTTCTTATGAAGGATCGTTGCGTGCCTGATTCCGCAGTGCATGGGCCGGGAATTCGCCAGCCTAACTCCACCGAGTCCATCGGGTCCACCGGGTGTGGCAGGCGCTAAGACTCCCATCGCGGGGGAGGATCGCACATCCTAATCAAACAGGTAATTTTGGGTAATTTAAAGTACTACTTTCAAGGTTGGTACTGTGGTTATGAGATAGACTTTGGGGAAAGGGGGTATACTTCAGATGTGGCTTTACGAGATTCAATTCTGGGCTTATGATAAGAGGATTTTTGAAAGTGATTAATATGTAGTATTGAAAGAGGTATAATAGAAGTTGTTATAGAGTAAATCAGGACAAAGAGTCTCTGAAGAAAAGATAGAAGAAAAAGAACCGCTGTGTCAACTGTGACGACGTAAAAAGAAAATGAGAACGTTGTCTCGTGTGCCAGAAGGCAAAATCAAAGAGTCACAAATTAAGGAAAGAAGTCGTCACCACTGGCGCCGTGGAAAAAAAACCATGCCCAAGTTAAATACCATGATGCGATAAACATGAACCAAAAATGGAAAAATGAAAGACCCATTTGTTGGTTGAAACCCGTATTAAAAGACAAGATACTCCGAAAATCTCTTGCTCCAGGCCGTGTACCAAAAAGATAATAAGGAAATAGTAGAAAGATAGATCGTGTCAAGGACGTCCGTTCATAGGAGAAGTTATTGTGTCATCATTTGATGATCGGTGTGAACAATGTATTCAGAACCACCAAGTTGAGAGATTGGGGGTGCATAGTTGAAAACAAGGTCAAGATGGTCCCGAATTTGGGGGTCGTAGTCGCGCTCTGGTATCGGACCGAGAAGTGGGCTACTGTTGTGGCCACAAGTCGAGGTTGATGCGATGTCGATGGGTATGTGACCCGACGCGACGTACCCTCCGAAATAGGAGAAGGGTGAAAGGGGGTGTCAAGGCCGTTCGATGTAGTCGGGGGAGGGGGCCCGGCAGGACCTCTCATCCGCTCGTCTGGAGAGGCTGGAGGGGGGGAATTGAACCCGCTCGAGCGGTCGACAAAATTAAGGGAATTCCAAGGAGTGATTTCTTCAAAGACCCAGAGAAAGAAAGTTGAATCCGACAAATTATATCGAACTTTTGATTACCTCCCACCAGGTGACCGGTCAGGGCCCGAGTGGCCGTGGCCGCGAGCAGCAACCCACTCGCCAGAAGCTTCCTGGAGGGCATCCGCATGCTTCTGCTCGTGAGCGCGGGCAGTCATGCTGCGCGGGAGGAGGTTGTTAATCTCAGCCGCCAAAGCAGAGGCAGTGTAGCCCCGGAGCTCTCGCTCTTCCCGTTCATCCTCCTTGATTAAACGAGCCTGGTCGGTCTTGGACATGTTCTCTCGGCGCTTGCGTCGGATCTCGTGAATTGACCAGAGGACGACCTCTTCGGAGGTGCGGATGCGAGGGCTACCGTTCTTGGGGAAGTTACGAACATAGCGCCGGGTCACGTCAGTAGCACCGTCAATGGAGAAGGCCACACAGTAGGAAATCTTGCGGCCCCATCCCTCGGTGTACAGACGAGGCTGATCCCAAGCGCCCTCGCACGCATCCACGTGAACCCATCTTCGCTGGTGCTCTGAGTACACCTCGGTCCAGACGTGGTCCTCTGAATTCCATACCCAACGAACCCGGGCTCCGACCGCGCGACACAGCATACTGAAGCAATTGGCCCATTCACCAACTCGGCCTCGGCGGGTCTGCAACAATTGCCAGACATCGGAGTATCGGGGGAATCGTTCGTAAGCACCACAGGTGCCTTCTGAGCAGCGGTACAGTTCCACGCGAGTGGCTCCTCGGGCGGTTTCATCGGGGCTGGGGGGAGTCATACCCTGGGCGATTGTGGGCATGTGGCAACGAGAGCATGGTGGGTTGTTGACAAACTGAAAGAAAGAAGACTTGAACCATCTATGAAACAAGGGATGTTAGTGGCGAAGATTCAAGGGTGAGTTCGACGGGGGTCTAGAGTGCTTGACGAACCTCAGTAATGCTCGGATCACACAATCCTGGTAACCCCATTCCGGCTTTCCATTTGTGCTGGCTGATTGGGCATGCATAATCTGGCTCTCCTCCTCCGCTTCCGAGTACAAGCGATCAAGTGGAATGATGCAAAGGGCTTCGTCCAAAAGACCCGGGTTCTCATATTTGGTGGGAGTGACGGAAAGACCCTTCAATAAGTTGAAGAATTTCAATGAGGCGGCATCATGAGGTGGTGCGGGCATGATGGGAAGACCTTTGAGCGCATTAGATTTGGGAGTTGGTGATGGTTGAGACGGGTTATGCGAGGCGCCAAAGGGTGGCGGCGGAGGTGCTCGAGAGGGCGGAGGAAGGGACGAGTTGGCGACGGGGGCGGGGGATCGCGAACCACCTCTGGATTCTTGTAGCTGGTTGAAACGTTTTGTGCGCATTAACTGTTCGAATTCACGGCTGAGGGTAGTAGCATCGTAGTTGTTGGAGCCAGGCTGAGCCCGTTGCTGTTGTCTGCCGTCCGCCATGATGTATCGGGGAGTGGTGATGGTGGGTGGAAGGAGTCACCGGCGGCAGACTGGTCGGAAAGATCTTCTACTCCAGGTTGGGTAGAAGGAGACAAAAGGACCCTAGCGGAGGGTTTCTTACGAAGGATATAGGGAGAGGGAGAGTATATGTTTAGGTAAAAAGGGAGTTGGTGGAATATGCGAAGGGCAAGTCTTACGGCAAGTACGGAGGAATACAGCGGTATTACGAGCGTCGTCAGCGTCTCGCCCCAATCATGGGCCCCGCGCCCAAGCCGCGTGTGCGAAACGGAAAGAAGCCAAGAAAAAAGACCCTTTTTTCCCGTAATTTTCCCTTGCACACGTACTCTCTCTTGACTTGGCAACTTTGCGGACGCACGGGGTTTTTTTTTCTTTTCTCAATGACTGTTGTCTTACGCACTTGATTTTCCTTTTCTCTTTCTTTTTTTCTTAAATCCCCATATTTTGATATTTATGGATATATTTTGTAGATATGATGTTTTTTATTTTTAATTCTGTTTAAAGAATATTTATTTGGCAATTCATGATCGGTTTAACTACATTATTACCTGAAATATTACATTCCTCTCCTTGTCACACACCTTTTCTCTCTGCTTTCACTATCACTTTTCCTGCAAAAGCCCTATGGCGTCAATATGAGATGTACTGTAGGGTGGCTTGGGTGAAGATCTCGAATGATCGTCCCGTGTGTCTTGACTTCTGGGACTACGCGTTCAAAGCCTCTCCAATTTCCCAATTTCCTTTTTTCTCCTCTACGACGGGGGCAATAGCAGCTGGTGGCGGAGACGCGCAAGCATCCGTCTTGGCGTTTGGTACGATCGGGCTAGAGCCTTCGTCGCCAGTCCACTGCGCTAAGCCCCAATAGGCAAATCCTGGCCTTAGTCATTGTCGGGCTTGATCGAATCTGGACATTTAACCTTGTGCAAATAGTGCAAACTGGTGCAAATCAGTGCAAAATGGTCGGATTAGTCCGATTTGTCCCAAATAGTCTAGAATTGCTTAAAATCGTTCAAAAATCATGATCAAGCTCGTCCACTTAAAAGAAGAAGAAAAAGTGGATCTTGGGACCCAGGGGGCTTGGCATTCGTCGCTCCAGAATAAAAGAATACAAACTGGTATGGCCCAATGTTCCTGTCGATCGGAGATGCAACCTTCTCATATACAATCCGTATTTATCCATTGTTCGTACGGAAACAGTGGAAGAGTTTCGAAACATCTAGACTCTCTATAGAGTAAGTAGTATATCACTCTTCAAGTAGAGTATCTTCCAAGCTTCAATGTTGGTCTTGTTGCCTATCAAACCCCACTTTTCTCTAGGTGGGCTTCAATTGCCAATCATTGCAGATGGAAACCCTCCGGTTCAACTGGACCCTGAGAGGGTCATGAATCGGTCAGGGTCGACCCATCGTCTATCTCACACGATTCGCAAGCTTGCGCTTCATTCCGACAATTCGATATCCACCGACACGTTTACTTCTGGTTTTGGGGTAGCTCTCGATGACTCAGCCTAGTATCCCTTTTTTGGCTCTTTTTTACTGTCAATTCATTGTCTACACTGCATTACCGCCTATTGAAAAAAAAAAAAAATCCTGGAGAATAATTGGAACCTGTTCTTCTCCTTTTCTCCTTTCTTTGGTTCATGGAGTCGGGTAATTCCGTTGTTTTGTGTATTTTCTAATTTTTTCTAATTTTATCAGCCATTTGGACGATCTTCATGATTCAGTCCCAAAGCCGGCGTTTCAAGCGTTTCATGCTTAACCCCATAGCCCTCCAAGGCTCTCACAGCCTCAGCCTCGAGCCCCATCCAAACCCCCGTTCTGTCCTAGATTGTAGAGACCCCGTAAAGTACACAGACCCCTAGATTGTATCCGAATTGTCCTTGAACTACATATATGAGAGCAAGAGTTTTTCCATTCGTGCCTTTCAATGAGTATTTGATTTCATTCCCCGGAAGCTCAACATTGAACCATGCATACCCTAAAGCGCGATGGCGTCAGGGACGGCCTAGCTTACGCAAAACACCACACAACGCAGTACAAGGCCTCACACACCGTATACGCGGACCACCAAAAGCAGCTCTGAATTACCCTTGCAAATTGCTACATGAATTTAAGCGACGCCTACATACTGCTGACGCGTGATTTCCTGGGCGAAACCTTGGAATTGACAATGCAAGGAACATTCATAATATGGGGAAAGTTAAGCAAGCCTTTTTTTTTCTTGGCGGGAAAAGTCAACTCCGTGTGAATTTGGGTTCATCTTGCCGACGAGCGTGACACGCCAAGAGCCAAGTCAAACGCATGGACCAAATCTCTATCTCTGTTGGTGTCTCTGTTGATGTGACGTATAAGCCACTCTTGGATCTTCACTTCTCACTTCCAAGCCTTTTTTAAACACTTTCGACCCCGACCCATTGAAAGTGTTTGGTCATGAGCGCTTGGCACGGACTGATGTGACTAATTTACTAAAGCTTTACCCCGTACACCATCTCCATCTGCTTGGTCTTCACCGTGTTTGCGACGCGTGCTCAACACCAGCTTAGATCTTCATGTCATGTCATCAGCCCAGCGGAAAGACACGCAACCCGGCGGAGACGTGCAACAAAGATAGTCGGCTTTTCTCCTGATCAACCTGAGATCATCGGCCAAAATGTTTCGTCGTCGTCGTCGTTTTTACTTCATCGCCAAACTTCCGAGTAGATCCATGGACTACATGACGCCTGCAACCTACCGAGGGCCAACTAGTGAGGAAAAAAAGCTCGGTAAAGAATTTTTCAACATTTATGCATGTATTTGTGGTGGTTTTTCAGGTCATGAGGCCCACTAGCTTTTTTGACACTACCGCGCGTTAGCTCTGGGTTTCCGCGTCACCCACCGGCTCTGCCCGCCATCGACTTACGTGCGCTCTAAAAATTGACTAACCGCTTTCTGTACAATATGACTGGGTCCCAAGTGCTTGGACTTGCATTTATTGTTATTTTTCCTACTTGGGAATGGTTAGTCTTTGCTTTTTTGGTCTTTTTTTCGAGCCTCTTCACTAACACGATCTATCACAGTGGACCTGCACCACTAGTCTTCGTATTTCTGTCCGGATGAGGCGTAAATACCGGTTGATGTTAATCCTTTGGTATGGATTTTTGTCCTGGAGCTTTGACTTGCGTGGCCGTCTTTATTGGTGAATCGCTTTTCTCGGTATTCGGTATGGAGCTTAGTGGACGAACACCTAAGCTCCTGATCTACGTATCTTGATGAATCATGTCCAAGAAATTTTAGTCATAGTCTGCAGGGCTTGACGTCCTCTTGGCTTGGCTTGCTTTGATTTTTCCCAATGTTCCAAAGTAATATTCCGGAAGTTGTCCATGAGTAAGTACATGATAATTTAGCTACTTTGGAGCTTACGAGCGCAACTTTTCCAATGTTTGTTCTCGAAATAGAAACTGGATCTCCCCACTAATTAACGGTTTTCGGAGTAAAAAATTCTTCTAATCTCCGACAAGTTCTTCGGACCGTCATTCTGATTGCGGTTAGATTTACCTATAGTCTTGTGGAAAGTTTTTGATGTTCGGAATTCCCGACGCTGCTCTTGCCGTTACGATTCAATGTTCGGGATATCATATATCGGTTTGAAACGTGATTTTTTTTTAGCAGTGAAAATTTTCATAGGCTGAATGCCATGTATATGTACAGCTTATTATACATTTTTATGAAAACCCCCAAGGTTACATGTACATGCTAAAGCGATTTCCAAGGTTGTCATCATTTGGGCCGTATCATGACCAGGGTATGGTTGGCCATGATCAACAGGGGGATTTATCCGAGTTACTTTGTGCCTGAACGCCTAACCGGGGTTCCCTTGAGGCCACATGCAAGACATGCAGACAGGACTGGACATGGTTTCATGGTTTCAAGAAGCTCCAAGTCTCCCAGTATCTGGTGAGATTCCAAGATTGTGAAGAATGAAACCCTTCCTTCATTTGAATAAGCCCGATCCAACCCGAGAACATCACTCTTGAGAATATCACATTCACCTCGGAGTAATGCCGGACTACATCAGTCCGGCTCTGCGCGCGACCGTTAGAGGATATATTTGATTGAGGTATATGCACCCTGCACGACTTTCGGGCAGCCAGAGGATCCAAGCGGACAAGGAACTATACAAGTCTCGACCCGATGTATATAACAGTTGCATCCGGGTACCTGCCCCAAGAGATAAAACCCCTCACCTAACTTTATAGCTTCATCTTTCCTTCAAATCTATTCACCTTTATTGAAAAACCCCCAGAATGAACTCTCGCCAACAGTAGCTTTTTGTTTCGTTTTATTCCATCACAGGACAAGGATTTCCAAGGTTCTTTCCTTTCAAGATGACGGTTTTCATCGCGTCGCTGTAAGTCCCCACTTTTTCCGAACCCCGCATTCTCACTTGAGTGCTTGGAGCTCAATCTCTCCTTTCAGATTCCTCCCTTATACGATCGACTTCAAGTCAACGGGCTTGAAAAGTGTAAAGCCCTCGCTTCGTCGCAAGTCCTCGCCTAGCTATGCAGCTGTCGATGGGTCGGGCTCCGTGCCTATCATTGGTCGCCTTGCGGATACTCATAAGCCCCGACAAAGATCCACAAGTCTGGAACTTACCCCAGGAGCTACTACAGAGGACGAGAAGGTTTTCAAAGCATACGTATCGCATTCGGCAGGAGAGATTCAATTCGCCGATGATCCCAATGGCCCTGGTCCCAACGAGCCTAGAGCCGTCCCATGGGGTCAGAGTCGCAAGTTCAATCAACCCCGCTCCAAGGCGATAATTCATCCCGAGCCGTCCATTCTAAGCCGCCCAGCTTCTCGACAGGAGTCAAAGGAATCCCCTTTCCTCAATGGTGGAGGTGTTCTGCCCCCAGCTCCCCCGGAAATAGGCAGCCCTCGGGCTCTGCTTTCTGCCGAGGACTGGGTCGTCAAGGCAGCAGAGCAAGGAAACGGAGGTCTCCACAACGCAATAAATGCCGCAGCAGATGCAGACCTCCTTGAAAACAAGATGTGGGTGGGAACACCAGGCATGCCCACCGACTCGCTGACAGACATGACGCGGCATCTCATCGATGAGACTCTAAGAACCGACTACGAGTCTCTGACCGTATTCGTAGGCGACAGCGAATTCGAAGGCCACTATACGCACTTTTGTCGCTCTGTCCTCTGGCCGGCTCTTCACTATCAGATGCAGGAGAGTCCACGTCATACTGAGTATGACGACTACTCCTGGAGACAGTACCTGAAAGTGAACGAGGCCTTTGCCAACACCATCGCGAACCACTGGCGACCGGGAGATACCATCTGGGTGCACGACTATCACCTGCTCGTACTTCCAGCACTTCTAAGAAAGAAATTACCTCGAGCGAGAATCGGGTTCTTCCTGCATTCGGCGTTCCCCTCGTCGGAGGTCTTTCGCTGTTTGAATTCACGCGATGCGTTGCTCGATGGCCTCCTTGGCGCCGACTTGATTGGCTTCCAAACAGAAGAGTATTGCTATCATTTTATTCATACTTGCAGTAGACTCCGACAGCTGCAGGTATTGGCAGATGGTGTACAAGTCAACCATCGGTTTGTGCGAGTCAAGAACTATCCTCTGGGGATTGACTACAAGTCGCTCAACGCCCTGCGTCAATCCGTTGAGGTAAAAGACTGGATATCGAACATAGACGAAAAATACAGAGGGAAGCACTTGATCGTCGCTCGCGATCGACTTGATGCCCCTGGGGGTATCAAGCAGAAACTCCTGGCCTATGAGCTCTTTCTACAGAGCTACCCCAAGTGGAGAGAGAATGTAAGCCAAGTCCAGGTCCCTTGGCAAGCTTAATTCTTGATGATAGTCTCTAAACTCTTGTATGATACAGGTGGTTCTTGTTCAAGTGGCATCATCTGCATCGGAGATTCCAGAGCTAGAAGCTCAGGTATCAAAAGTGGCCATGAGAATTAACTCAGTCCACTCCACTCTCACCCATTCCCCCCTCGTCCTCTTGAAACAAGACATCAGTTACTCTCAATTCCTCGCATTGCTCAGCGTGGCAGAGGTATACATGGTAACAAACCTTCGTGAAGGAATGAACCTCACGAGTCACGACTTCGTCCACTGTCAAGATGGCCAACTTGCTTCTCAGAAGCACGGCTCCCTTATATTGAGCGAATTTACGGGTAGTGCATCCATCTTCCACGGGCACGAGCTACTTGTTAATCCATGGGATTACAAACAATGTGCCGATGCGATAAACCATGCTCTGGAAATGTCACCGGAGCAAAGACAGAAAAACTGGGAGTTCCTCCTAGATCGCAAAGCCCCTCACACAGCACTTGCCTGGTTCTCCTCTATTCAAAGCGCACTCACCGAAGCCCACAGTATGCAACAATCTCGCGAGACTCACGCCGTCACCCCCCTCCACCTCGGCAGCCTCAAGGAATCCTACCAAGCTGCCCAGAAACGTATCTTCTTTCTCGAAGACGGCGCAACCTTCATTCCCGACGAAGCTCACCCCTCCAAAGAAGCAACTGACCTCATTCAAGCCCTAGTCCTTGACCCCAAGAACACAGTCTATCTAACCAGCAAGAACAGCCCCGATCAACTCGACGAAACAGCCCGTGTCCTCTCACCACGCATCGGGCTAATCGCTGAAAATGGCTGCTTCGCCAAGCCCAGCCCCAAACTCACATGCCATTTCTCCCCAGAAGAAACAGAACAGGAGCCCTGGGAGGCCCTTGTCGATGTAACCGGCACAAGCGACTGGCGCGCCGGCATCCGCAAGGTAATCGAGTACTTCCAAGAACGCACAGAAGGCAGCACAATCGAAGAGCGCCGCTGTTCACTAACATTCGACTACACCAACGCCCTCGACCGCGACATTGCTGCCCATCAAGCCTCCGAATTAGCGGATCAGATCAATGGTGCACGCGGTAGCGAAGCTATCCGCGTTGTACGGGATACGAGTGCCGTGAGCGTCGAACCTCTGCATGCCTCCAAGGCTTCCGCTGCCTCAATGCTACTGGACCGCTTGCCAGCTGATGAATCTCCGGACTTTATCTTTGTGGCAGGTGGAGCGAGGGGCGACGAGAGTTTGTTCCGGTGGGCAAATCAAGCGACTCATGTCAAGACAGTCAATGGCCATAGCAATGGCAATGGCAATGGAAATGGAAATGCAAATGGAAACGAATACAAGGCTAGAACAGTTACGACTGTCACGGCCGGCACGCATGCGACTGAAGCGAGTGCAATACTGCCCACAGGATTATCTTTGTTGGATGTATTGCGGCTGCTGGTGTTTCCGCATCTTGTTGACGTGGCCTCGAGATGCAAAGACCGTGGAGTGTAGTGAACCCACTTATTATGATTCTGATACTGATAGGGATGTCTGCAGGGTTCTCTCTCGTACTTACTACTTGTTTCCTGTAGTGTTTTGATTTTGTTGCCGCTTTTCTTTGTGTCGGTCTTTTCTTGGGACGTATCTTGGGACTGAGGACGTTCCCTTGGTCTATCACTAGTACTTGGCATGTGTGTGTATATCCCTTATTGTGACGAAGCAAACACGGAAGTGTCCATGAGATAATTTTTTCATGAAAAATGAGAAGCGCATTAGACAAAAGGCTTAGAAAATTGTAATCCATCCGGACTAGTGTATTTTGGATCTACCCCTCTACTAGTACGCGCGAACCTGTGTTTTTTTTGCAGCACCTGATTGGCCGAGAGGCCCAAAGTGGGTCCAAAGACAATGCTACAGCTGGGGACTCTGATTGACCTTACTAGGTGCAGATCAATCGCCGCGCGCAGCGCGGCGACGATACTTGTATCTACTACTAGGGGTTAGAAAGCTATCTCCTCCCTTTACTACTTGGGTACTTGTATCATAGTAGATACCTCGGTTCTGATACCTAAAATCCCCGAAGATCGACAAGTACATTACAAATAAGCCGACATATGGAATCTCATTGACTCCAATTTTAAAAGGGACGTTTGAATGGTGTCAAAGTAGCCGGCCAGTTCCGAATTGACCGCCACTTAGAACACAGCCGAACCATAGTAATAACCACATACACACATGGGGAAAATACATGTGAATCATGAATTGAGCAACATAATGATAAGAATAGAACAGGCAGAAAACCCCATCCCTAGGCAATAAATGAACCGACAGCAAAGACAACAAGAATGATCAGGGGTAAAACGCGCCGCGCCTGGGGGTAATGTAAAACAACAAGCAAGGAGACCATGTGAGAGCAGGGCAAAGATATCAGGTTGGGCCCTAGCTATGCGCAATGCACGGATCCTGATGGTAGGATTGCAAGAAGCGCAATATGTATTGGCAGCAAACCTTGAGACAAAGCAGCCCGAGGGTATATGCCGTACGTCAGAGATCTACTCTGGACGCATAACAACCCCGAGAAGCATAAGGGAGAAGGGAAAACGATAATAATAAGATGCAGCGATATGCAGTGCAAAGGACACAGGGTTGAATCCTCCGGAAGGGGTGGGGTTGGGTGGAAACAGTGGGGGATGCTGATTATATCAGACTCTAGATGACTTGGTCGCAGAAATTGAGTCAAGCCAAGCAGAAAAAAAAACACTTCCCGAAATTAACCTCCAGTCCCTTTGTTATCAGCATCTTTGGATGCCGGTGCTGGATCGATGCTGGCCGAGATAAGAGTCGGGGCAATTCTGCGTTTCTTTGGTTGTTGGGCCGGCTCGACCTCTGGGCCCTTGCTCTCTTCCTTCTCAGACTCGCTTGCGGTTTTTATATCCCGTTTCCCAAGCACAGTGCCTGTGAGGGAATTGGTCCCGCCTTGTGAGCCGGAGCCGGGCATTGACAGTGGAGTTTGCGGCGGAGTGGTGAGCGGCAGTGAAGACGGCTGAGCAGAGTGCGTAGCCGTTACTGATGGAACAGCCCCCATAGTTGGGGTCGGATTGTTCACTACAACGCCAGGTTGCTGGTTGGACGATTGTGTTGCGACCGAACAAGCCGAATTGGACCGTGCAGGGCTAGCCGGTGGTCCCTGAGAGGCGCTAGGTGCAGAATTTCCGCTGCTGGCTTGCGAGTGGCCAGATTTTATAGGTGATGGAGCATGGGTTGGGGTAGGCAAAGGTGTCAGATGGGTCGAATGAGCGATTGAGCTGATAGGATGGGGGGCTGAAGTCGATCCCGTGTAAGGCTGACCTAGTTCCCCAGGCGCAAACGAAAGAGTGGAACAGAAACCGTCGGAAGAGCTCATAAGCAAAGTCAAGCCATCATCGGACCTATTATTCGTTAGGAATTTAAATATTGAGGGATAGAAAAAGGCGAAGAGAAGACTTACCAAGTCAAGTCAGTAAAAGTAGCAAAGTGCAGATTGCTTACAACACACAGAGGAGTTTGTTGCTGCGTATCGTAAATCAAAACGGCGTCCTGAGTGGCTACCGCATATACGATGCGGTAAGGAAGCGCAAAGACGGGCGGTGGGGACCCTTGTCCGGTATTGTTGTTACTGTTCTCAATTTTTTGTGCTGTTGAGCTGTCCGCTGTGTCCTTTGAAGTCTGGTTTGTAATTCCCGATACGACTGGACCCGGCAATGGGGGAAACATTGACTCTTCGGTTGAAGTATCGATAGTGAGATGCTTGGCAGACTGAGTGCTTTGCTTTAGTGTGTAGAAGATTGGCGAGCATTTGACGGCAACAGACGGCTTCTTGTGGCCAGGGAGATGGGAGATTGGCGGCTTGTTAAATCCAGCACGAGTATAGACATAAACCGTGTTAATGACTTCGTCCGTCGTCTTGGAAGGGTCGGTAGGCGAGACATGAGACGTTTTGTATTGTCCAGCAGGTGTGAACAATAAGCTGCCGTCGGGGGCGAAGGTCAAGCGTCGGAAAAACGAGGTAAATGTTTCGTTCGCATAAATGCTAGCATTCCTCACTCCAAGGCCCCCAGAAAGGCTTGGGGAAGATGCTTCCAGAGGCTTCACAGCAGGCAATGGCAGAGACGGAGCGGGAGATGCCGAGCGTCGAATCGATGGTGATGAACCAAAAGAAGAGCGACGACTGTGAGAAACTGGTGGTGGGTCCATAGGCAAGTTGGATGCCATCGGTGTTCCTGGGGTAGAAGGAGCTGGTGAAGCAATTGCGATTGGATTGCTCGTACTATGTTGCGGTCGGCTGATGGGTTCTGGAGCAGGACTGCTGGATGAGATGCGTTTGGCAGGTAGGTCCATCTTGAGAACCTTGCCATGGGGAGTCAGTGTAAACTGGCCATCCTTTGTCTTTAAGCTGTAAATGTGAACCGATCGATCGGATGACTGGGTTGCAACAAATTCATTGAGCGGATCCCACGCGACGCCTTGGACGTAGTGCGAATGCTCTGCAATTTGCCGGACCATTTGCCCTGGTAATACGATTGTCAGTCATGTTGCACATCCGAAAAATTGAGAAAATAGTCTCTAGACTGAAGACCAACCGGTTTGCGCATTATATATGCGAGCAATATTGTCCATGCTTCCAGTCATAATAAAGACACCATCGGGCGACCAAGCTAGATCGTAGATCTCCGCCCCGGACGAGCGGCACATATGCTTTACTCGCCAAGTCTCTTTATCATCTGACCGATCTTCCCCAAGACCGGGCTGTGTCTGCAGCTCCGATGGCACCCAGAGCAAGACATTGCCGTCGTCTCCGGCAGATGCCAGCATCTCACCTGCACTAGGTTAGAGTAATGGCCGAATGGGCGTAGTATGGGCAACTGTACCTTTTGGACAAAACCGAACGACATTGACAGCTTGGGTATGTTTAATAAGTGTACTCAGGTATGAGACCTTTCGTTCTTCCCCAGCAGATTCAACTCTCCAGAGCTATTAGGGTGTGTCAGACATGAGTTCATTGGGGGGAGGGTAACGGAGGGTGGAAGTTGCGGAGGCGTACTCGGACGTTATTATCGCTAGAGGAAATCATTGTCAGTCATGCATACAAACTGAAAAATGACATGAGTACTCACTTTCCACCAGTTGCTAGGCGACCCTTCCCATTGGGGTCAAAATGCACAGAGTAAATGGGGACATTGTCGTCATGCCATGAGATCAGTAATGCAGATGCCTTCATGATGAACGCTACAGCTCATGGGCTGATCCTTGGAGCCACCTGTCCTGCGAAATTGTGTGCTGGATGGATACCCCGGTGGTTCTTTTTTTTCTTAAGAAACCCAAGCCAGTCTTAACGAGGGCCTTCAGTCTCGGCCAGGGAATTGGGGGAGGGGAGGAAGCAAGTGGGTTGTTTAGGTTGAAGCGGAAGCGGTTGGGGAAAAAATCGAAGTTTGAGGAATTAAAATTAGGAGGAAGAGGAGTCGGTGGTTAACAGAGAGTACAGAGAAGGGGGTGGGAGTAAGTAAGAAGGTGATGAAGGGGAGTTTCGATGATGCTTCGAGTTGTTTGCGCGGGAACGCGACCGAAGGCCGATTAGATATCGGCCACTCAACGGGCACGGAATTGCAATGCAGACTCTCTGCACCAATCCATTCAAAACAGCCCATGGTAGAATAAGGTAGTCTTTCTTGTAATACGGTTCATTTAGGAGTTTGAAAATTCGCTTATTCTGTTATTGTTTCGATAACATGGATATACAACCCTTGAAACAAGTGCTAGTAGATACAGTATATTCAACTAAGATAATCATTTCATGAACGCCTCCCATTTGCCTTTTCTCCAATTGACCTTAGCATGCAGAAGAGAGTAGACTAAAAGTACAAAACCAGTGCTGTCTTATAAGTGACTATGAAACCCACTTTCCGATCGTTTCGCCAAACCAGCTGATGGCCTTTTCTTGTCTCTTCGACCGGGCATCTGTTTGCGTCTTCATATATGGACTGGCCTCATCAGCGTACAGTTTTTGTTGCTCGAGATGGGCATTATAGGCTCGGATCTCCAGCTCCCGCTCATGCGGCGTGAGCTTTTGCAGGGGCTTGGAAGGCTTGAATCCAGCTGGGATAGACTCGCCGCCGGGGACGTCGATGACCGCCTGAGTCTTCTCGTCTGTTGTTGATGAGCTCTTTGTGTCAGGATGGAAGAGGGATTGAATCGGCGGTGGCTCAATGCCAGCTGCTTTGGCTTCCTCCACTCGTTTCTCAAAGTCCAGCATTTGGTGGTAGAGCTTGTCGGCGTGCATCTGAATCCGCTCCTCTTTCTCGGCGTCATATTCGAACGAGGCTGCATAACCCAAGGCCTGGAGGAATTTCTAGCCAGGGAATTAGTATCTTGCAATTCGAGGTGGAGCTGCTTGCTCTATTCAAAAGGACTCACACTCTGGGTTGTAAAGCATCGCGAGAACGTGCCATTCTGCTCCGCGCACATGGTCAGTCGGGACTCGAGCTGCTTCTTCCAGTTTCCAGTTTGGAAGCATAATGTAAGCGCCTCATGCTCCATGGCGCAGTTCTCCATCGCCGCTCGTTGCACTGTATCGCCACGCTCCTTAAATTTCTCAATCACTCGTGCAGCTCCGCGGACCCCATCGCCTCCGTCGGCATTGACAGGGGGTTTGTAGGTCTTCCACAGATCTGCGTAACGGCCATCCTGATAGAGCGATTGCGCAGGAACGGTGGGTTTCGAGGGATCGGCTGACTCTGGTTGAGGCGACGGTGTAGTTGGCTGCTTCACATCCGGCGCAGGAACATATTTGTCCGGTCGCTCTTGCTCGAGGTACTCTCGCAGGCCCGGGTCGAGCTTCTTCACAGGATCATTTTTGCTATCTCCCCAGAACCAGCCCATTGGGAATGTAATTTGCAGGAATGTTTGGGGGAAGGCGTGGGGAAGGTTGTTTCCTAAGAGCGTTGCGGAGAAATCGGGATAAAAATGGATCAGTTCTGATACCGATAGACTACCCGACCGCCGCGGTCTTTACTCTTCTACCAACAACACGACGCGTCTACCTCGACGCCGTTCCTCCACCATGGAATCTAGTACGTTCAAACCATTTCAAATGAATCGCATATATTTAAGCTAACATATAACAGCGCGAGAGGAGCGGTTGCAGATGCGACAGCGCGGAGCTGGGTACGCGCTCTACCCCGCGAAACAATAACATAGTGTCATTGAGCTGACCAGCAATTCAGAACGCGCCAAATCAAAGCAGTCGATTTCGGATTCTCCTTTGGAGCTCCGGCATCTGATTCTGCAGCTTCTGCCCCTATTCCGCTATTCCCTGAACCCAATGAATCGTCGCAAACGCAGCCCGCGTCCGCGCCCGCGGCGAAGGCTACAACACCGCCGCCACTGAAGGTCTCCTCACAACCCGTATCACAGACGATAGGCCAGCCCCAGCGCACGCCGGGAAGTGCGCGCAATAGACTTCCTCAACGCCTCTCGACATATGATATACCCATCGACGACAGGCCGGAAGGACAGCGAAGCAACAAAAGGAGAAGAATAAGTGCGTGTTGGGATACCAAAGCTAGTGAAATCTTGTACTGATGCTGTTAAAGCCTCCCCTGAGCCAACAGAGACAGAGACCCCTTCGAAGACGAGTGTACGAGTCAATAACCCAAACCCAAGTCAAAATGGAGGCTCCGTGGTCACAGAAGCAGCAGTGAGCCACAACGCAGATGTTTCCATGGCAGATGCACCGCAGCAAGAAACGCCAATGGCTCCAGCTCTACCGGAAGACCCTGCGAATAATACAGCAGAGCCAGATAATGGCGCAGAGATCACGAACCCAGACTCTACGGTACAGGCTGTTTCTGAAGAACAAACACAAAGCATAACCCAGAGTCCAAGCCTTGTCTCAACAACAGATACTAGTAAAGAGAAACGTCCTCGAAAATCTCGATCACCACCGCCTAATGATTCAGGAAGGGAGATCCATCATACTGTCGATCCTATCGACTCATCAGGCAAGAAGCAGCGAACGCGTCGATCACCGCCACAAATTGAAAAGTCTCCAGTAGAGGAGAGAGCAGAACAACAGACAGTTGAGCCTTCAAAACCCACGTCGCTGCCTTCGCAGGGGGTTCGTCAACTGAAGACAAGAATTCCTCGAGCTAAACCTACCTCGACTGATACCTCCAACACCGATCAACCAGAGAAAACAGCCGTTGCCCAGTCAGGACCAAGTAACCAAGAATCGGAAAATGTCGCTGTGAGTGTGACCGAAAATGCAGACAACAATTTAATCCAAGCTCAAAAATCGTCCGAGACGACAAAGAAGACTCGAGGACGCAAAGGTCGTCCAGGAAATTCTGATCGCGCGCCAGTTCCGGAAACTGAAACTGAAACACAGCCTCAACTTGACGTTAGTCAAACAAAGGCTTCCTCGAACGGTAAACGCTCTCGTAACAAGCCATGGCTTTCTACAAAAGAGCTAGAGGAAAAGTCACAAACGGAATCAGGAACAGAATCTGAACCATCAAAGTCAAGACGTGGAAAGCCTTCGCTTTCTGCAAAGAAGAACGATATGAAGAGACAAGCAGAACTCGAGACAGAGGTCGAACCAGAGGCGGGTCCATCAACGTCTCGGCGAGGAAGATCCGCAACGAATAAGTCAGCGGCTGATCCAGAGCCAACAGATCCAGAAGTGGAGACTATGAGTGAGCCTCAAGTCGAGCCAGAACAAGAGCTTGTTGAGTCCGAACAACCAAGATCACGTCGGGGGCGAGTTGGGAAGAAGGCCAAGTTGGTAACAGAGCCTGAACCACCAACTCCAGAGCAACAACTCGACATCGAAAGTGAGCCTCGGGTCGATCCAGAACATGAGGATGAACCCGAACAATCAGAATCGCGATCAAAATCGCGTCGGGGGCGACCTGGCAAGAAGGCCAAGTTGGCATCAGAGCCTGAACCACCAACTTCAGAGCAGCAACTCGAAATCGAAAGTGAGCCTCGGGTCGATCCAGAACATGAGGATGAACCCGAACAATCAGAATCGCGATCAAAATCGCGTCGGGGGCGACTTGGCAAGAAGACCAAGCTGGCAGCGGAACCGGAGTCAATTAATCCAGAGGAACAAGTCCGTACAGAGACTGAGCCTAGACCCGAGCCAGAACAGGAAGTTGAATCTGCAACATCCAATGCACGCCGGAAAAGGCCCAAGAAGGGGAGGATGGAAGCAGACTCCGAATCTACACATAGAGAGGAGGCAGGTACGGAGACCGTTCAAGAACGTCGGAAACCGAAAGAGCCTCGTGGCGAAACGGTTCCTGTTACTGTGCATCGCCTATTTAATCCTTCAGCTCTTGGTGCAATGTACGCGTCATCCGGTTCTGGCGACGAGGACGAAGACTCTGCCGATGAGCTTTCAGCCCGTCAAAAAACCAAGCTGCCCAATCGCGGTGGGGTTAACCATGCCGATGTCTTGAGCCAGATTTGCCGTGAAACTCTGGAGAAGACGCTCGCCGCGCTCAACAATGGAATCGAGAACGAGACAAACACACAACGGCGAGCGGAATGGACACGGAAGCGAAAGTCCGTACAAGTCTTCGGTTCTGAGCTTGATGGACGCTTGTTGGACCTAAGCGAGATGCTTGATAGCAATTTTGTGCTTGGTGTGCAGCTCAAGAAGACCAAGCGTGAGATGATGGATATGCGGGCCCATCTATATAAAGTGCGACGGGAACGAGAGAGCATTGCTCTACAGATGGATGCGGTGCGTGCCAAGCACATGGAAGAGGAGAAGGCGAAAACCGTAAGTTCTTTATTCATGAGATCTAAGCATTGTCTCATTTTGTATCATACCACTAACACAATGGCAGTCTCGCACCACCATCAACAATTCCCTACACAGCCTTGATCTTGCATTGGATCGCCAACATCGGGCACCACCAGCCACCGATCCTTCTCCAGCAGATCTGGAATTTATGCTTCGCACTGTGGCTGAGGATGTGAGTTGTCGAGCACCAGGAGCACAGGGTGGATTGCTTGACCAGATCCGCGCATTTAATGCGCAACTGGAGGCTACAGCTCGCCGTTTGGAACGGCAGTGATCTATGAAGAGACTATCAAATTCGGAGTTAACCGGGGTTATATTTGACTATTTGTGATACCTACTAGGCATTATCCCATGGCTGGTTCCAGGGAGCGTGGCGTTATTGTGCAAATATACTGGACAGGGTTTAGTTAAGTTCTTATGCCAGGACCAGAGTTCTGTGATCTGCATCCATGGATTGTTCTTCCGGAACTGTTAATGACCCCATATTCTTACATTGTCAATAGTGAATAGTTATTATTGATTTTTATACAGCGTGCATGAGTGGGAAATGTATTCCGCACTAAATGAGGTTTAGTGTTCCTTCGTACATGGATGCATGTGGCGAAAATGCAGCGATTTGTATGGTTCACAGGGGAAAACCCACACGGAAAAACCCCAAAAATCTTGAAATTGAAGAAATTCAACGAGAAGAGATTGAAACCTGCAGATTTGTCAGCTTTGTCAGCCATCCATTGTGTTTCCTATTCCGATGATTCGCTGTGAAGATCTTGAATCTCCACTTTCTTCTTGATCCATGAACAAATCAGAAGTCAGGGTCTTCTTGAAATATCAGAATTCAGATGTCCATAAATCCGTGCTTGTCTCCGACTTGCTTGGAAATCAATATCCCAGTGGGGCCATCCAAGTGGTATAAAGCCATTCATTCCCCTTGTCCATGTACCTAGTTTTTGGTAAAGAGCCGAAGTCGAATCTCAGCCAGTCCTGAATTGCGAGTCTTAGCAATTATATTATTACCAAACCCCTATATAATTCCAATTGGCACCTAAAAGCTCGATCAAAATGAGCAAGCTCTTCGAACCCCTCCGCGTTGGCCGCATGGAGCTCTCCAACCGCATCGCCCTAGCCCCTCTAACCCGCTTCCGCGCCAACGACGACCACGTCCCCCTCCCCTTCGTCAAAGAATACTATGCCCAGCGAGCCTCAACCCCAGGCACCCTCCTCATCACCGAGGCAACATACATCACCTCCCGCGCAGGTGGCTACCCCAACGTCCCCGGTATCTGGAACGAAGCCCAGATCGCCGGGTGGAAGGAAGTCACCGACGCCGTCCACGCCAAGGGCTCCTACATCTTCGCCCAGATCTGGGCTCTGGGCCGTGTGGCTCCCCCTCAGGGCGAAACCGCCCCAGTCTCCAGTAGCGAGACACCCGCGTCAGCGGATAGTCCCGTGCCGCGCGCGCTGACGGACTCCGAGATCCAGGAATGGATCCAGGATTACGCGCAGGCTGCTAAGAATGCCATTGCGGCTGGGTTTGACGGCGTGGAGATCCACGCTGCGAACGGGTACCTGATTGATCAGTTCAACCAGGATAACTGTAACAAGCGTACCGACCGTTGGGGTGGTAGCGTTGAGAACCGGGCTCGGTTCGCTATTGAGACTGTCAAGGCCGTTGTGGAGGCTGTGGGTGCGGACCGGACTGGTATTCGGTTCAGCCCTTTCAGCACTTTCCAGGGTATGAAAATGCAGGACCCGGTGCCGCAGTTTAAGTACCTCGCGGAGCAGATGAAGCCGTTTAAGCTTGCTTATGCCCACGTCGTTGAGGCGCGCATTGCTGGAAATGTTGATATTGAGGCCAGCGAGTCATTGGATTTCTTTTTCCAGGCTTATGAGAAGGCTAGTCCTATCATTGTTGCTGGTGGTTTCAAGCCGGATTCGGCGCGTGAGGCGGTCGATGTCCACTACAAGGACCATGATGTCTTGGTTGCGTTTGGTCGGTCTTATATTGCCAACCCCGATCTGCCTTTCCGGGTGAAGAGCAACATCCCTCTTACACCTTATGATCGGGACATGTTCTACCGCCCGAAGGACCCTGTTGGTTACATCGACTATGAATTCAGTCCTGAGTTCAAGGCTGCTCAGGCTGCCGAAGTCGCGGCTTGATTGGAAAATATTTAGCGTTCATGTCATTGTTGCATAGCGGTTGATAGATTTATACCAAACTTCTTATATAGAAATTGATCGATTGATTCCAAGATGTCAAATCCGACGGTCCCTTTTGTGTTCTTCGTTAGTACAAACAGGCTCGATTTTGAGATTATCTAACGCTGATAGTTTCTCCTCTAAAGGTATCTGCAAGGGCTAGATCAAATCTTGTACTGCTGACAGTCAGCCGAAATCCAAAGCAGCTCTCAACATCAGAAAAAAACTCACGCGAAATTCCCTGTTAATCTTGTCTGTCAGATCCAAGAACTCTGAATTTTCCTGATGGATCTCGCCTTCACGTTGCTGATCTCTTCGACGATTCTCCCAAACATAGTAGCAACGTAGCAGCATCGCAGCCACAATCGCGACCGCAAGGGTAGCCACAATGCTGATCTTTGCCGGGATATAATCTGGCGCATCTTCTGTTCGGAAGGTCAAGGGCCCTAGGATATTACCCAAACAGAATGACATGAGCATGATAGCGTTCATAGACACCTTCTTCGTGTGGCCTGCCACATTGGCGCCGACAAGGGAGTAGATACATGGCAATGCGGAGCCCGCCACTTGAATTAGGTAGCTCCCCGCCAGCTGGGCAGCTTTCATATTCTTGGGCGAAAAGGCAAGGAGGCAGCCACCCAGGAGGCCACAGAGTAAGGCTGCAATGATGCAGAGACAACGCTGATTGTAGCGAGAGGCCATTCCCGTTGCGGCGAGAATAGCAATTATACTGACGGCTCCATTGGGGATATTGAGGAGCTCGGTTTGTTTGGTCGTGAAGCCGATGTTCTTGATGATTAGGGATGTGAAGCTGCTGATTGCGGCGTTGGGAACATCCATGGCCGTTACAATCACAATAATGAAGTATGTCTGTGGATCCCTGAATACCTCGACGAATTGGTTCCATTTGAAGTGTTTGTTCTCGATTCCCGTCTGATTTTCACGGAGACGCTCGATGGCTAGGATCTTTTCTTCGTGAGTGAGGCGAGATGTCATGGGGTTATCGGGGAGGAAAATGAAGATGCTTATTCCGACGACGATGGTGATGATACCGAAGATGAGGAACATGATCTGCCATGCTTTGAAATGGTCTCCTGTGTAGAATAGAAGCCCGTAGGCAACTAGAGCGCCCATCATTGAGGCTGTTCCGGTGCCGAGGTACCATATTCCGAAGCGTTTGGGCTGTTCTGGTTATTGTTAGAGGGACTTATTCGGTGTATCGAGTGAGATTGACGTACCGTCTCGCGTGTACCACATCGAAGTAATCAAGATAAGCCTAGTCTTGGATGTTAGATGCTAGTAAAAAGAGTGGGATACTGATTGTCTCACGCTGGAGCAATCGCGCTCTCAAAGCAGCCCAACAAGACGCGTAGAGTCATCAAACCACCAAAGCTCTTCGCTGTACAATTCAAAGTTGTCATGAGGCCCCAAATGGCGACTGTTATGAAGTCAGAATAATAATTTTCATTTTTCTAACCTGCTTTCTTACCATTGAAGCCCAGATATTTCGCAGTGGGCAACCTTTGCATTAAAAAGCCCGTCGGAAGCTCAAAAACCAAGTATGTGCAGTAAAATGCTAGTGTCAAATTCGAGTACTGATTCGTCTTCATATTGGTATCGCTCAGCAAGCCCATAACTGAGGCGTAGTTAACTATGTTTCCACCATTAGTATCTTAATCCTCATGATCTGGGTTGTATCACCTACTGAGCACCTTATCAAGAAACTGCAAATTATATGCAGCCCACATCAAAGGTATAATCATCCAGTCAATTTTCCGCACGAGAGCCTTCTCATCCACGTCAATAGCAACTGCATTATTCTCTCCATGCAGGAATTCCAACGCCGCATCAGCCTTTCCCGCTGCTAGCCCATTCTTAGCCTCCACGTCAACCGAGCCGGTCGCAACAGGACTATTCTCAGCATGTCCCATTATGGAATCGAAATGTCTGATTCCAAAGTGATCACCTTTCTAATGTTCTAAATTAGGATTTCAATCCCAATTGAGGACAGGAGGGGGTTTAAAAGAATCAAGAATCAACGATGAAACCCCTCTCGTGTCTCCCCTCCATTGCTATCAAGCACAGACATCATACCCCTCTTGCATGCAGCTCGCAGCTACTCCAACTTCACAACTCCCGAAACTAGCACTTCGTATTTATCTCTAGATACCACCTTCCAAGATTGTAGATAAACGGAGTCTCGTAAAGACGCCTCCGCTGTCATAGCGCGCGGAAACGCGGGCTGCTCCGCCAAGTCTGAGCGTTATCAACGCGGAATTAGGAATTTGATGCGATCGGCAGAGTCTATTACCCCAAAATTGCGATTAACACGTCGAGCGGAGGGGTACGAGCAGGCCTTAGATAACGTCCTTTGGCGTCAACTGCCGCTAGTTCACCAGCCATATAAAGTCAATTGACTACCGACATCTGGAACCTCGGTTCCCTTGGGGTCCGACATCGCGAGAAACACCTGGAAATTGAAGGAAGTTCAATGTTGCTTCGAGCCATTCCTTCTCGGCTTTTAAAAGGGGTATAATACGGGCAAATGTATCAACTCAACATTTGGCTGAGATATTAACATGCGTCTCGGCAAAAAAGGCAAGAATTGAACGAAGACCTTCGAACCCAAAGATCAAACTATGCCATACTTCCAGTCACTTCTCCAATCTTCCAGGATCTCAAGCAACCCAGGATTCCATATCGTGTTCTACCGAGATGACTTTGGCATTGGGATATGCCGTGATGAGTTCATCCGTGAACGCAATGCAGGGGAAATCGCTCACGTCGCTAAATTTGGCAAAGACTTGGTCCCAGTAATAAGCGGGTGCATTCGATCGTTTGGCCCGCAAACTTTGCTCGTGTCGCTTCTAGGAAAAACCATCTATCCGGGTTTTTGCCTCCTAGATTGGTGCCGTGGTAACAATTAATTCCCAATATACTCAGGGCATGTTTGATTGCTATAGACGAGGTTGAAATCAGCATTGATGAGAGCAACAGGGTCATTATCACTTATATGGCGATCCAGTACGAGGCATAGATAAATTGAGAACATTGAACTTCCAAAAATTGATGAAATCTGTTTCTTTCGGCAAGTTCTTCTACAGTTGGGAAGCCTGTTGGAGTCAGTGATATCTCACTGTAAGAATTGGATTCCATTGAATAACCATTGCTTCTGGTACTGGAAGAAATCAAACTCAAGCCTCAAGGGCTTAGTTTTGGGAATGATTGATGTGGGATGTAAGAAGGAAAAGATGTTACAAGATCGATTTTTACCTTATCCATCTTAAATCCCTTTTAGAGCAATCTGCGAACCATACTGACATCAATGGATCAAGGCAATGGAAGTCCTTATGAGATAAATATAGATCTAACTATTGGGAACTTTTTAGACAAAATGCAGAAAACAGAAAGATCTTCGCGATCGACACGGGGAGAGTTACAAGTATGCGAGCATCTAGATGTCTTATCTATGCGGCCACTCGGCCTGATGTAGAATGCACCCAGGGCCTGAACAGCATCCCAAATATGGAGACCACATAACACGTTAACATTTGAAGTCTTCGATTCTTGAAACGCTAAGTCGTGAGCGAACCTGGAACTTGAAACGCGTACGCTGCTCCAATAATGAGGCTGTTATCTCAACAGTCAACTTATTGGGTCCCATTTATCTTATTTATCTTCCACGCAACTCTGGAAACATTGGAAGGGCACCCGCATGAAGGATTCTCTGGTTGGGTACTAGGAGTCAATAGAGAAGTAGTGAAACTTTGGATCACTGTTTATGCGACTTGGCCCGACTTGGCCTCAGTTTCACATCAATATTGCCTGAATCACAACACAACACCATCCTTCGCGATGCCAGTAGCCACTGCTGCACGTTAGATCAAGCCCGAGAGTTGAGTTATCTGAGATATAAGCATCTACTAGTACAAGCACTAGGTCATCTCTGATATCAGATAAGGCTAATGGTGTTAGCCTTGGACTCACGGCTGGCATGACTATTCTTCAATGATATCCGGTATCAGTATCTTGCTGTAAGGCTTGGATGCTGGCATCAAGCGAAACAACAGCTCATTCCCCATAAATGTAACGGTCACTAAATTGATTAGACACCCCGTCATTATGGAATCTGTCCATGTGAGCGTCGATGACTGTCGCGCCAACAAATGTTCTAGGTAGTATGCTGAATGGAACCAGTTGACCTTGAAAGGCACTTGTGGGCCGTGGCTACAACTGACCGGGTAAACAGCAACGACACCTGGGCAGGTGCTCCTGATAAGCAGACATCGATAGTCCGCTATCCGTCACCGTGCTCGCAATTTTTGTAAACATTCTCGATTTCTGTTGGCCAAGTTGAATCAATTGATGACAAGGGAAATGGAATCGTTTCTCATTTCAATTGCAAGTATTGATCCCAAAGGAAATGCTTGCAGACACAATTCATGGCCAGGTAGCTCATGAGACTGACACACTTGATTATGGACCGTCTCAAGTTAACGTTCAAGGTGGGCCGAGGCGGATGTTAAGACGCCGAATTATGTCCGACCCAATTCACCAAGACGCCAAGTCAAAGATCCAGCTATCCCCGAGCAACTCCGTGCTCTATACGCCATGGTCTCATTTTTGAGAGGGCCCTCACCCCCACTCCCGAAGATCATCGCATAAAATACGTGAACACCACGCGAGAAACATCGTGTATCAGATCAGATACATTGCATGCCGATACTAGGAGAGACAAATCAACGATCTGCACTGCATGTTGACAATCACAGGCCTATTTTGAGCGTAAGATTGGTACTTTCACACGATCCAATAATCCCAGTTTCACTCTGTCGAGAGTTTCTCCCCGCGACGCCCACAAAAGGCAATACCCCGCATGACGACCCCAACCGTCACTGGGGATGTCTCTGGGGATTGAGCTAACCGAATTTCGGAAGCCGAGAACTCCTCAGAAAAAGAACATACTATGGGCCCATACGAAACCGAGAACCACAAACAGCGATCGAGTGGGACCCGAGGGAAAATCATCTCAGATCCGAAAAATATGGGCTTAACATCACTGATCAGTGATGAAATGTTCCGCTCCGCCGAACCGAAAGCGGACTGCGGGACTGGAAAACCGGCATTTTCGAATGGAAGTTTGGAACATTGGAAACATCATAAGTTCCTGCTTGGCAAAGCTTCCAGCAACCCGGATTTTCGGGGTAAGAATCCATGGATGGAGAATAGGTAGTCTCGTGCCCATACAGTATTACAGTAACTCGGCATCTTTGAACCGGGGGGCAAACATAACCTTGGAAAGATTCTGGGGTTGATATTCATGACATCTGGTTCGTTAACCCCAAGTTTTTTTTTGTTCTTTTTTCAATCTAATTAATTCAATGTTAGCTGATCCCCCGCACGAAAGCAAATGTAGGTCAGATGCTCTTGAAATGTGGGGAAGTATTGCTTTTTGAAATTAGCTGCGTCTCCTCCATGCGGAGAGGTGAGGAGATCTCCATAGTATACACCTCTTCTTCTCTTCTTCTCTTTGTTCTTTTCTCCGCCCAAGAAGCTTTTGCGCCATCGTCTCCAGGCCGCGAACCCATGACGCAGGATCGATCCATACAGAGCTGCACATTAAGCTCTCCCCGCACGCTTGTACCCAAAATCCAAACTTCTCCCCAGCGGCAGACCCGGGGAAATGGAGCTTGTGGCAGGCTTTTTGAGTTTGGGCAGCTATTTTGACCAATAATGCTCTTGGTTGACAATCCTGTGGGGGGAAATATGTAAAGATGTATCGATGTATTCCCGTCGATAGATCCATTTCTAATTTCTGGGACCGTAGCACGATGCAATGTGGCGGTCAATAATCATGGTACAAAGGTAGTATGTATTGGACTATTGCAAATTGTTGTCTGGTCATGTCAATTATTGAAAGATGAATACCTACAGATTCCAGGGTTGCGGTATTGGTATTTTCCAGGCTAGAACTACATCGATGAGGGTGACAGGCTGGCACTGCATAACTTGCATAATCGAACAGCCTAGATGCTCATCTAAGCTGATGCTATTAACGTTATTTCGATGCTTTTTGTGATCCCTCGGAATTTGAGCGTAAGCAGATAGAGGATAAAGCCGACCGGAGTGGAGAAGAGAACTTTTTTTAAGGTTATTCTCTGTTTGAACCAGCACAAACATTCGATGTATACAAAAAGTAAAAAAAATGTGATTCAATTTCAATAAGAGAAAGGAGAAAGACAATTAGAGGGAAAAAAGGAAATTGCCGGACTATTACATTCTGCATGTTCTCCGGCTACAAAGAATCGTACGGTAGCTCATGCGCCACTAATGCAGGTAGGGAATTTAGCCAAGAAACTCCATCAATCAGCGTGCTCTCAGATCGACCCTACAGAAAGACGGCAGGAGTCACACCAATCGCAATCCTGCAGCCTTGTGCAGGCCAACCTGCACCCCGTACTATTCTTACTTACTGCACGGGAGCTACTAAGATTTCCCGCGTTGGACTCGGTCTGCATCTGCATCTGCATTGGCCCTCCTTAGCACGGGATGAGACCCCCCTATGAGATTGAGATGAGACCGCGGATGCGGAGTACCCGCAGTCTTGTCTCATGCCAAGTGTCTCCTAAGACATACACTTCCCATACATCGAATATCGAACATCGTGGAAGAGTTTCCGCCCACAGTGAATAGATCTGACACACGGGCTGTCAGAGTCGAACTAGGCCCCGACACGGGCCGAGTCCGAAATTGAGACAACCAAGTTTTGCAATTGTGGAGAGTCCACAAGATAAACAAATACAAATACAAATACAGAAAAGAACTACTGGAGTTTCCAAGGGAACGTAGACCGCAAGTCCTCGAGGTGTGCGATTTGCGTTTTTTTTTCCACTTCTTTTATTTTTCTGGCTCAGGAAAATTTTCAGCTGGTGTGGAGCGTTGAAGAGCTGTGTTCCACTGACATGCATATCTGCAGCTCTTAGCTCGTCACAAGCGAGCATTAGAGAGAAAGAAAAAAACCAAAAGCAAAAAAAAAGGACCCATCATATGGATGAGCATGGCGACCGTGGTGTTTAGCGTATATCCTGCCATGGCGGGTGGGACGGGGAGATGGCCTGTCATGGCTTAGCGCAAGCGATCGATACTTCTCACTGCCCCAGTCGACGCGCCTCAAAAGTCTATTGTTGACGGTCGGTGGGAATTGATAGGTAGGTCATACCATGAGCATGGTCCTAGTCTGCCGCGTCGCATGAAACAAGCACCAGGGGGGGTCTATCAGGGGATGTTTAATGAGGATAGACCGGGCCGTCGTCGAGACGTTATTATTTTTTGTTTGACCCCACGCGGTGGGCGGAAGGAATGGTTAGTTCATGATGGTTCCATGCTTTCCATGCTTTCCATGCAGTGATGGGGTTCCACTGTGCACCGTGCTCATGAGAGTTGGGTCTTTGTATGACCCGAGTGAAAAAGGGGGCCGAAGTGATTGTGCGTTGAGAGAAGTGGAGATTGGAAAAGAGAGAGTCTAGTCTGAGTACAACCTCAGAAGCGGCTGAACCCACATGGAATTGCCTGTCCGGAGCAATGGATATTGGAGTGGGAATTGGTGGAAAAGCATTTGGTGAGGATTTGATTGGTGATTCGTCAAGGGGAAAACGGAGATGTTCTTCTTTGGCTAAGTCGCATATTAGCCGGAAGATCTCCATACACAACTGTTTGTTCTTTTTACTAGTCAGTACGCCATTGTAAACAGTTTATACAAGTCTGTACAGAGTGCAACAAACCTACCGATTAATAATGAGTTCAATGATTTGCAGTGTGCACTGACAACATTTGAATGGCCACGTAAAATAATAACTGGGGATAAGTGGGCATTGTGGCTGACTCTGGATCCAGAGATCAACGAGTTCTCCAGAAACTGGCATTTTTTTGCCACGTTCAAGTTCTGTTATGTAGGAAACTTTGGACATCCGCGTGCTGCCGTGCATTAAAACTAGGATTGAGTCAGTGGGTTGTAAAATGTCTATTGAAAATTACCATGGTTATACCAGAAAAGAGGAAAAGAAGACCAGCAGAAAAGACCCTGCCAATGGGACCCACTTACTCCAAATCATCTCAAATCATCCGTGACGGAAGTGAAAATTACCTCAAGTGGAGTCAGACCAAAACACCCAAAAACGCCCAAAAACACTCCAAAAAAACACAAAAAAACACAACTCCGTCAAATCAGTGACATCAAAACCAATCCCGTCCAATAACCCAATTCTTGTCTCTGTCAAATGTCATGTGGAGTAAACCCATTGACAAGTCAAATGCTCCAAATCCATTGACTTTGGTCTTTTTACCAAATCTTCTTGGTAAAAAATGATTTCCAATGTTTTCCCTACTATCCTTAACTCCGTGCCCAGTTAGTATCCTTCGTATCCCTGATCCACTGTTGTTCGGCACGTTCTAGGAAAGTAGTGCACACTCCCCCGGTCCATTGGTAGTAAAAAGACCAAAAGGATAAATGAGCATAATGAATATCATGCACACGGTGTAAGAGAAAAAAAAGTCTAAAAGAGCCCAGACAAGAAGGAAAAAGTACCAACATTCATATATGTCAGGCATCTCCTGCTCTTACCTGGTTCCCTTTTTCACCTTTTCGACGTTTCACAGGTCTTGATCTTTCCTCCCCCAAAAAAAAGCCTTTTGCCTTCGAGCCATCCTCTCGGTCCACTTTTTCTTTTCAATTAACCTCTGTTAGTGTCAGTGGGACTCATTCCTGCGGGCTGCACATCATTGCGATTTATTGAAAACACAAGAGCTTCTTAGCAGCTAGAAAGCGGGTAAGTTGCCATTCTCCACTTTTTCGCGCTCTTCCTTTCGTCCCCAACGGCTCCACGGGTTTTGTTTTCGGTATTTTCTTTTTTTTTTTTTTTTTCGGAACAGCGGTTCATGGTCCCTGTGAGAGGCATTGCGTATTAGCTCTTAGCGCGCTGAGCCGAGGGAAGCTTGACAAGCTGGCCAACACGAAAATGTTATATTAGCTGCGGTTGCACCTCCCCTCAATTTCCTTTTCCTTATTTCCCTTGCTTCATTCATCTTCACGCCCAGCAGTGCTGTTTGGCCCTTGATTTGATCGTCTTTTTCTCATCACCTTGATCGTATAACTGTGTTATACTTCAATTGGAGCTGGCCCCCTACCCTTTCCACCCTTCACCTGTATCTTTTTTTTCCCTTGTGCAAACAAGAAGAAAAAAAGAAAATCATTTGAGGATCCAAAACACTTTCTAAATCTCCAAACAAAAAAAGTTTCTTGCAGATTTTAATCATGTCTGCGACCGGTTCCAACAACGGTGCCCTCGAGAAGGATATCGGTGAGATTGCGCCTCAGCAATCTGCCGAGACTGCCATCCCCGTTCAGCACCAGATGACCAACGAGCAACACGAGGTTGCGCGCGCCGCTGCCCGCTTCGGATACGGACCTTTGGCTCATGTCAACACCGCTGATGCTCCCCTCCGTCCCTTCGGTGGTGAGTTCCAGCCCGGTCTGTACAAGCCCGTTGAGGGCCGCAAGTTCGGTAACCCTGCTCCTCTGGGCCTGTGCGCTTTCGCCCTCACCACTTTCGTGCTGAGCGCCATTAACATGGGTGCCGCCGATATCACCGAGCCCAACATTGTCGTTGCTTTGGCCTTTGGTTACGGTGGTTTGGTCCAGCTGTTGGCTGGCATGTGGTATGTTTTCTGCTCCCTGTTCTCACTCCCGTAGAAAAAAAAAATCGAAAACATGTCGCTAATGTTGTTGTTCGCAGGGAAATGGCTGTTGGTAACACCTTCGGTGCTACTGCTTTGTCTTCGTATGGTGGTTTCTGGCTCTCGTTCGCTATCGTCCTGACCCCCGGTGGGTTTGAGATTGCTTCGGGCTTGGGTGGCGCTACCAGTGCGAACTTCAACTACTCCTTTGGTCTGTTCTTGATGGTATGTATTAGTCTCGTTCATCTTTCTCATGCGAAATCAGGGGAGTAAACAAACTAACAATTCCTCTTTCAGGGTTGGTTCATCTTCACCACCATCTTGGTCATCTGCACCCTCAAGTCGACCGTCGCCTTCTTCCTGCTGTTCTTCTTCCTGGACTTGACCTTCCTCCTGCTCGGTATTGCGTACTTGCAGGGTGGTGGTACCGCTGCCAACCCCAAGATCGCCAAGGCTGGTGGTTTATTCGGTCTCCTGGCTGCTTTCGCTGCCTGGTACAACGCTCTGGCTGGTATTGCCGATACCAGCAACAGCTTCTTCATCCTTCCCGTTATCCACTTCCCCTGGTCCGCCACTGGCCGTGAGCGCCGTGAGAAGAGCGACCGGGAGATGGCATAAACGTGTCCTCAACTTCTGCTTGAACAGAGTGAGAGATGTAAGGGGGGATTTGTGAGAAGTGCGTTGCGCTTGTAATATTTTTTGATACCCACTCCCGTTTTGTCCCATAAGCTTGCAGTTTTTCGGCGGTATGAATGGGGTGGGGGTATATAATCGAGGATCGTATTTGGTTCTCTTGTTTCCTTTTTGTGTCTCTTTAGTTAATAATGCATATCATGTTAATAATGAATTTTGATTCCTTGTAACGTACCATGGAATGTGGTTAGTTAGATGCAGTTGAAGCGTAAGTACTACCGAGGTAGGAGTTGACTTGAGCAATGTAATTGATTCTCAAGATGATTGATCAGTTAGTCACATTTGTGGTCACATTTGCAGCACCTAGTAGGTTAGTTGGTGAGTATTCCTTGTTGATATTGAATGGATGAGCTATCCATCAATGGACATAATCTCGGTTTGCATTCTATCAGCAAGGCATTTCATAGCCCAGTCAATATGAGAAGCCATCGGGCACTCAATATTGTTCCATATAGATGTGCGCTTGTCAAGCATCATAGGATAGACCTGTAGCTGGCCATATCCGTAGCCCAAGGCAATGAATGAACAACGTCGCAACTCTCGCTTTATTCCACAAGCGCATAGTAGAGTAGGCATTCAATTGACACCAAACGAGTGGAAGAAAGGGAGAAAAGACAAAAGCCCCTTGACACAGCGAAGAATCTCACCCAAGGACAAAGAACGTCTAACACGAGGTCCGGAGTAGACTATACCCCCCAATTAAACGCCATCCGTGTCTGCGGACAAGTCAGGAACCAGGGGGTGGAGAATACTGAAGTATCCTTTGCGTTAGTCGGCTATTGCATCTGTCAGATTGGTTTAAAAAGGCTGGGCTGGCGTTTATCTGGTCTTTAGTGCAACTTTGTTTCCTGTCAGTGGGTGCGGACAAGTCGGAAATGCCGAGCTTAAATGTTTGGTTCGGCTGGGTAGAGTGGAGGTGCACTCTTGTTTGTATAAGTAGAAGTAGAACCTTGGAAGTAGGATAATTGCTGCTGGGCGCCAAACACAACATTAATTGGGAGAGAAAAAAAAACACAAGTGAAAGGGAAGCTCGAGGATGCGGGATTATTTCTATTGTTCATGAAACAGCTTGCCAGCCCGAGTTTGTGCCGGCATCCACCCCGGCTGGAACTCGGTGCTTGATCGGGATTTGAGCTTTAGGTGAATTGCATCCAGGTCAATGTCCCTACTGATAATTTTTTTTTATTGATATCATCCATGAATCTATTGAGTGGACTCGGCTGTCCATTTGGAGTTTTTCGATACTTTGAAAGGCTTGTTGCTTCAAATGTTCAGAATGTTCTGTATTTTGAAGCAGCTTGGAGCTCGGCTTTTGTTCGGGCAGGAAGCGGAGCCAAAGAACGCGGGATATAGTAGCTCAGCTAGTAAGGAGTATGGCGTATGTCTGAAAGGGCTTTAGAGGCAATTAGTTCCGATTGTCATATCCACTGGCTTACCATATTATCCCTGCCCGGACGGGTGGTCATAATTTATTAAGTCGTTCCAAATGCCTTCCAAGGTTGAATATTGAAACTTTTCGGTTTCTCTACCACAGGTCTGAAAGTTGGTCTGAAAACAATATAGAAGAGTTGGGGTTGTTTATTATGTACTTTTAAGGGTATAATTATGTAGGTTTGTAAATAATAGGGTAGAAGACCGGATCCCATCGGGTATAAAAATTCACAGATCGGGTGACTGCACTTGTTGCACCCGGACCTCCTGCCAGATTTGGCGAAGCATAGTAAGGTGGACACGATCAACATAAAAAAATCCTAGAAGAATTGTCCGACATTCCTGCCAGGAAGTCACGCCGTGTAGTCGCGTGGCGGCCGCTAGTTCAGTCACAAAGTAATTGCGCTCGGCAGGCATGACTTGGCTGCATGACGCACCGATGAAAAGCAACCAGATCAGCAAGTCACGACAGAGTGCGAACAGTCCGGACGAGATGGTTGCTTCCAGGGCAGAGCGGAGGCATAAGATAGGCATTGGGAGTAGCGGGGCTATCATAGGATAGAAGCTCCAAATGGCGCTATTGTGGAAGCAAAGACAAGCTAGGCGGCAGCAGCCTTCGATGGAGTTGTCGCCCTTGGCTTCGCCCGTAGGAAGCCATCGGTCTAGGTGCAAGGAGTACTCTACAGAGAGTACTTCGAAGTTGAAATAATCTTCGGTTTCATCGCTGAACTCTTTGTACCCATTGTTACCCTTGACCCATTCTGCATACCAGCAGAGTTCGAGAAGGTCATAGATTATTTGCGCGAATGTCTCACTGAAGATGCCGGAAACTTCAATCAGGGGAACCAAACGGGTCGCAATCAATGCAGCATCATCAGTAGGCGGGAGGAGAGTGAAACCTGCTGGGCGCGTAGATCGGACAAATGGAAATATAGGCCTCTCCATTCTCATGCAAGCGACCCGAATATCGGTCCTGTTTCCCGTTTAGCAAACTACATCACACGGGCTACAAAAAGACAAAACGACTGACCATGAGATTTGGAAGCGGATATCTGATGGAACATCCGCAAAGTTTTTGCGCAGTCCTATCATCTGGCGCAAACCAGCCAAATGAATCTTCATATAGTCGGCATTGCCCGACGCAATCTACAAATTTGTAAGTGGCTATTATCGGATCAATAGTCCCATCAACACTCACTTCAATTGTCAATAACGTTGACACGGCAGCAATAAGCTCATCACTGGCGGCTTTGACGGGATCCGATAACCCCTCGTTCACTAGACGAATAGTCTCACCACGATGATGCATCGTATCAACCACAAGAGGAGGGCGCATAACGTTTGCGTCTGGGTCCATCAGGGGCAGCTCGCCTCTCTGCATAGCCGCGTTGGAAGTAGACATGCAGATCGTCGCATGTAAGATAGCGGGGTCCCGCTGAATCAAGGAGGCCCAATGCGCTTGCAGCTTGGGCTTATATCGTCTCTGTAATGGGTGTGCCTCTTGCGTCAAATCCCAGAGGACTACGACACGGTTAGCGAGTATTTATTATGTCTTCAAGGACATACTCCGAGGGTCATGGACTGACAATTCTGCAAATGCCGCATCATGCGGTCTGTAAGCTTTGTATGACCAGTATCAAACGGATCATAAGCTCCCTGTCCCAAAAGACTCCATACTTGTGGCACTGCCAGCCTACTCTGATAATTGACGGTCCCATCAAAGCTGGAATTCTCCCACAACTCTGAGGACGTGGCAGGCGTGTGATACCCTACGACTTGAGTTGCGGGAACCAATTCCTGGCCTGTCTCTTCTTCTCCTTCCCCTTCATATGAGACTCTGCGGCTAGGGTTGGAGCTCACATTCGAGGACGAGGGTGAGGGCGAGAGTACCGGAGGTCGAGGCGGTCCCACGCCTCCCGGGACTTGTTCTGGTGGATTGAACGGGAGATGCTTGAATGTTTTGCCTTTGTATCGTTTCGTATTTTCCAAACGCTTCTTCCGGTTATGTTCTGACATGACATGCGATCGAATGCGCTTCAATGTCTCCTCCTTAGTTCCCGTGGACGCGGACTCCGGGTCCGTGTTGACCCAGAACAGCGTAGACTTCCCCGATGTATTGGTGGCCTTGCGAGGCTTGCGGACTTTTGAGGCATTTTGGTCACCAGCAGTATTCGTCACCGGGGTGGGGGGTGTTTTCGAGATGGGCGCTGAGGCTGGCTCTTGCTTTAGAGGCGGTGCGGTCGGTTCTGTGGTGGGGGAGTCTGTCGCGGTGAGAGTGGCGGGTTGAGGAGCAGCGGTATAAGGGTCCATGTGGGGGTTCGGATCGCTCGCCGGCCATGGCGTCGCCGGTGGTGGCCGAGACAGCACGGGGAGGGACTCCTCGTAGCCGTGGAAGGGATTCTTGGCGTCCATAACACGAGCTTCGGATAATGGCAATGGCGATGTTGGGATTAAGAACAACTAGAAAGGAGAGGTGCGGTTGGGGCAAAGGAGTAGCTCTCCCTCTTCCCTCAGGGGACTGGCGGGGTAGAAATTAAGCTGTACTCGGATATAGCAGACAGTCTTGAGACAGTGAATTTCGTCAAGGCCACTATCATAGCCAAAAGAGAACGAATCATGAGTCCCGCTAAGTTCGCTAGTGGGATGCGAGGCTGCGCCCCGTTACCCGCTGGGGATTTATGCGAGATCTGGACTTTAGTCGACTTTTTATCTTTTTTTTTCGTTTTCCTAGCTGTGGAGAATGGGGGAAAAAGCAAGTGAGGAAGTTGAATGTGAAGGATTTCGGTACCTCAAAAGCCTAAAAGTTTGTCTAAATCCCCGGTCTGTTCGCCAACCTTAGATCCATAGCTACTAGTATACATGGGCAATTGTACTTGAACGCCTCCAACTTGAAGCCCACTTTTTCTTCTTTGTATCCGTACTTTGGAGACAGCTCTGACCCACATTAAACATCTCGGTTATAAGCGCTTCTCATTTGAGTTGAATTTGCCTTGCTTAATTAACATTTGAAGATAGTAAAAGTTACGACGAAATGGAGCTATACTCAAGCTATTCCGGAATCCGTACACTCCGAACTGATTCACTAGGATGTGCATTGCGTGGCGTCTAACCAAAATCTGCAGTACGGCCAGACTGCTCGAAGAAGCACTTGCCGGTGGATACGGACCCAATAGGATGGAGCAGCAGATCCACTTCAGAACCTAAACATTTGGTACTCGAATGCCCTTCATCGGATTTCGACTTTTTTTTTTTTTTTTTTTTTTTACGAGAATACGTAAAACCCAGGTTATTCCTATAGGGAACGGCGCTTATAAACGCAATTGCACGAATTACCTGAATTATAGTCAAGTGATGGTATTTCATTGTAGTGGACTTGGATATTTTTACTCAGCTCCTTATATGTACTGGAGTCTTACGTGGGGAAGTACATAGGCTCATGTGGAACATTATAAGGGGATCAAAGTGACAAGGGGGTGGATTAATTGAAAAATACAACAAGAAAGAGATAGGATAAAAACGCATAATGCAATGGGGAGGGGGCAACTAACAACGCCCCCTCTTATCTTCATCGGCCATGTTCACTTGGGCACTGAACATCTAGGTCATACCCGGTCGCGGGAAGATGGGAACAGTCTCCATCTGTTCTAGTCCACCCATTGTACCATTTTGCCCGCTTGTCTGCCAACCTTGCCCGGTCTGTTCATTGATAAACTGGCTCTGACGGAAAGGATTGGTGCTACCAGTGGGAGTCGGCTGGAGAGGCTGCAGCCCATGGTTTTGGGTAGGTGGGATCGCTGGGGTTCGAGCGAATGGATTAGTTCCGGTCCGCTGGGGTTGAAGCGGTTGGGGCGACTGTGATTGAGGAATCGGTGGCACTTGGGGCACTTGGGGCACTTGTTCAGCACCAAAATTCGACTGCGGGGTGGCCATGGAGAGTCTCCTGGCAAACGGGTTGGTATTCTGGCGTTGCAGCGGGGCCGCGGGGGCAGGGACACCACCGGTGTTCTGGGCAACCAACATTGACTGGCGGAAGGGGTTTGTTGGTGTAGATGGCGGTTGCGGCTGCAGCTGATTCTGCATGGGTTGCTGCTGAGTATATGAAGGAACTCCATTCTGCGGGATCGGGGCCAGTTGCGACTGGTACCCATATGACTGCGGTTGCGGCGTGTATCCCCCAAATCCAGCACCGGTAGGTGTGGATTGAAGCGGCTGCGCTGCTGGTTGTCCAAAGGGATTACCAGTGGTTTGTGGCTGGATGCCTCCGTAAGGGTTCTGTTGACCATAGCCTGTCATCTGTGGCTGCTGTGGCTGCGGCGGCTGCTGCTGCTGCTGCTGTGGGAATCCGGTCTGTTGTTGATAGAAGGGCTGTTGCGGCTGCTGGAACCCGGTTTGTTGGGGTTGTTGGAACCCAGTCTGCTGCTGGTACTGTGCCGGTACTTGTTGAACCATTGGCTGTTGGTTCTGTTCAATTGAGTCGAAGAAATCAATGAGATCAGAGGGTGGCGGCTTTTGCTGAGCAGCTGGCGCCGCAAATGGTTGCTGGGGTGCGTTCGACGGTGCGTTCGACTGATTGCTAGATGAGAAGCCCGATAGATTAGGCGGGGGACGGTCCTCTTGCTTTTTTCCCTTCCCAGTCATGTATTCTCTTCGGCGCAGGTCAAAGTCTGGGTCATTCAAATCATCTTCAAGGAGACGCGCCAAGTCGGTAGACGCATGCTTCAGTTTGGGAATTTCCAAACGCGTGGCAGACTGGAAGTGCCTTGCGACTCCTAGGAACCCAACTACTTCTTCGGTCTGCTTGGTAAATGTTTTGTAAATAGCCAAAGCACGTTCGCTGTCCGGTCTTGACATCTCGAAATAATGTTCTGGTGAAAGTCTGTCAGATACTAGGTAGGCTGAGGGTCGCAGAAGAAAAAGTCATTTACCCAAGACATTGATTGTTCCCTCATTCATGACCGAATACAGCACCAGGAGGTCGAGGGTTAGAAGGCGGAATGCGGTCAAGCTGATCTCGTTCTCGGGCTCATCGGTCAATAACTGTGGCACATTAGTTTGACGCGGACGATGATCTCTACACCACAGTTTTGACTTACATCACACCGCAGTAATGCCCGGATCTGTTTCTGTACAAACTCCGTCTCTCGCAAGAGACCTTTATCCACACTTAATCGCTTCAGACGCCCTGGGCCACTTCGCACGTAATCTGTCTTTGTAGCTTCGAATGCCTTGGCGCGCGTGATGAGATACTCAGCGTATCGCCGGATATTGCGTCCCTGTGATTGTGCTACGCATCTCTTCAGCACGTCGTATCCCCAGATTTGATTGTTTATGAGTCTCACCTTCGGAGAAATTACTGGGCGCAATCTTTTTCGGGTTATCGGCAAGAAAGGTAAGCGCGGCATCCTGTTGACCCTCACGAATCAGAAGGTGAACAATGATCAGTGCTTTGAACACGATTGTCCATGCTGAGTCGCGAAGTCGGTGTTGTAGTGTTCGAAAGACTTCCGCGACACCCGCCTCGCCAGTGTGGGTCGCCACCAGGATGGTTTCGACATATTTGGATTTAGGAGCCGCAAGCTATACAAGGGAGTAGGTTTTAGTACATGTGTGAGCGGTGTGTTAGGTTGAAAACACTCACCTTCAGCTTGGTGGCCCCTTTGACGGACTTCTCGAAGCCAGTCATCTTCTTCGGGGGTAGAGGTCTGAGCCCGGGTTCTTTGGTTGGCAATCAATTGTGCGAATTAGAAGATACAAGTCCGAGGGGAATGATCAAATGATAGCTGAAGGGCCCGCTTCAGAAATGAATGCCTTGGTAAGGAGCCGTGTGGATCCTCAATCAACACCGGTATCGCCGACGGGGTGGTTCATTGGGCCATAGCGGGAGCCTGGGGGCAATAATGGCGACTTTTCCAGGGGGTATGAAGGTGGTTTTAAACACGGTAGAATGCGCCGACGCGGGGGTAGGACGCATGTAAGGATAAAACTGCCGGAGGGGGGTTGAGAGGGCGTTAGTCCAAGGGTTAGAGAGACGTGGGCGGGAGCTTGCACTGGTTCGTTGCGGCCCAATCAGGTATAGCGTGATTGGACAGCACGAGGATCGTCGGTTTATGCGCACAATTGTATGAGCCTTACATGATTCAGATTCAGAGTAAATCTTTGATCAAGGCTTTACGAAACTCTTGGTGTGTTGAATTCTGATTAATATGAACTTTCAATATTAAACAATGAGAAGTTTGGGCTCAATCCGTTCCTAAAATCAACTGGTGCGCTGAACATGTGTAAATATGTAGGCACATTGAACAAATATACCTCCTCTTATTATACAACTCTGGAGACATTGATATGTACATGTATAGTAAGTAACTCGAACCTGAGAAAGATTCACTTCTAAAGACCTACATAATAAATCATAGCCGGAGGCGCATCCACTCGACTAGGAAATTGAGAATTGACTTCCCACCACTTGAGCATTCCACCTGCTACACTCAAGTGCTTGCATCCGTACCTACTAAGCTTGGTACTAGGTACGGCATCTCCAGCTTGAGGGCTTCAATCTTCTCGATTCAAATCGATCTCGTCCATAGCTCCCGCCCAAAATTTGAAGTTTCAATTTGGAGTTTCCAATCTTCGTCCAAATCTCTCCTCTTTCGTCTCTCAACGATCTTCTTTTTATCTTCAGGGCCACTCTCAAATCCTTGAACCATCATAATTTCCCAAAATGGCGAAAGAAATGGCGAAAAAAATCAAGACACCCAGAATCCACTGGGATACCACCAAGCGGCAGATACTATGCTGTTTATTCAGGTTTTTTTCTATAGAAAAAAAGGACTTTTGCCAAATCTTTTCAGAATTGATCAGACATCATCTTCGGGAGCGGGGCATCGAGACAGATTTATCCTATGCTATGCTCTACGCTCAATGGTCGTGGATGAGGAATGAGATGAATCCAATCTGGTTCCACGTCCACGTGGACACCAAGTTTAGTTTGAACTGCGACTGGTTGTCACGAACAAACGACATTAAGAAAGCCGCACAGCAACTGGGGATTAATCTCCAGGAGAAAGTAGCAGATAACATAGACACGACAAGATTCAAAGACTTTGACATCAACGCACAGAAAGAATCAACATTGAAAGAGTACTTCAACTCCGTGTCGCTGTCGGTAAGAACCCAATCAACACAACCTTGGAAGATGAGAAGCACTTGACATCTGGAGGGTCTCAAAAACTGATCTAACGTCGTTCTGTTTCTCATAGGACTGGAGCATGGCTACTGCATCTCTCTCAATTCCGGCCCACGAGACGTTTGAAGAACAACAGAGCACCATTGTCAGCACTGAGGAACGCGTCGACGATGGAATTGACTATGAAATTGACGATGAAATTGACGATGGAATTGACGATGGAATTGACGATGGAGTTCATGATGACAATTTTGATGAAATTTCGAATTGGATTGAAACAACGAACCCCCTACCTGAAATTGAGCCAAGTTTTGAGAGTCTCGTTTTGGGTAACCCAAAATTATGCTTATGGTGTCACCACGAAGGGCTTTTTGATGCAGAAGATGAATGTCATCAATCTGCCTATGTGGAAGTCAACATGGCAGTCGATATGGCAGTCGATATGGAGGTTGATACGGAAGTCGATAATGGCCAGAACAATCGGTTTCCCGGTGTTTGCGAAGCGGCTGATATACCACCTCTCCTGTTCAGGTGGTCGAATATTGATTCACAAGGAATCAATTCAAGGGCCAGGCTCCGTGCAGGACTTTTCGTCAATAATGACATGAACGTTGATTTGGATGGACTGACACAGGAAAAATATCTCGAATATTTTACCAATCACGTAACGAGAGCAAGATTGTTCTCACCTTTCATTTCGTCATGCACCGGACCTATCATGCCCATCCACAGGTCTCTTAGAAACCAACGAGGAGCGAAGGTAATAATCATCGACACCGCCAAGCTGAACACCATGGTTGTCAAAGCCCAGACTCTGGTACCATTGACGGAGACTCGGACGCCACGTTGGCGTGGGTACGGAGAGTACCTTATTTGGCGAGAAATCCCCGAGGCAGCAGTAATCTGCGAATTCGCTATAACTCGACTGGAACAGATCGCTGAGGACGCCCCGGACATAAAGGACTTTCTACAGCTGGAGCTCATAAAGAGCCAGAAATTCTGTAGCTCAGAATTATACATCCAGCTCGCTTGCAAGTTAGAGACTTGCAAGTATGACTTTCTGACCCTGGAGAGACTAACAATTCACCTCAACGTGCCAGTAGAGTGGCGGGGGCCTGTTGCACAGACGTTCAAGGAAGCCTGGACAAGAAACTTTGGGGGCTCTCGTGATTTCGAGATCGACCAAGATAGGGATGATGATAAGACGACAGCGGTTGACGTCTATTACAACAACAAGAGAGACAGTAAATCTGATGCCTCTGGTACAGCATACGCCCCCTCAGAAACCAACCTTGACCACAGCTCCGAGAGCGAGGAGTCGCAACAGGATACTGGTTCGGCTTCACCTGAAGCCCATGCCCGACGTCGCGATACGTCTAGCCCACCATTCTCCACCCAGGACTCCATTGATGACGATGAGCCCTGGCGGTTCAACTGGGTGGATGAGGATGAAGATCCAATTCCAGAAGGAGGAGGACCACAAAGTGTTCATTTATTCACGCCTTCAACCCATCGGCGTGAGCAACAGGAAACATCCTTCTCGATAGCACCTATTCCGATCGATTTCGAGAGTGAGGCTAGTTGGCCACCGCTGGACTACTATGCTTGAGAATGGCGACTAGAACCAAATTGAGTATCTGAGCTGATGTGGCTGATATGAGAGTTTAAAAGACATAAATTGAGTGAGGGATCGGGTTTTCTTGCAATGAACACCGAAATTGCTAAGCACAGTGACCTCTAGAGAGTGATTGTTACCCGATGCCTTGTCAACTGACACAGTGTATGTACCAATCCCAAACATTTTGCCGTTGATTTCACGCAGTTCTTTAGGATCTTGTCTAATTTAGGTTGACAGTGGAAAAGAGATCAGAAGTTTACCTGTATTGCCTGATCACCATAATGAAGGCGGATCGTCGAAGACCGGTATTCATATGTTACGATCGAAGCGAGAATTGACACATAGGGACAATCAAGTAGTAGTAGGTACTCCAAGCTTGCAGCAAACGGAAATATCAATTCCTCCTAGTGTATCAAATCATAGCTCCAAAAAGCAGAATTCCGAAGAGATTAAAAATGCAGTATTGAGAACAGACCCGCCCCAATAGTCTCTATCATCGGGGACGGGCGTACGGGTTTTCATAGCGGGAGGATCGATGAAATATTTTTGCTTTTTGTGTGGATACACATTTTTCAGCAAGGTATCTGGGACATGGAAACTCGTAAACTATCCCGACCCCGTCCGAGAAATTCCTCTATCCATTTCAAACCGCTTCCTTCGCCGTTATGACCATTCCGAGCACCCAGTTTCTTCACACGCTTAGAACTTGGCGAAAGACTTGACGGCCTTACCAGTGCGGGGCAGGACACGCAGAGTGTTGAAGCGGACCTATAAAACGCAAGTTAGATATCAATCGAATGATGTGGATGTAGCGCATGCAATGCTGAGTGCGATAAGAGTCATTGGTTCCAAATAATGGGACATGATCTTCACATCACCTGCAGGGATCCATGGCAATTTTCCTTTCTGGGCTCGAAACGTACAGTCTTGGAGAGGGGACGGCACTGGCCAACAGTGACCCAGTCACCCTCCTCAACACGGAAAGCGGGGGAGACGTGAGCAGCCAGGTTCTTGTGGCGCTTCTCGTAACGGTTGTATTTGGGGATGTCAAGAAGGGTATCAGCAGAGGACTTCGAAAAAATTAGGGGCGCATGTAATGCTCACAGTGGAGGTACTCGCGGCGGATGACAATGGTACGGTGCATCTTGGTGGAGACAACACGACCAGTGAGGATACGACCACGGATGGAGACGAGACCAGTGAAGGGGCACTTCTTGTCTGTAGGGAAAGTGTTAGCGGTATGATTTCGACCTGGTTCGATTGGCAGATCTTCCGAAGCGATTTGGTCTTTTTTGTCGGGTATGGATGGAGGCGTATATTTCGTGGCAATCGAGAGCAATGTCGCTATTTCCAGCAAGTTCACTGTCGTCGCATCGTTGAATCGGTTTCGTACGATTACAATCATCACTCTCGCAGCCCTGGTTCCACCCTTTATTTGCCTCCTCTCTCATCCTCCAAAAAAGACCAAAGTTTTCGTAGATCTCGTGCCGGTTGAAGAGTTCGTGAATCGTGCGTACCGATGTAGCTTCCCTCAATGGCGGTCAAGGGGGTCTTGAAGCCAAGACCGACCTCCTTGTACCACCGGCGAGTCTGACCAGCCTTCTTGGACTTGGCCTGGCTCTTGGAGTTCAAGAAGATGTGAGGCTGCTTCTGGAAAGCGCGCTCGGACTGGACGTTAAGCTCGGTGGCCATGGTTGCGGTTGTTTTCCTGTCGACGGAGGAAGCGGGTGTCGAAGAGATTGGCGGGTTAGACGTCGAGAATCAGGAAGATTCGCTAAAGGCGAAAGGTTTGGACCGGCGATTATTGTGTGTGTGGCCGCTAGCCCTATTCGGGTCTAGTGCATGGCGGGTTAGGGCTTGAACATGACATAATCATAGATTGGCTGACATAATCCGATATCCGCTTTGTTTACAGTCACGTGTACAGGAACGCGCGCCCAGGCGTGTTTAGATTGTACAGAGTTACCAAGAAGGGAATGCGGTAGTTAAACTTCATATTAGCACTCTCACATCTGCACCCTTTGACTGGATCATGCTCGGTGACTGATCGGTGCTTCTCGGATGCCGCCATAATGTCTTCAAGACCTGATTCTGCGGCCACACGCCCGCGCTCTCGCCGCTCCATTGCCCATGTGCCGCGATCAAAGATAACATCTGGACTGGATAAAGAGAATGCGACAACAGACATCGGGGCGGTGCCACCATTCGGGGCTAATAGCAAATCTATCACACGAGACAAAAAATCACGGAGTAAAAGTTTAGGTCCTGGCGGTCTTGACGCTCTGCAAAATACAAATGGGAACCGTCGCCAGGTAACTACCATACCATCTTATCACCCCGGCCTATTCTGGCATTGAATAACATGGATTTAAATCATTCCCAGTCAACAGCATCTTTCCCCTTGAAGTCGATTCTGAAGCCGACTGTTCCTGTCTCGCCAGTGCGCAAGATCCCGTCCTTCGAAGAAACCCGGCGTCGCACACCAGCTCGAGATGCGCCCAACCAGCAAGTCAACTCTAATACCGAAAACCAAGAAGGTCTCTTGATCGATTTCGCTACCCCGCCTCAGCCTCCTGTCCTAGACCCTGAGGACACCTCCAATCCGTTTGACACCTTTAATGCGACATCGGCCATCCGTGATGAAATGGCTGCGACCAAAGAACGCGACGAGAAGGAACGCAAGGACCGTGAACGCCAAAATATCTTGGAAAAACGAGAGGCACGGAGGAAGTCCATGGGTAATTATCGGCTATAAAAATGAGTTGAAAGGAAATACTAAATCTTTATAAATAGCCAATCGCCGTGTATCGTTCGCCCCCGAGGCCACACTTCATACCTGGAACGTTGTTGAGATCCCCGACGACTCCACCTCATCATCTGCCGCAAATACAACTAGGCGCGCTTCCTCGACAGCCGGCGCTCAAGAACAGCAACCTCAGCCTTCTCCAGAGAAAGAGACACGTTCCTCCCCCGATGGTGATGCAGAGTCCGACTTTGGCTTCTCACCATTCCGGCAACAAGATCTTGAACAAATGAGAGGGCAATCCGCATCTTCAAGAGATGATGAAGGCTCCGCAGCTCTTTCATCTAGTCCCTTTAGCGGCAGCTCGGTCTCTGGAAGCGAAGATACAGGGGCACAGAGTTTGGCCGGCGAGGATGAGGATGGTCAATCTTCAGGATCCGATGATGGATTCGATGCTGAAAGTACAGCGATGAGCATGGATGATATGACTTCTCGCTCTGTAGCATCCATGCAGTCGGATGCAACCGCCAGCTCTAGCTCTAGCGCCAAACTTAACGAGGCACTGCGCCAAGCCGCGAGAGAAGCCGGGACCCAGATCATTGATGATGGAAACGGAGATATGTCCATGGAAATCGCCGATGACGAAATCACAGGCGCTTTCCAGCCCTGGATAAAAAAGGGCCAAAGCTTCGACTGGGACGAGACCAGCTCTCGTATTGGCCAAGAGAATGTTGATCCATCCAAGGCCGCATCGACCGGAGATCATGTCGAATCGGAAGAAGACGAGGACGAAGATCTAAGTATGGATGTGACCAATGCTATTGGTCGAATTCTGGGGAATGGCCGTCGACAAAGCGCTATGCCTCGCAAGTCCCTAGGCCAGGAAACAACATATGACGATCAAACAATGGAGATGACAACAATGGTTGGAGGAATTGCGCAAGGGGCCGCAACTTCTCAGTTCGACGAGGATGGGAATAACGAGGACGAAGAAATGACCATGGAGTTCACTGCAGCGGTTGGTGGCCTTTTGAACAGATTGCCTCATACAGCGCAAGATCAAGAGCAACAGGCTTCATCCACCCCGAAGTTAGACCGTATGGATTTTGAACAAGACAACGACTCTGACGGAGGTATGGACATGGAAATGACGGGCGCAGTCGGTGGTATTCTACCACCTGGGCTCCAAACTAAGAACAGGGATCAGGCAAAGATGCTCATGGAGCTCGAGTCAGATTCAGGGCAACTTGGTAGTTCACCTTTCCAAGATCATGTTCGACAATCGCCGGCAAAGTCCCCCCTCTCGCACATTGCCGCTGTGGCCTCTGAAAGTGGCAGCCCCAGCCTGACAAGCGTACGATCACGACCATCGCGACGCAGTTCTGTTGCAGGCACAAGTACCCCGGGAACTCCAGCATCAGCTACCGGAAAACACCATTCCTCGAATAAGCCATCGACACCCCCTAAACAGTCCACGCCTCAAGTTAAGCCTACTACGCCAGGCAAGACCCCCCCGTCTGCCAATGTGAGCTTTAGAAGCGCATCACCGAAGAAGCTGTTCCGACCTGAACTTCAGCAATCTGCGGAAAGACGCAAGTCTCTCCGCAAAAGCATATTTGAACAGAATATGGCGACCGGACAGTCAACTCCCCGGATTGTCTTGCAACCCCAAGAGGGCCGCCGCTCTTCGGGGCTTGGCATTGACAAGGAAGGCCTTGGATCCCCTCGTGTAGCAGCAATGCTAGATGAGCGCCCCTCACTTGGCGAAAGCACTCCGCATTTCACTCCCCAGGAACCCGCACGAAGTGGTGTGCGCTTTGAGGATCCATTGAAAATGCACGAGGATGAAGACCGAGAACGCCAGCAGGAAGAGTTGAGAGAGGATGGTCATATCCCACAATCTCGATCTGGGGATGGCGACGTGACCTCTAATTTACGGGATATGATATCAAGCATGAGCCCGAAAAAGAGTAAGATGGGAAGCCGAAAGAGTCTTCACGTCGGTGCCGCTCGTGGAATTTTAGGCAAACGTCCTCTTGAGCTTGATATGGATGACTCTGAAGTAGAAAACTCTCCCAAGAGACTTCGTGGTCGTGATGTCAGTCCAGTCAAGGGTGTGAGGCTGCCAGCACCAACACTCGGTGATGAGACAAGCCGCCGATCAATTCGATCTCCCATACGGAGAGCCCAGAGCTCCTCGCCTCTCAAAGGCAGCACTACTCCCACTTCGCTCTCTGAGCTTCAGACACCGACTAAGACAGGTGCAACACCACTGAAAGAAGGAGTTGATGCCCTGCACCTGGCATCTGATCCTCAGCAGCCCGAGCCAGAAGAAGAGGATGTTCCGTTCCAAGACGAAGACCCTGATTTTGAGCCAATTCAACTTCAGGATTTCCTAAACATGACTAACATTCATTTCATGGAGCTCACAACGACCAAGAGAAGGCACACAACTGCCCCTGGAAGTGCTACAAAGCGACTTTCGAGACGATCGGGCGAAAATGTACCGAAGGCAGGCACGGTCACGTTTGACGACTGCGTAGTTGCTGGTTTCTGCACAGTACCTATGCTTGAGTTGTACCAACACTCCTGCCGTGAATTGAAGTCTTATATCTCTGAAGGTCGGCAGGTAATTCGATCAATTGAGGCGGAAACCTACACCGAGAATCCGCCTCTTTTCCGGGAGTATGTCACCGCTCCTCCAGACATTCGAGTCATTATGGATAACCAGTTCCGAAATGTCAAGACCCACGCACGACTGCTCAGCAAAGCCACATGGTATGAGTGGCGTATGAAGCTTCTTGAGGGCCTGATGCAAGGTCTTCACCGCCATGTCGATGAAATGAAGGCCGATGATGAATTTTTGTCCAAGCGCGAAGAACTTCTTGGTAGTACCGTACCTCCCCTTGTGGAGAAGAACATGTTGCTGGAAAATGAAGCAAACAACCTACAGCAGTTGGTGGAAGAGATGGAGAACTGCGATCAGGATGAGCTACGGGCAGCGCGCGAAAAGTTGTCCAACGTTGAGGATGAGATTGAAGCCAAGAAAAGGAAGCTTCAGCAGCTGCAGAGTGAGGTCCAAGAGAAGACTGCCTCCATCGAAGCTTGCACAGAAATGCGTGACGAATACATGGCACAATTCCAGGAAGCTGAGAGGGTCAAGGAAGAATGTCGAGGTTGGAGTGCTCGAGACATCAGCGATCTCAAAGGTGAGATTTTTCTATTCGAATATGGGTTCTTGTTGTTCGTCTCTAACTAAGAAATAGCTTCTGTGCACCAAATCGAGCGTCAGACTGGATGGTCTATTGTCTCTGCATCAATACCGACTGAATCCAGTGATCCCATGTTGACCATGTCTTACCGAGGCCAGCTACAGATCAAATTTCATCCCGGAGCATTCGCCACCAAGAATTCAACCAGCACCGAGAAAACCAACCTTCCTCTTGAGTTGACACTCTCAAAGAGTAAGGCTATATCTCCCATCGCATCGTTGGTTCTACAATCTCTGCAGCAACATCTAGCGACGGTTCAACAATCCAAAGCTGCGCCCAAACACCTCCTCCGCTTCATATCTACGGCATGGGACCGAACTCTTGGCCTCGAAAACGAGGCCCGCATGCTCGAGTTCTGCGGCGTTACTCGTCTCACCCTTCTAGATCCAAAGGGTAGCCTCTCTCTCCGCGCCCGCTGTACACTTCTTGCCACAGTCCCTTCTACACCGGCCCGTAAAGAGGCCGCTACAAAGAAAATTGAGGCGAAGCGAATCGACGTTGACTTCATTGTACGCACACGCGTCAACCCCGACAGCAACGACGCGCAAAGTATTGGCTCCTTGGATTTTGATATGGATACCACTGCGACTAAGGTCTATGGATTCGGCCCCAAGAATAAGTCTGGTTTGCCCGACAAAGAGATGCAGAGTATTCTAGGCCAGGGACTTGACAATGGCGAGGCGGGATCTCTAGGGAATGGAGTGTGGTGCAAGGCGGTCCAGAAGCTTACAGGGTCTGTGTTTTAAGGTGGTGATTCTTTTTTCTTTTTCTTTTTCTTTTTCATTTTGATACCTCGGGTTTATTCAGGGCGCTTGAAAGTCAGTGGGATAGGCATGGGGATAAGGAGTTTATGTGTACTGGGCACTGTTTTTTACATTACCTTGATGACTACTAGTATGGTGTTGGCCGTTTACAATCTCAATGGATATCCATCACTTTCCTGAATTATTTGAGACGCATTCCTTACTTTAGGTAGCTGCCGAATTCCCTGGTCCATCCATACGGGTGGGTTTCAATGTTAGCTGAGCCCTTGAACCTATTCGAGGGTTCCAAGGTTGGTTCAAACATTCGACAATTCATCTCATAATAACCGCAATTACTGAGGGATTAAATGCTTCAACAAAAATTAATTCATGCTATCTAACTCAACCAACTACCAAAAATGCATCATCATATCGCTCATATTACAACCTAGTATGCATCTCCAACCCTCTCATCATAAACATGGCACAGCGCCATCCTTCCACGCTTTTGCAGGACAGCACTACAGACTCGCAGAAACAGATCGCCAACAAAGTAAAAACGACAAAGGAGAATCGCAGAATATACCGAGTGGTATTTTCAGTCCGATAAGCCAATAAAGAAGTCATCTAGAACATACTACCCATAAACCTATTCGGGAAACCAGACTGGGGATTATTCGGATTCTGGTCCTGTTCTTGGCCTTGACCTTGACCCTGCGGTGCCATGGGCAAAGAACCATAGCCCATGTTCTGAGACCCGTAGTCCATGAAACCAGTCGGGTCATTCCCGAAGTTCTGATGATTCTGCCCTGAATCTGGGCCACCGTTGTTGAGAAATGATTCCGCGTTTAGAATAGGCATGGCAGAGTTCTGCACAGAATTTCCTAATGTCTCGGAGCGGAAGAGGCCTGCCCATAGATTTTCGCCGAATTGCCAGTCGGCCGTTAGCGGGACTTGCCATGATTCTGGGATCATGGTTCCAGTGCCGTGGTTGCTGACTTGCGAGTAGGGACTTTGGATATTGTCGAGTGGGGATGTTGTTGTTGCGCTGGTGTGGTCTTCTGCTAACTGCCAAGATGGGTAGTTGTTTGCGGCAAATGTCTGGTCGGTAGTTGGTACGTTTGGCTGGCTTAGTCCAAGGCTTGGGTGGTAGGTGGGTTGTTGGTGAGTGTCCATGGGTTCAAAGAAGTTGTTGGTATCGCTTAAGCCCAAGGGGACAACGTATCCGGATGAATTGACTTGAGGAAAGCCTTCGATTGCTTCGGGGATGCTGAGGCCTGGCATGTTCGAGTGGGTGGCGTTGGATGGGTCTGGAACAGACGGTATATTCGCTTGGAGTCGATTTCCGCCTGGTCGGGTATTTCTAGACGAGCGATTGTGTGGAGTTCGATGGCGCATTATCGCAGGTGATTCTGAGACGGGCCGAGTGTTGTGTCTCTTTGGCTCTGAGGGTAGGTCCTCGTCATCCTCCTCATCTTCATCGAAGCTTCGAGCATGTTTCTCCTCTCTATCAACAGCGATTCTTGCGATGCGTTCCAATGTGACACTCATGCGAGCCATGAAACCTGCATAGTTCGCCGGTCCATCACCGGATATAAGGGTCGCAAAAAACGTCGCTGCCATATTGAGGGACTGAAGATCTTCTTTCACATCGGGACTGCGAGTATCTCGGATAATGCTGGAGAAGATGGTTGCTGCTGAAAGGAATACATAGTATAATAGCGACCTGGAGTTCGTAGGTTAGAAAAGTAGCGAGGTGAAGGAGTGGCACTGCACTTACCAGAGCCACGCAATATCCCCCCAGGGCATGTTTTTCACGAGTTTCAGTGTATCTCGTGCAGCTTCTACACAGATGATAGCTGATTTGGAAGCAATTGATTTGCTGAGAGCCTTCAACTCGTCTGGTTCTTCCTCGCGAGCTGTTATTAAGTAATTGAGAAGGAGGGGTATCCGATGAATCATGATCAGGGCATTATAGTAGACAAAATGGAGGCCAACAGAAGCAAACCCAAATAAGAAATCAGTTTCGGCACCCTTCAGCTTTGGTACCTCGGTGAAAGGATAGTCCTTTTTCCATGCATCAAGTTCGGCACTAAGCTCTTTGACGGTTTCGAAGATTTCACGAGGGTCCTTGAACAAACATTTCGCGGCGTACAGCCGGCAGAAGATGCGACTTTTGATAACACACATGCGACAAAGCTGGCGGAAAAAGTGAATATTTGGAGCCACTTCGGGGTCATCGTCATCCTCCGTGAGTTGTGGCAGAGGGACATCAAAGTCATCGGGGTGTTGGGATGGCGCATTCCCAGCCCTCAAACACGTACTAGACGGTGAAAGTGTTAGTTATACACAATACTAGTACATTATGGCAGGAGAGAAGATGCACTTACCTCTGGTCAACTGTAAATGCCACCCAAAATACACGTCGTCTTTGCTCTTGTTGCGCTGGGCTCAGATCCGGTCTTTCTATATTGCGATGGAGTCCCATCCTCTGGCAAGACCTCATGGCAGCAGTCATGAATGGAAGTGCAGACTGGGTACCAGCATTGCCCCGAAGATAGAATCCCTTTCAACAATGGCTCATTAGATAGGGGAACATGGAAGGATGCAATTGGAAAAACGTACCATACTAATCAAAGCTTGCACACTTAATAGGTCAGTCCGTCGCAATGCTAGCTCTGTAAAAACGGACATGGCATTTTTGAAATATAATTGAGCCTTTTCGCGATCCTTTTCTGGTTTCAGGCTGTTGGAAAATCGGTATTCATAAGCCAAACATATCACTATGTTGATACTGGCCCATCGAGCTGCATCATCGCATGTCTGCTGTGTATACTGCCACTCCACCATCTTCATGAACGAAGCTTCGTGATAAATTGGAAAAAGGCGATTCGCGGTTCGGAAATAGTCTTTGATCAGAGAAAAAACCTCGGACCTCGGTGGAAGCGGTTTGTAGACTTGAGAGGCAAACAGATCATGGAAAACATCTGGACGCCAATCACCCCATGGGTCATCATGAGTTGAATCAGTAGACACAATGCTCATGAAGTTGGTGTCACCGGTTTTTTTCTTAATCCAATCGATCCCACCCCGTGATAAGATGGAGAGTGAACAGGAGCGTCCTGGTATGAGCGGTCAGTAACATACACAAAAGATGCCGTAATGGCCCATAACGAAATACAAACCGAAATATCGGGAGTCATCATTTTCGTGGTTTTTAAAGAGGGGAGTGATTGCGAAGTCGCCTCCACCGGCATAACGCGCAATCTCTGAGACATCGGAGAGATCTGATACTTGACCTGACGAGATAGGACGATCACTCTTTCTCCAATTTTCATGCTCGTACTCATGATCCTCCTCAGACTCCTCTTCATCATCATCCTCATCCTCCGAAAGGTCATCTTGGCCGACATCGCTTTCTTGCAAGATACCAGCCGCCAATAGCAAGGATTCGACCTTATTCAACCGATCTTTCAAAGAATCAACATATTGATCACTGCTAACACGAGATTAGCCGGATCCAGTAAAGACGTCGAAATGATGGTGTTCAATCATCCAAAAAGGACCTAGTATCTGGATACAAAAAAGCATTGTGGTAAAGTACCTTTGTGACTCATCTTTCTTCTCTTGTGGCAGCGGCAGCGGCTGTGGCTGCTGCGAAGGAAATTCACACTTGGTCTTACGACGAGTACATTGTATACAAACCATATGAGGCCCATCAACCTCGCATTTGGTCTTTTTTCGATAGCACATGTCACAAGCCTAGACACCCCGTCAACATCGCCAAAAAAAAAAGACAGCGGATCACTACGGCATAGAGTAACATACCCTTTGGCTTCGTCTCCGCCCGGATACTCCATTGGACCCCGTGGAGCCGTTGGCGGACATTATGGTGGAGTCGCTATTCATTATTGCATCGTGGGGGATTATGCCAACAGTTTGGCGCATTGCATTGTGCATTTCCCCAAAGCGGAGTGTTAAACGCGGGTCATAGCAAGACCTTTTTTTTGCGTTTGGGGTTCTTCAGCAGGTTCTCCTGCTGATTCGCGTGGAGGCTTTTCTTCAACACTTGGGCCTTTTCTCCTTTTTTCCCACTTTTTGGTCACCAGAAAGGAGGTGGTCTTTGAGGTGAATTTAGGATGTCGTTGGGTCGGAATCTCGGCATCTCAGATTGCCGGGCGGGTTTTTTTGTGTGCTAAGATTCTCTGGGGTACTTTGGTGGAACCTTGAGTTTAGGTGTGACAACGTGGGGTTTGCATGTACTCTCATGTACCCTGTGCTTTCAAATCTTCTTGGTTGACCCATTCATAAGGGGGTTTTTTTTGAACTCTTACGTTGAAAGATATACAGAACACACACACAAACAACTCGGGACAATAGGTCCAGAGACAACTGAAGACGGAGAACAGAATGGTAACAGAAAACGGATAATATTAGGGTTGGGGGTAAAAGAAAGAAGTTCCTCTCTCCGCCCAATTCAATCTAATAACTACTAGTACATTATATAAGAAGTCACCAGTAAACTGGACTCGAACTGTAGATGGAACAGTTTGAACTTGGGTTATAATGATTTGGTAATAGATGCTTGCTGGAGGTAAATTCACGTGCAGAGTGGGTCCGAGAACAACAAGAAGGGGGGCAATTGAACCCGGATTCACCGCTTCCCCAATCCGGTCATAATAGAGGTTGTATCATCATGTAACTATGCTTTGGCGACCGGGGAGTACTGAAAGATGGCTAAAAGATCAATCGATATAACCTAAGTAATAGTAATTAAGCCAAGAATTAAACCATAAACTCTTATATATCAAACTAGCAAAATGCAATGGAATTAATACATTCTTCTCAGAATTGATTTGTTCTGATGTAAACGATTTCTGGCGGAGAATAGGAAAATAGCGTGTAAGGTTGACCCAAATTGTTGTATGTCGATCAACGGCTTCAAAGTCATCAGATTCAAATGTTGAAAAGATCCGAGAGTATTTGAACATTTGGGGAACATTTGAAGGGCTATGATGTAAACACGGGTTACTCTCATGCTAACACGGGTCAGCCCCTCTAGCAGAATTTGAAAGAGGTGATGTGATTTCAACATTTGAATGTTTTGAATGTATATATATAGTAGTTCAAATGTTACTAGTAACTAGTTACACATGTGCATAGTATCCTTTAACAATTGAAGAAAAAAGTCTATATAAATCATAGGTTTTAGTGTATAAACTACTAGAATGGACTTCAAATGTTAAGAATAAGCATCAATTGATGAGAATGACTATTGATAAGAATGGACTTGAGAATGGACTTGAGAATAGACTTGAGAATAGACTTGATAATAGACTTGAGAATAGACTTGAGAATAGACTTGAGAATAGACTTGAGAATAGACTTGAGAATAGACTTGAGAAGGCATTTGAGGCAGATCAAGACATCAATGCGTCCCGATTATGCTTAGCGCGTCATATGACCCGTGTTAGCATGAGAGTAACCCGTGTTTACATTAAAGCCCAAAGGGAATGATATGTGCGGCCTCAAGATAGGTAGTGGGTGCTCCTTGTGGGTGTGCATGACTGCCGCTGTATCGACCTGTTGCAAGGCATCTAAACCCGTCTCCTTCCAAGCAATGATAGCGGAGTTGAGACTGTTGGCTTCTCGAAACTGGTTCGATGTTTTCACTCTTTAAGTTCTCAATCGAATCTTCTACGCCAGGTCTTGGAGATGGGGTAATGTCACTAGGTGTTTTGCCACCTTGGGCTTTTAAGGGCATTCAATGATAGGTGTTGGTCGAGTTTAGCTTTGGAGGACGGCATGATGGTCAAGACACACAGAACACACACAAACAACTCGGACAATAGGTCCAGAGGCAACTGAAGATGGAAAACAGAATGGTAACAGAAAACGGATAATATTGGGGTTGGGGGAAAAAGAAGAATAGAAGTTACTCTCTCCGCCCGATTCAATCTAATAACTAATCCGGACCACACACAAAATGGTAGCTCTCGTAATAATGATGAGACGAAAATATTCTTCCAGCCCAGATTCCAACTCGGCTATCTCCATCGATCCCATATCTGCAATTTCAATTTAGCAAGATCGGAAACAACAAAACAAAATCCACCACAACTTCTCTATCTGAAGAACCCTGGAAATAAACGTCATGTCACGGACCAACCATTTTTCTTCCAGATCTTTGTCCAGCCTTCATGACCATGCAGACATGTAATTCTGGGCTTATTGCATTGGTCCGTGGGATGATCTGCAGATTCAGGGGCCCAAACATGGAGAGAAAAAGATAAGGAAAATGGAACTAAGGGCACTTGGGATTCAAGCACAGACATCACAAATATCTGTGTATCTAAGCTTAAATTCCTGTTGTTATCACCAACTTCAACCCTTCCAAGATTGGAAGGTGGATGCCCACCAGTTGACTTGTCTGGACTGCAGCTGACAAACCTTTGACCCCGCACCTCACCGGCTTGATGGTCCATGGATATATACTTACACGACTGCTAATCTGACCTCGGGATCTCACTTCAGGCACCATTTTTGTAACACTGAAGTCAAGTGTTGGAAGCTCACAGTGCTGCCCAAGTGTCAACATCTACAGCAACCTTCGGAGGACCTCGACATCACCGACACCATGCGGAAAGTCACCGTTGGAATCGTCTCGATCGGAGATATGGGTCTGGGGATGGCAAGGTTGCTCAAAGCCCACGGTTACCGAGTGGTCACGCTTGTGGAAGGAAGAAGGTATAGTATATCCACCTCGGCATACATCAATTGATGGCCATTCCTACCTAACATCCAATATTGAACTCTGAAAGGATTCAACATTTGAAATGTTGATTTTTTATGTCAATTTCCATTATGTTATGCAAACCCTAATCCTTGCTAAAAATCTTACAGTGAGCATACCTTAGCGCGAATCCAGGCCGCAGAAATAGAGGCGTTGCCATCAGACCAAGAACTAGTGGTGCAGGCGGACTACATTTTATCCATTGTTCCTCCTCGGAGCGCACTTGTCACCGCGGAGTGTATCGCAAAGGCTCTCCGACAGCCAGATACAGTGGCGAAACGAGAAGCGCTAGAAGAGGTGAATGGCCAACCGAGTCGCAGCCCACTCTACTTCCTGGAGCTCAATGCCACACCTCCCCGATTGGCGGAGGAGCTGGCAGCACTGTTTGAAACAGAGGCGGAAGTGGCCGCGTCCATCGGACCATCGGCTCGGTGCCACTTTGTCGACGGGGGAATCATTGGGGGCCCGCCGTCTCAAAATTCGGACGGGAAGTGGAAGAAACCCAGCGTGATTCTCTCGGGTGCAGTGGACCTACCCTCCACATGGGCAGCGTTGGCTGACGTCCTAAATATGAAGATTGTGTCCGAGCGGATTGGCTCGGCGTCCACTCTGAAGCTTTCTTTTGCGGCGCTGACCAAAGGCCTCACGGCCTTGTCGATCCTATCTTTCTCCACTGCGCAACGTGAGGATCTATTGCCTGAATTACTGGAACATCTTCAGCAGTACTCTCCGCACACGGCTGCGTTGGCCCAGTCCGGAGTGATTGCCATGAGTCCCAAGGCCTACCGATGGGTGGATGAGATGCACGGTATCGGAGAAGCCTTTGACCGAGAAGGTGGATGGGATGGCGTTGGTAGTAGCATCTATGGAGGGATTGCAGAAATCTACCGGACCATAGCCGAAGATACCCTTCTTGGCCAGGAACGCGTCGAGTCGCGGCGGCGCGGGACAACCGTGGAGGATGCCGCCACGATCATAGCAAGGCGTCAGAATCGGACAAACGTTGAGGAGGATCACGACATCGGACCTATGTCATAGGTCCCTGGAATAGGGTAGGGATGGCCCTAACAAAAAAGAAGTACGACGATCTAACCGGAAAGGAGGCATTGACCGAATTGAGTCGAGATGTGTAAAACCAGACCTCGGGAAGCTGACCCAGAAGTTTAAAGTGTTAGGTAAATAGGGTAAATCTCCATTTCGAAATATATTAAAAATGGAGACAAGTTTGAGACAAGCAACAAGCAAATAAGTACGGAGTAAAGAGAGGAAAAAAAGGCCAAGTCCTGGACGGAAAACGCCAAGCTTCGGGTGTAATTACCAGGAAAAAACGGATAATTTCAGTCCGCGTCATCTTCCCGGCTTAGTTAAGTGGGGTTTTCCCACTTTGTCCACTTGCGCGGCCCCGTTAACATTTAACCAGAGCGGAAAATAATACAAGTAAAAGTGGTTTTTAAATGTTTTGGAGACGACAAGTAAAACCCTACTTGAATCTGGGGATCTAAGATCATGAATCTTTAAATTCACATCTTTTCTCTCTCCTATTTACTTCCTCTATATATCTTCCTATACATCGGTATTCCTTCATACTCTCCATTATACTCCGTAACTATATTCGTTTTCTTCCCGTTCGGCCAGAGCGGTGAAGCGGGCTCTCAACCGACGAACCAGAACTCGCGATCACGACATTTCTCCATTCTATCAGATCATCGACTAGTTGATCTCGAGGCTTGAAGCTCTTGTTCTCTCACCCCCTTGTTCCCTTCCCCCCCTCTTCCCGTCGACGCCCCCTTTTCATTTAGGATTATTTGATTTTTTTTTACGTTTAATTCGTTTACTCCAACACTCTGATTCGTGTTAGACGACGTGGCGCGGTATGCGAAGCCCCCATCTCTGTGTAAGGTGATCGTGACCGAAATTCGCCCCAATTATCTCAATCCCGTCGTACCGTCTTGTCATTTAGTACGAGACTTTGCTTATTCCGGGATCGTCCCCTCTTCATCTGATCTGGGGTTACCGTGGTCCAAGTCTCACGATTGGAGTTGGCAAACTTCCCAATCCACACTCACGTTCTTCCTTGTTTCCCCTCGCGCACCTCGGGTTGACTGAATGCCCTAAACGCAAAAGGACCACACGCCATCGTCAACATCTTTGGGTTCTGGTTCCTTTTTGACTTTGGCATTTTTTTTTTGCTTCTTTTTTTTTGGTCTTTTGGTTTTTCCTATTTCTACATTCCATACCCCTCAACCTTGACAACCTTCTTTCTTCCATCATGCCTGAGGAGCATCCTCTTCCACCTGGTTCTGGTCCGCCTTTCGACAAGCTCGAAAACTTCAACTTCTTGTTTAGTCGGCACGATCCAGCAGCTTCAGCCAAGGCCCGACACTATTCCCTCGACACTGACACCGGGCTGGTCCCGTTTGGCAACGTGAACATGGATTACGATCAAACTGAAGGCATGGGCGGCTTGTCCGTTAGCTCTTACGATAGCATAGACGATGACCGCTCTTTGGATCTCCGGGGTTATCCTTATCATGGTATGTGCAAAAAAAAACATTTTTTTTTCAAGCTTTGACTTGGTGCGAGAGGTTGCATCTCTTGCGCCATCATCCTGCGTTATGGTTCGTTTTTGCTGCGTTTTGGCTTGGAGCTGGGAGGGGCCCAGCGGAGATTGAATTGCCCCCAAAAGATCCCTTCCCATTTTATCTGCAGTGATGAGTTTCCATTTCAATCCCATTTGCCCGTATTTCATTTGCCATGCCCGGAGTTCCGTGCAGGAAAAAAGCCATCTCCTTGGCCAGTCGATCTGGCGGTTGTGGTTCCTCTCTTCCCGGCTCCCTTCCCCCTGCCCAACATCAAAATTGCCTTTCCCCAGGTTTCATGCCCAGTTTTTACCCTATTTTTTGAGTTCAACCAAAGCTCGTGCCCACCCATGCGATGCAGCTCTAGAGACATCTGGAACTGCAGCGGAGTGATCTATCTCATTTATGGAATGAGATCATCGTGTTCCCACCCCCTAAAGGCCCCTCAGCCCAGGTCAATAGCGAGCACGCAATCCCGCATGAAAATGAGTGCAGAGCCACAGCTACCTCGTTTAACCGGGGGCTTAACTTGCACATCATCTCCCCCCTCCCCCTCATATGTGAACCCTGGACTTTATTTGATGTAAAGAATGATCGTGTGCATGGTCCGGGCGGCTCCCTTGATAGGGTTGCGGATCTCTCTCTCCCCAGCCTACGGATGAACCTCTCCACGATATTGAACTTGAGTCTTAACCAAGACAATTGCTTACTCCGTTCTTCAGCCCCTACTGGTGACAAGTCCATCAATTACTCTATTCCCGACCACATGATGCCGTACTCGGCTCACTCCATCTACCCGCCTGTGCCATTTGCGCCCGATGATCTCGGTCACGCCCCAGGGAATCTCACTCCCTCGGACGTCTCATCGTCCATCTCTCCGCCCAATGGCCAAATGGGCAATTCCAAGTACAGCACCTCCATCCCTGGGGACCGCATTGCTGCTGCCCTGGGTCAAGAGGAAGGTGTACGCTATGCCGCTGAAGAAGACCGACGTCGTCGCAATACGGCCGCCAGTGCTCGCTTCCGTCAGAAGAAGAAGCAGCGCGAGCAAGTCCTTGAACGGACTGTCCGTGAGACCACCGAGAAGAATGCTTCCCTCGAGGCCCGTGTGGCTCAACTCGAGATGGAGAACCGTTGGTTGAAAAACCTCTTGACTGAAAAACACGAAGCTACTACTCGGATGCCGCCGCCTCCCAAGGACAGCGGCGCCTTAGAACCGAAAGCATCTGGTGGCCGGGGTCAAAAACATATTCAGCCCAAAAAGAAGGGCGTGGGCACAGACGAGTAGGCACTTAAATTGAAGTTTAGTGTTTTTACTTTTGTTCTTTGTTCTTGCCTGCCTCTTCTTTTTCTGTTATATGTATCATCTCTTGATTCCACAGTCATCGTCGATTCTTGAAAGACCACGCTGATTTTTGCGCTGCTTCTTTTTCTTCTTCTTGTTACTGCTTGTTTGGAATAGAGTGTTTTTATGTCTCTTCCTCTCCCACTCTACATCCCATTATTTATCAAAAATGGATCAGAGAATATCCGAGGGGAGGGACAAACATTCTAATGACGATGTCACGACCTTTCTCTCTTATTCTCGTTCTCCGCCACTTCGGACCTTCCCTTCCGACCGTGGCTTCTGCGATTGATTCTTAGGGATGGTCTTTACTCCTACGCCTTTGCCTGTCGTTCTCGGAAACATCATCTTTATCATCTACACCATCCGATCCGATCCTCCTACCTCTTCCTCTCCTCTCTACTCCTCTCGATCCGAGTCCTATATCGCCTCTTTTCTTCTTCTTCTTCTCTGCCCCAGCCTTTGGCCTATGCTGGTATATATATTTCTGCCTGGGATTTGATTTGATCATCACCTCCGAAAACGATGTGTCATTCTCTTCACCTTCCTTCCCCCGCGGTCGGATCTACTAGGGAAGAGAGACGAGACGTTGCGGCGTGTGATGCGGTGTTGTGCGAATCGCAAGTTGCCCTTGGGGGCTGGGCTTTGCTTGGAAAGGAGGTCTTGGTTTAATTCGTGCTCTTTTTTCTTTGGGAATGCCGGTTGCTATTTTCATTATTTCATCTTGCTTTTGCGTTTTTATCATTGGGTTTTAAATTTGCTGTTGGCATGCATATATAAGAGGTACAGACAGACCTCAAGTGCTTCGTTGCTAGGACCGGAATCAAGAGTCCTGAGATTTTTTTTCTCTTCATACAATGTTTTGTACTTTTTTTTTATCGTAGATGCCCGGTACCTGATAGTACCTTGCCCGTTAGACATGTACCTAGCAGGTACCTGCCCAGGTAACTGTGCCTGATTCCAGATGTCAATGTTTGCCACCTTGCTGAATCCACCTTAATAGGCCCTAAGCATGGCTATTCCAGTGACCTTTGCCTCTTCCAAGGCTGTCAACTAGATATCCGCAGATTGCGCAAGTGCTTTGTGATATTATGAAATCGGGGCCCCAGCATTGAACATAGTACTGAACATAGTGCAAGTTCCATGGATGTATACACACTACTTTATAGATTACAGCAAGCAGTTTCATCAAAACACGATTTCATTAACACCTAGTGAATTACCCAGCTCCGACCCTCCTATCAGGCCGAAGACCAACAAGAAAAAAGCACTAAAAAGCCTAGCACAAGATGGTATTACATTAGAGAAAACACCAAGGGCAGAGAAAACAAACCCACAAATAACAGAGAAAAAAAAAACAAAACTAAAAAAAAGGAAAAATACCCGTGTATATTTCTCCAGTCGGTTTGTTCGCGCCCAGACAGGAAAAAGAATTTTCGAAAAAAGAAAATGGTAAATCAGGGTCCTCGACCCACACCAGGATGGACAAACTGGGGCAGAACAAAGCACGACCCACGGGTACTGTATCACGACATAAGGCAGGGGTCATCATGTGAATGAAAAAAAAAGAGAAACAATAGACAAAAAAGGGCAAGGGATTCGAGATCCAGGCTGTAACCTTTGAATTGCGTGACCGATTCAGATCAAATCAGTTAGAGTGAGCATGGTATGTCATTGCGGCGTTGGGGCCAAGAATGCAATGCCGGTCAGTGCATTTAGGCTGGATTCTTCATGTTGCAGATGCAAGCCCAGAATGACAATCACGACATAGCGTCTCGATCACGCAAGTGGAAGGAGTGTAGGAGGGTGATGGGGATACCGCCGAACTGGGGTATCCGGGACGTGCCGTTGAGTATTATCAAAGGTGATGAGGATCAGGAAAGAGATGGAGAACAAAATAACCGAGGGGCAAAAAAAGAAAAGAGAAACAGAATACTGGTATCTTTCGTTTTCTTTTCTCCTCGTTTAAGCGGCGATAGGCTCTCGCTCCTCCTCGCGGCCACGAATCTCACCCTCCAAAGTGCTGACACCATCCTCGCCGTCCTCGTAGCCGAGGTGCTGGTGCTGGTCCGCAGGCAACCAGGAATCCCGGTCTCCGGCCATAGGCGCATCCTGTTGGGAGAGATCAATGCCCTCGCGGTTCTTGAGGTTGTTGCGGTGGCGCTGGGAAAGGGTACGCGAGCGCTGGGACAGACTGGACTTGACGACGGCCTTGGAGTTAACCCAGTTACCGAGGGCATCCTCGCAGTCCTGGATGATGGCTCTGCTGGCGTCGTAGCCATCGTAGGCCTGGCGGGTCTCACCGGGAGTGACGGGGGTGTCGTCGATCAGGTCGAGGAGGTGCTTGCCGTATCCGGCGACGATGGCGACCTTCTCGCAGTGCTCGCGGAGGGCATCGAATTGGTACTGGAATGCGGCCTTGACCTTCTCGCGGGTGATGTTGGAGAGCTGGGCCTCGGCGACGAGGGACTCGGCTTCGGCGCGGACGAGCTCCTGCTCCAAGACGACGATACGGGGCGAGTTCGGGTCCTTGTACTTGAGCTTGGCGATCTCGTCGGTGATCTTCTGCTTGCCTGTGTGGGTTGTTAGTTCCGGTTTGGTTCATGACGGGGTATGGGTTGGAATGAGATCGAGGAGGCTCTTACGGTCTCGGCTGGGCTGTACGGAGGCCTCGATGTTACGGATGCTCTTGATGGTGACGCGGTACTGGTCGTAGCGGTCGACAAACATGTCCTCCAGCTCACCGATCTCGTAGATCAGCACACCAAGCTTATCCGTGACATCCGAGACGTCCTCGTCGCAGGCCTCACCCCAGAGGGAGAGTTGTTGCTAATGAGTGTTAGTTTGCTTGCTGCTTGAAACCCAACCCATCGATTGCCTCGGCACATACCGCGACCTCCATACGCTCTCGTGCGACCAGCTCCATACTGCGCATGGCGTTCTTCTCCATCTTGACTAGCTGCGACAGCTTGCGCGCAAGATCGGGGCCGAAAGCACCGGCGGCATTTTTACGGAATGCATGGCCTGAAGATGCAATTGTTAGCCACTGATATGCTCTGTAGGAATTCGGTTCCTTCTCGACTCGGATGGCGTGGTCTCTGGAGCTTTGCGGAGCTCTCGCTCCGCCGGGATGAGATGATTGGCGATTGGCGATTGGTGAGCGGTCAGGAAGTGCCCGATCAGGCAGCTTCAGGTTCGCGAATCCCCTCCCAGCCCAATTCCTCCAGAAACCACGCGATCGCGATCGATTGGAATGCCAGGAATTTTCTTTTCTCACTCACCCAATCCTCCCTTTCCGAGCCAGCGGTTCGACTTGGTAGTAGACAATGGTGGTGGAGGGTTCTCGACTTGGGAAGCGGTCGGGGCGCGCGATTGGCGCATAGAATAGGTACGATGCATGGTGAGGGTAGTTGTAGGTTGGTCAGGGGAAGAGGAATGGGTTTGGATTAAAGAAGAGAGTTGTACCTGCAGCGCTAGAAAGTTAGAAAAGGAAAGAAAAAATATGAAAATATGAAAAATCCCTCCAAACCAAGTGCCTTGCGACCTTGCGCAGTAGTGACGTGTGGTAAATGGGGAAAGAGGGGCTTGACTTACGACGGGATGTGACGGAAGCTGAACTGCAACCGTAGAGCTTTTTCAGATGGATTTTTCTTGACTTTTTCTTTGCCTGAGTTGAATGGAAAGAGAAAAGAGAATATAAGAGGAGCTCTGAAGGTGACGTCGACAATCGGTGAGCTTAACCCGATTAGGGGGGAAATGGAGTAGGTTTGTTCGTGTAAAAAAACGAGGTTGAAGAAAAGGCATAAAACTGCATAACCAGTCAACTAGAACTGCGCCTCCCCCAGTTTGTTCAAGCTAATGCCTCTAATGTCTGCACTAAGTGGTGTCCTAGGCAACTCAATTGGGCGCTAATGAGGCTGGATCCAATAGCGCTGGCTTCTGTCCTGTTTCTTTCTTAATTTCCCCCTCTATTTTCTCTGTTCGTTCTTTATTTTCTCTTTTATTTTCTCCTTTTTTTTTCCATTTTTGGGTTGCATTTTGCATTTTGAAGAAGTTCGATCGCCGACGTCATCGTTCCTTTGTCTGATGTCATCCACCTTCCCGCGTTCCTGTCGAATACTCGATAACCCTCGATGAAGATTCTGACTCCTTAATGTCATGCGATCATAGACATTGCATTGGCTATTCCCCTCGAGCAAAAAGAGGTACAAGGTACACGGTACCTCGAGTCATCGAAAACACAGGTTCCCGCTGATCGGTGGGGAGCTCGGAGCTCGGTATGCCAGGACACTGCTTATTTGGCGGATCGGTGGGGGAGAAGCAGATCCGGTTCCAAGGAAAAGAAGGGGCAGAGAAACAGCATGCACATGCTCAAACTGCAGGGGAGATTCGGATCTTCATGACGCGTCTATCTCCTAATCTTCTTTCCATGCTTACCGAGTACTGTCAAGCACTGCTAGCCCTGTTGTTTCTTCCAGCCACATCTCCATAGTGGAGACACATGAAGAATGTGGCGTTTTTTGAGTCTCGGTGTCTCACTCGGCTTTTCTGGAAACCAAGATGGAGCTAGTGAGGAGTCCATCTCGATAACCCCTTTCGAACCACGATCGGGTTATCTACAGATAAGAAGAATTTGCCGCTATCATCAAGATTCAACACTTCGTGATGGCCGTTTTGAGCGACTTCTCCCAAGGTAAAAGGCAGAACATTCAACATTCAACTCTTCCTACCTAATTCTTGTGTAAATTACATGCATGTACATCCCTCTCCAGACTCATCATTCTGCTGTACAATTTCATGCCCTGGTTGTAGACAGGTGACTTGCCAGTCTTTGCATTCCCTGCAGATCTCAAAGGAGGAACATTGCTGACAAGAGTAATGATCATTTGAATTATCCGACAGGGGAACCATGCAGACAGCACATGTGTCATCAGATCTCTCTGGAACTTTGAGCTGCTCATCATCTGATGGAATCAAAGGAGCTCCAACGTCTGTGCAGGAGCTGGAGCCACGAGTCAATAGCTTCAGTATGTGACTTTTATTCCTTCTCGTGGCTTCGACGATCGCCGATCGACCATAGATATCCTTGGTCTCTGGATCGGTATACGCATCTGGTATCTCCAACAATGCTGCAACAGCTCGTTTCATCCCCAGAGCTGTGGCAATTATCAGGGGTGTACGCTCATATGCATCACGGCAATGTGGGCTGCTTCCGGCTTTCAATAACAGTAGAACCAGGTCTTCCGCATACAGGCTGAGCGCAGCCAGTATTGGTGTTGATCCATCTGCTGGATTTGGATCTGCCCCTCGCTGTAGGAGGATATTGACCGTTCCCTCCACTGCTTTAGAGCCTGGCCAGTCAGATATCCTGGATGAGTCGTGACGGTAAACGTCCATATGTCGCCGAAGGGCCCATGTAAGGGGTGCTTCACTGGAGCCCTCAACTTGGTTTGGGTTGACATTATTATCGAGAAGAATTCTCACAATGCTTTCATGTCCATCCAGAGCTGCTAAGCATATTGGTCTGACACCAAATTGGTTTCGGGGATCTGAGTCCGCCTTGTATTCAAGTAATACTTCAAGTAGATCAACCGCCCCATTGTGAGCTGCAAAAGCCAAAAGATTCCAGTGATAATATTTCTCTTGGATACTGAGATTCTCAAGGCCCAAGTCCTTCAAGTCTAAATCTTGGGAGTGATCACCAGAATTAGAGGCTGACTCTTCGGGTTCAAGCGGCTCTTCGGGTTCAAGCATAGGAGTATCTGTGCTGTTGGGATCGGCACCTCTCTCAAGAAAAAGTTTTGCAATCGGCGTATTCTCGTGCCTAAGTTGAGTCACACAGTGAAGCGGAGAAAGCCTGAGATCGTCTTTTGCATTGATATCAATGTTTTCAAGTAATTTATGCTCCAACAAAAATTGGACCATTGCAGGAGACTTGGAAAGAACGGCCCAGTGAAGGACATTGAGACCGGTTTTACCGACCAGAGGTGGATCGTTGACATTGGCCAAAATGAAATCCACAAGATCGGTATTTCCACTTGTGACCGCCAAAAACAAACTATAGCCAATGCTGGATTCCGGTGAAAAAAGTCGCTTGAAGATTAGTCTGAACATGTTCAAATTTCCGTCTCGTGCTGGGGCTGCAAGAAGATCTGAAAGTGACTGTGCGGCAAGGACTTCTTCCCCAAGAGCGTTCAGTACCAATTCAGCCATGTCGACATTTGTGGATGCCACTGCGCCTTGAAGAAGACCAGAGTTCTCGGCTTTGATAGCCAAATTTTCTTCAAGAACCCTTGAGACCAAATCGCAATTCCCCATTGCTGAGATCCAATAAAAGGGACTTTCTCCACAACTTTCAATCTTTTTACGGCCCAAGCAGACGAGCTCCAAAAACGTATAAACTCTTTCGTCAGTAAATGAGCTTAGCTTTTCACCCCAAAGGCCGCGGGCAAGCATGGCCAGCTCTGGTGGCCGTTGGTCGGGGGATAAAGGCTGACTACACATAGCTATGAACATCTGCAAACACTCCCTAACCTCTTCCAATTCTGGGTGAAACTGTTGGGGTGACGGGTTTGCCCCATGTTCAATCAAGAGTGTCGCAATTTTGACAAAGACTTCATAGTCGTGATCTCCAGGGATAAAGTGTTTGGCCGCTGAGCTGGTTATGAGGCAAACATCTTGGGCTATTTTGAATAAAGGAGTGCATTGAAGAAGATTCATGGCGTCCGGGTCTGCACCTTGCGCTAGCAATAACTCGCATAACTCTGGACTAAGATGCTTGGTTGCACCAAATAATGCCGTCTCATGTATAGCGTTGGTCTGAAAAACATCTGCTCCTTTGGACAAGAGAAGCTTGACAGTTTCTACAGATCCACTCTCAACTGCCCCGAACAATGGGGTGTTCCCAGCAATATCTGGCGTGTTGATTGATAAGCCTGAATCCAGGAGAAGCTCCAAAATAGATGGTTTTGCCTATCGTGATGCAGGAAAGAGTGCAGTCTGAAGATATTTATTCTGAAGCTTTGGGTTCGCACCCTGCTCAAGAAGAAGCTGCGCAACCTGAGTATTCCCAATTTTAGATGCAACAAACAGGGGTGTTTCTTCTTTTCCATTTCGTTGGTTAGGATCAGCACCGTATGAGAGAAGCTCATATACCACATCTGAATGTCCCAACCGTGTCGCACGAAACAGAGCAGTCTCTGGAACAAAAATCAAATTGGTGGACAAGGCCCCAGGACTAAACATGGTCATCATTTCTTCTAAGGATACGGGCTCCAGAGAATTCACATAGTCGTCTGAGCGTTGCAGTGAAGATGGCAAATATTTGAAATTAGGATCCGCTCCGGCTTCGAGGAAACGACGGACAATTTTGCTATCTCCAGCTTCAATAGCATAGCAAAGAGTCGAAGGTGAGGCTTCAAGTGTGGCTCCTCTTTCAAGAAGTATATTCACTAGCTCTTCGCTCCTTCTTGCCACCGCAGCGGACAGAGGAGTATCACCCTCGGAGTTTTCAAAATTTGGATCCGCTCCGTGATCTAGGAGAAGAACGGCGGCTTCCGTGTGTATGCTAGAAACAGTGTCGATAAGAGGGGTGCCCACAGGATCTGCCACCCTGTCAAATAGGAAAATCGGCCCATGTTGCTCAAGAGCGTCCGCTGCATTTAAGAGCGAGTCAGCCATGGAACTATCATCGAGATATTCCTTCGCTTTTGGCTCATGTGAGTAGTTGATTTCAACCTTTTGGGAAACCAGAAGCTTGATCATTGCGATCTGTCCAGTAATTGCTGCATAGGCTAAGGCGGATCTTCCCATGTTATCGCGAATATCAGGAGAGGCGCCATGCAAAATCACGAGCTCGGCGATTTGTACATATCGACCAGCAGCCGCATACATGAGCAGAGATTTTCCTCCAATGTCTCTGACGTCTGGATTTATACGGCAAGATTCAAGAAGTACCCGTGCTGATTCAACGTGTCCATTTTCAATTGCCCACACGATAGGTACTTTTCCCATGGAGTCTTTGATATTGACATCTTCATCTCGAGAGAGATAATGAGCAAGAAGCATATCAAGATTGAAGTAGCAAGCGAGGTGGATCTTTGTCAAGCCGAATGAAATACTCCACGGAATACGTTTTCTCCTCAGTGGGTTCTGTTGAAAGTAGTGATAGAGCTCAATGATCATAGCCTGACTGGCTGCCTGAACGTTCATTTCTAGCTCCAAGAACCGCACACATAAAGCGAAGAGGTCCGGGGACCTTTTGATCAGTGTCGAAACATGTGCTCCCCAATACAAGGCACAATAGGTAAGAAGAGGATAGCGCTCCTCCCTCAGAACAAAGCTCGATTCGGCACTGCATCGTCCAGTGGAGAAAGCGTGGAAGCTAAGATAGGTTATGATAACTTTAGCCATTTTTTCTCCGGAATCCTGAAGATAGCTGCTCTTTGATAAGTATGTCTTTGTGGTGTAGTGTACCAAACGCACGATGCCGGTATTTCGATCAAATGCAACAAGACCAGCGCAAATGCTTTCAATGACATTTATATCAACAAATGCTTCCCAGTCAAGGTTTTTCATCCCTGGCCGGGTGACGATAGCGTGTATGAGTTGATCGGCTGTTAGAGCTGTCTTGCTAAAAGTGAGCCAAGACAGAGCTTTCAACGCCAATTCAGACGCAGACCCTTCACCTTCAGATTCTTCATCGGACTCTCCTCCTGATTGGGATGTAATCCGTAGCATAGCCTGATCATATGCTAGTTTGAGACCGGTTGTACCTCGAGGCAATTGAGTTATTGCGCTCTTAACTCTCTTAATAGTCAAAAAGTCCATCAGATGATTCATGTGCAATTTTGCAAGTAGAAATCTAATAAAAGTGAGTGATATATTGCAAAGTCGAGGAAATTCCAAAGTTAGTCTTACACTCCATCCGCAGCTTTGATAACCCCTCCTTGAACGTGCTCTTGAAATTCGAGGGTTTGTGAAGTTTTCGAAATACGAAGCTGGGGCATTCTTTCTTTCACATATTTCAGTATATCATCGTCGTGAGCCCGAATTTCTTTCGTGACAAAAGGAACAAAATGGGATGAAATATCCTCATTGTATCGCGATGTCACGAAGACTTTGACGTGAGTATGTTCGCGAATTTTGCGCAAGGCCTCGAAGAATAATCTCGAGTCTTCTCTGTCTGCAGAGTAATACTCATCAAGAGCATCAACGACCAAGAAGACAGAGGAATATGACCCAATGGCATCCTTTATAACTGCTTCCACCTCCAAAGGTTGAGGTCTCGTAGACTGTGAGCTGTGGGTCTGGAAAAGTTTCAATACACACGGCAGCAAATCTGCATCTGGAGAGCGAAGCGCAAGTTGCCGAAGAAGACTGAGCAACAACTCGGACTTTGTCTGTCGATGTTTTGACTGGTAGCTGCAAAATTCAAAAGCAACTTTTATATCTGAGTTGTCTTTGAAAGTTTCCCTCGAATGCTCTATCACGATTGAGGCCATAAGTGTCTTGCCAGAGCCTGGAATCCCAGGACAGAACAAAGTGCGATGTTCGCTATTGCCATTCATCCACTGAGTGAACTCTTCCGAATTTATAAGCCAACTGCCTGTTCCTTCTTGTCTCAGGCTGATGTTGTCATTTTGCTGGTCAATGAAATCTACTGAGCTGATCCAATCAAGAACCTGTTTGGTTTCTTTAGTTGCCACAAATTTTCCAACTTTGGTCACTTCGGTATGAACTATCTGAAATATTAACAGAGATTCTTCATATCCTGATATAATGCATATATCAAAGCTCTCGGGCCGAATCTTGCTGACCTTCTTGCACTTTCTCCAGTATTGCCTTCACCGTCGGCTCTCCGTCCACGTCCTTCACCTGTACATGTTCCAAATATTCCTTTGCGCACGCAGCAGCCACAGCCGCGGCATACGGCTGCCATCTATCGTTTTTGTGAGAGTCTGCATAGTCCGAGATACCCCGGATCACCACGCAAGGAAAGTTGTTCATCAACCCAGCGGCCTCCATCTCCAAGCACAATGCGCCGTGCTTGTCTCGAATCTCATCACGCAGAATCGAATCTTTGACGACCATGTTTCCAGATGCAATTGTTCCATAATGAATGAGCGGCGCTTCATCAAATCTGTTCTCCCGCTCTATAGCCTCTGAATCTTCACACTTGGAGCATTTATTCCCTCCAACATGAATGTAATCAGCCTTGAAAAAGCGATCTAGATCTGATTCCGGCTTGGTGTATCCCTTCTTGCGCATGAATGGATGTTTCTCAATCATTTGGCCCACATAAAATGGTATCTTATTTTCTTCCATCTCGTGCTGCGCCTGCATTGCCGCAAGAGCCGAGCTCAACGAGCGAGGAGGCGGAGCCAGGGCAGATCGAGTCTCAAAAGATCCATCAGCAAGTCTTTTGCCTAAATCATAAGCGACCACGCCCCCGGTCTTGGAGCTGCTGCTGATAACAACATCTCCCAGGCGGACATCATGTTCATCTTGGCTGTCATAGTCCGGAATTCCGGCACCTATGCCAACACAAAGTCCGATTCGGGTTTTGGGAAAGGTAAACAGCATGTCCTTGACAGAAGCGGTGGCGGAGGAGGAACCGAGCTGATCCTTGGGTAAGGAAGCAATGATGACTTTGAAGTTGCCAATTGTCCCCAATGTGTACCTATTTTGGTCCGCAGCGGCTGGTGAAGTTTGTGGCTCTTTATGATCTTCTCCATCAATCATACCCCTCGCTGCAGCTAGCTCGACGGGAAGAGCACATATCCAGCCGACCGTGTATTCCTCATTCAAATACGGTGATTTTCGAGGGCTAGACATGGTGTCTGGAGGAAATATCTCTCGAATAAACTTTCTCTTCGTACCACTCAAGAGTGTCATGCCTATTGAGAAATAAATATGCTGTTTTGCATGGATGACTGTATGAATGCTTTCTCATGTACCAGGGGATGTTGTGTCTCCAACTGACATATAAACTGAGATCTCACAAAGTTAAAAGACGACCCCGTGGTAAGAGCTGCATGGCTTTGGGGGCCAAATTGATTGCAACTGACGGGGCTTGGGTAATAGATCGGGTTTACATGCATCCATGGCATGGGCGCTAGCGGCCATCTAGTTGAGGATCTGGTACTTAGTAGTTTGACCTCGGTCATCTGAATATGACTAGGATGTCTGGGAATTGCCATTGAGCGCGCTTTACAGTTATTAGCGAAATCTGCTTCCGCCTTATACTGTCGAAACATTGTTTTAATGAGAGCCCTACTGCTAATATAGTGTCAGAGAGGGGTCAGGTGACCCCCTCTGGGTATATCCAGTGCTTGCTTCCTTCCTTCCTTTTCCATTCTTCTCCTCATCCCCCCGAGAGAGATTGTCCATAGCCAATCCAGTTGCTTTTCTCTCTCCGTTCTTTCCTTTCCCTAAGCAGCGGCTATATTCCACCGCTGACAGATAGCGGTGGATAAATTTACTCCACCGTCATTTATAACTAAATAGCCCTTGTTATTTTGGAACGATACTAAACATGTTATTGATGACGGTGTAAATTTACGAACCCCCGGGTGCTCTAGACATCTGGAGGATTCCGTCGACGTATGTGAAGATAGACGGCTGCTTCGGCCAATAAAAATGCTTGATACGTCCCCAGGCGCCAGAATCCCGCTGAGAGTAAATCAGCATCTTGAGCTGTGCTACTCCAATTTTGCACCATGGTGAAAAACATTTGAAGCCCGTACATATATAATAAGAGAGACTCAAGTGCTAAGAACTACTAGCACTTGAGTAGTTGGGGGGGCCTTTCTGGATTCGTCGCATGCACATGTGGAGTGCTTATTAAGGCTTATACATACCGGAGAGCTTGGCTCTCAGTTTCTTCCATTTTGTCCCCCGGTTTGTTGTTTTCTTTTGAACAGGCTCTTTTCTGCCAGAATCCTCACATGTGTGAAGCTCTAAAGAGCTTAATTTGTTGGAAAGCCGAGAATACCGTTCGCCATACTGGCCCCAAACAGCCTCAGCGCCCACCAATGCTCGCTGATAATACAGCAGAGCAGTATCAACCTGCCCGTTCCTCTCATATAGAAGGCCAAAATTCTCCAGAGTATTCAAGGCAGGGATATAGGTGAAAGTCGAGGTCGCCCCCAAAGCCGCCTCATAGCCTTCCAGCGCTCTTTTGTACATCGCCTCTGCCTCTTGGAGCTGGTCTTGATCCGCGTAGAGAAGACCGAGATTGTTGACGGTATCCAGCGTAGATGTGTGTTCTCGTCCCCATACCTTATCGAAGCCTTCCAGCGCTCGTTCGTACATCGCCTCTGCCTCTTGGAGCCGGCCTTGAACCGCGTAGAGAACACCGAGGTTATTGACGGTATCTAGTGTCGTTGTGTGTTCTCGTCCCCCCGCCTTCTCATAGCCTTCCAGTGCTCGTTCGTACATCGCCTCTGCCTCTTGGAGCCGGCCTTGATCCGCGTAAAGCAAACCCAAAGAATGCAGACGCCCTGCAGCCTCACCTTCAACTTCTATATTTCTTATTGTCTCCAAACATCTGTCTGCATGTGCAATAAGCCGCCGTTGTAAGAGCCAGAATTCACGTTCGTCTTTCCCGGGCACATGCGCCGCTACACATTCAACTGCTATCCAGGCCATATTCTTTTCAATCCCTTGGTTCAGGACATGAATCATCCACGAATGAACGCAGCCGTGTACGCTATACCCTCGTGACTCCACTCTCTGTAATGTGGTAGTCGGATCAGCTTCAACGAGCCCGTGACTGCACAAAATTCGTAAGCTTGCGTGAAATGTGAGCTTGTTCTTTGTCAGTGCGCCCAGCCATTCCGGCTTTTCCGGGCCACTATACTCCAACAGCTCATACCACAAGTCTCCACTAGCAAAATACGCCCATTGTCGGAGAAGCATAGCTGCAATTGGACTCTGCTGCTGAATATATCGATATGAGAGATTCCATGTTGAGTACAACGTTTGATCGTATGCCGCCAGTTGCGGCGTCTCTTCGTGTAATTGCTGCCATGATTCTCGGTACAGCTGGAGATACTCGGTGCAGCTAATCGAGACTTGCTCTAAGTATGCGCCAGCTGTCGCGAGGGCCAGCGGAAATCCATCAAGCTTCCTCGCAAGATCAGTAGCTGCAGGGTCTGCTCAATATTAGTAATTGATATTGGACCATATCGTCCTTACTCACCTTGTCTTAAATTTTCACGGCCAGAGACGGAAGCCAGGACCTCAAGGCTATCATTGATATCCTCTAGCTTGCGTAAGTGAAGAGTCTGGCCTAGCTTTACTATAGAGGACCGCGTGGTCACAATGATGGCACCATGGTCGGTCTCGGGCAGGAATTTCTGAAGATCAAAAGCCTTTACAAGATTTTCGTCGTCATCGCTATATATACCTGCCTCGACAGAGGAAGTATAGCTTGTGCCTTTCTCTGTCCGGTTGCCTGATAGGGGATTATCATAGTTATCATAGACGATCAACCAACGATCGTTCATCGGGTCGTCCAACCATCGTCTGGCCGCTTTCACCGTCTCGTCCAGATCTTGGCTCTCCAAAGCAGCTGCGATGTATACAAGAGACGGATGGTGGCGTAGAATCCACTCAGCTGTGCGAGCGAGGCTTTGCTTCAATGCTGTTTCATCTCTTGCATTCAGCCATATTGCCGCCGAGTAATGAGACCGATTCCGTTTGATATATGCGATGGCTAGCTGCGTCTTGCCAATTCCACCCAACCCATGCACGACGGCGGTACGGCGTCCAATAGTCGTGTCGAAGATCTCTTCCATCCTCTTAAGCTGATCTTCTCGTGCGATGAACCGGGTCACTTCGGATATCTCGGATAGATTAAGCGGGAGCTCGAAAGTAGTATGCGTCGGATTCGGATTTCTAAATAATGCATCCATGAGCTATATAAGCATATATGTATTGTCTCTATATTGAGACTGTGAGAAATTTACCGTTGCACCTCTTCAATGGACATATGGAAGAATAGCTGTCGTGCATAAGCGGCTGCTACCGCCGCTGCGTAACCATGCCACTGGTCATTCTTATGCGAGTCGCAATAGTAGGAGATGCCTCGAATCACCATACAGGGGAAATCGGTAAGGGCTCCTGCTGCCTCCATTTCAAAGCATAGTACCCCATGTTCCTGCGCCAAATCGTCTCTCTTCTTAGCATCCTCTATCGCCAACTCTCCTGAAGCTATTGTGCCTCGGTGTACAACAATAAACGAGTCTTCTTCCTCGTCTGTCGGTCGCTCGATACGCTGCCTCGGATCACACCCACTATCTTCACATGGTATCCCTTGCTGCCCATGTGTATAGTTGGATGGGTATAGATAGTCATTCGCGGCGCCAGGGAACTTGAAGCGGCGAAGTCTTCGACGGCTAGTTTGGATTCGCTCCAGATTCCCCCAAACTGGATCATCATCCACCCGCTGGCGCCGGACAGCCAATTCCCGTGCAGCGTTAAGAAGGGCGGTTGGCGGGGCTTCGAGGAAACCTTTGCGTTCAAAGTGACCCTCCTTCGCCTTTCCGTGATCGTACTGTACTGCTCCAGAGTGTATACCAGTCGGTTCACTAACGACCACATGTCCTAGACGGATCATTCCACACTCGGTCTTTGTCGGTACGCCGCCCCCAATCCCAACCAGCAGGCCATATTTGAGGTTTGGAAATGTCATCCTCATTTGAGTGACGACAGTAGCGGCGGAGCAGTTCCCCGCCCGAGGTAGACCAGCGATGACAACGTTATGGTTATTGATGCTACCGAGGTTGTAAACGTTCGTGTCCCCGCTTGGTTGCGGAAGGGGTTGATGCTCCTCATCTAGCATCTCCATTGCCGCAATCTGTTCCACCTCTAACGGGCATATCCATCCCACGCGGTAGGAATCGCGGTTCAAACATTTCAGTGACATTTTCGGCGGCACGGTTGGCGCCCCTCGTCAAGATTCTAGGTGAAGGGTCGTGTTCGTAGATTCCTGCTCATCGGCGTCGATATCGTGGCAGTCGTAGAGTGAAATACTGTTCAAGGTAAGTGAAGACTCCAGCAAGAAGACTGAATTGCGAGGGGCGCAAAGCCTTGCAATTATCCACTAGCATCAGGACTAAAGGGGCGCAGCACCTAAGCGCCCTCGAAGTGCGTTCTGGGGAACGTGCAGCCAACTGGACACGAACACGATTCATCAGACTGTGAGAATGACCAACTGCATATGACCCCGGTCATTGACGAATGCTCGTACTGTTTAAGCCACAGGAGGCTCAATGGTTCTTCTATCCATACTAAGCCTTGGGCGAGCAAGACATGTTTATGATCTTATCCAAGCAAAGAGAGAATCCAAGCTGTTAGCGGCGTTTAACATAATGGAATTATTTTCGTATCCACTATATTCCGAACAATAAATCTGGTTGACAGAATAAACCACGTCGTTGGTCGCAAAAGCCCAGCGGGGCAACAACAGAAGGAGTGTGGGCCCTGGGGGCTGAAAAAAGTCAGTACACGTGACGCGTGCTTTCGTCCATGTGGGCGATAAATTCGTGCGGTAGAACTGGCCGCGTTCCACCACGTTTTTTTGTGCAGCTGGAGGAATAGAAATGGCGCCTTGAAAGCTTGAAACATGGCGGCACGACCTAATTCATGATATGACACAAGCCACCGAGACTTACACCAATGCACAAATCGCCAAAGCAGCCCACGAGCCCATATCCATTAAGCCCATGTGGGCCATGTCTGTAAAGCGATTTTATGTGTTTCCATTTCTTATCTTTACGTCGAACTGCTATACTGGTTGTGTATGAAACTCATCTTTTATTATCGCATCACATGCTCTCAACTTTCAAAGTCTCTCTACCTCATTCTTTGCCTGCGAATGGCAAATACGGATGCAATATTTTCCGCAACACCATTACCACTTGAGATCGCAAAAATTGAATTCTCATCCACTGATATCGCAATGTATTAGTGCTTACTCGATTTTTCGTCAATAACATTTGAACCCGAACACAAAGTGTACTAGGTAATTCATGGCATCTTACCTCTTTATCACCAGAGTGCTCATGAGGGTCATGCAGATGTCCCATGAACTCGTCACCATAATAATGGATTATTCCAGTGGTCATGAACCCAGCACTTACTAATCAATTACGCTGCATAACAATTGAATTCAATTGTCTAGTACATAGTATAGCTAGCCACACATAGGTATTATGCGGAACTCTATCTCATGATGGTCTCTGCCTGCCATGTTGGGCATGATAAAGACAAAAACCTTACCGCAACCCATCCATTCGACTTAGAGTGATCAAATGCTCTAGAATAAAGTACTGGTATATTGAGATCTCATCCTCATCAAGGTCCCCGCCGGCAATTCTTCACACCCCAGTGCAGATCGATTCCCGAAAAGCCACGGGTCATTTGGCGCACACTTACCCGGGACTAAAGAATCCTACCTTGTCAACGCCACCTGGGCCCTGAAGAAAAGCTTGGACGCAGTTTTTCAGAGAGTGTTGGCATTGTTCAGAGTATGTAATAACCAAGTAGACTGTTTCAGGCCAAGACCTGGCCAAGAATCTTGAAACTGGTCAAACTCTCAGAGGGGCCATTGCTTGTCATGAGGTGACTTCTTTGGTGGGAATTCTTCCATGGCCTGTTTCCCTCCATATATACTACCTACTACTAAGTGTACCCCGCAAGCCTGATCGTCGTCAATCCGGGGCACTTCCCCTTCATATCTAAAATTTTATGGGGTGACTACCGGACGGTCTGCTCCGTGTCTCATTTCGACTCCGTTTATACGCTAACTGGTTTGACTCCATGTTGCATGTTCAAGACCTCACACGGAGGTATAAATTGGAGGTTTTCTTCAAGAGCAGAAGAAAATGTTTCGACATAAGTCGGCAAAGAAAGAAATTTGGTGAATAACTGACCTGACGGAAAAATGAGATTCGGGCACTTTGCTCTCTTGGCTGCTGCCTCTGTGTCGGCATCCCCGCTGAAGAAGGCAAAGAAGGCTTCTTCATTTGAGTGTTGGTGTTTACTTCCCGGATGAGGCATTCCCCAATTATAGAACTGATGGCTTATTTAGGGTTTGGGGCCAACGAATCTGGTGCTGAGTTTGGCACAGACGTGTTTCCTGGTGTCTATGTAAGTTTTGAAAAATTGAAGTTAGCTGTAAGCGAAACCTCCCTGACCTTGACCCATATTGACAGGGAACCGACTATATTTTCCCCAGCACGAGCACCATTCAAACCTTGATCAATGATGGCATGAACATCTTCCGTGTAAATTTCTACATGGAACGGCTAGTCCCGACTGTCATGACGGGATCTTTTGATGCGGAGTACCTGAGCAACTTGACATATGTATGTGACCGGTCCAACTCCCCAACTCCCCAATTTCCCGTATATTGGAGATTGACAAGGGCAGGTGGTAGACTACATCACGAACGCAGGTGCCCACGCGGTTCTGGACCCACACAACTTTGGTCGATAGTAAGCCAATTGAAATCCCTACCTGGGCACTGAGCCCGCACATGTCTTCAAGACCAAGAACTGCTTAAGCTGACAGTGACCTGACTATCAAGCTATGACGACATCATCACAAGCACCTCAGACTTCCAGACGTTCTGGCAAAACGTTGCAGGACAATTCAAGTCGAACGAGTTGGTGATTTTTGATACCAGTAAGAACCCCAGGCGGTTATATACCTGCCATCACAAGCATAGAGCTCACACTTACAAACCACACACAGACAACGAGTACCACGACATGGACCAAACCCTCGTCCTAGATCTCAACCAAGCTGCCATCAACGGCATCCGCGCGGCCGGCGCAACAAGTCAATACATTTTCGTCGAAGGCAATTCTTACACAGGCGCCTGGACCTGGACAGAGTACAACGATAACCTCGTCAACCTCACAGACACAGAAGACAAGATCGTCTACGAGATGCACCAGTACCTTGACTCGGATGGATCGGGTACGAGTGCGACTTGCGTGTCGAGCACGATCGGTCAGGAGCGCGTGGAGTCCGCGACAGCGTGGCTTATCGCCAACAACAAGGTCGGTATATTGGGGGAATTTGCTGGTGGCGTGAACACCGTTTGCGAAGAGGCAATTACGGGGATGTTGACTTATTTGGAGGATAATTCGGCGGTTTGGAAGGGTGCTATGTGGTGGGCGGCGGGTCCGTGGTGGGGAGATTACATTTTCAGTATTGAGCCGCCCACTGGAGTAGCTTATACAGGGCTGTTGTCGACGTTGGAGCCATACTTTGCCTAAGTTCCGAGCCTCTGAGTGCTTGAAGTTGTACCGGCACGAGCAAGCATTCAGTGTGGGGGTGCCGATATTTAACATTCAAATGTTCGGAATGAAATCTTCAAATTTCTCTCATCAAGATAGTATTTTGTAGGATATGGGCCATCAATGGAGACTCAGGATCTACTATGTAGTCACTCCAGGGCTTTTTGATAGTACTAGTTAGTTACCACAGCGACAATGTCTAAGCAGCGCTCACGCTAAACCAAAACGGGTGAGATTACCCAGCCGCGTGATTCGCCAGTTCGTGTGATGCATCCAGAATCTGAGCATGGAAGCATGGAAGAAACCTGCAGGCCACGGCATCAGGCTTGGCAGGCATGCATCTCCATGTCATAGCCATGATATCCACGCAAGGTTCGGCGCAGCTAGATAACTGCCTAAAGTTCAGTATGGCCTGCTGCACATGTATGTAGGTTCGGTCTGGATGGATTGAGTAGCCATGGATACTAAGCCCCAGAAAACTTTATCTTAAAAAATAAATATAGAAACCGAGAATGTGGTTGACTGCCGAAACATTGAAAAATCAGCAGAAGACCCAGAAACATGTGTAGGTGTGGAGAGAGGCGCGGCAGGTCGGCATTCACGCCAAGCGTTTAAATGCAGAAGCCTAAGATCAGATCAGATCAGATTCTTACGCAAGTTATGCTACTTGGGTAGGATCAGATGCTGATACGAAGTAGAATGGATAGAGCAGATATTTTTGGCCCCTAGGCATTTCTAAGAAATAATTTTTTAAAATTTTTTAAAATTTTTTTAGAGGAAAAAAAAGGGAGAAAAGAACAAAACTCACAGGGCTGGGAGGATGACGAGGCCCGCTCAGACAGGGGTGCGCCGATCCTGCGGTCAACCGTGGGACAAGGCGAAGTCCCTGACTACTAGTGACCGCCTACGTAAGTGTTTTCCAATGCGGTACTTGATACGGAAGTACATCAATAGATTAATGACGGGGGCCAAGTCATTTATTAGACACGTTGAATTTATTTTTGCTGGACATGATCATACAAAATTCTTATCGTATCAAATCTGCTTGTTGGTTTATCCAAGCGCATAGAGGAAAAAAATCCAATGATTTTTTTCAATGTTTACATATCCCATACAATCATCAACTGTAATTCGGATCAGACCGAGGACTGGCGAAAGAGGACTAGCGTTGACACGAATAGAAACGGCAGCAAACGTGGCAACGCAAAGTCGGGAAATGATCCACTTTCGGAGTTTCTCAAGCCCTGATTGGCTGGGGACTGGGGCCCTGCGCCTCTTACAGGGAGGCTGGAGTTGTCGTTGACTCGTTGCTATAGAGGCTGTACACTTTCCTGGCCGATCATCTCAGCTTAAAACCTGCCTTCCTCCCCCCAATTTCGCTTATTATTATCCACGACTTTTAACCTTCCATCCATAAAAGGCAACTCCCCACCCTCCATCTCCATCCATACATCTTTATCGGAAGTTTTTCCTCTCTCATATAATACAACCTCATCATGGGTAAAGCTGGCCGTGTCGCGTGTATCATCACGCCTTATCTCTTAACGATCGCCACCTTGATCTGTATCATTCTGGTTGGACTGGGATGTACCAAGGCTAGCTCTAGCACCTTGAACAACCTCTACTTCATGCGGGTAAGAAACAAACCCCAGCTCTGCAATCCTCTAAAAGGAAGTTTGCGACTAACCAGTTATGCGCTTCAATAGATCGATCTATCAAACCTCACCAATGGCTCAAAAACAACCACAGAAATCGAGAACATTCTTAATGAATTCGACATTACCAGTGTCAACTCGACCGAAGTCAAGGAATTGGTCGACGAACTCGCCAGCAACGAGGCCGACAGCCTGATCATGGAGTACTACGACATCGGTCTCATGGGTTACTGCGATGGTAAAATCAGCAACAGCAAATACAACACCACCTTCTGCTCCTCCCCCAAGGCCGAATTCTACTTCGACCCCCTCTCCGTCTGGGGCCTGGACAGCACCTCCGTCAAGGACGAGCTGCCAGACGACTACAACAAGGTCATGAAGATCTACAAGGCCGTCTCCAAGTGGATGTTCATCGCCTACGTTATCGCCTTCGCCGCCACCATCATCGAGATCCTCGTCGGCATTTTCGCTATCTGCAGTCGCTGGGGTAGCTGTGTCACCACCCTCTTCGCCGTCATCGCCTTCCTCTTCACCGCCGCCGCCTCCGTTACTTCGACCGTCATGTTCTCCGTCTTCAAGGGCAGTCTGGGCACCACCCTCGAAGCCTACGGTATCAAGTTGTCCCTGGGCACCCACATGCTCGCCACCACCTGGCTCGCAGTCGCTTTCTCGCTTGGCGCGACCATCTTCTGGCTCTTCAGCGTTTGCTGCTGCTCCGGCCGCTCGCCCTACAACCACAAGAACCGCGGAATGCGCGGCAATGGCTTGACCGCTGAGAAGGCTCCTTACACCTACGAGCCCATTGGTGCCGGTGCCGTTGGTGCTCAGCCTTTCGGTCACCACCAGCAGACTTCTTACCCGCCTCCTCCTCCCAACGCCTACCCCATGACCAACCAGCAGCAGACCCATGCTAGCCCTTACGAGCCTTTCCGTCACTCCTAAGCGACGCATATGACACAAAACACTTTCCTTATATACAAAGCGTTTTTAGATGGGTGATACCATGGCGTTCAATTTGCTCTGCTTGTCCCAATTGGGGATTGGTTGGCTTGCTATTTCTTTTTTGGGGAGGTTTCAAATCACTTTGGTATCTGCTTTGACGATTTCCTTACGACTTAATGCCTGCACATCGCATCTGTTTTGAATTCATTCCCTGCACTGTATATGGTTTTCATGCCTACTGTACCTTCAGCGATGACTACTCTTGTATCGTTAACTATTGCGAATTAATTCGTCAATAATTGATCACTGAAAAATCAATTTCACTTAAAAACTCTAATCTCCATCTCTTCATCCACCTGAAACTCAAGCATAACACATTTCCCCTATGCCAAGCAAGCTAGCAAATCTTAACCTCAAGTGCTTGTCCCGTCACCAGGAAGAATCATTGATTCGGATATCAAAACAAACTAGTAAGCAACGTGACATGAACGAAACCTTTGCTCTGTACGGATGTAATTATTCGACAGTGGACCTGACCCACTAGCCCCCCGAACTATCGCCCGATTTAAGAAAGTGCTCGGCCCCGTCTTTCTGGGGGCCATTTGGCTAAGCTAGTGAGCCACATTGGTAGGCGGAGTGGGACCCATCGGGACTCGAAACAGAAAGTGATGCGCTGAACACGAGCCTTGCTGACAGGCTGACTAGCTTGTGTTTAGTATTGTTCGGCCGATCGGTGCATGATCTTAATTTTGCAATTTTGATTGAATTTTCATACGGACTCGGCCTAAGTGCTCGATTCCACATGCAACCTTGAAGGTTGTAATGTATAAACATTGAATGCATGCACATGCGTAGTAGGGACTGCGGATGGGATATTAGAACGTGCTACATGATATTAGGTAGGCAAGATAAAAAGTTGATATCAGTTTGTTGATAATGGAAATGCAGTTGCTGGATATCCAGGTCTCTCGTAATAATGTACATGAGTCGAAAATAGACAGAAGCCGCCTACGGGTATGATGGATCCATCCCACAACACCCCCGACCTAACGCCAAAAACAAAATAACAAGATATGACAATGATCACAGAATGATGGATATAATCCTTTTAACGCTGGTTCGGCCTTCGAATCACACCGTTTTCATCCAAAAGAATCTTAGTACCTCCACGACGTTTTCGCTCTCTCAACACATTCTGGTCTGCTTCTGCCCAACGCTTGAACTCCGTTGGACCATCAGACCAGACAGGGCCTTTAGGTCGGATGTGCCGAAGTGAGGAAAACCAGTTTTCATTCTCACTTTCTGGCTCGCAAATTTGCGGAGAAGCTGGGATTGGTTCAGCGGCCGTAGCCCGTGTATCCTCGGCTGGAGACTTTTCTCGTCTTCTCTCACGAGATGATGGGCCAGCCGGGGTTCCTTGGGCAGGAGTTGATTGACTTGCGGTGAGAGCCGTTTCATCAACGGTAGTAGCTGACGCTTGCCATGCCAATATATCTCGCTTGAGCTTTCTCGCTTCGCTCGGCTTCTCATCCGGAGTTCGTGGTCTGAACGAAGCATAATTCTTGCGTATTATTACTTGGACTCTTGGACTAGGACGGCGTTGATCCATGCTGGAAACAAATGTTTCGTCGCCTAGCTCAACACTGGCAGTTTCATGAAAGCTATCTTCATCTTGACCAACGTCCTCAGGGTCCGTTTCGGGAACTTCTTCCATGTCTTCTTGCATCTGGACGTCTGCAGCCTCAACTTCCATTTCCACTTCCATATGCGTTGCTTTCTCCTTTTCCACTTCCGCTCCCGCTGATGCAGTTGATGATGGGCCATGGGCCTCAGCCGCCTGTGGAGACCAACGTGTAAGTGGTTCCAAAGCAGATGAAGGAGGGGGGCCTGTCTGAGTGCTGTCGATCCCGATAGGGTCTGATGCAGACCCCTCGCGTTTGATTTCCACAGAAGGGGGGTTTGAAGGCCGTTTATCGTCAGGGGATTTCAAAGAAAGGCCACCTTCAGAGACGACATGGGAGCGAGCATAGAGACCTGCGAACTTTTCCACTAGGCTGCCAGTAAACGACTTGTTCAAAGCAGGGCTTGGAGTTTGGCCTGGCATCGTGCATTGTTCACTGCTTGGGACTGCAGGAATTGCATTATCGATAGCTTCACCAGGAGCGCATTGCGATGCTACAAATTCAATTCCACGAGCTGTCAAACTGCGCTTTCTGAGAGAAGGGCGTGAGAAATTATCAAAGAAATAATCCTCATAGTTGAGCGCATCCTGTAACCCGTTATTTTCAAGATATTGGGGGTAGCTTGTGAGATGCATAGTAACAAAGTCATCCCACAAAAAGGACCGGTGAAGTTTCCCCTGCTTTCTCACGGCAAGCAGCATACCACACAGCTTTGTGAAATGATCGAAACTCCCAGAATATGAGGGATAATCACTGCAAAACCTTTTGTAAACCCCCCAAGCCTCAGCATGCGTCTCTGTATTGTTGACAAAGCCCCTCCGGCGAGCCACCAAGGAAGAGGTCTGAGTGTCAATAGCTTGAACATCGTTTCCTTCGATTCCCTGGGCAATGTCATCAGAGTCTCGATGCGGAGGCTCGAAGGGGGTTGGGACGGGAGAGGATCGGACCCGAGGAGAACTCATCGGCTCGTTGATGGCATTGGCTGCCTTCATAGGATCTGGTTTTGTGGACTCGTTCAATTGAGATCCAGTGTGTCCAGCACCGCTTGTCAATGCAATAGGAGAAGATTGGGTAGCAGAAATGTAAAAGTCCTGCTGACGTTGGGCTGGCCCGGAGGAATCAAGTACAATATCTGGCTGAGAACTATCTGCAGCATTTTGAGGTTGTGACTGAGACCTCCACAGTGAGGCCATGCTGCTAGTTGGCAGCTGGGTCACAGGGACATCCAGCCTGAATGACGTATCTTGGCCCTGTCTAGAGGGAGTCGGGGCTTCGTGAGAAGACTGACTCTGCTCATGGCGTGCATTAAATGGATACGTATCCAGGATACGAGACTGAGAGGAGGTTTCGTGGATTTGCGAAGAAATTAGATTTGAGTCCAGGGGGCCAGCCTGATTAGACTCTTGATTTGGATTTAGATGCAGTCGGTCACTTCCTGCTACTGGAGTTACTGCAACCTGCACCGACTCTCCGTTCACAGCAGGTAGCGACGGACCGGAGCTAACCAAGTCCTCTTCAACTCGACTGGACTGCGTGGGATCTGGCATTGTTTCACCTAGCGCAAAAGGCACAGACGTGTCCATTACAGAATCCTCATCTGAGTCTTCTTCTTCCCGCGCCAGGGCAATAGGTTCTGGTCTGGAGGAAGGTACCGGTGACTTCATAGTTGTTTCTTGGTTTGGCGCTGGAGTACCAGACAATTGGGAAAAAGGTTGTTGATTGCCCCCTTCATTGCTTGCAGCGGCTTTGGGATCAAGAGGACTCTTAGATCTTGCCTTATCTTGCGTTGTTGTTTGCGCTGGGAATTGAGCAGGGTTATCGGAAGCACAAGTCTGAGGTAAGTCTCGAAATTCGGCGTTATTCTTGGGTGGCTGTGGGGAAACATTTTTGTAACCGGTGCCGGTAGCAAGACTGCGTTGTTTTCTCGGGGCTAGTCGACGTACTGGGCTCGATGGGGGCAGGTCATTTTGATGAACACGAGATGGCCTTTCAGGAGATGGGGACCAGTGGAAGCTCTCAGACGGGTCACTAGCGATAGATGAAGCGTCGCTCTCCTGTGTTGAGGTGATGGGTCCTTGTGGGTCACTATCATGTTCTTCAATTTCAACTGTCGCATTTCCTGATTCAAGATGCCGTCGTTTCACGGCATTATTCCATTGCCTTAGAAGCAAAGGTGGCACATGCCCCTGGGGCATGGGATCTCTTGGGCAGGGCGGTATCCAGCACAGTTTATCCTCCTCAAGAAGCTCTTGCTGGTTTTTCGGAATGATAAAATCACTTGATGTGATCTGATTCGGTCCTTCCCAGGGACTTGGTCGGGAAGTCACACTCCTTTGAGGAGACGATGGCACATGGATGGTAGCAATCGGCTCCGTGAGTTCAGAATGAGACAAGGTCGCGGTCTCCTCAGCCAATTTTTGATGTTGAATCTCCAAGTCATGTGCGTGTAGCTCTGTCGTGGATCCAACACGCTGCCTCTTCAATGGCGGACTGTTGCCCCTCGGACCGGGAATCCTGTTTCCATCTTGATCGTGTTCAGACCGTTGCCGCTTCTTCGGAGGAGGTTGCATGGTACTGTGAGAAGGTGACAAGTCTTTGAACTCTGTCTTATCATGTCTCACATCTGGACTAGTTTCAATTTGTGAACATATTGAGTTTCGACGTGGTGTTGACGGAGAGTGGTTTCGATTGGGCGATTGAGCCAACGGACTCCCCTGCGTTGCATTCACATCATTATCCATGTGACCACCGCGCAATACCTCCGCGTTTACATCATGAATGACAGTCTTGTCGGAAGCTGCGAGAGATGTAGGCCCAAGACGCCTAAGTAGCTCTTCTGTCCCGTACGGGCGAGGTACAATTGTGTTGGCTTCGTATACAGAGCGACTTACATCAAGAGGAACCTGTGATGAGATTTGCTGCGATTCCGCGGGTTGATTCGAGATATTGTCTTGGACATTGTTCTGTGGCGGTGCAGAAGATCTCGGCGTTGAGTGGACAGCTCCGCGTAGGCTTTTAGCCTTGTCGTATACAGTGTTTAGCAAACCCCTGACGTCCCTGTAATTTTGAAGTTTTTTCTTGGGGACAAGTCCCTTGGTTCCCTTATCCCATTCGATATGAAATTTATTGATAAACAGGTGTGGGTTGGGTAGGCGCGTTTTGTGAGGGACGACTAGCTTGAAGTCTAGAAGCCTGATAGAATACTTTTTGGGATTGGTGGCAATCGGCTGTGCAGTTGTAGCATCGATTGAGTAAACGGGTAGTAGATCAGGAGCAATAATGGCATCGATTCGAAGCTTCGCGTCATTCAAAACTGCTTCGTCGTCCGAGGGGCCCATACCCCACTGTTAGATTAAAAAAGTATTTAGCAATTAGTCAATCTTGAGTTCACTGGGGATGAAAGTTAGTTACCTCTGCAACAGTTGCTGTATGACCATGGCCGTAATTCCGGAGCCTGAAGCTTATGCTGGACCCATCGTCTTCCACTTCAACATCATCCTGCGTGGTCTGGTCTAGATAGACTGGCAGCACCTGCTGGATGAACAATGAGATCCAAGAGGATTCAGAAGTCATGGTGCAGTTCTGAGTGAGGCCCAATTAACCAGATCTCCAGTACGCCTCATATCCAAATGAGTAGATCGTTAGCGGTTGAACGTGGAGTGAAAGTTGAATGGTGAAACCATACAATCTCAAGTTTCTCGCGCAAATCTCCAAATCCCCCGATAACGATAAGACGCGACGCGCACCGCTGACTCAGCCTCACAACGTCATTGGGCGAACATCAAATTGCGGAGAGAAAGGGCGTTCGAAGCTTCTCGGCTTTTATTTCTTACTCTTTGTCTTTGACATTTCTTTGCACATAACTTACAGACTCGAAATTTCATAACACTTGGTGTTATGCTTTTCTTCTCGCCCTCTCGCCTCCCCCGGCCTCTATGACTCCCTTCTGACGGCACCTTTGCCTTGTGCGGGGACGATCCACGAGTTGGCAACCCAACCCGCAATCGAAAAAGCACCCATGGAGCCGAAGCCGCATGAGACACCGAGTCCGTCTGCGTCGTCCGGGTTTCTACCGCTGGGACGACGCGGATCGCGAGCATCCATGGCCACGACCCAGACCGAACGAGAAAATATAAACGCAGCCCTTGACCAGATTCACACCGCCGCATACCAATCCGACTCCCTTACACTTTTTAATGACTTTACAACGCCACCCGGGCCGACACTAGCAACAGATGAGAAAGGACTATCGGAAGAGCTTCAGGGAGGGTTAAGTGGGTTATATAGCCGTTTCAGGACCTCCGTCGGTGGAATGAGAGATATTGTGAGCGGTGGAACAAGATCCACGGACAGAAGTGCGGCAGATACACCTACAGTCAAGAGCCCAATCTCGGAACGTTCGATGACCAAGTCGGTCTCTGACCTAGCGGCTAGTTCAGGCGATTATCAACAGTCGCATCCCAACTCATCCCAGGGCTCGAGACTTCATTCCCCGGTAGCAACACACTTTCAGATCGGCCAGGAAGCTGTACCTCAGCTAAATGCTGGGAAGGGCTCCAAGATCTCCTCGAAAAGCCCTAGCGTATCTTCCAAGACCTCGATTTCACCCTCCCCGGGAGTTAAAGCCACCATCGGTCCACTGACTAAATCCACTGGCAATTCGATCGCAGCAGATCCTGCAGTCGCCCAGCTATACGTGAATACCGCCGGTCAAAATCTACGATCTAGAAGTAGCTCCGTGAATTTATCCCAGCAGGGGGTCAAGACTACAGAATCTACCAGTACAGGAAGTGGAGATGGGCCAATGGAGCCACCTTTGAGCCAAACCTCTTCTGTGTTAAACCAGAGCCTTTCGCACTCGCCAGTCCTATCTATCAAGACACATGGAAGCTTCCAAGAAGAGCCTAGTACGTTAGAAAACAACGGACCGCTTAATCTGACGACAAATGTGCTGGATGTTCCACCGAGAAAGTTGGTGTCTGCAGATCAACAGAGAACAGCGGAAGGTACATCCCAGGTGATTGCTACACGGAATACAAAGCACGCTGAGCCAGGTCAAGAGACAGTGCCTCCGGTTCAAGACAACAGGTCGAACTCGCGTATGTCTTTTGGCTTTGACGACTCCAGCTTATCTGTGGTATCCAATTTTCATTCCAAAGCTGCTTCCTCGAGTAGTGCTGCGGCATTGGATAGCATGACAGCTATGCCTCAAGAGGGCACAAAAGGAAACGAGCTGCCAAAAGCTCCCACTGCCTCAAAGCCTGGCGAAAAATCAAAGCCGCCTCCTTCAAATAACAGGCTGCCCGGCTATGGAATCTCGCGAACATCTACTGCGGAAACAATTACCACTGTTTCTTCTTTGCCACCCTTGAATACCAATGTTGGCCGGTTTACGGGCCAGATTCCTCGGGAGCGCCGCGAAGAACGACCCCGAAACGGCGCGCTATCCCAGATAGGAAGCAAATTGATGAGCAGAGATTTCTGGATGCGTGATGAAAATGCGAAGGATTGCTTCCACTGTGGAGAGCCATTTACCACATTTCGCAGAAAACACCACTGCCGAACCTGTGGCCAGATTTTTGATTCAAGATGCACACTTCTAATACCCGGCACGCGATTTGGACAGCCTGGCTCTATAAGAGTCTGCAAGCCCTGTGAGGCAATGATCAACGCACATGATGATGATTCTTCTGAATTTTCGGATAGCGAACAGAGTCCTATCATGGTGAATCCTCGGCTCTCTGAGCTGAGCTGGGGAGGCAACAGTGCTCGCCCATCTGTAGACGATGATGACTCTTCGTCTGTGATATCTCAATCCATTGACCATGTTCTGAGAACTCCAACGATGGCCATACCAGCAACACGACGTGCTGGCGAAGGCCGCTCGGCTGTTCTGGAAATCAACCCGGACCGTCCTTTGGCACGGCCGACCTCATCTCGGTCTCTTAGGTCTTCGTTGGGAGGAAGACCGCATTCCATGGGTCATAAACGTCACCACTCTCGCCAACAGTATATTCGAAGTTTCAAACCACTTCATGATGACCGGGCACCTTTCCAGCGTCGCCACGCAGATGACTTCAGCACAGAGTCCCGGCTGCCTGCCTTTCACAAAGACAACATCATTGATCCAGAATTAGCCGACTATCTTTCAGACGATGCATCTAGTGGTGAAGAGCAGCCAAGTCTCCTGGCAGCCGTTTCAGAGAGCCAACTCTCAAAAAGTGGCGTTGATAGCGAACGAGTCCCTTTTGGCGGGTTGCTTGCAGCCATGAAGAAAGGAAGATCTGCGTTTGGTGATCGGGCCATACCTACTATCAACCAGCCTGGGAGAGATGCTGATGAGGTTAGCCTAAGTAGCTCGAGGGCAGTGAATTTGCCACGCTCTTCCCGTCGCAGAAACTTGAGCGTGGCAAGCAGTGTTCATCGTCAATCCTCTGGGACAAAAGACTTATTCCTTCATGATCTTCCTGTGGGAGGTACGCCATTTCCCGTCGCTTCAAATCAGACTGGGTTTAAGCAGACCAGAAGCTCGTCAATGAGAGGAGTAGAAGCACCGCCAGTTGAGCTCAATAAAGCTAGCTTGGAACATGTGCGCAGACTTTTGCAGCAACTCTTGTCGATGTCCTCGGTACCAAATGTTGACAGCTGGGAGAATGCACTGATGCCAATTCTTCTGAAAACAGCCGATGAGGTAGACCCGGATGTCCAACGTGGAGACGACATGGATATCCGCCACTATGTCAAACTGAAGAAGATCCCAGGAGGCAGACCTGGTGATACATCATATGTGTCGGGCTTGGTTTTCACCAAGAATCTGGCATTAAAGAGTATGCCTAGAAGCATTTTACGACCGAATATTCTGATCATCACTTTCCCTCTTGAATATGCCCGTCAACAACATCATTTCATGAGCCTTGAGCCAGTCATTCGGCAGGAGCGTGAATTTCTCGAAAATCTTGTAAGCCGGATTGCAGCCTTGCGCCCGAATCTGCTGCTTGTTGAAAATAATGTCTCTGGGCTGGCGCTCGGTCTTCTTGAACAAGCTGGGATCGCAGTCGCATACAATGTGAAGGCGTCCGTTCTTGAAGCCGTCTCACGGTGTACTCAGACGCGAATCGTGACATCCATGGATAAACTTTTGACTACTGCTCTGCATAGCGATTGTATCAGTTTCGACGTCAAAACCTATGTCAATTCCAAGCGCAAGAAGACATATATGTATATCTCCGGCTGTCCTAAAGAGCTTGGATGCACAATCGTTCTGCGCGGCGGGGATGAAGAAGTTCTGGGGAAAGTGAAAGAGATTACAGAATTCATGGTTTACGTTGTGTATAATCTGCGGCTCGAGACTTGCGTGATGAGAGATGAATTTGCAAAGCTTCCAACAGCATTCATCAATGATGTGATACAAGCAACAAACGAGAAGGCGGATCAGAGCAGTGGCCATGTTGTCGCATCTGACGGCAACTTGTCCTTAACGGAATCAGGGCTCCCACCGACTACAGCTGTCGAAAGGTCGACAGAGGACTTGGAAAGTAGAGCAGCATCAACTACCGATGCCATAATTGAGGTCCCGGATGACGTTCCAATGCCAATATACTTTGACGATGTGGTTCAGGACCACAAGACAAAGATATTGTCAGCTTCGCCTTTCGTCAAGTTCGAACCTCCCTATTTGCTCATGCGTATCAGGGAAATGGAACGGCGGCTGGCCTACTTGAAGCGACTCCGTGATCAAGATGGACAAACTCAAGAGTCCGGCGAAGAAAATGCCGCCAAGCCGCAGAAGTTTACTCTTATCACTCCCGAAATGGTTCATGAATCTCCCCGCGATGCTCCTCCTCAGGTCAAAGAAGTATTGCGTGCAGCTCATGATGCAGAATACGATAGAGTTCTCTACCACTATCAGACGCAAAAGCGGCAATGGGAGGCCTACGTAGCAGGATGCTCCAGCATGTTTGATCCATATGCCCATCAGAATATTGTTGTTCTCTACAGCCTTGTATGCACTACAACTTCAATTCCATGTTCCGGACCCGACACTTTTGCCTTGGAATTTTACAACGAACATGAGGACGAATCTATTTTTGAGCCCGATTTCACAATTGGACAATACGTCGAAGAACTCTGCCATGGAGCAAACGCTGTCTGCGCGGCTAATGGGTGTGAAAAACGCATGTTTGAGCATCATCGCCAGTACGTTCACGGCGATGCACAGATTAGCGTTCTTGTCCAGCCCTATCCATCCAAGCTTCGGGGCATGCAAGAAACTGTGCTCATGTGGAGTTGCTGCAAAATATGTGGCCATGAGACTCAAGTCACCCCAATGTCGGAAAACACATGGAAATACTCATTTGGCAAGTATTTGGAAGTCTCCTTCTGGGGTAGAAATTTACATGCCCGGGCCGGAGTGTGTCCTCACGATCTCCAGCGGGATCATCTGCGCTATTTTGGCTTCAAGGATCTCGCGCTCCGTATCCAGTATGATACCATTCATCTACTGGAGGTCGTCGTTCCTCGGCCGCGTGTAACCTGGAAAGTGGATAATGACTTGAAGCTAAGAAACCAGGTTTATTTGCGGACCGAAAGACGAGTAAGCAGGTTCATGCTGTCTGTCCACGCGCGCTTAAAAAGTATCAATGTCCAAAGTGTGGTTCCCGAGTTACTCGACGAGTGCAAGAAGGAGATTGACCGCCTGGTTAAGAAAGCAAATGAGCATCAGGCTGCTTTGGTTCGGCTTCTACAAGATAAATACAGCGGTTCTCGCTATTGGGAAATCATACCCTTGAATGACGTCCTCCGGTCCGTTCAAGAGAAGGTAGTCGAATGGGACACTACCTTTGCTGAGTTCGAGCAGAGCTTCTTCCCTTCTGAAAAGGACATCAAGCGGCTTGCGACACTGCAGCTCAAGAAAATATTCCTTGACAAAGACGCCACATCCGTGGCCCCAGATGACCCCTTACATACTCCAACTGACCTGGGAGATGAGAACATCCAAGAAAACGAAAAGCCAAGGATGCTGCGCCGCATGACACTCTCTCCAGAGAAGGCTCAGAATGTCTTGGTCTCTGTAGTGGAGGAGCATGCAGGAAAGAAACACCGCGAGGAAGCAATTCAGGATATCGAGTTGCCGCCGTTGCCTGCGGCGCCTGCCGACGAAGCTACATTATTAAGTGCAGATGCTGCCAGTGATAGCAGGTCTTCTCCTCAGAATGACGCTGTTATGAAGGAAGAAGTTCGGCATCTCGATCTAGCCGCGCCTTCTAGCCAGTCAGTTATACCACCTCTTGATCAGAAGGCGCCCCTTGCTCGTTCCTTAACTAGCCCGAATGCCATGGAAATTCTCGCAGCCCCTGCTGGTGAAGGTTCATTGGATGCAGACTCGCCGCCATTGTCGCCGAAATCATCTCATCCCTCTCATGAGACTAGTAAGCTCAGGGATGCCGGTGTACCTCGTTCACCCAGCACCCCACCAAACAGGCCATCCGCCATCCCAAGACTAGCGGAAGTCAATTTCAGGCGATCTGGAAACGCACGCTCCCCGCCGTTGATACGTACTCAGTCTCAACCTGCACATCTTCTGAGGGAAACTTCCATTGGCAGTTCCTCCTCGGTGGAATTCAAGACACATTCCAATAGATCATTTGATATTCGAAGTGACTCCACCAAAACAGGGGAAAAGAAGTTTGCAGAACGCCTTGGTTTTACGGCTCTCAAAAATGGCGGTTTTGCCTCCGGGCACTCTTTCATTCCGCGGTCTGTGCCAAAGGGAAGGCACAACAATCATGTTTTGGACCTCGCTAGACGTTTCAACCAGTTGAGTCAGTTGAGTCAGTCGAATAGCGTGAGTGTGATGCATAAAGTGAGGCAAGATTTTGAACAGGCGAGATTAGAACAACGGGCTGCCCAAACCCCGCATTCACGCGCTTACCCACTAGCATCCTCAAAGCCCATCGTCGAGGTTTACAGAAATGTCCGAGAGGCTGTGGAAGAACGAGAGCCTCCGGTCGATGAGGAAGAATCAACGCTTTCGGTACCGCAGCTTCCAATGGATGAAACAAGTCGCATCAGTGAGGGATTTGCGGAGCAGATCAACCTCGAAGAGCCTTCTCCGCAAGCTGACTCTCAGGAAACGCCGCCTGATTCTTTTGATTCTGGTGGTCTGTTCCGTGCTGACTCCCACCTTATGTCTGAGACTGAACTAGAGGAAAGCCCCAGCGACGAGGAGCAAGCTACGGCGGAAGATCTATATCCCATAGATTCACATGAAGATCAAAAACCGCACCCTGAAGATGACTCAATGGACCTCAAGGATTTTGCCAAGCACGAGCGTACAACACTTTTGAAGATGTTGACCAATTTCTGGTCCGAGCGCTCTGCCAGCGGATGGTCGGCTCTGGATTATCCTCTCAGCGTTGTGGACCATGTCTTTGCCGACTGTGATATCATTGTACGGGAGGATGAGCCAAGCTCTCTTGTTGCATTTGCACTGGACTCGTTTGACTACAAGGAGAAATTGGCCAGCATTCAGAAACGGTATGAGATTGAGGAGCATGTCTCTGACTCGGATGAGGACCCCGAAATCGCCAGCGAGGCTCGCGTTGAGCACGCCCTGCTGCGGCCCACTGGTACCCATTTGAAGTACCAATTTCAAGAAGGTCCGGCCAAGATGCTTTGCAAGGTCTTTTATGCAGAGCAATTTGATGCGCTTCGCAAAAAATGTGGCGTTGCTGACCGCATTGTCGAGTCGCTGTCTCGCTGTGCGAAATGGGATTCCAAAGGTGGCAAAACCAAGTCTTTGTTTTTGAAAACGCTAGATGATCGGTTCATTCTGAAGTCTCTGTCTCCTGTTGAAACTCAGGCGTTTCTCAAATTTGCTCCAGCTTACTTTCAAATCATGTCTGAGGCTTTATTCCACGAGTTACCCTCGGCAATTGCCAAAATGTTTGGCTTCTACCAGGTCATCATCAAGAACCCCGTCACTGGAATAGAGTTCAATTGGTTCTTGCTATTGATGGAGAACTTGTTTTACGATCGAAAGCCAAACCGCATCTTCGATCTCAAGGGTTCGATGCGCAACCGGAAGGTTGAGAGCACCGGCGAACGAGATGAGGTGCTTCTAGATGAGAACATGGTAGATTTCATCTATGAAACGCCTTTGTTCTCACGTGAGCACTCCAAAAAATTGCTTGCCCAGAGCGTGTGGAATGACACCCTTTTCCTCGGCCGCCAAGATGTCATGGACTATTCGCTCATGGTTGCCATTGATGACAAACGCAGTGAATTGGTTGTGGGAATTATCGACTGCATCCGTACGTATACTTGGGACAAGAAACTTGAGTCGTGGATCAAAGATCGCGGCTTTGCTGGGGGTGGTCGCAACCGGCCAACCGTCACCAGTCCCAGGGAGTATAAAAGTCGATTCCGAGAGGCGATGGCCCGATACGTGCTCCAAGCTCCGAGGTAACTTTACACTGCAATCTTTTTTCACCTCCTTGAACTCAATACTGATATGTATCATATAGTTGTTGGCATCAATTCCAACCCAGTGCACCGTACCGATACCCGCAGGGCGAGGTGTCCAATGTAACTCAGTTGGACATGGATGAGAATGCCGAATCCAGCATCTAAAGGTGAACAACAACAGCGCTACACCCCTTGTACACCCTCACTCGGAGTCACTCCCGAAGATTACCATAAACCATTCCAATTTCGTTTTCTCTTTCCATGGCTTCTTCATTTTCTTTCCTTTTTTATGATTGATGACTTGATGGAATTTGAATGTCCAAATCTATTCTGAGCTCATGTATGTAGACTATTCATGGATCCTGTTCATATAGCATGTTACATAAGTGCCCAGACACATATTACATAGTACTACATGTACACATGTAGGTATTCAAGCGTTAGATAAACATACAGGCGATACTCCCAATCGCATTTCAATTTTCATTCCAAGGTTGGCTTCCCACATGTGCAATGAAAGCAGCATTTGACGCCCAGATTGTGCACATGTGTGCCTCATAAACCAGGCCCCAACGCACCCGAAATCCATCGGCAGAAATCGGGTTCAATCGGGTCAGTCATCGATCGGGAACTGCGTTTAGCCATTGAATCCTAACTTTTGAATTAATGCGACTCCGAATCTTTCAATTGTTCATTCTTCATCCATTTGAAGAATTCCACGCTTCCCAACATATGTGGTGTTGACCGGCATTTCCAACACAATCACACCGCCGCAATTGCGCGATCATGCAGGCATACATGCACAAGCCTCGGCCTCGGGCGTTTTCGTGATCTCTCCCCGCAACTGCGAGTCGCTTTTCTTCCGGCTAATCATTCTCTTTCCTCTTTTTCATTTCTACTTCTTTCGCACACTTTTTTGCGCTGTTATTGTGCGCGGCTTGCAAGCGCTTCAAAAGGAATGCACTTTGCACTATGAATCGACGCCAAATGGCTCAAGTGATGCGTTCTATGCGGAAAAAAAGAAGTCACGCGCGCTATGATGCAGTGTGTGACGACCAAAGAAACTTGAACTAACGGGATTCATGAGAAGCAGCAACATTCTAAACATTCTAGGTTCTATTCAACGGGTTTTCCTCCAGAGGAATGTCTAGGCTAACTAACATCGCATTTGACCGGAAGGCATTAAATTCGTCTCATACATGTTTACATGATCAATGCATTACTTCCTTGAGACACAGCGATGGTCCAGATCGCAAAACAGAAACGGGCAAAGGAAAATAAAGGTATGTGTCCCACCATCGCACCAGCGATTTAAAAAAAAATTGAAAAAACATGGACAAAAATTGGACCAAATATTGATCCGTTTAGCTTACCAATTTTGTAGTTTGATAAGTTTACTCGTCAGCCAGGCCAAGGTTCTCCTCGGCGGGAACCACACGAACGGTGTTGGTGTGGCCCATACCGCCGCGCCATCCCTGGACACAGACAATGGGGTCGCCCTTGCTGATAACACCGAGCTTGAGACCGTGGTTGATAGCCCACTTGAGGCGACGGTCGACATCCTCCTGCCAGATCTTGACGTTGAAGTCGGGCTTCTTCTCGGGGAAGTAGAAGGGCCACACGCCACGGTACAGGTGGGAGTACTGGAAAACAACCCTGGTTAGCATGGAAACCAAGCTCAAGGACCCAAAAGTGCAGACTTACGCGAGAGGCGGTCTCGTTACGGGTAACCATGAGAATGGGGCACACGGGGCGGTACTTGGAGAGCAGACGGGCGGTGCTTCCACTGCGAAGTTTGTCAGTACATGCAAGTTTTCCAACCGGAATTGTGGTGGGGGTGAACATACCTGGTGGTGAGAACGACAATGGCACCGGCGTTCAGCTCCAGACTGGCACTGACGGCAGCCATGGCGATCGACTCGGAGGTCTCAGTGGGGCGAGGAGCCAAGTTACGCAGCTCATCGAAAACGCTGAAGTGAGGAATGGCAACCTCAGCCAACAGACAGGTCTCGTGCATCATCTTAACGGCCTCGCAAGGGTAGTTACCCTTGGCGGTCTCGCCAGACAGCATGACACAGTCAGCACCGTCGAGAACGGCGTTGGCAACATCAGAGACCTCGGCACGGGTGGGGCGAGGGTTGTATGTCATGGACTCAAGCATCTGAGTCGCGCAAATGACGGGCTTGCCCTTGATGTTACACTTGGCGATCATCATCTTCTGGGCAATGAACACCTTGGGGGCGGGGATTTCGATACCGAGATCACCACGGGCGACCATGACACCGTCGGTCTCCTCGAGAATCTCGTCGAAGTTGTTGACACCCTGCTGGTTCTCGATCTTGGCAATGATCTGAATCTCCTTACCCTCCTCGCCGAGAATCTCACGGATTTTCTTGATGTCGCTACCGCGGCGGATAAATGAAGCAAAGACCATGTCGACCTTGTTCTTCACACCGAAACGCAGATCGCTGATATCCTTCTCGGAGAGAGCGGGAAGGTCAACATCAGTGCCGGGCAGGTTCACACCCTTGCGGGAGGAGATGTTGCCGTTGTTCAAACACTTGACACGCAGGGTCTGCTCATCCACAACCTCGAGCACCTCGAAAGACAGAATGCCATCATCAACATAGATGAGCTTTCCGGGGGAGATGACCTTGGTAAGGTTCTTATAGTCGAGGTACCTGTTATCACGGTTTGGGTCAGCCCCAGCTTCCCATACCCCCCACTTTGACTCCACTTCATTCATTTGAGGGGGATCTTACATGTTCTTATCGTCACTAGCGGTGGCATAGGCCTCATCAGTGGTGATGTTGATTTCAGTGCCCATGCTGATGGGGAAGTCCTTGTCGCCGACAGTGTTACCGGTGCGGATCTCGGGACCCTTGGTGTCGAGGGCAATGGCCAGAGGACGGCCGGTCTGGACACGAGCAGCCTCGCGGGCGTGATCGATCACAGATTGGTGGTACTGCCATCAACGTCAATTGGATGTTCCTCATCGGTGTCTAAAGAGAAGCACTCACCTCATATGAACCGTGGGAGAAGTTCATACGGACAACGTTAAGTCCAACTATGATGCTTATCAGTCTTCGCTCCGAATTTTTTAAATTTTTTTTTGGTATATTTCTTTCTTGGGTTCTCAATCGGGTCGATTCCATACCTGTGCGGAGGGCGTTGATCTTCTCAACGGAGTTGGTCTTGGGACCTGAAGAGCAATTGTGCGTTAGCGAAAATTTGCCACGGCGATCATCACGGTCCTCGTTCTGAGGTAAAAGCGATCAAAGGGCACGCCCGGGAGCTTCTTCTGCGGAGTACATACCAATGGTACCGATGATAGAGGTACGGCGGAAGTTCTTCGCCGGCACCATCTCGGTGTTGAGCTTGGAGTGCCACTCCAGCTTCATCCGGTTGGACAGGTGGTCAAGGGAGGTAGTGGCCGCCATTTTGAACTTCTAATCAAGCTAATTGAATTTAGAAGGACAGAAGAAAGTGAGATGATTATTGAAGGTAGGATGGGGAAAGGAAATGGAGGAGGGGGAGAGAAGAAGGAAGTTGGGTGAGGGGCGGGGACTGGAAAATGTTGGTCGCCGATACTATCTCCGCTCACCTAGTCCGCTCACCTAGAACCCATGTCGCCCGATGTTGCCCCGGTGTAGAATGTAAGAACTACTACTACTCAATACTTAATTGATTTCACGCTTATTGATGGAGATTGTACATTTGGAATTAATTTGATTATTGGCCTCAAGACTCTTTCAATTACTTCTTTCAAAGTTCCATTTCCCTTTCCCATTTTACTTTGATGTACATAGCTATGGAGGGGTCTCACCGATTTTTTGGACCCCCGCTACCATAGCAATCGGCAACGGCGGGATATACCTGTCAGGACATGGGCAGAGAAGGAAAAAAATGGATATTGACCCCAGGGCAAAAAGGCGGAGGGGGCCGTGCTGGTGTGCCCAGCGTACATTGGATCCCTTTTTATCAAGTAAACGTGACAAATAGCGACACCCAATTTGACCGCAGAAACTCGGCTTCGACAGAAACGGGATCTCGGTGGGATTCAGCCTTATCGATAATCCGCTTGTGGCAACTTGTGGCATACCGTGGCGGTGTCGATATTAGGTAATCAGGATTCACCCATCTGTGGCGGTGCGACGTTCCCCACGTCATGTGAACTCCAATCTCCACGTGACCTGCGTTCCCCGTCTGCTGCCGTGTATCATCTGCCTGATGACTTTATAACAACAGCTTTCGTTAGCCTGAACTTGCCATTCTTTCTTCACTCCAAGTGTTGATACCAACCCGCAATCATGGTAAGATTACACAGTTCTCTTCTTGTCGGACAGAGAGCTCCATAAGCTTCCCCATTCCATTAATATGGCATGAGTCGCCGCATGACTGACCGATACTCTCCAAATAGTTCGGCCGCCTTACCCACTACGCGTTCGATGCCGTCCTCTGTGAGTGGCTTTCCTTGGCCCAATTACATGAGTCACATCTGGACTAACAAACCGGTCTCTCCATAGTCTCTGCCTTCCTTGCTGGCGTCAAGCGCTCTACCGGTCTCACGTAAATATAACCCTCCGAATCTCCTCTCTTCCTGCCTTGGATATTTTTTTGGGGGGCTTCCGGTACATACGCGATATGCTCAGGGAAATTCCGCAACCACAAATCAAAAACAACAGATCGGCCAGCTAACTTTGTTGACCCCTGCGCCGCCCTCCCTCGGGTCGCGTGCGTGCGGGGGCCGCTCATAGCCCCAGTGTGAAGACCGAGCAAATCTCCGATAACAAAGAAGTCAAGAAGTGGGTCGACAACTACCTTGGTGTCGGCGAGTGGGTTATGGATCAGTCAGTCGCAGTGATGGGATCCTCCAGCTGGTTCGAGCGTCGACGATAAATGATGTTGAAATATACACTTCTCCGAAACGGGCCACGATCGATTTCCTTTTGAATTCTGTTTGCGACTCGACTACAATCACGGCTGTGATATGACGCCCTGCTTGCGGAACGACAAGATGTACTTCAAATCGCCAAACGGAAGATTCGATGGGATTGTACAGTTCCGAAATGCTGGACTTTCCGGCTGGCTTTCCCCCATATTTTTTACTGAGCAGATTTCCATATCACAGCTAGGGTGACGAGTGACGACTTCCCTCCTCTACACTTTCACTGCTGCTTCCACCTTCAATATCATGCTCAAAGCTATGGCGTCTTTGGCTTTCTCATGCGATATATCTTTTGTCCAATGTGTATGTCTTATAGCATCTCCATTAACAATCAACCGCATCATTTTATCCTCGGTAGACATTATTTCAAAAGTTTGGGTTCCGTCCTAGACACTTATGCTCTTCTTGGTTTTGTTCTTGGCTTCATTTCATTCACCATGGTGCCGGTGAGGGCACTAGGTGTCAGGCAGTAGCTAAATAAAATATTGAACGAATGGGGTATGTGGGAATCGCAAAGCCACGAACAGCAGGGCTCATTCAACAGTGTCACTCTTTATATCTGGATTAGAGTATCAATGTCCACTCTGCGGTAGTAGGAGACGTGGCCCATTTCCTTCCAGTAATGCGCAATATAATCCGGTGAGATAAGAATAAGTTGAGAGGTGATGAACGTGTCTAGAAGGTTCGGAGTTAGAGGAATTCTGTCTAGAAATGACAGAAGAGGGATAGGGAGATTTACCATCCTGGAAGCCAATACCGGCAACATGACCCATGCACCGCACAATACGTGCATTCTCAAAGGGTTCCTTGTCATCCACCCGGACGAGACCTCCAGGGCCAATGTCATGGGCCACGAATGATATAGCACCACGGGGAACATTTGGATCACCCGTGAGTTTGACTGCTTCTAAACTGCCGCTATGAACCAATCCCCCAAAGTCTGCTTGGTCTGAGCTCTGGGTCTGAACACCTCGTTGAATAAACAAAAGAAATTCACACCCGTGCGCTGAGTAATCTCCAACCCAGATGCCTTGATATGGCTTCTCCTTAGTTGGGACATACAAGCTGGGGTCAAGCGTTGCATACGTTGTCCTTGCTTCATTATGGCCTGGGGAAACCACCTGGAAGTTGGCCCATCTCCGGATTCGAAATGCTCTCTCCGAAGCTTGAGATAAGCATTCAGGGTCAGGCAATCTCTGTGGGGAATTTTCTCTGCGTATACGGTGTTGACTAGGGATGGTCAGAGGGGGCCATAATGGCCCTTGGTTAACCTGCAAGGACGAGTTCTCTTTGGGACACAATAATAGTGAGCAAAAGACACTCTGAGTTTCTGCAGCCATCGGCATTCGACGCTCCATCTTCCAAGTCTGGCATGCAGCTATAGGCTTTGTAGGCTCCGGGTCTTTGAGAAACAATACAGGGTCGTCTAGCCACAAGACGACCTTGGGATCAAACGACTGGATCATGACATCAGGGTTCGACTGCCAAATTTGGAAGCTGGGGCTGCCTCGGTCTGCGAGTAATCGGTAGCCCTCGATTACGCCCCTTCGGTTATCATAGCGAGCCAGAATCAAGTTGCCCGTGTGCTCATTGTCCGCGAACCAGATCTTATACTGCGGGATGAACCAATATGATAAATGGGCAAGGTATAGGCGTCGAAATGACGAGAAGGGTCCCGGATCAGGGATCGAAGAGGGCAAATGTGAGTTGACCAGTTTGGCCCATAGTCGGTCGTCAGCGCCATGCTCGGCAAGCACTTGACAACTCGAAGACACGCGGGCAAGATCCTGAGCCGGTAGGTAGGAGAGGATTTCGTGAAGGATCTCGGCGGGGAGTCTATCGAGGACAGAAGAGCAAGTCCCTGGCTGGGTCCATGGCCGTTCATGTAGGATCTCGTCAATCAGCCTCTCGTGGTCCTTGAGGCCGTGGTGGGTCGGCTGTAGTGGGATAATCTTGTCAGCACAAAAAAAACAACCCACAACATCAGGATCAGGCTATGTGGCCTGTATCACGGATTTCGGATAGACGAACATCTTGATAGGGCGCCACACTTCCCATTGTGTATTATTGTGCTCGGTTAATTTCAAAAAGGAAAGGCAGATGCAGCTGTTTGTTGATCGACCGCCTGCAGTAACGCAGATGACATCACTTGTAAGCGTGCTGAGACATAGCTAACTCGCACCATGAGGTTTTTAAGAGATCGAAAAGATAGCGCACCAGACTGCTTCTGGGCAATCTATCAGGCCGCGCAAAGCGCAGACGAGCAGCAGAGCGACAGCGCTGTTGGTGGTGGGTCCGATAAGAGATAACGTCAACTCCGCACTTTCCAGCGAATCGATAACAAATTCATCTGAGTAATCGACATTTCAAGTTTCTCATTCCCCTTTTTCAAGACTTGCTTCATCGGACAAGAGTTGCACTTTTGATTCTTTCAATTTGGTTCTTGACGTCACATGTTCCGTGGAAAAACCGGTCCAGACTCAACAATCGGGTTTCGGTATTCTATGATATCATTGAGAGCTCCGTGTGATATTTATTGCAAGTAGTAGGACATTGAAGCTAACGCTCATTTTCAAAATCGCCTAGGCACCATTTGACCCCTCACCAGAGCAGAACTAAAATTATACCATCAATCTCATATTTTCCCAAAAAAAAAACTTCCATGAAAATGACACGCATCTTCATCACTGGTTCTAGCGATGGCATCGGCCAAGCCGCAGCCAAAATCCTTGCTGAACAAGGCCACTCAGTCGTCCTACATGCACGAAACGCAGACCGCGCAGCCTCGGCTCATAAAGCCGTCCCAAAAGCCGAAGCAGTACTAGTTGGCAATCTACAATCAATATCCGAGATCAAAAACCTCGCACAAGAAGCCAAGAGAAGCGGGCCTTTCGATACCATCATTCATAATGCAGGCATTGGCTATGGTGCTACATCTAGTCGGGAGATTACCGCAGACAAAATTTCCGCAGTGTTCTCGGTCAATACGCTCGCGCCATACATTCTCACTGCGTTGATGGACAAACCAACCTCACGGCTACTATACATGAGCTCGGATTCTCACTATGGTGGTGATGAATCTCTACGCAATGTGACACAGTCAACCTCGTACGGGGACAGTAAATTACATGACGTGATGCTGGCCAATGCCTTCTCTCAAAGGTGGGGTGATAGTATCCAGGTTGTGAGTATGCATCCCGGCTGGGTGAGGACCAAGATGGGTGGCTCTGCAGCTCCTGGTGGGTTGGACAAGCCAGCCCAGGCTTTGGCAGAGTGGGCTACTGGGCAAGGCAAATTGGCGAATCTCAAGAGTGGAGCATTTTTCACTACAAGGGGCGAAGAGTCAGCGCATCCAGGCGCAGGTAATGTGGGTAAGCAGGAGGAGCTATTAAAGATCTGCCAGGAGGTATCTGGAGTCCCAATCCCAGAGTAATCAACATGAATATAGAAGCTCCAACCTTAGAACAGTTGAATGAAGTGCCATACCCCCGAGGTTACTTACAAGCTATGAATACAATGAAGGTTGTTCTAAGGTTTAAAAGCTTCTACATAACCCGACTTACCGTGTTGGATCCTATCCCTACATGAACATCTCCTCGCCCGTGCAGGGGACCATCTTAAGTACATCCATTCAATGTTTGAATCCTACCTACATAAATCCCTTGCATAATAAACTCTTTCAACAATCTGGTATCTTTGACTTGATGTCTTAAGTACATGCAGGCATCTCTGCCTAGTGCTGCCTAGTATACATAGTAGATCGCGATCTGGTCTTGTACCTAATTTTGGCACCACTCCAGACATGCTAGAAAATACATACAATGAATAGAGTTGTGTAAGCTCGACTGCAAGATTATTCTCAAGCAGCATTCTAAGAATCAAAGATATTGCGTCTGCAGCATGCAATATGAACTTAGAAAGCACGTGATCCTCCCAAAACAGCAGCTTGTTTACGCGCCGGATTGGGACTCCCGGGTCCCGAGGTCGCGAGGGGCTCTGGAACGCGCAGAACGCCTCTGCTGCCTGGGCCCCACTGCTTGTTTGTTTATGTTGTGATGTATAGAACGCCTCACCAATGGGATTTTGCACCTAACAGCCGCATTGTTTATTATTTTGTTATTCGTCCTATATAATCGTCTCAGGTTCTTTTGTTATCACCCCACAATACCTGCATCCATCTCGGTTACATCTATATATTTTGAAGTTTGAATTTGCCCAGACCTTCAAAGGAAGGACAGCCCCGCACAATATGGAGACCAGACTATCAGAAAGGAAACGGCGAAATAGCAACGTTTCCAGCTCGAGGAGCTCGTCACCTGTGTCGCACCGCACAAGACAGAGTGTGTCAAGATGCTCCCAAACTACTGCTGCGTCTCCTGCACCTAAGCATGAAGTCAGCACACCTAAGAAATCACGCAAACGAGTGCGCTTCTCAGATCCGGGCCCTCGGCTTCTTGATAATGATCTTTGCTCGACAGGTCTGACACCAGCCATGCGGCGAACCTCCTTTGACACTGGACTTTCGGGATCTGGAGACCGTACACCTAGTCGGAAAGCCCGACGTCGCTCGGCACCAACACCTCGATTCCGCCGATCCTTTGACCCACTGGAGCCTTTCGATGAGATCCCATCTGAGCGGGTGGTGCAGTTCACTCCCTTGCGACAGATTCTGGACACACGTACCAAGCGAAGAATTCGACAAATCGGTCTTAGTGACGAAATCAACCATATTCAACGTGAGAAGCGTGAGGTCGCAACTTTCGAAAAGACCTTGGCAACCTTGCTTCGGGAGCGAGATGCGCTGCAACAAGAGTTGACCTCCATGAAGCAGCCCCGAGAGATCCCAGAAGATCAGTTGCCGTCTTATGAGTCTTTTTGGATGTCTTCTCAGGTCCAGGCTAGAGAGGTAGAGGAGCAAACAACATTGCTATGTGATGGAATGTCTGTGACCTCGAACCGGAGCTTAGATGGGCGTCTGTCATCTGTTGAAAACGACGGAGATACTTTTATGTTCAATGACAGTGCCATCATCGCTTCTAATTCACCTGTCTTCCGAAACCGACGGAATATGCACTCGCCTAGCCCGGAGAGACTGTCCTCATTTGACGAAACAAGAAATGATGCCGCAGCTCAGACTCCAGTAAATGATGGCCCAGAGGATCCTTGTATGCGCTCTCTGAACCTCGACCTTGAGGCTGCCAGAAACGAGAAGAGGGACTTGTTCGACGCATGCCGCTCACAATTATCTGCCTTTGAGAGCTCCGAGCTGGGTGACGCCCTTCGCAAATCATCTCCACCTCCTGATTTCCTCGAGAACATTATGTCCACATTGACGGCTGCTTTATATCGCGCTTCAGATGCCACCAAAGCTCTTGAAAGTATCAGTCAAGAATGCTCCAGCCTAGGCTTCTCTGGGACCAGCATGGATGATGTGCTTTCCGATATAAGAAGCCACTTCCGCTCTGCACGCCTTGAACTTGAGCGTGCAGTTCCAGGGGAGACGGCCGATACAGCCCTCGGTGACGGTAAAGCCACGCTGTGCGCCCTGGTCAATCGAGTGAAGTCTTTGGCAAAGGAGCTTCAGTCGGAGCGCAAATACCATCATGGCGCACTGGGCCGCGAAAAGGCCCTTCGTGGCCAGTTCGACAACTTATTATACCGATACGAGGCAGCAGCCGAGAAGATCAACAGCCTCGAGGACTCAATTGAATCATCTGCAGGTGACATGCTCCACACCAGAATGCGGATGCAAGATCTCGAAAGCGAAGATCAAGAAAAGACCGTTGGGATTGACAGATTAAATACGGCATTGGAGAAGTACCACAAAGATTTAAAGAGCCTCGAGGACATGGTCAGCAAGATGGAGGACGAAAACGTCGCGATAAAGTCAAAGTACCGAGCGCAGATATTAGCTCTCAAAGAGCAAGTTGCCCACGAGCGCAAGCAACGATCCACAGCCGAGCTCTCTGCTTCTGAATATGAAACTCGCATTCGTGAACTGGAGGTTACTGTTGAGAAGAACCAAGCCCGTGCTTCCCAGCTCACAACTAAAATCGATGCTCTCGAACAAGAACATCAGGCGGCCGTTCAAGAGAAGACTTGTGATGAACAGCAACATGCTCAAGAAACGGGTATACTAAATGTACGCATTTCAGAGCTCGCGACCTCCCTCGATGCTACCAGATCAGAGGCCCAGCGTCTCCGTCGGATAAACAGTGGCCTCGAACAACAATTGCAAATCGAGCTGGAGGCCCGCGACGACCTGCTGGATCAGTGGGCCGCTGAACAGGCGCGCTCATTCGCGCACATGAGAGAGACTGTCAACTCCGAACGCCGTAGAGCCAAGGTCCGTGCTGCCAACTGGGAGCTCAAGTCTGATGATCTCATGTCTGATGGCACCACAATTGCGGGAAGCGAACCTATTACTCCGGTCAGCATGACACGCTTTGTTGATGTTGAGATGGGGAGGGGTAAGGGCCGAAGACGTATGGACAGTGGCGTCGGAATTCTCACTGGAGAGGATGTTTTGGAACTTGAAGACGTGTCGGACATGGACTTGCCGACGTCTAATCTGATTGACTTGTAATCACTATTTTCTCTCGTTTATTTCTTTTGTTGATACCTACTACTACTTACATAACTTTGCTCCCTGTTCCATGTCGGGCCTAAGGGTCTTTTCCATGTGTCTGTCATACACGATTGCATATACTACTACATAATCGAAACCAATTGCCACCACTTGTTCAAAAGTAAGATATTATGCATCACGGTCTCTTCTGTTCTGTTCTTTTGTTTATGACATGCTGCACAGGTGACTCGGTACATAAACAAAGATAACATTGGAAAATGGACAGAGAATGGTGCCGGTAATTTTCTTGCCTATATAAAATTTTGGAATCATGTTCCATCAACACATGACATTGATAGGTACTAGGTCACAAAATAAAAACGAAAGAAAGGGGTATTGGGTGCATGATCAAATTAATTTGCAGCAGACTGGATAGCAGTCTGAGGAGCGATCTCAGTAGAAGGGCCCGACTGCGTCTGTCGATGCCTGACATCAGCCTGGCCATTATAGACAGCAGTTGACTGTTGTGGAAGACTTTCCAAAGGATACTGTTGACCATCATCCACAGGCAGAGGCTCCGACTTGTATTTCTTATCGTGGCCCGGATCCGCAAAAGCAGAACCGAACAAGCTGAAGATGTTGGCAAAGCGTACAGCCATACAATACGCCAACGTCATACCAGTGACAAGCATTTCATCCCTCGCACTCTCCTGGTGCGCTGACGGGCCCATCAACTCGATCTTCCCGATTTTCCTGAGGCCCCACAAGTTCGCAGTGAATTTAGCCACAGGCATTTGCTGTTCGTCGGTGCAAATAAAATCCCATGTCGTGGTACCAATGTCCCCAGTCCAGGTCATGACGGTGGGCTGGCCGTCAGAGTTCTTGAGGTAGCCGGATCGGTGGGTGTATAATGTGTGAAGCCGTCTCTGAGCCACGAGGGTGTCTCGCCGGCCGCGGCATTCGTATTCTGCATCAATGTTGACCACGTGGACGGAGCCGGTGCCAATCACTTTTTCCGTAGGAGCAGATCTGTATATGAACTGTTTTGAAGAGAATGGCTTGTACTGGATGATATAAAGGGGGTCGTTGGGTTTGTTGATATCGGAAACGAGTGACTTGAACTTGCCCCATTTGAAATCGATCCGGAGCGTGACATGCTGGTCGGTGCTGGTCTCGAGATCTTGGGGCTGATATGTTTCCCCCGTGTTTGTAGTTGTGTTTGAGGAGTTTTGTGTGGGCTGCATGGAGGTTGTTCGTGAGTGCTTAGGGGACTCCATTGTGAACTGTGCGGGGGATTTCCAAGTCGAGCTTGAGTTTCGTTCTCTTTTGTTTACACCGCAAGCGAAGGAGCAGCACCAAGTACTACTAACCAGTGATATATACGCGAGAAATTCACCCCCGCCATTCTTGTTCATGTGCCAAGGGCTCAGTATATTCCTTCAAACTATCTCACGATCCACCTGGCCCATTGAACCCTGAGGCGCAGGCGACTTGGCACGCTCATGAGCCCGACGATCTACTCGAATTGGGGAAACAGCAAAGGCTACGCCAATAAGGATCGTGAAATAAATTTAGCCCAGCCTTGTGCGCATGGGGTTAGGTTTCATGATGTCATGGCCCCCAAAAGACGGATTTCTCCTCTATCAGATGGACCCGCGCCGAGCGTTCCCCGTGGAATATTCCATATATGGAGAGTGAAGTTGGACATGTTCAATCACAATTTATAGCACTCAGATTTTTGGCGGTGGAGAAAATTAACATGACAAAATGCCCGATCATTGCTGAACATCAGCAGTGCAAAGTTCAAACGTTGGATCTACTAGTAGTTTGTAGCTTTTGGCCATCAATTAGCCCTAAAGCCTACTTGATATTGCAACTTTGGTCTCCAAATTTGATATTCAGAGGATGGACAAAAAAATTCCCCAATAGAAACAACATCGATTATGTCATCGAACAATAGGCGCAAGACTAGCTGATACCTAGAGCCGAATGACGATGCTGCGGTTGGGGGTTGGTTAGTGGGGAGGAAACAACATTTGCGTCGAACCGGCCCCAGTCTGGTTATATTCAATTTTTGAATGTTTTCCCTCTCTCTCCTGCATTAGAAATCCCCATGAATCCCCAGATAAATTTTGATGTCCAGATGTCTACAATGGGCAATTTCCCGTTCAATGTTTGCAAAGGGCTATAAAGGTTCAGTCCTCATCGAGCATCTACTAGTAGATATGAATTCAAAAAAGGGTTCGCATTATAATCATTGAGTATACACGCAAAATCGAACTAATTTTTTGAGCCTAATCCTCAGGCACCATATCATTTATACAAACGCAATCCTTTACAGGCGCTTCAGCACATCGTCAAGAACCTGCTGGGTAGTAGCCCGACCACCCATGTCAGGAGAAAGGAACTGAGCAGCGTCCAGGTTGCCATCAACAGCAGCGTAGATCTTGGCAGCAGCAGCCTCCTCGCCGAGGAACTCCAGCATCAAAGCAACACTGCGGAGAGTGGCAATGGGGTTGGCAATACCCTGGCCCTCGATATCGGGAGCACTGCCGTGGCAAGGCTCACCAATAGCGAAGCCATCACCAACGTTAGCGCTGGGAACCAGGCCGAGACTGCCAACAAGGGCAGCAGCACCGTCGGACAGAATGTCACCGTACAGGTTAGGAGCAACAATGACATCGTAGTACTCGGGCTGACGGAAGAGCTTGTAGACCATGGAGTCAACAATCTGCTCCTCGACCTTCACGGACGAGAACTGCTCGGCAGCGAGCGCGCGGCGGGCGGTCTCACGGAACAGACCATCAGTCTGGGACAGCACGTTCGACTTGTGGGTGATGGTGACCATGGGGGAGGAGTGAACGGAGCCCACGGAGGAAGTGGAGCGAATGTTCTGGCGGCGCAGAGCAATCTCACCGGCGATGTTGGAGATGCGGTATGAGGCACGCTCGGAGATACGCTTGATGGCCTCGGCGACCTTGCCCTCGGGGGTCTCGCGGGTAGTCTCCTCCTTCACGTACAGGTCCTCGGTGTTCTCGCGGACGATGACGAGGTCAATGGGCTTGCCATTGCTGCTGCCGGCGGTGGTCTTGACGGGACGCACGTTGGCGTACAGGTCGAGCTTCTTGCGCAGGGCGACGATGGGGGACGAGTAACCGGGCAACTGGGTGCTCGGGGAGCTAAGGGATGAATGAGTCATGATCAGCGAACGGTCCATGCGGGCGTAAAAGGTGTATATGCAACCCCCCGGGGAGGGTTCTGGAGGGTGTATAAAGGCATTGTTTACCTGACAGCACCGAAAAGAGCACCATCACACTCCTTCTTCAGGGTGTCGACGGTCTTATCGGGGAGAGCGGAGCCGGTGCGCTGGAAGGTATCGAAACCAGCCTCCAGGTCGACGAAGTTGAACTTGAGGCCCAGCGACGCGGGGAGAGACTCCAGGATACGACGACCGGCCTAGATCCCATAAATTGAGGCTGCAGTTAGCGAATTGATTCTGTATTTGGTCGTGCTCGTTCTCGTGCTCGTTCAAGGACTACGTACCGGGATCACCTCCCGTCCGATGCCGTCACCGGGGATGAGACCTATGCGGGCAGCCGATTAGCTTCAATTCAACGCCAGACAGAGCTCTTTCCCGACAGAATAGATCTTACCAATGCGAAGAGTACGAGCAGCAGCCATTGTGATTTGTTTAAGGGTACTTCCTGATTTCAAGAATTGGCCGTCATCGGAGCTTTGTCTTTTTGTATGCGGCGGCGGGTGATCATTGATCCCATTCCGGGGTCCGGCTCTCGGGAGTATACCATTTCAACGCCATCGGAATCCATCGTACTTTGTATTCGTAGACTCCGATGTGCATCACGGGGGACAAAATTGACTTATTACTACTGGTATTATGTATGGAATTTGAGTCATTTGATTCTGCCTGAAAATCCCACGAGAAGAATAATTCAGAAAATTGTTGTCAGTATAGCAAGTACTAATTTCAGACATCGCTAGGAAATGCTGACTCCCGAGTTGGGGTGATCATTACCAAAAGGGGACTGATACCGCGAGCTTTAGGTCAAAGTTGGTTTGCGCCACTTCAACTCTGATTGAAAATTATCTCATTTAGTTCCAATTTCTTTTTCGTTGATTTTAGGATTTCATGGTTGATTTCATGGTTGATCCGTTACATTTTCAGGGTTCAAGCCAGCTGACAATGCACGCTAAACCTAAAAGGGTCAGAAACCGCGATGCTTATCCACAGGCATCTACTACTAGTAACTATGGACTTTATGTATGCAGGTCCAGAATACGATAAAAAAAAGACCATGAGCAAATTTTCCTTCCAATATTTAAATGAATGAATCTCCCATTCAATCGGGGTACATCAAAGTTTCAAAGCCCATACTTTTGTCTCATTCCAAAATTTTATTATCCTTGAGCAACTACTATACTAGTACTACCTGCAGACTGTAGTACTCGGTCAGCTTCCCAGCCAGCATGACTCTGAATCTCATATCCCGCGCGACAGACATTGTCATTCCAGATGGACTGCACAACTTTGCAATTGCACAGGTTGTCCTGTTCTCCTTGATATACCTGGTACAGCTTCCCATGAGGTATAAGCAAGAATGGCGGTACTGGCACCACAACAAACGCCAACACCCGATACGCTGTGCCCTCTACTGTTGTTGGAGCATGGTTGGTCTTTTGGCTATGAGTAAGTGGAATAAATCAACTTCCAAATTTGCCGGACCTATGAAGCTAAGCAATTGTGGTTGCAGTTCGGATCGCCGGATCAGCTATGGTGCTTTCCAACCGCCACCCAAACGACTCGATGCTCAGCGCCGAGATCTCCTTGCAAAGTGTGGGCTTGTCGCCTCTCATGTTTGAAGTCAGCCTGGTTCTTCTTCGATGGTATGCAACTTTCTCGACCCGACAGAAACGAGAAACATGCTGACAGTCTTTCCTATTAGTGGACAAGCTGGAGAATTTGGGCCCGGAAAATCGAAGTACCCCAAGCTATTGCGTTTCACACTGCACGCTTTTCGTTTTCCGATCGTTGTTGGTATTGTCCTCGGAGTCGTGGGCAAGATCATCCAGATGAAGCCACTTGCCGAAGCCGGATCGATCGTCTTGGTCGTGACTTTTGCGTTTGTGACAGGCCTTATTGTCTGGCTCGCGGTCAAGTCACACTCAACTCTTCCTGTGCAGGGTCATCGTGGTGTTCTTATAGTGTCACTTGCTCTTCCATTTTTGTGGGTACGTGTCATCTACTTCCTGTTGCAGGAGTATGGACCAGAAAGATTCAGTATTACCTCGGGTAATGTCGGGGTCTTGGTGGGCATGGGACTGGTGATGGAGATCATCATTGTCTCTTTGCTCTTGACGGCCCGCGCAGTTGTAGAGCCCATGTGGTCAACTGAGGACAAGAGGCGTATAGTATCCGATGGAACAGAGCAGGCTTGATCTAGAGATTCCACATGATATCATTTGACTTGTTCCAGGGTTGCGACGATTTCATATTTTGAAATTGAACTGCTTTGTGATGAATTGATAGTTCCTGCTCGAAATTGGTGATATACTGTGTCCCATTTATTCAATTGGCTTGTAGTTCTCTGGCTTGGCTGCTGCGTAGGACTTTGAGAATTCTTGCAATCGATCTAAAAGCCAGGATCTCTTCACGTCATCTGCGGTCTCAATCGCGACCCGCACAGAAAATCCAATTCGAAAGGGGCCAAGTGCACCAAAGGCTGCATATTCAATAGATCTGCAAATCTGATCTCGAAAGTAAGAAATCATAGTCTCATGGGGACCTGGATATCCAAAAAGTTTCAAGGCTTCGTGAATAATGATCATGTAAGCATAGTAGCCACAGTATACTGATGCGTCAATCAGGTCTGCGTAGATCAAGATGATTGGGTATAAAGCATCGCCCGTCGCCGAGGGGGCCTCAACCGGAGGGAAGGAAACCCGAGACCATTCCTCATACCAACAAGCCAACCTACTCTGCATATCCAAAACCTGGGTCAGAGCTTCTGATATATCCCGTAAGACTTCAGGATCTGCGAAATTCTTGTCTCTCAAACGGTAAATGCTGTGCACAATGCGCGGAGAGCGAGTAAAATGGGCAAAGAAATCTTCGATGCAGTTGTGATAATCCAATGGCAAGCTGCCAACGTGTTGCTGCTTCATCATGTAATGCCAGTCATTGGATGCCAAGAAGCAATCTTCGCCAGCGAACATTGAGTGCATGACCTATATTCGGTGGTTAGAACATGCGGTTATATTGTGCAACCAGCACCCAACTGGATGCATTCCTGAACAGCGATAGAGCTTACTATTAACCCTCGGGCAGTTTTCAACAGAGAGATATCAAGCTGATTGCAGTAACGTTCAGGTCCTCGGGCTTTGACTAGGTGACCAAGCCCCTTTGCGTGTTTCATCCACGAGTCTGGATCCTCGGTATCCGTAAAGAGCTAAATTGTCAGTAGGAAATAAGCAAAGAGACAACCTTGCCCATATTCTTACCTCATACATGCACATCAACACGACAGCACAGAAGATATTTGAGGAAAGCGATTCAGAAGGGCTCACTAGAGCCTTACGGAGCCAGTGTAATGCTTCCCCATAGGTAAATCGAGCATAAATGGTCATTTCCTGGCTTTGGAAGCCCCGACCAAAATGATGTGCTGTAAAGGATTTAATAGCCGCATCCAAAGCTCGGTTCTGGCCATAGATGGACGGAAGGAGTTCAAACCAGCTGGCCATCACATAGTTGGGGGCATTCGAAACACCGGGCGATGAAAAGTCCTCAATGAGAGCGCCTAGGGTCTGTAAGACATTCATGTCAACCGAGACCACAGTGGGTGGGATTTCACTTTGGATCATCCATTGGGTGTTTGCTTTGGTCTCCCCTGAACTGAAGCTTAAGCTTGAGCTTGACGAGTCTGGGCTGGTGGCGTTGGATCTCGCACATTCAGTTCCAGGAGGGCGACGCCGAGTTCGGTAAGGCTTCCCGGCAATGAACTTGAAGCCCTTGTCATATCCAGGACATGGCTGCCCATATGTCTCACATTTTGAACATCCTGGGGCTCTTTCATCGCACTGTGTAGTTGTTAGTCTGGATACCTAGATGGGTGGGATAACAGGTCGCAAACACACTTACTTTGACCCGGCGCTTGACGCAAAGGTGACAGCCTCTGCTTCGAGGCACACCAACCATCTTTGGTCATTTCGAACTATGAATCTTCAATTAAAAAAGTCACGTAGGCCTCGTCTCGTATTCTAAAGTTAACCCACGTGCTGATGTAATGGCGGGGATTAGTTAAGCCGGGCCGTACCGGTTGTAAATTCCTTTATTGTAAATAATCTACGGTCCCAAGGTGCAGTAGAATTCATTCAATGTTTCAATGCTATTGTGATAGTCTCTGCCATTTTCTCTCAAACATCACTCTCATCTTTTGAACAGTTTCATTTGGTTGTGATAATGCGGGGGTGGAATGCCACTATCTGCCATGTGTTGTATGCCCATCAGTATACCCCAGCCCATGCATACTACCGAAATGTCATACATAACAAGTTTCCCCACTGTTTACGTTGCACTAAGAAAACCCATTGAAGGTGGGGAGACAGACTAGTATTGACTAATACCTACTGGAAGGCTTTGTATTGTTCCAGGAATCTTCTAGAACATCAAAAAAAAACCGTAGATGTTTTGTGTGATTCATTTTGCTTTGGATGACCTAACCATGGATTTCCATACTCTCTTAAGCTACGAACCGTGGAAAGTCGGATCGCCGATCGGTGTTTACCTTTGGCCTCAGGCCAACATGGTAGGTTTTTTTTCTTTTGCTGCAAGGAGTTGTAAAAACATGAAAGACGTGTCTAATACCAGAATTGGTATTGGAGAGAACTGAGGCATTTAGGTGCCGAGGTAGTACAAATGAATTACTCTGGACTCTGGAGACCCGGAGATGAGAAATATTGTAAAAGGAGAAAAAGGGTATGAGATCATGTCACAGACAGATGATCCGAAACATCAGATTGACAAGAAATAACTAGTATGATACATAATACAGTAAACTCACGCCCCTGAAAGAAGGGGGCAAATACTAAGGGAAATCGGCAAAATAGGCAAAATAAAAACCAAAAAATAGGAGAAGCCGACTGTATAGGGACTGTAAGGCGTAGAGATGTTTCACCCCCCATTGGATACGCTAATCAGTCACTAGTGCATTAGCTTTCCCTGATCGACCCTTCTACACATCTTCTTCCTTTCCATTGACTCCTTGGAAAACCACCGTGTTCATTGAGACTTGTCTACCCCAGGAGGGGGCTCATACGGCCTATATACAGTCGCTTTCCCTAATTCCCCTTACGCGTCCCGCTGGGCTCCCGACGCGTTCCACCGCCCCTCAATCCCGCCCATGCCCCCTGACTACTTCCTCTACCCCAGAATGTCGGACAACAACGCTCATCCCGGCGTTCGCAGCCTGCTGGCCAAGTTTGAGAACAGCCCGAGCTCAGTCACCTCGCCGCCCTCGCGTGGAAGATCGCCCGTTAGCTCCGATACCCCCGGCTCGTCCCGCCAGCTTTCCAAAGTCCGCGCCAGCTTCGTAACAGTCGACGGTGTGGTCCAGTCAAACCCAGGCTCACCATTGCGCAAGACAAGTGGACGGAGTGACAGCTCAGGAATGTTCGGTCCGAAGATCAACGAGGAGGAGGTGGAGGCACGTCGCCAGAGTGTGGCATCCCCCACACCTGGCAGTCTGGATGATGGTCAACAGGGTGTCCTTGATCAAATGGTCCGCCCCGTCCAGTCAGAGCCAACCTCTGCTCCGACTGTGCAGGAACAAGGAAAGGAAAAGTCTGCATCTGCTGTCGACACCGTGTCTCCCGCGAAGGATGCATTGCCCGCGAAGGCGGCTGTCGCTGCGCCTGCCTCAGCACCCACATCCACAGTCGCACCTGCCCGTGGGGCCTCGGAGCGCACGGCTCAAAAGACAGTCACAAAGCGCCCCTCTACCATCAATGCTGCAAGAAACGGCGCTTCTACCAACAAGTCTGCCTCCTCCGCCGCGCCAACATCCAAATCATCTGTCAACACAACCACAAAGCCTGTAACCTCCCGGGAGATCGCCAAGGAACGTGCCAATACCCTTGCTAGTAAGCCAAGTCGCGCATCCTTGAATCCTGCAACAAAGACTGCTACCCGTACCGTTCGGGGCGCAACACCATCACAGGAGACTTCAAGAGTATCTCCCCCGAGCAGCGTCAAATCTCGCACGCGATCACCTACTAGGCCTGTTCGCCTGCCCGCTTCCATGACTGCACCAACTCAATCATCTGGGGCAAGACTCGGGAGTGCGGTTCCTCCCGCCTCGCGAACAACCACCACTGCCTCCACACTCACGAGAAAGCCATCTTCTCTCAAGAGTGCTGCTGGACCAGCCCAGACACGCCCCACTGCAGGAACTGCAGCTAGTGTGCGCAGACAGCCTTCTCGTCCTTCTCTTCCCGCTCAGTCAGCCCAAGACCGACCCAGCTCACGTACCAGTGATCACGCCAAGCCGGCCAACGAAGGATTTCTGGCGAGAATGATGCGCCCAACGGCCAGTTCGGCTAGCAAGACACATGATCGACCTGAGACCAAGGCTCCTCAGAAGACCACTACAAGCAAGGCTCCACGGCCCTCGGTGGGACGGGTGCCTGAGCGCAGTGCGCAGCAAGCCAGACCTAAACCCGCGGCTCTGCATCCTCAGTCGGAAATGTCGCATGCATCCAACAAAGAGCCTCTCCCGAAGAAGGAAATCGAGGAGACCAAGGTTTGCCAACCGGCGCAGGAGAGTGAAAAGGAGAATATCGAAGAATCCACTCCTGTCATTCCCGAGGAGCCTGAGGTCATCGAGTCCAATGAAGTTGTTGTCGAGTCACCCGAAGTTGAGACTGCAGCCGAAACAGCCGACAACATCAAGCAGGAAGCTGTTCCAGAGCCTGTTGTTGAGATTGCCAGCAAGACAGTGGAACCCACACCCGTAGAGTCTTCTGCAGAGGCTTCCCTTGAGCATGCCGATGAGGCAGTTACCGAGCAGGAAGCTCCGGAAACTTTGTCGGTCGATAAGCTTGAGCCTGAGAACGAGGCCGATGACGTGGAGGCTAGTGTCGAAGAATCACCTGAGGTGCAAACCGAGTCTCCTGAAGAAGCCTTCGAGACCCCTGCCGACTCCACCCCCTCGAATGAACCTGCCGTGGTTGTTGGAGAAGACACCACCCCTGAAGAATTTGAGGTTGTCGAGGTCCCTCAGTCAACCGAAGCTTCTGTCGATGGATCTAGCGAGAAGGATACTGAAATCAAGGAAGTCCCCGTCGCTGAGCCTTCGACCCAGTCAGAGGAAGTTTCTACTTCCAGTGATTCTATTCCTGTTGAGCAACCCGCATCTGAGGGCAATGTCGACATCGACTTTGTCAGTCTTGCACTCAACTAGAATGTGAGATTATTGCGTATTGGATTCATTTTTCCATTTTGGTATTTAGTTACCATTATGACTTTCTGTGCTTATACCTTTGACCTTTCTATCTCAAGAGCTAATTCGGCTCCATCTTCCCCCTTGGCAGATTTTGATTTTGACCCCTTCTCTTCATTTTTTCTTCGAGGGTCTTTTGGTCTCTGTCAGCTTCCAACATGATATTTGGATATTGTTTCAGTGTCCTTGGGTGTCTTGTGCCGCTGCATCTTCTTGAACTCTGATATCGGGAGCATACTGTTTTATTAAGCGATTGATTGCATTCTTCGGGTTGAGCATATTTTATTCATCTGTCATTTACCAAGGGGTTATGCTTGGCCTTTGTTTCATATTAGAAGCCAATGCTCTTTCCTTGAAAGTTAACACCACTTCTCTCTACGTTTTGTAAGAATTCGAACTGCTTAAAATCCGACGGCTTACGCCGCCACGAAAATTCACGGAATATCCATGGATACTATGAGCTGACCAGCAGCCCAATCGCTCGCAATTCCCAAACTATGCTCAAAACAGACGAGATCGAGGACAACAAAAAAAATAACTAACGAACTAAAGAAGCTACATCAAACCGCTTATCCCAATTTCTTCTCAAGCCGCTTCAAGAACCGATTCACTCCACCCTCCATCTTATGCGCTTTATCCTCTATTTTATGTGGCCGCTCTCCTGGTGCCTTCATCGCCTTATGAGCATGCTTTTGTGCATGAGAGCGCACTTCCTCCTGCGTAGGCCGGTAAACTTGACTATGGATATCATATTCTGACCCACTCCGCTGTAAAGGCTGTGCCTGCGGCTGCGACTGATCATACGAGTAACCCGATATTCCAACTGGAGGCTGATGCTGAGGCGGCGACTGTTGTGGGGTGGCATACCCCTGTTGGCTATATAGATGAGCATTCGGATCCTGTGATCCATATGGCATGCCACTGGCCCCTGGGTGCGGTTGTCCCGTAAGGAAAGATTGCTGGTACGACGGGAGGACAGGGCTCTGAAGCGCAGAGCCCGGCCCAGCGAGCGGGAATGTACCTGCACGGGCTAGCCCTGCACTTGGGGGTGGCGAGGCATATCCTGTCTGGACATTATTGTATTGCATGCCGGTAGGCGGGGGTGCAAAAGAGCTTATGCCGACATTGTTACCCATTTGATGTGGGGGTGTATATGGGATGCCTGCGTCGGCTGCGGCCGTAGCTGCGAGACCCGAGCCATCTTCTGGCGGGGGAGGGGTCTTCTCGCGATGCTTGATGTGTTCTGGGGCGGCGGGTGCGGCCGGGTTATAGGGCAGTGGTGTCACGTTCTCGGGTGAGCTTCTTTCTTCTGGGGTGATTGGGGAAACTGGAGAGGCGCGGTGGTGAGCATAGGAATGTTGGTGATCGGTTATTGGGCCAGTTTGGGGTGGTGGTGGCGGGGCGAAACTGAGGGTTGGTGGAGCGGGTTGCGTGGTTGGTGCTGCTCCTGCTACTACGGGTGGCGGGTTGAATCTCGAGTCGGGAGTTTGGCCATTCTGGTATGCGGGGTGTGAGACTGCGACGCTCTCAAGCTGCTGGACCACGGAGCTGAGTGGTTGATCTGGCAGCTCGGTCGTGTATCGGTCTGTTTCTAGTTGGTCGTTTGCCAGTAGTAGACCCACTGAGTCTAGGAACTGGTTGGCGTCGTCCAGAGTCCAGAAGTAGATATCCAGCGTATTTATGCGAATCAAGTCATCCGGATCGTCGGTGCTTGGGAGTCGCCAGTCATACTGGGAAGCTTCTTGTTGGGGCACTCCGGTATATCCATCCACCGTCAAGGTGCATAAGGTCGGGAACTGAGTGGAGTGTTGTATATGCACATTATCCAATGTTCCCTGGAACGCATCTTGCTCTGGAGTTCCTGGATTATTGGCGATCTCAATCCGGGCCTTGTTTTGCGCCTGGTAGATGTATAGGTAGGAGCTTTTCTCAAATCGATGGTAGAGTGGTTTAGGAGTTGGTGCAGTGAAATAGTAATGGATATCAGCCAATCTATTGCATGGTAGAGAATTAGCTGGAGCCTGTCCAAATTGTTTTTCGCCCAGCCAAGTCGCTCCACATTGTATGTATGGGATCTGCGGGGAAGTGTCAGTCAACTCACACAGTCACCGATATTTCTTCACCCGGTCGTGGAGGCATGGTTGTCCGTTAATCCGGATATGTATGTATGGATTCTAGAAACACAGTGCAAGAGGGTATTACAGGGGTAAAAGAAGAAGAGTGAAGGGACTTACGACAGAAATATCAATTAATAGCGCATGGAGGGGTTTGATGGGCTGAGCCCGTGAGAGACGTCCTCGAGCCGCCTTGTTTTCTCTCGGCGCTTATAGCTGAGTGTGATAATTAATGTGATGGGTCACTAGTACTTGGCTATCACACTCGTAAAGTATGAGTGGGGCAAGTACCGGGCACTTAATCAACTGGTGAACTATAGGACTGGGCCGGCCGGAAGTACCGTTTCTCCGAAAATTTCCATCGCGATCAACTCAAACATCGCGAACTCGGGACCGAAGTCGACCTGGTCGTGCTTATTGATTACTTCCAGCCCAGCCATTACGGTGCTGTCTACATTGTAATTCTACCCTCTTCTCTTTGGCACCATTCCATTGCCTTCTCCGTCAGCAATACCATCCGGGACGTACGATCTGCGCCCTCCGCACTTTTCTCTCCTTCCTCCGTCCATCAACCTCCGCAAGTTCGGTTACTGCGCCAATCAACCAAAATGTCTCTCGTCAACCTTGCCGCCGTGTGTTCCCACCTGAACAATGCCACCAAGGCCCGCCTGGGTCTCACCTCCATCCCCAACAGCAACCTCCACCTGAAGCTCTGCCAGGCCCTGCAGAACTCGGGTTACATCTCCTCCGTTGTCCGCGGAGGCCCGACTCCCCCCCCGACACACCCTATCCTAGGCTTCCCCACAGTCAGCGACGAGATTGAAGGCGTGGAGGCCATCACCCGCGACAATGTTGCGTCCAGACGTCTCTGGTTGGGTCTGAAGTACTGGCAGAACGAGTCCGTCCTTGGAAAGATCAGCATGGTCAGCAAGCCGAAGCGACGGATCACTCTTGATGTCGAGTCCCTGCGTCGAATTGTCCGCGGTGACGAAGCCTACCATGTCGCTGGTCTGCGGTCACCTGGTGAGAGTCTCTACCTCTCCACAGATAAGGGTATCATGGAGGCTCGCGAGTGTGTGGAGAAGAAGATGGGAGGATTGGTTCTTTGTCGCGTGCTATAAAACCGACACCCGAAGTCGTTGTCGGTTGACGGATCCGTCTTTTTTCAAGACGGGAGAGCGTGTACTAGGATACCTTGGTCTTGTCTTTCTTTTTGCATTTACTCTGGAGTTTGTTTGCTTGGTTCGTCGCAGCGGAGTCTCCTTTTTTGAGACTCGTTTCTTTCGCGACTGTTGGTTGATCCGCCTCGGTCATGGATCTGTATATTAGATGTTTGCGTGTATCGCATTTCTTGTGCTCTGCTCCAGGTGGTCATGGATCACCCGAGTACCACCGTGTATAGATAACGACTTGGAAAAAAAACATGTCCAGATCTCCTTTCCTTCTGCCGATCTTCTAAGCTCTTAAGGCGATTTCGAGTAATACACATTCATTTGATGTTGGGTGTTCTGTCTAAACGTTCAAGTCACACGCGGTCGATTTCTTGTGTTCCTTGGTTTCCAGTGTCCCCGGATTTCCAACATTGATTGTTGCACTCCCCTCCAATCTTATCATGGACCCCAATAATACCAAAGATTTCCTGGAATCGAAAAAAATCCTCATCTCTGGGGGCACTGGATTTCTTGGTTCCGCCACGGTGCGCGCCCTGGCAGAAAGGTATCCCTGTTGCGCCATCACCGTCATCGATCGCAGCCCCCCACGCCCCCAATATGCACTGCCCGAGGGCATTGCATACATGCAAGTCGATGTGTCCTCTGCGATCGAAGTTGGCAAGGCGTTTGAGGCGGTTCAGCCAGATATTGTGATCCATTCAGCTGGTATTATTCCAGCGTTGGCTGACCGATTCGGTCGGAGGTTGGAGAAGGAGGTGTGGAAGACCAACGTTGTAGGGACTCAAAACATGTTGGATGCAGCCACAAAAAATGGCGCCGCTGCATTCATCTATACCAGTAGCTGCTGCGTGGTGACGGACGACCTGCGTTCATCTTATGCCAACATTAACGAACAATGGCCCACATCACCAAGCTCTCTCATCTATGGCGAATCCAAGGTTGTTGCCTCCTGTTATTCATTGTAGTGTCATTTCTTCGTTTTGAATGCAAAAGAGAGAAAAAGCTGACCAGAACTAGGCTACAGCAGAGGCTCTTGTTCTCCAGGCATCCAGTAACGAAATGGCCACTTGTGCCTTACGCCCCTCCGTTCTGTGCGGACCGGGCGACTACCAGTTAGTGCCAGCCATTCATGCATGCATTGCCAAGTCCGAAACCCCGTTTATTATTGGCACTGGAGATAATCTGTGGGATGTCACTCATGTGAGCAACGTCGCCGATTCGCACGTCTTAGCTGTGGAGAACTTGATGAGCTCTCGTACGGCAGCTGGAGAGGCGTTTTTTATCCAAAATAATGAGCCCATCGCCTTTCGGGATTTATGCCTGGCGGTATGGGCACATTTCGGGCATATCCCGCCCTTCGAAATTCGAATTCCGGAAGGACTAGCCTTCTTTGTAGGGTTGGTCTGTGAAATCGCCACCCGGGTGATGGGAACCAGCACAACCCTGAGCCGGGGGAGTGTGCGAGACGCGTGCGCTATACGATATGCTAGCGGTGATAAGGCTAAAAGTATCCTGGGTTACGAGGCTCGCATTGGCATAGAGGATGCCATTCGGTTAAGTTGTGAGGTAAGACGAGACCACATCGTATGAGATGATTTTGATTTAAATCGTCTAAAAATTGTAAATTCAGTGACTGACAAAAGTGAATGCAGGATTATGCTCATCGTATCGGAGTAGAACTGTACGTCTCAAGCCAATCAAGAAGAAGACTTGAAGATACGAATCCATGAACATTGACATTAACTTTCTTGTCAAGAATGGATACCCTGTCAATTAAACCCCATCAATATAGAAGCCATCGACTTCAGAGGCGCTTCTTAGCTCTATTCTAAATAAGTTGCCACCTTGATGGATTGAAAATGGTCCGATTCATTTTATTATGGGGAAAACTGGAGATTGGCAAAGTATGATCTATACACAAATGTAAGACATTGGGCTGTTCATTGGGCTCCCAAAGCCCCTAAAGCGGGCTATACCTTGAAAATGTTGGAGCGGATCGTGGCCGAAGTAATCAAATTGAACTAAATTCGAAATCCAAATTCAAAAAAACAACAACGCAGGTTGATCAAGGTCCACTAAAGATAATCAAATAACGAAACAAAACAAATCTGGTCCATGCGTTGATTGGGCAGACTTTCACCTGCCCAATAATTACACAATGCACAATCCCCGGGTGAAAATCTAACCCTCAATTGACGTTGAACCGCGGAATATGTCCTGGAGTGAACGTCACGGGAGTTTCCTGCGCTCCGCCTCCACCGTCAGGCTCACTCATCTTGTTCTTGCAGATCGTCTCCCGGCGTCTTCCAGCTCGTCATCCAACCACTAGAAATGAGAGCCTGACCCATCATCATGCCGTCCTGCCCAACATGCTGCCCAAATCTGTTGCCCTTGATCAATCATCACACGAGGGTGAACTTCCTCTACCTATTGTTGGTCCTGTCGCCTCCAAGCTTGTGAAGATCGGAACTACATGGGCTGAGAAGTGGTCTCCATCCCGATGTGGATACACCATCCCCAAACATTCTAGAGCCGCTTCGTAACGCCCCCCATCTCGTCGAATCAGTGCGCAAGGCGTACCGGTTTCGACCGCGATCGATCGACATTCCTTCATGAAAAGTCCACAATGTGGCACAGGGGCACCGGGGTTGTTCCCTGTCAGTGTGGTGGAGTTGGCCCTCTACGTGAGAACAACACCCAGGTCACTGGTGCATTGTTTTACAAAGTCCTATTTTATCCACTCCTGGCGTGGAGCTTTCTCGCGCGGCTCCCCATCCACTTGTGGGTGTGTAGAAGCACGGTCCAGCAGTAGGCGTCAGGCACACCTACCAGAAATATCCCACCTGAGTCTCCTGGACATATAATACTCAGCATTTGGCCACCCTGCGCTTCTTTACACCCGAGGTTTTGTCAACCCCCCCTTTTTTTCCCCATTCCTTTTTGCAATTTAATTCATCGCGCTCTTTGACTCTTCACGTTTGTATACGGCTATTTGCAAACCATCAAGTCACTTCTCATACCCGATCTTTCTATCACTCTGACCCGATGCTTCCGGCCTTTGCTCCCCATTTGGCGGCTGTTCCAGCAAGTTTTCAGCCACTATCTGCGACACCAGCAAACATCAGGTCTCGTGCGGGCTCGGTTAGCAGTAAGCTAGATTTTTTGTCTCGCTCGAGGTCAGCAAAAACAAACACCATTCTTGCCCCATCCGATCTTTCCTTTCGCATGATGTTTCGGAGAGAATACTTGGCTCACATTCAACAGCGGCAATATGGCTCAGAACACTATGTATGAGCATCCGGGAAACCCTCCCATTATCCATGCTCGGCAAAGGTACTTCTATACCATGTATAGTGGTCTTTCCATTCCCCATCCCCAAACCTGGCATCTCCACGGCGTTTATTACTATTGCTAAGTAATAAAAGGGCCCCAGCAACACTTCGACCATACGGCGCTAGGGACAACCGTCCAGTTATGGTAGACTTCGAACAATCACGCTCTTACTACCCAGGAACACCTTCTCCCATGGAAAACTACGGCCATATGATGAACCAGCCCGTTGGACGCCTTTCTTACCCTCCAGTTGGGCACTCTATGGCAACGGCCCCTGGATACCCTGAATGGAACCATCCTGTCCACGAGCCCGTGCGACAGGATGTTGGACCCCTGAATTCCCCGGAAAGCCCGACTTATATCGTGGAAAGATCCGTCCGGCGAGGTGCCGAGCCAAGCCGAGGAAGCTCCCAGTATATTTCCCAGAGACGTACCTCCGTTCGGGGAGATGAATTTGATGGCCCCCATCAAATTCTGGACCCGCCTTCGTCTCGAAGTGTGCCAGCTCGAGAGGAAGAGCTGCCCCAGCTCCCTACTAACCTAGATGCTGCTGAACAAGACAAAATCTTGCACGAAGTTAATGATCGTCTCTCTCTATCAGCTTATGAGTTCTTCGCAAGATATCAGTTCCCCATTCCACTGGAAACGGACAAGAGGCCTGTTCAGGTACCTTCAGACCGAGAGTGGAATGAATGGGTGCATCTGTTGAAGAGACTTGCCACCAGGCGTCGTATTCCTCGACACACTTTGCACAATGGCCAAATCAAACAGCTCATCACTGTTCTTGAAAATTCCCTGGAGATGCGCCATGCTGCCAAGCATAGCTCACGCCCTGTCAAGGATGATCGTAATGTGCTTCAGCTCATCTCTGCAGGAACGCAGGTTGCGAAGATTCTTAAAGATTCTAGCGCTATGCAGTTCTTCGACCGTCTTTATGTTGACACGGAGAAGACTATTCACGACCGACGCCGCCGCGTCAGATTTGCTACCCCTTGAGTACTTTAAATCATGGCCGTTTTATCCACCCTGGTTTTTTTATGCCCATGGACTTCTGCTTCCGTGGATCAAATCTTTCCCCCGGATCTCCATGCCTCCGGTTTTCACGTTCTCGCTTTGATGGACCCAAATTTCCCGTGGACTGCTTCATTTACCCCGTGAAGATTGTAACGATTGACCCCATGTCATGACTGAAAGATCCCTTGCTGGCCCAATCTTTGTTTCGCGTCCGGGGCTTCCCCCTTGACTTCGGAAGTGAACCCACGCCGGTCCAGCAGATACATTACCTACGCCCACGACGGAACCCCCTTTGTACTGCCTACCCCATTTACACACCTCATCACAATGATTTTGAAAAGCTGCAGATTTTGAGACTCGAACAAGTCCTCGTTCTTTGACAGCCAAGAGGAGGGAGGCCAGTATCTTTTACTACCAACTCATTCAGGTTGGTTCGACTTTATGTTATGGAATTTGTTTTTGTTTTTCCTCCTCCTTTCCGGCGTTGATTTTTCATTTGACAATTATGATTCTATCAATTTTTTTTCCTTTATTTTGTCTCGGGTCGGCTGTCTGGTATATATTGACTTTATGCGCTTATGTTCTGATGCTTTTGATGTTAATATTACACCCCGATCTTACGGGTGATCGAACGCCAAAAATGACTACATTTGGCATTGCTGAGGCCCATTGGGCTTGAATTCTTGAGTCATCTATACATGTTCAATTATTTTTAACCATCACCTTTCCGAGGTCTTTACGCTCCAGCTCAGTGAGCGTAGTTTGTATCATCGAGGGGTGAAAGCACTTAGCAAAGCACCGGAGGACAACTCCGATAGGTCCTCAGCAGGAACAACATGGCTCTCACCCTTTCAAAGCTGACTCGGAGGCATCCTCAAATCTTTGCTCTGCCAGCAATACATGGATGATATTTCCTCCTTGCCAACTCGCCATCGTTTTTCGGTCCCAAAGCAAAACTGGTGACCCTATTTGGTTTGACGCATCAATTCTCTCTTAACTTTATTGTGCATGCTTTGATGGGGCTAAATATGAATTGGCTGGATGGTGTAGTTGGTTATCACGTGTCGCTCACACCGACAAGGTCCTGGGATCGAGCCCCAGTCTAGTCATTCTTTTTTGATTTTTCTTTCCTCTGATGTTTGAGGTCTTGTTTTTGGCCCAGCTTTGTAGGAAATCGTGTCCGGTCAATATGTGGATGGTCAAAATAACAGTGATCCTGTTTTTCAAAAGACAAGGGTGGTAGATAGACTACTAGATTGTGGGAATAATCCTAACCGAAAACTAAATATGGAAAACATATGCCGGCAAAGCTGTACATCATAGACAGTAAACCAAAACTAAAGAGCCTTGTGTATTGAGGCCAGCTTACAGATGAATAGGGGGAATGTGCCAAAAAAAGTGACTAGACTGGGGTTCGATCCCAGGACCTTGTCGGTGTGAGCGACACGTGATAACCAACTACACCATCCAGCCTGCTTATATAATCGTTGCAGGAAATTTGCCCCAAGACTACTACAAATTGAATTTGAAGGAGCATAAGATATCAACATATTACCTTTTTATAGTTAACATCTTTCGGGTGAATTGATACATCACGAATTCACTGGAGATGGTGCCTGGAACCGAGCGATATTCTTAACAAATGAAATCAAACTTTCGGTTGCATATGGCTAGTAACATTTGAAAGTTGACATCTCCATAGAAATAACCAAATCAGGGCTCATTATCTGCTGGTATGCCGCATCCAGATCTGGTAGCAGGAGCTCCGGTACAGATAATTTGTGTTTCAGTCCAAGAGCTTGTCTGTACGGGAATGACAGAGGCAAATGGCAACTCAGTTGTGATGCACCCAATAATGATAGGTAAATAAACTTTTCCTAACTTGAAGACACCTATTGTTCAACTTGACCGTGTCATCCATCGCGGTTTGTGACCATATTGCATTGCCGGTAGGAAATCTACTGGCTGTGATCATAGCCAAAGTGGCGATCAATAGTTTTTCATTCTGACCCGAAAGCAGAGTATGGTATGTGAACCGTACTGGTCACTGTGGTAAGTTATATACGGTTGGCTACGGGCCGCGCGGGACGGGAAACGGGATTGGCCGGGAATAACCTATTTTCAGTTTGCCTTCCTCTGCGATTCTGTAGATGGCCAAAATGGAAATTTAATTTAGAGACTAGGAAGGCCATCGCTGACTAAGAAGTTGAAAGTGGCTTTGAGAAAGCTTTGGCAAGTGCAGAATAAAAAGAGGTTGCCTTATCTCGAGGATTGGGATCGATTGGGCTCCATGACTTTTAAACGTTCGACCTTGAACCTAGTATTGTACAGTCCTTACTTGAGTATGTACTAATCAATATGTATTTCGCAGACTGTATTTTTGTTATAAAGATATTGTATGGATACTAGTACAAACGCCCAAAATATTGGAGAGTCCGGTCACCGTTCCGGCGAAGAGGAGAATTCCGGCCACCATACCATTGCATAAATGGGAATTCCAGGACCACCTGGCTGTCTTGTAGCATCTGCAGCAACTTTGCCCTTTCCAACAATAATCTCTTCTATCTCTTTGAAGCCCAACGATAGGTACATATTGCGGGAGCCTGGACTCGTGGCCTCGAGCCAGATTGGGACGTTCTCCGACTGAGCAGTATGTTGATGTTCCCGCATGATCGCTTTCGCCAAACCTGTACTAATGTCAATAATCTGAATGGGAGTGCAAATATCTCTGCGGCATTGTCAGCATACCTTTTCCACGATGTTTATGGTCGGTCCCTATGCTGAAAATATAATAATAACGCTTTTGACCGTGCAGGCCTTTCTTTTTCGCATTGTCTGTCATCCCAGAAAACTCGGTCCAGAGACGCTGGTTGGTTTAAATCAGTTCCTCAGCTCTTATTTCCAATCCTTGCAGAGCTCACCTTGAATCCCGAGAAACTAAGCTTCCACAGTACACACAGGAATCCAGCATAGATAAGTGTCCAGACGTTATCAACACACTTCCCAGGTGGTATGATAACGGATGCGGCTTTCCAATCGTCCGCCTCGGTGATGACCGCATCGTTCAGTAGAGCTGATTTGACTAGTGTGGACCAGTAGATGGGTAGATAAGCCAGGCGCTCCTCCTGTGACATTTCCAGTAGCATGTAGGTGACGACGGGGTCCGTATCGAAAACTCGACCGTTGAAGCGTGCGGCGGGATTTAGGAGCTCTGGGTTCGTTAGTTCAAGCTTGGATCTAGCTGAGAACGAGAAACTTGCTTTTTCTTCCTTGCGTGAATGTGACCGATGACTTCTCCATGACTGTCGCCAGGTTGGATTATAGTAGGTTGTAGACGCCCGTAAGAATAATGGCTTGCCATGAGGAATTGGGAAGGGATTTCAGATGGATGTCGCATGTCGAGACGACGTAATATGTTATGTAAGCCGGAATTGAAGTACCAGTACTATTGAAGTAAAGAAAAACACATAAAGTTTCGCCCAATGACGCGAATCTTTCTCATGATTTATTCAGGACGCGGAGCGCTCGACACTCCAACTCCATGGAATGGACTCGGCTTATAGTTGGATTGGCTGATCATTGCCGTTTTAGAGGCTCCACTTTATCACCTAGACGGGCTTGGCTGCTTAATCGTGAAGCCATGCAGGCCTGGGCATGTTTATCGCAAAAAGAGAAAGCTTTGGAAGTCAAATCCTAATAACCGTGAATAAGAGTCTCGAGTTCAATTTTATTAAGAGGACAGTTTCCCAATTTACTGGGCCGATATCAAGCCCGTGACGTTCATTTTCCGTGGGCTTTGGTTACTAGTCAATCCCGGAACCGGGATACACGGCCCCGCGCGTTTAGCGGAACCGGGATTGAATTTATAATTTCTACAGTTTACAGAGTATAAGTATTTCTTCACTGATTCCCAATCAACACATCAAAACACTTTCTTCCCTGACAACTTCTTCTCCCATCCACCCATCATAAACTCCAGCCAGAACGGCATTACCCCTCCTTTCATCAATCAAAATGGGCGCCACCACCTTGCTCCTCCTCGACCTGCAAAATGGCATAGTTGAGCAGGTCGGAGCTCCCCAGGCATACCTCGAACGATTGGCTACTGCCATCTCTGCCGCGCGTGGCCACAAACTCAACGTCGTTCACGTTGTTACAGCCTTCCGCAAGGGCTATCCCGAGAACAACCTGAACAATTCCTCTGTCCCCGCCGTCGCGGCTCGTGGACTATTCCAAGAAGGCGATGACGCTGTTAAAATCCACCCCGCCGCCACCCCGATCTCCGAGGAACCAGTTATTACCAAACGACGCGTCTCAGCTTTCTTTTCTACAGAGCTTGACATGATTCTCCGTTGCTCGAACACAGACCACATTGTCGTCGCGGGACTGATCACTAGCGGGGCTGTTTTGTCAACCGTTCGACAGGCTGCAGACCTTGACTACCGCGTTACCATTTTGCGGGATCTGTGTATGGATCGTGATGAGGAAGTGCACAATGTTTTGATGGATAAGGTGTTCTTCCGGAAGCAAAGTATTGACACTGTGGAGAAGTGGGTCGCCGGGTTGGAGACGCCTATCCCGGCCGATAAATAGAGCCCAGGAGTCTTGACTTTCTCTCTCAGTCTCTGACATCTCTGTGTTCTCTGTGCTCTCTGTGTTCTCTGTGTTATCCTCTTTGAAGCGAGCAAAATTCGTGAAATGGAAGTTTCTAATGCTAATGAATCTAATCTAAAATGCATTCATTCTACATGCCTCTGAAGTTCATGAACTTATTATGCATCAATAACTTACCAAGAACCACACTTTGTAAATATACTCGGTAACAACCGATTTGTGCACACTCACATCTTCAAAGAACTGTGTGTACCCTCAAACGTAGAATTCACAGGCTCTCGCAGGTCCAAATCCTTCATCTGCCAATTTACATGTGATCCAAAACACTCAACTTCTCTAGTCAAAATAAGGACATGATTAGAGACAAACTTTGAAGGTTGTATAAATGTGGTTTGATTATTTACACATATTCTAGCACTATACTGCATACTATATCATGAATCGTCCTCAATTTAATTACAACTTCACCTGGTTCCGATCCTGTGGGCCCGAGCAGCACGTCGGCTCAGGGTGTTCAGTCGACTTGTTGAACGACTGCGAAGACTGCGGGACATCCAGAGCAGGGTTCTTGGTAAAGAAGCCATCTGGCTTCAGCATAACGCTAACACGCTCCATGGGCATGACCGGGAAGTCCTCAATACGAGGGTTATGAGTGAGACCGAATGCTAAGAGATGTAAGCTAATATCATCAACAAGGAATCGACATAGGGAACTCACTATGCCACAAAACCACATCTTGGTCCTCAACAGCATCATTTCTGCCAGCCCAAACCTCCACACCGTCGGAGCTCTTGCTCTGGTTTGTGAATTCGCCTGCAGCAAATAGCTCATCGTCTTGGTACTTAGTCACCCAAATTGGTCGAGTCGCGAATTGGGCACGCTTGGTTCCGAAAGACTTGGGCGAAGCCAGGATCATTTGACTCGGCGATGTTTGCAACTTATAGGCAATGGGGTGATGCGTGATGGGGTTGATGATATTATCATTGCGGATCTTGAACACGCGATGACGATCCACACTGGTGAATGCGCTGCCACTCTGCTTGATAATGTTCTTTTCCGTGATATAACCCACAGACCAGGGGTTTGAGTCATCCTCCGGCATGGGAACGCTATCCTCATAATAGATGGTATTCTTGAAGCCATCCAGCGCGGGGTCAATGCGCAGAGAGAACATGTGCTGGTGGAACGGAGCCATCACGCCCGGTCCAACATTCGTTCCCCATGGCACTGTTTGTCCATTGGTGTTATCGAAAGGCACAGTAGAAAGGATACCAGTTGCGCGGACTTCCAGCTCGATATTGGCTGCTTGGTCAAAAATAAAGGCAAAGATATACTCGTAGTTAGCCACAGTGCAGATCATCTGCACTACCAGCTGTCTGTTGCGAACAACGGTCGCGGCCCCGGTACGGTAGTTGGTGTGCTTGTGCTGGAGGCCCGCGTCTTGCTCGTGCATGCAGATGACATTCTTGAGCTGGATGGGAGCACCCTGGGCATCCGTGCGGTAGCCGTCGAAATATTTAATGTGGCCTAGACAGTCGCAGCCCAGTGCCAGCTGGTTGGCCGTGATGCCAAAGCCGACATCACCGACGTCAAAAGCTTGCTTTCGGTGATAAGGACCACGAGGATCTAAATATCAAGTTAGCCATACTTTGCGAACTCAAACCAAAAAAATCAAACAGCAGATATTGTGACAAACCTCCGTACGGAACAGTCATCTCTGAAAATGATAATCGGTAGAAGGTGTTGCGGCCATCATAAGTAACATTATGCAACACCAATCCTTCTCTGTTATTGAAGCCAACGCGGAATCGCCATTTCTGCCATGAAACAGCATTACCGAGAACATTAAAGGAAGCGCCCTCAGGCTGCTGCACGATATATGGTTTCAAATCAGTGCGTAGTGGCTCATCCAACAAATCATGCGCATATTGGATAGCGGGAACCGGCTTCCACGGCTGCGTCTCCGTGACTTGGTGATCCGCGCCACCGGGGAGGTAGTCCATGCGGACTAGTTGGTGGGTGATACCATCAAAGACCGGGGAGAATTGGCAAGGAAGAGAGTATTGGTTATGTCCAGGGTGATCCGTGGCCACAATGTACATGTAGCACTGGAACAAGCGTCGGGTCTCCTGAGGGTTGTCGGTGCCGTAGATCCATGGATCCAGGCAAACGGTCATGCCGGATGGAAGCTTCAATTTCTCAATCTCGGCTTTCACGGCTGGGTGGTTCAGGCACACCTGCTCTATCTCGAGCATTTCATCCATATCCAGCGGGCCCTATTCAATCATCAGTATGAAGTCTTTATACTTCTAGACATACTATGTGGACATACCTGGACCTCCTTCGGAAGTTCCTTTGCGGACACGATAGACTTGGTGTCCGCGTTCAACAGCGCCTTATAGAAGGAGCCGTTATCCAAACGGTGGAACAAAGCCATGATAAGACGCGCAGGCTTGCGAGGACGGGGCTTGCCCAGCCGCTCTGCTTCAATATAAGGAATCACATCTTGCTTGATGGGCTCCTGAAGATCAATTCGCTTGTATCGCAACTTGACGTCGGGGAAAGCAGATTCCAAGATCTGAACAGCCAATTGAATCTCTCCCGGAGTGATCGGATCAAAGGGGTGAGGGCTCGCCATGATGAATGATTGTGAGTCAGATGAGATCTGGATGAACCGGCGAACATCCAGCTCTTATATATCCACTCCGCATCTCCAGGAACCGCCGCTTTCCAAGGTTTGGACAATTGAACTCTTTTGAGTAAATCTTTCGCCGCGAGAGGGGGGGAATGCATTCTGATTGGTCAAGTTTAAAATCCACCGGGCGCAACTTTTCCCGTTTGGGGTTTAGCGTCAACAAACGCTCTGATAACTGCTTGGATGTCATTGGCTGGCGAGATTGGAGATATCAAAGTTTGGGAGATGTTGGAGGCATTAGAAATAGAAATAGAGAGAGAGTTTAGGTGATATCAATTAATTCATTGATATACACAACATGTGAAGGTACTGGCTTTAAGAATTTTGGTAACTTTAAACAACCACAAAGAACATTGAAATTCTTGTATAGAACAAACTTTGCAATACACTAATACTACTCACTGACATGATGCCACCTACGCCATTAAAGGCCAGAATATCTCCATACTTGACCTCCTCTAGGAACTCCACGTGGAGACTTGACGGTGTACGCCTGTTATCAAGGGCTGAGAATGCCCCACGCTAGGGGCCACACCAGGAACATTGAACGGGAGTGCCATCAACGCCAGAAATCTTTCAATTAAAAGAACCACCAGGAAATCCATTCAATGTTAGCAAATCAATAAGCATATTGACAGAATTTCGAAAAAAATTCCAATGAAATAAATTAATGCTAACAAGCCTTGTACTTTTCAAAAACGCTCGAGGCCAAGACAAATCCAAGACGGGATGGAATTCAGGGCTGCTACAATCCATATCAGATCGCCCTTCCAAGGTCCGACGCGATTCAACATTCCACATCTTCCAAGCTTTTATCCCAGAGAAGCGTCGCGTATCTTTTGGTCATGACTATAAAGCCATGTCGCGTCGCTCGTCGCGTGTCGCACTTGCATTCGACAACCATTGCGACCAATAATCCTGCCGACATGGATTGAAGCGACTTGATTCTACTAATACTAGCTATAGTCTTCGATACTACTAGCATACACAACCTTGAATTAATCTTGAATTTATTGCCCCGCGCCGGAAAAGAAAACCAAAACCCACGGATTTTAGGTCGCTTGCACTTTTCACCATGCAGTGGCGCAGACCTATACCTCTCATGCTTGCCAGCATTGAATATGCACTGGGCTCACACTCCCACAAGCATCTTCATGGACATGGCCATCTCATGCCTCACGCCGAGAAGCTAGAGCCTCGAGACGTGGCCTGGACCGATCAGATTCCGCCCGACATGCTCATCGAATTTCGCACCTTTACAACCACGGTCTACGAGGACTGCGCCCCGACAAATACCATCTATGTCACCACAACCGTATTTGAAGATATTTTGCTGGAACCAACGCATCTGCACCTCGAACCTACCTACTCTGCCATCAGCCAGCTTCAACCTTCACAGCCCGAGGCCACAACAACGGTACACATGACCAAAACTGTGATGGATGTTGTGACAGAGACAGCGGCGACCACCAAGACAGCGGACTCAACTCCAGAATACGGCAATGGTGTCGGCATCGACATGACTGCGCCACCCCGAGAGGTCGTGTTTGCGAAAACAACAGGCGGAATTCACACCACAACTACAGTTGTTGCCTCTTTATCTGGATTTGGCAATGCGACTGCCACAGTTTCCATTGACGTGACAGAGCCTTCAAGCGAGGCACAAGAGGAAGAGGAATTTTTCAGAGAGGCAGCAGGGGGAGACGACACAGAGAGAAAAGCACCCAAGAACGTAGGAGGCAAGAAGGCGAACATCGACGGCCACCTAGTTCCGATGCCTACACCAACAGACCCTGCACCGGGACTTCTCCCCAAGTTTCCCGGTCTTCCACAAATCCTCCCAGCAACAGCACTCCCAAACCTGAATTCAATCGGCCAGGCCCTCGATCTGAATGGACAAGCCCCACCACAAGATATTGAATGGACCTCTCTCCCCAAGGACAGTGAAGTGTCTATAGACGGATTTGGAGGCCGCAGCGCCCCAAAAGGTTCCGCGGTAACCTACCAGGGCAACGTTGGTATTCCCTGGGGCAGCAACATCATCGCCGTGAGCCCGACAGAGGCCCACCGCTACAACTACGTAGCTCAGTTCTCGGGGGCAAACACTGAGCCTTGGACTGTGACTATCTGGAACAAAGTCGGACCCGATGGCAAGATGGATGGGTGGTACGGACACTCTGCGTTGACCTTTGTGCTTGCTCCCGGCGAGACAAAATACGTCGCTTTTGACGAGGACTCGGAGGGCGCGTGGGGTGCTGCGCCAGGAACACATGGGCTTCCGACGGACCAGTATGGTGGATATACGTCTACCTGGGGAGAGTTCAGTTTCGGTGATCTGGAGAACAGTGGCTGGTCTGGGTGGGATGTGTCGGCTATTCAGGCGCAAATTGCTCATCATGATGTGCAAGGGATGAAGATTTGTCAGACTGATGGGAAGGGATGTTCGTCCATCACCCCTGGTGCCAAGAAGGTTGTCGATGCTTATACACAATCTGAGCGACACAGTGATGGGATTGGAGGTGCTGCCTCTCCGGGGCCTGTACGGCTAGCTGTGAGTTTGGATTATCAAGAGTGATATTTGGATAATTAGGATGTATGTATATAAGGGGGTTTTAGTATGTAGTGTGGTTTAATCATTCATATTTAATACACTGCTATCTTTTTAACTAAAAACCACTCTCAATGACAGAATCAGCTTGGAAACAATAGCCAGAGTAATATGGAGTATTGAAAAGGACAAAGGGAGAAGAGAGGGACAGGGAAGGAGGCACCCATAGTTAACATTTGAAAGTAGCTAAGAGCTCCCTTATATTTAATAATTTGAGGAAGAATTCCATCCTGGCACCCACGTAGTCCAACTGGTTCCACCCTTCGGGACCTCAGCCAGCTCTGGATTTGCGGCCCCCACTTCAGGTACACTGGGCCCATCCACGATGGGGATACTGAGTAGTACGGCGAGCCTAAGAGTCGAAGCCTAAGTTGAGTGACAGCGAGAAAGTGCGCCGCGGACCTACTACAAAGTATCTGCCCTCTTTTTTTTCTTTTTTTAAATTATGAAAGTATTTTGTTTTTATCTTTTTTATTTGATTTGATTTTGATTTTTGAAGTTGGGAGGGGAGTTCTAAGTATGAAGCCCCGTGATGCCATCATGCATCGATGGCGGGAGCGAGTGACTTGTTTCTTGGGAAATCTTTACGTGTTTGTGGTTTTCACCTACTTAGAGGCTGTAGGTTCGACTCCGGGATAGATCATTTCTTTTTCTGAATTTCTGAATTTCTCAGTTCTACTAGTAGTACTTTTGATTGGTCTTTCTTAGTCTTTCAATTAGCCTAATATTATTGGTCATATGCAGACGCGCCCAAAATCAGTTTCACCATTTTCTCTCTTCAGGTCTCTCTTCAACTCTATTCTGAGGAAAGGAAGTCCTAGGACATACCCTCTGCATAAATTTCGAAAAAAGGAACTTGAAGATATTCATCCTTTATCTCCTTAGTCCTCGGTACTTTCCCTCTCCCATTCACCTCAAGTCTCAATCCACCTCAAGTCTCGAGTCTCGACAATGGCGAACCCATATGAAGCGGACCCAGATAAAATCCCTATAACCGACCTGTACGTTGATGTCCCCTTTTATGGTCGATACTACCCAAAACCTGATGATTTCTGTGTTGATCTTCGGCATGTCAATTCCCAGACTACAGACTCCCTGAGATACTGGGCCTCGGTTGTTAGTCTTTGCACCGAAGAGATACGCATTTATCCTGCCGATGAAGGTGGTCGCGACGTTTTCGCTCTTGGTAGCGTGATTGTGAAGTCCAGCCATCTCCATCCCCATACACACCAGGGCGCTCCATATATGGAGATTGACTTCACATACGCCGATGAAAATGAACTTCGGGCAATTGTTTTAGCAAAAGCTGTTCTGAAGAATGTCAAAGTTCCAGAAATTTACTTTGCTGGCAAGGTACTTGATTAATTTTGATACTCGTTTATCTGGTTCCATGACTCACATCTACCCAGGTCAACAGCCGCCAAGTCCTCATCCAGGAAAGGCTTCCGGGGGTCGCATTGTGTGTTGCATGGCCGTATCTGACCAGTGACCAGACGAAGTCCTTTAAAGAACAGGCTAGGGGGATCCTTCGTCAACTCCATGCCACCAAACCAACAAAGACACTTCAAGCTCGCTCTCACGTGGTACCGGACCCTAACATACTTAATAACGGCCGGATTAATCCCCTAGAGGCGAAAATTCTTTTTGCAACCACCAATGATGATACAGATATGAGCTTTATGCATAACGACTTCACTCAGCCAAACTGTATTGTTGATATTGACACTATCGTGGGGCTCATTGATTGGGAAATGGCTGGGTTTTTTGGTTGGAACACTGCTGGAGAAGTCCACCGACAGATTAGAACCCCACAACGAGAGCATTTTGTAAATGCCAATTTGGAAGAGGAACAACTTCGGGATATGATTTTCTAGAATGATCTCTATGATGAAGGTGTGCCAGGGAATTAAGCAAGAGGGTTCTCTATTGCCAATAGTAACAAGAAGATATGAGAGCTCGACAAACAATTGAAGATAGCAAAGAGTGAAATTGATTTCGAGTGTGTCTGTTTAGTAAATACAATGATCTGGCTCTTTATCCAGTTACATAGCAGGAATGTTCATGGTTTCAATGGTCCAAACCTTGCCACCTTGGCTTGAGGCCAATCCAGTGTAGCTGGCACCGGCAGCCGTCGCGATAGTATTTCCGAAGGTAGTGTCAGCTGCCTTGAGGGTGATGGTGGTATTGAGGTACTTCTGAGCAGCGATGGTACCAGTGCAGTCATCATCACACTCGGTTCCAGTGCCGTATCTGATTATTGTTAGTTGCCTGGAAAAAACATCAAAGAAACGACGGATACTAAGAAAACTAACCCAGTCATGTACGGTCCAGCGGCAATTGAGTAGGTGCTCAACAGGGCTCCAGTCACGTCATTAGTCACGGTCCTAGCGAACGTTAGTTCAAATGTTCCCTTTTCTCTTTCAACCCGACTTCGCACGTCGGAACGAATAGCTTACTGGATCCAGGTCTCTCCATCACTCTCAAGGTTGTACTCGATCCGCACATGATCGGTTCCACTAACGGGACTTCCAGTGCCGTCGAGTTGGCCAAATGATCCAAATACACTGGCACGCACACACCATTGGCCAGTGGTTGCACCACACCACTCATTGCTGGGCCAGCTCTCGAGGGTTGTCTGGATCAAATCGCCTGTTCCATTGGACATACCGGGCCACAGGAAGAGCTCTCCATTTTGAGTCGAAGGGGCGGCGCCGGGGATGATGGTGGTGACCGCGTTGACGATGGTGGACTTCGACGGACCGAGCGACACACTTCCACCCCAGCCATCTCTCTTGACGGGTGTTGAACGTTCGCTGATCAAGCCAGCAGTAGCCAGGCTGGCGCCGGCAAGCAGAGGAAGAATGATTTGCATGGTGATTGGTGGTTTCTGACTTTTGCGATAGAAGTTGAGTGCTCGCTGTCTGCTACAATTCTGACATGATCACAAGCCCGGTATTTATACTCATGCCTTGAGTCGCCGTCAAGCTTTTAGTGGTGGATTGATTAAAGAAAGGTGCCAGCCAAGACCCTGATGTTTCAACTCAAAACGCATTGAGACGAGCCGCTAGTTAGTTGAAACAAGGTATTCCCCACACCCGACGCCGCTGATTGATGCGTTAATTTGGACTATGCAGGGACGGAGAACGGTCCGAGAAGTGGGTATTCATTTCGGGCAAGGCTGAAGACCCGACCATTGAAATTATTCCATTGAAAACGCTGCCATGTCTTAATGTAAGTGGAGAAAACCCTGTTACAGGGGTTGTTCTCCGCTTATTTAGATTCTTGGAATTTACTGAAAACCGGTGTTCTAGCTGGATGCGGAGCTATCGCCCGAAAGGACAACCTACTCCAAGTACTCGCCCCTGGTCTCCCGGTGGATCACATCGAACATTGGCTTCGCACTGAACCATCCAGCCTTGGGGGTTCCCACTGTGTCGTATGTGCGAGCAGCGTCGGCATCGTCAATTTTAATCGTGACACCACCACGGCCCGCAGCCGCCGCGTCTGCCAGAAGCTGCGCCTGGCAAGACCTGTCAAGACTCACAAACCAGAAGACAGCTTCCTCAATCGATTCACCAACAGTCAAAAGACCATGGTTCTGCAGAATTGCCGCCTTTCTGTTCCCCAGAGTCTCTGCGATCAGGCTACCTTCATCCTCTTCCAGCACGACACCTCGGAACTGTTTGTGCACTGCATGATCCTGTTGCCGAGAAAATAAAGCTTTAGCACGACAAATATTGGGGAAAAGGGAACAAAGATACTAACGTTGTAGAAAGCGCAGGAATCCTGAGAAATGATATCGAGTGGTTGCCCCAGCGAGGCAAATGCCTTTCCATGAAGACTGTGCGTGTGTGCCGCACAAATGACATCGGGTCGAGCTTCATGAATAGCCGAGTGAATAACGAAAGCTGCAGCATTCAGCATACGGTTCTCTCCACCATCAATCACCTGTCCATTGTGATTCACGCGAATGAGATCCGAAGTTCTGATCAGCGAGAACGCCGTGCCAAACGGATTCACCCAGAAGGTAGTGGGTTCAACAGGATCCCGAAGGGTGATGTGTCCGGCGACACCTACAAAGAACAGAGCATCAGCTTATGTCTTCTTATTCTCTCTAAGTGAGAGGTTGGGAGTGAGTGTAGTGAATAATACCTTCATCGTACCCGAATTTGCCGAAAATGCGGAAAGCAGCAGCCAGTCGGCCCTTGAGATACTCACGCTCCTCGGTCTTGTTGTCGAATACTGGCTTCTCAAGCATGGTCATCTTGACTTTCGAGTGGTTAGCACGAGCTGCCCGGTGCAGCTCATGCGCCTGGGCGCTGACAGAGCTAGCAAGGTCAGTTGCGATAGGGGGCGCCATCTTGTGTGAGGAGTTGAAAGATGAATTTGAGGAAAGGTTTAGATTGGAAAAGATGTGAGAAATGAAATAAATTTATTTCAAATTCAGGCGGGGTTGCCGAAATATAGGTAATCGTTGTCGTTGATTGGATTGGAGGCAAAGCCGAGGTCAAGGTGCAGCTTCTCCGCATCAACTTGAGCCGATAGAGTTCAAGAAGGTGTTTGGAAGGTTATTGCCTGCGAGATTGGAGATATTGGAAGGCATAAGACCTTGCAAGAAATAAAGTATGTATTTATATGAAGACAAATAGGTACTATTAGATATGATCCTGTGTAAATGGGCTGTAAAGGAAAGCCGAAATGAGATTCACACCGCTTGATCAAGGGAACATGGAAGATAGCCGAAAATATGATGCAGAACGCTAACAAAGACCCCTAAAATTATTTTCATTCACCGTTTATTGATCTTTCAATGAAGAGGAAGATATCCTCTTTTAACCTCTGCCATCAAAACGTCAAATAGCTTGCGATCGGCAGCAGTCATGCTTTGAGCCTTTATCGGTACCCGATCGATATGCCCCACCAACGGCTTCAGGTCAGCTTGACAGATAGTGCCAATATCAGGAAGATTGCCTGTTTGAAAGTAAATACGGATGAGGCTTGCTACACACACGGATGGTGCAGCAAGTGTGGTGTGCTGAAAAGAAGACCCCTTAGTTGTGATCAAAATTATGAGCAAACCGGAAAAAAAAGAAACTCACCCCCTCTGAGTCCTGTTGAAGCAAGACGGATCCTGGAAATCTTTCAGACATATGCTGAGCACTATCTCAGTGTTAGAAATTCAATGTTGCGAATACATTGAATTGAAAGAAACGTACTTATATAATGGTGTAACTGGATCTAGAGTATTCGATACGAACAACATCGGATTTGATGTGTTGATACCACTCCATGGTCCTATATTTGAAGTCAGAATTAGTGAGATATCGAAACTTTAAGTCATCTTGCCATACCTGTGAATTTATACTTGGCCTTTGTTTTCCATCCAACGCAAGCAAGCTCCATCTGAGCCCAATAATCTCCCAATGTCTGACTATCAGCTCTGAAGCCCTTCCACATCTCGGTAAAGCTTTCCAAGGTGTTATCAGCCAGAAATTCCGCATCTGTGCAAAGAATAGCTGCCATGGCATAAAGCGAGTTATCTTCTTCTCGTGTACACTGCGGAGACCACGGTCCCATGATACTACATTCGTTCGAGGGACAGGAATTGAAGTTCCGGCGACGCTTGAAATCCGCCATGGGGACAGGATCCCCACCGACAAGCGCACCTATCTTCTCCGCCAACACCGGGAATGCAAGCAGGGGTTGGTAAACGGCTATACGAAGAAGAGCTTTCATGTCTGTCCAGGTGATGACTTCTGGCCCACGAGTGGAGGAGGCCATGACAGGAATAGAGGTGTTGAGTATTTGGTTCTCAAGTGACCAGTACGCAGCTTGAATGGCGTCTGAACCTCCCTCGGCATAGAATGGGCAGCTCTGAGGACCTGCGGCATCACAATAAAGACCGAAACGATCGAATATAGCATCAGCGTCAGCAATGACGCTTGGTCCTCTGTCTTCGTAATATTTGTCCATATTTACGACACCATCGAGAACGGCCCGGGATACTCGATCGGGGAAGAGGGCAGCAAAGGTTGTGCCTAGGACCGTGCCGTAGGACCTGCCCCAGTACAATAGAGATTCTTCATCCCGATTCCATTTTGTACGTTGAATGATCGCGCGTGTGCTGTCGTAACCGTGGCAGGTGTCATGTGCATTTTGAGCCCTGAGGCCCTCCTTTTCACGCCACTCCCCATGGCGCTCAATAATGGTAAGCATGTCTCGTGCCACGAGTGGAGTGTTGATGTATGCCATCATTGAGTCATTCTGATCAGAACCAAGCATTTCGTACACAGAGCAACCTTGGTTTAGTGCCTGGGTACGCTGCCAACTTTTTTGCAACGCATCCTCGCTGCTTCCGATCATTCCCTCGGCCTCAACTGCCAATTCCCAGTTTCGCTGTGATGATCCATCAGGGAAACAAGTCACGGCTGGTGTAGTATGTCCAACACCGCGGGGGTCAAACCCAATAATATCGAAATACCGATCATCGGAATGCTTCTCGCCAGAGGAAGGATCGCTTTCTGCGTCGATAATTGTTTGCAGATTGCGTCCTGACAGCAACGCTTGTAAAGTTCCGGCACCACCCGGACCACCTAGAGCTATCAGCTTGTTTGACTATTTTATGGAAGCCATAAGACTGTACTCACCCGGATTTATCAACATAGCGCCTCCATAACGGGGGTCTTCGACAGGCACCTTGGCGGGAATCTTCACCATGGCTAAAACAAACTTCCTTTCTTCTTTTTCTGACCGCCCATAGTCCATCGGAACCTCAAGACGGGCACAAAGAAAATCGCCTTGACAGTCATGATATTCCAATGACTCTGAAGGTTGGATCTGGTCCCAACTAAAAGGGGCTATGGATAACACATGATCTGGATGGTGCTGGATTTTTGTCGCAGGAATGAAGTTCACCCAAGACCTTAGAATGACCCAAGTCGCTGAAAATATGATCATCCACCGTCCGGTGATTTCCCACCATGATTTCCCTCGTTTAGATGAAAATGAACTTGAATCGGCAGATTTCAAGTCCTCCATAGCTCGCGCCGCACGCGAGTTGCGACTCTTTAATCCACGCACGGGCCTTCTAAAGAGTTCTCCAGATTCTCAAAGTGATCGCGGAAATTCAAGGAAATCAAAACAATCACCCTTTAAAGAAAATATGCAAAGGATAATCTTCATCACGCCCTTGCCAGACAACAAAAAACAATTCATAAGTAAGTCAGATAGGTCAGATAACTAACCAGACGGGAAAAACTGAATTGAACCACGGCTCAGGGATCGAAGGGGTCCACGGGGTGGGGACATCATGGAGGTAAGACCTATCATGAACGAGAAATGTCGCGGTCGGCTTGTTGATCGATCACGATACGCTAAACTTGACCCGCTCATTGGTGAAGATACAGACCGAGGGGTAGCAGGTGCATGAGATACCCCAAAGTGAAAATGATCGGCTGAGAAATCAGTGGATTCTGATGGGCTGGAGGATTGCCTAGTCCTGCAGCTGTGAGTTCTGGGATGTGGCGACGCAAATTTACAACACGATAAGAACTTCCTTCCACATAAGCGGTTGAAAGAGGATTTGACTTCAGTAAGGGGATTGGTAGTCTCGATGAATTGTGTGTTCAAAGATCCGGGGGTTCCAAGGTTGCGAGGCCAAGTGCCACGGGGGATTTCTTTACTTTCAAGTCACGTTTTCCAAGCGGAACTGGTCTTTTCTGGACACTCAACATACATCATTCCAAAGTTGACAAAATTGAAATCGACTTGAATATCTGAACAGAATGAAGACGAGAAAGGAGGGATAATTTCGTGAGCTACATGCTTTGTACTGGCCGATGTAAGAAGCCTTGAACGTGTCCTTGATTGCAAACTTGCACCTTTGTTGGCTTTGGCCGCCTCAGGCCATTCTGATTCTGCCATGTTTGATCACGTTTTATCGTATAAGTCTGGTCTTGGGATTGATATGAGGTACCGATGTTTTTTGTTCTATTTCTTGTATAGCAATTAATAATCCCCGAGCTCCAATTCCGTTCACTGAAATCCTAACTATAAGAGGACAGTTCCCCGCCAATAATGCATTCCATAATTTTCCACTATCATCGATCACAAATTTTTAGCAAGGGCGATACTCACATACGTTTTTCCCAACTCTCAGCCACGACCTCGACCACCGCGTCGCTTTGGAGGGCGCGATGCCGCTCTCTTCGGCATCGGCGGACCCGCACGAAGGGAAAGGCTCTGGTCTTTGGGCAACTTGTCCTGAACCTTCACCAAATACTCCACAAATTCATGGTAATCCGTGAAGTCCCTCCATGTTTTGTCTAAGCTTGCTCCAAGGGGCGGAGCCAGGCGATCGTAGAGATGCCGAAGGCGGCAGTGGCCGTTCTTCTTCCAGGACTTGGCGTACCGCAGCGAATGGAGAACAAATTCACGCACGGGTTGGTTCTCCCGTTGGTACATTTGGTTATAGTTGTGACGGCAGTTCTCTTCGCCTCCAGCGAGCGGCATTACCTCCACAAGGAAGGTGCAGAAGCTGAACCAAGTGGGGGTTGTAAGTTTCTTGGCGTACGAGTCCCATTGGCCCACCAGCTGTCGAGCAATGGCACCCCTGCCGGTTTGGATCTTCCTTGCGTCGTTGCAATAAAACGCGGCGTACTTTTTGAAGTGTACCTCTATATTCCCAGTGGAATTCCGGCATTCTCCCCAGTCGTGGCCCTGGTAGGTGGGAACTGGGGGTTTGGGTGGAGCTGGTGTAGCGTCTATGGGCCGCTGCAAATGCTCGCTGCCGGGGCGTGAAAGGGGTGCAGTGGGAATTGGGTAGCCGGGTGCTGACGGCGACGATGTGAATTCCCAGAACCTCCTTGGGGATGAAGGCTCTTCCCTCGGGGGTGAAGATCTCCTAGGCGGTCTGGATGGCGAACGAAGCCGTTGCCTAGGTGGTGAACGAGTTCTGCGCCTCTCTGACAGCGAACGAGATCTGTACCTTCTAGGTGGTGATCTTTCTCGGCCTCGCCCCGATGGCGATCGTTCTCTGCCAGGTCTAGATGGCGAGCGCGCTCTAGGACCTCGTGGTCGTGAGCGTGACCGTGAGCGTGCTCCAGGACCTGGTGGTGGCAATTGTCCCTTGGGCCCAATGGGCGGAGCAGTCGCATTGATCTGCCCAATGGGTTGTTCCCTGGGTTGTCCCCCAAATCGTTGAAGTCTTTCCTCTAGCCTCTTCTCGGGGTTGGAGAAAACAGGCGTTGTGGAGGGTTGTGTTTGTGGTGGCGGGTTTCCCGCCTGTGCAACCGAGTTTGTTCTTTGGACTTTAGCAGGCGGCATCTCCGATCCCTCGTTAGGGCGTTTCGCAGGTGGCTTGTTTGCCTGCGGAACAGCAGCTCCATTAGGAGCCGCAGTAGCAGCCGCCAGTCCCCGATCGCGTTGCAAATTCTGTCCGTCGAGTGGTGTCGCATTTCCAAATGATGAGTTCACGCTCGGTATAGGGGTTGGGTTTGCAGGCTTATTTCCCGTGGAGGGAATAGTGCCTGGTTGAATCTGATGACCAGCTGTAGTATGGGTGTCAACGTGTGTTGATTTCTCGATCGTGGGACTTCCGGCCGATTCGCTCACGACGGAGTCTATGAAGGCTGCCACCACGCTCTGCGTACATTGGGGAGCTGGGGTCATCGCCTGCAATATATTCTCGGCGTTTGGGGTTGTGTTTGGAATGTCACCGTTATCCGGTGTCTCTCGCATTGCTAATTAGAGTAGCTTTTCTTCCTTTGCAAGCTGCTTCTGTAGGTCAATGATCTCGCGTAGCTCTTTGACTTCCTCCAGACGTTCTTTCAATAGACGCAGCTGGGTAGCACGAGCACCGCGAGAAGACTCCGCTTTGGGGGCCATGCTGGTAGTCCCGGTCGTGTGCCCAGTTTGTCCAGATGTATCAGATGTATAGCTGGAATCTGAATCTGAATCCTGATCAGACATGTTCGAATTGAACTCCTTGGGTACGGATACCTAGATTCGAAGGGAATCAGAAGCGTGCCATGAGCGAGACGCGAGGCATTAGAGGACTGGTGAAGTCAAAGTAAACTTTTCCCACCTCTTCGTGGTAACGCCTACCAAGTTTTTGTCTTTTTTTTCTTCAAATGTTCCCGGTGCGAGAAAATAAATATTCTGCACGACTTTCCTTCGTTTCAACCAATCAATGACCTCCGATCCAAGTAGCGGTCAGGTAATACAAAGCCTCGGCGGGCGGTGTGGAGCTAACGCGTCAAGCTAACGCGTGAGAGACGTGATAGATCGATTTCCCCCTTTGAATCCCTTCAGACCTTTCGTTTTATCTCATGTCTTCAATGGTGTTTTTTTTGACACGTAGTGTCGAACCGGCAAAGTCCGGCAGTCTTATCGGATCACTGGTATTTGCAATTAAATAAATTGTATTAGAAAATAATTAAATAACAGGTATACTATAGTATACAATCAATACGCGACCGGAAATTACCGGTGCTTTATAAACTGCCATTGTCATCCTTGGAAGGCTATTATTCAAAGTTTGCCGGGTGACCCAAGCAAGCAGACAAATTCACGGTTGGGGGTGTCCTCCAAAGCATTCTTGACCAAATTCCAGACATTCCAGTCATAAGCCTCGCCAATATGGCCAACGGGATCAAGTGGGCAAGTAGTCTGGACCCAGATGTTGTTGACACCATCCTCGTCGACAAAAGCGGTGGTAGTGGGGGTGACCAGCTCATCATACTTGGAGGCAATGATGGTCAAAGTATTTCCAGACTGCGCAATAGGGGTTCCATCATTCAGACGTTCGATAGCAGCGCCGTCGGGACCGAGGTCGTTGCAGGCAGCACAGCCCAAAGTATCCAGGACGTCACCGATGACGGCCCGCGAAGCATTGCCAGCGATATAGGCGAGGTCGTAAAGGTTGGCAAAGTTAGTCGCATGGGTTGGAGGCGCGATAGCGACAATCTTATCAACCAGGTCCGAGACACCCTCGAACTTGGGCACGTAGAGGGACTGGAAGGCACCCTCAGAGTGACCCACGAGGTTCACCTTGCTGTGGCCAGTCTTCTCAACGACCTCCTTGATGTAAGCGGCGATCTCAGGAGCGGACTCGTTGATGGCCTTGAGACCACCGAGGAATGGGAAACCCTCGTAAGCTCCATAGGTCTTGGCGTATGTGCAGTGGCCCTGAGCTTGGAACCAGTACTGCATGAAGTTCAGATCTTCATAGTAGGTGGCGCCCAAGCCGTGCAGGAAGACCACGGGCGGGGAGGTGCTCTCGCAGGAAAAATCATTGATATCCGATGCGTAGGCTGCAGATGCGGCCAGCAGGCCCGAGGTGAACAACTGACGCAATGAAGGCATAATGTTGATCGGTGATTTAGGGTTGGGAATGACCCATGGAAAGAAAGAGAGGATCGAGCTTTTATGGTGGGAAACTGGCACGGACATTCGGAAAGATCTGATCAATCTCCTTTTCTTCCAGCTCATTTCGCCGATCTCATCGGACCCATGTGTGCCTGACACTATTGAATGCAGATCGATGGTATGTGGACTGTGACTGGTCGGAGAAGTGGATCCTTTGCTCCGACCGGTCTTAGCTCCATCGCAGTGGGGAAGGGTTCCTGCAGGCCCCATCCAATGACAGCGCTTCAGGCAAGGAGTTTTGTCATCTGTACAGTACATATTTCCGCACCTTCAGCTCGACACGAGCAGCATCTTACCTGCATGGGTACTATTACAATTTAGATGCATAGGTTGTATGCATGGCACAAATATTGTCAAAGAAATCAATATAAGTTTTGTGGGGGATGGAATAACCCATCAACTCGGCCCCGAAAGGATATCTAGCGCTAAATAATTGCAAATAATGCCAGAGTAATCACATCTGCGTCATCATCATTATCATGCCTTGTTGAGCGGGCCATTTTTCTTAGGAGAAAGTTCCGACATGCCACCGCCCCATAGCGCCAACGAATGACGCTTCTCAACTAAATGCAACACTTCAGTCATAAAAGCCCGTTCGGGCCCATTGTCAGGAAAGGCTTCCCACGCGACGCGCGTGGGAAATGCGAGGCGATTGATCATGTTCCCGGAGGCTGTCGTGATATAGAATTCATATGTGCGACAGATGCCGCAACCTAATTCGTACTGCTCCGGAGGAGCAACCCGATCTTGCGGGCGTGTATCCACCGAGGAAAGAATTAAGCGGAACGCGTAGTATACGCACATGGTTTGTGCAAGAAGGAGGTTCGGATAAGAGAGCTTGGTTGGTGTATAGACCGCACCAGTGCGCAAATCGCGTCTTTTGAATATGGGGAAGTCTTGGTCCTCCTTTTGCTCAACCTCTGTCGGTGGGCCATCCGGGTAGCATTTGACCCAGTCATGATACCACTGATAGAAGCGAGCAGTGAGATCAGTGATTCCATTCCAAAGGGCAGCCTGTTTGGCTGCAGCTTCTTGGGTTCCCATTGCAGATGGCCCCTGCTGCGCTTCCTTTAGAGAATCAGACTGGGCCAACAAAGCTGGTACCTCCGTAGCGAGATCGAGTAGATGATGTAAAATATCTTTGGTGGTCGTGCCAGCCGACCACGGAATGGTCTTCCATTCCTCACGGGCTAAAAACGAAGGCTCCCGAGCTGCTAGTGCACCAGCAAGCCAGTAAGGCCGTAGCTCAGTAAATAAGAGGTGCTCGACACCATACATGTGGTTTTCTGGGCCACGATGCTCAATTAAACGTACTGCACCTCTCACGTGAGCTGGCACGCCAGTATTGGTTGTTCGTTCCACGCTTTCGAAGGCAATCAGGAGCGTCACTGTTACCAGAGTCGCCTCTGACTTAGACCGCTCTGGGTCAACCAACGCATCCTGTAATTGGCGCAGAACGCGTGGATACAGCCGAAATCCTGAGGCCTCAATCGATTTGTTCTGAACTGACCGACCAAAGAAAGCCACGGAGACTGCCTCAAAGGCATCCGAGATTAGTGGCGAGAACATTCGAATCTCAGCGGCTGCCCTCAACGCCCCCGCGCGGCCAGATTTTGTGTCAACTTGTGGACTGAATGCATCGACGAAGCGTTCGACAAAAACGTCAATTGAAGGTCGCTGCATGCCCATCATGTATATTGTACCAGAAGACCCCGAGGAATCCGACCCGCTGCTTTGAGACATTTGATCTTCAATTTCCTCATCATTAATCAAGAGAGGATCGTTGAAGTTAAGATTCGAGCTCGAGTCTGTTGGTCGCCGGCGAATTGGGATAACGGAGAGTGGAGAAGAACGTGAATTGTCGTAGCCATCATATGCTGATAAATGGGTGTGTTAGCATGCGCAAAATGGCTCCACCGATAGGCGAAATATTTGGCTTACCTTCATGGCCCTCCCACGGCCCTACGTGCACCAAATCCTTCTTCATCCTACCATGGGCCAATCGAACCTCTCGTACAATGTGGTCAACCACACTTAGTGGCGCAGAGCGAATAGACTCAAATAAACTCTCAAGTCGGTCCAGCCGCTCAAGATCTTGATCGTGAGACCCTGCAGAAACTGCGTCAATAGAACGTTCCACAATTTTCCGGGTAAAGCTCCCGAAAGTACCTAGATCCGCTAGGTGCGCGAATAGACTCCTTGCTCACGTACCATCTGATGACTCTGATCTCTCATCTATTCTAAATCTTAGATCTCGGATCTCCGCCCGCAAATTCCGAATTTCCTCCGCCTGGCTGATCGGTCGTGCTTCCTCGTCAGGCACAACTTCGTAGACGCATTTCGACGGGTATCCGTGAGCACAGCATGCATGGCAAGGCTTAACACGGTCACACTGGTAGACGGAGCGATGTTAACTTCCGTGTTGCTGGTCATTGTCGAAGGCAGTGGGACAGGGCCTCTCGGCAACGGGACCGTCGGTCCCTCCCGTTTGCAAGCGATCTGAGCACGGGGCATACCTTAACTTTGCGGATCCTGCAGACCTTACAGGAGCGCGACTGTCGGGTTGGCGCCTTCCTGACGCGTGAGTCGGGGGCGGGGACTTGGAATTCACCGACCATGGGGACGGGGGTTATGGGGTGGAGGGGGAGGAGAGAAACATGCTACAACCAACGGCGCTGCGAGATTTAGGGAAGTGAGATTCGCCCGAGATCTTCTTCTCGGGGCGGTGGGTCATTTCACAAGGGCCCAGTTTTGGGTTGGTGGTAGCTTCGATAGCTTGACCTTTGGCGGCTCTGATAGGGCGACTGGAGAGTGGCTCAGCTCCGCCCGTTGCGACCGGGCCCGCCACACAGGGACGCCATTGGCGTGATGGAAGATTCTGAGACAGAGGAAGCTGTCAGTCGCCTGAATTGGTAATGAGGGGCTAGTTTCGCTTGAATTACAACATGACCTGTCGGATAGAATGGAAGAGAGAAGTTTGCGGGTCAAGTTTTAGAAACCACCTGTGTCAATTGAGATGGAAATTGGTAACATTTGCCCAAGCAAAGCTCCCCCCGCAACCCGTACCAAACTCCCATCACCCCAACGGTTTTACGTGGCATTTACGTTATTAAGGGACGCAATTTGCTCCACCTTTTTTTTTCAGGACAAGATTGTCCGATCGGCCGCTAAAATATAAGAGTTGTGCTGCGTGCACATTCGTAAGCAGCTCCAGTAAGTCATGTAGTTAACTATGGCCTTCCTACCAATGCGTACCTGTTTTCCTCATTCGGGATATCACTTGTAGTTTCTCAAGGTCTTCACTATCTGCCACGATCTCACTGGATCCATGAATTTAAGCCATGCATCTTATCTTAACGGCAAGTAAGAAGATATTGTATCTTTGAATATTTTTAATAAGGGGCGTCTTTCCCTCAGATCATTCATTACACGTGGGATGGATCAGCACTGAAAGGTTCAAATGTTACCTTCGTATGTACATGAGCATGGATAAGCGGATCAAAGTTGTGGAACAGCAACCTTGGAAGCACTTGAGAATTGCAAAATAATTGGAGGTCCAAATTCTCCTAAAAACGAAGCAGGCATGATCCAAGGCTTGCATACTATATACAAATATACTCTAACTACAGCATGTACCGGAATCCCTTTTGCAACTGTCGTGCAGCAGCAAGGTCAATTCCCTCAAAGTCCGCTGTCACTTGCAACCGACGGAGCTCCTTGTCAGTCAGTTGGTGGTCCTCATTCTCCAAACGCTCCTGTCGCTTATTGAGCATACGCAAGTTAAGGTACATAAATAAACCACACAAGCCACCGATCGCTTGGAGGCCAATGCAAACACCCAATGCGGTTTGATAGTAAGGTGCCTCGGTGGCAATATAGGTATATGGTGTCCAGATACTAGCCGAGTTACCGATGGAGTTGATGAAAGCATAGGCTGCTGCACGTTTGGCGGGTGGGCGAGGAATTGCATTGGCGATCCAAGAGTAGAGCGTACCGTTCTGGGCGAACACGAAAACCATCAAAAACATGGAGAAGTACCGGGGACCGAAACTGCCGACGGTCATGAAAATGACAAACCCAACGACGGTGATAACGATTGGGTAGACAAAGAACCAAAAGCGCATCTCCAACTTATCTGAGATCCAAGAATGGGAGAGACTGTAGAAAACCATGAAGACGTATGGTGGTGCCACCAAGAGGAGCGAGATGGTATCATTGTAGCCAAGTGTTTTGGCCAGTGTTGGGAAGAAGTTCTGGAAACCAGCTGATCCGGTAATACACATGTATCCCAGGGCCAGGACGTATGTCTTGATGTCTGTCATAGCCATCTTCAAGCCTTTCAGTTGGCTCATTCCACCTTCTTCATCCACATCTGCCTCGGCTGCCTCAATAGCAAGGCGTCGCTCAGCAACTCGGCGCATTTCAGGCGACAAAAGCTTCCATGTCTCTGGAAAATCCGGAAGAATGAAAACAATCAAAATTCCAACACAGACAGTGATCGAGCCCTCGATGATGTACAGCCATTGCCATGCTGACATTCCACGCTTGCCCTTCAGGCCACTGAGAATTCCGGCGGCAATAAGGTTTCCAAAAGCACCACTGATGAGCGATCCGGAGTAGAAAATACTCATTCGGAAAGCCAATTCGTTCTTTGTATACCACTTGGATAGGTAAAAGAGGACGCCGGCGAAAAAGGGAGCCTCTATGTTAACCATTTAGGTTAGTAATTGTTTACTAATGGCCAATCGTTTATGTTCCACCTACCGACCAGTCCCAACAAGAAGCGACACGCCACAATACCACCATAGTTCTTAACTTGGCTTGTCAGAGCTGACACGAGACCCCAGGCAATAACAAAAAATCCCAGGTAGAGAGAAGGGCGACCCATATAGTTGAGAAGCAAGTTACTCGGGACTTGCATCAAAATGTATGCGACAAAGAGGACTGATAGACCAGTTTGGTATTGTGTATCTGTGAGGTTAAGCTCCTCTGTGAGGCCTTGAAGCTTCGCTGCGGCGTAGTTATTGCTGATCACAGAGTTAGCATGGAGTTGGTTGTCAAAGTCGCATCGCCTTTCACGCACCGGTCAATGTAATTTAGCAAGTATACTAGAACAACAAGGGGCATAATCAATGAGTCGATACGAAGACGCAATTTACGCTCGATGATCTTCTCCTCGTCGGTCAGTGAGGCCCTGAAGACGGCCTCCTCATGAGTGACCGACGCCTTGTCGACCGCTCCATCTGGAACCGCAGTGTCTGTCCTGAGGGCATAGTCTGTACTGTTCATGGTAAATCGATATAAGGCGGCCTAGTAATGGATCAGAAAAGCGATAGGTAGATCAAAACTCTGGGACGGCTCGCCTTTTATCGATTGCATTCTATAGGGGGAGGGAATGGGGAATTTGGGTCAGACCATGTTGCATGAGTCTGCATGACTAGGTCCATGCGGACCAGTTAACCTCCTTCTGTTGATTTTTTCCGACGATCGCATTTACCCCGAAGATGGATTTCTGGGGTAAGTGGTGGGGCGTGGGGGGACCAGTCTGTATCCACCAGTGAAAAGACAACATAAATCAAGAATGCGGAGAGATACCGAGGGTCAATGGCGTCGTGATATTCATACGGCTTTATTGATAGGCTCCTCCAGTGCCGCACACCCCACGCAGTTAAAGCCACTCACAAGCCCAAAATCCTCTTCAAATGATGTCAGCCAATGCAGCACTGGGCCCTGGAGCTTCGGGGTAGGTTTCCATGTGGATTGTGCAGCTCCATGACTATCGGGGCAAACACCAGGCCAGGCTTCAACACGCGGGGAAAAACTCAAAACGACGCCAATGAAAGCCAAAAATATCTCTCGGTTTATTCAACGGACTTGCTCCGATTCATAGAACTTGCGATGTGGGCAGAGTGTGGTCAAAGGCCTGGCACGGTCCATCACGGGAACCATCTGCTGCCAAGCACTCGTATAATGTCGGTCGGATTTCCACCCCGGATTTTGGTGCTTGGATTCTTCGCCCAACATTGAAAGAAGTTCTGGACTTTGTCTGCTGGTTTTGAGACTGACCTAAGTCACAATCAGCTTTTTGACTTCCACGAATAAATCATCGCTATCATCTAGAGCGGAAGAGAAGAGATCGGTTTAGCGCTGCCTTCCAGCCTTAGAAAGACTCAATGTTCGAATGATTCGTAGTCAGGTTTCAAGTTGAACGAACTGAACCGTAAAGGCGCAGCAGTTTCGCTGCATGCTGGAAGAATACTAGAGGTCAAATTCTGCACTGGATATGTAGCCGCTACCTCAGGTACATTTGGCCCATCCCGAATATCGCGTGGTACGGCGAGCCTAAGAATCGAAGCCTGGGTTGATCTTGGCCTGGGCGGGATAGCAAGAAGGTGCGTTGCTGACCCACTATAAAATTTGCCCCCTTTTTCATCTTTTTTCTTTGGATTTATTTTATTTTCATCTATTTTGTCTTGTTTGCTTTGATTTTCTTGAAGTTGGCAAGGGGTTAGGTTGTAATTTGTCCGACGCCGTGATGCAGCAATGGTGACTTTTGTTTCAACTACTTTTTTTTTGTATATGTTCCTTTAGGGGCAGGTTCGATCCTTGCTTGAGCCAGTTCTTTTTCTTCTACTCAGGAAATGTCCTAATTTCCAGAGTTTATAGTATTAATTCTAAACACTGAGTCCTGATCAGAAGCCGTTATCCCCCTACTGATCAGGTCCCCACTGGGATCCACTCAAGTGCGGAGAAATCGATGACCGAATGTCGAGACTCGAGCCACAGCTTCCCGGATTCTGCCAAGATCACCTGCTAAAGCACCACGCCATATTATCGTTGGACTTGTCACTCACCCCCTCTAATCTCCTACACTTCACTACTCTACAACCTCAGAATCATCTCTTCAATAGAAGACGAGATCCTCTCACCATCTCCAAAGCTCCATCCCTCTGACTTCCTTGATCGACACTACGCCCCTCCCCACTTGGTTGCTCCACCCCTAGCCCGCACAGCATGCAATCCGCTCTCATCCGGTCGGCCATCCGCGCAACCACAAAACCCACCCTCACTCGCTCGTTCTCGATTGCGCCGTCGCTCATGGCAGAAGGCGATGCTGGTACGCCAAAGCCGTCAGGCTTTGTGTCCGAGTAAGCTACATACTAGTCCGTGAATTTCCGTGTACGACGTTAAGTTGACTTCGGAAATAGGAAGGATCAATTCGCTCGCCGTGAGGCAGCAAACGAAGGAATGTATATCCATCAACTTGAGAAGGAAAAGTCAGTTCTACCTGGCATCACTTGCGCCCATTGGTTCCGGTACTAATTCAACCGACAGACTTGAGCTTCTCCGAAAGAAGTTGAAGGAAAACAAGAAGCACACAGACGAACTTGACAAGCACTTGTACGAAATGCCGAGCTTTTGATTTCCCACGGCTCAATGATCGCAGATGCTAATACATTACATTAACTAGGGAGGAGCTACTTGGAGGACAGGGCGGTGAGAAGAACTAGAGCACCCATGCTCTAGTCGTGGTTTGTTGGCAGCGTCAAATTCGAACGATAGGATTATGTATCGGACAACTCTATGGAGGACAAACTTCATGTCTTAACGATGTTCTTTTCCAACTGTCAGTTTAGCCTAGATGCACTTGCACCTGACGTCCAGAATCACAATTATCATGAATTAAGCAGGTTTAAATTTGGAACCACTCATTCTTTCAAGTTTGACTTGAGCAATGCAAACACGTTTCACGTATGCTTAGATCTTGGCCTGCCATCTCCACCGGTAACCAAGACATGCCCACCGTGCCATGGTGAACATGCCTAATGCCACGATGAGCACGCTTCCTAAATACCCAACCATCGCCCTTTTACCCACCTTTTGCAGCATTTCACCACCAATCGGGATGCAGATCAGGGTTCTGTGGTGAGCGAATACTCAGGTTAGTGGTTTTTTTTTTCTGGCAGGCTATCATTGTGGAGTACTCACGCTATGCTGACAATAGAGTAGCAGATACCGAATCTCCCTCCGACTTCGCTCGCTTTAGATATCTGTCCTATACACGCCGGTGCCAAGCTCAGAAAAGAGCCAGATGCAAGTCCAAATACCGTGCTAAACATATACAGACCTGGCAACGTGTCCCCAAACGGTAGCCAAATGACGAAAATCGCTAGAACCCCGAGCGCGATGAGAACGGCTTGTGTGTTGATGCGCCCGTACTTATCAGCGATTCCACCGGCCATCAACCGGCCAACTGTTGAAAATCTAAGAATTGAGTGTGTTAGCACGCAGGCTCATAATTGAGAAGATATTGACAGATCGCTCATACATGCTCAGAACGGCTAGAAGGATCACGCTCGTGGAGGTGCTAAAACCCTGCATCACAACGTATGTTGGGTATAGACCAATCCCCGCGAACACTTCAAGCTCCAGACCTGGTTGAGACATGTTAGTCAATACGTCCACCTAGGTGACTTGAAAAAAGGGCATGCCTGTCGCACTCACTGAAAGTCCCCAACGTCAACCAAGTGAATCGAGCATCTTGAAAGGCTCGCAAATTGATAGTCGACCGACTGCGACCTTTCGGCAAACGAGACCTGACCAACAAGATCCCCAGACCACAGAAAATGGCAATAATCAACGCCAACAGTCTAATCGCCCACTTGAAGCCCAAATGTGTGAATCCCGCCCTTAATATCAGCGGAAACGCCACACCCCCAGCTCCACCACCGGCCATAGCAGCTCCCATGGCCATTCCCACCTTCCTGTCAAACCAATGCGGTACCGCCGCCAAGGCAACGGTACTCAGAAGTGCGGACCCCGTCCCCGTCAACACTCCCAATGTCAAAATGAAATGCCAGTACAGCCGACACTCGGCCAAAAGCAACAGGCCTGCAACATAACATCCAGCACCCGTGATCAGAATCCCTGTCGGGCCATACCGGTCAAACATTGATCCAACCTGAGCACTTAGACCCAAGCCAAAGAATAAGAAGACGCCGGGGATCCAGCCCACGGCGCTAGTAGAGTAATCTGCCAATTGGTGCGTCGCAAAGTAGCTTTGCAGCACACCTGTGGAGTTCATTAAACCATATGTACTCATCAGCAAGAAGAATGATCCCATGATCACGCTCCATGAGCGAAGACCGCCATCGGGAAAAATGTCAGTGGGCGCCGGGTCTAGAATGTGCGTTGTGATGGATGAATGTGGCGCTGGTGGTTCGATGATTGAGAATACGGATTGTGGGACTCGATTTTCATGCACGCTGGGGTATACTGCGGCGTGCACATTGGTGGATGCAGAGGGGCCTTCAAACTCTGTCGAGTGACATTGTTGTTCGAGGATTGTGGCGCTGTGTTTGCATTCGGTGGCCATACTATTGCTATGTCTTGGCTCGTGAGTACTGTGGATTACCAGGTCTTTAATACCCGTAGTCTGTGACAAAAAAGTGCAAACTTGAGGATTTATATTCAATTTTTGATCGGTTGTGATTCCCGACTTCGGTGATTGACTGCGATAGACTAGCTTTGTTCAATTGGTGCGATCGGGGTCTTTCCCGATAATAATGGGTCTTAGATGTGCTATCGGGGGTTCGGGGTCGCAATCGGGAAAGGCTTCGCAGCATTGGTCAAGGTGTGGAGTCAAGACAGAACAGGGGTCCATTTTGTCAATGTCTGGGATATCTCATCTAGATTTTCTCGGCATGTGAGGTCTCATAAAGCGCCATCACGTCAATATTCTGTCAGTTTCCTGGATTTATACTCGGTCCATATGAGATTTGAACTTTGACCCGACACTGTGCAGGGTTTGCCAGAACAGACAAAGCGGGGTAAAATGCAGGTTGGAAATTGGGCCAAAAGTACGTAGGAAAAGGAGGTGCGTGAAGGTCTTTGAGATGCAATGAATCTCAATTTTTTTTTTTTTTTTTTTTTTTGCTGGCCTAAGATCCTTGGGATTGACCTGTTGATTTTGTGAACGTTCCACATAATATAAGGTGCGAATCGTGCGATTATGTTGGGATCGTCACCAGAGCCTGTTTCTAGCGTCTATATGCGATCCCAATTTTTCTGAATCAACACCAATATGTACCTAGAGGCTAGTGGGTGCGTTTAATGACAAGGATCTACGTGATGCAGCCAATTACCGACTCTGATAGGTCTGCGACCGTGCGGAGGTGTTAGTAACTTCGATACCGTATGATGCAGTGGCGAAACTCATGCAACGAGAATTGACGGGATTTCCCTCCAAACCAACGGCACTTGGAGAGTGGTATGACGCGCCAGTGTTTGCCCATGACAAAATGGGCCGACTATAGAATAAATCAAAATGGCTCGCATTTTCTTTCAAATTTCAATTCCTCAATACCACGGTCCACGTCTACCAGCATTTGAAGAACTACATATACCTATTATCTTCCATCATGCAAGCTACAAGAGTCATCACACGCAACCTCTCTCCAAGCCTCCATCGAGGGCGAAAACAACTCCGAGTCGTAAACGCGACCCCCATCCCTCTCCCTTCATCATACGCAACACAAAACCCGTCCACTGACTCCGATCAACTTGCCTACCGACTGTGCGAATTATCTCTACAAAAGATCCAAAAGGAAGCTCGTGCTTCCGAGCCTGATATTCGCCATGTACTAGCCTGTACCTCTATGCAAAGGCTGGCACAACAGGATCTGCTATATCGTCTTGACACGCTACAGACAGCAATGGATATCCCCGTGCTGCCTTTACTACCGGGTGCGGATGAGTCTTTAACGGGCGACGACGACGAGATGGACATGAGATCACTAGAGATTGCTGTGTCAGAGTTAGAGACTGCTAGCAGACGAGGCGAGCTGGCTCGTTACATCTGCTTTCAGCAAATCAAGGAAATGTGATTCAACTTGGCATTTAATCAATCAATAATTTAGTGTATTGACTTCAATGTTCCTTATAGTTCCTTGTACATGTGAGAGTTCGCTCCACTACTTAGGTCAACAGATGTAGTATGTATATGTGTAGTAATTGATTCTTCGAATTAAATATGTGTAGGAGTGCAGTAAGTAACTTACAATATGTGCCGGGTTTCCACATGCAGCATTTGAACATTAGATACAGTATGTATATTCCCTTCAAATTCGCCACCAATTACTACCCAATTGATTCACTTTGATAAATACATATGGTAAGATCGTGTAAAATTACCCAAAAGTACAGATTTCTTCTTGATTTTTCCAAGGAGGGCTATGAAAACATCCTTCGAATGGGACCCTATACGTATCTGAACAATTCGACGTATAATAGCATAAAATACAGCATAAAATACAGCGCTTCATATAATATTGAAGAGAGTTCAAGGATTCAATATATAAGGAATTGCAGCGATTCAACGTATAATAGAGTTCAAAATCAACATATAATAGAGAGTTCAAGAATTGATTCAACATATCAGGAATTGTAGCGATTCAACGTACAGTCAATCCAGTGTATAATCCAGCGTACGATCCAGCACTTACAATTTAGCGTACAATACAGTTCTTTATATAATTCCAAGTTAATATGAGGCCTACTTAAAACATATTTTTTACTGTGTAAATCAGAAATCAAAGTAGGATTAAGCAAGCACGCACTACGCAGTAATCTAAGCAGACTTAGAAGTTTGAGATTAGATGAAAAAAAAAATTACTTATAATATAGTACTTATTAAAATGGATAAGATAGTATGCCATCTAGCTAACTTATTATATGATTGTTTATGTGATCAACACGGAATGGAGAAAGTGTATGATAATAGAAACTTGAAATTGGGTTATGGTACTAGGGTGGTACTTATTGGCTGCTGTAGGGTGGGTGCGGCGGCCGATAGCCCTCACCCCAACGACACATCCGAATTTCAACTTTCAAATCTTCAGACCGGCAGAAGGTAAATTACGCGTAATTCCAAATTCATATTTATTTTTGAACTCCATTATATGCAGTGCTACATTATATATCAATTAATTGAATCCTTAAACTCCGTTATATGTTGAATCCCTCTAATTGATTCCTTCTATCTGAAATCCTTGAACTCTATTATATATAGTGCTATATTATATTACTTCTCTTTCTCCCAGTAAATTGTCAAAAAAACTAGTAAGAAAGAGAGGCAGAGATCCTAGTCATATAATCTATTATCAAGTCCATTCTCAAGTCCATTCTCAAGTCCATTCTCAAGTCCATTCTCAAGTCCATTCAAAAGTGATCCGTATTTGGATCAAATCCCTTAAGATATTCCTATATGTGATAAACACAATCGGGCGAAAAACAGGGCAGTGAGGTTAGAAGTTGAAATTAGGATGTGTCGTTGGGGTGAGGGCTATCGGCCGCCGCAGGGTGGGGCTAAATTTAGTAAATTAGGATTAATTTGGGATAATATGTATATCCGGGTTGGTAGTATATATATTAATGATAGGCTAGAAATCTACTTTGCTTATTGGGTGTGTTGTAAAATGACAATTGTTATATTACTTATATGTATACGGGATGAGAGTGATGTATTGCGGTTACCCGAGAAAGAACTGTAATTTATAAGGATATGTGTAGTTTGTAAACTTAAGGTTTTGGTAAGTGCGATTATTAATAAGGAGATAGTTAGTTAGTGATAGATTGTGATGACCTGTGGAATGTGTTGCTTGTAAGGACTAGGAAAATTTAGATTTCTTTGTCTCTAACAGGTAAAGCTATTACTTAGCTTTGACGGAAGAGGCTAATTCTTCTGATGTGGACTATAATCTAAGAGACCAGTGAGCGGGGTATATAATCTGGGAGACTAGTGAACGGGGTGTGTGATCTAAGCGACTAGCGAATAGGGGGTGTGCGATCTAAGTGACTAGCAGCGAACAGGGTGTACGATCTAAGCGACCAGCGAACGGGGTAGGGAATACAATTACTACAAAAACCCAGGATACACAAGGATCTGTAAGATCAGTAAAGACCTGTACGATCAACAAACAGGGTGGTACAATATAATTACTGCAAAGACCGGGGTACATCACATCACCTATAATACGGGGGAAACGCGGGGATACCGCGTAAACAAGAAACGGGGCAGTCGATCAACAGGTTAGATTAAATCGGCTGGCACAAGGGCTCATAACCTGAAGAGACACAAAGTCTACAAAGGAAGAAGAGGGCGAGAACGTAATGCAATGGTATTAAGTACTATAAGGAAGGAAGAGAGAAGAAGAGAGAGAAGGAAGAACCAACTAAAGGGATATATATCTAGAACAAGAAGGAAGCACATGAAGCCGGTCATCGCCGGCGATCATGAGATCAAGCGATCATAATGATGAAGCTTGTCAAACATGATCATGTGATTCCAAGAGAAACACTAGAAATATTGGAAATACTAGAAATACTGGAAACAAAATTACTTAATAAATCGGTAAATCATTGTATCAGAATTGGCGAATCGTTTCATCACTTTCATCCCAATCATTTCATCACTTGCATCCCAAAATCGAGAAATATTTCTTTAGTACTATAAACCATAGTACTTAATAAATTCAGAATCGTTTTATCACTTATATCCCATAATCAAGAAATGTTTCTTCTAATATTAGTACTATAAACATGTTACGCAACGCTCTGTGGTCACAGTGAGTATCGTTCGTTAGGGCTTCTACTTACCAAGTAGACACTCAATCCTTGAGTCGTCGATTCGCAACCGTACCGTTGCCAGTTGACGTTAGGCCTTATACGGGCTCGGGTCTATAGAATAGACTCAACGGGGGGTTCTGCGTCCAAGAGGGTGTCGCCTAGTCAAGCTATACTTGGGTGCTGAGTCGAGGGACTAGAGACCAAGGATACCTCTCCTAGTAGGGGTTTGTCTTGTACGAAACTGATAGGTGAATGAACTGTTGGGTTCCAAGTAACAATGTATGGATTGATCGTGAAGAACTAAGTACATGTGGGTAATGACTGTCTTTATATACTAAGTCCTTCCTATCTGTTGCCTGGGTCCCATCCCACCGCTAGGATGAGATCCCATCCCACTGCTAGGGTGGGTTGGTGCCTGATCACTGAGGGTTACGCCTCACGTGATCATGTTGAATATGCCATGTTGTTATGGCGGAGTAATAGCTAATGTGCCGAGGCGGCCCCAACTGGCTCCCTGCGCACCGGGTTCGTTTTGCTTGGGCGGTGACCGAATGTGGTGTAGTCGGAGGGAGTGGAGGTTCATCACGTAGAGCAACCTAGGTACTGGACTTCCCGTCCTGACTCGTTCTGCCGACTGCTTGCTCAGTCCTGGCTCAGTGAGCCTTTGACTGGTCACGTGTCCCGTGGCTTGTTTCATGCTTCCTGGGAACGGTTGGTTCCCATCTCTTTTCTGAGGTTTTGATCAAGTGGGTCCGTAACAAAACACTACAAACACTATATATATTATAAATATAACTCTAAACAAAAGTACTTAATAAATTCAGAATCATTTCATCACTTACACCCCAAAATCGAGAAATATTTCTCTTATCACTTTCATCCTAATCATTTTATTACTTATATCCTAAAATTAAGGAAAATTTCTTTTAATATTAGTACTATAAACACTATAGATATTATAAATATGACTCTAATCAAAAGTACTTAATAAATTCAGAATCGTTTCATCACTTGTACCCCAAAATCGAGAAATATTTCTCTCATCGCTTTCATCCCAATCGTTTCATCACTTGCATCCCAAAATCGAGAAATATTTATTTCGCCGTATAAACAAAAGTACTTGAGGAATCTGAAATCATGTTATCACTTGTATCCTAAAATCGAGAAATATTTCTTTGGTACTATAAACTAAAGTACTTAATAAATTCAGAATCATTTTATTACTTATATCCCATAATCAAGAAATATTTCTTCTAATATTAGTACTATAAACACTACAAACACTATATATATTATAAATATGACTCTAAATAAAAGTACTTAATAAATTCAGAATCGTTTTATTACTTATGCCCTAAAATCAAGAAATATTTCTCTCATCACTTTTATCCTAATTATTTTATTACTTATATCCCAAAATCAAGGAAAATTTCTTTTAATATTAATACTATAAATACTATAAATACTATAGATATTATAAATATTATAAATATGACTCTAATCAAAAGTACTTAGTAAATTCAGAATCGTTTCATCACTTGCATCCCAAAATCGAGAAATATTTCTTTCGCCGTATAAACAAAAGTACTTAAGGAATCTGAAAGTGTGTTATCATTTGTATCCAAAAATCGAGATTTATAGTACAAAAAACTTCGAAATATTCACAGGTGCATTGTAAGTCATAAAAAACCGGAATAGCTACATCGTTTGCATCACAAAATCGAGTTTTATATCCTGTGGATCTGATCCTATGGATATAATATGCCCCCCTCGTATTATACTTCGCCGAAAAGCGATTTACGCCTATTCCCAAACTTGAGCCCAATCTTCCCCGTAATTGGGAGAATTAAATCAATCAAAGAACTAATTTTGGGCATAAAACCCGCTTCTTTAATCCTGTCCATTGCCAATATCCATGGATTCCGTAACTTTGATCGAACCTGTTACCTTTTACAATGAGCTTCTGATGGCGAATTTCCATCAAATCCAATTCTCTTCGCCGAATCCTGGTCCCCGAAATCTAGAGGTTCAGGTCACCCACAGGCATTGGAGGCTATCTCCTGGTGCAATGGATCAATCACCCGTTTCAGAACACTGTTTTGAACACCAAACTCGACAGCTGTCTCCAGAAAACATGCCAGCCTACCTTCAAGGCAATCCTCATTCATCCGCCTCGGTGTCCATCTGCAGAGGAGGCTGGGGGATGGCCCAGGCCGCCCGTGCTGAAGGTCGCCACAGTCAGATTTGCATCAAATGCAGAAAGGTCTTTGAGATTGAAGAATTTATCTCATTGAATGGCCACAACCTTTGCAAGATGTGTGGGGCGTGCCGAAAGTTCCATCGCGAGGTAATTTATTAGTTATGCGCTTTTGAAAGGAAGAATACAAAACCGCTAACTTAAAAAAGGCAGATAGAGTCTACAAACGCGACAGAAGGGAGCGAGATCGAGAACAGTTGAGGCTTGCGAACCAGATGGAAAATGCCAGGTTTTCATCACGGCAAATTCACGGCAAGCTACGCTCTTTTCATTATTGTGATTAATGTGGCTGATTTACGACTCAGACACCCCACCACCTTACGTCACACCATCACCTCCGTCTACTTTGATTTCTCCATCCCATGACTCTGCCTGCATGGATGATCCCGTGGATGATCCAATGGAAAACACCGCTAGACCGGCCGCCAATATGAGTTTAGACGCACTTGTGAGCTCGGTAGAAGAAACGGTGGAATCCCCAGCTCATTACGATGCTCCCTACAGCTTCTGTCTAAGTTGTTGCCTCCCCCGGAACAAGAACCTGATGTGCTCGGGGTTCTGTGTTTACTGCGTTGCAGAAAGAAGGTATTGCGTGCGTGGGAATCACGATGAGGATCGTGAGGCCTTTTTCAGAAAAAATGGAGCTGAGAGTCAATACTGCAAGAGCTGTCGTGGGGATGATGAAGAATCTGCGGACTCCAAATCTGACGGGTCTGATGAGATGAATCTCGAACCAGAAATCATCGAAGATAACCAGGTCTCAAGAGAGAACGAGTCTCATACAAATGCCGAGTCCCAGGCCGACGATACCATGAACACAGATATCATGCCATCGGTTGGCGAGGAGTTGAACCTTCCACCCACACTACCCGTTGAGATTGACCCGCTTCTTGACATCAGACCACAGGTCGATATGCAATCTCATCCTGGCATGGAAACCCCTCATGATATGAAAGCCCCTGGTGATATAGAAGCCCCTGGTGATATGGAAGCCCCTCGTGATATGGAAGCCCCTGGTGATATGGAAGCCCCTGGTGATATGGAAGCCCATCCTGATATGGAAGCTCATTCTGGTATGGAAGCTCGTCCTGAAATGAAGCTGCCACTTTCATATAAATTGCCATTGGAACTGGAGATGTTTATTCATGGATCACAATTTGAAAATGAATCACGCCCGACCCCGGAGGCTCACTATGGCATGAAACAGCCTGTCATCGAGGCCCGCCTTGGTGTGGAAGCCCAACCCGACATTGAGGCTGAGTGTAGTATGAAACGAAGTGGGATTCTACCAAAATTCGACATTAGACCGCCCTTTGATATGGAAACACACCAAGATGTCAAAAGGGTATTTGAGGTCAAGTCAGAGCCAATGGATACGATTGAACTTGGCAGGATTCCATCATTTCCATTTTCATCCGTTCAAGACCAGGGCAAGAAATGGAGCCCAATTTTCATCGATTGATTGATACAGCAAGCATTGATACATGACCTCAATTTGAACCATTCTGCAAGCCGATTTTGCACTCAGATGTTATCACGAAGGTTGACTTGACGAGTGAAGTGTCAGACAACTTCCGTACGTCACCGTCAGCTTCAATTATATTACTGTTTCACCCTTATTATTATTTTATTCGCGTGTTCCTGAGCCGGACATTCAGGACATATACTTTACCTGAGAATATGAATTTTTTTTTTCTGCACATTGTCACGATGTTAGTCCTAACAATTATTGGATGGATAGCTGATTCGTCCAGCACTTGTGGTTTTAGGCCGTTAGGTTACCAACCGAAAGACACATTATCACTACAGTGAGTACGAACCCAAAATAGGTGATGAGAGCATTTCCCCTCCGATTCCAAAGAAAGAGATTGAGCATTTCTCAACTTTCCTGACGACAAGTCAAATATCCGTTTGCGATACGAAGCCTTCGAAGCCTTCTTGTCCAACAAAATTAAATCCCCTTTTTCTTCATGGATTCCGAGGATAAATTTGACTTCTCAGAAAGTACCTCAAAATACCGGTGTGACTTGAATCGATCTCCACCAAGGGTTGGAGAATGTGATTGTCCCGGTATCACAATTAACTCAGTGAGAGGTCATCATCAGATCTATGATTGGACACTTTTTTCATAATACTCGGTACTCCCCAGGCATGGGACCTGAACTTGTTTCTCTTTCTGTTTGATGGAACGTGCCAGGGATTCAGGGCGGCGCGCAACTCTCCCGCACATAGCGTGCAATTTGAATAGTGAGGCTTACCCGTGCCGCGTGCCCCACAATTCTTATTACAGTACATGCTAACATGTGTTCACTCAGCACTGTTGTCCAACCGACGAGACGATCTCTTCCGTACCTAGAATACGCTATCGTTATTGTCGATTTTCACAAAATCGCGAGCCGATGGTATAAAGGGTAATTGCGAATCACGTCTCCAAAGACACAGGTTCCTTCGGAATAGGAAAGGGGTTGCTGGCCCACGGGCCTGGTGATAGGGTACTAAGTGACTGGAGATGCACGCGGGGAGAGAAACACCGGACTTGACATTACTACTGCACTATTGCTCGCTGGGATTTTCGACGATAAGTTGAAAGAGGGGCGCAAGTAGCAAGCTAACTTTCACTATTGAATCTGAGCATGTGGAGCTCCATCAGTGTCAACACACAGATCAACAATGGCCAACGAGCTTCCCCGCAGCCTAGCGTCCAGAATCCAGCCCATGTATGGGTTACTTGCCCTGATCAGGGTTGGTCAAGTTGAGGGTTTTCTTTCAATCTCACGAGGTAAACCAGAGGAAAAGACCTTTTTTTTAAAAAAAAAATTAAAAAAAACACACCGTAGGAATCTATATTGGTCGGTTCAAGGCTCCAGTTGAATTAATTGCAGGGGTTCAGTTTAGGCGAACAACGGGCTTTCAGCTTTGAGTAGTCCGCTGACTCAGCGGGGATTTCCAAAAACCGACTCCACCCGGCTGACTCAATTTCTGTCGGAGCCCGAGCTGCAACCAGTGCCGACAAAGACCGATAGATTATCTCCTGGAGAAAAAGGGAAAGAACCACATGGCTGAGAGGGCACGGACTCTAGACAATGGCGGTCCAGGCCACACTGTTACCTCGTTTGAAACAGAGGGCGGAGATTCAGTATACACGCTTTCGCAGATTGTCAACAAACAAGAGTAAGATGATCAGTCAGCGGAACTTTCAGGTTCCGTGTCTTTGTTTGTACGTGGGTCATCCCTGGTGCCGTGAAGATCCACCTTGGTTCGAGAGCAGAGATTTCGGAGCGTGACGTGGGTCCCTGCTGGTGTTTCGACAAGTCGCTGTGTCGAAAAGGGGCTGAAAAGTGAAAAGATCTGTCACAGTGCGCGGGTCCGCCGCGTGTAAACATTGGCCTCGGAGTCCCATTCGGAAAATGTGTCTGTGATGCCGAACTTTGATTGGAAGTCGGACATTCGGGCTGATTTAGAATACCGTCTCATTGAGGATTGATCCACTTGGGGTATTTGCGGATATACGATTAGATCAATGCACCGCTTTATAAAAGAAAACGGTAGCCCGGCGGAACCCAGGGTCTTCTGCAAACCACTTTCCATTACATCATGGAGGGTTCCAACTACCCCCCCTCATCTTCGAGGAGAGGGTCGATCGATATGAAAGAGTACACGGAGAGTGCAGCGGTCACTGTTGTTGGAGAAGAGGCTTCCATCAAGAACAGTTCCCAATCCATCTCTACATCGAGCCACAACAACGACTGGGCTTTGCTATCACGGTTCCAACAACAACATGAGCGAGATCTGAGCTCCGGGTTCAAGCGTCAGGAACTGGGTGTCACTTGGCAAAATCTCAACGTGGAGGTCATCAGCGCTGATGCTGCGGTCAACGAGAATGTGCTGTCGCAATTCAATATCCCCACCCATATCAAGGAGTCGCGCAACAAGGCCCCGTTACAAACTATTCTTCATAATAGTCATGGTTGCGTCAAACCCGGTGAAATGCTTCTTGTCCTGGGCCGTCCGGGCTCGGGCTGCACCACTTTGTTGAAAATGCTTGCGAATAAGCGAGGAGGATACAAGTCGGTGGAGGGTGATGTTCGATTTGGTTCATTAACCTCCGACGAAGCAAGCAACTACCGCGGCCAGATTGTCATCAACACAGAAGAGGAATTGTTCTTCCCCACTCTGACAGTGGGCCAAACTATGGACTTTGCGACACGTCTCAAGGTTCCGCTCAACCTCCCTAACGGTGTCGAATCCCCCGAGGCCTACCGCGAAGAGTCGAAGAAATTCCTGCTTGAAGCTATGGGAATCTCGCATACCGAGGATACCAAGGTCGGAAACGAGTATGTTCGTGGTGTCTCTGGAGGTGAGCGCAAGCGTGTCTCCATCATCGAGTGCATGGCCACTCGTGGATCCGTTTTCTGCTGGGACAACAGTACGCGAGGACTCGATGCCAGCACCGCCCTGGAATGGACCAAGGCGATTCGTGCCATGACTGATACACTCGGTCTCTCGACAATCGTTACTCTCTACCAAGCTGGTAACGGAATCTACGACCTCTTTGATAAGGTTCTGGTTCTTGACGAAGGCGAGCAAGTTTATTATGGTCCTCGTGCCGATGCACGTCCATTTATGGAAGAGGCGGGCTTCATTTGTCGTGAAGGTTCTAATGTTGCTGATTTCCTTACTGGTGTCACTGTGCCAACTGAGCGCCGTGTCCGTGAGGGCTATGAGAACCGCTTCCCTCGAAACAAGGACGCACTTCGCGAATTTTATGAGAAATCCTCCTATCATTCTCGAATGATCTCTGAATATGACTATCCCAACTCTGAGGTCGCTCAACAGCGTACCCAGGACTTCAAAGATGGTGTTGCATTTGAGACTTCTAAGCAGCTCCCTAAAAACAGCCCTTTAACTGTTAGCTTTACCGAGCAGATCAAAGCCTGTGTTGAGCGTCAGTATCAGATTATTTGGGGAGACAAGGCCACCTTCATCATCAAGCAGGTCGCCACTTTGATGCAGGCCTTGATCGCTGGATCTCTCTTCTACAATGCCCCTGATACTTCTAGTGGACTCTTTGTCAAGTCCGGTGCCCTTTTCTTCTCCCTGCTTTATAACAGTTTGCTCGCCATGTCTGAAGTTACGGAGTCCTTTAGCGGTCGCCCTGTGCTGGTCAAGCATAAAGGATTCGCTTACTTCCACCCAGCCGCATTCTGCCTGGCTCAGATTGCCGCTGATATCCCTGTTCTGCTGTTCCAAATTAGCATGTTCTCACTAGTTGTTTACTTCATGGTTGGCCTGACCATGTCAGCTGGAGCCTTCTTTACTTACTGGATTCTGGTGTTTGCGACAACTATGGTAAAGTCTCTAAGATCTTCTAAACAATGACTACTTGCTAATATGAATAATAGTCCATGACTGCCTTTTTCCGAGCCATTGGTGCTCTCTTCTCGACATTCGATGGTGCTTCAAAGGTCTCCGGATTCATGATCTCCGCTCTTATCATGTACACTGGTTATATGATCCAGAAGCCTGAAATGCACCCTTGGCTTGGTTGGATTTTCTGGATCGATCCCCTAGCCTATGGCTTTGAGGCACTCCTTTCCAATGAGTTCTTTGGTAAAGAAATTGCCTGTGTTGGAACCAATCTCATTCCCAACGGTCCTGGCTACACAGACTCCCTATACCAGTCCTGTGCCGGTGTTCCTGGCGCCACCCCCGGTGATACATCTGTTACCGGCGTCGACTACCTTGCTTCTCTTTCCTACAGCCACTCACATCTCTGGAGAAACTTCGGTATCAACTGGGCCTGGTGGGTTCTCTTTGTGGCTGTCACTATCATTGCCACATCCAAATGGCAGTCCCCCGGTGAGAGTGGTAACTGCCTTGTTATCCCTCGCGAGAGGCTTGTCGCACATAACCGGATAGCTGGAGGTGATGAAGAAGCCCAGATCCAGGAAAAGACTAAGCCTTCCGAGAACGACGCACACGGCTCTGGTGATATTGAAACACAGCTCGTTCGGAATACATCCGTGTTTACTTGGAAGGACTTGAAATATACTGTCAAGACCCCCTCCGGTGATCGCGTTTTGCTTGACAATGTTTACGGATGGGTTAAGCCTGGTATGCTGGGAGCCCTGATGGGTTCCTCCGGTGCTGGAAAGACCACGCTGCTCGATGTCCTGGCTCAGCGCAAGACTGATGGCACGATTAACGGCTCCGTCATGGTCGACGGTCGTGAGTTGCCCGTCTCGTTCCAGCGGTCTGCCGGATACTGTGAGCAGCTTGATGTCCTCGAGCCCTTTGCTACTGTCCGTGAATCTTTGGAGTTCTCTGCTTTACTCCGTCAACCTAGGGATGTTCCCCGTGAAGAGAAACTGAAATACGTCGACACAATCCTGGATCTGCTCGAGCTGCATGACCTTGCTAATACTCTGGTTGGTCGTGTTGGTGCTGGTTTGAGTGTCGAGCAGCGCAAGCGCGTTACCATCGGTGTCGAGCTTGTATCGAAGCCCAGTATCTTGATCTTCCTGGACGAGCCTACCTCCGGTCTTGATGGCCAGTCTGCTTACAACACCGTGCGATTCTTGCGCAAGTTGGCCGATGTTGGCCAGGCTGTTCTTGTCACCATCCACCAGCCTTCCGCTCAGTTGTTTGCCGAATTCGATACCCTGCTGCTCCTTGCTAAGGGTGGTAAGACTGTCTACTTTGGCGATATTGGTGATAATGGTCAAACTGTTAAGGATTACTTCACTCGCTATGGTGCCCCTTGCCCGGCTAATACCAACCCTGCTGAACATATGATCGATGTTGTTTCGGGTCAGCTTAGCCAAGGAAAGGATTGGAATCAAGTCTGGCTTGAGTCCCCTGAGCATCAAAAGTCTTACCAGGAGCTTGATAATATTATCGCTACTGCCGCAGCTAATCCTCCCGGAACATTCGATGATGGCCGGGAGTTTGCCACATCGCTTTTGGAGCAATGTAAGATGGTCACCACCCGCATGAGCACCGCCTTATTCCGTAACACGGACTACGTCAATAACAAAATGGCTTTACATATTGGATCTGCTTTGTTCAATGGTTTCTCCTTCTGGATGATCAGCGACAGCGTTGGCAGCATGCAGCTCCGTCTGTTCACTATCTTCAACTTCATTTTCGTCGCCCCCGGTGTGATCAACCAGTTACAACCGCTCTTCATCGAGCGCCGCTCTATCTACGAGCAGCGTGAGAAGAAGTCCAAGATGTACTCGTGGGTCGCCTTCGTCACAGCTCTCGTCGTCTCCGAAATTCCTTACCTCATCATCTGCGCCGTACTATACTTTGTCTGCTGGTACTACACCGTCGGCTTCCCCAATGACGCCACCAAAGCCGGCCCAACCTTCCTCATCATGCTTCTCTACGAGTTCGTCTACACCGGCATTGGTCAATTCGTTGCGGCCTACGCTCCCAACGCCACCTTCGCTGCCCTGGTCAATCCGCTTATCATCGGTACCCTGGTTTCCTTCTGCGGTGTCTTGGTGCCGTACGCTGAAATTCAGGCTTTCTGGCGCTACTGGATTTACTGGTTGAATCCCTTCAATTACCTCATGGGTGGTTTGCTTGTGTTTGACGTCTGGGATACCCCTGTAAACTGCAGGGAATCCGAGTTGGCGGTGTTCAACACTCCCAACGGAACTACTTGCGCCAAGTACTTGGCCGAGTACATGACCACCATTGGTGTAAACATGAACTTGCTCAACCCTGACGCTACGGAGAAATGCCAGGTTTGCGAATACTCGCAGGGTAGTGATTACCTGATGGAGCTCAACCTGAAGCACTACTACTACGGGTGGCGTGACGTTGGCGTCGTTGCCATCTTCGCTTGCAGCTCGTATGCGCTTGTTTATTTGTTGATGAAGCTGCGAACCAAGGCCTCCAAGAAGGCTGAATAAGCTTTCAGCCTTTGAGGATCGATCGCATGCATTGTTTTTGGTGAATAGATTAGATCATAGATGGGGCAATTTCGTGGCGTTTCATCAGACATTCATTCATGTCGGATAGACAGAAAGTTTTCCTTAAAATTATTTCAATTAGCATTTTTTAATAGCCGCGGTTGTAGCGGTATCAATATACTCTTGCTGTTCCATTTCCAACCATCCATCGCATTCAAACCAAGTTTCGTGATAACCTTGTCCTGAAGCAATATCCCCCCCCCCCCCCCCCCCCACACCGATATTCCCGGCCCAAGTCCGAACAGCGATTACGTCGGTTAGATCTGTCCTGTTTCATGTGATATGTGATACAAGTTGACGTGATTGATATGGATTAACGACTAATTGGCCAGTAATTAACCCGCAAAACGCGCTATTAACTGCATGTAGGTGACTGCAGAGTGTAGACTTGCAAAGGGCCCACTCAATCTTCCGAGGCCACGCTTTCCAGGAAAGTCAAGCTGCAGATCGGCAAATCCTCCCGCCCTGTCAGGATCGAGGTACTATCTTTGTAGTATTTTGTCGATCATTCTCTTGTGTGCATTGACCAAGGTTGATGTAATGCTTTGGAGATTTTGGATGATCTTTGGAATTAAGCAATACACTAGAAAGCTCTTCAGGTGCTAGTTATTTAGCGTTCCACCGATACTCCGTACCTCAGGGACAATAACAATAGGCTCCAGGGCTGTACAGAACTAGCTTAACTAGCTTGTCCCTTGTGAGCTTAGCTCCAGTGTTTCACACTTCAATATACCCGTTTCTGTAGGCTAGAATTGTCTAAGCTTCTCGCTCAAGTTTCCTCATCTAGCCTTGAAATGCTAATTTTATTTGATTTCATTTTTTTCTCATTTCTGATATTGATCCTTGCATTGCCACAGGTCCAAGCTCACACAATCCATTGGGCAGCATCAGAGTTCCCCTTGACCGTATATACTTGGCAAACGAGAGCCCCGCTAAAGGAGGTGCATACGGACAATTTCTTTTTTTCCTGGTCTGCTTTGACCAACGTGGTTGTACAGGGGATGGGTGGAGCAAAGATCGCACGGCCGTACTTACATCTTGAGGCAAATAAACATACTCCAAAATTACTTTTCTGCAACTACAACAGATATGTACAACACAAATATTGCAATGCAACTTAGAATTACTCGTCAAGAGTAAAAATTGAAAAAAACCCCCCTCCGGATGTCGGCAATGCCAATAGTACTCAGTAGCAAGTTGTAGAACGATTTTCTCAGCCACGGAAACGCGCCAGTGACGTAGGACAACGCGGAACTCACCAGATCGCGATCGATGCAACCCTCGCGCCTGCATTTAAATCCCAGATTGTTCGTCGCCCCATAAACAAATCAGCTCCAGATATCACATCGCCATGCCTTGGTCATTTGCTCTCCCTCAGGGCGTGTTTACGTCGCCGCTTCTGGCGATCGCGACGCCCATCATCGGCGGAACCACTACCGCGCTCCTAGTGAACCGTAAGCAAACCCCGATCCCAAACCCCCCGAAGAAATGCCAGAGAAATATCCCGGAAATAGGATGCAGGGCAGCAGTGGTTAGCACAAGCACCAAAGCACAGGCCAAGACCGGGAAGAAAAAAGCAGGCAAAAAGCAAAGCCAGAAAAAGAACGCGAAAAGAAAAAGAAAAAGAAAAAGAAAAAAAAAGATATCTCCGAAACAAGTCAAATTTAGAAAGCGCCTACGCTAACAAATGATACCCCTCGAACGGGGTACTTCGGATAAGCAGGAAACAACACCCAAAGCACCTACCGTTCCCTCCGCCAACCTCCGTTCAGCCCACCCGGCTGGCTCTTCGGACCGGCCTGGACACTGCTGTACGGATTAATGGGGTATGCGTCACACCATGCGACGACCACGGCGGCTGGCTCGCTTTCCCTGGCGGTGCAAAACGCCAATGCCAGTGCCCAGACCCTGTACACCAGCCAGCTCGCGCTGAACTTCCTCTGGATGCCACTTTTCTTTGGAGTGGGGCGACCGGCCGCGGCCCTTGGCGATATGGCGCTCCTGGCGGGCAATGTGGCCTTGCTGCTTGTCAACTGGTGGAGTGCGGACCGGACGGCGTTTTGGTTGATGACTCCGTATGCCGCGTGGCTGGGGTATGCGACGTATCTGAATGTCGGCGTGGGATACTTGAATGGGTGGAGACTGCCGGAGGAGAAGAAGCGCTCGGAGTAAGAAGTAACTACATAATAAGCAATTGGGAGAGGGAAATTCGCAATTGTGATTTGATTTTTTTTGATTTTTCTGATTTTTTTTTTTCTGTTATGCGTTTTGCGAGTTTTTTTTCTTCTTTACTTCCTAGTCCGGAGTACTCAAGAGCTAGCTCTTGGCTAGCTTGCAGGTAACAGCAGGGTTCGACTGGAGCTGGTGGGGACGTTCTGGATTTTCTAGCATAATGGAGTGGAAGATTTGGTAGAAAACATGGTTATTCTCTGCACTAGGATCAGGTGGTGTGCGTTAGACCCCACTTGTGGCGTCTGTGCTGGGTTTCCAGGGCCCTTGGAATAGTTTCTAGTTTGAGTTCTAGTTCGTGCTCTAATATGGGCTATACCAAGAGGTTATTCTTTTTCGAGTCTCGTACAATTGATTCGTAATGATATGTTTCTTCTTGGTGGGGCATCTTTTTTCTATTTCTTTTTAGAATATTCGCTACCTTGTTTCTAAGTATATATACAACAATCAACTCAAACATCCATGATTTACACAGCTCCCCCTACCTTTTTCCCCCCTTGGCAACTCATCGCAGCTTTTTTGTGGACGATCTATGATGATCGTATTATGGTGGATCATGGTTGCTGTCATATCATCCTATCATCCTCGCATGGACCAAGTTTACTCAGGAGGTGGCTATATCGCCAAGGGATTGACCGTGGACCGGCATCCCGGGATCGACATCTCGGGTAGGCCGAGTGCCTGACAGTGGATGAGTTTGGTAGGACGATAAGGGCAGCAATTAAGATGAGGATAAGTGTTTTTCTTTATATTTATTTTTTATTTTTTTCTTTCTGTTTCTTTGATCTTTTTCCGGTATAGTTAAAACTCAACTTAGGCCTAGGTTAAAAGGGAATTCGGTAGATTTTTCTCATACTTTTTATCCTCCGTCAAAAGTTGATCGCCACCGTGGGATCCACCCGTGGATGATGTACGGGTGGTACGTGTTCGGGATTCTAGAATCTGACGGGGAAAAAAAAAGGGAATGAAAATAGAAAGAGAACATTTGAAAGATTGATTCGGACCCTGGTCTAGGTGATCTTCCTTATGATATAATATGATATAATGGGATATGCAGTGTGTTTTGTTCTATACAGTAATACTCCAATGAAAATCTCTGGCGAATCAGCAGTGGGGATTGTGTCATGCAGTTTCTCTTATCGATGATTTCATGTGGATCCAAAAACGCCAATCTGAACAAAGTCCGCTTCGAGCAACAAATATAAAAATAAAAGACCGAAGTTGGATTTTGAAAGAATAAAAACTGCGTTGAATCCATGGTTTCGCACTCAGTTGGCTTTTTGCTCTCCAGTTCCATAAATGATCTAGAACATCTGTTTCTGTGGCACTACACAATCCTATTATATACACGTTTTCCCCTTCTTTTCTGACCTTTTCTCCCTATCTTTTCTTCACATTCGTTTAGTGCATATAGACTTGCTGCATAGCATTCCCGGTACCTCACCGGTCCCCTTACAGTTCTAATGTCCGACCATATCCCTTTTCCACACCCTACACCCAACGAAGAATATGCCGAATTTCCTTTCCCAGTCACAAGCAGCCGGCAGAGCTTGGAACGTGAGCCTACAGCCGATGGCGACCAATACGAGATAGGGCTGCAGGCGCCCACAACGCCCACAACGCCCGTCACTCCCACAACACCTGAACAACCCGCACAGGAATTTCGTATTGAACTTCCCCCCCAATCCCCAATTGAACCGTCAAGTGAACCTCGCGTTCGATCTCCTCGAGTACGCTTTCGCTCCCTGAGCCGTCTAAGCGATCGATACCTGCACCCATCCGACTCTCACCGTGTCTTCTCGGAAAAATCCGATGCATCCAATGACCCGTTACTGCCACCCGCCGAGTTGAGCACTCTTCCCCTGCACGCCTCCGGAACCGTCACCCCGCCCGCCCCCGCACATTCCCGCCACGCCGGCGGTCGCATTCCAAACAGACCATCCCCCGCCGCTTTCTCCGAAAAAAATGAGTCGGACACCTTCGAGCGAACATCCTCTGCCCGCGACCGATTCCGAGCTGCCGGTCAGCTCCTCCGCCAAAAGACAACTCGTTTCACCGAACGTCTCGGTCGCCCCGCTGACGATGGCGAGGCCCTGAACGCCTCCCTCCTCCCAGACGATTTCAACGGCATCCCCCTCGAAGAACTCCAGGCTCGTCGCGCCCGCCGCGATGCCGATCACCTCCGCTCCCTGGAAGCCGGCGAAGAGCCGAGCCAACCTGCGCCGAGCGCAGAGGCTCATCGCCTCGTGCGCAGCATGACAATGGTCCAAGACCGGCTCAAGCGCAAGCCGCGTGGCGCATACCAGCGCTCGGGCCAGAACACCCCCGAGGGCCTACTGCGCGATTACACCGCCGCCGCCCGTCGTCGCTCTAGCGGCGGCTTCGGTGGTGGCGGCAGTGGTATCTTGTCGCAGCTGTTGAAGCTGCAGGCTGTCCAGACGGGGAGCTCGTCGCGCCCGGAGAGTGTCATTACCGATGACTCGGATAGCGAGACCATGTTCTCGTCGGGTGGTACGACGCCCAAGAAGGGCTCGCAGTCCCCGTCCATGCTACTCTCCATGCCTACCTCGGGCGCCGCCACCCCGCGCAAGGAGAAGCTCAAGTGGTACAAGAAATCCAATCACCGCTCGACTTCGTCGCTGGTCAATGCTTCTATGAACTTTAGTTCGGCTAGCTTGCCTGCGGCGGCAGAGGTTATGCCGCTGCCGGGTAAGCGCCACAAGAAGAATAAGCGCAAGACGCGCTTGGAGGATGAGATCCGTGTCACGGTGCATATCGCCGAGATCATCTCGCGTCAGCGGTATATTATGCAGCTTTGCCGTGCGCTTATGCGCTATGGTGCCCCCACTCATCGGTTGGAGGAGTATATGCAGATGACTGCGCGGGTGCTGGAAGTGTCTGGTCAATTCTTGTACCTTCCTGGCTGCATGATCATGTCGTTTGATGACCCGGCCACCCGTACTGCGGAGGTGAAGTTGGTGCGGATGGCCCAGGGTGTGGATCTTGGACGACTGGCCGATACACACAACGTGTATAAAAACGTTGTCCACGATCTGATCGGTGTGGAGGAAGCCAGTCAAGAGCTGGATGATATCATGCAGCGTAAACCACGGTACAACAAGTGGTTGGTGGTCCTGCTGTATGGTATCGCCAGTGCGGCAGTCGGCCCTTTCGCATTCGAAGCTCGCCCGATTGACCTGCCTATCATCTTCTGCCTTGGCTCTCTCGTCGGCTTCATGCAACACGTCCTCGCCCCCCGTTCCGTCCTCTACTCCAACGTCTTCGAAGTCACCGCCGCCATCCTGACATCCTTCCTTGCGCGCGCCCTCGGCAGCATCGAAGTAAACGGTAGTCGCCTCTTCTGTTTCTCCGCCCTCGCTCAATCCTCAATCGCTCTCATTCTCCCGGGCTTCACAGTCCTTTGCAGCAGTCTGGAACTGCAATCCCACCAAATGATCGCTGGTTCGATTCGTATGGTCTACGCCATCATCTACTCTCTCTTCCTCGGCTACGGCATCACAGTCGGCCTCACTATCTACGGCTTAATGGACAGCAACGCCTCCTCCCAAACCACTTGCCCCAACCTGGAAGTCTACGGATCCGTCTACGTCCGCAAATTCCCCTTTGTTGCTATCTACGCCGTCTTCCTCGCTCTCGTTAACCACGCCAAGTGGAAACAAATGCCCGTTATGGTCTTCATCGCTACGGCCGGTTACATCGCCAACTACTTCAGCACCCTCAAGTTCGGCTCCTCGTCCGAGGTCGCTAATACCGTCGGTGCATTCACCGTCGGCATGCTGGGTAACCTGTACAGTCGTCTGTGGCACGGTCATGCCGCCACGGCTATTTTACCTGGTATCTTCGTGCTCGTGCCCTCGGGCCTTGCATCCAGTGGTTCCTTGCTCTCTGGCCTCACCTATGCCAATGAGGTTATCGCTGGTGACACATCATCCACCAGCTCCTCTGATACATCCGTCTCCAGTCTTGGTTTCGGTATGATTCAGGTTGCCATTGGTATTACTGTTGGCCTCTTTATGTCAGCTCTCATCATTTATCCTTTCGGAAAGAAGCGCACTGGCTTGTTCAGCTTCTAGACTACACCATTTCTTTGCATATACGACAGATTTATTTCGCTTTTTTGGCTTTTTACATGTGGAGTTGAAATTCTTGTTATTTTTTATCTATTTTTTTATCTTGTTTATTTTCAGCGATTTAGAAGCGGGTTGCTATTCTTTATTGGTTCCAACATTCCTTGGTTTTTTTTTTTTTCTAGCGTTGGTCGATCATAGACATCTAGATCTGGCATTTCGGAACCCCCAAGACAAAGACGTGAACATGAATTTAGCTGGTCTATCTTATACATTACAACATCTATTTCAAGATTTGGATTATGTTTCAGGACTCGCGTTTCCTCAATTATAAATAGTAGCACAGCTCAATTCTAGACTCGATCCACAATTCGGAGTATTTGAAGCAATTATTTGGCCAATGACGCGTTGGGTGGGTCCATGGCGTTAAGCCACCTTTTAGCCCTGGAGCCTTGACAGGAGGTCGATGACGGGTGTACACCTCGTCATTTCTAACATGCACTGGAAACGAACGTTTGAAGGCGAAATTGGAGTTTGATTCTTTTAACATTGAAATTTTCGAGTATCTGAAACACTGAACGATTGTTACATAAGCATCTGGGCATCACCCGTAGACTCCGCGATGAAATCAGGTGCAAACTGACCTCGGATGTATAAGAATCCATATTACTACTAGGTACTATGGACTTTCAATGATTGACCTGGTAAGCTACTGATACTTACTACCTTGTGACTGAACCTATTGTGGAGTTTATATACGGAGTAGTAGGGTGAAGAAGTAAAAATCTCCTGTCACCGAACTACCACCTAGTATAAATGGTGTCAGGTACTAAATAGGAGAAGGGATATAACTCTTCTTCTTGATCATTTCTACTAGTAGCACAGCAGCTCAACGTAGTAAACGTAGCAAACGAACCTTTTTTTTCAATATCCAATGTGAACGCAGCCACCACAATGCATATCGCTATATTGAAGTTTGCCATGTACAAATCCAGCATCAAAGAGATTTTGTTTACGCGGAAACCAACATGAATGGAATTAAGACCTTTATCTTCCAGACTCACTATCCTTCTTGAATGTTCTTTTTCTATATTTATCAATAACCCTCCTTGAGTATCAACTTGGAATTATATGAAAATCTCCTAGAATAAGTTCACATGAATTTGGTGAAAGACACATCTCTTCTCAAAGTTATAGGATACCTCCCAGATAGTAAAGTATTATAGATGTCCTCAACTTCTTAGATTCATCCTTCAATGTTCCATAAATCAATTAAGTACACGCTTTAAATCGCATCATTTCAAAACCAAACTACATTATTTAACATTTGAAGCGCGGCCTAGAGAATCAAAACCACATTGTTTGGGCGTAACACATATGCAGAACTACAATACTTCAAACCACATCATTTCAAACCAAAATCATATTGTTTAAGCGTAACCTAGGGATTCAAAATCGCATCTTTTAAGTGTAATAAAGAACCAGAAAACTTCCAATCGCATCATTTCAAAAAGAAATCGCATGGCTGAAGTATAACCTTGGAGATCAGAAGTATAATACTTCCAATCGCATCGTTTCAACGAAATCGCATTGTTTAAGCACAGCCTAGAGAATCAAACCCACATAGTCTGAGCGTAACGTAGAAACGCAACGCTTCAAATCGCATCGTTTCCAGACCAAATCACATCGTTTGAGCATAACCTGGAGTCAAACCACATAGTTTAAGCGTAACGTAAAAACGCAACGCTTCAAATCGCTTCGTTTGAGCGTAACCTTGGAGGTCAAAAGCGCAACGTAACACGTAACCGTAACCCGCTATATAATAAAGATATTCCAATCTTCTTCTCCCTTCCGAACTTCTTTTTCTTCCCGCGCAATCGTTCTCGGCTGGGATTGAAAGGTCCTCGAGGGCAATCTATTCAAAATGGCCACCTCCGCTGCACCGACCGATAGGTTTGCGGATCAATGGTGGGAGACAAGCCCCGGAATATGGAATCGTCAAATGTGCCCAATGGAACGCTGGATGCTGAAAATGGCCTCGGATATAGGTCCTCATACTAAAGAGCATCTCACCATCTCTGTAGCACTCGATCTCGTCATGTCACGCCCCATGGACATGTTTCTCTTAGACCTACAGCGAGCATGGCTTAACATCCGTCGGAACCACGGCACACTGGCCAGCACCCTCAACCGTGAGACAAAAACATGGCAGTACATTGATCCCAGAATGGATGGCGAACTGGCAAAGTGGGTGTCCGAGACCTTCGTGCTAACCGCCGGAGATGTCTTGGAGTTACGGGAGCTGATGCCGCCACCACGAAGACCCACCCTCTATGTGCTGATTTATTCGAACCAAATCATGCTGAGAGCTCCCCCCATGTTCATTGACTTCAGGGGTCTCATGCTTCTTGCGGGGAATCTCCTCAAATTGGCCACCGCAGCCGTCAAGGAACATGCTGTCTGGGACGCCGTCGAGCTTTCCCCACCTTATCACACTTTAGCCAGCCTCCCACAGCACACCTACCATGACAAGAATAAGGCGAACCAGCACTGGAAGGAATACAAATCTAATATTCCCTCCATGGCCCTGCCGACCAAGATTCCCGAATGGAAGTGCCTTCGCACCCGCCCCGGTCAAACGAGAAGGTGCATCGCCACCCTGGACGTACAGCAAACTGAGGAGCTCTGCCAGGAGTTGGGAAAGACCGGGACTCACGTCTACCACGCAACTCACGCCGCGATTGCATGCGCCACCAAGAAGCTCAATGTCAACGTCGACTCCGACATGTACACGGGCGTCTTCTACCTCGACGGACGAGGCGCCTACATTGAAGGCTACCATCCCGCCGTCGTGTACAGCACGGCGTGGTTTCCCATGATCCGCGTGACGGACTTCCAGTCCACACTCAGCCAATTCCGACACGACTATCAGGAAACTGTGCGGGACCGCAAGCGGCCCAACGTCGTGGATGAGATGATTGAGCTCGCTCTGCCCCGGATTGGGGGCAGTGACGATTTTGTGTCGTCGGAAGCTTTGCTCACCAACCTGGGCGCTCCGTCGCAATGCATTCAAAGACACTATCCTGATGACGTGAATGTTGCCAATATTGATTTCCATTGTGTGATCCTCACCCGAGCCATCAGCGTTTATGTTTACGAAGATCAGCAGAGGTACACGTTGATGGCTTTTTACAATGACAGCTATCACGATGACAGCCATGTCAATTATTTCTTGCACTTGGTGCTGAAGGAGTTGACCACGGCGCTCGGTGTTTCTTGGTGCCGTATGCCCCCGCGGCCGGCAGGCATGTGATTTGTTTTCTACTTCGGGTGAACGATGGACTGGGACTGAAATGGGAGCTTTGATATGAACTTGCATCTCTTACTGGGAAAGTGTTATGTTGATCGCGTGGTTGTGATGGAGCTTTGATATGAACTTGAATCTTTCAAATGTTTGCTGATTTGCTGATGAATGTGCTATGTCGATCGCTTCAAATGTTACTTGTGTTGGAATATTTTTAGATTTCCGTGCGGATTCAACACTTTGTACCTCGGGGGTTTTGTACCGAGCTAGCGACGTTACGATAGTCACATTTATTTGCCCTTAACTAAACATTATCTCCCAAATGATCTTAAACATAATTCATACTTGGCTTTCAGGTCGTCTGGGCTTCGAAGCTCGTCGCTTCATTCGTCGCTTCATATGTCGCCTCATATGGAAATCCCCACAAGCCAAGACAAAGAAGACAAAATGTACAATTCTATGCGGAATGTCAGCAAAGGCCAGATTTGGATCGAATTAAAGAAAAGAAGAATGAAAAAGAAAGAAAACAAAACTTACAATGCAAGTACCGCAAAAACAAAAACCGCAATTGCACGTCCAACAAGGCCGAATCCCCCAAAAGCGGCCCCAAAGCTCGAAACAACGATGAGAAAGGCCGACGCAGCGAAAATGATAAAGTCGACAAAGATGCAATATCCAGGAGGACAGCAATGCTTGAAAGATAATAGTCCAATATTGATTAGGGACCAAACCCCGCAAATACCGAGCTATATAGCATGTGAGCCACATATCAAGCCAAAGGCACAGTATTTCTGGTCTTCACTGAATCACTCACAATGAAATAGTAGTAAAACTGCTCAGCATAATACCTCACGCCACTGACAGCAACAATGCCACCCACAGCAGCTAGAACCGACAAGATCCGCAAGGCGATTCTCGATAGCCCCGTCTCAGGACCGGGGAAACATTTCATGATGATCTTGATTCTTGACCGCGATCGCGACTCATGGCGATAAAACGCTGAAAATTCGCCCGCGTGGCGAGTTGAGCAGCGTGACCAAGACTCCAAGAAGGCCGACCGCAGGGACTGTTTATGTTTTCCAACAAGAATCAAGCGGCTGAAAATACGGCAGATCCCGATCGCCCCTTTATAAATGTTATGTGGGAGCTTGGTCGATGGGGGCCATTTCGGTTAGCCTGTCTTGGAGCCTAGAGATAGCTCCTTGGCAAGTATGAATGAAGCTTTCTGATTGATTCATAGATCGTGAAAATGGGGTGTTTGTTCATCCTGGGATCCACATGGATCTTAAGGGTTCGGTTTTGTATGTTCTCATTCAAATGTTGGAAATTGGGGATTTTATCAACATTCATGTCGATATGCAATGCTGCCATTACTAGAATGGGTATTTCTTGGTCGGAAAGTCTCCGCGTTGAAAAGCGGAGAAACATAGATAAACTTGGAAACCCCTCACGCTTCATCCCCCATCACTGATCAATGATGCTATATAAATGTCGTGCTCGCCAAATTCAGAAGTTGCAATTAACCAGTTACAAGTTTTCCGAACCTTAGAAGGCCGTCTATGCCACTTTTCAGCATAACCAACGCCCATGCCGATTCCCCGCATCATCCAACACAATGACAAAAACAATGCACCCATCACTCCCACAGCCCTCTTCAACATTATCTCTCTGGCACCGAACCACACGTTCATTCCCCCATCTGCACGCCAATCGACTCGCTCCAGCTCCCCCCGCGACAAAATACCTGATCATTGGCTCGGGCATCTCAGGGGCCTTGACTGCCTGGAAACTGGTCGAAACTGGCGTAAAGGGAGAAGATATTCTGATTATCGAGGCACGAGAAGCTGTTTCAGGTGCCAGTGGAAGAAATGCCGGACACATCCGACCAGGTAGGATCATGTACCCTCACTTTTGGTTTTTACGTTGCAATTGCGATATCCCTCTGTGTCCTTCTTGTCCTGACTTCTCTTATGGATGCTAGACTCCTTCCGTGGTTTTCCCGAATATGCAAAATTCCACGGACCCGAACAGGCGAGAAAGATTCTCGAAAATGAACGCGTTGTTCTGGAAAATGTTCGGCAATTTGTGAAAGACCATAACGTTGACTGTGACTTTAACTATTTGAGGACATTCGAGGTTGCTTTGACGGAAGAATACGTCCGTCTACTCAGTAACTCGCTTGCAGCGTTCAAGGCGGCTGGAGGCGATGTCTCGCACGTTAAATTTTATGAAGGAGAGGCAGCGCAGAAGGAAACGAGGGTCCCCGGAGCTTTGTGTGCGTACCAGTCTCCCGCTGCGTCGAATCATCCCGGGAAGCTTGTGCAATGGATCTTGAACGATTTCATTGCGAAAGGGGGTAAGCTATGGACTCATTGTCCGGCTACCAGAATCGAACGTTCTCAAAACGTGGGAAACTTCAAGTGGGAGGTCCACACGCCTCGTGGCATTATTGCTGCTCAGACAGTGGTGCACTGTACGAATGCTTATGCTGCCTATCTACTGCCAGAGCTGAGCAAGTTTATAACGCCTCGCCGATCGCAAGTGAACTCGTTTGTTCCACCACTTTCTCTCTCTGGCGAAGGCACGTTGAATCATACCATGGCATTGAGGTATCAAGCCGATCATTTTTTCTCTGTCAATTCATTGAAGAATGGGATGGTTGTGCTCGGTGGGACGGGCACACGAAGTAGCTCAGATATGACACCTGAGGACTTGATCACGTTCGACGATTTCAAATTTAGCGATCGTCTTGCACGGAATAGTACAAAGGAGTTCTTGGGACTATGCAAGGAGCCGGAATCGGCTCCGCTTCGACACGGGGAAGGGTTGGATCATGCGTGGACGGGAATCATTGGGATGACGGCTGATCGCGCACCGTTGCTTGGACCAATCGAGGGTCTTGAGGGCCAATGGATCTGCGCTGGGTTTAACGGTCATGGTAACATATTCCTCCGTTTCATTGAGCATATGCCGGACAGCTGACTTGAAGATACAGGCATGGCTGGAATTTTCACTTGTGCTCCTGGCTTGGCCAAGTTGATATCAGGCCTTTCGTGGCAAGATACCGGCCTTCCAGAATGTTTCCAATTCAGCACAGAAAGAATAATGCGGATAACTACTGATCATCATATAAAGAGCACTTTGTGAGCCGCATGGCTTCCCAGACATGTCGGAATAATCCGATCAAGTTTAAGAAGATGTGGGGATTTCAAGTCAGTACTAGTAAGCATACTTTCTGCATATGCAAGATCAACGCTTCAGTTTCTACCGAGACAAAAAGCCTTAGATATCCGTTGAAACCTTCAACCAGTTAACTAACATTGAATGAAGTCTCCTATTCAAGAACTCGAAAATGTCTAATCAGAGATGTATTTCAGTTTAGGCTTGACCTGTATCTTTCAGAACAGCAAGGGTGTACTAAACGTACATCAACCATATGACCAACGTGCCGAATCACAGATTAAGATATACAAGATGACTCTTAATGAGTCATATGCACAATTCCCGAGATTTCCAAGCCCATTGGAACCCGAGAGCAATTCGAGCACGGACCGAGTCGCCGAAATAGGGCAACGCATCCCGTCCATCGGGACGTGCCGATCGTAATTGCCCCAAACCGACCCCAAAGATCAGCACCACAGGTCCACGGTTTAACACAAACCTTGAAACTGCCGAAAATCAACAACCGTCAAGAAAACCAACATATCGCCAGAATAAGATCTCAACATATTCCAGTCCTGCCAAGAAACACCAAACCAACCTCCAACACCAACCCCATTTATCCTGAGCATATGGTCGCGATCATGCGAACCCACCTCTCCAACGACTTCGTGGTCACAGACCGAAACGGCGTGATCGAAAACCGACATGCCGTCCACGCCGCAATCATAGACAGCACCGGCAACCTTCTCTTTTCCCTGGGCGATCCAACAAGAATCACACTGGCCCGATCAGCCGCCAAGCCCGCACAAGCCGTCGCGATCCTTGAAACGGGCGCATTCGAAAAATACCATTTCGACGAAGTCGACCTGGCGCTCATGTGCGCTTCGCACAGCAGTGAAGAGCGGCATATCGCGCGTGCGCGCGCGATTCTATCCAAGATCGGCGCGGAGGAAAGCGATCTGCAATGCGGCGGCCATGTGCCTGTTTCGGCGGCCGTGGGTCGCGCGTGGATCAAGGAGGACTTTGAGCCTACGGCTGTGTGCAGTAATTGCTCTGGCAAGCATGCTGGGATGATTGCTGCGACGAAGATGCTGGGTGCGGATGTGGGGACGTATCATGATGGTGGGCATCCGCTTCAGGTGCGGGTTAAGAAGACTGTGGATGAGATCTGTGGGCTTGGGGAGGGCGAGTCGGTTTGGGGCGTTGATGGGTGTAATTTGCCTGCGCCTGCTTTCCCGTTGGTTTGTCTGGGTCGGATGTATGCTTCTTTTGCGGCGGCTGTGGATTCGGGTGAGGGTGCGGGGAGTGGTAGGATACGAGCGCAGGCTCGGGTGTTTCGGGCTATGTCTGCGTATCCTGAGTTTGTTGCGGGGGAGGATCGGTTCTGTACGAATCTTATGCGGGCTTTTGGAGGCGCGGTTATTGGGAAGCTTGGGGCGGATGGTTGTTATGGGGTTGGGATTCGGGCGTCTGCGCAGACGAAGCGTGTTGGTGCGGATGGTGGAGTTGGGATTGCGGTGAAGATTGAGGATGGGAATATTGGGATATTATATTCGGCAGTGACGGAGATTTTGGAGCAGCTTCAAATTGGCGATTCTGGTATGCGTCAAGAGCTGGCTCAATTTCATTCTCCCGAAATCAAGAATACCGTGGGCTTGGTGACCGGGAGAGTCGCCCCTCTGTTTAGTTTGCGTGTAGCGGCATGAAGACATGCAAGACTTTTGTTCTGGTTATTGCGTCCTGTCTGTCATGTCAACAAAATTCGAAAGAATCACTTTCTACTTGAAGGGTGAAGCGAATAGAATTTCATTTCAAATCTTTCTCTTCGGTTTAACAAGGATTCTTTCCCTCTTTTGTTGTAAAATAAGATTCATTTTGCCGCGAGGGACATAAAAAGGCATATGGCGAAGACTTGAAACTAACAAGATGCTATCTGGAAACTTTGGCTATGAATAACAAAATCCTCCGAAAATAAGCATGAATCAAAGATAATCCCATATCCGTTTGAGCTTTTCCATCAAGCTGTTGTATCTCTTTGCTTTGCGTCCCCCTTTGATTTGTGGATTCATTCCAGCAGGTCCATCAAGTTGATTTCGATAGTAGAATCCAGGGTTCGCAGGAATGGGACACCGTTTTCGTAAACCACGTAGCCCATAATCTTCATTCCATCCTCTTCATCATGCAAAGCTCCGGTGGCTTCAACATACTTGATCATAAGTTCCTTTTCCGCTTCCTCAATAAAGAACACGTTAAACCGGGAGTTGATATTGTAGTGGCAATCAATGAAGATATTGTGGATGAGATTCCGGTCATCACCCAACAGGCTGATTTTCGCTTTGCCTCTCCCGGAGGCGCGAGCCAGATCTTTATTGCCTGCAGGATTTCCCATCCATTCGTGCGGGGTGTCTTCAGGACCATAGTCTTGGTACTCAGTCATGACAGCCTTGTTTGCGCAGATGTGTTTCCCCGGTCCTCTCAGAATTATCCAGTCTCTATTGGAGGCCGTGAATTTGTTGACCGTGTCAAATGGGGATCCCATAAGCACGGGTGCTTTCGGCTTCTTCTGCACATCTTTCACTGGCTCGGCTTCTTTTTTCTTGGTCTCAGTTGGGCTTTCACTTGGGCTTTCACTTGGGCTTATGACTGGAATGGCGTGTGTTCGCTTGGCTTTCGGTGTGTATTTTCCGTTCTCTCTCATCGGGGTACGACCAACTGACCATGTTCCGGAAGATCCATGCATGTAACACCAGAGGCTAGGGTCTGGCTTCCAATGGAGTGGACGCGTGGCGGGATTGAGGTAAAAACACCTCGCAGCGGTGTGGAACCTTTGATTGCAATATGCGCACACTTTGCTTGGCAACTCCACCGATCCCAGTCTCTCGCGAAGGCGCTGTGCATGAACGTGCTTGTTTGTTCCTGGGGCAGGGAACCACTTTCGATCTGGGGTGCCAAAATTTACTTCTTGAGCAGTTGGATGGTCTATATCCATCTCATTGGAATACATTTCTTCAATATTGGCCATCGTCTCATAGGTGGCCGAGTCCGACGTCTTCACTGGAGTCTCGCTGGCCTTGGGATCTGGGTCCTTGATTTGAATCTCGGCAGCGGGAATATCCATTTCCTTCGTCACAGTCTTCTCAAGGAATGTCGTAGAGCGATTTATGGGAAGGGGAGTCAAAGGGTGTCTTTTATTCGGCTTTTGCGTATCCACCTCAAGACGGTGGGCGATATTGGTGCAAACCACGTGAAAGTCCTTATCTGTAAATTCATTCCACAGGTCTATCTTCGCCGCTCGTTTATCCAAGTCCGCAATGGTCGATGCGAAAATGAAACGGGTTTCTGTGCGGTCAAGTTTATTGAGCAGCAAGCACAATGCGAAATAAGGGTTGACATGAACTTTCAGGTCCCACAGATGTTGGAAGTTCTTCTTGAAATCCCAGACAAAGTCCTCGGTTGTATCATGTCCAGCAATTCGAATGGAGGACAGAGTGGAAACACCCTCAAGGTCTGCGTAGATTCCTTCAGCTTCCAGTGCCTTTTTAGCTTCGTTCATGAACTCATCAGCCAGCTTGAGGGGCTTTCCTGGCGACACAATATCACTCAAGAGTTCATCTGAAATGCTTTCCGAGAGATAGTGCTGGAGCAGTTTCGAGTAATTCAACCATCTTTTATATTTCTCGTTGTCCGCCTCAGGTCTCGGGATGTGGATATTGATGAGTTTGTCCAAGCCCGCGGAATTCAACAGGCGTGTGGTATTGCGCAGCCAGAGGGGGAAGTCGTTGGATTCCTCCAGTCGACCCAGGTGATTGAAGATTTCAATATCGAGGCGTTCAGGAAGATCCGTGGCCTGATTTGTTGAATCCTCTGCTGAAGATGACTTGTCAGAATTGCGGGTTGAGGTCTCCATTTTGACTTTTCCGTTTTCTGTTCCGAGGCGAGAGGAGGAGTGTGAAATAAATTTGGTTGGATGGAGGGGGTTTGAGAATCGTAAGTGCACGTGTGCAGGTGATGCGAGTTGGAAAGATGGAGAATGGGGGCGCGTTGGAAATAGATGAAGAGAAAGGAAAAGATGGTTGTTGGGAAGAAGGGAAGGTAAGGAAAGAAAGCTGACTGAAAGTTTCCCAAAAAGGTGAGAAGTCAACAAGCATGAGGGGAAATAATCACCATTGAGACACGTAAACCTGATAAGTCAATCTTTCACTGGTAGAGTCAATTTATTTATTCATTTTCATTCATTTACTAGTATATTGGTATCATCTATGTATTTTTTAGTCCGCCTTCGAGCTCACTCGATTAACGCACAAGAACGCCTCGGTATCGCATGTTGCCATCACGAAGGGTTTGCATTGCCTCTTCCACTCCCTCTTGGTTCAATGGGAATGTCATTGTAGTGGGCACAATCTTCTTGTCCGCTGCAAATTGTACCAACGAGCGCAAGCTGTGCCGAGAAGCCACCAAAGATCCTTGGATTCGAATACCCTTGACGTTCATGAACAGAAGCGGAACGGGTGAGGGAGCAAAGTCAACGGTCAATGGATAAATAGATCCATGGATATCCATCAAAGGAATGAGACTAAAAGATAAAAAGTTAGTAATCAAAGCCAATAGACTCGACATGTGTACGGGAACGGGAACTGGAATAGGGACGTACGAGGGATAGTCGACATTGGCACTACCGCAGAGCAGGAGGTGGTTTACTGGCAGGCAGTCTTTCAGTTCCTCGCCGGTGCGGAAAACATGGTACTCGGAAGCACCAAAGCTCATGGCCTCTTCTCGCTTGGATTCGGAGCTGGAGAACACGACGACGTGGCATCCCATGGCAGAGGCAAGCTTGATTGCCAAGTGACCGAGGCCACCAACACCCATCACACCCACGCGGTCAGTGGAGCGGACGCCATATTCAGTCAGACAGGTCCAGACCGTTGCGCCAGCGCACATCAGAGGGGCGGCATCTGCGGAATCGTATCCATCGGGGATGGGGACGACGCAACCAGCATCCCAGACAACACCACCGCTGAAGGATCCAAGATCATGGTCATGGGAACCGTATTCCTTCTTGTTCTCACAGTACTGGTCCCATCCTGATTTTCAGGTTAGTCGACTCGTTCTTCTTGACCTGTGGCGCAACTCGGGACTTACCAGTCAAGCACTTCTCGCAGGTTCCACAGACGTAGTGGGTGTATCCGAATCCAACACGATCTCCAGCCTTGACGTTCTTGACATCTGGGCCAATCTGGCGCACAACACCCACACCCTCATGACCGAGGACCATACCGGACTTCAGGTAGTGCTCATCTGTGCCACAGAGACCAGAGTGTGTGGTCTCGATGTAGACTTCATTGTGGCCCAAGGTGCGGGTTGTAGTATCGCCAACAATCTTTCCCTCCTTGGAACCGCGGAATACTTCGAATGTGACGCTCATGGTGATAAGATGTTGATTTGAAATGATAACGAAGGGGGGTGGCGTCCTAGAGCTGCAGTGGTGTTTTTTCGATTAGAAAATGAACACAATTGAGGGGTGGGGGGAAGAGCATGGCTTATTTAAAAGAAGATTTCGTCAATGTTCAGCATGATTTCTCATCAGCATGATTTCTCATCATGCAAAACATTGGAGCCGGCATCTGCCGAGGTTGGGATTAAAGATGAATAAGGTTATTCCAGACAACTCTGCGTATTCCATGGGCCCATGGAAGGTATGGAAGGCGATCTGAACCCAATAAGCAAATAGCTCCGAGGGTTCCACTAATCCGCTCCATCCGCAGCAGGTTATTGTCCGCTTCATGTACCGCTTCGGGATTAAATCGTTGAAATTGTATCCACTAAACCGAGTTTTCTCCATCGACGGTGCAATTCATTACCCCGAGGGACACGGGATTTCGGCGACTTTTGGAAAAAAAAAATTGTATCCGTGGCATTCCACGGGATTGATGATCTTGAGGGAAGGCTGATGTCAGAGTCAACTTGGCTATAGAGTCCACTCAACCTTAGTTCGTATTCTTATTTTCCACCATCTGCAAGCCTCTGCAGGCTAAAGAATGAGTCTATACTACTCTGGGATTAGCGCGCTTGGTAAATTCTGCACGGTAAAAGCCCAAAACGCACGTCCCCACACGCAAGTTTTCAAGCCTGTTGAAGCTTTGAAAATTCGTAGGTACAAAACATTGTACTGCTAATTTTTTGATCACGTTTAATACGAGGTTGACTGTCTGAAGAAATCCTGGAAATCCAGAGAACTTTCAGTGTGGTTGCTTACTCAGCTATTTTTTGCTTGGGCGGATAACGTTAATTAGTAGTAGTTACTAGTACTAGTATGCGGGATGAAGGACAGGCCAGACAGGCCGTTCCTCCTGGGGGTGCGGCAAATTAGAGGCTGTCAAAGCACTGCAGGGCGTTGTACTGCTGTTCCTCGGTTTCTTGGCTACGCAGAAAGTATACACGGAGACGAAGGCTTAAATCCTTTCCGTACAAACCAAAGTTCATAGAAACTCATTCTGGAACTCCTGTGAAAGCCAGCTCAACGTCATTCCAAGTCAAGACTCCACCAAATAGTCGTAATCCCACAATATCAATCGTGACAGCTGGAGGAATAGTAAGGGAATGTTAAACTTAGTTAGCTTAACCAGTGGAAAGACTGAAGATACGAGGTTGCAATCCAGCAACCAATAAGAATGCCCAGCTTCCGCGCGAATGGTTTTGCCCCACACGGTGGATTGGGCTGTAGGAAAATGATAGAATGGGTCACAGACAAAAAAGAAAAAAGAAATGACCAGACTGGGGCTCGATCCCAGGACCTTATCGGTGTTAACGATACGTGATAACCAACTACACCATCCGGCCAATTGATATAAGCTGTCGCAGTAGTTGGCTATATGACGGATATGAAAAACAGGGCTCAAAATTGGTGAGTTCGCATCGGCCTAGGCGATACACGATAACCAACTCCTCCAGCCAGCATATAGTTAGCATAAAAATTACAAATATTACATAGCATAATAGAACTTGAACCTAGTACACATCACAGCCTTGAATGACTCTCGCCGGTGCCAGCTTTCTGGTTCGTATCATGTCGGGTGCATCTCTGCAAAATCTGTGTTGGGTGACAACATTCAAATAATATACATGCTGTTTCGGATGTTGATAAACATTCAGTCACGCCTACTCAAATATTTTCTCGCTTCGAAACCACATGTGATAACCACTAGAACCCCCCCCATCTTTTATATTCACGTCCCATCTTCTCTCTTCCAGACTCTTCCCATTGAATTATTTTTTCGTTTCAAACATTTGAAACAGATAACTACTAGATTCCATTCAATTCCAATCAATCCTTTCTCTTCTCTTACAGCCTTTTCTTACCGCCACACGCCATGCGAAATACTTCCGCAGATCTACAGAACCTTCTAAAGGTGCCTGTGTTTGAAGGTGCCTGCGCTTCGACGATGTGCTGCGTCATTCCATCCTTCGTGATCTTCCCCTCCCACATCTCTCGTTTTTTTCATCCTTCCAAAGCGCGCATCAAGCATCGTTTGGTCTCTTTTCCACTCTGGCATTGAGAATCGATTTCTGGAACCAAAATGTCTTCCGCCGAGACCTTCGTTCCGGAATATCTCAAAGGAGAGATGTACGGTGCCGATACACCCGCTGACCTGTCGCGATACCTCCTCGAATGGCATGCTGGGCATATCACCATCGCAGAGAAAACGATTAAAGGCAAGATTCGTCTGACTCTCGACACCCAAGAGCCTCGTGTAGAATTTACGCCTTTCGAAAACCATGCCCATGGTCAGATTATCTTCACGGCGGCGAAGACAACGCCCTCCATCCAGCTCTTTAACCAGCAAGACCTAGGCTCCAGCCCCAACCTCGCTTTTTTCGAACAGCATGCAAGTATCATGGACAGTATTGAGCTCAATCTGGAAAAGTGTGATCTTTTGGCGTTCGAATTCAAGACTCATGAAACGCCACCGATGCCTGCATCAGAAAGAGAACCACCCGCAGATAAGAATGCATGGGAAATATGGAAGTTCCTGAATGACCTGCCGTGGACTGATCAAATTGTTCTTCTTTGGTTGCAGCTTGACGCCAAGCACCATGATAAGATTACCCGCATCAAAAATTCATACACATCCGCCATGGATGTAGTGAAATCCGAAGGATCCCACTGGTATTTGAAAAAGGTTGAGTTGGCTCCCGGAAAGGCACGCCGACCGGCAAGACCATGGTCCTTCAATCCAGATGGGAAACACCGTGATAAATATGGCGACATTTTGTGCCGGGACTCGTTCTTTATCGACTCGGCCGATTATCAAGCACATCTCCTGGAGGGAACGCGCAACGACTGTCACATCCAGGAGTCCGCGATCAAGGATGTATTCCATATTGGAGTACAGCACCTGTGCCGTTTTGAAAGAATTATCCCACGTGTGTGGAATGTATTTGTTCGAATCAGAGCAAATGTCAAGCCGGTTCTCAGCGAGTTGACGCGGGTCAGGTTTGACAATCCCCAATCAGGGGCTGTTGAGAAGTCCCTCAGGTATGATGGTCAAATTGTGGATTGCCAGAGCAACTCAAAAGGGGATATTACCATCCTTTCTATGTCGAACATCCCGAGCCACTTCCACAATAAAGAAATGCCTATGGATCTCATGGTGGGCGCGAACGTTGCTCCAGCCCACGACCAGATGAAGTACCTCGAGGATGCATGGAAGATCAAGGTAGTAGGGGATCAGCCAAGTGGGTGGCAAAAAGGGTTTTCGCTTCATAAAACACTTCTCGCTCATGGTCGTGAGATGGACACATGTAACCCCGGATATTTCCAGCTCAACATGATGCAGAGCAATCAACTCTCGGCCTCTGAGGTTGACACTCGAATCCAAAGGATCCTCGACCTGGCAAAACTCGATCAATGTCAGCTGGATGCGTTCAGGGCATCCACGAGCAGAATTCCAGGTGGACTGCAGCTAATCCAGGGACCTCCAGGGACCGGCAAAACCAAAACCGCGACATCGATTATCCTTGCCCACGCACTGGTAGGACACAAAGTCCTCTTGACTGCAGGATCCAACAAGGCTGTTGAGAACCTTACAAATGGTGTGTTCAAGGTTATAAAGAGCAATGTTGACATTGAAAAGCTTGTGGGAGACATTGTGAGATTCCGAACACCGGCTTACTGCATGTCAGTAATTCGGAACAAGAGTAAGAATACCAATCCCATTGCTCGAGTCAGTGAGCTCTCGTCAACTGAAAAGGAATTGGATAGCTGTCAGCTCTACACCCTTGTGCAAAGATTTGCCGAAAACAATCCCGACGACCCATACTGCAAAGCATTCAATGAATGCAGCGCATTGGACATCGAGGAAGGGCTGAACAGCAATGCGGCAAGCATCCTGAAGAACTCCATGGAGTTCATCATGGGCAAGATTCTCAGGCTTGCCAAGACCAACATTGTGGCATCCACTTTCGGATCCATTGCGCAGGATCTCATTCGCTTAAACTTCCATCCCGATGTCCTCGTCTCGGATGAGTCCGGGCAATGCCTCGAGGCTGAACATGTGATTGGCATGAGCTTGGAATCGCTGAAAGCCGTGATCTTGATTGGAGACCCCGATCAGCTAGCGCCAACGGTCATGACGGGTGGAGACCACAATGAATATGCAGGATACTTGAAAAGGCCTCTGATGACTCGACTCAAGGCTGCCGGCTACCCTCTAGCACTTCTTCGTACAAATTATCGCTGCCATTCCGACATCCTTCGGTTTTTCAATGAAGCTGTGTACAAAGGGAAGCTGGTAGCTAGTGCTGGCAATGACGTCGCTGAGCGCGTCAGCAACGTCTGGAGTGACTTCACTGCTTCCCACGCATTCTTCCGGCGAGCCAATGTTGATGGACGGCGTCGCCTGGTCATAAACTCTCCCGGGTATGCTGAGAAGGACGGAGTCTCCTTCAAGAACCCAGCCCAAGCCGAACTGCTCAGCCAAGTTCTTCGGGAATTGTATGCTTTCAAAGCTGCGTCTAGCGAACGAATCACGCCAGCCGATGTCTTGATCATTAGCCCTTACAAGGCTCAGCGAGACTGCATCAAAGCAACTCTCAGCAAGCACAACATCCAGTACCGCGAAAACCTTACCATTGACGCAGCACAAGGTCAGGAGGCACCCATAGTGTTCCTGTTGTTGACGAAGCCAGGACCGGATAACAGGAAGGTTGGATTTGTGGCTGATCCCCAGCGCCTCAATGTTGCGCTGAGTAGAGCGCAGAGAGTGCTTGTTATCATTACCAACTTGGACTCATGGGATGTCAAGGCCGCCACAAGAATGAGCATGAAGCCAGAAACTAAGATGCTTGCGAGCCTTCTCCTTGATGTGAACAGAAGACGGCATGTTCTATCATGGTCTGGTCCGACATTGACTATTTGAAAAGTTAGACAGAAAGCTGACGGCGAAGACCGCAACGCAAAGAAGCTATTACCTGCCCATTTTCACGAGACCACCAGACACCACCTCCCTTGCAGGCGTCGAAACTCACGGCCAATTTTGTTCTTGCGATTGACCGCAAATCATCCGGTTCATCTATTCTTTTCTCGTTGGAAAATCATTTATTCTGTTTGTGTTAGAACCTTGACTCTTTACGATCTGGCCGTAGAATTTTGTTATTTTCATTCAAGTTTGGCGATCTCTTCGGCCTTAAATTGTTGACCATCTTTTTTTTTGGTCTTTTTTTTTTGTGAGCCGCTGCGTCTCTCATCTACAAGGTTGCGGGGCGGTTGATATAGATCTTAATTTCTACATGATATATGATAATGTATAATAGCACTGAGGTAATTTGAAAAGAAGACTCTGTGTGTTCGGTTTTTGAGCCGTGGGCTTAGGTAGTTGGTGTAGAGAAATACAGTACATACTATCATACCTACTACTGTACAGGACCTACATAGTACTACATAAGTACTAGGTAGTAAGATGTCATAACCTTACGGCATTCGGAACCTTGATAGGTCTTACAATGGGTGTGGTGAACTCTTCTCGGCAAGTCACTACAGGGGCCTAAATATAGCAATATCATGAAGTTGACAGCAGTAGATTGTAAAATTTACGAGCAAGATAACCGCTTCTCCGAGACACAACATGACTCAAATAAAATTTCTCATTGGCTTCAAGATCGTCAGCTAAGTTGCGTTCATTTCTCTTCATGACTCGCAAAATATCAGTTTGCTGCTGATATTTATTGACAACAGGGCCCATCTCCTGTTGCAATATCGTTTATGAGACTACTCCAGAGTCAAAAGCTTCGAGCAGCCCATTTTTCAATAGACTGGAGATAATCCTTCTCGGCAGCAAGCTCGTCAGTTTTCGCCTCTAGGAAGTCCGAAACTCCTGTACCTTGTGTGTCGATGGACAGTTTGGTAACCCGAGATGCGGTACCGATTGTTCGAGCTCTGTTGTTACGCAAATCCTGCTGACGGGAGGGGGACAAAAGTGAGGAAATGAGTTCAGGTATTTCGGGGTAGGCTCTCGACGATATTGATCGTGGCTGTTCGTGGGATATCACTGTATTGTGGGGTCATGTCACTCATGTGGCCTGACTGGACCTTTCTCATCTGTTCTTCTCACTTGGTTAGGTTTTGATAACGGAGAGAGAACTGTGTATATTGAGTATCAACTCTCTTGGGGGGGGGGGATGGAGAGAAGAAGAAAAGGAAAAGGGAGGAAGCAAGCACTGGATATCTAGAGGGGGTCACGGTCACCTGGCCCCTCTCTAACAGACCGAAGAAAATGATTATCCAGGAAGAAAGTATGAGTTAGAAGGTTGGTACATTTATTTAGTATGTCTTATCATACATGACTACTTGTTTCTCTCTTCAAATCGTCAATGCAAAACCTCCTGTACTACTCAAAGAGAAGTTACAGAGCAATTCACAGACATAAAAAAGACGATAACGATAGAAGAGCAAAAAAGAAATGACCAGACTGGGGCTCGATCCCAGGACCTTATCGGTGTTAACGATACGTGATAACCAACTACACCATCCGGCCAATTGATATAAACCGTCGCAATAGTTGGTTATATAAAGCAAAGTATAAACAGGGCTCAAAATTGGGTGCGCTAAGTCCAATGTAGTAATTCCACATGGGCCGAAGGATCTTCTTCTTCCGCAGACATGATGTTGCGCCCCGGGTTCGGAGAACGGGTTCTGAGAATTGACAAATGCTTACCAACATTCCAATGAAGGGCTAACTACGGATCAAAAAGACGCTGAAGGGCGTGAGTCGATTACTTTCCCATTCATGCATGACTGGTAGCCCCAATTGATATCCCAGGCTATTGTGATTGCAAAGTTATACGTAAAGGGTTAGCGTTGCGCATCCCCATCGACCGGCCCGCGCCCGCATGAGGGTCCAGGATCCACTTTCTCAGCATCTCCAATGCCCTGCATCGCCTACGAAGGGTGTAAAATTCTGCCCCTATTCAGATAAATAAGAAAATTTTGAAAGTTTCTTATTGGATCCATTAGGATCACCCGTTATTCGTGTAAGATAGTATGTACTCCGTATTTTAAATTGAGAAAATGATGCCAACGCACGCCTCGGAACATGCAAGCCGAGCCTATCTATTTCTTCTGTGCAAACAAGACGTGTTCATCCGAATCCCAGAAAATTGCATCCCGTTCAAGATCATCACTGGCACCTTTGGCAAGCCTCTCGATCTCTTCCTCGGCATTGGGCTTTCCACCTGCCCGAAGAATCATTTTCGTCGACCTAGTGACCATAGGTACATGGAATTTATGGCATCTTTCAACTCAGATCCATCCTTCACGGTATGAAAGATTTGTTCAGACACGAAATTTCAAAGTCGGAATGGGCTTTTGCTGCTTCGAGAAAAGCCAATCGGCATAATGGATTTCCGATTTGACCGACTATACATGCCTCTTTCAAAGCTCCGTACTCCTGGAATGCCGGTGCCCAGGTGCACATCCTTGTACGCTTGCATCAATTTTGCTTCCTAATCAAAATCCAATCATTATTCAGTTGAACTCTTTTCTTACCAATCCTTTTGATAACAAAGAATTAAGCATAACCCTGCATATCTTGTCTCGTTTCGCGCGCCATCGTCCGCTTTAAGTAAGGAGCCTTTGTCGGAATCGGGGCAATAGAGGTTCCCGACGGGTCAAATTCTTCACGATTAGGAACATAATTAATTTGAGTATGCCATTGAAATCATTTCTGTACTAAAGACCTTAACACTCATTTCAATTCAAGCAAGATGGCAGAAAATCTTGAAGTTCACACTGGGGGAAAAGTGCCCTTCGCTGCAACTGGCGACGAGTCTACATCACAAATTGACAAAGAGGCCGAGAATGATCTCTCGAGAAGCAGTAAAAAGCAGGATGAGTCTGAGCCTCGCATTGAAGTGGAGAGGGAGGCTCCCGTTGCAGACGAGTATCCCCATGGCATACGTCTAACGTTTGTTGTGGTGGCCATCATGCTCGCCACTTTCATGATTTCTCTTGACCAAGTGAGTAACTTCTTTACTTGGCCCCTCTAAAATCCGTCTATGCCAGTGCCCACCTTCTAACACTGCTAGACAATTATTGGGACAGCAATCCCGAAAATCACCGATCAATTTCACGGTCTCAACAAAGTATCATGGTACGGCTCGGCTTACTTCATGACCTTTGGTGGATTTCAGACCTCGCTGGGTAAAGCATACCGGTACTTCAACCTGAAGACAACATTCCTCGTCTCGCTCTTCATTTTCGAACTCGGGAGTCTTATTTGCGGTGTGGCGCCAAATTCAAATGCTCTTATTGTCGGACGCGCCATTGCTGGCCTTGGAGGTGCAGGTATGGCGACGGGTGGCTTCACTATTATCGCATTTTCCTCCGAGCCCAAGAGACGACCTCTCTTTACTGGCTTGGTGGGATCTGCCTATGGCCTTTCTGCTGTAGCGGGTCCTCTCATTGGCGGTGCCTTTTCGGACAGGGTTTCTTGGAGATGGTGCTTCTACATCAATCTCCCAATTGGAGGCCTTTCAGCCGCGATCGTCCTTTTCTTTTTCCACACCCCGAGTGGAGCGAAAGCGGTTAAGGCAACATGGAAAGAGATTATATTGAACATGGATCCTCTCGGCGTACTTTTGACAATGTGCCTCATCATTTGTTACATCCTTGCTCTTGAGTACGGTGGACAAACAAACGCATGGAACTCAAGTGTTGTGATCGGCTTACTCGTCGGCTTTGGCCTCATTCTTATCACTTTGCTTGTGTGGGAATACTACCAGGGAGAGCGCGCCATGTTTGTGTTCCGTTTGTTCAAAAGGCGTTCTCTCTGGGCCCCTTCAGCATACATGTTGTTTTTTGCCGGCGCTTATTTCATTCTTCTCTACTACCTCCCGACCTACTTCCAAAGTATCGACAACACCAGCCCTATCGGCTCTGGAGTGCGAAACCTGCCTATGGTTGTGACTTTCAGCATTGCAGCTATTCTTGCAGGCGGATTTGTCCAAAAAACCGGGTTTACAACGCCAGTCATGCTTGTTGGTGCTTGTATCGCAACTATTGGAACCGGTTTGCTTTACACATTAGACATCCACACCTCGGCTGGGAAATGGATCGGCTATCAGATTCTTGCCGCCTTCGGTTTCGTGATTCCATGGCTAATCCCCATGAACATTGCCCAAGCAAATGCACGGCCCGAAGATATGTCAACAGTGACTGCTATCATTTTTCGTGCGATACCCCGGCCAAAGTTATGTACAAGATTAACTAAGCTAACAAATCACTCTAGTGTTTCAAACTCTAGGCGGAGCGTTCAGCGTCTCGGCCGCTCAATCAGCTTTCGTAAACACGATGATCAGAAAGCTAGCAACAACGGCTCCAAGGGTCGATCCTTCGCTGGTGATTGCGGCAGGAGCAACGCAGCTTCGCGCAACGTTCCCCGAAGATATCAACGGTGTTCTACTTGCATATATGGCAGGACTTAAAGCAACATTTGCAATTGCAGTCGGAATGGTTGGGTTTGCGTCCTTTCTAAGCATTTTCACACCCTGGGACAGATTGCATGGCTCGCCGGAAGCCGTTGGTTTTGTATGAGTGGACCTCGGGAATTTTCAAGGGGAACTTAAATGGATATATCAATTTATGGCATCTGGATTCAACGGTCAGGATAGACGGAAAGGAGAGTTCTAGCTCCAATGTCAGTTCGAGAAGAGCGTCAGGGGTGCCAAACTTTCATTCGCACATATATTCATTTTAGAATGTTTATTTAGTTCGAGTTGTTATTTAAATAACTTGCTACAGGAACTGCCAGGGACGGTAGCTGTACACAGCTCCGCGTCTTTCAAAAAGTTCACCACCTATTATACAAAATCTCAAGAAATCGTGATAGACTGCTAGCGGGACCACTTGAGTTAAGATAATATTCAATTTTGGTTCATTCCGTGCTAGCACTTGAGATTGATACATTTACGTGTTCAATTTTTCTTTCCGCGTGCAGGATGGATAAAATCAACACTTTTCAAGTCCAAGTCACCAGACACTACCACAGCAATCAATTTGATCAACCCTAATGCGCAAAAACAACTGATTGGCCTTGAGCCATTTCCTTCTGGGAGCTGTAACTCAATTGCGAAGATCTGAAGTTTGAACTGCCAAGAGGATACGAGTTCAAATATTGAAAGTGATTGCTCGGGTAGTTTGTCGGCCATGGTCATAAGCATAAGTGACACGGGTGTCAACATTGAATTAAATTCTCCCAAGCTACGCCGTTTTCAGCACAAGGCTAGCTTCGAACTGGCAAAAATCAGTGCCAAGCCGTCCCACTTCTCACAAACTTGATACCGATTCATATTAGTCTAGCGTTATAGATTCTTCATAGAGCGATCTAGATCTTCAATTACCATAGCAATCTCGAACCAGCTTTACTAGATTGTCGTTCGATGAATCATAATAGCATTATAAACTAAGTAATGTTCCGATAATTTATCCGTAGTAAGGCCTATATAGCCTTCTTCAGTGACTACTCAAGCACATACGACCATAGGGTGTGGAGAACAGGGCTTCCCGTCCGCTCAGCCGTACTTAAGCCACACGCCGGTCAGTTAGTAGTATGGTGGGTGACCACATGCGAATCCTGACTGTTGTATGTTTTTGTTTTTTTGATTCGATCAAAAACTGCCCTTATGCATGTGTGCAGGAAGGAGCGTCATGGGGAGAAGGGTCGAGGGATTTGATATTCTGGATCTAAAATTGAAAGCTCCAGTGACCAACTATATCTAGGAGATAGCTATACACCAAACAAGCAAAGTATTTGGTCATGTTCTCACTTCTTTCCCTGTAGATAGTTCTCTCTCTCTCTCTCTCTCTCCCCATCTCTCTCTTCTTTCTTCCCTGCAGCACCCAATACCACATCATTAAGTTCTCACCCTCTTTCCCCGTAGACTCGTTCTTTATTAATTCACAAAGATATGTCACCAATCAAGCGCGGGAAATAAGCCAATATTATGCCGACCTTGGAAAAATTAACGGAAGAGTGCGGCGATAAGCAGCGTGTCAGACAATGATTTCAAGCAAATTGGTGAAAGACAATAGTAAGCTTCAAGTCTGTGCAATTCATTTTCCATCACCTGGCAACTCACAGACTAAATACATGTCGTGGTGCCTAGTGCAGGTAGAATGAACGGGTAAAGCAGTGGGAATTCAGAGCGTGAGGTAACTTTCGTGAGAACATATAAGCTTCTATCCAAAGATATTTCAACCTGAAAATATTCCAAATAGGATCTTAGACACAACCATACATACCCCGATCCAACATCTACCCAGGTAAAATCACCACTGCCTGTAAATCCAGGCCATTTCTCTTTCAGTAAGGAGAATGATCTCTCATATTGAATTTCATAGGCGAGAGTATCATTGAAGCACGATTTCGAAGACAGAGATATGGCGTAGGAGATCTTGCACTTTGGACATTGAGACGCTATTGGAGCTAGACGGTTCTGAACTATCAATTCTAGAGCTTCATAGTGCGGACAAAGCATGACTTTTCTTTTTCCTTTATATGGTAAATTCTTGTTGATGAAAACTAAATAGGTAAAGTCAAAGATGATGCTTTTTTTGTTTTGAGCAAGAGAAGGTGATATCGTAAGTTGATAGGAAAGTCTTTTGCATGGACTTTCGAACTTGCATTCATGCCAATTTGAAATGTGCCTCATGAAACTGTCACTATCAAACTTTGCCTCATTTAGCTCAATAGCAATTGTCATGAATCTCTTTGGCGTGAAGATGAGACAGGGACATAGTAAAGTGTATCCTGGCCACATACAGATAACAGCATCTGTGGTTCTATTTTCAAAGCTATCGAATTTGAATTCATTCCGTGGATGGAGCTTCAAACAGGCATCGCAATATGCCCAGATATCTGTTGGATATAGATTACTGAGAAAGTACTTTCGAGCCTGGAGATTGATTGAATCGTGAACATATGGTTCGTGATAAGGAAATCGAAACATTTCCTCCTGAAAAACGTAATTGAACTTGTTGTAGATTCTCTTGCAGCTAAGTGCTAAACAGCCTTGCCACGTTGGTTGGAGGAATGAGAATATGATATCCAATACCTCAGGTGGAAGATCAAAAATTGAAGCTCTTCTTTGCCTGGGGATCCGCAAGGCTTTCCTCATAATACTTGAAGCCATGTTGAGAGCACGATTTGCGGGTGCACGGCTAGAGGATAACAAATCCCGTACGAGCAAGCTGCGGGTAAAAGCCATTTTTTATTGTAGGTTGTCGAGCAAGAAAGAAAGAACATTTGAAGAAGAGGGAGAATCTTTGCTATCTACAGACATCTGGAGGCACTACTAGTCACCTGAACTATCAATCTCCGACAATTACTTAGGTAGCATCTACGTCATCCTGACAACGACAATAAATGATCAATGATAATTTGTGAAGGAATTGTGTTAGTAGATAAATCGATAATACAGATACTTGATTTTAATCAAAGATTTCGTCAGTAACTTCAACCCGATCGTTGAATAGGAACTCGGAATCAATCCAAATATAACTTACTATGCTGCGCTCACACCCTGCCACTCGACAAAACATCTCACCGTGGTAAATTTTAACTCTATTTTCTGACTAGGATTTCTGCCCGGTTTCTTTTCCTCGATTGATATTGTAGCTTGAAGATCTACTAGTAGGTATTAAGGTGTTGGTCCCTGAGCAGGGCTGTTAGAAGGCGGTGAGAGACCTTCAGATAGAAAGAGAGCTGTTGCTGCCCGAGGCATAGGCATACAACCCTGGTGCGTCATGTGACCCGTGTTAGCCTGAGAGTGACCCATGTTTAGATTAAAGCCCATTCCTAAACTGTAGCGAATGTACTAGTAGCTATTACTTCGTGCGCCGCTATTCGGCTGTCAGTCTTTACCGCCGCACATCAACAACCCTAGCAATATATGGTCACTACAATACTATCTAGAAGGGGTCACCTCCCTCTCTGACAATATTGTGAAAGCAATAAAACGTATCGATTGCGAATCGATTGAGAAAATTGTGAAAGTAACCACAAATCAATTAAGAAAGGGCTTCAAAAAATAAGTTGACACAGTGAATCGGTGTTCGGATTAAAGAAGAGGTAGTATCAACTTCTAGGCATCTGGGCCAACTACTAGTACGTACTTGGAATCCCCGGGGCCGACACTAACAGATTTAAGAATGACATCTGGATTGTAGCTCCCCCAGGCCGCAATTGATCATTAGTTTTAAATGGATGGATGGATACTCCTCAAATAAAGTCCATTAGAAATCCATACCGAAAGCAGGCATATTTAAGCGATTGAACCGCCCTAGGAATGTATATGTGGTCCGTTCATCAGCAGTCATGCTGCATCTTACCGGTTCTTTCGGCCGGTTGGCAGCTCACATTTCATATTCGGACCTCACAAACCCCATCTTTACAGGGACATATATCCGTACCCTCGTAGACCAGGGATATGCAAAAGGTAAGATCTGCAGGGAAGCCACAACCTATCGCATGAAAACATCAGGAGTATGTGCATCGGGCAGAACCCCGCGAAAGGAAAACATTTGAAGGAAGAGAAAAAGAAACAAGCCGGGCTTTGAATGAAGCCCGATGAGCAGCCAGTGGAGCCAATAATGTCGATCGGACGATCAGCCGCGGTGATTTCTCGGTCGGCCGAACGGTCAAGCCTGCGACTCCACTTGTTCAATCGGTTTGTGATTTGGCTAGGGGTGCAACGTGGTTTTCCAATGGGAAGAATGCTTGAGGCTACGAATAACGGCTTGACGTAATGCCAGAGACTATTAAGAGCGCTAGATCCGACGCGATCCGCCCCGGATCCGAGGGCGCTTGGGGCTTGGGGATGTTATTTAGTTGCCGGGGTTTTCCCTCGGGGTATTGCGATTTGTGATTTATTTGAAACTTCCGAGTGTCGGAGACACCTTCGGTATTGATGTGATGATATCATAGGGTCTTTAACTGCTAGCCAGGCGCAGGTATGTGCAAAAATAAACAGAGGTTTTCCCCTTCCCAAATATCCCATAAATATGTCTCCAAGGAGCAGAATTGGCCGCCATATATTGACCAAATTGACTGCAGTGAGGGTATATGACCCAATCTCCAAAACCCCGCCGAGCAAAAAAAAAAAAAAAAAAAAATAGAAAAATAAAAGAGGAGGAAGAGGAAGACGCAGACTCCCGTGTAAAACGCCATGCAAATCTCTTAAACGGGCGGATTGGGTCCAGTCATGCTGGGGAATAGCATAACATCCGACACGCGACCTAAGATATTGCGCATACTCCAATCGTCCATAGGAAGCGCGGAACCGCCAGCAGTTGCAAAGTTCGGAGGGAACTCGGGAGTCGTTTCGATTGATGGGGGGGAGGGCAATATCAATGGGGAGTAAGGTTGGTATTGACTTTGAGCTGGGGCAGCCTGAACAGTCGAAGCAGGTTTGCGGAGGCGGAACGCTTCACGGATCTCACGCAAGGCGCGAAGAGAAGACGCGAGATGCTTAGCAGAATCTGTGCGGTTATTATGATCCTCGGAACCATCTGCGTATACATGATCGGCTAGGACCTTCTCTAGGCGGTCGATGAGCTCCCAGGTCCGAGGGCCATCATCGTTGGTGATCAGCAAGAAAGCTGAGGCAATTGACCGTTGCAGGCTAATCCAGGACCGAGAGCAATGTGAATTGATTTCATGCAACTCCACGAATGCATCCACTGTTTCAATCAAGCTGCTAATACAGTCTTCTCGAATCAATGCTCGACGATGTTCATCTAAATGCGCATGCGAATCTAAAGATACCCGACACAGGACTGAAAGAAGATATGAAGCGTGGAGTCGGAGTTCCGTTCGTTCGATGTGCTCCGCTAATGATCGGCAATTCTCTCGATGACGCAGATGGGGAGTGGCCTCGGCAAGCATGCGCTGAATCCGATGCTTGTATTCTTGGATCTCATGAAATCGGGGCTGGGAATGAGTTGGGTGCATTCGGGACCGCAACACTTCCAATGCAAGCGATACGACCCGACACAAAGTTTCAAAATATGATCGATGCCCCGGCATTGATTTACGATCAAAGGGAATCTCCGGTTGACTGAACATGGTAATGGAAGGTCGATCATAAGCGAGTGAAAAGTGGCTGTTCTGGAAAGCCATCGCCCACCTAATTGGGTCAGCTCGAATGTTTCGGGAAAGAGGTCAGAGACTCGACTTACCAGACACGCCTTCGAATGGCTTGCTCTTCGTATGAAAAGCCAGTCATTTCAACATGAAGACCCAGAACAAGACACATGCGCTCTGTCATGCCGAGTAATGTGTAGGACGCACCAGCGTTCATATTATACGATAATACATTGCTGATAATTAGTAGAATCTGTATAACCTCTACTGTGGGTTGCGAGACGTAATTCAACATTCGCAAGCACTGATATGCGCAAGAAACTGCATCAAAAGTCAGCATGGGCTTAAAAGTGAGATCTGACTCGGGGGTACACACCATATACCCATGATGTCAGCTCACGGTCGCGCTCCGGGAGATCGGACAATTGACATCCCGAGGCCAGGATCGCAAAAAGCAAGCTGAGGAAGGGCAGGTCCATCCCGAAAGGTTTTACTAATCCATTGGCATCCGGCTTATAGACACCACCAGCCCGTTGTCTCCCCGCGAGTATTTGATTTGTCTGTCGCTCGATCTGATCGAGATCTGGTAGTACAGGGTACAACACCGCACCAATATCCTTATAGAATTTCACAAATCTAAGGATTCCATTGTTAGCGTGGCTCCCTCAGCCGTCGGTTTATCGAATTGCCTTACCTCCGGCATTGATTGTCGTCCGGAAGAACCGCACACACTCCAGCAATGTTAAAGGTGAAAGGATCAGATGACCAAAGATCCACGAATGGGTACGCGACCGATTCATTGCCTAGCGCTAATTCGGCGAGAAGGTCCTCCTGAGGCAGCGCCTGCGCTGCATCTTCTGAGGACTTGGATTTGTCTAGAATATCTACCAAAGCAGACCGAGAGCCGAGATGGACGGCACCTGTCTTTAGCACGTTCGACCCGTAGACGCCCTCCGATCGGGTTGAATCCTTTCGTTCCATATCCCGATCCTCGATCCGTTTATGAGATGAATGTGTCTGAAAGAGAGAGTGCAGGCTCCCGAGAATTTGTTCCATCGCGACCATCTTGGTATTAATTTCATCCCACTCGGCCTGCGAGATGTCAATGACCTCCGGAAGATCCAAATCTTGCTCATCGCTGGTCCCGGACGGCGGGTCGGCAGTGTAGGAGGCATCGCGGTGGGGGTAGGAGTAGGATGAAGCGACGGCGGGCGATGCAAAGGACGATTGGAGGGGTGTGGCAGATGGATTGAGATTGAGATTGAGATTGAGCGAGGGCCCCGGTAGTTTGTTGGATGACGGGCGACCGTAAGAGCAGGTAAAGTTCCGCTTGACGCAATTCCCGCAGGGCACTTCACGGTCGCAGCGGACTTTACTGGCGCGGCATGGTAGGCATGTCTTACACTCTCGTGGTCGGCGGCGGATAGGATACGTCGGCATGTTTTAGAGCCCCGCGCGGTGGTCTCGGAGGAGGAAGAGAAGCTGAGGTCAGGCTGCCTGCAGCGAGCGAAAGGCAAGAAAGAGCAGCATAGATTGGTTGAGACTAGTGGTGACTACTAGTAGTAGTAAAAAGCGAGGAGTCGAATCTCGGGTAAAAACTGGCCAGCTGTGGCGGCGGTATGGTTGTAGGTCCGTGAGCTTTGCCCCGGATGTTCTGATGGGAAAAGCAGAAACTGAGATCGACGGCTCCGCAAGCGTTGAGTTCCCGAAAGTGTATCAAGTGCCGATCGCCTTCAAGGGTTTGTAATTTGACAGGCTAAAGGGGTAAAATGAGCTTAAGTATGAATTGTTATATATGAAATGAATGATTTCATAATGCGATCTTGTTCCTTGGGTCTGTGGCGCCTAAAACGGAACTTGGTTTTTCTCGTGTGGCGTTATGGGTATGGTGTGTTTTGGTGTCTTTTTGAGTGATAAGTACTTGAATACAATCAAATACACTATTTCCCCCACTTTAACCGAGGTGAAAAATATCCAAAAGGAAACTGATACTTGTATTTTCTACTGATAAATCCTACAATTCTATTGGTTGGCATTTTCGCTTCTCCAATCGGATCGGCGAGTTTGTTCTGAAGCTTTCAGCCTACGCTAATCATTATTAGTTATAGCTTGACGCTTGGACGGGATGTAGGCAATAGCAGATAAGTACGGAAGAGCATGGTGTAGTAATTGGTTATGTCCCTGAATAGTTAGTTAATAGGTTACTAGATAGTACGTTTCTAAGTAATACCTATGTTATAAGAGAACAAATGCCCATCTTAAGCTTCCTTACTATATACTAGTACTAGTAATCATTAAACTTCTCTTAGACCCTATTGTTGTTGTTCTTTTTTAAAAAGAAAAAAAAAACACTTTGCTTCCCTAGGCTTCGTAAATGGGGCGCTAAGATACAAACACGCCAAGTCATGCTATGTATTGATAAGAATCTCTTCGCGTGATCACGGCTCCGGCTTTTGAGCAACCTGCGGTACACTCCACCAGTCATGCCATCGACTCTTGGCCCCGATCTCGGGGATTTTCACCTGCAATTCCGACCATTTTCCGTTTGAAAGAGTTTTCTTAACTGTCTCAATGGCAATGCTTGCTCCAATGCAGGCACGCATAGTGTCTTTGATGTTACGCTGCCAGTCCGCGTCAATGGCAGTAGCTGGAGTTAGGTTCTCCAAAGATGGATCATCAACAAAAGCCCCAAGGTTAAGTGTCGCCTCCCAAGCCTTTCGCGCTTCAGTGATCGCCTTTGAGGCACGATCCAAGATTGTAGCATCTGCATCACCTTCCAAGGTTGCCTCCCGCTGGTATTCTTCAAAGGGAACCAACTCCGGCAGGGAAATAGGAAGGAAGGGCTTCATGCGAATCTCATACCGTAATTTGTCCGTTGAGTATGCATCAGAGCCGGAGGCGGATGGAAGTACCTTATGTCGCGCTAGGAGGACATATAGCGCGTGAAGGGCAATCGCAAATGCGTCCACCGCGATCAGATGTGTCGTCAACCTCTCCAAGCATCGGAATGTTTTGTGAAACTTGGAGGCTCTCCGGGTCAAAACTTCCGCCGTGATGTTTGTCACTGTTAGATCTCGTCGTCGAGCAGCAACGACGAAAGTTCTGATGCGATCCAAATGACCGAGATGCGTGGAACATATGTGGGACAGGTACCAGTACATTCCAGGCAGCTCCTCTGGTGCATATATTGAAAGCTCGAATCCCGTCTGGAGGATAAGCTGGAGCTGGGTTAATTTTTGATGGTATGCCCAGCTGCTAAGTGGGTATGAATACGTCGGCTCTCCACCACCGATCTGCAGTGCAGGCTCTCCGCTGAGGGTCTGCAGCTGTAAATCAAGTTCTTCCGCCTAGTAAATGATAAGTCAGCATATGGACTTCTCAGATCGACCGCTGGAAGATTTCTTACCTCCATCTGCAAGCTATCCCAATCCACGACAGTATGGGTAACAGTTCGGCGAACTCGACACCGATTCAAACAAGCACACCGCACCGAGTCTACAAAGGGCTATGATCAATTAGTATCATTCTCCATGGCATCGTGGTAGGATTGGAACATACCTGGGCAAATCGTTTCACAAAGCCGTCCATCAGTCGGGCAATTTGAAACCGAGGATCCGACGGGAGTTCGACGTCATCTGTATTTGCCTCAAGAAGAATACTCCCCGGCAACACCAGCTCTGCAAGATCATCAAACAAGAAACGTTTGACTGAAACGGCGCCCAGAATTGTCATGTCGCTAACAATCAATGCCTGGGTAAGGCATCTGATATAGACGGACGGCTGAGGCTTCCGGGACATGAGGCTCCATATCGCAGTCTAGAGCCCTTTTTAGTAAAATGAATAGACACAAAGAAATCCATATTCTTACCTTGAAGTTTGTTGGGCCCCGATAGTCGAGCATGTGCTGCATATCAATAGCATCCTGACAGAGCCGCCTTGAGTGAGAAAAGGCATCGTCATAGCTGATTTGCACAATGGGTCGTGGCGGAACAGTGCTGGCGAGTTTCCGTTGGATTTTGAGACTAAACGCTTCTGGTACTGGCTGTCCAATGGAGTGCGACTCTTTCATTTCATCGAGGTGTTTCAAACACACTGCAAAATTTGCTGTCGATCGAGTTTCCAGGATATCGAGATCTTGATCTAATGCAGCTAGGAATTCATACCGAAAGTGTAGTCTGCTCCGAATTGCATCCTTGAGCTTTGTATCCATATCTTTCTGATCATCCACCCACTCAACCGCCTGGTCCAGCAAGCGGTAGAAGTGTGATCCATCAAAGACAGACAAAAGGTTACGATTATATAGCTGGGTGACAAAGTCCTCCTCCTAAACAACAAAATGACATCGTCAGCAGCTTTCCAAGTAGAGGTTCCTTGCTTAGCTCACTTCGTAGTAATACTCCACAGCCACACGAGCATGAACATAGTCGCAAGCCTTGATCATTGCAAGGCAGTATGCCCGAAGAACTAGGCTGACAAGAATCGACTCGCTTGGCACACGATCAAAACGAGCGTCTTCCATAGTTTTCGGTACTGGCGACAACAATTTATCGAGGTAGATGGACGTGAAAAGGGTTTGAGACAGAGGGTGGCCCATATGCCATGCCATCTAAAAGTCCATCAGCACCGCGGAAATATCACAAACAAAGGTGAACACACCTCGTGGCAAAGCAGCTGATCCATCAAGCCCACCACCTCCTCCGGTGTCAATGGTCGTCGTACATCGTAGTCGTCCTCCAGCGCCTGCGCTTGATTCTCTCCCGGGGCAATATAACCGCTGTCCATTTTGGAGTCCATAATCTGTAACATCATTCTCGTCAGCGCCACGTCGTTCCGCATGTTTATTCCTCGGTGTGGTAGGGACGCACTTCCAATGCGCCCACCGCTTCGAAAAGGGTGAACGTCTCATCTTTTACAAGCTGGCCCATCCGTAGTTCTATTGTTGAAAACAATTATCAGCTTGAGAGTTAAAGCAAGGGGAGGCAAACGTGTTGTGGCTTACTCGAGGCAGCCTCCGTGAATTCGGCTGTGATGTCGCGCCGAGTCGGCGCGATTGGCCGCAGGGGCACTCGAACCTCGTTATTCGGCAGCATCGCAGATGAGAATTAAGATCTGCAGTCTGCTGCCGGTCCTAATCATGCAGTAAAAGGATCCAACAAAGCGTAGGCGGGGTTTCGAAGAAAGTAAACGGATCGAGGGGTGGGTGGGGGAGACTGCGGGCGGAAAAAGTGATTCGGGCAGGCAGACTGGACCTGTGACGTGCAGTTGCGGCCGAGCACTAGAGGTCCCAGATCACTCTACAAGTCCTTTCTTACGAGATTCACACGAAAATTCACAATTCAACGACGACAAGAATACGGCGGGATAAGAAAAGAAAGCAAAAGTGCGATTTCTAGGCCATGTCTATCCCAGACAGACCTGTATTGCTACACATATACAAGTTGAATGCTTCCCCGGAGTCTCTTCTCACTCGTGGCCGCTCACGTCCGGGTCTATCATTTCCCCATCACACTCTCACGTTCGCGGACTGGCTCATTGCAGATTGGTCGTCTATTTCTCGGCGGCTTTGGCGGCGGCCTCCTCGTTGGCCTGGGCGAGCGAGCGAACGTTACCCTGCTTGCCATTCTGTTCACCGGTTCTTGTCAGTTTATGGGTCGAAGCTCTAGAGACTTGTGCTTTTCACTGACCTCCCACTTGGCGAAACGGAGGTCCATCAGACCGCGACGCTCAGCGGCGAGACGGGGCTCGTCCTTCAGGGACCGGCGCACCGTGCGGGCGGCGATCGCCAGGTAACGGTTGTAGCTGGATGGGTGTCAGAAAATCAATTGCCCAGCTGCTTTCTGATAAGGTATGCGTACGTCAGGCCAGCGGCTTTCCAGGCAGCAGTCATTTTGAATGGTGTGGAAGGAGAAAGTGGTTTGATTGAAGGGGGTGAAAACGGCTTCGGGTGAGTTTGGAAGCGTTCGACTTCGGAGCATCGGGAGTGAGGGTCACGTGTATCCAAAAATCACGTGAAGCTGTCCAATGATCTTGAGGTCACGTGGCAATATATCAGGGCAATATATCAAGGCGGTGTGGGATAAACAATTAATGCTAAAGCTTTAACTTTTACGCCACAATGCTAAAAGCCACATGGATCCCTCGATTCTCGAATATCTATAGTAGTCAATTATCACTCCATCTAAATTACATCCCTTGGTGTGTACTGTGAAATTAAAGTTTTTGACTGATCAATAAAAGTATTCCTTCCTTGTATCTAGTTCTTTTAGGTTTCTATTGTTTCTATTGTACCTGTTACCAATGATTAATCCATACGTACTCCCCAGAGCATCATCCAAAACAATTGATGTCTTCCCGTATCAGGGCTCGTCAATATTTTGCGGCCCCCCTTCTGCATCCATCCGTTTCCATTGTTTCGTATAACATTGAATGTCACCGCCTCCTTATGGGGTTTCAATCTGAATAGCTCTCTCCCTCCTCTTCTCTGGGACAAAATGACACTTTCTGTCGAAACGAAAGAACCCAAGTGGTTAAGTGATCCCCCAGCTCTATAAAGCAGGACTAGAACAATTGTATTCAATTGGATCATATGCCTAAGTTTGTCCATGGATTGCTTTTCAAGGGCGCATGTAGTTGACGTCAATAACACGCTCCCAGGGTATAGATCCTAAAGGGGAATGAATCACTAGATAGTGCTCTACAACTTTGAAGGCTTTGTCTGCACCGCTCTGCAAAACCAACTTGAACACGCAAGACGCGCGACATAAATACAGCTTCACTTCTTCCTTCACTTTCTCTCTCTCTTTCTTTTCTCCTATTCCAAACTTCTTCCTCGTCCAGAGTCCCGACATCTGGACTACGCACCTTTGTCTCCCCAGTTTCCACCTCCAGATTTCATTGCGCTTTTTCTTGTTCTCGATCCTACTGAGGTAGGATCGATAACCATCATTCGCTTTTGTGCTGTATCTCTCCGAGTACCAGGCCCAAGCCTTGCGAATTACGATCCTTTCCCTTCCTCTTCTACGTCTGTTTCTCTCCTCCGTCTGTTTCTCTCCTCCCATATCTTTCCTCTCCCCTAACCTCGTTCTCCCGGTCTTCTTCTTACTCGACTTCCCTACTCCAAAGTACAAAGGTTCGACTGTTCCTCCTCTTCCTGCATCTAAAAGCCATTCGGTCTCCTTTTTTCCCCCGCTACTAACGTGTTTCATTCTCTAGCAACGCGACAATGCCGCAGTGTGAGCCCAAGACGGGCACCAAGAGACGGGGCAAGTCGAACAAAGGACGCACTTTGGTTCGTTGGGATAGTAAGTTATCGTGCACAAATATTTTTGTTCGTTCACTGTGCTTACTGGGTTAGACGACAAGGATATATTGCTTTTGCTCACTATCCAGCAAGTCTGCAATTACGAAGGAATCAAGGTCCCATGGTACCTAGTTGCCGAGACTATGGGCGTTAAGTTCACAGAAGGTGCAATCATCCAGCACCTTTCGAAAGTCCGCCTACGTCGCATGCAGGCCGGAAAGCAGGTTCCACCCCCGCTGCGCCGCTCTGTGCCAAGTCAAGGATCCAAAGGAACCTCAGCATCAAGCATGACTGCTGGACAAGGCAAGGGCAAAAAGAGACAGCGTGAAGTGACGCCAAATGATACGCCCGACGAAGATGCCGATTACGAGAGTGATGATCCCCCGTACACTACAAAGCCCAACCGAGCCAAGCGGGCCAAGGCCAAAGCCAGAGTCTCGCTGACCAATGGAAGGGGACAGAAAGGGAAGAAGATCACTCCCAGAGAAATCTCCCCCGAGGCCGAGGAAGAAGAGTCCCGTGTGTGCATTGGAGCCGATTTCCTCAAACTGAGCGGCGAGGATGCTCAAACCGACGCAGGATCTGACAATGGGCTCAGTAGCTCCGAAACTGACGGTCGTGAGTCCGAATTCGAGGATGAGGGGTCGGAAGACGAGTATATGATGGACGAAACCCCACAACGGCCGTCAAAGGTAGTCACTCTGCCCGTTAGACAGGCCGCACTCCAAAATCTCCAAGAAACAGGCACTGCGATCCCTTCCGAGGCCATCAGTGGTGTGAATGAATTGTCCGGCCCCAATGGGACTTATTACAATGACCAGAATTTGTACCCTCAGTCTCAGACTGTGCCGACTTCTCAATTCATCGAAAGTCCTTACCTTTACCAACCCGCCCATTCTATGTCAAACTATAACACTGGCATGCCCCAAATGTTCAACACCAACGCAAGTTATGGATTCCCCGATTTGAGCTCTGACTTGTTTCCCCTCGTTTTTGGCCCCAATTCAATGATAAGCCAACCGCAAATCGAACTGAACTTCGGTGATTTTGAGAGCTACGCGGGCATGGATCCGTCCGATGGGCCACTCGGCAATCAGGTTGGGGATTACCTGGCTTTGCGAGAGAATGAGCTGAACTAGGGGAGTGGTTGAACTTTGTTTCTTTTTCTACGCTCGTTGAGTTTGCACCCATGTTTGAGAGTTTGAAGGCAGGCGTTCATGTAGTAGTTTCGGCAAAGTTTCGTTGAACGGATATTTCAGATTTAGGTGGGCCTGATTTATGGTTATCTGAGGTTGACTGACCGGCAGTATGCTCTTACTCTTTTCGACTGATTTCGATCTATCAAAAACAAAAAGGAGAAAAAAAAAACATATCCTTATCTTTCAAATGTTTTAGTGCCGGATGCATGTGGTGTTCAATTCGTGTGATGGTTTTTTGAGGGGCAAACGTTAAATAAATAAAAAAAAAGTACATTCTTATCCCCAACATTGTTCCAAGGTTCAATTTCTGGATACTACAGGTACTGACTGGTATCTAGTTCGAGTAGGTACTAAGTATCCATAGACAGCACTGCATGTGTAGACAGATCCGTATTTGAACACGACATCCGTCAACTGGTCTGAGACGTCTTCTTACCGATGTACATAACATTCGAATGTTGGTAGGGATTGTATAGTATATAGTCCAGGTTGCCGAGCGTAGCCGCCCGAGCGGGTTCGCGCCAACTTTGAATTCCCTGCAGGTTTACTTACAGAGAACATAGCTAGTATGGGATACATATTCGATAGCAGTAGGAATAGTAAAGAAGACCATCAAACCTGCTATTATACAATCGTATGAAGAGGTTTGTTGATTGCAGTAGAACATGTGTACGGGAAACGGAATGCCGTTGACCCGGGCGGCGACCGGGCCTCGGGTAGTCAGGTGACCTTCTAGCTCTTTCTGCCGCCAAGCTCTTTCTCTGGGGTTGGGGAAAGAGAAGCGCTTGGAAAATTTTCGAGACTTTGGCTTCATTTCTAGCTTCTATCCTCTCATCCTTCCTACCACCCCGTGTCCAATTCCCATCGGGCTACATTCCCACACCTCTTTAATTAACCTTATTGATTTTAATTCTGTTTCATCTTTTCTGTTTTTCCTGAGCCATGCAGCGCGCGCTCTCTTCCCGGACTGCGGTCCTGTCGGCCGCTTCCAAGCGTGCCCCTTTCTCTCGCTCTACCCTGAACCTGCAACAGCAGCGTTTCGCCCACAAGGTACGTGTCAAGTTCAATCCTTCCTCAATGATGCCACCCACTCTCTTCGGCCCCATGTCCCCTCGTAACCGGAGAATCCCTGACTGACCGCGAACAGGAGATCAAGTTTGGCGTTGACGCGCGTGCCAGCCTCCTCCGCGGTGTTGACACTCTTGCCAAGGCTGTTACCTCCACTCTTGGTCCCAAGGGTCGCAATGTCTTGATTGATACTGCCTACGGCTCTCCCAAGATCACCAAGGGTAGGTGCTTCCGCAATTGACGTTTTGAGGGTCAACAAACCCGCTGACTTTTCCTTTTTTCCGTTGTTGAACAGATGGTGTGACTGTTGCCAAGGCCATCCAGCTGCAGGACAAGTTCGAGAACCTCGGTGCCCGTCTCCTCCAGGATGTTGCTTCCAAGACTAACGAGATTGCTGGTGACGGTACCACCACCGCTACTGTCCTTGCCCGCGCTATCTTCTCCGAGACCGTGAAGAACGTTGCGGCCGGCTGCAACCCCATGGATCTGCGTCGGGGTATCCAGGCTGCTGTTGAGGCCGTTGTTAAGTACTTGCAGGAGAACAAGCGGGACATTACCACCGGTGAGGAGATTGCCCAGGTTGCCACTATCTCCGGTAACGGTGATACTCACGTTGGCAAGCTCATCTCTACTGCTATGGAGCGTGTCGGAAAGGAGGGCGTCATCACCGTCAAGGAGGGCAAGACCCTGGAGGATGAGCTCGAGGTTACTGAGGGTATGCGTTTCGACCGTGGTTACACTTCCCCTTACTTCATCACCGACCCCAAGTCCCAGAAGGTTGAGTTCGAGAAGCCTCTGATCCTGCTTTCGGAGAAGAAGATCTCCGCCGTTCAGGACATCATCCCCGCCTTGGAGGCCTCCACCACCCTGCGCCGCCCTCTGGTCATTATTGCCGAGGACATTGAGGGTGAGGCCCTTGCCGTATGCATTCTGAACAAGCTCCGCGGTCAGCTCCAGGTCGCCGCCGTCAAGGCCCCCGGCTTTGGTGACAACCGCAAGAGCATCCTTGGTGACCTTGGTGTTCTCACCAACGGTACCGTCTTCACCGATGAGCTTGACATCAAGCTCGAGAAGCTCACCCCCGAGATGCTTGGCTCCACCGGCTCCATCACTATCACCAAGGAGGACACCATCATCCTCAACGGTGAGGGCAGCAAGGACAGCATCTCTCAGCGCTGCGAGCAGATCCGTGGTGTCATGGCTGACCCCACTACCTCTGAGTACGAGAAGGAGAAGCTCCAGGAGCGTCTTGCCAAGCTCTCCGGTGGTGTTGCTGTCATCAAGGTCGGTGGTGCCTCCGAGGTTGAGGTTGGTGAGAAGAAGGATCGTGTCGTCGATGCTCTGAACGCCACGCGTGCTGCCGTTGAGCAGGGTATCCTCCCCGGTGGTGGTACCGCTCTCCTCAAGGCCTCTGCCAACGCCCTTAACAACCTCAAGCCCGCCAACTTCGATCAGCAGCTCGGTGTCAGCATCATCAAGAGCGCTATCACCCGCCCCGCCCGCACCATTGTTGAGAACGCCGGTTTGGAGGGCAGCGTCATTGTTGGTAAGCTCACCGATGAGTTCGCCAAGGACTTCAACAAGGGCTTCAACAGCGCCACCGGCGAGTACGTTGACATGATCGCCAACGGTATCGTCGACCCCCTGAAGGTTGTCCACACTGCCCTGGTTGACGCCAGTGGTGTTGCCTCCCTGCTTGGTACCACCGAGGTTGCCATTGTTGATGCTCCCGAGGAGAAGGGCCCTGCCGGTCCCCCCGGTGGCATGGGCGGCATGGGTGGTATGGGCGGTATGGGTGGTGGCATGTTCTAGATGCCTTCCCTTTTCCCCCAATAACCTTGTGCCTTCCTGACGACTTCCTTGCGCATCTTTTGCATCGCCGTACCTCCTCCCTCTACGGCCCTGGATCTTTGTAATGTTTTGGAGTTGCTTCCTATACCTGTATTTTGTGCGTCTTTTTTTTCTTATTTCTCATCTCCACTCTGCTGGGGCTCGAAAAAGGTTCCGGCGCAATCCTGTATCATATTTTCTCGCCGTTTTTACGTGGTTTTAATGCATTAAAATTGATGTGATAACGGGTTCTCTCTTTTTTTTTTTTAAAAAAAAATCAATAAATAGTAAATATCCAACATAAGTTTCAAGGTACTAAGGTTTGTACTAGTACTTGTAACTAGAGAATTTTGTTTCCCATGTAAAATACCATACAAAGGAATATCTGCTTGTGGGCAGTAGTTTTGATAGAATGCACCTGTTGATGGTACCTGTACGGGAGTACAAGCGTATTAGGCTACCATAATTGGGTAGGGAACTGTTCTCCATGGCACAGATTGTAGATCAGCTAAGAAATCGGAAGTGGACCTGGGGATCAAGAATAAGGATCGTCCCGCATTGACGGATCTACATAAACTCTAGACTTGATATTTTGAATCTTGATAATGGGGTTGTTTTTTTTTTTAACAAAAGAAAGTCGATGTTTAATACCCCTACCAAGGGGAAAGTAAAAGCACATTCCAGTGGCGGCAATGCATCCCGTGTTCCCAATACCATACCTCGGGTATTTTGGCGAGTTTTGTTTCCAATTGAAACGCCACGGTCTAGACTAAAAAAAAAAACAGGAAAAAACTTCCCCCGTGTTTGCTTTTCTCTTACTTTTCCTCTCTTTGTACCACTTCCACCCCCCCCCCCCCCCAGTTTTAGTCTAAAGTACCGAAAGAACCACTTTTCTACTTCCCCTTTGATTACAATCTAAAAGTCCCGGAGAGGGAAACAAAAATACTGCGAGACTTGGGGAAGTCGGTTATGCATACGAGCGCGCCTACTCTATTTCAGCTTTGCTGTACCTCTCATCTGCGACCAGGGGGAACTTCACCCCGGACCCCCGGATCACGGGACAACTTTACCAATAATACCACCGGATATTGCCACCCCAACTGCGACATTTGCCTGTCAGAAGAATAGTGGAGTACTTTTTACTCGATCCCACCACTTCACGGTGGTTGTCAAAATATTCTTCATCAGCAACCACGACCGTAGAAATGGGTCCTGCTGCCGACGTTGACCTCTACCAGGCTCGGGCTGCCCTGCAGCACCAGCAGAGCCCCGAGGTTTCGGTCCCACGAGAATTCATCACCCAGATTGTCGAGGAGCTCATCCAATGCCGCGAGGCTCACTCATCCATCGCGGAAATCGAGCGCGAGTGCTCGCATTTGCGAAAGGAACTACGAAAACATACCCACATCAACGAGGCCTTTCAAAAGGAACTGGGTGAGATCGGTGAGATCATCACCCAGGTTGCCCATGGAGACTTGTCGCAGCGCGCCCGCATGCACCCGCTAGAGATCTCGCCTGATATCGCCACCTTCAAACAGACTATCAATACAATGATGGACCAGTTACAAGTATTCAGCCAAGAGGTGTCCAAGGTAGCCCGCGAGGTCGGCACCGATGGAGTCCTGGGTGGACAGGCCAAGATCGAGGGCATCAAGGGCATCTGGGAGGAGCTGACCGTCAATGTCAATGCCATGGCGAACAACCTTACAACCCAGGTTCGCGATATCACAACAGTTACGACGGCGGTAGCCAAGGGTGATCTCACCCGCAAGGTGCAGGCAGATTGCAAGGGTGAGATCTTGCTATTAAAAAACATTATCAATTCCATGGTGGATCAGCTACGAGAGTTCGCATTCGAAGTTAGCCGTGTCGCTCGAGAGGTGGGATCAGACGGAACCCTTGGTGGTCAGGCGGTAGTCCATGGCGTGGAAGGCACTTGGAAGAACTTGACCGACAATGTGAATCGCATGGCCTCCAATCTAACGCAGCAGGTCCGTGAAATTGCCAAAGTCACCACCGCCGTGGCCCGTGGAGATTTGACCATGAAGGTGACGGCAGATGTCAAGGGGGAGATCTTGGACCTCAAGCTTACCATCAACTCAATGGTCGACCGTCTCAACCAATTCGCTTTCGAAGTCAGCCGAGTAGCACGCGAAGTCGGAACAGATGGCACACTCGGCGGTCAGGCACAAGTGGAGAACGTCGAAGGGCAATGGCGAAACCTTACGGACAACGTCAACACCATGGCCCAAAATCTTACTATGCAAGTCCGGCAGATTTCCAACGTGACCCAAGCCATAGCTCGTGGTGATCTGAGCACGAAAATTGAAGTTCATGCTCAAGGAGAAATATTGACATTGAAGGAAACGATCAACAGTATGGTGGATGGCCTGGGTCAATTTGCACGTGAGTTGAAAGGCGTGGCGCGAGATGTGGGCGTACGAGGGCAACTGGGTGGTCAGGCAAATGTTGATGGATCTCTTGGTATTTGGAGGTCGATCAGCGAAGACGTCAATACCATGGCAGACAACCTGACATCGCAAGTACGGGCATTTGGAGAGATCACAACGGCAGCTATGAGCGGTGATTTTACGTCACTCATTACGGTATCTGCGTCGGGTGAGATGGATGATTTGAAACAGAAGATCAACAAGATGATCTCGAGTCTACGAGATAGTATCCAGCGCAATACTGCCGCTCGAGAAGCAGCTGAACTGGCCAACCGCAGTAAATCCGAGTTCCTTGCAAATACCAGGTCTGTATCCATTACTAATCCGACTATAATGGACATGGTGGAGCTAACAGATAACCAGTCATGAAATCCGTACTCCAATGAATGGAATCATTGGACTGACCAGTCTAGCTCTCGACACCGACGATCTCCCTGCCTCCGTTCGCGAAACATTAAGCATGGTGCATAGTCTAGCATTCAGCCTCCTAACAATTATTGACGACATCCTTGACATCTCCAAGATCGAGGCAAATCACATGAAGATCGAAAAGACCGCATTTAGTCTGAGCACTACCGTCTGGAGGGTTCTCAAGGCGTTTGACGTCCAAACAGTCGAAAAGGCATTAAGCTTGATTTACTCAGTCGACGGCAGTGTGCCAGACTACCTCATTGGCGACGCCTATCGAATTCGTCAAGTCATGATGAACTTGGTTGGTAATGCTGTCAAGTTCACTGACCACGGCGAAATCCATGTTTCCATTAAGCACATCCAGGATATCACTTGTGCATCCGATGAGGCTACTTTCCAGTTCTCAGTCTCAGATTCCGGCATCGGAATCGAACAGAGCAACTTGGGGCTTATCTTCGACAAGTTCCAACAAGCGGATGGATCCATGACACGACGCTTCGGAGGCACGGGTCTGGGACTTGCCATTTCAAAGCGCCTTGTCTCTCTCATGGGCGGTGATATTTGGGTCACATCCAACCCAGGCAAAGGAAGCACATTCGGATTTACCTGCAAATTGAAAGTCAGTGAGCCTCCAATGGCACTTGCTGAGCAAATCATGCCACACAGAAGTTGTCAATTTCTGGTCGTCAGCAGTGCCAAGCAGACAGAATGCCCAGCTGTTCGTATGTTGCAAGAGCTAGGTCTCCAGGCCGTGATATTGACACAGGAACAACTCATGTCGGGTCAATGCAATGGAAAAATAAGTTCCACTTTCAGTGCTATTTTCGTGTCAACAATGGAGGATGCTGTGGAGTTGCGCACATGTGGTCACTTTTCACCGACGCCTCTTGTGTTTATGGCTCCCGAGCTATCCTTGCCAATGAAAACTGCTGGTGCATTGGGTATAACCGCTTATATCACCACACCTTGCCGTCCCATTGACCTCTGGAATGGAATTATCCTTGCCATGGGAAATCGCCAACACACTAATCAACCCGAAAATACTCGCCCTCTCTCCATCCTTCTCGCCGAAGACAACGACGTCAACGTCAAAGTAGCGGTCCGCATACTTGAAAAGGCCAAACATCATGTTACTGTGGTCGGAAATGGCCTCCAGGCCGTGAAAGAGATCAAAAGGCGACGATATGACGTCGTCCTCATGGACGTACAGATGCCTGTAATGGGCGGGTTTGAGGCAACTGCAACAATCCGACAGCATGAAAAGATGCAGAATCTCCCTAGAACACCTATTGTCGCCTTGACGGCGCATGCCATGCTTGGAGACCGTGAAAAATGCCTTGAATCTGGCATGGACGACTACGTCTCCAAGCCCTTACAACCCAATCATATGATGGAAACAATTCTCAAATACGCAGCGATGAACATCTCGTCATTGTCTGTAGAGAAGATGTGAAGCACAAAATGAATGGCCTAATTACAATTTTCTTTGCAATTTTGGCGTGACAGAAAGGCATATATTTTTTAAAGCTCCTGGTTTTTGAGAAAGAGATCTCTCAATTACCGCGAGCCAGGTTTTGCAATTATTTCCCCCCTGATGCGTTGAATTGAATTTATCGAAGGGCATATTTTTTTTTTAATTCGCAAGCTTGGGTATCTCCTTTTCTTACCCGTCTCTCGAGTCCTATGTGCGTTGAAGATACTTTTGATCACCTGGCGATCATTTCTATCAGCATAAATCTGTACTGGAGTACTGGAGTACTGGAGCCGAAGACACAAAGCCATCATGTCCTTTCTTCAAATATCAGTGCATATTGCTAGCGACAATCTGGATTGATGGGTGTAGGTCTCAATCAGCAAGATTACTATTTCCTTGATTATTTCCTAAGGAACACGAAGATTATTACTGAAAGACTTGACTCATGATCCCCCACCATCTCTGAAATTTGGATAATGGTATGCCGTATGCCATATTTCAAGTCGACTTGAATGTGTGAATAAAGCCGTTGATTCATTAGAGTCGTGCGAGGTGGCTCAAGGTAACATTTGAATCCAAGTAATGAAGCCTTGAGAATGAAAATGAAAATGAAAAACAACCTTGAAATTGTGTAAACGCGAAGAGACAATTCAACCTTCCAGATGCCTGGAAGCAAATCCAAGCTTGAGGGAAATGCGTACAGAGATGGTACATAGAAAGCAACAGTGCTTGGAAGCCCTGAAGGTTGGATGTAACAAGTAAAAAGCGCCGCGCAGATCAAGTTCCCGGCATATCTCATCATTTATACATAGTAATCTTGCTGATTGAGACCTACATCCATTTGGGAAGGGTATGTATACAGTCAGTACTTAGAGCAGAGCACAAACTTCGTACTTAAGTTAGGTATTGTACTCACTACTAGTACTCGGTACCTACTACTTTCATATCTTCCTTTTCAACTAGGTACTAACCTTGGCATCAAGGAAGTTGTATAAGATTTGAACTAAATTTTGCAGGCACCCGAGTGGTAAAAGGGGAACCTTGGAGCCATGTTCAAATGTTCAATTTTGGCTTCTAAACTGGGAGGGACTTGAAGGAATGCCCTCATCTAGGTATCACAACATGAGCAGAGCTTGCACAGAAAGATCAATTCCGAGACAAGATTGTGGGACAAGCCTGCCCGGTCAAACAGAACCAACCTGTTGTACCTCGATCTTATCCATGACCTTATTTTCTGAATCTATATTGGCAACCTTATAGTTCTTCCACTCGACTTCCAAAATCGAGTTTTTGTCCTCTTGCCTCCGCTTCCAAAAGTCTTCATCGAACTTGACTCGATGTTTCTCATAACCCAGATACTGATCAAAGAGCTTTCGTAATCTGGAGCCCTCGACAGGCACAACTGAGGGGATCGAACTCTTGACAGAACTCCAATGCAGAATGTCCTTGATGGGATTGGAAATGAAGTCAATCCATAGGCCGCTCCCGATCTTGTGGGACTTTGTCACTGCTTCTCGCAGAGTCCCGCTAAAAGCCAGCAGTAGGGCTACGGCGATGATGGCAAATGAAGCAGGTCCTAGAATATTCTATTAGAGATTGACCTGGAGTAGAGTCGTTTGGAGGGTCTTTCGTATAATACCGGCAATTGCGAACATCTCGCCCAACGGAGGATTTTGTGATACACCACTCCATTCCCGCGCATTCATACCGAAGAGAGATGTAAAGAAGGACAGTGGCAGGAAACTAGTAAGATCAGCGATTGTAAAACGCGTTGGTAAGCTGGAAGCTCTTACATCACAGTGAAAATTGTAAAGACCATTAGTGATCTCGACTGGTTTTGCGTCTCTTCTGCCTGCCAGCGCGCCATTTTGGCCTCGTCGACATTTGCCTGTTTCTGCTTCAGATCAAGTAATGTCTCAACCTGTAAGTGCCATGTCAGACAACGGAAATTTTAATTCATGTCGATTTCCACGCAACGACAGAGAGCTTACTGCTTTTTGAGCGAGGTGGCTATTCTCCTTCATCTCGCTGATTTGAGTCCGATACTCGTCAATCTTCAGTTGTGCAGAATCGAGGAACATTTTTCCGCAACCATCGTGGTCAAAGTATTTCATCGTCGCCTTTAAAACAAAATCTTGCTGATCAAGAAGCTTTATGATAGTTGAAAGTTCGTCTTCAATATCTCGGAGTTCAAGGAGAACGGATAAGTCGTCTCTGTTTTGCCGCGCTACCTGACGGTCTCGTTGATCACGCTGTGCATTTGTCATAATCTTGCCATCGGTAGTTCGATCGTGATCAGCAGGCCTGTTTGCAAAGCCTCGATTCCGAAAACGTTTGAAAGATTTGGTCACTGATTCTGTCTATAGTAGCTTCAGATTAGTACATACCCAAGACCCGCGCTCGGAACGTTACAAAGAACATACCAATATGCTAATCGATTCCTCGAAGATTCTCAGCACCTGCAGATCGCGATGAAGTGTTCGATCTAGAAGAACCGTTACGGCATGCAGCATTATCAATGCAGCAAGATCACCAGCTGTCTCAAACCGACGAGCCAAATCCCCGTTCAACTCGTTATAAATACTGCTGTGTAAATTTGACTGCTCGAACAATTTGCCCTCTGACGTAGTTGCTTCTTGATTAGGGAAAAATGTCACAATAGTCTTCTTGTCAACAATCCACAGCCATAGTTGATCAACCATCAGTACATTACCATCCATGAATTCTGTTTGTTCTGAATCCTCCGGCCCATCGCTCGCAGCATCGAGATACTCGCGAAGTTGCTCATCTAAATGAGCGGGTCTGCGAGTACGCTTCCAGAGCATTTGATCGTCATCTCGTGCCACCGTTGATCGGAGATTAGGGTACCCAAATTGGTCCAGGGTGCGTCTGAAATGGATAGGCGGCTCACAGCCCAGATATTGCCAGATCAATTGAGCCTCTAAGCTCGATTTTGCAATACGAGGGGGAATGGGACGGGAGCGGCCTTGTCGGAGTCGGTCTTCGACCACCTTGCGACGCTGGATGAGATTGCGGTATGTGTCCCAATGAAGCTAATGGGGGTTTTAGTTTAGTCTCACGATCTGCTGCGGTCCTAGACTTACATATGGAGTCTTTTAGAGATTAGTATCATGTTCTATTGGATCTTGACCCTTCGTCAGATTGAAGGGCAACTCACATAAAGAGCTAGTTGGGGATCTTCAGACGCTCCAGGCTTGATACCCTGAGAAACATCTAACTGACGCGCGTGTATGCATTGTGGTCGAACGAATCGAGCATGTGGTTCGAGATGTCGAGCACGGTTCAGATTTCGATACCAATTATCGTCGTTGATAAATTTCCTCAAGCTAGTTTTTAATTCAAAGTCAGTGAATTGAATCTTAGTAAGACTCTCAGCACAAGGGTGGGTCTTACAATTGTGGCTCCTGCCGATCTAGACAAGCGCGCCGAATGACTTGTGATACCCACCCGGGGTGAGTATAGGGAACATGAATCCACAGTAATTTCTCAGTGTCGGGCTCTGGTCGATCAAAACGAGGAACTGATCGGGGAATATCCGGGGCATCTCCAAGTTGGTTGATTCGATCTCGGGTTGACGGAGGGATGGCTAGAAGTCCAGCGCTTGGTGGCGGAGAGGTTGAGCTCCTTAAAACAAAAGGATGGATTGTCAGTTTAGATAGATCCTGTTTAAAACAACTGAGAAAGATATCTTACGATGCTGGACGAGAACCGCTCCCCTGTGAACTGGCATCGGAGGTGTTACGCTTATGCGCGCGTAACTGGTTAAGGCCCAGTACTTTTGCAATCGGAGGTTTGCATTTGCGCTCCATTGGCGGAGGCGGGCTTTCATTTGAAGGGCGATCACGGCTCAGATATTCTTCCCGCCCTTCATCAGTGATGTGAATCGTTGGTGAGAAGTGGTCTTCCGGGGGGATGGAGCTGCGACTTTGACGCATAGGGGGACGAGAAGGTCTAGTATCCGGGCTTTGCTGAGCTTCTTGCTGAGTCTCATGAGACTCAGGAAGGTCACTGTGGGACTCTGATCCCTGGGCGAGATGTGCGAAGGAATGGCGACTGTCAAAACTGCTAAGAGAGGAATCGTCGAGCCCGCGAGGTTGAATGCGCTTCAGCCGCTCTCGAAGGCATGCGCCGGGACCACGGCCGAGGTATTCTTCTAAAGACACGCGAGTTGACCACATCTTCAGCGGAGTCTCATCACTGACGCCCAAAGCCGTATCTTCAAAGAACCCATTAATCTGAACCATTACTGATTGTTCAACATTCAATGGAATATCTTCATGTCCCGAGAGCTCCACGGCTACATTTACTGCATCGGCTAATTCGATTAAGAAGGCGTCTCGGAATGATTCTTGGCCCTGGAAGCTCGCTGTCCCAACATGGTCTGTGGCCATAGGGGTCTCTGTTTCATGTTCAATGTCCAGCAAGCCGGATCGAATAGAGGTTATGGGGGCATGGAACTCCACAGTATTTCCAAGCTCAATATCCGATATAGTCAGAGTTGAGTCGATAGTCTCTAGAAATGACCAAACTCTCATATCCGCCGACAGGGCTTTGAACTGATTAGAAAGATGCCATAATGTCTCTTGTCGAGGACGAAATTGGTCTCTAAGAGATGCGGGAATATCCTGCTCCAAATAAAGCAGGCGACGAATGCTCGGCATATACTCTTCCGCGAACAAATAGCTTGAACCCTGGTGAGGGGTTGCAAAGAAAGCGATGCCATAGCAGCTGGTTAGGATAGCCTGGCTCGGCTCGGCCCGCGAAGCCAGAGCCAAACATGCCTTCGCCACGAGGCCTCCTGTGCTATGGCAGAGGAAGAATAGTGGCCGGCGGCTACTGTGGTGTCTTCGCTCGTCGAGGAGGAGATTCAACAAGCGTTGACCTAGACCGTCGATCTTGTCATGCTCATGCAGCTGCCCATGACTGTACAACAAGATCCGTGCTCTCGGCAACCGATTAATCAGCTCGGTCCGGAGCCAGGGTGTATTTGAACCTGGAGTAGTCCATATTTTCTGATGATGTGCTCCAATAGGCGGAACGGCGACGATGCTGAAAACGCGTTAAAGAAGGACTCCGCGTATAAGCGGGGAAGAGGCCCACATACTCCACGTTAGTTTTGGACAAGGCTTGGATATGCTCAAACCATGGGGGGCGCCCCGGACCCGATGCCGATGGTGGCATAGTAATTTATACTCATTAGATCGTAGTATTCCGATAAAGAAAATGTTTTCAAAGAGAGGAGAATACCAGGATGGGGGCCACTTAAATCAGGGGTCATTTTTTCAGCCTCCAAAAGATCAGATGAACACGCCCGGCTCGCATGCTACTAGTAGTTCTTCTTAGTTCGCCCTACGTCGGCTGTGCCCGCCGATCTCTGAGTCAAAGCACCCGGGCTAAATCCACGCAATACGAGAAATGATCAGGATGATTCCAAAGTGAGATTATTTTCGAACACGTTATGTACATAGTACTAGTAGTAAGAGGGGCATTTTTTGATCCCAGATAAACACTCCAGATATGCTTTCAAAAAAGAAAAAGAAAACCGATGCATACTCTATCATTCGGCTGATGCGGTATCAAGAAAACGCCAGAAAGAACAAGAGAGTAGGGATGGGGCAACCGAGGGACGATCGCATGCATTAATGGTACAGAGGAGAGGAGGATTAAGAGGTTTCGTGGCGGCGCTCATTGACTTCTCGTGCCATGCGCTTCCCTAATTCATAGGTAGAGATCATGATTGCGCAGGCTGGCGCGACCTTAAGGCAGCGCGCCGACCAGCCACGGAAGAGTCCAGCCATGCCTTCCTCGCGGAAAATATGAAGGAGGAATTTCGGGAGAGAGAGTTGCTCTGGAACGATTTGTTTGGGTACCAGGGTGGATCGTGGGGCGACAGGGCCGTGGTCGTCCATATGTCTGTAGACTTGTTGCCGCGTCTTGCCGACGTCGAAGGGCGTTGTGACTAATGCCGCGACGGATCCCGAAGTGGCACCGGCAATAAAGCTATCAAAGAAAGCAGTAGCACTGGTGGGAGCGTCGAGATCAGCGCCAGAAATGTTCGGTGCCTGCTGACGCGCATTCTCCAAATTAAGCTTGACTTTCTCATATCCCCACCAATAGAGTCCAGAAAAGGGCACGTCGCGCCACATCGTCAGTGACAGTCCACGCCAAAGAGAGGCATAACCTTTGTTCTTGGTCATCTTGTGCAGGTCTTGCAGAGTGGCTCTGAAGTGACCAGCACCTGTGCCTGGGATTGCCTGAAGACGGGTACGGAACATCTCAACAGGGCTGGTGGCGGCAGCAGCTGTTGTTCTCGCGATCGCACCCCCGATAAATGGCGCATAAACATCCGGAACGTATTTTCTGACGGGACTCTTATCATCGGTTCGCAGCCAGTCGTAACCGGCGAAATAAATGATGTTGGCAGGAATGCCCATCATCAACGTCGCGCTGAGACCTCGCCATAATGTAGACACGCCTTCATTGCGAGCAATTTTCCGTAACCCATCCAAGGTCGATGTGAAGGTTCGCCTCTGTGTTTCTTCGACAGCACAGTCCAATGCAGGATGTGCTTGGTTTCCAATTGTACTGGCCTGGGGCCCTAACATGCACATCTGCGCATTGTCTCCAACCCAAAACACTTCACGGCAACAAGAGGTGATTCCGATATTCGCAGGGAGGTTCTTTAAAGATTGAGTGGTATGTGTAGTGTATTGTGCAGCGCTCGTGAACTGTGATTGTGATTGTAGACGGACACGTACGACGTCGAGAGGAGTGACTGCGACAAGTATTAGTTCTGGCTTGCATTCCGAGGACCCTGCCGTTCATGATCTCCAACTTACCAAGAAGCCCGGTCAAGATATTCCCGGCTGAGGCAGATATCATTCGCTGTCCGATAGAAATGTCGTGATTCGGAGGAGTGGCGATAGGGGCAGGGATATCGCCCGGCCCTGTTGAAGTTGACATCGGAGTCTCATCAAAATGGGACGCCCATGACGCCCCCGGGGAAGAGTCGATCTCGTTAACGAATTCGCTACCAGGAGCACCTGCAGGAGTGTGAGTAGCGCTAAAATCCAGCTCGGTCGGCATTCAATCGATAGGCACCGCCTTGTGATGATTTGGCGACACTAAATGTTTGCGACACGAGTGAGTTGGAGGTGTAGAGGAACGATGCGTCAAGTTCCAGAAGATTTTCGGGGTTTTGCGGGAGGTGGCGAGCGGAGATAAGCTTCCCGGCCTTCTCTTTCTCTCTTCTACTGTTCACCGAATCTTGAGCTTTCACTGCGGAGATCAACCGGATTTTTTGTCTGTGATCAATGGCGTTCACTTCGGTTATTGTTTAAGTTTCGTTTCTTTTCTCTTGCATTCCCATCTTTCTACCCCCAGTGGACCCCTCAGGTGGGCTTATCAATCGCGACCGATCTCCGACACCCGATACCGGGACCCCCTCCCGCCATGGCAGACAACCCGGAGCTCGAATCGTTTCGTCGCAAGTGGCGCGAGGAAGTTGCTGGTCGATCTCAACCTAGAGCTACCCCTCCATCTGTGGCTCCGGACCCGCAGCTGCCTAGATTTCCACCACCAAGGCACCATGAAGCCTCTCACCGCAAGGACCTTGAAGAAGAGGGGCCCCCGCCGGCATCTTTTGATCCCGAAGAATTGGCCCAACAGGTGGGACAGCTGAGCGTTGAACCAGAGGAGGAGCATGAGGAAGATGGATTTACTAGAAAAGATCATCATGAACCCCGCTCAGCCCTAGAGCATTTTGAGCGGGCTGTTGAGAAAGAAGCCGCGGGCAACCTGGGTGATAGCTTGCAGCATTACCGCAAAGCTTACCGAGTGAGTAACAATCTTTCATTTTGGTCATTTGCTACACATGGTTATAAGTTCTGACTTTTATACAGCTAGATGACAGCGTGGACAAGTCCTACCGGAACAAACACTATGCTCACGTGTGGAAAAAGCCTCCGCAGCCTATCCCTAGCTCAGAGGCACATGAAGCAGAGGCCGTACCTACAACAACTACGGCCCCCGCCGAGATTAAGACAATCCCCACGAAAGACTTGATTGCGTCCTTCGCTCAAGTCCCCATTGCACAAGCGGAACCTCTCGTGGAAAACACCCCTCCTCCACCTTGTCCCATTGCCGCCATGCCTTCCGAAGTGATCAGTGATATTCTGCGTTATGTTGCATTACAAGACCCGGCCACTTTTGGCCGTGTGGCTCTGGTTTGCAAACGAATGGCATGGCATTTTGCCAATGAACAAGTGGTTTGGAAAGATGTTTGCCAGAGCCCGCAGTTTGGATTCGCTGGAATGCATTACGCCTTTGCCTGCGATATCCATGGACATCCGATCTACACCCTTGATGGCTATCGGTACACACCATTCCCAGAAGGAGTTCCCTTGGAGATCCCCAAACCTCTTTCTTCATGGAGTCAAGTGTTCCAATCTCACCCACGAATTCGATTCTCCGGAATCTATATCAGCACAGTCAACTACACCCGGCCTGGTGCCCAATCAACATACCAGACTGTGTCCTGGAACAGTCCAATTCACATAGTGACCTATTACCGTTACCTTCGGTTCTATCCCGACGGATCCGTCATTTCCCTGCTCACAACTACAGAGCCTGTCGACGTGGTGCCACATATTAGCAAGGAAAATATGATGACCGCCCGGGCTACCTCACATAAACAACATCAGCGACAGCTTGCGGATCAAGGTCAATCCCTGTCTGGGGCATCCGAACATGTGCCAGCCCTTGCAATGAATACTCTGAGATACGCCCACCGTGGGCGCTGGTGTCTCACTCCACCAGTAGCTACGGAAAAGTCACCTGAAGAGCAGATCACGGAGTCAGGTTCAATTGGGCCCGAAGAATCCTCAGACCCGAGAGATATTATTGTGGAGACGGAAGGCGTTGACCCAAAATACGTCTATACTATGCACTTGACCTTACGGTCTTCATCTGCATCTAAATCTCATGTGAACCCGTCCAAGAATACAAAGCTGGCCTGGCGCGGCTTTTGGAGCCACAACAAGCTCACTGATGATTGGGGAGAATTTGGTCTCAGAAATGATCGAGCCTTTGTTTTCCGTCGCGTGAGAGGCTGGGGCATATAGTGAACATTTAAAGTGATGATTTATGATCCGAAAAGAAAAAACATTGCAGTATAGAAAAACATACATATTGATTCAAAGATAAATGGAGTTGATGGAATTTGGGGGGATCGTATCTACATTCTTCAAATGTTATGTACGACATCCAGATGTCCACACATACGCATGCATACCTAGTAGTACATGCTTAACATTGAACATTGAAACATCGAACATTGACATCATTAAATGAAATGTGTAAATCCGTATCCCGGAATAAACATTAAACATTACACACCGTTGGTTTGGGACACAGATTCAAGTCTAAGTAATATTCTAGCACTGAGTACAGCTGACCTTTGAAGCCCTGGAGACTCATTGATCGATCAAGTATGGAATTATAGACATCCAGACTGGAGGTAGAAGTATCCGTTTCCTTGAGAACTTTGAGCACATGAATAACAAGAAGCTTCTCGATTGCTTTTTGAAGTCTGACATTTGAAGCCCCTTGCCCCGATATAAAAAAGCAAAAACATGACGTTCTTGTTCCTCTCAAACCTTGCAACAGACGAATTTGAGAGCGGCATCTGTCGATTCGTCAAACCCGATACTCTCATTAAATAAGGCTGTTTTATCTTCGTGATCATATCCAGTAACTTGATGTGTCGTCGGGGTACGATGGCGCCGATTGAGGTAAATAATAATGAATTGAGGTATAAACACAACCAGGCCCATAACAATCTCCCCTATGAGAATCCACCTGGCGTGGCAAGTCCATGTAAATGGAGGACAGACATCGCATGTATTAGAATCCATGGCGGGATTCAATTGTGAAGCCGGATATTGATGTTAGTCACCAAGAGGGACTCAAAGAGTTGGGTATTGACCTTGTAGAATTCGCGAAGATTTGATTGGATGAAAGCGTGCAGCTGATTCTCGAAACAGGTTGAACTAAAGGGATAGGTGGATGCAAGAGTGAAAAGTTGAATATGGTTAGAGATCTGAGGCATTGGGTAATGCATTATAGTACCTATGACGAATTAGTGATGAAAAGGATGACTTGAGAGTAATGGCCAAGGTTCGAAGTTTCGAAGTTTCGCCCGGGGCCTATCTCAAGCTTAGACACCCAGAACTAGAAAGTTCACATCTGTCAGCTTTGTGCTGATAAAAGAGTGATCGTAACATACTACATTCATAGAAATGGTATTCGTTTTGCATGAAGTTGAGAAAACCCACCTGAACATTGTGACTGCCCAACTCGAAGCGTGATCTTGATGTCATTATTGATGGTATCAAGGGCAATCCCAAGAGGCTGTTAAAGGCTCAAATGCACTTATATCACAGGACGGCCAACCAAGGGGTAAAATTAGTCTTTTGGCTTCTAACGCGTTACAAGGTTGGGACGGGATATAGTGTGCTACTACTTAGTATGTACAAAAAGGTTTAAATAAAAGACAAGATTAGCTACGCTCCGAGTTCCTCCAATTAAGTAGTGTTTCTTCGTCATCGTCCACAATCACCACCATCCAAACTCCTACCTGGCCATTACTGGCGTGCAAAGGGGTACAATGCACCCAACGGTTGCGACCCTCAGTGTTAAATCGCGTGACCCATTTGATTCGTGCTGTGACGCTGCGACCGTGCATCATTGCCTCCACAAGCTCATCTTTGACAGCGGCAGAACTGCCAATACGAGACAAGAATGAGGATTGAAGCATGCCAGGGATTTGAAGAGACGGAGAAGTGAAGAGGACCCGAAGAGACGGATATGGCCGAACAAGGAGATACTATGACGACTATAAGTTTCTGAAGGCAACGGATGTGTAGGAGCGATTACTTACGTTCTCATATACGCCAGAAAGAGCCCCACGTTGTAATGGCGACTTCATATCCCGGAGGCGGATAGCTTCAGTCTCGCTATCGATAGAACCGCCGCGTTGAAGCCATGTTCGATGGCTCTTCATGGTAAGCCGGTTAGAAGAGGGTTGGAAAAGGTCGCCACCGTGCTCTTGAACAGCGGTCAGTTCACGAGGACTGAAAAGTTCGCATAGCTCTTGGAATTCGCCTTTGTGTGTGGGTTCAGGCATCTCTGCCACGCTTTCCTCGTCGGGATCCCTATATCGGGATTGTAGTTCAATAAGAGACTCCATTTGGGCGCCGTCTAGCGCAAGTCCAGATACGTCAATCTGCGCGCCAATGAAGTACTTTACGCGGCCTTGGCTGTCGCATAGAGGGGAGCATTGGAGAAGGTTCATAAACGGAGACCCATCACGACGACTAAGCGATATTAGCATATTATCCGACTCAGATTGTTGGGGTAGACATACTAGTTTAAGAATAGCTCAGAGTGATGTCGGCACTCTTTGATGGCTTCTCTGATCCGCCGAACACTGTTTGGGTTTGTCTTTGGGCCCTGTAAGAACCGACAGTTGCGCCCGAGAACATAGTCCATGCCGTATTGCGTTGTCCTGTGGAATTCTGCTTTCTGTTAGATAAAAGTTCTCAGAGCTTCAATCAAAATAAGCACACGTACCTTCGGAAGCAAAGATGATGGGATTGTCAGGCCGCGTCGGATCCGTTAAGCAAAAGACTTCCGCTAATGCGTTGGACGTTTCTCGAAACTTCATCGGCAATGTGCCACGTACTCGCTCCTCAACAATTTTGCTAGTGATTGTGATACACCTGGAGGTGATGAATGCGGGAAGTTCCTCGGCCGTTAAAGCGCGCAGTCCATCTTCGACTCTTTGTTCAAGGGGTTTGTTCGCGGTGATTCCCACGGCCTCGTTACTCAGTTGGATGTTTTGAATGGCAGCAGGCGGAACATCGATAGATAGGCGCACTAAAGCATTGGCGAACTCAATGGCCTTGAGCGCTTTAACGGCATTAAGATAGTAGGTGAGAGTTGAGATTGAACGTGGCCGTTCTTCCAAAAGAAAGTCGCGGAACCGAGATAGGTAGCGCGGGTTATTGAGGATATGTAACATATGCTCGGTGCCAAACATAACATCTGAGACTCGCTCTAGCTTATGAAGTGGCGCTTCGTCCCCTTCAAAAGGCGCGATCAAATCATATGAAACGCCGTTTTCTTCAATGACGGGGTGAAACTCTTCCGCGTCTTCGTAGGGGTTGACCTGTTGAAGCAGAGGGAGGTCGGTTGTTATACCCATACCCATACCCATGGTGAGTTCGTTTGTTGTCACCGTTCGTCGCATATTCTTGATCGATGTTCTCGGAGTGGGGAATACTGTTTCTTCTTCAATGGCATCGAGATTGAGACCACGGTTGGGCGGCTGGGGGAAATCTTCCAGGATATGATCATTTCTGGTATTTGAATTAGCAGTGAACGGAATCAGACTGTCCAAAGTCAATCACTCACCGCGAACTTCGTCCTGATTCGGAGACCCATTCGTGATATTCGTCCGGTAATGTCTCCGTGAATGATCGCAGAGACTCGGCGTGAGGACTAGCCAACCCAACATGAAAATCTTTAGTCGCCATGATTATAATGGCAAAAAAGAAAAGAATAGAAGTTTTCTTCGTCTTCTTCTTCTTCTGGAAGATATGCGACTCCGGAAACTGGGGAACCTACCTTTACTTTAATATTTTAATCCAAATGTACCAACCGGTTGTGCGTCTTGATGCATCAATTGATCGACTGTTAACAGCTCAAATTCTACCACAGCGCAGAAGAACCATGCAACAAAAGTAGTTGACGTGGAAGGCAAGACAACAATTACGAGCGTAAGTGGTAGGTCACAATTGCAGAAATTGGCGATCGATCGATGCGCGGAGGCTGATCCCCACACGATCGGATTTCGATTTAGAGCAATGATGCAATTGTGCAGGAGTTGCTTCCGCTCAAGGCCTTTGTTGACCTAGAGCATTCGATGATCAGCGGCAGTTTCCGAGTCTATCGAATTTTACGTTCCGCGGCAAGACTTTTGACGTAGCGCCTTGTTCGTGGTGATTGGCTTGCATGGATTTCGATAGATCGAACGGTTCAACATGTGGTTCACGGTTACATTATGGCCCATTGACCATATATTCGTGGGGGCTGAATGAAAAGGAGATGCATGGCTTGCAGCTATTGGTCTGAAGGTCGGTTGGACAGCTCGGGGCCTGTTTAAGCATTTCCGCGGTGTGAATCTATCCATTTGTACATGACCCGGGACCGTTCACCCCTACATACGCTTCGTCCCCTGGAGATCTGACTTGACAAAAGTACGGGGTCTGAGCAAAGTCGCAAATGGATTCCGGGGCCTGGATTATCAATTAGACAGAGTTTGACCCAAACACCCGGGACTAACAGGGCAATACGTCGAGAAGATCGACAACTAATAAACAAATTGTTGTCAATGATGTCCAGGTTGTGGAGTTGTGGAAAAGAGTTGCGGACATTATTGCCGAAGGCAGGTTTGCCTAATCTTGCCTGAATCAGCCTGCTATTGCCTGATTGCTAGATAAGATAAGGCAATGTTATCTTATCGATAAGAGAAAATTTTCGGGATCGGATTAGCATCAGCTGTGTCATTTTATTCCATGTTGACCCCCCCCCCCATTCACAATGCCCGAAAAGATCCACACTCACTTTGGCGGCGAAGAGGAGTCTGCTCCTCAGCAGATCTCATTGACTGCGCAATCTCCAGTCCCCGAGGAAACTGGCCGCAAGAAGAAGCGCGCCAACAAACGAAAACGCGACGAGCCCGCCGAACCTTTACCGCCTCGCGATCATGAGCCTATTCAACCCAAGAAGCCCTCACCAGCGACTGCGACTGCGGAAGAGTCTAAGTCGGAACCTAAAATAGAAGAAATCTCCCAAACTTCATCGAAGAAGACCGCGCCCAAAAGGAAATACAAGGACAACCCCAAACCTCTCACCGATAACAAGACCAACTTCACATCCCTCCGGGAAAAAGCCAACGTCCTCTACGAACTCCGGAAGAAACTCCCAATCTTTGCACATGCAGACGAGATCAGATCAAAGCTTCGAGACCAAGATGTGATGCTCCTGGTTGGTGAGACTGGTAGCGGAAAAAGTACCCAGATCCCCCAGTTTCTGGTGAACGAATTCTGGTGCCGACCCACCCCAGCCAAAGTGCCGCAGAAGGATGGCTCCGTGAAGTCCATGACTGTGGGTGGCTGTATCGCGATCACACAACCCCGTCGAGTGGCCGCCATTTCCTTGGCTCGTCGCGTGGCAGAGGAAATGGGAACACCGCTTGGATCATCGTCACCGGCTAGTAAAGTTGGTTACTCAGTGCGATTCGACACATCCACTTCGCCAAGTACCCGGGTCAAGTTCTTGACTGAGGGAATGCTCTTGCAAGAAATGTTGCACGACCCGTGGCTTACTCGGTACAGCGCAATCGTGGTTGATGAAGTACACGAACGAGGTGTCAATGTCGATTTGACCACGGGTTTCTTGCGTAATTTGGTGTCTGGCAAGCGAGAAGGCCGCGGCGGAGTTCCTTTGAAAGTGGTGGTCATGAGTGCTACAGCGGATATGGAGAGTCTACTTGGCTTCTTCCAAGAGGGATTTAAACCTCAGCCCCAACTTGAGAACGGCGAAGCAGATGGCAAAATGGAAGAGCAAAAAGAGGAAGAGAGTTCCAAGCAAATTTCAGTCTGCCACATCAAGGGTCGGCAATTCCCCGTGAAAACCATATACGCCCCAGCACCCGTTCATGATTACGTTGATGCAGCTCTTAAAGTCATTTTTCAAATTCATTACAAGGAACCAATCCCTGGTGATATTCTAGTGTTCTTGACAGGTCAAGAGACTGTCGAAGCTCTGGAGAAGTTGATCAATGAATATGCCACCGGAATGGATCCTTCTTTACCGCGGATACAAGTCCTTCCACTTTTTGCAGCCCTCCCCCAAGCTGCCCAACAACGAGTCTTTGTTCCCGCACCACCTCGTACGCGCAAGGTGATCCTGGCTACTAATATTGCCGAAACCTCCGTGACTGTATCTGGAGTGCGATATGTGGTGGATTGCGGCAAAGCGAAGGTCAAGCAATTCCGCACCCGGCTCGGTTTAGACTCTTTGCTAGTGAAGCCTATCTCCAAGTCGGCCGCTATTCAACGAAAGGGTCGTGCTGGTCGTGAAGCACCTGGTCAATGTTATCGCCTATACACCGAAAGCGACTACCTGACTCTTGATGAAACAAATACCCCCGAGATCCTCCGATGTGATTTGAGTCAGGCACTCCTCAACATGAAGGCCCGCGGTGTTGATGATATTGCTCGATTCCCCTTCTTGACGCGACCTCCACGTGAGGCGCTGGAGAAGGCTTTGCTCCAATTGTTGGGTATTGATGCGCTCAATGAGACTGGTGGTATCAGCGAGGTTGGCTTGAAGATTGCTAAGCTGCCGCTTACACCGACCCTTGGACGAGTTTTGTTGTCGGCGTCGGAAAGCGGGACTGAATGTTTGCTTGATGCGATTGACATCATCGCCTGTCTCAGTGTAGAGAACATCTTCTTGAATACCAGCTCGGAAGAAAAGAAGGAAGCAGCCGAGATCGCCCGTCGGGATCTTTACCGACGCGAAGGAGATCATCTGACAATGCTTTCAACGGTTCGGGCCTACGCGGGTGAAAATGTTGACCGAAAGGCATGGGCCGACCGGCACCTGGTGTCGCATCGGGCGATGCAGTCCGTCATGGTACGTTTCTATGGCGAATACACGGGATGCCGTCGCAGAATAAGCTAACAAGTAAACTAGGACGTTCGGAAACAACTACGCACGCAATGTCGCCAAGCAAAACTCTTGCCTCGTGATGACCGACTAGATCAACATTACGATCCGTCCCCGGTGCTTATCTTACAGAGCTTCCTGCGTGGCTTTGCGAACAACACCGCTCGCCTTGTTCCTGATGGAAGCTATCGCACGGTGGTTGGCAACCAAACAGTTGCAATCCACCCGTCAAGTGTCTTGTTCGGCAAAAAGGTGGAGGCCATCATGTACAATGAATTTGTGTTCACGAACCGGAGTTACGCGCGGGGTGTGAGCGCGGTACAGATGGACTGGGTTGGTGAGGCCCTTGCTGGCCAATAAAACCTAAAGATGCCCTTTTTTTTGTTTCCCTTGGTTGGAACGTCATGCCATACTCTGTCTTGTATATACCCCCTCAAATGAGCGATTAGACTAGATGCATATTGAGAGTTCTTAGGGAAGATGCACCCGAGATTCCCATTCAGATGGAAGCGGGCGATCAGCCCGTATCCTTGCATTTATCCTGTTGGTCAGACCGTAAATCGACGGGTATTTGTCGATCATTTTCGCCACTCCACGTCAGGCATTTTACCTTGTTTGTTTCCTTAGCTTGATTTCCTGTATTGCGCTACTGTGGTCTTGTAAAAGTTAAGTCGGTCAGGGGGGTTGTACGGAAGAACTCGTCTGTTCTGCTGGGGAAATCACACGCGAGCAGTCACATCGCGCTAAGGACAACATACGTCTCGCCTGCGCCAGCCCCAGCCCAACGTGTTCTGCTTATTTCATATTCCCCCGATATCTCGCCATTCAAGAGATGATCCAAGATTCCACTCTCTTTTTTCCTTGTTTCCCAGCCCTCTCTCTCGTTTTTTTCCTTTACGGGGTACAGTAAAACTATATAGAGTGGTCCGATACCGCTATTTGGATCATCCGGGCTCCACCGCCTTATCGCTCGATTTCGTTATCAACGCATCATCGTCACCCTCCAACTTCACGCTTTGTCCGAATTTCTTTTATGTCTGGATTCTCGTCCACCTTATAACAACACATCAACTTTCGCTGGAGTGTGGAGCTTTCTTTCCCAACGGACTCTCCGCTTCTGACCGCTTATGCGGTTTCTTGTTGCGGGGAAGATCCACATATAATTCAGGAACCTTTTGAAGCCTTATCTGGCCCTGTACCTGCACCAAGCCAACAAACATGGCGTTCCGTGTCCCTCCCCAGGCTCCTCGAAGAAGAACCTCGTACTCGAACCCGCAACCCCCTCCTCTCAATATAATACCATCTACCCCAGAACAACAAGATGACGATACAACACAATGGGTGCTGTTTTCTCCGACCGCTCATACACACACAACCTCCACCGACCGTACACAAACCGCAGGAGCCTCTCGACTTAGTGATTTTGGTTCATTTGGTACTGCAACTCGATCCGCGGCTGGTCCCGAGGGTGATCTGGCAGACGAGGAAGCTTTAGAAGATCAGTTGGACGAAGATGGTACCGAGTTGGATAGCTTGGATGATGGGCTGCATGCGTTCCGCGCTCCGTCATTGCCCCCCACATCCCCCGCACGGGTGGATCAAGGACCATCACCCTTACTCCCAGCCCATGATGGCTTAGGAAGTTTCCAAGCGTCGAGTCAGCTAGCTCAGGAACAGCTCTGGCAGCATGAACAGTACAATCCTCAACGGCGCCAGTATGCCTCTCCCCAGTCTCGTCGGCAGACAAGCGTCCAACGACATTTGGATACTGTTGACGAAGGAGAGGCAAACGTCGAGCGGGACCGCTGGCAGCGAATCGAGCAGTGGAGGATGGATCAAAGTCGAGCATTGTTGCACGAGATTGAACGCCAAACTCGACGGCGAAGTAGTCGTGCCAGCGGGTCAAGCATTCATGATGCCATCGAGCAAATATCATCTGCTCGTATTACAGGAACATTACCAGAGGCGGCACTTGAAGCAAATGGTGACTCTGAGGCAGTTCCAGAGACAGAAGAGACATTCTGGCGTCGTCTAACTCGCAAGGTCATTCGGGATTTGATCGGCATCGATGATTCCTTGCTCTCTGTTATCTTTGGCGAGTCGTTACCAGAGGGCCAAGGCTTTCCGGAAGAGTCTGGAGAGCTCAACATGGAGACTGTTCTGGCCCGAGAACCAGATACAGACCAGTCAGACTCATCCATGTGGCAGAGCCATGTACTGCAACGCATCGCGCATGAGCTTGGGGTTCTAGTACACCAACTGTGTGAACACCCAGGCGCATTTTCAACATACTATCAAATGACCAAAGATATCACGAATGAATATGCAGGCATGTCCATCGACCGCCTGGCTGAAAGTGGGCTCTCCCATAAGCCCACCGAACCTACAGAATCAGCCTCCGCCAATACCGACATCGAAAACTCCATGCCATCACCACAATTCATCCCTACCCTTCGTGAATCAAATAGAGAGCATGAGGCGCAATGGGGCATTGAAGAGGATGACCCTTCAGCAGATCCGATTTCTGAAGCCGGTCGGGTCCAGCAAGAACAAGAATACTGGGAACATGGCCTGAATGCCATGATGGTCTTCCGTTATCTTCGCACCCGCTTTACTCGTCGCGGATATATGCCAAATGAGAAATATACATCAACACCCTCTCCCCGCAACACACAAGACGCTTCCCGACGCGCTGCTATGATTCGTCACCATCATCCCCTCGTCGCTCGGGCTCACTCCCGCTCGCAAGCCCAGACTCGTCGACCCCCTCAGCTCTCAGGCGTGACAGGTCCCGTGGGGGTCTCTTCCCCGTTGCTTCGACCTCATCTTCGTCGACCGAGTTCCAGCTGCGCAAGTCAAAGTGCAAAGGTCTCGGCTATTTCCAGCCGCCGAACCCTGACAGGATCAAGTCGGAACTACTGGGACATTGGTGGCAGTGTTGATAGTAGCAGTGCGATAGGAATTGGTGTCGGAGCTGGGCTCGGTGCATGGGGCGAGGCATGATTATTTACTGGTCATTTCGGGGTTTTATCGGAGTTCACAACGGGGTCATCTACTATCACATTTGCATCTTTAAGAAATTACTACATACTACATACATATATGTAAACGGCAGGAGAAGTGGGATTGGGCGTTGCGTTTCGAATATTTCATGAATATGTCTTCAATGTTTCGGCCATTTTTACATTCTAAGTTCAATCAAGCACTCCCCACAATTCACAGGCAGTATGAGCTACCAGTCTAGATATACATACACGCAAGCTTAATCCAGATGTCAACCACACATGCATGCGCCAGAGCGATGTGTCAAGTACCAGTGAAAGTGATGCATTGCCGTCTCAGGACCCCTAGACATCTGGAGGCAGTTCATGAAGGCTCTGGACCCTTGATATCGCTTATCCCGATCTTTCCAACAGCCAAGTCCTCCTTGGCTTGTTCAATATCCATGATCAACCGACTGGTTTTCTTGTCGGTTTTGTACGCCCAAATGCTCTCCCTTTCGAACATGACATCAATCTCTTCCAGAGACTTGCCACATGTTTCCTGAAAGAGAAAGAATACATGGATTGAAGCGGTAATGCAAAACGTGCCAAATACACAGTAAATCTATCAACCACGGGTTAATATGTTAAACAAGAGCCTTGAAGAGTTCAGACCCACCTTCCACTGGATATGTTCGAATGCTGGAGGGGTGAAGAAGGTCAGGGCGAAGTTGCATGCCCAGTTGAAGAAGGTTGCCAGAGATACGGCTTTGCTACGGATGTAGAGCGGAATGATCTCAGGAGGGTAGGCCCTGTATCAAAGTTAATGATTATTCAATTGTATTTTAGCTCGGAACCAGTAGTCCAGAAAACTGACCAGCCAAGAGGGCTAAAGCGGAAGAAAGTTAGTTGATGCTTATCCAATTGGGCCAATGAGCTTGTACATACCCCCATGTAGGTGCATAAGATGCAATGAAAAGATAAGAGCATGCAATGATTGCTTTTGAGGCCTTTGAATTCGTGACTTTCCATGTCACAGTTGGTGATTTTGCCAAGCCACCTGGCACGGGGTGGCCGTAAGAAGCCATCAGACCTGCCTGTGTGAACTGAAGGATACCCATTGCGAGTGCGCCGAAAATAAAAAGGCGACGTCGAGGAAGACGATCAATAAATATGAGAGCGGGTAATGTCATGACGACGTTGATAATGTACTGTATGGAGGCCGAGAGAAGTGTGGCATTTCCAGTAAGACCAGCCATCTAGTAGATGATAACATGTCAGTTAAAGATTTGAGTCAAAAGTTCGATGGGAAATTCTTACCTGGAAAATATAGACGATGTAATACATCATTGCGTTGGTGCCGGACATCTGGGACCATACGTGTGTGAAGATAGCGCAGTGTACTCGAATGATGTTGCGGCGGTTGAATAATTCCCACCATGATGTGCTCTTATACTGCCGTTCCAAACTGAGACACCAAAGAATGTTGTGTTAGTAGATGTAGCTTGAATGTTTTTTCGAATTCTCATGGGGAATAACTGACTCAATCTTTTCCCGAATTTCCCGGATCTGCGCCACGACAACAGGGTCAAGAGCATTACCAGAGCCATGTAGGCGAGCGAGAACTTCCGTAGCTTCTTCCCATCGATCTTGGGATGCGAGCCAGCGAGGTGACCGGGGTATCATAGGAAGACAACCCAGTAGCACAATAGCCGGGATCATCTGAAGGCCCCATGGAAGGCGAAACACCCCATTGTTTCCCATGAATGACGCGCCGTAGCTGATGAAATACATTATCAAGATCTGCCAGTATTGTTAGCCCTGAGACAAGCTGGTCATTTGAGGAAATGTAACTTACGCCCCAGGTAATCATCCATTGTTGCAACGAAAGCAGCCGTCCACGCTGGCGAGGCAAACTGATCTCTGCGATAAGAATGGGGCCTTGGCTGGTTAACATTCCCACTGCAAAGCCATTGCAGATTCGCGACACGATTAGCATGGCAACATTCTGTACGGCGCACATTAATGTTGACCCGATCAGCCAAATGATACATGCGATGAAAAGGGAATCACGACGACCAAATCGGTCACTCGTCCACGAAGATAGAAGAGATCCCAGCAAAGAGCCACCAGCCATACTAGCCGTGATCCCACCTTGAAGAACTGCATCTGGCTTGTTGAAGTATTTCTTATACTCATCAGTGCCAATTATCGCGGACATGCTGGACACATCGAAACCCTGAATAAGACCACCGATGGTCGTTAAGCCGCTGATCACATACACATTGCTGAGACCTGGCTTTCCCATGGCGAGAATATGCCACAGTTCCACTATGGAACCGAGAAAGAAAATTCAATGACTATAGAAGATCGAGAACTATTGATGAAGTATACAAATCTGCAGGCCTGGGGCCCCGGATTTTATATACTCCACCCGATCATGAAGCTTTGGATCTGTTCAACCAATGAGATGCGATCTTTAGCCGAGATCCGTCGAGGACCGGGAGCCGCGGGGTCACATCCAGTTCCAGAGTTCGTCAACCAGCGTCAGAATGGTGCCATCTAGACAATCGATCCACAGAAGAGAATTTTCTCCATGAATGTTTGAAATGTTTTGATGGGAAATACGAGAAGACGACAAATGTGGCACACATTTCTGCCGAAGGTTACCGCACCTGACGCCCGAGTATAGCCGAGTGCCACGCGAGAGCCGTTCTTCTCTCACCATCTCTCGGCATTAGCCGTCATGTTGAGAAGTGGATATCCCATGGAGCGGTATCCGATGCAAGATGATGCTCCTGCATCGCGAAGAGCTAGATCAGGTTAGAGCCATTAGATTAGCGTTGAGTTTGAATCTGATTTGAATCTCACAAAGACTAACATCTGAAATAGGATGTACAGTATGTCGGGCTCGGAAGGTGAAATGTGATGAGAAATGGCCGACATGTTCAAAGTGCGAACGATTGAATCTCAATTGCCCTGGTCCTCCTGTTTCGAACTCAAATGTCCGACGGAGACCTCCTGGGCCTTCTAGGCCTCGTAGACAAGGACAGCGGAATTCTGAACGCACCCAGGCCGGAACTTTACGAATGAGAGTCCCTAATTCTTGTGTCGCTTGCCGTGCTGCAAAGACAAAGTGTGCTGATGGATTTGGTTCTGTTTGTGTGCGTTGTACTAGCAAAGGAATTGACTGCGTGTCGACTCCATGGCATGGAGACACAGAGCAAAGTAACCCTTCAAAACCGCCCATGGAACAAAATGAGATCGGGAATATCGACCCAAGTGAAAGGCCTTTCGTGCAAAATTTGGAATCATCTTTATTCCATATTACTGTGAATGACGACCACCGAAACTTGACAAAGATCGCTCCAAATCCAAAGCAAAGCTACCAGGTGCGGAATTCCGCACCAAGTCTGTCTGCATCTACTGTAGATGATATGACAAGATCGCTTGCATGGTACGCCACTGTCTTATCTAGAGTTCCAAAATTGAAAGTTTGATGGCTGACCAACAAAGGCTGCATGCCCCGGAGCTTCCAAATGGCGAGAATTTAAGAATTCTGGTCGAAGAGTATTTTGCCCATGTTCACCCATTGAGGTGTAATGGCTTTGTGCACAAACCATCATTCATGCAACGCTTGGATGAAGATGTGGATTCATGTCGAAGGAGCGAGTCACTTCTGCATATTATCTGCGCCCTTGGGGCAAAGTACGTTAATGTCTCAATTTTGTATAGCGAAACTGACATTCATTCAGATTTTTTGCCCTCAATTACACCTCTCAGTTATCCCCTGACGCAATTTTGACAGCCGGGAACCAATGGGCGAAAATTGCAAAGGCTAGAATATTTGTAGACATGGATGATCTGTCTATCGAAAAGCTCATGGTAAGTCTAATGAACTCGGTATTCTTTCAGCACTATCGACTAACCTTCGGGGAATGTTTGGAATTCAAGACCGCGATTTTACTTTATGACCACGATCTTCGGGTCGGAAGCTACGCCAGTGCTTTCATGTTGAGTGGTATGACTGCAAGGATGTCCCAGGCATTGCAGCTGAACCTTGAAAAGTCCGCAGATGTACTTTCCCAACATTCGGTGTCATCCGCAATTACCAATGAGACTAGGAGGCGACTCATGTGGAGTTGCTATCTGCTTGATAGTTGGGTAGGGAGTGGTGTTAATCAACTTACCCTGCTTGAGGATCGCGATTTGAAAATTCAACTTCCGTGCCACAGCCAGAATTTCTCATTAGGAATTATTTGTCTCACGGAGACTTTAGATGAGGGGGAAATCCTAAGCTTCGTCCCCCGCGAGCAAGTACCTTTAAGCCCCTGCCAGAACATGGGTATTGAAGCGTATTTCATCCGGCTCGTCAGTATCCGAAAGAAAGTGCTACGGTTTGTCATCCCGTTCTCTAAAGAGGTCTCGTATAACTAACAGAATGGCAAGATATGTCAAGCATCTAGATACGGCAAAGCCCCCATGGCAGGAAGATTCTGAATTTCAATTCTTATCCGCAGAGTTTGAAAAGAGTCGTCGTTCCCTTCCTAAAAGCTTATACTGGAACTCTGGAGCAATCTATGCACGAAAGGAATCCTCTCAGTTGGGGGCCTTGACATTACTGTGGTGCACCTTTCACCAAACATTGGTCGATCTGTATCGCATTGGTATGCCGACTTTGTTTCGCATTCAGAAAGAAGTGAACTTTCCATCCGATCAGCAGGAATTCCTTCAACACTGCCGCAAAGTCTGTTTTGATAATGCCTGTGAAGTATCCAGGATCATATCCAAGGCATTACAATACGGGCTCAAGGTTCTTGCGGATTCGTGGATATGCATCATCGCCCATGATAGCACAAAAGTGATGCTCCATTATCTGAAGTTGAACAGACTGTCTCACCAACGCGAAATTGATGATACAGTGACACTAGTCCAAAGTAACCTCGATGCCTTGTTACAGATGAGATCGATGGTAGCGACCGCGGAACATTGTGTGAGTAATTGATGGATCCCCAACAGTTGATAAGCATATGCTGACTTTTTTCAATAGTCAGTATCTGTCGTGAAGATGATGGCAGCAGCTGGTATTCGGCCTAATGCTGCATTTAACACTCCTGCGAGTGACCCGTTGCTACATACAGGAAACGTGTATGTTGATGCTGGAAGGTGACAAATAGCTGAAATTGCCGACTAACATACTATAGGTCTCCTCCAACATCGGCAGCCCAAGAATCACCAGAGAGCATACTCAATCCACTCGCTATTTACCGCATGGCTCGAACCGCCTTGCATGAAAAAGACAGCCAAAAATCAGCTTCATTTTCACCTTCTACACAAAGCTCTACCTCTCCTAGTTTCGCGGCCAGGCGCCACTTGCAGCCTAGACAAAGACAGGAAATGGAAGCCCCAGCACATTCATTTCGTCATTATGGGCAGCAGACTCAAGGCTCCCTTCAAGGGAGTCCTGTGACTACCGCTGTCGAGCAGCTGTACACCCCTTCTAATCAAAACAGAGAGGATTCATCTTTATTATTCAATACACCAGGATCGCTATCGGGTCCTGGCATTGGTTCCGCATGGGACCCATCAGATCTAGCGTTTATGGACATGTTGGATGGAGGCTTAATTCCATGGACAGCCGACTATTTGACAGACGGGCAGTCTGGAGTGGATCCTCTGTTATTTCCCTTTTAATGACTTGACGATATATGTAAATCTCAGACTTGGTTCTGCTATTCAGCTTCATTACCCGATCATGTTTCTCTTCAAATGTTCTATTTGAATACTCTCCAACTCCTCTATCACTCGATCATAGCCTATAGGTACCCAATTTTCCAACATTCACTAGTATATGCCCCATTGACATAAAATATAGTATGAACGCGGCACGCACTAAATTGAAGCTTATCTAGGCTTATCTGAGATAACATTTCAAAATTCAGCCTTTAGGCAAGTCTACCCGTCACGTGGAGACGCGGGGAAATTACTGAGATCATACTTTGAGGTAGGAAGGTTTCGCCGATGCTAGCTTGCTTATCTACTATACCTCATCAAGTCACGATCACATGAAGGTATGGCCTCATGTAAAGATGAGGTCTATAAAGACCGCTCGAGTTGACCCTGTAGTGGGCTCAGCCAACAGTTCAACTACCCCGCCAAATAAGCATCATGGGATCTACTCAAGTTGACAGTTACGATGTTCTCATCATTGGTGCTGGACTCTCCGGCGTCTGCAGCCTTTACCACATGCGAAAGCGCTTTCCCAACTGGCGCATTCGTGTACTTGAAGCTGCCGAAAGCGTCGGTGGCACCTGGAACTGGAACCGTTACCCAGGTGCTCGAGTTGACTCCGAGTCTCTCTCTTACGCTTTCTCTTTCGACAAGGACCTCATGAACGAATGGCACTGGAAGGAGTCGTTCGCCACTCAGTCAGAAATACTCCGATACATCGAACGGATCGCAGAGAAGCACGACCTCAACAAGGATATTCAATTCAAGACCAAAATACAGTCCGCCCGCTGGCAGGATCATAACCGAACTTGGCTGTTTGCCGACGAGGCAGGCACTCAATACCAGACAACCTTCTTTGTCAGTTGCATGGGATTTTTGTCAACTCCCACTCTGCCTGCCATTCCTGGTATCGAGACGTTCAAGGGCGAAGCATTCCATACCTCTCGATGGCCAAAGAACTTTGATCTGGGTCGCGATTTTGCCGGCAAGCGCATCGGTGTTATTGGAACTGGTGCGACTGGTATTCAGACAACCACTGCCGTCGCCAAAGAACCCAGTGTCAAGTCAGTAACTGTCTTCCAGCGCACACCAAACTGGTCTGCACCTCTTCGCAACGAAGATATCACTCTGGAGCAAATGGCGGAACACCAAAAGAATTACGACCAGATTTTCCAGCTTTGCGCCGAGACTCCTGGCTGTTTCATGCATCAAGCGGATCCCCGAAAGTCATTGGAAGTCAGCGAGGAGGAGCGCCTATCATTATGGGAAGAAGTATACGCCAAGCCAGGGTTCGCCAAGTGGCTTGGTGTGTTCAGCGACACATACACTGACCGCGAAGCCAACAAGCTTTACTCCGACTTTATGGCGAATAAAATTCGCGCACGTATAAATGACCCAGAGGTAGCAGAGAGCCTAATCCCGAAAAGCCATGGATTTGGAACTCGACGAGTCCCTCTGGAAAGCGGCTACTTTGAATCATACAACCGGCCCAACGTCCACCTCGTCGACTTGCAGAAGACACCAGCCGAGAGGATTACAGAGACAGGAATCACAACCACAGATGGCACTCATCATGAGCTTGACGTTTTAATTTATGCCACTGGATTCAACGCCATTACTGGTGCCTTCAGCTCTATTGAGTGGCATGCCAAGGATGGCCGGCCTTTGCTTGGTAGTAGCGACAGCAAGCAAGGCCAACAGGCTATCTGGCTTGACCATCGGCCCGAGACATACCTTGGTCTAACTGCATGCTCGATGCCAAACATGTTCATGGTCCTTGGTCCTCATCAGCCATTTGGAAATGCACCGCGAACAATTGAGCATGCCGTGGCGGTGGTCTCCGACTTGCTACAATACTGCAAGGATAACAACTATACCTATGTTGAGCCTACACGAGAAGCAGTGGATAAGTGGACTGAACATGTGGTTGAGTGCAGCAAAGGACATCTTTCCAACGAGGTTGACAGCTGGATGACCGGTGTGAACAAGAATATCAAGGGCAAGAATGTTCGGTCTGTTGCGAGATACTCTGGCAGTGCGGTTGAATATCGCCGGAAATGTGCCGAATGTCAAGATGCAGGATGGTCGGGGTTGACCTTTGCATAGTTTTTGTATGAAGATTGATTTGTAAGAGGTGTTAATGAATTTTTTTCCCCTGTATTGTTTCATGTTGCAAAAGGAAACTCCCACCAAAAGCGTTGCCAAGTAGATTCAGAGCTCGCCGGGTGGCTCCTCGGAGCACTGAGTTGACCTGGCGAGCTTTTTCGGTTTGCAAGGCAATGTGCACTAAAAAGAAAGCTCACTGGGTAGCCGGGTGGATTTGCCGGAACTTGCCAGATGAGCTCCTAGGAGTTGATCTCAGGGGCCCAGCGAGCTCTTGATTCTACCCGGCAAGTCTACCTGGCAAGCTTCGCAAGATTTTTTTTTTCTGCGTGCATTGTCTTACAAACATTGAACCAGTTGACGGAAACAGCTCGCCTGGTGGTGTAGTCCTAGGAGCTCTAATGTTAGGAGATGCGAGCTTTTTCCTGCGCGTTGTCCTACGAAATTCAAACTGGCATCAAAAAGGTAAATCCATTTATATACCTCATCGGCAATCGTGGGCCCTGTTCAACACATCCACCCGCCGTCTACATTATAAACAGCTCCAGTCACAAAGGACGCCTCGTCGCCAAGTAAAAACGCAATCACATTGGCCACCTCAACTGGCTCTGCTCGTCGTTTCTGAGCGGTAGCCTGAAGGCCACGTTTAACGTCTTCTGGATCCTCTCCTTGGGACATGGGTGTGTTTACTGAGCCTAATGGGATAGAATGAGATTGGTTGTTCTCCCAAGACACCTGGACTATCCTCTTACCTGGCGCAACACAGTTCACTCGAATGTTCTGATTTTCTTTGGCTGCTGTTCTGCAAAGACCGATGACTGCAGCTTTACTGGCGCAGTATGGAGAGACGCCAGGCGATCCCATTTGCCCAAAGGTACTTGCAGCAGTGACCTTAGTATTGCAGTCAGCGCATTTCCTCAACTTCTAGGAAGATTGTCACTCACAATACTACCTCCCGCAGTCATCGCCTTCAATTGGGCCCTTAAACAGAAGAATACACCCCGGGTATTGACTGCAAAATTGAAATCCCACGTCTCGTCTGATATTTCCTGGATCGGTTGGGCTGGAGTAATGACGCCTGCCATGTTCACGGCACCGTCTAATTTTCCTAGTCTTTCAACCGTAGACTGGATCCAGGTATTGACTGCCTGGCTATGGCGCACGTCAACCACTGTATACATGTGTTTTCCACTTCCATCGAGGCATTCGGTTGCTTCTTTGACTGCAGCTTCGTTGATATCGGCGAGTGAAATTATAGCTCCTCGAGAAGCCAATAGTTTTGCAGTCGCAAATCCCATTCCAGAGGCCGCGCCGGTGATGGCAATCTACCAATAAATTTTTTAGTCATTATTGTATACTCGAGGATTCCAAGTTTTCACTGGTACACACCACTTTCCCTTCGAATGAATACATGGTTAGAACTTTGTGGACTGTGGGGGTAAAAAGAGAGGGGTTTGTGACTAGAATGGTTCTACTGGGATGAAAAGTGATTGATAAAGCAACTCTGTTTATTCAGTTGATAATAAGCTACTAAATTATTGGAATACTAGAAGTAAATGTCACACTGATGACTTCAGTGTTGTTGACAGGGAAAGTATCCGCGCACTTTCCAAAACTGGCAGGTTTGCGCTATCGTACGCTATCTCCACCCTTATCGGTCTTATCGCTTATCCACTCTTGTATCGTCCTTATCGCTTCAATTTCCCCGCAACTTGTGTTCTCCACTCAAGATGCGCAGATGCTGCGATATGTCTGCAACATGATCTGACCTGTCTACTGCACTCACAATGGCAGGTCGCACTTCTGAACGCGTCGAGGCAAACTCACATACCCGGTCTTTTACTGGATGCGCAACGGTATGTACCATCTCTACTTTCAAGCAACATAAACTGACATGAATAGTGTCGGACTCGACATATCAAGTGTGATGAGGGGCTTCCTACATGTTCCATGTGTTCGTATGCGGGTCTTTCCTGTTCTGGATACAAGAAGGACTTTTTCTTTGATGCCAGAAGTCCCGACAGTCCAATTCGCTTTCGTCGACCACCATTGACAGAAGAAGAACGCCAACGGATGAGTCAATGGCTAACATCGGTCGCTCCTCCAAGATCAACGAATAAATTACTTCTGAAGATCGACGAGGAAGGCGAAACATGCACACATGGGCCAGAAGGGCTGCAACTGTCTTTTGGTCCGTTCGGTTTATTCAAGGTGCAGCTGGAGAAAGATATACCGGTCTCGCCATGTGAACCTCAACTCCCCTATTTGGAGGAACTTGACGATACGTCTATAAATAGTCCCTCACAGGACATGTCACAAATACTGGAAACTTTCCCTGCGGGCTTAGCATATTCGCAATGGTCGCCCGGGTTCATGCAGTCACTTCTTGAGCCGCCTGATCAAGACCCTAGCCCAGTGTCCTCGGACTTATTGGGTCTGGCAATGAATTCGAACGATCCAGAAACTCCGATTCCATCACAAGACTATCGCCTTACAAGTTTCATACCAAATACATATTTCAATTCAATATCTCCAACTTCTATCACCTCCCCTCCCAGTCTCACGGGCGCCATTCCACAAGACGCCGTTTTCCTTCTAAAACACTACTCATCAACTGTTATAAGTCTGATGACGCCAGTTCGACATAAGAAGACTCCTTGGCATGTTTTATTTATACCCCATGTAAAGGAATGCTTGGCAGCTCTAGCTCTCGGCGAAAAGATGAGCCATGCTAGTTTATGCACTTTCTACGGCACTCTCGCTATCAGTGCCTTCAGTCTAAGCGGTGTCTCAAGGTCTAAAAACTGGCTTGAACAGGGAGAAACATATCTTCAGCGTGCACAACATCATGCAAAGCTGATGTTGAGGACAGCCTACGATGCCGAAAAGCCAGCAAAATACAAGGCTATTTTGATGGCAATTCTCACCATGGTACAGGTCTCTAACTTCTCCGCCTGTGGAGACCGTCACCAGACAGAAATGTACTTCTTAGAGGCTGAGAAATTTATCCGCTTGAAGGGACTAAAGCGAAAGAAGTCGCGCAAGGTCCGTCTTCTGCATCATTGCTACGTCTTTGAACGAATGTTCCACGAGAGCATATTCATCTGCGGTGCCAATTCAGTCCAACGCCGTCATGTGCGTCGAACAATTGAATCGAGTGGTCTTTCTCGCTGCAGTGTGGACGGTCTTTCCTTCCGTTTATACAAGTGGCAGAATTTGGAACAGGAGATGCAACGCGTTAGAGATCGTGAAGAAGGTGAAAACGACCTTCACCTTGAACGTCCTGGTCTCTTCTCTGCAACACTGTATCCAGAGATTTTCGGTGTTCCAGAGCCATGGGTTCTTCTCCTTTCCCTTGCGATTCGTCTTGGCGTTGAGAAAGATGAAGCAGAGCAAGAACCCCACGGCAGCGGTCTAAATCTCAAAGACTACATCAGTCGTGCTAAAGCGCTAGAAGACTATATCAACCAAATGCAACGACCTAACCAAGCTTTCCCATTTATGACCCACCAACCTTCCTCCATTGATCAACATATCCTGGAAACCATGCTCGAGGCCATGCGACATGCTCTAGCAATTTACTTTTATCGGCGGATCCATGACCTCAATGCATCAATGTTACAAGACAAGGTAGCCAGTGTTCGAGACTGCTTACTACAATGCGAGTACGCGGACTCGAGTGTTGTGCACGGCTCTGCAGGCTTTTTCTGGCCCGCGTTTATTGCAGCTTGCGAAGCTGAGGATCCTGAGGTGCAAAAGTCCTTCTCGGCCTGGTTTGATATCTCGGCGCAGCGCAGTGGCCTATCCTGCTTCAATCAGACTTTGAAATCAATTGAAAAGATTTGGGAAGAGAAACGTCGTGCTCAGGGGTGTAGTTTTACATGGTTGGATCTTATGAGGAGAGCTGGTTCTCAGCAGCAGGGGTCGGCTGTGTAATTGATGGCAAGGGGGCCCTTTTCATTCCTGGATATTCAAAGCTTCTGGTGAACTGGTGACTTTAATATTCGATACTTGCCAAATACGTGCATTTCAATGTTAGCAAGGTTTTTTTTGGCATGCCAATGTTTTCAATGTTTTTATCAACAAAGACAGTTCAAAATGATACATATACATACAGATACCAATTATTACCTAGGATTCTCATTGCCCCTCAATATTCACACCGGTTCAATTAGGTTGAGATCTGGTGAGTATACGGGCGAATCTTTCATGCACATGTGCATACATATCCTGCACATATGAAGATTTCAGATCACTCTCTTGGCACTAATATATAGTATAGATACTTCAAATGTTGTATTATCTTACTCGTTTACTTATCTAGGGGTATAGGGTATAGATTAGAAGACAACCCCCTTTTTTTAAGCAAGAATATAGGTTGGTTGTTGGGGTGAGCTCTAGAAAGTGCAGTGGGACAATACTTAGGGTTACCTGAATATTGAGCCTGCAAAGCAGAAGGTAGACTTTACCATTCTGACTAAAAAAGGCATTGATAGAACAAGAAACAGCGATATATGAAATTAGAAAGACAGATAAATACAGAGTGTGTACTAGGGCAAGTACTATTATTTACTATCTGGTCGTACTTTCCAACTTTATTTGAATTATTTGGCATTAGCCTCATCTAATATGAATTTGGAATTACTTATAATTTACTTTCTGCCGGTCAGAATGTTGAAATTAGGATGTGACCTAGGGGTGGCCTCTAGTTAACTATTAGCCGCCATACACGCATGAGTCATGGCGCGCCTACCCTTGCTGGGACCAGCTTGGGGAAGTGAGAGCTTATCTCTCCTTTCCTCCTTCTCTCCTTCCTTCCTTTCTCCTCCATCCCGCTTAGTGAAGAATACAACACAATTGCTCCTTCTTCATCTCCTCATTACCATTCGTTTCTCCCCAGAACCTCATTGAGGTTCTGACAGAAATGTGTTGGGGGAGCTTCTGTATCCTTTTCTGATATGTTGGGCTCGATTGAGAATCGACTGCGCAGACCCTCTGTCATCAGGACCGACAGACTGGAGCATATTGAAAGTATGCTTGGGCAGGCTTCTTATCCTGTTTCTAATCTGCTGGAATCGATCAATAATAATCGATTAGATATGCTTGAAAAGGGAATTGAGAGGAACGGGCAGGCTATTGCTGAGCAAGCACACGCAATTGGGAGGATCGAAACTGCAATCCAGCAGTTGTCACAGGGTAAGTCAATGTTCTTCTAATCTCAATTGAATTCAGGCTAATCAATCCTACAGCGTCACATTCTTTAGGCTAAGCCTATGGTTGAATCGGCACAGTGCTTGATATATTTTTAATTATCATGTTGCTCAAGAAAACACTTTCATTTTTATCACAATGTTCTCAAGTAATAATTAACTTGTCTCGCTAGAATTTCTTCCCCCCAGCAGCCTCAGAAGACCAGAACACAAATATTTCTGCCTCAAGGTGCGGAGCCGAAGGGACGAGGAGTTTCATGGGGATCGATAATAAACGTTTTCAACACTGCAAGTCAGTTCATTCATTCCCGTGGAGGGAAAAATAGGGACTACAGAAAGTCTTGTAGCCTGCCAGCAGTTCAAGAGGTCACCAATCTGCGCGTGATATCCCCCGCATTTCGTGGCGATTTACAAATTGCCTATTTTGAATCCGCGATAATGGCAATCTGGCGGTTTAGGCAGGCCTCCGCGAACCCCGCTACAACCTCAAGTATACCCACCTTCTCCAAACCGAATTATCATAATAAATCCTTTCACAAGACTATTGCTGACACTATATATGTCTCCATCAGTCCTTCTTTTCTCTACCATCTCAAATATTTACCACCACCAAATATCCAAGACAATCTCACAATGGACGTCCCCGGCATCGCCTTGATCACAGGCGCCGCCTCAGGCATCGGAAGAGCATGCGCGAACGCCTTCGCCAACGACGGTTCCTCCGGCCTTGCCCTCCTCGATTTAAACCAAGAAGCTCTAGAAGCAGTCAAGGCCGAAATTGAAGAAAAGCAAAAACAAAAAGGCGTGACAAAACCCATCCGCATCGAAGTCTTCACAATCAACATCGCCGACGAAGCCCGCGTCAACGAAGTAGTCGAGCAAGTCGCTACAACATTCGGTCGCATCGACTACCTGGTCAACGCAGCCGGCATTGCGATGAAACATCAAGGCGGTGCAGCGTTCTGCGAGACGAGCGACTGGGACCGCATCCTCAACATCAATCTATCAGGAACATTTTTCATGCTTCGCGCCGCAGCCAGAATCATGCTCAAGCAAGAACCTATTTTATCCGCCATTGATGGGCGGCCTGTTCAGCGGGGATCGATTATCAATTTCTCTTCCATTCAGGGTGTTGTGGGGATTCCGCTTTCGACGGCGTATACGACGAGCAAGCATGCTGTTATTGGGTTGACGAAGACTGCTTCGGATGATTATGCGAATCAGGGTTTGAGGATTAATGCTATCTGTCCTGGGTATACAGAGACCCCGTTGACGACTAAGTCGCCGCAGATTTTGCAAGCTATGGTCGAGCGGGTGGGGGCTATGGTGCCTATGGAGCGCATGGGGAGACCGGAGGAGATTGCTGATGGTGTTGTTTATCTGGCTGGTGGGCGGAGTTCTTTTGTTACTGGGTCTTCATTGATGGTTGATGGTGGTTATACTGCGCGGTAGTTCGACTGATTGTATAGATCGGGGCCAATCGGGTGTTCTTCTATCTGCGAAATGGTTGCACAAAGAACTAGTTCTGTAAATAGTATCAATTTTACGAATTTTATTCTAATATTTGAACGAAATTGATCTAGAACTGAATAAAATTGGGTAAACATACTACTATCTTGGTGCGGTATCGTCTGACTGTGTCTGACATCATCATCGAATGATGCTTTCATCGACTCGGGAACATGTACTATTTAGAACGAAATCGATCAAATCCCCATTCTCAACCACCTACAATTGACCTCTGGTACTAAATATGAGCAGAGGAAGTCTTCAATACTCCTGCCGCACTTTCAGTACATATTTTCCCCGGTGCTTTTCCAGTCCTCAATCAACTACACCATTTCTCGGGCCCTTCGGATACTCTTCCAGCTCCAACTCTAAGAAAGTAATAACGGCACGCAAATTACCCATTGACCAGAAAGTCACCCATATATTACGACACACAGCCAGCATGAGCAGCCAAAGGGTTCCCATCGAGCCTCAGCGCGTCGACGCGCCATTAACCTCATCCGCGACCTTCCTCGTGGTAACAGCAACCGACAAACCCAATTCGATCAAAACAATCCGTTCAGCCCTCGCCGGCTTGGACAGTCTCGCAAAGAACGTCTCAATTCGCGACTTAAGCGCTCAGTTCGCCTGCACAGTGGGCATCGGCAGTAACATATGGGACAAACTAACCGGGCTCCCTCGACCAACGGAACTGCACCCCTTCAAAGAGATCAAGGGATCCAAACACACAGCACTTTCCACACCAGGCGATCTCCTCTTCCACATCCGCGCCGAGCGCCGAGATCTCAGCTTCGAATTCGAGCGCCAGCTGATGGACCAATTGGGCGATTCGGTGTCCGTAGTCGACGAAACGGTCGGATTCCGCTACTTCGATGTCCGCGATCTACTCGGCTTCGTAGACGGAACTGCCAATCCCGTTGGACCGGCCGTTCCATCCTCTGTTCTTGTCGCAGCGGAAGACGATTCCTCGGCGCAGGGCGGCAGTTATATTGTTGTGCAGAAGTATACGCACGATCTTGAAGCGTGGAAGAAGCTTCCGGTGGAGATGCAGGAGAAGATTATTGGACGGACGAAATTGGAGAATGTGGAGTTGGATGATGCGGAGTCGGGGCAGCGGTCTCATAAGACGCTTAATACTATTGAGGACGAAGAGGGGAATGAGCATGACATCTTGCGAGATAATATGCCTTTTGGGTCGCCTGGGAAGGGCGAGTTTGGGACTTATTTTATTGGGTATACGCGGAGGCTGTGGGTTGTTGAGAAGATGTTGGAGCGGATGTTTGTAGGGGATCCGCCTGGATTGCATGATCGGATTCTGGATTTCTCGACGCCGTTGACGGGGGTTACGTTTTTTGCGCCGTCTGCTAGTTTGTTGGCGAGTTTGGACTCGGATTGAGTTGTCAAGTATAAAAACCTGCCCTCATTCCTTGTGCCCCAGCAGCGACCTCAAGTTGCTGAGAACATTTGAACGATGCAAAGTGTTTGAACTTTCACATACTATTATCACGTATTAAATACAAATTTTATTGCTTGATAGGACTCCAATTCCTTCCAACGGCCCTCTGAACCTCTTTTGCAGGCAGTCCAACCATCCCCTTCCAAAACTCCGACGTCCCAGGCGGAACCAACTCCTCGACCTCCAACGAGATCAGCGTACTGAACATCCAATCCTGACACTTTCTCCTTCCGTCCCTCGGGGCTGGCTCTTGGCTAATCAGCTCGATAGCGAGTCTGCGCGGTTCAGAATTGAGGGTCGCAATATTGCACAGGCCCAAGGCTTGCATGATATCGAGTTCGGTGCCATAGCGTGGTTCGAACTCGTACCAGAGTCTCTCCAGGTCGATGGGAAGAACGTGCAGGAGGTCACCAAAGGTCCGGGGTGGCTGGTGGATGACAAAGCCCCAGTGTGAGCGATGTTTGGGGTCTTCGCCTGTGCCGAAGACTTCGATTGAGAGTTGGTATTGCATTATAGGATTGTGAAGACTTGGTTTTTTTGGATATAGGAATAAGTTGCATTTCATCCCTTTTTTTTTTTTTCCTTCTTATTTCTCACAGTGGCACCGCTTATTATTTCATGTTTTAAGAGGCCATATTGTTGAGACAAGTGAAGTTCGACGAGTCTCAAAGGTAAAGCGGGGACCCGGCTTTGTGCTTCGACAAACACCACAAAAGAAGCTCCACGTCTCGCTCAAACGCCACATTCCGAGTTTCACGAGAATAATTTTAGCCGTTTTGGGTTTGGAGACTCTAGTGGTTTAAACACCAGCTTATCATTTTCTTGCCATTGGTTCGGATTGTCGGATTGGCCAATTGAACCCCATCTTCTGTGTGGGGGAGCTGGGGTACTGTACTGGGCCCAGGGCTATGTACTTGGCTGCCTGGGAAAGTACATGTTTGCATGTTTTCAAGCCGGACTCGAAGGCATATATTCATAGCTACCTAGTAGTATTTACGACATTCAGGGCAATAAAAAGAGTCCAGGAAAGAGGGTATTGCCAAAAAAAAAAAATAGACACGCACACAAAGAATAGCAAAGAGCAGGTCATGCAAAGCGTCACGCAATTAACCGACCCATAGTCTATCGGACATGTCGTTACAGGAGGAAGGGGGGAAACACATGAAACAAGACTCAAGTTCTAGTCATTAAAGAGCCCATTCGTCTGTCTCCGAGGCAGCTATGAAGGGCTTATCAATCTGCTTGATGGCGTGATCACCGCAAAGAATACTGAAACATGGTTAGTTAGGGATCCAATTCAATACGACAAGGGGACTCACCAAGTCTCGGCAACTAGTCCATCAAGCTTCTTTACAATCTCCTCTCGTCGAGAAGCAGTAAGATCTCCTTGACTCAATTGTGCCTGGAGATCACGAATATACTTCTTGGTGCCTGACGCGCCCTCCAACACTTCTTTACCCAAGCAATCACTGTGGAAGGCATGTTGACAGGGGAAAACGAAGAACTGGCGGCTCAACAAAGGCAGCGAACAGATCCAACATTTCTCACCTGGCTCCACAATGGCGTAGCGAGTATCCAAATTGGCGATTTCATTGCGAATCTGGCGCGCCGTGTTGGCCGAGTTATCCATCTCCTGACGTAGAGCATCGATGTGACGCGAGTAGTCTTCCAGAGCAGTGCAAATCTCATCTTTGAAATCGTCAATGACCACAAAATCGGGAAAGAACGGGATGAGATCCTCAATACGAAGCAGTTCGCAGCGACGCAGAAATTCAATCGCATCCTTAATCCCAGTTCCGGGTTGACGGATCTTCTTCTCAGCAACAAGAAGCCAGAGCTTCTTGCGGAGCTTGTCCTTGCCTTCCGGGCGATCAGCGACGATAGCTGCGAGTTCGATATCGTCATGCTCTAAGGCAAGCTCTACTGCCTGCAAGTACTGCCCCATGGCGCTGTAAATATGGATGCATGACTGCACTCGTTTGTGCTGAATACACAGTCGGAGAGCAAAGTCTGCATCGTATGGCGGTGGCGAGGACGGTTGTGACTGGAGATAGGTGAGCAGACCAGCTTCTGAAGCGGACTGGCTGGAGGCGTGGATAGATATGAGCGTGTTATGAACAGCCGCGGAGGGATGCGGATGGTTGACAATGATGAAGTTCAAGTACCGCACAGCCTGGTTATTAGCCAGGGCGACACTGGCGGTTTTGTTATAGTTCAACAGCGCGGGAATGAGCCGTTCAGGATCAAGGTTTGTTTGTCGCATCAGGATCTCAATAAGCCCTGTAGCCGCATGAGTCATGAGTACACTGCTGTACTTGTAGAATACGTCAGGTTCACTTTGTCGCTGTAGAACATTCAAAGCTTCAAGCCATTTCTCTCGCTGAATCCAGTAAGATAGAACGTAGTTATAGTCACTAGCAACGGTTGCGAAGAAGAGCAACTCTTCTTCACGGCCATGACTACTGATGATCCCGTAAACGGTTTTCTTATCCAGGTCGGCCTTGTGTTTTGTGACAAATTCTTGGAACTCGACTCGAACTGTGCCAAGTTCATCCTTGATCTCTCCCGTGGTGGCACCTTCAGTCAACTCTGCCTTGGTTGCAATGTTGTCGTCTAAGGAGTTCAATTTGGACATGAAAAGTTCCACCAGCCAACTTGCGACCATAAGTCTCTGCATGACAGATGCTTTTTTGTATGTGGAAATCTGCGATAGAAGGTATTTCCGCAGGGCATCATACTCTTTGTTGTCGATCATTGTCAAGCAAACTTCTTCAAACCCTTTACTACTCTTGCCCCACACTTTCGCGGCCTCGAAGAAACGGCCTTCTTTGGCTAGAAAATCACCCGAGGCAGTAAAGACAGCATCTCGTTGCCCAGGTCCCCTAGCGTATTGAAGCGCTTCCTCAAACTTCTGCTCGCGGAGAAGAACCTTCCATACGTCTCTGTCTTCATCGTTGGCAACGACTTCATAGATCTCCTGGCTGGTGAAAAGCCAATATGTGTTTTGAGTCAAGTCCGTTAGAAGACCTAGAGAACTTTGTCTAGGCTCCAAGACTGCTTGCTCGTACACGATCTCTTCATTCAAGCGATTTACCGCAACGACGCGTCCTTCAACGAGCGCCAAAACATGCCACTGAGACAGGGCCATCGCTGTGATTGGATCCTGAATCATTTTTCGCCCACCTCGGGCAGACTCAGAAGCTGGGAACTTGGAACGTGGAAGCATTTTTGCGTTTTCAAATGGAGATCCAGATCCAAGTTGCCCATGGTAGATACCATGGGAGCTGAGCCAAGCGAACTCCTTTTCGGTGTATCCATCAGCTTGGTATCCTCCTGAGCCGGATGCAGATGATGAGACCGTCAATTTGGATGGGGCCGCGCCGGACGGGTGCGGGGTTTCATAGGTCAAGGGTGTGTCGCGCTGGAAAAGCTCCGCGTATATAGATCCACCACCTTCCCTGCCTTGCTTTGGAGAGCCGACCCGACCCAGGAAATGAACCAAGGTCCCATAAGTTGCGACGATGACCCTTCTCTGGTCCGCTTTCGAGGAAACTGCCTCAACGCTAATTCCAATGACAGACGAAGCATCCGGCACCTTGTAAACGGCAGTGACGTATTTCTCCTCGCGCCGATAGAACTCTGTCGATGGTTCGATGTAGGTTTCGTAGATACTTCCATCCGTTGTACCTATCAAGATCTCGCGTGTTGATGCAGTTGGCAACGAAGGGTTCCAGGCAATGCTCTCGATGGAGACGCCCTTTAAGCGGGATAGGGACTTGGGTTGCCGGGACTGGGTATGGAGGTAGTAGTTTTCGCCGAGGGTAGTACTGATAATAAGATGCGAAGCAGAAGGATCAAGAAACATGCGGCGGATCAGCCCGATCTCTGAGGACTTCTTGGGCAAGTCGATGTCTATTTCGACAGAATTTAGCTAAGTTCCGCCTGGCTCAACCACGATTGCGGGGAAGGTTGACGATGTATCTTACCATCGATGTCTTCTGGCGAATCAAGATCGATCCGAAGAACTCGGTTGGTCGAAAGGGCAAGAATCAACACATTGTTGGCGACCTGCGCCGCCACAAAGTCGGCTGCGATGGGGAATTGGAGCTGCACTCGTTGCACATCGAAGATGGGCAAGGAGTCCGCGGGCTCGGTCAGATTGTTGGGAGCAACATAACTGCTGGATCCGTCCAGCGCCATTTCGATCACTTATTTCATGCCGCCCGTATGTTCCGGGGAAGCTACAGGGGAGCCGAGGGAGCTGAGGGAGCTTAAAGTTGACGAGGGAAGCCAAGCTGGAATGCGGAGGACTAGTGTGTTCCTGGCTGCCTGAGGCCACACTAAGTGAGGCTGGGAATCAGAGTGGAGAATCATATGACGTTAGGGTGCGGCGATAAGGGCCACCCTACTGCCAATTCCCAATTTCAACTTTCCCACCGGCAGAAAGTAAAGTATGCGTAATCCCAAATTCATAACTAACTACTACTATATACATACATAGAAGCTGTATTTCTCTAAAAAATGACAAGTCCCTGTCTTGGTATGCATTGGGTATCATCAACCGATAAGAGGAAGAAAAAATGCCGAGTAAAAATCATGAGATACATATGTGCTTGGGGGTATCATAAAAATCCGCCGAAAAATAAGAACCGAATCCCATACATATTACATCAAAATGCATTCCCTCTCTGGTTTGCGGGCCTTCTCCTTTGATTTCTCCTTGTTCTTTCCTTTCAGGCCACGATCCTTGGTGCGGCCTCTTCCGTTCTTGTCTTTGCCATCGGCTGTTTGGGGCGGTCCCAACTTGCCATCTTCAAAAACAGTCTCATCCATGTCAACAGCGGACTCGTCGGCTTCACCCTCACCGTCGATCGTGAATCTGTCTTTACTGAGCCGGCCAGCAAATCGAGAAAAGGTTGAGCCAATTCGATTCTCACCGGACTGGCTACCCGCACGGCTTCCGGAGCTACTCTTGATTGTTCGGGACCCACGTCGTGAGAAAGGGAAACCTTTGCCACTGTCTTCTTCCGTCGGTGCCAGTCGCGGTGATAAAGCAGGCATTGAACGGGGAGGAGGAGGAGGGTTGATACTGGCGTCCGAAAAGGCAATGCTACTCGGTCGTCCGCCATTGCTTTGCGGTTGGGGGATATTGTCCGGTGCAGTGATTTCAACACTGGGTCGAGCAGAACCGACATCCTCAGTAGTACTACCATCAGTTGTTTCATCCATGCTCTGGTAAGTGAACTTTTTGGTGAATTCTGCCATGTCCACATCAAGGGTAGCATCCGAAGCCTGCGAGGATGTAGCATGGCTTAGATGGTTTGCCATGAATGCATCCTGATCGATAGGGAGGATCTGGTAGAACAGCAGATAAGGTGACTCTGTTTTCAGTGCTTGTTCGATGTCAACTAAAGTCACCCGTTCCTGGGCCAAGTCGTCAAAGCGCATCCAGTGTTTGGGTGTTTCAGTAGAAATTTGGCCTGAGCTATCACTTGAGCCCGGGGGTGCCGTGAGAGAGGTTGTGCCTCGAACAATGGAAATGTAGTGCCCAGAATCGACCGAATTCCCCCGGTGGCAGACCATCGCTTGTAACGACAATTTGAAGTTCCCATAGATTGGAGCATTTGCATCCAAGTTATCATCTTGGATGAAGTGGGGTAGACCGATTTCCGTCGGAATGTCAACATATGTATTGAGCCGGACGGCTGTTCCATTGGGGAGGAATGAATAGCGCTTCAAGCACATGCCAAGAATTGGTCGTTTAGAAGAGAAGTGAGCCGCAACTTGAGCATCATTGGTTGGTGTATTATCGGTGTACCATGCTATACAAGTGTCAAACATTAGTCAACGATTCATCAATATTTGGGAATCGCAAGGACATACGTATCAGGCTGAAGAATTGCCATGCAGGCATCATGACTTCTTTCTTGTAAATACCCCTTCTGTGAGGCTCTGTTTCCGAGGTAGACGAATCCATGCCACCAGCAGCATCCTGCGGAGAATCCGAGTCTGGAACAAACCGCTCTCGGACTAGACTGTTCCGTCTGCCAGCCCTCCGTGCTGATAGGGATTCACTGAATTCAGTGAAAGAAGACCATGGACTTGGTTTCTCGAAACGAGGTGAGTTAGCCTGAGAGGACTGAACAGGTGTCATAGTTGGGGTTGTGTCGACCTCCTCGACGTGAGACGTGAAACCCTTCGATATGGACAGCGAGTCCACTGATCGAACGGAACCAACTGTGTTTCGTCGTTCCAGGTCTCGTTTCACTTCGATCCTGTTGTTAAAGTAGGCTTCTAGACAGTCTTCGAGTGTGAGCTTTTGCCCGTCCGCAGGTTCGGGTGGAATCGCAACTTCCAGGAGGCGTTCGTTGATAAATTTATGATCGTCGCTCGCATCCTCCTTCCCAAAATGGTAGATGTCCATTTTGAGGGTAAGTAGTGGTAATTCTAGCTTTTCTGTGATGAAAGTGAATGCCTCGGAGGCATCTTGCTGTCGAAGCAGAGCTGCATCTTTCCAGCCACATTCAGCTAAGGCATCTTGGATGTGTTTTGTCTAGATGAAATATCAATTAGCATCAGGCCCCCGTCGAAACAATATGTACTGAAAGGCTGATCTTGACGCACAATATCAGTTGTAATCAACCTCCCAGATCGTAACATATTGACCCAGAATCTCAACAGAATGACAAGTTTGCGGCGGGGCTCATCGTTGAAGGATTTGTATAAAATCGCTTCGAAGCAGTCGAGGCGGGCGAACATTGCAAATAGCAGAGCATCCAAGTAGCAAGTCACTCCCTGACGATTTTCCGCGCCGAGAAGTCTGGTACTGGGTGTGTAGTTTCTGATGATTCCCTCAATCGAGTCCTCTAGCAGCAACAGTAGGTTGATTGCTTTATCGACATCATTATTGGTGGTCTTTAATGCATAGTGAAAATGACGCTCTTCTAAAGCCGCGATACCCATCGCTCGAATGCGGGCTTCGATTGACTTGACCTAAATCATCGACCAAAGAGGTTAGAGGACAGATAGCGACGGGTAATGAGGGGGTGCTCACCTTCTTCTGGTACTCTTGGTTGTCATTATTTGCGGGGTGAGCGTCAAAAAATCCACGAAACAAAGGTAGTGAAAGCGCGTGTTGTTTCTGTAAACAAGTTGTAACATTAGCTTTCATATTTCATAGTTCAATATAGCGCCTGTCATGGTGCGACAGAAAACTTGAAAATGACCAAAAGGTAAGAACGATACCTCATCTTTACCATGCCGCCGTCGGTCGCGACGGGTGAGAAAACGATGAATTCCGCTCATCTTGCAGGTAGTAGCGATTGTATGATAAGTTGAAAAGGCCCTGATCCCTCTGGCGAACAGGGATGTGAGGTGGGTCGACGAGATCTCTAGGTCGACGACATGCGGAGAGACGAGTAAGGAAGCTCTATGTAGTCAACTAACGCCGGGCGGAGTCGAGGCTGCAAGATTCCCATTGAGCACTTGGAGAGCACATCATCTGCCACAGTGGCTGACACTGTAGAGCACGGGATATGCGAAAAGAGCCACTCATGTATCGAGAATGGGTGTATGCAAAATGATTCGAGAAGAGATCGCGGGATGATCCAATGAAGCTTAGACATGTTGATCACTTGCGCGGGGCATCGGAGCCTTTATTGTCGCCTTGTAAATCAGGCGTGAATGAAGTGTCGGCACGTGACTTGACTCCGAGCGTTGCAAACAATTTTCCCGAATGTCCCTGGGAGTTTGAACGCCGAGAACACTCATACCGTATCTCCCCCAACACACACAATGGCTGCCAGGGAGCCATCTAGATACCTTACTAGGGCACTGCCCAGAGCATTTGCACCCTCTGCTCGTTCTCAGGCCTTTTTGGGACGGCGCAATGTCTCCGACGAGGCTCCGGCCAGGCGTCTGTCGGACCTCGAGACCGCGTCTTCATTGATGACAGCTGTGTCCGATGATGCAGCCAAGTCCTTTGACCCCATTGCACGAAGCAAATCTCGCACAACTCAACTCCCGCGCAGTCGGTACGTAATAAATAAGCTATGGGGGTTCCTCTTTTAGTCGAGCGACCAGCTTAGCTACTTGATGAACAAGCTTGACTAACACCTCCATTTCAGATACCAATTCCGCTCCCCTAAGTACAACCGCGGTCCTCTCCACCCTCACCAACCGCCACCTCCCTCCGATCCCTCTTCCCGTCTCTTCGTCCCGGGCCCCTTCGCTCTTCCCCGTGCCGAGCAAACCTACAACTCGACCGTCGCATCTGACATTCTCACCCTTTGCTACGTGCACACCCCTCCGGGCTTCAAGCCCCCTCCCAAGGCACCGCGTCTGCGTGAGTGGGACGAGAGCTCGCCATACCACAAGAACCGTCCTCTCCGCGGACCCCGTGGTGGAGACGTGCTTCGATTGATCCGCAAGCCGATCAAGTTCAACAACATCCCCAAGATCGAGCGCATCACCATTCACAGTTACGTGAAGGAGGCGGCACAGGAGAACTCATCATGGCTGCATGTTGCCGGTATCGCCGTCCAGTCGATCTCCAACGTGCGCGTGGAGACCTTCAAGTCCAAGGCCAGTGTTGCTACTTGGAGCATTGCTCCCGGCCGTGACACCGTCGCCGTCAAGGCTGAGCTGCAGGGTGAGACTATGTACCACTTCTTGGGCAAGCTGATCGATGTGGTTTTGCCTCGCATTAAGGATTGGCAAGGTGTCAAGGGCAGCAGTGGTGACAGCAGCGGAAACATCACATTCGGTCTGGAACCGGAGCACGTGGCCATGTTCCCTGAAATTGAGATCAACTACGATATGTAAGTTTCCTGGCTTTTTGGACTGTTTACCATCATGTCAAGTTCGAATCTGATGCTAATGGTTTATTCTAGGTACCCTCCCAAGATGATTCCTGGTTGTCACATTACCCTCCACACAACTGCGAAGGCGGACAAGGACGCTCGGCTGCTTCTTAGCGCCATGGGAATTCCTTTCCACGGAAAGATTGTCCACTGAGGTGCTTGGTAGGCTACGGTTGCCAACGGCACTGCTAGCCCTCATTTCCCTACTTTCCCCCCAAGGCGTTCTGTTCTTATAAAACCTGTAACTTTAGAAGTGGCCTGCATAGTGGTCATTGCGATTCACCAAACTTGTGTATTATTCTCAAATTCAAATTCATGCCAAGCGATACTCACCAGAAATGTGCATCCGAGCCTTTCAAGTGTTTACTCGTTCGTAAAGTAAGGGAGAAACATATTACGTTCAAGTTTGTGATTAAATTATCATTTCTCTTGTTAAAAAAGATAAGAATAATAAAACATGCGTGGATATCGTTTGTACAGACGCGAAGAGAAGATAGGAATAACAAATCACATTACCCCAGTTTTGGCATGGCCAAAAACTTGCACTTCAGTAACTCATCTGCGCTAGGTCGTAGCTGATAATCAACCTGGAAGGTCATATCCAGGAATTCAACTGCCTCCTGGCTAACATGGTCCGGAGCGGGCGGCCGAGCCTGGTTGCTACCGATAGCGAAAATGGCTTGGAGCTGACTGCAATCAGGGAAGGGGTGAGCGCCGATAAACATCTCGACAACCAGGCAACCCAAACTCCAAATATCGGCCTTCTTAGTGTGGGCCGTCTGGCGGACGACTTCAGGTGCCATCCAATACACACTACCCTGCAGGGAAGGTCGGTTGAGGTGACCGCCACCACCGTGGCTAGCTCGGGATCCGAGGACATGGGAGGCCTCGACACGCTTAGAGATACCGAAATCAGAGATTTTGACTCCACCCTTATTGTCGACAAGGATATTGGCACCCTTGATATCACGGTGAATGATATCCTTGCTGTGCAGGTAGGAGAGACCTGCCAGAATCTGCCGAACAAAGTTCTTGACCAGCGGCTCCTGGAAAGTATTGTACTGTTTAAGCATAGTTGCAATCGAACCACCCGGCACATACTCAAGGAAAATGTTGAGGTGCTCTTCATCGGCACCTGTGCCGAGATATTGCACAATGTTCGGGTGGTGCATTCCTTGTAAAAGTTCAATCTCATGTTTGAGAGCGTTGACCATAAGGTTCTTGCGTTGATCGAGTTCTGTGCCCTTAGGGCCGGAAGGAACTTCAACCTGCTTCACAGCCATAAGCTCTCCAGTAATAGAGTGCAGAGCAAGGAAAACGCTTCCAAAGGAACCCTCGCCGATCAAAGAACCCTTCATCCAGTTCGACGGTGCGAAGTGATTGCCTGCCAAGAAGTCGTCCATTCCAGGGTCTTCTTCCTCCTCTTCCTCTTCCTCCTCCTCCTCTTCATCATCGGGCACAATAACACTCATTCGGTCATTTGAAGAACCACCGTCAGTCGCAGCAACACTCATCCTTTCCTCCATCACACTCTGCCGAGATGGATTTGGCTCATCCGAGCCACTATCCAGTGAGACATAAGATTTGCGGTTCGGCTCTGTTGTAGTTGGAGATTCTTCTTGAAGCGGCTGGAGAGTGCTTGATGCAATTGAGTCACGATATGAGGCTTGAGGCAGGTTGAATTTGGTGATAGAAATTGGACGGGCACGTGCTGCCGGCGCTCCACCTTGGTGCTGGAGCCAGGCGTCGGCAATGTTGGGCATTGGGGGTATGGGAGGAATAGAAGGCAATGGTGGAAGTGGAGGCGCATCCCTGAGACTTGAGGCAACACTGTAGTTGCTGACAACACTGAGGCGACTTGCAGCACGACTGAGACGTTGCGATCTGCGCATTGTCTTCTCAATGTCTTGCCGGTCATGACTAGGGAAGAATGATGGAAGCTCGTGAATGATCATCTCACTTGGAGGTCTTTGGCCGAAGAATGAGCGAAGCTTTGCAACCGGGTTGCGCTGGTCATTGGGCGACATCTGTTCCAGCTCAATAGAGGGGGTGGAGCGACTGTGGGGCCCTTGTGGAGAGACTGGTTGCTTGGTATTGATGACCTGCCAGGATTCCCCTGTGAGTTGTTGAATCTTATGTTGATTACGACGATTGGATCTGTTCAGGGCAATTTGATGTGTAACAGAACTTTCGTCCACAGCCAGCTGTGACGCCCGACGAAGTTCATCGCCATCTGGCTCTCCAGCGTGAATCTTCCGCAAAATTAAACGACCACGTTCAGACTTGCTGACGCCTTCGCAGATTTCCATCAGCTCACTCTCGGTCAAACGTCTGCAGTTGGCCAGATCCGGGTCTAAACCATCCAGAACATAGAAACAGTAGTTTCTGTACTGGTGCTCTGGAAGCTGTAGCTTCTTTAAAACGCCAACCATCACCTCATCTGGTGTTCTGCAGTGTCGAATATCAAGAACCTTGGTCTGCCCACCAGTGTAGATCACGCGGATCACTGGCGAATTGGGTGGGAGTGGACCCATGGTCAATCCGTCAAGACTAGGGTTACGGGGGTGTGAGCTTCTCGAGCCGTCGGTGGCAGCACTGGAACTTCGACCATTACCCGAGCCTCCCGACGATGGCTGGTTCAGATAATCCTTACGCCAGCGGTCAGAGTCACCAGGTGTTCCAGGGGATGGCTTGCCGAACTCCTCTGCCAATTGAGACATGCGTCCATTGCCAAGATTTGGGAAACCTGAGAAGCGCGAGGGTTCGGAGGATAAGGCGGCAGCCTCCATGGCAGCTAACTTGTTCTTTATCAAAAGTTAGCATCCACCCCCGGGATATTTAAATATCAAATCGAACATACAATATTCTTTTGCCTTGGGTTCAATGTAGCCTTGCTCCGAAGTTGTTTGATCGCGATAAAGATGCGCACCCGATCACCGACTTTCTTAATGCCCATTTCTTGCAATATCTTTTGGTCACAGTCGATGAGATTGTCACCGTTAAAGTTGTTGGCTAATATGGCGTTAGGTTTCATCCATTCGGTAACGGTTATAGGGCAAAAAATACCTCTGAAAAAGGACTCGTATTGGCCGCAGTGAATGCTTCGAAGCCAAGCCACAACCTTCTTCTCATCCCAGGCTCTATTTCAAGTCAGTCGGCGGTGTTTATGACTACGGTCCAAGCTTTATCTCTTACCGAATGGCCGCGAGCTCATCATGTCCATCGGAGAATTCCGACTTGGTTGGGCTTGTAAACCCAATTCCATCCACTTTTGTCGCTGTCGCGGGTCGGGGGGTGGTCGTGTGATAAGCCGTCACTGGTGTCGGAACCCCCAAGGGACCAGCGGAGTATTGAGTCTTGGCCAACATGGCTGTACCGGGTCCTGCCACGAGATTCGCCTTGCTTTGTTCGTTATTCCTCCCGCTGGAGACTGATCGCGATCGAAGCGCCCTTGCCTCCGCGGACAAGGGCCGTTTGAGCCGAGGTTCGAGGTGGCAGCCGGGGGGTTGATGGACGTCGGTTTAACACATAATCTGAGCAGCTTGGGTTTGTGGTTAGCTTCCGTCGTGCCCATGGCATTTGTGGGCAGATTGTTAAATGATGTTTGGGGGCCGAGAGGGGCGGCGTTGGTTTCGGTCCGATGGTGATGGAGTATTGGAGCCTTTCCGTGGGCAGTATGACGAAGGAGGGGGCTGACTGACCTGCGTTACACAATAGTACAGAAGATGTAAAGGATCCCCTGGTCGGCGGGATTGGAATTGGGGGAGCAGGAAAGCGGGTGAAGATTGACGTCTGAGCTTTTTTGGGGAGTGAGATCGGTGGAAAGTGGACTTTAGTGTGGTCGAGATCGGGCGTTATCGAGATAAACTCCCCACTTTGACAGGAAAGTCAATAAGGAGCAAATCAAATGGAACATAAAAGATCAAGAACTTTTCACGTTGGGAAAAAGGTGTACAGGAAAATATGACAGATGAATTCGAAAGTGCCAAAGTTGTGCGAAGAGAGTAAGTCTCAACATTTGAACCATGGTCTCGCGTCAAGGGGCTTTCCCCCACGCGTTTCAAAAAAAGGAAGCCAAAAAGGTACCAAAAAGGTACTAAAAAGGTACTAAAAAGATAGTGGAGGTTTGGTGCCAAACTCATGTCTTATCCCTGGATCCAAGTAGTACAAGACTAGAAAGTCGTTTATCACGACATCTGAGTATTCTTCTAGAATGTTTTCATTTTCAGCAACAGATCAATTCCATACGATGATTGAGATCGTCCTGACTTATACGGAGTAGTACATACTACACTCAGTACTATGTAGCTCGTTACTAGTAGTTAGTTACTAGTTAAGTTATAGACCCGATAATGACAAATCCTGGCTTGCCTTATCCGTTTTAGTGCTCACCTCTTGCCGCTTTTGACTTACTGCGTAAAACTGAGCACGCCCCTTAGTATGATATTCATATGGGTACGACCTAAGCTAGGGAATGTATAGTGGTAGTTAAGTAGTTGTTGCTCAAGTGTGATTTCAAGGGAAGAGTACATAAGGCTGACTTGAGCTATATTTAACAACAAGAAGATCAAGTTGATATCCAACATTGGAAGGTTGCGGTTTCGTTCCTCAATGGATGTCAGTGATATCAACCTTGGAATACGATAGTAAAAACATGGATGTTCGCGGCTTGGTTGAATTAAAAGTGAACCTGCAAAACCTATGGCAATGATTTGCGTAAAAATGGTCTGAGAAATGATAGAAGTAAAAGAAAGGAAACAAAAGGGGCGAAGATGAGAAATACGAGCTCGTTGACTTGAATGTAGTAGTTTTGGAGTTACTAACATTCATCAATGTACCCAGGTGTCATGCGGAAATTGGGTAGGAAATCAGCCACATCAAATAACATCACACTCTCAAGCTTATTTTTAGTGTAGAAGAGGGGTAAGAAGTAAAAATGACCATCTGGTAGAACGTGATGTGACTACTCACAAATAAGATCTTGAAGTGCTCACTGGATTTAATGTTACTAGTAGTCATCTCACAGCACTCCCGTGCTGACATCTACTCGGAGATTTTGAGCCTGAGCGCCCTCACAAAAGCGGCGCCCAGATAGGAAGGCCGGCAGACATTATTCTGTCTTATATAAGTGCATACTATACTCCGTACAAGCCCCACTCGGGACTGGTGAAACAGCGACTGCTATCATCTGAAACTTTTCTTGACCCATATAGCACTCAAAGTTGGAAATTCGCCAATCACTGAAAATTTCCGAGGTTTAATATAGACATTTGAAACTTGGAACTTCAAATGTTGTAAGTGATTTGAATGCTGAGCACTTGAGCGGACAATACCTCCAGTCATATATATAGATCCAAGCTTGGCATCTATGTAGTCTGTGTAATTAGCAAGTATCAATGCACTATGTTCAAAACTACCAGCACTGAGTTGACTAGAACATTTAAACCTGGACATAATAGAACTTCTATTGATCATAAGTAGGGTAACTAGTATTGAAAATCCCATTTTTCAAATATCAATACCTATGAGCCATGAATTCGTGAATGTTAACTAAGTGTAGTTAGTAGTTAGTTAGTTAACTATAAGTGGCCAGTTGACTCAAGTGCTAATGAAAGGCACGGGAGGGAGCGGACTATGTAACTGCCGCCAGCCGGATCGAGGCCACTACAGCAATTGAAAACCTTGAAACCAGAGCTTGGGAGATTTGACGTTATCGGTATACTACTAGTACTCTCAAGCTATACTACTAGATCTTTGGTCCAAATCTTGACCTTTCATACTCACAAGAAAACATTGAAAACATTTGAACTCTGCATTTGAATCTCTCTTCTTTTTTTATTTGCATTTGCATTTTTCCATTTCCGGTCCAGCATGGCCCTCTCCGCACCAGTGGGGACTACGTGCATACCGGAACATTAGGCATGTCGGCCACAACTGTTGAGAAGCCACCAACCAAGTGCACTTAGGGTCATCTTGATCAGAAACATGTATTATTTACACCTGTAGAATCCATAGAATCCTCCTTCTCAGATGGTGTTTCTCTGAGCAACACGTGACCGTGGTTCCCTTCCCTGCCCCCCTCACAACTGCGCCTAAAACCCCACAATTCTTTTTTTTCCCCGCTCAGTTCCAAAAGGGCCTCAAATTCTTTCCCCTCTCTGGAAAAAAACTCCCCCAAATCCGGATATCCCCAACTTTCCCCAGCTATGGAGGACGACAAAGCTGCCAAAGTGAAGAAGAAGGGGACTACTCATCGGAAGTCCCTTTCATGCGAATATTGCAGTCGATCCTTTGCTCGCTTGGAGCATCTCCAACGCCATCTCCGCACACGTTGAGTAACCCCCAAGCCCTCCCTAGTCACTCCCCGACTAATGTAGGACAATCCAGATACCAAAGAGAAACCCTTCTCATGTGACATTTGCTCCAAGTCTTTTGCCCGAAGGTAATCAATACTCACTATCCGTTCCTCCCCGGGTGCCATCCCACCCCCAATCGTCCAATCGCTTATTTATATGCACCCGCAGTGACCTTCTAGTGCGACATGAACGTCTAGTCCATCCTGCCGAGACTGCAGCTGGTCGAGAAAATCGTACCCACAACGGAAATGAGAACAGTCATCATGAAATTCCAATTCAGTCGACGATAATTCAGCCCGTCCATCACGAGTCGCGCATGCTTGAGCTGGCCGATGCCATCCCCGTCCACACCCAAATTGCACCTCCACCTCCCGAGGTACAGGTCCAGCCACCACCAATAGTAGAGACTACACACTTCAACCCATCTTGGGGCTACGACCTCAATTTATTGTCGCATGCCGCAAGCCATGTCGCTTTGGAGGGACAGCAGGAGAGTTTGGAATCGATTCGGAAATCATCGCATTCGATTGGCACACCATCACAATCCTTTCAAGCGACAGAGAGAGCCATTACCGATAACTATGGCCTTGAGCCCTCGATCCTGGATTTGACAGACTTGGGTGACCCAGTTCAAGATTTCACTGTCTTCTTGGAAAGTGTCGGCCTGTCATCGGATTGGGACTCTGGGGTATTCTCGTCAGTGGAAGAGCCAATGCTTCCACCGAGTATGCCAATGGATTCGAAAAATCATGTTCGGGAGACACTCTCGTCAAACAGGCTAGGCGGGGATCTTATGAGTGACCCACGAATGCACATGGACGAACAGCCATCTTTCTCTAACTTTGGCTCCCGATTACCATCGCTTCAGCCTGAATCCCACGAGATTGAAGACCGAATTGGCCTCCAGGATGAAAGTTCTCGACCGGCTTGGGAAATCACCAATACAGATCGACAAGTTTTCGTGTCAAAACTTGAGGAATTCTCGTTCGTCCTCCCGAAGGGCTTTGTTCCGCCCTCGCGCCACGCTTTATCCCGGTTTTTTGCCGGATATATCAATGGCTTGAACGAGCATTTGCCTTTTGTACATGTCCCCACTCTATCTATCGCCAAGTGCTCGCCGGAACTCACGCTCGCGACGGCAGCCGCGGGGTCGCACTACCGATTCGAGAATGGCCGGGGAATCGAACTGTTCCATGCCGCTAAAGCCATCTTGTTAGAGCGCCTGCGTCGAAGAGATAGCCGACAAGTGCCTGTTCCCACGTGGAACTATATCTCTCCGCCTTCCGGCTATCCCAATTCCCGAGGGTCTTCGATGATCTCGAATACAGCCAGCAGTCCCTTTCAAACTCAACACCACCTCCCGAACCAATCTTTCAATTCATCAATATATACTCCAGATGATTCGGATGCTCATATGGAAGTGATTAGAACTTTCTTATTGTTAACTGTGTTCGCATCTTGGGAAAAGCAGCCGGAACTTCTGCGAGAGATCCTCTCACTCCAAAGCACATTAGCAAGGCTTGTCCGCGAGCATGGCCTGACGGAGCCACCACCTACCCTGGATCCCATTAGCTGGGAAGAATGGGTGCGGAGGGAAGGAAATAGGCGAACCAAACTCATCGTTTATTGTTTCTTCAACCTGCACTCTATTATGTATAACATCCCTCCGTTGATTCTAAATGGGGAGCTGAAGTTGAATATGCCCTGCTCCCATGATTTATGGAAGGCAAGCAACGCGACTCAATGGCGCCGAGTATGCCGAACACGACAGAGCTCCGATGTACCTTTCCAAGATGCATTTGCCCGGCTTTTCTTGCGATCCTCCACCTCCATTCCATCCGCCCCGATCTCCCCTCTTGGCAACTATATTCTCATTCACGCTCTTATACAACAAATATTCTTTGCCCGCCAACTATGCCTATCTGCTCCAAATATGCAAGGCACTAGCTTGAGACAAGAAGATCTGATCGTCCTGGACAATTCTTTGGGCGCTTGGAAAGCGTTGTGGAAACGTACACCCGAGTCCAGCATTGATCCTCAGAACCCAGCTGGTCCTATCGCATTTACATCCACGGCTCTCCTGGGTCTGGCCTATATTAGGTTACACGTTGACTTGGGTCCCTGTCGTCACCTAATTACTCAGGATCCAATGCAGATCGCTATAGCCTTGAGCGAATCACCGCCTATTATCCGCAGTCCGCGGCTGATTATGGCATTGCTGCACTCCGCACACGCTCTCTCTATCCCGGTCCGATTGGGAATCGATTTTGTAGCAAGAACACACTCGTTCTTCTGGAGCATTCAACACTCGCTTTGCAGTCTTGAATGTGCCTTCCTTCTGAGTCGCTGGCTGCTCGCAATCCCTGCGACACAGCCAGACCAGCGGCTATCGGAACACGAGCGCAAGCTTCTTTCGTGGATCAAAAGCATGATGGATGAAACTGACATGGCTGTTGATCCGCCGGGGCCACCAGATATGGAATTCATGGCTAACCCGTACAAGGTGCGGCAGCTGAGCGTGGCTATCGTTCGTGTCTGGGCCCGCACCTTCAAGGGCAATACCAGCTGGGCCATTGTTGATCTCGTTGGTTCAAGCTTGGATGCTTATGCGGATCTTCTAGAGAACTAAATGAATTTAAAGCTTGGAAAGGGTTCGGAATTCTCAAAATCAGGAAACAGTTTCCCATGTATAGGGAGCTGCTATGATGACGTGGTCAGGCCACTTTAATGGTGTTATTGTTATTGCTCGATGGATCTTTCTTTCTCCTATTTTTCCTTTACTGTTTTCTGGTGGACATGATATCTGTCGGAGTTTTGTACATGTGTTTTGGGACTGTTCGGACGGATTTTCTGGGAGAACTTTCAATTTATTGTATGTATCATGACTCGTGATTGGTGTCTATACCCGGTACTGCGTGTTTGCCATTCTATCAATGGAATCTTTTTTCCATACAGCTTGATTGGGTTGTGTACTTGCTAGATACTATCATGTCATAGATTTTTCTTCCAATACAGCACAACTTTGGCTTGGACCTGTGGACCTTGGATTTTCAAGCGTATCCCTATTAGTAGATCACGGATGTTATTCCCAATTGTTGCCTAGGTGTACCTTGGTAGGATCCAGAGTCTCAGGCTAAACTTGATTCAAATCTTGATCCAAAAACATAATAACTTGAACTTCCATTAAATTCATCAATAAACCTCAACTTCGGAGACTCTCGGAATCTGGCTATTTAAATGTCCCATGTTCATACACAAATGTAACATATGGCAAGCTATTGGTTTATGACAGAAGATAGAAACAGCAGGTCTCATAAGATTATCTAGTCACATCATTACTACTCCATCAAACGATGATTATTTCCCTAAACACCAGCCTTGGAGTGGACGGGATCAATGGCTTCTACTTTCCATTGGTTTCTACGCGAGGCCCTTCTAAAGTTTGAAAGGATCTTACTTTGAAGTTCATTGCGTGTCTCCACGGAGATTTACTTGAGATGGACAGCTTCTGTTCACATTATCCAATAGACTTAGGGTATCTTTCGAATGCTTCTATCTTTCAAGAGTTGGAATGCGATGCCTTTGCCCGGTTCTTCGTCACACTGGCGGGCACAAACCGCAGCGCGGACATTGAACGCTCCAAATCATCAATGTCCATGTCATCCGAGGCTAGGGGTTTCGCTTGAATTGGAGGAGGAATCGCTTGAGATGCCGAGCTTCGTCGCCGCAGACGGCCCTCGTTGACCGACGATATAGATGCCGTAGAGATGCGCCGGCGAGTGCGGTCGCTATTCATTGGCCGCAGCAGGGAGGTTTGCTTGTCGAGTCCATCATTAACAATGTAGAAGTTATAGTTCTGGCAGCCTTGTCAGTTTCCCTTTTTATGATCTTCAATCTGGTGGGGTTTAATTCATACTCGAGGGAACATGTGCTTGTCTACCAAGTGCATCCTTCGTTTCTGAGGAGTCGAGCATTTCCGTTCACAAGTCTCAACGAAGCATCCATACTACTCAATTAGTCAGATACTTAGATTAGGCAGAATATGGAATTTTGCATGTTAAGCAAGGAAGAAACCAAGACAACTAACCGTTTTATCCCCTCGTGCCTTTCGAGCAGCTGCTAGAGGATCATGGTTCTCTTCGATATGAAGATTCAAGAAATGGCTAGTTGGGAAGTTTTTGCTGCACTGTGAGCAGCGATTGACATGTGCTTGTATGTAATGAACTTCATAGTCCTCATATGAGGCAAACGACAGAGCTTCTCTGTGTGGCGGTAGCGCGCAATGCATGACCTCTGAGACAGGGATTGAGTCCCGCGCGATCTTCGCCCGTTCTGAGACGGAGGATGTTGGGTTCTCTGTGTTTTCTGTATATGTTGGAGACTGTGGTTGTGGCCCTGGGTCTGGAAGAGTGGGTGAAGGGCTTCTGGAACGCTTGGACATGATTGCAAGGTACTTTCAGTACTCTTAGGTACTTGCTTAGGTACTTGCGGTGACGGCCAGAGATGTGATCGGTCCACTTTGGCGGGGCTGGGTACAATAGGGGAAGCAGCAAGGATTGGCTTATCCACCAAATCTTAGATCATGACATACTGCGAAATCGGTGTTTCTGAAGAGCAGATACTGGGTAAAGAGTAAAAAGAAAGAGAAAAGAGCAAGTCTATACAATCTAAAACTCTCGGCATAAAATGAATTTGTAGGATAAAAATCTCCACTTTGGCTTAAGTGCCCAATCACATCTCCCCACCAAAGGAGGAGTTTCCGCGCTTGTGCCTTTTACTCCACGCTTTTTCTTGATATCGGAATCTGAATTTCCCCTTCCCCCACCACCACTCCTCTCCATCAGGACTGATGGCTTGGCCACTGTTCTTTACGTCCGACGTTTTTCAAGGAGCCATCTGACGGGCGTCCCAGTGGGGTTAACGGACTTTCCCCCGCGAGCATGGCTATCTCGTTCCCGGAAGCGTGGCAGTGAGTGCTCCTTGCCCCCCCTCCAGACAGCAGCCGCACTGAACAAAAGAGTGAGAGAAATGCGATGGATAAGTCGCTAACTGATATCGCGCATAGGACTACGCTCGATGCCGAACGGGAGCTATTGCGATGCCTCGCTGACAAGGAACCAACCTTCGTGGAGTTCTCGCACTACCTCTCCGAGTCAGTCTCATTCCCGCCCGCGCGCTTTTTGGCCGCTTCTCATATGAAATAGGTTCCGCACTGCAGCACAAAACGCTATCCTCCTGGATTTCGATGCCGCCCGCGAATATGATATTGAAGGTCGCCTGTGGGATGCGCACCTGAAACTCAACACCCGGTTTCGCAAGAAGTTATCTCGCGTGAGTGCTGACCTGTTGGAAGCAGATACACGTGATATTTTGGAGCTAACTAGTGCGATTCGCATAGCACAAGGAAGAGAATGTCAAGAAGAAGCCGGTCGAGAAGCGGAAGCTCGAAAAGCATTACCTGGACTTCATCAAGTCGAGCCAACGATTCTACCGCGGATACATCCAGCATCTCTCATCCCACTTCGAAGGCATCCTAGAATTGGAAAAGGTCGCCTGTAAATTTAATTTCGAAAGTGCGCAATACCTTTTGATCTTCTTGGCTAGCGACTCATGCATGGATACTAATATTCTGTTGTTTAGATCTCTCTGCGCGAACCCCCTCCTCGGTTACTCCTGACCTACGCAAGCGCATCCTTCAATCCTGCCATGCAACCCTCATCCGACTGGGCGATCTTTCTCGTTACCGGGAGACAGAATTGGTCGGTAAAGATCGCAATTGGGGCCCGGCCATTGGATATTATGATTTGGCTTCCGTGATATACCCTACTTCTGGCGCATCACACAACCAACTGGCGGTTATTGCGCTCGCCGACGGCAATCACTTTCGCGCCACCTATCATCTTTATCGGGCCTTGTCCGCTCGGGATCCCCATCCCTCGGCCAAAGGAAATCTGGAAATTGAATTTAGAAAGGTCATGACCGCATGGGCCAAGCGGGAGCTGATTCGCCCCGAGGATGCGGGTATTCCGGGCAAAGCTTTAGCTCCCTGGTTTGTCTACCTACATGCACAGTGTTATAAAGGAAGTGATTTCTCTGAGCATGATGAGCTTGAGAGTGAAGTCATGAGCCAGTTTGCTGTGGATATTCGAGAACAACGATCACTGGAAGGTACACTCCAGAAATACTGCCTTGTCAATATCGCGGCGGAGGATTTCGCTCGAGTACGGTCCACTGAAGAATCGGAGAATGCACGCATCTTCTTCCAGCGTATTAATGTGAAGACATTTTTCACCTTGCTTCAAATATTGCTGGTGGAATTGGAGCGCTTTGCTGTGGAGGATTCAGACAGCAAAACGACAGACAATGTCCCAGACAAAGTGACTGTGGTCGCCCGTCGTATTCTGCCTGCTCTGCGGCATTATAGCTCCTGGCTTCTCACCACCTGTGACTTTCTTCTTGCGCAAAAGGAAGAGAAAGACTCAGCTCTATCGATTCAAATTCAGGAGTTCTGGAAAATCTATGCGGGGACCCTGACTCTTCTTGCGTCTACGTTTGATGTTGTGCATCTCCCGGAGATTGATTATCTTCTAGAGGAAGATGAAGAAAGCCTAGGGTTTGCGCCCTTGGATCAAGAAGCCACTAGACGCCGGTACTACGCTACAAATGAGCAGCTCAAGCCCCGAGTGAATGACCCCGGTGTGGAAAGAAGCCACCCTAATGTGGAAATGCTGTACCGGATCCGCGAATTTGTTATCGATGGTCTCGATATGGTCGTGAGAAACAGAATTCCGGTCGCCCTTGTGGATGATGAGGATAAGAAGACATTCATCTATCAAGAAGATGGACTACCTTCGCAATTCTTCTCCAGTCCACATATCCACCAGGACACACTTCCAAGCGCTAACATTGAGCGTGAGGATATTCCACCGCCGACTCAAGATTCTAATTCCGTCGCTGAGGGCCATAGCATGTTTGGTGGCTCTCAATCCGCCTCTGCCTCCATGTCTGCCAATATGAACCGTATCGTGGAGGGTGTCGAACGCCTGGTTGAGTCTGATACATATGAGAATGCGCCTGATGTTCCCGGCCAGTTTGATTCATTTTTCCCCGACACCGGAGACATGCCCACGCCATCCGGTCATGTTAGACCTACTCCTCATGTCTTCCCCTTTAATGAGCAGAGTGTACAGCCTCTTGGCACCCCTATGGCCCCTCCTGGGCTTGGACCGCCTATCCACAATGCAGCAGATAGCCTTAGAGCCTCTTCGGCCCAGTCATACACGCCGTTGGCTGCTCTGCCCAGTATCCCAAGCATCTGGAACACCTCCTCTCCCGGGTCCATGAGAGGTGCCGTATCCCCGCGGACTCCACCCGGTCTTGGTCAACAGCCTCCATTGCATTCGATATCCGCGGTTGGTGCCAAGGTTTCCGAGCGGTCGCCACCCCAGGACCTAATGGCCAACGAGCTACTTCGCCAGAGCGTTATGGGCCAGACACAACTGACAAACTCCTACGAAACACCGTCTGCTCCCTCATGGATGGCGCCTTCCAATTCGGCTGCAGCTCACCCTCGTCTTCCTTCAAACCAATGGGAACGAGAGCCTATTAATCGAATGACTTTCGGCTCCTACCAATTCCCCAGCCAAGTCGTGTCGAGCATGCAAGCTCCATCGTGGGCCAATGACGCCTTCATCGCCAGCAGTTATGCGTCCGGTGCCGGCCAATATCCTCCGGGTCTTGGCCCTCATCGCAAAACGGCTACCCAGCTCGGTGCAATTGGACAAACTCCGCCGTGCGGTCAAGGGGGCTGATTAGGGGCTCGATTTTATGGCTTATATTACGATTAAGTATGAAACATCGCATTATGTGCAAACTTCATACAGCCCACACCTATCAGCTATGCGAGAAGAGAGTGATATCGAATTATCCTACCTGCGCAATCGGAATTAATTTTCCCAGTTATTCCGGTGTGGTGTGCTCCATTTCCACGTTTCTCAACAAATATTGTACCCATCACAGACAGCATTGACAACGAGATTGTATGGTCATGCTTGTTTGTCCTTTCCTTTCCGGTGCAGTTGCTGTTCTGAAACTACTAGGTACAGCAGAAAGCTTCTTCCGTGGTTATCGTTGGCTTAGGAATGCTCATGCTATGCTTGACTAAGACACATGGATATCCCCAAGAATCCTGTTTTCTGTTCCCATCGACATGCTCTCGTCTTTCAATTTTTCGTTCTATCATAGGAAATGAGATGCGCAACGTATTTCAACGCTTGAAAAGGGGAATTGAAGTGAGGTCCTGCAATGCTTGGGGAATTCTTATGTTGCTTTCGGTTTATTCTTGCTTAGTTCTCTTTTTTCCGTTTCATGCGAGATGAAGTCCAGTCATGACCAAAAATCGTTTATCAGCTTTCATCAGCCCAGCTCTTTTGTTTCCCCGATTTTTCAGCCTGGAGGAATGGCATTATACGATAGTCCCAAAGACGTGGTTTCTGGAGAAAGGTTTAGTCAAAGACTAGGCCTTCTTATGCAGACCATGTGTTTACGTGTTTACAGTCAATGCGATGATTTTCAATCTTCAAGTCCTTCAGTCCTTGTTTGTAATATTCATTATATCGTTGTTGAAAACGGGGTAATTTTTACTCGTTTCCGAGTCTATACCACAGGTGACGCCGTGTTGTGAGACATGGTGATACAGGCGATCGTAACAGACATTTAAGATAACCGAAAAGCTCTCATCCAAACAAAAAATAATCCCAAGAATGGAAAGAGAGGGGAAAGAAATATTCAGACAAAATGTCAAGTGCTTTCGGTTCAATTTCTCGACGTTAAGTTGAGATTTTATAAGAAATATGGAAAATAAATAGAAAATATTTGGGTATAGAGGGTTGAATCATCCAAGGGTTGCTAAGTGCATGATCAAATGTTATTGAGTTGCACTGAAATCTTCCAGAGCGGCAGATTTTGTGTTGAAAAGTCTTTCATTTATGAAATTTGGCTTTTAATGGCCATTTATGACCGGGAGTAGGTCTGCTTGGGGTAAGGGTAACTGCATATTCATGGTTAGTCATTGGCCTTTACCGATCAAAAAGACGACGGCAGTAAACTTACGAAGGTCCAAGCTCCTGGATGCTCTTAGCGGCGAGCCACTGGCCCATGTCAACGGAATCCTCCAGAGACTTGCCACCGACAAGACCAGCGAGGAAACCACCAGCGAAGGCGTCACTATCGGTATCGAGGTTAGCGTATTGTAAGAAAGGCAACTATATGGACATGTCAAACTCACCCAGCACCGTTGGTGTCGTTGATAGCATCCTTGGAGAGCTCGTGGACCTTGAACTCCTTGATCTCAACATCACCGCTGGCGGAAGCGATGGCAACGATGGTGGGCTCAGTGCCCTGGGTAACAATGGAGATACGAGCACGCTGGGTGTTCTTCTTGGGCAGGAGGGCGAGCTTCTTGGCGATCTCGACCACGTCCTCGGTGCCCCACTGGTGGCTCTCGGAGTAAGCACGAGCCTCAGTCTCGTTGCAGACGGTGTAGTCAGTGTAAGGGAGAACACTGTCCAGCTGCTCCTTGAAGAATTGGGGGATGAAGGGAGCGGAGAGAGAAAGCATGAAGGGCTAAATGAGTGGAAATTTGTGAGTGGACATGATCTATGAATATTGATTAGAGCAGCAACGTACCTTGTTCTGGGCAGCAGCCTCCTCGGCGAGGGCCAGAATGGCGGGAACGCAGACAGTCAGGTGGAAGCCACCGACAAAGTAGAACTTGGCCTTCTGAACGAGGTCCCAGATGCGGGGCTGCTGGAGGTGCTCGAGCTTGTACTCGTTGGCAGCAGCAAGGTCGGTGCACAAGCTGCGGTTGTGGCCAGTGATGACAGCACCACACTTGCCAGTGGGCTTGGACTCGTCCACACGGTACTCGGTGTGGACACCGGCCTCCTCACAGGTCTTCTTGAGGATGTCACCGTAGGTGTCCTTACCGACGCAGCCAATGTAGACGACGGAGTTATCGGGGAGCAGGTACTGAGCACCACGAGCAGAGTTCTGGGCAGCACCACCGGGAATGAGCTTAGCGTCAAGCTTCATGAGCTCCTCGTAGAGACCCATGTGCTTCTCCTCAGCAAGGATGGCATCGTTATCCTTAAGGCCATACTTCTCCAGAAGAGCGGTATCAGCACGGGCCTGGATGTCGAGGAGAGGGTTCTCCAGGCAAAGCAGAGGGTAACCTTGGGTGGCAGCCATTATGAAAAAGGGTCAAATAATGAATTGAATATGGGGAAAGGGGGGAAAGTGATTTGAAAAGGAGTAAGAAAGTAAGAAAAGAGGGACAAGAGCAGGGGAGTCTAGGTGGGATGGAGGGGCTTTTCTGCCGGATGTCGGGGCGGCAAGTCCCCGGCTCCACTTCGGTGATGTTCATCTCCTGCAATAAACCATCCAAGTCTGTCTACTTGCGGAGCATAGTCCCTTATCGAACGCCTAAACCAATCATCATGGCCGACCATGCTTTGGAGATCCCTGAGATCATCCAGACAGCTTCGATTCAGCAACATCCTTCTGCTGCCCATGACATCAACCCTGCCACAGCGGCCTCGGAAAAACAACCTGTTGTCGTTGCCCCAGCTTCGGAAGCTGGTAGCCTTGCCTCTGACATTGTCGACGAACACCGAGTAGTCCGACCCCTCCGCCGACACCAGACACTTCCGCCTCTCCCCGATCTACGCTTTGAGCAAAGCTATCTAGCTAGCTTGAAGGATGCTGACACTTGGGGCCGGGTGGCGTGGATTACCGTGAGAGACCAGGTAAGCACATAAGCACACAGGCCCACCATTTACCTCATTAGGCATATTCGATAGAGAGATATCTTTATATTTTGTATGGCAAAAATGGCTAATTCCTTTTCACTGTACTATATAGGTTCTCCTTCCGCTTATTCAAGGTACCGTTTGGACACTTGCGCTCTCCGGTTGGAAGTTCTGGAACCGCAACGCCTCTCTTAGTGGACAAACAGTTGGCAGTCGGATTCGCAGATGGTGGTACGACGTCAACAACTGGAAGCTTCCTCCCAAGTGGACGAAGAATACACGATTGGCATCGCAGGTTGAAGAAGTGAGTAGCCCACTATGATCGTTGTGTTTGTTATTCTAATAGGGGCAGTGCGGCTAACGCTACTGGAGTTTTTGAAGTACTATGAGGCCCAGTTTTCTAGTGCTGGTTCGGATTGAGGTCCCATGCTGAGCATGGAATCTAGATCCAGGTACCTGGATACTAGCATTTTTGGCGTTAGGTCTTCTGGTTTTGACTTTGTTTTCTTCTGTTTTATATCCCAATATCTAGAGTGTTTCCTCTTTCGTCAACTACTAGTATACATTTAGTTCGTGTCTAGTGGCGTCAATTTCTTTCCTGCAGCCGCACCATTTATGCACACAACTCGCGCTCAACCAGCGTATTAGCATTTATTGATTGGGTGCTAGCCGGCTACACAATAAAAAGCGGTTGTGCATGCTGCAAATCCTGGAAGAAACTTGCATTAATCACTTGATATAAAATCCTATTCCTATTCATACCCTCATATCTCTAAATCAACTGAAAATAATGCATAAGAGCAGCAACTGAAGAGACACCGGTCCAATAACCAAAAGAGCTTAATAGTAGACAGGTGAAGAGATAATACAATCCAAATTTCCACACCCCTGGAGAGATGCAAAGGCTCAATCATTCAATTATCGATATTCAAAGCCAACTAATAGCACTTAAAATAGTAACTTTAGTATCGGATTCTAGTTTTGACCAGTAGGGGTTGGCACTTGGGAGAGTCCAGGACCCGGGCGATTCTCGGTTTCTGTATTATCTCGAGGCCATCCATTCGGCTCAACGGACTGAATAGATACCGGTACCTCGGGCGACGAGACGCTCGCAGTCTTCGATAGGACAGCCGCTTGGTGCTTGTGATCGGAAGTTGTGGATGGTGCAGTTAGCACTGGAGCTGTTGAACCCTGGCTAACTTCTTGCAGATGCGACGGCTTGTCTGCAACTGGCTCTGGTGTTGGTGGCACAGCTTTGCTTGGGCTCTTTATCTGAACATCATGTGCAGGAGGAGGCTCATCTTCGGATGGTTTATGTTCACTTGGAACATTTCCTTTGCCGATACGAAGCTGAACCACCAGGCTAGGGGGTTCACCATTGGTGATGGATTCATCCTCGCTCTCGCCTTCTCTTTCATCATCTCCTTCCGCCTCGTTTCTATCGTCCCCACTTTGCCACTCATTTCCACTCTCGTTTGCACTGGACCGAGCTTCCGACTCGTCGTCCAGGTCAACTGCAGCATATCCAGAGTAACCATTGGGGTTTGTGGATGTTCGTGATCTCTGTGGTCTCGTAGTGTCTTCTTCCTCTTCGTCTGAGTCTTCACGCTGCCCAGTAAGCAAGGCTTCTCCATAAAGACCTCCCGCACGAGATCGAATCTGCCGCCCACTGGCCGTGAATCGAGTACGAGGCTCGGGAGCTGTCACATTTGATGACGCATTGCGACCTGATCGTCTGGAGGGCTGTTCATCGGAAAAGATATCCTCGTCGTCTGAGTATGTATACTTTAACTTCTTTCCGCGGGTTCGACCTTCGTACATAGAAAAACCAGGCTCGGGTCGTGTGAATGCAGCCTTTCGAGCAAGGCGGTAGTCCCGGCGTTTGCGTTTCTATTATCGTTGTCAATGTCTGAAGCCCTGGTGAATTCCATGCGGTAACGTACCTCTTCTGACGCTTCAAACCGGGGGATGGCATTGTATATCCTTTCGGCAAGCTTCTTCGAGTTCGTGCCTTTCTCTTGCTGCAATTTATCGGCGATTTCTTGTATTTCTGGAATACTTCCAGCAACGTTCCACCAGCTGATATTTTTGAGAGCAGGGTTGCTCTCTCGGTACAAACGAAAGTTGGTGTCGTCTTGCCCCTCGATAAGCCAGTATCGCCGTTTCAAACTATCACGACCCCACGATTGAACAGATAGAGGTTGATTGAGGTCATCGTCATGGCGCGCTTGCTTGTATGACTCTTTGACCTTAGCTTGAATGGTTTCAGAAGATGAGAGGGACCAAAGAATCAAAGACTTCACAAGCTCAAGCTATATCAAGAAAAGGAATGTATTAGAACGGGGCTCCTGAATGAATGTCAAGGTATCGGTGCATACGCGTTCTTCGGGTGTCATGCTCGTAAAGCTGCGGCCCCCGTGAAGGGGATTCTTGCCCTCCCATGATTTGGGCCACTGCGGTTGATGTGTGTGAATTGCCTCCTCCAATGGCCGTGTATAATGATTCCGTCTAAAATAAAAGGAATACCGGATCAGCGATGAATTCTGTGGTCAATTGGCGGTCGAGGGTCAAATGCGCGCGGGATTTCAAGGTTCTGCGCGGGATCAAGCACCAGGTGGCGAACATACTCAACATCCTTTTTGCGGTTCAAAACAAGACCTAACAATGCGCAAAGCAGTCGCTCAATATATTCACCCGGCGTAGTGTCTTCGACACCTCTCTCAATGTCCTGCGGACCAAAATGCGGCAGGCTGCGAGGAAAGGCGTCATGGAATCGCGCGCGGAACATGACGATGAACTAAACATTGCGATGCATTAACAAACGTGTCTTCGAACAAAATAAACGCGTCATGAACATGCTGCTGGACCTGAAATCCAGTTGAATCAATTGGCGACGAGAAAACTCACGGCGATACTGGGGTTATCTGCCAGCACATATTCATGCGGTGGTGACGGCTCGCGCTTTGGCGGCGGAGTCTCAGACTCCTTCTTGAAGTACTTTGCGATTCCAACGGGGGGTTCGTCAAGAGCCATAGCGGCTTCATCATCCGTCGGCGGCGCTGACGATAAAGATGACAGATCTGAGTCCGACGGTGCCATAGTAAAGGTGGTGGTGGGGGTAATAGTTGAAGGTGGTGCGAAGGACAAAGTTGAAGCGCGCGAAGGAAGCGTCACGTCCGGCCTAGCACCTGCGCGCCCGCAAAGATGACTACTTGAACGGGAGATCCCTTACGCACTTTTGAACTCTTTCTCCATTCATGGACTCGCTATTTGAGCAAGAATATTGGAATGAAATGGGCTTGGTTCTCTACATCACGGTCTATATAGGATTTGATGTATATTCATATGAATGCATTGAAACGAGACAAATATACGGTTATATGCTATACTGCTAGTCTTATCTCCTCTTCTTAAGGAAGAAAAAAATAGACCAGAACATAATCGGCACTCTATTTCCCTGGACAAGTGGTTGTTGTTGCACATCTGGGATTTAGAGGCAAATCTTGTAACTTGACGCTTGATCCAACGTATTCGAAGTTATCATAGCTTCAAGCCGACATTGGTTTTCTTGAAATGTAACTGATGAATAAGAAAAGTGTTGCATAAGAGTCTGATCAAAAACACGGCACAAGTGGGCATTGATCAATGTGATTGAAAAAACATTGTGCATGACATATTCGTGCTGTTCTCCGCATTAGAGAAGCAAGAAGCACGGTCGGGGCGATGCCAAGTGCAATAATGCCACTTCAGGGCTATCGGGCTGATCATGTGATTTGATTAAGTCATCGAGAGTAGGCGGGACGAAATTTCGAATACAAGATACTATGATCCTAGGAATGGATTTTAAAAAATATCTAATAACAGGTAGAAATCCTATAGATTATGTCAAATTAATGAGAAGTAGTTTGAAATGAATTTTACCCTTGAAAGTCATGAATTATTTTCTCCATTACGCACTTGAAGCAAGTTATGTTCAACTGACTAGTACTTTTGATCACATGATCATCAACCCGTGGATGATGATTTACATAATCAACTTAGCGCTAGTCCTGATTTGGTTTGGTTAGCGACCGCGCCCTAAAGCCCACACAGTCCCATTCTCCGTCGATTTCTCATCCTCCCCAAACGACAAGCCTATCTTCAATTCAAGGTGCGACCTTTCCCCTTCCACCGTCCCCGACCTCGTCTGTCCTCCTCGTTCAAACTAACACAGGTTCTTCTTAACCACAGACAGTCGCCATGGGTCGTGTGATCCGTAACCAGAGGAAGGGCCGTGGCTCCATTTTCAGTGAGTGCGACCGCATCAAAATCCCACAATCACATCCTACATTCGAAAAAATTGTCAGCGCCGCCATACAGAGCAGCAAAGAGATGGAAACAACACGACGAACACCACATGCAACATATGCGAAGGAATTGGAATGCTGATATCGAATTTTTTTTTTCTCTTACAGCGGCCAACACCCGTCTTAACAAGGCGCCCGCCCAGTTCCGTACCCTCGACTTCGCCGAGCGCCACGGTTACACCCGTGGTGTTGTCAAGGAGATCATCCACGATGCCGGTCGCGGTGCTCCCCTCGCCAAGGTCCAGTTCCGTCACCCCTACAAGTTCAAGATGATCACCGAGACCTTCATCGCCAACGAGGGCATGTACACCGGCCAGTTCATCTACGCCGGTAAGAACGCTCAGCTCACCGTCGGTAACATTCTTCCCCTCGGCTCCCTGCCCGAGGGTACCGTTGTCACCAACGTCGAGGAGAAGGCTGGTGACCGTGGTGCTCTTGGCCGTACCTCCGGTAACTACGTTACCGTCATTGGCCACAACCCCGATGAGGGCAAGACCCGTGTCAAGCTCCCCTCCGGTGCCAAGAAGGTCGTCAAGAACACCGCCCGTGGTATGGTTGGTATCGTCGCCGGTGGTGGCCGTACCGACAAGCCTTTGCTCAAGGCTTCCCGTGCCAAGCACAAGTTCGCTGTCAAGCGCAACTCTTGGCCCAAGACTCGTGGTGTTGCCATGAACCCCGTCGATCACGTAAGTTATGGCAACTTCGGAGACACTTCATTTCTTGTCACTAACCAGATTTTTTTCTACAGCCTCACGGTGGTGGTAACCACCAGCACATCGGTAAGGCCTCGACCATCTCCCGCTACGCTACCCAGGGTCAAAAGGCTGGTCTCATTGCTGCCCGCCGTACTGGTCTGCTCCGCGGTACCCAGAAGACCAAGGATTAAATGCAGTAATGCTATTTGGAGTTTTCTTTGTGAAGGGTTGAAAATGGACTTCTGCTATGAGACATATGTACCTAGGCGACTGCGGATAAGCGTCCCATGTGCCCTTAGCGAATTAAGGTTGTGGTCACCATCCTTTTTCTGAATAAATCAACAAAAAGGGTGATGAAATGGGGTCCGGGGTTGGCCTCATGTCAAGGGCAGGACGGAAAAATCAAAAAAGTCCCATGGGGCTCTTGAAATGATATATCTACGAAACTTTCAAAATGTCCTGTTGCCCGCCCTGTAGATTTGTAGATCTGAGATGAAAACCCATGTAGACTTCAAATTTTCGAACATTCAAATGTTGAACACTCCTGGCATATGACGACCACCTGCACATGTGGGCAACATTTGAACCTACCAACAAATCTTGAAGGTTGGAACTTTCAAGTTGACATTTAAATATTCTGGAAGGATGGAACCCACATGCAAGGCTGGACCTCGGGAATTGATGCTTCAATGTTTCATTTACGAGCCTCCCCAGCACTGGCTCCCGTGCACAGAGCTCGGTGCATCTTATGTAGTATGGATGCACCAGTTGACATTGGATCTTGAATCGAGAATTTAAGCCAAAAAATATTCTTTGGGGTTTTTGATGTCAAAGCACCGTACATCCATTCTATGTATAGTAATCTCCTGCACCACATGTGCAGGTTACCTAGTCCCTTTTTAGGGTCAATTACGAAAGAGCAGTTGCGCCATTATTGATCCTTTTTGCTGGTGTCTTTCAAAATGTATGCGATGCACAATTCTGAGATCAGGTGGTTTGGAATTTAGGTCAACGACTGTATGGAAGTACACATGTGCATACTAGGGATCCTATATATAAGCTTGAGACCTCGGGAGGCATGGGCGAAATCAATACGGATGAACACTAATGTTAAAGGCTACGCGCGATACTGGTATCTATCTGTGGAATTAAGACCTCAGGAACTGTGTGCACATGTGGAATCACAACATTGAAGGTTGTATCTAAGATGGATATAGCTAGTGTAGACCCGGGCAAACCTATGTACTAATAGTACTCAAGTGCTATAAATGTTGTATTGATATCTATCAAAACACAGGTATGCCTCTAAAGTGATAAAAAACACATAATTTAATTTTTTGAAGCTCGATATCTTGGTACCTATATAGTATATGTTCATAGCACCTATAGGTACCTATCTACATAGTAGTCTGGATATAGAAGTATATATACAACATTCGTAGGTTACCAGGTACCTATACATATGTGTACATCCACATATATAGATATGTGTGAACCCAGATATCTGGATGGTTTAATGTTGCGGGATATGTACTCATGCCCACATGCAGGTGGACCTGGCTTGTATATGTATTCCTTCAAATAGACCCTTTAGTGCCATGTGATCAATATGTATGGATGTACCACCTGGCGTACGGGCAGTATTTAAATATTTAAATATGCTAACCTTCTAATCAATTATTTATACATGTACAAACAATATAAGAATCAATTGCTACAACCTGGGTTTATGTCTGGAAGAGTCATTGAACCCGCGGATGTTGGTATCGTTGATCTTGAACTAACCAATCAGAGGCCTAGGGCAGGACTTGGGAGCAAACTACCTTATCAGGCCAATTACACCTTCCCACCTGGGCTCCCCCTCTCCCAATCCATATCACTGTCTGATCTCTACTATGCTTTGTAAATGATTCATCTACCAAGACCGTTCCGAAATGGCCAGTGCACACGTCGCCCCGCTGAAAATCCCCCGCCTCGGTCGATCCGACGATAACCTTACCTCTGCCGAGCGGTGGCAAGCCATCACCAAGCGCGACACAACCGTGAACAGTTTCGTCTACGGCGTCCTCACCACCAAAATATACTGCCGGCCATCCTGCGGCGCTCGTCTCGCCCGTCGCGCGAATGTCGAATTCTACAACACTCCCTCCCAGGCCGAGAAAGCGGGCTTCCGGCCCTGTAAGCGCTGTCGGCCACAAAGCGGGGGCACGGCAGCGCAGAGTAATCCCCAAGCCGCGGTGGTTGAGAAGGCATGTCAAACAATACGGGACCAAGTCAGCGCAGGAATGAAACCACCCCGATTGCACGATTTGGCCACCCAAGCAGGGCTGACAGCGAGCCATTTTCATCGTGTGTTTAAAAAGATTCTGGGCGTGACGCCAGGTCAGTATGCGAGTAGTGTGGCCCAGAACGGTTCTTGTCCGTCGCCGGGGTCTTTGACGCCTGATGCTTTGTCTGAACTTGAAACACCACCTTTATCGGCATCGCCCTTTGGGCTGGGGGTTGGGTTGGGGCTACCCGAGATGGACGGGAGGGAGGAGCTGGATTTAGATTGTGGGCAAGGCTCCGCGCTTCCTGGGGAGCCGGCGGTTAGGCGGAAGGATTTCTCTCCTGTCATCTTGGATAACGCATGGAATGAGTTTGACATTTTGTTGGCGGCAGAGAATCAGGGGCAGGTATCCTCTTTCGATTCTTTCTCCATTGACCCGCGGGTTCTATTACATCGGACCTGAGATGGGATCATGAACCGGTTCCTTCAATTACCATTGAGAGGTGGATCCAGAACTCCAGTCTCCAGGCCCACGAGGCTTGTCTCTCGACTACGGAATTACGTTTTGAAATGAAATAACGAAAATACGAGTACGATGACAAATGACCACAAATGACCACAACTGTAACCCTACAACAAGCCTACAGAATAGAGTAATTTTTGACCGGAGTATAAATTAGAAAATAAGCACTACCGAGACTTGAGCGGGGAAATGTGCGAAAGAGGTCCCTGCAGCGAAGCCTACCAGAAGATGCAGTGTAAAGTGTAGATTTGAGTAGGATTTTGTATGGCTTCATATGATTCGACGTGACAATTTTCATCGCCACCACCACGGCTTGGCATCAATCTGTAAGGGTGGATTGAAACAGCGACGAAACCTATCCGGGGCGACGCTAAGACGACAACTGGTCCCCGTGCGCGAGAGTACGTACCTACAAACCCTGTAACCTGGGACAAAGTTTACATGGAGTCAATGTTGAACGATCGGCAAGACGAAGCAAGTTGGGAGAAAAATGAACTCCAATATCATGACCTAATTGGCCGGATGGATTGAAATCTGGTCTATCCACAGGACCCTGTTTCCTTGACGGTGGCGTGTTTTTGCTGTGAAGATAATTATAGCATGAAGATCCGGGAGAAGTTCCTGGTCTTCCAATTGGAATCATCGAATCTCCACTGGGATCCACTAACGCGTGTCACCTTTAACCGCGATGGTCGAGCCCAATCTGAAACAAATTGCCTAATTTCGGGATAAGGGGGGGGGGCATTGGTTCTTTCTTGATTTGCTTTTGTCTCTGTTTTCTCTTCTTTTATTGTACCTTGTCGATAGAGATTAAAGGGGGTATTTATTGTATTTACTGTATTTCTTTCTAGTGAAACCGAATGAGATCAGTGGCGAGGCAATTGCAAAGCAGTCTATCAATGAATTCATTGTTTGAGGCGCATTCCCCACCGATCGACAGCATTTTGTATCTCTGCATGCAGTGAAACGCTTTAGGGGGAAAATTCGAGAAACTTTGTCAATGATCAATGATCAATTGCGTGCCATGAGGATAGATTGATCTAATTGAAATATTTGAAATTCGAATTTTCCAAAAAAATTTCAATTTCAGATTGGATGGGGTAAATGTGAAGTACGTACTCCATACAATTTGTACGGAGTAGAAATTATCATATCAAGTTCTCCCTTGCCCCGGCTTTCCTTCCCAACCTCCCCTTTCTCTCTCTCTTCCCCTCCACATCTCCCTACCCCCAAAATAAAATATACCCTTCGTTTTGATCTGAACTTCCGCATCTGTATTTTGCTTTCAGACCACTTTGCGATCGTTTCATAGGAGACCATTCTACACCCAACTTCCTCCATCGCTACTTTACTCGTTTCGCCCTCACGGTTAATTTCGCCGGTTAATTTGTGATTGATTTCCCCGTTCATTTTTCAATCACCTGCCAGAACCACACACACCTCCAAAATGCACGTGAACAAGAGAATCGGTCGCTTCAAGCAATGGGCGGGAGAGCGCATGGGTGGTGAGGCCAAAACATGTCAATCGGATGATTTCAAGGCCATGGAGACAGAGATGGGCGTGCGCCATGAAGGTAAATAATACTTGGTGGAATGACCTTTCGATCATAATAAAATGCTGACACTCTAATCCTTACCAGGTGTTGATCACATTCACAAGTCCATGACCGCCTACGTCAAGGCAATCTCGAAGCGCACCGAGGGAGACGATAAGGAAAAGACCCTGCCAATTGCTCACCTGGGAAGTAGCATGGTCACCCATGGAGAGGATTTTGATGGAAATTCTGAATACGGGCAGTGCCTGATCAGTGAGTTGAAACTTATGATCGCAAGACCGTGTCGGAATTAACAAGACTAACAATCGCATTAGTGTTTGGAAGGACCGAGGAGCGCGTTGCTCGTATTCAAGAGAGTTACATTGCACAGGCGACTTCAAGCTGGCTTGAGTCCCAAGAGAGGTCTCTCACGCAAATGAAAGAATACCAACAGGCTCGCAAGAAGTTGGACAGCCGACGACTAGCATACGACACATCGCTGTCTAAGATGGAAAAGGCCAAGAAAGAGGATTTCCGAGTGGAAGAGGAACTTCGCACTCAGAAAGTTAAATACGAAGAAGCCAACGACGAGGTACTCCGCCGCATGCAGGACATCAAGGAGGGAGAAGTTGACAGCGTGATGGATCTGGGCACATTTTTGGATGCCCAGCTGGAGTACCACGACCGATGCCGTGAAGCACTTCTGCAACTGAGAAATGAATGGCCTGGCGGGTAAGTGCCCCCTTTAAAAAAAATAGCCAACTTTTGGGAGAATCCCCGCGCTAACCTTGCACTATTAGGTCCGGCCAAGGCCCAGCACCACGTCGCCCCACACGAGCTCGCTCCAATACTGCACACTCATACCAGGAGCGCTACGAGCCCGTGCAGGAAGAGCTGACAAATTCGGTGGAGAGCCGGCCCACTATCCGATCAACTAGAACCGTGTCGACCACTTTGGCCGACTCTTTCCCAAGAGAAGTTCAGAGAGAACCCCAGCCCATCAGCAATAGCTACTCCCGTCCGGCTTTGAGTCGAGTCCCCACTTTCGAAGGACCAACCCAGCTTCGACAGGAGCATTCCCCAGTCGCATCACAGTGGATTCAACGAACAACCAGCGAGACTCTCGCCAATCGTCGCAATAGCACTTACTTGAACACTCGAGCGGCTGATCCATATGCCGATTCTGAAGTGAGCTCTTATGGGTCGTATGGTCGCTCCAGCCCAGAACGCATGTATGGCGATCGATCATGCTCCCCAGCCACATCACACGGTAGCAATGTTCCTTCTCGGCAAGCCAGTTCTACAGCCTTGAATGCGAGCCATCTGAGCAAAAAAGCCCCTCCACCACCTCCCCCATCTCGTGCAAAGAAGCCCCCTCCCCCGCCCCCTCCGATGAAGCGGAGCTTGTCCACTGCGCCGACTGCATAGTGACAAGGCAGATATTTTCTATACTGAAGGAGTTGGGGTGTGAGCTTTGGGCTTTTCGTGGTAAACAACGATTTCTTTGGTTACTATTCTTATTCTTTTTTTTTGTAGTGTTTTGTCTGTCAGTCCTTATTAATACTTCCCATATGTCATCTCTGTACAGATTTGCCTTACTGTTAGAAGCCTCGAGGATTTTCTTTGAGGGAATGCAGATTTGGAATGAAGACGTTGTCACGCGAGCTGTTTCATACCTGAGGTTTGATTCGTTCAATAGTTTGTGCAGCGAGTTGCACAGTTAGAATTAAGGTATCGCCTTGTGATTTTATATTTTCAAGTTTTGGTTTTGGTAATTTGAAAAGTGTGTAATTCTCCTGAACGAAGCCATGTGTACTCCATGTGTACTAGCAGGGACTTGAATTGTATCGTACAGCGGGTTTAGATTGCTTTGTTCAATGTTTGCATTGATTGCATTGATGGCAAATCAAGCAATATGATTGGGTCTGAATAATACTAAGAGGGACATGGTGACTGCGTTCAGCACAGACCAGGTGGAATCGGCTGAATCAGCTATACACCACGTGACTCACACTGAAATCTCCTCCTTCCTGTTGTTACCAACTCAGAGGAGCAGCACCCAGGTTTCCCCGAGAGAGAGTCGCGCAACTCGGTCCCCTCTATCCCCATTCCCATCCACGGCCACACGCCGTCCCCCCACAGTTACTGCCTTTCACCTTTTTTCAGGTACTTACTGTGAATCGTGTCAGCTTACCCCATTTAATTCCCTTTATCCCCTTTTGTTCCCAGTACCCGCCGGCCCCCCCCATAATCCCATCGATCGCATCTCCGAACCCGCCGACCACGCGCCTAAAACAGCGCGTCTCATCACCAAAAGGGCTTTCCACAACCACGTTTGGCTACCCTCGACTTCCCAATCAACCCCCTTTGGTCGCATTCCCACCCTGCCCAGCGCCACCACCTTACCACCCCTAGGTGTCCAGTCGCGACCTCCAGTAGGGACTGAGTGGAGTCCGCGACATTCAACTCCATTTCCGCGTCCCTTTCAATTCTATATCACCACCATCACTCTATCACCACTTATGAATTGAAAGTACCCACGTGTAAAATGGCCTCTATTCAGTCAGCGCCGAATATGGCGTCAGCCAATGGCGCCAATTCTGCACAGGGCGCGAACCCATTGCAAAACTTGACTGGCGACCAAGTCAAAGACATCCTTCACGTAAGTAATAATAACTCCATACCCTAATCGGAACTTCCTGATTTCTCACCACCCCGAATGCATACACCACCACCTTAATTCCCTCAGTTCCCCCCGTTTATTCAAGTTCCCTAACCTCGACACAGAAACTCCGTCAGATGAAAACACACATGGATGCCAAGGGTATCCGTGTTGACGACCTCCCCACCGATAAAAAAGAAACTTACAAGTACTTCCTTTCGGTTTACGTACAAGTCATGGCTTACCAGCAAAAAAAAGCTGCCGCCGCCAATGGTGCTCAGGGTAAGCCTCGTTGCGCATCTCACATTCGGTTTGTTTGGTTGCCCATCGCTGACCATATTTTCAGGCCAGAACCCCTCGATCCCACCCAACGCTGGACTTCAGCAAGTTCAGCCCCAGATGCCTGTCCAGAAAAGTGCAACGCTCGGAAATGGACCGTGGAGCAAGGCACAATACGAACTCTACCGACACCAACAGCTTTTGCATGAAAAGGCGAAGAACAATCAATCCCTGACTCCAGCCGACATGCAAAGCCTGCAGGAATTTACATCCGTGGTCGCCCCATCCCGGCCGAGGATGGTTGCTGCAGCAGAGAAGATTGTCAACGACGCCGAGAAAGGCTCGGTCGAGCCAGCTGCGAACAACGGCGATGTTCCTCCCGAAAAGACATGGTACAGCACCCTCGAACAACCAGATATTCTGCGCCAGCAAGTCAACTATCACAAATATCGCATTCGCCGAAACCGGCCCACAGTACCAGCTTCTTGGCCTTATGGTCTTGATCTGCAGGAAATTCGTGCGCGCCGTCAAGAGGTCGTTGGCCATCAAATGGCTAGCCGGCGAGCTGAGCTTGCTGAAATGTCGGCTTCTGTCGGTGTTTGGGACACTGCCAATAATGACACGCCCTCCCGCGACGATTCGATGAAGATCCGCATTTTCAATGAGCTTGCGGCGTTGGATAAATACTCCAGGCAGCAACGGCTTCGGGACGTCGTCTCTCGTGAGATGTTCCAATATAGCCAAGGAATGACTGCTAATCGTTCCGTTCATCGTCGTCTGAAGAAGCCCTCGCTTCGTGAAGCTCGGGTTACTGAGAATCTCGAGAAGCAACAGCGTGATGCCCGCGAGACTCGGGAGAAGAAGAAGCAGTTCGACCAGATCCAGGCCATCCTTACCCATGGCGCTGAGCTCATGAGCCACTCAGCTGGCGCCCGTTCTCGATCCCAGAAACTTGGCCGGATGATGGTTCAGCATCACCAGCATATGGAGCGCGAAGAGCAGCGACGTGTGGAGCGCACTGCCAAGCAACGTCTCCAAGCTCTTAAGGCTAACGATGAGGAGACATACCTGAAGCTTCTTGGCCAGGCCAAGGATTCTCGTATCTCACACTTGCTGAACCAGACCGACAAGTTCTTGAAAGAATTGGCTGCATCAGTTAGACGACAACAACGCAACCAGGCCGAGCGCTACGGCGAAGATGAAGAAATGGAAGAAGAGGAGGAAGAAGATGAAGAGATCGCCAACAGTGAGATTGATGAGGCTGATCAAGATCCCAACAAGAAGACCATTGATTACTACGCTGTGGCTCATCGCATCAGGGAGGAGGTTACAGAACAGCCCAGCATCCTGGTCGGTGGCCAATTGAAGGAGTACCAGATCAAGGGTCTCCAGTGGATGATTTCCTTGTACAACAACAACCTGAATGGTATCTTGGCAGACGAGATGGGTCTTGGAAAGACCATTCAGACCATCAGTTTGATCACCCATATCATCGAAAAGAAGAGGAACAACGGTCCCTTCTTGGTTATTGTGCCCCTCAGTACCCTCACCAACTGGAACATTGAGTTCGATAAATGGGCCCCATCGGTTGTCAAGGTCGTGTACAAGGGACCCCCGAATGCACGAAAGCAACAACAACAGCAGATTCGTTGGGGTAACTTCCAGGTCCTTCTGACTACTTACGAGTACATCATCAAGGACCGACCCATCCTCAGCAAAATCAAGTGGACTCATATGATCGTCGATGAAGGTCACCGTATGAAGAACGCCAACTCCAAGCTGAGCAGCACTCTTTCGTCGTACTACAACAGCAGATACCGTCTTATTCTGACTGGTACCCCCTTGCAAAACAATTTGCCTGAACTGTGGGCTCTTTTGAACTTTGTTCTCCCCAATATTTTCAAATCTGTGAAGTCGTTCGATGAATGGTTCAACACACCGTTTGCCAACACTGGTGGCCAGGACCGCATGGACTTGAGCGAAGAAGAACAGTTGCTTGTGATTCGTCGTTTGCACAAGGTTCTCCGTCCATTCTTGCTGCGTCGTTTGAAGAAGGACGTCGAGAAAGATTTGCCCGACAAGCAAGAGCGCGTTGTCAAGTGTCGTTTCTCCGCCTTGCAAGCCAAGTTGTATAAGCAACTTGTCACTCACAACAAGATTGCTGTTGGCGACGGCAAGGGTGGAAAGACTGGTATGCGTGGTCTCAGCAACATGCTTATGCAGCTGCGGAAACTTTGCAACCATCCCTTCGTCTTCGAGCCCGTTGAAGATCAGATGAACCCTGCTCGGACTACCAACGACCTTCTTTGGCGAACGGCAGGTAAATTCGAGTTGCTGGATCGTATCCTGCCCAAGTTCCGTGCCACTGGTCACCGTGTCTTGATGTTCTTCCAGATGACTCAAATCATGAACATCATGGAGGATTTCCTGCGCATGCGCGGCCTCAAGTACCTTCGTCTGGACGGTTCCACCAAATCCGATGATCGATCAGACCTCTTGAAGGTTTTCAATGAGCCCGGTTCCGATTACTTCTGCTTCTTGCTTTCCACCCGTGCTGGTGGTCTAGGTCTTAACCTGCAGACCGCCGATACTGTCATTATCTATGATTCCGATTGGAATCCTCACCAGGATTTGCAAGCCCAAGATCGTGCTCACCGTATCGGTCAAAAGAACGAAGTTCGAATTTTGAGACTCATCAGTTCCAATTCCGTCGAGGAGAAGATTTTGGAACGCGCTCAGTTCAAGCTTGACATGGATGGCAAGGTCATTCAAGCCGGAAAGTTCGATAACAAGTCAACCAACGAGGAGCGTGATGCTCTTCTTCGGACCCTTCTGGATACTGCGGAAGCTGCAGATCAAGTGGGCGAACAAGACGAAATGGATGATGATGATCTGAACGAAATCATGGCTCGTTCTGAGGATGAGATCAAGATTTTCCAAGAAATGGACCAGGCGCGACTGGCCAGCGACAAGTATGGCCCCGGCAAGCGTTTCCCCCGTCTCATGTGCGAGGATGAGCTACCGGATATCTATCTGCAAGAGGATAATCCTATCACCGAGGAAGTCGAGGCCGAGGTTTATGGCCGTGGTGCTCGTGAACGCAAGATCACCCGATATGATGATGGTCTATCTGAGCAGCAGTTCTTAGATGCGATGGAGGGCCTCGAAGAGGGTCGACTCACTCTGGAGCAAGTTATTGAGAAGAACGAGCGCCGGGCCGCTGAACGTGCAGCCAGGAAGGATAAGAAGCACAAGAAAGCATCAGGAGCCGATGTCGATTCTTCTCCAGAACCCGAGCCCGAACCGTCTATTGCCGATGAAGAAGAGACCCCTCAGCGAAAGCAGGGTCGTCGTCGTGGTCCTCCACCCAAGCGCAAGGCCGAGGAGCCGCCCATCGAAGAAAACCCACAGCCTAAGCGCAAGAGAGGCCGCCAACCAAAGACTCCCGAAACTTTGAGTAGTTCCGACCGTGCCATCTTGACCCGCATCGTTTCCAGCACCATCCAATCCCTGAAGGAGATGGAACAGGAAATCCCAGCTGAGGGCTCTGATAGCGAGGAAGGTCCCCTTCTACGTGCCATAATTGAGCCGTTCATGAAGCCTCCACCGAAGACAACGTACCCTGATTACTACATGATTATCAAGAATCCCATCGCGATGGATCAGATTGAAAAGAAGTTGAAGCGCGATGATTACCAGAGCTTGAGGGAGTTCAGGAACGATATTCACCTGCTCTGCCAGAACGCTCGAACTTACAACGAAGATGGCAGTATCTTGTTCCAGGATGCAAATGACATCGAGGTAAGCAAGATTTTCTACCCTCTGTTTTTCCTTGACCACACACTAACTTATTATCTCAGGGCAAATGCTTGATGGAATTAAGGAAGCAGACCGAGGGTCACCCTCAGTTTGCCAATTTTGATGATCCTGGCTCGGTCGCTGGCGACGGTCAGTCGACTGGCGCCGACACCCCCTTGACTGCCGGCACCCCTGGAGCCCAGCCCAAGCTTAAGCTTACCTTCAACAACTCCAATTTTGACAATGCTAGCACCGCAAACGGTACTGATTTCAGTCTTGATGAAGAGTAAAATCCTTACTTCGGGACAAGTCTTCATACATACATTTTTTTCTCTTCCTTTTCCGCCTGTGTTACTGTCATATTCACCTTGGAAATTTCTTCCTTCTGTTATGAAATTCTGGAAGGCGTTCTCCGTGCTTTGCGTTTGGTGAACCGGACAAGAGATTCTGTTTTTCATTTTTTGTGTTTTCAATGAACGATTCATTAACGAGAGGTGGTCGGTCTGACCGTGTGAAAGATCTTTAGATCAGTTGGACCTTGTATGTTGTCAGCATGTATGGCTAGTCAAATTATTAAAGAAAGATTCAAATAATGGGTTCGGAATATTCCACGTTTGTCTTCAAATTACTTGGTAGAAAGTAATCCTCCAAGGATGTTAAATCTGACCAACCTCGTATCAATTGAAGCCTCAAATTTCATTGCATACATAGCCTCAACACGTGATGTGGCGATGAGTGTGCAACCTTATCATGTCCTTCTCTTCATAACGAATTTCATACCATGTCTCAAGTCTCGAAATCAGGGGAAGATAATCTGTTCTTCATGACCACGCCATGCCCGCGAATATTCGTGTCCTCAAGGATGATGCTGGTGCCCGCAATCTTCAGACCGTATTCCGAGTGTCTCCACTCGGGCAGAAACGACAAGAAGTCCATTCAAGGAGAACCCATAAAAAATCCCGAGCTGGTTGCTTGACATGCAAGAAGAGAAGAGTTAAGGTATTTCATGAATGGACAAGCTCGGCAGATCCATACAACTAAGACTGAGATTCATACAGTGTGATGAAGAAAAACCAGAATGTCAAAGGTGCAAAAGCCGCGGCGTTGACTGCTGCTATTCGTCCGAATTGGAAATTCCCAGCAATAATCAAGATAGTCTGGGGATACCTTCTCCAAAAGATGCTACTTTTCCCTCTCTCGCACTTGACAATCTTTCAAAAAGCATTCAAAATACGCTGAACTTTGACCAAGAGCAGGGGAAAAGTCAGTATGATTTTCTGAATAGAAGATCCGGCCATCCACTCAGCACAATTGCTTTCCAGCATTTCATCAATGCTTCGACTGATACGGTTGCAATTCCTGGTATTCGCAATGTCATGCGAACCGATATGATACGCGTCGCATTCACAGTAAGTATCGATTCCGCCATTGACAAGTTGAATATCTAATTCAGTCTACGCAGAGTTCTCACTTAATGTACACCATCCTCGGCGTAGGAATGCTTCACTACAACCGGATTTCTCCCAGTAAAGAAAGATCTCTTGCAGAGTCTTATCTCTGGCAAAATGCAATTCAGCTCTACCAAAAGGCCATATCTTGCAAAATCCAGCCAGATAACATCGACGCCCTTCTATCCACATGCATGCTCATGGGCGTAATGTCTATATGTCCCGAGCAATTCGAGCCAACAGACTCGTGGGTCCTCACCAACAAACCTGAAGCGATGAACTGGCTCGCATTACAAAGTGGCATGAAAGCCATTTTAACGCTTGCATCGCCCTATCTTCCCGGCAGTATCTGGGGCGACGCATTCAAGGGCGTTGATGAAACGGGGGATAAAATCTTCAAACAGGATGAAGCAGAAGCTACCGGACGCGAGGGTCTAGATTCCGATTTGGCCGATTTGTGTGGGATCGATGAAAATAGTTCTGCTGCAACGAACGTTTATTACGAGCCTTTGAGCTATCTTTCCAGGCTCGTGAAGTTGCAACCTAGTGGACCTAATGCTGCGCACTGTGCGTCGTTTATGGGGAGGTTGGAGTGTGACTTCTTGGCTCTTTTGCGGAATAGAGATCCGCCTGCACTCATTATTTTGGCTCATTGGATGGGCCATATGTGTTTGTTGGCTGAATGGCAGCCTTGGGTTGAGGGAAGAATCAGGAAGGAATGTGTGGCTATCTGTATGTTCTTGGAGTATAGCACCGATTCGAGGGTATTGTTGCTGTTGCGATTCCCCGCAGAGGCATGTGGGCATAAGCTTCGCTTTATTTCAAATCTCAGCTTGTACAGAGAAAACATAACGAATTAATTGAAGAAGCCACGCTTCTTATAGACCCACATTTTCATGTGGCTTTGAATTCAACTACAAGAATAAGCAATTACCCAATATGGACTCCATGCACATGTGCTATTGGAACTACAATTCATTTGGGCTGCTGATCCCATATTTTTGCGGCTGATCCCCTTGATTTTGCTCTTTAGCCTTGGGCCAGAAGTAATGTTTGATATGCTTGAACTCGCAGCATTGAAATCATTCGATTCGTTCAAAATGATAAGCACTTGAGTGGAGTTGCAATGCAATACTTTATGCAAGGACTTGAGACTATTAATGTCATGTGCAACATCAATTGAACGCACTCTCTGATGTTTCTTTGAAAACTTTTATCATACATCCTCGCAGTTTCATACCTGAGAGCTCGAATCATTGATTGCAAGGCTGGATAAAGGTACTCACCCATCCTCCGAAGATTCTTTCAACCAGGACAGTTCTACCGCTAGATGGCTGCAACGGAGGAGTCGCCCCTTCTCCAAAATCCAGATGGCGGCGACCAAGATGTGGAAAATGGAACGACCAGATCGAAGATCGGGACCGGCTTTTTGGCGGTGATGCTTCTCTGTATGTCAACACGAGACAAATCCTGAGGGTATTGCTAATTGGTTTTCAACAACAGCGGCCTTCCTGGCCTCATCTGACGATTCGTTCGTTCTTTCCACGTCCTCTGATATTGCAGCGGACCTCGGGGCCACCAAGGCTAGTACATGGCTCATTACTGGTTTTAACCTTGGATACATGGTTTCTCTGCCTGTTGTAAGTGCAACGATGTATACCGTCTGGCATTTGCAGTTTATTTTCACTAGCAAGTACTAGACTAAGAAGGGAACAACTTTTAAACCAAACATACATGCACTAATTCACAAATCCGCACATAGTAAATCCCAAAGGGATTTAAAGGGACTTATAGTTTGGTAATCTTCCAACTTCCCTTGCCACTCTCAATATCAAGCTCGTAACATGTACCTGAATTGAATGACATCAATTTATCCGACGAGTCGCAAGAATCCCCTGAGTATGCCGCGATCGAGAAAACGGATTCGTCAAAGAGGGTAGACAGCGGAGCCGCCGGAGGTTACCCAGGCGATACAGCCAACATCGCTTGTACTTCCTTCATCGTCGGTGAGATAGCTCCCGCAAGTACTATCCGAGTACATGTTTAGCTTGTAGTAGTCGGAAGTTGGGGGAGTATTGGCCTCAATTGTGGCGCTGCTGGATGAGCTACTCGAAGTACTCGTGCTCTGGTCCTCCGTGCTGGTAGAGGAGGTGCTGGTAGAAGAAGTGCTGGTAGAGGAAGTGCTGGCAGAAGAAGTGCTGGTCGAGGAAGCGCTGGTGGAGGAGCTACTAGCACTGGTGCCAGTTGCTGTCACCGATCCCCAGCGGGTGGCATCCATGGCGTTCCGCCGGCTCACAATGCTGCTGGCGATTGCATCTAGCAGAGATGAATCTTCCACAGGCTCGGAAACATACATGAAGCTGTTGGTCTCGGTTAAGTAGGTTCCTGTGGTGGTTATGGTCGATGTCGTAGTGGATGGAGTGGCTGAACATCCTTCAGTCGGGCCACAATATGTCTAAACAGGAAAGTAAAGATGTCAGTCAGCCTTCACATTAGATACAAGTTGGACTGGGTCTTGAACTTACGGAGGAGCTAACAGTTGCAGAAGTCATTCCACTTGTCGAGATTGTCTGCACAAGGACTGTGCATATGGTTGCTGTCACCATGGAAGTACAGTCCTCATCCTCGGAAACCTCAGGTGTGTCTTCAGTTGTGCCACCACCGCCACCCTCCACTAGACAACCACCTATGCGATAAATAACTCAGAATTTCGCTGTGCACCAATGGTATGTTAATCAAGCTCTTACCTGTTGAGCCGCAGCCAGGGCCACAAAACTCTAGTCCACAGCCACCCCCACACCACCACAGTCCACATCCTCCATCACACCCGAATAATCCGCACTCCCCATCGCAGCCCCAGTTATCACAGTCCAATGTACCACATCCCTCACATTCACTGCTATCTGTATTATCTGTGTCATCTGTATCATCATCGTCATCGCCGGTGTCATCGTCGTCTCCCGTGTCATCGTCGTCTCCCGTGTCATCGTCGTCTCCCGTGTCATCAGATTCAGTCTTATCTGTTTTTTCACTTTTTACCTTTATGGGAGGAATTGTGTTTTGGGGGGTAATGTCTGTATATGTGGCGCCCGGTCGAATAGTGACAGTATGGGAGGTAGAACCCCATGATATAATAGTCTTGGAGTCATCATCTGTGCTGCTTGTCGTATCATCATCACTCCCAACTACTGTGGCCGACGATGAAGTCTGGTTATCATTTGCAACACAGTAGTAGTAGTCAAGCCAGACACCACTAGCGCAGTCTGTTCCCACATTAGGGTTCCAGGTGTCGAAGTCAAAAGTATCAATACCGTAGAACTCCTCAATACTCCAGCAGGAGTCGCCACTCTGCACCAGGTAGAACTCTGTGCAGCCACTTTCCATGTTTGCAGGGTAAGGAGTAGGCGTAGTTATTACGGCTGCAACCGCGGTCGTTGTGCTAGGGGCGCTGGTGATGGTCGCGGTGTTTTCCACAGTCACGGTAATCGTACCAACGCCGATGGTTGAATAATTGGTCGATACTAATGGACCCAACGCTATGTTCGGAGGGAAAACCAAAGTAATGGCTGGGGGTGCAATGCTCTGCTCGGCGGTCATCATGCCGGTAGGGTTGCTGGGGACAGTGACAGGCCAGAAAGGAAGCCCAGTCACGACGAAGTCTGGAACGGAGATGATTGTTGTACTTGTGGAAGTAGTTCCATCTGCACTAACAATCACCGGAGTGGTAACGGATGGCCAGGTCACAGTTTGCGTTTCATTCAAAGGAAATGGTGGCAAAATGAACGTACAAGGAGGCTGACAGGAGACTTCAGGGGAATCACTATCCCAGATTTTAGGGAGGATGTATACCTTGCCATCTCCTTCAGCAGAAAATACGTCAGTCGAGTTGGAGATAGTCTCTACCAATGCATGTTAGCTCAATTATCAAGGCTGTGAGAGGAGAACAAAATAGATACCTGACAGATCGCCCGCATTATCTTCGTCGACAGCCCAGGCAAAGACTCTAAATTTAGAGATAGGATTAGCTATATACCACTTGAGGTAGGCTGGTAGAAAGAAAAAAACACAGTACGATCACTCACCCTCCCATATATCTCTCGTTAGCAAAATCCATCTTCATTTGAATGGTCTCATCATCATCGTAGGCTACCCACTGGTCTTCATCATAGACAGCAATCTTCACAGCCGCAGTAGAGTCAAGCCAGACAGTGGGGTTTCGAGAGGAGTCGTTGACAATATTCATGATCTCAGTATAAGAAAGTATACCCTCGGTCTCAGTGCATGGTCCAGCATTGCCTTTAACACCAGCAGTCAGTTTCTTTGAGATAATTCGGTCAAAACATTGAGAATCTATGTTAGCATACCTCCAGTACTAAAGGGACATCCAGGATCAATGCAGGATGTATCGTTCAGGGTATAGCCTGTGGAGATTAGCGGAGTAACCTTATAATGTTTCAAATCGTGAAAATTAGACTGGGGTGACATACTGCGGCCGTAAAATCCAAGTCCAAGGTTCACCTGACTAGGTTCAATGTCGTTATGCCAGAGAAGTTGCAATCCAGAATTGATCATCGTGAGATTGGTGCTAGCATAGACATAAGATCCGATAGATGCAATCGTGCTGTCCCATGTGCCATAGATATCGTAGGACATGAAATTGAACTGCAAATTATCTCTATCAGTGGAAACACTTAAGACTGCCATATCAGGGCGCAAACTCACCCAATCAATTGTAGTTGAAATGTTCGCAATGTCAAAGTTTTGAAGGTACCAATAGGAGCTTGGGAGTGTGATTGAAAGTCCGTAATCATCACCCAATGAAGAACGAATGTTTTGAAGGAAAGTAACGTAGTTATCATAATCAGCAGCCGTGCCATATCTATCGGAAGCTCCAGGATATTCCCTAAAAATTGTCAATATATGCATGTTTGTACCAGAACATAGCTACCACATGTGCAAGAATGTTGCTGTCTATAATACTGACCAATCAATGTCCACACCGTCAAAGCCATACTCTACCAAGAACGCTTTGAAAAAAGTGGCCCAAACGCTGGGTCGTGTGGTGTAATGTTCAAAAACACATTATGGGAGCTCTTGCAGACAGTTCGAAGCCAGTCGATGATATGTCCGAGGTTTTCGTATTCATTCTGAGCACGCTCGGCGAACTCGGCGTACCACTGTTTTTGACCAATTGAACGACTCTTCCAAAACCAAATACTCGTATATTTGGTTATTTGCAGATCTCCATCATAATCCTCACCCATACAATCTACTGCATTGAGCCAGACATCGCTTACTAGACCTCCAAACGACCTCTGGACACATGTTGTTCTGGTGAATGGAATCATTAGCGAAAGGATTAAGAAGAGTAGTGAAAGATTGCCATACTGAAGCAGGTTCTGATATGCGTATTCAAATGATCGAAGGTCACGATTTGAGACATAGAAACTTGTAATCTCTAGGTTATCCAAAAGTGGTAGGCTTGGACCTGGGATTTGCATGTATGATAAATCTTCAATTATCCCTCTGCATGCATTTTCGAAATCGTGAATAAGTTGGTGGAAGTACTCTTTATCCTCTATTGATGCATTCTTCATGTCACCGAGGCCTATTTAGTGCTTGGTGAGTAAAGTGTATGAACAGTATTAGAGCCAAATACGGACCAGCTAGTAAGAACATTCGAGTGGGATCATTATGATCAGAGGCTCGGTAGACGCCAGGCTTATGTCGGAGCTTCCAAATGGCAACGCGAAGTTCTGCAAATAGATTATCGAAATTGGGAGTTTGGTGCAAGAGGCGGAAAGAGATCACTTCAAGTACAGTGGCTGATTGACGAGTTCGTTGAGTATGCATCGAAGGTAGTTCGTACTGTGTCATCGACCCCATTTGGAACCAATTACCAGCCGGACTAGAAACCCTTCGTTTGTTACCAGTCGTGTATGCCTGTCTCATTGATTCTATGTGTACCACGTCTTCGAAGTCAAGACGAACCGAGTCCTCTAGATCACATCGGCGAATCACTGGTGTATTCAGCAGCGGATAATCCCAAGTTGGTTGATCGGAAAGAGGAGCACAGGCTGTCTTTTGCGATGAATTATTTAATCCTTCGTAGCGCATTTGTTCTGTCATAGAGATGACCAAGCCATTTGCCTCTTTTGCTAGAATAGCAAATTGATCGGCAATTTTGGAGGGGATCTCCAAATCAATACCAGTCTTCCGGAGGATAAGACCAGAAAAGTAATGGTTCTCAACCTTGAAGTCTTCTGTTATCGTAGAAGAAACATCGAACCTCTTCTCATAACTTCGGAAATCCGCTTCCACCCATTCTCCACGAGCATATATCAGGTCATTCATTGCGTTAAGCCGAAATAATGAATTCCATCGCTCTTTGAATTTGTATTGTCGTTCGTCGGGCGTGTTTTCAGAGGCCGGGAAGTCATAGGAGAATAGCTCCAGGCGAAAGCTAGCATTGGAAATATGAGCGGGAAGAGCAAGCTGCGTACAGCGGTTGGTAACATGCTCTAGGTAGCCTAATAGCATACTGAAGCCCAATGAACATTGGAATCGACTCCAGGCTGGACCATTCTCCCATTGAATCAAGACCATGACTGTGCTTTGGTTGACTGGCGCCCAAAAGAGTCCTTGGAAGCCCTGGATCGTAGACACAAAGTCTACAGACTTTCGCCAGAGAACTGAGACTGTTGAATTATCCTTTAGGTTGACTTCTGATAGGAACTTCAACTGTAGGATACTGAGAATTGGAGTCCCAGGTAACTGCTCCCAATCTGAAGCATCAAAACAAATGCCTCGCAGAGAGGGTTTCATAATAGATTTTGGCATTTCGTCGGGGTTTGGACGGATAATACTGGTAGGCATGCTCACTGCGAGGTCAGAGAGTACTCAATCAATTGAAAGTAGATACAAACGGGGGCTTAACCACATTGTTGTAGATATGAGCATGGTAGCTGTCACAGGGTACCCGTGTATTTAATACCCGTACGGGAACTGAACCGTCCGAACCTGTTGACGGGCCACTGCTCAGAAAAATCTGCAAAGTGGATCTGAAAGTCGACCTAGGTCGCCCAAGGCATCCACAGACGAACTAACTATTCCAATCTTCAAGCTTTTCCTAAGCATTTCTAGCGCGGCCTAACGAGGATTGCACGCTGCCCAGTTCCGCTGGCCCAGAATTACGCAGATATGCCTACTCTTGAGAGCTCTTTCTGAAGTTGCGAAGAAAAAGGGAGAACGCGCATTTTTGTCTTCATGCAGCTTTCATGCACAAAACAGTAACATAGCCTGGTAGCAACTGGGAGCAATCTATTCTCTTAGACTCAAATCAAAAACCCAGGGGAGGAAGGGTAAGATGTCCGTTCTAAAAATCCGGCCATTGAATGGTAAATTGGCGGCAGCTGGATCCTGCTGTCGGCCAGAAAGGGAGGGATACATCGCGGTAACCGGGAAACGGACGAAATGGATTAAAAAATCTGTATTCCGAGAGGTCTGGAGGGGAGAGAAAGAAAGACAGAGATATCTAGCTAAGACTTGCCTATGCATGTGTGCACGCGTTGGAGCAAATGGAGGGGGTCGCCTGACCTCACACTCCAATATAAATGAATTCGGATGGGTCAATCCTGTACTGTTTTTAAGATGGAAGATGCATGTTTTAAAATTACACAGACTTCCGTCGAATAGAGAACCCGTTTATGTGATGTATTATATATTTATGTCAAGAACAAGAAAATAATTGAGGTGTTAGATCATAACATTTGAATATAGACTCTGCAAAGGGGGCCTGAAATTCGGGGATCTACTGCTGATAAAAACAACTATTCATTTGATCCAGCAACGAATAAATATTTAACAAGGATACGGTCTATGTGACAGATACTAGACATAATGATCCGTGCCTTCCTAATCGGGACATCGTCGTCCCTCGCTTAAAGTAAGGCACCACGTGTGATGACTAATCGATGGAGATGACCAACATTGAATCAAAACTTCAAACGCGTGCGGTTGCGATAACGAAGTTGATCCACGGGTCGAGCGCCTAGGATGTGCGTGGTAAATTGCAGGATCTGCATTTGAGTCAGCCCACCCCTGATATAATCGACACGAAAGGCTCCACTCACATCAAACCCCGGGTCATCTCTATGACCATTCTCGGGACAATCGTTTCGGTCAAACATACGGTCGAGTTCCAGGATCTGTGAGATTTCATCCCCGATCCAGTGGGGGTGGTCTTTATGGTCAGCACGACAACGGGCAGTGTGTGAAAGAATGGAGCATGTACTGAAATCCTTCAGCTCCACTTGCTATAGAACTTCTAGCCGTTGCACGGTGTTCCGCCGACTTTAACTCTCTTGAACGAGATGCCGTATAAATGGCAATATACAGAAAAGTCCGATATCTTCTAGTACAAAGATAACAGTTCCGTACTGGCCTAGGGGAGATGAGTGTCTATAGGACCTAGCATATATATTATAAAGTGAATTATCTCCTATATACGATCCACAGCTCGTGTGATTATTTTTGTTATACCTAGCTGAGGCTGGGTAACTATTCGTATTATATAGGTTATTTGTGCTTCTGATATAGTTCATACAATTTCTACCGAAGCTATATAGAATACAGGAAGCTATAAGTATACCCTAAATCCTATATAGTATAGTGCTTAGAGTTATACATACTACCCTGGATGAGCCACCTACTCTACCGGCACCATAATATTAAGCCATAAGAGCTGATTCAAAGACCATATAAGGGCTTATCGGGAGGTAATCCGCCACGACCTATCGCGCCATATAGTATATAGATATATTGTGATAGCCCAGACCAATCTAGTATAAATTCCTCCAAGTAGGAACTAGTAGTAGAAAGACCCCTAGTCAATTAAATAATACATCAGAGCACCTATTACTATCGAGGTAAGGATACAATAGACTTTAAGGCCGAATTAGGGCTAGCGTTAAAGAGTCACAATAAGTATCCAAGGTAATATTAAGACAAGACTGCATCTGGCCTATATAATATCAGTCACTTTACGTCGGACCTGCCGTAGGGAGTTTAGGAAGGCTGTCGTTAGGGCCCATTTTACACACCAGGAGTGGAATAATGAGGGAAATTCCGAGGGCAGTATTCCAAGCAACTATGCTGATTCACGCAATGGACGTCGTTTGAAGTTCCTTTTGGTGGCTTGTTCTTCAATTCAACCGGCTTGTTTGAGTCTTTGGAAGAAGAAGAAGTTGTATTCAATGCAGGAATAGAAGAGGAAGACTGTTCTCCTTCTCTGGTTAAGACTCGACCCTTCAAATCTTGTGAATACTCGCAGAAGTTGTTGTATATGAACGTCTGTGCAGTGAGGTTCTTCTCTTTCATTGCTTGTAGAACCATGTCACGTACGTCGACTTGTTGAACTTGAAACAAGAGTATTATCATTGTATAATAAGCCTCGACACCCATCTTGCGTTCCTTCAGCCTCATGTTTTGCGCATAATATTTATTAATAATAATAGCTATTGTTGGCAAGTCTTCCCTTCTAAGACTGGCATAAGCATCTCATTGCATCATCTCTTAGTGTATGCCGAAGCCGCGCATCTCTTCGTATATTCCTTTCCAGATATCGTCGGCAAAGACTAGTAGAGATTCGGTTATTCGAGCTTGAATCTTGTTGCACATAGATCTGGGTACTGATGTTGGCGATGAGCCATTCACTAATGCTTTTGGATGCCTTGGACATGCACTTGCTGTACTAGCGTTCTTCGCCGGTCTTGGAAGATCACTGTCAATAAGGCCGTCTATTTGGTGGTGTTTGAGGTTGGTAAGCACAATCCTCTTCTAAGAGTCATAATCTTCCGCTTTTTGTAGAGGATTCTTCAGTGGATTGATCGTCAGTTTGACGACTGTGAGGCCCATTCCTTGGTCGGTTCGAGTAGCGATGGCAATATTGTTCCAGTTGTTGTCAGTGTCCGTGTTGTGCGGTTTGTCAATGAGGGCCTCTATATTGTAATCAACAGAAAACGCCGTCATGTTGAGGTTGTTAGCGCTGTGCTACTGCCTCGTATTTTTGTGAAGGAAGATCCTGAATCTGCGTAAAGCAATAAAATAGGGTGAGGGGGGGGGGGGGGGGGGGCTGAATCTGCTAGAAAGCATCAAAACAGGGCCCTAGGAAAGAGAATCTAGCTTAAATTCGCTTAACTTATTGATTTACAGCGATAATAAGTGAGAAAAGGAGGGCTCATAACCTCATAGAAACTAACGAGGAAGAACAAGCAAAAGAATGAATATGAATTGATTTGTTCGAGGAAGGGAAAGAAAGGAAGAAGCAAGATGCAGCCTGCAAACTAGAACTAAATAGGAAGCATTGACAAACATGGTCATGTGATTCCTAAGAGTTAGAGACTCTGGCAGATCTCGAGCGTGACGACCCGAAGCTCGCCTTTTAGGCCTCTCGACTGGTCGGAATCTACCGTCGCCTATGGGAGTTGTGCGTGGCGAAGCACCGCGAGTGCGATAAAACGATCGACGTTAACCTTTGCCTGAAGCAGGCTGGTGTGCAACTGAGCAATGAGAGGGAGAGCCTCCGAGCTCGCCACGATCAGCAAGTAGCCCGGCTGCGCTTGTTTGACTAGGCTCTGAGATCGTCTTAGGAATAAATGACTGGTATGCTTATTTAATGGAGTCAGGTTTCCAGAGGTGACCTGGCGGATTTGGTCAATGTTAACCGTAGCGAGTGAAAGGTCATTTGCTTTGAATATTACTGAATCAATATTTTTGGGGCAATGTATTGATTGTAATTTGGGGTGTATGTACTACTTTGAATGAGACAATATGAACTGCTTTTTATCTCAAGTGCTAAGAATGTAAAACAAAAGAGCTTTGATGGCTTGTAGACCAGGAGACCTATTATTGATCCTCAAGACTTTCATTCACACATTGCTCTAATTTGAAAAATAGTTCCCCAAGTTATGTACAAAAAACGACAAATCAAGGGTTGGCATTGTGGGCAGTGTAGCTAAAGGGGAAAGGGCCGAGTGATTGGCGTACGGCAGGGGCTCCATGCGTGGCCACAGAGATAATCGGAAGCAGGAGGTCCTCGGTGCAGCGGGGCTTTGCGCGATGATGTCAAGCATCTGTCCACGCACTCGGCGTAGGTTGCCCATAACCGTTTCTATCCGGGGCAAGAAAAACACATGCTCGCCAATTATGTCGCCGGTGACTTGATCGAGACGTGTCAGTCGAAATTCCACCCAATTTATCTGCTCGGAGAGACAAAACGCTAACAGGTGGAGTAAAATCTCCTTAGGCAGGGTTGAAAGTGCCAGGGGATCCGGACCGGTCTAGTTAAAGCTGGGCGCATCGTCGAGTCCAAACCAGCATCGGCCTGCCTAGTACCTTCAGCACTTGGAGGTGCCCTCGGAGGATATTTGGCAGGAAGATACATGCAAAAGTTCGTCTTTCCATTACTCACATCCATGGCTATTGTGTAAATACAAATGAACCAGCGGAGACTAACCTGATATGACAGAACTAGCCGATACTATAGATTAACTCAGCTTGGTCTTTGCCTATGCATCGGCAGCTGCATCTTGATTACGATTCGATGGTGTTTCTTTTACCCATCATTATGGGAACTTGTCTATGACTTCGGCCATGGAGTGGGATTGGGCATATTATTCTCGACCCAGTTTGTGGCATTATCCGCCCATTCACCAAAAGACTATGCCGCCAGATTAATCACCACATACTACCTTATGCAACAGATTGGGACTGTTGTGGGTGTATCTGTTACAGCGTGGCTAGTTCGAAGCAACTTTACGAACGCCTTGAAAACAAAGTTTGCAGGAAATCCGCAAGGGCTGAGTGTAAGTCCAATCCATCTTGAATATTTGAAGTTGTGGGACTGACAAGCTTGGAAGATGGTGAAGGAAATACTAGAGCACCGTCGGTATGCTGCTTCCCTTCCCGACGACGTTAGCAAATCAGTGGAGGTGATCTTCCGGAAAAGCTTCATTGCTGCACCAGGTATGTTGGTATTACCTGAAAACTAAGTTCGGTGGAGCTGAGACTGATGCAATTATAATCATGATTAGTATTCACAATCGTAGCACTGACTCTCATACTCTTTCTTGCAAGAGGTGAAAAGGAAGAAAAAGAGCAAAGTAGTAGTAATTTGGACGAGCCATGTCATAGCTAGTTACTATCACATCTATCATTTGATCTAAATTGAATGACCAACCCACCGCCAGGATGTCATTCCATGCATTCAGGTCGCACGGACAGAAAAAAAAGCTCAAGCCACAATCTATTTGTACTGCGGCTGGGCTGCATGTGACAAGTCATGTAAACGAGACCATCGGCTGCATACTCCAGATGTCCGTACAGCCCTCACCGATTGTTCAGCTGCAAAGCGACGATCTGCTACTAAACTGGCGGACTCCCTTAGAAACCCCCTCATCCAGACGAAATCTACTCTGTCACACCCCACCAAAAGCATGTCCGTAAACAAGAACTTGGCCGGAAAGGTAGCCCTTGGTATGTATGAATTTCTCATCCCGTATTGATCCCACCATATTCACCGAAACTGAACTTTGTATATGCAGTCACCGGAGGAAGTCGAGGCATCGGCGCCGCAATTGCCATCAAGCTCGCTGAGCATGGCGCGGACCTTGCTATCAACTATGTTTCATCAGCGACGGCCGCAGAGGCTGTCGCCGAACAGGTACGTTCGCTTGGCGTAACTGCCATCACGGTGAAAGCGGATGTGTCCCAAGAGGAAGAAGTCAGCGCCATGTTCAAGACGGTTATGGAGAAATTCGGCCAATTGGATATCGCGGTCAGCAATTCGGGGATCGAATATTTTGCCGATCTTTCGGAGACGACGGGTGCAGATATTGATCGAGTTTTTGGCGTGAATGTTAAGGGGCAGTATTTTGTTGCGCAACAGGCGTATAAGTATATGGCGGATCATGGGCGGGTCATGTTGACTTCGTCAATTTCGGCAGTGAAGGTATGTAGTATGCTAACAAAGAACCTTGGAATGAATTTCATTGATGACTTTGGCCTAGGGTGTTCCCCATCACGCTGTCTATGCTGCCTCAAAAGCTGCTGTTCAAGGTATGACCAAGTGTCTTGCTGTGGACTTCGGCCCGCGCAATATAACTGTCAATTGTATTGCTGCCGGTGGAGTTAAGACGGATATGTATGATGAGAACTCAGCTTCGTATTTCCCTGGTGGGGATAAGATGACGCCGGAGCAAATCGAGACTCTGCTGTCAAAGTGGTCTCCACTGGGTCGAGTCGGGCTTCCAGAAGATATTTCAAACATCGCAGCATTTATTGCAAGTCCCGAATCACAGTGGCTGACTGGTCAAACCTTCAGCGCCACCGGAGGTGCTTATATGGTTTAGTCCCAACTCCTATTTCGAGTGAAATAACATGACCTGATACCTAATGCCAGCGAGATGATGTAACTTGAAGTGAGTAGCCTCTCAGGGGGTTGCGCAAAGGCCAAAAAGCCCGTTGTATTGTGTAGATACCTAGTCGTGTATGTTGTTTTCCAAACAAAAAAGCATTGAATCAAAAAGTAAAAGCAAAAGCAACAAATTGAAAAAGCAAAGTGCAGATGGCCTATATGCCAAGGGTATGTGCGTGAGAAGAATGCAGATGTACTACATGAGTAGCTCTGAAATAATGAAACAACCAAAAGACTAAGGTGCTGCACCATAAGCAGGGTCAACCCCCAAGTTTGTCCGATGCCTTGGCAGCGAGCTATTCGAGGCATGCGTTGGGACAGAGGCCTTGTCCTCTAGTAAAGTAGTTGGGGTTTGTTCGATATCATTGACGCCATTAACATGAACACCATTGACATTCTTCGCGCCATGTTTCTCCAATGCATCAAAGACATGATGGAAGACCTGTCGGTCTACATCCGCGGCCCACAAGAAGTCCAAATGCTCATAAGTGGGTATAGGCTTGGCGACAGTCCCACGAGGCAAGCCCTGTAGCATGACATTGATATCAACAAGGCTATCGCTGTCACCATAAAGAAGCACAATTGGTGTCTTGATATTGCGGGTTGGGTACTTCACGGGTTTGTAGAAGCGCTCGCTGGCAACGATGCTGAAGGGGGTTTGCAGCTCATCGTCATAAAACTGAAAGTTTTTATTGCGAATAATTTGGAACCAATGAACAACTGATTTTGTACTCGTGAAAGAGTAAAGATGGAGGTAAGCGGCTAGTTTCTGGGTTCGGGTGATATTGCGACCTTGCCAATTGAAAAGAACTGAAAGGGCGGTGTCGATGATGCGGACATAAATTGGGGGATAAAGAATTGTCTGCCACATTGTTGTCGAAGAAAGAATGCTGCGTCGACCAAAAAGAAGGAACAAGAAGTTTGGAGAGGCTTTCATGAGAGAGTCGACGATGCGATTACGCAGGCCGGACGGTGCCATTGCCGGTGCCAGGGCAACGAAGACATCAACCTTCTGATTGAGAAGTGGGTGAATGGAGAGTGTCGCGAAAGCTTGTGCGGTACCTTGCGAGAAACCAATGTACGATAAAGATGGCTGGGCAGTCACATCGAGGATGTACTCAATGCTGTTGGGAATATCGTGAAAGGCGAACTGATCAATGGAGAAGTCCCAAAACTCATTCGATCCAGGTGAGAATTGGATGGATTTCTTAGCATATTTGTTACCCCGGTTGTTACCCAACCAGACATCATATCCCTTTTCGACCAGCTGGAAGGGAAGGCAGCGTTGCTCATCGGTCAATGCGACCCACACTTCACTTGACATGAGGAGACCATGATGAAGATAGACGACTTTCTTGTTGATTGAGCCAGGTCCCTGATTGACTCGCATATTTTCTTCCCCCCTTCGGTAGGCTAGTCGATGCAGCCCAAGGAGATATCCATCGGTAGTCTGGACGATGTGCTCCTCAGCCTCGTATCCAAACAGGGCGCACATATCGACGAAGTCGGACGCCTGAGCGATGGATGAAGCAAGGATTTCTTCCTTTGTGCGAGTATCCTGTGCTTCTTTTGAGATGAATACATTGAAGATCTTTTTCGACTGGTCGTGGCAAAATCGGATTATCGGCGATGCTGGCTGCACGTCAGTTGGTAGCACGCGGTAGACAAGCGATTTAACTCACGAAGGCAGAATGTGATGAGATGAATGATAGTCTCGAGGAATACCAGGATCAGAGACCCTAGCAATGCTAGATACTCGAACCTAAAGAGGTGCGACATTCAAATGTTAGTTGCCGAGATCTCTAAACCATGTTGTGGTACTCGGAGCTCTAAGTTCCACTGAACACTTACCAAAATAACCTCCCTAGAAAAGGTACCCGAGACATGATGACTGGTTTCCTATTTATTCATGCAGAATATTTGGACGAGAACGAAGGTATAAATGTACACTGACAAGCCTGCGAGTGATGAAGAAGATCAAAAGCAATCAATTGACAGATTGACATCCAAGGTCGCGACGTCATCTGCACATGTGAAAGCGTCCAAGGCGCGGCGCTTACTCATCCGGGGTCAACCAATTACAATCGAGTTGTATGATCCGCCTGAATTTGTCCCGGAGATTCCACTGACAGTCACCCATTCTCAGAGATCACGATGCCCAGCTCGTGCTCAGATATCAGTGAGTTTAACTCCCATAATGATGTGGCTTAGGCGTTTCTCATTATAAGCACACATACATTCCCAATTTGTTTTTCCACCCAGCGCGCTGACCACCATGTTTGTAGGGGAGGCATTGGCCGAATGCCTGCAGGAGTCGGACTGCATTATGGTCCAGCGGCACACGCCGCGTGAGTGCCTGAGCTCTCCACTGGCAGAGCAATTACCTACAAAGTGCCAGCAGTTGAAGAAGGGATTCAGCGAGTGCAGGTGAGTACATCACTCGGCAGTGCTGGACTTTGGACAGTCTGGCGTTGTGATGAAATTCTGGACAACTGTGGCTAATTCTGGGTTTTCTATCATTACAGGCGTGGTATGATCGATATGCGCAAACGTTTCCGAGGAAATCACCCGATCTCTATGGGCAAGAGTGACGGACAAGGAACCCAGTCCGAGCAGCTGTATGCTGGGCGTCCGGCGTATACGACTGTCAAGGAAATCAGCGGTGATGAGGTGCAGATGGACCCTGAGAAGACTCGTGGTCTGTAAAGAAATTCTGGGACATCTACGGGAAGAACGATGCAACTACGGAGCAGCATGCTTCTTGCTGTGACTTCTCTATGTATTCTACAATTGTGTGGAAGTTCGCGTTCATGCTGGCATGGTCTGGAGCTCTACTATTTCTCTCTTATCATTGAAACTTTGGCGTAAATTCGAATCTCCAATCTCCCTTGGAACTGTGCATATAAGACACCCGTGGACGATAAAGTGCGGGGAACTCAGGTTGATTTGTAGCCTAAGAATACATATGCAATCGCAGGAAAGAAAAGAAGAGTTTATGTAATTTCACATCATCATTGGGGGTAAAATTGGATACATGTTCACTGGGTCTTCTTGACCTTGTTTGCCGCAGGTGCCGAGTATAACCAGACAACGACGAAGGCCAGGAAACCTCCGATCACCGACCACAGACCGGCGATCCACACCCAACCGCCAGTGATAGCCCAGCTGCGAGGGTATTCATCGTGCGCAAAGTGGCGCACGGTGACCTCGTGCTTCTCCTCAATACTGGTGAGGAAGGGACGCTTGTAGTTAACGCGGAACGAGAAGATACCGTGTTGGTCTGGAATAGTGAAATCGGTGCTGTACACAGCGCTAGTTTCGGTGCGGCTGATAGGCTTGAGGGCCAAGCGGTGGAAGGGTGAGAGCATAGTGAATTCAAGCTGCAGCTCATCCTCGGCGGGGACCTCGAAGGGTACCCACTTGTCATAGGAGTATTCCGAGACCTCAATGCTGAAAACCTAAGAAATAGACATAGTAGTTAGTATTCAATCAGAACAAAAAGGGCTTGGTAATGTAAGGTTGACGCACAGTCTCGTTCTTAACACGGTAGATCTTGGGGTTCAAGTTCTCAGCGGCCACCTCACCATCGGTGGCCAGGTGGTGCTCAATCTTTCCGACTTTCAGGACACCAGTCTCCTTGAAAGCCCAACCAGTCAATTGCTTAGCAAACTCACGGTTGACCGTGGGAACCTTCTTGCCGTTGGGAGCCTTGACAGAGCCGGAGAACCACTGGTCCTCCAGAGCCTCGACGGAGCCCAGAACAACGAAACGGGCCGAGTTGAGGGCTTGAACAGCCGAGACAATGTTCAACTGGGAGCCAGTGGCTTCGATGTCGTCGGGCGAAGGCATCTCCTCCTTGGGGTTGTACGCGTAAGCGGTGGCAGGAGCTCGCAAAATCGGGGCAATAAGCTGACTGTCGCTACCCAAGGTCTGGGGGGCGACACGCGGGAGAGCGAGAACACCCTCGCCATCAAAGAATGCCTTGACATCGGAACGCAAGGAACCAGGGCGCTCGAGCAAGAGAACATCGTGCTTCTCAGCGGCAGAGATTGTGTCGTAGTTGAAGTGGTCAAGAATGACGGCGGAGCGGTCATTGGACAGATGGATATCAATTTCGAGGAGAAGGGAGCTGATGGCGCTAGAGGTGGAGGCCTTGCCGGAGAGGGCGAGGAGGATGTTGCCATCCTTGTTCATAAAGTCCAGGATATTCTTCGGGGTCAGGTTAGGGCCGAGTCCTAATATATTTAGTCAATTAAAGGTGTCCACCATGTATAGTAAAGAGAACGCACCCTTCGACTTTGGGGGAAGGATAAGGAGGTGGTCGTAAGCTCTTTCGCCATGTTCGAAGAGGGACAGCTTGTCACTCTTGGGGGATTCGAAGGACAGATCATATCCGCGACCTATGAATTGGTGTCAGCAACCATTCTTCAAATTTGTATCATTGTCAATTACCTTCCAAATCGGACCACAATGTCGAGTAAGCACTCTTCTCTGTGGTATCGTCCAAGACCACCAACAGGCGGCTGCCAGAGCTACTCAGAGCATTTACCGAAGCCACAAGGGCGCTGACAAGCAACGCAAGGCACCACCGCATTTTGAGGATATTTCCGCACAGCGGAGCGGGACACCTTGAGAAAATAGAAAAAGGAGGAGAGGTGATGGGGTTGGTGAGGGGAGAAGTTCGGAGTTGTATAGATCGTCAGAAAGGGCGACGTGTTAATCGGGCGGATGCCAAGACTCTCGGGACCTTGCAACACCTCCGGAACCTTCGAACCTCACCTCTTCCCCACGGTCTGTCGATTTTGATCCTCGCCAACGGTCCAGCCCTCTCGCAACACTACAAGATCCCAGCGGTCTCGCTTGTCCTCGGTTTTTCACACCTGAAATTGTGGTCTAAGGAGTCTTTCGGACTTTGACGCCGCATTTATCGAAAATCTTCACCTCAAAGTCTTGTCGATAGACCTTGTTCCTTCACCATGTCTGCCCCTCAATTCTGGTCGACTCCCCTTCGCTACATCCGCTGGGCCGCTCACGAGAAGCCTGCCATTTTCTTCTCCCTGGTCATTGGCTCCATGGGCCCAGTTGCGCTGGTCGGCTTGCCCCCGCTCCGTCGCGCTCTTGGCGACGTTGACCCAGAGCCTATTCCCCTGTCATATCCTCGTAAGAAATCCTCCTGAGTGGTCAATTATACCTACCGGGTATACTATCTACTATACTTAATTGCCTGATTCTAACCGCTATCTTCAATGCGCACAGTTCCGAAGGGCCCGCGATCGATCCCCCAGGGATTCGATGACGAATAAAATACCAATAAAACATCGAGCTGCTGAAGAACAAATCCCATGCTTGACAAATTTTTTTTGGTCTCAGAATGGATGCGCGTTGTTTGAGATGGAAAGATGAGGAAATTCGCAATGTTGCCTTCAATAACCGAGGTTAACGTCAGGGCTGTTTGATATAGCCTGGGCTTGTTAACCAGCAAGAAACGATCCCATTTTTGATTGTTTCTCCCCACAAAGAGGCGTTTTGATACCAATCTTGTTTGCGTATATGGTCTCGGCACAGTCGGGGATCGAGACCACTGCGCTGCCAGTGTATGTACTATGTTTTGAGAGTGATCATATAACCAACACCGAGTCGCTTTCCTGTTCAAACTGGACACGTGCCGTGCTGCATATGAAACCCATAGGTCACTAGATCCGAGAGTGAAAACTTTTAGATAGATAGATCCTTCCAATTTTGACATCAAGGTAGATATGACCTTAAGGAGTTTGATACCTAGATTGTAAGCTTGAATGCTCTGCGGTACATGTCTTCACGTTGAGCCTTTCAAGCCGCGCTTTCAATTTTATCATATGCTTTCAAACATACCCTGTTCATGCTTACAAGGCCAAGTACCCAAGTCGGCGTTGAAGACCCTTGGAAAGGACCCCAGGAAGTTGCCGTGGGACAACCGATTTAGTGGGAACAAGTGTATTATACATGTAATATTGCAGGACTGTGAAATTCAAATAGAAGAAAGACAATTTGAGAACGACAGCTCATTTAGACTGTTGCCATTAAGATATAGCCTCGGAAAAATGGATTCGAGAATATGGTAGTAGTAATCACTATCAACTACCACACTACCATGGCCATGGTCTCAATGCTAAAAGCCCCCGGGCCGGATTGGCTCCAGGGCTCCGGGCTGGGCAAAGACTGGCGCTTCAATGTTGGCTAGCCGGTCATGGGTTATGCGAATACTCAAAACTACGTCGCAATAACAACTGGACCTTTCTTAACTTTATAGCCCTATTTGAACAAGCAAACACCAATTCAAGAGGTACGAGTGTTCAATCCGGTTCAAACTTCCAGTGTCACGGGCACAATAGCTACTGCGTTGATTCAAAGGTTGGGAATTTTTGAGCCCTGAAAATGATTGATCTTGAACGATCCAGAGAGAGAAATGGCTGTGAAAGGTTCAATTATATTGATGAGACCAATCAAAACCAAAGCGTCAACCACAGAACGGAAAACGCCGTATATGCTCATATCTACATGTAGTTCGTTCATCAGCATCGCTTTATCAAAGCAGTCCCTCCCATCAGCCAGAAGGCTCCGATAAAAAAAGCAAACATGCGAGGCGCGAGCCGTATGTCCCACCATAGGTAAAGTCAAAAGTCCCAAAGGGGAAAGGAGCAAAAATGGCTAAAAAATGAGAACAAAAATCCTGTACACCATCAAAACAACCGATGAAGAAAAGATATAATAATAGAAAAAGAAAATCATGACAAGAAGCCCAGTGTGGCTTATTGGGGTCCAGTCATTAAGGATCAGGGAACAAAACACCTCAAACCCGAGGAAAGCCACCGTTTTCGTGAAAAGAAACCCCGTTCAACGCATAATACTCCTAACCGGCCAACTGCACGATAGCACAGAATTATTAAATGTGGAAGACCCTTCTGGTGGGCCTTGCTCCGAGTCACAGACCCGAGATGTGGCCAATGATATCCAGTGGGGGATTCAGTCCGTGTGGAAAGAAATGGCATCCATATCCGACGAATCGTGGAAATTAGGCCTGACTTGGACCATGTACTTGATGAATTATGTTCCTATCTAGGAACATCCCGGACTTTCAGGAGTGGAGAGGTAAAGAAGAAAGCAGAGTCGACTGTTTGTTGAGAGAGAAAGAAGTAGAAAGGATCCAAGGTGATTTTTTTTTCCTTTGTCGACTTTGTCAAGTTCCAGGATTTCATCATAGTCCAAGGTGGCATAATAGATCATTTCATCCAGTGGGCCACAATGGGGGAGAAAAAAAGGCATGCAATGCACAGAACAAAAACCTCGGTGCCAAATTGTTTTACCGCCGGCGGTGGGGGTCTCGTTCTCTGGTGGGTTGCGGTCTACTGCGTTGCTCGTATTCCGGGGTATATCTTGGCTCCATTCCTCCTATCCGGGGATCTGGGGCAGTAGTAGGAGGGTATGCCATGCCGGTGGTTTGGGGAGAATAGTCCGACTGGTCATTATAGCCGGGCCCTGGGTATCTGGGGGCATTTCGGCCACCCTCGTAACCATATCCGGGTGCGTAGGTATAGGAAGCGGGGTGCATGTCAGCAGCCGTGACCACGGGTTGAGAGGGGCCAGAGTAGGAAACTTGTGGTGGGGGGTACGGAGCTTGGCCTGATCCGTAAGGCGAATGTGTAGGGTTGTAGGAAGAGGGGTTTTGGTTGTAGGAAACAGTCTGGGGTCCAGGATAGGAGCTGGGGGGGTATTCCATGTAGGCCGGTGCCGCCGGAGCAGCACTAAAGGTAGTTGGGGATGGCCCCTGTTGTTGTTGTTGCTGTTGTTGCTGTTGCTGTTGTTGTTGGCGAACCTCATGGACAGCGGAAGTGGCATAGTTGGCTGGGCCAGAGTTAGGAGGGTGTGACATGTTCACATCTTGAATGTAACTACCTCGTGGATAGCCTAGGTCAGCCCGACGTGAGACATCCGCCTCCCACCGAGCGGAGTCAGCCTTGATATCAGCAATCATTTCCTGTTGATCCAGATGGTCCTTGGTCAGATGGTGTTCTCCTTGTCGGTTTGGGCTTGCTTTTTATTGGTAATAATCGCAACATATCCACTTACTGATGTGAGATTCCGATAAGCACGAATAAAAAACCCCGGGCGGCCCTGTGGTTGGGGGTCAGTCAAAAACGATCCAAGATAACATAACGAAGATAGAGAACGGACTTCATGGCTGCCAGGTCGCACAAGTGCATCATTTCCAAGGTAGCGACAGATATCTGCTTGGATCACCTCGCGGCTGATTCCATCACCGGGGATAAAGTATTCATTTTGACGGCCTGTCATATTGTGGTCCTTGGGGAATAAAAATGTCCGGGAAGCAGTTCAATGGTATCCTCAAGTCCGGGCCAAAAAAAAGAAAAAAGGAAATTCCAGGGTATTGAGATCCTTTGGTAAGTTGGGAGGTTGTGGGATCCGTTATATTGGAAAGAATGTACAAGGTTTGCTTTGGATTTCTATAGAGCGACCGGTGTAAAAGATGCCCACAGTCGTCACCACTTTAAATGACGGGGAGCAAGGTCGAATCCTGAGGGAGCTTTTCACTGATTTCGAATATAATCCACGGATGATGGCCAAAAGAAGAGAAAGAGGATCCTAATGGTCGGAAGAGCAAATAACTGGTGTCCTTTTGTCCAGGGGGAGAAAATCCAGGGTATCCTTTGGAGTCCAGAGTGGTTGTCCAGGGCAAATAAATCAAATCAATCCTAGGGAGATAAAAATATCGAGGTCCAAGGTCGAAGAGACTAAATCAAGTCTGCGAGGCTGAGAGCGGGAGCAAATGAAACACCGAGGCGAGATTTCAAGATTCCACTGGAATGTTTGGGAAGTTGGAGGGTTCCACACTTCCTAGCTTCCGTTTTTATAGAGATGTCCAGGTTCTTTTCCCCTGGAAAAAATCAAGTCGAGAGAGGTGGGAGGTGAGAGGTAGGGGGGGGGAGGAGAGAAAGTTGATGATGAAAGAGAAGAAGAAAGAGAGAAGAGGAGAAGGGGCGAACTAAAGTGGGCAGGGCGGTTGGGCCGTCCTCTTGGGCTGGTGCCACGACTCCCCCCACTTCTCTATCAAGTCAAGGCGTGAGAAAAAAGCATGCACGGTCTAATACGGCTTAGATTGAGAAAAAAAAAAGCAAAAAAGAAAATTCCCCCCAAAAAATCAAAAATCAAAAGTACTCTGTACCACTCTGTCCGTAACCGATGCTAAGAATCCACAGACCCTGGCTAATAACCCAAAGAACCCTGAGTCAATCCTTGTCCTAGTCTTGATCCTAAAAGACGCCGTAAAGTTTGTCAAAGGCCGATCCCCCATAGTCTTATCCCAGCTTGGATTGCTCCTTAGTCTGTGCCCTTTTGGGTATACACTTTTGGCTCCCAAAGGGGATTTGATTGGTCTTCATTGACTTCAAGTACCCAAAAGTACACTGTGTATACACTGATTGTTAGGTATATATTGAGCATTGGGTCATTCGGATCATCTGGAATATCCTGTAGCGGTCAATCTCATAAAAGTGACTAAAAGGTATAAGTAACAGAGTACTTTCTTGTGGCGAAAAGACCGGGATTTTTTCCTCCCGAGCTCGTGAGCAAGGCGGCCAGGTGGGACAAATCGGAGTCTAGGAGGACCACGGGGGATGATCCTCACCCTCCTTCTGTCACAGTGGTTGCAAGCAAGGGACCAATCTGCGGCTAGATCGGTGGGATAGCGACAGACCGTTGCCACCGAACCGCAGGACAAGCGTTGGGCATGAATGCGTGTTGGGCACAACTCCGTCAGCGGGTGGGCCACTCAGCGCTCGGCTATGTCAGCATGGCGCGAGCTAAACGGGAGATCACACATTGCCCAGGTGGTTCTTGTCGGGTCTCGACCTGTAGAGGATGGTGGGAAAAAGAACCTTGGAACGACTTCTTTCAATGCTGACGAGATTTAGGTTTCAACGTGGATGTTACAGTTCACGGATTTGAAAGTCGTCCACGGGTCACTCCTGAAGAATTGAATCTGAATCTTGAAAGGTCCACCTGGCAGCTATCGATCCATCATGACATCTGGTCTGAGTTCACGAGTGGACTCCGCAGCAGTTACGGTAGTACTGTACGTACATATTCACATGTACACATGCAGGCACTGAGATGGGTTTTTGTTAAATTCCCAACTCTTAAGTAAATCGGTAGCTAAATATGCCCCCCCGAGTCAGGGATGATAATGGTACCTGGCCTGTCAAGTTCTAGACATGAAGATACATCCAGCCACCCGGAAAATGTAGCCATAAAAGTGATGTTAACAGTGATAAGCTGGAGTGTTATGAAATGGTTCCATAGATCTCTTGTTTGTTTATGTTTGGAACCCGAAACGTAAGGCTCCGAAAAATACACGTGCCTGCACTAAGCCCTTTTAGGACATCAATCCAAGGGTCGCGAGAATCCCCATCATATCCCAAATTGGTTGGAAGAGATCTCTCATCCTATCCTAGCTAGGATCATCCTAAGGTTCCAAGGTTGCTGCACACAGGCCATCACTCCTGACCATGACGAATAACCAGGCATGTCGTCTGCAGACCCTACCAACAGCCCCGATGCCGTGAAACGCTCCCGCTACACCTGCCGCCACCTTCAATTGCTACGCCAAGGCTCCACAGCAACACCTTTACGCGCCATTGCGCATATCGACCTCGATGCCTTCTACGCCCAGTGTGAGATGGTGCGCCTGGGCATACCTCGCGACACCCCACTTGCGGTGCGGCAGTGGCAGTCGTTGATTGCCGTCAATTACGCGGCGCGAGCGTTCGGCATTACTCGCATGGTGACATTCGAGGAAGCCCAAAAATTATGCCCGAATATTATCCTGCAACATGTTGCGACTTTCAGGGAGGGTGAGGGTGGTCGCTGGGCTTACCGGGACGACTCATTTCGGAGTGTCAAGACCGATAAGGTGTCATTAGATCCCTATCGAGCGGCATCGCGCAAAATTCTCCAGACGATGAAGGACGAGGTGCAAAGGTGGTGCACGGATACATCAGAAGGCGGAGTCAATGGTATTCCCCAGGCACCTACAGTCTGCGTGGAAAAAGCCAGCGTTGATGAAGTCTTTATTGATCTATCTCCTCTCATATATTCTGTCTTGCTTCAGAGGTATCCTGAGCTCCGGCCCATTGTGCAAGACGAGAAGAAAGATGCCGAGCTGCCTTGCCCTCCTACTACGGCGTTGCAATGGGGGTCTGATACTACGCTGATAGACTTGGATCTACATGAGAGCGAGGAAGATGACCCAGACTGGGATGACGTTGTCATGATGGTGGCCGCGGAGATTACGAAGTCTGTCAGAACCGCTGTTTGGGAGAAGTTACAATACACCTGTTCTGCTGGCGTTTCTCGAAACAAGATGCTTGCGAAACTAGGCAGTGCTTGTAATAAGCCTGATAAGCAGACTGTGGTACGGAATCGTGCCGTTCAAAAATTTCTGGGTGGGTACAAATTCACCCAGATTCGAATGCTAGGTGGAAAGTTGGGAGATCAGGTCACATCGTTCTTCGGAACTGAGCAAGTGAGTGATCTTCTCAATGTGTCCCTTGAACAGCTTCGCGCCAAATTAGACGATGACACTGCGGCTTGGCTGTATAATACCATCCGAGGAGAGGATCGCAGCGAGGTCAATCCTCGAACGCAGATCAAATCCATGTTGTCGGCAAAATCGTTTCGTCCTAGTATCAACTCGATTGAACAGGCAGAAAAATGGCTGCACATCTTTGCGGCTGATATTTACGGTCGCCTCGTCGAGGACGGTGTGCTTGAAAATAGACGTCGTCCTCGGATAATCACTATCCATCATAGAGTCGTGCAAAGTCGCTCCCGTCAGATCCCGATCCCTGGCTCCAATACCATTGATGAAAAGTTGCTTTTTGAACTGGCCAAGACATTACTCCGACAAGTGGTGTCAGATGGGCAGGCGTGGCCGTGTGCAAACCTATCGTTGAGTGTGAGTAGCTTTGAGGACGGCGTGGGTCAAAACAACGCCATTACAGGCTTCCTGGTTCGCGGCGATCAGACAAAATCTCTGATTAATGCGACCAGACCTCGTGATGCCGACCCTACTACCTCCAGCGAGCAATCCCCGGTTGGTAAAAAGAGAAAGATTGATAATAATATCAAACGCTTTTTCAATCAACCTCAAGCCGACGCTCCTGTCACATTAGAGAAAGGTCACCAACCTACACAAGTCCAAGGCCTACCAGTAATTAACACCGGAGAGGACGTTGCGGCTCAATTTGATGATACCTCGCAAATTCCGCAATTTACCTGCGAGCGATGCGACAAATCTATTCCCGAATACGACAAAGAGGAACATGAAGACTGGCATTTTGCTAAAGACCTAGCAACTCAGGACAGACAAGAAGCACGGGACGCTCAACAGCAAAGCCATACACCAACCAGCTCCCTCAGAGCAAATAATCGTGGCCGAGGAGGTCGGAGTGGCAGAGGAAAGTCCGAAAAGGGCCAGATGCGATTGGCTTTCCAATGAAAGGAGGAGTCTTTGTAAGAGACATGGGTGTGCTGGTCTTCTCCAGTGGCGATTTCTCTCCTTCTCTCTCTCACCCGGGCAATTGGTCCTATAAGACCCCTTGTCATATTTTCATACCCAACTCAAGCCTTCCTAACATCCGAATATCCGACGTCATAATTAGCGATTCGTTCCCAGGTTCAAGTTTCAACTTATTTCTGGTTAGACCCAAGCAAGGGTTCCTGATCTCAACCATGGATCCAGCCAATTCCCGATCTATAGATCTAAAAGTAAACAAAAGTAAACAAAAGTAAACAAAATAAAAACATGTCTTTTATCATGCACAATTACCACACATGCATATACTAAATGTGTTCACCCTTATACTCGTGTTCATATAGTGACAATAATCTGTGTGTGACATCAGCGGGTAGGCGGGGTCATAGGGCAGCGATCATGTCGTCGATGCGCGGCCTGCGCCCCATGTATTTCCCGACTCGCATCTGTGCTTTCTCTCGGTGCATACCTCTAGAATCTAAACAGTTTAGATTGTGATCGCTGCCTAGAAGTAACACCTTCTCTTCTCTGCCTTCTCTCTTTTTTACTCTCACGATCCACGTCATTGCTTGGCGGAATTTAATTTTTGGGGACATACCCGCGCGCGAGAAGTGATTGTCCAAGAATACCCCGCCGGGATACTTTTGGAATCAGATACCTCTTGCTGGGGCTCAAATTGCGTCAAGTACAGCAAGAAGCAAGTGGTACCCATACACACTCGTTCTGTGAAGCCTAATCGCTCCCTTGTTTGCACCCGAAGGCCCTGGTACAGGCGGTTTGCGACTAACAAGGAGGTCTGAAACTTTGCGATTGGGCAGTCACACCTTCACATCTAATGACTTGACGCCTTGAGAAGCTTTGATCACTTTCTCTTCTCAATTTTTTCCTTGTTCCCTTCCTTCTTATCGCCGGATAGTCTCGAATACTGTATCGACTTGCCTGCACCCAATAACGACGACCTCACAACCCTGGCCATGCCTCGCCGGGATCAACCACCCCCGGGGTACTGGGAGGGAGAAGATTTCGAATCCGAACGCGAAAGATGCCGACGCCCACGACGATCCGAGCGGTCCTCATTCGAAGAGGAAGTGAGATACAGACGTAGGGAACCGATGCCTCTAGTTGACGACATGGAGCGTATACAAATCCGAGACCGGCCTCCAAGAGAGTTTGTGCGGGAAACCTTCATAGGACCTCCTCGAGACTTTCCACCACCCGTGCGCATGAGAAGGTCGGCAGATGACGTCGGTCCCACGATCGAGCGGGAAGAGTCATACACGCGCACGCGACCACGGCGAAGTCACGAGCGCATTGACGAAAGAGAGACACGGCGCAATAGACGACCTCGCACTTCAGAATTTGAGGAAGAGGACCTTAGTTTTGATGAGCGAGAGCGACGCGGTCCACGAAGACCTCCGCCAGAACGAGTACTTGGAGAAGAAGAGATTATGATCCGACGCGGGGTAGAAGCGCCGCAACCTCCAGTCTATCGCGGTGAGATAGACGAACGACCTCGTGAACGACGATACTCTGACGTGCGAGACGAGGTGTTTGTTCGCTCCTCTGAAACACGTCGCAAGCCTCGTCGCCGGGACATGGAATTTGGAGCGGAGATGATCGACGAGCGGGAAGAAAGACCGCGGCGCTCAAACTATCGCAATGACCCATCACCGCCCATGTCGAAGGAAGAAGAAATAGTTATGCAGTGGAAAGATAGGCCCTCGCCACGGGAGCTTGAGGAAGAAGAGGAAGTTCGATGGCGGGATAAGCGGCGTCAACAAAGTCCACCACGGGCACGATATGGTCGAGGATCGCTAAGTGGATGGCACGGTGATCGAGAGGATGAGTTTGATGCTCGTTCCCAAAGAAGATCCAGACCCGATCGAGGAGAAACCGATGATGACGAAGAAATCGACATTCGGTCCTCGAGACGTTCCAACCCTAGATGGGAACAGACAGATGAGGAGATTGACATTCGGCCCAAAAGACGGCCCCGACACGAGCGAGATTTCGAAAAAGATGAAGAGGTCGACATTAAATCTTCAAGACGGTCTAGACCAGCGAGGAGCGAGATTGATGTTGCAGCTGACGAGGAGATGGATGTTCGCTCCTCAAGACGGCCCAAATCTGGATGGGCAGATAAAGAGGATGACGAAGAAATTGATATTCGCTCATCAAGGCGGTCGAAATCTGGTTGGGGGAGAGAGAAGAAGATGAAGAGATTGATACCCGACGAGAAAAAATTGTTGAAAGAGGTCCTCGCAGAAGAAGCACAGAAATCGAAGAGGTCATTACCCGCAAAGAAAGCCGCAAGTCATCCTCTTCAGGACGGAACCCGTCACCGGAACCTATACGGGCACCTCCAATCCACCAGGATTTCATAACGCACCATCGACACATTGATCATGGTTTGATAGCCTGGTACTTGCTTTCCTCTAGATCTGCCGCTAACTTCAAGCCAGGATTTGATGAAATTCGACCACCACGTATCTCAAGTCCGGAAAGCGACACTAGTGAAACCAGTTTTGATGAGGTTGATATGCACCGCCGGTAAGTATCTCCAGCTGCCCAATAGTTTCTCTGCAAGTAATTAATTTTGACAGGACTCGAAAAAACGTCCGGGAGTCCGAGGAAGATATTTCAATCACGCGTCGTGATGGGAAGGAATCCATTTCGCCGACTACTGTTCCGTCTAGTGACTTCCATGATCCATGGCGCTCACGCCGTGGTCCCCGGTCTCTGGGCCGGGAAGACGAGCCTTTGGTTACTGAACGCATCCATAGTCGTAGTCGAAGAACTATCCCTCGCGACCTCGATGAAATCGACAAGAAAATAGAGAAAATGAAAGCTTCGTCTTTAGCCGACGACGTTCCGCAGAAAAGTATCGACGAATGGTCTATTGTTCACGCGCCTTCGAAAGAAGAAGCCATTGAGATGAGCGGCGCCCTTGATATTATTGAGGTGGCCCCTAAAGGTGCCCCCAAGGTCGAATCTGAGGCTGAGGTTGAGGTCGAAGAGGAGGTCGAAGTTCAAAACAATGGTCGAGCTAGACCAAAGGTGCGCAAGGAACGACGCGATGAGCGTTGGACAGAGATCACCAAGGACTTGGTGGTTCGTGATGCTATCGAGGATATGGGGTATGAATTCGAAGAGACGAAAGAATATTACTATATTTTCTCGTTTCTTGAACCGGTAGGTTTCTTTGTTCGAACGGGGCGCCGGAACGGAAAAGGCTAACCTGGTCGCCTTGCAGGCTGATATTGACGAACTGGTTGAAGCTTCTGACCACATTCGCCAAACTCGACGACGACGGATCAAGGAGATGCACCGTGAGCGGGCATCTATTCCTGCCCGTTCTGCCTCTTTGGTAGGTAGAATGCCACCTCGCATTCGACTAGGGGGGAGACATGTCAGGGAGCGGGAGTGGATCATTGACGGCCACCGTTGAGATAGCCGCCTTGAGGGCCGGAAATGGAACTTTTACAAATGGAGCTCATGATTATGATTATTATGATGGTAATGGCATGGTATATGACTATGATTGGAATATGATAACGCTATACATGTTTGATAAATGAACTTTCACTGGTGTAGCCTGTCATACCTCGAGAAGAGGAGGAAGAGAAAGACGGGAATTATATACCTACCTTTTGAAGCCCTGGAGTAGCTCTTGAGATATTGCAACACTTGAGGTGATATTGGATGAGTCAAGAGATCAATTGAGGTCGGCCACCATTCAATTATCTTTGCTCTCATCCAGATGTCTCATCAGCATTAAATTTGGGACAATGAATATGCTTTGCATTCAAGATACGATTGTTTAAGGCAGCACGAAGACCTGCCCGTCAGTTGGAAATGGTATATCATCCAGACTCATCTAGAAGAACTGAATGAATATCAAACATTTGAATGAGGTGTATGAACCTTCTGGCCATACTTTGTCCTGAAGGTTGATTTTCTAGTTTTATTGGTATTGGACTCGGTCGCTCAGGGGGTTGAAGCCAGTATTAAAAGATTTACCACAATATTAGTAAACTTTACGCAGTATATAGCTTCACTATGCGTACTTATGCATGCTCATAAGTCAACATTTGAACATGAACTCTTATGTTCTAGACCGTCAGAGAGGGTGCTCTACTATGCACCTACGAGGGACGTACGGAGCACATTATCTCCGTTCAGCATTCGAAGGCATTTGCCATTACCCTAGAAATCCATTATTGAGGTCTCACAGAGACAATAAACAAAGAGTCAAGTTCTGCATAAGAAAAAAAAACCCCCTTTGTTTTTGTTTTGTATTTACTCATTGATATTCTTAGCATCACGGTACATGGGATGTATTCTTAGAAGCAAGCCACCACGTCAACACATGGAAATCTTTACCGGATCAACAAACCACCACCAATAACCCCTGTCGCCAAGCCCCAGCCCCAAGCCACCAGACGCAGCAAAAATCATGCCGGGTTCCTGAAAGAAGATACCCGACGAGAACTCATGCAAAGTCGACCATCCGATCCGTGTCGAATAGCCGAGTTGGTCGCGATGGCCCCCAAAAGACAAGCTTCTTGGGTCAGCAACGGTGGGTTGGTGGGCGATCATTAGGCATCTAGATCTGTGCCATTATGATCCTGGAAGTGTTCAGTTTGAATAGACTTGGAACATTTGAATGGAATTTTCCATCAAAAAAAAAAAAACGAAAACAAAAAAGATTCAAGGTTCATTCATGTTCCCCCTGCTCCGTGCCTACTCCGTACAGTGCAAGTGCAACCCAGTCCGCAGGATTACACATACATCCCTGCCGCCACCCGCGATATTGTGGTGGGCTTGTCTCATATTAATGGATGGATCAGGGATCATTTTGGGAACTGCGTGTATGTGGGACCCAAGAGAGGTCGTCGGGTCAGGTACCAGGCACCGTTTCTCCAGATGTCTATAGGAAACAAGTCCAAGCTGGAAAAACTCGAGATTAAAGGTTGAAGGCAGGACAATATGAATGGACGGGATTGAAAGCCAGAGTTTTTGGGAGGCGAAAAAGACGAAAAAGAACTGGGGCTCGGGAAGTGGGAAGTTTCAAGTTTCGAGATCGTCGTGTCCTGACTACTTTAATGTTGAACCAAGGGACGGACCTCGGGCGGATTCGAATGTTTCCAAGGATAAGGATGCAAGATACGGAGCGGTACCTGTTAAGTATTTGAAGCGAAAATCAGTAAATATCTGTTGGGCATCTGATGTGTATACTCTGTATATGGCGTAGTTCATGGGATGCATGTACGGGACAGTGGGTAGATGATATGTAACAAAGAAGTCCGGTCCGCAGTATGTAACTAGTATGTAGTAGTTAACTGCGGATGTACGGAGAAGGCGATCGATTACAAAGCGGATCGCGATCGAATGTTGGAATTTTAGAATATGTCATGGAGTCATTGACTTGGGTAATTTACTGTGGATCTTGAGTTTCCACTTTTCCAAGATTCCGTCAAGTCTGGATCCAAACAAATTAATTCCCCGTGAAGTTTACTATTGTATGGTACCAGCGGATACACCTTCGGATATCAGAAATATGTGATTCAGGGGGTGGAAAACGGAAAATAGAAAATACACAGATAAAAAGAAAAAAAAAAACCTGGAATTTATTTGAGGGGCAACATGGAATATAAGGGGAAAGATACTCTGGGATGCAAGTCCGGTCACACTCGGGTATTATTCTGGGCTGATCACCGTGATCGTCATCTTTGGCGTTTACGGGTAGAGTTTCCAATCAGAGTGGTGATGGATATCATATCAAGCACTTCATTACGTTCAAAGTTCAAAGGTCAAAGGTTGTGCTCCAGACCAGTTGGTCAGAGTGCTCTGGTAACAAAACTGTAAAAAAAAAGAAAAAAAAAAAAAAAAACCGTTGGCTTTACTGAAATGAGATAGGAGGGCTAGGGTGGTTTTATACCTGATTTGTGTTATTAGTGCAATCCTGAGACATGGAATTTCTGAAATGCCTGAGCACTACTTGGGGTTGTACAGAGTACATACTGGTATACTAGTATACCAGTATAGTATCTTTGATCTTAGTACGGGGTATGTGATTTTTTTGTTTAGATCTCCAGATTGAACATGTCTCTCTTATCTGTATAGGATTCTGCAGTGCATAACTTGTGGCTTACGGATGAGCTTTATGTGGCTTGTTTAGGTCGCAGCTCTGAGACAGACCAACGACCAATTTGGATCCACACATTACGTATGCTTGGCTTTAGCTTGCGCTATCGCCCCTCTTGTCACGCATGGGAAAAAAAAAGAAAAGATTACCAGAACAAAGAGTCAAAGAGTAGAGATTTTCTAAATTAAACAAAAATTAAAAAAAAGGTATGAAGGGCCAAGAATGTTCATGAATTCTTTAGGGTGAGCACCAGTTGCACAGTGCATTTCAGCTTCCATGTTACCCATGTTTCTTTTCTGTTTCTTTACCAATCTTACCGAAAAGTGGAACCACTCCAAATTTGGTATTTAGTTTACTTGTGCGCGTCCACTTTCGAGTCCTTTAAATGCAAAACAAGCGACCTACTGCAGGGAAAAAGAATCATTCAGTAGCCTTAAAACAATAAACTTGGTTTACAGAGAACAAATAGAATAGATCTATTTCTAAATAAAATAAAATAAAAAGAACCAAAGAAAACCAAAGTCATGTACATAACAAAGTCTCTCCTTATAGCAAATGTACTGTGTACAAAAAAGAGTCCCCACCGAGCTAGCGGCAATGTCGGGAGATAACTCAGTAACTCAGTAACTCAGCAGAAACGTTCCTAATCCCCGTGACTCTCTCATCTACCCTTTCTCCTCTTTTCTCCTTCCCCTACTCTTATCCAACCCGAAAACTTCCCCAGGTATTGACCAACTAGACAAGTTAGGGAACCATGAACATTCCCTTCTAACACTTGTCGTCGCCTTCGTTTAAAGAATACCCTGGTGGCTAAGTGGGGGATCATCAATCGCTTCTCTCAACCTTTCCCACGCAACCTGTATGCGTGATCGACATTCATCACCGGTCGGCACACGATTTCCTTTTTACATCACACACCCGGATAACAGCCCCTTCGCCCTTCCAACAAAGAATACTGCGTCTCGTTTGACCCGAGCTGGAAACCCAACTGAGGGAAGGCACAATTAAATCACACAAACTACAAAATTACGAAGATTGGTTGGTAGTCTGAGACTCGACATCCAACCTCTGCCCACCATGCACCTCTCATTTTTGCTATCGGCATTGGCTCTGCTGCCTCGATCCTTTGCAACTTCAACCTTGGCCTACTGTTCTACGGAAAATACTGGAGTGTCCGGTGGATCCTGTGCGTGATGAAGCGGGAAAGTGAAACCTCGGACTGAACCTCTGAGCTGACTATTCTATTTAGCATCGAGTACCTACCAATCGAACGGCCTCTGTGAAGGAACCTGCGCTGATTACGCCTTCGGAATTCTTCAACAAAAGCTGTGTTGGTGCTCGAATATTGTACCAGCGTCTGGTACTCGAGAGAGTACCACCAAATGTGATTCAGGATGTCCTGGTTATCCCGAAGATAGCTGTGGTAATTCTACCATGGGAGTATACGCCTATGTTGCAATTTCGGGAAACAGTGCGACCAGCACCGCTAGCGGTAGCAGTTCATCGTCAACCAGTACAGTAAGTCTTCCATTATGTTTTTCTCTTCACATCAGAGTCCCCCCCCTCTAGTCCCTTTTGATTATTCTGGTTTTTTTGAATCCGCGCGCTCTTTCATGGGGGTCCGATTTTAATACCGGAATTAGGGGACTACTTCAAGTTCAAGCTCTTCGTCGAGCACCATCTCCACTGTACTTTAACTAATCCCCGAATGCTCTGTGCTTGAATTCATTTCGCTAATTTTTTGACCACAGACTGATAGCTCCTCTTCATCCTCCACCACGACCACGGCTCCCACTGTCGCTTACACCACCTCTTCCGATGGTCAAGTTAAGACCATTACCGTTTCTGCCTCGAGTTCTACCTCTGGTGCCGATGGGAGTGCTGTCTCCACCACTAGCGAAAAGAGTTCTGGCCTGAGCGGTGGATCGATTGCTGGAATTGTCGTTGGAGTACTTGGTGGTCTTGCCCTGGTTGGCGCGCTGGTTTTCCTCGTCTTCTTCTACCGCAAGCGTGCTCGCTCATCGAGCCCCGTTCCAAGCCAAGATATGGCCGACCGAACAAGCCAGGGCTCAAATTGGTCTCGTGGTGTCTTCCCTGGTGGTGCTGGCGGATCCGACCTCGGACGCAAGGCCACTTTCACCGACAACCGCATGAAGACCTCCACCGCCATCTATCCCAACGGCCCTCGGGATAGCAGTGTCTCGCTGCAGGACAACGAGGACTACTCGCGACCTGTTCTTCGTGTATGTTATATATACTGTCGACATTCTTTCCCTCTCTGTATAAGAAATATGCTAACATTATATCTTATTAGCTCACCAACCCGGACGAAATTTGAGTCGGATTTTTCCATCCCCGTTTTTCTTCCTTTTCCACGCTTGACTCCGCGAGATTGCCCTCATCATTAAATTCTGAGCGAATCTTCCCAAAACAACTCCGTTATGATACCCAACCGTCCCTTGACTTCTTTCCTATTTTTAAGGTGGTGGCCGTGAAGATAAAGACCCGAAATGGAGGACACTTGAACCGGGGGTTGAAATTCAAGCAAAGCTCTTTTCTGTGAATGGACAAGGAGAGGATGAATGTGAAGGCACTTATAGTACCCGACATGAAAATGAGTCCTATCCGACCCCCTGGGAAGTGATGATCTGCCGTCGAAACGAGTTCACGAGCAACAGCATACATACCTGACATGAATACCGCGGATGATGGGTCCAGCCCATGTGATTCCAGTACATACACTCGACCCCTCTCCAGATCGCCCTATCTCCTTGATCTTCCTTTCTTCTAATTCTCATTTCATCCGTTGTACCATCCAGCCGGCTCCTTTTGCTTTCCTTTTGTTACTATTATTCCTAATCCACGTGGTCTTTACTCGTTTGGGTTTCAGCTATGGCGTTACCTCCCCTGGTCTTTTAGAGTGATAACATTCACAATCCCACTGAAGTCTTAAACAACTCCTCTTATGTATTTGTCCCAATTGGATTGGCATTGGACAACTGTCTTGTTCGGGGATTTAACCCCTTGGATGAAAATTTGCTGAAGTAGATTGACGTGGCATGATGTCTAGAGCGCAAGCTACGTCATGCCTAGTTCGTGGTCCAGACCAAGTCTCATGTGTCACTTGGAACGGTTGGATCTGAAATTCTAGGCCCGTTCTCGAATCAGATGTCTAGATGTTTACAAGGTTCTCGCCTATGGCCTTTTTATTTCCAAGATTTATTTATTTACCTTTTTTTTCTTATTGCAAACATGCCCAATCGAAACAGGTTCCAAGGTTGTCTTGATCGATGAATTTCAAATCCATACTAGTACCTCATGCACTGCTACCACTATTCAATATTCGACTAACATACGCACCGCCTCTTCATTGCCCAGAAGTTCAGCCAACTCAAGCGGTGTCCTCCCCCGGTGGTCCTTGACAGTCAGATCCGGCCGATGATGCCCCTCCGTGAGAATTGCACGAATGATATCTACATGCGCCGCCTGAATCGCACGATATATTGCAGTCCTTTCATGTGGTCCTGCCAAATCGACGTCAACCCCCTTGCTAAGCAGCAAACGAACCATCTCCGCCGACCTCACCCTAACAGCAAAGTGAAGCTCAGTTTGACCATCCAAAGTAAGGCAATCCAAAGCACATCCACCTTCAATCAAACCACGAGCCACATCGAAACACTGATGCTGCAATGCCACATGGAGACCTGTAATCCCATCAGGACCCTTGCTATCGACATCGATCCCTGCCGCTATCAAAATCAACGCTAGATTCTCTTTCTTGTTCTTGAGCGCCACATGAAGAGCCGTCCCGTAAAAAACAGAAATGTCATTCAGCATATCCCTGGATTCGGGCTGAGCAAGAATCACCCGCAAGACATCTTCGTCTCCGCGCAAAACGGCGCTTTGCACCAGAGAGGGCCTGTCCGCGCGAGCCGCCTTCACATCCCTCCACTTTTCTAGTGCCATCGTAATCGTCTCAATACTGTTCCGAACGACGATGCTCGCAATATCACGCGGTGCACTCAAATCCGTGCCGGCCATTATCAACCGCTGTGTTATCTTATCATCCCACGCCGCATGTTCCAGCGCCACTTGCGGTTTCGTGATGTCTTTCAGACAGGGATCGGCTCCGTACCTCAGAAGCAGGTTCACCATCTCCATATCCTGCTTATGACACGCGGTATGAAGAATCCATACGCCGCTGCAGTCGTATGAATTGGGATTCGCCCCCATATCCAGAAGGGCTTTGACGCCGTGGATTTTCCCCCTTTGGACCGCACTCACAAGCCGGCCTTCATTATTAAATCCGCGACGGGATAACGGTAGTGGTGGGATGACGGCGAATGGAGTGGCGCCAAGGCCAAGTCGGATTGGACGGTCTATGCCGGGGATCTGGTGCTCTTCGTAAAAATAGCTTTCTTTGTATACGTCCGCTGGGAGGAGGGCTTCGTTCCGCCCGCGCTGTATCTTTTCGGCGTCTAGAATGCCGTGGAAGGCTTTGCATGTTTGTGTCAATCGGACCAAGGACTGGGTGTCGCATAAGTTGGCGATGAGGAGGAATAGCTCGCAGGGGAGGTGGCCGAGAGGCATAGATGTGCTCGGTATATCCAGTGCAGGTAATGCATTCGTTGTGGGTGTTGTTGGTGCTCTGGTTACTTTTGACCCTTCGGTGCAGAAGTCGTGGGTCCGAATCTTCATGTCGATCCACATGTTGTTCTCTGGTCGAGTATTATGTACTGTGTACGGCTCTTTTATCTTCCTGCTACCACGAGTAAGACGGTAAGTAAATCTGTCCTGACCTAGTCTGAGGCATCTGTAGGGCATACTGTTGTGGAGTGTCCAGCGGATACGCCGCACTGATATCCAGAGTCTGGATTTGAATTGTACTAGTAGACATTTATAACAATGAAAGTCTTTCTTTGTGGAGTTCGCTTTATTTATATCAGCCTTCTTAGTTGAAAGACCATTCAAATAAAAGGCAACTTATAGCATTCAATCAATTGTTGGGGAGCGGGCTTTGTTCGAGATGTCTGCATTGTATGTTCACAGAGGCAGTGCGCCTGGGCAGGAAATGTGCATGGGGCAGATACTGCTGATTGGGTATGGTGCCGCCAGCAAATCTTAATTGAACTGATATCAATCATCCACAGGACAATATTTCATCAGGTAGCGCTCGAGATTTTGAAGGGTTCATCGGTCTTCAGACATCATAAATGTTTCAATGTCCTCGGCCCCGAAATATGAGGGCAGTGATTTCGCCACGAAGAGTAGGTGGTTACGGCCAGTATATTCGATGAGATGTTGAAACCAGTCTGTCAGATATTAGAATTATTGATCTCACCAGATTTGAACTTACATATCAGGTGGGCCAAATAATGCGACAAAGACTGTCGCTTTGTCGAATTTGAACCTTGAAAGTGGCTTGCGAAAAATGAAGTCATGGTGGGTGAGGCTGAGTTACCAGGGCGGCTACGACCCGAGGGCACAGGCAAATCAATGAAGTCTCGGGCCTTCAAATGTTCAGATGTTGACGAATAGACTTAGTTCCAACTTGATCCGCTGGCTTGGCCTATAACATTCATACATCATTGTTGAAACGTGTTAGGACATGTGGTTTCCCAGGGTGCGAGGTAGTCCGGATCGGGTAGATACTAGTTAGATAGACACAGGCCTGGGGGTAAGTGAGAGCTTCACTTTCCTTTCCTTCTCTCCTTCCTTTTCTCCTCTCCATCCCGCTTTGCACGAAGAATCCCATTACTGTTGTTTCTTCTGGCCTTTTCCTTTCGTTTTCCGTTTTCCTCGATCCAGTGTAGTCAAGGGTAGACACACGTTGTGGATCGAACAAAACGTAGCATCTCGCATGAGGGCAATGAGATATAACATTGATCGTACTAGGTACGTATGCAAACTTCCATGGACTGGATATACCTCCGGGGCTATATATGAGGGATGTATATAAGAGATGGCACAAGGCAGTGCCTAAAGTCGTGCATGAATGCCCCCGCATCAACAATCACTCTAAATATAGCATCGAAAATGAATGGCTCATGGTTAATCAGGGATAATCTTGCTTTATAGACGCTCTTGGAGATACTGAAAGCCGGTTCTCCTTCGAAACTGAATTTGGCTTTCGCACTGCAGCTTTCGCATGAAATTTGCACGGCTGGGCCTTACTCTGCTTGAGAGGACTAAGTTGTTTGCGTTCCCGCCGAGTAAGCTATTTGACCCAAGTCAACCGTTTCAATTTTACCTCCGTTCACCCTGTGGTAGAAGTCTATATCTGCACATGTGCATGGTAGTATTGAAGATCGGAAAGAATATCAAGGCCAGTGTTTTATTCAGCTGGAAGATGACATCTGGAAGGAGGGATTTAATGTTTGGAACATTGAAAAGTCCATCTTTGGCTGCATGTATCCCAGTGAAGGCAGATGCAGTACTAAAACTCACCACAGACCAAAAGAAGTAGATTGAATGCACGAATTGAATCTTAGAATATATTCCACGCTACTCAAGTGCTTATGTTCTCAAGTAGGCACTCCAGTAATTTCGAGCTCTATATGATATTCAAATGTACTGACAGCCGCATCAAGATTGGAGATATCTTGGTGGAACCTGCGAATCAGGATAGAGAGCTTTACATATAATTGCTTGCTTATAGAAAGAAACTATTGAATATTAGCCACCCGAACAAGAAAAACCAGCGCCCATCGGGCAAGAAGTAGAGGCAAGTTAAATTAAGATGATAGGTTTTTGAAGAATAATGATATTCCCTCAATATTGTGGTACAAATTAGCTAAGGGCATAACTCGGGGCCGATACACAGTTGTGATAATTAGATAGCATGGGAATTATGCTCTTAAGATGATAGGTACAGCTTCTTTCAATTAATTCATTGATACTTATTGGGTTTTCAGAATTTGAATACACTAATTACGAGCCACGTGTATTATATCCTTAGAAGTAATGGGAATGGGAGGTCCAAGGTCAGATCTCGATCGAACAGGCAACCCATGTCGATCTCGGGATGTGTTTTAGTGAATTTTAGAGGAAGATCAAGGGAAATTAACGGGCTGGGTTGAATTAGCTAAAGAAAAATCAAGGATCTATTAGAGACGAGGTTGAAGAACGGTATGTAGAATGTATCGAAGCTACTCTGTACAGTATCAAGTTTTTTTTTTGGAATTGGGGGGACTTTCTACTTCAACTTGCCCTTGAGAGATCCCTGCTTCTTTCCCCACATGCCGATCGACCCACACTGAGAAAAAAAAGTCCGAGAATGGAATTTCATGTGTGACAGTAGGTTGTGGTCAGATGGCAAGATGGGTGAGATGGTGAGATGGGTGAGATGGTAAGATCTGGTGAAACTTGATGCAAACCACTCAAAATGGAAGACACCGCGAATCTTCCCCACGAACTCTCTCCACGACAAGCTCCCCAGCCACCACCCACCAGCAAGCCTTCGCGTTCGCTTTCGTTCCTGTCGACCCTGATGTTCAGAGGGTTCTTTGACCCAGTTACACTAGTCCGTCAAAACCCCCAGGAGTTTCCCCAGATGGTCTGGGGGGTAAATCACTCAAGAGGTCAAAGCCATAAGGAAATTACAGGTCAGAAAATCCCGAACAGACTTCACGCTAACCAGTCTGGTTCAAGGACGGACAAAGCCGAAGCCAGGGGCGGAGAAAGGACCCAATGTTCATTGGTCACTTCATGGGCGAAAGTGAGAAAAATTGGGCAGGAGTGTTTTTATGGCCGAGACCGGAAGAATCGGCATACGTGTATCAGCGGGTTCGGTTGGCCGAAGCGAAAATCGATTTCCAAAGAAAGTGAAGCGGAGACTGGGAAAAGAAAAAAAAAAAAAGGGAAAAGGAAAAGGGAAAAGGAGCAACACTAGCTGCATCTCATCTCCGCCCCTAGGAGGTGTTGGCCAAATGAACTGCCGTCCTCTTGACCCCAGATTTGCCTCCCCAGCATTTCTCCAATGTTCTGTTCACCGGGCGTCTGGAACTGGCAAAGTGTTGGAATGAAGCACAAATCTCCAGGTTCCACGCCCCATGGGCATTCGAATGGGGCCACGCGTCCACCTCTCCGCGACTCGGTTCCCCGAAAGCTTGGCAACTCCGAAACAGCACGAAAAAATGCCGAGACTGACAGGATGCGACCAAGAGTCCAACACGGTCGGGTAAGATTATAGGCCGGACAAGCAACCCATGGATCTCACCCGAGGAATTATACCTCGTGGCGGTGGAGAATGCAGTTCCAGAATGCTACGGTCCCTCTTTCCACCTACTTTGGCTTTCTTTGGCCTCTCATCTTGCCCTAAGTTATCATCTGAGCCGAATCAACCATGCTAGATCTGGGATCGCTCTTGATCTGTGATTCCAGATGAGGTTTAACTCTGGCCCCATTTTCTGTCTACAATCCCGGGTTTACCCCCCGCGCTATACTGAATCGTCTTTTTTTTTTCTCCGTCTTTTCGCTTTGTCCTTTGTCGCCTGGAATGCAATCCACAATTAGAAGCAGAATTTTTTTCTTCACATCACAAGGACTCGGCTCGGCCGCCCATACTGCACACGTTTTCGTCCCCCTCTCCTCGCCTTTCCCCGTTTTCTTGTAATTAGAGGCGTTTCCGAATATGGGGCATGGTCAGACATCCACTCTCGGATCAACCCAAAGTGGAGTTTCGAGAAAAAAAAAACTTTTTTTCATTCTCTTCTGCTACCCTACTATATTCTATATTTTGATACCTTGGTTTGCTTTGATTTGACAATGTGAGGCATCGGTCAAATATCGGTCAGGCAGGCGGGGTATTAAGGTCTGGAAGGAATTGCCCGTTGGCTGGCCCGTCGTAAGCACTAGTCATTAAACAGAAGCACCCCGGAAACAAGGACCCTAGAGCACTGGCAAGGTTGTTTGTACTAGTTGACAGCTGCACAGAATGGCCACCGGCTCGGCCAATAGTGGCGTTCTGTGGGAGAGAAGGCTTGTTCCTTTGAAAGTTCGGCGCCTGGTCCTCCACTCAGCACCACGGCTTGATACGCCAATGCCCTCTCCTTCTTGGCCAGAAAAGCTTAGTGGCGTCCACTAGCCTTCGAAGGTTTGATGCTCCGTTCACTTTCGTTTCGAGTATTCCGGATCATAGCATTTCCGACTGGCATACTCTTTCCCCGAGTCTAACCAATTTCATATCTAGCGTTGGATTAGCTTGGTCTACCACATGAAATCTTGTGACCCAGGGTCCCCCATAGGGCATTGTCAGCCGTGAAGCTGGGGCCATAGGCACGAGGACCACTTGTTGATGCTTGGCCAGACCAACTAACCCCAGGAAGTGAGAAAAAAAAATAGTGGAAGGCGAAAAAGAAAGAAATAGAAAAAAAAGAAAAAGAAAAAAAAAAGAATTGACAAACGGACATCTGGAAAAAAAAAATGTTTATATAGCCCGGCATATCCCATCAACATGTCTCTTTCTTTCTTGTGTGAACACATCATTTCTTTCCTCTCCATCTTTTTTTCTACCTCCTGATTTACACGCTATCATCATGGCGGTCAGTCAGTCGGTTGTTGGCCGCAACAATGCGGAGAAGGCTCATGGTTTCATGGGTATGATGAAGAACCCTTATGTCTTCTTGACATGTTGTTTCGCATCCCTGGGTTGTATCATGTACGGTTACGATCAGGGTGTGATGGGCCCCGTCCTGGTCATGGAGAACTTCGAGAACCACTTCCCCGAGTTCATGGGTTCCACCATCCAGGGTTGGTTGGTCTCTGCTCTTGAGCTTGGTGCTTGGGCTGGTGCCCTGATCAACGGTATCCTTGCGGATCGCATCTCTCGCAAGTACTCCATGATGGTTGCTGTCATTATCTTCACTCTTGGTACTGGTCTTCAGTGTGGTGCTCAGACCCCTGCCTACTTCTTCGCCGGTCGTATCATCGGTGGTGTGGGTATTGGTATGTTCTCCATGGTCATCCCCATGTACCAGGCCGAGATTGCTCCCCCCGAGCTGCGTGGATCCCTCGTCTCCCTGCAGCAGCTTTCCATCACCATCGGTACCTCCATTGCCTTCTGGCTCGACTACGGCATGCAGTTTGTCGGTGGCAACACTTGCGACCCCGAGGGAATCTCCAACCCCTACCTCGCCGACGGTACCTACAACGCCGCTGTCAACAACGGCCACACTTGCCTGGGACAGAAGACCATTGCATGGCGTCTTCCCTTGGCCCTGCAGATCATCCCCGCCTGGATTCTGTTCTTCGGCATGTTCTACTTCCCCTTCTCTCCCCGTTGGTTGATGATGAAGCACCGCGAGGAGGAGGCTCTTTCTTCTCTCTCCCGCCTGCGCCGTCTTCCTGCCACCGACCCTCTGCTCCGTGCCGAGTTCCTTGAGATCAAGGCCGCTGTTATGTTCGACGAGGAGTCCGAGCGCGAGCTTGTTGGCACCGACGGTCGTCTCGGTCCCTGGAAGGCTCTGTTTGCCCCCAACATGCTTAAGCGTCTCTTCCTGGGCTGCGGAACTATGGTTTGCCAACAGTTCACCGGTATCAACGCTGTCCTCTACTACGCTCCCCAGATTTTCAAGAGTTTCGGTTTCAACTCCACCAAGCAGACTCTTCTCGCTACTGGTGTCACCGGTATCTTGCAGATCACCTTCACCATGCCTACTGTTCTCTGGCTCGACAAATTCGGTCGTAAGACTTTCTTGATTGCTGGAGCTATCGGCATGTTCTTGTGTCACATTGTCGTTGCTACTGTTGAGGGTCTCTACCAGGATAACTGGAACCTCAACGAAGGCCTTGACAGAAAGCAAGGTTGGGTTGCTATTGTCTTCATTTGGCTCTTCGCTGTTAACTTCGCCTACTCTTGGGGTATGTTTTTTTTCCACCCTCCCCCCCCCTAGCCTTTATTACAGATTACTAACCGATCTTTTCATTACAGGTCCCGTCGCTTGGGTTTTGACCCAGGAAATCTTCCCCAACAGCCAGCGTTCCCGCGGTGTTGCCATTGTGGCCTCCACCAACTGGATGTTCAACTTCATCATCGGTCTTACCACCAAGGATATGCTCGACACCATGAAGTACGGTACCTACATCTTCTTCGCCATCTTCAGTGGTTTGGGTGGTCTGTTCATTTGGTACCTCGCTCCCGAGACCAAGGACAAGACCCTGGAGGAGCTCGACATCTACTTCGGTGGCTCTGATGCTACCATCGCCGCCGCCGATCGTGAGCGCATGGAGCGCATCTACGAGACTCTCGGTCTTGCCGGTGTTGAGAACGTTGAGGACCTCAAGGTCGCTATCACTGCTGACCAGATTGAGGTCACCGAGGAGACCAAGGCTTAAACTTGATCTTTCTTTTTGAGCTACTTTATGTAATATGGATTCCAGGAGGATTGCTATGATCATACGTCACGCAGCTATGTACTGAATCACGGGTTTATGGTCAGCAAGTTATTGATTAATGCTTAGTGCTAGGAATGATAATCTCAAGGCTGAAAGTCTTTGATATGATGTCTTGTTTGAATTTACATACCATTATTCCTTTACTTTCTGTTTTTTTTTTTTTTTTTTGTAAATTTCTGTATGTGGTTAGCTTCAAACATTTGCCACTTTTAATTCCGCGCCTTAATAAATCCATATTTCCGGGCCTTGCATGTTTTAATTAAATGTGAGCGCCGAGGTTCCTCTAGAACTCACTCCAGCCGCTCCAGGAGCGGGGTTGGACTCGGTTCATACACACCCTTGAGTGACTATCACTGCCGCCGAACATTCCATACGAGCTCAAGTCAGGGGAAATTGTTGATCGCCCACAGGTGAAAAGCTTATGATTCCAAGCTTATGGCGTACGTTCTATTCGAATTGAAGGGACAAGAGCTACAAAATTTGTCATCCAAATTTGTCATTATGAGGGCGCCCTCAGATGCAACCTCGAGTTAGATTTGGCGCACTGACCTTGGGAAATTTTTTTCCCTCAATGGCTCGGTCCGCCGGTCCCAGACCACGAGCAGTGGCGTTCATATCTTTCCTCGAGGGGCTTGCAAGGATCAAGAATTAAATTCTGAATAGCGAGGCTGGCTTCCTAGGCGAGAGTGGTGATGCACAAAAAGCGAAGCGAGGGTACACTTGAAGTTGTAGACTGTAGTAGTACTGTAGTTACTAGTATCGATGGAGCGGGGTATAAAATACGAATACGGTAGTTCCACAGTAAATCATTTCTCCAGAATCTCCATATCCACTTGCCTTCCCTCGTGGTGAAAGGCGGTTTCTAATAATAGATGTAAACAACATTGAAGTCAATTGGATTTAAACCATCTCTACTACTTCTTACTACTTATTATATCACGGACTCACGATCTGTATCGTATTGTGAACTTACTATCAGCCTACTTACAGCCACGCGCACCGGGCCGCTCCGCTCGGCGTGCGGTCAACTCGTATAGACAAGCCTTGGAAGCTTATAAGCATTTTCCGGACTCATCATCAATGTACCTCATATGTCCGAATTCGATACTTTATGAATTTCAAATGAAACTTGTGTAGAATGGGCTAAACTACTCCGACCAAGTATGGGAGGCTCGATATATGATGGCAGTATTCAATGATTTGAGTTTACAGTATTCAGTTGGCAGGTCCAAATGGCAACATTCTGGCCCGATATTTACTACTTAGAAAGGCCCTCCTCGCTCTCAATTTCCTCCAAGCTGATGCACCACTTGTCCTGGAGCTTCGTATCAAGACTCAAAGCATATACATCCGTGGGCCACCACTCACCCCAGCTAGTGAGGAAGATTTGCTCCGGGTCAGTAGGAATGTCGCTAACTGTGAAAGCACGTAGCAAGTTTTGAGCACCTGTTAAACTGGTGATTAGCATTCACATCCACAATATACCGTTTTGGAGGTGTACGCTCTTACCCTCGGGAACAGTCTTAGCATCTGGCATACTCATGCTCAGACCCAAATCTGTGGCAAGGTTTGTGCCAGGAACCAGGCCTGGAGAAACAGCAACGATAGTGCACCCCACAAGGTTCCGGCGCCAGTAATGGGCACCCAGCAATTGTATGAACTTTGAGCCACTGTAGATTGTACCGATGCCTGCTCCTGAGTTGGCCTTCATGTCCACATCAAGAGTAGCTGTGAAGAATCATTGTCAGCGCATCATGTGGACTTCACTCGTTCGGATGTAGACTGTAGAACTCACATGGATTCTGATCTCTGACGTTACGGATGGCGCCGGACGAAACGAAGACAAGACGAGTCTTTGAGGCAAGAAGTGCCTCCCGAAGTAGGTGTACGAGGTAGTGTTGAGCTATAGAAAACGCATCAGTATACCGAGCCGCAAGCTCTAGAAGAATCGGATCTATTTGGCGGGTCATTCCCGAATCCCCACTTACACAGATGGTTCACTACATAACCCGCACACCACTGAGATCCGTGGGGGCCAGGGCCTTCGGCACTGTCCAATGTTCCAGCGGCAAGGTAAAGAAAGTCAATACGGTTCGGGCCCAATTTGGAAAGTGCTTGCTGTACGAAAAGCTGCACACTTCGCAAGCTTAGGAGATCGAGGGGAATGATAGTGACGGAATGCTTGGTGGTGTCGTATCCAAGATCATTGTAAGCAGCTTGCACCTTCTCGGTGTTTCTGGCTCCCAGAATGAAGTTGTAAGGCTCGGACTTCTCCAGCAATTGCTTGACCGATTCGAATCCCTGCTAGGTGTTAAACAATCGCGAGGATACATAGTTTCTAGTGTTGAGGTAGAGGTTCTTACCAGGCCCGACGACGCGCCGGTCGCGATAACAGTCTTCGCGCTGGTAGACATGCTTGCAGAATTGGAAAAGATTGAGTCTAAAAAGGATCTGAAAAGGTGTTTCCTCTGGTAAAATCCAGTCGTCAACAATGGCCTGCCCCTCCACCTCCCATAAAGCGGTCAGGTTGTACTGATGACGTCATGATACTGACTTCAGTTGCGCTGACTAATGATTCTAAAGAGAACGATCTGCTCTATGAGAATCTATGAGAAATTCAGCGAGAGATTCAATTTTGAATTAATTATGAAGTTGTATTTTCAAAAGACTGTTAATAAATTATATACAAGAAGATGATAAAATCTAAAAATGCTCGCTAGTATCTATGATGCGTCCCCTAAACTCTGCAAATTCACCAATTCGGAGTATTTGCCGCCCAGCTTCATCAAATCTCCGTGAGTGCCAGATTCAACAACTTGACCCTGGTCAAAGACATAAATGACATCGGCACGCTGAATAGTTGACAAACGGTGCGCAACAGCAATGGTTGTCCGGCCCTTAGCAGCCTTATCCAACGCAGCCTGCACCACACGCTCAGACTCAGAATCCAACGCACTCGTTGCCTCATCCAAGAGGAGAATTCTCGGGTCCCGGAGAAGAGCACGAGCAATGGCAATACGTTGCTTCTGACCTCCTGACAACATGGCTCCCTTGTTACCGACGACGGTAGAGAAGCCCTCAGGCAGCGACATGATGAAGTCGTAGATATTCGCTTCACGGCATGCAATTTCGATCCTCTCATCTGGAACATCATTGCGGGTTGTACCCAGGAGAATGTTCTCCCGGATGGTACCTTGGTACAAAGTGGGTTCTTGGGAGACAAGGGCGACGAATGATCGGTATTCGGGCAAGTTCAATGAAGAGATCTCCTTGCCATCGGCATAGACACCTCCGACAAGTGGATCGTAGAAACGCTCAAGGAGGGCGATGGTGGTGGATTTTCCACATCCGGAAGCACCAACCAATGCGACGTATTGGCCAGGCTCAACGGTGAGGTTGAGGCCGCGGAGAACAGGTTGCTCGGGGCGAGTCGGGTAGCGGAAGTGGACGTCACGGAATTCGATGCGTCCTTCGATATCCTCCACCTTTTCACCTTCAGTCGACCAAGTATCAATTGAAGGCTTGAAATCGAGAAGAATTTTCAGGTCGCGAGCAGACTCTTGGGCTTTGCCCATGTCCGGAGCGAAGGCAAACATACTTCCAGCGGATTGGGCGCCGAAGATGATGGCAGGGAAACAGATAAAGAATTGTTGAATGGTGTATTCTCCATCTGTGATGAGTGTACCGCCGTACCAGAAACCTAGTGCCATGCAGAGGAAAGTGAGAGATTCAGACGCAGCAAACAAGGTCGAAGAGCGTAGAACGGAGCGAAGACTCTTTTGGCCTTGATCGGCTAATGCGGCGCGGTAGTGCAAAAGAACGTCTTCCTCCCTAGTCAGTGAAGCGACGGTTCGGATGGCAGAGGTAGCCTCGCACGCATAGCTGGCTGAAGACTCGTAGGCCTTCTTAGCGCGAGCCTGGAATCGAGCCAAAATCCAGAATCGGAAGAATCCACATCCAATTAAAATTGGGATTGTGGAAGTGGTGACAAGTCCTAGCTTCCAACCAATAGCGCAGGAAAGAGAGATGGCGGCAACCAAAGTAGTCAAGCAAGTAAGAATGGAACCCAGAGTAGCACCACTGAGGCCAGCAACGCTGGTTGTGCCTGTGCTGAGGAATGAGGTGAGGGCACCAGCGGAGTTCTCGTCTTTATCGAAGAAGCAAATGTCCTGGCGAAGCATGCTGCGGAAGGCAGCATCTCTGACTCGGTGAACGAGTTTCTCAGAGCACCAAGCAAAGATCACACCCTGGGAAACGAACGCGATGAACTGCACGAACGCGAGCATAAAGTACATCCAGCTCCAGAAGTTGCTGTTTTTCTGGACTTCGGGACCCGTAGCCGAAACTCCAAAACCTGATAGGGTAATGATCTCTTTCGCAAAGAAGACAGCCGAAGTTGGGTTACCACAACCGCAGATAGCTGCGAAGAAAAGTCCAACTATGAGAAGTTTCCATTCAGTCTTGTTGTAAGAGGCAATGAACTTAATCAAAGTCCACATAGAGTATCTCTCTGTAAGCTCAGGTTGGCGGTTCCGGAGAACTTGACTAGACTGGGATTTTTGCGTAGCGGTGCGGTTGAGCGAAAGCTTGCGGGAGATTACTTTATCCACGGGAATTTCCCCATCGTCAAGCTCCTCCGTCAGTGCATCTCCGTCAAGTGAATCGGCTTCGGGTAACGCATCCTCCTTGGTGCCTCCAATTCTCTGTGCCTCGACAAGGTTGCAGTAAACACCCTTCTGGTTAATGAGATCGTGGTGGGTACCCTGTTCGACGATGCGACCTTCGGACATGACAACGATATTATCTGCATCCCTAATGGTAGACAGTCTGTGGGCGATAATGATGGTGGTCCGTCCCTCGGCGGCAACTTCAAGGGCTGCCTGGACAACGCCTTCGGATTTGGTGTCGAGTGCGGAGGTAGCTTCATCAAGCAAAAGAATTTTAGGATCGCTGACCATTGCGCGAGCAATGGCAATACGCTGCTTCTGTCCACCAGAAAGAAGGAAGCCCTTCTCGCCGACATTAGTCTCGTATCCTTCCGGTAGTCCGCTAACAAAGTCATGGGCGTTCGCCATTTTCGCCGCTTCATAAATTCGTTCACGGCGCTTTTCGGGGCTTTCGTTTTCAAATTGTGTACCGATGAGACCGTGCGCGATGTTCTCGTAGATAGTGGTTCCGAACAAAGTTGGCTCCTGGCTGACCAAGGAAATTTGTTGACGGAGCCAGTGCAAGTTAAGAGTAGAAATTTCATGGCCATCGAGGAAGATGCCACCGGCGACTGGGTCGTAGAAACGTTCGATAAGACCAATGATTGTTGACTTTCCTGATCCAGAGGAGCCGACCAGAGCAGTCTTTTTGCCGGCCGGAATGGACAAGCTGACGTCCTTCATAACAGTGACTTCAGGACGTGAAGGGTAAATGTGCTTGACATTACGAAGCTCGATGCTTCCCTCAACATGCTCCAAACGTTCACCTTCTTCCGATTCGGGATCAAGGGGCGACACGCGATCGATGGTGTCAAAGACTTTAACTGCGGCAGCAAGTCCAGTGGTGAAAGCTTGAACATTAGGAGCCACATTGGAAAGACTGAAAGAGGCAATCAACATGGCCAGAATAATGGTGAGAATTGGACCAATGCTGACTTCTCCATCAATGAGGAAGTGAGAGCCTTGCCAGAAAGCCAAACCATAGCTAAGATAGACGACAAACATGGCGAATCCCATCATGCCACCCAAAACCGCCTTCTGTCTGAAACCCCATTTCTGAGCTTCAGCCAAGTGTACATCGTACTGCAAGGCCAACTTTTCTTGAGTGCCAAAGGCCACGGCATTTCGAATTGACGAAAGAACTTCCTCTGCCACAGTTCCTCCCAGGGCATATGCGGCCAGTGATTGCTTATTGTATTTGACCATATACTTACCACAGCCACCCAAAACGACCACAATCGCAACGATGATGGAGCAGAGAATCAGGGCGAGTTTCCAGTATTTGACGAAAGCGATAATAAAGGCACTGATGAATGTGGCAATTGCAGCGATACTCTGGCTGACCTTTTCAGAGATACCATCCTGAATAAGGTTGGTATCCGCTGTGATCCGAGTAGTGATCTCACCGGCGCCGAGTTTGTCGTAGAAACCGATGTTCTGGCGCAAGCAGGCAGCGAGATATTCCTCTCTGATCCGTGCACTGATCGCCTCTCCTGTGTAGATGAATCCAACAGTTGAGATGTAAGTAGTGGCGAATTTGGCGATGGCCAAGTAAACAAAATAAAGCACATTGTGAGAAAGGGTATGGCGGAACTCCTCCAAAGCACTGCCACCAGCAGAGAATGAGGAGATTTGACCCGAAAGGTTACCAAAGATGACGGTCATCAATGGTTGAGAAGCACCGGAAATGATGGCGCAAATGATGGAGATTGCAATAATCATCAAGTCGAAGTTGGTCGCATAGCGGTACAAGGTCCTGATGCTCACTTGAACAGGCGGGACAGCGATTTGTCGCCTTAAAATTTCGGCCTCAGCCTCGGGAATATGCTTGAATGGGTCATCTGCATCCAGTGCATTTTCAATAATCACATGCTTTGAGTCAGGTTTCGCGGGCTTTTCTTCTTTGGTGAACAGGTCGTTATTGGTTTGATCGGGTGAAGTGGTTGTTTGCTTCTCATGCAGATATTCGGAGTCCTCGCCGGACCTTTCAGTCGCTGGATTAGACATGTTCAAGGATATTGTGCTTTTGAGCACCTCCGAACTTGTTCTATATAGAATGTTAATGAGCGCAACATGACGCAACGTCGGGGATTTTACGCACGATCCAAGGTCAAGCGACTGCAGGCATTCAGAGATGGGTGCGAGGAGTTGACTGAATCCGAGTAAAGAAAGTCGTCAAAGAAAGAAAAGGAGTTGGGTGTCAGATAAGGCAAAGGTTGAATCTGGACTTGGTCGCTTCGGGAGGGCCTGGTTCCGATCAATCTCCACAATTTGCACATTAGAGATTTATGCGTATCGACATACGCAATACGAACACGAGCAGTGAAAAGTGGGCGAGACGGGGGGATTCCTGACTCAACCAATGCCGTTGATTTGATTGGCTACCTTTCGAACACGACCAGATCTTGCCGTCAAATCGCCACGTGAGTCTGTAGTTGCATCGCAAAACTTCGCTTATTTTATGCAGATGGAAACTTTCCGATCCGGTAAAACAATGTAAAACAATGTAAAACAATGTAAAGCAAATACAGCTTATCGGCGTTTATTTGTTTCAATCTTGAATACAATACTAATGTATCTGCCTGTCCCCCCAAGTAATTAGATGTTCCAAAACATCCACTTTAACTCCTTTCGCCTCGGTTGTATGTATGCGAGACACTCGGGACACACTCTGATTGGTCATAACTTCCACGTGGACTCCACCTTGTCTAAAAAAAAATCTCCTGTCATTGACTTAATTGTATGCATACGGCAACCCCTTACTCCGACCTTATAATAATCCCTCTTTATACTTCAATTTTCTCGGATGCTCTGCTCACTTCTTTCCGATGTAAGTTCAAGTAAAAGATGATTTTACTAACCGGTTCGCTTAAGTGTGGACACAATATTGCGCTTACTTTAAACCTCCTGAATTTGATCCACATTTCCAAGTTTATTAAATAGGGGCTGTGCATATACACCAACTCCTGATATTTGAAGAGGCTATGCAACCTCAATGTTCAAACATCACCTACTGGCGCCTCCCTTGAGCATTCATGATCCATACGTTTAAATGCGCTGCGCACCTCATCATCCCAATTACTACACGCAACAAGAATCCACTCCAAAATTCCAACACAATAAAGTGCAACGCACTGACCCATCCAAAGACCCTGAAGGCCCCATCCATGTTGAAATGCGAGCCAAACCCCCAAAGGTAAAGCAAAACAATAATAACTGACAATGTTCACGGCAGCGCCCAAATGCTGCCGTCCCATACCCCTCAGAACACCTCCACAGGCACCATTGATACCATCGGCTATCTGAAACAACGCGACATATGGAATAATATCAGACGTTAACTCTACCACGCGAGGGTCGTTGTTGAAAATTTTCGCAAAATGGTCTCGAGTGCCCATCAAGATAGCGAGCACTACTGCCCCAAATAAACAAGCAAGGATAGTGGCCAAGTGAGCGGCCTGCATCGCTCCTTTGGCATCTCGGGATCCCAAAAGATTCCCCACTCGGGATGAGATAGCAACCCCAATTCCAAAGGGAATGGTGTTCATGATTTGATCAGCGGTCATAATCACACTCTGAGACGCAAGTGAAATGGTTCCGAGCCGACCTGCAGCCAACGCAACGATTTCAAATGCCCACCACTCGGTTCCAACATGGAGAATCCCGAGCATTGCTAGTCGTGTGAATGTCCCGAGGTTCTTATAGGCCTCTTTTGACCACCCACCCCAGCATTCGGAGCCGGCAATATATTTTGCGTAGAGAACTAATAGGATAAAGGATAGCCAGTAGGAAATGTTTGCAGCAAGGGGGGCGCCGAGGATGCCCATATTGAGTGTGTAGCAGAAAGTATAGCACAAGACGGCGTTAAGGGGCGATGTGATCATAAGAACATAAGTACCTGCCCTCATGATACCTGTATTCAATAAATATGTTAGACCAGAAGATTAATCGTATTCGAGGGGACACCTTATTCAATGGCTGTTCTTCTTACCTTGTGCCTGCAAGTACTTCTTCATGATCTCGAAGTAAATATACCCAAGCCCTCCGGGGATGAGACAGGTCAAGAATCTTGAACTCTGATACGAAAGCTCGGGATCTTGGCCGAGAGCTCGAAAAATAGGGTCGGAGCACGCCCAGATGATAGCAACAGGTATGTAGAGGGCACCAAGAACCAGGAATGCTCGCTGAAGCAACACTCCCAGATCGTGTTTGTTCTTGCTGCCAGTGAAGGTAGACGAGGCCAATGTGTCCAAGGCAGTTGTCCCTCCAAGTGCAATCATCCACCCTGTCACCAAGGCAAACATGAGAGAGAATGCGCTGACGGCGAGGTCTAGCGGAGATGCTCGACCTGCAATGATGACAGTGACGGTCTGCAGGCTCATTTGGAGCATGTAGGCGAGAATGATAGGGATAGCGCTTTTGAGCAAGATCCAGGACTCGGTAAGAAGAGCATGCTGTTGTGTCTTGTCTTTAGATCCCCGCGGGCCAAAGCGATGTTCATCGAAAAGAGTTTGCTGAGGTAGGAGTGAGGTATATTCATGCGGGCCGCTACCAATAGACCGGTCGTGGTCGTGGCCATTGCCGGGGGAATTTCGCATTCTGTCAAAATACAAAAATTTAGGATGCAGACAAAAGGGCAAGCAGATAAAAAATGAAGAAATCTTGAGGGAGGGAGGTTATTCAGAGCGAGGGTATTTGCCCAGATGCTATTCTCAAATTATTGGTACTTTCCATGTGGTAAAGTGACCAATAAATTGTATACCCAGTATGGATACACCCATATGAAGATAGTGCCTCATATACATAGAGAATCGGATCTCATATCACAGCCTATCTAACATTTTGCAAAAGACTACCTAATTAGATCTAACCACTCAAATTGAAAAAGTCAACACTATCATGCAAGTGAACTCATTCAATCAGGTTCAAAATCCCGATTTCGGAACTCAACTACCCAGTACTTACTGATGTCACCTTTGGCATCGTGCTCCAGGGCTATTTCCAGATGTCTACATTGGAATGTTATTGGGTAGAGATTTTGATGATAAGACTACACGACGACTCTCCAGTTATTCTGTGACACATGCACATTGTTATCTTTCATTCTAAATGCCTTTGAATTGACTTTGATTACTTTACTTGTCTGGAACGAGAACACTGCAGGCAACTGCGGGCTGCGGCTCTCCAGCTATTACCCCAATTAGGAAGGCGGGGTAGGACCCTAGCTGATGCGCTGTTCAGACATCAAAATAGGAAAAATTAATATGATTTTCGTACTTTGATCAGATAGAGATCTTCATTTGAATTTGTCAACCTTTTTTCCCGACGACAATATTCCAGAATTCCAATCTCAGGATGTTTCAATTTACATAAGGTCAAAATTCCCATTCGGCTATTCAGTCCACCTTAATTGCGCTCAGGATGTCGGAATTTGCATATCATGCACTCTCTGCGGTGCAGATATCTTTGTCAAATGCGAATCAGACTGAATTGACTCTCAATCCTGATTGTCTACTCTGTTATATCAGAATTTTATTAATTGCATTCCCTTTGACATTTTCAATTGTGTGTCTTTTCTCATGGAATCCCTTTATTCAAACTTGCCCAAATCGAGCCATTACGAAGTCAAAAATCTAGTTTTTGAGGCGAGCTGTACGGAGACTTTGAATCAGGCTCGACTTGGCTCAGGTCGCAAGTACGTTCAACTTGAGCTCCATCATGGCTCAATGTGTACATGTGCGTCCTCGATGCTGCGCTGCATGCCGGAATATCGGGGCTGCCTCCACGTAATTGCAGGTATGACTCCACTATCACTCTCTACGTAGGCATGTAAGACTGAGAGGGCGAGATAGCTGATAAGGAGTAATTATAGTCCAATCGGAGGAACACACCAGCCTCATACAAGCACGCGTCACCACGTCCATCAATCTGAACGGCCAGCGACGATTCTCATCCAAGAATACCACAGTAAAAATGCTGCTCAGCTAGTAGAGATTCATCCGTTGATACATGTCCATTAGAAAACAAAGAATTCAAATAACTAGTTTCAGACCCTCTTTATAGGCCAATCCGTGGCTCCTAAAAAATTGTTCTAATTTTCAATTCCCATGTCATACTCGGGATTTACCCAGGAGGGCTGGGGTGCTTTTTCTCGCATCCAAGCACCATATCTATGGAGTGTACCCATCACCAGAGATCCTCCCACGATAACAATTAATGCCTGTGTAGTGAATGTCCATGTCCATCCCATGGATTCCTGCCATGAAGCAATAAAGAACTTGGAAGGAAAACAATTAGCCACTCTTTCATATTGACGCAGACGCAATTGGATGACCATTTACATACCGGATTGATAAAGGCACTCAAATTAAGAAAGACCGCATAGAAAGTGACAACACTCGTTGATTGTAAGGGGTACGCATCAACAATGTAACTACTAGCAACTGTATTGCCCATCTGAATTCCCGCAGCAACTAAAATGAAGTCAGCCAAGGCTCATGATTCTTCATATGTGGTGCAAGTCTCACATAAGAAGAAAGCGATCTGGCCGATAATCCAGTGATAATTCTGATCGACGCTAATGCCCCAGACAATCAATCCAACTAAAAGAAACGTCAATATAAGTTCGAACAACAAGACCTGAAGGAAGGCGCACCAGCAGTAATCAATATAGCAGGGTATGCAAGCCAAAGTCTCATTTCGGCAACTCGAGTATTTCCATTACGTTCCGATAGCTTGCCAACAATGTAGTCACTCAGACTTCCAGAGCAACAAATTTCCGAAACAATTGTTCCCAGAAACAAACCAATAAACAACAAGCCTTGTATCAAAGGACTGTATGTTGCATATGCAGACGGCACCATGGTGATAACGGACAAAACCCACCAGTACCAAACAAAAGAGTATCCAATAACTGAAATTACCACTGCAGGGAACTGAAATGTAAGACCAAATCTAACAATCGAATCCCATGGCTTGGGATGACGCATACCCGGCACAGGCCGTAGGTTGATAAAGGGTAACTTTCGTGTTCGAAGTGGGTCCGAAAATGATATTTCTGCTGGAATGGTTGTCGGTGGCGTTGAGCTGCCTTTGTCCTCTCCACGCTTTTCGTTGTCAGATATGCTCTGCTCATTGAGCTTCATAATGCTTTCGTTGAGCAACATCTGTTGCCGAGGGTACAGAGTTTCGGGCATGAAGCACAACTCCAGGACTAACAGCACCGCGAACAGAATTGCGTTGAACCAATTGATCCATTGAGCACTAACGACATTCAAAAAGCCACCAACTTCGATCCCGTTAGTAGAGAGCTTTTTCAAAAGCAGGGAATATCACAATGCTACTTACATGTCGGTCCCAGAAGAAGCCCGGAATCAAGAGCTAAAACCCAAAGGCCAAGCTTTTGCCCGCGCTCATAGTCGAAGAACAAATCGTTTACTGTAATCAGGGACATAGATGGTCAGTAAGATAGCAGGCACATAGCAAACAGCGGAGTTAACTCACTGATGGCCATTCCAACTGTGGATGCAGGGCTCACGCCGAATCCTTGAAAAAAGCGCGCTGCCATGTAACCCGAGTATGTATCTGCAACTGCAGCTCCAATTGTTGATACCAGAGCTATCATAGTTCCAAGCAAGAAAATAGCCCGTCGGCCGTATATTTCGCTGAACGAAGACCATATAAGTGGTCCAACTGAAAGGCCCAGGGCCGGAACGGCCACTGTCCAGTTAACCTGGGAATAGTTGATCTGATATTGGGCTTGGATTGCGGAGAAGGAGGGGACCGTGGTCGTTGTGAGGTATGTAAACAAGAAGTATCTGACAACATCATGGGTAAGCTTGATGCATGAGGTAGTTGGGAATCGTTCAATTGGGACATACTTGAACATGACAATTGCGAGAATGACATTTTTGTGAAACTTTGACCAATTCAAGGGATCCAGTGCATCAGATGTAGGCTGTGGATGAAGCTTAATGCCACCTTTGGTGACAGCTGGCACATTGATGGAAATCTGGGATCCATGGTCAATCTTTATTGGGGCCTGATCTCCAGACTCATTGATAATGCGGTCTGGGTCACCTTTTTCGTTGGATTTCTGATCGCTCATGTTGGCAGGAGTATTCGGATGTAATAAAATGATACAACTACGCGGAAATGATAAAAGTTCTATAGCATATGAAAATCCTGATTCTCTTGAAAACTCCCCCAAAAGATAATATAGTAATTTCGGACTCAAGTCCCTACTAGATCTATCTCCCTGTACATTCATTATCTTGGGGACTAAGTCTTATCAGTGACGGGAATTTTTGTTTCATCGTAAACACAAATGTTGATTGAAAAGATCACGTCAACTGCCAAAATTTCAAGTTTGTTTGTGTATTTTTGGCGATAAAAGCCACTGGTTTTTTCTTTACTAGTACCTAGTGGCTGCATCACTTTCTTTTGCCTTATCTCTACTAGTAACCCCAGTATCAAATGTCTGACAAAACGTTTGAACGTCAACTTAACCCACGCCCTAGATAAGAGACTGAGAGTTAAAATGAAGACTTGAAAAAATAAAAATAAAATAAGATTGTTATTCTCCGCGGGGCGTCGTGATCCACATTCCATGTCCGTTGTCGGAGATCGCTTGGTTGCAGGTTTTAGCTGATAGAACGTCTTCTTGTCATTGGCTTCACTATTGCCCAGGTGCTGCTTGAAGATAGTTGGGTTATGTAACTAAATTTGTGGAATAATTATATCTCCCAGCATGTTAGCTCAGGGGAAGAGCGCCGGGCTCATAACCCGGAGGTACGTCTCACTTTCCACTCTTGGATTACCCGAAAACATCATAACTAACAATCTCCCAGGACCCTGGATCGAAACCAGGACATGCTATGTCTACAATTTCTTTTTTTTCTTTTTCTTTTTTTCTCTTTTTTTCTTTGTCTTTTTTCATCTCCATCCATCATTCCCTTTTGGTCTTTTTCCCCCCAGGCTACACAAAAACAATTACTCCATAAATATATTTGTTTACTCTAACAAATCAATTACTTGCCAAATGATGAAGTCTCATCAGTTGATAAGCCATCCCACCAATAACCTTAAAATATCTTATCTTCCCCACGTTATAAACTCCAGTCCTCTTTCCATTCTCCCCCGGCCTTCCCCTTCGGGTTTCCTCTATTGTCTTGCATACGATGACGTGCATTTCAAGTGCTCTGAATTCCCCGCGATGCGATAATGCGCTTTTATCTTAGGACCGCCAGCGAAGTTTGAGCTGCAGCTCACCGAGCCACTTGTTCCAATCACATACTTAGTACCCACCCAATTGGCTTCTAACTGCATCTGGGTAATAGGAGGAGAGAGGAACTGTAAGCTATCGCTGATGTGATTATCATGATACTGATCACGTATAGTGACTTGTAGAACAAGGCAAACTGGGCAAATTCGACTAGATTCGAGCCACTGGTGGTTGTTCCGATAGCGAACTGCAAGCCTTGGAAGATTGGCACTGGAACAATTGATGGTGACATCAAGCGCGTACCTAGTACTGGTACACTGATATGTGGTATGCGAGTGTGTGCTGTTAGATCTGAAGCCCATGTTTCCAGATGTTTGATGTTTAAATAGTGATATACTCGCTGTAAACTCCGTTCAACCTTGCTGTGTGTTATTCAGAAATTTCGATATACGATCGCTTCCAACAGTTTCTTTCTTGATCAAAATCTCAAAATTCTTACCATGTTCAAATCAATTGCCGGACTTGTTGCTCTGGCAGCCTTGGTAACAGCCCATGGAGACCATGATCAAATCCCCATAGCCGGTCCCCACAAAGACTTTTGGTACAATACTCTACCAGGTGATGGAGGCACTCAGGTAAGAGAACGCGCCCAAGTCCTATTTCCCAGCCAACTTTTAGCACAGGAGCTAATCTTGGAACATGATGCTTGATTCTAGGCCGATTCGGTGTTCTCTGGAATATCCACCTTCGGCCGCTTGCCCTACTCCCCATGCCTCTCCACCGATGATGTGAAATACGATATTGCTTTTCTTGGAGCTCCCTTTGATACTGGGACATCCTACCGACCGGGTGCCCGATTTGGCCCCAGTGGTATTAGACAAGGTTCTCGTCGTCTCAACCTCTAGTATGTCAGACCGATGGTGGATCTTCTCTGAGATGTACAAAAGAAATTATGAAATACTTACAATCTTTGCTTAGTGGGGGTTACAATGTGCCACTCCAGGCCAATCCATTCTCTGGTGAGATGAAGATACTCGACTGTGGAGATATCCCCGTGACATCGTGAGTGACGAGTCCACACACTAAAGTGTCATGAAATGGTCAACTAATATACACATCTTTACCTAGATACGATAATGAGTTTGCAATCCGGCAAATTGAAGAAGGACACAACAGCGTCTTGATGCGCCGGCCATACACGGATGCGGATAAGACGGGCCTCTCTCAAGCTGGCAAGACTCTACCTCGCGTCATCACCCTAGGAGGAGATCATACCATCACTCTACCTCTGTTGCGAAGCATAAACCGAGCCTATGGTCCTGTTACCGTCATCCACTTTGACAGTCACCTGTAACATCCCCCAAACTCCGATACCACCACATGAAACTCACAGGCTGATCAACATAATCTGCAGTGACTCGTGGAAGCCGAAGGTCTTCGGTGGCTCTCCAAGTGAGGTTGCCGCCATTAACCACGGAACCTACTTCTACCACGCCGCCATGGAGGGACTGCTGAAGAACGACACAAACATCCACGCCGGTATTCGCACCACCGTTTCTGGACCCTCCGACTACGAGAACGATGGCTATTGTGGATTTGAGATTGTCGAAGCTCGCGAAATTGATACAATTGGTATTTATGTCAACACATCTTGATTGGACAACTCTTCTGATAATCCCTTTCTTTGCAGGTACCGACGGCATCATCAAAAAGATTCGAGACCGTGTTGGTACTGAGAACCCCGTTTACCTCTCCATCGATATTGATTCTATTGACCCCGCCTGTATGTGATCTGCCCCACGAAGTGCTGGACCACTAGGCTTGCACGCAGCTGCTAATGAATCCAAATAGTCGCACCAGCAACTGGTACTCCCGAAACGGGCGGCTGGTCGACTCGCGAGCTAAGAACTATCATTCGTGGCCTTGACGGAATCAACTTCATCGGTGCCGATATTGTTGAAGTTGCACCGGCCTACGATACGAATGCGGAGCTGACTACCATGTACGCGACTTCCTCCCCCATCATCGTATATATTTCGAGAAAAGGTTTTATTGACAAGGTTATGGATATAGGGCTGCTGCCGATGTCTTGTATGAGGTTCTCACCATTATGACGAAGAAGGGGCCGCTGTCTGTTGGCGGTGCAACCCACGAGCTGTGATGAGGCATTGAAGTGCAGGTTCCCAGAGACCTTCGGAGATAGATGGCCACAATGACTATCATCATGGTATTGAGCACTTCGACAATTGCCCTTGTGGCGTTTTACATAACGATTGCTTGCCTGCTTGAATAATTCCTGCTTTGCTGCATGATTGGTGGTCAGTCTCCTGTCTTTAGGCATAAAACTTACATGGGAGCTTTCTCTGGGTCTTCCTTATACCCTATCTAGTATTGAAGACATTACACATATTGTTTTATACTCTAAACGATCGATCTTTCTGCGCCTCTCAGTAGTTCGTAGATGCTGGACCATGATTTGTAAATTTTAAGTGTAGTATTCACGACCACGACCACGACAGTGCTATGCCGGTCTCCACGTCTTCTGGAATAGAAATCTCAGGGAGTCTTTTCAATATTTACCACCCTGTAGAGGTTCCGAAAAGTTATGTGCTAGACAGCAGTTAGATTCTGGATGCACCCCGGTTTGACAATCTGCCAACCTTGGAACATTTGAAGTATCCAGATGTCTGGACATTTTTACCCTTTCGGGTATAGCGGAACCATTCAACCTATGATTCCTATTCTGTACACACGGTCCAGATTAAGCATCATAGTTGCGCCTGGTTTTTGTGCTTATCATTTTTGGTGTCTCCTATAATAGCTCTCTGTCCCGAAGTCAGTGGATTCGGGGCCTCTATTCATGTATGATCATGATAGCAGAAGTCAGCAATCTCAAAGGGGTAGGCATGCAAAGTAGATCAATCTCGATAAGATATGGATTAGAAATTTACAGTAAGATAAAGCTGCTTTAGAAGCATAGTACTGTACTACCTAGCACTGAAAGAGGCAGACGTCATCATGGTAGGTGTAGAGGTTGCATTTTTTCGCCAAACTCGGAAAGGTTAATCAAGTATAGTCAACCAAAGAAGCTATTCGATGCGGTTTCCCTCATTTCGAATGTATGAGGGCTTCCCCGCTTCTAGAAACCGGGTCTCATTGCTACTACACAATAGCGTCTCACTTATCGGTTGGAGAAAATGCAATGAGTATTTAAAGGGCACGTTCCCTACTATTAACTAGCTACCGTGCTCCCATCTGGTACAACAACACTGCCCAATGCACCAAGCCCAATTGAAGCAACAACCCAGAGCGAGCAGTATTAATCGTTTCCAATTATAAACCCCCATCCGCTTTACTCCTATGGAGTAGGTAAGTATGGGGTTCCTGCTAAGCCCAGAAAGCGCCTGGAAGATCGGCCTGATCCTGATAGCCGCCACGGCGGTTTACTCCATTCTTTCTCGATCATCGACCAAGTCCTTCTGGACCAGGATATCCCTTCGCGGCCGCAGAGATTCGACGGCCAGAACGCCCCCACGATCCATCTCACCCGAGAAGAAAAATGCCAATAGCGCCACATCGCCCACAAGCTACAACCATGCCCTTCCACCACAGCGTAGAGAGTCACTCCTCCAGCTAAAGGGAGTCACCTTCCGCTGGCGCGAAATCGACGAAGCCGAAGTGCGCCAGAAAATTTTACCCATGACTGCCGACTATATGAAAAGCCCAGGCAACCTGTATACACCGACCGGATTCTCGATAGACGAAGTGAAAGCCCTTGGCGACTTTCCGGATTATGCGGCATTGAGTGGAGTTCCGCTTCCTGAATCCTATCCCGAGCATGACATCGAGAAAGCTAAGCCTCGGCCATACAGGCCTTTCCGATGGGCTTATCATCAGACTATGTGTATGTGCAAGATATGAATCAAACACCACTAAAAAAAGACTCCGAAGCTGACTCATGCATGAGATTAGCTTTGACCAAGCTAGAGCCGGACTGGTGGATTGAGCTTGAAGACACGTACAGGAGCCGCATTGCTCAACGCAAAGCTCTTTACGTCAAGTATGGCAAGGCGGTTCTTGACACAATGCCAGGCTCCGAGCTGGCTTGCAAGGAACTCATGGAGATGGTCTTGCAATTCATTTGCACTCGATATCCGCAGTATTTCAAACTGGTTGACAAACGTATACTGCAGAATCGAATCCTTGGCACTGAGCAGGATGTCCGGAGCAAGCCCCCTTTGGAGATTCTTCTCGACAATGTTCCAGAAGATTTCGGATTGATGTTGCGAGATGAGGTAACTGGTTATTATTTCTTGCGTGCGGCAGTGATCTGCTCAGCAATGGGGTGGGATGTCGCTTCGAAGATTGGCAAACAGTTGCACGAAATCCATGACCACATCCCTGATTACAAAGAGAAAATGCAATTCTCAATGGATCGGTAGGTCCTCCTTTTCTTTGCATAAAAAGCGCTGTGATAAATTGACATTCTGGATTCTATGGTAGATTTTTTACCAAAATGCCGACTGAAAAGCCCATTCAACGAGGTTCATGGGGTCTTGAAGTCGGAGAGCCACTGTACGTGCCGCCGAGTGACCCACATTTGGCTCTTCGGCAGTCACAGGACCCCAATCTACATATTGAAGATTGCACTCTGCGCGTCGACTGGCAGACACTTCGTCGTCTTCCTCTATCAGCATCAGTGGTTTTCAACTTCAAGGCTGTATTCACACCAATATCCGAATTCCGTGATGAACCCGCCGTGCCAGCCCTAGTGGGCAAGGTCTTGAAAGAGGGCAAGGAGAGTTTGATGAAGTACAAAGGAGTATGGCATGTCCAGCACGTGATTTTGCCGAAGCTGGAGGAGTGGGCAAGGGAGCAGGAAGAAACAGGTCTTATTCCAAAAGACTGGGAGGTTGCAACACTGGATGACAGTCCGTGGTTTAAGGGCTGGGAGGAAAAGTGGCATCGCCAACAAGGCTTCTAGAGTGGATTTTCAATGTAACATGCGGCCTTTTTCATGTCCGCGCTGATTTGTCAGGCTTTTTGTTGATCTATAATACAGCAAAGAATTTATTTTCGGGAGAGATCCCAGCAGGCTGTGCATCCATGAATATTTGCAGACATTTGATGGATCGAGCTTGAGGTCAATCGATGCAGCAAGCTAGCTTCTTGACAGAAGTAAAAATCACCCATGCAGAGTTGACCAAATATTGTGCTTGGGCGATCCATCGTTGAGTGTGCATCCATATGATTGACGAAAATTCGAGCGGGCGAGTATTCGTGTACGATGAACCGTAGTTTCAACGCAAATCTCAGGAGATGGCCAATGGTCGATCGTTTGATTTTGCTCGCATAGTGTTCATCGATGGTCGGGGGTATAATTGGATTGACGATATGAACACTGGAAAGCAGGCATCGTGAGGTAAGATGAATCCGAAAGGCTTCTTAGAAGAACGCCTCAGTCGCGGTTGTCATCTTTTGAGCTCGATACTTCGCCATCACTGCGCTCACTCTGGTCATCACGATCGTTACGATCATCACGCTCTCTTTTTTCTTCATCTTGGCTGTCTTGGTCAAGCTCCTCTAACTCGTCGGCCAAGGGACTAATCCGCTCATCAAGCAGATCCAAGTCTTCCAATTGCGAACGCGGCGGTAATTTCCACAAACTAGTACCGCAGACACGGTCTTTGGTAAGGAGTTCGTCGACAAATTGATCCATATATGTCAAAGTGAACGAGTCTCGCACTCGTCGCTTCAGTTTCCGGTAGTCGAGAAGTAATGGCTCCAGGGTTTTGTACACGTCGGCCGCGGAGAAGGTAAGTCGCACATAGAATGCCGCTAGTACGCGCAAATACTTGAAGTCACCACGAGACTGTAAGATACTGCTCGGGGCGTCCTCATCCTCGCCGTCGCTGCCTGGATCACTGAAGTTGAGGTATTCGAGGATGACGTCTCGTTCGGGATTGAGTTGTAGGAGCTTGAAGGCGAGGCAGAGGAATGGCGAGGGCTTCTCAGAGACACCGTAAGTACCACCGACGAATGTTAACTCGGAAGCGCGATCGCAGAGAGTTGCTGCGTTCAAACCGAAGCACTGTTCCTTCCAGTAGTATGAGTCTGTGATGCGGTCGCGGACGGCTTTCTCAAACAGGGTGACAGGATTGACACCACGAATGAGTGGGCCACTGTAGCCTCGGTTGTCAAGGAACTGACTGGCATCAGCACGATGAGATGCCATGGTGATGTGGACGTGGAAATCGAAAATGTGGAGTAGAGAGCTTGGAAAGGATCTACGGTGGTCAAGATGTGGAAGAAGGTGAAAAGCGGCAGAAAGTGACGGGCGGCCAAGAGCTTATCGATAGTCGCGCGGCCAACCCCACTCTGTAAACAACTGATGTCATGAAACACGGGGGCTAACACCGTGGAGCCTTGGAAGGACCACAAAAAACCAAGGGTCTCAAGGCCCAGACATGCGTGCATGGAAGATTCACATCCTGGCCGATTTCTCATAATCACATTCTTCCCATGTCTAGCCTCAATTAGCCTCAATCATGGTCCTCCTTACTTCATCAACAGTCTCTGCCATTGTGTCCTTTGGCGTAGTCTGCATCTTCTCATTGATGTTGTTTATTGCTGGATATGTGGTACAACAACAGTCGGTGAAGAACATCAAGCATGCTCTGCGCCCACCCCCTGGTTCCCCAGGCGGATTGGGATCACGAGGATCCACATTCCAGAGTTCCGCTCAGAAACGCGGGTTATCAGATTCAGATCTAGGTTTAGGAGATCACCGTCCGAGCTCAGGGGGAAACTACGCATACCTACAGTTGCTCTCCAGCCCAGAAGCCTCTGACATCTGCTCTGCCATCTCATTTTTTAAGCAACTTTCAAACAATGGCAGTGTCATTCAGGATCGACTGTTCATGTATCCTGAAGAATGGGACCGAATGTCCGCGACACAACTTGGAAAGCCTGCTCTAACTGCCCTTTCCATCTTGCGCGCCGCAAGCATCAAATATGGTATCTGGCTCCTGCCAATTGATATGACCGTGGCTTCGTCACAAGGCTATTCGACGACCGACACCAAGCTGCTGCGACTGGGCCAGGTTCAGTTTATGCAATATGACAGCGTGTTATATCTCCCGGCCCGTGGTATGATCCTGGATACCGAAAAACTAGACGATATCCTTTTATCGCAGGAACTGCCACTTGTTTACGACAAAACACGTCCTGATTCTTACGACAATATTGCGTGGACACCTTCAACTCTTCGTCCTGATCGCGATGCCGACTTGCCACCCGTTTACCTGATCACGGTAAATAATATTGGGAGTGGAAATGTGCAAGCTCGTACGCATGTGCCAAACCCTAGCCTTCCTGAGTTTCAAGCTCTTGTTCGTGGGTCGCAGAAGATCATTTCCCAAGATGAGGATCAAGATGAACTCATTGAACCGCCAGCCTATGTGTATTTTGAAAACGACCGTCGAGGGCATATCAAGCTTGAGAAAAGTCCGTATTATCAGAAATGGCGAGCAGAACTGGTTGATGTTTGTGATGGTTTGGAATTTGATGATGATTTGTACCGTGATGAGTAATGTTTGTTTCTCACTTTTTTTTTCGGGACTATACCCCTTTACGGCCTCGGGAGCTGAATCCTGGATCTGGCGTTGGAGTTCAAATGTTTGGAATGTCATTGATGCATATCGTTTGCTAAGAATAAATTCTTTGTTTCCACATACAATGTGATGGGTTTATGACACATAGCAACCTTGGAGATAATGACAGTAGTAGTAATATTGATGACTTTATACCCACGCAGGCAAATAGGCATGCTCTTCAAGATTTGAAGCTTGTTTGTTTGCAATGTCATTTTGCTACCTAGTAGGTACTAGGCGCTTCCAAGGTTGTCTGGTGCTGGTAGCTGAAGCCAGACGGAGACCATATTTCCATATCCCTGGGTCATTGTGTTTAGTTCGAAGGTTGACGCTATCAGTTGGGAATAAACAAATCAGATCCTCCGTCATTGAGGGACTCCAATCTCATAGCCGAGTAGTACTTCTGTGGAATTTCCTTCCCACCCACGGTTACCACTGGTCGAAATCATAAATCGGCAGGCATTGTCGTGATATAATTGGGAGATAGTACCGGTACGGTGGCCTGGAATAATCAAAAATGGAGTCGTTGAGTGACGAGATGACTGGTCATGTTGCAAATCGTATAGGCGGAGAATGTCATGCGAGGCACTGTGATGAATCAATTGTGTTAGTTGGGAGAAGTCTATGCATTCAAAAATGAATAAAGCTTACCAGACAAGATGTCGACCATTTGGCATCGCCTTGAGAGCTGTCACCGGGCCGCTTCCTTGAGGGAACTTGAACGTTCGCTCAACTTCGCGAAGACCCTTGTGCAAGCTGTACTCTTCCACGGTGCCATTTCGCCGCCCTGCATAGATATAGTTTCCATCCGGAGACCAACACGCATTCATACACCATGGAGGAACGTTACGGGGAGTGATCCGAGCAACTGGGTCGGGTTGACGCCTATCCCACACCCGGATTGTCCCATCCATGGATGCAGCTAGGAATGTACTATCTGTACCAGATCCCTGTGGCTCCGATGACATTGGCTGTGTAGAGTCTTGTCCCGGAAATGACTCAAGCTCTTCTGCCCTTGGAAGGCCATTGGTAAGTGGATGTGTCTCTGTGCCTGTCATATCAGTGTCGACGTGCCCATTGGTAAGTTGTGGGCCATTTCCAGTTGCATCTGTCTCAGCAGGAGCATCATCTGGCTGATTGTTGACTTCGGGTTGTGGGATTTCGTCTTCAATCTCGCCAGGGGCATCTGCATCGGCTAGGCCATTGACCATGGCCTTGCCAAACTCGTCATCTTCGTCCACTCCAAACACGCCACCGGATGGCTCCCCACCATCTGCACCTCCACCATCCCCATCGCCGAATAATGAATCCGCTCCACCGAACAGAGAGTCTGCTGGTGATCCCGCCTGCGGGTTTTCAGCGGTGCCTGAATCTCCAGCATTTTCAGCATCGCCATTGGAGTTGAATGTGTCGGTGTCTCTAGCATGATAATTTGACGAATATGTGCCATTAGTCAAGTAAGGCTCAGAGGTATCTTGTGGAACAGCAAGACTAGACTCCGGTCGGATTTGCACGCTTGATATTTGTCCTGCACTTCCACCGAACGCGCGACGAGCGGATCCCGTGTTCAAATCCCAGTCGAACACTCGCTTATCCCAACTCCCCGACAATAAAGATTTTTCATCTGAAGTCAAGCTCAAGCAGGAAACAGCCGAGGTGTGTTGTCGTAATTGCACAATCTCTCGGCCTTCGTCATGACGCAGGGTTTGCAGCCGAATAGCACCGGACTCCAACCCAGAGAGGAGCCACATGCCTTCACTTTGGCATGCGAGGGAGTACACCGGTGATAAGCTATTTCCATCCATATTCTCCCAGTATGTCATCAGCACGCCGGCTTTCACAACACTATCCACGAACGGATGTCTTTGCGCCACCGTCAACATGAGCTTGCTGTTGATCGAGTCCACCCAGTTGAACTTGCGCGTGTATCCATCCGATCCTCCCGTGAAAACCCAGCGCATATCAGCCGTCGCAGTGATCGCATTGATGGAGGTGCTATGAGGTGCGGCGGTGGTAGGTGCGATATCGTAGGTTTCGGCCGTTAAGCATTCAGAGCGCACGCTGGGGTGGTATATGGAGAAGTCGGTCGTGCCGCTATCCCCGTTTCCCGAAGCCATAATCCTTGGATCTTGATTTTGCTGTGAAGGGATTCCCGCACCCTCTGATGCCTGGCTTGCATTTGATGGACTATCTGGGTCTTGATCGCCGTCCGCATCACCATCGGGCTCGTTGTCATTGTCATTGTCGCCGTCCCCGTCGCCATCTACGTCATCAACATCGCGCATGTTATCGTCAATCTCGTTTTCGTTGTCGCTGCTTCCATCTTGAGAACCTAGAATTTAAAACGAGCAAGTAATCAGCTATGCGCCTTCTCTGTGGGGATACGAGGGCGGAACAAGCAGAAGCCACCTACCCCCCAAATCGCGATCTTCGTCTTCATCAATAGACGGCATAGCTTCGGAAGGCGCGTGGATAGCGTAAAGTATGAGCTAAAGCTCCTCGGGCCTTTTGCCAATCCCTCAACAGCCAGATATTGTGCTCACCGGTCGATCGAGGAGAAGTCCCTTTCGGCGCGAACTTTGTTGGGTCCGCCGCAGGCTAAGCGCAACCTACGCGATTCAACATGAACTGCACGGATTGGCGATATGGCGTTTGACTGCCGCTGGCTTGGGTGTAATTAATTGACTGGTCACGAGGCGGTAGGGACGTGTAAAGCGCTTGGAATCGGACGATCGAGATCCCGCTGGGGTCGCATTTCTGCACGGACCAATAATGTGTTTCCGCTTCAGTGCCATTATGCCATGCATGTGTATACACTCAAAACAAGAAGGATAGACAAAACCATGAGAAATTTACTCTCAAGATTCAGATCCACTCGATGGGAGATTAAATCCCTTGAACAGATAAAGCGAAATTTTCAAGGTTGTACCTCAAGATGAACACCTCGTTTATAGCCCAGGTGGTCAGTGGTTACCTAATCAGGACTACAGTTACTTAATTAGTAACTAACTACTAGTAACTAACTACTAGTACTCTAATAACTAACTACACCCAACCTTAGAAGACATTCACACCTCTTGAAGCTTTGGCTCAGATAGATGTAGACATATTAAGCAAAATAACTAGTGGTTATAGCACAAAGATTCAAAACCTAACATTGAATCTAAACTTTCAAGGTTGGAGCTCCCGAAGTCTCCATGTGGGGGGCGCTGACGCCCCGCGCTGACGCCGCAAATTTCGACCCCACGCCGAATCTTTAACTGGAGACAAGCTCCTGGGAAAGTGTGACCAGATCCCCAACGCAGGTTCCTTTGCCCTGATTACATAGTAGGAAGCCACCCCTAACTAGATAATTTGCTCGATTCAGCTTTCTCTTAATTGCTCAATCTTTCTACATACATACTCCCCTTTGGTTCAATCTCTTCTCAATTGTTGATTTCTTTATAAACCAGTGAATATTAGATTTCTGCACTTAAATTATCAGTATTACAGGTACTGTGATGCGGCAAAGGGAATCAAAAGGATGACATTGGTCCAAATGTAACGAGACAAATACAGACAAAGGGGAAAGGCAGAAAGGGAGAAAAAAAAAAGAGAGGGAACAACCTTGAATACCCGGTGGTTATGCATAGAACTCTGAAAATTTTCAATTGAATTCTTCAAATGAATTCAATTGAGAATGCAATTATCGGTACTGTCATGCGATGACAGGTACCCAGTACTAGCAGGTACAGAAACCACTACCAAAAATTCCTAATTGGGCTGAACTAATTCACTTCGACTGTCTTCACTTCCCTGCAACTTTAAGATTGGAATAACCTCGAGGCGAATTTAGTTATCTAGACCCACGTGTTGACGTCAGGAACTTCACTTCATTTCAATCTATTTCCTTGCTTGACGCTTGATATCCCGATACCTGCATGTCCCAACAAGCATTGTCCCAGTAAGTATATATTACTACCCATAGAAATCACCACGGGCAGAACTACCAGGTCTGAACTGAGCTGACATTTTTCGAGGCCACAGAGACTCCTTTGTTTAGATCTTTGATCTTTGAATTGATTTCTTCCAAGGTTCAATTAAATCTCCTTCGATCTTCATCTTTCCTGCAACCTCCATCTCCTTCGCTACATACCATCTATCCCTGATCCTCGCGAGCAAGCCTCCTTTAGTCTCCAGCCGCCTCCAGCCGCCTCTAGCCACCCGAGCCCTAAGTTGCCAGCTCCTGAACAATCGCCAACTCCTCGATAGAGGTATGAGACGGGCGACACAAATACAAAATGTCTTTCTCCATGGAAACCTCAGAGGCAAGCAATAAGTTCCTCCCCTTATCCAACATGGCAGCGCCAAATAACGATCACTGGACCCAAAAGGCCGAGGTGCCTTCCGGAGATGAAATCATGGGCCTTGATAACACCCAAGACGAGATTGTTTTGCCATCCAATCGACCTTTGGGTCCCTGGACATCTGTTGTTGAATACCTGGGCACACACTATCAGCTATTCCGAGAAGAAGCCATCGCGCCGCTTCGAGATGCTGTGGCATACTTACGTGAAAGTCCGGGCATGAAGGATTCCAAGACTGTGTCCATTTACGACAAGGTATGTTTGACAACCAAGCTATCTTCTTTGTGCAAGTTGACTGACTAGTAAAAATTAGGGCCACCTTGTCCGCGTGACCGCAGCCACCCGCGGACTTGCATTTCGCATCCGCTTTTCTACCGAACGCGCCGGAAAAAAAATCATCTGGCCGCATTCATCCCGTCTGGTACCTGGATCTCTTGTTGCTTTGTCTCCTGCAAACGACATGTTTTCTACCAAATGCATGGTAGCAACTGTGGCATCGCGAGCCTTGGAGAATGTCACCAAGTACCCGCCTGAGATTGATATCTACTTCGCTTGTCCTGATGATATTGACATCGATTCTCAACAAGAGTGGGTCATGGTAGAAGCAAAGGAGGGCTATTTTGAAGCTTCCCGGTATACCTTGACTGCTCTCCAGAAGATGGTCAAAGAGAAGTAAGTACCCTTTATTTAATTCTCACTTTTTATGTCGCAACTAACATTTGGCAGGTTCCCTCTAAGCCAGTTTATCTGTGGCTTGGATACAAACGTTGCTGTTGCAGAAAATGCCAAGATGAAACAATTCATGAATTTCCAACATCTGACTGGCGTTGCCGCCAAAGAAAAAGATGTGCACAGCATCCTTGACCTGCCAGATACTCCCATGGGGAGTCTGAATATTCTCCAGTGGCAAGCTATGAAGGAAATTCTGACGAAGAAAATTACTCTCATCCAAGGCCCCCCAGGTACCGGCAAAACTCATGTATCCGTTGCTGCGTTGCAGGTTTTACTGCAAAGTATGGTGAAAGGAGACCCACCGATCATAATTGCTGCTCACACAAACCATGCAGTTGACCAGCTTCTCAAGCTGGTGTCCACCTCTGAGCCAAACTATATTCGCCTGGGTGGACGGACTACTGACTTGCAGATTGTCGAAAAGACGTTGTACAACATCAAGAGATCCCGTCCGCTCCCAAGGTTTAATTACTCTTTCAGAGACTTAAAGAAAGAGACATATAACCTGGCCTCCTTGATTCTGGCTGTCTTCAAACCATTGCAACCAGAGATAAACGGGAATATCATCAGTGCTTCGACTTTTCTCGACTATGGCGTGTTGACCACAGAACAGGTTGAATCCTTGAAGTTCGAGGTGGATCTATTGATGGGCTGGAATGATCATAAAGAGAGTGAGCCTCTGGCCTGTTGGATCGATGAACACGCCCCGAAAACCTTAGTGGACTACGGTGAAGAATGCACGAGTTTTCTAGAGGATGACATGGACAGAATGGATGAAGCAAAGCAGGGGTATGATGCTGAAGACCGAGATACACTCAGTGGCAAATCTGCCGCATTTGATGCAATGTTCAGTCAGAGGGACAACGATTCTGTCACGGAAGACACCATTCGCGCCCATCTACAGGGTCCAGACTTGTGCCAGATCCCATCGAAGCTACGAGGACCTACCTACAAATATCTTCGAGGGAAGCTGATACAAATCTTGAACGAGAATGTCCGGGACCTTGCAAAGCGATATAATGAAGCCTGCAAGTCGTTCGCGGTTGCGAGATTGGAGGGGGACTGCGAGATTCTTCGTAGCGCCAAGCTGATTGCTATGACTACAACCGGTCTCAGCAAGTATCGGGATCTTGTGGCTAGCCTCAAGCCCCGTATTGTCATGATCGAAGAAGCCGCTGAGGTTCTCGAAGGTCCCGTCACAGCGGCATGCATGGAATCTGTCGAGCAGCTGATTCTCGTGGGAGACCATAAACAGCTAAGGGGGCACTGTGCTTTGCCCGATTTGACTGGGCCTCCCTTCCATTTGGATCTGTCAATGTTCGAGAGACTGATCGGAAACAACATGCCATACATCATGTTGCGAGAGCAGCGTCGTATGGTTCCGGAAATCCGAGAACTCCTTCACCCAATCTACGGTGAACTTCATGATCATCGAAGCGTCCGAGAATACCCCCCCATCCCTGGCATGGGAAATACGCGCACATTCTTCTTCACTCATCGCTGGCCTGAGCAAGGTGATAGTTTTTCCTCCAAGCTCAATGAAATGGAAGGGGCCATGGTAGTCGAGCTTTGCGTCTGGCTTATCCTGAACGGGACCCCCGGCAACAAGATCACGATCTTGACATTTTACAATGGACAAAGGACAACAATCTTCAAGTTGATGCGAAGACACAAACATAGCTTGCTACTCAAGAGTACAAATATTGTGACTGTTGACTCGTACCAGGGAGAAGAGAATGAGATCATCTTGGCGTCCCTTGTTCGGAGCAATTCGAATCAATCAATCGGATTTCTTGGGGTGGACAATCGAGTCTGTGTGGCATTGTCCCGCGCAAAGCGAGGGTTTTTCCTCTTCGGAAATGCGGAGGTTCTTGCTTCTAGCAGTCCACTCTGGAAGCAAGTTCTCAGCATCATGATGGCCGATCTCAACAACTTGCGTGTTGGGCGAACTTTCCCATTGACCTGCAAGTCACATGGTCGTCCAATTTACATTAGTGGTAAGAAGCTCCTCGACAATGAACATTCAATTGATGATCTGAAAATGGCTAACGATGATTGATCAATAATCAGCTCTGGGTGACTGGAAAAATACTGCCGATGGCTGTCAGCGGTGTTGTGGAGGGAAATTGAAATGTGGCCATCTGTGCCAGATACTTTGCCACGCGTAAGTTGCCAGATCAAACCTGGAACCTAACAGTAATACTGATCTCTTTAAATCTAGTTATAGCCATCAATCGGTCATTTGTAATGAGCAATGCAGTTATGTCTTCCCGTGTTGCAAGCAGGCATGCAAGCAAGCATGCAAAGAATCCCATGATCACCAATGCAACTGCAGCAGTCAACCAAGACCAGCACCAGCGAAGAAAAGCGAGCTCAAGGAAGACGAGGCAAGCAGAATTCAAAGGTTGGTTGAGGATCTTGAGAAGGCCGCTATCGCTGGCGAGTTTTCTCGCCGTCCACCGCCGCGGCATGGGCCAGGTAACAAAAGAAATATCCCTGCGAAACAAGGACTCGGGGGGCCTCAATACCCGCGACGCAATGGTGGCCGAAAGAATTTCTTCCGCGAGCAGACACTGCCCTCACCAAGCAACAATGCCCAAATCGCTGATAATCGGCAAAAGTGGCAGGAATTCGCGAACGGTGGTGCAAAGGTGATGGATGACCATATGAATACTCTGGCTCGTGCAACGGATCCGAATTCAGAAGCTGTCAAGCATGCAGTTTCCAGTCTCGAGAAGTCTCTCCTTCCTAGGAATTATTGGCCGCTGAAGGAGAGTCTGGAGCTCGAGAAGCAAGGGGTGCTGGAGGGCCTCCCGAAGACTGAGGAGCAACTGAAGCCTCAGCAGCCCAGTGAAAGCCAGCAATCCGAGACTCCGACGAAGCCCGAGGTCCCCCAAGGCAATTTGATCGACTTGGATTAAGCAATGCGGGAAAGACCTCGGGAATTCGTGGCTGGTGGCATGGGGGCAGCACTGAGGAAGGATACATCGGGTTAGGTTTTATTAGGATGTATCTTTAAATGTATGTAATAGCTGTCATTAGCCGTTCGGTTGAATATCCATGGAACTGGATGTCAAATTCAAGAACATGGAAGGGTTCCAAGATTAACCGAGACTTCACCTGGGCCAAGACTTTCCAAAAAATACGCAATAAACTTCCAGATGCCTTCCTGGATGGCTATCAGATTATCCCAAGCACTTGAGTTATCTTCAAATGTTTGGAAGAACTTCTTCTTTTGGCAAATCTTTTTGGGACACGATCGCACTCAAAGTATACATTCGAAGTAAGGGTATTTGTTAAAATATAAGGTATCCTAGTTTCCTGCTCAGGTGGTAGATATTCGTATGGAAACAATCAAATCATGGCCATATACCTTTCCAAGCTCTGACCAAGAGTGTTTATGAAGGGCCACTGTGCGTTGCGCTTGAATAGTCTTGCCCAGAGTCTAAGAACTGCCATTCCCAAAGATGCCGGCTCCAAATTAGGCGGGGCATCAGATTCGTCGTCCAGGTCTATGGAAGAAAAAGCTTCTTCCACGATACATTGCGTCCACCGAAGGATTCGACTTTCATTTTCTGTACAACTGTTAATACTTTGAAAGAATCTTCACTCAGATGATCGAATGAACATACCACTAAGTGCCTGGTCGGGGGCAGCTTCAGCAAGTGTGAAAAGCCATTTACTTAACAAGACAGCACATTCCAAACTAGCAAGCGAGTGGCGTACACTCCAAAAAAATGCTTGACTGCGAGCGATATGATCGATTCCCAGACGAACAGGAATACTGAGAGCGTGTGCTGCGTATATTAATGCCGGGATGAGCCGGTAGCTTCTTTCGGGTTTGGGAGATCGGTAGAGGGCAGAGGCTATTAGCAATGGATCTCGTGTTTCAAGGCGACGGTATGGACCCAAATTTAAAGATAGTCTGACATAAGCAAGTCCTAAAAGTGCACTGGATGTGAATGGAATAGGTCCATTTGCATTATGTGGGTCCAGGCTTGACTCGGGGGCTTGTTGCCAAACAGATGTCCATGAACGAAGAGCCCGCTCGATCTTGTTCAGCTCTTCCGTCGGAAGAGCAGTAGAATGGTTCCCATTGGGCAAAGACAGCTCGCTTACGATATGGATGCGCTGAAGCAGACCGTGAAGAAGCATGTAATTCCCTAGGGGCGAAGGAATAGGATCAAGCGGTACTGCTGATCGTGACTTCTGAAGCAGCAGTGTCAAGGCATCTTGGAAGAAAAGTTGTTGAGGCCCTCGCTCTCTCTGAGCAGCCTCCCATTCGGTAGCGTTTGCTGCTGTCCATTCCTTTGTAGAACAGGGCAGGCGCATATGAATTTCGCTACTCCGAAGTGACGGGTATGCGTTATATGCGATGCTGTGGATGTGGATGAAGCAGAATGAGATAAGCTTGGTGCGTCGAACCGACTCTTGGTCGGCCCATTCATACCAGTCTGTGGATGAAGCGTGTGGATCAGACTGTGGTTCTGTCAAACTTGCTTCGCGAAGAAGCTGGACGAGCTGGGCTTGAAGCTGTAGTGCTTCTTGTACTAGCCCCGCTCGTTCCCAGGTGGCATAGCCCATGAGAACAAGGAGACAGCGGATAACTTCCATCTGCCTTGAGGCAGTGGATGGCAATATGCTCCGGGCTTGACTCTCTCTTGAATCCGAGTATGGGGGACCACCTAATGGCTCTGTATAACCCTGCGCAGCAATTCGGGACTCTCTTGACATGCGTTCATACAAGACCGCTTTAGAAACATGGAAGATTTTCTCGGCGGTTCGGTGCTCAAATCGGTATTGGGCTCCAATCGTCATCATCGCCAGAATTAACTCTGGAGAGCACTCATTGAATCTAAAGGTCGGAATGTGTATAAAGGGAATATGGGGCTGAAATCCTTCAAAGTATGAGGTAAGATACCGGGTCAGAGTATGGCGGGATGGGAGGGTGAAATCAGGGATGACATTGCGAAAATCTTCGAGGGAAGCAGCAAGCCGAAATCGTTGGTCCTCGCCGACATTGAATCCGGAGGACTTGGTGGCATGCGGTGGTTCTGAATATTGTTAGTCTGGAATAGTTACCCCAAAAAAGTGAATGGAAATCACACCTGTGTCCGAAAGTGATGTTAAGCTCTGATCGCCCCTGGGCACCGATGGAAGCCATGACCGGAAAGGAGAATCACCACGCGACTCTTCTCGGTGGGTTCCGCGGGATCTTGGTTGTTCTTGGGGTATTTGGGTAGGCCTTTGCACATCTTCAAGACCAATATCTTGTATTTGGGCGGCCTGGCCCTCAGCAGGAAGCCATTCGGCCGGAAGGCCAATAGAATCTAAAAAATGTGTAAATTCTTGGAAATGATTGAGATCTTCCGGCAAGTAAGGTAGTGCTGGCAAAAAGATCGATCAGAAATGAGATTTGTAAAACCGGTGCGTGGCATGAGTCTTACTGGGGGCCTGGTAATCACCAGGAATAAGCAATTGTGCCGCTTGGAGCATGGCCGGGTCATGCATGCCCGGATGGTTTTCGGGGGCCGGATGAGCATTCGGATGGCCAGGCATCATACCGCCTGCCTGGCTTTGTGATAGATATGATACATGATCATGCTGAGGTGCAGACCACTGATGCACGGGGGAGGGCCCAGGAATTGACCCTACTGGACGGGTGGATGCATCATATTGCTGCGGAATGACTGCAGATGTGGCACTATTGGACCCTTGGAGATCCGGCTTTGCAATTGGCGCCGGCTGTGAATCGGGCGATGTAAGGGTATCCTGGTGTGTAATTCGATTATGGCGCTTCAAAAGATCGCGTCTAGTAAAAGCAGACCCACAGAAGCAAATGAACGGCTTTTCTTTGGTGTCTACAGCTTGCGGTCAGTCTCGCCACGAGGTACTACCGTACTAGACTCCAACGGGGGCCGCTTACGGGTTCTGACATGACGCTCCAAATGTTCTGTGCGGCGAAAGCCTCGGCCGCAATGATTACAGATCCGTGCTTTTGCTCGGCCTTTAATCTGGGGTGACGGTGATGGGGATGGCATTTTGTCGGAGTACTTGGAGACAGGAGCGAAAGTGGGCTCGGATTCGACGGAGACGAGTTTCGGGGGGAAATGGGGAAATCGGTGCATTTCCTGTGATTTCTCCAAGCGGTGACTCCAATTTGCCCCCACTTCTCTTATCCTGCTTATCTTATCTTATCACCGCATACATCAGGTCCACGCTGGTCTAAGTTCTCCGCAGTCATCAACACAAACCTCAAGCCCGACTGTTGATTAGTAGCTATAGATCTCAATTCAAGTGAGATCTCAGCATTCAAGAGTTTTGTTGAAAATGTCACTGAAAACTCTTTTCCCAGGCGTGGCCGTCATCACCGGGGCCGGGGGAACTGGTATGTACCAAATCCAGCGGTGAACAAAGTGCTCATCAAATATACATGTCTCCTCGGCGTGCTAAAAAAAATTGACAGGAATTGGAGCAGCGGTAGCTAAAGCTTTTGCTGCAGCAGGCTGTGAAAAAATTGCAATCACAGACCTTAATGAAAGCACCCTAGAGAAGACCAGAGATAGTATCGTCAAAGCTCACCCCAAGGTCCAATTGCTTGCCCACCCAGGAAATGTGGCGGACGATAAATTTGCCGAGTCATTTATTTCCAAAGTCACAAGCAAACTTGGCCGTGTTGACTATGCTGTAAACTGTGCTGGTGTGCTTGGTTTACCGATGCGATCAAGTGAAACTAGCATCGCGGAGTTCGACCGTGTCAACAACATCAATTATCGCGGATGTTGGCTGTCATCCCGTGCACAGCTCAAACAAATGCTTGAACAGGATCCGCTGCCAAGCCATGACCCTACTCGTCCTGCACAACGCGGAGCCGTGGTTAACATCGCGAGCCAGTTGGGGATTGTCAGTCGTCCAAATGCGCGTAAGTACTTAGTTTTGTTGCCTAGATTTGGTTTCTGATCTCTGTGTTATTCAGCGGCATATTGTGCATCGAAATCAGCAATCATTGGAATGACACGCGCGGATGCGATTGATTACTCGAAGGATGGGATTCGAGTAAACTGTGTTTGCCCAGGCGTCATTGAAACCCCCTTGATTATGGAGAATGCCCAAGTGCGGGAGGCGATTACTCCGGCGGCACGGATTGCTCCAATGCAACGAATGGGGAAGCCGGCTGAAGTAGCAGATGCAGCTATTTTTCTTTGTTCAACCCAAGCTTCATTCGTCCAGGGACATGCCATGGTTGTTGACGGAGGCTATATTACGGTATAGGCTCATAACAGGCGCACTGAGTACGGGTCTAACATTTAATTCAATAACATTGACTGTCATTATACTCATGTGCTGCAGATAACCTCAACTGCTGACCTGTTTTCAATAAAAATCCAATCACGAATTATGCCCACCTTATGTAGGTGCCTATTATGTAGGATCTAAATATGGTATAGAAGCTCTTTCAAATACACCCCTAGAGCTTGAGCATAAACTCGCATGCTAGGCTCACAGTTCAATATTTACTTATGCCTAGTTTCTATCAGTAGTAAACTGCATCTTTTTCCAGTTAAAATGAGTCTCCCAAACATGTCCAGCTCTCAGCACCTTTTCCTCCTGCCACAACCCACCAACAATCTGCATACCAACAGGTAGCATGATATGGTCATCGTCTTTGGCTGATACAAATCCAATCGGGATTGACAATGCTGGGTGTCCCGTCACATTGAAGATGGCAGTATTGATTGTCAACCCCATACTTGGTTTAAGCGAATCCACTGGTTGGCCTCGCTTGCCATGCTTGGGAGCCACAACTGGCGTTGTAGGCATCACAATCACATCGTAATTTGCAAACAATGCCTCGTATTTATCGCTCAGCTGGCGCCCGATATTTGCGGTCTTTCCATAGAGGTCCGGGAACTGAGACATGAGATAAAGGCCATTGATAATAACGTTCTTAGTGGATGGGAATGCCCGCTGAAATCCCTCATCAGTCCAAGGTAGTCGTGTTCGCTCCATTTCGGTCATAGACAGACCGCGCCGCCCTGTATTTTGACCTAATAGAGTCTGCGCACCGGCTACTCGCTGTTGAATTGTCCAGATTGCGGGTCCGTGCAAATGATCTGGAAGGGAAATCTCTTCGACGGTTGCGCCTAAATCTTGAAATTTCTTTGCGGCGGTCAACACAGAATGTCGAACACTAGATGAAACAGCATCATGCTCGAATCCTTCTTTGAGAATTCCAACACGCAAACCATCTAGTCTCTCTGTATCCTTAATAGAGGTTGCAAAGCTAGTTGAGCCCGGCTTTAAGCTACCCATTGATCTGTCATCGATGCCATCATATCCACTGATGGCATCCAGACATTTTGCAACTTCCATGGTTGTGCGGGCCAACGGACCTACATGGTCATTCATGGCATCTCCACTTGCAACTCCAGTGTAGGGAACACGTCCAAATGTTGGCTTCAAGCCGACACCTATTTAGTGTTAGATTCAGTGATCAAGATGGATCTAGGAGAAGCGTAGTCTTACATCCACAAAATGAAGCCGGAACTCGAATACTTCCACCCTGATCACCTCCAATAGTAATATCAACTAGCTCTGCGGCGACTAGAGCGGCACCTCCCGATGTACTTCCTCCAGCGGAGTAGCCTGTCGCGTGGGGATTCTCCACAGTCCCCTGCGCACTCGTGTATGATGAAGTAGAATGGCACATATTTTCGCATGTAGACGTCCCATGGATATCTGCCCCAGCCTCTAGAAGTCTTGTGACAACTGTTGCATCGGTTTTGGGCGTCCATGACGGGATGATATCACTGCCAAGTAACTGGGGTACTCCAGCTACTGCGATCACATCTTTGAGACTGACTGATTTTCCACTCAGTACGCCCCCTTCCTTTCCTCGAATGAGAAACCGGTGCGCCCAGGCTTGCCCGAGCACCTGCTCTTCTTCACATGGTCGGTGGACATTCTCCCGCGGATATTTGAGCTGATCAGGAATTGGCTGATAGTCTGGAAGAGCAGCGATACCTTCTGCACAATCATGGACCGCTGCTAGCAATGTTTGGAAGTCCTTCGATTCTGAAGGGTCAATAGTAAGGCCTAGAGGCTCTATAAGTGCCTCGGCGTCTCCAGCCTTAACAGGATTGTTTCTGAAGGCAAAGCAATTAGTTTGGGGTATTATAAATCAAAGATAAACAACATTGAAACGTGACAGTAGTGATGTTATCTCCCTCGTAAATACTTACTCTGATATACTGGTGAAAAGGACCGACATGGCGAATATTAGATACTTGGAATAGCAAAGTACAAGACCTTCGAGTTCCTGAAGATTTTATGATAGAATTACTAGGATTTTCTTTTCGATCGTCGGCAACCCCCGACAATACCTTCTTTCTCCAATCTCTCCTTACCTAATTTACAAGGGTGAGCGAGCGTTTTGCCGAATGCCAAATCTACTCCAAATCTACTCCAAATAGACCCTGAGTAAGACCCACACGTGCTATCGACCTCCAAGAGACAATGATATGATTTGAACATAGTCAGAGATGTACTAATATCACTAACAAATTCGAATTAGTTGTTGATTGTGATAACGAAATGGGATTTTTGCGATATGGCGATCGGCTGGCCATACGCGTTGGAATGACCCCGACAACTCCAAGAGGGGCATTTGTTGTGTTCCCCGCAGATCGATACAAGATAGAAGCTCTGAGTCTCAACACCCGCACCCTTTACTTACTTGTAATTCAAAACACACAATGGGTCCCAAACGAGTTCTCATCACCTATGGAGTCGACGTTGATGCTGTCGCTGGATGGCTCGGCTCATATGGCGGCGAAGATTCGACCAACGACATTAGTCGGGGTAAGTCTACTGCTCTCGAGGTCGACTCTCAGAAAAAAATAATCTGACCAAATAATTTTAGGGGTCTGGGCCGGCACCATTGGAACTAGACGTCTACTGAAACTCTTCAACAAGTACGACATCAAGACAACATGGTTCATCCCCGGCCACTCGTTGGAGACCTTTCCCGAGGAAATGGCAGCAGTCCGAGATGCAGGACACGAGATCGGACTACACGGGTACTCACATGAGAACCCAACAGACATGAGCATTGAGCAGCAACGCGATGTGCTTGATAAAACATATCGTATGCTCACTGAGTTTGCGGGGAAGCCCCCACGAGGAAGCGTGGCACCATGGTACGTATGGAATTTACAATTTTTACCTCACAAACTGCCTTTCTAATTCATGAAAACTCAGGTGGGAAACCAGTAAAGAGGGTGCACAGCTGCTTCTTGACTATGGCATTGAGTATGACCACAGTATGAGTCACGAAGATTGCCAGGCATATTATCTACGAACGGGCGATACTTGGACCAATATCGACTATAAGAAAAAGGCCGAGACATGGATGAAGCCGCTCGAGCACGGTCCCCAGACTGGGCTCGTAGAAATTCCTTCGAATTGGTACATCGACGACCTACCACCGATGATGTTCATCAAGTCCGCGCCGAACAGTCACGGCTTTGTCAACCCGCGAGATGTCGAAGATATCTGGCGCGATCATTTCGACTATTTCTATCGCGAGTATGATGAGTTCATCTTCCCGATCACAATTCACCCGGATGTCTCCGGTCGGCCACATGTGCTTTTGATGCATGAGAGGTAGGTAACTTGGGACAAGCTTCTACATGTATTGATACTATGCATACTAACAAGCAATAGGCTCATTGAACATTTCAAGAAGCACGACGGTGTAGAGTTTGTCACAATGGAGCAGGTATGTGATGAGTTTAAGCAGAAGAATGCTCCCCCTCCAGGAGCTTTGATGCCGGCTCCAGCGGGAGAAATGTTGAAAAAGTGATGGCCATGGCTATGTCATCGTTCCTATCTCTCATGGAATCAATATCTAAATCTTATATCTCGTATGGTTTTCTATCTGCCAGTGCCTGCAGGGTAAGGTTCCGTTACCCCAACTACTAGTAGTATGTTCTCCAAATGACCAGTCTTCTCCCTTAGTCTTAGCGTCCTCTTCGGTTGCATCCCTGCTATACATTCTACTTGTCATTTCTTAGTGCATTCTTATCTTCGTGCCCTTGGCCATATCTTAATTGCATATCAGAATCATTTACCCCGACGCTTGACCATTTCCGGACTTTCAGCCGGAACCGACTCCAAAAAAAAATATTCCCCAACGGCAGACACCAGGTCTTCAACGGTTCAACCTGAATTGATATGCTTGTTATCAGATAGCTTGAATTCGTGGGGAAGCTGTGGAGCCAATCCACTTCATCGAGTCCCGTTATCGTCATTGTAAAAGCTGCAGAGTATCAGAGGCCCCATAAACTCTATTGCAAGCTGTTGAAACACAAAGTGATCCTGCAATGCATGGGCCAACCTTGGGCTCGAGATAAGTCTCTGCCTCGTGCGCCGCTTTTTGCCTATAAATTTCCCTCGAGAGATTTTCCCGACAGTCGAGCTCTGGAGATTTAGTTATTGGACAACTTCTTGCCTCTTGCGTTTCGCCATGACAACTTCGCCGGATGACATTAAAGATGCCTCTGGCTTCGCAGATGACTCGTCTATCCCGGATACGCAGAAAGCGGAGATGGAGGACCAGTATGAGGTTTTCAAAAGAGGCGATGGCCAGGTCGACTTTCGTACTGTGAGCTGGATTCGAGCCGGTGTGATATTTTTGAAGAGTGAGCTATGCCAGGTCATTTTTACAGCATCGGGTCTAAAATGCTAATACGCGTGATTTTTCTTTATAGTCATCTTTGCCACTGGCGTTCTATCTATTCCATCGTTAATGTACGAACTGGGAGCTTTACCAGGTGCCCTTAATGTTCTTGGCTGGACTCTTCTCAACACATACTGCGCTATCTTGCAGGGCAACTTTCGCAATGCCCATCCAGGCTGTCACTCCATTGCCGACATGGCACAAGTCGTGGGCGGTCCTTTGCTGAAGGAAGTGGTCGGGGTTTTGTTTACAGTGAGCTATGTGATTGTCGCTGCGTCTGGTATTATTGGTGTCTCGACTGCGCTTAACGCCCTCTCGTTGCATGCCATCTGTACAGTCTGGTATTCCTTCATTGCCACTGTTGTCATTGCAGCGTGTGCAAGCGTACGCAAATTTTCCCACATTGGCTGGCTCACCTGGGCTGGCTTTGCTAGCGTTTACATTGCTGTCTTTATAGTGGTGTAAGTTACACTCTTCTCCCTCTCTAGAATCCCTGCTCACAAATTGGATTTATAGGGTCGGCGTTACCACGATAGATCGCCCGGCTGCTGCACCCCAAACAGGCACCTTCGACCTGGGATACAGAGTCATTGGTGATCCTAGTTTCACGGTCGGCATCACGGCTGCGGCCACTATCTTTGTGTCCAGTGCTGCGACCTCCGCATTTCTTCCCGTGATCTCGGAAATGCGCAGGCCGAAGGACTACCCTAAAGCTGTCTACCTCAGCATGAGCCTGGTGACCGTGTCGTACCTCACCTTTAGTCTCGTCATGTATGCCTGGTGTGGTAAATGGATCGCATCGCCCTCTCTAGGCAGCGCAGGTCCCACAGTTAAACGCGTTGCATATGGGATTGCTCTGCCTGGCCTCGTCATTAGCGGGTGTTTGTACGTGCATGTCGCGGCGAAATATTTGTTTGTTCGGATCCTGCGCACTTCGCGTCATCTGCAGGCTAACACATTCGTACATTGGGGCACTTGGCTGGGTTGCACGATCGGCATGGCTGCCATTTCCTTTATCCTTGCATGTGCCATCCCTATTTTCAATTACGTGCTTGCTCTGGTCGGCTCGCTGTGCTTTGCGCCGCTGGCAATTAGCCTCCCTGGCTGGCTATGGCTATATGGCCACTCGGAATACCGGAGTGGCCCAATCTTGCATAAGATCATGTATGTCTTTCATGTTTTTTTGATCATTTTAGGTGCATTCATGGCGATTGGGGGTACTTACGGGGTCATTGTCCAAATCAACGAGGCGTATAGTGATGGACAGATCTCGGCGGCCTTTTCATGTGCTGACAACAGCGGTTCAACGTGAGAGAAGTATCAAAGCCAAACCTTGGAAAATAAAAAGATTTCCCATACCCAATATGCAATATGCAATATTCAATATTCGGTCAACTGGTACATAAAAGAATAAAAAAGATCCACATAGTTTAGTGTAAAAGTGGAACATTTAATGCATCAAGTTAACTCCGACCCGCTTTGTCAAACTCCCGCCGCATCCGAAACCGAACCCGAATCACTCGCGTTTATCGGTTTTTCTTTTTCTTTTCCCCTCTTGTCCTCTTCCAAGCTTGATTACTTCCAGTCTTCAAGATCACAGAATGCTTCAGTCTTCATAAATTGACCTCTATACCCTGCTTCGTCACCCTCGACTCTCCCATCTTCTAGTGATGTGATCCACCCTTCATCTTATCTGCCGTTATCAGAGAGCCATTGCTCCGTTTCAACTGTATACACCAAGCTCTCGGATCAAAATGCTCGCCTTCCTACCTCTATTGCTGGCTCTCAGTAGCCTTGCCACAACAGCAGTCATTCCTTCCTCCTCAATACCCCCAATCCGAGATTCCCCCGTACCGCAATCAACTTGGGAGTCCGCTGACTCGCCTCGAGTATCTGCCCAATCAGCGAACCAGAACGCGGAACCTGCCAATGTCGTCAAAGGAACCCCTTATTATTTTCCCGAAATGATGCCCGACCAAGATGAAATTGCCGACCGATTAAATGCCTTGCACGAAGCAGGCTCCCCGAGCAAGCAGATATCCAAAAATGAAGGCGAAACATCAATGCACCAAGACCAGGCACACGACCTGCCCCAGCAGTCAATCGGTACACCGGATGCTACAACGATCGACACTTCTCGTGCACGGATGCTTCTTCTTCCTGATTCGGAGTCAAGTGCCGAGTTGGCCGAGTCTCTTGAACGCTCGTATTCTGATCGTACTCGTTTGGATCGTACTCGGCAGGGGATTCAGAATGGCCCATTTGTTGGCCAGGCACTTCGAATCGATTGGGTGATTACCGAGGCCCCAATTATCATTACGACACCTCCAATCATACCCTCCATGGTGTTCCTGTTTTTCATAGCGGCCGTGCTGTGCATTGCAACTGTCGTCCGCGGTGTACGTCGCCGGCACTGAGGAATGCCAGGTGGAAAGACGCGGTCGCGTTTCTTTACCACTTTTTTCCCTTATCACTTTTGCCCTGCGGCAGTTGAGATCATTGGGGCTTCGCGATCGGCGATAACAGAAATCTGCTAATCCCTTCCCGAAACCGATTTGCCCCTTCCAGCGGCACCATCTGCATAAGTTTCCCCGCAGGAAACACACCGCTGCCCTACGACCTGGTATTTCGCCCACCTTGCTTCATGGCCGGTCGCTTCCCAGCCCCCTCTTGGCACCAAAATAGGGTTTACCTATCTCGACATGGGAAAGCTACAGAGTACTAGGGAATTCATCTCATAATCCTGATGATGAGGTGCCAGCTGCTTGCCTCTAGCCCAAAGGGGATTTCTTCCGTTTATCGGTTGTAACCCTGTCTATGTCCCATGACCAAGCAGTAGAAAGCACATGATCCACAGTGGATGTCAGCTCCAACATCTGATACATTTGACATAATTGTTATGTTATTCGGGCACGGCCTCTTTTCTAAAAATCCATGTCTACCTGAGGACAGGACACCTATAGGCTAAAGTCACAGACGCAACACAGGGCGTGTTTTTTGTTTAGCGAGACCCTCATCAAGCATCCATTGATTGAGTTTACAAGCCTTGGCGCGCATCCGCAGTACAATGAACATCTGCATGGAACCTGAGCAGGGCTTGGAGAAAGTTTGGGGCCTCGATACTTATGTATAATTGGTATACAATATTACCTAAGGCACGCATTGCTTTGAATATTGAATACATACTGGTACTAAGGCTCAGAAGTAAACGTTTGAACATTGAATATCAAAATTTACCTAGATGCCTAAATACATCAAAAAAACCAAGAAAAAAAAAATAACTTTGGACACCTCAAGTGCTGATATATCCGACCTTCCCAAACATTCAAATGTTTTCAATGCACTTTGAAGGTACGGCAACATCGATCGCCAATCCAGGCGAGAAGATGCCAAAAACATTCACTGGGCACACTAACATTGAAAGTACCCAACCATAGCACTACTATGTATGCAGGTACTAGTTTAGAAACATTGAACCTTGCAATGTTGCAACACCCTGGGAAATGTTGCAGTCGACTACCGTCCACAAGGTACTACACACATGAGTGACCGGCCCACTAGTGCCTTGTGTACATTGATCAATTGATAGTAAGGCCCAGGTGAGCTCCAGGGCTCCGGCGATGTCTAACATTTGAACCTTGGAATCTGAATTTTGACTCTGTGTAGGCGGAAAGATTTATCAATTGAGCCGTCGATATCGCTTAACATTGAATATAATCAATCCAGGAATGGTAGAATCAATTGATACTATTGCAATATTATGTAAAGACCTCATAGCCCTTGGCGTTGACTGAACATTGAATCTTAGGACCTTCGTGGTCGGTTCTAAGCATGTTGTAGACCAATCAATTGATCACGTAGATGGAGAAGTCGTTCTCAATAATCTATTTGACTTCCATGTTCAAATATTGAATTGAGCAAAATCTCACGAGATTGGAATCCCTCCGGGCTTTGGATATAAATCGACTTGAAAAATATTGATTGGCAGTAATAATGATGCCTTGGGATGCCATGATGTGGTTCAAGGATAGGCCAACTAAGGATAACGATAAACAACACATGAGACTCCCATAATCACGGAAGGAAATTTACAGAGAACTCTTTTTTGCAATGTCTTCCTAACAGAGAGGGAAGAGAGAGAAGGAAGGGACCATGGACAAAACGGCAAGAAGTGTGTAAGGAGAAAAAAAGAATATGTACGCGAGTTATAGGAGAAAGAAGAAGAGGAAAAATGTCTAGGAGTCATCGACCAGGCGTTTTTGAACCCAGGCACGCTTCGCTCCATCGAGAAGCACGTCCATGTTTCCACTGTTTTCACACATGCCGCGGAACGAACCGTTCTCGGCGTTGATCAAGGTCCAGGGGTGGTCGTACTCAATCACTTTACCGTGATCAAGGACCAAGACCTTGTCGTAATCGATAATGGTCTGCAGGCGATGGGCAATGGTGATGATTGTGCTGTCGTGGAGTTCACGGAGAGTTTCCTGGATCTTGGCGTCGGTGGCATAATCGATGGATGCAGTGGCTTCGTCCATCATGAGAACGCGTGGCTTCTTGAGAAGAGCACGCGCCAGACACAGAAGCTGACGCTGACCCTGGGACAAGTTTGATCCGGACTCTGACACCAAGCTTTCCAAATTGTGGAAGATGTTCTTGTTGTCGGCAATTGTCACAGCGCTGCCATTGACATCGCCGTCGACATCACCACTGGCAGCACTATCGGCACCTCCGTTCACATCAAAATTGACAACGCCATTGGCTTCGGCAACATTAAAAGTACTTCCGGTTAAGGGAGTTGCGGTTCCTGATGGAGAGCCGATGAGATGCACACGGCGGAGCGCCGTAAAAATCTCCTCATCGGTGAACAGTCCGAAGGGATCAAGGTTGCTGCGGATGGTGCCTGTGAACAAAGTGGGATCTTGAGGGACAATCGTAATGGCCTCTCGGAGATCCCTCAGACCAATTGCACCAATATCAACGCCGTCAATGAGAATCCGGCCCTTCTCTGCCTCCAATCCACGGAAGAGAGCAAGGGCGAGTGAACTTTTACCAGCACCTGTGCGGCCAACGATGCCGACCTTTTCGCCTGCTTTAACAGAGAAGGAGACCTCCTTCAAGACCGCATCCAAGTCAGGGCGGTAGCGAGTGCTGTAGCCTGAGAATTCCACAGCACCTTCAATCGGCCATCCCTTGGCGGGACGATTTTCAGGAACAATTGGAGCAGCCTCTTGGTCAACCTCCAGATATTCACGAACTCGCTCAACAGAGTTCATATTTTGCTGAACCTCAGAATAAAGACGGACAAGCCAAAGAACGTTCTCGGTGAAGGTAACAGCATAGGTTAGGGAAAGACCAGCAGCACCGGCATCGATATTTCCGACATTGATCAGGACAAATGTGGCCGCGAAGAACGACACCAAAGCACCAGTCCAGTCTACTCGAAGGGCAAGCCAGCGGTTAGCAGCCCAGAGGTAGATGTGCGGCCGGTTGTAGGCGTTGATGCGGCGGTGGTTATCAATAATGAAACGAGGGCCATCGCCATAGGCACGAATGGTGACGATGCCGTTCAATGTCTCGCCAAATTGTTGGTACAATGGGCTTCTCTGCACAGACTCCAGTCGCTTGAGGTCACGGGAGGAGTTTAAGTAGATGGCACCTAAAGCAGTGTACACCAAAGTGATGAAGATACCGGCAATCAAGAATCCAGGAGTGATGATGGAGATAAGGATAACAATCATGATGACGGAAGCCAGACTATGCAGCATACCTATTGCCACAGGGGCAACTTCCTGGTCAACTGATTCAATATCCTTAGAAAATCGATTCATAAGCTGACCAAGTGGTGTCGAATCGAAAAAGCGGAACTTAGCGTGCATGACGGTCTTGAGGAGACGGTCGTGGATCTTCCAGGATGCATGAAGAGAGCCCCAGAAAAGCACAGCTTCGCGAGTCAGCGAGATTGCGATGTAACCAACACCCAACAGAGCATACACTCCGAGGTAGAACATCACATTGACTTCGCCATCCGGAGTGGTGGGGCCCATGCGAGATGACAGCTGTGGAGGTCCCCATGTGCTCATCTTAGAGACACTGCCGACATTGAAGGTTGGGGGCTTAAGATGAGCAACAGCAGCGTAGGTGCCAGAATCATCTTTAGGTCCAACGCTGGACGATTGGTAGGCATTGGCCCACTGTCGGATCCAGAGATTTGTGGAAACTGAGCCAACCTGCTGCAGACAGAATACAGCAACCGCCATAACCCAATAGTACCACTGGCCCATGGAGCCAAGATACATAGTAACTGTGGACCACTTGACACTGCCAACAGACTTGGATTCTTTCAACCCCGGCTTTTCGTCCTTTTGAACCTTGTTCGCCGTACCGTTAGCAGATGTCCCATTTGCAGCAGCAGTGGTTTCATCTTCGAGTCCTGCATCCGATGGCACGCGAGATAAACCACGAGAGCTAGCACGCGAGCCAGGTCGAGACTTGAAAAACTCATCACCCAGTGCGCCTGTTGAAGCAACGTCATCAGGTCGGCCTTGGGCGCTGATCTTTCCATTATCAAGAACAACCACATGATCAGCCTGGGGAACAGTAAGAGAAACGTTGTGAGTGACTAAGATGCAGGTACGGTTCAGCATCAGGGGACCTGTCAGGGCCTGACGGAAGATGTGCTTAGCAGTGTGAGAATCGACGGCGGAGAGACAGTCATCCAGCAGCAAGTGGCGAGCGCTGCTGTAAATAGCACGAGCGAGAGAGATTCTCTGTTTCTGGCCACCAGACAAACTGATTCCCTTCTCGCCGACTAGGGTTTGATCACCGGCATCAAGAATGGCAATATCCCGTTCCAAAGCACACGCCTTCAGGACAGCACGGTAGCGCTTCTCATCGTACGGAGAGGCAAAGACGATGTTCTCCTTGACGGTATCGTTCACCAGCCATGCCTCCTGAGCGCAGTACGCGATGCTGTCAATCAGGCCAGTTTCAGGGTCAACTGGAAGGTCGGCACGATTTGCCATACCGCCAGGCAAATGAACACGACCCTTGATGAGTCTCATCTCACCAAGCAAAGCCATGAGTAGAGATGTTTTGCCAGAACCTGTGGGTCCGGCGATGATGCTAAGCCGTCCAAGCGGGAAATCCACATCGAGATCAATAAGACGGAAGGCGTCAGCGCCAGTTTCGGAAGATGAAGATGATTGTTGGGGACTAGGCTTCGAGGTTCCCCAAGTAAGGGTCGCCTTTTGCAATCCAATCTTAGATGGGCCATCCGAAAGACTATCACGCAATTGGTCGTATTTCTCGGTCTCCTCCTCGTTGAGATATTTATCCACACGATCGAGGGAGACCTTGGACTCCTGGACGTGGGCCACCATATCCGCCAATTGATCCAAGGGGACACGAAGCAGCGAGAACATAGAGAGGGCAGGGAAGGCAATTGAAGGAGTCAATTGTTTCTTCTCGACAACCGTGTATAGGAAGAAAGAGAGGAAGGTAATTAATATAGGAGTACCGTACCAAACAGTAGCAGCACACGACCACAGGATGTAGCGACGTCGCAAGGACTTCAACTCAGCTTGGCGCTTCTCATTGACAATATCCTGGAAACGTTGCTCCCAGGCAAAATACTTGATGATCCGGATATTCTGGAGAACTTCGTTGGTTGCATGGATACGAGCATCAGTCCCCTTGAGGATCTGGTTTTGGACGCGGTTAAACTGTCGGGCGATGAAGAGGTTGACCGGGAGCATCATGGCCATCAAAGCAATACCAGCAAATGAGCTGAAGCCCATGATCTTGTAAAGAAGCGTGATAGCCATGATAATTTGCACGGGAACACTGGCCCACAAGAAATGGAGGTACGCACCGACTTCACTAACCTTGAAGGAGTCAATGGCCATCAGGTTGATAATGGTGCCAACATTGGCCTGTGAAGCAGCTTCCTCCACCTTAGATTCGGGCTTAGTGCCGTTTTCAGCGTCATTCTCATCAGCAGACTTCTTCTTACGGCCGAATGAGAAGATACGGCTTTTCTTCTTCTTGTCATCCTTAGGTGCTTCCTGCTCCTCAAGCGCTTTACGGGCAACATCTGTCGAAGCTCCAGCCTTGCGGCGGAGGGCTTTAGCGTAAATCTCACCAATGATGATAGCACGGATCTTGACACCCATCTTGCGACCGATATAGAGAGCTTGGCCATCTGCGACACCTTGAACAATGGCAGAGCAGAAAAGGAGAATCGCATATAGCCAAGCGGCGTTTGGAGTCGTCGAGCGAGGGTCTTCGACATATTCAAGAATTGCTTTGAGAAGCAGACTAGGGACGAACACGAAGAGATTGGCGAAAATCGTCCAGAGACCTTGCTTCAGAATGGTACCAAAAAAGTATCGGATGAGCTTCCAAGCCAAAGAGCCCTTCATCTGACGCTTTCGAAAATCGGTGACAACCGCAGCCGCCTTTTGTTGCGGGGTTAAGTTCCATACATCCTCGAGCTCCAGGGGCTGGCGGTAACCCTTCATGATAAGAGGATCCAACCAAGCGAAGGTGGCCAAAGACAAGAGACTCGCCATCGGATGATGCGGAGGTTCTAATCCATCCTCGCGCTCCACTACAACAGGCTTGTTACCCCGGCGAGTAGTAATTGCGACCAGGAGAAGTAAAGTGCTAAGCGAGAATCCAATGCTGCTGAGAACCAAGGCGTTTTTGGATAGCGGGTGGATGACGGCGGACCGGAAAACCATAATGTTGAAGAGCCATTGCAGGCCGTATAATACTGCTGTGTGGGTCCAGAGTCGCGGGGCGGAGGAAAGATCCATAGTCGACAGCAAAAGTCGGACTAGGACTAAGAAGAGGATGTAGCCCCAAGAAACCAGGCCAGCGATTGCAGGAATAGTACCATGACGACCCCAACCACCAGTCGATAGGATCACTACATAAAGTGCGACTTGGCCGACAAGGGCGGCAATCTCCAGCGCGACGACTACAATTTCCCCACGGGGACGGTCGACCTCTAGTTTCAATTGTTCTTGTTCGGTTTGCGCTGCCAGGAACAGCATCGGGTCGGAGTCGGCTTCCAGGCCATTAGGAACCTCACCTTCGGAGGCATTGTTTGAGAGAACCTTGTAAGCAACATCTTTTTTGGAGACCACATAGCGATGGGCTAGGCGTGTGACGATAAACAGAAGTGATGCAATGCATGCAGCCAAGGGAAGGGTGACTTGCAGAGTGCTATATCAGAATTTCGACGATCAGCACTGTAACGGCTACCGGCAGTGGAACAAAAACATGAAACCAGAGAAAGTGAAACCACTGGAACATTACCACTCACTTGCGTTGGAAGCACTTGGACAGATCATCCACGGCCCATACAGGACCGGGACATTGTGGGAGCATAATAGATAGAGGGATACAATAGGCGGGAAAAAACGAGGGGGGAAGCTCCTGGGGGCAGTTGCCCAGAGTTGAACAATTCAGAGCAGTCTCGAGCTCTGCGACCGGGCAACTAAAGGAAAGGTGGAAGGCGGCAAATAGAGAGGGAATGAATGAGAAGAATAAAGCTCTACCCTCAGAGGGTTAGCAAGAATACACGACTCGATCGCCAAACGAGGTTCGCATCGCAAAATCGAGCGAAAGCGGACAGGTAAGGTCGGAGAAAAAGTCCGGCAGCCGAGGGCCGTTTGGGGGGAAAGTTGAAAACAGCTCAAGGATGCAGGGCTGATAGATTACTAGAATGACAACGGTAGGAAGCTTGTTTTTTTAGAAAAAAGAAAGATCAAGTACAAAACTGCAGATTGAGGTATCACAGGGAGTGTGAGAAATAATCGAAAAGAACAGCAAGAGGCAAAATGGGGTCTGGGCCAAAGCCGGCGGTGGAAAAAAACGGTGCTCAATCAGGGTGACATGGACCACCACTACATCGACATAGTGGATCCAGGTACCACTAATGCTACATATCTTTGAACCTCCGAAACCAGATTTGCCGAGACAATGTAATTATATATGCAGACGGTGTCTAGCTTATATAGCTCTGATTCATTTAGACCAGTATTGTAGTTATGATTTATGATTCTCAAACATTGAATGGCCAGCCAAAAAAAAAAGAGAGATGCTAAAAGTTCTCCATGTTCATCTGACCAAAATGCCGATCGTTGCTTATCGCAAACATTTGCGACTTTCCCCACTCGTTATCGGCTAATGTGAGTTGAACTGGATTGGTGAGATAAGTCAAAAGAGGTATAAGTTATTACTGTACTATGTACTATACAGCTGATGATAAAGAAGATAGTTACCACGTGCGTGCATTTCCCACATCTGACAGCCCGTTTCGGGCCCGATTTCTATTGCCACAAGGCTTGAACTATTTGCCACGAGCCTGACTAAAACTGTCCCCAATTTAATTTTTTTTTGCCTTTTTTTCGCGCTTCGACATCATCGATCCACTTTTCTTTCTCTCCCCCCTCTTCGGTTCTCCTCGTGGTCCACTCCAATTTTCGGGGACGCGCTGTGGTTTCTCAGCAACGAATGGAAGAGGAAACAGTGACAACGTCTTGAATCGATCAGAAAGAAAAAAAGAAAAAGCTTGCTTTTAATTAACTCTCTGCTCGAACTTCGGTCGTCATGGCGGAACGCATCCTCATGAACGAGCTTAAGGCTCTGTCAAATGAAAAATGGCTGAAGGTTGAGGTGAGTCGCGCTTGTTCTTGAAATTCATGCAAAATGAAGGGACCTCCCATTTGACATATTCTTTTTAGCTACATGAAGAAAGCATCTTCAACTGGGACATTGCTCTCTTCGTGCTTAACTCTGACTCCCTTTACCATGGTGGCTATTTCAAAGCCCGAATGACGTTCCCCTCAAACTACCCTTATTCCCCTCCTGGTACGTTTCAACCCCCGCTCTAATACTGTTGACTTATGTGCCATACAGAGGAAACTGAAGCTAATGAAAATCTATGTTCTTAAGGGTTCCGCTTCCTCCTCCCTCTCTACCACCCCAACATCTACAAGGACGGCAGAGTGTGCATTTCCATCCTGCATCCACCTGGTGAAGATGAAATGTCTGGCGAGCTCGCTGCAGAGCGTTGGTCTCCAGCACAGCGGGTGGAATCTGTTCTGATCTCCATCCTCTCCCTTCTGGATGACGCCGAGATTTCATCTCCCGCCAACGTTGATGCAGCGGTGATGTTGCGCGACAGCCCAGAGAAGTACCGCGACTTGGTCAAAAAGGATGTCGAAGCCTCCAAGGCTACTGCCCCGGATGATTTCAGCATGCCCAGCCCTGAAGCTGCCCCCGTTGTAGCGGAGAAGGAAGACGCCGACTTTTGGGCCGACTCGGAAGCAGACAGTGACCCATTCGGCGGTAGTGATTCCGAGGAAGAAGGGTCCGACATGGATCAACTGACCGCAAGTGATCTTGATGATCTTGATGATGCGGGGGAGGCTGAGGATGACGATGAGAACGAGGAGGACGAGGAGGATGAGAAGCAGAATCCGTGATATTCAACACCTCGCGATTCATTACAGCGGCCGACATGAGCCATCGGCTACGGCATTGCCTCTCGACTACACCATCATTTTGAACACTGCATTTGGCGCTGGCATACGGACTACAGATTTATGGCGAAGGCGGGCTTTTTTCCACATTTATCAACGCAGGACGCTTTATTTATGGGATTACTTAAACGTGCATTTTACGGAGTCTCGGGCATTTTTGCTTAGTTCACCTTGCTTATCAAGGCTGACGGATTTTATCGCATCAAAAGATCAATTCCTTTACGCTTTGAACTTCTACTTTTCTAATATTTTCTTGTCGTAGTCTTGCTATCGTGGCACGTAGTGGAACCTTATATGGAAGGCCAGTGCTGCTTAAGTTACTTCCAGTATACACGATTTGAACTAAGTGATCTCGGGTGCCCTGGTGAGGTTTAGCCCAAGAAATAATCGACGTGCAACTTCACTCGGGGCGCCGGAACCACTGGCAAAGAATGTGAAAGGTGTCTAACACTCCAATCTGTGACCCCAAATAGTGGGGACTAGCATCTATGTGAATTTGTAGGTACTCAATTTGTCGATATTGTATACTCCGCACGAAAATCTCCTATATCGGAGCAATCATCCAGCCATCATCTAGAGTACCCACCAGGGCCACCACCTCCAAAAAGCTCACCAAGCTTCTCCAACGCCAACATTTCAAAAAATCATTCCCAAAATACTTCAATCTAAACAACCAAAAATCATTCCCAAAATACTTCAATCTAAACAACCAAAAATGGCCACACAAGCCCTGGCCAACTGGTCCGTGGACCTAACCTACACTGCCCTCCCAACCGAAGTAAAAACTGCCGCCATCCGCAGCTTCTATAACTGGGCCGGCTGCACAGTGGGGGGCAGCGCCCACCCCGCAACAAGCATAGCACGCAAAGCGCTCGCCCGATTCTCCGGCCCAGCCACCTCCCGCCTACTGGGCTCGGAGGGGCGGCGTCAATGTCGACGCGATGCACGCCGCATTATTCAACGGCATCGCCTCGCATGTCCACGACTATGACGACACGCATCTGGATACAATCATTCATCCCACGGGACCAGTTGCCTCGGCATTGCTGGCGATGGCCGAATCACTGGAGCGCCCGGTTACTGGGGAGGAATTCATTACTGCACTTGTGGCGGGTGTCGAGGCGGAGTGTAAGGTCGGGCTGGCGGTTTGGCCGAGCCACTATGATGTGGGCTGGTATGTGTCTTCTCCTGTTTTGATGAATTGGCTTTCCAAGGTTCTTGGAATTGCGTGATCGCGTATTGGATGGCATCAATTCTTACCAGAATTTTGCTCGAGTATCTGCGTTGAGTGGAATCTACAAAGAAACAAAATATATACTTAGGCAAGAACTAGTATTTGCTAACCATCGCGGCTTTTGCACTTGTAACAGGCACATCACGAGCTCGACAGGATCCATTGGTGCCGCCGTGGCGGTCTCCAAGCTTCTTGGCTTAAACGCCACCCAAACCGCCCACGCGATCGGCCTCGCTGCAACACAAGTCACTGGGCTACGAGAGATGTTTGGCTCGCACACGAAATCTTTTCATCCGGGTCGGGCCGCTCAAAATGGACTGCTTGCTGCTATTCTAGCCGAGGAGGACTATACCAGCTCGGTTCAGGCTCTGGAAGCGAAACGCGGTTGGGCAAACGTGGTTAGTAGCTCACATGAGCTTGACGCACAGATCGCCAGTCTTGCACCAGGAGGGAGGTGGGAGATTGAACAGAATGCGTTCAAGCCGTTCCCTTGTGGAATTGTGGTGCATCCTATAATTGATGCGTGTATCCAGCTACATGCGGAGCTGGAGCGCGCCGAATTCTCGGTCGATCATATCATGGAAGTGCAGGTGGAGGTTCATCCTCTTGTGCTTGAGCTTACTGGAAAGACATCACCTAAGGATGGATTAGAGGGAAAGTTCAGTGTGTACCATGGTGGAGCGGTTGGGTTGCTGTTTGGAAAGGCGACCCCTGCGCAGTATGATGATGGGGTTGTTACTGACCTGCGGGTTGTGGGATTGAGAAACAGGATTCAGGCGAAAGTGAACGAGAACTTCCGGGCTGATGAGTGTCATGTTACTGTTATGTTGCAGAAGCAAAGTGGTGGGAATGTTACTATTGAGAAGCATGTGGATCATGCGGTGGGGAGCTTGGAACGACCCATGACGGATGCTCAACTAGTGCAGAAATTTGTCGATCAGTGTACCCCTGTGCTTGGCCAGGAAAGAACGGAGAAAGCGAGTCAATGGTGCTGGGATCTAGAGAAACAATCCGACATGCGCCAGGTCAAGGCAGTGTTGTAAACGTTGTAATTACTCAAATGGATTCTACTAGGTACTAGTATATCTCGACGGGAAATTTACGAGAAGCCCTGGAGCAAATACAGAGGATCGTTGAAACACATGTATGAACCCTAAACACATTCTAGATGGTGTCGGAAATGTATCCTTGTAGCGAAGCAATATACTACGGTAATGATAAAGAGCAAACAAGGAACGACTGTTAGGGTAGGGAGTGGGAGTGCAGCTCCGTGGTGTTGGACCACCCCAAAGAAAAGGCCGAAAAGGAAAAAAAAAAAAGGAAAAACGCAAAAGATAAAATCCAAATGAAACGATCTGCGCCGTTGTGTTAATCCGACCATCCATATGCCCCTATGATGAGTCCCGTCACAGACGGGTCCTCAATTGATATTGTAATCTAGGCCATAACAGCATCCTTGATCTCGCTGTAAATGGCACCCATCTCCTTGTGGAAGGTCTTCTCAGCCTCACCGAGAAGCTCCTTGAGACGCTCCTCAACACCAGCCTCAGAGGCAACAGTGTAACCGCCCTCGGAAACGATGTCAGAGTAGTTGGAAGAACCACCACCATTCCAGGCGAGGAGCTATTAAACAAGTCAGTACTATATTCCGCATAATGTTGACTGGGAGAACTTACGTTAGGGGTATCCGAAGGAATGTCGCTAAGAGCGCCCTTGGTAGAGACAGCGATGATGGCCTCCTTGAGCTTCTTGGGAGTGATCTCGGCGACAGCGTAAGCCGAGCTAGATGAGGGCTGCAGAGAAACGTAGTATGCCAGGAGACCAGCAATGTGGGGGGAGGCCATGGAGGTTCCCGAAATAGTGTTCACAGCGTACTGGCTGCCAATCCAGGTGGACAGAATGTTCAGGCCAGGGGCAAAGATGTCAGTGCACTTTCCGTAGTTGGAGAAGTAAGCACGGTCGTCAGAGAGAGTAGAGGCACCGACAGTGACAGCGAGCTCGGCGGCGGCGGGAGAGTAGTTGCAAGCATCAGCATTGTCGTTACCAGCGGCGACGGCGAAGTGAATGCCAGCCTCAACAGCGGCATTGACAGCAAGGTCCAGAGTACGCGAGCTGCCACCACCCAGGGACATGTTGGCAACGCTACCCTTGAAGTTCTTGGCCTTACCGTCCTTGGCAGTCTTGACCTTCTTGATGTGAGCTTCGGCAGCCCACTCGACACCCTTCACGACATCAGACATAGTACCAGAGCCATTAGAGCGCAGGACCTTGACGGCGTAGACGTTGGCCTTCTTGGCAACACCATACTTCTTGCCGGCAATGGTGCCAGAGCAGTGAGTACCGTGTCCGTTTCCATCCTCATCTTCATCACCCTGAGGGATGGTCTTACCCCAGTTGGCACGACCCTCAAAGTCAACGTGCTCAGTGTTGGTACCAGTATCAATAACATAAGCATCAACACCCTCACCGCCCTCCGAGGCGTACAAGTACTTGTTGAAGGTACCGAAAGTAAGGCTGTCACGGTGGGAGATACGAGCCAAACCCCAAGGGGCGTTCTTCTCCAAAGATGGCTCTGCGTTGGCGCGGACCTCAGAGTCCTTCTCGATGTAATCAACCTATTGAAAATAGACGTTAGTAAAGGAGATGACTCATGATTGAGGGGGCGTTCCAAGGTGTGTATACTACTCACATCGGGGTGTCGGCGGACCTGCTCGATGACATCCTCGTGGAAGTGACCGGCGTATCCCATCAGCGAACCAGCGACGTGGAAAGTGTGCTTTACGCCCAGGAAGGCATCATCGTCAAAGCCGAACAGCGAACGCTTCTTCAGCTCCATACGCTGCTGGGAGGAGTGGATATCCTGAACCCAGTCATGGTGAGCGGCGGCAACTGATGAATCAACGTGATTCTTAAACACAATGATGTACGAGTCTGGGATTTCCTCGGCATTCACAGATGAGAGGATGGGGGCAGCGTCGTTGTGGATGGAGCCAACTGCCACGGGTGATGCAGCTGCCAACAGCGGTAGCAGCGATAAGCCGAGGAAGCCTTTCATGATGGTGGTCGACTATGAACGACAGAAATAACAAAGAGAGACTCAAAAGAGAGAAAGGATAAAATAGACAAGAGATAGGCGGAAAGGGGAGGATGGATATAGGTTGTGGTAGGAAGGATGGGTTGAGGACAGGAAGAGGGAATGAGGAGGTGAGGAGAAATGAGGAGGTAATCCAGTGACCTTATCTAGGGGACCCGGGAAGATGATGCAAGCGGGCGATTACATTACAGATACGGGGGCAGATGACTTGTTCGATTTGGCGCTGGCTGCCGATCCCAAGTGGGGAGCGAGGCCGGGGGTGGGCATTACGGTAACGTATGGTAAACAAGGAGCTCAGCAAGCTTTCCCCAGTAACACACGAGCAAAAGAAGGCAAAGATAAAGAGGAGGAAAGCCGGGAATGTCTCTTATCGCACACCATATCACATCATCCTCGTCATACACTGTACACCACTATACATCCACTGGAGCATATATTGGTATTCTTGATGATCATCGTATTTTTTTTTTCGCAAACACCCCTGGGGAAACTAGCCAGTTCGGAATTGTATGGATAAACCAGACTGACTCAAAAAAGGGTCTTGTCGTACTCTTTCCCGGGTACCTGGCAGCGTTGGCCACCGGTCGCACGGACGCCAATAATGTTCTTTTGCGTGACGAATCAAGGCAACTGGAACCTCCGAAGTCGCGTGCTTTCAACTGGGTATTTCCGGATGACGCGATACCTGAGGAAATGCTTAGTCTAGACAGCTTCTGAAGATGATAGTCGATGTACACAAGTAGGTACGCAAGTAGGTACTACAGTACGGAACAGTGATCATTGAATCATTGATCACAAGGGACCCGGTTCTCCACAATTTTAGTAGCTTTCGAAGGTTGATACTTTGGTTATCTCGACTTATCCTTTATCGTCCTTATCATCGCGTAAGTTTACTGCCCAAACGGTGGCAACGATACTCGGACATTACAGCAGGTAAACTTGGGTAAACTTGGCACACGCAAGGCGCCCCCAAACGCCCCCAAAGTCACCTGATAAGCTCCCCGCCGTCAATAGAGCCTCGCCGATCCATTTCCTGTAGCCTGTATGTATGTACAAGGCAGCATCGGGGCTTGTTTGGTCCGGATCATCCTGAACCAACTGTGGTATTTTTACATACTCCGCTTTGGCGTGTCAAGTGGTTTCTGAGACGGTCCCCACCCACCACCACCCTCCCATACCAATGCAGACCGCTTCAATCGTCTCGTCAACCGTCCATTCACGATCTCTGATGGTCCCCTCCCGCCATCGGAACGGTCGTGGATAAGATTTGGCCATGGCTCCGCCGCCCCTCTCCCCCTCCCCTTCCGGATCGACTGAGCGATTAGCCGAAGAGCTGGCACCCGCGCTGGATCAGCTCAAGTCCCTTACGGCGGGCAATCCAATTACATTCCCACAGGCACTGGCGGCCACCGAACCACTCCTCCGCCTCCGCCATACCTTTATCGATGATGCCCGCCCCCGAACCGCTAAAGACACATTTCGACAATTGTGGGGCTTTCAGACCCTGCTGAGCTTGGCTGAACAGCTACCAGAGCTTTATGACATCAATACCCTATCCAAAGAAGAGAGGAAGGAGCTGTTGGCCGTTTACAAGGATGTGCTAGGAGTGCTGGCTGAAGCATTGAAGGATCATTTTGGCAACAGAAGATATTTTGCGCGCAGGATAGTTGAAGGGGGCACTACAGTCCTAGAGCGGTCTTTGAGTGTGCTAGTTGGAAAATTAGACAAGGCTGAAAATGATGCGCAGCAATTGTATGGAGCTGTTCTGGCAGCAGCTCTATGCCAGGAAAGTGTTTCGGGAATTTTCGTGGCATTGAATACGAAATTACAGCAGAGTGCAGGTCCCGGATTGCCAGCGCAGTTGCGGGCTGCTGTGGACCAGTGCATGGGATCTGCCGAGACTGTGGAGGTTGCAGAGCTTCTAGGGCCATTACTTCGCGTTTGGGTGAACCATTCTGCTTCTTCCGGCAATGATATCCTACGCCTTGCTATTCCCGCATGTCTTTGCCAATTAGCTTCTCAATCACTGAGGAACGTTGTGGCTTTACATGCCACTGGTATCCTGACTTCAATTCTACCGCTTTTGTTCGACAACACTCGGCCCGAAAACGAGACAGAGCTATACCAAAATTTGGCTGGGCTCCTGAGTGCCCAAGGAATGAATAATTTGGATGACGCCGTTGCTCTGTACAGAAGAGCACACGAAAACCCACGGGTCTTGAAATTTCTCGTGTCCGCTCTCAAGGCTTCCAAAGAGCCACCTTCGATACAATTTGACATGTCTCTGCATGGCTATTCGTCCGTAGAGTTTGCGACTTTGGGTCGGTCGTTTCCCCCAACTTCTTCAGGCGGCTATACGTTGGCAGCGTGGGTTCGGTTCGACGAGTTCGATGTCAACACGCATACCACACTATTTGGTGCATTCGACTCCAGCCAAACTTGTTTCCTGCTTGCCTACATTGAGAAGGATACCCACAACTTTATCCTTCAAACGTCTATCCGTGGTCTTCATCCTAGTGTCCGGTTCAAGTCTGTCAAGTTTAAACCAGGCCGTTGGTACCATATTTGCATGGTTCACAAACGGCCAAAGCCCACCTCGTCATCCCGAGCATTTTTGTTCGTAGATGGCGAGTTCGTGGAGCAGTTGAAGATTGAATACCCCTCTGTTCCCACCAGTAGCCATCCGAGCAGGCCTCCCCACATTCAAGCATTTTTTGGTACGCCACAGGATTTGGCAATGCGTCTTGGTAAAGGAGTATCAACTTCCAGGTGGTCTCTGGCCAGCGGGATTCTGTTCGATGAGGCCTTCAGTGACGATATGATAGCTGTCTTTTACAATCTTGGACCGCGCTACTATGGTAATTTTCAAGATTGCCTCGGCTCTTTTCAGACCTATAGGGCCTCTGCTACTCTGAATTTACGCAATGAGCACCTTCATCCCGGGAAAGAAGAATCGTCAGATATTGTGACTGCTATCAGGAGACGAGCGAGCACTCTGGTTCGCGAGAATTCAATCTTGATTAATGTTTCTCCTGTTGCCGTTCTTGACGATGATGATACCAACAACGTCGACGAATCACAGCTAATAAAATGCTTGTCAAGGCAGGCAGCAAAGAGCTTACAACAACTAACAAAGGCCGGTGGGAATGCCGTTGCAATCAACGGGGCCACTCCTGCAATTAATGATGGCTTAACTCAGCCACAAGGAGTTGGAATCTTAACTGGTGATCCAGTGGTCGCCGTGCCATGGTCATTAGACGATGCCAGTTGGTGCCTTGGTGGCTGCGCAGCCGTGCATCTAAGCTTGGTACAATCTTCCGGGTCCCCCGATACCCTTCGCTTAGCCGTGGAGGCTCTTTATGAAGCCATTCAAGACAATTGGAGAAACAGTGAAGCAATGGAAAGAGAAAATGGCTATGGCATTCTCGCAGCTCTCCTGCGGGAAAAACTCGGCTTTCAGCTGGGTAATTTCTCATCCAGTAAATCCGCCGTGGCCAACTATAGCCCAGAAGAGCAAATCTCTTTGACACTCGATCTTCTCCATCTGACACTTAAATTTGTTGGATACGATCCCGAGCACCCAAATCAGTCTATAATCACCAACCCCCTAGCATATAGGGTCTTACTGGTTGACATGGATATTTGGCGACATGGGGGACCACCCGTTCTTGACCTGTATTATACTCAATTCCGAGTCTTTGCCACTGACAGCAATTATCACCGCTTTAATGCGAAGCGGCTGGGTCGCATGCGTGTCAGCAAGAAACTAATTGAGACGCTCAAGGCTGGTGAACTTACCTTTGAAACACTCAACCCATGTCTGTCTGCTTTTCGATCGTTGATGGAAAGTAGCATGTCTCCCGATCTCTTACGGTCCTTTGCTTTGTCCATCACATATACACTTCATATGCCTAAGGCCAATGTTAGCCTATCGAAAAAGAAAAGTCTTCGATTCGCAACGCCTCCCTCTCGACCTGGCTCCTCGAAATCGAATACTGGGAAGCATGTATCCGCCACTGCACAAGGTACTGAAATGTTGCAATTGTATGCAGCAGTGTTATGCAATCCTTTAGACTCCGTCCCCTTGAAGAAATTTGCCAAAGCTGTCACAAACAAGGTTTGTCAAAAACTCTTCTCTACTTTAAAAAACACCTTTCTGACGAGACCTGCAGTGGCTTCTTTACCTATCATGTGAAGACGAACCAGAAGTAGTTGTTCTAGCTACCAAGATACTGGCTCGGTTGTTAGTTGTCCATGGTAGCGGGTACAGCAAGAAGTTCTCTGAGAAGAATGGAGGATTCACGATCCTAGAGCATCACTTGAAACGATGGTGGAACGTTCCTGTGCTGTGGATTATCTGCTTTTCCATACTCTTTGGTCGAGATATTGCCCTCATGGACCTTGACAAACCATTTGACGCCCCCGGTCTTTTGAAAATCTTCCTCAGTGACGGAGATCTTCGCATTGTGAATCCTGAGATGCTCCGGGTGATCACTAAAATGATGAAGAGTGGACTGAGAAGTACTGTTCTTGCAAGTGACCCAGCGATACGAACTCAGTCAGAAATTTCAGGTTCAGACTCAAAGAGGTTCAAAATGTCTTCGGTCAATTTCAATGGTACGTTCTCCCCAATTATCCGACACAGGCACGTTCTAACTAACAATTTTCATTGTAACAGATACTCCACTGGAGAACCGCAAAGCGCAAAATACTTCTCTCTTGTCCTCGGTGATAGAGTTTTTAACGGAGGCAAGCACCATCTCACGAAACTTCCAAGAGTTCACCTTTCAGTCTACCTACGTTCAAGAGGTCCTAGATGTTTTGTTTCCAGTCATCGTCAGTTCGGACTCAATAAGTCCCAGTACCGAATTGAATACCAGATATGGTGGGCTTTCATTTGATGATAGCAATCTAGTCATGCGACCTCGCTCGAATACTGCGACTATACTGCAAACCACCACGGTCGACTTTCCAAATAGCCCCGACGAAAACACCGATCTTGCTCGTCGTGGCTCCTTTATTCTTGTATCTTCCGACAAATCGACGCACCAGCCGTCCTCTGCGCGTATTCGGCGTGTTATTCATCCTGCCTTCTCGAATGACAGATTGGCCGTGGATCACCCCCTCATCACGGCTGTTTTTGGGTTGGCTCTCTCCGTGTTTGAAGATCAGCTCTTGGAACGCAAAGACTTCTCTGGTTTGGGCCTATATCAAAAAACCCCCCCTGGGTTCTTAGAGCATCAAGCATACTTCAATTCTTGGATTTTCAATCACCTCCTCTCGACTTTGAGGACGTTGCCTACCTCAAAGCCGCGTCTTCTTCAAGAACCTCGTACTCTCACCAACATTTCTCGCTTTGCATCACACTTAGCCGAGGCTGTTTATGAGGGGTGGTTTATCGATGGAGCTGCTACGACATTGGAAAGCCTTGGTTCAATCTTGGAATATATCCAAAGACCAGACATTTCAAGCTTGAAGAGCATTAGACTGTGCAACCAGGCGGTAGCAACAACCCACTCCACCTTATACAGAGTTGTCTTGTTCGAATTATCGGAGGCCGATGACCATGAATCTCTATCTGTTCTGAAACGTCTCAACTATTGGCAGGTAGTACTTCTTGGTGCAGGAGAGACCGAGTCAAGACATCTCCAGCTACTTTGTTACCTTCTTTACACAAAGCTGATTAGCACGGATGAGGACATTCGCCTGGCTGCTGCCAGTCTTTGGAGAGTTATTTTGGTGCAAAAGCCCGAGGAAATGAATAATATCCTTGCCCATGGGCCCCCTACTCTGCAGCGCCGACTATCAGATGGCTTTGAAGCTCTGGCGGGAATGGAAGACGAGGCCTTCTTACATTGGATTGATGATCAGCGTGATGATCTTGACGCTTTGTTCCTAGGCATTTTGGCTCGAACCTGGGATGCATTCGTTCAAGACGAGAATACGAAAAGCGAGGAATCGGCCAAGAACCGAATCTCAAAGCGCAAGGAAAAGCTCAAACAATGGGTTCAGTTGGAGAAGTTTGATGAAAATGTGATTCGGAAGCATGATGCAACTTTGCCACATTGGATCTCAAATATCTCCGCGTCAGAAACCCTTAAGTCACAGAGATGTCTGCAAGACCTCCAGGACAACTCTTCTTTTATGTGGTCAGCTTTCTCTAATCTCCTGCTGGATCTTCGACGTCCAGGTGGTCTTTTCTCCGAGGAAAAGGAAAGAAAATACAGACTCGACCAGACAGAAGGCCGCAGTCGAATGCGTCTGCGTGTCGTTCCGGATGATTCAGGCGAACGCCATAATTACCAACCCAAACGCAAGAACTCTGAGCCCCCAATGATGAAGATCGACACTCGAGTGCGTGCGCTATCCGAAGGTGAGGCATTGGGGACTCCGACGGGTTTAACAGCGGAGCCAGATACTGTTGATCCCGAGACACAGGATGGGGATCCCGAAGATCGCAGCATCCTAGAAGATAATTTCGAAATGATTGACGACCCCAAAGTTGAACTTGAAGACTACGAGGACAAGAACCGCAGAGTGATGAGGTCGCTTCAACGAGGCGACCAAGTACAGAATGTCTGTAATCAATCACGGATTATTGGTCTTGAGGCCGTTGAAGGTCTTCTCATCATCGGGAAAGACTGTATCTACATTCTAGATAACTTCTTCCAGCGAGCTGACGGAGAGATTGTCAATGTTTGGCAAGCACCCTCTGAAGAGCGAGATCCTTATGTGCGGATGATTGCTGGGCGAGAATCCAACGACGGTCGATCTCAGGAGCATGAAACAAGGAGCTGGAAATGGTCTGACCTAGTCAGCGTCTCTAAAAGACGCTTCCTCTTCCGTGACGTTGGTCTGGAGATATTCTTTACAGATGGCACGAGCTATCTTCTGACTTTCCTTTCTGCGCGAGTGCGAGACGAGCTGTGCAATCAGCTTGGCCAAAAAGCTCCCCAAGTTACTGGGAGTGTAGGTCACTCTCGACCAGAAGACATTTGGCGGTTTGAGACCTTGCGCAGCCAAGAAGATGCACCGCAGTCCCTTGGGTCCAAGTTCGCAAGTGTCTTTGGTCATCTTCCATCAAGCCCAGCGACCCGCAAATGGATTCGGGGTGAAATCTCTAACTTCCATTATCTCATGTTGATCAATACGCTCGCTGGACGGACGTTTAACGACTTAACTCAATACCCAGTATTCCCATGGGTTCTCGCTGATTACACAAGCGAGGAGCTTGATCTCACCAACCCAAAGACTTTCCGTGATCTGTCTAAACCAATGGGTTGTCAAACACCAGATCGTGAAGCTGGTTTCCGTGAACGGTACAATGCATTCGCAGAAATGGGCGATGACAACTCTCCCCCGTTTCATTACGGAACTCACTACTCGTCTGCCATGATTGTCTGCTCATATCTCATCCGCCTCCAGCCCTTCGTCAAGTCATATTTGCTCCTACAAGGTGGGACTTTCGACCATGCAGATCGGCTTTTCTACTCCGTCCGTAAAGCCTGGGAATCAGCATCGCGGGGAAACATGACCGATGTTCGAGAATTGACTCCCGAGTTTTTTTACCTTCCCGAGTTTCTGGTCAATTCTAATAAATACGACTTTGGTGTATTACAGAACATGACAACCGCCATTGATTCGGTGGACCTTCCACCGTGGGCCAAGGGCGATCCCAAAATCTTCATCCAAAAGCACCGCGAGGCCCTTGAGAGTCCTTACGTGTCTGAAAATCTCCATCACTGGATAGATCTTGTTTTTGGCAGCAAGCAAAAGGGTGAGGCTGCTGTGGAGTCTATCAATGTCTTCCACCATCTTTCCTATAAGGGCGCGAAAGACCTGGACGCCATTGAAGATCCGATGGAACGACTGGCTACGATTGGTATCATTCACAACTTTGGTCAAACGCCTCATCAAATCTTCCAGCGAACTCATCCCCAGAGAGAAGATGAGCGACACCGTATTCCCCGTCTGGATACCCTAGCGGAATCATTGACCCAGATGCCACTTTCGCTTCTCGATATTGAAGAACGGGTGAACACTCTGTCGATGAAGCAGGATCGTCTCTTATGCACTGCTGCACTCCGACTCAATGTCCCACCAATGTACGACCAGTATATGGAATGGGGCTTCTTTGATGGAAGCGTACGCTTCTACTCCACTGATAGTCGCAAGGTATGGCTTTGCACACCCCCTCTCCTACTATTATTGATTATCCTAACCCTTCTTAGCTTCTCGGGCATTTTGAACGCCTCCATGTTGGTCAACTTTCATACGCCAGCTTCGCGGACTCACGCACACTGATTACCTGTGGAACGGACTGTACTATTTCTTTATGGACGGTGACCTCAACCTCTCGGTCGATTGATCTGCAACCCATTGGCTCCCTTTTCGGTCATCGCGCCCCAGTGACCGTTCTTGCGGTTTCCCGATCATTCAGTGCCCTGCTGTCAGTCTCTACCGATGGACAAATTATGTTATGGGACTTGAATCGACGATGCTTTGTGCGGGCTCTTCCACCCAATGGCACAGTCGATGTAAGTACTTCCTTTGTGATTACACTCCACCTCTGTGCCTTGTTAACCAAATTCCAGTGCGCTCGAATTAATGATGTGACCGGCGATATTATGGTCTGCCGTGGCAATCGTATCACTATGTACACGCTGAATGGAGATGTGCTAGTTGATCAGCCCGTTTGTGAATCTAGCGAAGACCACGTTCTATCCTGTGTCTTTTATGAGGGCGTCCAAAATGAATGGCTCGAGCGTGAGCTCGTGCTGACCGGCCACAGTCGAGGTGTTGTCAACATCTGGGCCAAGAACATTCATGATGGAGTCTTTGAGCTGGAACTTATCCGGCAACTGCACCATACGGACAGTAGTAGAGACAATGGAGCGAATATCTCCGCTGGGATCAGTTGCATTCTGGCTCTTCCCCAGGTTGTGTATACGGGAGATGAGGCAGGTCGAGTGGTGAGTAACACACTGTTTTTTGATTCATTTGCCCCTTGGAAACATTGGACTAACTAGGCTATAGTACGAGTGGAATTGTATCCAGCGGCGTTGATCCTCCGGCATATAATTCCGTCCCCGATGCGGCTATTGAAGTTGTTCGGAAGACTGTCCTCCTGGGTTGGTGGAAGAACCGCGATTCTACATTAAACCGGAGTGACCACTAAAAGCACGTGGCGTTCTTGTTCCAAACCGGGTATGCCTTTGTATTTTCTTGTTTTTATTTTCTAGTCGCATCATCTGGACCGTGACCTGAATCCGGGGAATTTCTTTTTTAGCGCTGCATATACATAGCGGGAATGGACAGCATTCAGCACATATGCCAACCCCGTAAAAACATGATATTTAACCGGATCCCGGTGAGGGAGAGTGCAGGCCCCGTTGCAATCTAGTGGGCCGTTGGCCGGTCGACCATCCTCCGGATGGCGCTGCCGGAGCACTCTGCGCCGAATCATCGTTCCTCAGGGTCTTCACCAACACAATGGAGTCATTCTCGAGGTTTGTTATTGGGGTTAAAACGGAACTTTGAAGCGATGGTTGTAAGTTGAGCCAAACCGTTATCGAAAAAATCCAATCTGCGAATGATGTAGGGATATCTCCTTAGTGTACCTGAATGCGCGTAGAATGGAGGGGTAAAAGTAGCCAAAAGCGGGAAAATCAATTCAAGTGATTTCATTATGCAGCGTCATGTGCCCCACTTTACATCCCACCTGGAAATCAACGATTCGGTACTTCCGTTGACTATGTACGACTCATAATCAACAGAAGTACCTCCATGTACTCCGTAATAGCTCACCTGTTTCTAAACCATGGACCTTCCCACCCCGCGCCTCTAAATACTCTCTCCTCGCCACTTTTCTCTCCTCTTCATTCTTCCTCCATCCTCTTCAATTAATTCTCTTGTCTAATTTCCCTTCACACATCCTCCCATAATTATGTCTTCTTCTCTTGAGCAGCTCAAGGCCACCGGCACCGTCGTGGTCTGCGACTCTGGTAAGTTCTATCCGATTCCTCCGGGATGAGCATGCATTGAACAATCCACTAACTTACGCTATATAGGTGACTTTGCCAGTATGTAACTCCTTGCGTTGCCACCAGGTGGCGCCAAACTGTTCAAGCGAACAACCATTCCTTGCGTCTAGATAACTAACGTGTCACAGCCATCGGCAAGTACAAGCCCCAGGATGCCACCACCAACCCCTCCTTGATCCTGGCTGCCTCCAAGAAGCCTGAGTATGCTGCCCTCATCGACGCTGCCGTCGCCCACGGAAAGCAAAAGGGCAAGACCGTTGACGAGCAGGTCGAGGCCACCCTGGACCGCCTGTTGGTTGAGTTCGGCAAGGAGATTCTGAAGATCATTCCCGGCAAGGTCTCTACTGAGGTTGATGCCAAGCTCTCCTTCGACACCCAGGGTTCCGTCGACAAGGCCCTTGAGATTATTAAGGTATGCATCACATATTACCATTGAGATTGAAAATCTTCAAACGAAAAAAAATAACCAGGAAACTGACAATGACGTCAGCTGTACGAGGAGAACGGTATCTCCAAGGACCGTGTCCTGATCAAGATCGCCTCTACCTACGAGGGTATCAAGGCCGCCCACATCCTGCAGTCCAAGTACCAGATCAACTGCAACCTTACCCTGATGTTCTCCCTCGTCCAGGCCATCGCCGCCGCTGAGGCCGGTGCCTTCCTCATCTCTCCCTTCGTCGGCCGTATCCTGGATTGGTTCAAGGCCGCTCACAAGCGCGACTTCACCCCCCAGGAGGACCCCGGTGTCAAGTCCGTCGAGGCCATCTTCAACTACTACAAGAAGCACGGATACAAGACCATTGTCATGGGTGCCTCGTTCCGCAACGTTGGTGAGATCACCGAGCTTGCTGGCTGCGACTACCTGACCATCTCCCCCAACCTCCTTGAGGACCTGTACAACTCCACCGAGGCCGTGCCCAAGAAGCTCGACTCCGCCAACGCTGCCAACCTTGACATCCCCAAGCGCGAGTACCTCAACAACGAGGCCTCTTTCCGCTTCGACTTCAACGAGGAGGCCATGGGTGTTGAGAAGCTCCGTGAGGGTATCTCCAAGTTCGCCGCCGATGCCGTTACTCTCAAGGACCTCCTCAAGGCCAAGATCCAGGCTTAGATATGAGAGGTTTTGTTTTAATTTTCGCTGTTACCCTCCTTTTTTACAGTTATGATTTGTAAATTGGCAATCCTCAAAAACGTTGGAATCGGTAGATACGACTTGATGAATATGAATATTTCTTTTCTGCAACAATATTTGATCCGTGCATTTCCAAGGTTATACATAAGAGATCTAAACATTAGAGATTTTTGGCCTTGAAACGATTCTTAAAGTTAACGATCAGTTGATACATACTACCTACTCGAATTGCGTCCCAAGGTTGCAAACACGTACCAAATGAATTCCACCTTGGAACATTTGAAATGCTGGTATACTGCACGTGGCGTCGATCATAGGCGGCATCTCCGGCCTCCAAGTGGACAAGGTAGGCCCGACACATCCGAGACCAAAAAAAAGGATCTGGACCGTGTCGGCTTATTCAGGATTCCTAATGACCATCGGAATGAACCCCGCAGTCGTACATAGTGTGACTCTGTAATACGCTATGACCTTTGTTCGATTTGATTTTTGATTTGGGTAACAATGTGATATTAAAATAATCATATTTTCAATTTACTATAGGGATTTGAGAAATTTCAATCTGAGTACATACATACTACTACTAGTATGTAGTATATGCAAATCATTCAATACTCCTTGAAGCTATAAGCTATAGCTGGAGTTAAAAAAGTTCGGCATTATGTCATTTCCCCTCGTCCCGCTTAGGAAGGTGGGGGGAATGTGTTTTGGTGCGGTAATTGGGTATCTGGTACCAGCATCCCCCAGCATATTTTGCAGTTCATATCAGGTATCAGGTACCTGAAGAGGTATGGAAGGTTCCCGGTAACGCAGTCACGTCAACATCATCCGCTTATTATTCTGCTACTCCCGCCTTCCTCCTCTCCTCTTCTTCCCCTCACAAATAATCATTTCTCTCAAAAGATTCAAATCAATTGAAATAATAACCGTCAAAATGGTCAAGGCTGGTAAGTGTGTTATATGACATCCTTTTTTTATGTTCTCAGTTAGATTAGAGCTCTGTTATTGGATCTTTCCCGTCTCCACGTCCGTGGCAAAGGACCTTCGGGCTCGGGTGAGCACATTTGAGCACCTTGGGGATCTGCTCGGACCTATCGGCTTTGCTCCCCGATCCCAATACCTCTCCACCAGATCTTATACTTCTGCAGCTATCCAAGCTATGAACCATCTGATTTGCCGTAGAGGGGGGTTATTTGCTGGTTGGAAAGCTTGCGGGACCGGGAGGGTCAGATCATCCCGAGCTTCTCCAAAGGCTCGAGGCGGATTGACATTCCATCTGCGTTCTGGAACTTAAATTTTTCCATATCGAGTCCCATGCTAATAATCTCTCCTAGTTGCTGTTATCCGTGGTGACTCGAAGATTTCCGGTACTGTTACCTTTGAGCAGGCCGCCGAGTCCAACCCCACCACCATCACCTGGAACATTACTGGCCACGACGCCAACGCTGAGCGTGGTTTCCACATTCACCAGTTCGGTGACAACACCAACGGTTGCACTTCCGCTGGTCCTCACTGTAAGATGAACCGCACAGCAATCAATATATATATACGCAAGCTTCTTAAGACTCACCATCCTCTTTAGTCAACCCCTTCGGCAAGACCCACGGTGCTCCCACTGATGCCGACCGTCACGTTGGTGACCTTGGTAACTTCAAGACCGATGCTGAGGGCAACGCCACTGGCTCCGTTCAGGACAAGCTTGTCAAGCTGATCGGTGCCGAGAGCGTTCTGGGCGTAAGTTTTGGTCCCAATCAACCCATTTGATTCATTGATGACGTGACCGGGATTTTTACTGATAATTCTAACAGCGCACTCTTGTTGTCCACGCCGGCACTGATGACCTCGGCCAGGGTGGCAACGAGGAATCCAAGAAGACCGGTAACGCTGGACCCCGTCCTGCCTGTGGTAAGTGCTCTCTTTGCTTAATAGTTAACCTGTGCCACTCACTAATCAAATGTCCAGGTGTCATTGGTATTGCCGCTTAAATTTGATGAATAAGGTCTGGTATCCCCCCATCTTTTTTGGAAGATGAAAAGTTCAGGACATTTTCCTGGCTAGGATGAGATGAATTCAATGTCAATTATTACCTATTTTGATCCCAATTGATCAGTTGTAAAGTGTATATTCAATGTTGCCGAGGTGCTCGTTATACTTCGCCGTATAGCCTAAATCGTTGTGGCCAAGTGCGCAGACCGCTTTCCCCCACATACTAGTAAACACCGGCCACGTTTCGCCTCCGGAGCTGGTTGCCCCTTCTTGATCAACTCCACTGTCGTTGTCCATTCACTCATCAATTGATTTGTCTTTTCCATAATTGAAATACCCCGTGCTACCTTTCTGCGGTAGTGGTGCTCTTTTCCACCATGCCTTTCGAAGCTCGCGTCAAGTCCGTGCTGTCAGGCGACACAGTTGTCCTGTCGCATGTCACCAATCCTACACAAGACCGCGTCCTGAGCTTGGCCTATGTCTCCGCTCCTAGATTAAGGCGAGAGGGCGATGAGGTATGTGCTCTTTGGTATCAATTGGGTATTCCAATTGGTCGCCCTTGCCTTTCATCCCCAGTTTCACATCCCGTGAGAGTTGTTTGGAGTTGCAGATCATTTAACTGGGAAATCGAGCAAGAGTTGAACTAACAACATGTTGAATTACCATAGGCATATGGCTTTCAATCCCGTGAATTTCTCCGTGAACTCCTTGTCGGCAAGGTGATTCAATTCCAAGTCGTATACACTATTCCCACCGGCGCCAAGCGTGAATATGGTATTATCAGACTACCTGGCTTCAACGCCCAGTTGCCTGATATCTGTGTGCAAGAGGGTTGGGCTCGGGTTCGTGAGGAGGCGGGAAAGCGTAGTGACGAGTCCCCTGAGACCGTAGAGCTGCTTGGTCGGTTGCGCGCGTTGGAGTCATTGGCCCAGAGTGAGAACAAGGGTGTCTGGGCATCTTCAGACAACGGTCTGATCGACACAAACAATGAGTCCTGGACTAGTGCAGCGCTTGTCCAGAAGTTCAAGGGTGTCCAGATGGAGGGTATCATTGAGAAAGTTCTGAATGGCGACCGTGTGGTGCTACGTCTATTGGTGTCGCCAAAGGAACACGTTCAGACTGTTGTTGCTGTGGCTGGAATCCGGGCCCCCTCGGCCAAGCGCACAACCGCCGAAGGCAAGGAGCAGGCTGCTGAGCCAAATGGTGATGAGGCGCAACAATTTGTGGAGGAGCGTTTGTTGCAGCGCAAGGTGAAGGTCACCTTGCTTGGAGTTACACCACAAGGCCAACTCGTGGCAACCCTTCTCCACCCTAACGGAAATATCGCTCGATTCATTCTGGAGGCTGGTCTCGCACGCTGCCAGGATCATCACTCAACACTTCTCGGCGCCGATATGGCCCTCCTTCGTCAGGCGGAGAACACCGCCAAGGATGCGCGCAAGGGTGTCTTCACCGGCCACGTTGGATCTAAATCTAGCGGTGCCACCGCTGCTGACTACACCGTTACCCGTGTGCTGAATGCCGATACTATCTTCATTCGCAACAAGGCCGGTCAGGAGAAGAAAATCAGCCTCACCAGCATTCGCCAACCAAAGCCCTCTGACCCCAACCAGGCTTTGTTCGCTGCCAATGCTAAGGAGTTCTTGCGCAAGCGTGTTATCGCTAAGAATGTCAAGGTCACAGTGAACGGCAAGAAGCCCGCGAATGAGGGATATGAAGAACGCGAGGTTGCTACTGTTGTCCAGGGCGAGACCAACATTGGCCTAGCCCTCGTCGAGGCTGGATACGCTTCCGTTATTCGTCACCGTATGGATGATGATGATCGTTCACCTGATTATGATGCTCTCCTTGCTGCCGAGGCCGAAGCGCAAAAGGAGGGCCGTGGAATGTGGTCTGCCAAGCCCCCTAAGACTAAGCAATACGTGGACTACTCCGAGAATGTCCAGAAGGCTAAGCTTGAGGTCGGTGTGCTGCAACGTTCCAAGCGAATCCCCGCCGTTGTCGACTTTGTTAAGTCTGGCTCTCGTTTCACCGTCCTGGTTCCTCGTGAGAACGCTAAGTTGACCTTGGTGCTTTCCGGCATCCGTGCCCCCCGATCTGCCCGTGGTCCCAATGAGGCTGGTGAGCCCTTCGGTCAGGAAGCCCATGATCTGGCCAACCGCCGCTGTATGCAGCGGGATGTTGAGATTGATGTCGAGACCATCGACAAGGTCGGTGGATTCATTGGCAGCCTGTACATCAACAAGGAGAACTTCACCAAGGTTTTGCTGGAGGAAGGTCTTGCTACAGTACACGCTTACTCAGTTGAGCAGTCCGGTCACGCCGCCGAGTACTATGCCGCCGAGGAGCGTGCCAAGGAAGCTCGCAAGGGTCTGTGGCACGACTACGACCCGGCCAAGGAGGCCGCCGAGGCCGAAGCTGCCGCGACAGCTGCAAGCGCTAGCGCTACTGATAACGAGGCCGCCCCAGCTCAGCGCCGCAAGGACTACCGCGATGTGATGGTCACCTACATCGACCCGGAGACTGCCCGCCTCAAGGTGCAGCAAATCGGCACTGGAACCGGCGCTCTGACCGAGCTCATGTCCGCTTTCCGCTCATTCCACATCAACAAGGCCAACGACACCCCTCTGACAGGTCCCCCCAAGGCCGGTGACTGGGTCGCCGCTCAATTCAGCGAGGACAACAACTGGTACCGTGGCAAGATCCGCCGCAACGACCGCGAGAAGGAGACCGCCGAGGTGGTCTACGTTGACTACGGAAACTCCGAGTCCGTCCCCTGGTCCAGCCTGCGCCCTCTCACCCAGCCCCAGTTCTCAGCCCAGAAGCTCCGCCCCCAGGCCGTCGATGCTGTCCTCTCCTTCTGCCAGTTCCCTACCTCCCCCGACTACCTCCAGGATAGCGTGGACTTCATCAGCGACCAGGCCTTTGACCGCGAGCTCGTTGCCAACGTCGACTTCGTCGACGCCGAAGGCACCCTTCACGTCACCCTTATGGACCCCACCGATGCCAAGAGCATTGATCACAGCATCAATGCCGATATCATCACTGAGGGTATGGCCATGGTTCCCCGCAAGCTGAAGGCCTGGGAGCGCGCCTCGGCCGACACTCTGGACAAACTGCGTGTCCTCGAGGATGAGGCCAAGGCTGAGCGCCGCGGCATGTGGGAGTACGGTGACTTGACTGAGGATTAAATCCTCGGCGCCGGCTTTTGAGGATTTTTGCCCTGGGGTGGGTTCTTTTTCTGTATAAAACTGGTATTGGGTCATGGGAAACGAAAATTCTTGTGCCATATGATTTGCAGCCTTCTCGGATTTTTCTTGTATTTGTTCCTTTGTGTTTGTTTTGAAGGGCTGGAATGGCCCTATGCAATTTTAGTGACGGTAGTTTTGCCCGTCTTCAATACCATCATCGTGGATTGGGTTTTGATTTTATTCAATCTTACAGAATCCAAGACTAAATTCGAATCCATAATATTCCATACTCCTTCCTTCTTACATACACAGACATGTCTCGACATCTGGACTGATCAATTGATGCATATAACGATATTCAAATGTTCAGAAAGTACCCCAGAAGTAGATAAGGAAGCCGATTCGACTCTGGCTCGATCCCAACCTTCGGCAAATTTTCTTTTGGAGATTCAAATGTTTAGCTTAAATATGTCGCATCTTGAATTCTCTGAATAAATGTTCTATATATTTGATGAATTTGATCGTTTCAAATGTTCAAATGTTTGAAAATGCTCGGTACTTAATGTTGATGAACGCTCGATTAATCATCGAAGAAAACCACGATGATGGAACTATATGAAATCCACTTTTTCTATCTATATTATTCACAGAAAATTGCACATCAAACGACAGGGAACGATAGTTCGCAATATCAAGACCCGTTGACTGCGCTTTGCACACTGGCCCGGGGGTTGTTCGACTTACCACTGCGCTCAATCTTGCGGAGAATCTTGGCTGGGTTTCCAGCCACAACATGACAAGCCGGAACATCCTAGATACAGTAAAGCAATGAAATCAGTGTCCGAAAATCAATGCAGAAGACATCTGAAAAACAAAAAGAGTATTGATTACCTTTGTGACCACGCTGCCCGCGCCGATGGTACATCCGTCACCAATTGTCACTCCCGGCAGGATAATGACATTTCCAGCAATCCAGCAATCTTCTCCGACAGTGATTGGACGGCCTAGCTCTGGTCCATTGGTACCGTCACGCAAATCAGGGTCTAATGGGTGTGTGCCGCTGAAGAAGCACACGTTAGGCCCGATAAGAGTGCGTGCTCCGATTGACACGAGGCATGTGTCGAGGATGGTACAGTTGAAGTTGATAAAAACGCCACTTCCGACTTTTATGTTGGTCCCGTAATCAATGTTAATGGGTCTTTCAATCCACGGGTATTCGTGTAAAATGGAGTCCTCCTCTTCATCTGTTGCTCCCGCAGGTGGTAGAGGTCGGGGGTCATTTGTTATACTTTACGTGTCCTTTTGTATTAGCAGATGCAGATTATGTATTTAGGGGTCGATTTCCAAGAATGGTATGCAGGAATGACCAGACATCATGTACATAACGTGGATGCATGGGTTGGAGAGTGCGACATACTCTTTCCAGTATGCGGCCAGTTCTCTTCGTGATAATTCCCCCGCACGGTTAAGTTGGCCGACAATACGTCCGCATCGTTTGCGCGCGGCAACTAATTCTGGAGAGAAAGCGTAATAGAGCTCTCCTCGCTCCATGCGGGCCAGATTCTCTTTTTCATCGATGTTGGATAGCATGGTTGGGTTCAAATGTTGGGAAGTTGTTAAAGGACCGTCAATCTTTCTGGATAGTGTTTGAGGAATATATGTTATCTCGACTCTGCTTATTGGCCCGTGCAGTGGTTTATACCCCGCAGGTTCATTGATTACAAGATTTCATCTTTACCTTGGAACCTCACATGAGTATGGCAGAAAAATGTCTACATTTCGGGGGATATTTTGCGTATGATAGATCACATTTATACTATGTACAAAAGTCCTGGGCAGGGGATGTTTAGAGCCAATCAACGCCCTGAATCAGTCTTTTCCAGCTTTGAAACAAGCACGATCACATCAACTCTAGAACTGCAACAATGTACAAGTAAGATGGTAGATTTCTGTTTGAAATCTAGTACAAGCTGATCTACAAGAGAGCTAGAACAATGTAGATCGATCAAATCCAACCATCTTAACCCCTGGCTTAAAGCCGGAACATCCGAAATCGGGGAAGGGGGGGTTGTTTCCAGGGTTCAGGAGATACTCCGCAGATTCATATCGTTGCGGCTGACCGCTTCTTCTTTTTTTCCTCCCCGATCACCTCCACCACCTTCATTTCAATCTTTAATAGGGGACGATCCTTTGAAAATCCAAAGAGCCGCAATCATGCTCTGGCGAACAAAATCCCACCACAGTCAGACCTCCGTGGCGTCTGCCTCCAACAATGACCCTGCCGCCTCCGCCACCGCCGCCGCGGGCACCGCATGGCTTGCGGGCCATCTGCACCATCTCACACCGGAGCAAGAAGAGAAGCTAGTCGAGTTCAAGACAGTTTGTACTGAGCGCGGATACTACACTCCCGCCGTTGCATCGGCAGAGGGTGTGGAAGAGAAGCCCGCGAGCCACGATGATGCGACCATCCTGTATGTGGCAATGATTCAAGACTCGAACGCCCCGTTAGGTCAATTGATACTTACCATTTCTCAATAGGCGCTTTTTGCGCGCTCGCAAGTTCGACGTCGAGGGAGCATGGGCTCAATTTAAGGATACAGAGGACTGGCGCAAGGAAAATGCTATCGAGTCGTTGTACCAGAACATTGGCGTGGACTCGTACGAGGCCGCACGCCGAATGGTTCGTACTAATCCGCACTTTCCCCTGTCTCCTATAATGCAGCAAGTGAAGTGCCAATTGACTAACCTATGGCTATCACCTTCATATAGTACCCGCAATGGACTGGCCGTCGTGACCGACGCGGTATCCCTATCTACGTCTTCGAGATTCAGCACCTCAACTCCAAGGCTATGGCCGCTTACAATTCTACCATGAGCACTGGTACCCCCGAGACCCACAACTCGTCTTCTGTGCCCGCACGCTTACTCAACTTGTTCGCTTTGTACGAGAATCTTCTGGGATTCGTGATGCCATTGTGCTCAGCACTGTCGCGGCCTAACCCGGAGACACCCATTGTGACCTCCACCAATATTGTCGACGTGAGCGGCGTTGGGTTGAAGCAATTCTGGAACTTGAAGAGCCACATGCAAGATGCTAGTGTGTTGGCGACGGCGCATTACCCCGAGACTTTGGATCGTATCTTTGTGAGTTTTGTTTCCACTGAGTTGTTGACGAGGCGTGTTTCTAACCGGTGAACAGATTGTCGGAGCACCTGGTTTCTTCCCTACTGTCTGGGGTTGGATCAAGCGCTGGTTCGATCCTGGAACCACTTCTAAAATCTTCATTCTGTCTGCTGCCGAGGTGCAGCCCACTCTGGCTTCCTTCATGGACCCTGCTAGTATCCCGAAGCAATACGGTGGCGAGTTGGAGTGGCAATGGGGCGACATGCCCAACTTGGATGAGCCCGCCAGCGAGTTGCTGAAGGGCGTTCAGGTTGAAGAGGGCAACAAGACTGGTCTTTTGAAGGGTCCGATTCTGTTCAAGGGCGATGAGATCGAGGTGTTGGGTACCGAGAATGGTCAGGAACGCCGAAACACCATCCCCGTTTCTAAGCAGCCCACCTCAGAAGCCACCAAGCCCACTGAGTCTGCGAGCAGTGACGCTGAACTTACCCCCGTCCCCACAGATAACGAGAAGGCAGCGGTGAACGTTGATCAGGTCACAACTGAGGAAACTCAAACCACCACTACTGCGGCATAGAACCATAGAATCGCAAACGTGATCGGAACATAATCCAAGACCGTAGGATGTCGATCATATTCATACCACTCAACCAAACCGAGGCTTTTTCTTTCGTCTCATGAGCACATAGGCATCGTGTCTAGGTGCCTTGGAGTTGTTTGATGAGTATATCAGATTTTGCATGTGGAGTTGCATCAAGAGGGCCTTTGCGTCCCAACATTTTTTATTATTATTATTATTTTCGGGGGGTTTTCTAGGCTTCGTCATTTGTGGGCTGTCAGCCGCTGAGCCTGTTTTATAATTCGCCTACTTTTTTCTTTCTTTCTTTCCGACGAAGACAACGATCGCAGACAATCCTCCAGGACTATTGTTGGGCTTGGTTTGGCTTTTTTGATCTATGCCTGACCTTTTTGGTATCTGTTTATATTCCCTTGGGTTGATACATATGCGTGGTAGATAGAGACCCCATGTTGCCTGGGATGTTTTGTATTAATTCTTCTTGGACAAGAAATCATTCAAATGTTCAATGTTATCCACTCAAGTATGCATAGGTCTGTAGTAGGCACAGATGTAGTACACGTGCATTTGAACTGCATGTGGGCATGGCCTACATCAACATGTATTATAGGACAGGGGCCCCAGTTTTGCCCCACCAATTGACCAGGTTCAACCACGCAACAATGAGTGATGCGTTCAAATAAGGATTCTGTAAAATTCTTCTTCTTTCTTTCAATTGGCTAATATTTGTCTAATAATGTTGCCAATTCTTGACTCAAGAGTTGAGTCCACCAATGATGCCATCACATACCTTAGTAAGCAAGGGTTGTTTTCCCTCGTGGTTCGGGACTTTTTCGTGTAACACCACGTGCAGATACTATGCATTCAGTTGCATATCGTGAAAGTGAATAGCAGATCTTATTTCATATGATAAAATCACTTCAAGTCTAGATCATCTGATAATCTTCTGTAAATCATGCTTTCATCATCGCAGAGCATGCATGAACATGATTGATGCAGGTCAGCGCCCAAAATGCCCAAAGCGGTTATAAACCTCCGTGCATGATCCATGGGGGTCCACAGGCAGCCATCTTAGGCCATATCCCCTGGGCGTCGGACCCAATAGAAAAATGTTGGGGAAGACGCCAGTCCAGGTTCAGGTGCGATCGACGTCAGTCCGAGGCTCGTTTTTGCGGAGGGTGGAGATTCACATGATGCCGAATTGATTTAGTGGTTCAGGGGATCGACAAGCCCCCGGTCCCCTTTCAGTCCTTTAAAAGGCCCACGCTACCCACGAATTCCGGGGAAGGTGGGAATCGTCTCCATTTCAAACACCAGCGACTGCGCATTCGATATTATACAACAGAACACACCTTGGAAAACGAAAACATGTCAGAACGGAATCCCAAGGACTCCATGAAGTCCACTTGGCGCCGGCAGGCCCGCTCAGAGTGGACGCTGTTCCATTGGTTCTACGAACTACTCGGCATCCACCCGGAGCATCTCGACCAGAACGTCCCAGTTCATCTCAAAGAAGACGCCGTCCCCTACACACCCAACTGGTCCACCCACCGCTGGGTCATCACCCACGCCGTCATCCCCCTTCTGTTTCAACACGCCTACGTCCAGTACACAGGTCGCAATCTCAGTACCATCGCCGCCTTTATTCTATACAGCATCAGCTTCAAGCTGATCGCCATCCACGAGCTCCACGTCCTCCGCCGACTGGGCCATATCCACGGCTTCCTAGACGGCGACAAACATGCCCGCGACGGCGTCCCAGACATCGGCGTCGCAAAGGTTGTCCGCTCCCTCATGTCAACCTCTACCATCCGACCCATGATGTCCGTCTTCCTCGCCTATCGCACAACCGAAGCCCCCTCGTCCATGAGCTTCGCCTGGCTGCCGCTGGAAATCGGCCTATACGGCATCATCCTCGATTTCTGGTTTTACTGGTACCACCGCGTCATGCACGATTTCGAGCCGCTGTGGAAATATCACCGTACCCACCATCTGACCAAGCATCCTAACCCGCTTCTGACACTCTATGCGGATCTGGAGCAGGAGTTCTTTGATATTGCTGGTATCCCGTTGATGACTTACTTCACGATGAAGGCTATTGGTTTGCCCATGGGCTTCTATGAGTGGTGGGTTTGTCACCAGTATGTTGTGTTTGCGGAGCTGGCGGGGCATAGTGGGTTGAGGGTTCACTCGAGCCCGCCTTCGACGCTGAATTGGTTGCTTCGATACTTTGATGCGGAGCTGGTCATTGAGGATCATGATTTGCATCATCGGAAGGGCTGGAAGAAGAGTTATAACTATGGGAAGCAGACGAGGCTTTGGGACAAGATTTTCGGCACTTGCTGCGATCGGATCGAGTCTGTTGAACATAATGTTGATTTTGTGAATCAGGCACCTATGCCGTTATATTGATGGGTTGGGGTTGTGCTTTGATGTCTTATGTGTGATGACGATTTTGTCCATTCTTTGCCTCCGACACAAAAGTCCGGCGGAGTGGGTGGCTGTTCTGATGTTGGCCCACGGTTACAGTCTGTTTTCTTCCTTGTATTTACAGCTAGTTTATATTTTTGATACCATGCACGCTAGATGTTACGTCTAAGTCAATGATTGAATGACATCAGGAAATTTGATACATATTGAATTTTTCATATTGGCGGTAGATTCCAGATCCTACCGAGGTTCCAAAGTTGGACGCATCCATCATTCAAGGTCGAACCCATTGATACCAGGTAGATCAAGAGTCCAAGATGCCTGTAAATGATCCCCGAGCCCGTCAAGATCATTAAAATATACCTAAGTGCATTCTCTCCCATCCTTTAAGAAAATGAGTCTCCAGTTCCCTCTAATTTCACGCAAGTGACAGGCTGAGATCATCCGTTTGCGATATACATTCCCAAGTCCAAGATCTTTTCGTCCCTCCATCATAATCCATCCATGCCTTCCGAATCTTCGATCCACAGATCCGAATATACCCCAAACACCTCACCCTCTCAAGTCTTCTCAGCTGCTCCTCAAGAGCCTCTCTATCCTGCCGATGAATACATGCCAACCCAATAACGAAAAATGGCAAAAGAGAAACCGTCTGCAACGCAGATCCATCAAGTAAAGAAAGACTGGAAAGTCCCCTCGCGACCATAGTTTGCACCTTGTCCTTTGCGACATCGCCGGGGTGGATGATACACAATATCCAAATGGATATCGCAGAGATATATGTCTCGTACATATGATGGAGGTCGAGATCAGATTCAGGAACCATCCAATCACTGACATCCTGCCAAATATTAACTGCTCGCGTTATGATCTCATGGCTAGGAACCATATTTCCCGACGTATCCATTTGAAGCGTGTACACGCGCGAAATGATCTCAATCAGTCCATGATGCATGCCTAGCATATGTTCTTCGTCATAGTACCCGTTCTCTAGGGCGGATAATGAGCCCATAACGCCGCGATATTTTTGTTGTTGCTGTTGATCCCGATCGGATTTTGTGCCGTTGGTCACATCGCCCATGATATCGTGGTATGAGAAGAATTGCATGAGAAATTTATCGATTCCTAGACACTCGAAGTCTTCACAGGACGGTGGGATTTTATGCTCATTTTTTGATTGTGACCGGGAACCCGGTATGGATTCGTGCATGATCGTATTGTGGTGGTGTTGTCTTTGAAGCACGTCATACACAAACGACCTCGCACCATCTAACCGAGTCTTCCATGAGTGGTCGCCGGATCCTTCTGAGACCTCGTATAGGTAGAGTAAAAGGTAAACAGTAAGCAACGATTCTGCTTCGTATTCTGCATTTTCATCTGGGGGTTTGTTGGGTGATTGAAGGAGGGCGACGACTCTCTTTGAGAGTTCCTCTTGCGCTCTTCCTAGGAGGGTTTGTTTGATTCCGGTTAGGCCCTGGATCTGGGACGATACCGAGGCCGAGGCCGATCCCGATCCTGGGCTCAATCGAATTTGATTGATCAGATGTGATGCGCCTAAGCAAAGGATAGCGTCCAGGACCATCGTATCATAATGCGCCTTGGAGACCACGCCGGACATGATTGGGTCATGGTCTCCCTCGAATGGCAGGGTCAAGACATGACACGTGATATTGACGAAATGGCACCAAAGATGTTTTTCGGCAGGGGAGTGAATGCATCTCTTAGGCAGGTCCGACATTTCCATTTCCATTTCCAGTTCTGTTTCCGAGTCCGATTCTGGCTCTGCTTCCATAACCATTTCACAAGGTCCCGACTGGCTTAGGTGGGATGACGGGTTTTAATTTCCAAATGAGTTAAATTGTATTTCTTGGCGGTATATTAGATCATTCCTCTGTCGGGCCTGGTACTTTCTGATGTGATGATAACCTAGGATCCTAGACGAAGGGGGAGGGGGGGGGGGGGGGTCAGGAGACACGACTTTTTCGTTTTTTCCGTGAGATTGCGGGCGGCATTCGGGATTCCGGGGGGAAATTTGAAAAGAGAAAAGGGAAAAGAAAATCGGTGAGACAAGATATCCGAGCGTAGATAACATTTATAGTCTGTGTCAGAGGACGCGATTAGCCAGTTTTCCTTTGGCGCGGCAACCGCGTCTCTCGGAGGATCTTGTACAGGGAGTATATCGAGGTAGTAGATTGAAGGTGAGGGAGGTTACTACTACGAGGTTCGGGTAGAGTTTCCCCACTGTAGCTTGATTGACGCCCTCCCCGTTATCTCCAAGGTTCCCAAAGTTGCTCTACCCCCTTAAGGCCTCAAGGGATAGACAGAATTCAACAAGAATCCGTGGTCCTTGACTCTTGAGTAATGCGCATGTGCTTCACGATCGTTATCTTTGCTCGGGCTGACGTGCTTTCATGATAACGAGATTTAAACGAGGACTGGATAATCCCTGCATATTTCCCAAAATACGGTGTCGATTAAATGAGGAGTATCACATTTGCCAGCTATCGTGCCACGTCCCAGATTGTGGCTTTCTTAGAGGCTCTGGTAGTTTGATTAAGTCCACGGGTGTAAGATGGATCCCAAATCCGGTCCTCGAGCCTCTTTACTTGAAGAACTATCCACAGATTTTAAGGACAAACGTTTATAACCTTGGAAGTTAAGGTACAAGTTAACTTCAGTTAAGGAACTTTTTGGGACTTTTTACCCCAAGGCATTGACCGCATTGGGAAGAGAACTCCACTTTGATTGGGCGATGGGTCTGATTTGGGTTCGTATCCGCAACTCTCTATTGGCCAGTTCCATGGTTTACCACGGTCCACAACTTTGGTCCTTGGAACAAGGTCCACACCGCGCATACACTAAACAGTGAACACACGCAGCCCAATACGTTAAATGTTGTTTTTGATCATGAAGCAACAATAAACCCGGAGGGAGGGCACAATATTCTCAGTCCTTAGTACGTAGGGAAATAGTGGACTTGATCACTGGAAAGGTCGCGAAATCAAGCCATCTGTACAACTTTTATTGAATTCTTAGTCGAATTCTAGAATCTAGATTCTACCTCGCTCCAACCACCGCGGTCGGATGTTCACATAGCCACCTCCACATGCAGCCTCGACACACCTGGCAAGACTTCCAAAGTAAAAGCTCTTTCCAGTGAGCCCGGGGCCATAATGGGCGTACTTCCCAGAGTTCGTCATAATCGCATTTTGTGACCCAGGAATGGTTGGATCGGTGATCATGCACCAGCAGGTATCTGTGATAAACTGAACACCAAATGCCTCGAGTTCATCAACCAACCCAGCTGTGCAAGCTGAGGCATAAGTCGTTCGGCCACATGTTACCATGACTGCGACATTCTTGTCCTTGATATGGTTTCGGCAGAGGCTGGCCAATTTTTCAATTTCTGCGAAAGAAAAATGCGGATTACCAAGGGACACCAGGTCAACGATTTGATCCGAGGCACCGTTGAGAGACTCCCAGCATTTGATCATATCATCCAGGTGGATTTCCACAGAGCGCACAACAAGGCCCTTGCTTAGTGTAGCATCAAGAGTGGGTGCTTCGGGCGTCACACCGACTATATGAAACATTGGAGCACTGGATATTGTGGCAAAGGCGGCTCCAAAGGCTTTCAAATCATCCAGTGTCGGTTCAAATGATTCAAGTCCCACCACAACCGGGATTTGACTTGTGGAAAATTTCCCCACCTGACACCCGAGAAGAGGATAGAAGGAGTCGTCGATGTCTGTTTTTTGAATATTCGGAGCCTTCACGACAACCGAGGCTAGTCTGTTAATATCAACATGAGGTCCACCCTTGGGCGCCCGACCAGTCAATGCAATCGAAATATCTAGGAAGTCGGGATACTTCATAGTCCTGGCTCCCAGTACGCTATTCGCATAAACAACCGCATTTGATTCGGCCCAAGCCACTTGTTCTCCAAGTTTAGGCGCTGTCTCGAGTTGGTATGGTGCACAGGTAAAGGTTGGCCTCGCCCCCATATCAGTGTAGGCGTCTGCCAACTTCCCGGCTGCGGTACTGAATTCTTCGCTGACACCTTGGACACGGCGAAGATTCTTATCAACGGAAATTGAATTGAGCGAGGTAGGAACACGCACTTTGCCTCCGCGATCCCGTAAATTCTCTGCAAAGGCAAGTGAACCTGGTCCCGTGTAGATGCACCCATCTACATGGACCTGTGTAACATCCATTAATTCCGTTGCCCCAAGAACAATTGCTAGCCGCACGACTATTCGCATTGCTGCACGGGCGGCGTCGCCATGAGCACCATCGAGAAGGGCTTTGTCAAAATCTGTGAGATCGATTTCGTTCGCCAGAATATTCGTTATTTGAGTACTTGGTGGAAACTTGCTTTTCGAAGGAAACATATGTCTCGTTGAAACTTGATCATTTTCAATGTGAATATGTCGTCCATTGTGTCTGAGCAGCTCTCGGAAATCTTTTGGATCGAGCGTCACAACAGGAATGGATTTTCCAAAGATCTCCTCCGCGACAATCACCCCCAGGGTTAGAATATCTTCCCTCCGCTCAAACACCAGTGCCGAGGGTGCCTTGCCGGAGAGAAGAATCTCGAGCATTACAGTGCTCCCAGTACATGAGCCACGGCCACCCGGAATGGCAAGTACAGAGCCATGAAGATGATGCCCGCTCAATGGGTGATGTCGATCAATAATTTCGCTGGTATGAGGACTTACACCGCCCCAGAAGCTTAGCTCCACGTCACTTGCAATAAGTTGACCTGAAGCCTCGCCCTGTACGTATGAGGTGCCGTAAAAGACGAGCTCTTGGCCCAGGGCGTGGATAGTCATTTTTGCTACTCTCCAAGGGGCCCTGAAAGCCCACTGTTAAGAATGAGCTCAACTAGATAGGATTATCAGTAAACCAAAGCTCCAAGGCGAAGGATTACTTGGATTCGTGATATTCAAAGGCCGACGAAGTGAGCCTCGGGTTGATCATCCGATGATGGTTTGATGAAGCTGGACCAATTAGCCACGAGGTTGTATCGGACTGCCCACCCGATGTCTCCTATCAGTCCCGATGATCTCGGGCTCTCGGGATTGGTGACAATAAGCGCGAAGTTGATTAGTGCATGGGGAGTGGAGTGGGCAAGAACGTTGGAATTGCGGGGTTTTCGGGGTAAGGAAGAGTGGAGTAGTGGAGTACAAACCGTTACCTTTGACCCTATTTTCAACAAGCCATAACAACTAGTACACGTACCATTCTTATCCCCAGATTGAGCCAAAATGGGCCCAGATGTCGGCTATTTCTAACTACCTAAAATTCCGCGTTGCCCTTATCGGAAGCTGTCAGACCTCCAATTCGTCGGGACCCCCGCGACGGCCCGTGCCTTGCAGATGGCTAACATGTACCTCCAGTCACCACTCACGTACGGCCCACGCCCAGAGCGCAGAGTCCAAGGCAACAATCATTCTTTATCATGGAGGCCTGTGCGTTGCATTATCGCTTTTAAAACTTGGAAGACTGACCAATTGCCTGCTGCTCAGCCTACTATACATGACTCTATGACTCTATGACTCTACGGACTCGACAGCGGGGAAAAATCGGTAATACATCGTCGTTCATGAAACCTTCCAAGGTTTTATATAGGGGTTTAATGATTAATCTAAACACGAGTCACATGATGCGCTAAGCTTTATCGGGATGCGTTGATGCCTTTGTATGCCTTAATTTGCCTTGGACTGCGGGCAGCAACAGCTCTAGACCGCTTTATATCACCGCTTTCGAAGGCCTCTGGACTCTCACCACAGAGGGCTGTGTTAGCACTTGACTCTTGAGCATGAGACTCGTCACTCGACAGTGACCCGTGTAACGTGTTTAGATTAAAGCACCCATTTGTATAAATACCATTTTATTTCATACAAACATATAGATGTGAGAATATGCCCATAGTGGCCAATACCTAAATAGTATACTTTGTAAGACTGAGATAGCCTTCAAAGGGACCTCGGGATGATTGATTGCTTCTTTAAGCCACTCGCTTCGTGGTGGTTTCGTCAATATCAGTAGTGGCATCCGCAGCACGTTTCAGACTTTCCTTCTTGACCACTTTCTTCTCATTGTCCACATCCATCTCATTACCTGCATCCACCTCATTGATCATATCCACTTCATTGATCACGGACATCTCACCGAGCGCGTCCTTGTCATTGGATGTATCCACCTTTTTGACCACGGGCATTTCATTGGCTGCGTCCTTCTCATTGACGGCGTCCCTCTTATTGACGGCGTCCTTCTCATTGAACGCATCCTTCTCACTGGCTCCATTGTTCTTGTTGGCTGAATTGATCACTCTCCCTCCCTCATGATCTTTCGCCTTTAAAGTCTCCTTCAGATTGAGAGCAGCTCGAGTCCTATTATTGATTCCCTCCCCAAGACGGCGTGAGCGATGACGTCGGCCTTTGTCAACAACGTCAAGATCCATCTCATTCCACATCATACTTCGATCGGCACATCCATGTTCTTGGCCCATGAGATCACGGAAGAAACGATCACAGAGATCTTGAAGATCTCCATCTCGCTCCCCCTTCGAGTCTAAGGAGATACCATCCCGTTCTCTCTTCTCCTGGAGCTTCTGCAGGATCGGCTCAAAGGCTTCTCGATTCTGCGCAGCGATTTGTCCTCGGATCTTCGAGAGGTTGTTCCAATCCATCCATCGCTGGATGGTGGAATCTTGGAAGAGATACCAGATTTTCTGCGGCTCTTGCTGGCCAAGGCGATGCATTCTTCCAATTGCATGGAAGATCCGATTATGGTTTATAGCGGATTCCATCAGGACAAGACGACTGCAACTGTTCTGCAAGTTGAGGCCAAAGGCCCCAAGAGAGTAAGTTGTGACGAAAACAGAGCAATTGTTGTTTCTGTCGTTGAATCGGACGATGGCCTCAGATCGTTCTGCTGCACTCATTGGGGCTGTGATAGATACACATTCCAATGAGAGTGCGTGGAGCAGCATTTGAACTAGCCAGACGGTCATTGGCCAGTTACAGAATACCACAAACCGAGGCTTAGCTGACGATGGTGTCAGGCCTTCTGAGCGGAAAATCTTGAGTAGATATCTCAAGCGAGGGGACCCGGAAAGAAGATATTTGGCTTGGTCAAAACGGATACGCGGAGGGGCATTACAGGTTCCATCTGCCGTCAGCTGCCAGAAAAGTTCAAAACAGAGGTTGCCCTCTTTAGCAATTTCTGGGATATGCGGAGTGTACTGGTTTGCGATGCTCTCGACATTCAGAAAAGCGTCAAGCTTGGAATGAAACGCCAAGGCACATAACCTCCGCAGCTTGCCGCTATTCACTCGGCCATTTCCACGTTGCTGAGCATCAGCTAGAGCACTCGATACGGGTCGCTGCTTACCGCCACTGGATCCATTAGATTGAGCGTTTGCCCAAGGGAGATCTTCTTGCGAGGAAGTAAACCCTTTGATGACCTTTGTGTATACCAGATCATGCGCCTTCTGTTCTTCATCTGGGTAGCAGAGCTCGACAGTCATCACACGAGCTGGCGGAATCTTTCCACCGATCCGGAGTTTCTCCCCTTGGACGTCAATTACATCGCCCATTTGCCTCTGAAGAACACAAAGACGAAAGATAATCGGAATAATCTTACAGGCTTGTGCGGGTGTCAGTCTTCGAGCTTGTAGTTCGACCAAGAGCCTTGGGTTGAGCAAGCCCCACGGAAGTTGAGACGGAAGCTTGGCAATTCTTGACCAATTGCCATACACTTCAAGCAAATAGTCCACCCCGCCATTGGACTTGGTCTTCATGCCAGGCATGAGAGGAAGTTCGGCTTCATTCTGCTCGCCATCGGCAGAGGAGTGCTTCTGCAAGAGGCTTAGTGGACCGTTCAGATCGGTCAAGCTATTCGTCATTGGGGTTGCGGTCAAAAACCAGATTGAAGTATGCTCCACCAGAGAAATACTCTGATGTTGCTTGCTGAGAATACTCTTCACTTTGTGGGCTTCATCGCAAATGATTCTGCCAAATTTCACATCCTTTAGCCTAGTCACATACTCAACAGGAGTCGCATTGTCGTTTTGGAAGAAACCGAGCCCTTGAATTGCACCAGAAGTGCTTCTAGACCCTTGGATGCCGAGAGCATATCTCACTGACTTTGTAGGCCCTTGGTCTGAGAAAGGGGTAGAATCCCCACTGGATTCTAGGGATTCCTCAACAGTATCAAAGTCGAGCCAATCCTCATCGTTTGCATTTTTCGATGTGGGAGGAATCTGAGCATCAGGAGTTTCGTCATCATTTTCGTCATCACTTTCCAGATCAATTGGATCCAACTCCTTTCCACCGCCACGATATGTGGTTCGGGAAGCGAAAGTGTCATAAGTACTGATGATCACAACTTTTGCGGTCTCCTTTTTAGTGGGGCTCAAGGAGTGTAAGAGCTCGATTAGCTCGGCGTTGTTTTTGATAATGTTCTTTTCCCGATCACTTTTAGGGTTCTTGGGGGGACCCCCGTAGAACACCTTGATTGTGAAAACATCGCCAAATTGCTCTTTTCCCTCTGTGTACCACATATCCACAAGACTCTTTGGACAGAGTATGAGTTGTGGGTAGTACTTTCCATCCTGTGGTTCATTCGCTAGTGAGCGTTCCATTAGAGAAAACGTTGTTCGGGTCTTCCCAAGGCCACATCCATCAGCAAGAATTCCGCCGTGAAGGGGTGTGTGATCCTCCATGTCCATCATCCATGCAACAGCAGTAGCTTGCCAGGGCTCCAGAGAAACTCGCTTGTTACTTCCTTTTGGTTGGAAGTACACGTTATCCTGCGTGACGGTAAGATGCGCTCTGTCACACGCATCTCGGAATTCTCTAGTTGCCGCCGACATGTTATTGCCCCGCTTTCTAACCATCGAGTTGGCCGCGTCGCCGCGAGTGTCGAGATTATCCACAGCGTCATTCTCATCATCTTCGTCGTGGGCTGTAGCGATCGCCTCGCCAATAGATGCTGTCTGAGCCACGTTGGTATTAAGACTAATGGAGCGCGTTTTCGTCTCAGCGGGCTCGAAGAGAATACAGTCCTTGGAAAAGTCTCTGTCCTGATTGACAGTGTAATCGTGCAAGATTTGAAAGACATCATCCGACATAGGATTCTGTGAATTCTTTCCAGACCGAGATCGCATCACGGCAAGCTGGATCGCGCCGATCAACTCTCCTACGGCCTTTTCATTAGCTGGAGGGACATCAGGTCCTAGGGCTTGCAGATGAGCAAAGTCTCCAGCTGGAGCGAATGCTTCCATCCCAAGCAAACTTCTTCGAAGCGCCTCCGAGTCCCAAGAAGCCGATGGTGGGGCGGGTAAGATAGACCCGTTAGCCGAAGACGCAGTTGAAGTGCGTAAGCCACTGTTGCTGCTGCTGTCTGCATACTTGGGCAAGATCTTCAGGTAATTCCGCTTCTTTGTCAGCTCCTCGTCAATATCTTTTCCTTTGAAGGTTCGGTAACAGTTGGCGAGAAATTTGCACATGTGCAAGACATCATATGGATCCAGAACCATCGGTGTCTGATCCACCTTCGATTTCTCACAGAGACGTGGTAAAGCCTTCATACATCGTACAGCATACCAGAGGGTGCTGATGGGAACCAGATCTCCAATGGTAACTCCATGGACACAAATTCTTGGAGGATTGATATCGTCCTCAAGGACTTCTTTGAGGAGTTTGTCGTTCTGCAGAATCTTTTGCGCCCAATTGCCCTTCAGCAGGTGGGTTTTAGTCGGATGTCCGAATGCTGTCTCGCGATTCTTGATGTATTTTTCGACATGCTGTCTCGCTGGACTTTCCTTGGCCAGAGTGAGACTGTCAAAGGTGACTGTGTCGGGTATATGGAGGCTGTTGACTTTGGCAAAGCTACCCACCAGGGCTGGCCAGTTTGCACCCAGCGAACTCGCCCAATCTTTAGTGTAAAACACACCAGAGATTTGACAAGACTCGGAATTCTTTGTAATCGGCATTTTCTGTATGTTTTTGTTAACAATCAGTGAAGAAAACAAATTCCAAGCGGATATATGAATTACGAATTCAATTCGCTGGAAAAGATATGTCGAAAAGTCTGGAGAGCAAGGAGATTGGGAGTTTGAATTCAAAAACGGAGGTTTGAAGTTGTAAAAGTGAAAATGCAAAATAATCAGTGAGTCACCTACCGAGAGAAAAAGACTCAGTCAAGCAATCGAAGGTGTAAAGACTTGTGAAGGAGGAATTCTTGAACTTCGGGAAGGAAGAAGACCGAAGAAGAGGATTGAAGGAGATTGTTGTTGAACAAACTCAAGTAGAAAGGAAGCTTGAAAAGCAGTTGAGAAAGAAGAAAGTAAGCTTGGAAGATGGTTGAAGAATCAGAAAATATTTGAAGCTTGGTGCTTGAGATTGTTTGTTGGATCAGACCATGAGTCTGGAAGAATCCACTACCTCAAGATGGTTGCAAGGTCAGTTGAGAGTTGAGCAAGCTCTTCCAATCGACGTGGTAAGGTTGACTAGAGGAGAACCACGACGAGGTGTGCTCAACTTAGGTAGCGATAGTAACTTGGGAATAGTGATTCGCGGCTGACTTCCAAGCTTGTCAGACGATAGAGAGTATGAAGATAGATCGATATGGAGAGAGGTATATGGAGCTTCAAGGTTGGGTGCAGTACTGAAGTACCGAGAGAGAAAAGAAGATTGGAAGGAGTTGGTTATTGGTAAGTTGTAAAAAGAATCCTCGGAATGAGTTCCCTGAGCACTGGCATATGCTTACTAGTTGGCTTCCTTTGAAGGTTATTGGAATGAGGTTGTTGAAGAGGGACCTCGGAAAGAATAGAGATTTGAAGTAGCGATGTTGGTAATGGTAGAAGAGGAGAGGAAGCCCCGAGGTCTGGATGCTGAAGGGAGACAAGACAAGCCAGAGTTCAGCGTCCACGAGTTCAGAGTGAAGGTTATTTATCATATCCATACATCAAATTTCTCGGTCTCTTCCTCGAAAGTCAACCAAGGCAAGGTAGTTAAAAAACTCACATCTCCGTGGATTTTACAATTGCTCCCAACAATGATGGCTATTTTACCCTCCTGTGCTGTGGACGCTGTTGACACGGACATAGCCCACCGATTCCAGTATCATATGGCAAAAGCCAAACTCAAAGTATTTCCGATCACTCGCCGAAAGAAAAATGAAATAGGACTTGCCAGTTTGACCAAAAAATGAGGCGTTCGGGGTGGCGAGTGAAGATGAAGTGAAGCAACATTTGAAAGGACCATGAACATTTGAATTCTTCAGCCTCATTTCGGAGACCAAGCCACGGGTAGCACGTCGATTGCACATAATCTTGAGTCAATGGATACATCTGCGAGAAGATTGGGAGGATAGATAGAAACAATGCGTAAAAAGAAATGATATATACTAAATTTAAAGTTAGAACAAGATGATTGCGAAAAGTAAAGATTACATTCTCAAAGAGGCGCCGTTTCAGATATATGCATGCATCTATGGAAGTGAGAGAATCCCCAATTACTCAACTAAACCGCTTTCCACAATTGGTTGACTTGCTTCTTTCGGACCTGTGTATTGCATAATTAGCAGATGCGTTAAATGATTTTGGAGAACGGGAATTTATAAAACTCACCATCGGGGCCAAGAAGGCAACACCAATCGATAATGCAACCACCGTCAGAACGAGTTGCATCTTAGAAAAGCTCTTGCCAAGAACATCGAAAGCTTGGCTGGGGGTAACCCGTGTTCCGTAAATATCGCCACCAAAAGCGAAGATGAGACTTGTACTCTCCAGCAGGGTAGGCTGGGACAAGACAGTCTTGATGCCCGAAACATCACGAGCGTGGGTGAGGAACCATCTGCCATCAAACTCAAGGAGTGGGGAGTAACGGAAAAGACCTTCTTCCGCCTCGGAAGAGGTGGGGTCTCGATCAACAGGACGGCGAGGGTCCAAAACGGGACGAGGAATGCCGACGATAGCACTCGACTCTGGAAGAGTGCAGAGAAGCTGGCGAGTGGTAATACCTTGACGAGTCTGAGTGACGGCCATGTGAGAGATAGGTTCAGGAATCACAAATGCCTGGGAAACGACATGTGGCAATGGGGGGTTACCATCACCCTGGAGACTGGAGAAGTTTCCAGCGGAATTCAAAGGACCTCGATCATTGGCAATGGATGACTCGTAAAGCTCGGAGACCACGAGCTGGTACCCCTTGGCGGAGGACTCGTCGACAATATTGCCAAAGAAAGAGTAGGCAAACCAGTTCTCAGTAATGACCGATGCGATAGGTTGCGTTGGGTCAACACCATACTGGGTGGTAGCATAAAGTACCTTGCCGGATACACCGTCCAGAAGATAAAATCCGGCAGTGTTGTTCTTCTCGTTGACGGCAGTGACCAGAGCCAGATTAGGGCTCAGGTACTTGTACAGAACAGACCGGTCACCGAGAACCTTTCCAATCGACGCAATTGGATCGTGGACAGCACGAGATGTTGCATGAACGACCTTCTGGCCAGAGGGAGGCACGAATTCCCATACTGGAGACTTGTTGTCCTGTGCGTACCAACCAAGAACACGGCCGTCGGCACTGGCAGTCACCAAGAATCCGGTGTTATCGTCAAAGGCAGTAATTGGGGAACCATCTTCTTGGATGCCAAGGACTGGATTGTTGCCAAGAGATACAATGGATTGCAGCTTGACGTTTGTAGGCACAGAGCGAGAGATGACTTCGCCGGTAGAGACATTGACAGTGGCAGAGCTTCCGTCACTGGCATAGACCGTGGCCTCTCCAGGTCGGGTGGAAATAGACTTGACATTCCATTCCGAGGTTTCCTCGACCTGGACACTCCACTCCACGGCGCCTTGCTTGCCGGTGTTTAATGAATATAAGCGACCACTCTTAGTGGCAACGATAACCGGCTTGGAAACACCAAAGTTATCAAGATTGGTGACCTCATCCGTCAAAACACTGCTAATGATACGCTGAGGGAGTTCCTTAAGCCAGTCTGGAAGATGCTGAAGATCACGAATGTGGCGCTTTACACGATGGATGTATGCGCCAACCAAGGTCTCGTGTCCTTCGACTTCCAGCTCATGGGCCAGGTTCTCCTGGACTTCGTGTTCCACCCAGGTGGCAGCCACGGCATCAATCAGAGCTTCATGTCGAGTCCATTCGGTCTGACCGTTGCGGACCAGCTCCCATGCTCCAGCTTCCCGCAAAACAACTGCACGGCCAGCCACAGACTTTCCTTTGGCAATGACTTCTGCCACCGCATGCAGTGCACGTTCATTAGAAGCAGTCTCCACATCCCAGCGTCCCAAAATTCCGTGGGATGAGGAGGAAACAATGACAGCTTCTGAGTCAGTGACACGGGTAAAGTAAACATTAGCGTCAATGTTGCTAGTGGCCACAACGGACTGTCCCTGCAGGAAAGGCAGTTGGTAAGCCTTGTTCATAGCAGAAGACTTCAAGTCCACATGGTAGACCTCCGCCCATGCACCGGTTTCGGTCACATAGTGAACCATGAAGTGTGGGAGCGAATTCAGTTTGTGGGGAGCGTGAACGGTGATCTGACGGATCTCCTGACCGGATGTGTTTTCGATATTGATGGTTTGGATTTGCTTTGTACCAATGACATTGACCTTTAGACTCTTGTGCGTCTTATCCGCCCAGATGATCAAAGGCGAGGCAACATTGGCGCCTACATGAAGAACGGATTCCGGAGTTGGGATTTCATTCTCCGAGTTCAAGATATATTGCCGAGTTTGGCGACCATTTACAGGATCCAGTGCAGTGACCTTGATCTTGTAGCCTTTCAGCAAAGCCGACTGGAGCGAAACGTAGAAGACCTCGGTGGGGGAAGATGACACATGGAGAGCAACGTCACCACTAAACCCATCAATTAATTAGCAAAATCCTAAGGGAATGGGGATAAGACTAACCTGGCATCCTTCGATTCCCACTTCGTCTTTCCGGTATTGCCATCCAACCGTCTCACGACGCTGACACTGTCGCTACCAACTAATGCCAGAGTATCTCTGGCACCGGATGTCGCGCTGGCCTCCTCCAGCTCCAATAGCTCAACGTCGGCAACAACCCCCTCGGGGAATTTGTTTTCCCAAATTAACTTGCCGTCCTGGGCAGTCCAAGATGAGATATAGTTTCCGGCTGCGCCGACAACAGCATTATGGCCATCTGAGCCGCGTAGAATACCGCCCGCGTTGGTGGAAGACCCTAACCGTGAGAGGTCCTTGCGCCATAGTAACGCGCCATCACGGGGATTGACGGCACCTAGAATGGATTTGTCGGAAATTGTGTAGAGGAGGGATGCATTCGAAGCAGAGGAAGGCTTGAGGAAGAAGGTCGAGTCGGGGGAGGGGGCACCGAGGAGAGCATGGTGGAAGTCAATGTGATTCACCTCATCAGGATAGATAGCCGCTGCGGGCGACACGCACGCAGCAATCAAAAGGGCCGCTTGGAGCCACATGTTTCTATCGCGCGAGCATTGATGAATCCGACTTGGGGGTGAGGTGGTGTTTGTCCAGCGAGCTTCGGGTGGAGCGCGGGCGGTGAATGCCGGTGATCCCTCCCCGGACCCAATCAAGGTGGAGACCAGTCGACACTGGACAGTATCGTTGGACGGCTTCCAGAACCCCACGAAATCGCGATTATACCACGATTAGTCCACCACTACGCACTATTTTTCTTTAGTATTCTTCATGCTAAACGGAATGAGCTCAAGGGAAAGGCCATTAGAATATTAGCTAGCCAAAATGGCTTATGGAATGGTGGTGAAGCAATTTGTTCAAGATGAGAATCTGATGGAAAACACTGCACATTGCCTCCTATTTGTCTCAGATACGTAGCTCAAAACTAAGCCAATGGCTCTATTTTACCACGAATATTGGCTGTTTTGACTCGGAACAATTAATCTCAGCTGAGATCATCATAGCGCTGAAGCTACAAGAGTTCTAGCGATTTTCAATCGCCGGTGGTGAGGTGAAGCGACAATGTGTTTTTAAAAGACAATGGTCAGAATATCATGGAAAGCCCTACAGGCCCCTACTGGCCGGACTGGGTCATAATATAATTAATATCAATTGTTATCGCCATCGGCAAATGCATCAGCTTCAATCTCGACGAGCATATTATCGTCAACAAAGCCACCAGGTACAACAATCATCGTTGCAGCAGCCCCAATCTGTCCTCCATGGCCTTTCCCTAAAATCTCTTGAAATACTTCTCCAACAGCACCACAATCCTCTTGCTTGTTCACAAACATCCGGCATCTCACAATGCTCTCAGCACCTCGCCCTCCAACAGCCTGAATGGCTTCGATGATTTCATTCAACACAACACGCGTTTGTTCCCTAGCATCCCCAGGAAAGCGGACCAGTGGTGGTGATGCTGTCGATGCTGGGTCTACGGAGGTCGTTCCAGAAACCCAGATCATATCTCCACGTCGTACCGCACGGTAGTAGCCGATGCGAGCTTCCCAAACAGAATTGGTGCTGTAGAATTGCTTTTGTAGGGAAGCGGAGGTCATGTTTGTAGTTTTTATTGATCTCGAATGAAGGGTGGGATGATACTAGTAGTGACACTGGTAAGATTAGTTTGAGCTTACCTGTGAAGTTTCTGTGCATATGCTGGGTTTTGACTAACCTTGGACTCTACATATATGTAAATCTTGGTTCGCAAGTTGTCCATTCAAAGATTCACAAACGTATCTTGGCTTCCAAATGTTCACGATAAGTTTCAACTCGGGTGGCTGTGACTCACCCAGTCCACGCCACCGGACGCCACCAACCTTTTTTACACTTCTGCTTTAATTCGATAGCTGAAGAAGCCAGTTGACTTATAACTTCATTTAACAGAATGGTTGCCTGGATTGAAGCATGTTCGGGGGTTAAATTAGAAATTTTCGCGAACACGATCAAGCACTTGAGCACAACAAACAAGAAAGACGCTTTTCGAATAGATCCTGATCTAACGTATATATTCCGAGCGAGTTCTGTGCTTCATCTTTTCAAATGTTCACCCATTCAAATGTTGATCCATATGTACTTCCAATATTGCTCTGCCCATGTGTGTATCAAGGTTTTATTATCCCGACTCGAAGTTGATTGATGGGAGTTAAGAGTGGAGAGGAACATTTGAATAGATACCTCAAGCTAGCACTTGAGTACTAGCCAAGCAACAAATCCACATATTTCATGTCAACAACCTAGACATCCCCGAGGTCTTCGACTACCAGATGTTTTCCGGCCGGCATTCCCTTTTTGTGGGGATTATGGTACGTTGTGCATTGATACTCCCATCCCCACCGGCTAAGGAAAAGAATGAAAGTGTGGGGAAGTTCATATTCCGGGGAAGACATGGCGCATGTACCAAGCCGAATCGGGTCAATAAGGCCGGGTTTCCAAATACGGATCCCACTTTATGTCCCTCGCATCAATTGATACTTTCCCACTACCGAGAGAAGGAATTCTTAAAGAAGAACGCGGGGTCCCGTATCTGGAAAGACTGGTAATTTGAAAGATTGAGGTCTTGGCCCCGGAATGGATCCGGCTATATCATCATCCATTAGCGCTTATGACTTTCTCATCATTTGAAATGTTTGACTGGTTTCCAAGGTTAATTTGTGACATGCATGTAATTTCAAGTATAAGGTTGAATCTATGGATAGCCTGGGGTATACTACAAAAGAGATAGCAAACGATCCATGCATACTAGTAGTATGTATGGATTGGCGAACTTGAACATTGAAAAGACTTTCCATATAAGAATTTGGAAGATGAGAACATGTCTATGCAATTTTCATATTCCATGCACATCCCAGGTTTGCTCACCGCTGTTCATGACTCGGAATGTGGGGATGGTAATCCACCTGGGCATCTTGCATGTCCAAGGCGGGGGAAAGATCGCATCGGCGAAAAAGGCTTCATGGTGCAACTATCTGACTGGCCGATGGTGCTTGCTCCACAGCAAACTTGGTAGCAGAAGCTTTCACTGGGCACAAGAAGCCTGTTTTATCTCGGGATTAGGCTAATGGAATCTTCGGATAGTGTCAATGCTCCGGACATTCCAGTCCAAAGTCTCGGACATAATCCACGCTCGCTTTTCTCTCAAATGTTGAAAATGTCGTTGTATAAATACCGGCCGAATGACCCCTCCTATCCATTCATGAAGGAACATTGAATGAGCAAAGCCGCATTCGTTCTCGACTTTCAAAATTCAAAACGACCTTGGTTTTCCGAGGTCCCACTCCTAAGTCTTCACTTCGTCCCATTCGAACTTCAGGACAATGCCCTCGCTAGTGCAAATCCTCGGACTTACTGCCTTGGCAAGGCTGAGTGCTGCTCTTCCAGCAACAGTTGACTACAATGGTGAGTTCAACCTGCTATCCCCACCTCACCTCCAGGTCAACTTCTAAGTCACTTATTCCTCTTCAGTTCCCTCGGAAGCTGGAAGTGTTCTCAACCTAAATGTGGCCCTTCGCAACAGTACCTACACTGTGAAAGCCAACGACACCATTCACACCATTGCAAAGAAATATGGTGTCGGAGCTTGCGACGTTGCCCGAGTGAACGTCCTTGCTGACCCCAACTACCTCTACGTGGATGAACCATTGCTCATTCCCAAAATTGCTACATTCCCCGACGACACCTCGTGTTTCAGCACAAATAACACCGAAGCAACCGCAACCTGCATCTACGGTGGTCCTCACGTCTACACCATCCTGCCCGGTGATACAATCCAGAAAATTGCCAATGAACGGTACAACATCACAGTCGAGTCGATTATGGACAACTCCCCTCAGACAGGGTACATTGCCGCTTTAGCTCCGGGCCCTCATGATGTCTTGGAAGCGGGGGAGACAGTCAAGATTCCTATCTGTGATAACACGGCTTGCACATTTACCCAATTTACATTCGACTATGGCACACTGCAGGACTACGCAACGATATATAACATTACTGTGGGCCAGATCATGGCTCTTAACCTTGGTTATAACCACACCGATGCTTCAGGTGTTCCTTTGGTTGTATTGGCTGACTGTGAGATCACGAGCTGATTGTTTGGTGGATGTCTTATAATCAGAATGCTTTAAAATCGTGTATGGACATATCTTTCCACATTTTGATAACCTATTTCACCAAAAACTTCATATTGTTCGACCAGTAGACCGAGAACCATCTTCGTTGTGGCTTGTCGTAGTCTTAAACGGCAATTCTGCAATGTGAATTATTATTCTAGATGAGGTCATTGTAACCGACGATGATGCTCGGACTTTCGCCGACTCGACTCATCAAGTACTTGCAAAATGATATGACTTCTTTGACTGCCATCAAATATAGAGCCTAAGAAAGGTTACCAAAATAAAAAAATACAGATTCTTCAGACAATATTGAACTACATTCTTAAACCTCCTGTCTGTATAAAGTCTGTTTTTCTGGTTCTTTTCAAGAAAAGGCAAGTTTGACGAGTGTTCATCTGCTCCACAGCCGATCTAGTGGAACCGGGGAGGGGACTTGAAGACTGGAAAAATGCCATGCATTGCTGTCAGCCTGTCAGATTGGCCAGGTATAACTAAACAGACCCAGAAATGAAGCTGATGGAATTGTAAAGATCTCGGTGATTTTGCCGGCCTCGGCGAACCTACTTGACAACACATTCATAGTCTCCCTATTGTAGGTGATGACGGTTAAATCTCCCGGGCATTTCCCCTCTTCTCCAAAACGGCTATGAGACTCGCTCCAATGGAACCCGAAGTTCCACAGGGTCGTAGGCATAAAAGACGAGTAGAATTTCTTGCAGGTCGCTCTGGCCTTGTACCCTTCTCACCTACCTGAAAGCAACTGTATAGCACATACACAGGCATGGCAGAATCTGTTCAAGGCAAAGCAGCCATCATCACCGGCGCAGGCTCCGGTATGGTCGTCTAGCTAGATGTTCACAAATGAATTATTATAGATATGCTCATACTACTCCCATTAGGAATTAACCTGGCCTTCGCCAAGTTATTGGTCGAAAATGGATGCAACATCCTCATCGCCGACTTAGCTTTGCGCCCCGAGGCCAAAGTGTTAGTCGAAAAGCACTCCTCTGGTCCTGTACGAGCTGTTTTCCAAGAGACAGATGTCATGGATTGGGTCCAGCTCGAGCGCATGTTTGAGGTGGCTGAAAGGGAATTCGGCGCTGTCGACATTGTGTGCCCGGGCGCGGGTATCTATGAGCCAGTATGTACTCACACCGCAAAGACCGGCATACTCTACGATTCTTACGACTCCAGAGGATATCTGGAACCCCGCTAACGAGATGCGTTATAGCACTGGAGCAACTTTTGGCGCCCACCCGGCTCGACCGCAAGCAAAGATTCCCCTACCAGCGGCCGATATGCCCTGGTGGACATCAATATCACCCACCCAATCCGTGTCACGCAACTGGCCATTGCCCATTTTCAAAAGCATCGACAGAACGGTCGCCTGAAGCACATCCTCCATATTTCCAGTATTGCGGGACAAAATGAATCGTTCTCGGCCCCCATCTACGTTGCCACAAAGCATGCCATCAACGGACTCGTGCGGTCGCTAGGCAAGCTGGAGAGAATTGGCATCCGTGTTACAGCAGTCGCACCTGGTGTTATCAAGACTCCTCTGTGGACGGATCATCCTGAGAAGATAAAAATGGTGGTTGACAGTTCTGATGCCTGGGTGACACCCGAGGAAGTAGGGGAGGTGATGTTGGCGATGGTACAGCAGGATCAAGTGAGTGAGATCATCGGGGATCGATCTGGTCGAGGAATCCAGTATCCGGTAAAGGGTGGCACGATCATGGAAGTTTCAAAGACGGCAAGGGAGGTAAAACAATTTAATGACGAGGGCCCTGGGAATCGGCCTGGAAACACGGTTTCAGACATTGAAGCCGTGGAGAACGAGAACTGGGATCTTTTGAATCAGAAAGGATGGGGATTATCAAAGTTGTAATTGCGACCAGTGTTAGCAATAGCAGAAGTAACGGCCACGTCAATGACGGTGGTTATGAAGACAATGATGCCATATTTTGCGAACAAGTCATAATCGTTAAGTGGAGGAAATGCGGAGAGACAAAAGTCAGGTGGGTGGGTCTAATCGGGGGGCCGCCCTGATAAGAGGAGGCCAACACGCCGTTTCTTCTCTTTTGCATATCTCCACCCAGCCTACCAACTTCTGCCCAGTTCTGCTGGACGCGGTCGCCATTGGGCCCTGTGCCTCCATTCGATCAATCGTTATACCAGTGATATTCTCATCGCCATGGAGGAAGAGGCGGCCGTCGGGGTTGCCGGTCCGTCTCACAATGGGCTACGAAGGTAAGTCAAGGCTGGTTCTACTCGTCATGATTCCTAAAGAAGAACGAAACGGCTAATGTTCGGTGTTTGACTTAGACGCATCGCTCGAGGCAAACGAACTACAGGGGTCACCGGCGAGGCTAGCTGGGCTAGCAGCGTGATCAATCTTGTCAATACGAGTGAGTGGGAACCGGGCGCATAATGTCGGGCTGGATGTAGGCTAACGACTAGTACGTATTTAGTCATCGGAGCCGGTGTTTTGGCGATGCCACTCGCCATGTCGCATTTCGGAATCGTGCTGGGCATCTTCATCATTCTGTGGTCCGGCGCTACTGCAGGATTTGGCCTGTACCTTCAATCTCGATGCGCGCAATATCTTGACCGAGGCAACGCCTCATTCTTTGCGCTGTCGCAACTTACATACCCAAACGCTGCCGTCGTGTTTGATGCCGCTATTGCAATCAAATGCTTCGGTGTCGGTGTGAGCTATCTCATCATCATCGGTGACCTCATGCCTGGGGTGGTCCTAGGATTCGTGGGAGGCGACCCGTCCTATGACTTCCTCGTTGATCGACATTTCTGGGTCACTGCTTTCATGTATGTTGATAAACGAGGTCTTGCTTTTCATCTGGAACTTTTACTGACTACGCTGTCGAACAGGTTAATCGTAATTCCTCTCTCTTACCTGCGCCGATTGGACTCGTTGAAGTACACCAGCATTGCCGCGCTTGTGTCAATGGCATACCTTGTTGTCCTGGTTGTCTACCACTTCATCAAGGGAGACACAATTGCCGACCGAGGTCCAATTCGTGTAGGTCATTGGGCAGGTCCAATCCCGACTTTGAGCAGTCTCCCCGTGATCATCTTTGCTTTCACGTGTCATCAGAATGTAAGAATCCGGCACTATCCTGCTTTCGCTTTACCCCGAAACTAATCTTTGGTCAGATGTTCTCTATTCTAAACGAAATCGCGAACAACAGCCATTTCCGGACTACCAGTGTTGTTCTCGCGAGTACGGGTAGTGCTGCTGCCACCTATATCCTAGTCGCCATCACGGGCTACCTCTCGTTCGGTAACAATGTCGGGGGCAATATCGTTGGAATGTACCCCCCTGGTGTTTATGCCACCATCGGACGAGCGGCGATTGTCATGCTCGTCGTCTTCTCCTACCCATTGCAATGCCACCCATGCCGAGCTTCAGTTGATGCAGTGCTGAAGTGGCGACCTAAGCCCAAAACCACTGGTGCAGAGGGTTCACCTCACCGCCACCCGCTGTTGGGACCTCGCGGTACCCGCACACCAGAACCGATGAGCGATCTTCGCTTCTCCATAATCACGACTACGATTCTCATTCTGAGCTACCTGGTTGCCATGACTGTTTCGTCCCTCGAAGCTGTTCTGGCTTATGTCGGCAGCACTGGTAGCACGAGCATTAGCTTTATTCTACCAGGCTTGTTCTACTACAAGATCTCAGCATCAGACTCACCTGCCCGCCGAGGCCTTCTCAAAGAGGATGATGAGGCTGCGGATGAGATATCCGATGAGGACGAAGACGTCGAAGATGATGGAGAGGGCTCTTTGGCTCGATCTTTGACCGAAAGTGGTCTCCTACGCCGCCACGCCCACCATTGGCGCAAATCCCTGCTACGTCGCCTTAGCTTGGCCCTCGCTGGCTACGGCGTCGTGGTCATGGTGGTGTGTCTGATTACGAACACATTTTTCATTGCCTCCCACTGAGGTATTCGTTTTGCACAAAAATCCACGATATACCGTTTTGATGACCGATACTTAGAAAATCTAGTATCACTGTTGCTTTGCTGTTTATTGACAGGAAGACAGCCAAGTTTTTCGCTGTTATGAACCTTCTAGATGTGAATTTTCACTCTGGTCTCGCGCCTTTTTTGCATGATCTCCTGTTCAATGCGTCTGAAAATAGCCTTTCCTGCTTTCGTGCCAAGGTGCAATCTTCGGTGTTTGGAGCGTTGTTTAGAATTGTTGTTTACTTGAATTCTTTGTTTTATTTTTCAAGTACCTCACTTGCTTCTACAGTTGCATATGATGTGTCGTCAAGTACAAATTGATTTTCGTCCTGGGTTTCTTTTTGATCCATTCCACAACATTTAAAGACTTCTCAAGTCCCTTCTCCAGTCCATTCTAGCTTATTAGCTTACACACTAAAACCTATAGTTCATATATACTTTTTAAATGTTTCTTTAATATTAAAATACACTAGTAAGCTAGTGCGGCACATGGTAAGAATTGTTGATAAGAAGCGGCGGGAAGTAGGTTATGCCACTCAGAACCACACAGGAATACCAAGGAAAGGTAGACTACGAGGTCCAGACTGCAGAGGACTGAGAGGACTGAGAGGACTCAGAGGACTCAGAGGGGTAAGGGATACGCGCGCTTTTTTCCGACTTTTTGACCACCGGAGGTTTCACCGCCCTAATTTCCACCGCCTTTCACTCCCTACACAAGTCACATGACCTGTCTGTTTGACCCGCAAAGTGACAATTTGAGTAAACACGTTCTTTTAATTATTTTAATAACAAACTGACGTTTGAATAGCTCCTCATGGTTCATGACTCCATTCACAGGCATCTGCAGGAGTAGCCGGTTATTTGCGTACTAAACACATGTATGAACAATCTCTTGTCATATAAATACTAGTTAAATGAGGTGGACAAAAACTCTTAGATCTTCTTCTTTCTCTTCTTTTTTTTCCTTACAGCTCTTCATACACATATTGCATCTCATGTAAGTTGATGTGATTATAAATTCTAAATTTTTAATTTTTAATTCTGCCGATTTGATATCAAATTTCCTCAAGTGCTCAATGGCCCCTACAATCGCCAGTATATAGGAGAAAAATTCTGCCGCAGAACCGGAGAAATTAAACTTTCTTGGTCAACATATGATCGCTAGTTACCAAGTTACTCTTCTACCCTTATATTTCTTTTACTCTTTATCCCCATTTCCTGTATAAGCTACCTACTATGGATTCATCAATGGAATATCTCACCGATCTTGAAGGAGCACAGATCACATTTGATGCCATTACGGAACCACCGTTCAACTTCCCCGCCCAGAAATGGATAATACTTGAGAAGTTGAGAAGCTCGGGGAAGAGTCGAATCGCCTGACAAAGGAAGGCACTGCGGAGCTCGGACCCTCAGACTATGGCCGCCGATAGAGGCCACCCCTAGGTCATATCCCAATTTCAGTTTCTAACTTCACCGCCCTGTTTCCCGCCTGTATTGTATTTATCATATATAGGAATATCTTAAGGGATTTGATCTAAGTACGGGTCAACTGGGTCACTTTTAGAATAGACTTAGGAATAGACTTGAGAAGGGATTTTAGAAGGGACTTGAGAATAGACTTGAGAATAGACTTGAGAGTAGACTTGAGAGTAGTCTTGAGAGTAGTCCTGAGAAGGGACTTAATAATGGATTATATGACTAGGATCTCAGCCTCTCTTTCTTGCCAGTTGTTGTGATAATTTACCTAGAGAAAGAGACATCAGTAGTTAACTAATATAATATAGCATTACTAATATATAATAGAGTTCAAGGATTTAATGTACAATAATGCAGCGCTGAACTGCCTGAACATAATGGAGTTCAAAAACTAATATGAATTTGGAATTACTCGTAAATTGTAATTTACTTTCTGCCGGTCGGAAAGTTGAAATTGGGGTTTGACCTAGGGGTGGCCTCTATCGGCCGCCGCACTCAGACACTACCGGGAAGTTCCTATGCCGACCTGCTAGAGAGGTAGACGATAACAGGCGCGCATTTTTACGCATTTACCAACAAGTTCCTATAGCTGGAACTGAAACGAAGAAGGCTGGTATACGGGCTAGCCAGGCTGTCAACACCCCTCCTGACCATCCAGACCAGAACTGATCGCTTTCCGGACATTCATAAAGCTAGACTGTGATGTTGTTCCTCTACTACTAAGCTATCAACAGTGCCAGCAAGACCATGATGAGGGTGTTCCCGGGGGATATATCACATATATTCTATTGATGGGAAAAAGTTGCTGGCGAGTCTCTTGATTTGACCGAATTCTGGAGGCTCCCCTTTGCCGATCGCCAGGCTATCCGCGATCACTTTCGCCAAGTCTATACGTATAATTATCTAGTGATCATAGCAAAACATTGGGCTAATAGAGAGCAGAAGGTTTTTACTATGCGGTTATATGCCATGTATGGCTGGTCCATCAAAGATCATTTATGATAAGTCTAGTGGCCAAATGTGTGTCTATACAAGATTATCCATGCATGTGTGGAATATTATAATCTAACTATCTCTAGGCATATCTGCGGTTTTAAATGCGCATCTCCGTTTGACGAACCTCAACAGTGGGGTGATATTAACTACTTCCAATACGGACTCATCCAACCCTCCGATAGCCGATTCGACTGCATGTGGGAAGGAACACCACCCGAAACGGCGGATTGGATCGAACATGTCAACGGCTGGATGTGGTGAATATGGAAACAACCACAGCGGGATACAGTATGAAGTATGATCCGCCATCTTGTTCCTTCCTGCATGTGGCTGGCTTAGTAGAACAATATGAACCAAGGGATTGCTGCAGGTGTAATAAAGGCATACTATGTCAGATGTTACTCGCAATTTATTGAAGTCTGTCTGTATTGTCTTAGGTTCTTGCTTGCATGACTGTATTTGCTATACATGAAAGTATTAATGTTTGGGCAGCATACTATGATTAATGCCGTCTGATCCATTGACTGCGAAGAGTGGGATTGGAAATCGGCCCCTGGGCTTCAGCAATAGTAGTAAGATACAGAAGACATTGATTGAAGGATAACACAGGTCCGGTAGACTGATTTGCGGGGTCTAGAGGTGCATATCTGACGGATGATTTGATCACGGGGGAATGCTCAATTCTCCAAGTTGATCCGACTTGAATTTGTTGTAAGAATATGGTCTGGCGGTAGTTGGTGAAGGAATTATTAATCCTTGAATCTGTGTACTTTCTTATATTCAATGTTCAAAATATTTCTTCTACTACTACCAAATTACTATACGGCCAGCTGACTGGATCAAAGTACAGACTTGGGAAGATAAACCGGCATAGAATCTTCCCACATTGAGTCCGTCAAGGGTGTCTTGTTTGAACCATCTGCGTTCATAATCATGATCTGTCCATAAGGCTGGAAGGTACCATCATAAAGTGCACATTCATATCGGAATCCGTTCATACCAGTCGACCACATAATGCGGCCATCGTGAGACCAGACAGCGTGGGCATCATTCGCTCCGCTAGACGTAAGAGCCTTGAGGTTTGTTCCATCAGGGCGAATAGTGAAAACGTCATAATTAGATACGCTCGTCTTTCGTGTGAAAAGAATGAGCTCCCCATCTGGCGAGTATTCAGGAAGATTGTCCCACTCAGTAGTGAGAACAGTCGTCTTTCTCGTCTCGAGGTCAAGAATTCGAAGACCAATTTCTGACTTATTGCCGTAGGTTGCTGTATCAGAGCCCCAAACACGGTAGACAACTTTCTTTCCGTCGTGTGAGAAGCTCGGGTAGCCATTATTCAGGGTTGTAGTGTTTGCAATGGAGTATGCACTATCCACAAGAACCTCCGAATAAGAGCCGTTGGCAGTTGATCGCACGATCCAACCACCAGACTCTTCGCGGGTCTCAAACCAGAAACCCACGCCGAAAACAAGCCACTCGCCATCGTGAGACCAGTTCGGATTGTAGGCGGCCGCACCGGAAGTTTGAGAAGATGTGAGGAAATCTGCGGTGCTGGGATCATAGACTAGGCTCAGGTCTCCGCCGGTGGTATTCAGAGTCACTATGGAAGAGTTTCCCAGTTGCTTTTGAGTAATGACGACGCGATCATCCACGGTAGAGTACTGCGGGAAGACATCGGTGAAGCGGTAATCCCATTCGGGATCCCAGCTGTACAGCTGCTTATAGCCGTCACGAATCACCCAAGTCGTCTTCTCGTACACGACCTGTTTCCCATTGGGGGACCAGCAAGGTGAGCGAACGGTGCCAGTGAAATTGGTGAAGGAGCCAGAAGTGGTGTAAAGGCCCTCATTGGACTCTCCAGTCTTCAGCAAATAGGCGATAGTTCCGTTGTTGTCCACATACTGAGGGAAGATCTTGACACCAGTACTGTTGACTTCGACCTTGCGGTCTTTGCCCGTTGCAACGTCCACTGAGATAATGGCTGAGCTCGCCTCTGTGAGGGCAAATGAACTGTGTGCATTGTAGGTGTCCTCGCGTGTCATCTCGTAGTAGACAAGTCTTTTACCATCGGGTGACCACTTGGGAGATCCCAGGCAGTAGTAAGGCTTTGTAACAACTTGGCGGAAGTCTGTCCCGTCGGGACGGATCACGTATATAGAGAGCTCTTGTGTGGTCTCCCATCCAGTCAGACCAAGGTAGGTCGGTTCACCGTGCCCGCTCCATTGTGTATTGCGGTCTGACGAGAACGCAATCCATTCGCCATCAGGAGACCAAGCAGGGCGGAAATAACCACCCATCAAAGACGTATTGAAAGCAGTTAAAGGACTGTCTGTAATATTCCATTTCTTTCCGGTAACCAGGTCCATGATCCAGATGTTTGCTTTCATGTTGTTGGCAGTGGAAACATAGGCAGCCATGCTTCCATTGGGCGAAATGATAACCGAGTCTTCGACTGAAGGGGTAGCGACCAATTGTTCCAAGTCAGATCCGTTTGTGCGAACGCGATAGATATCAGCATTTCCGTCGCCATTGCGTTCACCGGTAAATGTGACCCACTCTCCATCTGGAGAGAATGAAGCGTGGTATTCAAAAATCGGATCTGAGAGAAGCTGTCGCTCCTTGGTGCCGTCTGCATTTGCGATATACAGATTCGATGTGCCGGGGGCGATTCGATTCATCATGAAAACACCCTTACTGCCATCGGCGTTGCTGCGGGAGGTCTTTGCTGGGGTGGAAGCAGCATTTCGTTGCATGTTGGCATGGTTTTGGAGTTTCGTAAGGTCGTCAATATCTGATCTCTTGTCGAAACCAAATGGACATCCAGCTAAAGCTGGGCTGGCAGCCAGCCCAAACAACAGAGCTAATGAGGCTCGCATTGTTATCCGGATAAAACAGAGTAATTGATGTATTGGCAAGATCTCAACGATAGACGCACAGAAATGATAGTGGGTGAAGGAACGGGATACTTATACTGATACTGCTCCCGTTTTCTCCCTTTCCATGCAAGCCGGGGATTTTCGCCATATGCCGTTGGCAACCTCCGGATGTACAATATTAATATGGGCCACGATGACACATCGGGTGTGAAACCATCCACTGGATATCGCTTAATTATCTACCAGGTATACCATTATTCCACCTGCTGACAATTTCACTGGCCATTCCGCTCAAGTTGATATCAATTCCTCAGTCATACAGTATTGGGATCGACATACTTTAAATCGGCTCACTGCGAAATCTTCCCGAACGAGTATGGTTTATGTGGAGATGATGGATGTCGGAGGGTAAATAAATTCCGACCCTCGCTATCAATCTTTTTACCGGTAGTTCCCACCAGTTGATGAATCGCCAAGGGTATAATGCCAAGGCGGAGCTCACGGGGCTTGGCTTCAAGTTACATCTAATCAATATGGATCAACTTCAATCGGGTCCACTGACCTATTGTAAGAGGGGTAATTCCGTGTCGATCCCAAGAGCATAGCAGGTATTTTCTTCTAAACCTGCAAAATATTCTTCCGGATGAAAATTTACTGCAGATAATCTGTACGCGTATTACTTGCAGCTTTTGAAAACCTTGAGTCTTATCAGATCCCCCACTGGTGAAAGCCAGCACTACTACTAGTATTCACTGATTGTAAGCGAGTCTGGAAACCTTCCAATTCACCACGTTCTACTTGACCGATTGCGATTCTTTCACCTTTGCTTTCCTTCTCCAGGCCATTCTTCTATACAGTCATATTAATATTATCATGGCTCAAAATGTCGCGCTAGGTATTGTTTCCTCCAAACAGATACAGAACGGACGTACTATAACAAGCATTTTACACCTGACCAATCCAATTCCCCCAATGGCCAATTGTCATCAATCTGGGAGCGGTAATTGCCGACTCATTTAGTGGCGGCATTTCTGGGGCACTGATTGGAATATGCATGGACGGCTGCACTGCTGCATGATGCAGGTAACCATGAATGAAACCTCAGGCCCGAAGTCCCAACCCCGCTCTTTGCCTTCAATGTTGGGAGAATCACACATTGAAGGTAAGAACCACTCAAGTGACAGTCCTGGTGGAAGCAGTGCTTGTGTAGGGTACATCTATGGATATGGATATACCTAAATCATGAGCGGAGTGTACAAGACCTAGTAAAAAACATATCAACATATCAATTGACTGATCAATTGATTGATTAATGCTCCTACTAACTATGATACTAGTATGGTACTAGACATACGGTCATATACCCATTTATCCAAGAAGCTGGGTTTCCTTTCCTCCTAGCTTCTTGTAGACCTTTACCTCAACAATCGCAGTGCAGGTTGGTCTCGAGGTTAGACTGGACTCCATACATGCCACAATGCATAGTCTGGCCAACCACCAAGTATCTTGTCCCGGCAATTGAGGCAAATTGCCTTCCAGGTTGGTTCTCACATCCCCAGGAGACAGAACTTCCTCGCAATATTCTCCCATCTTGCTTGGCGAATCCAAGGACCAAAGAAACTAAGATATCTAGCCGTGTACGGACTTGTCACCTGGACATTCAACTCGATTGAGCCTTCATGGGCAAAGCCGACATATTTCAGGGCCTTGGCTGGTTAAAGAATGAGCAAATATCTTGATTCTAGGAGAAGAGGGCACTCGCTGAGGATTGAAAGGTGGAGAACTCGGCAAGGTCTGAAGATTCAACTGTCTGATTTCAAAGCAAAACAAATCCAGTACCCCACAGGTCAGTGGGACTGACGTAAGTGCGGGACGGGATCTGTAGTTCGCGGGATTTGAACAGCCGGGCTGCTCTACTAAAGCTGCCCAAAGTTCAATGTCAATTAATCCACATATTTTGATTCGATCAGTGTCAAAATCTTTGACAAACCGACAGGTCTCCGTCCATTGTCTCTTCAATGCCTGCCAACGCCATCACCGTGATATTCTCCCCCTACCACGTTGGAATTCGTGATCACCGCGTCGGTAACGGCCCCAATCGTATTCGAAAGCTTGGAATTATCCAAGCCCTTGAAAAACTGGGAGTCTCCATAAAATGTGTCGAACTAGACCGAGTCGATGAATTCGAAGGTGAAATAGGCCGAAGCTTCGAGCTTCTTCGACGCTTATCCACGGCCGTCACCGAGGCCGTTGACCACAACACTTTCCCTCTCATTTTATCAGGAAACTGCATGGCAAGCGCAGCTGTTGCCTGTGGACTCAATATCGATGACTTGAACTTTATCTATTTTGACGCCCATGACGACCTCGATTCTCCCGATGTGAATGAGAACGGATATCTTGATGCCATGGGGCTCTCAATGCTCCGCGGTGAGAGCTGGAAAACTCTCATGAAGACAGTTCCCGGTTTCAAGCCATTGAAATATGACGGGAACTTCTTGTACTGCGGTCTACGTGATCAAAGCCAGGTGCAAAGACAGCGTGTAATCGATGCTGGAATGGCTTCTATCTGGGGCGAACTTGATAGAAAGGTCGATTTTGCGGGTGAATTGAATACGCAGCTGGAAGCGAAGTCCTATGGATCGTCGTTGGTTCATCTTGATTTGGATGTCCTGGACGAGTCTTATGGGAAGGTCAATGATTATCCTTCTCCTGGGGGCTTGTTTGAGTCTGAGTTGATCCAGTGTATGGATATTGTGCCCAGGAAAAGCAAGCCCAAGTCTCTGACTGTTTGTTCTTTTGATCCTGATTCAGGTGACGGCGATAAGATCGCCCAGATTGCCATTCGCGCCATCGTTACTTTCGTTAATTCACTATTGGAAACAAATGCATTGAGCAAGGCGTGATTCTATCTGAGTGAAGCTATCAAAATGTACATTGGAAGTACAATACTACCTCCGCGAAATCATTCAAAAGTACCATTGATTGTTTACCCATATGGCTTAGGCAGCTATTTATCGGCGCTATACTAAACATTCACCGAAGGAGAAGATCTGCCCACGCAAGACTTGATAAAATATATGCCGCGGCAATCCAGTGTCATACCTACTAGTAGGTAACAGGAGCAAAAACGGTATTCCAACCTGCGAGAGAGGCAAAGAGGGTCCAAGATAAGACTAAACTGATTATAGACATTAAATCAAGCAAAAACGCAAAAGAAAAAAGACACTGATTCTCATGATTCCAGCTCCGAGGAGCGTCCTGGTTCCAAACGCATTCATACTATCATACCCCTGACCATCCACCACCGACATCGGTAATGGATTCCGTATTTATCGTCGGCCTCGGAGATTTCCATCTAGTTGTTGTGTTGTCCATTCAGGATACGCAGAATAGACAAGAACAAGTTCAACACGTCCAGATAGAGTGAAATCGACGCGGCGATCTCCTCCTCAACATGGTAATGACGCATTACCAGTTGCGTATCCACGAGGATGTATCCCGAAAAGATCAATGCTCCGATCACACCGTAAACGGTCTCGGTGGCACTGCTAAATGGGAGGAACATTGCGACGAATCCGAAAAGGATCATGAACCACAATGCGCCGAATAGGTACGGCATCCAGTGCGTGAAGTCATACTTCGTCTGGCATGCGAAGAGGGTCAAAGCAAGGAAGATACCCAGAGTCAGGACAAGGGCTTGTACGACAACGCGCGCGTCGTAGAAGGATGTCACCACGCTGATGGAGTAGGCTTCCGTGACTGTGAAGGCGGAGAGGAAGAGCAAGTTGGAGGGGTAAGACTTGCGCTTCCAATAAGTTGCGAGCATAAATCCGAGAGCGCCGAAGATGGAGATGATCATCAGCCAGAAATTGGATTGGATCCATGTGCGGTAAGAGTCGTTGAAGAAGGAGATGGAGCTAAGGATGGTTGTGAGGAGAATCTGAGCGGTACTGGGAGAGAACTCAGGTCAGTTCAAGGCCTTCAACTTAGAGTATACAATAAATACGCGTTTGGACTTACAGGATCGAGTAAACCTTGCGCACAAACTGCATCCTGATGTCGATAGTTCCCTCAGCTACGGTACCGCCAAACTATATAGAGCAATCATCGTCAGTATAATTTGGCCAAGAATCGCGGAGAACCCGAGCAGCGCAACACATACCTTGAAGTCATCGGGAAGATTATCATCCTCAGTGCGAGGCTCAGCTGGCTCAGCTGTAGCCTGGTAAGACGGCGGCGCTTGAGTGTATTGCTGGTCCTCAAAGGAGTCCCGCTGGGGGGCAGGCGCGTATCGGGTGTTCGCGGCCATGGTATTGGGTTGCAACGGCCTTGGGTATCGCGATTCGGTTGTTGTCTAGCTCGATGGAAATAATGGGGATTTGTGAAAGGAAGGAAGCCTTGGATGGTAACTAATGGGGGGCGGCGACCATGTGACGTTTGAGTGGAGTCACGTGTAGTCTTATCGGTCCGATAAGGGAAGAAGAGTGGAGAGCTTGACGGAGATAAAAAAGATCGATAAAGATTGATCTACAACAACGGCTTACAAGAACTTACAGAGTACAGCCACTCAGGAATTTTGTTCCCTGCAAACCAGGCTTAAGTTTGGATGGATGTTTACCAACCAGAGAAATGCACCGAAAACCGCGGCGGCGCGGCCCCCAGACGACTCTCATTTACCGCATTTGTTAGCCGACCGTGGGAAGCTCGACGCAAATCGATATCTCCCAACTGGGGACGGTCGCAACCTTGAACATGCGATCTTAACCATGCGCACTGCGGTCGCCAGAGCCAACGAAATCCAGCCAATAATTCTGGGACCAGCATTGGGCAATTTCAATGTTGGCTGCGCAGTTGCTGGAGAAATTCAAATGGAGTTCACTCTAGACACACCCCTCTAACCCGATTTGGACAATTTTTTCTTCTTCTGTCTGTCTTTGGTCTGCTTAGTTTGTACACTTTTTTCTAAGTTTACCTAAGGTGCTCGGCGGAAAGATTATAATATCATAGTACATATTATGATGTCCTTTTATTTCCTGTGTTCATACTATATACATTACCTAGGTAGGTACTTGTTGTACTCTCTGCGGTTCCCTACTTGGTTCGCTACTTGGTTCGCTATTTGGTTCGCTACACGGTTCGCTATACGGTACACTGCACTATACTCTGTGTATTGAACTACAGGTGTTTTTTAGATAGCGGATAGGCAAGTAGACGGCGAGTAAACTAATACACAAGGTCCTTAGTATGTTCTTCGTACTCCTGCATGAAATCTTCTATACTGAACTTGCCGCTGAGCTGCTTAGCTGATAGAATGACACTACCAGCACCAATATATCATCAATCGTCTGAACAGGGGTGGTTCAAAACGCCCACATCCAGGGCCCGATGCCCTAAACCCAGAAAACAGAGGAGGCTCCCGGGATCCCCCAATAAGTCCAAAGGCCGAGCATGATTGTTCCGGTGAATCTTCAAAAAGAACCAAGCGCGGCTGTCGCTCGGTTGATGAGACAGCTTTCGCCTGTCGTAACCACCTCCTCATAACACCGCATCGGACGTTGGATCGGAGATGGAGATTGGGACCGAATATGACGACAGAAGATGCAATCAATATCCACTCAAACTATATGGCTCCGGCATAAGGAAGTTCTCGAGAAGAGGAATTGTCCCCCCCCCCACCCTCTTTCTATATTTTCTTTTTGGTCGAATTGAGTTATGATTATCCTGTATTCCTAGCTGGCATTCATCGCCCTGGAGTTGCATATCACTGTGACAGAATTGAAAACTGATGATAGCACGAAATTGGATTTCATTCAAATTCATCTTTGATAATGGTCATCAGCTACACACATCGCAGAGAAGACTTCAAATAAGTCGCGAGCCATAGAAATTGAGTACATAAGCCAGCGCGCACCCTCGCCAGATTAAGCACCAAGAGCCAGATCAAAACTCTTGATGTCGACTGATCCCCCAAGTGATTCAGTTGCGAAGTTAAAAATGCCAAATCGATAGCCCATGAAAAATTCCCAGGTCGTGTTCATGGCAAATGTAGTTCCAAAATCGGTGAAACTGGAGCCATCTGTAGAATAGCTAAATTGTGCGGTTGCATCGCCTCCTGGTCGAATATCCGCCGAGGCTCGTAAGAACACTGAAGTCTCGGAGATATCCGTCGAAGTCTCTAAGGCACCAATTGAGTTTGTAGTCCAATCCGTATTCATAGTGATGTTTTTCCAGACAGAGATCTGTGCACTTTCATCGGTCTTCACTATACCGATCCAACCGGATACATCGCGGAACATCGCCAATCCTGCCCGGTCTCCGGATATCATATCGGAGAAATTGATCTCAATAGTGGCGACACTCACAGGACCGAGGATACGGTGAGTGAGAGTATTCCGTGCTTGGTAGAGGCTGTCTGTGACAGTTGCAGTCCGCAGTTTCAATCCGTCATTGACGTCAAAGGCAGTCACATCAGGATTGTGATTCCATTCCCATTGAGGTCCCAAGCAAGTTCCAGAAAATCTGTCTGTACCTGTTGGCGAAGATAGTACATTTTGAGCAAGGGGCACTTCCACAGTAGATGGCCAAGAATTGACATCTGATAATACTGGAAAGTCATTGTCATCAAAAGTGATAGAAGCAAGTACCGGGATTCTACCACCGGGGTATGCGTCGCAAAATCCCATATAGTACCAATTTCCTTGAGGGTCATCGACGATCCCTCCCTGGTGAGGGGCTCCGCCATTCGCGACTGGGCATGAAGGTGCGTTTGAAACAACATTCCCACCAGTGTATCCTGCAGTCGGAGATGAGGATTTGATGACATATTCGATGGCTGTACCGGGTGCGACGTTGAGAATATAGTAGGAGCCATTGATGTAATAAAAGCGGGAGCCTTCAACATACTCGTCGTAGGTGAATACGTCGGTGTTCGAAACTTGGCTGGTCAGGTCGGATGATAGTGTGGCAACTTGGATAGTTGTGGACCCATACGCAACATGCGGTATATCGTCTTCGTCGAAAACCAGTCCACAGTCGTAGTAGCAGGTCCCCTCGAAAGCGGCATGCCGTGACCAAGGGCCACTGGGACTACTAGCAGTGTAGACGTATGTATTGGCAAACTCAATACAGCCAATCCAATACCATTGGCCGTTGCTCGGGCGATATTTGAGGCTGCTTGCCCAAATTCCTTTGACATATGCGGTGTCGCCATCAGTCATGTTATAGGCTGAGCCAAAGTCAAGGCTTGGAACCGAGTGGCCAATGTATTCCCAGTTTTGCAAGTCTGTAGACTTCAGGATTGGGGCACCAGGTGAATATGCCATAGTGCTGGCACTGTAGTAGAAGGTATCACCGACGCGAATGATTTCGATATCAGCAAGGTCTTCCCAAATCAATGGCTGAGAAACAGTTGAGGAAGCTCTCTTGCTGACGCTTGATAGTTCGCGAGCATCGTGAGGGATGAGAGATCCCAGTGCGATAGCGATTATTTCAGCGCAAGTAAGAAGCGCAAGCCAGAGATTCGGTTGAGACATCATTGTAACTCTTCGATGGCAGACTGAAATCGAAACAAATAAAGTTGAAAGTGGGCAATCTTGTTATTCTTCTCATCCTGTCGGTAGAACATTGAGGGGTTTAAATAGAATGCTCGTAGCAGTTGCTTTCTCCTCAAACTGTCTTTGACTTTGGGAATTAATATGGGCATGAATCCATCCAAGGAAAGGATCGACGAATTCACTGGCAAAAGCTGTATGAGACATCTAAGATGGCTAAATACAAAGCATTCTGGTTAAAATGATGGACCTGGCGATGATATGATTCATCGTGTGATGTCAATAATATTTTGACTATTGGAAACGGGACTGATTCAGGCAGGAGAGAAGACTTGTTATTCACCCAAGGGCAATTTTCCGATGAAGCTGGGTAAAACGTAGATGATAGATCTGATGGAGTTACTCCTTATAGGTGGGTACGGCTAAATACTCACCAAAATGGCTGATCCTGCACTCAAGTGCTGTGAAGCTCCGGCGGGGCTTGCTTGCAATAAGTGAAACCCAATATCATCCTTTAATATCTAAATCTACGTCCTGAATGATCAGTCGACCATGTTAGTACCCTCAGTCTAGGTTTCCACATGACACCGTTAAATTACTGTGCTGCTGTTGCGTGGTCACTGATTGGCCCACATTTCTTACATTCCGCTACATTTGCCAAGTGCCCTGACTTGTGTCAAATAAATGACCATATTATGCTCTGCACAACCTTGAAATATGCCACACTATGCCAGCATGTTAGGCAAATTCAGGCATTAGTATTCCCCGATTAGGCTTAGTGGGTCACGTGAGGGTGTGTTAGCATGAGAACTTTGAAGGGGGTGTGTAACGTGTTTAGATTAAACTCCTTAAAATATGTGCAATATATTATCAAGCAACGTGCGTCTAGTAGCTAACAATCATGAAGTTTATCGTATGTTTTGTTCAAGCAAGTCGTAAAATCAATCTACTACTCAACAATCCGATGCATGATCGGGGATCGCTGCTCGCCACTGATTTGCGCGCCATCATGATCGTGACCACCCTCAACAGTTGAGCCGGAGTCTTCGTCAGTCGTCAACTCTTCGTCATCCTCGTCAGAGGAGTTGGAATTATTGCGTAATGCGTCATGTGTGATGGCCGCACTGGACAAGTATGATGATGATGGAAGACGCCTTCTCTCAAAGTCGTGGGCATGGGCACCAGCAACCTTGTTTCCGACGCGAGCAATACTGGCTGAGGGACGTCGGTTTCTCGCGCGCTGGCTGGATGAGGAGGGTGTTCCATGTTCAGCATCTCCCGCGTACATGAAAGGTGTGTTTTGCTGGTCTTGCAGCTGGACGTCCTCGGTTTGAGCACCATCCAGCGCTGGCGTTGCGGGAATTTCATATGGAAGGGGTGTATCTCGGGAAGCACGGAACAGAAGCACGTTAGTACAGTGCTCATTCTCCACACGGAAGATAGTCCATACACCACGACGGAAGACCTCTGAAAGCGAGATGACAAAGCTGAGGACGGCAGAATGTTGAATGTCATTGACAAAGATGGCGTAGAAAATCCAGTTGAACCGGATTATGACATCCAAGACCATTGCAGCGTAGTAAACCCAGACCCGTCGAAAAGCCAGTACCTCACGTAACAAAGGTCGTCTAGCGTAAGCATTGCCCAAACTCCAGTCCATTATCAAGTCCCAGACTGATGTATAGACAGAGTTAAGAAGTGCAAACGTAATGAATGACGCCTGAAAACGAGTGTGACGATCGATGCGATACATGCTCAACGTGGCATAGTAAAGGATACTGAAGATGTACTTTCCCAAATTCAAGAGATGAGGGAAAGCATTTTTCGTATCCACGTATCGACGAATACACTGGAAAGATCGCCACACTGCTGGTAGACAGGTAAAGAAGCCAAGCAGCCTGGAATGGCTTGAGTTACACTGCGTAGGATTGTTCCAAGCGTTGGCATATAGACAGAAAAATAGCTCGATATTCTAAAAAAGGTTAGTGCGGTCATGAAGCAAAAATTTTGAAGAAAACTTACTCCCATGGCATAGCTCTGAGAACAATACATGTCACCGAGGAAGAAATCTCTGAACTCGACCGGGTAGACACCAGCAAGTAAAAGACGCCACTAGTTTTGTTAGAACACATCTATACGAAGGCGAAAAAGACACAACTTACATTCGAAAACGCCCACCATTTTCGGCTGCGGTGATAGAGCACACGAGCTGGCAAAAAGACGATAATCAGGGTCAAACCTATGAGCACAACAGGCCAATATATATACATGGCATTAACCCATGAGAAGTTCAGCCACATGAAAAGGCCCAGAGCGAACATGAAGAACGCAGGGATCTGAGAAAGCTTATTAGTTTCGAGATCACAGAACTGCAAAGTCCATCATCGGGTGGGTAAACTTACTTCTAGCAATTGGCGCCACTCCAGCGTGTGCCTGGTATCATATTCAAAAACAAATGCATAGTTAATCTTGGACTTGGTCCAAATCATACAATCCAAAGAAAAGAGCAAAACGTGAAACGTGATGAGGAAATAACCTCCGTAAATCTGGTTCTAGTCAGCAATGCACGGTTACACAAAGGATGACGCAAGGGGAGAACAAACCTGCAACAGATAACTAGTGCGCACCCGCTCCACTGAATCAACAGCGCGCAGATGCTGTGTAGCATATACCAGGGCCTGTATAGCGAATAGCACACCTGCCATAAGCAAAAGACCTGCCCGAAAGGTGCTGGGGGAATAATCGCCCGATTTATTGATGGTGTGACGAAGTTTGGACACTGCAATTTTGCGATTTCCACGTTCAAAGTATCGTGCATAAAGATCCTCGACCGCCACAATCAAGTGTTCGGTCTCTTCACTCTGAACAAAGGCCGCTTTGTTGACCCGCTCGCTCATGTAACGCAATAACGGTCGGGCATTGACGGTTTTGTCGTACTTCTTGTTAATCTTTCGGAAAGCTTTCCGATTAAGATAAGCATACCCCTTCAGGAGCTCAACGCCACGATAAAACTCCTGCAAGGCATGCTTGAGTTTACGTTTCGCAGATCGATATGATACGTCGACATTTTGTGGGTCCTGCCGGCGCATGAAGTCTCGTCGGTTGGCAATAAATTCACGCTCCCGCTCAGGAAGCTTTGGAGTAGCCATCGCTGCTAGCGCCTGAGTATTCTTTCCGAACCGAGTTTTACCTGTCAAAGTATCTTTGATTCGCGAGCCGTTGAGTTTGGCGATTCCCGTTGGTCGTTGATCTTGCTCATCTTTGATCAGCTTCATGCCTCGTTTGGTCTCATACACCTCCTGGATGCGTTGATCTCGCATAACATGCAGCTGCTGTCGAAGAGTCCTCAGTCGAGTAATGGCTTCTTGCTCCTTCATCCGGTAAAAGGAGTCGATTTTGTCCAATTCACTATCCAAGAAGATAAAGAACTCATCCTGGCGTTTTTCAGGCTCAAATGAAGCATCCGCCATTGACTTCTTCCCGGCCACCTCGCCTTCTGTGTGAGAAAATACCCGTCGAAGGAGTTGCGATGTACGATTTGTCGAATTCGTTTTTGTCAAAGTCTCTCCTTGAAGGCTAAGACTCTGCGAGGTGGGATGCGTTGACAATGTCGCGTTCCTTTGGTCCGCTGGGCTGTTTGCCTCTGTCTGGGCCGAGTATGTACCAGTGGTTGCACGTCTAGTCAAGACAGGTGACGGGGTCCTGACTTGTCTGCGACGACGCGATTCCCTAGTTGCATCATGCGCTGGCGGCGAATACTCATCTGGGTTCATGATAGGATCTGGAAGCTCAAAAGATGCTCTGTCTGAGCCTGCCATGCCCGGTGCCTCTGGCGGTGTCGCCAAGATGCTCCCATAGCTCCCTACATTATCTGAAAATCGCGACCCCGGCGTGCGCAACGGCTGGCGTTCTTGGCGAGGTGTAGACTTGGACCGCGGAATGGGTTGAGGACTAGAGCCTCGACGATTGGCATTTTGCGCTGGTAAATCTTCCGGGGATGTGCCATCAAGAGTCCTATCGACGTTTGGCGTTTCATAGGATGGTTGTGTTGCGCCTTGAGAGGGTGGAAGATTTCGGAAGGATGGAGGGATGGGACTGCGATTCCCCTTCTGGATGGCTCGAGTGATGGCCTTTAATTTCTTCTTGCCCGTCTACAAAAATAAAAAGGTAATGTTAGTCACAGATCCAAGATGACATTCAAAGAAACATGAGGATCCCCATCATACCTTGTAGTCGAGATACTTTGCCCGCCACTCAGGAACCAGTTCCTGTTCCAATTCTCTGTGGGAATATAGTCAGTCATCTGGATCGCGTTAGATGGGGAAAGAGGGGAAGACCAACTTGGCGAATTTCATCCTGACCAACTCTCTTCCGTCATGGCATACCTCTTTGCGGTTGGGAGGGGGAAGAAAGAAGTGAAAAAGTCAATTTATAGAATTGAGATGAAGAAGTCACCAAGCCTGGGTAGTGCGATTACCCCGGTCTAACGCAGATAAGCTGCAGGGCGCAACTTTCGGGTTCTAGATGATAAGGTGGAAGGGAAGAACAAGGAAAAAAAAGCGCCATCCACGTTGAAACTAAAAAAGCAAAAAAAAAAAAAAGTAGAAAAAACAGAAAGTTGTCGATCTAGGACTTTTTTTCCTTCTGGAACCAGGGACCAGGATTCTCGAACTCCTGTTACCCCAAGATCTAAAAGTATCATCGTGTACATTCATTGGATTCAAATCAATCGCAACAATCAACGACGCTTGCTCGGGCACGTGCGGGAGATGATTTCATCGATTCCTGGATTCTCAGGCGTTAAGGCTCCACAATTGGTCATCCACGAGTGCTGACTGGTTGAACAAACGCGCTCACCTTCAGCGCCTGAAGATCACATTGTCCAATGTGAGACGGTCGGCTTCGCAATACCGGCATCCAATCTGACGTTTGATACCTCAAATCCACCATCTAGGCCCAATTATTGAAAATCATTGGGCATGGATGGTATCATTGACGAGAAATCCGCAGTTGGACACCCAGGATCAACCTTTGGAAAGGGTTCGATGGAATGCGGTGTGGATCTGGAATGTTGTTCGGCGTGTTCTCATGGTGATGACTGGCCCGGGGAGATAATGTTCTCCAAAAACAAAGACAGAAAAAATCCGAGCCCTGCAACCTTGAGCTTGCAGCTGCGGGTTCTTGATACTTTGGTGCATATTTCCCGAGCTGCGTATGTATACCTACCCGGCCTACGTAAGGCTGTGAACTAAATACAGCCGCTTTGGCCACCAGACAGGAGGCCCGGGACAACTACCAAGCTGGATCCGAAAGAAGGGGAAAAAAGAACGTTTAGGTAATTCTGCTTCATTGTTCGCTCTTCCTATACAAAAACTGGGGAATAAAAGAGCCCAGGATATCTCATGGAAATAAAATCATGCCTTCGTCTAATGCGCCTGGAAGGCTGCATTTACCACTGGCGCTCGAAACGCTCCCGGCGCTCGAAGCTCTGGTGGGGCTCGTAGTGGGGGTGCCACTCATCACCGCCGTGACGGTTGTACTGCTCATCGTACATGGCCTCGGCGTGCTTCTTGCTCTCGTGGTGGAGCTTCTGGCGGTCGATGGCATCAAGACCCTTGGTCTCAACGAGCTTGTCAACCTCGGCACCAACAAGGCCCATGAGAGCCTCCTTGGCGAATGCGTGCTTAACGGTCTTGCCTATTAACGAATGGAGTCAGCAAAATATCCCAATCGTGCTAGCGTTGAGTATATTATATATAGTAGGGGGGATGAGAGGTGTGTGACGTACCCTGGGCGCGCTGGTGGTCCTCCCAAGCCTTCATGCCAGCAAAGGAAGCGGCACCGGCGATGGCCTCGTGAGAGAACTTAGCCTCGTGGTGGTACTGCTGGCCCTGCTCATAGACCTCCTCGTGGGAGCGCTCGGCGTGATCTAAATAAATGGCATGTCAGCTGCAGTTCATAAACTCTACCGGCCCAACGTGGAAATGCAGAATCTGTGTCATGTGCATGCAAAGGCGGGAGGCATGTGACGAGGGGATTGCATCAAGTAGGTCAGAACTTACCGAAGAAACCCATTGTGAATGAAGTTAAAGAGGAAAGGTGTTTAATAGAGAGGTTGGTAGAGAGTGTGATGGAGAGAGAAAAAAAAAAGGGCCTTGTCAGACGGGGAGAGGGGATCTTATACCCGAGTAACAGCGGACAGAATAATCGAGAAAGTCTGAAGAGTACGTATTCCGTTCAGTACAGTTTAGAGCGGCTATTTTCCTTTCCTGTCTCAGTCAAAGCTGCCCCACCAATCTGTGGACAAGGTGGCTGAGGCGAATTTTACAGGCTGTGCTATCTTGGGATGGTCGCAGCAAGATGGAGTAGAGGACCCTCCAAAATACAGTTGGACCATGGATTCACATTGACTATCCGAGTGCCTGCCCCTCGATAGTGGAGCAAACAGATCGCATTGCCTTCCTCAGCCCCTGTTACGTACAACCACTTAAACCACATCCATCCGGGGGGGTCGGGCTCAAAGAGAGGGGCAAATGAAAGCTGATCCAGTGATATCAGAGGGCTTTTGGTGGGGGGCCTATCTCGATCTCCAGCCTGAGTGGTTACAATTGTCGGACCCCAGCTACAGCTGATGTACGCCGAGACTCTCGGCATGGCTTCTTGAGGACGATCCCATACTAGCCAAGAGTCTTTTTGTTAGTGATTCCCTCCCAGGCCTTTAATTCAAAGTTCAAATGGACGTTCAGGTCACTCTATATCCCGTGTCGGTATGCATGGTTATGTTTTTCGGTATTCGGCATGCGGGCGTTCTTTACGGCTTACCTACTCCATGAACCATGGGCCAGGCATTCAAATTTCCACAGTGATTGATGCTTTCTTTTTGCCCTGAAACAAAGCCTACCGTGGCCCCGCGGTTTCCGAATATTGAAACCAAAGCAACACGCTGTCCAAAAAGGGCTATGAGTACGTGTCCCGCTCGGCCCAATAGCGCGATGATCGGAGGGGCAGGATCCATTCAGCCCTACTCCGCTTGTCGATAGACGAATTGAATAAGTGCACGCGCACCACTAAACTCGATCTGTCGTGGCGGTAAATAGACGTATCTTCTGGCGTACAATTTACCAGCTGAGACGACATCGGTTTGTATCATAATAATTAACGGAAGCCGGCCTCTCCGGGCCAAGCTTCTCCCGGAGAAATCGAAGGCTTGTCCGCGCCTTACAAGGTGACTTCTTGGCGGGCATCAGCCACGAAGGACAAGTGGCGGTGAAAGCCCAACAACTCTGTTATGTTCTGTTATGTTCCGTATGTTCGATATGTTATGATGTTATTTAGACATCTGGACACAGAATCCAAAGGAATCTTCCTTCGATCCATGGATGTTTGTTTCTTTTTTTAGTGAAATTTTTATTACGTACCCATAGCTGCACCGCCCTATGTGGCGCTGCCGCCACATCCGATTTACTTACCCTGAGCAAGTACGAATAATGTAGAAATGTTGTGAACATTCACTAGTCATGTATAACTACAGATACTTAGGAGTATATGAAGATATGTACACAATTATAGTTCTGAGAGTCAATGTTAAATTGGGCATTAAGCTTTAAAATTCCTTCAGTTGCGTGTAGTACATACATATCTGAGTCCAGTTGATAGCCGTAACACATTGAATACTGCTACACCGAAGCCCTGTGATGGCTTGCAAATTTCAAGGGCAGATAATCGAATTACCTCATCGATCGACCTCCAAAAATGTGAATGTTGTCATGTTACGGTTCTACGGAGTACACATCAGGGTCATAACCGAAACCACGGTCATCGCCCTCTCGGAGTCTTGGCAGCGGGGATCGCTGTACTGCCTAGGCAACGATAATACCACTATTTTTCGGGGCTTGCAATTACACTCTTCGTACGAAGGAGAGCCCCGCAACCTTCGGCTCCCATCTTTTTGAATCGTGAAACTATTCTCGGCATAACGCTGCAGACATCAATCAGCAAAGGGTCCGTAATCCCGAGCCCCCAGCCACACTTTCCGGCATTACCAGACTCAGCCACAGGCAGCCTCAATTTTCTACACTTGGACCTGGAGTCGGGCAGTCTCCAGCCCTCAGAGAGGCCGAGCTCGAGCTACCTCTGTTACTATTCTTGGAAGCTTGACAAGGTAGAGCAGAGCTCCCTTAACACCAAACCGAGCGTGTGACGTCACCAAGTCACAGAATACCGAGCTGCACGGGCACCAATTGAAGCTCTGGTGAGACACCAAAGAAGGAAAGAGCATCAGAAAAACAAACCAAAAAGGGAAACCACGTTCACGAATCACCATGCCTACCAAAACCCCAACCCAATCCGATTTCCCCTCCAGCCTCACCGTCACCATCACCCTCCCACCAAACCCCACCTCCAGCCCCTCCCCAAACATCCTCCTCCTACTCCACGGTTTAGGCGACTCAGCCGCAGGCTTCACACCCTTCGGCCGAGCCCTCCACCTCCCCGAAACAACAGTCCTCACCGTCCAAGCCCCCGCCCCCGTTCCATTCGATCTAGGCGGATTCCACTGGGGCGACGATGTCGCCTTTGACAGCTCCACCGGCGGCCTAGACATGGACGCCGGGCTAACGCGAAGTCCAGCGATCCTCATCAAGGATCTCGTGCGAGGCGTCCTAGTCCAAAAATGCGGCTACCGGCCGCGCGAGATCCTGGTGTTCGGATTCGGACAGGGCGGCATGGCTGGATTGAGTCTTGCGCGGGAGCTTGAGAGGGGTGGAGGTGAGGGTGTGGAAGCTGAGCCATTGGCAGGTGTGATTTCGATTGGGGCGCCGTATCCGCTTTCGGGGCCGCGGGCTGGATCCAAGAGCCGCACGCCTGTGCTACTGGTTTCTGGACGTGACTCGGTCGTTGTCTCGGATGAGGCGGTGCGTAGGACTAAGCAGGTTTTTGAGTTTGTGGAGGTTAGTCGGTATGCGAGGAGGGGGGATGGGATGCCGTCTAATCGGGATGAGATGCTGCCTGTTATGCAGTTCTTTGCCAGGCGGTTGAGGAGTAGACAGGGTGTTCCTGAGGGGAGTGTTGAGCTTGGCTGATGGTCACTATCCCTGCCACTCATACATAATACATAGAAATATAATATTTTAGATCTTCGTTCATCCAGATGTCATGTAGATCGTACCTAATGCCTGAGTATATTATCAGCGTAACATTTGAAAGTTCAAACATTTGAAGTGATGGATTGCCCAGGTGATGGTACGTCTCACATGGCATTTCCTACCACGCCGCACTCCGATAATACCACAGCGCCGGACAGCGGTGCTGAACCCCATTGTAAGGCTACGCGCGATTCAAGAAGGGGTTTCCCGTCCCGAGGTCCGCACGCGAGATTGTTTTTGTACTCTTAAGCCAAACATTTTGCGTGTCATTATACTCCACTTGATCAATGCTAGACACGGAGATGAATTGGTGAATTTTTCTGTAAGCACCGAAGTAGTAAATGTGTGGATAAGAGCATCTATTGAGTGGACTACCAGTAGCATTGACACCTGCAGGGCTAATGTACTTCCAAATTCTCAAGGTTCACATGTCCATGAATGTTTCTCATATCATTATGTACGTAATTTCTTGCTATTTCCAAGGTTATATTACACGTGCTCATTAGGCAGTGTTGATACAGCGGCCGGCTTATCCATCATATGGACATATCCCTTAAAGAGAAAGGACCAACTCCTTCAACTTGGCGAAGTCGGGAGTACCCAGACCAGTGACAGGGTCCCATCCAGTAGTGGCATTCCAGTGAGCACCGGGGATGACAAGAGCACCGTCGACTTCCTCCTCACTCTGAGGGTCAGAGCCAGTGCATCCATAGGAGGCACCGCCAACAATATCGTTAAGCCCCTTGTAGCCCAGAGAGTACAAGAAGGGGTTCAGGAAGCCCAGAACGGGCTTTCCAGCACGCAGACGGGCGTCGTTCAGAAGACCAATGATACCGGCGAAAGTAGGCGCGGCGGCAGAGGTACCACCGGAGAGTGAGTACTCACCAGCATAGACAACCTCGTAGCTGTGAATAATCAGTTAGAAAAACATCGTCCTTTTCTTCTCTTTTCCGGATAATTTCCAAGATCGAACTTACTAGGGGTACAAGCTGTGGGCGGACACGTCGGGGAAGCCACGGCCCTCAAAGTCAGCGTACTTGGAGTAGTACTCCTTGGTCTCCTTGGTGACGTGGTCGGCGAGGTAAGTCGCGACGGCAGAATCCTGGTACCAAGCACGGTCGAAGATGTTGGAGAAACCGCCAGATGAGGCGTTCCATGCGACCTCGGGGCTCACAGCCGCGGTACCACCAACTGCAGTGACATAGGGGCAGGTAGCCGGGAAGATGGGGTTGAACTGGGGAGTAGTTCCATCAACAGCCTGGCAGGCCGAGCCGACACCTAGTTGTTCCGTTAGCTGAATTTCTTGTTCAAACATCATGATGCTGTAGACTTACCCTCATCTCCAGAAGAGTGGATAATAGTGAGACCACGCAGAGTGTTCAAGCCAATCAGGTTGCAGACAGACTTCGCATACTTCTCGGGAACGGTCTGCAAGAAAATTAATAAATGAGCTAGTCACTTTGGCTGATTTGGATTTATTCCTTACCTGCTCGTCATCACCGTAAGAGTTGGAGATCACAGGGGGGAGCTCAGCGTTGGTCTTAGAGAGCAAGTACTCGTAGTAGACGAGGTAGGGCTCGTTCTCGTCATCTGACTCGGTAGGCTCATCGGCATCAGTGAGGAAGGGACTAATTTCTGTTAGATCTTGAAACATTGAAAAAATTGATAGACACATACGCAACACCACCGGTAATGAACTCGTGGATGGGCAGAGGGTGAGAAACACCACTGATCAACTGCACATCCAGGTTGGCCTCGCCGATATCACCTTCGGGGGCAGTCTGGTTGTCCACACCACCGTTGAGGGTCTCAACGGTAAACTTCTGGGCGGGGATGTCGAAAAGCTTCTGGAACTTAGCCAGATCGGATTGGATGGCAGACTGATTCAAGAAGCTGCCGAAACCAACAACACTGCCAGACGAAGCCTCGGGAGTGTAGTCACCCACACTGTACATGGCCTTAATGCAGCTGGGAGTAATGTACTCGTCGCATGAGGCAGCAGGAGTCGTGCGAGAACGCAAACTGCGCGACTTCGGGTTGGTGGGGAGGGCCGCGCGGGTCTTGCCGAAGTAAACAGTGGGCGAGATGACATCGATATAGTCGCTCAGGTCACTGGGAATGGAATACTCGCTAGTGCGAAGCTTCACTGATCCGTCACTTGCATAGTTGGCAAAAGTGGTGTTCAAAAGGCTGTTGACCTTCTCAACGCTGCCACTGAACTTGAGCAAAGCACCATCGCGAGTGTAGTTGGTGATACCGGCGCTCTTCAGCCAGGTCACAACGGGAGCATCAGAGACAACGGGGAACTTGGAGTCCACATCATCCTTCTCCAACCATTGACCATACTCTGCGTTGCCGGGAGTTGAGACCTTGGTCAGGGTGGATTCCAGTTGGTCGACATTCTCACGGGACAACGAAATAGCCAGCGACATAGTCGAGTCGGTGGGCGTGCTGACGAGCGACCAAGTACTGGGGACACCTCCGGCCAGGCTTTCCCAGACCACGCCCATGGCAGGCGCGGCCAAAGTACAGAGCAGTCCAGTATAGACTGTGGAGTGCATGGTGAATAGTCTTAAGGGATGAAAAAGAAAACCACTACGAAGAAGAAAACATGGCAGGGATCGTCGGTCCTACTTATGCCTCGTGCCCCTTTGCCAATGCGGCAATACCCACACTGCAGTTATGCAATGCCCTCACGAGTAATTTAATGTTTGATTAGCGAGCCCCGCTCCTCTCCCAGCAAGTCATTCTTCTGTACTCCATAGCTCGCCTCTTGGCGATTAAACCGACGGACATCCATAGAAGGCTCGGGCCAGGAACCAACAAAATTGCGCCAAACAGGTTACATCCTGTGGGGATATGTTATCAGTGACGCGAGCTCCGCTATCTCCCCCGTGATGAAAGAAAAGTGCAGCACGAGGCATGAATCACTTGCCGATCCTTCCTGCGATGTGATCTGTACAAAGCCGTCCGTGGCAACCGGGAGTGATACCACGTTGGCACGGTCCTGCAAAGCCATTCCATGTGTATTCCCTGCATGCTCAGATGTCTCATGGCCAGTGGTTTTGTTGAGAAAAATTGCAATTGTTCATCCATCGGCAAACAATAGCGATCGGCAGGGGTTCCACTCGCGATTTAGAATAAAAGCAATTTAAAGCCGGAGTCCGCCGGGGTTGAGAGGAAGCCACTCCGCGAAGCTTGTCCTTTCTAAGCTTCTGCCGATTTCTCCACGCGTTATGATCGGTTGCCTAAGCGAGTGTCTTCAAGGAAGACGATGGAATACGGGCTAAGCCATCACACAATGATATGACTGGCCTGCCCTTAAGATTGCAAAAGAGGGGGTTGCATGATGTGGGGATGGCCCGAGCTCTGGGGTTTTGTTGATAACAACAAACTTATCCGTTGCCATTACTACTCTTACTCTCGTGATCGAATTGAGGCTAATACCTCTTGAATGTTGCATAATACGCTAAACCGAGGCTGTAGATGGTCCATTAGGCACCAATAGGATGCTGTCGCTTTAGTATCTGGATCTCTAATCTCTCTTCTATAGTGGAATGCACTTCAGCCCGAATGACGTTATCTATTCATGCTTCCGTTGAGTTCATATCCTTGGCCAAGTTTCCGGTTGATTAGATTATTGAGATTGAATATGTCGTAATACTTTCTGACGATATTTTATGTAAGAGATGGGTCATTTTCTACATGTAAGAAATCAATTGATTAGAAATGCAGGTTGAAAAAGACAAGGTTTGACCGCTTATTGCGCGGCGCTGAGACTTGGTCAATCAGAGAGCGATAGAAGCGACAACATACACATACACTGCATGTAACATTGAATTGATGGTTCGCATCAAGTGATATGCCTAGGATCGGATTTTATACATGCCCCGTAAACTCTTCTCAACATTGCAAGTTCAACCCCGATTGGTCATCTCCGCTTCCAAGGTTTACTAAGTCAGAGGCTTCAATGTTTTTTTTTTTCCTTTTCAAACAATCCAACGGCATTGAATAGTATAGCTAGGTACCCATCTAGGTAAGCTATGCAATTGCTATGCAATCGTATCTGGAATTCCAATACTCAATATCCACACACGCATCGTAGAATCACCGTACACTTCCCATCTTCTAAATCCAAGCAATGTCGAGATTTGTGTACTATAAACACCTAATTGATCTTTATCGTAGTTTATCAAGTTAATCTCTAAAAATGGAGGGTTCTGGTAGAATTAGGCCACCTGAACATCAATAGTGACGGGCTGCGGGCGCACTAGTAGTAGTACTGCAGCAAGAAGAATCTTGGGCTCGGGGGTTTACAATTAGCATTCTCGCGCTGCGACCGGTTCATTCTAAGCTTACCACTTGTTCATCCTTTTGACGTATACCGATGCCTCCAGGACAAAGGATTATGAGCACAATGGCTCCAGTAGTGATGGCGAGAACCTTCACCCCTTCCCCACCATGGGGGTTTAATTCCGTGACCGTTGAGGAGAATATTGATGACGGCCTAGCTTCGGTCGAAGTATTTGTGACCGAAACTACCTCCGTAAGTGCCGCAGGCACAGGCCAGCCCAAGGGGCCCTCTTTTAAAAGGTCTTTGAATCCCTTTGTTTTTTGTTAGCTTTCTTGCGGTTTTTGCCACGAGTGAGCTCTTGGTTGACCAATCAAGTCAACAACCGCAACATTACAATCATTGGGACCGAGCTGAGAGACGAATGACAGCTATCAACCACAATCGTCTTAGCCATGCAATAAGAAATGTTGGATGTTAGACTTCGTGTGCGTAGTTCATCATCTGATCATCATCCGCCCTTATAAGAGGAGGCGGTTTTTAGTAGTGAGATCACGCATTTTTACGTAGTAGCCAACATCCAATGCTTGACAATCCAAAATCACAAGAAACACCTCACGGTCAATTGAAATACAATGTCCTCGGGATCTTTCAATAACTTTCAAACTCTCCTCGACCAGCAGGTCGGATCACTTCAAAAACCCTCCTCATGGCCACCCCTGCCAGGTAGGTTTCTAACTTGACCCTCAAATATCGAAAACTGCGACTTGCTCAACCTTGGAGCTACTACATAAGCTAACTTTTAGTAGTAGCAACAGATAATCGAAACACGCAGAAGCGTATTCCCGCAGCCTCCTTGCGCTTCCAAAGTGCTGCTTGGGTTACCGCTGGTGGCGGCATGGCTGCCACACTGGCTGGCGTACGAAGAATCTTTCGAAACTTCCGTGGACTGAAATATTTTTGACGGAAGTTTCGAGGAAACAAAAATGTTGAACTTTTTATGTTGTGATCTATAATTGAATTGGTCCGGGTCGAACTTACCCATATCTCGATTCTCCAATGCCGAGTTCATTCCTATATCAACGGGAGTATTTGATGCCAGCCTCTGCTACTTAATTTCCTGAACCGTTTTGATAGGCACATTGTACATACTTATCTACACTCCGGAGTCCAGGAATAAATTGAGTGCAAATTTGTTCTCAATTTCAATTTTTCATCTCTCACTTGCCAGACATTTTGTTTCCAGATGGTGCTTTCGAATGTTGTAAAAATTTCTCTGTTCAACCATACCATTCTCCATTGATCACCACAGGATGGTCAATACTAAGAGAATGCGAAGTTCTTATCTGCCCATACCTACACCCGAATATGTCTACTTTTATTGAGAAATGCTATATCCCTGATCAAGGGCCAGAGTTCACAGGCTTGTAGTATATAGTATGTATCTAGTAGGCATAGACAACTCATACAAAGAATCACATCACATCAAGAAAATCCAGTCATCACTTCTTCAACCCAATGACAGCCAGGTTCCGCGGACTCTCACTGTAATCGAATACAGGCTCGACCCAGCACTCCTTGACAGAGTCATGTTCCCGCAGATACTGCCATCTATCAACAACAATGACCGTCTCAACAACCTGAGCGCTGAAAGCCATCAAGCTCCACACTACACTGAGATTCTTCCTTGCCTGGCGATACTCCGTATCATAGCGCTGGAAATCCTCATCAGACATGGTGCCCACATTTTCCGAGACCTTGACACCGTGGTTTGGGTCGCGGGTCAACTTGACTATCGCAGCACGCATATACGCCGTGAAAGACTTGAACGCAGTCTTACCCAGCGAGCCGATGATGACAGCCGCGGTCCCATTGGACTCCTCGTATAGATCTTTTACGGCGCCGGGTTTTGGGACGACACCGCGGTCGACAAGGATGCGTTGCAGGAGGGCACGATAGTAATTGCGCGTGAAAAAGTCTTCGCTGTCGGCGTGGCCCCAGTTGTAGGGAGCCTGGACTGCCATTGAGCGGGCTGTGATATTGAGTTTCATGCCATCTGTGCCGGCATTTTTGTAGTCCTCGTAGAGTTTGGACATGGGGAAGCCGTGCGGGTCGTAGGATGTTCCGGTTTCGTAGAGGCGTGGGTGAACTGATCGGAGGATGGGGAGTTTGTATGTTGCGGGTCCGAGACGCTCTGTCATTAGGTTGTAACAGCAGCCGATCATGGCGACGGCGACGACTGATGGGTTCAGGATGAGAGAGCGCACGCCGTGGTGGACTAGGTTGCCACATGAATGCAGAGAGACCACCATGACTCGAGGATCGGGTCGGGTTTCTTTGCTCGGCTGCTCAGTAATGGATGGTTCCTCGGAATTTTTGCCATCATCCTTCTCTGCGGGTGGTGGATTCATGACATGATCGATGATGGGCTCCAAATAACCATCCTCAATCTCATGCTCAATGTAGCTGAGTGTGCCTCGAGCTTGAGCAAATTCCTCCTCGGCCTTTTGACGACGAACGTTGGGTGTAGTCGTACCGAGCAGTTCGTCAGGCTCTAGGGTGATCTCCCCCAACATCTTGAAGATAGTGACATCCTCAATATTCTCCTCCACTTCTCGTGCAGGAACGTCTCCAAATTTAGCATCCAGATTTTCTGCCTGGGAAGGGTCCGTTGGCTCAGAGTCTGCTACTCCCAAGCCTCCATCGCATTCATTGCAAGCCTTATTCTTTTTATTGTTGATCACATAAGTATGATCTTTCTTCTCCTTCTCAGCCAACTTGGCGTTGACATCCATATCCTTGGCTCCACTGATATACTGGTGTTTCCGCTCAATGGCAATAATGTGCTTATGGTAGGGCGAGCTGGCCAATGTCCGGCCAAGATAATTTTGCCCAGAGCCAAAATCCACGATATGGGATACAGGCTCGCCGCGGCGTTGCTCAACCGTTTCCGAAAGATCAGCCACATAGCGTGAAAAATGCTGGACTTCATGAAGTTTTTTCTTCTTCATGCCCATAGCAACATGCTTGTTAAGTTTTGTCTTCTTTCCGAGGTCGGGAGATGCGAAATCTCGTCGTAGGCTCAGCCGACGAACATTGTAGATGTAATCTAAGAGGGTTGTTGGAGGGAAAGCGCCTCCGTTCCAAGTGCGAGTCGCATCACCGGGCTCTCGTAAAGGTTTAATGTCTTCCCGTAGGAGCAAGCGAATGATATCTTGTGTGTCATGTTGGTGGAAGAATGCGATCCAATCCTCTGGAAGTAAAGTAGTGTATAAATCGGGCTCGCGCGTCAGGAAATCCAGAATGTGCACGCCACCGCATAGATTTATGAAGAGCTCGTTCGAATTCGCGAAGAATAGGAGCGCCTCAATGTAGGAGTCGGGATCCTGCCACTCGTCGGCGATTGGAAGAGGACGATTGCGATCCATTGAGTGAATTTATGCCACTGTCCCACACAAAAATCCGACAAATCTTCATCGTGGGGAAAGCCTTATCTTTTTTTTTATCGGAGATCCGCTGCGCCGCTGAGTAAGAGAGGGTTTGAATGTACGGAAATTGGCTGGCGTTATTTGAATAGTTGATCCGACGATAAAATAGAAGTTCAATCAGAGACAAGCCTGGAAATTTAGAATTATCAAACAACTGGCTTCAATTCTACACTTTGACATTTTATCGTACTACACTGCGCCACTGCCTACCACGCATCACTTGCTGTTGCTTATAGATCGGCCGGGCTCTTACACGTGATCCCCCGAGAAGCTGCCAGCTCCGCATTAATCACTCCATCACTCCGTCACTCCATCAACAATCAACAATCACAATTAAACCACAGCGATGGAGAACGCCGACCCTTTCCTTCAAGTCCAGGTGTAAGCCATTCCAATCCCGCCAACCAACCAAGCATTCAGTGGCACGCCTAGTAACAACATCGAACCCTCCAACTAACCTTCCATGATCCCAGGGACGTCCTCTCCACACTACAAACCAGCCGCCCCCTCTTCTCCTCATACCTGCGCATCCGCTCGCTAGCAAAGAACCCCAACAACCCGGAACTGAAGCAATCACGATCAGAGCTAGAAACCACATTAACAGAGCTAAGCGCCGACCTCGACGACCTAGTCGAGAGCGTACGCGCCATTGAACAAGATCCCTACCGCTTCGGACTGGAGCTCGAAGAAGTCCAGCGACGGCGTAAGCTTGTCGATGATGTCGGGGCCGAGGTAGAACAGATGCGTCAGGAGCTGCTGCAGACGGTGTCTCACTCTGCGGCTGCGGGGGCTGCGAACGAGCTGCCGAATCCGACGGAATTCGATGCCGCCTTGGACGAGGAGGAGCGGCAGCAGAATGGCGGGGATGATTATTATGCTTCGTTGGAGCAGCAGCGGCAGTCGGAACTTATGCATGAGCAGGATGAACAGTTGGATGGGGTGTTTCGGACTGTCGGGAACCTGCGACAGCAGGCTAATGATATGGGGCGGGAGTTGGAGGACCAGGGCGTTATGATGGATGAGGTTGATACCTTGGCTGATCGGGTTGGTGGGAAGTTGACGAATGGCATGTCGCGAATCAGACATATTGTTCGCCAGAATGAGGGTAAGAGACTACGTTTTGCTACTGTACTACCGGTGACGGAGATGGTGGCATTGCGGTGGCATGGGAATCACGTATTTCAAGCTAACACTTTTGCAAACTAGATACATGGTCCTCCTTTTGCATAGCGGCGCTCATCTTTGCGCTTGTGCTATTATTAATTCTTCTTATTGTCCTGTGATAGTACATCATCAATAAAGGGGGGCCAAAAAAAAAACAACCAGCATCACCCGGAGCAAAGGCGTTATTATGACGTTGTTCAAAAGATTTAAGTGCGAACCTTCTTGCGGGGGTGGGAGTGATCACACTCTCCATCGTGGTCGTGCTCCATCATGTCGGCCTCGAGCTCCTCCATGTCGACATCGTCAAAGTCGTCGCCCATCTCGTATGATTGAACTGTGGGATGTTAGCTGGGGTACGCTTAAATGTCTGTCTCCTCTATGATACATACCGTAGTACTTCATGGCGTCAGTCCAGAGGTCCTCAGCAATGCTGATGGCAAGCTCCTCTCCATCGGGGAAGGACTCGGCATCCTCGAGCTCGTCAATGAGGTCCTCATCGTCCTCATCATCGTCCTCATCATCGTCCTCGTCGTCAACCTTCTCGCCCTTGGAAATCTTGACAAAGCGCTCCTCGTCCTCCTTCTGGGCGGCCTTGTTCTGCTCAGCAGTGACATCCTGGCCACGGTAACCGAACCAGTTGAAGAAGCTGGTGCCAGCGGGGGAGGAATCCTCATCCTCGTCATCCTCATCCTCATCCATGGCATCCTCCTCAGCCTCGATCTCGCTCAGCTTGGAGACAAGAGCCTCGTACTCAGGGAGCTTGGTGCGCTCGCCACCCTTCTTCTCAGCATCGAACAGATTGCAAGTGGCATCAAGGAGACCCTTGGTGACATCCTTGCCCTCCTTCCAGTTGATACGGACGGGGTCAGAGACAAGACCCTCCCAGTCGCGACGCTTACCGCTAGCAGTGCGGGTGATCTTCTTGCGCCAGTAGAACTCCTTGACGAGCTGGGAGTTCTCGAAGTAGGGGTTCTCCTCGCCGGTGGCGAAGGTGAAGGTGAAGCGCAAGCTGCGGGGCTCGCCCTCACCCTTCTCGTTAACCTCGAATCGCTCAACGTTCAAGTTCTGCAGAGTGCCACCAAGGACAGCGGCATCAGAGGGCCGAATGTACTCATCGATCTCGGCGGGGGCACCAGAGAAGACGCGGACCCAGAAGTCACGCTTGATCTCGGGGTGGTTGATGATCTCATTGCGCTTCTGGAAGAGCGGGGTCAGAAGAGGAACTGACGAACGCACTATTTAGGGTTCAGTTAGCATGGGATGTTTTTCTTTTTTTCTTTTTCTTTTCTTGCGGCATAGCACAATAACAATAGAACACGGGAGCTTTGCATCATAGAAATCATGATTCCGATTATATGCGCCAAGGCCATATGTAGCAAAATAGAAAAATTTTCACCGGGCATATGAAGCAAGCAACCCCGCGGCCCAACAATGGAGGGGAAATAACGGCAAAAACGAATGAATCACTTACGCTGCTGAACCTCCGCGCGGATGAACTGCTCCTGCAGATGGGCAATCTGGGACTGGGCCTCGATGGGAATAGTAGGGAACTCAACACGCTCCATGAGGGACTGGTCGTTGGACATAATGTACGTAAGGTGGGGGTTTTGTTTGGGTTGGGTATAGATTGATCGTAACAAAAATAACAAAGCTCGTCAACAATTGAATCGACTTGAAACAATTGAAGTGTTTTTAAAAGAAAAGGGAAGGGGTATATGGAGAGAGAAGAGATGAAAGAGAAAAGAAGAAGAGAAAAAAAAAAAAAAAAGGAGAAGGAGGGGGAACTAAAAAAAAAAATTCTAAAAGTCTGGCAGATCAGCATAAGCTATTCGATGCGGTGCATGGGAATCCCTGGGCGGAGAGCTGCCTGTACATGAAGTGACTGGACAGTACATTTGTTTTGGTGGGGCAGTGGGTGGGGGGATAAGTACCGTTTTGTAGATGGAAGTAGACACGGCTTGGTACACCAGGCAACGGACGGATTCGTCTGGCGGTGGAGCAGTTCCAGCCTGGGCAATCAGGTGTCGAATTGGAAAATTTGGTTTAGAGTGGGACATGACGAATGATGAGGCATCCATTGGGGCACATGGAGGAGCTTCTCGTGCTTTCGATTCTTCACGTTGCCACCCAAATGAGAACGTGCAAATTCTAAACGTGGTGGGACTTTGGGAATGGTAGAAGCTAAAAAGCCTGAAGTACAAACTTATACTTCAATTATTCAAGTTAGACTACAGTAGATCGAGTACTAGTTACAGCTCTCTCCAATAATACAAGCCTACAGAGCTTTCCCCGGATAAAAAAACCATCAAAAACATCAGCTGTAGCTGTAGCTGAATTTGCTCAGATCTAGAAAATTCTGCCCCAAATTAACTTGGATCATTAGTTTCTTCTAAGGCCAAACGCACATCAATCTAACGGTCTAACCCTGTGACCCCTCTCTTTTAGCAGCAAGGCTCTACGCTCAATTGGGAGAACTTATTCAGCACATTGCTTTTTCTGACCCTCATTCCTGAGCTTCTAATCTTCACTCACCACCCCGAACAGCTCTTCTTTTTGGTGAAACCCCATACGCATTATTTTTTCTTTGGCGAGTGATGAGAAGTACTTTTAGTCTATGTATATTTTGCCCTTTGATACTGGAATTAGTGTGGGCTAGGAGTCACAGGAACTTTGTGGTCTACCTAGTATAGCAGGAAACCACAGACCTTCTTCTTGCGTCCTTTGCTGAACGGCTATAATCTTGAGCTTGAGTCACATGCGATCTGGCGCGTATCAGCTCTTCATGTCTTTAATTTGTCGACAAAAGTCGAATTTTAAGGTGATTTGGGGGGAAAAGAGTGATCGCTAAAGCCCTATAATAGTACCCCTGGGGTTATCCAACCTTGAAGTGGACATACTACATACTCAGTACTCGACGTGAGTACCTACTCAGTGCTCGGCATAAGTACCTAGAATCCTAGACAAGCACCTAGACAAGCACCTAGACAAGCACCTAGACAAGCACCTACTCAGTACTTGAGATAGTAGGCATTGTACTCACAGTAAAATCATGTGATGGGAAAAAACCGCAGACACAAGTAGCCAAGGGGGTCAGCGTACCGGGAAGTTTGTGGTTATTAATATGATACTTTTTATTATCTTTCAACTTCAAAAATTTGCCTATCCTCCTTATATGTGCTCCACTCACTGCCAAATGCCGATTATCTACTTGTAGCGAACAGGGGAACGCTACTCCATCAACTACCTAATCTTCCGCGCACTTATCCTGGGTCTATACGTACGACGCAGCAGCTTGCAGCACTTGAGGACATGCTTTTGGATCAAACCGACCCCCGTTTGGCGCTTGCGCTGGTGTAGGCGGTGGTTCTACTGGCTCCAAATCCGACAAAATGGACCTATCTGCGGTCCAATCTGCAGTCCAATCTGACCCTTAAGGTAGTAGTAACAACCAAAAAATTACCTCTTGGAAACCGTCCACCTCAATTACACAGGTCTAATTTAATACCTTTCCCACCATTGCCCGATTTTCGTTTCCTTTGGTGCACCGGTGGGCACGGAAAAAGGAGCGGTCTGCGCGGGGTGGTCATTGGTGGGATAAGCATCCTTACCGTCAACATACTTCATGTGCGTACAGCCGAGGTTATTGTATTGATGTCAAAGCGTAGCTCAGGTGATCTTATCTATCTCCCGACAAAGGTGAATGGATTTGAAAAAGAGGGGAATCCGACTGGAATGGAATTGAGAGGGTTTTTGGCCATGTATAGTAGTGGTTGGGAGTTAAGTTGATGAGGGTCATTCCAAGACCCTTTCCTTTTCCTTTCCCTTTGCTTTTTTTTTATAAAAACAAAGAGCAAAGGAAAAAGAAAAAGCAGCCGGATGCTGTGCCATTAGATCGGGTCTCTTCCCCTGGCAATCAGACCCCGGATTTTCCCAAAAAATAAAACAGCAAAGTAATAAGAATAAACTTTTTTTCGTGGGGGAGATAATCAATCCCCAATTGCCCCGGTCAAGGGCATCCGATTAAGAACGGTGGGGTAAGAAGAAAAAGTCATGTCCCATATAATTCCCATGCCCATTCGCCAGTAATGCAATAATTAGAGCAAAGAAGAAAAAAAAAGAAAACAAGAAAAGAGACATATGGCGCATGGCATGTCAACATGCACAGGCATCATCACCATGCACGTCCGCCGGGGATTGAATAGTCGCAAAGAGGTGAAGCAGAACGGACAACACCGAAAAAAAACCAATTCAACATGGATGTGGAGCTGCGGTTTCATGAGCAGTTCACATTCCAAAAACCTGCGCGGATTTTTTTCCTGTCCATAAGACCAAAAGAAAGAGAAAAGAAAAGGTGGGAAAGGGGGAAAGAGGGGAGGAACTAAATCTCGAAACTAGTAGCTTCAAAGCATCCAATCCAGTCCATTGGCTTCCTCTTCCACGGGGAATACCTCACGCGCATACTCCTCCATATCCCTCCATCCTTGCCACAGATGCCGGGACTCATCAGTAACCCGTTGTGAGACTACTCCACCAGGGCCCTGCATCATACCAGCACCAGCACCCTTTCCACCCGCAGGGCCTAGACCCTTGGGTGAGCCTGCGGCCGGCTGTGAGAATTCAGGTTGTGGGAAGTAAGGAGCATTGAAGTCGCCGAAGAGGGTTTCTAAGGCTTCGAGCTGTTCCCGGTATCCGGCAGGCACGTTGACTTTGATTTCGATCTTGGGCACCCGCACGTAACGACAAGGTCGGCCAAGTGCTCGCTCAAATGCGGCGCACACTTGATTGGGGGAGAGAGTTTCAAAGGTGAGGGCGATGCTATAAAGAAAGAAGAAGATTAGTATGATTTCCTTATTTTTCGGTTTCTTTGTCATTTCTGGGTTTGGCCCGGGGGTATGTTTCTTTCTATATCTCTGAAGAAAAAGAGAACTCACCGATGTCCGTGCCACTTCTTTGGCCCATCCTTGAAGATTTGGAGTAGTGTGGGCCCGACGTCGTGTTCGGCGTCTAACCAGGGGAGAGGGGTTTCGGAGTCAAACGGCGCATGCCATTCAAAGGAGCCATCGTCAAGAACCTCCATCTGGAAGAGCGGGTATGGAAGACTGGTGAAGTTGTTGTTGTAGATACCGGCGTAGACGAAAGTGGCTGGTAGACCTAGCTGGCGGACGTAGTTCTCGACGGTGAACTTGGGAGCCCATTGTGGAACGGCAGGCCAGGGGCCATGAACGGAGTGGTCCGGCATACTGCTGTAGATGTAGTGTGTGATAGAACCGGCGCGTTTAGCAGCATCGGCCAGGGCGCGTCCGATAGCCACCTCGTCGCCGGACTGAGAGGTGGTGTTGATGAAGGCCAGGGATGCGCCTTTGAAGAGGGAGTCCATCAGCTGGACATTGCCGAGCAATGGGCCCTGCAGGAGGGTGACATTGGGCAAATTTTGGAGCTCATCTGCGATAAGGCCCTTGAGGGAATGAATCTGGGCGCGAACACTGTATCCCACCGCTGAGGCGACTCGGATTAAAGACGCAGCTTGCCGTCCTGTCGCGTTGACGACGGCAATGGTCTTATGCGGTTGTGTCATTCGGGGTTCGGGGGAAGCCAACCGGTGGCTCGGGAAGATAGAGTAGGGTTAAGGGAAGGGAAGAAGGGATTCAAGGTAGGAAGTGGATCTGAAGTGAAATTTGGAGGGCCAGGGCAGAGATAAAAGGGAAATCCGGAGTAATAGCCTTGGCGAGAAAAAATGGAGGTGAGGGCTTTGCGATAGTGGGGTACCTTGGGAGGGGAGTAAAAAAGTTGTATGTAACAAGAATCGCGATCAGACGGCGGGGACGATCCAGCTCCACCGCGGATTATGTGATGGAAACAGTCATCCAGGAGAGAAGTAAATGCAGAGTTTTTTTTTTCTTCCTTTTTTTTTTTATAGAAGATCTGCAAATGAATCTCTTTTTTTCTTGAGTTCTTTCAACCAAAGGTGTCAAGTTTTGTGTTCCAAAGAAACAGAAATTTCTTAAGAATTTCAAGGTTTGGTTCCGAGACGAAAAAACGCGGAGAGCAGGATAAGATAAGGCCTTTAAAACAAAATCGAAAAATCCGAAAAAAATAAGTATACTAGTATGTATCAAAATGTAAGTAAAAATGTCAAAAATGTAAAAAAAAATTGAATGTACGATATAGTGGAGTGAGCTATATTTGAAATTTCACCATTTCACCATTTCACCATTCCACTGCAATCCCGACTATTCTCCAAAAAGGCAAAAACTCTCGTTAACCAAATCCCAGGTTAAAAAAAAAAAAAGGAAATCCCTAAAGAATGACACCATCGCCTCACAAGTTGGTCTTCTTTGGTTCTTTTGGGGCTTTTCTTTACGTAAAAATCGGCTCCTTAGTCGGCTCTACATTGGACGGGAGGATCCTGTACCGGCCACGCATCGGGAGGGCTTCGGCCCCATCCATTCATAACACTTGTTGGCTAGACGTGGAGGGAAATTGGAAATGATCAAACTGATCAGGCGGATTCAGGCCCGGTTAAAGGCGAGGCTAATGCCCACACCGTGGAGACCCATGTTCTAGATGACCACCGAGCACATTAAATACCGCACTTAGTTTACACTCTTGAGAGCAATTAGGAAGGAGGACGAGGTGTCTTTTACTCCCATGGAGAAAATGGAGAACATTTTGAACGGAGTAAAATCCAATACAAGTCCAATGCCCCAATATCTCCATGTCATAGGGTGTTCGTTCCACCAACAACCTGTCAGGGGCGCTCTCACGTGGTCCTGGGAGCCAATTCCTTCAGCTCCAATTGGCCATTAGAGCATCTTCTTTTTCAAAAAAAAAATTTTAATAAAAACAAGGAATAATTTCATAAATTCCCAGAAATCCTTATTCACTATGGAGAGCTTACAGACGTGTTTCCGAACGCCTTCAATAATCTCTGTTTGATCAGCTGGACAAGCGGAAAGGGCCAACGCACTCTTTTTAGCCCGGCCTGGCCGAGCTATGGGAGATGTTGCCTTATACTTTACCTGTATAAGTCTATACTAAACTGGTACCAAATGTACAGAGTATAGGGGGGTTCCTTTTCCGCTTTGGGCACAGAACCCTTGCTGCTCTTTGTTGTCTCTTTGTATTCCGCGGGGTAGAATTCAGCACGAGTCACATTGGAATTTAACCGCCCTATATATTGCACTCTGACACACCTGTCAGGTTGTAGATCTGCCGGACATGGACATTGCTTGTTCACTTTGAAAAAGCAAAAACATAAGTTTTTTTGGCTTTTAACATTGCTATCATAACTGATTTCTACTCCACTCTAAATCAGAAAAGTTGAATTTTTACAGCTAAGCCCTAAACCACGCATCTCTTAGTACTAGTAGTTTGTAAGGTAATGTAACCATACAAGCCACGCCATGCAGTACCATGCGCCACAGCCTTCCAATACAACATTGGACAACTGTAATCCATCTACCCCGTAGGAGAAGCGCTACTATACTATACTACTAGCGTAGTCTTGGAATAATGAATGATCTCTCAAGTGGCGGTGCTAGTTACGTATTTCAAGTGTTGTTTGTTCTTACTAGTAAGCTTTTCTAAGGTGACTATTATTACTCGCGTATAAACTATCCTTGCCTAGGTACTAGCACTTGAGGCAGTGGCCAGGTCACAAGATCTCACCCGTCTTATCTAAGGTTTCAAATAGTCAACCTTTTGAAACATTTACCAATAGGTACTTCAATGGTTTCCAGCGCATTCTATACCCTTTTATATCCTTTATTATACACTACCCAAGTTACCAGTACACATGTTTCTTTACGAAACTCCCGCCATGTCTACATGAATATACCACATACAAATATCCATGTCAAGCCTGAACGACGTTTTAAAAAAATACCCCTGTCATGATTAGATCGAAAATGTTAAGATACATATGTAAAAAAAGCAATCTTCATCTTCAATGGCATCTAAGTATTTCGGCAGCCTACGCCGCCGGAGTCCGCGTAGTTAAAGTATATAGCTTCTCGAAGCGACATATAGAAGTTCAAGCTCTGTGTAACAACGAACAATGAAACTGGGTGTCAAGTAAAGGGCCTCGGGTGATCACCACGCTCAGACCGTAGACTGAGATGTACGCACGGGGGCCCCGGGAGCCCTGGGGACACGGACAGGTGCAAAAAGCAGCGACAACTCACACAGGTACGCCCCACTTCAATATTCACTCATGCAGAAAAGAAAAAACGCCAACCTTCCAAGGTTGGACGCATATACATCATCATACATGTACGGATACGTAGCTCCGACTCGCTGTGCTCCTGGAGACCCCTTTTCCCTATAGGTGGACGGAGCTATACAGAATGCAGGCATAGACTCCGCGCAGAAGCATCAACCCCGCAAATTCAATCGGCGATTGGCAACTGTTTTTTTCCTCAAGTGCTAGGAGTCGGGAGGACTTCCGATAATAGTGCTGGTCTATATGCTGGGTACCTACTTTGTACTAGTATAGTGTACTTAGTACCTAAGCTACGGCGGTCTCCGAGGAGAAAGCTATACCCACTTGCAGGGATTATCGATGGAGAACACTCAGAACAGGGGGTGGAGGTCATGCAGTCATGATACGTCAACTAGTAGAACCCCAGTAACTTTGAATGCATGTACCTAATAAATTACTTAGTACCTAAATATGACGTTTCATAAATCTGGATATTATGGTCTACTTTTCACTCTAGAAGGATAATCGGGGATAATCGAGAATAATCGCGGGAACTAAAATAACAAAACCCCCGCCAGAAAAGAAAAAAAAAAAGATTTAAAGAAGAAAAAAAGAAAAAAAAGAAAAGCAAAGCGAAACCTTACACAAGAAGTACCCCGAAAGGTGTAAGTAATGGCGCAAGCTCGGATCAAAATGCGGTGACAGGGAATTTGGAAATCGCTTATTGTTTCTTGGTGGCTTCTACCCCCCCCCCTTCGGCGGCAAGGCCCGATCTCCGCGGAGATCAAATGGTTCGATACTTTTCTGGCGTGATCAATTGCGCTTAGAACTTTGTCCACTCGGTTCTGTTCTTACTACCGCGATGATGTGACTTGCCCAAGATAACCTTCTTTAGCTTCCCTTTCCCCTTTCCCGCCTTCAATGAGGAAGAGAGGCATGTGAGCACATCACGAATCACGCCTTAACCTATAATCAAAATACTTCCCCAAACTCACGGCGCTGACCCGGCCATCATCCGGTTATACCCGCCGCCACCACTTTCCTCGTCCAGCTCGCGCTGGTTATTTTCTCTCGGGTCAATCCCCGCCAATCCCCAGACTCCCGGTCGGCGACGAGCTAAGAGTTCAGCGGCCGGTCGCTCGTCAGAGTGCAAATGGGCTCCGGATTTCCGGAGGAGGAGTACATGTTCCGAGAGACCTGTGTTCGCGGCCAGGAAGAGTGGTGTGCGACCGTTGCGATTGCGTAGATGGACGGATCCACCCTGTGAAAGAAGGAAGTGGAGTATAGAGATGGCCGGAGATGTGGCCGCCAAGTGCTGGGATCGATTAGTATGACAGAGCAAAATAATGCATTTCGACCACAAATGAGGCAAGGGGAGGGGGGGAAGAAAAACGCCATTTTTGCGTGGACTTACGATAGGTGTGTTGCCAGAATAATCGGCGTCATTCAGTAGCCAGTGCTGTTCGGTTTTCATGATCGTCTTGACTTTTTCGAGATCGCCTTGTGCGATGGCGTAACCCATCACGGTGAGCGTTTGTACGCGTTCGGGTAAGGCACCGTCGGGATGGCGAAATACTGGGACTGAAGATTCCGTCAGCTCACCCCGAAGGGAGATTGACATATTTTGCGCTACGGATTCCGGTGTGGAATCCGGCAACGCGAGTAAATAGGCGAGCTTTGTCAACGCCGCCTCGGTGGTCATGTCGAGGCCAGCTACGACACCTGCCCGTGATAGACTCATGCCAGTGGCATACACGGGACTAACACTGCCAGTAAGACCTAGAAAACAATCGAGTCATCAGCTTTTCCCCCTTCTCCGAATCCACTTCACTGACAGAAAATGGGCAATACGCACATTGGGTGACGTTGATAATGACGATTCCTCGTTGAATGGCAGCAGCCAGCACGTTAATCATGGCATTATCCTGCCCAGATGGCGCATTTCCAGCGCCAAACGTCTCCAAAATCAACCCGCGCAATCCATCCAGCTTCAAAACAGCATCTACCATCTCGGGCTTAATACCAGGGAAAATCCGCAAACACGCGACATGGGTCGTGTCCAGATTTGTTTGGATGCGGAAATGCGCCAGGCTCGTGGGTCGGTGCACCATGTCCCAATTCACATTGGTGCGCATCGACGTGGTCGTAGCCAACGGGGGACAATTCGGCGCCGCAAAAGCAGAAAAATCACTCGCAGAAACCTTGGTCGTCCGGTTGCCCCGGAACAGCTTGTTGTTGAAGTACAAGCACACTTCGGGAATCATAAAGTGGCCCGCCACCACCAGCGATCCAAGCAAGTTATCCGTCGCGTCATTCTGAAGCTCCAGCATCGGGGCCTGCGAGCCCGTGAGAACAACGGGCTTGCCGAGGTTTTGGAGCATGAAGCTCAGCGCAGAGCAGGTGTATGCCAGACTGTCTGTGCCGTGCAAAATCACAAAACCGTCGAAAAGCGTGTAGTTCTGGTAGATGGATTGGGCAATCTCGGCCCAACCTTTTGCGTTGATGGAACTGCTGTCTAGCAATTCTTCGAACTCGTAGACGGTGTATCGCACCTTGCGGCCGTAGGTTGTCACCGGGGTGCTCAAGCTGGGATGAGCTACGACATCGCCCTTGGAGTTGGTGATGACGTCCATCGGAGTCGATAAGGAGCCATCGTTGAACGACGGGACTCGCGCCATGCATTTTTCTTGGAAACCACGGGCGGGAATGAATCCAGAAGGTGACTGCTGCATGCAAATTGTACCGCCAGTCATAATAATCAAGACTCTGGACTCCAGGATCGCCTCTTCTGGCTTCTCAACCGCCAGCGTAGGGAGGTTTGCCTCTGTGAGACCCATTGTGATCTCCGAAGACTGATAAGGCATTAAATTGAAAACGAGAGTCCTTCACAGAGATTGAGGTAGTTCTCTGTCTGTTGCAAAATCAGGCCCTTGACACCGGTAACACAGAGCGACTTGGATATCAATTCGTATCGTTAATCTTCAATGCGACGATCCTGTAAACCCCAATTCCGATTACCCCTCTTGAATTGTTCGGATCGGTGGATCGCGGGGAGATGACGCTAGGGCAGAAAATTTTCCTTTCTATTTTTTTTCGTAACCAGGCACGCGGTTAGAGGCCGAGACACGAATAGCGTACTGGGTCTTTCAAGGTAGATCGTGATTGAATCGTTTGGCCGAAATGTTGGTGGAAACCCCAAATGACTCCAAATGTATTACGTACGGACATTCTTATTGGAGAGAGATTTTCACCGATTTCCAACTTTAAACCGCGTCTCCACCAGGCCTGCATCAACGGCTCGACGGGTTTTTCGAGATTACTCCAAAATCTTTGTTGATATTGAAAATTCTTGTGGATTTTGTTTTGTTTTGTTTCTTGGTTTTGGATGTTTTATTCGAAATCCACGAGGTGTGTACTGTACATGTAAACGATATCTGCATTTAGGCAGCTTTGGGGTGCTTGGGATCACTGCGCAGTGGAAATACAACTCCGGGGATCACAAAGACATCTGGATGGATGATAACAAATGATCACAAGGCGGACAAGACACGAACATAGAAGCTGTCATTAACAAGAATCAACATAACGTAATTTCCTAGTTCGCCCTTAGATGTTTGGATTGAACTGAAAATAATCCTCCTCCAGCAGCCCCATCATATACTGATTTCCAGAAAACCAATTCCCCAGCTGGGCCGCCTGCATCATCTCAGCTTCAGACGCGGTCTCCTGACTTTGAAACCGAGACTGAGTAGCCAGTCCGACTAGCCCAGTCATCTGCGCTGCGGAATCCGGAACTCCATAAGTAGCGTTACCGGGGGCTAATCCCAGGGCACTTAGGTAAACGTCAAACTCGTGGCCCACTGAAGCAAGATTTGGGTTTTCTCCTTCTCTACTTCGAGCTTTAGCTTCGACGTATAGCCTTGCGACAGTGCCAAACACAGAACAAATGTTGTGGAGTCGATCGACTGATTGGGAGAACGAGCAGAGGGCGCGAAGAGAAGAGATGAAATCCTCCAATAAGGTGAGATCCTTGTGGTCGGATGTTGCGATTACATGACAAAAAATTACAATGAAGGGGACGAAGGGAGATATGAGGATAGCCCTGTCTGTTGTTAGATGTTATGCAAGATCAAGAGCAAAATGCCACTTACCAGTGCATATATGAGCGTTGGATAATCTTATTCGTCTCCTCTATAGAACCGAAGCACATTTGGTGATGTTCAAGTGCAGCTCGAGCTGTCTCAATACATTCGGGTATGAATGTGCCGGACGAGCCAGTTCCAGTTGGCGCTGGGATGGCACGGTATATCAATGTTAACATTGCCAGTCGGCAGACTTTGTCGGAGCGCAGATATAAAATATCCACTTCGCAAAGATTTGAGTCAGAGGACAAAATTCGCTGTACGAAAATTTCTTTAGCATCCATGCACACTCGGGTCGGAAGATCGACATACTTCAAATGGGTCCATGATGCTCGTAATCATCTCGTCGGCTAAGGTACGGGCGTGAGACACTCTGACACTTTCAGGCTGGTTCAGGGCCGCGGGGCTATATAAATTCATGTATACTTTGTTCTGTATGATGGCTTGTTTGGTCCACAAGGCACACACATTCCCCCATATATCATTTTCATCGCATGCAAATATCTCAAACGGCGAGGGGAGTCCGATGTCAAAGTCCTGAATAACAGACGCACGGCCAAGTCGGAGAGATAGCAAATTCAGTAAGGTGTACACAGACCAAAAGAGACATTGTTTTCGCTTTTGAGTTTCTGGAGGATCATGCTCCATTGATGATATGCGGTGGTATCCTAGGGTTTGGCACATGTGAATTGCCGTGGAAGCAAGTGTCCAGCTAAGAGATGGCTTTGCGATCTCAATTCCATGCATTGCCTTAAACAACTGTTAGAACTTTTCATGTATGGTAATGATAGGAGGGGGCATCTACCCCAAGAGATAATGCCACAATGGTCTCATGTGTTGCTGGCATTAGAATGTTCAGATTTGCCAGCGCTGCTTCTAAGTTTTCTTTGCACATCTGTATATAGTTGTGATACTCATCCCGAGTGGTGGATTCTTTCTCGGTGAATGACAGCTCAATGAAAGTATTATAGAGTCCGAAGTGAGCAGCAATGAAGGCTGCATCAGAGTAATCATCTGTGGAAAAGTAGACCTCTCGGCATTTTTCAATGAAGTAATCAATTGAGAAGAAGGGAATGTAGCCGCCGAATGCAGAGGGTTTGTTTTCTGAAGTAATCTTTGGAGTTAGTGCATGTGGGAAATAATTTCGCAGGCTTTACAGGTTGGGTCATACCTTTGACTTTCCTCAGCACTGTCAAAACAACAGGTAACGGTGGCAATTCTAGCTGGCGGATATCACAATGGGAACCTAACCTGCCTTCCTGGCTATGAAATTGAGTCCTCTGGGTGACAATTTCACGTTGCTTATTTTGCATCTCAACAATCTGTCGGAGTGAAGAGAGTGCCTCGTTTATTTTGGGACTGGAAAAAACTTCCGGTGTACTATGGGAAAACGCGGATTCCAGAAACTCTCTTGCATAGACAGAGTGCGCGGCAAGAGATGAATTTCCCTCAAATCCAGAGCTTGGATCATGTTGCTCAATAGCAGGGTTTGATGTATAGCCAGGACCCTTGATGCTGGCATGATCGAATTTTGTCGCAGGAGAATTCACTCTAGCGCCCGGTAAGGGGGAGGGTTGAGACGATTCATAAGATCTGGTTGGTTTTGATCCATTTGATCGAGATGTTGTAAGCAGTTCTTGCAGGGCCTTTTCAATGCTTCCCAATCGCTCTTCAATCAAATCGATCTTCTTCTCGCTATGAACCGATGTTACAAAACTTGCCAACCTTGGAATGCACTGCAAATTTGGGGGAAGAAAAGATATCAACTCACTATTGACTAGAAATAAGCACCCTCCTTCTCTGTTGATTTGACTTCTGACCTTCGCCTGTAGATCGACACGCAATACTTGCGCTGCGACAATTGGAACATGGGGAGCGCTTATCACACCGGATCTGCGAAACTGGTCAGCGTCATGCATGTACAACCCTTCCAAGCTTCTGCAGCTCACCTTCCGGGAACGACATTGATCGCACTGGATGAATACATATTAGTAAGTTCCATATTATAGTTAATTCATTTGATATTTTTTCCAATGACTCAGTTGCCAAATTAGTAGATCTCCGGGATTGAGTATGCCAAGACGTACCGCACGTCGAGCCAAGCCACTGGTTGGCGGCTCGTATTCGTCGTGGTCGGAACCCTCGACATCCATGATGGATATTAATTGAGGATATTTGCTTATTGGAGAATTGATGTAACTGTAGGTTGATGTCATTAGGTGAAAGCGGTGCTGCCTGGTGGCCTTATGGCATAATTGATCGGTGGTCACGTGGTGGGTTGTCCAAAGCTTAAAAAAGCAGTAGTAAATTGCAGTGCAGTATCATAATAGTGTGAGTGGGAGTGGGATTCGAATTGGACATTTCATTATCTTCAATTTGCCTGGAGATTTGAAGCCCCGAGGAATTTATCAAATGTGCCAGTTTTGACTCGGAGCGTTTGATCGAAGTGGTTCTCAACCATCAAGGCTGTCAATAGACAGTTGCCACATAAACTGGAGTAAAAGACGTGATTCGCTTCTATAATGATGGGAGATTGGCTAATGCTTCAGTATTGTAGAGTAGGTAACTCCGACTCACAGCATGGTGACAGGGTATTCTAATACAAGAAACTTCTGGAAGAGAGCATACACTACTAGTAGACTTGAATTGAGAATTGTGATATACTAGAGATCTGAAGACTGAGAGAGAGTCCTTATCATCCACCCAGCTTGTCTTTCTCACCTTTGCAACTTTCCCTGATAAGATACGACTCGCAGGACTCAATTCCCAGCCAATCTTTCTTCTTCTTCTTTTTATTCTTTGTCTAGACCCCACAAGCCGGCATCAGCCACATCATCGATCCTATCAGATTGTTTCTTGACTATCTGGTGGACCGCCGGGCCCCAGCGGCTTTTGCTTATCAAGCACGCGAGTCGGCTCGTGCGGGGGTTTGGTTGATTTCCGGGGTTCGCAGACGAAAAATAGAAAAAGGAACCGATGGAATCTGTCGATACTTCGACTTGTTTACTTTCTTTGCTTTTTGTCTAATTCTCTGACGTGCAGAATCTCCAAACTTTCTGACATCTGCACGACCGTTGAGGCGCCGCGATCAACATGACAGCGACAGCCCCACTGCCAATGGATTTGTCGCATCACTATTCCTACACCACCAAAAATCGGTTGGCCAGTTTTGTCAAAAGTTATTACAAGTACTATGCCATCCCAGGGCTAGCCAATTTTGCCGGAGGTACAGTTTCCTCCGAACATGCGTTGGTGTAACGTCGACTAACTATTCATTTGTTTATCTATGCAGGTTTGCCACATCTGTCATACTTCCCCTATGATACGCTGGAAGCCAACATCGCCCGTCCAAACCGCTTGCAGCCGGAGAGTTCCGGGGACTCGAAATCTGAACGTCTCGTCGTTCCCAAACAATCCCAGGCCACCGACCTCCAGCATCGGATCGACCTGAACACTGCTCTGCAGTATGGCACGGCGGAAGGCTATCCGCCCCTGCTCTCGTTTCTGCGACAATTTACCCGCGATCACCTTCACCCCAATGTGCCCTACGCAGAGGGTCCAGACGTTGTTCTAAGCTGTGGCAACACCGATGGCTTTTCCAAGGCCATTGAACTTCTTACTAATATCTGGAACCCCGACCGCGACTGGATCCAGCAGCGGGAGGGAGTTCTGTGTGAGCAGTTCGCATACATGAACGCCATCCAGACCGTCAAACCCAGAGGTTTGAACGTTGTTGGAGTGGCCATGGATGCACAAGGCATGTGTGCCTCGGGCGAAGGAGGCCTCGCCGATGTCCTGGAGAGCTGGGACTTCCGACGTGGTCGTCGGCCTCATGTTATGTACACTGTGACGTGAGTAGAGAATTTTTCGCCTCTTGAAAGAAGTTTGAACTTACAATATGGGACAGTATGGGCCAGAATCCTACCGGTGGAGTGTTACAGATCGAACGCAAGAAAGAGATCTACGCCCTTTGTCAGAAGTATGACGTGATCATTGTCGAGGATGAACCATATTGGAACTTACAATTCCCTTCCGCTTATGAGATGGAAGCTCAAGCTCGTGGTCTATCGATCCCGAGTCCCAGAATTAATAATCTGAACCATACATCATCGGGTTATCCATTTTTGGATGCCCTTGCTCCCTCCTATCTATCAATTGATACGGAGGGTCGAGTGATCAGACTCGACACGTTCTCTAAAACCATCGCCCCCGGAAGTCGACTTGGCTGGATCACTGCGCAGCCCGCCATTATCGAGCGCCTGACTCGCATCACCGAATGTTCTACACAGCAGCCTAGCGGATTTGTCCAATCCATTGTCGCTGAGATGCTCATGGGGAAACAGGCCGGGGAAACAAAGGCCCGTGCCTCGAAGCTGCAAGACTCTCGTGGATGGCAGATGGACGGCTGGGTACGTTGGCTAGAAGGATTACGGGCAGGCTATGAGAAGCGCATGCAATCCATGTGCACTATTTTGGAGGCCAACAAGTTTTTCGTGTCTGAAAAATCCGAAATATCCTCTAAATCTGCAGGTCATGTTGATGGCTGGGAGGTAGTGGATCGAGTTCAGATGTTTGAATTTGTCTGGCCCAAAGCTGGCATGTTCACCTGGATTGAGGTTTATTTTGAATCCCACCCTCTGGTTTCTCAATACGGTGCTCAAAGACTATCCAAGGCATTTTGGGTCCACCTTACACAAAAGCCGGTCCTGTGCTTGGTTGGTCCAGGCAGTATGTTTGCCGCAAGTCCCGAGTCTGCCGAACAGGCTTACAAATATTTCCGAGTCTCTTTCGCGCCAATGAATGCCGATGATGTGGCACACTTTACACAGAGACTTGTGGATGGTATTCGGTCTTTCTGGCAGCGCAATAGCCTGGATGGCTTGGAGAATGATGAGACTTTGGAAATGCAGATGCTACAGATGGGCCCAGGAGTTAACCTCTTGGGCAGCGGCTGCTAAAGGAGTTTTAAAGTGCCGTGTTGGATAGATGGGATCTGTCAGTTCTTTCTTTTGCTGCAATGTCCTCTTTCTTACAGAGGCCTTGCTTTGGATTGTGAACAATAATGTCTTGTGTTAGTGTGTTAGTTTAATGTGATGTCCAGCGATACGAAGTTAATGTGTGTTAAGAATAAATGTCATTAAATGGTACCACAATACCTCCCACTACGGGCCAGTGATGCCTTCACCTCCTAGTGACCAATGTTTTGAATATGTGGCCTACTATATCTGGCTAATTTCTCCTACTCGGAGCAGCACTGAAATCACTCTTCCCATCCTCCTCCACGACCTCCTCCACGACCTCCCCAACCCCCACCTCGACCTCCCCACCCTCCACCGCGACCTCCCCATCCTCCACCGCGACCTCCCCACCCTCCACCTCCACCCCAACCTCCGCCAGGATGTCTATCATCGTCTCCACCTCCTTCTGCAGTGGCTTCCTCTCGTGCCACGACCTTGAATCCTACAAAGATTTAGCAACAGCACCATCGTGGTTGGATTCACAATAAGCACAAACCTTGGTTTGGCTCAGCAACCGCCAACGCGGTGCTTGTTAGCCCAAGCAATGCAAACAAAAAGGTAAGACGCATAATTTTCGCTTGATAAATTTGGTGTTATGCTTGGAATGGATTAGAAATGCCCGCTGATCATGTTAAGGATTCTTACATCAATAAATGTGTTTGTGTAATAATGACTTGATCAAAGATGGTGATTTTGGATTCAGACCGAGGATTACTTCGGGCCTTATATAGACTTCATTGTGGAAAATGGAGGCAAATTTGTATTGTCACCTGGGCAAGCATTGCAGACCAGCTGAAGCACTTGAAGAAGATCGACATGATATCCCCCGAGAATGCCACGATCAACTCCAGTCAAAGTGCCTCCTTGTTCCCGTCGTGAAGTTAAATCCATGTATTGCAGAAAGGATTTCCTTGCTTGAATAACCATGCGGGATTTTTGTGCTAGGGAGACAACCTTGATCTAGAAAGTCTACTGGGTTGTTTCAATGTTGGCTCGTGGATATTCGAAAATCGCTTCTATGTATCATCCAGATGTCTGAGGTAACCTAGTAACGTCTTGAGCAGATATCATTTCAACCTTAGAATGTTTGAATGGAGTTCAGACTTCGTAAACGTAGATTTGTAACATGTAAGACATCATTTGAGAGGGATATCCTGGTCTATTCCAATGTTTCAAGGGTCTTTGTCGGCAGCTGTTGAGATAGATCAAGAATAAAATTGCCACTATACTGACTGATATCGTCATTAAATAGATTCCAAGGCCTATCTGGAACATCCCAGCATCGATAGATGATTTATCCATCATGTAGTACTTATGTTATCAAACATTGACACATTTGACAGTAGCAAGTTTGGTAATTTCATATCTGTGGTGCACGTATTTTTGCGATATCCCCACTAAGGATATCGACTTTGGGCTCTTATGTGACACGAACCAAGATTTCACGGCTATCTCTCCTATTGGCCCTAAGGTCATACATTCCATATGCGAAGTTAGGTAGCCCTGTTACCACACTAGCAACATTGTTTGGTATGACATCCATGTGGGGAACCGCCTGAAGGAGCTAAGCTTACGAGGCCGACAGGGAGCACTTACTATACGACGGGGCACATCATGCTAGTTAGCTTTCTGAAGTTAGAAGTTACTCCATGCAGTGCAGATATCCGTAGATCTAGCTTTGTGTGCTACTGAAATTTAGAACTGAGGTTGGCTAGTGGAGATCTTGTACTCCTCTGCTTACGTCAATGTTGACCTTTGCTAGTTATTCGTACTTATTCGGGTGGTATACTCAAGGTCACTCAAACGCATCCTAGCGTTTAGAATTCATTTGAATCATGAAATTGAGAGGACTCTCTGTCTTTGCAAAATTTCAATCGCTGTTGGACAACATGAACAACATGCTGTTCGGCCACGAGGTGCTTCCAGGGTTGCCTGCAGGAGCATTTGACCAATTGTATACGCCGCACCGGTCAATGGAAAATCATTGGCAATGCTATTTCGAGTGTCGACTCGGACGATAAACCACCTTGGAAGACCTATTATTTAGTTGAAAGAGACATGTCTAGACATTGCAAAAAAAAAAAAAAAAAAAAAAAAAAAAAACCCATGGGAGATGTAACAGTCCTCGAGCACCAGAGCATAGTACACTACACAAACAACTGATTTGGTTAGAGAAATTATAAGTAAGACGATGCCCTCTTGCGCCGAACTAAATGAATTCAGCATGTCATGCCCAAAGATTTGACAGGACGTAATATCTCTATTTTGAAAAAAAAAATAATAGGCGGATTACCTTTATCTCCTCGCACATCGTAAATAGTAGTTCATTATAGTAGGTGCCTTGTGGCCTGAGAAAAAGATCTGCGGGGAAATCAACATTTCCTAAGATTTCTCCGCAGCCCACCAATCCGCCAAAGACATGCCGAAAAATGTCGCAACTAGACAACCTACAAAACCGAGATCTCGCTGAAGAGATTGAAGCTATCAATGCCATCTACGAACCCGATACCATCGCATTAGACCGAGCGGCCGCATCCTCCATCGCGAACAACACCATTGACTTGGGAAGCGCCGGGTCATCCAATGACGATGCGCAAACCACAATAACGCTCCAGCTCCCCGGCCAACCTCACCTCTCATTCATTATTGGCTTCGGTGCGACATACCCAGAAACACGACCTACAATTCTTGGCACTGCATCAACTGCCGCGCGCGGAGAAGGCAAGATCGCCGTGGATGTGCTGGAAGATATTGTACAACGGACATGGCAGCCTGGTGCAGTGTGTTTATTTGACATAATTAGCGAAGCAGTCGATGTCTTTCCAGAATTAAATATCGGGGGAGGCAAAGACAGCGAGCAGACTGCGGATGGCTTATCTGCTAGCCAGACAACAACAAAAGCAGACGACCCGGCCGCACCGATTACCCAGACAGCAGAAAGCTTTGGGACTCTTTCTTTGAAAGATGCATTTGGGCTTGATAGTCCACCAGATTGGATCATGTCCGACGTTGTAACTGAGAAAAAGTCCACGTTTCTAGCCAGGGCAGCGCGAGTGACGAGTCTTGCACAGGCACAAGCTTATCTGGATCATCTCACTGCAACTGATAAGAAAGTCGCAGTGGCATCGCATAATATAAGTGCTTGGCGTATCAAGCAGAAGAAGAATACTTCTCCAGGCTCGGATGCAGCCGAGACGCAAATCCAGGATTACGATGATGATGGAGAGACTGCTGCAGGGGGGCGTTTACTGCACGTTATGCAATTGATGAATGTATGGAATGTCGTGGTTGTGGTCTCGCGTTGGTTTGGAGGCATTCACCTCGGACCGGCGAGATTTCGACTTATTAACGATGTTGGGCGCGACGCGTTGGTAAAGGGTGGGTTTGTCCGCGAGGAAACCCCTGGTCCTGAAAAGGGAAAGAAGAAGGGCAAGAAATGAGAGGATGTGAATAAATTTCCCCCGTCATCCACATTGCTACCAGCGAGAAATCTGCCAGAGACTCCGGTACTCACCTTTGGCCAAAGTCAACTGATCTGTCATTCTCACTGGCTCTAAAGAGTCATTCATCAGGTCGGGAATCTACTTGCTCACAAATACTTCGAATTATCACCATTGCTCATCGCCAACTTGGCCTACATGACAATTACATTGAAAGTCAATTAGGAACATCAAGTTGAGCGTGTTGCGTTTTACCAAGGCCGCCACGAAAATATCGTGCCCCCATCCATCCCTCCCGGCTGAGTTCTGCTTTTTGGGTGAAACGATGAGTCGAAGCTCTTTTAGCATGATATTTATTGCTTATATTTCACGGCATCTATATCATATGAGATATCCTAGCTTGGAGCATTTGAATGGATATAAACCCCATGAATACTTGGGCTTACAATCGAAATCAATGTATCATTAGAGTTGCGTTGCATGGATGTTTCATGGTACCGGCAAATTCCACCTGTGTATTACATACTTTTGGTGCCAAGACAGGCCGTCAATCCGTAGTAGTAATCGGTTGCATTACCCTCAGCGATATTTGGAGTATGGATTAGGATTTCAAAAGTACTAGTCAAAGCCAAGTGAATATTCATGTGCAAGGCAGCCTTAGGTCCTACATGGGATAGATGAAGCTCGCAGTCAAAGATACTGTGGAAGATACCAGCCACGGCGATGGAAGTGACTTATAGAAGATGAGTAAGATAAGGAGAATTGGGGTTGAGAGAACCAACATTAATTGGATATAGACCAAGCCACGCAGATCGTTAAAAGAATCAGAATCAAGACCAGGATTAGAGGTAGGGAGAGGGTAGATAAGTGGGAGCGTGACCAGTTATGAAATAGAAAAACAGGCCAGAGCAAAGGAAAGCAAGGAAACAAGCAAAGTGGTATTGCGGAAGGAAAAGAAAGAATAACATCATTCAGCCAAAGAACATAAGATAAAGATACATAGGCATTTGAGAAAATCAGCTACACGCGCTGGATGTTCCATATCATTGTTGCGACTTCGATCAGTGATTGTACCGGGATATCGGCGTCAGTTTCTGGCGGAACGGGCACACGGCGGAGTAGTTCTTCGCTAGATACATGTAGAGGTTCGGCCGGCACACAACTGACTGGCATTGTTGAGCCGCCGGGAGGACGTGAAACCTCAATTTTTTGGCGTGTGACTGGCTGAAATCGGGGCTGACCATTACGCGGAGTTATGATCGGTTGCGAATTTATGATGCTCTCGAAAGTGACTTTCGCTCGTCCTTGGTCAACAAAGATCAGAATCACGACTTTCACCTCCCCCTGGGAGTTGGCTAGCCACCAGCTAGCGTCAAGATGGAGTCTTCGCGATGATTCAGAGTGTGTAACTTCAACTATAACAGAAGGCCATATATCATCAGTTGGAGGAGGATTTGGTGGGATCCATGAGCCATCTGGTTCTTTATAGCACATATTCCCTTCCATGCGACCCGAGCCTATTGATTGGGTCTCATCTTCCAAATTTGCCTCAACTATGGACGTGTGGAGCGCAAAGGAAAAGTGTTGAGCTGCCGAAGCATGAATTCGCCCGGGGATCGTAATGATTAAAGTTCGCGACGAGGCGTCGTACGACTGGCAGCAGCCTTTGGATATGTAATTTGTCAGCGCGGAAGGAATGCAACCGCTGCTCAGGGAAAGGAAAGAACGAAGAGAGAAAAGCACTGGATTGGCTATGGACAATCTCTCTCGGGGGGATGGAGAGAAGGGAAAAGGAAGGAAGGAAGGAAGCAAGCACTAGATCTAGATATACCTAGAGGGGGTCACCTGACCCCTCTCTAACATAATTTGAAGCAATATTTGGCGGAACATTACTGAACTTCAAATACTGGGTGCCATGCTTAGTATCTTCATACTTCTGCGTAATCACTGTTCAAATTCCAGCGACCGAGGAGTCGATGAGATGGACAGCATCATATGGAAGATTGAAACGCTCTTTATCGATCCTTTGAAGTTCAAGATCGAACATTTCCTGTTCTGTAGGGGTTCGGTTTTGGATTTGGGGTCTCGGTGGGGTAGTCGCTGGGCCAAAGTCCACTGACATGGTGGCGAGTGGGTCGACAGAAACTCGGAGCACTGAAAGTCTGCGAGTTGAGGGACTCCGTAAATGTAATACGTAACCAGTTGACTATTATGGCGGCCGATAGAGGCCACCCAAGGGTCACATCCCAATTTCAAATTCTAATTTCACCGCCCTGTTTTCCGCCCGTATTGTATTTATCACATATAGGAATATCTTGAGGGATTTGATCTGAATACGGGTCACTTTTAGAATAGACTTGAGAATGGACTTGAGTTTGAAGGGACTTGAGAATGGATTGATTATAGAGTTCAAAGATTCAAAATAGAAGGAAGTACAGGGATTCAACGCATAATGGAGTTTAAGGATTCAGTATATAGTGCAGCGCTGTATGTAGAGTTCAAAAACAAATATGAATTTGGAATTACTCGTAATTTACTTTCTGCCAGTCGGAAAGTTGAATTTGAGTTATGGCAGTCGGGTGGCGGGTATCGGCCGCCGTACGTATGGTCGGCGGTACCTTTGGAGGGCGAGGGAAGGAGGAACATTTGAAACATTCAAATGTTAAGTGGGGTCACCTATGTAATACTCACTGATCAAATCAGGGCGCTCATGGGCGTGCTCAGTTCTAACATTTGAATACTTGGCAGTGAACAAAAAGCGGCGAGGGGTGAGCACTAATCAGGAAGAAGAAAGCCAAGAACTGGGATAGTAAATCTACTACATACTAGTAGGTCAAGGCGGACCGAATGCCACCGTACCATGGTACGAATAGGTTGGTGAACGAGTCAGAACTGTTGTCGGTCGATCTCGCGATCAAATTATTGTTCCAGATGTCATCGAAGCTATAGAAAATAAATTTCAGAGCGCATCCACTTTATTCAAGTTTATACTAACCGAACTGGCGCCAAGACGCTCGAAATTACAAGGACTCCATGCAAAGGGTCGCAGGTGTTCCGTTCAAATGTTACTCCACACCCGATCGACTGGGTTGACAGGTATAATATGGGGTTAATATCAATCTGAAACGGCATCTACGGACCCTGTGCGATTCATATGATGGTAGTTCAGATGCGGACTGGAATCACGGATTCCATGGTTGACAATATATTCCAAGTTAGACATCAGTGACCCGCAACATCTATGTATCACAACAATCAAACATTTGAAGGAAAATATTTATTCTCCCAACTGTTGCATCTGTGGATGTCAGGTGGATCGAATTAATTCCCCGGCAGTTAATGTTGAGGAGCGAGCTTGACCTTGAGTGACGTTTGAGAACGTGTGGCAGGACACCTTGAAACAGAATTGGGTTGGCAGTGACGGTTCATGCTCTCCAGAATACCCACACTTACAGCGATCTTCATCACGCTAAGCCGCACTATCTCGGTAGACAACCCTGTCATTCCAGATACATGCGCATGATCGACGGTTCAGGCAGCCCCAGAAGCTTTAGCCATATTGAGAAAATGTGATGGTCGCGGTCGGCAAATCGCCAATCTCACACCCGAAAGCCACGAAGAGATGTGTGTGTTTTTTTTTTTTGCAAGCTTTGCGGATATGCAGGACGGTTTGAAACAAAGACGGCTGATCTAAGCTGTCAGTTCATGCATTTTGGCGCTGTGAATACGTCATGCTGGTCATTTGAGCCCGTCTAGCTTTTCTACCAGTCGCAAGGGCGCGACCCGTATATGCATGGACATGCCAATCGTGGTCGCGGGGACACCGGAAGCCTTCTGCACAAAGCCGATTATGTGGTGGAGCTATCAACACCAGGGCAGAGTTGCCGAATTACTCAATGCTGAAACGGGGTAGTCAACGTTCATACCCATTGCAACCATCAGTTTCAATTCCGTCGTGGGCATATCGGCATGTTCCGTCAAATGATTGGCGCTCGACCCGCTGACAAGAAACCATAGGCGCCAAGGGGTGACTTCCCGCAACCAATCCCCGCCGGTCGGAAGGACTAAACACATGGCATCCCTGGGTCCCAAGATAGATGGTGCGACACACTGTGAGGCGTCTTGACGAAGGGGGAGGCGTATCCTTGCACCGGTCTGTGCGGTGGTTGATATCCTCTCACCAGCCAGTCTGGTTGGAACGGGCAGATCGCCAGCACTGGCGGACCCGTGTTCTCGTCTGTGACTGGCTGGAGTCTATTAATTCTTCAGCACCACTCACCGTCTGATGTGTGTATTTTGAAAGTGAAAAGAGCAGATGTGAAACATCCCAGCTTTCTCGAAATCCCGCTCCCCACTTGCGACCTGTCTTTGAATCTAGGAAAATGAGATCGTCAAGCACATTTTTTCGGGGAGCGTGGAGAAGATCAGACTTTAGGAGTGTCCGATTGATTGGGGGGGGGGTCTCAGGGTCTGCCTAAATAACAATGGGTGACACATAGACTCCTGACGGATGAAGAATCTGAGCGTTGTATTTAAGACTCTTCAGCGCCTATTTTTCCCCCTTGTGTATCTCGATCTTTTTCTTCACTTCACGGCTCGATACCCAACAGGCTAGTCCTGTATTTCTTTCTCTCTCTTTCTATCTTTTTTTTTTTATGGTTTGATAGTCGTGCCTGTGGCAGACTCCTACATTCCCTTTCGTGAATCAAAATCTGTGACAATCTTTGGTTTGATATCACCTGAAACAAAGGCATTACTATTGTTCACCTGATTCAGGCTGCTATAACAAGGGTAGGTTATTCTTTGTTTATTTCCTAATCGGGTATTTCATTTGGAACAATTCACTCGTTTGTCATGTCCATAATACCTTTCTTCTCAACTGACTTCATGTCAACTTCTTCTACTTTACTTAAACCTCCTCAATCTTCTATTTTCTCCAACTCTTCCATCTCTAACTATCTGGCGCAGGAAGCCCCCACACTCCTTTCTACACTCTCACGACTACCAACTTCCAATCATTTTTTCCTGTTTGATCCCATTCGTCTGGTACGGATCCCATCATACATATCAACAATATTTGGTCGATCCAATATAAAAAGTATTTACAACATGTACGCCAAGTCGATGCTTGTTGCCATGCTGGGGGCCTCCGTGGTCAATGCCCACATGATCATGACCAGCCCCGTTCCCTATGGAAAGGACACACTCAACAACTCTCCTCTGGCTGCCGACGGAAGTGACTTCCCTTGCAAGTTGCGTTCGGACACCTATTCGGTTACAGAGCAGAATGTGATGGTTATCGGCGAGGCTCAGCCCTTGACCTTTGAGGGCAGTGCTACCCATGGCGGTGGCTCGTGCCAGATCAGCCTTACTACCGATCTGACGCCCTCCAAGGACACTGACTGGCAAGTCATCAAATCTTTTGAGGGTGGCTGCCCAGCCAATGTGGATGGTAACCTTAGCGGCGGTGCCACCATGGTTGATCCTTACTCGTTCAATTTCACCATTCCCGAAGGTATCGCCGCTGGAAAGTATACGCTTGCCTGGACCTGGCTCAACCGCATTGGCAACCGTGAGATGTATATGAACTGCGCTCCAGTCACTGTGAAGAGCTCCAGCGCTTCGAAGAGATCCGAGAGTGTCGCCGCCAAGGCAGTCGAGAAGCGTTCTACCACCTTCCCGCCCATGTTCGTCGCCAACATTAACGGCTGCATTACCTCGGAGAATGTCGATATTCGTTTCCCCCAGCCTGGTGATGATGTTCAGTACCTTGGCGAACCTTCCAACCTGGCCAAGGTGGGTGCCGCCGCTTGCACCGGAACTCCCACCTTTGCCAGCGCCGGTGACTCTACAACTGGCACCAATTCCGCCGCAGGTTCGTTCGGTTCGGATTCGAGCTCAGAGACAGCGTCCACTTCAGCAGCAGTAGCAGCCACCACTGTGTCGACCCAAACTTCTGATGCCGCCCCAACCTCCACCTCTGTTGTATCTGTCCCAGAAGTTGCCCCTTCGTATACCTCCGTTGCAAGCATGGCAAGTGCGGCTTCTCCTTCGCCCACCAGTAGCTCTTCTACTTCTTCCAGCTCGGGTGCCCTGAGTGGCTCATGCAGCGTTGATGGCGAATGGAATTGCATCTCAGGTACCTCTTTCCAACGTTGCGCCTCGGGTGTGTGGTCTGTCTCTCAGCAGATGGCTTCCGGGACCTCTTGCACTGCAGGCCTGAGTGCGGATCTAGCGATTGTTGCCAGTAAGCGATCTCATGTCGCTTCAGGGCTGCACTTCCGCAGACGCAGCATCGGTGACTCCCACCACGTTTAGATACGTACACAGTACAATACCTGCTGGTTTCGGGTATTGTTTTCGCTCCTTTTTTCTTATTATCCTTCGTTGCATTCTTTGCCCTTTTTTATTTATTTTCTTTTCCTGTCCTAGATTGGTACCCTAGGACGGACCTTTTTTTCACCTTTCAATGCATCTTTATGGTCCTTTTTTTCATGTACATTTTAAGGAGCATGCTGCTTAGATGCGAGTTTGAACATCGATGGAGTCAAGTGTTGCAAATGTTAAAGAATATGACAATCTTGGAAAGTTTTCAACCTGATTGATGATCGATATCGTTAAAATACGTAGGTGTGCCCGTGGAGGATAGAGAAGGTAGAAAGATATAGTGCAAGTCTGTAACTCCAGAGTTGAATCAACAGTTGGAGCTGATGGCCATTGGAAATTTTGGTTTCATTCTGTGTTGTATTGGAGTGTATAGTACTATAATCTCGGGGGCTTGCGGTAGCAGCGCATCTGGAGAAGTACCGAGTAGAAGAACAAAGAGAAAGTAGATGGTGGATCGCACCTGCTCCACGAGATCAGGAGATCAGGTGTCAACAAACCCAAAAAAGGAAGTCACGGTGGGGCATTTGTGATTATGTCACGGGGTGCGGCCCCACTCTACCGAAACTGGTTAATCAGGGCTTAGGGTTCTCTTCCACACTCACTTGGCGCAGCTCAGTAAGCGAAAAAATCCACAGGACAGCCCGACTGGGAAACTTTTGGTCTTCAACCTCACCAACGACACCGAACGACAACAATGGCCACTCGCCCGACCGTCTCGATCGCTACGGCTGAGGGTAAGCCCTCCGGGGCTACCCAGACCCTTCCCTCGGTCTTCTCTGCTCCTATCCGTCCGGATATTGTCCAGTACGACATCTCTTGAACGAAAACTTGCCATCCGAGGCGAAATACTGATGTTTTCCCTACAGGCAGGTCCACACCGGTATGGCCAAGAACAAGCGCCAGCCCTACGCCGTCAGCGAGAAGGCTGGTGAGCAGACCTCTGCTGAGTCCTGGGGTACCGGTACGTGATAACAACTTTTTCATTTTTCTTTCGATATGCGAGTTGGAATTTGCTGGGAGGATCATGAAAGTGGGGTTCGATGGAGACAATTGAAGAAAATTTTCTTCAACGCGGGAATCGCCAATCGCTTCAACAAGGGGAAACAAGTCGCTAACGAAACATATTTCTACTGAACAGGTCGTGCCGTTGCTCGTATTCCCCGTGTCTCCGGTGGTGGTACTCACCGTGCCGGTCAGGCTGCCTTCGGTAACATGTGCCGTTCCGGTCGTATGTTCGCCCCTACCAAGGTCTGGCGCAAGTGGCACCAGAAGATCAACGTGAACCAGAAGCGTTTCGCTACCGCTTCCGCTCTCGCTGCTTCTGCCGTCCCTGCTCTCCTTTTCGCCCGTGGTCACCGTGTCGGCAAGGTCGCTGAGGTTCCCCTCGTCATTGAGTCCAAGACTTTCGCCGATGCTGCCCTGACCAAGACCAAGGCTGCCATCGCCCTTCTCCAGGCTGTCGGTGCCGGTGAGGAGCTCGTCAAGGTCTCCAAGTCCCGCAAGCTCCGTGCTGGTAAGGGTAAGCTGCGTAACCGCCGTTACCGCCAGCGCCGTGGTCCCCTCGTTGTCTACAACCCCGAGACCGATGGCAAGGACCTTGTCCGTGCTTTCCGCAACATCCCCGGTGTTGAGACCTCCTCCGTCTTCTCTCTCAACCTCCTCCAGCTCGCCCCCGGTGGTCACCTCGGTCGTTTCCTCGTCTGGACCTCCTCCGCTTTCGAGGCTCTTAACCAGGTCTACGGTACCACCACCACCCCCTCTGCCCTCAAGAAGGACTACCTCCTGCCCTCCAACTTGGTCTCCAACGCCGATATCACCCGCCTCATCAACTCCTCTGAAATCCAGGCCGTTGTCAAGGCTCCCAAGGGTGAGGCCCGCACCAAGCGTGTCAACGTCCAGAAGAAGAACCCTCTGCGCAACAAGCAGGTCATGCTCCGCCTCAACCCCTACGCCTCTGCCTACGCCAAGCAGAAGCTCGGCCAGCAGGCTCTTGATGCCGGCAAGCCCGCTCGCGCTGGTGCCACTTTCCTCAACACTCTGTCCGAGGAATAAGCTTTTCTTCTCTGTTATTTTTCACGGTTAAAAATGGTAGTGTCAGAGCAAAAATGAATCAATGCCTTTTTGCAATACCCACGGGTCCTGATTCGGAGTATAATATGACGGTTATGTTAACGATCACTATTGTACTTCCTCGCAGTAACATGTAGTCAAAGCTCATATAGGTAAGTTTGTAGATCTGTAGGCACTGCAGAGCTACAGTAAACGCTTCGTCGTCAACACACTTTCCCAGGCTAGGCTTTCCAATCAATTGATGTTCCAGATGTCTTCAAATGTTTTGAATTTTTACCCACTGATCGTCTTATGATTATTGTAACTTACAGCGCGCTTTCCAGTGCAATCCTGCGACCAATGTCAAATCTCAGCTCCCATGATCATGCTCAATAGATACTAACTAGGTGATCAATTGCTATGACCATCCACATGTGGGTTCCCTTGGGTTATCTTTTCAAGGTCATCTTATATGCCTCAGGCCGATGTAGTTACCTCAACATTCAATACGATTTCTAACATTGAATCTCAAGATTCGGGTCAATGGATGTTGAGAGTATGTACACATGTGCATGGAATAGATTGATACTATGTATTTACTCAAGTGCTAGTAGTATGTTCATGATAGTGCTTCTCTCGAGTCGCTTCACTTCAACCAAGGTTCTGTGTACTTTTCCCCTCAGCCTCGGAAAACTGCCAAAATGTCTCGGTATTGACCGATATTTAATCTATTGTTTACCGCGCTCCTGAGACATATCCAGGTGAGGCCTGGCTTGCAGCAACTTTCCAAGGTGGAACATCTGAAACGGAATTAATTCCGGACATCTGGAGCTGCTAGAGAGCATCAATTGATTTGAAAGCTGCATTAGCCCCGTATTCTTACGTATCCAAATTTAGAGACAAAGGTTGTCGGCATTTGGTTTGCGAGGCATTTTTCTTGCGGAACCGCGATGTACTAAGAAATTAGCCGATCTTTCAAGCGTTGAATTTTGGGACCGCGCGGCTCCACACTTGACATGCAAGTTGCTACCTAGTACGAAGTGCGGATGCCAGCACTCGGTGCTTGAAAATAAACTTTGAAAAGGAGTTTGAAGCTGCAAAAATTGGTGAAGCTGAAGTTTGAGACTGAGTAACTACAAAGTACGTGGCTCTTTGGCTTCTGGGCTGTGCTCAGTATATGTAGACAAGATTGAAATAAATATGGGCGCTGAAGATGGTCCAGGCGTGTCAACCTACCCAATTTAGGTTAGTTACTAATGTCGTGTCACCATGGATATAGTTTTATGCCTACGCGAACACACAAAAAGCCACGTCTAGGGCTGTGCACTAGGTTGTACTCGAGCTTCAATGAGCTTCAACATTCGCACTGGATACCGGATGTGGATATAACTCCTACCTGCGATGTAAAAAAGGACAGGGATTCCAAGGTTGAAATCTTCAAATGTCTTCAACTTTGAAGTGTTCCAAGCTTAGGAATCACATGCGGTGCATTTGATCGCAATATTTGAACCTAGGCATTATGAGAGCTAATTTATATAAATCGCTTACTCCATACAAGCTCTAGAGCTAAACGAAGGACCGCAATTTTAGATTCAAATTAACGATGATCCGGGGCTGTGTCGTACTTTGTTAAGGCAAACTTGCAGCATCAATGTAACATTTGGGTCGGGTTGAAGGAAGTGAAAACGGAGTCCGATTCATTCAAATGTTCGGAGAAATCAAGATGCTGTTGAAAATTGCAAGCTGTCAATATTAAGCCTCACAGGTACTATCTTTTGAATCTTTGAATCTTTGAATCTTTGAATCTTTGAATCTTTGAATCTTTGAATCTTTGAGGCTGACATCTGATTGTTCCAGTCACATCTGTAAAATCAGTGATAATGCAATGGATGATGATCAATCACATGTTATTCTTCTAGAAGCTCAATCTATTTGACTTCGGTAGGCGCCGGTTTCCCCAGCGGATTGGCTCTACTGCAAGCTTTCTCTTTGCAGATACATATTCCCCATTTTTTTCAAGAAAACAAAATATATACGCCAAGATAAAATAAAATAGAAGAAAATGGGAAGTGGAAAGTGGAAAGTGGAAAGTGGAAATTACAAAGACAATCACAGCCGAAGGTACCGGGATTTTAGGATCTTACACAGATTATCTCCCCTTGTATCCGTGACTAGTAATGTATTTTATGCATAACGGAACAGAAGAAAAAGCCGGAAAAAAAAAGCTTCCACGGTGACGGATGAACACCTCAAGGCATTGGGCAAGTCGTCCGAACATTCCATGTCCAGGCGGTCCAAGCGATGAAGATCCCATGCCAAGCGAACATACCGTCAGGGTCCGCGGCTGATGGATTCCAAGCACCCGAGCACTCTTGATTTGGTCCAAGTGGAGTTAGATGTACGTCAGTCCTCGGGCGGCGCGGACTTTCCGTGCTGCTCAAAAACATTTGTTCTTGGAAAGTTCCAAGATAAATTTGTCACATTTACTCAAATGCCATTCCCGGGCTTCGGGATTGGAAAAAAAGGCTCTGGAGTCCCGTGGAATTGAGTTTGGGGCTTACAGTCGAACAAGGCTTTTGTAAATAAAGTAGGGTTTTTTTTTGGTAACAGACTAGAGGGGGAAAAAAAAACAAAAAAGACAACATTTGAAAAAGACAGTGTAAAGTTAATACGCAGCGGAAAAATATTTCCTTTGCAGAGTTACTTCGCTTGCAAGTCTATTGAATTAAAATCGGTGGGAACGAGGTACTAACTTTTGATCGAAGATCCAATGTAACTTGAATTAACCGAGATCCTTCACGTTACAAGTTCGAAAAAGTCCAGATGTCGGAGAAATCTTCTCCTCCGATCAGCCGCTTTTTTGCGCTACATATAGTTGAACT